CCAACCCCAACCCCAACCCCAACCCCCTTTATAATGTCAAATAAACATTTTCAGCAAATGAATTTTTACTTACGAATTAATTTACTTTGTTTAATCAAAATGTTATTATTTTTTGTATTTTTTATATTTACATTAAAAAAAAAAATATGTATAATCAATTGAAAAAAAAAACTATGTAAATTCCATTTTTTTAATATTATTATATAAAATGAGGTAACAAGATTAATGTTACATAATATAAAAATCACTAATTAAAAATATTTCAAAAATCTTTTACCTTATTTATTCGTTTTTATTATTTATTTTTCTATTTTTTTTTTGCATGTGTTTTTTGAAATAATTATGTAAAATTATTTTATTTTTATTATAGTTTTTAAATTAAAATTTTGAGTTTTAAGAGAAGAATTTATTCAATATTAATTTATTGTTTTTAATTTAAAATTGATAAAATTTTATTAATTTTTAAAAACTTAAATTAAAAATAAATGAGTTTATTAATAAATTATTAAAAATAATTAAAAAATATACATTTATAAATAGAAAAATAGATCACATACAGTCAAAAAATAAGAAATAAATAATCATTTTATAAATAATTCTTTATATATTATTATGTCTTCAATCATTTCAATCTTCAAATTCATAAAAATAGCAATAATAGGTAAATAAAATAAAATAAATTATAAGTGGAGCAACTAACTTGAGATATGAGATCTTGATTGCTTTAATCAATTATTTATGTAGCCTAGCTTTAAGAAACTGTTGAATTTACAACTTCTATACCAATTTGTTACTGAACAATATTATTTTAAAATTAATTCAACTATCTAAACCTGTTATTTTAGATTTGCATTTTTATTTAAACAATACCGTGCAGTGATGGTGAAGGTATTTTGAATGATATACTTAAAATTTTATTTGCCCAGTTTGTATTTGTAAATTAAGTTAAATCATAAATTATACTATCATCATCTTTGTAATAAAGGTTTTATAAAACTAATTTTTTAGTACTAGTAGGGTCAATAAATGAAGCCTTAGCATAAACCATTTAACCGACTTAATAAGACGGATTTTACATAGGCTGGAGGCAGGTCTAATCTTAGCAGATTTCAATGTTTGTATCAACATTAGGAATTGTGATACATTATTAATTTTAAAGACAATTCATGCTTGCTACTTATTGTATTATATCTGTAGTCATAACTGTGCTTACAGCTGTATCTGTACATAAAGTGATGCTAAATTTATGATATCTATAGAATTTCTAAGAGTTTCCAATATTAAGTCCAAAATTTATGATTTAGGATATCTAATTTCCCTATGTAGACTATTGTATAGCAAGTGTTTAAAAATCTATTAATTTTATTTAAATAGTTTATGAACCAAGTTATCCAGTTGTGTAGTATTAGTCATCTAAATCAATATAATTAAGAGTTTTAGGATCTTAAATTTGAAGAGAAGTTACATACTACTCTTAGCACTCTTCAGAAATACTTATTGAAGCAAGGTCAAGAGTAACAAATATTTGAGCATATTTTATGTTGTTTATTATAATTATATCAGTAACTTCATTAACTTTCACTAAAGAAGTTTTAAGTCCCATTTCCAAATGACAAGTTTAAACTTAAAGAGCTATCATATTTCCTTCAGAATCATAGTTTATTAATTGAACACACTAGAATGGATTAAGAGACCCAGTATAATAACCTAAGTTACAAATGCAAGACCTCTAAAATGAATCTATAGATGAGTTAACATCCAAGCAATCTAGGCATATATTTGTGTCTGGTTAGCAATCTGTACAGCTCACATGGCAAGCATTAACTACAGTCAAAAAATATATGCAAAGAACAAGAAAATTTGTGAGTTGTTTCATCAATTATGAAAAAAAATTTTTAGAAGATTTAAAAAAATATATTAAATAATATAAATAAAGATATTAATTAATTAACGAATAAACCTAGAGATAGCCATTATGGGATTAATTTTCTGTTTAATCACTTTTTTGATTTTTAGTCTAATTAAAAGTTTCAAATGTGAAAACATTAATTTACAAATTATAATAAATATTAGAATCTTTTTAATAAAGATAGATGATTTATTGATATTGATCACTTTTAAAATTAATTAATTAATTTATTTGTATTCAATAATTTTTAGTGAAATAACTGAATCAATTAAAAAACTCAATAAACGTGCATGATTATAATTTTTACTTAAATAACAATTTAAAATTACTAATTTTGTCTGTTGGTAATTTTTATATAAGTCAAATATTTTAATTTTAATTTTAAGATAAAATACTTATTGAAATATTTTGAAATATCACTTTTACAATTTATGTTTTTATTTATGATTTACATAAATTGATATAATTAAAAAAGCAATCAATTCTGACAAAAAGTATTGTTTTGTTAATTTTGATATTTTCTATTTAAACAATTTTTAATTTATAATAATTATATTATTTAAATCTCAAAAAAATGTGATTACCAAATGTCTAAAGAAAAAACGCATTTAAAAGTAAGATATAATTAAATAAAAAGATAAGAAGTAATTAAATAATAGTTAATTATTGTAATAGTAAAATTTTTTTACAATTTTATAAATTTACTTAAAATCTAATCAAACAGTTAAAATAAATATGTATAAATAAAGTATAAAATACTGTAAAATTCTTTGATTTTAAATATTAATTTTTATTAAAGTGACACCAAATTTATTCTATAGCTTATTTTTAACTAAAGTTAATTATTTATAAAAATTTATTTAATTATATATTAGGAAGTACTCTTATATATTTTAGTATTAATTATTTGTTTGCAATAATAATGTTTATGGCTAGTTTGTTAATTAGTTAGTAGTTGAGATAGCTAGATTCATTTTTTAAGGAAATTGATTTTGAAGTAAGTTTATTTCAAAGTTATGTTTGAGTGTATACTCTGTGATTAAGCTCATTCTAGTATTCATCGAAATTTAAATTGTTGTTGCTGTTGAAATGTTCATACCACTCATTTTTCATGTCTTCTTACACATATTTTATGAGTTACTATTAAAATAATTCAATATAAAACAAAGATATAACTTAATTTTGTATTACTTGCTTATTATTTATGCTTAATAATGTCTTTTCAAATGCCTTTATTATCACTAGATAAACTGAGTAAAAAATTTCTTCTCCATCTAAAAATTAACGAAAAATTAAATTAGTTGTTAAAATTAGAATTAAAAAATTGCTACCTAGAAGAAACATATCAAACATCTTTTCTCCAAGAGATCTATTTATATTTTTTTGAAATATAGTTAACAAGTCTTACTCAAACAGCTATTAATAAGAAACCTTTTATTGGAATAATTAAATTTTAGAAAAAATCTAGCAAACAAACAAACAAAAAAATTAAGTGATTTTTATATTAGTAATATATACTAATATAAAAATTCCTTATTTTAAAAAAAGTAATTTAATTAATATATTACACCAAGATTTAATATATGTTTATTTAGAACGGGCAAATACTACTGCATTTTATTTTCTATATTTTTTGAAACTATTGATAATCCAGGTTATCCATCTATAAACATAATCCTCCACTGCTTTTGGTACATTATGTGCACAAAAATCCAAAATGCTTTTTTTTCAAAATTTTTATCAAGGCCGAAGTAAATATCTTAAAATTCCTTGTCATTATCTGAATGCAAATAATATACAATAGCCAGTACAATAAAGCTCATGTTCTGCACATAACCAACTTCTTTATCAAAGTGAGCATAAGCTCTACAAATTTTTTTTGTTATTGTTAATAAGTCACTCATCTTGTTTGAAATAAAAATAAATAGTTTTAATTTGATTCATAATATTTATTTTTTATTTAAAAAATTGAATTATTTAAACAGAAAATAATTTTTAAATTTGATTTCAAAATATTTTTTGTAAATCATTTTTATTTTTAAAACAAATTAATTTATTTTAACTTAATTTAATTTAATGTTTTATAAGTCAATTTTTAATAAAATTTAATTTAAAATATTTACTATGTTTTAAATTTATTGTGGGTTTCTATTCTAGCCTTTCATGATTATAAAATTTTGTGCCAAATCACAGTTTATTTCTTTTTCATATTTGCAATGAGTCTTAAACGAAATATCTTTTATTTAAGAATTAAATTGAATTTATTCCATGTAATCCACATTTGCTAAAATAGGCCACAGTCTTATTCGACTATATTAAAAAAATATTTTTAAACAAAAATTAAAATTAAATAAAATTAGTTTTCTAATTCTACAAATTATATTAATTACTTTGAGTAGCTGATTCCTTTAAATAACGAATTACTCAGCTTATAAATGAATTTTTATTCTATTTTATTTTTTTAGAAAATATCCTCCCATTCTTCTTAAGTGAGCTCCTAAGAAGTTGAATCGTTTTCATCAATTTAGTCTAAAATTGCAAAATCTTGAAACTATCGTTCAATAAGAAGACACTTAGGTCCCATTTTGTCTTTGTTTTAATTAATATTTAAGTTCTTAATAGATGGCTTATCATCACTTTTCTAAAGAATGTAACAACTATTTTTCCTACTCGAATTAGTGCTAATATATCCATCATAATAAAACTCACTCGAATCGCATAAATTATTAGAATCATTTTCACACCCTATAAAACTAAAATCTGCCACATCTTCAGAATATTTTCTTAGCTTATTACTGTATTTTCTCTAGCCAGGAAACATTATTAAAACCGTATTAAAAAATTATAAAGATATCTAACAAGTATTTTAGGTTTACGATGTATTAATCAAATTTTAAATACTTAATTATACAGTATATTTATTTCCCTTTTAAATTTAAGCTTAGTTTTAGGAGACACTTTACTCAAAGTATTTATTTTTAATGCTGATGTTTTAGACTTTATTTTGAAAAAACTATTTAAAGAATATTATATGCAAATATCAAATTAATTAATGCTTTTTTATTTTTACTTAAATGTTTCTATCAAAATTGCTTAGAAGAAATAAATCAAGATAGTAAGTCAGGGGAATAGAAATAATGTCTATATTAATTAATATATATCTGTCTTATTAAATCATCATCATCAACTCCAACAACCAAGCACATATTTTCCTATTATCATCATAGCAAAAAATATTAACAATGAATTAGACCATCAATTTTCTTTAATTACTGAAGTAAAATTCTAGTTTTGAATACTTAAATAGTAATGCAGATCATAGTATACAAAAAGAAATCATTAATTTGTTGAAACTCACTTAAATACTTTCTATTTCATTTAATTTTTAAAAAATTTGATTCAAAAAATACTTGATATTTTAGAATATTTTTATCAATAAATCCTGATTAAAAATATTCAATTTTCCTAATAACATTCCCAAAAAAATTTCATACTTTGATCTTAAAAAAATTACAAAATATGTTAATTTTTTTTTTAATTAAGAATTAAATAAATTAATAATTTTCTAAGGAGTAGTAAAATTTATTTGATTTAAATGTATGTTAAAAAAAACTAATAATTTTTAAATAAATCTATATCAACTAAAAAAACAGAAATTTTATTTTGAAAAGCTTTGCTAAATATATAATTTTATGAAGAAGAATTACTTAATCAATAAACAAATATTTAATTATAAATTAGAGTAAAAATAAAATTTTTGATTTATTTATTGTTTTGATATTTAAAAGCCTTTTAGAATATTGAAATAATTAATTAGAATATCAGTTTAAATTATTGCTATTGTTATTATTATTGCTATTATTATTTGAAGGATTATGTGGTTAGTTAAAGAATTAATTTTAATTCAAAGGGATGACATTATTATTATTTGGATTTATTTATAATTAAGGGTTATTCTAAAAACCAAACATATTTTAAGGATTTTATTAATACATCTAGATGTTTTGTTATTAAATTATTTAATTATTAATTTAAATTTAATTTTATTATTGTTATTATTAATTGATATTAATGTTATTAGTATTAGCAACTTATTGTTTACTAACATTTGCTTAAATTAAATTTTATTGTAAATTTGGTATTTGATTTTATTACTGGTATTGCATAAACATTTATTGTTAATTTAAATTCAGTCCTATTTATTCAATGGGTATATAGCTGTTGGAAATTATCTAATCCTAGTTTGAATTGTTTTGCTAAACTCCAAGAGGAATTTAGTTTATCAAATTTCCATTTATATTTTAATTGTTGCCTTGCTAAATTTACTATTAAATTTTATAAAGTTGCATCTATTACTGGCTTAATTAATCTTGCTATTATTTATATGCCTTATTTTCTAGGATCTAAGCAGGTATCTAGCCTTAAATTGCCTAATAATTGCTTTAATTGCAATTTTACTTAGATTCATGATATAGATCAAGTAGATTTTAAGATATTTCTTCTAAGATTATAATCTCTAACTCAGAGGATTTCTCAATAATGTAATGTAACTTTTTATTTAAATCGTGCTTTTCAACAATATAGCAAATCGATTATGGTGTACTTCTCATTAAAATGCAATGTAAAAATTCCAAAATTTTTTTCTTTATTTAAGGAGTATTTGTGTTCTACACATTGCTATCATCAAAATCGGTCAAAAGATCACAAAGACTTTCTATAAATTACTCTTAGCAAGCCATCACTTATGCTATTTTGTCAGAAAGACTTATGATTCGATATATGATTGGTATAATTTGCAATAGAGATATCTTTTTAATGTAAATAAAATTAATTTTTAAACAATAAATTTTTATTATTTTTAAATATTTACATTGTTGTCGGCAGATGGTATGAAGAACTTCAAGTTTTCTAAAAAGAAAGACTCTATTTATTCTAAATCTATTACAAGCCAAGAAGCTAAAGTATCTAAAATTTTGAATGAGAATTGCTTAAAGCAATCTTCCGATATTTAAAGGAAGCACAAAAATATATGAGGCCCACCATGTTCCATTAGCTTTTTTCTTGTTAGAGGAGAGGTCTTAACAAATTAGCATAAAATTGATAGTGAAATTTTCCTCAAGCTAAATGACATTGCGCTATTGCTAGTTATTGATATTAGAATAGGAAGAGCACCTGTCAAAACTAGATGCTCCTATCTAGGATGACTTAAGTTTTGGAAATAATTAATAATTTTTAACAAATCATCTAAGAAAACTTCATCTATTTTTTATTTTCTGCTTTCTATATCTAAGAGATTTAAAACTCTTTTTATTAAACCAAAATTTTCAAGCTTATTTAAAAGAGTGTGCTCATTAGATAGGTGTCTAAATATCAAAATTATTTTTTACAAAAACTAATTAAAAATTGGATCTTCCTCTTGCTAGAAGAGAGTATCTATGATTTCTATAAGAATTTACACTGTTTCATCTTAGCAAATATTTATTTTCATCTGCTTATCTTCACACTTGGCAAATAGCAAGAGGATGTCTAAACACTTTTAAATTAATTTTAAATCTGCAGCTTAATCTTACGATTCTCTTTAAACAAACTCTTCTACTAAGCCAAAAAATATGAGCACCAATTTTTAGCAAATATCATATTTAAACAACATCCTACACAGATTTTGATAGCTCAAAAATTGAACTTCTGAAAGCATAAGTAGCATATCAACTCTTTTTTATTTTAACATAAATATTTATTTATTAATAATTTTTATGTTTATTTTTTTACCCTATTTGAATGATTTCTTTGTTTTTACTGACATCTACATCTAATAAATCAACTAGAGCAGAGCTTCCTCCACATGCAACAAATATCTAAAGAGTAGACGGACTAGTAAATAGCTAAGCTATAAAACAAGATACCTCGAACCGAATTTCTTTTGGGTAGAAATCACTAGTGAATTTTAAAATTTAAGGTACAACTCCTTTTAAAATAAAATTAGAAATTATTGTTTATCTGTCAATTATTAACTTATTTATATACCAAACAAACAAGCAGTTTCTAAGTAATACATTTCATTCTCAACAATTTGATTCAGGAAAGACAAAACTTGCTAAATAATAGTAAAGTTAGTTGAAAATTTATCAAGTAGGTCTAAGAACAAGGAAAGACCTGACTGCTTAATGAAGTAGCTTTTAGCTTTAGGAAATCTAGATATTATATCACTTAAATAGTTCATATATTCTTCGACCTTCTTTGGTTCTCTAGTTTTTTATAGCCCATTGACAATTTCTTAGGTGTCCTAGTACATCTATTTTATCATTTTTGTTATTCTATTTTCTTTTTTGAATTTCAATAAAATAATTTACCTTTTATTCTTTTTTACTGTTGAGTGTTCCGTTATTTTTCTTTTTCAAATTGTAGTTTCTTAGTGAATCTAAGGGTTTATTATTGTCTACTATAGAACCAGCAAAGCTACCTATTTCATCTATCGTCTAGTTTGCAGTTTGATTTCTGCAAGTATTTGGTTCATTTAGTCGAAGACCTATTAATCTCTTTTCTTATTATGCAAGTTAGATGTTCTTAAGGCTTGATATGGATTAATTGATGGAATTTTATAAAGTTGAATTATAATTAGCATGTATTTATTGTGTATCTTTTATATCTTTATCATTTTCTTTATTGCTAATGTAATTTTATTCTTGCAATAAATGTTTTTCTAAATGATTTTGGTTATTATCCTACTTTGATGCTGATTGTTTGCTATTAGAATTCATATCTAATTCATGCTAACTTTCATTTATATGATTTCTGATAGAGTTTAAAACTTCTTCTGGTAGTTCTGGGTTTGGAGAATTAATGATTTGAAGTACTTCTGTTTCAATATTTATTTTTAGCCACTCGTGATTAAGCAAACCTGTTTAAGTAGTTTAAATTATATTTTTTATTGTATGTATAAAACGTTTGTTATACTTTTTGCATCCATTCTTTAAGAAGGTTCTTTATTGAAGCATTGCATCAAAAAATCTAAACATTATGGAGTTACATCTTTTGGAAGAGGAGGATGCTAGTCAGATACCATTCTGAATAGAGCATGATGTGGATTTCCATAACTATAAGGAGGATTTCCTGTAAGAAGCTCAATTATGGTGCATCCTAGCGACCATATGTCACAACTTGTAGAAATGTGTCCATCAGAATCTTATAAAAATTTTAAATAAAATTTATAAGGTATATTTATTATTGGCTAGTTAGAAAAAAATATATAAATACCAATAATAACTTCAGGAGCCATCCAATAAGGAGTTCCTACACATTAAGTACTGCTTTTGTCGTCATCGGCTAAGTGAGTGGCAACTCCAAAATCAGTTAACTTTATCACACCGCTCTTATTATTTTTAGTTGTTAGTATATTAGCTCCTTTTATATCTCTATGTACAATACCTTACCTATGCAAATATTCCAATCCCCTTAAAACCTTAATTTAGAAAAATTTAAATTGAAATTGTTGAATGGAGGTAAAAATAATAATTTTAAGAGTTTATCTTTTTTTTTAGTAATTTTCTTTTGATTGAAAGTTCATACATTTTAACTTAAATTTTAGATTTATTGAAACAATTTATGAATGAATTAATTTTAAGTCTACTTACTTATTTGATGAAAATGATTACAAGAGATTCTTAAAAAGGTCCAAATTTTTTAATTATTCCATACAAAGAGCCTGATTCAATGTATTCTAAAATAATTGCATAGTGATTTTCAGTTTGAATAAAATCAATATATGTAACAATATTTTCGTGCTTAAGCTTCTTCAGTAAGTGCATTTCTTTTTTAATAGATTTTATGTTTTCTTTCTTAATATTTACTGTAGAAACAAGTTTTATGGCAACAACCTAGCCTGTTTCTATATGCTCCCCTTTATAAACTGTTCCCGATGCTCCTTGACCAAGCTTAACACCTACTTTATAATTCCCTACCATTTAAGGCTTATCCTAAATGACCCTTCTCAACATTTGATTGGGATATTTTTGCTAAGATTATTGAATATTTAATTTATTACAATATAAATTTATTACTCTCTCTTTCTCTTTATTTTTTTCAAAAATTTAATTAGATTCGAAATTTTGATATTAAGTTAATAACAACCATTGCCAATTTAATTATTTAATAATTTTTTGCTAATTTTTGATAAAGTTATGGTTTAATCAGGACATATTAGACATGTAATGTGCACTTGTAAAATCTATCAAGAGAAAATGTTATAATTGATAATAATTAAGCAAATGTATTTATGAAATTTATTTAATTTTATGCAAAACGAAATTAATAATTATTGATTAAGATTTCTTAATTATTATGAATCGAACAAGAGCTATCTACTTGAATTATTCATGAATCAAACCTTATTCGCATTATATGCTTTTTGTAAAAGGAGAAATGATTAGTTATTAATATATGTTATAATATATTATAATTCAATAATAATTTAAAAGATTAAGCAAAAGCACCAATTCAAATAAGATTTGAAAGCACAACTCTTAGGTTATTTATAGATCGTTCATTCATCTTGCAGACAAAATTTACGTAGAATTAATTTCTTTATTTGTATAAAAACTGAAGTAACTCTTTAATAACATAAACTAAAACCTTTTAAAAAAGTAGAGTAAAATTATAGGTGAACTTATTAATTTTTTGACTTAGAAATAAATAAATCAAAATAAAAACTAAAGACTGATGACAGATCAAAAAGATTTAAACCTCGCTATTATGATCAGTGCAAGCGTAGTTTGCCCATTTTATTACATTTAGATGATAACTCTCCTTATTTAGCTATATAAAAGTAAAATACTAAACAAAATTCATCTTTTTGCTTTGAAAAATTTACAATTTTCTTAAAACATAATAAATAGTCATCAAAATGAACACGATCAAAAAGCAATTCTTTATTCTTTTTTACGTTATTCTCATTACAATCACCCTCTGTAAGCAACATTTTATGATTTAGTTCATAGCATTTAAAAATATTTTCAATATTCAGTTAATATTTTTATCTAATTTTTTCAAATACTTTCTTTCAAATAAGATAGTCGTTAAATTTTGGAAGGAATTATTTAGTAAAATATTTTAACAAATAACTTCAACAGGTTCGCTCGTTTAAGTTACAATATAAATTTTCAAAGAAGCTGAGGATGTTGTAAATAAGAAACTAATAGAATAAATCACTGTTAACTTCTGCGATACCTTTAAAGTCTTAGCATTTTCTGTTTCAATATTAATGCTGTGTTACAAATGGTAGGATTTTAACAATCCAAAAACAAATATTCTTACTTTCTATAAATATTGACAAAAAAATTATTTTATTTAGGTATGAACTTTATCTTAATTATTTCTATTCTGTGAGAACTGCTAAAAATTAGATTAGACGCTATAAAATTTGCGCTACTATCTATGTTATTACTTCTCTCACAGCTTATATACTTAGTATAATATATACTGGTGTTAAAAATGACTATGAGGGATTCAACTACAATGAAGATTTGATGTAAATAATTTTTATTTTTTATTTTAATCATTCTATTTAAATCTTAATTATATAGTTTGCCATCTAGTTTGGTGTGCTTTAATTTGCTAATCTGTATTATATTGAGTGTTATTTATAGCCAAAAACTAAATAAAACTATAAATAATTTAGAAAAAGAGCTGGGCACAATATTGAAAAAGAAAAGAGTAATCAATCTATTATATTCATTAATCAATTAATATTTTTTTGTAATATGCTTCTAAATTTATTTAAATTATTTTATTCAAAAGTACCTTATTTGCTTTTATATGATATTTATTTTAAACTTCCTTAAAATAACTCTTTTGTTAACACAAATACTCTATTACTACTTCTCTGGAGAACCATTTAAAATGAAATTTTTGACAAGCATTGGATATGTGTATTACTTACTTTCTAATTATTTTTAAAAAATAAATGCTTTATTTATCTTTTTTAAATAAAGAATTGCTTATTTAGTGTCTACAGAAATTATTTTAAATTTCCTTCCAGTGTGTTTGATGGCTTTCTTTATCATTCCTTATAGGTATGTTAGCTTTTCAAAAAGATATTTTATATTTATTTGCTAAACAATTTAAAGTTCAAAATCAGAAAAAAAATATAACGAAATGCTGCAAAGCTCAAGTGTTGGAAAAATTAGTTAATCTTTGGTGGACGAAAACAAATCAACTATTTTGGTATAAAGTCAAGCATAAGAATGATTGATTTTAAATTACTATTTTCACTAAAAATAAAACAAAATATAATTAAAAATTTAAAAAAAATCAAGTTTATAAATTTATTAAAGTTAATTTTTATATATTATTTTATCGAATATCTTTATTTATGTGTATGTAATAAATATTAGTTCAAAAAGAAAAAAATTATTTCCAAGAGTAAAGATAAAATTAAAATCAATTTTATTAATTCAAAAAAAATTATAAAATCCTAATAATATTTAATCCAAAAACAAATAAAGATCAATTTACTTAAAATGCTTGATTTCATGTTTTGTAAATTCAAAAGGTAAAAATATTTTTTTATAATTCAACCATGATTTTATGATTTTGATCAATCTAAAAAAAAACAATTTATAATAAAATTCTATTATTAAACAAATAATTTATAGTTTAAGACTTAAAAAAAACGAATATATTCATTTGTCAAATGCGCTTGTTTTGATTATATAAATTTCAAAATTTTAATAATAATTAAATCAAAAATTTGCGCCAAATCCTTTAAAAGTTTATATAAAAAATTAATTTATCTATGGCAACTCAAGTAGTGACAATAAAGGAACTAAAAATTTTAGAAAGTAACTTGGAAAAAGATTTGGATTAATTTTTGAAAGAATTTTCTTCTTTTGTGGATGATATAATTAAGGTATTGTATTGCTTCTTTCTTTATAAGTATTTTTAATTATTACTATACTAATTCTACTATTTTAGCATAATTAAACATTTATATATAAAGAAAGAAGATAAAAATGTCTAAGAGTTTTATGAAAAAAATACAGAATTTCAAAGTAAAATTCATTTATCTTAGAAATATCAAATTATAAATATATTTTACACTTTTTGCAAAAGAATCCTTACAGCCCATACAAGATAAAAATATAGAATATCAGAAATAAACTTAACAATTACTTGGATTAAATGAAGAATTGAAAGAGAGCTTCAACTTGCTTTAAAATTAAGAAAACAATATCTTAATGAATGAGCTTCATGTTAATTTATGCTAAGAAGAAAGCGCTCTATAACAAAAAATAGAAAAAGAAAATAATTAAATCGATATTCTTAAAAAAAGTAATTTAAAAGGATTTTAAATGATTTTTTATCATTTTATTAATAATACATTTTTAGGCATAAATGATTAAACTAAGAGAGTGGAGGAGTTTGTTTAATAACTTAAAAATTTTGCAGAACCTTATAATAAATATTTTGGATTAGAGATAAAAAATCCTGAGGCATCTACGCTTCAAATAATTATTACTAGTGATAAAATAGTTAATGAGCTAATTATCTAATTTAATTAAAATGAAATTTTGAGTAAACTTAACTAGATAGATTTAAGCTTAAATAACTTTAATTTTTTAGTTAAAAAAAATAGTTTTGGAAGGACTGTGGATGAGTATATAGAAAGATATTTAGTATGTAGAGATATATCAGGATTAGTTTAGCAGCTTTGGAAATTATCTTCAAAAAACTAAATGGAAGTTATTAATTGAAAAATGTTAAGTTTTATATTAGAATTGCATTAAAATTGTAAAATTGTTATTTTACTAAATTTTAAATAAATAAAAATTGTTTGAGTTCTTTTATTAATTCTGTTATTAATTAAATTAATAATTATAATAATATATATACTTTTATTATAATTTTAAATACAATTGAAAAAAAATGCTAATTATTGTTCCAAAGTACTTCTTTATTATTTCTTTTTTACAGAAAATATTCCAAATTAGAAGTTAATTTATTCGTAATTACTATTTCAGTTATGTAAAATTTAAGTAATCACTAAATAAATTAGTTCAGCATAGCGAATTGTTTTTGATCAACAATAGCTTAATTTTGCAATACTTTTATATTAGAAGTCTTAAAGGCGAATTCAATTTAGTTTAAAATTTTAATAATTAATTAATTGATCTAACTAAATAAAAATAAATTAAAAAGAAAATTCAAAACAAAAGTAAAATTATGTAAGAATTTTTTAAGGATTTTGATGTATTTTCTCAGTCCTTCTCCTTTAATACCGGCAAGAGGAAAATGAAGAAAAGAACTTTGACTGGAGCTTTTCTTTCAGTATCGATAATTGGAATAGTTTTATTTTATTTTGTGCATTTAGTGTACTAATATTTTAACAACTAAATCGATCCTAAATTTAGATCGTAAAGCTTTGTAACAAGCGAATAGATAAATGTTGCTTTGCAATCAAAATTAATTGCGTTTTAATTCTTTCAAGGATTATAAAATTTAGATTTTTAGCAGAAGAAGTAAAATAAAACTTATATAGTTGCTTTTGCAGAATTTAATTACATAGGTTTAGGATAATTTTATACATAAAATTTAAATATTATTGATTGCAGCAACCCTTAACTTATTGGATATAAATGCATTGATTTTTCTAGTGTTCCTTCTAACTTTTCACTTTCATTGGACAATATAAATTAAATAGCTTCTTCAATAAGAATTTCGACTTACAGGTGCTAAGATGTAGACAGTCGTAAAACTTATGTACCTAATAATTGTGCTAGTCCTGAGGAAATAGATAATTTTATCAATAACCTAAATAATTATTTGCATGTAAAACTTTTAGCATCATAGTTTAACATTACATCCAATCAGTTCGAAGATTATTATAAAAGTCAGCACATCCTAATGTCAACAGATTAAATCATATTCACTGAATTCAAAGCTTAGCAATAAATTACTAAAGTAAAATAGGGCTCATTTGTACAACAAGAAACTTAATATCTATCTCCTATATCTTATATTATAAATACAGAAACTTATTAGTCTTAAACTGTTTAAAAACAAACTTAACTTAAATATTTTGCTTAATTCTTTTTGGATATTGATGAGACTATAATTCAAACTTAAATTTAATATCCAATTTTTCCAGAAATTTTAGCCTTATGTAATAGTACGTTTGCTTTATTAATGTGCTTAGGTTTTATTGGTAGATATTTGGCCTAGTAATTGATTAGATAAGAACTTTTTATCATTACTTTATAGAATTAATTTTAAGGAACTTATCATAAAATATTGAAATAAAATAATATTTTATTAAATAAAAAAATTGATCTAAATGAAAAAGATTAAGATTGCAATTAAGGAAATGCTGAAGAAAAATATGTAACAGATATGGTATTTATACCTTCAATTCCTACGAAGCCTTGCGAGAATGTTCTTAAAAATATTTGTAATTCCTCCATAACAAACGATAATTTAGCTCCATTCTAAAAAAAATTTAAATTTCAACAAATTAAAACTTTTTCATAAGTATAAGCAAATCAACATTAAGATCTTTAGCAATATGAACAAATAATTTCAACTACAAACAGAAGTGATATAAATAAACAATAAATTAAATATAATGAAAAAGATCAAATGACTGCTATTAAAGAAAAGCTAAGGCTCTTCAACACAAAAGAATGCAATGCCATTGAAATCAATTCTTTAATTACTTCATCATAAGATATGTGTGAATAAACATAAAAACCTTTAAATTAGAATTAAATTTAATATAGTCAAAAAAATATTATCCCAAATGTCAGATGTTCAAATATAAATTAACCAACCAAAATGGAACAAAATTGTGATTAAATATCCAAAATCAACAGCAACAAATAACTATCAAGCAAACTAGCGGATTTATTATTCAAATTTAAGTAATTTTATTCATTTTTTATTTAAAACACAAAGTCAACGGAAAAAAATTTATCTTAAATTCTAAAAGCTTATTTTTCTGATAATTTTTGTTTTTGGTGATTATTTATTATTTTTGATAATTACTTTAGGATAAGGCGAAGAAGTGAATATGAAGTTAAATTAGGCTTAAATCAAAAAACCAAACAACTTATAGAAGAATAAATAGATAAGAATTCTGATTTTTCAAAGCTTTATGAGGAAATAATATTTTTGAAAAAAGCAATAATGATACTTTTGACTAAAGAACAATTTGCTGCTCTAAAATATGTTGGTTGTTCTGATTCATTTTTACTTTCAGATTCAGTTATAAAAAGTTCAAAAAAGAGTAAAATTATTAATTAATTATTCAGTAATATTCATTCAATAAAGTTATTTAACCTTAATTTCAAAATAATTAATTTAGTCAATTACTTCGAAGAATAATTTGCCATTTCATTATTGAAAGAGCAGCAATCAAAATATTTTAAATAATTTATTTTAAAATGCTCTAATAACAATACTAAAGATTTAACTCTAGTAGATTAAAGAATATATTCATCAATTGTTTGAAGTTGCTTCAATATTTAAATTAAAATATTTTTTTATATTTGTATGCTTTACTTAAATTTTAATTTATCTATAAACTGTTTTTTACAATTGTTTTACTTGATTACAAGTGTCTTTATTTTATTAACTTGTTTCAATAATTTTGATAATTTTTAATTAGTTTAACTTTATTAAGAAGATAAAATATAAAAATACAATATATCTTTTGCAAAATTTTTTTAAATAGTAATTATATTCTTTCAAAAATGCATTTTGATGAATAAAATGAATTTTAATAAATTAGAATATTTCTTTAAAAATTTGAATGGGATATAAAAATCAAAATTCTAAATAAATTTCTAAAATTTTAAAGAAAAAAGTCTTTAATTATTATTAAATTTGTTTGATTCTTATTTTTAATAAAGAAACTTTATGTTTTTTAAATATAAATATTTAGTTTTAGTGAACTAATTAATAATTTTTTTAGAAATAAAATTAATCTTTTTAATTTATTGATAATATGTGTAAAAAGCAAAAATAAAAAATATGATTTTTTTTTTTAAATTAAAACAAATAATTGAGCAAATTAATTTAGAATTCAAATTAGTTAACTTTAAAAAATAAAATCCATAATTTATGATATAGAAGTTAGTTAGTGATAATAATATTATAAATAATTATTTCAAGTATAAAACAGTTTTAAATTTAATTCTATCTTAATTAAATATTGTATTATTTCAATTATTTAATTTTACATAATCAGATATTGATTCATTTTGGTATATTAGGAAAATATTTTGACATATTATTAGTTACAGTTTTTTCCTTGCAATATGTTTTAAAAAGCATCTAAAATGATAAATTATTGGGTAGTTTTTGTATATTTTTTTTACTACCTGCCATTTACTAAATTTTAGATTGATTGAAAATAATTGAGTTTGTTGATTTATCATAGAATGTGCTGCTTTTAGAGTTATACTTTTCGCTTTCATTAATACTAAACCTCTATTCATTTATTTATTATTTATTACTGATATTTGATTTTGGTGAAGACTACTGGCTTGTAAAAAAAGCATCTAAAGGATTTCTTTAGAAAGGATTATTTTTTGCTTTAATATCTATACTGTTACTATTAGAATATACTCGGTTACTATTAATATTTAGGGATAGAGGTACTAGTAAACGATTTTAAATAGAGCATTTATACTTAGCCTTGAGATAAAAATGATTATCTTTAATTTCATTTAATTCTATTTTTTAGGGTTAATTAATTTTCTAGTTATGAAATTTTCTCATATTAATATCTTTTTCCTCATTTTCAGAAAAATTAGATGATCCAGATGAACTGCTAGAATGGTCAGTATTTTATTAATCTTTTTCTTATAAATAAATAATTAATTACTTAACATTTAAAATGCTTATTAGATTGCAAATTTGTTTAATTCTTTCAAATGCTTATAATTTTGAAGATTGAAATAATAATAAAAATTTTATTTACTTAAAGGAGCTAAAGTTTTTAAGACATTCTTCTTTTCCCTTACAATTCTTAAAATAGAATTAACGCCATCATATAATATATTTTCTTGTGAGGTTGATCTCTTCATTGCAGGATGTTTAGTATTAACTTTAAATATAATTTTATTTACAATTTAACTTTTTAAGTAAAAAAAATACGCTTATCTATTCTACTGATCACCTAAGAATTCTGAAGAGTTAATTTTACTGTTGGATATCTTTCGTTTGATACATTTCTATAAAGGTGTTATGGAAATTATTTTTTTTAAGCACTTTAAATCTTATCCAATCTACTTAGTTCTAAATCTGCTTTAGTTTTCTCGTTTTCTTTTATTTATTCTTTCAATTTTTCTTTAGCCTTTTTATACTATGACATCATTTACTTAAGTTATGATCTCTATTCTTCCATTTAAACATCTTCAGATATTAACTTATTAACATGTTTTTTAATTAAAGGCATTAAAGCTAGTTAAATCAATTTTATTTTTTTTAGGGGTTTGGATATTTCAGTTTTTCTGACTAATTGTTTTATTTTTTTTTCAGTCAAATTTTTATTCTTGCTTTCGTGATTTAAAGCTTATGCATTTTTTATGAAAGTGATATATTCCTCTGCTTATTTATTTTATTCTAATGTTCTATTTAAATATTATTTAAAAAATGTAAATAAATCATTTAACTTAACTTAATAATTTTACTCAGGAAATTCAAAAAAGTTAGATTATCTTTCATTAAATTCTTTTTATTAATCGGAATTTAAATATTAATGAATCTTCTTGCTTGCATTGTTAATTTGAGTCTGAATAAACTTATTGTTGCAGTGAATATTCTTGAATGTTTATTGCTCTTATCTTTTCTAAGACTGTGAAGGAGAGTTCACCTTTTATTCCTTCTCATTTATTTTTGAAGAGTTTACATTACTAACTTTTGTTATAAAAATAGTTATTTTATTTTTATTTTTTCACATTTTTTAAACAGATTTTTTCAAAAATAATAAGAATTAAATATTTAATTTTTTGAAATATTAAAGATTGAATGGCTATTTTCGAAATCTTTTTTAATTAATGAGTAAGAAAATTATATTTTTTATATTACCCAACTGCTTAAACTATTTATGATATTTTAGCTATTTATCAAATAAAGAAAATTTTTTTATTTCAAGTTAAACCTATTCACTTTTAAATAGAATTATAAAGAATTTAAATGCTTTTTATTTAAAAAATTTGTTTATTTGATAGAGCTTTTATTCTCCAAATTTTTTGAATAATTAAGTCAGTCAGTCATTAAATAAATAAGTAATCAAGTTAGTTAGTTAATTAGTAAGTAAATAATTATGTAGATAGTAATAAAATTAGAAAGTTATAATCAAATTATTTTGCTGCAAATCAAAAAAAAATTCAATTTTAAAGTGTAAGATAAATCTTTTTTAAATGTTTCCAAAAATATAGCTTTATATGATGAAAGGAAATATTTAATGAAGCAATAAATTATTTACTTTTTCTTTTTTGGATTTAAATAGAGTAAAAAAGTTCCTTTAAGGTTTGTATGATTAACTTTATGTGTGAGATACATTCTTAGTGAGCAAAGTTTTTGAGAAGATAGAAATTTTCAATAATTTTCTCATTTAGTTTTAATTTATTAACTTTCTCTTTTTAATCTTACATATAAAATGTTAAATCATGCTAATTATTCTATTAATTTTTTTTATTTTGAAAATATTTAAATTATTTTTCTCCTTGTATTTTATAGCTTGTTGACCTACTTCTAATTTCTATGTTTTCTTCCTAAATTTCTTCTATCTTATCTTAATACATATTTTATTTTATGCTCAATCTTCTTTTATTAGCTTAGTTTGTCAGTGATGAAGAAATAACCTTAAAATATTCAATAAGTTTTTCTTAATTTAAAAAATATCCCACAAACCTATCAGACTTAATTGTATTGTAGACCAACTATAGAGAATCAAGCTCAAAGAGTATGCTGGTATTATCTTAAGCTATTTCAGATAATTTTTGTAAGCTAACAATTTGATTCCATTCAGGCATATCAATTTCATATTTCAAATCATCAGGTAAAATCTAAACTTTGCTCTAAGGTGTAGTATTTTATTATGGCTAGTTTGGCTTGGGATAAATAAGAGTTTTATTTTTAGTATTACGCCTTGAAAATTTTTGATTTTTATCTTATTTTTATGGAGGTGAATCGTTTGGATCATCTAATTTTTTCCTATTTCTGTCAGTAGGAGTTGTGCATCTAACAGTTTATTTATTTTCTTATTCATTATTTTCGTTTTTTTTATTAAAGCTAAATGTACTTTTTTTATCTTCAGTGTTTAATTCAGTAAATAATGATTCTTTGTTTTATTAATTTTCTAGATTTTCAAATGCTTTTTTAATAGATTACCTTCTACTAAATTTACTTTATGTTAAATTTAAAAGCTAATTATTTTATTCTCCTTTGGGTAATCCTTTTATTAATCTCATTGAACTCTGAATATCAAACTGAGTAGAAATAGAAGAGCTTTTTAAGTTAATTAAATCCGAAATGAAGATTTGGTTGATTTTATTTTATCCAAACATTCCAAGCTTTTAATTATTTTATTCACTGTTTACTTAATTATACATATCATCTCCTTCGCTTCTGTAATTTGGAATAAATAATTTCATATGCTTTTTTCCTAAAATTTAAGAAAGATTTCTAAATTTAACCTAGACATGGTGTGGAACAAGCCCTGAATTGACAATCAAAAGCTTTGTGGTTTGACAAACTCTGTTAAAAAAAATAATTATTTTTAGGGATCAAATTAGAATTTAGAATATATCAAACAAACAAAAAAATGTATTTTTTACCTATAAGAATATTCATTTAAAAAGTAGTAAATTGACAACGCGAATCTTTCATAAATTTAATTCTTTTCTGCTATTCTAATCAGTTCACTTTGATAATTTTTTTGATTGAAATTAACTTCATTCACAGTTAAAAAATCATTATTTTTTTCTTATTACTTAGATTGCTCATATATATTTTATCTAGTTGGTTACTGATAATTATCATGTGGAGATGGAAGCTTAATTTAACTAAAAGATTATAGATCTAAGGTACTGTTGTCATATGCTACGTTTTACTGCTTCAACTTAATAATACCTGAATCCATAGATACTTATTAGCTGTCAATAATTTATTACATATTTTGAATAGCTTCTAATCTGATCAAATCTTCTTGCTTTTATCTTTGAAGCTCTTTATTTAAAAACTCTACTATATGCTTCTTTTTGTAAACCTAAAATATTTTTTGAAAATATTAACTCATTAAATTATAAACATTTTTACTAAATTCTTTAAAGTATTTTAAATTAAATTGCAAATAATTTATTATTAATCTTGCTTGTTAGTTTAAATTTTGAGATTATCAAATTTAATTAAATTTATAAACTTATTTTTTATTTATTATAATATTGAAAAATAACGAAATTTTTTAAATAAATATTTTTGATTGGCTGGGTTTTATTAAATATTATAATGAATGAATTAAGAAATTACATTGTTGCTTAATATCTCGTATTAAGAATTCAAAGACCTATTTTGTATAAATATTCTATTATAGACATTTATTGCTTATTTTGAAAAAGCTTCTAGGTCGTTGTCTACTAATGACTCAAATTCTTTAATTACTTATTGTAAATTAGCATTAGTCACGATTAATGGTTCACCTTAACTTTTAATAGCTTAAAAATCAAAAAAATCATCATATATAACTAAGGAGTTTTATTCTAATTTTTTATTAAGTTTAATATTGAACATATCATCTATTTCTGATTTAGATGACTCTCCTGAAAATATTTTTGAACAGCTGCTCGACTCATCTTCAGAGTCTAACTCTTAGAGTGATGGATTTTTTTTATTCAGATTATATTTTTTTTTTAAGATAGCATTGGACTATGGTATATCTTGCATAGAAATATTAAACCTTAAAGAACTTTACCTTTTTTTATAGGCTTTAATTTTTTTCATAGAAATGCTATTATGATTATCATTAATAGACTTTTTGCTCTTTTTTTTAATTAGCTTATGTATGGATGGATTTTTATTACCAAGTAATTTTGATTTTTTAGATTTTATTCTTTCTTAAAAATGTTTTGAGCTTTTAAATTCTTTTTATATTAGTTTAACAACTTAGTGTTCATTTAGTTTAGTATTCATAAAATATTAATGAATCTTAGAAAAACATTTCAAATATTAAAATAGTGTTAACTACTAATTTTATCTTTCTTTAAATTATTGTTCTTTCTAATCTAAATGCTCAATTTCCTTCATCAGCCTTTCATTTTATAATGTTTTTTGTTATATGACAAATCTCAATCTCAATATTTTTTCTTATTCCTTTTCTATTTCTTTTTTAATTAAATTTTGACTTGCTTCTTTATAGTCAATATTGTGTTTTTCAAGTTCAGCCATTTTTTTTTGTACTTTTTTCATTTTTTTTAGTTCACTTTCTGATTGATTCTAAATTTTTAAAATGAAAATAATTTAAAAATGATTTTTTAGTTTTAATTACCAAATTTTGAAGCAACTTAGGATTAATATTATCAAAATTTTCTAAGTTAATTTCAAAAAATCTTTATTCTTATTATAATTTATCTAATCTTTTCTCATTTGTTTTTAATGAATTATCTAGTCTTAAAAAATCTTTCTGATATGATTCTTGGATGCTTATTTCTCTCTCTTACAATATTTGAATTCTTTCTATGGACTACTTTAAATTTATTAACTGATCCTTTAATTCTTACTTGGTAGGTTTTATTTTTTCTTCTGGTTTTTCAACTTAAATGTATTTTTAATGACAATTATATTACTAATGTTTAATACTTCTACTAACATTCAATAAGCCTACTTCATTCAGATTCTGAAAAAGCGATTGTGAACTCTTATCTGAAAAAAGAAGAGATCCCAACGACTTGCTTTTATCAAAGTTAAAGCAAGAATCCTTTTCTTCATTTTCATCCTCTTGCAAATTTTTTAAATGGTCCAAATTCTATTACAATGATACCTTTTCTTACTCCTTATACTTATTTGCCATAATAAGGTCATCAAGAATGTTTTTAAGCTATATATTTAAATACAAAATTTACAGTCTTAATTTTATCTTATCATCTTACTTCTGAAGGTATGAATTCGCTTATTTTTCTCTACTGAGCAAGTATTTGTTATTGTTTATAAATATTTAAACTTTTGAACTCTATTATTTGATAATTTTCGAATTCTTATTTGAGTATGGGTGCTTAGAATTTTTTGTATCTTTTGAAATCTTCATCTTCTAAGCCATCTTAATTGCCCAAAAGAAATTTATAATTAAATGACTACCTTCTCCCAATACCATTTAAATTATTGATACTGAATTTAACCTTATTTTATACTTTATTTTATGTTTGATTCATTATATTTGCTTTAATTTTTTTTGCTAAATTGCTCTAATCAATAAGATAGTTTAATTAATTTATTCTACAAAAAGTGGGTCATATAAAATCTAATGTTAAAACTAACGGAATGCCAATTTTTTATGTACATTTAATTAAAAAGGATAATATAAAAATTCATTCAAAATAATTATGTTTAAAAGACATTAAAAAGAAAGAGAATTTTTATTATCAAATGTTGAAACATTAATATAGCGATATATGTGAGCTTTGGTAATTTTAATTACAATTTTTAGATGCGCAAGGAATAAAATTTAATTAATTTAATTTAAAGGTAATTTATGATTGATTATATATAATTAATTTTATCGCTTTTAAAAAGTAGAAACATAGAATTATATTAATTAATTATTTACTAAAAAAATATATATTTATTATATGTTAATTATATTTTGCCCTGTTTTTCAGCTAAGAAAATTGTTCAAACTGGCATTAATCCATCTCCAAGATCATCTGCACCCCAGTCATCTTCATTTTAGATTTATTGTTGCACTTATTGTTATGGTCTAGCTACAACTCCACGTCTATTTTAAATTATATTTTTAATTAAAATTTTAACTAATAAAAATGAATTGTTTGCTACCTTGTTTGAGAAGTTATGTCGATTTCTTAATTACCACTTTAGCCAGTACCATAAGGATCATATCCTCCATTATTTGGATCATAACCACCTTAAGGTTCCTTTTTAAGTTAAATAATTAAATTAAAAATTTAAAAAAAAAGTTTGTAAAAAATTACAATTTGATAGTTAACAGCATACTCTTCTGCCTCTAACTTTCTTAATTCTGATGCATATTGTTCATAGGGTAATCCCATTTCTTTGCATAATTAAGTGAGGAATTTAAGACCTTTTTTATTTAAATTACATTATAAATTTTTTTCTTTTTGAAAAAAAAATCATTATTTACATTCAACGTTACGAGGTTCATCTTGATATATTTCTTCGTATATTTTAAGAGCTTTTTGATATGAGCCCATTCTTCTGTAGCAAGAAGCAACCATCAATCTCCACTTAATTTCTTTAGGTTAAATTTATGAAGCTCTTTCAAAGAAGTGACAAGCTCTTTCATAATATTCTTATTTAACATAATAGATACCTAACCATCCAATAGTTTCAATATTTGTAGGTAAATATTTATATGATTCAGAGTAGTAATGGAGAGCTTGAGTTTCATCATCTTCCTGAATTGAATTAATGAATTTAAATTTTAAATTTATATTTTTCTTTAAATATATTGTAATTTACCCTAGCAAATATGTTACCAACACGGGCAAGGATATTGGGATCGGTAGGAACCTTGGTAAGTAAGACTTAGTACCATTTTAAAGCTTATTTAGTTTAGCCCATCAATTCATGAATACTGGCCATCTAATAAACAACTTCTGGTGTAGATATAATAGTTTATAGTTTTTCTAATGCCTATAATTTTTTTAATTCTTTTTAACAATAAATACAAATTTGTTAAGATTTACCTATAAAGCTTCATTGAACATGTTTAATTTTTTATTTACAAAAGCAAGATTGTAAAGGGCTTCAATGCAGTCGGCTTCAACACCAATAGCTTCTAAGTACTGCTCTTTTGAACGTAAAAATTCATTTTTAACGAGTAAACAGTTACCTCTATTGACTAAAGCTTTTGGATTAAATCTATCATAGTTAATAGCAACGTCAGCATATTTCTCTGCATTTTTGAAGTCATTTTCTAAGAAATAAAGGAAAGAAATGTTAGTAGCAACTCTACCCATCATAATTTTATCTTTTCTTTCAAAAGATTTTAGAGTTTCAATAGACTTGTCCATATTTTTAGATTTTAAATATGCCATAGCCTTGCAAATTTCTACTTCTGCTTAAACTTCAGGGAAATAAGACTCCTTTAAAGTTTCAATAATCCAATCATATCCATCAATAATGTCTTCTTCTATTACTGGAGCAATAAGTTTAGCACTTTTAACCAAGATGTCAATAGCTATTCTCTTTTTTTCCTTGATTTCTTCTCTCAAAGGATCATTGAAGGCAGATTCTTAATTCATTTCTTCTTCTTCATTTTCAGTGTAGCCAGGGATTTCAATTCCTAACATTGAAGAAAAACAATCCTTCATTCTTAGCTTATCACCTTAATCGTAAAGACAAAGAAGTAAATTAAATGCAGTCTAGAAATCAGGATTTCCTTTCATAATAGTCTCATAAGTGTTGATTGCATCCTTTTTTTAAATTAAAATTTTATATTTTTTCTAAAATTAAAGAAAAAAATTTTGTTTGAAATGGTTGAATTAATTAAATGTTTGTGTGTGTTTTTGCTTGTTAATTTAATATTAGTATCCTTTTTATCAATGAATGTTACAAAATTTATGAAATTAATAACTTGTTTGTTATTATTTAGCTAATTTTTCAAAAAAAAAAAATAATAAAAGTGGAAAATTGCATTAAAAAATTTTTTATTTATTTGATTTATTTTTGTGAAACTTAGTAATTTCAAATATTTGAAAAGCTTTGAAAGTATTTAAGATAATTTTTTCAGAATAAACAAAATATTTTAATTTACATCAAATTTTCCTTCCTTAACATATGCGTGTCCTATATTTTTAAGTACTTAGAAACGCATTTCTTTTGAAGTAGGAGGCAGCCAATCGTAGACCATTTTATACATTTTTATGGCAGCACTATATTTTTCCTACTAAAAGTATATATTACCCATATTTACTCTCAGTTTATATGCCTAAGGATAAATTTTACTCTTAATTATATCAGAATATTTTTGAAGTGCTTCTTAATAAATGCCATTTGCTTACAACTAGTTAGCAAGATTATAGGCAACAGTGAAACTTAATTCAATATTTATTGAATCTGCTTAATTCATATTTTCTTTTTACCTTCTCAAAAGTTTCTCTTTGTTGACAGCATCTTTAGCTTTTTCAAGGGCTTCGCTTAAATTTCCTTTAATTTTAGCTAAAGCTGAAGCTTCTAATAACTAATTTATTTCCTTTTCTTACTACTTAAAGTTGCTTTCAGGAGATTAGTCAGGTACCTTGTCTATTTTTACTTATTTTTATTCCTAGCTTTGTGGATTTCTAACAACTGCTTTAATAGAAGTCATGGGACGATCAGCTCCAGTTGGGCCAGACCTTGTGGGACCAGGACCTCTTCTGGATTAAAGCTGTGCATATCCTGTTGGAGGAGGCTATTTTTTAGAAGAAATATTTTATAAAATATAACTTTTAATAATAGTAGTAATAAATAGTATCTTGAAATTAAATGGAGTCTTGTATTTTAAAGATAAATAAAATGAAAAGCAAAGAAACATGCATGTTTATGATTTTCATATATCCTAATTAAACAACAAAACTGGCTTTTAAGCAGTAAATGAAATATGGTAAAAAAAAATTACATTTTATTTCACGCCTTCGAAATTATACTTGGATGTGTTTGCTTACTGTTAGAACTATGTTTATTGGGCATCGAATTAAGACTGTGTAGTATTCATCTTTTATGTAATTATAAATTTATTATTTTATTCAAAACCATTTCAATATTCAAAAATGTGTTAAGATATTCTCTATTTGTAATAATAAATGAATTTTCAATTATTTGTGCCTTTTCGATCTCATTACATCAAATAATCTACTTTATCACATTTATTATTATGAATAAATTGCTTTATTAATGAAATCATTAATCCTTTATATCTTAAGTTATCTAACTATAAAACTGTCATTTTAATTCAAATTTACTTTTTGAAGCTATCAATTTATTCTACTATTGGTTTGATCGAGCTATTGATCCTTTATCTTCTTTTTCTTGTTTACTTTATATTAAGATTTCGTATGATAAAAAAAAGAATCTGTTTTTTTTATTTATTTATTCTGAATTAATGATACAGTTTTGAAAATATGAGAAATTTTTAATTTAAATTGATTTCTTTTTTTATAAAAATTTAAAAAAAGAAAACATAGAAAACAGATTTTGTAAGATAATTAATTGATTAACAAAAAAACAAAACTTAATTTATTGAGATAACAAGCAAATCAATTCATGTTGTTAACAATATCATAAATTCAAATCATATCAAAATATTTCAAAAATATTTTAAACTTAATCACATAAAAAAATAAACAACTATATAAACTGAGCAACAATTATTTTAGATTATTTTATTTATTATAATAAAAATTTAATAAATTTATTTATTGAATTAAGTTAAAGAAGAAAATCTAAATTTTTTATAATGCCAAATAATAAAAATTTGAAATAAATTAAATTGTGAATCATCTCTATAAATTTAAATTTTTAGAATTTATTTTAAATTTAATAATAGCAATGTTTTAAATTTTTAAAATGTATTTAAATAGCATATTGCCTCACTATCTAGGCAATTCCTTTTTTGCTTTTAAAAATGCCTACTACTGTATATTTAGAACATAAGTAAATTAAACACAGCTAATTTTCTTGGCATAATAAACAGAATATTAAGGTAATAAAAATAAAATTGTTTTTAAAAATACTAAATTAATATATTATGCTCAAATATTTTTTATGGTTATTAATTTTGATTCATAAATATATTGATATATATTAGAATATATCTTGTAAAGCTATAAAGGAGAATAAAGTATTTCAAATTATTGTATAAATTTTCATTATTTTTATTATAAATATTTTTAATCATTCATTCATTGATGCTCTTTTTTTGAACATTTTATTGATAAAATCAAAAATGAATTTATAAGAAAAAAATGTTATTTATGATTGAATAAAATTGAAAAAGGGCAAATAATTTTTGAAAAAATTAAGATACAAGAATACATAATTAATAACTAAAATTAGAAGAATAATAACTAAATTTTTTGGTTAGCTAAACATAAAAACAAACAAAAAAACCAACTTTCTCCAAAGCACTTACCTTTTATATAGGCTAATTAACTAATTGATAGTTCAAAAAATGTTAAAATTAAAAATTTAATCCATTTCATTTAAAATAATTTAATTTCTAAAAAATTAAATAGTTTATGAATTTGGGAGTAAATTTCTTTTATCATCAAAAGGTTATTTATAAGGATTTTGTTAACTTAACAAAAATTATTTACAATTTGTAAAATAACTTAAAAATAATTTATATATTTATATTCCTTGAAATTTATTTAAATTTAAAAGAATGATATTTATTATTATTTTATTAGCTATTTAAAAATACTAAAAATTATTTATGAAATTCTTACATTTAATTGTTTTTTTTTTTATGAATTAATGACTTAAAATTAAATCAAAATAAAATAATTAAAATATTTTTTTACATTATTGGAATTGGAGTATTATTTATTTACTTATTTAAAAAATTATATTTAGAAAACTAAATTTAATGTTTTCAAATCAAATAAATTTTTCATTAACTATTCAAATTAATTTTGAGATTTAAAAATTGATGATTAAAATAATTATTTAATCTAAATTTATTAAAAAAAATATTAAAGATCTTGGTTAGTAATGGAGTACATGAGATAGAATTTAGATTAAACTGGTTATTTTCTTCTAAAAATAAATATAAAATAAGCACTAATGTATGATATTTAAATTAAGCAATGCTATCTATTTTAGCATACAAATTTACAAAGACCGAAGAAGAAAAATTTAATTTTATTTTTGATTTATTTTTTTTTAATTTTGATTTGAGGAAATCGTATTTGTTTGTTTGTTTTTTATTTATTTATTTATAAATATTTAAGAGTTTGAGATGATTTTAAGGAGAGTTTAGCAATCAAATTAAATATATGTAGATATATCAAGTTAAAATTTAAATAATTTGATTTACAAAAATTTATATTTATACAAATTAAAATGTTTGCAATAATAACATCAAATTTTAGTATATATTTTATAGTAGATTTATTAAATCACTCGTTCATGGCGAGTCTCTTATCAGAAACGTAAATACCGTCCAAGAATTGTCTGATATCCTTTTCTTTGACCAAACAAGATTGGTGGATGAGAGCGCAAGTTTGGGAGACGTTGTTCAAGTCAATACCTTAGAGGGTGAGGGTATCTATAATAATTGATAAAGATATGTTGTTAGAAATGATTGTAAGAATTATTATTTTATTTATTTATTGTAAATATTTGTGCAGTAAACCAAATAAAATATATTTATTTATTTATTAATTCATTTATTTTAATATTAATTTGATTGTCTTTTTGTTTTTTGCTGTTCATTCACAAAATATCTGGTTATTATTCAAAATTAATTTTCTATCCAACAATATAATTCCATTTAATTTAAACTCATACGAATCAGTCCTTTATTATACTTTGAGCTACTTTATAGGATGATTTATTTATTACTCACACCTTAAATGAAAGAGTTTTTTGCTGCAGCCAGCTTATATAAATATAATCTTTTCATTGCTTATTTCCCTGAAAAATATAATTAAAAATGATGATAATGCTGTTGCTGCCGCCTATATTAACTAATTTAATTAAATTAAGCTAATTATTGCTATTCAGTAAATATTTCGCTACTCTTCATTTTAACTCATTCTCTTTTTATCAACCTATTATGACTTCGTGAACTAACTTGTTCATTAAATATAGAACAAGGACAAGCACCTGATTGATTGATAGGTATTAGCACTTAATATTCATTAAAGGGTAGCTTAGTTGTTTGGTTTGTTAATTTCACTTATTTTAAACTGTTGTATGAGTTTTAAACTATAATTTGGATACTATTATTAGCATATTAAGGAACTTTTTTTCTGGAGAATGTGCTTAAATTGATTTTGATTTCTAAATTCTTATTTAATGTTGATTTATACACATTGATTAATTGATTGATGACCGACTATTAATTACTCCAAATATCTGCATAACCAAGGAGAAAAGCAAATTTAATTACTGTAAAATAGACTAATCAAATTAATCTTAAAATGCAAGCTATCAGCGAAATAGCTCTTAGTATTTTAATCGAATACATGCACATTTATATTAAAAAATATTAAAAAAAAAAAAATGAATTACTCTTTTCTTCGTCCTTTCTGGAGATCTTGACACCAGGAAGAGCTTGGATTCTTCTAATTCTCTTTTCACCCAAGAAATGCTTAATTTCAATGGAGGAACCATCCTTAGCAACAGCTTCTTAAATGGGGAAGTGAGCGAAGGCAAGCTTCATCTTGAATTTGTAACCTTCAGTAACACCTCTAATCATATTCTTGATTTGAGAAGCAATAGATTGGAGGACGGCTCTTTCCTTTCTGGAAGCTTACCAGATTTATAACTTAACGTTGTCGGCGGTAGGCTTTTGAATATCAACAGAGGCGTATCTGAAAGCTCTCTTGATGGTACCTAAGGGTCCCTTGACTTCAACTACTCTTTATTTAGCAGTGATGGTGACCTTATCAGGGATGGGTACGTTGACTTCGGTAAGTAAGTGTCTCATTTTTACTTTAATATTTTTTTTAATATCCTATTAATTTTCTTTTTTGTTTATTATTTCTAACTTTTTTGTTTTATTAATTTGACTCTTACTTTTTGCCTTTATTTTTAATTTCTTCTTGTCTTTATTTTATACATCCGATTTTCAATCAAAATAAAATGAAAACATTTTTCATTCTAAAATGAATGAAAGACTATCTGGATACATCCATCCATTGCTCTTTTTCTACTAATTCACATTCATTCATTCATATTTTCATTTTTTTTAGTTTATTTTTCAAAGAGGCTTCATATACATTTAATTGAGTGTTTTTTTTTTTTTTTTGCTTATTTATTTATTTGACTTTGCCTGCAATGACATTTTGAATGCTTCTCCTTCCTCTTCAATAGGAGCCTTTCCATAGTGCTTATGAATGAATAATTTCTCTCTTCTTTATTTTATTGTATCTTTAAATTATTTGTTTTGTTCTCTCTTCCCCTTTATAGTATTCCAACAAGATCCTTTTTAAAGAAATTTATCATTTTCTTTTTTCTTTACATTTTAACAATTTAATTAGTCTCTCTATAATTTTATGCTATTATTAACAAAATAATGTAAAATAAGTATAATAGATTTAAATTTAAATTAAATTTTATATATATTCTTTTTTAATGATAATTTTTCAAATTTCTTTTCAAAATAGAAATTTATTTATATTAATTTTAATCCCATTCAAAACATTTAATAGATAAGCTTTATCCAATTTTAATTTTTAGTTAATATTTATTTATGAAAATATTTTGATAATCCTAAATTATCTATCTTTAAAGTGGCTTATTCATTTTATAATTTAAAATAATTTTTCAAAAATTTATTATCTTAAACAAAAGAAAAAATTTTATTTTTTTATTATTTAATAATTTTGATGAGTTGTAAAATAAAATAATTAAATATTCTATAATAAGATAAAAATATTTTTTTTAAATAAAACAATTTGCTAATTTAATTTTAAAGAAAATTTAAAAAAAGGTCTAATAGAAATTTATTAGCAACAACACAATAAAGGAAAATTTTATTTCTGTATTCATAAAATCTAAAATTCATTTTGGATAATTTATTTTTTGAAAAATAGAGTTTAAAATTAATCTATCAATTTTTATTTTCGTTTCTAGATATGCTTTAAAATGTTCACTTTATTAATAAATAAAATTTTTTCTATTTAATTATTATATCAATTAATTTTAATGGTTAAGCTTACATGATATCATAAAAAAAAAGCAATTAAAAATAATAATAACATATTTACTTCTAGTTAATTAAATAATTATTTTAAAATTATTTATTTCAAAGCCCTCCTTTGATTTTCATAAAATTAATGAAAATAATTTATTGAAAGATAAAATTTTTAGGTGGGAAATAAAATAGTAGTTTTCGATATAAATATAAAGCTATATCATAATAAATTAACAAATAATTAAGATAAAATATTATAAATAGAGGTATATTTTGATAAATTTATTTTATAAATATTTTGCTAATTAAACTTATTTATATATTTGCTCAGTAAATTTACAAAAAATATCAAAAAACCAATAATTAATCAATCAATAATGAATTTTATTAAATTTTTAATGATAATGAACTAAATAATTAAAAAAATATTGGTCGAATAGAATTTTCATTAAAAAAATTGAAATTAATACTTTGCCTTATAAAAATTTGAATCAAATAAAAAATATATAGCTTTTTCATACAAGAAAAAAGTTAGTTGAATTCAAAGTTAATAACAAATAATTAGCTAATCAGTCTTCTCTTTATAAATAATTTTAAAGCAATCAACATTGGGATTTCCTTTTAAAAAAAATTAGGAATAAAAGGTTTTACTTTCAAAACTTCTAAAGGCATTAATTTTTAAAGTTTTTATTGAACAAGAGTGTAAATTGACTTTATATTTCTTCTTTTGATAGCATTTTATTTTATTTATAAACTAAAATCTGGAAATTTAAATTTTAGGATAGAAAATGATGGTCAAGTCGCCTGAGAGAATATAAAAGCAATATCTTAAAACTACAAGTAGTTTAGTTAGTAGTTTTTAAGTAAATGGAGAAAAGCGCTTAAAATCACTAGATTCAAGGACAAGTATTTAGAATAGGCATTTATATTCTTACTAACTTTACTAAAGCAAATAGGGAAACTAACCAATCACAAATTCACAAGTTTAAGGTATTCAAAGATTCGTTTGGACAATTTTATTTTAAAAAGCCTGTTTTGCATATTATTAAGAAGATACCTTGCTAATATACCAAAAATGAAGCATGAATGTTAGAAATAATGCATATAAAAGAATTTTAAAGTATATCTAGTATATTTAAACTAGTAGCGATTAATTTAATGTAGAAATAGAAATTGAAAAGCAAATAAAATAAAGTGATAATGTTATTACTAAAGAAATTAAAATAATTCATAGAGAATAAATAATAGCATATTAAAGAAAGATTTGATGAAAAATTTTAATTAGCTTTTAGAATATTTTACTTGTTTTCATTTCAATAAATAAATTTATATTTGTAAAGGAGAGAAAGACAGAAGATATGGATCTGAAGGAGGTCATATGATAGAGTCGTTATAAATTGGATTAAGAGAATAATCTGCAGGAAATAATTATAGTAAAAAGCGATAAAAGAAAAATTAAACTATGTAGGTATTTGTGAGAGTAAGACCTCTTAATTAGAAAGAACTGTCAGGTAAAAATGGAAGTCGTAAGATAATTTAAGTTGCAGATGATAGGAAGTTTGTTATTATTAATTCTAGTGAAAGCAATAAGAGTGTTTTTTCGCAAACTGTAAGAGATGACAGATTATTTGAAATGAATAGAACTTTTGGAGAGGAGTGCTCAAATGATGAAGTTTTTGATTATGTTATGAAAGAAGATATCAAATTAAGTTTATTTGAGGGATTTAATTGCACATGCTTTGTATATGGTATGACTGGGGCTGGTAAAACTTACACAATGTTTGGTGATATTTGTAACTACCTTACAATGAATTCTCCTATTAAGGGATTAATAATGCTATCTCTAAAAGAAATTATGGAATCAATGAAAGAAAAGAAGTAGAATATAGAAGAAGATTACATCTCTTCAAAGAGAAACGATACTTATAATGATAGCAATTAGGAATTAAGTGATGAAAATAGATTCACACCTAACTAGCAACAGAAATAAGTTTCTTTTAGATTGAAATTAAGTTATTTAGAAATATATAACGAATAAATACATGACTTGTTATCACTTGATTCTTAAAATAATGATAATTTAATGGTTATTGAAGACCCTTCTAGAGGTGTCTTTGTTCCTGAATTGATTGAATAAGAAATTATTTCTGAGCAATAGGTCTTAGAATGCATTCGCCTAGGAAATACAAGAAGACAAATGGCTTCTACTGGATAAAATGAATTTAGTTCTAGATCACATGCAATAATTACATTTACACTTGAGTAGACTATTACTAATAAAAACTAAGAATCAGAACAATAATAAGGTAAAGGAGAATTTTAAAGCAATATATAAAATAATAAATATACTGTTTTAACCAGTAAGCTGTGTTTAGTAGATTTAGCTGGTTCTGAAAGAGCGGCGGTAACTGAGAATAAAGGTTTGAGATTATAGGAAGGTGCTAATATCAATAAATCTCTGTTAGCACTAGGAAATTGTATTAATATTCTTTCTGATACAACTAAAAAGGGAGCATTTGTTCCTTATAGAGACTCAAAATTAACTAGATTACTGAAAGATTCACTAGGTGGTAACACTCAGACTTACATGATTGCTTGCGTCAGCCCTGCTTTCATATCCCTAGAAGAAACACTTAACACACTTAAGTACGCTTAAAGAGCTAGTAGAATACAAAAAGTTGTTACAAAAAACGAAAAAACTATTTAGGGCCTTTCATCCTAAAAGTCTTTGCAATACATTACATTAATAGAAAATATGAAAAAAGAAATAGATTTTTTGAAATAATAGCTTGCTTCAACAGTTTAAGCAAATAACGATAATTAAATGCCAAATAATTCCAATTTTACTTGCGAGTCTTAGTTAAATTAACATGCTTAAGAAGTGGGTGGTTTATATTTATTGAAAGAGAAATCCTCAAATTAAGTATCATCAGCTTCAGAGCTATTCAATAGTAATATAAATCCTCCAAATACTTTTCCTGCAAATATGGAGTAAAATAATTTAATAAACAATGATATCAAAAGATCTTAAATTATTGCTAATGGAATTCCTTCACTTTTCCTACAAAAATAAGATTCCACTACATCTGCGGTAGTTCAACAGATGGGAGGATGGTAAGATAACGACAGCTTTTCAAGTAGTGGAAAAAGTGTGAGAATTAGTTGCACTAATACATCTAATAATGGAAGTGTTATTCTATTTAAGAGGAGCCCTTCTCAATTAAATTTTACAAAGTAATAGTAAGTTCATTAATAAAAGGTTACTGAAGAAATGAATTAGTTGTGCGGAAAAATACTTAAAAACTTAGAAGAGAATTGGGAGATTTAGTAATCTATTCAAGATTTGAATAATTTAAAAAAATAAAATGAAGAAGTGCTTGAAGAAAAATAACAGAGATTAAAAAAACTGAAAAGTAATTTGATATAATGGCCTCACGAAAGCGAAATTAATTAGCTACAGATAGGAATAGGCTAGCTGCAAAATACTATGGCCAATAATTAAAATATTTTGGAAAATATGCAGTAGGCTCTACGTAGAAATGTAGAGAATAAATAAGAATTATCTATATAAATGGTGTAGGTGCTGTAAAGCAGCTCTGATTAATTAGTTAAAACAATGAATTAAACATGTTAAATTTTACAAATCGAAAAAAACGACCTTGAAAATGCTAATCTTGATTTAAAATAACAACATTTGCATTTCTAAACTTAATTTTAAGAGAAGGTTCATCAAATTAAAAGTATGGAAGAATAAATAAAACAAATGCAGAAAGAGTTATAAGAAAAAGATTAAATAATTTAATAAAATTAATAAGTCATTATGCATTTGGCTAGCAATTCAGGTTCAGTCAATTCTTAAAATATTCCTTCTAATTTGGTATCTGGGAACTAGATTAATTAGAGCATGCTGTAGACTTTTGTAAGTAAGCAAAATGTAGGTCCTTAAAATCCAAATTCTGTTTTTAATCCTTTTTCGTCTTAGCCTTCTATGACGAGCTGTCCATTTAACTAAACTTCTTTCTTTCTAACTAATGTTACGAATAATGGCAACCTTTAAAATAATTTCAATCCCTTTCTAAGCTAGGCAGATCAGAATACTTAGAATTAATATAAGGATCAAGTAGATGGTATTAATTGTATTGAAAATAAGTGTTCAGTCACACAGCCTATCAAAAATTCATCTTCATCATCTAAAGGTAATCAGATTCCAAAAAGTGACTCCATCAAGCAAGAACCTATCGTAAACAATTTTATGTAAAATCAATCTACAATTGTATAAAAAACACATGCAAATAATAAGAATATTAGTCATTCAGCTACATCTGCACCCTTTTATTGCAATTCAAGTGCTATTTACCTAACAAATACTTCAAATACAACGAATTAAAAGCACAAAGAAGCAAAAAGATTTGTTTCTTCAGACGCTAACCCTAATAATAGCGTTAGTAAATTGTAAATTTAAATGCAGAGTAGCATAAATGCAAGTTTTAGCTAATCTACTGCTCTACGTTCAACATCTTCTTAGAATACTAACAACAAAAAATTTTTCACAGAAAAAAATGGTTATTTCGATTTCAAAAATAAACAAAACTAAATAAGCAGTGGACAATCTTCTTCTGCATCGTCTTCCTTAGCTGTAACTTCTGCCTCTTCTGGCGGGATTATGAATTTGTAACAAAGTTAAAAAACTACTACTTTGGCATCAACTCTTAACTCCAAAAACCCAACATAAACTACTTAGAGTTCTATGATGACTTCTTAGGGATTGTAAAGATAAGCTCCAGGCTCTCCTTAAATGAGAGTATAAAGCCCTAATTAAACAGCAAAAAGCACAAACAATAATAACTTAGAAACTTCAAAAACTTAAAACAGCAATGGTATAACCAATATCAACAGTTCAACTACAGCATTACCTAATAATTTGAATTAGAATTTGATGGCTAGCAAAAATTTGATGGCTTCAAGCTCTTAAATGTCTACAAGCAATAATTATTAAAATTTTTCTTCTCCAACTTAAAGTTCTGCAAGACTCTCAACTGTTTACAAAAGTCCGTCTTCAATAGCTTAATCTATTATAAATAGGAAATCTGTGCTCACTCATCGTGAGAAACAAGCTTAGGGAGTAAAAAACAATAGTAGTGGAGCTGTAGGTGCTCTCTCCTCTTTTCCAAATAATACTTCTTCAATTAATCAAGCTCTAACTATTACACCAAATTAAGTATCTTCAAAGACAAATTTAGCTTCCAATTCCAACAATAATAATTAATCAAATTCAATAGCTAAATTAGGCTTACAAAGTACTATACCCTCAAGCAATAATGTTAGCTAATTAAATAGCTAACATAATAATATTAGCTTAAACACAAATAATAACAATAATATCAGCAGCAATTCAAATAATCCATAAGTAGCAAATAAATTGTAAGATGCTAGAAACGAATATAAAGAATTTATCAACATATTTAGAAAAATTTAAAAAGACGATGAAGAACCCTCTCAAGTTTAAAATGCCACAATGATGCATTCAACTTTAGATGAAAAATTAAAATTTTTAAGTTCAAATAATAATTATAACAGTAACAATAAACCATCAAACGAATATGATTTATTCCCAAACGCATCAACAGTATATTAAAGCAATCTTAATAATAATGAGTAAGTAACTAAATAAGTTGAAAACCAATTAAATTACAGATCAAATTAGTTAAATGAAAGTCCTTAATAGAAAGGAGATTTAATAGACAAAAAAGTACAAAACATTTTAAGCTCTGGATAGAAAAAAGGCAATAACCCTGACATTTCACTTGTAGATTTTTTATAAACTGATGAATTCCCTGAGATTTACGCTTCAAATAAAAACTAAGGATCCGAAAAACGCCAATCTTTAGAAAGGATAAATGGAACTGATAAAAGTAACAGCTTTAACAATCATATTAACAATTTATTAAGCAATAAAAAATCAAATGAGTTTAATAAAGAAGCCTCACCAAATTAAGCAGTAAATGAAATAATTCAAACACCTTTTCTAACTATATCATCTCTCCATCAAAAGCCTCATTCTCTTCCTCCATAATAAAATATTTCCTCATTCTACAGCAATACTAGTTAAAAACCATCGCATTAGAATACAAATTCATAGGGTCAATCTTCTTATTTAACAGGACATTAAAATCACAACACTCCTTCATCTTCCTCATTAAGCAAATTTACAATTAATCTTGCATCTAACAGCTCTCAAAGAAGAAATGAATCAATCACAAGAGGGATTTAATAGCAATCAAGCCAAAAAGATAGTAAAATTTCTACGCCAGAAAGCTCTCTCGTTACTTAAAAAGTGGATTTGTATAAAGAAAAAGAAAAAAGTGGTTTAAATTCATAATTTTAGTAGCAAAACCAAGGTTATTCAAGTAATATTTATGGAGTACAAGAAAAATCAGTTCAAGATACTAATTAATCCTAGACCTAAAAGGGAAATTATAATATTTATCAGGAAATTCGTCGCTTAGACAATATTGTGTCAACAAATGATGTCAATTAGGAAACATTAAAAGAAATAAAAGACCTTATTCAGAGATTAGATTCTTCTTAGTTTTAACGATTTATACTAAGCTAAAGTGATTAAATTTCAGTTGAAAGATTAAAACGTGTTTTTGAAGAATAAAATTATAAATCAGAAAGGTATAATCAATCAGCACCTTCTCATGGAATGGTTCAGTCTCAGGTATCTCTCACACAGCAAAGAATAAAATCTTTTGGGTATATTTTTTTTTATTTTCTAAGATGATTTTTTATTTTTGAATTAATAATTTTATATTTTTTAAAAAATAGACTTCCTTAAAAGTCGTTAGTAGAAAAAGAAAACAATATTGGCAATTAAAATAAATATCAGTCATTGTCTCCTAATAAAAAAGTTAACCATTTAGTTTAAGATGTAATCGATAAACAAAAGAAAAAACGTTCAGAAGAATTCTAGAGACATTTAATGCTCTCAAATTTAGCATCAAACATATTTAACTCTGATTCTGATATTGATCTGATGCAAACACAAGTGTCTAACCAAAACCCGGCTGAAAAGATTTAAAACCAAAAGCTAAGCTCTCCTACTAACCAAAATAGAAAAATTAGCACAGGTATAACAAATTAAAATACTCAATCAAGCTAAAATGGATATTCATCAGCAGGTGCATCTAATAACGTAATAAGTATAAACCTCTATCAAAATAAAAATAATTTTGATGTCATAAATGGATATAACTCAACTGAAAGCATAACTCCTGGTTAAAGCAACACTAGTCAACTATAAATAAACCCCCTTAATTAATAATATTCCTCTTTAAATTCATAAAATTAAAATGGATAACCTTAAACTATATCTCTTACTATACCTAGTACATACAATAGTAAACTAAACAGCGCTCTAACTTCTTCATAAGCAGTTGCATAACTTAACTCAACTCCTATAGCCTAGTTAAATTTAACCTCACCTTAACCTCAGCAAATTTCTTATGTGAGTTAAACAAGTAACATTAATTCAGGAGGAAATTAATAGTAATAAAATTTAATGAATAACATTTATAAACCTAACACATAATATGCTTGAAAGTGTAGGTAGATTAGATTTGAAAAAATTTATCTCCTATCGATTCAATTTCTATTTATTTATATAATTAAATTATAAATCTTACATATATAATCAAAAATTATTATTTTGTTATGTATTTTTCCATTCCATATTTTAAATAAACTATAGTTTATCTTTCATATTTATTACTTTCAACAATCTTATTCAGTTTTCTTTTTAAATTTTTATTATTCAAAAATTAATATTTAATTTATCAATGATTAACTTAAATTAAAACCAATTGAAAAAATTTATTATTATAATTTACAAAAAAAAATATAAAAAATTGTTATTTTGCAATTTAATATGAATACTCAAAGATTATTTTTATAGATATTTAATCCTAGCATGATTTATCGTTATTTACCAATTTAGTTTTATGTCTATTAATTGGAAAATATAAAAAGTAAGTCCTCAACTATTTTAAATTATTTGATTAGATCTATTAATTTAAATTTCTATTTATTTTCATAATTTTTAAATTAAAATTTTTATATATTCTTTAAAATGTTTATTTTAAAAGCATTTTGTTCTGAAGAAATTATTATTATTCAAAGACATTCTTTAAATTTGAAACAGGTTTTAAAAGATAGAAATGAACTAAAAATTAATATTTTTCTTTAATTATGGAGAATTAACAAAAATTACTTTGTCAAAAAAAATAACCAATATTTAAAAATTTTTTAAAAAATGTCTTAAATATTATTTACCATTAATTAATGAGAATGCATGATATTTGTTGCTTTGAAACCATTTATTGATTTTTGTAAAAAACTCAATCTTAAGATTTAAGAATTTTGATTTAAATATTTAAAACTTATTCAATTTGTTGATTAAACATATTTTATTTAAATAAAAAAATTAATTTAATTTATATCAAATTTTTTTATATTAAAAGTATTTTTTTTCAAAATCAACTCTGTAACCTGAAAATTGTTAAAAAATTGCTTTAAAATATTTTATTGTAGTGTTATTTGTGAATATACTTATTTAATTTTTAAATATATTAGATACTTATCAACTGCTAGGATTGCTTAAAGTTTAACACAATTAAACTAAGTAGTAAGCTTAATTTATTATTTTGCTTTCCAAAATAATTTTTGAGTTTAATAACATTGTGATAAATATAAAATATTTTAAACAAACAAGTTTTAGCCTTATAAAATATAAAATACGAAAAAGGTTTTGAAGAGTAAGTTATTAAAATTACAATGGAGAATTTAGTTAAATTATTATGTAAATTTTTATACTCGATGGACAGACACCATATTATCATAAATCATTCAAGTACATAACAATAATTATTAGCAAATAGTTATATTTGAAAATATTAATTTAGTAAGTAATTAATCTGAATACTCATTCTTTATTCCTTTAAAGATCACTTGATTAAAGGCATTTATTACTAATAATCATCTTTTGAGAAGATAAACTGATTATAATTCAATAAATACTTCTCAGTTATGTAATTTCAAGCAAATAATTTATCTTCTTAGCTAATAATATGACATATGCCTCATTTTAAAGTTAAAAATTGATGTTTTTATATTTCACCAAATTCTTCCCTTCTAAGCACCAACAAGTTAAGAAATAATTTGAGGTTAAACCTATTAATAAAATTATAATTTTTATACTATGCTAATTAATTATGTTAATTTTTTACGCAAGCTTCAACACAAGTAACCCAATCTCTAAGAGGATACATCTAATTTAATATAAATAATAAAAATATTTTTATTAGTATGGTATGTTTTAATTCCAATGATAATAAGTTTTAGAAACTAAATTAATATGGAAAAAATATCTAGTTAGTTAGTTACGCATGACATTTCAGGATCAGCATTAACAAGTTCTCTTAACTTTGCTTCACATCTCTTAAGTTTTTATTCCCAGTGAAGACAGTTAGGTTTGCAATGTTAAAGGACCAATTCTTTGGGGTCTTGACCTTATTAAATCATGCTTAAGGTTGCAGATGGAAGATCTCCAGAGCTCATTTTAATATTCTTGATTTTACTTGCTATTAAGTTGAATTTAGAAATATCTTTTAATCTAATTAATTGTATAATATTAAATTAATTAAAAACATTCTTTAAAATCTAAATGTTCTATTATTTTCAAGAAAAATAAATCAATCAAAAATGCTTATTAGAAAGGCACACAAATTTCTTTTTCATTTTTTTCTATTAATTCACAGAATTTTATTTTCTCCTAATTATTTTATTGCCTACTCAAAATAGAATGCAACACAATAAATAACAAATCAAATTAAAATAAAAAACAACACAATATCCAATTTTATTAACAAAGATCTATCATTTTATATTTACATACATATACATTCATTTCTATTTTGTAAATGTTTTCTTTGCATCACAATCAAACAGCTCTATTTAACTTGCTTTTAAATTATGTTAAATTTATTTTTGTTTAACTCTTGCAATATATTTAAAAATAACTCTAATTTAATTAAACACAATGCTAATAGGTTTTGATTTGTAAAACAATTTTTTTAAATTTTTATATTTAAAAAAAAAAAATTTTGTTTAACATAAATTAATTTTATTTTGATTTGAATTATTTAATTTAATAATTATTTTAAAGATTGAATTTTCAATTACAAAATCTTTGAAAGATAATTAGAATGAAGACTATATGGTTAATGAATGAGGAAGTAATTCAAAAAAATTTTGAAACTTTATTTCACAAAATGAAAATATGTTTGATTTTGTTAGTTTTTAATAAATTTTAGAATTGGTTTGTAAATGAATGAATGAAATAAATAATAAAATACAAGCAAAAGTAAAATTAAAAGATTAATTCAATCAGATACTGCTTGCTGTATATATTATTGAATATCACTTATTAAATAAATAAATATATTAATAAAAAGCAAAGACAAACAATGGGTGATTTAATCTTTACTTGGCTTAACGATGAAGTTTAGCTTACCAAAAAGATAACTTCATTTGAATAGGATTTCGCGAATGGCTATTATTTTGGTGAATTACTTTCAAAGTATAATCAATAGCTCAACTTTAAAGAATTCAAGAACGCGTATAACATAAATTTCAACAACCTTAAATTATTTTAGATTTAATCTGTTTCATTTATTTATTAATAAGCAAGCATGAAATCTAAAATATTTTATAGAAATTTAGAAATTAATAAAATATAGAAATGATTTTTAGGAGTCTAATTTAAATAAGTATTTGGGTATTTATTGAATTTAAATCTAAAAGTTTATTGATTGAATCTAATTAAAAATATAGTTTTTGCATATATTATATAACTGCAAAATGATTTACCAACATTATTGTAAATACTTATGAAATATAAAAATATAGGGATACAAGAAAAGCTAAGATGACTAACTTCGATCTTTTATAGCCAACATTTAGAACTTTAAAAGTGAAATTTAATTCGCAAACAGTTGATGATATTATTAATTGTAGAAAAGATGTGGCATCATAAATTCTCTATTAACTAAAAATGGTAAATTTTAAAATATTTAAAATTATAAAAAATGCTTTAAATATTTTATATCTTCATTTTTCAAATTAATTTAAATAAGTTCTATTTTTTAGTATTTTTAAAGAAGAATTTTGGTCTTTATTTTTATCAAATAAATGTTATATATTTTATTAGGCACTTGAAAAGGTTAATAATCCTGCAGATGTTATCATAAATAGCAAGGCTGGAAAATATAATACAGTAACTCCTTTGATGAGAATAAATCCACCTATTGCTTAATTTGCCAACATGGAATCAAAATTCTTTAATTAAAGATTAAATTAATTAAATAGATCGTAAAAAGCAGTTAACTAAGATAACCACCTTAAAAAATTTGAGGAGTTCAAAATATAGTAAGATGCTTATATAAAGAAGATAAAGGAAAGTGAGGAAGAAAAAGAAAAGTAATTAAAGGAGTAAATGAGAAAAATTGAACTTAACAAGTTGCAAAGAAATATGGCTTTTTAAGAAGATTGGAATGAAAAGGGTTTAGAGCAATGGAAAAAGAATTAAGAAATTACCAAATAAAGAGTAGAAGCAGATAAATAATTTGATTATAAATAAAAACAAAAGGAAGAAACTAAAAGGCTTTAAATTAAGGAGTTAACGAAGAATGAAACTAATAGAGATATTGACATGTTTGAAGAAACTCTTAAAAAAAAAGGACTCTTGCTTGAAGAAGATGAAGATGGAAATATTATTAAAAAAGGTACTTAGTTTATTATTTGATTGACTGACTAAAATTTTATATCTAAATAAACATTAATACATATTTTTAGAACATAAAAACACTATCAGTGCAACTGCTACTATGAAAAGAATCAAGGAAAAATCTCAAGTTAATGAATTTTTAAGGAAAGAAAGAGATAAAAGAAGAAGAAAAATGATTGTTGACTAGGCTAAATTTTAGAGAGATATTGAAGTGAGAAAAAGAGAGGAGCTAGTTTTAAAAAAATTAGAGTAGCAATCAAGATAGGTAAAATAAATAAAAAATTATTTACAATAGAAAATAAATAAATATTAACAATAATAATAGGAAAAAGAAATAGAATATGAGGTATGGAGAGCTTATTAGTGCAAATAAATTATTATTTAAGATAGATTTCTTAGAGATGAAAAGTATAAGCAAAAAAATGAAGTTAATGTAGTAAATGCTAAGTATAAAGAGGAAGAATTATTGAAAATTCTTAGATAAGAAAATGAAAATGATATTCTCAGTAAACTGAATCGTTAAAGGGAAATAGAGATTAGTGAAAAGCAGTTAAACCGTAAAGATGTGTATTCTAAATGTAGAAATTTAATAGAACAGCTAGTTGATTTAGCCAATATTTGCTATGAATAATAGCAATAATAAGATAATGAAAATATTGATTCTCACTTTTTAAATGATCAAATAAAACTATTCATTGATAACAAGCCTCTCTTAAAAGAAAAGTAATTCAGGAATTACGAAACTATTCCAAATTTAAGAAATTAGGAGTAATCTTAAACTGAGAGCAAGGACTTTTTAGCAGATTAAGAACTTTAGGATTATTTAGAGGGACGTGGGGAATGGATTCCTTAACACCGTTTTGAATATTAAGGAGAAGATCCTTTGAACAATGATGAAAAATACATTCCAAATTAAACTCTAAATAATTATCATTTAGGAAATTTGGTAGTCGGGATTATGAAAGATTTTTACAGCTCAGAAATAGAATAATCATAGAGAGAAGTTATCAATCATTTTGATTGGCTTCCTTTAAAACTTGCAATTCTAGGTTATCAATTCTCTGGTAAAAAAACTATTGCTAATATAATATCTAAAAAATATGGTGTAAAGCTTCTCTCAATTGATATTCTTATGAATGAGCTTATTGAAAAATATCATGCATACTAAAGATAAGTACAGTAACAATAACGTGAGGAAAAGATTCGCAGTAGCAAGAGCAGTAGTCGTCCAAATAATAATAGTGTTGGGTAGATTGAGAGAAACGATGTTAGTGGTGGAAGTAATCGTAATAATAAATCTTAAGCTAACATAGCAGCTGCAAGAATTTCATAGTAACAAATTGAAGAAGAAAATTAGTAAGTAGAATTAGATGAAGAGAGTATCTAATTAGCTTAGAAAATAGAATAGTGCTTGTATACTGGTTAGAACATCCCTGATGAGTATTACATTAAACTTATATAGAACGTATTAAAATAAATACATCCTGAGGTTACTGAATAATAATTCCTTGAACAGCTTGCTCAAAAGAGTATCCCTAGTGAAAACGAATAATTACTTAAACTCCCTAACTTAGGGTAAGATTTATAAATGCCACCAACTAAAGAAGATACTTTCCGTAATGCCTTAATTAACCGCACTCATAAATATACAAGTGGCATTGTTTTACTAGACTTCCCTCACACTTATGAATAAGCGAAGCTGTTAGAAAAGGAAATATCAGGATTTCTTCCAAAGGATGAGATTATTTAAAGTGAATTTGAGGATTCTATCTAAAAAGCTTAAAAAATTGTCAAACCTACTAAAGTTGAAACAAAGCCTCGTTAATTAATTAAACCTGGATTAGATTTGGTCATCTATATAGACATTGATAAAAAAGAAAGTCTTCGCAGAGCACTTGGAAGGAGATATGATCCTTTAACTAAACAAAATTTTCATTTGGATGACAATCCTCCTCCTGTTGATAATGCTCCTCTAATTGAACGTCTTGAATAAATAAGAGAATATGGCACTTCTGAATTAGCTATAGTTGATAAAAACTGTGAATTAGATAATAATTTTAAGTAGCTCAAGGAATGGTATAGTATGTTTGGAAATAAATTTGAGATTAGAACTTTGAATGAAGAAGAACACCCTTTATCAGATTAGTAATAGTCTGACAGTAGATAAGGAACTTTAGAGAATAATGAATAGGTTAACAATTAGCACTAAGCAGGATCTATGAATTAGAATTTAGAAGAAAATGCATAAAATGTGTAAGATTCTCAACCAGAAGAATAAGTTGAGAATGGGGAAACATAAAATTAATTAGTTCCTTAAAAATCCAAATACAATGTATAATAAGATTATTAAATAGTATGGCAAGAAGTCAATGGAAAAGATAAGATCGATGAAGTTTTTTACTAAGTAGATTAAATTATTGATAGGGTATTAATAGCTAAAGAGCAAAAATATGAAGCTATTCAGAATAAACTCGATAGCATCGAAGAAAGAAAAAAACAAGATGAAGAAATTGCAAGAATAAAAAAAGAAAACGAAGCAAAAGTATCAAATTTAAATTTATTTTTTTATTTTTTTTGAACGAGTTTTTAATAAATAATTAGTGGCTTTTCACAACAAGAGAAGAAATTTTACAAGATCTTTAAAATTTCTCAGCAAGTATAAAAATTAATCCTACTGCCCTTAAAAACCTTGTCAATTTGTGGAAAAATACTCAAGACATCTATATTAATTCAAGCAAATTTGTGTTCTACAACTTAAGAGAGTAAAAACAGTCTATTCTTTTAAGATTCCATGATATCCAAAAGAGGTTTTTAGAACTCATTTAAAGACCTGATTAGAAATTCGTAAAAATTTACATTTTTTTGAATAAATTTAACGGTATTTATCAAATTTTAATCTACAGATGCTAATGAGGTAGTTCCAATAAGAATATAATAAGTTCGTTGAGCTTAACCCTGATATGTGTGAAGAAGATTAAACAAAGGAAGAGCTTCATTAAAGAGTTGAAGATCTTCATGATCAATTGTATGATATTATAGAAGCTAAGTAAATTTATTTGCAGCAATTATGATTGCTTTTTGTTTTTCGAGTTTGTTTAAACTAAAAATATCTAAAATAAAATAGGCGTGACGAAGCATCTGAAGAGCGTAATCAAATCATTAAATCTGGCTGGATCGAAAAAGAAATTGAAAAGTTTATGCTTTTAATTTAATAATTACTTTAAGCTGAACTAAGTAGAAGCTTCAGCTGCTAGTAAATAATTAACGATTACTACGTACTTATTTAAGGAGGAGAGTTATAAGAAATACCTGAATACTTTAAAAACGATATAGTATAAAATTAAGAAAGTTTACCTCCTATCGAAGAGAATAATAACTTCCCTAGATTAGAAAAGCTTGTTGATTTAACATTAAAGCTTCATCAAGGAGAAGAAGAAGTAGAAGAAAAACCTGGTGCTAAAAAGGGAGCAGCTAAAGCTCCTCCTAAAAAGGATGATAAGAAACCACCAGTCAAAAAGGGTGGTAAAAATGCTGTAGAGGAAGTAGAAGAAAAGAAAGAACTTACTCCTATAGAAAAAGAATAAAAGGAAGCAATAAATATGGAAAAGGCTATTTTTAGATACAGAGTTTAAGTAATTAAGGATTTTGCTTTGAGCAAATTAAAATTAATGAAAGCTCAATCATAGCTCCTTTATGGAAAGCTTTAAGACTGGATAGACTATACCTTTAAAGTTGAAAACGATGCTGTAAATCAGATGGACGCTATCTTCCGTGAATATATTGAAGAAGAGAAAAAGATCCAAAAAGAAATTCAACTCAATTTTGTCGATATTGTGATTTCTCATGAAATCCTCAATTTCCTAACACCTCCAGTAAAATTCTATTTTTATAAAGAACAAAACAAAACTAAATTATTTCAAAAAAACAAATAAATAAATAGCCAATAATTTTACCTGCCAAAGAACCATTGTACGAAAACAAATTTTCTATTTCATAACTTTACATCATCATAGAAGAACTAAAGAGCATAACTAACGAAAATAACTAAATAGAGTCTCGTGCTTTATTGCAACTCTTAACAAGAAAAACAGTAAATAATTTAATTAAGATCTTGCTCACAAACATTAATTTTTAAAAATAATTATTATTTTTATAAATCATAGCTAAACTAAATTAGTAAATGGGATCTACCTGAATTTTGGAGGAATAACACAATAAAAACTTATTAAAAGTTAATTTAAAATCTTGATCCAAACATAACTGGGTACATTAACAGTAAAGATATTTGTACATATATTTGCTTATCAGGCTCTCACATTCCTACCCAAACAGAAGAAGAAGGTTACTTCGAAAAACTTAAATTAAACTCTTCAGGAGATGATATGATTGAAAAGGCTCAATTCATAAACACCGAATCTTGGTTCGATGAAATAGAATCATGCAAATTAGAAATAGGTAAAGATTTATTTAATTTATTTATTTACTACTTTGTAATAATTATGTTAATAAATAAAAATTAATAGATACATATTTATTCGATCGCCCTAGATATATCAAAGAACTTCTTTTCTATATCCATAAAGACCTAGAAACAGTAATTAATTAATTAAATCTGACAAAATGTTATTTCATTTATAATTATATTATAATTAATTAGGATTTTATAGATATTGATAGTTTTATTCAAACTATTTCTGCTAGTCATTATATATAGTTAAGAGAAAACGAACAAATAACTACATATACAGATTTACTTCTTTCTTGAATCTTTATAAATAACCTAAGCAGCTGTATAAAAATAAATAAATAAACAAATAAATTAAGTTATATTTAAATAAAATAAGAATAAATTATTTACTTACATAACTATTCATTTTAACCCATTACTTTATCTTTGGTATAACTAAGGCAGACACATTTACTATGCTAAACTCTTATTAAAAATAAATTCTTTTATACCATATTTCTATAATTCAAATGTTTTTTTTAATTTTCATAATTTTTAAATTAGTATTATTTGTTATTTATTCATATAAATCAATTTTTTTTTTTTTGATAATTATTACATTTCAAGCTTAAATATTTATTTATCTCTTTTGTTTTAAATAATATAAATAAATTTACCTATCTATAATAAAATAAATATAATTTAGAGTTATTTTTACTTTTAATTACAAAATAAAATTATTTTTTAATTAAAGATTTTGTCAAAATCAAATCAGTTAACATGAAATAAAAAATGTAATTAATTTTTTATTTTATTTTACAATTTAATTTTCAATTTTTAATAATCATAAAATATATAATAATTGTAAATTATCCTTAATTAACTAGAAATACCTCTTATTAAATTTAATAATTCAAAAAATTTTAACATCCACTTGAAGCAAGAAATTGTAATTTTTATTTTTTTGATTAATAGAACAATTACAGAATATTTTTTTAATCAATTAAATATTTTTATTTTTTCATTTAAAATACCTAAAGCATTTAATAGCTGGGCTTGTAAAAAATTATATTGGATAAAAATATAATAAAAATTGATCTATGAAATGTAATAAATTTGGGACAATATTTTTCTAATGATAAAACATTTATATTAAATACTTTAGATATTAATTTGCACTTCCATAACTCCACAAGAATATTTTTATCTGAAAGCACAATAAAATCTAGCTAGAATTTTGTTTTAAATAAAATCTAAAATTGAATAAAATTATAAATGATAGATTGGAATTTAGTATGTCCTGATAAATATAAATAATTAAGCAAATAATAAAAAAATACTTGTATGGCTTTATGATGGTATAATGTAGTTACTTTAATATTAAAAATTTTCCTATAAAACAAATTATAATTTGATAAGATCATTTTTAAAATCAATAGTATTATATCTATATTTTACATGATTGTTTTTTATTTTCTCGCTTAAAAATCTGCTAATACTGAAATAAAAGAATCTATTTTAGACACTTTTTATCATCCATAATATTTTTAAATGTTTTAATTTTTTATTTAATTATTGGTTGATTTTTCAAACTTTTAGGTTTTAGGGAAATATGAGTGGACTTAAAATCTATTATTTATATTCCTAAGTATGTTAATCATAGTTTATATATCAAAATAATTAAAATTAGATTGTATTAAAAAAAAACACTTTTTTAATTTTGGATAGGCTAATCTAATTAATATTTAATTAAAACAAATTTAGATAAATGCTAATGTAAAAAAAAAAAATAGTTAAATTTTAAACATTTTGGCTAATTTTTGAAAAATCGAAGAAATCATTGAAAAAATTGTTTAAACACAAATTTATTAATATCTCATTTACTTAGAAATAAAGGTAATTAAATACTTAGAAAATTTGAGAAAATTTAAAGGAATTTATGATATTTTAATCAAAAATTTAAAAAATCCCCCGAAAAACTTTGTTTTATGTAAATCAAAACTCTTAATTTTGGTAATGAAATCTTACTCTATTAAAGGTTATTTATTCTACTGTTTATTAATAGAATATTTAGTAATAATAAATTTATATTAGGGTTAAATCATATATCACTGAACTTCAATATTAGATTTTTGACTTTTTCTCATTAATTTATGTGAATGATATAAAAATTTTTAATAAATTTAACCTTAAGTTCTATTTTTTAAATATTGTTATCAATCAATTTACAAAAAATTATTGAATAAATTAAATTAAAGATTTATACATTTATTTATTTTCACTAATACTTTATTGAATAAAGAATGGAGATGGTTTCCAATCCAACTAAATTCCTCACCTTTAAACAACTTTATCTAGTTAATTTCAAAAATTTATTTTAAATTAATTACAAATTTATGAGTTAAGAAAAAATATTAAAATGGAAATAAATAATCTATTAATTTTGATAAAATATTTTTGCTATTAATTAATAAAAAATAAAATCTAAATATATACATTAAATATTGATTTACATACATACATGGCTTAATAAATAACTATTATATAAAAATTAAACAAAATAATAAAGATGATTGATTTATAAAATTATTTATTATATATTTTTTATTTTAAATTTATTTACTAATATTCACAATTTATTTATTTATTTCTTCATTTTATTATTATTGTTATTATTTGAGAATTTTTCAATTATTATTTTCATTATTAATATTCTAATCGAGCCCTAATTTTTTATTATTTATTTTACTTAGCTCGCCTTCGAATTCAAACAACAGTTCTTAAAATACCAATTCTGAGATTTCAACTTATATCTAAAATATAAAATAAATAAATTTATTAAAAATGTTATATTTAAAGAAAATTAAAATCAATTACTTCAGTGTATTCATCATCATAAATGATCCATTTCTCTTCTGCTTCTTTAACTTCTGAATGTAGCATATCAGTTAGTCTTTTTTCTTTTATTTTAGAGATATATTCTTCATTCAGAGTCTAGTTTGTAGGTAGTTAAGCATCTGGTCTGTCAAATATAAATCCGCATTGGCATTCAGCCCATTCAATAACTTTAGTCACTGATTTCCTTAATATTGATGGAACTTTATCATGGGTAATAGGAGCATTATTAATTTTAGTAGCATCAACTTTCCATGGGAATGGACGTCCTTTGAGTCCATATAACCTATGGTTATCAAGAGCTTCGTTAAATGCATCGAAAATGACTTTATTGTGGATATGAGTGATATCTTTCAAACTAACTTTGTGCTATTCAGAGAGAACAATATCTTCTTCATCTGTATCATCACATACATAATTTTCTGACTATTCATTCTATTCTCTTTCAAGCTTTTACTATTATTTCTTTTATTTCTTTTCCTCGAGAAGAAGCATTTCAAAAGTAGAATACAAGTCTGTAATAAGTACAGCTGAATGCTGCATTGAGAAATCCGAAGAGTTATCTAATTAGCTATCTAAGCTATTATTTTAGTCAGTAAAATGCAAAAATCTTAACATCTCAATAGCAGTAGGACCCAAACTATAATTTATACGCTCCACAAATGTGTCCAAATAATTTTCTAGTTAAAATTTGGAATTTATGAAATTATTAAGAATCAAAAAATTTAATTACCAATTATGTATTCACTAAGCTTAGATAAGTATTCCCTAATAGCAGAGACTTAAGTTTGAATACCTCTTAATCTTTATTTAAGGCTGTAAGAAGGTTATCCATATTCTTTTTGTGCTATACCTAATTAATATAAAGTTATTTAAGTTTAAATATTTAAATATTTTGAGCTTTTACTTAATTCTTCTTAGATTATTGCTTCCTCGTCTTCATTTTCTTGATCTTAATAGCTTTGATACTTTTATGCTTCTTTTTATAAATTATTTTACTCAGCTATTTTTTTCCAAATAATTAAAAAAAAATACTGAAAAAAAAAAGAAATTTACATTAAAGAGTTTCGAAATATTCTGAGCAATTTTTTAACTTTCTTTTGATTTCTTCATTTTTACTGAATTCTATTTTTATATTTAAATATTTTTTATAATTTTGATTTTTTAATTAATTCTTTACCTTCTGTTGCTTCGTCCATCAAACTATTAATCAAATCATCACAAAGGAAATCTACGTTTTAATTTTTAACTGTTTTTTATTGTAATTCTTTTAACTATAGCTCAGTATTAAATGCATTAACGGATAAAGCACTTTCTTCATAATCATAATCTTCTTAGTTCTCTTAAGAATCAACGAACTAGTCTTTAGTTACATAAGATGAAGGAAGTTCATCATCATTTATTTCTCTATTTGGTAAACTAGTACTCTACTTTATGTGAACTTATTCTGCTATTTCACTTTCTTCAGTGATACTATCTTCAACAGTATTCAAAGGCTGCATGTTTTAAATAGCATTCTAAATTTATTAATTAAAATTTAATTTAAAATAAATGAAAAAAAAAAAAATTATGTAAATACTGGATTAATTAGGTTTGAAAACTATAAGATGTCTTTTTCTTAATCATCTACAGATTCTTCAACAAAGACTTCACTGTCATATTTGCATGATAAATTTTGTATATTTACATCTTTTCCTTAAGTGAGTTCTTCTTCTTCGATTGGTGTTTAGAGAGGAACTTATTTAGTGTTTAAGATCTTTCCTTTATTATCTGATTTTTAAAGAGGGGCAATAGATTTTTATTTGTTTGCAGAAGCTTCATATTCAAGATCTATTTCATAATCATCATCTTATATGTCGTAGATAAATCCTTATTGATTTTGCTATTACTATTGAGTATTCTAAGTTTACAAGTCTCTCTTCTGCTTCTATGCAGTATCTTGGTCATCAACAAAGTTTAAGGTACATTCTTTTGAAGAAGAGTAGTTAAAATCAGAGAATTTCTCTGCTGAAGATTTATTAGATGATTTAGGGAATATTTACTTATATGAAGAATGAATCTGATTACTTTACTATATTTATTATGCAATGGCACTATTAGTACTTAATTAACCATAACAAGTGTTTATGCTTTCTGTTAAAGAGTAATTATTATGATAATTAGCACAGAGATTTTAAACTTGGTTTTAGTAACTTGTGTTTTATAAATGATATTGTTCAATATTTGTATCTAACTCTTCAGCCATCAAAATATTATTGTTGCCTTATGGAGCATTATTGTTACTTTTCTTTTCAAATGTGCTTGGATTTCGTCCTGCTGCTTGATTTTACAATATTTTATTTCCTGAATGCTTTAAATCATTCTCTTCTGCGCTTTATCTCGCACTAAGCTACCCCTCCCAATCTAAGCTAGAAAGAACAGTAGCATTTTTTTCTTGTATGACTCCTTGTAGATTGCTTGATGCAGAGCAAAACATATTCTCTGAGCTGAATTCTCCATTTTCATGAGATTCTCTATAGTTGCGTTATCCAATACCTTTAATACCGTTTTTGTTATTTTTAGTTATTTGAGCAGGTGTCTTTTAGAAAACAGATGAGTTCATATCAAGAGATCTGTTTTCACTTAAGTTTTCAAAGTCAACTTCTGGTGCATCATAGCTTGCAGTTACCTACTCAAATTGATCATTTTTATTAAACAATTTCTTTTGTATGATATTTGCTTCTTTCTAAGAACTTGATATGCTATTAAATTCTTTAGATTAATCTGTACCATCTGAGTCAGTATGATTTACTAATTTTTGTGCTCTATCTTAGATGGATTCCTAACTAAATTGTTTGCTATCTGCACTGTCTTAAACGTTATTAGCAGGAGTCTACTAAAGCAATTAGTTAAAATACTCTTCAGGTTGCTTATGGATTAAAACATCATATAACTTTCTAGATGAAGTGTAAATATTTTTTTCATCAAAAATCTCTTAACTGACTTACTAGTCATCCAGAGAAAAATCAGTTTTCTCATAAATATTTTTCTTCTCTGTTGTATCTAAATCTTTATAATTTTCTTCAAATTCTTCTCTCTCTTTTTATAAATCCTAAAAGTCTGCTTCAAATTAATTTTGGATATTCATTTCTTTAAGTTTCTTTTAAAGAATTTTAGAGTCACTTGATTAATCAATATCTTCATTAATGTCAACATCAAAATCATCTTCATATTAATCCAAATCTTTATCTTAATTTAATAAATCAGCCTTTTTTTTATTTTAGTGAGCATCGCCTTCTGAATTCTCAGAACTATATTTTCTTTAAGATTAATCAGTTTTTAGCCTTTCAGAAGTTAAAGAAGAGCTACGTTATCTAGCTGAAGAATTTTACTCTACTTTAGCATGACTACGATTTGTATTAACTATCTAACTATTATTCTCATCTAAACTGCCTGTGATTGTAGAACCTAGAGTTTTAGAGAAATTTATTGATTTATCTTATTATTTATTGTTATTTTTTTTAGAAATATCAATTGGCTCATAAGAATCAATCACAACTATATTCTGGCTATAGTTATTATCAGGTGTTTTAATATCATTTAAATTGTATCTCATATTTCTATTGTAGTGTTTCCAGCTTCCTTCTGTTTCTGTTTCACTTTCTGATTTAAACAATACTCTTCTTTATTTAAAAGCACTGGAGCTTTAGCTGCTGTACATCGGGTTGCGAGAACTTAAAATCTCATTACCCTCAGTAAACAAAGGAGGTGGAGTATTCATATTAAGCAAAAGCATTTAATGAGGATTATGAGTGTGTGTGGGATTCATTTCTTGATTAGCTTTTACTTTTTTTAAAAACATGAGATCTCTTTGAGTTCTTGCTATAGTTTGAGCTGTTTGATTCCAAGTCCTCTCGATATCTTATCTTGTTTTATGAATCTACTCTCTTTCTTTTGTGACCATTTTTTCAAGCTCTAATCTCTTAATGTCATAAGTTCTGGGAGAAATGCGATTAATTTCTAGATTCTTTTTCAGATTCTTTTCTTCGATGTTGTGTCTCTTGATTAAAGCTTGTTCTCTAAACTTTAATATCTGATTGATAGAATCAGTTTTCATTACTTCACGGTACTTTTGATAAAAAACAAGGAAAGGAGCCTCCTCAAAAAGACTACCAGTAGCAGAGCTTCCATCTTCATCTTAGAAATTTTTAAAAATTAATAATTAGTAAATATTGAATAAACAAATAAATAATTGTGTATTTATATTAGGTATATTTTTACTTTCTTCAGAATCAGTGTTTATTTTTCCAGGAGTTGCCATTGATTTTAAAGTTTTTGAAGAGAATTAGAAAGAAGGTATTAGTGAGTCTATGTTAGATCCCCTTTGCTAAATGAATTTTCTTTTGAGCTTTGATGCTGATGTGATATCTTCTGAACTCTAGCTGTCATATTCGATAACTTGATCTTATGATTAAACCAGTTAAGATTAACTTTTTGTCTTCTGATCTTTTTTAAGTTAATGCATATCTTATGCAGAGAATGTTTATTGCCTAACTTTTTATAGAAATTCATCTTCTATTTTATCTACGTCAATCACAAGTTTTTTCTTAGCACTTCTTTAGCTCTTTGAGTTATCATCATTAGTTATTGGTGATTTTTCTTACTCCTTTAATAAGGGTTAAGGGCTTTCTAATATTTATTGACTCTATTTATAATTAAGAAATATTTTTTTTAAATAAATTAAAAAATTAGAAAATATTTACTAATCCCTCTTAATTCTTTAATTCATTAGCCAGCTATTAGAAGTTCTGTTAAGATTTTAACTTTATTTGTTCAATGAGAGACTGTGGGTTATTCTAATCGTATTCTTATAGCATACTGACAATGTCAGCCCATTATTTTATTTATTCCTATTTTGTTTTTAAATCTGATTGCAATTACTTGAATTCATTATATGAAATTTAAGATAAGTCATTCTGCTTGAAATCACTGTTTAATATTTCATTGTTGAAATTTTGGGTTTAACTCTTTTAGGGACTGTTAAAATTTTAATTGCTATTATTAAGATTCTAATTTCTACTATTAGAATTTTAACTATTACTATTGGGATTAATTTAAATTAAGTTATTGAAATTTTAATTATTTAAATTGAAATTATTTTAATTTGAGATATTGAGATTATTTTGATTTGTTTTATTTAAGTTATTGCCATTCTAAAAATTGTCTTGGCTGTTGATACTTTAATTTTGATTGCTGTTGTTAAAAATTTAATTTTCGCTATGCTAAGAAACAGAAAACTCTTTTAATAACTCATCACGTTGTTAAGATGTTTAGTTTTTATTAATATTTTCATGGGTTTGTATAGAATTATTTTCAAAATTTTAAAAAGATTTTTGTTGTTGTTGTTGCTTAGCAATAAAATCAATATCAGTGACATCATCGTTTTGGTGAATATTTGTATTTTAATTTTTTTAATTGTTGAAAGTTGTTTATATTTGATTATCTTAATTATTAATTTATTTTTAGTTAGCTTATTATTATATATTTTATTATTCTTGTTTTTCTTTATTATTTTAAGAAGAAGAGGAGCCGATTTTGTTAAAATTAGCTTCAGGTTATTCCTATTATAGGCATTATTAATCAGTTAGAGTTTCTTCCTATTTTTTATAATTTTATAAAATAAATTAATTGTTTCTATTGAGCTACATCTTATTACTATTAGTTTTATTTACATTATAGGCTTCGTCAGGAGTATGGTTGTCATCTTCGTCGTCGTACTGATCCCTATTGTGGTAATTATTCATTTAGTTCTAAATATGGTTATCATAGATATCTTCATCTTCTTCTTCTTAATCTAATTATTCGTCATCATATTAGTCTTCTAAATGATGCTAACCATCATAATCAACTTATTCGTCTACTTCTTCTTCGTCATTATCTTTTTCGAAAGAATTATCCTCTTTCACTCTTTTACTTTGCATAAATTAAGCAGCATATTCATTTAAGGCTTCAATTTCTTCTTCCCCCAAATAAATTTTATCTCCGTTTTCAATTATGAAAATGTTACCTTCTTCGTCTTAGTATTTATCCTTCATCAACAATTATTCAAAATCGATTTCGTACTCTTCGAATTCTTCCTCACCTTCTCCTTCTTGATTATGACTATTATTATAGTCGTTAGACTGAGATTATTGATGAGCAGAAGCTGCCTTTTTCTCAGAAAATTCCAAATTTTCCATGTAGTGGTTGTATTATTTAATTTTTTCTCCTGTGTGATCTTGACTTTTTTCACCCTCATATTTACTTTTAGCAGAAGATTATTACTGAGATTGGTCAGCTTACTAATTCTCATATAATTATCCATTTACACTCTTTTGGTTATTTGCTTAATTAGGTAATTGTTACTACTCTCTCTTTTTGCTAGCTGCTTAATTTTAAATATTATTATTCAAGAAGTTTATTTAAGCTGAATCATTGTAAGTTGGATCATCATCAATTTCTATTCCTAGATTAACTTTTCTGTTCTTGGATATATTTTACAACTTATTGAATTCCTTCTCCTTATTGGTAGATTCAATTTATTTAATATTGTTGTTAATTTCTGCGAGTTCTCTGTCATCATCGTCTTCATCCTCTTCGTTACCAAAATTAACATATTCCTCCTCGCCTTAACCTACTTCTTTTGTATTTAATTTGTTCCTTTAAGAATATGAATCTAAGTCTTCTATATCACTGTATTTTTATCCAGATTTTTATTAATCTCTGTTAGATTAGGCATATTAATCTTCCTTGAAATGGAGATTATTAATACCAGGCAACTAAGAGAGATCTAATTCATAAAGTCCATCTCCATCTTAAATTATTAGCTTTTTATTCTAAATGTCAAATGTTTCTTTACCTCCTAAGTGGTTCAAATTTATTCCTTGTTTCAAAAAATTCAAAATCTGTTAATCATCTATTTCTTCATTTTCGTATTCTTAATCATCTTCGTAATCATATTGTTGGTGACCCTCACTGCTTTCCATTTCATAAGTATTTTACTCCTAAACCTTTTGCATTTCCTAAATAAATAAGTACAGAGTTAAATCAATTTTGATATTATAATTTAAAATTTTACTTTTTGCTGGGCTTGATACCTAGGATCGATTGGATGGAAAGGGATATTCATTTTTTATTGCTAAATTTTTTAATGATCTCCGGGACTGAATTTGGAAGGGTTTTAACCTAGCTTCATAAGTTCATCATAGTTAATTTCAACTTAATTGTCAATCAAATGAGGTTAGTTTTCTTTAATGTATTAATATCTCTGTGCTGATTTAATATACTATTCTTCATCCATGAGTAAATCATCAGTGTTTAGTATTTCGTCTGTTTATTTATTTGAAGTTGAAACCTTTTGATCAGCAAGAGAGTTTAAATGTAAGTGATGCTAATTTGAAATGATTTTTTCTATTTCATTTTCTTAAGATGAATTCTCTTGTTTTTTTCTAGAATCCATGTGTTAAAGATCATAAGAGCTCGAGGAATGAACAATGTGTTTATTTTCTGAGCTATCGTGTAACTTATTTTCATATTCTTATTTGACTGATCTCTCATTTTAGCTTTCATTAACAACACTCTTTTTAGCTGAAGCTGATTATTAATAATGTTATGCTTGTTGTTGCATTTAAGCTTGCTTTTAGAGCTACTTTTTTTATCTCCTTTTTTCTTTTTCAATAGCATTTTTTTGCTTGAACTTTAAGAAATATTCCTCAAATTCTTCTTGAGTCCATTATTCATTGCTTTCTTATAAATATTAAAGTATCTACATTTTCAAGAGTTCATCTTCTTACTCTTCGGTCAGGTCAAAGCTTTCATCATTTTCTTCTTATTAAATCTGTTAAAGACGATAGCCGAGAATAATTCTAGTGTAGTAGCCTTTCCAGACTTTTTAAATAAGCATAGCGGCCTGTTGCATTTACTCTTTACTTATATTGTTATTTAAAATTAATGGCTAATTAGAAATAATTGAAACATTATTTGTTTTGTTTAAATTTGCATTTGTAGAATTTAGCAATGCTTGTTGTTCGATATCTCTAATTTACTTGATTTGTTGCAATTCTTCATCATCGTTATCATAATCTGGATCTTCATATTCGTATTGCTTCTTTTATATTTTATTAGATTTACTAGAATCATCGATTTTTCCACTATTTCCAATTTATTATCTTGAACTGTCTTTGATATCATGGAAGCTTTAGCTGCTTTAGTTATACATGAAATCCGATCTCTGATTTTTCTAATTTGAAACAGAAGAAATTTGCTTTGATTAAGAGTTTTCCATATCTTGTTCAAATTCACCATTAAATTATATATTTTAATCCTTACTAACTAAATTTTGGTTCCATTATTAGTTTCTAGAAGATTCATTTTACGAAGATAAAACATCTGATGGTCCTCTATTAAATTCCAAGGGAGATATAATATGAATTTGTTAATTATCTATTTCATATTCTCCTTAATTAACTTCTTCATTCAATCTATTAGAAGAGTGATTTTCGTAGTTGATTTAGCTATCCTAATTAGAGTATCTGTTAGAGTAGTTTTGTTTAGAAGGATTTTAAATTGGAGCTCCCTTATTATAAATGTAAATTATTATTAAAAACAAAAAAAATAAATAAATATTATTTACATTTTATTATATATTGTTCTACTATTGTTACTGGTATTTAATATTTTTTCTCTAAGAGTAATCTGAATCTATTGATGAAGAAGAAGATTCCAATACCAATCTAGGATCCACATCACTTTCAGAGGGTATGTGCTAGTTCTCATTACTTGACTAGAAATTATTATTTTAACTTTCTTCAGGATGCTAAATATAATACATATTTTGAGTATTTTCATGATAGTTGTTTTCTTAATTTTAAAGTTAGTTTTAAATTTCATATAAGTATTAATCAACGCTTTAGAGTGCTAATTGTTGTTATTATTATTATTACTAATTACCTCCTTAATTTTAGATAATTACTTAGTTTTATAGCTATTATTGTTGTTGTTGTTTTTGTAGCATTTAATCTTATAATAATTAAAGCCTCTTTTAAATATTTAAATATTGCTCAAATTTTTAATGAATAATTTGATTTCTATTTGATTCTTAAAGTACTTTTTAATTTGAAGTTTCTTTACTATTTTTTGTTATAAAGCTATGTAGACTAGTTTATCCAGAGCTCATCTTTCCAGGGTGACTTCCTACTTACATATAATTTTAGTGTAAAGTTTGGTTAGTATTATCTCCTTTATTTGACACGATAGACAAGTTTAAATTTTATTGCTTTAAATTTTACCTATAATTAATTATAAAAAAAGAAAAATTTTCAAAATATTATTTTAAAAAATATTATCTATTTATTTATTACTCTAATTTAGCTTAATGCAATATACTCTTGCATTCATTATTTAACAAACTAAACTTTCTATCACTATTTTATTCATTTTCAAGAGCTTCAATATCAATTTTTATGTCACTTTGTTGTTAATTAATAATTGTATTTTGCTGTAAAAATAACTTATTATGTAAAACTTGCTATTATCTGATGAAGTCTGAGGGAACTCTTTATAGAGCGTAGGCATCCTCAGAAGTGCTTCGTCCCTATCTTATTTAATAATAACTATTCTAACTCTGTTAGTTATCGTTTATGTTCATAATAAAGGATTTCTTTTAAACAGATTTAGAACGTGAAGATCTTTATTACCTTTTAATAGTATCATTTAATTTTTTTAAATTCTCAACTTTCATCTTTTAAATTTCTTTTTTCTCCTATTCTAATTCTTTACTTTTCTCTATTTATCTTTTTTTTTAATATTCCATGAAAGCTAAAATATTTTAATGTTCTTCCAAAGTCTTTTAAGCCCTATTACTATGGTGATGCTCAAATTGTTACTCTTTGTGTTCTTTTTATTCTTAATTTTCTAATTAAAAAGTGAATTAGTACAAACAATTTTTCTTTATAAATTAATATTTTTACTTTTTTTAATACTTTGTAAGGTATTTTCATCTATCTTATTTAAAAAGCTAAGCCCAAAAAGCTCTCTTCTTTTTGTTTCATCATACTTTTATGTGTTATTAAGATTGTTGATTCTTTCTTAGCTTTTTTCTGATCTGTGCTATGAGAATCTTTTTTATTAGTTAAATCCCCAAGGAAATTTAGGATCATCTTTCTTAGCCTTCTATTTCAAAAATCTTTATCCATTATTAATCCTAATAGTTTCATTATCAATTTGAAGTTACAGTTTCTTTTATTAAATTTTCTTTTCATTTTCGAGCTCGATTTACTTTTAAATAATTTCTTAAACTAATAAAAAAAAAATCATTTAAATCCCATCATAATATAACTAAAAAAATTTATATATTTACTTTTTTTCTTTTTGATATTATCGATGCTTATTTGATTTAAGTTAGAATTTTGATGACCTCCACTTGGGCTTCTTTAGGTCTTTTTTTCTATTTTTATTTGAAGAATTTTTTCTTAAAACTTAAAATATATTTATTAATTAATTAAATTAATTACTGTTGTTTGTTTAACTAAAGGATTTATTTGTGACATTAAGAGTGTCAGTTTTATTTAAATCAACCTACTTAGATTTTGTAAAAGTAGTATTTACTTAGCTCATACTTGCATTAACTTTAGATAAACTTTTTTTTCCTGCACTTTTTGATCTCGAAGACTACCTTTTGGAGGCATTTAATTTCTTTTTTGAAGCACTTGTACGTTGTTTTCTATCTTCATTTTGGTAACCAAAAATCTAATTATTTTTTCTATTGCCATTTATTTTATAGTCTTCAACATCTATAGTCCCATGAGCTTCAAATGTAGCAGTATTTGAAGTATGACAAATTTAACCGTTTTCATTATTCAAATTATTATACTGATTCATATTGATTTAGTTCTACTAAAATTAATTTGAACAAAAACTATTATTTTATTAGTTTTGATAAAAAGCAGTGCCGTCTTATCCTTACTTATTTTGATTTTAGCTAAGAAGATTCAGTTGTTAAAGAGCTTTTTATTAAATTAGATATTATTATTTGAATTAAGATAAAATTATTTGTTAAAATTACCATGATGATTGTTACTTCTTTAACTTGTAACAGATTAATTCCCATTAAAGTTAATTTATTGGTTATGAGACTACTATTAATGGACTGATGAAGGTGGAACGAATTAGTTAAATATATTAATAGAGTCAGATGGAATTTATGAAATGGTGTTCATGTCTGAAGAAGTTGTTTGTGTATTATTCAAGCCTTTTAATGATATTGTTTTCTTTTTAGATTTCTTCTTTGCACCTGCATTTGATAGAGCTACTGTGCTCTTATTTCCTCCATTATGCTTGGATACAGTTCTTTTATGTGAGTGCTATTCATGGCCATTCTTTTCCTATGCTTTTTTTGTTATCTATGCTTATTGTTACTGCTGACCATTTAAGTATCCATTTGAATTTACATTTTATACAAGCTTTTGCTAATTAGATTGAGGGTACTCGTTTAGGTGATTAAAAAAAAGATCAATTTAACAATTTGGGTTAGATTTAGTAGTGTTAGGCTATCTAGATGAATTCTTTTGAGAACTTTTGCTTTTTGTTGATTGAGTTGGCACATGCTTAGAAGTGCTGCTTCTTGTTTGCTTTCCTTATTTATTTTTATCTGTAATAGATTCAATTGTCATATTAGGAGCATATATTTCAGGGCTATCAAAATCCAAGTCTTCTCTAACTATATATGCTTATCCAAATTAATCTCCAATTCTTTACTTTATTGACTTTTGCATTAAAGGAATAGGGAATTTTTCTATTTTTTATAAAATTAAAACCTATTATAAAGATCAAAAACAAATAATTGTATTCTATGAAATTGATTGCATTTGCTAACTTTAATTTCTAATATTAAATGAACATATAACTTAAAGTTTTAAGACATATTTTACTATTTTTTGAAGTCTTCACAGTGATATTTTGAGTGGTAGATATTTTACGTCCTGCAAATTGAGATTAGGCTTAAATATTTGCATCATTACTATTTTCTTTATTAATGTAATTCTACTAATCTATCATTGTTGCTAATCTAGAATAATAATAATACTTTATTAGAAAATTCAAATAATTTTATTGCTCTTATAGTTGCTCTTTATCCAATTTAAATTCAAAATTGTATATAAATGGCAAGAGATAAGAAAATAGATAAACACTTTTAAAAAAGTTATAATTACTCTTTCTTTTAATTATAGTTATTATTAATAAATATGGTGGGCTATAAATTTATTGGGTCTCCACTGCTTGAAGTTTCGCTTTGATATGAATTTCGCTTAAAGAATGGATTCATTTAGAATGAAATTTGAAATATTATTATTTTGTATTTTAATTAATTACAAAAAATACGTATATTGATTTTATACACAAATTTTCGATATTTATTATTTGTTTGAATCAAATAGTTATTCGCTAATCAATATTTAGATTAAATTAGTGATAAAATCAAATCAACCAAAAAGGGAAGCAGATGAATGGATTATTATTATTATTTATTGATGCAACCTTTCAAAAAATCTAAATTCAAAAAAATATATTGAAGATTCAATAATAAGTCTTCCATAAATAAATAAAATCAATCTTTTTATTAATTTATTTATATTTTGCAACCAAGCTAATTATTATTAATTGAATTTTGCATTAAAACTTAGTTGGTGCCAAATTAAAATTCAAATATATTTAACTACGAAATTTATACAGAACTTGATTGATGTTCAAATTTTAAATTTTTATTTCGCAAAACATATTCATAATCAATCATTACCCTTTTATTAATATTAATTTTCAAAATATTAAAAATAAATAAATAAATTAATTATTATCACGAATAGAATATTTTTATAATATTTCAACCTTTGTAATAAATTAAATTGTTTGAAAAAAAATCACATTAATTTAATCTAAAATAGTTTTTTAATATTAATACTATTAATTACTCAAAGCCTTTATTTATAATGAGTTAAGTAAATAAATTATTTTAAATGCTATGTTATTTTTAAAATTTTAAATTCTAATAGATATTTTACTAAAAACATATTCTATTATTTATCTTAATTCATTATTTAATTATTCACGAAGTTAAATTGTAAAACATTATTTTAAAGATCTTTTAAATAGTTAAAGAAGGATACAATTAAAAAAAATATTTTTTAAGTATTTCAAATGAATTTTATGATTGAATTGTAAATTAATTATAGGAATAAAAAATTAAAATTAAAAATAAAATTATCTATTAAATATCTTGTAAGCTTTTTTTACTAATATTTTTATGTAAATCAATTTGTATGTTAGAATTTTTGTATTTAAATTAGTTTCATAAAAAATTTGAGTTTTAATACAAATATCAAATTTATTTAAATTACAAAACTTCCCAAAATAATTTTAATTGGTATTTTTATACATTAAAAAAATAATTTTAGATATTATTAAACTTATATATATATATATATAATTAATTAATAATATGACTGTTGTGAAAATATTGAATATTTCTTAGTACTAAGTAAATTAATAGAAGATATTTATTTATTAAAAGTTAGTATTAATATATATTGTTTTCAAAATTAATAGATGTTCAAAACAGCAAGTTTTCATGAATCAAGCAAAAATATACATTTATTATTTCTCATCTTGCCTCAATTTCAGTTTAATTTTCATAAAAAGATAATTTTTTTTCTATTTTATTTTTTAGTTGACAATACTTAGATTATGTATTTTTTAACGATACAATTTACTAAAATCTTATATTTATTTTCTAATTTTTTTTTTCAGTTACTTACATACATATTATTTAAGAAATAGTTAAAACAATTAAATTTTATTCTCTTAATTATAATTCAGTGATAAAGTATTTGTGTAGAAAAAAGATGTTTGCAGATTCGCCAAAAAATTATATCACAAATATTTAAGTATTTCACTCTGGTAAGCTATTACTCAGTTAAAAATAGTTCATTAATAATTGCAAAAATTTATGGTAACTTTTGGCATGGGAAATATTTATAATTTGGCATAAATTGAATGAAAAAGAAAAAAAACAAACAATAAACATACCAAATAAAGAAAGAAGGAAGAGCTTTCAAAAGTAATAAAAATAATAATTAAGTTAATAAAAATTTACTTAAGGTAGAATTTATTTCCAGTTTAAACATAAGGATTTGGTAATGCAATGTACTAGTCCATCGTTAAATAGAAAAATACTTTAAAGCAGATTGATGAGTAAAATTAAAATTTCCTTTCAGGAGGCAAAGGAAGTTTCATTATTGAAACAATTCAAGAAAATTCTACATCTTCTTCCAAACAGTAGCCAAAAATAAAGCCTAGAGATTTATCATCGCCATATTCTTAATCACTAAATTAAACTAATTTAAAAAAGAAAAAAATTCAATCTTAAAGTGTTGAAAAATACAGTTACAAATAAAAGAAAGCAACCTCAGAAAAACCTTGGAAGGCTAAGCAAAAAAATGTTTAGACATAAGAAGAGGACAACAAAGATTTACAAACAACAGGCTTCTCAGATTTGAAGTCCTCTTAAAATAACTTATAAATTAACAAAGAATAATTCAAACGTAGCACTAACAGTCCTACTTAATAATTATTTTCTAGTTCTAAACAAAATTAGCAACAGCTTACTTCTTCAGTCGAATATAGCACAAATCATTTGCATAACATTAGTACAACAACTACGACAACAGCTGCAAGCAGAGGAAACTCGAGAGTCAGCAAGAACGCTTAGTATTCAAATAAAAAAAGTTAAAATACATATCAAACTAACAATACAATTCATAGCAAATCCCCTAAATATTACCAATCTCCTAATCAAAACTCTGGTTCAATCAATCCTTGGAATATAAACGCATCCAGAAAACTTAATTTTAACTAACTTCAAGAAGATAGTTAACAAGAATCTCAGTATATGCATCAAAAAAATATGCAAAGAACTCAAGAGTTCTCACCTGAAAATAATCGTAGTTAAAATAAAGATAGTTAAAGCTATAAATTTACAGGCGGAATTACAAGCGGATTATTAACACAAAAATCAATTTAATCTCCTACAGAGATTCCATAAGATTCAAAAAAGAACAGAGAAATATAGAGCGCTAACTTTGATACAATAAAAGAAAAGTCTGTTAAAGGGATAAAGCATAATTATTCACAAAATAAACAAGTGATAGAAAGGGCCACCTCTTAAAATATTAATGCATTAAAAAAGGGAAATAACCAAAAAAATGCAAAACCAACTTCAGAAACTAAAATAGATCCAATAACTAAGATAGATAAAATTCAGAAAAATAATAAAGATAATGTAAAGCTATAAACAGCTAAGCCATAGAAATCAAATGCATAAATATAATCTTAAAAATAAGCTAAGAGCAATCATTAAAACAACATTACTAAAGAAACATTTAATAAAAAACTTAACTAAAAGATATAATAAAAAAAGTTTGAGAGATCTTCAAACGATATCAACAGCGCTTCAGATACAGAGTATTTTGAAATGTCATAAAAATTTTCTACAATAGGAGATCCTAGACTATTTTAAATTGAGCATATTATTGGAGGATAGGCTCCTTCAAATGCAAAGTAAGAATCTACAGCTAAATAGTAAAATCCTCCGAAACCATAACTTAAATATCCTAATTATAAAAGTGAATAAAAGAATTAAAAGAGACAGAGCGATAAAATTAATAATGGATACAATTAACCAATTTTAGATGATGAAATAGAAGAAAATATAGAAACAGAATCTAAGCATTCTCTCAACAACTCTCCAAAGCACAAACACAAATTTTAATAAGAAGTTGAAATTGAAGAAATTGTTGATGTTTACGAAGATAATTAATAGCACTGTGCTACTCAACCAGTAATAACAAAAGATTTTAAAGATTGTCATAAAATTAGCTGTATTCCTTAATTAAATCATTTAACAATGAGTAATGTAATGCAGAAAGAAACTTAAGAAGGCCATGATGGCGATCATGAAGACAATTCTGGTGATTATACTGATTATGAGAAACAGAAAAAAATAAATTCAACAGGATTATCTTTTACTAAACCAAACTTAGCTGTTAAAAAAAATGAAAGCTATGCATCAGATTTACAAAAAACCTAAGAAAAAATATTTTAAAAATATAGCAACCCTAATTCTAATAATAATCCTTATTATAATTTTGTAACATAAGAAGAATAAATTGATTAAGATCATTCTAATTAGTAATTAAGTAGTTAAAAAATAGAAGAAGCTCAAGATGATGATCTTAATTAAAGTTAAACCCGTTTCTTAAAAGATCAGATTTCAAATATGATGATTTCGAACCTCAGACCTTTTACTCCACCTTTTAATCATGTTTGCTAAATGAATTCTTCAAATTTAAGATAAAAAAAAGATTCAATTATCAGCAATCACTCAATTAATAACAAGCACAATCAAAATTATAATTAACTGCAAAAATAAGAATCTTTCTAGGCTGCTAATAAATCTTCGACATCATCCCATAGAGATGATAATGAAATAGAAGTTTTCTATGATGATATCCTTAATTGTTATTACGATCCTAAAACAAACTAGTATTATGAGCTTAGAGCTTGAATAAACTATTTATAATAAATAAAATATTTAACTACAATTTTTATAATAAAAAATATTTTTATTTTATTACTTTCTTTTAAATTATAAATTTTTACTTTTGAAACACAAATAACTAATTTAAAATGATTTTGATCATTAAATTGGAATTATCAATTTCAATTTAAGATGAATATTTTTATTTTAATAAAATAGCTATTTTTTTATATATTTGGATATATATTTTGATTTAGAAAATCCTTATAAAAAGAATAATATCGAATACTTTTTACATCCATACTTTAAAAAATAAATTGTAGATACATCAAAAAATCCCTATTTATTTTTAATTACTGTAATTCCTCTCAGTCTCGGCACATTGTCTTTCGGCATTTACTTACACGAGGATTGAGGATAATTAAAAAAATTTAAACAAAAAATGTAATAATCAATCAAAAGATTATATTATTTTTTGAGTATATATTATTTGTTTAATTATTTTATAATAAATTGATAAGAAGAAAGAAAAAACTGATTAAATTGAAGTAAAAATAAATATTAAATGAGTAATCGAAAATTGGCTTTTTTTAGCTTGTTAATATATTATTTAAATAGTATATTTAGTATATCTGTATCTATACTAATAATTTAGTAAGAAAAAAAAGGTAATGGGCTTGCATATTTTATTGTATTTTTCATTATCTTTGGTATAGATAAACTCATATGTTTAATTGAACTGATGAAAAGTAACGCTTTGAAAATTTAGTGGATTTTAGACATATTTTTTGTTGGTTTTCTATACTATCCATTTAAAATGCCTAATAATAAATATTTAGCCATGTTTTTGGTATCGAGAGTGATTCCTTAACTATTTATAGAACTTATTTTCTTTTTCTACGCAGGAGTTATAAGAGATAATTAAATAAGCTATTATTTGAGAGTATGCATGATGATCAACTACATATTCTTTGCATTCAATTTTGTGACTATTATCATAACTTTGGCATTTTTAGAAATATAAAAAAGACCTTCATTATATTTCTATATATTCAATAATTTTTTTCCACACTACATAAGCATTGCAACTTTAAGTTACTATGAGGATACTTTGGGATCAAATTTAGCCATATACTAGATATTTATTACCACACTAATATTTATTGGTCTATTAATTATTAAATATCCAAAATTGAAGTTCAAACACATATTTTTAATTATTCCTCTTTTTTTATTTAATAACTATTTAGTAGCATGGTAAAAAACTATATCAAAAAAGAAAATTTATCTTGAAATGTCTGCCTATTTTAGTTAATTTATAAGATGCTTAATATTAGTAAGCTTTGGTTATGAAGAGATATTTAATCATCAAAAATATTCTTCTAATTAAATAAAATCGTACTATCATATTTAACTATTATTTTGACTCTATTACAATTAAGCTTTGATTTTAAAAAAATATACTTGCTTTTATTTAAAACTAAAGTTATCAAAATAAAAAAAGAAGAGCAAATTCAATAAGTTAATAATTTACTAAATTAGGTTATCAAATTACATTTAGCTATTCATTTAAAACTTCTAAAATAAATTAACTAAAATTAGTAAGAGGAAGAAAATCTCAATAAACTTAAATTTAAAAATGAAATATTAGCTCTTTTAAAATAGTTTGCTTAGTTTGAAAATAGCAAAAACATTTCTTTCTATAATAAAATTCAATTTTTTGTATATTTAGAACTTTTTTATGAAGAAATTGCAATAAACTTCAGAGATATCTAGGCTGAATTATTAGTTAAAATATCTGAATCTAATAAAATTAAAGAAAAAATTTTTTATATCATCTTGGAAAGAGCATAAAAAGGATTTTTATTTAATACCTCAAGCCAAAAATTATTAGAAAAAATGGAATCTTTAGATTTAAAAGATAAATTGTATTCATATTTATCCTCAAACCTATAAATAATAGGCTTTTATAAATATCTTTCACCTGAAATGCAATACAACCCAAACTAAATAATCTATGATTTATATAATATTAACTGAAAAGTTAAATATATATATATATATATAAAGTACACTAAATTGTTTAAACTAACATTCAATACTACTTAAAGTAATTTTTTTAATCAAATTAAATGGTGTCATTAAATTCAAGTGTTTTACTAATTTAATTTACAGAAAAAGAATATTTGTAAATTTGTAAATGTTTAAAATTAAAAATAGCACATCAATAAATAAAGGAATATCCAATTATTTTATAAAAGAAGATGTAAAACCTCATTAATTTTCACAATTATACTGTAATTTTAGAAAATATTTTGAATCTTACAAATTTTTTTTAAAATTATTTTTGAATAAGGGAAGAATTTCTTTAATTAAAAATTTTACAGTTAATAATTAATTTCGAAGTTAATTAATAAATTTTTAAAAGTTAAATAAAAGAAAATTTAGTTAAAAAAATGTAATAATCAATCAAAAGATTAAAAATTTAAAGCATATATTATTTATTTATTGTTTTTATAATAAGCTTTAAAAAAATAAAGGTAAAATGATTAAATTCCATAAAAATAAATTGTAAAACGAGTTATCAGAAATAGGTTTTTTTAGCTTGTTAATATTTTATTAAAATAATATATTTAGCATGTATGATTCTTTACTATTATTTTTTTTAGAAAACAGAAGTAAGAATGAGCTTGCTTACTCTATTGTATAATATTTCATTATCGTTGGTATAGATAATCTCAATTATTTAATTTGGTTAATGTCTAGAAACACTTAGAAATTAATGGATTTTAGACATATTTTCAGCTGGCTTTATAAACTATCCGTTTAAAATGTCTAATGATCATTATTTGGAGAGGTTTTTGGTATTTATAGTGCTTCCTTAACTAAAAATTAAAGCTTATTTTCTTTTTTTATCCAGGAATTATAAGAGATAATTAAATAAGCTATTATTTGAAAGTATGCATGATGATTAACTGCAAATTCTTTGCATTAAATTTTGTTATTTTAATCATAACTACTATATTTTTAGAAATAAAAAAAGCCTTCATTATCTTTCTATAAATTCAATAATTTTTTTCTATATTATTATACATAGGCATAGAAACTTTAAGCTATTATGCAGATACTTTGGGGTTTAATCAAGCTATATACTAGATATTAATTACCATAGTAATATTTATAGGTCTTTTAATTATTAAACCTCCAAAATGTAAATGTAAAGACTTATTTTTATTTATACCTCTTTTTTTAGTAAATAACTTTTTGGTTGACATTGGAATATCAAAAAAGAAAACTTTCCTTGAAATATCAGTCTATTTTAGTGAATTTATTAGATGCATAATACTAATAAGCATAGGCTATGAAGAAATATTTGATCATCAAAAATATTCTTCTAATTAAATAAAATTCCTTTAACAAATTTACCTATTATTTTGGTGATATTAGAATTAGGTTTTGACTTTAAAAAAATATACTTGCTTTCATTTAAAACAAAAATTATCAAAATATATGAAAATAGTTAAAAAATTTCTTTCTATAATAAAATTTAATTATTGAATATTTAGAATTCATTTACTAAGAAATTACAATCAAATTGAAAGATATTTAGACTGAATTATTAGTTAAAATTTCTGAATCTAAACAAATTAAAGAAAAATTATTTTAGATCATATTGGAAAGAACATAAAAAAGGTTTCTTTTTTTAATACCTCAAGTCAAAAATTACCAGAAAAAATGAAACCTTCAGATTTAAAAGATAAACTGTATTTAAATTTATCCTCTAACATATAAATAATAATCTTATATAAATATCTATCACCTGAAATGCAATACAACCCAAACTAAATAATCCATGATTTATAGAATATTGACTTAAAAGTTATTAATGTGCACTAAATTGTTTAAATTAATGTTTATGATCACTTAAAGTAATTTTTCTATTTCATCACTAAATTCAAGTTTTTACTGACTTAATTTGGAGAAACAAAATATTTATAAATTTGTGTATGTTTGAAATGAAAAAACATTAAGTTCAATATTTTGTACATTACATTAGCGAATTTAAAGATAATTTAATTATTTTATAAATGAAGATATGCCATAAATACTAATTAATTTACTTCCCAGTTAATATTCACCTTTTTACTGAAATTTTTCAAAAAAAATTAAGAAAAAAAAAAAAAAAAAAATTAATAATCAATGTAAAGATTTAATGTTTTGGGTGTATGTTATTTGTTTATTTTTTGATAATAAATTTAAAAAAAGAAAGAAAAAACTAATTCGAGTGAAAAGAAAATTTAAAATGAAGAGTCGAAAATGGGCTTTTTATAGCTTGTTAATATATTATTTAAATAGTATATTTAGCGCATCTATATCTATACTAATAATTTAGTAAGAAAACAGAGGGAAAAATGCACTTGCTTACTTTATTGTATATTTCATTATCTTCTGTATAGATAAACTAGTTTGTTTAACTGCTCTCTTATCTAATAATACTTACAAAATTTAGTGGATTTTAGACATATTTTCAGTTGGTTTTCTATACTATCCATTTAAAATGCTTGATTAAAATTATTTAGGGATGTTTTTGGTATGGAGAGTGTTTCCTTAAGTATTTATAGAGCTTATTTTCTTTTTTTATGCAGGAGTTATAAGAGATAATTAAATAAGCTATTATTTGAGAGTATGCATGATTGTCAGCTACATATTCTTTGCATTAAATGTTGTTACTTTAATCATAACTTTGTAACTTTTAGAAATAAAAAAAAAATCTTCATTATCTTTCTATATATTCAATAATTTTTTTCCTTACTATATAAGCATCGCAGCTTTAAGTTACTACGTGGATACTTTGGGATCTAATCTAGCGATATACTAAATATTCATTACCGTGTTAATATTTATGGGTCTATTAATAGTTAAATATCCAAAATTGAAGCTTAAACACTTATTTTTAATTATACCTCTTTTTATAGCAAATAACTTTTTAATAGCTTAGTAAATAATATCAAAAAAGAAAATTTACCTTGAAATATCTTCATATTTTAGTTAATTTATTAGATGCGTAATACTAATAGGCTTTAGTTATGAAGAAATATTTGACCATCAAAAATATTCTTCTCATTAAATAGAATTCATACTAGCATATTTAACTATTATTTTGACTTTATTACAATTAGGTTTTGATTTTAAAAAAATATACTTGCTATCATTTAAAACAAAAATTATAGAAATAAAAAAAGAAGATCAAATTCAATTAGCTAATAATATCCTAAATTAGAATAGTAAATTGCATTTTGCTATTTCTTTAAAACTTAGAAAATAAGCTATTTAAAATTAGAATGAGGAAGAAAACTTTAATAAACTTAAATTTAAAAATGAAATACTGACTCTTTTAAAATAAATTGCTTAGTTTGAAAATAATGAAAACATTTCTTTCTATAATAAAATCTAATTTTTTGAATATTTAGAATGCTTTTACGAAGAAATCGCAATATATTTCAAAGATATTTAGACTGAATTATTAGTTAAAATATCTTAATCTAATAAAATTAAAGAAAAACTATTTTAGATTATCTTGGAAAGAACATAAAATGGATTTTTTTTTAATACCTTAAGTCAAAAATTATTAGAAAAAATGTAACCTTCAGATTTAAAAAATAAATTGTATTAAAATGTATCCTCAAACCTATAGATAATAAGCTTTTATAAATATCTATCACCTGAAATGAAATACAATCCAAATTAAATTATCTATGATTTATATGATATTTACTGATTATTTATATTAATATATACTAAATCCAATCCATTAAGTTAACATTCAATATGACTTAAAATTATTTTTAATCAAATTAATATTCTCACTAAATTCAAGTTTTTTATGATTTAATTTGCAGAAATAGAATATTTTTAAATTTGTGTATGGTTGAAGTTAAAAAACATTTAATCCAATATTTTGTTTTATATAGCACATCAGTAAATAAAGAAGCATAAAATTATTTTATAAATAAAGATATGCTTTAAATAATCATTAATTTTTATCCCTATAAATTATAATTATTTTACTGAAACTTTAGAAAAAATTTAAAGAAAAAATGATAACTTCCTTTCTATTATTGTTGGCACCTTTTGAAATATTATGGTATGTTCTTGTTTTAGCAGCTAAAAAAATGCAAAACGTGGAAATTTAATATCAAAGATAAAATAATAGCAACAATTTTTATTGCAACGTGTTCTTTTATTCTTTAAAGTTAAAAAAAAAAATAAATGATAAGTATTAATTAGTTTTTAAACACTTTCTGATCAATAAATATTTATAAAATTAATAATTTATAAGAAAAAACCCTTTTTTATGAAATTCTTTAGTATCTTATTAGTGGCTACTTTAGTAGTTGTAATTGCTTCAAACTAAGCAGAATAGTAGAATATAAAAACTCTGAATAAATTAGAATCGGTCTAGTAATATAGTGACTCTCAAATCTATAATTAAGATACCTCTTTTGAAAATTGCTATGAAAGTCTTGTAAAGTAAGCAATCAACGATTAAATTTGCTAAAAAACTGATGAAAAGTGTATTATAGTTCTTAAATCCTTAGCTAATTGTGCCAAAGGATGTGAAGATAAAAGTAACAGAAATGAATACTAGTCTATTGTTTGCTTTAGAAAAAATTGTGGTTCTGACCATCCATAATATTAAATTTTTATTTAACAGCTTTATTCCTGTTTTAGCCCATATAGTTATTTAGCAATGAAAAACTCTATTATATTACTTGGCTTTACTGTGCTAATAATATGCTTATATAAAAAATACTAATGATTTTGTGATTTATTTTAACTTTATATATTTTATGAAAAATATGTAAATTAAATGAAAAATATTTTTAACAATTTACTAGAAATATTATAATTATAATACTTGTTCGATATTTAATTTTTTATATCTATCTATCTATACAGATATTTTAAAGATAGACAGAATATCGAAGTTAGAAAAATGGAATTTATAAGACATGAGTCAGAAAAAAAGTAAAAATAAAAATACATCTATATTGATATTTTAAAAGTCTAAAATTATGTGATATACATAACTCAATCATTTTATTTTATTTAAAATAATTATACAAGTTTAAATTTCTATTGTTAATCTTTCTAAAAATATAGTTAATTAAAATTATATTTTTTTATGAAATATTCAAAATATCAAAAAAATAAATTTATGTTTTATACTTAATCTTTAATTTTATTATTTTTAATGTTAAATATTATTTAAATCATTTTTATTAGATAGTGAAGATTATTTTTAAATATGGCAAAGTGCAAAAATTACAAAAAATTATTTTAATATATTAAAAAAGAAATAAATTCGATTATTAAAATAAATAATTTTAGTTTTATAATAAATCTTTATTTATTACAATTTATATATATTATTTATAAAGAAATTTATTTTTATGAAGTTATAAATTCAAGGTTATTGAATTTATTAGCTTGTAGAGTTCTTTTTGTTTAATAGATTTTAAAGTTTTTCTTATTCTAATTATAGCTAATTTTATTACATTTAAAGTTATGCATACTAAGAAATATATTGTTTTTGTAAGTAGTAGTCTTTAATTGCTACAGGTATGTAAGATCCTAGTCCATAACAAAATACTAATAAAAGTACACCTCTAAAAGCTTTTTATTTATTTTTTAAAATGTATTAACTACAGTAATTTAAGGGATTGTAAAAATATTTATTTAAGTTTTATTAGCTCAAGAATATATTAGCTCTACTTAGTTATTTTTTTAACAATTAATATCCATTTTTAGTAACCTAATTTACTTTAGAAGAATCTAATCCTTTTTCTTAAAGTTTTTATTATAAACTATGAACTTTATTTTAAAAGGTCGGATTTTAAATTAATCTTTAGGCTGTAGGACCAAAATCTTTTAGCTTAAGTAAAGCTTTTGATGCATAAGTAGCTAAATACTTATCTCTGAAAGATAGCCATTTAGTATGAAAAGCATTGAAGTTCTAATTTTTAATTTAATCTCCATATTTTGATTAGATGTAAATTTTTTCCATTCTAATTTTTTAATTGATGCTTTCTCCTTTCTTCATTACTTCCTAATAAAAATAATATGACACATTTTTTGCCTTATTAATATCTTGCTAATTGTTTTTCTTATAATCGTAAGCCTTTTTCCTTAGATTTTTTAAAAAGTCGTTCATTTTTTTTCCAAATTTTTCAACTAATTTTGATATTATTTGTATATTAATTAATTTTTTGTAATTTAACTTTTTATCAAAAATTGAAGAATGATTTATCTTTGATAGAAATTTCCTAAAATATTCCAAATATGAATTTAGTTTCTAGATAATCAAATGCTAAATTTAATTATTTAAAAAAATTATTCATAATCATTTTAGTAATAAAAATACATTTTTAATTTAACAATAATTTCTTAAAATAAATTTTTAATTTATTTAAAATTATTTCAATTTTTGTATTTTTATTGATTTTTGATTTAAGTAAAAAATTATTAAATTTAAAATAGATTGAGTGGTAGACTCAATTCTTCATACGAATTTTGTTTGTTAGCATCAAATATCTATAAATCTATTAATTTATCATTTAAAAGAAATTCAGTGATTTTAATTGATTACAAATCTCTATTAGATTTCTTAAGTTGTTTCATTATATGTATAATTTTTGTAATATTCAAACAGATAGCTTATATATAATCTTAGTAAATCAATTAATTAATTAAATTCAATACTAAAATCTATTGAAAAGAAGTTAATCAATCAAAAGATAAGAAAAGCTATTATCTGGTTTTTAAATAATAACTTAAATTTATTAGCAAAATTAGAATTGCTTTATATTAATTATAGTATAATTAAAATGTGGAATAATTTAGCTTGCACTTCATATGATATTTGCTCTACAAGAAGGATTACTGAAGTAAAATGAAACAATTTTATCTTAATTTATTTATGTTTACTTTTTAAATAAGCAAAATCATTTTTGAATCAATATTTGAAGTGAGTTAGCTAACAAATTAAATGTATGAATTTTTTTTTAATATAAAAGGCTCAAAGAAGACATCTTTAAAGCTTAACTAGCGTAAGACCTACTATCGATACAAGAACTCCATGGTAACCAAGCCATTCTCTTTCTAAATGGACCAATAAATATACAAATTGTAAGAATTAAAAATAATTAGAAAAATAACAAATATAATGAAGAAAAAATATAGAAAAAAATGAATATTAAAAAAAATGTTAACCTTGCAATTTATTTTAAAAAAGAAAAGTGCTAATTTTAAACAATTTATTTTTATAAAAGAGAGAAATTAAAAAATTTAGCATGATAATAAAGTGTTGCTTGAGAAAATGATGGTAATAGATAAGAAATCATCTAATATGAATCCTAAAAAATTAGCCTAAGAAATATATCCAATAAAAAGCATGGCTGAGTATCAAAGAAGAAGAAATCAAGAAAATCTCAAATAGGAAAACAACGTACAATTAAATTTTATCTGATTATCAGTTTACTTTAAATAAATATAAATTCATTTTTTGCTAAATATATCAAAAAAATAAATTAGAAAATAATAGAAAGAATAGATAATGCAACTTAAAAATCAAATTATGGAAAATAAATGTGGATGAAAGAAAGTAAAAAATTTGAGTAATACAAAAGTAACATTCTAAGAAGCAAGTCTAAAAGTAAAAACTTATTCATTGATTGATTAATAACAAAACTCGTTTTAAATAGAGCTAAACTACTTATATATAAAATAGTACAAGGAATAGATTATACAAAGCTTACTAAAATTAATTACCCTAACGAGCATTTTATGGTTAGAAAAATAAGTACTCCTAACATTAATAACTAAGGTAAAATTGATTTTTTTTTTAATGAGAAACATCTTATTTTTTGATTACTTTAAACTCAAAAAGCCTACTATAGTAACAAGCCTAAAACTCCTGGTGGAAGGTTATAAGATAATAGACAAGGAAATGATATAGATTTTTAACTTTGAGATTAATAAATATTTTAATATAGAATTCTTCATAAAACCAACCAATTAGATTTATAAATTTATGCAATTTAATTTTGTTTATATTTTATATAAAGTAAAAAAATATTTCAATAATGCTTATTATCATTCATTACCTTTCAGTATATATTTTTTTTAGATTTGTAAAGTCTATTTCAATTAATTTCTTGACAAAAATTATCAAATAAATAAATAAAATTATCCTTTCTAATTTAATGAAGGGAGGGTATGTGGTGTATATAGAAATTATGGGTATTAATAAAATCATTTTTATTATCAAAAAATAGATAGATTTATACTAAGAAAATTAATATATCCCTCCTTCATATATGTATTTTTATTGAGTATATACTAAATTTAAATAAAAAATTTTCTTATTACTAGATCAGTTTAATTCAAAATAAAATACTCTTTTACATTATTTTATATTAACTAAATACAAGTATATTTTAAAATAATTTAATAATATTGAAGAAATTAAATATAATAACTCAAATAATACAGCTTTTGTTTGAAATTAAATTATATTTTTAGTTTATATAAAACATAAAATATAGTTTTTAGAATTATGATAAAAAATAAATAAATAATAAATATGAATAAAAAAGAAGGGCTATGTTAAAATAAATTTACTTAATGTAGTTTTGATTAAGTATGATTAGGTACTCTTCAATACTAATTGTTTAACTCGTAAATTGAAGTTCTAGCATAATAAAAAAATTTAGTGGTGATTGAATGATGAATTATTAATAAAAAAATATCTAGTATTGCTTTGATAATCAGGTTTCAGTATAATTGATGCAATCAAAGTGGAAATTCTTTGAATGTATTTACGTCATAGAGAAGTAAATATATGTATATATTATATTTAAAAATAATATTTGATGATTTTAGTTCTAATTTAAAGCATCAACTATATTCTAAAATTCTTTTTTGTGTAATTGAATTCAATGAGTTTTGGGCTAAATAGCTGTATCTTTAATTAAAATCCTAGTATTTTCTTTTAAATTAGAAAAAAGTTGTTAAACAAATATCAAAGGTTAATTAATATAAAAATAAGTTTAAAAATGAGCATAGAAACAGATATAGGATTTATTAGAAGGAAGAAATCAACTTCAATTGAATTTTTGATTCCTTTCATTGGTATAGATATAGGTGGAACTTTAGCGAAACTATGTTTTGCATTGAAAAAGAATTCATAAGTTGATTTCGAGCATATTGAACATTTGATGAGTAAAGATTAAATAAATCAATCAAGCAGAAATGAAAAATTGAATAAAAAACATTATTATTAAAAAAATAGTTAATTCTTATTAAGAATTTGATATATACTTTAAAACCTTTGAGTCAAGAAATGTTGAGGATATGATAGACTTTATTGAATGTATTACTTTTTATTATTTTGCTGTATTCTTATAGTTTTATCAATCGCAAATTCTTTGATTAATGTTGAAATAATGTCTTTTAAAAATTTACATTTGTATAGCTTTAGGTTTTTAATAAGCTTAAATATAATTAAAAGTGATATTTGTCTTTTTGAAACAATAAAATAGTATTAGAGAGAGTGATTGATTATATTTTTTAATTAATATTTATTTATAGCTCTTGATATGAATTTCATTACTAAGGAATTTTACATCACTGGAGGTGGAGCTCATAAATTCGATGAACTTTTCTAAGAAAGACTGAAAGTAAATGTTATTAAAGTACAAGAATTCGAATCACTTAAGATGGGCTTCTAATTGTTGGAGTAGCTCTCTCCTAATGACTCTATATTTAACTTTAGCAAGTAAAAAGGAAAAGATTTTTTTAAAGGACAAGGAGGGTTATTCCCATTTGTACTTATAAATATTGGAAGTGGAGTAAGTATGATTAAATTTGAGGGAGAAGGAGTTTTTACAAGAGTAAATGGAACTAGTATAGGAGGAGGTATAAATTGAATATGAATTTTATTTAAAATATGAAAAAAGCAAAAATATTTTTTAATTAAATTATTTATATTAATTTATAAAAATCAGGATTCTTTTTGGGAATTACCCATTTACTTACAGGAGAAAGAAATTTTGATAAATTACTAGAAATGAGTAATTAAGGTGATAATAGAAACGTGGATTTATATGCAAATGATATTTATGGACAAGTGGTGCCACCTGAAGATATTCATGGTGATGCGCTATGTGTGAGGTATAAATAAAATTAATGGAGAAAGAATTTATTTAGATATATTCTTATTTAATAGTATGGGTAAAATGTCTGCGAAACTTAAAGAAGGCGAAGATGTTAAGTAATTGATTATTTATTTATTTAAGACTTTAATGATGTTAATTTATTTTATCAAATTAAAATTATCAGTAAAAATGACTTAGTTAAAAGCATGCTCTTGATGGCGTCATTTAATTTAAGCTAAATAGCTTTTATTTAATCAAAATTAGAGGGAATCAACAAGTAAGCTTACAAACAAATCCAATTTTATCTTATCCTAAATTTATGAATTTCTTAAAAAAAGCATAATTTTCGCAGGTAACTTCGTAAGAAATCATTAAGATACTATGGACTGTATAAATACTGCAATAGAGTTCTTTAACTAAAACGAAGATGCAAACAACCAAAGAAAAGTAAAAATTTGACATTATTAAAAATAATCTAAATATTCGAACATAATAACAGGCTTTCTTTGTAAAGCACGATGGATTTATTGGTGCTCTGGGGTCATTTTTCTAAGGGTTTACCTTAAAATAACAAAAAAAGTTATAGTTAATAAGTGAATTAAATACATAATAAGTAAAGTAAGAATGAACAAAAAAAACAACTTAGTGAACGAATGATTAAAATTTATATTAAATTAGGTCGATAAATTTAATTTCTTTTATATAATACTAATAATTGTAATTTTAACAAATTATTAATTTTAATTAGAAAACATATCTATCTATCTATCAATCTATCTATCTGTGTAACTACCTAACTAATTAGCAATTTATCTTTACTAGTATTTTTCATCAAATATTCTTTCTTTAAGATATTTGTTTGCGAAAAATATTTTTTCATATTCAAATTAATTACAAATCTAAATTATTTGGATGTATAATTACTTTTAAATGTTAGAGTTCTTTTTCTTTCAGAATGCTAAAAGAAAGATATATTTAGTATTTTTTTATTATCATATATGGATTTCGTTTGTGATTATATTGATGGCAAGTTTTAAGTAATGTTTGTAATTTTTTATGTAAGTACTGGATGGAATAAATAAAATTTAAATTATTTAATGAATTTATACTATTTACTTGAAATATTACTCAATTTTTGCAAAATTTTAAACGGGCTTGTAAGTAATTTGGCAATTTTTATATTTTTAATTTAGATTTTATTTAATTACCATTATTCAACTATCCTATAACCGGTTACAATTTTAATTGGATATAATTTTTTTTAATACTTAAATGAAAATTAAAGATATAAACCTCTTCATAAGACTTCCCTTTATCCATTTATTATATGACCATTTATTTTATATGGATTTAAAGTTGATATATAGTAACTTATAATTTTTTTTACAATATTTTTTTCTGTTCAGTAAGTTGATTATGCATGGAAAGCAATTATTATTAATTTTTTTAAAAACGAAAAAAATATTTATAACAATTTTGTTAAATAGATCTGTCAAAAAGAACATAGATAGTCATTAGCTTAATTTTCTTAATTCCTAGGAGCTTTTTACACTTTGGCATAAAATAGATTTTGACCTTTTATTTCAATTTGAAGTTATTAAGCAAATTTGCATGAATTTAATTTAATAAATTAATATTTTTGATAGTTCGTTCATTCAACCTGAAAAAAAATTTTAAGGCAAAAGGATATTTTTCTTATTATAGTTAAAGCAAAAATTTACGATTAGTAAATATGGTTACATTAAATATCTTGATATTATAAATACTTGCCAATAATAATTTAAGACTCAATGACAAGGTTTATATATTAAGCATTAAATAAATGGAATAAAATTTTTATTTCTGATTTTTTTAGTCCTTTCAAACGTTTTGATGATTAAAAAAATCTATTATTTAAGAGTAATGATCCCATTTTTTATAGAGAATTTTTATTTAATTGATATTAAAAGATGTTTTGTTTGATATTTATTTCAAATACTTTAGTGAATTATAATTAAGAAAATGGAGGATGAAATAAAAAAATGAATGAAGTTGAATTAAATTAGTGATAATATTAGTTAGTAAGAGACAAAATATAAAGCTCAAAGATTTATTACAGAGTTTATAAATATTAATAACTATAGATATATTGAAGAGAATTTAAGTTTTAGATGTTAGGGAAAGGATTAAGATATAAAGAAGGTGATTAATTTTTTAATTAATTGTATGTATCTATCTATGTGATGCTTTAGTGCGTTTTCAAGCGTAGTTTTGTTAGAAATTAGAATTGTAGTAATAGGAATTATAGTCAACATATGAATTTTCTTAATTATTAAAGCTGTAGATATATTGATTGTTTTATTAATAAGTTTCGTCATTATTTTAGAATAAGTTAAATTAGTTATCACCTATTTATTAAGAAATTTAATTGTTATAATTTATTTATTATTATAGGAATTTGAATGAGTTGTTTCTTGAAAGGGAAGGTAATTATTATTACTAAAGTTATTGTTATTATTATAATTGTTGTTATTCAATTATTTAATCATATTAATTTTCATTAAAGTTATTCATGGTTTAGGGAGCAGAGCTGATGGGGCTTGAGGTATCTTCAGCTTTTTATACTAAATCTTCAGGAATATTAGTGAAGAAATCATTAATATTATCTTCTTATTAAGGTTAATCGAAGTTAATATCCATTTGATCTTCGAAGATTTAATTGTCAATTTGTTTTTATTGGTTTTAGTTAGAATATTATGTGTTGTATTAATTGTATTGTTATTATTAATTTTATTGTTGTTATTGTTAAGGGACAACGTAGTAATCGTATTATTACTTAATGTGGTATTCAGATTTTTAGTTAGGGAAGAACATACCATTCTTGAAATCATTACCGAAGAAGCTTTGGTTGAGATTGAAGATGGCCTATTCTTATGCAGGAGTAATTTACTTTTATTGAGAATTTTTGTTTTGATTCTTTGTAATTCTAACATTATCAATTTCCTATTCTTAGAATTCTTTGGGTCTGTGATTAACATTTTCTTATCTCTTTCTAAGAATCTTGCTGCGAGGGAAGAGTGAGTTCCAAATTTCAAAAATACCCTTGAGTTGGTCATATTCCTAAAGGCAGAAATGATGAACAAAAAGAGAGAATGCTCTCTTCCAGACATTGCTTTACCATTCTTTAGAGGTTTTATCATTGTCATATGATTCTGATTGCATATTAGCTAAAAGTAAATTCATAAATTGATTGATTTGATTAGCTTCCTTTAATTCTTGGATGTAACCATACATGAGTTTCATGTATTTAGTTCCCTTTAAATCCATATATTTATTTTAAACGTATTTAGTAATATCCTTTGCTCTAGGCATATTTAAGTATTCCTTTAAGAAGTATCCAGCATAGTCTTCTAAGAAGTAATTGTTGATTGAATTCTAGAAGTGCTTGTTTAAGAAAGATCTATCCTTTCTAATGTTGTCTAATATATATAAGACATCTTGCATAATTTAGTCTTTAGTTTGATCAAAGGCACCGAAAGTCATTTTTATTTATTTAATTATTAATAATTTTGAGATTATTGATTGAATTTTGATGAATTATTTGACTGATTGATTTATTTATTTGATTGATTATTTTTTAATTTATTGATTTGTTTGTTTATTAATTGATTATAATTTTTTAAAAATCTAACTCGTGATATTTTAAAAGACTTTCTATTTTAGATATTTAATTACGATTCTTTGTTTCTTTCTTTATCTATCAAAAAATTTAATTGTAATTCATCGGTATTAAAATACCATTATGTTCGCAATCAATCAAAGTAAGGAGTGCATTATTAAATTTTAAGTAGAATGCGTTAGGGCAAAAAATAGAAGATAATTTCAATCTATTCTAAAAATATTAATACTTAAACAAGAGCATTCAATCAAATTCTCATATAGATTATTTATATCGAAATACAGACATTAAATAAATGGTCTTGATTAGCATAACATTGTTTGTCTATTTCCTAATATAAACCAAAAAAACGCTAATTACCGAATTTAATTATTCTTAGATAATCCAAATATTATTTTACTCATTTTATAATGAAAATATCTTTATATGTCTAAATTGTGCGCCTTACACTATAACCAAATCTACTGAAGTCCTTGAATACTAATCATAATAAGCTAATTAATGACAACTAGGAGATTATATACTTCTAAATAGTATTGAAAATTCAGGATTTAATAACCCTTTTAATTTTTATTTTTATGCTGTTTTTGTGAGATTTATAAAAAATCTATTTGAGTCATTTAACACTCCAAGGCCAAAAACTGATAATTAATCTTTGAGCGACTTGATTGCTTATAATTATTAAGAAAATAATTTAAATTTTGAGAAAGAAAAGCTTTCTTTAATATTATTAAAAATCTGCGGAAATTGTAATTAAGAATAAATCAATCTATTTTTCGAAAGGTTTATTTTAATCAGATTGATTATTCTTACAAATTAAAAAAGAAAAATATAACAAAAGTAATTAAATTATGACATGGTCTCTAGAATTCACAAAAAAATTAATTAATTAAATTATCTTTCCATCATACAAATTGTATTTTTATTATTATCTTTTTTAATTATTAGTAAGTCAAAATAAATGCCTTTTTAATACGCTCGAATAAATAATAAAAGCTTTTCCTTAAATCATTAATTTTAGACATTTTCAAATTTTTTGCATTCATTCTAAAAGGTAAATCAATCTAATTCTTAATCAAATTTCTTCCTAAAGCAAGAAACTACAAAATGAATGAGCATTGAAATAGAAGATGATATAATTAAAATATAATCTCTTTTAATAAAATAAAATCCGAAATGCAAATTATTTATAAATGTAAATTGCAATCAGCTTACATGTTTATTTTGTGTTAATTTAACTATCTAAGAAATAGAAAATAAATTTCATAAGCATTTATAAGAATGTTTAATAAATATAAATACATTTATATCAATGTTTTTCCATTGCATATTTGACTGAATATTTTATCCTTAACAAAATGTTAGTTTTTGTTATTTCTAATTCCTGTCTTTTGTAAAAATTTTGTATTTTTCTATCTATATATGTACTGCATAAATGCTTTTTGTATTCTATAATTATTTGATAATAAAATGAATGTTATATTGAATAAATAATGCAAAGCTAAAAATATAATGATTGGCATTTTTAAATTTGTCCTTCAGAAAATGGTAACTATATAAAAGCATAAGCATTAATTCAATATTTTATAATAAAAAAACCACTTTGAGAAATTAATACTACTTAACTTTATGCAGATTATAATATTTAAAAATAATTTAATTTCTAATAAATTTATGTCTATTTTATTCTAAAGTATCAAGTCTTTTTGCATGAATTTAATTGTATTAATAAATATTTGCCCTAATTAAAAATTTTATTATTTGATAAACAAACGATCACAAATTCAAAATATACTCTTTGTTTTTTAATAAATTATTAAAATTTTGCAGTTGAATTTAAATTAATTGTGAAGCTAATTTAATTTTTAACAAAATAAAATACATAATTTTACATTCTGATAAAATATTTAAAAATTCTTTTAGATTTAAAACTCTATTTTATTAAAAAATATAGAATTTAATAAAATAAAATTAATAACATATATATTCTTATAGTGTCAAAGAGGGATTTCACTATTACTTTGGTTTATTTAAAATAAACTGAATTTCAAATTAAATACTTGAAAAAAGAGAGTTTAATTGCATTTTTAACCAATTCAAAAAAATTGTAATAAAACTCCAATATTATTTTTATTTCTATTACTACATTCAAAGTAAGTAAAAAAGTATTATTAAATTATCATTTTAATTATTAGAATGAATTTAAAAGTGGAAGATAGTATTTTATATACAGAATCTAACCAATAATCTAAAGAAACTAAATTAAGTTAAAATAGACTACATAAAACATTAATAGACACAAAAAATTATATTTAAAGTTAAATTAAACAAAAAAGAAGTCATTATTTAGAAACTTTTACCTTATATTTTGACTGTATGAAATAAATACATCTTTAACAGAAATATTAAGTAAGCTTAATGATAAATATTTTTTAATTTACTTATATTTGAGTTAGTTTAAATAAATATAAAAATCTTTGAAATATTCTATTTTCTATTCTAGATTATAATAAAGTCTTAATTAATTTCGAATTGATTTTTCTACTTTTTTCTAATATGAAAACTAAAAATTTCATTAATTCAAGATAAATTTAATATAGACAAAGTATAGATTATTAATTTAATTTGCAAGCAGCCTCTCTAAATAGAAATTTAAAATAAATCCATGCTTTTTTTGAATTTTAGCAATTGTTTTTTCAAAAACCATAAATAAATACTTTTCAAACTACTAAATACATTTATCATATTAGTAAACTCTATTTAACATCAAATTTTAACACTTTAAATTTAAAATAGTCTTAGTTATTAAAATTACAAATGCGAATCTAAAAATCATACTCAAAATTTTCTTAATTTTATCTTTTAAATTTTAATAAATTTAAAAAAAATATACAAATTAATTACATCACTTTCTAAAATCAATATTTCAGTTTAGAAATAAAAAGTTTTTCATTGAAAATCTAAAAAAACTCTTAGTTAAAACAGTAAAAAATAATTTTTTAACGCTTTTAAATAGTCCATAAAACAGTTAAATTCTAAAAAAAATCTTAGTTAGAAGATATAACATAAAAAAACCTTAAATTAACTAGGATTTATTAAAGAGACACTCTTATTTTTAGAATTAAATTAATGAATAATAAATTATATTAAAAATTTTAAATGATATGTTATAATTATTAAATTCAATTAACTATTCTAAATATTTTCTTTTGATTTTATTTAGAATCAAACATTTTAAAATATGTTAAATATTTTTTTTTTCTTTTTAATAAACTATATTATTAAATTTAGTTAGTTTTGTTTTAATTTCAATTCTATTTAAAAACATTAAATAAATATTACATAATCAATTTATTTTTATTTATCATTGTAAATAATTTTAGATTTTTATATTATATTTATAATTAAATAATTAAATTACTAATAGAATAAACAAATTAAAATTGTAAAAATTAATTACATTTTTAATTTATGGAATTATATAAAATTATTTAAAAATTAAAAATTTAGATTATATTATTTATTTTCATAAAAGTGAACTAAATATAATCAATTATTTTATTTCAATTTTATTTTAAAATGTTAAAATTAGTTAAGTATTAAATCGACATCCAAAATTAATTAGTTTTTTTATATTTGTTACTTAAAAAATTCTCAATTAATTTTTGGAAAATGGTTAAATTCCTATAGTTTTTTAATATTTTGTTTAATAATTAACCATTTTTAATTATATTTTAAAGTTTAGTCAATCAAAAAAATATAGATTTTATTTAAATTACTATTTTAGAATAATTTAATGTTTTGTAATTTTATATTAGCAACATTTAAAATAAATATCAGATAAATTTTATTTTTATTGTTTAAAAAGAATATATTAATAGCTATAAAATATAATTTTGGATTCTTAAATATTACTAAAGAGACTCTATACAAGATATTGATCTATCTATAATCATTTTAAACAAAGAACAATCAACTATTTTTTCCCTCTAATATCCTTATATATCATTTTTATTTTTATGCAAATTTCTTAAAATGTTGAAACTCTAAACTAAAAACCAAATGCCAAAACAATAAACAAAATTTAGTTATTTATAAGAATTTACTAAATAAAGTTTTTAAATATCTGATTGAATGAATAAAATACTTAAGCCAGCTTAGAATAATTATTAGATATTTATGATTGGCATTAATATATACAATTTTTGCATATCTATATGAAAAAATTTTTTTATGTTCCATTTTAAAGCAAATTTGAAAAAGAAAAATATTTAAAAATAACCTTTTACTTTTATTTACTAAAAAGTTTAAGTTAAACTGCGCTTCTTAGTTGCTAAGTTCAATTATAGAAATTAAATTGATGGAATATTTGCTTAATAATTAATTAAAAATGCAAAATTATTATATTGATCTATTTTGGAAATTTGTCTATTTTAGCAATCAAATATTTAAATAAATAATATAAAAATTTTACTTTGTATTTTGTATGGGATTTGAAAATGCATATTTACTAAAAATTAAATCATTTAATTAGATTTATTTCTTTTTCTATTTCAATATTTTTTTTCTAAGATTTTAAAAATTTTGTTTTCCATAAATATTATTTAGTATTATGACTGATAGCTGATATTTTTTGGTAATAATTATTGGAATATTTATGATAGATGAAGTATTTGGATAATATTAATTAAAATTTACTAATTTTAAGGGTCCCTACAATTTTTGGCTTATTTTACAAAAGATTTAAAGTATTTTATCAATTTTGTTTTTTTAAATTATAAAAATATTTGTAATAATATCTTAAAAATATTTTTAAAATGAAGGAGAATATCAAAGTATTCAAATATATAATGATAGTCATAATTTTTCATATATATTTTGAAAAGAATTATTGTAAAATTACTCACTTAAAACACTAATATTTGCTCTATATTTTAAGGTAAATTCTGTTTACTTAAAATAATAGTAAACACTTTTTCAACTCTACACCTTAATACTGGTTAGAAATAATGTTTACTTTATCTTATAAGGTTTTATCATATTTTACATTAAAATTTTAGGCTAGTTTAAGTAGAAAAGTTTTAAATAAAATTTTATATTGAAAGTTAACAGCTGTTTTTTGATTTTTTAACTGAATTGGGTTTTTTAAAAAGTTTTTAATCTGAATAAGATTTTTAAAGATTATTTTTTAATGAAGCAATAATTTTTAAAATCTACCAAAGTAAACTTCATTGGTAATGAATAGTAAATCTATTTTAAAAAAATATAAATCTTTTTAAGTGGGTTAAGCTCAGAGTTTTAAGAAATTATTTTATTTAGATTAGGAATAATTAACTTTTTTTAATAATTTTTTTAAAAAATTTAATTATATTAATGATAAATTTAGATTGGCACATATGTTAAACATTGATTTAAGCTTATATTAAAGGCCTAAATGAAATTATTTTATGTTAAAAACTAATTGATTATACTAATAAACATTTTAAATAATAAACATAATGCTTTTGTTTTATCCATCAATTTGTTTTAAACATTTTTTCTTTTGAGAAATAAAAAATGAAATTTATTGAAAAAAAATATAATTTAATTTTATTGGGTACTTTATAAAACAAATGTAATAAGATTTATAAAATTATTTTTGTTGTAAGATAATTTTCGTATTAAGATTTAAAATGATAAAATAAAAATAAATTTTAAAATTCATAAAAACATCTAAATATATTGCTATCATCCCATTTTGTGTACTTTTTTAACTTTTTTTAAAATTGTATGTAACACATACAGACAGACTCAAATAATTTAGGTCTCTTTTATTTTTGATTTTTAATGCCTTATTAATAATAAATTTAATTAAAAATAATTAATTCTATCACTAAATAAAGAATAGATTGAGTAACACTCATTTTAATCATGGATTTAAATTAAATTCTATTCAACTCTAAAATGCTTACAGTATTTATGTTACTCATAAATCAATAATCTAAGAAAATATACCAAAATTATGATGAAATTAAAATAATTGCAAATAAAATTAATGATAAAATTTTAGACAGCGCATCAAATAATTATACATTAATCAAAAGTCAAAGCTATTATTTTCAAATTTTTAACTGTCTCCTAAATTTTTCTATTTACAGATCAAACATATTCAAGACTGATTCTAATTTGTGTGTGTAGTATCATTTAAATTAGTTCCTAACTTTATTTAAATTTATTAAAGAGGCATTTTTATAAATTTCTAGTAAATTGTATGAGCATGTAGAATTAGTTCTTTTCTTTCCTTCTTACTTGCTTACTTCCTTTCTTTCTTTCTCTCTTTCTTTCTTTCATTTAAAAATAACTAAATCATAGTTACTTCAAATTCTTCATATTAGAAACTTAGGTCGAAACTTTTAGTTTGAATATATTTTTACCTTCCCTCCAAATTTATTTATGGCAGAATATATTAATGAGCAAAGGAAAGATAGAGCAATAAATACCATTAAATAAAAATATTAAAAAAATTATAATAAAGATGATATTTAAATGCCATAATAGAGTGTTTACATGAAAATCTTGAATAATGTGAGTAATTTTACTTGATTATTGAAAAACTAAATACACAGATGACCAATTATTTTAGTTTTAGAGTATATTTAATATATAAATACTTTTTTTTACCATCTTTCTAATTAAAAAAAAAATTAGTGCTAATATTATATTATTAAGCTAATAAGGTGATAAAAAAGTAAAGTGATTTGTTTAACCCATTTAAAAAAATCATTCCATATAATGTATTATTTTTTTCATTTTATGCAAGTTGTATAGGATAAATTTACTTTTTGAAAATAAAGTTGGAGGAAAACGTTTTGACTACAAATTTTACATTAAACCTAAATTAAAAACTAATATTTTTTAAGTTTTAAATTCATAATTCATTCATATATTAGAATTTAATTGTTTCATTTAGGGAATTTGAAAAATTTTTAGTGATTAACCTCATCCTCATCACTGTTTTTGTTTTGATTGGAGAGTTAAAAAATTGAAATAACTTTCAATATTATCATTAGGAAATAAATTAAAAAATGAATATTCACTTTATTGATTACAAATAATATTTGGATAGATAATACAAGCATACTTATACATAACTAAGTATCATATTTAGAAAGAGTTAAAAATTGAAAATATTTCTTTATTTATGTAGCAATTTATATGTTTTGTGAAAAAATTATTTTTATTTTGTTATAAGGCGAAAAACTAAAACTTTCGAGATGTTTTTATTTATTATTCGAACTTTTCGTTCATAGCTGTTCAAGATTAAAAGCTATTTTTCTGATCTTGATATATCTAATTAATAGGGTCTAAAGAAGATGAAACTCCACCAATACTATCTTAAATATCTAAAATACTTTCTTCAGAAAAAGGAAGCTTAGGTATTTATTAGAAGGGATCAAAAAAACCATCTTATGTGTCTTTATCATCCAGCTTGATTATTTTCCTTCCTAAGCTGCATGAGTTTTACGGAGGTGTGTGTCTTTTCTCATTTTTTAATTTTGAAGAGATTCTTTGAATCATAAATATACTTGAGTTTTAGCTTTCATCCGAAGCATCCTCATTTCTTTAATGGAGAAGAGGAAAAGTAGGATTTATTTCAGCATACCCAGTAGCATTTGATTTTACCAAATAATCCTTTTTAAGGCTCATATTTAGTTGGTGATCATACATATCATAGATTTCTTAATTTTCTGAGCTTCTTTTTTATATAAAAATAAAATTATTTAAATAGAGAGCCAGTGGCTAATTTTTTAAATCTTCACTAATTTCGCTCTTAAGAATACACGAATTAAAAAAATAAATTGAAAAGACACATAGGCAGCTCAAAAATATTGGTAAAATTTCAGATACACATTTATGAAAAAATTACTATGGGTATTTCAATTAATAAAAAATATTGTAAATCAATCAAGATTATCCTTTCTAAAAATTAATTTGATGAGAAAAATGCTTTTAGATAAACAAAAATTTTGTCATTTAAAAATGTTAAGTACCTCAGGAAGGAAATATCTCCAGTGTTATTTTTAAAATGTAGATTAGTGCAACACTGAGTTAGATTTAAAAAGAATGTATTTTCTGATTCAAAACTCGATAAATTAGGACTTATGGTATCAGAACTTTACTGCCTTAAATTATTAAAATTAAGTTAATCTTTTTTTATTTTGGAATTATTATGAACTAAAATTTTTATCCTTTAACTCGTCTTCAAATAAAATTATAAGTTTTTTATTTTAATTTATTACACTTCTTCTTCTTCATCTTCTTCTTATTGTTCTTACTTTTGTTAATCAGAGGAAGCATTTATATATTTGTCAGTCTACGATTAGCTTCTCGTAGGTACCACAATTACATGGTTAATATTTTGTTTTCTTTTTCTTGTTATTTGGTTATGTGGAAACAGCGAGTTCCATATTTCAAATATCCCTTTTATGTTTTGGTTATAACTGTGAAATAGTAAAAATAAGCTAAAAGCTTTTTTCCATATTTCTGATTGATACTCTTTGTTATTTTTTAAATCACTTTCTGGTAAAACACCTTTCTCAGTGGATCGGTATTTAGATGAGCTAACAGTTATCATTATCATCTCTACCAGCGTTTAGCGATACAGTTACAGCTTTCCTAGAATCTATATCTCCTGTAAATAACCATTCATAAGTTTAAGATAGATAGCACCTTCAGAGTTGATGTATTTTTATAAAATTGCGTTATTCATAGTTTTTGAACAGGTATAACTAGGCTCTATATCGCTGAGAAGAGGGAAATTTAAATTTCTTAAGAAATAATTAACCATGCAATTCTAGAAATGCTTATTGATATATTAGCGATTGTTGTGTACTTAGTCTAAGATAAATAGTATATCTTCTTCTATTTTTTGAATCTCATCTCTTAAGTCTTCACTAATAAAAGATAGATCCATTTGATTATTTTCAATTATTTTTTTTAATAATTTAATAGTTTTGATGGGAAATTTATTATTGTAATATCTGCTTTTAACGTCATGCATTTTGGTTTATACAAAGGGAAAACCTTTGTAGTTGAAAATTAATTTAAGAATTATTGAATAAATGTTATTTTTTTAAATGATAAAATAGTAATAGAAGAAATAATAATAATCATAATATGATAAATATTATTCATTTAAATTTACCATTTACCTTTACAAATAAAATCAAAATCGGAATTTTTGAATCACTAAATAAACTTTCTATCTATACTTTTAATAATACCGTATTCTATTTTTTTTATTTTTATAATAAATTTTTTAAAGCTTCATTCACACCAACATTAAAATAGGCAGTACCTCAGGGTACTACATATAAAAAATTGAAATGATCTGAGATTATAAGGTATTTATTATTTGAACATTTAAATATTTTAGCCATTTTTATCTGATAAGCTTTTATAAGTAAAACTAGTAACTATTTTTTATCCTATAGAATGAGGAAAGAAAATAGTGAATAGATCAATTATTAAAAGTTATAGTATCGGAGAAACAGAAAATAAAAATAAATGAATTTTAAACAAATCACTATTAGCGCACCTTTTTAAAATAATTTTTTGTTATCTGAAAAGTAATTTTTTAAAACTCATTTATAGTTTAAAGTGAAAATAATAAGTAATAATAACACCATAAAAAATGAAGATGTTAAAGATTAAACATATATTTAATAAATAAATAATTAAATTTTACACTCTAATCTTTTACTTTTATTTAGATATTCCTAATTTGAAAAATATGAAATCTTAGTAACATCACAACAATATTAATAAAATTGAGTGAGTAAACCAAAATAATTAGATTTTTAAATAAGTTTTTTTACTCTCAATAATATATTGAATTAATTTTTCTGCTTTATACAAAGTTTATTAAAACTTTTTATGTTTTAAAATATTTAAGTGCTATGAAACTGTGTTTTGTTAAAGCTAAATTAATATTTACACTTAAATTTATTATAAAATTAATATGAAAAAGTAAACTAAGAATAGATATACCACTTGTAAAAGTGTATTTACAACTATCAAATAATTTTAGAAGATATTCGATATGAATTAATTTCAGGTGAGTACTTTAATTCTAAATCAATAGTTATTGTTTTCAGAACTTTTCTTTTATAATAATTTTCTATTAGAAAAAATAAAATAAAATAGAATAAAAATTTTTAAATATTATTATTATATAATATAATTTTAAAAGGCAAATAAGTTTTTTTTAACTGAACTAATATTAAATAAAAAGATAAATAATTTTATTAAGTAAAAATGTTTTTTTATAAATTTTTTACAAAAAAACATTTAATAAGATTTTTTAATATTTTTTATCTACTATTTTTAAGATATTAATTAACTAATTAGTTTGGTTGATTAATTGATTTATAATTTACAGATTTTTTAGTTGGTTTGCAGATATTGCAAATATTTAATTAATATTTACTTATATTTATTGTTTATAAAAAACCAAATTAATATATACAAATAGATAATATGAAGAGTAGTTTAGTCTACTTTTACAACAATAATAATAATCTAATCAACCTCTTAGAAAATAAGAAACAGTATGAAAAACATAAAACAGAGCTTGATAATATTAAAAAGTCTTAAAGCTATAGCATTAGCTAAGGCATATCTCCTGAAAAAAAATTTAATAACTTTCATGATTCTATGAGAGGAGTATTTACACAATCGAGGGAATTTAACTCTCGCTAAAAAATACAAAATATCCTCTAAGACAATTTAAAAATTATTAACAGACTGTAGGAGATTTCAAAGGGTGAGCCAGATTCCATAGCCCGCTTATTTATTGATTAAAAACCTCATAAACTGAAAAAAAAAAGGAGAACAAAGTCGCGTATGCTTAGAGAAGAAATATAAACTATATCTCAGTTATTAGAGCAGGAAGAAAAATAGCAAATGAATATCTTTTAACATTCAAATACCTAATGCTCTGGAGAATAAAGTAGTCATTAAGATTTTATCTATCCAGAATAAGATTATACTTTTAGTATGATAAACAGCACAAAGTAAAGCAATTCTAAATAAAATACATCTATTCTTCGTAAATCGTTGAATAGTGAATTTAGAAAGGAAGAATAACGTTAAATAGCATAATAAAATATTAATTTAATCAATAAGATCGTTAATGCTCAATCTAATATTAACCACAAAGAATTTGAAAAAGATTTTCGTTAAACCTAGAAATATAAGAAAAATGTCAGAAAATACTCAAAATCTAGAGCTTAATTCTTGAATAATTACTTGGACACTAAGATTCTACGTTCAAATAGCTTTGGAGTAGAGTTATAAAAAGGTAAAAAAAAAACTAATTACACAAACAATTCATCGTATCATTTATCCCCTCTAGCAAATTAGTATAACTAAAGTTAAGATGAGAGTATATGCCCATAATTTAAAAATGAATTAATCTAAATCAAAATTCTCAAACCAGAAAACTAAAATGATCAGCTTGTTACTTCTGAATTTAACCAATCTGATTCTAATAGCAAAAATTCTCATTATACTTAAAAAAATATTTTAGCAAGGACAGAGCCAGATGAGCAAGATAAATTTAATTTATAAAAGGATTTCAAGACTTAATCAATTAACGATTTTAATTATAAAAGCAAGAAAAGATCTCATTCATTAAGAATAGGAGGGAACATTTGTTTTACTACTCCTGTCATTCAATCTAAAATATAATAATAACAGGATGATTAAATGTAAAAGCCAATATCAACAAAAAGCAGCTAATAAACAACAACCAAGGACTAATATAAATAAATCTAGAGCAAATTTAAAGAATAAACCTTTAAAAGAAACTAAAATTTATTTAAGATAAAACCCCCTAGATCAGTGTCTGTTAATTCAAATAACTAAATCTAAAAAGAAAATATTTTCATTCAGAATCAAATATCACCAATATCTAATTTTAGGAATTGTAGAATACTGTCTCCTCAGGGTTATAAGTTTAGATCTCATAATTTGCACATAAAAAGACCTCTTTCCCAGATAGATAATAATTAATAATTAAATAAAGACAACACATTAATAGATAACAGTTTTATGAATCAGAAATCTCTTTCTTTAATAGAATCAGAGTACGAAGAGAAACTAGAGTCCTACAATGAGGTTGAGTTTAGCAATTTAAAGAGAGCACATGAATAAAAAAAATAAATAGAGAATAAATAGTTACAAATTTTAAACTAAAATTTCTTAACTAAAGAGAACTGGAAATAATAAGTGACTCCCATGTCTTAAAAAAGCAGAGTTTTAATGAATAATTCTAATAGCAATAAATCAGAAGCAAAATAAGCTAGCTCTACCAATCCAAATGTTTAAAATAAAAAAAAGAATAAGGAAAATATAAGTGAAGAAGATAATACCTTAAAAACAAGAGAAACACTTGAAGCGAGCTATTAAAATCCCAGCACATTTTATTAAACTAAGTATGAATAAAATTAAAAAAGCTAAGGCTCAAAAGATAGCTAATTTCAAAAAAGTAAAGATTTCTATTTATAACTAAATGATATAGATTTAAAGAGCCCAAACTAAATATCATAAACAAGTGGATTAGAAATTTAGCAAACATAAGAATTTTAGCAAATGCACAGCTTGGAAGATAAGGAAAAGTACCTTTTAATAAATACCAAACAAAGATTCTTCAAGCCTCCTATTTAAAAAGTATAATAATACTAAATAGATAACACTTCATTAAAAGCTCTAATAAACTACCATACTGAGCCTATACCTGATGTTTTGTTACAATAATTTATGGATAAAAATGCAAATTAGAGTAACATTAAAGCAACCTAATAACCAAAAGTAAAAAAAGGACTAAGCAGTACAGTACACATGAATGGAAATTAAAATTTGTAATTTAAGAGAGTTACCTCTTAACAAAGTAGAAAATAAAATTCTCCTTCCAAGAAATGATTGTGAAGAAAATTTTGAAATTTTTCACCAAAAATATTTCAAATAAAACTAAATAAGTGAGTAAGCAAATATGTAATAAATTTATAATTTATTACTTGCTGAGTATTCAAATTTCGCAAATGAAAATTGTTTTTAATTTAAATAAGCTATCTCTGACAAATATTTTCAAAAAATTTTTTACTATTAAATAAATTTATAATCTTAACAAAATTTTTATATTGTTTATAAAAATGTAGTTTTAATCAATTATTTTCATAGTTTAAGCTAACATTATTTCTTATTATTTTTATAAAATTTTAAATTTAGCTATCTTGTCTAAAACACTAAAATAAAATTACAACTTAAAATACTTGTAAAATATAAAAATTTTACAGTTATTAATTAGTTCATCTAATAATGTTAAATAGAATTAATTTTTTATAAGAAAATTAATAAATTATTGTTTTCTAAAAAATTTAAAATGTATTCGTAATCTTATTTATAAATATCTAAGTCTATTATAGAATAGGATTGTAAAAGTTTATAAATAATTATTTTAATTTAATTTAAGGAATTTAGGAAATGGGTTTTTAATATAAATTTTAAATTTAGTGTTCAATATTATTGTTAAAATAACTATTTAAATATTTTTAAATTATATTTTTTTTATTAAATTTAGGATTTAAAAATGATTTATTTATTTATTGCCAATCTAATATTTTCAAAAAATATTTTAGTTAAATTTAAAAAAATAATGTGAAGATTTTTTAAAAATTTGATTGTTTTTTTAAATATTTAAATTATTTATTAGATAGAATTAGAAAAATTTACAAATAATTATTTTTAATTAAATTTAAGAAATTTAAGAAAAGGATTTTAAACATAAAATTTTTAATTTAGTGTTTGTTGCATATAATTGTGAAAAAAGAAAACACTTAAAATTTAAAAAAAATTAATTATTTTTATGAATATTAGAATTTAGCAAAAGATATGTTTTTATGTTTACAACAAACATAGAAGATCAATTTTTTAATTCATCAAATCAAATAAATTATTAATAAAGAATTCAAAAATTAATAGAACTTTTTCATTAAGTAGAAAATAAAAACTAATTCGTTAAAATAATTCATTCAATAAAATTAAATAAGTAGCACTTTTAAAGAGATTACTATCTTAAGTGTTTTAGATAAATCATAAAAATTAATTAGAAGTTAAATGGGAAACACAAAAAGCGAGATAGTTTATTCTGTTCCTATCAGTGATAAAGTTCCTGGGGAATCTTGCATTTACAGGCATCCTTTGTGCACAGATAGTTTAGTTATTACACCACATTATGAAATATAAACTATGCAAGATGCTATTTTGAAAACATTCACACGATTTGAACATAGGCAATGTCTAGGTACGAGATTATTACCTAATCCTTCAGGATTATTATCAACTTAAGGATTTAATTCAAATGCAAATGGATAGGAGATCATTAGAAACTCTTCGCAAGCTGTACTTAAACAGAATCAAGTCAATTCTATGTATTAACAATCGATAGATGATTTAAATTGTTGTGGTGGAGGAGGTTACATGGTAACTAATCAAACAAATATTGAATTAAATATAGCTAATCCATCTAATAACTAACAAAAGACTAATCCTACTCAAGCTAATTAATAATATTTTAGTGTTTCTAGAAATAACGGTCTTTTAAAGACTTAAACATAAGGCTAATATAATGATTAGAGTAATAATGAAAGTAACGCTAATCTTAGCTTCTAAAATATTGTTTACCAGTAAGATTTTGGTGGTGCTAAAACAGAATATGAAAGACAAAAAAGAATACAATAAATATAATTGTCTACAAATTTATCTTTTACAGAGAAATAAACTTTAATTGATATTGAAAATAAGAAATTTGAGCTGCAAAAAGCTTCTATATTAACTAATGGAAAGAGTAGTTTGATGGGAGCTAAATAAATGGCAAAAGGAGGAGAATATTGTTGGAAAACATACAAAGACCTTTTCAATACAGTCAAAAATTTAGCAACAGGAATAAGGTCACTTTAGCTTACTGAATAAAACGACGAGCAAGAAAAATAAACTCTAGACTTAGTTGGTATTTGGTCTAGAAGCAGAGAAGAATGGGTTATTGTTGATTGTGCCAATGTGTTGTACAATAATGTCACTGTTCCTATACCTGAGTAGATACATGCATCAGATTTATCATTTATCCTCGAGGATACACAGCTATCTTCAATTTTTTGTGGTAGAAATGAACTTGAAAGACTGTATAGAATGATTAGAAGCTCTTAGAAAGCATAAGTTGTAATGTCACTTGGAAATCTTTAAAATATAATTTGCTTTGATGAGTTTATACCATCAATTTTGCAAAAATTTTTCACAGATTAAATTGGAATTAATGTAATTACACTTAAATTTGTTATAGATAAAGGAGCTCAATTACCAACTATTCCATTTCCTAAGATATCACCTGATAACATTTAATCATTTTGCTATACAACAAGACAAGATAATGGTAAGCCTATAGCAGCAATGCTTAGCCATAGGAATTTTGTTAGCTTTTTAGCAAGTGTTTGGAATATTTCTCATTTAAAACCTTAATAAGATGATGTTTATTTAAGTTATCTTCCCCTAAGCCATATATATGAAAAAGTATCAATTTATGCTGCTCTATATGCAGGAGCATCAATAGGATTTTATAGCGGAGAAATTTCTACATTAATTGATGACATGTTTATACTTCGTCCCACTATATTTTGCTCTGTTCCTTCATTTTATAATAAACTCTACCAGACTATATAGGATAAATACTTTAAGAAGACGGAGGGTGTTGAAAGATGGATAAACGAAAAAGCCTTAGAATAAAAGCTGTAAGCTCATAGATAATCTCCAACAGCTGATGTCAAGCATACATTTTATGATAATATCATTTTTAAGAGTTTTAGAAATTCCCTTGGAGGACGCCTTAGGTTAGCATTTTCATCTTCTGCCCCTTTGTTTTCGCATGTCCACCAAACACTGAAACTTGTTTATGGAGTTCCTATAATATAAGCGTAAAATTAAATTCATAAAAAATTAAAAAATCAAATTTCTTTACTAAATTAGATATGGATGCACTTAATCTACTGGTTTAGCTTTTATAACAAATGCCTTAGATTCATCAGAAGGTCATGTTGGAGGTCCAACTCTGAACACAGGTTTTACATTTATTTTTCAAAAATTTAAATAAATTAGAATATCATAAAATAAAAGAATTCAAAATAATTGATGTTATTGAATTGGGATATACAAATGACGACATAGATGAAACAGGTTAAAAAATAATACGTGGTGAGCTTTGCCTTAGAGGACCTGGTATATTTGAAGGTTATTTTAGAGAATAAGAATAAACATCAAAAGAAATCGATAAAAATGGTTGGCTCCATACTGGGGATATTGTTCAGCTTTTACCTAACGGATCAATAAAGATAATAGGTAAAAACTATTTATCAAGCCTTCATATTTAACATAACACATAAAATAAAAAATAGACAATAGGAAGAATATTTTTAAGATGCCTCAAGGAGAATATGTAAGTCCAGAAAAATTGGAGAGAATATATTAGCAAGTGAATTCCATAACAGATATCTGTATATATGGTTCACCAATTTAGAAATATTTAGTAGCAGTGGTAGTTCCTAAAAAAGATCTTGTGGATTTGATAGCTAAAGAATATGGTCTTCCAACATCTTCTTATATTTAAAACTGTAGGCACCCTTAAGTAAAAGTAGATATTATTTCAGATATACAAAAATTAGCTCAAAAGCAAAAGCTCTTTTCGTATGAAATCGTTCAAAAGATTCATATTGAAACTACACCCTTCTCAATTCTTGGCTTAGTTACTCCTAGTAATCAACTTAAAAGATAACAAGCATATAAATTATTTAAATAAGGGATAGACAGTCTATATGAATTTGACAGTTGATTTTGCAATTATAAACTAAAAAAAAAATTTTCAAATAACAAAAATTAATAAAAAACTAATTAACGGAAAAAAAAAATCTCACTCTATAATAAATGATTAAATAAATAAATGAATAAAAAAACTTATTTTGTAAATGATTGTAAATAATAAATGAATAAATAAATATATTTAAATTTTTATATTTCAAAGTTTGAATATTTTTGATAGTTTTTATGTATGTATATATATCTAAAAAATCATAATCAGTACAAAAAGATTAAATAATATAAATTCAAACTTACATAGTAGAAGTAATTAATTAAAATTATATTAGTAGAATAGATATTGTATATGAAATTAATTATTCATTTTGCAAATTCAAATTTTAGAATTAAAAAATTTTTCAAATAACAAAAATAAAAATTTAATTAAAAAAACTTATCCTGCGATTACAATAGAAATAAAATCTTAAGCTGAAAAATAGTATAAATAAATAAAATTATAAAAAATAATTTTTAATATTTTTGATTTTTTTCATGTTTGTAAATCTAAATAATCATATTCATATTTTTTATTACTACAAACTCTTTAGTTTAAGATCCTTTGATATTTAAGATCTCCTTCTTTTTTAAAACGTCCATATTCAAAATTAGGAAAATTGGAGTATTAAATTCTTTATATTTTAAAAAAATATATCATAGTTAATTTAATTTATACTTCATTAATTCCTTTTGTACATTTATAGAAACAATTAAGAATAAATGAATGATTCATTTAGTTTAAATACGACTTTTCAAAATATAATTTATTTTAGAAAAATCTTAATGGAGAGAGTTTACAGTAGTTACAATACTAGAATATTTATTATTAAATATAATTAATAAAATAAATTCATAATATAATGAATTAATAAGGAGAATTTTGTTTAGAGATTAACTTATTTGTAAAAACGTAAAGATAGTAGATAATAAAATATATAGGTATTTAGATACATACATAAACAAATTTGTTAGTTTATAAACATTCGAGAATATATTGTGAATTTCACTTTCTCTTTAGTATGCCTTGCTTAATTAGCCAATATTTTATACTTTTCTTTTTTGTTACAATAGCTTCCGGAAAATACATTTTATATACAGTACGGAAATATACATATTCTCTTTTAAGTCTTCCTAGTATGAGATATTCATTGATAACAATGTAAATAATAAGCATAAAAGCACCTGCTACGATAACTAAAATTGTGCAGAACATTACAATTGAAGATATATTAGATGATATGTTTGATTACCAGGTATTCATAATTTGGTTATTAAAGATATCTGCATAGTAAACACCTCTAGAATATGAAATCATATCACTTAAAATAGTTGAACTTATTGTAGCAGATTTAAGTGACGGTAAGCTTTAATAATTACTTACGAATTCAGTAAATTTAGTTCCAAATATATTCAAGCCATTATTCAAAGCATTTTAAAGTATAGTTTAGCAATCAACAATTTAATTCTAAGAGAGAATTGAAGGCGCAATATCTGAATTACATGCAGTCGTTTTGTAAACTTAATTGTACATATAGTTGTAAGAGTAGCTTGATAAACTATTTAAGACGACATCCTATTTTATATCAAAGAACATAGATACATAAGGTGAAGCGTATTAATAAAGATAGTCTTAGTAAAATCCAGGATCTATAAAATTTTCTTTGACGCTGATAATCATAATAAGATCTAGTGTGATTGGATTAATAATTGTTAAGCCATCTTCTTTCATCATTTGAAGAGTATTCTGATTCAAATAAACTTATAAGACATAAACACAACTAAAGCAAATGAGGCAAATCATAAAAATTAAGTAGTAAACTATAATCTTAATCTTAAGGTCCTTTAAAAAATCACCCTCTTCTATTTATTTATTTTTTTTTACCATAGCATTATCATCAGAAGCCTCAAGTTATAAATCAGATACCTTAAGAAGAGCTGCTGCTATTTTAGGATTTTAATTAGACATTCTTGTTACATCCATAGTTGCTCTTGTATGCTCTGATTTAATTTAGGGAGTTTGAGCATTATTTTGCAAGTTACTTCCTTACTAAATTGGTTGATTGTTACTTAATACATCCTCTTCTTTTTCTTGATATTCTGATTCTACAAGTAATTAGTTTGTAATTGGCATGTAAGCACGACTATAATATTCATCTTTATCAACAGCATAGCTAAACTGATTGAGTATAATTCCATAATAATCAGTGATTTTTTTCACATCCACCAAATCTATTTTCTCAAAGCTGTCAAAAATAGAAGAAAAGCTGTCACAAATTTACTTTGTCAGCTTCCACATAAATAAAAAAGAGATACCAACAAGGCTACTTAAAACAATAGTTATAATTACAACAAACTATGTTATTTATGATATTGTATCAGAAACTACCTACATAGAGCTTTGACCTAAATCATAAATATCGTTATTTAAATAAGGAATAGCATTTTACCTAGTTAGTTATTGAAAAAAAGATTTAAGATAATTAGATAAATAAATAGTTTTTTGATTTCAATTTATTTCCTTAATTGAATTTTTGTTAATTTCTGAAAAATAATATTTTAGATTAAAACTAAAAACAAGATTTAAATAAATAAATTATTAAATTTAATAATTTATAAAAAAGAAAAAAAAGAAAATTGTACCTTATAAAATTAACATAATCTGATTATGTTGTAATTGAAGCTGTTTAAGATGAATACATAGTATTGTTTAATTCATTGATGTGATAAACATATTACTAGAACATATCAAAAACATCATAAGTGTAATTACCGTAACCTTACGAGTAAGATACTATGGATGTTGTGACATTTTTCTAACTAAGTCCAAAAAGTGTTTCTTGAAAGTTATTTTGCATAGTAACATTTTGAAAGTATCCAGTAATGTTATAAAATACTTGGTTTATTTCATTTTAAAATCCTGCTTAATTTTAATAGTAAGTATTTTTAAGTATAGAATTGGTAAAGTTTCCGCTATTTAAAATTACTTAGTTCAATACAACATCATAGCCTGCTAAAACATTTAAATTCCAGACTTTAACAAGTTGGACAATTGAAGTCTTTTCATTTATTAAAATAATATTTAGTTTCAAAAATATTTAGAAAAAAAATTACATAATTTTAAACTGTGTTAAAAAAATTGTTGACTCCAACAAAATAGCTTAATACATTAAACAGTAGTATAAAGAAAAAGAAAAGTCTTGTAAACAACTGCAGCTAGAAGATACTGTTTAGCTATTCTCTAGGTTAGTGAATATCTTCTTTAATAAAAATATTATCAGTGTAACTCAAATTAAAAGTGACACTTCCTTGCTTTTTTTCAAAGTCTTTTTGTATATCTTTTAAGTTTTCATCTTACTTGTCTGAATCAAAATTATCAAGCTAATAACCCATTCCGTTTTCTTTAGATTAAAATTAATTGCTTTAAACTTTTGAATCTTGAACTTCTAGAGTTAAATCTTAAAAGCTGTTATTTCCTGCTGAGACATGAGAGTTTAGAGGTGCTAGAGTATTTTTTATATTATTTAATAGAGCATTTTTATTTATGGAAAATCTAGACTAATTATTATTAGGAATATCAAGATTTTTTGTAGATGAACCTTTGCCATTATTAAAAGTCAACCCATTTAAATCAATACCGTCTTTAATATCAGAAAATTACTTTGACAAAGATACTTCAAATTCTTTATTTTTTTATTGAACTTGCTAAAGAGCGTTTAGTTTGTGAATTTTTATTTCCTCTAAATTAAGAATTTTCATTATGCCTATTTTTTTTTAGCCCATTTTTTTAAATTTAGTTGTGCAAACAAGTTTTAATTAGCGAGATTTTTTTCTTTTAATATGAAGAGTAAATGCATCTTTTATTAACTAATAAAAAGCTTTATCCCTCTGATATTAAAGGTCTGTATCATCTTTCTATCCAGAAACCCTTTCAGTTTAAGTCTCATGCTTCTTGTAAGAATTTATATTTGTCTAGCTCTCCTTAATTGTAAAATTACTATTATTTGTGTATGTTTTTATTTTATTAGTCATATCTTGCTTACTTGATGCGACTTCAGTGTTTTTACGTTTTTCTGTTTTTTCATCATATTTTTTTAAGCGACTCTATGACATAGTATAATAACTTTACATAACTTATGCTATATTATGGGGAATTCTAGCAACTAGTCTTACTTATTCACCTTTTTCTAATCTTTCATCTTTTTATTTATTACCATTCTCATCTAAATTTTCTAGCCCAAATTCTGTTTCTATGTCATCATCATCAGTACTGTCATCTTTATCAGATTTTGCTTTCTCTTCATCTTCGTCATTTTAATCCTGTAAATATTTTATAAGGTCAAAATATCATTTTCAGTTAATTAATTCTTGTTTTTTCATTTATAATGCAAAAGAAATCACAAATGTTGGCATAAAATTTTCTAAAATAAATAGCAAAATTCTGTATTGAGGCTTTTTTAGTAGCCTAAAATAGAACATTTCTAATTCTCTTTAATTAATGTAGACTTATTGATATAGTTTGTTTTCATTAAAAGAAGAAAAATTATTTGCGTTTGCATTAATTTAAATTGAGAGTTATTTTTTTAAAAAAAACTTAAAATAATTTCTTTTTTTTTAAATTAATTTTTATTTCTATATTTTGAAGGAGGAAATTGTGAAATTTAGCTCATTAATTCATATTTATTTGAATTCATTTAATATTTAAAAATATTGTAAAATATTTCAAAACAGAAAAAAATATGGAAAAAATTATTTATTTACTCAATAAAAATAAATAAATTTACCATTTGATGAAGAGTTTTTCTTCTTATCGCATAAGTAGCTTTTTCCATCTATTTTTTGATTAAATCTTATTATTTTTCATCTAACTATTCTTAAATTTCCAATAGGGAGTTCTATTGAACTGAAGAACTCACATTTGATGCTTAGTGAGTAAATTATTTTCTAAAAGCATCTAACTGTTTAGGAGAGGGAATAATTTAATCTTCAAATGTTTCTTTATTTTTGCTCTTTAAATCAAGCAGTTAAGCTGCAGAGTCATCTTAAGTTAGTGTTAAATTTATTTTTGAAGGTTTTTAAGGAGTAGTATCATTAATTTTAAATTGAGGATTTTGTCCATTACTTTTTGAGTCATTTTAGTCAGGCAAGTAATGCTGTATTTTGTATTAATTTTCATTTTTAGTATTTTATTGAATAAGCTTAGCATTATTTACATCTCCGTTCTACTCGTTATCTTGATTTTCATTTTTTTCACCGTTTTCTTAAGCAAAAAGTGCTGCTTTTTTAGCAGCTAATGATTACTGGGCAAGAGATTTTTTTTATTTAGCCATACTTTTTAGCTTATCAAATGCAAAGATATTTTATTTACCTTCTTAATTGAATCTATTCTTAAATATGTTGGCTATATCTCCAAGTTATGCCTTTTTAGGGATAATTCCAAAATTTTGTTGATCCTCTATTGTTAAAAACTAAAACAACCTAGAGAATTTCATAAGTTTAGGAATAACAAGGAGTAGATTCAACACCATCCCATTTTATAAAACACTTGCTGTTGAGACTTTATTATCAAACTAAGGAGGTTTACCACCAGCATTTTAAATTTCCTTTTTTAGCTTTAAATTCGCCAATTAAATCATTTATTACCTATAAAGCTCAGAATCTATCATAAAATATTCATATAATAATTGAGACATCGAATCAACTTCCCAGTCATCATTAAATATAATATAATTTAGTTTTGAACCTGCTGGATTTAAGATTGGCCTTATTAGGCAAACAAATTCTGCTATTCCATGTAGATTTACAAATAATTTTAAAAATTTCCAACCAGAAAAGACATTTCCCTTTTTCTGTACACAATAGACTTTTTTTTGAGAGTATAAAATCTAGTTATTTTAATAAAGTTTTAATTTTTTAGTAATCTCTTAAAGTCTTTAATAATTAATTAATTAAAAAATTTAATTTACCTTTGATTTTCCTGTTGAAATATAGTTGGACGTATATTTAGGGTGTAAAATAGCAAAAGATTTAGGCATTAAATCTGTTACAAATACATGATTCTCTAACTCATAACGGTTGAAGCCGAAAGTAGTCAAAACAGGTTTATTAACTTTTATTATTTTTCCCAAATTGTCACTGGCAACTCTAAATACGCAAGATCTACGATCGAAGGCCATTTCCACTTTTTTAATTTTAATTTTGTCTTGTTCTTCTTTGGAATTAGAAACAACAGAACCTAAGTCATCTTCAACCTGATCAGTTTGATATTCTTCAATGAATACTTCATTTTCATTGACGAAGGTTCCAGTAAACTTTTCAAGCAACGAGAGAAGAACTTTTTGGTTAAGAATATACAAATAATACCATGCATAATAAAATCTCCATTTTTTTCTGTAATTTAAATAAACAATCACACGGATCCACATTTTTTTTATTTCATCGATATCTTCAAACACTTTCTTGATTGCTTGGTTAAGCTCTTCCAAAACAATTACATTTTTCAATAACATATTCCAAAAACTTATGTTCTATAAAAGGATTTACTTGATCTTATATTTAATTCTGTCTATCTTTAATTCTATAGGTATAACGTTTTCCACATTTAAAATACCTTGTTTATTTTTTAAGAATGTTAAATTTTTATCCTACAAAAAAATATAGAAAAGATACCTTTATATGAAGTTACATTTTTCTTTCTATTGTATTTATGTATAAAGTGGATTAATCTAAAGAGTCTGTATTAGTCAATAGGGTATAAGTATTTTTTTTTGAGGAATTGTATAACTGTCAGAGAAAGACAAGGGTTTCTGAATTTGTTAAAGATAAATTCCGAATAGTCAATTAAAACAGTGAAATTATTTTGGTTTAAAGAAATGAACTATTCGTACCAACTTTTGACAATAAATTTACTGACTATACTTTTGTTGATCTAGATGTAGCATTTATCTATGTTGACATCTTTTACTTTTTTAGAGTCATGCAAAATCTTGGTTTAGCAAAAGCACTTTTAAAAGTTGCTATCAATATGATTACATGGGTTGTTCAAATGCTAAGAGATAATACCTTTAAAATAAACTTCTTAAAATAAAGAATCAGATGAATTTTCAAGCAGTGTTTATAAATAGTAAACTCTTTTTGCAAAATCTTTATAACTAAGATTTCTCAAATCATTTCCAATGATCATTTTTTACTATTAATACCTAGCTATTTTCCTATAAAAATAAAAAACGAAAACAAAGAATATTATTGTAAACTAAATGTTATTTTCTGAAGTTTATGATTTTAAGATACTCAAGCTCCTAATTTATTTATAAATATTTTTATATTTAATAACAAGCTGTAAACATAAGTCAATTAATTAATTTACCTCTGGAGCTCATCTAACAAAAGTGCTATATTCTAACTAAATAAAAGCACCATCAAAAGTTTGAAAAGATTTCTGACATATTTATTTTTAAAAGTCATTAATCCTTAATTTAGATAGAATTAATATGAGAGATAGGCAGAAAAAAGAAAATTGTAAAGCAGATATCCTATAAAGTAAAAATAAGAATCCGACCTAAGACATATTACCAAGGAAAATAGTATTCTATATATATTAAATTGAAGAATATAAATAGTATTATCACAAGCGAGAGTATCCTTTTTACTTGAAAAGCTACCATTAAACAAAAACATTGTTGTGTACCACACTGTAAAACTACCAGCAAGCAATCCCAAGCATATCACAGCAATTTTTATAAAAAAAAGGCTATCACTTGTATTGCATTAGATGTTTAAATTACTCTACACAGGCTAGTAACATGTTATATAGGATATAAGAGTTATGTAGATAGGTTAAAGTAAGATCCACTATAAGTATTCACATAAATAAAGGAACCATCTCCCATAAAAGAATTTTCTAACTTTTATATTCTCATTACTGGCTCTAATAAAGTAACAAGTTACATATAATGCAAGCGTGAAAACCATATAAGCACTACTTACAAAGAGCATCACCATGTACATTGTTGAGTTGAACTGTAATACTGTAGTAATATCAACATAAGAAATAACATTTATTACAGTAGATAAATTATCTGAAGCTATTGTGTAATGCTTATTCATAAGGTTCTTGTAGTTGGAAACATTTGAAATGTAAATCTAAATGAAGGCTATCGAAATTAATATATATGACTTTTCGATCGAAGTTTTTTTGAATTTAAGCAAGTCTATAAAAATCTCAAAATTTCTTGTTAAAAGAGACCTATTTTTTTTTATTTCAAGCTTCTTCTACTCTTCGTCTTTGTATTTTTTTTCTTCAATTTTACTTATATCAATGTTTTTTGAGATAATGACAGGGTTTTGTGTACCTAATTTACTATGTTTACCATTCAAGCTACTTTGATTTGTTTGCTTTCTTTAAAGGTTAAGCTTGTTCGCGCTTTTACCTGACTTGATACCACTTTGTTACAACCTGTCTGATACTTTACTAATCATCTCTATAAATATATAAATTTACTATTTATTAAAATTTAAGCCAACAAATTTTGATAAAAACAATTGCCATAATGGATTCGCATAATAAAATACCTGACTGAAGCTACTTGTGTCTGAATGAAGCAAAATTTTGACTTCACTATTGTTGATTAGTACTAATCTTGTTATTACTTCTTAAAAAAAATATATTTATAATATCTCTTGATTTTAATTACTTTATTTTATTAAATTATTACAGTTCAAAATTCCTTTTGCATCAATTTTTTATTAGATTAAAAATTTGCCTAAAGCTTTTGTTTCCTAGTCCTACCAACTCTCAAGCACACACAAGAAATTCTTTATAAAATACAATAATTGGCTTTCTCCTTTTATTCTTAATACCTAAAATTGAATTAATGTATTTAACGTTATTAGTAACTACAGACAATAAATTAGAACTACTTTTGTTTACTTAACTGATTAAAAAAAAGTAGATTTTAGTTATATTATTTAATTATAAAAATAGATTATTATTTCTAATAAAATGGTTATTTATATTTTAATTTATTCATTGTTAAACTAAACAAGTAAAAAACTCCTTCAAGAATGATTACATAATTTTTTTTAATATCTTTTCTCATAAAAGCTATTTATTCTAATTCTTTATATCAACTGATAAAATTTATCATTTTTTATTATATTTATTTAATTGCTAAATTAAAATATTTAGTATTTATTTTTATATGCTGAATGGAATTTATTTCATAATAATTATTTTTTTTTGTTGTTAATAATCAAAACTAAAAATTTAAGATAAGAACAAAATTTCTTATTTTAACAAAACCATAAAATTATTTTTATTTGAATAATTCTGTTATAAAACCAAAAAAATACTTGCAAAATAAATTTGTAAAATTATTTTTTTACTCAAATAATTAATTAGAAATTTAAATAGGGAAATATTTAATGGACAAAAATTGTTTTATTTAAGCTATAAAGTCTATTTTAGTTACAATAATTCAGTTATAAATTTTAAAAAATTTTAGCATAATAAATTTAAAAGATGTACTTTTTTTTTAAATAATGAATTAAAAATTAATAAACCAAATAAATATTATTATTTTAATGAGTGATTTAAAAAATAATAAGAATTAATTTAATTAATTAATATGAGGTTGTTTTATTATATTAGAATTATAATATTTTTATAAATACTTTATTTTTTGTATAAATAAAATTAACACTGAATACCTTTTAAGAAATTTATTAGTATTTTATAAGATACAAAAGGCTTTTTATAATTTTTAATTATTGCTTCTCAAACTTATTTATATCCATAAAAATCGCGAATCATTACAAATAATAAAAATTAACAAAGTAGAAAAAAAAAGTTTTTCAATAGAAGCACTAGTTTTCAAATCTTCAGATATTTGTTAGAATTAGCATTTTTTTGTGTATTAAAATATATTCAGTAATAGTAGTTGTTCTCAGTTATGGATTTAAAGTACAGTCAAGCAGGAAACTATCCTTAAAGAAGTATTTCACCAGTTAGGTTTGACGATGATAGAGTTAACTATTAGCCATTATAAAATAGTCAAAATATGATTCAATAATCATATTCTTCACCATAAAAATTCAGAACCAAGCCACAAATATTCTAATCACCTTCTTATCTTTAGTAAACAGCTACTACTAACTTAAGCTTTGGTAGTCCTTAAATCTTAGATTAAGATGAGAGAGTCCTAAATAATAACTTAGAAGCTACCTAACAACAGATTTAGTAACTTCTTTAAGACAAAGAGAGTCTCATTGATAATTTAAGCAATTTGCAAAGATAAATTTTATAGCTTGAAATGTAACTATAACAAGAACAAAGAATTAACAGAAGTGTAGCAACTGAATATATGATAAAATTACCATCAGCTGAAAAGAAAATACTTGAATTGAATGCCGAAAATTAAAAGCTATATGAATAAATAGAAAATGAAAAAAGACTTTGTTCATAAGATTACCTAAAGAAGCTAGAACTTGAAAACTTGAGATTAACTGTGAAGAATAAGCAACTTGCTTTAAGCAATGAAAACCTCTAAAGTTAACTTTAAATCTATAGCAAATAAAATTATCCTAATTCTCTTAAAAGTTCTCCAACTAAGAAACCTTTCATTTAAGTATCAGTAAATTGCAGTAAAGATGATGAAATTGAAATAATTGATGATAAATAGATTTTGGTAAATAAGCCTTATTCATTTACATCTTAATCTTATAAACAAGAATAGGAAAGTATCGATTAGAATGTTGAATCAAAGCTCCTCAAATTAGAGTCATATGTCTAGATTCTAAAAAAAGAATATGATTAGCTTGAAGATAATAATAGGGAGCTAAATAAAAAGCTTAAAACTTTAGCATTTTAAAAAGAAGCTAGTGAGACTGACTATCAGCAAAAGATATTAAAGCTTGAAAGTTTAGTAACAAATCTAGAATATTAACTTAGAAAGCTTAAGAATGAGCAAGAATAAAAAAATAATTCTTAAGAATAAGTGTAGAAGCAGTCTACAGCAAATATTGAAAGAAACTATTAATCAAATACTAATACCATCAGAATACTGCATGACGGAGATGTTAACATTAAAATTGAAGGGGAGGCTCTAAACAAGTTAACTACTGTTTCAGTAATTTAGCATTGAAATATCTTTTCATTAAATGACCATAAGATAATCAATCATAATTTTATTTTTTGTATAATATATAAAATATATTTAAAAGAATATTCATAAAATAGAGTTTATAAGTATATATATAATTATAAATACATCATAGTAATGTTTAAAATATTATTTTTACCTATTTTACTAAGACAATAATCGTGATCTTAAAATATCCTTTATCTCACAGAAAATCCTAAATATACCAGAAGAATTTAAATATTCACAATCACTAAAAGCTCTAATTTTACTTAATTTAGATTTGATCAAGTTGACTTATTTATTTAATTTATGAGATTAATTTTTTGAAAATTTCAGATTTATTCATGAAAGATTCAAGAATTTTCATATTTTTACTTTATTTGAAAGTTAATAAGTAAAAAATGTTTTATCAAATAATTTTATTTATATTTCTAAAATTTATTTCAAGGTTTGGCTTGACAGCAGTCAAATAAAGTTACATGAAAAATTTTATTTCAATATTACAAATTTCTTTTTGACGAATTATCTGAAAATTAAAGAACTAATAATTAGCAAAATAAGTTAAGTTTGCAATTAAAAATTTATCTTAATATAATTTAATTTTTTTAAACCAAAAAAAAATTGATAGTATCAATGAATAAATGAATGAACCATTTAACAATAAATTAATTAACTATTAAATTAAATCAAATTAATACACATAATTTTAGAGTACTTAATCAATACAATTTTTTCCTTAAAGATTATTTATCTATATATCAATCAATCATTTTTTCTTGGTTGATTTTTTCTCTTTGGCTGGTGTTGTTATTATGTAATTGTCTAAAACATTATACTACAATAAGCATGTCTATAGCAATCCCTCAATATCTAAAACTATTTCATTACTTTCATTCTATTACTTGTTATACTCTGTTTTTGAAGGATCACTTAAGAAATATGCTGAGGTATGTTTAGGTTTTTCATACAAGAAGCTACCACCAGCGCTTTCTACAAGCTTTCTCACTTCTTCTTTGTTTAGGTTATCAAAAGAGTTTTGACAAACAAAAGTTAGTCCATGTAAAATTCCTTCGGGATGGTCTTTTTAATTGTTAATACTTTTTTTCAACTCAAAATTATGCTACTTAGCTAAAGCCTTATCTACTTTGGTTATTATAAAAGGTTCATATGGAACTATTTTGTCTTCTTTAATACACTCTTTGATCCAATTTTGAGATATAATTGGATAACCTTTATTTAATGCAACTAAAGTTTTTAGTCTTCTTTTAAATTCGTCAGTAACTAAAATATTAAAATCGTTAGCACTATGAAAGTCATTAAGAATTTTCACTCCATAAGTAGACATTTCTTTTTTCTCTTCATCTGTAATAGAACTATTAGAAAATATTATTCTGAATTTATTTCTTCTTGGTATATCCATGATGATTCCTGCAGATTGTTAAAGCAGCAAAGCTTCTTTTTTAGATCCTAAAGTTCTTCTTATTAAACTCTTAGGCTTTTGAGTGTCTTTTTTAGACTTTGCAGTAGCTTTTTCAGTTTGTTTGCTCTTCTTAGCCTAATCTTTTGATTTTTAATCTTCATTTTACTATTTATTATCGCTATATGATTCTTTCAAAATGGATTTTCTAGCACTTTTTCTAGTTGGTTTTGTTTCTTCTATTTCCATTTAGCTTTCTTCTTCTTATTCTCCTTCGTCAGAGCTTTCTTTTTTAGTTTATTTTTTAGAAGTGCTTTTTTTTGCTGATGTCTTCTAAACAATTTTTGAAACACTCTTTTTAGTAGTTTTTTCTTGTTTTTCTTCATCTTCGACTTAAGCCTTTCTTGTACTCCTTCTTAATGACGCAGGTTACTCTTCTTCTATCTTTTCAACCTATTTATCATGTGATTCTTTTTTTTATTATTTATTATTTTATGATTTAGACTTCTTTTGTTCTTCAGTTATTTTTGTTTCTTTGGAATTTGCAGCTTTAGGTGTTTCCTTTGATTGCTTCTTTTTAGCATCTGAATTTTTTCCTTTTTAAGGTGTTTCTTCCTTAATAGCAGTAACTGCTGCTTTTGTTTTTTCTTTATCATTTACAGTCTGCTTTGTTTTTTGTTCCTTTGATTTTGAATTTTTTATGGGTTCTTGTTTAGTTGGCTAAGTCATTAAATCATCATATTTTCTTTTTCTAGTAGAAATGGATTTAGCTATTTTTTAACTTTGAGATTGAAAGTCTTCCTCTTCCATGCTATATTCTTCATCTTCTTAATTTTGATCGCTGATTGATGTGCTATCATCAACTGTTTTGCTTTTAGTTTTGTTTTTTGCACTCTAATCTTTTTATTTAATTTTTGATTTATCAGCTTATTCATCATCTTATTTTTTAGATTAGTTTGAGTTTTTAATTGTATTTAAGACATTTTCTGCTTACTGCTTTAGTTTTTCCATTTTATCATCTTTTTTTTATTGTAATTTCAAATCTTTTTTGCTTTTGGAAGCTACTTCTTTTTTTTTTGGCTCCTCTTATATTTCTTAATCTTCTACTTATTTCTTTGAATTTTTTTTATTAGTTGGCTCTTAGTTAATTGTTTGCTCTTTTTATTTTGAGGCTTTTTTAGAAGATTCTACTTTGATTGGCTCATTTTCATTTTTATCTATTTTATTAAGAGTTTTTGATTTAGTTTTATCAGTAGTAGCTTAGGGTTTAGTGGTATTTTTTCTTTTTAAAGTTGAAGGAGACCAATAATCTTCACTTTCTTTTTTCTCTAAAGAATTTGATTTTTCTTTTTTATCTTCAAAAGGAATGTCTTAACTTTGCTTTTATGTGTTTTTTTGTGAACTGTACTTTTATGCTAAATCATTAATAACCTTTCTTTATTCATTAATTTCAGAATTCTTTAACTTATCCTAAATTCTTTTTAAAAACTGTGAATCCAGCTTCATCGAATCCTCATCATGTTATTCTTATTAAGTTTAAATTCCATTATTCTTTTTATTACTTGCAGCTCTCTTTCTGGTAGCTTATTCTTCTTCATGGTTGTTGCTTTTTTTAAATGATTTAGGAAAGCTAAACTAAAAATCGCAGTCCTCTTCCTCTTCATCAGAAACTTTATAAAGCTGAGTATCTGTTATATCATAAATATCTTCTTTTTTTAAATTTGAATCCCTATTTATAATAAAATACTCATTATTTTGTTGTTTTTTAAATCATTATTTTTTACTCATCTTTTTAATCATTCTTAAAGGCTCCTTTTATTCCTTTAGCAAGTTATCCTTTTGATTTCACAAAATTTTTTTAGGTGTTTTGAGCTTTTTTTGATTATGCAGTGCTTGATGCTAAAGCAGTCTTACTATTATTAATCTTCTAAAAATGTTTTTCATCTTCCTCTTCATCAATATTTTCAGCTTCTAAGCGGTTTTAAATAATCTTAGAAGAGATTTAGTTTTTTTTGTGCTACTATTTAGAAGGTAAATCAGTATAATCTTCTATATCATCCTCATAGCTTTATATCTTTTTGGAACCTCTTTTGCTATTAGTTATTGCATTTTGAGGTGCAGAAGTGTTGCTATTATTCTTTTAACTATTCAATATGTCAGTTGGACTTAAAGAAAAGGCCATTGCTCTGCCAGGTTTAACTATTTAAAACTTACATCTAGATGATTATAATAAATGTGATTAAATAAAAACATTAAATATTTTTTTACTTGTATTTTCCAATGTAGAATATGTGGTTATTTGAAAGATCATAAGATTTATTGGGTTTCAGACGTATTAAACTATTATCAGACTTGATCTTAAAAGTACCCTTCTAAGAACCTAAATCTTCGATTGTATAATCGTCGTCTTCAATGCTTATTTTAGTGTGAACATCATCTATTTCATCTGTAAAGCGAAGCACTATTGAGCAAAGAGAGCTATTCTTTCCTATAATATTATCACCATATTTTAAATCAAATACTAAATACTATTAAGAATCCTTTTCGTTGCAGAAGATGATCAAATCTGCAACTTTGACAGAATCTTTTTACTTTCTAAACATTTCTTGGTAAATTTCTAACTAAAATTTTAGATTTTCTTATTAGAAATAATTTTTGATAAATATAAAAATTTGATTGATCTTCTTAAATTTCTTTTTTTTATTAAGATTTTATTAATTTATGATATTATTTAAAAGTAATGGTATTTCCCGCAAAATCTTTCTTTCTAATTGTTAAAAGAGCCAATATATAATAGAGTCTATTTTTCTATTAAATTACTATTCCAATCCCTCCAAAACTTCTTCTGATATTCATTTTTCAAATCAAAAATATCTTTTCAGCTCAATTAATAAAAAAATTTTTAATTATCAAATAAAATCAATCATTACAAATTTCTAAACTTTTATAATAAAATTTTTTATAAAATACCATTTAATTCACACATTTTTAAAATTATAAACTATTTATTTTAAATTTGATTTGGCTATATTAATAGCATTTTAATTATTTTATTCAAATTATAATATTAATTTTTATATTTACTAGAATAAAGTTTTATATCTAAACTTAATAAACAATTTTTATTTAGTTTAGAATAAATTTTAATCATAATAAATTTTACTTATTTAATTTTTGAAAAAAAGAGGATATTTGATAATTGAAATACAACATATTTTGTTAATAAAAACAAAAATGCTTTTTTTTTAAGGAGTTTTAATTAATCAATAACTAAAAATAAACTTATTTATTTATTTGGTTTAAATAATTTAAAAATATTTTATTCAATATTTTGACTAATTTTTAAATAATCTTGAAAAGAAAAAATAATTTCTAATATTTTCATGCTCTTAGAAATTAATTACACAATTTACTTTGTTTTATCAAAATTTGTAAAGAAAGCACTAAATTTTATCAGTTAATAAAAACTTGAAAGACAACCAAAAATTTTAACTCTTTCCTTGAAAAAATAAAACTCTGAAATTGATTTAAAAATTATTAATTGAAATTAATAAATATGATTAAATTTCAATTAAGAAAAAAAAGAATAAAAATTAAATACAAAGAAATATTGTCAAGCATACTTGTGTAAGCTGATGCATTATCTGCATATTTTATTCAACCTCACAAAAAAATGAATTTTATTTTTGAAATCTAAATACTGATGAAATAAATTTTATTATCGTTTTAATTCTCAATCAAAAAAATTAAATAAAATTTAATAAAAAAGCAGAATAAAAAGTAATTGACTGACTGACTAATTTTTTTTGTATTAGTAATAATTTATTTTATAATATTTAGAGTGATTGATTATATCTTCAATTTTACAATTAATAAATTTAATTAATATTTTTAACGATCAATATTTAATTTTTATAAGATAAGCAAAAATCATATGTAAGTGAAAATCCATAACAGCTCTATGCAAATAAAAACTAATTTCTTTATTAAAATTATAAAAAGTAGAAATGAGGGTATTAAAAAGTGCAGACAAAAAGAGAAATGCAGAGAACATAAACTTGATTCAATAGATTTGTGAGATTGATTAGCTATGCAAAAGCAAGCAATAGTAACTTTATATGAACACTATGCAGTCTCAAATAGCGACAAAAGTCAACTTTTCTAAAAAAAAATCAGCAAATTAATCTCCATTCACACTAATACAAGGAATAAATATTCCTAATTAGCATGGATTTTTGGCATAAAAAAGGATTTTACAAAATAATAAAAATGCTACCAATTAAACTATATACAGCTAAAGCGCTCAAAAATCTAATAGCAACTAAAATACTGAATAAAGAATTATGAATACATAATAAGATTTAGCTGTGACTGAAAACAATTTTCTTACTTAATCTTAAATTTTAAAAAGTATGGAAGATGAAAATTAAATAAGCATAACACCTTTTGTCCCTAATAATTATACAAGTCAAGAAGATAATGAAGGCATGAATTCATATAATTTGATTCACCATTTCGATAGTAGACCATAAACCAGCAGTAGCAGTAACACTAACACTACTAACTACACCTAAAAAAATGATACAGCAGTTCATATGTCAACATACTCATAAGAAATGCCACATTACAATATTGTTACTTAAATTCCTGAAGATGATTAAAATAATCTAAATAATAATAGTAATACTCTTTCTGCTAGTGTTATTGACATAAATAATTGCTTTTAAGATTGTTCTAAGTAAATGTCTTACTCTACAAACTAGAAGTCTACAGTGGGCTAAAATTCATTCAGAGCAGGAAAAAATCAATCTGAGACTTAGGAAAAAATCAAAAAATTGAGAATGAGGAGCCACTAATCCGCGATGAGAGGAACAAATACAAGCAGCTCTAAGAAGGGAAGTTAGATTTAAAATGCTAGTGGAAATAACAATTTTGTAAAGCTATTGAAAATGTCTGAAGAAGAAGTTAAGCAAAAGAGTAAATAAGCAATAGAATCTATTAAAAGTAAGTTAGCAATTAATTCTGAAAATGATTGTGTGTTAGTTTTAAAGACACAACCTCATGTTTATCAGGATGAAGATTATCTTAACAATTTAAGTGTTTATTAGCCTAATTAAACTAATTGCAATTTCCTAAGTAGAAAGAAGAATTCTTGTATCTTGAATGATTCTTCTTTACCTTTTAAGCCAATATCTCAAAATAATATGATGAGTAAAACATCAAATTAGTTTATGAATAACACACATACTCATGGATTTTCTGGTAGTGTAGAAAAACCAGCTTTTTCAATGGGCGGAGTTGATAATAATAAAAAAAGCATAAATTAAAATATTTCATCTTTATGTATCACTCCAAATAAATCTTACAAAGGAAAATCCTACAGTAAGCAGTTGAATAGATCTATAGATAATGAAAATGGCTTAAAATTTGACTAGAGAGGAAATAGAATAAATGATGAAAACAGAAATAATCTGTACAAGCGAATGTAAAACTACAATACATTTATGAGAGGAAAATTTGCATTTCACAAATTAAATAAACAGAAAAAAGAACTTTGCAACATTAGCAATGTACTCTACAATAGCCTTCTTGAAAATTATGAAGTTGAGGGAATGCTCAAGTCATTTAATCCTTCATTGCAAAATACTTAGCCAAAAAAAAGAATATACGACGCAGATGATGACAATGAAAATGATTCCCCAGATTTCAATCATATGAAAAAATATTACAACAAAAAGTATGGGCTTAAGCTTTAGCAAATCGAAAATGAGAAAATTGAAAATTAGACTGGTAAAAATCGTTCTTTCCACACAAATACTCATACTCCTATCAAGAGAAACAAACAACTTAAAATAATAAGAGCAAACGAGATAAGCAACACCTCACAGAGTAATTCAACAAATCAATACGAAAAATATTACAGCTAATCAGCTACAGTAAATGAAGAAAATAAATTCTCAAAAATCTATACAGAAAACCTTTTAAACTAGTCTTGCACTGATTTCCTAAATATTTGCAATTTAAATGATTTTTCATAGATGCAATAAGAACACATTTAAGACTTAGACAACGACAACACTTCATCTACTTAGAATTCTAAAAAACAGCAAAATATGACAAGCAGCTATAATCTTTAAAACTTTAGCTAATTTAGTTCTTCTGTCATCAACTAGTGCTAGTAAGCGAAGAGATATATAAGCGTGGGAAATAAGTAAAAAAAGAAAAATGACATAGATTTAGTACCTTGGGAAAATGATTACAATACAAAAGTATGAAAAAAATATATACAAAATAAATATTTATAAATATATAAGATAAGAGTTTGTTTTTATTTTTTAGTAAATTTTTTATATTTTATTTAGGTGTCTAAAATTTGTTTATATAATTTGATTATACTACCTATTTTTTTAATGCGAATGTCTGTAATTTCCTCAGCTCTCAGCTTTGACACTCATTCATTAAAAGATTTAAAATTTAATAAGACTATCCATTTTTTACAAAATAAATTGGGCTTATTAAAAAAGAGAAAACACCTATAAACTTAATCATTTTTTTTATTTGTTAAATTTTATTTTTCTAATAGTAAATTTTACTTCAGCATTATGTTAATCTCCAAAAATATAAGCTTTTTTAATTTTTAAATAGCGTACAAAAAGAAAATCATGCCCTTATCCCCAATTGAATTTGCACTATTTTTTATTAATTGTGTAATGTTAATTTAGCATGAGTAAATTTATAATTAGATTACTTCATATGTATTGTCAAATTAATTAAGTTTTTGCATTACGATATTCTTTATCCAAATTAGCTAAAAGCTTCTTATTCTATTTTATTCCAGCTTTTTTTAATAAAATTAAACAAGCTGAAAAATACAAAATTAAATTTACCCTAAAAATAAACTTAGATATTCCAGATTTTTACATTTTTGTAATTACTCGCCTAATTTCAGCAATCCAATATCCTCTATATTATTATTTCTAAATAATGGTTTTATTTCATTTCATATATTGGTAATTACGCTAGTTCAAGATTTAATTTTGTCAGATTAGGTAATTAAGCTAAAAAATAGGCTAAAGCATGGGTTCCTTAACTTTATACAGTATTTGCACTATTTATCCATTTAAATTAATAAAAAACTAAGATAAAATAATATTTACCCTAATAGTAATGTTATTTATTTCAACATGATGCATTTTGCTAGATTTTCTGAGAAACATTTTATATCTAAAGCCGATATTGAGTTGTTGCTATTAAAATACTAGTCATTATCTTATATCAATAAATAAAAAGGGAATTTACTATAGATCTAATCTTAATTTTTGCAAATGTATGCATTTAGATATTTCTAATCCCAATTCTTAAAACTCTTTTGATCCTATTTAGTTCCATCTATAAAAGAAAATTACTAGAATCAAATATTATAAAAATATTTACTTAAATTATCCTTCTAAAGTAAGAACTAAGTGATGATTTTCTTTGAACTTAATTTAATTAATCAAAAAATTAATTATTGCATTTTCAATCTTTTTGAAAATAATAATTATACCATTAGAAGTGTTTATGTTTCTTGAAAACACCTAGATTTTAGACATTCAATGTATTTATCATATATCATTTCCTCAACGTAAAATTTAGTCTTTTGTGTAATTTTAAATAATTGTCTCTACTTTATGAGAGGAAATTTACAAATGAGTATGCTGTTTTCTGCTACTTCTAAAGTACTGAAACATTAGCTCTTTGATTTTTCAGGGGTAAACTCAGAAATGCAGTTCAGAGAGCTAAAACACACTCTTAATGCTACTTTTTGTTTTATGTCCTTATTGTAAGCAGCTACAACTAATGAAGAGGAATCATTAGCAAGGTATTAGAGATTTAAATATTTTTTGTAGCTCATAAGTGATGCTACTATATATTTTAAATATGTTTTGAGCAAACATTGTTCTGATATTACAGAGATAAGATTATGAGTTATCAATTTACTTTGCCTTTTTCCCATCTCATAAATTTATTTATTTTTAATTTTATTTATTCTTATATATAATTTCTCTAATTAATGCAGACAAATTTATTAAAATGTTCTATTAGCATAGTTATTTAATTTTTAGTCATTAGAGAATCAGAAATCCATTAAAATTTCTAATCGTTTTTTATCAAAGATTTTTTAATTAATTTTTCACTCACAAATCTATTAAGTAAATTAATTGCTATTTTAATCATTCAAAATTAAAAATAACTCAAAAATAAATAAATAAATAAAATCTTACTTTAATTCTAATTTATTTCAAAAGATAATAAATAACTTAAATTATTAATTATCTTAGCAAAAATTGTTAGTCATCTTATCAATAATTTTAATTCATTAACTAAATCATATAATAAAAAAATTGGTTTTTTTTAAGGTAACTGAATAAAACTAGCTTTTTAGATTGCTAATTAAATAAACTATTTAGGAAATAAATGCATTCAGTCAATTTTGTTTAAGATTAATTTCTGTAAGTAATTAAATTGTGTTATAAAAATTAATAACTAATTCATCTAATAAAGCAATAATACTTATTATTAATTACTTCAATCAATTAATAATATTTATATATTTTATAATGATGAGTGGTAGCACCTAAAAATAATTAGTTGCAGAGGAGGGTGACTAAGAAAAAATCCATGAGGAACTCTTAACCTCTTAACATTACTAAAACAATTCATATAGAAGCAACGAGTAATCGAACGAGAATAAAATGAGTTCTAGAACACAAAACGAGAAAACAATTAGCAGAGAAGATTTTAATAATAATTCAGTAAATAAATCTCAAATCGAGCAAATATAAGCAGAACATAATCCTTAGTTTAAACAGATAGCAAATTAAGAATTAAATAGTTAGTAAGAATTATAATATAACAATTAATCGATTGTTAAGGGCAATACAGGATAGAGGAGAATATAGTCGTCTCAATAAAGGAGTATGCAACTTAATGATAGTTTTGTAAACTAACAATCTAAAAAAATAAAAACTTATCTCCTTACATAAAAGCTTGAAAAGCCTAAGATCATGCAAAAATTTCCCTTCAGTTCTGTTGGAATGTTTCCTCATAACTAGCAGAACTCAATGAATTTTTTCTTTTATGATGATTAACTTATAGATAATCTCTAATATAGCAACACTTAAAAGGAGCGCAAAGACATATAATTGCATCTTTAGCAACTCTAAAATAGAGTATAATTACTTTAAAAGGAAGATAAGAAAGCTCTGATAGAGTTTAAGAATACTTAAATATAAACTCAAAAGCTATTACTAGCAAAAAAAAATCATGAAGAAAGATTATAACTTAAGGAATACATAAGATAAAAGAAAGCAAGTGATCAGTAATAAAAATTAATTGAGAATAATATTCAAAAAAGCTACTCAAAGACTAATATCTAAAATAGAATGAGTGCTTCTAAATAGTTTGTAAGATAATAGGCAGATCTAGTCAAACAACAACTAAGCTAGCTGAAAGAAGAACAAAATCTTAATCATTAATAGATTTAAATTAACAATGTACAGGCTTCTAGTTTAATCAAACACTAGAGAAGTTAAGCAAGTAGTACTCGTTATGCTTAAAACGATGATAAAAAAAAGTTAGCTAACATGTATTATAATCATAGGATTAAATTAGAAGAAAAAATAAACAATTAAAAACTTTAAGAATACAGGGAATTAGAGGAACGTGAAAGGTAGCTGCTGGAAAGATTTTAAAGTACTTAAATGATGCTTAACAGTGCTGTAGAAGATATGCAAAAAGTAATCAATATAAAGGTTAACAAAAATGCCTATAATGAATAAATTGAATAGCTTAAAATGAATATTATAAATTAATCTAAAATTACTCCTGAAACATAAATCTATGCTTAAAAAATTGCAGATAGCTTTATTACCCAAGTTAATTCAAAATAAAATTTACTTAATATTCAATTTCCAGATATTTCTCAAGAAAATTAGTTAAATTAATAATAAGCTACTACTACTTCTGCTAGTAAATCTGCTGTTAATCCTAACAACTGTGCTTCATCAATTTATTCTTAAAACTCGCCATACCGAACACTTTCTACTCAGCAGCCTTTTACAAACAGAAGTGATAATATTTAAACTAAACATTAGAATTAAATTACCTTGGAACACTTTGAAGAAGATGTAGACTCATTTAAATTAAAAACTTAAAGATATTAACACAAAAGAAATATTTTTGTAAAAAATCATTAACTTTCTTAGTAATCACTATCGTAGACAGACAGTAAAGATCATTTGGCTTCGACAACTGGCTCATCTCAGTTTAGGTAGATTAATATAAATTTAGCCAACTCTTAATAATCTCTAACTAGGTATTCTTCTATGTAGCTTAATTATCCAACTTAATTAAATCAAAATATTAACCAAAAAAGTCATGTGGCATAAAATCTTTCTATGGGGAATATAGCTACTAATCTAATTATAGGTAAACCTTTTACACCTAAGTAATCTATAAAGAAAGCTATCAGATAGTCTGCTAAATGAGTATCCTTCTCTTATTGTTTTAATAAAATTGAAGGTGCTCATAATTTTATTTTTTTAAACTTGAATAAAAATTTGTTTGTTATAAATCCATTCATTAAAAAAAAATATATTCTAAAATGAAAAATAGTTTATGTTAAAAATATTATATAAATTTACTTTTTTTAAATATATTTTTTGTTACTGTTGTAACAAATAACACTTTACCAAAACCTTAAAGAATTTAAAAAACTTTAAATGAAACTTTATTAATTGAATAAATATTTTACAGATATAAGATGTTATTGTATTTACATATACTTTTTATAAATGGAGTTGCAAAAAAGAAAAAAAATTTTTTCATACTACCAATAGATTTTTTTAAATTTACAATAGGGTTATAATCACTTAAGAATTAAATATAATTTGTGATTTAAAATTAAAATAAAATTTTTATAAAAGGGAAGATTGTATAAAAGAGTGTTACAGATACCCCCTTTTAAATCAAGTTATTTTTTCATTGCTTAAAAATTATTTTTTACAATTAAAATATATATACAATTAATCTTAAACTGCTGAAGATTATTTAACAGTTTTAAGTTTATAATTTAATTATTTTAAAAAAAAAATGATTTATTTTTATATTATACCATTTAAAAAGAATAGCTCACAAATTTAATCTCGCTTTTGTAACTCAAATTTGAATAAACAACTTAATAAATTATTTAAAAATGCTTTAACATTTGTAATAAAGAGGAATCAAATAATTTCAAGCTGATATAACTAACTTTAAAAATAAACAAATTAATTAGTTGATCAAAAAATTAAAAGAAAAAAACTTTAATCAAAAGAATTTAAAAATATTAGAATAAATATATAGAATGGAGCACATATTTGAATCTTTTAATGCAACTTGGATTGCTTATGCAATAGCAGCAGTTGTGATTATTTGGTAGGTTTATGATTTCTTTAACCCTAAAAAACCTACTCCAAATGCATAACCTGAAATCTACTAAAGATTGGAAGAGAGTAAATCTAAATTTTTTTAGACATTTTAAAAATTATCAATAAAAAATAATAGTTAAGCGTTAAAGAAGAGAAAGAAATGAAAAAGGTGTTTTCAATTATAAAGACTTAACAAAATATAATGGTTTTAATAACCCCTAATTGTACATAGCAATAAAAAACGATGTTTTCGACGTTTCTAATTCAAGTAAATAAAAGCACTTAAAACTAGATGTTTAATTTTTATATTAATATTAAATTTTTAGCTGATTTTTAAGAAGGTGGCCCTTACTAACCTTTAGTTGGTAATGAAGTATCTGTTAATTTTGCAAAATGTGTAGGAGACCCAGAATATTTCTTTAAATATGGAGAAGTAGAATTAACCGAAGAAGAAACTAAGCAATTAGAAGCAACATATGCTGCATTTAAGGCTAATTATAAAAAAGTTGGAACACTTTATAAAAATTTACCCATGTCTGATAACGACAAAAAGCACATATGAGCATTTATTTGTAATCTGTTTATTTTTTATGCAATTTTGTTAGAGAAAATTTATTGAATTTTAAATACATTTTTATCTAAAATCTGTTATTATCCATTTAAATTTTGTAGAATTTAGCTATAATTTTTAACTCTTCTAAGCAATTATTATTAAAATAGGCTTAAAAAGTTTATTTAAAAAGCATTTTTAAAAATGTAATTTACAAATCTAATCATGATAAAAAGGTTTTTTTAGTAATTTAAATTAATTAAACAAAGTATTGAATGTATTATTTAAATTAAATTAAACTAATACATAATTCAATATTTTTTTGTAGATAGATAATTACAAAAGTATTACTAAAATAGTTGAGGAATTGTAAAAATACTATTTAAAGAACTTTATAAAAAAGTAAATTAATTAAAAGCAAACTTAATTTTTATTTAAAAAGTTATTTTTAAAATAAAAAAAATATTTTTAAATTCAATTGTTTATTTTTAAGCTGTAAAAGAATCATTAAAACAATTTAATTAAAGTTAAAAGACGTAATAAATATATATATTAGTGAGTATATATAATTATTTTGCTTTAATAATAACTAAATATGTGAAGCTTTTCAAAAATTTTAAATATTCAATCAAAGTGGCAAATTCTCCAATCTTTTTAATTGGTATCTGATTCTCTTCTTTCAAAAACATTAAATTTAGCCACTTCTTTACCTAAAAGCTTGTCATAATAAACGAATTTGCATGTAACTTAATGCCAAGTCTAATTTGGATTATTTGCATGTTTATGTTAGGAGTATATTCTAGCTATTAGTATTTGAAATGAAAATTATTTTTGGAATTAAATATAAACAAACAAATAAATAAATAAATACCCATGTAAAATTGAATATCTTTAACATCTTCATATAATGTGAAAGGAAGAGGTCTGTTTTATTTCATTGATAACTTGAAAATCTTTTTATTTATTAAAATATTTCATTAGCATTTGAACAAACATTTTGCTTTTTACATCATATAAAGGAATAGATAGGTGTTTCATCAAATCTACTTTATCCTTTCTTTTATAAGCAGTTAAAGTGTCAAAATATTTATCACGAGCAACTTCATGAAATGTACTTTTCTTAAAATCTAAAAAGATTGATTCAGTGGTGTTAAGGACAAGTTTATTTTTGAAAACATTTTTTATATTAGTCATGAAAGTTGGATTATGAACATCGATTAAATCCTAGTTAAATTTTTAATAAACAAGAGCTTAAAATATTTAATTTTTGTATTTTCATTATTTTTAAATTATATTTTAGCTTATTTGAAATTTTAGCTAATCTATTATAAAATGTTTATGAATTTTTAATTTCTTATGCACTGCTTAACTCCTATCTATAGATTGCTAGCTAAATTTTATAATAATTATTCTAAAATTTGTTTACAACTATGGTTCCTGATGATATATTGTGAGATATACGATCAGCGCTTTATTTCAAAATACTTCCACCCTTCATTGCTAGCTATTTATTAGTATTTCTTTCTACTTTTAATATAAATTAAAATCTCGATTTTTCTTTTCGTTATTAGAAATTGATTTTAAAGTATTGATTTTTCTGAAGAGTTCTTTTAGAAGATGTAAATTCAATTAAAAAGATATTTTAGTTTATTTTTAACTTAAAATAGTAATAATTCTACTGCTAAATTACTAAAATTTAATGTAAATTTAATTTCAAGCAATTAGTGTATTTTTTTTATGGAATGAATTAACAAAATTTTAATACAACCATTTTAAATAATTGTTTTAGAATATTTTTAGACAAAATCAAAACAAATAATACAAAAGTAACTGGTCAAGTTATATTTTAAAAAATTTTATATTTCTAAAGTATTTTAGAAGTAAGATTAAAATGATTAAATATTAAGATAAATAAATAAGCTATTTTAAAGATAATTTTATTTATTGATAAAAGATTAGCTTCTTTTTAAATAAAAAAAATAATTTTATTCTTAAAAAGAATTAGTTAGCAATTTAATTTTAATTATTTAAAATATTAAATAAAAAAAAAGATAATCAATTAATAATTATAAGTTTTTATTTTAATTTTTATGGTGTTTAATTAGCTAGTTAGCTAGATAACTAACTAAGTATCTAAAAACATATTATAAATATGTATAAGCGTAAATGATATAAAAGAAATAAGATTTATTATATAAAAGAAATTTTAGTTAATTATATCATTTATTATTTGTTTATTAATTAAAATCATCATTTGTAAAAAATTATTCATGTTAGTAAATAATTACGTACATTTTAGCAACAACCAACCATTCATTTTTAGTTAAATTTGTAATTTACTATTTACTTTTAATTGTAAATTAAATGTTTATTTTATTAAGATTAGTGTGTAAGTAAGAGATTCAATAAATTATTTACAAAACATATAAAATAAATGCTAATACTTATTATTATACCTTTACTTTTATTAAATTTTATATTTTTTTTCATTATGCCTTTTCCAAATGTGTATTTGCAAAGCCAAGTAATTCAGCAATTTATATAAACCAGCCATTAGGATTCCACTTATACCATTTGTTTTCGCAAGCTCTCCAGTCTCTAGGGTATTCATGGTGCCAATTATGCCATCCTTCACCGCAAGCAAAAATAGAAACAAACAAGTTTTCAGTAGGTAAAATATCAGGGTTGTAAGGTCTTGTTCCAAACATGTGGCAAACTGAATTTACACACCAAGTAACGTGGAGCATGAAAATATATCTAAAAACACCAGCAGTTAAGAATCCAAAAATAAGGCTTCCTCCAACAATAAAGTAGCTTAAAATGGCTTTTTATAAATTTAATTTGGGTTAATAAAGATATTTACATTATTTTTCAAGTAATTAAAAGTAATAATCTGTAAACAGTAAAAGTTGAATTTTAATTAATTTGTTTTTTATTTGTTTAACTCCTTTTTTTCTATATTTGGTTATGTGCAAGAAATTTAAAATGAATGGTAAAATATTTTACTTGGAATAATAAAACAAATTAATGTTGAGAGCTTGTAATAGTTTTTCTTTTGGAATTTAACAACAGGGTCATTTAAAAGATCCTAGACATCAATTTTGTAACCTTCATCTACTAAAGCTTTGCTCTTCTTAACCAAAAGCCACCCCATATGAGCAAAGAAGAATCCTCTATTCATAGAGTGAGGATCTAAATCAGTGTCTGAGAACTTGTGGTGCAATCTGTGATCTCTAGACCAATGGAAAATGCTCCCTTAAAATGCAAGTGATTGTAAAATCATCAACAAAACACGGTATGGAGTACTTGCTTTATAAGAACGATGAGCCCAAAGTCTGTGAACTCCAGATCCAATACCCAAGCAACTTAAGTAATGGAGAAAACCCATAAGGCACAAAGATCTAATTATTGTCTATTTATCATAGGTAAATAGTAGTATCAAACCAGCAAAAGCAAGAACATGCATGATTCCTAAAAAAATGCTCTCAGGAACTCTTATTTCTTCTTTTTCTTGAATTGGATCATTTTTAGTATTTTCTTTGTGAGCAAACTCCTTGATTTTGCCCTCAGTAGAGTTTTAGTGTTTTTTTACTGAAACTTGCATATTTACTATAATAAAATGCCGAGATTATTTAGTTAAATTAATGTGATTGATTTATTAATTTAGATGTTGTATCTTTTTAAGCTTTTATAATTTAATATTAGAATTTAGAATATTTAATATATCAAAAGTGTTAGTTTTTAAGCTATAATAGTAACAAAATAAAATGACATCATTTAGAAGCAGTTTTAGTTCTGTAACCAGAAAAAATGTGTTTATGATGTAATTTAAGAATTTAAATAGCGTCATTTATCTTTTAATTAAGAATTTTTGCTTTATTTTAATGTTAACTATATCACTTTATCAGGTTTTGTAAGTGTAATTTAAATTATTAAGACTCTAGCTTAAATCTATTAGTTTATTTGATTATTAATTAAAAGCAAGGTAAATAATACTATTAAAGTAATTTTTTTTAACTTACTTTAGTTATTCGTCAAAATTAATTGATTATTTAATACTTAGATTGTTTTAAGATTAAATATCGAATTGTTCTCTATAAATAAAATCACTTTTAAACTTATCAAAAATAATCAAAAAATTTTTTGGAATACCATATTTTTGGTTAAGCATTAGAAGATTTTTTAGTTACTTAAATGAAATTAATTTGATGAAGAGAAAAAATCTTTCACAATTATACCATCAATTAATTACAATAGTTCATGGTGATATTTTACTTTGATCTCCAGAATATATAGGTATTAAATAATCACTAATTTTTATAAATTGCGTCATTAAAACTCTACCTTTGATGAATAAATTAGAAATTTACTTATAAAAATGAAAAAAAAAATTAAATAAACCTTTTATCAATTAATAAATTACGAAATTAATGCTCCTAAATAATATTACATTTGGATAATCATTTTAAAGATAAAAGATTTTGTACTTAGAATAAGAAAAATGGAGCAGTTATTTTTTGCTAAATAAAACTAAAAAATGAAATTTTTTTTTGTGAATAAATTTTTTTATTTATTTTACATAATCTTAGTTTATTTTATATATTAATAAGATTGGAAATCCTAATTTCATTTATTGTATATCATAAAGAAATAGCATATAAAGTTAATAAAACAAAATAGAGATTAATATGTTATTCTAAATATTTTTATTTTATTTGAAAAAATTCATTTAGACTTACCTATTAATACATTATTTTTCCTACAATCACAAAAAATTATCTTGAAGTGTTTTGATATTTTTAAATTTTGTATTTTATGCTTTTTATCTGTGAATAATACAAATACAAAGTGTAAATTATTAATAAAATATTTATTAATTAAAATTTAAATTTAATATAAAAAATATAATTTTGTTGAAAAGTGATCAAGAGTTTTTTAAAGAAAAATTTGAATTTATTTTTCAAAAATCTAAGTAGCAAAATATTCATAGCAAAAATAAATAATAAACAAAATATAAATATATAGAATTAATTGCTATTTATTAAATATTTTATAATTTATTTTTTATAAATTATGAATTACTCACTAATCCTAAATTAAACCAAATTAATTAATTAATCAATCAATCAATCATTCTTCTAATATTTTAAAGTTTGAGAGAGCTTCTTTTAAATAATTCATATTTTTTAGTAATTTTTCATATTTAGCAGTTAATTCAGTATTTTTTCTCATTAAATTTCTGACTTCTTTAGCAAGTATCTTTAGATTATTATCAGATTTAATTTTACTTTTCTCGATGGATTGAATTTTCTATTATAAATTGTTATTATCGTCTTTAAGCTCTTGAATGAGTTTATTATTTTTTAAGAATATAGTATCGCTTTAAAGGTTTTTTTTCTCAGTCTCCTTAAGCTTTTAGCTCAGGTAATCTTTCATTTACTCGAGTGCTTATTTTGAAGTGGTGGTATCTTCAAGTTTGTTTTAAACATCTTGCAATTTCATCTTATTTTAAATTAGTTCATATGAAAGGTAAGATTACAAGTTGTAGAGGGCCTTACTTTCTTGGTACAAGAACTTGCTAAAAACATAAATATTACAAAAACTGCTTTCTAATGTTTCAAGAAAATAACTGATTTTTTTAGGATCTTAAGAGTATTTTACAGTGAGTGCTTAAATTTTTTAAATGACTTCATCCTATTCAATTTTTAATTACTTTAATACAATATCTTTTTCTTCTCTAAACAGCTACAACACTCTGTTATCAATTAATAGCTTTATATTCATATCCTGAATTAATTTATTAGCTATTTCCTCTGTGACATTTTCATTGCTTAAGAAAGTTTTTTCTAAAGTGTTTCTACTTACGTTTGTTATTGTTTGAGCTTTTTATGAATTATCAGCATTAGTCGGAGTTTCCTTTTTATCAAATAGTTTCTTCATAAAACTGATTGTCTTTTGTGTTTTGCTTTGCTTTGCTTAAGGAGTATTTTCTTAGGGCTAAGAACTTCCATTAACTTTGTTATTAGCAATAGATTATTTGTTTTATTCTTGCTGCAGCTGCTATTATTGATTTTCATTTATATTCACATTTTCCTCTCCAGTTAAGAATTCACTTAATAAATCGACATTTCCAGAATTTAATTATTATGCATCATTATTTGTACTATTTATAAAACTACTTTAAGGTGACTATGGAATAGAACCTCTAGTAGATAAATTTGAAGTAGATCCATTTGATTCACTTTCAGATTGGAATAGCAATCCTTCAATAATTAATTAAGCAGAGTTAAGTGAAGGTACCATTAAATCACCAACTTTATGGCGCTAGCATAGATACTTGAGTATCGAAACTTTAAGAACTTCATCTGGTATGTTTTCAGCTAGGCTCTAAAAGAAATTAGCTCTATTATATAATTCTCTAGTTTTTTGTGTAAAATTGAAAGCAATATTGTTAATTAGGAGGCGCTAGAGTTAGAAATCTCTCGTAATAATCAAGTTATACTCTCTATTTAGTAATCTTAGTTTAAGAATTTGCTTAAATGTTAGAAAAGACAAGATTCTGTGCTTTGTATTTTTACTAGTCATTATGCTCTTAAAACTTTTTTCATGCATTGTGTCAGAAACTTCTCCTTAATGAATTGCTTTAAGTTTAACCATCTCAATATTCAAAGTGTTTAAAGTGTTCTATAAGGAGTTGTTTTATAATGTTAGTTAATTAACGTGTTCTTTTACATTTATTAGAGCTACAATTTGCTCATCTTATAATTTCTTTTATAAGTTTTTCTCTTAAATCAGTATTTCTATTTATTTATTTAGTGCTTCTATTTCGTTTTAATATTGAACTTGCATTTCAATAAATTCCTTTTTATGTGAATTCTCATATTATATCATAGAATCATTAAATCCATCAATGACGCTTTTCAATTATTCATTTTCTTTTTTAAGTGATTAGTAATCTTGTTTGAATTATGCTACTTCTTCTCTTTCGTTTAGTGTAAACTAAACAAAATCTGCAACTCTTAACATCATAAATGAAATCTCTGAAAAAAGTTAATCGGATATTACTAATTCTCTTTATTCTGTATTGCTATTTATAAGCTTTTCTATGCTTTCAAGTAAATCTGCATTACACACATTATCAATTTTAAGCTAAAAATCTTCTTCATGAATAATTTATTATTGCTGACTTTATTTGAAATCACTTTAATTCTTTGTAGATGACTAATTAGATGGTGTGTTTTCAGCACTACCTTTAATTAATGGTATTTTAGACTTGACAAAACTAAATAATGCCTTTGTCTTTTGCAAAACTTTTTTATCTATAGTAATCTAAGTTGTTTTGGGATCCATATAACCTAACCTAATTTATTAAAATATATTGCTTATCTAAAATAGTAATATTTATCTTTCGCTGATTTTAAATAAATAAATTAATTAATTATCAGAATAAAATTGATAAGATCTTAAAAGACTCAATATTTCAATCAATGCCTTATGTCTTCCTGATATAATATATTATATTGAGATGGCTTCTAATTTTAATAAAATATCTTTAAATTCTTCTTTGTAAAATAATCAAATAGATTTAATATAATATTAATACATAATTTATTTATTTAATTTATTATTTTTTTAAGTTTAAACATTTTAAGCAAATCATTTTAATAAAATTATTAATAAAAAAGCAACAACAAAATACTTTACTTTAAAATGTCAGAGTTTAAAATAATAAAATCAAAATTTATCAGTGCTAAATTTTGATGTTTTCAGTTTTAATATTGTTTGAAAAATCAATTTGCAACAAAACATTGCTTGCTTTTATTGCTGCTTTATTTATGGTTTAAGTCATTTTTTTAATGTAAAAGCTATTAATTTCCTACACGTATTATTTAATAGATAGATATAGAGATCTCTTTCAATTCAATCATTCCTTTACACTCACTATTTATAAAAAAAATATCTTATCCAAATTAAGTTAAAAAAATAAATTTTGTTTACTTCAAATAAAATTCAAAACAAATATTTTTAGGATATAGCAAGTTAAAATGTCAACTAACAGCAAGGTATTACACAAATTAAATATACCGATTTTAATAGCTAAAATTATTAATAAATAAACAAAGAAATAATTTTTTTATTTTAATTCTAATAAAGCAACCTTTATCAAGCTCCATTTCAAAAGTTTTTAGCGTAGCTGTTTTAAGAAATGATGGATCAAGAATATATTCAAAATATTACAATTCATGCTTTCCTGATTATTTTAGCACTGTTAAAGAGGGTGATTTAAAAGATTTAAATGTATAAAAAGCTTTTGAAAAGAATATATTTGAAAAAAGTAGAAAATTGGTCAATATTAAAGCCATGAAACCTTCAGACAGTAATCAATATATAATATCATTAATTCATACTATAAAAATAGCAAGCAAAAGAAGTACATTTTTAAACTACTTTATTGATATAAATTATTAAAAATAGCTGAAATATTTGGATATGGTCGCTTTACCATACTTTTCAAGATTTTATCAGATGTGTAAATTTACATAATCGCTGATCCTGATGAAAATGAAGCACTTCTTGCAGCTGCATTAAAATGTTTGGTTGATAGTATGAGTAACTTTTCTAAGTAAATATTTTAAATAAACCTATGCATTCTATTAATTAATTATTCTTCATTTGATTTAAATTTAGGGAGTAAATCAATAATAAAATAGTATGCGAAAACTATGAAGGGTTGATACTAATCATTGATGAAATAATTGATTAAGGGTATGTTTTGAATTTGAAGGTCATAGAATATAATTAAAATTATTCTTACAAAAAATAGTATTATAGTCAATATTGAACCAGGTGTTATAATCTCCAGATATACTATGTTAGATTGCGATGATGCATTAAGTGCAGGAGTTGGATAATCTCAAGCTAATACAACAAGCAGTAGTTAAAATAGTTAAAGTTCATCAATATCTACCTAAGCCAGTAGCACAGTAGGTTTTTTAAAATCATTGTTTAACAGATGAATTATAATTAAAGTAATGAGATTATGTATAATAGAATATAAATTTGGCTTAAAATTTATCAAAATTAGTATATGTATTATATATTTTAATTAATTTAATGTCAATTAACTTTAGATCTTCATAAAAAAAACTAATTCTAATTTAAAAATCTTAATAATTTTTATAATTTGGATATATTTTTTTAATTTAAAAAATTTTTTTGGAAATCTTATTTTAATATGTTTATAGACAATATATAATATTTATTTATTTATTTGACAATAAAAAAACCGAATTTATGAATAATGTAAATTATTTTTATAAAATATATCCAATATTATTGGTTGGTTGACTGATTGATATTTATTTTCAATCAGAAAGATCATCAAAATCATCTTTTCTTACTGGTTAATCATTTTCATCACCAAAATCTTCATCATAATTTTCTTCAGCATGATCTTATTACTTTTATACTTAAGCTGCTGAGTTGTTTGATTTATCTATATTATTAGCTGATTGTTTGTTATCTTATTTTAACTATTCTTATATCTATTTTTATGAGTTTTCTTGTTATTAATTATTTTCTTAATCTTATACAGGAGGTTTCATTTTTCTATATTTATCCAAAGCACTAGAGCCATGAGATTTAGCTTCTGTAAGAAGTTATCTATTTTTAACTCTGCTCTCCATATCTTTTATTTATTGCTCATATTCTTATTTTTGTTATCTAGCTACTTCTTAGCGTTCTTTTAGTTTTTATTTTTCCATTTCCTCTTAAGCTTACTTGGCACTACGAGGATCTCCAAATTTATCTTTAACTTCACTAGCTCGTTCTTTTAGTTTTTTATCACGTTCCTCTTTCTCTTTCTTTCTTTAGTTTTCCTCTTCTTCTTTTTTCTTTCTCTCATCTTCTCTCTTCTTAATTAGCAGTTATTCAGCTTTAGTTGTACCCTTTGGTTTTCCATCATTATCGAGATTAGCGTTAGAGGTTTAGCTTTAAATCTTATTAGCACTACCTTCAATCTTAGATTTAGTCTTTTTAGGCATATCAAATACTTAATCTTCAGCTTAATCTTCATTTTTTTTTTATTGCTCTGCCTCTTCTTACTGTTATTACAAATTATCTAATTCATCTAACTATTACTCTGTATTTTCTTCTTATTCTTCAGGTTCTTTGACAGCTTTTTCTGATAATTTTTTCTTAGATAAAGGAACCAAACGAGACAATAGATTTTTGTGTTCTAACTTATCTGCTTTGATACTTTCATTATAAGAATCCATATACTCTCTACTAGCTTATTTCGGAACAGGAGGCTAAAAATTAAATGGCTTTTACTCTGTTGGTGGAATTTTATCTTTTAGTAAACCTGTAAAAGCTGAAACAGCCTTTAATTTTGCTTATGTAGCAGGAGCTGAAATTTAAGTTTCTGATTTTTTACTTGTATCTGGAATTTCCTTGTTTATCTTTGGTGCAAATGTGCATCTATTAATAATTAAACCATAAAAATTTTTAAAATGAATTTAAATAAAATAGCTTAAATTACTTCTCTTCTTCAGAAGTTTTTGCTGTTTCCCTTTTTTTTAGAGTTTCTTTCCATTTTTCAGAAGCGCCTGCGAGTCTTGTAAACTCTTAAACACTTTTTATCTACTCTTGTTTTCTTTCTTCAACTCTCTTTTTTCTATTCTCTTCTCTTTCTTATTCCATTTGTTTTAACATGTCAACCTTACTAGAAGCAGGCACTTCTTTGGCTTTAAAAGCTTTTTATTTGAATCCTGATACTTCCGTATTAACTGTCTCAACTATTTTTTATTTCTTTTCCTCTCTTTTTTAAATATCTTTTTCATAAAATGAGAAGGGATTCTGAGTCTCAAGAGTAATTTTCACAGACTCTTGTCTAATTTTTTCTCTTTTCTCTTTATTTTTTTCAATAATGTTATTGAACATAGGGATTTTTGTTGTAGTTGGTATAGGATTGGCCTAATAATTAAATAAAACATATTAATTTAAATTTCAATAAATAACAATAAATACTTTAAATCTTTTTTTCATTTCTTCTTCATCTCTGTTTAATACTTCATTTAAATATTGCTCTTTTTTTTGTTAATAAATGCTTTTCTATTTTGAAGTTTCTCTTTTTTCGAATGAAAAAGGCTTAGGTACAGTTATATCTACTTTTTCTTACTCGTTTAAGGCTTTGTTTTTAATCATTTTACCAAAATACTTATCATAATCAACAGCAGTATGCTTTAATATTCCATATTTAACGGGATCCTCTAATTATTCTTTTTGCTTCAAAGATTCAAGTGGCCCTAATTAGGCTTCCTTTTATCTTTGCAATAATTCCTTATAATATTTATCAAAGTCATTAATTTCTTCTTTTAGCTCTGTATCTTATTTTTAAGCTTAAACCACTCTTTTTTTAGTATAATGCTCTTAAATTGCTTCTTCAGCTGTTAATTTATTTTTTTAAGGTGCATCTCCTTTCATCATATAGTCTAATTATTTCAGTTAATTGTATTGCTCACCTTCGAAATCATCTTCATCAGAGTTTTGCTATATTTCCTTCATATAGTCATCGCTCATCTCTTCACCAGAATCATATTAACCTTAAAGTCTAAGATTTGCTATTTCTTCTTAGACAGTAGGTTTCCTTACTGGTACATGTTGTTGATACATATCATATTTTTTTGAATTTATAGTTTGCTCATCATAATATTAGTTATCATCATCATCATTATCATCATTAAATCCATTACTTTTTTTGATTGGAGAAGACTACTTTTGTGGAGAACTTTTTTCAATTTTGAATTATACTCCAGATTTCATTTCTTCAATCTAAACTTAAGATTTTTAACCTTAATCTACATTTTAATTTTCATCTTAGTTTCCAAATTCTTCCCCTATCGGTCTTCCTCTTTTAGAGAAAAAGAGTTTTACTTCATGCCATTAAATATACTCTCCTCCCTCTGCAATAATTCTATCTAAAACTTCGCTTAAAATTTCCTATGGTAGTCCAGTTTCTTCTGATTTAGTGCGAACTACTTCACTCTCTATTGATCTTATTTATGGATCTTTTTTAGCTGCAATTACAAAATCAGTTGTGCTAACATAATCTAAGGTTGTGGAAACTCTTGGGATCATATCAAATACATCTTAAATTAATAAAAGATAATCTTCGCTGATATCAAAAATTTTAGCCTCTTGAGAACTCTAATTTTAACAAAAATTATTTTATACATTTGAATTAATATAAAAAAACAAATTACACTTATTTCATGATCAAGAATAAAGCTGGGTTTTTAATAATTTTTAAAATACTCAAAAAATTGATTCCAACTTATATACTCTCTAGGTTTCTATTATTGCTCATCTGCTAAAGTGTACTCTTTCTCGACTTGCTCTAGGATATTTTGAAGAGATACTTTTCTATTAACGATAGGTATTTTTACAGCTGGATAAGTAAGTATTTTTTAAATTTTATTATTATTGAGCAATTCCTTAACTAAATCTAATCTTTTTACAATAAAATCATTGAAAGTATCCAATTCACTAAATACTTCTCTAAGCACATCCAACTTAGCTTCATTTAAAACGCATGTACCATAAGTATTCTTAGGATCTTTCTCATACAATAAAAATAGCTCATTTTTATCTTTTAATTTATCAATTTTATGTAAAAGGTTTTCTTCCTGCATAATTTGAGATTTAAGAGCCTCTTTTTCTGTTTGTAAAGTTTTCTTGCTCATTTAATTTTATTGGTTAACAAATGCTGAAAATTCTTCAATGTTGAAGAGACCTTTTCTCTGAGTCTTAAATTTATCTAAATCCGAATATAAAGTCTTAACACAAAGATCAAAATATACAATTGCATCTTTATTTTCCTTCAAAGAATCAAAAATTTCTTATGAAGAAACTAAACCACTTTTTTGAGTGTCAATTTGCATAAATAAAAACTTTAGAATGAAATCATCATCTTTTTGTTTTCTTTTTTATATACTTTGCTTGCTATCACTAATTATCCTTGTGTACAAATTTTTCATACGTTTTTCTTCTGTACTTCTCTTGCCCTATTCAATTTGCTATGAGTACTATTCTATTAATTATAATAAAAAATGAAACCTACATACAATCAAGATTTAATTTTCTTACAAATTTTGGCTTCGTCTTCATCTTTTATGATTTCCTCATAAGTTTTTTTAATCTCTATTGGGCGATCTGTGATTCCAAATTCTTGGTCAGATTCGGGATGAAGTTTTTTATATTTATCAAAAGATTTGGCACTCTTCATTCTTTCAAACTCAGGTCTTTATAACTTTTAAAAGTAATTGTCAGCTTGCTATTTAACTTTTTTATCAACAAGAAATTCTTCATATTTGTGTTAATATATTTTTTTCTCAATAGGAATATGAGTTGCATTTTCAATAGCTTTATCTGAAGGTTCAATATAAACTTTCTTTCTTTCAACACCTTTTTCTTGCATTAGCTTGTCGATTTGTTGCATTTCTTCACGTAAAATCTATAATTTCCTATTTCGCTCATTCATTAAAGTTTATTATTTTTTTATTTCAATACTATTACTCATATCTTTTTGCCCATACTACTTTATAGGGCTTTCGATTTGCTTTTCTTATTTAATAGGAATTTTAGGAGCTTACATTTTTTACTACTCTTGTTTATAATGAAATTGTTTTTCTTTTGGAGTATCTTTTTACTGATCATACTTTAAAAAGTTAATACTTTAAGTGGTATCAGATAAGAATCCTATTCCAACAGAAGGGCTTTAATCTTTATGCTAGTTCATCTTTGTATATTATTCATAATTTTCTTTTTATTTTGATTTTTTAGGAATTGCTATTTCGAAAGCATCTTCATTATCAATATTATCTCTTTATTGATTTAAATTCTTTTTAACTCTCTTGTTGCTATAACTTTCATAATCATATATATCTGCTTTTAGGCTAGTAATCTAATTCTTTTTGTCACCTAGAGTATTATTTTATTTTTTTAAATTTATTAACTCTTTCCCATCAGCTAAACTCACTAAAGTTTCATCTTCTAAATACAATGGTTGGCTTCTAATAATGTTTGAAGATGCCTCTGAAGTGAGTTTCTTTTTATAGTAAAGGTATTCAAGTTCTTTCATCTTTTCTCTATGTTTATCTATTTCTTTTTCTACCTATGAAATCGGGGAATTAGATTCCCCTTTAGTTTATTGTATCATTTTAAAAAATCAGATTTTAATAATAAAATTTGATTTTCAGTATTTTTTTTTCTTTGGTATATGTGAAAACTACTATAAATAAATAAATAAATAAATAAATAAATAATTGAACGGATTATTTATTGGATATATAAAATTTAAATTATAATTTTCAAGAAAAGTATAACAATACAAAAGCAATTGATTAATTAACTTGTTTATTTGTTTCAAAAGTTGTATTTAATAAAAATAAACAGTGAGGAGTATTTAAATAGTATCTTTATCAAATAATTAAGATTTTTATACATCTAATGATAAACTTATTAGAAGTTTGAGAAGCAAATAAATTCTTTGATTTGATTAAGGCTAAATAAATTGATAATAATTCAAAAATAGTTTAAAATAAATTTAATAAATGATTAAGGAAGCAAAATGAGGAATTTTTAAAATGTAGTGTGTGATTTAAAATTAGATCTACAAGATTTGATATAAAATAAAGAATTTAAAATACTAAATAGTGAAAGAATTAATATAATTATTTTTATAAAGAGTTAGCAAAAAAAGATAAGTTTATATAAATAAAATAAATTATAAAAAATTGAAATTAAAGAATTGTTTTTTTTTTAAGATTATTGTAATTTATTTTCTACCTGAGAAAAAGTAATTAATTATTTAGTGTATTAAATATAAGTATGAAATATATCAAAGATTTATTTCATAGCTTTTTCAATTAACATTTTTTTATAACAGCAGTTTTTTTTGTTTTGGATTAATAATATAAATAAATAATATTCGAGTCTTTACTTACAAGGATGGATGGAAGAAATGAGCTAGTTGATTAGTTAATTAAACAAGTTTTATTAATGAATAACAAATTAAGAAAGAGTTATGGAGATCTTTATTCTTTTTTGAAGAGTTTATTGGCATATTTAATTGTGTGAGTCTAAGTGAATGACAAATGAATTATTTGGTTCTATGGTTATTTACGATTCTTTATTAATCTTTTTATTTTAATATGATATTAAATATTTTTATGCAGTAACCAGCTAACCAATTATTCACTCACTAATTTTTTTAATTTGGTATAACCTTTTACTCTTATTTGAAGTAAAGTTGACGATTATTTATTTAATAATACGATTAGTTTTTTTTTTTTAATTGAATTATCCTTATCTCCATAAGATTTTAATTTTTAACTGGTTAATAAATATTTTGTTTTTTTAAATTAAAATAATAATTTTGGAGATTACAAAAATAAGAATAATTTGATGTATGTGTGTATGGTTGAATGTATATATTCAAACCTTCGAAGATACGTTATTCTTGGACTTTACAATTATTTATTCCAGGATGAGAGGTTTAATTAATAAAGGATTAATAAAGTACTAAATGATGTCACAATCTTGGTTATTTACTTCAATATCTTAGCTGTTACTCTTTTTAGAGCGAGATGTTTTCTTTTTAGGAGGCTATTTTTTGGAATCCTATATTTGGCTACTCATCGACTATTGCTTCGAAAGTTATTAACTTTTTTAACCTTTGATTACATTCATTTCCTAATCTTCCTTGATAAAATCCTCTTTCTCAATCAACTCTTATTTAACTTTTAAATGTTCTTCTGCAGATAATTCTAATTTATTGCCACCATCATTATCATTTTCATTAAATTATCTAAGCTAATTAGTTCCTCTCAGATCTGTTGGGTCTGAGCGAGTTTGGGGCTATTTATTCAACTTTAAAGGAGGCAAGCCAAATATCCTTTCTATGTCAGGCTCAACAACAATAAACATAGATTTCTATTTTTGATGGGAAGTTACTTACTTGATATGAATTTTTTTGAAAGTGCAAGATCCTTTAAGCAAATCTTAGCCTAAAATCCCTTTAATATAATCTGATTCAAAAATAGCAGGAGGATTGTTGTAATTATACATACGAAGACGGATGGGTATAGGCTGTAAATTACAAACTTCTCTTTTGCTCATAGAATCAATTAAAGAAACATCTATTACAAAATTTTTATCTTTAATAAGAGGTTCTTTGAAATCTCCTTCTTTCAGAACAATTTCATATTTAGAATAAAAGGATGTTTAAGAATCTAATTTAGAACCATCATAATCTTAAAGCATATCAGGGCGACTTCTTACATATTCTTTAAGTCTACCACGCATGAAGTCTAGCAAGCCTGACTAACCTTAAATATCTTGTGAATGAAGGATCATATCATCTACATCCTACCTGATACTTCTAACTGACTATACAGTATCAACTAATAGTTAACTTTGTAAATCAAACGTTTGATTCAAAGATTAATATTACTATTTATTAATATTAACATTTAATTGTACCGAGTCTAGTAAAAAGCTAATTAGTGAGACTTAGCCATTCAATAAATTTTGGTAGTTTTATTATCTATCTTGCTAAGTTGTTAGCGCAGTCTCTTCTTATATTTAGCTCTGTTAGCGCTATACTTACACATTACCTTGAAGTTCTTAAAAATTTTACTCATTTATATATTACTCGTTTTAATCATGAGTAATAAATTAGTTTGGTTACATAAATTAGAATGCTTGGTTAGAAATATTAATTTATTGACTATTTTATGATACTTGAGAATCCCCAATGTTCTAAGAAATGTTAAATTTTCTATTTTAATAGACTTATTAATGTAATTTTTTTGTAGTATTATTTTGGATAGTGAAATCAGCGGCTATTTCGATTCTTGAAGGTGATTCAGTTTACACTTTAAATAATTAGTTTTACTTTTAAAGAGATTGCTTTCCTTAATATTCTATTTCCGAATCATAAGTTAGATTTTCGTTTTCTGCAGCAATTAGCTGCTTATCATTAGGAATTTTTTAATAAAAGTTACTCTGGAAAAATTGTTTTGGTGCTTTTTCACTTTAACTAAATATTCCACTAAGATTTTTGCTTTAATCCTAATTTTAGCTTATAACATCTTTATTCATTTACTGTTATTAATAACTTCTCATTTCTCCAACTTACGTTATATTTGCGTAATTACATTATTAATTATATGATTTTTAAGGTATCTCCTACTAATCTTATTTATGAATTTCCTAATATTTCTCATTAGATATTTCGATTTGGTTGGCTATTTCTGCTTGATGAGGATTCAGTGTTTAAACAATTGCTTAATTTACCCTCATATCTAAATGTTGTTGAGCCTTAATTTTTTTATATCCTATCTACCCTTAAGTTTCTTCTTTCTTTGCTGACTCAATATCACTTTGATTAGCTTTTTGAGAGGATTATATGTGTCCTTCTATTGTTATCTGTGTTTGCATTTTGTACTTTTATTCTATTTTTTTATCTAAGGACGTTATATTTTGATTTGCAGGTGAATTTACACCTTATATCATCTATTACTAAATTTTTATTTATGCCTCAGTCGGCTTTACACTCAAAACACTGTTTTGAGATAACCCCTAAGATTTATCATCTGAAATTTACTCTAATTTTCTCTCTGCAATATTAACCTCTGAAATTATCGTTCCCTCGAATTCTCTAGCTTTCCTCTTTTTCTTGGCATTAGTGTGAAACATCTAAGCATTTTAGCTAGATACTTTTTCACTAGAAATTAAATTTTTTCTATCATTTGGTTTTATTTATTCATAAGATGTATCCTTTTAGTCTTAATTATTTTCTAAAATTGGGTCTTCAACCATCTGTAGAGAATCATACTTTCCTGTATTTAGGAGTTACTTCATAGATTATCTTGTTAGAGGATTTTATTCTTCTTAGAAAGATTAGAGATAAGTTGCTTGCGGATCTGAGAATTTCTGTAATTAATTATTTCCTTAATTTATAAATTTGTTATGAATAGATGACGATTGGTAATTATCTTCTTCTTGTTTAATTTTCTGATTTATTTGTTAAGAATCACTTTAATTGAAATTTTTTTGAAGGTTGTATACTTCGTTGGATTAAAGAACACTTTTTACAGTCTAATTTAGATTACTGGGCATGTTTTCATTTTCATTTATTTACTCGCTTATAGACCGCAATTTTTCGGAAAAAGCTGTATTTTGTTAAAAAGTAGGAAAATTTGATGAGCTAGAAAACGACTCTTGAAGATTTTTCTTTTCTATTGTATTTTAAGCGCATTTTTGAGGAATTCCAGCTTAGAAGCCAGAATTTTATTAAGGAAAACCTAATACGTTACTCAAAACTGCTGCGTTATTTTATTAATAACTGTAATGGATGTTATTTGGAAAACTCATCATCTACTAACGACCAGGGAGGCCAGATGGATGATTCTTAGAGACTGTACCAATAGATTGTTATTCCTAATACTAATAATTATTTGGAGGCCTTTCTTAGATTTTGTTGGAGAAAGAAGGATTTAAATTATTATATTATTAGTGTTATAGCTATTACTGTTATGTTACCTATTGCATGTAATGCTGTTATGAGTTGGCTTTCAGATTGCTAGCTATTTGCTAATTAAAGGATTATTTAATAGCGCTTTCTGTGTGCATTACATTTTAATTCTAATTTTGAACGATTCCTTATTAAAGCTGTTGCTGCTGTTGAGAAAGATGTTATTGTGAGGGTTATTACTAAATAACTTAATTTTAATTAGGAATTTATACAAAATTGTAGTTAGGCTAACTTAATAAAAATGATCCTTATGATTGTATTAAATGTGGGTATACGAACTGCATGTTGGCAGATATTTAAGGATATTAAGAGCTAATTATAGAAGGAATTTATTACTAGCCTAAGTAACTAATTTATGGATAAATTGGAGTTTATTGTAGCGCAACTGGGTTCAGCCCAGCTTATTAATTGCTTTGAAATTAAACAGGCGGGTTTAGAGGTAAATTGTAATTTATAGACTAGGCTGGGATATTGCTGTTATTTACACTTATTGGTGGATTAGCTGTCCCAATTAACGAATTACTATTAAAGCGAATGTTATTTGCCACATTATTAATATTGTTGCTATTATTTATATTATTCTACGTAAATATTTAATTTAAATTGTTCGATGATTAGCCCATTGTTTGGTCTGATAAAATTTTAGATTAAATTTTATTTTACACATCTAATTATTGTGAAACGTTATCCATTTTTTCTGTTAAACTAGGGATATTTTTCAAAGATTAAATGATAGGAAGAGTGTTCATTTAGCTCGTATTATGTGTGCTTTGGTAGTTAGCATCAGCCACTGATTTAGTACTTAATGAAAATCTATTATGATCCTCCTAAATTTATCCTGTAGATATTAACGAAACACTTATTTATTTTTCCTGATCACCAATAAATTAGACTTAGGATCCCATAGGGAGGACTCCTCCTCCCTATTTATAATTTTAGTTTTCATTTATATTTTTGTACTGCTAATGGACTTATGGCATAGATTCTTAAAAAGTCTGTTATTATTATTGGTTTATGAATTATCTTTAAAATTCTTAGTTATTATTTTAGACCTTTTGTGTTTTCTAAGCCTATAACTAGTGGAATTATTCATTTAGCGTTTATTCGTTTTACTGGGTGCTTTCTATTTCTTCCTTGTCTTAAGTACGATGCTGTGTTTGCAATTGCTCATTTATTTCATTACTTTGCACTGATTGCTAGCCTTTCTAATTCATTTTAGTTGCAAGCAAAAGTGCTTCTTTTTTTTGATCCTAAGGTCTTCTTACTTTTTTTGAATTTTGAACCAGGAAAATTATGCTCCAGAATGATTTATTTTAAATTTATCAATCAAAAGAGTTCTTTAATTTGGGAGAATGAAAATACTTTTGATATTTAGGATTATCAAAATTTTTATTTGATTTTGATTATTTTTAACAACGTAAGTCTATTCCTTAAGTAAGTATTTAAAATATGGATGTATATAGGGTCAAAGAATTAAGGAATCAAAAAATGAGCGAAGAAAAAGAAATTTTTTTATACTGACTTAGTCTTACTTTTTTCTTTTAATTCTTCTTATCTTTTTACTTAGTTTCAAAAATATTTTTAATAAGTATTTAAATTCATTAATTTTTTTCTTTTTTTTACAGAATCTCTTTTAAAGCTTTCCTTAAATTAGATAACAACGGATTAAATTCTCCTACCCCATAATTTTAATTTCGGTGATATATTGATTGATTAATTAATTAATTAATTCATAAATTCTTTGATTGATTGAAAGATAATTAGATTGATAGAGATATAGATGAATTGTAGATTTGACAGAAAGACCGGATAAATCAATAAATAAATAACTTGTATAAGGAGTAAAATATATAAATATGCCTGCTTTAATAAATAACATACATTTAATTTTAAATTTAAGGTAGTAAATAAAGTAGGAAATAAATTACACATGTATTTTTGAATATTTAGGACCAAATGGTCTGCATATCCCCAATTTATTTATCTGAAAGCCTGATTGTGTGCTTACACTATTTTAATAGTTCAAAGAGTTAAATTTTATAATTTACTCTTCGAAGTCTATTTCAACTCTTCTTAGAAAGTTTAAATTTTAATTTCTATTTGAAACTATTCGTGCATCAATTAGATTGGTTAGTATTATTTGAAAAATTAAATTTTCACCTCATTTTTCATTTTATATATATGCATTTTCAAACAGCACATACCTATCATTAATTAACGAAACTTTTTAAGTTAATTTTTTTATTGCAACGAGAAATAATTTAAATGAAGTAACTTTCTAAAAGTTGTCCTTTACCTGCAAATATTTAAAACAAATTTATTTAATATATACAAAAGACGTCTGTTAAATTATTTGGTAGCAAAAAAGATATATTAACAATATATTTTGTACTATTTGGCTTAAAAAAGAGCAACTTTATACAAAAATTTCAAATTAAATCTTTCAATAAAAGAAAAAAGCTATCACATTCCAACACAAACTTAGAAAAAGTAGTAAAATCTCTCACTATGATTGTTATATATATGAAGGTGCTTATTAAAATTTCAGAGCGCAAACGATTATTGATTACAATATTTTAAAAATTTGTTATTTTCTCTAAATCAATAACCTTGATTAGATAGAATTAACGTTAAAGAGCCTTCCAAAAATATAAACAAATAATAAATTTATTTAACTTTATTATATATATTTTATTATGTTAATAGCACATATTTTGAATCTTTATACATAAAAGGTAGTAAGAAATACTTTTTAATCTAAAGAATAATTAATTAGTTCTAATGACATAGAGTAAAGATATTAGATACTATGAAAAGAATATTATTTATTATTTTTAAAGAGTTAAGCTTATCTGTATGTTCTACACAATTCGACTACCAAGCGATATAGCTATTTATATTAGCTTCTAAGCATATATTTTAAAAAAATATTTATTTTAAAAACAGTAAAAAAACTAATTATTTCGCTAGCCAAATTTATTTTTACTTCTTTTATAAATAAATTGTTGAGAACATTGAATTTAATCTTAATTTACATTTTTTATCCGCTCAAATATTTTTTTTGCTTTTTCTTCTCTACTTAAGTAAAAATGACACTTTCTTAAATAGGTATACCACTTTGTTTCTTAATTCAAGCAAGCGCTTTCTTTTATTAGCTGCTTATGATATTGTAAAAATGCATTTTATGTGGGTAATTGTTTTAATTTATTCGATGTAATGATAGATTGCTTACTACATATTTTATTGAAAAATTTGATGTCAAATTATTAACATATTTAAAGAAAAAAAAATTTTTTTTCCCAATAAATCAAGAACAGTATTTTGATATTATTTTAACGTTCTTATTAACTAGCTTATATAAAATTGCAAAAAATATCAAAAAGAACAAAAGTAATATATTCTATCTATATATAGGTAGATGGATAATTAAAATACAATACTAAAATTCATTTTTCCTTATTTTTACAATTTTTGGGTTCTTAAAAAATTTTCCATAGCAAATTTAAAGCATTCATTAAATGTTAAAGGGCCCTATAAGTCTCAAGCTTGATAAAAAAATAGCAAAATAAATTAAAAATTAACTAGTGAGATAGCTTTATTTAAGCTCATACCTGTTCTTTGATTAAATTCGCCTTTGGCTGTTCCAAAATTTTAAACAGGATTTATCTCAAACTTCATAAAACATCTAAAGAAGCATTCTAAATAAATAAAAAAATCTATCTATTTAAATGTACTGAAAATGCTATTTTAATAAGACTGATAATTAAAACCTAACTAACTCAGTTTAAAATGTTATGACTCTGTCTTCAATTTTAAACAAGTAGCTAAATTAATTCAAAATTATTTCTAAACTTTTTCGAATTTTTAAAACTAAAAAAAAGTTCCCCTGATTGATTGATTGAATGATCAACAGATAGATGGAAATCTTGTTAATTTCAGCTAAAAATTTAAATGAATTTTTCTAATTTATTTGATTTGCACAATATTTATTTTAATGACTGAAAAATAACAAAAAAACAAAAAAGCAAAGAATGGCTAATAGTTAGAGAGATATACATTTTGAAATACACAATTATTTTCTTCAATTAAAACGTCACTTTATCTTCTATTTCTATTTATATTATATCCTTATAGATCAATTCCTTTTAATTTTTCACTCAAAAAATTTTTTTTATCTTGTTCAAGTAAATACAGAAATAGTAATTTAAGATTCATCCCAATTATTCAATCAAACTCTAATATCTAATGGGGCAGGGTATAAGTTTTTGAATGAATTAAAATAAATTACTGATATTTATAAGGAGTTGATTTCTTTGAATTTTTTTTATTAGTTTCTTATTATCAAGGCTGGCAGTAAAATTTAATAAACTAAAGAAAAAATATACAAGAAGTGGAGGATCTTACCTTAGAGATATGGCAAGTTTATTTGGTTATTTCTATAGTTACAAATTCTCACCTTGTATGTCCTGTACATTCTAAAGGTGATTTGGCAAGACGTAATGGTTATTGAGAAACTAAATGCTTATTGAAACAAAACATAATTTTTAAAAATATCAAAAAATTGCATGTTTTAAATTTTCATTAAAAAGATCTAATTATTTACAAATAAATGCATCTAAAAAGCCTTTTAGGCTTAATATGCTAGCTAAAATAAATATAGAGAATTTATCATTTAAAAATATTAACTTATTTTGTCCATTTATGACAAAAACTGTAGGTATTAATTGTAAGTATTGCAAAAAGTTAAATTCACCTAATTTAAGAGATTACATTCATCATTAAGTTATCAACTTTTTCAAAAAGATCTAAACAAAAAAATTCAAGAATGAAGAAAAATGTACATCAAAAATTAATTATTCTTGATAAATAAAATACTAGGTGAATACTTCTCAAGTATTTTTTAAATTTTAGCATTTTGTTTTTGTAGGGATAATCATAAGAATTAATTTATAAAATGAATTTATTAAGAAAATATTAGGGAGCAAATACTATCATATTTAAAAAAAAGAACAAAACATCATCTCCAATCTTTAAAAAATTTTCCCCCTTTTCGAAAATAAATCTTCATAGAAATCGCCTTTATAGAGAATTTACTAATATATAGCTTCTAAAATTAAAAAAAATATAATTTATTTCACTTTAATTAACGTAATTTTGTGAATAAGTAGCATTCTATTTCCTAATCTAAAATAATAATTTATATGCCTTCTTTAAAATACTTAATAAATTTAATTTAACCTTTTATAGCTATTAATTTTTGTTCGCCTAATTTTTTAGATATGCTTTAGAGCCAAAAATAGAACTTGTTTTTTTAATCTATGAATTTAATTAATATTACGAAGTTAATTAATAAATAAAAAATTCATCATTTAAAGTAGTTTTTTGGCAGATAACAAATATACTTTAAACAAACAATGTAAATCAATTAATAACGCTTTTTATTTGTAATTTCGCATCATTAATTATGATAAAATTAATTCTTTTTATTCAAAAAATAAATAACTACATATCATTTATTTATTAAATGCGCATATAAAAATAACAAATTTAATTAAAATTAAAAGAACTGCCCTTTCACTTAATTACAATATTAATTTAAAAGTGAATAATAAATTTTAACTTTTTTGACATATAATTTATTATTCTTTCGATAAGCTAAAAAGGTTTCTTTTGATAACAAATGCTATTAATTGATTTCTTCTAATTAATAAATAATATTTGTACATAAAAAATGTTAATTAAAAATATATTTCAATAATTATTTAAAGAATATGCCATATAATTATATATGAAAAGCATTATTATCAAATCAAAACAATTATTTTCAAATTAAAAATAAAGTATTTAATTTATTTATAGCAATGCGTAATTTGACAAATAATGCAATTATATATTGAATTTCTGTTATGAATTAAAGGACAAATGATCATTTTATTTATTTTTTTGGTTATTATTTTATTAAATTTAGAAGTAATAATAGGCATTTTTTATTTTTATCTAGTATTTTTCTAAGTTAGATTTGATAAATTTAAAATACTTTCTTAAAAATTAATTTTTTAAGTTGATTGATTATGAACTATTAATTTTTAGTTTAATTAATAAAAAAGAATTTATTTATTCATTTATGATTAAAAATGAATATTTAACAAATTTTTTAATTTGCATTTCTGCTTAAATTTTGTTTGAGTAAAAAGTAGTGATTTTTAAATTTAAAAAAAGCAATACAAAATTATGATTATTATATATTTTTATCTATCATTTATCAGTCAGAATATTTAAAATTTGAAAATTAAAGAGAAGAAATATATTTATCATTCAATTATCAAATTATCAGATGATAAAACTGTTTTTCTTAACAAAATAAATTTTAAAATAGCTTATTTGAACACAAACATTCATGAATGCATAGATTTTAACTGAATTAATTCTAATAAAAATCCTATTTGGAAATTAGAACTAAAATGATGAATTAAAAAATTATAATTAAGTATTTTCTCATTCATTACTTTAAAAATAATCTATATGGCTTATTAAAATAAGCATTTACTAAATTTTAAGAAAAATATTAATGTTATTTTATTACTGGCAAGATAATTTTATATTAATAATCAAAAAGTTTTATTGAAGCATAGGCTAATTTATTATGGAGATGGATAATCTATCAATAACCTTGGTCAATAGAATAGATAAAATATGTTATAAATAAATATAAATTTTAAATATAAATGAATGAATCAATTTAATTTAATTTAATTCAATTGGTTTTTTAGAATAAATTTTTGATCTTTTTTAAAGTATGCTTATGAGCTTCCTTATATTTATTTGATTTAGATATGAATAAATACTTATTAATATAACTCTGCCAAGCTTTATAAAATATAGAGAATACATAAATAATAAATTGACATATACATAGGTATACAAATTTGAACTTAAAGCTAAAAATTATAAAATATAAAGCAGAGTTTGTTGAATGTCTTTAGATCTAAGTAACTATTCCTAAATGTAGTAGTATTACATTTAGAAAAAACTACCTGAATTCTCTTCTATCCCTTAACACCCTAAATAAATTAAGAATCATCAGTATTACAATGATAACACAAATATTTGGAATAATAGAGCACAAACTGCAAATAAAAACTATGCATTTTACCATTAGTAGATAGATCAAGGAAAACCCATAATTTAAAAAATGAAGGATAAAGAAGTTGTGGATCGCTTGATTCAAGAAGAGTGCAGAAAGGATTTTATTATCACTTAAAAATAGATAGATAGACAAAGACTTTAATCTCGTAAATAAGAGAGGTTAGCTCTTCAATTAGAAAGTATGCAAGATATTGTTAATAAAGATGGGAAAGAGATAAATTCTTTTTTAGAGCTTACAACTCATCCTTCAAATATAAATTCTATGAGCATTAATAACATGGTTTATGTGAAAAGTAGTGCATAGTAGAATTAGAATCCTTTATTAGGAAGAGCTCCTTATCAGTGGAATAAGCTGAATTAAACGTCAGAAAAGTATATCAAATAAGCTATAAATCCTAAAATTATTTAAAAAGATGAAGAAGCCGTTCACAGCATAGCTAATCGTATTTAATAAGATAACGAAGTGGATATACTAAAATAGTAAAGCTTCTCCAAAATTCATTTACAAACCCGCTAAATGTTTCTCTAACAACACTAAAAAAATGTAGATTTTGAAAAGAAATGTGGCTTAATTCCACAAGAAAAACCTATAGTAATAATTCAATCTAAGATTAACAAACAAACACTTGCCCCTTTGGCTAAAAAATTGGTTAGCAGCATGAGTGCAAAATAACTGGTTGTCAGGTCACCTAATTTAAATGAGGGTTACAACTAAGAATATTAAATAGAAAAAGTTAATTAATAATAAGCATTTTCTTCAGAATAAGATTTGATTAAAGAAAATTAAAATTAAAGATAAAATATTGCAACTCCTGAAACTCTTAGAGAAGATGCTTAAAATAGTGCAAGAAAAAATGTTTATGTTCAATAGAAATCTCCAAACAAGTCTCAACCCATCCAAATTATGCTCAACTAAAATACAAATGATATACATAAAAATCTATAATACTCAACTTTACCGTATTAAGAAGAAACAGAAAACAGGTAAAACGACAGTATAATTATCTAATATAATGATAAAAATAATCAATAAACAAAACAGTAAGTAGATCAAATAAATTTTGGTGATGAAAAAGAATAAATTGCATTAAAAAATAGAAGAAAATCTTCAATGGCGAAGGAGAGCGATTAATCTGAGATTCACTCAATATTAAAAATGAATGTGCAGAATATGGCAGTAAATGCTAAATCGTAACGTGCAGGATCATTTTACTAAGAACAAAAACAGTTAAATAATAATAAAAATGTAGGTAATTAAATCGATTAATTTGCCACTGATAGAGAATTTTTGACAAGTGCAGAATCCCATAATAAAAAATAAGTAAATTTCTAAGCAAATGTAAATTAAGTTGTTTAGATAGATAACCAAAGAGAAACTCATAATAATGTTGTTTTTGCTTAAAAAAATCTTGATGATATCTAACAACCTGCAAACAATTACAAAACAAGAAGAATAGATGAATTGGCATAACCTAAAGTGGAATTCGCTCCTAAAGAATTTTTAGATAGATCAGAATATAAAGGATTGCTTACAACTGAATTAAATAATGTAAACGTTAATTCAGATACTGAATTCGCTAGAATGATGATGCTAAATAGTTAAATCGTTAATAGTCATATCAATAACTCATAAAGACCATCCACTCGCTAAAGCAAAATATCTCGAATTACTTAAACAAACACAAATACGTTCTCATTTGTGCGTCCATCTACAACAGCTAGTGGCACCAGATCAATAATTTATAAAAACCCTTAAAATATTTCCACATCTAATCTACAAGCTAATGATTTTTATTTTGCTTCTTCAAGTGTTCCCTATAATAGCTGTGTAAACAGCACAAGTAACAAAATTCATTCTACAAAAGATATCCACAAAATGAATGCCGAATCCACCCTTCTTATTGACCAAAAAAATGTAATTAACATTTTAAAAAAAAATAAATATTAACTTACTTGATGTTCTCTCTATTATATTAGATTATATTCTTGAATAAAAAATAGTGGTATTATTTTAATTTCTGGGAAATTTATGAATTAATGTCCTCTAGTTTATAATTATAGGATTTAATGCATATATTTTATTATTTCCATCACATTAATTATAATTTTTGTGAGAAAAAAAAATTCATTGTAAGCTAAATAAGCAAGCACTTAAATGCAAATCTATCTATTTTTTGTAAAATATATTTAAACTAAAATTTTTTCATTAAAAATAAAGGAGTTACTTTCAGAAATTAATAACTTTGAAAAGAAATATTAATTCGTTAAAGAAAATCGGGTAGGATTTTCTAAATCTAATTTGATGAAATTTTAATAGAAGGAGACTTTTATGAGTGCAAAATCTGCTCTAGGTTAAAAATGAATGCTACTGCAGGACTCACACACCAGAAGAAATAAGAATCTTTTTCCTAAAAAGACTAAATATGAAAGTATAAAAAAAAAATTATATATTAACCTCTTATAGGTATATTTATTTGTTTGTGTAAATTATTTTTATCATATATATTTTATAATTTACAATGAAAATACAATTAATATTTATAACCAAATTAATGAAAGCTCTATGCATATCAGTTTTCAACAAAAAGACAATTTAGATATTATAATTTTTTCATAATAATTGATAAAAGTACATTTTTTGTTAGCATCGAATAGATTTTTTAAATATTTAAATTAATTTTTCATTTGTTTCTACAGATTTGCCTAAAAAAATTAAATTTAAATTTACACTCAAAACTGAGTGTAAGCATGATTGCTTTTTTAATGTGATTCTTTACTTATTACTATTTCAATTTAAATTTTGTTCATTAAAAATTCCGTAATTAAAAACAATATAAAAAGATCTCACAATTATTTTATGGCAAGTATATTTAAAGATAATTAAATTATAATTTTTAAATATGATCCTTTGTTGTGAATACATGAAAAAGTCGAAAAATACATTTTACTATTATCTTATACAATTAAATAGTTAAATTATTCATATATTTTTTTAGTTTTTATAGAATAGAATATTCATAAAAATTATTGCAAAGAGAGTAAATAAATAAGAATCAATTTGTTACACCTAAATAAAATTGATTGATTTCTTAAAAATTGCAAATTATTTAATAATCACTGAAATGAAATAAGAAATATTATTTAAAACATATATTTTAATAAATAATTTTTAATATCATATATTAATTAAATAGTACTAAAAAAGGAAATTCAATTAAATATATGATATGATTAGTTAATTTCAAGGAAAACAAATACGTATTTAGACAACACTCAATAACATACTTAATTTTATTTATTTATATAACGAAGAAGTTATTATTTTATTTACTGATGTTAAGAAATCCAATTACTTTATAAATAAATAAATTTAATCAAACATTGCAGCCATTGTTTTTAAAGCTCAAAGTTATAGTTCCATCTTAATAGTTATCCTAAATACTATTTTTTATACTTAAATTCAAGATTTTAACTCAATTATTAATGAGAAACTAATATTGGCATAATTCTTGATCATTAAAAAATAAATATATATATATATATATTTAAATTTAAACTTCTTTATAGAAAGAAAAATTTCAATCAAAAAGTTTCTAGATAAATAGATAAATGAATAAATCAAACTATCTATCAAAATTATTATTTTTATTTACTCTTTTACTCTTTATTTTTTCAACATTAAATAGATTTTTTTATTTTATTTTTTATCAAATATATTTGAATTGTGAAAGACTAAAAAATTAATAAAAAATTTGTAAAACTTCATTATTTATTTTTTAGTAGTTAGAAATAAAATTGACTTTCTTTTTAAATGTTGCCTATTAAATTATTTTCTGCATTTATTAATAAAAAAATATTTTAAATACTTTAAATAACAAGTTCATTTTAATTATATTTGATGAATTAGATAATAATTTGCTTATGCATTAAAAAAATAAAAAATTATAATTTATTGAATAGTATCATATCAATTAATGTAAGCAGAAATTGAAAATGAATTTTTATAATTCATCTATTAATTTGTTTACTTTTTTTAATAAAATTTAAATAAATTATAATTAGCTTCATATAACAAATAGATTGATTTATGAAAATTGAATTTATAATACTAAAAAAACATGAATAGATTATAACTATTCATTCATAAGATTTAAAAATATATATTGATTAATGATAAATATCTTTATGCTTTATTTTAAAAAGATCTTTGAACTTAAAATCAAAAATTAATATGATTTGATTTGAACGTTTAATTTTTGATTATAAAAATCATTTGAATTTGTAATTTATATTGAAAATTAAATATGCATAATTAATTATTGTTATTCATTGATTGATTGATTCTTTTTACTTTGATCTGCAAAATTATTGAGTTGATGTATTTTTCAATATTATCTAATTGTACATTCGAATAATTAAAATTCAAACCAAAAACAAAGCATTTGATTGTTTGAACCTTTAATTTTCAAATAGTTTACATAAATAACATCAACCACATTTATATTTTAGCATATTATTTATAGCATATCCAAGCAGAATAAAATTAATTTAAAAACTATAATGTTCAATCACGGAGGAGGGTTTTTTACTCCTAAAAATTTCTAGTTTCCTTAGCATTTCACACCAAAAACTCTTATTGGTCACTCAACTACAACAAATGAAAGCTGTTCGCTAATGTTGGATTCTGATGTAAGATCAGTGACATATGCACTAAAAAGCTCAAAAGAAAGCACACTTCGCCAAGAAACGAACTCAACATAGGGAGAAAACAAAAATATTAGGATGATAGAATATGAAGAATTCGAAAAAAGCAACTCATCTTAAATTTAATATTCTCAAGAGTAAAATAATCACCATAATAATTTAATAGTAGATGTTAGCACTGGGCGCAGTGGCAAACTTATAGCTGAAGGAACACTTAGTCATGCAGATAGTGAAGAAAGAAACCAAGAATAGAATTTACAGTTTGATTTCAAACTCAAGTAATAATAATAATCAATTTCTTCTTCTTAATAGCTGCTTGATTCTTAAAATTTTACAGAAAACTAGCGCAATAATCTTCAATCTAATGATTTTTGGATATAAAATGTTAAGTTGGATTCAGAGTTACAATTTGTAAATAAAAGCCTTTAAAAATTAGATTTGATAGAAAACATCTAAAATATTTAAGATGAAAATAAGTTGTTAGGATTTAGACACGATGATTTATCTAGCAATAATATTTTATTATAAAATAATCAATAAGAAAATCATATGGATAATATTAACTAGATTATCTTAACTTAAGAAAAACCAAAAAATAGAATGCAAATTATAGAACTACAACAACAGCCAGAGTAATAATAATAAGAGTAGGTTATTAAAACAGCTTAAAGTGGCAAAGAAAAAAGCAAGATTTATGTGCAGGATAACAATTTTTAAGAGAGTATAATATATGAAGAAGAGGATAGTGAAAACTCTAAAAGCACTGATAGATAATATTACAAACTAAATAGAAGTATTTCAAATTAAATATTAGGTTAGATAAATTCTATGCCAAGGTGTCAATCTTCAGCAAGAAACGAAAGTCAGTAGAAAAATTGCTCCAATAAAAATCTTCACAACACATCTAAAAATAGCTAGGCATCATTCAATCAAAGTGTTTAAGCTTTCAATATTGAAGAAGAAAATAGTGGGTCTAAACAATAATAATAACAAATATTATTTTAATAGAATCAAATAAAAAGTTAAGAAAATTCTCAGCAAATGCAAGATATCAATCTTCCTAATTTATCAGAATAACTGATATATCAAGTAGAGCAATAAATCGAATAAAAAAATTAAAATAACATTAAATTTGTTACTTTTGATTCTTAATAGAATTAGAATTAGCAGACGAAGTAGAGCTATTAGTAATCTAAAGAGTAATTGAAAAATAGCTTTTTTTAGGCTAATAAATAGCATTTGTGTATTACTAATATCGATACTAATTTTTAAAATTAAGATTTCAATTAAAAGCCTTTTTCAAGCTTTTAGTAAAATAATGAAATTATTTATGAGTTTTTCGGAGCTGGTAAGAAAGATAATATAAAAGATTGCTAAGATGTCTATAAATAATAGCAGAACATAGATATTGAGGAGGTGTAATTGCAAGAAAATCAAATTTAGAATGATAATTTTAACTCAGATTTGATACAAATTACTTCATAAAACTAGAATTTAAAATAAAATTAAAGTGAATTAGATGAAGAATATAAGAAAGAGGCAGGGTCAGACAAACTTTTCTATCCTAATTCATCTAAATGCAATTAATCTTCTTTAGAAGAATGCTACAACAACTATTAGCAAGATAATGAAATCAAAGAAAATTAGATTAATGGCCCTATTCAGAAACTAAACTTTGATTAATGCTAAAGCAGTGAAGGATCTTAAAGCTCCAGAGATGACCTTAACAATGATTCTATAATATTGAAGCAGAACTTTTAAAATTTGATAACGAATTACAAAAAAAGAAACTCTAGCTTTCCTTAGTTAAGTAATAGTCACAACACAAGTAAAAATAGTAATTATAATACTAACAGTAATCCATAGATTGAAGTGTCTCAATCAATAAATCACATGAAAGGCACTTCAGTTAGTAATTCAAATAAAATAAACGAAAATAAAGTTTTACAAGATAATTTAGAAGAATAAGATAGTTAACAGTAGCCATTCAGGAGTGGACAATATAGTGTAATCTTAAAAAAGTTAGAAGAAACTCTTGACATGAATAGTGAGAGTGATTTTTATCTTATCAAGAAATTACAACTCTCGCATGGGCATGGCGTCTCTTAGTAACATTCAGAAATAGATAATTCATAAAATTAAATTTAACCCCAAATAACTTAATAATACAAGAAGATAAATCCAATCACAAATCAAACTTATATTTTAGAAGAAACAGGAGAAGATTTTATATTTAATTCTAAGGAAATTGAAAGATTAGAATAGATTGACAATAGCTTTTTTGCTAATAACAAAGAAAACATGGGTGGATAGAATTCTTCAATCAATTTTGATAGTAAAGTACTACTAGCAGATACTATTTATAGTAGCTGTAACACAAGTCATTTATATTTTATAAATTAATCTTCTGAAAAGAGAGGTTTTAAATCTCATTAAAAAGAAAGGAAATCTCATTTTATAAACATTCATGAAAATTCCTACAATTAATAATTATAAAATGGAACATCTTAATTAAATAAAGTAAAAAAGAATTGCTAAAATGAAAACTAAATTCCATGCTAAGCCTTGTCTAAAGCTTAACAGCAACAAATCAATAAAATTTGCTTAGATAACTAAAATAGCAAAAATTCTTTGCTTCATTTAAATTAGCAAAATGAAACAAACTAAATATAAATGTAAAACAGGAATTCGCAAGTATCTAATGAAAGCAGCAATTAAGAAATCAATTACATAAAAGAAATAGAGTATCTGAAGAGAGAAGTTATCAAATTAAATAAAGATTTAAAGAACATTGATATATAAAATTATAAGTATTAAGAAATTATTGACCAACAACAAGCTAATATCCTTCGACTTGAAGAAAAGTTAATTTATTACAAAGATGAGGTAAAGTCAAAGTAATAGTAAATAGAAAACAAAGACATGCAAATAAATAAACTTTTTGAAGAAAAAGAAGAGCTAAAATAGAAAAAGAAAAAACTGAAAGAATAAATCAAAGCAAAAAATTAAGAAATATATTAGCAGTAAAGAGTGAATTATACTGCAAAAAACGAAGCAATTCATAAGTTGCAATAACAAATTGATTAAAAAAATGGCATCTTAAATGAGAGAAATGAATAATTCTAAGTAATATAGCAATAAATTTCTGACACAAGCAGCTAGCTTGAAGCTAAATAATAAGAAATTCATTATCTTATTTAAGAAAATTTATAGTTGAAAGAATAAATAAAATTTTACTCTTATGATTAATCAAATAGCTACCTATAAACTTCAAACAAAAGCTTTACAGGTAATACTAGTTAGTTCAATTAGAATTGTGCTAGAAATAACAAAGTAGCTAACTCAGAGTATAATAACAAATATGAAAGTAATTTATAACCAAATTAAACAACTTCCTCTTCTTCTTCCTCTTCTACATAATATGTTTAATAATTTATTTAATCTGGAAATAATTCTCAAGATTAGAAATCGTCCAACCTATCAAATTAAAATGATAAACGAATTCGTTCATTTTCATAGAACGACACATGTAATTAAAACTAATTTTATGGCTAAAAAACTGCTTTAAATTTAGATCATATGATCTCTTCATAACCATATAACTTAACAGAGGAGTCCCAATAATTTTTAACAAAAAGTACTTAATAAGACATAATAAGTAGTTAAGAAATGCAGGGCTAATAAATATTTAGTCATCCTAGATCTTCTTTCCAAGGAAATTAAATGATTGGAGCAGATTAAAACTAGAATAGATTCTAAAATAGCTTGCAGGGAAATTAAGATAAGCTTAAAAATTAACAAGTTCGATACAGCTATGATAATTATAAAAACTACTAACAAAATCAGTAAAAGCCTACAAATTTACCTTAGCCGATGACATTAAATTCAGCTATCGCTTAATACAAAATTTAAGCATTAGAAGATAGAAAGTACACTGAAACAATCAATAATACTAATTCAAGCAATCCTATCCTAGTTAATTAATAATATAATCCACTTGAGTCTTCATTTAAGTAATCTAAAAGCCAAAAATAAATAGAAAATAACACTAATTCTAGTACTTCTTTTGGTTTTAATTGTAATGAATCAATTAGCTAATTAGGTAACAGAAGTTAAATTTCAACATCATGCAATAGCAGACACTATGAGTCTCATGCAAGTAACAGCTAAGTAGCTAGCAATAATAATTCATAAAAAAGTTTAATAAGTGTTAATTAAAAGAATTAGCAAAACTAATATTAATAGTAACAACAAAAGTAACAAATACATTAATAAAATAATTATTATGAAAAAAATGATCCTTAAAGCAATGTAAGATCGAGGACAGGTGATCACAGTAGCAAAAATCCTCAATATACCACTTTTAACGAAAAAGCAAGAAACAGTTCATCATAAACAAGCAAAGAAGTTTACTCATAAAACTCAAGATTGCATAATAATTACTCTAATAAAGAGAATTTGCAACAAAAATTTGAAAACACATAATAAAATAACTTAAATAAAAACTACTCAACTAAATTGCAAGAAAACACTGTGTTAAACTTATAAAATAATAAATAGCTAAATAATTTTAATCAAAATTAAATTAAGTTAAACTTTTAAGTTGGTGAAAGAGTTTCAACTTCTCCAAGCAGAAATTAAAAAGGAAATTAAATTATCCATGACGAACTAAACGAATATAACTCAGTACCTTCATACACTAATAATGAGCTGGTTTAAGAAAATAAATAACTTTTAGGAGAATATATTTACTAAAATTAATTAAATGGTAGAAAATAAATGTAAAATAACATAGACGTAGCTTCAATCAATAATAAAATTAATTCAAATAATAAGTTGATTTAAAATTTAAATCTCAATAAAAATAAGTAAAGCTCATGTTAAGGCAGTACACACTCAATAACTCAAAACAATTAAATAAATAGTAACTAAAATATCCAATAAAAAATAAAAAGAGAGCATTCCTATTCTTTAAATTCTTAGATTACTTAAATGGATTAAAATAATTAGTAAAATCCTTAACTAAGTTCATCCTTGATAGATTAGAATAAGTTTAAAAAGCCTCCGAGATCGACAAACGAAATGAGGTAATCATTATAAGGATCTTCACAACAGTAGATTTTGATTTCTACTCAGCAAATTAATGTAAACAACCATAACGAGAACATCAATTTTGGAAACATAGAAAATAGAAATTCATAAAAATAGGTTGCTTTTTCAATCCAAGCAAACCAAATAAATGAATTTTCTAAGTAAAACAACAACAACAATAACAACAACATCAACAACGAATTAAGTATGCAACAGAGTATTTAATTAAAATAATAATAACAATAGCAATATTATCATCATCAACAACAGTAATAACAACTGTAATCTTCTCAAAGATTTGAAAAATTCTAAAAGTGGAATAATCAAATAAACAGTTTGATTTGATAATCAAGTTGTAAGTAAAATATAATTTGTATAAAATATATATTAATAATTAAATGTAAATATTTTGAGTAACTCTATAATTTTGCTATATCTATCTATCTACCAGTATTATTCCTTTATATGTAAAAATACTAAATTATATTAGTAAAATCAAATTATTTTAAATTGTTTATTTACCTATTGATTTAAATTCAAAGAGCTTTTTAATTAATTCAAGTATTTCATAAAAAGAAAAATAGTTAAACATTTTGATAAAAAATATTTATTTATTTATTATTTTAAATCTTTTAAAAATAAGGTATATCTAAAAAATATTAAATAAGTTTGTAAGTTGATAAGAATATTATCTGATTGTTATATTTATTAATGTATAAAAGCTTTAAATTCTTTTTCCTAATTAAAATTTATTTAAATTTTAAATATTAATATTTCTTTATTAATTTTGTTTTAAAATATTAAAACACATAAAATTCTCGAACTTTTTCAGAATTTCTAATCAACCAAAATGCTTTGATTAATTTATTAATATTTAAGACAATATTCATTTATAAATAAAAATAAAAAAAACCCTTTACAATTTAAAAACCAAAAATTTATATTTTTTTCAAGTTTTCAAAATTTTTAAAATTAAAAAGTAAAAATAAATAGTTAAAATTAATAAAATTTAAGTAAAAATGAACGATTTAAATTTATTAAAAAGTAAGAAATACAACAAAATACTTTTTATCAACATACTCATATAAAAAATGTAACTTGGATTAATGAAGGTAAGCTGAAAATAAATAAAAAATAAATACAAATACTGAGTATGTAATATAGAATTTGAATTGAAAATAATGATAAATAAAGAATGTTATTATTTTAATTATAGAAGTTAGTTTTTTTGGTTAAGTTGTATTTTTAATTTATTTAAATTATTTTTATTTTTGGTTGGTTGAATGTATTTATTTATTTATGTATCTATGTATGCATGTAAGTAAGAAGGAAGATCAATAAACCTTATCCAAGTTCAAAGCTTTTTTTTTCCATTACATATAAGTTTTTCCTTGCAAAATTTATTCTATTGATGGTCTGTTTTATGGTTTTAAGCTTGTCATTTAAATAATAAGCTCACATGCATACTTTTAAGTTTTTTGCAAATTTTTAGGCAATTCCTAGGAACCTTTTAACTTTTTCACTATTTCAAGCTTTTCATGGTATGTATCCATTTTATGAATTATTTCTAACAAAATGATACCAAGAGAATACACATCGATCTTTTCATTGTATTTTCCTGATTTATCTTGCTATTCAGGTGGCATATAAAATGGAGTTCCTACGTTTCCTGTGTGAGCAACTGATATATCTTGTCCATCAATATTTTTTTATGATGGTAATTCTTAGTTAGCATTAATAAGTCCTAATTCCTATTAAATCGACAAACCGAAATCTGCAATTTTTGCAATTTTGTTTTCAAACAGAATATTAGAAGGTCTATTTTATATTTTTTATTATTTAAATTAAAAGTAAAGCAATAAATAAATTATTTACTTAAGATCTCTATGAATAATTTAGTTTTTATGAAGATAATTTACACCTTCTAACATTTAAGAAAATATTTGGAAGGCTTCTTTGCTGTCTAATCCATGAGTTTATTCATCAAGGTAATTTCTTAAAGTTTTTCCTGAGCAATATTCAAGCTTTTATAATAAAATTATTTTTTTTAAATTTAATTTAAATATACTGTATAAAAATACTTGTATGTATAAGGTTAGCAATTAAGAAGGTTCTTTTGTAAAATTAAAAGTCTTATGACTTTTATTTTATTCACGATATTCATTTATTGTTTGAGAGTCATCTAATTTCTTTTTTATCCCATCATTGTTAGAAATATTAGGGTTTTGATTTTCATTTTCTGACTATTCCCATTCTATACAAGAAAGATTATCATTATTGTAGCTTAAAACATAAGACTGAGTCTGGTTAGTTTGTTTTGAGAGTGCATAAGATCTGTTGTAGTCACTTTTATTTTTTTAATAAGCTTCAGAAACAGAAGGACTATTGTCATCAGAGTATAAATTATTATTTGTCTATAAGAATTCGTTGACTTAATTTACCATTTCGTCATCACAATTTTCCCACCAGCTTGTGTGATATCTAAAATTAATTTAAAAAAAAATATTTTCAAACTTATTAAAAAATTTAAGAAATTTAAAAGAATTAATATTTTATATAATCGTTGTCTCAAAGTTAGTTTTATTTACTAAAATATAGAATGAAAATATCAAATTACCTAACAATGTTGATGTGATTAAGACTCATAATACTCTTTACTTCTCTGAAATACTTATGCTCTTTTGGATTTGAAAATCCATCATAGGGAACAGCTATTTTTTTTATTGCATAGATTTTTTCTTCAACCATACTTTGCACCTTATAAACTCTTCCGAAACCTCCTCTTCCTAATTCATCTATTACTCTAAAGAATTTGTTGAATTTGCCATTATCTAAATATTGTTTGATATGACTTTGTTCATAAAGGGGTGAAATTCTTGTTTCAACTTCAAAAGGTGATTTCATATATAAAGCAAGTTGCTGTTCCTTCTCATAAGAATTAAATTGTCCACGCTAAGCGCTATCGTTTAGGTTATTTATTTCTGAAATACTTTAGCTTTTCATTTTTTCCAACATGGGAATAACTTATAAATTTTATTTCACAAGAGACATCTTAAAGCCGTTTACATTTTGATTCTCTTTAATTTAGAATTATGATGAGAAAGTCTACTTAATCTCTTCTATTTCTTTATGAATTTCTTTAGTTTATACATAGTCAGTAATAACTTAGTGTGTTTCTATCTTTCTATATACTCCCTTAGCATCATCTTACTCGAATTCAATTTTAAAATCTGCCTTCTTTCTCAATGGCGGATTCTTAAAGGTACACTACTCAAAAAGTAATTCTTCCTCACTTTCTTCACTTAAACCATACATTTTATTATGTCTAGCTTTTTTTTTGACCAAAGCACTTCCTATATCATTAAGCAACTTTCTTTGTAAAGGTTACTAGGCTTGACTTGAGCTCTTGTTATCACTGCAACTACCATTATCAATCATTAACTAATTTTACATATTGTGGATATTGTTATTGTAGTAATTTGAGTTTCCATTTTATTTAAAAGGAACTAATGCTAATTCACCTTAATAATGTTTATATTAATTTTCACTGCTTTAATTATCTGATCCAAACTTTATTTGCTAGCTTTACTATATCAGCTATTTTGAATTTTCATTTGAAACTTGACTTTCATTTTTCACTGCACTTTTTCCCTAAGAAGATAAATTATTGTCTTCAAAATGATCTTCTAAATAGCTATTTTTATGTGTATTTTTCACTTAATTTTCATTATTCTAAAAAGAAATATCAGAATTTGCAGAAGAAATATCTTCATTGTAATTTCCTCCACTCTAGTTTGAATATTTTCTAGATTCTATAACGCCTCTTTATGAAAAAGAATTTTAATCAAAGTTCAGACCTGTAAAATCTGATCTATTTTACTCAATATTAAATGTTTATTTTGTAGATGTAACTCCTTGTTATGATGAGTCGCTATTAAATATTTTATTTTATAATTCTTCATTTTAAATTTAAACTTCATCATTTTTTAAAGGCTTATTTCTCTTTCTTCTTCCAACAAAGTAGCCAATTAAAAATATTACCAATGCAATTAAATTTTATTCGCTAAAAATTATACTCAATAAATTTGATAATAAACTTCCTTAATTTTCTTCTACTCGCTAAGTTTAAGAATTCAGCTATTGATTATCAAATGCGATACTACCATTATTAAGCTACATTGTTTTTATTTTTCTATCCTGAAATTCCTAATTAGCTAGCTTATCAGTATGATGCCTTAAGGGAATTTATTAATTTCAGATTATTTTTCTATGTTTTTTAATATTTTTTTGAATAAAAAAATTACTAAATTATGTAAATTTTGTATTTAAAGTTTTTATATCAAAGCAAAAAGTAAAGAAAAGTTAACACCTTAAAAATTTAATCTTCTATTTTGCAAGAAATTGTTTTCTTCTTCTATCTATTTTACTTAAAATCAAATAAGCAAGATAACTAACTAACTACAATCAAATGATAATTTTGAAAATGTTTCTTAAAAATTAAAATGTAAAAAAAATTATTAACTAACCACCATTCAATTTTCTACTATATTATTACAAAAAAATTATAAATTCACACAACTATCATAAAAAAACAAAAATCTTAGCATAGTTACGTGTAATTAATTTAATTTAAAATTAAAAATGTTAAAAGAACATTAGCTCTTACTTTATTTTTCTATTTTAATTAAAGAGACACTTAAAATATTATATAAAACTAGAAAAAAAATATTTTCTTTATTTGTTTTAAATATTTTTAAAAGAACAAAACAATTTAAAAACTAATACATATGCCGAATATTCTAATTATTTCTAATTAGATCATAAATTTAAATTAATATCACTAACAGCGCTAAAATCAAATGAGCATATAATTAGTTGCTTAACTCCTCAATATTATATTATTATAAAATCAGAATTAGAAAGAAAAAGAATAACTAATATTATAATCATTAAATAGAGAAAGTTCAAGAATATTTCTTCTTTTAATAATCCTTTTTTACAGAATCAAACAGAATCAAAATAAAAATTCTAAAAAAATAGAAAATATAATGATAATAATTTTAATACTAGAATGATTTTTTTGATAAAATAAAAACCTAAATTCAATTTTTGATAGATTTTTCATTAAATTAATCTAAATGTATATTATTTCTATACAAAATAGAAAAAATCTTTTTATTTTGAAGTTAAAAAAAATTAAATAATTTTAATATTTTAATATTTTAAAATAATTAAATAGAATTTTAACAATGTTTTAATGTTTTGATGTAAAATACTTCATAGAATAAAAAGTATATTAGTTTTTTTTAATTTACTTATTGATCATGTAAGTAAGATCATATCTTTTTTCTTTAAAAATATTTAATAATTACAGAAAATTGAAGTAAAAAATGTTTTGTAATTTAGAAAATTAAATAATAAATTAATAATATTATTATTTTTAATTTAAATAAAAATGTTTCTTAGATTAAAATGATTAATTAGTTTTAAATTAATTTTAGACTTTAAAATTATGAAATTTTTTATATTTGATTTTATAAATTTATCACAAACTCAAACTTTAATTGAATGATCAACATTAAATTATAAATTATTTTCCTTTTTTAGAATAATAAAAGCTATTTTTGTTTAATTTTCTTTTTTTATTTTAATTTTAATTACTCAAATGGAATATGTTTTTTGTGAAAATATTATTTTCAAGTTAGTATTTTCTTTTAACAATCCTATCTTTCTTATATTCTATGGAATTTCTAAATAAGCGAATACAGCTAATAGGCTTGAAAATAAAAAAAGTAATTAAATAATGAAATTATTTATTTTTAAAAGAATAGATTAAAATACAAATATAAATTACTTAAATTAAAAAAATACAAATAAAACTAGAATTCAGAAATAAATAGTTTCAAATATACTATTCATTCATGCTTTTAAATAATTCTTTTATTTTTTATTGGTAAATAGGTTTTATTTTAGGTAACCAGCTTGATATTTCGAGCTTAGGATATGGATCATTTATCTGCATTTCAACTACTTCTCTAGTAAAAAGAAGAATCAATTTACGAATTTCTAATATTGTTTAAATATTGATGAAAATAACTTCTTCAAAGTCATCTACCAAATCATTAGGAGATTCATTCAGAAGAATTGGAAATTCATCTATTTCTTCTCTATAATTAGCCTCAAATTTAACTAGCATGTAGAAATACTCAAATAAGTTAAGAGAGACTACTTAATTGAACAGTTGATACAGACAAACATCTTATATATTTTTAGAAAACTCTAATTTGTGAGTTTCTACAAATTAAATAACTTGTTCTCCTTTTATCTTTAAATAATTAGGATTTTTCTCAGAAATATCTTTTATTTAAAGAGTGATCTTTTCAATTTAAGATTGCTAATAGTTGTACTTTTCAACAAACTTTTTCTAAGTATTTTAATATTCCAATTATTTTTCAGGTCTATCAAATTAAGTACTTAGTAAAATACCCCTTAAGAAATATTAGTTAAGCTTATTTAGTAATTTTTAGTTTTCTGTAGGAATTAAGAGCTTATCAGTTTCGCTAAATAGAATATCTAAATGATCAAAAACTTAGTCATGGTTTCTAGCTAACTGGCTCAATGAAACTCTTTCGCATTGGCTATCAATGTATTTTTCATAGTTTGCTTGCTTTACTTCCTATGAGCAATTCTCCTAAAGTCTTTTAAATACTTCAAATGATTGGCTATCTTTTTAGTGGGAAGTAAAAATTTGGTAAATCATAATGTAATTATCAAATTCAGTTTAAGCCGATTTAAATAGGAGATTGTCCTTAAATTAATCAAAGAATTCAACAAGATTATTAAGGGTGCTCATCATTTCATTTTTGAATTCTAATTCTTCATATGTGTAATAAAGCTCAGTTAATTCTTATAGAGCTAGAGCACTGCATCTGTTCTTTTCAACTTGTTCAGTTTAGAGATCTCTTTGCTTCAAATAGTAATCAACCAATCTTTTATGAAACTCTTATTTTAGAGAAATATCTATATTCTGTAAATTCAATCTAATTGTATTGGTTTTGCTTTCTATTTCATACAATTACTCTACAGCTTATCTCTCCTTATGTTAATTTAAAATTTAAGTTAAATTCTTAAGATCCCTTTCACCTAAATTGCTACTAAATCTGGAAATGCTGTTGAAATGAAAGCTTCTAAATTAAAAAACGCTTTGCTTGCTGGCGAATTTCAGACCTAACCTGGAAGATTAGCTGAAATTAGTCATTTAGCTAGATAAGAAGAGAACTTTAGAGAGGCTTTTCATATTTTTATTTGTAAAATTTTACTAATTTATTTTAATTAAAAATAACTAAAATATTCCTTGATAAATTAATTGGCTTTTGTTTGCTTAACTTAGATTTCTAGAATTGTTTACTAAAGATATGTGCCGTCAAATATAGACCAAATTTAGATAAATATTGACAAATCAGACAATCTACAAAAAATCTAGTTAAAAACTATTTCTAGCTAGATTCTTTTAGCTATTAATTAAACTTTACAAAATATTTAAACTAAAATTTTTCATAAAGAATAAAAGCTATCATAATTATTTAAAAAATTAATTAATTATTTTTATTTTAAATTTTTTTTTAAAGTTTTCTTTTTTTTTTAAATAAAAATTTATTTGAATACAAAACAAACAAGCAAATAAATAAAGAATAAAGTAATTAATATAATAATTTTATTATAAAATTTAAATAACTTTAAATTTATTCTCAACTATTTTAAAGAGTTTAGATGTTTTTTTTATGTTATTTATTTAAACTATTTAGTATTGGATTTTATTCCAAATTATTTTAGTTTATATTTTAATATTTTTTTATATTATTTCTAGGAGAAGTTAAAAGTAATGATTCTTTAGGATTATTTTAACATTTTGGAGTTAAAGATCCTAAATACGGGTGTAAGGGAGCTTTTGTAAAATACATGGAATTGCTGCTTGCATTATTAGAAACTCTATCTAGGAAGGCCAAACTATTTTTTTGACTGAGACTAAAGAAATTTTTACCTGAAGAATTTTTTGAAGAAGAGTCATGATAATGGAAATCATCAGGATTTAATAGCTTTTTAAGACTACAATCTCCCATTTTGCTACTCTTTTGACTTTTGCTTCTATTTTTGGATGTGTTATCCTACTAATAAGAATGCTGCTAGTTTGTTGGGCTAAATACATCTCTCAATAAGAATTTACAGTTATTAGTTGGGCTATAAGGTTTTATTATAGGGCTATAGTGTTTTATTTCTGGTTTATTAGGTTTTAATTCTGGGGTATATTTCACTTTATTATGAATAATTTCAGAATCTTTATCTTAAAAAAAATACGACTTAAAGCTAGTTTAAGCCCTTTCTCTCCCAGTTGTAGTGCTTTTAGATGTATTTTAATTGGAATCATTACATTATTTCTCATGTATGTACTTTTAAACTTTTTAGTTTAAATGTAGCTTATCTAATTAACTTATGAGCTTTACTTTGTCTTCCGGTGTGTTATAAATGTAAACTTTTCTTTTTTTTGGAGCACGAATTATTAAGGTTTTCTACTTATGCCTGTCTACTGGAGTAGCTAAAATATCATCAGCAAATTATGATAAATATTATATATTAGTATCAATAGTTAATTTGCCAATTAATTTGTAATAGTTTATAAGGAAAGATTTGTTACCTTTTACCTTATTTTATAGGGTAATCATATTTGTAGCGCTAATAAGAGCTTTTTTCAAATTTTCAGTTCTATTAGTAGGATTACTAGGACTATAGTTTAGATTATCAGTAGATCCTGGCTCTAAATATTCTTGTAAAACATCTTACAATTATTTGCTTTCTTATATTTTCTTAACATTGGTAATTAAAAAGCTACCTTTTTTTGCTTAGCATTCACCGTATTTGCTCATAAAAGCTTAGAGTTGGTCATTTTAAGCTTAACCATGCATTTTAGAATGCTATCTTTATAAAACTTACTACTGTAAAGTAGGAGCTATTGTATTAACAACACTGAATCTTTTGGAGTTGCTTCCAAAATTGATATTCAATTATTAGTTATTTCCAATATTTTTAAATTCATTAATTGAATTAGTTTTGTTTAATTCTCTATTTGAATCTTTTGAAAAAGAAAATCTTTCAATCATATTTTTTTTGTAATTTGTTTATTAGTTATTGTTAGCACGCTTTTAACTTTCACGTAGTTAGCCCTCATCATTATCATCTAAATCTACACTAGAATGAGACGAAAGGCTTTCCTATCCATTATATTTTTAGCCGCTTCCTTGTTGTTATAAATTTTACCTTTTTGTCTTGCCATTTTAAGTTTACTATTGATCATCTTCATCACAAAGGCTTTAATTATTCATTTTTTCTGGTTCTGATTTAAGCTAATTTAATGTATCAAATTCTAATTTGCTAATTTAAATTGGTTCACTCACGTCTTCTTAGCACCGAGAGTTTTATTGGATTTTATTAATTTCTTATAAACTTTCGTTGCCTTAGTACATTTAAATAGGCTGTGGCTATTATTGTAAGGGTTATGATGAATTTACGAATTCACTACTATTGTTTACTTTATTAAAATTGTTTGGCGATTTAGGAGAGAAAACATTTATTTGGTTTAAATTTATGCTTTTTCTATCATGAAGATCTGCGCCAAAAAAGCTGAATTTTGGTAATAAACTGCTTTACTATTATAAAGTTTGAAAGTTTTACTATTGATGGTATTAATTATTCTAAAATGATGTAAATTGTAAATTTGTGCCACTAGTCTGAGAATTAAATATAGATTTTCCAGAATATTGCTTAAAGGAAGGATTTTTTGATGCTTTAATATTTGGATTTGATTTTTTTTGCTATTTTAAAGCATTCTATTCCTTTTATAATCTCCTCTTTTCATTCTCATCAATGATTGTAACTATGTGCTATACTATTATTCCCAAAGGAAACTATTTTTCTCTTATAATAATTTAAGATGAAGGCTCGCCAAATATCCCTCCTTAACAGCTTTTTCTACGAGTATATTTTTTAATTGATTATTCCTTAAACTAGCTATTTGAAGATGTCTCATAAAGAACCTATTTCAGTTTTTCTTGAGGACTTAAGCATCCTAAATTATTATTATTATTATTAAAATAAATAATTTAATTTTTCACTTTAATATTGAGAGCCAGTAAGTAATCTAATTTGCAAACTAACAAGCATTACTTAATTACTTAATTAATTAATTAAGGCATAAGATTAAGAATTTTAATTTTATTTCTTTTTCAATAAAACATTTTTGAATATAAAAATGAAATGAATTACTTTTTGAAACTTTTTTGCTATTGACTTTGAATGCGTCAGCTTATTGGCAAGTGCTAATGAAGTAAGCGCTTTCATTAAAAGTTTCTTCGTTTATTTAAATCTTTCTAAAAAAGTTCATTTATTTAACTATTGGAGTTAAAGAAATAGGTATTTAGGTTTAGCTACAATTTGATTGGTGCCTAATTACTACTTCATCCTCAGTATATTGCCTATCTATCTGAATATCTTATAAATTATATTATTTAACATTTATAAATTAGAGAATTTGTTGTTAATTTTTTACTTTTAAATTTAAAATGCTATGATGCCTCATTATTTTACTCCTACTTATGAATTAGAAAAGATTTTTTAAAAATAAATAGACAAATTTTAAAAAATGAAAATACATTATTGCTATCCTATTAATCTTTAGCTAAAAGAGATGTCATATAATATCAATCTATATATTTATCTTACTTATTACCTAACTTTTTACTTTAGTATCTACTATCTTATTGTTTCTTTACCTTTTATTGGTAACTTTTTTGTGGTTTTTAATTATTTCTTTGGTAAAATAAATAATTTAATTTTTTAAAACTTTCTATCAAACGATGATATAATATTACTTAATATTTTTAATTGGTGATTTATCATCCAATGTTATCTAAACTATTTATACATGAATATATTCTTGAAAAACTCCTTAATTATAACTTTTTAAAGTTGATTAAAAATTGTGTGAATAAAATTGAATAGTCTGTTTTTTATTTCATATTAAATAAATAGCAGAAAAAGGAAAAATAATAATTAAAAAGTTAAATTATTGATTGAGCAAGGAGTTAAATTATCAAACTTTTAGATATCTTTGACGAACATCTTTTATATTTATGTGCTTTAATCAATAAACATTTTAATTTTTTAAGTGAAAATATTTAGTTGGTTTTTTATGAAATTTGATTCAGTAGTTTTTTAGTATAAATTGAAGAAAAAAAAAGTAAATTTAAAGAAGTTAATTTATAATAATATGCTTTAAAGTATTGAATAAAGTTGGAGGATTAGCCCATCAGTTTATTGATTTATTGGTTAATTTATTGTAAATATTAATTTAAATAAAGTAAATGAAAGTTAAGTTATATTCTAATATAAAATGACACTAATTGAATTCACATGAAAAATTACAAAATTTTGATTGAAGATGCTAATGAAAAGCCACCTACCAAACCATAAATGACATTATTTGGCAACTTAGTTTATATGAATACATCTAAAAAATTTTATTTTTTTTCCTGTAATTTTGGAATATTTGAAATATTATTTTATTCTGGTGGCTGGTTATTATTTTATTGAGTTACTTTGTCTTGTTAATTTGCTTATAATTGATTTTTATTTCTTGAATTGATAGAAAATTAATCATCAAATATTTTCTTTTTAAATACAGCTCCTAAAAAAAAAGCGCTAATAGGAAAACAAAGGCCAGATGTTATGTAAAGGGGCATGAATGAATTGAAATGAGCAGCCTTATTTTAATATGATAGTTTTCTCTATAAAAAGAGTTTTTAATCTTCATCAGGTAATTCTTCAAAGTAAACCCAATCTCCTTAATCAGGGTCTCCTCTTGGATGTATTGTTGATTGAGTATACTTTTGATTGATTTTACCATATTTTTCTTGCAATAATTTCCTATTCTATCCAAAGATTTATTACTTTTCTTCTCTATATTATTAATATGCTCTATATCTATCATAACATAAGTAAGTTGCTAAACCCATCCATGCAATATGCCTAAACTTAAGAGTAAATTGAAATTTGAAATATTCTAATTACTCCAATAAATTTTTAGCTTGCTGAGACTTAGGTTATTACAAAACTTCATTTTGAGGTACCTAACCTGCTTAACTTTCTACCACCTTCAATATTTTTTATATTTCTGGTCCTGGTTCATTGCTACTCATTGCTAAATAATATATTTTCGACTGTTGAAATCTCTATTACTTTGAATTTTATCTATAAAAAATATGAATAAAGTGGTTAAATAATTAAAAATAAATTAAGGAATTAGATTTATTAATTAATTAAATTTAGTTAAATACATATTTTTATTTAAAGTTAGCTTATAAATTAATCAATCACAAAAAAATCTGTAGAATATTCTTTAATTTGAAAATATTCAAATAAAACCCAACTATTTGAATAAACAAAAACTTCATTTACTTTACAATAATTAAAAGAAGTGATATGTGTAAAATATCCAAGCTTAAATTGGGTTTATAATATATAAAAACATTTTATTTACTAAAATAATTAATTTGTTTCAAATATCTTTCTAAAAAGATATTTTTTATTTGGTTAAAATACCCTAGAGTTGTTTGTTATAAGTATCAAATAAGAATATACAAAAGATAAAGAAATCATCATAATATAATTAATATTGCCTTTGTTTTGAATATTTTGGCTTATTTTTTTAATGATTTTTTAATGAAATTAACATATAAATTAAAGGATTAGTGTAGTGTAATAAACTAAGAAAAGATAATCTATATAGTAAAAATTAATTAATAGGCTAATAACAAGAAATTAATTAAAAAAAATAAGCCAAACAAAAGGAGAAACTAATAATTCAAGAAGGCAAAAAGTAGACTATAATTTAAACTAGATTTCATTTTAGAATTATAAATATAAAAAAATATAACTTTTAGCTTTCTATTTTACAACATAAACTAGCTTGCCCACTTTAACATTTTATTTATTTATTATTTATAAATATTGAATAGCTTGTCAAGTAGAAGAGAGGAGGAATACAATTACAATATATCAAATTAAAAATGATTACAAGAAGTTTAAAATAATTTAATAAATCAATGCTGCTAAGTTTTAGACCTATTTATTCTATGCGTTCTTATAATTAAACTATAGTAGAAAATTAAAAGGTCTTCAAAAACACTGTAAATGACAGAGAATACTATGAATTAAAGAACACATATGGAGACTACGAAGAAGCCAAAAAAGCTAAGGAATTAGAAAGAAAGAAAAACATCTCTTAACTCTAAATAAACAATCTTTCATAAAATGATAAGAATCCTGCCAATTTCTTAAAAGTTAAAATTAACTCTAATGTTTATACTAACGAAGAAAAGAATCAGCAAGTTATTTCTCAATATACATTTAAAAACCCATAGGAGTATACTGATCCAGTTGTTTTGAAAGTTCTTCCTCGTGAACCTCTTGTTACTGTCGAATCATATACAAAAAGTGTTGAAAACTCAATTAAGAGATTATTCTTACCTGCTCGTGCCATTCGTAAATAGCATGCTTACGATGCTCTTTCAATCCTTTCTAATATCCATTCAAAAGCTTCAGAATAGATTGCTTAAGCTATTGCTAAAACTATTTCTGTTGCCAAACTCAAAGAAATGGATCTCAATCGTCTTTTTATCCATGGTGTTATTATTGGTAGAAAGAAAAAAAGAATGGGTTTACGTTATCATGCTAGAGGTAGATTTGGTATCAAGCATAGATAAACTTCAACAATTAAAGTTATCCTTTATGAGAAGCCAGTTAAATAATTATACAGAGAAATGCTTGAAGGTAAGACTGCACCCGTTCTTGCTTATGCCATGCGTTAAAGAATGGTAAGCGAAAATGCTGACTATGACGAAATTAGAGAAAATCAATGGGTTTTAACATCCAAGGGTCGTCAACAAAGAAAGCTTATGTTGAAGAGAAAAGTTTTAATTTAATACTTATAATTCAAGGTAAAAATATTTTTTTTAATTTATTTAATTCATCCATTCATAAGATATAATAATCTAAAGTAGCTGCTATCACATTACAAAAGCAAACATGTTTAAAAATAATAATATTTTTTTCTAGAAAGGTTGCATGCAATTAGATAAAACTTAATTTTTTAAATAAATTTAATGAAAATATTTTATAAAACTATTAAATATTAAAATAGATAATATTAATTTAATTCAATTAATAGAAAGTATTTTGAGTGGCTTTTTTATTTTTTCAGTCTTTTCCAAATTTAAAGAATTTATTAGAAAAATCATTAAATTTAAAATTTTAATTGTGGGTAAATTTTAATGATGATTAATAGCTTAGGATATAATTAAATTATTAACTAAATAAATTTCTAAATATTAAAATAAATTAGCCATAAATTATACAGCAATCCGAGTATTTTGGAATATAAAAATTTATACATACCATCATCCATAATTATTATATTAAAAATAAACATAAATGCAATAAAACTTGTAATTTAAAATTTAATGACTTTTTTTTACAAATAGGCTAAGGGCTTTATAGTTGATAAAAATCTTATTAAACAAAGAATTTTAGAAAAAGAAGCTACTGCTTGGGCTTAAAAGTACGAAGACAAGAAAGCTTCTCAAGTCGATTCTTCCTTAGAAAAGAGAATGGCTATTTTCAAGAAAAACTAAGAAATAACTGGTTGATTTTGCTATACTTTAGCAAGAAAGTTTCCATATTCTCTAAGCATATAAGAAACATTCTATTTTTTAGTGGGTTTAAATAAATATTTTACTTATAATTTATGAAAAAATAAGTAAAAGTCATATTCTTAATATTTAAATGTAAAAATATTTTAATGCTCTAAAACACTTTTATGTTTAAAGTGATTTAAATTAATACTTTAATTTATAAAAAATCTTATCAATTGATTAAACAAAATTCTACATACTCTATATTAATTCTCAAATTTAAAGTTCATCATTGATGTTTTTTACTGTAATATTTATAACCTCTTTATTAATTTCTAATTTAAAATAATTTAGTATCAATACCTTAACATTATTTACTTATTTTTTATCTTGAAAGTATAGTTAGTGATTCAGCTTACATTTTAGCTAAATTAAGAAATTATAAAATAGTTATTCGATATTTTTAATATTAAGAAAATACTTTTACATTTATTTAAGATGAAAATAAATATCAGATGAAATAAATAATAAATATTTAAAAATGAAGTGAAGTTAATTTGATAAAGAGATCAATCAATAATTTGGCTAGTTAATTAAAAATAATTTAGTTAACAACAAATGATAAATAAATGAAGAAATAAAATAGATAATATTTATTTTAAATAAAATAATTAAGAATCAAAATAAAGGTTTATGAAAAAGTATAATGCTTGTACTTTTAATAAATATTCAATGAAATTATATTAATTCAAAGACTTTTAATAAAGAAATCAATCTATAATTGGTGAAAAAACAAACTGATTACATTTTTAATACATACTTTTCTAAGTATAATTTATTATAATATAAAGTTTTTAATTTATTAATTGAGTGAATGATTAGTTGATATTAAATGAAAATTTTTATTTTCTATTTTAAAATATTAAAATATTTTAAATTAAGAGCATATTTAATTATTTATTATTACCATTTATTTTTTCAATTAATATTTGTTATTATCCTAAAATGCTTCAAAATTCGCATCTCAAATTGAATTCAATAAACTTCTTCATAGACAGCTTTTCACTGTTTGGTTCTAATTTTTTTATAATTTTTACAGCATCTTCATACGATAATGTATCATTGCAACTTAAAGCCAGTTCCACTAAATCTTCTGGTGTTATTCCTTCATCTTAGTAATTTGATATTTATTAGAAAATATGTTTGACATCTTCAGCAGAGTCTTATTAGCAAGGTTTCATCCTCATCATTCTAACAAATTCTTCGAAATCAATTTTACCATCTAAGTTATTATCAAAATTTGATTGTATTTCATAAACTAATTGCAAACTTGCATTATAGTTGCCATATTTTTTCATTGCATTTCTAATCTTACCAGGATTTAAATACCCTTCTCCTGTTTAATCATAAAGGTCAAAAACCTATTTGTATATGTGAACTTCTTATTCAGTAAGACCATCTGTAGCATAATCTTTAGCATCAAAAACTTTATTTGAGAAAGCTTAACTTTCACTCAGTTAACTATTATATGATAAATCATTTTAGTTTACTACACCAAGATTATTAAAGTTGTTGTGATATATTGATGAGGGTCTTTCTCTCTTTAAAGGAGAGCTAAACATTGAACTTCGAGACATTGTTTATATTAAATGATTGTACTTCTTTAAAAAAATAAAAAACACTACTTTTTATTATTTGATAAATTAATTCTGTTAATTAGTTATCAAAAATTTAATCTTTAATTAATATACTTTGTAACATTAAAATTCCTTTCTACATACCTATTTAACAGAAAAAATATTTCAGAATATAAATTTTTAAACATCTTTGAAATTAAAAAGAGTCTTTTAAAATATCAAAAATTTCATCATTTATCAATCATAAATATTGTAAAGTTAGTAAATAAATTAGAAAAATTTAATTATAAAATTATTTTTCATAATAATACTCTTTTAAAAAAATAAATAAATAAATAAATAGATAAATATTGTTTAAGGAGATAAAAAGTATTTACTATATCTTCGTAAAGAAATTCAAAATTAATATTTAAAACTGTTACTATTATACATTATTATAATGCAAAATTAATAACTAATTAAATAATTTAGGTATTGGTGATTTATAGGTTTATATCTTAAATCATTTAACATTTCTTCCAACGAAGATTCAAAAAAAAATTAATTAATTAAAATATAGATAAGAAATTTAAGCTTTTCTATATTTTTAAGCAGTAAAAGTTTTTTAGTTTATTAATAAGCAAACAAATAGTTATTGATTTATTTATTTATTAGCAAGTTTGTATAATAGAGTAATTAATTAGTTGTTTTAAAAATGATTGATAAAAATAAAGATATAACAGGAAGACTTAAACTAGATTTACTTCATGGTTTTGGTTCACTTAGCAGCAAAGGCTATAGAAATTGTATTAGCATATTAGATCAAGAAAATTTTAGAAAAGTAGTATTTCCACTTGGTCAGTATTTGGCTGTCAAATAAATTGATTTTTAGGATATGAATTTCATTAAGTTAGATGAAAAAACTGAAAGCATTGTCAGCATGGCTATATGCACTAAAAAGATGGTTGCTGCAGTTTGTGAAAAATAATACTAGTAAGATGCTTCTGAACAATAATAAGACCAATACCATTATTAATCTAAATATTCAAGTCAGCCAAGACCATTTTTGGCAATTTATAGTTTATCAGATAAAAAAAATTAAATGGTTGAAAACAGGTCTTTTATATATGATAAGGATACACAAATGAGCTCATTTGTTGCTTTGAGCTTTTCATCAGATGGCAGGTACCTTGCTTGCCTTACTGGTCACCCAGAATATAAACTTATTTTCTTAGATTTAAATTCAAATAAAAGAGAAATTGAAATTGCATCAGCGTTTTTAGAAGAAAGGCTAAGAGATGTACCTTAAAAAGAGAATGAATTAAAAATAAATAAAATTTCAGTATCTCCTAAAGATTCTCATTAAGTTGCCCTTTTAGGTCCTGAAATTTTTATGATTGTTAGGATACAAGAATCTAGCTTTGTTCCTATAACTTAAGAAATAAAGAGAATGCCTAAAAAAAAAGATAACTGTATATACACTGATGCTGTTTGGTTTGATAATGATAAAATTGCTCTATCTACATCATATGGAGAAATATTTATTATACAAGACTCTGAAGTTAAACAGTAAATAATTATGCCCTAATTTCCTTCTATTAAAACGTCATCTTTATGACAAATACAAGATATTTTTGGATAAATTTTTTAATTCTATTTTAGAGTAGAGCCATGATTTTATCTAATAAATAATAGCTTCAATAAATTAAATTCATTTATCATAAATAAAAATGATCAATTTTGTAGATGATAGCTATTTATTACTCAAATAAATTTTAGCATCAATCCACCCATCATCATTCAAGTTAATTTAAAGTTGGTAGTAAATATTTATTATTCAAAGCTTTATCTATTTTTCAAATAAGAATTATGTTCATTTGAAAAGTTTAAAAGAGCTCACATTAGATTTTAAGATTCTAATAAAATATGAAAATTTAAGAATATGTTTAAATGAATTACTTAAACTGTTGCAATGATATCAAAATGTTTTAAGATTTTTTATAAATTTTTTGAAGACTCCTAATTTATTTTTATGATAGATATTTATTTTTTTGTTAAATTAAAAAAAAAATAGACATATATAGAGGGTTCTTGAAGATAGAGATGAAAGAATTCCTATAGACTGTATTACTCCTTTCTCAAAAGGTTTAATTGTTGGATGTGAAGCTGGTAATTTCGCTGTTTGGATGAAGGCAGAAGATCCTGACTTGCCTTACAGTGGAGCTTAAGGAAAGGAAAAAAATTAACTTATTGATTAATTGCATTATCTCAAAGAATGGAGTGATAAAAAAGCTAGTGGTGTGTCTGGAATGGACATAAGCTCAAATGAAGAATTGCTTGTAATTGCTTTTAAAAATAATCAAATAGCTACTTTAGATTTAACAAAAGTAATTCAGTAGGTTCCATAAAATATTAAAGCCCTCAAGAGAGATCATAATTAAAGAGACAGGAGAGATGTTTAATTCGATTATTTATATAAAGGATTTCATAATGGACCAATCTCTTCTATCGATGTTTGTATTCAGCGTCCTTTGCTTGTAACATGTTGCAGCTAAGATAATTCAATTATTATTTGGAACTATGCATCATATAAGTGTGAGCTTGCAAGAAAATTCCCAGTTAGCTTAAATAATGATGAAATAAACAGGTAGGTACTTTTATCTGTAGCTTTTCATCCAACTGGCTACTATTTAGCAGCTGGTTTTTTTGACAAACTGAGAATGTATCATGTCTTGAATGATAAACTTCGTACTTATAGAGAAATTTCTGTGAAAAATTGTACTATAATTAGATTTTCTAATGGTGGTTAATATATAGCTGCTGGTTCTCCTATATCTAAATTTAATAAAGGTGCAAATATGGGTGGAGCTGGCACTAGTACAAATTCTCAATTTTAAAACTCAAATGCCTTATAAACTGGAAAGAAAAGTGTGAATTATGTAATAAATATTTATAATGCTTACACCCTTGAAAACATAACATGCCTTAAAGGACACACTGGAGCAGTTACTGACTTAATTTGGACGAAAGGTGATAAAAAGCTTTATAGCTGTGGAGAAGATGGTCAAATTTATGTTTATACAACAGATTCATGGGAAAAGAAAGATATAAAGCTAAAAACACCTAATGTGAAGCTTTAGAGCATGTTATATAATGAGCCTCAAGGTATTCTCATGGTAACAGGTCCTGATGATGTAAATAAAGGAGGATATATTTAAACAGTTAGATTTAGAGATGATAGGGATGAAATCTGTGATACATAAATAATTAAAAATTATCATATATCTAGTTTTACTTTTAATAAATGCATTTACAACACAACTGGTATTATTGCAGGTACTTCTACTGGTTAAATTAGAGTTTATCCTAGCTTGTTTGCTTAGTAGCCATTTGATAGCATTCCTACCCACAACGGATAGGTTTCCCATATAATAGTAAATTATTTATTTCCTTAAAAATATATTGATTTAAAATACTATTTATTTAATTATTAATTTATAGGCTAGTAAAGATGGAAGATTTTTATTTACAGGAGGAAAAGATGGTAGTGTATTCATTTTTAAAGTTTCTGAATTAAACGCCGAAGGACATTCAATCAAAGCAGATTAAAATGATACTGCATTAGATAAAGATTTGAAGATAGCTGTCGACGAGAAATTAGCAGATGTTGTACTTGTTGAAAGATAAGAAATAGATGTTTACTTAGGAGAATAAAAAAAGCTTAAGGAAGAATATGAAAATTTAGAAAACAAGATGGAAATCTAGGCTTTAGAAGAAAAAAATAAAATGGAGAGAGAAATTAAAGAAATGGAAACAAAAATGAGAACAGAAATTAAATCGTATGAATAAAGATATGAGGATCTTAAATTCCAAAAGAACAGAAATGAAAAAGAGCATGGAGGATTATTAAAAGAACTGGAAAAGACACATTTAAAGGCTATTGAGGAATTAGAAAATTTATATGAAAAAAAACTAGCCTTCGAAAATGAAAAATTCTTATAATAAGAATAGGAGCTTATTGAAGAAAGAATGAAATTTGAGAAGAAGCTTAAAGAAATTGAAAGAAAGCATGATGATAATATAAATTCTTTAAAATATGAATTTAATGATAATTTTTAAAAAGCCTAAAAAGTAATTTCAATTTATTTTTAAATAAAAGTTAAAACTAGTTTAATCAACTTTATTTATTTAATTAGGTGTATGATTCAACTAAATAAACCGCTGATGATTTAAGAAAAATTTATGAGGAAAGACTAGCTCAGTAAGAAGAAGAACATGAACAAGAAATTAGAGATCTCAATGAAAATCATAAAAAAGAAATCACTAAACTTGTAAAAGACCTTGCATTGGCTGAGGAAAAGAAGAATAAATTTGATGAAGATAATAAAAAAGCTAAGGAAAATATAACTCGTTTAGATAAAAAAATTGAAGATTAGGATAATGAAATTTAATATTAAAAAAGTAGACTTACTGATGCCAGTAATCAAATAGAAGCTTTGAAGAAAGACATTATAAGCTTAGAAGATTTAGTGAAGAAGAAAGAGAAGAAAATACATGAATATAAATATAAAATTAATGATCTTTAAAAATCTAAGCATGTTCTATCTTTCCGTACAACAGAAATGAGAAAGTCTCTTGAACCAAAGGAAGAATAAATTGAGAAATAAAAAGAGTAGTTATGCAAGCTAGAAAGCGAGTTTGAAGGTCTCCTTAAGGTATCTGAAGCTAGAAATGATAAAATGAAAAAGATGCAAAGTTAGATTGAAAATCTTAACAAGAATCTTAAACTTCAAACAGAATTAACTAAGTAGAAGGAGAATATACTGAACAAAATAATTATGGAAATACATGATAGTGTTACCTACAAGCAAGTAAAAATATTTCTATTTTAATTCATCATTAAACTAATTCCAAACCAAATAGGATCCTAAAGAGCTGGCTCAAGAAATGCAAAAATTATATCAAACATATGTATTGAAGACAGAACACAAACAGAAGTAATATGATAACAAGGGTGTATAAGAAATGGGTAGACAAATTTAGCATTTAAATAAAACAATACAGTAGATTAGTGAATCTTCTAATAAACTTCTTGATAGACGTTACTAAGATATATTTAATAAAACTAAAGAAAATGCTGAGCTTATTTATGACTTAAATGACATGAGAAAATAAAATAAAGAGTTCTAAAGTTAGATTCTAAACTTAAGGATGAAAGAAGATAAATACATCAAGGAAATTGCTAATCTAAAGACAGAGATTTAAAAGTTAAAATTAGGGGGACCTGGAGGAAGTAGCAAAAAAAATAATAATATGATGTAATTGCCACCTGCCTAATAAATGCAATAACAGCAATATGACGAATAACGTTAAAATGTTAATTCAGTATAATAGACTCAAAGAAACAATTTCTTCTCACAATCATAGGGATAAGTTCAATCTAATTAACGTCCTCAAAGCATGAAAATAGGATAAAAAGGTACAATTTGCAGAGGAAAGAATTTCGATACTAAAACACTCGCTATATTTGACAAGGCTAAAATGATGGACATGACAGCTGAAATGGAATTAAATACTTAAAAACTGTTGCAACAAGAAGTGCTTATTAAGTCTATCCGTAGAAAGATACATAAGCATGTAATAGACAGAGCATGTAATGATATTGCTTTTGAAGAGGAGCTCATGGCTTTATAAGCTTAAGAACAGGGTGGTTTTATACCACTTTAACAATAAGATATTGATACAAGTGATGATAATATATATCAAGCAGAATAAAGATAATATTCAAGAAAGTGATTTTCTTTAATAAATAAAAGTATAATTAATCAAAGAAAATACTAATTAATACTAAATAAAATGTTTATTAAACTCATAAATTAAATAAAAATTAGTAATTATATTTTTAAAATATTTTGTTTGCATAATAAAAATTAATTAATTTTGTAAAAAAAATAATTTGTGTTGTCTGTCTTTTAAAGGAATTTATTTCTTTCAATTTTTTTTATAAGGCAAATATTGTTTTATATTTTTTTATAATTTACTTTTTTTTTTTAATTCAAAATTATTTTATAAATTACACTTGGATATTAAAAAAACTTGAATTTTTTTAAGATTAAAGTTATTTTTTTAAAAATAATGTGAGTCAGATTTTCTTTAATTGAAATAATTAAATTAATTTTTTAAAAACAGCTTTTAAATTTAAACATAAAATCTAATCAAGATTAATTAATGAGATTCCTATGCATATAAATACTTTTTGGACTGGTGTTAATTTGTGGATCCGCCTTCTAAAATCAAGATATTTGTAGCAAAGAAAACATGCAAATAATAAATGATTGTAACTAGTTATGTTGTAATTAATTTTAACTCTGCTCTGAGAATTAAAAGGAATGTTAATAATATTCATAAGATCATTGTATGAGTAAAGGATGTTTCTCATGCTCTATAAAATATTTAGATACAAGCACTGAGTAAAATTAAAATAAATAACATGCAAATGAAAATAGTTACTAATAAAGTAAGCAAGTTCATTAATGCTTGAAAGTAAATGAGAATCCTTTTTATCAAGAAATTATGTTGTGCTATTTATTATTTGGACTAACAATATTTTGCATCATATATAATTACATTATTAATAAACTAAGAAAGAGTTAATAAAAAAAAATTTAATAAATTTGAGTTATTAGAATTTGCTTAAAAATAAAATAGGTCGAAAATAAAATAATAATCTAAAAAAGATTGGTTTGTAATATATTTTTTCTAAAAAATGTTTTCAAAATGAATAAAGGTTAAGCGAAGTTAATTAAGTCATATTACTATATTACTGAATGTTTTATCATTATTTTTAATATTTAAATAAACAAGATAGCTGATGGTTATATAACAAAAGAAAAGAAATGTATTTGATACTTTAAGTTAAATATGCTTTTTTTAAAATGAAATTTTAATTAAAAGTGACAGAATAAATACAAAAATAGGTTAAAGATTTAATAAACATTTAAATATTTTATTTTATATTATTTATTTTTATTTTCTTATTTTTATAATTTTCAATTAAGAATATAATTATCTCTCAGTATTTTTTTATTCATTTGAAAGACTTAAAAATTTCTTCAATTTGATTTATAAATTCTGTTTTTTGCTCATCAAATTCTACTTTTTCAAATTATAGTTATGTACTATAATATACTTCTAAGAATTCTTAAATGATGGGTGACTGTTCGAAATCATCTTAAGGTCTAATTTGCATAAGAACTTAATCTACTTTTTTTAGCAACTTGTTATTGATTTTTGAATCTGAATCGTTTTTCTCTTAATGGAAAGTTATTTAGATTTACTTTTAAAAGCCCATTTTTTGTAATTGGCCTGCTGAAAACTTAATATTTCTGTATAAATTGAAAAACATAAAAACAACTCCAGCTAATTTAGAAGTATCACCTACTAGAGTTTCATGAGTGTCTCTATTAACACTTCTATCAATACAATTCAATAAGTAAGTAACTGAGAATGGGTAATCACTATTTCCTGTTGAGTGAGTTTGCAAAACTTTAGGAGTGAGAGCAATTATTTTATAGTTAACATTTTTAGGCATTGTTTCTTGAATGAATGGGATAGTGCTTTAAATAGCAGAAGGAGGATGATTTTTATCAAATATAACAATATGATTTTATGCTTCTTCATACTAAATTTAATCAATTAAATCTACTGCAGCACTTTAAAATCTTGATGTTGCTTTTTTTGATGATTTTTAAAATAATTCATCTTAAGTATAGTTTTGATTAGGATTTCCTTGCTAAATTTCATCCATTATCTATTTTCTAATAATATCGCTTGATTGGTAATGAATTTTTATATCTTTGTTCTCTTTTTCGAAATATTATATAATTTCATTAAAGAAAGTTGTTTTTCCAGTAGCAGGTATTGTGATAGGAACAATAATCAAAACATTCTTTTTTGTGGAATTCTATTTAGTATCAGTTGTCTTTTTAGCTTGTTTTTACTTTTTTTAACTATCCTTTTCTTTATTCTATTAATCGTCACTTTCTTCCTTCTTTTCTTCTTCATCTTCCTAATTTTCTTCCTCTTGGCTATCATTCTTTTGCAAATCATCGCTAACTTCAAACTTTTTGAGCTTGGCATTCATCATTTCATCTACTTTCTTTTAATATGCTTATGTAATAATCTACAAAAGCTTTTGGTTTGATTCTTCTTCATTAACAATACTTAGGTTATCGTCAGAATATTAATAGATATCATCAAGGAATAAAGAATTATTAGGAAGGAAGGTCTTTGAGTTCTATTTTATCTCCTTTAATTTTTAAGCATTTGTTGAGAATATATTTTTCAATGAATTTGCTTTAGTATAAGATAACTCTTCTTAACTTTCAGCTTTTATTTTAAGGACTTCAATTTAGTTTTTAAGGTAAACCATACGTTTTTCATTAAAACCAATGAAAACAAATATATTAAACTTATTCAATCTTTGTGCTGTGATTCTTGGAGGAATATGAATATTATCTACAGCAATTAAATCTACATTTGAGTGGCCTTCCCTCCATGAATTTCCTATTTTAGTAATATGTAAAGCCTCACATATATCCTTCTAAAACTTTTCAGTTAGGTAAAAAGGTGGTGATACAATAATAATTCTTGTGTTATTTAGAACACTACCGATATTCTTTTCACCCTCCTACATTGGAACAGACTCAAAGTATTCTTTCAAAAACTTCAAATTTATTTCAACCTTTTCATCAATAGATTTTTTAATCATATCTAAGAATGTTATGTATCTCGATGCAACCATGTTTCTATGCTTAGCACTTAAAGAAGATTCAATAAAGTCAAAAGCTGTTTTTGCTATAGTGTTATAATAGTCTAATTCGTGAGCTGGTTCACAGAATTCACAAAGCTCAAGAACTTCTTTTTCAAACTTTTTAAACCACTTTGATCCACTACCCTTCTTATCAACTAGGCAATTTTTGAGCTTTTCTCTTAATTTTCTAAATATTCTATAGTCTAGTGTCTTTAACTTGCACAAACTAATAACTTGCTATTCTTAAGTCTATCTATTTTCGCTAATGAAATAAAGTACAGCACCTTCACCATCTTATTCTATTGGTGAAGATCCAACTTCTTTGTATAACTTAAATACAATATCATTAAATTCTTTCCATGAATGAGCTGTTAACTTAGAAACCTATACTTTTGTAAGTCCAAACTTCTCAAAAATTTGGTATGCTATGTCAGTGGGAATACAAGTTTCACGACTATTATTTTCAACCACTGCATAAAAATGTAAGTCAATTTTATCATATTTGACGAGGTGCTAATAATCTTAATTACCACAATATTCACCAACAAAAGTTCTACCATCTAAATATTCTTTTAATTCTATTAATAATTGAGGGTTTTATTCCTCTAATCTTCTAACGAACTCAATCCAAACCTAAGAAATCAATCTGGTAAAACCGTATCTTTATTCATCAGGGATCTATACATTTTTGTTGCTCTAAATAAGCATGCTGACATTCTTAGAGGAAACAACCCAAGCATCGAATTTTTTAATATAACTAATCTATTTATTAACATAAAAATTTAATTAAATAATCTTATCTTTCCAAATTTAATATTTTTCGTTTTATTATAATAGCTTATAAAAAATTATAAAAACAAAGAAATAAATACTTGTGCATTTTCTCCGTTTGCTTTTCCAAGTTTATAAATATGCACATCAAATGCTTCTTTTCTAGAGAAGACTTCTTGAACTGGATCAATTGTTAAAGCTTTGAGCTTGCCAAAATGCTTGTTTTTATTGACCCAAGTTGAAACCTTTTCTACTTCATCTAAATCTAGATACTCTAAGTATACGTCAAAAAACTTTTTAAGACCCTTTCTGGCAATATATCTTTCTTCAACTTACTTGTCCTTATTCAAAACTTCTAAAACAGTATTACCTCTTCTAACATTTTTGTGCAAGAAATGGCTTTCTGCAAATATCTTATCTTCATCATCTCCCTTAGTTTTGATTGAAATATCTTTCAAAACAAGTAGATTATTAAAAGGTACATCGCTCGAGACTATTTTAATAGTATACTTTTCTTTCGAGCAGTATGAAATCAACTAGTCTGGATTTAAATATTATTTATCCACAACAATATCTTTTTCTTATTCTTTATCCATCAAAATATAATCTAGTAGTTAAAATATTGGCTATTTAATTTTTATTGTATAAATATTGTTTTTTTTTTTGATAATTTAATTTAGTTTATTATAATAAAAGATTCTTCTGATTTGCAAGTTAACTTAAACAATATAATCTAATTAAAAGCATCTACTTGTTTGGTATACCTTCAAAAGAATTATATATATTTTGATCATAATAAATCAAAATTTCATCTTACTCTATAAAATAGAAATTTATGATCAAAAATATTTGCTTATCTATGCTAATAAGATTTAATAGACATATAATTAATTATTTAATAAAATAGAAAATACTTAAAATACTTAGAAAATTTGATCGTAAATTTCATTGTTTGAAATAGATAGATAGAACATGTTATGTCAAATTAAATCAAATTTTCAATTTTTAAAAAGTTGATGAGTGTTTTTATTTATTCATTCATTCACTAAAACAACTATTCGTCGATTTAGTTGGATTAAATATATAAAATAATTTAAATCTTTATAATTTTATAATAAATATGTAGTTTTTTAAATTGTTTAATTGCTGTATATTGTGATATACAATTAAAAATTTATTATTTTTAATATATTAATATAGCAATTATTCGTTAATTTTGGTTAAAACTACTCTTTACTATTTTATAATTTTAAAATAAAATTTTTTTTAGTTTGATTGAACTATTTAATCGTTTTAAAATGCTAATTTACAATGTTTGAAATATAAAATATCAAGTATATATAAATACTATAAAAAAAAAATTAAACTATTGTTTTTTAAATGAGATAATTAATAATTATATTGAATAGACTGAGATTAATACATCAAATTTCTTCTTTGGTAAGTGTTGCAATATCATCAACAACATTATCTACCTAATCTCTAAATACTAAAGTATTGTTAGCATTATTAAGTAATCCATACTCTTTTACTCTTTCTTCAATCTTTTCAAGCACGCTTGCATCTTCGATAGTAGGGGGAATCTTATCGATTTTTTATCCATCTACTATTTTTTTAAGAGTATGTCTAAGTGTTTTACCACTTCTAGTTTTAGGTAACTTTTCAACAATAATGCAATGATGGAAAGAAGCAACTGGTCCTAATTATTTAAAAAAAAAAAATTATTGCCTAGAGCAATTGAAATAACTATTTACCAATATCTTTTCTTATGATTTCGATGCATTCTTTTTCAAGTTTCTTTTATTCTGGATTTCTGCCTTACTTAATCACAACAAATCCAATAGGAATTTCACCTTTGAAATCATCTACTTTTGAAACAACTGCAGCTTCAACTACATCATCATGGCCTAAGAGTGATTCTTCCATAGCAGCTGTAGATAATCTATGACCAGCAGTATTGATGATATCATCTAAACGAGTCATGACATTCAAGTAGCCATCAGAGTCAAAGTAACCGCAATCACCTGATTGGTAGTATCCAGGAGCATCGGCAAGATATTTTTTAATAAAGGCTTCATCGTTATTGTAGAGTGTTAACATAAATGAAGGTGGCATAGGTAGTTTAATACAAATTCTACCTAATTTTCCAGGTTCTTCAATAACATGATTGTCTTAATCTAGAATTTCAACCTTGAAACCAGGTGCAGGCTTAACTGCTGAGCCAGGTTTTACAGGGAAGGTATATAGATTCTAATTTTTTTTTGTATAGTTAATTATAATAAATATTTAAGTTAAAATTACCTTATAATTGCAAGAAATGATCCACCCTATTTCTGTTTGCCAATAGTTATCATTAATAAGAACGCCTAAATTTTTTTAAATCCACTCATAAGTAGGGACATCACATCTTTCACCAGCCATAGAAACATTCTACAAAGATGATGTATCGAATTTTCTAATCCAGTCACCGTTTAAATCATCTCTATTATTCGTAAATATTTAGAAATATATTTTTTTAAAAGTTATTAGGGTTAAAATATTCAAATAATTACCTTCTAATAGCTCTGAGTGCTGTGGGAGCTGTGTAGAGACCTTTGACTTTATATTTTTCAATCAATCTCCAGAAGCATCCAGGGTCAGGAGTACCAGTAGGCTTTCCTTCATAAAGGACAGTAGTAGCACCTATAAAAAAAAATAATTTAAACTATATATCATTTAAATTTAAAATTTATTTTATTATTTTAGATAAAATTTTTTTTCTTCAAATTTTTGTTAATTTCTTAATTTAACTTAATTGATGTTAAAATATTTTTCAGTTGTGATTTTGCTTAATCCTCTCTGATTAAAATTTCAACAAATGAAAAAATAAATTTTGAATTAGACTCTTTTTAATTTATTTATAGATATTTTTCAGACTTTTTAATCAGTGTAGTTTATATAAGTAATCTTTTAATTTAAGTTTAAAACGTAAAAATTCTATCATGTATATATTCAATTATTATGAATAAATCCACATAATTTATTAAAAAAATTCTTTGTTACCTCTTAGTAGCGGACCATAGACAATGAAATGATGACCAACAACCCAACCAATATCACTTCCAGAAAAGTAAACATCTCCTTTGTGAATATCCATGATATGTTTCATAGTCCAAGAAGTAGCAACACATGTACCACCTGTGTCTCTAACTATTCCTTTAGGTTGTCCAGTTGTACCTGATGTATAAAGGATATAGAGAGGATGATCTGCAGTAACTGAAACACAATCTATAGGCTTAGCAAATTGCATAGCAGTATGATAATCATAATCTCTGCCAATAGTTAAAAGATTAGTAGTTTAATGAGCTCTTTGCAAAAGAAGAACTTTTAGATCATTATGTCCTGATAGATGAATAGCCTCATCCAGAATAGTTTTATAATTAATTGTTTTATGAGGTTCAATACCACAAGAGGCACTCAATATTAACTTTGGCTTAGCATCAGTTATTCTTCCAGAAAGCTCTTTTGCTGCAAAACCACCAAATACAACAGAATGAATAGCACCAATACGTGCAGAAGCTAGCATACCAAATACAGCTTCTGGAACCATAGGCATATAAATTATAACTCTATCACCTTTAGTTACTCCTAACTTAGTATAAACATCAGCAAGTTTAGAAACTTATTCATGAAGATCTGCCCAAGTATAAGTTAACTCTTGTTTCAAGTATGCAGAGTACCAGTGAAGTGCTGGCTTTTTAGGCATTTCAATAACATGGCGATCAATAGCGTTATAGCATATATTTATCTCTCCGTCTTTGTACCAGCGCCAAAAACCTGGATTCTAATGAGATTTATCAAGTATAACAGATGGTTTCTTGAACCACTCTACAAGGTCTAATTACTCTTTCCAAAACTCTTCTCTTGTGTCTGGATTAGTTGCTCTATCGTAAGCTTCCTAATATGCGTTTTTTGTGTTTTCACAATCCATTTTTAAACTAAATCAATCAATCAATAGTATCTTATCTTAATAAATTTTGCTGACTTTACGAATATAATAAAATCGCTTCTTATTTTATATAGACAATATCAGGTTATCAATCTATATATTAATTTCTTAGGAAAGTAAATAGAAATTTAAATACAATCTATGATACACTTAACAATATAATTATTTGTAATACATAAATAATTTCATTTATTTTCTTTGAATTTTTATTTACTTGCTTACATGTTAAGAATCATATCTTTAATAAAAATCCGCTTAAAAATAAAGATATGATGATTTTGAATTGATCTAGAAAAATATCTAAAATTGTTTGTGTGTATTACTTTCTATGTGTTTATTATTTATTGATTGATAAAGGTAGGTGTGTTATTTTTCAAAGTATGTCTTTGTAATAGTAATCTTATCTATATTAGTAACATTATTATTACATTAAAAAGTTTATATAAAATAATATTTTTTGAATAATTTTATTCATTTAAAAAATAAAATTAAAATTATTTTAAATTAAAATTTTGACTTTTTAACAATATCAACTCAAATCAACATCTGTCTTTAAAAAATAAATTAACTTCTTTTTTTATAAAAATTTCAATATTTTTTTTATATTACTATAAATTCTCTAGTATTAGCACCTACCCCAGATTAAAGACTAAAAATAGGATTTATTTTAAAAATTGTATAATTAGATAAATTTTATAATTTGAATTAGATTTAATTTAAATATTTACCACAGTGAGTATTTGAGAGATTTATTAAACAATTTATCAATTATTAAATTGAAATTTAAAGATAGATAATTAGTAGTAAAATAATTAAATCTTAAATAAACAATAAAAATGTAATTATAGCTAAAAATTAAATTCATTTTTGAATTTGCTATTTAAATCAAGATATCTAATAAGTTTAATCATCACAAAACTTTAAATATTATTTTTGATTAATGTAAAAGATAATACTATCAAATCTTTCCTGATTCATAATTAATTAATTATTCAATTTATATTATAAATATATTTAGTTTATTAAATTTACTTGTTTGCTTGCTAGCTAAAGGTTTAATTGATAGAATTTATTTATTTCACATAATGTTTCATGTAAATTTTATATTTTAGACGTTTAAATTGATGAAAATATTTTTAAAGATGACATTTTTGATTGATTTTATTTCATTTTTATGATAGGTAGGATTTAGTTAGAGTTGATAAAAAACTGTATCTTATATACACTTGATTTTTAATTATCAGATGAAAAATGAATCGAATTATAAGAATTTACATTATAAAAAAATATTATATTTGAGACAAATAAAAAATAAGGATATTATATATTAAGCTATTTATTTCCTTAATAATATATTGATTTATGTATGTATGTTTGTCTTAAACTCATCCTTCATTGCATTCATTTTTCAAAAAAGATATTGCTATAGAAAAGCCTAACTTTTACACTCTTGCTTGATTAAATCACTTTTATTTCATTTTGCTGAAATCACCCTTAACGACTTCAGGGATTTCAATCTTGACGGTTAAAATTCTGTCGATAAGCATATTAATAACAGCATCTTTATTTCTATTATAATCGTCAGCAATCTTTTTGATTTCTTATTCAGTTTCTTTTCTAAGCTTTTCGGTTTCAGTGTCGTTTCCGTATTTCTTTATTTTACAAATTAAATATGTTTAGATATATGAAATAGGACGCAGCTTAAGGTAATTTATATTTTAATTAGATTTATTAAATTTCCAAACTGTTAAAATTTTTGCCATATTAAAATATCATAAAATAATTATTCTTGTTTATTTATTTTTTTTATTTGTAGAAATGGCATTTTGCTAAGAAAGAATGATCGGATTATAATCCATCAAATGGTCAAATTAGTGAATTATGAATATATAAATAATGTACAGTCTTCTTTTCTTCTTCGAATTTAGCTTCTTATTCAGCTCTGAACTTGTTAACTTCTTATTCAGCAGCAGTTCTAGCTTCCTTAAGCTTCTTTTCTCTATTTATTTTTAAAAAATAAACTTAATAAGTTGCTTGATATAAATGATAAAGTTTTCTGCCATCTATTTTTTACTGATAATTCAAATATTTATAAAAACAAATGGCCAAGGCCAACAAAGAGCTTATTTATTTATTTTATCGTTTTTATGACTTAATACCTTTGGGTTTAGGCTTATTTAATGATTTCATTGGCATCCTTTTCAGCTCTCATGAGATCATCAACGGCGTTAGAATTGCTCATCTTTAGATATTTTTTATTGCTTTTTCTTTAAGAGTTGCTATAAAGTAATTTATATTATAATTTGTGATTTTATTTATCTTTTATGATTTATTTTACTTTCCTTTTTATTTAATATTTTTATTTTCTTTAGACCTCAATAATCAACCCAACCAACATAACATAATACAATTCAATACTTTAAAAGAATTTAATTACAATTCATTGGATTCCAATCTATTTCTAAAGAACTTATCAAACTCTTTTATTAATCCAACTTTTTTATTCAGATCTTCATAAATTTATTATATTTTATTTATCATTTATTTATCTAATTAGATTTTTCTCCTAATAGAGCTATAGTTTGCTGCATTCTTCTCAAAATAAGAAATATCCTAAGAATTTTTGATAATTAATTTCTTAAACAAAAGTGTTTATATCTCCAAAATATGTCACATAAAATTTTATTTTGTATGAGTTTTTATATTTAAAATATTTAATTTAAGAAATATTCCATTTTTTACATTTAAATATTTTTCTAGCCAACAAAGATAAAATCTTTGATGGAAAATAAACAATTTAATTTATTTAATTATTTTTATTATTTAACATTTATTATTTTTAACTAAAATAAAATATTTTAGATTTTTCTAAAATAATTTTCAAGATACAAAAACTTAAGAGAAAAATATTTTAGTTATGATCAATTTTTAATTTAGAGTGGTCTTTAGAAATTTTTCTGCTGTATACCATTAATTAAGACAATTAATTAAATAAATCCTTACTATAAAATATATAATTGATGAACAGTTAAAATATAAATATTAATTATTGTTTGTGTTTTTAAATGATAAATAAATTAATTATTAATGAAATTTTTAATTAAAAAGTTTAGCAAGCAACGCAATGAAGAACATTCATCATTGCATAAGTTTCATTCCAGAAACTTTAGTTTGAGGTCTTACTAAATGGTTGGAAGCATCATTCTGAGTCTAAGGCTGCATTTGCAATTATGTTTTGCTTCCTCCTTCAACCTTGTTTAAAAATAATTAAATTAAAAATATCAAGTCAATTGTTTATTAAGGTTTTAATTTACTTTTCCTTCATTTGAGAAAATAACATTTTATTGCTATCTATCTTCGTTATATACAACAGGTTTTATTTTTTGAAGAATTTCTTAGTTTCTATTAAAAATAACTGTATTAAAAAGTGGTACAGAGTCTTTAGTGTATTATTCTTATGTGGGAGCCTTCTTCAGATAACCCTAGGTATCATTAATAATTTTAAATTAATTCAAAATTTTTTTGAATAAAATTTACTCTAAATAAAAGCTTGTCGTCCAAGAAAATTTCTATTTCTCTTACTCCACGAGAAGGTGTTTTGGAATAATTCCAAAAATTAATTGCAGAAATAATTACAGGTTTTTCAAAGAACAAATATATCGTATTCATTTTTAAATGAGGGCATATTACATTTTTGTCACTTCTTGAGTTTATAAAAGGAGCAAGCCACATATTTCTATCATCAAAGGTATCGTTTTAGCAATTTACTAATTTATCTATTGTTCTTATATCTCCTTAACAGCCTGGAAGTATATTAACCTAAAATTATTTTATAACAAAATGAATTAATGAATGTTTGATAAAAAAACTTTTATTTATTTATTTTTTTCACAAAATAAATAAAAAATTTCATTATTAAAATATAAAATTACAGATGCTGGTTCAGCTCCAAGCTTAAATTCGGCAAGTCTTTTTTAGATGATTGGATTACCAAATGAATCATAAAACTCTATTCCATTTAGGCCACAGTAGTGAGCATCTCCCCAAGTAGAGTGAATATTAAAACGAAAACAGAAACCTCTTGGTAAATAAAGAGTATCGTATTCCTTTTTATATTTACAAGTTTAATGTTGTTATTTAAAAATTAATTTTACTTAAATGATTTAGCTGTTGACTTAGGTAGGTAGTTGTAGACTCTATATTACTTCTTAAGTCCATCCACTTTCAAAAGGCAAAGCAATCATCTATCCATAATCAAACAAATCTCTTCCTGGTGCTTTTCTTAAAAGAATACCTTGCTAAGGCGTAATTTAGATATTTTCATCTGCTACTATAGAAATAATTTTTGCACCTCTATACTAATCTACAGATTTGCAGTCATTATAGCTTTGTTATTTGTTATAATTCCATATTTTTATTCCAGAAATGATTTTCTCTTCCATAAAATCAATTTATAAATAATTTTAAGGCTACTCTAAGAGTTATACAAGCCACATATGCTTTTCATTTGTGGTTAAATTTACACCGTCAATTAACTTATCCAAAGTCCTTTGATCACCATGGTATCCTGATATCTCATTCAAGTCCTTTGGTCTAGCTTTTAATTAGCTCTCCTTCAAAGGTATTTTTTAGCCATATTCATCTTTAAAATGAAATTTAAATGATAATTATTATCTTTGCTTGCTTAATTTTAATGTAATAATTTACCATATACTTCTATACCAGTCAAGCCGACATAAAATTTATCTTCCCATGATTTATGAATGAAAATTTTTATTTTTTGGCATTTAATCTTTTTATTAATTTAAATAAATTAGCTTTTATGATAAATTTCAATTAATTACTCCTCTTTTTAAAGATTTCTATGTCCCTTAATTCATTTGATACTCTATAATTTAATTTGCTTTTGTATTTAGTTTCTTATTCAAATCATCACCTTTTTATCTGAATTTAATCATACATTATAAAAAATAATTAATTTATTTTGGTTAAATGCAATCAATAAATAAATAACTTACTGATTTGTAATTTAATTTATCCCAGTCTTTGCTGATGTTATAGGACGCCCATCTTTGCCTGTTTAAGAACGAGGTTAAGAAGATAAACTTGTTTATGAGTTAGTATTGTAATTGTTTCCTGTAGTTGGTCTTTGAAGAGATTAAGTTTACATCATTTTATCAATAACATTTTATTCTTCTTCTATTTCAGTAAGCTAATATCTGTTAAGCCAATCATTGTTTTCTATCTACTATATGATAGACTCATTATCAGTAAACATAATATACTCACAGTCTTGAGGAGCATAGTATTATATACCTTATGCTCTTTATATTGATCCAGCAAATATGGGAACATCGTCAAGTAAAATTTTAATATCTCTAGCTCCTCTAAATGAATGAATACGTGATTTGTTATAGTTCCATATTCTTATCATAGATAGTTTTTGAACTGATAAAAAGTCTATATATAAGTAATTTATCTTCCCTTACTAGTAAGGGGCTAGCCACATATGCAAATCATCGCAAGTGAGGTAAACACCATCTACTAGCTTATCGCATGTACGTGGGTCTTCTCCATATTCTGGTAAAATATTAATATCACTAGGATCTGCTTTTACTTATTTCTTTGGATTGCTTATCTGAATTAAATTTCCTTTGCTATCGAAAAATTCTATTCCAGTCAACCCAACATAGTAATTATCACCCCATGTTGTATAAATTTCAATTTTTATACTTTTACCCTCAGGCAACATAGGAATTTAAAATTGCTATGTGTTTATTTATAAATTTTACTACTCAATTTACCTGTTTTCTTTTTGTACAGATTTTAATATATCTCCCATGAAAGGACTATTTTTACTTTCTAAAAGCTTATTCATTTCCCTTTCAAATTGACGAGTGTCATCTAAATTTGCTGAAATATCTTAGTTTTAAGTCTAGAGAGGTGCTTCAATTTACTTATTTTCTTAAAAGATGTTTGGTTTTTCCACTTGAGGGCTTTTTGGAGCAAATATTTTCTACTATTTTTGATAATCTTTTTCATCACCTATTTGAAAATAATAAATTTATTTTCTCATTATTAAATTTTTAAATTACTTTGGTTTTCTTCCCTCAGAATTTGATCTAAAAGAGAATCTTCATCTTGCAAAATAGGTTTAGATAATTTATTTTATTAAGATTGTCTTTCTTAATTGTTTCTTTAGATGCTTGCAGTTAGCTATTATTATAACTTTGAGCTCTATTTCATGAAAACATCGATTTTACTATAATCTCCACTGTCATCTTCTGATTTAAATTAAATATCATCCTCGATTCCCTTTTTGCCTAAATTTTATTAAAAGAATGGATTCAAACTCTAGAGCGTCTACTTAACAGCTTGTTAAACATCTTGTGCTTAATTTTAAAGTATTCTTTCCCTCTCAGCAGGCTAAAATCTACCTTGATGGGTTGCATTAAAAAATTTCACATTCTCCATAAAATCATCCACTTTGCCACTGCTGCTTTCATCGCTTGATTTTTTCTTTGGGTCTTTTAATTCATGATCTGTTTAATTTTAGTCAAGCTTTTTAAAAATTTAAATATCACTTTTTTCTTCGTTCAAATCAATTCTATCTTCTTTGAATTCAATTCTATTTGTTCTCTTTTATATAGGGCTTTCATTGTGATAAGGGTCTTTTAGAGAGCTTTAGGAGCTTATTTATTAACCTTTTTGCTTTTCCTCAAATACATTTAAAACCTTTGGACCTTTTTTAGTGATTTTACTTGTAGAAGCAGGGTCTACACTAGGTTCTGTAGATGTTTAATTAATTGAATTCAGCAAAGCATTTGAAGGAGTTGTCTTACCAGAACCTGTTTAAGATTTAGGAGTTTTATTATCATCAAGTTTAAGTTTATTCTTTGAAGTTTCGAAACTAGATGCTCCTATTAATTTAGATTATCCTGAAAGGCTTGTATTGCTACTGGTTACTGCAGTTTCATTTTTTGTTCTTGCAATTATAGAGCCAGATTTTTATACCTGATTCTTAGATTGCAGTGCTTTAGATAATGTATCTACTTCTGTGTCTTTAACAACACTCTTTTTTTAGGTTTTATCTTATTAAATTTACTGCTATGAATCAAGCTCATCGTTATCTTTAGATTACGAATTGGGCTATGGTTTTTGCTGAGCAGATCTGATTCTAGATGATGCTTAGGGAGTTGTACTTGAGGATTGTGAATTAAGATTACTTCCTCTATGTCTTCCTTGTTTGCTTACATCAGCATCGTCTTACAAAGGAGTAATTGTTTTCTTCTGAGGTAATTTGCTAAGTGATTCAGTCACAGGAGGTTTTTCTTCTTATTTACTACTTTTTATATCTTTAGGTATATTAGCACTAAGTTTTGTAGGAACCACGCCCTGCTATTAGCTTACTCGAAAAACTTTTTTTTCATCATCTAAAACAATATCTTCTTTAAATTTTATCAAGTCCCCATAATTTTCAGATTCTTTTCCAATTCCTTTTTTGATTTAGCCAACCCAGATTAAATTATTATTTCTCGTAATCTCAATTTCCTTAATACCTTTAACACTATCTATCAAACTTTTATTGTAATTCCAGACTCTAAGTGCACCTATGCCTTTACTGCTCTTGAATTTAATTCCTATTTCCATGCATTTAGGAGGGTCAGGCATAGTACCCAGCCACATATGTTCAGAATCAATTGTATCATAAACGCCATCACATATTCTATAAATATTTCTTGAACTAGTTTAAAGACCTCCTTCTATCATTAAATCCTCTGGCTTTATCTTTATATTGCAACCCTCTTCGTCATAAACCTTAATAAAATATTTTATTTCTTTAATTTAGATTTAAAATTTTTTAAATTACTTTTATTTCAGTTAAACCTACCAAATGAGCAGATCCCCAAGTAGATATTACTCTTATGATAATAAAAACTTCTCCCTTTTATTCTTTAATATCTTTTAGTTAAATTTATTAAATTTTATCCCTATTTTTAGATAAATTGTAAGTTTTATTATCTTAAGATTATTTTGATTCCTATTTCTTTAATGACCTTTCGCTATTTAATTCCTCATTAGGTTTTTTTTGATCACTTAACTGAATTATCTACTCCTTTTAATTCTTTAATTAGAGAGTATCTTTAAGCTTATTTTTGTTTAATTTATTGTAAAAATTCTAATTAATAGGTACATCATCTAAATCATCTTCATCAAAGTACTCATCTTCGCTTAAATTAGGTTCTTTAATCTTGATTTCTGATTTTTGCTATTTTCCAATATCGTTTTAATTTGTTTTATAGCTATAATCTTATTCATTCTATTAATAACGGCTATTATCGTCTTGATTTTAATATGATACTTAGTTTTTCTATTTTTAAGCTCTTACTGAGTTTTAAGTCTCTTCAAGTTTTTCAATAACTTTCTAAGGCTTTAACTTTACTTGCTAATTACTTTATTGATCTGTGAATGAAACTTTTTAAATTTATTTATTAGAATCATCATTGCCTAAATTAAGCGTCTTTTCTAATTCTTATGTATTTTGAAGGAGTCCTTTGGCAAGTGAAATGCTAAATTGATCTCTAGAAAATTTAATAGTTTCTGGCTTAGCTTCTTCCTCACCAAATAAATCCCTCTTAACACTTATATCGTCTTGATAATTTTTAAATTTATTTTATACTGGTTTTTATTAAGGAGGCTTTTCCTTTTAATCAGTTGATGATTAATAATTTTAAGACTAAACTCTGCCATGCTAACTTTGATCCTTAACGGATTAGCTCTTGTTTGTGTTGATAGATTAGTTAGAATTATTATTTTACATAAACAACAGACTTTTGATTGCACTTACATCTAATTCACCATTACCTATTTTATCAATCAAAGTTACTAACTCCTGTCTTGTACCTTAGTTCATTTTTGAAAGCTTCATAACAATATCTTCTAAATCTTTATCTCTATCTTAATTTTTAACTGTCTAAGCTTCTTTTTTTCTTTACTATACATAAATATTTTTACATTTTTTTTGCTTATTAATAAAATAAAATAGTAAGTTACTTGCTAATATACTATGTTTGTGTAGACTGGCTCATTTTAATCTTAAAAATCTTCTGTTTATTTTTTATTTTGATTTTAAAAATTTTCAGATAATCTCCTACCATCTGATTTCATACTAAATGGATTACTATTTAATTATTTTGTTTCTTCATTGTAAACTATTTCTCTCTAATTTGCCTTTTCATCTGACTGATTTCTTGAATCTCTAGTAACAAAATTACGATGAGATTCATAATTTTTTAAATTTTGATTTGGTTAAGAATTATATGTATTACTACTTGCTTATATTGCTGATATTGGTCTAGCTTTTTGACTTATTTACTTTTTATTATTTTAGTATTATGTGTGATATGATCTTTCATTAAAATTAGGTTAATATAATTCGCTTTAGTTTTCTCCTGTATTTTCTTCAATTTCTTCTTCAATATTATCATATCCTTCTTCTTTATATTTATCTAAATCTTCATATTCTTACTCATCATCTTAGCTATATTAATATTGCTTTAAAATTTCATCTTCTTCTACCATCATAGCTTTATTAGGTGAAGAGTGTTAATCTCCTTTTTTTTAATTTTTGTTATTTTGCACCACTAAACTTTATCTTAACATCTCTAATTCTGCTTTATCCATTGTTTAAAGATAATTCATTATTTACTCCCCATCGTTTTTATCAAACTACTATTAATGCTTTACCTTTTTAAATAATTATAAATTTCTATCCAATAATTTACAAATAAAACAAAATTTTAGGTCATAATACAAAATGAACATATTTTTTCATAAGCTAAAAATGTTTCTTAATTACTTTTGCCTCTTTCATGTATTCCTCTTTAGATGGAGGTATTTTATTCCATTTTTATCTTTGAGCATCGCCCTATTAATCATATTATAACTTTATTAAATTATTCTTCATGAATTATTTTTTCTACCTTAATTTACTACTATTGCTATTGTTGCTGTTAATTTTGCTTACTAGCTGCCTAATCCTATAAATCTTGCCATTTTTTTCTGTCTTTGCTTAAAGCCCTTTGGTCATTTTTTTCTATTTATTTTTTTTGCTATAACCTTTATTGATTAGCTCCTTAAAGAAAAGTTTCAAACCCTAATATATTAAAAATATCATTTATTTCACAAAATATATTAGATTCATCAATATTCAGTCTAAATTTATCAATATACCTCTCTCCTAATTGTATTATTCTTAAGCAGCTTGCCTTTTCTGGTTAGATCCTGAACGGAGAGACATTTTATGAGTCTGATTGATATTTTTATTCTTTTCTACTTAATTTATAATCTTATTAATACAAATTTTATAAATTGTAAATTTTAGAAATCAAAAAAACATATGTGATGATAATTAATTAAGTAAATTATTATGTAAATAGAAATATTCAATAATCAAATAGAGTCTATCTAGTATGTAATGAGCATCAATCAACTAAGATTTGAATCTTAAAAATATAAAAAAATTAAATAATCTCAAATTCTTATTTCAAGTTATCAAAAATAATTTAAAAAAAAAGACTCATATATTATAAGTATTTATGAATTATAATCTAATAAGCTATGCAAATTTTAAAGAATTTAATTAAACAGCAATAAATCAAATAATTAAATTATTTTATTTTCTTGTATTGAAGATTTTTTAAATTTAAATATTTATTTTTTCTTAAATTTAACTCTTTTTTTTTTTAAATTAATTTGTTTTAATTAAATAATTAATTGCTTATTAAAACTAATTTCAAATATTTTTTCAATCAAAATTAAAACAAATAATTTAAAAAATATGTTTGTTAATTTAAAATCTAATTTATAACAGGTGTACTGATTTTATGCTTAGAGCGTAAAACTCTTCTCTAAAATTTCTTGAATATGTATTGATTGAACTTATTAACACTTAAAATATTCAGAAATCGTTTTATTTATTTTTTTCTTCTTCTCCTCAAATGTTTTATTTAGTATTTAAACTTAAAATATTATATTATTTTTTACCCTTCATTATTTATTCATTTTAAAAGCATAAAAATAAATAAAATAATTAAAATATTTTTAAATGGAAAAGTAACTTTTGAAGTTAAAAAATGTTTAAATGTTTATGTTAAAGTTATAATTAATTCTTTAAATTTATAAAAAATGTAAGTTTTATTTGTTGAGAAATTAGATAATTAAATTTTTCAAACTAGGAAGCTTTTTGATTCTTTTTATAAATTAATTTTCTTACTTATATTTGATTAAAAATTAATTGCTCTTATTGACATTGTCTAACTTTATTTTGTATCTCAAATATTTTTGATAAAATTTTTTTAAAATTTTAGAAATAATTAAGTATTTATCTAACACCAAATATAAATTGATTTTAGTAGATTTTTAATATCTTTTTAACTTAAGCTTATTTTATTTGATAATAAATAAATATATAAACAAATTTAATTAATGATAAATAAGTATTATAATTATATTGAATAAATATTAAATATGTTTACTCCTTAATAAAATTTAATAAAAATATGATTGATTTAATCACATTTTATTATTTGAATTGTTAATTAATTAGTTTGCTTTTTATAATTTAAATAAATTATTTTGTAGCAGTTTTTATTTTTTATATCATTTTTAATTTCATAATTAGTTTTGAATTTGTTAATTTTTGCAGCAATCAAGTATTAGTTTTAATTATTCTTGCTTTAATGGCTTGGTTATATGGTAATTTGCACCTATATTTATACTATCTTATCTATCACATTCTTCTCCAAACGCTGTTACTACTGCTATGAAAGATGGGTATTCCATACCGCAGCTTTTTTCTAGGTTTCTTATTGTTGTAATTGCTTAGTATCCATCCATTATTGGCATATTTATATCCATAAAAATAGTATCGTAAGGGCTTTTTAAATTAAAATTTTCTTTTCTTCCTAATGAACTCATTTTTTTGTATCTTTCACAAATTTAGCTGTTCATTTCACTTGAACAATTGATATCATTTACAATATTATCAGATAAATAAGAATTTTCAAACTCACTTACATCACATTTATTATGAAGCTCAGATTCTTAAAATACAATTTATTAGAAGGGATGTTTCTTTCTTTACTCTTATAATCTTTTTTTATAAATATTGATAGCCTGCAGGCCGTTATAGGCAACATCAATTATACACTTTCCTTAAAGTATTTTTTGAATGTAATTCTGTAAAGCTATTATATTAAAACTAGTATCATCTACTATCATAATCTTTAAAGTAGTGTTTTGCTAAGTTTTATCAATAAATTTAGTATTAAACATTGGTACAAGATGATAGTTTGAATTTAAGGAAGCTGATTTTTCTGTTGAAATTTATACAGAAGAAATGATTGAGCTTTAATTATTTTATTCATTATTTGTGTTTAAAATTTATTTAGATACTGGATTTTCATAATTTAATAACATTTTAAATGTAATTGTTGTACCTAGATTTTACTCAGAATTAACACTTAAGCTATCTTCTTTAGTTATCAATCTAATTAATCTTTTGCTTACATCTAACCCAAGTCCGATTCCTATTAAATTAGATTCAATTTAATATTAAAAAAAGAAAAATTTCAAAAATATTAATTTAAAAAAATCACAATGAAAATTAAAAAAATTACCATGTCTCATATTTTTCTTTTCTGGCTACCTTGTTTCAAATTAAAAATTCTATGATTTGTCTTGTAAATTAATCTTAAGACTTTGAGGCATGCCGATACCTGTATCAACTACAGATATTTATAACTCATTTGGGCTTTAAACCTCAGTCTATAATTTAATATAACCTTAAAAAGTAAATTTAAGGGCATTTCCAACTAGATTTATTAAAATTTACTGAAATCGCTATTTATCGTTATGACTAATAAGTACAGGAAATTTTGTGCCTGGTGGCTATAAAATTAAATTTATATCATTAAAAAAGATATTTATTCCTTTTTTGCAAGCTGATTATTTATATAAAGATAAACAAAACAGTATCGACTCATTTATATCAAAGCTATCTATATTAACTTTAACATCTGATGAGTCTTCTACCGCATGCACTAATTTAGAGTAATCCAATAAATCATTTATTCGAGATTCTAGTAAATGACCTTGCACCAATGCATTTTTTATAGACTCTTTAAGCTCTTTCTTTTAAGTTTTGTTACCCTCAAGAGAACTTCCTAAAATAAGTTAAATTCCATTAAGTGGAGTCTTCAGATCATGAGTAATTGTATTCATGACTGAGTTTTTGTATGACATCATTTCTTATTTTCTTTCTGCCATGACTTGCTCAGAGACATCAGTGATTACTCCAATTATTGAATCCTTTCCGTTCCATGCAGCTTCAATTAGTCTTATATCATAGTATTGTATTTTTCTTTCTTTTTATTTATTACTTCCATTTTAAATAGAATTGATATAAGTAATGTACTTGCAATTCAGATACTAATGCTGCTTTAAATGAGGATTCTGATTTATTTGATTATCATATGTATTGGTCATATCTAGTTGATAATTATTACTATTATTTGCATGATGTATATTTTGTATTTAAAAAGTGTTGTTATTTGATTTACTGCTAATGCTATCAGCTTATAAATTTATTTTCATAGAATTTTATTAAACTGGCAGCTAAAGCTTTTACTTAGGATTTCTCAGTTATTCTATAATCTTAAATAAGTTTTTACTGTAAGTTTCTAAATCTTAAATATTTTTTCTGTAATTAAATGTTCTCAGGGAAATATCCTAACGGTATAAAGAATTTTATGAATTTGGACTTCTTTTAAATAGAGGACTCACAATCAATTAATTTTAATTTGATGGAGTTTCAATTTTGATATCCTTCAAGTTTATATGATGCTTTTATGTATATCGCTTTTTAACTAAAATTTTCCTCAATTTCTGTTAAAATTCTTCTTTTGATTATATATCGAAAGTCTTTAAGCAAGTTTTATTGATAAACTCTATGTTCATTTTACTTTACATTATAACTTAATCTAAATTGATATTTTATGGTATTATATTTGTTTAGCTTATTGGCTGAGTTGTAGTATTAGAATTTTAATTAATTTGAGAGGATTCTTTATTTACAACAAATACAGAGACTGGAACAATTTAATCAAGCATAAGCTTCCAACTTTCCAGTTCTTTTTTCTTCATCTACTTTCTATAATACATTTTTTTAGCCCTTTTCTCCTCAAAATAAAAGCTTGCTACTGCTATAAAAAATATTACTTGAATTTAGATGCAGTTGTTATAATAATTTATAATAAATTATCCAATGAATATGAATTGAGTAGAACTAGCAAGGATTGCTGTTCTATAGTACCATTCAGGAACACAGCTTAGAGCAACAATTACATGTGTCATTAAAATAATTCCTTTATTGTACACTACCCATAAATGTTCATAAATAAGATCTATATCCTTTATGTTATCATTTTATGATAAGTCTATAATTGTTATTGTGATGCATATTATCGTAATTATTAAACTAAAATATCTTAAAATGAATCTTTCAAATACAAAAAGGCAAATGCTGGCTACGATAAGAATACTACTAATTTGGATACTTTTGATTATATTCTAATCAATTAAAATATTATCTATAAAAAACCCTAACCCTATAAGGAAGAGACCACCTTTAAGGACTTTCCGATTTATTATTAGTTACCGTTCTTAATTTTTTTAGTAATGACTCTAAATGTTTTTATCAAAGAATCTAAGAGTGAAGACATTCATTACCTCATTTACCTCAAAATTCTTCTTAATTTTCTTATTACTTACATCCGCCATTTAAAGTAAAATGAATTTATAAATCCTGCCTATCTTGATCTGTATAATTATAGGTTGTATTAGATAGATAGAAAGACAAAGTATGCCTGTCTGCTTGCTTACTTACTTACTAATTATAAATTATATAAATTTTAATATTAATTATCAATCTGTTTAAGATATATTTTAGATTCAGTTATTCACTTCTTTTACAAATCAAAAGAACAAACAGCTGATTTGTATATATATATATATATATAATATAAAGTTAATTAATTATAATATAAAATACATTTGGTTTATATTTAACTAAAAAAAAATTCAAGATAACTCACCTATCTCTGTTTAAAAAAGATTACATCGAGAGTCTATATTTTTAGTTTTAATTATTTAATTACAGACTACTTATGATTATAATTAGTGTGTAATTAATGTAATTAACCTATTTCCATTTAACACTTGCATTATTTGTCTTGATAAATAATTAATTACTTTTACATCCAAAATAATTTTTTAAAGAATTCAAAAAATTCTTTATTAAGATAAATCAATGCAAATGGTGTAAAAATAATTTAAATATGATTCAGTTTTTTATAAATTGACTAAATTATTAGTTTACTTGGTTAAAATTACACTAAAATATTATTATCAGTAAGTAGTTATTTTTACCTTATCAAGATAATTTCTCTTTCTATTTTAAAAGAATAAAAAGAATGCAACAAATTTATAAAATTTTAAATAAAAACAAAAAAAACATAAATTTACCAATTTTATTTATTTTTTGTAAAATGTTGATAAACAGTTTAAGAAAAAATATTTTTTGAACGAATTTTAAATAAAATTATTTGCAGTAGATAAATAAATTTAAACAAATTTAAATGATATTGAATTTTTTAATATTGTTAAATTTTTAACAAGCAGTTTTTTCTAAAAGTTTAATTCAGAATTATGACTGACTACCTCTAATAAATAAAGATCAGATAATTTTATAAAATGTCAATTTATTTTTAGAAAAAAATATATTTTATGAATGATTTTAATATTGTTGTATAGCAAATCAAAATAAAATTTCATTTTAATAAAACAAAAATATTATATACAACTTTATTTATGTATTTTCCTTTTTTATATTTTTAAATATGGTTAATTATTGCAATTAATTTTATTCATTTCTTTTTAGGTTCCTATATTAACCAGAGACCATCACCAATTACGTGCTTTGTAACAATAGCTTCTCCCATAGCGGCTTCTTTAATTCCTTAGGCATTCAAGATAGCGACTCCAACACCCATAGCATGTTCTTTTCCATCGGCATATATAGCAACAACCTTACCATACTCAACACCTTCCTCAACATTAGAACCAGGAGTTTATAAACCTTTTGCCATAACATTAGATCCATTCAAAATAAATTTAACAGCACCAGAATCAGTTTAACATTTTAAAAGCATATCTGGATAAGTGTGTAATAATCTTAAAGTAGGGAAGAGTTCATCATCTTCTTTATCGTTCTTAAAGAAAATGGGGAACTTATCAACCCAAAACAATTCCCATTTATGTTCAGGAGTGTGGAATTTAGTGCTGCTAATTTGAGCCTTTTTGGGCATAAAATCTTCTAAAACACCTTCAATTTTAGGGAATTTTTCTAATATTTTTTCCCTGAGCTTTTTTTAAGCTGATTTATTTAAGGGAACTAAATTGCTAACTTCTTCTACTTTCTTGAACATTTCTTCTATTATTTATTTATGTTTGTTTGCTTGTCTAAAATCCAATATATATAATATAAGAATCAATCTATTTAATATATTTTTTGGTGATTTTCTCTAAAAACTCTTCTTATTGTCAAATTTTTAGGTATAAATCTTCTAAAATATATCTTGCTCATTTTGTCTAAAAGTATGTTTTCAATTATTATATTTATTTCTATTATAAATTTAAATTATCTGAATAAATAAAATATATTCAAAAATTAACTTTTTTAAACTAATTTATTTTAAATATTTATCTTTTAATTTTTATTTTTTTCTTTAAATTTATAAATATAAATTTAAGCTTTTCCTTGCTAATTACAAATTTTTTGCTTTGGATTTATTTTTAATTTGAAGTGTATAACGAAAGAAGAAAAAAATATCTAAATAAATAAAATATATTAAAAAGTTAATTTGTTCAAAAATGATTTATTTTATGTATTTTAAATTTTTATTTTTATTTTTTTCTTTAAATTATTTTTATATTTTTTTGTGTTTTTTTAAAAATTTAAAACTTTAATTTTATTTTAAGGTTTTAAATAAAGGAAAAAGCACTTAAATAAAATATATTAAACAGTTAATTTGGTGAGAATATTTTATTTTATGCATTTTAAATTGCTTCAACTACTTTTTGTTTAATAATTTTTTTTCAAGTTTTTTGCATTAATTTTTTTTGTTTTGATGCTTTATGATTTAATTTTATTTGAAGGTTTTATTGAAAGAAATAATTATTTAATGATTTTAATTAAAAAATATTTTTAAATAAAATTTCATTTAAATTAACTTTTTTAATTAGTAGTAAAATAAATTTAGTAGTAGTTAAGAGAATGAAAAATTTTGAAATTTTGAATCTTTTTAAATATTAAAATTTAAAAGAAAGCAATTAAGTACACAATCATAGGATTTATATCAAATAATTATGTTTAGATCAAACAATTATTTAATTAATTTTGTGAGACACGTTGTTTAATTATTAATCTTTTAATAATTGTCTTGTTTCTTCTAGTTATTTATTAATTGATTTGACAAGTAAATTTAATTTCATTAACTAAGTTTTTCTTTGATCCTAAAATAATTGATTGATAGTGATTAACTAGTAACTAGAATTTAAAGAGAAATTCAGAAGTAAAAATATGCGAACAGTATCAAATATATCTTCTACAGCATTTATTAAAATTTAATACTTTAATATTACCTTATTATTTATTTTCTTACAGTTCTATTAATGGTTTTTACTATTTTTTACCTGCTTTATAAAATTCAAAAATACTTGAGATGTAAGAATCTCCTTGAGTTACTTTTTGAAATTAATCACTAAAAGACTTATTTGCTTTTAATATGAAAGATAAATTCTACAATATATACATCGAATAAACTTAAATACGAGATTTCAAGAACCAAATTTTAATAAAATAAGCTTTTTTAGTAAAAAACTAGTGTTATTCATTAAAAAAAGCAACTCCAATTGTTAAAAAAAAGATAAAAAATCTATTTGTTAATTTTACATATCTTTTTAATATATCTAATTATTTTCAGTAAGTAAGTGAGGTAAAATGCATCATTATATTCAAATTATATTCAAACATGAAAACACAAAAAAATATTGAGAAATAAAAATTTATTTATTTCAGAGGTACTCTTTTTTCAATTAAAAGTCTTACAATTGTCCATAGGAATAACTGTAACTCTTCAATAAGGAAGAGAGGATTTAATTTTATTTTTATTTATTTGTTTATTAATTTAAAAATATTTAAAATCTACTTATCTTAAAATTAAAATTGGTTTACTAAATTGTTTTATGTCTGGCTTAACATTTTTTAACTGAATATAAATCATTTAAGAAATTAACTTTTATTAAAATTGAATATCGGAATATCATAAATATGTAGTCATAAATTGAGGATAAAAACAAAGTTACAAGTATTGTTTAGCTAATTTAAAAATTTTAGCTTTTAATTGGAAATATCTTTGCCAAACATGCGAATAATTGCACTCTATATTAGTCTGCGCTAAAAGAAATAATTAAATTTTAATAAAAGTCTTTAGTGAACACATATAAAAGATTTATAAGTTAAAATTAAATTCTGATCGTCACTATTGTATAAAAAATTATCTTTCTAAGACTTATACCTATTAATCAATTCTCTCTGTAGTTTGAGTTATTTTAACGTTAAATCAGATATCTTATGTTAATTTTTTGATATTTACTTTTTTGGGTATATAAACTTGTCAACAACTTGAATAAAATATAACTTTAATAGTTTTCTATTGTTTTTTCAATGATTCATGCTCCTCTAATCAAAAAGAAATCTTAATATGTAATATGTAATGATTGCGTAATTTAATTTGATTAATCGTCTTTAGTACTATTTCCCTAAACTAAGGTAGAGTTGCTTTAAAAACACTAAAATTTGAAAACAAAGATTTAAAAAAATTAAAATTAATTAACTAATTAGAATCCTTGTTCAAAAAAGATAAATAACTAAATAATTATAAACAAAAAAAGATAAATGTGCGGTATCCTCGGTATATTCAACATTGTTGGTAGATATGAACACGTTAGAAAGCTTGCCACTACCCTTTCTCGTAGACTTAGACACAGAGGTCCTGATGCCTGTGGTGTCTACATCTATGTAATTATTTTTTTTATTCTACTTAACTTTCATTTAATTTATGCGTTTTGTGAATTAACTGAGCTTAAATATTAAGAAAAATACATACAAAGCATAATAAAAATCAATTAATTTCCAAGATAACTTCTCCTATCATTCATTATAAATAAACTTTTCACTTCTATAATAATAAAATATTTATTTACCTATATCATAATTAACTGACTAACTTTCTAAATTTAAATAGGAAGTAGAACCTGGTGTTTGGAACATTATTTGCCACGAACGTCTCTCCATTTGTGACTTGAGTGACAATGGTAAATAGCCCTTCTTATTACAAAAGTAAGACTTAAAGCCTGTTGCTTTTGCTGCCAATGGTGAAATTTATAACTATCAAGAAATCAGAAAGAAATACGAAAACAAGTACCCTCTCCAAGGAACCAGTGATTGTGAAATTATTGGTGCTCTTTACTCTGAATTCGGTGGTAAAGAAATGTGGAACCATCTTGAAGGTATGTTTGGTGTTATCATCTACGATCCTAACACTAACGAATTCTTTGCCTCAAGAGACCACGTTGGTGTTATTCCTCTTTACTGGGGTGTTGGTAAACACGGTGAAGTCTACGTTACTTCTGAATTGAAGGCTATTGATGACTAATGCGTAGAATTATCCATTTTATTACCAGGTAATTAATCCGAACTAACATTCTTTGTTTATAATTGTCCCCAAAAATAATTCCTTTTTGGAATATGGACTGAGTAATAAGAAATAATCATTAGAACAAGTTGATACAAAAGAAAAAGTAGTTTTCGAAAATAGATTTTAGCAATCTAATTTGTCATTTGTACAAATTTTAAATAAAGAAAAGCTAATATTAAAAGGAATAAAAAGAGTAGAAAAGAAATTTTAGATATATTTAATGTCTAAATGAAAGAGTGAGATGCATGTATGAATGAATGAATGAATAAATGATTGTATTATATTAAAAGAAATAGATAGATAGTAAATTGGTGAGATTATTTATAAATAAATAAATAATATTAATAGAAGAATAAAAAAGCAAAATTTGAAAAAATAGAAAATTAGTTTTTAATTAAAGAGAAAACAAACAAACAAACAAACAATCAAATCATTCAATTAATACTAATCACTAAAAAATACTAAACATAGTATTTTTTTTAATTCAAATTGATTAGCAGATAAATTCTATCTCTCAAGATAAATTAATTAATTCTGTCTTTTTTATTTAATTAATTTAATCTTAAAATTTTATAAAAATTAATCATTCTCATTTTTTACCATAAATTTTGTAAACACACATTTCCTCAAATAATCAAAATATAAATACAAGTAAAGATAATTAAATAAACTCTTATTTCCTTTTGTTTCTTAAGGAAAAACACTCAGAAATTATTAAATTTGTGATTGAAGTCATAATTTAGATTATCTTAAATACTGATTATTTCTAATTAGCTCTGTCAAAGATTTTAAATTTTAACCTGACAATTTAAACATTACAAAGCAAATAATTTTAACTTTTTAAGACTTACTTTTATTAAAATTAATTTATAAAAATCAAAAGGTCATTACTTAGATAAGAACAAAACTCCTACATAATGGTACTAACCTTTATGGCACGATGAAGAATATTTCCCTAACAATTAAATCGACTACAAGGAGTTGAGAGAATAATTAACTTAGGCTGTTTATGAATAATTATAAGGTGATGCTCCTTTTGGTTTATTCATTTCTGGAGGTGTTGATAGCAGTATAGTTGCAGCCATCACTGTCCGTTTAGTCTAAGAAGGCAAGATCGATATCAAGAAGAGAGGTATGGATAAAGTCCACAGTTTCTGCATTGGTTTAAAGGGATCACCTGATATTGAATCTTCTCAAAAAGTTGCTGAATACTTAGGAACTGAACATCATGCCTTCATCTACACTCCTGAAGAAGGTATTGATGCTATTCCTGATGTTATCTATCACACTGAAACCTACAACAATACAACTATCCGTGCCTCCACTCCTATGTACATCCTCGCTAGAAAGATTAAAGCTTTGGGTATTAAGTATTGCTTGACTGGTGAAGGTGCTGATGAACTTTTTGGTGGTTACTTATATTTCCACAAAGCCCCAAACGCTGAAGAATTCCACAGAGAATGTGTCAGAAAAGTTAAGGATCTCTACAAATACGATTTACTCCGTGCAAACAAATCTACTATGGCTTGGGGTTTGGAGGTTCGTCCTCCTTTCCTCCACAAATCCTTTGTTGAATATGCTATGTCAATCGATCCCAACGATAAAATGCCTCGTAACTTCCCTAAAAACATTGAAAAGTACATTCTTAGAGCTGCTTTCGATGATAAGAGCAAGCCCTACTTACCCTCTGAAATTTTATGGAGACAAAAAGAACAATTCTCAGATGGTGTTGGTTATCTTTGGAGAGATTCTATTACCGCTTATTGCGAAACTGTCATCTCTGATAAAGACTTCAGTGACAGAGAAATCATTTATGAAATAAATACTCCTCGTAATAAAGAATAGTTCTGGTATAGATAATGCTTTGAACATCATTTCCCTTCTAAGGAAGCTGCCTTAACTGTCCCATATGCTTTGAGTATTGCTTGCTCAACTGAAAAGGCTCTTGAATGGTGTGAATCATTCAAGAAGAACACTGACGAATCAGGTCGTGCAGTTCTCGGTATCCATCAACAATCTGAATAACTTAAGGGCACCTTTAACGATGGTGAAAGTGCTGCTAAAACTGTTAAAAATTGAAAAGAAACAAGTAAACAAACAAAAACACTAAAATTTTGTAAATGAGAAAGATGACTTAATATATATCTATCTTACTTCTACACAAATTATATCAACCTATGAAAACCACCACTTAATTAATTTAAAATAAATGTGATTTAAGAAAACTAATAATAAATTGATAAATCACTAAATAAACTCAATCAATTCTACATAGTTTGTTAAAATAATTTAAATGTATCTAACATTTCATAATATATTTTAATATATCTTAAATATACATTTTTCTAGTTAGTTTAAAATAGCTTTTTATAAACTCTACTCTTTTAATTCTTATAATAGATTTTTTTTTTAAATTGTGTACATTCAAGTGTGACAAATGTAGTAAAATTTTCTTAAAAAAGTAATAATTAATTTTAAATATCGATTCTATGGCTATGATTGTAAAATAAATTACATTACATTACACTGCAATAAATAATCTTGCTTTTTACTTTCATAAATCGTCATCAACTAAAAAGAAATAAAATCAAATAATAAGTATTTTTTTTTACAATTTCAAAAATACCAGCAATTATTTTTTTAAAATAACTTTAAAATTTTACTTTTTAATTGGCAAAGAGATAATTGAAACAAAAAAATAATTTTAACTGTCCAATTAATTTGAATTGTAAAAAGTTATCACTGGTTGCTATTTTTTTATTCATTAACATTATAAACATTTATAGAACTATATTTTGAGTATTTATAAATAAAAATATAAAAATTAAAACTAATTGCTAGCTATTTTCTAAATAAAGCACACTAAATTTTTAATCTTAAAATATTTTTATTTTTTTATAATAAAAATGGAATAAAATAATTTAATAAAATAAAAATAAAAGAAAAAAAAATTGAACACACAATTTTAAATAATTTTTATGAATCTCTCTCTCAATATATCTATTTCATTCTAGGAAAATTTCTATATTATTTTTCACAAAAAGGAAGTATTGGATATTTATTTTGAAAGATCTATATAATATTATTAATTTAATATAAAGACTTTGTGATTTATTGAATCTGTCAAAAATTTTTTTAAGTCGCATTCTTCTAGTTGTACTGAGAGTTGTTAATTAAATTAAATAAAATAAAAGGATGGTGTTTTGGCTATTTAATTATTAATAATTATGTTTTTACTTTAAATATTTTTATATGATGCTTAAGAGATGTTAGTTACTTAGGTTTCATGTGTACTCTTTTTTACATTTAACTTGTTTGTTTGGAGTTTTGATATTACTCTACAAATAAATTAGATTCAAAAAGTTTTAAATAAAAAACAATCAAACTACTGAAAAATTATTATAAATATTGAAAAATACTACTATCAACAGACTTTTCAAAAAAATCATTAAAAGTAGTATCGCATAAAGCTAATCTAATTCCCTTCATCTTATTAAATTTTAAAGGTTTACCATAGAATGATACAATAAAAGGAAATAACTATTAAATAAGATGAGCCTGGTGATTAATAAAAAGAGTAAATGATTTTTTAAAAGGAATTAGATGCTGCATAAAATAAGCAATCTGAAAATCAAGACTTATAGATACCTTAAATTCAACCATTTAAAAACATTTCATAGATTAGTGTTAACAAATAAGAGAGCACTTTAAAAAAGTAAAAGGTAAAAAGTAATAAATGGGTTTTAAAAAACCGCAGCTAAGGACAGAATAAGCAGAATAATATGTCCAACTTTAATTCTTCAATTTAAAAATCTATGATTAAAAGTGTTTAGATTGAAGACCAAGAAAATCAAATTAAGGCAAACTCCAGGAAAGCAAGTCTAGGACTAGAAGCAATACAGATAGATGTGAATAGAGGTTATCAAATGAAATCACTTGATAACTCTCTCTAAGTGAATACTCAAAAAATTAATATTTAAAATTAAAAGCCAGAGAACGGCAGCAAGTAAGATTTTATTTTGGAGAACTAATAATAAAATAATGACTAAGAGAATAGAAATTCAGGTCCTAATACCAAGAAATAAGGCAAAACAGAAAATATACAAAAAAAATATGCCGTTATAGAGAAAGGGATTGAATGCAGTCCAGAAATAGAGACTGATGAATAAATGCTAAATAAACTTTTAGAAGAAAATAAATATCGCCCCACAAAAGAGTGGAAAGAATAGTTTGAAAAGGATATGTCAGAGTTGCTTTTAGGAAGCGAAGTTTAAGACAAGAGAGCAGTAGGCAGTCTTTTAGGTATTACTGTATTTGGTATTGTAGGATTTGTAGCTTCTGGGCTAAATCCTATAGGTCTTGTTGCAGGTGCTGTTGCAGGCGGAGTTATTGGATAGTACGCTGGAAGAAAAATCAAAAAGAAACTACTACGTACCAAAAAGCTTCTTTAATTTGATTTATTCACACTTAAGCTTAATTGCTATATTAAATTTGGGTAAGAGCTTATAAAGCCTTGTAAATTAGATATAAACACATATCGCTTTTACATTGAAAAGGTGGTAGAAGAAATGAAAGTTGCCATCCAATATCGTCGCTTCAGATAGAAATTTCACAAGGACATTAAAAAAATTTTAGAAAAATTCTTAAAGCTCTTAAAGAAAGACTTTTGTTTTAAAGCTATATTGCTTAGCTATAAACTGACTAAAGAGATAATTAAAAGAAAAAAATATCAATCAAATAATTAACCTGAATTTACATTAGCAGAAGAGGAATAAATAGTAGATTGTGTAATGAATGTTTTAATTCCATGCCTTAACATCTTAAGTGACAACTAAGAAAATCTTACACCAATTCTGAAGACATTTTAATTTAAACTTGAAAAACTTTCAAAAGACTATGTGATTCTCAGTCTTATAGAAAAAGGAAATCATGTTACTTCAAATAAAAACAAAACATTTAAATAAATAGAAGAATTGGATTAATAATTAGATTAAGAAATTAATATTGAAGCATTTGAAAGAATATTTAACCCTGAGCATATTAAGCAATTCATTATCAAAGGGGAAAGTGGTGTTCATAATCAACAAAGCCACGGTAAAAACGATAATAACATCTAGAAGCTTGCTGAGAGTGGAAATAAACATAAAAATGTTATTAACTCATAATAAAAAAAGCCTAAGTTATCTCAAGGAAAGGATGCTGATTTATATTAGGAGTAGTCAAGTTTAAACTCAAATTATTAAAATAACAACGATTTAAATAGAAATGCTGAAGATGAGCAGCGTTCTGCAACTTCAAATTAAACTGAGAAGAAATAGCAACGTATCATAGATTTGTATATTTAAGCAATTGAACAAAGAAATAAAAACTAAGTATCTCAAAAGAAGGATGATGAAAACGACATAGGAGATGATGAAAGTGGAATGTAATAAAACATGATGTTTGGTGATGATGTAAACAAAAAAAGAGTCAATACCAATAATAACCCAAGTTAATATCCTGCATTCTCTAAATAGCATCTCAGTAAGATTGCATAAAAAGAAAATATAATTCTCTCGCCTGGTACCGGATTTTCTAACTAGCAAGATGAGCTTTAAGAAATGGATCTTATTAATTAAAAATAAAACAGCATGCTCTAAGATGTAAAGTTACTTTAATAAAACAGCTACACTTCTACTATTAATTAAGACACCTCATAGATAAAAAGAAAAATATCAAACATATAAATTTAATTTAACTAACTTCCTAAGAAATAGCTTGATGTAGATTAAGAAAGCATAAAATCAAACAAGCAGGATGAAAACGTTGCTAAAAAAACTAATAATTAAATGTAAGATATTGAATCGTAAAATAACCAAGCTTTAAACAGAGATAATATTGAACTTAACAGTAATGAAGATTCTCGTTAAAGCAATTACAAAGAAAATTAATAAAATTTAAAAAGTGGAAACAATTTCAATATTCATTTTAATAAGGAATAATCTCGTTCATTTGCTAGGAATGATAATAGAACATTTTTAAAAATGAATTCCGATGAAAGCATATTTTCTAAGAATAATCCGTCTCCAAAGTATGATAAGTAAATACAGCTATAAGGAGATCATGATCAGCCTATGAAAGATTCGATTGTTGGAGATTAGGTCATAGAGCTTCCATAAAAAATGAGTGTATAAAGGGGAAGTATTTTTAAGTAGGCTAATAATTAAAACAATAATAATCCTTCAATTTAATAAAAGGGATAACCAAATTTTAGATAGAGTATAGTTTTATCAAGAGATGATAATTTTAAAGAAGAAGTGGTAGTTGTTAATATTCCTGAAATCTAAAAAGAAGAAAAAATGTCTCAATCAACTTCGAAAGAAGAAAAAAATAAACTTGACCCTTAAACATAAGAAAAGTTTGATCGTTTAATATCATTAGTTTAAGAAGACCCTGAAAAAACATGGGAATGCGTAATCAAAAAAGATGATATTATGTTTATTTATAAGAAAATGATTCCAGGAAATCCTTGTGTCCTTGTTCGTGCAGAAAGCTTGATTAAAGATTGCAATGCCGAAGAGGTGTTTGTTTAGATATATAATGCAGAGTTAAGGAGTTAGTGGGATAAAGTTACTCAAGGATTCACTGTTATTGACAAATTATAAGATGGAGTTGATATTATTTACTTCTTTGTAGATCCTGGTTTAGGTGTAACAAAAAGAGATTTCTGTTAAACAAGAGTACTCAAAAAAGATTACCCTCAGAAAGGCTAAACAACTATAGTTTTTTATAGTATTTAACACCCAAGCTGTCCAGAACGTAAAGGATATATTCGTGCGTTTTCACATATAGCTGGATATGTTATTCGTCCTCAAGGAAAAGACACATCTTTAACAATTATGACACAAAGTGATGTAAAAGGTATTGTCCCTAAATATGTTGTCAATTATATGGCTGCTAGAGCTCCTCCTAAATGGATAGAAAGCATGAAAAAAGGATGTATAGATTACAGAAACAGTTTATTAGGAATTACTAAAAAAAAGAAATGAGAAGTTAAATGAATTAAATTATTTTAATTTATATAAAAAAATATTAATTTATTATGCTCATATTTCAAATGTTAATTATCCTTTTTACTTATGCTCTTTCATTAATTTTTTATTCAATTAATTATATTTATTAGGATTTTCTTTTATGACTTTAAATGTTTAAGCAAATAAAAAATTCAAAAACAATTTACTTAAAAATAAATTCAAACATTTTTTATTTTTATTTTCTTTTTATTACAATAATATAAATTTAATGTCTTTTAAATCATAAATCTTTTTATTTTAAAATATTTATTAGTAAAATATGATATTATCCTCTAAATTACCAAACAAATGAATATTTTTTTTAAATTAACTAAAATCATTAGCAATAGCTATGAGAATGAAAAAAATTGATATCCATTTATCTTTAATTAACATTTTTTAGTGTTAATTTTTATTTAAATTATATTCAAGAACAAATTAGCTTTAGCAGCTTTCTCTCTAGTTTTTTAAACAAAATAAGAAAAGAGTGTTAGATGTCTCCCGCATATATTTTGTAATCAATTATCTAATTAATCGATATAATATTAGAAAAGTCAATTTTTTTGATTACTCAATCGTTTATTTGTTTAAAATAATAAATTTTTAAATTACATAAAACCTAGATTTTAGGGCTAGCTAATAGTTTTTACTTAAAAATACTTTGAGCTTAATTTAATTCTTTAACAAAATCTTTTGTTTTTTCCATAAAAACATAAAAGATTTGTTAAAATTAAAAGATATTTATTAGTTCATTGAACTCAAATTTTAGATAAAAACAGTATTATAAGGATGAAATCTAATTTATAAAGTTTAAACTAATTTATTTTATAAACGCAAAATAGGTTTTCCATATTAAAAATTGACTGAAAATCTGTAATAAATATCTTATGAGAACAAAAGAAAAATACTTTAATAAAAGAAAAAGCTTAACATATTTCTTAATTTAATCTATAAACTTTCTAGAAAATTTACAGAAAAAATATTTAAAAGTAATAAGCTTATTTATTCTTGCATAGGAATAGTTAAATTCTACATACTTTAAGCATCCATTTTCTACTCTTAAATAGAATGATATTATTTCTTACTGTATCCTGCTACTGTATAATTATTTTAAATAATTTTTTTTTTAAGTATTGAAATACAATTTCCATATTTTTAGGTTAGAAAATATAAAACTAAAAATTTAGATTTAATTCCTTCTGGATTTATAAAAACAATTGTCTGTCATTCTCAGATAGACAAATTGATTTTTTCGATTTATTGATTTGATATTTGTATAAAAGAAATAACTATTTTATCCTATGATTTGATACTACTAAATCTTGCTGTAAGAAACATAGAAAAGTTTTCATACAATTTTAAAGATTTTAAGCATAATGAAATGATTCTATGATTATTATGAATTGAAAATAATAACAACATCTACTACCGCCAGATATCTTTATAATGTGAAAAAGATATCCAAATTTAATAAAAAATATTACGGTGAGCTCTTAATTACTTATTTAATTATCAAAAAATCTTATTTAAAACTAACACTATCTGGAACAATTTTAGTTAATAAATTATAAACTCATAGATTTACAATTTTCATAATTAAAGGAAAACATAAAAAAATAATAAAACATTTAGTCATGGCTGATTATTCTTAATTCACTAACTACCCTGAATCTGCTTACTTATATAAAAAGAACAAAGGTTTTGCTACCAAGGCTATTCATGCTGGATAAGACCCTGATTAAGTTCACGGTTCTGTCAATGTCCCTATACATTTGAGCACAACCTTCGCATAAAAGGCCCCTACTGATTTTTATTCCTAATACGAATATGCTAGAGGTGGTACTCCCACTAGACACGCCTTTGAAGAATGCATCGCAGCTTGTGAAAATGGTGAATACGCTATTGCCTTCTCTTCTGGTTGCGCTGCCATGACTTGCGTCCTCCATTCTCTTCCTAAGGAATCCCACATTATTGTTTCTGATGATGTTTATGGTGGTACCAACAGATACATGAGAAGATTTGCAGTTGAAAAGTTCAATTTCAATGTTGAATTTGTTGATTTAACTGATACTGAAGCCTTCAAGAATGCCTTCAAGGAAAACACTGCTTTAGTCTGGATTGAAACTCCCACAAATCCCCTTATTAAGCTTGTTGATATCGAAGCTCTCGTCAACATTACCCGTGAAAAGAAGAAAGATGTAAAAAATTAATTCTTAAAAAAATTAAAAACTTTCAAATTTAAGAGACAAACTTGACGTAATAGCATGTATATTAGATATTTAAGAAGAAAAATCCCAAAAAATGATAATACAAAAATGAATTTTGAATAAAGATAAAAATATAATAGCAATAATTAAAATAATTATGATTTATACAATCAAATTATTTTTAACAAAAGTTTAAAATAAAAATAAAATATAAATAATGATATAATCTTAGTTAATTAGCTAGTAAGTAAGTATCATATTTTTGTATTTTATTAAAATATGAAATGGATTATACAAAGTATGTTTGTCATAAAGATTTACTTTTTTTAATAAAAAACATATTAAATAAACATTTAAAAAAATTATTTTTAATTATTTATTAGACTTGGGTTTTGGTAGATAACACTTTTGCCAGTCCCTACTTGTAAAATCCTATGGACTTAGGTGTTGATATTACCCTTCACTCTGTTTCTAAGTACATCGGTGGCCACTCTGATGTTATCATGGGTGCTTTAGTTTTTAACGGAAAGGAAATGAAGGATAAGCTCTTCTACTCTTCAATTTCATTCGGTGGTTGTCCTTCTACTTTTGACTGCTATTTAGCTGTTAGAGGTCTTAAGACACTCGAATCTAGAATGAAAATTCACTGCAGAAACGCCTACTCTGTTGCTAAATGGCTCGAATAACACCCTTTAATTGAAAAGGTCATCTTCCCTGGTCTTGAATCTCACCCTCAACACGAACTTGCTAAGAAATAACAAAGAGGTTTTGGTGGTATGATTTCCTTCTTACTTAAGGGAGGAAAAGCTGAAGCCTTCAAGTTCTTGTCATCTTGCAAGCTTGCTACTCTTGCTGAATCTCTTGGTGGTGTTGAAAGTAAAAAATTTTAATTTATAATAAATAAAATTTATTTTTATTCAAACATTATATTTAAAAACCAAATAAAAATTTAATTATTTATTTATTATTTTAAATGTCTAAAATTATTTATTAATAATAGCTTTAATTGAACATCCTGCCTCCATGACTCATGCTTCTGTTCCTGCTGAAGTTAGAGCTAAGTTAGGTATTACCGATAACTTTATTAGATTATCTTGTGGTGTTGAAGATGTTGAAGATATTATGGCTGATATTGATCAAGCTCTTGAAAAGGCTTGCAAAAAGGAATAATGAGTGAATTATGCATATTAAAATGATTAATTGTGTTTTATTAAATATGAGTGAAGATTTGCTTATTAATTTTTTTTATTTGTATTTCTTTTTAAAAAATTGAAAAGGAAAATTAATAATTTATTTTTGATCAAAAATCATTAAAAAATATAAAAAACACTGAATATCTTTGTTGAAAAATAAATAAATAAATAAATAAAAAAGGCTGAAATTTTATCTTTAATTTTTTCAATATAAAGTATTCAGTGATTAAAATAAGTTTAAAATTTTTTAAATCAATATTTTTTCAGTAAAAAGAAAAATTATGATAGACATTGACAAAATTTGATAAAAATAGTAATGTAAATATTTTATTTGTAACTTTTCAAGTAGATGCTATTTGAATATCTATTTTAGATGAAAGAAGTGTCTGTAAATTTGCATCTCTTTTTATAAACTTGCTATTCAGATTTTCTTTTAAAGAAAGAGTCTACATTTTAGTTTGCAGAATAAATCTTCCTTCTATTTCTTTAGAGTGTAGTAAAATCAAATGTAAACAAATCAAGCAAATATAGATAAAAAATAAAAAAGATTTTGATTAAAACCTAAATATAATTGATTGAATTTTTTTTTTTTAATAAATGATACTCATGATTATTCTTATTTTAAACGTTGTTATGATAATTTCTCAAAATTGTTGTTTATTAATGAATCTTCACTTAAAATTTATTTTATATTCTTATCTGTTATAAAAAATTTTAGTGGTATATTTTTAAATTCAAAATGATTACAATCCAGAGAGAAAGTATTTTTGTTTCAACTTCTAAAATAATTAGAATCAAAATATATTAAAAAGATCAATTTTATAAATTATCTATTACATGTTTATTTAAAATTGAATGAATTTATTTATTATAATTTAGAATTTTTTTTGTTAAAACATATCTAAGAAATAAAATTTTATTGACTTTTGAATATTTATTTGCTTGTTCCTTTGTTTATAATAGTTATGAAAATTTGTTTAAAAGTTTTTTTGAAAATATTAAAAAATTTAGATAAAAGTTGTTCTAGTAAAAAAATAAGAATAAAATTGAATAAATTTCAGAAGAGAAAATCTATCGTTTTTATATAAAATATATAGAAAAATTTATAAAAAGACAATCAAAAGTTTCACCAAAGATCAGACTATATCGACAAATAATAAATAAATAAATAATTTAAAAGCAAAATAAAGGAAATTAGTAAGAGTCAATAAAATAAGTTAAAGTAAATTTTAATAGTAATTAAGAAAAGTAGTTCAATCTATAATTTAAAATTGCTCTCACTTTTTTTCCAAAAGGAAAATTAAATAAGTTAGTGATTTAGTGAGTTATTTTTTTTTTTTAATTAATTTGTTAAATGTGAAATAATTTAGTGGATCAATTAAATTCCTTTCTTCAAAATAATATTCAAGAAAAGAAAATAAAATCCGTTAAATCAGACCTCTTTTTCTATCTCTCTGTTATCTTTTAACTTGCTCTTCCTCCAAATAATGAGAAACCATTAATAAACGGTTTCTGATTTAGTATGGAAAGAAGAAGGGTTAAATAGATCTAAAAATCCCCTATAAAATTTAATTAGTTTTAAATATAATATTATTAGATATGTTTTTTGAGTAACATCATTCCAATCATTATTTTTTTTTTAAGAATTTTTTAAAAGTAATGTGCCAAATAAATGAAAGTTAGTTTTATATTAAAGTTGTAAAAGTTTGAATCCACAAACCTTCCATTGAATAGAATTTTTACATCTCTTCAACCCTTCCTTAACCTCCTTCTCCTCCAAGTATGAATGTGTTTATTTGTTTGTTTTCTTATAACACAGAGCATAGGTCAGATAGAGAGAAGGCAGGTCGGTAGGTGGTGGTGGTCATTAATTAATAACAACTATTAATTAAAAGGTGGTAATCTTTGAGATTGATTATTAGTCAATGCTTCCTCATCTGGGAGGGGTTAGGGCCAGATGAGAGATTAGCACGCTAGGGTTATTGTAAATATAAAATTGTATATATTAAGGTAATTAAAAATGATTTTATCAACGAAAACATATAAAAGATAATCACAATATTAGTTAGTTTAAACATATATAGAATATAGTCTCAAGGCTAAAAAGATGGGGGGTTGTTAAAGAGAAGATTATTTGCGACTCAGAAAAATAAGCCATAAGGAGGGGAGGAGAAGAAGCATGCTAAAGGCAGCTGCTCTTTCTATTTTATAAATCAATTTTTCTTACCTCAATTTATAAAATACTTCCTTTTTTCTATGCTCTAAGTAAGGATGGATTATGATGAAAAAAAGGAAGGAGATGAAAGATATAGAAAAAAATAATCTAAAATTCTAAAGTTCTAAAATTCAATGTTAATCAATCAATAATAAAGGAGTAAGTAACTAATAGGGCCAATCATTTAGTAAGCTAATGCAATGAGCCTTCTGCTAGTAAGTAAGTAAAGAAGTATGTATTAAAGTTATTCCTTGGTCATATTTTCTGTCCCTTTTGCACCTATTTAGTTTGAGTAAAATCATCAAGGTTTAAATATAATTAAGATTTGTTGATTTTTAATATATAGATAGATATAGGGGATATAAATGTTTCGCAGCTTTATTCGTTTCTAAGAAAAGAGGTAGATTATAAGCTAGATCGATGCTTTTAGATATAGATAGATATAGGTAGAGATATAAATTGGATTGGTTGGATTGGGTTATATTTGTTGGTTGGTTAAATTTATATATAAATCAAATTAAGATAATTAATAGCATCATCTAGGTAAAGGGTGTAATAGATAGATAGATAGATTGGATGATAATTTATTTGGTTTATCAATGACTTTTATTTCACAATCTAAATTCTTCATCAGCAAGTTCTCTAGATTCAGTAATCAATTCTTAGACGGTTTTAGATTACATGGCAACTTTGCATTTGGAGAGAGCACTGAAAAAGATTTACAAATCTCTCTTTCTCTCACTTAAGAACTTTTCATCGGTATTACCAAACCACTTTTTACCAGGGAATTTGGGTAAATTAAGACTTGAGAAGTCACTAATTTCCTTCTTAAGGCTATGGTACAACTCACGGAGCATTGAGTAACGAGATGTGAAGTTCCAAGATTCTTTGCTGAGAATTTTTTTTCCTCTTCTTTTAGTTTCGACAGCTTCAATTTAATAAACTACGAATTTTTTCTGTCCGCTCTTCTGTTGATAAACTTAATTTGCATTTTCCTAACCACCGTTTTCGTTTGAAGCAGTGCATTCATCTTCACTGCCCTCTTCTTCAGATACGAATTCATGATCCTTGATATTGAAATGAATGGAACTGATAATTTGCTATGATTATTAGCATTGAACGCAGCTTACCTTACTGGGGACGACTGCACTTTGGATGTTAATATTGTTATTATTAGTATTATTATTGTTGTTGTTTTCTTAGACTTTCATAGCATTTTTCAATTAAATTTTTCTTTCAAGGAAACCGAAAATAGTTCTGGGCATAGGCATAGGTGGTACTTCCTCTTATTCTAATTAATTCACTACTGAACTCTTCTTGACTGAAGGTCTGTTGATGTTGCGAGGAAGGGAAATGTCGCTCTAGGGGCTGAGGTGCAAATTAAGTTCATCATCAGTAGAGCAGACAGAACTATATTCAATTTTTTCGGCTTTCTTTAACTCATGTTAAGACTCTGAAGAAGAGTCAGAAATCTCTAAACTGTCCATTATGAACATATGAATTCAACGTTACAATGTGTTGTGTAGCGGATAAATCTAGTCAATTTTCCTACTTTTTTTTAAAATATGGGTTTTAAAAAAAGGTGGCTCTAAGGTCTGAGGGTTATTTTTATGATGTGGTATAAACCGCGATCTTGATTGTTGTTAGAAGCTTAAGCGATGCTTTGCTTTGTTTGTTGTTGTTTTTTGTTTTGAAAAAATTAATTATTTTCTTTTAGCTTTCCTTGCTTTGCTATTTCAATCTCTCTGCCCCCAATTAAAAATTTTCATTAATTCATTTATTCGCTTTCTTTCAATTAAACACTTAGCTAATTTTCCATTCTAGTTTATAGTTTGCTTTTATCAAATAGAAACCAATAAAAAACACAATTTATATATATCTTTCCCCAATTTTCTTGTAAAAAAAACTATCAGCCCACTAAGGTTTTCCAATCAGTGTATAATACTTTTTTTAAAAGGTGTATCTTCTAATTGTTTCTTCAAAGTAAAATGCGAATAACTCCACTTTTTTTTGTTTGTTTGTTTAACTCTTAAATTTTAATGAATTCAATTAATTTAATTTGAGTTTTTCTACTCAAAAATACGTAATTCAATCAAACAAAACACCCTTTTTACTATAGATTGCTTACCTATTGTTTTGTACTTATTATCTATATTATCAAACCATTTAAATATTTTTCTTTTTAAATCATGTTACTCTGATACATAAAAATTCAAAGTAGACATAAATAACTTCAATAATAAATGTCAGACATAAATCTATTTTTTTTTATAAATTATATATAATCCTTATAGTTTTTTTTTAGTAATAATTATAAAATAGATAGAAAAATCGGTTATGAAATTTGATTGATAAGTAAAATTTCTTAGCCTACTTTGCATTAATTTTAAAACAATAAAAAATATATTTAGAAATTTGACAGTGTATAGAATGACATCAGTCAGTCATCCTGTTGAATTAAATAATATAAAAAATTTCTATTAAAAATATATTAAACACACGTTATTATGGAATTAATTATTTGTTCGTTTTTACTAATAATCTCTTTAGACTAACTAAATTTGAAATCAAAACAATTCACCAGAAAATTAGACTTTCAATATTTCTTTCAAGTGACATTAATTACTATTTATAGCTTGAAGAAATATATTTAGCCGAATGTATGATTGATTATATTCATAGAAAAATAATAATTATATCTTGAGATGCTAAATTTATATTCGATTTCTTTACTTATCTATAAAAAAAGTTTTTGTTTTTCACCCTAAATTTTCTGTCTATGATCTGTTAATATTTTAATGCAATAAATAAAAATATACTTACATTGATAATAGGTTTATCATATCAAAATAAAAGAATTTGTTTTTATATATTAAATAATTTTTAGAAGATTTTCGAAAAATATTTATTGGTTTTAGTAAGTGTATTATGAAGTCAGTACACATAATTTATTATTATCTCATCCATTCATGCGTTATTACCCAGCCTATATAAAATATGTTATGTCACATTTAGTCCAATAAACTGATTAATAAAAATAAGTAAAATTTTATCTAAGTAAAAAGATAAACAATACTTTTGTTAATATTATTTATTGATTAATAAATAACAAAAGAATTTTAAAAAGAAGTAAATTCTTTTATTTATCATGAATTAATTCATATATTTTTAATATTTAAATTTAATTATTTTTTTACAAAAATACATTCACAATTAACAAATAAAAATTATAAGTAAAACTTAGTAAGAGCCTGAAATTTTAAGTTGAATTAAATTGATTTGATTGATTTAGATAGTTATTAGACACGAAGTAAGAGTCTATGCTAAACCAACAATCTTAAATTTTACAATTTAATAGTGGTAAAAAATGAATAAATGAATAAAAGTCTTACATAACAAAAAATAGAAAATTAATTTATAAAAGAAAGTAAATTGAATTAGAAATAATAAGATTTACTTTTCATATAAAAATATTCTTTATTTTATTCATAATGAAAGATACACATACAGAATTAGTTTACATATCTTCAAATCTAAAATCCTTTAAAATAGATGCTAAGCAAATAAAAGTGAAATATTGTTTTTCTTTTTTTGATTTGAAATTATCTAGTCCATTTTAACAATTTTCACTGTCACTAAACAAGAATCAATAAAATATTCTACATTAGTAAAGTAATATTATTTTGGTAAATAAATTAATATTTATTATTATTAAACAATTTTCTTTCTCACAAACACTTTTAATAAACATATAAAAATCACACATTTTTCATGAGGAAAACAGCTCTTTTTAAAGAATAAAATTCTTAATTTATATTTTTTCATAATGATTATGTGAGATTTATGATTAGATTCCTAAAAAATAATAAATTATGAATAAAAACCTTTAAAATTAAATTTTTAGATTTTTCAATTATTTTTTGTTTGTTTTTGAATAACCTTTGCACCACAAAAAAAACAAATATTTGTTTGATTAAATTTATGTATAAAAATTAAAATTGTCAAAATTTACACAAAAAATCAATCAATCAATATTTTATTATTTGTCAAAATTAAAGTAACCTTTATTTATCTGTTTAAATAAAAAAGATCTTTTTGTTTTTCTTGAAATAAATTTTTCAAAAATCTTTACACATTCATATAATTTTATTGAAAACTCCTTTATAGTATTTGTAACTTTATTTAAATTTTTTTGATGCTTTTGCTTATTTTGATTTGATTTTTTAATGGACCAAATCTTCGATATTTTTAGGTAAAGACTTCTGCTTAGAAAATATCATTTTTATTAAAGGATTTCTTAATAAATTATTATAATAATCTTTCAATTTTTATTTGAGTCGAACACATTGCTTTATTCGAAAATTATAAAGGTAAAAGATATGATATGTAAAATAAAAATTTAAGTTAAAAAAGTGATAAAATAAATAAATATGAAAAGATTAATCTTCATATTAATAATTTTTATTTTATTTTTTAGATTACTATTCGATTTAACAAAAAATTTTATTTAAAAAAATTACAATCTTTGAACATGGAAACCAATATATTATAAAATATAATGAAATTAAAAATTTATTTATCTTTCTAATTATTTTTCTTAATTTAAAAATTTAAAAGAGGATATGTAGGTAGGTAGGTAGGTAATCAATTTAATTTTTTATTGTAAAAAACTTCTCATGGTTTTCCCTTCCTTTTCTTTTCTCAAAAATTAGTAAGTAAGTAATACAGCATAACGATACTAGTGATTACAAGAGATTATTTTTTCAAGATATTTAATAATAGTGAATGAGTGATTAAATGTTTAGATTTTAATAAATTAGTAAACTTGATTTTAAGTTTTAATAATTAAGTGAATGAAGAACAGCAACCTCAATTTGATAAAAAATAATTTTAATTAGTTTATATATAATTAATTATATATTTATATATCTTTTTTTTTAAACTATGAATCCTCTAAATAATTTTAGAAGAAGTCAAAAAATTAAAATGAGAAACTGTTATACTAATTTAAATAGTAAATGATAAAGTGCTTGCTTGTTTGATTGTGTTCCATATCAATTTGAATCTTCATCATTCAAGAATTGTTATTATACTTTAAGAAGTTAAAGTTAAGATTCAAGATCTACTATCATATTTTTTAGTTGCTTTCTATCAATTTTAGGTGTAGCTAATGGGATTAGATTGTTAGTGTTATTATTACTTTGTTAAGGATCCTCTAACTTTTAACGATTATCTGTACAAGATATATCTAGCCTTAGTTCTTCACGATTGCTTTAATTTCTATTTAAATTATTTTGCTAATATTGCTGATTTTATTAAAATTACTATTAAGTCATTTATTGATCACCTCCTTGCTAAAAGTACATAGGCTGAGAGTATTCATTTAAATTTTATCCTTGGGGAATATTAGGTAAGTAGTAGTTTCCATGAGGATTTTGTTGAGAACCTTATCCAAAGTTATTATTATTATAATAATTATTGTTATTAACATTATTATTATTATTATTATTATTATTATTTGTGTTAATGTTCAAATGATCAAAGGTATCTTCTATTTTTTCTTTTAATTGGTTAGGATTATTCACTTAATTGTTGTGATTCTAAAAACTAAAGATTTACTAGTTGAGACCAGTAGAATCCATCATTTAGCTTTATGATGACATTTACTGCTAATATTGCTAATTGGTTTGATTTTATATATAATTTTAATTATAATTGTTGTTTTGATATTAGGGTTAAGATGACTAATTGCCTAATTAATAGTTAGGAGTAGATGCTATGTTATTGAAATTGAAATGAACATTATTTTGTTGAGAGCTTATGTTATTTGTATAAGGAGTATTAGAATTTGAAACCAAAAACCTTCTTCCTGGAGTATTTGAAGTAAAAGAAAATTACTCTGTTTTCATTTAAGCAGGACTTAAAAGAATAAGAGGAGAAGGAGATGTGTTGAAAAAGTTGTTTCCCAATGATTATTAGCCATTTGAATTCATGATTTCGTCTTGCTAAAGCTTTTATTACTAAATGAAGATATCAGAAGGGAAGAAAGAAGAGTTGTTAGCAAGAGCCAAACGAGGAGTGTGAAACATCTCCTCAACTTTTTCATTCTCAATCTTCTTGTATTAATTGTTTCTTTTGATGTAATCTTAGCTGCTAACCATTGTTTAAGGTAAATTATGCTTATTTTAGTTCTAGTACTAGTTCATACCTGATTATTGGTTTTCTTAGTTAAGCATATAGAACTATTACTAATTTTGCTATTGGCTATTTTACTAATTATTCTAAATCAAAATATTATTTTATTATTATATTGGCATGTTCTAAAAAAACTGATTATTTTATTGCTATGACTAAAAATACATTGGATCTTGTTGCTTATAAATATCATCTTAGTACTTATTCATATTATTGTTAAAACTATTCATCACTTTTTTATCATCTACTAAACCTAATCCTTAATTATTTATTGCTAATCCTTATTAGTTGAAACCTAATTAAAATTAATTGTATTATTCGCCTTCTGAGGAGCTTTCTTCACTTTCAATATTTCCGCTGTTTATGGAAGGATCTAAATCGTTGTATAAAGAAGAAGCATAGCTGCTTGCTCTATCATTTTCATTATTTAACCTAGGAGAAGAATTCATATCATACAATTAACCATTATCAGAGCGAACACCGTTACTTCCTTGCAAAGAATTGATTGCATAGGTCTTTTTAATATATGAGTAAAAACGATTCTTGACCATGTTCTCTGATCTTCCTTATAAAAATTTTGCAATTTCACTCCACTTAGGACCAATCTTGTAGTATTTATCAATGATTATTCTGTCTTCTTCTTCGTTGAACTAGCCATTATTTAATTCTGGATCTAGTTTGTTTATATATCTAAATTATATAAAAATAAATTTATTATCCGTTTATTAAATTAATTTAATTCATTTAAAAATTCATATTTTAAATTTTAACTCTTCTTTTACTGATGTAATATAAATTTTCTAATGTTTAGTTCGAAATAAGCAATTAAGTATTTTCCCTTTCCATAAATAAATTTCACCAATTTAATAATATTTATTTTAAAAATACAAATAATGTTTTTTAAAATAAATTGAAAGTATGAGAATCTTTAAAAAATTAGATTTATGAGAAAGAATTATTCCCTTTGAACCAATTGCTAAACTAATTCCTTTTTATTTTGGAATCTTAAATATTCGTTTTAAATTGATAGCATAAAACGAACTTATTTTCTCACAACTTGAAATTTGCTATGACCAAATTTTCACTAAACTTAATCCAAATTTGCTTTTAAGGCAAATTCACTCATTTTAATGAAAAGTATCAAACAAATTTTTAATTTAGTAGAGCACAATATTACTTTAAAATCCAAATGATAGGAGATAAAGTGAGAATATGTTGGTGAAGAAAGAAGAGTATAAATCTTTATAAAAAGGTAAGTTTTTATATATTAAAGAATTTGTTAGTAAGGCTTGATAAATAATTACCTTTCACGAACCTATTTACCACTTCTATTATCCATTTGTGATGATATCAATCCCCAGTTTTTACCATGTTATTTAATAAGAGCTAAAACCATATTATCCTCTTCAGGAGTCCATGGCCTTCTGATTTTCGAAGGCTTAATTCTTCTCCATCTCTAGGAACATTAGGAGGCATTTCTATCTGCCATCTCATTAGCAATAGCTGGCCACTTGCCATTATGCTTACTATAATAGAAACGAAGAAGTCTATCTTCTTCCTCAGTCCATGCTTTAGTACTACGCTTTGATTGCTTTTCTAAACGTGACTAGCTACCACCATCTTAAGAATGGGATGAACTGTTACGAGATCTCATTGAAGCTTTATAAGACATATCATTTCCGCTTCCACTTGCTCCATGAAGTTAATCGTTTCTTCTTTTAGATTTTTTTATTGGCAAAGAAACAAATTCTTGATAAACTTAACTTGTTTCTTTTTGTGAGTTCCTGGAAGAAGATGAAGATTGCCTAGAACTTGTATTAACCTCTTAAATTATCTCACAATAATCCTCTTCAACCTCAGAGCCTGATCCAGATCCAGATTTTGGACCATTAAAAATGGGGGTAATTTCAATAAATCCGTCTGGATCTTCTATGTTTTAGGCTGTATTTTAATTATTTGCATAAGTTCCGCTATTTGTAAGATTATTTTGCCTTTAGCTTTCTAAAATCAGCTACCTGACACGGTCAGGATTTGAATTTTGAGAATTGCTGAGGTTTTGTTACTATTCTCGCTTGTCTTCACTGTTGCAGCAGATTCCACAACTAGCGAAAATACCAAATAGTGACATTATTTTAAATTTTTATTACTAAAGTTGACTTAATTCAAAAAACCAATAATCTTTGAAATGGAACTTAACTTGATTCTTTAATATAATTTAGCTTACAATGTTTCTTTATTATCAATAAATCTAAGATTTATTTTTAAATTTTGTTAGCCTTTTTTTCAATTTTATTCTCTGTGTTTCTTCTATTGGCAATTTTTATTTTCTTTTACTTTATTTCCTAGGCTTTATTTGAATAATATTTTTCACTTTTTTCTTTACTAAAATAAATTAATTATTATTTTTACAATTAGAATCACTATTTATCATTGTTAAATATCAAATAAACTTTTCATGCAATTACAAAATAATTCACGCATATATGCATGCATATTCTTCTCATTTTTTTATCTCTATTTGTTTATTGAAAATTTCAAATCCCATTTAACATAATGCATTCAAAATTAGATGTGAATTATACTCATTAGCTATTACAAACATACTAAATAAATCTGATTTTCAATCTTAAATTTTACTATTTGCTATTAGAATAATAAGCAATGAATGATATGATAATCCTCAAATATATATATATTTGCTACTTTTTAGGAAATGTATAAAAGTTAAATAACTATTTTAATCAATTATTTTATGCCACTAAAAAATACATCAATATTTAAAATTAAATTGATGAGTTTTTATATGTTAATTGAATTCCAAAAATGTTTAACCATACAATAACATTTTATTTAAAGTTTTGTAATTTTTTACAGAAATATGAGTAGAATAATATAACTTTTATCTATTTTAAAAAACAAAATATAATGCTTTTTAGCAATTAAAGATTCATGAATTCAATCTAATTCTTTAAGATAAATTAAGTAAGTGAATAATTAAACTTTTACTTAGATATAAAACATTGTATAGAAAAAAATAGTCAATGAATATTACATTTTTATACTTTATTTTAGCTAAAAGTTTAATCTTTTCTCATAAAAAAAATATTTTCAAACAAAATATTTTTTTTTTTACTTTAGTAGATAATTTAAGATTTTTCTTTTTAAAATCAAATCTGGTTAAAACCTAAAAATATCTTAAATTTATCTATATTTCTATATGCGTTATAACTCATTAAGTTGGGCATGTTTAACTTACAAGAATTGGCAGATTCGAGTCATTAAGTAATTTTAAAAATTTGTGTAATTATTTTTTATTTATTTTTAATATGGTCTTTACAATTCAGTCAAGGCTGAGTCTTCAATTCATATCTTGATCCAAGTTATCTCTTTATAACATTTATTCATTGAGTGTCTTTGAGATTTTTTTTAAAGGCATTACTTAAGACATCAAATTGATATTAGAATATTTTTTAGTTTTCTCGTTAGTAAAATAGAATTAATCCAAAAATATTTCCAATTTTTTTGTTTTATTCATAATAATTTCTATTCTAAAAATCTAAAATTTCATTTAAAAATAAGAAAATAATTTTTTTTCATTTTTTTTACTTACAAACACAAAAATTTCATCTAAAATATCTATTTAGAGAAGCATATCATCTTATTTAGCTTGGTTAGTTAATAATATTTTATAATAATTGATATGCCTGGTCAAATATAATATCTTTCCGCTATAAACAAACTATTTGTAAATAAATAAATAATTATCTTATTTCATTCCTATTCAAAATTTTATTAAAAAGCTATTGATTGATTTTGATTATAATTAAGCATCTAATTTGCAAAATAATAAATATTTACTCATTGTTTAATTTTTAAGATACAGATTAAATATTTATTTCAAATTTTTTTAGTAAGCAGAGGCTAAGCACTATGAGCACTTTAACAAAATATTAAGATGATGATTAAAACTCTAATACAGATATAGAATTAGAAATAGATGAACCTAAAAAGCGTTTATATGTTTACATATAGCCTAATGATATTTTAAGTCTTTGGGCAATAGTTGAGGATTAGCTTAAAAGTATAAAAGCAAAACACCATACTATGAACGAAATTGTGGGGATGATATAAAAAATTATTAATGCTCATTTCACAAATAAGAAGAATATTTCAACACAAATTCTTTCAGAATATTTAGATGAGCTTTCAATGAAGAAACAGCAATTATATTAAAATGAATTAATTCCATATATGGCTAAATTAGCTCTAGATATTAGTAATGCTTTTTAGTAAGAACCAATAAAATTGCTTCTTTAAGGAGAGAAGGAGGAATAAAAATTTACTAAATACTAAATAGCTGTGCTTCTAAGCAATATGTTTTTTTGTACTCTACATAAATAGCCTGATTTAGATAATTTTCCACTTTGCTTTGATTTTAGTAAATTATACATGAAAGGGACTGATGCCTCACTAAACAATTTAAAAAAGGAAAAACTAAAATTCCTATTTAACTATTTTGAGCAAGTTTATAATGATAAAATTAATTTAGATCTTTGTGTGTCATTTGAAAGAGTAAATTATAGCTATGGATAACAAGCTTCTATTAATGATTTAAAAAAGAGTAATATTACAAAAAAATCTTTAGTGGAAGTATATTCAGATAAGAGTATAGAATCAGGAAGGAATTTAATTTAAGTTACTTTTGCTAATAAGTTAATTGGAGGAGGGGTATTAAACAGAGGAGCTTTGCAAGAAGAAATTAGATATCTTATTTCACCTGAATGTTTAGTTGGAATTCTATTATTTTCTGAGCTTTAAGATAATGAGGCTATTGTAATTTAGGGAGCTTAGCAAGTTTCTGAGTAAAGTTTTTTATTTTTTAAATTATTCATCAAACAAATATTTGTAAATTATTAAACAGCTATGAAGGTTATGGATGCAATCTTACATTTAAAGGCCCATATTATGATGATTAATTAGAAGTTTAGGAAGAAAACAATATGTTAAATGTAGTTATAGTAGGAATGGATGCTATAGATTTTAGTAAAGTTGAAATAGAAAATGAAAAATACGAACATAATTATTAGTTCGAATAAAATAACGTTATGAGAGATATTGCTAAAGCTTATACTGCTTTTAGGTGTGATAACGTCTTAAAATATAATAACCGTAGATAAGGAATAATTACAGGTAATTGGGGTTGTGGTGATTTTAAAGGAGACAAGGAGTTAAAATTTCTAATTTAATGGATAGCCGCCTCTTGGTGTAAAAGAGAACTTTACTATTGCACACATAATGATTAATTATTGAAAGCAAAAATAGAAGAAATATATTAATATCTTAAAAGCACTGAGTACACTTTATATTAGATACTTTAATTTATTGGCAGTTACTAAGTTAGAAATAAAATTTATAGTGAAATATCTTTGTTTGACTATATCTGCCTATTAATAAATTGAAAAAAGTCTTGCATATAATTAATATCAATAATTTATCATTCTGATATGTTTTATTTTGATTTTATTTATTTTAAATTCATTTTTATTTTTTCAAGTAAAATATTAATGATAATTATTTTTGTTAAATTTATTAATATAAAGCAATTGTCATCTAAAATCATATTTAAATCAATTTATATTTGATTTGCAAATATTCAAAAAATTTTAATTAAACAATGTTTTTTTTTCTAAAAAAATAATTGCGAAATAACTAAATAAAAATAAATATTATCAAATATGTGTTTGTACATTTTTAAGTTAATTTTGGTTATACTAAAGCTTAATTAATTATTTTTTTTGATATAATTTTATTAGATTTTATAATATTTTTCTGAATATTTAATGCCTTTTCTTATATATTTTTTCGAAAAAAAATTTTTAATGTAGAATATTATTATTTTTTTCACTTTAATAATCTAAATTATTTTTTCAAAACCAAATTTTTCTAATTATCTAATTAATTTTAATTTTTCATATTTCTAATTTTTTTATTTATTTATTTATATCTTGTTATTTATATAGTCTTATAAAGATTAGTTGGCTTAAATCATTATATATTATAGAGTGCTTTATTTTTCTTATTAATCTATTTTAGAAAATTATTGATTAAAAAAGGCAAAAAAAGACTTAGAAAGTGAAAAATCAATTTTGGAATTTACCACATATTTATATTACCAAAATTTTAATTTGAAATTTAAAATAAAAAACTAATTAAATTAATATCAACTAAGATAAGTATATTTAAACAACCTTTCTTTATATAAGTTAGATTATAATTTTAATAAAACTAAAAAAAAATTTATTAAACTTAAATAAAAAGATTTAAGTTAAATCATTTGCAATGATAAAATTGATGAAATTATTAAGAAGTCAAACAAAATTTTTTATTGATTGTTATAATTTTATTGTGCTACTTCCTAAAAAACTGCTATATGCTATTAATTATATAGAAAAGTGATTTCTTCATTATTAAATAGTCAATAATTATTTTTAAATGACTAATTATATTTTAAACTTTTATAATCTAAAATAAAAAAACAAAAAAATAAGCACAGCCAACTAATCATACTTAAAATAAATAAATAATTCATCAATCTCGTTAAGTGTTGATCAGTAACTAAAATAGATTTGATAACTTAATAGTAGAATTTTATAAATTCATAAATTAAAACAAACAATTAAAAATAAAATACAAGCTAAAGTAATTGTTATAATTATGAAAATATAAAGTGATTTAAATATTAAAATTATCAAATATAGAATAAATTGAAAAGGCGATGCCAGTAATTGTAGAAAAGTATTTATACAATATGTATTTGATAAATTTCAAATAAAAATGTGGTTTTTTAGAGCTTTGTTACTCAAATTTAATAAATTTTTATCAGAAATAAAATAAAATGTAGTACATAATTAGTGTAAATAAATTATTTATATACTATTTATATAATTAGTCTATTTATTTTTTTCAAAATAAACTTGGATTAGGACTATAGTTTTCAGGATATAATGAACCAAAATCATGCTTCTTCATAAAAGCATAGTTTCCTTATGCCATGTAGCTATCCATTATTGGTCCGCATACTTCAAATGCAATTTTTTAAAATTCCTCATCAATAGGTATTTAAGCGATCTCTTAACACATTTTAATATAATTCAATTCTTATACAGAGCCTACACCTTCTCTATTGGAAATTTTGAAGAAATTTTTGAAATCTTTAGAGTATTTTTATATTTCATCATATTCCAACTTGAATTCACGCAACATATCTTCTTTAGATGGTAGAAGAACATCTCCATCAAGGACTCTTTTAGCAACAATAGCCTATCTTTCATACATAGCTTCTATAGTGAGTTGTCCAGCTATTAAACCCAAAAATACAAGGTTTGGTTCTCTAATAGAGAAAATACGACGATAAAGAGGACCAAATGCGTTACAACGAGATTCTTTATTGTATGTTTCGATCAAGTTATCACCAGTATCCTCCAAAAAAGGATATCTGTACTAGTAACCTGTTGCATAGATTATATTATCTATTTTGTCAATAACAGTTTCATCTTCAAGGATGATAGATTACTTTCCTAAATAATTGCGGATAACTCCAACTCTCATTTCAAGAATACCTTCATCAATTTCCTTTTTATAAGCTTTTGTTTTTTCAAATTAAGAAATTAATTATTTATTTCCGAGGACAGTAACTTTTGAGGCTCTTTTATCTTTATCAGTTATCATAAATTAGACTAGATCCTATGCTGACATGTTAGCTCCATAAATCAATACATGAGTATTTTTGTATTAATCTAATTTATGTTTTCTAAAATTGTGCATATGGATGACATCTCCTTCAAAGACTTCTCTATTTTCAATTTTTGGGTAATTTGGAACCTATTTTGATTAATTATTTTTATATTTTTAAACAACCAAATAATTTAATAATTTGTTTTGGATATTAAGCACAGTGTAAATATTCAATTAATTAATTGATAATCGAAGAGGGTAAATACAAAATCTAAATATTAACTCTTTTTTTCAAAAACATCTCTACTTAGGTTAAATTAGAATAAAACCTGAGACACTCTTACACTTCAAAAGAAGAGCAATAATTAATTTATTTTTTAAAATGTGCAACAAAATTTCACATTCATTTGCTCATGATTTTTTTTTTTAAAACAAAAAATATGAAATTATTTTACACTGTCGTGGCCTGAGCATACTACTACTGAGTCTACTTCGATATAACTTATATTAGATTTATCAGCTTTATAGCTTTCTGAAGGGCAAAGAGAAGCAACAAATCTTTTAGTTACATTGAAACCTACTTTTTAAAGTTCCTCTTCTGTCATATTAGCTGCTAATCTAACTTTTACTACAAAGGTATTAAATTTCATGCATTTTTATATGTCGAAATGAGCAGTATAACAATTTAAGTAGTCATTGAATTCGGCGGTAGTCATAAATTAATTATATTCCTTTTTAGGAGGAAAACCCTTGTAAGTCATCAAACATTTAGGGAAGTTGCTTACCATATCTTCATAAAGAGAGCTTTATAGTACTCCGTAGTTTTAGTAATAGGCATTTTAGTTTAAATTTGGATGATTGTTTTCATCATGCTTGTCATAGTGCCATAACCCACCCAAGCCTTCCTTAGAGTCAACACAAATAACATCATTATTAATGCTCAAATGCTTAGTAGCCAATATACCACAAGGACCAGCGCCAATAACCAATATTTTTTTCTTTTCTACTTATTAACTTTAAGGAGCTTAAGGAGCACCTTGTTCTTGGTTTGGATTAGCAGGCTCAGCTAATTATTCTTCAATCATTTTAGAAGTTTTATAAAAGTTGAATTATAAATTAAGTTTTTGTATTTTTATTATTATAATTTCTTACAATTAACATTTCGGACTATTATTAAATACCAATAAATCTTAAAAAGAATAGTGTTAGCATTCAAACTGGTACAATTGATCAAAAAAAACTTATTTGGTGTTAAAGTTAGATAATATTAATTCATTTATTGATTAATTTACCTATTCCCCAAAAAAAACAAAAACAAAAATAACATTTATTTCAAATCAATTTTATCTTTCTTTGTAAAAGGCCATTCGAGTATAATTTAATGTAATTTTTATGGAGTAAAATATATAGTTAAAAATAATCCATACATTCATACATCTAAAAATATTGTGGTTTATGAAAATAATACCAGCTTTGCAAATATTTAAGCAAATTTATTTTATACTTTCTAATGTTATATAAAATATTGATTAAACTACTAGACTCAAGTTAATACACTTACGAGCCTTCTATGTGTTAAGTTATCCGTTTTCATTTATTTTTTCTAGTCTCCTAATACTTTAAATCTGAATTTCTCTTGTTTGACAAATAATAACTGGGGAATTTATAAATAATACAATTTTCTAATCTAAAAATTAGGGTAAGTAAAAAGTATATTTGGTATTATTTATTGTTGATCCAAGAAAAACAAAATAAATCATTCAAGCTTCTGATCAAATTATTGGTTATGATATCTCAAAACTTGGATCCAGCTTTCGAATGTAAACTGAGCATTATGAATTGTAAAAAATATAAATATTTTTCATTTCTAAGTTAACGAACAAATAACTAAAAAATTAATGACTGAAATATAAAAACATGATAAGTTATATTGATTGAATTTGTTTGGAATTTGCCTAAACAGTTTTAAAAAAATTGATTTCTAATTATAATAATTTGATGAGATGAAAAAATTCTATTTAAATTAATAAACAGAATAACAAAGAAACAAGTAGAAAAGAAGAGAAGCTGACTTACACTTTTTTTTGCAAAGATTATTGAATAGATTCTAAAAAGCGTTTAACTCAAAATTAAATTTCTTATAAATGATTGAAAAGTACTTCAAAAAATTCTATAAAAATAACACCCACAAATTTAACAAATGATTGGTACTACTCAAAGTATTTAAAAACCTGAATTTAAAAATATTCAATTAAAAAATGAAATTTTTAAGTTAAATATGGTACTAGCTAGCTGACTAAATTGATTTTCTATACTAAATTTAATTGATTAGAAAAGATATTTAGCATTTGATATTAAAGTTAATTAAAAATTTTACCTTATAAAAGTAATTAAAATTGGATCTAAATATTTTCTATGATATATGATTTATCTATTTATCATCTATTTCTCAATAATTTAATTTATTGTTTTCATAAAAGATACATAGTAAAAAGATTCAATTCACTTTTTTTAGCAAAGGACATTATACAATTCAAATTAAAATAATCTATTAAAAAAATTCTTGTTTTATTCTAAATCAAATACCATGCAAATAAATTTTAGTTTAATTCGTAATGTATTTAAAAAGTTCTATATAATGATTCACCTTTTTCCATTTTTACTTTAGCTTAGCAAATTAAATAATATTTATAGTAGAAATTTTAATTAATTATTATAAAATCGAAAAAAATTTTAATTTTTTCAAAATTTTCTGATAACTTATTTTTGTGAACAAATTTAGTTGAAATTTTTTCTTTTAAATAAATTGATACTATTTTTTTAATTTAAAAGTTACTTTGGTATTTGGAGAGGTTTTCATTATAATATGTTTGCATAGCTTCTTTTGAAAACCAAAATAATTAGATTAAATTCAAATTACAAAGAGAATTTTAATAAATAAAGCTATCAAATCCAAAATTTTAAGAAAAAATATTTAACTGCTTGAGTAGATTTTATGAATTATTAATATTTTTTTATATCAAATGAAAAAATATTGAAAAAAGAAAATAATAGTAACATGAAAAATAAAAAAATTCTTATGAATTAAATTAAATCTGTCTGTTTAATTAATAAAACGATTTTTATATCACTATTAATTCTTTTATTTACTTTTAAAATATTAAAGTAGAAATAAAATGAAATGTTTAGTATTATATGAATTGGATATAATTAAAAATCAAAGATATATATATATATTTTAATCACAATCTAAATTTAATTTATTTTAACACTATTCAACTAATTTTTTGAATAGTTTTTATTAATTTTATATTAACAGAATCCATTTTAATAAAAAATGCATTTTATTTTAAACCTTTGAAAAAATTTATTAGTTGTAAAATAAGCTTTTAGAATTTTTAATATTCTTTCTTTAACTTTTTTGCTTCATTTTCCAGGTTTTCATTCTAATTAAAATTTATTTTTATCATGTTTTAATACCATTTTAGCTATAAAGTCATTTTTACAATAAAAAAGTTTTAAGCTATTTTAGGATATAAAATATATTTTTAATTTATCTTAAAGTAGTAAAATAAGAATTAATTATAGCAGTAAATGCTTTTAAATAAGATAACTTTTATAGTGATAGAATTAAATTTTCCATGTAATAGAAGTAAAAAAAATTGATAGTTATTAGTGTGTGTAAATTAAACTTTTTACATTTAAAAAACTATAAACACTTTTTTCATCTTTAGTAATTATATTCCAATAAATATTTTATTTAAAGTAAAGATAGCCAGTTATTTTTAACAAATAAATAAATATAGCACTGACAATAAAATCAAATACTATTTATTTAGGATAATTTTTTATGTAAAAATTTTTAAATCATTTTCCATGTATTTTAAATTGTAAATAAATCTTAATTAAATCTATATATAAAAATAACAATTTAAGCTTTTATTGCCAGATCAGCTGCTTAGAAGACAAAAATGTTTTCTTTTATCTAATATATAATGAAGATTAATTCTTAAAAAATTGAAAAATTAGAGAAATCGCTTTAATAAATTAAAGATACATTAGTTGAAGAAATGGTAAAAACTAATTATTGAAAGAAATAGCCAAAATTAATTTAAACTATTTTGATAAAAATATTAAAAATTTCTTGAGTATTTAAAGAAAAAAATGAATTTATCATAAAATTGAAAACAAAAAAAATAAAATTATTGGAGTTTAAGGTTGAGGAGTTAATATGGTAATAATATATAAATTATTATCAAGATAAGTTGTTGGAGGATGGAATATTTAATTAAATTTTTTATTCATTTCAAATTTATTATAAAAAAGTAAATAGTTTTTTTTACTTGAGTGGTTTTTTTTAATGAATCATTTAATCGATCTACTGCATAAAATAAATAAAAAAATAAATATTTCAATTAAATAAATAAATTTTTATTCTTAATCGACAAATTCTTTCATATTAAAAAGTAACTCAAATGAAACATTCACACACATATAAAATAAAAATATAGCTTATAAAATTTACTAATATCGTTTCATATTTTCCAAAAATTAAGTTGTTTGTTTTGTTTGTTTTTATAATCACTTGATCACTTTTCTCTTTATTTTTTTTGCTTCTTTATTTGTATTTGCTAAAACTTATTAAAAAACTTAAATTTTTTAATATCTATTCCGAAAAATTTTAAATATAGTTTTCTAAAAGAAATTTATTGAACAAATAAGAAAAATCCAAAATTTTATTTTGGAAAAACAATTTTTAGAGAGCTTAACAATAAAAAATTAAATAAAATTTACTATTAATAGCAAATGAATCTTTTCTAATTTTTGCACAAAATCTATTATTTCTTTTCTAAACTAAAACTATTTAAATTTATATCAATCCTATTTGTATAAAGTACGCTTAAATTTTCTTATGGCTCTTCTCTCATCTAGATTTAATAATATTATGGAGCACTCTATTGCTTATTATTTATCTATTTATTTATTTATTTGTTTATTTTTTTTTGGTTTTTATAGTCCTTAATTTTGTTTAATTTATACCAACTCTAAGTTGATATTTTGAAGATTTTAAATGTTGATTAGTTAATATAATAAATAAAAATGTCAGGGAAGTGTTGAGTTAAGGTTGGAATGAAATGCTTAGAGATGAATACAACATAAGATAAACATAAACATTTTCGATGTAAACAATAAATGAGTTTTTGTAAGAAATAATATTTTTTTGTAGCTACTTGTGAAAAAGGGAAGATATATTTTAAAAAGGTTCTCACTCAGAAGAGGGCTTGGCATTGGGGTCGATCTTTCTTTGGATCCAGTCGTAACCAGAGATAGCACCAGCACCAGCAACACCTCTAAGAATGTTAGCACCAGCACCCTTGAATAAGGAGAGGGCACCTTCCTTGGCAACAATTTGTTAGAAACAGTCAATAGAACCGTTGTACTTGACGGCTTGACCGGAGGTCATCATCATTCTTCTTCTGATGGTATCGATGGGGTAAGAGGCCAAACCGGCGAGGACGGTAACGGTCCAACCAACACCGAAGTTAACGTAGAAGTTGTTCTTAATGTTACTGGGGAGTAAGGGCTTGACGGTATCGTAGAGACCGAAGTAAAGACCTCTGTAAATAACAATACCAACGCAAGAAATAACGAAACCTCTGTAGAGACCAGCAACACCGTCGGTAGCAAGAGTTTTCTTATAAACATCAACTAAACCGCTGTATTACTTTTGACCACCTTTCTTGGAGGATTTTAAATCGTTGGTTAACTTAGTTCTGGCGTAGTCCAAAGAGTAGACGAAAGCGAGAGAGACGGAACCAGCTAAACCACCGGAAGCCATGTTAGCAGCGAACCAGATAGCATAACCGTCTTCTTTCTTTTTATTGAACATTCTCTTGAAGGTATCCTTGAAGGCGAAGTTCAAGGCTTGAGTGGGGAAATATCTTAAGACGTTAGTCCAGTTACCCTTCCAGAAAGCCTTAGCACCTTCTTCATTGAGGATTCTCTTGGAACAGTCAACAATACCGTTGTATCTCTTGTCCAAGGCACCTTGCTTGATCATTTCATCTTGATTTTAAACTCTCATCTTGATGACTTCGATGGGGGAAGCGATAGTCTTGGAAATGGAGGCGGAGACACCACCAGTCAAGAAATCCTTGATGAAATCTAAGGGAGTAGTTTGCTTCTTTTGAGACATTTTAACTAAATTAAGAGAATGATCTTTTTTTATTTTTAGCTTTTTTTTTTAAATTAAATTATTACTTTTTTTCTTGCTATTCCCCCTCAAATTAATTTTATTTTAAGGCGAATATTGATCCTTATTACCTACTCATTCTTTTACTTTAGTAATTAAATAATTGCATATTATCATTATCTTAGTCATATCCCAAAAACTTATCTGTTGGAAATTGACTCTACTTCTTTTGTTTATTCACTGATTTGCTTGCTTATTTTTTAAATCTATTATTTCATCTACTATCTATCCTCTTTAAAATGCATATTATTTGTCTGTCCAGCTAGTTATTAAAATTTTATTTGTTAAGATAAGCCTTTTTCAGTACATTTTAATTTTCAAATTTATTCTTCCTGTTAGTAACTAAATATTTTCATCCAATATCTTTCTGATTCTTTGGTCTTTTCTTTAAAAAATTTCGATTAATGTCTTCGTAATATTAATAATTAAATTTTGATTTTTATCGTCTTTTTACTAAATATCTTGTTTCCATATAATTCAGTGAAGGGGGATCATTAAAGTGCGTAAATTACTAAGCAAAATCTTATAAGATTTTCTCTTTATTGAAAGTACCTATTTATCACTAATAAATAAAAACCCGCTCATACATTCTTATTATAATTTAAAATATCTATCTTTTGAGAAAAATAACAAAAAGATGCATTTGATTTTATTAAAAGTAAATAAATAGTTTTAACAATAAGCTTATCGATCAATTGATCGGCATTATGAATTCCTATATTTAAACACAATAAATAGATTTAACTTGTTATTTTAAATTTAATTGTTAGCCATATAAATACAAGCAGAATTCAAATGATCTGAAATATTTTAAAACTCCTATTTTATAATGACAGCAGACATATATGTTAATTATCCATTAATGGTACTTCTATTAGGAAGAAAAAGGGTTAAATTTTAGTTTGTGGTAAATCATTAAAAAAAGTAATAGCATCATCTTTTTTGACGCAAGTAACTGCTCTCTTTTAATTAATTAATAGTTAATTTTAAACATATCTTTAAATAAATATACAAATAATTTTTATCCTCATCAAATATATTTTTAATTAGCCTTTGTTTTTATCCACTTTTCCCCTTAAAACGCTTCTCTTAAATCTTTTTCAAGATACATGTTTTAATTACATTTCACTAGATATTTTATTTGTTTTTTCTCAGTCAACTTTCTCTTCTCCAATAAAATAAAGGCATGTTTTACTATATAAAAATTAGATGGTATTTTTTAAATTTATCCATTTTTAAAGTTTTCTCCTCATTCTAAACAGTAGGATGATACTAAAAAAGACTGAAATTAATTAGATGTTGATTAAATAATTCAAATAGGAGTATAATTGATCATTTTGCATCCCAATAAATAAGATAATTACAGCTTTAGAAGTTTACAAAATACTCCATATACAATTACCCCTTACATAAATTGTTCTCATTAAAATATAATATAAATTAGTTAGCTTTTCGAGCTACGTGATAGATAAATAAATTTCTATCAAAAATATGGCTCTCCTTAGGACACCTTTGAAAGTTTCAATGATTTTACAATATAATTTTATATTTTTAAATTTACCTATATTACCATTTAAAAGTTAATTTCTTAGGCTGATTCACTTTAATTTTTCTCTCACACGAATATCTAATTTTAATAACTTACTATCTTAGCCTCACAATTTCTTGTTAATTTAGGCGTTTAAATTTACCTTTTTTTAAAACAAAATGGTTAAATAATTTTTTTATTTAAAATACATTTAACCAAGCAAAGCAAATAAGAGAGGCCATATAAAATAAAAATATCTAAAGCATTTATTTGTAAAAATCTATTCGCAGAATTTACTAAAGCCCATTAAGCAGAAGGAAATTACTCATTTAAATTTTTCAAATCAGTCTTCACTAATTTATTTATATAAATTTATTTTAAAAGCCCATTAAGAAAACTTTTAATCTAATATTTGAGGATTAAGTAACTTAATAAGTAGATGTAGTAAAAAAACAGCTTTCCTTTATTTTTATTTACAGATTACATCTATAAAAAGAGGATTTCCTAAAATAAATTTTTTGCATAAAAACAAGCATATATTAAAAAATTAAAATAAGCAAACTTCATAACTTGAGCTGAATAAAATATTATTTTAATATCGTATTGTATTTATTTGTAAATAAGATAGAAGTTATATTCAATTTTACAAATTTGGACTAAAATTTACATTGTTAGTAATGGTTAATATGTTTTTTTGAAGAAAAAAAAATCATTATTAATAAAAGGGAATTAAAAACTTAAAGTATGTCATGTAAAAAGAGTTTTTTTGTAAATAAAAAAGTAAAATAAAAAATATTGAAATATTTTGTATGTTAGAATAAAATAGATTTATATGCAAAGATATTTTTTTAGTTAAATGTTAAAAGATAAATGATAAAAGAATTCAAAATAGTGGAAAAAACTCTAATAAATGGTTAAATTATAAATTTAAATCCTTCTATTTACTAATTACAATGCAAATTTATCAAATAAATATGAAATGCTTTAAGCTTTTTTATTGATAAAAAATATAAGCTTTATTAAAATCTTTGATATTAATTAAAAATACCAAAATTTATCTTAAAAAAATAAGAGTTAGTTAGACACAAGTTTTATTTTATTCATAGTTTTTGAAAAAATTTACATTTAGATATCTTTTTAATAAATAAAATGATAATTTTAGTTTTTCAATTAAAATAAATAAAACTATTCTTAATTTTCATTATTTTATTTGCTAAAATATTAACTTAAAAAATTAATTTATTTTAGGATAAAAAATTTATTAATTTTAAAAATGAAAAAAGCCATAAAAAAATAACAAATCATTGAAATTCTGTTAATTGACTAAGTGAAAAGATAAAATAAATTTACAAATTTTAAAAATCCTTTTAAAAAAAATATTTTGGATTTATTTATAATGTAATTAATATTATCCATTGTTTTGATTTTATTTTTTAATCAAAAATTTATTAATTACCACTTTAAATCATTATTTTGGATAGGATTGTAAAAAGAAAAAAATTAAACAACAAAATTTAAATAGCTAAATCAGCAACCAGCATCTGAGTGAAAAGTTCCTCCAAATCGAATGAAAAATAATTTTCATTTAGAAAGATACAACTATTACTATCAAGTTTATATTGATGAAGATAATATTGAAGACTTTCATCTAAAATTAAAGAATTGCACTGGAAAAAGCTTAGCAATCAGCTGCGAAGTTATGGGATAAAAAAATATATAATTTATGTTCAATACACTCAAAATGTTTCCTTAGTTTTTATAACTCAAACTATAGTGTTCTTTTAAGTAAATGAAAGATAATGGTGTAATAGAATTAAGCAAAGCTGTCAAGTCTATGCCTAATTTATCAATAATTCGCTTTCATCTTTGCTCAAATTCAATAACAGATAAAGGCATTAATGAATTATCAAAAGTGGTAAAGTGTCTTGAGAGTATTTAGCATTTAGAACTAGATTTCTCTCAAAACAAAATTGAAGGAAGTAATTGCCTAAAAAATTTGGCCTAGTCTTTAGAAAATAAACAATACCTTGTAGAATTTAATCTAGATATTTCAGATAATTCCCTTTCAAAAAAGACAAATATAAAACCTCTTTGGAATCTAATAACATCAGAACACCTTCAAATGATAAATATCAACATATCACAGAATAAAATTTGTGAAAATCTTTTTTAGTAAATTGTATACATTTTTTCGAAATTGAAGGGTCTACAGAAGTATTCCTTAGATCTAAATTTAAGCAAAAGACAAAAAGTCAACAAAAAAATGTGTTTGGAAATGAGTGAATAATTTAAGTCTAATCAATTTCAAAGTTAATATTTCAAAATGAATTTAGATTAATTAGAATTTAATGATTAAAACTCTTTCATAAAATTGATATAATAATTCATTAATACTAGAATAAATTCCATTTATTACTAAATTATTTTTGCAGAAGATCAGTCAAACAAAATATTAGAAGGAATTGAAATATTTAAAAGCTATTAAAAGTCTTTTTAGAGATAAATTTATACAATTTCAGCATACAAAAAGCTAATATCTGAACATTTAATATTTTGTCAACACTAGCATTTGTATGATCTATATTCATGATACCTTTTTTTTAAATTAACATTTTAAGATTAAAAAATAAATTAAAGAGTATGTTATTAAAAAACTTTGACTTCTTTAAAATTCTAAAAATAGTTAATAAATTAGCTTCAAAAGTAAACTACTAAGAACTAAACATTTTAATTATTTAGAAAAGTTCAAAATACTCAAACATTTTATTTTGTATGATATTTTTAATTTATTTGAAAAAAAATTTGAAATTATAAAAAATTTATTGATGATAAGTTAGTTTCAATTTTTACTTTCTCTGTTAAATGTATAAACTTTCGATTCACAAGTTAATTTGTTCTAAAAAATTTAAGCTGTCAATACAAACAATTTTTTTTTCATTTCTTTATTGATAAATAAGTTATACCATAATTTTAAATATTAATGTAAAAAATTATTGATCATTTTTGTTTTAAAAATTCATTTTTGTAAATAAATAAAAAAAGATATTTTAAATAATAATTTTAATTATTAAACAAAATCAAAAATCAAATTATCACTATTTCTCAGGTTATACCATTCTGATAATATTCAATCTAATTTTTCTTAAATTAATTAACTAAAGATAGAATCATAAATTTAATAAAAACTATGATTAGTCATTTATATATAAATATTTTAAAACCGGAACGGCTTATGCGTAAATAAAAAATTTAATTCAAAATTAAATGTTTGATAAAAAAATTTAGATTTCTTCATCCAAAAATTAAATCTTTGATTCAACATTTTATATTATTTTCTTTTTCCAGGTTCAAAACCTGTTTCAAAACATTTTATTTATTTTTTTAATTTTCTTTTATTTTTAAAAAAAATATTTATTATTCCACTTAATATATATTTCTTACTAATAAAAAAATTATTCTAGAATAGCTATAATTAGATAAAAAAAACAAATACTTACGATAGATTCAACATAGGTTTCGATTAGATACAAATTAGAAAAAAGGAATTTAATGAATCTGATACTATAAACTTAAGAAGTTGCAAAGAAGAATTAAGATCTAATTTATGTTAATACTATTCAATAGCTAAATAAAATTATTATTATAATATCCAATAAATATAACAAAAAAGATTTATTCGATTTATTATTATAAAAATTAATAAATAAGGTTTGCTCCTTCTAGAAAAGAAACTGTCTTTCTAAAAATTTTCTTCAATAAATTCTTTTTTTAGAAATTGTGTATTTAAAAATTATCTTGAAACATAAAATGATTAGGAAATATCTGAGTCAGCTCTTGAGGTGTATTTATGTTATTTTAAGAATAAATTAAATGATATATTAATCATGATAAAAAATAAATTTAATAATATTGTTTTTATTAAAAAATAAAAAAAATTGAAATATTTTAAAGATAAATATTTATTTTCTATTCTTTTTTTTTGAAATTTATTTTGTTTAATTTTTATATTCAATTTTTAAAAATTTTTAAAGTCTAAAGTTAAAATCATAAAATAACATCATATTTTCGTTAAAATAGCTGTTTTGCATTTAAATTATTTTAAGAAAAATTATTCTGCTATTTACTTTTTATCTGTTATTTAATCTCCTTTTAATTTTGATTAATTTGGATAAAAATCAATTTTAATTACCTTTAGAAATCTTTTCTAATTAATTTAAACCAAGAGATAATCAGAAATCAAGTATTGACTGAATAATTCCGCTGTTATTATTAGTTAAAATATTAATCATTAATAATTTAAAATAAAAAATTTATATTGTAGTGTTTATTAAACAGTAAATAGAGTAAAATATCTTTTTATAATAAATAGCATCAATTTTTTGCTCCTTTAAATTAGTTGATAGTGGAATGAAGTTAAGCTAAAAGCATATTCAAGAATAAATTTAGGGCATTTTTGATAGCATTCATCAAAAAAAAAGCGTATTTAATACATTATTTACTTTTTTTTATTACTTGATGCTATTTCTACATAAAAGATAAAAAATGATAAATTTAAAAAAAAAAGATAAAAGAATAAATTATTAAACTTAGCGATATTGGTAAATTATATGGGTTTGGGGATGATAATAACATTCGTCTGAAAGCCTATCAGATACTGCTAGGAATTTCAGATGAAGAAATAAACTAGACATTTACATACACAAAAAATGGTAAATAAATCAACTTCAGGTATCTAATTATATTTAATAAGTATAATTTATTTAGATAATTTTGAGGATGGAGATTGTTACAAATAAATATTAAGAGATTGCAATGGGTCTTTTAAGCTATTAGACGTTTGTCTAGATAAGGATGAATAATAAATGTAATTTCCATTATTACTCAATTTGTATTTATGAATTTTTTAGATAAAATCTTAGAAATTAACTTATTTTGATGGTTAGTAAACTATTTAAAGAAAATACTTCTTATTCATATTATAGAGGATATGAAAATTTTTGTAGCATATTCTTATGGAATTTTGGTATAGATAAGGGATATAAATTGATAGAAAGACTTTCAGCTTCTCTTTTAAGATAAATTTTTTATTTTTCAAAGAAATTTATTTGAAATTTTTTAAATAAACACAGATGCTTTATAAGTAGATATAGATAAAAGCGTATCGATTTAGGTTAATAACATATTTGAGATCATTAAATAAGAAGATTAGCAAGTAGCTTAAATATTTTCTGTTACCCATTTTTTAGCATTTTGTGTGGGATGGGTTTTGACTTGGTTTGCATTTAATATAAGAAAAAATAAAGACCTACTGAGAATATATGACTTTTTAATAAGTAGCCCACCAGAAAATGTAGTTATTTTAGGTGTAGCATTTATATTAGGAACTAAAGATATTTTAAAAGAGCATATTTAAGAATCTTAAGATGGAGGAGAAGTAAAAATTATTTATAATTTTCTAATAGATGATTATATTTGCATTTTTTATAAAGATTGGGGTACTTTATGGGATATATTAAAATATTTGGCAAGTGGATTATGATTTAGAGCATATAATTTCAGTAGCTATGCAGTTGTATAAAAAAAAAGTATTCACTGGCTAAATGAGATCAGAATACTCAAAAGAGTAACTTTGTTTGTTTTTTTTAATTATTTTTAAAAAAAATGTAATATTATTTAAAATAAATAGAAGTATAATTCATAAAGATGTTCACACAAAATTAATTCCTATTAGATAATATTTATATGGAAGAGATTATAAAACATTAAAAAATACAATAATTTTAGCAATATTAATTATAATCATATCGTATAAAATTTAATTATCCTTTAATGAATGATGCATCAACCAACTAACCAATCTCATATTTATTTATGTTTAAAAGTTATATAATAATAAAATTTAACATATCTATCTATCTTAATAAGTATTTAAAATATTATTCAAATTTTTTGTTTCAAAAGCATTGTATTGTAGTATTCATTTTCAATAGATAAATTAATAAATATCTAATATATCTTTATTCTTCATATATTAAGGTCATTATCTAAAAAAAAATTTTGAAAATAAATTGTAATTTTTTTTTTTTTGAATTGAAAATATTTTGATAAATTAAAATTAAAGTTGTGAGATATCATGATATACATTAATTACTTTTTAAGAATAAAAATATAATTTTATAAAGTAAATAAATTCAATATTTATTATGTACACATTATCATATAAATTATATATCTGGTTTTAGTTTTAAATTCAACAATTAATTTTATATTTTTTAGATTAATTTAAAAAATTTTTTAAAAACAATTTAGCTTATTTTATTTTCAAGTTAAATGATTTTCAAACATTTAAATATTGCTTCCTTACTGTAGCATACAAAATAGGGAAATATTTTTTAAATTCAGGATTATTTTCAAAGAATTCGCTAAGGAAGTCAAATACTTTTTCAAATTTCTAATTTTATATAAAATTTTGAATATTGAAAATTATTAAATAAAATTTACCATTAAGAAAATGAGCTTATCTTCATTAGTATTTACAAGTATAGTGAAAAAGTATAAAGCGGTAAGGAAAGGATTGCTCTTTTGATTATTCTTTTTAAGATTTGCACACTCTCTCTTAATGAGTTGCTCATTAGAAATTTAAATTAGAAGATCTTTGTATAGCTTCTGTGATTAGTTCTTAAAATTAAATAATATTATAATTACTTTAATTTATAAAAATAAGTAATTAGTTACTTGTTGCCAAACTATTGCAGTCATCATTGAAAGAGCTTCGTTACGGAGTGGAGCAAAGTTTCTAAATGGTAAAAATTTAAGAGAAGAGCGATAGAGGCCAACTTAAAATTCGGTTTCGTTTTAGAAAGCTGAGCAGCAAATATATTTAACAAAGTCATTTTCCATAATAAAGTCTTTGAGTTCTTCATTTGAGCTGTTAAGGATATTCTCAAAAACAACAATTCTAAAGTTGGTTTCTTCTACATAATACTAAAAATAATTTTTAATATTTTTTTTAAATGTATCAAAAAATTTACTTGAAGCACATGAAGATTTTCTGTGTTAGTGTTGATGAAAGCTAATACAAGCTTATGTTATTTCTTCACTATATCAAGATAGAATTTTCCAAAGCCACTATCATTAAGTAATTACTTCATGTACTATTTATCCACTTCTGTCAAAGTTATTAAAATACGCATAAATATGTGTGCGATAGGAGTTAGCTAGTTTTCTTAATATTTCTTTAAACTCTCCTCTTAAGAGAGATATTCTATATCTTCGTGATAGCTGTAAGCATAGTTAATAAAGTTTTACATCCAGGTAATAAGAGCTTTTGAATTGTCAAGATCATCTAATTAATATTTATAAAATTTACTAAATCAAAATATTTTTTAATAATTAATTTACTTTTGTTAAAGATAACATAGTAAAGACCCATGTTAGAAATATTTTCTATGAAAACTGAGTAGAGAGTTATTATTTCAAGAGCAATAGGATTGAATTAAGCATATTCCTTCAGATTTTAAATAACAGATCTTGCTATGCTTGTGGCGAAGTCAACTAATCGCTTCGCTTCAACAATAATCTGTAAATCCTTGCAAGTAAAGAAGTAGTGCTTAAACCAACTTAGAATATGCTCTAAACAAATCAAAGATTATGAATGAAGATACTTTAAATTCGACAAAGAGTCTTTGAACCTGATAGTAGAAGGATTAACGTAGCATTATTTAATTTCATGAATTATTTATTCTTTTTCTTTTTTATAAAATTCTTTAATACCTTTAATTTAAATAGAAAGAGTGCTGAGGTTAAGCTTCTAGGGGATAGTTAAGTCTGCTTCTTTTAATAAACTGCGAATGCCAGGAGTGTACTCTAAGATGTCGATAATTTCGCTTCTAGCATGCTTTACTATTTCTTTGAATACCTCCTAAACTACAGGAGAAAGTATTTTATTTGTTTTCTATTCTTGTGTAGTCCCGCCTTGCTTTGGCTTAATTAAAAGCTTTAATATACTAGGGAATACATCTATAGAAGAGATGTTTAACATTTTGACTACGCTTTCAGGGCCATTTACTAAGTTTTGGAATATTCTTATAACTAAAATTTTTGAATTGATTAACTCAGCCTTAGTCTTAAATGTCTAAAATAGATTAGTTATCATATTAGGAGTTTCAAAGCAGAAAGCTAATTAGTAAAGATATTGCTTATTAATCTATTGTTTTAGGTAATAGTAATTATTGGCACATTCGATATATCTCTTTCTATCTAATTTATCCTCATAAACTTAATTCATATGAGCAACAATACCAAAGTTTTTGTTTATTTCTTCTGATTTGAGTTCTCTCTATTTTAATTACAATATTAGAAAAATATTCATATGATTATTTTTGATGAAATATTTATATTAAAGGAGTTTTTCAAATGAATATTTTGATGATATATATTTTTTTAAAGAGAATATATTTAAAAAGTATTAAAGAGAAATTAAATACCTATCCTGCATATGATAGATTTATGTTAGCAAATCCATGAGAGATTTCTAGGAAAATTTCGAGTAAATTAGCTCTGACATGAACATCATCTGTATTGAGATAAGGTATTAAATATACAGGAGCTCTGCAGTCGAGAAGAAGTTTTATTTTATCTGTATTGTTACTTCTTAACATGCTCTTGAAGTAGTTAAGAACAATCTTCAAGCTAGCAGAAGTACCTAAAATTATATTAATGAATTTTTAATATGGCTATTTTAAAACATATAAGACATGATGATTTTTACCTGCAATTTTTTCTGAGGAATAAAGGATGTTTAGGTTTTCAGCCATGTTGATTAAATCGTTATAATAATCAGCGCTCTTAGGTAGACGTGAATATATTTAATCATTTAATATTTTCTTCTTTTTGTCAATGTCAAACTCTGAGTAGTTATATTTATCACTGCAGAAACGGATGTAATCTTGCAATACTGGATAGTTACTTTTACCAACACCTGCCTCTCCTACTGTAGATTTATATAAACTTCCAACAACGTTATATAAAATAGGAGTCCAATTTTTGCTTAAAAAGATATATGGACGATGAAGACTTTTTTCTTTCCAGAGTTTATCAGCATCATCTAAGACAGCTGAATCAACATTTCTTTAGAAAAATCTTTCGAAAATAGCAGGATTTTATTTGGTGTTTTCGTATTCTGAGTGTAAGTTTCTGTCTGGTAGACTTCCAACAGATCTATTAAGAATATCAATCATATTTGATTGTAACTAATACTCTTCACCTATAAAGAACTTAACTAGATTTTCTAATAGTTTGTGTACGAAAGGAGCAACTGCAGACTTATAAGAATCAAGCTAATAAATAAGTGATTTCATTAACTCTCTCAAAGCAGTTAATATTCTAATTGATTTTTCTCTTTGCACCAACATATATTCCTAATAATTTTTTGTAACACTTTAAAAAGAATTAAAGAATTTTAAGATATTTTACGTGATTAAGATTAGCTTTGGTGAGAGAGGTCTTTTGAGTGGTTTCAATTTCCTCTAAAGTTATTTATTTATGGTGACGAAGTGAAAGGAAGACAAGCATATCTAAGACATCATTATCAAATAAAAACTAGACTAATACTGAATTTGCATGCTTATTTCTCTATTCCTCTGAATCTTTAAGTAGTGCTTTCATCTTTTTAGGAAGCATAGAGCTGTAAAAGCTATTAGTAGTAATTCCCTGGCTAAATCCATAAAATCCTAAATTACTTTCTTATTTAATGTGGTCAATTTTGCTATTAGGCTAAACTGAAATTGTGGCATGTACATAATCTATAATTCTGATTATATCCATGAAATATAAATCTAATTTGTCTGGATTTTTTATAGCAAGAGCACACAATTATCTTAATGGATCAAAAGCCCTTTCTCTTAATGTGGTTGAAGGAGACTTGTAGAAGAAAACAGTTTCAAATAGCTAAATGGATCTCTAAACTTCATAGTTATCCTGTTAAAAGACAGGAGATTAAAGTAATCCCTCAACTGTTGGTCTCTTTGAAGGAGTGTACTGCAAACAAGCAGAAATTAAATCAAGCACCTCACTAAGTTATTAAAACTCTAAAATAATTATAATAAAAATTTAATGCATTATATTTATAACAACTCATTAATTAATTAATTACCTCTTTCATATTCTTTTCCAGCTGTTGGGAATATTTTGTTAAAGATATTGCCAAAAGTTGATTTATCTATTGCTTTGACCATAGCAATATCAGAAGGAGGAATATATTTTAAGTTAATCTTACTATCAGGATTATCGTTATAATCAACTCTAAGTACTTCTTGAGCTAATTCATCAGAATAAATATCATAGTGGAAGAACTTATTATTTTAAAAAATGATTAATCAAACAAGTAAATTTAGATATTAGTAAATTAAAAATAAAAATTTTTATGTGAATAATGAAACTAAATATATTACTGTGCTAGGTTCAGTAAATTCTTCTTTATCAATATCACCGTATCTATCGATCAATGATTAGTAGAAACTTTTTGGGGGTTAACCGAATAAAATGTGATAAAGCAAGCAGCCAAATCCCCAAATATCAGAGTAGGCATTCCAATCAGCTGTCTTTCTTAAAATTTATTCTGGTGCTAAATAAGGTTATAAGAAGAGCTGTTCTCTATAAAAATGTTTAAATTCTGACTCTGCATTAAAGTATTCTTGGTAATCTAACTAAGTATCGACTACTGCAAGTGGTCCTACTCTTTAGACAAGATTAAATTCTAAATCGGGAATCATGCTCACTTTAGAGAATAAATCATATTTTGCCACACCACGAACATTAGCTAATTTTATTTCATAGGTGTGACGATTTATGAATATGTTTTCAGGGCGAAGAATATTGAGGAAACAAGCTTCGTTATTTATTGCCTGCAAGATCTATAAAATCTATCTAGCTATATATTTGAGAAGATATGTAACAGAGCGCAATTTGACAAGAACTGGAATACGGAAGAGACCACCATTTTGCTGAATTAAATCATACAAGCTAATGTACTCAGCAGGATCAATAGCTTCATTCATCACCATATATTCAATATCACCAAGTTCATGACCAACACGCTTTAGGAATACTCCAATATTCTTAAACATAAATGAGTATTTATTTTAAAGTACGTTATGCAGTTTAAGTTCAAAATCAAGTATTTTAACAAAATTATTGCCATCTGCACAAGTGAAATTTAGAACATCTTTAGTATATACAAATATGTCAACAGGGTAATTATTTTAAATGAGGAAGCCGCTGTAATATTTTATGTAAGGAGTAAAAAAGCGGAGACTTCCTTCATCTTTTTAGAACATGCCGTCATCCATCAATATCCTATAATTAGTTATTTCTAACTCAGTCTATGCACCCATTATCTTTTGTTTGTCAACAACAGCATAGTTATTTTTCTCTGGATCTAAAGAGCCTTAACAAATCTAATCATTAATATATTCTTGAGCTTATCTTCTTAAACCATAAATACCATTCTTGAGGCTTTCCTTAATTTGCTATATAAATTAAAATTTACTAAAAATTCAACTTATTTAGTAAAGTTAAAAATTTACGTTGAATATTTTGTGGATGTCGAGAAGAGAGTTTTATTTAGAAATAAGTTAAAATCCTCTTATTTTTTGTTTCTTTCCAGACAAGAATTTCTTCATTTAGAGATACTTAAAAAATAATATAATTTTTAAAAATTAAATTATTAAAAAAAATAAAATTACTGATGATTTAATATTAACCAACTTGTTGAAAACACTTGAAAATCCATCAAAGTGAAGGAGGATATGTTAAAATACAGGCTTATCTACTGAAATAAAATTGGAATACAAGTCTTCTTGGTTTTGAGTAACTGTCATTTATAATTCTGTTTCATGTATAAGCTTCAAGAGATATTCGCACATATCACCAATGTGGATTTTACCTTAATGATAACTCTTTTAGCTTGCTAATTTATGACTTAATCTTTATATTGCGCTATCTAATACTCCCATGTCCTAACTAATGTATTTAAAGGCATTGTAGAATTCGTTCGGAGTTAAGAATCCATCGTAGTCAGAGTCATACTCTGAGAAGAAATCCTCTAAATTTTGAGATTTAGCTAAATGTTTGCTCATAGCTACAACTGATAAAGTCAAAGGTTTATCAATCCATTCAATTTATTCAACTTGTCCTTTAGTATGTATCTATGATTATAATAATCAATAAATAAATAATTAAATTAATTTGGTTTAAATTTACATGTAGACCATATTTGGAAAGACGTGATTCTAATGCTGATAGGTGAACTGATTCCCCAAATTATTTAGGATCTATGACTCTCATTAATTAGATAAGCTTAGTTTCTGTTTCCACTCTAACACCTATCTTTTAGAGGAAATCATTAAATTACTACTTAGTTAAGTAACCTTTCTATTCTTCATCAAAGAATTTGAAGCAATCCCATAAAGAAATTTCTCTTTAATTAATCACTTTACAAATATGCTCTAAAATACTTTCTTCCAAATCAAGTATGTAGTTGTGGCCTCCTCCAAAGCTCTCACTACCTTCAATTACATCAGTGGACCCATTTAATAACTTAGACTCTCCTCCAATCCAAAAATCAACAAATTCAAGGTATTTTACAACACTATCTGAGTCTGTATCAATGAAATTAAAAGCAGATTTTAACTCTTCCCTTGTGAGGTATACTCCCATTTAGACAAGTGCGTGTCTGAAGTCTTCAATTTCAAATAAACCTATCTTACGTTGGTCTAAAATGGCCCATGCTCTTTCCATTTTTCCTTTAGTAAACTCTCTCAAAGTTAAATAAATGTACATTAAAATCTATTTTATAAAAAAACAAAAACCATTAATAATTAATTTATTTATGATAGCTAAATATGAATTACTTTTTTCTTATTTGCTTTTAAATCATCAATACGAGGGTTGATGACCTTGTTGATTTCTGTTCTTCCATATCTGATGTAGGCCTCCCAGAATTTATTTTTGAATGCACTTAAACTTATTGTACCTTAGTCCTCTCCATTAAAATATCCTTTAATGAGAGATTAAATCTATTTAAAATGGTCAAAAAAAATTTAAACCTACTAAAATTAAATAAAAAATTTACTTTAATTTCACTTAAATCTAGATCTAGAGATTCTATAAATCTTCTAAACTCAGAAGAAGAGATTAGTCCACTGCTATCTTGGTCAATTTTCTTGAAAGCCTCTTCAACATTCAAATTATGCTTCCTTAAATACTCTGCAATTTTTCTGTAAACATCTTACTCCCAAATATTAGAGACATTTTCACTTTCAAGGAAAATTTTACTCTTTTACATATTTTATTTTCTTTAGTACATAATAGTGTCAATCATATCATAAATCTATTCTAAATCGTAGTACTCTGTGTTCATGCTCATGACAAACATATTTTTGATTTCATCTTTTTCATTGTCGCTTAATTTGATTCCATGATTTTTCAGAACTTTATGGAAGTCAAAAATTTAAATACCTAATATTAAATATTAATTAAATATCATTAATAAAATAAATAAAAAGACTCATTTTAATTAAATTTCTAATTAGTTTTAATTATTTAGCCTATTTTTATTTTTGACTGAAATGAGAAATTAAGAAATGAATTAGATAAAAAAGACAGATATCAATTTTTTACCAGTTTTGATCTTATAGATTGCAATATTTTCTTCAGTAGGTCTCACATTTCTTTCATATTAGACCAAATCTTACAATAAATTAGCAGTGTGATTGGTTAGTTTTGAGACAATGTCATTCATTATTTTAATTACATTTCCATGAGTGTACATTTTTTTATACTATTAGGGAATACTTTCAAAAATATCTTAAATAAAAGTATCTATTTCTATTCTTCCACTTTCATCCCTGTCTATGTAGTCAAGTAAGATTCTTGCCTTATCTATTGGTATACCCAAATTTAGAAGTTTTAATGCTTCTAAAAATTCTTCTCTACTTAAGATTCCGTTACCATTTCTGTCGAACACTGCTTTTAACTGTTTTTTGTTGTATCTATTTTTATTTTTTATCGTTTGAGAAAAATTTCAAAAAAAAATTGAAAAATACCTTTTTTCTTGCATGAAAAAGAAAATTTTTTGCATCACTCCTTAAACTTACTGCTTAATTGACATTTTTATTTTTTAGAGATTATGGCTATTGTCTTCTTCTTTGCTTCCAACTCCACTCTTTTAAGCATCTTAAATTTCTTTTTCGTTTTATTTATTTAATTTAGTGAGAGATGTAAAAGCTATGTATTCAAATTTCTCTACAAAACCATCTTAAATGATTTCTCCATAATTCTTTTCATCAAAGTATTAATAAATAAGTAATAGTTCATCAACAGTAAAGTTTTTATCAACTGCCTAGAAAATTTTAAGGAACTCTTTTCTAGAAATAGATTACTGACCTGCTTTGCATAAATATTTAAATCCTTATGCAGCATCAATTTCAAGACGCTTAAAGAGCTAGCCAACCTTATCTATACAAACAGCAACTGTAGGGTGTATAAAATTAACAGTTTCATCAAATGTGATCTGCTCAATTTGTTAACGAATTGCGAAATCCAAGAAGCTCTAAAAGCTCAAATTGCCTACTGCTTAAGCTTACTATGACTTAATAATCTATCTATAAAAGAAATTAATGTCACTCTTTTTAAGTACAACTTCAATCGAAGTAAGTAAACTTTCCAGATTTTTTTCATTTAAAGCTTCATTTTCATTAAAGCCTAATTCGTTTATTTCTTAGCTCAAAGTTTTTTCTATTTATTTTGATAATAATATTAAATAAAATTTACATAATGTTATTTTTTTTCTATTAATTTTAAATTACATCTTTAAGTAAGCTTTATTTTAATTTGTCCCTTAATTTCTTCAAGCTTAGCTGCATCTTTTCTTTCTTGCAATGAAAGAACTTATTCTTCTTAGTCTTTTTTCTATTATTATTGGCTTTTGCTTTTGTAGAAAGCAGTGTCAGCAAGAGCATTGTTCAGTTCACTAAGTGTAATGTATTCTTTGCCATCAATATCAATAGTATTAAATAGTAGCTTGATAGAGTGAATATTTGAATCAATTTACATAAATCTAACTATATTGTTAAATTCGGATAATCTCAATTTACCAAGTTCAATATTATTGAAGTCCTTAAATATTTGAGCCATTTTTACACGGTTCTTTTCTAGGTAATCATTTATTCCAGTAACTATAGTTTAGAGCTAACTATTTTTTTCGTATTCTATATCTTCAAGCTTTTGAGCAGCTTTTAAAGTTTTATCCATGAAATTATTATATGATATAGTAATAGTATCAAAAGAGTTGACTACTACATCAATTTCTTCGAAAGTCAAACCAAGTTTTAGTTACGTGAGCATATTCTTGCATTAAGTCAAAGAGATATCAGGGACCTAATCGACAGCATTAGGCTTCTTTTGTTATTAAGTTTTACTTGTCCTTAATCCTCCTGAGCTCATTTGTTAGAAAGTTAGCTTCCAATTGATTTTTCTTTCCTAACTTTTTTTAAACAATTTATATAAAATTTACTCACTTTAAGCCTTGCTTGTGAATTGATTCAATAGCTTAACAAAATGTCTGTATCTTATTGTCTTAGCATTTTCTTTACCTCCCATCATCAAATCAACTGTCAAGTTATCATCTTTTTCCATTTCATCTCCAGTTCTTAAACCATAGTTTTTTTTAAAGTTCAAGTTATCTGCGTTTAATAGAGATTTAAAAACCATTTCAATCTCTTCATGTTTGAGTCCTAAAGAAAGCCTTTTGCAAGATTCCTTAAATTCGAAGATGCTTAGCTAACCATTACCATTAATATCTAACTTATTGAAAGCTTACTCAAAGTTTCCAAGCTTAGTTGTTATTTTTGCAAATTTTTTAATTGTATTTTCAAGTGTATCGTCGAACTTAATTATTTATAGAGCTCCTGCTTCAATAAATCTTTTTCAAAAAGTTTTTATTTAAACAATTATAACTAATATTAACAAAATACCTATTAAAGAATGCATTAAATGTGATTTTTCCTTGGGGAGTCTTTTCAAAAGATTTGAACACACGATCAAAATCATCGTTGGGGAAATTTACATCCATATTCTTCAATCCAACTCTTAGCTCTAACTATGAAATTGTGTTTGTAGAATTTACATCAAAGTATGCAAATGCTTCAAAAAGTGTGACTCTCTTTTACTCAAGTATTTTATAGAGCTTACGTAACAAATCATTTGTAATCTCCTATGAGCTCTTAGCTTACATCTCTACAGCAGCAAGTATTTTCTTGCAAAGCTCTTTATAATCTATCTTTTCATCTGCAATTTATGCTTGATCAATTTCATCTCCTATAAACGAAATAGATTGTAGTTCAGTTATTTAATCCATCTATTGCTACTCAATTTCTTTATTTCCAAGTCTAGATGGCTTCATAGGGGATAGAGAATAATTATCTTTAAAATTAGATTTTTTTAAGCTGCTCTTCATTTGAGAATCCTTCAACTATTCTTTTGGTTTTGGCTTAGATAAATAAATTTTGTAAAGAGTCAAAATGTGATAACTCTTAACATTAGAAATGCCAAATCTAAGCAAACAGTCTTTCAATTATTTGAAGTAAATAAATCCTCTTTATTGTGTATCTACTTCTTCAAAGGCTTAAAGCAAATCTGCACCTTTTAAGTTAATCATATTTCTGATTTTAGTGAGTAAACTGAGGGAGAAGTCCTTGAGTGGATCTATGTTAAATGCTTGATTCTTTTCACTTTTATTAATAATTAAAACAATTTTTTTGATGAAAATAACAAAAAATAATTTATAAAATACCTCAAAACTTTGATAAATTCTTGCTTAGAGATTTACTCATTTCCATCAATATCAATAATCTTCATGAGTTTCTTAATCTCAAAAATACTCAAACCTAGATTGAGTTATTTCATGCCAATAACAAATTCTTATTAGGATATAACGCCATCGCCATCTTCATCAAATAAATTAAAAGCTCTATGGAGAGACATGTCATTATAAAAAAGTGCTGTGGAAAACTTTTCTAAAATTAAATGCCTAGCATGGTCAGTTATCTCTTCCTCACTCTCAATCTTTTTAATGATAAGTTAAATATCACACTTACCAGTCTCCTCAGGATCAGCAATACGAATCAACAAAAGCTTTTCACGTAAAGTTAATTTTAAATTTAAAGAATTAATGATAAACTTGAATTCATTGATGGGAACTTTAGAATTCTCTGTTATAGAAAGATGTGTACTAAGTAAGGCATCCCACAAAGAAACTCCGTTATCTTTTAGAGTGCCTTTAATCTTAGATATTAAATATTAAATTTATTTGTTTTACTCTTCCAAAACACGGTTAGCAGCAAATGATTAGTTGAGAGATTAATTATTAGACTCTATTTTTGTATTTGTGGCTATTGATTGCTAAGATTTCAGTGATTATAAATTATTTTTCTTCATTGATTACTAGTAGTTAAACATTTCAACCAAACCTTTACTGAATAATTACATATTTATGATTTCTTTTTTAATATCGAATTCACTTTAGTGCATATCTTATATTTTATTTTTAGCTTCTTGTTCAGTTAATTATGAACCTACTATAGCAAACGCGAGTATTTCACCCTATTATTTGTTATCAAAATCATGCTGCAATTACTCTGATAATGCAAGGCTGAAGGTATCACCCCAAACCAAAGGGTATCTGAGCTCACTCCTTTCTTTATCTTTAACGAGTTTGCTATTTTCAAGTTGTTAATGTTTCTATTTAACAAAACGTTCTATGTAGATTTAGTTTTGTTTTGCACTATCGAGGGTATATTAGTCGATCTAATTATAAGTAATAAAATAATAATTTTTATGAAATAATTTATGATAAAATAAAGTTGTTTACTTGTGTTGATGCGATCTTCCAAATTTCTTAGTTAAATTGGTTTGCTACTCCTTTCTTGCAAATATATATTTAATCTAAGAAAAACTAAGAACGTACAAAAGAATTGCCTTGTTTTTCACCTAAAAAGTCAATCAAAACTTCTTTTTCATTTTCATTAAGAGGCACTTTAACCAAATCTAAGAATTAGTAAAGTTCATCAATCGGTATTTGTCCTGCATCATTTTAGATAAACTTTAAGGCATAATTTACATTTACATTAGAGTCAGAAATAGCATAAACAATTCTCTTAATTAACATATTAACATCAATGTTTTCTTTACTTGGATTCAATAATGATTCGTATTACATTTAAGAAAGTTTCTAAATTTCTTCCTTGGATGCATACTTATTGAAGAAATCTTGGTATTCTATCATGTTCGAATCATTTTCGAGAATGTATTCACGCTTAATTATTACAAAAATATTCTATGAAAATACTTTAATAAAATTAAACATTTTACTTAGAAGTTAATCAACAAATCTTCAGAAATATCTTGAATAGTAAAGCGGATTATATTACAGAATTCAGATATTTCAATCTCTAACTTTTTATCAGTATCTCTTGATTCGCAAGCTTAATTAAGAGGTTCTATCATCTCAGGTGCTTTTGTTCTGATGTAATTTACAAGTTATTGTAAATATTATCGTTTCTTGATAATTACAGAGCGGACTGGCTATCCTTTAGGAGAGAAAATGAGCTCACCTAGAGTAATTTACTGATTAATAACGCCCTCGGCATTCTCACTATTAGTGTCTAAAATTTCTAATTATTTCTAGTTTTTAAGCATAGGTTTTTCATTAATATAATCTTAAAATCTGGTGAAAAGGTCTTCTAAAGATATTTAATTCTTATCTGAAACAAATTAAATAATGATTTCATCAATATAATCTCCTGATACATCACTTTTACCTAGAATATATCTTTTTGTAATAGATTTAAAATAAGTAAAATAGCAAAAAATTAGTTTAAATTTACCTTAATTCAGCAGAGTTAAATAATTCTTTTCTATATTTATCCTTCCATTAAAGAAGATCTTCTTACTTATTCAAAAGTGAGTTAATTTCATTGTAAATATTTTTGTGCTCTTAAACTAGTAAGTATTAACTTTTTGTGTTAATCTTTCTCATATAATGCAAGTAATGTGAAAGTGTAACTCTATTTAAAAAAATATTAAAAATTAAGAATTTAAATTAATCATTTACGTAGGTGATTAAGTTTGATCATCTGATATACTTAGAAAATCTGCCAAAGATTTTATTTCTCTAGAGGATATATTAGCAATTTAAAGTTACTCGATTCTATTTATAAACATCTATACACCAATTTACATCAAAGGGTTTGCGACTATTTATTATTAATACATAAACGATTTATAATTACGAAAATATAGATAAATTTTATTCGTATATTAAAATTTCTCAAAATCAAAATAAAATACCAGGTGATTTTTTTACTCCACTTTCCTAAAAATTCTTTTTACGAGATGCGAGTTAAATGCTCTAAGCTTCAGAATAATTATCACTGAAATTTTTGTTTGCTTAGCTGACAGCATTAGGGTCTGCCTCTTCTTTTGTCATAGGTCTATAAATATATTCTAGAGGATATCCTTAATCCAATAGACAAGACTTAATTTTTCCTAAAGAATGTAAGTATTTAAGCATTCCAAGATTTTCATTGGCTGAAAATAGCTTTTTTGTAATGTACTTTACAGATAGTACTTTTGTTGGATCTTCTTCAGAGAATTTCTCAGCATAAAATTAAAATATCTCCTCAATCAGAGATTTATTTACTGTAAGTCCAGCATAATCAAAAGCAAATAAGAAATCTTTTTGTGAAAGATAGCCATCAGCAATACTGTCAACAGCAGATAAGCTAAACATAAGCTTCACTCTTTATTTCTAATTAAACTTATTCATTAATTATTCAATTAATTCTTTAGGTCTTTATATTTAACTCAACTTATATTCTATGATATCTGAAGAAAATTTATCTATTAAAACATTTGATGAAACCTATTTTTAAAAAAAAAATAGTTTTTTTATAATTAGTTAAAATTCAATTGATTAATGGATTGATAACTCGATAGAAATTAATTAAATTTTAATATTACCTTATTACTGAATAAAGGATCAACCTGTGCCATAAATATGACAAAATCTTATTCTGTTGTATATAAACTAAGTTTATGAAGCATCTATAAGAAATCATCTTTAGATATAATTATATTCTCTTAGGTCAAGCCTTTAGCTTCCTCGTATTCAGCAGAGGATGCTTTGGAAAATTCATCATAAAAATTTAGACCTTTTTTACGTATTTAGTGAGAAATCTACTTTTCTAAGTCATTTTAATCTGAAGAATTTGTATTGAATAAACCTTTTTTGCTTCTTGACTTGAACTGCTTACATAAATCAAAGAATTTATCTCTTTAAATATTTAGAGGATGTAAATTATTGAATTTTTTGAGATAATAGAAAAGCTCGTTTGCGGTTATTTTATTTTTTACATCATAATCAGACATAAAGGCAGAGAATGCTTACCTAGAAGGTAATTTAATAAATACTTAGAAAAGAGTTTCAACATCTTCATCTACAACATACTTTTATAGATCCTTTATTTTAAAAAATTTTAATTTGCAATCAAGTTAATATTTTAATTTAATTTTACATCAAATCTGGTCAAGCTTATTTTTTTAAGTAAATGAATCATTTTTTTTAAAGCAGCTTATTAAAGTGTTTTTTTAGATTTCATGACTTCTAATTAAGTAGGTAAAAACATTTAATAATTAACGTATGCTTTTTTTCTTCTTTCTATTGACAGGCTTTCAAGTTGCTCATAAAATTTCCTTGGAATCACTTCATCATGACGATTACAAGGAACTTCTATTTGCATTTTATCTACTGAATATATCCTATTTTATAAAAATTTATAGTTTAGCTATGGTCGGTCAATTTAATGTTTTTTTACCTAACTGAACAAGGATTTCTGGGTTTTTTATTTATTAACTCAGTTTTTTGTATGTTGCAGGTTATTAGAACTTCGATAATATTCATTCTCTTTCCTGGTTGATCACCTGCTATTTCTGGATTAGAAAGGACAGGAATTCTTGCTGTAAAAGAAGATATACCATAGCAAGTTTAATCACCAGTATATATTCTTCTTACTTCACAGAATGGTTCATTTGTTATGGTATATTCTTATTTGCGCTTTTTGTAGTAACCAGGTTTTATCTCAACGCTAGCTTCGCCATCTTAATTTACAAGTGAGTAAGGACGAGCTATTGGATTCCAAAGTTTAATGGTATTATCAGCAGAAGATGATGCAACTAACTAGCAGTATGGAAGATATGTAAAACTTATAATTGAGTCATAGTGAGCCGATTCAATAACTCGAGTTGGTTGGATAACCCAAGGAGGGTTTGTTTCAAACTTAGAAAAGAGCTCTTTTTAAATGTTCCAAATAAGAATGTCAGCTGATCTATTTTTATCGAATTCAATAATTTTTTCATCTTTTTCAAATTAGAACTGACTGAAGGCGTTGTTGAGGAGATGAGGATTCTCATCTTTTTCTTTATAAATATTTCTATGTAATTTTTCACCTGATATTAAGCAACCACTCTGAGGCACATATGCTATTGATGGTGCATTGCAGGTTTTGTGACCCTAAAGCTTAGCTAGCAATTTATTTGTAAATAATTCAACATCACTTTTTGGCTATTAAATTTTTTTATTTTTTGATTTTAAGTCACTTTGTTAGGCAGGAGCTCTATTTGATTTGGAAACAAATATGATTGATGTACGAGGACAAGCAGTTGTGTAGACAATTAAATCAAAATCATCTAAATAGAGGACACTCTCTATGATAACTTTCTAGGTTACTAGATCTAACTCACGCTTTTCTTGAGTATTTACTTCATTATATTCCACAAAGCTTTTTTAAGAAGCAAAAGATTTCTTAAATCTATACTACTCTTTTATACTCTTAAATTGAGTACTGGTGAGTAACTTAATATAATTAACAGATCCGTTATCTGAATATGTGATAGATGTTTTCATAATACTGTCTAGCTCTTCTTCGTTAATACCAACAGGTAACCATTTCAAAATATTTCTGAAGTGTTAAGTACTAATAGTACCTTCTTAATATGGATCTTCTTTTATTAACATCTCTTCAACATCTATTCCAGCTTCATAAGCCTTTTAAAAGCAAAGCATTAAATTTTTTCTGTTATTAAACTGTATTCCTTGAGTATGATTCTCAGAAGCAATACCCAAAATTAAAGAGAACTCTTAAAAGTCTATCATACCGTTTTTATCTCTATCAATAAACTAAATCAATTCGTTAGAGTATTTTAAGTTATCGTCTCCCTTGCACACTCTTTGAAGTATATATTCAAATTCTTAGCAAGAAATAGTTCCAAGCCCATCACTATCAAAAGCCTTAAAGGCATCTTCAATACTTTTTCTCTATCTTTGTAAGAACCTGGCCAAGGAGTTGAGTAAATTGAAAGCTCCCTCAGAAATACCTTTAAAAAAATATTAATAAATTTTTTTAAAAAATAAACTTTACCTGCTAACTTGATGAGCTATTCGGTTTAATCAGGGATTTTAACAGAATGATATTTAATCATTTCATATAAAAATTCAAATTCTTCTTTATCAATAAAGCCTGAGTTATTTTAATCTAAAAATTCAACTAAGTCATTCCAATCATTGCGGCTGTAGTCTTCCAAATCTTTACCAAATATGTTAAACATTGTATCCTTAAAGTCATCAATATTGACAGCTAACGAGTCTTCTGATTCTTTTTTAATTTTACCTTAGAAAATATCTTCAAAAGTAACACCCTTTTGCTAGCACTCTAGCAATTTGAGAGAAATTTTGCTAATCATATCACTGAGTTTATGAGACATGCGGAAATCAGATGGAGAAATGTAGAGAATATTAAAAACACATAATGAAATAGGATCAACAAAGATTAAAGAGTTATTGATGCAAGTACTGTTAACTACAATTACTTGATGAGAATGTTAACTTAATTAGATAAAATCAGGGAAAGCATTTTAAAATCTTCTTCCGTAGCAGGTATTAATAGCTTTTTGAGTGTCAGTATTAGCAGAGAATAAAACTATCTACCCTAAAGGACTACTGTTGTCTTATCCTAATTCCCATACTTCGATATTCCATTTATCAGTTAAAATATAAAGTCTTATTTTTACAAATGATTTTTAAGTTATGTAAAGTTATCACATAAAAAAATTACCTTCCACTATTTTGATCAAAAGTAGCATCAAGAGCATAAGCTTCACAAAGAGGAACTTTGACACTTAAGTCGAGCTCAATTAATTTCTTCTTGCTACACATGTCATATTAATGCAAATGGGATTGCTTATCAAGTACCATAACTCTTCCTGTTTATGTACTAGTGAATATACATTTAGGAAGTATATCAATATTTTCTGCTTCAAAATCTTTCAAGCATACAAATACATCTTTTAAAACAGGACGTTCTTCATACTTCTTTTGTATTTCTTTAGATAAAACTAAACTTTCACCAAATCCTACTGCCTTCTCAATTAGGTCTTCCAAAATATTTTAGCACATCTCAATATTTTTATTTTTTTATTATTGCTAAAATTGTTGCTCGCTTGTACCTGTACCTTTCTTATCAGGGATGGCTTCTTCTAGTTATTTGCTAAGAGGATTCTTTTCTGGAGCTATAAATTAATTAATTAATTTTTTTGAGTAAAAAGTAAAACAAAATTTCAAAAAAAATACCTTTTCCCTTTTTACCAGTTCCCTTTATAGAACTAGTTCCTGCTTTTGCCTAAGCTTGATCGCTTTCTTATTTTTTAACTTGAGATGAAGCTATCTAATCGTCTTAAAAGAAGTCAGTTAATTCTTTAGGACGCATAAATTCTCCAACTCTTTTCAAATCATTAACTTCTTCATGTGCCTCTTCTTTAATAGCATTAATTCCAGATTTTTTTAAATTCCCTGAAGGTCCTTTAGATGTAGATTTACGATCTTTAGCACCACCTTTAGAACTTTTTCCAAATGTAAGTCTTTTATTATCTTTTGCACCACCTTTTTTCTAAGCTGCTTTTTGCTTTTCAAGTTCTTCTTGCATTTATTTTCTTTATTTCTTTAACTTAAACAGCTTGAAAAACCTTGTAATAGTCTTTGAATGACGAGCAAATATGTCTTATTATATTTATGTATTAGAGGGGAAAATAATAGGGAGTAGTTTTTTATAATTGACATATATGTTATTCTCAACTTATTGTAATACTTTGTCTTTTATAAGTTGTTTTTCATCAGTAGATGTGAATGGAATCTAATTCAACTCTAAAATTTCTATATTTTTTCAATTTAAAAAAAATTATAAATTTAAATAGACTCATTTTATTTTTTTGAATAAATTATTTTTAAATCTAAAAAATTAAACTCTTATTTCAATCTCTATTGGCATATAAAAATTTAATCATTCAATGCTTTTTATTTAAAATAAATATATTTTAATATAAAATATACTTTTAAAATCATCGAATGTAATCATCCATTGGCCTTAAGAAACATCTAATCTCTAGAAATCCTCAATAATTTTCTTTTTGAGCCTGTCTAACTCTATATAATTATTAGAAAAATAATAAATTATGGTTTTATTCAAAAGCAAAAAAAATTACTATTTCCAAATCTAAACTTAAATTTCAAATAAAGAGTGTTTAAATTTTATCCATTTTCGATTAGTTTTTCAAATAATTTAAAGCTTAATTTTTTTGAATAATAATTAGCAAATAAGAAGAATAATGCTTTGACAACATCCTCTCCTAATTTAGTCTGCTTGCACATAAAATTTATTAATATTATAAACTCTTCTTGGTCTAGGTAGCCGAATTATTTTTAACTAAAAATATTAAACAAATCTCTTAGGGTTTTATTAGTTTTTTCAAGTTTATCATGAACTTAATCGCTTAAAACCTTCATTACATTTTCAAGTTCTTATTATCTTTTTAAAAATATTTATGTTCTAGCTCTTGCTTCTTTGGCTTATTTTCTTCTTTCCTAAGTGGATATTTCTTCTTCTATTTATTCTTAAGATTGAGTCATCAATTTTTCTAATTTTTATAATATTTATCAACTTGCATTTATTTTAAATTATATTTACTTATCAGATTTTTCTTAAATTTCTCATCAGCCTAACCCTAGTAATCTTCATTTGCTTAAGAGTGGAGCTTTGTCAAATATTCTACTCTTGACAATTATGATTTATCAACATTTTACTCATAAAAAGATTTAGCTTCGTTTTCGAATTCCTCTTCTTCTTATTGTTCTCTTAGCTTTTTCTCTCTTTCTTTTTTTTGCTATTCAATAAGTAAATTTTAATTGATCTCTTCTTTCTAAACTTAATGCTCATAAATTTCTAAAAATTCTTCTTGCTTTAAATTTCTTTTTCCATCTCTATCTAAATAGCTGAATACAGTTTTCATTTAAATTCTGCTAAATCTATTTTATTAAAAAAAAATTTATTTATTTATTCATTTGCACTTTTACAATATTGTTATTTGATTTATGTATTTATCAATTTACTCGTTATTTGTGAACTATGATACGAAAGCACAAAACTCATCTTCAGTAATTTTATTGAAATTTCTTGCTGAAACACTTTCTAAGAAGAGTCTACGATTGTTAAAACGACTAAGCATTATTTTCCTGATTTCAGTTATGACATCTTCTGCAACACTTTAGAGTTAAAATGCATTAGTTACTACTTTCTTTTCCTAACCTAAAATTACATTCAAGAATTCATTAAAACTAACTTTATCGTCTTTATTGAAATCAAAACGAAAATAGGCTTCATCAAGAATTTGCTCTTCTACTTTTATATTAGCTTTTTTGAAAGCTAGCTTGAACTCTTCTTTACTTATGTAAGAATCATTATCACTATCAAGCATACGGAAAATATCTTTAAGAGAACGATGAGATTGAGCAATTTTTTCTCTCAAGATACCAATTAAATTGTCAGCACTTTAGTTCATGGATAATTTCAATTTATCTGTTTCTGATAAAGGCTCATCCAACTTTTTTAATTTTTTTTCCTCTTCTTATTTGCGTTTTTATTCTGCTTTAAATGCTAATCTAGCACGATATTCTCTATATTTTTATAAAATTAAAATACCTGCTGCAGCTTCATCATACTTTCTAAAAGTACGAACTCTCTTATTTCCGTTTTTTAAGTCAATCATTAAAAATTTCTTTGTTAAGTGAGAAATAGAACTTTTGTAGCGAGTCACACTTGCAATCAATCTAACATAGTTAATCCAATTATATTTTCTATCAAGGCATTTAACTTTTTCTATGTACTGATCAAATATTCTTGGTGAAACAGCTTCAAAAAATCCAAAGTTTTTCATGACTGAATATAAATCTTCTTTTCTAACAAAACCTCTCCAAGCATTGGCTCTCTTAAGTTTTAAAGACTCAAACAGTTCATCTGACATTCCAATTTTGAAAGTTACATTTAGTGCAGGTTAGCGGCTATTCTTTTCGTAGTTGAGCAACATAGCTGCAATTTTAAATCTATGAATCTTGATTAAACCATGAAAATTAATGAAACATTCTTCTAATAATGTCTTGTCATCTAATTTAAGTCCGCCTAAAGATTTATCTCCTATTTCTTCAGTGGGATTTGAAGTTTCAGGATAGATCTCCTTCTAACTAATCCTATCAATTATTTTTTTACTATTTGCCTCTTGTTTCTTTTCTTATTATGTAAACATCAAACTTTATTTAAGCTATGAGTTTAATTCCTTATGAGGATCATCACTTTAGATAAAGCGTTTCAAGCTTTAAGTTTTTTGACTTTAGACTAATTCCTTAGCTATGATGCTAGATTCATTATCTTCTAACTGCTAAAATCGTTTACTGCTGTTACTATACGACATCTAAGAGTTTTATAAATGATCAAATATTTTTCCTGAAGGTACTTAAGAGTCACGAAGATCATCAATATATTCGGACTTAATAGTGGCTGCAGGATCAAATTTGACGGATTTTTATAATTTATTAAATCCTTTAGAGTTCATAGTGTATTTTGCTTCTTAGCTTATATTATAAAATTTACTGTTCTAATGATTGTTTTGAGTAGTTAATGTATCCCTATTTACTTCCTATATATCTTTTTGAATTAATAATTAATACTTTCTCTAAAAATATTAATTTCTTAACCAGTTTTTTTTTATATAATTTGTTATTTATTATTCAATAAAAATAGTTGAATCTAAACTTATATGTTATCTTTTTTTAAATTTTTATGACTTTTATTATAATAAATTATATGTATGAATATATATAAAGTATTTGGTCTCTTATCAAATTTCAAATCCTTAATGTTGCGCCTACTAAATAAAAATTTATTTCAATTAATTAATATTTTTTAAATTTAAAACAGTGGTAAGGAAGAATCTAAAATATGTTCATGCAATTATTTACACAAATATCCAGTACTTATTTATATATTTTTTTAAATGCAATCTTTAATTAAATTTACTATTTCTCTCTTCATTTTAATCACTTTTGAAAATAATTATTAATAATTTCTAAAAAAATCATTTTTTGATTAGATTTATTAACCAATTTAAAATTACATAATTAAAATTAAATTATGCTTTTATTGATTAATTGGCTAAAAACCTTAAAAGCAATAATCTCTAAATTGATAATTACTTTAACAGAAAAAGTAGTTCTTCAAAATAATCCATCAGATTTTAGTTTCAGATTTTAAATTCTTTATTATAAAAATTAGATATTTAGGAAATGTATATTGAGAAATTTCATAAATCTAATAGAAGTTTCTCTAAAGGTTCTGCTCATTAGTCAAATACAAACTAACTGAAATAACTAAAATCAAATAGGCTGAATAACTCATTAAACAAAATTAGTTAGTATGATAAAGATGATAAAGCTCTTAAAGATTTATAAAACTCGTTGATTGGTTAATATGACCACTTTGAATTACAAGAAATATAAAATAAAAATATCAATGAAAGTAATCTTAGATAGCTATTTTACTCATAAAATGCAAGGGGAAAATCTGATTCGATTTAAAAACCTGCAAAACCTCCTCTAGATAATTCTAAAACTTCTAAAGAAAAATAAAGATTACAGTAGATTTATACTAACTTAAATAGTAAAGGCCATCGCAGAATAGATTAAAAGCAACATAATATCAAATAGGATACAAAATAAAATACACATGAACACGAAATATAGAAACATAATTTAAACTAAGAGTAGCAGATAAAACAGTAGTTAAATTTAAATTTATAAAATGATAAAAAGTATTGTTTTTATGATGCTAGCTACTATTAAAATTATATTAGAAACTCTCCTTAAGATTTTGATGGCAAAAACTCTAGTTAAAATTCTTCATTTTACTCTCAAATGGGAGGTAAATCTAACTAATAAGATGAATAAGCTCAAGTAGTTGTTGATTCAATTTAAGCAGATAATTTGAACAACATTAAAACTATAACATCATCAAATAATATAAGTAAATAAGATATAACAACGTTAAATCCATCATTTTATAACAACAAATAGAAATTTATATCAAAATTCTAAAACTAAAGTCAAAACTAAAACTCACAAGTTATTAATTAAAGTAATTTATAAAAACATGCAGTTACTTAGGATCAAATTTAACAACAATAATCTGCATATAAGTAGTCAACTCAACATTCATCAAATAATCATATGCTTACACAAAGCACGGATTAGAGCAAATAAATAAAAAATATTTCATTATTAAAATTAGAATAAGCACAATAAAAAAATGACCCTTTAGCATAAATAGATGAACTTAAGTAAATCATGATGATTGAGCAATAAAATATATCAAAAATACTAAATAAGGTAAATTTAATGTAAATAAATGTAAGTAAAAATTAAAAAATAAAATAAAAATAGGGAAACTAAGTACTCTAACCTAAATTAACTAACAGTAGTATTAAAGAATAAAAGACAAGTTTTTATAAGAAGTCAGATATCTCAATATCTGATATAAAGTAATTAAATTAACTAAAAAAAACAATATTTTAAATGTTATAGTTTTCTTTTTTTACTCAAATATAATCTAAGTACAAATTCAATAATTTAATAAAATTATTTCTTTAATAAATTTTAATTTTATTATATCCTTTTCTTATTTTATCTTCATAAAAGTAAAGAGGGATTATTAGGAGCTTATGAAGAATACAATAAACTGAGTAAACATGAAATAATTGAAAAACTATTAGTCTCTGAACATATAATGAAGCAACTTTATAAAAAAACTAAATAGTATTAAGAATTGATCTTGCAAATAAGCTAATAAAAGTAAGAAGAATAATCTTAAAAATGATATCTTAGGTCTTAAAATTTTTGAATTCTAAATAACAAAATCACCATAAGATTATAATTAAAAATAAAATAATTGCATAACTAACTAGATCATTTTAATTTATATATTTATTACTATATTTTAATTATTTTTCCTTATTTTATACATAGAAGTTAGAATACATTAATTAATACTTGCAAATTATCATAAGAAATAATATATTCTATTAAACTAAAAAATTTTATGTACAATAATTTAATTTGTAAGTTGATAATTTTATAAGTACTTACCTTTATTACTTATGTTTGTAATTATTAAAATTTATAATTTTAAAAAGCATATTATTGGTCTAATTATTAATAAAAAATTGAATAATAAATATTTTATTAAATCAATTTTACATTAGATTTTCTTTAAAATTCAAAATTAATGTTAAATTTTTAACTAATTATTTTATATCATGCAATAAATAATAATAAAAAATATATTTACTTACAAAAAAAATGTTGTATAGCTCTAATAATCAATCAAATTATATCACTAAAATTTATTTATTTAGAATTTTAAGTAACGTTTCTTCTAGTATTTTTAATACTTTTTATTTAATTTGCTCGTTACATAATAAAAATAAATCAAAAGTGCATTTAATTTGGAGTAAAATGACGTTTTTGTTGATAGAAAACCTAAAGAATTTAGATGAAAAGAATAAATCCATAGTATGCAATCTTTTGATATATATGTCAAAGATGTGAAGATTTTTTTTTAGTTAAGCGCTTTTTGCTTAAAATAAATTATCTTATCTTAATAAAATAATCAGAAAAGATATTCAAAAATACCAATAAAGTTGAAAAAGTAATTTAATTATTATCAAAAAAAGTTTATTTTTACAAAATTAAATAGGAGTAGGTCAAGCAAGAATTATAAAATAAATGTTCTCTAAATTTAGTTAATATTTTACAAAAAAGACTTTTGGTTATGGAAGTTTATCTTTGTTGAGCTTAGTAGGAATCAACCACTAACTCTAAAAGAGTAAGACCACTGTTTATTCTAAGGAAAATGATGAAATTAACGTATGTGTTACAGGAGCTGCTGGTCAAATTGGATATGCTTTCTTACCTCTCCTTCTTACAGGATAATGCTTTGGAGATAAAAAAATAAATCTTCGTTTGCTTGATGTTCCATAAGCAGAATCGATTTTGTAGGGAGTTGAGCTTGAACTTTAAGATGGAGCTTACCCTCTCCTTAAAAGTATTAAAACTGGCTCTAATGAAAGTATATTGTTTTAAGATGTTGATGTAGCTGTCTTCATAGGAGGTTTCCCAAGAAAGCCAGGCATGGAAAGAAAAGATTTACTCACTATAAACGGAAATATTTTCAAGAAATAAGGTTAAGCTTTAGATACAGTTGCTAAAAAAACCTGCAAATCTTTAGTAGTAGCCAATCCTGCCAACACAAACTGTCTCATTTTAGCAGAAACTGCTAAGAGCATTCCAAAATAGAATTTCTCTGCATTGACAAGATTAGACCACAATAGAGCTATTAGTTAAATTGCTCTTAAAGCTGGCTGCTCAATAACTGATGTAAAAAATGTTATCATTTGGGGTAATCACTCAACAACTCAATATCCAGATGTAAATCATGGAACTGTCTTAGGTAAAAATTACAATTATATAAACAGCTTACAATTAAATTAATTAAAAAGATTTCATATACATAAAATAAAAAACTAACTTATTCCAAAATACAAGATAGATAATATCAATATTTGAGAGAGAATATGAGTTAATGTATGTTTATCAAAATCTTATTTTCAAATAATAAGTATGATAATTTTTTAAAAAATAAATTTTATAAAAAAGGAAAGAGAATCAGATAATTTATTAACGATGAAGCCTATTTAAATAATGCATTTATTGAAAGAGTGTAAAAAAGAGGTGGTGAAGTTCTTGCAGCTAGAAAAAATTCCTCTGTTATGAGTGCTGCTAATGCTGTCAAAGATCACTTGCATGACTGGTATTTTGGAACTAAGTCAGGAGAGTTTGTATCAATGGCTGTTTACTCAGATGGCTCATATGGTGTTCCAAAAGGACTCATTTTTTCTTATCCAGTAACTTGTTCTAACTTTAACTATAAGATCGTATAAGGATTAAACATTGATGAATTCTCTAAAGAGAAGATAAGAATTACAACTGAAGAACTTCTTTCAGAAAAGGCTGATGCATTTTCTGCTTGAAGAAATAAATATAAATTCTAATTAATAATAAAGTTTTTTTATTTTATAACCAAATTAAATGTTAATTATAGATCAATAAATAATTTAGTTTGATAAAATAATCATTAAAAAAATTATTTCACAAATTTAAAAATTCTCATTTTAACAATCTTAAAAAATTAACTAAATAAAGTTGGTAAAATACTTTCATAATCAATTTTACTTTTTATTAATATCTTCTTAAACTACATTTATGATGTTTTTATATTATTAGCTTAGTTGTATCTTGTATGTATGTATGAAAATATATTTTTGTAAAGTATTTGTAAAATTAATTATTTTTTTTAATAAACAAATATTTTTTATATTTTTTATAAATCATAAGAAATAAATATTATTAACTTTAAAATATATTCTCAAAATTTTTTTTTGTTTAGCTTCATTCATTTTTATTAGTTCAAGAGCTTTAAGACTCAGGATCACAGCAAGAGCAGCAAACTTTCTTTACTATTCTTTGTCCAAAAGGTATAAAACTCAAAGTATACCATATATAGGAGAGGAATTGGAGAACTATGAAAGCAATACATAAAGGTATAATTTTAACAGCTAGGGCGAATACTAAAGTTCCTGCCATAGATAATATGAAAACAATTGTAGTGATAATACGAGATTTATGTTTCATAGCTTTCACCTAAGATTTAGGTCCTGAAAGAAAACATGTACTATTTATAGTAAAAACTATTTAAATATTGATTTTGTTGAATAGTAAAAATACCCCATGATGCAGACTATATTTCCGAGGGTATAAAGTACTGCGAAAAATGCAATATCTTTGTTTCTACTAAAGAAAACGCCCATAGCTAATATAGAGATTATCCAACCTAATATGAATTGAATATTTATTTACTCACATTTAGTTGTTTGAAAAACGAAATTACCTATCGCACTACATACAATGAAACCTATCAGTCTTTATTTATAGGATAGTTTGGGACAACAAGAATCTAATAATTCATCAGATTTACTTTTTTTTGTAAAGAAGAGCTTGTCAGACATTATTGCTTTATTAATTTTACTATTATCTTACTTTAACTATTTTCAAAATCAATCAAATTAAAAAAAATTTTAATGTTATAATTTGTTTAAAGATATGAGAAAAAAAATATATAATTAATTAATGAATACATCTTTTAATAATCATCAGCAAGTATGCCAAAATTTCTGATAGTAATGAATTTAAATAATTCTAACTATAATAAAATAATATATTGCTTTCAGCTCAACATTCATTTAAATGTAAGATTGGTATTAATTAAAAACAAAGGATTAAAATAGGTTGCAAATAAATGAAGATTTTGTAATGTATTTGTTATGTTATAAAATTGTCCATTTACAAATTATAAAAGAAGAAATAAATATGTTTGTTTGTTTATAGTTTGAGATTTGAAATTTGAGTTGATTTACTACAATATAAGCAAGCGTGTATTAATGTTTGTGTGTATGCATGTATATCTGTTTGGTGTTTTTAATTAAATTTTTGAATTAAATCAAAGATTTCTACTTTATATACAAAATATCTCTTTAATCAATTTTATCTTCTTTTTTTGTCAATTAAAAATTTTTGTTAATCATGCAGATGTTGATCCATTAGGTGTTTTTTTGTTTTTTTTTCTCTTTGCGAAAGAAAATTTATTTAATCTTGAATTCCAAATAGCACCTGCTATAATTAATACATTTCCAGTGTATGTTAAGTAGTTATGGATTTCGAAAATCATATCGCTGCAAATCATTAAGCTTCCAATTGCACTAATTATAAATGGCGGGTATTTACAAGTGTTATTGACAGAGTAAAGGGAAATAAGTGAAATTCCAATGAAGAAAAAGGCAATGAAATTTAAGTAATGAATATATTCAACTATAGGAATGCCAAATGCACTAAAAAATGCAGAGACAGTTGAAAAATAAATACTATTGCATGCACCTCCTGAGCATATTGTCATAGTATTACCCATTAGTGATAAAATACTATTGATAATTAACTAAGTAAAAGAAACTTTCTTCTCATCTTCATCAGAATTATCTTTGAATGGAAGATATTAATCTTCAATTATGTTTTTGCATGCTACTGAGTATCCCCAATAAGAAAAAAATATCACTGCTATAGCTGCTAAGATGTGCTTTAAAGACTCATTGACTTGCTCAGGCGTCTCTGAATCATCTATTTTTTATAAATACTAGCTTAAGAAAAGTGCAATTACTATACAACTACTAAGAATAATAATTTATGTGAATTTCCAAATCATTATAAGTTTTATATCTTAAAAATTTTATATTTTGCTAGCCATTGACTATGTTTTTGTAAGGAATATCAATACTTTTAATAAGCTATAAATGAAAAATATATTTGTAGGAAGGAATACGATCCACCATTTTACATAGAGATTTTTTTCTACTTTTGCATAAAATATGGCTAAACTCAATAAATTAAGAAATCCAAAGCTAGTTGAAGGAGGAGATACAATAACCTTCTGTTCCATTTTAAATAAATTATTATCCTAAATTATAATTTTGAATGATTTGAAACCTATTTTTATTACTTAATTGACTGTTTTTCTAACAATTTTAAGCTTAAATATTTGATATATAACTTTTAGCTTATTTAGAATGTAAACAACATTAAGAAAAAGTCTTAAGTCCATATAAATACATTTTTAATAATTTAATAATTGAGAAATTGAGGTGTAATAGTTTTAATTCTGAATTAGAAACATTCAAAAAATCATTTTTTATTTAAACTTTTATCATAATAAATTAAAAGTAAAATTTGAAAGCTGTTAATTAAATATATAAAATTTAATCATTAATTTAGATTTATAATATCATTTTTTATCTCACTTTTTTAATTAATCATTAACTAAAATAATATTTAAGCTAAGATTTTAACGTTTTGATTACTGAAAAATTACGGTTCTTCATATTTTTAATCACAAAAAAAGAAATAGTTTTAATAAAAATGTAAATAAATTCTTTATATTTTTCTTTGAATGAGTTATTTAAATATATTTTTTTATTATTTTAATAAAGATCTATGAGAAACGGTACAAAAATTTGTTTATTTTATAAAAATGAGTAGGTTAATATTTTACCATAATTTAAGAAAAAAAATAAATGTGGTTTTTTTTAATTGTAAGTTAACAAAATAATGAGTAGATTCGCAACAAATGATAAATTTATTAGCAGTTATTTACTGCTTATCTGAGTAATTTAATCAATTTTTTGGAATTTAGCTTACTTTATTTATATTTAATGATTCTAATTTTACTTATGTATTTTAAAGCAAGAATAACTAACATTAGGAAAAAATAAGAATCTTTATTTGTGATAAGTATTTTCAGATATATCGATGGGAAAATTTTTCTAATTAGTAATTATTGCTTATTTACTTTAAATTCTGGGGAGAATTAAAATCTATTTAGATAATTATGTGTATTTACATTGCAGCGAAAAACGATATTTAAAAGATATTGAAAATATTCTACTTCTACAGATGTAATTTAAATTAAGAATTACCATACGTTTTTTTTTCTGCTATAGATGCAATTATCCATAATTGATTTTTAAAATTGTGGAAAAACTCTCAACATTTTAAAGTACGCTTTTTTGTGTTTCTAGTAAAGATATAGTTTTAAATTTAAATGCAATAATTTTGGAAAAATTGAATGTAACACAAGTACAAGATAATGATTCTTTGCATAAGAGAGACTGTAAATTTAATTCATTAAAAATACTTTCTTAAATAAATTTTTATTATTTTTGATTAAATTTGACTAAAAATCAACATATCTATGATTATATTGATAAAATTATCTAATTATGTTTAATTTATAATTAATTCACCAGCAGCTTTCCTTATTCGTGGATATAAATTGATTAATTATAATGAGGAGCGACCAAAAAAGTACAATATGATTTTTGAATTTTAAAACAAAAACTTCAAATTATTGGATTTGAAGTACTTGAAGTAGAAGAGCCAAAATTTTTACTTCCTAATGAGTTACCAAAATTTAGATTTTATAAATAACTTAATTTTAAAGTATCTCAGCTCAGACCTCAAAAGATTTTAATTAAATTCTTAACTTACTAGTTAGAGTCCTGCTTAAGCTTGAACATAATGATGTAAGCTAAGGTGTGCTAAATATTATTTGAGTGCACTAGAAAATAATAACTTTTATTTTAAAAAACTTTGTTAAATGAGAGAAAAATAGTTTTAGACATTTCTTTGTTCAGCAGCGAAAAAGAAAACAGATTAGCTAAAATACTAAAATTAGCTGAGTTTAAATTTGTAAACTGCAAGCGATATAAGTACTATAAATTATTTAGCAAAAATGTTAGTTTATTTATGCTGAATGAAAGAGTAAATTACTAGTGAAAGTAAAATTAAGATTATTTGCTGGCTAAAATTTTGAAATGAAAAGCTAGGTATTTGTCTCTATTAAGATTAAATTTGAGCTAATATTTTTTATCAAGCTAATTTGAAAAGAAAAAAGTTAATACTTTAAGCAAAATTAAGAAAAATAAGAATGAAAACTTAAAATTTATTTTTGTTAAAGAATTTTATTATTGAGTTATAGATATTACATTTTTTTAAAAGTGTTTAATTGTTGTATTATGGAAGTTAGGGTAATTTGTGAAATATTCACTACCGCTTAGCTGTAAATACTTTACTATAAGTATAGTAACTTGAATTACTATACAAGAAATTTAAATAAATTAAATAGTGTAACATTAAATAGTTTAAATTAAGTTGATTGATATAGAATGATTATTACAAGCAAACGAGAAAAACTAGAATAGTATTACACATCTGATAAAATATAAATATATATATATAATATAGTAATTTATTATATTTGCTGTGACTTTTATTATCCTTTTTGTCAGCATAAAATTAATTAAAAAATTAGCTTATATCCATCCGCAGAACCCCTAGCCATTAGTTTTATTTTATCGACTATTTATTAGTTTTTTCAAATTGATTGCCATTTGCTTGAGCGGTATATTGGTTAAGTAAAATAGTAATAATTTTATTTATTTTTGTTATATTGAAATTTTGAAATAATTTGAAAGAATTTTGTATATGAACATTCAAGCTGTTGGCAATCGGGTTGATTGATCAAATAAATATGTTCTTAAAAAGAATTCGATAAAATATTATCAAATGAACGGCAAAGGAAGGATGGAGGGATATGAAAGCTTAATTGCTTATTTATACAGGAGGATTTTAAAATAGCTTGACAGGATGTTATTAGCATCTAGCTAGCTAACCAGTTAGGTTGGTATGAATGAATTGAATGAAGCTGACTCATTAGAAATAGGAAGTAAAGTTTTACATAGCAAATTGTTAACTAAATTGTTTATAGAGTTTAAAGTGATAGTTGGTTATTATATTGTAAGAGTTTGTTATTTATTTATTTATTAATGATGATATTTTTTTTTTAGTATTATTTTATAAAAGAAGAAATAGATTGATTGATTATAAATGAAAAAGTCTCTGGAGAGGAAAAATCTTTTTTAAATTAATTTAAAAGCAAATTTTTGATTCGAAATTCAATTATTTTCTCAAAGGAGTACTTGTTCTAAGACAATAGCATCTTACTTGGGAACGTTTCTGATGTTTTTGGTTAAGATCAATTTGTAGAGAAAGCCTTGGACTTAGCTGCTGGTTTTGTTAAATCTTCTGTTGACAGTTTAATTAGTTTAATTGAATTAGTTGTAGAAACCTTAGTAGGGAATGTCAAGGCTTTCATACTTGAAAATTGAGGGTTTCTTAGAGTGAGTTTTGATCTTTTCCTATTCTTCAGCAAGTATTTAGTTTACTGCTTGTTACTCGCTGAATTAACGTTATTATTCAGAGGTGGGATATCCTACTTGTACTAATTGGGGAATACCGAGCTCTAAGAGTTTCATGTACCAGAGTTATGCTTCAGCTGAATTTAAGAATAGGAAAGTAGTTGACAATTCATTTTTGCTGAATATTATCTTTGAGTTGACGTATTATCCATTTTATTCAGAAAATATAGCAAACTTTACAAGACCATCGAAAATCAATGTGCTTTTTGCAAGTCTATCCTAATTATTTATTAAAAGATATATTTAGTTTTATGAAATATTAAGAGAATGAATAAATTAATATATAAAAAAGATTTAATCTTCTGTTTAAATTGTTAAAATCAACTCTTATTTTTGTTTAGTCTGTTATGATTTGATAAATATCAAGTAACAAAACTTAAGCTTCTTTATTTTATTTTCAAAAATTTAGTTCTATAATTAATTCAGAGTAATCTTGTAAGCACAAAAAAAAAAGAGAGAGAGTAAAAAAATTAATTAATTTCTTCTCCAAATATTGTTATCACCCTGTTAGATAAATTATCGAATGCGTTACTAATAAATACTGTAAATTGCTTTTTTGAATTATCACTGTTTTAATATAACACTTTTTGATTTAATAGATTATTATTTGGTGGATTTACGTTATCAAATATCAAAGACTCCAATACTTACTTTTTTGTAATTTTCATTATGATTGTATAAAATGGAGAGTAATATTTATTGATGAATAGCGCTTTTATTATTTGATTCAAAATCGCTTTTACATTTGTAAAGGATTTATGTTTTGTGTAACAAGTTTTATGTATCCATTTAAATCAAATTTATGATTTTAGAAGGAAAATTAATATCTTCAGTAAAAATTAGCAACGATCGATTGAGTTTCTGAATTAAATATTTCAAAAAATAAAAAGAGCTGTTCAACTAAGCAAAATTAATTAAAAATCAGGAGATTTAGTTAGCTCTTATTGTTATTAAATTAATTGCGGGTTAAGTATGAGTTATTTAGTATTCTTTTTGCGAGAATCAAAAATAATTTTAACAATAAAACAATTTTTATGAATTAAATCATTTAATGAATGAATTATATATTGTGTTATCGTAAAGTAAAAAGCAAATTACCTATGCAATAACAACTTAGTCTTGAAATAAGCATAAATTAAGGTAAGTCTAAGAGGATTGTTCAATAAAACTGCTATATAAAATAGGAGGACATTAAGGAATAGTGATGTAAGATTGTGCCTAATGTTATTAAGCTTGAGCATTATATTGAGCAGTAAAATCTTAGGTTTCTTGAACGCAACAGTCAGCCATTTATGTATATGCGTTGTTTACTTGATTGTATATTTGTAATAAATAGGTAGGTGTTATAAAGATATATTGTGATTTTAAGATAGTAAAATCTTTGTTTGTTTTTTAATTTTTTTGTTTTTTTTGATTTTTTGATTAATTATTAAATTTTTTCTGAATTATTTATTATTATTAATAATTTAATTTCAATTTTTTATTTTTAAATTTACTGTATAAAAGATAAAAGTGAAAATTGAAAGGATTGATTCAGTCAATCAGTCAATCAATTGATCTCTAAATATATATTAAGGGGGTAAAAGTGCAATTATAAAATAAAAAAGATTCTTTGTTCATTTATTAAAAAAAAGTAATTAAGGAAAATCAGGCTTTTCCTATACAACTTATTCAATTCCTATCATTCATTTTAATATTGTGTCAGTTTAACAATCATAGAAATCATTTAAGCTACAGAAGTTATAAGTATATCAACTTTTTTACCTTAGTCCTTCTTTTAATTTCACTTGGAACATACATAATTAAATAATAAGATCAACTCTTAGCTGTTAAGCTTAGCAAGTACTTAAAGAGGAAAGGCCGCACTGTTTGTTAATTTCCCTACAATCAATTATAATGAAGAAACTTTTCTTCTTTGCTTCTCCATCTCTTTTTTAACAAATTTTGCATTTCTATCTATCTATCTCTCAATCTGTCTATTTATTTATTAGATCTATCATAGACTAATATTAACTTAATTCTTTTAATATTTATTTAGCAGTATTAGAATAGATCAAACAAAGTAATAAATTCAAAAATTATCCTTCATAACTCCATTTATGTGCAAAACAAATTAAAAAGCAAGAGAATGAATATTATCAAGCCATATCTGTTTAAGAAAAGAAAGTGCTTCTTCAAAGAGAGGAATAAAATTAGTTCATTAAAAAAATAAGGCTTTTATCTTAACAAAAGAACTATTTACATTCAATTTACAAATAGAAAATCAAAATTGGCTGACTTCATTTTCAAAAGCTCCAAATAATAACATTCAGCAAAATAGCAAAAGTGCTTTTTATTTGTCTTTTAGTCTATTACAACTAAATTAAATTAGTTTTTTAGTTGGTTTAGTTTGGAGTACCATGCATTTAAGTATCTTAAATTAAACAGGTCAGTAAAATATATTCTCTGCAATAACTTTTCATTTAATTTAATAAAGATATTAAAATTTACACTCAATTAATCAGTTTAGCATTTATTTAATTTTGTAATCTGATATATATGCGTAACAGAAATTTTGAAATATTTCCAAAATTAGCCTAATTAATTTGATACGGAATATTGCGTATAAAAATATATTCTATTTATAAATATAAATTTATTTATTTATTTATGCCACTCTACTCTCTTATTCTCAGTATACTGGCAATATTTATTTCTGCTTTTAATGAAACTTCTGTGAAGTAAATTTAGTACATATTTTAAGCTTTTATTTTAAAGATTTTGAAGAAATCCTGTATACAAATATACAAATATATAACTAGCTTAAGAAGAGGAAGATAATTATGATAAAAATTAATTGAATCTTATATATAAATGCTTAAAAGGCATTCAGTGAAAAATAAAAATTAAATGCTGGCGAGCATTTTGAAAAGAATCAAGGGGTAATAATATTTATTATTTATTTATTTATTATTACTTTTAAGAGAATAAATTTTTTTTTTTCCAATATAAAAACTCTATTCAATATGTAAGAACTTATTATGATGAGAAAAAGCATGCTGATGTAAGAAAAGTGCGCTTATTGAAAAATCTATAAAATAATTTTAATCCCTTTGAAAAAGTTTATTTAAAAGTAAGCGTTTAAAATTTGATTTGAAAAAATTATCTGTAAGGAAGGGTTGTTTGGCAAATAATGTTTGAATTCATAGAATATTTTTCATCATACAACTTTACTTTGAATATATTAATAAAAGTACTATGAAATAAATATTTTGTCAAATTTAATTTTTTGATTTTGCAAAACACCTCCAACGAAATCCATGTGTTTTGATTGAAATTTTTACAATCTGGAATTTAAAATTTTTAATGAGGAGTTTATTTCCCAACAATCAAATGAGCAATTTTACTGACTCAACATTTGAAATAAATATATTATTTTGTAATACAGTAAAAATCAAATTATTTTCAAATTAGATCAAAATATTTCAGATGGCGCATCCAATCTAAATGAATTTTTTTTATTTCATTATTAAAGTAAGAAGTTTTGTTTGATTAATCCATTCCGCTTATGATTATATTAATATTTATAATATTTAGTGATTTTACTTCTAAGATATTAGTAATTATATTATCGTAATGTTATTTTAATATGACAAGGATATTAAATACAAAAGTGGGAGAAAAATAAATAACAAAATAAATGCCTTTCTTTCTTTGCCTTTATTTTTAATCAAATAGACAACTTAGCTCTTAATTTTCAGATATGTGAAAGCTTCTTACTCGCTTCCCGTAACTAATACATTTTTGATAAAAACAGTAATAAGACTAAATAAAAGTGATAAATAAATTAAGATAATAAGATAAATTGAATAATGATAGCAACAGACATACCGTTCATTGTTTTTCAGTGAAAAAATAAAAATCATCAAATAAGAATTTTATTCTATAAAAATCTATATCTACAACAAAAATATTATCAATTTTTATAAATCTTTATATTTTTTCAGACATCTAGGGTATGATTGTTTACCTACCCTTTATTGAATTATCTTTTTGGATTAATATCAAAAAAAGTTATAATATCTCTGTGGAACGATTAATTCTGGTATCATATTAAATATTTGATATACAAAACTAATTTCTTTTCTTCAATTTAGTGTGTGCAGAAATTGATTATTTTAAAATTATTAGTCATTTAATTTTCTTTTAACTTAAATATTCACTGTAGCGAATTAAAGATAGTGTTCCTTGAATAATAATAGTTTACTTTCGTCTACATATGTAAATTGAAATAAAAGATATACAAAAATACATAATATATTCTGAAACTAAATAACATAAAAGAATAATTAAATTTTACCTTTCATCATTTTATTAATTTTAATACAATTTTATGCACAAAATTTTTGCCAAAAGCTTAAATTTTTCATAACAAACTTCTTCTATTGACATTGAACAAAGAAGTAATGCAAAATATTTGAATAAAGGAAGTAGGGATTTTATAAGTTCGCATATTTTCTTAACTAAATTTTAATCAAGCAAGTAAGAAAGCTTGAACGCACTAAAAAATTAAAAAGGTTGAATTAAAAACAACTAACAAACTATTTCATTAATTTTTTTCTTGATTATTTGAGTTAAATAAAAAAATATAAAGGTATTAAGGCATAATAATAAGCCTAAAAGTTTATGAATAATGAATCAAATTTTTCTTTTATTTTCTTTTTTTTGATTCATGTTGAATAGTTCTGATGGAATTTAAGCATGGAGGTTTTTTAAGGAAGTATTCATAAATAAATTAAAAATTCCATTTAAATTATAATTTACAAAAAATAATATAGCTCATTTAAATAGATAATTTTTAACTACTAAAAAGCAAACATCTCTTTGCTTTACAAATGCAAAGAGCCTTGAATTTCATTTCTCTAACTAATCTTTATTTCTAAATTTAGGTTTATTTTTAAAATGTTAAATATAAATATTATTTAATGTAAAAGTGATCAAAATTTTCACTCATACTATTATAAAATATTGTTCCATTAAATACTTTCATCTATCTACAATCTATTTGAAGCTAAGTTATTGCCTAACCCTCTCTTTCATCACGATATTTAAAAGTAATAAATAATTATAATTTTTAACATCATTAAATTATAAAATTTTTCTAATTTACTCAAAGTATAGGAAAAGCAATAATTTTTAGATTTAAAAATAGAAAATTAATAAAAAGCTCTAAAAATAAGATTATCTTATATAACAGTGCTTGAACAAGTTGTATGCATTTAAATACAGAGTAATTGTTGTAATATAAATGTTGGAGATATTAATTAAATATACTTACACACACACGCACATTTATTCACTCATTTAAATTTATTTACTCTCCTGTTTATATTTTGTTGAAATTTAATTATTTGCTTTTTAAACAAAAAAAAAAAAATTAACTAAAAAAATCTTCTTCTATAAGCAAAGATATAAACAAATGATATTTTATTACATCCTATTTATATTATCGAAAGAAATTATAGAAAACTACCCTCTATTAACAAAAATTTTATTTCTTATTACTAATTTAAGTATTAAATTTGCATAATAATTTACCTGAATTGTTTCTGTTTATTCATGCATGTTTTTTGAAGCAGATTTATTCTAGTTCTATTTTATAGAAAGAAAATTATAATTTTATATTTGGAATTTATCTTTTTATCATTTTTTATTTAAAGGAGGGTTTTTTGAGTTTAAAAAACACATTAAACAAACATTATTTTGGTAAAATATTGGAAAGATATTTTCATTTTTAAAGTGCTTTTGAGATTCGAAATTGTTCTTGAATATAAGATTTATTTGTTAATTAAGTTAGTTGTTAAGATATAAAACCTATTGAAAATGAGAATTATCACAATTAAAAAGAGTGGAAATCCTATTTTGTAAATAAAGAAGCAGATAAAAAAAATACTCAAGCATACAAATTTTGATGGATATTCAAAATAACCTATTAATTAATAAGTAAATTTATAAACAAATTTATAGTGTTTCGTAAGTAAACTATTTCATATATAAAGAAAATCATTAAAACTGAATTGTCATAGGCCTTGAATAGGCAATCTTTAGATTCCGTAATTCAAAGTAAGCACTCGAAATAACATGAAATTCTACCTGATGTGTTTGAATAATTTAAAATTTTGAACCACACACTACTTGAATATTGCTTTGTAGAATAATATCTTCCTGAGATGAAAAGAATTTTATAAAAAGATATACTAAGGTATTTAATATTTTCAAATATTTATTTTTTTATTTATTTATATAATCTTACTGACCTAATTTAGCAAAGATGCTAGAGAGCTAATTTAATCTTTTCATTAAAATTACTAAATAAACAGGATTAAAAAATAAATTATTTGAATTTATTTAAGTATTTTTAATATCACTCTAATTTATTTTGGTGAAAAATATTCTATTTCTATAAGCTTGAAATTATCCATTCAGTCAAAAAAAAAAATTTTTTTTTTAATTTTATTTTAATGCGCGTTATAAAAGAAATATAACCAGTAGTTACCAGTTAGCTATAGCTATCTATTTACTAAGTCTTACTGGATACATTTAAGTTTAAAAAATCACAAATCTTACTTACGAATAAAGTTGTATTATTTTATTACTGTTTTGATTTTTCTAATTTATAATATTAACAGTAAATATGCTAGTGTAGCAGACTGTATAAACAAGGTAACTGAAAAAGAATTTTTAGAAGAAGGTTTAAAAGTCTTTTTTGACTCTCTCAATAAAGTCAATCAAATAGTCTAAAATAAGTATGATGAAATTGTAGAGTTGTGCAGAAAGGGACATAAAGATACTTTAAAATCAGTTTAATAAATGCTAAATATTTTGAGTTCAGTAAATTCATTTTTGGGCAAAAAGCTGAAACATGTGAAATTTTCTTTAAATTAAAAACTGGAATGTACCTTCGAATTCATAATTTAATCAAATCTTAGGAGGTAATAATGAATTAATTAATTTTATTTTATTTCATTTTTTATTTTATTTTACATTTATGTTAATTACTGATTTTTGTTGTTAATTATAGAATTTCTCTCATGTTAGATGATTTTGTGTACTTTAAAGAAATACAGCAAGTGTTATTACTGGAAAACCGAAATTAATCTCTAAGAATAGAATATTACTAATACTATGAATAAAAATTACTTGAGTCTAAATAAGCAAAAATCCTACCCTGTATTATCGAAAAAAGTAAAAAAAAAGACATTTCAAATTAATAATTGTTAGAGCAAAATGAAAAGCGATTTTAATAGAACCAAAATCTTTAATCTAAAAATTTGCAAGTAAATAGAAGTAATAATATGTAAATTAAATTTAGTGGTAATTAATAGAACACTTTCTATCTAACTGGCAATTAAGTAAATAAAGTGTAAAATAAAGTCAATTTACAGCACTTTTCAGCTCTATATTTACAAATGTAGTAGCAAGATCATGAAAATCAGGGAAAATAATAAATGGAAACATTTGAAGATAAAGACAATAAATTAAAATAGAGCTTTAATACAAATATGAATTCAAGCACAATTTCTACAAATTTTAATTAAATAAAAGAGTTTGAGCCTTAGATATTCACAAAAAGCCAGAACTTGAAATTGTAAACTGATTTTGATGAATTACAATAGGAATAACAAGAAAAAATTAATGAAGTAACAATTACTCAAAATCAATAAGGTTAAACTTACTGTAAAAAGCTCAATACTCTTGATAGTACTACTAAGTAAAAGGACTTAAAAATTGGAGATAAGAATTATTAGCTTTAGCAAAATCCGCCATCAAAATAACTAAAAATAGTTAATCCTTAGGTGATAAATTTAAATAACCTTCTAGATAATGAAAAAGTTGACTGTTAAGAAAAAGACCATTTAATTAATTTAGATAAGTCAAGCAAGCCTAAAAGTACTATTTCCAAAAAATACAGCTTATAAGAAAGTATAAAAACTAAAAAAATAGATGAAAACACCTCAAATCTAATATAAACAGTCTAAAAAGAAAATGATAATATCAATTTTTAAAAAAATCATAGCTCAGTAGAAGAGGAAATCTAAAACATAAGTTTTGAAGAAAAGTTATTCAAACAAAATGAAGAGAATAATAAAAAAATTTTACTTGAATTTCAAAAACATTAAAGGGAAAAAATACTATAAAAGTAATTAAAAATTATAACTTAGTTCAAAAAATTTAGGCAGTTAAAGAAAATTGAAGAAAAAAAATGTTAACAAGAATAAATAGAGGAAGATATCAGTGAATTTTAAGAAGAATTCACAGACAGCTGCTTCAAAGTTGGAGGTGTATTGTTTTCGTTGCAAACATAATTTGTGGGAAAAATACATACAGTATCAATCAACGAATTAGTTTTTTTTAATTCTTGTAATCACATGAGTATCTCTTGTGATATGAAAGCGTATATTACAAAACTAAATAACTTTTTTTTACTAGATGAATTTACCAAGGTTAAAGAAAACAGCCAGTAAGTTGATGAATAAAAAATACTAAAGGATAATTTGATAGAAAAAATAGATTTTGGGGAGGAATCTATTTCTTAAGTCAGTTTTATCACTTCTAAATCTTTATTAATTTTTTTGAATAATAATAATTAATTAGTAGTCTGTAAATACTCTGAATAAGAATAGTAAATTACCTTAGAATAAATTATAAAAAACTAGTAGTACTTGGCCATTGACTGTTGGAGTTATTTAAGTACATTAGACATAATCGTAACAGATGGCCATAACAAGCTCTTATTTTGGTAGTACAAATTGAAAGATAAAGATTTTTGTCAAAGTGAAGAAAATTTTCACAATATTGTTTAAGAAAATCCTGTATATACAATAGATCACATTCTTAGTGACACTGATCTTTGCTTTTATGAAGAAAAAAGTATTCTTTTCTAGGCAGGCTTTAAAAGCATAAATTCATATCTTGTTAAAATTAATGATGAGACTAGTAAAATAACCCATTAATTTCTCTAGACTTTAAATTGTTAAACTTTAGGTCATATAAATTCTATCTAAATTGTAAAAAGAAACTAATTTTTACATTTTCTGCTCAGCTTACACTGCAAAAATAAAATAATTTTGTGGAACATACATCATCTCACTTAGTAATATGTTTACTCAATCAGTTTATCTGATTAAATTAATTAAATAATATTTAATCCAAAGATTAATTCATTTTTCGTTCTTATTGATAATAATTTCTCTTCTGATGTTGTAATACTAGATTAAAATTTGCAAAATGTCAATTTTCCTAAAAATCACTAATAACTCAAATCCTAAAATTGTAAAATTACTAAATTATCACTATCTCCTGAAATGAATAAGTTGTCAATAGGCTATGAAAATGGCTTTTTACAGTTTGTTGAGATTATAAACCCATCAAGATGAACAAAATTGCTAAATAAATTTTATATAACAAATAGTTTTTTAATTATTTTAGATACTAATGTAAGAGATTATAGTAGTTGCATACATATTTCGTATGTTTTTGCATTTCAAAAATATTTTTTTTTTTAAATTATTAAAATTGATGTTTGTAGATTGATATAGGTTTTAGATTAAATCATTTTGTATATTATATAGTTTATCACTTAAATTAAAAAATTAAAAATTAAAAAAGTATTTTATTCAGTTTTGAAAATAAATATTTAAATTTATTAAGTTTCCTTAGCAAAGACTAAAAAAAATCTTTCTTAAATTAACTTTTAAAGACTTATTGCTATTTGTTAGAAATAATAATTTTTTTTTGTGTTGAAATAGTAGAAATTTTACATATTTTTTTAAATTTATTAGATATTTATTTTTTTATTTTATGCGTTTTGAAAAAAGAAGAAAATAGTTAAGTTTTACTAAAAAAGAATTTATAATTTTAAAATAAGAATTATTTGTAAAATAAATATTTAAAGTAATTTTTAAAACAAATTGAATTCAATTGAATTGGTTTAATAAATTAAAATTTTTGTGCTTGGCTGTAAATTAATAGTTTAAAATGAATAAATTTATTCTATTCAAAATTGTGTCATGAAAATAATTTTCATCTTTATTCACTTAAAAATTTTTTGAGTAAAATAAAATATTTGTAATTTTGGTGCTTGAGATTTTATATTTTTTTTAAGTAAATAGAATATATATTCCATTTCAAAAAAAAAAAAAAACTTTTAAAAAACTTTTCTTAAGAGAAAAACTAGAATCATTCGATTAGTAAGTATTATTTTATAATAAAATTTGATAAATTCCATCTATTCAAAAAGTTGTACTTAAAAAATCAATCTAGCTAAAGAAAGAGAACAAACAATAGGAAATCAAATGGAAGAGAAAATAGAAATTAAACTGAAGCTTTTAGACAATTCAATGCATAAATTAAATATGCGTGCTTCAGACACCATCAAATATTTAAAGGAAGAAGTAGAATAAGTAATAAATAGATTTATAAGCATTTTAGTTTAAGATACTAATCAATCCGTCCTTTCAAAATAGCAACAATAATCAATAATTTTAAATTATAAAACAAAAGGCACTAAATATTCCAATCGATAAATAAAGACTCATATTCTCTGGTAGATACCTGCGTGATGATTAAACTCTTAAAGATAATTAGGTATATGGATTAACAAATTAATTTAGTTCTTTTAAGTAATAATTTTGTAATTTATTTAAATCAATATAATTTAAAGATTGAAAATGGGCACGTAATTCATTTAATTGCAAGACCTAACATTAGTAAATAATTTTTCAATTTAAAATGAGCAACCAGGAGTATTTTAAATGTGAAATTATTTTTAAATTAAAACTAGATTCTGAAGATGAGACTTAATCCCAATCTCATCAATCAAACCAACCTGACAATTAAGATGAAGGGAGCGTTTTATCTGATTTAGAAGTCTTGTAGGATATTATTAGGCAATTTAGTAAAATATTATTATTAGAATAGAATATCAGATAAAAATACATTTTTTTATTAGACCATATCTAGCTTGTGTAGTAGAATTAGAGAAAAAGATACTTGCAATAGAGAACATAAGGTAAACAAACAAACAAAAAAATAAAGATTATACATTTAATTGCTTTAATTTAATTACTTTTAAATTTTAGAAATTCAGCAATTATTAATAATTTTTGCATAAATACCTAATGTTTTTTACTGATTAATTGATTGATTGATTAAGCAAGTATAATAGAAAATTAAAGCAATATTATTTATATATGGAAATAAAGCAAAGTTAAAATATCTTTTTGTATATACAAAGGCTACATCTACTTGTAAAAAGATTAAATGCAAGAATCAATACAGTAAAATTAAGAGTCTATTGAGGTGCTAATGAATACGATGAATAACAATGAATCTTAAATTTAAAGTAAGCCTTTAAAAGCTTTTAAATATCAAAATAAACTTGATAAAATTAATGAATAGAGCAATAGTATGTAGAATCTTTTGATTTTTCAAAGAGATAATTCAAAATCGGCTAATGGGTCGATGTTAAAGATACTATCAATCAATGGCTTGAAGCATAAATCATTAAAATTAATGAGGCTGAATAAAAAGTATATATCCACTATAATGGATGGGGAACAAGATGGGATGAATGGATAGACATAAAAAGTGATAGAATTGCCTTATTTAGGACTCATACTGTTCAAAGCTAAGGAAGTCTATCAATGAGTCCGTACCCTATAAGTGATATAGATGGAGATAAAAGCGAAATACCTGAGAGATTAAATTTTGATGACATTTTACTTAACACATGTTCTCTTTTAAATAATGTTAATTCTAAGCTGATTGAATTAAATAGGCATAATAACAACGTAAGATTTTCTAATGAGAAATAAGAAGTAGATTATTCTACTAAAATGAGAAATGTAATGAGTTCTCAGCTAGCTCCTATTTTAGATAGAGCAGGAAGGATGCTGATGGGTAAAATTACATATCAAAATAATAATCTATTTCATTACTTTAAATAAAACTAAGACATAGGAATGATGCTTGGGGATATAGGCAGCGACACCTAAAAAGTGTAAAGATTTTAATTAGTTATATAAAAATTCATTCATTTTATTTATTCCAAGAACATTTGTATTAAAATTAAACCACTCTTTATAAATCATCTAATATTTAAACGAAAATACATTTTTTTTGAACTAACTTTTAAAATAATTTTTACATTTAAATGACAAAAAATGAAAATCATAATTGAATTAATTATTGGAATATCATATTTATATAAAAATAAAAATTTTATTGGAATTTTACAAAGATATCATGAAGATGAGGAAGATGAAGAAGAAAAAAGTTAGACAGATGATTAAAACGATTAGTAAAATATGCAAGGAATTGATATATTAAGTAATAGAAGCAATAGTAGTTTAGGAAGGTATAGTAATATTTAAAGTGATAATAATTATTTTCATAATGAAAGAGAAGGGAGTTAGACATCTAATCTAAATAGGTATAGGTTAAGAAATAATTATAGATTCCAGTAGCCAGTGATGCTCAATCCTGGAGAATTATATAAAATCAATAAAATGAATTCAGATAGAGTTCACATTTAAAGAATTGTTTTCCCATCTAATCAATCTACAAATATGTCATCAAACTTTAACAATAGTAACTCATTTAATTAATCTGGCTGATTAGGTAATTAATAGGTAAATTGAATAATAGAAAATCCTAATTAATTAATTATCCAAAATCCTATATCTACTTGAAGCATTTAATTCTGAAGCATTGAAACTTTAATCATCTTACTTAGTGCATACATAAATACATGCATGCATGTATCCTATTAATTTTAAATTATATTAAAACCTAAATTATCTAAAATAAATAAATAAATATATCGATAGATATTTAAATTCCTCACACTATTATTAAATAAATAAATAAATAAATTCATTCAATACTCACTTTTATTAGCATGAGTATGCATGACAAAAATTTAATTACTTGCAAATTCTTAACCTCACTCTACTCTCTCTCTCTAGAAATAATACTCCAAATAAATTTAAAAAGTAAAAGAGCTATTGTTTAATCAAACAATTATTTTTATTAATTATCATCTAAAAGTTCTCTTTATATTTAAAAATTCACTTTTGAAATATTCTTCACACCTTTAGGTCCAATAATCATAAAGCAAAATATAAGTAAATAGACCCTTAAAAGCAAATCATGATACAAAACTAAATTGTGAAAATGTTTCATCTGCCTCTCATCCTTTATAAAATTATATTATAAAGCCAATCTAATTAATGGATTAACTTGATGAATTCAAAATTATGAATTTAAAAAAATCTTATAATTAAAAATTGACTTTAACTGACTCAATTAATGTACTTATAAAATAACCATTTTATTATATGATAAGATATAACTAAATAAGCTATATAAAATAATATATAATTAAGTATATAAGCATATAAATGAAAAAATAATGTTTCATGTTAAAATATAAACATTTATCTTATATAAAATATAAACAAACCATTTATTTATTTACTCTTTTTTTTACAGAGATTATTTTAAAAGAATTAATTGAAAATTTATTTAGTTTTTTGATTAGTTTTTCATGATACTCCGATTGGCAATGAAAGTCTTATGTAGTTAGTAAATAAGTATTTTATTAATTTAGAAAATATTAAGTTTTAGAAGTCTATTGCATTTCCAGTACTTTTACTATTTCCATCAACAGGAGGAGTATCAATCTTGAGTTCTGTGTTTGGTTATGGTTTTAATTCTTTTGTTAAATTATTTGTGCTTTTAATCAAACTAAAGATTTTATTAAGTTGTTGAGTGTATGTTGCTTCTATCTTTCTTATATTTATCTTTCCAAGTTGGTATTTAATAAGATAGAGCAAAAATATAGCAAAACCTTTTATATTTATAAAATAAATAAATTTTTTCATAATTCACATATATTTTAGATATTACCTAGAGTGATAAAAGGTATACATTTTCTGATATATGTAACTATGATTATAAGCTTTTTGCCTAGTTTATGAAGAAATTTGTAGAATTTGTTTTGTTTCTTCTATTTAAGATATTCATAATAAGTGTTTCGTCTATGCTAATATTCCTTTAATTATAAAATAATAATTTAATTATTTGACAATTCCACTCACTTATTTATAATTGTAATCTAATTTAGTTTTTTAACTTCATATTTTTAAATTTGTATTAAAATTCAATCAAATAAAAATTATATGAGATTTTAAGTAAAATTTTTATTAAGAACTTCCATCAATTTTAATATCTTACTTTGTTGAATTTGTGATATTCCCTTATAAATAAGTCTAAGACTAAATTTACTTTAATAATCTATATTTTTAAAGATTCTTTAAATGTTATGTTGTTAAATGATTAAAAATTTACTCTTAAACTAACTAAAATGAATTTTCTGCACACAGGACATTATTATTTAAGATTTGAGAAATACTCATTCTTAATACACTACTCACAAAAACTTTTATTTCATTAAAAAATAATTAGAATCTAATAATTAAATGAGATTATTATTTTAAATTAAAAAAAGATATTTACTTGTGTCCACAAACTAAAGTTACAGGTCTGAGAAGTATATTTAGACATATTGGGCAATCAAATGATGATTCAGTAAAACTATTATTTTCTTTATCATCATCCTTCATAAAAGGAACCAGATCCATTTTTGCTTTCTAGTAGTTTTGTCAATATTTTGCGAACAGCTACTTTAATAAATTAATTATTTTTACAAGTTTAAAATTTCTATTTGTAATTTAGATGGTATTTATTAATTTAATAATTCTTTTTTGATTAAAGAATCTATTTTAATGATATACATTACGCAATATTAACTATCTAATCATTTCACATTTTATTTACAGTTTTTATATTTAATGTTAGCTTACAAAATTAAAAAATTCAGTTTAAAATATAATTCACCATTTATTAGGATTTTACAATTAATATAAAAATTATTTTAAATTTAATAATTTTACATTAAATTTTCAAATATTTTTTTTAATAAATAAAACTTAAATTTTTATTTATCATAAATAATTTTAATATCTTTTTATGAGAAAATTTATTTTTTGATTTTTTTTACATTTTAACTACTTTCAATAAGTAGATTACTTAACTAACTAATTAGTTTTTTAGGATATTATAAGGCCAAAATAAAGTAATTAATTAAATTGTTTTTATGTGTAAACATTTTTTCTTACTAATATAAAATATTTATTTTTAGCAAATATTTTAAGAAATATAAACAGATAAAATATGATCATGTATGTCTATTAGTCAAACTCTCAGTGAATATAAGATGCATAGTTTATAGATTTAGCTAATCCTATTCTTTTATTTTCACTATCAAAAACAGTATAATATTTACCCATAAAAACATCTCCAAGAATCCAAGTATTTTAACTTTCTAAATTAGAATAGAGAATAAAAATTGAAATTAATTTAATAAATAATTAGTTTTTATTTTAAAATTTTTAAAGAATAAATGAAATAATTACCTCCTTGATCATTAACTTAAAGCCCATAAAATGAAACCATGCACTCAACTATTATATCAATATCTGAATGCTCATAAAAAGGATCGCTATGGGTGATTGTAGAAGTTATTATGTATTCATTAGGATAAACTGTGTATTCAGAGTCTTCAACAACAAAGCTTTTTTCATAAAATGAGGTTAATTTAAATATTTTAATTGATTTTTATTGTTTACGTAATTGTAGGCAAATCATACAAATTTTTACAACCTTCTTCATTTTTATTTAACTTATCTAAATTAAAATATTATAAATATAAGAAAGAAAGAAATATATTAATTTATTTACTCAAGAGAACTGCAACTGAATCATGAGGACCAGTGAACAAAGAAGTACCAGAGTCTACAATTAATCTGCAAATGTTGCTTTCAGAGCATAAACCTGTATCCTCATTACCAACCTTAATTTATTTGCAAGGGAGAGTCCAAAAATTAGTCTCATCAATTCTTGGATGGTACTAAATTTCACCATCATATTTGTCTTTGTCTACTCCTCCTAGAATTATTTAAGAACCAGTTTCGTCTCTTTCTAAGAAGAATGAAACTACATTATGTTCTAGTTGTCCAGAATTATTTAATTATGATAGTAAAGAAGGGGATTCTTCAGATAAATCTAGGGCAGATAAACCAACAATACCATCAAAATGAGACTAATTATATATTTTTAAAATTTATTACAAAACTAAATATTTTGAATATATTTAATAATTGAATATTCATAAATTTAGTATTGAAACTTTAAAGTATTACTTTAAATAAGCTTCCATCTTGCTAAGTAATCTATGCGAAAACACCTTTTTCTAATTCTATTTCTCCTAGACTTATTATATCTTTGCTTAAAAGACCTGATAACTAACCAGTACCAAATTAAACAGTGATGTCTAAATTAGTTTCTTCCAAAGTTTTTGTTTCAGTGTAATAGTGATGATCTTGCATGCATTCTGCACAATAGTCGCTATTTATAAAAACAAAAGCACTTCCAGTATCGAAAATAACATCAAAAGGCTATTTTCCTACTTCTATTCTTCCAGTAAAAAAAGAATTATCTCTATTTCTAAGCTCTAAAGATTGCTTTTATTTTAGCATTTTCAAATCTGTTTGCAAAAAACTGTTGAATTGCTTTTATTTTTTTACTATTTGCTTATTAGAATCCATTTCTAAATAAGAAAATGTTTTCATTTACAAAAGTAAAGCTTGATGCTCTTTCAAAATATTTAGAGTCTCGATTTGATATTCTTATGAGGGAAGCTTTTTAGTTAAAGGAATTGAGTAAATTTTTTTTTTTAAGACATTCTTCTACTAAATGAAAGATTTTTGAGTTTTATGCTTCCCATTGTTATTTTTTGATTCTACAATTCCAATCAAATAAAAAATGAGAATCAAACCAATCAATACAAAGTTTAATTTATTCTTGAACTTAATCATTATTAGAATAAAATCAATGTTCTTTAAATATATGCTAAAGGTTTATTAGTATTATCTTGCGTAGCGTTTGATAGTTTATAGTATAAAATAAGTAAATTGTTTCTTGTTTATAACCACAAGCAATATCTTAGATTTTGATCAAATTGTTTGCCAAAAATACTATATAAATTATTGAATGAAATATGTTTGTTCATTTCGTTTTTCAATATTTTTAATTATTCAATTAATTAATTTATAAGAATGTCATTCTGAAAAACGGTATAAAAATATGATGGATGCGACTATACTATCAGTAAAAGAAAAAATTAAATCATTTTAATAAATAATAATTTTTTTTTTTTGAAAATTAAAACCTTTCAAACTATAAATTCAGTTTATTTATTTAAATAAAATTTTTGTTCATCTTAATTATATACCTTATTTTTTAAACTAACTTAAAAATTTTTCTGATTTTTTTATTTTTATAAAAATAAATATTTAAGTAATTTGAAACCTAAAAAAGAAAAATTTTAAATATGTTAATATGTAAACTTAAGGTAATATTTATTTTTTGAAAAATTTGAAGGTATTGTGTTCATTTTTATCAATTATTTATTTATTTATTTATTTATTTATTTTGAAGTAAATAAAATACTTAGTTATTTTGAGTTGAATTTTTTTTAAAAATATTATACTTTCATTAATTTGATAATATGGATAGAATACAATCAGAATGTTTAGGGATAAGAAGATTTAAAAGTATAAATATTTGCTGATTTATTTAAACTAAATTATTTATTCTCATTTACATTTATAGAATAATTAAGTAAAGAAAGATATGAAGATTTGGGAAATATAATCATATAACTAATTTATGAAAAAAATTTTTTAAATAGGTTTTTAAAATTTTTGGATTGTTTCTCATCTTTTTCAATAGTTTTATGGTGCTATGGGATGATTAGATCTGCCTATCATACCTGAAGGCTGATGTTATTAATAGGCATTAGGTCCTATGTTAGGATCAAATGAAGGTGAGGGCTATATATTTTATTAAGGATTGTTTATTTATGGCTAGATTCCTCCTCCTGATATAGGTGGTTATTAATGAGGAATATTTTGAATTTAATGTGTATGTATTCCCCCACTTGGAGGCATTGGCATTTATTATTACTATTGTATTCCGCCACTCATATATTAATTATATTATGGGTTTTGTATGTGTGGCTATATATTAGGGTGATTTGAATTACTATTTTATGTGATTAAAGAAGGTTATTAAACTTATTAGTGAGGTAGATTTAAATTATTATTATGATTTTATATTTGTTAGTCTTATTTTTATAGGTGAGGAGGAAGAATAGGGACTTGCTAGTGCATTTAAGGGACATGTGGTTAAACTATTGCTCCTGGTTAAGGAGCTTATTAATGGGCTGAGCGAGGAGGGACTATTAAATTTGGATTAGAATTTTATTATGAAGGAATTTGATTCATAGAGCCAGACTAAGAACTTTATCTAATTCTATGATTTTATACTGGGGGTACTAAAGTTTGGTTTTGAGGATGCAAAGGTTGCTATGAGTTTTACCTAGGGATTTGTTGGTTTACTGGAGGGTTTAAAGTGTGATTAGGTTATAAGTGTTGTTATTATTGGTAAAGCTAATTTTTTTATATTGGGCGATTTTAGGAGGGATTTATTTAAGGTATGGGGTTCATTCCAGCATTATTTACCATTTATTATGGCAGATATGGACGAGGTTATGACTGTTGTTACTGTAATGTTAAATTTTCATATGGATTACCTGATTGATTGCGCTGATTAGATTGGTTAGGAGACCTTGCATATGGAATTTAATTTTAAGCATAAGCTCTTTAAAAATTTCTAACAGTACCACTAAGCTTTTAATTTTGCTGATGCTATAAATTAAAATGTTATGGTAAGGGTATCTACATTTGTGGAAAATACTTATCTTTCACCACATTATCCAGTTCTGGAATTTTTTTCAAATCAGATTCATCAATGTTAATAAGCTTTTAAATTTCATGTCTATAATATTAAGTATCATCTGTATACATCATTTATGTTCTTTCATGGATACTTTCTAGAGTATCTTAGAGGAAGAGTTCTATCAGTTATAGAACCCATGTTTCGAATTAGTTTTCTTTAAGAACTAAATTTAAACAAAAAATATTTTCAATTCACTTATTAAATCATTTAAATATTTATTTATTTTTTTTGTTTATTAAAATTTGAAAAATGTAAAATTAAATAGGTAATAAAAATTTAAATTGATTAAACAAAATGATTTTATTTAATTTTCTTTAATAAAATAATTAATATTCTAAAATCCTCATTAATTAGCATCCCTTTAATCCATTAATATAAATTAATTATTTATAAAATATTTGTGATTTTTGCATTTTAGATAATCAAATAAATCATGGGAATTCGAACTAAATCTTGGTTAATAATTTATTCAAATTAAGGTTTTAAACTAAGAGAGAGAAAATAGTAAAACTAATTAATTACCTTTAAAATATTGTATAATATGGCTTTCTGTTGGTGGTTCGAGAGAATCTTTTACTATTATGTTATTGAATTAAATGTCGAAAGGTATTTCAGGATCTACTTTAATTTCAATTTAAAATTCTTTCTGCTGCTTGATCATTTTAATTAAAGATGAGATGCACAAGCTAAATTCATAAGATTTATTTTAATTTTAAACTAAATTTCTTTAAAAAGACATAAATTTAAATGATGTTTTTAGCAAGGAATTTTGTATAACACTGCTAATCATGATAGAATGGAGGAGATCTTTTTTAACATTAAAAATAGATTAATCTTTTTAACCTATTGAACGATTTAAAAATTTACTTAGAAGCTACTACTTGGAGTGATAATTGAAATCTTAGAGAATTTATAGCTATAATTAATAGAAAAACAACCAATCAATATAACGTTCTGAAATTAGCAATTAAATTACCAAATATGCATTATCTTCCATGGAAAGTTAATGCTGAATTTTATGGTGAGTTATGTAAATATGAAATTGAATTTTGCCACTTTTTATGATAGGAACTAAAAGCAAGTATTCAACAGGTTTTGCCTCTATATTAATTAGTTAAAATAATTAGGTTATTTATTTATTAATTGAAATTCTTTTTATTACTTATTAATGATATTATTACTCTCTCAATGTAATCGTTTTCCAAAGATCTAAGGCAAATAATAAAAGGTACTCTACATTTTTTTTTGTTCAAAAGTTGATTTATTTCAAGCAAAAATGTTTTTAAGATGGTTTTTGATTATTCTTCTTTTAAGTTTTGTATATTTTAATAAGGTATATGATGATGATTTTGAGAAGTCTTTGATATCTAGTTTTAAGAAAAGTCATGCTACAATTTTGTAAAAAATAATAGCTATCTTTTATATTAAGGTAAAGGGGAGAAATTTTCTGGAGATCCCCATTCAGTGTCTAAAGTTTTGTATGTAGGATAATCGTTGTCTTTGTTGTTTGCAAAAAATAAATACATGAATTAAGTAGCTTAATATTCCTACATTTTTTTAAGGCAAGATTTTGGATTAAAGACTACATGAGAAGATAAACTGTATAAATGATATTTTTATTGTATTGCTTTTTTAGCATCGATTTCTTACTCTAAGGAACTCTCTGCCACATATTAATAGCTTTATTCTAAAAAAATATTAAAAAATAAAATAATTTTATATAAATAGATATTTATTTATTTACCTTCTAAACTCAAAGAGGAGCTTTAATTTTAATTTTCTCCATTTGTAACTGAAAATATTGCATTTTCGTTTATTTTTTATGGATCATAGTTTTCCAGTTTTAAAAAGGGAGTGAATTTAGCCTTTAAATATTATTGCTTAACTAACAAATCTTCAGACTGTATGTTATTTGATTAAGGCGCATTAAAAGATGTGTAGCCATTTTTAATGCTTTCAAACTCTGTAAAATTCAAATCGCTCCATACATCAATGATGTCTACAGGAGACCTGAAAAAATGTAATGGGTATTTTAGTTTAGCATTTTATGAAAGTTCTATAGTTTTTTAAAGATGCTGTTGCTACTCAGTTAGATGGAGAGGATTAAATGAACTCATAATTTACTCGTAATCAAGTAGTCTTTTATAATCTCTTTCTATATCTTGTATCTATTCTTTTCTCCTTATAAATTAATAGCTCGAAAAAGATATTTTCCTTTCATTTCCATAAACAAAATTTTTATTGAAAAATTCCTTCTATAATCTATTTAATTTTTCTTGTAATGCCTGATAGCTATTACTTTTATGATCTCTTTCAATTCTTTCAATAAATTAACTGTAGTGCTGAGTGTTGTAAATAACGTACTCATAATGGATAGTGATATATTATTAATTGCTTTAATTTCTAAGTTTTACTAAATTCTATTGAAATTCCATTAAGCATTATACCTTTATACTTAATCTTCTAATTAACTAATTATTTTCTTCAAGCTAACCTAAGAATACATCTAAAATTCCTTTTTTGCCTAAAAGTATTTATTGCTTAAACTATTTTATTAAAAAAATCAGTCAGTATTTTCCTAACAACCCTCAAAAACATAAGAAATATAATTCTTTCAGAATATAAAATATGCATTTTAAATAGATAGATAGATACCTTTTCTTCTAATTGTTAAAGTATTTATGCAGAAAACTAAGCCCTGATTAGGTAATCTAAATAGCATAGGTAATAATTTTCAAAATTGCTTTTATAATTACTGTAAATAAGTGGCTCTATTTCAGTAAGGCAAATATGTGTCACATCACTAATAAGCTATTACTTTATTTAATAAAAAATACGAGATAGATGTTTTATACTATACTTAAATCAAGAGAAAAATATACATAATTGAACTAAATTTGGGCTAAATATCCCCTCTTCTTAAGCTAAATCCCATTTTAAATTAATGTCATTAAAATAATCTTGCCATTATCATAAAATTTTAATCCAATTCTGATTTTATATATATCGGAGGAGAACACTATTTACTAGTCTTTTCTTTTAGTTATAATTAAAAAGCATGATCTTTTAGACAGTTAATTTTATTAAATTTAATGTATTCTTTAGCTGTAAAATAGCAATATCAATATCCATTTAAATTATAAATTACATTTGCACTTTTGTATAGTCAGGCAATTTCAAAGAAAGTAGTTTTTTTCTTAATAAATGTTCTTAGTTGTTTTCTATATCATAAAATAATATTATTCAAAAATCTAAGCTTTTGCTTAATTAAAGGAATTAATATGTTAATTTGCTAATCAGCTTAATAATTGTAAAAAGAGTTTACTATGTGGCTACTCATACTCTTGACCTGTTGTAAAAGGGTAATCCCTTCTCCCTATGCAAAGATTTGCTACCTCTAAATTTAAACTATTTAAGAATTTACATAAAAAAGTTTTAGCTTATCCTTAAGTGTCTAACATTTATTTTAATATTACATTGGCGATGCTTATTATTAGCCTTTGGCTGACTCATCTTGGTAATTTTACTGCTACTGAACATTTAATGGGTTCCTCTAAGGATTGCTAAACAAAAGTGATTGACTAAAATAGGAAAGTAAATCGCTATTCTATTTTTAGAAAATTTATTAGCTTTTTAGAATAAAATTATTTTCCAATATTATGCTATTTATTTGATTTTGGATGCACAAAATGAAAAATAATAATTTTTTTATTTGATATGAACTTAGTGTATGTCTGCATATGAAATAAAGTGAGCAAAAGCTTATTGATAAAGTATTATTTACATTTCTCAAATCTCCTCTATATTGCATAGTCCTCCTTTACTAAAAAACGCTATTATAAATACTCACCTAAACTTTAATTCTAAAAATGCTCCTAATTTATATTGTGTATTTATTATTATTGAGCAATTATCCTAAAAAATTTCTATCTAAATTCTTTACTTTGAATTTAATTGATTACTTTTTTAAGTATATATGTTTATAGGTATATCTTACCAATTTCCTTTTTAAAAAGAAAGAAAATAAGAAAAGAAGACAAATCTTATTTTAACATCAAATAAAAATAAAAAGCGAGCGGCATTTTTGAATCCTTTATACCAATTTATAATGTTTTTAATAAAATGTATGAAAATCCATTTTTAAAAAAGATACATTATTACCAAATACAATTAAATATCAATAATATCTCTCCTTATTTTTAAAATACTAAAATGCTTATTCTTCAAGATCAATTTTAATATGTAAGCAATATATAAGCAAAGAAACAAGTATACTCTTTAATATAAATAAACAAATGCTGAAATAAGAAAAAAAAAATAGAAAATTAGATGATCTAATAAATAAATAATTGATTTGATGCAATTTGGTATTTATTTAAAAAATAAATTATTAACAGATAGATAGATATAAAATTAAATAAGTAATTTTATTATTTATTTAATTAAAATAGTTATATAAATCTTTTCACATTTTAAAAAATTATTAATTGCTATCTTTCAAAATTCATATTTTATTTCTCATATTTTCCGCATTCATTTCAATTAGGTCTGTTACTATTTGGTTGGTAATTTTAATATTATTACTAGTTATACGAAGAGTTCTAAGCTCCATTCATGTGAGCATAATTATTTGCACCAGATTACTAGCCAACACCTTATTAGTTAGGATTTTATTGCTATTATGCTTAATTATTGTAATTATTATTTCCATACTATTATTAATTTTAGTAATACTGTTAAGGATTTCTTTAGGTAGATTATCCTGTTTGCTAACCATAACTATTATTCATAGCTCCATTTTATTAAACTTATGTCCCAGGTTATGACTATTAGGGTTATTATTATTGATTAAAATTAGAATTCTAAGCATATGGGCGTTATTGATTTCCAGATTATTAATGATTTCCTTAACCCACTACTTACTGATTTGCTGGTAAACCCTAAGAGTTATTTTATTACTATATAGAATTATTTTAGAATTGGTTTTAATTTGGCCTTTATTGATTATAATGATTTAAACCATTCTATTAACCGTTAATTCCTTGTTATATACCTTAATTACTTCCTGTGTGTTGCTAATTAGGGTGATGTACAATAGTTTCAGGTCTAGTTTTCAAATTGTGTTGAGTAAACCATTCATCATTTGAAATTTTCAATTTGAGGAATTCTTTTATAATCCTTGTTCTATCATCACTCAAGTAATTATACCTGGAATATATATCTTTCAATGATTTTTAGATATTTAAATCTAAATTAAAAGTGAATTGTTTGTAGAAGCTAGATAAACTTTAGTTTCTCGGTATTTCTGCAATTTGTTTTTAAAAAAAAAATAAATATTTTAAAAAACCAATTTAATTTTTTTATAAATTAAAAATATGAAAGTAAATATTAATTGAAATAAATGATTAAATAAATTAAAAAATAAATAATCAAGAATGCAGCAAATATTATATTTATTTACCCTCTGTTTTGCATTAGTTTCTCAATTCACCAAAGTTATATTCCAAATTTATATGAAAGTTTTTTTATATGTAAATTTTAATTGGCTTATCTGAATTTAACTCATCTTTTAATCTACACTCAATAGTAATTTAACTGTAGTCGCTGTTTTATTCCTAACTTATTGCTCTAAATTAGGAGTGCAAAATATTTTTTTAAACAGCTTGTGCTATATAAACAGTGTTTACAAAATCTTTTAATTAAAATAAAACTTAAATAAAAATATTTTTGGAATAAAATACTCTAAATAATATGCTCTTTTCTTTGCAAATCCTATATCAATTCATCCTTTTTATTTAATAGTAAAGATAAATAAATATGTTTTTTATTTTACTTTATTTTATAAAAATTAATCATTACTAATTCTTGCTCCTTTTATGAATCTAATTCAATAATATCTTCGTTTAAACTATTATAAATTATGTAGTGCTGCTTATCTGTCAGATATGGTATTATTATTTAGTATATCTCCTTATCGTCTTTACTGTCTAGGTCATCACCTTTACAATACATAAATAGTTAAAACATTTATTTAGCATAATAATTAACCAAAATTACAGGTTATCCTAACACAAATCAAGACCTAGTAGATTATGTTTTTTATTAGAGGATGATTTTAAAGCTAAAATACAGCTTGGGTTAAATACTTGCTTTATATTTTGTTTATACTAATTTATTTAATGTCCTCATCATATAACTATCTTTTTTGTCTAATTAGTAAAACCATGTTGCTAGCTTACTATTCATCATAAACTTCTAAATGCATTGAATTTTCATCATGCAGACTCTAGCTTAGCTTATAGTTTGAAATAAAAAATTGCTAAAGCATGATTACTCTGTACTACTAGAGTATAATTTCTAAATCTATTTTATCTCCTATCACAACTCTTAAATAACTCACGTTATCAGAGTTTGAAGGATTATCTACATTTTCTGGTTAAATTATTACTATTATTTATTGATTGATTTATAAAAGAAAAACAAAATTAAAATTTACATTCTTTGGGTTTATGAATTAAAAATAAAGAATCCACCTAAATTTAATTTTAGTCCTCCAAATTTATGAAAGGCCTCAGTAGAGTAGAGTCAATTTAGCTGAGGGTAATATTAGATTTAATGTAAATAGTATCGAACGGTGTTAAAGAGAAACTTTATTTAGGAAGCAAATCATTTTTGATAGCTTCTTAAATAATTAAATTCTTATAGTTAATTTTTTCCTTAATTAATTGGCTTGGTTTATAATATTGTATTTTTTCAATAATTTCCTTTTGCTCTTAATGAGATTTAGCTCTAATTTAACGATAAAAATTAATTTTCTCTTAGGAAAGTATAAATTAATAGTAGGTATTAGTGTCGTAAGAAATGTGTTCTATGAAAATTGATGTTTATGTGATATTATTTTCTGCTTTGTTTTTGATCAAATTCTCCTATTTTAAGACAGTTTAAAGCATCGCAGTTTAAGGCTTGAAACGAATCTATACGTAGTTGAATTTCAATTCATCTTTAATGTCAGATTTTTTTTGAAGATAAACAACCTCTGGCCCAAATTTTTTTTGTAAGTTTTCTTTGTCCTATTTCTATAAAATCTCCAAAACTTAATCTGAGAATAAGGTTTTAATTTTCTAATCTATAAAGCAAAATACATAAGAAACCATCATCTCATATTTATTGCAAAGTATCTAGTAGTTGTATTCTTCTTCAATATTACTATCTTCAGCTAAAGCATCATTTCCTTTATATTCGGATTTCACATTCATAGGTTACGAATAATGTTCTAATTTTACATTTTAAGATTATGCCTCTTATTTAACATTGAAGTGCTCTGTTTTAATAAGGTCTTCCTACACCTCCTTCTTAGCTTCAAACAATTACTAGCGCTTCTTTCTTTCTTTAGTCTAAGCAATTATTTCTTTTTTTAATTGAATTATAGATTTGTTAACCTGATCCAAAGCAGTTTAAATATCCTTTTTACTTTTTTCATCCTTAAAAAAAGAGAAGAAATCAATATTTTTTTTGTCAAACATAAAATTTACTTTTAGGAAGTTTTACAAATATGATAAACCATTATCAGATATCTAAATATCCTTTGTTCTAGGGATTTTCCAATTGAAAGTATCAGTTTCTTAGTCATAAATTAAATCATAGTTTATTTAGTATATATCTGTTTTCACAATACATCTATCATCTTTAAGCCTGCATTTAATTAAATACATTAAAATGTTTACGTTTTCAGATTGCAAAAACAAAAAACTACTTTATTTTATCTACTTTTGGAGGTTTTTTCATGCTTAAAAGCTTTTTTCTCATTAAATGTTTTTTCTCCTATTGTTTAGTTTTGTCTTTTTAAATGTTATAAATAAAAATAATTAAGATATCTTTTAAGCCTAAAAGAATTAAAATTACAGTCCATCCCTAAATTATACCCATCCAATAACTCCATTTTAACTTAACCATTTCTTCCATACATTAAATTAACACTTTCCATATTTACCCAAGGACTATTAATGAATTCGTGATGCAGTTTATTTAAATTTTCACCACAATTCCAAATTTCATTTTGATGTTCTTAAATCTATCTCTCAATATCCTTTTAAAATAAAATAAAAAAGCTAGTTTAAATGCTCTATCTGCATTATAAACATGCAAACAATATATTTTATTTTATTTCGCTCATAGTACTTTTATTTAAATCAATTAAAATAAACTATCGAATAGTATACTATCATTTTCTTCTCTTCAGGCTAATCGTATTGCAAATATTAAACAATATTTGTTAATCTATCGAAAAGCTGATCGAATTCATTAAATTTTAGCATAACGGAATCACATCTTTTTTCATAAAAATACCACTAATGAGTTTATCATATTAATACAATTATATTTTGTTAAATGTAGCATTTTTAATTATCTATTTAGTCTCTTTTTGAACTTAAAATAATTTAAATAATAGATTAATACAAATCTTTTGCTTAAGTATTGTCGTGAACATTTTGCTAAGTTGGGAGTTCATTTTGAGTATGTGCAATGATTTTAGAACAAACTTTATAAAGTGAGTACTCAATTTTATCCATTCGCTTAAACTAACGTAAGTAAAATTAAGTCTAAAACTATGAATTAATAAAATATTGTTTAAATAAATAAAAACTTTTTCTTCTAGAAATTAATATATTAAAGAATTGATAATAATTTATTTTAGGAATATATATAAAATAGAGAGACAAAAAACTAATTAATTAATTAATTAATTAATAATCAAAAAGAATGTAAATCTAATATCGAAATTGCTAAGATATTTTTAATGCTTTTATTTATTTTATCATTTGCAATTACCAAAAAACAAATAATCTTAATTTTTATTAACAATTTAATTTTATATATTATACACTGACACTTCTGACTTTAACCTAATTTAACCATTTTATAAAAAGATTTTAAAAGATTATAAAGATTTTGATAGAAATGTAAATCAAATTTTTAAATTCAACCGCGATTTACCTTAATCTAATAAATTCAAATATTGTAAAAATGAAAAATTTATAACTTAAAATAATAAATTATATTTGAATATAAAATTTTAAGAAATTACTTGGATGATTTAATTTTTATTATTCTGATATATTTAAAAAAAAGATGAATCACTTTTTTTAAGTTAATTTAATATTTAACATTTTAAATAACTTTAAAAGGTATTGCTTTTAACTAAGTATATTCTTATAATTAATACAAAAATAATAATATATAATGTCCGAACGAATTGCAAGCATTATTTAAAGTTATTTTTTTACAAATAGATTTATAAATATTTATTAGGATGATATTTTTCATAATTTATGAAGCTCTATGCTTAAAGGGATTATTATTATATATATCAAAAATAGAATATTTACTGCATAGCATATTAAGTAACCTTTCTCATAATAAAACGCAATCATTTAAATAAATAGAAATAATTTTTATTCTCTTGTATAAGTTTTTTCCTACATGTATTAAATAGTTAAAATGCGACTATTGTAAAATAATTATGATAACGATTTCATATTTAAAACAAAGTTTCATTTAAAATTTGTGAATTTCAATTTTCAACTAAATATTGTTTACTAGAGTTATCTATTTTTATTGTTTCACTATTAGGGCATTATATTTAATTAAAAAGCAGTACCTATAATCGTATCTCATGAGAATTCTTTAAATTCTTATATACTTAAATTTTAATTAGAAATATTTTAGAATTTTGACTAAATAAAGCTATAAAAAATTACTTTCTATCTACATAATATGTTAATTTATGCAGAGATTATGCCTACCAACCACAGATATAAAATGAAATCTTATTATTTTTTTAATTTCATAAATAATTTTTATATTTATTTAACTTTTATATTTGAAAAACACCATTTATTTTTTATTGGTTTATTAAATTTTTGAAGACAATTTTCTTTTAATTGATTTATGATAATAAATAATTATTATTTATTTGTTAAACAAAATGATAATTGATCAAATCATGCATTGAATTTTTGATAAGAATGATAATTTTTTATCAATAATAATATCTGTTTTAGTAATAATGATAAATCATTTTCTATTTTTTAATATAAATTTAAATGATAATTATTTCTATCCTTATCTTTTATCTAAGTATTATTTTTTTTAAATATTTGTTAGTTTAGTAAAAATGATTATAACAAACAAATACATAATAAAATATTTCTAAAATTATTACTAGTTTAATTTTTAACATAAATTAATTGACTTTATTTTTAATTGATAATTTAATTTCCTTCATAAATTCATATTTTAGGGAATATCAATAATGTTAGAATTTTTCATCGCTCTTAGGGTTTCCATTATTTAAGTAGGATCTCTTTAGAATATTTCTTAAAGGTTTTGAGTACGGCATCTCATAAAAACATTTGTTTGGAGCTCTTTCTAAAGAGTAGATGGAATAGTCTAAATACCGCTAGATGTCATTTACAATACTTCCTGATACCATTATTTAAGTACTTCATTATTTTATTCTACTTATGAAGACCATTCTAGATTTGATTTTGTGTATTCGTGTCCACAAAAGATCTTTATATTTTTATTTTGTATTGAGGATATTTTATCCATATTTGATAACATTTATGCTGCATTGCCTTCAAAGAATCTTCCACAACCACCAATGAAAAGTGTATCGCCAGTAAAAAGACATTCATCTACAGAATATAAATTATAACCTGTAACTTCTTATCTTTCAAAATTTACAGACTCCTCAGTTGAAATAGTTTTATTATGTGGTTTAAAATGATAAAGAACATGGCCTGTTGTATGACAAGGAACATATAAGAAATCTATTTAAAATTCTCCTTCAATACTTGTTTCGTTTTTGGTTTCTTTATCGTTTGGATTATCAAAAACAGAATGAGTTAAAGTAGGAATATGGCTTCCATCTAATTTTGATGCTATTACTCTGTAGTCTTCCATGAGTCTAGCATTTTGTTTCAACTAATCTAATAATTATTATGGATTTCCTATATGATCCCAATGCTTGTGAGTATAAAGTATACGAGAAACTTATAAATCAGGAAAGACGTCTAAAAATTATAATATTTTTTAAGAGTCAGCAGGATCAACAAGATAACAAGGTATTTTGGATTTAACTCCAGTTTGTTTCTCAGCATATTGCTTAGCTGAAAAAAGAGCATATGAATAATTATCATTGAAGAGAGGTATAGAAATTACTTTAAAAAGCTAATTCTAAATCATTTTTGAATATTAAATCAAATTTTTTATAGAAACTATATTTGAAAAGATTATTATAAAGTTATTATTTTCAAGTTTTTATTTAGAAAAGTTAATTATTAAAAGATATTTTATAATTCTAGATATATTCTTTACAAATTTTCAATTGTAATCTTTCTAAAAAAGTTGTCAGAAAATTTAAAGAATAAATCAAGAATATTTCCAAAATTAAATATGTTTTCATTTCAACTTATTTATACTAATTAGATTAGAATATTAAAAATTCATCTTTATAATTATAGCATTAATTTTTTCTAAAAATAATTTGAAAATTTAACATTTTATTGATTTTATTTTATTGAATTTTTTAATATTTTAATTAAACATTTTAAGCTTAAAACCTAAAATATATTAATTCAAAATCAATAATAAAATCTAAAATAGAAAAATTGAAAATAAAAGATCAAATCAATATAAATAAGTAGGCATTTCACATTTTTTATGGTCGACTTTTGGTAAAATATTTAGCTTTTTACAAAATCAGCATAGATTTTTTTTTTAAGATATAAAAATAAAATGTTTTCAATATTATTAATTTGCTAATTTTTTAAATAAAAATCATTTTAATTTTTATAAATTCTTTGTTATTTATTTCATATTTTATTTTTTTTGGCTTTCTCCTTCTATTAATTTAATTCACATTTTTTACTTCTGCTTACAAAATTAAAATTAAATCAAGCTCTATTGAAGAAAATATTATTTTTTATTTGGTCAAAAGTTATCTTAGTAAATAAATCAGTAATTTTCTTAATAAATAAATTAATAATAAGATTATAAAAGTGGATGTCAAAACAAAATATTTAATCAAATGAGTGGCTTTTAAACTTAAAGATAATTATATTTAACTAAATAATTAAATAATTATTTCCCCACTGACTGCTGCTTTTATCAGCCTAAATTTTTTATTAAGGAAAAAAAAGATATAAATATTGAATAAAAGTATAAATTCATCTCTCACGCTTAAATGATCTATAAAATTGCTACTTAGAATTAAATAGATTTTTATTTTTTTATTTGAAATAAAATGAGTAAATAATTTACATTTTTTTATTGGTTAACATATTTTTTAAATAAAGATAATTTTATAATATATGATCATACAAATTCAAAGAGTAAGTAAGCACAATGATTTCAAACGGAATGATTGGTTTTAAAAATATTCTTTTTGGTGTAAATAAATTTTCTCTAAATTATTGAACAGAAAAATTTTAGCCATAAAATCATAATTATAATTGTTAACCCTTAATTTTTTAATTTTGAGCATTCAATTTATACGATAGAGTTGGTTAAAAATCTTTTGGCAACTATTTTTGTTTATTTAGTATTTAACAAATAACAATGGTTCTCTCTTTAAAATTCCTTTATTTGTAAGCTAAAAAAGGGCAGTACTAGCATCTAATCCTATAAGATAAAATATTAAATAATATTAAACTATGAGGGTTCAATATTGAAAATTATATATCAATAAAAAATAATTGAGGACCTTAGCTTTTATTTTATTTGAATTTGATAAAAAATTTTGCACTGAAATGTGCATGCAAAATAAAGGGGTAATATTATGAATTGACATTAAATGAAAAAAGAGGATAGTATAGTTGAAAATAAGTAAATATTATAAAGAATTGTCTGTCTGCATTGCTAATAAAAAGAAAAATAGTGGTGAAGAAAGTGGAGAGTAAAAAAATATAAAATATGCATCTTAAATAAATAAAAAAACAATTTGATTTTAAGAGAGTGTGGTTTTCAGTGATGAAATAAATTTTATTTAGCTGTGAATTTATTAAGTGCCTTTATTTTAATAATAAGATAATAATTATATATGTATGAGTGTGTGAGTGTGTGTGTGAATGCTTTTTGATGACAACTCTTTAATTGAAAAAAAACTAAAAATATTTAGATAAAGAAAAGAATAATAAATAATTAAATCATAACCAATTTCTCCTACTATTAATCGTTGATTGATTAATATAAAAACTTAACCATCAAAACAATTTGATTTAATCTTTATTCACCTTTGATTAAAAAATAATAATACTGCTTAAAGAGGATTATAAATCAAAAAAAACAAAAACATTAATCATTAAAACAAACTATTAATTTTCAAAGAAAAAAAGAAATAAGAAGATTATTAAATGAGCACCACTGATTATAAATCTTACTCTCCTTCTAAGACATTCTCTTAAAGATACACTACTAAGACTCCTCCCAAGTATGCTGAGCACAGAGATGCAACTTACAACACCACATTGAGTCCTTATTAAACTCCTAATAGAGATACTTATTCTAGAGCTGGAGATGAAACTGATATCAGCGAAAACCTTAGTGCTTCAAAGATCAGACTTGACAACTAAGTTAGAGACATTAAAACACTTCTTGACACAAAATACAATCGTAAGTTTATTCAAATACTTTTACCTATCACTTCACTTTGGAATACTTTTACTTAAAGTTATATTATTGCATATGGCAATTTAGCATAATCTTATTGGATATAATCAGTCAAAGCAATCTCATATTTTTTGTATTGAAGATTTTCTTTATTTAAATGAAAATATTACGCTCAAGGCAAACTATTAAATTCTTTAATAAGAGTAAACTATCCATAAGCAATTAGCTTTATCGATGCTAATATGTGCAATAAAATATTTCAATTAAGTTTAGCATTATATAAAACTGATTGATTAAATTATTTTATTAAAAAATAAAGCTGAAATTGATTCATGGAGAAGCAAATGGTAAGAATGTGAAGTTAGAAGAAACTTCTTGGAAACCGAAAACCAAAGATTAATCAGAGAAATTGAGTTCTGGAAGAGCAAGAGCAGTACTGCTGACATTGAAAAGGCTTAGTAATTAATTCAGTCAGAACAATTAAAAAACAGCTAATTAGAAACCATTCGTTAGACAGCTGACAATAGGAGCTACAGTCTCTTAATGGAAGCTGATAGATTACGTAGCCTTCTTGCTACTAAGATTGAAGAATGCAATGAAATCAAGGCTAACTACAGCAAGTTAGAATTATTCTATGCTGAAAATGCCGACAAGGATGAAGTTGCAAGAGACTATGAACAACGTATCCAACGTCTTAAGAATGAATACTCAGATAGATTGAGAGAAGTTGACGACTTAAAGCAATAAAGAAACTAACTCGAGTTAGAAAGTTACGAATTAGAAAAGGTTCAAAGAGAGCAAGAAAGTCTCAAGAACCTCCTCGAATCAAAGAGAGAAGAAAACACCAGATTGAGAAGAGAAAAGACTGAATTAGAAGTTGAAAATTACAAGTCAAAGAAGGCCGAAAACGCCCTCCTTGAAAAGGAAGCCCTCCTCAAGAGCTAAATTGAAGAACTTGAAAACGAACACGTTAATGTAAGAAATTTTATTTTAAGATTATTTAGTAAAAGATATTCGAATAAGGAAGTTTAGAAGCCATGTTTTTTTAGTTATAGTTAGTAAATTTCATATAGATCTATCAAACAAATTATTAATTAGCTTTTTTAGTTAACTTCGCGCAAGCATACAAACGAAGGGAAAAAAACATTACAATAGAAATATAATGAATAAGTCCATGCTATCAAAACAATCTTTTTCCTTAATTTTTCTCAAAATTAAATGATATTTTAATTTTTGATTATTTCCCACCCAAGCAAGATTAACCATAAAAGCTAACACTCTTATGAATGGTTTATAATAATTAATTCATTTGCAATAAAATTAATTAATTTATAGTCAAAAAATTAAATTTTATTCTGCTGCTTCTCGTCCAATCAAAAATATTTATTTGGCTTCAAAGATATTTTATCCAGCCCCCAAATCTATCTTTTACTTAATGCTGTTTTATTTTGAATTTCACTACAAATTAATTAATTAAAAAATCAATCAATCAATCAATATTCGTTAAGAATAAAAATCAATTCAAAATTTGAGATTAATCAAAATCTTTCTCTTTAACTGCAAAATTTATATCAAATAATTCTAAATGAATATTAAACCTTGTAACTCACCATTATTTTATTTATTAATTAGGCTGAAGAACTTAGAAAATCTAACTTCTTGCAAAAGAGTATGGTTCACTCTAATGTTCATGATGAATTAAGAAAATCCTTCCACGCTGAAAAAACCTAATTAGAAGACGAAGTTGAAGAACATCAAAAACTTGCTGGATAGAAGATTAATGAACATGATGAACTTAGAAGATCTTACCACGACCTCACTACAGAACTCGCAAAGGCTGAAGATGATGACAAGATGGCTGAAGCTGAACTCCAAATTTGGAAGGAAAAGGCTGCTGAAGCTGAAAAATTGAAGGAAGCTGAAATTGCTCGTGCTAATCGTTTAAAAGAAGCCTCCATTTAATTAACTATTTCTGAAAATCTTAAAGAAAAAGTAAAATAATTAATTTAAGTTAGCTATTGATCATATATTAATTTTATTTTAAATTTATTTAGAAACAATTAGAAGAGAGAATGGATACCTTAAACAAAGTCCTCACTTACAAGGAATAAGATTTGAGCAAGGTCTAATAAGAAGCTCTCCTCACTGAAGTTGAAAAGAGACAATTAGAAGAAGAAAGAGCTAAATTACAATTCTAAATTGATGAACTTATCAAAAAGCAAGACGAAAATGATAAGAGATTCTAAATTTAATTGAAATCAAGAGACAATATCCACTCTTACTCAGTAGAAAAGGCTAGAAAGGAACACGAAAATGAAAAAAGAAGAATTAGCAACTAAATTTAAGCCCTCAGAAACGTCATTGATACTAAGAGAGACGAAGCTGAAAGAGCCAGACGTGAAGCTAATGATTTCTGTTTAAGACTTGTCAATTGTGAAAACAAAGCAAAACAAGCTGAAGTAATTTTGATTATTTTTTAACTTTTAAACTAACTAACCTTTAACATTAGGCTGAATAATTATACTGGAAGAACTAAACTGACAGAGTTGTTAGACAAAAGAGCATCGAATATCAAGTTGAAAAGGAGTTAACTAACTCATAATTAAGAGACCTTGAAAGAAGTTAATCAATTGAAAAAATATAAAAACTCAGAGAAAGTGACTCCATTCGCAATATCATTGACTATAAAGATAGAGAAGCTCAAGAATTGAGATTAAACTAATCAAGAGCAATTAGCGACCTTGCCCGTGAAAGATATGAAAAGATTAGAAACTAAACAGAAGCTGAAATCAACAGATCTCGTGCCCTCGAAGCAGAGAGAGCTAAATATATTGATTTAACTATAAAAGATCAAGTTCATCGTGATAACGTTGATTCATTGAGAAGATCTGGTCATTTCTAAAGCAGTGTCTTAAAATCTGAGGCTAATATTTTAACTGACTAATTAATTAGAAAAGATATAGAAGCTAGAGACTGGAGAGATAACTACACTCGTCTTGCCACTTCTCCTTACAGAAAATATTGAAAAACTTGACTGTTGATCTCAAACAAAAACTCTTTTCTAACTAAAATAATAATATATAAATTTCTATCACCTATCCATAAAATGTAAAGAAAAGAAAAATAATAAAATTACTTGCTATAAATTATATATCACACAAAATAAAAAAGAATAAAATATCTACAGAATAATTTGTAAATCAATCAATAAGCAAGCTTATGTAGTTGACTAACTGACTGACTATTGAGGAATTGAGTAAGAAAGACTGATCGATCGATCAATTCAAATAAATAATAAATATATTAATAAGATTTAATTTCAAATTTATTCTTTAGTTCATCTTCAAATCTATCTAGCTCATATCCACAATTTTTCTTTATAGCAAGCAAATAAGAAACCTATATAAATAATACAAATATATTAAGACTTTATAAATATCAAAACCATTCTTATCACTAATATAATGAAGAGAGCAAAAAATGTTTATACTATCAAACTAAATAATAATGAACGAAGCAGCTCCATCTCACTATCAATCTATCTACATAATTTACTTAGTTTAACATTATCAAAATGAAGCCACAGTAGATAAAATTATTTTAATTATTATGCTTACTGAAAAACTTCATTTTTTAAACTTTATTATTTTTTGTACCTTCATTTTTATCTTTGTATTATTATTGTATCCATTTTTCCTAATCTTTTTCTAGCATTTATTAAAAATGTCTGCTTAGAATGATTTTATAATCATTAAACCATATTGTAAAAATGATGACATAAATATTTATTCTTAAAAATCAACTTTTAAACTTAAATTATTAGCTTTGAATTATTAATAAAAACTCACAAAAAAAAACTAAATTGTAATTTTATTTATAAAAATAAAAAAGTATTTTTAAAAATTTTATTTTAAGAAAATAAAAAGGAATAATGTGTAAATGAGCATAGAAAATATTTATCCCATTTGTAATACAAAAATTTTGAGTTTAATCTAATAATAATAATTTAAATGATATTTGAATTATCAAACAAATTAATTTTTAAATTAAAATAATTTTTAATTTATTGTTGATATATAAAAAAATGTATTTAATATTAATTTGTTAATATATTTCTTTTGTTCGTTCAATAATTTATTAAAAAAAGTCATTCTAGAATTAAATTAATCAAAAGCATTTTCAAAAAAAAAAAAAAATTTTTTTTTGTTATTATATTTTATTAAAGAAGAGAAAATAATATTCATTATACAAATGGAATTTTTTTCAAATTCATTTGATTAAACTATGTTTTTAAACAAATTATTTTAAAAATTATGTTAATATTTTATATTCCAGTTAAAGCATAAATAAATTAAACTAATATGAGCTTTATTTGAATTATTTCAAGTCTATTAGAGTTTTATTATCCAAAGGATCATAAAAATGATCAATTTAATATTTGATTGATATATCTCTTCTGTTGAACCTAAAAATTAATTCAAAAAACTAATAAATTGATTAAATTATTTTATTTACTTTTAGGTTTTTATTGTTTAAAATTGAAAAGTTATTAAGGATAAATATTTTTGATCTAGAGATAGTTAATAAATACTAACTTTTGTTACAGATTAATGGTCTATAATCTTTATAAGAAATGTAGTTTTATATAAATCTAAGGTAAGTGATTGTTTAATGTGTATAATATAATTAAAAATTTTGAAAAAAAAAAGTTAAAATATTTCTATAAGATTAATAATAAGCACAATTTTTGATTAAATAGTAGATATTATGGAAGAGCAAAAGTCCTAAAGTAGCTATCAACAAATATTAAGCAATGACCCTAAGCTAATTTAGGAGATATGTATTTCATAAAGATTAGAGAGTAAATAAATAGAGATTATGCTTAAAAAACTATATGAACTTTCTAATCTCAAAAGCTTTATTGTTAATTTATAAAATAGTTCTACTTGTAAGTCTATAACTCAATAAATTATATTAGAAATATAGAAATGCCCATCTTTAAGCTCTATAAATCTAAACTTTTCATAAAACCAGTAAATAAATGAGTTATTACCTTTACTAAATATGAATGTTTTTAGAAAACTAGAATCCCTCTCATTATATTTATAATAGACTTCTCTTTAAGATGAATAAATACAGCTACTAGCAAAGTCAATAACATAAGTAACATCTCTGATGTAATTGGTGATAAATCTATCGGAAAATTAAATAGGAGAAAATGGTGCCAATGAAATAAGTAGATGCATATAAAATTTATTAAGTCTATAGACTTTATCATTAGATTTAGAGAACAGTAATTTAGGATTATTTGCTCAATAAATAGGAACTAGCTTATCAAAATGTACTTCTATCACATCTCTTAATTTAAACTTATCCTAGAATAAGATAGGAAACATAGTAGCATCAGGTATAGGATCTGGTTTATCTTCTTGTATAAATCTCTAAAAGTTATGCTTAATACTAAACAATAATTAAATAGGAGATAAAGGACTGTCTTCTATTAGTGATGGTATTAGTAAGTGCTAGAGTATAACTTAATTGGCAATAGAGTTAGCTAATAATTTGATTGAACATACAGCGTCAGTTGATCTAGGATAAAGTATTTCTAATTGCTTGCTGTTAAATTAGTTATGTCTTAAGCTTTCTGCAAACTGCATTGGGCATTATGGTACTGAAGTAATCTGCTAAAAAATTTCATTATGTAGAAATTTAAAAGAATTAGATCTGGATTTATCTCAAAATCAAGTGAAAGACAAAGGAGCTATAGCTGTTGGTTAATACATTCCATAATGTAATCTCAACAAAATTAAAATAAATTTAAATTTAAATAGAATAACCTGCTTAGGAGCATAAAAATTAGTGTAGTTTTTGGGAAATTGTTAAAATTTAAATGAAATAGAAATATAGCTTGCTAATAATTTAATAAAAGATAGAGGTGCTACTGACATATGGTAAGGATTATCTAAATGCTCTAATACCACCAGCTTAAGAATAAATCTAGAAAAAAATCAAATAGATGATTAAGGGTTGGTAGCAATAGGAAATATACTCTCTTTATGTAACAAATTAGTTTCTTTAAGAATAAATTTAAGTATGAATAAGATAAGAAATAAATTAGTAATAGGACTGGGTTAAGAACTTTCGAAATTTGTTGATCTTTAGGATTTAAATTTAGATTTATCAAGAAATTAAATAAAAGATTAAGGAGCATCTGAAATTGGAATAGGATTATCGAAATGTGTTAATCTAAAAACCCTCATTCTTGATTTAAAAGAAAACTAAATAGGTGAGTTAGGTGGTAACGAACTAGGATAAGGACTTTCATAATGCCTAAATTTAAAGTAACTTACTTTGACTCTTTGGGAAGTAAAAAATGCAGAATAAAGTGTTTAGGCCTTAAAGTTGAAGTTTAAATAATCAAAAAGTTTGGATATCTGTAAATTAATAGAATGATCCATAGCTTAAATATTAACAATTTTATCTTGTTACTAATTGTAATTCACCTATATATATATATAAATATGTATTTTATTCTAACTATAATTTTTAAAAATAAAAAAAAACAAACTTTAGGATAAATAATAGATTATTTTTCATTAGTTAGAAGTATTTATTTAAAATCAATTAAAAGCATCAATTTTTAATAATTTAATATTTAGATTTTGATGAATGTTATTTTATATCATACCTTAGTTTCTCATATATTAAGGACATATTCAGATAAAAACTTTTGATCAAATTTAGTCCTATAAAGGGCCACAGAATACCCCTCCAAAATGACGAGAGTATCTCCAATTAATGAGGAGTTAGAGTATATTAAAAATTACTTATGTTTAATTATCGAAATAAACATCTTAATTTCTAATAATAACTACTTCTAATTAAAAAAAAATATTTTTTTTTCAAAAAAAAGACTCATTTGTAAATTAGATAATTTTCTTAACTAACAAATTAATATTTAAAATAATCCAAGAGTTAAATATTTTTAAAATCAAGCAAACATTTTTTTTAAAAATTAATAAAACTTAAATAATAATAATATGTTTGAAATTTATGTAAATTTTAAGTAGTTTTGTATAAAATTTAAAAATACATCATTAATTCATTATAAATAAGATAAATAGAATAAACAATAGGATTGTTTATTATTTTTTCATTAAAATATTTTCCTTTTATTTAAAAACTATGCTCATCTATACATTAATTATAGTTCAAGTTTAAATCCTTCCATATCCGACTAGTGGCAAGATAAGGCATATAGAGCAGTTGCTACTTTTTTAACATTCGCCAAGTTATTAGTTTTGGCTACTTTTAATAATTCTTCTGCAATATATTTTTTTTCATCTTCAGTTTATTCAGGTAGATCAAGATTTTAATAAATAACTAGGGCAGAGACTTGATCATTATTGTTTTTTAGGATAGATTATATAAGGATCAAAGCGAGATTATTAATTTGAACTCTTTAAAGTAAGTTAATAGCTTTAACTATGTTAGCTAAGATTTATGTGTAGTCTATGGTATGATTTTTTTGTACCAATTAACTTAAAAATTTAAGTATTTCTCTAGTCATGTTGAAGTTTTCAACATGAGTTAAGGTGTGGAAAATAAATTAAAGTGTTTGCTCAAAGTTTGTTTGCAAAAGAATTTATTCAAAATGTAATTGCATATTTTTGCATAGCTCGAAATAGTATTTCATTAAGTCTGGATCTTAGTTCTTTGCATCTGATATTAGAGTATTGTAGATTAAAACATTCAAGCCACCATAGTTAGTTACTAACCAATTGTGCAATACTTAGCTTTAAGAAGAGAGCTCTTCAATTAATTTATTGAGTAATTTGAGAGAGGCATAATATTTAACTGGATTCTATTAGAAAATTTCTAAAGAAATATTTAAAAAGTTTACAAATTAATCTGGAAGATCTTTTCCACAAGACTTGATAATGAAGACATATAAAGTGATAAAACGCTCATAGAAAGCTTTGAAGCGAATAGTTGAGAATTACTTGAACATACTGTCAATAATATGCAAATTTTAGGCTGCAAATTAACTAACTAGCTTTTACGAAGTCTTTCTGTATTTTATTTCAAGAAGATCAAATCCCTAAAAGATGCTTTTCATAATATCGAGCAATCTTTCTAAATCCTACCTGTTAAGTGTCTTTGATTTATGTAAATTAATTTTCTTAAATTAAAAAGTTATGAAAAAAAAAAAAAATTACCTAAGCAATGACTTTGGTGTTTTCTTGTTCTAAATAAATTTGAAAGATTTAAAGGAAACTAAATATTGCATTCTTTTTTTATTCTTCGTTATTGAGTTTAACAGTAAATACTAAAACAGCCTAGATTAGAGATTCAAGAGTTGGGAATGAAATCAGGTTTTAGTTTTAAAAGGCCTTTGTAAAGAATTCTCCTAGTAACTGAAGAGATTCAAAGTGAGAATGAGATTCAGATAATTCTATAATTGATCTTAAAGACTCCGCAGCCTGTGAGCTTAGTTTTGGGTTATTAAATTAAGTAAGGATAAACTATATAGTAGGGTGAAAGAGACTAGGGTTATTCTTAAATTGATGACTAGCATCGTAAATGTATTGTAAAGCAGTTTAGACAGTTATGTCAGAAATAGGCAATTAAGTGATAATAAATGTTATAATTTTATCAATATTAGTATTGTTTTTATGCTAAGACTCAAGCTCAGTAAAATTAATGGATGCATAAATTGCTACTTCTGTTGTTAAACAATACTATTCGAAGCGAGTTTACTCATTAGCAATACTCACATAAGATTAAGGATCAAGTAATGAAAAAATATATTCATAAACTTATTAAATACCATTCTCTTATAGCAAATCTCTGAGAGCTTTAAAAATATTGTAGAATGCATCTTAGCAAGACTCTCTGTATTCATGTAGTGTCATTTTCTTTTCTTCAAGATTTAGATCATCGTCGCTTTCATCTGCATTTGGATTGTAATGAGTTTCTTCTCCTGTTTCAGTATCAATTATTATGACAGGTTTTTCAGCCTTTGTTATTTTATCTATTTTTTTCTTCTTGCATTTTTCAATCAGTATTTTTAAAGATTGCGAGAAAAATTCTATATAATGAGGCTAAATGCTGATTTAAATTAAAAAGTAGACATTAAAAAAGTTGAACAAATAAATTATTTATTTATTATAGTTACTTCTAAAGGCTGTATTATTTGATATTATTTAGCCAATCTTCTATGTATGTAATAGCATTAGCTGATATCTTAGGCTCGTTGCTGTTAAGAAAAGAGAAATACATATTAAAAAGACCTTGGCACATTTCAGTGCTATTTAGCAGTATAATAGGGAACTATTGCATGAGATTAATTAATAAATCGCATGTATAAATAGATTGAGGTAATTCATTGATCAATCTGATTATATTTTGAATATTTAAATATTCTGATTCAGGAATGCTTTCATTGCTGCCAGACAATTAATTACGAGCTAATAGATCTGTATTTTCAGAATTTTTAAGCATTTTTATTAAAATATCACAAACAAGTTATGTATATCTCTATCCGTTTTTTATTACATTTGAAACTAGTGTATTATTTTAAAGCATCTTCATTTCAAATCCAGCCCAGCTTTCAAGGCACTCCAAACTTTTTTTTACTATATCAATCTATATATTTTTAAAATATAAATTTTATAAATAATCATGCATTCAAATAGAGTGTTTTTACATCATCAAGAGTCAGCAGTGAATTGAAAATTTCAATAACGGAATTTGATTTTTAAATGAGGATTTTCTTGATATTAGAAACAACATTATTTCCTAGTATCATATCATCCTTATTTTCTACTAAACTCTGCATAACTTGCAATCCAATCCAAAGCTATTTTTTTCCTTTCTACATAAATGGAATCAAATCTTCTACTAATGTTTGCCAGTTGCTATTTTTTGATATAAAAAATTATCAATCAAATAGAGCTTCCAAATACTATTTTTAATAGTCTACACAAATTCATTTTTATTTCATTAACTGATTCAATATCTTGATATAAAACAAGGCTTTTTAGATTTAAATAAAAAATTTATTTCTAAATAAATAAATACCCGAATCCTAGACCAACAAGAGCCAATGCAGATAAAGCAGAGCATAAACGTTAAAGTGTAGGGACGCTAAAATCTTCTCTATTCTCAACTTAGTTAAAAAGAAATGCTCTTAATTCTAATTATGCTTCGTTGCTTAGTTAAAGAAAGTTTTGTTTTGTTTTCATCAAAATAATTTAAGCAGCAATAAACTAAATTTGCTAATCTTTAGTGTCCAATAATTCTTTGCATACTCTCCAAGCTTCATTTGATTTCTAAAAGTTCATGATAAATAAATTTGCTTTCTACTTGACTACTTAGTCAGGATGAGTACACAAGTTGTTATACTCATAAATAAATTTTTCCTTAGTAAATGCTTCCATTTTAATTTATTTGCTTTTATGCTTGCTTGCTTAGTTATATTTGTCTACTATCAAATCCTCTGTTTGTTTTCCTCTAAATTTAATAATTTTAATTTTTTATAACAAAATAAATGGATATTTTCTTTTTATAAAGGTACACACATTTTATTCATCTTTGTATCCTATAAATTAGTAATAAAATAAATATATTGCAATAAATTCGCGCAAGATATTCTTAACTTTTATTACGTCCTTACAATTTAGAAAAAATTCAGCTTCAATACCTAATCTCAACTTTTGAAAATAGAATTTATGATTATCAATTCAAAACATAAATGAAATCATCATTAATTATTGTGTAATTATAAAGATGTAAAAAATTATTTCGTCATGAAAAAATAAAAAAGAATAATTTAATATTTAGCTTAAAGTAAAGCACTAGAAAAATTACTACAACTTTTTAGGTAAAGTCAATTATGACTACAGAAAATTCGGATAAATAAGATAAAGATACGCAAAATCAATTATTTTTAATTGATAAATTAGATACGTTTAACAATTAAAATTAAATTAAAAATTATTAAAAACTTTAACTCATAATATATAAAAAGAAAAGAAAGCAGATGCTAAACAGGGTCTTAAGAAAGTTCTTCTCATCTGGTGTGGTAATAATCAGATTAGATTTAGCCATTTTTAAATATTAAATTCATAAAAATTATAAATGATAGGAGAGATAATGCACAATTTCATATCTTGATGGTAAAAACTAAGGTAGAATATAATATTTCTAAATGAAAATATAAATTAATTTTAGAAAGCTTAATTAATTTTATTTTAAAACAGGAGTTGCATTAGTTGAACTCAATAACCCTTCCAAGAGAAATGCATTATCAAATAAGCTTGTTGCTGATGTATTTATTGATTTTCTTTTGATAAATGTATTTTTTAAAAAGTTTAAAATAATATCAAATAGTTAAAGGAAATTATCCATGAATTAAATTCAAACTCCAATATTAGAGTTGGTATTTTGAGAAGCAAAACACCTGGAATGTTCTGTGCAGGTGCAGACTTAAAAGTAAAATATTTTTTAAAGAGTAATAAAAATTCATATTAAGCTAACTTTGAAAAAAGGAAAGACTCGGTTTATCAAACTTCTAAACTGAACTTTTGGTTGAAAATTTAAGAAACACTTTTGATGCATTATACCGCGTTCCCGTTCCTATGATAGCTGCTATTGATGGTCCTGCTCTTGGAGGTGGTTTAGAAATGGGTAATAATTAATTTAATCTCTATAATTTCAAATAGAATTTTATTTTTATAAACTTTTATTTTATAGCTATATCATGTGATATTAGAATTGCAACAAAGAAGAGTTTACTTGGCTTACCTGAAACTGCCTTAGCTATAATTCCAGGAGCTGGTGGTACTTAAAAATTACCAAGATTAATTGGAGTAGCAAAAGCTAAAGAACTTATTTTTACTGCTGCTAAATTATCACCTTAAGAGGCTTTAGAATTAGGAATCTTGAATTATGTAGAAGAAGATTATGATTCTGCTTATAACAAAGCTTTAACAATTGCTGAGTTAATTCTTAAAAACGTAATTTACCTAGCAAATTAATATATAGTAAAGCATAAATAACATTTAACAATAGGGTCCTATTGGAGTACGTGCTGCAAAGGCTGCTATTAATTTAGGAAGTGAAGTTGATTTAAAAACAGGTTTAGAAATTGAAAAAATGCAGTACACAAAAGTAGCAAACAGTGAAGATAGAATTGAAGGTCTTAAGGCTTTCGCTGAAAAGAGATCTCCTGTTTACAAAGGAATTTGATATATTTTATGTGTAATTTGTTATACTTTTTTAAAAATTATCTGTTAAACATAGAAAAATTATATAATTTTGATAAAAATAAGCTTTAAAGTTACAATTTATAACAAATTTATCAAGTAAATTTAAGATGTAAGTTTAAAGTATATAACAAAAATCAAATAAATAAAAATATCACAAAAGGCTATGATTTTAAAAAATGAATTCAAATAACTTTACATCACAAATCTCTTTAATACAAAGTATTTTTATTTTTAAATAAATTTTTTAATTTACCATAAAATTAATTTAATTTTAATAATTATAAAACTTTAACATTTTTACTTATCTTTACATTTTTTTTAACATAAAAGTATTAATTAGGTATATATAAGATTTTGTTCTTGAAAATTAAAGAACTTAAGTTAAATTTACTAAATTAATTAAAGCTTAAAAAACAAATAATAATCATAAATTTGAATATTTGGTAGAAAGTTAAGCAAATTTGAATTCAAATTTGTATAAATTTACATTTTTTAAAACAAAAATGTGACTATAAAAAATCTTTTACACATATGTAAATATATGAAGAGTAACAAAATAAAATTAATTAAATAAACAATGAAAATATTAAATAATCACAATTTAATTAACATATTTATTTTCACTGACAATATTTAGATTAAATATCTAAATTTTAATATGATATTACTTAATCTGAAATCAAAATTAAAAGTAATGTAAAAGTATTATTACTCTAACCTTTAATAATATTCTACATGAAAAAAAAATAGTTTAAGTTAATTAATAGTCATGGTACTATTAAAAAGTATTTATTAAATTTTCGTATTTTTTAGATTTAGCTTGAGTTAATCATAACTTATTTAATAGTGATAATTAATAAATTAAAGATAATTATTTTTTTGAATTAAAATCAGATATATAAGATAAATAGTTATAATATTAAGTAAGTAAGCAAAGAAAGAAAAAAATATAAATAAATAAATATACAAATTAGATCTTAAAAATGGTGTTTGGAGAAAAACTAATAAAAGAATTCGATTTATTTTCTAGACCGTTTGCGTTTTTTGTTGGGACTTAAAAGAGCAGGACAACATGTATAGGTGGTTTTCTATCTCTGACAATAATTTCTGTTTCTTTAGTTTACTTTTACTACCTTATGAATCTTTACTTTTCTGATAAAGTTGAACCTAAAATAACTTAAAGCATGAAAATTGAAAGTGATTTAAGAACTATTTAAATCAACGATAGTTTTTTTATTATGGAGATGCTCATAAATGGTTAGCCCTTAAAGTAATACGAAAAATAGGTCAACAAAGTTTTCTTAAACTATAATGTATATTATGAATAATACTTTTAAAATGGTTCAAGCAATTACACTAATTTAAAATTTACAAAATGTACTGATCCGCAATTTTCAGGATATCAATGCTTAGACTAGTCTAATTTTCAATACAATATGGATATTTACAATAGCCCATTGCAAAATGTATCTTCAGATTACTCAATACAAATCACACCATGTGATAATACTACTATTTCAAACTGTGCAACATTGGATGAAATAAATAACTTGATTTTTCAACCTTCTAACTATTTTTAGATTTATACAAAAATACGTCAGTATGATTCTTCAGAAAGAAAGTACAAAGATTCCTACAAATCTGAATATTTTTATTTTGATCCAAATATGATTACTTACTCACGCTTTGATTTATTTGCAGCTACGACTAAAGTTACTGAAGGTCTTATTGTCTAGTCTACTTAAATTTAGAATAATATCTTTGATTACTAAAGGATAGATACATATTTTACATAATAAGGAATTTAATAAAGAATGAACATAAGTGGTTTAGCCTATATTGTTTTTGAACTAAACTAAGCTAGAAATTACATAAATATTTAGCATGCTATGATAACTGAAGTCCTTGCGTAATTTATGAGCATTTTTAACTCGCTCCTAACAATAGGAATTTTAGCCAGATTACTAGCTGAGTCCTACATAGTAGAAGATATGAATAATATTTTGCTCAAAGAATATTATAAAAAAACTGCTCTTAGATTAGTTTAGAGGAAAGAAATAAAATAAGCTCTTGTGAAATTTGGTAAAGCAGATGCTGCAAACAAAGCCTAGATATTTTCTAGTCTAAATATAATTGGAAAAATACCTTCCTTAAGGGAAACATCTGCTGAGAAATAAAAATCCAAAATTATTGTTGAGGTTTAAAAAAAAATAAATGAAACAAATTTTTCAGAAAAGCAAAGATAATATTTCAGTATCAGTTTCTTTGAGAGGGTAAGATTGTTTATTAAAAAGATAGTTGGGCATAATCACAAAGTAGATACAAAAAAAGATACAAACTCAGATCCTATTTTGTATAGCAATCTTTTAAAATAGTCAATGAAGAGGATAAATATCTTTGAAGTGTATAAGGATTTGATTAAAATGAAAATGGCAATTAAATTAATGCTGACAAAAGATTAATTTGCAGCGATACAATTTTGTGGTTCTGATATCTGCTAAGAATAAAATTGCTAACAAGAATAAAATTAATAAATTAATTAATTAAAAGCCACCAATTAAGATAAATAATAAATTGATCTAATTAATTAAATAAATCCTATTTGCTCAAATGAAAATAGACTTAGTAAAAATTTAATACCTTCTCAATAATCTTAATCTAACGTAAAAGTCCACAGTAATTTTTATAAAGAAAAACATCATTAAAACAATAATGATGAGCCAGAAAAATAGTTAAATGTATCTATTTAAATTATTAAGGAATCAAATAATGAATAAAGTAAGAAATCAAAATCTGAAAATCTAATAGTCATTGATTAATTTTAAGATCAAAAAGAATTAACATATTTTGGGGCTGCTTCTAGCAATCAAAGTTAAAAGGCTGATAAAGAAAATAATTTATTTACAAGCAGACATTTAATCAGCAAATTGAATTCAGAAAATACTATACAATTAAATTCCCCTACAAAATTTAATTTTTAGCTAAAAGAAAGAGATAATATTCAAAGCTTGCAAATAAAAGGTGATTAAAATGGTCTTTTTGCTATCTCAAGTCCATCACTCGATTGCTCAATCGAACAAAATTAAAATAATAAAGAACCAAATCAAAATAATATTTAAGTATAATTCTTATAATTAAAGTCGCATTTAGATGATATGGACATGATTGAAGAAAATGAATAAGAACAAGAAAAATATTTAAAATAATTTTTGGTAAAGATGAAAGAACAAAATAATGAAATCAGTTATATTGACAAATAAATTTATCAGAGTTTGATAATTAATGAATAACAAGTCAGAATGATAGAAAATTTATGCGATTTCTAGAATAATTCAGAAAGGAAAATATCATTAGAATAGCATGATTTACCAAAAATGTTAATAGAACTTTAAAAGAACTAATAAAATAATAACTGATTCTATTCTATCTATTTCATTTGAGTTATTTGTTATTTTTATTATTTATTTGTTATTCTATTAATCTATTCTGAAATTATATTATACACCTGATTAAATTTGAAATTTAAAAAAATTATTTAAATACAATAATAAATAGCTAAATATTTTAACAAATAATATACCTGCATATAAAAATTTACCTAAAAATTAAAAAATCTAACCAAAATAGGGTGTATTATATATATAATTCTATTTTGATAAAAATATATTTTTGGAAATAAAGTATTTTTCATTTTAAAATTAAATAATTATAGAAGATCAATCAATGTTTATCTAATCTAAAAATTAATTTCTAATAATAAGATTATTTGAGAAGTTCTAAAAAAGGATTATTGATTGATAAGAAATGCCATTTATTTACATTTAAAAATTTTTTTTTATATATTTAAATAATATTTAAAAACATAATAAATAAATAGATCAGAAAAATTTGTGTTCGAACTACAAAAATTGATACTAATAAAAAAATAACAAATAGAAGAATTTATAGATTAAAGTTAGAAGAAAAATGAAATCCTAAATTCAAAATACAATAAAATAATTTGATTTATTTTCAAAACCCTTTGCTTTCTTTGTAGGAAATAAAAAAACTAAGAGTACCTTAGTTGGTGGATTTCTCTCTTTATCTGTAATAACGGTGTCAATTGTTTATTTTTACTATCTAATGGATCTTTACTTCTCCAATTAGATTTAACCTAAAATAACATAATAAGTTCAAATATAAAGTAATTTAAGTTAAATTCATATTTAAGATAGTTTTTTCATCATGGAAATGTTAGTTAATGGGTAACCTCTAAAGCAATATGAGAAATCAGTGAATTAAGTATATTTAAATTATACTGTATCTTATGAAGTTTATTATCCTAATGGCACAAGTAATTCTACAAACATTTCACTTGTAGAATGTGTTGATCCAACTTTTAAAGGGTATTTATGTATTGATGAGTAAGCTTTTGAATAGAATATTGATATCTTTAACAACCCTATTTAGCAATTATCTTCAGATTTTGCTATTTAAATTAGTTTATGCGATCCTACAGTTACAACTAACTGCGCCCCTCCTGATGAAATAGCAAATTTCATTTTTCAGCCCTAAAATTATTTCTAGCTTTTCACAAAAATAAAATAATATAACCCTAATTAAAGATAATACGAAACAGCTTATAAATCTGAATATTTCTACTTTGATCCAAATATGATTACCTATACTAGATTAGATTTAATTTTAGCAACTACTAGTGTTAGCAATGGATATTTTATTTAAAAAACCAGTACAGACGTTAATATTTATGATTATTAAAGGATAGATACTTTTTTTTCAACTGTAAATGTTGAACAAAGAATGGGAATAAGTGGATTAGGCTATATAGTTTATGAGCTAAACCAAGTTCATAATTAAATATCAATTTAAAATGCTATGGTGACTGAAGTTTTAGCACAGTTTATGAGCATATTTAATGCCATGCTTTTTGTTGGTTTTCTAGCTAGATATCTTGCTGAATCATACATAATAGAAGACATGAATAACATCATGTTATAAGAGTATTACAAAAAAACTGCATTAAAACTAGTTTAAAAAAAGGAAATTAAAAACGCATTACAAAAATTTGGAAAGGCTGATGCAGCAGCTCAATCATAATTAGCTTCCAGTTATAATATATTAAATATATTTTCTAATTCTAAAGATTCGTCACCAGAAAAGCAAAAATCTAAAGTTTTATGTGAAGTTTAGAAAAAGATTTATGAAACTGATTTTTCTGAGCAGCAAAAACAATATTTTGAAATCAGTTTTTGCTAAAGGATAAAAAGTTTTTTTAATAAAATTTTAGGTTTTGATTAGAGTTCAAATATATAAAAAGATCCTAATTCCGATCCTACTCTGTATAGTAATTTATTGAAATAATCCATGAAAAGAATCAATATCTTTGAGGTTTACAAAGATTTGATTAAATTAAAGATGGCAATTAAATTGATACTAACCAAAGACTAATATGCTGCAATGTTATTTTGTGGATCAGATTTATGTATTTAGGAAACATAAAAAGAATCACAGACAAATGAAGGTAAATCTTAAAAGGTAGAAGATTAAATAAAATCTGGCAATAATAAAGATAACCTTCTAGCTTCAACAGAAAAAAATTAGCCCATTAATAATGAATACTTATCTAAGAATTAGAAATCAAATACTAAAATAGCAAGTATTTTTTTTTAAGAAAGATAGTCTCCAAATTGCTAAGATGAGGATAGAGGACAAATAAAAAATGAAGTTTCTCTTGAAAAAATTTGTTAAGTTAAAAGCAATTATGCAATAGAAAATGTTCCCCAAGATTAATTAGAATAAATTAAATCTGATAGAAGCATATTTTAAGATTTTCAATAAAATTAGGCTTTGTCTAAAGACGAGTAGTTAAATATTTTTGAAACTAATGATAACCTTATGAGATAAATTAAGAGCTAGATACTTCTTAACTAAACCTCACCAAATAATTAAATTCATCAGGTTTCGTTAAATAAAAAAGATGATATTTAGAATCTTAAAATTAATGGAGATCAAAATGTATTAAATTAATCAGATCTTTCTATTGAAATTTCAAACACAGCTTAAGATGCTAAAGATAATATATAGTAGAAAGATATTTAAAATTTACAAACTATATTTGGGCTAAGCTGTCATCTTGCTGAAATGGATTAAATTGAAGAAAATGAGGAAGAAAAAGAAAAATATTTAAAAGAATTCTTTGTAAAAATGAAGAATCCCTGTTAAAGTAAAGTAAACCACATTGATTAGTAAATATATTAGAGCTTAATTATAAACGAAAAATAAGTAAAAGAATTCAATAAATACGTTGATTAATAAATAGTTACGAATAGAAGAATTACTCTCGATTCAAAAAAAAATTAAATTTCTAAATTGATAATAGAGTTAAATAATAACAGTTAGTAAAATGTTAATTAAAAAATGTAGTGAAAATAATCTATCTAATAAAATTTAAATAGATATTTCAAATAAACTAATCATGCATTTTTTATGTTGAATATGTTATGCAAAATATTTCATTCAAAAATAGTAAGCCAATTAGCATAAACTGTAAAGGTTCATATACTAAGGCCCCCACTATTTTTGTTTAAAACCTCTAATAAGGGTCAAGAAAATAAACTATAAAATTACTATTTTCTTTTATACTTATCTTAAATAAAGAAAAATTACAATAAATAGAAAAGTGATTAATGTTTAATCAATTTAAATTAAGAATTATTGAAAAATATTATTTACATATTTAGTAATACAAAAGATATTGATTAAAAATAATATGCTGTCTTCTTTTTCTAGATTAATTGGGTTAATTTTTTATCATATCTGAAGTATAAATATATAATTTTGAAATAGTAATTTTATTTAAGTATCAATAAAAAAATTCAGTTAAAATAATATTTTTTGTTAAAAATAGATACATATTTAATTAATGAATAGTGTAATAAATTTGTTTATTAAAGAAATAAGTAAATATTTGTTTGTTTTTTTTGTTACAGAGGACTATTAGTAAAATGAAAAAGATTACTTTTACAGCTAATACTTTATCATTAAATAGAATTAATCATTATAGAAATGAAATAAAAAATAAGCTAGCTTTTTATTAATTCTAATGCAGTAAGATTAAATAAAAAATACAAACCTAATTTTATTACTCTTTACTTAAATCTAGTAAAGAAAATTGAACCAGCAATCAATTAATTGACCAATACTATATATATATCCATAGCTAGAAAAAAATCACTCCTTTATTATTAAAATGTAATTATATAAAAGAATATACTTTAATCTAACATTATACTTGAAAAATTAAAACAAAAATCTGAAGTATGAAAAAATTTGGAAGAAATTTCATTAAAGATTTCGATTTATTTGCAAAACCTTTCTCCTTTTTTGTAGGCAATAAAAAAAGTAAGAGTACTCTTATTGGAGGATTTCTTTCATTAATGATTATAGGAGTATCAATATATTACTTTTATTATCTGATGGACTTGTATTTTTCAAATAAAATTGAACCCAAGATTACAGAAAATTTTAAGATAGAAAGCAATTTAAGTAGCATTCATATTCAAGAAAGTTTTTTTATCATAGAGATGCTTATCAATGGTTAACCTCTTAAGTAATATGAATAATAGGTAAACAAAGTATATCTCAACTATTCTATCAATTATGAGTAGTATTACGCAAATGGTACAAGTTAAATCACTTCTTTACCTATATCTTAGTGCACTGATTCTAACTTCACAGGATATCTTTGTATCGATTAAAGTGCATTCTAACAAAGCTTAGACATTTACAACAACCCAGTCGCATAGGTTTCATCTGATTATGCTATAAATATAAATCCTTGTGATAATTCTACCATCCCAAATTGTGCTACTTATGATGAAATATATGAATTAATCTTTCAACCCTAGAATTATTTTTAGATTTTTACAAAAATAAAGCAATATAATACAAACACAAGATAGTTTGAAGATGGATATAAGTCTGAATATTTTTATTTCGATCCATATATGGTAACTTACACTAGAATGGATTTAGTAATAGCAACAACAACTCTAACTCAAGGTATAGTGTTTTAAACTACTACAAAAAATGATAACATTTATAACTATTAAAGGTTAGATACATATTTTACTAAATAAGGAATATAATAAAGGATGGCTATTAGTGGATTAGCCTATATTGTTTATGAATTAAACTAAGTTCATAATTACTTTTAGATTTAAGAACCTATGGTAACTGAATTATTAGCATAGTTTATGAGTATTTTTAATACACTCCTTATTATTGGATTCTTAGCTAGGTTACTTGCAGAGTCTCATATTGTTGAGGATATGAATAATATTTTACTCAAAGAATATTATAAAAGAACAGCTCTTAGGCTTGTTTAGAGACAATAGCTTAAAAAGGCATTTCAAGCTATTGAAAAAGCAGAGCCATCAGCTTAAGCATAAATAATACAAAGCTTTAATTCAATGAGCAAAGTTCAGGTATTGAAAGAGCCGTCACCAGAATAGTAAAAATCAAAATTATTTGTAGAAATTAACAAAGAAATATCAGATACTAATTTTTCTGAATAGTTATCAAAATACTTTAATTTAGGTATAAAAGATAGAATTAAGCATTTTATTTGTTCAATTTTCGCCAGAAATCATAAAGTAGATGAAAAAAAAGATCCTAATTCTGACTCGATATTGTATGCTAATTTGTTAAAATAGTCATTAAAAAGGATTAATATATTCGAAGTATACAAAGATTTGATAAAAATAAAAATGGCAATAAAGCTGATAATGACAAAAGAGTAGTATGCAGCTATGCAATTTTGTGGTTCTGATATGTGTTCAGAAGATTAGGAAATTAAGGTGGATTAAAATAAGGAATAAACTAAAATACAAGAAAATGAAAATATAGGCCAACGCAAAATTTCAATAAATAATATAAATTTATCATAGAAAAATTTTAATTGTGTTTTGTCTCCAGATATAAGATAAAGTAAGAAAATATTGAGTGCATTTTCTAAAGAAAAAAATAATGAAAATAGCTCATAAACAATATAAAAGAATAAAATGACTAAATTTTCTTTAAATAGCAATTAGAGTTTACATCAAAATTGCTAATCTTAAAACCAAGTAGGAAAGCAATTTTTTTCTAAATAAAATTAAAATAGATCTAAGAATTTTTCTGACTCAGAAATAATATTATTTTCCAGAAGAGATTAATAAACGATTGCAAGTAAGAATTAAGTGTTAGATAGTATTAATAATTTACCTTTTATTTTACCCACTTCACCAAAAAAGTAAACATCTAACTATTAAGAAAGAGATAACATTTAAAATTTAAAATGTTAAGGTGATTAAAATGTAATTAATAATGATAATTTATCTTCAAATACTAGCTTAGAAGAGTAACAAAAAACAAAAGAAATATTTTAGCAAAATGAAATATAAAATTTGAAATCTCATTTAGTTGAAATGGACAAAATAGAATCTGACTTGAAAGAATAAGAAAAATATTTAAATTAGTTTTTGATAAAAATGAAAAATTAGAATTAAAATACAATTAATCCTGTTGACTAGCACATATTTTAAAGCTTGCTTATAAATGATTAGCAACAAAATAAAATTTTTAACTTTAGCAATTTATAAAATGTTAATTTAGAGAAAAATTTATCAATAGATTTCCAGCCAAGGTTATCTAAATTATTAATAGATTTCTAAAAAAATTAAAATAAAACTCGCTCATAAATCATTTGAAGATTTTGCTTGAAGAATTTAATAATTTATCAATTGAATATATGTAGAGTAGTCTTTTGAATGTCAAAAATTTATGTTACATAAAGACTATCTTATAATATAACTTAAAATTAAAAGCAATAAATTAAGATATATAAAGTATTCAAAAATTTCAAAATCTAATGATACATAAATTGTTTTTTTCTTTTGGAAATTTATTTAAAAAAATTTTTAGAACAGGTTTTTGTTGAAAAATTGAGGCTGAGTTTGTGTACCTAATACATACTATATTTTTGGTATATTGTTTATATTTTTTTACTATATTAAAAACCATTTATTTTATTAAAAACATATTATAATTTTATACAAGTTTAGAAAAATAATTTTTAATTTATTTAATAAATTAAACATATTATCAAATTTTTAATTGCTCAATTTTACTGCAGTTTAAATTAGAATGAAAGGTTTAAAATTTCTAATTTATTTTATAACTGTATGTAATATAGTTTAAATTAAGAAAGATCAAATATGTGAATAGGAACTGTTCGTTTTTTTATGTATTAAATTTAAATTAATCCATAAAAGTGAGCTGTAATTGATTATTATAATTATTATTAAAAAAAAATAAAAGTTAATAAGAAAAAAGAACTTTTTTATAAAAAAATAAGAAATTAATAATTATTTTTTTAAGACGCTTTTATTTGATAAACAAAAAAAATTATTTTTCAAAAAGAAAGTCGATTTAAAAATAGTTAATAGCAAAAATAAAAAGATATTAGCTTAATTATCATGAGTTCCTTAATACATAATACTATAAAATAATTTGATTTATTTTCAAAGCCTTTCTCATTCTTTGTAGGAAATAAAAAAGCTAAAAGTACTTTCGTTGGAGGATTCCTTTCTTTATCTATAATAGCTGTTGCTGTTATTTATTTCTATTATCTGATGAATCTTTACTTTACTAACCAAGTTGAGCCAAAAATAACTTAAAGTTTTCAAATTCAAAGTAGTTTAAGCACAATCCATATTTAAGATAGCTTCTTCATTATAGAAATGCTTATCAATGGATAACCTTTGAAATAATATGAAAAATAAGTGAATTAAGTTTATTTAAACTATACTGTACTTTACGAAATTTATTATCCTAATGGAACATATATTACTAAAGTACTTTAGCTTTCAGAATGTACTGATTCATAGTTTATAGGGTATTAATGTATTGATTAAAGCGCTTTTGAATAGAGCATTGATATCTTTAACAACCCTATTGAGCAATTCTCTTCTGATATTTCAATTTAAATTAACTTTTGTGACCCTAAAATCACAAGTAATTGTGCTTCACCTAACGATATAAGCAATCTAATTTTTTAGCAATAAAATTATTTCTAAGTATTCACAAAAATAAAGTAATATAACTAGAAATTAAAAAACTACTAATCTTCTTACAAATCTGAGTATTTTTACTTTGATCCAAATTTGATAACTTATACCAGATTAGACTTAATATTAGCTACAACAACCATAACCGAAGGATTATTGCTTTAAAAATCATCTTCTGAAGTTAACATTTATGATTATTAAAGAATAGATACGTTTTTTTCATAAATAAATATATAACAAAGAATGGGAATTACTGGATTAGGCTATTTAGTTTACGAGCTAAATCAAATGCATAACTCTATAGAAATTTAAAATGCTATGATAACTGAAATCTTAGCTTAATTTATGAGTATATTGAATTCAATGCTTTTAGTAGGTCTTTTAGCAAAATATCTTGCTTAATCTTACATTGTAGAAGACATGAATAATATCTTACTTTAAGAATACTACAAAAAAACTGCTCTAAAATTAGTTTAAAAAAAGGAAATTAAAAATGCTTTTTAAAAATTTGGTAATGTTGATTCAGCAGCAAAAAACCAATTTGCCTCAAACAAAAATATATTTAATAGTTTACATAATACTAAGGATTAATAAGCAGAAAAGTAAAAGTCAAAAATTCTTTGTGAAATTTAGAAAAGAATTAATGAGACCAATTTTTCTAAGGAGTAAAAGTAGTATTTTGAAATAAGTTTAGGGGAGAGATTGAAGAATTTTTTTAAAAAAATATTGAGTTTTAATCAGAAGTTAGAAATTCATAAAGATCCTAATTCTGATCTTATATTATATGATAATCTACTAAAATAATCAATGAAAAGAATCAATATCTTTGAAGTTTACAAAGATTTGATTAAATTAAAGATGGCAATCAAACTTATTCTAACCAAAGATCAATACGCTGCTATACAGTTTTGTGGATCAGAATTATGTCCTGAATAAACTCAAATAAAATCTAATGATAATAAAGAAATACCTGTAGCTGTAATAGAAAATAAATCATAAAATAACACTGATATCAGTCCTGAGGTAAAATAATAAAAAGCAAAAATATCTAATCTTTTTTTCAAAGAAAATGTGTTACCAATTATCTAAGATGGAGATTTTAGTTAATTATAATAAAGCTGCATTACTTCAAAAAAATACTAAGGAATTTATAAAGATTTAATTATAGAAAATTTTCCTGAAACTTAGAAAGAATAAGTTAAATTAAGTAAAGTCAATAATGATTCGTATTAATTTAAAAGTAACATGATTTCAGAGATCCAGTAAAATTAAGATGTATATAAAAACGAATAGCAAAGTATCTATGAAACAAATGATAATTTAATAAGAAAAAAATTAGGCTAAACAATTCCAACCTCAAGCTTATCAAGTAACAAATATCATAATACAGTTATAGATAAAAAGGATAAAATTTAAGGTCTCAGGATAAATGGAGATTAGAATGAGTTAAATTAATCAGATCTTTCAATAGAGATACCCATTTAAGCTCAAGAAGGTAGAGATAATATACATTTAGAAAGTAAAAATTTATAAACATTCCTAGGGTTAGGTTGTCATCTTATTGAAATGGATAAAATCGAAGAAAATGAAGAGGACAGAGAAAATTATCTAAAATAATTCTTCGTAAAAATGAATAGTTCTAATCAAAGTGAAATCAATTATATAGATTAATAGATTTATTAGAGTCTAATTATTAACGAAAAATAAGTAAAAGCAATTAATGATTATTTTGATTAGCAAGTTGTAAAAAACAGGACAATTTCTTTACATAAAAAAACCTAAATAACTAATTTGAATGAAGAGCAGAGTAATAAAAATAAATAAAGCAATAATTTAAAAATTTAGTGAAATTATTGGATTGTTTTCATAGCAAATTTTTTTTAAGTGTTTTTCCCATTTTAAAAATGCATAAATTTGCAAATATTTATTTATCCTAAACAAAATAGTTATTTTAAAAAATATTTTCTATTTTTTTGATATTTATAAAATATGTCTATTTGATTTTTTTAAAATTATTTTTAACTTTTAAAGCTAATACATCAGTTTATATAACTATATTTTATGGATGAAAATTTACTTATATTTTTTAAATATAAAGTGTAAATAAAGAAAAAACAATTAACTAACTATTAAATTTTTCATCAAAATTGATGATTTATAATGCTCAATTAATGTACTTATTTAATATTTTTTTTAATTATTATTTAATTTTTAACAGTGAATAGCCTTTCAAATTATTTCTTTTTTCTTCTGTTCTTATCATTTTAAATGTATTTTTAAATTCATAAGTTTATTTAATCTGTAAAGAGATAATATATTTTTTTTTATAGTTTATATATTAATAATACCTTTGAGATTATTGAAAAAAATGTATTAATAGGACTAAATAAAAAATATTATAAATTTATAATTCTTATTTAAAAGAATAATCAGTAAATAAAATTTTTATAAATTATTAGAGTGATTTAAAAAAGATTAATTGAGTTATTTGACAAGTGTATTTTTTTTCTAATTATTATTTATAAAATAAGATTATTTTGAGGAATTTATGTAAAACTATAAATCAAAATTTTTATAGGCAATGAGTGGTTTTTTAAAAGTATACTTTTATTTTTTAGTACTTTTAATAGTAATATATTTCTCATTACTAAAAAAAACTGGATTCTTATTATTTTTAAGAATTTATACTTATCCTCATGAAATAAATAATTATCTAGCTAGTGATAGTTTTTAATTTAATTTTTATGAATTAAAATCATGCAGAAACTACAAATTAAATTGTGCACGTACCTCTTATATTAAGAGTAAACAAATTAAACCAGTGAACACTATTAATAGATCATCAAAATTTTTTGAAAGCAATCTACTAATCTTTTTTTGTGGTAAATTATAAAAATTTACATTGAAATTGAAATAATTTTAATTGTTTTCTAATATCATGCAGAACTCCAATCAAGTTTGCCATTGTTTTGATATTTTGGCTATGAGTTTTTTTTTGAAAATATAATAATTATCAAAATCTTTAATAATATATTTTTTATATCAAACATTAAGGAGCAATATAAAAATAATAAAAAATTTCATAGTATGAAAAAATTTGAAAGAAATTTCATTTAAGATTTTGATTTACTTGTAAATCGTTTATAAAAAGTATAATGAAAATGCTAACTCACTAGAATAGAAATAAATTTTGGGCATAATTTTGTGTATAAATATAATTAAATATGTAAAAAATTTATTTATATTTTAGTAAGTTCGCATTATCATTATCTATTATATAACATATTCTCAAATTTTTAAACACTCAATTAACTAATATTAAATTAGAACGAGAGATTTGAAATTTCTAATTTATTTTATAACTGTATGAAATATAGTTTAAATTCAGAAAGATCAAATATGTGAATAGGAACTGTTCGTTTTTTTATGTACTAAATATAATTAGTCCATATAAGTGAGATGTTATTGATTATTATTTTATTAATATTAAAAAAAATTTTTTTTGAAAAAAATTAAAGTTAATAAGAAATAAGAACTTTTATTTAAAAAAAATTTAGATATTCATCATTAATTTTTTTAGACATTTATATTTGATAATTTATAATATATTATTTTTTAAAAAAAAAACTGATTTATTAATAGTTAATAGCAAGAAAAAAGATATTAGCATTTAGTTTTCATGAGTTCCTTGATACATAAAACGATAAAATAATTTGATATATTTTCAAAACCTTTTACATTCTTTGTAGGAAATAAAAAATCTAAAAGTACTATTGTTGGAGGATTCCTTTCTTTATCTGTAATAGCTGTTGCTGTTATTTATTTCTATTATCTGATGAATCTTTACTTTACTAACCAAGTTGAGCCAAAAATAACTTAAAGTTTTCAAATTCAAAGCAGTTTAAGCACAATCCATATTTAAGATAGTTTCTTCATTATAGAAATGCTTATCAATGGATAACCTTTGAAATAATATGAAAAATAAGTGAATTAAGTTTATTTAAACTATACAGTACTTTACGAAATTTATTATCCTAATGGAACATATATTACTAAAGTACTTTAGCTTTCAGAATGTACTGATTCATAGTTTATAGGGTATTAATGTATTGATTAAAGCGCTTTTGAATAGAGCATTGATATCTTTAACAACCCTATTGAACAATTCTCTTCTGATATTTCAATTTAAATTAACTTTTGTGACCCTAAAATCACAAGTAATTGTGCTTCACCTAACGATATAAGCAATCTAATTTTTTAGCAATAAAATTATTTCTAAGTATTCACAAAAATAAAGTAATATAGCTAGAAATTAAAAAACTACTAATCTTCTTACAAAACTGAATATTTTTACTTTGATCCAAATTTGATAACTTATACCAGATTAGACTTAATATTAGCTACAACAACCATAACCGAAGGATTATTGCTTTAAAAATCATCTTCTGATGTTAACATTTATGATTATTAAAGGATAGATACATTTTTTTCATAGATAAATATATAACAAAGAATGGGAATTAGTGGATTAGGCTATTTAGTTTACGAGCTAAATCAAATGCATAACTCTATAGAAATTTAAAATGCTATGATAACTGAAATCTTAGCTTAATTTATGAGTATATTGAATACAATGCTTTTAGTAGGTTTTTTGGCAAGATATCTTGCTGAGTCATACATTGTAGAAGACATAAATAATATCTTGCTTTAAGAATATTATAAAAAAACTGCTCTAAAATTAGTTTAAAAAAAGGAAATTAGAAATGCCTTTGAAAAGTTTGGTAATGGCGATGCAGCAGCATAATCGTAATTTCCCTCAAGCTATAATATATTAAATAGGTTGTATTATACTAAAGATTTATCAGCAGAAAAGTAGTAGTCAAAAATTCTTTGTGAAATTTAGAAGAGAATTAATGAGACCAATTTTTCTGAGTAGTAAAAGTAGTATTTTGAAATGAGTTTTTGGGAAAGATTTAAGAATTTTTTTTAAAAAATATTGGGTTTTAATTAGAAGTTAGAAATTCATAAAGATCCTAATTCTGATCCTATTTTGTATGATAATCTACTAAAATAATCAATGAAAAGAATCAATATTTTTGAAGTTTACAAAGATTTGATTAAATTAAAGATGGCAATTAAACTTATTCTAACCAAAGATCAATACGCTGCTATACAATACTGTGGATCAGAATTATGCCCTGTATAGACTCAAATTTAATAGTAATTAAAAGAAATATAATCATAAAGATTGATAAATTAAATAAAATCTAATGATAATAAAGAAATGCCTGCAGCTTTAGCAGTAAATAAATTGCCTAATAGCAATGATATCAATCCTTAGGTTTAGTAATAAAAAGCAAAAATATCTAATATTTTTTTAAAACAAAACATATTACCAATTATCTAAGATAGAGATATTAGTTAATAATAGTAAAACTAAGTTACTTAAAAAGCATGCTAAGGAATTTATAAAAATTAAATAATAGAAATTTTTCCTCAAACGTTTTAAGAATAAATTAAATAAAGTCAAGTCAATGATGATTAATATTAATTCAAAAGTAGCATGATTTCAGAGATCCAGTAAAGTATAGATGTATATAAAGAGGAATAGTAAAATATCTTTGAAACAAATGATAATTTAATAAGAAAACAACGAGATTAAACAACTCCTACCTCAATATTATCAAGTAACCAACACCATAAAATTATTATTGATAAAAAGGATAAAATTTAATGTCTCAGGATAAATGGGGATTAGAATGAGTTAAATTAATCAGATCTTTCCATAGAGATACCTATTTAAGCTCAAGAAGATATAGATGATCTACATTTAGAAAATAAAAATTTATAAACATTCCTAGGGTTAGGTTGTCATCTTATTGAAATGGATAAAATTGAAGAAAATGAAGAGGAAAGGGAAAATTATCTAAAATAATTCTTTGTAAAAATGAATAGTTCTAATGATAATTAAAAAAATTATATAGATTAATAGATTTATTAGAGTCTAATTATTAATGAAAAGCAAGTAAAAGCAATTAATGATTATTTTGATTAGCAAGTTGTTATAAACAGGAGAATCTCTTTACATAGAAAAGCTTAAATAACTAATTTGATTGAAGAGCTAAGTAATAAGAATAAATAAAGTAATAATTTAAAAATGTAATGAAAATATTGGATTTCTTTCAAAGTGTATTTATTTTTTATGTCCTTTTTCATTTTAAAAATGAAAAAAATTTTTTTTTGGATATGTATAAATATGTTTATTTGATTTATTTAAAATGATCTTTAGCTTTACAGTTAATTACACTAGAAACTATATTTTATGGATGAAAATTTACTTAAAATTTTTATAAAAAAAAGTGTAAATAAAAAATAAACAATTAATATTAAATTTACACATAAAAATTATGATATTCCCAGTTTATGGACTTATTTAATATTTTTATTTTAAATTATTATTTAATTTAGGAGCTATCAGTAAATTACCTTTCAAATTATTCCTTTTTTCTCTTTGTTTTTTGATTATAAATGTACTTTACTATTCATATGAATGTTTACTCAACTAAGAGATGATATTTACAGGCTTTTTTTATAGTCTGAATATAAATAATACCTTTGGGATTATTGAAAAGAATAAATCAATAGAAAAATATACAAAATATGATAAATTTATGATTATTGTTTAAAGAATAATGAATAGATTCAATTTTTATAAATTACTAAAGTCATTTAAAAAAGCTACATAAAATTTATTGGTAAATGTTTTTTTACTAATTATTTTTTAAAAAATAAGGATATTTTGAGGAATTTGTTAAAAATTATATTTCGAAGTTTTTTAAGCAAATTAATTGTTATAACAAGTATGATTTTATTTATAGTACTATTAATAGTTGTAGAATTTTCATTACAAAAAAAAAAGCTGCATTTCTATTAATTTTAAGAATTAATAATTAGACTCATGAAATTAGTAAATTTGCTTGCTATAACTTTTTACTTGATTTTGATATTTAAAATCAAGCAAAAAATACAAATTAAATTTTGGAACTCTTATAGTAAAAGTTAAAAAAAATTGAACCAGTGAGCACTATTATTAGGTTGAGATCATCAAAATTATTCTCTTGTGTTAAAAATTGGTTATGAGTTTTTTTTGAAAATATAATAATTATCAAAATCTTTAATAATATATTTTTTTATAGCAAACTTTAAGAAACAAAAAAAAAAATTCAAAATATGAAAAAATTTGGAAGAAATTTCATTTAAAATTTTGATTTATTTGCAAAACCTTTTTCCTTTTTTGTTGGCGATAAAAAAAATAGGAGTACGCTTGTTGGGGGAATACTCTCTTTGGTAGTAATGGGAATATCAATTTACTACTTTTATTATCTTATGAATCTCTATTTTTCAAATAAAATATAACCCAAGATAACAGAAAATTTTAAGATTGAAAACAATTTTAATAATGTTCAAATTCGTGAAGGATTTATAATTATGGAGATGCTTGTTAATGGTCAACCTCTTAAGTAGTATGAATAATAGGTTAATAAAATATATCTTAACTATACTATCAATTATGAATAGTATTACACAAATGGAACTAGCTAATAAGTAAGTTTACCAATATCTTAATGTACAGATTTTGATTTTTCAGGTTATCTTTGTATTGATTAAAGCGCATTTTAAGAAAATTTAGATATTTATAGTAACCCTATTTCTCAGCTTTCATCTGATTATGCTGTATAAATTAATCTTTGTGATAATACTACTGTTTCAAATTGTGCTACTTAAGAAGAAATATATGAATTAATCTTTCAACCCCAGAATTATTTTTAGATTTTCACAAAAATAAAATAATATAATTCAAACACAAGATAGTTTGAAGATGGGTATAAGTCTGAATATTTTTACTTCGATCCATATTTGATTACTTATACCAGAATGGATTTAGTAGTAGCAACAACAACTCTAACTCAAGGTATGGTGTTTTAAGCTAATACTCAGAGTGATAATATTTATAACTATTAAAGAGTAGATACATATTTTACTAAATAAGGAATATAATAAAGGATGGGTATTGATGGATTAGCTTATATAGTTTATGAATTAAACTAAGTTCATAATTATTTTTAAATTTAAGAACCTATGTTAACTGAAGTTTTAGCATAGTTTATGAGTATTTTTAATACACTGCTTATTATTGGATTCTTAGCTAGGTTACTTGCAGAGTCTCATATTGTTGAGGATATGAATAATATTTTACTAAAAGAATATTATAAAAGAACAGCTCTAAGACTTGTTTAGAGACAATAGCTTAAATAAGTATTTCAAACTATTGAAAAAGCAGAGCCTTCAGCTTAAGCATAAATAATACAAAGTTTCAATTCACAGAGTAAAGTACATGTATTGAAAGAGCCATCACCTGAATAATAAAAATCAAAATTATTTGTAGAAATGAATAAAAAAATAGCAGAAACTAATTTTTCTGAATAGTTATCAAAGTATTTCAATTTAAGTATAAAAGATAGAATTAAGCATTTTATTTGTTCTATTTTTGCCAGAAATCATAAAGTAGATGAAAAAAAAGATCCTAATTCTGACCCAATTTTGTACTCAAATCTTTAAAAATAGTCATTAAAGAGGATTAACATATTCGAAGTATACAAAGACCTTATAAAAATAAAAATGGCAATTAAGCTAATTATGACAAAAGAATAATATGCTGCCATGCAATTTTGTGGTTCTGAAATGTGTTCAGAAGAATAGGAAACTAAAGTGGATTAAAATAAAGAATAATTAAAAATAATAGAAAAGTCAAATGCTACTTTAATCAAACCTTCACCTAATAATACTTTAAATATTTTATAAAAATCTTCTAGTGTTAATTAGTTTTAAGAAGCAAGATAAAGTAAGAGAATATTAAGCGCATTTTCTAAAGAAAAAAATTATGAAAATAACCCAGAAGCAATATAAAAGAATAAAACGAGCAGATTGAATGTTGAAAGCCATTTATATTTACCATAAAATTGTTAGTAGCATAAAACGGTAGTTAATCATAAATTTTCAAATAAAAACTAACAAATATCTAAACATTTATCTGATTCAGAAATTTTTTTGTGTTTCCCAAATGATTAATAAACTCGTTCAAGTAAGAATTCAATTATTACTACAATAAACACTTTACGTTCTATTTAGTAAAAATCCCCAAAAAAGTAAATATCAGCCACTGAAGAGAAAGTAAATATTTAAAATTTGAAGATTTTTGGAGATTAAAATGTTTTTGAAAATGGTAATTTATCTTCAGATAGTTTAGAAGAGTAACAATAAAATATGTTTTAACAAAATGATTTATAAAATTTGTAATCTCATTTAGTTGAAATGGACAAAATAGAATCAGATTTATAAGAACAAGAAAAATATTTAAATTAGTTTTTGATAAAAATTAAAAACCAAAAACCAAATGCCATGAATCCTATTGACAAACATATATTTTAGAGCTTGCTTGTAAATGATTAACAGCCAAATAAAATCAACAATTTTAGGGATTTATAAAACATTACTTTAGATAAAAAACTTTCAATAGATCTCTAGCCAAGGTTATCAAAATTATTAATAGATTTCCAAATAAAATAAAATAAAGATCACCCATAAATCATTTGAAGATAATTGTTAGCACTAATGACTAAAGTCTCAAAACTCTATGAACCATAATATATTTTTATAATAATTATTATTTCATCGTTTTATTATTACTTTTAATACTTTATTATTATTTAAAATTCAGCCTAATTTAAACTAAAATTTCTTGTTTGTAAAAAAAATATTTTATTAAAATTATAAAAACTAAAAAATTTTTTTAACTCCATATTTTTACAAAAAATATATCTTCACTATTTTAAATTCACAATTAATAATCAATTATTTTGATCAAATATTTCTTTTCAATTATTTTTATTAAAATTAATTATTAGAATCAAAATAAATTTTTTATCAAAATAGTAGAATCAAGTGGCTAAAATTTTAATTGCTTTTATATTTAAAAAAATTAGTAGAAATAATTAATAAAAATCAAATTAAATGGGGTTATTTGATAAAGGTCTACTAAAATGCTTTGATTTATTTTCTAGACCTTTTACTTTCTTTGTAGGAGATAAAAAGAATAAAAGTACAATTTTTGGAGGTTTACTATCTGTACTTATTATAGGAGCCTCTATTTATTACTTATACTACTTAATGCATTTATATTTTACTGGTAAAATATCACCAAAAATTACATCAAGCTTCTAAATAGAAAGTAACAACAGTACAATTAATGTTAACGAGAATTTCTTTTTTATGGAAATGATGATAAATGGAATACCTCTAAAATAGTATGAAAAGAAGGTTAGCAAAGTTTATCTCACTTACACAGTGAGCTATGAGCAGTATTATTAAAATGGTACCTATTCTGTAATAAATTTGATCTTGTCTGAATGCACTGATCAATAATTCTAAGGATATTAGTGTCTGGATTAAACAAATTTCTATTAGAATATAGATATTTACAGCAATCCAATATTGTAATTGTCTTCTGATTATGCAATACAAATAAGCCCATGCGATCCTACTATAATACCTAATTGTGCTTCTCCTACAGAAATTTATGATCTGATTTTTTAGTCTTAAAATTACTTTTAGCTGTATACTAAGATTTAGTAATATAACACGAATGAAGGTAGATATTAGATTGGATATAAATCTGAATATATTTACTTCGATCCTCAAATCATGAGTTATACACGAATTGATTTAATTGCTGCAACTACCTAATTGACCTAAGGACTAATATTTTAACAATCTTAAACAAATAATACTGTATATGATTATTAGAGAATAGATACATACTTTTCCTAAAATGGAATAGAACAAAGAATGGAGATAAGCGGTTATGCTTATTTAGTTTATGAGCTAAACTAAATCCATAACTATATTTAAATTGAAGAACCAATGATTACTGAGATTCTAGCTTAGTTTATTAGCATTTTTAATGCATTATTGTTTATAGGTTTCTTAGCAAAGCTTGTAGCAGAATCTCATATTATATATGATATGAATAACATTTTATTAACAGAGTATTATAAAAAAACTGCTTTTATGCTAATTTAAAGTTAAGAGGCTAAAGATTCTCTCAAGAAATAATCGAAGAAAAGGAACAAAATCAAAAATTTAAATAATAAAATTTAATAAGACAATTCAACTCATATTATAAATGACTCACAAGAAGCTTAAAAATGCAGATTTATTTTAGAATGTTAAAATAAAATAAATTAAACAAATTTTTCTGAGTAATTATCAAAGTATATTAAATTAGGATTACTTGATAAGATAATTAATTTTTTTTGTTAAATTTTTGGCAGAGCTCATAAAATATAGAGTAAAGATGATTCAAACTAAGATAAAACTTTTTTTAGAAATTTAATGAAACAATCTCTTAAGAGAATCAACATATTTGAAGTCTACAAAGACCTTATAAAAATCAAAATGGCAATCAAATTAATTTTGACAAAAGAACAATATGCTGCCATACAATTTTGTGGTACTGAAATCTTGTTTGAAGATCAATAAAAATAATAAAAATCTTAAAATGATTAAATTTATACTAGGCAAGATAAAAATACTATACAAAAAGAAAGCAAAAAACCTATCTTTTAAATTAAAAGAGTAGAAAAAGCATTTGTAAATAATCTTATGCCTGATAAAAATAGTGAACTTTTTAGTAGCTTAAAAAGGTATAAAAAATAGTTTAGTAGATTTAAAAATAATAAAAAATTAAACAATACTTCATCAACTCAATATAGAGATTAGTCTGAAAATTTAAGCAACAATTTCTTTCTTTAGTAAGAAAAATAATTTACTGAAGAAATTGAGAACAACAATATAAGAGGAAAAGTGAGGTCTGGAGCAATATTTTTTAGACTAGCTTTTTAAAACAAATTTATAACTTCAAAGTCTTTGAAATATTCTTTAGCTTCTTTATCTGTATTAGTACCTAAACCTTTATAATATTTTATATTGTATTTATTTTATATATTTTCAATTCCACCATTTTATTATACCCACTTAGTATACTAATCAAAATTATAGAATTATTATTCTTTTAATTTTTTTGATTCTGTTTTAGGTTTTAGTTTGATAACTTGTGTCTTTAAAGTTTTTACCCTGCCATCAATTAATAACTATGGCCAGTACTTCATTATTATATTTAAAAATAATCCTTTAATATGAAATCCATCATAATCTTAATCTGTAATAATTATAATATTTTTATATCTCATTATATCAAATTCTTTTAATTGTTGTAAATAACTTTTATTAATCTGATCCATAAATATTTTTGCATTTTCTTCAATGAATATTCTTCTGTTTAATTTAGATTCATCTATTTTAAATTATTTTAGTAATTATTTTTATTATTTTTTGATTTTGATTTCATCGTTATTTTTTTTAGTTTTAGTTTTAGATTTAGATTATTTTTTTTCAGTTTCATCCTAAGTTTCACTCTAAGGTAAAGTTTCACTTTAAGGTAAAGTTTCACTCTAAGGTAAAGTTTCACTTTACATTAAATTTTTCATAAATTCCACTTTCATTTCTTAAATTTTATTCTCTCTCCAATTTTTATACAATTAATTGTTAAAATCATTTTCAGAATCTAAACTTTCAGTAAAATATCTATTTAATGACCTCTATAATTATGATAAAATTTCATTCTCACCAATTTATCTATCAGTTTTACTATTGACATTCATCAATTTACCTTTAAGCGGAAATCTACCATAAATTTATTTTTGTTATTCTGTTAACCCAGATCTTATAAAACTCATAGCAGAATCACCTTCAGCACACAATAAACTACACTCTGTTCTTCTATCTCTTATTTTAATAGCATCTTATAATTTTTTGACTGAATTTATATTCATCTTTTTTATTTAATCTTTCTATTTTAAAACTTATTATTTTTTAGTTTATTATTAAATCTCAATTTTTAATTCTTATAACAATGAAGATTATTGAATTTATTATTAAATATATTTTTCTAATTCTACAGTATCAAACCAATCTTTTTTATTAGTCTTCAATTAATCTTTACTCTAAGAAGTATAACTAGGTTAGTGAACAAGTAAAGAAAAAATAATAAACACATTTTACCTATATTATTTTCCCAATTATTTCATAACTTCTAATTCATCTTAATCTTAAACATTTAAATTCTTAATCAATTAATCTTATTTTATGATCTAATTAATAAAATTCACATGAGTACCTCCATTTTATGGTAATCCATTAACAAATGAAATTATATCCTTTTATAATTACTAACCTGGAATTATAATATTATTTTTATCTTCTAGAATTATGAGTTAATAATATTAATCAACAAAATTAATAATATTTAAATTCTATTATTTATGTTCTTCGTTAATAAACATATATAAGTAATCTAATAAATTATTTACATTTATAATTTATCTGTCTAAAAATAATCTTGTATTATTATCTTGTTTACAATAAATTATAGTAGATGAATAAATTCCAATCATTTATGCATATAAAATTTATTTTAATAATGGTAATTAATCTTTTTCAAACTTGAAAAAATTATAATCTATTTTAAATTTTATTTACACATAATCATCCTCTTATTATTGTATTAATTATTATTTATTGTTTATTTTTACATGAGTTATTTAAGGTTCACTATGTTTGGTATTTCCTTCATAATGTAATTATTTGAAAATTAAATTATCATATTTAGTTTCTACTTCAAAATATTCAGATAATACATTTGTTAATTTTGCACCATAACCATTCTTTCCTCCAGTTAATTTTGGATCATTTAAATTTGTATTTTAATAATTTGATGAAGTTCTTTCATGTGAAAATATTAATTCTGGAATAAATATATTATCTTATTTTTCAATAGGAATACCTTTTCCAACAGTTTTCAAAACAATTTCACCTTCAATTTCATCAAAATCTAAATATATTTATATTCCTTTTTTTTATTTTCTCTATTGAAACATAACATCTCTTGCATTGGTTAAAATTTCTCCTATTACAGTTAGTAATCCTGGAATTATTTTAACTTTTTTATACTCTAATGTTATTTAATTCTCTTAATTTTTAGAGTAAATTGGAGTCATAATTTCTTCAGGTTGTATAGAACCTATGTACATATCAGCACATTATCTAACATGTAATTCAAATTTCATTTATTTGTATTGATTTTGCATTTTTTTTATTTATTTATTTCAATTTATCGATTTTAATTATCTAATGATATATAAATTTCTATTATTTCTTATTTATTTGTTTTTCAATTTTTCATAAAAATATAATTTTTATTTTTGTTTTGTTTTAGTTTTTATTTTTTTTTTCTTTTTATTGATTTTTTTTTTTTGTTTTTAAATTATATATTTTAATTTTCGGTTATAAAAAAAGTATTTAAGAATCTATCAATCGTATTTATTATCACCATCCAAAAAATTTAGTGGATTGAATTCGAATTAAGAAATGCATAAATTATTTTATTATTATAATTCGTTATTATAATTATAATTCGTAGTTCTGTCTTGATACGAGGTCATTTGATTTTGATAATTTTCATTATTATAAGGGGTACCGTAAATAATTTATGTATGGAAATCATTGTCGAAGTTATATTGAACTTCGTATTTTTCTTCTTCTTCTTCTTCCATTTACGGAGCCTAATTACCCTATTCAGTTTGTTAAATTTACTGTAATTATATTTATTATGATTCCTCATGTTGATCATCAATTTCTTATTCATCGAGGAATTATAATTCATAAACCCAATATTATTATTAGCCTTCAGGAACGATATTTTCTACAGGCGCAATTCCATAGATATTAACCTACTACTGTTATTAGAAATTTTCAGGGAATTACATCTCATAAATCCATTCTTGTTATTATCCATCAGGAGCAATGTCTAAATCACTGAATCCATAAGCCATATTTATATTTTATATATTTTGTGGTTGTTATTGGTTGTTTGGTTATTCATCTTGATTATTGTTTGGCTAATCATTCTAAGCATTGCCTAATTGTTCCTACTGTAGAGGTAAATTTTCTAGGAATTATGTTTATTATAATTAAATTTAATTGTTTACATCCAAATCATTATCAATCTAATTCATTGTTGTACCCTGATCGTTATCAATTACAAACCTTTTAAAATTTTTATATACTGATTTTATTTTTTCATCTTTCTTGATGACCTTGTTTATTGGAAGAGGTTTTTATTTTTTAGAATCTTTATCAACTTAGATTTCTTTTTCAACTTAATTTTTAGGCTTTTTTTAATTTTCCTTACTTTCGATTTCTTATTTTTTCTCAAATTCGATACCTAAATATTCTTCCGGACCATAAAATTTCATTTTTTTAATAAAACTACGATTTAACCACTCTAATTTTCTGGTTTATTAAACTAATAAATGATTCCATTATAATAAAATATTTTGTCTCATGTTAATTTCATATATATTTTAGTTATCTATAAAATTTATGTCTATATCGTTTTAAACTATCTAGTTTATTCTTTTCTAAATAAATTAAATTTCTTTCAACAATTTACTTTTATCAACATCAACATTTATTTCAGGATATTTAAAGAGAGAAATTTTATTCTCATTTATAACAATTTTTTCAAGCAAATATTTGATAATGAGGGAAAATATTTAAGCATTTCCATATTTTGATTATTTACATTGTTAAATAAAAAATTTTGCTTGTTCATAAAGCATAAAATTTTATATTTTTCTACATTAGTTAAATACTTCCAAATCTTAGTTTTCTTAGCTATCTGTGTCATGATTCATTCTATATTATTAATTTTTAAATTGAATATCTTTGCAATAATTTTAAAATAAGTATATTTGGGGTTCTAATATATTCCCATGTATAGTGGTTAAAAAATTATTCCAAAATAAACTGTAAAAAAGCCCTCCATATGTGAAATTTATGTTAGAAGGTAAAACTAACTATTATCCCTTCTTGATATTGTCCATGATTTCTTTCTATTTATATTAGATTCCAACAATATCTTTTTTCATACTTAATTAACAGTTTTAATTGGAATATTTTTTGTTTCCTTATTATTCTTCTTTGTAAAATTTTTAGAAAAAAATCATATTGAATTTTTTTTCAGATTCTTAATTTTAATCTTAATTAGTGTTTTATGACTACATACAATCTTCATCTTATTCACCAATTCTTATATAGGGAACAATGACAGGTAGTATTTAAGTTTTTTTAGTTTTTTCATCATAAATTATATCAATAAAAATTCCAGTGTTTTTTTATTATCTTTCAAAAACTTCCAAAAAATTAAAGCGATCTTAATTTTGTAAATTTTACATTTCATTTTAAAATTTAATAAAAAAACCATCTTTCTCTAAATACTTAATATTTAGATAATGGATTGCATTTCCCAAATAATACTATAAATAAATTATTTCTTAAAATATGCGTTTAAATTAGACATTTCTGTTCAATTTCATTTAATTTATTGAATCTGATTATTAAAATAATATATTTATCCCTAATAAGTAGTAATCTATTTAAGTTTTCATCTTTATCTATATATTATTTTCATCTTATTATTGATATTATTATTATAATTCGTTTAAATATTAAAATAGCTGTTCATTAGCCATCATTTCATATTAAAGATTATTTTATACTTTCTTATGATGAATATTCTAATCATAAATATATCTATGCATATTTTTGAAGTATGTATTCTTCGATTTTTATTCCTAATCAGATTCTTATTATGATGTTTCAGATCTTCTTCCTGTTTTAATCAATTCTTCTATTTATTGCAATTTTTATGAAAAATGGAATGCGTATCCTATTAAAAATGCTATATAATATGATCTTTTTTAAATCTAGCCCTCTGAATAACTATAACAAACATTGGCCTGAAGAAAAACAGAATATGTGGAGTGAAACATATATTAGAGAAGAGTCAGATCTTCTAAATTTATTCTCTTGGATTTATTTTCAATATCTTCCAGAGAATCTATTATTTTTTATCCGATGTCAACAATTTCACCGTCTAACTTCATTTAGTTTAAAAATTTTTCATTAAATTTTTCAGAGATTTTTTCAAATTCATTCTATTGTTTATCTTTATCAACTATATTCATATATTAGATGAAAAAATTTTTAAGTTTTTAAAATTCAATTTAATTACCGGCGCTTTTTTTTTTAATGTAGTCAAGATTTTGAATTATTTTTCCAAAAACTTTTTATTACACCAAATAATTTAAACCGATTTTTGGAAAAATATATAATATTATTTTGATTTATACATATATATATTTATATGAATTATTTAATTTAAGCTTAATATATTATTGAATTAAGCTGGTAATATGAAGTTATAATAATTTTATAATTGAAAAATTTTGACAAAAGTTTAAATGTTGAACAAAATCTAAAATAAATTTTTGTTAATTGAAATTTGATAAATTAGATTTATCTATCAAAAGTTTTTTAATATAAATTATTTGAATTTATTATTAGTTTTTTATATATTTGAATTAATTCTATTTTAGTGTTCTCCCTATCACTTAGTGATTATAAGTTAATTATTTTAAAATATTCAACCTTTTTTCAATTAAATATGAATATGTTATCATTTTGTTAGATATTTTATCTTTGTATAATGTCCTAAACTTATAATATTCTTTATTCTACATCTATTTACTAAATCTATTAGGGTTACTATATACCATTATTGTTTTTTTCATCAGTAAACTCTCTTCCTGACTCTGCATATTCTTAAGAATCTATAAAAGTAGGCTTATTTTCGTCGTCCCAATCACTAGTAATAGATTAACTTAATATGCTTCCTGTAAGTTATGCTCCAGTAATAGCTAATCCTACTACTCCTGAAATTAATCTAAAACCCACAGACGCTCCTAAGCCAAGTAACCTCATACCCATCCCTGCTATTCCTATACTAAAACTACCAACTGACGCCGCTTAGCTTCCTCTAGTAACTATATTGTGATTATATTTTTTTTCATGATTTACATTCTTAATTCTTCTTATAGTAGGAAACATATATTCTTCTCTATAGACACCTACGATATGATTTCCTGTTTTTCCACCACTTCCTGGCTAGCCACCAATGCCATGTTACGCAATTTTTAAAATTCTTTAAATATTTACTTACTAATTAATATTATTTTCATCTATTAGTATACTATTAATAATGATTTGTGCAAATCCATGATTTCCTTATATTCCACCGTGTCCTCCTCTTCCTGCATCAGTACCTTTTTTACCTTCTTTACCACGAGAATAATAAAACTCCTCAAAAACGGAATTAAAAGAAAGGAATTCTTTTGTTTTGGAAGTTATTTTTATTCTTTCAACTAAAAATTATTTTTTTTTACTAAAGAAATCTGGTATACTTGCATGTTCACCATCTTCTCCGTTTTAACCATTTTTTCCATTTTATCCATCTCCACCTTGTCCGCCAGAAACATCAATAATTAACTGAGATTAATTTGAATCAAAGCTAAAATCCTCATTTAAATCTATAATTACTGTACCTCCGTTTTCTCCTGGTAAACCAGGTAATCCATCTTGAATACCTTCATCAATTGAAGTGTTTTAACTTCCTTTATTACCTTCAACAGAAATCTTTCTCTTACCAAAGCAAATAAATTTTTTTGACTTAATATAAATACTCTTTCCATAGTGGCTGATATCGTTATCAAGAATAAATTTTTTAGCAATCACCAGAAAATCGCATTATTAATTTTTATTAATATAATTTTAAACATTTTTGCTCATAACAATATTTCCAATAATTAAAAATATATTATTTTCTTCTAGTTAATTTGCTTAAATATGGGTAAAATTTTTTATTTTTTTACTTAAACTATTTTAGCCAAAAAAATTATTTATGTATGGTAGTTATATGAATTCGTACATCATCTATAATTCTTTCATTTTTTTCTTTTAATTTTAGCTTTAGTTGGACAGTTTATTGCATCCAAAGATAAATTAAAATAATTAACTTAAAACAGTATTATTATATTTAATATTTTCATTCAGAAAATAAGATAAACCCCAGTTATTGTTTGTATTTAAAAATATTTATTACATTAAATTGTTAATAAATTCATCAATTCTTACAATATCTTTCTCTAATTAAATCTTTTAGTTTTATATTTATGCTTAACTTTCTGGATCGAGGGATTAAAATAAGCTAAACTCATGATTAATTTTCAATCCATGTAAATTTTAAATTTAATTAACAATTTCTTATCTAAGATCAAATTTAAATGGGGAACCTATTTCACTTCTATTTGCTTATTCAAATAAAAATACTCGACGCATTTCAAATAAGTGATTAAAAAAATCCCTGTATTAAATTCTATTTTATTCTTAGAGTAAATCAATAATATGTTCTTTCAACTCATCTAGAAATTATTCATTCACTATTCCTTAATCATATTTATTAAAAATGATAATAGTTGAATTCATAATATTATGTAATCCCCCAAAAATATGATTCAGTCTATCTAGCCTATTAGCAAATTCAGCACCTCTTGTCTGAATTAGATTTATAAATTCTTCAATCAGTAATAATTTTATTTTCTTATTAGAATAAAAGAATTCAACAAATGATTTAAAATTTTATATACGAATTTCTATTCCTCTTGTATCATATAAACCAGGAAAATCAGCTAATTTTAGTAGACCATTTTATTTAATTTAGATATTTTAAGTTGTAGATTTAACTGAATGGCCAATTTAAAAACTTTCTGGATCATCACAACAAAGGCGAGCTTATAAATTTAAATATTTAATAATTAATGTCTTTTCAAGTAGATAATTCAGAATTGTAGATTTTCCGCATCCTGTAGAGCCAAAAGCAACAACAACACTCTAATCTTCATTTAAATTTTTATCTAAATTCTGCATTTTCTTCCAAAACAAGCAAATTTTTGTATTTATTTTTTAAATTAATTATTTATTCTTTTTAATTATGTTTATTGATTTAATTATTTAAATGATATTTTTTTATTTTAATTTTAAAGGAGAAAAAAATAAATTATAAAAGAAATTATATTTATAATTAAATAGAATAATTAATTTTAATAAAAGAAATATCAAATCTTTAATAAAATACATATTTGTAATTCAAATACCGAATAAGATATTTTATTTATAAACATAGATAGTAAATTTAAGTTTAAGATTAATTTAATTAAAAGATATATTTTTTTGTTTGTTTATTTATTTATTTGCTTATATTGTTATATATATTTTTTAGAGGAGGATTTGTAATAATTATTAATGTTAATTTTTCATTTCAAGCTTTATCTTTGTTTTATTAATAATATCAGAAAACAAAATTTTTGTGTGTGGTAGAATCATATTCCTTATTATATACTTTGAGGGGATTTTTATAGAATATAAGATAGATCATTATTAAGCTTACACGAATATACTTTATCATTATTACTTGGAATTTGTGTTTGCAATTGAAAGTAATTTATTTTTATTGTTACTATTGTTTATACCCTAAACTAGTTGTTATTGAATTTGGGAAGCCATAGTGTTTGAAGGTTAAGAATTTATTGAATCCTTTCTTTATCCTTATCTGCTCATCAAATTGTTATGCTTTATTGAGAATGAAAATATTTGTGCCTTCTTTACAAAAAAGGTATTTGACTGTTATAGGTTTTTTATCTATTCATTTCTATAGTAATTATGGAAAAAGGGTATTTTTGATTATTATTTCAGAGGGATAGATGATAGCAGTTAGTTATTATATGTATTTTAATTACTTTATTTATAATTATTGGCGAAGAGCTCATAAAAATTATTCGAAGTTGACTTAAAGTTATTTTACTTAATTTACATCTAAATATTTTTTACCCTAGATCTTTTATTTAGTTTATTAAAAATGAAGTTAAATTTCAAAATTTATTTTGAGGCTTCAGCGAAATTTGAATAAGTTTAATCAAATAAAATAATAAAATATTTCTTACACATTATTTTAAGAAGTGATAGGGCGAGATATCTTGCTTTCTTAGTTTTATTAGTTCAAGTTAATAAATTATATATTGTTTTCTTTTGAGTTATTTATATTCATGAAATTTTATAAGCTTGCTGTTCCTTAATGAATGCTAGGTATTGTTTCATCTCGCTGTTCAGATAGCTTTGATTGTGTAAAATTATATTAGTTTGTGCTCCCATTTTTTTAGCTTTTTTGAAGACTTGAAAATCTCTTTGCATCAGTATTATTTGTATCTGAATTATCATATGAATCTACAGGCAATTTAGTCTTAGTTACTTAATTCTTTTCGCTTATTGTGGGCATCTATGGTTGACTGAGTGATGAAATGAATTTTTATTTAGGTGATCTGGTTTATTAAAGTTCTTCTCTAAAAGCAGTTAAATCAAATCCGCTCGTAGCTAATTCTATTTAATAATTATAAATTTGATGATTTAGATATTTTAAATAGATTTTGTATAATGAATCAACTAGTATAATACAACTTAAATAAAAGTATGCTTTAAGATTTTTTAGTTTCTTAACAACTATTAAATTAGAATTTAATTAATTAAATCATTATTTACCCTATATATCATTCATAGAATCTTCAAAATTGTTGTTCTCCTCTTTAATCCTTATTTCCTGAATAACAATAAAAATTATTTTAAATATTTACATCGTACGCATTTCAAATTAAACAATGAAAGCAAACTTCCATAAAAATTATTAAAAAAATGGTCTTTTATTTATTTGCTTATCAAAAGATTAATAAAACATTAATTTTTAAAATTTAGATTTATTGTTTTTTTGTTTGTTTGTTTGATTGATTGATTGATTGATTGATAAGTTTTCAATTTTGGAATTTAGACAATCAATATTGGTATTATAACTCTATTATATACAATCTATTTATATTTATTAATATAGTTTTTAAATTACAGAGAGTTATTCTTGTTCGTTATCTTCTTTGCTCTCACTAAAACTATCATCTTCCCTTTGATTTTTTTCATTTTAATATTCTCCATCTTTTTATTTAATATCTTTTGGTTTAACTTCACTTATGTCATCTTCAAATGGCATTTCTTGGTTATTTGTTGGTTACTTTTCTGCTACTTGATTGTTATTAAATTTATTCATATTTCGAGAGCTTGGAGATTATATATGAGAATATCCTCCTTTTGAAGAGTAAACATGATCTCTTTTATTTTCATCAGAAAAAGGATTTTAATACTTTATTTCCTCTTATGTATTATGCTTGTTGATGCGATACTAAGACTGCAGCTGACCTTAAGTAGGTGAATTTTTTTGTGAAAAGTTTTAGTTATTTTGAATGTTATTCCTAGAATTGATTTAAGTATTACCACTTAAAGAATTCCCTTAAAAAACTTTATGCTTAACTAAAATACGAAAGTCATCTTAAATATTTTTTGAGACTGCATATTCTGTATTTGGGTATGTTTATCTTTTACTATTCAGAGCCTCGCTTTTTGTCATTAGAGGTATAATCTATTCCTGCTAATCTTAATTATTATTGCTTTATTACTGTGTAGATTTAAATCCATAGCTATTTACTTAAAAAAGCACATTATTACTGCCATTAGCTTGTAAAAGCTAATTGATATTTTTTAAATCTCTGTTAGAAGTATTCTCTCTCTTTTCTACTGAAAATGCTCCCTTGCTCCCTACTCCAGTAGTGGGCCTTATATAAAAATTCTTTAAAGATTTCTAACTGCGTATCTTCTGCATTTAAAAAATTCTTTCTTATCCTAATCTATTTATGTATACTAATCTCTTTATTTTTTCTTATTTTCTTTGAGTCAGAAATTAATAATCAATGAAATTTTAATCAATTATTGATAAAATTATTAAATTATTGTTCATTCAATTTTTTAGTATGCCAATTTGGCATATTAAATTTCAAACAAATTAAATACAAGATCTAAGTCGTATATAATAAATAAATAATCTATCCCTTATAAAGTATTAACTTGCATGTTCATTTAATTTAACTAAAATTAAACAGAATACTTCAAGCCAAAGCTTTCTTTATAAGGAATTTTACAATGTTACTTTGCAAGAATTATGACCATTAACTTAATTTATAAAAAAAATATAAATAGAGCATAGATATAGAATAAATATTTAAGAAAAAATACTATAAAATAATTTAATAATAATGAAACCTGATTTTAAAAAAATGCCCAAAAAAATTAAAAACAAATATATAATTGAAAATTTAAATTGTTAATTCAAATTTATTCTTACTTAACTTTCTTTGAAAATTTTAACTTAATATATATGCTTACTATTTAAAATTCTTTCTCTAAATTTCATTAAACAAATTTATTTAAAATCTATGTGAAATCAATTAATAAAAATATTTAAAAAAATGTTATTTTTTACTAATTTCTAAAACAAATTTAATATTTATAAAATTCTTTTTAAAGAAAAATTTTAGATAGATTTTTTAAGATCTTAAATCTTTTATACAAACAAACAATTATTGCAAATTAAGAAATAAATATATATGTTTTTTAATTTAAAATAAAGAAAATAATATTTAATTGTGATAAACAAATTAAAAATAAACAAATATTATGTTATTTTATAAATGTTAATTTAAGTTGAAATTTTAAATAGATTTTTATTTTAATTTATTTAATATTAACAATTATCGTATAAAATAACTAATAAATTAATAAATATTCATAACTTCTATTATAAACTAAAGATAAAATTATTTATTTGTTATTAAGTAATTTTAAAAAACATTTAATTGAAAAATTTTTAAATAAATGATACCTAATAGGAGTTTAAGTTATTAATTATTTAAGATTTTATTATTGTCAATAAAATATTTAAATGTTAGAAATTAATAAAATGAATCAAATAATAATAAATTATTAGAGTTGTTTCGATATATCAAACTTTGAATATAGAATTTTAAAATATTGATATTGATGAATATTAAGTTATATTTTTTTCTAATTCATATTTTGAGTAAAGAGTATGAAAATTTAATATATCAAGCATCAATAAAAATAATAATAATTTAATATTATGTTATTAATATTGATTGTTTTACTTAAAAATTAAAATAATTTAGTAAATAAAAGAAATTTAATTGTAAAAAAATGTATTCTCCCATTTTTAAGAATTAAAAGATAAATCATGTAAAGGTTTATTATTTAAAACTAGGGTTTTCATTTAATTATTAACTTTTAAAAAGTTTTTTTCATATTCTTGTTAAAATACTGACTCTTACTTTATCTAACATACTGTAGGTACTCATTTTTAAGAAGGGTCCAAAAATAACTTAATTTCCAAATTTTACTCTCCATTGTTTATCCTGAAAATTTTTCTTCCTTTTTCAAAAATCATCCTTATAGATGAGCACCTATGGTAGAAACAATAATAGATTCATTTAATTATTAAAAACATTAAAAATATATACTAATTAATTATGATCATATGCATCTATAAGATCAATTATTTTAATTACTTGAATTTTTTAAAGAATTTGTTGTAAATAAATTAATAAATACTATTAACAAATCATATTTTATTAAATAAATTAGAGTGGAAAGTAAATGAAAATAGATTTAACTTGTGACTTAAAAGAATATTGCTTCATCAGCGTTTGCTTAAATAAGATACTTAATTCTAATTATGGACTAAATGAGTCATTATTTATCTAAGATTTACAAATACTGTTTAATTACTAAAACTTCTAAAGCCTAAAGTGCATTACTGACTTGTAGAACTTAAGAGAGTATATTTAGAATTTAGATAATGCAGAGAAGCAATTCTTCCTTAACGATTTAATAAAATTTATTGCTGAATAAGCTCTTAAAATGACTAGATTCCAAAATGAAGATAAAAAAATAAAATACTTAGGTGCTAATTAATAAGATAAAGTTAGTTTAACTAAGGAAGAAGTTAGCATATTGCTTGCAAATATGTTTCTTTTATCTACTCCTAGAAGAATGGAAAATAATAGTTTAGAACAATCACTACCTAAATGTTGTTCGAAGATATGCTATGAATTTATATTTAACATCTCTTCTGGTAAAGCTATGAAGTCTAAATTAAGATGTATCCACAATTACTTTAAAAGGATTTACTAAAGAAGACATGATTAAAAATATCTCAATTTGGTTGTTGAATTTTAGAGAATTTAATATCAAAATAATAGCCTTAGATTAGATTAAGATATTTTGTTAGGGGAAATTTAGTTTGAGGAAGATAAGAAAATAGAAGATTTCAAAGATTAAAATTACATACATGTGGATTTCGCAAATAAATATATAGGAGGAGGATCTCTATATGATGGTGATGTATAGGAAGAAATCTTGTTTAACACATGTCCTGAAATGCTTGTGAGCACCATCTTTTGTTAGAAAATGGAAGAAAAAGAAGCTATTTTAATTATTGGAGCAGAAAGATTTAATAGTTACATAGGCTATGGTTATGATTTCTAAGTGACAGGAGAGTATTTTGATAAATCTAGCATTAACAAAGAAAAGAACTACATAAATACTTACGTTGCATGTATAGATGCTATAGCATTTTTACCCTAAGATACTTATTATCAATAATATGAATAAAAAAATATCTACAGAGAGTTGTTTAAAAGTCTTGCTGGATTTCAAGGGCCTCTTAAAGAAGAAAAACAAAATAAATATGATAAAACACCAGTTGTTACTGGTAATTGGGGATGTGGAATATTTAATGGAGATCCATAGCTAAAGCTTCTGATATAATGGATTTCTTGCTCTCTTTTATAAAAAAAAATGATCTATTGTTCTTTTAAAGACCGTAGATTAGCTAATCAGCAATAATTTATTGAAGGATTGAAAGGAAAAAGCATTAAGTCTATTTTTGGCTTGTTAGATCAATACTCAATAACAAATAAAAGTTAAACTCTTTTTAGTTTTCTAAAGAGTTAAAAAATTAATTGATTCTTAACAAGAGAGAGTAAATATTTTGGTAATTCAATCACACAAAATAAATTACGTTTGCATTAAATTTTATTTTTTATTAATAAAATTTATTTAAAAGTAAAAATACTTTTCATACTAAAAAAAATTGACAATATTTTAAAGATAATGTTGTCAAAATAAAATTATTATTTTCATAAATAAAATTTAATTGATGATATTTATATATGAATGTATATGTTGTAAGTAATCAATCACAAAATTGAATCATTATTTACCATAAATTAGAAAAATAACTTCAACTCTTTCAAAATAAATAAACTTAGTTCTTTTATAAGAGTTATAATTGTTTCATTATTAATTAATTTTTTTTTTTGGATTTCATTTTTAAATTATTGTTTTTTAAATAAAAAAAATATGATGAATTTTTGTTTAAATATTAATTTGTTGTTTCACTTTTTAAAGAATTCGGTAAAGTTAGAAAATTAAAGAGTATTTAATTTACATTTCATTTGGAATATACTTTAATAATTACAACTGTGAATATAATTATAAAATAAAGCATTATCAACTGTAGATATTTCTTAACATTTTCCTTTTAATAATATAAATTAATCAATTAATTTTTTAGAAATTTTTAATTAAAAAAGTATGACATTCTAAGCAACTTTTTAAAATAGATAATTAATTGATTATTTAAATGTTATTATTATTATTATCAGATTATTGATAATTTATTTGAATTCTAATTAAATTAAAACTAAATACTAAAATTTTTTAAAATATCAGTTTCTTTAAAAAAAAATATTTGTGAATTAAATAATTAGTTTATAAAATTTTTTGTTTTAAATTAAGAAATGAAATTCAGATAAAATGAATATACAAATATATATATAATATATGTACTAGATTTTATAAATAAAATAAGTGTTTAAATATTTTATATATTTTATAGATTAAATATTGTTTTTTATTATAAGGTATGGTTGGTATTTATTTTATAGGCAAACTTTCAATACATTAATTTTTAGATTTTGCAAAATGATTGCCTTATAAAGTATATTTTATAGTGTATCTATTAATGAACAAATTTTTAGATTTTAAGCAAATGAAGTGGATTGATATAAAGATTATAGTTTCAACATCAGAATGAAAATTTACTTATTTAATAAAAAAACAAGCAATATTTGAATCAAAAATCTTGTAGAAGCTTATTTTCAAGGATTATAAAAGATCGAATGCTTTTTCATCTATTTTGAATCTTATATCTTTAACTGGACAAAACTGAATGCAAAGATATTTTATAAATATCTTTGCTTACCTCTGATTTAGAGATATTAAAATAAGGGAAAGAATGAAGGGTTTAAATAATGTTGCATGTTAATTAGTTTTAATTATTTTTTAGGGATAAATGATTTTGTTAATCATTTTAACTATATTATAGAAGTTCTATTAAAATTGATGTTGTTAGTATAATCTTTTTATTGTATAAGATGGCTGAGATATAGTTTTAAATAATCTTTAGGATGTTTATGTTATTATCGCGAAGGATATTAATATTTATTTTTTATCAAATATCTGAAGAAGTATCAGAAACACTCTTGTTTGTGTAGTATTCACTCAAAGCTTCTTCGAAATCTTCATAGCCAGAAGTTAGCAACTCAAATGTTTTAAGTCTTTAACTTTTGAATTTATAATAAAATTTTGGATTAATATATGGCTATATTTTGATTGTTAAAACTATTTACATTGAGTGAGATGGTGAAAGAGAACCAGTCTACTCATTCCAGTGTTCTGAAATGTTTTCAAGTACATTTGCATATTTAGAAGATGTAGAAGAAAATGATAGGTTCAACTTAGCAAAACTAATTTATAGATTTAAATAGTTGATTAACTTAAAAATTAAAAACTCTTGTCAAATCAATAAAAATATAATTTTTGTTAAAGAATTTAAATTTTTCAGAAAGCAATCAAAAAAATATATTTAAATTTATTATTTTTAATCAATCGTAGATTATTCTAAGATTAATAAAAATTCTTGTTAAAAATTACTTATTTGGTTTCTTATGTACTGTGTGAAGGAATTGGCAGCGCTCGCCATATAGGCAAAATCCTATTTCGTGAAAATTTTTGCACTTTTTAGTTCGGTAGTTGTTGGGGAGATGAGTTTTTTCTCTTACTTCGTGATATCCATGAGCAAAGGCGCACTATTTTATTAGTAAAAATTATTGATTTATTAATTGGTTAATTTTTTAAATGAAAATATGTTGTAATATAAATAATTGTAAATGATGTAAGTTATGCATTCATTTATCTATTTATAGATCTAAATTATTTTTTTATTTTCGAGCTGCGTAATAATTATATTTGTCATAACTGCCAATTACTAGCTAAAGATAAAAAAAAATCAAAGCTCATGATGGTGAAATAAAAGAGAAACAAAAAATTATGAAGTTTGTTTTAAGAATATCTTTAATGGGTTTTTTAAGGATAAGAGCTTGTTTTATTTAGATCAACATTTTTTAATATTTATTTTTAATATAAATCCTCTTTTATTTTATTGAAAATTAAGTAGCTAGTACAGTAGTTGATACTTGGGAGTAAATAGAAAGAGTTGTAGTAGTAAGAGAAGTAAAAAGTTATTGTATGTTTTAAAAACCATAAAAATAATTAAAAAATAGCAATAAAATTACACTATCGCTAAAGTGGCAATGGCCTGTGTTCTTCCAGTATTTACAAATCTAATGTTTGGAAAATAAAAAATGATTAAAATTTATTTGAAAAATAAATTGCTGAGATTGCGTGGTATTCTTAAATTTTATTGATTAATCATCAAAATTTGATTTTTTATTGAATTTATTATAACATGACGGTATATTGAAATTAAAAATTTTTCTTACCTCAGTTTTGAACTTAACTCTAAAATCGATTGGCTCACAAGAATATTTGCGAAGATTGTTGTTTCCTGATGAATTGACACTATCCGTCGGGCTGCTGCAATAAGGATGATCGCTTTTAATTCAAAAATAAATATGTTAATCTATTAACAAAGGAGTGTGTGAAGATAAAATAATTTAAAATTTTGAAAAGTTAATTCTATCATATTAAAAATAAGCTTAATGTTGAAATCCAAGCATATTCAAGAAGAAATAACCATTAAATTTATCAGAAAATTTCTCACTTCAATTAATTTTATAAAAGATTTAGAAAAATGATGACATCTTTTACAAAAAGAATAATTTATAAAATTTATTCAGCTCTAAATTGTTTTCAAGCAACTCATTTTGTATAAAATAAAATTAGAATTATTTGAGTTTTATAAGTTTTTTGTCTAAAAAAGATAGTTTTTTTATAGGTTCACTTTAGATTTGTTTAATTTTTAATATTTAATTGGAATGGATCTATCTATATTTGAAGCGAATAAATAAATAATATTAATTAGTAGAAGAAATTTTTAAGTAACAATGTGGAGCACTCAATCAATTTTATAATGATTAAATGAAAGAAATATGGGTTGTGGTAAGTTTATAGTAATCAAATAGAAAAATAAAGCAGCAAATAGCTTACCTTTACTTGCGTTGTTTGTCACCACTAAGTTAGTGTCTCAAAATGGGCTGATTATCGTTGAAAAAATAAGTTTCAGCACAAATTAAAGTATTCCCAGAGAAATTCTTACTCATATTGATGAATTTTGAATTTATTTTTTTGATATTGATTTGATGAAATAGTTAAAGTAAAGCCTGTTAATAAATAACTTTCACTTAAGCAAGTGGGGAATTCAATTATTTTATTGAATAATTGATAAATAGGTTGGTTATTAGGTATTATGTATGTATGAATCAAATTAAATTGTTAAGAGTCTTTATTATTTATTATTATTATTATTAATATTCTTTCAGAATTTGATTTTTGTTTTGAAAAATGATTTGTTATTTGTCAGTAAATTTCAAATTTTAATTAAATTGAAGTTTTGAAATTATTTAATTAATATATTTATATATATATAATAGTTATTATGGCAGGGACTGACAAATGAAAGATTTTTGTTTATTGGAATGTCTGTTTATATGTTTTTGTGTTTGATCAAGGAATGACGAGAAACAAACTGATATTTTAATAAGCAGCTGTTTTATTAATTTTATATATCAAGCTATTAATTCAGATAGAACTGTGTAAGAAAATACAATGATATAAGAACCACGACTAAGGAATATGATTTTATTTTTAACCTACTAACAGAGGTCAAGAAGATTTGCAGATTTAACTATAAAATGTGCTAATTTAAGATGCAGATCTTGAGACTTATATTTCAGTTTTTCTTTCTGATACAGCAGTAGAAGTAGTAGTAGCCAAACCTTAATTTTCTTTTAATCAGTTATTGCCTGCTTTCCTTACTTGATAACTAACTAACTTTCTTTACCAAAACACCTTTTTTCAAATTTTTTTTAATTTTTAATAATTTAGAGATACTCATATTCCCATCGAATTGAATTTATATATTCCAATGCAATCTGCAGCTGGTCACCCCCCACCTTTTTTGAAAATGACTTATTATCACTGGGAGTCAGTCATTCCTCAATTAATTATCTTTTTTGAGATTGTTAATTTTTTCCAGCTTCAAATCTTAACAAATAGTTTGATGATGCATTCTTCAATTTCATACAGAATTAGAAATAGCACTTTACGCACATATTTCAAAATCTCTTTATTTTTTTATTCCACTTAAAGCTCATTTATTTGAATATTCACAAACTCTATGCGCGAGTATATTCATTTTGAATTTTCTTATTTAACTGACTGTCTGGGTCTATCAATCAAAATATATCCATAGGTTTAATTTTTTCATTTGAGAGCTATGAAATAAAGCTATCTAATTACTTATAAAAAACATATAAAAAAATAAGTCATTTTATTTGATTTGTATTTTTGATAAGACATAGGCTCTGAAGGTATTTATTTATTGATTGTACTTTTCGGATAAAAACTGCTTAATAATTGAAAACGAATACTATTCCTGGTATTTACAATTTTAAGTTAAAATTATCAATTTAAAATCTGATGACATTAACATAATTTCTTTGCATTAACTATTTTTGAAGCATATTTGATTATTGAATCATGTTTAATAATCCTTAAACGTTTGTATTTTGTATTTAATTTTACTTTCATTTCTCTATTCTATCTCTATTAAATTTGATGTCAACTTATATGGACCCCCTCCACAATCTAATAAATTTAAAAAAATAAGATTATAATGCCACAAAATTATCACTATTCCAAATTTATATAGGCAATTACCCTATTTATTACTTTACTTAATTGATTAAATATAATGTAGAAATTTTTATTGGTACGCAATAATTATTACTAAAAACATTATTTAACTAACTTTTCCATCAAAAGCACGTTACAAAATTAAAAAAACCATTTTTTAAATCTTTGCATTAATTGTTTAACTCTTTTCAGCCAAATCCTAATATTATTTCAGTAAAATTTATCTTTATACTGCATTTGCAACAACAAAAAATGTGAAAAAAGGTTAAGTTTGCATCGTTATTTTTAGCAATCATTAAAGTTAAATTAATTTATCAATAAAGTAAATTAGGATATGTGTTTAAAGGATAGCGATAAGTAATTGAAACATTCGTCCCCCCTTACTTACAAGCTTATCCTATAGTGCCCTCTCCTAAAAATTAATTATGGTGATATAAATACTTCTTAAGAATATTAGAATCTTTCCTTTACGAAAAGATATTAAAATTTAATTACTGCATCTGCTGCTTATCTATTAGAAAAGAAGAGCTTTACCAAATAAATAATTATAATTCAAGTAAATCTTTCTGATACTTATTGTAAAACGATAAATTGTATCAAAAATGATAAATTTCATATTTCAGAAGTTAGTTTATTATTAAATTCTAGGGTAAATAAAATGAAGAGGAGCCAATTTATGTTTGAGCAATTTGAATTTGAAACTATTCCATGATAAATGTTTAGAAACTAAGTATTTTTGATAATTTTCTTTTATTCTAAAATAAATTGCTCAAATCAAGTTAAAAATAACTCAGAAATAATTTGATTTTTCATAGTAAATTGATATCTGACGAGTGATAAATTTTAAGATGATACAAAATGTTAATTTATATATTCTTCATGCGCCCACAATATTTTAAGAATGTAAATTCTCAAAATTATGTGAAGAAAAAAGAAAGTGAAAAATTTTGTAATTAATTTGAAAAAGAATAATAGAATAATTTGTATCAAATAAAAAAATTTTTTTTTTTTGATTTATAGTGATTGATACATTAGCAGATTACTTTTAAATTAAAATATTTTCAAAGAAAAATAACCAAAATAAAAATATACTTCATTAGTAGCATTCATATTTATAGGTTATTTCTTCCAAAACAATTCTTTTATAAATTAAAATAATAAATTAAGCGGTCTTTAATCCTTTAAAAGGTGTGTATTTAAATAATCTTCTTACACTCAAATTCATTTGATTAGAGTCTTTTTTTTATTATAAATAAATAAAGTCAAGAAATTAAAAAGAAACATTTCACAACTTAAATTTTTACTTTAATTTTCTCTGTAAATTAAAGATTAAGATGATAGTATAATTAATATCAAAAAGTTAACTTTAGTTTTAAAGTTTGTTTTGTTTGAAAGTTTGTATTTGATTAAGAGTATTGTTTTGATAAGATATTTACTGATCTCTAAATTTAAAAGAAGAAATTTAAGGATGAAGATTTAAGAAATAATTAATTGACAAAAAAATCTTTGAATTGAAAAAACATGTTCATTAATTTGTATGATAAAATATTATTTATATTTATTTTTGAAAGACTAACTAAATAAGATATAATTACTTTATTTACTAGTATTTGTTAAAGAACAAAGTCATTAAATTAAATATATAGTTAGATTTATAGCAATTATTAAGCTATCAGATCAAAAGAAGCGATTAAATTAGAGTTTACTTGCTTGTTAATAATAATTCATAAAAAATATAAAACAAATACATTTGATAGAAAAGAATTTTTAGAAAATGATAATTATTTTTACTTAACTTTTGTGTTTTTGTAGGTATTTAATTATTTAGTTTTAAAATGTTGAAAAAATTTAAGTAACTTGATTGATAAAGATTTTTATTTCTAAAAAATACTTCTAAAGATATTTCAGATTTATATATTTTTTAATAAAAATAATTAACAAATTAACATCACTTTTTAGTATGAGCACAGAACTTCACTCTAATTAAAAATTATTAGCATTCACCTTGGGTGGCTTTTTAGCAGGAGCAGGCAGTCTTTTATTATTCAAGAAATTAGTTTGCAGACCAAGAAATAAACCATCTAAGTGCCCATTTACTGGTAAAACAAAAGTAGTTACTCAGAGAATTGCTTGCATTGAATTAGGTGGTACTTCAATTAGATTAGCTATTGGAATCAAAGAAACTCACTCTGATGGAACTTAAACATGCAAATTTGATTAAGAAACATTTAAGACTATTGAAACAAAAGAACCTGAAGATAACATTTAATAAATTAAAGAGTATTTTGAAAATCAAAATATTGATAGTGTTGGAATTGCTAGCTTTGGGCCTATTTGCTTAGATGAAACTTCAGAATAATATGGATTTATCACAACCACTCCCAAAGTATCTTGGAAGAACTTCCCTCTTTTGAAGAGAGTTTCAGAGGTCATTCCTCACAGAAAAACCCAACGCATTGGTTTTGACACAGATGTTAACGCAGCTGCTTGTGCTGAATATAATTTTGGTAAAAAAATATTACAAATAGAATTTTCTTACTTAATAAATACATGAGTCATTTAATAATTTTTAATTTAATTTTTTAGATATTAAGCATAAACTTTAAATACTAAAAAATTGATGTATTTTATTTAACAGGTAATCATAAAGCTAAAAAGTCTCTAGCTTACATCACAGTTGGAACTGGTGTTGGAGTTGGCTTAATTGTAGATGGAAAATGTGTTCATGGTTTAACTCATCCTGAGGGTGGTCACGTTTTAATTAAACCAGCACAAGGCGAAACATTTTAAGGTATTTTTTTTATTGCAAATAAATAATTCAGTTTTTTAATTTACAAAAACTAATTAAAAAATATTTTAGGAGTTTGCAAAAGCCATGGAAATTGTGTTGAAGGTATGGTAACCAATCATGCCTTAGCTGAAAAATTATAGACAACCATTAATGAGCTTTCTAAAATCGAGGATTCTCATGAAATATGGAATAGTGTTGCTTATTATCTTGCTCAATTATGTCTTAATTTAACTCTCATTTCATCTCCAGAAGTTATTGTGATTGGTGGTGGAATCATGAACAGATAACCTTTATTAGGTTTGATAAAATAAAATTTCATAAAACTACTCAATTAGTATGTTGATCATCCCAGATTAAGCTCAAGTAGTTTTAATTATATTAAATTTTATTATTCTAATTTTTATCTTTCATTTTAGATATTGATGACTATATCGTTAAGCCATTCTTCACTGATTCTGGTTTGGTAGGATCTATGGTTGTTTGAGTTTTGTAATATAATCAGATTACATAATCTTAAAATTAAAAAATTGAATTTATTTATAAAAATATTACTATTTATACAGTTTATAAGTTTGTAAATAAATAGTATATATAATTAATCTTTGTTTAGTTAGATTCGCGGCGAAAATATAAAAAATTAACTTGGATGATTGTAATTTACCAAAATCTATATTTTGATCATTCATTCATATATTAATAATAAATTTATTAAAAGTGCAAATTCTATATAAATATTATTTTGAGCACATCAAATTTAATCAAACTTTATTTATAAAAAAAAAATAATAATAATAATAATAATTCGTTAATTTTATTAAAGGATGTTTAAAAAAGATTAAGATAGCAGCAGAGTATAGTATGTAAGATAGGCATCGGCAGATGTAGCATCGTACTACTTTTTGAAATAGAATATTTAAGCTAAATAAATGATGCTATTTTAAACATAAAAATTATAAAATTAAAACAAATATTATAATAAAATGTATAATATTATTTGCAATAAAAATTAGGAATAGAGGCAGAAAGAAAAAAGCAACTCCAGATATTTCAACACTGAGCTAAAGTTTCGTACAAAAAACTAAAAAGTAACCAGTTGTGCAATCAGTTACCTTTTAAATACCTGAAAAAGTAATTTAAAATTGAATGAGTGGGAATTTAGTAAATAAATTGTATGAATACAAATGTGTAGATTTAAGGAGATGATGATGCTTCGATTCAATACCTCACTGAGTAATTAACGCTTGTCAATCGCGAATTAGAAAAGTTACTTTCCAAGAAACAATAAATTTAGGATTTATTGATTGATTTAGATAAGAAAAAGAGGTAAAAATTTAACAAAAATAAATAAATATTTTCTTATCTTGCCCATAATTAAATACTGTTGTTTATTATTTGGTGATAATAGTATTTGGATGGCTAATAAATAACTTTATTATAAATAAAATTTGATAAAATTGTATATTCAACCAAATTATCAACAAAAACAGTAAGCATGTCATTTAAATTATTTTTTTAATAGAAAAAGGTAATATTAAGATATGCGAGATGAAAACGATGAGTACGATGAAACTAACAAATATTCATTTAATTAATCTCGAATTAGAAGTTCAAGTTAGTATGGTTCAGATAAAAAAAGTAATATCACTTCAAGTTTGTATCAGTTAGCAATCTAATAAAATTGGAATATAGATATGACAAGATTTAGAGATGATCCCTACCATAATGATGAAGATTCATATCATAGTAACTACAGTTAAAGAAGTAATAAAAAAACAGATGACGTATCTAATATTCTAAATGAGTTATAAACAAGTAAATCAATGATAAAATCCAAAATTATGGATAAAAGTGCTTTCAACAACAGTAGCATAAATAACAATAACACCAGCGTTCTGTCGCATACTCTGAATGCTCAAGTTGCTAACGATACAAGTAATTTATACTAAAGTTTCATGTATCGCGAAAGCAGTTAATAAAATCTTGGGTCTAAAGAAAAATTGTAAGAGTATAATAGGTTGAAAGATAGGTGCTTATGGGAGCACTTTAACTATAAAGAAAATATTCAAGATGTAAATTATATTTTCTGATTTAATTTTATATTTATCCCTGTGTTAAATTAGAAACTGTCCAAAATAGATAACCTAGATGAAAATGAACTTAAAGAGTTAGCAAAAAATTTTGGAGTTAAATCAAAAGATTCAGTAAGATATTTACAATATTAGCAACCTGTTTAAGTTTTATAAAATATAATAATAGAAACTACTCAAAGAAAATTTAAAAAATATTTATTTCTTCTTAGCAAGAAATAAATTCCCAGAGGACTATTTAAGAGAATTCAAGACATGCATTCATGAAAAAATAGATGTTTTGTGAGTTTGAATAGAAATAAACAAATAAATAAATAGTATATATTTTAAAAGTTACTAAAGTAAAAAAATACAAAATATTAAATAAAAAGAAGAAAATAAAATCTAAGCACAAATAAATAAATAAAATATTAACAAAATCTTATAATTAAATTAATGTTTAAATTATTCTTTTTTTCTTAAAATGTAATAAAAATATATATTAGCTACTTATTGTTTTATAGTTAATTCAAAATTATTCAACAAAAAAAAATCAACTTAGTTATTTTTTATTCATTTATTTTTATATTGAAAAATATTTAGTTCTTGCAAATAACCTACCTACATTCACATTAATTATTATCATTATTAGAAAATCTTTTAAGAATCTTTATCCAAAAAATAGGTTTTCTGGAGTTTTTAGGTGGAATTGATGTTAATTAATTAGAATTTATGGTTTTTTCCTTTGTTCTAAAATATAACAATTTCATTTTTATGAAAATATTTTTTTGAATCAAATTTTTGAAAATAATCTTTCTCTTTAAAAAAAAAATGAATAAATGATTTATTTAATTTTCTTTTAAATTAATGAAAATACTTACATTTTTTAAAGTTAACTTTCATAATTTAAAGATATTGCATATTTTTATTAATTAATTTTGAATATATTAATATCATTTATTTCCTTTATTTTAAGAATATTTAAGTTATAAGAAAATCAAAATAATAAAATTTTATTTTTTTTTATTTGATTTCTTCTTTTTTCTTAGATAGTAATATATATTTTAATTATTTTATGACAATATTTGATATTTAATATGAATAGAATTTATTGTTTTAGAAATTATTTTTTAGGTTATAAATTAATATTTTTGCTGCTTTTAACTGGAAATGTTTATAACTAAAGTTAAAAATTATGTATTTGCTTCCTCGAAATCTAAAACAATTATTTAATTATTTTATAATTAGAATCATTAAGATTATTGAATTGAAAAAAAAATAGATAACTTGAAAAAATAAAATTGGTATTATAAGAAAAATTATAAATTTTAACAGATATTCCTGTTGATTAGTATTTAAAATTATGAACAACTAATTCTATTTGCCTCCAATTTCATAGAATTAATCGTTTGCTTATTCACCGTCTAAATAATAAATGCCTATGCCAATACCGTATGGCAATAATTTAGATGTAATGGCTCCACCTCTGTAAATGCCTAGATCTTTAAGCTAACCTGTTATGGGATCTGATAGTTACGCATCTTTTAAATTATATGAAAAAATGAGAGAGGAAAAGATAATGGCTGTACTAGAAAGATAGGCTGAGTACTTGGCTAAAATAGCCACAAAATTCAAAATTTTCTAGGATAATACAAATCAGCGTTTAAGAGATAGAATTTATGAGCTAGAAAAAGAAAATGAAATACTATAAAGAAGAAGAAGGGAAGAGCATCTTCTTAACTAAATAAATAGTAGTCTTGATTAAAAATTTAGGAATTACAACGAAAGTTAACTTAAAAGCTTTTTAGAAGGAAGCGGTGGAGGCTAATTTATGTAGCCAATGAATTTAGATCCAAGCGAATTTGCAAAAATATTTAAATCACCTCATGAATAAGAAGAGGATATGGAAGAAAGAAAGAAAAAAAAGAAAAAGCGTTCTAAAAATAAAAAGAAAAAATAGGAATGATCATAATTAATGCATTAATTTAAAAATAATTCATCTTTTAAATAATAAATTCTGTCTTTATTTTATTATGCTTGAATAAGTTTTTACAGAAGACTGATTGACTAAATAATAAGAGTGATTTAATTACATATATATGCAAATAGATAGTTATCTATTATATTAACATACTTCCTGTCATCTATCTATCTATCTATCAATCAATCAATGAATCAATTATTTATAAATTAATTAGTTAATCATAAAAATATAATGCAAAAGTTCATTAAAAGAATGAATATTTGTGATATTTTTTTTGATTTTATTTTAACTTATTAAGCAGATAAGCAAATGTATATATAATTTATAATCTAGTTTAAATAAAATATCTATCTTTTTAATACAATTTAAAAAAACCATTTTCTAACTTAATTTATTCTCAAAATTAATATTTTAAACATCTTTTAATTAATTCTAATTTTAAAAAACCAAGTAATAATAATTTATGCTATTAAAATTTTTTAAAATTGAATTTAAAAAAGTAGTAAATAAAACAAGAAATATTTGAGAATTATTTTTTGATTAAGAACTTTAAATATGAAAAAAATATCAAACCTTTTAAATTATACCAAATTATATATTTATATAATTTTATGATATTTTTTATTTAAATATAATTAATTTTAGAATATTAGTTTACCACGAGTAATAAATTCTTTCTTTTAATTCTTTTTACTTTTGTATTTTAATCTTAGAATTATTTTATAGTTAATTTCTAGTTCACAAGTTTCTTTCTTAAAATTATGTTTACAGTTTATTTTAACTTATCATGCAAATAAGGAAGTGTAACATAATTTATATGCTTGTTTAAATAAAATAATCTTTAATTCATTTTATAAAATTTATTTGCTTTTTTTATTTATTCACAAAATTGACAAAATAAATTAATTCAAATTTTAAACATCCATATAACAATTTTAATTTCTTAAAATACATTTAAAATAATTTATGCAATTGTAAATTTTAAAAATTTAATTGAGAATAAATTGTAAAATAAATAATGAATATTTAAAAATTATATTTTTAAATGAAGAATTTTCAATAATTGAGAAAAAATAAATAAATCTCTTAATAAATTAATCAAATTATTTATTCATTTTTTATATTATTTAAAAGCATTTTTTATTATTATATTAATTTTAGAATATTAAAATTATTTTTTCCATGCTTATAAAATATGTATTTTTCTTTTGATTATTTTCCTTTTAAACTTTTAGAATTATTTTAATAAAACTTATTTAATTTACGGTTTCGCTAACCAATTAAGATTTAGATATATCTACTTCACTGATTGATTTTATATAAAAGTATGGATCAAGTAATATTAAATATTATTATCAATACAATTAATAGCAAGCTAAAATTGCAGATAATAGACCACCAAACCAAGTAACGGTGTCATTAACTTAAATTTTTAACAATTTGATTGCTAATTCGGATCCTTTAAAACTAACTAACATATCACCACAAGTTCTTAATAACCAAAGAAAATTTTCTACTTTTTACTTTTTAATTTTTTATAACTCTTCTTAAGCTTCTATATTTTCTTATTCATTTTTTAAATAAGGTAGTTTTTATCTTACTTTTATTTCACTATAGTGAATACGTAACAAGCTTCTCAATTGTAAAACTAATCTCAGAACAAGTCCGATAAACCAAAAATTCATTGCTTTTTAAAAAGAATCTTTAGAGTTTCCTTTATCTCCAATAAATTTGCATTTTTAGAGAATGTAAATGTTATCAAAGAGGTAATACATGGCATAAAAACTACGGATTAAAATAGAAAATAATCTATTAAATTCATCTATTTTGTTTGATTCGTTTGACTATAGTTTGATCAGCTTAACAATGTAATTTATTTCAGATAAACTCTTAAACAATCTACAAAAACGTCTAGTATCAGCACAAGCCTCTAATTTAGTTAAAAAAAGAATAAGATTAAAAGATGCTAGTTAAGTAGATTCTTAAAAGAATAAGTTGCTTTTTAAAAGAAATAAAATTAATTTAGTTACCTGATAATCCTTTAAGTTTAATTAGTTTTTCCTAATATTTCTTCAAAATTACTGCGCTATTTAAGAATCTTCCTCCATATACTATAACTTTTGTTAATTTATCTCTCCCTTCTAATTAATTTATAAAGCGATTTTTTTAACTAATTCTTAAAGTAAATAAATTTACCATATTGATTTATCATCCTAACGTATCTATCTATGCTACTCATTTTCAGTTCACTTTAAACTATTATATTTTCCTTTTTTTTGCTAAAACTTTGTCAATACTTTTGTTTTTCTTACTTTTTTTAATACCCAAAACTCTTTGTTAATAATAATTTAAAAATTTATGACTCCTATTGACGTCATTCAAAGATTTTGCGCGAATCAAAGACTCTCAGATAAACTTTTTTTTAATTTAATTTGGAATCAAAAAGAGTATTTGTTAAAATAGCTAATAATCAATTTATTGACTTTAAAATCACATGTACTGTACTCACTGTGTTTTAATGTAAGAATAATAATATAAATAAATAAAATCATAAAAGTAGTTTTAATTTACTCTAAGTAATCAAAATCATATCTTAGAAAATAAATTTATTTTTTGTATTAAATTCAATTATTAATTGAATTAATAGAAATTTAAATAAAAAATTTAAAACAAATTTATTTTGAAAATATTTAAAATAAAAAGATTATTTTTTTAAATATAAAAAATTATTATTTTATTTTAAATTAATCTAATTGCTATTTATTATAAAAATCTTTGAAAATTCTGTTTAAAAAATTTAATTGAAATTGGAAATTAATTAACATAAAAATAAAATTTTAGCTTATGGTTATTTTTTATTTGGAAAGTATTTGAACAATTTATTAAAAATAAAATTAAAAAAATTTATTAAAGCTAAAAAAACTCGAAATTAAATGAAATATTCTCGATTTTAAAGATAACTAACCCTATAACTTTATCCTATACTGAAAGAGAAATTTTAAAGCTAAAGCAAATTTTTTAAAATTGTTAAAAAAAACCTAAGATAGCTCATATTTAGAAGATTCTGAAATTATTCATTATAACTTAAAAATTAAATAAGTAAAATTATAACTTCAAAGTTGAAAAATTTTACTTTTAAAACCTCATTTTCTAAATCAACCAACCAAGTAAAAATCTTTTCGTTTACTTTTTTATTCAATTAGAATTATTAATATTTAAGATCAAAAGTAATTAACATCAATAATAATTATTATTATAATATTTTTTTAGAGTTTGATTAATAAGTTATTATTAAGTTTTAGTAACTCAAGAATGTATTATTGTTGTAAAGGTTGTAAAAACTGCTGCAAAAATTGTGGCTAATGTTGTGATGACTGTTGTAGTGGCTTTTGGGATTGTTGTGGATCTTTTTGTGAAGGAATTATAAATTGTATTTCTAAATGCTTTTCCAAACCTTTTTCTTTTTGTACTTTTTTAGCTCTGTTTATTACATTCTTGCCAACTATTTTAATGATTGTTGCAGAAATTAAAGCCAAAGATTATATCTGTTCTGAAAGCATGACTAAAACAGCTTTAGCTGTATAAGGTAACACTCAATCATGCAGTTTAGATATTTATTTATCTATTTTTAAAATTCTTTATAGGTGTGAACAATCTTGTGAACTTTTGCTTTTGTCTTTACCTTATGTTTTCGTATAGCAAAAAATACACAGGATAAGGCAAAGAAGGAAGTGAAGAAAAGAATATATTATAAAGAACTATGAATTTAATTTGTTATGATTTTGTTGTATGCTTTTACATAATAGCTTTAATTTTTTTCATAGCATGGGTAATTGTAGGCCATCACTATTATTCATAAGAAAACTCTAAAAGCTAATGCTCTCAAAACGACAATGGATTTTTCATGGAAATATTCTTATACAATTTGATTTCCATGGATATTTATTTAATAGGAGGAGGTTTAATATTTATTTGGTGCTTGATAATTGCTGCATGTGATGAAGGAAGGTACAATTTATTTATTAATTTTTATAAAATATTATTTTTTAGTATTATTTTCTAATAAAATTGGTGTTAAGCAATTCCTTAAAATACTAAAAATAAAAGTTAAACAAACTCTTGTTTTAACTAAAAATAATATTTTTAATTGTTAATCAGTTGTACATTTTATGATGTTTGCAGATGCTAAGTACTATGCTGTACTTGTGGATTGTGTGACATAGGAAAGCGTTAAAAAAAAACAAATCAAGAGTATAACCCAAATAGATATCAGTATGCCTAATAAAATAGATAGTAATACTCAGAATAAAGAAACACTTGGCTCGATAAAAGTAAACGCTTATTAGCAGGATTTGGTTTGCTCTCAAAAAAGCACGAGATTGTTTAGCCTTAGCAGAACAATTAAAACAAACTTTATTAGCCAAATTAAAATGCATAGTTCAACAACCAGCATCACTAAAATTATTAATATAATAATATTTAGCAGAATAACAATTTATAGAATAACCCTTATTTGTAAAATAGTCCTTACCAGTAAAATAATCCTTATCAGCAAAATAATCCTTATTAATAAAATAACCCATTTTAACCATAAAACCCTTTTGTACCTTAGAATAATATGGTTTAGCAAAATTAAATAAACTATAATTATCCTTAATAGGTAAACTATTAAATGCCACCACCTCCTCCTCCTGCTTAATAAAATAACTTAAGCCAACCTTAAAATCCATAGCATTTAAATTATGACTCTAACTAAAATCAAAATCCATTTGCTAACTAACCTTAGGAAGAAAAAAAAGAGGTATTAACTGAAATCAATTTTAAAATATTTATTTTTTAAACTAAAAAAATTAGAAAGGATTTATAGAAAAAGCAAAAGATGCAGCAACAGGATTAAAGAATAAATTATTTAAATGAAAAATTCGATAACTTTATATATTAAAATGTTTTTATTAAACTAATATTTTATTTTAAATTAATTTATAATTGTTCAATTTATATTAAGTTAATTTGTATTTTTTTTGATCAATTTGTAGAAAGAGCTAGAAAAATAATTATTGATTGCTATTTTAATGTTATTACTTAATTTATGTAATAAAGATATTTTTTTAATTTAATAAATAACAAATAAATAATAAGCTTAAAAATTTATCAAAGTAGATATGAAGGAAGATATAGCTGAAAAGTTGCAAAAAGAAAGAGAAATATAGTTAAAAATTTAGGCTCCTTTGTAGCCCATAACAGAAGTCGATCCTGATAAAGAATGGGAAAAGCTTATGAGAAAAATGTCATATAAAATGCCATAAACATTTAAATATTCGTTTGTCTTATTTTTAAGTCTTGGTTTTATTGTAGCAGTTGGTGCTAAAAAAGCAAGTAGATTTTTTTTATATCCAATGATAGGCACTCCTGTTTTAGGATTGGGCTTATGCTACAATGATTTTTACAAGATGTATGATATAAAATTTAATATGTAAAAGAGGAAAGATTGAATTTAGTTATTCAGTAATTGAAAAAAACTGCAAACTTTAATAACAAAATGAATGATTAGTTAATTCAATATTTAGCATGATTAATATACAATGTATGAAATCCTTTTTATCAAAAGATTAAAAATATTTTTATAAAATTATGATTAAATAAGAATATTTTAATTTTAATATAGTATGTATTTATTATCTCTAATTATTTATTTTGTAAAATGCAATTTATAATATCGAATTTTCATTTGTACATCAGCAGCTAATTAATTTTTTTATTTTACTCTATAACCTATTGCAGATATTTACTATCAGAAATTTATTTATTTTTACTTAAAGAAGCTAGCTGAAGCATGGCTTTTTACTTAATTAGACCAACTAATTACTTTATTTCTAACTGATTACAAATTTAAGAGGAGTAGATTATCAAAAAAGACATTATAAAAGTATTCACACTGCAAATTACATTCAGATTTTATATTTTTAAAATGATTGTTAAAACAGGTAGAATTTCAATCAGTTATTCATAAATTTTTATTGAAAATTTACTCAAAATGCATCTTTCAAAATAAAGCAATAGGATATGCTAAATAGTTGATAATTCTACAAATTTATCTATCAATTAGTTAACTATGGATAAATTAAAACATTGATCATAAAATTCCTCATTTAACTGTGCTAATAAAGTTACAGCATTTGTAAGTAGTATTCCGATCTCTAGTTCATTATCGCTTTTTTAACTTTCATTAAATTTGTTTTGTTAAAATAGGAATTCTAGCCTATCATTTATCAATTTGATTTCAATGATTACTTAAAAAGGTTTAATTTTGTTAACTTTCCCAGGATTTTGCTATCCTTAATTCTAAATCATGTTTTTTATAGCTTTTGTAAATATTTTCCAATTCAAATTTTTAATTTTTAGTGGAACTTTTGCTGTTAATTGTTTTTTAGCATAATAATAATAAAATAAAAAACACATAAAATTTAAAATACTAGATAAATAAATATGCATGATTTGGTTGTCTTTATTTATTTATTTAAGAAATCCACAAGTTTTTCTATGATATAAATATGTATTTACATGTAATCAAATATTAACCTATAATTCTTTAATTTTATTAATATTTATGAGATTTAAATAGATCAAACCAACTTCATATCTTCTAGAGATAAGAATAGTTAATGTTTTATGCAATTATTTTTAAGATTTTGTAAGTATGAATGTATGTATGTATGTTTAAGTGAATGTTTTTTTGTTTGTTGATGTGTTTGTGATAATAATAATAATAGGACAATCTGACTCCATCCATTATTACTGCAAAGATACTCTACAACATTGATGTCTGTAAAGAGACTGACAGTAATTAGCAGTTAGAATTAGAATTATAATTAATAGGAATTAAAAGAAGATTTTTCAATAAAAATTTATTAATCTTGAAAGAGACTTTAAAATAAATAGTATGAATAATATAAATAATAAACCACCAACTAGACTTCCTGAAACTTCATATTAAGAGTGAGAGAAAGTGAGTGAAGTTTTCTTCTTTTTTGATCAATACACACTTACAGTTATTTTATTTACTTACGTACGTATATATGAATGCTCTTATTTCTCTATCAAGAGTAAGGAAACAAAGCATCATTTATTTTAGTTTCAATGCTTTTATACAGCAATAATTTATTTATATATTCAGTCAGTCAGTATTTCGTTCAAATTTTTTGTTTTTAAGGATTTCAGATTTCTTTCTTTTGAATTAAATTTAGTTTTTAAAGGAAAGATCTTATTTTATTTGATAATTAATAGAGGATTTTAAATAATTAATATAGTTTTAAAAAAAATATGAGAGTGAAGGAATGAGTGAGTAAAATATTTTATTGTTTTGTTTCAGATCACTCTTTCTTCACTGAGCTTAAGTTTATTGTTATTATTATTATTATTATTAATCTGTTTAATTTTAAAATTAATTTTATTCGTTCATCTCATCTAGATTCTTGTATCCTGCTTCTTCTAAAAATTCCTTAACTGATTTGTTCTTTTGAAGTGTTACCAAAATTCTACTTTTCTTTTCGCTTAGGGGATTCTCTGAATAATCAACGAGAGTGAAGTTTGGATAGTTTAATTTTTCTATGCCTGTTGAATTGTAATGTTCTCTTTCAATAGGATATAGGAATACTAATCTACCTCCAGGAGCTAGGACTCTGTTAGCTAATCTAACGAGACCATTCACAATGTAATCAACTGATACTGTAAGAGTTGGTGCGTATGAATGTCTTTCTTCGCCGTTTTCATTATTTTTTTTTTCTTCTTCTTCATTTTTAGGTTGAGTGTTTTTTCCTTCAATATCTAATCCATTCATTTAATTTGATATTTCTTCTACTATTTTAGCTTACTCAGTCTGCTTTAGAAGAGGAGATCCAGTTTATTAATCATCTTCTTCATGTTAAGCTTCATCTTCTTAAGTATTAGCATTGGTGCTTTGCTTATCTTTTCTATTTCTCTTCTTCTCTTTCTTTCCTGCAGTTCTAGTCATGGCACGGAAACCGTAAGGAGGATCGCAAATGATTGCATCAAATATTTCAACTTCTCTTAAATTTGTATTTATGCAATCCATACGAATAATATTTGGCTTATTTAATTCATACTATTCGAAATTAAGCATAATTTTTGGCTTCATTTCCTTGCAATATTCCTCATTTTTTTAGTAGAATTATGACTTTTTGTTTAAGCGTCCTACTCCAAATCCATGAAGCACTCTAGGATCTAAATCACCACCAAAGCAAATAGCGCCAAAGTGGGAGGGTGGAATAATAAGTGATCCACTGCCTACAAAAGGATCTAAGATCATATCTCCAGATCTAGTAAGACCCTAGTTGCACATTAAGAAGGAAAGAATGTTATCTGTAGAAGTAGGTCCAAGATAGGCTCTCTATCTCAAGTCATATTTGTTAGTTTAGTTTTCTTTTTGAGAGATACGAGTGCAAGATTTAGATCTTCCAATTTCAACACCAAAGTAAATCTATTTAAAAAAAATAGTTTTAAATATACTATCAATGAATATTTAGGTATTAAACATTCCTTTCTCTACTGCATAACTGCAAATGAGAAAGATAAACTACTAAATGAAATTGCATTTAAATACTAAGATTTTCTTGAACTTAAAAAAAAAATACTATTTTTAGGTAAAAATAAATTTTATGTTAAAAATATTTGCTTATGAAGCTTTTGCTTTTAGGAGTAAAATAAATTTATTTGGGCTCTGTAATCTCCAAAGAGAATAAATTTAACTTATTCATTGTTATAAAAAGTAGTTTATTAATCTTGAAGCTAGGGAAAATACAACAAAAAGTAGTTAATTACGTCAAGCAAAGTGTTAGTAATCGAGCTATCAGTCTATTTAGTAAAAGGATCAACATGTCTTTCCATGATCCAGAATTTCTTTTAGGGGTTTTTAAGGTCGATTTTACCCCTCATGTTAAGAGATTCTGTAATGATTTCAATACGATCTATAATTTCCTATTATGTAAGATGGGAATTATAGGGATCAACTTCGAATAGAATCTTTTAATCTTCCTAATTGTGCTTAAATAGAATTTCCTTGTCTGCAAATTTAACTATATCTTCATAATTAGTTGCTTCAGAAATTATTTCTATGAAAACATCAATCAAAATTGAACGCTAAATAATCTATTGGCATATTTCTACATTAGGGAATTCCAAATACACGAAAGGAAAACGTCTGAAGCTTGTATGACGAATTTCAGAGGCGCTAATGGGTAATAACTATTTCTTTTGGTTTAATTTCTTGTTCTAGTGGTACATGTAAGGGTAGTAGGGACTTGTGTTAATCAAGTCATTATTGTTAGTTAAGTTTTCTTGACCTTCTTATACAAATTCGTGCTTAAAAACCTCTCTCCAATCGAGATTGTGCATAGCAATCAAGGATTTTAATTCTGGCAAACAGAAATCAACATAATTAGGGATTGTCTTAAACTGTGCTAAAACCTTCATAATTTGTGTTTTTAGTAACTTTAAATTTTAGATATGTAGTTTTTCAATTTAGTTTTGATGGAGTCTGAGAGAGCTTGTCTGTCTGAGTATACAGCTAACTAATTAAATATATTTTGCTTTCCTAAACTTATATTAATGATTTGAAGAAAGATGATTATTAATTATCCTTCGTCTATTTTTCCTTTAACTTTGATTTTTTCTTGAAAATTTTTACTTTTAATTATTTTTTTGCTTTCTTTTTTGTATTTTTTTTTAGTGATAACTTTCTTTATTCGTGATTTGTTTTGTTATTTTCAGTACTCTTTTTTGTTTATCTCAAATACTTGTATTTTGCTTGAAAAGAATTAAAATTAACTATACAAACAAAGAAACTTAAATTGAATGCCTTCCTTCTTTGCTTGCTTGATTGATTGATTTTCTAAATAGCTTGCGATAATGCCAAGAGGTTGCTTTTAAATTCAATCTATTAAGTCTATTAATGAATCAGAATGTTTGATACTTTGATGTATATATTGTATTATGTTGGTATACACTTAAAAGCTTTTATTTTGATTGATTACTGTGTCTTAATGAATTTATTTTATTTGTTAAATATGTAGGAAGTACGTATATATTTGTTAGCTTTTTTTTCAAATCTCTTCACTACTAGTGATCAATTGCGAACTATTGAATTAATTTATCCTTGTTTCTTGAATTTTGGTTTTAATTTTATTTATTGATTTTTTTTTTAATAAACTAATTTTAAACCTTTAATTTATTTTTTATATCACAAATTTTACGAGACTCTTTAAACAATTATTAATTTCTATTTCAAAATTTGTCAGATCTACTAAATAATAATTCTTACAATAGCTCGTTTTATTTTCATAAGTCACTTTAGATTTGATAAAATTAAATAATCTCACAACTTTTTTTTTTTCAAATTTAAGATTGTAAAATAATTAATGTATTTAAAAATTAGTATTTTAAATACAAAATTTTATTAGATTTTTTTTATAAATTTTCTTACTTTTGATTTACTTAATTTATAATTTTGTCAAATTTAATTCAATAATTTGTTAATTATCCAAATAATGGTTAAGCTTTTTTAACGATTAGTTTTTTTATATCAGATATTTTTAGTAGTAGAAATAATTAAAAGATAGATATCCTTTTAACTTCAACATTTTTTAAAATTAAAAACTTAATCAACAAATAGGAGGTGGGGGACCATTTTGATAAATAAATAATCTTATCTTTTGTTGATTTGAAATCAAGAATTTTAATTTTAACCAATAAATAATTTATAAATATATTTTCTACTAAAAATTTTAATCCTAGAATAAGACCTTGCTTTATTTTCTGTTTACAAAAATTATAATTAAAAAAAATTTTTAAATAAATAAATTTTATTTAGCAAATTTAAATACTTTTTATATCATTTTTATAAATTTCAGATTATTTATTCATTTATTATTTAATTATTTAATATAAATGTGTTAATAAAATGTTATATTTTGAAATTATAAAAATATTTAATTTAATTTTTATATTTAAAATGATTTTTTGTTTTAATCGATCTCAATTTTTGCTTATTTTTAATTTCTTTTAATATTAAATTTTGTATTTGCAGGTTAGAAAAAGAGTTAAGAAAAAACAAAAAAGAAATAAAGTTCATAAAAATTTGATTCAATATCTATCTGCATAATACTTTCTTTATTTCATTAATCAACGAATAATAATTAATTTAGCAATATATTAAAAGACAAAATATTTTGCGCATAAATTACACTATTTTTCATGATTTTCAATCAGTATGAACAGGATTCCTCACCTTCGGTCTTTAACGAAAGGAGAAAGTAATTTAATATGCCTTAAAACTTGGCTAAAAGAAATTTAAATAATATAGCAGGGAAATGAAGTAGAAGATAATTCATAAAATTCTTGAAAGCTCATCTACAAAATAGTATCAGTAATTAGCAAATCCAAGGAACAGAATATCTTCATTAGATGCAGAAAATGTTAAAATTAATTAATATCACTAATATAGTGAGAAGAAACCTGCTCAGCCTACTGATTCATAGAGTATTATAAAGTCTCTTTAAGAAGAGCTAAAAAATTTAAATTCGCAAATTTCATAAAGCTAAAAGCAAACTAATGAAATGTTTCAGTTAGAAATGAAAAACAATTAAGATAACGTAATTTATGGAAGTGCTAATAAAGAAAATATTTTATAAGGTAATTAATTTAAAAGACTTATTTTTTTAAATGAACAAATTATTAGAAAAAAATTACTCAAAAAAAATTAAAATGATTATTTTATTTGATGAGTTTTTAAAGAGAGACATTTATAAATTTATTTTGAAATTGATTGTTTGTTTTATTTAATTTTAATTATTAAATATTCATAAAAACTAGATATTAAATTATAATCTAATTCCAAAGAGATGTTAGAATACAAACAAGTCAGCATAGATAAGTATAAATAGCTGTTAAACTAGTAATAATTATAATTATACTTCAGGAATATATCACTTGATATATTAATTCTCACAACAAAAAGACTTTAACTTTTATATTGAATATTCTATTTAGGTTGAAAGACCTTCTGCAAATGGAAAGAGTAGATATCATAAAGGAAATACAAAATAATATGGATTAAGACTATGAAAAAGGAATAAAAATAATCAAGGACTAGCTAGAAAACATTTAATCTAAAAAAAGCATAGCTTAACAAACATACAATCTATAAAAGAGTGAAATTGATAATGTAAATAAAAATAGATTAATTTTGCTTATAATCAAGTTGAAAAAAATATTATTTTTGATATCAATTAATTTTTTGATCAAATTATTAACTTTTTTGTTTCTATTAGCAAAATAGCAAAAAATTATTTTAAAAGTGAAATTGGAGATATTTTTTATAAAGTTATATTTAAACAATATGATAAATATCCTATCTAATAACATTAAATTCATAATGTAAAATCTAACTGTTTTTTATTTAACCCAAAGCTTAGTGAAAGAAAATCTATGTTAAAAGAAGATCTAAATGGTAAATTAATGCAAAGAGCTGAATTAGTTGCATAAAGAGAGTATTTAGATGAAATTTTAGAAGAGTTCAGATAGAAATATAAACAGGAAATAGAATTTATTGAGGAAGAAAGTAAATTATAGTATGTTATAAATAACTAAAACTAAGTATTATAGCAGCTAACTAATCTGAAAAAGTAAAAATAATAGATATCTTAGTCATAACTTTCTTAGATATACTAAAAAAACGATTAACTATTTGATTTGTATCAAGTTTTGTGCAATTCATATTTGGCTAAATTTGAATAAATTACTCAGTATAATAACTCAGCCAAAAACTTAGAGACTTCGATTAGCAATTTGCTTAATAAATTTAACATGCCAACTTTTAACGAAAGTGCAGAAAAAAAAGGTATTTGTTTTCTTTTTCTGTTTTCTTTAAGCAAATTCTTCTTAGCTACTTACTATTTTTAATATTTAATTTTATTTTTGCTAAGAGATTATTATAAGTTTTCTTAATTTTTTCTTAACTTCTATTAAATAAATTTTTTCTAAATTTAGCGAATCGATAAGCTCTTAATCAAATGATTGATGATTCTCATCGAAATTGGGTAGGATTTCAACATCTTAATTTCACTGATAAAAAAAAATTTAAAGACGAATACTTTAAGCTTAAAAATTAACACAAGTAAAGGCTTAAAATATTTTATGAATGGTGTGAAAATATTTACAAGTTAGATACTTCCTTAAAGTTATAAATTTCTTTAGTTAAAAAAATATAAACTTCTCCTCCATAAAAGCTTTCTAATGAGTCTTTTCCTTCTATTTTGAAGTCATTCTGCCAAGACAAATGTGTACCAGAAACAGAGAGAGAAGAGATCATTACACAGATTAACTAGTACCAAAAAATCATACTAGAACAAAATTATTTATGTAAATTTTATTCTAAAAACTGTCAATATTAATTTAATATTAGTGGAATAAGATAGAGACAGAGATTAAGAATAAATGGACACAATAAATGAAATCGAATAGGAAATACTACTTATTTAGGATAAAAAAAAATAAACAGAAAAAGAACTATTTATTATTGAGGAAGAATATTAATAAGCTTTGATTAGCCTAAAATAAAATCAGTAAATTTTATAATAAAAAAAGGCAATATTAGAACATACCTTATATCTGCAAGCAGATTAAGCGTTTGGAGAATACCTTACAAACGAAAAGCAAATTTTTTAAACTTTAGAAAAGACCTACGGCATTAAAGCTGCATCATAGATTAAGAAAGAACATCACAAGCAATTTGTTGAAAAAATAAAGGAGACTCAAAATAAAAGGATAAATTAGCTCAAAAAAATATTTTCAGACTTAACTTAGCTAAATAAAAGCATAGAAATAAATCTTTCTTATGTTGAAAATACTTTATTTATTGAATTAAATAGTATTGAGTCATAACTAATCACTTTTAGAAAATCATTACAGATTAAACAAAAAGAACTTTAGAATATCTAAAGTTAAGAACACGAATTTAAGTTAAAATTAGGTATCATAAATGAAGCTAAAAACATATTTATTGACAACATTTCAAAAGTAATTATTCAAATACAATATTTTTTTTCATCACTTTTTTTAATAATCAAAATAATTATTATAGGTTGAATCTTTTAATGGATCACAAATCATTCTAACTTAAAATAACGAACAAAATAATAATTTAAAATCTATATTTTAGGATGTTTCTAACAGAGTAAATTATCAAGCAGATAATTCAAGCAGAATTCTTCAACCTTAAATATAAAATTATATGCCAACTGAGAGGACATATTATCTCGGTAATAAAATAAGCGAACGTTAAAGTATAGAAAAAGGAAGATAATACAACACAATAGATTAAATAGGTCACAAAGAAAGTATTGACACCGAGTCATACAGAATTACAGATATCAGAAATTTGAGTCAGAATCACTCTTTTATTGAGGGTAATAAGATTAAGTCAAGAAGTATGTTCAGCACAATAGATTGCACTTCAATTGATGAATAGAACTATGAAGGATATATGAGCAACAATTAAAGAAATTAACTCCAAAAATAGAATTACTAAAATTACAAAACTTGCAGAAATTCAGGGAATGAAGTAATTCAAACTAAGTCCTTGGATCACTCGAGAAGAAATAGTATGATGCCAATTAGTTATAATAGTAAGAGATAGTCTCTAAATGCAATCTTACAAAATTAAAATTCTTATCATCAACAAAATAAATCTATTAATAATCAATAGAATTATAATATTCTCTAATATAGCATCAATGGATAAAGCCAATACTAAAATTCAAATTCTAACTATTCTTAGAATACCACTAAGTAGAATAAAATAAGTAATCCAGTACACCAATAAAATAATATTTTGCAGGCAAGATCAAATAATTTGTAAAACATTTTGATAACTAAAGAAGTAGAAGAAAATAACTCCCACAATCTAAAAGAGCAGCTAAATCGCTTTTAACATAAAATTGTTAAATTTAATTTGAGCAACACATAACTGAAACACATTTCAATATTAGAAATAGTAAAATTCTAATTTTATAATATTATTTTAGCAAATAAATATATTTTTTAAAAATAGATAAAACCTCTTTTAGAAGGCAGAGAAATATATAAACGTATTGGAGGAAATCAGCACGGTAGTGGATAAAGTTCGATTAACTAATATAAAAATTAATACAACCCTTTCTCTATGGAAAATTTAACTCCTGAATAATGTGGATATGTTTTAAGAGTTGCTCATCTTAACAGACATTTAACTAAGATAGAATTTAAGAACTATCAATTTGGATAAAAAGGTTAAAAGTAAGCTGTTCATTCCCTTGATACATGTATCAGTGTTGATCATATGTTAAGAATAGTAGTACCACCAACAACTATTGATTTAATTAAATTCCAAAAACATTTTGATGTTATAAAAAACAACAACAACAGTAATAATTAAGTGAACAAAACCTCAGTAGACACTAATTCAAGCTAATTATATGCATCTACTACTATGAACACCTACAATACTTTAAAATAAAATGACTAATCGTTTGTTAATAACACAAATATATCCTTTAGTAATAACGTCTAATCTAATAATTATTTCACAACTAACTCTAATTTCGTAAGCAACAATGGAAATAATCCAAACACAACTATGACAAATTACTCCAATCTTTCAATGATACATGACTAAAATTTGAAGATGGAAAAAATATTTAACGGAAATTTATATCCGTTTTAGATAATAATGGATAAAGGTAACAGATTAGACCTCATAGCTGAAGGATACGACACATACAAAGTATGGATTAACTGTATCAATACTCTAATTAAGCATAGAAAGGCATTAAATCAAGTAAAGACAAAAATAGAATTTATAGTTCTATGAACTAAATCATATAAAATACACACAAAATTTTCCAAAATGAATATTGATTTATATATATATTTGATAAACAAGCAAATAAAAATAATCAAACTAAACAAATAAATAAATAAGTAATAATAAGCTAACTATTTTATATTAAAAAAGTATAATTATATAATTCTTTGTCTATACAATTTTATTATATTATATAGAGTGTTTAATTTTTTTATATTAAATAAATAAATAAATAAAAATCAATTCTCATACAAATTTAAAAAAATTTAATATATATAAATTTAAGTTATTTTTGAATTTTATAAAGCTTTTACAGTTTTTAAGGTATTTAAAAATGGGATTAATTAAAAATTTATTTATACATAGCTAAATATTAGTTATTCTTATTGTATTAATGTTTTTAAATAAAATAATTATAAAATAAATAAGTAATATATTGAAAAAGTAAAAAAAATTTAAAAAAATGGATTATTAGCTTTTGATTAGCCCGCCTAGCTCAGTCGGTAGAGCGCAAGACTCTTAATCTTGTGGTCGTGGGTTCGAGCCCCACGGCGGGCTATAACCCTTTTTTTTAATATTATTGATAGGATTAAGAAAAATAAATTTTTTTAAAAGTAAACAAGTCTTAGTTATTATAATTAAAATAAAATTTATGAATTGATTAATAAATGCTTATGTAGTATGCATTCATATTTATTATCTGAATTCAATAAAATTTTATCTTCCTAAGTTTTCTTATAATTTTTGATTTGTATAATTTTCAAAAATTTTTTGATAAAGTTGAATAAAAAGGATTTGAGCAGTATGAGCTAAGTAGAAAAAGACCAAGATTTAAATAAAAAAGAACAAGAATAGGAAGACGATTTGTTCGGTGATTTCAACGTTTCTAGCTAAAATGAGTAGAATAAGCTAGAAAATACTTAGAGTTAAGCATTGAGCAATCATATTAATCAAGAAGAAGATTTATTTGGAGATTTTTAAGAATAGAACAATAATAACAACTAAATAAACTAGTAAACAATTTAAATTAATTAAAATGAAGGCCTATCTAATGAAGGATAAACGAGCAAACCAAATTAAATTGAAGAAGAGGATTTGTTTGGAGATTTTGAATAACCAGTAATATTAATATATTCTTTTTTTATTCATAAATCTTAGCATCAATTAATTAATATAATTTGTATTAAAAGTGAATATTTTTCAAAAATGATATTATTAATTAGGCATTTTAGGATAAATTAGTCAGTAATAGCCAAGCTGCACAAGAAAATAGTGTTTAAGATGTTTAAGAAATAATTTAGAATGAGTAAAAAGAGGATGATTTATTTGAAGATTTTAATAAAGGTAATTAAGAAAACACAGCAAAAGAAATACAAAAGTAATATTCATAATCTCAGCATGCTAATAAATAAGATGATATTCAAGCTAATTAAGAAGACGATTTATTTGGTGATTTTGCTTAAAATGTTTAAGTTGTTTAAGAAGGTTCTTAAGACTAAAAAAGCGATTCGAATTAGGATCATAATACTTTGAGTAATAAGCAAATTGCAATCCCTGATTTTTAGTAAAAAGAACCAGAACAGATTGACTAAAATGTAGTTTAAGAAGATATTTCTTAAAGTTCAGGATTACAAAATGAATTAAATAATTTAAATCAATAAAACACAATTAATCAAAATAAAGATTTTGATTTATTTGAAGATTTTTAACAAGGTGGTGATAAGATTGAAGAAAAACTTCAAGAATAACAAAAAACAGTAGATAGTTAATCTATAAGCAAATAAGAATAGGTTTAAAGTCAAGAACAATAAAAAGATGACTTATTTGGAGGTGATGAAGATAGAGATATTAAAATTAATTAAATCTAAGACAATGAGAACACATAATAGGAAGTTTAAGAAAATGAAATTAAAAATTAAGAAATTTAACAATAGGATTAATAAGTTAACGATTAAAAAGACGATAAAGATTTATTAGATAATTTGGGATAAGATATTGTAGAAAGTGAGTTGAAGTAGTAGCCAAGATAATAATAAATTGATAATGAAATTCATTAAAATTAAAATGAAGAAAATTAATAAAATATTTAAACATAAGATCAACCTTTACACTAATAGATATAGCATTAAATTCATGATTAAAAAATAGAAGAAAAGGATACAGAAAATATTTAATTAAATCCTAGTTAAGTACTTAATGTTAATGAAAAGTAAAATGTTTAATAACAAAACTAAAATGAAGAAGATTTATTTGGTGATTTTAGTGAAACACATCAAAAATAAGATATTATTATTTTAGATAAATAAAACAATGAATCAAATAATGTTGTTAACTCTAATTAAATTACTAATGATAATTAAATTTTACATTAAAATATGACTGAAAATAATGAAGATAATGAAATCTTAACAAATAATTAAAATACAAACTAAGTGACTCAAGCTTTAAAAAACAACGAAAATATTTTCGAAAATTAAAGTGAAAATAAAGATATTAAGAATTAAGATTTATTTGATAGTGATATAAATGAAGATAATGATAAATAAAATATTGATTAACCAACAGTAGAAATAAAATAAACTTTAGAAAATTAAGATAAACTAGAATAAAATTTGTTACCTAATTAAGAGTTGGCTGAAAGTTAATAAAATTAGGTTAATGATTAAATTGAAAATCGTAATGATGACCTCTTTGGTGATGATTCAAAAAACTTAGAATAATAATAAGACTAATAAAAGCAATTTGTAGGAGATAAATAGGAGGACTTATTTGAGGATTTTAGTTAAACTGAAAATTAAAATTAGACTGAGAGTAAGGATATTCAATCAGAATTAGGATTAGATAATTAGGTTAATAAAACTTCGAATTAAGTAAATGAAGATAAAGCTTAATCAGAGTAAAATTAATTACCAAAAGGAGATGATAATCTTTTTGGAGATTTTGATGAAATTAATTAGATTTAGTAGTAAGATAAGAACGAAATGTAAATTTAAAATCATAAAACTCAAGAAAATGATGAATTAACATAAAAAAATTAAGAAAATCAAGATCTATTTGATTAAATTGATTAAAGTCAATAAAATAATGATGAAAATATAGATTTTACTTAAAATTAGTAATAAATAGTGAAGGAAGCTTCACAAACAGAAAAAAAAGAAGAAGAAAATAATATTGAAAAGCAACAAAGCGTTTTAAATTAAGGTGATTAAACAACCTCTAAGGAATAAATAAATTTTACAGATAAATAATAAGAAGACTTATTTGGTGAATTTGAAAATTTAAATTCAATATAAGAATAAAAATAAGAATAAAACTAACATTAAGAAAGTAACCAAAGTACAGCTTTATAAGAAATAAAAAAAGATTAAAATAATGGAGATCTTTTTGGGGTTTTAGGATAATAGGATAATTCAAATTCAAGTTAATAAAAAGATTCAGAGTAAGTTGAATAATTAAATCAGGAAAATAAAAATAAAGATGACTTATTTGATTCCTTTGATGATGCAAACTAAAATTAAAAATAGATTTAATAATAATCTGATGTTTTATAAAATGCTGTAAATATAAACTAAGTTTAAAATTAAAAAGAAAAAGTTGATTTATAAGAATAAAAAAATCATGAAAATAAAGAAAGCGATGATCTGTTTGGAGACTTTGAAAATAACAACTAAAACTAGTAAAAAATATAAGAATAGCCAGTTGCAGATAATAGCCAAAATATAGTTTAGATTGATGAATAAAAAGATATTAATAATGAAAATATTTTGGGAAAAGTACACGAAATTAAATAATAGTATAATGAATAAGTCTAAGCTTAAGAAAATGCAAAAAAAGAGAGTGATGATTTATTTGATGACTTTGAAAATACAAATACCAATTAAATTTAGAAATAGCATTAAGAATAGAATTTGGTTTAAGAAAATGATTAAAATGAAGTTAAATAAAAAGAAGAAGGAGACGATGATAATTTATTTGGAGGTTTTGATTAAGTTAATTCAAATTAATAATAATAAAAATAGAATACCTAAGATTAAGTAAAAATTTAAGAATAATAAGAATAGCAGTTAAGCCATTCAAAACAAGAAAATGAAGATCTATTTGGTGATTTTGAAAATACAAACACTCATTAAATTTAGGAATAAATTTAAGAATAATCTCATGCTGATGATTCAGATAATAACCAAAAACTTGTTTAATAAAAACCACAATAAAATAATAACGATGATGATCTGTTTGGTGATTTTGAAAATACAAATACTCAGTAAACTTAGTAGTAAATTTAAGAGTAAACTCATACTTAGGATTCAGATAATAAATAAAAAATTGATTAATAATAACCAGAATAAAATAATAATGATGATGATCTTTTTGGTGATTTTGATAATCCAAAAACTCATTAAACTTAGTAATAAATTTAAGAATAGTCTGATGCTTAGGATTAAGATAATAACCAAAAAATTGATTAATAATAACCCGAATAAAATAATAAAGATGAAGATCTATTTGGTGATTTTGAAAATAAAAATACTGATTAATCTAATTAGTAAATTCAAGAGTAAACTCAAGCTTAGGATTCAGATAATAAATAAAAAATCGATTAATAATAACTAGGATAAAAAAACAACGATGATGACCTTTTTGGAGATTTTGAGAATATAAACACACAGTAAACTTAATAATAAATTCAAGAGTAAACTCATGCTGCTTAGCATTCTGATAATAAATAAGAAATGGATTAATAATAACCAGAAAAAAATAATAATGATGATGATCTTTTTGGAGATTTTGAGAATACAAATACTCAATAAACTTAATAATATATTCAAGAGTAAACTCATGCTGCTTAGCATTCTGATAATAAATAAGAAATGGATTAATAATAACCAGAAAAAAATAATGATGATGATGATCTTTTTGGAGATTTTGAGAATACAAACACTCATTAAACTTAATAATAAGTTTAAGAATAATCTCATGCTTAGAATTAAGATAATAACCAAAAAATTGATTAATAATAGCAGGAATAAAATAATAATGATGATGATGATCTATTTGGTGATTTTGAAAAATCTGATATAAACTAGAATTAAAATTCATAGAATTAATAAAAGCAATAAGATAATAATGATTTAAATGATTTTGAAATAGTCCAAAGCAGTAATTATAAAGAAAATCATGAAGGATTAGAAAAAAATACAAGTTAGCCAATAAATTCAATAGCTTGTAAGGATGTGAGTGCATAATCTAGTAATCAACTAGGATAATTAAATATAAGAAATGGATAAAATAACAACGAGGATTTTTTTGGAGAATCTGAAGAAAACTAAGATAAATAAGAAGTTAAAAATTAAGTTATTAACAGTGGTAATTAAAATTAAGAAGACTAATTTGATGACTTTGAAATATAAGCAAGTGAATAAAGAGCAGAAAAGGAACTTAGAAACGAAATTAAGAATGATGAAGATGATTTTGGTGATTTTAATAACGTTTAAAACTAAAGCAATAATTAAGAAATTCAAAAATAAGAAATTTCTGAATAAGATGATATTGGAGACTTTGAATAAGTTGAAAATATCAATAACAAAGAATAAAACAACAATGGTCTAATTAATTAAATTGATAGCCAAAATATTGATAAAATTCATTAAGCTAATGATGAAGATGATTAATTTGGAGATTTTGATGAAGGTAAAAATTAACAAAAAATTTAAATTGATAGCGAATAAAAAAGAGAATAAGAAAAACCTGAGATTGATGAGGATGAATTTGGTGAGTTCAATAATACTTAAAATGAATAAGTTAAAGAAGCTGCTAATTAAAATAAAGCTGATAAAAGTGAAAGCTAAGATGATGATTTTGGTGATTTTGAAGGAGATTAACCAGTTTCTTAATAATAAAATAATTAACCATAGCAATCTTAAGCAATTAATATCTAAAAAACAGAATAGATAAATAATAATGAAGATGAGGATGATGATGAATTTGGTGATTTCAAAGAAAATACACCAGCTTCCTAACAATAAAATATCTCAATATAATAATAGTAATAAATAACTCAGCCAGTAAATAATAATTAAAATCAAAACGATGATGAGGATGATGAATTTGGAGATTTCGATAATCCTCCTGCTCCTGCTTCATAACAATAGAAAATTTAAGAAGACCAAAAAGTCTAATAAGTTAATTAGGTTTAAAAACAATAATAAAATGAAGATGATGATGATGATTTTGGCGATTTTGATTAGAGTGTGCCTTAAAATAGTAAGCCTATAAATTCTAGTGCCCTACAATCTTTTAATTATTAACTACCACCTAATGAAAACGATTTTGTAAACTAAAATAAATTTGGCAATTTAAAATATATTAAATAATTTTAAATAGAGTATAGTTGGAAGAGATAATGATTACCTCAGATTTTTAAATTACAGACTGAGCGAATAAATAGGATGTAAGTCTACAAATTATGTAATGAATTTTAATGTTGATGAAAAATAAAAGATCAATATGTAATCTGTTAGCTCAACTATGGATGAGTAAATTTTATGTTATAAAACCTTATTTCATATTTTTTTAAAGGTTTAATAAAAAGTTTTAGCAAATTAATCAAAAATCAGTTGGAAATGAGAATTTAAAAATTATAAGTCATCTTTATTTAGATAAAAAAACCACTATAGGCAAAAATAGGTTTAAACATGAAAAGAGTAAATTTATACAACTGGTATTATAATAATAACATTTTATATTTTTTATAGGAATAATTGAAGATCCAATGAAGACATGCCAAGTTAATTTTTTAAAAAGAACTAAATAAGTTTGGAAAGATTCTGATCTAAAAAAGAAGTCAGTTTTTAATTTTCTTTTTAATAAATCAGATATTTGATCATATTTAATCATTTTAGGTTGTTTTAAAGCTTAAGATTGAAAGAAGATGATGAAGTTAAAATAGGTTATGAAGAAGAACTTTAGTCTCCAACTATTCAAAAGGAAAATAGCTAACAGTAAAGTGGAAGTTTTGAAATATAAATGAAATCAGCTAACTCCAATTCAGAGATGTCAAATAAAGATTAATAGCAATAACCAAATGAAAGATAAAAGCTTGAATAGCAAAAATCCTAAGAATAAGCAGATAAAAAGAAATAAAAAGAAGAAGAAAGTGCATAAATAGCCAAAAAACTTTAAGAAGAGTAAGCATAGAAAGAAAAAATGCAAAGAGAGTAGAAATAGAAAGAAGAAGATGCCAAAAGAAAATAACTTGAAGAAGAAGCAAAGAGAAAATAGATAGCTGAAGAGTAAGAAAGAAAATCTAAGCTAGAAATTGAACAATTAGAGAAAAAGAAGAAATAATTAGAAGAAGAAGAAATATAAAAAAAGGAAAAATAAAGTATCTTAGAACAGCAGCAAAAATAATAAGAATAGCTTGAAAAGTAAAAGAAAGAAGAAGAGGAACTAAAACAAAGATAGATATAATAACAGAGTTCATCATAGTAACATGAAGATGAGTTTGAGCTTGAGTTCGATGATTTCTAAAGTAGTAGTGCTCAGCCACAATAGGCTTAGGATCAGATAGCTTAACAATAGTAAGCTGATATATCTAAATCTTAAAATTAAGTAAGCTAACCTATAAATAGTTAATAATAGCCATAAAATTAAGTATTTTTATTTATTTATTCAGATTTATTAATTGAAAAACTTTTTTTGATTAAAGAATAATTTATAAGACGATGATGACTTTGATATATTTTAAGGAACTTCGACTAATTAAACTAGTGCTTAGCCATAATAAGTAAGTAATCAATAATCAATTGGGGTGAATTTGTTGGCTTTCAATGATGATAATGAGACTGAAATTAATCAAGCTAAACCAATATAATAAATAGCAGAAGAGGTTCCAAGCCTTTATGCCTTAGCGAATAGAAATAATAATTTATAGAATAAGAACGATAATGATGATTTTGAATAGTTTGATGAATTTGTTGAGGCTAAGCCTTAAGTTTAACTAGATCCTTAAGCAGAGGAGTTTTTGAAATCACTTCCTAACTATGATTTTGTCCTTTCAAAAAATATTCACTATCCTAAAGATTTATTTATGTGATGATAAAATTACATATTAATTTCATTTTTAAATTTTGATTTGTTTATTAAATTCAAATCAAAAAATTAAATAAAAAAAATACTTTTCAAATTACTTAATTAATTTCTAAAAAAAAAATTAATTTATTTTAAATCATCTAAACTTTTAATTTAAAACTTGTATTTTCACAATTATTTTTATATTGTTCAAAAGTAGATTAATACAAAATGAAATTTTTGCATATAAAATTAAGTGTTTGGTGTTGTTGAAAATAGCTTAAGTTAAAATATTGAGATTTAAGAGTTTATTTTTTGAATGATTAAGAAGATAATGTTATTTTAATATTGATTGGAAGTATGCTAGAAAATACTACTAATTATAGAACTATTTATTTAAATAGTATATAATTATTTATTTATCTCAATAAAAAATTTTGATTTGTGTATTGAATACAAATCAAAAAATTATAAATCAATTATAAAAGCTATATTTAAAAAAATATTTTACAAATTTCTCCATAAAACAAATTTATTTTGAATTAATTGCCTGAATTCTTAATTTAAAGCTTGCATTTTTACAAATTTTTTTTATTTTTCAAAAGTTGATTAATAAAAAATTGCAATTTAATCCTATAAAATTAAGGAGATTGTGTATACACAAATTTTCAGAGTTGGTATGTTGAGATTTAAGAGTTTATATTGAATGGTTAGACAGGTTATTGCTTTAAATTTTGATTCGAAGTATCTTAAAAAATATTTCAAATTATAGAATTGTTTATTTAAAAATATTAAATTGAGAAACATAGACTTTGATTTAAGGCTTTTTTATTGATATTAATTAAGAAAAGTGATAATTGATTTAGAAATAGTTAAAATCTGTTTGGAATAATAAGATTTAGATTATATATAAACAAATAAATTGTTATTAAATCCAGATATAAGAAGCTAATCGTACTTAAAAATAAATTTTAAATATTGCTTTAAAAAGAAATATGGATTAGGACTCTAAATTGCTTAGATTTTATTGTAAAATACATGAAATAAGTATTTTTTAGCTAAATAAATTCAAATGTCTGATGGATTATGGATTTTATTTTAGAGATATTGATAACGCTTAGAAGCTTAAGTAATAAAAAAAAGATATTTTAGAATAAGCCAATACTATAGTAGATAAAGTAAAACATCCATTTATTTTTTTTTTTACTTATTTTTATCCCAGCTCAGCGTGGCGTTTTACACGATTCAATTTCCTATATTTTGATTTGTATATTTTTTTTTTAGTTTTAAACCCTCTTTCTTAGCCAAAAATCTATAAATATCAATATTTAATTACTAGATTATAATATGATGTTTATTTAATTAAAAACTTAATTTTCCTATTTTAAAAACAAATAGTGTTTTTATTTAATAAGAATCAAACCAAAAATTTTAACTATTTATTTTAAAAGGAAGAAAACTTTTAAGAATATTTGAAGTAAAGATGGAAAATATGCAAGGGACTTTTTGCAGTTAAATACTTAGAAATTCACCTTGAGTTAGATAATAAATTTCCAGAAAATAGGTATTTATAATAAACAAAAAAGGAGTAACAATTGTAACTGTAACTAATGAAAACAGATGAAAATTATATAAGAAAGTTAGAAAAAAGCTTAAACAAATTCTTAGAATATAGAGAATAAGTTACTGATGAAGAAATCAAAACTGAAATTTTAATTTTAGATTTAGTTGTTTTGCTTTTTAAGATAAGACTTGGTATCAGAAAATAGAATTTACCAGAAATAATGGCTCTCTTTGATGATTATTAAATGTTCATCAAAGAAATGATGAGTTTTTAGCATTATGGATGGATTATAATTTAATCTATCCTTATTATTTTTGGTATGTGTAGATACTAGACTGAAGATTTTAAAGGAAGTGCAATTTTATTTAGAAAAGCTATAAAGCTTAGCACAATTATGATTTAATCAGATTTCTTTTTAGAAGTATTTTTTTCTAACCCAGAGAAAAAAATGAAGCTTTAAATAATCATTTATGACTGTGAAATATTACTATCTAAGGCAATATTTGAAATGACTAAGTGTCTCAAAGAATCTATATAGCTTGAATAAATTATACTCAAAATAGATAGTGATGCTTTTCTCAATGCTCAGTAAAAATAAGAAATTTTTGAGAAATTCAAAAAACAATATGAAAAGCAAAGAGCTACAATCATAAAAAATGGAGGCCAGACAAAAAACACAGATTCTGAGCTAGGTTCAGTAACTAATGATAAACAATTTTAAAGAAAGGACTCCTAACTTAATTTTTAGAAACTTGCTTTAGAAGTTTCATAAAAATCAAATAAGTTTTAGTAACAATCAAACTCAAGCTAAAAAAAGAAAATTGCATTTTTGATCAGCCAGAAAAACAATGAGAAATGGTTTAAAAATGCAATGCAAAGCAATAATATTTAAACTAATACTCCAGTCTTTCATTAAAATTCAAAATAAAGTTTATCAAGAGGAACAACCTAAAGTCTTTCTAGAGGTGGTAGTTTAGCCAATTAATCTCCTACTCAAAAGAAAGAAAATCCATTTACTTTACAAGTTCCTTCATAAAATAATTCATAATTAAATAATTCTTTCTCAAAGCAAATTAAACCTCAAGTAAAAAGCATGCTTTTGTAAACTGTATCAAATTTAATGTCTAAAAAAAAATCTATTTTATAGTCACCTGCAAATTTGGAAATTCAGTCGCCAAATCCTAACTTAGCTGCAAGAAGATCAATGGCTAGATAATCAATTTTAGTAGGGAACACTAATATTAAATAATATTTGGCCAATATCGAAGCTTAAAAAAACTCTCCCGGTAACATCAAGTAGAGAGAAGGTCCTTATGAGATTGATGACGAAGATATAGAAAATTTAGGTAATAATCTTTCAGAATTAAGTATCACTCTCCCTCATGATAATTAAAGTTTTATGGATCGCTTTACTGATTAGCAATAGGAAGATAAAAAATATGAGAAAATAAGATCCTTGAATTTTTAAAATAATATGATCATATAAAAAGATATTTTAGTAGAAAGAATAAATTTGTTTAAAAAGCTCAAAGGAGGTGCTAAATTATTCTCTGATTATAATTTAGAAGATTAAATACAAGACAAGTAAAGACTTGAAATTGAGTAATCGCTAGGAAAAGAGGTAAAAGAAAGATTCAAATAGAATCTAGTTCCTATCTATAAAGAAACATAACAATAATAATCTAAATAACCAAGCGAATAAATCATGGAATAAAGTTAGCAATCTTAATAATTTTAAATTAAAATAGTATCTCATCATAAGAAAGCAAAAAGTATGCAATTTTCCGATGCCTAACATTTCTCAAGTACTTAACTTTCAATGAATCTTCAATAATAATAGCAACCTAAGACTAATAATTATAAATCTAGCTAACAAATCAACTCTTAAGAGAAATTAAGTCAGCATAATTTAAGTTAAGATAAAAAAATAAAGAGCATGACCAGCTTGAAAGGCCATCACCATCATAGAGTTTAGTCAGCTTAATTACACTCTGGAGGTAAAACTTAAAACAACTTATTTTAAAATACTTAAAATTAATAAATGAATGAATAACAAAAACTATAGCCAGTCTTTTAACATCAATTGGCTATTCCACTTTAAATTTAAATAAAGAATCAAAATTAAAATCCATATTATAGTTAGAGTGCTTAAATTTCTCCTCAATCTAATAAAAATGTATAAAAGTCAAATATCTCTATTCTATCTCCTTAAAATAAAAATTCTATTTCAATGAACAAAATGAACATATACAATTACCAAAATTTTATGAAAACATCATAAGAATAAAAGTTCAGTAATATCAAATAGTAAAATGGTTCGGCCTCAAAGTAATCAATAATCAATTAAATCAATAGTTCAAGTAGTAAAAAATAAATTAAGTAAAATTCTCCTGTTACTTCTATGGAATTCATATAAGACTACAATGGAAATATTGGGTATAAATAATAAAAGAATAGCTTAAGTAATATCCATTCACCAGAAATGAGTTCTTTTTCAACTGAAAGAACTAATGATTCAAGGGTATATAAGTCTGCCACAGGAAAGAACTAAAAAAAGCTTTCCAATATCATAGGAATAGGTAAAATTTATTGTAAATATCAAATTTTTCTAATTAATTTTTGTACCAGACCAAGCTAACTCAATTATGAATGCTAGGCCTAAGTGGGATTTGTCATCAGCAAGTTCAACAAAATACGAAGAAAGCATAAGTCAAAAAATGAAAAAACCAAAATCGACATTAAATTTAATAGATTAAATAATTGGATAAAGTTAAATTATAATGGAAAATTAATATGCAAATCCTTCAGATATTCATACTCCTTTCCCATTTATTTAATATGCCCTCAAGAATGTCGAAAAAGAAAGAATTTTACAATAATTAATTTAAAAATCCCAAACTATTGGTTTAGTTCCCGAGAATTAAAAGAATTTCGTTAAAGAAGTTGTTTAAAAAAAAAGAGCAACTCCAAAGCACCTTGAATAAGATGAAGTTGAAAAGTTATAATAAAATATTAGAAGAGAAATATTAAATTAGCAATCAAAAATAGAGGAAGAAATCACTAAAACGGATATTGACAAAATAGAAGAATCCTTTAACAAGTACTTGCTTGACAAGCAAAAAGGTATTTGTATGGAACTTGAATAAGAAAGAGAAAGGCTAAAAGCCTAAGAAGCTTAAGGCTAAGTATAAAATGAAAGGAAATTAAAAAACAGCTAATCCATCGGTTTAGAAAATCTAAAAAAATAGTAAAGCATCAAAGATGATAGTATAAAAATATCAACGCACTTTTAAAACTAATCTAAAAATGAGATTTCTCATTAGTAGCTATCTAATTAAGGTTTTATTTTATTTTATTTTAGTTATTTGCATAAAATTATTTTGATTAATAGACTCAATAGTAGGTGAAGAGAAGTTTTTAGAAATGTAGGATATTAGTAGAAAATAGAAGAGAGATGATGGAGGGCTTAAAGAATTGATGGATACTGAAGAAAGCTAAGATGTTCTATATTAAATTGAATAATCAAAATATTCAAATAATTAAAGCGAATACCTTGATAAAGTAGATATTTTAGAAGATGATGAAGATGAAGTATTGAGTTAAGTAAACGAATCATTTGTTTTTATTTAAACTAAATTTATTATTAAACTTATATAATAACAAAAAATATAATCCAAAAAAGAGTTCGAGTGAGTTAACCCACAAAAAGACTAAGAAGAAACCTATAAGCATGATCTTTCAAGAAAACAGTGACAACGATGCTTTTGCTTCAGAAAATATTTTAAAATAATTTGAAAATATGAAAAAAAATAAATTTTCTGGTTAAGATTCACTAGAAGATTTAAGTGACGAAGATATAAACCAAAAAAAGCAAAAAACTTTCAAGTAACCCAGCTTTGCAGAAATTTAATCTTAAATGGCTAGAGGAAAAATTAAAATAAGAAAGCAAAAAGCTCTTTCCTAAAGCTAAATCTAATTTATCATGAATGAAGACTAAAAAACAATGTTTTAGATTATAGATGAAGACAATAAGCAGGGTAAATTATATTTATTTATTATTAAGAAATAATTTATTATTTTGAGCTAAAACCTTTTATAAAATTCATTTTACATTTTTTATTTAATAAAATAATTATTTTTTCATTTTTTCAAATTAAATGGAATTATAATAAAAATAAATAAATTTTCATTATTTTAAAAAAAAAGTCAACCTTGAGAAAAATCATCCATCGTTTGAATTCACATTTTATCACCCATTCAAAATAGACAAAATAAAAATCTAATTGAAAGTAAGGAATGCTTTGATTGATGTATTATTGTGTTCTTAAGTATTTATTTTTATTAAAAATATAGGCAACTCCTAATCCAGATAAAACTTTTACATATTTTTTAACATTTTTGGGATATAATATTAATGATTCTATGAAAATCGATTTTAATTTTATTGGGAACTCTAATGTGAAAAACTTAATGGATCAATACACAATATGGCCTCTGGTTTTGGAATCAATAAAAAAGCAGCTAGCTTTTTAAGGGTTGGAAGAGATGATTAATGATAAAACAATTCATGAAGGATAATATTTGATAACAGATCAAAATTTACAAAAATTAGAAGATCATGACTAAACATTAAATGATTTGCACGATTGGAAAGAAAAAATAGCTCGAACTAATATAGGAAGCTAGAGTCTCGCCTAAAAAAAATTAAAAGGGCACTCATAAAGCGAAAATATTTAATTTACTAAAGATGGTCAAGCACGAGTTCTGAAAAGATAATCAACATATTTCATGAGAACAAAATACAAGATGAATTATTTTTGTAATTTAGATAAAGAAGAATATAAGTATTTGAATGAAAAAGATATCAAAAGTATTGGCTCAATTAAAAATCTTTTGAATAATTACTTTTTAAGTTGCTACGAGCACAGTTATAGGATATCTGGTAAATAACTGATTAGAAAAATAGAATAAGAAGACATTAATTTCATCTAGGCTTAAAAGACAATTCATGAAATATTTAATTTGTAGAAAAAAATAAGTAGAATGTCAGCTAGATAATGTAAAATACTTATTTTATCAATTTACTTTTATAAAACACTATTAAAAATTAATTTTAAATCGAATAGGCATAATACCTTATGTTTGTGATAATGTTGAGCAAGGAACGTCTATTCGCATAATATTGCACAAAAAAGAAGATGAATCAAAAGTTAATACATCACACTCTTAGAGAAGTGTAAGCTTATTGGACTAATCGCTAGTTTTAACAAAGAGAGACAAAATTTTTTTAAGTTATTGGATTAAAAATTAATAAAATCATAATAAAAAAGAGTAGGAGTTAAAAATTAAATTGAGTGAGTTATTAGTATAAAAAAGAGATGATGTAATATGCTTTTTGAGTAAAAGATTACAATAAAAGTCTTATATTGGTACTCTGATAAAAAAGCAATATTTATTTAACTCTTATTTCTATATTCATATCTACTTAAGCCACAATAAAATTAAAGACATTAATTTGGTTTCAACTATAGATAAGTACTGTAAAATTAAAGAACTTCCATTCATTATTTTAGTAGATGCAGTTAACGTAGATAGTCAAGAAAAAATTATTCCATTAGAGCTTCCTATAGAAACATTAATTGGCATCTTTCCGAGAGATGAGATTCTTACTTCAATAACCTAATTATTATTGACTGGTTAAATACAAAAAAATTTTAAAAGAAAATTAATGCCTTTTATTGAAGAAAAAATTTTTATAATGCTATCTACAAATAACTAAAGATAACGACAAGGCTACTATTCTATGAAAAGCAGTTAAACAACTTAAACAAAGCAGTAAAAAGTAGCATTCTAAACTGCAAAATTTGATGAATTTAGCTAATTACACATGGATCCTTCTCTCATTTATCAAGATCTACCTCGTATATTTTCTGAAAAAATCAAGTAGTAGATTGAGCCTACAATTTATGAAAAGCTATTTGAAAAGCTATTTAACGAAGTGTATGAAAAAGATTTCATAAATCGCAGAAATGTTGATGTGGATGCTATTTTCTAAAACATCAGTTAATAAAACAATGTTTTAAAATAGAATGCCCTATAGGAAGGAGAAATCGAAATGTAAAGCTAATAATAAATTAATACTTAGCAACAAATGCTTTCTTTAAACAACTCTTTTACAAATACCAATTTAATAGATCAAGCTAGTAACTTAGATGAAAGTCTTTAGTATTAATTTGGGACAAATAATTTCGAAGATGTTGATAAACAGAATCCTACATTCTCAGCAAATCCTATTTCTAGGAAATAATTAACACAATTATCTAACAACTATTCAAACTTACTCAATAATAATAAGTTCTTAAATATTACCAAAAACGTTAAAAATGAAGTAAAATAATTAGAAAAGCACAGAAAAAGGATTATCAAAAACATAAAATTAATTTAAGACATTTAAAATAACATCCTTGCCTAGCCAAATATTTCGATTAACAATATTAGCTTAGATTCTTCATTTGTTTCTACCAATAACTTGTAAGGTAGTTTTTATCAAAACGACTAAAACATTCAGCTTAATAATATTTATAAGCAAGGTAAAAACTTTTTTATATTTTCAGTTCATTATTAAAAACAAAGATTTCTTTAACTTAATTTGCTTTTGCTTACATTTAATTATTTTTTTTTATATTTCATCTGAATTTAGCATTTAAATTTAAATGTAAAAATATATTTTTAAAAAAAGAATAAGTTTTAGATAAACTTTATAGATAACTTAGAAAGGCTGATTATCAAATGGATTGGTAAGTATATGGATTGTTTGGAAGATTTTTGATATATGTAAATGAGCTTGGAAAAATAAATTTTAAAATTAACAATTTCTTGCCAAAGCTTGAACTCACATTTGACTAAATTACCAACAAACAACAAAATATTATTATTAATATTTTAAGCTATGCTGTCAATCTAAGATATGAGGAGCAAAAGCCTATTTAAAATACTAAAACTATGCTAAGATATATGCTTTAAAACATGGTTTAGAAAGACTTTAGATCTCTTACTAGTTTTCGCTTTTTTCCCAGGAAACCTTCAGAGTATGGAACATAATAATTAATTTTGTCTAACAATAGTTCTGTGTAGTACCACTTAAATCTTCAAACAAAAGAATTTCTTTCACAATACTCAAATATTAAATAAACCTTTGCATATGGCTTGAAAGTAAGTTTAATTTAAATTCTATATCATTTAATAAATAAATAAATAAATAATTAGAATATAGGAAGAAGTCTTGTTGTAGGTTTCAGCTTTACTTCTAATTTAGATATATCTTCATCAAAATACTCAATTTTATTATCTATTAATGTTATGCCACTTCTCTCCAAAACTATTATGTATAAAACAATATTAAGCTTACAAGATTTATCTATATTAGACCCTCAGAATAGTGTCCGAATAGTTTCTTCTAAAATGGCAAGCTCTATAGTAATGTCTACTTTCAAATCAATCCTGAAAAAGAGCGTTTTTATAAATACTTAAATTGGGAGGTTACCTGTTTTTCACTATTCCTAAACAACTTACTTATTTTAAATAAACACACCAAGCACTTCGAAAAGACTTTTTAAAACATAAGTCTATGAAGGTAAGAAATTAAGTGGGATATATTCAAGAAACAACTAAAGACTGAGAGTAATATTATTGTTTATTAAAATTAAATTTAAACTGAAAGAAATAATATTTTAATAATTTTTTACTAATCCTAAATAAAAAGAGTTTGTAAAATAATCAAAACTTCGAAGAGGCATCAGAAGCAGCTTTTAATAGTTCTGTACAGGGAGATGAAGAGATGTTTTAATGGAACAACCACTTAAATTAATTAAGAATATTTAGAAATAGTATGATAAAACTAAATTTTGATTAAAAAGTGGCAGAAAAATAAACCCAAAATTTTCTAAATGAAGATATTGTTAGATACAGGTTTATTTTTTCAATCTCTAAAGTTTTTTAAAATGAATACATCCTTGTTAGCGTCTTTAGGGATTTACTTTAGCAAAATTGGCTCATTAAGTTTTACTTTCCTAGAAATTGTAGGTATCTTTAGTGTCACTTAGATTCAAGTGATTTATTCTAGTCTAGCTCGAAGTTCCTAAAAAAGACTATTAGCAATCAAATACTATGGCTTAGTCATGAAAATGAATACCAAGATATATTTCAATCTTACCTGGATTTTTAAAAGCGTCTTAACTTAAAAGGGCTATCGGATAGCTCATAAATATAATAATAAAATGAAACATTTATTTAAAGCCCTGTTTTTCTAAATAAAAAAAGAGGCACTCTACATTTAAGTAAACATGATCTCAAAAAATATTCTATTATATAAGCAAGTAATGCCAATAATCCTGCTAATGAACGTAGAAATATGAGTTATGTTTTTCAAAAATCACCATTTAGCAGTAGATCTCCTTCACCTACTAAAAGAAGTGAGATATCTCCTAATTCATATAAAAATGAATACTAGTAGTCACCTTAAGGAAATAATGTTATTTTATCTAAATTTTTTGTTCAAAAAAAAGCAGCTGAAACTGTTAAAAATAAAAGTGATAAAATGAAAATGAAATCAAGCACTCATAAAAATTAGAAAAAATCAATTATTCAAAATGAACCTACTGTCGACAGCTAATATGATATGACATCTAAAAGTAATTGCCTTATAAAACCTTTCATATCAATATTTTTTTGTGAATTTATTTATTTATTTCTTATTTTAGGTATCGGAATTAAAACCGGAGGGTTTTAGGATTACTTAAGGAGTTATATATAAACTGAAAGATAAATCCCACTTAAGAAAAGGTAGCTTTCAGGAATATTCAATGGGTCACATGGATCACTAAATAATATTGGATCAGAAAGAGCATTGTATGTTTAGCGTAACGATATTAATATTAATAATTCATTTAATGAAGAAAATGAAAAAGTTAAAAATCGTAGCATTAATAACTTACCATATATAATTCCATCTAATTCTAGTTTAGAATAATAAGAGAAAAAACAATCCCATTAAACAAGAACAAGCAATCATATAGTGTTTGAAGAATAATTTAAAGAAAAAGAGCATGATTAGTCTTAGAATTTAATAAGAAGTAAGATGGAAAAAATCCAAACAACATAAGAAAATCAAACTGAAAGCAGAAGCGGAGAAATAAAAGAAACATCTTAAAAATCGATAAGTAGCTCCTAAAAAATTAAAGAAAAAGAGGAATAAAAAGAAAATGTTATTTAAAAAAAGAAAAATTTGAGAGATATCGTACATAAACATTTGAAGTCTGTTAAAATTATAAATAGTGTTAAGAGTATTGTAGAGTATTTGAAACCCAAAAGAAATGATAAAATAAATAGAATAGAAAGATTAAAAAATATGACTTTAATCCAAGATCAGTCTTTTATAGATACAATAAAGCAGTTTGATATGAGCAAAAATATAAGATTAAGAAAGCAATAACAACACTTTAAGTTAAAATAAGAAAAAAATGATAGATATTATGAACTTAAAATATGGGAAAATATCATTAATTACTCAAATTTGAGATTAACATGCTTATAATTAGATTTAGGAGGAGAAGGAATCAATCTAAAAGAAATTCTCATTTCTAAATATCTCAGAGTTGATAAGGTAGTCTTAAAATTCAATTTAATTTATAATAAATTAACATCATTTTTACTAAATAGACCAGCGAGAACTTTTTCGAAATAAGTATTGACTTGCTAGAAGTTTTGTAGCAAAAAAATATGTAAATATAAATGTAAAATAATGGTGGATAGAATTAGAATTTTGAAATCAACTTTAAAAATATTGTGACTCAACATATCGAGTAGTAATTAAATTAAAAAGCCAAAAAGAAATAAGAAGCTATACAAGAAGGAATAAAAGAAGAGTAACTGAAAAACAACTAAAGTTCTAAGAAAGATAGCACAAAAGATAATAAAGAATAAACATTTAGAAAAGTAAGAGAAAATCCAAATAGAAGTATGACATTCGTTAAAAATTTTACAGGGATTGATTACTTCTACCCCATAGAATACATTCAATATGCAGCAACAAGTGCATTCAACTTTACTATTTCTCATATGAATTTAAATTAAGCTACATTCTAAGATATTTATTTAAATTGCAGAGAAATAACAAATGTGTTTATTGCTGAAGGTTACTTTAAGTATTAAGCTAATTATATTTATTCAAATATTAACTATGCAGATTTTTGCAATCTTGCTCAATTTATCCTATACAAAATATGTAATTCTAATTTCCTTGAAATGTTATATGACAAATCTGAATAGAAGAGAATTAAAAAGGAAGATTTAAACAGATTCAAAGTTAATAACATCCCTAAAAAATATAATAAAAAAAATATTAGGTTTATTAATCCTCAAAACATTTAATTTATGCACACAAAAATTGTAAATCCATTTAAAAGAACGTACATAAGAACTCTAATATCTACTCATGATATGACATTTAACTTAGAAATGTTTTAAATATCAACAAAAAACTCCATAAAAATTACTAAATCTTTTATAAAAATGATTAAGAAAATTCCATTCCTTAGGCAACATTTTGAAATGGGAGAAATATTCTATGTACTAAGGCACATTACTGATTACTATGAGCAGTAGTTAACAATAGCATGGTCTCTTAAGTATGTATGAAATATTTAGAAAATATAAGCTGAGTTTAATTTACTTATCTTTAATAAAAAAATATTTTAATAATTAATTAATATTAATTTTATTTTTATATTAAACTTAATTGAGTAATTTATAAATTCGATATCTTGATTTATTCAATAAGTATAAATGTTGCTACATACAGTTTATATATCAATCACTATATTTTACTTATTATATTTATGTTTATTAAGAATTTTACTTCATATATTATCAAATATTTTAATTAATTTTAAAAATAGAGTAAAGAAATAAAAGCCTTTACTTAATGAATTCAAATATATGAATGATGTAATAAAATCTACTTATTAATTAATTTCAAGTACTTTAAATAATATTTTTAATTCAATTTTTATTTGTTTGCTTATCTGTCAATTAAATCAATTATTTCTTATTTATTTATTTTAAATTACAAATTATTTTTGAGATCTAAAATGTATCAAAAATTTAAATTTCATAAATATTCAAAAATATTTTATCAATTAATTATTAATAAATAAATACGGACAAATATACAATTTGTTATTATTTTACTTTTAATATAATATCACACTTAACTAATTGAGTAATTTATGGAATTAGATATAGGAATTGACTAGATAAATATCACCACACATAGTAAATATATCAATTATATTTTACCTATTTTATGTATCGAAGTATATTTTCAAATCAAAAATCAAATAAATATCTCTGTCTTCTGGTTAATTTATTGGTATAAAATTTAAATTTTATAAAAAAAATATATTATCAAATAATTTGAAAATCAAAATTGAATTTAATAAATTGATTTTGGATTAAATTAATTTAATTGCTTTAAAATTTAAACGTTTTTAGCACAATTTTCTAGAAAATATTTGCCCAAGATAAATATTAACTTAGGGACAAAATTCTATATTAGTTTTAAGAAAGACTTATTTTTTAATTAAAAACAAAAGTAGAGATAAATAAAATAATCATGATTAAATCAATTTAATCATTAGTCAAATCTAAAATATTTTACAACAAATAATAATTAATTCTTAAAAGCGATAACTTCAACACTAATAGAATATTAAGATATAATAGTATTACTAATAACCAATAATATAACTATAGTAATTTTTTATTTAAATGGAAAGTAAGATATAATTTGATATATTTGGTTGAAGATGAGAGAAAAATGTATTTTTTTGAAAAAATTGTCAATAAGTTTGGTTAATATGGTGAAAAAGATATCTAGAAAGTAAAATCAGGAAGCGATATTATTTTGGGAACCATGAAAGATCCAGTATTTATTTGTAAAGTAAAAACACTTCTTTTACAAGAACTAGAAGAGGATAAAAACTAGGATTTCTTTAAAATTCTTTCAATTAGAACAAGTCTCCTAAATGATTTAATTTTGATAAAGGACAAAAAAAAAGCTGAATCACAATTGATCAAAATGAAAAATATGTATTACTAATTAAAAAATGAAGATATTTAATAAGAAGATTTGGAGAACTTTATTCATTAGTATATAATAAGCAATATTTAAATAGAAAATTATTAAGAAGCATTGATATTCACTGAAAAGCTAAATTCGAATTTAGAAAAATTGAAGAAAGAAACAGAAAGTGATAAAAGTAAAGAAAAAGAGTTAATCAATAAATCTGTGACTATTTCTAGTTACTTATGGACAATTTTTAGATAGGGTGAGTAGAATTATTAAAAATCAATGGAAGTTGTTCATAATCTTTCTAAGCTTGTGAGCAATTAAAACTTAAAGCTATTTTAGCTTTTAAAACCTTAAGTTTTAAATTAATTCGATTAAATGATGATTGATGTCATACATTATAATATTGAAAAAAAAGAGTTTGAAAGATCCCTAAAATATTATAAATTCTATGTAAAAAATTATTATAGAGACATGATCCAAAAATAATTATAGCATTAAAATATTATCAATACTTTAGAAAGTATCTAAAGCTATTATAACTACATTGATTTATCTTCATAAAAATTCAATAAATAAAAGAAAATTGATAAAATTGATGAGGACATTTATTCTCACTCTGTTGAGTAATATTATAAATATTCTATTTACCTAAATGAAGAAATGGGAGTAGATATTAATTGCTTTTAAATCAAAGAATCTATAGATTAAGTTCTAAAAAAACTTAGTGGAGCAAATTAGAGAAGAATCAGTGCTTCTTTAATAAATTTTGAAGAAGCTATTTAAAAATAAAAAATGAGTGATTTAGAAGATCACATGAAGGAAATAGAAGAATAAAATAAGTTACAGTAAAATAAAGAAAATAAATTTAATGATTAAAATTAAGAGCAATAATAATTATAAAAAAATACTGAATAAGAAGGCAAAGAAAATGTAATTATAAATTCAAAACTAAAATTATGAAAAAGTTATAATTACTTTACATTAATTTTATAACCAAACATCAAATATATTAAATAAATATTAAAAAAACATGAAAATATCTAAAAATATTTATTTCTGTAATATTTTTTGAATAAAAGCATATTCATATATATTAATATTTTCTATTTTATTTTTATTTTTTTTAATATTTGATTTTATTAACTATTGTTAGGAATATTTTTGGTATCTACCTCTATCAATAAATATTTAGCCATTTTTAAGCTCTGAATTATTTATTTTCGAAAAAGAAAATTAGTTTAATGATCAAAATTAAAAGAAAGCAAAAAAAAGACATAGCTACTAATCCAAGACTAAAATTATAAGATGATCTCATCTTAGAATTCACATATATTTATTTATTTTAAATAATGAATAAAAAATATCAAATTAAATTAAGAAAAATAAAATATTTATCAATTAAACTGAGCAGTAAGAATTTTAATAAAATTTTTACAAGAAATGAAAAGAAAACATTTATACAAAATAAAAAATAAAATAGTGAAATAATTATTTAATAGGAAATTATTATTTTTTTAATAGATTTTGAATATTTAATACCAATTTTTAAATTGATCTAATAAATTATTTTAAATGTTTAGTTTTGAATTATTTGTTTTTGAAAAGAAAATTAGCTTATTAGTAAAATTAAAAGAAAGCAAAAAAAAAAATACATAACTACTGACCCAAAGCTAAATTTATAAGATGATCTTCTTAGAATTCACATAAAATTTATTTATTTTAAGTAATGAATAAAAAATATTGAATTATATTAAAAAAAATAAAATGTTTATTAATTAAACTAGCAGTAAGAATTTTAATAAAATAATTACAAAAAATGAAAAGAAAACATATCTACAAAATAAAAAGTAAAATAATGAAATAATTCACTAATAAAAGTTTATTTTTTATTTTTTTTTATTTTGAATATTAAATACCGATTTTTAAATTGATCTAATAAATGATTTTAAATGTTTAATTTAATTTTGATATCTTTTTTATAGTGTAGTCATATCTATTATCTATTTTGCTTTTATTTTTTTGGTTGATATGTCTTTATTAGTTACTACTTTTAATATTCTTTGTTATCTATAATTGTTTATTAATTTTATGGTACAAATTTTATAAATTGTCCATTTGAAGTACTCATAGAGTTGTTAATCAAGCAGGAGTTATTTTATATATACAAATTATTTTTTTGAATATTTTAATTTAACTTTTAATTTTATTTTAGAGTTGAAGTGTAAACATCAAGAAGAGGATTTTTCATATATATTTTTTGAATATCCATATTAGATAAGATACCAACCTAAGAATTATTTTAGTATTTCCTTATTTTCATTCTTTCATATCCAATATTTAAATGATAACTATTAGTTTCTTAAAATCCATATTATGAACTTTAATCTATAAAAGATTAAAGATTATTGTCTTACTCTCTGCTTTCAGAAATAAGCTCTCTTTGATTAGAATTTAATTCCTTTGTTGTTTTGTTTTCTTCATTTTATGGTATTTCACTATCAAGCTAGCCATCTATTTATTAATTTTAATTTTTAGCTTTGCTCATATAAAAGGTAGAATTTTCTTAATTAGTTAATAATATCTTAGACTAATCCAAAGCTTCATCATAAAATGATTGGCTTTTCTTTGAGTAAAATGTATTGTTTTATTACTCTTATTGCTATAGCTAACACTCTTTTAAATACTCATTAAATTTTATATGATTGTTCTTTTTACTATTTACATTTGATTTGTTCAGAATATCATATTATTGCTGATCAAATTCTATTTAGTAAGGCTTATTATACCTTAATTTAGAAAGATTTTTTATGTTCTCTTTATGAGTGCTTGAGTTTGATCTTATTGTACTGCTATTTAGCTACGTTCTTAGCATTTTATTTTTTATTTAGCCTGGATTTTTAGTTGATTAAGTTCTTTAGTAAGATTATTTTGTTTATATAAATGAACTTGGTTTACAACACTTTTCAAAATCATCTTCTTCTTATTGCTACTAAGGAGATTATACTATAAACATAGGCATTAGTATATCCTTTTTAACTTTAGTAGAAGCTGGCTGGCGAGGAGATACAGTTGTATTGTTATTACTTTGAGATTTTGATCTAATGTAAGGTTCTATCTTTTCGAGCTCAGCTTTTTTTTTGGAGTTTGTTTAATACTTTTTGTCTAAATAGGAAGTAATTTGCATCAATTAATTCTATTTCTCTTTATTTTTATCCTGTGATATCTTCCTTCTACCTCCTTCATATATAGAAAATAATTCTTCTATCCTCCTAGGAGTGTGTTTAGGTATATTTTCATTCTATTAATTTATCTTATTTTATTCGTTTAGTTGTGGCAGCACATTATTTTAATTATAAATAACTAAATCACTATTTTTCTTTGGTCGCATTTCTGGAGATATGAGATTACTAAATCCATGGCTAGAATTCTATTTTGAAGAATTTACTATGTAGGTTTGATTATTAAAAGATTAAAATTTATAATTTCTATTTGTTGCACTAAAGTTTTTTGTGATCATTTCCCAATTATTTCTCTTTCTAGGATTTGTTTGAGATCTAAAGAGATGATTTTTATCTTAGTTTTAGATATCTTTTTTATTATTTTTACATTGCATTAATTTTAAAGAGCTGATTACCTCCAATCCTTCTAATTGCTTTAGCTCAGAGTCATTTACCTAAATCACTTAGGGGATAAAAATTTTAGACTTGCTTAGTATACTACTATCAGGACTTATTGATTTTTATTTATTTTTAAGTTAAGGTGAAATACTCCTGCTATGTGTAATAAGATGATTCATTAACAATGATGATTGATTTGATTTCACAATACTCTCATAATTATTTTAGCTAGCGCTTATTTGATTCTATAATCTATTTTTATAATTCAGCAAACTTTGAACTTAATTGCTTTGTGTGTGTTTTTAAGGCTAATATTTCTTCAGTTTTTAAATTTCACTGATCATGATATCTTCCAAACTTTTTCTTTTCTTTCCTCCACTCCCTACATTTTAGCATGTTTTGATAGGTTTATTAGGAGGACTATCTTAAGACTACCTATTATCTCCATATCTATGATTTTTGCCGCTTCTTTAATCGTGTTCACTGCTTAATCTTTTTTCTCTATGAGATTTTTAAGTTGAATTTTCCTAATAAATTTGAAACTAAAATAGAAATTAAAATTTGATTAAAACATTTACATATTTTTTAACGGGTTTCTAAGATGAATTCTATTAGCTTTACTGAGTTATTTATTTAACCTAAGTGTATTTTAGATCTTAGCTATCTTAATCTTACTTTTCAATAGGTTATTGTTATTCTAATTTTTGCTAATCCTCTCCTAAATGTGGATTGGATATTGATCTAACCTTACTTTTATTTGAATTTCCCATGTCTTAAATAATTTTAATTTTGATTAATATTTGTGTTTACAACCATTCAATTTAAAAAATACATTAATTATTCGTTTATTGAAATTAACAAGAAATCTAAATTGTCAAAATAAATAAAGTGTGCAAAAGATATATATCAATCACTACTAATAACAGAATGAAACTTTACAAAAATACATTTTTGAAGCAATTAAATTTTTAAAATCATCAATTTCCTTAAAACTAGTTGTAAGTCTTAGTTATTCCTCTGAAAATAACCAGATTGATTTTTATTTAATTTATTTTGATAAAATCTTTATAAATTATTTTGATGACCAATAAAAATAATTTTTATTTAATTATTTTTTTTAAAAACTAAAAAAAGTATTTAAATTTTATATTATAAATATTAAATATTAAATGAAAAAATAAATAAATAATTAATAATAATTTTTATTAACGAATATATTTATTTATTTATATCTCTAAAAAAAAGAGCGCTAATAATTTAAATTTATATTAAAATAGATATTTCTGCATAATTAATAGTTTAATTTTTCATAAAAATAACTAAAAATATAAAAACTCATTTTATTAAACACTGCTATAACAGCTAAAAAAAAGAATTACTTTTAAATAACCAAGATTAAGATATTTAACTGCTTTTAAAAAACACCATTTTAAGTATTTGATATGAAATAAAGAAGTTATTTGTAGTAGAATCACTTGATGTAGATTCAAATAGAATAAGGACACGAAATCAGAATGTTATAAAATTAGTTAGAAGAAAGACTTGAATAAGCCATTAAAAATGATAGCTAATTATAGTAAAAGTTGCAGTAGTATTATGAATTAGTACAAAAAGTCAAAGATTTAAATTATTGTTCAAAATAGAAGATCTAGAATTCAAACGCTGTAGAAGAAATGGCTAAAAAACTGTAGGATCATCTAATCTATATATAAAAACAAAGATCTGAAATAGAAGAATTTAAAAACTAATAAATTGAAAATATAACTCAAATTCAATATGACTTTGTTCTAGAAAGAATGCAGAACCTAGAAAAATCACATAAAGATGTCCTATAAGATTTATTTGAATAATATACGGAATAAAGAGACGAGCTAAATTAAATTTAAATATAAAAAAGTGAGGAAGAATAATTATGTTTGCAGGAATATGTAAAACTGTCTAACATAAACAGAAAAGAGGCTGAAAAAATAAGTAAGTTAAAACATGATCTAAAATTACTAGAAGAACAAATACTTAAGTAGAATCAATAGGAGCATAAAAAGCTATTAATTAAAGAGAATAGCAGAAAAGCGTAAGAGATAGAATAATAGGAATAGCTAGAAAATTTACTTTTATAAGAATCTGAAAAAGAAATAAAGGAATTAGAATTAAAAAAAATAGATATACAACCTAAAATTTAAGTTTAGTTTTAAATTCTTTTAAGAGAAGAGTAAAATTTATTAAATTCCTAACAAATGTTATTAAAAGAGTAAAATAACTCAATATAAAACAATAAAACATTTAAAATTTTAATTAATGTTATTATTATTTTAGTCATTTTAATAGTTTCAAAATGTTTAATACCCTCATCTATATTTTGATTTATATTTTATTCATTATTATATATAACTAAATATGGCTTCTAACTCTACTTACAAATGTTAGTTTTAAAAGAAAAAATAAAAATTTTTTTAAAATTATAAAATAAAAATTATATATATATTTTAATTATATCATTAATTCATAAATATAGATATATAAATAATACTACAAAGAAAATTGATGTAGTAAACTCTGCCTTTTTCACACATCTAAATTTTTTTGAATAAATTAATATAATTTTAAAAACTGTAAATTTTATTTTATAGGTTAATACTTTTATCATAAATGCAAATCTATATTTTAGAATCTAAAATTAAATCTATTTAAAATGTGAATAATCTTAATTTGGAAATATCCTTTAATTAAAATTAAATTATTTAATGATAATATGGATAAAATATTTTTACAATCAAAAATTTACTATTTAACTTTTTTTTTAAATTGATATTTTTGAAAAATAAGAATAACTAGCTGAATAATTTATGGAATAATGTGAAGATAGTAAAATTTATTATTTTGAATAAAACTTATAAAATAGTCTATCTTAATTGAAGAAAAAAAAAGTAAAACTCAACTATTGTTTTTAAACCACAAAAATTATGTATTATCTTCATCATATTTTATTTTGATAGACAGATTGATGGAATAATTAATAGACTTAATAAAAATAATAAATTTTAGAAGTGCTTACAATCATTTCATGGGTAACTAATTTATTATTTATTTGCCTAATATATGTATGTTTGTATACATTGACTTTTTTTAATCATTAATTGTAGGAATTAAAAACTCGCCTTTTTTAAAAGTAAACAAAAGTAATAAAAAATTATAATTTCAATGTTATATCATCAAATTTTTAATTATCTACAAAAAAAATAAAAAGAATTTAAGCAAAATTAAAGGAAATTAGTTTTAATCATAGAAGATATAAAAAATAAGTTTTTTAATGATGGTAAGAAGAGGTAGTAGTAATCTTGCGCCTACATTTTTAATACTTTTATTAATGATTTGTTGTATATTTGGATAAGGTCAAAACACCTTTTTTTCTTAAGATTAAAATATTCCTTATTAAATAGATATATCTTCAAGTAAAGGATAATAGTTTTTAGAATTAACATTTACAAACAATTTCATACAACTTAATTAATCGAAAGACACCTTTTTATGCTTTTTAGTTACTAAAGATAAAGTATCAATAATAGATTAGCAATCTATTTATTCAATAGATTAGCTTAGTTCAATAGACTTTTAAAATTGTTTGCTTTAACTTGATCAAACGGTATTAGTAGAATTAGATCCAGCAATTAAACAAGTTTATATAAATCCTATCTTTATTGATGAATTAAAACAAATTAACTTTTCAAGGCTTGTTCCTATTGAAACATAATTTAATGCTAATTTCATTAAAAAAGACGGTCTTTGCCCAGAAGTTTGCAATGGAGCTACTTGTAATTCTTTGAGCGAGCCATCTTTTAACCTATAAAATGTGTGCCAAACTTGTCCTAATTATTATATCGGATAGTACTGTCAGCTAAATTATTAAATATACCAAAGTAAATTTTAAATTAATTTATACATATTTTATGAATTACTATTTAAAAATAAAACAGTTTTTCTTTATACAAAATATTAAAAATATTTTTTTTATCCAAAAACTTTTTCTAAAATAACAAAACAAAAAAATTAACGAAAGATTTTTAAAATTAATTTCACTTGAAAAAAAGTTGATTTTTTGTAAAAAATAATAAAAATTTTCAAGATTAATATTAATTATTTTAATTTTAGTAAATAACTAGTACCAGTTTACATTTTCTAGTAAGAGATGGAAATTCATAAGAGTATAGGTTAATGTCCCTACTAAATTAAACGCTAATTATCATATTGTAATGATTTAATAATAAACATTACTTTAGTAAAATTTTAGCTTGCTTTATTCCCAATAGATTAGATTTAAATCTAATTAAGAAGATGCTTCTTATCCAATAATTGGATTTGATAATTCTTAGGTAAGAAATTCAAGTAGTACTTTAGATGAATCTTTAACCAAAGAATATATTTCATCTGTTGTTTAGTAAAGCTCAATAGCAAGTTAAAATATTAATAACTAGACATATGAAATCGTCTTTTATATTAACCTTTTTAATAACGGATATCAAGATTTTAATGTTGAATTTGCTTTTTATGATGATCAATCTTATTAAAAGTATCAACTCTAGTACATGAATTTATTTGATTTGCCTTCCTGGGTTTTCTATCTTATGATGGGGTTCGCTATTTTGTTCTTTATTGCTATCCTTTGCTTAGTCAAGGCTCTTGTCAAAAGATATTAGGATGAGCAAAGCTAAAGAGCTCTTTTAAATCGTAGGAATCTTGAGAAATTAAATCCCGAAATTGTTGAATCTCATATTCCGAAGTATACTTTCAAGCATATTTTTAAAGCTGTGAAAAAGAGAAGAGATGAAATTCTTAAAGAATGTTAGTAAGAGCAGGCTGTACCATCTCAACCAAGGAGCCCAGAAGAAGAGGAAAAAAGAAGATAAGAATAAGAAGAAATGTGTAGAAAAGTGTAGGAGAGATGTGAAAATATTTTAGGAAATGGGGAATGTGGTATTTGCTTATGCAATTTTGAATACGAAGATGAGTGTAGATTAACAATATGCGATCATATTTTTCATATTGCATGTTTCGATCCTTGGTTGTATAAAAATTAAAATTGCCCTTATTGCAGAACACCAATCACTGAGGCAGCCCTTAAAGAATGGAAGCTTAAAACGATAAAGTATTATCCTCTTGACTAGTCACTAGGTTCTGTAGCTACTATCGATAGCAAAAAATTGAATAAATCTGACATTGATTAAGAAAAAAGTAAATTACCCAAAGATAATCAGTAAGATGAACTAAAACATAATGAATAAGAGAATTGCAAGAAAGATAAAACTTATGATGGAGATGTATTTTCAGCTGATTTGGTCAAGAAAGATATAATAAACTTAAAAGTAGAAAAAAAACCAATATATTTCCATACTCTTAGTCTTCAATCATTAAAACAAGCAGAATCACCTCAGCACTAAAGAGATGTTCGCATTAATAAAAAACATGCAACAGTAAAACTAACAAAAGACACAATTTAAACCCTAGAAATGTACTTTAATAAATCTTAAAATTAAGATTAAAATAAGAAATCAGAAAATGATGTTTAAAGAAAAAAAGAAAAGGCAAGTACTTTTGTTAATCCAGCAAATTAAAATTATTACAATAACGAACCTAAGTCTGCTCACCTGGCTAAAATTATGAGAGGACATGAGCATGTTTATTAAGATACATATGCTACAGTTAATTAAAATTCTCCTGAAACATTTATTTAACCCTTCAAGCCAGTTTTTGACTTTAAGTAGAACTTGAATAACATTAATGAAATAGATAGCTCTGAAGCTTCTACAAGAATAAGATAAGATTCTCATATTTATTCATTAAACGAACCCTTTTCTCATAATAAATTATTTTAAAATCATGATTCTTCTAACAAGTTGGGCAATAATTTAAATTATAATTTAAATTTGTAGGATAGTATACTTAAAATAGGAATGATTGAGTCTCCTAGAGTGGAATAAGTTCACGATAAGCAAAGTAAATCAAGTAAGTTCAAGTTAACTCAACGGGGATTAGAATCTAACTAAGATTTATAATCAATAATTGATTTAGATAATGAAGAAAAAGATAATTATCAAAGTAATAATAAACTCTAAATAGAAAACAAAATAGGTTAAGTTGAACATTTAATTGATTAATAGTAGTAAAAAAATTAATAGCAAAATATCAACATAAACCTTAAAAAGCAGTAAAGTGCTAATTTAGATTTTAGACATACCAACTTTTTTCATAATAGAGAATAAGATAAGCAAGAATAAGATTAAATTGAATATGAAATTAATTTCATCAAAAGCAAATCCTAAAAAAGTTAAACTCTCACTAGCTTTTCTCCTGTTAAATTATTTGATAAAAATAAAGGCTCAACAACTAAATCAAACAATAATATTGACAATTTAAAATTTAATTGATTAAATTAAATTATTTATTTATTTATCTATCAATAAATTTGTTTTATTTTATTAAGCTTATTTCTATTCATTCATTAAAATTAATTTACTTTATTTTATAAAACCTACAAAAATAAATTTATTTATATATTATTAAACTTTTATATTAATCAATATATAGTTAAAAGACTTTTTTTGCATTAATAAATAAATTAATCAATATAACTTAACCTAATTATCATATCTCTCCTTGAAAAAATTAAGAGAATTTAATAAAGTAAATACAAAAGAATTACAAAAAATATATTTTTTAATAATTTTTTTTTGTAAATTTAAATCTACTATCTACTCTATATTTTAAAAAATAGTATTTCAGCATTTTTTAATTTTAATTTAGAAAGGAAATAAAAATAGATTTACTTAAAAAAAATAGTTTATCTTCTAATAAAATAATGAATTAATTAAATAAATTGAAAATAAAGAAATAAATAAAATATAATGATAAATTTAACAATATTAGGTTTTTATACTCGCTGATTCATTCATTTCTCATGAATATAAAATTTATAAAAATATGAAGAGTGAGTTAATTAAGCTTAAAAATATATTAAAATCAACCATGATTTATTTGTAGGGTTAGTAATAATAATTGGAAATATAGTTGTTAAGAGCAAACAAATTATTAATATTTTGCAAAAATTAATTAAGATATTTCAATCAAATTGGTTTAGAATTAATTAATTTTTATATTCATTTTGAAGACTATTAGTTAGAATTCAGATATCAAAATAAATTATTCAAAATTTAGAGTTTAACTAAACAATAGCTATAATGAGCATTGAAGATGAGTAGTATGATAGAGAAAATTATTCATTGATTATAATTAATTTTCTTGACACAGATTTAGAAGATAATTCAAAAGCAGTAGCATTGATATACTTAAACGGTGAATTAGATGATACAATTAAAATTAAAGGTTCAACGACTATATTTATTCATAAATAAGATATTCTGACTTTTGAAATCAAAGATATGTCACCTCCTTAAACAATAGGTGTACTAGATATAGCAACTTTATAGCTTCTCTAAGAAAATGAAAGGCTTTTCTAAAAGTGGCTTCCTAGCATTTATAATTAAAAAATGCACAAATTTCTCTTTGAATTTGAAATTCAAAAGATGGGAACTTTAAGCTCAAGCAAAATTTTAAGAAATCAAAATTAGGTAAATGAAGTAGAGTCAGGTTAATAACCAAATAGAAATAGTTAGCTTTAATCTTAGCTATCAGGGAGCGATAAGTATATCCCTTGCATTCAATCTACATAGCTAAATAATGGAAATTAATAAGTAATTAACAAATCAGAAGATTCAAGTAAAATGTAAAACTAATCTCCTGTAAAGTAAACTGCAAATCAAGAATATCAAAAATATTTAGATAATGAAATTAGTCAAAATAAACAGACTAAAAGCTAATCTCATGAAGCTTAGACTTCATAGAAAAATGGTGAGGATAATAGTTAACAATAGAAAGAAATCTTTACAATTTCCCCTATTAAAGTGATTGAAGACTAAGACATAAAAAAAAATGGTTATACATTCCAAAAATTTAAATAAAATAACTAGCTGACCTTAAATGATGGTTAAGTTGACTCCTCTTTAATTAATAGCAATGGAGATAATCTTATAATTCAATCTAGTTAGCTAAATAAAAATCAAATTTCACCAAATGGCCCTTCTTAAGCTATCTTTATGACTGAATCAAATGAGATTTATGATGTTTTAGAAGATGAGCTTGTTAAACTTGCTAAAAAAATTTAGAATAAAAGCTTTAATTCTCTTATTGAAAAGCGTCGCTCATAATACCTAGAACTTAAAAATTTATTGTAAGAAATATCGGAATAGTTTGAAGCTCTTAAAAAACATCCTTGCAGAGGATGCGAAAAGAAATATATCCCATCCATTTAAAAGGGAATTTAAAAGCTGTATTCAGGATATAAACAATTAATGAGTTAAATATCTTAATCATAATAAATTCAGAATAGTCAGTAACTACAGTAATAGTAATCACAAAGGCATTAAATGCCTGTTTAAGAATTTATTCAATCATTAAGCGCATCAAAAAAAGGAATTGCTTAAGTTTAAGCGAAATAAAACACTTAGAGATCTAAAAGCCCTATAACAACAAGGAGCTTGTAAGTACCGTAATAGGGAGTCTCAGGCAGTAATGGGAAATAAAATAAATATATAGAATAATAACAAAATGTTAGCAATTAATAATTAAGTAAATAAACCACAACTTATCAAATGAGTCCTAATAACTCTAGAAAATTAGATAAAGTTAAAGAGGAAGAAGCAAAGACTCATAATTTATAAGTGAATTCAGACTACATTAGAAATTAATTGGAAACATAATTTAAAAGAACTCACGAATTAGAAGTTGAGAACAAGCAATTAAAGCTTCGTAATTTTATTTTAGAGGGAGACTTAAAAAATTTATTGAAAAGGATATAATAAGAGAAATTAACCTTTTCAAGTCGTGCAACTTTCAAATTGTAAGAGTTCAGATAAATTTTTGAGTATTTTCACTCCCTAAGATTAGAAAGAGAGTCTTTACTTGATGAAATTCACCAACTCTAAGATGAGTTGAAAATAGGATAGTAAGGTGATAAAAAGAAGAATAGCTTTAATACAAATAACCACAAGTAAAATAATACATAATTGAAGAGTATTTAATAGACGATGAATGAATATGCTAAATACAAATAAGATACTTTATAAGCTGTATAGCAAGAAGAACAAAGAATAGAAAACGAAGGTAGAAGCTATCGTTATCCTTCTTCCTTTTCACAACAATATACCTATCCAAATCACTAATCAAATTCTCTTTCTCCAAAGCTAAGAGATAACTACAGCAATTAAATAACTTAGCAATATGGGATTGATGAATTATCTTAATTAAATTAGGATAAATACCCATCATATAAATATGAAGACTAAACCTTTTAGAATGGAGGTTTATATTAAAAAAATGATATTTCAAATATCCTAAAGACATCATAAAATTCTTATCCATAGTACAATAGGGATAATTCAGGGTAAAAGCATATTTCAAAGAGCATTAGAGAAAATAACTCTCCTTCATAACAAGGAGGAGCATATGATACAAGATCCAAAGAAAACGGTCCATCTTCATCTGGAAGTACTAGAAGTGAAATACATCATTTATTAAATCAGAGAAAAAATGTAATAAACGAGTTACTTGAGAAAATAGGAGAAATATGAATAGATATATGAATTATTTTGTAAATAAATTAATATTAAATATATAATGTTATCTATATAAACAATTTTCATGCGTATACATAATATGGGTAGCTAGCTGCAATACTTGTTTTGCAAATATATTAGACTTTAGAACCTTTTTCGAAAACAAATTAATCTATTAACTGTAATTTAAAATGTGATTTTATTTGAAATAGATAAATTAGATTTAATTAGAAACTTAATTCAAATTAATTAGCTTAATCAGAAGATAAAGTAAAACCAAATAATATAAGATCTAAAAATATATTTAACATATTAAAAATTTTAATTTAGGTCTATCTAATTTTTGATTTATCTATCCTATTAATCTATTTTTACATGTTGGTTGCTTATCATTTTAAAATTAATTTCATCTTTTAAAATTAGTCTTATTGTTAATATTATATTTATTATTTTCAATAATTTTAAAAAGATGCTATTTATGGTAATATTCTCTGTACATTACTCTAAATTAGAGTTTTGAAAAATTTATTTTCTATCGTTCTTGATTGTTTTGAAAATTCTGTTAATAAATAATTTACCACTTATTTGTAAAAATTTTTGATAGAAATTTAATTACTCTGCTATTGTGTAACATAAATAGAAGTAGGTAACTTAGATAAAACACCTTATTCAAAAATTCTTAATAAAATGCACTTTATTTTGTAATATTTTTCTTATCTTAAAAAGATATTTTTTTATCTTAATAATTTGTATATGACGTGAAGCAATAAAATTATATAGATTGTCTATTTTAAATTTAAACTTCAAAAAATTATTTATTTAAATATGAATTTAAATATGATTTAGAACATGAAAATTAATCTATTAAGAAAATGTTCTAAGCAAAATTGTTTGAAATAGACTTAATTTTTATGAGTCTATATAATATGACCGATTAATATAATCTTTGTAAAAAAAAGACAGTAATATTTTGACGAGAAAGTACTTAAAACCTTTTATATATATCTTAATGAAGCAATTTGCATTTCTAAATAATATCAATTTAACTTATCTTATTATTAATTGATATTTTTAATAAATTTCAAAGGATTTATCAGAAAGAAATATCTAATAGCCGCAGTTTTATTAATCTTGCATATTACCTTATTTAAACACAATTAATATATTAATTCATAACGATCAAACAATTTGATTGATTAAAATCTGCTTGAATATTTTATGTATTTTCTATTGAAGCTATTTGTTTCCTTTTCAGATTTGCTCGTAAACTTTTAAATACAAATCTTTAATTATACTTATCTAATTTTTGCTTGTATAAATTTCGAATGAAACCTATTTAAAAATAAAATATTACAATTTAACGAATAAAATAATAGAATCACAAAACTATTATAAAAAATTCTGATATTTAATTCTTTTATTTATATTTATATTCTTTTATCAATGGTAATATTTTTTGATCAAAATGCACCTGATTAGTTTACATTACTTAAATTATGTAATCTAATTATTAAAAAGAAAACGTCAATATTTTTTCTTCTATTTTTTTTTCAAAAAGGATTATTAAAATCATAATTTTACCAGATATTTTATAATTAAAAAAATAATAATAAATCTTACTTTTTCATAAAATTGGTATTTGAACAAAATCAACATATTATAAGTATAAAAAGGAAGGATAATATTATAATAGCCAATTATTTAATATTTAAATATGGTAAAAAACTTTACTTATATATTAGATTTCTTTCAATATTTAATTCACGCTTAAAAAGTGTTTAAATATTAAACATTTTTTCAATTTTTAGAGCAGCAATTTTTTTGAAGTCAATGATCTCCTTAAAGGTTTTGGAATACAGCCATTGAATATAGAACAAATAGGATTTGGAAACAATCCAGCAATAAATTTAGCAGATAAAGCTCCTGTTAGTAAACCAATCAGCATCCCCTAAACTCAGTAAAAGTAAAAAAAGAAAGAAATTTCATTTATATAATTCGTTAAACATAAATATTAACTCCTCATTCAATCATTTATAATTAAAAATATAAAATTGTAAAAATAAATGGAATATTAATCAATTTATCACATAAAAATAAAGGGCCTACGAATTTAACACTCCTAAAGCTGATTATAGTAGCCCATACTTTTAAGTAGGTAATATTAATTTAGGTAAAGATGGTAAAGTTAGAGCTGAATCAAGCAATAAGTATTAACCTACATCTCATGGAACTTCAAAATTTGCAGATGATTTGTCTGCAAAATATAAATATAACCCAGCTCCTGTTCCAACCTAAACCAAAGACTCTTTAGTCTATAACCCTAATAAATTGTCAAATTTAGGAACTAATCTTCAGTATCCAGCTACTAAATTATCTAATATTGGTTTAGGGTCCCATTCAAATACTGCACTACCTAATTATACAAAAGATAGCTATCTAAATGCAAAGTCACCTTCTAATATTAGCAGACCTTCCGATAGCTACCTACAACCTAGTAATTTCGCTAAATATGATACAACATCACCTCTTAATACACCTAATATTCCATTGGTTTAGTAGCCTTCTTATAACCAAGATGTGAATAGAATAATTGCAGATATTAAAAGAAATTCAGGTTCTAGCACAGGCCCTAATACACCAATTTAGAAAGATTATTCATCACCTTCTAGTGTTCCTACTCCTTATAATTAATATACAGGAGCTGGATATTCCTCAAACCCTATCTCACCACATATCCAAAATGATATTTCTCCTTTAAACATAAAAGAGCCTATAAAAAAACCAGTTGATAATCTTCCTTACAATGTTTCATCTCCTTACTCTAATCCTTCTAATGTATCTAATCTTCCAAATCCCAACAAAGCCAGCAATTTCAGCAATTTTAATAACAACTACAATTACAACCAAACTCCTGTTACTACAAACGTTAATAACAATAATATGTTGAATTCTAGTCTTTTAAAGAGCTATATTTCCCCCTTTTAATCTTAGCATAGTAAAGTAAATAGACCTCGACTTGATTAAAAATATCAATCTGCATTGAAAATTTGCATGTAAACAAATTCAGAATTCAATGATTATGAATTCCCTGCTTCAGAAAAAAGTATTGCTCCACCTTAAAACTTAAATGAATATCGCAGCATTAAAACTTGGGTTCGTCCAAGAGTTATTTGGGGCAAAGAGGAGTTTGAATTATATTTCAAGATTATTGAACCTAATGATATTTAACAAGGATATTTAGGAGACTGCGCATTTTTATCAACAATAGCTGCAATAGCTGAAACACCTTCTCGTATTTAGAGAATTTTTATTAATGAATCTAAAAGCAAGTACGGCCTTTATGGATTAAACTTAGTTTGGAAAGGAGTTCCAGTTGAAGTAATAGTAGACGATCTTATTCCTGTTGACTCCAGGAATAAGCCTTATTTCTAATAATCAAAAGAAAAGGAATTATGGGCTTTCTTGATAGAAAAAGCTTGGGCTAAATTGCATAAAAATTATCATTAGCTTAATGGCTAATTAGTAAAAGAAAGTATGCACGATTTAACAGGTGCTCCAGTGAGAAACTTTGATCCTAGAAATTGTGATCCAAAAGTTCTTTGGGAAAAAATATTAAAGGCTAAGTCTTAAGATTTAAATAGAATCATCTGTGCAGGTACTTTGGGAGAAGATACAGGCGATGATAATGATCCATTAAAAAAGCATGGCTTAATTAGTGGACATGCGTATTCTTTAATTGGTGCATACGAAATTACCTTAAAAAGTGGCTATAAAGAAAAATTAGTAAAAATGAGAAACCCTTGGGGAAATTTTGGTAACAATTTAATTTTAAATTTGATACAATCAGTCATACACATATATATTCAGTTATTAATTTTCTATTCTAATAAAGCTATAGACATTAATATTTATTTGCTGCATAGTTTTTAATGAATCAAAAATTTTAAAACCCCTCAAACAAACAAATATGATTAGAAAATTTTTAAAAAATTCTACTTGATTTTTATTAACGAATTATATATTTTATTTATTTTAAAATAGAATGGAATAAAACATATGCTGACAAGGATTATTAATGGCAAAATGTTACTGAAGAAGACAAAAGAAGAATGGAATATTTAAATGAAGATGATGGTACATTTTTCATGAAATTCGATACTTTTAGGCAATACTACGACTCTGTAGATATTTGCTACTACTATGATGATTACAACTATTTTGGTGTTAAGTAAGCAATTAAACAAAACTATTTTTTTTTTAGTTTGTAAAGCTTATTGGTTAGCGTGTATTTTTAAAATATCAAAAGAGTTTATTCAATAAAAATAATAAATTTTATTAGTGTTTTAAATTAAATTTTTGTAAACCAAAAATGCTTTGAAATAGACTTTTTTGAATATCCAACAGTCTAAAATAAAATAAATTCATTTATATATTATTTAAATAAAATAATTAATTAATTAATAGATGTCGCTCAAAATGCAACGAAGCCAAATACTTTAGAGTAGACTTGAAAAAAGACGCATATTGCTTCTTTTTTGTTAGTCAGCTCTCTATTAGATGCTTTGATGAAGATTATTAGTTTGTAAATCCTAAAGACTAAGGCCATTACTCTGAAACAAAAATTTGTGTTGCAGATTCTAATGGAAACATAATACATAAAATCAAAGGTAAAAAAAGAGATTTATTTTCTCCTAAGTATGTAGACAATGAAGATCGTTAAAGATTTAAAGCTGGAACTTACTATGTTTTTGTTTAAGTTTAATGGTAAAGAGGAGCAACCCATAGTTTTGGTGTTGGGTGTTACACAAAGGAAGCCGACATAAAGCAAGTCACTTAGTATGATGCAAAGTGTTTAACATCTTTTACTGACAAATGGTCTACTTAAGAGCTGTATGATAATGATATTGAAAAGGTCTATGGTAGAGTTTGATAAAAAATTATAAAAAATGAAAATTAAAAAATGTAAATATCTCTTTACTAAGATAAACAAACTAATAAACTAATTAACTTATCTACTAATAAAAACAAATATTTTATATTAATAACTAAAACAATGCACTTGTAAATAATTTATGTTAAGTTTTTACTACATTAAGATTTGTAGCATATGTACTCATAATATTTTATTAAATCTAAGAAATATTTAACATTTAATTTGTATAAAATAAATAGTTTTTATTCTTAAGTTTTAAATAACAAATTGATTTATATTAAATTTTATCAAAAATATTTGATAAAAAAACAATTATTTATTTATATTCAAATTAATTAATTATTTTATTATTGCAAAAATGAAAAGAAGCTTGTGTAAATTTAAGTTATTTTATTTTTATTATTTATTTTTTTATTTTCTATTTTTTACATTCTCTATTATGGTTTAAAAAAAATTCATTATACTTGTTGACATTTCATTAAAATAGGTAAAAGGTGTATTTAACTTAAAAAAATATTTTTTTGCTAAGTTTAATGATCTATCTTAAAGATTGTTATGAGAAGTTTTTCTTTTAAAGCATCTCAATACTATTATAAAATTTTAATATTAATTTTTTGTTTTAATAAAATTAATCTTTTCATTTACTACTACATTAAAGACGACTAAAAAAGTAATTTAATAGATCAAATTGTTTGAGCAATAATTGTAATAATATATAAAACATAAATATTTAAACTTTGAAAACAAAATTTTAACACATTCAATGAATGGAATTATTTAATAAAATATATTGTAAATTATTTTATGCTTTTATAGTAAAGAAATTTATCTACAAAAAGCAAATTAAACTTTTCTTTATATTTTGAGTATTTTTTATAAGTTATGATTCTTCATTATCAGATTATTTTCATTTAGCTAATCTTCCTACACAAAGAGTTTTAAGTTTTTCTTTTGCTCTTTATGAATGCTTTAAGGCTTCAAAATCATCAGACCCGTCTTAACCAGCTTTTGCAAATATAATCTTTGAACCACCTGGATGAGCATGCTGATATTAGGTTATGTCAAAAACTAAACCATTAATAATAATCCAGGCATCTGTAGGCTAATTATGCTATGCTACTTATTCGAGGGTGTATTAAGGTAGCGATAATATTTAATCTTTAATATTTTTCTCCATGGGTTTCTAGAATCCATTAGGATCTAAGGTATTATTAGATTTGCTATTTTCTTGTCCCATTCTAGTTTTTCTTTTTATAAATATGCTTTTAGTTTTGGTTGAATTATATCCTTTTTAGATGAATTTTTTGGTTAATTTTATTATTAAAAAATTGAATTCGTAAATTTTTAAAAAAATTAAACATGTTCCTTTAAATTTCCAGAGAATATTTTCTGAAGGAATCGATGAAAAATTGTTAGTAAGGAATTTAATTTTAGTTTTCATTTCATAAATTCATATATATTTTGTAATAGATAATTAATCTATTTATAACGTATTTAAGATAGATAAAAAGAAGAAAATTAAAATCTAAAACTAAAGTATCTTCATATATTTATTCTTATTTTTATTTTTGGATATTTTAGGTGAATTAAATTATTTAAAATACAAATATTTACAAAAATTCAATATATTTAATATTTATTTAAATAATATTATAAAGAAAATTATAACTACTGTCAGTATTAATTTATAAGTTTCTCTTTAAAAAAGGTAAGTTTTTATTAAGGTGTAAAAATTTCTGAAAAATTTTTTTTTATTAAATTTTAATTAGAAAGTGAGAATTTATTAATTTGAAATATTTTTTCATAATTTTTTGATATTTTAATGATTATTTTGATATTTAAAAATAAATTAATTTTGAATTAAGAGATAGTTTAGAAGAAAATTATTAGAATAGTAGATAGTTTGGTAATCTAGAATTTATAATACTCTCTATAAAATTTTTTCTAAATATTGCTGAAGAAAGGAAAGAAAAAAATTATATCATGAATGACTAAAGAAGATGAAGGTGTAATTTATGTATACTTGAAAAGTGAAAGCTATCTCAAAAAATAGTATGAAATACTCATTTTTTTTAATGAGATTTTTAAGGTAAGGGTATTTTAAATTTAAGGTGATAAAAAAGTAAAATCGTATTTAAAAGTAGACGTCTTACATTATTATAATGGTGGTATATTATACAATATTAAAGATAGAAAAAGTATTAATTCAGGTGACATTATCATGACTTAAAATGGTTAATTAAATCTTTATCAAAATAGGTAAGATATTTAACAATAGATAAATAGAAAACTATAATTTTAAAACATAAGTAAATAGATTAATTAATAAAAAAAATTATGTTTTTTAAAATTAAATTCATTCATTATGACTAATTAAATAAGAATTTAATTCAGAAATTAATTTTAGAATTTAAATTTATTTTTCTTAGATACCTAGAAATTAAATCCAGCTATTAAAATAAATAGTCTTTGAATTATAATGTTTATTAGTTTTTGTTTTATAAATTGATTTTTTAGCATTAATTTAATACAACTACTTAGCATTAAAAAATAACCAATTAATTAAAAAAAGTCATTAAAAAATTAAATATTTTATTCAAGAAATTTTAAATTATGAAAAATCTTGTTTATAGATTAAATTAATAATAAAATTTTTTTAAAAAAATACTTATGATAAAGACACATCGAAATTTTTAATTTAAAAATATTTATACGATTTACCTCAATCTTCTAGAGATAAACTATAAACATAAAGCTAATTAGCCTCTATACAATGTAAAAGCTAAAGAATACCAATACAACTTTTTTAATGTTATTTTTAAAGTAATCAATATAGATCCTTAAATAATTTTACTTTATAAAAAAAGTAATAGAAAGATTCTTAAATTCAATTATTTATCTCAAAACAATATTTTTAAACTTAACAAAATATTTTGTTTTAATAATTTTTATTTTTATAGATAATTTCTAATTATCACCAAATGATTTATTTATATGGTTTTAGTAGAATCTAAAATAAATTTAAATAACATAAAATTCATAAATAGGGATTCTAAATGAGCATAAAAATATTTAATTAACTTTAATAAAAAAAAAGACTTAATTAATTATTAAAAAAACCAGAAAATGATATTTATCCTTATTAACTACATAACATTATTTATAAGCATTTAGAACAATTTTATATTTATATTTATTTATTTTTGAATAATCTAACACATTTTATTAAACACTTATTTTAATCTTTTTAACATAGTACTTATCAAAAGTATTTTCAATATATCTTTCAATCATTATTTTTTAAATTATTTTTTAAGTTTTATTCTTGATTAACTTAGATTTTTTATTCTTAATTAACATCAAATAATAAATTATTTTATTATTAGTTTTTTTGATTTTTTTTTATCTTTTATAAATTACTCGAAATGTTTTCTCCTACAATATGCTAGACTTCCTCATTACTTCTGTTTTTTTCATTTGAATTATTTATATCTGACTATTGTTGAAGTTTTCCTTCCTTTTCTAATCTTTTAAAATATTTTTACATATGTGATCTTACTTGTATTGGTTTTTTTGTTCCAATATATTCTGAGATCTTTTTTAAATCTGTTTTAGATTAATTTTGATTTACAGTTTTTTAATTTAATTAATTCAAATTGTAATAAAAATACCTTTTTTGCCAAATTTTTAAAGTGCTTCTTTGAATTGAGCTTTTTCTTATTCTGTCCAATACACTTTTTGGACTTTATTTTTCTCTTATTTTTTTTCTATTTCTTTATATTTAATGAAATATTGAAAAGAATTTTAGCAATTTTGAAAAAAAAGCACAAACTAGTTATTAAAAAAAAAGGGTTTATTGAGCCAAAGAAAATATTTTACATTTTTTAACAGGTAGATTACTCAAGTAGTAGTCCAGATAATAATTTTAATCTATATTTTTGTTGATATTTGCTTAATAAAGCTCTTAGTATTACTTAATTTGTATTTCAGATAATATTTCGCGGTTTTCATAAATAGTTTATCGCATTTTATGATTTTTATCAGCATTTTCCATCATTCCAATCATTCTAAACACTAATTTATCTAAACACCTATTTTAAAATAATATTTTAAAAATTATATCATCCATTTTTGCATTTAAAATAAACACTAATTTAGATTTTATGAAATAACTTAATTATAAATCATGAAATACTCTAATGCTTATTCATAATTCTCATGGCACTAAGATATGTACGCTTAACTGATAAGTCTATTGTTATCATTTAAATAATCAGTAATTTTTTAAGAGATGGATTAGTTTGCTTAGCTTTAATTCTACTGTTGCAAACTTGAAATTTACTAAATATTTGGGTTATTAATTTATCTCATTATTTTTGAAATATACAATTTATTAGAATATAAATTCTGCTTCTTTATATTGAAATTTGCTTTAGATTTAATCCCACATAAAAAATTTATAAATAAGTAAATGATAAAAATGTTTTACAACAAAAATACTTTAATCTGGCTGGATTTAATATGACAAAAAAATATTTAAAGTTTGACCTATAATTTTTTTAAGTTGTAATAGTATTTATTTAAATAAATTATAAAAAATTAGATAAATTTATTTTTGAAGTCAATTTAAATTGTATTTAATTTTAATTATTATATACACACATCAAAATATTTATATTTTCAAAGATAATTAATATATTAAATGTAGGATTAAAGTTCAATCTATATATTCATACTACTCGTCATCATCAGGTTATAAAGTTATAACCTATTCTATCTTCGAATCAAATTTCATTTAGGTATCTTTAAGCTTATCATTAATATCCTTGATCTATTTAGTATTTTTATGATTAATTAAATTTTAACACAAAAAATTAAAAAATGAAATTCTTAGAATAAAAAATGTATATCAATTACATTTTCAATGACCTAACTGTGAATCTGTCTAAGTTCCTCATCTTCTTTTCTTTGCACAGACCAAGTTTTATTTACAGGGAACCAACCTAAATCACTCTCCTAAATTTTATTGATCACATATGATTCATCTCCATTGTATTCTGTATTATCTTTGGATTCTAAGTATGCTCTATAATATATGTAGTTCCACATGTAATGTTCGTACTTTTTTAATTTATTATATTTTGTTGAATTATAAAATTGTGATAAAATACAATTATACCTTAATATGATACATATATCCTTTTTTCTCCTAAGCTTTATCTAAAATTTCTCTATGAATACCACAAACAAAGCAGTAGAATTACTCATCTTCTTCTCTACTAGACATGTCATCTTTTAGAGATTTAAATTTATCAACGATAATACCTGAATGAATAAAAAATATTTTTTTATATTAATTTGCATAAACAAAACAAATAAATAAATAAATTATTTGTTTCAGTCAGTACCTTTCAAGATATTAATTAGAATGAATAATAAGACTATATTTGTGATAGTATCATAAACGAATCTTGAGAAATAAACTCCTGTGTATTGTTCGAGTGTACCATTAGGACTAGTAGAACTAAGATTTGTTAAAGTAGGTGGACTTGCAGCAGCTGCATAATTCAATAAACTATTTGGTTCCCACATACTCGTTCCAACACCACCATTTTACTTAAATGTCCAATCAAAAACAGTAATAAAACATCTCCACAGTGTTTCACACCTGTTATCTTTGAAGTGATCATTGAAATAAATGTAAGCGATTAATGAAAAATAATATTAGAAGATAATGAATAAAATCAGTAGCAAAAAGATTTCTCCTTTTGGTATCCAAACTGCAGCAACTACATTTTTTAATACTTTTGTTCTCAACAAGTCAGTTAAACAACCTTATAAAATAAAATATATTAATCAAGGGGTAACTTTTTATTAATTAATAAAATACCAGCAAATAAAAACGGGTGAATTGTAAGACCAAAAATGACAACTGCCATGTTAAAAGTGTAATAAACGATTTCATAGTCATAAAGCATAATAATGACACTCTTTAAGGCATTAAGAACAAAGAGCATAATTTTATTAATTAGATCAAAAAAATGAGAAGATAGTGCGCCAACTAATTTAAGTGGCATTACACCCTTATCTTTCTTCTTTTTGTCTTTTTTCTCCTTTGTAGTATACAATAAATAGTATTATTCCCAAATATCACCTATCAAAATAGGTGCTTTTTTCATTAAGAATACAGCCACGACAATAGAATAAAATATGATAGTAACTGTACCAAGCGAAATTATATAGTTTTCAGTATCTAATAAAGGTTATTAATTAATTAAAATTCTAAAAATGAAAGAATAAAAAATAGTTTTACTTGTTTAACTCTTAATGTAGAAAAGTCTAGGATCAAACAATCTCTCAGTTTTAAGTTGATTTGAATCTGCTTTTTATTCATCAGTTGCAAAGAATTAACTATAACTGAATAAAATAATGATGTTAATTGCACTAGCAAAGAAGAAGGCTATTTTTTCCCATAAACGTACATGAGATGCTAAAAAACCAAGAGCTTTATTATTTTAAAAGAGTAAGCGCAATCTTTCTTCATGTTTCATGATCTTTATCATAAAATCAGATTTATCCATCAATGCAGATAATTAGGTCTTGACAGATGTACGTGGCACATGCTCACGGAAATCCTCATTAATTTCTTCTGGCAACATTTTGCAGAATGGCAAAATAGGGAAGTAAATAAATTAAAGTTATTAATCACGGACTATTTCAATTCTTCCAACTTACTCTTTGAAAAACTTGATTGCATTCTTTTTTGTTTCTTTATTTTCTATTTCAATAAGTTATTTTTATTGCTCTTCTATCATTCTTTTATCACCAAGTGTTGTAGCTTTTTTATACATGTCCTTCAAAGCTCCAACACCTAATCCGATAAATGCTTATCCAACCTTCGTAAGATCCATCAAAAAATTATTTTTTAATAATCCTTTTAGACCGCCTTCTTCCTCCTCTTTAGCAAATTCATCGAAGAATTCTTTAATTTCATCATCTTCTTCATCAAGGCCTTTTTTGTTTTCTAAGAAAAGATTCACTAAAATATATAAGTTAAAACCATTTTCTATGATAAGCTCAGAGTATTCTTCTGGTTTTTTAGGATCAATATCTTCATCTGCTCTATTAAAGATTGACTAAACATAATCTTTTTCGTATTTTTGATATAGTTGGTAGATTCTTGACAAGTTATTTGTAAGTATATTCAAAGGGATAGATCTCACAATCTTAGTTACAAACTCTTTTGAATTGATATTACATTCAAGCAAACTAACTATAGTTATTAAGCATTTATTTTTTAAACGTGCTAATTTTCCTAAGTGGAGAGGGAAATCGTCTTATGGTAGTTCTTAATAAGTAAAAATTTTCTTAACAACTTTGAATGAATTAAAAATTAAAATAAATTACCATCTCTATCTGTATTTAAAAATCCAGAAACATTATTTTCAACATCTACTTTCTTGACAGATTTTTCTTTAAGAGTCAAGTTTTTACTTTATCTGTCACCCTTAGAATCAACTTAACCTGATTTTTTCATCAGCTATGATGCATTATTTTGTTTTTCGCTTTTCTCTAAAAACTTTTATTATCTTAATTCTTAAGCATCCAAAATTTTTTTGTCTCCACTCAGAATCAAGACTGCATAATCTAAAAATTTACTACTAATTATGCATTATTAGTTTCCATGGCAAGGTCCTATATTAATATATTTAAAAATACATTCTTCATATAATAGCTTTATAAAAAGAAATTTTACCTTGAATAAATTCAGTTAATGTATCGAAGCACTGAATAACGGTTTCATAGTTTTCATTGTGTATTTTGTAAGTTGATAATAATTTTATGATTTAAAGAATAAAGTTGTATGATTTTTTGTTTGTTTTTTAATCCCTCATTAAATTTTGTAAATTATTGTTGTGTCCTTCACAAAATAATTGTAATAGTCTTAATATTCTCAATATGATTTTATCTGATTTTTTGCCAACAATGTATTTTTAGCCTGTAGTTTCTTACATAACTTAATCATTTAAAATATTATAAATCTTATAAAAGAACTTTTCAGAAAATTCAGAATATAAACTGGAGTAAAAGAATTCATAGACTGTCCTCTAAACAGTTTAATTACCACCATCAAGAATTAGAATAAGGAATTTTATAATATAATAAAGTAAATCATTATCAACTGTCATTTAATCACTAGAAATTAAAAGAAGGCAAATCTTTGTAGCATTTAGTTTATCCAGCATAATTTGCCTTTCAAATTATACTTTTTGTTACTCTTCATCATCTTCATCCTCCAGTTTAAGAATATTTGAGAGTGATTTTATTGTAAAAATGATGTCATTTTTATCTGAGTGATTCTTCTCCCAAAATTCAATATAATCTTCACATAATAAAATTAAATTATTAGTGAAAAAATTAAATATTGTTTATTTACGATAAAATAATTTTAAAATAAATAAGATAAATTTGTAAAAGTTTTACTTAGGCATTTTGTTATCAAATCTTCAGAGTTTAAGAGTATGTCTTTTTAGTGATCTTTCAAATCTGCCATGAAAATATTTTGGACATTTAAGATGTTGTTAGAAAGCAGGCTCTTTTCATCTTCTAATTTTTCTTATATTTCTTCATTAATTTGAAGCAGTTCTTTTAGATTATCCCACTAATCTTTAATTTGCAGATTGAATAAAACTTAATCTGCTGGTTTCATAGAACTCAAGTGTTTGTTAAGATTAACAGTAAGCAGCTTATTATTGCTTAACCTATTTGAGTTAATTTTATCAATACCCTGCATATCTTCTTCAGCAATATTATTTTTCTGAATGGGATTAAAATTAATCATTTCTATATCCAAATTTTTTCCATTTTGATGTTATGAAGGTGAATTTTACAATTAAAGCAAAGGACTTCCTCTATCTCCATTTAATTTTTATTTGATAGCACTGCTACTGTTGTTATTATTAGTGTTAAAGTTACTTTATTTTTTCTTAAGCTTATCTCCTTCGAAGCTCATATCATCTTAATCTACTTATTTTGATCTGCTAGTAAGACTTCCTCCTCTTTTAGTATTATTCATATTAAAGGAGTTTTATCTCTTACTATTTAGAGAAGAGTAACTATCTAAACGGCTATTTTCTAATCTCGCTACAAATTGGCCCATTTCAGAATCCTTATTTTATATAAATCCATCTCCTTATTCCCTAGCAAAATTCAAAGTTTTTGGTATGGGAACTGAATAGAAATTACTAAGTCTAAAAAGATTTCTATATCTAACATCTTTAATGAAAATCGGTTCATATTCTTTGTGGAATCTTTTAATTAAAAAAATATTTATAATTTAAATTAAAAAAAGTAAGAAAGAAGGAAAGTTACTAATCAGCTTAACGGATATATTCAACAGTAAACTACTAGAATGAACTTTTAGAAAGAGCTAAGAAGTCTTACGATTCTGTTAGCTATATGTTTTATTCTCTTAAAAAGAGCTCTGAATAAATATTAATTAAAGGAATAATCCTATCTATAAGAATTATTTAAAACTTAATAGTATAAGGTCTTTCTTCTTTTAGTCTATCCGTGATTAATTAGATTAGTTATAATAAAACTTTACTTCCACGGAATTAGTTTTCGATATAATCTTTTTGACTCTTTGTCAAATAGTAAAGCAGTATTTTTAATATTTTTTTTTGTTTTTTATAAGAAGGTATCATTAAATGCTATTTTTCTTGCGATCTTTCATATTGGATGCTTTCTGTTTATGATTGATACAATTCTTGTAATAAATTATCAGCTGAAATAACTTTATTCATTTTCGAAATCAAAGAAATATCACTATCTTTATCTAATCCTTTAGATATCAACTATTGGTTAAGAAAATTAAAAATTTTATTAAATTTTGTTTTTTGAACAAATTTTTTTTTACTCTAATTAGAATTTCCTTGTAGCCTTTTATATCAGGTAATTCTGCAAAGAACTAATAGGTGTTTTCATCTTGATCTGAGTAGCTTTCAACAAAAGGCTGATTAAATTTAATTATATTTGATTAAATTTTATTATAATATAATTATTGAGATTACGTTGATCTTTTAAGCAATTCTATCATCAAATAGAATTTTTATAACCATAGATTGCATAATTTTGCTTTATTTATCATCTTTTTCAGTGACTGTTTCTATGATAATATCAAATATACTTAAAAACTATGTGTATTTTCCATGGTTAACAATAAATTCTGCTATGAATTTTAAATCCTCTGCCCTTAACTACGTGCAAATATTCACATTCCCTTAAATGATTTCTTGAATTAAAGGTAGCTGTCCAAAGTTAAAGTCTTAAAATTAAATAAGAATTTTAAATATCTTTTCAAAGAAAAGCCTATTTTCATAAAAAATATATTTGATTAGCTTGATTATAAAAAATAATATTAATATGTGTTTTTACTCTTAGTGAGCGCTATTATTTCTACAGAATAATACTAATATCTAATAGCAAAAGTTAATCATCTGAATGATTTGGCTTATTTTTTCATTTTTTTCTAATTGGTTATTAAAGAATATTTCTTTCTGACTATGAAATAGAATAGTAGCTCTTTCTATTAATTGTAAAATGGTATCATCTCCTGTAACATGTTTGAATATACTTTATCCTATCTTCATTTACTGTTATCTTTTTTTAATAAAAAAAAATAGAAATTAAAACATTATTAATAATTTAAATTATTTACTGCTCTTCTGAGTTTTGAATATCAGAAAAAGTCAATTAATTTATGATTTATTGTAAGCATTCTAAACATTGTGTCATTTTGATTTCACTCTCTTTATTTTATGAGATTTAGAGCCAAATTTAACTATTTTAGATAAGATTCTTAAGTTTACTCACTTACAAGCTAAGTGTATGGTAAGTTTTTTTACTTTCGTGAGTAAGTAATAGCTCTATTTTAGCTATGTTATTAATCAATTCTCCTTTTTAGTTGCAAACTCTTTTTAAGAGGTTCATAATTTCATTGCTCAAATTAGGATTATCTGCAAAGTAAAAGCTAATCAATAAAGTTTCCATAAAAGATCTTTCGAGAATTGCATCAAATGATTTAGGGGGTATCTTCTCTGTATAATTGACAAACTTTTGAAAAAAAATAAGGAGTTAAAATGAAGATTTGTATTTAAAAATTTACTTCTTCTTAATTTTCATATGGTTGACCAACCTCAAAAGGATCTTCGGGAAGAAGTGAAGATATATTTATCTTTTGCTGAGATTTTGGCTAATTAATTTTATTATGAATTTGAACCAAATTCTTTTTAAAGAAGCTGATAGTATTGTCTAAATAGAAATCTTATTAGATGTTTAGCATTTCTTAGAAAATTTAACAAATTTATATTTTAATTCCAGTTTCGTAATCTTCTTCTTAATCTTTTTTAAGCTCTTCCTTAGAAAGGTAAGTTTTATTGGTATATTTGTTTAAAACTTTTTTAAGGCCTTATATTTTCTTAAAAAGTGGATCAGTAACAATATCAGCGCTAATTTCATCTAAAGCAACAGCTTTCTTCTTTTATTCATTTTTTTTACCTTCCTTATTACCTCCTCCTGTAGCCAGATCAAATATGTCCTTAATACCTGTTAATCCCTATCCAATAAGGTTCATACCTATATTTTATTCATTTTATTAATTAAACTATCCAAACTAAAAAACAAGTTATTTTAATACCTCCTTGGAATACCTTTAAATTAATCATATCTGTAGGCTTCTTCACTTCATCTGTTCTTCTAACGATATTGAGATCTTACAAAGTTTCCTAGTAAAATTGATCGTATTCTAAAATCTTCACACAAATTCCTATTAATTTTTCTATTTCAGTTTTTGGTTTTGGCTCTTCCTTCTTTTTTAATGCTTCAACAAGCTTTGTTGGGATAAATGTTTTCATTGTCTTTTTTTTAAAATCTTCAACTGGGGCTTCCAATTCTTAATTGAAAATTCCAAACTTAAGCATCATCTTTAACATTTTAATAGCTTCATAAGTCATTGCATTAAAAATTTTATCTTGTGTGTCATGAGTAACCTTCTTCAGAAGCTCTTCCTTTTAAAGCAAAAACTTTAATAAATCACTCTTTAGTTTTTTTAGACAGTTGATTTCGTTTTAATCTTATTCATTCAAAGTTGTGAGTAATTCTTGGCCTTCAACTTTTTAAAGCAAACTTATTGCTTCTTAGTTGTTTTGGTTTAGCTTATTTACTTTGCTTGCTTGTGACATAATTTACAAATTTTACATTTCAATATTTCCATTCTAATGATTATTATGAGTTGATTCTTTATATGTTAAGCTAGCTACTCTTTTTCTCTCTGATTAGAATTTTTCAATATACAACTAATCAGCTTCCTAGTCAATAATTCTGATATAATTTGGTTTTATCTGAATAGTCCTAGGCTCCTTATCTATTCAAAAGAAATAAAAATAAAATTAAAAAAAAAATAATTTTTTATAACATACCCAAATAAATATAGTGAATAAGCTTGAGGAAAGCAGCTTTTACTTATTCATTTTTAATAAGCTCATTCTCAACTTGCTCTATAAGAGTCTTTAGAGGGAATATCTCCATGAAGTAATTGCAGCAATTATAGTTACGATTTAAACAAAGGTTCGAGAATAGATTGAGCTAATTCATCAAAAAATTATTGTTAGGATTTTCTTTTTCAGCATTTACTTTAATATTTTATCCTGATAATTTTTTCTTTGAATCAGGTTTTTCTTCTTCATCTGCAATTCCATCCTAATCATCAAATTCATATTCATCTTCATCAAGTTGCAAAAAATCTGCTATTTATAACTACTTCTCGTCAAACTAATTTTTGGTAAAAGTAATTTTTTTAATTAAAATTTAAAACTAAATTTTCTATACGTTGTCAAGAAGTTATATAGTCAAACAATCCCCTCCTTAAAGACAAAGTTAAAACAAAGGAGACTGAGAACTATTTTTGTATTTAATGATTAGATTACTAAATATAACTTCCTAATTATTAAAGATAGCTTTATCCATATATTTACAAAATTATGTAAGAAATTTAAGGATATCATTCTTTTTCTATCCTTAGTATGAAACTAATTTATTAATTATCATATTTAAATGAGATGTTTTTTCTTCGCCAGCACTTAAATGGCTTCCTGTCTACTTAACGTCGCTTGGTGAGGGAGACAATTATGGTGGAGCCATTCTACTTAATTTCCTTTATGTCTTTCTATGATAAATGGGAAGAGAAAATCTTTAAATAATCATCCTGTTCAATCTAAAGAATTTGATTAAGCTTTCACAAACAATATCTTGTGAGCCTACTTGCTTCTAAAATTCGCTCATATACTTAAAAAGATATTCTTAATTCTATTTATTGTCAAAGCACACGTTTTGGAATATCTTATAGATAAGAATGCTAATGCTGTATTTTTTTAAAATTAAGTCTTCCATCATTTTTGAAAGAGGTTTTTTGTTTGTCCCATCTAAAAATTTTAGTTTAAAAAATTAATTTATATTTAAAAAGCTATCTATTAATTTTATTTATTTACATTCTGAAGCTTAATATTAATGGACAGTATTATTGCTATTGTTTCTGTTAAACCCTTTCTCTTATTCTTATCTTATTCTTTCTGTTACATTTTCCATATTTAGAGCTTTTTGTAAATCTTCTCTTGGATATGTCTTAAACAGTAACAGGCATAAGATACCAATTACATGCTATTCTCTCAAAATCTTATTTTTTCACAAAAAATAAAAATTATTTGATAAGTTTTAATGAATGGTTGCTTTACATTAGAACGTTCAATGGAAGGTTTACCATATTCTTCTGTTACTGAAATGTTAGATGTTAATGTATTGCAGATAAATGCATCAATATCTTTAAGAACTTATTTTATTCTTGAAAACATATACTCATAGGTTGACCTATTTTTAGAAAACCTCTCAAGGATAGACTTCTTACCCTGTTAAAGTAATAAAAAAGTAAGAACAAAATATGCAAAAAATAAATTTCAAATAATACAATTCTGTTAATAAACTTTATAGATTCAGTAAGAATAGGAACACAACACAATAAGAAATTAATTTCCCAATTATCATCAAAGTTGGCTTTCTTCATTTTGAAAATATTGAATTGATTTTCTTTTAATTAATAAATAAAAAATTTTTAAACAATAAATGGCAAAAAATCAATTCAAGTAAATATTTCTTCTTACATGTTTAATTTATCTTCATTTAGCATTTATTTTCTTCTAAGAGTTTAAGCTAGTTTATTCCAATATATCCATCTATAGTTTTGCTTTTTAAGCAATAAAAGCTGTCTTTTGAAATATATTTTTGTTTTGAAAAAGTATTCAAGTTAGAGGATATAGCTTGCACAGCTACAAAATTAAACAAAGTCTATGGAGTTGGTCTTGAAGTAAGGACCATCTCAACCTGTTATTATTTAAATATATAAATGTTATTCAGTATTACTAATTCAAATAATTTTTACTTATCCATTCTTTTGTTGAAGAGATAGATACTTTCCTGTAGCAAAATGTCTTAGACGGTAATTTTACTTCCATTCTAAGAAACCACCAACTGCAAAGTACTCGCTTTCTATCTTCCATAGACCTTAAGTGTTCAAATTTTAAGATTTCTAATTTTTTTGATCTGTTTTGATTTCTTCATCATCCGAATCATTTTCTTCTAATTGATTTGCTTAAGCTTTTTCATTTTTGTATTAGGAAGGAATAGATCTAAATTTCTAGCCCTCTTCTTTCTTATCGAAATTGTTCATATCGTCCTGATTTTAATGAATTAAAGCCACTTCAGCATTATGAAAAATCTCATTTTCAAGTATTTCAATATTATTATCTAAATTTTCATCATAGTCTTCCTCATCTTCAAACTCATGGGAGTTGCTTAAACCACTTTATTACCTAGAAACTCTTGAACCGCTAACAGAATATGCAGCATTTTGATCTTCGACTTGCAGAGTGTTCATTTTTTAATAATTAGGAGTGAGGAATTCTTGTCCTTGAGTAAACTATTTTTGAATTTTTCCAACAGTACTTGATGATTTTTAATATTACTTATCATTAGCAGTATTATTTATATTGAGGTTATTTAAAGCCACAGGTGAAAAAGGTATTTATTAATTTTGAGTAGATTGAGGTTAATTTGCTTATTAGTTCTATTGGTTTGGGATAGCTTAGCTATTATTTAGCATAGACTTATTTTTATTTATGTTTACTTCAGAGGCATGGCTTTATAGATTGTTAGATTACTGTTAATCGTTATTTGAATAAATTATGTTTTTTATTCTTTGATAAATATTAACAGTCCTTGAAGTAGAAAATTGGTACTAATTATTTAATATTTGATTAATATATAAACACACCTTTATAACTTATTTACATGGTATTCTGATAAATTTAGCCAAATAGAATCACCAACATTCATATAATAAGATTTATCGGCCAGCTCAGGCTGCTAAAATATGTTAATTCTATAAATTTTAATTATTAAATTAACAAGATTTGTCAAGTAAAAATTCAAAAATAAATAAATAAATAATATTTAATATTTTAAGGTAAATAAATAATTTAGGTGAGAACTAATTTTATAAAAATATTTACCTCCATTTGCAAGTAGTTTCTAAATTTGCGTAAATTTTGCCATACGAAGACTCATCCTGGAGTACATTTATTTTATTGATTTCTTTTTGTCCTGCATAATCAGTAAATATGTAGGGTTTACGATTATGAATGGGCTTAGAACTTACTATGTAAAGATTATCTTTGTTAAATACTGCATTTGAGGTAGTTTGACGCTGATTTTAAAACATGAGACAAGGCATGAATTTAAATAAGCAATTTTGATCTGGAAAGTCGACAAATTTAAATCTGTTTGAAATATAAAAGATTTGTATTAATTCTATGAAAAAGGAAATTTGTGATATCGTTTACCACTTATTTTCTACTTTTATAATTGAATTAATAAATAATGAAATAAAAAAATAAAATTAAACATAAAAAAAATTTACATGTAGTTATCTTAGTTTGTATCATCAACTGAAAGATATTTCAGTGATGCTTTATGGACTAAGTGAAAAGAAGATGTTGAAAAAGAGACAGGAGTGCCTTTGAGTTTATTAAAACTTAAGATATTAGCACTAAATTCACCCTCTATATTCTATTGAAATGTTTGTATCTTTTGCTTACGTTCCTAAAGTTCTAATTGAGTTTTTTTTAAAAAAATAGATAGATAGTTAAATTAATAAATTCTTCAAAAGTATTTCATATGTGTATATAAAATAAATAGAAAAATAACTCGTCTGCGATATAAATTTTCAGTTAAGAAGCATTGTGAATAATTGAAATAGTTGAATTATTTACACTATTGCAGTAATTTAACTATAAAATTTTAAAAAAAGCAAGTATTTTTAAGTTTATTTTTAATCTAATTTTGCTATTCAATTTTATTTATACTTTAATACAATTATATTTAAATAATCTATTATTTATATATTTGTTTGTTTGCTTGCTTGCTCATTGGTTGATTGGTTAACTTTCTTTAATTGTTTCATTTACACAAAAACAAATTTAGACGTTTAAATATTTTAAATGTAATCAATATCAAATAAATTACTGTCATTTCCATGCTTCTTTTTAGACTCAGGAAAAACGAACTAATGAAGAAGTTGGTACTAGTATTTATATTCCATGGTGGGTAAAATCATAAAAACTGAGTTAAAAAAGTCGAGGTCACGTTATCCGCAAGCTGATTTAAACTCTTTTAATTTAATTGTTTTCGAAGAGAAGCCGTCTGAATAAATGTAACAATCTGTATATTCTGCTAATGAAATTGTAATTAATGAGCCATATTAAACTTGTATTGTTCTGTTTTAATATTTTTCATTCTTTAGTATCATATCCTCTTCATTTTCTTCGATTTCTTATTTTTCCTTTTTATAATCAAATCCAAGATCATTAAATGAAGTCCTCTAATCAATGACTTCATCTTATTTTGGCATTATAAACCCTGATATTGCTAGTTTATCTTTTAAAGGCTATTAGGATCTAAACATATTGGAATTTTCTTGTATTTAACCTTGGAAGCTACTGTTAGCTTATCCTACCTAGCTGTTATTTGCATCTAGGGTATTTACTTTTTTAAAAGTTTTTTATATATCCATTTTACTAATTTATTATCAGTTTAGGTGCAATTTTTAATGTGTATGTTACTATAGTAAAAATGGAAATATGCTAATTAATTAATGGTTTATCTTTTAATTTTTAGTGTATGATTCCCTAAAGAGATTAAATATTTAAATCTAATCTAATATATAGATAATCTTGCTTGAGCTCTACTTGTGTATAATTTATAAATAGACTAAATTATAAAATAATCCTTATTTTCACTTTGTAAAAATCAAACCTGCCTTTTTTATGAATAGAGATTTCTCTCTTATTTTTAAAGTTTTGTTGAATGAATAAGATAATTAAAATCAATTTGTTCTAATATTATTAAATATGAAATATATATCAAACGAATTTGAATAAATAACAGGTTCTAAATAGTAAAATTTATTAAATTAATTAATTAATTCTAATTATTGTATTTAATTTTTATACTTATTAAATTACTTACTTTTTTTTCATAGTTTCTGTTTAAAACGAAATGTTAAAAATAAAAATGAATAAAATAAAGGCGTTGTTTATATACACTCTCTAAACCATTCTAATAAAGTAGGTAATTTTTATCTTTTTTTCTATAACTTAAAATACTTCATAATTAATGTTTAACTAACAAATTAAACTAATTGTGCTTATTCCCTTTTTCTCTAAAATAATATTCCTATTATTAAGCACATACTCATTTTATTTTCTCTTTATTTTATCATATATTTATTATTAAAAAATGATTGAATTATATTATTTTCTTTTAATAATTTTTATCAAATTATATCTCTTAATTTCAATTAACAATTTTTTTTACAGGTATTATAAAAAATAAAATTCTATCCTTTAACTCAATTTGCATGTTCTTTGATTGCTTTAATATATCTTAAACCAAAATTAAGTCATAAAACCAAATTCAATCTTTAATAAAAATTTTTCAAATCTAAAGAAGATATGAGAAAATCCTTAAGATTTTTAAGTTTTTTAGATTTATCTTTAAATTAGTTGTTATCAAATTTAAAGAATTAATTTTAGTTTAGATTTAATCAAAATTTTAAATAAAAGCAGTAATTAATTAATTATCAAACTAACTTTTCATTTTATTTATTTTTAAATTTAAGAAAGATAAAATTTTGCTAAAATCTTTAAAATTTTAAAACTAAAAATAAGTTACAGAATTTATGCACTTATGCAATTTGATGTTTGTTTTTTTTTGAATTATAAAAGAGTTAAAAATTAAATAAGTTTTAATTTATTAATTTAAATTCAATGGATTAGCTCTATTTTTTACAATCATATAGAAAAAATAAATTTTTTCAACTTATAGTAATACTGTATATAGATATATTTTTATCTAAAGCAAAAGCAATTAGAATTTTATTTTATTACTCGCTTAATTGTATGAATTAAACTCTTGGAGACTCTATAACAGTGTTTATATTCTAATTTTTAGAAGGAAAATCTATCTATTAGACTAGAGTAGCAGACTTTTAACCAGATTAGCAAGTATCTATCAGATAAACTTCAAAAAAGCTTGAATAGGAATAAGTAACAAAGGCATATATGTGCATGTTAACAGATAACACATTCAAGCCTATAACCTTTAATGGGAGCTCTTGCTTAACTAAAACTCTATTTTAAAAGTCATTCATTTCAAGGAAGTACTTTTATTCTGTTAAACCTTAAGAGGTTATGCTTAGATAAACTCTATCTGAGTTCATTAAAACTTGCCCAATATATAGACTTAAACATGAGCGTTAAATTATAATCTTCTTTTTGAGACTTTTAAACTTATTTGGAGTTTAATTTGTGTACTCTATGTCCCATAAAAATATTTCGCCATTCAAACTAAATGTTGCAAGGAGATATTCGTTTAACATCAATGCATCATTTATGCTTTAAGCATGGTTTGTATTTTCAGTCAAGATTTGATTTGAATTTGTCAAATTCCATGCTATTATTTTTTTGTCTGAGGATATTGAAAACATCGTCTCATAGTCTAATGGAGTCTATATTATTTTACAAATCGTCCTTAAATGTCCTGGTAAGCGAATAATCTTTTATAGGTTTTTTAAACTGTATATGCATATGTCTATTGTTGAACTTAAGCTTCCCATACCCACAGCAATTAAATTCTGCTATCTTTTTCTTTTTATGCTTTAATTTTAATTATTTTCTGACTAAATTGCTGATGATTCGCCTGAGTTTTATTATGTCCCATTTATAGTAAATAAATTATTTTATAAATCCTATTGTACACTTTAGAAATATGTAGCATCAGTACTGCTCTTAAACATTTCTGAATACAGTATTTCATTTTCATATTCATAAGAATAAAGAGGCTAAATACATGTTGGGAGTGTGGGCTAGTCACCTCTTATGTAAGAGCATTTTAGTACTTTTGAACTTAAAATATCAATTAAAAGTAGATTATTTCTTGTGCAAAGGACTGCCCTTCTATTATCATCTAAAATAGAAAAACACTTAACATGGCTGTAGTGATATTGTTCAGGAAGGTGACTAGGTGATTCATTTTTAAAGTCAATTTAACTAAAAATCTCTATTTAAATATTTTTTTATTCATTCTACAAGCTATTTTCTTGGTTATTTATTTCTGTTGTTGATTTTTGAAACAAAATATTTGAGTGCTATCTGTCTTATGATAAGCAATAATCTGAATAAAAGTCTATGTTTTTCTGGCTAAAATCTATAAGTTTGTTGTTTATATTTTAAATTGAATTTGAATATTGCTCTGAAAATAAATTTATTGCTTTTTTTAATATGGAATAAACTTCCTTTAATTGCTTTTGATGGCTTGACTACTGCTAATCTGTAACTTATTATATAGGAGGCAAAGCTTATTACTCTTGAGAGTCTTCTACTTCTAAAATATCTAAATCTTCATTCAATTAAGATAAAAGTATATTCTCAAAATACCCTTTTAGCAAATTTTATTATGGTAAGGAGTGGTAGAAATTTATATTTTATTAAATTTGCTTATCGTATTTGTCAATCTTATTTACAATTTTTTCAGTCAAATCCTCTAATTATTGCTACAGAAACCTTTACAAATTATTTATCTGAGATAAAGATTTGTGTTTGGTGATGCTTATTTTTTCATTAAAATCTGTTATGCTCTGTTCAATTGTTTTTACCATTTTTTTTACTTTTTTTAAGCACAAAAACTTACTAATTTTTTTTACAAATTGAAAACAGGAATTAATTATTCAAAATTTATCATTAAATTACTGAAAAAATAGAAAGAAAGATAGATAGATAGATGATTAATTTCTATTTAAAAATTTTTATAATGTTTTTGTTTTAAAAACTTTTTGATATTGTCTGTCTTTATTATTATGAATCTTTTAAAACTTATTCAAATCTTTCTTCTAATTTTAAATTTTTTCATGAAAATACTTAAAATAATATTCCTCCCTATAAATTCAAATAAAATACATTTTTTAGGATTTTTAATAAAAAGATCAATTATTTATCTTATATAAAATATTTTAATTTATAATAAAAATAACACCCCCTACAAATTTACAAGTCAAAATATTATACTTAATTGAAAAGTTTTAAAATAAATGATTGACAAATATATATGTATGTATGTATTAAAAATTATAAATATTTAATACAAGAAATCTCATTCATCCATCTATCATGACTTTGAGAATAGTTTAATGATATTTATTTTAAATATTAAATAACTCTATAAATTATTATTAACCTAACCACTAATTTAAAGTAAAAAAATTAAAATATTTTATTTTAATAAAGAATTAAGAATTTTAGGTTTTTTTGAAAATTTAAGTTAAGAATTTGTGAAAACGTGGAAAATTTATTTGGAATTAGCTTATTTCAATAAAACATCATTTGTTTTTATAAAATATTGAAATTTATTTATTTTTCTTATTTTATTAGATGATTAATTAAATAATAATCAATTAATAAAGAAATTATTTAAGAATCAAGTTCTATCTAAATAAAACTTAATATTTTTGATAGACAAAGTAAATATATACATTAAGAAATACTTTGAATCATAAATTCAACAAAAGAAACAAAAAAAATCTTATAGCATATCAAGAAGAAGTTATTAATTAGTTAATTAATTAATGCATTTATTAATATTACTAAATTGAAGACTTAGTTGAGATAAACATAAAAAATGCAATATGAAATTAGTTTTTATGAATAGAGAGAGGTGTTATATGCAAACAAGTTGAAATTTTTATAGACATGTTAATGAGTTCATTCTTCTATTCTGATCATTGAGCAGTTTGAGTTTGAGGAACTTTAACAATCCAGACTTTATTGCTTACATTGATTAAATTAGTAGAGCTCTTAATACTTGGAATAGCAGTTTCAAATTCAGGTAAACTAGAGCAATCCCAGATGAAACCTTTGGGCTTTTGCTTCTTTTCATTAATGTAGATGTTTAAGAAGATGTTGGTTTCTCCTTCTTTAATTTTGGAATGTTGAATTTAGGCCTTTTGGAAGAAGAGATATTTGCCCAATTATATAAAGCTCTTAAACTTGTCAATATTAGGAAGAATACAATGTATTTCTCCAGTTTAATCACGTAAAGTGATATGATGATTAAGGGGTTAATCTTCAGGCTTTTCGGCTTTGAATTCTGGTGATAAGAGTTAGCTTCCTTTGGCAATTTCTCCTAAAGGTTTAATAGCAGTGACTACAGCAAGAATATTAACATATTTGTTGTTGGCAGTAATATCCTTAATTTGATTGATTTCTCCCATCTTTTTATCGTTATTCTCGAAGAATCTCTCGCATTTCTTAACTTAAGTCCATTCTTTAAGTTAAATAATTTTTTATTTCTTTGTAGTTTCATTATTATCCCTTTACTTGTTTTCTTTTTCTCTTTTGAGCTTACCATTCAAAATTTCTATCAAAACAAGTTCATTATTATCAAGCTACTTCTTAGCATTTAAGAAAAAGTTGTAGTGCTTTTCCTTTTATTTTTCTTCTAGGTCCTTGTAAAAGATTGGGTTGGGAGGATGAACTTTTATTTAAGCCTTTTGGGTTTAGTTTCTTTCTTAAAGAATTTATGCAAGACTTACAATCAAAGTTTTAGCTTGATTGCTAGTAGGGAATTTTGATTCTTATTCTTCAATGCTAACAACTTGAGCTTTAATAAAAACGCTATTTGCATTTTTCTTGCTGTTCAATTCAAGATCATAATATGTAGGCTTAACCTATTTGGGTGGCTCTTGATTTTGTTAGTTATATTAGTTGTGTTGTTGGTCAGATTTATTGTATCCTCTGCTTTTTTGTTGTGACATTTACTGAGCTTTTTTCTTTTTTATTAAAAATTTTGTTTATGTATTTTCTTGTTTTTTTTAAAATTTATTTAATTTATTTGAGATTTCCTATTAAAAATAAAATGAAGAAGAAGATCTCATAAAAAAAAATAAATTCAAATAATTAAAATGCCAAAAAAAAATTTTGCATTAATTTTTCCTCATAAATGTTTAAATGTTTGTCTCTCTTTTTGATAAACAAAATGATAATTATTCATTAAAAAATATCTTTCTTGGAAGCTCTCTGACAAAAACCCCTTTTTAAAAGATACAAAACTTAGTCAATTTATAAATTCTAATTGATTTTCTTCATTATTTAAAATATTTTTATTATTTTTGAACGGCAAAAAAAAGCTCTTCAAAATTTTTTTTTCTGAATTAATTGTATGCTAAATATTCATTAGAAAAATATAAATGAATAATAATAATAATATGATTATTAATTCTTATTTTAAATTGCAAATAAATTTAAGAAAAGTAATTAATTTTATTTATAAAACAAAAAATTTATCTTTTTACTTCTTGGTAATTCCTCTATTCTTTCTCTTATTTAAATTTGATATTTATATTAATAATTATCTTATCAAAGGTTTAATTTCATTTTTTTGCATATTCTTCAATTTATTTTTAATTTGTATCTAAGAATTTAAGTAATTATCTCATCAATCATCAATTATTCTCTTAAATTATATTTTATAAATATTTAATTGTAATAAGAATATTAAAAGTATTTTTTTTATGTTAAAATAAGAGTTTTTAAATTATATAATAAAATAAATAAGATATTTACTTTGATATTTTATTTAATCTATGAGAAAATATATTCAACATACTTTTAATATTTTTTACATATAATTTTTTTTAATAGAACAGTACTATTTTTTAATTAAATCTTATCATAATTATTTTATTCAATAAAAATTTTAAAATATCCATTGGTTATTTTTATTTTATTGGTTAAAGTACTTAATTTACTGAAAATGTAAAAAAAAATAAAAACACATTAATAATAAAAATAAATCAAATAAAAACATTTTGAAGAACCTTTTATTAAGAAAATATTAATTAATATTTAAATTCCTAAAATATGAAATCAAAATAATATATGATTTTTTTTTAAATAATTTTTATGAAATTGTTTAGTTGTTTACACTTATTAAGTCCAAATTTTTTATTAAATCTTAAATATTTAGTGCACTTTTCAAACATTTATTATATTTAGCATTTTTTATAAAAAATATGCTTTTAGCCCATATATAATGAGAATTGTTTGAGACTCCTTTAAGATAAAGTAAATTAATATGATACCAAACAATATAGATTGTATTCGAAAAGAAAATAGTAATCAAATAAAAATTATCTGTCATTAAACTTGATATATAAATAAATTAAAATTCTGTGAATAATTACTAAGAAATTTATTAGGAAAAACTTATTAAAAACATTACCTATTTTAAAATATTTATCTAAAAAGGAGTGTACTATGATAACATATTTGTTGCAATAATGTATGAAATAGTTTTTAAAATTACCAAAAATAATTTTAAACATTTACTAATGATAAAAAATGGTTAGAATTTCCAAGAATAATATTTATAACTGAGGATATTTTAAGAACAATCATATATGATATGCTAAATAAATCATATAATTTATCACTAAAATAGGGTTTTAAATGTTTATAAAGTTTAAAAAAAAATAAAATTGAATGATTTCATAAGTATTTTTATTAAATTTAAGTATTTTCAAATTTAAATTTACATTTACTATTCCTAACGTCCTTATTTTTTATTTTATATCTAAAATCAAATATACTAATATATATACAACTTTACTCCCTAAAAAAATTAAAACTCCAAATCAAATAGCTTATTTAATTAAATTCACAATCTAATTCTAAATAAAAACAGGGTATTTTAATTAAGATTTTTATATGTTTGAAATTATTTGTTTTTTAATATAAAATATTATTTAGAATTTATCTAGTTTAATATCATGATTTTTTTATAATGGACATATATTTTTTATCATATGTTAATGAACAAACAATAATAGCAAAAAAAATAAATAATTAGAGACTATTTTGAATTGTTTTAATATGATTACTACAATATTTAAAACTAAGAAATTAAAAAAGCATCATTAAAAATAAAATAGATGGAGTTATTAAATCATAAAAATTCTAGTAAATAATTCAAGAAAAGTGAAAAAAGAGACAGTAAATATATTTTAATAATACCAATGAAGGTATTCTTCTAAATTTGATAATATGAAAAATAATTTGTTGATTATTGTTTACTATTTTCTTGAATTACTAAATATATCTTAAATTTAAATTTAGCCTAAAAAATAGGTACTAACTTGTTCCCTCACCAATAATTTTATTCCTTAATTTATTAAAGCTTATCTTTAGAAAACTGAATATTAGTAATAGTAAAAAAATTATACTTTATTTTTCAATACAGTACATAAGTAAAGCACTGACCCGTACCTTGTCAAATTAAAAAATTAAATTAGCGAATTTAATTTGACTTGTGCTAATATGGAGAAATGTAACTTTTTAAATAAAAATTTTGATGCAAAAATAAAAGAGTTGAGATTAAAAATAAGAAATTTAAATTCTTTAAGTAAAATAAAGCTTTTTACAATGTTGATAATTAATCAAGATAAATATTTTTTCAATTTATACTTAGTTTTAAAAAGTGATAACTTGCTTGCTTCACTGGAGGCTAATTATTTCAGTGAATTAATCACATGATTAATTTTATATATTATTGAATTTTATATTATGTTACTCATAAGTAGTATCTTTAAGAGTAAATGCTGTAATTAAAATTTTATTTGGATACTTTTTCTAATAAAAACATCTTCGGATCTCTAACTTAATACTTTAGGATTAATTAGTTGATACTTAGTTTCTTCTATACACAATTTAAATTTAATCAATTTATTTTCTTTCCCTTTTTATAATTACTATTTGAAAAACTCTATAGTATTGTTCATTTTGTTATACATAAAGTAGAAAAATTATTAAATCCTATTCAATTTATCACATTTTTACTATAATTCTTATTTCGAATTAAATCGCTATCTTATGGCTTTTTTGACATCATTTGATATTTAAATTGAATGATAATTTATGTATGAATAATTTTTATGTACCTTTGTTTTTTCCAAATTTGTTTGATTAATTTGAAAAGTATTACTTTTTTAAAAAATGCTCTAAAAATATTCAATTTTCACTTTTTTTTTTTGTAAAAATAAGCTAGACTCTTACTTTAATTATTTTATTGATTGAAATATGAATTTATCTTTTTAAATGTTGATCGTCAAGAATTTCATTGATCAGATTATTGATTGTTTACTATTTTATTTATGCTTAAACAATTGTAATTTCAAATGGATTTACTTCTCAAATAGCCCTAAAATATAAATTGAAATGGAGTATTTGGGTGTTTGTGTTAAAATTCCTGCTAATTTTATTCCAATATTTAGTTACTTTTGAATTAAAATTAGATAGTGTTTACTTATTTTTAGGTAAATGCATTTGTTAATATAGATCAATTTATAGAACCCTTAAAACAAAATATATGATGTATGTACGTATATATCCGTTTTAAAAAAATTAGTAAGAAGAAAAAAAACATTAATTAACAGTCAGCTTAATTGTTCATGCATGCTAAATAAATTTTTTGTTTATAAAAAAGCAAATTTCATTAAAAAATTAAAGGAAGCAGCATTCTTGTAAATATAATGTAAGTGCTAGTTTGTTAAAATAAATGGTATTTAAAAATCTAAAATGTAAATTTAAATTTAACTTGCTGCTATTAATGAATTATTAGGTGGAAAATTGAGAAATAAAAAAAGATTATAGATAAAAGAATTAATTTATAAGGAAGTTATTATGGGTGAGGTGGGGTTCTCTTAATTTTTAGCTTGTTTGGCAAATAATTAAGTAAATTTGATGGTAATATTATTAAAAGTACAAGAATTTCCTCAATATTTAACAAATATTAAGATTCTTTACCACTTTTATATTACTGATTCCTTCAAGCTTAATCTATCTTTTAAAATAGAAGAAAAAATTTTCAAAGATTTTATCTAAAAAGAGACTCAATTAAAATCCTTTCTTTTGTCTATGTAAATAATATAATTAATAATTAAAAAAAATCAGAGATATTAGAAACAAGAAAAAAAAAATTAAATTCTATACAAAATTCAATAAAAAAACAACTACTAACTTCAAACAAAGTAAAGGAAAAAAAAAAAAAAATATTTAGTATTCACTTATTATAATTAAAAGAAACACAAGCTGAACAACAGCAAAATATATTGAACGCTTATGGCAGTTAACTACGTTTGTGATAATTAAACAATAAATAACAATAGAGAAATCTAAGATGAAAAATAAATAAGTGTTTCTACTTCTAAATTAATTCTTTATTTTAAATCCCTCATCATTTTAATGAAGAGATGGAATGTATGTGTTATTGTTTAAATAATTATGGCTGGCATACTCCTGATTTCTGAGCAGTAAGCAGCAAAAATTAACTTAATTTTTGGGTTATTTATTCCCATCTATTAGCACCTCGTTGCTATAAAATCTCAAAGACATATTAATTCAGCAAATAACTCTTTTTCATCACCTATTTTAAATTCATATAATTTAACTAAAAAATTTGGACCTTCATCTATTCGTTTATCATCACCATCATCTTCTTACAATTCGTAATCTTCTTTCTCTTCAAACTCATCCACAAACTCTTCAGCGTCAATCAACAATGAAAAGAAAATATATCCTATAGAATAAAATGTTAATTCTGAAAGATCTCTACAAGATAAGTTAGGATGTGCTGAAGTTTATAACATAGAACATGATATAAACTTGCCACTTAGAGATGATTTTTGCTTAAAAGGTTTAGCTGAAGATTCAAATAAAGAGCTTACTCATGCAAAATCTTAAAATATTTCAAATTCAAGAAATAGCTTAACTTCTACTACTAATACCTATTCTGTACATATTAATTAAATTCTTTCTTATTGGCCTATGTTTTGTGTGCTTCTTATTATTGAATAACAGCTTTTACCTAAGTCTATAGTCAGAAGCCATGAATTTTAAATCTTAAAATGCCTTTTCATTTTGATTTTACGCAGTTATTCATTTTCAATTTATTTATTTTTCAAGGAAACAATTGAAATGAAAGCTTTTGAACAATCTTTATTTACAACTCCTGAGAACATTAAGTTAAAAAATTAAATCATCATGCAGAAAATAGATGACTAAATCAAATGCTATTCAAAACTAAAAATTTCTCTATCGAAGTACTAGCAACCTTTAAAATCTCCAATTGTTTAACAATCTTTTGTTTCTGCAAGAAGAGTAAATAATTGAATGAAATTAAATTAATTCTAGTCTACCTTAAATACTGATTTAGGCTTTATAGATTTAAAATATCAAATTTCAATCACTTTTATAATAATAATAATAATTATAATTAATCTAAGTTACACTAACAAAAAGCGAATAAATATTTTTTGAAGTAGGTAGCAAAAATTTATCTCATAATTAAATTTGAATATTGTGCCTTTACCTATCCAACGAAAAAATATTTAAAAGCCTAAATAGTTTGCTATAATTCCCACTTTCAAAAATTATTAAAACCTATATAATCTACTATTTAAATACTACTGCATTTATTTATACTACATTTTTAATTATTATTTGTTTGAAACATTTTTTATGTTATTTATTCATTGTATTTTTACCCTTTTCAGCTAGTTATAACTAGTTTAAATCTAGATATTAATATCAATAACTCTTATTGTAAACAAAAAACAAACAATTTTTTTTAAAAAGTACTTTTATAATAACCAATTAAAATATTTATTGAGTAAGTAATAAATTTCTATTTAAAAAAAATAAACCCTTTTAAATGATATAGAAAAAATTTTATTCTAAATTATAAATTTGCACAAGATAAATGATTAATATTGCCAAGAATTTATGAGCCAAGCTAATTAAAATTAACTTTAAATTTTAAAAAAATCATGTAAAAGCATTTATCTGAAGGAAATTTAGTCATTCAAAAATATTAAAAGTAGAAAAATCTAACATAGTATATTATAAAAAAACATTTGACAAAAGCAATAAAAATGGAAAAGGATTAGCATCGTACATGTTTGACTATTCATAAGAATTTATAATAAAATAAAAACCTTCTTTGATTTATTATTACTGTAATTTATTAACATGTAAATTTATAAAATAAAAGTTATTAAATATCCTTCTTTGGAAGAAAAAAGTGATAATATTAATTTTTTTAATCAATAAATTAATTAATCGAGTCTATGAATTAATTAATTGATAATTAGAAGGAAAAAATCCTAATTAAAATTAATATTAACTAAAATCAGTATAATCCTATTTCACAAAAGAAAATTGAATTTATTTATTTTTTCTGGCTTATAACTATAATTTACGCAAAAATTATTGTAAAAAAACAGTAACTAAAAACTATTAATAAAATATAAGCTTCTAAAATTAAAAGAAAATAAACAAGGAAGGCAAAGCGCATATTCAATAAAATATTTTAAAGATTATTATATAGCCATTATCACTGCTGAATAACTCAAATAGCTTATTTTTAAATATTTTTTTCACTCTTAGCATAATTAAAAAAGGACAGTCAAATAAATTATTGCTTGCTATATAATATTATTTTAAAACTAGTTAGAACCACTATTTTACTTGAACGCTACTTAAATAAATAAAATAACTAGACTTAAAAAAAACTGGCTACTGGTAAATATAATAAGAGATAGAGATATAGTTTATATTAAATATATTATTAGAAATAAGAAGAGTTTTCAAAGTTTTATAAATAATTATTATTGGATTGTAATTATCAAATTTACAAAAATGCTAAAAAAAGTAATGAGAGGAATCAAAGCAACGATTCATGGAGGAACGAAATATGAAAGATCAGTAAAAAAGAGTTTAAAAAATGATGAAGTACCTCCTAAAGAAAAACATTTGATAAGAATAGTTAACGGATTAAATGATTAGGATGATGAAACTTCTTTAATTAAAGCAGAAGAGTTAATGCAATAAAAATTTGTAGAAGCTAAAGATTAATCTTTAATACTACAAAAATTTAAATTATTATTAGTCATAGATGTTGTAGCTGATAATAAATATTTATGGAAAGCGAAGGATGAAGAAAAATTAACGAATTGGATAAAAGAGCACTTTCTAGATTAATAAGATGTTAATTTTGATTCAAGTACAAATGAATCTATATAAAATATAAATACATTTTTACTAAAGTACTCTATATATGTCAAGCACAAAATAGCTTTACTACACAATCTTAATCCTTATCACCAAAATTAGTTGAGTTAGAATACGACACCGCTAGAAGAATTCTTCAACTGTGTTCATTAAATGAATGAATTTGAGGATATTATTGTAGAAAATTTTTTAAATAAAGATATTACAGATATTGCTAAGACAAACGATTTAATAAAATGTATTATAGTTAATGTATTTGCTACAGAGTGCTCTCTTTTTACCTCTACTTTAGTCCTTATTGCTCTCTTTTCAGAAAGATGTTTCTCAAGCAATTAGTTTATGCTTTAGTAGCTGATCGAAGTCATTAATATTTTTATTAAAAAGAGTAAACGCTTTATCAGTGTTCTTAAAAATATAGAATTCCTAGGTTAATTCTAGCTGCTCATATTTAAGCTCAAAACATCTTTGCTTAGTAAAGAGTTTTTATAAATATTCTAAAAATTTAGCTAAAATTCTACAAATTCTTCCTTTGAAGATTTAGAAGAGCTTAGAAAATCTCTCTCAAAATGCTTAACTAAAACAACTATTGATTTTTTTTAATTAGTGCAAAATATTGAAAAAAAAAGTGCTTTTGGTAAAATCTTTTAGCAACAGTATTAGGATCTTTTGAATGAGGAAGATCCTCACAGAGCTTTCAAAAAAGACAGGGACCATCAATTAGATCATGATCCTTTCGAACTTTACTAAAACGTATATAGCATTTCTAAATGATGCTAATATTTCTATGATATAGTTTATCTTAAAAAATAACAATCAAATAAAAATCTTCGAAATTTTGAATAAAACACTAATCTAACTATTTATTTTTCGAAAAAGAAAATAAAAGCTAATGATTAAAAATCAGTAAAATAACTAATAGGCAAAATCATTCAAAAAAGCTTCCCTCAAAAAGTAAATATGTAAAATAAAAAGACTAATTAAAAACCATTAAAATAAAAAAGGAATAAATTTAAATTATATGCACGATGTTAAATAAAATAAAAGTAGAAGCTAAATCTGCTTCCAATAAATATATCTTTCAATAATCTAACTTAATATTTTACATCCTAAAATAACAAATAAAATTTTGAGCAATTTAATACTAAATAAATAAATAATACTTTAAAATATAAATCAAATAATCTAAATAAAATATTTAAGTGAATTAGTCATGATTTTAAAGTTTATAGATCAATATAAACAAACAGTCATAACATAGAAATCACTTAAAATCAAATATTTTTTATGTAAACTTTTTATATATATTGAATAATCAAATTTATTCTAATATCATAAACTAATTCTTTATTTTTAAAAATTAATTTTATTAATATACCCTAAATCCTTTTTTTATTACCAACTATCTAACTTAAAACATATTAATGGAAAATTAAACATATTTGTCTATTGTAATCAACCAATTTTATTACTCTACTCTATTGAAAATAAATATTAACATTAAATATTATTTAAGAATAGTGACTCACTATTATTACAATTTAAAAAACTGAAAGATTAAATAATAATTATATTAATATAAAATTAAAGCAAACTTTTCACAAAATCAAAAAATGATGAAATGGCACACAATTGTTATATTAAAATGGCTTTTTAAACATCTTGAATGCACATAGTGCATGCATGATAAATAATTTTGGAAGAATATATTTGAATAAAGTAAGTAATAATATTTATGAAACTGGACTAAAAATGATTACATTCATTTGAATTGTAAATGGCAAGTAAATATGAGCTAATTAAATAGAAGTTAATATAAATATTATGTTGAGTCAATAAAAATAAATAATAATTGAGATAAGAAGAGATTGAAGAAGAATATTATTTTGGAAAGATTAAATGGAAATTTTAAAAAGTAATTGATTGTATATTAAATTAATAAAAATCAAATTAATAAATTAACTATTACACTTTAAAATGCCAGCAAATAAATAGAAATAAGATTTATTTTTCAAATTTATTTGATAAAAAAGTATTATCTTCATAATTTATTTTTTAAACATTTTTGATTGTAATTTGATCCAAGACATAACAATTTCATAAGTTAATTATAATTAAGGATTTAACATTATGAACTCTCCACATTCATAGTAGTAGTAGAACAAAGCTAAAGATTTTAATTCTTACAATCATATAAATCTTTAAGAAACTTATTATGCGGGAGCCAACCATTAGGGTGGTTATGATTCAAATAATAATAATAATAAAAAAGGTAATCTAATGACTGAAGATAAAGTATTAAAACATTAAAGAAAAAATAATCAAGTAAATAGTTTTTTATATACAAATATGATTACTTAATTTAATATTAATTTACTAACTTAAGCTGTATTTTCTAAATGGTTTTGATTTTATCCATTTTTAAATATCGAGTAATTGTATTTTAATATGCTTTCAATTTAAAAAAAGGATAAAGAGTAAATTAAACTGGATAATTATTCTGCACATAGTTTAAGAGAGGACACAGAAAGCAAAAATAATTTAGATAAAAAAGGATACGAAGAAGATGTTATTAGTGATGAATTATCATCTTAAGGAAATTTAACTCCAAATCATAAAACGATTGAATATTCTTAATCACAAATTGAAAAGATAGATTCTAGCTAAAATGTATCTAGCTCTCAGGCTAATAAACTAACAACATTAATGGATGATTCACAAGATTAAAAAGTTAATAAAATTCTATTCATGAATTATTAGGATAAAAATTATATAGGTAATTATAATTTAAACAATAAAGTTAGTGATAACTTTATTATACAATATGATGAAAACGAATCAATTCTTTCTGAATAAAATATTACCAATTAAAATTATTCTAGTTCCTCTATTCCTTAAACTATTTAGAAAATGTTAAACTAGCAATAGTTGCAAAGCTAATAAAAGCAAAATTATTAATAGCAGACATAAATTGGTTAGTTAGAAAATGAAAAAGGTGGACATTAAGATAATTTATTAAGCAGCATAAAGGCTGAGTAAAGATAAGACGATGCAGTCCATTTCTAATTTGAAAAATCCTCTAAGTATTTTTAAAAATTTTTAAATGGAGAAAATTTAAATGATAGCTCAATGATGTAAAGTTCTTCTATGCTTTTTGATTACCCTCTTTAGCAAAGAACCAATTCCAAAGATATGCAGAGTTTTATTTAAGATCTGCAAAATTAAGAAACAACTAATTTAAGAGCCTAATTAAATGAGTCTACATAACGTTACAAACAAACGTTGACTTAGAACAAAGTAATAAATAAGTTTGAAAAATAAAAAATTAAATTCCCTTAATAAAATAGATTTTGATTGATGGTTACGAAAAGCTAAAGTAATAAGTCGACGATCTATAAAAATAAGTTAACAGTAAGATGATTTTAATTTTAATTTTCTTTTCAAAAAGAATTTTCTAATGTAAAGTGTGTTAAATTAAACAATAAAAAATTTAGGTTATCAAGAAAAGTAATAAATAAAAGATGAAAATTAGACCAATCAACGCAATAAGAAAGAAGAAAATAGCTTTAATTCCCCTTCAGCTGGTAAATAAAAAGATGATAGAACTTCTCATAATAGATCAGCTAGCCATTCTTAAAAACACGAGGAGCTGCAAAAACAACTGCAGGATGAAATTGTTCAAAAATAAAATCAAGAAATAGAAAGTTTAAGAACAAAAAATTTAGAATTGATGCAACAAAAAGCTGAGTTAGAAAATAATATAAAATCATCAAATTTTAGGATCCTTGAGCTGCAATCACAGTTGAATGCCAAAGATGTTATTTTGAAGGAAAAAAATCAGGAAATAAAAAAGCTTTATTTACAAAATGAAACACTGAAGTTAGACCTAAAGCATGTTTAGTAAATATTTTTATTTTTTTGCAAAAATTCTTAATCTATTCTAATAAAATAGATCTTTCAATGGATTATTATCACCAAGTACAAAGAAAATCCAAGATAAGATAGGACATAATAGCATAAAGTCTCCTAAACAATAAACATCTCAAAGAAAGGGGAGCTTTTATTCAGAAATAAACATTTAAGCTTAAAGAGAGAAAGCAGATCATAGTTAATTAGAATATTAAAAGGAGTTAAGTGTAAAATCTGCTAATATTCCAAGAAAAGTGGGAATAAATAAAATTTAGACAGAGTAAAGCTAAATTTTAAAAGATGAAAAGTTTAACAAAAGCATGAATTAATATTACACAAATAACAGCTCCACAAAAAATTAAGGCTAAAATAATTCAACAACTTAAAAAATAAGCATTGAGAAAATTAGTTCGGAAATTAAGTAACTTAAAAACTCATTAATGAGCACTGATAGCTTGCTTAGAGTAAATTTTTATAACTTTGATAAATTTTTTCTTAAAGTTTACATTTAAAAATAAAATATTAATTTATATAAATAGACTTAACGTACAAAAAATTAAGTTTTAAGTGAAAAAGTTTATCAGGCAGAAAAAATAAGATCTAATTTAGACTAAATACCAAAGCAGTCATCAGAGTCTTAAAATATAAATAATTAGAATTAGCTCTATTCAAGAACAACAAAGCCTCATAGTCAAAATAATGAAAACAGTTAATAAGAATAAGATACAAATCTTTCTGCATCTTAAAAAATAAATGATCAAAATAAAAATTTAGCTGCAACTTAGTTTAAAACTGTATTTAACAATTAAGTAAATCAAAAAGAATTTTAAAATGAAATGGATAGAATAAATAACAAATAGCTTAACGAGACAAGCCAGAGTGAGATTCATGGAGCATCAAGTTATACTCCTAGGGATTTATCACAAAATATTCCTACTCCAATGAGGAATGCTATTCCGATATTTTAAGAAAAATCTTAATACGAAGAACAATAAATTAATTAACCAATTTTTAACTAGGAGTCTTAATTTACTTTATAAAATTAAACTTTGTAAGAAAGCCGTAAAGAAATTGTAAATTAGTAAATTCATGCAAATTAAAATTACCCTCCAAATGGCTATATGAATTAGTTTTAGCAATAATAAATGTATGAATAATAACTTGAGCTAGAATAACAACAACATTATGATCTTCAATAATAGAATAATCAATAATAATAATAACATAATTTATAATAATAGCAAGCATAGTATATCCAAGGACCAAACATACAGTAACCCAATTATCCATAAAATTAGTCAACTTAAAAATTAAAAAACCTGCTTAATGAATAGTATGATAATTTTTCTTAAAATTCTAGATTAGCAGTGAATTAAAATATCTAGAGTAATCAGCATCCTTCTCAAAATATGCTTTACTTCAACCAATAAAATTCAAACAATATTAGCTAAAATTAAATTTTATCTGCAGATTAGTCACATAGTTAATTTAGTAACTTACTGAATAAAAGAGCAATGAGTAGTTAGTAGTTGTATCCTTAAAATGTGTAGCAATAACCTCAGACTCTTAATAAATCGATGTAAAATTAAAATTAAATCCTTACATAAACTCCTCAGCATCAGCCTTTTGAAAGATAGCCCAGTTAAAATCTATCAGATATACCAATTTAAGATAAATAGATAAGCAATAACGGATACCAATAATACAATAAAGTTCAATAGGTATAATTAGTACCGAATAATCCTTATTAGCAAATGTTCTTTTAGTAACGAACTTCTACTCCTCAAATAAATAGCTAATTTAATTAAATCACTACTCCTTAATCTCCCAATTAGCTTCACCTAAATTAATCTCCAAACTAACTTGTCTTGAATCAGTCTATGTAATCAAATTAATATCAGTCAACAAATTAGTAGTAAAATAGCTTAAATAATGCGTACTAAATTGGATTAAGTTAACAAGCAAATAATCCACACTCTATTTATTAGTCTAACAATTTACATAATCATTAACAAAACTCATCTACAAACTACTTCCAGCCTACCAACAATACTTTACAATAGTCATAGAATTTCTCTTAAAATTAATTTTAATTTTCTAATTATCTAAGTACATTTCCTAACAGTCAAAATAGGTCTTCTGTAAATACAATCTCATCTCTAAAAGGAGAAAATTTAAAAAAGTTAAACTAGTAACTTGTTGAGCTTGAGCTTGAAAAAAATTTAGTAATTAATTTTAAACTTTTTAATAAAAAATATTTTTAAATTGTTAAATTTATATTTTAAAACATAGATTGAAACAAAAATTATGAAAGAGTAAAGCAAAAAATACGGTCAAGGATTGAGCAGAAGTGCTGCAATAATAGATTTGAATAATAAACTTTAGCAAATTAATAGTTAAATTGAAGAAATAAGATATATGATGATGGAATAGGCAATGTGATTAATATTTATAAAATAGAATATATTTGTAATAAAAATTAAAAATGATTAAATTAATTTTAAAGAGTTGTAATTTTAATTTATATCTATTTGCACTTTTTCAACAACGAATAAAATAAAATAAAATAACTCATTAAATTTATTTGTTTAAATTAATTCAGTTATTGTTTTTCCTCAAATAAATTATTATTTTATTTATATTTAAAAAAAACACACTAAATCAATAAAATTTTATTTACTCTAAAAATCATAAAAATTTTGAATGCATATTTTTTTAAAAATTAGAATCAATCAATCAAATTATTTTTTAAATTAGTACTTGACTGTTATCAATCCCAAATAATAACAAAATAATTACAAAATTTACATCAAACTAATTTACAAATTTTAATCTTGAAAAAAAAAATTTTGTTAAATTAATATCATGAATAACTTTTAAAACTCTATTATTGTATTCTTTTGCACAAAGACTTTGAGGTTAAAGATAAATATCTTTTTGGTTAACTAATTTCTTAAATTTATCGAATGACCCTTAGTGCTTAGTGCGCAGTTTAAATTAAAACATATTAAAGTCAATAAATTAAATTATATTTTGACCTTTAAAATAATTAATTTAATTTGAATATTTATGCAAAAATTTAGTTGATAATAAAAGATATGAAGTATTATTTAAAAATTATATCTTTTTGTTTGAAACGAATAATAGATGTTTAGCTCTTAGTATGTATGCATATAAGGCATGTATTTAGTATTTTACAAATATAGAATTCTAAAATTTAATTTTAAATAAGAAAGAATAAAGAGATTTTATTGATTATCAAAGATAATAAATAAATAGATAGATAAAGGAAATAAAAGAGCTTGGTTAATCAGTAAAAACAAGATGAAACTTTAATAAAAAAGAAGAAAAAATAACAAACAAATAAAGAGAAGAAGAAGATAACGAGAGAGTGAGTGAATTAAAGAATATTTTACTAAAGAAAAGATTAATTGAAATTTTAAAAAGTAATAATATCAAATTAAATTAAACAAAAAATTAAATTAATTACCTATTACACTTTTAAAGACAATTAAATAGAAAATAAGATATATTTTTCAAATTTAGTTCATAAAAAAGTAGTATTGACTTAATACTTCATTTTATAAACTCTCTCAAATTAGAATTAGGCTAGCAGATCTTATCAATTTGAAAAGTTATTTATTATAACACATACTTACTCTTTCACTTTATGAGTGCCCAGCGATCCTAATAGATCCAGGAAACTAAGGAATACAGTTTATACGATCATTTAAATATCTAACAAGATGGTCATATAGAAGGTAATTAAAGCAACAGTTTTGAACCTTAGAACTTAAAAAAAAGTAGCCAAATAAGCGCAGATTTTAAAAATTATCAGCATTAATTGAAATAAGATAGCAAAGAGGTAATTCATTTTTAGAATTTAGTTAAATGGTGTTAAATTTCAAAAATATCTTACACAAAAAATGTTGTATTTTTTTAAGTTCTTTATATTTATTTATACAATTCCTTTATTTCTAAATATTGAATGGTCTTTACATATTAAAGTAATTCCTTTGTTCAGTAATTTAAAAAATAGGAATAGAGAATTAGAAAATCTCATCATTATTCAAGTAGCAGCTCAAAGGAAGGAAATGAATCAAGCACAAACAATATAGAAAAGTAAGAAGGTGATGAAGAAATGATTAGTGATTAGGCATCATCCCAAGGAAATTCAACTCCAAATTAAAAAATAATAGATTATTCTTCATCCTAAATTGAAAAAATTGATTCTATATAAAGTACATTCTCCAGGTAGATTTCAGAATAGCAATCACAGCAATTTAAGATGCCTTCAGATTACGAAGAATCACAATAAGCAACACCAATAAGCTAAACTGTATCTAATTCTTAGATTAATAAAGTAATGATGATGGAGGAAGGTGAGGAACAAGAAGAATTTGTGATGAATTTTAAAGATTAAAAAAATAACAAAAATTTATTTATTGACTACTCAAAAATGAATTTTTTGGGAAATTTAAACTCTCATGATGATACTAGAAACAAAGTTGAGTAGTAATATAGTCTTGCTGATAATTAAGAGTATATGGAAAGAGAGCAAACATAAATTTTGAGCTAAATTAAAAATCTAAATCATTTCTTATAAACTAAGGATTCCAAATAAATTTAAAATGAAGAGTAAGTAAGTAAAATGAGTGATAGCGATGACAGTTAAAATAGCTTTGATGAATAAGATATAGATTAAGATATTGAGGACTACTCAGATGAAGAGGATTCAGATGAATAGCATTAATATTTTAAAACAAGGGAAGATTTAAAAGATTACTAGGTTCTTGAGAAATTATAAGAAAAATTGAACAGTGCAAAATAAAATTCAAATATAAATAAAGATACAAATTTCTAAGAGTAATTTAAATTATTATCTGCTTGTTAAAATAGAGAGGATTTGAATACAAACATTAAAAATGCTAATAATTTCATAGAATTTAATGAATTAATTTCTTAAAAAGAAAATCAACCAAACTAGCAAAAGCAAGAACATCTTCTTAGTAAAGATCAAAATATGTGTATAGTAGGCAATAAAGCGGTTGATTCTTCACTATTAAATGGATAAATTTCAAATTAGCAAAATAATGACTTATCATCAACTTCTTTATCATTCCTTTAAGAAAGTGAAAAAAGATAGAAAAAAATAGATTTGCTTTTAAGGATGTAACAATTTAATGGGGAATTAAAAAATGATTTTGAATAAGCTTAAAATGAGCTCCTAAAATTAAAAACATAAAAATCACTTAAACTATAAGATTCTAATGACTCACACTCTATGCGAGATTTGTAAGATAGACAAAACAGATACGAAGATTCCAGCAACACTAAATAAACCTACAATAAATATTTTGAGACTAGTAATTCTATTTAAACTCCAGCTTTTATTATTGAGAATAACTCTGAATCTAAGTAGAGCAATAGTAATGGCGGAATAAGTACTTAATCAAATACATCTTTTGCCTAGCTAAAATCATCAGAGGTTGGGAGCATTTACTTCGAATAAAATTTTGTAAAGTAAGAAATAAAAAATAACAATTAGGTGAACTCATAAAACAATTTCAGCTAAGAAAAAGCCATTTAAATGAAAATTTAGAATGAAAGCAATGAAATTAATGAAAATGATGATTAAGAAATAGTTTAAACATAAACTAAGGTAAATTAAAAGCTTATTCAAGGTAATAACCAAAAAAATGAATAAAATTGTAGCAATTTTGATCAGTAATATTAATAAGATCAAAATGTAACTTAAATATAAAAATAAAAATAAAAGTAGTCACTGACTGAAAATAAAGTTCAAAATAGCATATAGGATCACATGGATTAACTCTAAGCTTTAGAGTAAGAGAAGCTAAAAATTTAAAAACTAATTTTAGAAAAGTAAAAAAAGCTTATGATCAACTCAGAAAACTAATAACATGCTGAAATTTAAACTAAAAGTAGTATAACCACTTTAAATTCCCCTTCTAAGAATATTTCATAATTTTCAACAAACTCTGAATAGACACAACAAAATAGTATGCCATCAAGCACCAATTAATAGTCAAATCAGCAATCTTTTATTCTTTCTTAGCAAGATGTTTTCTATTAAACTTTTAATGGCCCAGCTTAGCTTTAAAATGGAATAAATGGGCACAATCAGATGTAGTTTTAAAATTAGCAATAATTAATTCCATAACAATTGATATAGGTAGTTTAACAAAATTATTAACAGCCTGTAGAAAAAATTTCAAGTTGTTAACGCCAAAAAGACTAAGATTTCAAAAAAAAAGCTACAAGCAGAAGTAAAAATCCATAAAAAAAGAGCCAAAGCTAAAAATCAGCCAAAAAAACAAATTAAGACTAATCAAATATTAAAAGCGAGGCTACTAGCAATAATACTTCATCAAAAAAATTAATCAGCAGAAACGTTTCAAATCCAAAAATATAAAGTAGTTAACAAAAATGTGAAACTGTTGCTGCAGAAGGTGTAGAAATGAAAAAATAACTTGAAGAAAAGTTTTAAATGTAACTAGAAGAAATACATTATAAAAATCATATAAAAGTTTAAAAAATTATGGAAAAAGTAAAAAAGCTAGAGGATGAAAATAAGAGCCTTAAACACGAGCTTCAAATTAGATCATTAGCAGCTAAAGAGCTTAAAGAAAGTGAAGCACGTGTAGCTAACCTAGCATAAAGTATATAGGATATACAAATAGGTAAATTAATTTAAGATGAGTTAGAAGTAAGATCTATGCAAGAGGCCTATTTGAAATTAAAAAATGAATTTAAAAACTACAAACAAGAAAAAAAATTTATTAACTGTATAGTTGATATGGTAAATAGCTGTAATCCTCCTTCTAATTAGAAGTCTTAGAAATAAGGAACACATCAAAATATTTCAAGTTCAATAGAATAGTAAAGTTAGTAGTAATAAAATGGTGACTAAAGCAACCTAAAATAAGCTTGGAAATGGCTGAAATTCATAATAGAAGACTATGTTAATTTAAAAAGTAAGATAGGTTTTTAAAACAACAACCTTCCTTATGGTAATAAGCTTGATAAAAATAGCTAGATGTATAAGTCATGCGTGGTAGAGAATCAGAGTTTGAACAAGTAAAATTAAATAGACTAAGTTTCACAATCTCTCCCTTTGACATCAGATACAGTAGTACTTTAAGAAATAAATACTTATCTTAAAGCAGAAAACAAATATGAATCTTTGAAATAAATCAAAGAAATAGTATCTTAGAATGAGCTGCTCAGATAATAAGTTACATACTATTAAAAAAAAGGAGCAGATACTTCAATTTCTTCATCAGTTTCATCTTCTTCGAATATTTCCTAAAATAATACTACATCTAAAAGAATTCAAACTGTCGGAAGTGGAAGCTTACCTTATAACATTACTAGAGAATCTGGAATTCATTCTCCAACTTCTTCACAGCCACTATTTATATAACACTCGTAGTAACAATAGCGTTTACTTTCACCTTCATCTTAACAAAAGCAGAATATTCAATAAAGTCTAAAATAAAACACTCAATTCGCACCAAGCTAAGTATAAAAAAATAATACTTAGTAAAAATAAGTGTTTTCTTAGGCAAATTAAATTAGCACAAACAATAATGCAAGCAGTTTGATCTCAAATTAGAGCGATGGGATCAATACAAAGTAACAATTATTGAGAAAACTTTCTCCCAAAAAAGTGAACAATACAAATATTTAGAGTGAAAATGATTTTAATAGCTTAAATTATAACAGTAATAGTATTGCTGGATCTTAGGGTAATGGCCTTAATATTAACTTCAATCAGGCATACTTAAAATAAAGCGTTCCTAGTAATTAAAAAATTTTGAATAACTAAACGAGTTAGAATACAGCATGTACTTCGCCTTAAAGATAATACACATAAGGCAGTATAAAGTCTTCTTAAAATAACGAAAGACTTAGCACTCTTCACTAATCACCAAGAGACAATCAAAATCGTAACTATAATACCAACAACTCATAAAATCCAAACTAATTAATGAGTAGCCCCTCATCCTCTTCTTCTTATTCAAGAATTAAAGGAGGAGGTTAATGCTATAGCACTAATCCCTACTTGCAAGTTGTTGAAAAATAATAATCTATGTAGTTTTGAGATTCTCCTTATAAATAATTATTCAATAAAAAGCATTTATATACAAGAAATTCTATATTATCAATTTATCTATCAAGCTAGCTAGTTAGCTATTTATCTTGCTTGCTGGCTGGCTGCCTTTGTAATTTTCTTTCAAATTTTAAAAATAAATTAAAACATATAATTGAAAATAAACGTTTATGTATTGATCGTATCAATCAATTCAAATATTGATTTTTATCAGTAATATATTCTCATGATTGAATCAATTCTTCATTGAAAAAATTATTTTTAGAATAATAAATTTCTCTTTTAATTTTTATCTTAAAAAGAAGTCAAAATATTTTTGCAATATATGCTATGTGTCTTTGCTATAAATGCAATACTTTTGTTATTTATAAAATTAAATTCTGATGAATATTGATTTATTATTTTAAGAGTTTCTTTAATAAGAATTTTTATAAGATACATTTCAAATATTTAACAAATCATCTACAAAACTTAATTATTAAAGATTAAAAATAGGATTATTCGTAAGTAAGTAGAAAAAAAAATAATTAAGTAGAAAATGAACAATTTTTGTAAAATTCATAGAAAAGAATAAATTAAATTTTATTGCACTGATGACTTCTGCATAGAAGAACAAAGAGTCATGTGTGATAAGTGCTAAAAAGAGAAATTTCATAAAACTCATAAGATAACAAACATAGAAAATATTTAAGAAATACTTTTTGAAAATCATTCAAATATTAATATCTTAAAGTAGGAAGGTTTAAGCTAAATAGAAGAACTATGCAGTAAAAAAATAAAAAAATATTTAGAAATTATAGAGCAAACATTGATAAAATGGTAAAAATAAAAAATATAAAGCTCAAGAAATCAAATCATTAAAAAGTTTTAGTTTAGCAAGTAAATTTTAAAAAAGATACAACCTTGTAAAGTAAAGAAATAACATAAATTAAATTAAGAAAGCTCTTTTGAATAATATAATGGTGAAGAAGAGGAAGAAAAAAAATGTAGTGGTAAAGATATGTATGACTATTTTGAAGATGTAGATAGTGATGATGACAGGAGTGAAAGTGATAGCGATAGTATAAGTGATGAAGATGATATGGATTAAGTAAATAATAATGAAGTAAAGTATTTGTAGTTTTCATCAGAATAGAATTAGTTTATTATGCAAGCTGTGAGAGATAAGAAATAAAAAATTTCATAAAAGGATTAAATAGAAGCAATTTTAAGTTAAAAATTTTCAGACATAGAAGTTTAAATATAAAAGCTTTAAAAGTTCATAAGTAATAAATATTCTTTTAGTATTAAAGAATTTAAAGGGGCTCTTAGAGACTAATGGAATTTCGAATATGTTTGCGATTGCCCTTCTATCCTTCAATTTAATGATGAATAAATGTTGGTGATCGCTGCAGAAAATAACATTCTGCTGTAAAATCTTAACGAATAAGTTACTGAAGAAATTGCTGAAGCTCATGAGCTGAGTATAGTAGCTCTAGAAAAAATTAATGAAAATATGTTTGTTAGTGGTAGTTATGATGGAATGATTAAATCTTGGTGTCCAAGAACTGGTTAACGTTTACCCTATAGAAATTCATTCCATATTTCAGGAGTATCCTGCTTAAAAAAGCTTGATAAATTCCACTTGATATCTGGTATTTATTCATTTTCTAAAATTTGAATATTGAAAATATTTTATAAAGCTAAAATTAAATTTTTATTTATTATGATTAAAGGAGATGGAATAGGTAACGTAGTCATAAGTGATGTCAAAAATAGCAAAATAATTAGAATTATGAGAAATCCATATACTTCAGATATGTCTTTGCTGTGTTGCATTGAGGTCATGAAACCCTAAAGGTTAATTATAACTGGAAGCAAGAAAGGAATAATTGATTTTTGGGATTACTCAAAAGGAGAAATTATAAGATAAATTAAGATGCATTAAGCGATAAGTAATTTCTTTATGCCCACTTCCTTCTTATTAATGGTTGGTTAAGTAGATGGGTAAATTACTTGTTGGGACTGTAGGACAGGGATAAAGGTAAAATCTTATGAATAAGATAGTAATTTAGGAGTAATAAAAAGATTGGGACCTGATACATTTGTTGCTTCTTACCAAAATAAGAAAATCAAATTTTTCAATTTTATGTAATAAAAACCTTTCAAATAAATTGAACATGATGAAGAAATAATAGGTATTTTGCCACTGTATAAAAATAATCAATTGGCAACTATAGATGCGTGTAATGAGCTTGCTTTATGGTGTTGAAAAACATTTAAATTAGTTAAAAATTAATAAAAAAGTAAATAAATTCATAATTCTTTTTTGGTTTTAAAGAAAAATAAATTTTATAAAAATCAAATTATTTTTTAAAAGATTAAAATATTTTTAGTATTTTATTTCTCCTTAAGATGTGGGCAAGAAAATGATAGCTGTTTTATGACAATTTTTTTGTTAATAAAAATATGAATTGTTATTTAAATTGAATAAAGCACCTAACAAAAATTTATAAAATGTATTATTTGATAGATTATGTATAAAAAAATAAAAATAATTTAAAAAAATTTTTAAATTTCACAAAATAAGAAAAAATTTATTTTCTTAAAATTAATCTAAAGATTAAAATTGAATTTATATGTTTAAAATAGGTAAATATTACTCAAACTCAAAAATGAATAATACTTTCTAAATTAATATGAGTTATAATTTTTTATATTTTTTAAAATAATCTCTATTAATAGATAAAAATCAAATTATAATTTTAATTCTAAAGACAATAAATATGTTTTCTAGATTAATTACATCTTATATAATAATCGTTTGGTTAAATTATAGAAAAGATTGATATGAGTGTACTCATCTTTCCTTTTTTAACAAAATCAAAAAGTAGAGATTTTACAAATTATCATTTTGGTAAATACTTTGATAAATAAAACATAGTTAATTTTAAAGGATTAAATTTTTATTTTCCTAGATCATACTTCTAGTTAAATAAATCTTTTTTGATACAAATGTATAGATAATTCATTTACAAATTCGAGTACTTCACTTTGTTTTAAATATTGAATAAAAATCTTTGAAGAATACTTGTTAATTATTTTTTTAAGTTTTTAAAGTGATTTTTTAACTCATTGATTTAAATAATTTGCAAAATTCTAATGAATGGAAGTAGAAAATGATTTATTTTTAATGATTAAATATTTTTTATTTTAAATAATTTTTATGAAAATAGATTTGTTGCATATTTTATCTTTTTGACATAATAAGGATTGTAAGAATAAATTAAGATAGGATTCATGCAAGTAAAATTCTTATAATCAATAATTCGCATAAAAAATAATAACTTAATCAAGGGAATTGCTTGTTTAAGTTTTTGATTAATTTTAAAATTTAGATAAATCACAAAAGTGAAAATAAGTAAGTAATCATTTCAATTTTTATTTCAAGTTAGGAGAAATAGAGATACTTAACTTAGATTTAAATCGAGATAAGAAGAAATTATAAAAAATTGAATATGGGAATATGTGGAGCTAAAATGAAAATAGTAGCTGAGCCTGTTTAAACAGGTAAGACGCCTGAAAATAACAGATAAAAGAAATAAAAATAGAGGCAAAATAATATCAATTAATAAAATAAGTTAGGAGAAGAACTTAATAATTCAAAAAAAGATGAAAAGGCTCATAAGATCTAGTCCTCTTAAAAAAATGTCATAGTTCAAGCTAATTCAAAAATAAATAAATAAAAAATGTAAAAGAACAATGCTAAAAGCGATAGTAATTTATTTAATTTGATTGATTGTATTAATTAATTATGTTTAATCCATTAATTTTGCGATAGTAATTTCAAAAGTTAAAATTATTTTAGGCTCTAAAAAATTAATGCATTTTCTTTATAATATTTGAATTGATTTTATTCATTGTTTTTTGAACATATTTAAAGGCTAATTAGAGGCTAACGATTAATGTAGCCAAATTTAAGATCTAGATGGAATAGATGGATCAGAAGTATTTTAGGTGTAAATGTAAAGAAGTAATCTTTAAAGTGATGGGTATAGGGATAGAGTAAATTTTAATAATTAAGATTATGATAGAAATGGTGATATGAGTTGCCGTAATTAGGAAACAAAAAGAGTTTTAACTTTCAAAAAAGGACATATTATTGATAGAGGGTCTTATGGTGAAGTTTATTAATGTTTAGAGGTAAATACAGGATAACTGTATGCTATAAAAACAATACGTAAGAATAAAGACAAGGCGGTCTTAGAAAAGGAAGTGTAATCTTTGGCTAAAGAAATAAAAGAATACAAAAAATTATCTCATAAAAATATAGTTAAGTACATCGATACTGAACTAGATGAAGATGAGAAGGGTATCAATATAATATTGGAATATGTTTCAGGAGGGTCGATTCGATAAATGCTTGATAAATTTGGCAAGTTTAATGAGAAAGTTATCTCTATTTATACAAATTAAGTATTACAAGGATTAAAGTACCTTCACTCGAATCATGTATTTCACAGAGACATAAAGGGAGGTAACATACTGATAGATACAGATGGCACTATCAAATTAACTGACTTTGGTACTTTAAAGCTTCATAAAAAAGATGCTTACATTAATCACAGTAAGAGTCAAAGTTAATTATCTCATAATTAGCTAGACTATGGTACCATTTAAAGCTAAAAGCCATTTTGGACTGCCCCAGAAGTAAGTTACGAATCTTTAAAAAAAATAAAAATTTTAAACCTAACTCAAAAATAGAATAGAAAAATTAGTGCGTTACAAATAAAATTAATTCATAAATCCAATTTGTATTTCAGGCTATAAACTTTCAATTTTTCACGCGAATTTTTTAATTTAAGGCTAAAGAATTGGATATAATTATCTCTTAATTTCGAGATAAGAAAAATACTTTTGAGTTGTCTATTTTAATTGCTATTTACAGCAAACTATTTAATTTGATGTCATTTTTCAATTCTTGTTGAGATGTTTATGGTATATTTGTAAATCATAATTTTTTCTAAATAGGTATTAAAAAATGAGGATTCCCATGATGCATCTTCTGATATTTGGAGTGTTGGATGTCTAGTTATTGAAATGATAACAGCTCTTCCACCATATTATAACTTAAATGATAAATCTTCATAAGAAATAACAAAGTACATTATGGATGGCAGTAACATATTTTTTTGAAAAAATAATATTTTTAATTACATTAATCAATTTATAAGATATTCCAAACTTTCCTGAGAAACTCAGTGAGCAGTGTCTAGAATTTCTTTAAAAAACTCTCAAAGTCAATCCTAAGGAGAGAGCAACTGTAAATGAATTAATTCAACTTAAGTTTATTGCTGGTATAAAAATATATAATAAAGTTACTTCCATTTATAAACATTTTTAATTATTATAGAGCCTGACCTAATTGAGCTAACTTCTGAGTAGTATAGTCCTAATTAAGTTAAAAGTGGTATGTTTTAGTCTTAGACATCGCTTGGATTTGTTCAAAGAGAATTCCCTAACAACAAAAATGGATTAAGAATTTAAAACGATTTTTATAATGATGAACCACCTTAGTTTATGAGGGATGCAGGATTTTTTGAAAATTAAGATAATTATAATGCAAATAAGAATGATAGAAATAGAGAAGATGAGAGTTTAATTGATTTAAAGGGTCTTTCTGTCATACAAAATGACAAATAATTTAAAAAAATGACTAGAGATAATACACCTTTATCAAAAAATAATTAGCAACAATAATAAAATTATAATTTCGAAGATCAAATCCATTACATTGATAAAATACACTAAAAAGAGTAGCTAGCCTTTGATAACTAAATTAAAAGAATAATGCTTGAGTCAAAACAGAATTTTAATGAAGCCAGGGATGAATATCAGTAGTAACTTATGTCGTAGTTAAAGGAGTTCGAAGATAAAACACAGCAAGATTAGAACTAACAAAATTAAAATAATGTAAAAAAATAAGAATAGAAAGATGTTGAAGATGAAATTCTAGATTTAATTAAAAAAAAGAAAAATAAGAGGAAATAAGGCAATAATGCTGGAGCTAACACTCCATAACAAAACAAAAACTCATCGACTAGCACATTTGATACTTCTATGTAAAATCCACCCCCATAAGTTAGATACTAAGTATTATTTAATAACCCAAAGGATAATTATAAATTTCTAAGTTAAGATGAAACAATTTAGCATAATGAAATCCTTCTCAAAAAGTAATATAATGATATTTAACAGCCTGAGTTAGATCAGTCACCATAAGCTTCGAAATAAAATCACTCTTAAAATTAAGTTATTCCACTCTCTAAATTTAACAGTTTAAAATAGTAGCAAGAGAATTAAGAAGAAGCTTAAAATAAAACTTAGGAAAAAAATGATTACATTATTGATAACTCTAAAGTTAATGAATCGAGTGGATAAATAATTTAATAAGATTTACATCATGTAAGTTCATAAGGAAAAAGTCTAAAAAAAGTGGAATCTTCAGAAAAAAAATTATAAATTTTATAATCAGATCCTTTAAGTTTGACTTCTTTAGGGATTGGAGGATTTGATAAATTCAATGTTGATCATTAAGATTAAATATTATATAACTATAAGATAAACTAAATATAACCTAAGAAATCTGGGAGACATTAAAGAAATAAAACAGATTAAATAGGATAAAATCACAACTAAAATGAAGCCTCATTTTTTAAAGAGGTTAAAAGAGATATGAATGGAGGGAACAGAGATAACTTAGTAACTTACAGTTCAAAAGAAATACAATCAGATTTAAACATAGAGGATATAAATTAATCTAATATTGAAAATATTCATAAAAATGGTTAATATGATGAAAATAATATAAATAACCTCTCAAGATCATCTTTAAATAGAAAGCACAAAAAGGAAAATAATTCAAATAATATTTTCATCGAAAATTTCTTTTGATAAAAAGTAGCATACGAAACAAAATAATTTTGAAACAGTTTAATAAAAGAAGCATCAAAAATATTTTATAGCAAATCATTTAATAGTAATAACATTAAATAAACAAACAATTTACATTAATTCTAATTTAAAAATCTTAGAATGAGTAAAATAAAGTTATAGTAATAAATTAGCAATAAAATTAAAAAATAAATAAATAAATAATTCAATCAATAAATAAATAAATAAATAAGTAAACAATCAAACAACTAATAAAATTGATAACAAATAATGAAAAAATAAAGAATAATAATTAGAATTGCTAGATAAAATAAAAAATCTTAGCTATTAAAAATATCCTAAATTTTTTGATCTAAACTACTACTTTATAAAAAACTACCTTCTAATGAACTATACTATAATTAACTAATTAACAATTTTAATTCATTTCCAATCTGTTATCATTAAATTTTCATGTCAACTTAATTTTAATTATTTCTATTCCATTAAAATGAATGATTTAATTAAATTAAATGCATTTCAAATAATAAATAAATAATAATTTTTTGATGGGCAAATATTGAATTAATTTTAAGATATTATCATTTTCTTCTCATTTCAATTATTTCGATTTCATCAAAATGAATGATTTGATAAAAATATTAGTTCATTTGAAATAAAAAAATAATTTATATCATATTAGTTTTATAGAAATAAACTAAATCTTAAGATTTTAACTTTAAATTCATATGTCACTTTATTGGTTTTAATTATTTCCATTCCATAAAAATGATTTATTTAATAAAATTATTAATTAATTTTCAATTAATAAAATAATTTATACCTTTTATGGAGATGAGTATAAATTAAAATTATCATGTTATCATTAAATTTTCATGTCAATTTAATTAAATTATTCAAGAATTTTAAACAAAAAAATATATTATTTGTTTGAAAATAAACAGAAGAAAAATTAATTTTTTATTTCAAATATAAAAATCATTTTTTTTCATTTTAAAAATCTATAAATTTAAACAAATTAATTAAATTTGAGGAGTGTATTTTTATCAAAATTGAGTAATAAATTTATCTAAGATATCATTTACATTTATTTATGCAAATTAATTGAAAGTAATTTAAGCGATTTTTAAATATTCCTTGTTAAAAGAATAATCGAAAACTTCTTCATTTAATAAAATTGATGAATATTTAGTGGATAAAATAAAATAATAACACATAAAACCTATAATTTAATTTGGTAAATTAAATATAAAATTCATGACTTATATTTGTTTCTTCTTTTGAATTTAACATGATACAAATTTTAGTATTTATTTAAAAATAAGAGGGAGAGTAAGATAGAGTAGTTAGATGTAAGTAAAAGCCAAGAAAAAAATTAATTATTGTATGAAGTTGATCTATTTTCTTGTAAATTAAAATATATCCAAAATTTCAACTTAGACTTATGCTTGTGATAATTAATTATTTACTAGCAATTCAAATATAATCAAATTTTTATTAAAATTTTAGGATAGTTTAAAAAGATAAGCATTCAAAGTAAAAAAAGAAGAAAATCAAAAAAAAATGTAGGGATCACTCAATTATATTTGCATTTCAAGAGGTAACACCATCTTGACAGACTATACAGAGGAAACTGGTAACTTTAGATAAGTTCTACAAGAAATTCTTCCTGAAATAAAGCCTGAAACTAGGGATATCTACTAAACAGGAGATTAAAAGTTTTTCATTAGATCTACTTCAGAAAACTTCATTTTCTGTATTCTTTGCTCCAGGGATTACTAACAAAGAATAGGATTTACAGCAATTGATTAAATTATGCAAATATTCATGGAAAAGACAACTTTAGAGCAAAGAAAGACAGCTCTTAGTCATTCTTTAGATAAGATCTTAAAGAATGATATTAAATAGTAATATTCTTATTATATTTTTATTTCTAAGGAAATTTATTACTTATAGGAAATACCAACTCTTCAATACTCCTGCTTGTGATAAGTTGACTACTCTCCGTTAAAATGTTGACTAATTGAAAGATGTCTTAGAAAAAGATTTAAGTTTACTTTTGTAAAGAGGTGAAAAGCTTGAAGTAATTGTAAAGAAATCTGAAAATATGAAAACTGTTTCTACTGAATTACATAGAAATGCTAAGAAAGTAAAGAATCATATGTGGTGGTAAAATAAAAAAATGTTAATTGCTATAGTATTAATTGTAATAGTACTCATTTGGCTTATTTCATCTTTCATTTGCGGATTTGATTACAGCAAATGTTGAAGAGTTTATTTTGTTTCAAAGAAGAGGTTAAGTATAAGTACTTCTTGAGTAATTTCATCTACTACAAACTCTTCTTAAATTTATTAAACTAAATTACCCTTATAAGAAATTTTGAGAGAGATAATTAATTATCAGACAACCCAATCTAAATAAATAATTAAATAAATAACCAATTAATTGATTCCTAACAAATAAAGTCTAAAAATAAACATTTTCTAATACATTTATTTATTTATTTGAGTGTTTATTTGTAGAATATATAAAAATATTTTCATCTATTTTCAAATTTTGTAGAAATATTTCTTGTAAGTTTATTATTTCTGTGTTAAATTATTTTTATTAAATTTTTTTCATCATTTTTATCATAGGAAATTTATACACTCAATTTATTACCAAATAAAAGCATAAATTAATATTTGTGTTACATTAGAATATTAGAAGTAAAATCTCTTCTATTTGTCAAAAGGATTTAAATTAAAATTTTTCTATTCTAAATTATAATGACATAAAGTTCAATAAATTGAAAACATATCAAATTAAGACATATATTAAATTCTATATTATGATTTCAATCTCATTTTTTTAAATTAATGTTCCAAAATATTTTTTGGGAAGTTTTTATTATTGATTAAATATTACTAAAAAGTTTTTATTCATTTATAAAATTTTCTAAGAATGTATGAATTTATTTTTATTGAAGTTGATAATTTTATAGAATTTTGATTGAAAATACAACAAATTTGTTTAGAATTTACAATTAAAATATTTATTTTAAATAATTTAGTTTATATAAACATTTTCACTTTTCCTTCTCATTTGATTTTGTTCCTACTAGTCTATCGTATTCTAAAGACATTAGGAAGATCTTCATATAAGCAACTTTAAGTTCATTAGATGCTGTTATTAATTACAGTTATATCTGCTTGTGTTTAATTATTAAATCTCCATTTTCTTCTGTTAATAAAATAATTTACTATTAATGACGTTAACTTAAATATTCTAACTGCTAATCTTTTTCTTCTATTTCTTTTTTGTTTTTAGTTACACAGCTCTTCAAAACTTTGTTTTCTTCTTCAAATTTAATCACTTCTTCATTAAGGAGCTTAAACTTTCCTTTTAGACTTTCAGTAACCTTAACTTATTCGCTAAGCTAAGCCTTCAAATTAACTACTTTTGAAAATTTAGCAATATATCTGACTATTATTTATTTATATTTGAGCATTATTTTTTCCATTTTTACTTTTAAATCACTGTTTTCTTACTTAATTTTATCAAAAGCAATAGCACTAACTCCCTCATTTTTAGGATTGTTAGAAGTTATTTAACGTATCATTTATTGCAATATTAAATTTTCTTCATTCTTTAGCTATATTCTCTCCTCTAATTCGTTTAACTTTCCCAGAGAGTGCTAATATTACTTTATAAGTTAAGTCTGTTCATCTATTTTGTTTTAAAGTTCTTTTTCTTTGGAAGGATTATTGTTTATTGGTTAAGTTTTAGGAGGTGATGAAGATTTTTTAGATTTATTTTCTATCACTCTTATTTTATCAAGTAAATCTTATTATTCTGACTTTAATTTCTTATTGCTCTATTCATATGCTGTTACCGATTTGTTTAGAAGAATAATTTTTTATCCTAAGGATTCTGTTTCATTTTCTTTCTCAACTAACTAGGAAACAAATTATTCATTTGATTTTGTTAATTGTTCATTTTTATGTTGAATTTTTTTAAGTTATTATTCTAATTCATTAACCTGATTTTATAATTCTAATTTCTCTGATTCCAATGACAATAATTTTTGTTTAAGAGTTTCTATTTGACCGTCTTTAGAATGTTAGTTTTGTTAATCTTGATTGTTTAACCCATTTATCACTTCTTCTTTGCTCTTTAGTTCTGCTTTTAAATTTTCTAACTATTGAGTAATTGCTGCTTAGCTTAATTCTAATTCTTCTATTTTCGATAACTAAGTTGAAATTTATTTCTTTTGCTCCTCTATTGACTTTTAATCTGCTTAATGCTTTTTTTCGTAATCAGAATATTTTAATTTGTGTTATTCTTCAAACATATTTAGTTTTCCCTTCAAATCAGAATTTTCCTTTAAGCTCATCATCATTTCTTCTTTACTCTTTTATTCTAATAATTATAGCTTTTCTTAGAGACTTCTTATTTTTTCTTCTAATTTTTGTTGTGCATCTTAATAAGTTTATTCTATTTCATCCAATTCTGCTTTATTTGATAAACTTGTCCTTTAAGCCTCATTCTTTTCTGATTCTGCTTAGTCTATAATTATTTAGAATTAATTATTAGATTCTTTTAACTCACTTAATTCCTAGTTGAGAGTTTAAACTTATGACTTTAATTAGATTATTTCTCTTTCTTTTGATTAAATGTTAGAATTGAGATTATGAATATCTCTCGTTAAAGATTCTTTAAATTAGTTTTTACTATCAATAGATTCTTAAGATTCACGCATAAGCTTGGTGATTTCTGATTGCTTCACTAAAATTTCATTCTCCTTAAGCTAAATTGATTTTTTAAGAGTAGCAGTTTCTTGGGTAGATGTTAAAATATCATCTTTTAATTTCTTTACTTATTATTAAAAATTATTCACCTATTATACTAATCTTTCACATTCGTTTTCTTTATCTTGGAGACTACTTTCTAGATCAAATTTACTCTTTTCTAAATTTTAGATACGCTCTTCTTTCTCTGTAAGAGTTGAATTACTCCTTTCTTCTTTAGCTTGGTCTTGAGAAGAAAGCTCCTCTTTAAGCTGTTAATATTAAGAGTCTTTAAAATCGCATTACTTTTATAATTTTTCAATTTATTTATGCATTTCTTCATACTTTAGCTTTTATTCTTAATTCAATTCATTAATTTAGGAGTTTGTTTCTTCTTTCAATTGCTCAAGTTCTGCAATATACTCTACTTACTCATTCACTTTATTATTTAATTCTTATATCTCCTTCAAAAAATTTTATATTTGATTTGATTACTCCTCATTAGATTTTCTTGTCAAACTTATTTACTCTTCCTTCTAAGCAATCTACATTTTTTCTCTTTCTAATTCCTATTCTGCATTTATAGCACGCTCTTCCAATTATTAATTTTATTGTTTGTATTCATCTAATTACTAATTTTATTTTTTTAATTCATTTTGCACTTCAGATAATTTATCTTAATTTTGCTTTATTCTTTTTTCTTTTTCTAAGATTGTTTCATCTTTTCTTTAAATTTCTTCTTTATTTTTTCTTTACATAGCTGTGAGCGATGTCAATTCTTAATTCTGCTCTCTTACTTTTCTTTCATACTCTTCTATAAGAACGTTCTTATCTATTTCTCTTTGTTCCATTTGCTGCTTTTCATATGCATGATTATTCTCATTCTCCTCAAGAGATAATTTGAGGACTTCTAATTCTTAGCGAAGCTTTAAAAAGGAACTTTGTGCTTCTTCTATTTCTTTTGCTGATTCTTCTTCTTGAGTTTTCAATTTATTATTTGATTCTTCAAGTTTATTTTAAAGAGATAGCACTTTTTCTTCGAGCTAATGTTTTACATTTTCAGCTTTCTCTTCATTAATCTTAATTTCATTTTATTTATTTTTAATAATCTCATCTTACTTGATGATTTCTTCATTTTTAAATTTAAGATTACTTTCTAAATCTTAAATTTAGCTTTTTAATTATTAGATTTCGTTTTAGAAGGAATCAGTTTACTCTTTGAATTACTGTAACTGAGAGTTTTATTCTTTTTTGCTATTTTCTGCACTTCCCAGCTACTCATTTTCTAATTCTTCAATTTCCTCTTTTAAACCATCAATAATATCTTATTTTTGCTTCAATGAAATCTCTAAGCTATCCAACTACTCACTCTTAACATCAAATTATTCTTACAAACTAGAAAGTTTTTCAGATAATTAAACACATAAAACTGTTTTTTCTTCCTTAATTTATTTAGTTTCAACTAGTTCTTTATGTGATGTAGCTAACTATTCTTTCAATAATTTATTTTCTTCATGCAAACTTGAAATTTCAGCTTTAACTCTTGCAATTTCTTTGATAGATTAATTAAATATTTCATTTTTATCTTTTAATTCTTAACTATTTCTAGTAGATTGCTCTTATATAAGGATTTCAAGAGAGTTAGATTTTTTTATTGTCTCATCTAATTCTCTTCTCATATTGCTGTTTTCTGTTTCCAAATCATTCAGCTTTTTGTTCAAATCCTCTGTTTCGTTTGTCTTTGTTTTTAATTAATCACCTAAATCTTTATTGCTTGTCTCTAATTCAGTAATTTTCTATTTTAAATTCTTAGTTTCCGTTTCTTTGCTCTCCTTCATACATTTTAATTCTTCCTCTATTTTTTTTATAACTTCTTCTAATGATTGAATTCTGACCTAACTTTCATTCTTATTAGCTTCAGATTATGCATTTAATTTAGATATTGTGTTTTCAAATTCTTTTGAAGCATCTTTTTGCATCTATATTTCTAGATTTAACTGCTCAATTATTTTTTCAAAATTTTCTTTTTTTTATTTTGAAATTTGTTGCTCATCCGTCAGCTATCTTTTTAAAGTAGTTAATTCTTCTCCGATTTTTATTTTTGTCTGTTGCATATCAATCTAAGATCCTTTTAATTTGGAATTAGCATCATCTCTTTCTTACTCCAACAACTTATTTTTTTCCTATAAAGCAGATATTGTTGACTCCATTTGGCTTTTTATAGATTCATTTTGCTTTTAATAGTCTGTTTTTTCTTTTTTATATCTTTCGTCAAGCTCTTTTATCCTTTTATTTTAAGCTTCGAATTCTTCTTTGTTCTATACTTCCTTAATTTTATTCTATTTTATTATTTGTTCTATCTCTTACTGCAACTAATTCCCTGTTTTCCTAAACATAAAATGCAATTATAAGAATTTTTTACTAAATAAAAATATTTTGTTACTTTAATGATTCGTTTTCTTGTTTTAACTTTTAATTTAAATCATCTATTGTTTGTTTCTCTTATTTTAGTTACTAGTTGAGAGTTTATAAATCTTTTACTTTATCTTGATAAATTGGAATAGGGATTTCATTTAAATTCCATTTAGAATTTATCAATAAATCATCTTTTTATGTTTTATCAATCATATCTTTTTGTAATTCAAATGGATTATCTGAAGATTTTGAGCAAATTGAATCTCTGTTAATGAATAGAAAAGTGGCAATGTATTTAATTAACTGAGTGTATTTACTAGTACTTATTGTCATTATAGAATCAAAAACAGCATGACTAGTTTCAAAATTTACCTTACCAATTAGTAAAGACTCTATCAAATTTGATCCAGAATCATCTAAAAATTTTTATACTCTGCCCAACAAGTTTTAGTCACACTTGAATTTTTCCTTTAAAACTTTTAATATTTAATCATTACACTATTTCTTCAGAGGATTCCCACTAATTGAGAATTCTTCCTCGGTAATTGGGAATAAGTGAGTTGGAATTAATTATCCAGAGTAAATTTTTTCTAAAATGCAAAAAACTTTAGGAGGACTGCTAAAACAGAGAAGAAATACAGCTGTATTCATTAATTCCTGTAAGTAAAAAAAATAACTTAATTTTCATATTTGTTTATTTAATTATCATCTTTACATCAGAGAATCCCACAGTGCTGTGATACTTAGATAAAAAGGATAATATAGTCTCCTTAACTGTTTAATGAACTTTCTATTTAACATCTTGCTGGCAATAAAAAAGCATCTCTTGAAAAGAATAATTTCCTTAAAAATTATTATTGTAGGATTGCTAGTTAAAAATAAAATATATAATTTAGTGGTGCTTTAACATTTGCTAAAATATATTTATTATACAATATTTAGAGAAGTCGAAAATAATTTATAAGCTTATGTTTCTTGCATTTCTTTTGTGACTTAAATCATATTTTTAAAATTTTATTCGATATCTGGCCTATTAATTTTAAAATAAGCTTATTTTTAATTCAAATATAATTCTAATAATCTACCAATTATCAATTCCTATTGTATTCAGCCACATTGGCACTATCTTACTGTCTCTACCAAATTACATTCCATACTAAAAACAATATTTATAAAAATCATGATTAGATTTTTTTAAAATTTGCTTGAACACTTTTAAATAGCTTAAGATATGCTTTAATTAATTAAAATATTACCTCTTTTATCATATCCTCTAATTTGTCTGATTCTTTTTTACATAAATTGCATATTCTATGCTCTTTCTCAGGCTTTTTTTCATAACCTACAACCTATTTAATTATAACATTAATTAACAAAGTGTATTACTTAAATTCATTGCCAAAAAATAAAAATGAAAGCAATAATAATTGATATTATTAAATTTGTTTCTACTTTTTTTTTATTCTTGCCACATGAAGAACAAATGCTTCTACTACACCTTTTGCACATATGCTCTCTATGCATCATATTGAATTTTTCAGAACATAATTCGCAATTAGTCTTTTTACCCCTTTCTGCTTGTGGTAAAGAAGATCTGTAACTAGTTGTGCCAATACTACTTAACCTTCTTGTATTATTGTTCATACTTAATACCTTTGTTCTTATTTTGAATTTCGATTTTTTAAAATCACTATAATAAATTTTTTTAGCTTTTTTTGTCTTTGGAATACTTTGGTGATAAAAATGTATAATTTTGTTATTTTTGATAAAAGAAATTAATCAATTAATTTAAGGATCACAATTTTTTAGATATTTTTTATTTGGTCAAATGAAATCAAAAAATTTTCATTAATTAACTCCTATAATTATAAAAGATTTTGGAATGATAAATAAATTGGTGTAATTAATTGACTTTAACAAGTAAATAATCAGGAACGTACGTCCTATCTAACAATAAATATTTTCAAAACAAAAATTAACATAAATTTTAATTAATTTTTAATTTTTAAAGATAATATTTTATCTAATGAACATAATACTTTAAAAAAATTTTAATGAACAAAATAAATTTTTATTATTTTGATATTAATTCAGTTTATTATTGAATTAAATATATTACAGCAATTTATATATCTTTTAAATAGTAATTAATATAATTTATATAGATAGATAGATCTCTTAATTCTTATAATATAGAAGAAACTAATTATTATTTTCTGTTAATTTTATGCTTATTATGGTCATCTGTCTAATTTAAATTCAAATACCCTTAAAAACTTTCAGTATGTCCAGTGTTACTTTTTGAGTTATGCTTTTTCCAAAATAAATTTACCTTCCTTATACTTTTAAGATTCTTCAAAAGCTCGATCCTGTGTTTTTAAAAATTTATTAAACTTATTTAAATAATTAAAATTTAAAAAATATATACATATTTCCATCCTAATACAGTGTGGCATTTTTTACATAAAATATCGCTCACTTAATGTTTACCACTTAGAAGAATTCTTTCCTCAATTGGACCACAGGTGATGTTAATTCTTAAATAATATTATTGAATTAATTAACTATAAGCAAATAGCAAAATTAATAATCAATACACTGAATTGAATAAGTATGCTTTACCATGTCTACCTTTAAATGCCTATGTTTTTTAAAAATAAATAAAGCTTAATAAATAATCTTCATTTTTCTAACTAGAATCTATTTAAAAGATTAAGTACATACTTTTGAAATAAGTTCATTATATGATGTCAAGTGCACCTAACAAGTAGTGCATGTAAAAATGTTATTGCCTTCAAGGTAATCAAGATAAAGTCTTCCCATATATTAAAAACTAGATTTAAACGATATGTATATTTGATTTATTTTTTTATGAAATGGAACTAATAAGTATTTATTGGAACGATATTCCTCGCTTTTTATATTTATTATTTTCCTAGTAATTTTTAAATATTGTAATCGCAAAAATATAATTAAATAATAAGAAATTTTTGATTTTTATGAACCAACAAAATTTCTATCTATCTATTTATCAATCTATCTATCTTTCTGATCACAATATCAAAAGAATATTGTATAACTCTATTTGAAATACATAAATATAATAGTTGTGTATTAATAATTGTGTAATGAATGATTGGTTTCTTTATTTATTTTCCTACATATCTACATAGAGTTAATTTTAAATAATTATATTAATATTTAGTAGAAATGTCTTATAAACTATTATTTACATAAGAATGTATATTTATATGAAAAAAATTATTGATGAATGATGAAATAATTAATTGGATCGATTTTAAAAACTGTAAATTTATTAATATTTTTGAGTCTTTTAAATGTAGTTTTATATATATTTTATTACTTTAAAACTATTTTTTTTTCTTTATACCATAAACTATAAATTAATAGACACTTTCAGTATTTACTTAATATTCATTTAATTTGATCTATTTTAAAAACTGTAAATTTATTAATATTTTTGGGTCTTTTAAATGTAGTTTTATATAAAATTAATTACTTTAAAACAATTTTTTTTTTCTTTATACCATAAACTATAAATTAATAGACACTTTCAGTATTTACTTAGTATTCATTTAATTTTATCTATTTTAAAAACTGTAAATTTATTATTTTGAGTCTTTTAAATGTAGTTTTATATAAAATTAATTACTTTAAAACAATTTTTTTTTCTTTATACCATTACTATTAATTAATAGACACTTTAAGTATTTACTTAATATTAATTTTATTGATCTATTTTAAAAACTGTAAATTTATTAATATTTTTGAGTCTTTTAAATGTAGTTTTATATAAAATTAATTACTTTAAAACAATTTTTTTTTCTTTATACCATTACTATTAATTAATAGACACATTAAGTATTTACTTAATATTAATTTTGTTGATCTATTTTAAAAACTGTAAATTTATTATTTTATATAAATTTTATTACTTTAAAACAATTTTCTTCTTTTTTATACCATTAACTATTGATTAATAGACACACATATAACTTTAAGTATTTACTTAATATTTATTTTGCAATGCTTGTTATTAAAAAGAAACAGAAATTTAACAAAAAACACTAGAAATTATTTTAAAATATTCAGATTAAATTTACATTATAGATATTATATTTTTTTAAATTTTGGTTAATACTAATACTTAATTATCAAATTTTTAAACATTTATTTACTGTTTTAAAGCTAGAGTAAATAATTTTCCTTACTAAATATGTGTAAACAACTCACAATTCTCCACATTCCTCAATAACAACTGGAACTTTAGGCTTGTTAGTTTATCCTACAACAGGAGTATTTTCTATTTTTCTTAAGACCTACATACTAGCTTAATCTATAATTTTTCCAAAGACTACATGTTTTCCATCTAACCACTCACACTTGTTGCATGTTAAAAAGAATTAAGATCCATTAGTGTTTGGTCCAGAGTTAGCCTACAAATAAATTTAATAAAAATGTTAACATAAATAAAAATAATTTCCAAATAAGATACCATAGAAAGCAACCCAGGTTCATCATGTCTTAAAATAAAATTTTCATCATCAAATCTTTCCCCATAAATGCATACATTTCCAGTTCCATCATTCTATTTAAAATTAATAAATAATTTTTAACTTTTTTGCTATTCAAAATTGCCTAAATACAAATAAATAAATGTTTTATATAATATTTAATATATTTTATTCTTCAATAATTTAATTTTTATATAGTTCCTAAAAAATAATTAATATTATTTCTTTTTATTACCATTATAAAATCTCCTCCTTGGATCATAAAATCTTTAATAATTCTATGAAATGTGCAACCTTTAAAGCCTGCAGGTTAATCAAATCTCTTGAATTCTCCAGTGCACATTTATCTAAAATTTTCTGCAGTTTTTGGGCAAACATCTTTGAATAGTTCAATTTTAATTCTACCAGCTTTATGTCCACCTTTTAGTTAAAAATAACAATTAATAAGTAATTAGTTTAGATAATTTAATGAATTGAAGTTGATTGATCGATTTTAAATGTTACATTACTCTAGCTTTTTCATTTGTTTAAACTAAAATAAGTTAACATCATTAATTTGCCATAAATGTTTAATGTTTTTAATAGCTTTTTTCTAATTTTGAGTTAAATCATGGTATATTTGTTTTATTTGGCGCATTTTATTTTCATTTTAAAACAATCAATATATATATCATGAAATAAAACAATATAGAAATGTTAGGCGCGAATTATAAAACTCTACACTAATTAATGATTTTATATTAAAACTCAAAAGTATTTGAAGTAATTACCGATAGTAATATCAAAAAAAACCACAGGGTTTTCTTTATCTCTTAGAACACCAGCCATTTTTATCAAAATATTACAAATAATTAAATTTTTTGCTTCTAGATAGAAATAATACAATTTATAATGTTAATTTAATAGATAAAGCTAAATAAATATCTTTACTTATATCAATTTCATCAAAAATTTTGTTAAGAATAAATATACTGTCTATTAAAATTTACAAAAATCTAACAAAAAATATTGAGGCTATTTAGATATTTGGTGAGAGAAGATTAAAGTAAAAATATTTTAGGTTGAAGAATAAATATAAGAAAGCATTGGTTGAGATAAAATAGATTTGATTAACGAATAGAAATAAGTAATCTAGAAGAAAAAAATAAACAAAATAAGAAAGGTTAATATTATATAAAAGTGTATCTATCATTTATATCTTTTAATTAATATTTTTGTTTGTCTGTTTGTATGTATTTTTTTTTTTTCATATTAAAGATATTAGGAAGTGATATACACACGTTCATTGTTATCTGTAATTTTTTTTGATATTAGGACAGATTTAATATAACAAATTTAAAGAATGTGAGAAAAAGAAGGTAAAAGAAAAATAATTAAAAAGGAGGGAAGCTTTGATATAGATATAATAACTTTATCTAAATAATTTAACAATTTTACTCAAATTTGTTTAACAAAAAAAAAACCAAAAAAAAGAAAGAAAAAAAAGAAAAACAACCAAAAAAAAGACGAAATGAGCAAACCAGAAGCCGCTTTCGATGCAAGCAAAGTTCAAACTTAAATTGGTTTAAGAATCAGAGATTTACCTGAATCTTGCACTGATGAATTATTATTCGCTCAAGTATTTTAGAAGTTGAAAATCGATACTAAGAAGGTCAAGGCCTACAAAGTTAAGGGTCACAAGACTTTCTTCAATTGTTTGGGTAATGGTATCGTTTATTTCGATTCCGAAGAAGCTGCTCAAGATGCTATGTCCAAGATGATCGGATTTTAACTCCACAACAAGGTTATTAGCTGCAGTCTTATGATGCCTACCTCAGATTTGAAGTTAAAGAACGGCAAGAACATCTACGTTAAAAATTTGAAGAGTACTGTAACTCAAAAGCAATTCTACGATGCTGCCCACGCTCACGGTTAGGTTTTATCTATTCTCTTAAAATAAAACTCTCTTGGCAAGCAAGACGGTTATGCTACTTACAAATCACAAACTTCTGCTGAATCAGCTGAAAAGAATGGTTTGAAAATTGAAGAAACTGTATACTCTGCTAAGATTTTGAAAGAAGAAGATAACAAGAATAAGAGAGGTGTTATGAACACAAACAGCAGAAATATTGAATTACATTTCGATACTCCTCTCGTTTGTGAAGGTTTCGATGATGCTGACTTTGAAAACTAGTTGAGAGCTTAAATCGTTGAAAAATTCTAACTTCACCCTACTTCCCTCTTCGTTTGGGGTACCAGAGCTCGTCACTTTAGCAGAAACAGCGAATAAACTCTCTAGGATTCCTTCAATTTAGTTAATTCTGAAGTTACTTAGGCTTGTGGTAATCCTGTCAACGGTGTCCATGCTTGTCATGAAAAACCTGTCGGTACTTCTTGCCCTGTCCTCAATTATTTCCACAAAAAGGCTTTCGTTTGCTTTGATATTAAAGCTGAAGCCCAAGAATTCTTGAACAAGTTCTATGCTAACTATGTTAGTGAAACTTCTCAAAATGAGACTGACAAGCAACTCTTTAACTTCTCTTTCAAAAAGGGAGATAAAGAAGTTAAGGTTGCTACAGTTAGATGTGTTCCTGAAACTGCCAACAAAGAAGATAAGAAATACAAGGAATTAGAAGAAAGACTTAATCCTAGAGTTCTTGATAAGAGCTTCATCTTCCTTAAGAACTTGAAGAAGGACATTACCGTTGAATAAATCGTCAAGTCTATTGAAGATAACGCTTAAACCAAGGTCGTCTCAGTCAAGTTGAGCACTCCTACTCAAGCCACTTTTATTAGAGATGCCTCTAAGACCACTGACACCAAGTTTGCCACTATCTAACTCCAAGATATGAGCAAAGCTAATGAATTTATTACTAAATTCAAGTAAGAACCAACTATTAGAGATAAGTTCAACGATATCTTCGAAAACTACAAATATGCCAACTACTTAGCCCCTAAGAAGATGCACAAGCAAGACCTTAAGGAAAAGAATGAAAAGAGCAAGAAGCAATAAGGAAATAAATCAAGTTTACCTCCCAACGCATTCCCTATCCCTCCTCAATTCTTCTATAACTTGTTTAATAACCAAATGGCTTTCCCTAATCCTAAAAATATCATGCCCATGTTCCCTTTCCCAGGAAGATAACCTATGACATTCCCCATTGGTGGTTATTCCAACAACAATAACTTCAAAAATCAATAAAACAACTAAAACAGAAATACCAGTCAACCTCATAATACCTAATTCAATAATTAATAACCTAACAGACAATATAATAACAATTTCCAAGGTAACTTTAACAAGGGGAATACTAGAGCTAACACTGTTGGTTAAAACAGAGGATACAATTACAATAACAATAAACTCCAATAAAACATAGGTGGTGATTAAAAGAAGAGCTTCAACCAAAGAGGTACTGCTACTTATAATCATTAGAGACAACAACAACCCCACGATAAGAATCGTAACAACCTCTAAAAGCCTACTGACCTTCCTGAAAAGAAAGTTCAAGCTCCTAAAGCTCCTGCTCCCAAAGCTCCTGCTCCTGCTCCTAAATAACAATTGTACATTCCTAAAATTGAAGATCTCGTTGACAAGACTGATGAATAAAAGAAGCAACTTCTCGGTAAACCTTTAATGGAAAAGGTTGGCTAATCACTCCCTGAACACCAAAAGCCTCTTGCTGGTAAGATTACTAATTTACTCCTTGATTTCGAAATTTATGAACCTGAAGAAATTATTTCTATGCTTTCCAATGCTGATGAACTTAAAGAAAACATTGGTACCGCTTTGGAACTCATCCAAGAAAATACTGCTTAATGAAAACACTTCTAAAATACAAAGAGTGGATAAGTTATTTAAACAACTTTTTCCATTACTTTATAATATATTTATTCAAAAACAATTCTTTATTTGTAAATCCATATTAAGCTGTATATAAAATAGTGCAATGAATATTATTGATTAATATATTTTCTTAAAAACTTTATTTTCAATTTCATTTATTAAATTATTTTCTTATCATCAATCAATCAATTAAACAACTAATTATTTATTTATTTATCTATTTTTTTTTTTCACAAGTATTTTTAAAAATATTCATTAAAAATTTATTTCTATTTACTAAATATTAATTTAATAATTGTTCATATGTGGTAAATTTTATAGTCTAAAATTTAAATCTATTTTTTTTACATTTAATTTAAATAATTTTATTTAAAAAAATAAATTTATTTACCACGATTTCCTAACTTGTCTTCAAATAAATTAGTAAAAAGAAGGGAAGAAGTAATATTTTATTTATTAGATAAATTATTTTTAATAAAGAATTGTCATAAATATGAGATAGATGATTGTTATATTTAAGATAATGATCTAATTAAAGTATTAAATTTTTAATTTAATATATTTATCTAATTATTATTAACAATTATAATCTTAAATAAACAATTTTTATAAGCTTTTGAGTTATCTTGGTTAAGATATATTATCAATTACTCTAGAATAATTTCTACAATATATAAATAATAAATACGAATTTAATTTTAGATCTTTTAAATTTAAATTATTACTTAAACAAATATAATTTTTTTTGCATTAAAGAAAGCTATTAATTAAAACATTTTTGTTAAATTTACCTATTGAATATGCATGTATCAATTGATAATACATCTGAGTCAAAATGAAATAAATGATTTAAATAACCTTAAATGAAGCAAATAAAATTCTTATTTTAATCAACTAATAATATTCACTTTTCATTTTTTTATTGTTATCAATCATTATTATTTTAAAAATCTATCTATCTATCAAGGGGAAAAAATAGAGAAAAGAAGGATTTTATTAAGAAATTCAAGTCTATATGTTCAATATTTTTATAATTGAATATTAAAAAAGTTGATAATTTAATAAACAGATTTTAATACTTATAAGTACAAGTTTTAAGAATATATTTAAAATGAGACATTCGTCATCTAAATCTAGATCAAGATCAAAGGGTAACAAACGCGGTGGATAAAAAAGATCTTCACAAGATAGAGGATCTTATAAAAGAAGCTTCAGTAGATCTGATAGCAGAGGAAAAGATTCAAAAAGAGGGGGAGGAGATTTCAATTCTAGAAGACGCAACAAATTTTCAGATCCTTCATAGAATGGTGGAAGTAGCTAAAGAGGTGGCTTTAGCAGTGGTTTCAATGATTCAAATAGTAATTAGAGAAACGATGATAGAGGTTATCAGAGTGGAAATGGAGGATTTGGATCTAAAGGAGGATAATAGTATGGATCTAGAAACGATAATGGATACAAAGGAGATTAGAATGGAAATGGAGGCTTTTCTTACAACAATGTCAGGAATTCTTAAGGACCTAATATGAATGAAGACATAGACAGAATTTTACAGAATTCAAAACCTGAATCTTCATACAACCGTAACTAATATGATAGATCTTCAAATGGAGTAGGCTTTAACAATAATTTTTCAGGAAATTCAGGATAAGGAAGTAGTTACGATAACTACCAGATATCTACTTCTTCATTAAGATAATCTTCTTCAAAAACTTTCCGCAAAGTCCCTATTCCTTAAGATGGGAAATTTAATTATATTGGACTAATTATTGGCCCAAAGGGTTCTAAACAAAAGTAATTAGAAGAAATGACTCATTGTAAAATTTTAATCAGGTAAATTTCCAAAAAATAAATACTGCTTTTAAATTATGTCTGTATGAATAATTATAAAAGCAAATTTCGCCCATTATTTCATAAATATTTATTTACTTTTTTATGATTTTTTCTCATTATTTTGCTTTTCGAATTTACATTGAGCTGGGTATATCTACTTAACCTGACTGATGTCTATCAATTAATTAATTATTTAATTAATTAGTTGCCAAATCAATTATAATTATTTAATTTTCCCTAAATCACTTTTTTTTATAATAATAATTATAATAATATTCAAATTTTAATTAAAGTAACTCAATTTTTTTTGCTTTCAAAAAATTAAATAAATAAATGATTAATTAACAAATAATTATTATATATATCTTAATCATTTAAATACTTAATAATAGGGGAAAGGGCTCTCAAAAATAAGGTGCACCTTAATAGCCTGATGATAATGAAGACTTACATGTTTTAATTGAGGCAGATTCTGAAATGAATGCAAACAAAGCCATGAAAGAAATCGAAAATATCATTTTTATGGATGATGACTAAAAAGTTAAGCTCCGTGATTAGTAACTTAAGTCTAATTACAATGGTGGCTAGTAACATAGACCAGATGGTTAATATAACAATAATAATGACAGATAGACTTTCATTTAAATTCCAAAAGATGTTGTAGGACTTGTGATTGGTAAAAACATTTTCTTTTATTTTTTCATTTTTTACAATGTTTATTAATTTATTAATAGGAAAGAAAGGTGAAACAATCAAATAAATCAAAGAAAAGTCAGGTGCTGATAAAGTTTACATGCAACCTGAAAATTAACGCAATTAATAAGATGATTCCTATTAAAATCTTATTGTAGAAGGCTCTGCAAGCTAAGTTGAAAGAGTTAGAGAGCTAGTCAATGACATTAAAAACTAATAGCAACAAAAGAAATAAGGGTACAACGATAATTTTAATAACAACAATTTCAATAATAGAGGTGGTAATTAAAAGCAAGAAGCTAGAATAGAAATGGAAATACCAGCAAATTTGGCTGGTTTAGTCATTGGATCTAAAGGCTCTACCTTGCAATAAGTGGGTAGTGAAACAAGGACACGTTGTTAAATTAATTAAAACAATAATGACAACAGAAAAATATTAATAATTGTTGGTAATACAGAAGAGGATTGCCAAAGAGCTAAAGAAATATTCTAAGAAAAAATGAACAGCAGAATGGCAGGAAACTAAAATGACAGAGACAATAACTAAAGAGGAGGTGGTTTCAATAATAGAGGGAATAATAATAGTAGTAGAGGAGGAGGCAGAACCTTTAATAACCGTCGTCCTCGTAAGAATGCTGATGATGATGAAATTGTAGAAGCATATTAGTTTGAATCATATCCTACTTACAATCTTGAAGAATAAATGATGCATAGCTAGTAAATGTTGCTTAACATGCAAAATTTCTACAATCAATAGGGTTAATATCCTCCTTAGTAATAAGTTCCACCTGCATACGGCAATCAGCAATAATAGTAACCCAGTGATTCATATGCTGTAGATTCCAAACCTGGTTAGTCAACTGATAATTTAACTAACACTAATATTTCTACTTCAGAAAATAACACCGTAAATTCTATTTCACCTCAACCCCAATAATAAGCTGCAACTACAGAATTTTAGCAGTATCCATAACCATATGGTTAAGCACCAGGCTATGATCCAAACTAAGTGTAAATGTAAATCTCATAATATCTTTAATATTAGCAAATGTACTTGCAAACACAAAGCTACACAGGACCTGTTATTGAAGAAGTACTAGCTGACGGAACCATAGTTTCTCTAAGTTAAAGTAATTAATTATTCAATTCAGGTTATTATCAAAATAAAAAATAAAAATTTGATAAAAAGCTTAATTTTTGCTAACCTAATTATAAAGTAAATAAAAAGAAGCAAAGTTAGTAAAATATAAACTGGATTTATTAATTTTGTTTACAGAAATTATTAACAGCTAAATAAATTTATGAATATTTAAAATTAAATTAAATTAAAAATTTTATTTTAATTAAAATAGATGCAGATGACAAAAAGAAAGGTAAGAGAGGAGGTAGAAGATGATAATAGCAATGTATAAATAGAAAGAAGAAATTCTTCTTATTTAATATTAGATTTATTGAATTTACTCACTCACTACACACATAAAAACTAATAAAATAACTAACTATATCATCTAGATTATATACAAGGAACAGTTAAACAAAATTCATTAATAAAAAATAATTAATTAATTAATTGAAAATATAATATTATTAAAAATAATTAATTCGATTATATTTTAGCAAACTTTACAAATAAGCTCCTATTTCATAGCTTGTTTCAATGAAATTTGCTTATTTTTTTGTTTTATCATTCAATTTAAATCATTCACTTACATCAAGGATTGGTACTAACTAACTAACATATGAGAACAAACTAACAAAATTAAAATAAAAGCAAGCTAGCGAGACTTCATTTAACTCATCATTTAGTCCATTCATCAGACACTTCTTCCTAAATTAATTAGTTAGTTTATCAACCAACGATTTAACTAAACTGTCAAGCATTTAAAATATATTTTAATTTTATTAATTTTGAAGGATCGCTAATCAATTAACCAACTAATATTATTTAAAAATTTACATAAATTTAATTATCTTGATAAAATTTAACATTTCCATCAACTTTTATTTGATTTGTACAATTCTCCTTAGAAGAGACGGGTAGGTAAGCGAACAATTAAAATTAACATACATACATCAAAAAAATAGCATGGGTAAGTATACATTTTTAGTTTAAGTTAACAAAATGCTAGCTTCAAAAAAACATAATTAATTATAAAAGAGCCAAAAATTAATAAAAATGGAGGAGGTTTCTTACTTACTTACTAATTTACTTATTTATTTATTTACTCAATTCACTCACTTACTTGCAACATAATCAAAGTTTTATTTGATCATATACAAATAATTATATTATTTGTTATTTGTAATTATTTAAAAAGTTTATGATGGAATCTGCAATGAAATAAAATATGTTAACTTGCTTTTACTATTTATTCAGCTTTTAAGTTTTATTTAATTTAATTTATTAATCTATTATATTATTTTTAAGAAAATATAATGAATAATTTTAACTTATTTTACATGTTACAATAAATTATTAATAAATTTAAATATTTAATTTTTTTTATTTTTAGGAAATTAAATTCCAAAATTTTATTTAATTTATGAACATCGATTTGTAAAAAGATGCTTATATATACTATTACACTTAATCTATTTCGAAATTAAAAATATTTTTTATAACTGCTTGTAGCATTTTTTTTTTTAATAGTTAATTTCATTTTCTTTTAATTTATTATAAATTTTAAGATAATATTTTTGCAAAAAATATATTTAATTTCTTGCTTTTAAAAAATAAATATAAAGTTATTCGAAATAAATTTAAAAAACATTTTAATTTAAGCTGTAAAATAATAGATAAGTTTTTCTTTTAGAAAAATATCTTTAAAAATAAATTCAAATAATTTTTTTTTTGAGAAAATAAAATGAAGCAAGGAGTTTAAGATATTAGTTTGTTTGAAAAAGATTTATTTATGAATGAACTTATATAATTTATTTTGAAATAATTATTAATTAAATATGATAATAAACTTGTAAGATATTGACACATATGGCTCATCTAAATAGCTAATATTAAATGTTTTATAACAGATGAGTTATAGTTTCATCATCTTAAAATACTATTACTAAGTCTTCTAATTATGATTTTTAAATATTTTTGAAGCAGGGTAAATAATTTTAGTCTGAAACCTATTTCTCCAACTCAGTAATATAGAACTTGAATTACTCAACAATAGTTTTGATGCTAGTAGATGGATCTTGTGAAGGAAATTATTGATTAAATGCTGTAAAGACACTCCAAAAGAAAGTAAGAAGGTGCTCATCATTATTTTTATCACTAAAATTAATAGTTTCAAGATGCTTAATTATAAATTAAAAGAATAATTCTCTTCTTTAGTTATCTTCTTCAAACTAACGGAAATTCATTATAATAGATGACATTTCTTCCAAAGTCAACTGAGGAAAGCAAGAAATTAAGTGATCTATAATTAGATCCTTGTTTTAGCGTTCTAAGTGATAATGGAGAGAGAATTTGAAGCTAAAAAAGATAAAGTTTAATTAACGCATATTAAAATTTTTTAAGTTCTTAATGGTAAATTGTTCAAAGCTGTTATAAAATTTGAGTGTTCCTTTTGAATGAAGGGACATGAAGTATAAAATTGTAGAAAAAGAATGCAAATCGTTATCAAATTGCTTTTTTTCTAAAAAGTATAATGCTTATCTTTCTATTTAGCCAAATAAATAGTCAGATGGAGTGTAATATAGAGCCATTCCTCTAAAGGCGTTTGCCAACTATCTGGTATTCTTAAAGCGCAGGTAAATAAAAATATTTTCAAATCGCTCATAAAAATCATATGAGAACTTATTTTCGTTAAAGTTAGCAATAGAATTAAAGAGAGTGCAGATAGAAAGACTGTCAATCTCTAAGTCGTTTCTAAATAAACTAGCTATTTTCTTTTTGTCATTAAATTTATTGTCTTATAGCCAACTTTATTATTTGTAATTATTTGGTTGGCTTTCTTTGATATAATCTGAGTCAAATGGAAGTGCTGCAGCATTTTCAATTAAATTAAATATTTAAGAATTTCCTAAAATATTTTGATTTTTTGAGTAGCTAAAAATCATATCAGATAAATCTCTGCATGACATATTATTTATAGCTCCTTTTTGTGAAAGCTTTTAAACAAGAATGGAATCGATTTTTTGAAATAAGTCATCTTAAATAAATCCACTTATTGTCAAACCATAAAATATAGTTAAGAGCGCTTTCAAATTCATGTTAGGATTTAATGCGGCTTCTATATCTTTATGGATGTTTTGAAGCATATCTATTTTACCTCTCTTTCCAATTTGGTAAATAAAATTTGCTTTTTCTTAATCATTCATAGCTGAAAAGACTTTTATACCTTATTCATCTAATATTTAATATATCTACTATATTTTTTGATAGTATTTATCTTCCTACTCCTCAAATCCATTTCTTTATTCACTATCATGAGCTTTTTTAAACTATTACAAATCCAATATTTTTGACAAAAAAAAGCTTAGTTAAGCTATTGGTCTAGAAATCTCTTCTACCTATTTCCAATCTTAAAAATTTAATAGCTTATTATGCAATCCATAATTTATTTAATACAACAAATCCTTATCTATCTTATCTCTAGATAGTTAAAAAATCTTTTTGTAAAGAGTAGAATAATTGATAAAATTAAAAACCTCTCCATTATTCTGATGTATTTTTAATAACTCCGTTAAATCTTAACTATCTACAATTTTATGATTAATTTGAATATTCTAATTGAACTAAACATTTTTTTTTTGGCCTTGATAGCCCCTCATTTTTATTTAGCTAAACTAAAAAACAATAAATTTATTTAATCCTCTTTAAAAGATGTTCATCAAATTTGCTGAAAGATGTGTGTATATATACTAAACTTTATATTTTTTCTGGTTGAAATTGAAAAAGATAAATAATATTTTGTAGAAATTGTTAATCAATCAATTAAAGTATGTAATTTTATTTTTATTTAGATCCTAATAAACTTGATATCAAATAAGATTCTGCCCACAATATAAATATAAAAATCTTAAAAAGAATATTCTATTGAAGAATTATAATTATTTTTAAATAAATAAAAAAAATCAATTTTAAAAATTTCGTTGAGACAACAAAATGTTATGTAGATTGAATACTAATATATAATATAAATAAGTGTGTTATTAAACAGTAAAATTATTAAATATAAAACTATAATTTATTTTTTAACAGCCCTTTTAGCATATTTTAACTACTATTTTATATATTTTTATTATAAAAATTTTAGATACAAAAATATCATTTAGCACCATTTATTTATTTAACTATTATAAATTCATTTTTAGGATTTTTTTGCAAGGAATATAAAGCAAAATTTAAAGTATATTTTGTTTGTTTCTATGGGTATTTTATATTTTTAAAAAGAAAGCTGTTTATTTTTTGAATGTTTTATTTATAAAATTTCGAAATGAAAAGTTTTTGTTCTTAAACTAGATTTTTGTTTATTTAATTTTTGTTTTTTACTAAAAATATAAAAATAATTTGATCAGTAATAGCGATATTGCTATTATTGTTGTTGGTGTTGAATGTCAAACATATTTTGTTGGTAGTATTATGGTTGAGAGTTTTGAGATCCATTCGTATTTAAAGGATGACCTTATTAACCTATGTTTAAATGATTCTGCTACTATGAATGGTGATCTTGTTAATTTTAACCGTAGTAGTTGTTAGGAGGATAATTCTATTAATTATGGTTATTTTAATTGCTATACTAACTATAATTAATTGGTTGATGCTAAGGATCAAAAGAGTTATTTTAGTTATACTATTAATTTTAATACTACTATTATTATTAATGATATTAGCCTGAATTAGAGTTATTATTATAGTAGCTTTACTATTAGCTAGGTTGATGGTGAGAATATTATTAATTTTCATTTGAGTTATTATTATAATTTTTGTTAAGCTAATTGTTTTCTTAATGGTATCCAGATGAAGATTAATGTTAATTCATTTATTAAGAATTATTTTATTATTAATTTTAGTATTGGTAATCATAATTTCCTCCATAATAATTACCATCATTTTAAGTTTAAGGTCCTCCTTAATTCTTACTGTAAGGCTATTGTTGCTAGTTATGGTTTGACTAAGATTGGTGTTAATATTAATTGTGTTATTAAGATTAATTAAATTAGTTATTATCATATTACTTATTGCTTCCACTGTATTTTCCTTAGTCTTCCTTCCCTTTGTTTTTAAAATTTCTACTAAAATCGTTTTAATAATTGCTATTATTTCTGTTTCCATAATTATGATTACCGTTACCATTATTACTATGCATTTAATTTTAATTATTATTGTAGTTATTCGAGTATCCTTTACTACTACTGCTGCTGCTATGATTCATGTTGCTAAATTTCTCTTCATTATTTGAAAATTTAGATGAATACTAATTTTCCTAAAAACCTTTTGCGTTACGATCATAATTTCCATTTGTCTATCCATTTCCTTTTTTATAAAAACCTGATCCGTTTTAGGAGTTATTATGGTTATTTCCGTTGTTACCATAATTACGGTGAGGTGAGTTACTGTATCTAGAGTGATGGTTATTGAACCTGCCTTCGTTATTATTATTTCTTCCATGATTATTATGATTTGAAAATCCCCCTGAGCTGTTAGAATGTTTATCGTAGCGATTTCCGTTATTTCCGTGATTTGAAAACTTATTAGATGAATTAGAAGAGCTTGAGCCTCCGTTCGAATTGCCATTGCTTCCAGAGTAGGATTTTCTCTTTTTTATGTGGTTAGTAAATTCTTTTAAGTGACTCAAAAATATTTCAATATAACGACTGCCCATTTTTTCTTTATCTTTTTCTATAGCTTTTTGAGCATCCTGCTTTGTAGCAAATATAATAAAAGCCTCACCTGAAGGTCTTTTTCCATCATAGACTTTTTAAATACCATTTTGAACAATTTGTGAATCTTTGAAGAATTTTTAGATATCTTAGTCCGTTGCATTATATGGTAAACCTCTTATTTTAACAATGTTTGCACTCTAAAGAAGATTTGGGTCTATTTGTGAATTAATTTAGGATATACCAACTTTTTAATCATCAATAATTTGAGAATCTTAAGCACGAACAAAATCACTTTATTCAGCAACAAATACTTCAATATACCTCTTACCCATATTTCTCATGTGCTTATCTTTTATTTTGTCTAGTTAGTTTTGATCCTTAGTTCTAATGACACACTCACCACTAAATCTGCCATCATTGTCATGCTTAAAAGTAATTTAATCTTATTCTAAACTTATTCCTAAAAATTATTAGATTTCAGCTTCTCTGGCATTGAAGGGAAGTCCCCTTAGCCTTAGATAATGATAAGAATCACTTCTACTACCAGACTTAGAATATTTACTATCACTTTAGCTGTCTTAAGTCCTAATATGTGAAGATGATGATTATGAAGAAGATGAGGAAAAGCTATTAGATTTTCTGCTGCTACTTTTAGAAGTCTTTTCTTTACTTCTGGAGCTTCTACTTCTCGATACATCTCTTCTAGATGCCTTCTTTCTATCTTTAATCTAATTATCACTTTCTTTCTTACTTGAGGATGTAATTAGTTGTCCTAATCCATGCCCTAAGTTAGATGAATTACCTTTTTCAGTTAAGTAAAAGTTACTATCATTCATATTTTATGATTCTTAAGCTTAAACAAATTCAATTTTATCAGCTACAAATATCTCAATATACCTATTTTTCATAGTTTTTTTATGCATACTTTTTATTTTATCAAATTGATCTTGATCCTTTGCTTTAATAAAGCATTCTCCTGTAAATTTTTCATTTTTATCATATTTAAAAACCATTTGATACTTGTCTAATGTTAAACCTAAAAAGTCTTAAACTTCTGACTCTTTTGCATTATAAGGTATCCCTCTAAGTTTCAAGAAATAATGTGAACCACCATTAATAAGCAAGCCTTTTGGATCACTCCATAGCTCTTCTTTATCTATAATTTGTCTCTAATTTGAGCTTTCACTTGACTATCTTATAATTTTTAATTAAGGACTTTATAAAATATTTTTTTAAGATTCTTTGTTTTCCTAATTTTTAATTATTTAATTAAATTAAAACTATATCAATCAAATAAATTTATTTTAAAATTTTACCATCTTAGAAGTCAGGTTCTGATTCTTTAATTTCAAAATTTCTTAATTCAGTGGATCTTTGAAAGGGATAGTTGTCCTGAGCATAATAGAGACAATTTTAGATATTAACGTAGCTGTCTAAAAAGTTTCAGATTTTTAAGCTGTTTACTAATCATTCTAAAATGAGAAGTAATTAATCAAGTCTTTTATGGAATCTTTTTTATCAGAAAATATTAACTCTGCTTAATGTAAGATGTCAAATATCTCATATTTGTAAATCCAGTTCAAATTACTCATCCCTTACAAAACAGAATAAAGTTATGAATCAGAAATTAAAAATGAAATTTATATTGTAGGGTCTTAAGAAATATCTTGAATATAGCTTTAAATACTCTACAAATTAAAATCCTTTTTTCATAATAAAAAATGAATTAGTTTTTTTAAAGTAAATTATTTGCTTTTCATGTAGTAAATTATAGATTTTTCTATTCAGAAATATCAAATGTTTTTCCATCTTTACCCATTAAAATATTGTTTTTGCTATTTGCATTTAAATGACTGTTTATTCGACTATAAACTGTTTAAACCAAAAATATAAACCCCTTTTTCCTCCATTTTATGGGTTTTGAAATAGAAAAAAAGTAGAAAAATAATTCTTTAATTGAATCTTAAAGCTACGATTTCAATCTAATTCAACATTATTAATCCTGACTGAATGACTGACAGATATCAATTGCTAAATTTAATAATTAATTAAAGATAACTAATTATTAGTTTTTTCTCTTTTTTCATCAAATCAAATAATATTTTTTAACGAAAAGATAGACTTAATGATGAGCAAATAGAATTCCTCCAAACATGAAAATTGCTGAAGACAACTAACTAACTGATTACAAATCATCCCAAAAATTTAATAAACACCCTTTATATTGCTATGAGTAATTAATATAATTTTTGCTCCCTTTTGAAAATAATATGCCTATTAATATCTTAATGCAGATATTTCCCTATACAAAGAAAACCTCCAACAAAATAATCTATTTTCCAGTTTATCCTCTATTGAATTTTTCCCATTTTAACAATAAGTATTTATTTTATTATTTTGAAAATAGTATTGATACAAATCGATGTTGTTACCTCTGGTATTTTACAGAGAATAAGATGTTGAAAATAAAAATTGTATATTTAAACTAAAAGTGCGAAATGGATTGATTGATTGATTGATTGATTTACATTGCTAATAATTTTATTTTATTTTGTTATTTATCCAGCATTATTTATTTATTTATTAATTGATTTGAGTGTTCACAGAAGTATGTATGTAGAATAAAGAAAAATAGAAGAAAAAATATTATTCGAAAAAAATCTAATGTAATTAGTTATTATTATAATAACTAATTAATTAATTTAAAATAGGAAGTTTGTTTTAATGAATGAATAAGATTTTATATTTTAGTGATCAAATAAATAGAAGAAAAAAATGCATAAATTAATCAATCACTCTAAAATTTAATTTTTGTGTAAATCCTTTCTTAATTAATTAATCAATATTTGATAAGGGGGTAGCTTTTAAATGCAATTAGCAAAAGAAAAATAAGAATTCTTTAATTATTTATACAGCTACTTGCTATTTTTAGACATTTTTGTCTGATATATGTTTGTCATCTGTGGTAAAGATAAAGATGAAATAAAATCAAAAAAAACTCTTTTTGTGAATTATATATGTATGTACTTCCTGCTTGATAGATTGAACATCCGTAAGACTTTTTTTGTTTTGCAGATCAAAAACCTCCCAGCATAATTCCGATAATTAAGATGAAGTAATTGTTGATAATGTTGTTAATGTTTGAAGTTGTATTTGTTGTTGTTGTTGTTGTTGCTAAAGATCTTCGCTTGTCTTCTCTTCCACCACCCCAATATTACTATTACCAGTGCTGGCATTATTTTGATGACCATCACTAAGGTTTTTCTAGTTATTTATTTTTAAATCCCCGTGTAATACAATTAATATATTCTTCTAATCTAACAATATTTAATAATATAAAATAAATATCCCATTATTCTTTGTTTTTATTATTATTATTTCTTTTTACCACCACAACCTCCCTTATCCATTTAGAGCTATCAATAACCTTTTATATTCTTCACTAAATTAAATCTCTCTCCAAATTTTTTTATAACACTCTTCAGTTTTCTTTCCAAATAAATTTGGTGTTTTTTATGAATTTTCTACTTATTTTTGCTTATTTATAATTTTCTTTCAATTAATTATTTATTATATCAAGAAATTAATATCATCGTATATCAAATTGGATTATATTATTCAATACATACATACACATATACATGCAAATATTATTAATCGAAGTAAACAAGCAAACATGCATACATAAATACATATTTATTCATTCAAAAATACATAAAAATATATAATACATTCTTTAAGTTTGTAGAATTCAAATTAAAACAAAATCTAAATGTAAAAAAGCAGGTAATAAGCAAAAAAAAAAATAGGGCATTCATTTTTTCCCATAAAATCTAAAATATCAATTTATTTATGTATTACTTTAAATATTTGAATTGCATATAATATAAATAGTTTACAATTCTTTCAGATGAAATTAAAATAATCCCTAATTTAAAAACTCAAAGTAAAATGAATGTTTGAAAATTGCTACAATAAAGCAACAAAATTAAAAAACTAAAATAAATATTTTTACTTTCTAAAATGAAGATTATAAACAAGAAATATATAATTATTTAAGATGAGCAATTTTATTGATCCAATTAAATAGTATATCTATTATTAATGTTAATAATCAAGAATTTTCTATAATCATTTAATCATTATTTTATTGTTAAAATGTTATTTCTTGCAATTTTAGTATAAATTAATTGAGTTCACTAACTGAAGGATTTATATTTTCTAACTTAAGTTATTTTTATAGCTTTTCTATTAATATATGAACTATCTCTTCATAAAATTAACCACATTTAAATACTTAATTTTCAAAATTTTATTATAAATCATTATCGATATCCTCTGCAAATTATTTTAGTAGACTAAAAATCTATTTTAATTTCAAATTATTGTTTGAAAATTTAATTAAAAAAATTAATATAATTACAGTAGAGTGAGAAGAAGCTGATGCTGTATTCATATTTACTGGAGATGTTGATTTTAATTTATTATTTACACTAGATAAAATCTAAAGGGATTATTTCTAAATTTTTGTCCTAGATTAAAAATTTTTGCAAATTAATTTAACTATATAAAATTTTTGAAATTAAATAAATAAATACTTAATATCTGGGTCGTATTTAAGTGCTATGTCTAAAATAGTATTTAAAAAGTATTTTAAATAGTTCAACTGTATTTCTTCTAAAAAGCTTTTTTCAAATTCAATCGTGCTTGTTTGTTAAAATTTCCTCAATACTTTTAATATTTTTCTCATGATTAAAATTTCCATTTCTCTAATTACTTCCTAGCTCTGGCTTTAAAAAAATAAGAATAAATATTGTTTGTAAACAGTTTTATTAAGAGTATCTCTAACCATATTTTCTAATTCTTTTCTTTGTAAATGAGTTTAGTTTTCATTTTTAACTGTTATATATTCCATTTGATTAATTTAAACAAAAACATAAAGAAAAGTATTTATCATCTTCTTCTGTATTAAAGTTTCATCTAAAATTTGACCATTTTCGTTTTATGTTTCAGCCAGCACTAAAATATTCAACACTTCTTTGTAAAGCGTATTAATTTTTGCATTTTTATTCATATCAACTTTAGTATAATATTAAAATTTAATTTCTTGTATATCCTGTATAAAAGCATTTAGAAGTTTCGTTCTAAAGATTTAATTTTTTTATTATTCTTTAGGTTACAATTATGATTATTCAAGTTATTATTTTATTGAATCTCTTAATAAAATGGAGCATTTTTCTTCTACTGTATTTGAATTTTTAATTATCATGAATATTTCAATAGATTTTAATTAAATAGTCAACTTTAAAATAAAATCTGTGTACTTAGATTTCAAACAAAATTTAATAATTGGTTTGAAATCAGGTCTACTTTATCTGATTAAATAATTTAACATTTTAGATTATTCTAGTTAAAAGTTTTCTAAACTAAAATCTTGCTAAGCATTTTTGAGAAACAATTAATTCCAAACTATTTTTATTTAATCATTTAAGAATTTTTAATTTTAATCATCATTATTTTACAATTAAGAATTTTAAGTTAAGATTGATTTTTGCTCTAAACTTTCCTCATTATTTATTTATATTAACTTTCTTAAAAAGTACATTGTCCTATTAAAGAATTTAAAGCATTCTGATTGCTTTACATCCTTCAAAATGGTATCAGTTATACAACTCTTCAATTAAGTAAGTAATTGACGTGGGATGATAAATTTATTTAAATATCTATCTTCTTCTCTTTGAAGTTGTAATTATAAATTCTTTATTATCTATTTAATTATGTCGAGCTCACTTTCATAAAATTACTCTTATTCAATTTTAAAAATTTAAGTAAAAACTCTAGTTTTTTAAAGTACTTAAAATAGTTTATCTGTTTGTTTTTAAGTAAATTAGTCTCTTTTTTAGTTATATTTGCACTTAAATTGCAATACTCTTTCTATAAAGATACTTAAATTTTAAATATACTTATATATTAACTGTACTTCATTTCCTTCATAAGAAATAAGCAACTTTATAAATAAAGTTACAACTGCCTGCAAAATAAATTTTTCAAGTGGATGCAACTCAGCTATATTTTAAAAATTTTTAAAATGTTAATATTGAAAAATAAATATTTTTTATTTACTTTCTTCAAGAGAATAAGTGTCTGATTTATAATTGAGGCAATCTTTAATAATCTTATAATGATCTTTGTACAAAGATAAAAACTAATTATAAGTTTGAAAAATTAAGTTATATCTTTTGATGAGTAAACTGAAGTCACTTAATTCAGAATAAATATCACCCATAAATAAAGGTTTATCCTAAAGCAGTAAATTAGAAATCTACTCAAATGAAATTTATGGTTATTGCTAAAATTATGAATTTAAGACACAGCCAAGTAATTTAAAACTCATCTCTATTGTTCTTGTATTTGGGTGAAATATTTTATTTTATTTTTTCATAGCTTCTTGATTGAATCTGTAATTAAATAATTAAATGAAAAAAAATTACTAAATAAATTTCTATTTAAATTTAATTGAATTAAAATCATAAAATTAAATTAATTCTAGAAAATAAATTAGAATAATTGTAAGAAAAAAATAAATAAATATTTATTATAGCTTTACTGAAATAAAACCTTAAAATTAAGTAAATTAATTAAATAAAATTGGAATTATTAGAAGAAGAAAAAAAAATTACAGTTGAGTGATGAATTCAATTAAATTTTTTTTTAACTTTGGGCTAATTTAAACAATACAATCGTGAATCTCGTTTAATTTTTTATTCCTTTCATCTTTTATTTTATATTCTTAAGCAAATTATTCATCATCATCATCAGAGCTTTCAGAAGATTATTAATTATGCTAATTACTGAAATTATAATTTTCTATATCTCCTAGTATTTTATTTTAATTTTCTATTTATATATTTTATTTTATTGAAGAGAGATTGAGTGATGCTTAGCAAAAATCATTAGAATTGTTTTAGGAGTCAAGTAATGTTTAATTTTTGTAGTTAGTCTAATTAATGATAGTGGAATTCTATTCATTTTACTTTTTAATATTAGGGATAGTCTATGAATTTTAGTTTATGGTCACTGTATCGAGTATTGTACTAGGATATTGATAGAGTAAATAAAACATTTAAAGTAATAGATATCTAAAATCAGGATGAATGATTTAATTAGGATTCAAAAAGTTTATTAAATCATCACTATTAAGAAAGGTTTTTATAAAAAGCTTTATAAATTCAGATGATCTGATAAGCATAGAGTTAATTTAACCAAATGCCCATAAGACAGTATATTAAAAACCTTCAATCAGCTTAGTGATATACAAATTCTTTTGATTATTTTATTTATTTGTCAAATAAGTGTTATTCATAATAGCCTAATTACTTGAAGTATTGTTATATTTTTCAACTAAAAAACTTAAAGCAGTATAAGTTGTTTGGAAAATTTCAATATATGAACTACTTGTATTAGAGTTGTAATTTTACTGATCAAACGTTTTCAAGAGATTTATGTAGGAACAATGAATAAGAGTCCTAGCTTTAATAGCATTCTCTTTAGGATCTGGAAACAATTTTTTAATTAATTTCAAAATAGTTGATAGAATCATTTTATTTGAAAAGTCAAAATTTTTGATAAATACTTTTATGATAAGTATATCTCGAAGAGTTATTTCTTTTAGTTAGTTATTTCCGATAGAGTTTTAAATTGAGCTCAATAACCTCATTTAATTTTTACTGATTCTTAAATTTTAGTCTTCCATAAAATTTCTCTCTAGCAGTTCACTAGGGTACTTTATTAAGAAGGCAAGTTGTTTAAAAAGTTATTGTTATGAAATGCTTTAAGTGTTTTTTTCATATTATAAAATTTTATTATTGCCATTAGATTAGATACTTTATACTTTATCCTCTTCATTCACTACTTCTTAAAATATTTGCATATAAATTTCGTTTAACAAGTCTTTCTAGTCTTTTATATTATAGTTGATACATTCAACAACTGTATTCATGAGTTTAGTAATTAAATCACTTGAAATATCAATATTAAAAACAAATGTGCTATCAAGTAAAATATCAACTACTCTATCTACTCTCTTATTAATATCTATCAACTTTACTAAAATTAAGCTTTTCTCTATCTAAGAGTAAGTGCTTTAAAAAATACTGAAGAATTAAATAGGACTTTGCTCAAAAATAATTTTTGTGATATTTAATTATCCTTCTCTTTTTATTAAGATTTTTTTCAAGGTATTTATAAATAAATCCTTTTCTGTCACATCCTCAGCATAGAAAAGATGATGCAAAAAAATCATTGAAATGTCAAGATTATCAGAATTAAGAGAACAAATATTATTTGTATATGGTTAAAAATATCTTTCAGAGACAACCTGATCATTCGAACAATTAGAAAAAAAATTTATAACTGATTCTGCATCAGATGCAAATAAATTTATCTGTCTTTCTAAATCTAATTAATTTTTATTCAATGCTCTACTCATTTCTTGCAAAAGAATTATTTGCTTAGAAATATCTCTTAAAATTTCTTCATTAATTTCATGGATATCTTAAGATGCAAAATTGATCTTTTTTTACTTACTCACTTTCTTTGGTGTATTGTTGTTTGGAGCTGTACAATCTTCATCAAGCATTTCTCTATATCCTATTTCTGTTTCCATACATTCCTAGCCTTCACTATCAGATGGATTTTCGATATTAATTTATTAATATTCCATTAAGTAAATAATTATGTCAAAAAATATAATGCCTAAAAGTTTATAACTATTCATAATATAATTTTTGTAAACAAACTGATAGTACAACTCTTTAAGTTCTTCATTTTAAAGTCCTATAACAAATAGGTAGAGCAGTTAAATAAGATAATCCTTTTCATGAGTTTAGAGCTTGTTCCAGAATATTTGATTTCTGAGAATGCAAACAATTTCTAATTTTAATTTTTTTTAAATTTCTTTATCTAGATTTTCATCCTCCTTTATTCTATTTTATTTAACTTTTTCCAACAGATAAAATATTGTTTATTCAGACTCAAGTTTGTAAGTTATAGTGAAGTTTTTAACTTTTAAAATATTTGTTGCTTCTTCCATCAAACTATTTGACAAATTGCAAGTTTTAGGGAGATCATTCACAATACTGCTCCTGATTTCTTCAATATCTTTTACATTATAATAGATTAACTACTGTTAATTCTAAAGTGCCATTATTAGCTTTTATTCAATCATTTTCAATGCTTGATATGTAACATGTTATTAATCTAAATTTGTGTTTTGAATATTTGCAATCTATTTCTATGATGTATTTTCCTTTACTTTTCTAGGCATGTACTTTGTATAAAAAGTCTTCTGCTATCTATTTAAAAATAAAATTAAATCATTAATGCTATTTAAATTTAAAATTAAAATACCTTATCATTTTTTGAATTTTATTTCTCTTGCCTTATATCTATTAGCCTTTTTTATTTTAATACTTGCCTTGCTCTAAATTTTCAATTTCATCAACCATAATTAAACTAGAATCTTCATTATCAACTTCCGTAATTTTTTGTTTATTAGGTTTTTATATTTCATTAAAAGATATTTAAGAGTTTTCAAACTAAGCAGAATCTTATTCGTTGATAACTGATTGTTATGATTCATCTTTAATTAATGATGAATTTTTCTATTTTGCTTATTGCTTTTATTTCTTATTTTAATATTTTGAAATAATTTAATCTGATGTAAAAAAAATGCGTTATTTGATTGGGTCATTTTTAGTATTATTAATATACCTAGTATTACTCAATATTTTGCTTTCTAAGATCATGATGTTTTTGTTGACCTTTAACTTTTACTGTTTTGGATCTTTTCTTTGTTTTTTTTCTTGTTTTAACATTTTAACGGCCTTTTCAACTTTTATCTTCTTCCTTTTTTCTTTCTAAAGTTAATAATTTGCATCATTTTATTATAGTAGCTACTCTGTGAAATTATGCAATTTTGCTTTTTTTTATTTTCTATTTAAAATTTTGTTTCGTTAAGGTTTTTACTTTTTTTAAGTTTATTTAAAAGCATTTAGCATTTCATTTTCATTTTCTCTTTTAAATTTCTTTTAAGCATCTAAATTATCATCTTCGTTTTATATATTTATTGCTTTTTTATTGTTGCCTTCGATTATATTTTCCTTTGAAAGAGATAGTTTATTGTCAAATTCAAAAGGATTAACACTATTTTCATCAAAAAAAGAGTATTATGAATTACCTAACTTCTCTATTTTATTTAAGATATTTGAATTATTTATTTAATCTTCCATTTGAGTAAATTTAGGTTATGCTATCATTTTATTTTATTAGTTTTAAGATTCACCATCAAAATCAAAATCATATTTGTCATCAATCTCGTTTATATCTTTTTCTTACAGCTACTAACTCCAATAACTAAATTAAGAAATATTATCCTCAGTGCTAAAATTTATTTCACTTAAGTCTGGTAGTTCCATCAGATTTTCTTATTAGACTTGCAAATCATTTTATAATTCATTTGCAACAGGACATGTTATATTAAGTTTATTAATTTATTGCTTAAATTACTGTTGCTATTTATTAGCTTTATTAAAGCTTAGTTCTGGTTCTGAATCATATCCGTCAAAAATAGGTTACATATCAAATTCTTGTTCTTTTATTCTTTTTTTCCCTTATTTTTAATATTTATTCTTTGAAAATAAATCTACTTGCTAAAAGCCTTGGTTTGGCTATTAATTATCAAAATTTTAAATATCTTCTGTTTCCATTTCTCCATCACTATCTTATATGCATAATTCTTTTTTTACTGATTTTTTTTATTTATTTTATTAATCAGCATTATTTATATTGCTTTTTTTCTTGTTTATAGCTTATTTGTCGTTTTACTCATGTTCCTTTGCTTAATTATTTACTTTAACTATTAAAGAAGCACTTTCTTTTATTTTTTCAATGTCATTCTTTGGATCTTTCTTTAGGATAGCTAAATCATTAATAGTTTAATAATAGAGATATAAATGTATAAAATTTACGTGCATTATTTAAGTCGGTCCCTTATTCTAACAAATTAATGAGATTATCTACTTTTGGTTTAACTCTGCGTTAAATATTAATGTAATCTATTCCTATCTTTAATAATATAAAATTTTGATAAAAAATAATTAAATAAGCATCAAAATATTTACAATTTAACAAATTTATTCTATCTTGTCATTTGATATCTTTGTACAAATCTAATCTAATTCTTCAATTATGAATTTTTTGAAAGAATTGAATTCTTTTTCGAATTCTTATTCACTATTTAAATTTATATTTTTCATTTTTGTAGAGCTAAGTAAATCATTTAAAATTTATTTATATTATTCTGTCTATTTATTCAAATTCAAATTTGTTCTGATCTCATTATATTTTTGGTAGCACATTAATCCATTTTTCCTATTATACTTTAAGCTAATTATTCCCCATAGACCTTTTAAATCCTAAATTTTAGATTTTAATAACTTGTAGAACATTTTGAATAGCTCAAATATTTCGTCTTCTCTCCATTAATCATTTCTATTAAAATTCTCAATTGAGTTGTTGAAATAAATAAAAAAAAGGTTCGGATTCTTTTCAAAATTTTTCAAGACTATTCTATGTATAGGATACCAATTTACTTATATTTATTTAAAACTATACAAATTGCAAGAAAATTCTTATTAATTTAATTCTACATCCATTATTTCCAACTGAACAATCTTTTAGTTTATAAATAATATCTTTTTAATGTCTGATTTTTATTTAAATTTATCTTTTAGTTTGTTATTTCTGCTTTCAAAAGCTTAATTTTAAGCCTACTATTTATTATTATTAAATTAATTAATTAACAAAGAATATATTAATTTTTTGTACTTCGCGCAATTTTCAAAAACAGTTAATATCCTTTAAGTTTTTTATTTGAAAAATATTTTCTTAGAATTAATTTAAAAAGAACTTCTAAACCGCATTTATCCATAGATTATATCAGAAAAATTTGATCAATTAAATTTTAACTTAAATTATTTAAAAAATAACAATCATTCTATTAATTTTTTCAAATGTAAAATTAGATTTTAAGGATATTTTTTTTTAAATTAAAAAAAATATTTTTTATCTATATTCTTTCAATATAAATAGAGACAAATTTAAACTTTAAACAACTTGAAAAATATTATTCATTTTAAATTAAAGAAATTTTTTAAAAAATTTGATTTTTATAAATTTAAAAGTGAATAGAAAAAAAATAAAAAATAATTTTTATCAAAAGTAAAGTTAAATACATACATACATAAATTAAATTTGCTAAGTAAAAACATTTTCTAAAATAATTTTGGTTTTTAATTATTTTTTTATTTATTTAATTAATTAATTAATTAATTTAGTTGATAAATAATATTTTTTTTTTATTAATTTTGTATTTAATATTAAATTAAAATTTTGATTTTTTTTTTTATATTATAAATAATTTATATAACAATTTAGTGAGTAAGTAAGTAGTAAAAAATAAAATTTTTTGAAATTAATCATTTTACAGTTTTTATTTTCATTCTATATGCTAATAACTTTGGGCATGCTTTATAATTTTAATATCATTTTCTATACTGTTTAGAAAAAAATTGCTATTATTATTATTATTATTATTATTATTATTATTATTATTATTATTATTATTGTTATTGTTTGAAACTTCACTTAAACTCAAAGTAAATGTATTTACCTTGTTTTCCCAATTTAGTTTGATTTAATTTAAGTTAGTAAATAAAAATCCATTTTAGCAAAATACTGCTTTTGGATTAGGTAATAGTTTCGATTAGTCATGCTTTTTTTCTAGATTTTAATGCAAATTAGCATTTAGATTGATTTCATTACCTGAAGTTTAATTTTTATTTTCATTCACTTAAATTTATTCTTTATTTTGGTTTTTGTTAAGTAGATTTTAACCTTAAAAAAATTAATTTTCGATATTCATATCTTTATTTTATTACTAGGATTGTTCTTGCTAATTGATAGGCGAAGAAGATATATCTGAAATAGGATGTTACAATGAATACTCATAGCTTTTCGTACTATTTAATTTTTTCAAGTTAAAATTATCATAAATTATTTAGTTAATTTATATTTATTCGTTATCCTATGAATTTATTGTTAGTTTATCTTCTTTGACAGTTTCTTAAAGCTAGTTTTTATGTTTAAAATTGTAAGAATTTTTATAAATTGAGTTTTTGTTTACTCCTTCATCTATTGAATAATTGTTGAACAATGTAGTATCATTAATTGATAAATTTAATTCATTAATTTTGTTTTCTCCTTCTTTCATGATTACAGAAGGAGAATCTATTGAGAATTTATTAGTAGTAATATTAAAAGGGCTAGTTATTCTTTCTTCAGTATGATAACATTTCTTTATTACTTAAGAATCAATATTTGAATGAGAATTTAAATTGAATTACTTTTCTTCTTCTTTCTCAAATAAATCTTCACTTTCGTTTTCATGAGATCTTTATGGGCTTATGGAATATTTTTAATGGAAAAAAGCACTTGGTTTTGATTGATTAGTGTTTTAGTTTCTTGTTTTTATAAAGCCTGGAGTAGATAAATCCTCAGATCTTTTGCTAATGTTAAGAATATAACTAGGCAAAAGAAGAGCTTTACCTTGCTAATCAACAGCATTTAAGCGAGGAGTGTCATATTCTCCTCCTTATCGATAAATATCTCCTATTGTTGATTTTTGCATTCCAAAACTTAAAATTTAATTTGAAACAACACTGACTCCATTTCTAGGAGAAATTTTGGGAGCAAAACCATTTACCATAAAATTGCTTGTGCAATTACTTTAACTTTTTTAACTAAGTCTATCTTCGCTTACTATTTCATCGTTGTTTTTTAATTTTTTAAGGTTTTAAGCTGCAATTGTAGGGCTAATTTAATAAATTGATTTTTTGGCAAAGGAATTGTCTGCTTTCTATGCTTTTTATGAGTTTTATTTCACTGTATGCAATTCTTTTTATTCAATATTATTCGGACTATCCAAGGCTTCTGCTGTACATGGAAAAGATTTTAATTCTCGAGTATCTAAAGAAAGATTATTGCTACTATGATTTATTCCTGTAAATATTGATTCTGCCAATTTAATCTTTTTCTGCATAGAGGAAATATCTAAATCTACTGAAAAAGGTTTATCCTTTTACTTTAAATTATTAGATGAGTTTTATTTTTTTTATGTATAAAAAAAACGAGAAACAACTCCTCTTGGAGTATTTTGCACCTTTCTTATTGATTTACTACTTAATCGACTTGAATTAGAATCACGCAAATTAGCACTGTATCTTGATGAATTTATTGAATTTCTTCTTGCTTTGTTAATTTTCTTTAAATTAAATGAGGAGTTTGGATTTAAATGCATAAAAATAGACACATTGTCAGAGTCTAGCTCTTCGTTTGTTAAAATTTTCTTTTTTATTTTTCTCTTTCTAAATTTTTTATTAATTTTATAATTAATTCTTTGTTTCACTTTTATTTTTGTTTCAGGGCTTCTACTCTTTTTAAAAAAATCTTTTAAGATAGAAGAACCATATAATATGTATTTCTCAAATAGTAAGTTGTTAGGAGTTTGATTTAACATAACGTTATTTTGGTTACTTTATGCTGATTAGTAGCTACTTTCAATATTAGTTTATGGTTGCTACATAACTTCTTATGGCTTTTAGGCCGCTTAACAATTAATTTCTTAATTAATTTTGTATTGAGCATTTTATGATAGTTCTGAATAATTTTTGTTTTTTTTGATATTTTAACAAATTGAATCATCACATGAAGCTCCTTAAACTTCATCTTCTTCAACAGGTATTTCTAATGGCTACATGGAGTTTTTCTTTAACTTTTAGCTCTCATTATCGATTCTACTTATTCTCCTTTTATTATTCTGCAAATCATAGTCATTATCTATGTTTAACAAGGTATTTGGGTTATTGAATTATATCATATTCCAATCAGTTTAAAAGGATTTTCTCTCTGAGTTAGCTTAAGTTGTCATTTAATTAAATTAATTCATCGTCTGTTAACAGCTCGTAAGATTTAGCTAGCTTTTGCTATAATCTAAAAAACCTCTCCTTGTAGTAAACCCAACGAAGGTTAGCTATTTATTAGAATTTTCATCAGTCAAATCTTCAATACGAGATTGAGATTTTAATATAAAATTTTAGCTTTAAAAGCTTTTATCTCCATTTTAAAATGAAAGTACTGCATTTTCCCCATTTAATTGTGCATTTGATTTATCAGCTTAAATCATACAAGAACCATTTTAAGATGTTACATGTAAAGAATTTGGTAAAGAATTTGATTATTTATATTTTTTATTGCTATTTTCGGTTTAATCAGACTATTTTTAATTTTTTTAAGCAGAATCCTACTCATTTTAATCACTTGATTAGCACTTTTTATTTTTAAATGCTGATACTATTTGATTATTGGTGGATGAGGCTGCCGTTCTGCAGTAACTAGTTATTCGGTTCTACTAATTTTAATTATTTTTAATATTAGTATTAGTATTTAGCAGTCTTTTAATCGAATTTTGCTAGCTGGCTTATGAAGATTTTCTATTATTATTCTTATTTGAAGATTATAAATTACTTTAACTACTATAAATTTATTTTTTTGGAGTAGAATCTCCAGCAACAGACACGTTGGAGTGTAATTTTTTTCCTTTTTCTTCTTTTTTTTAATATATTTAGGGGCAGAGCTTTTTTCTGAATAAAAAAGCTAAAACACCTAACAAAAGGACACCACTAACAACACAAATTATAATTATATTTGATGTTTCAAGTTGTGGTTGATTCTAATTGTAGGATTAAGTAGAGTTTTAGCTACTGCTTGTATTAACGCTAGAAACATTTCTTTCAATTGTTTGTTTTTATCTAAATTTTATATTTATGGCATAAGTTAAGTCTAAAGAAGTTTTTTCCCCCCCTAGATTATAAAAACCAAACAATAGAGTTGGATCTACGTTAATTTACTATAAAAATAAGTTATTTTAATAATCTAGTTTGTAATTTTGCAAACTTTCAAATGGGATAGTAATTTAAACCTAATCAAAAGGCTAAATGCCTTTCAATAGAGTATCTTTATCTGTGTTTTAAGTAAGTGTTGGTAAGTCTTCTATTATGAAATAATTTGTAAATATATTAGGAGTGTATATTTAATCAATCCCATAAAAAATATAAGAGAGTGAAATATTATGAAATAAACTTTTTTTAAAAGTAAGAACAATATCGTATTAAATTTATTATTAATCAGACTCTTCAGAGTTTACTTTTGTGAAGAGTGGTAAAAAGTCAGAATCTATATCTAAATATTAAAAAATCCACTGTTCAGTTTCAATTTAAGGTAACTCTTAAATGATTTGTCTTAATTAAATCTGATCATCAGATTTCGTTATAAACCCCCCAGATCCTTGTTTGTAATTTTCAGTCAGTAATATTTAATTAGATATAGTATTAGCATACAGAGAGCAATCTAAATCGAAAAAATTTTTTTGGCAAGAGCATACTTGCTATTATGCTCGACAATTTTTAGATATTGACAAGCATTCAATGGAGCAATTATCTTAGCTCTTTACTATTTCTGAAATATGAAGACTATATTCAAATGAGTTTTCTGACTATTGATATATTTTGCTATATAAATTTAATACTCCTATTGAAAATTGAGACCTATTATTTTAGTAAAAATAAGAGACAGGAACAAACCAAGTGTGCTGCTTTTTTTAGCTGAGAAATGCACTATAATCCATCATATCTTAGTACTCTGCCATCGGTGGCGACTAAGAGGCATCAAAATTATCATATAAAAATTAAAAATCTTAACTATCAAGACTAAATAATACTACCAAAAAAATATTTTAATTGCAATTGTACTTTTTACAATAAGCAGTTTTATCATCATTATCTTAATTAGATATAGCTGAGAAATCTTATTCAGATGGGTTTTTTAATATTAAATCTACCTAAATGTAAATTTAGCTTTATATATTATGCGTTAAGCTTGTATCAAGCTCAATTTCTATATTATATGTTGAAATATTTGACGATTAACTTACTGTACTATTAAATAAGCTAATTTTAAAATCACTGTTGATTGCCTAAGTTTATACTTGATGCACTATAAAAAATAGTAATAAAAGCAGCGCGGATTGAATAAACATACTCATTAAGTATCGATCTCCGCGTTGCTTAAAGTAGTAGTTTAGTTTCAATCAAAATTTTCTATAAAATTGATTGCTTTGCTTGACTTAAATCGCCCTATTAGCTATTCTCTTTCGAGAGTAATTTATAATGAAAACTTTGATTATATATTTATTTGATTTTGATTTTTATCTCTTTTTTATTATGTTTTTGACAATATTTCTTGAAAAATACCTTTTTTTGAAATTAATTATGTAATTAATTTAATAAATTGTAAAATTATGTGAATCAAATGAAAATAAATTAATTGACACTCGTTTCATACTGTGTAATTTACATATACAAATATACATACATTATTTCACACTCATATATATCTTAAAGTAATTCATAGTCAGCTAAACTTTAGGATTCTAGTAAAATATAAGAAGATATTTTTTATCTCGAATACTCAAATATTTAAATGTTATTTTGATAAAAATTTACTCTTTATCTTTTGAATCTAATTAATTGTCTGGATTCAGTATTCAAATGTTTTAGATATATTAATTAATCTCCAAAAAAAAAACTATTGGTGAAGGAGAATCGTTTACAAAGCTTCATTTTTTTAGATTTAATTTTTAAAATTAATCTATTTATTTAGTTATCTAACTATATTTTACAAATTCAGTAAATTTCATTTTGACCTTGCTTTTTATCAAATTTACAAGTTAAAAAGTAATTTACTTTGATTGCACATTATTTAATCTTAAAAACCAAAGTGAAAAATTTGCTTTGATAATACACTATTAATAAGACAGAAATGATTAGTGATAAATTTAAATTATTTAGAATTTAGCAATTTAAAGTAAATTAATAGAGTTATTTTCTTTTTTCTTGTTGATTTTTAAATAGAAAACTCAACTTTATCTGAATTATAATAAAAACATAATTGATTTTACATACAAAAAAAATTTATGTTGTTTTTTTTGAATTATTTTATTATGAACTCCTTTGTTTACAGTTAATGCACTTGGATAATACATCAAATATTGGCATATATTTTTCAAAGTGTGTTTTTAAATTTATCTGAATGCTTACAAATATAAATTTTGAAATGGAAAATCAGTAAAATAACCAAAGATTTTACTCTTTAAACTGTTTTATTTCAAATCTTTACTGTTATTTTTATCTTTACTTTTGATTATAGATTTTTTAACTAGATTATTATAGCTTTACTCTGCTAGTTTATTGAATATTTAAGCTTTCTCAGATATTTATTTTTGCCGATAATATCTAAACAACTATAAAAAGAACTTTGCAAATGAAAAAAATAATCTTAAGAAGTATTTATTAGTGAATATTTATTTACAAATTGATGAGTTAACGATGAAAATAATAAGTTTCTATTGCTTACAAAAATTTTTTAAAAAACAAAAAAATTTAACTTAAGGTTACTAAAAACAGTGATTCTATCAAAATAAATTACTAATAAGTAAATAAAGTTGTGGGAAAATAAATACAAATTTCAAACATTTTTTAACAAATTAATTATTTATTTAGGAGAAATCCTATCTTTTGGATCTTATTTAAATATCCCTATAATTATGCTATAAAGGTTCTAATCAATTTTAAAGACTGTTGGGCAAGTTGAATTTAAGTATTGTTTTGCAAATTATTCAATTTGATTTGAAAATTTAACTTGCTTTTCAAATATTCTGTCTATTCTTCTCTGTTTATGTGAGAAAAATCCTGAAGTTACTTTTTTGGGGTCCACTCCATGACTATGTAAGAGGCATCGCTGAGGCATCCAAACTGGTATGCCTGTAATAATTTCAATAATTATGCATCCAAGAGTCCATATATCTACAGACCAAGGACACTCGTCAGAAAATACATCAACCTTTTGCTTTCCTGTATAAAGTAAGTAAAAAAATATTAATATCTTTTCATTCAATTATTTTTGCGTTTGTCATTAATAGTTTATTATGTAAAATACATTTTTGTGATATTAAATTGCTTGAAATTAAAATTGCCGTTATGCACTTAGACAATATTTAATTATGTTTCCAAGTCTATTTGATATTTTAATTTGAAAATATTTACACAATTTACTTATATAATTAATTGGTGGCTGTAATACGCGCAAAATTAAGTATTTTTATTTACGTAATGGAGTGATTTCATTTGAAAAATTGGAAAATATTAATTTTTATTAATGTAAGTAAGCTAATGACACTATTACTAACTTTCAAATTTTAAATTAAGTATACTAAGCTTAATTTATTAATTAAAGCCTTTAATGGAGTAAATTTTCATTTACCTAAAATTTGCTTCAGAACCTCAGGAGGCATGTATTCTGGAATAATGTTAGAAACTCCTTTTCTATTGTTCAAAAAGTAAGAACTCCCAAAGTCTATTATTTTTAAACCTTAAATTGCAGAAGAATCACCAAAATCAAGGGTGTCCACTAAAATATTTTCCAGTCTAAAATCAGAATGAACTATCTTGTTACTGCTAAGTAAATCAATCACTTCACATAAATTTATTATAAGTTCATACAACTATTCTTTATGATTTTGCAAAGATTTATGAAGTTTTGTAGGATATATATGGTAAATAACTTCCCCTTTCAGTGTTTCTTCTCTGATTTCTAATAATTCTCTCGATAGGCTTTTACCTATATTTGACAGATAATAAAACAAAAAAAAAATGTATCAAACTTTGTGTAATTATGTAAAAAAAATATAAATTTAATAGAATTAGTATATAAATTCTTTTTTTATATCTAATCATTTTATGATATTTCCATAGAAATATGAGAAAGTGCTCTGAAAATGATATGATAAATTTTAAATAGAGCTTGCCTTTTATTCATATTGTTAGAAAGATAGCAATCAAAGCAATAAAGTAAGCTAATTTGATTTAATTTGAATAAAAAATATTGAAAAAATATTTAATTTGACGATTATTTTTTATTTTAAATAAAATGGACTATGTTTAATAACTTTTTAAAAGGCATCCATCCTGTCAAATCCTTTTAAATTTAAATTAATTTACACTTGCTAATTAATTTGAATTTCTCTAAAATTAATTCTAAATATGGTATCAAATTTTATTACCTCCTGGTTATTGAATAAAAATTCCTTCGTTTTATAATTTTTCTATTTGAGTTGTTTAAATTAGCAAATATGAGCCAGCGTGGTTTTAATATTATTATTTAATAGAGCCACCTTCGTCAAAAAAGTATTGAATAATTGATTCTTCATTTAAGAAAGCACTTTCAGCAAATTTTGAATTAAATTAAATTCTTTTAGCTATCTAGACCTTATTTGTAATTAAATTCTTCAGTTTATAGATTTCAGAGTGTGTCCCTTTATTCATCAAATTCTTAACGCTGAAGTTTGAGAGGATGTCATAGTTTTCCTTATTTAAGAAAAGGCTACTCGATTTTAGGATAGACACTTAGGATTCAACATCTTTTATCTAATAATACGGAGTTATACTACTATCATTCAGTTAATATTACTTACTCAGATTAATCTAAGAGTTATTATTCAGCCCATTTTGTTCATTTATCATATCAGAGTTTTTTTATTCGAAATTCGATATAAAAGATTCTTTAAGAAGTATATTTTGATCATTATGTTAAATATTTTATCTATAATTAGCACTCTTATTTTAAGTCTTTTTAATAAAACTCATTTCTTCCTGTATAGGCTATCCTATTTCATTTACATAAATTTCTTAGTATGTTTCTGCAGGTTTGCTTTCCTCAATTGGTAAAATCAGAGGTGGTTAATCAATACATGGTATAAACTCTATATTTTACTATTCTTGGTACAATAATTTTTCTGGGCTATGTCCATCTATTATATTTGACATTATAGACGAGTATGCTTTTTAGTTACTTACAAAACCTTTTTTTTATTCTCCTATTGGACTAAAAGCCTATGTAAGTGTGATAACTGAAGAATTTCCATTATTTTTTGATAAATTTGTTGGTGTGTTAATAAGAAAAGGCTAAGCATCAGTATACCCATATTTTCCCAAGCTAGCTGCAATGCTGGCATTTAAAAAAGAGCTTGTGTTAATTTCATCTGAAAGCCTTTAGCCACTTTATTAATTTTAATCAAAACTCCTTTCAAATTGAATTTTCTTCTATGTCATTTTTTTACATGAATTAATATCTGTTTGTAAAATGCTACTGTCAAAGAAATTACTGCTTTAAGGATTTTAAAAATTATTTTCCAATTAATAAGACATATTTAAAAAATCAGTCTTCTATTTGTGATGAGATTAAGAGCTATTTTAATGATAAGAATATTATTTAACAGACCTAGATCTTGCATGGCTAGGTTCTTACTAACTTGCATATCTTCCTTTACTAATATTATTATTACAATTTTATAATTATTTGCTTCCAGCTGAAGTGCTTATGCTACTCATTACAACACTTCCATTAATATTATTGCTATACTTAGAACCTTAAATCTGCTTATTAGGATTAACATTAAATTACTCTCTCAGCTTAAATCTTTATTTTTCTTGTTTACTTTTGCTATTCTAATATTCAATTGATCTATTTAGAGCATCATTTAATTTATAAGTTTCTTAATTTTATTTAAATAATATATATTGTTTTTATTAAGCAGAAAGACCATCTTACTGCTCTTCTTGACCTTAGCTACCTTAATTTAGTATTGTTTTCTGCTCCTATTCAAAGAGTATTTTTTTATTTGTTCTTAAAATAAGAGGAATGTTAAAATAATTTTCAATTAGAGCTTTATCTCTCTCTAAGCGTCGCTTTTCAATATTCCTTAATCCCTCTTCTATTTATTCTTCTTTCTTATAAGGAATTTAGACCGCTTTCAATCCGTATTTGTAATAGTTTGGTGATAAAAAGCTTTTAATTTTGCTTTCTTGATTCTATTCAAGACTAGTATGGCTTTTGTTTGCATTATTATTTCCAATAATTGGTATTGTTTCTTTATCCTTTTCTAAATTTTTGCTTTCACTATTTGTTCTATTATTTGAACTAATGCTTCTATTCCTTTCATAATTAGATGGCTTCAAGATAGATTTTCTATTATTATTTTACTACTAATTATTTTGATAATCTGGATTGTATAAATTCTAATTTTAAAGGTAATCTTAGAACTATTAATTTTGCTTATCTTTAGGACTATTCTATTTCAGAATTTACTGCTTTTAAGGAACTAAATTATTCATTGTATAAAATATTTTAAGCTTTCTGTAAGCTAAAGCAATGAATTAATAAAATGAGTTCTATTATCAGTTGGTTGGTTGATGCGAATAAATTTATAAATTAATTAATAGATTTAGTATTAAATGTTATATATATGAATAGCTAATACTTAAAATTACATCCAAATATTACAACTTTGAATAAAAATTGACCATTAAATATTTTTATTAATCAAATTATTATAAGCAAGCAAATATACATGTTCATATTTTTTATGTTTTTAATTTTATTCACCTAAAAATTATTAAATTAAAATTTATTGTTCACAAGATATAAAAAATTATTTTTTTGTTCTTCAACAAACCATATAAAAAAAATAAATCTTTCTATTATATTTTAATTAATTTATTTATCTATTTATTTTAATTTATAAAATTTGATTTGTTCATTCATTTACTTTATGTGATTTTCTATCATTATAATATCTTAGTTTACATCATCATTTCATAACTCCATTTTTAACTAAATCGCATTCTATTAAAAGGGTTTACAATGATTTCTTAAATAAATCACAATAACTTTTCTATTGAATGAATAAATTTCTGAAGCACTTTTAATTATTATAAATAATTTCAATTCAATTAATAAATTATTTTAAGGCAAGTATATTTCTATTCACTATGAAGAATTATAGTAAATTCTCCTTTTAAAATTATCTTCATTTCTTTTTTCTACATCATTAAATAATTTATTGCAGTTATTCATTACAGATATTCCATGGAAAGCAGTTAATATATCGTTTTCATCATGAAATTCCTTTTGCTAGCTATAATTATGAATCTATGGTTTTTCTGTTTTCAGATTTTTAGGATTCTTAGCAAATTAATCAAGAATATCCCATCCATCTTTTTCAGCAAATACATCTCTTGCTGGTTCAAAGTAATCTCTATAATTCTTCGAAAGATAAAAGAGACCTTGCTCTGCTTCTCTATAATGATAATGAGCAGGTATATTATAATCATATTATGTATTAAGTAGATGAGAGCCATGATCAACATAATACTGGTTTTTTATTACTTATTTAGCTTCATCTGGGTTAGAGTAAAAAGACATGTTTGTATCTAATTAAGTAAAATAAATATTTTTTATTAATAAAAAAAATAAAAATAAAAAAAAAAATTTTTTTATTTACTTTTTTTAATGTCAAACTCTGGATTATCTTAGTTTGTTGGTTATTTATTATAGCTTTTAATAGTTTTGAGTGTTTGAGATATTAATTGTCCAGGGGTCGTGTACATCTCATTTAGGTCTTTTAAAGTTTTAATTTATTATTCTCTATTTGAAATGTTGCTTTTTTGGATTTGTTGTTATTATTATTAAGGCTCACCTATTTGCTGTAAAGATTAAATTTAAAATTATGTTTTATTTTCAGTCTGAGATTGTAATATATTTTTTTAAGTTTATTCTATTGATGGTGGTTCGATTTAAGATTTTATTTATTGTGACATATCTTAGATCTTTGAAAAATTTTTAAAGCTTTTTGTAGCAATATTTTCAACACCCTTTACTATAGATTTTTGCTTTACATCATTTGCAATAAATTAAAAATTAATTGGATTAACTGAAGCTAATACAGAATTTATTTGGGCTTAAATTTTCGATTTTTAATTAGCTTCTTCGAAATTTTTTTAAGATATGTCTTCTTTTACTTAGCTTTAAGAACTAGCTCTAGAAATGGTTTGTTTTTGTCTCTTTTTTTATCTCAATTCATTTTCATATTCATTAACTTCTTTAACTAAAAATAAATTATTGTTTGTATGAATATTATTTGGGATAGCTGGAGTTTATTCGAAGAGTATTTTTTCAAGTTATGAAATCTTTTATTTTTAATCTTTTTCGTCATAAATTCTTTATAATGTCTTCATTGGAACAAAAGCAAGATCTCCATAATTCTTATACATAAAGTCAAATATCTCTCTATTTCCATATGTAACTTCACTAGGCTTACTCTTTTAATCAACCAATTATTGAATTTAGTGAGCTTGTGTTTTTTCATCAGCTAAACCTAATTTAGCTACCCTTCTTTAATTTGTTAAATCCTATTCTTTATCTTATTTATTTTTATTATAATTTCTATCTAAATCTAAAATATTTTTGGAATAAACTAAAATGTTCGGTTCAATCAAAAATTCTTTTAGTTAATCTGGTGGATCTGTTTAGGGTTAGTCATCTGGTTTCCAGACTTTTTCTTCTTCGCTTTCCTTGATAATATCTTCATAAATTTACTGATTTCTCACATCTTATTCGATTTTCTTTTAGAGAGGATATTTATATCTATAATAATTTATTAAAATAAATTTCTTACTATTTGTTTGAAAATGAAATTAATCAAAAATACCTTAAGCCATCCATTCTCTCAAAAGCATCAACCATCTTGTCTTTATAAATTAAAAAATCTATCCATTATTACTTGAGCTTATAATCTTTTCTATCACCTCCTTTATATAACTCACTAAACACATCCATTAGATTATATTTATCATCAAATTCATGGTGACTTTTTGGTTCTAATTCAAAATCTATTTACGCAAAGCTTGTCATGGATTAGCCAATAGAAGTTAAAGTTTAAGCTCCACTTTTAGGAATTTGTAGCCCTCGAAAAAATGTAGGATTTTTAAAAATTGTATCCGGACCTACATCTAAGTCAGGTTAATATAGATCATTTTCAAGTTGAAACCTAACCTTTCTTTTTCCTAATTAAACCATTTTCTATTCCCATTTCGACTCTGGAATATCTGTCTAAATTTAGTACTCTCTACCTTTTTTAGCTAGTTCTTTTTCCTTTTTTGACTCTACATTAGCTTAAATTCTCATCCTATTTTCTAAAATAAAAAAAATGAAATAGCTCAACAATCGATCATCTTAAAATAACTTTAATTACTCAAAACTTCTCTTCTTTTAACACTATTTGCTTTGTTGAGTATTTATTCTGGATCTTCATCCTCATCTTCAAAATTCGTCATCGATTCTCTCAGCCTCCTTTTGTATTTACCAAATTTATTCAATCTTCCCTTGATAATTTAAGGTTTTGTTTCTATTAAGATAACCTATTAACCAGGTGCTGCATTTTTGATAACCGTTTGATCTATATCTTCTTCATCTTCTGCTAAATCTGTTTAAGTGAATGTTGTATGGGATAGCCATTTGCTAATATAGGTTTATCCCTACTTTTCGAAAGCTCTTTTAATAATTGCAGAATTATACCTTAAAGGTAATCTAAAGCTTTATTTAAGAGTTCTCCGATTTAAAAATTATTCCATTTAAAGTTAAACACTTTTAGTATCTTCTATATCACTAATTGTATAGTTATTTGAAGGAGGTTAGACATCTGAAATTGGTTTAATATTTTATTTATCTGATTGTATGTCATTATTTGACTTTTCGTTATGTAATTAGATACTGGTTTGAGAGCCTCTAATCAAGTTTTGGGTTTTATTATCTTGCTACTGATAATCATCTTCAAAGTCTACTTTTGTTGTTGACTTTAAATTTTTTTATGATTTTATAATCAAAGCAGTTTCACCCTTAATCATTTACATTTTCTGCTCCTATGGAGTCTTGGAGTTCATTTAATTAATAATATCAATAACTCTAGTGGTTTGTCTTTTTTTTGGTTTTCTGTTAAAAAACGATTTTGTAACACTATGAGAGGGCTATTCAGATATATTTGTTTATGAATTATGGTTAGATGGAATTTAAGGCTATAAAGCTATTTTATTGAAAGATTTATCTTTTTCTATTTATACTTCTTCTTCCTCTTCTTCATCATCAGAAGGTAATTTCATTCCTAAAAATATAAGTAGCTCTTTAGCTTGTTTATTTTTTGCTTATCTAAATTCTTTAGCTTTTATTGATTCTTCTTACTCTCTCATTTATTTGTCTTTATTTATCATTTTTTCAAGTATATCTTGTCTAGTAATTTCATACGGATTTACAATAACATGAATTTCTTAAGGCTTTGGTCTATTTCTTTCCTCTTCTAATTGCTTAGCAGTTTCTTCTAAAATTTCTGATGCTCTTCTTTAATAATTTTATTGGTTTTAATCTTTTTAAAAAGAAAACTTTTGTAATTCTTTCCTTTGATTTTCTAAATTGATTTATTCATCTATCACATCAAGCTACTGTTTTATAGGTTTCTAAATCAGAAAAGATTAGCTTTTTGAAGGGTCAACTATTGTAGTGTTTAAATTCATTAAAATAGAAGCTTTTGTAGAGTCATTTTCATTATATTTTTTTTGATATATTCCAGAATTAAACAATATTTCTGATGAACTGATATGATTTGACAAAGGCATAAAATTTTAATCTTTATTTAGCTTGACAGGTTCATCATATCTTTTATATCCTGAATAATTTTAGATGTGAAACTAAGACTTCTTTTAAGGAATTTGTATACTTGTATGTGTTCTACTGTTATTACTTCTATTCACACTAAGGTTATCATTATAACTTTAATTTGTGATAGGAATACTATGATTAGAAGCTTAAGATTTTATAAAAGAAGATTAGCTTTTAGAGCGCTATTCTGAAAAGTTATTGTTGATAACATTATTATTGCTCAAATATTAATTTTGTGTTTCATTAATTTTAGAACTAATTTTGCTATCTTCATTGATTGAATCACTCTAGAAAGATTTCTATTATTCATTAACAGAATTATTAAAACTTCTCATTAAGCATTTTACAATCAAATTAATTTGATTATTTTTAATAGAAAATCTGCTGGTCTTAAAAATTTTTATAAAATTAGTGAATTTATTTAAAAAACAAATAACTTTAATAGCTATTTATAAAATAAATCTGATGAATATATCAAATAATTTTCAATTTTTTAAGTATTTTAGGTTCAAATCTTAAAGGCATTTCAACAAAAATTATTTACTTAATTTAAACTATTCTTATATATATATCCAATTAATGAAAGTAATAAATTAATAAAAACATATTGATAATTCAATGAATCAAAATTAAATTTTAAGAAAATAAATGATTTTATTTATAAATTTAACTAAAAAAAACTACACTCTTTAATAGGAAAAATTGAAATGAATATAAAAGAAAATCTAATTTAACTAATTAACTTACTAAATGACTTGCAAATAATTTTAAAAATTTAAGTTTTTTAAGTTTTTTTATTAAAATATTTAAATTTTTCTTGATTGTAAAATTTTAAATTTAAGAGAATTCTAAAATTAAAACTATTTATTTAAGTCTAGAAATCTAAATACACTATAAATTTATCAAGAAATTATGTTAGCAACATCAGATTCTTGTGTATTTCCATTAACTTTGTCATCATAATCTTCAAAAGCATCAAAATTTAATACTTATTATTAGTCTTGTGCAATAGGTTAAGGCTAATCTAATGTTGTTTCAAATAATATATCTTATTAAGGCTCTTATTTATCAGTTTCTTTTCTCTGCTAACTTTCATTTCTCAATAATTCTTGTTAAATGTTAACTTTATTACTATTGTTAACATTTGAAGACAAAATAGTTGAAATAGGTTAGCTTAGGATTTGTTACTTATTTTATAAGTTTTAACCAGTAGATGCTAATCCTATTTAATTAGAAGTAGAAGTCTAAAATCTATCAGACTGTAAAATTTAATTTGTATTTGAATATCTTTAATTAGCACCAATAGACGAGCCTAGTGATGGGAAATAATTGCTGGTTGTGTTAGCTAAATTTGGACGCAATGATGATGCAAGTGTGCTTGACTGCATTGGTTAAATTAATTAAGGTTATTGTTACTATTAAGTTTGAAAACCTGGTTTAAAAAGTGGGCTTGCTTTTTATTATTGTTCATTTTCTTTACTAATGCCAGAAGAATAATTAATATTTCTTTACATAGAAATAAGACGTATTTTTTCAAGAGATCCTTCCAGCTCAGCTTGCTTACTAGACTAATGTGAATTAGGATGAATTCTACTTAATTTAATTAAATTATTTGCATTATTGCTACTACTCAAAGCAGTACTCTAATTGCCTGATATCTAATTTTTACTGAGCAAAGAATTTTGATTTTAAATCCCTTTTTAACTTTTTTTTTATAAAAGATAGTCTTTTTTATTATTAATTTTATCGATAATCCCCTCTAACCCTGTTCTACGCTTATTTCCTCCTACTGTACTTGGGTTGTTGCTATTTATATTATTGTTACTATTAATATTATTATTGTTATTATTGCTAGTAGCACCTATTTAAGAAAAATTTCTTCCTGACTGCCTTTCAGTGGAGGAAACCCTATATAATCCTGCTGAATTGTTGCTTTATAGTTGATTTTAGGCTTTGTTCGCAAAGTATAAATTGTTTCCTGTATTTAAAAGAGAAGAGCCATGATGATTGCTTCTATTCTACCCTAAACCAATTAAAGATAAATAGGTCTAAAAATTATTTTTATAATCCTTTTTTGGCTTAAATTGCTGCTATTGCTATTAAACGTCCCATTTCAAACTTGAGTAACTTATTTAATAAGAGCTTAGAGCACTACCTGTGTTTATCATACTTTATTCATATTAAATTTAAATAATTTATAAATTAATACTATTAATTCAATTAATTTTACGATTGCTTGTACTAATCTGTTGGTGAAGAAGATTATAAAATCCGTTAAAATTTAGATTCATAATTTAGTTCAGAGTTTTTAAAACTCTAACCAAATAATGGATTAACAGTATTTTATTGATCCACCTAGGTATTTGGTTATTTTTCTTCTGCTAAATTTGTATCTAAGTTATTTTCTTTTGATTGACACTACACTGACTAAATATTTGGTGAAACTATTTTTTAGGATAATATTAATTTAGGATCAATAGGAGCTGAAGATAATCTTTCTTTATATCCTGATGTGCAAATTTATTAATTTTCTTAAACTTCTCCTTAAATTTTATTATCTGTGTTTTATTTTGACTATCCTTCTGGATTATCCTTACTTGGTGTTGTGAATACTCCAAATATTTGTTAAATTTCCTAATCTTGAACTCGATGAAAATTTGGTGGAAGAAGATGATTAGTGGCTAGCATTTATTATCTAATATCAAGGGAATGCTCTAAATTTTACTAATAAAACTATGAAGTAACAGCTGCTTGTGCTTGAGATTATACTTTCAGTATATTACACTTCCTTACTAAGCCGTCTAATCCAGGTGAATTTTATAATTTTTATTGAATTTCTGCTAATTCTCGACTTGGAGTATGATTTTACTAATATTTTATACATTCTTAGCTTCTATAAGGAGTTCCTTCCATGCTTTGAGGTAACTAATTGCTATTCAAATCAGAATTAGGACTTACCGAGTTATTATCTTTATTTGAGTTTCCATCTTTGATGGGAGACAAATTTAAGCTATCCATCTATCTGAAAATATATCTATCTATCTATCTATTTATTTATTTATATTTTTTTATATGCTCTTTGAATGCTTTTCTAAATAGATTTTTACTTTTAAGAATAATATTTGGCAAGATTTTATTATCATAAAACTTTCAAAAAATTTACAAACAGTTAATAAAATAAAACTAAAGTTTATTTTAAAGCATTTAATTAATTTACAAAAAATAAATAAATTTCAAATATTTTTTATTTTATAAATTTTATAATATGTTAAAATGCTGCTTGAACATATTCGCATATCTTCAATCTAGTAAAATAAATACTTGAAATATTTTTTAATTTACCACTATAAATAATTAAATCTTATTAAACAACATTCTTTTATAAATATTTACTTCATTCAATTAAATATTTTTAAAAATACTTTAAACTTTAAAGTTTGTTTATATTTTTGAATAGCTTTATCAAACTCTTTAGAAAAATAAAAAATAGCATAAATCAAAAATAAATTTCAATTCTTAAAGCTAATTAAACCTATTTATGTAATAAAAATATATTCATTCTGTTTAATTTTATATTCTAGAAAGTAAATTTTGTTTAATATTCTCTATTTTTTGTTAAATAATATTTATTCTCAAATTTTTAATTAATTATCTTTTTATTTACTTTTGTTAGTAAACTGACTTTATTTCATAAAAAAATAGAATTTTATATAAGCCTGATAATGAATAAATGTATTTGAACTTTTTTAAGGAAAGAAAATACTTCTTAATAATATTTTATATTTATTTAATTCATTTTCTTTCAATCAAATCGTATTTATATGGTAAATTTAATTTTTAATTTTTTAGGAAATAAATATAAAACAAAATTAAACTTTTAGCTGGTTTAAATTACACATTTAATCAAGTTTAATTTAAACCACTAATAAAATGTTTATTAATATGTTAAAATCTTCTAAATTATCAATATTTAACACTCTTTATTTTTTTTAATAACTTTAAAACTCTATTAAATATTTTTTATGTTGAAATTAAAATATTAAATATAATTTTATAATTAATATTGATTAGAAAATATATTTTAAATTAAATAATATAATGATATTATAACTCAAAAATCATTAAAAAAATCATAAAATTGCAAAACATTCTAAATGATAAAAATTTATAAAAATAGTTTTAATTAACAATAATTTATGTATTTTTTATTAATAGATATTTATTTAAGATAAATTAAAATTAAAAAAAAGATTACTATCATTCAAAATAGAAAATATAAATTTGAATTAAAATAAATTTAATTTAAATTTTATGAAAATAATTTATTTGATATCCTAAAATGAGTGTTTAATAGATTTAAAATATTTAAAAATATAAATGTAATTATTTTTTTTTCCAAAATTTAATTGAAATATAAATAAAATGATTTAATTTAAAAATATTGATAATGACATATTTTAATTTTGTATAAATTAACTAATTTATATTTAGAATAAAAAATGAATAGCAAATACTAATTATCAATAAAATAAAATTTGATGAATTTGTTTTAATAAATATGATATATAGATTAATTTTTAGAAAATTAAAATGACGAAATAATTTTTAATGAAAATAAATGAATCTTAGAATAATTGGTTTAAGGAAAAACATTGATAAAGTAAAGTAGGTAATCTTTCTAAATTATTAGGAAAATATTTCTTAAAAGTATATTAAGAAATAAGAAAATTGTAAAATTTACATCAATTTTTTTTGAATTAATTAATTTAATAATTAAAGTCTAACATACTTTTTCTTTAACAATAGAAATTCTTTTCACTTCAAGGAGAATCATGCTTATAATTGAAATATTCTTAATTAATTATACTTAATTTTAGTTGTTTGTTGTATTTTCAATAAATAAATGAAAAAAATAAAATAATATCTTTTATTGTGTAAATTATTTTTATTAAATTATTTTCTTTTATGAATTAAAACTGCAATAAAAGAATAGTCCTTTTTAAATATAGTATTCATTATTAATAAATTTATTATTTTTCTCATTCTGACTAATTATTTTTTTATATAAATAGATATATCTTTTTAAAAATTGAACGATCAAGAATTTTGAGCATTTCTTCTTTGGTAACTTATTATATTAGTAGTAATAATAAAGTTTTTGATTTGTTTATTTAATAATATTGAGAGGGAGTTTCGGGTGATATTTCTTTGCCTTTCAAATTTAATATATGGCTAAGAGACAATTGTGTAGAGATAGGACTAAATATAGTGGAATCAAACATAGGTTAATATGTGACATATTTTATTTTAAAATTAAAATAATAAATAAAAGAATATTATCAAAGTAATCTTTACATTTTACTATAAAAGTAAGAAAATTTAAAATATTAATAATCTGCCCAAATAGCTAAATAACTTCATTAAGATGATTTTTATTCGATGAATAGTTGAAATATAAAAGAAAAATATGAGTTATTTATTTAAATATTTTGATTTTTATTTTTAATTTTTAGTTTTAATGTTAAAGGATGCATGCACGGCTGATTAATTTTTTTTGTGATTATTTTTGCGTAGATAATCAATCTCTTATCTCTAAAGTGATTTTTTTTAACTACAAAATAATTTAAAACTCATTAGAAAAAAGATAATGAAGCTTTTATCCACTATAGTGGCGATAATATATCAATTTCTATATAAATTTTAATCATTAGAAAATAATGAAAGCTTATTCGAGTATGAAATTTTTGAAGTAATCAGAATTGTATTAAGTAATTTATATCTAAGAACAACTAAAGAATACCATTATATTTTATACTAGAAAAAAAGTATTAATCTTTAAAACAGATAGACAGATAAAAAATATTTAAAAACAAAAGTAAATAAATTATACTTCATCATCATCACCTTACAAATGTTGACCTTAAGATTCTATTATTTTTGCTAAAGACGTCACTTAATGAATAGTCATTATAATTTTTTAGTGCAATCTAATAAAAGCTTTTTAAATAAATCATTTGAATCCACAAATTTTTACCTCCCGCTTAACTTCAAATGTATTCAAATTTATATTTTCTCTCGTTACTTAATAATATGATTTTTGATTTCAACAATAATTATTCTTGTCATAGTTTTTCTCAACTTTACTTAGCAAAGACATATTTTATAAAGTATTAACTAACTTTTGTAAAGTACCTATATCATGCAAGAATATATTATGCCTAAGAATTTATTTGTTTAATATTAATAGAATTCATGTATAACAGATAAATAAGATAAGGATAACACAAAAATACTAAATTAGATCAGATGTAATTAAATATCTTAACAAATAAATGAATTAAATAAATTTGAAAAACTCATAAAAATTTTTGATTTTAATTTAAAACAATCACAATTAGAAAAAAAGAAGTATAAGCTAATTTATTATACTAAAAGGATATTTGAACTAAAGTAAAAAAAAATTTATATTTGTTTACACATCACTATCGATTTATTTTTTTATAAATCAAATAAAGACACAAAGAAATTCAGACTGACTGGTAAAGAAATTAATAATTTTTTTCGATAAAAATGTAAAACAAAATTAGAATTTGAATATTGACTCACATATTTACTTATATAATTTATATAAAAACAATGAATTTACATGATATATTATATATTTATTTATTTATATTTGGGAATTTAGCAAAATTTATTTATTCATAAAATTGATATTTTTTTCTGATCTATTTTATTAATACTCTTAGTTAATTACTTCACTATTTTAATTAAATCAGAATGGAGACTAGTACCCCTAAAGTTTGGATTTATTTTACCTCAAAGTTAATTTGTTGAGGTAGAATAAATCAAAGAATTTTCTTGAATATTTAAATTGGATAGGTAGGTAGGTGGTTCTGGATTTTATTTGTGCAAAATATTTTTATTATAATGAGGTTTTATTTATTTTATATTAACTATATTTATTTATAACAGGGAAAATTTATTTATTTATTTATGTTTATTTATTTTTATTTTCAACATTTTTTTTTATAAGTTCTCTTTTTAGTTGGGGCTTTTTGAGAAATCCTTTGTGTTGTTTAAAAACTCAAATTTTCCTAACAACTTGAGTATAAGAATGGTTTTATTGTTTGATTAGAGTTTTATTAATCATTTTTTTAAAAATTTTAGAATGCTTGCATGTACAGAGTCGGATATTTACGTTACCTTTCTTCTTAGTCATAATTCTCAAAATTTTGAGTATACTCTAGATAGTTCTCTTCACTTTATGTTTAGGAAATTTTATTAAGTTCTTCAACTTTTTTATCAGTAAAAAGAGTGGGCTATTCAAATAATTCTAAATGACTCATTACTTACTTTAATAAAAAAGGATTAGATAATAGTTATTAAAGATTGATAAATAATTATGGTCTTTTCAATTTTTCATTATTTAAATGAATTTTTTAAGATTATTCATTTTTTGAAAATGGATTTTGGGAATAAGAAATTTATTCTTATTAGCTTTCTTCCAAGAACAAAGGATAATAAAGATTATTGTGTAAATATAAATTTTCCTCAAACTCTTCACTATTTTCTAATTAGTAATATTATTATATTTACTATGGTTATGTTTAATATTATTATTATTATTATTAATATAATTGTTAATCTTATTCCTTTTCTTCTTTTAGTAGTTGTTCTTAAGAAATAGTTTAGGATTTTTTAAGCTAAAAATAACTTTCAATGTAATTTTTTAATCTATTGAAGAGTCCATTTTTTACTTATTTTTAGTGATGTGATTTACACTATTTGTCATCTCTTGTCCCAATAAATTCAGACATCTAAACAAAAAATTTACATTTTTTTCTCGTATTTTTGTCTTTTGAAATTACAATATCATATTTCATCAAGTTAAATTAAAAGTAGAGACGTTTTTCATCTTCATTCCAACGTGAATTTTTTTTGCTCTTTTAAATACAGCAATTGTGAGGTAATTATCCTTATTATGATTGAGGTTAATCTGAGTCTACAGTTTAAGTGTACTAAATATTTTAGCTCTAAAAGAAATCCAAGTGATCTTAAGGTGGAAAATTCCTAATATCTTAAAAATCATTGCTAGAGGAAGTAGAAAAGCCACCTTTCTCATAATAGGATAAATCTTCTTATTCAATAAAATAGCTTACCTAAGGCTCGTCCATTATTTATTTTTTTAGAAAAGATAGGTTTTATTATTTTTTTTATTATAGTTTTTTAGTTTTGATATTTTAATTAATTATTTATTATATCTAATTCAATCTAATTTCCTTGGTTTTATATAAAAAAACTTCTATATTTTTATAACAAATAAATTAAAAAGACTTAATTAGTAAATTAATAACCTGAGTTAAAAAATAATATCCTTGATAACTTTTTTTAACTACTCGACACTCAAGAATAATGAGTTCTCAGTTTTCTCACAAAAAATTCATGATTAATGGCTTTAGAAGTAGAAATTTATCTACAATATAATAGGTTTTTTTAAAAAAAATCATAGAATTTATTCATTAATAAAGAAAATATGAATGATAATTTTTTAAGAAATTGACAATAAATAGATAATGCGTATTTTATTTTTTTATTTTTCTAAAAATAATTACGCTAGATCTTTCCTTGTCACGGGTAAGGAAATAATAAATAATCAAAATTCAATTTTCAAATACTAATTTAATTCTAATAAATAAGGTGATCTCAAACGGCATCTCTATAAATCATATATAATGAACATCATTTTTATATTAATTATTCTACTGTATTGCGATAAGAAAGTTAAGAATCATAAATTAGAATAAGAAAAAACTAATGTATGTAATTGCAAATTTTAATTATTTAAAACTCTACTCATTAAATTACAAAAAGCAGATTAAAGGATTTTTTCTTAGTCATTTTTTTGAATTTCAAGAAAGAATTTGATTTTAAAGAAAAAACACAAAGTTAACAATTAAAAATTATCCATAAAAAATTATGTAAAATATTTTATTATGATAAAAACACAACAATTAATAAATTATATAGCGAATCATGCAAAACCTATAAATAAAATTTTTTAAAGGACAACATATGTGAGTAATATTACCTGAATAATGAAAATTTTATTTAACCATAAATAGTATTAAAATTTATAATTGATGAAATATAGCCATTTAAAAATTTGTTGTATCTTTTTTGACATCTAGTGATAGATTGATTCAATATTTTTGATTTTATTTTTTACCTCAAAAGAAATAAAACTAATTAAAAGAATTTGTTGAAAATTTTTTTGTCTTTATTTTAAATAAATTATTGTAACAGATTGATTTTAAAATAAAGTAGACTTCTTTTGTATTTTACTAAACGAATGAATATAAGTATTTTGAATCATAGAAATAATTAGTTACATTTTAGTTGATATTTATAAAACCAATAATTAGCTTAGCTAATTTACTTTCTTTTTTATGAAAATATGTAATATAAATTAATAATGCTTTGTTTCAAGTGTAAATTAAAATTCTTTCATAATAAGAATACAAAAAATTCATTAATATAGCATATACTCACTCACTCGTCTTATTTTTAAATTTTGATTAATTAAATATTTGAATTTGATTTTTACTTTTGCTTCTTGATATTACTCTCATTATTCCTTTCTTTAATTATTTGAATAAATTCAATCAACTTTAGAAACTGATGATATATGTCTTTATTTCGATAAAGATTGCAATTTTTTTAATTTTTATCAAAAATATTTTATGTTGTTATAAAAAAACCTTAATGGTTGATTTTTGTTTGTTTGAAAAAAGTATTATAAAAAAGCAACTCTTCATAAATTAAAATAAAATTTATCAACAATATAAACGAATAATATAAAGGTGGGGAGAATTGAAAGAGTAAAGAAGCAAACAAAATTTAAGAAGAAGAAGAAAATATCTTTAGAAAGTTGAAATTGTAAAAAATAAATAATAATACTAAATATCTAATTATTGATGAACTGATCTATAAATCAATCAATTAATCAATCAGTCTATCCCTCTATATGAGCAAATAATTAAACAATCAACCAAATTCAATCATTATTTAATAATTTATATTATTGATTACCCTAAAGGTTTTTGCTGAGCATAGAAAAATTTATTTTTTTGAATACATTAATTCTTTTCATCCAATTTATAATAATATTTTCCATCAAAATATCTCAACTTTTATCAGAAGTCAGAGTCATAGTTCCTTAAATATCAAATTATTAGCTTTATTTATCTAGTAAGTAACAATTATTTTTTTCTTCTGACTATTGAGCTGAGTAAATTCTGCATTTCTCTAATAAAATAAAGGGAACAAACAAACAAAAATACAAACAATAATTTAAAAGTATAATTGCATAAAAACACCTAATACCAAACCATAATATCCCATTTAACAACTAATTTCTATCATCTAAAATAGAAAAACAAATAGTATAAAAATCTAAAAACAATTTCTAAGTGATTACTTTACTATCTATATTTTGAAGCATACATGCATGTTTTATCTAATGGTTAGTTAATACATGAAGGAAATTATAATATTTTTACCATATAAACTTGCATAACGATTTAAATATTAATCTATCATTGCAATTTCTATTCAAATCAATTTACACTAATCAAGCCTATTTTAATTCCTATTTGGCTTATTTTTCTATCACATTAATTCCTACATATTTTTTTAAATGCAAAAATTTTTAGTTGAATAAACCCAGTCATTTACTAAATATAAACTAATAAAATTTCAACTGGGATAATTAATGTTAATTTTTACTATTTCTAATCATTGTGTGGTCATTTGTTGAGCTTATCTGGGTGCATTTTTTAATAAAACTACGAACATTAGCAAAAGTGAAATTGAGTTGATACTAATATTGTTGATCATCATTTTTTTAATCTTTTTTGCACTAAGGGGTTATTAGTTTGCTGCTTCTCTAGCTTCTTACACTTCATGATGATTGCTTGTTTCATAGAATAAACACACGTTTACATTAGACTATTCACTTTCGTGTTAAGATCTAAAACATCCAACTTATTTAAGAACATACTAACAGGAATTATTATCATCTCCACCTTATTAAAGCTAATTTAATATTTTTGGTTAATTTGCTTCAAAGAATGATGCACAAAAGTCTCTTATTTTCATAAATTTTTCTTATTCTATCAGCTTAGTCAAATCACATTTTTATGAAAGATTGAGTTTAATTTAAGAGAAAATACCTGTAATCAAAATGTCGCAAATATCCAAGCCACAAGAGCTCTTTCCATGGTAGCTGCCCTGACTAAATGACTTGAATTTGTTCTACTCAAACATTTCAATCAATTTATTCAAAATTATTATTGTATCATTTAGAACGTTCGATTTATTTAATAATCCCTTTTCTTCAAAAAAGTGGGAAAAAACCCTCATCTTCCAGCGATAAGCCAATTTTTTAATAGGATGAACAATCCATTTATAGGCATCGCGATAAAGATATTCAGTTTCATCATCAAAATATTGAAAATATGTAGAAATTTGATCTAATTTCTAGCATATATCTATGAAATTTGAAACTCTACTATTCTTTTCTTCTCCTTAATTATCATCATCACTATGCAAATATATTACTCTTATCGTATCTAAAAATGATTATCTCTAAATAATCCTGTTTTCGAGGCGCAAAATGGGCAATTAATATCCAAATGCATCACGCGAATCGATGACATTCAATTCAAATTCAATTTTCAGATTTTCAAATGCTTTCATCAAGGCATACAATAGGCCATCAAATTATTTAGGTTTTTGCTTTGACACATATATTCTAATATTATTGCAAGTAATCACATCACCATCTTTTTTGCTGTCCTGAATCTTTTCTTTAATTCCTAACATTTTACAATTTCAACAACTCTAATATAATGTTTTATTTGATAATTCTTTTTTTTGACTTTTTCTTTCGATATTTAACTCAATTACCTTTATTGCTTATATACTTTAGCTGTTTAGCTATAACAATCTCTACCAATACTCTAATTGATCACTAAAGAGGATTTTTATTTCTTATCTGAAATATGAAGGTTTTAACTTTTACTTTTTTTGTTTCTTAGAATTTTCTAATGTTTAATAGACATATCTTTTTTTTAACATAAATAAAACACTCCATAAATCATTGGTTTTATCTTTCTCTCATTTTCATTATAATTTATTTGAAAATTGGAAATTCAAAATATATTTTATATCTACTACAAAACCAAAACAAAAAATAAAAAAAACTCTTACAAGTCAGATAAGTTAAAGTTATTTGTACAATACAGCTGTACTAAATTTAATTAGTGTTTTTTTCAATATTTTTTAGACATTATTTTACATTTAAAAAAATATTTTATTCGTGGAATTTTACATGCAACCAAAAAAAATATTGATTTAAAGATTAAAAAAAACGATGTTATTATTAAAAACTGAGATAAAACAAAAAAGTTGATCAAAAAATTTAAAAAAATAAAACAAAATTGAATTAACTTTGATGGGGCTTTTATGATTGAAAAGTCATCATGCTTGGGTGCAAATATTGATGATGTAATAATATTCGATTAAAATTTTGATTTTTATATTATCTTTGTTTGTAAGTTTATAAGGTAAGCAATTTTGCTATTATAAATAATCATGCTTTTTATTAATACTTGATAATTTTTTTTCATTATCTCCACAAAATGAAAATAGAGTAATTTACTCCCTAATATCCACATAAAACATTTAAAATTTAATTTCGAAATAAGAGAAAAAATAACTTGTCTTTAAGTAATATTTCATATCCTGAAATTAATTAGTTAATTAATTTGCGAACCTTACATAATGAAACCACAATATTAAGTTAAATTGATAACACACAGATTTTATAAAGAAAGATATTTAATAAACATCAAAACAATCAACCAAAAAATTTTTCATAGAAATATATTTTTAATTATTGTAAATTCATGACTTATTTAGAGTTTCAGCATTTATTCTCTCTTTCTCAATTTAAAACAATACTTTCAAACAAATTAAAATTCTAAAATCATTTTGAAGGGTATAGTTTTTCAAATTTTGAATACACTTTTATTTTAAATAGTTTTTTTATTTTTTATTTACTGCTATTTTTTTTCTATTTCTTTTTCTTTTAGCTTCTCACTAATCTACCCGACTAGTTTATTATATCTTTAAAGCAATTCTTATGTTTCAATTTTAGAGTCATTACTTAATAAAAAATTTTACATAAACTAGTTGTGTAGAGCTTATCTTTCAAGTGATTTAGGTTTTTTGAAGGTTTTTATTTCATTAACTATTTCTTATTTTTTTGAGCTGCTATCCTATTTATTAAGCAAGTCCAAGATTTCATACTCATATTCATCACATTTTACTTTTTTACCAGCTGGTTATTATTAAATATTACTATAATTTTATTAATTTTCTTTCATATTAATATGTACAAAATCTCTCGAACTTTATGCCTTTTAATATCCTTTTGGTAAGGTTGACTCATTTTACTGGAAAAGAAAGTTAGTATTATTTTTATTAACTTAAATAAATTAATCTTTTAAAGTTTTTCTGTCATTCTCTTCATTTACTTAATAAGAAGCTTATTATACATATGGTTGATATACTTAATTTATTGGTTAATTTTATGTATTAGAGCTAGACTGGTATATTTTTTATTATTTTTATTTTTATTAGTAGTGGTAATGTTCTAAAATGTCATCATTTTGCTAATAGTTATTTTAGAAAGACTTATTATTAAAAGATTCATTCATGCAAAAGGTATCAAAGCAATTTTTACTTTCATTTTCATAATTTAAATAATTATTGTTTACTTGATTAGATTATGAACTAGATTAAATATTCCTTAAAATTTACTAATTTTTTCCATTTTCTTAGTTTTATTCAAATTAACCTTCATATTTATCTCCTTAACAGAGTTGCTGGAGTGAATGATTCTTGGAAAATGCATTCTACTAAGTATATTATTGATATATTCTAGAATTATTTTAGCTTACAATATTATGTGTTAAATTTGTAGATTAACTTTCAAATACATTAGATTATTAATTAAAGTTTTAACTTTTTATCTAAGTACTGTTCGAATAGAATTTAGCTTAATTTTACTTTTGAGTATAGCTGTCATTAAAAAAATGAGGATTTTCTTCAAAATGATTCAATTTAAGAGCCTTTTCTTGATGATTTTAATATACTTTCTAGATTTCTAAAAGCTACTTTTTATCATCTGATTAAACTGATTTAAACTCATCATAAAGCTATTTTTTTACATTTTGATTTTCTATATTTTATTCATTTTACATGTTTTTTGATTCATTAATCTACTGCTGTTGTGTATTCTTTATACTTTTATTTTCTCCAATAATTCTTTCTTTAATTTGCATGAATTACTTGATCTTACTGCTGAAAGGACTAGGAGATTTTTTTCTTCCTTCATTTGAGTCTTTTTAATGATGGTAATTATTTTTAGAATCCTTTGAAAGTTAATCAGATCCTGCAACGCTAGATAATTTCATATCTATTTACTACTTCAGCTTTATCATTTCTTGAGGTGAAAGATAGTCAACTATATTTTTTACAGAATCTATATTTTATTTTGGCATAGTTGGTAAGGTATGACTAGCACTCTTAGGAAAAATATTTTCACTGTCTTTTTATTAAGAGCTTGAGCAAGTGATAATTGGATTTCTATAAGTACTTTGAAAGCTATTATTTAATCTTAGATTACTCAGTTTTAGCTCACTATCTTCAACATCAAATTATTCATAATCATATTCTTCAGACTAAAGTTAGCTTTATTTCATTTAATCTAATAGTTTTCTTGATTTTAAAATATCATGCTTAGCTTCTTCAATAACATTATCCTACTTCTAATTTGATAGCTTATTAGAAAAACTTCTACTATTATTATTTGGCTATTTTTTATTGTTCTTTTGACTCTCTTAAAACAGAATGTTATTAATTTTATTAAATTTAAAATCCTCCTATTAATTTTTTTTATTATCCTCTTTTTCACAGTAAAATGTTTCTTACTCTTAATCTACACTTTAAACTGTAATTAGTTATTTTGAATTTAGCTATCCATCTTAAGTTTGATTACCCTTTTCTATGTTTGAATCACCTTTTAGATTATTATTTATCAAAGGTTTGAAATTTGGAGAAACAAATTTCGAATCTTCTTAAGTGCTCTATTTATTTTTATAAGGAGTTTCCCCATCTTTATTAAGTCCCTTTCTTTATCTTTTTCCCATTCCCTTTAAATTTATAATGGTTTAATTTTTGTTTTAAATAAATTTTTTATTCAAAACCAAATAAATATTGAAAAAAATTATAATTATTTTACTTTTAAACTCTAAGCTAAATAATCAATTTCTTCTTTAAGTGAGTTTATTTCCTTTTTTTTGATTGAAATTTTTGATTCCTTCAAACCATTTTCTGAGTTTGAAACTATTAAATTTTAGGACTCATTCTGCTACGAACTTTAATGAGCAGATTGATTTCTGTATCTCCCAGTAGATATAGATACTTAGTTATTATATAAAAGATCATTCATTTTATTCACAACATTTTCACTGCTTGTTTACATATGAACTGAGTGGTTTTTGTATCTGCTAGTAGTATTATATCCTTTATCTTCTTAAATGGTTTAAGGGCGATGATTACGATAAGTATTGTAATTCTAAGAATATTTCAATAACTAGCCTTCCTAAAATTTACCACTAGACTTAATATCTGATAATTTTAAGACATCATTTCCTTTATATTCGCTTTCTTCTGTTAGAATTTATTTGTAAAGAGAGTTGGGTTATGACTGTAAAAGTAATTCATCGTTTTCCCTTAAAAATTGTTATTAAATCTTATTTTATTCAGGATTTTATTGCTTTATTTAGTGGATCAATTCAATAGTTTTTTTTATTTAATCACTCTCATAATTTTTTTCATCTGCTTTAGTATAATTTCTGCTCATTTTTAGGCTTCGACTTTTGAGCTATTTATATGAATTATTTCAAATGTATTTTTTAAATTAATTTGCAATTTAAATTCAAATAAAGACATATTAAAATACAAAGTAAATTATTTTACTAAGTTTGTGGATTCTTCTAATTATTTTATTTATTCATTGTATTCTTTTCTAAGATTTCTTGTATCCTAATAAATATCTTAAGAGTTCTTCCTAATTTTATCTATCTTTTCTTCATAGATTTACTATGTTTATACAAGCTATTGGTATAAAAGTTTCTTTTCTTCTGATTCCTATGTTAATTTCTGTAGAATTTAACCTATTTTATGTTTATCTTCAGAGCATAAATCAGCTAATTTTGCCTATTACCTACCTCTGCTTTAGGAAGGGCTTTTCTCCTTAGCAGGTTTATGTTCCCCAACAAATTAAACCTTATTTCAGCAGAAAATATTATATATTTTTCAATAAAATTTATTTCTTATTTTACATGCTTAGGGTATTCTTCTTATTAAAAACTAGGAGTATCCCTTCTGATGTATGACTCAGAGTAATTTTTGCTATTTCCTAAAAATATAGATGTAAATAAATTGCTCTGATAAAAGATGCTTTTTGAAATGAAAACCAATTTATTAGAATTTACTCATTTGTTTTCGCAAATTCACTCTATTGAAGGCCAAAAGTTTATTATAAAGTAATTAATTTATTTATTGCGTAATTTTTAAGATATTTTTAAAAATCTTCAACTATAATTTCAAATATTATCAGTCAATTTTCGTAATAATCAAATTCAATTCAATTAAATTCAAATCATTCAGTTTGCGAATAACAAAACTTATAATATATTATAATAAGTAAGATAAGCATATAAAGATAATAAATAATTAATAACATTTATTTATTTAATTAATTTTTTTTGAAATGGCTTTATCTAATACAATTAAAAAAGTTTTTAATAAACTATTTTAGCTTCAATTCATGTTATCCTGGTTTTTTTTTTTTTTTCGTATTTTCTAACTTTATTATAAACCATATTTAATATCTCAAGATGATCGAAGGCTATGGATTTATTAGGTTTTAAAAGTTTTTCCAAACGATAAAATCTAGCATCAGCAGCATCATCGTTTGCAATAGGTCTTTAATTTTAGTCTACTTCTACTTTATAAAAAATAGAAACAATATGCTCTCTTGGATCTCTTTATGGTTCGCCTTTGACTGTAATCAGCTCACAGCTAATACCATCCAATCCTGTTTCTTCTTTTAATTCCCTTAAGCATCCTTAAGATGGCTCTTCGTTATAGTCTAAAAATCCTCCAGGGAAAGCTAAATATCCCTTATAAGGTTCATTTTTTCTTTTTATCATAAGTACTTCATATCTATGTGTATAGTTTTTATATTTTCTTAATACCACAGCATCAGTTGTTATGGAAGGAACTAAATATTCTCCTTTGCGAGGAGGAAACTTTCTACCATATTTATCGTATTCCTACTATTGTTCCGTATTTTAAGAATTATCAGATGATGAAAACTGAAACTAGTTTTTTTAATAAAAAGAGTTGATAGGCGTATAAAAATTATTTTTTTAAGCCTATAAAAACTTCAGTTATCTTTTTAAAAAAATCATTTTTATTTGAAAACTTTTTTTTTTAATGATAATCTGAATATTTAATAATTATAAAAAACTGGCGCAGTTGAAAAATAAAATAATTAATTAAAAATTTAGTGAATCAAATAAAAATTGCATATATGATAAAAATAATAATAATAGTTGAATGAATTAGTGATGTCTATATATCTCTCTCTCTCTTTCTATGAATTTAACTCTATTTTATATTAAAAAGAATTATTTCTAGAAGAAAGAAATTATAATTAAATTTCATTAGATTTTGCATATTAAAGATGCATTCTACTAAATTCATTCTAAACATTTAAATTCATATCAATTGTAAATCTTTTAAAAAATCAATTAAGATTTTTAGCGTCTTACTTTTACTTACTATTTTTCATTTAATGTTTCTATCAATGAAAAGACCAAAAAAAAGAAAGGAAGAAACAAAAGAAATTATTAAAAATATCAATTAGATATAAAATTCTTAAAAGAGAATAGGGAAGAAAACCAAATAATAATCATAACTTAGAACTTAAAAATGCCACCTAAAAAAGAAGGACCTAGCAAAAAGACAGAATAAAAGAAGCAAACCAAGGTTATTGAAGATAAGACATTTGGTCTTAAAAATAAGAATAAATCCAAGGTTGTTTAGCAGTAAGCAAATTAAAATATTTATTTTGTAAATTATATTCAAATACATAAATAGATGATTTGCTAAAAGATTTGAATTTTTTATACAGCTGATGTTATTTTAACACAAATGAATGCAAAACAAAAAAACATTTTATCTAATGATTTTTATTTTTATTAACTGAAATAAAATCTTGATATCTTTCTATTATCTTAAACTAATCTTTAAAATTATTATTTTTACTATAAATTATTAGATTTGTCAAGAGTGTCACCAACCAAGTCGTAAACTAAGGCAAAGTATGTTTTATCAGAGATTCTTTGTTATATCTGATATTAATTTTAATTTTTGATTTTAAAAAGGGCACTCAAGAAAAGCTTATGGCAGAAGAATTCGAAAAAAGAAAGGCCTAAAAAGCTGAAGAAGAAAGAAAAGCTTTGATGGCTTCTATTTTTAAAACTGTAGATGCAGTGAAGGTTATGACAAAAAAAGGAGAAGATGGTACTGAAGAAACAATTAAAATTTGTTAATTCTTTAAGCAAGGTATGTGTAATAAAGGTAAAAAGTGTAAACTATCTCACGAATTGCCCAAAGATAATTAAAAAATTGATATTTATACTGACTAACGTGCCTAATTTGATGATGAAGAAGAAGGAGAACTTGACTCTGATAAGCTTAACGAAATCATTAAGCAAAAGGAAGGCTCTTATAAAAAATAATGTGCCACTGAAATTGTTTGCAAGTAATGAATCATTTATGTTTTTATTAAAATTAAATTCATATTAATGAAGCACAATTGTTACTATTAATATTTATCTAATTACTATTTTATAATAGATATTTCTTAGATGCTGTTGAAAAAGGAAAATATGGTTGGAAATGGATGTGTCCAAATGGTGGTTATGATTGTCATTACAGACATTGTTTACCTCCAGGTTTCATTTTGAAGAAAGATTAAAAAAAAGAAGAAGAAATAAAATCTAAAGTTGAAGATCTAATTGATGAACAAAGAGAAGGTTACTAACGTTCAGCAGGTACTCCTGTTACTTTAGAGAGATTTTTAGAATGGAAAAAGAAAAGAGCTGAAAAGAAGGCTGCAGATGAAGAGAAAAAGAAGGAAGATTTAGCAAAGAAAAATAAAGGTTAAAAGAAGCTTGCTGGTCTCACAGGTAGAGCTCTTTTCGTTTTCGATCCAACTCTTTTCTAGGATGATGCCGATGCTGCAGACGAAGCTATTATGGACAACAGAGAAGAAGTTGATGATGAAGAACAAAACTAAGAAGAAGCTGAAGTAGAAAAAAATAATCAAGAATAGAGACGTCTCATGGAAGAATAAGAAATATAGGAAGAAAAAAAGCATGAGCAAGAAGCCACATAAGAAGAAGAAGAAGAATAAAAGGTTGATTAATAAGAAAATCCTAACAGCAACGAAAAGAAAGATGAGAAAAAAACAAATGTTGATGAAGTAATAAAAAAAATATAGTTTTATTTATCTATTTTTGACGTTTTAAATATTTTAATATAAATTAATAGAAATATATCCACATTGATGAAGCAGATTAATTCTTTTGAAAAGGCTTTTAGATCTCAAAGTTGAATAAATAAAATTATAATTACAAACAATTTGTTATAAACTTAAAGAAAAATGCAATAGTTCAATTATCATTTATATTCTAAATAAGCCATGCTTAACATCTTAGATACACACATACTTTATGGCAGCTGTAAATAGTTGAGTGTTTAGTTTATCAATTTAGAAATTTAAAAAATGTGAAATAACCTTTTGAAATTTTCTATAATTTAAACTTAAAAATCAATTAAAATAAGTTGCTTATTATTTAAACTTAGTTATTTATATTTATATTATAAAATATGTGTATTTTTTATTTTTAGTTAAATATTATTAGCTTTGAAATTAACGTATTTTTATTGTGTCAATAAATATTTCAATTATTTCTTTTCAAAATTAGTCTACTGGATAGAAAGATAAATAAATAAATAAAATAAAATCTTAAAAATATCTTTTAAAAATCATAATTTTTGCATTTTCAATTTATATTCAATTTTATTTTTGATTGGAAGAGTAAGTAGTAATTACACCTTATTTTTAAGTAAAGGTTTGTGGTTAAAATATTCAAACAGAAAAATATATCTTAAAAGAAATAATATTTGATTTTATAAAAAGAAATTGATTGAAAAATAAAAAAAATCACAAAATATCTGATAAGAAATTGATTAAAATAAAAGTATTATAAAATGGAGAGTGAATTATTGTTATAAACTAAAAAAGAAAATCAAATATATATATAAATAAATAAAAATAAGGGTCTCATAATTACTTATAAATAATAAAAATGCAAACTATTTGATGTTTATGTTGAACTAAAGTGTAAGGAAACTGTTACCAAAATTAAGTTTTCATAGCTTCAAAAGAATTATATTTTAAGATATTTAGGGATGAATCAAAATGAATAAAGAATAAACATTAAAATACTTTTAAAAAAATTAAACATTGAGTTTTATTCGAATTAATAAAGTTAATAGCTATTAGGCGGAGGATGTGGATAATCTACCCCTGCATATGGACCTAAAGAATAAAAAATTTTGTAGGAAAATTTTCAAAATTAAACTATTAGTTTAACAAAAGCTAATAAAGAATAATATTGTGAGGATGATAATAATATCATATAAAGAATTAATGATATTGCTGATAGAGAATAGGAATTATAAAAAATTTCTTAATTGCAATGTTTGCAAGAATTTTAATAGATTTTAATCATACTTAGTAAAATAAAAAATATTTAAATTATATTAAATTAAACTTAAAATTAAATGATAGAAATTATTTAGAAATTTATTAGTCTCTACTTAGCGTTTTAACATAAGAGTGAAAAAAGTGAAAGTTAAAAAAATATTATTAATAATAAGTAATTCATTAAAATAGTTAAAAGCTTAATAACAAAAATAAAAGACATATGTTCTACTGAGCCTTTTTTACATATTCTGTATTATTTTGATTTGCTAAAAAATATTATGCTTCAACAGTACAATTAAACTGAAAGTGTTTTCTTATAAAATTACACTTAGGTGTTTCAGAAGGGGTTATTTGGGATTGTTTTTTTAGAAGATTCTGAAATTTTTTTAAAAGTAATTGCTTAAGTTTAAGGTGAATTTTTCAGTTCAAATTCAAAAAACCTCTTAACAAATATTTTTGAATTTAAAGAAGAAGTTTTACTTAATTTGATTAAGCATAGTAGAGCAAATTAAACATTATAGTTTTAACCACATATGATTCTAGACTTTCATATATTTAGCTACCATAAAGTTTTTTAAGGTAAAATAATATAAGAAAGCTCATAAGAGTTAGTTTGTTATGCTCTTTAGCAGATTTACACTTTGGTATATTTAATCAAAAACATAGTATTTGACAATGGTAAAAAATATTCAATTGACCAATCTAAACACTTGATTCCTTTTTTAGAGGATTCTAAATATGGCGTTTTAAAATTTACAAAAACTTGCTCTTTTGCTGAAAAAATAGGCGTTGATATTAGGTCTTATTTGACATACTCTAAAATTGTTAGATATTTTTGCACAAAAATACTACTTCTGCTTGTAGAAATATTTGAAGAGCAGAAAAAAACCTCCCTATAGATTTATGATAAAATATGTGATCATCTCTATATCTTACTATTTTTAGAAAAATCTCCATTTATCAATTCTTTACTCTATAGCAACTAGTCCGCTAAAAAGATATTCCAAGAAAAATCTTAAGAAAATTAAAAGAATTTATCAAGTGAAATTATTAGCTTAAATTAGAGGTAATAATAAATTAAGCTATAAGCAAGTGAAGAGTTATAAAAACCTTAAAAAAGAAAAGTTTCCTCTATTACTATTCAATAATTAAATTAAATTGATTCTTTGAAAAATCTCAAATAAGAAAATTTTTCTCAATTTTTACAAAGTAAATTGATTGAAAGTTGGAGAGAAAGCATAAGAAGAAAGAGATAATAGGGAATAATAGAAAAAGATGATGAGTTAATTGAGACTGTAGAATATTATATTGAATAAGGGTTTAAATAATTTAATTTAGAAGAAATTAATGAATTTGATACAGTAAATACTAATGAAAATGTTCAAAATGATAATATATTTTAATTCATCATAGATAAGATTAATTTAGACGATCAAAATATTAATTAAAATTATGCTAAACTTTTTGTTATAGTTGGTGAAGAAGGTTTTGGTAAATCCATATTGCTGAAAAAGATAGAACTTTCTTTAATTTAAAATGAATAAAATACTTAACATTTAGCAATACCAATTATGATTTCCTTTAGTGATTTGAAAAAGAACTCTTTTTCTTTAGAAAAAACTATCGAAGAGTGCACTTACTTTTTGTCATCTACTAATTTATCAGTTGAAACTTTGAAAAAGAGTAACTATTAGAAACTAATTCTTTTAGATGGCTTTTAAGATGCTCAGGGAGTTTTTAATAATCTGTGGTAAGATTTAAATTTAAATAGCTGGAAAAATACTAAAATAATTTTAGCATGTAGAGATAATGATTATCATGCTATTTACAACAAAAATTATCTTTTTAACGTACCTCAGGAAAATATTTAAAGTATTGAAAAAAATTAAAAAAATGGATATCTTGTTTTATTTTTATAATAATTTAATGAATCTTAGATACTAAGATATTTTAAAAAATATTTTTATCTTAATTATGATGTAAAAAAGAGCTTTAAGCTTCAGTAAATTGCTGAGTAACTTTTTAAAAAACAAAAGGAAATCTACCAATTAATTCAGATTCCTATTAATTTATATTTTTACACACGTTTGATAGGCCAAGAGAGTAATGATAAAGATCTTTAACTGGAGAGATTTTCTTCTATATAAAACTCATTTTAACTTTAAGAAAAATTTATTTATTTTATTTTTGAAAGATAAATCTAGTATTCTCATTAGCTCCTCTTCTAAAAATTGAATATTTCAAGTAATTAGGAAAAAGAATAAATAAAATCCCTATTGATAGATCAATATTTCTATTATTTTGAAAATGCTTCATTATATTTGTTTAATAAAAAACGAAGTTTTTAAGAGGAAGTGCCATCAAATTATTCTTTGAATGAAATTCCTGTAAAAATATTATCAGATTTAAGTGAATTCATGATAAAAAAACAAAGAGATAATCTTTTATCATAAAAAGATGAGTTAAAAAATTAAAATGAGAGTAATACTTGTCTTGAGGAATATGAATTAAGTAATTCTATTAAAAAGTATTTTGAAACATCTTCTTTATTAGAAATAAAGCAATAGTCTTACAAGAAATTATGGTGTTCTGATTATGAGTAGGTAATTACATTTGAATTTAAGCATTCCTCTATTATGGAGTTGTTTGTAGCTAGAGCTCTGATTAGAGATTTTATTAACGAAACTAGCCTTTCTATTAGAAATCTTAATTTAACCAATCTAAATAATTTTGCAGTTAATTCAATATACATCATAACTCCTCATTCATAGTATGAATAAGATTAATTAGGATTTGGTATTTTAAATAAATTTTGTTTACTTATTAAAGAAGAAATAAAAAAAGAGGAGTAATTAAATTAAAATGTCAAAAAAACTTAAGATTTATTTAATGAACCTCGAAATAATAAGTTTATAGAGTATATTCAAAGGACCAGAGATAGAGATGTTATGAAAATGAAGTTAAAACATTAATTAGATGTGGGTTCATCCAATTTACTCTCTGCTCTCTGTTAATTAAAATATAACTTATCTGGAGTAGATTTATCATTTTGTAGTTTCTCCTGTGCCTATCTATTTGATTATAAAGGAAAATCATTAAATTTTACAGGAAGCAATCTTAGTTGTGCTAACATTTCAAACTCTTCTATTAATTCAACATTATCAAGAACTGAAAACTGTATTTTATGGAAAGAATTAGTTATCTTTGACTCATTTAATCAATTTTCCTTCTCTAAAATAAAATATTTTCCTGACGATAGTAATATTATTTTATGTGGTTCTAATACTGGATACATTAACATTTACTGCTTTGATAAAAATAAGAGAATCCTTTTAACAAATAGCAATGTAAGGAGTAGAGATAACTCTTAAGATGCAAAATATTTATCTCAATAGAGTTTGCAGAATTCACCAAAATAATAACGAGCTTAAACAGACATGGTTCGATCAAAAAGTAAATCACCTAAATAAAGAGCTTTAGATTGCTAAAAAAGTTTAAATTATTTTATCAGACCAGGAACGTCATAGTCTGTTCGCTCAAACATAGAATAAGTTTAAAATTAATTAAAATTATCTTAAGTTTAAATTAACAATAGCTTATATAATTCTATTACAAACTTATCTTAAGTTTCTTAAAATGATGATTACTAAATTATTTCATCTAATTTTTAAGACTCCTAATTGCTCAAATCAAAAAATTATTTCAAAGGAGCTATAAATGATATTGAAGATTATTTTAATACAATTATTGTTTCTCAAAATTCAAATGTTCTTTGCTTGCATAGAGATACTTTAGATCTTCTGAGTATGCTTTAAGCACATGATATAGGAGAAATTAGAATATCGTTGTGCAAAAGTAAACATATATTAGCTACGATTTCTTTGTTGGAATCTACATGTAAGATATGGTAGATTAATAAGCAAAAGGGGTTTCTTTTAATTCAAAAAATAGATGAACAATTAGAATCATGCAAACATTTAATGTCGGCTGTTAAGTTTTCAAGTGATGGAAAATATTTAGCACTAGGATGCACAGACACATATCTTAGAATTTATTGTTAATCTTCATCAAATACATTCGTCTTACTCTAGACAATTAAAAGCTATTGCCAATCACCAATATCTCATTTGGTTTTTTCTAGTAATTCCCAGTATTTAGCTCTAGGTGGATAATTAGAAGAAAAACATTTGACTATTTTTGAATTAACATTTGAAAATTCTTTTTATCCTATTAAAGTTTCATAAGAAAAAGAAAATAGGTGTCTGTAGATTGTTCAATTCACTCCAAACTGTAGATATATGGTAACATCTTTTCAAAAAAATGGATTATTGTAGCTATGGCTGTTAAGCAAAAGTAAAGTAATATATGTTGATTGTATTCAAGCATTCTAGGATGGCTGTAGCGTTTCATCAATTTCTTTCTATTATCAGCAAAATTTAACTATTGATTCTGTGTTAGAAGATGCTGGTAACACATTGATGTGTGTTGGCAGCAATGATAGTTAGATACTTAAAACATTTTGTATCAGAGATAATAAATTTATATTAAAAGAATAGAAAATAATAGGTCATGAAAAGAAGATAGAATAAATTGCTTTGTCTAAGAGCTGTATAGTTTCAATAAGTAATGATAAAACATGCATATTGTGGAATTACAGTTAGTTTAATTAGCAGTTTGAGTAGGTTTAAGTTTTACCATATTAGGTTCTTGATGAACTTTCTAAATTAGAAATATAGCATGCAACTTTTTCACCTAATAATAAATTTTTTGCAATTACTACTAAAAAGAAAGGAAAGGATGATTCATTTTGTTAAGTGTATTTCTTAGATGATGAAGATAAAAATATTTTAGATATAAAAAAAGAGAATTTATGTTTAAAAATTCAAAGTAAAAACATAAGCTGCATTTGTTTCTCTCTTGATACTCAGTTTTTAGCTTTAGCTGACTCAGAGCGCAGTTCTATTAGTATCTTCAGGTTAGAGACTAAAGAAAAAATTTTTGAAATACCTTTTGATAATAAAGGATAAAATGATATCATTAACTCAAATATTAGCTATATGCAGTATTCAAAAAACAATAAATACCTTTATGCAGTTATATCAGAAGATTCTAAAGTATGCTACTTATGGGATGTATCTTAATAGTATCATGAAATAGCTTCAATTAAATTAGGAAAATCTAATAACCGAATTATTGGCACAAAAATAACTCCTGATAATAATATCCTTAGAATAATTACTAGTAGAGGCGAGTTAAGATCTTTTAATATATAAAATAATCTTGACATATTATAAAAATAATATTTTTAATTGGAAGGGAGATCTACAATTAGTAACAGCATTGATTTTTAGTATATTTTTTCTAGTTTTTCACAAGATTGCAACTATGTGGCTATTGGTACTAAAAAGCAAGTTGAGGTTTGGAGCTTAGAATAAACTCAATTATAGTTAGTTCACGTTATCAGTGAAAATATTTTACAACTACTTCATGTTTAGTTTATATAAAATTCACTTTAGTAAATTTGTGTTGTAGACCAAGAAAAAAGAATCAGAATATTTGACCTGTCTTAAGCTATCAAAAAATAAAAATTTAACCCATAATATATAGGTCATACAGCACCTATAATTTAGGTAGAATACTCTCTTGGAACTTCATAATTTCTATTAACTACTTCTAGCGATAATGTTTCAAAGCTTTGGAATTCTCACAAAGGGTATTAGCTTATTTAAACTTTCTAAAATACAAAATAAATTCATATTAATTCAAGTGAAGATATTTTAGTAATAGTTCCATCTGATCCAATGAAAAATGAAATATTATTTTTAGACATTTAATAAAACTTTGAAATTATACATACTTTATAGAATCCTAAAAAAATTAGTAAAGTTTGCTTTTCTCCTAATTTACAAGTAATAGCTACTTGTTAGTAAGATAGTGTGAAATTACGGAATTACAGTAGAGAAGAAATAGTTTGCATTTAAGAATTAAATTGTATTGATTTTGCAGAAATTATCAAATTTTCTATTGATTCTGTTTATATTGCAGCTTCTTTTGGCAATGGTTAGCTTTAAGTATGGAAAAAAGAAAGAAATTAATATTAATTTATAACAAACCTAACATGCAATTCGGAAGACAAAAAATTTATTAACGTCAATTCATTAGCCTTTTCGAATAATAAAAAATTTTTAGCTGCAGCCTTCTCAAATAAGAGGATTATAGTATGGAGTATTGAAAAATAAAATCTATAAATTAGATTTGAAGAAAATCTAGTTTATGGATCTGCTCTAAACATTCTGTTTTCAAGTAATAATACTCAGCTAATCAGTTAAGATGAAGATTACAGTATTAAAGTTTGGGATATTAAAAATGATTAATTTTCTAAACTAGAACAAATTAAGCACAATAACTAAACCCCTTACAACACGAACAAAAACTCATTTAGTTCTTCTATGGACTTCAAGTATTTAGCCATAGGATACAATAATTCTAGTCTTGAAATATGGAACATAGAATAAGGAATTATTTATTCATTAAAGTAAAAAAATACTTGCCTAGAATATGTCATTTGATGTAATTTAAATTTATTAAAGCAATGAAATATTAAAAAATTTCAATATTATTAAATATAAGTTTATTTTAATAATTATCTATATGTTTGTTAGTTTTAAACCAAATAGATTTTTATATTGTTGTTATCATAATTATAAAATTTCATAAAAATCTGTAAAGTTATCTTGAGATAAATATAATAATTGTTAATTAATTTAAACTCAGTTAAAGCAAAATTTATAAAACATGTTTGACATGAAATAACTCTTAACTTCAACTTATTTTGTTTTGATGTTGCTTTCAATAATAAGTAGTAATAAAAGAGCTATTTATTAATGAAATTTATTATTAATTTGTGAACTCGTTAAATACTTCATTCACATCACCAAATAATCGAGCAATTATTTAAACGATTCTTAAAATTTAGATTAATTTAAAAATTTGATTTAGCAGCTTGAATAATTTTATTAAATCTTTTCTTTTATCACCAATTTATCAAAAAACAAAATAAATAATAGTAATAAGTAGAAAAAATAAAATTCATAAAGTTAGGGATATATCGAGAAGCGATAAGTTAGCATTAAATGATTGAAAGTAATACAATTTATTTTTTAGAAAACTTCATTTAAATGTTTTAAAATGGTTTATGAAAAATATTTAGTATATTTTTAAGATATCAAACATTTAAATTGTTTTATCAATCAAAAAAAGATAATGGGCACCAAAGAGATTTAGGTTACTATGAATAAAATTAATAAGCAAGTTACTCTAATAAAATGAAAGCTCAAGAATATCAAGCAGCAAATTAAAATGGCTACACATAGGTGATGCAAAGACAATAATTCAATAATTAGCATGATAAAAATTTTACATAAGACCTGATTATCGAAATTGAAAAAGAGTTAGAATACTAATAAAAAATGCTTATTGAAGACGATTTTAGTCATAAAAATTGGCAAAATGTTAGTCAGTAAGGAATTTAATAAAATAAAAAAGAAAATATATTACATATCAGTTAAGGGAATTTGAGTGGAGACCACACAAACAATTCTACATAGGTTTATACTCCCTCTATTAAATTCTATGATCAGCTTGACAACTAAATTCAAAGGTAAGAGATTCAAAATGATCACTTCTATTAAAGCTAATTTATGAATGGTTTTAACTCAAAAAATTAACAAATAAAACAAGATAGGACTAATCCTAATACATAATCTGCTACAAACAGCTTTGGTAATATATAAAATAGTTTTAATGATTCAAATAGTAACAAGGTTTAAGTTGAATAAAAAGATAACAAAGAGACTGATAATAAGCTTTTCTCAAATTTTTTTATAGATTCAGTTTAAGCTAATATAAACTAAGACTATTTCTAATAGTAATAAAAAAATTTATACTTCTAGTCTGTTAATAATCAACAAGAGGCCATAAAAAGTCTTTTGACATAAATCTAAAAAAAAGAATCTCCTATCAAAGCTGCATTTAAAACAAAGTAACCATAATAGTTAAATTAAATACCTGAAGACTCTTAAGGAGAGAAGCCATATAATTTATAATAAATATATCAAAATAAAGATAATAATTATATAGAAGAAAATTTGTGGAAAGCCAATAAAGTTAACTAATTACAAGCAATTAATGAGAATCAAAAATTATCAATGAAAATACCATTTGGCTAAAAAGAAATAGAAGATAAAGATCAAGTTGAAAACTAAAGAGAGTTTAATTAGGTAAAAAAACAAATTTTTGTTTATTTTTTTAATTTATTATTTCAAATAGGAAGTAGATAATACTAACGATGTAAATTAATTTATACAGCACACATAAACAGTAAGAATTTATTTTTCAAAATTAATTATTCATTTTTTCAAAAAAATAAAAGCTACAAGAGTAAATAAAAGAAATACTAAGCCAAAACAACAAAAAGTAGAAGATTGTCGATTCTAGTGAAGATATCTAGACAATAGATGAATAATCAAGAGAGAGTAGTTTAGATTTAACAAATCGAAATTCTATTTCCAATTTCAGTGAAAGACCAAACAACCAAAAGGTTTATTTGAAAATTTGTTAGAATTTTATTTTGTTAAATATATTTTTTTATTATTTATAGGAAAATTTGTAGAATTTAAATTATCAGCCAATGATATCTGACAGAATTTAGTCAACAATCGAAGTAATTTTTTATGATTATAGCTATATTTAATTATATAATATTTTGTTTTAGCATAATAAGTAAGTAAGGAGAGATTCTAAAAGTAGTTTAAATCATAATGTTTCAGTAAATAAGAAAAAAGAATTAAAGAAGGAACCTTATGAAAAAAACAATCTTTAATTATAATATGAAAGAGCACTTGATCTAAAGTATAATAAAGGTATGTAGAAGAAATAATAACAATAAACTAAGTTGATAGAAGAATCTTACATTCAATAGTAAACAGAAAACGAAAGGATGAGCCCAAAACACATTTACTTAAAACTAAGTCCTAGGGCAAAAAATAATTAGATTGGTGTCTTACAAAATTTCATCAATCCTTACCCTAGTGGAAATTCAAACAATGCGAATTCTTAAAAAGACGAATTAGCTAACTTTAAAAGATAAATAAATAATTTGATTTCAAAAGAAAACGAAATAAAAGGATTTTTTACAGGGTCAAATTCAACAACTCCCTCTAATATACACAGCGAGTAAAATGTTATTGATCAATAATAAAATCCTATTATTAAGATTTAAGTGCATAATACAGATGGACAGCTTTTATAGGAATCAACCATTCCAAATAATAAGAATTAATAGCAAGAAAACGATTTAAACGTAAGATAAAAGCCACAACAAGCACTAAGTGAAAGAATAACTTCATCTTTTAAGTAGTTTAACTAAAATAATAAATAAGCATAAGATAACTCTCTCAAGTTAAAGTAAGACAGCAACAGATAAAAAGAAGACTCGTTTAGATAGAACGAAGATAATTAGGTTAAGCCTAAATAAGATGCAGGTTTATTTGATAGATTGATGAAAAAAAATCTTTAGACTGATAACAACAAAAAGGAAAAACAAATGAAAAGATCTTGTTCAGCTAAGCAGGTAGTAATAAATACAGATATTAATGAAAACTCTCCCAGAAATAAAAACTCGACCAAGCAATCTTATTCAAATAAAAGCACTGGAAGCTATTCTCAACAATTTAGCTAAACATAACCAAAAAAGCCTTGCTTAAAGTCTAATTCTTAGACAAAGTTGTAAATAAATCAATTTAACATTTAAGTTTAAGGAAATTAGTAAGAATAATAAGTTGATAAGCCTCTACTCATCACGGACCTTAGTGTGAGAAGCTCACCTAAATAAATCTAGCTTGAAAATTAAAAAAATAGCTCTAATTTTATGTAGAGTAGTTAAGCTAATTAGTAAATTCATTAAAATCAAATGCAATTTGCAAAATAGACTAACAGATTAATGAACTCCAATTTGCTTGGAACTCCAACCTCTGCAAATCTTTCTATTTACTAAAATATATAAAGCACAAATTCTATTCTCACTCTTCGTTAATAAATTGAAAATAAAATTCTTCGTAATAATAAAGATAATTCTTCAACACCGAATTTAAATTCTTTGATTAACCATAATTAAAATAATGATGGTAATCAAGATAACAATAATTCAAGTAATTGTAATTACAACTCTAAAAAGGTAATTGCCCTTCATAATTAAATGATTCACTCTGATAAGCCAAATAGATAGGAAATTCTTGAAGAAACAAATTAAGTAATTACAAAAACTAATGATAACACTATACAAAGAGGAAGATATCCTTTACCTCTGCCACCATAGAAAAATGCATCATAGAATTAGCAATAGCCTTCTTCAAATCATCAACCTGAAAAGAGAGCAAGCAGTCTACCTAAAAAAGTTAGCTATGAAAGCTTAGTTTAGAGTGCACTGATGAGATAGTAAGTTTTTAAGAACTCCAATGAATTGAATAACAGCTAAAATGATAAAAATTAAGACAATAGTCTAAATAAAAGTAGCAAAGCTAATAATTCTTAAAGAGATAAATCTCCAAGCTACCAATAGTAATTATCTTCTTCAAGGAATCAACTTACAAATTAGTCAGATACTGCTTTAGTTCCAAAATCAATAGACAGAAAAAAGAGAACTGATTCTTTATAAGTAAGAAATTCTTCTTCTAAAGTTGATCAGCATAGTAATAATAATAATAAAACGAAATAATAAACTCTACTGAGACAATCATCTGAAAGAGCTATCAAAGTTAATAACAATCAAAATAGCATTAGTAGTCAATAAACAAACAATAGTAGTTCTCTATCTTATTCATTATTTTATAAGCCTAGCTCAAACACACCAGGCTTAATGACACACCATCTTTATAATAATACAGCCTCTGAAAGCCAATTTAATTAATCAAAAACTATAAATAACCCGCTAAAAGCTTTTTCTTATCAACATTTAGACTAAATCCAATAATAAGAATAAAAATCTTTGCTTGAAATGGATATAATTGAAAGAAATAATGCATGGCTCACACAAAGAAAATAGAAAAACGAATAGAGGAAAAAAGAATAAGAATAAAAGGAGGTAGAAGGCTGCACATTTAAACCTAAGCTTAGAAGCAAAAGTCCTCTAAGTTATGCTTAAGACAGAGAAGAAACTCGTTCTATGTACTCTTATTCGAACACAGGATAAAGTGAATAAAATATATAACTTCTTAAGCAATAACAAAATGATCTTTACTCCAGCTATTTTAACAAAACTCCTGTAATGAGAGTTGGGGGAGGAGGTACAAAAATTTTAACAGAAGGCTACTCTCAATAGCATCAACTTAATATTTTAAGAAAATCAAGCTTAAATTCTATTGGATAATAAAAAATAAAATAATTTTTTCCATAAAACTTGTTTATAAATCAAAACAATTGATTAATTAATATGATGTTTTACAGTACAAACTAAATTTTAAAACTAAAAAAATCCAAAAAATAAATAAAGTATAAATTAATTTTAAATATTTATGTTAATATTTCTACACACATTTTTCATCTTAATTCATATATTAAAAATTAGAAAATAATGAAATGTTAAAATTCAATATTCATTAAATAATAATTCAGTCTAATATTTTTTTAATTTTAACTTTTAATTTTCATATAAAATTTATCGAATAAAAAAATATTCATTTATATTTAATAATGAAGGAAGATCTTTGATTTATATTTATTTCGATTTCTATTTATTCTAATTTATATTCATCAAAGAAAAAATATGTATTGAACTGTAAAATATATAGAAGTGTTGAAGGTTATTTCATCACTGTGATCATCATCTTTTATTAATTAATGTTGTTCTTATTTATTGATTTTTAATATAATTTTTCAAACAATCATTAAAATTAATAAATTGATGATGAATTTCACTCAGATTCTCGGGCTTATTCTCATGAAATAATACCCAAAAAAATCAATAGAAACTATCTTCAAGGAATAATATAAAATCCAGCATAACATAACCTGATTAAGCTAGATAATCCTTTTTAAGAAGAATTATTTCAGTTGATTTTGTGCGTAAAGCACTAATTTGAAGTATTATTCCTATCAAATAAGATCAAGATAAAAAATATTATAAAGATTTTTAGATATCAAAATATCAATTTAAATTTATTTTTGTTTATTTAATTAAACAAAAATGTGTAAAATAAATAAAAATTTAATCATTAATTTATTACAAAGAGAGTAAAACTTAAATTAGCATAATAAAAAATCAATTAATCTTAATATTAATTAATTACAACAATTTTTTGTAAATTTATTTTAAATTAAAAAAATATTTTTATAATTTTATTAAAATGAAAAAAATATAATTGTTAAAAGTTATTTTTTTTTTGAATTTTAGATAGATATTGTACAGTAATGCGAGACATGCTTAAAGTGGATTGAATAGTAATAAAAATGTAGTATTTAAATAAATCTGCTTAGAAAGGCAAAAAAAGCAAATAAATAAATAAATTTCTTGATATTGAATTATATTAGATAATAAACTAACAATTTATAGGCTAAATTAAGAGTCAATACAAAAAATTTAATAAATAAAGATAGTTGTCTGTATCAAACAAAAAGATAAAGTTAAAATAAACAAAAAATAAAGAATAAAAAAACAATAAATTAAAACCTTAATACTATAATTAACATCCATATATAAATAAATGCTCATCCTTTTAGAAACTCCTGCTGGTTTTGGTCTTTACCAATGCAGCAATGAAAAGAAGCTTCAAAAATTGAAAGATCAAGATCTTTACAAATATATGGAAGATGAAGAACAAGCTAAGAAATTGTAATTCATTCATTCAATTACTTACAAAACTTAAAAAATATCAACCAATCATTTTTATTTTCTACTTTGATATTATAAAGTGCTACTAATGAAAAGTTTAATAATAGCATTTGAATAAAACATTTAAATTAAATAAAATGTTAAGCTGAACAAATATTCATCAAGCAAACAAATTTTTTAAGATTTTATTTCTAATTTGACTATTTTTAATTTAAAGGTTTACTTTAGTAGCTTTCACTAAGTTCGAAGATACTCATGATGCTCTTAATGCTACCGCTAAGCTTATTAAGGGAAAAATTCCCAAAAAACTTAAGAAATTCTTGAAGAAGAACATCATTAGTCAAGAAATCCAAGAAACTCTTGCAAGTACGCATACTTTAATATAAAAAATACAAACTTGATTTGAATAACTATTCCTTTTGGAGAATACCTTATGTGCATTAATAATTCGGTGAAAGAACATATATTTAAATGATGGTTGGCTCGAAAAATCTACGCTGCATAGTCAGATAGTAAATTTGATTTTACTAACTGACTTAACAGCACCTCAAGTGTTAAAGAAGATAAAAATGGCTTAAAATAAATTAGGAGTGTTAAACTAATAAATAAATTGCTAAAATATAGGAAATAAAGCAATCAACGTGATAGAAATAAAATTATAAAAATTGGAATTGCTCTGCATTCTTTTGCGATTACCAAGGAATAAACAAACAAACAACAAAATAGCTCAAATAATAAAAATTGCTTAATTGATAGCATCTAAAAATACAGTTTAGAAGTATGGTCGTTGAATTATACTAAAGAATAATTAAAATAATAATACTAATTGAATAATCAATCAGCAAGGAATGATAGACTTGCTTGAACTTTTAACACTCATAATGATATTTTCTTTTCCATTTTATATTTTTTATCGGCGATGAAGAAAAAAAAAAAGGATATGTTCCTTATTTTGCCAATAAAAAACAAAAAAAGAGATTTTGGAATATATCTGCGAATTTTTTTATCACTTACCTTGAAAGAGGTTTGATAAAAACAATTGTTTCGCTTATTCCGAGCCCTCCTCTTTGAGCCGAATTATTACTTGCATAAAAAAAAAAATTTATTATTTTTCTTGTTTTTCCAAATAGTTTAACAAAAGAAGGCTAGGTAGATTTTTCAGATAGATATTAAGAAGATTTATTAATCTATTAATATTTTATTGAAATTTCTATTGAAAACCTATTCAAACAATTACTTCTACATTTTAAATTCAATTTTTTAATATTAATCTGTTAACTTAATAGTTTCTGACAAGAAGTTAGGTAAGTCTATCACTGAAAAGTTGGGAATAGAATGCACCAATTACAACATGGATTTATTCAAGGGTTTGAGACTCTAATTGTGCAACATGGTTGCTGGTATTACTGAAAAGGAATTAAAATCTATGACTCTCGGTCTTGCTCACGGTTTATCCAGATATAAATTAAAGTTCTCCTCTGAAAAGGTTGATACCATGATTATTTAAGCTATTTCTCTTTTGGATGACTTAAATAGCGAAATCAACAACTACATGATGAGATTAAGAGAATGGTACGGATGGCACTTCCCTGAAATGGGTAAGATCGTCACTGACTCTCTTATCTACACCAAGGTCGTTAACGCTGTTGGTATGAGACACAAGTGCTCTAGTACCGATTTAAGTGGAATTCTTCCTGAAGACTTAGAAAAGGAAGTTAAGCAAGCTGCTGAAATTTCTATGGGTACTGAAATCTCTGAAGAAGATGAAAAGTACATTCTCGAATTGGGCTCATAAATCGTTGATTTATCTGAATACAGATAAGAATTATAAGAATATCTTAAAAACAGAATGTTGACCATTGCTCCTAATCTCTGTGCTATGGTTGGTGAATTAGTCGGTGCTAGACTCATTTCTCACGCTGGTTCCTTGGTTAACTTAGCTAAGTACCCCGCTTCTACTGTATAAATTTTGGGTGCTGAAAAGGCTCTTTTCAAGGCTATTAAAACAAAGAAGAACACTCCTAAGTACGGTCTTATTTATCAAGCTTCCATTGTTGGTCAAGCCTCCACCAAGCTTAAAGGTAATTAATTAATAAATAAATAAAAAAAATTTCTTATTCATTTTTTTGTTAAAAAAAAACTGTTTTATTTTAATGACTTGCTTATTTACTGATTAACTTTTATTATAAAAAAGGTAAAATCTCTCGTACTTTGGCTGCTAAGTGCTCTCTTTGTATTAGATGTGATGCCTTAGGTGAATCTGAAGATGCTCAAATTGGTGCTGAATCTAAGTAATACGTTGAAAAGAGACTCAATTTCTTAAACTAAAACGAATAAGGTGGATATGTTGCTAAACCTTAAAAGAAGACTGCTCACGCTCAAGAAAACACTGGTTCTTATAACACTACCTCTGACTATAAATCTATGTTCAAAAAAAGTGAAACTATGGGTGGAAAGTAATTTTTTATTATTTTAAAATGAGTAAATGTTAAATTTAAATCTTAAATTAAAAGTGCTGAAGAACCCGCTAAGAAGAAGAAGGTCAAGACCAACTGAGAAAAAAATAATAAAATTTGAAATTTTAAAACAAAAAAAGTTAATATATTGTAAAAATAAATAAATTCTTATCAAAAACTACCAAAAGATTGCTTTTATAAAATCTTATTTAAAAACATGATAGTAGTAGTTGAGAAGAATAGCTTGTCAATTCATCCAATTAACTATTCTTTAGTAAAGCAAATGCAGAATTATTAATATTATATAAATAACTATAATTATACAAACTATTTCACCACCAGTAATAATTTATCTTGCACACATGTCATTGTTTTATATTATAATGTTCTATTGAATAATTAATAATTCTTGGCAAAAATAATTAATAACTCAAATTAATTCATTCATTCATTTAATTTCATTTACTATTTTAACTTTACATTCTTCCTTCTAAAATTAATTCTAATAAAAGAATTCTTAAATATTAAAAATAATACTGTAAAAAACTAAAATAAGATGTTGTTTTACTGTTATTTAACTTCATAAAAAACTAAAACAATTAAAAATATTTTAATACTTTTATACAAAATTTATTAACACTTTTGGTTTGGCACGAATCTTTTATTTTAAAAAAGAAATGAAACATTTTTAATTTTGTTATTTATAATTATTTCTAAAAATAAAAAAGTTCCAAGAAATTATATTTCGTTTTTAAAAATAGTTCTTTTTGCGTAATTGTTAATATATGATAACTGCAAAAAGGTTATTAATTTATTTTTTTTCACCTTTGCGTATATCAAGGAAATTATAATTTTAAAATATGGTTTCCTTAATTTAAATGTTAGAATAAACTTTTTAGTGCTTTATTTTAATAAAAATACATAAAATTATTAAAATTTAAATATTAAATAAGACTAAAAATATTTCACCATTTTTTATCAACCACTTAAAACTATGAATTTTTATTTGACTATTATTTTTGAAAGTAATACTAGACAATACTTGATCAAATTATAATAACCATTCCTTTTTATTAGATTTTTTTAATGGGTCAATTTTTAGTTTTAGATTTTTCAAGTTAAATAAGTAAAAATTTTTTTTATTTGATTTAAAAATATTTTAGAAATAAAATTGACCAAATAATTATTTTATTTTACTCATTTTTATACTATGAAGATTCATTTATATATTCTTCTTATATGAAAAATTATTAATTTGTATATTTTCTAAATTTTTTAGATAAATATTAAATTTTTACGATTTTTTAAAAAATTTTTTAATGGAGATTCTATTATTTTTAAATGTAAGCAAATAAAATGAAAATAATTTCAAAAATTAAAGTAGACTTTGATAATAATTTTCATTAACACTGAGTAATATCAAGGTAAATTGTAATTAAGTATGATATAAGGTAAGCATTCTATTAAAATATATAGATTTCCTTATTAAACTATTTATTTTGATTGCTATTTGACCAAAATCTATTTAATTTACCTTTGTGTATGACATATTGAAACCATTTAAATAATACTCTAGATTTTAGATACCATCGATTTAATAAATAAAAAAATATACAAAATAAATTAAATAAACATCTTTTATTAGAAAAATAAGATACATTATTAAAAAAACACACACAAATAAATATTCAAACAAACAAATCTATACAATATGAGTAACTAGAATCTTGATTGCTAGTTAATATGCAATGAACATCATAATCAAGCTATTAATTTCATAGATATTGGCAACTATTCATCCAAAAAATTATTGTGTTCTAAGTGCATGAAATAAAATCGCTATGTTGATGAGTTAGATGTGATTCCATTCTCCAAATTCTAATAATGTATGAAGATTATTGAAAATGACTTCTGGGATTTGAGCGATTCTTAATTCAGTAAGGATGAAGTGTTACAAGCATTTAATGGTAGAAACTTAGAAGAAAAATTGAATCTCATGTCAAAAGAAGAAAACCTACTTTCGCAGTAATTTAGAGCAAAAATCTATGGTTAGATATAAGAGGCCTACGATTAATTTATCAAAAGCTTATAGGAACAAATAAATAATTTTAGATATGAACTCTAAGAAAATTTAAAAAACATGCTCTCAGTTTTTATATAAAACAAACTTAAATCTACTGATCAGTCTAAAATAGCGACCATAATAGTCCAAAAAATAGACGAAAGCAAATCCTACAGTGTAAGAAATATTAATTAAAGCTTTTTTTCTTTTTTAATTGTAATTTTGCTTATAAATTTAATATTCCTACACAATTAGTAGATTTAATCAGATTGTTTATTGATATTTGCATTCATCTAGAAAGCCAGTAAAAAATTTTTGTAATTTTTAATTCTAGAGATGCATGAATTAAAATAATCCTACAAAGACTAGAAGAAAAACCATAAAATCCTATTTGACATATTTTAAATTTTCTATAGGATTTTAAATAAATAAAAAATACTCTTAAAATTTTTATTTTTCGTAATTTAGTTAATTTGTAGACCTTTTAGTGCATCATAAAAAAACTCTTTTATATTTAAATTGTATTAAGCTATACCACTTTTTGAAAAAGAAGATAAGCACTGGATCAATAAACAAACCAATACCAAATAAATTTATTTAATATTTCTTGGTTATACCTTCACATATTTCATTTTGATGATTAATTATTTAAAAGAACTTTCCCATATAGATACTTTAATTAATTGATCAATTTTGTCATTTTATAATTTATTTCTTTGATCTATAAATAAATATAGGAGATTGAAGAACTTATTAAGCAGCTCCACTCCGGAAAGCTTGAATTAAAATTTATTTTAGATGACCTCAACACCACATAAGCCTAAATTTAATAGACATTACAGTAATTGCTTGATAATTAAAAAAAAGTATTTGAAAATTCTAAAAATTCTCTGAACTCCATATTACCACCTACAAAGACGGATTCAAAAAGCGAACCCAAATTAGAAAACTTCTTGAGAAGCAACATCATCAACAGCTGTAACCTTAATAATACACATGAATCTCCTCTCAAATTTATGAGACTAAATTAATTGAAGCTGTAAGGAAATTGCGGAAGTAGTAGCTTGAATGGGTCTTTGAACAATACTAAGCTTATTTCTCCAATTTCACCTTAGAAAATTGCTAATTAATATTAGACCCCTCAAAATTATATTAATTCAAGCACACTCTCATTAAATAACAATTAAAAGTAAAGTATAGCTACAAATAATAAGGTAAATACTTAATAGAGATAATTTTTCAAGGAAAGATTTATTAACAGCCTAAATACTCTCAACACTATTTGCGAAAAGAAGATAAACAACCAATAAATTATTTCTCCTCGTGCAAAGAATAATGATAGCTTATCTAGAATTCCTTAAGATTTGGATAGTTTGAGTGAAATCAGAAACCATACAAGCTCTAATTTGTCCTCACTGAATGATTAAAGTGAAAACTCACTTTAAATAAATAAATTGTCTGCAAGAGGCCACTCAGAAAATAAGGTTAACAAAGATGAAAAAAGAGCTCTGATTGACTCTTTATATTACACAAGCAATTATAACAATACAAGTAAAAAATTAATATTAATTTTTCCCTTTGATAAATTGCAAATTTTTATTTAAAAATTTTATTTAATTAGGGTATTTTCTTTGCATAAATTATCTTACATTATTAATTTATTATGTAAAAATTATTAGCCGCTCATGAAGGTTAAGGATTAAAGCTCAACGATACAAACAAAAATGATAAATATTCAAGCTTACAATGCAGCAGGCCCAAGCAAAATTTACAACCATTAACTATTCAATCATAACCTAATTTACTCGGCCACAATCACACCAATAGCTTAATTCACTTAGCATCTCCTGTTAAGAAGTAGGAGTAAGCTTAATCGAAAAGTGAATAATCTTCTCCTTAATCTAATTATACAATTTGCAAGTCTAAAATTTCATAAGACAATGTTACTTGTGCTTTGAAAATGAAAAATGATATCATCGTGACAGGTACTCAAGATGGTTATATCTTGGCTTGTGAAGTTTCCTAACCTTTATCTGAAGACCAAGAAACCTAAGATATCATATTTAAATAAAAGGTGAGAGCACATAGATACGTTACTCACTTAACTCAATGTCCAAGTAATAATGATATGTTCTTCTCTGTAGGGTAATTCAAAGAAAACTCTTCATCAATAAAGCTTTGGAATTTAGGAAACAATTGTCATATAACTGAGGTTGCTGAGTTAAGAGATTTCCATCCAGTAACATAAATATTAATTTTTTAAAAAATTCTCTTTATTAAAAATAAACTATTTAATAAAATATTAGGCTCCTATCGACTAAATCATAGTGCTAAAAGAGGAATTAACTAAAGATGTAGCTCCAATAAATAAGAATTCAAAAGATCAAAAAGAAGAAGAAATAAATGAAGATCGTACAGCTGCAGTAAAACCATTGGTAACAGTGATTACTTTGGCAACTTTTTCCAAATCTGATTCTTTAAAGATATGGAATATAACATACAGAAATGGTACTTTACAAAACGGTGTTGTATAGAAAATTATAGATATTTCCTTGAAAAACTTATCTATATAATCTCATCTTTTAAGGATAGAAGATTAGCTCTACATTTCGAATGCTAACAGAATTTACGGCTACTCATTCAACGAAGACTATTCTGTTATTAAAAAAGAAATTTAAGTAGATTTATTTATTGAGAAGAGTGACTTTATTTAGTTCTTATCAAATTCAAATAATTTAATTTGTGCTTTTTCTAAGTAATAATAAGTAGTGGTCTTAGATAATGAGCTGAAATTGAAGAAACCAGCTGCTAATTTAATTAAGCTATTAATTTAGCATAATAATAAATTAGAACCAGAAAAAATATTCTTTAATAACTTGATAGCTCTAAACCATGATCACTTCGGTTTTGGGTTTAAGTATGATAAGAATTCCTACAAAGTTGCTATTTTAAATGGGGCTACATGCAAAGCAAAGGCCATAATTGAGTCATTTGAAAATCCTATATCATTTGCATTTGGGATGAGCTCTGATAATAAAATATTACTCATAGAAGCAAACAAAGTAATAAAAATCCAAAAATCTTGGGTAAATAATAATAAAATAAATATTTCATTCAAAAATAATTGAGATTTACTTTAAAAAAATCATCTAAAAAAATACTCATCAATTGATGAACAATTATTAAATAACTAACTATCAAATAAAAACCATAAATATCATAATTTATATTTATAAATTAAAAAAAAATGTAATTTTTTATGATTATCAATCATTTAAAAAAAAATATCCTTAACTTTATATTGTTTATAAGAGTAATTAACATATTCACATCCACATAATTAAATAATTTGTTTGCAAAGTTATAATTAAAACATCAGATAATATTTGTGTTAGAATATACTTATAATTATTTATTTTTCAAAAGGGAAAAAAAAAATTAGGTGACTTAAGATATTAATCTAAGCAGGAGGGAGTTTTGGAATATTTTTTTAATCATCAAAAATACTTTAAAAAAATAAAATAAGTTAAAACAATAAAAAATAGAACTAAATAATTTATAATATAAATGGAAAATAATAGGTGTAATTTACCAAAACACGCATCTAACCCTTTTAATTTTTTATGTGTAGATCCTTCATGCAAATATACTCAGAAATACGCTTGTCTAGGATGTATTGCATTCTACCATCCAGGTCACATGCTAGTAGAGTATAATGATGTCTACGCATAGATAAATTAAGGTTCTTAAGAAACTAATTAACCTGAAAATGAAACTTTAGAAGAATTTATAGAAAAAAAAAGGATGTATACTATGAGTGATATTTGCGAAGTAGTTAAATTATTAGACATGGTGTAGTTTTAGGAAGCTTATTCTAATAACTCTAATGGTAATAATAACAAATCTAGCAACTTGTTAAACCTATAAAATAAATATAATGATATTAAATCTAAACCTTTTCACTCCATGAATTCTTAAGAGTTGAATACTGTCATTGAGCTCTATAACACCCTATAGAATAGCAACTAAACTAGCAATTAATAAAATGATAATTAATAACTAAGCGAAAAGAAATAAAAAATAAACAAAATCCTCAACGATAACAAGAAGAATATCATGATATTTATTAATACATATAGGGAATAAATAGAAGAAGGTAAAGAACCAATAAGTTATTAAGATGCTTTACAATAAATATAAAAGTTGAAATAATAACAATAACAATAATAACAACAATAATCATAATAATAATAAACCAATTAAAATGAATAAATTGAAAACTTAAATAAACAAATTTCTTAACTTAAGAGCTAAAATGCATAATTAAAGGAATAATAAACTATGCTTTAAAATGAAAATACTGTATGTAAGGATGATCTTCAAGTAGCGAATGTTAAATTATAAAGCGTTAAAGAAATGAATGAGTAACTTAGAACTCGCTTATAGACAGCCTCTAAAAATGCAGATAATACTACATAATTTATAAAACTGTAGAATGTTGTTGATAGCTTGAGATAAGAGTTATCTACCTCAGATAATAAGTACAACAATTTACAAAAAGCTTACAAAGAATAACAATAAGAAAACGAAGAGCTCAAAGAAGTATTAATCAAAGCTAGAATAGCTTTAGAAATATACTAGAGCAAATTTTAATAATTAACATAGGTATAGAGCAAATTTAAATATATTTAAAATAATTTCTTTTTTTAAAGTAAGTAGAATAAAACAAAAGAGAAAGCGTAGTTGCTAACTTAAGAGCAGCCATTATAGCAGCTGAAAATGATGAAAGAAGAAAATAAGAGATTAGGAGATAATAAGCATAATAAGGACGTGTAGAAGTTACAGAATGCAATGTCTAATGATTTTTTTTTCATTTAAAAAACTTTTTCACTTTCTTTTACATTTTATATAAAATTTATTAACTTTTATTAGATATCTTTGTTTACTAAATTAATATAAAATCTAATAAAAGCATACTGAATTTATCAAATTTAATTAACTAAAAAATTATATTCTACCACTTAAAATTTATTAAAATATGTATCACTATTTAATTTTTAAATTTGTTTTTACTTTCAGTTTATTTTAGAATATTTTATCACAATCATTTTATTTTTCATTAAAAAATTGAATATTTACTATAGTTTTTTTTTGACTAATTAACATCATAAAGTGAGTGAGTGAACCTCAATAAAAAAAAAATTGAGTGCTTTTATGAAATAATATATATTTAAAAATTTACAATATATTAAAAACTTATTTAATTATTATTTAAAATGATAAATTCAAAATAAATTGTGCAAAGTATTAAAAAGAACTTAGGTTATACTATAATATATCTTTGAGATGCGAAAGAAATAAAATTTTTCAATCAAAATTATTTTTTGAAATTAAATTTATGAAAAAACGATTTTTATTTTTATTTATATGCTTAATTTATTTATAAAATTATGTTGTTTGCTTAATTTATTTTTAAATTTTATTAAGTAAATGAATAATTTTTTTAAACTAATAAATGAAGTTTATTTCATTTTGAAAATGATGTGTCTTAGATTAGTTTTATAATAGAAATCTTAAAAGTAATTTATTAGGGATTGTCTAATTAAAAGTAAAATTTAAACATAATTTTACTAACAAATAAATTGCTATACATTTAAAAAAGATTTAAAAGAAGTTTAATCAAACCATAGCTAGATAGATAGCTAGCTTTTTAGATTGTTAAATAATAAATTAGAATCTTTAATTATAAAATATACAATTATCAATATTAATTTGAAGAAAATAACAAAAATTTAAAAATATCAGTAATAAGTTAAATATCGAATTTACTTTCAAAGCAAGAATTTAGTAATGAACAAAGAAAATTTTAATTCAAAAGAGAAGCCAGTTTTTTCTTCCAGCGAGTATGGCAATAATCATTTTAATAAAAAAAGAAAAGAATGGACTAGTAAGACTTAACAAAAAAAGCCATTGCCTCAAAACTTTTAGCAATTTGATAATCTAGATGAAGATTAAAGAGAAATAATATATGAAATAATAGAATAAGTAAAGCCTCCATATGAGCCTTTTGAAAAATATATAAAGCTAAAAGATATGGTAGACTGCTTAAATGAAGTTTGGTCCTACTAAGAAGAATGATAAACAAGCAACTACTCTGAGTTTTCTACTTTTCAAAAGCAATAATAATTATTTCAATAAATTTTGGTTGATGAATGTAAAATGAATTATCAATAAAATGAATCTTAATAGTAATAAAATTAATTTATAGAACATCATTTAATTAATTAAATGTATTAGCATAGTTTTAATACTTATTAAATTAATTAGATGCTAATTCTTTATTATTTAAAGATTATCTGCATATTCAGTATTATTTACCTAATTACTTAGTTATTCTTAGCAAAAAGTAATTAAAATTGTTCTGAAGATACTTGTAGGAATAAAAATATATTTATATAATAGTATGAATCGATCTTTAATAAAATTATTTGTCTAAACCAATTTATTTTTCAAATATAAGTTAATGCAAATTATTAAAGCTCATTAAAAATACCAAAATTTATGATAGAATTTTTTATTAATTAATTAAAATAATTAAAATTTGTTTTAACAAATCTTATCGAATAACATAATTAACTATTCAAATAATTTTTTTATTTTTAAATCTTAGTTTTTAATATTTTTTTAGAAAATTACTTTACAAATATACTTTAATACTTATCTTTTTTAATTTATTTTTTTAATTCTTTAACACTTTATATTTATTTATTTATTTATTTTAAAATATTTTTCATTATTGTTTTTCTTGTTTTTATTACAATTATTCTTCTTCAATATTCATTTAAAATTCATCAAGTTCCTCTTTACCAGCATAAGTTGATTCTTATTTCTGCAAATTTTTAAATTTTGTACTCATGTCTCCACTCTATTCTTATGGAATTGGAGACTAATTAGCTGAGCTTTCTTTACTATTATCAGATTTTAGGTCTTCTTTGATAGAATCTTTTTTAATTAAAAAATTTTGATAATCAAAGTCTATTATTTTTTTTTATATTTATAATGAATGATTTTACCTCTTTCTAATGATTTCTTTTACTCAATATTAGTAGGATGCTAATACTCGAATGATTAGACCAAAGAGAGTTTTGTAGGATCTAGAGAATTAGTTTCTGTATTAGAATTTTAGCTAGTTTAATGAATTAACTAATTTTATAGAGTTTTAGAATTTTTATTATTTTCTACAAGTTTTTCCTATTAATCTCTCTCTTTGCTCGATTTTCTTTATTCGATATCATTTAAAACTTTTTTGACCAGTTCTCTATTGATGGAAGTTCTAACAGCTCTTGGTCTCTTCTTTAAAAAGTAAATTCCATACTATATTTCTTTTTCATATATAAGCCTAAAAAACAAAAAATTTAAGATAATCTGATGAGAATGAAAGTTCTTACTCATGGAATTACTGATCTGTTACATTTACTTGTTTAGGAGTTAAATTAGCTAGAAAATCGACTGCTAATTTAATTTAAGCAAAGCAGTATCCTATTTATGTAAGCATCTTTTCTTTGTTGCAAAAAGCACTGATAAAACTAATTTTGATAATAAGAAATTTTAACAAGAAATTTTTTAAATATTTAATTCTCACTTAATGTTTGACCACAAACGAGTTGGGCATGCTTTCAATAATATATAAATTGAAATTGGTAAGATGCTATCAGCACTTGCAGCATTATCACTTGTTTAAGTTAGTTTGAGTACATTTGTCATTATTGTAGTACTTTCAATTAAACAATCTAATTTTTCACTTGGTGATTTCACGTAATCGATGTTTAAAAGAGCTAAATAAAATTAAAAATAAATAAAAAAACTTGATTTAAAAAATTGGTTTACCCTTAGCAGAGATATCCCACATTTCGTCAACTCTATTGACTTTTTCAATTTCTAGGTGATCATAATTGATCCAGCTAAGTACTTTCATCCTACAATATAAAGCTGTATCAGCATATGTCTTTTCTTTTGGAAATATTCTATATAAAACAAAATATTAGCTTAAAAATCAAATTAAATAATATTTACTAATCATAAAGTTTTCTTGTGATATATTTCTCTAGCTAATCGTTTATCCAATCTTGATCTTCCTAGCTGTACTAACTAAATAAAGGATTGAATTTTACCATATCGAAAAGTTCCTCCATAAACTGAGAAAACTTAGAATTTATAGCACTTATCTCCTTACCTGAAGTAACAACTTCTTAAACTTCTGGAAGAGAAGCAAATATATCAATAAATGAAATAATATCTTTGCAGTGAGATTGATTTTCAAACATTTCTTTCTTTTTTTAATTACTTGAATCTCCTGATGCTCCTTAAGTTAAACCGATAACAAAGTCTAAATTAGAGAAAGTGTGCACGCAACAATCAGTTCCACTTATTTAAATTAAGCTATCTTCCTCATCATCTGTAAGAGAATTATTCATTCCATTATTCGTTGCTTTTGTTGGTTTCTTTCTCAGCCCTGCTCTTGTCTTTTAAGATGTTATGCATAAATTTAATTATTACTTTTCTATAAACTCGTATAAAATTCTTCTTTTTTTATCTCTATTTAACAAATCTATATTCTCTTTCAGTATTGATTAGTATTTTTTAATTGTGTTTTTAGCTTTTAGCAGTTCTGATTTTGTGTGATTAGAAACTTTCATAAATTTTTAAAATCTTTCATGGAACTCAGAGCTCATTTCTGCAAAAAGCATCATAAGATTATTTTCCTAGTACTTAGATGGAAGCTGCTTTAAAATATTCAATAAATACTTTGCTTTAATCATAATAGGAACGTTGTCAACATTATTGCTATGCTTGGCATTATGTAAATAGTAGCCCTTTAAAATAAATAAATATCATATTAAATTAAGAACAAAGTTTTAATAATATTAACATACGTCTTCAAAAATCTTAAATAGCTCCGTTAATTCCATATTCTTATAACCAGTAAAACTTAATATATTATTTAACTTTTCTATGGAAACTAGCACTTGTTGGATCATATTTTTAGCTTTGTTTGTTACCTATTTTGATAGTATAAAAAATATTCATATTCTCTGTAAGAATTATCAATGAAAAAATTTACCATTTCTTCAGTACTCATGTTTTTTTTGACTTCATATAGTCTCTTATACTCTTTAATGTAATTTGTATTAAGCTCTTAAGGCATGGTTATGTCAATTATTATTGTATAGATTTATTGAGGTTTGTGAGTACCAGGTATATCAAGGTCTTTTCGATCATCGAAAAAATGGCAACTGTCATTCATAATAAATACTCTTTTTACATAATCAGCAATTTGTTAATTTATTTTAGAAATTTCTGAATAATTTTTTTCTATAATCTAGCAAAGAGTTTATACATTGTCTAGTGTTATGCAAACACAAACGACCTAAAATTATATTTTTAGTCAAATATTTAATAAAAATATTTTTGTTTTATAATTAAACTTTTGATTACTTTCATTTTCTCTTGCTTCTAACTCTCATGGTTGATTATTTTTATTACAGCTTCTTCATTTATAGAAAGGAGCTCTTTAAAATAATCTTCAATACTGTTGCTTAAGTCTTTTATAAGAGGATTGAAATACTTATAGTTTATGGTATCCTGCTCAGGGAAAAATTCCCTTCTGTAAATATTTTTCATCAATTTTTTTATTTCAAATAAATTATCTTCGTGTTCATCTTTGATTAAATTAACCTATCTCAAATGATGAGAGAACATAAACTAAGGAATTAAATAGCAATCAAACAAGAAATATCCTATAATTGTAAACAAATCTTCATCAGAAATCTATAATTTTAAATAGGTTAAAAGAAATTTAAAATAATTGATTAAATAATTAATTACATTTTAAAACTTTTCCTTAGTGACAATTTCAATAATTTTGCAAGTAATACGAATAGGTACAGGAATATTGTACAAATTCTTAAAGATGCTATCAAATACTATATTGGTTAAGTTTTTTAAGATATCTATATTTTTTTTAAGTAGCCTATTTACATTATCTTGCATCATTTAAGATTCTTTGTCTAAACCAGATTCAGGACCTCTTTTAATTACTCCAGAAAAATCTTAAATGGCATCTTTACCTTGGTTAGAGCTATAGTTTCTTGCTGATAGTGGCATTTGAATACTGTCTGCTTTAGAAACGGTTAAATTAGAGCTCTCCTTAACATTTGTTGTACTTATTTATAAATTTGCAGGCTTTGAAAATATTGTTTATCTTGCTTAAAATCTAGCACTTTCTTTATTTTATTTAAGTTAGTTATCATTTAAAAATTTTTCTCATCAATAAATAAAAAAATAAAATTACTTGACTCTTCTCCTAATCCTACTATTTTCATTACATTATGACTGACAATATTATTCTTATTGCTGTTTACAGAGTCGTATTATCTGAGTATTTATTCATATTTTTAAGCATAATTCTTGTTTGAATTATCAGATATAGATGGTTCTGTTCTCATACTTTGATTGCTGTTGTAAGAAACATACATATCTTTTTAATTATTTCCCATGGTTTTTCTTTAAATCTACTACTAAATACTTGTTCCTTGTGATGTTTGTTTTTTTTTTAAAAGCTCAAAAATCCTTTCATTTATAATAATGATTTTTAAAAATTGGTTTAAACTAAAATTTTAAATTTACTTTTGTGGGTTAACAACTATTTTATTTGCTTTTGTGATATATTGCAGAGGTCCCTTAAAAATATATTTTGTGTATCTCTAAAAATCTTATCTTTTGGTAAATTCATTTAGGATTTTGGTTAAAACTTAATTGCTTTTAAACTTAATTTCAGAAGGATCTTGTGCTTATTCTACTTCAAACTATTTTTTAATTCAAAAATTGTGTGTTTAAATATTTTATAAAAGAAAGGAAGTACTTTAATAATATTTGAAATGAATATCATTATGTCTTAGTCCCACACTTCTTCTTCAATTATGTTATCGTAGAAAGTATTTACGATACTTCTTATCAGGTTTTTTGTAGGCTCATCAAGGTTATTCCCATGAGTTTTGATAATTTAAGCTAGTAATTTTGGATTTTGAGCTAATGTTTTTAATATTTAACATATAACACTATTTGCATCTTTAAATACTTGAGCAGTGTTTTCTATTAACACTTTTTTTTTATTTTCATCAACCTTAATTTCTTTCTAGTATTTTTTATTTAAATAAAGTTATTTGCGTGAATACTTTAAGTAGTATTGCTTACTTATGTTTCTTCTAATTCTAATAACTCTATATATGTCCTATAATATTGCTTATGGCTCTCTTCCAAATCGCCTTATAAGTTAGACTATTAATTACTTTCTATTTTTTAACATGGAAATTAACTTCAGATAAAATACTATGATTAGTATTTAAATTTAAAACAAGTTTGCAAAAAAAATAATAATATTTATTTATAATGAGCAATAGTTGCTTTACCTGACATGATCAGGTTATATTCTTCTTTAAGCTTTTCTTATAACTCATTCCAATGGTTAATCTCAAACATATTTTCATTTTTTGGTTTTTGCCATAAGCTTTACCTTCCTTGAAGAACAGGAAAGCTTCCCATCAAATTTGAAATTGCTAGTTAAGCATCTGAACCTAAAACATTATTAAAAACTCTCTAATCTGTTATTTTGAATTCCTATTCTTCAAATAATAGTTATGATTTTTAGAAATCGCTGCCGTGTTGCCTTTCTGTAAAGTTTAAGTTAATATTGGACTCCAAATCAGAAAATCTATTATTGAAAGTATGATTTCCTAATTAAAATGATAAGTTAGATTAGTCAAGAGAATCATTTAGTTAATCTCTATTTGATTGATTAAGTAGAATTTATTTCCCTGTAGGCTTGTAAAATATATCAGTGTCACGTGAAGTTGTATTAAAATTGCTTGCTAATTCGCTATCATTCAGATTCCTACTTTCATCTAAATCGGAGTCAGATCCTACATTTTCTCCATTCGTTTAATGCAAACTTCCTATATCAACTTAATCCTTTAATTCCTCTTCATAGTTGTTGATATCATCAGCACTATTCGACCTTTACATCTTATTTATAATATTATTCCTAAGATTAACTCAGATATTTAATAATTTTCTTTTAACTATAAACGAACTGTTTTTAAAGCTGAAAGGATACTAATTAATTATCTTAGATTATTTTACTTATATTTTATATAAATTACAATCAATAAAGTCTTTTTTGAGAAATCTTGAATAATACTAATTCAGTACAAAGAAATTTACAGATAATCAGGCAGATAATAAATAAATAATGCTTCTTTATTCTTTGTTGATACAAGCATAACAAATTATCTTTACAAACAAACAAATAAATTAATAAATCATCAATAATTCTCAAAACTATGTGTTTGTTTATAATATTAAAACAACAGAATTATTAATATTGTATGAATAAAAAGTATTCTACTATTAAGTTAATTAACAAAACAAATATATAACAAATATGTAAACAGTCTTTCTTAAAACAATCACTTAAGTAAGGCTATTTTATAATCTATGATAACATTCAATATATTATTATAAATAATTTCATATCTAAATTTAACATTTTTATTACTAATTAGATTTAAATACTTATACTTAATAGTAAAAATACTCTCATTTTTATTTATATTTTTATCATTATTCAAGTAAATTTATTTGTAAATGCGATTATAAAATATTTTTAAATTTAATTTAAAATCATCAATCAAATTAAATTTGATTAACCGAATTTAAATCTAAAATGAATGAAAATTTAATATATTATTTTTCTTTAATACTTTTAGTATTTCTTTCAAAAAATTTATAACATTTGAGATTTATTAAATTAGTTTATCAAATTATTTATGAAATATACTTTAAATTATTTTTTTAATATCAGAATACTAATTAAGTTGAAATGAACATCCATAGCCTGACAATTAATCATATTTAATATTTTATAAACACTTAAATTTAGCTTTACAGTATAAACGTTAGGTTTTATTAGTTATATGTAAGTAATTGAGTTTTAGAAATTCTATTAAATCCTCTATCTTATAAATAGAGGCTTTATTAATAGCTATAAAAAAAAAAATTTCTATATGCTTCAAACAAAATTTATTATAAAATTAAATTAACACATATAAAAAAATTAAAATAATGGATTCTACAAACAGTTTTTCTAAAGTTTTTCATTCAGCACTTATTATTAAGCCTCCTTAAGATAAGTGGAACCAAATCTAAGAAATAAGAAAAATCCATGATAAAGCTTACGAAAGGTGGATGCCTCATATTAATATGAGTTTCCCATTCGTACAACCTGAGAAATTTTCAGATGCAGCAAAATTGCTTCAATAAGAATTTTAAGATTTTGAAGAATTCGAAATAGAATTTAAAGTTTTTGACAATTTCACTCACGGAAAGTCATCTGTGTTATACTTGAAACCCTAAGTTAACGAAAACCAGCTCCAATTAGCTTAATAAAAAATCTAAAAAGTTTTTCCATTTTTAGATGATCTTTCAAAAAAAGGAGAAGGAGGTTTTGCTCCACACTTAACTTGTGGATAGTTTTCATCTAACTAAATAGAAAAAGTTAAAAAATAATACTAAGAAAAATATGCACCAATTAAATTCACATGTAGTGAGTTATGTTTAATTACAAGAGATGGATAAGATGCTCCTTTTATTGTTAAAGAGGTAGTTACTTTAAAAAAGAAATAAATTAAATAAGATATAAGTGATGATTTTTGATAATATCTACTTGTTTATTTAATATGTTTATTGTTATAATAATATCATTAATTACAATAAAGTTTTAAACAAAAAATATTTAATTTTTAATTTTTAAACTTGAAACTAAAAGCCTTGATAAAAAATTTTATATTTTTAATTATGATTATTTTTAAAACAAAAAAATATATTAGATATTTATTTTTTTAGAATTAATTATTAAATTATATACAAATCAATGAAATATCCTAGCAATTAGAAATAATGTTTAACTTCTAAAATTGGACTAATTTATTATTATAATAATATAATTATAGATTAAATTTTATACAAAAAATATTAAATTTTTTTAATTTTAAATTTGAAACTAAAAACTTGAGAAAAATATGTGATATTTATTTTTAATTTTTATTATAGCTAAAAGAATATAGAATTTTTTTTTTAATTATATATAAATTAAATAAATAAAGACTTAATAATTAAAAATAAATACTGTATAACTTCTTAAATTAGTAGCACATCTAAAACTTATTTTATTTTTAAAAATGAGAAACTTAAAATTTATTTAAGATATTTTTTGTCTTTTAATCTGATTAAATTAATATTAAATAAATACCTTTTTTAAAATTTAAAATATTTCTATATATAAAAATAAAAATTTGTTTATTTAAATTGTATTAATTATAAATATATAATAAAAAAAGACTTAATGTAGATAAAATAACAAAATCACCATCACCAATAAAGATTTAAACAACTTTAATTTTATTAAATATAATTGATATCTTTAAACTCTAAAACACTAATAAATTATAAATATTTTATTGATATAGAAGTTTTAGTTAAGATATTTGATTGATTGGCTATTAATTAAAAATAATTAGTAAGCAACATAATATGGATATGATGATTTAAATATCTAATTAGTTATATTTAATAAACAATTTAGCTGAATAAATAAATAAAAATAATAATAAATATTAAATTTTAATTGATAACATTGCTTATTTTAAAGTTATTGCTTGATTGCTTGCTTGTTATCAATAACTTCTAAATACCTAACTAACAATCAACTAATTTTAGATAGAAGTAAATAAAAAATATCATCAGTAAAAAATTCATTTAAAAGTATTATCAAATAATTTTTAATACAAAATGAGCAACGCAAGAAAAGCAAGCTTATAAAAGTGTGTATACATCAACGATGAGACTCCTCATCGTGACCCGTCTACTATATTTCACTCACCATTTAACTAAGGTTCTAAGAACAATACGTATAACAACCCTTCTTATATGAGTTCAGAGGTCTTCTACCCTCATTAATAAACCAACCTTACCAATGTGAACTATTCAAGGACTCCAAAGAGAAGCTTAGTTTAAGACAACAAGTAATTCAAACTTAAATAGGAATCTATTTACAATTATCTTATAGAGAAACTTTCTGCGATTTAATTTTTTTTTTTCTGACACCATTTATTGTTTTTTTTAATAATAAAATATGATAAATTGATCAAAATATTATTAAACAGTGGAGATCTATTCAGCAGTAGTAAGTCCCCATTAAGACCGTAAGGTGTTTCAGGTAATAAGAATTAGTAAAAGTACAGCTATATGAATGATTACTAAAAGTTTCTTGAGAAACAAGATCAATAATCAGATACTAAGTCTCAAATAAGTATCAGCAATAATAATAAGATTTAAAATAATCCTACAAGCTTTTAAGGAAATAAAACCTACCACTTTGGTAATAAATCAATATCATCTACTGCTGATATTTAAGCACCTCAATAGAGCTCATCAAAGACACCAAAAAATGCAAAGAATATCCAACAATAGTTAAATAGTATCGTTGCTTAAGACACAACTGCTACTTCATAGAAGCTAAGAAGTCACTCCTAATTTGATTTCGGAGATGTAAAAAAAAGAATTGAATTAGAAAGTTATTAACCTTAAGCCCGTTAAGAATACATTTCAAATGACAGTAAGAGTGTTAATAGTTAGCATTCACATAATCCTTCCTCACTGATTAAATTAGAGCAAGTAAAAAATAACCAAAAAAGAGTATCAGATTCTTAGAAAGTGGTAAACTAAAACCAGCCAGTTACTTAAAATGGACGCACTCCTAGCTAAGTTTCTCAAAGTAACTAATCTTATACCCCTAAAAGCCATAGCAGAAATGGATCTCAAATATTTTAATTTAGCAATTAAAAAAGTTATTAAGATCCTAGTTACTAAAATAATCATCAAAAATAAATCCAAAGCAATCAACAATAGTAGACAAGTAAAAATAATACTATTAATCCTACATAGAAATTGTAGAGTAGCCCATAAACTACTCATCAGCATCACTATAATTAATTTACTAAGAGTCCAACTCCAAAGAATTTTAATAAAACAGAGAATTTTGGTGCTTAAAATGGCTCTGAGGGATTTTAGCCTAACTAAACTGTACCAAGAAATGCCTCAGCTACTCAAAAGAGAACAGTAGATCTAACTTCAAATTAATCAACAAAAGGAAGCAATTCTAATCATGTAAGTTAAATTTAAAGCAATAAAAACGATAGACAACCAAACTATTAAGATGATGCCAAAAGTGTAACCAGTACCTCTTCATTTGTTAGTTAGTTAGTATGCAATAATTGCGTTAATAAAGACTTGATAGTAGACAAGCAGTTAAGATAGTAATAAGAGAAGGAAAGATTAGCACAGTTAGAAAAGCAAGCAATAGAAAATGAATAGAACTAGCATTTCAACAGTTATGTTTGGTAGTAAGAGTAGATTAAAAATGCCAAAAATTAATATAACTAAGAAATAAAGGAACATTTATTGTATAAAAATAACTTAAAGCATTAAGAATAAGAAAGAGAGAAGTAGCAAAGACAGCAAGAATAAATTCAATTTTAGGAAGAACAAGATAGAGTTTATAGGTAAAAGCTCGAAGATCTCAAGAATTATAGAGAATAATACAAAAAAGAAATTGATATGCAAATTTAGCAAAAGCATGAAAGGAAAGAAAGAGAAAAATAAGCTGATAAGTCTTATTTAGAATATTTTGCTGCTTAAAGAGAATAAGATTTGCACGATTACATGAACTCAGTTGCTTAAAAGCAACACCAAACAAATAAAATAAAAGAAGAATTAAATAATTAGTTAGAAATAAAGAAAAGATAACAAGAAAACCAAGCAATAGAAGAAGCTAAATATAAACAATAACTTGAATAGCAGCTTGCTATTGATATGAAAGTAACTTTACATTGATTTATTTTTTTTTAAAAATAATTCTTTTTAGCAAATTGAAGTTACAAAATTTATTTTAATTAATTAATTAAATAGATAAGAGAAAAGTAAATTTAAGACAGAGCAGAAGAATTAAGGTCGTTCAAAGAAGCTTGGGACATTTAGCAGCAACATAAATAGCAATAAAAGGTAATTTTACTTTATTTTTATATAAATTATATTTTATTTAAAATAATTAAAGGTTTTTGCTTAGAAGGAAAACGAGAAAATTAAGTAATTCTAAGAGGCTATTATGGAATAAGATAAAAGTCTTTATGAATAAAATGTTTAGAGAAACGAATATATCAAATAAAAGTAAGCAGAGCAATTGTAAACTCAGATTGAAATGAAGAAGCAACAACTAAGAAAAGAGTTAGAAGAAAAGTTACAGTATGGAAAAATGCTTAAAGAATAGTAAGAAAGAGATTTAGCTAATGCAAGACAAAATTTCCATGACTGTGATAGATGTCACAATTCTTACCCAGTTTCTCATCTAACAAAGCAGAAGTAACTCAAGTCAAAGCCAAAGTTTAAATTTTGAGATGAGAAATTATTTGTTAAAATATGCTAAAAATGTTAAATTTCTTTAAATCGAAATATAATAATATGGTTTAGCATTAAATAACATAATTTACTCAATAAAGAAAAAAATATTTACCTAAAGCAGCTTAAAAAGACAGATTAAAAACAAATAAATACAATACAATAAATAAATAGGACTATTAAATAAATTAAACAAATGTAATCATGTAAATAAATATAAGTTGTATAAATAACCATTAACTATAAAAACAACTATTAGTAAATATATATCTCTAGTTTATGTAAGAATTATTTTTTATAAATTCTTAAAATTTTTATAAATAAGTAAATAAATTTAAATTGCTTTTCTCTTTCCAGTTAATTCTAAGAATTAAGTTAATCAATAGAGATTTTAATAAAAAATACAAATTAATGAAAAAGTAGAAAATTCATTTTTAATATTAAAAATATTTTATTGATAATTTAAAATAATTTTATTCTTATTTAATAATTTTTAAAGTATAAATAATATAAAAAACATCATAAAAATTATAACAATAAAAAAGAAGAGAGACAGTTTATTTTTTGATATTCAAACAAATAACAATTTAATGAAATACGAATTTTAAAATTAAATCATTTTGAAAAAATTAAATAAAAATCAAATAAATAAATTGCTATTTTACTAAAATATTTTTAAACAAATAATATTTATTATTAATTAATAAAATGTAATATAAATAAAACTCATTAATTAAAGTACTAAAAAAACAAAAAAAAAAAATATATGTATAAACTTAAAATTTAGAATTAAGAATTGCCTTTACAAATATGTTAAAAACGTTTTATATTTATTTTAATACTGTTATTTATTAAGATCATTTTAAGATTTTATTTAAATTTATTATGTTATTTATATAAAAAAATTGTTTTAAAAATCAATCACTTGATTCTTCTTAGGTTTAAAGTAACTTTTAATTTTATTCTAATAATTTCTTTTTTGTCTAAAGATGAGGATCTGGTTAAGAAATATCATAAATGAGCTAATTTTTGATAAAATTTGAATCCAAAAACTACTGCTTGTAAGTTTAAATTATTTATTCTTAAAAGTTTTGAGTTTTTTGTTCTATTTAGTACATACCAATGTAATGAGAAGAACAAAATACAAATGAAGCTATGCCTACTTTAGTATACCATTTGAAATTCATAAATCCTTTAATAAAAGCAGAAACACAAACTATATTAAGAAGTGAAATTGCAGAAACTTTGTATGAAGATGAAGAATACTCATCTTTAAGCTAATTTAATTTTCTAATTTCATCAGAGTTCATATAAACTTTTAAGTGATAAACAACATCAAATCTGAGTCTCTTTGGAATAGGTTAATCTTTTTTAATAAATATAAGCTTAGGAAACAGTAAAATTTGGAAATAGATTACCTTAAGCAATAAGTTGTTGTGCTTTTTGTAGCTCTTTACGAAAAAGTTATTCTTTTAACTTCTTTTTTTCTGAAGTTTTTTCTTCATAATTTGTCTTTTCTTTAATTCTTTGACTTAAGTTATTAAAAAATTCAGACATATTCTAAGTGACTTATTTAATGTATATTGAAAAAATAAATATCTAAAATTAAAATAGAAGTAAACTTTCTCGAAAAATATTTGGAGTCTATTCAATATTAAATTTTTAATTAAAATAAATCTTTTGCATCAAAAATTTAATTTGCTTTTTTATTTAATTGAAATGGTTTTTTTAATTCAAATTTTTTTGATATATATTAAATTTATTTTTTAAAATTATTATTTTTAAATTATTTTTTTAATTTTAAGAATTAAAATGAGGAGGAAAACAATTATAATTAATTGTAACATCCTAAAAATTATATTTTGATATATAATTAAAATTATATTTATTCTTTTATTTTTGTAATTGAAATTTTTGATAAATAAAATTTTATATAAAATGATAAATATATTCATAATTACAAAAATCTAAACTAATTAAAAAATACTTTAAAAAAATCAAAAAAAAGGTTATGTTTTAATAAAATAAACTTTTAAAATAAAGAAATTATATTTTATTAGAATAATTATAAAATAGAACAATATAATTAATTTGGAACTAGAAAATATAAATTTTTCAATAATTTTGATAAGAATTAAAAAAGATATTTTAATATTTTAAATATAGTCAATCAACTGAGATATTTTAAAAATAATATTTTGATTTCAAATAATATTATTTGAAATGCTTTTTTTTGTTAAATGAAATGTTTTATTAATCAAATTTTATATATATGTAAATTCAATTCCTTAATAATTAATATACCTTACTAAGAATACTAATTGAATAATTTAAAATACTTTTAAAAATTCAAAAGGTATTTTAGATTAAAAAAAGTGTTTTTTATTAGTAAATTAAATTTTTAATCTATTTTATATATTGACAAAGTACTATACATTATATAATTATGTAAGCTTCTATGCATTAAAATAATTTAGAATATAAATTCATCAATAATTAATAATTGTGATTTGTAGATAATTGGTTTTTAACTGTTAAAATTATCAAAAAATTTGAATTTTTTTAATTGTTATTATACTAATTAGGAATTAAAAGTATACCAATATGCTATAAGTCATTTAAAAAATATTCAAAAATAGTAATATAAGATCTTGTTTGAAATAGCAAAGAATAGTTTCTATTTAATATAAGAAAACGGAGATTTTTAAAATAAATCACTTATTCAATCAATCATTAATTCATTAATACTTTTGTTAATAATTAATTAATTATTAGTTTCCAAGTTTAAAGATTTTTTCAAATAATTAAAAACAAAATTTATAAATTGTTAAAAAGATAAACAAAGACAAATCAAATACAAACCATATAATTATTTTGATTGATTTAAACTAAATAATTTGATTTGAAGTAAATAAATAAATAAAGAATAAGCTGTTGATAGATTGAGCTTCATCTTAGTTGGGATTTAATAGATTTAATGCAAGAAGATAAAAAGCTATTGAGATACTCATTCGGAGTTTGCGATTAAATGAAAAGTAATTTTGTAAAACAGCTCATTTCAGCTTGAATCATAATTTTTATGCAACTACATTTATATTCAATTATTAATAGAAGATAACTACTATCTTGAGAATTACTCAAATAATTGTAATTTTTTTTCTTCTTTGTTTAAGCAATTCACCCTTTATTATATAGTAAGTATGTAACCAGAAGAGGTTAGGAGTATAACAGCAAGAGTGAAGAGCAATATAAAATAATATGAAAACTAGTTATTATGTAAAATTATTTTCATCACCATTTTATTTACAAAAACACGACATTTCAAATAAACTGCTTTCTATTGAGAAAAAATCCTTTAATAATTATAATTTTGTTTTTTAATGCAAATTAGAGAATAGCTAAGGAAAGAAAGGAAAAGATTTAATGAAATTTATAGGGTAATTAACATTAATTCATTTATATATTGTTTCATTTTAATGAATTGTTTATTTCTCATTTTAAATAGAAATGTTAAGAATGCCATGAAGTAGTAGGGAGATTAGGGATAAACAGACTTTTTATATCAATAGCAAAGGATGCAAGCACAAGAATAAATTGATGACGAAGATATTGAATTCTATAATGACTACTTTCCAAACAGTATGATTGACCCCGGCAGCAACTATGAGTAGTAATTGATTGAATAATTTGCCAAAATGCAGACATTCAGCCAGAATCATAATGCCTTTGGTGTAGGAGAAAGTAGCAATAACTACCTCAGTTTAACCAATAATACAAGTAATTTAAACGTTTAAAACATGGTTCAAACTCCTACAACTCCTCAATAAGGCTCTGCACCTAATTTTTAAAGCTCTCATTCATAAGATTAGCTTATCAAGCATCACAAAGAATTTTTAGAAGCTCAAAAAAATAAGCACCTTTCGTTATCATAGTCTCAAAAATACTTCAATCAAAAAGCAGATGAGTAAATACTCCCTTAATCTGTAACTCGTTAGCGTGACATTGACAACGATTTGTTTGGAATAAATTCCTTTAACAATAATAACAGTGCTCATCAAATGAAATTAATGAGAAATCACTCTTCATTAGAAGCAAGCACAAATATTTTAGGGTCTGCTAAGGGTGTAAGAAATGCTCACTCAGGTATGAGTACAAATAATATTTTGAATGGGAAAAATGAAGTTTCATATATTTCTGATTATCAAAATAATCACATGATTTAAGAAAATATCAACGATTCACTGAAGATTGAAGACGAAATCTAACCAATACCCAATGAAGGTGATATGAAGTATGAAGATCAAAGTTATTTGGATTCATACTTATTGTATAAAAATTCTATCTCTTAGTTAAATTGTGCAGAAGATATTAACTTGGAAGAAAATTAGTAATAAGGAAGTATGGTATTTTATAATAATTTAAATCCAAATTATATTCTTAACGCTTAATCATCAAACGATCATTCTTAGGCAAATGGAGCATAATACTAGAAATTCTATTTGAATTAAACCAATTTCCTGTAGAATATGGATGAATATGATGGAAATAATGAACCATAGCTTCCTTAATCTTGTCTTCCTCACTTTGTGAATGCTCAAATTAATTATGAGGATTCTAATTTAAATTTCAATGAAGGTAATTAATTAATTAATTAATTTTATTTTTTAACATAAAATTATTTAAATTTTCAACAAATTTAGAAAATGTTTATCTTGAAGAAAAATATGTACAAGACATGCTTTATATGAGAAGACCGAATTCTGCTAATTATTTGATAGAAAATATGGAATAATCATCAAATCATGTTTAAAAAGATCATAAACAAGCTGAAAAGCGCAAAACATTTATTGAATCTACCAAAACTAATATTCCAAATGCAGCAAAAGCCAAAGAAAGAAGCATCACTCACAACACTAGCTTCGAATAAAAACTAAAAGTAAAATTTTAAAATGTAAAAATGATTTATGAAAATTAAATTTTTTGTTAAAAGAATTAACAGAATTCTAATAAAATGGGATATCAGTAGCAATTACAGAAAACAAATAGTTTTAAAGTTTAAACCGATAAAGAAAAAGAATACAAGATGGTTAATAAAGAAAATAATTTGAGTTAAGCATAGCTCAATGTTTAACATTAGCAAGCTAGAGATAAATCGATTGACATAGAAAAGGTTGATTAAAATGCTGTCAAAATTGGAAAATTCATTAGTAAAAGATATGTTAATAAGGAAAATAAAAAGCCAACAACTTCTCAGCTTTCATACAAAACACCAGAAACTGCATTAAGAGCAAATGAAGATTTCTTGAATTAAAAGACAAAAAATTACTTAGAAATTTTAAAAAAGCATCTTAGGACAGATTAAATAAACACCGCGAACAAGACTTAAAAGCATACATTAAATTAAGTGTAAGCAAACACTACTCAATATTAGCCATAGTAGACTTAAGCAAAAGCAGCACCAAAAGTAAACAACAATAATAACACTTTCAATAAAAATAACTCACCAACAAAAAGGCTCTCTAATATTTATAAAATAAATCGAAACTAACCTGCTCCTGCTCCCTTACCTCTTTATAATACAAACGATCACTCAAGTACTAACTAAACGATGACTACTGCAGCTACTACTACTCCAACACTTAGGCAAAACCATAGCTTTGTAGTAATTTTTTGAATAAATTTGAGCTATTAAAATAATTTAATTGCAAAAAAAAATAGGTAACCCAGAAAAAAGGTGATGAAAATTAAGAAGCAAAACAAGAAATAGCTAAATCGATTGGAATTCCACATTAAAATTAATAAAAAAAACAAGATTTAGCAAATCCCTACAATATTAACATGAAAAATATAGCACTTACTAGATACAGTAATTTAAATAAAATTAACTATGAATATAAATTAATGTATTTTAATTTAATTTAAGATAAAACAGCAAATAATACTATCTAAAACACTATGAGAACAAATAGAAACACAAAAGATGAAATTACAAATAAAAATATGACAAACCATAATTAATTTACTAATGCTAATAATTTAGCCACAGTATTATTTAATGCAACTTAAGCTGTAGCTTAACCTGCTGCAGCTGTGAAGAAAAACATAAATCCTACTTCTCAGAATACTGTTAAATAAGCTTAACCTTATGTTCCTTCAACATAAAAACCTTCATCTTCTAGTGCAGCTTAGTCACTCTTTGATGATATAAATATAAACAATTTCAAATTCGAATAGGAGATAGGGAAAGGTTCCTACGCTACTGTCAAGCTAGCTATAGATAGGGCATCACAAATTAGATATGCCCTTAAAATTTATCCACGTTTTGTCTTACTTGATCCTCATAAAATGAGAAATGTAAAGAGAGAAATTGCAATTTTAAGAAAGTTATAACATCCTTTTATAATTAAAATGCCTTTTGCAATCGAAGATAAATAAAATGTAAACATTTTTTAAATATTTTTAAAATTGAAATTTAAAAATAAATAGCAAATAATTGTTGGAATGGAGTATGTTGGTAAACAAAGCTTACATGGATATTTAAAGACTAAAACAGATAGAAAATTAGAAGAGCCTGAAGTAAAAAGACTATTTAGATAGATTGTTGAAGGAGTGAATTATTGCCACAAAATGAGTGTCGTACATCGTGATATTAAATTAGAAAATATTTTACTTGACCAAAGCAACAACATTAAAATTATTGATTTTGGATTTAGCATTATCAATGGGGAAGATAAAAAATTAAAAATTTTTTGTGGTACTCCCTCATACATGGCTCCAGAAATAGTGTCTAAGATAGAATATATTGGTCAAAAAGCTGACATTTGGGCTTTAGGAATTTTATTATTTGTTATGCTTTAAGGAAAATTCCCATTTAAAGGAGTAAATGATAATGAACTCTTCAAAAAAATAAAAAAGGGGTCATTTACATACACTCATCCAGTATCTTCAGATGCTGAAAAACTTATTTCTTAACTTCTTAATGTTAGGCCATCAGAGAGACCAAGCTTGCCTATTGTAAGCTTTTACAATTAAATTTATAATTTTAATGTTATCTAAAATAAAAATAGATTTTAGAGCATAGCTGGTTTTCTCAACAAAATTGAAAATATAAATTAATTAATATATTAAAAAATAAATAAATAAATAATTATTTAATTAAAAAGTGATGCAATTAATTAATAAAAATAGTTTATATTTTAAATAAATATTTATTTTAAAATGTTTATATGTTAATTTTATAGTGTTATAATAGTTAATTTAATAATCATTTGTACATCTATAAATATCAAACCATTTCAAATAAATTAATTAATATATTCTAAAGAATATTTAAATGATAAACTTAAATTATTCAATATTTCAATAAATAATATCATCTCACAGAGGATTAAGTGTTAAAAATTAAATAATATAGATGAATAAGAAATTAATATCAAATTGAAAATTTTAAAAGTTAGGAAAACTAATTAAAATGAAATTTTTTGTGGAATCTATATAAATAAAGCAGATTTAAAGATAAAATTATACTGAAATCAAAAATCACATAAATTAAATTCAATAAAATTATTTTCAAAATATTATAATAATTAATTTAAAGAATTTTTGATTTTTATTTTACAGTGACTAAATTTAAAATTTAACATAAGATTCCCTTAAAAATTAACATATTTTAAAAAGGATTAACTATTCAGTTTTATGTAAAGTCTCCAAAGATTTATTGTTACTGTGAACTTTTTTTAAAAGATAATTATATTTTAACTATTTAAAGATAAAAATAATTAATTAAATAATTCAAATTTATATTTTTTTTATTATGTTTAAAATAAAAATATTGATTTTACCTTTCAAATTAGTTAAATTTGTTACTCTACTATTCTCTTTATTTTTTTGAATTTGTTAATATACTATTATTCATTCAAAATCTCATTTCCTCTATTTTTTAAAAATATTAAAAAAATAAAATTTTTAGAAAGCTAATATAATTTTGAGTCAATTTTACTAAAGTTCGAGTTTAAATATTGAGAGTTTACTGCACTTTAATAACCCATTAAAAAGTTCTTATACTCCTTTTTCTCCTATAGAGCAATTACTTTTATATATTGAAAATGTTTATTGAAACTAAAATTTAAAAAATGTTAAAAAATGAAGAATTAATTTTTATATTTCTTAATTATATTAAATATTGAAAAATTAAAGATATTTTTATTTACTTAGCAGTTAATTGTAATATTTTAAGACAAGAGCATTTGGCTAAAGATAGGCTTAGCTGTGATATACCATAGTCACTTATATTATTCCATCTTATTATAAATATGGGTTTTATTTAGTTTTATTTAAAAAAACTTAATTTAATAGAATATTAATAGCAGACAGACATATTGATATCAAAAAATTAAATTTTCATTTTACTAAAGACTTAGCAATAAAGAAGAGATACTCTATAATTTCACTAATGTTTCACCTAAAACTGTTATACTTTAGTCGCTAATACTATTGCTCCTTTTAAAATTTAAATTTTAAAATATTTCCTTAGTTTGCCAATTAATAAAATAATAAAAGGTGTTTTAAAAAATAAAATTTAGTAGTTTATTTAATATTATTTTTTTTATATTATTATAATAATTAATTAAATGATTTATAAATTAAGCTTAAATAAAAATCTAAATTACCCAAGCTCTATCTCTAATATTTTGAGGTTCGTACAATTTACTAAACTAGCACTTAGACTGCATAAGCCTTAATCATCAATATTATTATAACTAAGAAATGTGAATAATAATTAAAATTAATTTTATCTTTATAAATATTTTTAGATATAAATAAAGTTTGCTCTTTTTTTAATTGGAAAATGAGTTTATATTTTACAAGTATTATTTTTAATTTCAGTATATTATTAATTTTATATTAAAACGAAATTAAATAAAATAATTAGATTATCATTATTTTTTTAATGTTTTTAAAATAAATCATAAATAATTTGTATTGAAATATTGAAGTTACAATTTTTTTGAGTAATAAAAAAATTTAAATAAAATTCCTTTACATAGACCATAATGTTAATTATTAAAGACTAGGACAGTAAGATAATGTAGAGGCTATATCTTATAATCCTTTAGATTATATATTATTCCATCTATTATTTAATATTTAAAAATTAAAACAGACAATTATTTTATTTATTTTAGAATGATTAAGTTAAATATAAAAATTTAGAAAATATTTTATTGCCAAATTAAATTAAAGTTTTAAAATTAATTCTTTAAATATAAAACTAATATTTTTACCCAATATTGATTGAAAAGTTAATGAGCTAATGATAACTCGATAAAGCAGATATTAAATTTGAAGCACCTTGTTATTCAATATTATTATCCCTTTAAAAAAATAAAATGATTCTTTAAAAAATAAAATAAAATATATTTTTTTATCAAATAAAATTAATTAAAAATTATTTTTAAAATTAAGCTAAAATAAACAAATTATCTACTAAATGTAAAGATTTAATTAAGTAAGATTTGTCTATTTTGCTAATGAACGACTTAAACCCAATGCTCCTTCAGTATTAATATTGTTGTTACTTTTAATAATTGAAATTACAATTAATTTTTTAATAAGTATTTAATTTAAGAATCATTGTTTTATTAATTAAAAATACTTAATTTATTTAATAAATAAACATTTTTTAACAAATGAATAAACTTTCAGTAGTTATAAAATACGCAGTAAAGATTTTTTTATTTAAATAATCATTAAAAGCTATGCTGTTACTTAACTTATAGTTCTAATGTGATAAGATTAGGATGGTTTGAAAAAGCAGAGCCTAGACCTGTAACACCGTTATCGCCAATATTATTCCATCTTTAAAATTTTAAGGATAAAAATAAAGAAATAATATTAAAAAAATAAAAAAAGTATCTAAAATATACATTTCACATTTAAAATGAAATAATCTTTTCAAGATGTTTTTTTATTAAATATTTGTTAAATACCTAAAAATAAACAAAACTTATTAGTTAACAATTCATTTATTACCCTATTTCAAGGTTCAGAGATTATAGATTAATTAAATTTGATAAGCCTAAACCTATTTATGATGCACCTTTTTCACGAATGTTATTGCTGCTTTAAATATAGTGTGTTTTATTATAAAAAAATTAATTTTAAAATGATTTTTTGAAAAAAATAATTAAAAATTCAAAAGCTTATTAAGATTATCAATTTATCAAAATTAAAAATAAATTTAAAATATAAATTTTAGAAATTTTTTTACCTTAAATTAATGCTCAATTTTAAAAGATTATTGCATTTTGATAAAGCAGAAGCAAGATCTTCAGCTCCTTGATTATCAATTTTATTATTGCTATTATTTTTAATTTAAATAAAAGTGTTTTGATAATTCAACTTTTTAAAATTAGGATAAATAAAATTAGAGTATAAATTGTTTATTTAATAGATTTTAAATTAATAATTTTACTAAACTTCTAGTTTCAAAAACATGATAGTATTTTGATTTTGTAAAGCCGAGCTTAATCTATATAACTCGTAATCACCAATTTACTTATTACTATTAATATTTTGCATATTTTTAAATATGTGTTTAATTATTTTTCAATATTAAATAAATATAGTTAATAGAAGTTGATTGGAAATAAAAAAATTATAGTTTAAAATAAATAAAAAATTCAAATAAGAGTTTTGAAAAAATAAATATAATTTTATTCATTATATTTATAATAGAAAAGAGATTTAATTGCTAGAGTTAAAGGTATTAAAATTTTGAATAATTTAAAAGTGAGCTTAATTTTTTTAATAATTTTTACTTAAGAGCTATAATAATACTATCAAAAGAGTTTTGAGCAGAGTGTAAAAACTTTTATTAAAAAGATAATTAATTGGATAAATATAATAGTATTTATCTACATCTTCTAGTTTATGAAAGTATTTGTGTTTTTATATCATTTTAGTTTTTTTTTTAAAGAAATTAATAGTTGATTTAATGATAATTTATTTTTTTATTTAATAAAATTACCTTTAAATATTTATTTTGCGACTGACGAAATTATTGAATGATATTTATTACTTGTAAAGTTTTAATTTTTTAATTAATTTAAATTTAAATTAAATTTAGTTAAATAAATAAAAATTAGAATATACTCATTTAATTAAAAGTTTATTTAAAAAGCTTTAACTTATTTATGCTTGTTTCTCTTTGATAAAAAATTATTATTTATTGTTTTACAAAAAAAATTTTAATGACTTTTTACATTTTAAAATTAACTTAAATTAAAATGATAACTCCTAAAAAATTATTTTTAGAAAAATAAATTCTTAAAGATTTATTAAACAAGATAATTATTAAAAATACTAATAATTCTAATATTTTGACTGAAAATTAGTTTTTAATTAGCGATATAAAAGATTTTTTGTGCCGGGTTTTTTAATAAAGTTTAAAATTTTAGATAAATTAAAACTATTTATCATTTTCATGATTCAGAAATTATAAAATTTTAGTTAAGATATCCTTTTAGAAAATAAAAATGGAAGAATTTTACTTTTGTAACCAGTTTTATTTCCAAAATTTCTACATTTGTTTGAATTAGAAAAATAGCAATCTTAGAATATTGATGAAAAAAAATAATATTTTATAGATATTACAGAATAATTAACTGAGTTTTCAAAAATTATTAACTAAATTTTGAAAAACCTCTCAAAGACTTTATTTTCTTAGCAGAAGTTAATCTAGCTTATAAGCAATAAGGATTTAATACTTGATGTACCTACATATAAGCAAATAGATGAATTTACAGGAGAAGAGTTACTTTAACTTAATTGTAAACAATCATAGTCATTTGAAGATATAAAAGGAGCTGAAGTTATTAAAGATTTGAATAATCAATAATCCAATATAAAAAACTTTGAGGATAGCCTTATATAAATTATTTAAAATTACACTAATTTATTGATATTCATGTAAGAAAATAAATATGGAAGTAAAATAAATATTGTAAATCCCTATTACTTAGATATTAATAGCTATAGGGTTATAAAAATAGATGATTTAAATTTATAAATAATAATTAATGAGTACTGCAATAAAAAATATGACTTAAATTGCGAGCTTCTAAACAAAATACAAGAATTAATTAAATTATATGACATTCCATATATTTTTGTTAGAAATTTAAACCTATAACTCACATCCTACTTTAATCATTTTGATTTTAGAAGATGCGAAATAAATTGCTACTATGATGAAGATAATCCTACCAAGTTTTATCTAGATTTAGGAAAAATACAAGCTGAAAATATATTTTCTACATTAGATTTCGAATAAGATAATCGAATCTATGTCAAGCTCTTTTTTTCAAGTTAGGATTTTCTTTGCAAAGCAATTAACTTGATTGATTCAGATTACTTCTAAATATTCTTTAGAGACCAGAATAATTAGTATCTTTCACATATTTAATATTCTAGCGTATTTGATGATAAATTCTACTTCTACCTCACTAACAACTCAAATAAATACCGAATCATATAAGTATAAAAATATATAGATGTCTTTATGCTAAAGTACATGGTTTTAAAAAGATATTAAATTTAAGATTTATTACTAAATAGTATTAATAACGTTCTGCTTGATTTATTCTTTGATTGAAAAATTTATTTTATTGAATATAAAACATAAGAATTATCTGTTTTGTTTTACCCCTATGATTAACATTAAAAAATTTTAATTTAAAATTTAATATGAATTCTTTCTTTTAATAACATGATTAAATTGATTTCATATACTAACTATAATAATTAAAATACCTACTCTTTAAGGTATATTTTTTTATTAACTACTAAATTATTTCTCTATTGCTATGAATTATGTTTATTAAACATTAGTTAAAGAAATAAAATAATGCTTTATATATTTTTTTAAGATTAGAATTACCTTTCATCAATACTAATTAAATAATTCAATAATAATTCCCTGCTCAATAAATACCTTTGATATAGTTTAATGGTTACATGTGAAAAAAACATTTTTAATCAAAATTTAGGAAATGAATTTAATTTTTTATTAAATCGTTCAAAAAAGATAAAAAAATATTATAAAAATAAAGAAGCTACATTATATAAAAATATTTTAAAATATAAAAAGTCTAATTTAAATTAAGAATTTTCTATGCCATAATAATAATTTTTTTAAAAAAAATTTAATTTATTTTTGAAAACAAAATTTAAAATTTAGCCAAAATCCAAAAATTGATTGTTGAGGACAAAAAATTTTGAAAAGAGATTCTCAAATACTTACTGCATAAAAATAAGTTTATTTGAGAGCATGCTTAGTATAAATATATATGAGTTTACAATTATATGATAAACTTTGTCAGAATAATTAGTTAGTGGGTGGGATTAATATAGTCAAATAGATTAGATATGATAACATCCTTGTTAAAAAAAATCAAACCACTAATTTATTATTTAATGATTATTTACACAATAATTCTGACAGAAATCATATATTTTAGCAAAAATAGAGAGAGCATAACAAAAATTAATAATCTCAAAATTTAGAACTAGTATTTATTTTATGTATTTTTATAATAACTTAAATGAATGATAAAATTAAATATTTTTTTGAATCAGATTTACAAAGAAAAAAAAATTCAAAGAAAAAAATTGAAAGAATAATTCGAAGAAAGTGTATAAAATATGCAGAAAATCAAATTTAATAAATAAAAAGCTATTTCTTTTTTATTCGATATCCTTTTGCTCATATTATTTCTTGGTGCTGTGACCTTTCTTCAATTAGTTTAAACAATAACCGTTAATGGCGTAAATTAATTTTGTTACATATCTGGTTGGTTTTGGGGAGTGCGTGTACTTACCATAGGAATAACATCTCTATTTTATGATTTATTTTTATATTTACTAAGAAATATTTGTAAAAACTACTAAAAGGGTTATCTAATTATTAGAATAATTCTTTATACAACTTTGGCTATATTTGCTACAATTATGTTTGCCTCTAAATAACCAGTTTTGATAATTATTATTACATCAAACCTCTATACAGTTCACCTTTGCTAAGCTCATTAGATTTTATATAAGTAAATTAATATTTAAAACTAAATTTAGTTAAAAACTATCTTCTTTTAATTAAAAGCAAATCTAATGTTATAATAAAATGCTTATTAAATTATGCTTTTTTGTTCCTTATAGTCCCATCGTCTTATTTATGTGCTCTTTATTTTGATGCGATTAGCTAAAATTATGATAATGGTTTATATATAGGAATGATATTCTCTTATATAGGTTCAATGATAATACTATTTTTACTATCTTTAAAAACAGATAAACTTAGAAATATATTTCTAAATAAAGTAATTCAACCTTTTTATTTTTTTTTGCTTCCCTTACAAATCAATATATTTATTTTTAATACTAAAGTAAGAAGATGGAGATTCAGATTAAAATCTTTTATAGAAAATATAAAATATAAAAGTTTTAAACACAAAATAAAAAATTGCTAAATGTGCTATTATTATCTATTCATTAATCTTTTAATTTATTTCTATCTACTTAAATACAAATGGAGCATCAATACAGGAAGTTTATACTTATTGTGGCTATTATACTTAAGAATTGATTTATTGTATACTTCTTGTATTTTATCTGCCACTAATTAAATTTTTTACTATCGAGGATAGTGTAAACATTTTAGTTGTACTCAATATAATTTTGCTATGTCTAAAAATAATTGTTGGAATCGAATATTATCAGATATATATATTTAATACTAATTTCCCAATAATTGTAGCAGGATTCTCTCAAAGTAAAAATTTTTCAATTTTTTTTTATCTTAATTTTTATTAAATAAATAAACAATAAAGTGTTGCCCATGTTAATTTCAACTCTATACAAGAATAATTATGATCTATTAACACAAGACTAATATGTGAGATTAGGATTAAGTTTTAATTTTATCAGCTTTTTCTTTCAAAACTTTTAATTTAAAAAAATGTTTTTTACAAATAGTCTTGATTTTGAAAGTGTAAGCCATTTCAAAAATGATAGACAATATTATGAATAAATATTAAGTCCTGGCATATAAATTGGGTTTAACCTTTTATATTTAGCGTAATTTTATCTTTGCTATCACTACTTCAAAATTAAAGTTAGAAATTTGAAATAAATGATAGATTTAAAAAATTGATAAATAAAGTAACTTATAATTATTAAAAAGCTACTATTTAAGTTATCCAATATGATTAAAATAATTAAAGTATAATTTTTAAATTTTATATAAAATAACTATCTTAAGTATTCTAAAATTCTTTAAATAAAATAAAATTAATCTTGCACATGTTGTTAATTATCAACATTTTAACAAATTTATTTTCAAAATGCTATTGATCATCATATGTAATAACACTGAACTAGCTCAGATTAATCAAAAAGTTACTTAAATAAATACAAAATCTACCTAAGATATGTATATTATTTATTTAAGTCTACTTTTAATATATTATTTTTTGAAATAAATATTCATATCACAATTTATGTTAAATTAATTTTTATTTTATAAGTTTAAATTAAAACGTAATTATAATAAATTAAATCAAACATTTTTATATTTTAAAGTAACTTAAATCTTTATGTTGATGTGGGCTCCATAAAAATTAGACTTATACCTTATAAATAAGATTCATAGGAGCTTTACTATTATTTATAATTTTCATAATTTTTATTTTATCTTAATGATAACCAAACCAAGAGTATTAATTTTTTTTACTAAATTTTATTTAATTTTTATGAATTAATAATAAAATTATTTCTTTCAACAACTATGATTTACTTATAATTATCTATAAAAGATAAAAATTTTTATTAAATTATCTTTGTAAATTATATTAAATATTATTTTATTGTTCTAAAAAATGTAAGCTTTAAAACATGAAAAAGGTTATTAAATTTTATGTTAAGATCTCTTTCACTTTAATTAAATGCTTTTTAAAAATAAAATGTTTAGAGAAGACCTTTTCTATTAAATGACAAACACTTAAAAATAAAATTATGATATTTTCAACTTTTAATATTATTTATATTTTAATTAAAATAATTTAAAAATAATCAAAAATATGTAAAATAAATTTTTAATTCAAATTAATATATGAGTTTTTTAATTTTAACAAAATTTTTTAGTTTTTATGAAGCACAGAAAGAATTCTCAAAATGAAGCTGTCAATATGTGATTTGTTTTAAGTTTAAAATTAAGATAAACAAATCAATTTTACATTTTCATTATCATAAAAATATTTTTGATTAAATTCTCACTAATTAAATAGAAATCAAATTAAATTATTCTGATATTTTAAATTTAATTATTGTAGCTTTTTTTACAGGATTTATTGATAGATTTTTATATAAAAATTGAAACAATATTGAAATATTTTAAATCAAATATACAATGTGAAGGAATCCTTAAATTATTGATTGAAAGAAAGATTTATAAATTAAAAATCACCTATATTAGGGATCACAAATTAATACTTAAAATTATAATGTCATGAGTTAAATACAAATTTAATTCTTATACAATTTATTTTTTTGGTTGCTTTTCTAATGAAAATAATTATCTCAACTAATTGAAGTTTTGGCTTCTTATAAAATTTACAAAGAAGATTTATTAGAAATTAACAATTAAAAAGTATATTTACATTTATCCTTCTTTAATAAATATGAATAGATTTAAGTTAAATAAAGAATAAATTAAATAATTTTCATTTGATATTCTTTTACTCATTTTATTTCTTGGGGCTGTATTATTACTTTAAATTGTTTAATCTATTGCAGTTGATCAATCAAATCCTTATTGCTACTTATTTAATGAAGCTTGGAAATTGCGTGTATTTACAATAGGGATAATATCTCTAACTTATGACTTTGGTATATAATAGCTCAGAAATATATGTAAAAGGTACCTACGAGGCTATTTAATTATTAAAATAGTTCTTTCTATAACTTTTGCAATATTTATGATCATCTTGTTTGCCACTAAATATAACAATTCAACAGTTTTTATTACAGCAAGTCTCTATACAATTAATCTCTGCTAAATTCATTCAATTTTATATAAGTAAATTATAATTTAGTAAAGTAAATGTATTAATTATACTTATTCAATATAAAAAGCAAATCCAATATAATTATTAAGTGTATATTAAATTATGCCTTCTAAGTCCTTATAGTCCCATCATCTTATCTTTGTTCTATACTTTATAATTACAGTGAACCAGGTTCGCTCAAAGGTATTTACATAGGAATGATAATTTGTTATTTGGTGATAATTGGAATATTAATATATATGTCTTTTAAAACTGATAAACTAAAAAAAATAATTCTAAATTAAGTAATTTAAATTAGATATTTTAATTATTTACTAATTCTTTTGATATTTTATTATTTTAAAGCAGTTAGATGAAGAAGAGTCAGAAGAAACTCTTTTATAGAAAATATAAAGTAATAAAATTTTAATTAGGAAATAATAAGTTACTAAATATACTATTATTGTTTACTCATTGCTCTTTTAATTTATTTCCATCTACTTAAATACAAATGCAGCTGCAATATAAGAAGTGTATACTTATGATGCATCTAAAACTTATATCACGATTTATTGTTTACTTATTGTTTTATATCTACCTTTAGTTAAGCTTGTAACTATTGAGGATGGAGTAAACATTTTAGTTGTATTGAATGTCATTTTGTTATTTTTAAAATTTTTTACTGGATTACATGCTAGAAATATACTAAATTTCAATATCAATTTTTCAATAGTCGTAGCAGGATTTTCTCAAAGTAAAAAATAATTTATTATTATTAGATTAATTTTTTTTAATTTATAATAAAGTGCTACCGATGTTAATTTCAACTCTATATAAAAATTATTATAATCTATTAAGAGAAGACCAATACATGAGGTTAACTTTAGGCTTTAATTTCATCAGCTTTTTTTTTCAAAACTTTTAATTCAAAAGAATGTATTTCGTTAACATTAATGACTTTTTTATTGGTGTTGATGGCATATAGTATAAAAATAATCGAGAATATTATGAATCTGTAGTTTAGCCAAGCATATAAATTGGCTTTAGTCTTTTATATTTGGCTCAATTTTAATTATGTTATCGATACATCAAACTTAAAATTAGAACATTTAAATAAATAAAAGATTAAAAAATTTGAAATATCAAGAGCTTAGAATTATAATAAAATTATTATTCGAATTGTTTCAAGAAATTAAAATAAATTTATGTTTTGTATTATCTTTTATTTTTTCATTCAATACCATATCTTAAATATTCTTAAATCCTAAAAATTTACTATAATTCCTCTAATTCTCATAAAATAAGTAATAAATAACCTTAATTTTAAATTAATAATGATGAATACTCTTTATTTTTTAGATTTAAAAAATAATAGAAATTAATTTATCAAATTATATAATATAATTTATTGCTACATATTAGAATTCTTATCAGAAAAACAAATAAAATTTTGATCAGCTTTATTTAAGAGCTGATAAAAACTAAACTAAAAATCTTGATACAAAGATTTTATATATTTAAGAAAATTACTACTTTTAAGAAAGACATATTGATTAAAAGCATTAAATAAGAAATATTAAAATGTTCAAGATCCACTTTAACAGATAAAAGCTTTAAAATTTATTTTGGAATATTACCATATTTATACTACTTCTAGGAGCAATTTAACTACTTTAAGTTATTTAAACAACTTTAGTTTTTATGAGCAAATATAAAATTTATTTAAATTCCCTCTGCTATATTTCGAGTTATTGCTGGGTTGGGCGTATTATTACTTTGACTATAACTACCTTGCTTTACGATTTAACATTTTCTTTTTTGAGTTAAAAAGCTAATTAATCCAAAAAAGACCTTCTAAGAATAAAAATAATTATATTATCAATATTTATTATCTACATTATACTATTATGCATTTAATAAAGTGAAATTTTACTTACGATTATAACTACTAACCTATTTAGTATTCATCTCTGCTAATTGCATAAAATATTTTATAGGTAATATTTAATTCACTAATTCTTCTATCAATAAATATATTTCATAAAAATAGTAATTCAATTTGGATTATGAAGGGTATTATAAACTTAGCTTTTTTAATACTAAGCATTCCATCTTCTTATTTATGCATGTTTTATTAGGCTTAGATAAGCTTAGGATAGAGTTTTTTATATGGTATGATAGGAACTTACATATCTGTGATAATTATTTTAGTAGTTTTATCACTCAAAACATCAAGATTAGATAAAATAACTCTAACTAATGTATTAATTCATTAAAAAATTATATATTTTTTATAAATATTTAAAATTTTAAAGGAAAATGGTGACCATAGTTGCTAGTTACTTTTACTCGATAATTCATATTCTAATTTGAAAACTAAATAGCAAAAGTATTCAAAATTGGTACTGATCTTCTATTGTTTATTGTTTTAGTTTTTAAGTATCTATTTAAATAACAATGCTATACTTATTTAAGAAGCATATTTATAATATAATATGAGCTTGATAGCATAAATAGCTGTATACTTTATAGTTCTCCTTTTTTTTTATCCGTTTATAAGGATCATCACGATAGAAGATGGAGTTAACATCCTTATTTCCATAAATATTTTACTACTAGGAATAAATATTATTGTTGAAAATAATTACTATAGTTTAGGTTTTTTTAGTTTTACTTATTCTATGTTAGCTGGAGGAATTTCATTAAGTAATAAAAATTTTTAATATCTTAAATAGTATTTTAATAGAAAATATTTAATATTATTAAAGTTCTTCCTATGATGATATCAGAACTTTATAAGAGTTTTTATAATTTATTTTCTGAAGATTACTATATCAGGTTAGGATTAGGATTTTATTTTATGTGCTTCTTCCTTCAGAATTATTAGTTTAAAAGAATGTACAACGTAACTCCTTACTACTTTTTTTACGAACCATAATTCTTAAATAGTGAACTTAGAGGTATAAAATATTCTCTGAAAAGAAATACTCCTAGCATTTATATAGGATTTAGTATTCTATCTATAATTTAGTTTTATTGTTGTTATAATTATTTTAAAAAATAGTAAAAAAACAAACTATTAAGAGATACAACCAAAATCAAATGCAATACGCTTCAAAATATGAATAATAATTTTGAGCTATGATGTAAAGTGAATAAATAATAAATATAAGTTGAATTCATAATTAAATTTAATTCCTTAATTTTTAAATTAAAAAAATATTTTATTTGTCAAAATAAATTGTTTATTGTATATTTATATAAATATCATTTACATTTTTATTAAAAAATTGAATTTCATAAATACTAAAATATAAAATAAAAATAAAAATTTTGTAAAAAAAAATATTATTTAAAAAACAAAAACAAATAAATTCATTTATTTATTTATTTCTAAAATATATTAAAAAGTTAATTATTTAAAATTTTTTAAATACTAATTAAAATCTTTGTAAATATTTTTGGTAAAATATAAAAGCCAAAGTATAAATTACACAAAGATATTTTTAATTAGCAATACTTAATTATAATTAAGAATTTGATTGAAGTTTCTGATCGCTTTCTGATAAGGATAAATAATTTAATTAAACAAAACAAATACTAAAATATTGAGATTCTAAAATGGGATTAAGAGAATCGCTTTAAATAATATTTAAATTCTGTAGTTGGTTTTACTTTAAAACATTTTTTTATGGTTCTTTTTAAAGTTCTAAAGTAGGAATTTTGGCACTATTAATAAAAGATTTTGGTCTTAAAAATGACATAAACTAAGATTTATTATCATTTACAATACTCATGACAGTATCTATTAGCTTATTAATCAATGAATTTTTATTGATTAAATTCATTTAAAAAAGGATTATAGAAATTATTTTAGAGATTGCAAGCTTTATTTTTATACTACTGATATCTTTAAATTTAATAGTATATTTATAAATTATAATAGCGTGCTTTATTATGACTACAAATTTTTGCTCTCTTGTAAACTTATTGTATAAGTAAGTAAATACATTCTCAAAAGTAAATATTAATATATTTTTAAAAATAATATAGTATCTACCCTACAATCTTCAGATATAATATAGTTATGGTAATAATTATGACTGTTATTTTTTCTGCGATGAATTTATATATGAGTTCTTATAGCATTAATACGGGAAGTTACATAGGTTATGAAAAAACTGTTGTGTATCTTTTAGCTGGTTTTTATGCCTTTTCTTAGTTTGTAAATTTTTTTCTGTAAAAAAATATCAAGATGGATGAAGATATTCATAATAGAGTAAAATAATTATTTAAAATGATTGTAATTATATTAATTTTTAAAAATAACTTAGAATGAATAAAATGATTTTTTGTATACATAAGAAACTTTTGATGAAAAGGAAATGTAATAAATTAATAAATGCAAAAAATTCTCTATGATCTTTTTAATCTTTATAGTAGGGTTTAATGTTAATTATTATTCAATAGCTAATTTGACTTAGAATTTTAGTATGTTTACTGAAATAATATATTTATTTTGTTTTCAAATATTGTTTTCATATGTATAGGTGATTCTGGTTATAATATTTCCTATTTTAGATCTCACTAATATATTTATATTTCTTAATATAATGGTTGTAGCTTAGCTTTAATTAGTGATTAACAATATGTACTTAAGATCTATGTTTCTAACAATTATTTTTGGTACATTTATTTTTAAAAATCAAAATAACTTTTTTTTTAATAAAATAAATAGGTTAGCCAATTCTATTTCAAATGTTTTTTAGATAATATACAGGATTTATTTAACCTAATAAATGGATTAAAATAATTTTAGCAGTCTCTTTTATATTTTACTCAATTAATGATCTAGTAGTTAAATATTTAGTTGTAGGAGTTAATTATTATTCACTGGAAATGAAAGAAATTAATTTTTCATTTTAAGCTTATCAAATTTCATTAAACTGCTTATCTTTAGCCTTGATATTCACATTTGAGATTTATTTAAAAAAATAATTGCCTTAAAGCTATTAAAGAAGTATACTAAATCTATAATTATGAGTTTTAAAAATAATAATAGCATTAATAGACAATAAATTTTATGAGCTATTAAATAAAAAACTGTTGAATCTATTATTTTGTAAATTTTATACAATTAAATTGTATTTTATATTTAAAAAAGTAGATATTTTTATCAAAAAAATGAATCAAATAATTGAAAAATAAAAATTCAATAATTTTAATATTAAAAAATAATTTCATTTTTAAAATTATTAAGAAGAGATGAACAACTTTGTATTATGTATAAAATTTAAAGATAATTTGTTAATTTAATTTAGTGAAATTTTTATAAATATACAAACATAGTTAATAATTTTGCAACAAATTATTATTAATTTTTTATTAAGGAATCATTTAACAAAAAGTTATAAAACTTTTTAAAATGATATGTTAAGGTTAAATCAGAATCGAATTATTTAATTTTAAAAAATTTGTATTTTATGTAAATAAACAGTTTTTATTTTTAAAAATAATAATTTTTAAAAAAATTTATAATGATTTTATTTTATATTTGAAATATTACAAAGTAATTTTTTACTACCTATTTCAATTTTAAATTTTAAATGAAGAAACAACTAAAAAAAAATTAAAATATTTGAAATAAATGTAAATTGGAAATATAATTTTTGTTTTTTTATAACTATTCTAAACTAATTAAATGGGATAATAAATAAAAATTAACATTTAAACTCTTAAATAAAAAATGCTTCTTGTAATAAATAAATTATATCTTTTTATATACTTTACTAACTAATTAACTAACACACTAATTTACTAATTCTCTTACTTTATTTAATATTTAGAAATCTTATAAAAATTTGGATTATTTTCTAATTTTTAATTAAAATAATTATTTTCATATTAGTTAATTTTCAAACGATTGGAAATGGAAGGTCAAGATTATTGTACAAAACACGCTTTTTAATACTCGATATTCCCTTCAACTTTGACAATAATTTGAATTCTGAAGAATCTTATGATTTTATATTTGATAGAATTTTATCCTCCTCTGGATTCCATAACATGTTTTCTTACTTTGTTTCTACGTAGACGCTAAAATCTTTAAAGCTGCCACTTAGACAGTCGAGAATATCAATTACTTTTTCAATAGGCATTTTAATTTATTCTGCTACATATTACATCATAGACTCAAACTAATCTTCTGGTATTCTATCATCATCACTAATTAAATCGAAAACTTCTCTCGTCATAGATTTATTTGCTTAATCTAAGCCAGTTTAAGGAAGCACAAATGGTTATTTGTTAATCTATAAACCTTGGAATTTAGGGAGAACAAGAGTTGTTTAGATTTTTGGAGGTTATTACTATACATTTGTATTGACAGGTTAGCTTTTTTCAACTATTTGCTATTAATTTTATTACTTTTTTTCTTATTTTAGGTTCTGTTTTTATTATTCTGGTTGAATAACCTAAGCTACTTTTTTTTCATCTTGCTAATTATTCTTTTTCTTTTTCTTTTATATCTATTCAGGTATTTCGTCTTCATCTTCCATATCTACTTCTTTTTGCTTTATTGTTGATTTCTTTAAACTAGGTCTTACTTCAAACTAAACTTAATCGTTTCTCTCTTCTTCTTGATCATCAAATATGGCTTCGTTTTGCATTTTACCTTAATTAACAAATTAAGGATAAGGCACCTGTCCATACATATAGGGATTCATATAATAAGGAGGGAACATCATGGGTTAGTGAGTTTGTGGATCAAAAAACATTGCAGGCTTGTAGGGAGAAAGTCTATTATCTGCACCAGCACCCATCTATTGTTATGGGAACATTGGGTATGAATATCCAGGCATGTAATAAGGCATAAATCCATTATGCATATTTTGTATAGGAGCTGGTACATTGCTCCTTTTAGAGGGAGAAAAAGAAAATATATTAGGAGAATGAGGGCGATCTTCATATGAATTAATTCTAGGAGATCTCACAGGAGTGTGAGTTGCAGATAAGTTATGATTTGAGCCAACTTATAGGTTATTACTTCCCTTCAAAGCAGCTTTACTACTTTCAGATTGATGATTTTATCTAGGATCTTATTTTTAAATTCTTTACAAGAAGCGCTCCCCCTTTTCATCTTTCTCAAAAATTAAATAACCCTTTAATCCATTTGCATCAATATAAGAAAGAATATTCTAATAATCTTCAGAGGTTAAGAATTTCAAATAATCTTAATATCTTGATCTTATAGACTCATAAGTTCTATTAACATAACCTTCCTCTGCTAATTTCTAAAATTAAGATTTTGTTATCTAATCCTCCTTGCATCCTAAACAATATATTATTTTTAAGTCTTCATAAATAGTATAAGTATCTTTAACATTTATGGGTTTTAGCATAACAGGATTATTTTATTCATATTCGCCTAAAACAAATTCTATTAGATCCAAAGTTGTTACTTATATAGATGCAGAAGAAGGAGTATGACGATAGAAATCTCCCTTTCCTGTAGATTTTGAAGGTTGTATTTCATATTATTATTTTATCAATTATTGCTTTATTTTATCATTTAGGGCTCTTTAGTATAACGAAGCATAGCGATTCTTAGCTATTGACTAATTTGATTTATTTGTTGATGCATTTTAGTAATACTTTGAAATAGGCCTAACCTAATTTATCTGATTATATAGCATGGATGAGTGAGTGCTTATATACTTTATAATATTTTATTTATTTTGTTGTAGAAGGTATTTTTTGTTTATTTGATTAAAAATTCAAAGACCAACTTGATTAATGAATTAGTTTAATATATCCAAACTATCTTTTAGTTTATAATGTTTTTATTATAATGAAAAATAATTAATTTATTTATCAATCAATTTTATAATAATATGAATTAACAAACAAACAAATACATTGAATTTTGCATACAAATTTTCAAGTCTAATAATAATTATAAACAAAGCGAAGAACATATATCAAATATTTATCGTTTATTAAATGTTTAATTTTTGACAAATTCAAATTGCATTTTGAGAGAGGGAAAATATTTATAAAAATAAATCAATCAAACAAACAAAAAAGTAAATAAATAAATTTTATATTAAATGCTATTCCATTTCTAATTACTTTGAATTACATAAATATATTTTTTTTAAATTCTTTTATTTTTAAGATTAAACAAATTTTAAATTTTTTTATTTGTTGAGTGCCTGTTTTACAAAATCATTTTTTCTTTTTTATCTTTTTATTTTTTACAGTTTTATTGGATTTATTTTATTTTTCATTATTTTTGTTTGAATCTTGGATATAGACATACGAAGAAGTTTGTTAATCTGAATTATCAAGTTACATTAAATTGTCATCATTATCGTCTTCATTTAATTCTATGTAATTTTTTATAGGTTTTTATTTTTCAACTTATTTTTTTAATTAAGTTGAGTTTTTTTCTTAAAAATCATTCTAATTATAACTTCTTTATGACTTTAATATGGCTGCACTATCTTAACTTAAATTTTAAATATCGTCACTATAATCAGTATTATTTATGAACTTTTACTTTTATATTTATGATGATTTTTTACTTTGAATTGGTAAATTGTAACTTTCAGAAGAGATATCTTCTTCTGAGTATTTATTTTAACTCTTTTTGTTATTATTTTTATTTTTTTATGACTAAATTTTTGGTTTGCTATCCTCTGGTGGAAATTTATAATTTTAATGTAGTTGTTAATCATTGCTTTGGGTTTGGGATTGGGATTACTTATTTGATGATGATTGGTACATAATTTCAATATCCATAGAAGGATTAGTATTATATATAAATTAGTCTGTAAATTGTTCATGATCAGTTTCTCTTACAACACTTTCATCATCCGACTTAATATAAATCTGTTATTTTAGATTATTTTATCTTTAATCATCATTAGAATCTGAGTAAGATATTGATGTTTTTCTTAAATTATTTTATTTTGGTTATATGTAGCCATCTAAATCTTACAAAGCTTAATTTTATTCATTTTAAAGTTATTCTATATCACCAACTTCAGAATTTTCTTAACTTCTAAACTAATGCTTTTTAAGGGATTTACTAATCAAATTTGCCTTCTTTTTTGATTATTATCTTTTCTTTTCAATGCTATCCTGGTTTAAAATCTATTTAAAAATGAATATTTAAATGAAATTTATTTTCTTAAATTCATCAAATCAAAAGAATACCTTTTCATTTTTATTAAGAAATCTTGAATTATTTATTTTTTCTTAATCATCATCTTCATCTCCTGCTTTTTAAAAGCTTTGGGTATTATCTAGAAGTAGCTCATCTTGAATAAGCCTTTGATCTGACTATAAAGATTTGTTCCTTCTTGAATCATCTTCGTTCTATAGCTAAAGACTAGCTTACTGCTATAAATCTTCTTCTTCAATTTCACCTTTTTAAATTAAAATAAGTAATTATAAATTTTAATTTAAAATTAGTCAAAATAATAAATTAAAAATAATCCCTACTTAATGTCTACTGATTTTAATAAGCTTTATTATATTCCTAATAGTATGTTGGAACTTCAAGCTATTCTGATTAATCTTATTCCTCAACTGTTTCATCGTCATGCACACCCAAAGCTTAAGAGAGCATTTCTTAATTTTTTTGAAGTTTATAATATATTTCGTTAACCTATTATTTGTCTTTCAATTTTTTCATTTTTAACTTCATTCTTTCTTTCTTTTATTCGATTCTTTCCATATTTCTTTTTTGTTCTATTGGTTAATAAAAATTTATTTTAATGTTTACTATATAACAATATGTAAAATGAATGATTAATAAATATAAAACCCAATAAACTGAAATAGTGTGTATCAATTTACTCCAATTTTGACAGAGATCATACATTCCTATTGATTTGAGGATTTGTTTATATTCATTAACATCTTTCAAAAACTAATCTAATTCTTCCTATTTAATATTATTTCAAATTGAAGGAGTTGGTTGACTAAATTTACCAGCATTTTTTAAATTGCTTTACTTTTTTAACTGAAGTAAATCTTGGCTATTGTTTCTTTCTTTTAGCTTTTTTATCTTGTACTTCACTTTCACTCATTAAATAAATTTACTATATTTATATCTTAAATTTTAATAAAATTAATCAAATTAATTTTTGAGAAATTACAAAAGGGGAATATCAAGCAGTATTAATTCATTTTGCTAATATTAAATAATTTATATCTTCAAAGAAAGTAGAAATCTATAAAGTTTTTTTCTATGCATAATTCTAATAGCTTTAGTAGAAATCATTAGTTAGCATAATTATGAATTTGGTTTGGGCTCCAAAATAAATAAATTTTTGAAATAAATTTATATTTTTAAATATAGATTAGATAGATTTATGAATCAAAAAAGGTTGATAATATCATGCTTAAATAACAGCAAATATATATATATATTTAATTTTGATTTACCCTAATTTTTTTATTTGTTAACTAACTATTTTTTTTGAAGATTTAGCTTATCTTACTACAAAAATTAAAATATAATATCTAAACGTTTATATCAAGTATTTAGTTAAAAAAATTTAATAAAATAAATTGATGTAAAAATAAATTCTTTAATTCAAATTAAAACCACTCACATTACTCAAAAAAATAACAATTTTTTTATTGATTGAAATCAGAGATATTTTTTAAGATATAAAATTGTATAAAAATTATTACTTAGAATATATGAATTTATTTATTGAGCATAATTTGGAGTACTTTTATGATATTTAATCGTGATTTAAAGATAAGATTAACTAATTTAGTTGTTAGTTAATTAATTAATTAGTTTTTATACATCTTAACACATTATTTTAGTATAATAAACTTATTGCATAATAAAGATATTCACATCTATTTTTATAATTTTTATTTATTTATTTATTTAGATTCAATCAAAGAACTCTTGCAGACATCATATTACCTAATAATTGCACTATATTATTAGCTGAAGCATCATCAATATTACTTTCAAGATGTTTTTTAGGATCTATTTTACCTGTGTTTTTTATTTTTAATTACTTTTCATCCTTACCATTGCATTTAATTTCCTCTTCTATTGCCTTTGTATACAACTTGGCCAATCCTACCATATCTTTCATAGCTTGGACATTTTGCTCACTATGCTTTGTAGAAGATTTTAATTCTAAAGAGTTTCTCCATGATGATTTGTATAAATCTGAGAGCATTTAATTTTCTAATTCATTTGTACGGAAAGCAATATTTATAGAATAATATTGAATGCCAACACCTCTAAGTTGAGCTTCTAAGTTAGGCTTATTTAAATGTCCTTCGACACCAGTAGTTTGTCTAGGTTCTTAACCACTCATAACAACAGTGGGATTAATTAATCTGAAGGCATCAATAACTACTCTTCCTCTTACACTCTAAATAGGATCTATAACCAATGCAACTGCCTTTGGATTTAGTTACTCAAAACTATTAGTTTTCAAATAATATTTAGTTATTTTATTTAATTTTATTTGATAAGTTAGTTTTATTTTTATATTTCCATATTTCAATCAATCAATTATTAATTGCTTTCAAAGAAATGATAAAGTATAAAACAATCTTAATTCAATTCTAATTATTCAAAAGTTATTTTTTTTCATAGAATGTACCTCATTTAAGTCTGCTAATCAACACTTGACAACCAACAACCAAAACTGGGATGGGAGTGATACCATCCAACGACATTCTCTCTACGTTCAGTTTGTTGAAGCATATCAAGCATTTCCTATTAGAAAACTGGATCTACTGATTCAACACTTACACTAGTACCACTTTAAGGCATAGCAAAAACATCAATTACATTAACAGTATACTCATCAACTATTTCACCAAGCATCAAACCCATGACTTCCATAGGTACACCTGCTCTTGAATGCTTTTATTTTAAGATATTAATTTTGAATAAAAATTAATTTTAGGTTAGTTATCATCTACCTTAAGCATTTTAATTAATGCTAAAGCTGAAACATATATCTTTTCTTGTGTATCTGGAAGAGGAGCGTTTGGATCAGATTATTGTCCTCCCATAAAATCAAGGCCACCTAAGCCTCCAAAACCTTACATAAAATTCATTCTTAATTCCTAATTAATTATTGCTGTTGATAAATTTTAATTTAATTCACTAAAACGTTCTAATTAATTATTTAGATACTTTTAAGTTTATTAGACCTTTAAAACTTTATTTAAATTTCATAAAATAAGTATATTTCTTATTCAAAAGATATTATACGAAATAAAGAAAAAATAAAGCGCAGAGAGATTGATTTGCTTTCTTTCTGATCTTATCATACAAAAAATGGTGAATCTCATAGATTTAAAAAATAAATATTTCAATAATAAATAAATAAAATAATATTTTTAGGACTTTATCAAAAAAATTTTTCATAAATTTTGCAAATAATATTTTTAAAAAAAATAATAATTTATGTGTTAATTTAATTTTAATAACTAAAAATATTCATTTAATAAAAACTTTTGATACTTAGAAACATTTTACAATTTTCTTTAAAATTTTCTTATTAGTATTACTTTTATATTAAATTATTATTAACTATAGTTTGAAAAGTCATGGGTTTAATCTCATTAATGTATGATTTTAATGTAAAAATTCCTTAAGTATGGAACTTATGTTTAGATAAATATTAAAAAATCTATAATAAATATCTCATATTTGTTCAGTCCTTTAAATCTGTAATAATATTTCAACTTTGAAATTAGATTTTAAAGTAGTCAGATTAATGATTTTAAAGTTTTAAAACTAAGTTCTGAAAATTCACAATCATCTCGACTTTGATTCTTTTTTATAAAGAACAATATTAGTTATTTAGATATGTGCCTTTTGGATTATCTTTAGAAAGCTTAAATAATAATCAACTTTAAAATTTTATCTTTATGAAAATTAAATTGGTGATCTGGTTTAGGTTTTGGTTTAACTAAATGCACTCAATTTTATTACTTTATCTTAATAAAAATAATATTAAAGAATTTTGTGATTAAGGTCTAGATTATTATTTAGCTAACTGCACATCTCTAAAAATTTGAAATTAAATCTAAGAAAAATCATTTAGGGATTTCAGGTTCATTAACCTTAGGTCCTGCTCTCGGAAATTCCTTTTGCCTTTAAAGTTTAAATCACTAGCTTTTTAAAAGTAATATATATTGATGACTAAGGCACCTCTGGATTAGGTAGGTACTGGTTTAGCAATTTTATAAATTATAATAAAGTTTAATACTTTAATAAGAGAATAAAATTAAAAATAAAGGTGCTAAAGAATCAGGCATAACTTTAATAAATTTGTTAAACTTTATTGTTTAGTTCTTGATTTTGATGAAAATAAAATTGAAGATCCAGGTTTATTATACTTATGGTTTAGTTTTGTTAACTATAATATACTTTATAATTTAAAATTTAGTTTTTGTAACAATTAAAATAGTAAGGTTCATAAGACATAGCTTTAGGTTTATCAAATTTTAAAAAAGTTTAAATGCTAAATTTAAAATTTAGTGGAATTTCGAACAAAAAAAAAGAAGAATTTAATCTAAAATTATTAAGGAAAAAGATATTAGAAAAAAAAATATCTTATTTCCACATTTTGACTTTGATTAATGATTTAATTGTATTTATTAAATAATTAAAACTACAACCTATTCCTTATAAATAAAATAAATTATTTAACTATTCACTTTTATTTTATAGTAAACATTTTTTTGTAATTAAAATCAAAAAAATTAAAATAATAAAAATATTAATTACGAATGTAAAATAAAATTGCTTTTTCATGGCTAGAAAAAGATTGAATTAAAGTATAATTATTTTTATGTTTGTTAATTTTTTTTGTTAAAAAAATCTTTTGATATATTTTTATGAATCATATATTAAAATACCAAAGAAATATACACACAATCAAAAATTTATAGATCGAGGTAGGAATAGCATTGAAAATTAAATTAATGAGATTTATTACAATAAATATAAATTAAAAATTATTATATATTTTTTTTATTTTTTAAATTTTTAATCCCTACTCAAAGATTAATAATCCATGATTATTCCTAATATATATTTGAGATCTTAGACTAGAATTCCAATGTATTTAGTTAAAATTATTTAAAATCATTAAAAGAAATTATAAGTTGAAGGATTTTAATAAAAAAATTCACTAAATATTATGTTGCAAAGACTATTTCATATAATGTAGTTAAGTCTTTAAATATTTTAAAATAGTTCCAAGCATTTTTTGTTAAATTTTTATTTATTTTTAATAACAAAAATTGTGAAATTAACCAAAATGTTTCCTGATTCGCCAATCAAAATTTGATTAATTTAAAATTTTTCAAAAAGAAAAAAAACAGAATAGAGAAATTAAATAATATTGAATTAAATATAAAAAATTCATTTTAGTTTGAACTATAAAATATTAATAATAAGAAATTAAGGAAGAAATGTTATTTGCTAAAAATTAAAAAACTAAATTGATATCTAAAGCAATTGGTTAAATAATTAAATTTTTAATGAAATCGAAAAAAATTAGAAAGGAGAAATGAAATAATTGGTGTATGAAAGCTGATTATTTGAATTTTATTTATTTAATATAAAAGTGAAATTAAACTAGAGGATAAAATACAGAATACTAAACAGTAAGGTTTAAAGTAAATAAACTGTTAAAAATTTTATTTTAATTAAAAACAATTTGATAAATGTAACCAATTTTTATTATAGGTGAGACTTACTTTTTATATAAATAAAATATGAGTGAGTGTTATTAAGAACTAAGTAAATTGAGTTCTAGAATTTATTAATTTATATTTAAATATAATAATTTCCATTAAAATGTACGCGCTAGTGAGAGAAGAAAAATGTTTAAATAGGAAATGTATTGTAAGAATAAATATTGAAAAATCATTACTATAATAATAATAATTAAGATTTTTATTTAGCTCCACAAACTCTATAGATAATATTTGCTTGTATCAAAGCTTTTTTTAGCACTTTCTCTCACAATTAGCTCCTTTTTTTCAGAAAAAATTTCAATAGCCCAATCCCAATATTAGTTAGTTAATTTAATCCGGTTGAATATTATGGATACTTTATAGATATTTGGGTATTAAAAAAGAAAAGCAGGTAGTAATTTTATGGTGTTAAAGTTTATTATTGTTATTATTATTTGATTATATGCAGTACTTTTAATAAATTATTGTTGGGTTATTATTATTTTATTGAATAAATTAAATGAATGTATAGGTTTAGGTTTTAATTGATTAATAGAAATTATTTGTTTTAGAAAAAGAGGTTATGTGAGAAAGTAAGAAAGTTTATTTGATAGATTTTGTTGTTGATCGATTAAGTTTTTATTGTAGTAGTGATAGATAGATAGATAAATTTATTCAAAGCTAGAAACAAGTGAGTTAGTTTTTGTATCTGGTGTAGTCATCTTCTGAGATGAATAATTGGTAATTAAGGAGATCTAATAATGTCTACTCCATCAAGTAGAGTTCTTTCTCACATACACCTCCGATTAATGAAAAGAGCTTGACAACTTAGAAGTAGCTTTGTATGTCTTAGTGCATCTTGGAAGCAACCATCATAGAAGTCAAAATTAATCTATTTATTTTTAAATTGAAATCAATTAAATTTTCAGTTAAACTGATTTGGGTTTAAATTTTATTGGGCATATATATATATTTGATAATTCTAGTAAATTTGATATCAGGATAGACACATTTAAGATAGAAAAATAAATTAATTATGGCAGACATTTATTTATATGCTACTCATTTATTTGCTAATCTTGCTATTTCTATCGATCAATCTATAGCTTATTTATTTAATGTCAGTGGATAATTTAAGCCATATGACTTTGTGGCATTCGATTAATAATATAAGTACGTAAAAGCTTAAATTTTTAGGCTTTAGAATGATGAATAATAATTATAATAAATAACATGGTGGGGGACCAATTAAATTATAATTAAATTAAATTTTCCTTTCCTCTTCTCTTATTTACTTAAAATTACATAAAGCAATCTCTTTAAAAAATAAAGAAAGCTCTATCTTTTTTCATTGTAGCTAATGAGTTCAGCTAAAATTTTAATTTCTATTTTTTTTTTCTTTTCTAGTACTCAAAGTAGGGTGGGCATGTTTACTTGATTTGAAGAAACAAATGAAATTTTATGTAAATCGCTTATTAATTTTATTCATGATAAAATTGAATCCGATTTGTAAAATTTATAGATAAATAAGTAGAATGATTGATAAAGAATAATAAAAAAAAGGAAAACTTAAATAAAATGCAAAATATTCTTATCTTAATATGTCAGTATGTATTTTACGCTCTTTTAAAATTGCTGGTATGAGTAATACCAGTATAACTTTTTTTGATCAAATATTTAAAATTTATCATGAATTGTGAATATTTCATTCTAGTTTTTAATACAACCTTTTTCTAGATAAGCTTATTTAAGTTAGGGTGGGGATACTAAAGACAGAATTTGATTAATTAAAAAAAAAAATTATGTGTGCGCCCTTATATTATTTTTTTTTTTCTTTTTTTTCATTATCTTATCATCTTTTGCAATTTAAAAAGAAAGAGGTAGAGAAAACACAGATATTATTTCAACGCCTTTACTTCTTAGTAAAATAAGCAAAATTTATGTGACATTTTATGCTAAAGGCGAGTAGAATTTTAATAAATTCAAAAGGATTAATACTAACGTGATTATAGCCCTGCAAAAAAGTTAAAAAACCATAAAAAAAAGTAGAAACTAATTACCTGTGGCAATTGAATTAGTTAATTCTGAAATTAGGCTGACAAGAAGTTAATCTATCAATGTAGAATAGACTGATTATGCAAATATCAATTTCAAGTCTAGCTTCAGTCATGATTTTGTACATGTAGTCGCTAAGTGAAACTTAAGGAATGCAGCTGTTGTTAAAACAACTATTTTGGAAGCTTCTGAGTTTGTTTTTATCCAAGATTTGCTAGACTTTAATAATTTCTTGCAAAATATGAGAGACTTTTTATGTCCAAAGAAAGATTTCTTGATTGTCTTCAGCAGAACATTGCAATTCTTGTTCAGCCTAATTTGGATAATTTAGAATTAGATCTCAAATGAGTATTTTTAACATAGAAAACATGCATTTTCAATAAATAAAAAGCAAATAAAGTGATAAATTATTGTTGTGATTTTACACTTTTGAACTGAATTTAATAATTTATTTATTTATTAAACACTAAAAACAATCCAAATCTAATGTATAAATTAAAAGGTCTATTTAAATAAAAAATGAATATTTTTTAACAAATTCTTACACCAGCTTCTTTATTTTCAGTAGCAGGTGAGTAAAATTCGGAGCAATTTTATGAAAAAGAACCCTAAGTGCTCATATTTGAGGATTCACCTGAATGAGATTCCAATTTAAGTTCCAATTCATAGCAGCAATTATGAGCAGATTCTTCTTGTTCAATAAGAATAATACCGTGCATGATAATACAAATTTATATGTTCGTTTCAAGTACCTTAAGAAAGAAAGTAGTGAATTAATTATAAATTTTGACTAATCAGATTATTGTTAATAATTGATTGATAGAAGGAATTATTCAAAAGAAACAATTGAGTTTATAAAGTAGTTAGTTATTAAGTACTTTTAATTATCTGGATTATTTGATTATTCTTTTCCCAAAAGATTTTTTTTCGAAAAAAATTTGTTTATCTTATTTCACACTCAATCTTTTTATAGCACTGAATTTCGCCCTTATTAATTTATAAATTAACTCTTCTCAACCAATCTATCCCAACTTAATCAAATTTATATTCATTTTATATCAAATAAGCAATTCGTAAGATTAATATATCAAAATAAAGAAAAATGCCATGTCTAAAAAATTAAATTTGTGTGCGCTTACTTTTGTTAACAGTTAAAAATTTTTATTTTAATTTATTAATCAAGATACCTCTTCCCATTTCTTATTTTTATTACTTTTCTTTTTTGTTTGATCTAATCTCTTCTTATATCCTGCTGTAGTTTTTGTTACTGTTATTGTTCTTGTTACAAAAATTTGGTAATATTTTAATGTAGATTTGTTGATAAAATTAATTTTCTGATCCCCTTTTATTCTAAATACTTTACTTTAAAAAATATTGACTTAATCTATATTATCAGGGCCTTTAATTATCAATTATCCTGATAGCAACTATCTAATTAAAATAAATATTCAAATATTTATTCATTCAATTATCTATGTTTGTAACACTATATGGGGGAAAGAAAATATAAAATTTAAAAATGATTATAATTTTTATTATAAATTTTTTTCATAATTCAGCCGCCAATTTACTAACCTTCAAAAAATCTATTATTTTTTCGAGGCAATATTTCTTAAATAATTGTAGAGCTAATTTAAAACCACTTTTTTTGTGAATTCCTATAAAATCAAAATATATCTTTTTTAAAAATTGTAAAAGTTAAGTATTCGGTTTAAATATACGTAAATATTTTCAGTAATTACATAAAAACACTATCCAATATTCTTCCTCATATTATTCGAGGATTTATTTTTAATATGGCTTTGATTTTTTATCCATATTTGATCTGTAAAAAAATGAATTTAGTGTAGTACTTAATATAAAATTAGTACTTGTTAAGAGTATGGATTCTATTATAAAATTGCAAATAGACTCTTTTTAGTTCTTTAACTTAAAAAATAGGTAAATCAAAAATAAATTGCCTCTACAACGCTTATTAGCAGTATGTTATACTATCAAAAAAAAAACATAAACTACTTTTTTTGGTGTTTATGCTACTTTCTATTACTTTTTGCACTCAAAAGTGAAAATTGATACAAAAACTATTGATTTGCTTATACTTAAATAAAATTTAAGCTGCTGCATACGTAGATTTATTTTTTTAGGTTTTGCTCTAAATTACTTATTTCTAAAAATCACATAAGGATATTACTGTAAGCAATATTATTTATTACAAGAATATTTTTACATTTTACAATGTTTAAATTTAAATCCTGAAAATTTTTAAAGGAGGAATAATTGAAGCTATAAATAAACAGAATGATTTATTCCTTTTCTTTCAAAAAACAAACTTAATTCGTCATTTAAATATCAAACTTAATATAATAAAATCGTATTAAATAGATTATTGTCTATTCTATTTCAATTTTAATTCAAACACAATTTTTATTTAGTTCAGTTAAGTTACTTTTAACAAATTATCTCACATTAAACTGAAAATTTTGCTAACTTAAGTATCAGATTTTATGATAAAGTACTTAAAATCTATTAGAATCCATTATATATTAAAAAAATTAACTTTAATCTATGAAATCAGCTTAACTTTTTAACAATTAGCTAAATGGATGACTCTAATTATTTGTCTTTTTTATAAAATATAAAAATAATAGGGTCTTATTAGGGGGAATTAACTTAATGTATCTTATTAGCTTGAAAAATAAAAATAATCTTTAATTTACAACATACAAAAATTAAATATTAGAATTAATTTGAGTTAAATAATGTTTATTACTATATTTCTTGTTGTATATTGATATTAATTGATTAGCATGTTTTTTGGATATTTAAAATGAAAAATGTAACAATATTTTATTTATTTGAAATGAATTTTAAGTTATTAGTTCATTCAAATGCACATTTTTTCAGTATTAAGTTAAGATCATACAAATAGATTTTGCTTTATTGAGATCAAATACTTATTTTATTTACTTTGAAAGATTGTGATTCGAAATTTTTTTGAGTTAGACTTATAATTTTTTAGATTGACTTTTTAGTTTTATTATCTAAAAAAGTTATGACGACACAATATTTATGATAGATTATCAAATCTTAATTTAAATTAATTTATTTTTTTTGCAATGATCCAATAATATTGTAATGCAAAAAAAATTCTTACCATATAACTCTATTTATTCAAAGTGAAAATGTTATGGATGCAACATTACTATCCACTTTAGTCTAATTGAAATAAACTTTCCCAATCAGAATTAAGCTAAAAGAATTAATTTCATAGAGCTCTAATCAATTCTATATATAGATGATACCATTTTCTTTTATAAAAAGTATTTTAACTAAGTGTAAATAATAAAAATAGAACTTTTCTTACTTCTGCTTTATCATTCTTTCTCTAAATGTAATTTGAAAAATAAATGACACATAATTTTGAGATAAAAAAATTCAAACCTTAAAAAAAATAAAATATTTAACCTCATTTATTCATAAAATTAATTAAAATATTTAAAATGTTTCATTAAAATATTAAATTTATTTATATATCAAGAAATAATTTTTAATTATTAAATTATTTTGGTTTTCATTAATTACATTTTTTTTTTTTTTATAATAGATTTTCTTTTATAATTAATTTATTTTTAACAAATTTAAAAATTTAGGTTTTAAGATTTTCAATTCAAAATTTGAATTTATATTTAACTTAATCATATAAAGGAAAATAAATATTTGTCTTTCTGTCGAAATGATAATAAATTAATATTAATATGGTGTTGTTAATTTTAAGGAAATCTATTAATTTTATTATGATTTTTTATTATTTTTATTTATTGATTAAGTATTTTGCATTATCTTTTTTTATTCACAAATTCAATTTTTAATTTTTGTAAAATATTCAATTTTGATTTTCTAACTGAATTTAATTTCATAAATTTTCTTTTTAAAAGATATTTTCTAAGTTATTTTCAAACAAAAAACAAGAAAGGGCAAAACTCTTTTCTTATGGCTAGCGGCAGACTAGTAATGCTACTTGAAAGTGGAAAGTAGCATGAAAAGAAATGCCCATAGTTCAAGAAAAAGAAGTTTTCATCTTGTAAATTATTTCAGATTGTTAAATGTGAGGTATCTGACCTGCATCATCCATCATAGGCATCAGCAATTATTTCATTATTTTATATTTAATACTAATTTTCATGATTCAAAGCATGATATTTTGATTACAACAACATTAGTATTAAGTTTAAGGTAAAATTGAAATCATGAAAGTGTAGTTATAAAAGTGTATTAGCTACAATAATCATGAATGTTACTGAGGCACGATGGAGCAGGGAGGGAAAAAGTAAAATAGTTTTTTATTCTTTCTAAAATATTTGTGTTGATGGTAATTCAAAGGAATAAAAATGGTAAAAAGCTATATTTTGCTATCTAATCAAACCTACAAAAGACTGGTGTCGGACAGGTATATAGACTAAAGGCTGAGCTAAGAATACAAGAGCCCTAGTGCTGAAAATCGGATTTAAATCTATCATTTGAAGCTTGAATCTACTAATGAAAAGAGTTAAAGATTAAGCAATCGAAGATAATACTAATACAAGTGCAGGAAATTTAGACTTTTCTTATTGAACATAGTATGAATGAGATGAATGAGTAGCTTAAAGAATCTTAACCAGAGATGAGTAGAGAGAGTGAAATAACGCTGATAAATGATTGAATAGATTGAATAAGAATAATTTATTAGAAATAAGCATTGAATCTGAAGCTTTTCTTTGTGACCCAAAGAAACCATAGCATAAAAGAAAACTGCTACTTTAAATTCAGTTAACTTTACATACCCTTCAAATAATTCAAAACTACCAGATGAGCTGGGGAGAGGAGTGTCGGAACAACACTTTCCGTCTTCAATGAAAACGAAAAAGATCTGGACAATCTTGAGTACTTTATCATGAAGCTCCAATTAAAGCCATCTGCGTTTTCAGGTAAGATTTTTTGGTAGACTTTGTTGAAATGCCAGCTTCAAAAAAGATGAGGTGATGCAATTAACTAAGAACGGCCTGGACAACCAAGTATTAGTCATATTCCACTTTTATCTGCATGCATCAATCAACAAGTTTACCTATTTTCAAATAAATAATCATTTTGGTTTTAACTTGGATGTCAAATTCAAGGTTTTCAAAGAATTTTATTGAGGAAAATCAGCATTCGAACGATAAATACCATTGTAATTGGGATAAGCTTGGACACTTGATCACCGATTCAATGAGAGCTGAACCTCAAGCTTTATTAATTATGATTATTTGAAGGTTTCTAAACAGAATGCAACATTCGAACGAATAAATATCACCTTTGTAATTGGGGTAAGCTTGGACAACTTGGCCACCGATTCAAAGAGAGTTGCAGTATGTAGGTTAATTTGAAGGATAATAGTAGAATATTTTATGTTTGGGGATGGTTTTGTGCAAAGTTAAGCGAATGAGAGTGGTATATGCTTATTGATAATACTTTGTCTTAGGATATAGCTATTTCATTTATTTGTTAGACTGAATCAAAAAGATCTGGTAAAGAGAGTATTTAAGTGAAAAACTTATCTTGTGAATTTATGTGATAGACGGAATTTCTAATCGAAAGCATTTAAGGTTAGTTAAGGCTTAGATCCTGCCTAAATTTAACTTTAATCTGAAATAGATGAAAGCTTTTTGTGTGGTGACTATTTCTGGTTTGTAAAGAATAGGGCTTAACACATACATATACCTGTCTTAACTTTGAGAGAATGTGAAAGAGGAGGAGGAAGAGTATTTGTTTACAGCCTTTAAGAATTAAACCTCTTTTGACTGTCTTGATTAGTAGATGTAAAGTAGCTAAATTACTATTTGAATGCTGGAGAATTTACATAAAACACAATAAAAGGAAGTTTGAATTCTATTTTTTGCTTATTATTCTCTTGATAATGATGCTAATAAGATAACCTCATAAATATCTGAACTTTACAAGAGGTCTTAAATGAATAACTTTTTAAATAGCATGATTTATCTAATAAATAAAGAGAAAGAGCTTAAGTGAACTCTTTTTCGAAAATATTTTATGATGACGTCGTTTATTTACTAAGTTTTTCATGATACTTTCTTGATTGATCAAATGCAAACAAAATGTGCTTCAGATTTATTTGAAGAAGATTTTGGGGGAGAATTTGAATATTTTAAATAGAATCTGAGTAGTTTATTTTTGCTATATTTCTCAAATAATGACCTGAGGCTAAGAACATAGGAGTGATATTCCTTTTACCCTCTTGGTTATTGACAAAACTGAACAAAATGAGAAAAAGTGATGTAAATTATAAAGGTGATATTGAAAATAGTAAAGATTCTCCTTATTTTTTTTTTTAGTTAGACCGTAAATTAGCTATTCCTCTCATATGGGTAGAATATGCAGAGGAAGTAAAATATTAATGAGAGTTCAGTTGCAAACTGAATAAATTGAGAATGAGAAAAACAAGGAGTAGAAGGCGATCTATTCTATTCAAGTTTAGGTAGACCAAAGTGAAATTGCCTAGTCATTCTTGAATGCTCATTTCTTAACAAACCTTTTTACTTTTCAATGAATTATAGGTCACATTTTTTAAAAACGTGTATACGAAATCCAATACTAAGTGATAAAGATTAAGTAGAAAGTTTTTTGAAAAATGAGACCTTTTTTTCGAGAAGTTGATTGGTGCTCTCATATCTCCACCGAAGCTGAATGTGAAGAAGTGCTAATGATTTTCTTATATCTATATTATTGATATTTCTTTGCCTCCTTTTCTAAAATCTTTTTTGAAATTTTAAATGGATGGATGATTAGTGAAAAGTTTAAGCTAATTCAAAACAATTTTAAAAGATTAGAAAAAGAATAATATGAAATGCCGTCAGTTGAATATCAAGAAATGGAATAAACGAATTTTGTTATTATCTGCATCCAACAATTTCTAAGAGGAACCCGTTTCAAGAAAGTGGTTAGGGATTGACAACCCATAAGTTTTCCTATAAATTTGCTCACCCAATTCAGATAACAATGTTTTGGTTAAGGAATGAAAGCCTGCAAAAAGCGATTTATAGGGGAAAAAATCCTCTTTCCAAACGGTTGAGAGTTTTTGGGGACTTGAAAGAACTCTTAGTAAATTGAATGTGCAGACACTTCTTCTATTGAACGATCAAAATATTAACCTTTCTACTTTGAGAAATAGAAAGAGTCAGCTTTGTGGCGTCAGTAGCATTTATAAAAAGGGTCAAATACAACATATCTGCGGTGCTACTGTGCGAGAAAACAAGTTTAAAGGAAGGCTTGCATATTGAAAAGAGATAATTGCCATTAGAAACTATAACAGAACCTCTAAAGTTGTTTAAATGTTCTAGTCTATCTTATTGCACAACTCATCAGATAGCTGCTACTCTACACCTAGAATTAGGAGCGAAATATAAATACCTTACCTACGAAGGCATTCTAAAACCTTCGTGCAGCGATGAGCTCTATGAAAATAGAGGATATCAATAAAACTAGGCTTCTAAATCCTAAGATGTGCTTAAAAAGGTAGCTAAGAGAATACTTTATCTCTTTAGTGCTATGCTAGACGTTCTAATGGTTCTTAAAAAAAATCTCAGGGGTACAAGAATTTTTCTTACAAAGAAAAACTAAGTGAAAATCTGAGAAAGAAGAATTCTTGAAAAGAGGAAACAATTAACTCTTTCAAGTGCATCTCATCGTCGAAGTAAGTGAGTGATTCTGAGAGACACAGATATTCCTATCATGTCTTTAAAAAATGACAGTATAGGTAAATAAGTTTGCTGTGTGAATCTCCTCATTTAGTATGCTGAGTTTATAAGTGACTAAGTTATTTTTTCACGAGTAAGATGTGCATCACTAAATTTGCTCAGACCTATTTAAGTCCTTAGCATATAAGAGTGAATATAATCAATTTATATCACTAAATAAAGATGTTAAGAGAAGAGAACACTCCTAACTAAACGATGAGTAAAAGCCTGTCTTTCAAGTCAATTAACCTATAACTTAATAATAAACCCCATGCTAAATTACTGAATCGCCAAGTATATTTAGCAATAAAAAGCATCAGTTGAATGCTTTAGTAACAAACAAGGAGTTAAATTAAAACTCCTGTTTAATAACTATTGCTCAAGAGTTCTATTGGAATCGACAGAAAAGAAAGATTGATTGAAGTTGAAGTGATCGAATAAGGTTGAAGTAAATTTTATTCAGTGAGAAAGTAGTGAGAAAGCTCTCCCTTAACCCGGAACTTTCTTTAATGCTGGAAGAGGTATCCCCCCGTTTTTTTTATTGGATTTTTCTTTTTAAATTTCTCTAACTAGGTCGGGTCGGGTTTTTTAGGGGCTTTACAAATCTCAAAAATCAAGAATATTTAAAAGTGGTAAGATTTGTAAAGATAAGAAATATTGTAAAGAGTTAAAAGTTAGATGAAAAATTGCTTAGATCCAACCGCAGCCAAAAGTGAGTCTTTCTTAAATCTTTTTATTCCCCCATTTATTCAAATAAAAATTTTATTATATTAATAAACTACTACTGTCAAAATACCACTAATATGCATCAAAGAGCTAAATTTTCTTTGAATTTTTTATTTTCTATATAAAATATTTTTGAATTTGTTGTTTCAGTTTTATTTATTCAAAAGAAGGCTGAATAGGGTGTTAAGATTCACAGATAGAAGAAACTAGTCAACGACCAAATTCAAATAGGATTTGATTTTTTACTTTATTTGTGAAATGTTGTTCAGTTTAATTTATATCAAATAACAGGTATGCGAATTGAAGAAGACATTTAAGATAAACGATCCAAAGTAAATTGAAAAAGGATTATTTAATTTTCGTTTGTTTTTCACTTTAACTAATTTATTGTAGTAAAAAGGAAAGCGGATCAGTATCAGTCAGAGACTCAATTATTTATTATTAAATTCTTTCAAAATAAACAAAAAATATTTTAAAACTAAATTTTAAAAAAATTATAATTTCAAGCGATCCTACCTCCGATAAAGAACCTCAGAATCATATATATGAACGGAGATTTGAATTGGTTTAATTGGCTGGAAGGAAAGATAAGAGATTCTAATTGTGACGCTGAAGGTCAAAACGACTTGGACTGGTTTCGAGGTTGTAATGTACTAGGGGTGGCCCCAATCCTTGAGTGTAATCAAAAAAAAAATAAGTTTTTTAAATTAAGTTTTTAATACTCGGCAAAAAATCCAACAAAGAACCATACGATATCCCATCGAAAAGAACCGATTTTCACTCAAAAAGCCACCTTTACTACATGCATTTCGCTATCTCTGAGAATCCTTGATCTTCTGAATTGGGTAATCTTGCTTTTTCTAAAAGGAGCTCCGATAAAAATAATAACCAAAATCCTTAATAATAACCAAAAACCAAATAATAACTAAAACTAAATAATAACCAAGATGCTGCCCAAAAGTCCTTAGTCTCTCCTCTGCCCTAAAAGCCCTATGTCTTTCAAAATTAAAAAAAAAACTCTTTTTAAATAAAAAAAAAATTTTAAATGAATATCTCTTAAAATCAAATAACATAAAATAAAATCAAATAACATTGAAAAAAAAAATAAACAACATAAAAAAATGAAAAAATAAAAATAAAATAAAAACATAAATAAAAATAAATAAATTAAATAAAAAATTGAAAATCACTCTTGAAGCTCCTTAAAAAAAAACTAAAATTAAAAATAAAAATAAAAAATTAATAAAAACACTTAAAAAAAAACTAAAAAAACAAAAACTTAAAAAAAAAAATTAATAAATTAAAAAATAAAAAAACAAACATTAAAATAAAAACAAAAAAGAAAACAAAAACAAACAACAATAAATACAAATAACATTAAAATCAAACAACATCAAAAAAAAACTAACTTTATAAATGAATAGTGGCATGCTACTTTTTTTTTGTTTTTTAATTAAATTAATTAAATTTTGTAAAGGTGATTACAACAAATAAGATTTTTCATTCATTTTTACTAAATTACTGCAAAGTAGTTTAGATTTTTATTTCTTTATGCATAATTAGCTCATTTTATAGAAGAAAGATTATAAATAAAACAAAATATCCATAAATTTTTATTCATAATTTATAATAGATTTTTTTTTATACATTTGTAAATCTGAAAATCAATTTTAATAATATTATAATTAAAATCTCAAACAAAATTAAATAAAATATGAATTCTATCACCAATAATTTTAAATTCTTAGCAATTTTTTGATTTTGATGATAATCAAAACACATTCAGATAAAATAAAATTATCTGAATTTTATAAATTTTTTAATTTAAATCAATATTAAATAAAAAAAGTAGCTCTAAATTGCGAAGACTAATTCTGCGTTTTATTTTGATTTGTGATAAAATTGTTCAATAAAAAATACATATTATAATTATTAAAATGCATAATGAACATTTATGATAATCAGAGATTAAATATAAAATGAATAAATACTATTAGATAGAAACTAATAACATCAAATAAGCTTTTATAAAATATTAATTCTACTACTTAAAATTTTCCACTTTTTAATTTTTTAAATTTAATTATTGATGATAATCAAAGCACATTCAAACACTATAAAATCATCTGATTATGATTAATTTTTTAATTCATATCAATAATGAATAAATTTGAATTAAATAAAAAAAGCAGCTCCAAAAAATTGGAAAGATTAAATTTGCTTTTTATTTTGATTATGACAAAGTTATTAAATGCAAATAATTTTTCGGATTATTAATATGAAAAATGATATCCAGAGATTTTAATATAAAATAGATGAATGCTAAATATTTATGAAAGGTATCTAATTTTTGTTAATACTAAAATATAAATAATTAAATTCATAATTTAATTTAATTAACATATTTGATTAGATTATTTTTTGCTATTGAAAAATTGTTCATACTTTCTAAAGACTATGCAAATGAAGGCAATTTTATCTGACTCTAAGCTTTTAAATTTGATAGTCCTTAATTAGAAAAACGTATTTAATTTTAACCTTTAACTTTGAAGACATTCTTTTCATGTTCTTTAATTTATTATTTTACTATTATCTTATTTTAAAGAATTGTTTCTAATTATGGTGGCTAAAATATTTAGCTTCTACTCTTGAAATTATTTTTCTTTTAAATTAATTGAGCTTGAGTGAAAATGTTTTTTCTGTTTTCTTATAAATTTATAGTTCTTTGAAAAACGAAGTTTGTATTGTTTGTTTATCTAAGATTCTTTTTATTAACTAAGTTATGCATGCAATTAGGATTATTGATAAATGAGTTTTTCACCACTATAGGAGAGCTTATATATTCAACAAACTAAATATCTACGCTTTTTGATTCTTCCTAAATTTTTATTTTATGGACAATTAATTAAATAATAAGAAGTTGCAAATAACCAATAAATTACAAATATTGATCCCTTGTTACTTTTATGTTATTAATTTGGATTATTTATGTGTGGTTTATAAGTAAATAAGTCTTATGCAGAGTCAGGCAACTCTTGAATTTTAATTGGTTCTGGAGGGTATATTTTATTTCCTAAATATTTATAGGTGCATTAAATAATCTTAGAATATGCAAATAAATAATCTATAAATCTTTCTTTTTACCTAAATACTTCTTTTCATGATAAGGCGAGCGAAAAAATTGTAATTCTTCTTTGTCTGATTTAATACGTTTTTTTTTACCTCCATTATAAATGCGAAGGGAAGGTGAACTTTAAGTTATAGGTATATGATTGACCAGAGGAGGTTTAGGAATAAATGGAGCTACAACTTATTCCTATTCTTAAATTTAATCAATTTATGTCATTACAGAATTTTTTTTTTTTTTGGATGTCTACGATAGAGAACTTTAATTCTAGATATCAAAACTATGTGTAGAAATAGGCTTCTATATTTATTTGGCATCTCTTAAATGTCTCGCTTTATTATTTGTAGTTTGAGATGAATGCTACTCATTGCTTAAAAGAGATTGCTAAGCTTACTTAGTATTGTCAGATGCTAAAATTGATTCATATATTTCTTGCTATATATTAGATATTTCATTATCCATAGTATCCTAATGATTTCCCTAGTCAAAACTATGTTTAACTTCATTTTCATCTTCTTTTTGAGTTATTAATACTTTATTGTCATCAATATTTTCCTATGTTAACTACTCATTAGATTAACTCATATCAAACTACTTTAGGGACTAAATTAAAGATAAATTGATTTTACTTAAAATTTATTACAAACCACAAACAAACTTAGAAATATTATTGAATCAAAATATTGTTTATTAAATCAATAAAAAAAACAAAGGAGAATCATACTGTTAAATGAAATAATCATTATTTTTAATTAATTCATCATTTTGTGCTTAAAATAGCAACTAGTAAAAATTTAATTAATTATCAAATTACTCATTAATTTTCATTAACTCTATTTTAGGCTTTTAATCATTTATTCAATGTTTCATTTGTCTTACATGTTTACTTAAAATTATACATTATTTATTTGTTAAAAAGCTAATTTTTAAAGAATTGAGCTTTAAATTTTTTATGTAAATATCTATTTTGAGATAAATTAAATAATTTTTTATTGATTCTTTATGTGAAAGATGTATGCATGCACATTTCTTTCATGTTGATAGCTATTTACACTTAGAGAGATAAGATAAAATTAATCAAAATGGTTGTATTTTTTTAGCTTTAAAATCATACTTCAATTGTGAAAGTTTAAAAATCAAAAGAGATAACTTTTTAAAAAGCTAAAGTGAGGATGATAGCCAATGATTTTTTTTAAAAAATGCTTAAAATTTGTTAAATTATTATTTATATATAAAGAATATTACTGGATTATTATGCTTTGAATTAAAATAAAAACATATAGTTAGTTGGTTATTAAGTATTTTAATAAATTAAATTTTTTATTTAGATTTTCATAGAAATTAATTTAATCTGAGATTGCTCTCTTGCTTGGTTGCTACAATTTGATTAATAAAGACTAATCAATCTTAGAAATAAATATATTTTAAATTCATATTCTACTTTTATTAAAAATTTTGAAACTTTTATCTAAATTAATTCTATGCAAGCTTTTGTTGAAGGACTATTCCCAAACTATAGATACATTCACACTTTAGGTAAATTATCTAACTTTGATTGCAAATTTTTTCCCTTTTTATAATGAAGAATTTAGCATTTCTAATGCTTGAAACTAATTAAGCATATTTTTATTTATTATTAGGGGAAGGTAAACTAACAGGATCTTGTAAAGTGATTGATTTAGTAAGCGGATAAGAACTGTGTGTTAAGTTAATATACATTAAAGGAATTAGTGAAGAGAATTTAAAAAATATGGTGTAAATGATTTAAAAAATATCAAGCATAAATAGCCCGTATCTGACTAACATAGTAAATTCTGCATACAATAATGATAAATCTCATTTTGTGTAAAATCAATTATAAACAAAGAAAAAAGGAATATTTTAATGAATTAAATAATTTTAAAAGCATAGTAAGTGAATTTATGAGAGGAGGTAATTTATAGGATGAAATTATCAAACATGTCAATGAAAAAAAAGTAATTTTAGAAGATGATATTTGGAACTATATATTTCAAGTAATTTAAATACATTCTAAATTAAAAGAGGTAGCTATAAATTTTATATTATAAAAAGATTTCAAATGGACTTAAAGCACTCCATGAAAACAAAATTACTCACAAAAATCTGAAAGTAGATTTTTAAAAGAATATTTTTTGAATGAAATTTTAAATATTTTTAATTCAACTTAAATAAGAGCACTAATATTTACTTTTCAGAGGACAAAAAGTAAATAAAAATTGGAGATGTTGGCATTAAACAGTTTCTTGATATTGAAAAATAATAACAATTTAATGGATGTCCTTACTCAATGAGGTAACTAAATTTCTTAATTTTTAAAAGTGTATATCTTATTTGCTTGTTTATTTTTCTCTAGCCCGGAAGGATTCAGAGGTAGATTCACAAAAAAATCTGATATTTGGAGTCTAGGTTGCATTATATATGAGGTAGCTGCTTAAACGCCTCCTTTCTGGTCTAATGATCTAGAAGATTTAAAAAGAAAAGTTGATAATACTAGATACTCTAAAATAATTAATATATCAAAGCATTTTACTTATTTAATTGAGAGCATATTAAACCCAAATATGAAACTTAGACCAGAATTAAGTAAAAATTTTAATAAAATAATAACAATTTATTTGTTCTATGCTTAAATGAAAAGTTATGTCTTTCATATTATCGTTTTTATTGTACATTAATTTAATCCATTTATTTTAAACAATTTTAGAAAACATCCTGAAGTATTCTACATAGGCTTAGTTTAAAAATTCTAATCTTGAAAAAGTACTTTTCCCTAAAAAAGATCCTAAGAGGTTATCTCAACTGAAAATAAATAATCCATAGATCAATTAAAGTATCACTAAAAATGCAAGCACAAGCACAACATCTTTTCTACCAAAAATTAATGATTTTTAAAACTTTAAACTTCCATAGACTATTGAACAATAAAATAGTGTAAGAAGTTCTTAAAGATCTATGAATTACTAACAATATAAACCTTAAGCATTAAAATTAAAGAGATTTAGCTTAAATAAAAGTTAAAGCTAAAAATCAGATTTAGCTAACAACATTGAAATGGATACCTCTGATTTAATGAATAGTACAATTATAGGTCATGGCTATAATCAAACTACAAATAAGTTAAAAGATGATACAACTAAAGACACTAATATTACTTTAAACAACTCTTATAGCTTAATCAACTCTAAGTCTGAACTTAATAAACAGCCACAGTCTTTTTATTCACCTAAACCTCTAAGCATAAATAAAAATTTGTAAATTGCTTTTCTATTCAATATTAATTAATAAGTATTTTTAAATAAATTAATAAATAAAAAGTTTTAAATCTAAAAAGAATAACAACAACGAATTGAATTAGTCAATATAAATTGATGTATAACAAAAGTAATAATAAATTCTGTAACAATAGCAGCTAAAATAATCTCAGCTCTTGTAAAGAAAATGTGTTCCTAGAGACCTATGTTCAAATATGATTCTTTCAAGGAAATATAACTATCAACAGTATTTAAATGGATATAACAAATAACAATAAGAAGAAAGATAAATTGTATTTATGACTGACGTTGCTAGAGTAGTTAAATTAAAATCTAGCTCTGTTGCATCTTTATAAAATTAAGGCATTCGTTGAAAATTGCACATGAAAAAAATTTTTTTATTTATTTATTGTAAATTTTTTTTGGTAAATATTTTTTTATAACTCTTTACTTTTTTTGGCTAAATATTTAATTTTTATATGTTTATTTAGATTTAATTAAAGCTTTAAATTTCAATTGATCTTTTTTTTCACAAAAATAAAAATCAAATTATCTAAATTTTCTAAAACAATTAATGAAATGTTGAAAGTTAAATTAAGTTAAATATAGATTTAAATGATTAGTAGAAATATTATGAAAATTAAGCAAAATATAAAATTACCTTTTTTGTTTTAAAAAAATTTTAAAAGATTGCTTAATTCTTGAAAGTTTGAAATCTAAAAAGTTAAATCAGCAAACAGGATATAACTTTTAAGTAAATAAAAATCTAAATCTGTTTGATAAGAATAAAGTACATGAGAATCTACCAATAAATTCGTTGAAAATTTCACATTCTGTTTTTAAAATAAAAAATTATTAATTAAAAATAGTATAAATATTATCTTGGTTGCAAATAAATAAAAAATATAAGTTTTTTTTTTAAACTTGACATAAATATTATCATTAATTTATTAATAAAAAATAAATCGATCAGCCATTTGATGCTCATTAGCAAGTAATATAATCAAAAAAAAATTAGAAGAGTTTATATTTAATCAAATAATTAATTTTAAAATAAACTAAAAAATTTGTTAAAAATTAGTATTTTGTAAGTAGCATTAATTAAAGTAATAAAAATTATTCAACTTAATTTATCAACAAGTAGTAATTAGCAATGGGAAACTGCCAAAATTTTGTAAATATGAATGATTAGCGTAAAAACGAGGTAGTTAATTAATAGATTTCCGTAGAGGCACCAGAACAGAAACAAAACCCAGGTATGAAAACTTAAAGTTTTTCTTACTTTATACTTTAAAATATAATTATTCTACTAGCCATTAGAGAAATAAAACTAGAAGATATTAATGCTCGTTTGAATATTTAACAAATAAAAGCACTTTTATAAACTTTTTTGCAAAAACCGAAATATTTTATTACAAAATAATATCTTTGAGGATTTAGTGAAAATATTTTTATTTAATCCTAAAGTTTTTAAAACTGATTTTAATTATAGCCGTTGAAATAATTGAGAATTAATAGATTATAAATTTATTCTTTTATGAAATATTTAGGATTTTAAAAGAGACCAATAGGAGTTCAGGCTCCTTTATTTAGCGGAACCTGCCTTTTTAATGGAGGGTTTTAATAGAAGTCTCTTAAAGACTATTCAGGAAAATATCTTATAATTTTATTTTACAGCTTTGAAGAAGAGCAAACTTATAATGAAATATTTAGCTTCAGTTAATTGAATGAAGAATTTTAAAGTAGAAATTGTGATATAATAATTATTATTGACGAGAAATTAGAGAGAATAAAATCATAGATTGAAGCATATTCTATAAAAAAATCATAAATTTCTAATCCATAGCAATCACCTTAGAATGAGACTATTACACCAGCATAGAATGATATTCAGCTAAACTTAAGAGTCTTTGGAGATTCTGAAGGAAAAATATTCAAGAACTTTAAGGTGCCTACAACTGACTCAAATAAATGTTATAGATATAAAGCTGCATTTGTTATTGATAAGTTGGGCATTATTTAATACTTAAATATCTAAAACTCAAATATCAAATGTGATCCAAAATTCTTGCTTTAAATTTTAGTTGAAGTCTCCAGTACACCTCTAAATAAGTAGCTATCATTATTTGAGAGAATAGGAGGAGCCAGAGTCATAGTAGAAGCAGTTGAGATTTTCTATAGTCAGTTGTCTAATAACCCGTTTCTAGATGAGTTCTTTAAAAATATTAACATCAGAAGCATGAAAAGTATCTAGGCTGAATACCTAAACTACCTCTTTCGCTTACCCTTAAGAAAGCAAACTGATGTTAAGCTGTATACAACTTTTAATGGAAAAAATATCAGTGAATCGCATAAGAAGATTAACATTTAACCAAACATTTTTGAAATTTATATCTAAACATTCTGCAACATCTTTGCAAAACTTGATGTTGACCAATTAACTATTTAAGAAATTTACTAAAGATTCTAGTTTATAAAGCCTATATTATTCCCTAATTTGAAGTTTTAAAGATGTACTTATGAATTACTAGGGTGTAATTAAGACCTGATCAATTAATTTATAGATAGACTATACTAAAGAGTATTCAGTGATGAACAATTAGGACCTTTTTTCAAGGGTGTTGAAATTAATAAATTTAAATCAACTCAAGCATAATTTTTTACTCTTGCCTTCGGTGGTAGATCATCGTAAGCGCTTATCTACTTTCTTATTTACTTATTTTTACATTCTCATTTCCTTATTTATTTATATATTTATTTATTTGATTAGTTAATTTCTTACTTCTTTCCTTAGTTTTTAAATAATTTAGTTATAACATTAAAATATTTTAAAATAAAGTTATGAATCTCTTAAATTAAAAGAATCTCATGCTCATCTTAAATTAACAGATCATCATTTTGAAACATATATAGATTATATTTGCTAATCATTATTAGATATGAGTATATAAGAAGATTAAATTGAATTAGTTAAAAAGTAGTTTTAGATGCTGAGAAATTACTTTGTCACAAATAATATACAGAATTCTACATATAATAATCTACTTCAATCTTCTGTGTATCACTCTTAACATAACAGAGATTCCTTTTAGCAAACTCTTTACTATCGTCTTGGTGGAAAGCAAATTGTTGATTAAATATTTGCTGTTCTCTAAAAGAAAATTCAAGCAGATCCAAGAATTAATTATATATTCAGCTAGCAGCCTAATTAAATGGATTTCTATGAACAAATTTAAATTGCAATGGGAGGATAAATTAAGTAATGAATTACCAATACTTTTTTTGATACTTGATACTAAAATTATTATATTTTTCCATTTTGATAATTGATTTTCATTTTATATTTTTAAATTTTATTTTAGCTTTTTTTTTAATTAAATGGATTTGAAAATTTTTTTTAATTTCAGATTAAATTTTTTTGAAATTATTTTCTTTTTAAATAAATCACCTTTTATTAATTGAAAATTAAAGAAAATTTTATTAATTATGATCTTTTAAAACATATAAAAATGGTTGTGGGTCAATAATAATAATAACTGATATCTTAAAAATTTAATAAAATATTTTTATTTAAGAATTAATAATATAGAAAATAATTGTATATTTATATTAAATTTAGACAAAAAAATCCTTCTTAGTTTGCTCCTTTAAATAGTTAAAATATGAATTAATCTTAAATTAAAAATGGGAACGCACTAATTAAAATAAATGAAATGTAATTTGGATAGCTAAAACTGCATTTGCTACATTCAACAAGGAGTTTTTAAATTGATTTTGATAAAATTGTCGAGATAGGTTAAGTGTATGAAAGTTTGAGAGGTATTGTATTTAATATAGTACCTATAAAAACTATATATGAATAATTTGGTGGTGAAAATAGTGTTCAAGCTTCAGTTAATATCTTTTATGATAAACTCTAGTACGACCATAGATTGAATATTCTCTTTAAGACTATTCCTGTAGCCAAACAAAAAGAACTATTTTATAATTTGATATCAGTTTGTGTTGGGAGTCCCAATTAGTAAGTTTCAAATATTTTATTATAATTTATTTTTTACTGAAAAATTTAAAATAGATATGACTCAGCTAGAATGAAGGCTTCGACTTTTGAACTTCATATGAGAGACATACACTATGAGGGTCTTGAATAAAACTTAATATCTACTCTTAAAGACATGATGCAATCGGATAAAGATATTTAAAATGCAGTTCATGTGTTGCAAACTATAAAAGGAGATTTAATAATACCAATTGCTAGCTTATTTGACGAAGTTGGAGGAGACTAAGTGATTGATTAAGCAATAGAGAGATTTTACACTAAATTAAATAATGACGAAAATCTATAAAAAATGTTTTAATTCTTAGATAGAGACACATAAACTAGTAAACTTAAGACATATGTGAAATAACTTTTCGGAGGTCCTCAAAAGTAATTAATTTTTGAATGATAAATAGAATGAATAATTAATTTTACATTAATTTATTTATCAATCTTTAGTTATAAAGGAAGAAATATGTAGAAAGCTCATTACCATTTAGGTATAAACGATAGCTAATTCGATAAATTCAAAGTTATTCTTAATTAGTCTTTTGGTGAAGTTGGAGTAAAGATTGAGTTGCTTCCTAAGATTTCTTTTAAATTAGAAACACTAAGAGTCGATATAGTTGATAGCAGATAAAGTAAATTTAATAGGCTCGGAGGAGAAAAATTTTTAGGTATAGCAGTGGATCTATTTTACCAAAAAGTAATGAGAGATGAAAGGATCAATCATTTCTTTGATAAAATCGATATTAAACGCCAAAAATAAATGATGGCTCATTTTTTATCTGTTATGTTGGGTGCGGATGAAAAGTAAAAATAAAAAATATTTAACTTTAAATTGTAATAGATTTTCTATTTTTTAGGTATAAAGGAAAAAATATGAGAGAGGCTCACTAGCACTTAGAATTGAATAATCTACACTTTGATGTCTTCAAAGCAATCTTAATGGATACTTTGATTGAATTGGATGTAGATTATTCATTAATAGATTAAATAGAAAATGAAAATATAGAACCTTTGAGAAAAGAAATAATAATTCATGTCTAATCCCCCAATTATAATTATTTCTGATGCAATCTATCTTGATATCTATTTATCATATATATCTAAATAAAGAAGGTAGCTTCTTTGTTTTTTTTGAATATTGGTTTATACATATTTCTTAGAAAGGTGTGCATTTAGACTCAAAAAATAAATTATATGTGAATAAAAACTGAACTGTTTGAGAGTGGGTGATTGATTGATTGATTTAAAATAATTTTGTTTTCAAAAAATTTGCTTGGAAAATAAACATAATTTATTGAAAATGTATTATAAAATATTTAAAATAAATAAATAAATAAAATTTATCATTTAATTATGAAAAAAAGTTGTATATATATTTTTGTCTATGTAATATAAATATTTTATTAGAATTTAATACAAATCAGTATTTTTTTTTTCATAAATATTTTAACTAAAAAAAGATAAAATTTATGAAATTAGAATGAAGATGTTTAAATAAAATCATTTTAATGTTTGCGCAATAAGAAAATTTCAAATTTATAAAATCATTATGTTGTAGAAATAAATTATAGAAGTTCAAATGAATAAAAATCTTTTCAAAACTTAATGGAACCTCTCTGAAAATTTATTGTGTAAAACGTAAAAATATATTGATGCTTTAGTTGATTTAATTAATTTGAAGATATTGGGTTAATAATTTACGGTAGGAATCTAAAAGGTGACTTTTATGTTAACTACTTAATAAGGATCTTTTAGAAAGATGAATGAATGAATGATTCTTACCAAAAATAGAATCTGATAAAAAAAGTAGAAGTAATTTCATGGTATTAGATTTTTTTTCTTCAATATCTCTCTATGCAACATTTTTGCTGCTAATATTTAAAAATTGGAAAAACATCCTATTCTTAATTAAATTTGGTATTTTAATTGTAAAAAATATCCCACGTTTTTAATTTGATAGTTCTTAAATTTTATAATAATTATAAAATTTATTTTTTAATTTAATTTCTTTCGATCGTATATTAAATATTTGTAGATGAAAATAATAAAAATATATAGATAAATAAATTTTACATGATTTTTGAATCATCTTCCTTTAATATATGTTTAATGTATTCCTCTATCATTCATAATAAATGTTTACATTTTAATTGAAGATTTTTATTTAATTTATTTTTCTATTCTAATTTTGTAGCTAAGATTATATAAAAGAAATAATTCGTTTACTAAATAACATTAATAGAGTAAATAATTTGAAGGAGTCTATCAAAATTTTCGCAATATTTTATCTGCTCACTATATATAAATACTGATTCATTTTAATAGAGGGATTCTATATTTACTAAATAAATATTATTTTTTCATAGATTATGCATTAAAGTGTTTTTTGAAGATTACCATCAAATAAAAATGGTAGAAATATTAGAAAATTAAACTATAGTTTGGAAAGAATTCATGCGAAGATATGTAGCGGTATATCAGCATTTTTTATTAAATAAATAATACTAAAGAAGAAGAAAATATAAACTATAAAAAACAACCGCGAAAGTCCAAATTTACAAATAAAAAAAGAAAGAAAATATAAATCAAAGTAATTATCTTAATCATAATAAAAATTAAGCATTTTAAAAGAAATAAAGAAATAACTGATAAGCATAATATCAATTTCTTAAGTACAAAAGATATATTAATTATTAAATTTAAGATGGGTACTCGTAGAAGATAGTAAGCAGTCTCCAATGATGAAAGCAGTAGTAAATAATAGGAAGTGACTTAGAGAACGCTTAGAACAAGGACAAAAAAACTCAAAGTTGTTTCAGATTCAGAGGATGATTTAGAAGACGAATTAGTAAACATTTCATTTTCACTCACTCACTCACTTCTCCTCTTTTGTTTTTACTTTGATTTTTTTTTTTTTTGAGTATTCGTTTATCAGCACTTAATTATCTATATAGAAGTGCTTTCACAATAAAATAGCCTAAAGAGCGAAAAAATTGTAAGTACTAAGATGATAATATCTACATGAACAAATGAAAGAAAGCAAATTAGTATTAAGCAAAGCAAACTTTTGAAGTATAAAGTGTTTTTTAATTTACGAAGATAGTATAATTTTTGTAAATCCATACTAAGATTTGTATTCAAGAATCATTTTAACAACACATTACATTTAAAAATACTAGCCTTATATATATTTTTAAATAAACACTACTTCACATTTCTAAAGAGATATAAAAGGAGGAGCTTAATTTCTAATATACCTCATATTAAATTATTAACGTAAAAAGGACGCATAGTATGATGATGAAGAGGAAGATTTTGATGATGAGGCAGTGCGTAAGCCAAAATCTAAAAAGAATTTAAAGAAAAATAGTAGCATCATAAAATCTGGTAATGGAAGAGGCAGAAAGAGTAAAGCCAAATAAAAGAAGAATGAGGATTCCATGCAAGAAGAAGAAGAAGAATCTATTTAAGGAGGAGAAGAGGACAATAACTAAGCTGAAAATGAAATTGAAGAAGAAATAGAGGGTAACGAATAAGACGATTAAGCTCATGATTAAGGAGAATATGCAGAGGATGATCTCGAAGATGAGCCCCCTTCAGACGATTATGAATATGACTCCGAAGAAAAAGCTAATAGTAAGAAAATTTTTATATAATCATAAATAGTAAAGTTTTGCACATCAATAAATCTTAAAATTTTGAGATAATGATTACTCCATATAATATTTTAAATGACCAATTCATAATATCATTTAAGTAGGTTGTAAAATAAGTATAAAACCCATCTATAATTTTCATTGTATATTACAGACAAATAAAATTAAAAGAATTAGCTTAATTTATAGATTCTTGCATGCATTTCAGAAATCAGCTTCAAGGGGAATCCATTTATGCAGAAAATATAAAATTTTAAAATCAACAATGATATAGTTATTTTAATTCTATTGTTAAATTGCTTTGAGTTTCTGCAAAATTAAATCTATAAGTATTGCAAAAATTCTGAATTTAATGGATAACGCAGATTAAAAGTTTAGATTTATTATTGAGTAAAGCAGTATATTCAAATAGAGAGGGAGACTTTACAAAGAAGCAATATATTAATAGGATAATTAGAAATAAAGGAATTTTAATTTAGTTTTGTAAATTGCTTAATTTTTATAGAGAGATGATTGATTATAAATAGACATAATATGAAATAAATTTTAGAAAATGAATGAGAAGTTATTCATTTTAATTTAATTTATTAAGCAAGAAAATCAAAATAAATAAAAACTACCATTGAGCATTAATTGCTGTAGCCTTTACTAAAATTTAGCCAAAACATACTTATAGTAAGTAAATGGAAATTAAAAATAAGGAAAATAAAATTTATTATGAAATTATAATTTGGTTTTGTATGAAGAAGTGCAATTAATAAGAAAAATGATGTTTATATATTCCATTGAAAAATAAAAGAAATTATACGAAAAGGTTTGAATATTATTTAAAAGAAAAAAAAAATTCATAGGATTCTAAATTTTTTTTAAGTAAGAAAAAATGCATTTATTTATTTATTGCTTAGTTTGATAAAAATTCAATCGGAAAAAATAAAAAATAAAAAGTGGAAAGAGTAGTACTTAAAAGGTTAAAAAGAGAGGCGAAATAAATGAGGTAGATCAGAATATTCAATTTTTCAATGATGAAAAGCATATTAATAAAATTTAAGACTTGCTTAGGAAAAATTAATAATACGTCATTTCGAAGAAAAAAGAAAGTGAGGTTGCATCACTTACTTTCAAACATTATCGAATATAATGTTTTTTTTTAAATTTTGCTGACTGACTGATTTCCAAATAAAAAAAAATTTAGAACCCAATAAATAATTAATACTTAATAAAAATTAGTTAGCTTATTAGCTAGTATTTTAAAATTCTTATTAAATCATCTCCCATTTATTTATCTATTTACATTTTTCAATCTTCATTAAAAATATTTTTTTCTTTCTCAACTTAATTAATAATCAAAAATGAAGGAAAAAAAAATTTTTAATAAATAAACTAAAATGATCATTTGATTAAAACATCAACTAAATTATATAAATGGAGTCATTGATTTTATTTGTGCAATACCGATAACCGTTAATAAAGAAGGATTTTTATTTATAAAATTTTTTATTACAATCAATTAGAGGTATAACGTGACGAAGTGTACAATCTTTCAGAAACAGATGCAAATGAGAGTTGGTGCTTTATTTGTAGAGATTAGGGAAAACTTATATGCTGTGAAAATTGCTCAAAAACATTCCACTTGACTTGTGTGGGTATTAAAAAGCCTCCAACTGGTGCTTGGGAATGTCCTTACTGCAGAGAAGAAAATAAAGATATATGCTGTGCATGTGAAAAGAGTACTAATGAAGCTGAAATTAAAGTTACTTGTTCCCTTTGCTATCGTTTAATGCATTTTGAATGTTTAGGTATTCCTCTTAAATAGCTCGTAGATTGTCCAATGAATAGAAATTATTTTTTGGATGCAGATACTCTTACTATATTGCAATCAATTAGTGACAAAGATGATGCAGAAGTAGCTAATGAGAAGTTAAAAAATTTGACTGAAGCCATTAAAAAGCTTCATACTACTGAAGGTAATATTAAGATAAATTTATTATAAATATTAATAATATTACCATTAATTAGGAAAATAAATTTTATATTCTTGCTTTACTTGCATAGGCTATTTTGGAATAGATAAAATTTAAGATTATGTCTCAACTGAAGTTGGCAACTGCTTTATCACAAAATTAAATAGTAAATTTTTTTTTAACAAAGAATGAAAAATAATTTTTCAAATTTTTTTAGATGCTGCTTATATCCACAGTTATTGGTTACCTGAGTCTGTAGTTGAAAGGAAAATCCCAAGAAAACTTAAAAATTTCAAAGATAAGAAAAAATAAGTTAAAGTTGCAATTGATGAAGAAGAAATAGAAATAGCATTAACTGAAGAGCCTGTTGATGTTTTAGAAGAAAATATAAAAATAGAAAGAATTATTGACTGCAAACGTCCTATAAAGCATGCCAAGCGTTCATACAGAGATATTTATGATTCTATATTCAGCAAATATGGAGATTTATATGAAAAATAAATTGTCTTTGGAGCAAAAACAAATTATAAATTCCTTATCAAGTGGTAGGGACTCTTCTATGATGAATGTACTTTCGAAGATGAGTTCATAGTTCTTAAATACAAAGAAATTTTAAGAAAATATTTGTAAATAAAGATGTTTGAGGAAACTATTGGTATTTATTATTTATTGTTAGCAAAATTTTTAAACTCATTTATTTGTATCTGATAAAAATAATTAGGAACTCCAAGATTTTAAGAAGAAAGAGAAAACAAAAGAAAAATAAACACTCAAGTATAAAAGAAGTATAAGCAATAACCTAATTTTATCACAGGTGGTTCATTACACAAGTTTTAAATAGATGGTGTTAATTGGCTTTCAGAAAGTTATAACAAAGCAAACAATGTTATTCTTGCAGATGAAATGGGTCTTGGTAAAACTGTGTAGACTGTTTCTTTCTTAAATTATTTGTACTATGAGAAAGATATTGATGGACCTTTCATGGTAGTTGCTCCTGCCTCCACATTGTATAATTGGCTGAGGGAATTTGCCATTTGGGGAGATAAATTCAATGTACTTGTGTATACTGGAAACTAAGCTTCTCGTAGCTTGGTCAGACATCGTGAGTTTTATTTCAAAATCAAAAATCCCCTTAAGAAGGGCAAGAAGAAAAAAGATTTAGTACCTAAATTTAATGCATTGATTACAAGTTATGATACAGCTATCAATGATGCTCATTTCTTAAGAAAAATTCAATGGGAATGCTTGGTTGTTGATGAAGCCCACAGACTTAAAAATAACGAATCTAAATTCTTTAAAATCTCATCAACTATCGCAACAAGACATAAAGTTCTATTGACAGGTAATTAAATAAATAGAATTATTTTTAATGCATAAAAACTAAAATAATTTTTCTTTAATTTAAAGGTACTCCCTTACAAAATAATATATTGGAATTACTCAATTTAATCGAATTTATCTGTCCTTAGAAGGCTAAAACAATGAAAAATTTCGAAAGCTTAAAAATGTTTTTATAAACAACAACTACATAAACTAAATAGCAATAGCAATAGGATGAGTAAATACCTGAGGCTGAACGAAAGAAGGCCTTAAGTGAGTTAACTAAAATGCTTGCTCCTCACTTGTTGCGTCGTAAAAAAACAGATGTCGATTTAGAATTGCCTGAAATGGAAGAAATTATTATTAAGATCTCTTTAACTGATACCCAAAAGTATTACTATAAAAATGTATTAGTCAAGAACTATGATAACTTGAAATTACTTGACGCTAAATCTAAAAACTTCTCTAAATTTTCTTTACTTAACATTCTTATGAGTTTACGTCTTGTTTGTAATCATCCTTCCCTTTTCTTATACAAAAAGAAATATCTCATTCCTAAAAAAGACAAATTCTAAGAAGAATTTGTTGATTGTTCAAATAAACTTAAGTTTTTAGAACGTATGATTCCTAAACTTTTGTAATAAAATCACAAAATGCTTATTTTCTCATAATTCACAATGATGCTTGATATTATGGGAGAATTCTTTAACTTCAAAGGATGGGCTGTAATTAATTAATTATTTATTTATTTATTTATTATTTTAACTATAAATTTTATTAACTCTATATTTTTTAACTTTTAGTTTGAAAGACTTGATGGTACAACCTCTGTCATCGACCGTTAAAAAACTATTGACTCTTTTAATTCAAAGGACTCTAAGGCTAAAATCTTCTTACTGTCTACACGTGCTGGTGGTTTAGGTAACTTGCAAAATATTAAATTAGTTTACTTATTTTTAAAACTAAAAAAATCTATTTAGGTATTAACTTGACTTCTGCAGACACTATTTTCTTCACAGATAGTGATTTTAATCCTTATAGAGATGTCTAAGCCATTAGCAGAGCATATCGTATGGGTTAGGAATCAAAAGTAAAAGTATACAGATTAGTAAGTAAATACTCAGCTGAAGAGCGTATTATTGAAATAGCTACTAGAAAGCTCTTGTTAGAATCAATTATTATCAATCCTATTAATAAATTCACTAAAGAAGATTTTGAAACTATTTTAAAGAATGGTACTTATGAAATGTTTAACAAAAATTTAGAAGAAAAGGATTAAGAATTTACTGATGAGCAAATAGATGCTCTTATCAGTAGAGAAGGAGATATGATAAAAGGCACTGATGTTGAAAACGTATCCTTGCGTAAATCTGATCTTAATGATTACTATTTAAGTGGTTTTAAATTCAATTCATATAATTTCGAAACTGTTGATGAACGTCAAAAGCGTAATGATGAAGAAGAAAAGTAAAAAGATTAGAAAAAGTATTGGGAAACACTTCTTGACGATCAAGCTAAATAACTACAAAGTCAACAAGCTAGTGAACTTGGTAAGGGTAAGAGAGTAAGAAAGATGATTAATAGCACTCTTCAAGATGATCATAATCGTACTAGTGATTCTTATTCTGAATTCGATGGAGAAGGTGAAAAAGACAAAACTGTCTCAGAAAGTGATGGTGGCGCTGACGAAGTAGTTGAGAATTTTGCTAAAAAGTAAAACTCTAAAAACAATAATACAGGAGCAGCTAGCAATGCAAATAATTACTTTTAGGTACTTATTTATTTATTTATTTAAATATTTATTTATTTATTCATTTAAAATTATTTTTACTTTTTTAGCTTTTTCGACAAGCCAATTTTTTCAAATTTTTTATATAAAAATAATTAATAAATAATATTTTATTTAATAAATAAATAAATAATTAGGAGGATCAATAAAACAAAGGATTAGTACACAAAAACAAAAAGACAACTGATAAAATATTAAAATATTTTGATGAAGAAATATATGCTAAATCACACATGAAATTTGCCAACATGTCTGATATTGATCGTTTCTAGTTTGTACTTAATGGTTTTAATGAGTTCCATAGAATGGAATTCCTCTCTTTTATTCTTGAATTTGGTATGGATTTTAATACAATCGATTAATTCTGGCTTGAACTCCAAAAGAACAGACCTGAAACTTTCAAAAAAGACCATAAGCCTACTTACATGGATTTCAAAAAGTATCTCAAGGAATTCTACGCAGCACTTTTATTCTATAAGAGATTAGAAAAGCTTGACAATGCAGTGTTCTGTGGATTATCTGTACGAAAAAAAAATATGTCAAAATAGATTTTATTTATATTATTTTTTTTTATTTAAAAAAGCCTGAACTTGTTGTTAGAAGAATCGGAGGTCTTTCAATTTTGCGTAAAAAGTACAACTATTTCACAAAAAAACCTGAGAAATTCAGAGTATCTCACAAAGGTAATTTAATATTTTTAAAAAAATGCAAATAATAATGTTAATTGTTTAATCTAAACAGAATATTCTTTCCATCAAGCCAAATTAGACGAAAACAATAAAATAGAATTTTAAAAGTTTAAGTGGACTAATTACGATGATTATCTTTTAATTCATGCTATTTTTGCAGTAGGATTTGGTAACTGGGAAAAGCTGTTAGAAAACAAGATTTTATGGGATTACCCTCAAGATCTTAATTTATAAATATGGTAAATTATTTTCCATAAGTTTGACGAAAAGGAAGACAGAGATATCAATACAATCGATTCCGAACTAGGACAAAAGTATGAATAAATTTATTATTTCTAACAGGTTTGTATTTTAATTTTATGAATAATAAATTTAATATAGGTACGTTATTAGGAAATTATAGAACAGAGCTAACAACATGATGAATTTCTTGCTTGATGTAGATGAAGGAAAGAAGGAAGAATGATAGAAATGATAACACAATTTAAAAATATCATTATTATATTTTGGATTCATCCTTTTATCTTAACCTATATAGATAGACAGACTGACATAACACAACTTAATACAACAAATGATAAAAAATAATACACTGTTGTTGTTTAAAAAGAAGGATTTAAAGAAAAGAAATTTTTCTTGAAAAATGACATACTCTGTTAACCCTTTATATTAACATATAAAATTACTTTTTAATAATTTAATAATTGAAAACTATAAAATTAATTTATTAATTTACTTTTGTGTAATACTTTTTGTTGAGCTCTTTTTTCCTTTATTTTTAAATTAATACATTTCTTTATTCAATTTATGCAAAAAAAGTTAGAGCATAATAAAAAAAAAATGAATATATAAATCATAAAATTTTTAATTAACAAATTCATAATTCAGAGAAAAACCACTATTTACTCTTGACTAAATAAAAATAATATTGAATGGTATTGAAGCAATACCAAATTTATCAAATAAATTTTATCGCCTTTTTTATCAATCAAATCTTAGTTAAATATTTATTATATTAATTATTTTGCAAAAAATTATTGGTATAGGATTTATAAGATTTTTACATCTTAAAAAATTTATAGTTTTTTGTTTTAATAAGTAAATAAATAAATTGATTTTCATTAAAGGTGCTTAAACTTTGTTTTTTAGAAAGAAATGCATGCATAAAGGAATATTAGCCCATCACCAAAGTGTAGAATTTATAATGTAGATGGATCAGGTAGAGATACTTACATTTCATTTAACAGTGGAGGTTATATAAGAGCACACGCAGCTAATTATCAATTGACAAACATAAGTACTTTTCTTTAAATTAAAAAAGTTAGTTAAAACCTTTATAGAAAACAGTAATAGAACACCATCGAGCTGTATAGCAAGAGTACCAGTTTAGTCTAAATATAATCATTATAAAAGCGATGGAACAGGGAGAGACTCTTACATATCGTACATATTTAAAAATTTATCATTAAACTTTTTAAATTGCTAAATATTATTTGCATAAATCTCATGTAAATTTTTCAAATTCAAAAAAAAATATAGATATAATTCTGGTGGATTTGTTAATCCTTAAATGAATTTCACTACTAAACTAAGAGATTACCCTGAAATAAGATAAAAGAGGAGCAATTCATTTGATATCTCTTACACAATGAGATTACCAAGTATACAAGATGAGAAAAGAATGATGTAAGTAAAGGAAAAGTAAAGATAAATAAGAGAAAACTTTAATAGACTAGCTTAACCAAAATCTCCCAGCTAGTCTCCTGATAACACTATTAATGCTTGCAAATGCTCATATAAAAATAACTTAAATTACTCTTTTGTTAATAACCCAAACACAACTATAGATGCATCCTCACCAACTAAACAAATAAATCAAAAGACTTATCATTTAAAAGATTTAATGTTAAAGGGAAATTAAACGAATGGTTTATCAGGTTTAAAATAACAAATGCTTTAAATGAGTAAATAAAATGCTTAGTTAGAAGATGAATTATTAGTAAATCAAAAACAAACTCTTAAAACACTACCATCAATGAGCAAATCTTATATGTATGATAAATATTTAAGTGATATGTCATATAACGATCCTCAATTAAATTAAATTTTAAAAACCTAAGAATTTTGATAAAATTATGAATTTAACCTAAATATTAAATTAATTTTCAATAAGTAAGTTTAAATTACATTTTTTATATAAATTGTTTCTAAATCAATTTATTTAAAAAAAAAAAACAAACTAATTTTGTAATTGTTTTATGAATAAATGTGTATGATGTAAAATGATTTTTGTTGTAAAAAATAAATATGTAAGTAATCATGATTAATTTGATTTAATTAATTATGAGAATCAAGCAGATAACATTAAAGACTAGTTTCAACGTATAAATTAATCAGTAATTAAATTTGTTTTTGTTTTTATCAAAATTAATAAAATACAAGATATGTTAAAAAAACAAATAACTTTTATTAGCAAAGGTAGGCGCGATTTTGTTAAAATATGAATGGGATATATTCAAGACAAGAGTTTTTCAGAATATTTTTATAAAAAAGATAATAAAGAGAAAGTTGGAAAATTAAATAATTTGATCTAATTAATTATTGAAGATATTAAAGAAATTAGTTAATTAATTAATTAAAACTAAAATATTAAACTCTTTAAAAATTTATCTTAATTTCCATAAATAGTCAGCTATTAAGAATAAATATTGATTTAATATAAGTAGGAAGGAAGAACAGATTGATTAAAGAGATGAATGTAAATAGTTTAGATTAATTGAGAGTGCAATTGCCTATTATTAAATGAATCTTATTCATTTTTAAAATGTTTGATGTAATTTTCTTTGATATATTATAGGATGATTAGAAAAAAAATACTATTGATAATGCAATGAAGGCATATACATAAGGTATAGATAATATTAAATAATTGTATGAAAGTTAATTTAAATTAAATTTTATCAAGGCGAAAGCGGATCAACCAATGCTTAACCATAAGACTATCTATATTCTTAATACTAATAGTATTAATATTATGGCTAATATCCAAATTAAGGTAAAGTTTTGCTTTCTAAATTTAATCTTTATTTAAAAAAAATAAAAAATAATTGGTATTTTTGATTAGAAAAATTGTAAATATGTAAAATCTCTAAAAATAATAAGGCTAAAATGATTAAATGTATCTTAATTAGGAAGCAAATATACTTAATCAAAGTGTTTTAGAGAATTTTATTTAAGAAATATGTTTATTTTATGTAAAAATATATATAATTTTGAAAAATTAATTGTTTTAATTTAGGTGGTGCTTACAATTACTAAGCTAATCCAGCATACTAGCAACAGTACTAGCAATATAATTAATATTATTAATAATACTATGGATAAACTTAAGCTGCATAGAATTACTATTAATATCCATATGGAGGAGCAGCCTAGGGAGCTGCTAATTCCTACTATTAAGCATAAAATTATGCAAACCCTTAGAATATGCAACCCAAATAAAATATAATGCCGGTAAAAAAGAATGATTTTATATTCAACTCCTTCTTAAATGTTATTAAAATATTTATTTATCTTTTCAAATAAAGTATGGTGCTACTCCTATGTAGAATACAGTAAAACCTGCTGCACCAGCTAATCTCTAGAATTTATAGAATTAAAATAAACCAATAGCTGATACATAAGCTTTTGAGTCATAAAAGGATGAGCTATTAGATGAAATAAAGAAGACAGTCTTGTAAATATTTAGAATAAAGTTTTAAAGATTATATTTTTAATCATAAACAATATTTAAGTTACAAATAATCATTTTATCTTTTATCAAAATTGCAATTGGTTTTGTTTAAATAAATAAATAATTCATGTCTAGAAAAATTTTCTTTTAAAAGAATTAACAAAACAATTCAAAGTTTTTATAAATGAGAGATTGATTGATGATTAAAAGAAATTGTTTACAAAGATGATAAATAAATAAAAAAAAGATTAGCATCAATTTAAGGTATTAATATCAAATAAATTTTATATAGAAACAATTAGATGAAGAATGGGAAAAGCAGATGGAGTCAAGAAGTGATAGTCCCATAGGATATTTATGAACACTTTGAAAAAAAATCTGATAAGAAGAAATTTGATTTTGATTTATTAAATTTATTAAATGAATAACAAAAGAAATAATTCAACTCATACGTGAAGAAATGCTTTGATAAGTGCTAGAATGCTAAGGAGTAACAGCTGATGAGCAGTATGCTCTTAACGAACTTGACTACTCTTATTTTCAAAAAAAGCTTAGATAATACCAAATGGGAAACTTTATATATGCCTCTCTTGCCTCGTGAAAAAGATAAACCAGCCTCTAGCAGTTCATAATTTGCATTTTCAACTTCAACTTAAGCATCAACTTCCTCTTCAGCCTCTAACAATTTGAGTATTCCAGGTTTACCTATGCCTGGCTCAGGATCCTTTACTGGAGGAGGACAAACTTAGTAACAATACTAATAATAATCCCAATTCCTTAATAATGATTCATTTTAATAATAGTCAGAACTGAAAAACACATCGACAACATCTACCTTGCCATTTTCTATTAATGCTCAGCCCACTTCTTCTATTAACTAACTTTACAACAGCAACAATAATCACTTAAACTAACACAATCAATATAACTAATAACACAATCATTATAATAACAACAATAATAATAACAACAACAACAACAATAACCATAATAATAATGCTCAACATGGAAAAAATAATAAGCATATGAACTTCAATAACAATAGCAACAATGATGATAATTTTAATAATAAAAATAATGGTAAACGCCACGCTAATGTAGATATTAAAGATATCGTTAAAACTCCACAATCTAAGAAATAGCTTAAAATAGAAAAGTAGCAGAAATAAGCTATTATGACACCTCCAATGCAAATATCTCTTTCAAATGCAGATACTGATTAAGACTTTGAATAGCTAGTAACAAAGTGGAATATAGTCGGAACTTGTACAGATATCGAAAAACCATATCTTCGTCTTACAAAAGAGCCTTCACCAGATTAAGTACGTCCTGAGGAAGTACTAAAAAAGTCACTTAAGTTCTTAATGACAAAATGGAGAGATCGTGATTGTGAGTATTCATACATACAATCTTAATTCCGTTCTATTCGTTAGGATTTAATTATTTAGCATATACGTAATGAATTTACGGCAAAAGTTTGTGAGTATAATGCTAGAATATGTCTTGAAGTTGATGATGTGGGCCAGTATGTATAATGTTGTGCAACTCTTTTTGACCTTTATAATAGTGGAATCTAGGGCGAAAAAGAAGAATTTTACTGTTACAAGATCATAGATTAAGGTTTAGACAATAAATCTCCATTAGAGCTTCCTAAACTTATAAATGAAGTTTAATCATTTATAGATCATCCTCTAATTTAATTTGCAATAGAGTAAATATTAAATCTTCACTTTTTTGAATTAAAAAAAGTTAATTATATTTTTCATACTATCTAAATATTTCTTTTTATTAAATTATAGTCTACTAAGTGCTCATGATAATGGGAATGTTTATCAATTTTTTAAGCTTTATGAGAAAGCACCCAATATGTGCTAATGCATTATTGAAAGAAATATGTCTAAGTATAAATTGTGGTCTTTAGTTATATTATCTAAAACGTAATATTTACTTACTTTCTACACATTTCCAAAATAACTAAAATATTATTTTTTATATTTGTTTAGATATTCAGGTAAAATTTCTTTAGATGATTTAGTTAATATGGTTAAATTTGATGATGCTGAGCATGCAAAAGAATTTATATAAAGCACAGGTAAAACCTTAGTTGTAAAAAAAAAATTAATGTATGTTTGTTTTATGATAAAGGCGGAGTATTAGATGAAAGTGGTAGAGAGTTATTACTAAAAGACAGTCATAAAGGATTTGTAGATACTTTTTAATAAATGTGAGTAGATTATCATTAATTATATAAATACCTTCAAAAAAGAATTAATTTTAATTAACTTAATAATATTTTATTGCTATTTTCAAATTTATATTCTTGTTTATATAATTTATAATTAAAAATAATTACAAGTCTTATCACTCTTTTCATTTGAAACCAATTTCTTCAAATAAATAAAATTTTATTATAATAGTATGTATGTATTTGATGCTACTTTTTTTCTTGTTTTTTAATGAAATCAATTTAAGCTCTACTTCCTTTATGCGTTAGTTTAATTAGTAATTGTTTATTACAAAATAAATTTTATTCACAAAATTAAGTTTTATTAAATTTTTGGTTTATGAAGAACTTAATTGGCATAGTTTTTTTAAATAATGTATTAAAATAAAGAACAATAATCAAAATTTTCTGGATTATTTTCCTTTTCAAAAAATTTTTGAGGTTTTTTAAAATTAGAAATTTAGAAATTTATAAAATGACGATTTATGAATGTATATAAAGTAAATGATTTATAAATAATAAATATATGTTTAGAATATAATGTCTGATAAAGTAAATTTAAATATATTGATTGATTATGCTTTTCTTTTTTTCTTTAGAAATAAGAAGTATTTTTGTTCCTGATTAATGTTTTTCAATCCAAATCTCTTCTCAAGATTTCATATTTTTGAAAAACAAATTGTGCTGTTTCAAATTAATTCATATTCAACTAGTTCAGCAGATGCTTTTCTGCATTCACGGTTTTAATTTGTAAGTGCTAACAAATTCACATTGAGTGATAAGGCATCTATCACTTTCTGATTTTTATCTTGCTTGCTATAAAGATAATTTTTTCTTACTTTTATGCATAACTGGCATATTTGTTAAGCATTTTTTAAAACAAAATGTTTTTCTTCTTAATTTTAAATTTCTTAGCTTTGCTAAAGCCAACAAAGAGCTTTAAAATAGTAAATATCAGCTGTAATTGAAGATTGATTATATCTATCCTTAAGTATTTCCTTTGCTATTACATTAGCTTCTTCCAATAAGTTAATGCATTCAGTTGTATTTCCATTTGCTAGATAAGCTTAACTTTCGTAAAGTAAAGATTAGCAAAATTCTATGCTGATTTTAAGCTTGCTTTACTCAAAATACTCTTTGATTTCTTATAAAAGTGCATGAATAGTAGAGTATTATCTTTAAGCAAGGAGAACTTTAAGCTTCAAGTTCATAAGCTAAAGGAAAACCAGAGGTTGTTTATGTCTCTAAAAAATTGTTTTTCCTTATTCAATTAAGTAAAGAGCTTATTCATGTTGCTAACGCTCAATAAACATATTAATTTTAAGCATGAAAGCATCAACTTTTAAAGAATCTTATATATTATTAATCTCTTCTGCACAACGATCTTTTTCTCCTTATTCATTCAAGAACTAACAATGTAGAATATAATATCTGTAAAGATCAAATTTTTAATTCATTTTTAATCCGTCTTGTTAGGATTCCTTAATTAGTCTACTTCTTTTTGCTTCATAAGCGCAATCCTAGCTTTTGATTTGCTAACTAGTAGCCTACTTAGGATCTTCTATCTGTTATGTTATGTACTATTGAATATGTTATTACATCTAAGTGAAGCTACGCTCAGCCTTTTTTAGAAATCCACAACGTAAAAGAATTGAAATGTAATCTAACTAGATATTTTAAATGTAAGGCAAATTAGTCAAAAAATTATATCCTTCAAATGTTTTAAATAACTATTCCATTAAGGTAATTGTTTCTTAATAGTTTATTTAATACTTGTTAAGTTACTCAAAAGCTTCCATACAAAATTAAATGAGATCTAAGTGATATCCATTTATATTCTGAATAGTAGAATTTTCTTACTTTTGAGAAAGTGTATTTTAATTACATTGTAATTATTACACATCAGTAGTTTAAGAAGGAGTTGCCTTTTAAGGGTGAGAATTATTAATGCGCTGTAAATGCTTAAGCAATACTTTGATCAAAGCGATACAGTCATTGATATGTTTGATTATTTTTTCTCTAAGCTTGTAGAATTGTTATGGTGTTAAAAGATCTTGATTTGTGGATTTTATTTAGACAAGCTATTTATTAAAAATATTAACAGCCATTAGAATCATTTTTTAAGGAGAAAATTGAGGTGTTTTCTTTTCAATTGTGGATTCTGTGATAAGAGGGAATTATTTAGTAGAATCAATCGTTTGGCTTTTTTTGCTCTCAAAAGATTCATCATTATTTGTTAATGCTACTTGCTTTTCTTCTATTTCTTCTGTATGTTTAGTTTTTTTAACATAAAAAGGAAATTATGTTTTTTCTTAATATGATTAATCAATCTTTAAAGTAGTAAGACTAGAAACTAATGTTAATAAAATATTTTTTTTGTAAAAGGGCATTAGTTTGTAAAAAATTTGGTTGAGTTTTCTCATTTCTAATAGAAAATTTTACCTTTAGGAGTCTGTTTAGGATCTAGTAAAGGTGAGAATTAGCAGTCTTCCTAAAATGTTTATCTAAACTTGTTATTGGTGAACAAATTCTTCATTTAAGTAGTTCTTTATTTGATTAGTCTTTGAATCGGTCAGTTTGTTGTAGTACAGAAGTTTTAAGAATTTTTATGGTTGCTTATACTTTTTGATGTTTTTGTATTTTTTTTGCAAAATTATTATGATATTCAATTGCCCTATCCTTATTTTTTAATTATCTTTAAGTAATTAATTAAAATAATAAAACAAACATACCCTTTTCTATCTTATCTTTCAACCTATCTCTTATTTTTTAGTGACTCTTTATGATTACTGATAAAAAAAGACCATATTTACTTTTATTATTATATTAATCTGCATCTATAAATACCAGTCATTATATAATAAATATAAAAGTTCTACATTCTATACAATTACTTCAACACAGTACTTGCTTGATAATAATAAAATAAAATAATTTATTAAAATATTCTAATTATTAAAAATTAATAAGAATAATAAAACATTCTTTTAAAAACTGTGAAAGCAAATAAATGATTTTTTGCTCTAATAATTTTTATAATCATTTATGATTTTGAAAACTTAAATTTACTAACATTTTTTTCTACAATTAGTGAGTAAATTATGAAATTTAAATAGGTTATTATAAATAAAAAAAGTTTATCTAAGATGTAATAGTTTTTAAAATCTATTTTTTAATATTCCTTTATAAAAGTGGTAAATATTTGAATTGCAATTCATTTTAAAAATATGTATATTGGAAGTAATACTGAATCAATTAGTTAAATTAAATGTTCCCTAATTCCATAAGGATAAAATCTAAATCATTCAAATAGTAATATTGTAAAAATACAAATAAAAAATAAATAATTTTTTAGTATTGATTTATCATATTAGTTTTATATTATTATTATTATAATTTTTTTAAATTGAATAAATGATGATTTATATTTTTACAATAATTTTTATTTGTTTTTAAAGAAATTTAAACCAGATAAATTATTTTCTTTCTTATTTTTAAATAAACTATAGTCTCAATATGCTATTAATTATATATAAGGAAAAAAATCATTATTTATAAAAATATCTTTTATTCTTAAAATTTTCCTTATTGAAAAAAAAATTAACTTAAAATAATTTTTTGGAAATGAAAATAATTGAATTTTGGTAAAAATAAATTACTATGTATAATAAGAATTGAAAGTAACATACTAAAATAAAAACAAAACATAAATTTATTTACTGATTTAGAAATTTTTAATTTACTTCATCTGATTACATTATTTCCTGCTGGAATTCCAAATTTAGAATTATTATTTTACATCATTTTACGTAAATCTTCTTCATCATCTTCATCATGGTCATCTAAATGGTTGTTAAATTGGCTTTTCTAAGGAGAATTAGCAATGTATGAAGGATTTTAATTTAAAACTGTGCTTCTATTTTAATTCTATACATTATTATTATCATTAGCTTAATTTTTTTAGTTAATCTTTGGCTGATATGGCACTATTTTCTCATCGTTTCCTTTTTATCCTATAGGAGCGATAAAAGATGGAGCAGGAAGTGGATTTAAATTATTTTATTTGCTTTTATTGATATTTTATTGAGTATTTCTTTTTTAGAAATCTTCAAGCAATCCTTACTTTACTGGTTTTGTATTATTCATTTAATTTAATTCTATTTCACCTGGTAAATTTTATACAGATTATTCTGGGTTTAAATACATAACAGACTCATCTTTCATAAAACCAGGTTGCATTCCACTTTAATTCATGTAGGATTAATCGTGGAGAGGATGGGAGCGATACTTTTCTGGGTCAATAATTGGCTTTTGTTTAGAAACAACAAATTGTTAAACACGATTCTTATCAATATAATTAATCATTCTAGTTGTTGAAAAGAAGTATGCAACCTAAGCTGCTAACGAGAAACAACTAACTACAATCAAAATAACTGAACTATTATATATTCTAACCATGTAGGAACGACATAACCCTTAATACATATTCTTAAAATCATCAACTAAGAAATTGCATTACATATCATTTTAAATACCATTGGCAGGATCAGAAACCATATCTAGTAGCTTTTTTGTCTACTATCTAAACGTAGTATTTATACTTTAATATAGATTGTTTGAGGAAGTTAAAAAAGAATTTGAATCAGTTTAATATTAATCAAAAGCTGGCTTAACATTACTTTTCAAGATGGTATTAAGTTGGTTTACATAAGTACTTAGTACATTAAAAAATGCTTAATATTAAGCTTTATAAGTATTTAAATTAGCGCAAGAAGATGTAATTAGATTCATTCTGTTAACAATAAACTATTAAGTAAAGGTAGGATTATCAAGTGGTATACAACAAGGTTAACTTATTGGTAGAGCATTTACACAAAGGACACTGCTAGCAGGACAAAATGATTAGGTGTAAACAATTGTATCACGAGAAAAAGCTCCACAACTTAAAGAGAATTAATTATTTTGGCTTCCATCAGCAGGCGAGTAATCATAATTAGACCAGCTATTAAGTTGATCTAAACTTTAAGAAGGTAAATCGAACTGCATAAAACCATTTGCTGAGGATAATTAAACAGATTCTTGAGAATAATTAATGTAGCTGCTTAGCTAATTTTACCACTGATAAATATATCTTGTATTAAGATTGGAAGTAAATAAGGAAGCGTTTGTATCTATATTGTTTAAGTCATTTTTTACTTCGTTAATCATTAAAAATTGTTATTACAACCCAAACATACTTGAAAGATTGCCATCTCCAAAAAAGCAAGTCTTTAATTAAGGAGTTCCAATGAAATTTATTAAAGAATCAAATTATGTTGAATCAGTTGCCAAAAGTTGCAAACCTTCACAATTTTCCATTAAACCTACAGATTAAGTATATCCTATAGCTGCTGCAGCAAAACTGACAATAGATAGAATTGAAACAGTACACCAAGTAATATAAACTCCATATTTTACAAAGCTAAGCTTACACCATAGTATAAGAGTAATTGATAATAGTCCAAGTAATCCAAATGCTATAAGTAATCCAAATATTGCATTTCCCCCGTTATAAACAAATAAGGCTGCATTTTAGGTCTAAAATAAATAAATGATTATGATGAATAAATAATAAGAATTTATATAAAAAATTAAAAAGAGTTTATAATTTTAATTATTTTGTAAAATAAATAAATAAATCTTTATTTATTATATTTTTTATTTTAATTTATTACATCTGTCATCTGTTTTTCAACAAGAGCTTTAAAGTTTTCTATTTTGGTTTTGAAGCTATTTACTTATTAAGAACCTTAATCAAATGCTGCCTTTATAGTAGGTGCATTATTACCAACATTAGCTGAGCTATCTCTAATTTTAGATAGTAGATTTCCCTAAAGTGCTGTTTTTGTTTAATACTCCAATTCTAGAGAGCCTAAAACCTTCGTTTAATCAAGCACTCCAACAGAACCTAAGATCTATGTTTTAAAGTTTAAATTGATTTAAAAAGAAATAGCATTTTAGAATTGCATTAGATATGAATATTTTTATATCCAAAGAAATTAATATTTATTTTTTCAAAAAAAATAAGTAAACATTTATTTATTTATATTTTAAATATTACAAATATGATATCTGGTTGCACTTATTTAGGGGTAACTCTATTTGGGTTAGGCAAAGTAACTTAATTTGAGCTTAGAGTTTGCATATTCTAAATTTCTAGTTGAAGATTATTAAGGTTAGACAAAAATGCTGTATTTTGGTAAGTTGTTAAATAAACATTTTATGTTGCAAGCAACTCATTTCCAATATTACGAATTTATGTTTCAATCGTTTCAACACCTTACCAATTTTACTGTGGATAACCTGATACAAGATGATTGACCATAGTTAAACTTTAACAGATACCTCTGTTCATGGATTTTATTAGTGTTTTATTAGTTTGTATTCCTGCAATACTAAATCCAAATAAAATAATTGTAGCAACTATAGCAGAAATAACTGAACACCATATAGACCAGTTAGCGTATGGTTCTTTTTCAACATCTCTTTTGAAACAAGAGATGCAACTTTAGCAAAATACTTGCATAGATTCGACAAAAAATATAATAAAAGCTATTATGCCTGCAATAAGTAAGCCAACATAAACAGCTGGTAAACTATCTAAATAGGAATTCCAGTCTTAATCTTTTTTCATAGCATCTAATGCTTTATTACTACCTCTTAAATTTTCCATATTAGTGACTGCGTTACGATAATCTGAGATATATGGTTAATTTGTGAGATCCTCTTAATCTGCACAAGTAGATGTCATTAAACTGATTGACTAAAGATTACGTTTATTTTTTGCTGAAAACGATTTATCATCATCATAATAAAATAGTTGAAATTCTTCTTAGCTTATCTATCTTATGTATGAAATAAGTAAATACGTTACAATTACAGTCCCTGATATTAAAAGTCGTGTATATTTCATATCTATTTATCTAAATACAACTATTAAAAATATTATATTTAAGCTTTATTGATACTTAATTATTCTATCAATCAATCTGCTTCTAATTTCAAAAATAAATGCGAGATATCTTTAATTTAATTTTTTTTTGTGGTTTGATTCTGCATTTTTCTAACGCTTAATAAGATAATAATAATCATCAAATATAAGTTATTAAGCTCAAATAATCAACTGATACTAAATCATGTTTTATAAATAATATTAAATCCATACATTATCTAAGTTTTATTGATAATATTTTTATTTTTATAAATTTTTGTCATTCTTATCAAATACTACAATTTCTCACCTGAATTAAGATAATCATAATTACAAATATAATAACTTATGTCTTATAATTTTTTATTTTTAGCACTTTATATTGAAAGAATTATGTATTTTATGGCTACCAAAAAGAAACAAGATTTATTAAAATTATTGTTTCTAAAAGAATGTTTTAAGAAAAAGATCTAAAGGTAAAATTGAATCTTAATTTAAAAAAAACTAAATCATTTATGATGCAAATATGCTATTAAAAAGATTTGGTTGCAAATCAAGCAAAAGCAATCAGCTAAGAAAACCAAAAAAGCAGAAAAATTTTCCAAAAAATCTTATTAATGAGTACAAGATTTTTAAATGAAAAAACTTATTATTTTTTTATAATTATTCAATTTATTTATTAAAGAATATTATGTTTGGATAATCATTTAAAAATTTTAAAAATTTCTTTGTCTTTTAAAATTTATTTATATTTCTTATAATGATTTAAATAATAATTAAAATATGTTTATTTTGATATTATTTTTAGTTTTTATAAAAGTTGATACCTCATACATAATTAAAATGATAAAAAAAAACTTTATAAATATAAATAAAATTTCTATTTCTTTGGATAAATGTAGCTTAAAACTTATTATTATTATAAAAGAATTACAAAAATTTTAACATTTTTAGTAGTAGGTTTGAAAATTCATTAGTTCTGAAAATAAACTGAAAGAGTAGTGTTTATTTAATTAAATAGCTTTTTTCTGCTATAAATAAGTAAAATTTAAATTACAGTAATCAATTACTTTATTTTGTAATAATTAGAGTAATTTAAAATCCATTAATGTTTTAAATCATTTGGTGTCTTAGGAAATATGTTTATTAATGTTGATTATCAAAGAATATAATAAATGCTACATAAATCATAAAAAATGTTAAAAAATAATATTTTCTTTGAAGGTTTAAGGTGTACATTATTTTATTACTTCGTAGATTGATTGGTTTTTGTTTTTAATTTGATTATGCAAAATTTTGATTGTAATTTTTATCTTCCAAATGATAAAAAAAATTGAGTTATTTGAATAATAAGAAAAAAAATAATTAGTTTTATTATAAAAACAATACGCATATTTATTTTGAAAGTAAAGAGTTAAGAAAAATGAAAACGGATAAGAATGAAAAACCTAATCAAAACTAAATAAATTTGATTGATTATTTAAATAAAAAATAAGGTTAGAATTAAAAGAATAACTTTGAAGACTAAGATAGTAGCTTAGAAAATAACTTATCTAATAATTCAGATCAAGAAGATGATAACTCTCAAAAAAATTAATGTGATTTTAATGTAACCCTTAAAGGTCGTTTCTTTTAATCTTTAACCATTTTTATAAATATAAGTTTGATCATTCTGAAAATTAAAATACAAAAATTCATAGGAATTAATGTATGAAAGACAACAATAAACCAAATAAAAATAGAAATAGTTCCTATAGTTCTAATAAGAAACATCAATCAAATAATAAATCAAAAATGTAATTAGTTAATCGATTTATCAAAAGTTTATTTTATAAAATACTAGAAACAATTTTCTCCCTTTTTCTTTCACCCTATTTCTATTTATTTATCTAACTTAATATTGAAATATAAAATGTTTTTCAATGAATTTTATTTCATTTATTAATTTCTAAAAAATTTATCATTGTATAAAAAAGTACTCAAATTAACAAAAAAACTACTGGAATGAATTATTATAGAGCTAATGATAGAATTACTTTCAAAAACAATATTTTTAATGGAGATGACGATGAAGAAGAGGAAACAAAAGATAGCACTGAATAGTCTGAAGCTACAAATAATCAACTTTCTGTTTTTACTTCTAATGAAGATAAATAAAACAGTGATTTTAATCAATAAGATTAGAACGGTAAATATAAAAGTAAAAAAGGAGGAGAAGAAGATGAAGAAGACGATGATTACTAAACTATAGATGATGACGAAGCAGTAAACTATGATTCGAATAATCAATAGTACCCTAGCTAGAGTAATCCAAGATCAAATAGTGAAATCATAAATGAAAGCGATAGCTTATAAAATTAATAAAATCAATAAAGATCTCATGAGGGTAATACTTTACCTCCTCGTTTGTAAAGTCTATTTCCAGATATAAACTAAAATATGATTAGTTTAGCTTCACCTAACCTAAACCATTCTCGAATTCTTCTTACTCTACCTTTCCGTAGCCGAAATGGGTTTGGCTTATCTTTACTTGACTAACTTAACAATGCTAGTTAAAGACCAAGGAGTAATCGAACTAGAAGAGACATTAATTCTTGGAGATAAAGATAAAATCATCATTAATATGCTGACATCTTTAATGATCATCATTCAAATCCTTTAGAAATTTAATCAACTGAATCTATTTAAACTCAGATTAAGTAGTTGACCTGTGCCCGTATTTCCTCTATTTTAATTTACTTTTTCTTGCTTTATTTTATGAGAAACTAAAATATGATATTTATTTTCGTTGCAACTATAATTTTGCTTATCATTTAGTTCTACATACATATTAAAAAGAAATAATTGGTATAGAGTAGAGGTAGCTAAATTCATGAAAATAGATATTTTTCATACAGACTTTCTGATTCTAACAATAATTAAATAAACGAAAATAATTAAGTCTTTGAAAATAATTTTGATCTTTATGATAGATTTCCACGAAGGGCAGTAAGAAGCAGAGGTTTGGAAAATTATATACGTGAATTAAATCATGTGCTTTTAATTAATACATTCTTTAGTATAATAAACTAAATTTAACAACCTGCAGCTGTTGGCTATAACGACCAGTAACTTAACTAGATAGGAGGTACCTATAAATACTCCTAACTTAAAATGCAACTTAAATTGGAAAAAAATTAAAATGTAGATCATGAATAAGCTAATGCTGATACGTAAGATTTAGAAGAAGATGATAATCAATGTGTTGTTTGTTTAGAAAAGTTTTGCAATGACGTTGATGTTAGGATTCTGAAATGTTAGCACTACTTTCACTAAAGTTGCGTTGATGAGTGGCTCAAAAAAAAAATGGAATGTCCTGTTTGTAGACAATGTCCTTTTAATGTAGAGGCTTTTACTGAAGATGTTTCTTCAAATGCAGAACCAAATTAAAGCAATTAACACAATTTTATCTCTCCAATTTAAATCATTCCATCTATCAGAACTTCTCCATTTACTCATTAATATCAAATAAGGAGCAATAGAAGGCCTAATATAGAGCCATCTTTGAACTTCTGACAGTTAATCCTTCTAATTATCATTCAAAAAAATTATTTAGGATAAATATCTAAGAATAAAAAACTTTATTTAAAATGATTTTAAATAAATTATTACTAAAAAAATAAATTAAAACTAACAAATGTTTATAATATGAAATTAATCAAAAACATTTGCTCTAAATATAAATAAATAAATAAATTTTTACTAAATTATATTTGAAATCATATTGAATATTTATTAATAACATAAGAGCGTATGCATATCTATAATTAACTAAATCTATATATTACTTTATACTTATTAGATTTAAATTATATTTAAAATATACTTTAAATTATTAAAAAAATTAGTTAAATAAATAAGATACCTCTAAATTTTTTGACTTGGTAGATTTCATTTTATCCGAATAAATATTTTAAAATAAATTAAGCTGGGCTTATTTAAAAAGCATTCATGTTACAAATCATCTTTAAATAAATTTGAAATAATAATGGATTTTAGCTTTAAAAAGTTAAGTTTGATAAAATTTAAAATAATTTACTTATTATTTGAATATTTTAAATTAAAAAATAGTTTGAAAGATAAAAAAAAGAATAGTTTAAATGATTATTAGACAAAAGCATTCATTTTAAAAGACTGCTAAAAATATTACATTTGATTTTTGGAAGCTGAAATGATTGAGTTTTAAAAAAGCTTATTTTTTTTAAATATTTAAAAATAAAAGATTGCATTTATGCATATTTGATCAGTAAATACCAATGAAAATAAAAAAGTATATTAGAAGTGAATCAAATGAATATATTAAAACTAAAATTTGCAGTTAATATAAACTTTAAGTATTTTTTTGTTTATAATTAGTTTTTTGCTTCAATTAATTAATTCATTAATACATTCATTCACTTTTAAAGAAAAAATTAAAAGTAATAATGAATATTTTCAAATTAATCTTAAATAGTTAAAAATTGATTTACAAAAAATTAAAAAAAATTAATTAATAGTTATCTCTCCTTAAAACTAAATAACATCAATTTTATAAACTTTAAATAGTAGAATTATAATTTACAAATTTTAGCCAAACAAAATTAGCATAGAATGTCAGTAAGATCAATAGTTGATTTAGTAGTGCATGTCTAGAACTTTAGAAATATAGATCTTTTTTATTAAGGTTTATATTTCTTGAAATTTACCATCTACCAATTGAAGGGAAAAGATGTAATTTGATTTATTTCAATCTTTCTTATTCAAATAATTCTAATAAGTAACTTATGAGTTAACCAATAATTAATAGTGATAAACATAACTTATATAGTTCTCATCGCTTTTAAATTGGAGTTTTGATATAATTCGATAAATCTCATTTTATTTTTTTATTAGCAAAAAATTTATGCACATCCATACAATATTACAGAAAATTACAAGCCTTATTCGAATGACTTTTAACAACCAAAAGGATAAAAATTCAATGACTCTTAACTGTTTAGGCCAGCAGGAATTATAGATTAAACAAGTTCTTTTTATTCAAAATCCTTCTTTATCAAATTTTGCGAGGAAGAGGTAGAGTTAAATGACTTTTGCCATTTTCGTATTGAATTCGATGCTGGAAAATAAGGAGAAAACCCTGAAATGTATATGGAAGTTGAACTTATGTTTTTCGATTGCATGAATAACTCAAATAATAAGAATACTTCTGGGTAAGGAGGCAAGGATGGATAAAAAGATTCAAATAAGAATGAAAATAAAGATAACAACACAAATAACACAACAAATTCAAATAAAAGCAAAGAAGAATGTTGCCTTTTTAATGAGAGCAAATCCCTTTCTACTATAAAATACAAATTAAACGATGTAACTGAAGGTATCCATGAATTTGTACCCCTTCTCTTTGAAGAAGCAAACTTTTGTGTTGCGAACGTTATATTTCACAGTATCAGGTTAGGTAAAATTAATTTACGTTACTATGTAGTTTATAAAAATTATATTTAATTTCTATTTTATCTAGATTACCGCTTTAGAGTCATCCCCATATAAATATCGGAGTTTGCTAAATACAAACCAGAAGAAAGACTTGCACTCATGGATATCTAAAAAAATTAATCAGCATCTAAAACTATATCTATTTATGAATCAACATAAAAACAGTTAGGAAGTAAATTAAAAATTATAATTTTTCAAATTCGAAAAACAAACTTTATAAATTTACAGATATTGATTATGAAGGCATGTACAATACTTTCGTCGAATCTTTGAAAAAAACTTATAGCAAATTGTATAATCATTACAATAAGATGAATAGTAGATGTATTCTTGATAAACAGAAAAAGACATTTAAGAAATACTTAGTAAAACAATTTTATTAAAATCTTGTTGTTAGAAATATGTTAAAAATAAAAAGCAACCCCCAAGCAAGCTAATAACTCCTGAGTATGTCACAAACGAAAATGTTAGAGAATATAGCTAAAGTAACAATCAAAATGGTAAATAAAATTAAAATAAAGATTTCAATACAGTCCTCTAAGAAAGATTTAAGTCAAGAGATCCTGAAACAATAACTCATTCAATACTAAATGAAGCAAATCTTATAAGTGGTTAATTGTTTTAGCTATGGCACAAGTATCTAGATCTCTATAAAATATCTCCCTTGTACTGTCTTGCTTTACTAAAGTTTGAATATTAATAAAAAATTAAAGACAGACTTTAAATATTTATAGTAAAACAAAAAATTAACAATTAAGATTTCAAAAAAATCCACGAGCAAAGCAAAGTAGAATAAAATGAAAAAGTTGCCTACAAAATGAGGCCTACCCTTCCCATTTTAGAGTCTAAATTTTTAAATGTAAAAAATAATCTTAAAAACTTTTAAATTCATATTTTATTCAATAAATATTTTGAAAAATTAATTATAGAAAGTAGAGCCAATTTATTCTATCTTTAAAACTGAACATAATCCAATCATATTTGAAGAACTTATTGTCAAGGATGTAAAGGAAAAGAATGAAGAAAATATAGTAATGATAAATATTTTAAAATGATTTAGTTATTTATTTATTTTTAAATAATATGTTTAAATTTTAAAAAGATTGAGTATGAATTAAATGGAGAAAGCGAAAACATTTATTATAAAGGTATCCATTTATTTGTCTTAGTCCATGGTTTCTAAGGAAATGCCTATGACATGAAAATGCTTAAAAATTACTTAAATTATATGCATCCTGAGGCAATGTTCCTTTGTTCAGTTTACAATGAAGACAATACAGAGGGAGATATTGATGAAATGGGTAAAAATCTTGCTAATGAAATTCAAACCTTTATAGCAGATAATTGCTCAGGTGAGAACTTGGGAAGGTAAAAAAACAAACTATATCAAAACTTATGGAGTTAATTAATACTTATTATATTTATATCACAGAATTAGTTTAATTGGTTTCAGTTTAGGAGGTGTAATTATTAGATCTGCTTTACCTATGCTTGAAGAATATTCAGAAAAAATGTATACTTTCATGAGTTTATCTTCCCCTCATTTAGGATTCATGTATAATCCTAATAAGATTATTGAAGCAGGTATTTGGATATTGAAAAGATGGAAAAAAAGTACAAGTCTCCAACAACTCACTATGGCTGATAGTAAAGACATAGAAAATACATTCTTATATAGACTTTCTAAAGCAAAGGGTTTGGGTTGGTTTAAAAATGTGTGCTTAGTTTCTAGTTACTAAGACAGTTATGCTCCATTTGACTCAGCAAGAATAGAAATGACTAAAGAAGCTATGAAAGATGCGTATTTATTTAATTAAAAGCCTTTTAAAAAATAAATTTAAACTTTTTTCTACTTCTAAATTTAAAGAAAAGGAAAACTGTACAACGAAATGACATAAAATATACTGAGTTAGCTTTCAACTAACTCTCTACATAGATTAGATGTCCACTTCCACATATAAGAAAAGTAAATATAAACAAACAACTTCAAATTTTATAAAATAAAAAATTAAAAAATAGAAATATAGATACTCTAATAGGTAGAGCTGCTCACATACAATTTTTAGAATGTCAACCTTTAATTAGGATATTAGTATAAAATTACGATACATTTTTTAGATGAGATTTTATGTAAATTAACAAAATAAGCATTTAAAATAATTGAGTTACTTAACTAATCTAACTAATAAACTACTACTAATTAATTAATAATTATTTACTCGTAATCAATCCATTCTATATATTTTAAATATGTATATAATTAATTAATAAATAATTAATAACATATTTTTAAAAAAGCTTTATATGACTGTATTTCTTGTATTTAATGTAAATAGCTTTTCTTTCAAGTATTTAATTACTTATTTTTAAAATTATTATCAATAATAAAATTTTGTTCTCTTTTTTCTTATAATCATTTGCTTAATTTTGGATTGTATTAGTCAATATATTTTTGCTGATAGCTTAATTAAGGTTTTTAATTTTAATTATAAGATGTGTAAGCTTAATTCAAAACTAAATTCATGTTTTCTTTAGATGGCTGCATCTTGTTTCTTACTTAAGTAAAATCATTTTGTTTTCCTTGTTAATGATTAATGTAAGGATTGCTTGAATCTTCAATTTCTTTTTAAAACTAATATTGTTAAGTTATTTAATTAAAAGTGTTTCTTTATTATGAATCTTTTCTTTAAATTGAATTTCCTTGGACTATTTGATTGTAGTTAATTAAATTTTGTTATTTTTGCATGTAATCTTAATATGACAACCCACCTGAATTATTCAGATTACTAATCTTATTATTAATATTGAAATTACTAATGTTGTTTTGAATAGGAGTCACATACTCGTTCCTCTATTACATAATTGGTTTATTTTAATACCCTATTGTGTTCAGATTATTTTTATTTATTTGGTTATTTTATTTATTTATCATGAGCTACTTCTACTATTAATATTATTATTATTGTTAAGGTTCGTTTGTTTAATAGTCTTTCTGGTAGGGTAAATTTTATTATAAATTATACTACTAATTATATTAAGGATTTACTTGAAATTAATTTATTTTATTAGACTCTCTAACTTGGTTTTACAATTAATTTTACTAAAATGAATCATTTTGTATATTTTCATTAACTTGTTTAAAGTTTACACAACTCCTAGAAATTTTTCTGATATCATCTTCATTATTTAAAGTGTTGCTCATTCTCCTCACTGATATTTCATTTTTTATCTCAGGAAAGCTTTCATAAATCAAGGAAAGCTCTTATTTGTTTATATTTAACTGGTCCTGTAAGTATTAAATATACTTCAAACTTTGTTTTCTCTAGAACTTTTTTATGAAAAAGTTTAGCCATTTATTTTACATGAAAAATATTACTTTGATTATTTCAATTTGTCTTTCAAATAGAGTCTCAGGATCTGCAAATAAAAAAGCAAATGATTATGCTTATTTCATATCCTAAAAGCTGTTTATTTTAGGGTCAGTTTATTTATTGCAAAATCCACAAATGACATCTGCTGAATTTTCAATTGTTTTATAACTATCTTTCCATCTCTATATACATTCTTTGCAAAAGATACATCTACAACATAAGTAATAAGCAGCCTTTTATTCTATATATAATTTTTACCTTTTAAAATAATATTTAATAATCTAGAAAATTACAAAAGCAAGCTGTGCATAGAGATTTATAAGAATCTTCTTTCATTAATAAATGTCTAAGACAAAGTTTTCTATTTAAAATTTTAAAAATAATTTATATAAATAAATTACATTTGAAACAAACTTTAATTTTATTCATGTCTCATTTTTAATTAAAACTTTTACTTAAATTCACTTTGTTTATAAACTTTATTCATACTAAAAATAAGTCAAAATTAGAAAATCTAAAACAGTTAATATCATTAATTTTATAATCCAAAATACAAGTAAGCTGATTTAAAATATTATTAATAAACAAATTCTCTCATTTAGGTTTGTTTGGATTAAGTTTTTAGTAATAATTATTCTTAAAAAATATCCAATCCTCTTAAACTAATTTTATTTATTGTTTTTAATTAATATAAAAGATAAACAAAATTTTAAAAAATATTCTAATAAAATTATAAAAAATATTCTAAATCATCTTTAGATTTTAAGGCTTAAAAATTAAGAGTTACATTATAAAATTTAATGAAAATTTGATTGATTTAATTTTTAGAAATAATTGATGATATTCATCTTAAAAAATTTTTATCATATAAAAAAGCATAATATTTCAACAAAGTTGTAAAAAAACTTTTAAAAATAATGTCTTTAATCATCAAAAACACTTTTATATGTTAAAAATTTAATCAATTAAATATTTTTTTTTTGAAGAGTTACCCAAGACAGTTTTTGATAATAAAGGTCATATTATTGTACGCTTATTTTGATTCATCAACAATTTTGAATAAATCTTTTATATTTTTAAATTTTTTATTGTTATTTCAATTTTAGAATGATATTTTATTATTATTTGAGTACATTTTCAAAAGTATTTATAAATTCAAAGAACATAAATTATTCTCTCCTCATTGAAAGAAGAGTTATTGATATAAGAAAATTTAGAATTTTGTTTTATTAAACAGCTACTGAAATTAGAATATCTTAAATTTTGGATCAAAATTTATGATCTTCTCTTCATAATAGTTTTAAATAATAAGAAAATTTATTTCTGTAAGCAGATGGGATAATTTTCAAAAAAATTGGATTATTAAGCAGATTAGATTTTTTTTATTTTTAATTTGTTAATTAATTCAGCAAAATTGTTTATTTTTATAATAAAATTAAATATTCTAATTAATTCTTAATGAAAAAAGAGTTAAAGATTCATTCTTTATGACTTCAATCGAAATAATTTTTAAAAAACTCATTTTTAATATTTTATAAATTCAACCTTTAATATTAAAAAAACAAATATTTGTTTTGCATAAAAGTATTTATTCTTCATTTATAGCTAATAAATAAAAATTTTTGGATTTATTTAGAAAATATCATTTTTATTATGTCAAATAGTTAAAGAATATTTTGCAATAACATAATTTTCTAAATGTGTTACATTTTCACCAGAAATTAATTTAGAATTATTAACTCTATTTTTTAATCTGATCTGACTTAAATTATATTTAAAGTAATCCAAAATAGCCATTATGTTTTAGGCTAAATTTTAAAAAATCAAAAATATTTGATAATTTATTCTATCACAAAATTTAAGGACAAATCTTCCAAAATATATATTAGATGTATCTTGTTTGTATTTATTGGAAGTATAATTTAAATAATAAATGATTAATGATAAACCACTCTTTTTTAAAACCAATTTTGCAACAATTAACCAAATAATCTCTTTTTTTGATCTCTATATAAATTTTTGTTAACAGCCTTTTAATTTTAATTGTAATTAATAAAAAAAATTATTTAGAATATTTAAACTCTATTTTTAAATATGATCTGATCTGACTTAATTTATTTTTAAAGTAATTCAAAATAGCCATTATATTTTAGGCTAAATTTTAAAAAAGCAAAAATATTTGATAATTTATACTATGACAAAATTTAAGGTCAAATCTTCAAAAATATATTAGATGTATCTTGTTGGTATTTGCTGCAAGATAATGATTTAACATATACTTGATAAAAAAAATACTACCAATCAAATACAATTATAAAAAAATTTAAATAGTAAATGATTGATGCTAAACCACTCTTTTTAAAAACTAAATTGTAACAATTATTAATCAAATAATCACTCTATATTTTCTCATATAAATTTTTGTTAAAACAGCATTTTAATTTTCATTGTTATTAATATACAAAATTATTTTAATTTCAATTTAATATATAGTGTATCTCGATGAAAAAATTGAGGACATGAAATGTTGAAGATTTGAAAATCTACTAAAAATTTAGGGATGAAAAAAATGTTAAATCTTTTTATAAAATTGGAAGTTTTTATTTTATATCAAATGAGGTTTAAATGATAAAAATTTAAAGTATGTTTTCCTACATTATATTTTAAATTAGATTACGTCATAGTTAATTAAGTCAATTTATATATTATCTTTATTTATATTATATTATAAAAATTCAGTTAATATTCTCCTATAAATAACTGCTAACTTTAAATAGAAGACTGGATATACTATAAAATAAATAATTCAATAAAATATAAAAACTATTAATAAACACTAGAACTGAAATGCTAAAAAAAGTTATTTTATCCTTATTAATAACATTTATTTTACTTCAAATAGTGAAATCTTCGAAATGCACCTGTAATTAAGGAGATTTTTGCTGTTGTCCAAATAGTATGCAATGCTGCAACACTCCTGGAAAATGTTGCTGTGTAAACTAGTATGGTGAGATACTCCAATCTCTGGCTCATTAATTTGTCCCTACATTGTCTGTTTAAGAAAAACTATCTAATAAAAATAACAATCTATAAGGCCGTTGTGCTCCTGATTGCTTTTTTGGAAATATTTGTGGTGATTATTGTAGATGTGATTGGCCAAATTGCACTGAAATTAGACCAAAAATTGAAGAATGAAATTAATTATTATGACTAATTAATACAAAAATATAAAATATATTATATATTACATATAAAGTATATAAAAGTAAAACAATCAAAATTTCGTTAAAATTTTATTCAATTTTTAATTAAATTTCTAAAATATAAAACAAATAATTATCTAAAAATAAATCATTAAGAAACTTTTATGTTATAATATTTATTTTAAAACTCTAAAAGTAAGTTAAGGAGAGGTTATTTATCAAAAATTTCCACTCTTTATTAATAAATTGAATTTAAAAAAGTATAAACTAAAATTAATTTATGATTTAAGTTTTTGATAAAAAATACCCTTCTTTTAGTGTTTGAATTGCCTAAAAATTAACAATTATAATTAAAATATAGTAAAAAATAGCAATCATTTAAAAGATTTAAATTTTATATTAAAGAAAATTATTTTTAGTAGAGAAATTTAACAAAGTTTTATAAATTGTTTCATTTAAATTATAACACAGAGATAATATGTACTAAATAATAAATTGAAATTACTAATTATTATATAACTCATTCTAGATCCCATTTATATTTACCTTTTGTAGTATCTCCCTAATAATTCCTTTTACTATAATTTTGATTGTAATTACTAGTAGGAGCTGATGAGGAGAACAACCATTTAAAAATAAATATCAAGAAAACAAATAGTAGTAAGTAGGATACCGTAGTGTAAATATTGGCAAATCTTCTTAAATTAGTTTAAGGATATTTAGCAATTGGGTTAACAGGCTAGAAACCATTTTTAGCATAGTCAATAAAGAAAGAAATTTACAAGAAAATGTAATATAAAAATTTGCTTTCAAATGAAGCTAGAGGTGCTTTCCAAGTTTAGAAATTATATGAAGCTCTTCTATTTTCAATTTCAAATAATTTTCCTTTTCTTCCGTCTTTATCATTTCCTTAAGGGTCTTTCATAGAATTATAAAATGAAGATCCTCCATTTTAATTAGATCTCTTTAAAACGAAATTTAATTTGTTCTTGAGATAAGTTTATATAACGAAAGGATCTATTTCGTATTATGGAAGAAATTCTATATCTTCTATTTCATTTCTTGGCTGTTATTGTTAATTTTTTTAGTTGCTTTTTTTATTAAGGTATTGTTCTATTTAGTTGTTTATTTTACGGACACATTCAATAGATTCTGGGGTGATGAATACTCTATAGATATCTTCATCATTTTCTCTAAGCAAGAAAAATTCATTTGCATGTTTTATTGTAACAATATCAAGGCAGTTTAATCTAGTAATTAAATCTTCGTCTTTGTTTTATCCTTTATAATCGTAGCTCATACTTGTGTTAAGGGATCTCTCATCCATATATCTTTTTTTAAAGACTGTGTCTATAAGTAGAGACAACATTAAAAAGTCGCTTAATGATAAATCTTTCATCACTGAAAAAGCTGTGATGAATTTATTCAAAAGAAGTGTGCATGAAGTTACTAAAATTTTGAATCTAACTTAGGATAATTCTTCGGTAAAATATCCTATTTACTCTCTAAAACTAGTACGAATCATTTATTGTTAAGTATAGCTTCCATAAGAGTAGCGAGAATTCTCCTAAGTATAAAGACTTGGTAATAACCTTTCGAACTCTTAATCATTTAGACAGTATTGAGTTAAGAATGGTCTTGATGGGATGTCAACAGGCTCTTCTTTGTACTAACTTTTTATTGCAGAGCCATTTTATCCAGTTGAGTTTGAGTTGAGATTTTGGTTAGTATTCTAATTTGAATAGTTAGTTGAGTTAGATAAATTTCTCAGATTTGCTTAATTAAATAGCTATTAATCAATTTAATTAAGGTAATAAAACAAATTATTTTCACAAGCTTCTTTTTCAAAGTATTTGTGGTGACCAATTAAACTGGCAAGGAGTCTACCTTGGTCATAAAGAGTGTCTTTGGATTATTTAGTAACATCCTTCAACCAGTCATCCAAACCAATTGATAGGAAATAACTAATCTTTTTAAAGAAAAGTGTTAGCATATTGTCTTCTCCATGATCACGGAAATATTCAAGTTAGAATTAGTCAGCAGTAATTTCCATATTGTTGAATTCTTGATATTTTTAATATTATTAACGCAATCTGCTAAAATATTGTTAAGAAGATTTAGAGTATTGATTATTTCCATATCCCATAAAAGAATTGGCAGGGGCACCAATGTATGGAGACTAAAAATTAGAAATTGTACTTTGTGACACTCTGCTAGATTAGTTAAAATTAGATTAAGAATTACGCAAGCTGCCTTAGTTTGAGTAATAATTACCATATAGAGAGGAATTACCTCTAATATTACTATTTGTTGCATTTGAGTAGATTGACTAAAGTGTGAGCAACTTAAAGTGACGTCTCTTAAAATGAAGTAAAATAAGAAGAGCTTGGAAAATATAATTAGAATAAACAGTAAATGAATCCTTGCTCTTTTTAGTGTAAAATTCTTTTATATTAGATATTTGCATATAATGCTACAAAATATTATTTTTGCTGTATCCGCTAAAATTGTCAACAACATCGTTAGCAGATTGCATCAAAGATTGCTGTTAATTAGCTTGTCCAGATAAATTTGCTAAATTATGCTGTTACTAATGTATTTAAGATCCTTAACCAGTGCTTAGTTTAGAACCACCATTTATCTAACTATCATACATATTTCCCATTAATTTAGATTCGTTAGAAAGAGTTGTTTGCTCGTTTTCGATAGGGTTTAGTGATTTTTTCCTAGTTGGTAAGTTTTATCTAACTTCCCTGTTTTGCAATCCATCTAAAATAGAATAATGAAGTAGAATTTCTATGTTTTATGGATGAATGTTGAATATTTGCTCAACTAGTAAATGCTCTTCTAAAATAAAGCAAAACTTTTTGAAAAGAACTTTTTTATCTTTATGCTCTTGCATTTGGGATAGAGAGAGGAAATCAAAATATTCAAGATATCTACGAGTAAGCAGTAAGAAAGGATTTTGCATGAACTCAATGCTGTAAGGATCAGTGTGATTATCTTGTATTTATCTTACATTTTTGAGATTAGAAGATGGGCGGAAGTTCTTTAAATTAAATGCTAAAGCAAACAAAAACCAGTCACCTGGATTGATTACAATAAACTAATCTGTTATATGGGAAACTTCGCTGGAGAAGAGGTTTTAAAATCTAGTCAAACTTGGATGTTTCCAAACCTAGAATATTTTAAAATAATAGCTAAATATTTTTAAATATTATAATGATTTAATTCTATGAAAAGCAATAATAGACAATAAAAAAAAGAGAGTGATTCTACTTTAATTGATAAAGATATTTTATTTGCATAAATTCTCAGTATAATTTTTTTTTTTGGTTATATTAAAAATAAAATTAGCTATGTGATTTAGTTCAAAATAAGTATTTCTAACTATTATTTTTAAAAACTTACACAATTTTTTCTTAATTCAGTTATGTGATCAGGGAGTACATTTGATAAGAGCTAGAATTTTTAACCTTCAACTAATTCTTTTTCAAATAAGAGTGTGTAAATATTCTCTTTATAATAACAATTTTCAAGTTGTTAGCTAATAATAGGAGGGCTAAGCAGAAGAATAAGTTATCTCATATTTTCCTCTGAATTTACTATTAATAAATAATATTTTAATTCAAAATGGCTCAATTATTCTTTAAAATATATTTAGTTATCCATAATTAGATGCTCTGTCTAAATATTTAGAAATTTTTATATGCTTTTTTAGTTAATTACCTGTTGAAAAACGTGAAGGATTGTTTAAATCTTCAAAAGACTGAGTTAGCCATCCCTTTTTGTTTTCGGCTCCTAAAATAATGTACAATATGTTAGGTAAATCAGTTAAAAAATCTCTTGATTTCTCAGAAACAGGATCTTATGAAATCTATTCAATGATATTCCACAAGTATTAGATTCCATTACTAATACTTTTGTCTTTTAAAATTTGAGAATGAGTCATAAATATGGTGCTTTTTAATCAATTTCAAATTCTTCTTAGCTTATTAAATGGCGTCTATTTATATTTAAATCTTTATTACTTTTTACTAATTATTCTTAAGTTTACTGGCTCTTTGCTTGAAAGAAAATGCTAAATATTTTCAGAAAAGATTGTTGGTTGCTTTTAGTTTTTGTATCTTTTTAAGACACAAATTTAATTTATCAAATATGTTTAACTTAATTATTTATTTTTTAACAAATTTGAGTTTAAAGCTCTTCTTAACACTTCAAATTAAGAAATTTCATATCCCTCCTATTTATCAAATTTTATAGTAAAATCAACTTTAAGCATCTAGTTAGCCAATTGATTTTCTTAATAAACTAAGGACTATATTCAATACAAATTTCAATTTCTTTAACTATAAAGATAATATTTGTTTGTTATTAAACATATTTATTTTATTTATTTTTTAAAAACAGATTAAATTTTCAAATCTAAATAAATCTTTTTAAAAATTTTATTGTTTATAAATTAAAAATTTGCATTTAATAATTATGGATGGTAATTCTATTTAAACTTTTAAATACAAAAATGTGATATTTACATAAAAATTTAATTTTTTATTTATTCCTTTTCAAGCTGCTGTAACAGACATTACAAATATTCCTCCATCTTCACCACCAAATGCGAATTTGTTAGAGAAATTACCAAAATCAACAGAATATATTCCCTTTTTAAATCCTGTTACGTATCCATAAGGTTGATAATCTTTATTTTAGTCAAAGAGCCTAACTTCATTTAAACCAAATGAACCAGCAATAATGCTATCTGAATTGCATTTGCTGAATTGACAACCATAAACAAAAGCTCCAGTGTCTTCTTTTTTACCATAATTCCAATCAACTGTTCTAATTAAAGTTCTTTACTTAAAATCCCATATTTGTAATTAATCTCTAGATCTATTTGCACCTGTTAAAATATGTCCATTTTGATAATCTAATGAATCACCTATATTTTTATTGCAGAATTGTTAACTTTTAATTTATTTTAAATATCTACCTCCTATTTTGGGTCCTATAAATCCTCCTACTGATTTCCCTTGTCTTATATCCCATATATGTACATTCGTATCCCAACCTCCACTTATGAATAAATTAGGATCATCTGGTAAAAATTTTAATGAAAAAATTCTGTTATTGTGTCCTGGATCTTGCCATTCTGAACCTTTGTACTCTGATACTAAAGATTTTTCATTTTCATCATATAATCTAATCTAATTTGATAATAAATTGAAATAATAATTTTTTAATTTAATTTTACTTTATTATCACTTCCAGAAGTTATAAAGCGACTTCCATCTTTGTTGTAATCTATAGAGTTAATTTGATTTCCTTTTTCTTCTATCCTATTGAGTTCCTTTCCTAAATTTATTTATATATTTTTTATGGTTACATTAAAAATAAATAAAAAAAATAAGTGATAGATACCTGTGGTTACATGCCAGTGTACTAACTACCCATCAGCTCCTCCTGTCACTATTACATTCTTAGTAGAGGCCGAAAAAGCTGTTGGTCTCCATCTATATTTTATATAAAAATAAACTTTGATTTTATTTAATAAAATTTTATTCTACCTTAAACAAGTAGCTGGCACATTCATATTTGGTTTTCCTGTTTTTACTTTTACCTTAAGCTAATCTTTAACAAATTGTGAAAAATAAAATGATGAAAAGACTCTAAAATTATTTACCTGAATGCAAGTGAAATATTTTTAGAGATCCATCTCCACAAACTATTTTATTTAACAAAAATATATTTTTTCATTAAAAAACTTGACAATAATTTATAAAACGCAATAATAAAACTAAATTGATAATAATTATATGTAAGATTTGCAAAATTACCAGCAGCAATCATTGTGTCTTCGGGATCAAATCTTAAATTCATAATAGGAGATTCTGTATTGAAAATGTTTTTTTTGACTATCTTTTTACCCATTCCTTTAACATCTACAACGCTAATTAAAATGATAAATTTAAGAAAATAATTTTGAAATTTTTTAAAGAATAGAACAGATAAAAACAAGGTCGAAGAATAAATTTTTATCAAATCCTACAATATCAATAAAAATAATTACTCATGTCTAAAATAATCATACTCAACAGAGCTTTATGTATCCATTATCTTGATTTTTGTTTTAATTGTTGTACTATTTATTTAATCTACTTTTAATTAATCAATCAAATGATTATAATCAGATGTTACTACTAATAAGATAGATTTCTCTAATTTCGAATTTAAAAATTAACTACAACAAATACTATCATTAGATATTAATATTTGATCAACATTAAATATTAAACTAAGTAAAATAAATATAATTATACATACAAATTAAATTAATACTATCAGATTTCACAAAAAGTAAGTATAATGTTAAATGTTAATTAAAAAAATAAGATTATTAGTTTATTAAATAGTTTTAATAAGATTGTTGATGAGTTATTTTTTTTATTTGTAAAAACATAAAAAAGTTTGAAACTGTAAATAAAAATAAAGTAATTTTTTATCTTTAAATTATTTTGAAAGAGTAATTTATATTCAATTTTAGACAGATAAGATTAAAATTAATTGACAATTTATTATTAATTATTAAATATTTATAATTTAATTATTATTTATTTGAAAATTTATTTCTTCATTAGTATTTTTAATGATGGAAATATCTAAATATTCCAAGCACATTTTAATTTTAGCAATCTAATCCAATAAAATTAAATAAATCAATAAATATCTTTATGCTATCATGAGTAAGTTCGGGAACAAGCACTTCATATTTTCCTAAATAATCTGTTTCTTCTCCTTCTGATTCTTTGAAGGAAACGTTCCTTTGAAGCTGCTAATGAGAATAATCTGAGGTACTATCGTCTTTTTGGAAGAAATATGATCCAAAATCTTCTATTAATTTTCTAAAGTTTTTCTTGTGTGATTTATAATCTCTTTCTTTTGCTGCTTGAGATTTTTTGTCAGACTCAGTCATATTTGTCTTTAAATCTAAACTTCTCTAGAACAAGTTGTCTAATTCAACTTCGCTCATATAAATCTAATTTTAAAAATAAAAAAATTATTTAATTGTTTAAATTAAAATATCTATTTTTACAGAACCATAAAGAACATCTTTTTCTTCATTAATAATTATTTTATTTATACTTTCTTGGTCAACATTTACAATCTTTGTTTTATCAAGAGGGCCAAGGATATAAAGGAATTTGTATTCTTATGCTTCGCGATAATAAATACTTTTAACAAGTATGTTTCCTATGATTTAATTTTAAAATATAACTTAATTGAAAAATTATAAAGCTTATATTACCTGGATTTATTGTGTAAGTTTCGATGCTTTAAATGATGTATTAGCTTAAGTAATTAGGGAAAGACTATTTCAAGAATCTGTGAAGCTGGATTTTTAAATTTTAATAATTATTAAACATAAAAAATATTTGAAAAATTAGCTACTTTAGAAATTTTGTTTTAGATGTATGGATTGTTGAATGTGAAAATCTAAGCCTCTCTTTGAAGCTTAACTAATTGCATTAATAAATCTACTGTGTTCACAGTGCTTTTCTTTTTTGTTTCATCAAATAAGACAACTCCTTCGTTTGCTACCATATTATAATCCTTTTTTTAAATAGAGTTTTTACAAACTTTTAAGATATTTAAAAAAAATTTACTTTTTTGTAAAGATAATCGCTTTCAATAACGTCAAAGTAAATATCCAAAGGAAGTTTTTCAACACTAGTCAAAGGCTGCTTTGCTTCTTCTGTGAAAAATTCTTTTAATTTAAACTTCAGATCTGAGACTTTTATTGAGTGTTTCAAATATTTAAATGCTTCCTATTCTAGTTTATGCGATTCGCTTTAGTCATTTTTATTAAGTGATTCTATTTCTTAGCTAATTAAATTCTCTTGTTTATCTTTATTTATAATCTCATATAGCTGTTGTATTTCTGATAAATCAAAATACTATATAATTTATTGGTTGATTTTAAATTATTAATTCATTTTTATTTTAAATAATATATTTAATTTACTTTATATCCTATTCTAGGTTTGTATTCTCTCTTTAACAATGATATCTCAGAGTTTTCAAGGAAAATATCTTCACTTAATCTATTGAATTCCAAAAATAAACATTCTCCTCTCCCTAAAATTGAAAGGGCAGAGTCAAGACGACGCTGAGATTCATCTAAATATCCAATCAAAGATTCTTTTAGGAGCTGAGAGAAATTGGGAACATCTACTAAGTACTTATTTCTGCAAATGTCTCTATGAGGTTTCTTTGTGGCGAGTTTTCTATACTTCTTTACTATTTCTCTCTTTTCTTCGTCACTGCTCTTTTTGCCCTCAACATACCTATAAAAATAAATAAATAAATAAAATAAATTAAAAAATAAAATTTAATAATATAATTACTTCTTAATATACTCTCCTTAAATCTTGTAGATTTCTCTATAGAATGAGTATTTGTGATAAAGTGCAAACAAATACTACAGTTCAATACGGAAGGAAATAGGGATGATAAAGTTTATGCTTAACTCATTGATCTTTTCGAGTTTTTTGAGAATTTCTAACACATTTTCATCTAATTCACTACCAATAGTGTAAAGTGTAAAGTAGCAGTTTACGTATCTCAAACAAGCTCTCATGTAAAGTGCTACATTTTTTATATAGCTATTGTATATATGCTTAGTGTTATTCAAAATTTCAATATCTAAATTTGCATAGGTGTATTTAACTTCTTTCATTAAATCGTATTGAGGAATGGGATTCAAAGGATCAACCTATTCATTAATTATTTAAAAAATGAGTTAGATAATTACTTTTTAGATAAAAAATGTACTTTCATATCAGGCTTTACTTCTTCAACCTTAACTGCTCCTTTCTTATCATTTTTTTTAGCTTTAGGATCTTCTTTACCTTTTTTGACATCTTTTTTAGCAGCAGCTGCATTTGCACCTTTTGTATTTAGTAGTAATCTGTCTGTTTTTTTAAGGATTTCTTCTTCAATTTCAGAAGGGAGCTGCAATTCAGTGCAAATTTATACCCCATCATCAAATGCTTTTTTATTTGCATTTTATAGTTAATAATCATAACTAATTTCTTCAAGAAGCTTTTCAGCCACTTGCATAGCTTCCTTAAAGAGATTTAATGCACCTTAGTGGAACCCTCTTTCATACACTAGCTCACCGAAATCACCTAAAAATATGACATATTCAGGAGTGTCATTAAGGCTATTCTTTTCTAAATGAATTTTTGTTTCTTCAAACTTTTTATTTGCTTCAGAAATCTTTCCTTTCTTCACAAGTAGTCTTGCAGTAAGCTATTTTAAAGTGTTTAAACATATTTACAGATAAATAAAAATGATTAATTAATTACCTGCTCAAGTAAGTCATAATAATAGTAATCTTTGACTTATGTGCAGTCTTTCTTTGTTATTTCTATTAGAGTTTCACAATCTTAAAGGCGATTTTGCTTAAATAAGACCAAGCACATTTCTGTCCTTAACTTTATCCACCAGAAAACACTTAAATGTCTTCTATATTTCCTTTCTTCTGCCTTCTTAAGCATATCAGATCTTTCCTTTTCTAGTTCCTCTCTTCTCTTCTTTTCTTCTTGTTATTTATTGGCTTCCTGTTATAAATCGACTTTTTCAGGTTTTCCACCCTTCTTCTAGTCTTTCTTTTCAGCAGGAGGCTCCTTTTTAGGAGGAGCAGCATTTTTACCTCCTTTATTTAAAATATAATTTAAATGAACTTAATTTGAATAAAATTATTAATCATCTTACCTTTAGCAGGTTAACCAGCAACAGCCTCTTCTTAAAGTTTGATGTTATCCAAATCTAAATTTTCTTATTCTTCACCACTCTCAACGTATCTATATTCATTGCAGTACTAAAATAGATTGCTAATTCCATAACTGAGAATATGGTAACAACGAGTAAACAAATTTTATGCTTAGTTAATTTTGTGTATTAAGAAACGAGATCTACACATCATAGTTAGTCTTTCTTCTCTCTTATTCACATAATCAAGAGATTCTTCTTTATTTTTCAAGTACTCTTCCTAGAAAGTTAACATTATTTAAAATTAATGAATTAGATACTCTAAAAATAAAATAAATAAATTTTTATTACTTCATCTTTCTTGTCTATTTCTCTCTTGGCAAATAGCTCTCTTCTTTCTTATTTAAGTTTGTTGAGTGTATTCTCTGCATTTTATTCACTCTACTAATCTTTTCCTGAACCACTATGATTTTAAAGATAATAAGTATATTTCTCAATTTACCAGTCAATTAAACCGATTTCCTCTTCAAATGATATCTTTTTTAACAATTTTCTCAGCTAGTTTTCGCTTTACTTTAAGTATTCATTTCTAATTTGATTAAGCTCAAAGTTTTCAAAGATTTCATTTTCGTTTACGGCAAACAATAGATTAGCTCTAGCATACTAGAAAAGATTTACATTTAATTACCCATATTTAATGTGGAAATTTTTAGGCATTAAATCTCCTTTGTTTGCATTTTAATCTCCCTTTGCATCACCTTTTTGAGGTGCTGATTCAGATTTTTCTTTTCCAGCTAGTATTTCAATGATTTCTCTGTTCTTCTCTTGATAGGGATGAGATGAATTGTTGAATCCTTCACCTTCTGGGAACCAGTTGTTTCCTATAAATATATTATTTTTATAAAGTTATTTTATATTTTAAAAATTAATTACCTCTTTCTCTCATCAAGTATTCAGTGGGTTTTAACCAACGAAGAGGAAGATCTTTCTCTTTTATAACTTTTTAAAGCTAAAAGTAACTCTCGTTGATATATCCTATGTTGGCTAAAGCTATAGATTTCATTATCTTTGCTCTGACAGAGTAAAAGGCACTCTAGCAAACGTCTGTTGCAATGTAATCCATAAGACACAAAGGAGGTAATGCTTTTAAACTCATTTCATTATCAATCAAATTCCAAGCAAGTCTCTCCATTGATAGCAAAGTTTCTACAGGGTCAAGAGTCCATGGATCTTTAAAAATATTTTCTTTTAAGCATAATTCTCTGAGACGATAAGTACCATATTCTACAGCTATCAAAGGATGAGGTAAGCTTATGCGGAAAATAGAAAATACCATTTCAGCTGCAAGAAGTGTGGCATCTCTCATTTAATTTAATTGCTTGAAATAGAAAATATAGCCTAAATTACAAATTATATTTGAACCAACTAGCATTTCAGTTATACCTATTTGACGAGCTATAGTCTTACTTTCATCACGGACTTTTAATCTATATTCTTTCAAGCTTGAAGAATTATTAAATATTTTATCCACAGCTTCCTTCCACATATCATCTCCTGTAGGATTAGTTTAAGACTAAGAGAATTTCAAATTACCAAATTCTTTCTTTGCTAAAGTGATAGCAAAAGTTTTTTCAGATTTTGATTGAAGAAGTTTTAAGATCTTTTAGAATGTTTCTTGGAACTGAGAGTTTTGTACCTTTGTTATATTTTTCTTGAAATATCCTTCCTCTCTTGGGAAGATATCTTCAATGAATTTTCCAATATTTTATACCTTAAGTTCATTTCCAAAATTTCTAAGATCTAAGCGAACTTGCTGAAGAAGCTTAAGAGCTTCATTCATTTCTCCAACTTATTGTATGAGATTAGAGCTGAGATTCATTTCAGCTAATATAAAATCTTCTTTTTACTTCAGAAGTTTTATTTATTCTTCTAATTCCTTTTTAGTATTTTCGAATTTAATCTACTCTGGTGGGATTTCTCCAGTCATCATTGCAGCACGAGTTTTGCGACGTCCTTTTTTCCATTCATTATATAAGCGCTCTTCCTCAGCAAGCTCATTAATCTTTGCTATTGTTCTTAAATTAGCTTCTTTATATATTTTCTTTTATGCATAATTTGTAAAGGGAAGAATATATTTGCTATAATAATGCTAAGAGTCATTGCAAAAAGAGCGAGTTATACCAATGAGAACATTCCATTTTTACTCTACCATTAATACCTAATTTTATATTTTATAATTTAGTTTGGTTTGTTTAATAAAATAATAGTTACCTGAGTAGTAAATGCAACAACATTAGCTAGAACTTCAATATTTAAATCCTTTTCATTATCAAACCAAAACTCCTTTGAGCTTATTATTTAATCTAACTTAGGTAAAATATATGAATTTGGGTTGCTGATATCAACTTAATGAATGGCTGCTCCTCCGTATTTTACCTTTAAATCTTGTTCATCTTCAAATTAAACGCGAGAAGTTTTTCCATCCTGTCCTTGATAACGCATAGATTGACGTGTTTCTAGAGGCACCTTCTAATTCTGTGTTTATTTATGTCTCAAAGAGTAAAGTCCTTCCTTTTTGACATTTGAAAGCAGCTCTATTAAACAATAGCTGACAATTGATAAATTAATCCAAATTTTATTTCCTTGACTAATAAAAGGGTTAACCATTTCAGATACAAGAATATTGTATATGTAAATTGCTATGTTTTGCACACTTAGCCAGGCTTTTGCATTTGTAGCATGAATGACTGCTAAGCTAAGATGTTCAAACACTTATTCCATATTTTTTATAAAAGCCTTTTCATCTTCTTATACTGACTGAGGATTCTTTTTAATTTGAGTTATTTGAGTTTCTATTTTATTGACATCAAGTAAGAACACGTTGTAGTAGATCTCTCTTGTCATCTCCTTTGAATCATTGATTGCTAAAAATAATTAAGGGAAATATAAAATTAAAAGTTTGTATTTAAAACTACTTACTTATCAATTTAGGTTCGGTATCGTTCTTTTAAGGCTCTGGGTCATATTAGCGATGCTTAATGAATGTAGTTAAAGCTTTTAAGAAGTTAAATTCATAGTGCCATAAATTCAAATATTAAAAGCGCTAATGAAGAGAAATAAAATATGATATTTAATTAGTAGGTATATTTTGCTATGACTACATAGGAGTAACAGCATTGTTAGTGTTTTGATATTAAACTCCATAAAGTTCAAGCATCTCTTCTTTGTAGAGATAAGAGTGTAATTCTTCAAGTTTTGAGAAATATTGTTAAAATATTTCTATAGCTGTATCTTCTCCTTATTTATTAGTTTACTTTTCCATTATGAGATAATTTAAAATTGCAGGATACCATTCTATGTTATTTTCAATTGCTTTTATTTTGAGATCTTTTATATCTTTAGCTAAATTAAATGCGTCAGATAAACTTGCAGGATCTACTGTAACTTAAGCTATACAATTGCTGACGTAGTTTGCTGAAAAACCTGCCTCTAACATTCTGCGGAAAAGCTTGCAACATATTTCTAAATATCTTGGATTAGTTTTGAAATTAGCTTGTACTTTACCAACAAAAGCAGATTTCAAATCTTTAAAGCATTCCCAGTAATCAAAGTGCTAAGATAAATTTTAGATCATTCTGTCCTTATCTTCTTAACTATTTTCAACAAAGGGTAAATATCCTTCAATCATTTCTTTCCAGCGATCAATAAATCTTTGCACATAATCACCATAATCTTCTGGGAAACTTAGTAAGGCTTCCTCAAGGAAATTCTATACAGTTGTTTATGTTTCGAAAAGCTCACGAATCAATTTTTTCACAGTCTTTTGTTTTTAAATTTGATCAGCTTGATTTACAGCGTCTTATACATCTTTTTTATCATCCTTTTTATTAGCAGGCTTTTTAGTATCCTTTTTGGCAGCAGCAGCTTTCTTTGCAGCATCGCCATCTTTTTGCTAAACTTCAGATTCCTCAATTACTTCAATTATTTTACTAAATGCATACCACTTTCTGTTAAACAATTTCGATTCTGCATAAAGTACTCTTTTTCCTAAATTAACTTCATTGAACTATAGAGAAAGCTTACAGATTTCATAAGTAATTTTAGAAGACAAAATTCTTAAATTTCTGTCCCAGTATTGTCTTGGTATTTCAGTTATGAGGATTTAAATCTTCAGTAAGATATGGAATATACTAGTTGTCTTTGTTTGCATTTACAGTAGTTCAATTATCTAGTTGTATTACTCAGTAGCTAATCTTTTTGCGAGAGGATAATTTCTAATACAAAGTGAAGTTTCTTAAGCTAAGAGTAAATAGTTACAAACTTTAAGAATATTTCTTTGATGGCTTAATATTAACTTATCATCCTTCATAGTAGTACCACCTTGACTTCCATCTGCAAAATAATCTCTCTTCAAGCATCTTGCTTTAATCTAATTATTATTTAAGATAATTGTTGTTAATAATAATAATAAAATTTTGCTAATTAAATTACAATAAAGGTTTCAGTCAGTGCTTAAAGTTCTATGAAACTAACTTCTTGAATTGCCTGCTACTTTAATCTGTATAAATAGAGACTGTTTTATTAATAATCTAGATGTCTGTCAATAAATTCAGATTTTTCAGTAAAGTATGAAAAAGTGTGGTTGGCTGCTTCTTTTGCCCTCTTAAAATCTCCCATTTGATAGGCATGTTTAGCAAGATAACTACTCAATAGATTTATTGGTAAAGGATGTAGACAAAGAACATCTTCACCAGTTTCACCAATTTAACTAGCTTCTTCATTAGCATCATATGCTTCAACAGCAAAGCAATACTTTTCATTTTAAACAAGATGTTTAATTGTTAAGACAGCACCAATTTCTTGCATGAGGCCAGTGTTATACAAGTCTCTTTGTGCATTAGAAACATCAACTCCGTTTTCTGATTTTTTGCCAAAAATAGCCATCTTTTTTATATCTAATTTTTTAGGATTTTTGTTTGCCTCCATTTCAGTTAGCTGAGGAGCGAATGGTGGAAGTTTGAAAGTAATTGAAGTTGAGTTTCTACAAATCAAAATTGGCTTTCTAGGTTTGTTAGACTTTTAGATGTAAAGTGATTTGTAAAGATGATCGAATGGGAAATACTTTGACCAATTTTAGTTTGTTTGATAATTGTCTAGTAGTGTGGAGAAAATATAGATGGAATCCTAAATAAATTTGATTTGTAATTATTAAAGTAATTTTATTTTATAAAATAAATTTTAAATACTTTTATGCAATTATCTGTGTGAAGGCTTTCCATTTATTCAGCATCTTTTATATATGAAAATGCCTTTTATAAAAGGTATTATTGCTCAGGTTACTTTATTTTGTTTGAGGCAATCATCATATACAAAAGTGAAAGAGTATAAGGATTTGCCATTTATTCATTGATCAAATTATCTTCATAGCTTTGCATTTAAGGTTTAGGAGGCTCAAGTTATCCTGCATTTTAAAGCTCGGTCTTTAATTCTACATAATCTGATTTAACTTACTTGGTAGTATCACCTTAAATCATAGTTGCCTTTAATTTATCTTTATCAGGAAGATTTCCATAATCTTCATTTAAAGGAATATTGTTGATTCTTTGAGCCTATTTTTTGATTTAGAATTGTTTATTATAAATTTAAAAGGTAATAATTTACTTAAGATTTTGTCATGTACTTATTTTCTTAACGCGTTGCCTTCACATCTTTACTTTTTTGAGTAGCTACTTTAAACTGTTAACGACCAAGCTTTAATTCGCAACGGAATATATTTATAATAATATCAGCATGTAAAGCATTGATAAGCATTTCTGTTTCAGAGAAACCTTACAAATTTTCGAGAGCCTTAAAATAATGAGAGTCAGTATTATCATCCTGCAAATACTACCAATTAGCAGAAAGACTTTCGTATTCTTCTTCTTTTTACTCATCCTTTTCTAAATCTACAAATTTCTTACCAGCATTTTGAGCTGTTTTAAGTCTTTTATTATAGCGAATTTAAGCATTTAACTTATTCTTTGTTTCTACATAGCTTTCTTTCATTTTTTAAATAGTTTCCTTGATTTTTCTATTATTGCAAGTTATTGTAAAAGGAAGGAATTTATCTCTTTAACTCTCTACACCTCTTTCCATAAACTAATCTCTGTAAGCCACAATACGCTGTAAACATTCTCTTAAATTCTGACTAGCCTACTTAAATTCTTCCTGTTCTTCTAATAGTCTTGTAAGTTCAATATTATATTTCGAAACCCATAAGATATCAGCTTCAGGATTTCTAAGCATAATTTTGTTAAATACTTTTAATGCTTCTGTGAAAACTGGTCTTGACTTTACAATTAATTCTCTATATTGTTCATATATCTTATCAGTAATTTCTTCACACAAACGCTATTCGTAAACGAATTCAATTTAATATAATTAACTTGTAATATATTTATTCCAAATATAGAATGCTAAATTGCAAAGAAAGTCTTTTCTTTCCACATAAAATTGCTACCCTAATGGCCCAACTAGTGTATCTTTAACTGTTTTTATTAATTCTTCAAGCTTATTTATATCATAAACTAGATCAAGCTCAACTCTCTTTTCATCCTCAAGAGTTTCTAAAATATAATAATTTTGATTAATTAAAAATAACAAAATTAATTTTATAATTTACTTATTTAATCACGGCCAAAAGTTCTTTCGAGGTTCATAAAATTCACCATTATTAGTAACTCTCTTTCGTTAACAAAGAAGAAATCTTCTTTTTTAAATGTTAAGTAAACATACTCCATATTTGGAGAACGGATAAATTCTTTAGGTACCTATCGTAAGTCACATTCTATTTTATTAAATCCAACATCTGGGCGAATTAGAGGATTTCTTCCGAAAAGTGGTCTCACATCACTAATAAGAGTTATTTTTTCATCTTCATTTTTAAGAGATTCTGCACTGTGTTTGATAAGTAGATAGGGAATATTGTGAGTAGTTTCTTAAACACCTGTGTATTACTTAACAGGAATAGCTATTGCCTTCCATCCTTCTTTAATTTTCTAATATGGTCCCCTTTCATCCTATTCATCATACATTATAATATCCATATCATATATTGCGCCCTCTGGATTAGCACTTCTTTTTATTACTAAGTAAACATAAACATGATTTATCTCTGCTAATTCTTCAGGAGTAGCATCGATACCTCTAGCTAGTCTTAATTGTTACTAATTTTATTAAGCTGAAACTGCATTTGTAGCTTATCCTCCCTTCTATGCATTTGCTTTATCATTCTTCTTTTTATCATCTTTCTTTTCTTCTTCTTTTTTTTCAGTTTATTAAGAAGCGCCTCCTTTATTTCCTTTATTTTTATTACGCAATTTCTTTAGTTCCATTCTCAAAGATGCTTCATTTATATCTATAGGAATTCTTTCGTAACCATTAGGAATATTTGGATTCGGATCATAATCAGCTATAATATCTATGTCAACAATATATGGCACTTCAAGCCTTCTAAAAGTAGTTCTAACTAAAGCTGTTCTGGTGAGTTCATCAAATACTTGTTCGTTTCTAACCTACAAAAATTTAGTAAATAAATAAAAGATGAATATAGAATAATTTAAATTACTTCATAAGCATAATGAATCAACTCAATGTGATATTCTAAAGGAATTCTGGCTGAAGCTTTCTTCCATTCTTTTTCTTTGACTAATCCAGAATTAAACTCATCATTTTTTTACTTCAACTCAACTTTTTATTCTTGAGTCAGATTAGAAAAGTTTATTTTAGAGGCCTCTATTTCTCTTTCAATTTTTTTATTCTACTATTCAAGAGCTAATACTACTAAGTCAATATCTTACTTAAAAATATCGTAACTAGCTTACAGTGCTCCTTCTTTCCAGCTAAACTATGCTCCCTTTCTCTCTACTGTATTTGAAAATTTTGAGTTATTACACCTTAATGACTCTACAACGGCTATGCATTTGCCTTCAGGATCATCAGCAAACACTTCTTCTACTTTCTTTTTCCAAGCTTCAACATTTAATGTCTGGCTCTAATATAACAAAAATTTTAATTTAAGATTTACCAATCCCTTACAAAATCTTTAAATTTATTTAAAATAATTTTATGCGTAAAGAATGTAATAATAAAAATCAACAAATAATGTAATCAATTTAAAATTCTATTACCTGTAATTTATATTTTAAATCAAGTGATCTTAAGATACGTAAATTATTAGTAAAAAGTTTTTGCATGTAATCAGGAAGAGGTGGGTCTTTTTCTTCTAAAGCTTTTGATTCTAATACCTTATTTAGAGCAAGTTCAATTGTTTTACTTGCAGCAGAAATAGATCCGCATTCATTATAAACATTTGCGAGCTCAATATACATTTTAACTCTCCACTCAATATATTTAACTCTAATAAGAATAATATTGCCTTCTAATGAAACTATGCAAAAGGCAATATAATCAACACAAAGTGCCGAATAAACACTTTTGCGCAAAAATTAGCAAATATCGATCACATAAATTGTTGCATTATAAGTTAGATAGTAATTTTTAACCTTATCTTCAAACGTTCCTAAGTTTAATTATGCTAAAACTTTTTTTAACATATCCAATAAAGACTTAAGTGCTTTTGCAGTATCTTTTCTTTTGACTTTTGGATCATTTTCCAAATATTTTTTAAAGCTTATTTCTACTTAATTAAAAACATCTAGACAATATTCTTAAGTATCATTAGCATTCTTATACTTAAGATTTGAAATGTCAAGAGGAATATCTTCATTAATAGCAGGTTGAAGTAAATTTCCCTACCTATTTTTTTGATCTGCAAATTTAACTCCTTATCTTGCCACTGCTTGCTCTTAACCCTAAGGAGCTGCTTTTTAACCTTAAGCTCCTTGCTATTGAGGTGCTTTTAAATTTTTTTTATCCATCTATCAGAAACTAATTAAAATATATATTTATTGCTATCAATAAGCTAAAATCTAAAGTATTTAAGCTAATATATTTATTCGCTATTAACTGAATTAATACTAGAACTGCTACGCTATTTGAAGGAGTTATTAACTTATATAGTAAAGGCTAATCAATATAGTTTACTTTATTAATAGCAAATACAAAGTTGTTGTTTATATATATTTTGTATTATTAAAATAAACTGGTTTTAAATCTTTTAAAAAGGAGTTTCAAAGTTTTTCTTTTCTCTTTATTATAAAGTGAAAATAATTCAAAAATTAAATTAATAAAAGGTTATATATCTAAATATATTTATGATTAATATGTTGATAATTAATATTGATGTATCTTTAAAATTAAATATCAATTAAGTATCAAAAACAGATGAATATTTTTTATCTTAACAAAATTCAGGAAATTATTTCAAATGATTCTACTCACAAAATTATTCAATTTAAATAAATAACAAAAATTATTATTTATTTTTTTTATAATCAAGCTTTTTTTTAAATTTCATAAAGCAAAAAATAATTTTTATTTTAAAATAAAATAAATTAATTCATAAATTTTATTTTGAGTTATTTTTTTAAATTTATTTTTAAAAGCGTATTACAAAATTTAACAAAATCTTAGATAAACGAACATAAATTAAATTTAGCTTTATAAGGATTATTTTAGAAGGAAAAAATACAAGTAAATTATTTTTTATATATTAGTTATTATAAAATGTTTATATACAAATTAAAAAAGAATAAAATAAATACCTTCTCTCATTCAAGGAATTTAGAAATTTCATTACAAAAATTTGGACATTTCTAAATATGATCTCTAATAAGATTAAATAGTAATTGAATATCTTTTGTGTTATCTAGGTTTCTCTCATTCAAGGAATTTAGAAATTTCATTACAAAAATTTGGACATTTCTAAACATGATCTCTAATAAGATTAAATAGTAATTGAATATCTTTTGAGTTATCTAGGTTAATTTTTTTGTTTAAAGCACTATCTATTTCTTTAGGACTACTGATACTTTTTAAAAAATATTTATTATCATTATTTCAATTAAAATAAAACAAATTTACTCAATGTTACTCTTAGAGGTTTAAATTTTTGAGAAAGTTATATTATTTAATGCATTTACTTTTGACAAGCTTTCATTATTGACAGCTTTTTCATTTATTTCAAGCTATTTGGCAGAGCTAAGTGATAGATTATTCAAATGCTTTGAATTTTTTTCTCTGTATTAATTAGAATTAATGTTATTTTTGTTTTATATTACTGATATGGTGCTTTGATGGCCAAAAGAATCACCAGGATGATTTAACTTGCTATCTTGATTTGAGTGGGTATTTTAAAATTTATTGTTTTACTACTTATCTATTAAAGAATTTTTTCTATGTAAAGTTGATTATATCAATTTTGCAGTTAATGGTCTCTTGTGTAACTCATTTTTAGAATTATTTAACCCTTCTATTTGTAATTTATCTCTAGAATTTTCTCTAGAATGATGCTATCTTACTTTTTCTTCTAAAATACTATCAATCTGTCTGCTATAAAAACTTCTTCTGTATTCATTTTTGAGGTTAGATAGAGCTTAAATTAGTTGCTTATTACTTTCATTTGCATTGTTTAAAATAAAATTATTGAATGATGAGCTATGACTTCTATCCATGTTTATAGCAGCCAACATAGCATTGTTAGAATTAATATTGTTAGATGCACTTAAGTAGCTACTATTACTCTTAATATTTTGATTACTTTAGTTAAAACTTGTATTGTTATTGTTGTTATTATTTAACAGAGGATTGGAAATTGGTTAAGGAATATCTACAAAAGAATTTTTCTTTTAAATTATTTGATTAGTAAAATTATTTGTTGTATTATTTTTGTATTGCTACTAAATTTAAAACTAAGGGTCAGATTAGATTTTTTAGTTTTAAAAAAGAATATTTTTAAGCTCTTGAGATTATTTTTCCTTCATATTTTAATTATGTGCTGTTGTAACATCCATAGAAAATTAGACTCTTTTAACTCCTGATGATGAAGTAGATGTGATCATTTAATCATCCTCTGATCTTTTATGTTCACCAATTAATTTATTTTCAAATCTTTTTTTTAGATCTTGATTTTCAATTGTTTAGAGTTTACCATATTTTGTGCTATTTTGAGTTTAAACATCTTTTTATTAATTTTAATTTCTAAAAGGATTTTCTCTTTTTTATGCAATTTCAGGTGGGATCAGTTCAATATTTTTTGAGCTGTTATTTTATTATTTAAATTCTAATTTATCACCAGCTAAGAGATTATTCAAATATTATTAATTATTAGAAACCTCTTATCTCATATTTTAGCTTTCAATAAATTTTTCTGATGTTTAGTCATTCTAATTATTATTTTAGTTTTCTTTATCAATAGAAAAATTACTCTTTCTTTAAAAACTAGAATCTAGATTTAATCTTTTGGGCTAAACAAAACTATTTTCTGTTTCATACATTTTAATGCTCTTTACCTAAAGTCTGCTTTTGACTTGTGAATTAGGATGACTAATATTTGATTATCCATTATTGAAGTAGTTATTCAACTAAGATTTATCTTGCTCTTACTGAATTATTTATTATTAAGATTTATTTTATATATCTTAATCAAGTTCTACAGGTAAAAATTCTTTCTTGCTACTATTTTTTAACAATACATGACTAGAATCAGTATTTGATTACATTTTTTTGAGCATCTATTCAGCATTTACATTGGATAACTAATTATAGTGATTCACTTTTTTTATATACAATAATTCATCAAAATCTTTAGGTGTCATTCTGTTTTCTCCTATCAAACTCAAAGTATTCATTTGAGAGGTATTATTGAAATTTGACCCTGTATTTTCTAATTTTAAGATTGACCAAGGCGATTTCAAAGAATCTAAACCAAACTTTTCTTTATCTTTTATCAAATAAAAATATTATGAACCATTTTAATTTATCTTCTAAAATTAATTTTATTATTAATATGTAAAATTATGAATCATCTTTCTTTTTTAATTACTTTTAATTTTAGCTAATAATTGATTTACTTTTAATAATATATATAATAGGTATCCATTAAAATAATTACCTGTATTTAAAGGAGATTGAATGCAAGTGTTTATGTCTACAGAAGCATTTTTATTTTTAAGATATTCTTATCCTTAGTATGATTTAATTTTACTACTTTGCTCATTTTCTGCTTTGAAATTGTTTACAATTTACATTCCTGTTGTTTGTTTTGTTGAATCTTCTTGTGCTTTCTAGATCCTCATTTAAAACTCCTCAAGTTCCTTTCTTTAGCACTAGGTCAGACTATTCATAAACTTTTCTTTATTCTACATCTGACACCAAATAATAAAAATGACTATGTAAAAATCTTTTGTTTAAGTATATAAATATGCTTGTATGTAGGTATTTATGTATCTATTTATCTATTAATTTTGAATATAATTATTTGAGTTAATTAAGTATCTTAAAAATATTAATTATGTTTTACATATATTTACAAATATTATTTCTAAATTATTTGCATCGATAATTACGAAATTAAATTAATTTAGTTAATTACTAACTGCAAACATAAAATTTTCAGTTTTGAATTCGATGTGTAAAAATTTGAATATTATCAAAAATTTAAGAAGGAAATAAGATAGATAATTGGTTTATTGATTAAAATAAACCGAATTATACTAATTAATTATTTAGCCCAATTTTTTACACCTAAACTAGTAGTATTTTGTTGACTTAAATTGACAAAAATTAAAATAAAGTTTTTTTTATATAATTAAAATTAATTTAAATAGTTTCAATTATTTTATTTTGTATTAAATTAATTCTTAAATGTTTATAATTAGAGTTTGATTAATTAGCTTATAAAAAACTAAATATAATTGAATAAATCTTTATTTTAATTGCTTAAATCAGCTATAAAGTGGTTATCCTCCTTATTTTAAATTGTTTAAAACGGTATCTACTCTATTACTAGGATCAAATGAATTAAGCTCTTAAATTTCCTTTTAATAGTAAATATATTGTTAAGTGTCTTAGAAAAAAGCTAAAATGTACTTCAGCAACTAGTGGGTTACTTCTTTTGTTTAATAAGTCATCATATCTTTTTAACGATGGATGAAAAATTTCAGGATGTAAGAATCTTAAATTGTTTTTAAACTGTTGGTATAAAATAGCAAAGTAAACTCGAGAAATAGAAATTTCTGAATTAATGCAAATAAAGATATTGATTGATGATTTTTACCCACAATTCGTTCATTTTATAACACCAAAACACATAGGTAATTGGATATATAAGAAAAAGAGAGTAAACAACTGCTTTTCTAGAGAATTTTAGCTTCTTTTTTAAAAAAAATTAATGGAGATTTTCAAACAACATCTGAAATGAAATTAGAAATCTTGTTTGTGTTAAAGACAAAGTGATACTAAATTTTTGTTTTTAAATTAAATACACTGATAAAAGCAAATAAATAAATGTGTGTATATATGTATTTATTTTAATATTTTTGCTTATATTTATTTACAATCAAATTTTACATCTTAATTAAATTTTCAAATTTATTAGAGCATCTTTCTATTATTTGTATTGTAAAATAATACTGACCAAACAATTTAATAACATTTACATTTTGCAAAAGTATGCGAATAAATTAAGGAAAAAGTTAGTATAGTGCTTAAATAAATTATGTAAATTATTTCTAAAAAGGAAATTTTTAGAGTAAATTATAAACAATATTTATAATATTTTTCTAATGAAAGCATACATTTATCCATCACTTAGTTTGAAATTCATTATAAAAAACATACAAAATGAAATAAAAGACTATAAATATAATTTGATACTCCAATGGTTGGTTGTTTTATATCTGAATTTTTACATAGAGAATTTTTTTTTTTGAAGGTTTTAAGCTTGCATTATATTTTTTTTTATTTTAAAGGTATTTTTTTTCATTCAAAGTATGGTCTATCATATTTTATTTTTTGATATTTTTTCTTGCTGGAGATTAAATTTTTAATATATAATTTTGGAAGCTTTAAGCTAACCCTAGTTTTTATTATTTTTTATTCAATTTTCAATGTCATGTTATTATATATAACCTTATTTTGAATTTTTTGAGCTGGATTTACTTGCTCCTCCTATTGATACACCATTTCCCTTGAAAGCCTTGAAAGCAATATTCTCAGAATCTGGAGGTGATTATTTTGAGGAACCACTGTAGTTATTATCTTATCTAGTGGGATCACTACCAGGACCTGCTACAAGAGCAGAAGGAATGCAACACCTAAACATATTACCAACATATGCAATTCTATTAATGTAAGAAGGTATTGATTTATTTAAGAGTCTTTAGCATACTGCATTTGAGAAGTGATTGCAATTGCGTGTGAGGACATCGTATGAATTGCCAACAAAATCTCTTTTTAATTCTTCTAAAATGCTATTAACTTGGCTATAACTAAGATTACATTCTCCCAGATATATAGAATCTCTGAAAATAACATTGCTTGTATATTCCTTAGGTTCTGTTTAGCAAACACCAGTTGAGCTTCCTTCATGTCCACCAAAATGGTATTCAGCAGACCCAACTTAAATACCAGTATGGTATATTCCAAATCCTAAAGAATGTAGGTAATAATTTGCTTTGGCTAAGTCGTATATATTTAAATAAATCTTCATTTAAGTTTGTGATAGGCTATTTTTTTAAATTTCAAGAATTTATGTTTTAACTTTAAACTCCTTTTTTGTTTTTTTTTTTAAAATTTTTCTATTTTAGAACAAAAAACTTTTGCTTAATAACTAGTTATATAGATTTTATATGTTTAAATCGCATTAATATAAAGCAGTATTTTACTATATTCTAAATATATTAAGATTCTAATTAACGTAATTATTTATTATCTTTGTTTGAATGGCACTGAATTTCTTAAAGCAATAAACGCCTTTTAAACATAAGGATAAGTGATTGAAAAAAGCAAATTGTGAGATTGAATTTTTTACATCAAATTTAGAATCATACTTCCTTCATACATAAAAAATAAAATAATTTTTAGTTTTAATAATAATTCAAGGATTAAGTTATTTCAATCAAAAAGAAATGAAAGTTAATTTTATGTTCAAAATTTTAATAAACAAGCTACCATCTTCTAAGTTGATTAAAAAATAAATAAATATAATTTGTCTTTATTTGATTAATTGCTAAATTTCTTAAAATCTTTTTTCAAACTCTATGAACTTTATTTTATTATATCAGAAAATATTTAAAATGATAAAAATTGAATTAAACTCATAAAATATACTTATTTAATATTTTATTTGACTACTAATTTGTTATCTGTTTTATGTATAATAACCTATACACTAAAATCAATATTTTTTTTTTTTTTGAATTTGTTTAAATTAAATTTAGATCTATTAATTATTAATATTATTAAATAAAAAACCATTTAATCAAACTTATAAATTTTTTTCAAAAGAACTTATCATTAAAAATTATTTTATGAGTGAAATTAATAATATTTTGCATTACTTTGAGTTGCTAATTACTAAAAAGAAGATATAAATTAACTTAAAAGGGAAGTGGTAGTTGGATACTATAGACTAATTTATCAAATAATACAATTGATACATATATAGTTGAAGAATAAATATAATTGAAAATAAAAATTATATATAATTCTACTTTTCAATCAATAAAAAAGATGCAGCTAATCAACCTACCTATCTACCTACATGCTTATCTAGACACTTACTTAACTTATTTTACTTTTATTTGAAGCTTAATAAAAACTATTCATTTTTTTATATTTTTAGATTTTTTGGACTAGTAAAGTATATAATGATTAATTTATAAAATGCTATAAGAAGGTTGATTGTCTTAAAATTTAGTTGTGTTTCATATTTATATGTTTATTATTTATTTTGTTATTACAAAAGATAAGAGGGTCATCAAGCAATCTCAAAAATATCTTTTAAAATATATATTTTGTAAAAAAATGTATGAGAAATTATTAGATTCGCTAATTATCTCACTTAAAAGGTACGCTTCTTCCTAATTCATTTATTACAGAAGTTCAAGTAATTAGCCAAAAATTTCATCTTTGAAGGTCCTTTTTAATTCATTTCTTTAACTTCCTATTTCTATGAGTTTTTAGGAGAACGATGAGGCCCATAAAAATAAATTTAATGACCATTTAAAAGTAGATCTTAGATCTCTTATTTATTTATATGTTTTTCTGCTAATTGATAAGCTGTCTTTCCTTTATTCGAAAGAATTTCCTTGTTTGCTCCGTTTTCGATTAAAAATTTAATAATTTCATAATTTGTTTCTCTTTCCTTTGGAGTTAATTCCATTTTAATGGCACATAACTGTTACAAAAGTGTAAAGCCTTTTACCTTGTCAACAATCCAATTAATATCTGCTCCAAATTAAAGTAATAGTTCTGCCATTTTCAAGCATATTTTTCTATTTTCAAATACATTCTATTCCTCTTCAAGACGCTAGAAACAACAAATAAACGGAGTGTGGTTAAAAGCTGTAGGTTTGTTGACTTCTGCACCTCCTGAGGTTAAAATACGAAGAATTTCGTAGTTTCCTGTCATGCAAGAAATAGTTAGAGGAGTATGACCAGCCTCTTCAGTGCTCATATCGATATCAATAGTCTCGTTTTCCAGCAACATTTTTACTATATCATTTCGACCATAATAACAGGCGCATACTAAAGGAGTGATTTTTGTGTCAATATCTGCTTCTGCAAAGGGCTCTAAGAAATTCATATTCTTATATTTTATGCCAAGCTCTTTTAATGATTCAATGTCATTTTATTAAATGAGATGAAGTACTATTTACTGCTAGTTTTAAACGAATATCATTAATTTTAAGAAGACAAATATTATAAATCATTTTCAATATTTTTTAGTTTATTGGTTCTGCTTTTTATAATCTATTATTTTATTTCTTTTTTCACTTTATGTTTAAGAATTCTACCAATTTTTTACAGAATATCTACTTTGATTGCTTTTAATTTTAATAATGAAAAAAGCGAAGACGCTCTTTTTAGTGTTGGAAACAACCTAAAATTTGCAATTTAAGAAAGAAATATAGTTATTGCTATTAAAAACTACTTTGCTTAATGGAATGTCTAATTATTTAGTTTGTTAATTTGCTGATTTTCAATAAAATTTTTAATTTCATTATTTATAAATTAAGCATTTGCAAAAAATTATATTTAATCGATTTGGCATGGTAGCAGATCTTAACAGTGATAACTGCATTTAAAACTAAAACGAATCGCAAACATTACTTCCTAAACAACGGTTGACTAATTCAAATTGTCTTCAAATTGCTCATATTTACCTTTGCCATCCATTTTCCCTTTTACTTGAATTAAATTTTTAATACTTTTACTGATTATATTAATGTGTATTTGGAAAATTTTTAATTATATTTAAGCACCTGCTTGAATATTATTAATAAATAAAAAATGCAAACAATTAAAAATTTAAAATTAACTATAAAACTTGCAAAAACAAATTTTATAATAGTTCTAACTAATTCAATCATATTGAAAAAACAATAAAGGAAAAATAGTAATTTATTCTTTCAGTGGTTGTTATAGTCATTGAATGAGCAAGCAAACAAACAAATAAATAAACAAGCATTCAAAGAAAAAAACAGCTATGCTATTTCTTTTCATACAAGGTATAAAATTCACTAATTTGATAGCCAAAATCAAATCAAAATAACTTGAATAACATAAACTTAAAACCAAAATAAAGACCTATTTATTAAATTGAGTATAAGATCATTTTATATAATTTAAGTTTTAATCCTATCACAAAACTTAATACCATCAATTTAATCAACATTAAAAATATATTTTTCAAAACATAAATTAAAAATAAATTAGTAAACTATACCGTATTAGCCATATGTATGCAAAATTATTTTTCAGATATATATTACAAACCTCTAAATAACAAAGAAGTATAATTGACCGATGAATTTTATTTTTTAAAGCAAACATTTTTTATTGAAAAAATACAGAAAATATAAAATATTTTATATGTATGCTTAATTATTGAAAGTATGATCAAGAGTTTTTTGGAGGATTATTTATTTAATCTAATCTGCTCTTAAAAACATCTATCATGAAATTATAATTAATAAGACCATTTTTTTAAGCAGCGAAATTGTACAAAACTGACAAATTAAACTAAGATGGATGAATGTTGTGGCTAGTTAAAAATTCCCAAAGCACTTATTTAATTGCTTCAACACTTAAATATTTGTCCAAGCCATCTCTTTTGTCTTTACCGTGCTATTATTCATAGAGGGCTTCAAACTTTTGTATAAGATACCTTCTATTTCTAGCAATTAAAGAAATAGCCTTATCATAATCTTAACTTTTTTCCCAAGACAATGGTATAGAAGAGTTGTTCTTAATAATATCTATTACATTTTGTTTTGTAGACCCATTTACTAGACTCACTGAATTATTTCTTGACAATGATGTTGAATTTTATTACTAAGAATTAGTATCTGCTTGCTTATCTTAAAGCTGTTACTTCTTTTTTTAGTCAATTATACTGTTCAAGATGTCTAGCTTTTTCTTGTGAAATTAGCAAAAAGTAAATTTATCCTTTTCTTTTTCCTGAATAATTTTATCATGTTCTTCAGTACCCTAAAAATATTTTAATTAAAATAATTTTTTAAAATTCGCTAAAAAGTATTTTTCAATAAAATCTTTATTTAATTTAGTCAAAATATATTTATTGATATTAATTTACTCCATAATTCATGAATGCTTGTATCCACTCATCTAAATCAATCAAGCCATCCTTCTTTAAATCTATTTAGTCAAACATGTCTTTTGAAATTGCGAAAGAAGGTATTTCACTCCTGTCAAGTTTTGAAACTTTAACAAGAAAATACCTAAAATCTTCTAAGGTCATGTATCCTTTTTTCTCTTCATCAAACTGATAAATTTTATTATTTTTTACATATTGCTTAGTACTAACAAATAAAACAAATTACTTCTCTGAATGCATCCTTTGGTGATATTAAGTATGAATATAAACATTCTTTAAGGTGGTTTATCCTTTTTTTCGATCTGTTAATTAGGTTCTATTATGATGACCTATTTTTATCATTATCAAAAATTAAGTTTGAATTAAGTATAAAAAATTTTACGAGAATTGAAGCTTTTTCATAAACTTTTTCCAGTTTATTTCTGCTGGGCTTGATGGATCTGCAAATATTAGAATATAATCCATATCTCTCCCATTTAAGCCAATATTTAATCTCATCAGTATGTTTTTGAATTCTGTGTTACTAATAAAACCAGTGTTATTTGTATCATGCTATTTGAAAATACTCTCTATGTCTTTTCCTTTAGATAATATCAGATTTTTAAATTTATTTATAATATCGTCGTGCAGAGTAAAATTATTGTAAGAAATAAGATTATTGCAACTTAGAGAGTTGCTTTTGAATTAATCTGAGAATCTTAAGGAATCTATATTTGCCACTCTAATTCTCGTATTACTGCTTGTCCTATTGTACCTTTTTTAGAGTTAGTTTAATGTACTTGAAAATTCTACAAAAATATTTACCTTGAATTTTAGTTATTTATCCTTGGGAATAACTTATTAAAATGTTCTAAGGTTAATTGCTACTCAACAGGTATTTTGAGAAATTGGTGTATTGCAATCCAAAGTTTTTCAACAATTTTATCAGAATAAACCTGCTTGTAGAGGTTGTTCAAAGCAAACTTAAATTTATGAAGAGAAACTTCGCTAGTCGTACTTGTACTTTAGGTATTTTTAAAATCTTATTTCTCAAATTTTTATCCAAATAAGAAAAACCTATAAAAAAAAATAAATTTATTTTAATTAAAAATTTGATAATTAAATTAAAATAACCTAAATGCTTCATCATTTGATTTGAAACTAAAGTATATTAAATCTGTCAAATCACTTAAGGGAATGTCTTTAGATTCAGTGTATATTTTTAAACATTCAACCCAGTCATCTTATGTGATGTAGCCTTTTTTGTGAGGATCCATGTAAGCAAAGAGCTACTACAATAGAGTTTCAGTTAAATTAAAACCGAATAGAGCATTTGTCTATAATATCCAATCATTCAACTTTTAATATTCTATTTTCTGAGAGTGGTTAGAAATTTTTTCAAATGCTTCTACTAAGTCTTTGTATTTAGATGAGACCACAAGAGCTATTTGTTGACAACAATTTATCATCCAGTCTTCTATATTTAAAGTGTTTCCATTGTGTAATTGTTTCTTAGGTTTTAAGAAAGTCAATGTTTTTGATAGCTCTTTCACCTATATATTGGGAACAGATTTCGGAGTTTGTGTAAATGCCTTAATGTTAGAAGTATTTTTGGATAATTAATCTTCTGGTTTTTTGAAAAAAGAATCATTATAAGTAATATTTTTAGTGGTTTTAAATCCATTTGAAAGCTATTCCTCGAATTAGTTTGTAAATATTTTTGCAAAATCATGTTTTTAGATGTATCCTTTTTTGTATTAATCGAATAGCTTAAATAACCTATCTAATTTAGTGCTGTCTAAATGTTCTTCCCTTAATTTAAAGTCCCTTGATAAAAATTTTTTCAAATCGTCAATGCTGATAAAACCATCAAAATCACAGTCTATTATTCTAAAAGCCTCTTCTTCTGTAAAACCTTTAAAAAAAAATAGATACATAAATAAATAAATAATTTTTATAAATTTTGCTAAAAGAAATAGTTAATTACCATTAGTTTCTTTCCATTCTTTAATTTATCTAATAATGCTGTGCTACCATTCCCAGTTATCTATTTATTTATCCTTTTGAAATCTTATTAAGTAAATATTTTCAAATGATTAATATTATTTACATCATGATTTTTTAAAGTTATTCTGCTTAAAATGCTGGCAAATCTAGGGAAATCAAACATTCCAATTTTCAAGTGATCAAAATATGAAAATAGTCCTTCTTTTGCATGACTGCTCAGCTTTACAAAGGAATCTATTTTTTCTTCGAATTCGTTGAAGCTTACAAATCCATCATTGTTAACATCTAAAATCTTAAAAATTTCATAATAAGAGAGTCTTCTTAAACCAGCATTTTATTTTAAATCTCTAAGTATAACTTCAAGCTTCTCAAGAGGAAGATTATCTGTGGGATATAGTCGTATTGGTTGATTGACGAGCTAAGATCTATATTAATTTAATATAATTTAAATATACTTTTTTTTTTAAGTTAATTTATTACTTTGTGATGTTCAACAAAGAGCTTGTAAGTTGCTGCTTGCTTTTTATTGTAGATCCAATACCGTTGCTTTTGCTCATTGAGAAAAAATTTCCTGTATGAGACTTGGAGAAGACTTGAGATGCGAATGAAGTCTTTTTGGATATTTAGTCTTCTATATAGTAATAACGGCTTAAAAATGTTTCTAAATCAAATTTGTCAATGTAACCATCTCTATCTATGTCAATCAGCTCACAGTTTTATTAGATAATTGACTCTTGTAAATTGAAATTTATTTTTTTTGCAATCATCTAAGCGAATACAGGGATTCTAACTTTTTTCTTATCCTGTATATTGAATGTTTTTCTATTTTCCTTATTTTCAAGCAGATGAGTTATAAATTCTTCACTATTCATTTTATTTTGTTGCATGTATTTTTTTATCATTTCTACAAGATAAGGCAAAGATTCGATTTCATCACTCATTCTCAACGAATTATTTACCTAAATAATAGTTGAATTAACTTTAAGAAATGAAAAAATATACTTACTTTTTTGCTAAATTTGCAATAATCTATTTATCCTTTTTAATTTTTCTCAATATATCTAGCTATTCTTACTACTTCATTCAGCGTAAGATTTAAATTGGCTTTCATTAAACAAGTCTTAAAATTAGCAATATCTAAAGATCCTTAGCTTTGTTAATCTAGCTTTTCGAATTCTTAAATCAAATATTTATCATGTCTGTCTTGTTTCTCTTCTGGATACTTATTTATTAACTCCTATTTAATTTTCCTATATATTTAAAGCAGTAAAGAAGTATCACTATCATCTATGTCATTCTATCCGCTTGTACCAGTTCTAGCTGTATTTTGCAAATTAGTCAAATTCTTTAAATTTTTTCTATCAGCAGTTAATTTATCAATAATTTGCTGAGGTGGCAGAGATTATTTGTCCTCGAAAATTTCAGCTGCTGCAAGATCTGAAATATATTTGGATATATTAATTTTTTTTAATCCATTCTTAAATTCCTTTAAAGTTATTTATTCTGTATCTCTGTTTAATCCCATAGTTTTAAAGAAATCATCAATAACTATGTTGTTTCTCATAATTATGTCTTTCAAATATTCAAGTGACTAACTTTCTATTAAATATAATTTATACAACTATGTTATTTTCTCTTCATTAAATTTACCTTTTTTCGAGAAAGCATTTTGCCATTCCTCTAAATCTATTTTTTTATCTCTTTTTGAATCAATATATGAAAAAACCAAGGAGTATTCTTCATCGCTTTCCATCTCAATATCTTATTTATGCAGAGCTTTCATGAATTGCTCTAAGGTTAAAGTTTTTCTGTCTGTTGAGTTTATACCATAAATATATCCAAGCATCGTTGAAAGTAACTAAGTTAAATTTTTGAACAAAATCATTAAAAATAAATGTCATAAAAGATTATTTATTAGTTAATATTTAAAAGCTAAATTATTCTTGAAAAAAATACAAAATCAACCAACAATAAATAAATAAGAATTTTAAAATGAATCGATAAAATAATATAAAATAATTAAAAATCTAAATTTGTTTGAATAAAAAAATTTGAAAAACAAAAGAATAAATTACATCATAGGGCTTAATACATTTATTTCTAAGTAAATAATTTAGCTTTTAAAATGCAATTTCTTCTTCGCTTTAAATAACTGTTATACTCCTATTAGTTTGTTTGCTTTTAATTTAATTAAGTGATTAAAATATATGAATTTAATTTTAATGAATAGTACCTATAAGAGTCTCTTGCTGTTGATAATTTGATAGTATCATTCGTGCTAGAAGCTAATATTTGCTATAATTTATTAGAAAGTTCTTCTTAATTATTAGGTGTCCTTCCTTCTTCTATAATTTAGCTTGGATCGATTTAAAGGTTATTCTTTAAGTACTGCTCAGCATCTTCCTATATTTGTGTTGTTTAATAATTTTCTTCCTCTTAGTTATTTTAACTTTTATAATAACTCTAGCTCAACTATTTAAGTTTTTCTGAAGTTAAATCACTTTGGTTTTTCTTCTTTCTATCAGAAACATTTAGTTTTAGCAATCCCTGTTTTATTAAAATTTTAATAATGGTCTTTTATTATTCTATTATTTGATAAAAAATCTACTTTTATATCTTTTTTAATGAAATCCTAAAATTTAACACATGTAATACCCTTCTTATACATAAATAATCCCAAGGAAGGTATGAACATGTAAACCTATTCATCTCCCTATTAAATAAAAATTAATGTTATACTTATTCTACTATCCTTCAAGGAATTTAATAAAAATATATACATTTCTAATTTAGTCTTCTATCCTTCTTATAATTCTTTCTACACTATATTTAACTTCTTCTTTGTTTAGCTATGATATACTGGCTATTTCTTAATAACTGCAAAGAGTTTGCTAAATTTTGCCTGATGTGGATGACAAAACTAGAGGTCTTATAATACCACCTAAACGGTAAACTCCAGATTTAATATTTAAACCCTTCGCGAAATCTTTTGAAATTATAAATACTGGTTCTCTTTCTTCTTTATCTCTTTCATATTCATTTGTTGTTCCCTTTTAAAGTAAGTTACATTTAGTAAACTATATAATATAAAATATAAATTTTTTACATCAAGATTAACATCTCTAAATGAGTATGTGAATAAACCAAATTTAGGTATGCTCACTGCTCTTCCTTATCTTAAGCACTTGCAAACATAGGTTCCTTAAATTTTTAAAAACAAAAATTGTTTAATATTCAAATTTATAGCATCAGATAAGTAGGCATATTATGGTTATTATGTTCTCCTAAAATTTAGAAGTGTTTGATATTAATGAATGAGACTAGTTAAATTACCGAAAGCAGCCCATGCATTATTTATGGTCTCCTCATCCAAATTAACTTATAGTTTATATAGCCTTTTTATAAATAAGTTGATTAAAAAAGAAACATTTTAATTTTCATCAACTCAAATAGTTATTTAAATTCATGTTCAGATAACTTGTATATAATTTAAAGGCAAATATAAAAAAACTAACTTTTGCTATGATTTCTGACTAACATTATCTATTGTTTATTAAGACTAAATACTTGCTTTAGTTTAATTAGATTTAATAGTGATAGCTGTGTCCATAAATATAATTTAACTCCTCTTATTTTATGAATACTTACTTACTTACTTATTAAATCTTTGAAAATATTGTTTATTAGCTTTATTTGACAGAATTAAAAAAATAAATTCAGTGAGATAAATTGTTGTAGATAAGTAAAATTTTATTTTATTAATTGTATAAAAGTATTAAGTAAATTATAGAGTTTTAAATTTCAATAAGTAGATATTAGTTTTAAAATTAGAATTTATAACTGATGCAATCAAGTACTTTAAAACGATTTCAAATAACTATTATTAATAAAATTATTAACCATTCTAGTTTATTATCTTTCTTCTTAGCAAAATGGTGAAAATATAAAAAAAGATTGATATTTTTTATTATTTTAGATTTTTGTTACAATTAGTAGAAATTTTAAATAATAGAAAAAATTTTGTAAACATTTATATTACTAACAAGTCTATCACAAAATATCAATTAATTAACTGATTGATTAATTAATTATTATAATTAAATTCTAGATAAAAATGTATATCATAAAAAATAATAAAAATATTTAATTATTTAATCAAGAAAAATATATAAATACAAAAAATGTATTCGCCAAGAAGATTTTTGATAATCAAGAAATATAAAAAATGATGTTACTTTTTTTTATGTTAGTAGATGACTTTTAATTACAAAATAACAAATTTTTCAAATTTAACTCATATCTTAACACAAATGCTTTAAAATAATAAAAAAATAGCAATTTTTATATTTGATGAATTAAATAATATTAAAAAATACTAAAAAAGTAATTTTAGGCATCAAAATTTTATTTCTAAATATAAAAAAAATTTATTCATCAAGAAAATTATTCAATATTACATATTAGTGTTTCTTTTTTTTCTATTAATCAATTATTTTTCATTATAAAACAATTAATTTTTATATAAAAAAAAATTACACTTTAAACAAACAAACCTTGTCAGATAATAGAAAAAAATAATTTTTATTTTCAATTTTTGTATTAATGAATTCTATTTTTTAAAAAAACTAAATAAGTTATGTTAGGTTTTAAGTTCAGTATCAAATCATCAATTTTTCACTTTCGATAAATCAAATTTAGATTAATATATTTTTAAAAGTTATTATAACTCAGATAAAATATATCTAAGTTGTTAAAATATATGATAATTGTAAATTTAAGGTAAAACCAACTAGGTTAAATGAAATTGTAAACATAGCTTTCTAATGAGTTTACTATTTTTGATGAGGTATATTATTTAATTATTTTTAGTATCTTTTTTTAATTATAAATTTCAAAATATTTAATAATTAATCTGAAAAAAAGTAAATCTTTTTATAAACAATGTTACAAAGATAAATTTAACTTTTTTGATTTAAAAATGTTCCTTAAACATCATGATAATATTTTATTTTAATTAACGAATTTACACTCTAATTATGTTTAAATTTTAAACAAATCTAGTATAAATTTATAAGGCTTATTGCAAATATTGCCAGTTTAAATATTCATGTGACGTAAAATAATAAGAAATATAAGCCAGCTTAATAATAACAAAGATTTTGTTTATAGTAACCAAATATTTAATATTTTATAAACTTATAAACATAAATTTTAAGCTTTGCCTTTTGAATGAATGTAAATCAAAAATAATAAGAATGCAAATAATTTGAAATGACTATCAAGTGTTTGATTTTATTTTTGAAAGTAATTTATTTTAAACAAATATCGAACAACCATTATTCGTATAAAAAAAGTTAATTAAAAATTGATAGATTATCACAAAATTTTAATTGGAACAAAAAACTTATCAAGCTTTAAAGACAATTAAAAAAATATACAAAATTAAATATATATATATACATATACTAACTAAAATTTTAGATAATTGAATACGTATCATGGGTAATAACTTTTGCAGCTGTAAAAGTGGTGCAGGTAATCTAGTGATCTATTTATTATTTTTAATGGTTTTGAGCAAAAATAATTTGAATCTTAAATATTTATTGGAAAAATACTTTAAAAAAACTTATTTTTTAAATTAACTTAGATACTTAAAATGATATTGTTTACACAGACTCAAGCTATAATATTTGGGATAATAACCCAATCATATCATAAAATTCTTTGAATTCTTAATTTTCATTTTCTGCAAATATTAATAATAAAGTTACAGGACTCACTAAAGAATAATATCTACCATAATAGAGTCCAAGAAATGATTAATCTACATCATAAGGATTTTAAGACCGATTATCACAATCTTAAATAAATATGAAGTTAGAATAGATCTAAGAGATGGTTAAAAAATAGCATTCTATCATACAGGAAGAAACTGAAGTGGAGACAATAGTAGAGCTCCCAAAAGATTCATCAAAAGAAGCAAAGCATGCACAACCATCATTTTTTAGTTAAAAAAAGCTAAGTCAAGAAGATTTTAGTGAAAAAAATAATGAGAAAATAAATCTTCCTTCATGTGGCAATCAATCAGAATATTAGTCTCCTAAAGAAGGGCAATAATAAAGTAAAATATCTCAATAAAATATTTAAAATTAATAGGGCAATATAAATACATAGGTTACTACTGATTAAGATAGAGTTTAAACAAATCCTTAATACTCTCTTAAATACATAAAATACGATAATAACTATTACGATGAAGATCGAATATTTTCTATGCAATTCAATGATTAAAAAAATGAAAATTAAATATAAAATAAATGAAACACTTAATTAAAAATTTAGCCAATCCAGCTTGCCCTCAGCAAAATTGTAATGATATATAGATACCAATATTTCTAATTAACTAACCTTACTTACTTATTTACTAATTAACTAACTAATAAAACAAACACTAACAATATTACTTCTTCATATTTGTTAAATTTCTCAAATCTTTAGTCTTACACTACCTTGGCACACATATAGTTTATTTAGTTAAATAACTAATAATAATATAATATAAATAAAAACTTTTTCAGTAATTATACATTTTAAGCAATTTATTATATCAAATTATAAAACCTTATAAAGTAATTTCAAACTTATCACAACAAAGAAAGAAAAAAAAGATTATTAATTGAATTTAATGAATGAATTAAGTATTTTTTTGTTTATATAATTAATTGTAAATATTTTTAAAATAATTTAATTAATTCACTAACTAATTAATTTATCAATTTATTTATTGGTTTTGTAAATTAAATCAGTATCATTTTTTATATATTTATTAACTTTTAGTGATTTTATTAATTAAATTTTATACTCTATCTTAATCTAATTTATTCCTTTAATTTTATCTCTGACATTTGTTATGAAAAATCTAATTAATCTTTTCCATTTAAAAAAAAGATAAAATTTTATTTGGATAATATTATTTTTTAAATATCTTCTTCATCGATTTGATGGAAGATAAAGCTTTTGGAGAAAAATAAAATAAAATTTGATGAGTTGAATATAAATAAAACTTTAAAATCAAAAATATAATTCACTTTTAAAGTTAACTTTTTATGTTTGATCAAAATAAAGAGAAACAAAAATTTATTTATTTATTTATCTCTATTTACATTTTTAATATCATCATTTTAGCTTGATTTGCTTTTTGTTGAAAATAATTAAGCTGTTAATTAAATTAAATTGAATGAAAACAAAATGCAGCAATAAAAAACTACTTTGATTAAAATTAGTAAATAAACAAATAAAAATTATAAAATCTACAATTTCTTTATTTATTTATTATAAAATATTAATTTGATCAATTGTCATTTAACTTTCTTTTCTTTCTATATTCAATTTGTTTTTCTAAGGTTTTTGAGGATCTTTCCTTGCTGTAAAATTTGCTTGTTGGGTCAACTGAATAAATATCGGTTTCATAAATAGCTTTGAAACGAGGATCATCTAAGGTTATATTAACATCTTTTTTATCTTCATTTTCAACTAATAGGGCTAGCTGAGCTCTTTGCTTTCTTGTCTCAGCAGTTTCTTCAATATCTTTACCTAGCTTTTTATTCTTTTATTGTCTAATTTTTTCCTTTAATTATTATTTTCTCTCTTTCTTTCTATCTTTTTCCAATCTCTCCTAAGTTTCAAACTTAGTTTCATTTTTTCTTTTTTATTTTTCAAGAATTTTGTTTCCAAGCTCATCGAAACCTTAATTGAACTTTATTTCAATTTCTCCTTCTTTTTTCTTTCTATTTTTTTTGTCAAAGTTTTTTTTCCAATTCATATTGTCAATTTCTTATTATTATCTCAAAGCTTCTTCTTCAAGTCTAGCAATTTATTCATCACTATCTAAATCTTCTAAGTGGTTATCTTCTTCATCACTTAAAGTCTCTTTTAACTCATCTTCATCAAATTCATCATCTGCAGGAGCTACATATTTACTCCAATCAATTTTTTCATAATCCTTTTCTGTCATTTTACCATCTAAAAATTTGAATCTATCAACTGGTTGATCCCAAGTTAATCTAGTGTTTGTATGACCAATGCTTCTATTAACTATATTCTTAACCTATTTAAAATAAATTAATTTTTATTTTCGTTCAATATATTTTAATGATTTCATACTTATGAGTCTGTTGGAACTTCATCACAAATTTCCTTAGGTTCATATGGAAAAACTTGATCTTCAGGGACAAATCTAAGATCTATTGGCATACCAGACATTTCAAATTCCATACCATCACAAGATTCGTAAATTTTCTCAGCTGTTCTTTTACAATCACATTCAATTACTGCATAGTAATATCTCATTCTCTATTTTTCATAATTTCTCAAAGCAACTGGATCTAAATCACCTTAATCATCATCGATACGGGCAGTAACTGTGTGATTTAACAAGTTTACTATTTTAAAATAAAATTTATTTATTTATGATTAAATAATATTTAAAAGGCAAATAAATACCTTTTCTTGATTCAAATAAGCTCTTTTCTTAACGTTTATTCATTTTTTTAGTAGTCTCGTTAGAGAAGTCATCCTCATTTTCTTCTTATTTCTTACTTTTTTTATCTTTTTTTGATTAGTTTTTTTTATCATTATTTTTATTCTACTTTTTATCTTTTTTATTTGCATCTTCAGTATCACTATCTACTATTTGATTTTCTTCCTATTTTTTCCAAATATTTTAAGGTCCTTGCTAATTTTCCAATTCCATTTATTTCAAACCAAATTCAGATGGGTAAACTAATACTCTTTTAATGACTCCAGTCTTATCTTTGAATGAATTAAAGAGTAGCATTATATCTTATGCATTAATATTTATCCAGTCATAGTTGAGCAAAGCTAATTTACTACTTGAGTTTTCAGAAACTGGAGGTTTCTCATTAGCTACTCCATAATAGAACTCTTCTTAATTATCTTCTTCATCTTCAAATTCAATATCTTCATCTGTTGAACTAACTTCATTCCATTCAAAGCTTCCTTTTGTTACAAATATTAAATTATAAATTTTTTAGCTCAAGTAATTAAAAAAAATATTGAATTATTAAATAATAATAATACCTTCATGCTCATTTTCTTCATCACTGACATCTTCAAAATCTTCTGAATTTTCTTCATCGTTTTCAATATCTTAATTGCTAGATTCTTCTTCGCCTTCTTCACTATCCTGTTTTTTAGAATTTTATTTCTTTTTAGAAACTGCTTCCTTTTAAGCTTTCTTTTTTGTTTTTTCTTTTTATGATTTATCTTCAACTTCATCTTATTATTGAGAATCTTATTCTTCTTCTTCGTTATAGTAATATTCTTCCATTTCCTTATTTACTCCATCATCTACATCAATCTTGTTTCCATATTTATCAGTTTTAGCTTGTATTTTAAACTTTTTATCTGTGAAGACAGAGTTAAATCTTTTATCGATCTTGACCTTTTTTTGCTTATTACTCATAGTCTTAAATCTAGGATCATAAGTAATTTTTGCAAATCTGTCATCAGCTTGTGCAGATTACTTAGATTTATTTTGAACACTCATATTTTAAAAGGTAAACAATTAATTTCTTTCTACTAATAACTTATAAAAATTGTAAAATTTTTAATTAATAATATGATTAAATATCAAATTTTTAATTAATTTAGAAATTAGACTTATTTTTATCTAATAGATCACATATATTTATATCTATCTTTAGATTTGTTTGATAGGCCATTATTTCAAAGATAAAAAATATAAGATTTCTGTTTTTCAAGTAGAAGAATTAGCAAAATTAATTTATAAATTTATAATTATTATTCATTTCCAATAAACAATTATTTTCAACAAAAAATTTAATTCTAACAAAAATAAAATTAAAAAAATCTTATTCCTATTTTAAAATTATCTAAAAAATTGTTGTTCTTCCATCCCAGTATTATGGTTATCTTTTGATTTATTTCATGTTTCATTTCTTCCTTCAAATAAATATAATTAAAAAAATATTAATTTTAATATATTTAAAATAAATTATTTCAAGATAAACGATTATGCTCAATTCCAAACAAGCTAACTAGACTCAAAGAATTTTACTTTCTAAATAAATATAATTTTAAAAAATGATTTATCTTTATAATATTAAATAATATCGCAAAATCTTCTATACTATTTTCTCTAAAAATGTAAAACTTAAGTTAACTTTCTATGATTATCAGATTATCAATATTTTTTTGTATTATTTGAATTTAATAATTAATATAAAATAAATTACTTTTAAGAAAATAAAAATATAAACTAAACAAATTATTTATATTTATTCATTGAAATTTCATAATACTAAAAAAAAAATTTACAAAGCATCAAAAGTAATTTTTTTTCAAATTATGACTATATTAGAATTATCTGATTTTCCAGATATTGCTAAGTGATTTTAAATTAAGCACATTTGCTAAATTTCATCTAATTCATATACAATTAATTTGTTTTTCAATTTGTTTCCTTCATAAAAATTTAAAATATTAGCATAGGAAATAATAAACCTTTGGCTATCAATTTAAAGTAAAGATTAAGAAAATTCATTAGAAAGTTCAGAAATTAATTTTAATTCCTTAGTAACTATGTTATATTCTCTGAGTGCAACTTTCTTATCATAAGAACCACTGAGTATGCTGACAATGTTTTCATTAGATTCTAAAATGCTAAGCAAATGGATCCAATCAGAATGAATCTAAATTGTATTAACAAGTTAAAGATCTTCATTTAAAATATAATGAAAGATATTTCCAGATTAATTAGATAAGAAAATGTTGTCTTGTAAAATTTGTGCTTTCAATACATTTTACTTGATTGTAAATGATTTTAGCTATTTATAATCAGTTAGGCTATAAAGATAAATTGATGTTTCACTAACAATAATTAACTAACTTACTAAAATATTTTCATTTTTATTTAATTCCAAAATTTCAACAACTTTTTCTCCTTATTATAATTCTATAATGTGAATGATCTCCAAATTATTTTAGTCTAATAAATAAATTCTGGGATGCTCTCTACTTTACTCACAACCACTAACACATACCAACTAGCTGCTCTTTATAAAAGCTATTACTTTTACTGGGCCATCAAAAAGCTATTTAATTATTTTTTGGCTTAAGTCTCCACTTACATCAAATAACTCTATTTAACCGTCCCAACCTCCTACAATTAATTCTTAAAAAATACTTAATATATCCAATTTATTGAAATCGTAGATTTAATATTAAATTTTTTAAAATAATAAATATTTATACTTTAACAATTAAATTAAAATGAATACTTTTAGAATAGTAAGAATCTGTTGCTATATTAGGGATAGATATTTATTGAGGATTGAACCTTTGAGGGTATTCTTTAAAAATATGAGATGTTTTGATCACATTATAGTCCTTCTAAAAATTTTACAGGCTTATTGGAAGACATGCATCTATTATATCCTTCTATATTAAATTATTATTTTCTGTATTTTAGTTTAATTCATCCTAAGCTTATATTTATTCGAGTTGCTCTAAGGCTAACTATATTATATTTTAAGATGAATTATCTTTGACAATATTTCTTTAGGATTACTATTATTAAGAATCGTGAAAATATTTAAGTAGATTTTCTTATTGTGAGCTTAAAATTCTCAAATCTTCTTCTTTTTAATCAAGTGGGTTGATTCTCAGTTAAAGTTAATTCAAATCTTCTAAAATAGATTAAATATCGCTTGTACTAGAAAACCTTTTTTATTTAATTTTTTTTTACAAAATATCTTCAATATCAGCTAAAAGATATTTTGCAAAACTATCCAAATTGTTTTCATCTTATTCATAGCTTTATTTAACTTTTTAGCCTATCAGATTTAAGGCATTCAAGTTCATATTACAAATTCTTTATGCTTAATTTGAAATAGTGAAATTGTAAATTTAAGTGTTCAAATACTATTGCATTTATTAACAGCATGAAGTAATATAATGCTAGTATTTTTAGTAATTAAACAATTCATTTTCGAATTCATCAAACTTATTAGAAATAGATTTGATAATTTCTTACTACATTTTTTAGAAAACACTTTCAGCTTATTTTATAAATTCATCTTTTTTTAAGGATAAATTTTTTCTGGTGTTTTCAAATTCTGGAACATCCTACTATATTTGATCTAACTTCGCTTATATCAATTAAATTCTGCTTTTTTATTCTTCAGAAAGCTATTTTTGAGGTATCCAATCTAACTGCTTCATATAGTAGAATTAAAAAAATAAATATTTTATAAAATTTTGTTTTTTTTTTCAACAAGTTTCTTTCTTATTTTATTTCCTAATGTAAATTAAAAATAGTTTGCTTGTATCTTTTAATTTATATATATATTTATTTAATTACTGAATATGTAGAAAAAAATCTTAGAAAAATACAAACCATTGATTGATTAGCAATAAAAAAAATATTACATCAAAAACGCTAATATCTTTATAATCAAATAATCATTTGTGGCTTAATTGTTAAAATTTTTAAGGTAAAAAATTTATATTTATTATCAAGTTAAGAAGAAGTAAAATATGAGGATCTTACCTTATTTTTTTTGAAGTAAAATAATATTTTGTTTTTAAGAGAGTATTCAATAAAATAATAAGATTAATAAAAGACTTATAAAAAATTTAAGTACTTTAAATGGAATTTGTTTGTATTTCTTTAAAAAAAATGCCATTAATAAATTTTTTATTCTAATTTATGTTGTTTAAAATTTTAAAATTAAGTTCATTAATGATCAAAGATTAATGACGCAATTTAATATATTTTTAAGAAATTTTTATACCATTCAAAGTATATATCTTTTCGTAAATACTTTACCAAATATTTATACTTAGACATATAATTTATTGAATGTTTACAATATTTTTAGATAAATTTATTTTATATAATTTGCTTTTTGTAAGAAAACAGAACTTACAAAAACGATTTTTACTATTTGAAAATGTTAAGTCAATTACCTTAAATCTTGTCTATACGTGCAGCATAATAAAAATAATTATGGGCTGTATTGCATTGTTAATAAGAAAGAATTTTAAATTAATTTACCTAAAACGATTAAGGTAATGAAACAATCTATGTAAAAGAAAAAACTAAAATACAAAAATATTAAAAAGAGTGATAGAATTAAAGTCTTGGCATTGATTAATTTTTCAGCTTATCAAAAATATGTGATGCAGTTTTATAGCACTTAAATGATTGATTTATTAAGCAAACAAACAAAGAAACAAGCAAGCAAGCAAGAAAACATTAAGCATGCAAACTAAAGAAAAAAAAAGGGCAAAAGAAATGTATATAAAAGATAAGCAAAGATAAATAGTATAGTACCGACCGATTTGAAGCATTCATTCATAGATTATTGATAATTTAGTTTAGACCTTCATTAAAGAAAGTAATTATAAAAAATTAATCAAAAAAACAAACAAAAAATAAATAATAGGACTGATTGAAAGCTGTTTGAAATAATAAATAATTTAAGAAAACATATTTGCATTTGAATATAAATATTACTATTATAAAAAAATCATTAAGAAAGCTGGAAAAGAATGGATCAATAAACAGAAACATTAAATTTAGATGACAACTAAATGTCAACTTTTGGAAAGATTATCTAGACTCTTTCTTAGTCTCACATTTTTGATTTGATTAAGATTGGACTTCTTGCATATTTTGTAATTATTATCATAATGACATTTAACAATAAAAGCAAAGTTAAGTCACAGCGCTTTAATAGCAACCACAGAGAAAGATTGTATAAACGTTTCGTATACTCAAATTTTGAAATTATGCGTGATTTAGATTAGGAAGAAATTTAATTAATGCAAGAAACATTTGAAAATACTGTTAAAAATGCTAGCAAGCCTGAATAAGTTAAATAACCATCATTTGCAACTAAAAAAAAAAATAAAAGGGTCAGTTTCCACAAAAACACTAAAAACTAATGAACCAAGATTTTTCAGCAAAAGATCTAATAAAAATCTTTTATATTTATTTCTAATCTTTAACAATTATATGCAAAAAATAAGAAATAGCTTCGTAAATTTAATTAATAGTGTGTTTATTGCTTGTTTTAAGTCTCCATTTACTTTAACTATTGCAACCATTTATCAGTTTGTATATTTCGGTGGAATGCACCAAAGCGTATTTATTACTATATTAAAAACCCATAGCAAGAATTAAAATAGTTAAAAAAATATATATAAATGGATATTATGTTTGTTTGCTTGTAATGCAAATTTTATGTTAAATTGTTTTTATTTCTAAATAAATAAGTAAATAAGTAAACTAAATTAAACAGCAACTTATCAAAAATATTTAATTACTTTTAACAATTTATTATGTTGTTTTAAATGCCTTTAAAAAAAGTGGCTTTCTTAATAAACAACTTGTTTAAATTACTATCTTCTTTCTATTCTAATTAAATTAATAAATTCATTTATTTATTCATTAAGTTATTTAGCTATTAATAGATTTCAATTTCATTTCAAAGAAATTTTATGAATATTTTTAAATCATTTCTATTGACCAAAATTTATTTTATAATTTTGAAAAGTTTAAAAAATAATAAATTCAATTAAATAAATACAATTTTAAATTTTTCTATTTAGTTTTAAGAATAATAAGCAGTATATTATATATAGATTTATATTTTATTAAATAAGTTTAAAATTTGATAAAGAAAATTTTATTAATTTTCCATCAATTTGTTTGTAACTTAAATTCATTATATTTTTTTTAATTTTAAATTTTCAACTATTTATTTTTACTATTTTACGAGATTGATTTTTTTAATTAAATTAAAAACTTTTTATTTTTTAAGAAAAAAAACATTTTGATTGAAAATAAATTTTCCAATTAAAATAATGAAATATTTATTTGATAAAATATGTTAGAAATACCTCATCATCAAAGCTAAATTTATCTAAGAAGTTCTTATTAACTTAAAATATTTAAGCACATCAATGCAAACAATTTTAAAACATATTTATTTATAATTTTAATTAATTACTTAATAAAGTAGTAAATATTAGAATAAAAAGTAAAAATAAACGTCTGATTATATTGAATTCTGATTGACAGAAATAGAAACTACTTTGTTAAAAATTGGAATAAATGGAGGTATTTTAAGTTATCGCTCTACTTATAATTTTTTAATTAAATTGCTTTATTCTAAGTCTAGCAAATAATTGTAGTAAGGAATTAGAAGAGCGCGAAAAGTTTTGAAATTTGTACAAAAAGATTAATGTTTTGATAGAAATTTTAAACAGTATTAAATAGAATGAAGCAATCTTTACAAATAGTGAATTTAAAAGGACAATAATAAAGATATTTAATTAATAATAACTTAGATAAATATTTATAATTATTAAATTTAACAATAAATTATTCATATCTCTACAATTCAAGAATATTTCTTCAAATTTTAAATGAGTGATAGGTGTTATAAAGGTGTCAACTGGGGTAATGTTACCTTTGAAGATGACTAATTAGTCCTTAGTCATAACAAGAGAAGATTGTGCAAACTTTCTTTAAAGAAATTCACAAACTCTACTGTTAACAAAACTGATATTGTAATTGATTTGAACACAGTTGATCTTCAAGATGAGTATCTTCATTTTTTTATTTTCCTCTAGATAGAAAAAAGATTCAAAAAATGTTTATTTTTACTTCAATTTTTGAAAAATAATGAATAAATTTACACAGAAAAGCCATTTTAGCTAATATTTTATGCATATAATTATAGTGAAGACTAACTCTGTGAAATGAGATTATTTATTCCTCAATAATAAGACGCTGTAAAAATTAGTATTTAGTTAATGTAATTTTCTCAAAAACAATGTATTAATTCAAAAGTAAATGAAACCTGAAGATGATGGAGAAGGTGAAGAAAAAGAAGGTGAAGATAGCGTAGGTGGATATGCAGATTAACTTAACTCTGAAATTATTACTAAAGCTAAAATTGGCTAATACTCTGGTTAATCAATAGTTAAATTCGAAGACATATCACTTCTTGTTCCTAGGTAAATTTTAAAACAAATTATCTAATTAGCTTCACATGCATTATGTTATACCACTTCCTAGGCCCAATAATATAAAATAATAAGTTTAAAAGTTTAAACATTATGAAAAATTGGCGAATAGTTTGCTTAGAAGTTATAGCATTTTTTATATATATAAAATAATATGTCTATATTAAGAAATAGGATTATGACAAAATTTTAGCAGACTTTATTTAAATCTTAAAATTTTATAAATATAATAGAGGTAAATACCAACTTGATATGTACAAAAAAACAGTAAGATTCCACGGCTCTTCTTTTAACTATATAGTAGAATATAGTAATGTTATTAAGGGCTTCCTCCTTCCTCAACCTGACGAAGTAAGAAGATTAAAAAGAGTTATAAGACAATTATAAATCATATTTTAAAAAAGGTACATGTTGCTTTCGTTCTTGGTTTAGATTAACCCTTAAAAATTGGTAATACTGTTCACTCTTACATAGTTATGCAATTCAAAAAAGAACAAAAGGCTAACATCAAAGTAAACATTGATCCTGAAGAAAAGAAGGAAGATAAATTAAAGGATCTCGATGAAGAATATGATGGATTCTTATATGAAATTGCTGGTTAATTGTTTAAAACTTTATGTAATAATGTATAAATCATCATGCCTGCTGGTTTCTAAAGGTAAACAATTAATTTTTTATTTTAGTTGAGTTAAATATAATTTAATAAATAACTAGCTCTGATAAGTAAAATTGCTTGAAATGTACCCTTAAAACTCACCAAGGTCTTTTATATCCTATGAGAAAGAGTTTGATCTTTATATATAAACCTGTAATTCACATATAAATCAGTGATATTTAAAAGGTCGAATTTAATAGAGTAAAATGAAATTTTTTGTCTAGAAATATTTTATTGAACAATTTGCCAAATAATAAAAAAAAATAGGTTGGTAATGCTACTCTGAATAAATTGTTTGATGTCAAAGTATTTACTAAGACCACAACCCCTCAATTCTTTGGTTTTGAAAGAAAGGAATTAGATGTCCTCTTAGAATACTTTAAATCTAAAAATATTAAGATTACATATGATGATACTAATTAAGGAGCCACTTTTGATGATGAGGATGAGGAATTCACAGACTCTATTTCTGAAGATGAGGAAGAAGTATAATTTATCTTTTTATTTATTTCTGATAAAAATTTATATTGTAATTAAAGGGTAAGAGAGCTCAAAGAAAGAGTGCTAAGAGAGCTAATAAAGCAGTAAAAGGATAATCAGGATTACCCCTTGACGATGATGACGAAGAAGAAGACGAAGACTTTGATGCTGATGAATTTGAAAGTGAAGATGATGAGGAAGAGGAAGAAGACGAAGATGAAGATGAAGATTTTGAATAATGATAAAATTGGATTAAAAAATTAACTTAGTATTGTAATTCCATAAAAATAAATAAATAAATGTATATATAATTTTCTTTTATCATAAGATTCTGCTAAATTTTATAATTAAAAATTAAAATCAACATAAAATAAATTTCTCTAAAACTTTTAAAATTATTAATTTTTTATCATAAAATTATGACATTTCAAAATTAATTTTGATGTAAAACATTTGTTTACAATTTATATTAAATATTAATTTAATAAGGAAGTATTATTTCATTTACAATTTTATTAAAGAGAAAGATTAATTGATAACACAAAATTTATTATGTTAAATAATAAATTGTAGGAATAAAATACTAAAATGAAATGTTTTAATTGATAAATTGTTTAAATATTAAAATAAAATTTATCATTTTAATATTAAATAGAGTGCATTAAATAAAAATATTCTTTAGGTTTTTACGAACTAGGAATTTTATGTAATCAAAATCATCTAAAAAAAATTAATAAAACATCAAAATTAATGTTAATGTTTTAATCAAAGACTATTTTCTTTAAATAAGATTTTTTAAATTTTACAATAAAATATGTAAATTCGATAGAATAAAATAAGAACAATAAAATCCAATAAAAAAAACAGTATTTAACAAAATAGAAGTTAAATAAAAATTAAAAATTATCAGCTATTTAAAATCACATGTAATTTAGATAATTAATTCTATCCGAATACTTTTATTTGATTTTTTAAAAATATTGATTACTTATTTATTTATCTCATTTTATTTTTCAAAATTTTGTTTTTTATTTACTTATTTAACTTTCCAGAATATATTTATTAATATAACATTTCAATATTTCATTAATTAATTAATTCATTGTATCTACTCTAATTAATATTTATTTAAGAAATTTAATATTACAGAAATTTCTAATTTTTTACATCTACTTTATTGAGTTACATGATCTTCTTATCTATCTATTTAATCAATACTTATATTTAAAAATGATTAAAAAAATATTAAGCAGAAAATGCTCAGATTATTTTTATAAGAAAAAATTTAGAATACATTTTTATTTATTATTTATAAAATAACCTAAATTTTTACTTTATATTTCCATTTTTTATTTAATAATAATAATTTTATTTGAAATATAATATTTTTACTTACCTGTTAGATGCATTCATTTATAAGTAGAAAATGTCATAATCTTTTAATTAATGATTTATTAAGAAAAGAAAATTTCACATAAAGTTAACAATGATAAGTGAAATGTATTGATATCTTTATTTGTTAATTTCAGTAGTAGCAAAGATTTTAATTTAAAAGTTTAATTGCTAAAAAATATTTTTGGTTTGTACTGATTGATTAAAGCAATGTTATTCATTTTTGAGAAATGTCATATGAAACATTCATTAAATATTTCTGAAATTGAAAAATGGAGCTTAAAAATTTAGAATTTTTCATATAAATTGTAAAATATATTTGTAATGAAAGAAGGAGAAAACGAAAAAATGAATAAATAATGTCATATAGGTAATGATAGGTTTAGTGCGAAATGCGTGACTTGACGTCAATTACATATTTCGACTGTTGTTAGTATGTAAAATATATCATTAATTGATACAAATAATATTTATTTTGTTCTAAAAAAAGTTATTTTGAAAGAATAAAGAAATTAAAAAAAACTAATAACAATTACCGAAAAAAAAAGAAAAAAACAGCAAAAAGCGAAGTGGGAATGGAAAGAATTACTGATCTCAATTAATAAATTATCACTAACGAAACTGGTGAAAAGGAATACTACACAGTCACAGATAATAGAAATGGTGCGTTATTTTTATTTAGTTTAGGCAGCAATCTCCTAATTTGTTGTTTTATTTTTTGTTTTCACTCTACTTATTTTAAACTAGAGATTTATTTTCTACTTATTCTCCTACCTACAGTCCAAAAAGAAATTTACTAGTCAGTTCAATAATAATCATTAACTTTTTAATTATAGGCAAAACTTATGAAGTTCCTATCAGAAACTCTAGAGAAGGAAGATATATAATGGCTAAGGATATTGGTAAAATTAAAGATGCTGAAGGAAATGTCCTCCGTGTCTACGATCCTGGTTATATGAACACTATTGTTAATGTAATTTATTTTATTTGTATTTATTTAAAGTTAATGTAAAACGATATCAAACTCTTAAGTCTTTATTTCTTATTTAAACAAATATTTTCTTATAGTCTGCTAAATAATATTATATTTTTTTAAACAGACTTCCAGAATTTGCTATATTGATGGTGACTTGGGTGTATTAGAGTATAGAGGTATTCCAATTGAGTAGCTTGCTGAGAAATCTACTTTCTTGGAAGTAGCTTATCTTCTTATCTACGGAGAATTACCAACCAAGACCCAATTTGAAGAATTCAACTAAAGGTATTTCATATTTCTATTTTTAAGATAAAACTCCTCCTTTTAATAAATATCTCAAAAACGATTGATTCCACTGGTCTGATGAAAATGAGCAAAATTTAAAATTAAAGTGAAATTAAATGGCTGAAACAATAAAAATATTGGTTTTAGTTAGTTTAGTAAAACATAATCATATGAAAAGTAAAATCAGAAGATGAAAAGGAATACATTTTTAAACTTTAAGAAAAAATGAATTTGAAAATTTTTCTTTCATTAATTATGTTTGAACTAGGAATATTTAAAGTTATCAATAAATTATTGATCATTTAATGATAATAATTATTGATCAATTTATTGATTGATTAATAAATAAATAAATAAATTATTTAATTATATATTGGAATAAAGCAATAATTTATTATTAATTTAAATAATTTTTTTTATTGTTGATCAGCTCATAAATACTAATCCTGACCATTTAAATCTTTTAAAATAAATCTAATAACATTTAAAACGGAAAAAAGAAACAATTTATTTTTATTATAAAAAGAATTTCAGGTCACACATTCTTGCATACTGATGTCTTACAAATGATGAAACACTTCAGATATGATGCTCATCCTATGGGTATGCTTATTAGCACTATTGCAGCATTATCTACTTTCCGTCCTGGTTCCAACCCTGCCTTAGCTGGTTAAGATATCTATAAGGACTTGAAGATTCGTAACAAATAAATTTATCGTATTCTTGGACAAGTTCCTACTATTGCTGCTAACGCTTATAGATCTCGTATTGGTAGAAACTTCAACAACCCATCTTCTGATCTTCCTTACGTTGATAACTTCCTTTACATGATGGATAAATTAAATGAAAATAAATACAAGCCTCATCCTAAGTTAGCTAAGGCTTTGGATATTCTCTTTATTCTCCATGCTGAACACGAAATGAATTGCTCAACAGCATTTGTTAGGTAAATAAAAATTTAGATAATATAATTTAAAGTAATCATTTTATTATAATAAAAATTAGACATTTAGCTTCTTCTGGTGTTGATGTATACTCTTGCATAGCTGGTTCTGCTGCTGCTCTTTATGGTACATAATTATTAGCATATTAAATTAGCTTTAAATAAATATAAGATAGCTTAGCATAAAATTAAGTGCAGTTAATTTTAAATATAAATTTTTAAAATAGGTCCTAAGCATGGTGGTGCAAATGAAGCCGTTTTAAGAATGCTTGAATAAATTGGTGATGTTAAGAATATTCCCTCTTTCATTGATAAGGTCAAGAATAGAAAGGCTTTACTTTTCGGTTTTGGTCACAGAGTCTATAAGAACTACGACCCTCGTGCTAAAATCGTCAAGAAGACTGCTTATGAAGTTTTTGAAATCTGTGGAAAAGAACCTTTAATTGAAATTGCCATCGAATTGGAAAAGATAGCTCTTGAAGATGAATTTTTCATTAAGAGAAAGTTATATCCAAATGTTGATTTCTACTCTGGTGTTATTTATAGAGCTATGGGTTTCCCCACTGATATGTTCCCAGTCCTTTTCACTATTCCAAGAGTTGCTGGTTGGTTAGCTCATTGGGTTGAATACCTCGATGATAAGGAAAACAACATTGTTAGACCCAGACAAAACTATGTTGGCTATGCTAAAAGAGATTATGTTCCTATGGAATAAAGACAAGAAGTAATTAACAATTAATTAAATTAAAATTTTTATCATTCATTATAATTAATAGGCTAAATTTAACTTAGAAAGCTCCAAGAGTTCTACTTCCAAGAGAAGAGAAGCTGGTACAAGCGTTGTTTTGTGAGAAATTTAAATATTTAAAATATATAATAATATAATCTTATACTTCTAACCTCCATTATATCAAATGTATTCTATATTTTATATACTTTTTATTTTCTTCTAACTCATAAGATTTATCTACTGCTCAATGTTGCTATTTCATTTTAAAAATCAAATTTATTTATTTGAATACTTCAATTTTTAAATTAAATATTTTAATAAAATGCTTAAAAATTATTATTATTAATTTAAAAATTTAAGTTTAGTCTACTTAATTAAATAATTATAAAGAGTAATTAGTATTATAGATCTGAATTAAATTGTCAATATCTTTTTCCAAATATACTTTTAAATATAACTTATAAGTAAAATAATAGATATTCCTAATTTATTTTTATAAATTAAATAATTTACCCAACTTTATTATTTTTAAATACATTTACTTGTTTACAATTAGGAAGAATTATATTTATATATTGATAATTTAAATGATAAAATTATAAACTTAATGAATTAAAATTATAAAATTTGGTTTTTTTATGGAAAGAAAAAATTATTTACAAGTAAATAAAACTTAAAATATAAATATTTAATTAGTTAGTTAGTTAGATATTTTTGATTTCAAGATAAATCTAGTTTAGGGATAATGACATAATTTAATTTTCTAAACCAGAATGGTAAAACTTCTGCTATTTTATGAGCTTAGGCCATTAATTCTATTTTAATTAAAACATTAAATCAAAACAACATTAATTAAAAAATTTACAATCTCCCTCTGTTTCTCTGTTTGGAATTCTTTGGAGTAAACTTCCATACATCTAGAGACAGAGTATTTTATTATAGTTATCATTCTATTTATTTTTAATTTTAAAAAAATTATAAAATTGACAATTTAAATATGTTTTTATTTTACTTCTCCAATCATTTCTAAAGCTTACTTAAATAAACCTTCTGCTTTTTCAACCTAATTTTAAAATTTTAATTTTTTATAAAAAAACTTAAATTAAATAAAATAAGTAATTAATATACATCATTATAGTTTGTGCAGAAAACACCTAATGTGATTAAACATCTCTCAATGTTGTTAGGATCAACAGTTTCAAAGAATCTCAAGGCATATTTGAACCAAAAAGTAGCTTCCTATTTTAAATGAAATATTAAATTTTTATTTTTTTCTTTAATAATGAAGGAATTACAAATCGTTTTTGAGGACTTGTGTGGAAAATAAATTCTTAGATATTTAACAAGGGGATACCACATTCTTACTTAGTCAAAATCATACTTGTGTTAGGATCCTATTTTAAATTAGTATTATGAGATTTTTTATTTACAGAAAATATTATTTATTTTTCATTACAAATTTCTTTAAATCAGATGGGATTATTTTTTCTGATTCTAATAATTGCTTGTATTAGATTCTTTATTGGAGTTCTTTTACTTAGTCTACATTTTCAATATACCAAATAGCCTTCTTAAATAATGGTATGACATTATCAAAGTCAGCATCAATTTGTTAAAAGGAGTAGATAGGTTATTCTTTTTTTGAATGGACAGAGTGAGAGTCTTCAATTTCATCAAAGTCAATAAGATCTCTTAGATTAGGGTGCTTGTGCCACCAGCATGCGACTGCTAAGTTGTTTAAGGCATATCCTCTCAAGAGAGGGTTAGGATCTTACATAATGCATTCTCTAAGACGTTATTTAGCATCAATAAAATTACCTCTCAACAAATATGCTGTCTGATTTTTGATTTAAATTAATTTATTTTACAACTATTATGACTATCATTAAATAATAAAATAAATACTCCCAAGTTGAAGGTAAAAATCTTTTGATAAGCAGCAGGGATATTCTTCTTTTCTTTTTCACTTAATAATGCCTTACCCAAAATAATAGCCTATAAATATTAAATGTTTTAAATAATTAAATCGTCTAAAGTTCTATTTTGTTAGTATCTACCTTATTTAAGTTATATTTTAAGCAGTGCAAAAATAAGTTATTGTATTCCTTATAAATCAAAGAGTCTGTAGTAGATTTCTTTTAAAGAATCTCAATTATTTCTTCGATTGTATTTTCAGCTTCTTGATATCTTCTCAACTAGATTTAATTGCTAACCATCCTATAGATTAATTAATAAATTTATTATTTATAAAATTATTAATGAGTATTTCTAATCGTAATCATATTTTTATAAATCTCTTGCAATTATATTTTTTCAATCTCTTTTTTAGACATATATTAAAAATATTTATTTAATCTTTCCTTTTCATCTATACTAACACTTTAGTATTTTGTTTTAAAATTTAAAAGATTAAAATTCAAGCTTTATCATAAATAATTGTCCTACTTTTTAAGTACACAGATATGATCAGAAGAACCCTATTATCCTGACTTCTTAATTGATTCAATTGTTCTTCTGAAAAATTCATGAGAAATTCTATATTTTCCTTGACTGTAAAATTGAAGGGCTTTTGTATATTCTTCAGTTGTTTACATAATTTGTTAATCTTAAGGATTTATCTCCTACTGTTTGTTGAAATCAGAGGTTTCATGCTCCTTACCATGTTCGTGTTCATGAATATGATTATGACCATGATGATGATCGTGGTCGTGGTCATGATCATGATTGCAATCTTTAGTATGAACATGCACATGCTAATGCTGATGTTAATGAGATTGCTTATCATTAACGCAGAAATTAAATTTAATGAATTAACTGAGAAGCTATTAGTTATTTCTAATATTTATTTAACTTTTAGACAAATTTTTGAGCAAATTTATTGAACCCCTTAAAAACATTTCCTATATTCTAGTGCTTGAGTAGATTTTAAAATACTTAAATACTATTGTATTATATTAGTTATTGGAAATCTTAAATTAAATTTTAATATTGTCTTTAATTTTTTGATAAAATTCTTAGTAGTTTATTTAGTTAATCCCTTTTTTTATAGAAAGCAGATATTTTAACAAAATCAAAAATAGAAAGATAATTCGAGAAATATAAATAAGGATGTTTGAAAAATATCCAAAATAAAGTAAATCTTTTAAAACTTAAAGTACAAGAGCTTAATGTAAATTAATAAAAATTAAAAGTTTGAATAACTTTGTATCAGTAATCTAACAAATATTTGTTTAATTTAATATTAAAATAATCCAATAAAATCTTTAAAATTAATTTTTTTCTATTTTTAAAAAATAATTTTCATTAGTTTAGAAATATCAGTTTATTTTGAAATTTATTTTATTAATTTCATATGATACCATTTGATAATTTTATTTATTTTTTTTGTATTTTTGTTAATCAAAGAGAGAGTTCTAAAAAATTAATTTTTTGAATTTGTGTTAAAAATGCATTGATGTAATTTTATTAAAGATAATATTTATTTATTTAATTATTTCAATTATTGTCGAGTATTTCAAGATGATATTTTTATATTGTTTTTTACATATTATTACAAATCTAAATCATCGTTATATTCTTAATCAATATTATTTTATATAGAAACACTATTAGTAGCCTAACTAAATGGCAGTAAAGGGATTTAATCAATCATTTTTTTTTCTAAGCTTTAAGCTAATGTTTATTATTACTTCCGTTATGGAGAAGTGCCACTTTTTATTATTCGTGAGTCATCTTTTATCATCTATGAAATATTATTGTTGCTATTCTCTTTTTATTAGTTTAGGACTAGCTTATATTTTTATTCCAACTTTCTTATTTATTAATCTTATTTCATGTACTATCTTATACTCTTAGATATTTTTTCTTAATTTTCGTTGATTTTTAGTGGATAAAAACTAGCATAATTTATATTGCAAAACTACTTAGATTGCTTTAACTGTTACAACTTTAAATTTTATAGATATTTACTAACTTTGAATTAAAATACTTAAGTTTCCTATTAAGATTTCTGAATTTGATTGGGCTAGCAACTTGAATTAATAGGTGATTGATTGACTTTATACCCAAAAAATTAGTTAGAATCATAAGTTATATGCTCATTTTTGTCATTGATTGCTCTTATCGTAAACTATTTTATCTTGTTTATCTTATTTTAACTTTGAAGAGATAGATTATTGGGTATTCCCTAGTTAAAATGGTTTGATAATGACCTTCTATTTTTATTTAATTTTAAATTGCTTGTTTCTTGCTTTTCTTATCTTAAAATTTTTAAAGTTTCATAAAATTTGTTTGAGAAATTTTCATTTTATAAATTTTCACTTTTTTTTTCATCACTTTAGTGAAGTGATTAAACACCTCTAATTCTCAGTTATTTTTAACTTTCTTTTTAATCATCAATAATTTCAATATTCTTAGATCTAGGAGTTCTTAAGCTTTAAGCTCTTTCCTTATACTCCTGCAAGAAATTCTATTACTATTTTTACTGAGGTGTTTAACAATTATATTTTATCATATTATTATCATCAAAAGTACATTCTTTAAGTTGTAAATTTTCTAAATTTTGATTTAGATTTGCTATTTTAAGGATTAAAGATTGGCTTTTTGAAAAAAAAGAAGTTTAGTCATCTGGTCTTCGCATCTTTTAAATCAAAACATTATTAGTTAATTCTACTTGCTATTTCTTTTCAAAAAGGTTTAATGTTCTTTGAAATTTTAATGCTTTTTGTTAATCTTTGCATCTTGTTGTAAAAAAATTATCTTCTATTTTATCGCTTTGCCTAAAATCTTTTCCATAAGCGCTTTATTAATACTTTAAATTTATAAAATTAAGCTCGCTTTAGCATCTTGTTTTTTTAGGGGTTTTCCTTGAAATACTTTCTTTTTATTATGTTGTGTACAGGATGTCAGGGAAAAAGACAGCTTGATTTCTGTTTATCCTTTGAAATATAAAATTCTATTTGTTAATCTCCTGCATATTTTATATACTTTAGTAATATTATAATTATATATTCTATTGTTTAATTAAATTTGCAGCAATTAATTAAGCTTAAATAATAACAAAACTTAAGAATTAATTAATTAACACATATGCACATATAACTTTTAATCTAAAGTAGAACCTAACAAATTGAATTAAATTATAAGTGCTGAATAAAAATTAACTATAATCGTATGGGTTTAATTCGATCAATATAAACTTAAACAAATTAATAATTCAACTTAACTTTAACTCATATTCTCACATAGTAGTTAAAATACAAAATAATATATTTTACTTTGTCAAAATAGCCAAGCACAATTTAATTTCATTTAAAATTAAGAGCTGAATAAGTAGGTATTTATTTATTTTAGTTATTAAATTTTTTTTTTTCATTAATTGATTATAATTCATAAACAATAAATATTTGAAATTTTAATTGATAGATTTATAAAAATTAAAATTAAATCCATTTTCTGAATAAAATTAAATGAGATAAATTAAAAATGAATTAATTCAGTGATGAAAATGGTTTTAAGTCTGCTAAAATATCTATCAATTTTTTTTGAAAATTCTAATTTAATATTAGATAATGAATATAAATTTTTTGTTTGTTTTGTATCTTTTTTGAAAAAAGAAGTAAGTCTAGCTATCTTTTTTAAAATTTTATTTAATTTATATTTCAATTCAGAAAATATTACATTATTTTGAGTAAAATATTTAATCTTTCTCTAAAGAAAATGTTGTTTGTTTTATTTTATTTTTAACTAATTTGCACTATAGCCGATTACAATAATTGTTTTGTTTGACATGCAAATGGCAAATGAATGCTGATTGAGATATTACAGCAATTTATTGATAGAGATAAATTCAGAATGTATTGAATGGAAGAATAACTAAGATTATATCATAATTAAACGCGAATATACAAAGACAAAAAGATGATATGCACGAGCTATATTAAAAATCTTTTCTTTGCATATTGCTACTTGAATGAAATAAGAATATTAATCATATATCTTCCTTGTTTCATACTTTTAAGCGCTTTTTTATATTAACTTTAACTTTTATTTCTGCAGCTAACCTCCTACTTCATTTAATTAATTATAAAAAATGAATAAATATCAAAATTTATAAGAATATTAGTAGTTATCCTCCTTCTTCAACTCAAATAACCTTTACTAATTTAAATCCTATTCCAAATTATACTTTAAAATAACTACTATTTGCATAATTTCATATCTATGCTTTTAAAGTAAATCTCTTGAAATCACTTTATTTTGATCAATTGATTGAATTATAACAATTTCAAATAACACAAGTGCAATCTTTTTTAAAATGATATTTATTGCTGTATTAAATATATTTATTAAATTTCTCTGCTACTTATGTCACTTGCTTTAGACCTGCTAAATAACCTTAAAACTTTTTAATTTACTATCAAATAATTATGCAATCTTTATATATATTTTCTTTTGTTCAAACACTTTATTCTTATTGAGTTGGATATAGGCAGCTAGGCTAGGTGAGTTAAGAGGATAAAAAATAAAATAGCAAAGATAGGGATGTAAAGGTATTTACCCTCAGAATTTGTGGGGAGCAACATAGTCGAGAGGGAATTCGGTGGCAGTAAGGTCTTGATTTAATTCAGGGAATCTGAAATTCTTGTTGTAAAGTTATTGAGAGAGCTTTCTCCAGATACCAGGCTTTTGTTATTTAATACGGTTTCTAACATAAGCACCATCTGCGTTGTTAGAGCAGATAATTTCAGTGTAAAGTCTTCTAGGAATAGGAGTGGTGTAGGCGTACCAGCAAGTGAAGGGGAGAACAACACTCATTAAGGAAAATAAGTTTCTGTAACCACTGTGACCTCTTCTAACCTTACCAGTAAGCATATGAGAAATACCATATGCAACAGGGAAGCAGTATAATGGGACATAAGAAACACCATACATACTAACTTCGTGTAAGTTCTTGAATTTCATTAAACCTTATGGGGAAAGCTTTTCATCTAATAAGCAATCCAAAATGCTGTAGTAATCTTCGTAAGACAAAGAAACGTCTTGTCTATCACCGTTACCCCAAAAATGATAATTGTTATCCATTTCTTGCTTTTTATTTATATGTTTTCTTTTCTTTTGCAAACAATTTATTTAAGCAGAAAAAGCTTTATCTTCTTTATTTCCTTTATTAAAATTAAATGAAAGAAAGAAAGATTCTTAATCATATTTTCTTTCTCCTTGTTTTTCTCTCTTTTCCTAATATTTATTTTTTCAACTCTCATCTTATCTTCTTTATTTATCAAATCATCTATTTTGTTAAGTATTTACAAACTTAATTCTTAATACAGCTCAAACTCCTTCATTTATCTATGTAATTCTTCTGCAAACTATTTTTTTTTTTTTCATTAAAATAATTCATTCAATCTATCAATCATTTAAAGTATCTTGAAAATCATTTGATTTCTTTGTTTTACATATAAAGTTGTTTTTATTTTTAATTTATTGATTTATTATTAAAAGCAAGCATACAAATCTTTATTAAATTATTATTTTTATTTATATTCTATCATTTTATTTGAAATGCCTCCTAATCAATCAGCATCTTTGTAAAAATAATTTTATTTAATAACTGCTTTAGCTAAATTATTTTTATTCAATTTAATTTTTATTTTCAAATTTTATTCAACAAGTTTAACTGAGATAGATAATATACTTCATAAAAAATAATTATATATTTTCAAAAAATAATAGTTTGAGCAAAAAGATCTTCTTTTAACAAAAGTTGAATGCAGTCTTTTGAAAAAAATCAAAACTGTTATTAAATTGCTTGCTAAAATATTTTTAAAATTAAAAATAAAATCTCAATACTTATGTGAGAATCAAATCAAACTAGTAAATTAATTCAAAAGTATTTTAAAATTACTCAAAATAACATAAGAAATTAGTTGAAAAAATATAAGGACATAGATAATTCATATCTTAAATTATTATTTAAGATATTAAATACCAAACATATTAAATATTGAAATCATATTTTATTATGTATTTTTTTATAGTTCTATCTCTAATTATTTAATTATTATATTTATATCTTAAATTATAAATAATTTAAGACTTTAATTAAATAGTGATAAGAAGTTATATAAATAGTTCTTTCCTGATATTGGTTTAAAAAGTATTAATTTTAGATAGCTTTTAGTATCAATAAAAAATTTCAAATTTATTTGAAGTAGATAAAGAAATAAATAGATAAAATTTTTATAGTAAATTTATTTATAATTATAAAAATATCAATTATGATTTCTAAATTTTGTAAATTCTCTTAGCTAAAGTTTAATTTTGTTGAAGTTAAATCAAATTATTAAGTTCTAAATAAATATTAACAATTATTCAATTAAATAAAATAAAAATATCATAAATAAATAAATAATTGTAGGAAATTTCAAAATACAATCTTTAGAAATTTACTTTTAAAATTTAGCAGAAAAGTTTTCAAAAATATATTTTTTTTATGTTTTAAAGTTTATAAAAAGTAAAATTAATTTTTAATTGATAGACCATCTTTTATATTTTATAAAATACAGATAACTTTTATTAAAAGTAAATATTGAATCTATTGCTGCTATTTTTAGCATTAAATTGATATTTTAAATAAGTAAGTTTAATAAATAATTAATCATTTTAAATTACTATATGCTGATAATCATATAAAAGTATTTAATCAAGCTTTTTGGTCTATTTTTTTTGGATTTTAAAATAGTAAGCAATAATATTTTTTAAAAATTTTAATTTTAGAACTATTTACTTTTATTATTTGAAAAATATATAATAAGAATAAATAATATGAATTAAGTATCTGTAGCTGTTTTTGATATATCTTTTTTTCTTTAAAAATTTTGAAAATTTAATACTAAGTTGGTTTTAAAAAATTAAAAGATTTTTATTTGAATTTTTTTTGAGAAAGATCAATCAGCTAAGAATTTAAATATAAACATTAAATAAATTTTTATCTAGATTTCTATATAAATCTATGTATATAGAATTTAAATAATTACCTCATAATAACAATGAGCTGAACAAATTTTTTGTGATCATCCATAACATAATTTATTATATTTTCATCCTTTAATTAATTCTTATCAATAAGTATATCAGTAACTTATCTACAAACAAATTATTAGAGATTTTAAATAATAATTTTAAGAAGAAGATTTGAGTTTATAATGAAAATAGTAAAATCCTTTTGTAAAAAGCTTTATAATAATTAATTGATTGCTTTTTTTAATTATATTTTTAACAATAAATAGCATTTTCTTGTTATTATTTTTTTAAAAAGTGCAATTTTAATAAAAATATGAAAAGATAAAATTAATTTAATTTATAAAGAATTTTATTTTTATTCACAAATTAGTTTTGATTAATAATGAAAGGAAATAATAGTTAAAGGGATTGAATTTAATATTTGTGTTTCCATTTTAACTAAATTTAGAATTTAATCGAAAAGAAAAAACCTTTTTTTAAGTAAATAATGCGAACATAAGATAAAAAAATAATGAATTTAGAATTTTATAGAGAGAAATAATTAAATAATATACTAAACAAAACATTTGAAAGCGAGTGTAATTAATAATACAAAAATCTTATTTGGCTAATAAAAAGGTAAGAATATACTTTTTTAATTTAAGAAATGTAAGTAAATCAAATAAATTTAGAATAATCTTTTATAAATAATTAATAAAAAAATTAATAAGGATTATTTCGATTACTACTTACGTGTGGTATTGTTTTATCTTAATACTCTTCAAAAAAAATCAAAATTAAAACTAGAAAAACTAAGTAAGAAACAGAGATGTACTACTACTTAGGAAAATATTATCATAATTTTTTATATACACTTTTCTTATATGTATAAATATTTATATAATTTGTTGTAAGTAGACCGTAAAAGCTTTCTTTTTCATTATAGGTTCAACTAAATTTATGCTTAACTTATAAATTTTACTCTATATTTGCTTAAAAACTAAAAATAATTTACAACTTAAAGCTTAATAATGATCTCTAAAAATAATTGCCTGTAGGATTTAGAGAGCTCTTAGATAAAGTCTATTATAACCTGAAACGGGAATCAAATCATTGTTTATAATCTAATTTAAGTACATATTTTATGTACTTACAAATACTTTGGAAAATGCAGAAGTAAAAAGATATTTTCTTAAATTACAGATATTAAATTTTTTAGTTTTTACAAAAACTAAGTAACTTAGTTAAATAGTAATTTTTTTATACCTTAAAGGTAAAAAAAACCTAAGATAAAACTTTAGAAAATATGTATTAAATCTCAGAATAGATTTTTAATGATATATTATATGTGTACATATGCAAGTTATATCAATTTAAAAAAAAAAGTTTGCTATTAGTTTAAATGGATTAGCTAATTACAGAAAGTTAAAGAAAATTAAGTAGTAAAATCCTAAATGTTTACTTTTCCAATAAAGAAATACTATCTATCTATATATCTATCTATATGAGGTATTTAAACGCTTCAAATCTTAAAAAAAGATAATCTAAATTATTTATTTGATTTTTTTATTCCACTTTAGTTTGTATTGGTATATATGGAGCAAGCAAGCAAAGAGTGGGGAGAAACTTTGTTAAAATATTAAATTTTGGAAATACAAAATACTATTAATTAATAGAAGAATATATATATCTTAATATCATCTTAATAGTACAATTAAATAGTTAAAATCATATTGGGGTATTTCTTTGCTTTCACTTATACTTTAATTTTTTTCTCTTAATGTAAATAGAAATCTTAAGTAATAACTTTATTAAGCAAATTTTGCCTTTTGTTTCAGAAAATATATTTTTATCACCGCGGAGTGATTAATTTTATAATTTAAATTAAATAGGAACATTCAAAAATTTAACAGAAAAGAGTAGGAGATATTTGAATAATATCTTTTTAAACATCTATAAGCTTTTGAAAAATGTAAGGTAAAAACCAACAGCCAAGAAATACAAAATATGAAAACGAAAAAGAATATGTGTAACTTTTTATAAAGGAAGGATATGGTAAGGGTTTTTCGTTAAAATGGATGATTTTCATTTAGTTTTCTTGAACAGTGCTTTTAATAAAAGAAATAAATGACTTTCGTCAAATATTTTTGAAATTAAAAAAAAGATTGTATAAGTCAAGTCTTTCGTATTATCAATCATTCAGGGAAAAAGAGCCCGTCGTATGTATATAAATTTAGGCATATGCTTTGCTTTGTTTTTTTTTTTGTTAAGTTAATGATTGAATGTATTAATAAATTAAATACAATTAATTGAATTTATTATATTTTTAGAACAAAAATTAAATAATTAAACAAGGTCCTTTAATAACTTGTATAAAAATCCAATTTACTTTTGTATTGGAAATGACTGAGTAATTAAATGTATATTTTTATTAACATTTCTAAATCAAAGCAAATTTAATTATAAGGAGTGGGGGAAAACTAAATAAATAAATATCAAATAAAGTAAAATAAATCAAAATATATGGCTCAACTATTAAGGATATCAACACAGTTGATTCATTTCATTTAAAATTCCATAAGCCTTTTATTTTCTTTTATATTTCTTTTGGGGCTAAGATTTCTTCTTACTCTATTGAATGCAGTGTAGAGTTTAAAAGGGATTTTGGATTGATAAATAATTACGTAAAAAATATAAATCATCAAAAAATCACAAACAAACAGAAGAAGAATAAAGATCGATCAAAAAGATTTATTTTTTTTCTAATAAAAATGCTAGGTGCTAATTATAAAAAGACTCATCATTAGGAGTATACTGAGCCTATTCCTGAGTCAGCTCGTGGTTCAGTCATTCGTACATTCGAAGAATTGAGGTAATCCCTCTAATTGAACAATGCTGTCACTGAACATAGATAGAGCTAGATGTCTAACAGATAGAGCAGTATGAATAGAGATCGTAATATGAATGCTGGTGATAATGGCATCAGATAATCCATCAATTAATCTCGTAAGTACTAAGAACCTAATTCCTAATACAAAGCTACTGTTCCTGAACCCACTAATGAAAATAACGAAAAGGAGCATAAGAATTAAACCAAAGAAGCTTTGGGAATGATGGACGACCACAAGATCCCACTCGAAGAACTTCGTGAGCGTTATCAAACCGATTATTAAAAGGGTTTGAGCTCAACAAAAGCTACTTAACTTAATGAACAATTTGGTAATTAGAATATTTATTCAAGTCTTTAATTGAGGAGTATAAAATGTTTATAATTCATCAGTAATTTTATTTTTTCTAACACTCCTTGATACCTACCTGAACAAAGTGCTAAGTTATCAAGCTAGAAAAAAAGGAAATCCCAATTCCGAAAGCCACTTTAAATATATTAGAAAAATAGGTCTTTCAAAATGACTAAATCATAGATAAATTACTGATTGATATATAAATAAATGTTTATCCCTCTGTTTATTACTAATTGTTTCATATTTATTTAAAACATTTATTCATTTCTCTTTTCAACAAAAGGTGACAACAAACTTAGTGAAAAGGAAAGAGAACCCCTCTGGAAGAAATTCTTGAAGGAAGTCTCCAATGGTTTCGCTATTATGCTTTGGGTTGGTGCTGCTCTTTGTATCTTGGTCTATATCTTGTAAACTGATGATCCTTCCAACTTATATTTGGGTATCGTCCTCATCTTAGTTATTTTCTTGACAGGTTATATTACTTTCTAATAAACTGCTAAATCAGAAGCGCTGATGGAGTCGTTTAAAAATTTCCTGCCGTAACAATGTACAGTTATTAGAGATGGTGAAAACAAGAGTATCGACGCCCTTAAGCTTGTCGTTGGTGATGTTGTTCTTGTCAAGGCTGGTGAAAAAATTCCTGCAGACATTCGTATTTTGATGTCTAATGAAATGAAGGTAGATAATTCTCCACTTACTGGTGAATCAGAACCTCTTCTTAGAACAACTGAATGTACTCACCCTGAAAATCCCCTTGAAACAAGCAATCTCGCTTTCTTTGGTACACTTTGTAAGGAAGGTTAAGGTAGGGGTGTTGTAGTTCGTATTGGTGATAATACAACTCTTGGTCAAATTGCAGATCTCTCTTCAACTGATAAGAAAGTAAAGAGTCCTCTCAGACAAGAACTTGATAGGTAAATTTTATATAAAGGATATTTTTTAATTTCGTGTTTTCAAATAGATAAATTTGTGAATTAAATTATCAAATTAAATTAAAAATATAAAAATGACTAACTAAAACAATCTTAATAATGCTGAGCTAATTTTCATTTATAATTATAGATTCGTTATCATGATTACAATTATTGCTCTTTTCTTGGGTGTTTTGTTCTTCTTACTCGCTTGGTTGCTTATGCATTATAACATTCTTTAATGTTTAATTTTCGGTATTGGTATTTTGGTCGCTAACGTCCCTGAAGGTCTTTTAGGTTGTATTACCATTTCCTTGGCTATTACCGCTAAGACTCTCTCTGAAAAGAATGTCTTGGTAAAGAATCTCGAAGCTGTCGAAACTCTTGGTTCAACTTCTTGCATTTGCTCTGACAAGACTGGTAATTAATAATAAATAACAATAATTTATAGTTTTATTTGTTAAGCAAATACAAAGCTTATTATTTCCCACAAATTAATTTGGATAAAATTAAACCACATTTATTCTATCAGGCAACGAGTAATTAAAAATAAAATTTTCACTCAAATTTATCTATAAATTTATAGCCTGCCTAAGATTTTAATTAAGAGAAGAATTGTGGGAGATATAGTACTTTAAATTTATTAACTCAATACAACAATAAATAAAATTTTTTTTTTATGTGATTTTAATTCAATCTTATAACTCTAATAAAATTAGTCTTTGTTCTAAATATTTTTATCTAATTTAAAAGGTACCCTCACCCAAAATGTCATGACTGTTGAACACATGTGGTACAACGATTAAGTAATTAGAGCCAAGAACAAATCTCTTGCCTCTCCTCAAGAAATTGAATATGATGAAACTGAAAAGGGTTTCCAAAACTTACATTATGCTGCTATGTGCTCTTCTGAAGCTAGATTTGACCTAACTGATATTGTTGACAGAGATAACATCGATTATATGAAATGTCCAGTTATGGGTGATGCCACCGAAACTGGTCTTGTTAGATTCTACTAATACATTGAAGATATTGATGCTACCCGTAACAGATTCAAAACTGCTGAACACAAAGGTAAACTTTCTTAAATTTATTCTAATTTAACTCGAAAAGCTCTAAATTGATTGACTCATAGAAATTATTTAAAATATTCTCAAAGAAATATATTAAATTAATATCTATTTATATTCCCACAAAAATGGTATTTAGAATTAATAAAAAGTTAGAGAAAAGAAGAATTAAAATAGTTATTAAAGTCATTAAAATAGCAAAAAATAAAATAAATATAAAATTAGATCAATCAAATTAAATTAAGCAAAAATGTTGAATTAATCTAATTAAAATTAAATTATAAAATAGGTTAACCCGCTAGAATGCCTTTCAACTCTACCGTTAAGTTTGCATTAACTATTGTTGAATAAAAAACTAGTGATTCTGACTATTGCATTTATATGAAGGGTGCCCCTGAAAAAGTATGGTTGTATTGCTCTCATATTTTAATTGGTGAACGTAAACACGAAATCAACTAAGAATGGAAGACTAAGTTCGACAATGTCAACAAGAGATTTGGTAAGAAAGGTGAAAGAGTTCTTGGTTTTGCTAAATTGCACCTCTTAAGAGAAGAATACCCCTAGGGTTCAACTGTATTCAACGTAACTTCTCCCGCTAACTTCAACTTTAAACTCGCTGGATTCTCTTTCTGTGGTTTGGTTTCTCTCATTGATCCCCCCAAAACCAGAGTCCCTAACGCCATTCTTGAATGTAGATCCGCTGGTATTAAGGTTATCATGGTTACTGGTGATCAACCTCCCACTGCTGCTTCTATCGCTAGATAAGTCAACATTATCCCCTAGAGCGTTAAGACTGTTGATGAAATCATTGAAACTGAAAATATCTCTTGGGAAGAAGCTGCTGAAAAGTGCGATGCTATCGTTGTTCACGGTGATAGAATCGTCGAGTCTTTGGTTAGAGAATAAGAAGAAGGTAAGGAAGAATTCAGCTACTTAAGAACCTGGGTCAAGAAACCTTACTGTGTCTTCGCTAGAACTACTCCCGCTCAAAAATTATAAATTGTCCAAGCTTGTCAAGCTGAAGGTTATGTTTGCGCTGTCACTGGTGATGGTGTAAATGACTCACCTGCTATCAAATAAGGAGATATAGGTAATAATTTATAAATTTAATTTTTTTTGCATGGCTATAATTCTTCTTTCTAAATGTAAAATTAGGTATTTCCATGAATTTAACTGGTTCTGATGTCACTAAGGATGCTGCAGATATGGTCTTGCTTGATGACGATTTTGCTTCTATTGTCGTTGGTGTTGAAGAAGGTAGAAAAATTTTCGATAACTTGAAAAAGACTGTCGTCTATTTGCTTACTTCCAACATTCCTGAAATTATTCCTTTCTTAGCTTTCATCATCATTCAAATTCCTTTACCTCTCTCTAACATTTTCATGTTATGTATTTGTGTTGGTACCGATATCTTACCTGCTTTATCTCTTGCTTATGAAGAAGCAGAAATTGATATCATGACAAGAAAGCCCAGAAAGAAAACCGATCACTTGGTCTCCATGGTTTTGATTACTTGCGCTTATCTCTAAATGGGTATGATTTCTACTTGCGCTGGTTTTGCCGCTTACTACACTGTCTTGTAAATTTTTAACTTATTTATAATAATTAATATCCTAAAAATATTTTATTTATTACTCAATAGCAATTATTATGGATTCACTCCTGATGGTCTCTTCAATTTGGCTAATGTATATGGTTACTAACCAGATGATAATGCTTTCAACTGGACTACATACCCACCAAATGTTGATCCTGTACTTGCAGAAACACTTTTCAAAGATCCTATGTACTTTAACACTTAATTGTACAATGCTGTTAAGAGTGCTGGATAAACAACTTGTACTAATGTAAAGCTTCCTGATGATTACAACATTAACTGGGCTCTTATAGATTAGGGTAAATATGATCTTAGAAAAGCCCTTCTTAAATGTGAAGATGGCTATTTCTAACCTACTACTACTTGGAATCACGAATGTAATCTTAGCGAAACTTCTCCAGTCACAGATTATCCAGTTTGTTATTCTATTGATGCCAACTTCTATGCCTAAACAGCTTTCTTCGTTGCTATCGTTTTGGTCTAATGGAGTAATGTCTTTGCTTGTAAGAGCAGAAAGATGTCTTTCACAACCTCACCTGTTAATAAGGTTATGTTCATGGGTGTCCTCGTAGAAACAATCCTTTGTATTTTCCTTTTCTACACTCCTGGAGTCCAAAAAGTTTTTGGTGCTCGTCCTCTCGAATTCTGGTAGTTCGGTATTCCTGGCCTTCCCTTCTCCATACTTCTTTTACTCTGGGAAGAATTCAGAAAATTCCTCCTCAGATCATCTAAGTGGTTCAACAAGCACTGTCTCTGGTGATTTGAATAACAAAATAATTTTTTTATTTACTTTCCTCAAGCAGTAGGGATAATTAGTATATAAAAATATAAACATTAATTGATTACCATTTATTATTACTAATAAACAGTACTCAGTTTTTATAATTAACTAGTTTACAACCTACTTTTATATTGATATTCCTTTCGATGATCTAGAAAGGTAGAGAGGAGATTTAAAACTTTAATTATCATACAATTAATAATATTTTAAAAGTTATTGATGTTATTAAAAATATCTCTCTTAAGAGCTATCTATCTATCTTTTTAGATCGTATAACAAAGTTATTCATATTGTATCAAAAATTTCTTAAGTATTAAAATTTTCATTATTTCATTCATTTAATTAATATAATTTTCTATCATTATTTCATTAAAATCATAGTGCATGATATTATTTACTAAACAACTAACTAACTAGCTTTTTTTATATTTCTGTATATATATTTTATCTTTATTTTTTAATTGTAAAGCTACTAATTTAAATTCTTTAGATTACTTTGCTATATAAATATATTTATTACATATAAATTTATGATAAATTTAACATTCAAAATAGATTAAAATTACATTATTTCCTGTTTAAAAGTTTACCCTAAAACCTTGGAATCTTTTGAATAATTTCTGTATTTTTAGAAATTTAGAATTTAATTAAAAAAAACAATTTATTTAATTTCAAATTAAAATTAATATAAATAAATAAATAAACACATTAACATTTTTTTGACAATTCTTTCCTTGCTTAATTCCAAATAAAAAATGAAAATAACCAAAATAAATTCTAAATGTTGAAAAATACTTAGATTTATGAGATATTTTTAACAAGATGTACACAAAATTAAAACTCTACTTTTCTTTAACCTTAAATCAATTTTATATCTTTATTTGTTTACACTATTCTACATTCTGATATTCCATATATTGAATTTTTATTTGTGATTAGAATATTTTAGTTACTATAATTTAGATTTGAGCATATCCAATCTAAAAAGTATAAATGCATAAAGATATTTGCTTTAAAATAATTCATATGATTATTTAGTTTTAATAAAAATTGATAAAAACCAAACACTAATTATAATGAACTAGGAATCTGAAAATTACAGAAAAACTCCTTTTGAGATAAAAGAACCTTTTAAATCAGGATTTTTAAAAGTTTCTGAAATTCACACTATTTATTGGGAGGTTTCTGGAAATCCAGAGGGTAAACCTGCTATTATTATTCATGGAGGACCTGGTAGCTAATCGAATCCTAACAATAGAGGTTTTTTCAATCCTGAAATTTATATGATTGTTTAATTTGATTAGAGAGGTTGTGGTAAATCTACTCCTTTTGCAGTGACTGAAGAAAATACAACTTAAGATTTAATCAAAGATATTGAAACAATCAGGGATCTCTTGAAATTAGAAGTATGGCACACTGTATTTGGAGGTAGTTGGGGATCAACACTAGCTATTTATTATGCTGAAACATATCCATAAAAAGTTAAACACCTAATCCTAAGAGGTATTTTTACTGGTGGCTAAAAAGAAATGGATTTTTTTTATTAAAATGGCACAAATTGGATATTCCCAGATTACTATGAAAGTTTCTGTAATGCACTTCCAGAAGTTAAAAGAAATAATCTTCTTCATAATTACCATCAACTTTTTAATTCAGATGTTAATGAAGAAACCAAAAAATAACTTGCTATTGAATGGACTAAGTACGAAAGTGCTATTTCCTATTTCAAAGTTCCTGATAATTTTTAGAAAGAAATAGAAGAAGATTAATCAGTTCTTAGTATTGCAAAATTGGAATCTCATTATTTTGCAAATGGTTGCTTTTTTGAAAAAGAGAATTAACTTATTTAAGATGCTCATTTAATTTCACACATTCCAACAATTATAGTTAATGGAAGATATGATATAGTCACTCCATTAAAGGTAGCATGGGATCTTCATAAATAGATAAAAAACTCTTAATTAGTTATTGTCCCAGATGCTGGTCACTTAGCATCAGAGCCTGGTATTAAAGAATAGCTTATAATAGCAACTTAAAAGTTTGAAAAAAATTGATTTGCAAAGAAACAAAAATATAAAATATTAATTAAAATAAACAAAGAGTTTTTTTATTCTTATTTTAAAATCTTTTATAAACATTAAATCAAATGTAATAAAGTAAAATAATAATATTATTTCATTTAATACAAAATATCTTTTTTAGTAAATAAATAAATTTATGAGTTAATTAATCTGTTATTAAATGACTAAATAAATATCAAAATTTGATTTTAACTTATTTTTATAGAAATATCATCCTTAAATACAATAACCATTGATCAGTTTATTTATCAAAATAAATCAAATGATCTATGTATATTATTTTTTATGAAGCTAAATTTTCTGCGTTTTTTAATATAATATTTACTTTTAAATTCAAATGAATTAATAAATTACAATTTCTTATTGTCAAATTATTTAATGGCAAACTATTTATGCAAATAATCAAAATGATCATTATTGAAATCCTTTTTTTAGATAAGTTTGTATTTTTTTAAAAATATGGTGGAGAATCTACTCACAAATTCGATTTAGTTTTTTATACTTTGTAAGTAATTTAACACATAAATAAGTTAAAATAGCTGTATTACAAAAAATAAGTTAAACCAACTCAAATTTATAATTTTATTGAAATAAAAAATATAAAAAATAAATGATTAGAATAGCTAATTTTTATTTTTCAATAAATAATTATTAAAAGCATGAAAAAATAAAAGAAAAATATAAAAAGTAAGTAAGTAAGATCTTTTTGAAATTTATAAAATATGTAGAAACACTTTTGAAAATTAAAAAAATAACTTAATCTTTATTTTAAAATATTTTGCAATTTATTTGAATAAATAAATAAGTTTTGTGGATATTTTTTATTGAATTTAAGTTATAAAATTTCATGCCATATCTTCAATTGCATCCATTAAATCTTATGCCTTTTTGATGGAAAGATTGATCTTTTTTTCTAATTTCATAAAGTTTTCGTTATTTTCTTTTACAGAATTTTTTTCATACCCAAAGGCTATACTTATGTAATCTTTATAGACTTATTCCATTTCTTTTTTCATTTCATTCAAATATTTCATTTCGTTTTAGGAGAATTTAGAAAGAGAAGGCTAAGAGCTATTTGTTAATGATTAAGGTGCTTTTGGAGGTAATTATCCTTTAGAAGAAATACTTATAGTGAAATCGTTAGGAATTTATTTAGGGGTTTTATCTTATTATTAAGTACGGAAATTATTTGAGAATTTATTTGAGTTTGAACCAGAAGCATCAGACAGAGAATTTGAGCTTTAATTTATTGCAGAAGCTCTTTCAACTAAATTTTAAATTTCATTCATACGAGCCTGTGTAGTAGGATTGGAATGATTCCTCATCAAATCGATTTAAGCATTTAACTCTTATATTTTTTATATACTCTGCTCACGTCTTTCTAATAATACTTTAATTGTTTATTCTTATTGAACATTTTTTTCTTTTAAATCCTCTAACTGCTATTTGTACTCATTTATTTTATCTTCCCATCTTTATAAATTAAATCCTTACTCTTAGAGTTAAATTTCTAAATTTTTAATTTTAACATCCTTTTCTAAGGTCAGTTTTGTTAATTCTTCTTTTACATTACTTTTAGATCTAAGACCTGCAATTTCTTCTTCTAATTAATCAAGCATTTTATTTTTAGCTTCTAAGTCTTTAGCATTTTCTAACTTTTTTTTATTCAACTCTTCTTGCAACTCCTTCACTTTATCTTTGAGGGTTTTCATTTTACTCTTCTCTTAAATTCTTTTTTCTTCTAATACCTTAAGGCGTTATAAATTTTAATGATTTGATTCTATTTATTATTCTAAATCCTTTTCAGCTTCCTATAATTTTTACTCTAATTTTTGTGTATCCTTAGCAATCTATGCACTTTTTAGCTTTTCTTGTCTATCTTTGTTGTCTAACTCTTTTGTTTTCAAATATAAATCCTAACGAGCTTTTGTTAATTCTTCATTAAGACGCTCGTTTTCTTCATTTATTTCATCCAATTCTTTTTATAATTCATCTATTTCTTCTTTTTGTTTTTATTCTTCTTAAGCATAAATATTTTGAACATTTCCTATCTCTTTGCTTAAGCTAGATTTTTCTTCATTAAGCTGCTTTAGTTATCCCTTTAATGTTTCATTTTCTGTAAATAATTCTTAAAATTGCTTTGAAAAAGAGGCTAGTTTATCTTCTAATTACGCATTTCTACCTTTCTCATCAGCAAGCTTTTAGTTTATTTCTATGAAATCTTTTTCAAGCTATTTCTTAACTTCATTAATTTTTTCTATGAAATGCATTAAATAAATAAAATAATTAATAAGTTATTTTGTATTAAAATTGATAATTTATTAAAATAAATATTTGAATTTTAGCCAATTTAAATAATATATTATTTGTAGTAAAATAAAAATTTTAAACACCTTTTTCCATATAAAACTGATCAATTTATTTCTACTTATTTAACAGCTGAGTTTCATAATTATTTATAAGATCCTTGTTGTTGCTTGAGTTGAAATTACTCTTTTCTTTGTATTCTTTCATATTTTAAACTAGAATTTCCATCTATTCATTAAATTAAGCCAAACTATCCCATGTATTTCCACATAATTCTTCTAAAGTATACTCCTCTTCCTCATCAGCATCTTCTTCTACTTCCTCTTACTCATCACCTTCTTCTGCTTCATTTTCTTCGCTTTCTTACTACTAATCATCACCCTCTTCGTTTTCTTTGTTTTTCTTTTCCTTTTTTTCAGCTATTTTTTCTTATTTAGCAGCATCTCTCTTTTTTTATTCTCTGTCTGAAACAACTTTACCTTCTTATCCAAGCTATTCAATAAAGGCGTTTACGTCATCTTTGAGCTAATCAAACAGATTTCTTAAATGTTAGAGCTCTTATTCATTTGTAAACATCAATAATTCTGAATCTGCACGCAATACAATATTAGTTTTTTATTCAGGTTAAGGATCTTAATCCTCCTCCCCATTCTTTGCTTAGATAGGAGTGTTACATTAATAACCGTTACTTTAAGCTTATTCTAATTTTTATTTTAGATGCTCATTTTGTTTATTTATAAATTCATAATTTTGCTAAAGTTAAATATTTTTTGATAGCTCAATATTAAGGTGCTTTTGCACTTCTAACAACTAAGAATTAATTTCATCAAATTCTAAAACTTTGCTTCTTAGATTTGTTTCTAAAATTTAAACTTTTTACTAGTATTCTTCATGCTGTTCTAAAATTGGTTAAGTATCTTTTTTCATTTTTACTACATATTAATCGTATTTTTTTATTATATCAACTAAATCTCCAACTTTTAGCTTATTTAGGTCACTAAATTCTATATTCCTATCTTTACCAATAATTTCACTGAAAGCTGAAGACTCTTTTTCCTATTTAACAAGCTTTTTAAATACGTTCATTCTACTATTTTCTAAAATTTATTTATTAGACTTTAGAACTTTAACTTTTAGAAAGAGTTAACAATATTTTTATAACCAAACTAAACTTTATTGAAAACAATTAATTATTAGTTAATTTTTTTTATTTTCTGATTTTATCTTATTTAAAAAAAGTAATAGTGATTATGAATTTAACCTTTTTTTTCAACATAATACAAATATAAACGCTTTTAATAGACCATTATTAGTATCATTTATACATTTTTTCCATCTATTTTATTTTACTGATAAATGAATTAATAACTATCTAATCAATTTATTTAACTTTATTTTTTTTTAATAATTTTAAATAAATTATTTAAAATATTATATATTAGTGAGAACTAAACATTAAACCAGTCATGATAACAAAAATTTTTTGCAACAAAACTTTTAATAAGAATATAAAAGATTCATATAGTAAATAATGTGTATTGAGGGTGAAAAGTCTGTTTAACAATATATAATTAAAATTGAGTTTTTAATTTAAATTTAAACATAATATGTGGAAATATTTTTAAATCATTTAATTAAAATGTAAAAGAGTTAAATATTGATTTTAAAAAATAGATTATAAATGAGAGATGAAAAAAAGCGAGTTATCATTTTAAGAAATTGAATGAAAATAATATAATTAAAAATTTAAAAAAAAATAAAAATAATTAAAATTTGCCAAAAAAAAAAAAGCAAATAGGTAGATCAAGAAAAATAACTAAATCAATAAAAATAGTTATTTTCTCCCCCAATCAGCTAAAGCTTATAAGAAGAGTAGCTCTGAAGCAAAAGATTCTAATTGGCAATTTTTTTTCAGAAAAAATCAAGAAAGAAAAATTAATTAAATAATTAGAAGAAGAAAAACTAAAATTTAATTAAAAACAAAAAAATTAAAAAAACAACAGGAAAGAATTTAATTAATTAGATACGTATATATATCAATCTATCTATTTATTTATTAATAAATCAGTCTTCATTTGATTTAAATCAATTATCGCATTAGAAATCTTAGATATCTTATAAAAAAACTAAAAGCGAGAAATGATTAAAAGACCAAGACAAATAGATTATTTTAGGACAGTGACTCGTATAAATGTTTGGGAAGAGTTTAATAGCTTTGATAATGAGGGTTAAACAAGCAACGGATAATCGTTAAACAATGCATAAGTAGCTATTTTAAATAGTGATAAAAATGATAAAGAAGGAATGGCTCTAGCCAAAAAGCAAGAAATACCTATCATAGCAGCAGCTAACATTAAAATATAAAACAATAATAACTAATAAACAGCTGATGATTTATATAAAAAGAGACGTATACATACAAGCAATTATATTAGGATTCGCTAAGATTAGATTTGGCCTTTACAAGATAAATATGAGTTAGCAGATGATGATATTATATTTTTGAAAGATTTTAATGAATCTAATAATTTTAATATGAAAGAAGAAGAATTAGAATTTTTAATTGAAAATTTCGAACTTAAGTCAGGAAAAGATTTTATGATAAATTGGATTGACATGAAGGATTATATCAGCAACGAATTAAGAGATAAGTATACCTTTTCTAATTTGGAAAAGATTTATAACTACTGGAAAGGTAAAAGAGATCTATTAAAAAGACCATTATTAAGGTAATAAATAAATAAATCAAATTATTTCAACAACTATTTCAGTTACTAAATTATTTCTTCCTACTGCTCAAATTTTAATTTTCTATTTTTTAATTGGGTCACACATACTATTATTATACTTCTACTAGTGCAAAATGTAAATAAATGTTAATTTAAAAGTATAAGCATAATCAAATGCCAGTTTGATCTTTAGTATAGCTGATTAATTCACTTTTCTTTCTTAATTTAAGATTTTGTTTGTAATATTTAACTTTTTGAAAAAATTATCTTAAATTAATTTATTTAAAATAAATAAATAAATGATAATTAAGAGCAAATATAGATTGTTTTATTCTCGCGCTCATCTTTAATTAGAATTAAAAATTTTCAAATGTAACAAAAATTTATAATCCAAAAAAATTAATATTTAAAGAGTTTTACTTACTCAATAAATATCACATAACATCAGTTGCCTATCAAAAACTTAATCATAATACCAAATTTGAACTACAAGGTTACAAACAGAGTATATCAAATGATCAAATTAGAAAATTATTTATTATTTTGCGCAGCAATTTAAACACATTTTTGAAACAAAATCAATCTTCTAAAATTTTCTATCTAACCAATATCTTAAAGATTATTCTAAATTAAATTTGAGAAAATATGAAATGTTTGTTTATAATTTATTACTTTTAAACTTTTTAAAATTCAATTAAAGGCGCTGGAAAAATTAATTTTGATTTAAATTGTTTAATTGCAATTTAATGATTTCCCCATCATCATTAATTACTTTAATAATTTTAAATATTAAAGTGGATATTTATTTCAAATTAATCATCAGCTATTTGATTAATAATATTTTTTACACATTCCTATTTTTTAATAATTAAATAAAATAGAGTAAAACTAGTATTAATTTACAAAAATAGAATAACGATTTTAAATGAACTGATTGAAATTTTGATCAATCAACCTTTATCATAAAATATTTTGAAAAACAACATTTTTTGGAAAAAATAAATTTAACATTTACTTAAATTGATTTATTTACTAATATTAATTTTATAAAAAATAGATTGCATTGGAAGCCTAACTTCAACGATAAAGATCCTCATGTCGCCTTCCGTCCTAGAGTAGCAGAGAAAATGAAACTTAGAGGATCTAGGAAACAGAATGATGATGAGCAATACTAAAAATTAACTTAACTAAAAGAAGAAATGATCAAGTATAAGATGTTAGTTCAATAGATCAAATTAAGAGAATAAATGAAAGAAATAATTCTCGAATCTTAGAGCTTGTCTTTTGTTAGTGAGCTGTACAAATAAGATAAACAATTATAATATTTCTTTGTAGATGATGTATTCGAAAATTACAAAGATTTAGAAATAAAAAAATAGAAGACAGATGAAAAAATGAATTAGCTTCATTTATAAAATAGCCAACTTAACGAATAACTAACTGCTTTCAATCTGTTCCCTGTAGTACATAAAAACTCTGACTTTATTATTAAAAAGGGACTTCTTAAACCTACTATTAGCAGTATGAATAAAGAACCTAAGTAAAACTTTGAATTCTAAAAGTCTTCAGAGGCTAATTCAAATGGCAACAATAATAACAACACTTCTTCAATATCAACATCAAATAGTGTTAACTTACAAAATGGTAATTATTTTTATTTATCGCTATTTTATTACATAAATTATCTTAGCTATATTAAAAGGCGAGTTAAAGAAAACAAAAGCTAGCAACAGATAGCCAGAAGAAACTTAAGTAACTGCAGAGGTAGAGTTAAAAAAGTAAAAGAATACAAAAAAATCATAGAAAGATGGAGAATAGGTTGAATAACCTATCAGCACTCCTATTATAACATCTCAAAAAGATCCAACTCAAAATAAAGGGAATAATAATACATAAAGTGTTTCTTAAACTAGCGTCACTCTTCCACTTATTCCTCCTTTAACTAATCAAAAAGAAAATGTATAAAAAGGAAAACAAATATCTAAAAAAGGAGACAAAAATGGAGAAGACTCTGCTTAAAAACAAAATAATAAATTAAACCCTTAAGAAAGTTCTTCTTAAAATCCTGATTAATAGTAATAAAAATAGTCTATCTAGGAAAGAGAGTAAGAAAGCTAGAAAACTGAGAACAAAGAACCACACATTTCTTTAAATCCTAACTTATAGCTTTTCAATACAGATAATTTTGAATTCGTATCTTACATTACAAGTATCTACTTAGATGCTGTTAAGAGAGAGCTAACAATGGAAAAAGTGTGTAATCTTGACACAAAAAATATTGATCGTGAGCAATTTTCTCACATTCTTAACAGTAAAACTGAGTTGGCCTAGTAGCTCAAAAAGCTTCATAAGCCTTCAACAGTAGTTTAAAGTCAATCTGAAAACAGCAAGCAATAAATTTAAGAATTTTATAAAAATCCATAATAAGTCAACCCACCTTATTTGCATCCACATTATGACTAAAATTAATTGAGAAATATTCCACCAGAAAAAATGCCATATTTATAAAGATAACAAGAAATGTAATACCAGAATCAAAACAGTTAAGTTAATTAAGAAGTACCTCATTCTAAAAGAAAGAATGTTATACCTTTTAAGCCCCGTTTGCGTTTAGGTAGATCAGGTCTTATTAACATAGATCGTTAATTTGATGATAAAGATAACCTGCGCTATGAAGATATATGTAGCAAAGAGGCCAATTATCATCCAAATAAAGTAGTAGATAAATTGTTAGCAGAAAAGCGCTAAAAAGAAAATGCTGAATAATAAAAACTTAAAGTATATAGCTATACACCATCTGATCAGGATATTTACAAAAAAGATTTCTTCTAAGAAAGACAACGAAAATTAAAGTTATTAGCTGAAGATGATGAAACTTAATTCCTCTACCCTACTACTAGCAATTAAGGTAACGGAGCTACTTCTTCTCAATAAGGAAGTAATTAAGGTTTTTCTCAACAGCAGTTAAACAGCTCAACCTAGTAAGCAGTTTCAACTATAAATTAAGAAAGTAGTTAAATGTAAATCGAAGATAACCTTAATTCTACTGTCTCTTCGTCTTTATAATAGCAATAATAATTAAATTATGATTAAGATATAAAACTATTAAGAAAATCAATCAGTTTAGCTCTAAAAAATTATTAGAAGTAGAAACAACTTAATTAAATAAAATGAATTAGTAATTTATAAATAATTTTACTCCAATCCTTACTTTCTGAATTTTATATAAGCAAGCAACAAATAAGAGTTAAGATTTTTATCATCACCTTCTGTTTTTTTACATGAACATACCAAAAAATTGAGATATACATACATTCATAAACTCAGACAGTTTTAAGAAGAAATTTAAAAAACTAATTCAAGAAAAATAAAATCAAAAAATAATAAATTCTATTTCAATGTAATCCAAACATATCAATCAATCAATCAATCACTCAAACAATCACTATTATTTTAAATTTAAAGCAAAAAATCTGCTCGTAAATTATTATTAAAGAAGTAAGTAAATTATCTAATTAGTTAGTTATTTAGTTTGTTAATTTGTTTGTAAGTTCAACAATTTATTCAACTTCTAATTAGTTGGTTATATAAAAAAAACCATATTGTAACTTAAAAATATTTTCTCAATGTATTAAATGATAATACCAAGATAGATTATTTATTTTTACATCATACCTTTAGCTCATTTTATTTTATTTTCTATTTCTAATAGCTATTAAAAATTTTTTATATTTAAAATAATATTTTCATTTTTATGAAATCTTTTTATCTTTAAAACTAATTTTTTAAAATAAAAATAATTTAATAATATCATTTATTTTATTTACTTATATTTCTATTTTTCTAAAAATTAATTTTTGAATAATTAAGCAAGTATCAAATCATTTTTAATCAACCTTTTTAAATAAATTTAATTTAAGTAAAAATAATTAAAACTTTAATAACAATTTATATATTTAATTAGTTAGCTTTTAATGAAAATAATTGTTAAAACTTAAATGATAGGATTACTTTTTTTATTTTGAAGTTAAAGATAGAATATAAAAAAAAATTTTAATGATAAGAATAAATATTTTTATTCCAAGTTAAAGAATACAAAAATATGCATAAATTAATAGAGAGTTAGTTAGATAGATAGATAGTTATATATACAATTTAGAAAAAAAATTTAGTAGAATTTATTAAATATTTATTTATCAATTTATTTTTATTAATATTTTATTATGATATAAATTAGTTTTTTAAGGTTATTTTTTTGAAAAATTTTTAAATTATTTTCCTCATTCAGCTCTTAAAGTTTGGTTTAAATTTTGAGCTCCATCTAAGCATTTTTTTTAATTTTACTATATACTGTTAAAGATTCAGTTCATTCTTTTGATCATTTATTACTATTATTTTATTTAATTAATATTTATTTACTTAATGCTTAAAAATTTATTTTACAAAGAACATCGAAATTCGAACTAGTTATAACTATTTCTTCATTTTTTAGCAGCTAAATTGTGAATTAACCATCTCCTACTACTTTTGCTTCATTTCTACTCTCTGGGTGTACCTAATTAAAATATTTTATATTTATCAGCTCCCTAAAAATGATTATCTAAATTACTTTGACTTTTAAATTTTAACTTGGGTGTAGGAGTAATGGTCTAAATGATAAAGAAAGAGGACAAATAGGAACAACAGACATGCACTTAACATCATTATATATAATAGGTCCTCCAGCACTTAGAGAATATGCTGTAGAACCAGTAGGAGTATTTATAATAAGCCCATCAGTTTAAAGAGCAGTAAGAGGTATATTTTCAACGAATATCTAGAGTCTTAAGCAAGCACCTTTTAATAGTTTATATAAGATTAATTAAAGATTCAATTTAATAATTACTCAATGCTCCCCTCTCAATAACAAACTCATTAATTGCATGTTTAACTTCAGTGATCTCATTTTCTGGTGAAAACTAAATTTAAAGAATAAGAAAGGATTTACTAAATTGATAAATAAAGATCTCTCTAAGAATAAAATGATAATTCATTAAAAATATTTTTTTATATAATTTACCTTTGCTAACTAAAGTCTCATTTTTCTCTCTATAGGAATTGGTATTTTCTATTTTAAGCGTTGAAATAAGTTATTAAGCTAAATTTCTACTTCTTAAAGAGAATAAATGCACATAAAACCAAGAGTTCCGCCAGATATTGCAAGAATTGGAGGCGTAGTTCTCTTTTAAAACTTATTTACTGTATATAATATTGTCCCGTCACCTCCATAAGTTATTACTACGTCAATTTACTATTCACAACTTTCAGTTTCAAAAAAATCACAATCGCTTGAATATCTTTCGTTGAATAATTATGGGTCCTCCTAGCTAAACCCTTTCTCAACATATACTTTAATTAAGAGATTCTAAGCTTTACTAGACCTTTTTTATAAATAAATGTCAAGGTACAGTCACATATGCATTATAATTATATAGCTAAAAAAAAAAAAAGTTGATAATTTATTGTAAATTACTAAAATATCTTTTCTAATATTTCATAAGACTATGGTTAGTTTGGCTTGCATATTAATAAAACGTTGTAAGCTGTCTTAGATTCAATCTTTACAAAATTTTCTAAACTCTTATTTTATTCAAAAATATGAAATAAAAATTTATCCCTATTATTTTTTTTATGTTACTGTAATTTAAGAACTTAATGAAGACAATCTTTCCATTTTTATTTTTCTAAATTGAAATTTTTATTAATTTTTTACTTAAATATATTACTCAATTTAAATGTTTTTAGATTTATATTTATCTTTTTTTTAATGAACTCATCTGATGAATTATTATATATTATGCCTTAAGAATTTATTGATGTCACTATTGAGATTAGTAGTAAGCGAAATAAACTAATTATCTTAAAAAAGACTAGATTAATTTAAACTAGAGATCTCTTTTAAATAAACTTTATCCATTCATTTTTCAACAAACAGTGTCATGATTGTTAAAATATATTCCAAAATACAGTCAAAATTGTCTTTAAATTAAAACTTTTTATTAATTTTAAAATAATCTCAAAATTTACTTAAATTTATGTAAAAAATTATATGTTTTTTGTATTTTGGAAATTTTCTTAAAACCTGGAAAGGTTTAAGTAATATTACGTTCAGCGTTTAATAAATCATCAAATAATAAATAGTACGAATAATTATTATTCTTTTTAGAAATTCAAGAAAAGATGCAAATCCTTCTAGAAATATATCAAATTTTATTGCAAATTATTAATTTAAAAATTTTAGATTTATAAAATCCGTCATAATTCTAGTTTATGATAAATTATATTAAAATAAATAAATAAGATAGCAATTGATCAATATAACAAGCAAGCAGAATTATAAATAATATTTCAAATTCATTTACAATTCTATTCTTTGATTAATAGGATAATTCTAATTAAAAAGCACTTTCTTCTTTTTATATTAATTTAAAAATAAAATAAGAAAACACATATATTTTTAATTGATAAGTCTAAAAATCCATAATTAAAATGTAAGCTACATATATTAATTATATTTTTTTAATATATTTTGAAATAGTTCAACAAATAATTGAGCAATTATCTATATAATTTTTCATAAGAATTACTCAATTTAACGAAAGATATAAGTTTACTTATAAATATATTTATTAAAAGTAAGAATCATAAGTAATTTAATTATTAGTTTTCATTCATTATATTTCAATTGAAAATATTTACAAACTTAAGCTATCTGAATCAGCATAATTACAGAATGTAACTCTTAATAAAGTAATTTTTGATTTATTATATATATGAAAGTAGTTTAAATTAAATTAAATAATTTTCCTTTTTGGATGTAAATTTATATATAAAATAATGATAATTGATATTCTATTGACAATTCTAAAGATCCATATTTATATAAATTGCAAATTTTATATGACACAAGTTTATTTTTTAGTTTTTTTATTAAAATAAGAATCATAAATAATTTTTAGTTACAAGACATATTTTTTAAATTAAGTTAAACGAATTGCAAAATTAAACTATTTGAACCAATATAATTATATAAAGTAATTATTAACCAAGCAGTTCTCGATATATATAAGTTTGATAAATTCAAATACTCAAACAGAGCAAGTTTCAATTCTCCCCTCTAATGGGTACAAAACTGTGAAAGTAGATTTTTTCTCAAAACTACCTGGATTAAGTACATATGTTTTTTAAATATTTGATTTTTATTCTTCCTTTGTCAACACTTTTTCTTACATAATAAAATCAAATTAATCACTATAAGAATCAGCCAAGATTAAATAATCAGGATTATCATAAAATAACAAAGTATTATCATAATTCCAAATTATTGGTTTTATTATAAGTGGAAGAGGAGATAAATGTCTTTAAGATAGAATAGTTTAAGCGTAATTTAGTTAAATATCTTTATGATGATTGATCACAATTTACCTTTTACGTAAATCTTTGATTAAATCATTTCTCTAAATCAAGAAGGTTTTACCTAAAATTGATAAACGACAAGGATTTTATACTAATTTAAAGAAAGGGATAATAGACTTTATTTCTGTGAAAAGATGTTCAGGTAATTCGCTCTTAGGTTAAACTGGCATTCCTCCAATATCATTTATATGAGGGACCATTATCCAATAGCAATTGTCTCTTAGCGACTTGAATTTATTTAATAAGTTCAAGAAATCGTTTATTGCTTCTTTGACTTAATCATTTACAAATTCTGAGTTAATTTCTGATACATTAAAGAAGGCTCCCATTAATATAATAACTAAGGGTTTTAACTAGCTTTCGTAAACTTAAAGAATACCCTCAAACTTTTTAAGAGTATTTCTATCACTGATTAAGAAATCGCTGAACACACAAACACAATATTCATTTTTTTCTGAAACTTAAAAGTAAGGGTTTAAATCTAAGTCAAATATTCCCATTTCAAGCTGTCTTTCTTTTTAAAATCTAGTTAAATTTTAGGCTCTGCTACCTTATTTTCCTAATGATGCACTTTCTATTTCGAGTTGGATTAATTTACCTAAAATTCTTTGCACCTTAGCTTTTGCTCCAAAAAAATCAGAACTTTCTTTCTTGAATACAGAAGGATTCAAATTTACTTCTTCTTCGAATTCAGGTAGCATCAATTTAGAAATTACAAAAGCACCCTACATTTAATCAAAAACACCTTTTGCAATAACAATACTTGTGACTGTTACATAGCCTAACTCAACTTATGCCTATTCTAAATTTATCTTCACTCTACTAAACTCATCTTGCATATAATAATCTCCTGGAACGCCTTCATAAATCATACCTAGGCAGCACATTTCTTTTCCTTTACTTCCAATTAAAGAACCAATATCGTTTAATTCTTATGACTATTATTGTTATTCTTCACCTTCAAGATCATTTGTACCAGCAACTTTCTTTTTGTTTTCTGCTCCAAAGTAGTATTTTTTACCTTAGGAAAGTTTTGTTTTAATTATCTCTAGTCTTTTTATGAAAACATTAACTTTATCTGAGGGTGCACCCAATGAAACTGTTTATTTTTTCTCCTCTTGTGTATTAGCGTTGACTATAAATTCTGTATAGGGTTTATTGTTATGAATTCTTATTCTAGGAGTTTCATTCATTGTATCCAAAACAACTATTGTATGTAAATACTTTTCATTGATTATATCATTTACTTTCTTCTCTCTGTCATCATCAATAATTGTATTTTCTTCACTTAATTTTTCTTTATCTACATCTATTTCTAACTCCATCACTTAGTTTTAAGGTCTTTATAGTAATTCAATTGCACCTTTAACTGTTTGTTCTCCTAAAATTATATCTCCTTGATGAGATTATAGTGATTTAACATTCTCTAAAATTTTACTCATGTGAGTTTTTACAACATCTGGAGTAATTTTATTATTATTCTAAATCTTAAGTTAAGAGAAGTACTCTGTTAAATGATTCAAGCATTCTGGACGGAGTGTATATCCCTCTTCTGTAAACCTTTTTATTAATGACCTCTTATCCATTCTATTTATTTACTAATTTAAACTTATAAATCGCCAAATATATCCTACTTATTATTTCTTTTAATTTATTATTTATTTTTTATCAAAAAATTTAAGTAGATTTAAAAAGTAAACCGCTAAAATTATATGTACCTTAATAGGCGCGAAGATATTCACGCATATAAACTAAAATATATGCACATCTATTGAAATTCTTTTTATTTTTAATCATAGCCTTTGTAAATAAAATAAAATTAAAAATAGTTAATTTATGAAAGAAAATAAATGAATGTAAAAATATTTATTTATTTTTAAAATGTTTTAGTAGATTAAAGAACTATTTTTTTAATTTTCATTACAAAATATATAAATTGGTTGATTGAATGCATTTTGTTGATTTATAAATAATAAAATTTAGTAAAAGTATAATATTTTCATTCTTGATAAGTTCTTTCAGTAATCTTTTGAGAACCATCAGCCAATTTGTAAGTTCTAGTTTCTGTAACATTCCTTCTACCATTAATTATGGTTATATTCTTTTGAATACTAGTTTCAATAGTATTAGGAGGTTTTTCAGGATCTACATAATTTTAACTGCTACCGCTGCTGCCAAATGTGTTGGTGTCAATATTATGCTTTCTTAATTATTCTTGAATGAAGGGATCGTTTATATTTTAAGAAGCGTAGGTTTAGGTTTTAGTTGTAGTTGTACTGTTATTGTATGGATTTTATGAAGTATAAGTATTGTAAGATGAAGTGGGAACATAACTTCCAGAAACAGTAGATGAAGGGAAGCTAGTTGTATAGCTACCTTGATTAAAGCTGCCTTTAGGTCCATATTAAGATGCATAATCAATGACTACACAAGTCTTGTAATCAACATGATTAGCACAAGCAATACCAACTTTTCTGAAATCAGGAGAGAAAAGATTGTTTCTATGACCTCTGTTTGAGACACCATCATCTACAATCAATGAAATAATAACATCTCTTGCAGATGAATTACCAAAATCGCAATTTTCACCAATCTTTCCATTCCAATCTCCATATCTTTCTAATCTACTGCTCATTGATGAACCATCTGAACCAGTGTGTCCACATAAATCTAAATTAAAATTAATAAAAATTTGATTCAAATAAATTTTAGAAAGTAATTAAAAAACGAACAGAAATTTTGATAAAATTTAAGCTTTAATAATTTGAAATCTTATTTTTTACTGAAATATCAAATAAATTTTTTTCATTTTTATCATTCTATTTGAATAAGATTGCTAGCTAATTTTATTTATTTTTTTATTACAAAAATCTATTTTCTCTTTGAATTAATATATATTTTTTTATTAAAGGATTTAAAATATACTTTTAGGACCAATGTCATTGGCATGATCTCTGCAAGCTCTTGTCATATTGTCATCCCATTCAAGAGCATGGAGAGGTTTTTGCACTCTTAAGAAATTGATACAATCCTAGACTGCACCTGGACCTTCATGAGTTCTCAAGGGAATCTCACCTGGTTTCTTTAAAACCATACCTTAAAATAGTTTCAAATGTTCTTCAAGGTAAGGAATATAGCTGGTTGGATTCTATCTTACTCTGTTTTACTCTTAGAAAACTTCTCTAGCGAGTAGATCGTGATTAACAGGTAAACTTGATGGTGCTTAAGTGTATGTACTTGTGGGTTAAGTATAGCTTACAGATGATGAGGTGTATGGAGAAGTACTGTATGTAGTAGTAGTCTAGCCAGGAGCATAAGAGCTTGTTGTATAATTAGTATATTAAGGCTAGCCAAATGTGCTACCAGAGGTGAATTTTGGAGTATTGTCAGTAATAAGAGTTCCAGATAGCTTTCCTCCTTTGAAAGTGTATTCTGAAGCATAATCTAAAACTGTGCAAATTTCCCATTGAGCATGCTTTTAACAGGCAACACCAGTCTTTTAGAAATCTGGAGATAGAACATTCTTTCTGTGACCTCTGTTATCAACACCATCATCAATGATCAGTGATAAAACGATATCTCTGGCTGTTTTACTACCAAAATCAATATTCTCACCAATTTTACCCATCCAATCACCATATCTTTCTAATCTATTGCTCATAGATGAACCATCAGATCCAGTATGATTTGAAATACCTATTTTTTCATAATTTAAAGTTCATCTAATGTAAGAAATACAGTTTTTTGGGTAGTTATTCATTTTTTATATTAAAAAATATTTAACCTAAATTTATTTTTTATTGTTGGAAAAGCTGTTTTAATTTAAATTCGATATGCTTATCCATTTTAATTAAGTCAATTATAGATTAAAGCTTGTAAGATAACAGTTAAAACTTTTAAAAAGTTAGAAAGTCCAATAATAAAATGAGTGACTTATTTTTTTATTTTTTTAAAATAGTTCTTGAAACTGTGCAGTTAAATTTTTTAATTTTTGATTTTTTAGGAAATAAGACTAAAGATGTGTTGAATATTACCTTTAGGGCCAATATCATTAGCATGATCAGATGCAGCTCTGGTCATGTTATCATCCCATTAGTAAGGATGAAGGGGCTTGAGAGATCTCAAGTAATTGATGCAATCTTAAACGGCTCCAGGACCTTCGTTAGTTCTTAAAGGGATTTCATTAGGCTTGTGAAGTACCATTCCCTTGAATTAGGTAAGCATTTCTTATAGGTAGGGAATGTAGCTGGTAGGATTAGTTCTGACTCTGTTTTACTCTTAAAAGACTTCTCTTGCAAGTTGATCCATTTTTTCTATTGAAAGATATTATATCCTTTTTATTGATATCTAATCTGATTAAAATTTAATAAATTTTGCTTTTTTATTTTTTTTATAAATTTTTTATTTATAAGTTTCCAATTTATTAGCTTCTTTTAAATACACTTTAAAGATCATCACTAAACACTTGAATAAATATTCCAGTAAGTTTTTGCAGCTAAAATCCACATTTGTATTAGCTATTAGATGGCGATAAAAATCCTATTTCAATTTTAATCATGGAATACTAAAGCACGATTCTGTTACATATTTATGCTAACCTAGACTATTTTGAATAGAGTATGATCTTATACCTACCTTATATTCGAGAAAAATAAAGCTATGATAAATTTGAACTCCATTTATCTGTTTATTTTAAAAATAATCTACTTATTTCCTATAAGAAATCCAGTACTCAATTTCTTTGATTAGAGTGATATTATCTTAATATAATTTTAATTGAAAGTCTTTGTTTTTTGTTAGTCCATCAATTTCTTCAATTTGCATGGATATTAATTAAACATTATTTTCTATTGTGAATGTGTAAATTAAAATTCAAATAAAATTTTCTTTAAATTAATATCTTAATGATGATAAACACACATACTCAATCAGTCAGTCAGATCAGGAAAAATAAGTTAGAATTACTTTTTTATTAAGAAATTTGATTCTCTTTTTAACATTATCTAATTAATTTTTTATTATATATCATGGCATAAAAAATATATTTTTAGTTAGGCTAATCTTAATTTTATATGAAAAGTTTATGAAGCAATAATTAATTTTATTAAAAAAACTTTGTCATAAATTTATAAAATATTTTTTAGAAATAATTTTTTGGAAAACCTAATAATTTCAAAATGAATGAATTACTTTTTTAATTTATCTTAAATAGTAAGAAACATTATAATAAATGCTTAAGTTAGTAAATTTAATTGATAAGAATAAAAAAATGATTTCTCCGAGGATTGAACTCGGGACCTTCAGTGTGTAAGACTGACGTGATAACCACTACACTAAGAAATCGTTGATTGAAATTAATATCAAAATTCTCTAGAATAAAAGAAGAAAAAAAATAATAAATTAACCCAAGTTAAAACCATTTTTTTAATTTTTATGCAATTAAAATTGTCAAATTGCTTTTAACTTAAGATTTAGCTATTTATTAGAGTAGAATGCTTGAAATTTCTATAAAATACCCCATTATTAGTATAATATTTACCTAAAACACTTATATTTATATTTTTTAAGATATGTTTAATATGGTATTTGAGCTATTAATTTTGTAATAAAACCAGCATTTTTTTTTGGAAAACATTAAATTTTCAAATCTAATAATATTAAAATAAAAAAGATACTTTTTACGAATGCTTGATTTATGGTTTATGATTATTATAACACTTAATAATGAAGATAAGAGTCTTTACTAAATAAAATTATTGATAAAAAAGCTGTAGAGATATCAGAACTAGTTAATAATAATTGGATTTTATTTATAATCTTGATAAATCAGAAGAATTCTGAGTAAATATAATTAAAAGTTTTTGAAAAATTTATATAAGAATAAAATATTAAAATAGGGAAATATCTAAAACAGCAGAATGGAAACTCTACCAAAGGAACTTAAGAAGGTAATGTAATTAACTTAAGATTCTCTTAAGTCGTTTGAATATATTATCATGGTTATGGACGAGAGAATCAAAGTAGAAGAATTATACTTAAGTGGAATGAATAAAATCTAAGCCTAGTTTAATTATATTAAAGAAAATGATCCACTTGCATTCGAATCCTCTGCCTTGAGAGTAGATGTATTGTAAAGAGCTAACCATAATTAGTATTTAGTTGAATAAATGAAATCAGAATAAGAAGAAATGAAATTACTTCTCAAAAAAAATTAAGAAAAAGTTAAAGAAGTTGAAACTAGTTTTAGGGAATCAGAGAAAACATTTAAGCAAAAAGTTTACGATCTCGAAAAGTAAAAAGAAAAATTGACTTAAGTAAATAAAGAACTTGAAGAATTGACACTTTTCTTATAGTTGATTGAGTCCGATGTAGCAAAATCTAATCCTAAATGGTATTTTTTTTTCATTTAAATTTTTATTTAATCAATTTATAAGTAATAAAATGGCTCTTTATGCATAAAAAAGAAATTTTATAAATTTATATGGATATTAAGCACTATTAAAATGTTTAATTATTTAATAATAGGAAAGATAGAAAGCTAACAGTAGTAAACAAGTTAAAAATTACTCAAAAGTAAAAAGAAGAACTTGATGGCATATATAGATAAGATTTAAAAGAGATGGATACATATATTGGAGAGTATAATAATCAACTAAGTGGATAGTATGAAGAATTAGTTAATAATTCAAACAACTTGAGAAATTCTATTCACGACCTTGCTCGTAAATAGCTTGTCTATGAAGTAAATTAGATTAGAAATATTTAATACGATCTGGATAATGTCATCAAGTAAGTCGATTCTAGACCTAATTTCTCTTATGAGTCTGAAGAGGTTTCTAAAAAGCTCAACCCTCACAAGGCTTTAAACTTCTAGTCATTTTTCTCTCCATACTCTACAGATGTCTAAAAGAAAATACAAGAATAACCAGTTGATCTTGACTAATCTTTGATTATTTCACCTAATACATAACTTCCAGGATTAGACAGTAATTTTGACTGTATTACAAAAGAAGACAGAACTTAAATATAAAGCTACTTCTAAAAGGGTCTTATTGATAATCTTAACTAGCTTAGTTTAGTAAAAGATAAAAAACTTAAAGATTCTTGTCACTATCTCATGAATAGCGTTATTTAAACAAAGGGAGATAGCATTGATATTGATGTTCTCAACTTAGATATCTCTGTCATTCTTAGTGAAATCCAATCTCGTACTACGAAGAATCGCTAACTGTAATAAGAAAAACTTAATTAATCTCAGAAATAAGAGGAAGGCAGAAAGTCTTAATCAGATAATTAAAGTGAGGCTTAGGATGTTAAGGAAGATAGCATACTCAAATAAATTAGCACTGAATAACAAGCTGTAGAAAACGAACCTAGTAAAAAATTAGAAGATATTGAAGAGGGGAAAAAGTAGACAAATGAAATAAATTCTTAATAAGAAGAAAAGTTAGATAATGTTTCATAGTAGAAAGAAGTTCAAGAAGAAGCAAACTTAAATTAGTAAAAAGAAAGTGAATCACAAGAAATAGAAGGTTAAAATAAAATTACTTCTTCCTCTGAAAATAATGAGCCTAATAATGAAGAAAAAGAAAACTCTTTATAAAACAAGGATAGCATTTAAACTGAAAATGTAGAAAAGTAAAAGGAAGAAGAAAAAACTACAGAAAAAGCTGAAACTATTCCATAAATTCAAAACGAAAATGTAGAAAACAGTGAATAAGCAAAATAAAATTCAGAAGAAGCTGCAACTGAAGAAAAAAATGAAGAAAAGGCTAAAAGCAATGAAGGTATTGTGTTAGAGGATAAATAAGATAAAAAATCAATTGATGAAAACAAAAATTCTGAAGTTAATTGTGAAAAATAAACAGAAAAGGTAAAGGAAGAACAAGAAATTATTACTGATATCCCTCCTGTTTTCTATGATTATAGCGATCCATAGAATTAAGCTATATTCTTAATATTTTTAGAATGTTTTAGATAGTCTGGAAAGAGTTAAATAACTCCTTAATAAAATAATTAATTAGTAATTGAGTGCTTCAGGTACTTAGATGATTTGTCAGTTAAAAAAGATATTTTATAATTGATAAAATTCATGCCTCTCTCTTTTGCTATTTATCGTTTAACAGCAGCTGAAAAAGTATTTATATAAGAAAAAGTAAAACATCATTTTATTTGGACTTAAAATGATGCTTGGGAAGCTCTTATATTCCGTTCTATTAAAGATGAGCTTAATAAGCTAGATCCATCTCTTGCTGAAGATGAAACTATGTATCGTAATACAGTTTATTCTAATTTAGCAACAATAGGATTAAATATGCTTAAATTCCGTTCAACCAAGTAAAGTACAAAGAATATGATTGGCAAATTGGCTTTGTATTACGGTATTCCTGATTCTTAAATATAAGATCTCATGACTTTTATTGAAAATGAAGGCTAGAATGAAAAAAGTTTATCTTTTGTTAAGACTTCTAATTATTCATCTATTTAGGCTAAGCCCAATATTGCTAAGGGCAGAATTATTACATTTGGCTAAGCATAAATTTAATAGTAATAACCAGCCACAACGGTGAATAGCTCTAATTCAAATCCTACTCATGGAAATACTTTACATGAAACAAAAGTAAATCCTTTATTGTAAAAGCACACTGTACCTGCAGCAGTCCAAAATCCTTTGTTATCAAATACAACAAACAGTAATGCAGCTAATACTAATTAACAGAGGTTCTAAAGTGCATATACTCCAAGTACTTAAAATAAACCAAGTTAATAGTTAAATTAAACTTTTGGTGGTTAACCAAATCCTATGCTCCAACAATAGTAGCCAACAAAGCACTAATCTGATTTCAAACCATCTAATTTGTTTAAATAAGAAATGAATGTCATTTCCAACAATTCAAACTAAGAACCTCTTAAACCTGCATAAACAGCCTAAACTGCTTAAATTTAGTAAACTGTTTAAACCAATCCAAATTAAATGACATAAGCAGCTACTTAGAATTAATAAACAGCATAAAGTCCTGCCCAACCTATCCCCTAATTTGCAAATCAATAAGTTCCAATTTAAGCTTAATAGTAAAAACCTAACTATGCTTTACCTTAAAACAAAGTAAATTCTAAACTCTTTGGCTCAAATCAAAACTATGCTTTAAACAACAACAAGAATTTGTGAAATAAAAATAAAAAAAACGCGAAACTGATGAAATAAATTTTTTAAAAAATTTTTATTTTAATTTCAAAATATATTTTATGTTTTTATGTAAACAAACAAACAAAATTAATTAATATTTTTTTTAATAAATTGTTCATTTCATTAGATAACTTTTTTTTCAACTGCAATTGACTACATCTAGGAATGACATAAACACTTGCTATTTATTTATTAATTTAAAAAAATGATATTTATAAATTAAAAATTAAAATTTTACTTTAAAATCTTTATCCCAAGAGTTTAGCAAATCTTCAATTAGCTTTTTGTTTTCTATAAATGCAATAATTTCTTTTTATCTGATTACTTCAGAAATTTTTTACAAGATATAACTTGCAATAATATTTTCTTTCTGCTTCTTGTTCATATTTTTCTAGCTCTAAGAAGGCTATATAACCAAAGTAATTTATAAAATATTTTTTATATTAGAAGAAAATTTTTTTATTACTTTAATTTTTTGAAGAATTGAAAAAACATTAGTTAAAATTTCAATTATTAGTTTGATGCCTTTATTATGATATCCATCAACAGCTGCTTAAAAGACGCATTTCAATACATCATATAGGTGCTTTTAGTAAAATGTTTTAACCTTCTCGTTATTTTTATTCATTTCCTAAAATATACAGGAATTAAAAAATAAATAAATAAAAACATAGATATAAATGATTTACTTAGACTATTTCATTTAGAGATTCTAAGCTCAAAAGATAAATGTCAGTTTCTGTATTATTTATTCCGCAAATAATAAAATTCATTAATTATAACGAATTTGTATTTATTTGATTAATAATTTGATTTGCTATGACTATAAATTTAAATATTTAAATATAAAAATAAAATTTAATAAATTATAAATTTACTCAAAGGATAATTTTTTGAAAGCATTTTAACAAGTTGATAGCTTTTCATGATGTGATTTTTGTATAAAGGATTATTTTACTCCTTTGATAATATTCTCTCACAGGAACTAAAGAATATTTATGTAAGTTGTGAAATATCGTCTTCTTTTTTTGATATTTATATACACTGTTAAATTACATAAATTGTTGTATGATCTTTGTATGCATCGTCAAGATTTTAGAACTCTTTAATTATATTTTTGGCAACTTATACTAACTCAGCTGCAGATGATTCCTATTACTCAGTCAACATATTATCTTTTTTTTGTAGAAATTATAAACAGTTTCCAACTATAGCAACTATTGGCTCTCTTAGAGATACTAGAAGTGAGATTGTTTCATCATCTAACTTTTATTTTTTCTAAGTTTGCTAAATCTTAGAATCTAAAAATGTTTTGATTTTGCTAACATCATCAAATTCTATTTAAATATTAAAAATTCAATTGAAATTTTTAGAAATTATTAATATTCATACTCATTTATAAGAAAAACAAATCACTCAACTAGCAAGATGCTTCTGCAAGAATTTCAAATATGAGCCTAATATCTAGATAATTTGATCTGACTAATATTTATTCATGATCTTAAATGTATTTTTCTGCATCTTTAAGTATAGGATGAATTAGAGCATTAAAGAGGGCTTCTTATTTTTCTCTCTCATCACATTTTTTTACAACAAAAATCAAAGAATTGTAGAATTTGGATTTACCAATTAAACTTAATGATTTAGTTATAAACTTTGACTTGTTAACTAAAGATTTAAATTTGATTTCACCATTTTTCATTTCAGTAGTAAAAAAGACATAAAATATTTCACAGAAGATATTAAAGTAATAAACTGCAACATCCTTAATTATTTAAGCATAAAAATTATATGGTTAAAATTAAATATCAAATTAAACTTACTTAAATACACTTTGAATCATCTTAGATAAAATCGATTATTTTTTATACCAACGATTCTAGAACATTGTAATGGTTTTTTAAAAAAATTTCAAATTTGCTTGTCACATAAAATAAACTATTGACCAACATAGTCTTAGCTATCTTATTCCTTCTGGTTTCTATCAAATTTAAATAACTCTTAAAGTTTATTAAAATAAATAATTTGATTTAGTTTTTTATTTTGTAATACTTACTTTAATTGTTGAAATACAAAATTGCTTTTCTTTTACTGGATCTAGGCCTCCAATTACTGCGCCCAAAGCATATTAAAAGCTCTCTATGTTTACTAGATTCCATTCTGATCCATCAATCTTTTTTAGAAAAATGTGCTTTTTAGCAATTTAATATCTTTTTATTTAATTACCATCTTTTCAAATTTTTGAATACAAATTTCATGGAATTGGTCATATTTTAAGTTAATTATTAAATGCAAAAGAGTCCTTTTTTAATTATACAAAGTTTCATCATTTGATATTTAAAACTCTGCTGAAGCTTCTCCCTTTTCATTGATCTCAATACGACAGGAGTCTGGTCTACTGAAATAAGAAATTAAATGGTAAGCTAGATCTATAAGAGTTTCATTAAAATATGCTAAAATTTCACTCTTATCATAGGTAGTATCTTTAATTTACCCTAAGAACTGAATCCAAAAATCGATATTTTATAGTTATAAGCATTCAACTGGAGTAAACTTTTCAATATAGTTAAGATAACTACCAAATATATTTCTAAATTATTTATCAGAGTTGAAATAATCTACAATATTCAATGCAGGAATTGTGACAGCATTTATCGCATATGCGAGAAGCATTTAATTAGCTGATACACACATTTTTAAAAAATTTTGTTCTTAATCTGGATGCTCCTTTTGAATAATGCTTTATTCTCTTAAAACATCTATATCAAATGGAATTTGATTTTATATTTCTTTAATTATTTCCTCTAAGATACTATATTTTTTAACATTAGAAGGCTCCTTAAAAAAAACTTCTAAGCAGTTCAAAACTAAATCTCTGAAAACAGGTTCTTTCAACAATCCTAAGAAGAAGTTGCATCTCTCTGTAGAGAAAGCTGATTTTGTCAAAGTACAATAATAATAAATAATCTCTAAAGCTGTTTAACATAAGTCTTTTTTGACTTAATCTTTGTTTTCAGCATATTTGTCTAAAACATAAAAAGCTAAATGTAAAATACTCTCTTTTAAATTAAATATTTCTTATGTTAAAAAATCAGCTGGCTATTAAATCAACTGCTCCTTACTTTCCATATCTTCTCTTTTGTAATTTTAGAAATGAATTAAAAAATAAATATTTTACTTTAAAAAATATTAATAAATAAATAAAAATTTTTAAATAAGCTTGCCATTTATTTCAATAAATAAAATTATAAAAATGGAAGAATCTAATTTATTTCTAGCTAAAATAATAAAATACATCAAGTAAACCAGGAATTTCATGAAAGATTCACAAAATATTTAATTTTCCAATGATTTTCGAAGCATCTATGGCATGAAATTATGCAATTAATTCCCTAATTTAGCGATTTCTAATAAAACAGCAGAAAAAGCTTTAATAATATCTTCCTTCTCTTAGTCTAATTCACCTTTATACCTTTAAATTTCTAACTCCAACATTTAAGTTATTTACTTAGTATTTTCAGTAACATCTTCATTTGATAAATTGATCCAATTTAACTTTCATTTAAAATAATTTATTTACTATGATAAATTAAAATTATTTAAATTATCAAAATTTTTTTTAAATCACAAAGCTTAATGAATAAAATTGCAGGTATAAAATATATGAATCATTTTCCAGAAAAATAAACAATTTTTTACTTTTATCTAAGATTTCAAAACTGAAAGACTCAAGATTTTAGTCTTATAGGAATTTGAATACTACATTATTTAATTTATGTGAGGTTATATATCAACATATTTCATTTCATCCCATACAGAAATAGCATCTAAATCCTGTTAACAAGAAAAAATTATATCAGAAATATGATTTGAATTGAAGTTAAAAGACATATTACTTTAGATAAATTTGAGCTTAGCACATCTAGCTTTGTAGTAACATCTTACTCATTCAATAATTTTTTATTTTTAAGCATTTTTATCACTTCATGATCTTATATACTATTCTTTTCTTCAATCATTGTTAAAGATTTAGTAGCTTAGCTTTTATTTTATGTATGTTGCTTAGAACGTTTTTTACAAATAAACAATTAAAGAAATAAATATTTGTAATTTTATTAATTGAAAATAATATAAATATACTATAATTAATTTATAAAATTGCAACAAGATATATACACTCAATTAGTTGAAAATATATTTAAATTCACCAAATCTATTATGAGTATTCATTTTTTTTAAAGAATTTGATGTTTAATAAAAAATAAAAAAATAATTTTTATTCTTCCATAAACTGCTAAGTATTCAAAATAACTATTAAGGATTATTATAATTTATTAATAAAAAATGAATATGACTTATAAACAGTATTATAAAATTAGAATTAAATTAGGATTAAATTATTAGGGAAAATATTTATTATATATTATATATTATATTAGAATATGATTTTGATATTTTTTTAAAGAATTTTTTTTGTGTTTATTTGAAGAAATATTTGGCGAATATTTAAAATTATACAGAAATAATTAGTAAATTAATTAATAAATTTAACAGTCATTTTTATATTGCGCGGTAAATAATTTCTAAATTTTCAAATAGAGGAATCTTATACTTTATGAAAATTAGAGTCTCATCAGATTTTGTAAAAATAATTTAGAAAATAAATCTAAATATTTATAACAAGAAATAAGTATATGGAAATAGAATCTGAATCAAGTAGCTGTATATCTTTTGGCTAACAAACAAAGCCCCTCAATCCCTAAGACTACTATTCAAATCATACCGTCACATTTGGGGAAGATATGTCTAAATTTAAATAATATCACACTCCATTTAACACTTTTTTGTAGTAGAATAATATTAATGTCAATAATTAATTACCTCAATAAAACAGCACCACTAATTTGTCACAAAGTAGTACTTTAAATAGCTCACAATAAAATAATCCTTTCTAAACAAATGGTTAAAGTATTAGTGGAGTGAATATCTTTTCATAATAAAACAATAATCTTGGGATGAATAATCAAAATTAATAGCAACCTTAGAATGGATTTAACATATTTGCTTAGAATAATGCTTAAAATTAGGGAGTTAACATTTTTGCAAGTACATTTTTTCATTTTTGATTCTAAAATAATTTATTTGTCAGAAATATTATCTTTAAAATAAAAATGATTTAAATTTAAATATTATAACTTTTGGAAAATTGATAATATATATAATATTTCATATGCCTTTTAATAATGCTTTTACTTAAATAAATATGTACTTTGTAAATCAATAATAGGTCAATAAAGTATGACATCTTAGTCAAGTAGTCAAAGTGGAATTAATATATTTTAAAATATTCCTTAATAATAACAATAATAACCTTAAAATCCCTTTTAAAGAAATGTTCCATTAAATTAACTTGCTAGTAACCTCTTCCCTTAAGTAGAAGTTAATTATTAGAGTTTAATCTAAACAGTAGCTGAATAAAATGAAGAAGGTGATGGTGAGTATGATCCAACTGAAAACGATGAAGATGGTGATGAATAAGATTTTGAAGAGAAAGAATAAAAGGAAGGAGAAGACGACGATGATAATTCAAGTGGAACAAGTTGTGATGATATTGATTAAAGTGAATTGAATGATTGTAAATAAATTTTCTTTATGAATATAAATTTCCATATAAAATTTTATTTGATAAGATATATATATATTTTTTTTAATTTATTAGGCATAAACTAAGTAGACGATAAGAGTTTTAATTTATAAGAGTATCTTCGCATGAGAGATCAACTTTGAAAAGAAAAAAATTTACTGTGAATATAAAGCTAAATGCAAAAATATTCTTCGTTAAAATAAATTCAATAATAATTAATGATTAAAAAATACCTCATTTTAAATTTAAATTAATATTTTAAAAATAGTGTTGTTTATATTATAAATATTTGTATCTATCTATAAATATATCTTTCATATATATATATATTTATTGTTATCTATCTATCAACATTTCTTTATTCATATTGTTTTGCAATCTAATTTTAAACTTATTAAGATATTCATTTTTTATATGCTTTAAATTAATGTTTTATTGATTTGATTATATTTATTTAAAAAAATATTTATAATTTTTAAGAAAGTTCAGAGGATTATTTTAGAATTAATCTCTAAAGAAAGAAAAATTAAAGATTTGTATAAATGATTGGTATAAGAGTAATTAATAGAAGATATAGTTGTTAAAAATGAAAATCTGTCAGACAAAAGTATTAATTCAAATACATTTATTTGTTTTTTAATTAAATCATTATTTGGTGAATGGAAATATTCAAATTTAAAAACAAATGAAATATTAAAGCAAATTAATTTAATAATTCGTTTGTTCCCAAAACAACCTAATTATAAATATTAATAACTAACTACAAAATATAATTGCCAAATATTATATCAACAGATAAACTTAAAAAAAGCATTTGTTTATTACTCTATTTACATAAATAGGATTTATCTTAAATTAATCAAAATTAAATAAAACTTAAGCTAGGCAAGAAAAATGATAGTATTTCAATTTTTTTACCATTGCAAATAGGTTAATAGTATTTATTTTTTACAATAATTAATAGGACATAATTAATTAAGATCAAACACATCCCTTTAAGCGCAGAATCCAAAATGAAGTCAAAAAGTATTCTAATATAAATGTTATTATGCAGAGATTAGAAGTTTAAGGATATCTTGATGAACTTTTTAATCTGCTAACAAAAATTAAAGATTGTGAAGACAAGTTCACAATTAGTGGTAATTATTTACATATTATCAATCATTGAATAAATTCTACCAAATATAATGTCAACTGATTCTTAAAAAAATTAAAAAATTACTTAGAACTTAAAAAGATTCAGTCTCAAAGAAATGAAAATGATCAGCAGTTCGACTTTAACGAGTAGTACAATAACAATTGCTAGATTTTTACTCAAAATCTATAATTAATAATTTAATTAATAGGTAATTTATTTATTGCATTTTTCTTTCATTTTTTTAAATATATTTTTATAAGCTAGATTGATTATTTATTTACTTAACATCTGCTTTAAGAAAATTTGATTTATCAGTTAAAAATTATATTTCCTTATCTTTCAACAAGCAATCAAAATACTTTTTTTCAAATCAAAAAAGTTCATGATGTATGGTAAAAGAAATCACAGTACAGTATAGTAAATTCTCCTATGAGAAACAAAAGTTCTCACAAAAAAGAAAATTTCAAAAACTCAATAATCTTATCAAATGTTCCTTAAGTTAACATGTTTAATCCTGGATCAAGCATAAATCTTGATAATAATCAACAGATTACTCAGCCAAATACACAAAGAATACTCACCTAGACAGATATGAATTCATCACAAATATTGACAAATACTTCTCAAGTATTCAGCAATAACAACACAAATACAAATGCAAGCAACGATGTAATTAATTTTATTTTGATTTAGCTCTTAAATAGGTGATTGATTTCCTTTTAAAAAATAAATAAATAGAAAAAATTGTAAATTTCATAACTTCAAACAAGCTAGTATCTAAAAAAGAGTGCTGTAATTGAGAAAGATAGACACACTCCAAGTTTTAATAGCAAATAATAAATATATTTTTAGCATCATTAAGGGGCAAATTTGGGAGATTCATAAAAAGTAAAAGTGAATGAAAGTGCAAGTAGCTAACTAAATAACTCAAGTTAAAATATTCAAAATTAAAATTAGTCAAAATAACTTAATACACAAACAAATTTAAACAATTTGGTTAATTCATCATCTCAATCTTCCTTAGCTAATACAAAAGGATTATAGTAAACACAAACTCTTACTCATAGTTCATCTTATTAAAATTTGTCAAGTAGTAAGAATAACTTAAATAATTCATTCAATAACAGCAGATAATCTTCATTACTAAAACCAAGCAGTAGCAATATTAATTAAATTTCGAGCTCTATAAATTAAAGTAATTAGTACCTAAACACTACTACAAATACCAGCTAAAGTTCTAATTATCCTCAAAAATCATATTTATAATCACACCCGCCACTTCCTCATTCTTCATCTTCAACTAGCTTTATCAATAATAATACTAATAATAGAGGATAAATAAATTAAAATACTATTTCATCTCATTTAAATAACTCTATATTAAGAGAAGATAAGAGAAATAATATTAACACATCCACTATTGACTCCGCTCGAGACTCAATTAAAAGATAAAGTATAACCAACTCTTCTATTTTAAAGCCCCACTATTTCAGCAATGCAGATTACGGTAAATGCAATACCTAAAGTAATTTCCTATTAATTAAGTTTCATTTTATGCTATAATTCGAATTTAATTTATTAATAAATAAATAAAAAGGGTCTTTGTCATCATATAACAATAGTCGTGAAATAAATTAATAAATGCAAACTTCAAGGGACATAAATTCATCTATACTCTCTGCTAGCATATAAATTACTAATGATAATAAAAGCAAAGAAAATTACAAGCCACTATAAAATACTAACAGATTAAATACTTATGTGAATTGATAAATAATATAAAATAAAAACTCCTATAATATTAAATTTGTAACTTACATAAAGATATTTTACTTAATTTATAAAAAATACATATTAAATTCGAATAGAAACAAATGTTTCTATATAATCATTATAAAACTTATATTTATACTTATCTCGAAATCAGTATCTATCTATTCTTAATTTATATTTTGGATTTTTATAAGTTTTAATAAATTTTAGTATTTTGTAAATTATGTTTTTTTTTAATAAAGATACTTTGTTTTTTTGATCACACAAAAAATAATTCTTTTTATTAAAATACAACCTCATTATAATTAAATAAATTCTTTATAAATAAATAGTAAAAAAAAATATAATAAAAACATTTCAAAAATCAAGCTAAATATAGGCAACCAAAAATTTTAAGTAGTAAAAGCGTAAGTAAGCAATAAAGAAACAAATGGGTTGTGGAACAAGTACAGGAAATAATTAAGTTAAAGAACCAGATGCCTACGAAGGAGGTGAAGTTGATGAAGATCTTGAATTAGAATTCGGAAAAACAAAATTAGACAAGGCAGGAAATCAAATCAATAAATATGAAACTAAAGATCAAAAGCCTGAAGAGGTATTTGGCTTATATCATTCACTTAATAACTAATTCAAATTGTTAAAATAAAAATTATAAATTAGTTATGAAATTTTTTGAAATATTTTATTTATTGCTCAATATTTTTTATGGCAATATTATAAATTATTAATTTATTAAATCTATCATAAAAAATAGGATAATGGATTATTTGAATTAGAAAATAACCCTGAAGCAGAAAAGTTTATGGCTGTAAAGCCATGGATTGGAGCTCTTAAAGCACCCTCTAATCGTAACTATTTATTTTTTCAATTTTAAAATTCAAGTCCTAACTATTTTATTTTGTTGTTAGCTCCTTAAATAGATCCATCTGCTCCTTCAACAAAACTCTAGTTAGAATACATAAATGGCTATAAATGCGAAGACTGTAGATCAAACTTGTAAAAAATTAGCTGATTCTTAAACAATCTTTTTCTTTTTTATAATTTTTTAGTAAAAATTTTCTTTAATAAAAGGTACTATACTTGTGATTAGGGTAAAGTAGTTTATTTTTCAGCTGCCGTGGGAATAGTGCTAGATATCAATGCTAATAAGTAGGAATTTTTTGGGGCAGGTTAAGTTGGAGAAATCGAAGGTCATAATGATGATATTGAGTCTCTTGATATTTGTCCCTAGCGCAAACTTGTTGTTACTGGATAAAGAGGTCCAAATCCTTTGGTTTTAGTATGGAATTGCCAAACTATGGAAATAGTGGCTAGGCTATAGTTAGGAAGAGGTAACAGAGCTGCAAAATGTGTAAAATTTTCAAAGGACGGTAAGCAAGTGTTTGTAACTGATGAACACAACGATCATAACGTTCATGTATTTGATATTGCTACTTAGTAGAAAATAGCTTCAAACAAAACAGGAGGTGATCCTATTATGGATATGGATACTAGTAATGGAACCTATAAATGTGCAGTGGCAGGAAAGAGAGGTTTAATCTTTTTCGAAACTGGTCCAGGATTCATTAACTCTTCCAAAGGACTTTACGGAGCAACAGAAAGAGTCGATGTAAATATATAATTATTAGATAAATCATAAAAAATTAATTTACTGATTTATAAATTAGATGCTTTCCATAAAGTTTTTTGAAGATGGTAACAGATGTATTTCAGGATCAATTAATGGATCTATTTATATTTGGAATGGCAAATAAGCATCCAAAATGATACGTGCTCACTAAGGTGCTATTCATGTTATTAATATCGTATCGAATTAAATCTTTTCAAGTGGTGCTAAAGATAAAAAATTAAAAGTATTTGATGCAACAACACTAACATAAAAATAAGAATATGATCTACCAAACTATGCAAAAGCTATTGATTACTCAAATGATTAGATATTAGTAGGAACAAGAAATGGTATATTTCTATTTGATACCAAAAATGAATTTTATAATAATTATTTTGTAATAGGATAAATTCTTCAAATAAGTTAAAATGATGTTAAAACTTTGATGAATGGTCATTTCACAGGTGAAACATGGGGATTAGATGTAGATATTGCAACTGGAAAAGTAAATTTATTTATACAATTAATCATATATAATCAATTATTTTTTTTTAGGTAATTTCCACTGGAGATGATAATAAGATTATAGTGTTTGACCCTGTTAAAAATACAGTAGAAGCTGAAGGCATAGTTAACCCTTAAGCTGGAGCAAAGCCCAAAATAGGTAATTTTTATTGAATAATTAGATTTTTATTTATTGATTCTATTCACTTTTATTTAAATAGGAGGAGCTTCAACCCTTTCTTTATACCCTCCTAATTAATGTTCAAGAGCAGTTGCCATAAATCCCTTAAACGGTCATATAGCAATAGCATCAAACTATGGAGATTTATCAATAAGAAAAGGCATTAAAAACATCAATGATAAAGTAATTCATAATTTTAAAATATTAATTTTATTGATCAATCTTTTTTACATATTGTAAATGTCTAGATATTCGAACAAAGAATATCAAATGAGTGGATCGAAGTTTTGTAATATAGTCCAAATGGGTAATTCCTAGCTGTTGGATCTCATGACAATAATATTTACATTTTTAATGTTAATGACAATTACACAAAAACTGCAGTTTGTAAAGGTCATCAATCTTTTATTACTTCATTAGACTGGTCAAGAGATGGCTAATTTATTTAATCAAATTGTGGGGCTTATGAGTATCTATTTTTTAATGCTATGGATGGATAATAATTAACAGGTAAGTACTTAAAATAATTTAAAATTTTATTTAATCATTAATTAATAAAATAGCTGGTGCTTCTCAACTCAGAGATGAAAAATGGTAAACATTTACTTGCAAAATTGGTTGGCCTGTCTAAGGTGTTTTCCCTCCTTGTACAGATGGCTCTCATGTTAATGGTGTATCAAGAAGCCATGACGAAAGTATTATTTCAACTTCAGATGATTGGGGTTTTGTAAATTTATATAGAAACCCTTGTTTGAAATCCCACAAAGCTTTGAGTTATAGAGCTCATTCTTCTCATGTAGTGAGGGTTAAATTTGATAAAAACGATTAATATTTATATAGTGTAGGTGGATATGATAAATGCTTAATGAAATGGAAACTAATACATTGATAAAGCCACATTTAATTTCCAAATTAATAATTAACTATTCTAAAAATAATTAATTAAATTGTATTATTTCTAAACTTTATGTAAAATGTAAAATTTAATCAAAACAATCTATTTTATCATCATAAAAGTTTAGATAAATAATACAATTACTTAACAATCCTCTGAAGAATTCGATTTTCCCCATTTTTACAAAAATATAACTATATACTGGAAAGTCTCATAGATATAAATTATAAATTTATGTGGATCAAAACTATATTAAATTCTTATTTATTTTAATCATAATTTTTTAAATTAACTAATCAGTTATGAAAAAATATAATCATACCATTTATTTAATTAAAAAAATATTTAATAAACTACAAAAAATATTTAAAATTATTAAAATTCTTAACATTTAAAAAAATTTTTTTGTAATAATTCTTTTTAATATTGTTTATATTTGCATAAAAATATGAATTAAAAAATGAGGAAAATATGTTTATTTATTAAATCTTTATTTCAATTGCATAATTGAAAGTTTAAATATTTTTTTCTAATATAGTATTAAATATTTTTAATATTAAATTTTACTTATTCTTTTGTTAGAGCTAAGATACCTATGCATTGATCTTTTTGATTAAACATAGTTCTCTAGAGAATTTTTAGTAATATACCAAGGACTAAAGTAGTTATGAATTTAGGCATTTTATTTGCTTATTTAAAATTGTTGAACATTTATAAAAACATCTAAGCTAATAAATAGTTAATAAATAAATATATTTTATCTACTGTTTAATTTTTTATTGAAAATTTAGTTTTTAGAATTTAATCATATTATTTATTATATTAAATTAAAAATAAAGATTTTCATTTTTTTAAATTTATTTATTGAATTAGATTAGTAATATTTTATTTTGTATTTATAACTTTTTTATTTTTTATGCATAATAATTGGTGTGAAGATTTACTATAAATAAAATCCAAGAAATCTAACTTTGCATTTAAAATAAAAATGAATAAATTTATTGGATTTCAAATAGAATTTATTTGAATTTGAAAAAGAAATAGTTTATTAATTATACCTGTAAAATAAGATAATGGATAATGATAAGATTATAAATTTATTATGAACTTATCTGTGAATTTAAAAAATATTAATACGCAAAAATTTATAAATAATTATACAAATTTTTTTTTCAAATAAGATATTCAGTATAATTAGTATAAAAAACAGTTTATTTAGTATTGGAAAATATTCAAAATATTAGCTGTTTAAAAATTTAAATCTCAAAAAGCAAATTATGAATAAATAGGAATTCTAGGTAAGTTCTCCATAATAAAGTGAAACTATGAATACTGGTCTTTCTAACATCAACTCTGCAGTAAATTTTTCAAGAATTTTTGCATAGATGATATTTAATTGATAAATTTTAAATTGAAAATCTTCATGTCTTTAAAATTAAAATTAGATAAACAACGAGAAAATTTCGCAGAGGATATAGATATAGGATCAACAGCATGCTTTTAGAATCAATTAATATTTTTAAGGATAAGAATAGCTTTTAGATTAATAAATTAATATTCAAGATGTAGAAATGGATTATAATGAAAGAATTAATTCTATGAGAGAACTATATGAAATGAGATTTTAAACTTTATAGGATACTATACGAGATGTTTATGAGAAAATTATAAAAGATGACTTAATTTAAACAATGAAGGATAATCCTATATCTTAGGAATATATACATCAGCGTGTTAGGGAATTATTTGAAGAAATAGTGCTGAGCGAAAGAGAAGTTATAATTGATAAGCTATCTAGCTAATATACATTTTTGAAAGCAGAGTTTTCTAAGTTAGAGAATGAGAAAAGAAAAGTAAGAATTTAGCATTTCAGATTTAAATTAATTTTTTTTTAAGTAAACTAGAACATTTTACTCATGATTTATGTGTTTAAATTTAATTATTAATAAAAAATTATTTTGTTAAATGTAAAAATTCAAAGGGTTTTTAAATAAAATAAACATCCAAAAAAGGACTTTCAAATAAAATATAATTTTTTCAAATGGTTTTCAGATTAGTTGTTAAAAATTAATATTTTAAAAGATTTTCAAATAAAATATAATAAATTGAAATATAGGAATTGTAATAACATGATGAAGAAATGGAAGAAAGTGCAAGAATTATAAATATGCTTAAAGAAGATTTACACAAAGAGAGATAAAATAGATAATTCTATGAACAAGAGTTCTAAAGAATGTAAAAAAAGATGAATGAAGTTACTGAGCAGTTTGAAGATGCATTAATTAAAAAAGAATAAAAAATGTAAGATAAATTAGAATAAGAATAAAATCAAGTAATTCAGCTAACTTAAAAATTTAATGACCTTGAAAAAGAATATGAATAGTTAATAAAGTCATAAAATTAAATATTTTCTGAAAATTAAGAATTGAAATAAAGAGGTGAATTGATGAAAGCAGATTTAAGTGAAAAATAGTTAGAATTAAACACTTATAAAATAGATTTGAATACAGCTGAAGATAAGATAAAGTAATAGCTCAAATTAAATGATAACTTAAAGCTAGAAGTAAGCTAGCTTTCTAGCAGATATAATTAATTGATGGAGGAGAACACCCATTTAAATATGGAATTAGAAAACACCAAATTAGACGCTACTACCATCGAAAATTAAATGCAGTAAAAGTTCTAACATGCCTAGCAAGTAAAAACTATAATTTATTTAAACATAAAATTGTAAAATGTTCAAATTAACTTTAAAAAAATTCTAGAATTTGTAAAAGGGCCAAGAATATTTAGAAAAGGTTAAGTAAAAAAATAAACAAAAATTAGAAGCTTATAAAAACAAGATTATTGAATACAAACAAAGAAACTAAGAAGCCGAATAAATAATAAGATAACTCAAATAAGACCAAAATGAAGAAAAAGAAAAAAGCTAGAAGAGTTTATAAAATTGGGAGAGAATCCTTTAAGAAACTAAAATAGAATATGAAAGAAAGATCGAAGAAATACACAATGTTTCTTAAATGAAATTCGTAAAATTTTGTTTTATTTAAAATATGATAAAATATATTTAGAATATATGCTTTATAAAAGAGTTTAATCAAACAATTAAAAAATTTAAATCAATTATTTAAATCAAAGGACGAAAATCAAAGAAGACATGACGAATATTTACAAGAGTTATAATTACACTATTAAGAAACTATGAATTAAAAAATAGATGATATAAAAAATGAAAGTAACCTAGAAATCGATTAACTTAGGTATTAAGAAAGATAGCTTAAACAGATGCTGGAAGAAAAGCTAAATTAATTGTAAAAAGATTATATTTCTAAGTCATTGCATGATGAAATTATGGATGAAAAGAAAAAATCAATTGACAAAATGAAATAAGACTTCGATCATTTTTTAAGTGAATTCAAAAAAGAAACTGAAATGAAGAATGAACAGATCGAATTAAGAAAAAATAAAGAGCATGAACAACAATTAGCATATTTATAAAGTAATTTTTTCTTTGATTATTTTTATAATTAGTTTAAATCTTTCAAATCAAAATCAGATAATTTGAAGGAATTAGAAGAGAGTTTGAGAGAGTATAAGTTATAAGGGCGTGAGCTATAGTCTAAAAATGAGTAATTAGAAGACTAATAACAAAAGATTATAGCTGATTTGGAAAATTAGATTAAGCAAAATAGAATCTATGAAAGTGAAATTCAAAGATTGTAAGAAAAGCTTAACAAACAAAAAAATAAAAATAATGAGCTTTAAAAGACTTTAGATGATTTAGACTAGCTTAGTGCATAACTTAAGTCAGATTTAGAGTCATCAAGAAGCACAATATAAAGATATTCATAAGATTTAGAAAATATTACTGTTTAAAATGAGAAACTGTTTGCATAAATAAATGAATAAAAGTAAAAAAATGCTGAACTCATAGGTTCTGTCTCAAACTTGAAAACTGAAGTTTCTAATGGATAGCAAGTTATATAATTTAAAGAAGAAGTTATCAAAAACATCAAAGAAAATTTAGAAGAACTTAAACAAGAAAATAAACAATTAAATACTAAATTCTTTGATCTGTACAAAGAAAAAGCTTAAAAAAATGTAATATTTTTTTTTTAAATTAATTAAAGATATTAAAGTGATGTTAAATTAACTTTAAAAATAATAATTTTATTTAAATTGATTAAAATCTATTTAAAAAAATGATTTAACTAATTTATAAATCCAACTCAATTTATAGATTTTACTAATGTATTTTTAATTAGTTAAATTAACAATTAAAAAATAACTGAGTTTAAAGTTATTAAACATTTTATTCTTTTGAAATTTTAGGAAGATGAAAGCAAAAGATTTGAAGAAATTAATACTTAAATTACTAGATTATAATATGAAGCTTAAGAAAAGGCTCATCAATCAGAAATTTTAAAATCTTAATTAGATACTATATCTGAATAAAAGAAAATTTTAGAGGAAGAAATTCAATATCTCAAAATAGATCTCCTTGAAAAAGAAAGAATATCTCAAGCTTCTTTAAGAGAAAAACTTGAATTGGAAAATCTTTTTAGTAAGAAATTACAGCAATAAAAAGAATTAAAATATCAAATAAAGAATGAGTTAACAATAGAGCTAACTAGATTAAGAAAAGATTTGAGCTAAATTTAAGAGTTTGTTTAACATCAAATTAAAATGAAGTCAAACGAAATTGAATTGTGGGTTAAAAGTATTTAAGGAAAATCTAAAGATATATTAAACAAATAAAATAATTAATTATAAGAAAAATTGTAAATTGTTGAAAATGAGATATCTAGAGAGTGTGAGGAATAAATTTAAGATTATAAACATAGATTTGAGTAGGAAATATCTGATTTATAATAATAAAAAGAAAGGGAAATCAAATAACTTAGTGATTATGTTAATAAGTTAAGCCAAGCAAACTAAGACTTGATAAATGAAAGCAAAGGGTATTAGGAAGAACTTAATGAGCTCAAAAATTAGTATGATCTTTTATAATAGTAAAATTAAAACTTACAAAAAAGCTACGATAATGCTATTAAAAAATCAGAATAAATGGAATAAACATTCGATTTGAGATTAAGGTAACTAACTTTTAATTTTATTATTAATCAAATTTTAACTTTTATTTCTAATAGTGAATATTAGTAAAGAAAGGAAGAAAGTGGCTTGAAAAGAAAATAAATGGTTGAAAGAGAACTTGATATTGCAAATGAAGAAATTATTTAATGGAAGAATAAATACCAAAATCTTATAGACTAGATGAATAAAAATGTAGAACAAATGCAGAGCCAGAGAGAGATAGAAGTGGAAACAGTCAGATAAAAAATGAATTTTTCTATTCAATAATTAGAAAGCTAGATAGAAATGCTCTAGTAAAATGAATTAGAACTCAGAGACTCTCTAGCTAAGCAAAACGATAAAATAAATTTGCTTCAAAAAATAATTCAAGAAAAAGAAGAAGCCTTTGAAGGTCTTAGAAGAGAAAAAGATCAATAAATAAAATCCGTGACAGAAGTGGAGTTAGAGTATAAGTTGAAGGAAGAAGGTCTAAGGAAATAGAAGAAATCTTACGATGAAATATTAAGAGAGTAGGAAGAAAAAATTAATCACTTTGTAAACGAAATAACAATACTTAATAGCAAAATAAACTAATTGATTGAAGAAAAAACCATTTTAATAAATAAAAATAAAGATTTACAATTTTAATTAGATCTCAAATAGTCCTAACTTAATTAATTAGCTAAAGAGTTCCATGACAAATAAACAAAATCTAATAAAGAAATCGAAGATTTACACAAATTATTGACTTAATCCTTTAAAAATATGAATGATAATTCTGAAAACATTGATTTAGCAAGAAAACTGGATGAAGAAACTCGCTTATTGACTAAAAAAGTAAAAGATTTATAGCATATAAACAGGTACCTCGAAATTTCAAAAAGTCCTTCTTCAAAGTCAGGAATCGTTATTCACACTTAATAAACAAATTAAAATAGTAGCTTTTAGCAAAGCAATAACTTAAGTTAAAATATGCCTACTTATTAAAATAATAACTCTAACAATAGCATATTTTAAAATTAACCCTCTTATTTTGGTAGCCATTCTAGCAGCTAAGGAAATCTATAGATATATAACTAAAACCCTAATATGGTTTATAATAACAATAACATAAACACAAATAGCAATTCTAATCTCCATAAAGTAACCTTTTAAAATTCTTAAAGCAACAACAGATATGATCCTGGATACTCTGCTCAATAAAAATAACAACACCAAGTTCTGCAATAGCATGTGAATCAATTCAGCCCTTATTCCAAATAAAATTGAAAATTTAATTTCTGTATTGATAATATATTATTATTTAAAATGTTATGAAAAAATTTTGAGAAAATATATAAATTAAATTTTAAATAGTTTTTTGTTAATAGAAAATTTGTTTATATTTTATAATTTATCATTTTACTTAATCATCAATTAAATAAAAAATGATCTATTAATATAAAAATTTTATTTAAAAATAACATATTTTTATGATTTGGTGCGTGATTGCTTTTTTTTAATAAAGAAATATATATTAAAATTCAATTATATGTCCTGTAGAAATAATTGAAAAAATAATATTTAACAAAAATCATGCTTTTTAAAAATAACTATTTTAATGAACAAAATGAGTTTGAAAAAAAAGAATAAAATTCTTTAAATGCTTTTACTTATTTATCAATTAAAGATCATTAATTAATTGATTTTTTTGTTTAGTTTTTTAATTAAAATATTCGTTAATACAATTGATTAACAAATCTAATTCAAATTAAACATTTTTAAGATCTTATAATCTTAATTTTGAATTTTATAGCTAAAGAAAAATACTTATTAAGTTTGTATAAAGTTCTATCTAAAATAGTAGAAGATTTATCATCAATAAAACACAATCTTTTAAGTCATTTTCTGTTATCCTGACTTAATCCTAAAATTTTAAGCTAACTATAACACTACAAATAAATGATTACTAAAAAAAATTCATTTATCAATGATTTCTTTTCATAAATAAGCGATATCATCAATTAAGAATAATAAAATAAGCTTTTCAAATATTTGACTATTATAGGTATAAACGCCTTCACTAGCACTGGTTAAAATATTTCCTTTGAATGTATTAAAAAATGTGCAAGTAATTTACTTAATCATTTGAAATAAAATTTGTTGTTGAAGTTAAATATTTCTATTTCTAAAAATATTAGAGTCTCTATAAAATATGAAAAAAAAGGATCTTCAAGAACAAGTATCCTAATTGAAGCAATAAATATAAACATTAACTAAAAATGTTACTAATACTCTTAATGGGGGAAGTGATTGGATAAATGGAAAAAACAGCACCCAAATAAAAAATGAAAGTTTACATTCAAATTAAGTTGAGGTAAAATTTAAATTAGAAATATATTCACACAATTAAAAAATATTTAAAAGTAATCCTATCAAAACCCTAGCAAAGATGGATAAAAGTTTAAGAAAACTAATTTCGAAGGCTTAGACATTTAAGAAATAAATAGATTATTTTATGAAAACATAGAATAACGTAAATTATTCTCATCTTAAAATGTTTTTTATTATTTTTTTATAATTTAAAAAAGGTAATTTTTAGCTTGCACATAAGCTTGGTAATTCTACTAACAATCAATAAGAATTCAACTAAAATGAATAAAAGAATGAGTTAAATATTATTTTATCTCCTAAAAATACTTTAAAAAAGATGTCTTTTGACAATAGTTTAAGAAAGTAAAGTCATAGTACTCATACAGCACCAGTATCAAATGCATCATAAACATAAATCATAAATAATAAATTTTAGCAAAAAAAAAAAAATGAAAATCTCTATTTGAATAGTTTTGCTATATCTCAAAGTGAATATCCGAACAGCCTGGAATAAAACCATCCATTAACAAGCTGTAAAAATTCGGATGGTGGCTAATTAAAGCTAATGGATTTTTCATCACCTTCTCTAAATCGCAATACAGATAATTAATTGAATAATTAAAACAGATTTTTAAAGTAGATAGCTGAAAAGAATAACTAAAAAAATAAAGAAAATTTATCTTATTTAGGAAATTTAGAGTCAAAAGAGAATTTAATTTGTAGTTCTTAGTTTGAAGAAAATAAAAGAAAATCATCTTTATCACCTTTGAAATCTTCTTAAAATAATTTGGTTTAGTCTTAAACTAGTAATTTAAATTCCTAAGTTTTGAGTAAGAAAGATTAAAAAAAAGAAAGCAGCACTCAGAGTAGAAGTAGAAAAAACCAACATTAGAACAATAATTATAAAATGTACAAGTAACCATGTTAAAAAAATGTTAATAGGAGTAAAAGTAATAATCCTTCAAGATCTAATTCTCGTACCCCTAGAAACAGTAAATCTCCTTCCGTTATAAGCTTTAATGGCAGTTAATCATTTAACCAGATTCCATCTTATTTGAGGAATGTATAGTCAAAGATAAAAGATTAAATAGAATTCCATAAAGAACTAAAAAAGAAAGAAGCAAAGTTAGGCGAATCTTAATAGAATCTCTTAATATCTTCAAATCAATAAAAATCTAACTAAGAATATAGTTAATCTCAAAGAATTTCTCCCTCTTCGAAATTCTAAAATTCTCAAGGATCTGAAAACAGTAAATAATTCTTTAATAGCCTTAGCTAAAATGAAAAACAAGAAACTTCATTTTAACAAAACAGTTTTAAAAATCCAAATAAAAACTCAAAAGTTCTAGTTTTAGACAACAGTTTTAACTAGTCTAATTTGAACCTTAATACAAATAATTCAACAAAAAATAATTCAATCCAAGGAAATTAAAACTAATAATTGAAGAACAGTATTTAAAATGAGCCTCTAACTGATTAGCCTAAGTTTGTTAGTAAATAGTCATTCAATTCTAAAAGCTAGCTATACAGCAATTAGAACACTGATGGAACTACTTAATAAACTACTTCCAATCTATAGTCGACAATAAACTAGTAGTAAGAAACTCTATTTACAGGACATTTTAGGACAAAGAGTAATATCAGCGAATATTAAATAACAACTGAAGAATAAAGCAGTATCGAAAACCACTTTAATAACCATCAAAATTTAAGACATAATTAAATTAAAAATATGTATAATACAAATACGAACTTTAATTATTAAAATAGTTTAAATAAATTTCCAAAAAACACAGAAATTTAACAAAATTCATAATTTAAGTAATAGCTTGAAACAAATAACAATTAAATTCGCACCTAAAATGAAAATAGATATTATTCTACCAATTAAACAACGAATTTCATGTAATAGCAAAATTTAACTTCCCCTAAAAACTTTGGCATATAATAAATGTAAATATCACATAATCAATAAAGAAAAGTATCTTAAACTCCTATCGAAGGTAGAAGATAGTCAGGAGGTTCCTTGCATATAGACCACTTAAATGAAAATTTACAAGAAACACGTAAATAAAATAGTAAAAAAAATGTTTTAGAACTCGCAACTAACTTTTTAAAATCTCCAATAATGCAATAATTATGCAATACTAAATAGTAACAAGAATAAAATATTCAATAAAATTAAGAAATATAAAATTCTATGATGCATGCTAATATTAAACAAATATATCAAAACTAACTCTAATAAGGAGAAACACTAAATTATTATTCTGATAATGGTAGAAACATTAATAAAAAATAGGAACAATTCTTAAAAGACCCCAAAAATAATCAATATATGTTATAGCAACAACAACAACAATAATAATAATCTATCTCTCAGTAAGCATCTATTCAAGAGTAGCTATAGGAATAAATGAAAAAATTAAATTACCTTCCCAAAAAGCATCCTTGTGACTAGACACTTTCTCCCTAAGATCTATAGCTTTTGCTTTAAAACTAAAATCCAAATATTTCTATAACTTCTAATTATTAATCAGCTAGCTTTGGAAATTCTAAAAATTCCCAAGCAAATCACAATTTCATAGGTTAAAGCTAAACATTAAATTATAATGTCTCTTAATTAGGAAATAATGCATTAAAAAGTAGTTTTACCTAGATTCCTCAAGGTTAAAGTAAGTTTTTTAAACCTTAAAAGAAAAATAATTTAATTTTTTGTTAAATAATAAGATGGTGAATAATCAATGGTTGCAAGTAGCTTATTTAGTTCATTCAATCCAAGTAATGAAACTAAAGGTAAATTTAATTTTCAAAAAACAAGAATGAAAATAATTTTATAAACTAGGTTTCTTTTAAAATGACTTTGAAAAAAGAATGAATGATTTAGGTAAAAGCAGTAACTCTAGAAAACAGCAAAATAGCTAAAATGATGCAAGTTCAAATATTTCATTCAATGCTGATTTATCCAACAATTTGATACAACCTTAAATTGAAAATCCATTTTATTGATTGAGAATAATTAAATTTTCCATATTATTTGATTAAAATCTTATAAAAATGAATTAAAATAATATAATAAAATTATAATTTATGATGTTAAAGTATTCCTTTTATTAATTACTATATTAAAATTTATATTTTTAACTATAAATAAGAGGTTTTAAATTTTATTTTCAATCATTTTTATGTTTTATTATATATATAAGCATTTCTACAACTTTGAAAATTAAAGAGATTTAGATTTATAAATTCTCTACTAACAAGTATTGGATAATTATTATTTATATAGAATTTCATTTATAAAAATGAATTAAATATCCATCCATACATCTATCTTTAAATATTAATAAAATATTTCTTTGATAAAGTGGATTAATTAAGATAAAAACAAACAAATTAATTGATCTAAATTAATATATTTTGTCAATTAAATGAGTTAAATTATAAAATAGAAAGAATTAATTTTAATGCAGGTCTATTTATAAAATATAGAAAAGACAAAATTATAAAAAGTTTAGTTAATTTGAAACTATTGATTTATAAAATTATTATTTATTATTATATTTTTAATTAATAATTATGGTTTTTAGTCAATGCATATATATTATTTGCTTGAATTTTTATATTATTAGTATATTTTTTTTGTTGATTATAAAGATTTGCTTTAAGTTTAGCTAATTTTTCTAATATTTTTAATTTTTTAAAATGATATAGAAATTAATCTAAATATCAAATTGTTTGTTGATATGTTTTTGGCGATGAGAAAAAACAATTTAGTTCAAATTTAATTCAGAGATTAGTCTAAATAAAATATTGTTTTCCATCTTATTTCTTATGGGATATTTTCATTAAAGAAAAGATCATTATATTCAGTCAGACCTGTTATCATAGGAGTATATTATTTTTCAGATTAAAGATCAATAGATGCCATTCTTTTTTAGTAATATACAAATGTATTATCGACTTCTTAAGTAACAAGCTTTTTCATTTTTTTCCAAACATCACTATTTATTTAAAATATTTTTTATTTTTATAAAATTTATCATAAAAAAGTTATTCGTAAAAATTTAAAATCAAATTAATTTTTTGATAAATGATAATCTTATTCATATATCATATTTTGTTGATTATTTGGATTCATTTAATTATTTATAAATTCTTTAATTAAACTAAATTTTTTTAATATTAAAATATTTCTAGAGTTTTGGGTACAAGTTGCTTGACTTGTTACAATAAATAAAATTAATTTATAAAGAAAGGATTTTTATGTCAATTTAAATAAAATAAAACATAAAAAATAAAATTTAATTTAATTTACATTGATGTGTCTCTGGTGGTTTCTTTCATATAATACCAAAGATGCCCATAATTAGGCTGGGATATGATTGTTTTCTATTAACATTGATTTTGATATAGTTACTTTAAATATAATTGGATTAAAATGAAATTACATTTTTTAACTATTTAATTTGGTCTCTTTCTCCAAGAATAGTGTATAACCTCAAAGCTTCAATGAAAGAATCCCCATATTAAGGGGTAAAAAATATAGCATATTCAAGGAATTATTTTGCCTTCATTAAGTCATATTTATTACCAAATGGGTTCATGCATAAACGAGCTCCTTCACACCTAGATATATTTTGCATTTTAGTTAGCTTATAGAAATTTTATTAAAATAATGATTTATTTTACCAAACTTCACCAGATTTTGGAACCTCTTCCAGGGCTACTAAGAAAAACTCGAATGCGGAATTGAGATCATTATTAGTGGCTTTTATGTGTTCCAACTAAATTAGTTCACCCCATAGCCTTCCAGCTAAGGTGTGAGTGTAAAGAGATTCTTTGATGACTTAAGAAGCTTCTCTATGCTTTTTGTTTCTGATCAGCATCGATATATACTCCATGTAAATCTGATATATTTTTATAGTAGTTATAAGATATGGTATATTATTAAAGAGGAGAAATAAAAATTTATTTTATAATAAATTCTTGATTTATAAATCTAGAGAAAGATATTATATCAGAAAAAATATTTATTATCTAAAAATAAGAAGAATGAATTAAAATTGATTATAAAATTTATTAAAAATCAATCACATTTCTATTTATAAAAGGATCGAATGAATCTAAAATAAAATGAAACCCATATATTAATTTTTAAAATTGAGCTTAGCTCTTGATGATGAAAGTTAAATTTTAGTCAAAAAAACAACTAACTCAAAAATTAAAGTGTTTACCTTCCACTCAGATTTCATGTAGCTTTTAAGCGATTCTATTTATGAAATTGCAGAAGATATATCTCCCGCAATTTCTGCACATTTAGCAGCTTCTATAATTAGATAAGGCTTCTGCTTATCTGAACAAGCTTCAAGAGTCTTTTAAATAACTTTGTTTGCGTTTTCTTTATTGCCTAATAAGAGCTCTATTTTAGCGACTTAAATAAGTGGCTTCCATCTCATACTTTCATGAGCATTTCTAATTGACATGACTAAATATTACTTTGCAAGGTTTATAGCATTCTTTTTTTCACATATTTAGGCTATTTCTAGATATATTTTCCATATTATTTCTTTAGGTAAAGAGGCGTTTGCTTATCTGATGAATTTATCTAAAACAGGAGCCTAAATGTTAGTGCAAGTTTTTTCATAAAGCTTCAAATATAAAGTCCATAAACTTGTACATTTTAAACCTTTATCTTGAGCTTATTAGCAGATATTTAAAGCCTATTTATTATATATATAAAACAACAATTATAAAAGCCTAATTAATAGTGGTAAGAAATCTATAAAATATAATTCTATATAGAGAAATTTAATTGTATTATTAAACCATTAAGAAAAGCTCTGAATTAAATTTATGGTATTCAGTATCTGACTTGTATTTGTTATCAAATACTATAAAATCTATGTAAATTATAATCAAGCGGGGAAACAAATGGCTAATTAAATAATTTGATTACTTGTTAATATTTTCCTTAAAGCTCTAAGACTCTAGCATATTCATAACAAACTTAGCCGTTAAGATCTAAATAGCTATGAAGCATTTTTAAAATTCTTTCTGCATTTTTTATGTTGCCAAATCTTATTTCAATGAATGCGCCTTCAATATAAATTTTCCAACATTTATCTATCTTTAACTGATTTAAATTAGAAAGGATAACTCTTATGTCTTCTATTTTCCCTATTTTTTCGATGATTCTCAGTAGCTTCAAAATTAAACTATCACTCATCTTGCAAAACGGATAAGCATTTTCTAGGATTTCTTTTGCTTTTTACAAATTTCCATAGTCTTCTTCCATTTTTGCGTATTCTAACCATATCTTTAATAAATACAAAGTTAAACAATTAATTAAATTATTAATATTATTTTTCAATAAAATTTATTTTGAAAATTAGATTGATTAATTCAATGAAGATGTGAATAATTTTAGTCCGCTTGAGTCGTTGAATTTAGAAAAATTAAACTTAAGAAAAAAATTTATGATAAATCTTAATTGATGCAAAAACCACCCAAATTTTTAATTTAGCTTTTGGAGTGTTTTCGATTAACATAAATTAAATTCAGAAAGACAAATCCAAACCGACAAAATTAATTACATCTTTTTATATTTATCTAAATATGTATTATATATTTACATCAGGGCAAAAAGGTTGAAGATTAATAGCAATTTTATAAAAGTACTTAGCTTCGTGGTACATACAATCTTTTTTAGCATAATCTGCTAACTCAAACATAAGTTTCCAATAAATATTAGGCTTTATTTAAGACATTTTTGCTATAGAAGTACCAAGTATCTCAACAAAGCTTAGCTTTTATTTAATTTCTTTTTATAGAATGCTGCTACAACTAGATTAAACATTTATTTGACTTCCCTCAGGAGTTTTGCAGTTATCTTTAAGTTCTTATCTGAGTTATTTAATTTTTCTTGCAAATCTTTATTTAAATTCATTTATTGGTGTACTTTCATAAAATGTTTCTTTGATTTTATGTAACTTCCCTACTGTGTTTGGAGTGTATAGAGGAGAGTTAAATCCATATTAATTTTAATAAGTATCATCTTAGCAGGAGGATATAGAAGGTGACTAACATTCTTTTTTCAAAGGAGTCTGATAAGGTAGCGATTGTTGTTATTCTACAAATTGCAAATTCTGAGTAGTATTTACTTACTACTTCTCATAATACACAGGTTGCTTACTTTTACCAAAAGGCTTTTTACCACTTGATCCAAGGGATTTTTATGACTTACCTTAAGTTACATTTTAATTATAGACATTCTAAGCAGTCTACTAGTTTTAGTTTGTGGCGAGTGAGGGAGATGGTAAAGAAATCTTGAGAGATGAAGAAAATGATAGATTACGCAAATTATTTTGAGCATCTGATGAACAAGAAGATTATGAAGAGGGAGATGAGCATGAAGGATGAGTTGAAGATTATATTTATGATTTCGAAGAAGAGAGTGAAGAAGAAGATGTAGAATAAGCTTAAGCTTGTTTGTTAACATTTTCTGTATACTGTGATTTTTATTCTAAGTTGGCTTGGGATATTTATTTTTAAATGATATTTTGCTAATCTTTTGAGTTGTCAGGTAAAATTATAGTTTGTTGCTACTTCAAAGGAACAAAATTTGACTAGTAAGCTGATAAGCGAGCATGAGACATTTAAAATATTTTAGGATTAAGTTCTTTTTAAAGTTACTGCTAAAGCTTTTTCTATGAGGTAATCATTTGGTTTTTATACTGAGACTATTTTTAACTGGAAGATGAATCTTAACTATTATTTGTTTAATTTTAAACATCTCCACTATAAGTATAGCCACTTAATCCTGAAGAAGATGTTGATGAGTGTGAAGTATTTTGTGAATTTTCTTTATTGCTGCTCTACTAGTTTTAGGATGAAGCTGATGAGAGCTAAGTTTATGTTTAAAAGACAATTTCGTTGCCCTTTTTGGATTAAAATCCTTTGTAGCGATTAATTTCAATCAGTTGTTATTACTAATGCTAGGATGAAGGAAATTATGATTTTAAAACAGAATATTGATTTTACTAATTCTAAAACTAAGCAAAGATATTATTGTGCGGTTATTACAAAGATTCTTTCTTATTTGAAGAACTAGAAGATGATTGAGAAGCTTTCTAATTCAGTTAGTAGTCACTAAGATATTGATTCTTTAAGACTCTTTTATTAAATACATTATTAGGAAAGGAGGAGTCTTGAGTACACTACTTTTCTTAATATTGCAATTTCTCGTAGACTGCTTATCTTTGGGAGTCTTAATTGCTAACGATTTATGTAGGAGATTAGAATTTTTCTTCATCTTATTCACTACAAGATTACTACTGCGTTTCATTGATTGTTTAAAAGGAGCTCATAAGATTACGTGAAGATTTAACATTTAAGTTTAAAATACGAGATTCTTCTGGTTGCTTTTCTTGGTAAACTGTTTGTGCATAATGATGGTAAGCCCCATAGCTACTTTGCTGCTATTACCCAAACAAATTCCTTTGGTGCTAAAATATTTGGCCTACGTTTTTTTAATCAAATATATTTTATTAATTATTCCCTAAATTTTGAGCGATACTATTCTCTTCATATCTATAATCCTCAGAAATATCATTATATTGATTATCACTATCTTTGAAGAGTCTTTTTTAAATTGAAAATTTTTGCTTTGGTTGATATGCAGCAATTTAACCACTTCTTTGGTATAAATACTCCTATTAGTTGTCTTCTTCTGCATTTTGCAATATTCCCTTCAGAAAGCCAAAGCATTAATCATCTTGGCTAGGAGAGCTAAACAAAGAAAAAACATTCTATTACTTTGAATTGCATTCAGTGAATGCTCCACGATAATTTCCCTGTTTAAGAAAAATAATTTTTGAATATTTACTTCTTGAAAGCAAAATTTGAAATTCCATTAAGAGATATATAAACAATTTAATATAAATGAAGACAATATTTTTAATATAAAATCTAAACTACTTTATTCATTTCTTAAAAGGAAAATTGTATTCTAATGTAAGGACCTTACTAATCCTCAATGTCTCACTGTTGAATTTGTTGCTTTGGCTTTTTTGCTATTAACGTTTTAGATCTTTTTTGCTTGGTTTATCTATCGTTTATGCTGCTGCTTTTCTTAATTTTTCTTAATTTTGTTTACTTGGTTAATCGCTTCTTTTTTTATTGAATAATTTAAATAGTTTACAATGAAAGTGTGTCTTATGTATTTATTACTTTTTTTTTTGCAAATTAAAGTATTGGCGTAAATAATAATTTATAGAGATTTTCTTGTTTCTTTTATTATTTGTTAATTAAATTTGCGATTAAGATTTAATAAATTTTTGATATTTTTCTTACTTTTTTTTTGTTCATAAAATATTATTCATACTCTATTTTTTCATTATATTAGAAATATCAATTTTTCATTTGTAGATATCAGCTTATTAACGGCTATAAATGCTAATTAATAGAAGATCTGCTTATTCTTTTATTTTTTTTAATTTTCAGTACTTATTTTTAATTGATCAATCTTACTCCAATATTTATCATCCTTTTTGTTTGCATCATACATATATCCCTTTATATATGCATCAATATCTTACTTTTCTTATTTTAAAGAATTTTATTTAAAAAAATAAAAGTAAAAGATGTTAAATATTTTGAAGCATTTAGAATATGTGGATAGATATATATCCAATAATTTGGTTTAGAAATTAAATTAGTAAATTAATACTTCTGTAAGGATATTAGTACTTACATCCAAATTTTATTTTATGTTTATCTCATAATTTATGAATGTCTCTATTACCAAGTCAAGATTATCAAACTAATTTAAAATTCTATTTTAAGTTAAGAGAGAGTTATTTTTGATTACTTTTACTAATTATTGAAAAATTCTATAAATTTTTTGCTATGCTTGCTAAAAAATAAAAAATAAATTAATTTAAACATAATATCACAACTTACATACTAAATTTATTAAAAGATATCCATATTTCTGTTTAAAGTAAATAAAATAAAATATCTTTATAATTGCATAATAAATCACCAAAGGTCTCTAATAGCAATAGATAAAAAACCTATAAACATTGAAAATTAACTTTTAAAATACATAAATCCGTTATATTAATTATTATTTTTTGAATTTATTTATTAATGAATAAAATTGATATTTTAATAAAAAAAATAATAAGTATTTTTATTCTGTTTTAAAAAATTATCTTCATAGAATTTATATCTCAAAGAAGTATTAAAAAAGAAGTTTTTTATTATATTTGAACATTTCTCATCCTACTTATATTTAAAAATGTTTTGATATCTTTTTATTACTTTTTATGATTAATGCAATATAATTTATTAATAAAAACACAAATTTATTGGACACAGTATTAATATTATTTAATAAGATTAGAAGGCAAAAAACTTTTAAATTTATGAATATATACGCTAAATCAATCAAACAAACAAAGCAAAATTTAAAATATAAAATAAAACATGAAGTAGGTATATATTAAATATCTTTTTTATTAATATAATAAATAAAAATAAAATTTTTTAACTATGTGATTTTTCAATCTGAATATACCTATATACTTACTGATACTTGCTGATTATTTATTTAATCTGTAAGAAAACATATCAGTCAAATAGTATAAGTTAGAGATCAGATACTTGGATATTTTTGTTATCGTTTTATGCAATATTATATTAATTATTATTATCATTATAACTATTACTTTAGTTCTCTTAAATTATTCCTCCTCTATTTATGGTTATTTCTTGATTTTTTTGATTACCTTAATTAATTTACTTATTTATTGACTCTTAGCCTTTGATGATTGTGGTATCAGCTATCTAATAATTAACTTAATTATTATATTATTAATCGTTCTATTATCCATCAAAGTGATGCCTATATTCTTAAATCTTGTTCGAATCTAAGGGATGGAATGGAATACTATTTGAAAATTTATTTTCTTGGAGGATTTCACTTTTATCACCAGAGCCATTAGAATTGTTAAAACTATTATTGGCATAGCACTAATCAGTTTAATCCTACATACTCGAGGTAAATTTTTCAGAAGGAGATTAGTTTTAAATATTAGCACTAATATCTTTATTATATTTATTTTGAATCATTTATCCATTATTATTCTCATACACTGTCTATTAATTATTTATATTTTATTGAGAATTAGTAGGTTTAGAAAAACTACTATTCTAAAACTCTTAGTTTGATGCTGGAATTTATTAATTTATAATGCTACCATGAGAAGAGTTCCTTCCACTAATCTAATTTTCTAAATTAGATAAAGGCTGAATTACATTTATCAAGTAAGGGTTTTGATAATCTTGGTTTAAATTTTAATTTTTAGGAATTTCTATTTGAGATTTATCATTAGAGTGAATTGTTTCATTCAAATTCTCTAATTCATCTTAAAGATAATCAAAGTTATTTTTTTATTAAAAGTCTATGTCAGTCTTAAAATATTTATTATAATGGTTAGGCATAATAGTAATTCGTACCTCATCAGGTGAAACATTTATATTATCTATGCTTGTTAATATGTCACCTGAAAACATTTATACTCCTTTTTCTATTACTTCTTGCTAGTTTTGAATTTAATTTAGACTTTCATATATAATTTTATTTTTTTCTTCATTAAATTAGTAATTGTTTTAAACCAAAATTTATTCTTTTTTCTGTTGATTATTATTCTTTCCAAATGATAAATGATCAAAATTTTTAGGAATTATTTTTTCTTATTCATTTATTTGTTCAATTAGCTCATCAAAACATTCAAAATCTTCATTATTTCTTACTTTTTATTAGTTTTTTTGGATATTATGACATTAAAGCTACATATTTTCATTACAAAAGCAGCAATGATGGATATGATTGATTCCATTTAATTAATCTTTGTTTTATTTTTCAAATTCTTAAATTGAGTTCTAATTATTTTAAAATGAATCATGCTATATTTATTTATGAGGAAATCTTATTTTAGTAGCATTTTGTTTTAAATTCTTTAGATTATAATATTTTTTCCCACTATCCTCAAATTATGAAGTGTTAACTTTTTATACAAAGTCGAGACTCTTGGCTCTCTTTCTAAATCTTTTACCTTCTGATAATTTTTATAATATTGATCTTCTTTATGTATCTAAATAGAGTTCTAAGGCCATGTTCACAATTGCAGCCTTATTTTCAGTTTAGTTTTAATTATTTTAATAAATTGATTAATCATATATTGCTGGAACTTTTTTTTATCGTTGAGATAAAAAGTATTCTGAAGCCATCTCAAGTAATTAGCTTTCTGTAATAGGTTGTATCAAAGGTTAATTAATATATTCTGATTCCACTTATTACTTATCATTCGCTTATGAAGGAGAATGGAAAGTATTTTATTAAGCTAAGCAAACATTTTAGTTGAATTGCTTGGGAGATTGTATCATGTAAATTTGTTACTTTTTTTTATTAACTTGCCTGCATAAAGACTCTGGAGAGTAATAATCATTAATTTATTGTATATTATTTCCTTTACAGTATTGATACTCGTAGTTCTGAGTTGCAAACAAAAAATTTGGCTACAATTACATTTAACTTTCTTTGCTTTATACCTAATTGCTAAACTTTATATTTGAATCTGAGCTTTAATTTCTTTTTTGCTTGCAAGTCTTTCTACTATCTCTCATATAATATTCTCTATAAAACATATATGAATCCCACAGTCTCTTCCATTTCTGCTAAAATAGCAAGTTTGACTCAATCAGAGTTTTATTTACAGTATCTAGTTCATTTATTTTTCTTTATGATTCGTCTAAGCATTTTTAAATTGATTGCTACTTTATAATTTCTTCTTCTAAAAACGCTCTAGCCTTAAACATTTCATTTTCAACTCTAAAAAAAAAATTCATTATTTATAAATAAAAAATAAGCTTCTATTATTAATTTTACATTTTGTATTTCTCAAGTAATTTCATATCCAGTTCATTTATTTTTTGTTAAGATTGATCAATATTTTTTGCATTATTAGAATTATCACTTTAGTTATCTTTTGAAATTTGTTATTTTAGCTGTTAAGCAGCTTACATTTATTCTTTTTGTTTTAGCTATTCAAGTTGTCTTTGCAAATTTATTTCTTGGATCTTTTTAGCTTTGGATAAATCAAGCTATGGTATCTTTACTTTATTTAAATTTTATTCGTCTTTATTTAATTGAACTCTGTCTGGAATAACATCAGGAATAAACAATTCTTCACTCTCTCCTGTCTCCATGTGTATCACTTTACTGATCTCTATCATAAATTTTATTAGAAAATTAATATTTTGTATATATTTTTAAAGAATATTAAATACTATTAATCGCCTTATCTTAGTTATCTATATCTCTTAGTGATGATATGCTCTATTGTTTCTTGTTAACTTAAAATTGCTACTCTTAACCATATTAAATACATATTTCATTGTCTTAATAGCTTTGATTATTTATTTATCCTTAATTTTAAAATGCATTCTGATAACAAAAGTTCTATTTTCTGATTTTTTCTAGCTCTTAACAGACAACCTAAATAATAAAGTAAATCAGTTAAAGTTATTAACAAATATTCAATCTTTACTCCATTAATAAATATTAATTCTTTTTTTTCTTCTTCGAGAATTTACACTTTTTCTTAAAGAGACTTTACAAGGGTCAATGAGCTTTCAAGTCTATTATTAATTCTTAATTCTGAGTCTTTTGCTAGTACAATCTATTAAAAATATAATTAAAATTATGTATTAAAATTTAATTAAATAAACAATACTTCTCTATATCTTATATAAGTACCAGGCATGCTTAAACTCTTAGGATTTTAATTGAGGAGAATTTGAATTTAATTTTACTATTCTTAAATGATACGATTCAGATTAACTAACTTATCAGAATATTCATTGATTAATTCTTTCTCTTGATTTTCTATGCCTTCGGCAATTTACTCATTTATAAGCACCTGTTATTAAAAAAATAAATAATTAAAAATCAAAGCATTAATTTTTTTATATTTAAAAACATTTTAGTTTAATAATTTACTTTACTCTAAGCTGTGTCTCTTTATTTACTAATTCTCTGTATTATTTGGTATAAAGAATTATTTTCTTCAGCAATCTAAGCAAATAAAATCTCATAAACTCTACCATTATTACTGCTTTCTGATTTAGTTGTAGTGCAAGCTGTTGTCCTTTCACCTTTAGCTGTTTAGGTGGTTCTTTCTTTTTAAGTATTGAATCTCATAGATTAAATTGAAGATATCGATTAGGCTTGAACATACCTTTAACTACTTTAAAGCTATATCTAATTCGTAGCATTGCTTAGATTTTCTTTTGCATAAGCTACAGTATTGTTTTATTATTAACAAACGGTATTGGCATTTTAATTATTTATATTCCCAATTTATAAGTTCTAATTATTATTTTAAAGCACATTCATTTAGTTAGCCGCACCATATAATTAACTATTTTAGGTAATTAACTATTATTGCTCTTAATTTGAACCATGATTAATCTAGAGTAAATTACGGATCATTTCTTTATTTAAGCGAACAAGTTCACAATAATCTTTGTTCTATTCTTTTAATTGATTATTCTCTGTTTGCAAAAATTTAATTATTGTATCATGACAATTACATCTTGTAGTTTGTTAAATTGACATTATTTTATATTCAAACCACTTTGTTGAAAATATTTTATTGAGTATATGTGCCTGTTTTGATAAATTGATTTACTATTTTAAATTATGTATTTATTGGCCTATACTCTTCAAATTTAATTTCTATTTAAAAAGAATTTATTTGATATCTTAATCTTTGTAGAAATTAATTTTTACAGTCAAAACAAATTAAAAGAATCATAATTAATTTTTTTCTGTAATTATTAAAGTTTAGAGCTAACTAATTATAATAAACTTTTTGCAGTTTAAATTTACAACATATTTTCTTTATAGTCGTTGAAAAAAAATACTCATAATATTTTTTAGATAAAACATATTTATAAAGTTGTAAACACATACTTTTAAACAATTTGCAATAATTTTTTTTATAAAAATGTTATTAAAATGAATTTTGAATAAATTAGCTTACTTACTTACTTCATATAAAAACAATAATTCGCATTAATTCCAACAGATAAATTAAAAATTTATTACTGATGTAAAATATTTAAAATAAAGTAATATTATATACTTATTTTTGATAATATTGATTAAAATTTCTAAAAATAACAAGTTGTTAATCGAACTGAAAACTTATAAAAATTTAAGAGATTACAAAACAGCAATAGCAACTCGTATAAATTTAGCAAATAGAGATAGATTTTCAATACTAAAGTAATAAAAGTGGTTGAAGGAAATTAAAGTAACTTGTAGGAACGATTTTAGAAAAAGGAAGCAAGTAAGAAATGAATTTGTCATAAAATAAATCTATTCCAGCAGAATTAATATGCAAACATATGAACAATATAAATCCATTGCATGATACAAAATACTAGCAAGAAAAATTTAAAGTAAAAAAAAATGAATTAGGCTTAATTCGCATATAAATATAAACTTTTTTATCAAATAGAAATTCATCAGTGAAAATAAAATTAAGAAAATTTATAATCAATTTAACCAAGAAATGTATCAATCCAATCCTGAAGAATGGATTTGCTTGCATGTAAATTAGATATTATTTTTTTAAAGTAATCGACAAAGTTTTAAATAAGATCAAAAATGTAAATTAAAATAGGATGGTTGTGATTCAGTATTCTTACGATAACAATAAGATAGCTTTAGTATTCTAAAGCACTGTGAAAGTAAATAAGAAATTTTTAGCAAGTTATAGTCATAAGAGAAATGAATTCAATTTTGTTAAAATTATTTTAGATTAAGCAAATGAAGAGGATAACCATTGCATATTTATAAATTGTTAGACATGTTTAATTCATTGTATTGCTTGCGATGTAGAAATACTTGATTTGGAGATGTAAATAATAATTTAATGGTAATCTAAAGAGTAAATGAGTTAATATGAATATAAATAGGTACGGCTAAGAGAAGTAAGAAGAACTAAAAAATTGGCCTAATCCAAGAAAAATCAGAGATATATTTCATTCTATAGAGTTTGATTGGGATAGCAATTTATGTAATTTTACAATTAATTTATTAAATTAAAAAAAAATCCCATATTAAATTGTTAAAACATTTTTTTTGATTAGTAAAATCCAATTTATCGAATCCTAAATCTCATTGGAAATCAAATAGAGGATTATGCAGTCTAATTAATTCTACAAATACAAGCTTTATAAATTGCATCATTTAAATTTTTAGCAATATTCCAATTATCAAGAAGGTGTTCTAGAAAATGCATAAGGTGTATGGTAATATAAATAATTGTGTACCTAAATCCCCTGTGAAAAGAGTATCCTTTTTTTTTACAAAACTTTTATATAATATGTGGACAGGATAAGAGAGAGCAATAAAACCATAAGTAAATAAATAGCTAAAATAGTTAATTAGTATTAAATCTCTTAAAAATATAAATAGGAATTTTATAGCTCACTCTATTAAGTGGATCCATCTTTTAGGGGCTATGGATTCAAAGATACTTACGAATTCTTTAAAAAATTTATAAATATTTTGCATGATGATTTTAAGTATATTGGGAAAAAGATATATGATATGAAAAAAACATAGTAAACAACAAAAGACTTATAGGAAGAATGGGATGTTATGTAAATTAATTTACTTAGCTTTTAAATAAAAGATAATTAATAGGTTTTATATAAATATAGCAATAATATCAAAGACTATTGTGATTATTCTATTATTTCTCAAACCTTTAAAGGTAAACTCTGTGTGAGAGCGCAGTGTACTTAATGCGAATTTGTGTATTGGTGTGAAGAAGATTTTACAGGTATAGCTTTAGATATACCAGATAAAGATGTAAAGTTTTAAATGAGAAATGTATATGTATTATAAATAATTTATTTTTAATTTGAAAAAGTGGAAACCTCAAAATGATTAATGGGCATTTAAGGAAAAATAAAAGGAAAAGAATACTAAAGATTTAAACATTTTTTCTAAGCTATTTACATCCAACAAGTAAATATAAATTAAACTCTAAATTTTGTATTTTCTAAATCACTTTTAATTTAAAAAAGACAACAAAAGCCTGTGAAGAGAGAGTTTTATACTTTGAGTGAATATTTAGCTTATTTTTGTGAGAACAGCGTTGTTTCAGAAAAGAAAGTGTAAAAAAACTAATATTAATTTTTATTTAGCTTTACCTCTAAAAATAGTTTTTTTTGTGAAGATTGTAAAATGAAAGTTAATGTTTCAAAGAGCTGCAATTTTCTTACTCTGCCAAATATACTTTGTCTATAAATATCGCGCTTCAAATAAGTAAATGGTTAAAACTTAAAGCTTAATGACCCAATAGATATCCCAATAGATAATTTAGACTTATCTCCATTTATGAAAGTAAGTTTTAAATTCTTTCATAAATCATTGAATAACTCACTTATCCATTTAAAAAGCAATTCGACTAATATGATTAACAATTAACTCAGTATGAACTTCTTGGAATAGTCGAACATGAAAAATAACTTGGCGGAGATTCCTACAATACATATATTAAAAATTATAAAAATAACATGTTTTACAAGTTTTCAAATTCTCAATTTAAACCTTTTGACATAGCTACAAACATAAAAGATATTTAACCTTATTTACTTTTTTACAAATTGAAACAAAAACCATAAAATGCATTGTTCAGAAACCTTCATAGTTAAGTTCAGCTCATTAAATAGGGCGAACTCTAAATTAATTTTGATAAGAGTGCCTACATCCCATGCTTTTGGTATGAGAAATTGAAATATTTAGCTAATCCTGGGATCATTCATACTTAGCACTTGCTTTGCAATCACAGTAAAATAAAACCTGATTTTTTTGATTGTTTTCCTCCAAAAACATCAAGAAATGCTAACAGTATTTTGATGGCAGAAAATTCTAATATGGATCCCACAATGATTATGGATTTATCACATGATAATGATGCTGACTTAGAGACTAATTATGCTGTGGAATTTTTAAAAAACCAAAGTGTTATAGTACCAATCGAAATAGCAAGTTATTTGCTAGAAAGTTATGGTGGTGGCCCTATGATAGAGTCAAACTTACCTATTTGTTAAGAATGTGTTAGACTTGCTAGAAATATCAAAAGAAGAAGAAAAATGGAAAAAAATATAATATCTAAGTTTGAATCTAAATGTAATTTTATAATTCAAATTAATTTTTAAACCCATAATTAAAAATTTTATTTTAGTTACCGAAGAAACTTATATCATTGATGAAAATTGGATGATAAAATGGAAAGACTACCTTTACTCTAATAAAAAATTCTTTAAAAGAAACTTTATAAAAGGTATGCCACCTCCAGGCACAATAGACAATAAACAACTTTTAGGTCCACAAAATACACTAAAGCCGGGATTAAAAAAGAATGTCAATTTCAGAATTGTAAATGATTATATTTGGCAAATTTTTAAATTCCTTTATTAAGGAGGCCCAGCTTTAGTTATTAACGATTACAATTCAAGAAAAAAAAACTATTAGAAAGTAAAAAAATTTTTTATTTAAGTTAATTAAATTTTTAAAACAATGTTTTTTAAATTAGCCGTAATTATCGAAAGCAGATTTAGAATAATTGCAAGAAATGCTTTTGCTTGTAGATGAGAAAAAATACAGTGATTTGATGAAAACAATCTTGACAGAAGATTTAACTTAAAATAACTAAAACAAAAAGACTTAAAATATTCCTTAAAAACCATAAGTGACAAGCTTGCTACAAAAGCAGCTAAATTAAAACTAATTAAAAGGGAAAGATACTAATGGAAGTTAAAGTCTTCTGCAAAATAATTTGAATAGATAAACAAGAAGTATTTCTTATACGCAAAGCTAATCTTCTAAAGAGTAAGACAGTAATCAAAAAAATGTAAATAAAAACATAATAAATAGATCTGAAAGCATAGATAATCCGAGCGTGACAAAAGCATCTTAGGAAAATCAATACTCTAATTACAATGGTAATCCTAGAATAAAAATACCAGTTAAATAAAACTATCCTCAAAGGTAAATGTAAAATAGAAGTTCTGAAAAGAACTAAATTAACAACAGCACAACTTCAAACAAAACACTTGATAAAAAAAACTTAGATTTAAACATAGATAAGATTAAAATTTGAGTTAATTTTATTTTAATTGCTGTAATAAATATTTTACAGTTTTAATTAAATGCTCTAAAAAAGTAATTCTCTCATTTTATCTTTTTTCTATTAATTATTATCTATCAATTAATTAATTAACTTTATATTAATTTTAATTGTTGTAATAGAATTTATTTATTATTAATTTTATTTTTGTTATTATTATTTGTGAGTAAGGATTTTTTAAATAAAATTGAGTAAATTTCAGTTAAAAATAAGTAACTTATTATAAAATCTTTAAAACTATTAGAATAAAATTTTTAAGAAAATGATAAATTTATTAAAAATTATTAAAAATCAATTAGCCTTCTATAAAATACAATCATAAAAAAAAAGAATTATTTAGTTTATATTAAATTATATAATTTAATAAAATATATTCAAACAATTAAAATGTTCATTGAAACTATTTATTTATTTAAATAATATTTTTATTAAAAAAAATAATCAGTTAAGCCAAGACAAGTGATTTATTTAACAAAATTCAAAATATTTCTTATTGTAAAATAGTTTGTGCCAATAAAATTAAATATAAATATAAAAAAGATAGGTAACATGATTCCTTTTAGAGCTTTTTTAATTTATGCATTAAATATCCTAAATTTTCTTAAAAGATTTATTTTTTAATTCATCTATTAGCTTAAAGCTTTTTTAAACTCTTATTTTTTAAAATTAAAGCAGATTATTTGTTAATTTATGATATATTTTTTAGCATATCAAAGAATTTCTTAAACTCTTTTATTCTTTAGTTCTAAACCTCAAATTTGATAAGAGTATCAATAGTTAAATAGTAAAAAAATTAGAATTTTTTTACCTAATCATCTTTAAAACTATTAATTAATAAGCATTCCCTCATTATAGTTTTCATATTCTAATAAACTAAAAATATCTTATATATTCCTTCAAATTTATTTATAAATTACCAAAAAGTTTTGGATTATTTTATTCACCTTTTATCAAGAACAATTTCAATTCATTCAGATTAATATTAACATTTTCTATCCAAAGTATTTTCTATTAGTTTTTTTTCGTGATATACTCAAATTTTTTTATAAGAAGAAGATAATTCAAATGTTTAAAAAAATAAAAACTTTTTTTAATTAATGACGAATTCAATCATTACATTTGAAATAGTGCTCAGAAGAAAGAAAAAAACTTTAGATTAACAAACCACACACAAAATAAAACATAAATTTGTACTTTTAAGTTTTTCAAACTAAAAAAGATGAGGAGCCAGTCTGATTAATTTATTCTTTTTCAAATCTACAAAATAAATCATTTTTTTTTAGTTATACTCGAATTCAGAGATTAACTTTTTGTATATTGGTTTATATGCTCATAAATTATTTTATTTCTAAGTTGATATCAAAATTTAAAAAATTCAATCTTATTTTATTGGTGAACTTAATGAAAAAGTGATCAAAATATTTCACAAAAATTTATCTCAAAATAAATTTGATTTTTTATGGATAAAACTTATCTCTTTTTTCTTAATTTGTATTACCTAATAATTTTAATATATATTTATTATAAGATAAAAATATAATTAACATAACAAAAAGTAGATAAAAAAAAAATTTACATATGTTTATATTTGATATAAAATACTTTAAATTATTTAATCTTCTTATTTGTAAACAAAAAAAAACTTTTAAAATACTTTTTATGTTGTTTTTTCTAAATAAAAATTATTCTATATTAAGAAAAATTTAATTGATAGGTTGTGTGAGATATAGAAAATTTTTATTTACCTTTTTATGATTGAATGAAATTAGTTAAGTTAAGTAAACCAACCACCACTCATATGAATTAAATTACATTTTAGAAATAAATTTTTAATAAAATTACACATATCTGTTTTTTAAATTGGGAGATAAATTATATTATGACCCATTATATGAATTTTAACTCCAAGTTATTTTATTAATGATTTAAATAGTTATCGAAATAACTATTTTTACAAATTAATTAAATAAATTGTAAATAAATTCATAACATTTAGTTATTTTAACTCAAGATTTTAAGAAATGCTGTTTCCTAAATATTTTAGCGATGAACCTGTTTAAGAAAGATAATTCTATATGGGGATTTTAACATCATCAGCATAGATTACTATGTGCACATTAGTTATGGAGGTTATATGGAATATCAACTTAATATTCATTGGAATGCTAGGTAAAGCTGAAATCATAGCTGCAGTAGGATTATCTGATATGGTGATTTATTTTTCAGGAGGTTTATTTGTTATGGGTTTAAATGAAGGCTTTACTAGTCTAGCTGGACGCGCATTTGGAGCAGGTCATTTAAAACTTATAGGAATTTATTTAAATAAAGCTTTATTTTTGATACTTTGCTTTTATATAGTTCCATTAGTTGTGGCATTTTACTCTGATAAGATTCTAATTCTTTTATGGTAGAAAGAAGAAGTAGCTATTATTGCCAGAGAATATTTGCTTTGCCTATTACCCGTAATACTTTTTGAGTATATTTTCGATTTATTAAGGTCATACCTAAATGTTATGGAAATATACCATGTTCATAGTACCATAAATCTTATAACTACCTCTATTCACCCCTTTCTTTGTTGGTATTTATTACCTTATGGATTTAAAGGAATTGCTCTTGCTTCTACTATTACTCAAGGAGCTAATAATATACTTATTTTGTCTTACATAATAATAGTAAATCCATGTCCTGAATCTTGGTTCTTTTCCTTCAAAAGTATATTTAAAGGACTTAAAAAATATATTCTTTACGTTAGCCCTATTGCATTTCCAATCTGCTTTGATGCCCTATTTTATGGCATTAAGACTATGATTGTGGGAACCTTTCAGAATTCTAGAATGCTAGCTGCTCATGTAATTGTTACCAACATATTTGAGATCTTCTACTGTATATTTTTAGGAGTTAACTTATCTTTAAACACTCTAAGTTCTAATGCTATAGGAGAGCGCCATATAAAGAAATGTCGTCTCCTCACAAAGTTTAGCTTTTTTTTTGGAATAATAACTGGAATTTTATTTATGATCTTTTTTATGTATTTCTCGAAATCAATATATCAACTTTACACTTAAGATAGCGAAGTACTTTAAACTATGGTAGATATAAGCAAAGTTATAGCTGTTTTTGTTATATTTGATTACACTTAGTCCTGCCAACAGGGTATTATAAAAGGTATTTATTTATTTCAAATTAGGTTATAAATTAATTTGTTTTCATTTATTATTAAGGAGTTGGTTTAGTTGATTATGGATTTTACTCTGTCCTATTTAGTTATTGGGTAGTAGGTATGCCTCTATGTGCTTATTTGGGAATATATAAAGATATGTAATTATTAGGTGTTTGGTTAGGTTATGGTATTACAGTAATAATATTATTCCTCTTAAATACTTTTATTATTTGGAGAATAGAATGGCCTAGCCTAATTAAAGAAAAGTATGAAGAAATGTAAGAAGATAATAGACTTATGATATTAGAAGAAGAAGAATTCTACAAGGAGTTCGAACTTCATAATGAGCACATTTGATGAAACAAGCCAATATCAGAAAACAAATTTACATTTTAAAAAATAAATTACTAATTTATTTACTTTTAACTCAATCTAATTTAAAAAGCACATTTTTATTTATTTATTATCATTATGAATATAAATACTCAATTTAATAGTTTGTCTGTATTTGAATTAATCTGTAATCTCAACTATTTTAGGAAGCATTTAAATTTTAAATGTAATAATTTTCTTAATTTTCTTTTAAAATAACTATTTATTTACATCTTTTTGATTGTTTAATTATTAAAAACATTTATATGTTCACATTATTACTAATCTTTATAGAAAATTAACGATTAATTAAATTTTAGAAAAAGGAATATTTAATATCAGTTTAAAATAAATAAAAAAGATATTCTTTTTATAAATTCAATAGTGAAAAATATTTCAAATACTAACTTTTTCAAAAATAAATGTTTATGTTATCATTTTGGTTTTAAAGATTAAATAATTAAAGCGATAGCTAGATAGTATAAACTGTATACATTTAAAAAAATGAAATTTACATGAATATCACTTAAATAAGATAAATGCGGCTTCCTTAAAATTTATTAAATTAATTATTTTTCAAATTTTTAAGTGTGCAAATTGATAAATATTATAAACAAAGATTGATTGATTATTTTAAAAATCAAATTTTTAGATATACTAATCAAAATAAAAAGAACAAAGTACTTATAATTTCAACATAAAAAATCTTGATTTCTACTATTAAATATGTAAATGCAAGACTCTGCTTATCTAAATTAGCATCAAGATAACAATTAAAAAATGAATAAGGTATATTCTTAGGTTTTTAAACTAATTGGAGTGTGCCTTTAAATATTATTTATGGGTTTATATGGAGTAATTAATTACTCCATGATATTCGATATAATTTTATTACATCACCAAGCTTACTAAAGCATAGCTTTAACTGTTATAATCAGTACAATTTTAGGATTTACCTCTTTAAATACTCTTTTTAACTATCTAGCAGTATGTGCTATATCTCCTGGCAGTACATTTGAATTTCCTGTAGTTAATGTTGAACAAATATAGCAACAATTTAACATAAACACTTGCTCTAAATGTAGAAAAGTAAAACCCCCTAGATCTCATCACTGCTCAGTTTGCAACAAATGCATTTTTAAGATGGATCACCACTGTCCTTGGATAAATAATTGTGTTGGCCATTTTAATATGAGATATTTTCTACTCTTTCTTTTTTATTCTAACATCACTTTAATATTAGCAAGCATAGGTTATTTAAACTTGACATTCAACTCTATATTTGATGATTATTTAAATTAAGTAACCTTTAGTGTTAATGTTGTTGCAATTATGTGTTACGCTTTATCAGTAGCTATGAGTATGTTCTCTTTAATGAATTGGCTTTTGGCCTTGAAAGGCTATACTTAAATTGAATATTGGAATAAGAAAATTCCTACTCCTTAAGACTCTTAAAAGTAAATAACTTTTGAGCATGCTAATTGTATTGATAATTTAAATGAAATATTTGGCACAAAGGTAGTTTATAAAATGTTCTTACCAAGCTTTAGAAAATAACCCGAAGATGGAGTAACATGGAAGAATTGCAAGTCTAATATATTTTAACAAAGCTTGCAAGATATATCAAATAATCCAAATTATATTAACACCACTTAATTATAATATAAGAATAAAGAGAATGGCCAAAACAAAAAGAATCAGTTTTAGCAAATTTAACAAAATGACCATGATATATTCTAGCTAACAGATGAAACCCTGTGATAATTTAAGTTTATTTTAAAAATAGTACTTTATTTATTTTAGCTTTTTATAAGTATTTGATTCAAAATATTTTAAAATAGCATAAATTAATTATTTATAAAATTTTAATTGCAAGAATTTCATTAATTTATTAAAAAGTAATAAAAATATAGCTTCTGTAAATATTTTGTCTTTTTTCAATAAGAAAATTTTGAAATATTTAATTTTAATGATTTATAAATTGGTGCTAAGATACATTTGTTTGATTTTGATATTATAAAAATATTATATTCTAATTATAAACTTAACTTGTTAAAAATTTTAATGAAAATCAATTATTATTATTAAATTAACTTGAATTAAATTATTAAACTTTAGAATTAATAAAAAAAAACAAATTAGATATAAATAAATAAACCCATAAGCATAAGCAAACTCTGAAAATGGATAGTTAAACAGATCACTAAAAAATGATTTCTATGAAAGAAATGATAGCCTAGAAAGCTAGAAAAAATTGTACTTTAGAAATAATATTTTAAAATAGAATATTAACTTATCAAGTTTTTTTTGTTTAAAATAAATAGAGAGAGATAAAATTATTGAAAAAAGTAGAAATTCTAATCCATTTACAGATTAAAAAAAATTTATTTAGCAAAATAGTACCTAAAAAACTTAAATTTAAGCTAGTGATTTCAATGGAGTTTAAATAAGTGATGAAGTTTTAGCCAAAATTTAATAATTCGAGCAAGAAATACCTCTTGAATAAGAAGAAATAGATCATTTCTAAAAATTGACATTAAATTCCTTTAAATTTAGGTTGAGTAAATTATAATAAAATAATATAAATTCAGAAGAAAGCGTTAAGCTTCTTGAAAATATCCCTGATTTTTTCAAAGAAAGTAATCATTTATTTAGCATAAAAATTAAATTGCTTAAAATACAAATCATATTTATTTGCTTTTTTTATATTAGATAAGAAAAATTCTGATGTTTTGATTAAAAAGTTTAAGGAAGACGGAGCATTAGAAATACTACTTAATTTTATTAAAAATTTAGAGAGTTTGAATCCGATTACTTATTAAATTGTAAATAAATAAATATTTATTTTATTTTTGTAAAATTAATTTATTTTTTAAATAAAGGCAAGAATTATTGAAATTATTTCTATATTTGCTTAAGTAGAAGAATTCATAAATTGTATTTGGATTGACAATGAAATTATAAATTTATTTTTAAATCTTTGTACTGAAAATTAAGATTAGCAAGTGCTTGAATAGGTAATACAGCTAAATAGTATTTTTGGAGATATATTTATTTTTCTACTTATTAATTTAAAAATAGCTATTTTAGTTATTAGGCTTTTTATGCAGTGATTCAGGTATAGAAAGAAGAGATTATTTGAGAAATACTCCTCTCATATCTTATCTTTGTAAATAAATTGATAGATATTAAATGAAACAGACTTGCTTTGCTAGTTTATTGGTTAGAAATGGTATATGGCTTCTCGTAAGTCTGTGCTCGGATTTACCTGCAGAAGGAAATTTTGATTACTGCAAAGATGCACTTCCTATTTTCGTACATTTCTTAAAGTGTAATAATGGAACTGTGGGACAGGAGTGCACATGGGTCCTTGATACTTTAATTTAGTACTATATATCTCCATAAAACCCAAACTAGCAATAAAATTTAGATTACTTTATCTAATTAGAACTTCCTATCAATTTAACAGAAACTTTTAAGTAATACTCATAAAACGATTGATAATTTGTAAAGTAAAATATTTGATTTTATTAAAAATAGATTTGATTGTTTGACAACTACATAATCAGCTCTTAAAATTCTAAAGCAAGTTTTTGAAAACTGTAAATCAGTTTAACAAAAGCTATAAGTTGCAAATGAAAAAGTTGTGAGCCGAGTCCTTGGGTTGCTTAAGGTTTAGTAAAGAATTTTAGTATACAAAGTTATTTTCGAATTTGTTTAAGCTTTAATTTGCGATCCTTTGTTGATCTAGATTTTGCTAAAATGTTAAATTTTTACTTATTTATTTAACGCGATAAAAAATCCTGATCTCAAATATAATACAATCGGTATCAAATGCTTATCTAATATAGTCATATAAGCCTAGGATAATCAAATTTCAGAACTTGTGGAATAAGGCTTATTTACTCATTTAAAAATTTTTTTTGACTAGAATTAAGAGGAGATGATTTCAAGTATTATGGGTTTAGAAATTGTTGAAATTATATTAGAAGCGGGAGATTGTATCTTCTAAAGCTAAAAAGCCAAAGAAAATATATTTAAAATTAAAATGGAATCCTCTGGGCTCTTGTAAAATTTAGATAGTTTTTAATTATCAACAAAAGAAGCTATTTCATAAAAAGCTATTTAAATAATAGAAAGATTTTGTTTATAAAAAGTAGAAGGAATTGAAGAAGAAATTAATTGATGTATTCATTTAAAATATTTGATAAGAATAAATTTATTTTATGGTATAAAATAATTATATTTTACTTGTAAAATATGCCTTTCTTAATAATTAATTATTTTATTTCAATTTTTTTTGAAAGAAGTATGTTTAGTCTTAAATAATATTAATTATATAATTATGCACCACTTGATCCTATTGTTGAGTAAAGAGACTAGCAATTTTTTTTAAAACCAAAGATAAATTAAAAATTTGCAAAAAAAATTCTAAAATCATATAATTGAAGAATTGATTGTATCAGCATTAATATTTTATCACTGTGTTAATATATTTATGCTGATAAATTATGATCATATTATCATTTTTTTATAAAAAAATATCTAAATTGTTGAAAAACGAAGAAGGTTTGCAAGTTTATAAATATTAATTAAATTAAAAATAAATTAACATTTAAAAGAAGAAAATGTAAGTAGAGTAAGAATTTACAGAATAGGATTTATATTTTGGCTCAAAGATAAATATTGCTTATCTTAAAAGAGTCAAAGGATAGTGTTATAAATATTAAGCTGGTGATATTTTTCAGCATACTGATAGAAATTCTGTGTAATCTGCATTACAATACAGATTACCTTTAGCTCAGTTAGGATAAGAGTATGAAAAAGTAATTGTGCCATGTATACCAGCTTGTGATCTCTACACTAAATATTTAGAATATGAACTACAAGAGTCTAACAATTAATCTGAGTTAAAAAAAAATTAGCTTCTCACATTAAATGAGATTGTTTCTTGCTGTTTTATTAAAGTTTCAAAAGATTAAGATTATGATACAATAGCATTTTAGAGCGGTAAAAGATCTGCTATAGTTAAAACAGTAGAAGGGGTCTACATAAGATTAAAGGGATGTGGTAATTTGGACTAAGGATTTCCTTTAGAAAAGTCTTCAAGTAAATATCCCGAAGCATATGAACCAAGAGGATGTTAGTTTAATCATACTGCAAAAAGAGAAATTTACGTGAGCAATCAAGTTAGTTAATTTCTATAACTGATAAATAATGAATCTGCTATTAAGCCTTTAGGCTTCTACTTATACAATGAAAATTTTGAATAGGACTAATCCTTTTGTCCAAACCTAATATGCTTGAAAAATGATGCTAAACTAATTAGAAAATATTCGACTGTATTTGAAACGCTAGGAGAAAAAAGACTGTCAACTCATCTTCTTTAAGTAAATAAAATAAAACCAATGAAATAGTAAAAAAAAATTTATTTCTTTAATAAAAAAGGGACTCTCTCAGCTTTTAAGAGGAGCTTTGAGATAAACTAAAAAAGAGAATACTCAATATAAGTAGATTTAAAGCAGTTTTCCATAAGAAAGGATTATTCCAAACGACTAAGATTTAGAAAATGGTATTTATTAGGTAGAAGAAAATATGATGGAATTATTAGATGTTGTTTAGAGAGAAAAGCTTTTAGAAGAAGAAACTTTCCCTATTGAGAAGGAAGGTCTTTACTTAAACTTGTATCAAAACTTATTTCATACTAAAAAATAGCTGAATTCAGAAAAAATAAATTTCTAGAATTTATTTGAATCATTATAAGTCAAATTAATTTATTAAGGTTTATTTAGCCAAATCACAGCTAATTTGAATGATATTGACTTTAATCAATTGGTTTTATAAATTTCATTAATATATGGTAGAGTTGGGTGGGAATTAGGCAGCATTATGAGAAGTTTTTACTAGAATAAGCTTAATTGGGGATATTATGCTGACCACGATTCTGCCTTTCACTGCAATGCTCACCCTAATAATTTCGTAGTTTTACCTTAAGGACATGCTAATTTAATTGCTCCTCTTGATTTTGATATGGCTTTCTTTGAAGAAGAGTTCATTAACATCAACAATAATGAACCGACTTATGGGTAAAATGATAAATAGTTGTTTAATAAGTACATGGAGCTAGGCAGATAAAGTTTGGAGCTTGCTTTATCTGGCCTTGAAATAATGTCAAACTTTTAATTCGAAACTTAAAATAATTTCTAAGAAGAACCAGAAGTTCAGCTATTGTATTCACTATACATTCAAGCTTTTAGGGATACTTTGAGGATATATTACATGAGGGGATTTGAAAATAGATCATGTGACATTTCAATTTTGTAGTTAAATTCAAGCTAATTTAATTAAATTCATGACATAATTAAGCTAAGTCTGTTACTTACTTGTGAAGAAAAATGTTGAAGCCAAAATCATATTTATAAAATTTTATTAAATGAAAAAAAATTCATTCATTTATAATCATAATTAAACGTTTTCTTTTCTTATTTTTCTTAATAAACCTATTTAGTGTCCTCTACATAAAAATGTATTTTAAAACAATCTCCTAAAGTTGATCTTTAATTATAGAGTATTAAAGTAATTATTATGTTGACTAATATTTATTTTGTAAAATTTTTTAGAGTTAAATTTTCAAAAATACTCTACACTGAGAATTAAAAACATTTTTGTTTTGTTTATTTTTGATAAATTTATATATCAGCTACTTCTTCAACATATGTATTAAAAAGTTTAGAAATTATTTGTTTAATTTGTAATAAAAAATAAATTAATGAGATGCAGGATTTTTCATTTTTTGAATGAAACTACAAAAAAAATATTTTTTATTACTGATAATATTAGGAATAAACCCATAAAAATCAAAAAACAGATAATTAGTGATAATTAAATGTTGAAATGTCTCTCTTATCAGTCTGTATATCCCGAGTGCAAAGTAATTCATGTCTTTGTACCGTTTACAATATAGATAAAGAAGAGCGAAGAACCTTAATTCTCTTACTGTCTTCATTGGTAAGCGAATCCATTCTTCCAACAACTTTTAAATTTTTTTTGTAAAGTGGAATGTTTTCATAGATAATTATTTTATATTCTATAGATAAGTGTATTTTTAGCTAATTAAATATTGCAACAAATAAACTATAATTAATTTTAATAGTATCTATCTATCTAGTTTATCATAATTTGAATTAAAATATAAAATTTAATCAATACATAATTAGCTAAGATAATGTTTTCGTATTTCAAAGGATTAGTAACAAAGAAGACATAGTTGTTCTTTTAACCCAATAATTAGTTCAGTGAAATTTGGAGTATAGAGATTGTTATTTTTTATAATTATTTTTTTTAAAGCAAGATAAGTTAGTTATTATTAAGTTAAATGGATATTTATTTATTGATTTCTACTTTGAGAATCTGGATTTAATAAAAATAATTGGAAAATATTTATGAAATATAGAAAAGAAAAAGAACATCATTATTAAGCCCTTCTCAATTATTTCAGGAGAAACTGTGTTTAGTGCTACCCCAATTAAAGTATGGTTTATAAAATATTTATTTATAATAAAGAGTTTATTTCTAAAATTGTCTTAAAAAAATGTATTTAAAAATAATTAAAAAGGGTAAATATGGAGTTAAAAACGACTATATAACAGTATTGAAGAATGGATGCATGCTCACTGAAGTTATTCCATGCTCTAAAGATAATACAGGAAAAGTAGATTTTTATTTTTTTCGATTCTCATGAATAAATTAATAAAATATAGAAATTTCTAAATATCTTCTTAATAAATATAAAAGGTTAACATAGATTATAGTAAAAGATTAAATTTTGCTATGAGTCTTTCTAACATGGGTTAAATATTGGCTATATCTGACGAGCTTATTTCTAAATCTACTATCAACACCAGTAACTATTCAAATAATAAAATATTTGCAATTCTTAAACCAAATAATTGTTTTATATTGATTAATTAAAATGAATTTAATATTTTGATTAATTTAGATGAAATAAATTTAGAAACTTTAATAAATATTTTAATTTTCTAAAAGAGATTGAATATACTTTATCATCTGATGTTAAGAAGAAAGCCCTTTACATAAGTAAAAAACCTGAAGATACCCATTTAAATATATAAATCAAAGAAAGCAACTTAGTAATAATTATTCCAATTAGTTTCATTTATATTTCAAAATTTTATCAAATTTTAATGTAATAAAAAAATTTAATTAAAAAGTTACCTGATTAGAATAAATGGGCTGACCATTTATTACAAGCAAATGTATCTGTTCCTGATTTTATTATCTTTAGAGAACTTTGTAGAGTAAATAAATAATATTAAAAATTATCAATAATTAACTTGTTGCCATTTAAAAAAGTTTTCACTCCCTTACATGATTGGATGGTAAGCTTTAGCCTCTTACGACTTTGCTGAAAAAGATTCTAGTGATGATAGATTGTGATTGCTTTAATGATTAAAAAAATAAATAATAATAATAATATAAAAGTAGATAAAAAATGATTTAGAATGTGCTTGAAAAAATGTTAACTGATTGACTAACTTTATTAAAAAAGGAATCGAATAAATTTTAATCCAGTATTTGGAAAAAATATACTAATATCTATAATAATATTTATATCTAATATAAATTTGGTTGTAATCTACTATGAATTTAATCTTAAGTTAATCTTTTGAAATTTTCAAAAAATATTTTATTTATGAAATTAAGATAAAAGCTTTTTTTGTGAAATACATTAAGGTTTTTTTCAAGTCTTTTTCATTTGAATTCTCTTTATTTTTACTCAAACTCTATTTTTATTTCAATTTAATTTTGTTAATTTATTTCTGTTTATTTGATATAAAAATAAATATATCGATATTTTATTGTCTTTAAAGAATTTTATTGAAGTATTTGGAGTATTTTATTTTCTAACCAAATCTGAATTTGGTTATAATATCAACTAAAAAATAAGCTGAAGATGATTAATGAGCTATCATTTAATTAAAGTAATAAGTAGTATGCTTTTCTTGAATTTTATTCTACAGTTTTAACATCCTTTTTCTTTCTTGAATATTTTTTAACTTTACTGAGTAGAGTATATGAAAATTAAAAATAAACTAAAGAAAATATTAATAGTAATTCATATAATTAATTTATAAAGTATAATCAATAGATTAATCAATCATTTTTTGCTTTAGCAGTGAGACATATAAAATCGAGTGTTTATTTAACAATAGATTAAAGTATAAAGGATATATAGTAATCCATATAATATCCAGAGCATTGTTAAATATTGGAGAGTTAAGATTAAAATAGAAATTTTTACAGCGTTATCTTGCGGAATCAACATTTTTAATATTTAGCATTTCAATAATTCAATTCGATTATTGTCACGTTTTGATCAAATAGCAAGATTAAGGCATAAAAATAAGAGTTGCAAGCTGAGAAGGAATTGAATTGAAACTTTATAAAAATAATATGAAAAAATTCCCTTTTTTTAAGCAAGAATACCATCATAAAGATGACTTCTCAGCAGATTCATCTTAGATAGAAGAGTAATTAAATAATGGTGAACTAAGAGATTCATTAATATAAGAGGGTAGATATAATTAGCTTCCTTCTTACAGAAAGGTTCATGCATCTTTCACTTCTTAGAAGAGCTCAATGTATTTGATTAATTAAATATAAAATATAAGTGATTAATTCCAACAGCAGTTCCTTTCTCATTAATTACAGGATAAATTATAATAGCAAGGTTCTTCTTCTTTAGCAATTACTGAAAGAACTTTAAATACATAAACGTTAACCAATATAAAAACATTTAGCAACTCTGAAAATTTACAAATTGTAGATATAATTTTTGATGAAAGAATAATTAAATAAATTTTGGCATTCCTCTCGATCTCTGATATTATATATCTATTTGATGTTTACCTCTTGCTCGAGAGAAGTCTTCAATCTAAAAAATCTGGCTTGAGTATAGAGATGAAATCAAAATCACTCTTTCAAATATCATTTTCACCCACCAAAAGACAATTTGCTGAAGAAATTACAAATAGGCTAATTTCTTCTCATTTTAGTCTATATGAATGTTAGAAATTTTTTGAAATAATTATAAGATACGATGGGCTGATAAAATAATTTCCTGATCTCTATGAAGTAAGTTATTTTATTTTCATATATAAAAGTTATCATAAGTTTTTAAATTAATATAATTAATTAATATTATTGTACAAATAATTAAAATTATGTTTAAATTATTAACTGATCGCCTTTTTTTTAATCGATAATTTAATAATTTAAATATATGAATGTAAAAACCATTAATTAATTTATTTTACGATTCTTGAGAAAAATATTACTTATGAATTTTAATAAATTCTACTTTTAAAAATAGCAAAAAAATAGATTATAAACTGATTATGAGCAGGATATACAAAAGGATGTAGAGAGAACTTTTTATGATACTAAGTATTTGAATAATTAAATATATTTAAATTAATTGATATAAATTCTCACTGCTTTATCTCATAGTGTTTCTGATGTAGGGTATATTTAAGGATGGAATTAGATTGCAGGTGTATTTGTTAAAAATTAATTTTCTCCTTAGCTTATTTACTGGATTATTAATTTTATTATGCATAAAATGCAAGCTAAATAGTTATTTTTAGATAATTTTAAAGCAGCAAGAGTGCTTGATTATTAATTTGAAATAATTTGCAAAAACTACATTCCTGATCTCTATTCATATTTAGTAATTTCTAAAATTATATAAAATTATTTATTTATTTTTAAATTTTACTTTAATAAAAGAAAAAATATGAATTTGATTTGAACTATTTTAGTAATTCCTGGTTTCTTACTTTGTTTTCTTTCGAGTTACCATATTCTTGTGTAAATTATTTTAAATGGCTAATGAATTTAAATGTTTTTCATTTTTAGGTTTTAAGAGTATGGATGCTGTTTTTGCTTAAAGGTTGGAAATACTTAATTAAAATTGGAATAGCTATTTTGAAGATAGTTAAATGTAAGTATTTTTTTGTAAAAAATTAGATGTATTTATTAAAAAATAATAGAAAAAATAATGAGTTCAGCAGACGAAGATGAAATAAATTAGTTTTTAAAAAAGCATATTTGCAATCACTTCTAAATCAATCCATCTGATCAGCAAACCCTATTTGATGTGGCTAAATAAGTTAAAGTTTCTAATACACTCTTGGATAAACTTGATTAACTCTATAAAAACAGCTTTCCTGAACTGAAAATGAACATAAAAATTAAGTCAATAAAAATAGGGCAAAATAAACAAAAAACAATTATAGAGTTGGAGAAAGAGCAAATCGTATCTAATAGGCAATCAATTGAAAAGTAGTACTTTTTTAATCAATATATTACATATTTTTCATTTTTATTAATTTATTATATTAGTTGGAGTGTTGAAGAAGAAGCAGGTACTGATACTATTCAGTAGGAATAAAATGGAAACTCTATATTTAATCGAAGAGCTACTTTAGAGCATAACTACTACATTGGTGGATAAAAGAGATAGAATTCTTAAAATGCTTTACCTTCTCAATCTGCTATTTCTAAAACTTAAATACTTCAATAAAATGATTAATAAAATATTAACTAAGCAAACGATGCTACTTTGAATGGAAAACCTTCTTAAATTATTAAAAGGAATAGCGATATCACACAAAATGTCAACAATAGCTCAAGTAAATCTCTTAAGATAACAAAAATTATTGGACAGTCTCATATTCCTTACTCTCGCGCAACTAATTCTGTTGTTTTAAACAATAACTAGTAGCAAACATATACAAATGCATCTAACAATAATTTTTCTTAAATATATTAAACTCCATGTAAAAATTAACTTCATATAGCGTTAAGTAATTCAAAAGTTATAAATACTAACTAGAATTAAGTTAGTCACCTACAACTTAACTCAAATAATTAGAGTGAATCTACTGATTAGTAAGCTACAAATAGAAATACTATTTTCTAAAATAAGAGTAGCATTAAAAAAGATATTGAGACACAATTACCTTCTCTTCAAACCCAAACAACCCTTTCTTCTTAAAATTAAATTAATTTCCAATAAAATTCCTCAGTATTTAGTTCAACAGCAGAAACTCGAAAAAATGAAGGAAATTGCACTATTTAATAATGTAATTCATTGCTACAATCATAAAATAGTTAGAGAGAGGACATATCTTACAATACTTCTAATTCATAATGCAATTTCTCTTGTGCTTTAAAATAGACCTAAATAAATAATCATCAAAATTACTAATTAGCTTCTATTCCAGAATAAGTTAACGGCAATATTTCTAATACTTAATAAAATAATTATTAGAATCCTTCATCTAACTCAATTTAAAACTCTCAAAATAAATAAGATTTTTCAAAGTAAACTAATTATCAAAACCCTAACCATCTTTAATACTACAACTATAATAATAATAACGGTTCATTATGGCCATCAAGTAGCACAGCTTCATAGAAATAAGAATAATCCTCTTTTGTTTCTAATAACCAAGCTTAATAATAACAACACACTGAAAGAATCACCTTATCTATGCTAAACTTAATAAACAAATCTAAAAATTATTCTAAAGATTGCTCTCCAAACCCTAATCTTAACAGATTCGAAGATAAGTTTTAAGTAGATAATTAAAGTATAATATCTTCTAAAAAGAGCACTGAAGTCGTTGGAATTAAGAGTACTTAATCTTTATCTTCACCAACAACTTTGAATGGAAAATACAAAACTGAGTCTCATTCCTACAACTAACTTATGCAGCCAAAAGAAGAAAAAAAGCAAGCAACATAGACAAAAGACTCACAATTAATCTAAAATAATTAAATTTAGGAATAATAAATTGAACAGAAGAATCAGCAATAGAATAAATAGCAACTCAGCTAAAAATATTAATATTAGAATACAAAAACAAATAATGCACAAATGACAAATAGATAAAATGAGAGTAATAGCTCATTTTTTCAAAAAATAATAAACATCTTCCGAACTAAAGAGAATTAAGCATCTTATTAAGCAAATAAAAATTATGCACATCTTAAAGAAACTTAGGATTCACCTCACTAGCAATCAAACAATTTACAAAATGCTCAAAATCACTCATTTAACAAGCAATAAAGAAATAAATCATTTGATGTAATTGGAGTCATTGAAAATGCTTCCATATAGCAAATCAACAGTGGTTTAATTACAGGAGGAGCCATTAATAGAAAATATTCAAATAATGAATTTAGAAATTTTCAAACTGAAATCTCAATCAGAAACCTTAATGACTTATCTCATGAAAGCATTAGTGATGAAGGATAATAACAAACATATTAAGAGCAGGATTTATCTAATAACAATACTAACAGGTTTGCAACTTCTAGGAAATGTTCAATTTAAAATGGTACAATAAGTAATCCTTAATTTCCAACTTCTGCAAAAAGAAACTATTAAGATAATCAAGAAAATTTGGTTTCAAAAAAAATTCCTATTGAAAGGGCTATGAGTTTTAAAAAAACAATATAAAACGAGCCAAATCTAGATAAAGGTAAAAAACAAAAAATAATTAATAATTACTTCATTAGCCAAACTTAGCCTGATTACATGGATAGTCCGATTGCAGTTGAATCTAGTTCTGAAAAAACTAACTACTAGGATTCCTATAAAAATAACTCTTCTTACAAAAAAAAAAATTAATTTGAAGAAAAAAATGGGTATAGTCAATAGCAATTTCTAAATTAAATTAGATAACAGCAACAATAGAATATAATTTAGAGTAAATAAGCTTTTAGTAAAAATAATAATAATAATGGAAGCTTGATTAGTAATGGAAGCTAAAAGTTTATAAACAATCCTCAACCAGCTTAAGGATATTTACACCTCCAATAAAATCAAATAGATTAGCATTCTAAATCACAAGCTTATATATATAATCAACCAACAACTAATAACTTCAAGAGATTTCCTTTAACATCCTAAATTAGCTCAAAGAGAGGCGAGACAGATTATTAGCAAAGTCCAATTGAGAAAGGAATAAAAAACTAAATTATTAAAGCTTCTTCATAAATAACAACCTCAGCCTTATCTCCCGCAAAATAATAATAAAAAGAAGAAGAAAATGCCTCAGTAGATGATTCAGCAGACGTTGTTTCAATAAAACTTAGGGGAAAGTAAAAAAACTTGACAAAAATTTCTACTAAAACTATAAACTAAATTTCTCCCTCTGATTACAAACTTTAAATATTTTAAGGGGTCAAAATTAGTACTTCAAATGTAAAAAGTTATGTCCCATAAGAATTTGCAAGTGAATAAAAATCACCAATATAATTTTAATAGACTAATACAACCTAAGCTGTTTAGCCTTTCGATGCTTACAATTATAGTTCTTCAAAGAAAACCTTCAATGACATTTCTGAATTTAATCATACTTCTAGTAATAGTGTAAGAGTATTTAACTGCAAAAGTAACACTAATTTACCTTGCAATGAAGAATTGAGCCCAACTAAAGATGTAGGTTCTATAAACAATAATAACTTTTACTACTTAGGAAACCCTCAATATTATCAAAGCAATTACAAAAACAAAACTGAGAAAAGTGATCATCATTTAAGTCTCACAAGTGAAATACCATATATATCAAAAAAGGAAAAATATAATTAAAATTAATAATAACAAAATATTTCTATTTCTAATACAATGAACAAAAATAGCTATTATTGTTAGTCTTCCTAATAGCTATCTTCCACTCAACCAAGCAATCTTCAATAAAAGAATGCATAAATTACTCAAAATCCTTCTTCTATAACTTCTTAGCTCTCAATATAAATATAAAAAAACTATCAAAGTAATCCTAAAAATTTTTAAAACAATGAGTATAACAGTAGTTAATCTAACACTATTCTAAACAGACAGAGTAATCCAGAAAATTAATAGTCAATAATTTAATAAGAGTTAGTTACCTAAAATACTAATTCATTTTTTTCCTCAAACTAATAATAGTTATTTAAAAAACACTCTATTACTGTTGGAAATTTAGAACTTAGCAATAAAAAAATTTAATGAACATCACAATCTATTTAGATTGATAGACGAGTAAGTAAATAAGTAAATAAATAAATAAATAAATAAATAAGTTGTACATAAATCTTTGAATAGATAATTGAAAGATATATAATAAATATTGTAAAAAGTATAAATAAATTCATTTAATTACCTCATTTATTTTAAATCAATAAATAGTAAATTTGACTGATTAGTTAATTCTTTACATAAATTCAATAATATCTACTATTAAAATAAATAAATATAATTTATTCAAATTATTAAATTATTTAAGTGTTTTTAGCCAATTCGTGTATTAATTATAGATTAGGACACAACTAAATAGATTTAATTTGTAAAATCCTTTTTTAATATATTCATGTTTACTTAATTTTAAACATTTTTAATACTTTAAAAATAAAATATTTAAGAAACATCAAATTCGTATGATTTTTTTGGTGGCTAAATTTATTTTTAATAATTGGTCAATTTTTAATATTTTTTCTGATCAGACTTAAAATAGAGATATTTTAATTAGCTTGGTACATTTTTTAATTTAATGATAAAATAATAAATTTAATTAAAAGAAACAAAGAAAGAAAAATTGATTATTTGTAAACTTTTAACAACTAAATATCATAAAGGTATAGAGAGTAAGATGAGTTAGTTAGTTAATTTATTTTATTTGAATTGATAAATAATAAATCTAATAATACTACATGAATATTATTTTTGATATGTCCTTAAGGATATGATTTATGATAATAGTCTATGGTTTTAATTATCATTTGATTTTATAATAATATATAAAAGAAAATAAACTATACTAAGTAGTATAGCTTTTTCAATCAAATATTTAATAATATAGAACAACAATATTTATTTAATTGAAAATAAATCAAAATTATTAAATTAAGCATTCAAAAAAATATCAAAAAAGCTATAAGGTTTATTTTTAAATGAAAAAAAACACTACAGATAAAGGCGAATATAGCTTTGAGGATTAAAATTCTTTGGATGAGTAGGATGATAGAAATCAAATTTCCATTAATGCATCTGCAAAAGAATCTTTTGCAAGAGCATATAACCTTTAAATATAAAAAGTAGAAGCTATCCTTTTAAGTGAATTCATAAGTAACATTAAGTTGAAGCTAAGACCTGAGGATTATGTCACAAAAAAGAATGATGAAAATTTAAGATTAGATGAATATGTTTTTATCTTTAAAGTTGTGTTCAATGATTAAGAATGGAAGTAATTATTTCATAACTTTGAAATCGTTTTATTAAACTGGTTATTTGATTGTTGAAATTTAATTGATAAAAGCAGCTTATTTTATAGGTCTTTTCAAAATCTAACAAATAAATATTCAGCTTTAGACCTTTATTAAAATAGAATATAAAGCTAATAGATTATTAATATAATTTTATTTTATCAAATAAAAGAATCAGAAAAAGATTTTCAGATTTCTAAAACTTGGATAAATAAGTAAATCTTTGTTTTGATTTTGCTTTTGCTTTAGAAAAACTACTTTTATAAATTATTTAATTAACTAGTTGATTGATTTTTACTTGATATTTTTTGCAATTAATTTTGTATTTAATCAGGTAATTACTTAACTTTAACATATTATTTTTAGATGAGAAAATTAGCTGAGGATACAGGTATTAATGAATAGCAACTTTACCCTATTCCTAAGACGGAAGGAAGTCAAAATATTCAGCAGATGTTCGATTTATTCTTTTTATATCTTACCTAATGCATATAATTCCCAGTTCTTGACAAAAGTGAACCTTTCTAAGAGTTTCTTGAAATATCAGCTATAAATCATTAAGGACATAAAAAATTCAAAGAATGCTTTATGGTTAAAAAGGCAGGAGGTAGAACTAATGAAAGCAGATGCGTTAGATGTGGAGTATTTTGGGGTAGATGGAATAAAAGATATTTTTGTGTAACATCTGATGGAGTCTCCATATCTAAAGGTATTTTTAAATAAATACTACAAATTATTGTTAAACCACGCATTAATTTTTAATTTATTAATTAAATTAACAAATTCTTAAAGTTTATTTAGCAAATTTCATTAAATTAAATTATTAAAATAATATTTCTCATTTTGAGATTGGTTTCATAACTTAATTTTAAATTGCATACTAATTTCATATTATAATAAAATTACATTAAAAATATCTTTAAGAGATTTAAAAATAGTTAGCAATTGAGTTAGTTGCATTATAATTCTTATTGAATATAATTTATTTTTAAACTTCAACAAGTTCTAAATTAATTTGATTTTTTTAAATTTAAATAGGGAGATCTGAAAATGAATGCTAGATTAGAGAAATGATTATGTTTGATTATGATTTTTATGTTAATTATGGTTTGTAAGAAACAGGCTATTAAAAAGGTATTAGACTAAATTCTTCTAATCGTAAACTAACTCTTGAAGCTCCTACTCTTTTCCTATTCTTTGATTTTCTAATGGGATTAAAAGAAGCTATTGAAGAAAGTCCGTATTTAGGAACTCATCGTTTTGCATCTTTTTCGCCAATTCGTCAAAAAAATAATTGCAAATGGTATGTTGATGGTGAAAATTACTTTAAAGATGTTTACAAATACATTAAAAGAGCTTAAAGCGAAATTTTTATAACTGATTGGTGGTTGTCTGCTCAGTTTTATTTAGTAAGACCAATATAAGGCGAAAAGCAAAGCTCTCGTATTGATTTATTACTTAAGTAAAAGGCTGAAGAAAAAGTTAAAGTATTTATAATTGTTTACAGAGAACCAAAGGTTGCTCTTACGATTGATTCTCACTATACTAAAACTAATTTAATGGGTTAGCATTAAAATATTAAAGTTATACGCCATCCTAAAACTTTAATACCCTTTATGTGGTCACATCACGAAAAAATGGTTGTAATAGATTAAAAAGTTGGTTTTTTAGGAGGATTAGATATTTGCTATGGACGTATGGATAATCAAAAGCATCATCTATTTGACGTAGTAGAAGAAAAGGGTTAGGGATAATTCTGGCCAGGTAATTTTTAAAATATAAATCTTAACTTAGATTATTATTCATAATTGATTAGGAATTGATTTTTCAAATGGTAGAACTAAAGATTATTCAAATGTAAAAGATTTTCTTAGATCAGAAATTGATAGAAGAAAAGACCCTAGATTACCATGGTATTAATAATATATTTAATAATGATAAAAATAAATAAATTATATTAAATTTAGGCATGATATAGCTATGAGAGTTGTTGGTGATGCCGTTATAGATATGTCTAGACATTTCATTTAATATTGGAACTTTGCTCTTGCTGATTTAGAATTGAAAAGAGCAAAGGAAAATAAATTTGTTTTAAGAATGCGTTAAAACGAAAGTGTAGATTCAAAAAGAAAATCAGAAAGAGAGTCTGGCTTTTTAAATAAAATAAAGAAGAAATGGAAAAAATTTAGAGAGAGTTCAATTATTGGGGATTCAAAAAAAAATGTTGAAGATGAACAAGAATAAGAAGAACAAGTAAGTTGAAAATGCTCTTAAGATCACAATATGATTTAATTTTTTTAAATAAAAAGAAATAGGAAATACAATAAAACTTAATTGATGAAAACCAAGATGCTTTATATGATTAAGATATGATAGCTACTAATAAAAGCCATTTGTCCTTCCAAAAACAAAATTAGAATGATTTGTATTTTAATTAATTGATGAGATAATCTTAAATATCACATACAGCAAATAGAGGTTAAGAAAAATCATTTTTATCTAACTAATCTAAAATTTAAATTAGTGATAAACTCCCTAATCAAAATGGAATGGTAATTAATGAGAAAGTAGAAGAAGAAAATTAGTCTGACTAATCTCAATAAATATATTTCAAAAAATTAGAAAGTAATGAAAGTCAGAAGTCTCAAAACAATTATAATTAAATATTTAACAGCAGTCCCGTGATTTAGTAGCAATAATCCAATAGAGTCCTTCAATCAGCATTTCCTGTGTTGTAGTCAAAGACAAGTGATTAAATTATACCTGTGACAGAAATTTAATAAGCTAACAGGGTTCGTAAATAAAATTAATTAATATATTTACTTCATAGTTGTAAAAAATTGTTTAAAAAATAGGCTCTCTTTCTACTGATAATTTAAAAGTTGATGTTTTAGAATAACAATTTTTAGATTTATTGAATGATGTAAGAAAAATTAAGGACGAAGACGCATCTAAAGGTTATTATGAAAGCTAAGATTAAAAAGAAAACGAGGCTATTTCTAAATCAGTAAAAAAGCGTAAGAATTCTGATGACAGTGATTCTTCTGTTGAGTAATTAATCTTTTATTTATTTTGAATACTTAATATAATATCTTGTTATATTTATTTGTAGAAATATTTAACTATTTTCAATAAAAATAGAGATTCATTTCATTTGTAAAATCTTAAAATTATGAATAAAATGATTAAATAAAATTTTTTTTAAGATAAATTTGAAAATAATAATTTATTATAAATATAGGACTGTAGATTAAGAATAGCAAGATATTATTTTAGATAATAAAAAAATCATACATACGGTTAAAGGTAAATCAGATTGCTAAATGGTCAGATCAAGTAGTTTATGGTCATGTGGTGTAAAAGAAACCGAATGCAGTATTCATATAGCTTATATTTAACTAATAGGTTAAGCATAACATTTTATTTATATTGAAAACTAATTCTTTATAAGTGGTACAGCTGGTGACCCTGTGAAAAATAATATAGCTTAGGCTTTAGTGTCTCGTATTAAGTAGGCTCACTAAAATAATGAATAGTTTAGAATAATTGTGGTAGTTCCTTTACTACCTGGTTTTGAAGGTGAGATACATGGAAATTCAGGTGTTTTAAAAGTTTAATTGCATTGGGAATATTAAACTATATGCCGTGGTGGTAACTCTATTTATGAAATACTAGAAAATGAAAATATTCCTAACCCTGATAAATACATCAGCTTCTACGGATTAAGGACACATGCTTAAAAGGCTGGATAAGATCCTGTTACAGAAATAGTTTATGTTCATAGTAAGCTAATGATAGTTGATGATAGAGTAGTTATCATGGGTTCAGCAAATATTAATGATAGAAGTATGAAAGGCTCAAGAGATTCTGAAATTGCTGTAATTTTTTATTATTTGTAATTTAAATTTTAATAATATACTATTAAAGATGGTAGTTGAAGATAAAGAGCATATCACTACAGTCATGGGAGGACAATAATACTAAAGTAGCAAATTTGCCTATACTCTTCGTTAGTCTCTCTTCTAAGAACACTTTGGATTGTAAGAAAAAGAAATGGTTGACCCTCTTGATAATGACTTTTTTGAAAAAATATAAACAAACTCAAAGGTATTTTAAAAAGTTACTTTTTAATAGTTAACATATAATTTCATATTAAATAAATAAGAAAAACACTTGGATTTACAGAGAAATATTTAGATGCTATCCAGATGATAACATAAAAGTCTCCAGCGACTATGAAGAATTTAAAAAGAAAAGAAATTTAGCATTATATCCTAATTTAAAAGATTAAATAACTGGCTATGCAGTTGAATTCCCTAAAAGATTCTTAGAAAACGAAGATTTAAGATTAAAGAGATCTCAGAAGGAGTTTTACTGTCCTGATATTAACTTTACATGAAACCAATTAATAAAATATTCGAAACAAATCTATATGTATATTATTTATTGAATTAAATTAAGAGTAATCAAAATAAATATTTATTTATTACTTACTAATTATTAAGATAACAAAATTAAAATTAAGTATTCTATCTATTTGTTTATTAAATTATTTATTGTTATGTTTATTAAATATTTTCTATTTATTGTATTTATTTTTGAAATTATCTACTGTTTTTAAACATTATCAAAAAAATACCTTCTTATTTATTAAACTTAAAAGAATTTTATTTGTACAAAGTAAGATACTAACTATTTTTTAAATACTTTTAATAAAATTCATTTAATGTTTGAACATTTAAGTATTTACAATATCTTAATTTAAAAAATAATAATAAATAACTATAGAAAATTCATTTATTCAAATCAAAAAAGAAAAAAAAAATTTTAATTAACTAAAACTACATATTATGTAATAATAGGAATTCTATTCTTTAATAAATTTGAAAAATTTTATTGGTTTAATAATAAATAAAATATATTTTACCAATCTTGGCTTGATGAAAACAAGCTAAGTAAAAATATAGAAAAATTTGGATTAATCTAAAGCAATAATAAAGGGTAATTATATTGTTTGAAAGAACATACATACAACCAAATAAATTATTATTTTTATAGTAACCATAAATCATACTAACTCTTTATTTATTTAACTCATAAATCGTTAATTATTCATAATTAAAACCACTTTTTTTGTTTAATATGTCCTTTACAATACTATTTAAGAATAATAAAATGAAAAAGAGGTAGTTTCGATGATTTCAGTTACTAAATAATTATAATTATTTTAAAGATATATTTTTTAGTTAAAATTTTTATTAATTATAAGCAATTTATTTGATGCACATATCTTTTTATGTCTGTCTTGCAAATTACTATTTTTTCTTTCTGTTTTTAAATAATTACCAATAAATTACAAAAATGATATGAATTGAGTGAGTTAAATAGATTTCGTGACTTTACAATAATAAAAAAAAAATACATACGCCAATCAATCAATTAATTATTATCTTAATTTCAAAAACGATTATATCATATTGCCTATCGAAACCAACTTTTTGCATAAATTTATATTAACTAAAATAAAAATCATTTGGGTTATCATTTTTTTCATTTTGTATCAGTTTATTTGTTCTTCTTCATTCATAAACCATTAAATTTTAATAATTCTTGCCTAAATTCTTTATCTACTTTTTTTTTTTAATCTTCTACATACTATTTTTTCTCCTATTTCAATTTTTATAGCTTATTCATTTCTTCTTTCAATAATTCATCTGAATTTTTCTATTATATATAAAAACATTATCCGATTTTAATTAAATTTTTTTCGCTAAATGTTAATTTTACCATCTTCAATTTTATTTCTTCAATTTTCTATTTTAAACACTCTTTACATTCAGTACCTTTATTATTTATATAAATTGACAATAAAGTTGTTTTTCAAAGAAAAATGTACTTATTTTCTTTTATTCTTGAATTCTAAGTTAATAAGAATGATCTCCAGGAATAGATTTACTCACTTCATTTAAATGACTAAAGCTTAGCTAAATTTAATCTAATTTTTAAGATACTTTTTCCTTTTCTTTAAAAAATATGATAAGATTATTTATTACAAAATAAATATTTGAATTTACCAAATATTTCTTAGAAATCAGATAACAAAAGTTAAATATTCACATCAGTTTCTTCGGCTGCTTAATATAACTTTTTATTATATTCTATTTCCATTTTTTTTATAAATAATACCTTTTTTATTATGATTCTAAATTTTTAATTTTACTTAGAATACTTATAATTTTTAAAAATTAATTTTTTTGATAAGTAATTTATTTTTGATGAAAATAAATATCAACCAAATCTAACTTTTTATTAATTTATTTATTTTTCTAATTTATATGAATTATAATACTATTTTAAAATAATTAAATCTAACTTATATTGAAATTTCATTTAACGATTTTAAAAAAGTAAAATAAATATCATAAAATGATAAAATCTACAAATTTGAAATAATTTAAACCATTTAATAATTTTAGATAAAATTAATAGCATTTTATCAAATAAAGGACAAAGATTTTATTTTTATTATTAAGATTAAAATTATGAGATTAGGAATTATATTCTTAACAACCATAAAATCCTTTAAAAATGAAAAGGCTAAAAATCAAGTAAACAATTCTTGATTATATACATCTATCAATTAATGATAAATCTTGAAGGAAATAGAAAACTATTATGTTATAATTCACTAATTAATTGATTTGCGAATGTAAAAAAATTAACTAGCTATTCTGTTAGAAAATTTTTTGTTATTATTATTTAATTAAAACCCAAAAGTCAAAATCTACTTGATAAAGAAAGTAAAGCAAGTAAAATATATAACATTAAGAAGTAAAAAATTTATCTGATTAACTTGAAATTAAAGCTACAAACATATAGACTATTTTCAGCATATTTTATTATTGATTTTTTGAAAATACAAATAAATTGATAACCAACCAACAAATAAATAAATAGATAATAAAAAAATAGCTCATTTGAAATCCTATTTATAATTATTTTATCCATAAAGCAATACCTTAGAGTTATTTTTCCCTACAAAAAAATTTATCTTTACCTACTTTGATAATATATTTTGGATTATGAGATGTAAATATGTTTATAATATTATTATTTTATCTTACAAATGGTTCTTTTTTAATAATTCTTTTCTCATTATTAATCTAAAAAGTATCTTGGGCACCTTTCGTTTATCTTACATTTGAGTCTATCATAATCTACTTGACATATTAGTTAGAACCTTCACTCTTTGATTATTAAAACTTTATTTCAAATTTATTCGCTTTAGTTGTATGTATCACAAACGTTGCTTTCTTTATTGTCCACTGCAAAGATGTAAAACATTATAAAAAAATAGAAGAAAAAAAAATTTTTTTTCTATTAAAGAACAAATAAACAAATGAATTATTAATTATACTTTAACTATATAAAAAGCCTGGCTATTTACCTATCCCTGAAATATCATACCAAATTCAAGATCAGGTACAATTCTTTTTATATCAATAAATATTTAACTGTTAGACCTGTAAGTTTTGAGGCCTAAAATTCGAGCTTAAATTTATATAAATTTTAAATTGCATTTATTAAATAATAGAGCTCAAGAAATGAAGACAAAAATAAATAGTAATTCGAATTCGTTTCAAATAGATAAAGTGGAAAGTTTAACAAAAATATTGATTTGAATGCATAGCAGAATGCTTAAATAGATTCAGAACCAACTAAAAATGTAAAATTATATCAAAATTTTTAAAGCTTACACTAAACTCTTAAAATGCATATTAGATCAATTTTAATATATTTATTATTTATTAAGCTTGTCTTAAAATATAAAAAACCAATTATTAATAATAGAAAAACACAGATCCTAATACAATAAGTGGAAACAGCTAAGAACATGAGTAGTCTGATTCATAAAAATAATAGGTATTTTTAAATATTTACGATTAATTGTTTTTATTAATTAAACTTTTTATAAAAAGGACTAAGAAAAAATTAAAACGCCTGAAAAATCAAAAGAGGAAATCGAAATGCAATGTGAGCCAAGCATGTAAACAGAAAATGAAAACAATGAAATTTAAATAAAGTCTCTACCTCAATCGAAATAAAATAGTGATGAAAAAAATCCTAAAAAAAATGACATATTTTCTCCTTTGTCAGATAAATAACTTGATGATGATGGAGATGAAGTGGTAAAAATAGAAACTGTTTAAGAAGATGCAGCAAAATCTAAGCAGGGTAATTAATTATAAAAATTTTATTTTAATTTTAAATTGGCATTCATTATAATTAGAAATGTATTCATTCGAAATAAGCATACAGTAAAAGTAATAAATAAAAAATGAAATTACCACACAAGAAGGCAGCACTAAATCTACAACAAAGACAAACGAACATATAACTACAAATAATTTTAATAATGTTTTGACACAAAACAATGTTATCAATTCAATATTCACTAATGAAAATATCTGTAATAACATTGTCACGAGCTTGAGTAACAAAACATCAGAAATTTAATAATGCAGCAAATTAGATGATTCTAAATTAAATTATTCTGTTATTGTAATTTTGTTTTTCAGCCATTCAATTTATGAATATTTTTTTGTTTACATACATAAATTTGTCATAAATTATTATTATTTTCATAGGATTACCCTCAAACAGCAATTGACTTTAATGCCAAAATTCTAAATAACTAAGATATGAGAAGTTCATATAGCAACAAGCTCTATAGCTTCAGTAAGAAAAACGAGGAACAAAGCAATGTCTTTTCTTTATTTTCTCCAATAAATGATCATACAAAATTACAAGTCCGCTTAAATGATAACATGAATTCTTATGTAAATAAAGAAGCACCTTAAATTCATTAAAATTTACATGAAATAAACATAATGAGTGAAATCCATGACCCAAATGAAGCATAATTTGTAGAAATTAGGCATTGTTTAAGTTGCCATATTGAGCAAAAAATCAGATCTAAGCACTGTAAGTTCTGTAATAGATGTGTAGCAACCTATGACCATCACTGTCCATGGATTGGAAATTGTGTAGGAGAGAAAAACAGATGCAATTTTTGGTGGTTTCTTAGTATATAATTTACAGAGTTAGCAATCGCAATAACATTTGTAATATAATTAGTTATTAATCCTTATTTAAAATCTAAAATTTCAAATAGGTAATTAAATCTATTGTGTCTAATTCTGAAATAAATATAGTAATGTGGGCTATTGATATAGTTCTCCTTGGTTTCTTTTTACTGATGGTAGGAAGTCTACTTATTTATCATACATATTTGGCAGTAGAAAATTTGACAACATGTAATAATTTATAAAAAAATACATTAATGTTTACAAATCATATTAAATTTTATTTCAAATATTTAATAGGGGAAAATGCAAGATGGGAAAAGATATCTTATTTAAAAGAATGGCCTGAACATTTTGGAAGTCCTTTTAACAAAGGAATATGGTAAAACATAAAATCGTATTGCTAATGCATAAAACCTTCAAAATATTTTACTTCATGGTATATTCCTAAATTGAAAAGCTAGGCAAACGAGGAATAAAATAAATAAAAAAATATTATAATAAATTTATAAAATAATTAATTTGAATAAGAACAAAACGCTTGATAAATCAAATAGCTCCTAAATAGTTTTTCCTCTTTACTATAAAAAAAAATAAAGGAGTGCTTAATTAAAAATGAAAAAAATTGAATAGAAGAATATATATAAATTCAAAAACAAACAAACAAACAAACAAGCAAATGATTAAATAAATTCAATATATTTAATAACAATAGACATTTTAAAATTTTCCATAAATAAATCAATAATTTATAATTTACTTGCTTACTTTTTATTTAATGTTTATATGTAATTCAATCAAAATTAAAAATTGTTTGCAATTTTATCTATTTTTTTAATTTATTAATTATTTATAACAAATTAATGATTGTTTATAAATAGAATATTAACGCTTAATTTATAATGCCAAAGAATATATTCTAAACTTTTTTGTATAGTTATTAGAAAGATATTTTTAATTTATTTTTTGATAATAAAAATAATAAAATTACTTACTTCTAATTAAATTTTTAAGTTAAGTTAATAGAAATATTTATCAATTTTAAAGATCTTCTAGAATATAAAAACAAAAAATTTAGATAATAATATTATGTACTAAAAATTTTGACATTTAATTCCAATATTTTATAACCATGAATAATTTTTCGATTTCAGTTTTAATTATTCTAAAAAAATTTAAAATCACTAAATTAGAAATGATGAATTTAAAAAAATAAGTTTATAATTTTAGATAATTGAATAAAAACTAAATAAATAATTAATTTAAAAAAATAAAAATTCATTTAATAACTTAAATAAATTGAATTATCATTTTATATATCAGATTTATTTGTTCACTTACTTATTTAACATGAGATTTTGAAAAACAAATATTTGTCATCTATTAGATTTAATAAATTATGAAAATATTAAATTAGGTTTTTAAATTTCATTTGCTACAATATTTTAATTGATTAGACTAAGATTCTAAAAGGATTCTTGATATTACTAATTAATACTATAAATCTTAGACTTTATATCCTAAATGTGAATATTCAGAAAGCTAATATTTGATGTTTTCTAATTCATTGAGTAGTTACTACTTTTCTTTTCTAAGTTAGTATATTTGGATTTCTAAAGCTTTATTTTAATCTTCTTAGGAGTACATGTTTTCTATTCTCTCATTAATTTCTAACATTTTTTACTTTATTAATTCATACTCTTTTTATTTTTAATCTATCAAGCAATCTTTCTTTTAGATTTCTTTTTCAAATATCGCTAGTTGCTTCTGGAGAATTTCATTTTGAGATTTTAAATTTGTCATCAGAGTTTCACTGTGAATTTCCTAGAACTAAACTTCACTGATTTTCCTATCACAAGGAGAATCAGATCCATCATCATAGGCGTAGCTGTTGTAAACGTTTGGGGAGTTTATTTTAAAATCAATACTATCTAAACCTTTGCTGAATATTTGTTTTTATCTAAGAAGCTCTATTTCTTTCATCCTTTTTTGTAAAGATCCATTCAATCTATCAATTTCCTTAGTAAAAAGGACTATCTAATCATTTCTGTCATATTAATCACTTTGCAGCTCTTATGATTTTAACTATAATTCTTACATTTATAAACTAAGAATCTCAATTTAGTTGTTTTTCATAGAAAGAGAATTAGTTAGTCTCTCTATTTCTTTTTAGTAAATCAATTAATCGCTCTTTAATTACTAAACCTATTCATTTTTAAACAATAATTATTCTTTGAAATTTTGATTTTTCATCTTCAGCTATTCGTACTCTACACTCTTTTAGTCAAGCAATTTATTTTAACTAACTATCTCTTGAACTAATCTCTCATTTCTTTATATTTCTTAATCCTTTTTATAGCATTTATTTTATTAAAATAAAAATGATGGAATAAATTACAATTTTTTCATTAAGTTTATTCATTTCTTCAATAATCTTATCTTTCTATGACATCCTTTCATTTAGATGAATAATTTAATTTTTTAAGTTCTTTTTTTCACTTTTATCTACTTCCATTTCAAGTTAAAGGTTAAGAATTTTATTTTGTAGATCTTCGATTTCTAGTTATAAATGTTGTTAAAATCTTAAGAAAAGCATTTAATAAATTTTACAAGAAATATTGGTATTTTCTATTTCTTTTAGTTTTGTATTTTCTTCATTTGAGCTTCTTAGTTGATCAGAAATAGATCTATTTTCTTCTTAGAGTAGCTAGTTTTCACTTTCTAAAGACTAGATCTATTCTCTTTATTTTTCAAACTGACTTTATAAATTATTTATTCTTTGAGTAAGAACATCTTTTTCTTGTTCTACAACTTTATAGAATTCGATTTTTTCATTTAACAATAAAAGCTCATTATTTTATTCCTAGCTTTATCTCTCAAGTTAGCTTAATTTCTAATTTAAAAAAAATTATATTTTTTGAAAATTAAATAAAATCTTACTTGTGAAAGTTTAGCATTTTCAGATTAAACCATAGAAGAATCTTTGAGCTACTCTTCAGCTATAAAAATGCTTTTTTTAAGCTATTCTATTTAGTTTTATTACTAGTAAGTCTTTGTCCTCAATTCTTCGCTATCTTTAGCTTTCTATTCAACATTCTCATATTTATATTAGTACTCTTTTATTTAATTATTTTTTTCATCAAGCTATTATTGTATTGCAAAAGAAGCACTTTACAACTTTTCAAAGTCTTATTATTTTTATTTAAGAGCTTAATTATATCTCTCATTTTCTTATTTGACAGATATTGCTTCTTATTTTAGCGTTTCATACTACACTCTAAGCTCTCCTCTTTGCTTCTCTGCTTCAAGATATTTAAATCTCCATTTCTCTCTTTCCTCAGCAGCATTATTAAGCTATATTTGCTACTCGTTTATTTCATCAACAAATTCATTCTCTTTTCTTTTTAATATTTATCAAGAATGTAAAAAAATTGATCAATCTATTTTCTAAAAAAAAAATACCAAAAAATATTAAAAAATTTACTTTTTCCAAATGATTTTACTTTTTTTAACTACTTCATCTTCTATTCTTTTAGTATCGCTTAGATTTTAAGAAAGAGTGTTGATAATTTCATCTTTTGTCTATATTGTTGTGTAAAGTTATTATATTTCTTGCTCAAAATTTATAATTTAGTGACCAAGTGAAGCTATTTCATCTTCTTTTTATTTCAGCAGCTATTAAAGCCTATCATCTGTAAAAATAAAATCTGATTTCTAATTGTTAGTTATTTCTATTTCATACTTTTGTTTCCATAAATTAACTTCTTTTATTTTTTCTTCTAAAGCATCGTTAACTCTGTCATTATCCAAAAGGAGCTAGTCTATCTAAGATTGAGTTTATTTTAAGTTTTATAATTCTGTTGTAATTGTGTATAAATGATGTTCCTATATTATAAAGTGAATTAAATGAATTTTCTAGTATAAAAAAAAATCTGTAAAATCACACAGTAATACATATTAAAAAAGAATTAAAATTTTTGGTACCATATGAGTGCATTTATTTTTATATAAGTCCAATTCACTGAGTAAATTGCTTATTAATTTTTAGTTCTACTCATCATGTGCTTGATTCATCACTATAGTTTCTCTTACTATAGGAATAGGATTAGAGATAGGTTTCAAAATCTACACACTTTTCGTTAATGTATTATCTAGCTAATTTGAATATGGACTTCCATTTATTATTGTGGATTTAATTGACTTAGAAGTAGTTGAACCAAAAGAAATTGGGTTAGCTCCTAATATTTGTATGCTTCTTTTAGGTGTTAAGGAAGTTGGTGGTGTTTAACTCAAAGTAACTCTTCTAGGCGATTAATATCTATGCTCTTCATCATGCTGAGTTTATAAAAACTAAGGCAGAAGATTTTTGTTGACTTAAGTAATGTGCATTTATTATCAAATTAATAATGATGTTTTTTGTAATTATAAAATAATAGCTATTTTTTTGATTTTAACTTCTTAATTTCTACTTTTAATAAAGAAATAAGCTTAAAGTTTATCTGATAACTAATTATTTGTTGATTTTTCTAAATTATTATTTAACGTTAGTTATTTTAAAACAATAAGATTTCTACTTATTAAATTTTAACTTATATTTTAAAATTAATTTATTTTTATTATAAGAAATATTCAATTTTTTACATATACACAATTTATTATTATTATAATAATTATAAACAAAATTATTATCAAACCTTCAATATTCTAAATAAATAAATGGGATAATCGTTCCTTTTTTATAAAAACTGAAAAAGCTAGCTAAATATTTATCTGAAAAGACATAACAAAATAAATTCAATTAAAATATTTTCCCCAAAATAAAATTTTTAGTCTTAATATGTATTCAAATTGACGCATGATAATTTAAACTTATTTTATTTGAAAGTATTTTATGAACAATACAATAAATAAACTAAGATAAATTGTTCTTTATTTTCATTTTCTTTTATTTTACAAATTTTTTTTAAGAATATTAATTAATAGTTAGATATAAAAATTTATGATAAATATATTTTTAAATAACTTTTATTTGAGTTTTTTTATCAAATACTTCAAAAAAGATTATTTAAAACACAGTTTATATTAATTTAAAATATTTATCATGTTTTACTATTAATATATCAATGCTAAAATTATTAAACTTAATAGAAGCAGTGTTTTGTAAAATAAAAAAACATTAACTAAATAAAATAAAATTTTAACAAACAAACTAACAAAAATAATTTATATAGACAACTATTATTTATAATTTAAAAATTTAAATTTTAACAAGAAAAAAAATCTATTTATTTTTAAAATTGTCAAATAATATAAATTGATTGTTTCATTTTAAAATATAAGTTTATTGCTTTTTAATTTGAATTAGAATTACTAATTTACTTTTCATGGGATATAAAAATCTTTAAACAAAAATTTTAGAAAATTTTAATGATTAATGCTTTTCACATATCAAAGAAGACTCCGACTACTTCCTTTTGTTTTTCATCAAGCTCGCCATGGAAGTACGTGTAAACTTTAATAAAGAGCCAAGCTAAAGATCTGGTAAAGAACATTTAATTAATAGATGAGCAGATACGAATCCAAGGATCGTCAATATCTCCGTGGAACTTAAATGAAATAACGATTTCTGTAATACCTTGCACTATACTTATTACTAAAAACCACTTCTAGCTCTACCAAGAAAATATAACAATAAAGATATAGAAATAAGTACTTAGTAAAATAAATAATTCAGGTATTGTAGCTATTTCCCACTTTAATATTAAAAAGCAAACACAAGCCAGTAGACTTGTGAAGTAGAACCAGTGTCTTTATAATTAATAAGTGTTTTTAGACAATTTCTTCATTTTAGAGAACATTTGATAAATACCTACTATAAAACCAAAAAGACTCAAAAGGTTAAATATAATGTAGGTAGCTAAATCCCAAGGGTACTCATTCAAGATTTTACCATAATTACTGAAATCGATGACTCCTAGTTCCAAGAATAGAATTTATGCAAATACAGTTCCTGAACATTAGTTTACAAAAAACAATAGCTTTTTTTGTACTACTTTACTATTTTTTTTCTTTAATCTATACTCTCGAATCATGATATTCATAAAAAGACAGATAGATACTAAATAAAAAGTCATAACTACTTTCTAGAGATCAGTGAGGGGGAAAATAGTTTACTAAAAGAAGAAGATAGCTGAATGCACTTAAACAGTAAACAACAGGGCAAATATAATTAATCCTTCTAAGTGATCACAGACATACCCGTAGGTGACTGATACATAGATTACAAAAAATGACCAAAGATAAGATTTGTAGTCTGTAAACGAAAACTAAACCTTGATTTCAAGCATGTGTAGAAGGAAAGGAATCATAAATGCTAATAAGCAAATATTTGCCTTAGCTGATTTCCATATTTCTGACCAATAATCATCTTCACTCATTTCTTCTGTGTATTTTCAATAACTAGAATCTTTTTTTATTATTCTTATTTTTACAAATGCCTACTTAGATTTTATTAAATTTAAATAATCTTAAATTTGAAATGCAATAAACAAGCAAACAAGCAAATAAATAAATTAATAACAAATTATTTTAATTGATATGCATTTTGAAAGATTTAATAATTTATTTATCTCTTTGCTATTAGAAGTATAATAGTTACCTTTCAAGCAAGCAGATTAATTTTAATTATTAATTTAAGATTTTTAATATTAATTCGCTAATTAATTGTCTGTGTGGAAAATCTTTAGCAATTAAGGATAGAAAATAAAATTTATTAAACCATACCCCCTATTTAGAATTATAAAAACATAATATTAGAGTTACATAGACACTGAGTAAATAAAATTCCAAAAAAAATTAAGAGATATTGTAGTAATAGTATTTTTATTATAAAGTTTCTTATTTATACTTTACTTTTTGCTTAAAAAATTTGCTCATTTCTAAATAAATTTAATGTTTCTTCACTCAGTGTTTATAACAATCGAGCTGATATAGATTTCATAGATGATTCATATTAAAAATTTCTAATTTAATAGCAAAAGTATTTAAATGGCAGGTAATAGTATATATTTTTGTAATCTTACATTTAACGATTCATGTTTAATTTCTAAAAAATACTTATTATTTTAGCTTCAGTAATTATAATTTATTTCAAAACCACCTAAGAGAGTAAAATAAAAATTTAATTTACAGTGTAAAAATAGTTCTTAATAATGTTTTAAGCATAAATTTATATCATATTTCATAACTGAAATATAATTTACTGTAAAATAGAATTTAACATGTGTAACATTCTTTTGTAAGGAATGACACATATAATATTTTAAATCCAAAATACAATTCCATTTCATTCAAGTGGTAAAACAATAACATAGAGATAAAAATAAAATTCTACTTCAAATTCAAACATTTTATGAAATAATTAACAACAAATTCAAGCAAAAAATGTATTTTTACAAATTATTTTGTATGAAACAAATTTTGAATTCAAATATTTGTTTTTCGAAAAAATATCAATGTTCATTTCAATAAAGCTTGGAGTGAATTTCTTTTTTTGTAAGTATTGTGGTAATATTCATCAATTTTGAAATAAATCTAATAAATAAAAATAAGATCATTAATTCCAGAACATATATGTATCCAAATGTCATGGAATTGCAACTAAAACAATACTTATATAGCAATCTATCCTAGGACAAGTATAATACTTATTACAAAGAACCAAGTTTCGCACTACTTCTCCAAAGTACACATAAAGATATAACAAAATGTAAGCACTAATATATACTATTCGTAAATTACATATTCACTCCACTTCAAAAAAACAAAGCAAAAGAAGGCATTCAGACCTGTGAAATAGAACCAGTGCTACTGCCTGTTGTATGTATTTTTTTTTAGCTTATCTTTTTTAAAAATTATTATGTAGATTCCAGACAGTAAACCAAATACGCTTAAACAGCTAAAAGCAATATATATAATAAATTCTATGATGTTAAACTGTAGCAGCACTTTAAAATTTTGAACATCGATAACTTTAAGCACAATAAATAATATTTGAGCAAATATCGTACCAGAGCACTAATTCACGAAATAAACCAGCTTTGTTTAGACAAGAGTCTTTTTTTCTTTCTTTTCTTTCTTAGTCCTATTGTACTCACGAATCATCAAATTCATAAAAAGACAAATAGATGACAAGTAAGCAGTCATGACTATCTTTTAGTAATAACTTAATTTGAAGATATTTTATAGGAAGAAGAAAATAGCTGAGTGTAACTAAATAGTAAAAATTATCACAAACATAAATAAGTCATGGATACGATCGCAAACGTAGCCATAAGTCACAACACCATAAGCAAGAGCACCAAACCACAAATATGTTTGATAATCAGAAACTTAGTATCCTATTTCTATTTATCCCAAGTGGAAGATATATGGAATGCAAAATAATATAAGACTTACATTGCTTATAATAAATCTCTTCTTTTCTAATTCTTCTTCTTCTTTAGACTTTCCAAACATTTATGGAACTTTATCGGCTATTTATCTATTTTGTTTGTATTACTTATTCCTACTATTATATTTATTAGTAAATAGATAATTTCAAATTAACTTTTAGATGTAATGGATTTTTGTTTTTAAGAGTTAGTTATTAATTATTTAAAGATTTATTTAGAGCAGATAAATAAATAACTAATTTAAAAAAAAAAATAAACAAATAAGAATTTATTTCATTTCATCATTTAAAAGTACTTCTAAGATACAATTATTATAATTCGACGCATTCAAGTTATTGTAAATAATACCTTAGTGGTTCATTCTAAAGTTTCTCTACAAGCAATAGAAAATAAAAACTAATATTAGCAGAACCCAAAACTAAGATACTTACTTACATTCATCTATTAACATGTTTACTTGTTCTTTTTTTATTTAAATCATTGATTTTAGCCTAAAATAAAATAAAAGAATATTTTATTGATAAAATTATTCTTTTTTGTTTTCATAATTTAATAGTAAACTTTATAAATTTCTACTTAAAACTGATATGAATTTTTGAGTTAAATGCTTTTCATTCTTAATGGATATTTATCGTGGCTATTTCTATTAATTTATCAAATTTTAATGTCAATAGAAAATAAACTTTAGAATCTGAAGAAGTATTAAGATACTTTCTTCTCTAATATATTTTCTAATGATTTTAATTTTATATTCATTTTTCTACTCAGACATAAAAAATTTTTAAATCATCTCATAAAAAACACAATAAAATGTTGATAAAATAAAATGTATTTGTTTTTTATAACAAAAATTTTATATTAAATAACTTGTGCTTTCTAACTTTATGAAAAAGATTTATGTGTATTTATAACTATTTTTTTTATATAATATTTCGATTAAAAAATCAAACTCTATTAGTAATCTACTTAGAAAAATAATTATTTTTAACAGAAGATAAAAATGAATGAATATCTTAAAAAATAAATTGATTATTTTCTTCACCAAAAAAATTGATGTGAATTGCTTAATTTGTAAAAAAATGAAATATTCCTTTATTATTATTTTGGAAAAAAAACTAAATATCAAATTAAATGATGTTTTCATATTTTTACGGTTAAACATCTTAATTGAATGGGAATGTTTTCAAATATTATTAATCAGGTTATAAAAAAACAAATTATTTATTTTGATTTTTTTAGCAAAGTTATAATATCAAAAAATTACCTTTAAATAATTGCATGCATTAGAATTGTGAATAAACAATGATTAATCAAATAAAAAATAAAATGAATTTTAATAAAAAAATAATATGATAAAATAATTTAATTACTTTCAAATATTTTAAAATGTAAATTTAATGCTAATACATAAATAAATATTTAAACGAATTAATTTATTATCTTAAAGTAGTAAATATTAAAACAAGCTTTTAAAATTTTTGACTGACAAATTTTAATTTATATTTATTTAATTCAGTTATTGGTTAGTGGTTGATTATTAAATTCAGATTTTAGCAATAAAGCAAGTTTATTTGTTAGTAATTTCAGAAGGTTTTAATCATCCGTAAAGATAAAATTTATCACTAGGCTTTGGTTTGGATTTAGCTAAATCAATTTTATATTAAATTATAGGAGTTATAGAGGTCATATCTGAAGTTTTGCTTTAATTATCAAGATCATTATACTTAGGGTCAAGTTAGTTCTCAAAATAATCATCAATTAAAAAGCAATTAAGAATTTCATTTAGGTGTTATGCATATTTCAGGAGAGAGGTACTTGTAGAAATTTAAGATAAATCATTCAATCCATACTTATTTTTAATAGCTTCTATGTATTTAATTAAGCAAAGCTTAAAATATTCATAGTCAACACCAATAGATGTCTATTCTTTTTTCAAATTTATATTGCTAGAGAAGTAAATATTATACTGAATAAGCTTGTCTATTTCTTCTTTAAATGAATCTAAGCAATTTTAAACAAAATCTATTTCTTTTGAAACTATCTATGAGAACTACTAAACTTATTGATTTTCTTATTCTTAAATGCAGTACTAGCTAATCTAAGATCTCAAGTTTTCCGTCTAGTTTGAAACATTCTTCATCAGCATAAAACTGAGAATTGGAGCTTGTTCCTCAACATTTATCTCTAAAATATTATTGAGAGCCTTCACTTGATAAAGGATTTTGTTACGAATGTTCACAAAATTTTTAACTTACTAAAACTTAGATGCTTATATTTAATCCAAAACATCATTTTTTTTCTTTGCATTAGCATTATTTTGTATTAATTACTGTTGCTGTTGCTACTGTTAAGGTTACTATCCTTGCTGTATTCCAATGGTGTTTGCAGCTGTAAAAGGCTTATTACCAAAGTTTTAAAGATTTTAATTAGCGATCAATGGACTATTAACTGATTGTTGTTGTTGCAACTGGGGTTGCTAAGTCTAAATATTCAACTTTTATTTTAAAATTAGTAAAATTATTTAATTTAAACAAATTAAAATTAAATTTTAAACTAATATCTTAAATTGAAAAATTGATAAAGAATTATTTTTAAAATTATCGCTACTTAGCTGAGTTAATTTTTAAAATAAAATTAGATTTGATTAATGAACTATTATTTATAGATAAATTACAGTTGATGGGTAAAAATGTAAATCTATCTTTAATGGCTTTATTACAAAAGTTCAATTTTAATCATAATTTAAATATTTACTGAAGGTTGGTTTAGGATAGGCGATTTTTCAAATAAAGGATAGTTAAGCAATGTATTCCATTCAATACGCTTAGCAGGATCGACCGTTAACATTTTATAAAGTAATTCTTCAACTTTAGAGGATATAGGATTTATGCTCTTAGGTATTTAAAGCAATTTAGTATCAATTTACCCAATAAGACGGGCAATAGTTTTATCTTCATAAGGACAAAATCCAAATAGCATTTCAAACAACACAACACCCATAGACCATATATCTGCCTTAATATTGTAATTATTTCCTTTAAGGATTTCAGGAGCCATGTAAATAGGAGAGCCAACCATAGTTTAAGTTAAATCCTAAGGAGAGAGTAGGGTTTTGCAAAAACCAAAGTCAGCAACTTTAATAATTCCATCATGAAGCAATATATTTGAGGGCTTTAAGTCTCTATGAAGAATATTTTCTTTAAAAAGTGACTTAAACGCATTTAATATCTGTTAAAAAATAACTAGAGCTTCTTTTTCATTCAAAAACTTTTTCTTTTTGATAATATCTTCTAATGTTCCACCATTACAAAATTCATAAACAAGGTATACATTGTTAGAAGTACGAAGCATTTCTATGAAGGTGATAACGTTAGGATTATTGAGTTTTGTTAGTGTTTGAATTTCATTATTGGTAAACTCATGGAGCTTTGGTACGCTTTTGAATTTCTCTAACTTTATAACTTTTACTGCAAAGACTTATCCTGTCTTTTAATGGGTAGATTTAAAAACTTTTCCATACTATCCACTTCCTATAACCTCTTTTAAGACATAGTTTTCTATAACTTTACTCATCAATAAATACTATTCTTCTGCTATTTTTGGTGTAAAATAAGTAATATTCTTTTTATATATTGTTAATTTTTTCTTGTTGAAAGAAATTATATAATTATTTGTGATATGAAAACATTCATTAATTTAATTAAAACAAGAAACTTTAAACTTCAAAAAATTTTATAGTTACTAAAACTATAAATATATATGGTTTTAAGTATTTATTTAATAATCAATACAAATTATTTCATCAGTAGATATTAATTCAATATATCAATTAAATTAAAGCTTTCGTTGTTCTATTTTTGTCTAAATATCACTTTCTATTTGCAAGGTCGTATATTTATTTATAAAATACTTTCTTATCAAGATTTTAAAAGTCTATTTATATTCTTTACAATATGGAAACATTTAACTTTTTAAACATTAAAATTATTTTAGATTTAAATAATTTTATGAAAAAATAATAATTAATTGGTTTGCTACTTTTAAATAGTTTTCCATAAATTTTATTTAGATTTCGTTAAGGAATTATGGTAATAAATTAAACCATTGAACATATAAATTTTAGTGTTTACTGGTTTTTCTTTTTGTTTGAAAATAGTATAGGTTGGATTTTAACAACTCTAACTGAAAAACAACATTTAAATAAATGCAATTAGTCATACATTCATCTTAAATAAATTTTGATTGGTATAAAATTATTCCATATTTTTAAATTAAAATTGTAAAATACTGAATAATTTTAAAGTAAATTAAGATAATTAGTATGCATTATTTTTAAATTTATAAAAATATCTAGAATTAAAATAGATTAATCAATCACTTATTTTATTAATTCATCAAATTAGTAAAAATAATTACAGTTTATCTAATGGATTTAATTCTTTAAATATTTTAAGTATTTATGGTTAAATTTATTGAATTAGTAAGGAATACTAATTACTTCTTTTTGGATAAATTTTTTAGTGATGAAATAACCATAGAATATTATTTACAAAACATATAATATACATTATTAAATTTATTAATATTTGTCTTCTTTTTTAGGAAGGAGATTGATGGATAGCAAATATCTTATTATTTTGAAATTGCATTTATAAAAATTTGCTATTAGATAAATGTTGTCTTGTATTGTAAAACAATATTTTTTTTTTTGAGTTTCTAATAATACGAAAAAATGACTTGCTTATTTATATATCTGTGCATGTGTGTAAAAGAAGTTTTCATTGAAAAACTAAATGAAAAAAAATAAAATAAAAAAGAATCAATCAAATTACAAAGAAAGAAATATTTAATAGAAGTAATTAATAATAATAGTAGTAACAAGAAAACTGCAAAATAATTATTTTCTACAAAATTAAAAACACTAACAGAATTTAATCTCTAGGTCAATCTGGATTCGTATGTTAACATGTATTTTATATAAAAATAATTGCTTTTATATTTATTTTTTAAAATATTTTCTTATTCTGTCATAAAGTTATTTAATTTTTTATTATTTATTATAAACTTATTAGAAGACAAAAAATCTACTAAGAGTATGATCGCAGTCAAGCATTAGTAACTATTAATATCTTTAATAATACTTATTTATTAGATTGTACCAACTCACTAATAAATTCAATTTTAAAAATTTATTTTTTTAACAAGGAATAGAGTTTAGTAGGAGGAAAATTAAGCTGATGGAGACTTAAGCTTGAAAAATAATCTCATAAAATCTTAGGTAATTTAGCGAACTTAAATAGAAGATGGGAATAATAATACTTGGTTGTAAGTTTCTTAAAAGTAAGATAATTTTGTAAGACTTAGCAAGTTGAATGAAGAGGAGGCAGCAGTATTGTTTGAGAACAGGTATTAAAAAATAATATATTATACTATAAATTAAGATTCATATCAAAAAAAACAAAATTTATATTTATTTTAATAGAAATAAGATGAATATTTTTTTAAAGTTCCAAGCAAATGTTATTGCTAAAAAAAAAAATGATAATTAAAAAATTTAAATAAAAAAACAATATAAAATGTGAATAATTTGAATTAGTGGGCTATTTATTTATTGATTTAAGAATATTTAAAATGATTTATTTATTTTGTTAAATAAAAGAAAGAAAGAGCTGTTCGAAAATTTAATGACATAGATTAAGAGAAATAGTTCAAATAGTACTTAAAGAAAAAAATCTTAAAACCAAAATTCATTGAATTCAAGTATATAGAAAGAGAGAAGTTCTTCCGTTGGTAAAAACCGCTCAAATAATAGCCAATCTTAATCTTAATAGCAATAATGTATAAAAAATTTGATAAGGGCATCTTCACTTTTAGATAACAATCAACAGTAAACTGAATAAAAAGTCTATATAAATCCTGGATACGTAAATGCAAATAAGTAGAAATAAGAAAATAGTTAAGAAAGAGTTAGCTCTGCAAATATTTCATCAGTAGAAAAAAAATTTATTATTTACAATGAAAAGTTCATATAGAAAATACCTGTAAATATTTCATCTGAATAGAAAAGGAATTAAATTAACTCTGATAGAGAAAATGGTAGCAAATCTAACAGATCTAAGGCAGATTTATCTTCAAATAATTGCAATAATAAAGATTCTAAATTAAAAACAAATTATGCTTTACTTAACTAATACAATAAATAAATTTAAAAGTAAAAATAAAACGAATTCAATACCAGCAATAAACGAGATAGTAAAATGAGTGCTAATTCTATAAATTAGGGCAATTTTAGTACTGTATTTGTATAAAAAAATAATTTCATTCAAAATGGGAAGGTAGATAAGTAAAGAGAATTAGTTGTTTCAGAGAGAATAGGAGTTTCTAATAGCTCACATAGCATCACTCCTTCAAATAAAAATAAAACTCCTTCTAAAATTACTTCTTCACAACATTAGTAAAAGAAACAAATTGACTGTGATTAGGAATTTGGATAACTTTTACAAAATGGGAGTAAAAATAACTTGATAAATAGCAAAAGAATGTCAGCATAGATAACAAAAAACACAAAAAAATAATAAACCAATAACATGAGTAGTAGCAGCAATCTTTCATAAAATTTAATAAGATCAAACAGTGTTTGCTAGTACGAAAGTTAGCCTAGCAGACCTTATTCTATAAACTTAATATAATTATCTAATGTTTAATCATAGTAATCTTCACCAAAAAGAGGGTACTTAAAAACTTAAAGACCAAGCGAAATAGCAAATGAAAACTAAAACCAAAATGAATAAGCTCTATTTTTTTCTTAATCTTCAAATAATTCTATTTCTAATAATGCTCAATAAGGTACTAATAATGAAATATGTAGTATTAACAGTCTCAAAAAGCAACAATAAAATAATTAACTAAATTATAATAGCAACAAGACTCTATTTCTAAAATCTAATTCTGATAGACCTCAATCAAACATGCTATCTTATGCTAAAATATATAACAGTCTCATTTCATAACATAAAGGCAACCAAGAAATTAATTCTACAGACGTTTCGCCAATTGAAAAATAATAAATGAAAAATTTAGACCATAATTTTTATTCTGCGAATCAAGACTATCATAAAAATCTCTAAAATTTCAAAAAACAAGAGTCTGATTCTAGTACATAAGCCTTCGACTCAGATTAAGATAAATAAGCAGCTAAAAAATTTTAGTAAGCAAATATATAATAATTAGACCAAACTTCTTCCAAGTAAAAAAACTTATCTTATGTGAAGCTTTAAAGCAAGCAAATAATTTAAAAATAATTGGAAAAATAAAAAATTGTTTAATAAGAAATAAGTCTATAAAAGCAGTAATTAATTTAAAATTTGTAAGATTTAAACGAATAAATTGGGCATTTAGAAAGAACTGAGCTAAAAGAGCGCAAATCCTCATTTCATTTAGATACTTCTCCCTTTTCAAAGCTAAGCACTTAAGAATAAAGTATAAGGGATATGCAACTAATATAAAATACAAAATAAAGTATAAGCTACTCTTCCTTGCATCAATAAATAAAATAATGCATAGGAACAAATTAAACTATTAAATCTCGTTCAAAAGAAAAATTTTAATCCAGTAATCTTTCAAATAGCAATTCTAAATTAACCAAACCATTTTAATCTTAAGCAAACACTCCTAAATCAAAAAAGAAAATATAATTTAGGTAAATTCTAATTTTTTTATCAGAAGACTATATTAAAAATTACTTTTTTTTTATTAGCAATAATGTTTCAATAAATGCAGTAAATACAGGAGAGAAAACACCCCTTAAATCGATACTTGTGAATGGTAAAAATAGTAGCCATTCTATAGACAGAGTAATTTATTCTTCCTTAAAATATTTTAAAATAAATTTATTAAACACTCTCCTCTTATTTATAATTGAATCAAGGCTAGAATTATATAATTGATATATTTTTTTTTATAAATGATCAGGCTGCTATTGCAGATCAAACTCAAGAGAGATTCTCTGATTCAATAAAATAAAAAGACTTAACATTAAGTATAAATTTGCAGAGTTAATTAAATTTATCACAATATAAAGTAAATTGTGACTAAGAAGATGACGAAAAAAAATAGTAAAATATTTTATTTAAGTAAAAAATTTTAAAAATTCCAATAAAAATAGTTATAAATCTTAAAATGACAATTCAAATAAAAGTTTAAATCGAATTAACTCAGCCCATATTATAGATTTTAGGCCTAAAGCATAAGCTTATAAAAGTAAAGCTTAACTTTAATAGGTTTTAGTGAGAAGAATCAGTGAAAATGAAAATCTCTACTCTGATATTAAAAACAAAGTTATATCTACAAACGAATTAAAAACTTTAAAAAGTGAAATTACTTCTCCTCATCAGGCTCTTGTGAACGGATTCCAAACATAAAAAAGCTAGAGAGACTTAAACCTTGATTATAATAAAAAATTTAATAGGAATTCCTCATAAGATTCCATGTTTTATTCATAGGTTTATAACAATAATAACAACAACTCATAGCTGAATGATATATTAAAAAGTCAATAAGCTACTGCTTAATTTAGTTAGAGAGATAGATAAAACTAATAAAAATTTATTTCTTGATACAACCAAAATTATAATTAGTAAACAAAAAATAATTGATTGGAACTCATAAAAATAGTTAAAAATCAGAAACTGAAAAATCTACCTTTCATCTATCTAATATTAAATAATAAAAATATTTTCTCAAAATAATTTTATAAAATTTAAGCATTTAAATCTTCTATCAAATTTTCTTAGCAAGAAATACAAAATTTAATATTTTATCGCAAAAATATTTATAAAATAATAAACGAATGAAATTAATTTTCCAAATCTAAATAAATCTTACTCAAATAATTTAAATAAAATTAAAATAAATTTCTAAATTTATCTATTACATACTTGTAAATAATACTTTTATAATTGTAAATTCAAATTTATTCCTTTTATATTTTATAAAAGATTTTGTGGTTTAAATGGATCTAATTTCAACCTATTAAGTCTTTTTAATTTCTTATAACTTAATAGTCAATCTGATCACTTATAATATATAGCTGATAAAAATTCTGATGATATTAGGAAGGATTAAAAAAATAAATTCATCTTTTTTTTAAATAGGTAAAGATTAGCTATTCCCTAATTAAAGAATATCTATTAATATATCAAAACACCTTTGAATTCTGTTAAAACAAGAAATAATAAAAATTTAATTAAAATTCAGGAAAAACTATTCAGAAAAAAATATATATTTAGCTTTTTTTATTTCTTTCAAATTTAAATCATACTTACATTTTATTTAACATATATTTCACCTTTAAGTGATCTTTAAGTGATGTAGAATTATTTTTAAACTATAATCTTAATTTTTATTAATTTCTTTACTGAAAGCATTTCATTGAAATTTGTCATTTTAATTTGTATGCCTAATAAAAATGATTAATCATAAATCTTTAATTTTAAATTTATCTTTTGATTAGTCATAATAGTTATTTATCTAAATTTTTAAAAATACAAATATTTATAGGAGAACTTAATTAAAATATAGATATTTTTCATCAAAAATACTCTACAAATCTTACCTTAACCTTTAAAAATGTTTTTGTTACAAATTTACTTGAGAAAATTGAATTATTTTCTTTTTAATAGTAATTTCTGACTCATTTTGCGTAATTAATTTATTATATTTTAAAAATAGTTGATAATTCAGAAGAAAATTTAAAAGCACTTTGCGTTTTAATTTTCTGAGGGTTTTTATGAATATTGTAATCAAAGATAGTAATACAAAAAAAACTTGTCTGATAAAATGTAAAAAATTAATAAGATAATAGATTTAAATAATCTTCAAAAAAAAAAGATTAGCAAAAAAAAAAATAATAATTTACATTAATTTAAGTGAATCTTATTTTTATAAAATATGTCCAATAATACTTTTTAGTCTTAGGAAGAGAACAAAGAAATAGAAGAAAGCAAGAATGATCTCTAGCAGTATTTGATAGAAGCATAAGATGGGTAAAGATCAAACTCAAATGAGTAGAGCATAGCTGAGAGTGAAGTTAATTTAAATAAATCTAATCTGATGGGTGAATTCCCTGGTATTTGGTAGCACACTAAAATTCTATTGTGGAAGAATTTCATTATTCAAAAAAGAAATCTTAAAAGTCTTCTATTCATCTTGTTTGGTCCTTTAATTATCTGCTCAATTATAATAGGTTTTTAATATCTAGCTGATGATTAAACCTAGCACTCAGATAAAAGTCCCCCTTTACATCCAATGTAACCAATCATTCCTTGCGCAAAGTATTCTGATGATCCTGATAATTGTTTTACATTTGGTTATGGAGTTATTGGGAATGAAAATGCTTCACCTTGGATTGATTATGCTATCAATTTTGTGGCAAAGGTCAATAAAATGAACCGTACCAAAGAATTCAGAAACGTTCTTTCAGCTTAAGATGGAGCTGAGTACAATAACAAATACATAAAGTATTTTAATACTTCTAGTAACTAAGGTCTTTTTGATTATGGTATAGTATTTTGCTCTGATACTTTTATGGAAATACCTAGATTAGGTACAAAGAGTGATATGATAAGAGTAGACTGTAGAAAGGCTAATTTCTAGATGGATGGAAATGTTACTTATGACGGTGGAAAATCTATTGATACTATCTAAAAAAGTTACTTCTACACAATAGTGTATAATAATACATGGGAAATGTATGAGCAGTAAAGTGATACAGTAAGTAGTTTTTCCTTCCCTAAAGATGGCTGGCTTATTACTCTAAAAGCTCTGTTGGATAGTGCAATAATTAATTATGAGCAAGGAATAAGATTAGAAGATTATGAATAAGATAATAATCCTTCTTCTTTATTGGGTTCAAATGAATAAAATAGCAAAGTAGATGAAAATTTGATGAAACTCATTAGATTTAATATTACTAATTAAAGCTATGCATTTCCTTCCTCAAGATTTTATGACGGCTTTAATATTATTAATCAGATGGGAGCCTTTTACTACTTCCTTATGCCAATGTACTTGTTTGTGTAAATTCAAGGTGATATTGTTATGGAAAAGCAAAGACGTCTTCGTGCTGGTCTTAATATTCAAGGTGTTAGTCATACAGCTTTTTATTTAAGCTGGTTTTTGACTAGTATTACCTACTCCATTCTTATTTCTATTTTACAAATTGTTACATCCTTGATATTTTAATTCGATTTCTTCCTCGATACGCCTTTTTTCATATTGTTCTTCTTATTCTTCTTTTTTACTCTCTCAATGTAAGTTTTTGGCTATTTTATTGCTACAATTATGCCAAACACTAATAAAAGCTACTCATTTAGTTATGGTTTCGTTTTATTTGCTGTTGTTATTGAACTTTTCCTTAGTAAACCGGATGCTATTATTCCATACTTATATAACACTGAAAGGCCTGCTTGGATTATGCTATTTGTTTTCTTTTTAAATATGTATTCTCCTTTCTAATATACCCTTATATTTGTTGCTATTTCTCAGAAATCTGGTATACACTTTGATTCCCAAGCATCTGTATGGACTCGTGGTTCAGGATATACCTGGTCAGATATCACCGATACTCTTAAGGGTTAAGAAAGAGGAATAAATTTCGAAGCTCCTTGCCCTCTTTAAAGTTTCCTTCTTCTTTTACTTATGTCATTCGTTTATGGCGTTTTAACTTGGTATTTCGACCATATTATTTCAAGCAATAGAGGTAGTAGTCATCCATGGTACTTCCTATTCACTCCAAGCTATTGGAGAGGTGTTTTTAATATCCGCCAGTTAAAAAGATAAAGTTAATCTTATTTGTTTGAATAAAATGAAAAACCTGAAAGTAGTAGTCAAAGACCCTAATCTTATTTAAATGATTAAAGCAGAATTTCAAACAACCAAAGATATTTTACTGTTCATGTAACAATACCTTCTTTAAATATAAATAAATACACATAATAACAAATTATTATTTAAAAAAAATGGATGGTTAGATAATATTCTATTAATCGATATAAAATCTAATTTTTAATAATTTGTAATTAGGTGGTTACTTAATATTCCATTTCTTATTACAAAACATCATTTATTAATAATTTGTTTTATTTAAAATAGGAAGAAGAAGAAAGAGTCAGAAATAGATTCTTCAAAGATGAAAAATGTGATGGCTTGAGAATTTTCAACATAAAAAAGAACTTTATTGAAAAAAGATCTATTTTCAAAAAACCTAATATCATCAGAGCAGTTAGAGGATTAAGCTTAGAGATTGGCAACAATGAAATTTTAGGCTTATTAGGTCACAATGGAGCAGGAAAAACAACTCTTTTAAATATGTTATGTGGGCTTTTGAACCCTACAAGTGGTAGCGTTGTTGTTAATAACTATAGCTTATCTGAAGAATTAGAAAAGATTAGGTAATCAATCGATCATAATTTTATAATTTTTTGCTATATTCTAATTTATATTTTATAATAGGCAAATAATTGGTATTTGTCCATAATTCGATATTTTATGGGATGATTTAACAGGCTTAGAACATCTTGCTTTATTTGCTAGAATAAAAGGAATGAACCCTAAGTATATTGATAAAATTGGCAATGAAATGTTAAAAATGGTTTAGTTAGAGCATGTTGCTAATGCATATAGCAGAACATACTCTGGTGGTATGAAGCGTAGATTATCATTGGCTATTTCTGCTTAAGGAAATCCAAAAGTTATTTTATTAGATGAGCCAACTACAGGAATGGATCCTAAGAGTAAGAAAGAAGTTTGGAATTTGATATAAGCTATTCGTAAAAATAAATCAATTATTCTTACAACACATTCAATGGAAGAGGCTGATGTATTGAGCGATCGTATTGCTATTATGGTTTCTGGATAAATTTAAGCCATAGGAACTAGTCTTAAGTTAAAAGATTTGTATGGAGGAGGATACAGAATGCATCTAATAATTAAAAATCCTACTGTTAACAGTGAAGAGGTTTAGAAATTTTTAAATTAGAATTTCCCTACAATAAAACTCTTAAAAGAGTCAAGTGGTAGTATGATCTTTGTATTGCCAGATAAATAAGTTGTAAAAAAAATATTCGAGATGTTTGAGTTGTATGAATCTCCTCTCAAAAATAAGTTGAATTCAGAAGAAGTTTTAGATAGCACATTCTTTAAGTCTAATTTAATGATAGACAAATCAAGAGTTCAAGATCTTGATTTTTAGATGGACTAATAAAACATGAGATATTCTCTAGGCTTCTTCGAAATGATAGAAGATTGGGGAATTTCCCATCCTACTATCGAAGATGTATTTATTTAGGTTACTGATGAAGAATAACAGTTAGAAGAAGAAGAGGATAAGTAAAATTAAGAGAAAAATAAGAAATGAAGGAATATGATAACTAAATAAAATTTGTTAAAGATTCTTAGCATAGCTTTTCTTCTCTCATTTCAATAAAATATATAACAGAAAATACAATATTATTTAGATTTTAGAAATTTATAGCTACTAACTAATCAAAAACTATATTACTATCAAAATATGTATATTAAAAGTTTATTTATTTTCAAAAATATTAATATATTTACTATCGAAATTAACTACTTACTTTACTTATTTTTCTACAGATTTTTAAATTCTTATAATTTTTTATATTTTATAATCCCAATATAATCTTCTTCTATATTTTTATGAAGAAGAGTAGTGAGAAGACAAGTAAATTAAACCAAAAAGAAGAAATGAAGGAATAAAATAATAATTAAGTTTAATTTGGTATCATTTCTTATAGTAATTTTTCACTTAGTAACATTTATACAAAATTAAAAATATAAAATTTAATTAAATATATTAATCTATTTGAAATGATGGAAAGTACCATAAATTATCAAAAAATCTTTTCTTATTAATAAAATTTAGCTTAAAATTATCAGGATAATTCATAAAAATATGAAAATTTTTGTAGTTCAAGATACTTGAAAAAAATTAATTAGCACCTTATTTAAAATTTGTTTGATTAAATTGAAAAAAATTTTTTAATAAATGAGAGCACACTATTTAATTACTTATGATTTTTATAATAATTAAATTCATTTTTAAAATTCTTTATTGTATCGCTAAAAAATAAAATTTGATATTGACAATAAATATTTTACCTATTATATTAATTTATTTAATAATCATTATTTTTATATTTTAACCTATAATTAATTTATGGATAATGTAAATTATCTTTACTTTTATTATACATTTATCAATATTTTATAAGCTTAATTTATTTTTACTACAAACAAACTAATGAAATAAATTATCAAAATGTTTTTTTACATTTTGTTTTGAGTAATAATTAAATTATAAGCTTAACTATTCTTTCTTTATATAAAATATGTGAACAAAAATAATTCTGAGAATAAACATCATCTATTACTTTTATTATAAATATTAAATTCAAATTTAATACCAGAAAAAAATAATGTCTTACGTGAATATGTAGATAATTTAATTTTAAGAAATTTGATTTTTTTATTTTTTTTGATGATTGTAAGGCACTTAAGATATATTTGCTGATCAAAAATTAATTTTTTCCGATGCAAAAAGGTATAAAATTTAATTAATATAGCTAGAGATCTTTAAAATAGAAGATATTTTTTCAACTAATAATAAAAATTTTATCTAAAACAAATTTTAAAAGCAAATAGGTTTACAAAGAAAAGAAATGTAGTCTGTTAGCGGTAAATTATAAATATAATTAATAGGAGCTTAGTTAACAAGAGATGTTAAGCTTATAGGTTCTATGGTACTTTGTTTTTATTATTTATTTCGTATTTAGAATAAATAATCTTTGTTAAAATAAATAGAATCCTTATGTAGTTTTTAGATTTGGCGATATTAAAAAAACAAGTGCAGTTAATGAAGGTGGTGGTAAAAATCCAAAATGGTGTGATAAAATTGACTTTTAAAAGATCAAAGAAACTAAAATAAATATTGATGTTTACAACATGAGAAAGCTTGGATTATTTGATAACGATTTAATTTGCTCTGGAACACTTGATCTTTGCAAATTTACTCAATAGTATTAAGGATATGGTAATTAAGTTAATTAATGATTCATTTGTATCTCAAATTTAGCTTTCATTCTTTTTATTAAATAGAGGCCATTCCTCTTTATCATGGAAGTTCTTCAGCAGGCACACTTAATATCCAAGTCACATTCACTCCTGACGTATAATAGGTTTATTAGTTTGGTCAAATTATTTTGTAAGGAGAAGCTCCTCTTGACATTACATTACGTGTAGTATCAGCTCTCCTTACTAGAGATACTCAGTGGTTCGGATCTATGGTATTTAGCCATTTTCAATTATAATTATAATATATTTTTGAGTATTAAAATTAATTTTATTTCATGTTTTTTTAAATAATAAAAAAATAGTGTTGTTATTATGTTGCAACATGTGGTGATAAAAAACACACTTCTACATTGTGTAATAGTGGAAAAACACCACAATGGTCAGATAAATTTAACATTGCTAAAAAATCTGATTAAAAATTCAACATTGAAATTATAAATTAAAATAATAAAACTTGTGTAGCAACATGTGTAGTTCCTCATGAAGTTTTAGCTAACTACTAACCAGGTGTAAGAACTCTTCCTCTTTCTTACCAAGGTACTCCTGCAGGCTAATTATTCCTTGAAGTTACTTATAACTCATATCCAGGTGATATGGTTGCTCCTATATATCAACCACTTCAAGACTACTGTCCTGAATATTATGATGTATGTCCTGCTTCAATACCTTAATATCCTCCTTAATAACCTTAATACCCTCCTTAATAACCATAATATCCACCTTAATAGCCTCAATATCCTCCTTATTAGCCTCAATATCCTTCTTAAGAGGTTCAGTATCCACCTTAAGAGGTTCAGTATCCACCTTAAGAGGTTCAGTATCCGCCTTAATAACCTTAATATCCTCCTTAGTAATCTTGCTATGCACCTCAATATCCTCCTGCTCCTTAAGATTAATGCAGTAATCCTTATGGTCACTACCCAAATTTACAATAACAATATCCATAGTATCCTCCTCCTCCCCCACCCTAATATTGAATATAAAATATTATTAAAACAAGAATTAAAGCTAAATGATTTTTATATAAAATAAATTTTGCATTCTCATAATGTTTAATAATTCTACTAAAAAATTGTTTAAATAAATAAATAATTTATTTATGTTTTTTCATTTTAATATTGATTTTATAATAATAATTAAAATAACATTTTAAATATTTTTATTTATTTAAACATAATTTAATTTTTAATTAATTCAACAATATTTATTATAAAAACATTAAATTTTCTTGATCCTAGATTTTAAATCCTTATAGTTATTAATGAAATAATAACTTTTATTTACAGAAAAACCTCAATTTATGTGAATAAATCAAACAAACTATAAGGTTTTAGTTTATTAAAAAAAAACTCTAAATATTTTAAATATCATGAAAAAAAAATTTTGAAAAATTAAAATGATATTTTGTTTAATACCTAAGCTAAGAATCTTGAAATATAAGTTGCTTTAAAATTAAAATTGAACTTTGAAATTTATCTTGTATTTAGCATATTATTTCATATTCCTACTTAAATACTATCAAAAATATAATTTTATATTTCACATTAAAGCAGGTAAGTGAGGTGTCTAACTGAAATCGAGATGGCCTTAATATATGAACCTTTACCATATATAGCTAAGCTAATAATAATGAAAATCAAAAATAAGATTTCAATTAAATATAAACTGTAAAAATAAAAGGAAATGTTAAAAAATAAAATTTTTTATTTGAATATTCAAATACTGAACTAATTCAATAAAAACAAATTTTTTTTTGAATTTTATTGAAATATTTTGTTTGTTTTTATTGATTTATTACTTGTAAACTTATTTTTTAAAGTAAAATTAGCATAAAAACTAAAATAAAATTTCAATAGCTTTTTAATATATTATTTGCAGTATACTTTATAAGAGCATTTATTGTTTTTAGTATCTGATTGATAGAGATGATTTAAAATAATTTAAAATTGATAAAAAATGTTGTTAATATTTTTAATTATTGAATTTCATATAATTACTTAAAGAATGAGCTCTATCTATTTTAGACAAGTAATTAGAAAAATATAAATATACAAAACTAATTTATCATTAATCTAAAAAAATAAATTTAAATCTTAGAACTCTAATTAATTTATCGAAAATAGATGCCTGCATATGAATTATTAAAAAATATTTTTCAGCTTAGTTTATTAATCTTAGATTAGTTCATTTTCTTCTTTTGTAGAAAAGAATGTAGGAAGCTTCGCTCACAAGTTAATCAGGAGTAACATCCCTGACACAGGAGTCATCAAAGCAGAACCATCTATTATTATTTTATGCATATGCAGTGTAGTGACCAAATCCTAAACTACCATAATGGTTAGTAATAGCGTAGAGATCATAAAACAATCTCTTATCATTTTTATTATCACCCTCCTATTCCATTTTACTATCATTATTTTTTTATTCTTCTTCAATGTTTATTTCTTCGTTGTTTGAAGGTGAGTGATTAGTTTCATGATTTTTGTTATTTTCTTAATCAATTTCATCTTGTGTAGGTTATGACTACTTAAAACTTTCATCTATGTGATTTTATTCTACTTTTTGAGGATTTATGTGAATATCTTTAAAATAATCTGCATCCTATTCATAATATGACTATGGAGTTTCTTTTTCTATCACAAAATCGGTCATATCAAGGCCTTGGATAGGGAAATCAACTACTTTTGTTAATTTACTCTTAAATAAACCACTAGATCCTTTAAATCTCTTAAGGTGAAGGATAAGTATATCAGGAGCTCTATAAATAACAATTTACTTTTATGCCTTCTAATGCTTTTTGCATTCAGGACAATACCATTCATTATCTTCTCCTAATCTTTCTGGTTGCTCAAATAGCTTTAAACAATCATAAATGTTAGTTTTAGCATCTAAATTATGGCTAGCACTAGTATTGGAGTCATTATTTTAACTACTGTGATCAAGTGAGTGTAAAGAGTTTATCATTCTGCCAAAATCCGTGGTTTAATCAACGAAGCACTCAAATCTAAAAGAGTGATAATGAGATTTTGATCTTTTTGAGAAATCTTCCATAGGATCTTCATCATCATTGTATTGAACAGGACAGTTCTTACATTTTTATTAGTTACACCAGCTATAAATAATATTTATTTTTTTTTTTAAATATATTGAAACATTAATAAATCAATAAATTACGTGCAAGGTCTCTCAATATAATCTTGAGCATCAGTTTCAACTAAAAGTCTGTAAGGAGGGTTTTCTACATTTAAGATGTACTTTTCATAAAGCTCATCTAATTTTAATTTTTCAGCATCAATTGCAAACTCTGAATCTGGTTTTGAATTTCTGAGGAAAATAGGTTTTAAATATTCGAAAAGAGCTAAGTGGACATCTTTCTTGTTTGCTTTCTTTTCTATGATAAATGGTCTAATAAATGTGAAATTGCTCTTTACTAGTCTTCTTGCCATATACATTTCCTCTTTCAGCCTAGTAAAAGTGAAAAATACCTTCATTTTATTTTCATCATGGATATCCACATCGTATTCAATCATCAAAGCATTCTTTTAAGGTTCTTTAAAAGTTTTTCTTACATTTTCTAATGGAGTTTCGTCATCAAACTGATCTTTAACTCTGTCAAATCTATTCAAATAAATATTATTAAATTAAATTTTAAATCTAAAAAAATATTATTTAATTAATTACGTTAGAGAGTATAAAATTAAGTTTGAAGAAGTTTAGTATGTCTTTTAAATGTACTCTTTCAGATCTTTAATTGTTTATTATTTTGATTGGTCAGGTTCGTAGGTGTATTTAACTTCAATTGCTGTTTTCCTGTTATTTGCAAATATCAAATACATGCTAATTACTTTTATTTCCTTATTAGGAATAGGTAAAGAGCAAGTTAAGAAAGGATCAAAGGTTATAGATTCCTTAGAGCAATCAGGGCAAGTAACTTTTGACTTGAATTAACCTTGCATTAAGTCAACAATAATACTTTAGTTTCTTTTTAAATGATTCAACCAGGATTCCTTAGCTACAACTTGATCAGGTCTTCCATTCGAATCGATAGATTCAGTGTATTTTTTCACTTTTACTCTATTTAAATCTTCATGCAAACCGTCCAAAATGTAAGATAAAAATTCCTAATTTAGAAGTTAAAGGATAATCAATAAATGAATAAATAAATAAATAAATAAATAAATAAATAAATAAATAAATAAATAAATAAATAAATAAATAAAGTGTATCAGCCAAATTTGAATTTAAAGTTAAGTATTTATAAGATCAATGTAAAATTTTAAATATTTACTTAGGAATCATGCTGCTAATAACCAGAAAACATAGATTAGAGTCTAGCAACTGCCATCTTTAAAGCTATAGGACTGAAAGTTCTTTAATTACCTGTCCACAAATTTTTAATAAACTTTGCATATTACTTAGCCAATTTACCTTGAGTTCCAAGTACATTTTACTCATTAATTTCTTGTAAGTAAATCTTCTTTAAAAAGTAAATAGTCAAAGGGATTGTATTGCTCATACACTAAAGTGCACTATTCATAAAACATGTATTACCAAGATTCTATAAGCCGCATAATCCACGAACAGAATCGTTTTCAAATTTGTAAGGTTATTCTTATTCATCTTCTGAATCTTCTCCAGCCTTATCACAGACTCTAGCGTGGTACTCTTGATCTTTAAATTTACAACTATCAGAGCAATACTTAACCTAATTAAAAAAATAAAATTTAGAACACACTTCTTAAATTTTTTTAGAGCATATTTCATAAAATAAAAGTATTTTATTAAGTAAAATTTAAAGGGAGTTTAAATTTGAAACAAATATTGGTTGATTGATGTTTAGAAAATAGAATATCATATAGAAAATTTGATTTTTAATAAATTAGAACAGAATAGTCTCAAATTTTAATAAAAATAAGTAAATAAAGAAATTAATTTTTACCTTCTGACATTTGCATTCAAACTTTAGAACTTTATAGTTTCTACAGAACTCACACTAGTCTTCATCAGGCTCACCTTCTAATTTAAGTGTCCATCCATTTTAACGTTAAACTTCTACAAAAATGGTAGAATCCTCTTCTATGTTAAGTTCTTCTACAGTGTTGTTGTTATTTCTTTCAATAAAAACGATAGGAGATTTCAATTTATACTCAAAGCTTGTAAATCTTCTTGTTGCTTCAAATAATTGCTAGAATACCTTTTCAATAGTGTCATTTTCTTTGAGCTTCCAAAGTCTGATTGTTTGCAAATTAATATTTTAAGGTTAATTTTGGTATCCATAGGCTTAATTGTATTAGTGTCTTTTAATAATTGGAACTAGGAAATGCTTAAGCTCTTCTTAGTTTTCTTTTGAAAACAATTAAATTTATTTGCATGTGAATGATTTAGCTCTTCCTCCATCTATGTCCTTCAACAAACTATGGTTCAAGATAATTAAATTGACCTATTATCATTAAACAAAAAACATTATTATTACTATTTTCTAATACATCTAAAAATGTGCTAAATTTTTGCTAATTTGTGAATTGTTTTTGCCTAATTTGATATTCATACATCCATGTAAGAATTATTGCTAATTATTTGATAATAATTTATTTTATTTTCTAATTCTTAAAATAAAACTAAATGAAGTTTAATATCTTGTTATAGACACTATAAATTTTTTTTCTTGCAAAAGTAAGTTATGAATGAGTTAATTCCTAAACACTTACCAGCTATCTAAAAAAAAATAACGCTTGTAAAAATAATCTTTTGATGAAGAATGTATTGTATTACCTTTCTATAGTATATTTCGATGCCTTTTTTTCCATCAGGACGCTTGAAAGCTCTTCTAGGAATAACTTAAAAATTTAAGTAGTTTTCTGACAAAAGATTGACTATATCTTTATCAACTATAGCGTAATCTTAAATTTCTTACAACTAAGGCTTCAAAATTATAGTAGAGCCATCTTCATTAAGCTCTGAAAACTCATAATATTAATCACTACTTTAATCAACTGTTGTTTAAATGAGATCTTTATTAGCATTTTCTAATTTGTCTCCATGCTTTGCGAAATGTTCATAAATAGGTTCTTTACCCTTAATTACTCTATCGTAGCTAACGTGTTTCTTCCAATATCTGAGCCAATGAGATGAGAGAACGAAGTAAGTGCTGCTAGGAGAGGACTCAAAATCTTAATTGAATTTTTCCCATAACTCTTTAAATTTCAACGCTTAGTTTACTAATTGTTCTTTGACAGCTTCCTATTCTTAGGTTTTTTCTTCTAAATTCAATTCTTCATTTATAATTTAGTTTTCAGTGTCTGCTTATTCACCTTCTTCTAAAATATGGTTTTCTTCTTCCATATCTCCGCTATTGTTAGCTTCTATAATAACTCCAGCTGCTGCAGCTCCCTAATCTAAAACGATATTATCCTTATGTTCTTCTTATTCCATAGAATTCTCACTGCTTTGGTGCTAATGAGGAGCAGCTGCTGAAACTCCTTCTTCTATGCCCCTTTTTTACAAAATAAAATCATTATAAATTGACACAGCGCTAGTTTAAATATGAATTTCTATAATCAATAAAGAAGTTGAAAGGCGATGGGTATATCTACGCTATTTAAATTTCTAAATCATGAGTTTTGAAAATTTTTTAATACTTTCATCTCTTTCTTTTTAATTTAGAGAAATATATTATAAAAAGCTGGTAATCATAAAACTAATTAGCCCTATTTTTTTTTTTTTGACATATGATTGGTAAATACTCATAAAATTCTATAGTAATAAAATGGCGTTTGTATGGCTTACTAGAAATTTTCTTAATGAGACATATGTATTGATTTGCAAGATTAAATCTTTTATTTTGTCTAATGTATGAATGAACGATCTCTTTTTTGATCTTAAAATTTTCTTTATATGTTTTATTAATTAATTATTATATAAGCATGATAAGATATCACTTTAATTTAATAGATTTTCAAGTACAATTAAATACAAATCCCTATTGATTTTTGTCTTTAGGTTTATTTATTCTAAAATTATTTATTGCATCTTTACGATTTATTTATTCTATATACTTATCCTCATTCACCTCAGTAATTCTATCAAAATTTTTAGATATATTTCTTATTCATAAAAATTAATTCGAAATGCCTCTATGTTTTTCTGTATGCATTCTAATTTATTTATATTCGAGCTATTTAAAGATCAAATAGTATACCAATAAAATAAATTAAAAATCAAATAATCTATTGAGAAGTATCAATCCAACTAACCTTTTCCGATTAATAATTTTTGATAAAACAGGTATTTCATTTTATTTTATCTCTTTCAATCCTTATTAATATATCATATTTTTCTTGATTCCAAAAAATAGAGTCTCTCAAAAACAATATAATTATTAAATAATAATATTGTTTGTAAATTAATTCAGTCAATCATAATTTAGTTATCTAAACAAAATTAAAATCTGCTAATTTTTTTCCTTTATTTTATTAGAATATCTTTAAATTCTCAAGAACAGAAATCACTGAATCTGATCAAATAATTTTTTTCTGTAAAAATCTAAAGCTAATGAAAAATTTTCTCATTGTTTAAAAATTTTAACAAAACTAAATACAAGAAGAGCAATTTATTAAATTAAAAAATATTTTTAATAAACAAATTATATACTTAAGAAGTATTTTATTCTTTCTAACTTAATAAATATTTATCTATTGAATTGTATTTAATATCGAAATTAAAATAATTAATCTATCTGATCCTTGTTATAGAAGATCATATTTAAAAATATATAAATTAATAACAAAAAATATTTTATTTACCTTAATCACCTTTAATAAATAAAAACTCAAAATATTTATTATCTAATTATTTTTATTTTTATAAATTATTTATAAGTTTAATATTTAATTCTTTCAATTTATATGCTTATTGCTTTTAACATATAAAAGAGTGAGTGACATATAATTTTAATTTTTTTTTAAAAAAAGCTCATTATATATATATTAAATATTATAAATACTATTAGTAATTTAATAAAATTTTTATTTTTTTTTGCTATTGTGAATAAATATGCCAAGAAAAATGATAAAATAATTAAATGCATCTATTAAGAAATATATATTTTATCTATTTGCTATTAATTAGTGGATGTAAAATTATTTTATAATTTAATATAAAAAATTAATATCATTAACCTTTTCAAGTAATATGAATATATAGATAATATGCTAAATTAACAGCTATTTATTAAGTTAATAATTTAATTGATTTTAGAATAATAATTTAAAATATTAATTAAGAAATCTCAAATAATTTCTATTATTTGGAAATTCATTTTTTAATATTAATCAAGATTTGTTTATTATTTTCAAACTTTTAAAATTTTTTAAAAACAGTTTAACTCATTTAAGCATTTTAAACTATTTTAACTGGTACCTGTGATGAATAAAGTAAATATTTAAAATTAAAAATTAACAAGTTATCAAATGTAGCTTCATATTCATGAGTTTTACTCTAAATAATTACATTAAATATATAATTTTCAAACATTGCTATAGGTTGGAATACATGATTTTATTGTTTTAAGTACGTCTGATCCCTATAAAAATAAAAAAATATGAATCTAAATAAAATTTTATTTAAATAAAAATTGTTACTCCATTTTCTTCTAGGGTTCTAAGAGTGACAAAAATCTTTTCTCTAAGCTATCTATTTTATGTGATTTAATTTAAAATATATAAATGTTTATTTATAAAAATGAAACTCACGGTTTATTCATCTTCTTAACAATTGGCTAAAGCAAATTTTTAAGATGAGGATTGAGGTTAGGGCCAATTTTATCAGAAAGTAATCTTTTGAAATAAATATTATTTTTTTAATTTTTAAAATCATAAAATTTTAATTTTACTTTAAAACTGTTAAAGCATTTTCAAAGTTTTTTTCATTATTGTGTTATAATGCGTTTCTTAAAGGCCATGCTAACTTATTTATCATTGGTACTATTTTATCTTCAACGTTCTGTATTTTGTAAAATAAATATAAAATCTGAGTTCATACATACTAAAATGAATTGAATACTTCTTATTCTAGCATATCTTTTATACAATTGTATGCTATAAAATTATATGGGTGCTTTTCTTCAATTAATCCTTCAAAACATGTAGCTAAAAGTGGATCGTAAGGCATGCCTATTATAAATGATTTTTAAATTTATAATCAAATATCCTTAAAAAGTTATTTACTTTTTAAATCAACATCTTTGTTCCATTAAATGTACATATGCACACTTCCATGATTCACTCTACAAGGAATACCTCCTGCATTATAAACATAAGCAAAAGAATTTCTATGATAAGTTTCAAAAATTAAATAGATCTTTTTATGTTAATTATGCAAAGTTATAATACGTGTTTTAGTTTTTATTAGTTGCAAATAAATCAACTGTTTTAATAGAAGTATATTTAGCAGATGGCTTTGAGGTAAATCCTTAAGTTTTTTATTCTTCGAATTGCTAAGGAGCTTTTATATCCAAATAAATTAGTTTATATTTTTTTAATTCTTAAACTTCATATATAAATACCTTATTTTTGAAGAGTGCTCTTTGTTTATGTTTATATAGGTTTTTACATACCGACTGTATTTCCAACACCTAAAGGTCTAGAAAGAGTCGAAGGTGTTTTTGTTTTTGTGGGTTCCATTATATTATTTTTATTGGTGACTGTTGTTTATTTTAAAGGTTCCTTTGAAAGTGGAACAGATGTAGGTTTGGAAGCTTTTGAAAACATTAGTGTAAAAAATCTAATTCTTTAGTATAAAAATTTAATAATTTGAACAACTTTTTATAGAACTTTTAAAAAATATGAAAATTTAATAAATAGTTTTTTTGAATTATCATCTAATTAATAGAAAATCAAAGCAAATACTTATTAAAGATTTCACAAGCAAACAAACAAATACCATAAAAATATAGAAAAATTGATATATTTAAAAAGAATTTTGTTGAAATCTATTCAAAACTATCAAATTGTAAATTAGTTTATTTGTTTATAAAAAAAATAGACAATAGTTTTAATTTTCATATAAAATTTTTTATCATTTTAAAATTTCTTTTGAAAATTGAAAATAGATTTTACAATTTTTTTTTGTCTAATTACTTGTTTAAATATCAAATAGATTTTTAAAGATTTAATTAAAGATTTAATATACAAACAAAATGAAATCCATTATAAATATCTAATAATTAAATTAAACTGATGTTTTTACTTACAAATAAATGCTTTTAAATATGTAAACAGTTAATTAATTATTTTATCTGTTTTAATTTATTTTTATAATTATTTACTTAGGGAGTTAAAATTAAGGTTATTGTTAAATTAAATTAATCATTATTTAGCTGCAGTTTTATCAGCTAATTACTTTTCTAAAATAGCATAAAGATTTTCTAAACCAGAGAGTTAATCTAATTGCTTTTTTAAGTCTTCTTTGAGTTTAACATTCTAATTAATAAAATTTTATAATAAGGAAATAACTTGAATTAAAATATTTATTACCTTTTCAACCATGTCTAATAAAGTGAAGTCAGTTTTTTCATTTTTCTTCTTTAATTCATTGATGCTTGATTCAGTTTTCTTTTGACTATCAATCAAGCTATCATGAGCTTACTTGTAATTTGTAAATTTAGAATTGCTTTCTACCATAATATCTTAAAATTTTTTATCTTGCTCGAGGTAAACATTTAATCTTTCTTCTAATTTAACATCAAGTTCTTTTTACTTATCTATTTCTTCTTAGAACTTGCTCACGAGTTAAGCTTACTACTTGATCAATTCGAATTCCTATCCTAACTTAGCTTCTTGCAATTACATTTCCAACTCTAAGTTTTTATTGTGATTAATTTAAGCTTGAGAAATATCTTGAGAAAATAATTTATTTACCTTTCTTTTTAATTTGAGTACTGAAAATAAGTTCAGTTGTTTATTGTTGAGCTGTAATCTCCTTAAGTTTTTCTTTAAGACTTATTTTTTAATAATTTTTTATAAGTTGCTTAAAAAACTTTTATTTAAAAATATATAAAAATACATTTCGTTCTCTTTTTCTTTCTAAATTCTATCTCTGCTCTTTTCCTCAACACTTGATTGAATATCCTTAATTCTTTACTAAAATTGTTCTGCTAACTCAGTTCTTTTTTGTTTTTCCTTTTCTTGAAGTTCTTTATTAGTATTAATCTACTCTTGATACTAAGCAGTTAATGCTTTGTGTAATTTTTCATAATTGTCTTTGGATTTAATACATTGAGCATTTTCATCCTTAGCTTTTAGTTAAAAATAATTTTGTTTTAAAAATACTTGCATTCGATTTTTTCTTTAAGTAACATACTTTTCTTGAAGTTAGCAATTAAAGTTTCATAAAGCTTTTTATTGATGGCATAATCTTTGGCAGCTTGCTTAATATCTTTCAACTATTTTATATTAAGAATTTATAAAATTGATTAATATTTAGAGCTAAATTTTATATACTATCTTTTCAAACTTTTCTTAGATCTTATTGGCATCATCAGGATTAGCTGAAATAAATTCTTTCAAATCTGTGTAGGCCTTTTCATATTTTTTTTCTTTATATGATAAATAAAATATTCAACAACTAGAAGCATTTGTAAAATTTATTTAAAAAATAATCTTAAATTTTACTTAATTTCTTAAATTCATCTTCAAATTATTTTTCTGGTAATTTGTTGGAGAAATCTATTTTATATTTAAAAAAATTTAAATACTATTTTTAAGTGAATAGCAAATTTATATAATACCAATTTCTTCACATTTAAGAGACTATATAGCTTCTTGAAGTTGAGTAAGAGTCTAATAATTTATTTAAAACATTAAAATGTAGTAACAATATCTAAGCATAAAATGAAACAAATACATTTTATTCTTGAGCTGAATCCATCTTTAGCTAGCTAATTTTATTAATATATTCTAATAGAACTTTTTTATTATTTATTATTTGATATTTTTTGTTTTACTTAATTATAATAAAAATTCTTAATATACTAATTAACTTTTTCAAAGCTAAAATTTGATTAATTTGCATAAATATCTTCTCCCTCTGAAAATATTATTTAATTAATTAAATAAATAGTTTTTTGAACAAAGATTTGCATGTGTTATTTTTTTAAATTTTCAAAAATTTGATTAAACAAATTATAAATTTATTTATTCATCATCACAAATCATTTAATAAAAATAAATAATTAAGATATACATTAATTAAATGAAATATTAAATAAAATTAATATTTCAAAACAAACAAAAAAACATGTTGAAAAATAGCTAAAATGTAAAATACATTAAACTCTTAATAAATCTAAAAAATTTAATTTACAACTTAATTTTATCACAAAATTTGTAAAATATAAAAAAAATTTCTATAAATTTGTGCAAAAAAATCTTTATTAATTGGTATCATTTATCTTTCTTAGCCTTCCATTCGAGTAGCTTATATATATCCTTATCACTATTCTTTACTAATTCTATGTATTTATCTTTTTTTAATTATAAAAAATATATTTTTGAAATTTTTGTTTTTTGTTAGATTACCTATATTTGCATTTGCTTTGGCTATTCCTAGTGTAACTCTAGCTCTGTCTACCAGTTTTCTGTCTTTCTTATCTGCTTTTTCAGTTCTTGCACCATCAAAATGTTATTTATAGTAATCTAATGATTTTGGAATATTTCCTTTCTAGGCATACAAAGTAGCCAAATGTAAAGCAGCATCAGACTTTTATTAAAAAATAATTTTAACATCTTAAACTAAAATTCTTTAGATTTACTTAAGCATTGTTCAAGTGTAGCTTCTCTGCATGCTCAATGTATCTTTCAAGGTGATTTTAAGCTTCATCGTTCATATTTAGCTTTAAATAACACTTAGCTAAAGAAGCATGAGCCTCCATCTATCTTTACTTACCTTCCTTTAAATTAACGAGTAAAACTTGTTTAAAAATATAATTTCATTAAAAATTTATGGAAAATACCTCAGAGTTTATAGGTAAGTTAATTTCAAGATATTTTCTTTAGTATTCAATACTTCTATTGTAATTTTGATTTTTAAAGTAAAGTTAACCCATTTTATGACAAATATCTCCTTCATCTTCTTCTCTATCAGCCTTTTTAGCCACCTAATACAAATTAGTATTTAAATATCAAAGAAATAGAAATAAAAATTAATTAATTACTTCTAAACATTTTTCATAGAAAAATAATGCTTCATTAATGCTTTCATTGTCTCCCTTTTCAAATCCTTGAGCAACTTTTTTATAAATTGTGATTAATTCTCTTGAGATCAATTCAACAATAGATTCAAGTTAGTTTTCTTCAGCTTCTTCTAAGCTTTTTTACAATATTTCTATAGCATCATCTGTTTTTCCTTATCTATCAAAACACTTGCCATATCCTAACTTTCCTCTTCCTAATATTATACAAAAAATATGAATTATTTATTATTTTTTCATTTATATTTTTTTATTAATCTACCTTCAAGCTATTTTTCTTCACAATCTTTAGCAATAGATATGCATCTTTTGTAAAAGAAAGCAGCAATTTTATAATCTTAATATTCTTCAAAGAAAGTTTCAGCAAGCTTGAAGTACCCTTCTATAGCAGGTGTTTTATCTGTAAACAAATATCTTGTAGCTTCTTCAGCATTAATAAGATCTCTTTTTAAATTTAAAAGCTTATCTTCCTTTTCAAGAACCATACTAACACTATATCTTTCCATATTATCTTTATCTCCTTCATTAAAATCTGGTTAAGTGATATAGAAAAAATCTATGTAAGACTAAACATAACCTTCCCCTATTAAATTGATTTAAAGTATAAATTAGCATTTAGTTATATTTCAATAAGTTATTCTCTTTCAATTTAAGGCATAATCTTACTCAAAATATCCATAGCTAAGGTTTATTTATTGACTTTTCCTCTAAACTAAATGTCGTCTTCGTTAGTCATTTATTCTTGCTACATCTTGACTCCCTACAATTTTCAATTGAAAATATGAATTCAATTAAAAACTTAAATAATAATTAGAACATAAAAATAAATATACTTTTTGATTTTTCTTTGTTGGAGAATCTCTATAGTTTTGCTCATATTCATCGCCACCTTTACTATTTCCCTAAGCTCCAGCTTTTTTAGCTGGCATTTTAATTGGTGCATATTTTTTTTCTTTCTAATTTCATTTAAAATATTTAAATAAATTGATTGTAAATCAACTAAATTGATTTAAAATGTACGCTTGTCATCTATCTGAATTATTTTATATCTTTCTAAAAATCTTTAAATTATCTAAGAGTGGTAAAAGCTAATAAAATTTATTCTTAATACTGAAATAAAATCTATTATAATTCTCTTTATAAATAGTAAAAGCTTCTAAAATTTTAGCTTTAAAATCAGTAATTGCTATCTAATTGTATATTAAGATAATTATAATAATCAATATAATTATTTGGTATTTCTTAAGCGTTTCTTTTTCAAATCAATCAAAATTTAATGTTAATAATATAAAGCTAATATTTAATCATATTTTTATTAATTATAACAGTATATCAAACGACTAAAAGGAACTAACTGAGTTGAAGAAACAAGTAAAATATATTTATTATTTCCGATTTAATGTAAACAAACATTTTCAATAATAGATTAAATGAAGAAGAATTAAATTAATGTATTATAGTTATTTAGTTCAACGAAAACATCTTAATTAATACAAATAATTATGTATGTATGTGCGTATGCATTTGTTAAAATAGTTAGTATTTGAGTTATTAAGTTTTAAGAAAGAAAGAAAAGTATTTATGCCAAAAAGTAACCTAAAACTACAACAAAATCAATAATCTTGCCTCATAGAAAACCCTCCTCAGTGAGGTTAGGAGTTCTCTAATCATTATATTCCTACCAGTTGAAGGTATTATTTCATCACAATTTGTATGAAACAATAGCACTCCAACAAAATAGGACATGTTCAAGAATTTATTTGATCTGTGTAGTCATATGTTCTTTTCAACAAAATACTTTAATATATGGAGGTGGGACGATGAGATCATCGCCAACTGCCCTATCCATAAGCAGTTGGCTCGATCAACCTCAGCAGCCTGATTCTTAGGCTTCACCCTCTCCTTTGACATTCTTCAAAGTTGTGAATTCCTTAATAATAATTATAAATTATTTAATTTAAATGTAAAAAAAAAAATTTAATTACTTCAGCATATGTAGGATGAATACCAACGACATCATCAAAGTTAGCTTTAGTTGCCTTAAACTTGAAGGCAATAGCAAAACCTTATGTAACTTCACCTGCATGAGGACCAAGATAATGGAAACCAACGACACGCTCGTCATCAGCCTTATTGACAATCAACTTGGCGTGACCCTTGTCATCATGCTTATGGTCAGAGTATGACCAATCAAGAGGAGTGAAAATTGAGTAATAAACTTTAATGTTATCTTCTCCATATTTAGTCTTGGCATCTTCTTCAGATAAACCAATGGTACCATATTCAATAGGAGTGAAAACAGTAGTTGGAATGGAGTTGTAATCCATGAGTTTAGTGTCACCATTGAACAATCTACGAGCTAAAAGTCTTCCAGCCTTAATAGCAGTAGGAGTCAATTCTGGTCTCTTGTCTACACAATCACCAATAGCGAAAATATTTTCAACATTAGTGGTCTATATAAATTTTAACAAAAATTCAATATATTTGTATTAAGTGTATAAAAATTATGTTAAAATAATTAATTTGAACAAATTTATTATTAACATCAAGTAAAGAATAAACTTATAATAAAAATATACATCGTCATCGTTAGCAATAATTTTTCCATTGGGCTTTGTTTTAATACCCATAGTCTCTACACCGATATTCTTGGTATCAGATGTTCTTCCAATTGCTAGCATAACAGTGTCGAAAATTTCTTCAACATCTCCCTAACCTTCTACTGGAGATTTCCAAACTACACGTCTTCTGCCATCAGGAGTAGCTTCAATATGGTGAGGTACAGTACCACGGATGAATTTGGTTCCGTGTCTTGCCATGTATTCACCAATTTTTTCAGCAATTTCCTAAAATTTTCAAAATTTTAAAGTAAGTAATTTATTTATTTATAAGATTCAATAATCATTTTTCAATTTTAATGCAAATAAAATGTAAATGATTAATAAATTACTTAGTCAAAACCTCTTAAGAGAATTGATCTAACCATGACAGTAACGTCATAACCAAAACCAGCTAAGAAACCTGCACATTCTAAGGCTATATAGGAAGCACCAACGACTAATGTTTTTCCAGGAGGGTTTTACATAGAAAAGATATCATCAGAAGTAATGACTAACTTTTCAGTATTAGGAATATCTAAGAATGTTGGTCTACCACCAACAGCAATCAAAATGTACTTAGCAGTAACTTATTCCTTTTCTCCCTTTCTGTTAGTAAGCTAAATATTAAAAAAAATTGATTAAAAAATACGTAAATGATTAATAAACACATTATTTCCCTCTTTATACTTTTATATAAAAATAGCATCTCTTACATAAATAAAAAAAATAGAGGAGAGAAACGATTTTAAACAAAACAATATATTTATTAATGTTTATTACTTCAATTGTATTCTTGCCTACTATACTAGCCAAGCTATTGTAGTACTTGACTTCCTTTTCAGCGAGTTCAACCTTGTAACCCCAATTCAATTTCTTGATATGAGCTTAAACCCTTTCAACCATAGGTTACCATTCATGTTTGTTTTTTTCCTTGATTTCAGTCCAACCCATATTCTTTTAAGCTTCATGACTTTCACCGTATGAGGCGGCAAAGTGCATAAGCTTCTTAGGAATACAACCGACATTAACACAAGTACCTATAATAAATATTAATATAAATTTTTAGCTATGGCTTATGTAAAACTCAAGTTTATCAACTATTGTCTTAAATAGCTGAGATATTAAATATGCTAAACATATAATTGATTTATTTATTACCTCCTAAACCCCATTTTGTGCCAACAGGAGAAGGCTTGACAAAGTCAGCCACAGCTACTCTTGCTCCAAAGGAAGCAGCTTCCTTAGCAGCTGCTAAACCTCCAGAACCACCACCAATGACGAAAAAGTCGTATTTAAATTCTACGTCCATTTCTGTCAAAACTTTTAATTTTAATTCCTTAAATAATAATTATTTTTCTTTTAATAAGTATAAAAAGTCAGATAAATACCTTAAGGTCAGTCTAATTGATTAGTTTAGAATTTTTATAGAAAAAAATTTTTAATCAATTAAATCTCTTACGCACTAAGGGATGCATTTAGACCATTATATCTTTATTAAAAATTCTGGAATTAATCTTAGGAAGATAAGCTACATTAACATTAAATGTAATATTATTTTTTCAGCAATAAGACATGAATTTATTTGTATTCGAAGCCTTTTTCTATTACAAAAAAGTTTATGTTACCCTTTATTAGCACTAAATACACTAATAATAAGAAGTTTTATGCCTTTTGCATAATAAAAGTGGATGATATATCAAAATAAATTATCAATTAAATGAAAAATATCCTTAAAATGTAAATAAAAACATATAAATTATATTTTTATTACATTAATTAGAGTTTTATTGAATATTAATGAGGTACAAAAAAACACTGAAACTTTATAATTTTAAAAATTAGGATATCTGTAAATTTTTTTATTAAAAAAAATATTATTAATCTTTAAAATAGATTATTTTTAGATATTTGATATCTTATTAAAATAATAAATATAAATATTAAAGGTATCATACAAACAAATAAACAATCCTAATAACAGTCTTTAAGAATATTAAAATAGAGTTATAATCACATATAAATAAAAAAAACATTTAATTTTTAAGTTCTATATTTAAATTTAAAATAAAACAATTCATTAAAATTATTTTTAAAAGCAAGAATGAACTTAATTTATTTATTTATTTGTTTTTAATTAATTGGTTATTTATAGATTTTATAATTTTATGTTGATATTTTTTATGTGCAAAAAATAAAATCATTTATTTTTCTAATAAATTTAAATTATGAGTATGGCAAGTAAAATTTCTTTTTATTTTGATTAGATTTAGATTAAAATATTTTAGTCTATTTATATAATGATTTAATTAACTATTTTAGGATGGTTATAATTAACGTATTCTTCTTAAGTAGTTTATAAGTAGAAAAGCAACATAAATTTTTTAAAAGCTTTGATATTTTGAAAATTAACATGAAGAGTTTTGAATTATAAAATAAATTGAAATGTAGGGCCAAAGAAATCAGTCAATCAATACAGTAATTAATATGAATTTCAATAATTGATATTAAGAGTGCATATTTTTTTATTTTAATTTAAAAATCTAACATCTTTTTGAAATTTTTTTGAGCTTGTAGTAAATATTTTTTGATTGAATATTGTTAACAAAATTTAGAGGAAATAGATAAGCAATTTATTAATTATTCAATAATTGATACAAACAATTAAATCAAAACTAGCAATTCAAAAATCATATAAATTCTATTAAAAATGGCTGCTCCTAACAGGCAATAAGATTTATTAAAGTTGATGAAAGAAAACAATGTAATAAATTATATAAAAACAATTCTAACACATTTAGATAAGCCAATCAAAACCCTATTATAATATTTATATATTTAGATATCCAATTAATTTATTATTCTTAAAACTTTTCATTCAGCCATTTGAAGCATATAAATTAAAATAACTTTTATAGTGTTGAATTTAATTATTGACCATTATTCCTTATAAAGATTGATAGAAATCAATTTTCAGAAGAAGAGCTCAAATTAATTGAGAATGGAGGGATTTCTCTTAGCGAAAGTGAAGTTGATATTGATGTAAAATTAATTGTTTCTCTTAATAAACTTTAAAATTAAATATACATTTTATCATAATTTTCAAACAAAAATTTTTAACGATAAAATTTAAATATTTTTCCAAAAGCATGATAGCTTAAGAGAATCTCTTAATAGTTCAAGAATCATGAAGCAAGAAATAGATATCAATAAAATTTAAAATAAAAAAGCTCAAAATGTCTCATTTCGTAGCAACCCAATAGTTTTACACAATACTCATGTAAGAATGCATCCTTCTGAAGCTAATTCATTTAGTTAAAACCCACCAGTAAATGGACCTGGTATCGGATTTACATCTTAAACAAGCGCTTAGCTTTAGGAATTAGATGCTCTCAATTTAAAAGCTGTAATACGAATTAAAATTGAATAATTTAAAATTTTATGTATAATCAGAGGCTATATTTATATTTATTTTTTTAAAATATCTTTTGATACACGAAATTAATATTTAAATTATTTTTATTTTAGAAATATACCTCAATTATTAGTATGCTAGAGAAATAAAACTAATTTTTGAACAATGAAGTGTAACGTATGAAGGTTTAATTTGACTAAGAAAAGATAATAATTCATAATGATCATAAAAGAGAGGAAGAAAGATTATTGAATGAAATTAAAAATTTAAGAACCAAGGCTATTCATATTGAAGGCTAAATTCCTTTAATAAAAGAAGCATTAGCTTAAGTTAGAGATATGCTCTCAGGTTTAGTACCAGAGAATGTCTACCTTCGTTTGAGGGTATATAATTAATTTTTATATCAATTTTTAAATGCAATATAATTTTAAAATACATTAAGGATTTGCCTGAAAAAGATTTACCAACTAATGAGTGGATACTCGTAAATGTTTGGGAAATGGTTTATCCCTTTAAGAAGGAGAGTGAATTATAAAAAAAAGAAATTAATAGATTAAGGGATGAGCTTAAAAGAAACGGTGACAAACAATCATAATTATTAAGTGAATTAGAACACACAAATCGTATGCTTAATGATAAAGATGAGGATTATAAAAGACACACTTTGAATTATGACAATGCAAGAAGAATGTTGGAGTTAGAACTTGTTAAACAATAGGAAGAACTCGATATTTTTAGAGAAAAAGCTGTAAAATAAATTTTATTTTATTTTGTATTTTATATTAAATATTCTTTAATTTAATAGAGTTCTTATGATGAATTAATGAGAAAATTCAAGCAGGTTGAATAAGAAAAGCTATTGTTAGAAGAAAAAATTGGTTTCTTTAACTAAGATTCAGATGGAAAACACGTTTTGAGTGATGTTTACAAGACTACTGATGATTTGAGAAGAAAGAATGATCTCTTAGTTCAAGATAAGGATTACTTGACTAAGGAAAACATTTAACTTCATGAAAAGAATAAACGTTTGGAAGATAGAATTGATAGATTGGAAAAAGATTTAATTGAAGCTAAAGACTAAGCTTAAGAATATCTGTTCTAATTGCTTAATCACAAAAATGCAACTACAGTTGACTTCGAAAAACGTATTCATAAAGAAATCTCTGAACTTAGAGAAAAGCATGCTTTCGAAATAGAAACAACTAAAAATAATTTGGTTGAAATTTATGAAAAGCAAATTCGCTTCTTAAGAGATGCTAAAGAAGAAGTAGATATCAAAAGTGAGAGTTTGACTGGATAGCTACGTGAAAAATAGAGTGCTTATGAAGGTCTTTTAATAGAAAATAGAACTTTGCAAAAAAGAGTTGAAAGTGATATGGCTGAATTGAGAATTTAGGTGAGACTTAAATCAGAAGAACTTGAAAGAATTTCTAATTTGTATGAAGAAAATCTAACAAATATCAAAGCTTAAAGGTTAGAAAATGAAATGTTAAGAGAAAAGATGATAGTCTTAAGACAAGAATACTACAAAGTAAATTTTAATCTTGTAATAATTCTCTAATCTTAAGTATTTTATTTAAAAAAGGCTGAAAATTCTCAAAAAGAAGAATATGCATAGCTTAAGGCAGAGTTAGCAGTTTCCAAGGAGTAACTTAGAAACTATGAACTTATGGAGAAGGAAATAGATGATGCAGTTATGGGATTAGGTAAATTTATTTTATACTAAAATAGTCAAATCAATCAATATTAATTTTCAATTTTATTAAATAATTTAAATAGCTGGAAGCTCTAATCCACATGATCCTGATAACATATACATGCAAACAATTTAAAGTGCCCCTACATCAAACAAAAGAAGAATCAGATAGGCTATCAATCTTGCCCAAAGATTATAGGCTAAATAAAAGGAGACAGAGTTGCTTTAGTCATAACTCAAGTTAAAGACAGAGGAATTAGAAAAAGCATAGGAAGAACTTAGAATTACAAGAGAGTTGGTAGACAGATCAAGTTAACCGTAAAAAAATTATTTTATCTTATTTTAATGTCTAATTAACAAATTTATAAAAAAGATACTCATTTGTTATATCATAAATCGAAGAAAAAGAAAAAGAAATTTTATAATACAAGCAATCACTTAAAAAGTCAGACTAAGACTACTAAAATTTAAAAGCAGAATACAATGTTTTAAGAGAAGTAAATTAATTATTGATTTCAACTATTTTCTAATTTAATTTTTTGGTTAGTAATACGAGCGTGTAGAAGGGGATGTTAAGAAACTTCTAATAAGAAGAGAAAATATTTAAAATATATAAACTCTATTAATCAGATTAGCTTAAGCAGATAAAGATAATGTCTAATCAAATGTTAGAGATATATTACAAGAAATACATGAAATATTATCAAACAAGCCTAATATAGATCCTATATAATATAGCTAGAACACAAAAACAATTCCTAAAAAATCAGCAGATTTAAATGCTAGCAGAGGTAAATTAAATTCATTCATATTTTTAGATTATTAATAAATAACAAATATTTTTTATCATAATTTTTAGTAGATTAAAATACCTCTTAATATTAAAGTGCGTATAATTAAGTTCAAAGTAGCTAATCTGGAATTCCAGCTTGGGCTAGTAAACTTAAATCTAAATTAAATAAGTGAGCTATTTTATAGATTTAAACAATAGAATAATACAAAATAAAATTTGATTGGAGAAAATAAAATATTTTGTATGAAAATGAATTAAAGGGTTTTTAGTTATTTAATTAACTAATAGAAGGTGCAATAATTAAAAATATATAAAAAAGAATCTTCAACTTTATTTTAAATTATACTTACTTAGTCAAACAATATAATTAATCTTGTTTATAAAATAATTACATACATATTCCTATATATCTTTATTTCATAAATTCTTTATTTTTCTAATAACATAATAACTATTTAAAAGTTAATTCTCAGTTTTATTATATTTTCTAAATATTTTTACGAACCTAATAAATAAGTTTTAAATATTAATTAAGACCAATCATTTTTAATTAATTAAAAATTTTATAATTTATATTATGAAGGGTGTATTTTAATTAATACATATTTGCTAAAATTGTATTTATTATAACTTAATATTGCCATTCAAATAATTTTTTTAATCAAATACAAAAATTTGAATACTAAAAATTAAGTTTCTACTTAAGAAGTTTTTCAAATGATTTTATTTGTTTTCTCATTTAATTAATCTATTTAAAATAAAATGAAAAAACAATAAATTTATATTTTTTTAATTATTTTTTGTTAAAAGATGAGGAATTTAAAATAGCATTAAATTATTATTAGATTTTAATTTTGTGGTGGTATTTTATTCTCATATAATTAGTTATCAAAAGACCTTATATATTTTTATACTTATTTAGAGAGTTTGCATATTTTATTGAGAAGCTTATAGTAAATGCATAATTAAATTAAGATTTTAAAATTTTTTATTTTTATAGACATAGATGTTATATTTTTGATGTAAAAGTGAAAAAAATATCTTCGAATTTTATAAAGCATGAATAAGATATTGATATAAATAAATCTTAAGAAAATAATCTTAGCATAATTTTTAGATATTTTTTATACCTTGTATACTTTATTTAATATAACGAAATAAAAATTTCAGATGAAAAGAAACTGTGCATCACTTTAGTCCTAAAATGTAAATCAAAGTAATTTAGGAAATAAAAAAAATACACTTAAAATAATACAAATTCATATGTAATATTTTTGATAAAAAACCTTTTTAGCTCACAAATATAGAAGCCGTAATTACTAAAGATTATTTAAGCCTTTTTAACTTATTTATGATGTATTTTATGAATTTTATTTACACTTTGAAAATAGAAAAGGAAAAATGTAAAATTTTCTAAAAACATGTGTTAAATTTTAGAGATAATAATGTATATGAAAATGATAATTTATTTGTATATTATTCATAATTATGACTGTTTATTAATTATGAGTGATTTTTTTTAAGTTTTTGGAAAATCACAATTTTAAAAGAAAAAAGACTATGCGTCACTTTTGTCTAAGATATAAATTTTAGAAATTAAGAAAATAGAAAAATTTTTCATAAAGCTTAAGATAAATTCATATGAAATTTTTTATATTTAATTTACATTTTCTTTTGATAAAAATTGAATTTTATTATTAATGATAAAACTAGTTTTTCTGTACAATAAATTAAATTTTTTCATCAATTTAGTTCTTGTTTATTATGAATTTTTTATTTTTAGTTAAAAAGAAATTTCGATTATCTATTACTACTCCATTTTGTAGTAAAAGTGTATATTAAAGAATAATATTAAAAAATTGAATAAAATTTTGATTTATGTTATAAATAATTGTAGAAATGAACGCATGCAGGCATGATAATACATATTTATATTTACAAAGATTTCTTTCTATTTTATATAATATTTAATTTAAATTAAGATTAAAATGTATTCTACACAATAAATGTGAAATATTTTTTGTATAGATATTTTTTAAAAAGAAGCAAAGCTGATATTTAGAATAAGGTAAAGAGGAGGATGGTATTGGTTGATTAATAGATTAAAAGACCAATTAATTTTTTATGATTTTAACTCTCTCATTCCAATTGTTAATATATTTTGTTTGTTAGTTTTATAGTTTGAATTTCCTTCAAATGACGCAATTTCTTATATATCAAGTCATTTATCAAAGAAATTTTCCTTTAAAAAATAAATAGTATCTATCTATCTAGTTTATTTAATTCTTAGTTTAGATGTGAAAAGCAGGATTTTTTTTTGAAGGTTGTTTACGTTCTTTTCATACATTTATAATGATAAATTTAATTATTTCAATAGGCGCTGATCTAGATCACTAAGATACAGCTAATTAATTGCTTTAAATTTCACTATTTTAATCTTAAATTGATGGGTTTTGTAATTAATTATTGTTTTGGTGGTGGACTATGCTATTGCTATTTGTATATTATTAAGAGTTATTTTGATTTCCAGTGTTACAGCAATTATCATCGTCATCGTCTTCTATAAAAGTTCTACATAGAGGACAAGTCTTTTTCTTTTAAGATGTCCAACTATCTAGACAATCAACATGGAAAAAGTGGAAACATCCTGTCAGAGTTATCGTGATTGCTGGTTTTTAATCAAGCTTATCTAGACAGATTGCACAATCATCTTGCTAATAACTTTAGGCAAGTGATTTAATGAAAAACTATTCAGGATAATGGCAAGCACCAACAGTAAAGTTGACACAAATTATAGTCATGCAAGGTCCCCCTATTAATTGTAAACTAAATTAGCCAGCACTGAATATTTTAAGAACCTAAACAGCTAAATGGAAACTTCCAAGCTATTCAATATAAGCAGCAATGTCGCTCATATAGGTAGTCTAAAAGGTATAAGTGAAATTTAAGAAGTAGGCTATAATTGCATAGCAAAATAGAAATAAGAAAACAAGTATAACTGCTGGCCATAAAATACTTGACAAAAAGTTTGATTGTAGTACCAAGTAGATATTCCATCCTAAGCAAAGTAAAGGAACCAAGAAAGGTACCCAGAATTTACCTTCTAAGAAACCTTGCATAAAATAGTGTGAAGCAAAGCCATTGCATAAAATTGTTACAAACTGCATCTTTTCAGACCAGAAAGCTAATTCAATGAAGCGCCATACACTTTCACAATACAGCTAATTGAGAAGAATTATATGGCATATTTTCTTTTATACGATTATAAAAAAGCAAACTAGTTTTTTAATAGGAATAGACATTGAAAATATGCTATTAAAATATGCATCAACATCCTTGTTAATACGCTCATCAAGCTTATATAGTTTTGAAACCAAAAGGACAACTAAGCAATTTTTTATAAGTTGATCAAATTCTGCAAGTAGAACCCAGCAACACAGTGTTATCAAACACAACAACAAGAATTTGTCTGCATTTGTTTCTAAATTTAAAGATTGCATCATGATGGCTTAATCCTGAGTTAGGTTTAAGTGTTTATCAGATATAATGTCAAATAATTTAAGCTTAGGCTAGATTTTGAAAATGATTTTACAACAGATTCTATTTAATCAAGTAAATTGGAGAAATAGTTTTGTTTGAATGGTTTTGTGTAAGCTTCCTTAGCAAAAAATTGAAGTTATTTTTAAACTATATCAGTATTTTCTTTTGTAGTTGAAAATTTTGATATGTTTTTGTTTGTATTGTTTATTTTTCTACTTAATTATTTTTTTGCTTAAAAATGTTTGACTTTTAATATTCTTTATATCTTCCTTACTTCAAATATCTAGGCACATAAATAATGACAAACAAAAAATATAGATTAATTCATTGTCTAAGCTTGATTTTTATGAATCAAAATTAACAAATTGAATAAATAAATATATGAATGCATGCATGCATGCTTGATAACTATGATAAAAAGTAACAAAATTTATCGTTATGCATTCTATTTTTTCTATTTAAAAACTCTTTTGTTTTATTCATTTTTACTCAATAAAAAGAGTAATTATTATTCGTTTCTTTTATTTTATTAAGGAAATATATAAATAGTACTAATTAAATGACCCCATAAGCAATTAATTAACTTGCATTCCTTTTATATTTCTAAGTATTGCTATTATTATTTTTTAAATTCATTAGTAAATTTTTGCCTCTTTCAAAATTTATTTGTCCCTAATGTTGCCAGTATACATAAAATTTCTTTCATTCATGATTACTATTTTTAACTTAAATTTATCTTACATTTTTTGAGACAAAAATTTAATTTCATCAAATTGAAAATACTTAATTTTATGTAAATAAATTTAAATCAATTTTGTATTCTAAATATGATAATTAAAATTCGGTTCAAAAAATTTAAATCTTTTTAAATAGAAGTGTTTATTTATTATTAATTTCTTAATCATAATAACAAAAAAATTTAAATATTTTTAATATCAGAAAGTAGGTTTTTGGAAACAACTATTTGACTCTTTCAAATCATCAATTATCAAATTGTTTTTATAAAAATCCCACAATAATAATAGATTATAGATTAATTTGTATTTGAAACTTTAAATAAACTTTTTATGAAATTATTTTTAGATAAATATATAATTAGTAAATTAATTTTTATAAATAGAATTTATTTGTAAAACTATCCACTCCTTTTCTGTATAAACTATATTTATAAATATTTTAAAAAAAGACTTGATTTCAATAAACAAGAAAATATCTGTTACTCATAATAATTACTTAACGGTGCTGCTTTCAAAAAAAATTAATCCAAATCTACTACATTTTTATACATTCATTTAAAATTAAATAAATTTTATTTTATTTATTGATGAAATGAATAAAAAAATTAGAAGTTTTGTAATATAAAGATGTTAACTTAGTGTGAATATTAATTTAATAAAATCCTTATTTATTATATCAATAGTCTTAGTGAATACTAAAACTTTCTATTTTAAAGTATAATCTAACCAGTTTGTAAATAATTTCTCACAAAACATCTTCTAATATGAACCAATATTAAAAAAAAAATTTGATTTTTTTAGCCATTTTATTATTAAATAGGATATTTACTATTTTGAAAATATTTATTCTTAAAATAAAATTTGAACGAAATAAATTATATAAATATTTTAATAAGAATTTATTTAATTTCAAATAAGTGATAATAAAAAATGGTATATATTAAATAAAAAAAAACATTTTTAATAAATAAAATTGATGAAATTGTTAAAAAGAGAATAAAAAATAGATAAATTTAATATTCGTAAATTTTATTACTTAAATTTCATAATTTTAAAAGAAATTCATATAATATATAGATTTTTTATTATATAATAAGTACATAATCACAATATTATCAAATAAGTTAAATCTTGTATTATTTTGTATTAGTTCGAGGAAGTATAAAGTATTAAAGTGAGTGTCAATTTTAGAAAAAAATTTAAATTTTAGTAAATTAATTTTAGACTGATTTATTAAATTAAAGTTAACAAAAATAAATCCATGCTTTACATTAAAATTAATTTAATTTTTTAAATATTATTTTTTATTAGAATCTAACTCAAAAATTAAATTTTGATATTTAATTAATATTTTATTTTTAATGACACATTTCATTTTAAATTTATTTTAACAATCCAAGAAATAATTCAAAAAAATTAATGTAAATTTTCGAAAATTTATAAATATGATAAAATATTTTGATTAAATTTATGTTTAAAAAGGTGTACTGTTTTTATTTAAAACAGCTTATTTAAAAATTGTTTGATTTTTTGAACTATTACAGTACCTATGTTTATTTTATTTATGAAAACACAAATATTTACTTTTATTTTGTAAATTAAAAAATTATTTTATAATTAACAATCTTAATTTTAAACCTTTAATCAATAAATTTTTTTGTTTTGTCAGAGTAATTAGTATTTATTAAAATAATAACTAATTTTATAAAAAGATAAAACATTACTTCCAAATTAACTCTTTTAAATCCTTAAATTTATCAAATTTGTTAAATCTTTTTTTATCAGATAAAAAATAACATTAATAAATAAATAATAAATATTGTAATTTTGTATAAAATTATTGTGTAAATTTTTCAATTAATTTATAATTAATATCCTTATAGTATATTTTTAATCAACAACTTATCATGATTATAGTTTATTGATATTCTATTAAAATAATAATTAATTTTAAATTCATTAAAAATAATTCTAAAAAATTAATTTAAACATTCTAAATGCTTTTTAAATTAAGATAAAAATATTTATTTATATCAATAAAAAATACTAAAAATAAAATATAAATCTTGCTAAAAATTTCTATATGCTTTTTATTAACTTTCACTATTTTCTTATACATCTAAATCCAAATTATAATGTAGATAATAATATTAATTGCTATTCCATTTCTTCTTTCATAATCATTTTGTAATAGTGGTTTGCTTAATTTTGATTTCATCATTTTGTAATTGATACAAATAAACATTTATTAGTTTATCCTTGATTTCAAGAAGCAAGAATGAAGGCAAGGCATTTCTATTATTAATATAAAAATTATAAATTAGATTAAACTTTTTTAAGATATCCTTAATAAATTTAATTATTTTAAATTAAATTACCTCTTCAAAGGACTGTAAGCACCTGTTATGGTACCAGGATTCAAGATGTATTTTTTATCAACCTTGCTAGCTATTTGATCATGGGTATGTCCGCTAATCAAAATATCAGCATCTAATTCTCTTAATTGATTATATAAAGCTTCTTCATCTCCCCAAGGGACAATCTAATTACATATAAAAGCTCAGTTAAAACATATTTGCTTAATTTTCAATATCTTTACTTGATGGCCATGTATAATTGCAATCTTAAAAGAGCCAATAGTAACAACTTTGAATTCAGGGTATTCAGTATTCTAAATTAATAATTTAATAAAATGTAAAATCTGTCTTCAACCTAAAAATCTGCTTTACTTCATCAAAATCACCTTTAACAATGTGGCATTGATTAGAAATAGATTTTATCCAATCATAAGTATCTCTTGATCCAACATTACCAGTGCATAAAACGTATTAAATCTTGTTGGGAAGCTTTTATTAGTAAAAGAAATAATTAACAATCTAACATAACAAACAAAATATAGTTAAAGATTCTGAAAATAAATCATTTTTAATTTTTATAATCTAATTTTAATTACGATTAGCTCCTTGAATTGCTCAGGAATATCGGTTGCTCTCATAGGAATATGGAAATCTCCAAAAACGACGGCTAACTTTTTGAAATAATAAAATTTGTCATCAATTAAAAGGTTTTCAGATGATCTAAAAATAATGATTGAAGAAGGAGTGAAGCGACTTGTTAATATGTTAAAAACATATTCGCTTTTTTGATTTAATAATTGCTATACTAAATGTTTAAATTAACTCATACTTCGCCGAATTCTTCTTCATAGTGTTCACCAGCGTCTTCCATTTTAATATATTTTTACTTCCTAGTTTTATATTTATTTATAACCCTAATAAAATACCAAAAATTTTTGTTTTCTTGATAATAATTTGTATTTAGATAGACCAGAAACAATTAGATAAATAGGTTAGTTAGTTAATAAGTCAATCGATTGTTTTTTGTTAATAATCGTGTATCTATTTCTTTAAAAGATATGTCATTCATTCATATTCTATTTATAAGATTTTCATCAAATTAATTTATCAAAAAATAATAAATACTACAATAAAAACATTAATTTATTATCTTTATCAGGATTTATATATAAAATCTATTTATTTCTTACAATTATTTTCATTCATTTAAATGGTCACTATGTTTAGTTTTCGCTCATGTAAATATTTGAAAAATTCTTTTTTTTAATTTAAATTTACTTTAAGGCATATGTTCAATAATTTAGACAATTATTTATTTATTAATATTCTAATTAAATAAAAAATTGAGAAATTTTAGAATATTTATCATTTTATTTGAGAATTTACAACTATTAATTAGAATCTATTATTCTAATTAATAAGTTAAAACATTTAAAATTTGTAAAAAGCTTTATTTTTTTTAAATTAAAAATATATTGATTGCTTTTTAAAAATAAAGAAATTAAATTAATAAATATTTAAAATATTTGTAAATTAAAATAAACCATTATAATAAGCACTATTTAAAATTTTTGTTGTTTTTTATTGAGTGAGTTATTAATAATAATAAAAAAATTGCCAAAGAATGATGGAATTAAAAATATTATAATTTAATATTATTAAAATTTTAAAAATTTAAATTTCATTAGGAGTTTAAATGATTGTGTTTTGGCATGATTAATGTAGGTATTTTTTTAAAGAAATATTTTTTTTTATTCATAGTTAGTTTTAATGAAGTAAAAAGTGCTAGAAAATTAATAATTCAATCAATCAAATTTATTGAATTAATTATGTATCAGAAAAATATATAATTATATATAAGTTTTATGAGCGTTTAAATAAAAAAAGCTGTGTTTTTATACAAATACTTAACTCAATTAATTTAAATAATGCTAATCAAATAATTATCCAATAAAAATTACATTGCACAATAGTTTATATGTAATTAAATAAAAAATTGCATTTGCATTTGAATAAATTACTCAATATTTGTAAGTAGAAAAACACTGATTAATAGAAATAATAACAAAAAAAGCTTTATTAATTGAATAGCATTCCATACTACTTAAAATATGAATAGGTTTAATGAAGATGTTGAAGATCACTAAAATATAGAATTTGATGAAAATTCTGACTAGAAGTCATTTTAGTTTTATGATGGTGTAAATTAGAATTTCAATTTAGTAGATGAAAGTGATCTCTAGTTATAAGATGATATCATTCATTTGAATGAACAACATCTTAAAGATAAAGAAAAATAAAATTTTGAAACAAAAAACAAATGTTAAGAAAATTGTGTATATAATCGCAAACATTTATAGAAGTTAGTTGAAGAAAGTTTAAAAGAAAAATATGAAAGGTACTTCTTTTTCTATTTTGCAAAGCCAATCAACGAAATATTAAGCAATAGTCCAGTGCATCATGTTGTACTTTTTAAAGAATATTTATTTATTGACGATAACACTGAATATGCAAAAAGATTTTATTTTGAGCATGAAACAAAGTAGAGAATAGAATAGCTTGCTAACTTTTACAAAAAAGTCTATCCACCTATTCGTCCTAATTATTTTGGATGTCTAAAAGCTTTTAATGATATCATTTAATAAAACAAATATAATTTAGATGAGTTATACTACAAGTAGGTTAAAAATAAACAGGTTTCCTCATCTGATTGTAATAATTTTAAATAAGATGAATTACATTTAGAGAACAATGGATCTATTTATGGATATTAGTTGGATATTTAAAGCGATTCAAATTTTACAGAGTCATAATTACACAAAGAAAATATTAACTAGTCCAGTTCAAACAATTTAAATAGTTTTTAAAATGAATAGTGTGATAATATTTAAAATGAATAAGGATAAAATAAAATATAATCTTAAATTAAAACCAATCAATAGTAAAAAAACAATGAAAGAAATTAAATTAATTTAAATTAATAAAGAAATAATTTTCAAATGCTATCTTTACCTAAGAAGCTGCATTAAGAAAATCAAAATGACAGTCTTATTGATTAAAGCAATTAGTCTTTGAGTAGCAATTTAGTTTAGCTTGAAGAGGAAGATGCTAAGACAGATAATTAAGTTAAGGGTAAAAATTACCAAGGCATACCATAAATAGACTAAAAAGAATAACAATGTTTTATCAATAATTATAATACTGAGTCTTACAAAAAGATGAAAAATGAATCGCCTGATGATAGGGTTAAATTTAATTAATTAAATTAAATACAATTTTCAGGGTAATGTCAAGTGAGAGAACTGGCAAATTCCTAAAACAAAAAAGAAAGTAATTAACATTAAGATAAAAAAATTGATAATAAGAATAGAGCTAACTATAACTACTTCAAAAACAATGAAAATATACCAACACATTAATAAAACATTTAAAAAACTGAAGAAGAAAAAGATAATATTTAGTTTAATAATAGTCATAGTTAATGTGATGAGCAAGATGACTTTGAGGATATGCTCAATATCCTTCACAGTTAAAATCTAAAAAAATTCGAAAATATTCAAAATATCGAATTTGAAGGCTAAAATGATTTTAGCTTGCATTCTAATGAGTTCATGGATCAAGATAATTTTGGATTTGGAAATTAAAGTGATGGAATTTATTGTGATAATTAAAAATTTTACTAGAAGTATCTTGATAAATAGAATGATAACTTATAAACATAGAATGACTAGTTGTTTGCCTAAGAAAATTATGAACATGAACAAAGAGAGCAATTTTACTAAGATCTTAAGTAAATTGATAAAAGTAGCCAATAATCTTAGAGTGATATAGAGTAGCAAGATAATGATGAAGATTATCTTAGCAGCTAAAGATCTGAGGAGGATTAAAATCATAACAATATTTTTGGAGAAAATTCATTTATGAAGTAACTAAATGAATATGAGATAGAAAATAGCTTTGAAACTGATACTTTTGATGTTTATAACCCTTAATTTAGCTCAGATTAACGTTAAAAATCGCCAAGTTACTAGTTATAGCAAGAAGAAAAGAATCTTTTCAAGTAAGTTAGTGACTTGTAGGATATAGATGATTTGATGGAAAGATATGCAATAGGGGAAGAAGGTTAAGAATTTGTGTGCAGATGTGCTGAATTTGCTTAAAATAAGCAAAATAATTCGAATAAATTATTTGAAGAGCAAGAAAAAGGTTACTTTTAAAGAATAGAAAATACTAAGGAATAAAGAAACTTTTTAAAATAAGATTGCAATAGTCACAGAAGTAAAAATAGTGATAATAGTAACATTAATTTGTAGCAATTAGTAGGTTAAATTGATAATGGCTAGATTAAAAAAGCTGCTTCAACTTCTTTATCTAAATTAAAGAATCACTCCAGCACTCCCTCAAATTAAAATAATAATCCTTCCTGTTCTTCTATGAAATCATCTCAACATCAGCAACAACTTTAGCCTGAAGATTATCAGTTTTAATTATTACAGCAATCTCTATAACAACAAATTTAGCAATAGCAAACATATATTTAATAAAATAATGGATAATAAAAATAAAAGTCACCTGTAAAAAAGTAGCAATTTTCTGAACAACAAAAATAAATAACAGATTCATCTCCTGCAGAGAAACTATATGAAAAGGACTATGTATAGCTAAGCCCAATATTAGCACAAAAAAGCTAAAACTTCAATGAGATGCTATAAGTCTAGATATAAAACTAGATGATGATAAAATAAAAGTTGGAAAAGCAAAAAGGAGATAATTTGAATAATAAAATCATTGAGTAGAACTAACAGTACTTTTCTAATTACGATTTAAAAATTGATGCAAATAGTTAATACAAGCAAAATTAATTGCTTCAGCAATCCCAAACTTCTAAGCTTTTAATAAACTAACTTCAGCAATCCTATTCAAATAAAAACATTTAGAATCCAAATGTTTCTCTTACAAATAGTAAAAATATGAATAGCAATAATATTAGCAACAGCAATAACAATAATAATTCTAAAATAGACTAAAACTCTTAAATTTATTAATCAAATATGCAATTTTAATAGCAGTAAACAAAGCCATTTTACAATAATACATAGAAAAAATTGGCAAGCCAATTAGTTTTTCAAAACAATTTGTTAAATTAGTAAAATTAAAGTAGCAACTAACAGCAAAAATTCTTTAAATAAAATAATGAGTTAAGCATGAACAGCAATTAGTAATAAAACGCTTCTTTGCAACAAGGAATTAACTCTCAGGGAATAGATTCATCACCATCAATAGTTGCAAGCATAATTAAATAGGGACAGAAATCAAATGAAGCTGGGAATACGAAAAGTAAAATAATATTTTTTAAATTTGAAAGTAAAATTAAATTTTTTAAAATAAAAGAATCATAAAAGAAACTAAATTAAAATGAGCAATAGAATTAGTCCTGCTAAAATAATTTTTAGTAGAGTTCCAAAACCAAAATAAATTCAAATAACTAGCCATAAAATAATTTCCATATAAGTCCTTTATAATCACTTCATTAAATTTCAGGAGCATCAAATAGCTAATAATAAGTTATCAATTAATCTAAGAATAATTTGCAAAATAAAAGCAATAACTTCTCTCAGCACAATATTAAGAATAATTTAAGTAAAGGCCATAATCCTTCACCCTAATAGCAATTAAATATTTTAGCTTTAAATTAATAGAATTTTAATGAAAAGAGCTAGTCTTATAAGGCATACAATTAAATTTCTTCATAATAGTAATTTTTTCATCTACTTAAAAAATAGATTTATTTTAAATAAAATTTTTTTTTTTAGTAGCAACAACTAAAGTAAATTAGACTTAAAGAATACTACTTCTTCTTTAATCGCATCTGCCACTCCTTCTCAGAAGGGTTTAAGGTAAAAAATAATAAAATTTATTCTTAAATTAAAAATTAATGATTATGTAGTAATTAATATTAGAATTAGTTGGTTACTTCTCAGCCTAATCCTTCAAGTTCTTCAAAAAGCAGAGCTAAGATGCATGGTAAGGAATAAAGAAATATCAACCAGAATAATCATGGAAGCTGCAGCCTTTCAAACATCAAAAAGTAAAATGCTTCAAACTAGCTAGAGTGTTAAACATTATGTTTATAAACTAATTCTTTAACAAAATCTCATCACATCCCTTCTCAAACAGAATAGTTTCAACAAGATAATGTTTAATAATTTTAGTCTCCTAGCGATTTAAACAATTTGACACACAGTAAGAATAACCCAAGCAATCAAATGGCAGGAGAAAAAAAGAATAACGAACAATCTCTTATAATTTTTGGAAGTTAGCATTAAAAAATTGAGTAATAGCACTACTAGTATACTTCACCTCCTTAAAAGCGTTAATATGATAACAAATCTATGTCTCTACTTGGAGCAAACAATAAATAAATAAACAAATCTATTTCTCACTCAACAAACTTTTTTTAGAAAGATGAAGGAGGAGTAAGAAATTCTTAAGCACAATAAAGTACCATCAAAATGAGAGACTCTTCAAAGAAAAACTCTGATATAATGCAAGTAATAGGATCAACTATTGCAAATGAAAGTAATCAAAATATTGCTTTGATAAAATAAGCATCAAAAGAAAACATTACTCAAAAATCAGACTAAAATAATAAAATTCAAAATTCTATTTTAGCATCAAATTAAAATAATAAATTAAGAGCGTTAAATATCGAAGTTCAAAGAAGAATAAGCTTAAAGCATCAAATAATTAAGGAAAATAATCTCTTTATTGGAACTCATAAAAATGTATCCATAGATAGAGACTCAATACCTTCAACAAGTTAAGATGGATAAATTCAGTCTAGATTTGATTAATTTAACATTTCAAGAAAACAAAACTCTATGAAAATGAATTAAAAGAGATTTCCTCATTTAAATAATTCTGTTGGAGATCCTTCTTCAATAGATAAAAAATAAGATATTAGCAATGTTGTGTCCATTCTCGATTCAAATAGGGAAATGTAATACAGCAATAATCCTCATCATAATTAGATTGTATAGCAGTTGCTTGCCTTAAACTAAATTAATCCTCCTATTGCTGACTAAGGATTTAAAAAATCTTCTTAAAATTTCCTTCATGCAGCAAGTAAAAATAGTAATTAAAATATAATCGAATCAGCTACTAAATTAGCAGCAAACGTATATTCTTAATCCAGCCATAAAAACATTAAAAATATCCAAAACCATATTATAAATTCTGGATCTAGTTAAGTCGCTAACTAATATAACTATAGCCGTTCATTTGTTTAGACAACTAATAATAATCCTACAACTAATTTAAATTAATGTTTGACTTCCTAACAAAACAGTCGGATTAATTCCCAAGAAAAAGTATTTTCTCGATTAAATAAAAACAAATCCTTAGATGAAAACCTAAAAAAAAAGAATAGTTAAAGCAATATATTAAATTAATCAAATGCACAACAAATAGATAGCAATAGCACTGCATAAAGATAATAATAGTTTAATTCATTAAGTAACAGTTTACCAAATAAAAAACTTAAGTAGCATTATTATCCTTTATCAAATACTACTTCACAATATTAAGGGCATGCATAAGCAGCTTCACATCCAATTTTCATGTCACCTCAGTTCAAAAACCAAAATAACACTTTTTAAAACTCAGATTAATTCTAATTAGATAACAGTAATGCCTTTAATAGAGCTGCAACATAAAACACTGCCCAAACAGTTTCTTATTGCAATTAAAAATAAAATTAACAGCTATTCGATACTGATTCAACTCAAATAAGTTAAATGACATTACAACATAAAAATAGAACCAAGTAAAATATAATACCCTTCAATTCATAGATTTCATCATCACTATAGCAATCACTGTAATCAAGCTATTAATTTAAGCAAACTGCTTAAAATTCATAAAATCAATTCGATGAAATTCTGATGATAGGTAATTAGTTTATTTTTATTATTTTTCCTAAAATATCCTTTTTTAAATCAATATTTTAAATTTTTGAAAAAATAAAAATTTTTTTTCTTTTTATTTAATAAAAAAAAATTTTGAAAAAACAATAAAATTTTTTTATTAAAAAAATACAGATAACCCAATATCTTCTCCTAGATTTAAGAAAATAAAATCAATAGATAAAATATTTAATTAACATGAGCAATTACAGCAAAATATTAACGAAAATGTAAGCCCAAGTAAATCTTCAACTCCTTCTCAAAGTAATACTTCTAATCAACAATATATTGCAACTTTTAGCAATTTAAATGAAAAAGAAAAGCAGAGTTCTGGAAATAAAAATAACATTAAATAAAGCTAAAAAAAATAGCACTTCCATTATAATAACACTGCTAATTTAAATTTAAAAAAGAATAATTTCCTGAAATAGTAAGAAGCATTAAGAAATAGCTAGCAATAATAATTTTCTATAGGAGATGGATTAAGCCAAAATAGCTCATATGGCTTTTTAACATCAAGATCTATGAAAAAATCATTAAAAGAGGGATAAGCTTCATAAAAGATCTAAGTTTAAGAAAGTCCTTATAATATGGATAACATTAAAGAAACAAGTAAATCTCTTTAACAATAACAATAGTAACCATAGTTAAATTACATTCTAAATAACCAAAATAATTTCAAATAAAATAATAACAATTTAATTAAAGCAAAATAATACCAGTATAATTAAAAATAATTGCTTAATTAGATTGAAAATTATGAAGATGGCCAAGCTTCTTCTAGATAAGAATCTATAAATAATATCATTGAACCTAACAAATTTTTCACATAAAATGTGCAAGGAAATACAGAATTTCGAAATTAAGATTAAGAATATGGTTAATTATTGATTCAATAGTAGGTTTAACAATAACAACAAAACTAAAACTCAAATTAAGTGATTATAAACTTATAAATTTAGTAATATCCTTCTGCATACATAAGTTAGTCTTAATTTTAAGGCTCATAAATGAATGTAAGAAATTAGTAATAAATGAGTATCTTAAATTAAAATATAGATTTTAATTAGCATAATACTCACCCTAACTAATACTAACAGTAAATAAGTGAAAATTATAGCAAAATTAAGAATGATTTAAAGTAAAATGCATTAGATATAATTAAAACTCAAAAGAGAAAGAAGTGATAAGATTTTATTATACAATTTATAACAAATTAAGCTTTCTCTCTATTAAAATTAAGCTGAGTGAATATTTCAATTAAATACCAAAATTTGAAATGTAATGTTAGTTTACATAATATTTATTAAGTAATACTAAATCTTTAGACGACATAAAAAATATATCAAATTATTTATTATTTTCGAATTATAATTTAAGTAACTAATAATTAAACCAAAGTTCTATTATTTATATTAATGTAATTAAAAAATCACAGCCCATCAAAGTATATTTTATTAAATATTAATAGCGTTGAGATAATTTATAAAAAATTTTCTTTACAATATCAATCTTTATAAAAAATAATATAGATTGATTGATTGATAGATAAGACCTAAATTATTCTTTTTCATTTTGCATATAATTGCAAATTTATAAAAATTATAATATTAATAGATTCTTAAAAAATGTAAGTTTATTCATTTATTAGCATACTACTCAAAAATTGTTCATATCTTGATTTTTATTGGATAAAAATATTTTTGAACAGTTATCATTTATTTTTAAGCCAGAAGCATAAATTTGTTCTAATTTCATTTAAAGGATGGGCTCTTTTTAAAAATTATCCATTTTTTTCAAAATTAACTTTTTGGAGATTAGATATAGAAAGATTTTATTTAATTCTCTACCAGAAAGTTATCAAAATCTTTAAATTTTTGTTTGAGTTTAAAAATTTTTTACATAAAAAAAGATTGTAATATAATTTTTAAATCTTTTAATTTTTTTAAATTATCAGTAATATAATAAATAATAAATAGTTAATTCTTATCACTATTCAAAACAAACAAAATAAATAAATATTAGGTATATACAAATCAAAATGAATTCTAGGCCACCCTAAAATAACCAATAAAGAAAGTCAATAGACTAAAATTATGCAAAAGCTGTTAAAGAATGTAATATTTGGTTGTTTTTCATTGAATTCAAGATTTTAATATATCTACAATTTATAAATAGATATAGTTAGTAAAATCGATAGAACAGGCTCTTTGACTCTTTCAGAAACTACTGGAAAATCAAATTCTAAGAGAGGATCAATAGATGGCGGTCCTTCTTAAATGACCCATTCTGCTAACAATGGTTCTAGAAGGTCTTCTAGATCTGAAAAGAACACAGATTTGCCTCCTGCTAAATTAATTGATAATTTTTTGAGCAGCAGTATGAAGAATCAAAAAGCAGATTTAGAAAAATTAAGTAACATAACAAACCCAACTGAAACATAAGAGGACATGAGTACAATTTCAATGTAATTTTCTAAGGAATATTGTTATAATTTTCATATAAAAAAAAGTATTTTATTAGCAGAAATATCTGTAAAATATTTCTTATTCTCTAAAGTTTTAAAGTTTGAAAACAAAATGAAGAGAAATTTAAGATAAAAAGTTTGATTGAAAAATTTATATTCAATCTATTAACATTTTTTTGATGCAGATATCAATACGATTTAACATAAAAATAAATAGATTTTATAAATATTAAATTTGTAATTAAATAAAAATAATAACTTATTATTTTACCTTAAAAGCAAATAAACAGATCTACTAAACAATAATTAAGAATAGCAAACAAACTTGTTTCCTGATAAGCATATTTATGAAAAGTGCTCTTTTTAGATTGGAGAAGAAAATAAAATTTACTGTTTACGTTATGATTTCGATGATTATTTTGTAGCTGTTGCAAGCTAAGATGGTTGTGTTAGAATCCTATTTGAAAATAAAGGTACTTTTTTTGATATAATACTATGAATAAATTCTTACCATTAAATAATTATTTACTAAATTAATATTATATTATTAAAAAAGGAACATTAGCTTATAATTTATAAGATTTTACTGAAAAACCTCAACCTGCTACCTGTGTGAGATGGTGCCCAAATTAAAGTACAATTAAGCATGGTTTATTAGCTACATATTCAAATGGAAAATGCCTCTTTTGGCATGCAACATCAAGCCAAGTTTTATCTAGATATGAAGAAGCAGGAAATGATATTAATACTTGTGATTTTACTCCAGATGGCAAGCATTTTATTACAGGAGGTTCTGATTCTAAAGTAAGACTTTATGACATTGGTAAAAAAAATCACACAGTTTTTACATCTGGACATTGTCCTGAACATAAAAATAGAATTTTTGCAAGTAAATTTATGGATGAAAACTCTTTGCTAACAGTAATATTTAAATTAATTTTATTGTTCTCAAATATTAATTAAATTTTTTTTTACAGGCTGGATGGGATTAAAGTGTCTTAATATGGGATACCAGAACTAAATCTTCATAAGGATACATTTATGGTCCCCTGGTATGTGGTGATGCTTTAGATTTTAAAAATAACACAGTATTAACTGGATCATGGAGAAATGAGAAATAATTATAGCTTTGGGATATAAGAAAGACTAATAGATCAACAGACATTGTTTGGGAAAATCACTCTGATGATCCATCTCATTAAAGTTTTATCTACAGTTGCTAATTCTCTAAGACAGACTCTAACTATATTATGGCTGGTTCAACTGGCACATATGAACTTAGGTTGTTTGATCGTTAAAACAATAATAGATGTATTGATGCATTAACAGAAAATATCACAAAAGGTATATTTTCTCTTGATTGGGCTAATCAAAAGTCCAAAGTTACTTATGGAACTTCAGATGGTCGTTGGGCTTATGGTGAAGTTTATTGAAGTATTTCAAATAAAGGCAGGCAGGCATACAGACTTATTAAATTAAAAATATAAATTACAATTATCATAAAATAAAAATATAAATAAAATAATTTATTATTATTAAAATATCATCAAAATCAATAATATATTTCTTTATCAATCAATTAATATATTTTCTTTGTAACTTTAGTTTTTGCTTTCTATTTGTAAAGCAATTAATTATTTTACATCTCTTTAAACTAAAATAAGTATAAATAAATAAAAACAACATATCTGTTTACAAATAAAGAAAAATATCTTTTTTAAATATTAAAATTATTATATCAAAGAATTATATAAAACTAAAAATTAATTTTATAAATTTTAGATCTCAGAAGGTATATAATTTATACTTATATTTTCTCTTTAAAGTTAAACTTACTTTACAAATTAATTGTATTTTATACATAAAATAAATGTGGAAAATTTCTAAATATTTGTTTAATCATTTTAAATTATTCAATAAAATATTTTTTATCATAATTTTAAAACTAAATTTAGAAAGTTATTAATGTTATTTTTATGCATTTAATTATTAAAATGAAATAAGTTAATACAATTAATAAATAATAGTAGATAGATATTTAATAAAGATGAGATATGTATTATGTCTGTATGGATTATTTTTTTATTTTTACAATAAAACTGCAGCTGCTTAAAAATAAAATAAAATTATATTTATTATTTCAAATTTAGTTTTTTCTAGAATTTAAAAGCTATTATTAGAAAATTTTAGATAAAATGTCTGGATGAGGGACCTAAGAATTTTCGTTTATAAATTAGGGTCTCCCAAGACCTCCACTTAGTGGGTTTATGTTTGGAGGTATATTCATTTATTGGGAAGGATTTTATTAAAATTTAGATTAATTAAGATTAACTTATGATAAGAATTATTCTGGAGTAGGGAGGTTCGCATAAATTGAGTTTTTTTAAATTTATGCACTTGGCATTTAAGCAGCTCCGAACTATTATTAGTTATATACACTATTTGCAAATTATTGAGGATTTTATTAATTAAATGAATTTTTTCTCTGATTTGCTGCTTCAATCAAATACTGCATATCTGGATTTTAAATATTATTATCTATCATATATTGATTTTACAACTTTTATTATTTTATTGAATTTTCTAATTATTCTATTTTTTTTTCTAAGTATTTTTATTCTTCTTTTGTTTCAGTGGATACCTTTTCTTCTTATATGTCAGAATATTCACTTTCATCTGAAGATTCATCAGACCTTTTCTTTTTTTTACTTTTTCCTTTATTTTATTTTCCATCCATATCTTAGATCATTTTCATTAACATTTCATTTTGTTGCTCTATCCTATCTATAATAGGATTAAATTTACTTTCTTTTTTATGTGTATTCTAATTGTTGAAATTTTATTAAGACATATTTTATTATTGAATCGGGATGTTCTAAGCTTATGTTTATGGATCATAGTTATAAAACCTGTTTATAAAATATTAATAAATCTATTTCTAAAGAAATAAAATAAATAAGTGAGTTATTACTGATTATTTTGTGGTTAATTTAAAGCCAAAGATGCTGCACTCTTAAAATGATTATTTGGCTATATATAACTATTTTATCTTGAATTTAATCGAGGTTCTTAAAATTATTATTATCTATTATATGATTGTTAAGAAGGAGGTATTTATCTCTGAATAGTGTTTTAAGGAGTAAAACCTGCATTAAATTAATGCATAAATTAATTTAATGAATCTCCACCTTATAGCTGATTTTATTTTGAGTTATCTATAAAAGACTACTTATATGAGAAGGGAGTATTTTTTGAGAGCATCTCAAACTCATTCAACATGTCTAAATGAGACAATCCTTACTACATATTTAAATTTCTATCTAATTACTGTATTTTCCCTTCCTTAAATTAATCTAATTCAGACTTCATTTATTCACACATTTATTACAGCTGTATAATTCTCTATTGTTACATTCTCATAATATTTTCATTCTGCTAATTTTTTATCTAAACAAAAATTTATATAAGATAGTAAATCTATTTAAATAAATATTTTACTTCATTTTATGCTGTTAAGTATTGCATTTATAAATTCATATCCATTATCATTTTTTCTAAAGAACTATCATTTTCTAACATATTTTAAGCTTAAACAATAAAATATTATTAAATAATAAACATTTGTTTGCAATTACTCTAATATCTTTTAATGATTTTATATATTAATACTTACAATATGTTGGCAAATTATTTTATGAAGATTATGTAACCATATTTTAAGTATATTGTTAAGTTTATAGTGGCATTTAAGAATCTGATTTTAGCTAAGTTTTGCTTGGTCTAGACCGTTTAGTAGATGTGCCATCCTGTTTATTTTAAGTCAAATAAATAAATCTAATTTCGCTTCAATCATTACTCTGAATTTAAACTTAAATTACTTATAATTGTCCTCTAGATGCCATTTTATATTTTATTATTTACTATTTTAAAACTTACTTTTGAATGAAAAATATTTACAAATCAATTAATTATAAAATCATAATTTAAAGAATAATTGGTTTGTTTATTACTGGTTAAATCGATTGATTTTTTCAAAGTAAATTTATTTTACAACAATATCAAACGCAAGCTATTTTATAATTTTTCAAGTGTAAAGACTGAATAATTAAAAAAAAAGTATTTAAATTAAAAAATGAAATTATTTAGATTATCAAGATTAGTAATATGATGTACTAAATTAATATAGAATATAATTATATTTCATAAACTTTTTTATTAAAATATATTTATTTATTTATTATTGATTGATTGATCATTTTAATTTAGAGGCAGAGTATTTATGTGTCTCATCAACAAAAACAGCTAAATGCTCAAGATCATGTTCAGGCCACATACCGTGTCCTAAATTTACAATATATCTATCAACACCTACAATATCTATCATCTTGCGAGTCTTTTCTCTAATGGTGTCTTTTTCTGCTAATAAAACACCAGGATCTAAATTACCTTGAATAACTTTATTATATTGCTGAGAATATTTAGCTGCAAGAGATAAATCCCAAGCATAATCGATTCCTACACAGTCAAAACAGTCATGCTTGAAAACCATATCTGAATGATTACCCTTAGCAAACATAATTATAGGAGTTTCAGGGTGTCTCTTCTTCACTTCAGTGGCAACTCTAACACAGTAAGATAGACCAAACTCCCAGTAATCTTCATGACCCAACTCACCAGCCCAGGAGTCAAAAAGTTAAATTATTTAAGCACCACCTTCAATTTATTTTGAGATGTATTCAATGAGAACATCTGAAATCATACTTAACAATTTTTTGCTCTCTTCCTTCCATTTGAAAATCCATTTCTTAACTTTAGAAAACATTTTACTACCACCACCTTCGATCATGTAGCTCATAAGAGTCCAAGGAGCACCTGCGAATCCTTTATTAATTTGTTTAAATTAAATATTATTGATAAATAAAAGTTTTTATTTATTATAGTGAATAATACATAAAAGTTTGTATATTTAAATTTTCAGTAGTTAATTTACCTATTGTTGTTACTTTTCCTTCAACTGCTTGACGGAAAAGATAAAGAGCATCATACACATCACCGAGAGATTCAGGATCAGGGATGCTAAGCTTCTATAAGTCTGAGGGCTCGACTAAAGGCTAAGGGAAAACTGGGCCTCTCTTTTCTTCCATAATAACTTCCATGCCCATAACCTTAGGGACAACCAAAATATCAGAAAATATAATTCCTGCATCCATAGGGAATCTTTCTAAAGGTTGTAAAGTGACCTCAGCAGCAAGTAGAGGATTATCACACAACTCGAAGAAGCTCCATATTTTTCTTACTTCACGGAATTCAGGGAGGTATCTTCCTGCTTATCTCATAACCCAAATAGGAAGATGATCAATCTTTTCTCTTTTTATAACTCTTAATAAAGTATCATTCTTCATCACTGGGAATTTTTAATCCTTAGATTATCTAAGTGCTCTGACTTGTTAACGCCAATTTTCACTATTTTTATCTATACCTAATCTAGCTAATGTAGATTGCAATAGAGGAACCTCAATTGTTCTGGGTTGCTCTGCTTATTTATCTGCTTCTGACATGAATTTGGGTAAAAATTGATAAAATTTAATATATCTTTTGGAAATATATAATAAATATTTTGGATTTTTATTTATTTTGATAAAATCTAAATCTTCTCAAATACACATACAACACAAACCAAAAAGAAAATCTAATTAACCCTAATTTTACAAATTGTCACATAAAAAAGTGTCACATAGAAATAATTAGAACTAATAAATTATTCTTTGAATATTCTTTTTTTGTTTACATTTAAAGTAATCCTTTGGTGAGTGCTTTTTTTCCCTTATTTCTTTCTATTGAAAATGCAAGCAAACATTTTTAAATATTTTAAAGTTCATTGTTACTTTAAAAATAAATTAAACATTTTTATGTAAAATAAAATTTTTATAAATAAAAATATTGAAAAATTTTAAAAGTAAAGGTTAATTTATCAAATATTAACAATTCTGTTTATCTCTCAACATCAAAAAAATATTTTGATAAATCAAAGAAATAACTCAATTTTTAAAAATGGATAAACCAATATTGAACATTTTAGATAAATAGTTAAAAGGAACTTGATTTTTAAACTCTTAAGTTAAAATACAAAATTAAATGAATTAATCAATCATAAGCCATAAAAATATCTAATTTAATTTAAATTACTATAAAACTTTTCTTAATACTTAAATTTTAATTATTTTGTTTAGTCTTAAAATATTTTTTATCATATTTGTGGGTCTTTTTTTTCTTCCTCTTAATACTACTGTTCTTCATAAGTAAAATTAGGATAAGGAGTAAACTAGTTAGTATGAGGAATTTATGACATTTTTTAGTTATCAACAGACTGCAATACTTCCTAAATAAATTTAAATATATTTTTAAGTAAAATGTATATAAATATGTAAATATATTGATAATGATTATTACAAAAAAATGTTAATTTATGAATTTAAAATATACTAACTAAATCATTACTTTATCAAAGTTTTACAACAAAGCATTATCTTAGTTAGAAGGAATAAAAGGAGGCTATTCTTTTAATTCAGAAACCTTTTTCCAGTCTATACCTGAGAAGAATTAATGATTTTTAATTTATTCTATACCCCCAGCACCTAATCTTGAGTATTACTTTTAAAAAGTGCTTATTTAATATAGAATTTTTAATAAATTAATTTACATTAATGTCTAATAACAAGCTGATTAAAGACTCTGCCTGTATTGATAAAGAAGGAGTCTCATTATATTATAAAATTCTCCCATTGATTATATTATAGTAGGTTGCAAAATCTGGATCATCACTGTTATAGTCTACGAATGGATGATATCCCTTTAAAAGCATAAATATCAATATTCCAAATGCCCAAAAATCAGCTTAGTAGCTGAATTCTTAAACTAATAATTATAAAATGAATTTAATATTTACCTTTCATTTATACCAATAAAACTAAGATTAAATTTAATTATATTAATTTAAAATATTTAAAAAAATTTAGTTACATTTCAAAATTTCAGGAGCGTTGTACTAGAGAGTTCCTTAGAATTATTTGATATCAGATATTCTAGACTAAACTTCTTCATTTTATGTAGACTGAGAAATAATAGACATTCTATTATTTTCTTGATAGCCAACTTTAGGATCTTTATCAGAAAATATAGAAATACCAAAATCAGTAATTTTTACATGACCTGTAGAACTAATAAGAATATTTTCTGGTTTAATATCTCTATGTATGATTTTTTTGGAATGCAAAGCTTCAAGTCCCAATAAAATCTCTGCAGCATAGAATTTAGTATGTTGTTCACTAAGATGTCTTTTTCTTTATATATAAGTCAGTAAATCACCTAGAGTTTTTATTAATCTTAAAATTAGACAAGATGTAAATATCATTTGAAAAAATTGTCTTTTCTAAAATTAGTAATTGCTTATATTACAGTTTAGCTTAACTTATACATAACCAAAGATCATAAAATTTTTCTGCTCATGAAAAAGTAAAAGTAATAAAGAAATATATACCTCCAACTTCAAAAGTAGTGTATAAATACACATAATTGTCATCCTGCTTAGAGGCTTTTAAACTTTGTATAAAAGGAGACTTAATAGTTTTCATAATTTCTTTTTCAATAATTACAGAGTCTTTATGAGACTTTAATTTTAGTTTACTTATTCTTTTTTGCACATAGTACTTACCTATATATTATTGAAGTTCATTTCACTCAATTTTTAATTAAATTCTATATATTACCATCTTATTACAGTTTTAGTAAGTATATATCTCCGTAACCTCCAGAACCTATTTTCTTTTTTATAGTTGCTTGTTATAAAATTGCTATAGTGTAAGTGTTTTAATAAATGAATAATTAGTTACTTTAACAATAGTAAAATCTTAATAAACGTTTAGATGCCTTCTCGATTAAGACTTGCTAGAAGAAGAGGTGCATTTGCTAGAATTTCTTCTACCTGCATCATTTTCTTTGCTTTCTTTACAACCCATTAGTAACTAACTAAATAACTAAATGACTTTAAAAATCAGAAAAATAATGATTAGCTTTTAGTAATATCAAAAGTTTATTTATCAATCAATATATTCTTTTTTAATATAAAGTGATTTGTATTATAAGTAAAATCCTTCACTTTTTTGCTTTTTTTTTGCAATTATTATTTAATATTCTCACATAAAATTAGAAATTTTTTGATAAGAAATTCATAAAATTAATTGCATGCATTTTCAAAAATTGCATCTTCTTAAAATAACAAATTATGTAAACAATTTCTTCCTTTTTTTAACTTTCAACAATTTTTTTAGCATTTTGCCTATTTTTTTAATTTTAAATTGGTTTCAATCTACACTTTAATCATTTTTAAAAATAAGCAAAGAATAATATAATTAATTATTTTTACACTTGAAATATATTATAAAATCTTTACTGATTAAGATAAATATAAAAAATAAAGTATTTAAAGGTAAGTTGGTAGATCAGTAAGTAGTTTTGTTTTAAATTTATTTTACTTACACTCATCAAAAAATTTATAAATTAAGTAAATTTTTTTATTAAGTAAACTCAAATAAAGGTTTTCTTTTATTTTTTTAACTTCTTCATCTTTTTTGGTCTTTCTTGTACCTATCTTCCTTTTTATCTTTATTTCTATCAGTCGACCTTTCTCTGCTTTTGTCTTTGTCTTTATCCTTATCCTTGTTTTCTTTTCTAACAGGTCTTTCAACTGATCTTTGTTAATTAGACTATTTCTTATCTCTATCGTTGCTCTTGACAGGAGCTTCAGGTAAGTTCTTTAAATTTGTTACAAGCTTGTAATAAACATCTATTTTCGTGCCTACACTTTTATATTACTCTTTAGGATACTTTTCAAGGAGTTATTCCATTAATTTTTTGCATTCTTGACCTTACTACCTTGTTTTGGGGAATATTTCTTTGATCTAATTAAGCAATATTAGGATATTTCTAACTTGAGATTCATTTTTAGTAATTTGTTGTGCAATCTTAAAAACTTCATCAATAATATTGCTATGAATATAGTTCTATTGATATTAAAAATTAAATATTTTATTTTTCTTTTATTAAAATTTCAAAACTTACACTATATTTATCATAGCTGTATTTTTCATTAATAATTTAAGAGTGAATATGTGTCTTTAAAGATTCCTGCAATTTTTCAGGACCTTCCAAATAATTTGAGAATGGTTTAAAGATATCATTAACGAAATAAGAAATATTAATAGCTTCTTTTTCAGTAGCGTTTTGTAAAAAGGGTAATATTTTAGTGACAGCCTATCTAATTGATCTCACAGAGTCATTCAAATTCGATTAATTTATTCTGAATAAAAGAAGCAAAAATCTTGAGCAATAAAGTGCTTCAGCCTATTCAATTAAAAGACGAGGTAACATACAGCTTGTACACAATTCTGAAATAACTGCTTCAATTTAATCTCCTATAAATATTTAAATTAAAATTAATAACTGTTTCCTATAAATCTTTTAATAATTTATATGAAATAAATATTACTTGACTTGGGAAGTGCTATATCTTCTTTAATTGATTGAAGGTAAGATTCATATTTAGCAATTAATTTAGTTTGCTTTTGTTCCTCTTCTTCCAATTTCTTTACAAGACTTTCTAAATCTTTCAATTCTTTCTTTTCCTTATCTTTCTTATTTTTATCACTTTATTTTTCTTATATATTTTTTTTCAGAGCTTCGATCTAAAATTTGTACCCATCTTTATTTACGCTTATATTTTCTAAACTTAGTAACCAGAAAATTGAGTAAAGCTATGGCTTTATTAAAGTCCAAATTTTTTTATGGCAATTTTCTTCATACTTTGCTATTTAGTTTCTCTGGTCTTTGGTTTATTGATCTTGCTCTTCTTCATCCTCCATATCATCAGTAAATGGTCTCACTATTAATCTATCTGGATATTTGATTGAATCATATACTTGCTAAATTTCAGTGAATATTTCTTATTGCTCTTATTTGGTTGGTATGGAAAGAGGTTTAAATCCAGGTCTAGTTATCTAAAATGCAATCTCAATAGGAATCCTATTTATTTTATAAGAAATATATGTTAAGTTTATCATAATATAAAAGTAAAGGAAAAATACATATATTTAAGTACTAATTCTCTGAGTGCCTTAGGGCTCATAAGACTGGCATATTAATTATAATCTTAGCACTAAAATCTTAAGAAAAATATTAACAAATTTAATGAATCAGTAACCATGTCAGAAAATGATTCCATAGTTTTGAGTTCTAAATAATTATAATTGTCATAAAACTTGGCTTTTTCTTAACCTAAGAGAAGAAGGAAGTAATACGCTAAGCAACAATCTTCTGGTGCATTTATTATACCAAAATCTTTGAAATTCGATGATTTCTACCAGAAAAAGGCTTCAAGTGCTTTTTAGCTTTTTTTGCATTTTCTTACATCTTCAGTCAGTTACAAGCTTTAAACCTTTTAATTTTAAAATAAAATTATTAATTTTAATATTTTTAAAAGTATTCTCTAAAAATGTAGAACATGTTTCCAAAACTAAATTTATTTATTTATTTTTTGACTTTATGAATTGCTAAATTAATTGATTTTTATGATATTAATTTCATTAAATTAAATTATTTATGTTTCATTAACTCCAAAATATTTTTATTTTTTGGTAGAGAAAATAATAAAACAGTTAAAGTTACCTATAAATTTATTCCTCCTGCTAGAGCTTATAACTAGTTTTCACTGAGAGTGTTAGGAAGAGCAAATCCAGACATTTTTGCAATCAAGTCTTTGAAAATATAAAGATCAATAGCAACATTAAAGTGGGGTTTAGTTGTGTTTTTATTTAAACTAACTTGAAAACTGTTTAGGAAGTACATCAAGATAGGTATCTAAATAATTATTTATTTATTTATTTAATATTAGAACATTAATTAATTTAATATGAAAAATACCATATCAGCATTATGGAACTTTTTATAAAAGTTAGAAATAAATAGAGAAGATAGCTTGAACCAAGTTGTCATGCCATTCTTTTCATCAAATTTTTTATCAAATGAATTAGAATTAGGTTTGTCTTTTTTATCATAAATGTATTGTAGAATTAAGTATATAAATATGTCTTATGAGAGGGCAGTGCCATATTAGAATGAACCAATTATATCAGGTATGAGATTATCATAATTTGGTTAAAGGATTCTTCTCATAATAAAAATTTAGATAACAAAGGGGTTATTATTGGCAATTTTGACTATTTTCTTTGAGTATTACTTTTTGTTTTCTTAATTAAACTTATTGAAAATATCTTTTATTTCTCTGATGGCTCTTCCTTGTTTAATAAGAATAAAGCTTGAGCTATATATGTACTCCAAATGGCACTCCATATAGATTTTCATTCTTATTTTGTAGTCATACTCCTTGAAGAGATTCCAAAATTCATTAACTGCACCAGGGTTACATTCAAATATATTAAGTGCAGGTAGCATGTATTTTCCAAGAAGTTCTTGAACTAAATCTTACATTTTGATTAATTCATTTTCATCTATCATTTCTGAGTCCAGCTCAGTTTTAATATGATGAGGAGATTCTAGAGATCTCTTGTTAAAGTTCTTTATATATCTAAAAATACGAAGCACTTTAGAATAAAGTAAGGGATTACATCCTACGTAGCCTTTAATTATTCTAAGCATTTTATTAATTATTTCAATGCAACCAACTAAATTTTGTGGTTGAACTAATTCTTAATTTTGTAAACTAATTTCAAAATACTTGCTATAGGGATTTTAAAAGTCTTTTCTTTTAATAAAGCAAGAAGGCGATATTTTTTAATAGACTTTATCAATAGCCCACTCAAACAATATCAGTAAGCCATCTAAAAGTGATTAATGCATCTTCAGATCAATAAAGCTGTAATAAATACTGAATAATTCATTAAAATAAACCCAGGAATTAACCTTAACTAATCCATCTAGCAACCATAACTTTTGATTATCTATATTTTTTTTAGAATTTAATAAGAAATTAAATAAAATAATATTTATTTTTAATCTAATTTCAGTCTTAAAGATATTATTTAGATATAAAATTATTTAATAATTGATATTATAATTTTTGAAATTTAAAAATAAAAGTAAAAGTAAAAAAGTACCTATAAACGAAGATGTTAGATTTGTTTATTTATCTTCTTCTTCTTTAATCTTTTTTATTTCATCATCATTGATGATAATTTATGCTGAATATGATTCAGAGTAAAATTTTGCAGCATTTTTTATTGTTTCTTAAGCCTTTTCTTGGAATTCCTTATCAGCTGGAAGTAAATAAGGGAGAATTGAAGGAATTTGAATAATTTAGCATTTTATTAGTTGTGCAGTGACTAAGATAGCATTTTTAAAGTGAATATTATTGCTTTTTTCGGGTAAAGTAGCAAACATTTCAAATTTCTTTCCCATAAAATGTGTAATTGATTTAGAATTAAAGTGGCTAAGAATAGCTTAATAACTTTAAACATGAGGTTTGAATATGTAAAAATCAAGGATGCATTCAACAACTCTATCAGGATCAAGATCAAAATACCCTATAAGATCTAAAATTGCTTCATAAACATGGGTTGCATTGAATTTCTCTCCTACACTTAAAAGCATTGCTAATAATTTAGAATATCCTTCGTTTTATTGAGAGAAAAGATTGTATTTAGTTTAAAAGAAATAAATTTTAGTATTCCATTTCCTTCTTTTTTGATTGTATTATTTTTCATCAAAGTAAGCCAAGCTTTTTACTTAAGGTTCACTAAAAGAATCTATAAGTGTAACTTCGTCTGTTAAATGTTCAGGACCTTCTCCTATGTTTTTCAAGAACGAAGAAAATATAGATTACATTTCTTAGTATTCTTTTTCATCTATTTATTTATTGAGGCCATCTAAAAAAACTCCAACTAACCATAGCATTTCATACAATTCTTTTAATTCATCAATTCCTCTTTTCTTTTTTCCAATTTTTAGTAATAAAAATTATAAAAGTTTTAAAATGCACAAATAAAATTTATAATCTTTTAAATAAGGTTTGATAGTTTTAACTTGAGGAATATATCAAAATGCATCCATTTTATTTACAATAAAAATAGATATGCATTTTATTATAAAATCCACAGTTTTTCCTATAAAAAATTCATAAATTTTTTTGATCCAAAGAATAAAAATGCTTATTATTACTTCTTTGATTTATTTAAAAAGCTAAAATAATTTTTCTGCTGAAATCTTTTTTTTCAAATGACTAAGAACAATTGAAAATATAAATTCAGAATATTCCTCTTCAGCTACTTAACTATTTTAATTTTCTACTGATTGTCTTGTTTTATCTTTTAATTCCTAGTAGATTTAAAGCCTAATTAAAATTTTTAAAAATGTAAGTGATTTAAAACTTTGGTATGCTAGTAAATTAATTTTAACTAATTACAAGTCCTTATTAGATTGTAGCCATTTACTTCCTGTATTAAGGAAATGTTATAAATTATCCATTTAATTTATTCTTTGTTTGTATTTAGTTACCTTTTTTCTAACAAATCAAAATGAAAATTACAGATAATTATTAATTAATTTCAATTTTTCTTTTATGAATGATAATTAAATAAAATTCATAAAAATATTTGCGGATTTTTTACTTAAAAATCATCAAAAAGATACTCAATATAATTTTTGAATAAATAAGAAAAAATAGAGATAACAAAAAATTTATTTTATAAGTAAAAGGCGTCTATAACTTTTCATTTAATTTTTACTTAAAATAAATTATTTTTAAATGATAAAAATATTTTTTAAAACAATTTAAAAAAATAATAATTTTTTTATTATTTGATTTATTTTTTAGATACTTAACAATAAAAATCTTTTTTACCACAAATAATTAATATTTTTAACAATTATTTTTTATAAAGAATGAATTAAAAAAATAATAAAATTATTTGCAAATCATAAATTTATAATAAAATCGATTATAATTTTGTATTTTAAAAAATGATTTATTGATAATGAATGAATTTATTAAAAAAAGCAAAAAAAATATTCAAAATGGTAACAATGATAAAATGAAATTCAAAGAAGATTTATTATATCCGTTGAAATGTTATTAAATTATAAAGCATTCTCTTTTATGCAAGGGTAAATATATCAAAAGAAAGTTAAAATTAAATAATTAATTAAGAAGCAAAAAGCCACTGATAGCAAAAATTTTTACATTTTAATAATTTTTTATAGTTTAATAATGATTTGAAGAAAGTTTCTTGATTTTTAATTAGACTGTATAAGCAAATAGGTTTTTAGATTTACTTTACCTATTTCTACTTAAATAATTATTAATTTAATAAAATTTAAATCCATATTATATACTACAAAGCGTAGCTTAAAATTTACAATTTAGTTAATGTCAAAAATCAGTTTGAATAATAAAGAGTTATTTTTTTCTCATTTTTATATTTTTTATATCTGCGTTTATATGTGTCTAAGGTACATTTTTATTTTATTTTAAGAAAGATTATTCTAATTTTTTAATGCATATATATCATGATAAGTAAATAGTAGATTTTACAAAGTAGGAAAGATAATTAATAGGAATTTAAGATAATCAAAGCCATTTATGACAGTATCTGAAATGAGTAATGAATGCTCATTGTGTGCAAAATTAATTTAGAGTATAAAAAATAGAATCAAAAAAAGAAGCAATAAAAGAAAGAAATAAATAAGATAAATTAAAAGATAAAAAATAAAAATAAAAGGAATTATTATTATATACTTATAGATATTAAATGAGTAATAGTTTAGGCTAATTCCAAGAGGTCATTAGTAGACGTCTCGCTGGTGTAGGCTTTTCTTATTACACTGCTGACGAAATCCGTAAATTGTCAGTAAAGGAAATAACTAATCCTATTGCATTCGACTCATTAAATAGACCTATCAAAGGTAATAAATCGATTTTTCATAATTTATAAAATTCCTTTTCATGATTTCATAATGCTACTTTGATTATTTAAAGATTGTAGTTATGGAATCTTTTAAAACTTTGATATTTTTTTTCCCAAATTTATTACAATACTCAAAGCATTATATAATGAAATATATTTTAATAAACAAAGGTGGTTTATATGATCCTTGTATGGGTGTATCTCCTTACGATAAATTTACTCGTTGCGAAACTTGTGGTTGTGAAGGATTGGAATGTCCTGGTATAAATTTATTAATAAATTTTGATTTATCCATTGAATTTCATGAAGCTGATATCTTGCATTTTTGGTTAATCATTAAGTTGATAAGCATTAAGAAAAATTTACGGATTTCATGAATTTTCAATATAACTTTGAAAAATTTTACTCAATCGTTTTATTTCTACATTAAATAAAATAGGTCATATGGGTCACGTAGAACTCCTCTTACCTGTTTATAACCCTTTCTTAATTGATAAGTTGCTCAAGTTATTAAGGTATACCTCTATTCAATAAAATAAATTAAATATAAGAAACAAAACATTTTAGCTCGATCTTGTAAATCTTTAAATCAAAAAATAAAGAAGTTTTAAGCCAACAAAATAATTAAACAGAGTTTTAAAAAATTTAAAAGCTAAATAAGAGGATTAGTTAGTTAGTTACAAATAAACATTCAATATAATAGCAATCTTAACATATATTAGACTAATAAATTTAACATTTTAAAAGTATATTTATTAGTCTACTTATTAAACATAAAAATGTTTAGATACATTGTTACAAATTACTATTTAAGAAATAAAAAGATTTCAATAAATAGATTAGAGCATAAATTTGTCTATTTTTGCATTATTTCTAAAACAAGTAATTAAAATAATTATAAATTTATTTAAATAGAGCCTAGTGTTTAAAATGCAATAAGTTTAGAATGACAAATTAAAAACTCAAGATGTTTGCTAATGTTTTTACTCTTATTAAGCTTGGTTACATCTTCGAAGCTAAAGAATATAAATAAACATGTGAAAGTTTGAGTATCCTTTAAATTTAAAATAATAAAGAAACAACTCAAATATAGTCATATGCTGACAAGCGTCGTAAATCTAGTGATTACAAGTCATCTGACACTGAATAAATAATGCCTAAGAAGTCTTAAATTGAATAGGAAGGAGCTAAGATTTATTAGAATAATATTAACAACCTTGAAGATAAAAAGAAGCAATTGCTCTCTTTAATTAATGTTAAGCAAAATAATACAGAATAGTTTTCAAAGGGTGTTTCTTACACAAATGCCATGAACAGTGCATTTGAATAAGCCCTCAAAGAATTTTGGAATAGCATAAATATTGGCAAATGCCCTCACTGCAAAGAACCATAATAAGCAATTAGAAAAGAAGGTTTTTCAAAGTTTTTCATAAAGAAAAGTTCTAGCGAAGCAAAGAAGTCTTCAAGCCAAAAGAAACACTAAGATGACTACACTTCTGATGATGATCAAAGTGAGTCTGGTCACTCTAAGGCTGAAAAAGCTAATGCTAATTAAAAATATCTTGATCCTTTAGAAGTAAAAGAATTAATGAGAAGATTTTGGGATGAAGAAAGAAAATTGCTTAACATCATTTACGGTACTATCGAAGTTACTCCTTAAACTTTAAAAAACTCTTCTAAAGGTATTTATTTATTTGTTAATATATTTTTTTTCTAGAAAATAATAACTAATTTATTTTAATTTAATAGGTTTTATGATAAGAAGAAATGACTATAATATGTTCTTTATTGAAGTTATTCCAGTAACTCCCAATAGATTTAGACCTGAAAATAAGCTTGGAGAATAAACATTCTTGCATGGACATACTGTAGTTTTGACAAAAATTTTATAATTCAATGTTGAATTAAGACGTATGATTGTCTTGCAAAGACAAAGTTTAAGCGAAGAAAAGAAAAAGAAATTAATAGATTAGCTTGATTCTCGCTTTTAAAATTAATTATAATTAAAGCAAAACTAGAATTTCTAGCAAACTATTAACAATATTGTTAAGCTTAATGATGTCATCACTAAGTGGTTAGATATACAAGAAGCTGTTAACTGCTTTTTAGATTCTTCTAAGGCTACTAAGACTTAAGATCGTGAAGGTACAGGTATTCGTTAACTCCTTGAAAAGAAGGAAGGTCTCTTTAGAATGAAAATGATGGGTAAGCGTGTTAACTACGCAGCTAGATCAGTTATTTCTCCTGATCCTAATTTAAACACTAATGAAGTCGGTGTTCCACTTTTTGTTGCAAAAAAACTTACTTTCCCTGAATATGTAAATGAATATAATGCTAAGCATCTCAGAAAACTTATTATCAATGGTCCTTTCTAACATCCTGGTGCAAATTTCATTGTTGAAAACGGAAACAAGATTTCCCTTGAAGCTCTCAATGAGCAATAAAGAATAGGTCTTGCTAAGACTCTTTTAAATAACTCTAAAAATAAAGTTGTCTATCGTCATTTATAATCTGGTGATGTCCTCCTTTTCAATAGACAAGTAATTTTTAACAAATTTATTTTTTAACTCAAACTTTTACTTTTGTTGTTGTTTTTTTTTTAAGAGTAAGCTTATTTTATTTTTAAACTATAATAGCCTACCCTACATAAAGCTTCATTGATGAGTCATATAGCTAGAGTACTTCCCAGAGAATAAACTATTAGAATGCACTATGCAAACTGTAAATCATATAATGCAGATTTCGATGGTGATGAAATGAACTTGCATTTCCTTTAATCTCATTTAGCCAGAGCTGAAGGTTATCACATTAGTTTAAATGATCGTTAATTCATTAACACCACTAACGGTAATCCTTTGAGAGAATTGATTCAAGATACTATTGTTTCAGCTGTATTCTTGACTCATAAGGAAAAATTCTTACAAAAAGAAGAATTCTAAGAGCTTGTCTACGCTGCTACTTGGAACATGTTTGAAAAGAATAATAATTCTACCACAAAGCCTTATAAGATTTTCTTAGTTCCTCCTGCTATTCAAAAACCCAAACCTTTGTGGACTGGTAAACAACTCATCACAAACATCATCAAGATTGTAGTCTAATAGAATCAAAAGAAAGATTATGAATAAGGTGTCTATATGGAAATGAAGGCAAAGCTTACTGCTGACGAATTGACTGGTATTTATAAGGACGATACAGTTGTCATAATCAGAGATAATGAACTTCTTTAGGGTGTTTTGGATAAAAACTAATTTGGTGCTGGTGCCACTTATGGTCTTATGCACGCTTTTTATGAATTATATGGAGCATCTCTAACAGGTAAGCTTTTCACTGCTCTTGCTAAATTACTCAGTGCCCATCTCTAAATGCATGGTTTTACTTGCGGTATGGATGATCTTCTTGTCAGCAAAGAGAGTGATGAATAACGTCTTCAAGAAATCAAGGCTGCACACGTTGATGGTGTCCTTGCATGTGCTGAATTCGTTGGTATGAAAGACTATGAAGTTCCTTAAGGCTGGAATTTATATAACAGACCTAATTTTGTTCTCAACAGCAAAGGTAGATTCTCTTCTAATGTTCTTAAACGTAAGCCCGAAGTTGACTATCTTTCAAATGAAAATCCCATTCTTGAGTAAATTCAAAGAAAGCTCGTTCGTGATCCCCAACTTGCTGAAGCTTAAGATAATGTTTATAAGTCAACTATGTCTTAAAAAGGTTCCAAAATTCTTAACACTGCTCTCGGTGGTCTTATTAAAAAATTCCCTTTCAACAATTTCACTACAATGACTAATTCTGGTGCTAAGGGTTCTAAAGTCAACCATACGTAAGTTTCTGCCTTACTTGGTCAATAAGAATTAGAAGGTCGTAGAGTTCCCGTTATGGCTACTGGTCGTACTCTTCCTTGCTTCTTACCATATGATCCCAACCCAAGAGCTGGTAATAAAAAAATTTATTTACTTGTTTTATTAATTTAATTAAATATATATTAAAATAAATAGGTGGTTTTATTAGTGATCGTTTCTTGAGTGGTCTTAGACCTGCTGAATTCTTCTTCCATTGTATGGCTGGTAGAGAAGGTTTGATTGATACTGCTGTCAAAACAAGTAGATCCGGATATCTCCAAAGATGCTTAATGAAGCACTTAGAAGCACTTAAAGTTGCATATGACTACACTGTCAGAGATGCTGATGGCTCAGTTGTCCAATTCTATTATGGTGAAGACTCTATTGATCCCAATAAAGTTAAATATTTAGAAAAATTCCGTTTCTTAGCTGAAAACTTTACTTCTTTCACTCAAAAATATGATCCTTATCACTTGAAAGACTCTCATGATTTCGAATCTGTCAATCGTTTCTTGAAGAAAAGAAAGAGATAAGAAAGTTCTGAAACAGAAAAGAAAACTTGTGACACTATTATGAACAACTTTTTACCTGGTAAACACATTGGCTCTGTTTCTGAACGTGTCTACAAGAATGTAAAGGAATACATTAAGAAAGAATAGCAAAGTGCTGATCCTTACAGCAACATCTTCAACATAAAGTAGGATTAATTAAGTCCTTAAAAATTCCATATGCTTTTCAATGTAAAATACCTTAACTCTCTCATTCATCCTGGTGATTCTGTTGGTTGTCTTGCAGCCCAAGCTATCGGTGAACCATCTACATAGATGACATTGAATACTTTCCACTTGGCTGGTCACGGTGGTGTTAACCTTACCTTGGGTATTCCTCGTCTAAGAGAAATCTTGATGACTGCTACAGACAAATTGAAGACTCCAGTCATGCTTTTAAATCTTTCAAATCCTGAAGTTGCTTAAAACAAAGAATAAGTTCAAAATCATGCTCGTAAGCTCTAAAAAATTAATTTATTAGAACTTGTTAATAACATCGAAGTCAAGGAACAAAAAATTATTGTTGTTGATAACAATATTTTACCCTTCAATGAACGTTTCAGACACTATGAAATTAAAATCAACTTAGAAGACTTAGAAGCTATTCACTTCGCATTCTAATTAAACATTGACACAATTAATCGTAGAATTGAAAAGGTCTTCCTTCCTAACCTCTTCTAATACATTAACAAAGAACTTAAACGTGATTAAAAATCTGAACTTTAAACTAGAGTTCTTAAGAAGAAAGAAAATGAAAGTAAAATTATTTTAAATAAATTATTTAAAAATATTAACCTAATTATAATTTAAAAAGGCAGCGGTATGGAAACTGAAGGCTTAGTTAGCGATTTCGACAAAGAAGCTGCTTCAGATGGTGAAGAATTAAAGAAAGCTGCTGATGCTTTAGTAAGCGAAGTAGAATATGGCATATTTACTGAGACAGAAGATGAATTAAAATCTAAGTCCAAACCTCAATCTGCAGAACCAGTAAAGAGAGTCCCAACTAGAACTTCCAAAGCAGAATTATTTGAAGCTTCTCCTTATTACAACGTAAGCTATTAATAAATATTCAAAACCATAAGTAATATCTATATATTAATCAAAAAGGGTCATACTATAGAAGGTGAACGTATAGTTTGTAACATTAAATTACCTTTAGATTCTAAGAAGTTATTGATGGTCAAGTAATAATTCTTTACTATTTTTTATTTATTTGTGCTTTCTTCAATTTTAAAAAAACACTTATTAATTCTCATTTTACATAAAATAGCTTGGTTGAAAAAATATTAAAGAAGACTTTGGTTTATGAAGTAAAGAATATCTCTAATGCAACTGTCCTCAAAAAGGATAATAAAGGAGCCACTTCTTATCAAATTTAAACAGAAGGTGTTAATTTCAAGTAAATCTGGAAAATGGATCACTTCGACTCTAATACTATAGACTCAAATGATATAGCTGCCTTAAACAAATGTTACGGTGTAAGAAATTCATTTTTTTTAACAAAAAAATATTTTATTTTGATTATTTACATATTAATTATATTTTAATAATTAGATTGAAGCTGCTAGAAATGCAATTGTAAAAGAAATCGTCACTGTGTTCGGTGTTTATGGTGTCGTTGTTGATTACAGACACTTGTACTTAATTGCTGATTATCTTACTTTCAGCGGAGAAATGAAGGCCATGAATAGAGTTTGGATGGATGAAAGCATCAGTCCTTTCCTCAAGATGTCTTTCGAAACTTGTGTTAAATTCCTTACAAATGCTGCTACAAATAATGAAATCGATACTCTTTCTACTCCTTCTTCCTCAATTGTCTTAGGTAGAGTTCCCTAAGTAGGTACTGGTGTTTTCGACATTCTCCATAAGGTTTGAAAGAAATAAATAACTTCCTACTTTTGATAAAATCTAATATAAATTTACTTCTATTTATATTAACTCTTTTAAAAATAAATTCAATAATAACTATATCTATAAAATCATTAAAACTAATTACTTTATAAGAGTGCATTCAATCATCCATCAAATCTTAAAGTAAACGAATTAAATACATAAACATTTTAGTTAAATAAATTAAATTGAATAAAACTTAAATTTAAGTTTCTGTAAAATCCTGCCAAGAGAAAATATAGAAAATAAAAATTTAACAAATTCATCAATCAATCCATCCATCCATCTAAATCATTAAGAAAATAATATTTATAATTATTATATAAAATTCAACCAGAGTTAATATTTTAAAATTCACACTAAAATAAAAATAAATTATTTCCAAATTAAACAAAATTAATTGTTTATATACAAAAATATGTTTGTTGTATACCATTTTTAATATTCTTTTAATCATTTGCAACTATTTTTTTTCAATTTATTTACTTTCTTAAATTATTTCTATTTAGTTAATCAATTTCTAAAATAATTTGCAATTTTCAAATTAAATAATTTCTAAAATAAATTTAACTTAAAAAAATTATTATTTTGATTAGAAATATTTTAATTATTTTTTATGAGAAATTTAAAATTTTAAAATAAATAATTTTCTTTTATTTAAATGAAATTTTAAATTTTTGTATCAAATAAGAATAAAAACAAATTCAGAAAATATAAAATTACAAATTCAAACAAAGAATTGATTTTTTTTCAAATATTTTAATTAATTCTTAATTTTTTAAAACAATTTTAAAATTAATTTTTACATTGAAAACTGCGAAAAGGAACAAAAATGCAAATAGCTCTGTCCTTACAGAGAAAATGCAAATAGATAATAAATAAAATATGTAATTCGAATTTTTGTAGTTTTAAATTACTTACAAGGAAATTAGAAAAATTATATAAAATTAATGAAGTATATTAATTTCATTTTAAGGTATTTAAGTTAGGGATTTTGTGACCACAAGATTTATTATTATAAAATTATGATTAATAGCTCATTACATTTTCTTAATATTAAAAATATCATTAATTCAATAATGTATCTCTTATATCCTCCATAAATTTCGTAGAAACGAGTAATTAATTTATGAATTAAATTGTCTTAAAGAGCATAATTATTATTTTTTATATAAAAGAGGATTTTCAACAATTTCTATTTTTTAAGATAAAGCCATTACTTGTAAAAAAATTGAACTATGAAAAGGAAGAACAATTCTTTCCATCTTGGATAAAATTAGCGTTATCCTTCGCCTACATAAAATAACAAGCTTTAAAATGATGGAATTTAAATGAATAATTAGAATTCTACATAACTGCCTGAACATTCAGTTGCACATCGCATTTATAGATAAGCAATCGAAGAAGAGTTTTAGGAAAAAATATAAGTTAATACTTTTTTTAGATTAAAATGTTTTTTAATATTAATTGTATTATTGAAAAAGAATATTTTTATGATAAAGCTATTTAATTTCACAAAATCCATTTTGAATAATTAACAATCTTTTTACAATAGAAAAGTGTCGAGCTCGTTCAAGGATAAAATAAGTAAAGCTTTTTAAGGAACAGATATAATAAAGAGAAATTTTAAATGCAGCCCTCTATTTAATTATAAACATAAAGTGTAAATACAGGTTCAAAATAGTTGACTAATTCATCTTCTATTGTAAATCTAAATACCATTATTAACTCAAATGTATAATCAATCGTACAAGTGGATAAACTAAATTAGAATTCAATTTAAATATTAGATAATTCGTAATAGTAAATTAAACCATAAACCAACTTATCACCTAATAGTGATAATAAATCAGTTTTACCTATTGTAAGGCATAAGACAAGTTTTTCATTAGATAAAGCAGCCTTAATAGGGCCATCAAAGGAGCATTTTCCAACTCTTGTACCAAAAGTTTAACTAAGAGATAGATCTGAATCTAGAAAGAGAGTTATATCATCAAGCAATTTGTCTTTCAGTATATAAGATTAACTCATCCCTGGATAACCTTCACCATCTAAAAAATTAAATAAAAAATCAAAATAAAGTGGATTAGATGACAGCATTTATATTGATGAAGAAAATATGAATGTACCTTCAAACTATCGTGTTAAGACAGAATTATCTACAATTTCTTAAAACCAAGAAAGATATGATTTATTGAATACTTCATTAAGAGTAAAAACTTAGCCTTAGAATAACTAGCGTCTTTATATTGCTAACAACCCAAATAATAAATTTTAGATAATAAACGAGTAAGAAATGATATAATCAGTACAACTTTAACAGTAAGAAAATTAGGCATTGTTTTAACAAAAAAGAAATTTGAAATTCCAAAAAGTAGATCCTTCACAAATATAATCAGAAAAGAAGGAAAATAAAAATCTAGAGCAACAAGAACATGAAAGAATAAGATCATTCAGTACTTCAGTTAATTAAAATGATAAATAAATTTAAATAGATGAATAAAAGTAGACAAGAACAGAAATATATCCAAGAAAAAGAAACCAAAGCATAATTTAAGAGGAAGATGATTTAGATTAGTAGTTTAGCTAAAATCTTTAAGGCGGAGCAAGCATAATGATATAAAATAATTCACATAATTAATCCAAAATTTTGGGTGGAGGACATTCAAAATAATAAAATAATCCTTCTAAAATGTCATAACACTAATAAGATTTTTAGAAAAAAACAATTTCAGATTAGAACTACTAAGAATACATGCAATAATTACAAAAAAAGTAGCCTTTCTTTAATGATTATTTATCTCCTATAGATTTCATTTCTTTGATAAGAACTGACGCGGAAATGAAAGACGAGTTTTGTTATTTAAATTAAATTGGTTTGAATTGTTATGATTGGAAAATTGTTCCTTTTTCAGAAAGAAACCCACAAAATTATATGACAATATCTAGAAGAGTAATTTATAAAATTCTTTTGATTGTGTATAAAATTAAATTAAAAAGTATTTATGTCTTCTTTAACTAAAATTGCTAAAAAATATTTTAGTAAATTATTAAAAGAGTATTGTTGGAGGGAATAATTCAGATTTAATTTTTATATAAAAATAAAAATATTTTTTTAATTTAAAGAGTTAAATTTAATGAAATATTAGGGTATAGTACATTTCAAAGAGAGTGAAGTGAGATTTATGAGACTTGATGAGTGGGAAAGAGAACATGAATTGTATCATAATACAGCTAATATTCATTTCTTTAAAACTTTCAGGATGTGGAAAAACTTCTTTTTATGGAAAAAACTCATGAAAAGAAATATTATGAAGGAGTGTTCAAAGATTTTAGAGTATAAATTATTATTATTAGATCCTGTTATGAGAGAATCGCTTATTAAGATTAGGTCTGAATGTATTGAATAGAAATAAGCTTTGTTTTTTGATGTTAAATTTACTTAACCTGTCAAATTTGACGAATTTAAGGTAAAAGCTGAGAATTACAGGAAAAATCATTTAGTAAATTAAGTCAACTCTCACTAATCTATAATTATGAATATTATTTAAGCTGCATGCGATTTTTCATTGAAGAAATTCAAAAGGGATTTCCGTATTCCTAATAAAGATGAAGATATTTCTGATATATCTAATTTTTAAAATGTAAATAGATTTAATCTTAGAACCTAACTTTTAAATTTTAATTTAATAATTTAGATAAAATAAAAAGCAGGTATGCTAATTGGAGACTCTGAATATAGAGATATGCCATATGCAGCTGAAGCTACTCTTAAAATACACTAAAAAAAGCTTAAGAATTTCACTAAATGCATAGATTATATCGTCTTAGAATCTAAGTTACAATTAGTTTAATTTGCAACTGATAATTTAGCAACAAAAATAGAAAATTTTAACAGGTAAATAACATTTTTATTTGATTAGAAAAAATATAATATTTATTTTAATAGGTATATGTAAGATGAAAATTTCAATATAATTGAACATATCAGTTGGATACAATGTATTGCTTCTGAATGTGAAAATAAGCTCAGTCTTTTTCCCTCAGAAGTTGAGTTTAAAGATGAATTCGATGAAATCGTAAGAGCAGCAATTTAGGATTTAATAAATGATCATATTTAATTTGCCCTAAGAGGCGAGATTCTTGAATATTTATAAAGTAAAGATTTAGATTTTATTGAATTAGCATAAGAAAAAATAAATCTAAGTCATCTCATTTATCATGATGAATAATTTGTTAACAATTTAAGAAGAGTTCAAGAAGCCGTGGATATAGCTTATAAATAAATATATAAATAAAGCCTGAAATTAGTTAAACCTCTTGAAATCTATTAAGAGCATCAAAATATAAATCCTTAAATTTATGATGACATGGAATCAGAGTAATTAAGTGAAGTAATTGAGAAATATTAGCACGATGACTAATATTTATGCTCTTTGAAAGTAGAAGAAGAGCAAGGTATATTTTTCTTTGATATAAATCCGATCAAAGAAACACTAAAAAATTCTGCATAATCCAGCTTAAAAGTTTTGTTTGAAAAAATGCCTACCATAACAATTATGAGAGCATACGATTTTAATAAGATTACAGATGAATATTTAAATTTAGTCATTAAAAATCCTTAAACATTAGATTAATTTGTGGTTTTCTTAAAAAATTATAAAGTAAATTATTTTATTATTAAATTTAATAATCATTTATAAACATATGTTTAAAGTTTGTGGAGGCAAAAATAAATGATTTAGGCTTAAGATGTAGTGAAATTTTAAATTTATACTATTTAGGAATGAAGAATAAAGTAGTGTTTGTTGAAAAAGATCACTAGACAATTATTTCTTCATAATCTCACTTGCACACTCTCAGATCTAGAATAGAAGAAGTAATTGATATAATTCTAATCCAAATAATATTTAAATAATTCTTTTATGAATTTTAGATTGAAAATTTGATGAATTCTTTTGTAGCTAATTTTAAGGAAGATTTAAAGAATTTATTACCTGGATTTCATGAAACAGTTAAGCAATATAAATTTAAATTTGACTATTCTAATGTCTTTGAAAAAGAGACAAATTTAGAAAAATCTATTGATTTTTTATTGAGCATAGAATAAGGCATTAAAGATTTGTATGACTAAAAGCTAAAAATAATGTCTTATGAAGAAGCTTTAGAGATTTTTGTTGATAATCAAACAAATTTTGATAGTCTTGATTCTCTTTATCAGTAATATAATTTAGTCTATGCAGTTTTATCTAACAAGAAAGAATGGATATTTAGATATTCATTATGGGAATCCTAACATTTCTTGTAAATAGATTTGAATGATATGGGTTAGCTTTTAGATTAATGTAATAAAGCAGCAATTAATTATATGAAAGAATTAGACAAAGGAAATATAGCTATAGATCTGAAAGAAAAAGTTGAAGTACATCATTTTTAATAATTTTTGTGAAAAATTAAAAATCTATTAATAAATAATTATTTAAGGTATACAAAGATTTTCACTTTTGCTTGATGAATTTAAGATCAGAAAGTATTGGTCAGCCTTAATGGGCAGAAATAAGAGAAATTATATTAAAGGATATAAATAATGATGATCATTCATTTTTTAAAAAATTTGAATTAATAAATAAATCTGACCTATTTTCTTCTGTGTAAGCTAATAAATACAAGCTTAAATATCTGTTTGATCTTAAAATATACCTATTTAATGAGTAAATTAATGACATAGCATTGAGATCTGAAAAAGAAAGAGAATTACTCAAAATTATTGAATAAGTCGAAGAGTTTTGGAAATTTTCTAAATTAGGGTTTTTACCTTACAAAGAAAATGAAATATTTATTTTAGGAAGCAATATTGAATTAATTGATAAAATTGATGATAACATTACTGCATTAACAAATTTGCTAGGAAATAGGTACATTAGCAATTTAAAACTCAGAGTTGAGAGATAATATATGCTTTTTAAATATGTTTAGGAATTGTAAATTTTTTTTTAGTTTGAATTTTGTCTTAGCAATTTAATATTTTTCTTAGGCTTGATGAGTGGATGCTTCATTAAAAGAATTGGCTTTATTTAAAGCCTATTATGTCGACTGGATATGCTTAAAAACATCTCAGTAAAGAGTGTTAAAAATTCTAAAATTGTGATTAAATTTGGAAAAAATTTATGAAATAGGCAAAAGAATTGCCCTTAATTAGAAGATTAGCAGATGATTTTAGGAGCCAATTTTTAATGAAGCCTCTTAAATAAAACAATCTGCACTTTGATTAAATTTAGAAAGCTTTAGATGAATTTTTAGATTAAAAAAGAGAAGCTTTCTAGCGTTTTTTCTTCTTGTCAAATGATGAATTACTTGAAATACTATCAACAGTAAAAACACCTTAGTAAGTTGTTCCACATCTAAGAAAATTATTTGAAAATATAGACGACATAGAAATTGAAGGGTAAATCTAATATTTTATAATATGTAATTTATTTTTACTTTTAAAATACTTAGCCAAAATGCAAGGAAAATGATATCTTAAGAAGGCGAAAAAGTTATTTTGAAATACTGCATATTGAAGGGAGAAGTTGAGGAGTGGCTTTAAATGATTTTAGATTAGATGAAGTATTCTCTCTCACATCTTTTTTTGAATTGCTTAATTAGATATGAATAAGAAAAAATGACTTTACCGAAATGGATACCCGAATTCCCTAATTAAGTAATTCTGACAGTAAATAGAATGTAGTGGACTTATATCTCTGAGGATTACTTAGATCCAGAAAATCCATAAGATCTTGGTGAATGGCATTACTCCTTAGTACTATAACTTGAGGATATAACTGGTAATCTTTTATTTTAGTTGATTGCTTTCTGATTTAAATAATTTATGTAAAGGTATGATCAAGCAAAAATTAGAGAAATCTGAAAGGAGAAAGATTGTTGCTTTAGTCACCTAAATGGTGCATTTTAGAGATATAGTAGAAGATATGTGCTTGAGTGAAACTAGAGTAACAACAAATGACTTTAAATGGGCTCAGTAACTTAAATTCTATGAAGAAGATAATGCTATCATCGCTAAATAAGTTGAAAGTAAATTATACTATGGATACGAGTATATGGGAGCTACTACTAGATTGGTTATAACTCCACTTACTGAGCGCTGTTGGATAACAATTACTGGAGCACTTCACATTAAATTAGGTTAAAAAATTAAAATATCTTTAATTTTATTAATATACTTTTAAAATCAGGTGCTAATCCCACAGGTCCTGCAGGTACAGGTAAAACTGAAAGTTGTAAAGACTTAGCAAAAGCCTTAGGAAGGTATTGCATAGTCTTTAATTGCAGTGAATAAGTTAATGTTAAGATTATGGAATAACTTTTCACTGGATTATCGTACACAGGTGCATGGGCATGCTTGGATGAGTTTAATAGAATTGACATTGAAGTACTTTCAGTCATTGCTTCTTAAGTATTATTTTTTATAAATTATTTTTTTATTTAATATGTGATTAATTTATTGTCTTCTAATTTAATAAGGTGCTAACGATAAGGCAAGCTTTGCTTCAAGATAAAAATCAATTCTTATTTTATGGAAAAAATGTAAACCTCGATAAAAATTTGGGAATATTTATTACTATGAATCCAGGATATGCTGGGAGAACAGAATTACCTGATAATTTAAAGAGTTTATTCAGACCTGTTTCAATGATGGTTCCAGATTACACTCTTATAGCAGAAATCATGTTGTATTCAGAAGGTTTTTCTAATGCCAAAGACCTTTCTAAAAAAATGACCAAATTATATAAACTTTCTAGTGAGTAATTAAGCCAGTAAGATCACTATGACTTTGGTATGAGAGCTGTTAAGAGTGTTTTAGTAATGGCTGGTGCTTTGAAAAGATCACACCCTAATATACCAGAAGATGTACTACTTATCAAAGCTATGAGAGACAGTAATGTCCCTAAGTTTTTGAAGTAAAATATTTCATTAAAAACTAACATTAAACTATTTAAAAAAATTATTAAAGCTAAGATCTGCCTCTTTTCGATGCTATACTTTAGGATTTATTTCCTAATTTAAATCTACCAAGCACTGACAATAAGCAGCTATCTGATTATTCAGAAAAAGAAATGATAAAATGTGGGTTAAAAGAAAGCAAAAAATTTATTGAAAAGGTTATATAAACACATCAAATTATTAATGTTAGATTTGGCATTATGGTAATAGGACCAACAATGAGTGGAAAGTCGAGTATCTTAAAAATTTTGAATAGAGCTTACACAAACAGTAAAGAGTATCAATAAACGAATAACTCAAATTCTATTCTGTCAAGTTAAGAGCAACTAATTAAATACCCAGAAGTAATTTCTAGGACTGTTAATCCTAAAGCGATTGATTTAAATGAGCTCTATGGCGATTTTGATTAAGTTACTTAAAGTTGGAATGATGGTTTGGTGAGTAAAATTATAAGAGAATATGTAGACGAAACTGCTGGAGAAACAATTCAAGAAAAGTTATCCAAGATGGAAAATGAGCTCAAGCGAAAAGAGAGTTTTAATTAGGATAATCTACAGACTTCTGCTTGGGAAGAAAGCAAAAGATCTTCAATTTTAAATGTCTCAGCAACCTAAGCCAGCATCATTTCTTCACCTAGTTAAAAAAGATCAGATAGAGAATAATAAAAATGGATAGTTTTTGATGGACCTGTTGATGCTTTGTGGATTGAAAATATGAATAGTGTATTAGATGATTCTATGACATTATGCTTATCAAATGGTGAGAGAATTAAACTTAAACCAAATATCAAAATGGTTTTTGAAGTTACAGATTTATCATATGCATCACCCGCAACAGTTTCAAGATGCGGAATGGTTTACGTTGATTAAGGAGTAAATAAAATTTTATTTATAATATTTCATGCTTGAAGTATTTGGGTTGATATATTTATTATTTTTAATAAAGGTTATTGACACATTTTTAATTACAGATAGCTATATTGAAAAGGAATTACCTGAAAAATTAGATTAAGAATAAATAGATTTTGTAAAGACTCTTGTAAAATAATGTATTGTCAATGGATTGGATTACTTAAGTAGATAATGTAAATATATTATTCAGGTATCTGAATAGATTTTAGCATTGTCACTCTGCAGATTGATCAAAGTAAAACAAATCTTATTATTTACTTGTTTGCTTAAAATTTATTTTGAAGGTTTACATATTCCAAGAGAAAGAAGATCTAAAGGAAAAGGGAATGCTTATTAAAAAGGTAATTGAGAAAATAGTATTGTTTTGCTATTATTGGACAACTTATACTTTGATCCACATTGAAGCACTTCCCAGATATGATAGACACTTAGGAGAAATATTTTCGGCTGATATTGTTAGAGCTAATATGTATGATTACCTACTCAAAGTATAAGGATATGAAGCTGAGTTATATCACTGGGATTTGCAAATGGAATAGTTTTAATACAGAAAAGGGATGAGTTTTTATGAGATGACAGTCTAAACAAAAGAAACTATTTGTGTTTCATATTTTTTGCAATTGTTCTTGTTCTAACAGTAATCAATTTTTGTTACAGGAGAAACAGGTAAAAAATAAATATTTTAATTTAAATAATAATTAAATTTATTTCCTTGATAATTAAAGGAACTGGGAAGACAGTTATCATAGATAACTTTATCAAGAAATTGTCTTCAAAAGAAAAGCATGTCACTATCCAACTCAACTTTTCCAGCGAAACAAAGACTCTAAATGTTTAAAATACGATAGAATCTAAGCTCATTCAATAGAGAAGGCACTAAAAGCTCTTTTTGGAACCACCTCCAGGAAAGAAAATGATAGTTTTTATAGATGATGTGAATATGCCTAAGGTCGAAAAGTATGGAGCATAACCAGTTATAGAGCTATTAAGAGTTTTATAAGAAAATAAGGGACTTTACGAAAGAAAATCTTTAGTTTGGAGATCTATCTCTTCGACATCTTTAGTTATAGCTGGAGGAATGCCTGGAGGAGGAAGATCTAATTTGTCAACAAGATTTTTAAGATATTTTAATATAATTAATCTCAATTAATATTCAGAAGACTCTATGGTTTCTATCTTTTCTAATATATTAAAAACTATTAAGTATAATTATACATTTAATAATTAAATAAATGATTTGATAGATAGAGGTGTTATTGTTAAGATTACAATTTAATTATTTCAACATATTTAATAAGAATTACTCCCTACACCATAAAAGTGTCATTACATTTTTAATATGAGGGATATTGCTAAAATATTTTAAGGAATGTTAATGATTAGAGCTTAAACAGTAAATACAAAAGAGAATTTTGGTAAGCTGTGGCTCCATGAGTGTTGTAGAGTATTCATGGATAGATTAGTAAGTATTAAAGATATTGAATGGTTCTAGGAGTTAGCATCAAAGCTGATTTTTTTTAACTTTCAATTTGAAGTGAAAAATGTTTTTCAATTCTTCGACTCTCTTTCATTTTCTCCTGTTTACAAATCTGACTCATACGAATATGTCTCAGACGCGGCCGCCTACAAAAAAAGAATTGAAGAGGTGATGAATACTAAAACATCTATGAATTTAGTTCTCTTTAGTCATACTATTTAGCATATCACTAGGATGGCAAGAGTGCTTCATTAAGAAAGAGGCCACTTCATGAGTGTAGCTGTAATAACTATTTTCTTTTTTAATAATTTTAATTTTTACCTAAAAATCTTTATTTAAATAAAATTAGGTTGGTGGCTCAGGAAAAAAATCTTTATCAATTTTATCAGCTCTCCTAACTGAAATGCCATACTCTTAGATTATGCTTAAATAAAATTATGGTAGATACAATAAAATAAAAATATAATTTAGATTTAATAAAATTTTTTAATTTATGTTAAAAGGTATGAAGGATTTTCATGATTTACTTTTAAAGACTATGAAGGAAGTTGCTTTTAAAAATTAAAATTAAATACTTCTCATAATGGACAATTAAATTGTTAAAGAATAATTCCTTGAAGAAATAAATAACATTATGAATTCTGGTGAAGTTCCGGGTATAATAACTAAAGAAGAGTTAGAAATTATTGAAGATAACTTAAAAAGTGATGCAAAACAGTAAGATTCAAAATTATAAGCTTATGATTTATTTGTTTAGAGAGTAATTAAAATTTTATTTTAAAGATTATTTTCTAGCATAATTTATTTTATTAGGTTAGGAACAAATTGCATGTTGTTTTAGGAATGAGTCCAGTTGGAGAGAGTTTTAGAAACAGGATAAGAATGTTTCCAAGTTTAACTAATTGCTGTACAATTGATTGGTTTTAGCCTTGGCCAGAAGAGGCCTTACTTTAAGTAGCAACGAGCTTTTTAGAAAAAGAAAGCAGCTTGACTAAGCTAAGCAAATAAATTTTAGCAAAGTGCTTTGTCTTTACTCACTAAGTAATTACCCAAAGTATCGAAGATTTTTACAATGTTTGGAAAAGAAAGGTTTACTCAACGCCAAAGAATTATATTTAAATGATAATGAATTATAGAAATCTATTAAGAACACAAAATAATTATCAAACATAATAAAAAAATAAACTTCAAAACGGTTTAGATAAGTTATAAGAAGCTAACAAAGTTATTGATGTTTTAGAAGAAAAATTAACCAAACTTTAACCAGAGTTAGTAAAAAAAACAGAGGAAATAGAAATTCTTATTGAAAAATTACAGATAGATAAGTAAATAAATTTCTATAAATAATTTAACAAATGTAAAATTTTTTTATTTAATTAGGAATGAAGCAAACGAAGCCAAAAAATTAGTTGAAATAGAGGAAAAAATAGTAGAGTAAAAGGCAGAAGAAATAAAAAAGCTTTAAAATGAAGCGAGTTTGATTCTCAAAAATGCAATGCCTTAACTTCATAAAGCAACAGAAGCTCTTAACACTTTAAACAGAAATGTAAGTTTACATTAAAAATTAAATTGATTTTCTAATTTTAATTTAATTCATCTAGGATATAAGTGAAATGAGAGCATAACACAACCCTCACCAACTGGTTAGATTTACGTTGGAATGTGTAGCCATTTTACTTGATGAAAAAATGGATTGGGACAATATTAAAAAAATGATGGCTGATACAAACTTTTTATAAAGATTGAAAAATCTAAATGTAGAAAAAATTCCAATAAAAATTCAAAAAGAAATAAAATCAAGAATATAAAATAACCCTGATTTTAAACCATCTATCGTTAAAACAATTAATTATGCTGCTAAATCTATGTGTTCATGGGTAAGAGCCGTGGATAGATTTTAGGATGTCTTTTATGAGATAACATAAAAAAGAGACTATGTTAAAAAAATGGATGAAGAATATGCAAATGCATTTAGTATTTTGAAGTAAAAGAGAGATGAACTTGATAAAATTATATAAAAATTCTAGAAATTCGAAAATGAACTACAAAATTCTATAAAATAAAAGGATGATTTAAAAAATGAAATCGAATTAACAAAATAACGTTTGATTAATGCAGTTGAATTGAAATCTGGGCTTTCAGATGAAGAAGTATGTTATTAAATATTTTAATAAAATAACCAACTTTTTTTTTCTAGGAAAGATGGAAAAATAAAATTATAGATTTGGAGAATTCAATTGGTTATTTGCAGGGAAACATGTTTTTAGCAGGTTCTTACATCTGCTATTTTGGTCCTTTCAATGGTGAATTTAGGTAATTTTTTAGGTTGCTAAGTTTGTTAATTTTACTTACATTTAAAATATTTTTTATTAATAATTAAAAATGAAATAATTATTGTTGAATTTACAATTTTAAATATTTTTCTTTTAAAATAGATAAATTATTATTGAACAACTGATGGAAAACCTAAAATAAGAAAATATACTTTTCAATGAAAAATATAATATTGGGGATGTTCTCGGATACTAAGTTACTATCAGAGATTGGAATCAAAAAGGTCTCCCAACAGATTTAGTTTCTATAGGAAATGGAATAATAGCACTTAATGAATTTAATTATAATAATGATTAGTCATCCTTTCCTTTACTTATTGATCCATAAAATTAAGCTTTAATATGGTTAAAGCAGATGTTTGGTATTGACAATATTACTATGATTTAGATCAATTCTGATAATCTCATCAAAACTGTTGAGATGTGTATAAGAGTGAATAAAATATTATTTATTGAGTAGGTAAATGAATAATTCCTTGATCCATAGCTTGATCCAATACTTTTGAAATAATTCGAATATGTAAATGGTAGGAAGGTTATTAAATTTAATGGATCTAATCTTGAAATGGCACCAAATTTCAAATTATTTATGTTTACTAACCTTGGAAATCCTAATTATCTTCCTGAAGTCTTCATAAGAGCAAATGTGATCAACTTTTAGGTAACTGAGCAAGGTAAACAATTCTCATTTTGTACTTTAATTTTACAATTTTTAAAAATAAAATAGGTCTTGAAGAGCAGCTTTTAGGAGAAGTTTCTAGTAGAGAAACTCCTGAGCTAGAAAAAGAGAAGCATAATTTAATACTTACAATAGGAAATGGTAAAACAACTCTCACTAATATAGAAGACAAGATTTTAGAATTATTAGCTAATAGTTAAGGAATTATTTTAGATGATAAAGAGTTGATAGATAATCTCAAAAAATCTAAGAAAATATCTATTTCAGTTAAGGAGGGTCTTATTTAGAGTGAAATCAAAGAAGAAGAGATAGAAATTGTGAGAAATTTGTATAGAAAAGTTGCTCGAAGAGGATCAATTTTATTCTTTTGCATATAGAAGCTCTAATTAATTGATCCCATGTATTAATTTTCTCTAAGCTACTTTAATAGATTATTTATTCATAACTTGCAAACGTCTCCATAATCAGATGTTCCAGAAGAAAGAGTGGAATTCATCAAAAATTGTACAACCTCGAATATATTTTAAAATGTTATAAGATCTCTTTTCAACAATCATAAAAAAATTTTTAGTTTTATGCTATGCACATAGATTGCTTTAGACTCTGGTTTACTCTCTCACTAAGAATACAATTATTTAATTTATGGTGACATATATCTTGATAAATTAATTTCATCAATCTCTGAAGAGCAAGTTACTTTACAAAACTATGTTCCTTAATCAAAATAACTTAAAATATCTGAAAAACTTTACAAAAATATTCCAAAATTAGAAATTCTTAACCCAATTCTTTTTAGAGGTTTATGTGAAAAAATGAATTCTTCATTAAAATAATGGAACTATTGGTTAAAATCATAGGATCCTTTGTCTAACTTTCCTCCTGGTATTGTAAATGGAGATTTAACACCTATCTAAAAGTTGCTTCTATTAAAAGCTTTCAGGTCAGATGAATTTGTGTCAGGTATGATGCACTATGTTGCATCTGTGCTTGGTCATTAATATGTAGACCATTCACCTGCTTCAATGGAGGAAGTGTTTGTAGATTCTGATTATACAACTCCTCTAATTTTTATACTTTCTTAAGGTGTTGACCCATTAATTAAAATAATGAATTTTGCTACAACTAAAGGAATTGATCAAATAAACATGAACATAGTGTCTTTGGGAAGAGGTTATTAATTTTTATCTTTAAATTAATCATTAAATTTATATAATTATTTATTAATTTTATTAGGTTAAGAATAATAAGCTGAAAAAGCTATTCAAGATGGCTTAAAAAATGGAAAGTGGGTTATTTTGTTAAATTGTCACTTGGGAAAGGGATTTATGAAATAACTTTCTAAGCTAGTTGAATCAATACCAAATGATCCAAGAATTTAAGTTAAGAAACATAAGGAAACCTTTAGACTATTTTTAACTTCAATGCCATGTGATTATTTCCCAGTTTCTATTTTATAAAACGGTATAAAAATTACAAATGAATCTCCTAAAGGAATAAAAGCAAATCTTTAAAAAACTTATGTTGAATTACCGTAAAATTGTTTAGATGCTGCTAATGAAATAGGAAATGATAAGTGGAGAAAGCTCTTGTTTTCATTTTGCTTATTTCATGCAGTAGTATAAGGTAACTTTAGTGATTTTATGAAGGAAAAATATGAAAACTTATTTTTTTTACTTTATATTTAAAGAAAGAAGGAAATTTGGTAGCTTAGGTTGGAATATTAGTTATGATTTCAATGAAAGTGATCTTCAAACCTCTCTGACTATTTTAACTAACGTATTAAATACATATGACCGTATACCATGGGAAAATTTATAGTATATAATTGGAGAGATTACTTATGGTGGCAGAGTTACAGACAATCAAGATAGAATATGTTTGATGTCATAATTGCAATAATTTTGTAATCCTTAAGTTATTTAAGATAATCATTAATTTTCTAAAGCATATAAATAAATATCCTTTTAAAATGGCACTTCATATACTGACTAACTGAAAGAATACCTAGATTAGCTTCCAGCTTAAGACTATGCAGATATATTTGGTATGCATGAGAATGCAATTATTTCATCTAAAGTAAATTAATTTTATTTTTGGAGAAATTATTTAAAAATTATTTTAATAGTTTAATGAAACAAATGAAAGTCTTAAGCTATTTATAGATGCATAACCAAAGTATTAACAAAGAACTTCAAAGAATTAAGCTAAATCTTAAAGTGAGTAGGAAAAAGATGAGAATAAGCCTTCTTATATTGTAACTGAGGAAGAGGAGATATTTGATAAATGTAGGTATTTTGAGAAAAATTTACCTTCTATTATGAAGCATGTTGAGAGAAAACCTAAAAAGCAAAACAAACAGCTTTATCTTCTTCAACTCTAATAAGAGCAGTTTATGAGTGAAAAGAAAAAGAAGAAGCACTATTTAAAAATGAATAAAGAAGAATCACGCTAAACTCGTAAAAATTTTATTGACTCTTTAGAAATGTGCTTGCAGCAAGAAATAGAAAGGTTCAATAGGCTATTAGAAGTAATAAGTCGTTTCTCTTTTAAAAATATTTATAAATTTTTTATAAACCTAAATAGGTTATGAAATAAAGCTTATCAAATTTGAAAAGAGCAATAAAAGGTGAAGTAGTTCTATCTAAAAGGCTTGAATTAATGTATAACAGCATTTTGCTGAATAGAGTCCCTGAAATCTGGTTAGAGAAAAGCTATTTATCAATGAGAAGTTTGTCAAGTTGGTTTAGTAATTTGATAGACAGAGTTAATTTTTTCACAGAATGGCAAAAGGAAAAACCTAAAGCTTTTTGGCTGAGTGCATTTTTCTTCCCATAAGGATTTTTAACCTCAGTTTTATAAAACTATGCAAGAAAATACATGGTACCAATCGACACATTAATATTTGATTTTAAATTCATGAACTCCATACCAACAAAAAAATAATAACAAATAGTTGATAATAATAACTAATAATAAGTTAGAGGGCCTTCTATGACTTAAATAAACCCATAAGAAATTTACAATGATGAAAGAGAAGAGTTAAAAGCAAAACAAAAGCAAAGACAATTGTAACAATAAATTTTACAACAAAAAATTAATGAACTCCTGAAGTAATAAGAAGAGGAGGAAAAAGAAGAAAACATGGATGGATGTTTAATTTATGGGCTTTATTGTGATGGATGTAGATTCTCTTCCAGCTTAGATTGTATTGAAGACAATGAAATAGGTATTTTAAATAAATAAGCTCCAGTAATTCATTTTATCCCTAAGGAAATAAAATTACTCAGTGAAGCTGAAGTAATAAGACTTCAATAAGAAAAATATAGATAAATACAAATATAAAATAGATCAGATAAAGATATAAATAATGAAGTAGGAATGAAACTTGAAACAAATTAAAGTAATAAGAATTTAATTATTAAAAATAATTCATCACTGATAAAAGACAGTTAGTTGCTTGAAGGATAAAAACTTGCTCAATTTACATTTTTAATGCCTCTTTACAAAACTGTGTAAAGATCAGGAGTTCTTTCAACAACAGGGCATTCCACAAATTTTATTATATCAATTTCTGTTCCTACTAAATAACCTTCCTTTTATTGGATTTTAAGAGGAGCTGCTTTTGTATGTGATCCAGAATCTTGTTGATTTCTAAATTTTTGTTTATAATAAAAATTAATATATTTTCTATATATCAAAAATACAAATTTAGTTAAATTAGTTAATTAATTTTAAGATAATTTGTAATTAGATAATAATTTTTTCTGTAATTAAATTTATATTTCTTTTTATTTATTTTTTTTTAGTTTAATTTATTCTTTATTTAAAAATATCTTCTGAAATATTAAAACAAAATCTATATTTTCATAATGAAATTTACTCACAAAAATTCAATTATAAAATATTTATTAAAATATGGTGGTAAAATTATTTTTTGACAATCTATTAATAGTACACAAAAAAAGAATAATTTTTATTCAAAAAAATTATCATTACAGTAATACTATATAATTAATTTATAACAATAAGTTTAACTAAAAATAATTAGCTTTTCATTAGCAAAATTAAAAGTTTTAGATATTTTAAAAAATTTTATAAAAAAATGCTTAATACAAAGCAAAAAAAATTTAATAACAATTTGAAAATAACTAAAAATTAAGTAGAAGAATATTTAGAATATATCATGAATAAATAAATACTCATACTTTCTATTTTCACTAATAAATAATCTTAATTTCTTTTAGATTAAGATTAAGATTCTATAAATTATTAAATTAATTATCTTTATGTTAAAATTTATTAAAATAAATTAATAATAAAATATAAAGATTTGATAAAAATACAGTTTATAAATTAAATTAAAGTTAATTATATTCTGATTGTATTTCTTATTAAAAATTTATGAATTAATAAGCATTAAATACTATTATTTTTTCAATCAATAGGACTATTCTTAAATGATTTTGCTTTAACATACCCAGATTTGGTCATCCATTTTACATTTTTAAAAGTAGCTACACACTCATCATCTGTTTTTGTTTCTAATAATGCTCTTTCTAATATTTTCTTTTTTTGATTTAATTGTGGTTCTAATTCTTATTTAAAACTTTCTTGCTAACCTTCTAAAAAGATTCTTTCACCAACAACTGAGTTCTCATGAGGTCTTAAAAATTCGAAGGCTTTTGTGTCAATATTTGTGCAAAGAATCATACCATTAGAGTCAAACCCTCCCAATTTTCTTGGTTTAAGATTAGCCATAACACAAACTAATCCATTTACTTAATCAATAGGAATATACTACTATAAGCCAGAGCCTATGTCTCTAACTTCAGTACCTATATCAACTTTTAAGCAATAAAGATAGTCGCTGCTTGGATGGATTTTACATTCAACAATTTTGCCTACACGAATGTCTATCTTTTAGAATTCTTCAAAAGAGGCACTATTTAATGGTTTCTTTTAAACTTAGGTTGCTTTATCAGCATTATTTTCAGTTTGATTTGCAGCAGTTGAAACTTCCATTTTTTTTAATTTATTTTTAATTTTGTAATTTTTGTTATTTTTTTTATTATAAAATTCTAAGTGAAGCTTTTAAAATATATAAATATTTTAAGCTTGAAAGAATTATTCAGAATTGTATAATTTTATTTATTTTTATAATTGAAAAATTGTCTAAATTAGCAGAAATTTTTCTTTTATTATTGCTGATACATCATTATTTATTTGTATTATTTTAGATCTTACTCTTTTCTCTTCCAGAACATTTTGAGAAAAAAAATTATAATTCTATCCAAATTTTTAAAAGAATAAATAATATTTGAAAATAATAGAAATAGCAATAATGTCAACTTAAAATGAATTATAAATGAAAAAATTAACTTGAATTTTATATTTAAAAAATATTAAAAATATAAATAAAGCTAAACTTATTTGAAAATAGATTTAAAAATAATTTTAAGGTTGCAAAACCTTACCATGATGAATCAATAAACCAATAATTTTGAGGTTTTAAATATGTTTTTTTTATTTTATATGATCTTGATTGGATAAATTTAAATTTACTAAAATATTTCTTTTATTAAATTAAATTATATGCCCGTTACTTCTTTACATCATTTTTTAATAATTAAGATAAACTATTAGCAAAGAAAATTTCTAGAAAGTTGAAAGAATACTAATTATTAATATATAATACCTTTTTAATAAAAAGCCTAATAAGAGGCTATTAATCAATGTAAAAATAATCTTATTAAAATATAAAAGGAAAAGCCTTATAGAAATTTAAGTAATCTCAAAGTAGAAAATTTCGTTAAAAACATAATTTTATCATTTATTAAATTAATGTTCAAGATAAATATAAAAAATTAAACCTTCTTAATAAAATAAATTAATTATTCATATTCTAAAATATTACCTCTTTCAAATTAGATAAATTCTAATTTATATATATATACTATCTTGATATACATAAATAAGTTTTAACATAAAATTATATTTTTATACTTTCAAAAAAATTTGCTTCTTGTTTACTTTTCAATCAAATTCCTCAAATTCATTCTGTAGCAATATCTCTTTAAGGCTTGGATTAAGGTTAATTGTTACCAATCTTTTTAGTTTATAAAAATTTTAAGCTAGATTTATATGGCGATGACTTGTTGAATTGTAATAAGATCTAAAATCAAAATGATAAAGTTTAAGATTTTTTATATCATTATACATTTCTTGTAAAGATTAAATAAATTATTCGCCAATATCCATTTCAAGCCTTAGTTTTAAAAATCTTAAATTCTTTAATTCAGAGAGTCTAGGAATATTTTTACCATAAACTAACAAGTCTGTACTTGTAATAGTAAGACACAAAGTTTTTAAAGTGGTAGGTAAAATATATTCGTTCATATTTTCATCAATTTAATTTTTAGGGTAAGTTATTTCGATGTCAAGAGACTCTAATAATGGAAAAGATAAAATAGATTCTTATAATTAAAAAAATAAATTTTATGTCATTTCATCATACAAATAACAGAATTGAAGTTTTTTTAAATTTTTAAAGCATTTAATTGTTGTAATAAACACAGAAATGTCAATTTCTTTCTTATTTAAATTTTGAAAATTAAATGAGAACTTTTCGATTTCATTCTAAGTTTTTAAAAAGTCGCAAAAAGCTAAAGAAAGATCTGTGTCTGAAAGAGCTACTTCATAAAATTATCGATTTAGCTTTAATTTTTTTAGATTTAAATCATACAAATATTTTAGACATGTAATAATTTTTTTTACTAAAGAATCGCTATACGAGTTGAATATTAGTTATTAAATTTATTTTAGCTCATTTTTTCTAAGTGATAGAAGAAAATTAAATCCTATTTTGTTGCAAGATAGTTGAATTTAGTTATTATTTGAGTATTTAATATAATCAATTAGCTCATTTAAATTTTAAATTTGATTTGTTTCATCAATTTCATACCAAAAAGTTAAAGGCCTTTAACTGTTTATCCACTCATTTAAATCAATATTAAAATGAAAAAAATTAGTAAAATCAGAATGAAATTAATGTATTTTGATTTTTTTTTGAAGATTATTTAAAATATTTTAAATTTAAACATCAAAAATTGTTTAGGTTTTAGAGATGTTCTCTACATGATCTTTTTAAGATGAAATCTGATCAATATTAAGATGTTGCTCTAAATTAATTACTTTATTAACTAATTATTAAGAATTTTAATTTTTTATTAAATTTATTATATCTTAATATTTATAACTCACATATGATTATTTTTGATTCTAGCTTTTAGCAAACTTATAAGATGAGTGAATTATAATCATTATGTATCTAGCTAAAATAGAGTATCTTTCTACATTTTAAATAGAAAGTGGTCCATTTTCAGAAAAATCCAATTAATCTAAAATTTTAATTGAGTAGGGATTATTAATAGACTAAAAATCAAAATTTTATAAATCTTCATATAAGTTTCTAGTCAAAAGTAATAATTTTTTCCAATCATTTGAATATGGAACATAGTATTTGTTTTGATTGTATTGATATTCAATAAGATTAACATTTTCTAAATCTTTTTCACTTTTAGCAATTAAGATCCTATAAGTTTCAAGTGTAAAATTCACTATTTATGGAGGAGAATTATATGCCCTTATTTCATGAATATAATTTCTTTATATTTGATAAATAGCTTATACCGCTTTCAAGATATCTAGAGCATATTCTCCTAAAATAGATATAATTTCTAGTTTTTATTTTTTAATATCCAAGGCTAAATTATTACACTCTTAAATGAGCTCTTTTAAGCTTTAATCCATCTAAATCAAAATTAAATAAATTAATTTACTTGCTTTTTATATTTTTTTACATGAAATAATGTTATAAGATAGCTATTAGATAATTTATAAAACGTCAATTGTTCAAAAAATTTTTTTACTTCTATTAAAAATATAATTTTTAGGGATAAAGTATTGTCTATAAATTAGTTTAATAAAATATTTTTTATTAAGCAAAAATTAAAAATCAATGCACTATTTTTTTAAATTTAATTAAAAGGATTTATTTTATCATTTTATTACTTTTTAATAGAATCCTTATTTATTTACTAATTGCTATTTAAGACAACTATGCAATAAAAAATTACATTAAAAATATTCATTTAGTAGGAAGAGAGAGAGAGATTGGATTGGGTATTTAATTATTTCAAATTAAAAATATATTGAAATTTTATTACTTGTGAATTGATTAATTCAAAAGGGGAGGGAAGTTTTTTTCAAATTATTGAGAAAGGGAAAATCAAACAAAATATCTATAATATTTAATATTTAAATTAATTAGATAAACTCAATATTAAAAAAAGAAGAGTCTGTGATATGGAGGATTAATAGCATTGTTTGGAAAGATTTCAAAGAAAATAAACTTCAAATAGAAATTCATCGCTGAGCACCATCTATGAAAATTATTGCGTTCTAGAATGGCTCTGCTTTGGGTGACTATTTGAGTTGTTTCTTTGGACAAAAATCTGCCTAAGCAGTCTATCTACTCGGTTAACGACTTAGGATAAGTAAGTCTCTGATGTCTTACTTAGACTCTAATGTTCTAGACAGAAAGTCAACATCGAGTCCTCCTGCAGATAAAACTCTTCGTATAGACAAGGATGTATCTTAAGAAGATTATGTACATCTCTTGAATAGATTAACCAAATTACATATACTCAATTTAGCATTCTTTAAAATGAAAAAGATGCTCCAAGTTTTTAATTCCTTAGTAGTTTTTAAAACAGCACTTATATTGTGATTAAAAAGTTTTTAAAACCCCAAATGACTGTCTTCACTTATAAGTCCACTTTCATATGTTATCCAATATATGAAAGAACATACAAAAGCAATTTTGAGTATCATGTAAAATTAATCTATTATAAAATAAATTAAATAATCTTCATTCTCTTTCTAATTTTAAAAATTTTTGATGTGTTGATTATATAAATAGGTATATAAAAATATATTAATTTAATAGGAATAGCTCGCTCATTTCTCTCAGTTTTTACATCATCATCTAATTAATTTTTAATAAAATAAAAAACAAAAAAAAATAAACAAATAAATTTAAAATCATCATCTTTCGAAGAACAAATAATCCCAACTTAAAATTAAACAAACAAATAAATAAATAAATAAAAAAATAAAAAAATAAAAAAATCTTTCGAGATAAAATAAAAGCAACAAAAACACTAACAGAAAATGAAAACACAAGCAAACAAACCAAATAAAAACATAAAACAAACAAACAAACAAACATCTCTCAAAATTAAACAACATAAAAAAAAATAATAAAATTTATATTTAGGGTTGGCATGCTGAATTTTTTAAATGAAATATTAATTAATTAAAAAGAAGGAAGATACGTTCTGAAAATTTTGATGATAATTTAATAAACCAAGATTATTTGTAAGCGACTTCGTTCATTTCTATCTATCCCCCACTTTAATTAAAAAAAAATAAGTGAAAAAGGTAAATTTTTATTTGTTTAATGAAGAAAATCTTGAATCATTTATTTCATTCTAAAATTTATAAACATAATTTAGGGATGAACTTATTTATTTCTCAATACTAATTTTTTCATACCTTAATTATTTTCTTAATTTCATTGATAATTATAAGGATACCTCTAAAAAAAATTTAGACATTAACCTTTATAAATTAAACATAACTATTAAATAAAAACATAATTTTTCATTTAAAATAAATTCTTATAGATTAGATTTATTTCAAATAATCAATACATTTATTTATAATGTAAAAGAAATCGTTTTCAAAAAAATACTTTTAAGAATAGAATAAATAAATTTTAATATTGTTAAGCATATGAATATAATGAAAAAAGTTAAAGATCTATTTCTTGCAATGCCTAATTATTTGATTAATTAAAAATAAATTAATTATCTTGAATGAAAAAAGAAAAATATCTTTCAAAAACAAATTGACAATAAAAAATATTAATAAAATTTATAGAAAATTAGTTTTGTGGAAAATCATTAAATTGCTTAATCAATTATTTTTTCATAATTTTAATAATTTTTTTTAATTTCTAATAGCTAAACAGATATAAGAAGATGGTTTTTTTACATTATTATAATGTCCAGATTCTTTGAAATAAGATTTAGTAATATATTTGCTAAATGTGTAGAAATCCTAAGTAAGTTGTGAAATCAGTCTCTTAATATTGATTATTAGTCTTTTTCATTAAGTTTTTTATACCAACGGCTATTCGAAATGAATAAGAATTAATAAAAAATATTACTAAAATTTAATTAATTTTTCATAATTAAACAAATGAAGATTTAATTTCTGCGAATTTTTTATAATAATTATTTATTATTATTAATTAAATTAGACCGTGAAGATACCTGAAAATACACAGTAAAAACCATATAGACATAATATGACAAACAAATTGACTTTTATTATTTACTAAAATATTTTCAAAATACTAACAATATATTTTTAAATAATTGTTTTTTTATGATTTATGAAAGCGTTAGCGAGGAAAAGTCTTTTATCAAGTTTTTATATCCCATGGCTACGGAGGATATTAGATATTTTGCTTCGCCTAAGCTTATTTATTTAATAACTTTTGGGTTTAATTAATCTTTAGTATTTAAGAAAACTTGATTTTCTTAAAATTAAATGATTAGATAGATTCAAAAGATTATAATTAGAAATCTTTCAATCAATGACTACTTTTAAAAATTGAGATTTTGATAGTTTTTAATACCCGAATGGCTTATCCAAATCATATCTCATTCACCTAAAAGTGGAAATTATTGGACTATTGTCAAAAATTATACTTCAAAATTTTCTAATAAAAAAGCTTGTAAACACTTATTTATAACTTAAGTTTTTAATTCCACCAAACAGGCTACGAAAAGTTATAAATAATTTTTAGCAAGTTAATTTATCAAATTAAAAAATACTTTCAAAATACCTCATCAAATTTTTTCTTTAAGTTAGTTTCTAATCAATCCTCCTCTTTCTTTCCCTTTATATTAATATTTAACTTCAGCAATATAAAAAATTAAAAATAAAAATAAAACTCAATTATATGTTTAATAATTATTGATTAATAAACAACCTATTAAAAAAGATTTCACTTAAAAAACAAAAACATTTTGAATTAAATAAATTAGATTTAAAAAAGAAAAAACAAATTAAAAAGAACATATATTAATTAATTGCAAATTGCATAAAATATGAAAAATAATAAATGAAAAATATATTAAGAATAATATTTAGAATTATAAAATTTTTCAAAAATTAATTAAACAACAAATTTCAAATCAAAAGATTTATAAAGTAAAGCAAATAACAAATTTAAGCATTAAATTATAATTGTAATTTAACAATTTAAATATGTGGAAAATACAGTCCATATATTTTGCCTAAGTTGGGTTTAATTAAAATCAAAAATAAATATTTATTTTATATTTTCCTTTTATAAGGTTAATATATTCAATTTAAAATTTTGGAAAATTAAATAAATCTAAAAAAAATTTATATTTAAAGAAAGTAAAAATAAAAAATATGATTCAAGAACATTAAATTAGATATTCAATATAAAGATTTATTATTGATTCATTTGTATTAGATATTATCAGATCAAATCAAAAAAAGATATTTTTATAATAATTACAATCAAAAAGCTAATTTGGGTGCAATAATTTCTTAGATAGATCTTTTTTTCTTTGAATAAATGTTGATATTTTTAAGTATAAAAAAATATAATATTTTTGAATTTATTTTGTTTAAATATTAAATAAGTAAAAAAGTAATAAAAAAAAAATTATAAAAGTTGTTTTTCGTGCATAAATAAAATATAAAAAATAAATAATTAATATTTCAAAACAAGAAATTTAAAGTTATTTTTGGTAATTGTAAAATAAAAATATACAATTAAAATTAATTGTATAAAATATCTTACTGAATTCATTAATATGAAACTTAAGGGAGATTATTATATTGGTTGAATGATATTAAAATGCAATATTCTTACTAAAATTTATAATAATTCATAGATAAATAATTTTTTTTTATGTAAATTAATTTACAATAACAGCAAACAAAATCTTTGCTTCATCTTAAATACAAGTAGAATATTTAAAATAAGTTTGATTTTTGAGTATCTATTTTATACATAAAAATGAAGTTTGCTCTGAATTTAAATTTTTTGCATGATTTTTCTTCGCATTTAAAACAAAATATTCATAAGTTGAAAATTTATTAGTGATTTTTCATTTTAAAAATAAATCAATCAGCAAAATTTGATTATTTTATTTATGATGAGGGCATTGCAAATAAAAATTTTATTGTTAATTATGAAATCAAAAATTATAAATTACATTGATGAAAAGATATTGCAACAAAAGAAAAGCTACTTATCTATCTATCTATCTATTTATCATTCAACCATCTAAGAAAATATTGTTGCTATATCAAATCAGATAGATCTAAGAAAATTATTAAGAAAATAAATAAAAATTAAAAGAATCATAACGATACAATAAAAGAAAGAAAAGAGTAATAATAAGATTATGTCTTAATCCATTACAAATAGCTAGTTTTTATACTAAGGTGGCTACCCAGCTAACTCACCTCCTAGAAAATCATTTTAACCTGAAAAGGAAAGAGAATAGGTTTTGTTAAGAAAAGAAGAAATCATTAATGAATTCCGTAATACATACTTAAAAAATACATCTGAAACTGATAAATTGCAATAATTAACTTATGCTGATGGAGCCACTTATATTGGCTAAATTAGAGATAAGAATGTCAAGCATGGCAAGGGTATGTACACGTAAGGCTTTAACATTTTTAATTTATCTAATAGCTTATACAAAATAAGCCTATTAATTACTTAATAGAAATTTTTTTTTTGATATTGCTGTTTTATAAACCCTCAACAAATTCTGGCATTTTTTACTGAATTTAAACTTTTTTTAGAGATCTTCAAAAGCAAATTGGATTTTAGATCCTAAAATGATACTTTACATAAAGATAGATAAAATATCAAATATTAAGCTTTAAATAGCATAATGAATATCTACTTTTAATTTAAATATTCTTAAGAGCTTCCCTAATTTAGAAGGTTGTTCTAGCTTCAAACTTTAATCACTAAATAAACATTTTTCGTTTCAATTCAAGCAAATATTTAGATTTTTTTTGCTAATACTTAAATTAAATAATTTTAATTTTAAATTTAGTTATCCTAATGGAGATATTTACCTTGGTGACTGGAAAGATGACTTCTTCAATGGAAATGGTGTTTATATTTTTAGTATTGGTGAAAGATATGAAGGCCAGTTAATTAATGGATACAAGCACGGTCGTGGAAAGTAATAAATATAATAAACTTATATATAAAAAGCAACGTTTTATTGTTTAGTAAAACAAAAAAATAGCTAATAATTCATTTTCAAAAAGGTTTTTGAAACATTATCTTAGGTTAATAAAAGAAAAGGAAAATTTTATTATAATCTTTTTTTAGAGATGTTAGGATATTGAGGTTTAACTTAAAAGAAAAAAAATTATAAAATAAAACAAAGAATATTATTTGAAAATAAGTGCTATAAAATAAAACATTTTGCTAGTGAAATAGTGTTGAAACAAATAAAAATAATATTTTATTTATTTATAAATAGATACTTCTATGTAAATGGAAATGTCTACTAAGGAGAATGGAGAGAAGATAAAAAAGATGGTCGTGGTGTTTATTAATACAATACTACAGGTGAAAAGTATGAAGGTGAATGGAGAAATGGTGAAAGACACGGAAAAGGAACCTACTATTTCGCTTTTGGAGATGTTTATGATGGATCGTAATCATTAAAAATAATTTTTAAATCAAATATTTTCACATTTTTTTATCTAAATTTATTTAATAAAGCTTTAAATAAATATCTATTTATAAATTAAAGATTTAATGTAAATGTAATTTAAAATTAAATTTAATTAAAAATAGTTGGGAAAATGGATGCAAAAATGGATATGGTGTTTTGACCTATGCTTCTGGTGCTAGATATGAAGGCATGTGGGCAAGAGATCGTGCTAATGGTCGTGGTATTATGTACTATGCTAACAACGATAAATATGATGGTGAGGTAATATAATAAATAACAAATGTATTATTAAAAAATCAACCAATTTATTTATAAATTTATTGAAGTGGGTTGACGGTGCTAAGCAAGGTAAAGGTGTTTACTATTTCCATGATGGTAGTCGCTACGAAGGTGATTGGGTATAGGACTATAAGAATGGTATTGGTTTGTTTATTCATGTCAACGGAGATAGATATCAAGGTGAATTTAAGGAAGGAGAAAAGAGTGGTAAAGGTGTTTACAACTATAGCAATGGTGATAGATACGAAGGTAAATAATTAATTTTTTTAAATAAAAAACAGATAGTGAAGAGTTTTTAGATAAATTTAGAATTGCATTTTTAACTTTAATGATGAAATCATAAGAAATAAAATAAATGTAAATTTATTTAATATAATTAAAGGTGAGTGGTAAAATGATAAGAGACATGGTCGTTTAGGTACTTTATACATGCAAAATGGCGATAGATACTCTGGTGAATGGAAGGACGGAGAAAAGAATGGATAAGGTGTTTATGAATTCTCCAATTTCGATGTCTATGAAGGCTATTGGTTGAACGGAAAACGTCATGGTAAAGGTATCTACAGATGGAATAATGGAGAACACTACAACGGTGATTGGAAGAATGATAGAATGAATGGCTACGGAGTAATTTATTTATTTATTTATTTAATTATTTTCTAAATTTGGAATTAAACTTATAAATGAAAGGTCTTCACAAAGGTTGATGGTTCTGTTTATGAAGGTGAATTTAAAGACGATGTTGCTGTTTAATAACCTTACTGAAAAAAATTTAATAATATTCTTTCTATTCATTAATAAATTTTATCATTTCTCCAACTTAATAATATTTTATAAAGGATTATATTAAATTTTCTTCTATATTTCACTATATATTGTTTATCAATTAAACTATCAGACATACATAAATAAATACAAATAAAATGCTCTACATAAAAAAGTAATGATTTGCTTTTTATATATGTATGATTTTAAAATTTACAATATCAAATTATAATCAAAATTCATAAATTTAAAAAAAAAAAGGATATTATCATTTAAACAACTCAATATTTCTTAAATATACTAAGAAATTTTTTTAAAGTTTAATGAGCTTTAAAAAATAATTATTTACAAAATATTAAATTAATTTTAATAAAATACCACTTAATAATTGAAAATAAATTATAAAATAAATACAATATTTAGTTCAAAGGAGAAACAGAGTTTACATACTAAATTTACTTTAAACTTAATAAATACTTTGATTCAAATTCTTAATAAAACTATAAAGTATCAGGATATTTTAAATGTGGATATATTGATAATCAGATTTATAATTATGATAAACTAGATTTATTATTGAGGTATCCTTTTTATTTTTTTGTTTATTTTATAGATTTAAAATAATTTATTATAATAAAATATTAAAATTTAAAAATAATTTATTATAATAAAATATTAAAATTTAAAAATAATCAAAACCTTTTAAATGTTAAAACCTAAACTTAAAATTTTTGAAAAATTCTTTTGATTGAACAACTAATGAGAAAATTTTATATTATAATTTTATTATGTTTAGAATATTTAAATAAATACAATCTGATTTAAGAAAATAATGGAATTATATGTAGATTTTTTATAATTTAAATAATTTTAAAAAATCTCTTTTTTTTTAAAATAAAAAACTTAAAATAATGAAAATATATTGATGAGCCTTGATATAAATAATAAAATCTATTCATTTTAATTATTTTGATTGGTTTCTTAAATAAATGGATATTCTTTTTGGTTGTTTTTATAATATCAATGCATAAATGATTTATTTAATTTTTTTTTACAAGATATACAAAATGTTTATTAACTTTTTATGTCAATGTGATAAGTGAGTGTGTTAAATTTAAATAGATTTAAATCAGTCAACATAAAAGATCAACAAAAAATCTTTAAATTTTATACTTAAATCAATCGTTTTACTATAAGTTAAAGTATTTAAAATTGTTTAAATTTATATATTCATTATTTTTTTCACTAGGCGAGCAAGTTTTAGGCAGCTTATTCTTCGGGGGCACCATCTCTACCAGTAGCCTTTTCACCCTTCTTTTCGTGGGAGTATAATTCAGCGATCTTAGTAGCTATTTTATGAAAAAGTAAAGATTAAAAATATGAAATTAAGAATGAGAAAAATAAATAAATTTAAATTTTGTTAAGAAAAATAATTACCATCTAATTTGGGTCTCTTGAGAACCTTAACCTTTCTAATGGTGATGTTTTAGAGAGGGAAGATGTTCTTGGTTTCCTTTTCAATCTTCTTGGTGTAGTCTTCTCCGATGAGGTTCTTGGAGAATTCAGCAATACCCAACTTAGCGGCTTCATTGGTGATGAAGGTGTTGATCTTTCTTCTGATGGCTCTGACTTGAGAAGACTTAGCATAACAAGTAGAGGTGGAAGATTGCTTACCAGCAGAGGTCTTCTTGGTGAAAGCAAGAGTGAAAACTCTGATGATGTAACCGTCGTTGGTCTTGCAGTCAACTCTAGCTTCGATGAGAGTTTACCACTTTCTGATCATGGAGCATAATCTGTCTCTGGTGATGTCCAAACCGTAGAAAGAGGTCTTAGCGTTTCTACCATCGACTTCATCGATAACCAACTTAACCTTTCTCCTATTATATTCAAAACATGATTAGTAACAGAATTTTCTAATATATTTTTTATTTATATCCTTATCATCTACTTATTTATCACAGGATCAAGCCAAAAGATATTAAATCGTTTTAGCTAAAATTCTAAGAATTAATTTTGCTTTGAGAAATAAAATTTTGAATTAATTCAAAAATAAATATCCTAAAATTTATTTAAATTTTTTTGTTGATTTTGGCTCCCTTTTTAAAAGTATGGAATCAATCCTTTTTCTAATTAATCGATAAAAGATATTAAAAAATAACTGCTATTTTCTTTTCAAAAGATCAATTTTTAGTTATGGATTGCTTTTTTTAATTTATTTTTAATAGAAAGTTTATTAACTTTAAAATATATCATTTGTTTTTATGGGAGTATGCATGCATGTATGTATCTTTATCTATTGTTTCTTTTATAGCTAATTCAATAAACAAATTGATTTAGTTATTGTGTATAGAAAATCAGCGATGGTTATTTTTTTATTTATTTATTAATAGCTAAACTAAATTGATTTAAATATTTTTTATTCTTCATTTATAATTTATTAGCAAGTAAGTTGGTTTGCATGCATTATCAACATGCCTGAAGTCATTATTTACTCAAAGCAAAGTTTGATAAGTAGATAAGGTTGCTTTATATATTTTGTAATTAAAAATCATACCAGGCCTTGTCATTAGAGTTATCCTTGAGATCAGCGAGAGTGGATTCAACGACTCTACCCTTAATTTCTTCAGAAGCAATTCCTAATAAAATAAAATATTAAGTTAATTATTTGGATTGATATAGTTTATTGAGAATGTTGGATTTTCAAAACGTGAATTGCTGTTTGTTGATTTTCGACTCATTTAATTGATTATGTTATTTAAAAATCTTTAGCCTCAGTTAATCCGAAAAAAAATTTTAATTTTAAAATATTTTATGTATCAAATGAGTAAGGGTTTCTAGATATTTCATTTTAGATAGTACAATTAACATTAATGTGGTATCTCTTTATTTGGATTAATTAAGTGAGGAGAAAATAAGTAATTAGATAAAGTGTCAATCAACCCATATGCTAACAAATTAAAAGATATCTACAATTAATTCCTTTATATTTTAGAGAGCATTTGGATACGGATATCGAAAGTAGCTAATTTTTTAATTCCTTTTCTCCTTAATCGCATTCAATTCAATTTATTTAGTATATACCAATTTCAATTTGTCTTTTGCTAACTTTAAATGCTATTCGCTAATCTCTTTTTTTACATTAACTATTATTTTTTTTTCTACATATTTAACAGATTTGATTAATTTATTAATTAATTGTCCTATTCACAATTTGAACTTGTACGATCTAAATGAGTAAGCTTGAAGTTAGTGGTGAAATAGTTTACTAATATGTGCGACTCGGTGAATGTTATATAATCGTTTATCATTTAAAGGAGATTTAAAGTTGTCAGATATTCGAAAAAATGGCGATATTCAAAAAATGCAATTCGTTTTGAAAATAAGGAAAATAGAGGAGAGAAATAGTAATCATGATGGAAAAATTCTTACTGTTGCCGGAGCTCTTGGTGACGAGGGTCTTACCGAAGGACTTGGAGGAGAAGGGGATGGGGGCTCTGAAGTCGTACCATTCCTTTCTAGAAAGGGGGTCGATAGTTCTCTTCTTGGCGCCCTTCTTACCACCACCAGCCTTCAAACCAGGATTCTTACCTTGAGTCATTTTTACTTTTGTTCCTTTTTTGTTTTGTGTTTTATTATCTTTAATTATTTCTTAAAAAATTACCCTTGTATTGCTTTTTTAGCTTTGATAACTAATTTAACCCTAAAATTCTTATTATTTTCAAACTATCCCTGGATCAAATTAAACCAATTAATTTTACACTCTAAAAGAGAATCTCCTTTGATAATTAAATACAAAAAAGAAAATTAATACAAAAAATACAAGCGAGATACCTTATTCCTCCCGCTTTAAATACAAGTATTCACTATCATTTTGCACGCTACTCGCAACAATATTTATTTTTCATTCATTTTTATTAGATAATATTAATTCTTTTTCATGTATATATTCTTCTCAGTATAAATCTTATTAAAACTATAAAGCAATTCTTATTGCTTTTTCTTCTTTTGATTTTTGCAAAAAGTAATAACAAATAATCAAACAAAAAAATTAAAAACCAAAGCAAATCCTAGTTTAGTTTATAAAAGCCCACAAGCCCTTCATTTTATACACATTCAAGTACGCTTGCCTCTAATCATTTCATAGAATTTTATAATTTTTCTTCTATCCACAACAATAGCATTTAGCAGAAAATATTTCTATTCTAATAATATATTAATTTAGATAAAATCTACTAAAAAACATTTTATACTCTGCAGCTCTTGTATCAAAAAATTGATTAAAGAAAAATTTAATGATGATGATGATCAAATAATAGATTTTAGCAATATGAATAAAATAATTTCTTTGCTTCATTAATTTATTTGATTATATTAATTATGTTCTATTATTAATAGGAAAATATAAAATATTGAAAAAAAATGTAAATCGACGAAGTTGTTTGGTAAATTATCAATCGTTAATAATGCTCCTTTAAAGTCAAGTAAGCAAACATTACTATATTAAATTATAAATTATTTCATTTAGCCATAGAATAAAAATAGCAATGTTTCTAATAAAACAATTTTGTAAATATAAAATAGAACTGAAACTAGAAATTTCTGCAGAAACGAATATAATTTAACAGGTTTATGTAATCGTCAAGCTTGTCCTTTAGCCAATTCCCAATATGCTACCATAAAACACGAAAAGGGTATTTGCTACCTCTACATCAAAACTGTTGAACGTGCTCACTCTCCAGCAAATATGTGGGAAAAAATTGAGCTTTCTAAAAACTACGAAAAGGTAATTTAAAAAAAAATGAAACATCAATTTAAATTTAAAATGATAAAATCAAAGCCTATTTAACAACTTTAATCCTCCTTAATTTTATCGTTATTATTAACCAATAACTTACTTTTAAGTTCAGCTCTACATACTTTTATTTGAGGATTAAATTTCAGTAGAAATATCTTTTTAATTAATAGATTTTTGCTCTTCCTGCAAAAAGCATAAATTTTGATAGATTTTATCAATAAAAATGAATTTTAAAGAAAAAGAAACAAGAGTGATTAAAATCCTACATAATTTAAATTTATTCTAATTTATTATAATAGGCTCTTGCTCAAATTGAAGAACATCTTCCTTATTGGTCCAACTTTATTATTCACAAGTGTAAATAAAGATTAACAAAGCTTAGATAAATGTTAATCCGTATCAGAAAGATGAAAGTCAAAGGATTGTAAATACATTTTAGATTAAATTTAATATATATGTAATTCCAAATTTTTATTCAGCAAAGAAATAGTACCTATAAAGAAGAAAGCAGAAAGAAGAGATAAAATCAGAGAAACTAAAGCTTTACAAGCTGCTCACATAGAAGAATCTATCGAAAAAGAATTACTTGATAGACTTAAATCCAATGTTTATGAAGATATATATAATACATATCCTAAAGCATTTAATAAAGTTATGGATAATAATGAAATTTATGAACAAGAAGAAGAATAAGATCAAGATGAACTATCTGAAGCTAACATCAGTGATGCTGAATTAATTTATGATGAAAATGATGATGATGAAGACGATGATGATGAAGAAGGAGAAGATGATTTTGATGACGATGAAGAAGATATTGAGGATTCCGAAGAAGATGAAGAAGAATATGATGACGATGGTGAAGTAGCTACAAAAGATAATTGTAAATAAATCATTTTAATTTAAAAGTAGCAAAAGTAATAATTTATATTAAATAAAAAAAGCCCTTAACTAGAAAAGAAAGAATAAATAAAAATCAAATGATTCTGATGAGGAAGATGAAGATGATGAAGAAATTGCTAAGAGTAAAAAACCTGTAAAGAAAGGTAAAAAGATATAGCCTAAAGTTAGACTAGAATACGAAAACGAAAATAATCTTAAAGAAAAAGCTACTAACGTAGAAGAAGATTTAGATTTTTGAAATAAGAGCAGCTACTGTAGCAGTAACAGCTAAACTTAATAAATTAATTTTCAGTGAAAATATTGGAATTAAAAAACTAGAAGAAAAACCTATAACTAAAAAATAAATATAAAACTACTTTGAAAATAGAAGCTATTTAAATATTTTTAATTTGGGTATCAATTATTGTTTGGTATTTTTTACTCAAATCAATCTCTATAAATGCAGTAAATAATTATTATATAATATTAACTCTAAAAATGAAATAATTTTAATATTCAAAAGCTCTCACTATATTTTAAACAAATGCATGCATATTTCTATGTTTTATTACCTTAGATTGATAATTAATTTTATTATTTTTGTACATTTATTTTAATTATTAGTACTCTATAATCTTTCAATTTAATTAAAAGCTTTTTATTTATTTATTTATTTATTTTAAATTGTCTATTTATTTATATTATAAATCCCTCAAATATTTCATTTTCATAAGTTCAATTTACTATTTAATCTTACTAAATTATAACCAATATAATTGATAGGAAAAATAACCATGATTTTAATTAGCAAAATATCCTTAGACAGAAAGATGATTTTGTTAAAATTGTTTTTTGAAGAATTATTTATATTGTTATTTTAAAATTTTTGTATTTCATAGAGAGTAATTTTTAAGTATTAAACAGTAAAATGATTTAATTTTTATACTTTCTATAATATTTTTTTTTAAATTAACTAAATTATGCAATTTAATTTAAAAAAAAATAAAATCTAATAGTTTTATTATTTTTAGAGTTAATTGAGAGAAAAAATAAATGCTATTTTAATAAAATAAATTTTAACGATTTGAGGAATTTATAAAATATTAAATTGATTTTTAATTTTTTATTAAACTTGCTTTACAAGTTAATTCTTTGAAAAATAATAAATTCAAACAAATTAAATAGTAAATCATTTTTAAATTTTAATTTGATTTTTTCATCATTCTATTTATTGTTTAGCTACAAGTCCTAAAACTTTTTACATCTATTTAATCCAAAGATCTGTAATAACTTTCTTATCCCTTTTAATTTAAAAGTAACATTTTAGACAAAAACATATAATTATTTATTTGTTTACTTTAGACCAGATGATCCTAATTTTTTAATAAGGAAAGGAACTACTAAATTTCCACAGTACTTAGCACAGTATAAATTGATAAGTTATTCATCATTTGAGAGTAAAATTATGTTAGTTTCATTATCAAATCTATTTTTTAAATAAATATTGTAACCATTTGAAATTCAAATATATTTACATTGAATACTGCAAACCATATTAAATGATCATATTCACTTCGTCAAATTTTTCTATTTAATGCATTTTGACTGCAAGATATGTAAGTAAAGATTTCTTTTGCTTAGTAGAATATCTTTTTTCAGCAAAAAGACCTTAAATAAATTGCACAGAAATGCTGGTATTGACTAATTTGTTATGCTCTAAATCAATGATCGCCCTATCTATCAAAGATAATCCTTCTAATTTAGTAGCAAACGAAAGTGCATTTCTCTTAATAAACATTTGAGTAAACATATAATGCAAATTAGGGTCAAATACCTTACATAACTCTAAGCAACTATTAAATTCATTATGTTGTAAAAACATACAAAACTTTAAGAATGGGTGAGTCAAATTAATGATTCCTATTTCTCTCTTTTCGTTTATCAAAATTAATTTATAATCATAAATCATTAAAATCTTTAATATCCCAGGAGGTCTTTTTTGTATCTCAGGATATATTGTATCTTAAAATTCTTATTCAAGTTAAGACTAATCTAACTGAGATGAACTTGAGTAGTCTTCTTATCCACTGCACAAGATATCTTCCAGATTTAAAATTTCATTTCTTGAAACAACTCTTTCTAACTTAGCCAAAGGAATATCTAAAACATCATCACTAAAATCGTTTACTAAAACACCTATTTTAAGATTTAAATATTAACTTTTCATTACTTATTTAATTTATTCAAATCACCTATTAAATCTTCAGTTACATAAAAGAACAAGTCTTCTAAAAAATATCCATGAATAATTTATAAGTTTAAACTTTTAAAGAATTAAAAAGTATCCTTCTACTACTTAATAATAAGAAGAAAATCTAAGTAAACAACAATGCATATTTCGTGATTTAAATTCCAATAAACACTGCGTGGCTCTATTATTGGTTTACCAACTTTTATATAAATAGCTGTCTACTTTTAAGTAGTATTTTAAGCTCTCTCTATTTCAAAGAACTCACATTTATTAAGCTTGAGCATTCTCATTTATTCTTTTACTAATTTTTCTTTCTTGTTTAACTCATCCATATCTTTATCCTTATCTGCAATCATTTAGTCTTTTGCTTTGCTATCTTTTATGCTCATTATCTCTTCCATATCTTTATCCGTCATTAAATCTACAATTCCATAAAACTCTCCTGCAAAAAGCTTAGTTGGATTCAAAAATCTTGATAAAAAATTAAACATTTAACTTTAAAATAAATCTTTTAGTAATATTTACGAATCTTTTCTATAAACTTCTTCTACTTTAGCCTTAGGGTCTTCATTGATTTCAAATAATACAAATATAATCTTTTGAATGTGATCTGAGTAAGAAGTGCTATAAGTTTGGATAGTCTTTTGGTTAAAAAGCCCTCCTGTTGAAATTGTTGTTACTTTCTCAGTAGCCTTTATAAATTGGCCAGTTTTATTTATAGGCATCAAAGCTGCAAATTCATCACAATACTAATGCCAAACTAAAGATGTGCAACACCCACTATATAAGCAATCTAATTAACTGAGAAAATGCAAAGTTTCATCTCCATCAAGTAATAAATTGATTTTATTCTTATCTACGAAGTGAGAATTATTTACTTTCAATATTTCGAAATACCCATTTTTTCTACTAAAACAACTAATATATTTACCACTTGTACTGGATAATATCTCACTATCTTCCCAGTTAAAATGATTTTTAAATTAGTATTGTCTGCAAGTGACCTATGAATAGCTTATTTGCTTAAAATGAGTATTCAATAAATTATTTAATGAAATATTAATCTAAAATTAAATTTACTTTATTTTGCTAAGCCTGTAACTCAAACAATGTGCAATTAATTGATTAATTACCTAAATGTAGATAAACAAAATTCATAGTTGTTTAGTTGAGTTGAGCTTTGTTCTCATAGTCTCTTAGCTTAGTTATCATAGCATTATCCATTTTTTTAAGAATTCCGTCATCAATCAAAAAATCTTTCATCTTTTAAAATAAATTGAACAAGTAAAATTATTAGAGCCTCATTTTAACTAAAATAATATTTCATACTTGAGATACTGTGTGATTCGTTGAGAAAAAGTGGTTAAAGCAAATAGGAGGAAGCTTGAATTTGTTAAGATTAATAATATAGAGACCCATATTAGTTCCCAAAAAGATTCTGTTAGGTTTTAATGCATGGATTTGCATTGTAATAATTTTTAAGCTTTTATCAAGTTCTTAGTTATTTTTCAAATCATATAATAAATTTGTAACAATTCTATCACTTTTACTATCTGATCCACTATTTTACTTTGTTATTTAAAACAGACCTAATTCCATTTTGTTCGAGTGGAAAATCAAAGTATTTCCTCCATAACCTTTATAAAAATATATAATATAATTACAATCTTACTCTTGAAAATTATTTATTTATTTACAAGGATGATTGAAAAATAAAGCTTCTTTCACTTAGTCTTTATCCTTTCCATTTTTATACCTTTTTAACTCCATACTAGTCATCATATTCCATACTGTTACCTTTTTTTATAGTCATTAATTTCTTTATTATCTATCTAAATTAAATTTAAAAAATTTACATATCCTTCTGTTACGGTTACCAGACTAAAAGTATTAGGATCATAGGTCATAGAAATTACATTTTCATCATCGTTTGAAGTCTTTTATATAATATTTTAAGTTTAATGAGTAATAAATTTTACTTAAAGAGGAGAGCTATTTAATACAAGAGTACAAATAAATTTACAATCAAAGTAGCATATTTTATTTGCTTAAATTCTATTTTGAAAATATTTTTTAAGGATATTTATGTTGTTTTCTATGCAAATAAGTTTGTATCTTTTATTTAATGTTTGTGTGTCTTTAAAATAAAATTTATTTTATTTGTTGATATAATTTAATTTGAATTGTTGATGCTATTTTGATTGTAATAGAAGCTCTTTAAATTTAATAATTTAATTTCAATAAATCAAACCTTGCCTTTTTTATTCATGAAATAAAGCTTAAAAGAAGGAGTATCGGTGTTAGAATCTACATTCCAGCAAGATATATTTCCATCCAAGGAACTAACAATTAAACGTGGACGACTACTTTGATCTTGCTTGTAAGGAATTATAAAATTGACTGCTTTTGAATGAACTTCTCTCATAGTCTTTGAGAAAATCCACTGATTTATATCAAATATTTTAATAGAGCCATCACCACATCCTATTGCTATGTATTGATAGTCTATGGCTTAAATAATTTTAACACTTTTTTATTCTAAATCTTATGGACTGATTGCTTTGTAGTTATCAAGTATGTAGTCGTAAAAGAATATTTTTGACTCAGAATATATTATTAGCCAATGGTTAGAAAATTTTTTAATGATTTCTTCATATTCTGGAGTGAGTAGGGAGTTGGATGGAAACATCCATTGCAAAGTTTCTGCATCTAAAAATTTTAAACCTTTAATTTCAGTACTTTTTGAGTGATCAATAATATCAATAGTATACGAATGCATACTTTTTATACAAATTTTTCTTTCATAATCCCAAATCTAAACTACATTGTTATTTGTAGAGTAAGCAATCCAAGGCTTAGTCATGTGGTAGTCAATGTATTTAATTTAGCACTAAATTTTAATATCAAAAAACCACTCTACATCTAATTTCTCTAAGTATTACTCCATTTTTTAATAAAGAAAGTCTCTTCTGAATAATTATTTAATGGCAGATTTTTATTAATGTACTTACTTACTTATAATTTTCTACTATTTTATGTGAAATATTTATTAATAATTTATGATCTACTTAGATTTAATTTAAATAAGCAGTTGAAAGAATATCTATTTAATTAAAAATATCAGAAAACAAACACTAAATAAATTAGATAAAGTAAGATATATTATTTTTTAAAATAAACTAAAACTTAACTCCTCTTGTTTGTACATTTTTGTTTGTTTACTTTCTTGCTTATTTGCTTGTATAATTCTAATAAATTATTTTTAACAAGAAAATATTTTTATTTTCATAAAATGTAAAGTGATCATTTTGAAGTATACCATGAAAAATTACTTTCTTAAAAGCTTTGTTTGTTTTTTATGAAATTGAATAAATTTTATTTTATTTTGAAAATAGAAAATAAGTTTAGTTTGCTAGTTATTGCTTCATTGCTGAAATTTAGTTTTACAAAATAAATAGATAGACATTATTTATTATGACTAAATGCAAAATATTATTTATATAAATCAGTTAGGACCTAAATATTCTAAAGTAATTTATTTATGAAAGTTTTTCATGCCAACACTTACTCTTACTTTAAGGTAATCAAATAATTTATGTCTGTTTCCATTTACAACGAAATCCTATTTTTAAAATATTATTTTAATTAATATTATCCACATAAATAAATTTTAAATTACAATTATTAAAGATTAATTTTGTTTGAGCTCTTGCAACAATTTCTCGTTTTCTTTTAAATCTTTTTCACTAAATTTAATTTGTCCTTCTAAACCATAACGAGGAACAACAACAGTAGCACCAGTTTTACTAATGCTTGATACCATAGCAACTTCTTCAATTTGTTTATCCTGTTTTTTTATAATTTTTTTTACTTAAATAAATAAAAAATCTAATTAATTACTTTAAAAAATAAATAAGTGTTATAATCTGAGCTGGAGCGTGATGCAAAACGAGCCATACGATTTCTCATATTCATTTTTTCGCAAATTTTAGCCATTTTAAGCTTGTTTGACATATATGCTGGAATAGCTTCAATATCAATAGCGGCAGCAAGGAGTCTGTGAACTAAAACATCAGCATATCTACGAATTGGAGAGGTGAAGTGAGTATAAAGGGGTGCAGCCAAACCATAATGATAAAATTCAGGATAATCAGCATCAGCTGTACAAAAATATGTGGCTTCATTCATGGATCTGGTAGTCATGATACGAACCAATTTATTAAAGAAATGATCATTAGGTCTGTTTACTTTATCCAAACTATCTGCTAAATTCTAAAAATAAAAAACTTAAATACAACTATTCTTTAACAAGAAAAGTTAAATATTACCCTGTTTGAAGAGTAATCAAGATTAAATCCAATCTTTTATAAAATTTATGAGAGTTCTTTTATTTATTTAGGTTTAGGCTAGGAGTGCTAACGTAAAATAGAAATAGAAGGGAAGTGAGATACTATCTTTTCAGCAACTGCAACATTTCCAAGAAGCATAAACTCTTCAATAAGAGAGTTAGTTTCATACATTTGGTAGAATTAAACATCAACTGGATTATGTGTTTCATCATCAAATGTGAATTTAACTTAAGTTGAAGCTAATGATAAGGCACCGTTTTCGATTCTTTTTTACTTTAATTTCTTTGCAAGCATATTTAAATTTCTAAGTAATAAAGTAAAACAATTACATTAATTTTTTAAAAAATATTTATCATCAAAGAAGATAGATAAAAAATTTACCTTATAGATTTGGTAAGCTCTGAATTGTCATTAACGTCATCAATCATAGATTGTGCTTTACCGTAATTGAGAGAAGCAACTGATCTGATTATTGACTTATGATAGCGAGTTTCAATAATGTTAGCATCTTTATCCATTACCCAAACAACTGAAAATGCTAGTCTGTCACCATCGTCTTTTAAAGAGCAGAGTGTTTCGGTTAAAAGCTTTGGAAGCATATCTGTTCTTCTATCTACTAAATAGACAGTAGTACATCTTTTTGTTTATTTTTTATTAATTACTATTTAAAATAAATTTATTTTTTGAAATATACCTATTTTAGGCTTCTTTGTCAATAGCAGTATCAGGACGAACAAAATAGCTTACGTCTGCAATATGTACACCAACTTCAAAATTACCATTTGGTAAAGATATACAGTGAAGAGCATCATCAATATCTTTACACCCAGGAGGATCAATACTACAGACATTAATTCCTCTTAAGTCAACTCTCTTTTTTATTTCTGATTATGGAATTTACCATTTATCGTCTTATGGAGGTAAACAATCAAGAACTTACTTAGAAAAAGCTCTATATTCAACGTTGTGTTCTAGCAAAATAACATCTCCTTCAGCCTTAGTATCTCCTGAATCACCAATAAGCATCTTGAAATGTCCTAAAGGATATTTAGAAGATTTACTCCAGTTATCGAAACCAATTTATATTTTTTTTCCTTATAATTGAGATCCCTTTTTATTTTTATAGATAAGTATATTTTAAAAATGATAAAAATATCTACATTTGTGGTTCTTAAGTAGAAATGGGGGAAACGTCCATCTGCAGGAATAAATTCTCTAAGTTCTATACCACTAGGTAAATTTGGTAAATTGATAGCTTCTGGTGTAACTTCTCCGCAGAAATATCTTTAGATTCTTTTTATAACTCCGACTACTCTACCAGTAGGATTTAAGTTTAATTTTTTAATTTTTTCTACTACATTTAAATATTTTTCTTCTAACTATTTATTAGAATTGTTTGTTTTGACAGCTTCATGCACATTCTTGAAATCTTCTTCTTCGTCTTCATTATCACCCATATAATTTGATGATATCCACTCTTTAATAAATTAAAATAAAAATATTTAAATCTTTTGTAGATAGATAAATGGCATGTAAATTACCGTTCTCTGGTAAAAGCTCTATAGCTATTAAATCTCCATGCAAAGCACGATTTAAGTTAGGTTATCCAATGATCTTAATTTCAAAATCATATTTTGGGATAAATACAGTACCATCATTAATATCGTTTCTATCTATCTTAAGTTTACCTTAGAACAGGTCACCTGCTTTGACCTTATTACTCAATTCATTCAAAGTAAGGTGTTCTTAGAATAGAACCTATTATCCTTCAAATTCAATATCCATAGCCTACTCTGAGATACCCAAAAAATCCATCAAATTAGGATATTCACCTTTAATCGATTTAACAAACTCAAATATAGTGGTCGAGTTTAATCCTTTTTCCAAAGCAATTTTATGAGATTAGTAATCGCTTGTAATAAATAATATCTCAATATCTCTCATACTGCTCTATAAATAGAAAATATTATTATATCAACAATTATAAACTATTACTATTTATATAAGTCTTTACCTTTAAATGATTTTAATACCAAACAGCTGCTTCAAGCACTGCACGAGTATCTCTTGTTTCTTACTTTTCATTTTATTGGATGGGAGTGTATGTGTATTTGCTATATTCGTTAGCATATATATGTATATTTCTATAAATTTCACCCTCAACTAAATTTCTCAAGCTTGTATATGTGTTTTGGTTTCTAAATTTATTAAAAATAAACTTTAATTTTTAAAATACCTATTGAATGTATTTTATTTACTTTTTTTAAATGTTGTGCACAGTAGTTTGCATTAAAACTACATTCACAAGTTTTGGGCAATTAAGAATGACATCTAACTAAGTTAAGACGGTATATTCATCTAAAATAAAAATTGTTCTATCTTCTCCTTCAATATGTAGAGTATTTCCTGTTGGATTAAAGTTAAATTTTAGTTAATTTCTACGATAGTTATTATTATTCTAAATATTATTTCTAATATTCTACCAGGTGTTTTGCATATTTGGCAATTCACTAAACCACATGAGATATCATCTCTTAAATACAATTCAGTGACCTTTTTGCCGATACCTCCTCTTCTATACTTCTCAAATTGAACGCTAATTGATGTGTTCATTTTATTTTGCTAAATTTATGAAATGTTTTATTCTAATTTAAATTATAACCTTAATTATATATCTCTCTCTACTTAATTAAATAAAAGATATGCAAATTATTTGCTATTGAAAACCTTTATCTAGGTGCTATTAATTCTAAATAGCTATATTGGATTGATAATATTTAGCTTTCAATTAATTTTCTTATTGATCAATATTCTTCAATGCTCTTCTTTTATTAATTATAAATAGTGAACTAATAAATAAATAAACAAACTAGCTATCAAAAACTCATTATAATTTTTTAAGAAATAAAATAATTTTTAAATTTAAATAATATTTTGACAATTATCTTTTGTTTAAATTGGCAAATAAATCATTAGAATATTTTAAATATTTATTTTTAAAAAAATTTGTTTCATTTTAAATAATATTTAAGATTTATTATTTTTGTTAATTCTGAAAATTATGGATTTAATATGATTTTAGAAATATCAAAAATCAAAAATCATCAATCATTTAAAATTTCAAAATTAGTAATTATATTATTTGTTTATTAATTTTATATAATTGTTCTTAATATTTTACATACAAAATCTTATTGTTTTAAGTTAGACTTTGTAGGAATTTTTAAAGTTTTAAGAGTTTTTAAGTTTAAAACTTAAGTAGAATAAATTAGTAAAAATATTTTAAAATAAAAATGAATGCAAAAAAAAAGTAAGAAAAGATAGATATGACATATATCAATGCTGCAGCTCTTTAGGATCATTATTTAAGAAGTGTGAATATAAATTTGAAACCTACTCAAGGCGTTAACAATAATAGGATCATCAAAAACCTTAAAAAGAGCTAAAATAATAGAGTGCTATAAAATAGTGCTTAGCAAATTTTATAATGGGGAAGATAACATCTTGAAGAATAAGCTCAACAATAAGAGCAAATACAAACAAATTAAATAAATAGCACTTATAATTCACAAGGATTTCAAAATAATAATATTCATACTCTATCTAGTATTAATAGTTAAAGGATATAAAGCGAAAATCAAATAGGCAATGTAAATTTTACCTTAATATTCAAATCAATTGAATCATGTTATATTTTTTAATAAACAGAGTCATAGAAATAATATTGAGAACATAAATTTAAGACAAAATTCTATGTAAGAGGGAATAAGTTCTAACAATTTAAACTCTTAAAGCAGTGAACAACGTAAAAATAGCTCCCAAGGATAAAGGAATAACAAATATATAAGAATAGGTCACTAAAAAATTCAATTAAACCCAATTGATTTAGGAAAGAAAGAAAAAAAATAATTTTTACCTCCTCTTCCTCATGAAATAGACTAGATAAGAATAAAAGAGGAAGAAAAAAATGATAAAGTTAAAATGAATAGCTATTTAAATAAACTAACTTTAGCTCAAAGGTAATGCATTTATTATATATATTACAATCTTTATTATAATAATTTTTAAGTAAATGAATAAAATTATATTTTGAAATAAATTTAATAAAAATGTCGAAAGAATGAAATTTAATTATTTAAATTTATTTTTCAATTAACTAAAAAATGTTAACTTATTTACAGTTTAGAATAGAATTTTAATTTTATTTTAATTTTTAATTTTTAGGCTGGGAATAGTTCCTGCTCCACCTAAACCCCTTACTCGAGAAGATTGGATTACAATTGAAGAATAGTCAAAGAAAAGAGATGAAGGATAGTGTCCTATTTGCTTGGAAGATTTTAAAGATTAAGGTTAGATAATTCTAAGTTGTTCTCATGTTTTTCATAAATAATGCCTTGAAAGCTTTGAAAAGCATAATAAAGTTAAAACTTGCCCTATATGTCGTAAGCAGCACTATGATAAAAAACACTGGGATGATGGATATAAAAAATATATAATAAGATGTGCGATTTTAATTTAGAAGAGGTGGAGAGGAGGAAAAGCTAGATATGAATTCTTTACTGATTTACTTAATAAAAAGTATAAAGCAACGTCAGCTAGATTAAGGAGAAAAATATTAGGCTATAAATTAGGGAAATTCAACTCTAAAATAACAACAGCAATAGAATAAAATAGTAAAAATACTTAAAAGGTTGTAAAGTAATTCGATGAAAATATAAAGAAGAAAATTGAGGAAATGTATTCCTAGATGTATGAAATCTAACAGCTAAAAACAAAGAATGAGAAGAACTTAAATGAATTCTTAGGAAATGAAGCACAAATAGCTTTATAAAATCATCCAGATTATGAAAAGGTGATGGATGCTGAATTGAATGGGTAAAGAAGACTTAAATAAAAAATAATAAGTGAATCTGAATGGAATGAAATTAAAAACAAAGCTATTAATAGATGCGATAAAGATTGCGCAATTTGTTTTAATAATTTATATCTAAACGATCATCTTTAAGAAGAAAATACTCATGTTCATAGCGAAGATAAGTAATGCTGCTCTTAACCAAATAATTAGAAGCAAAAGAAAGGGTTGTATATACTATCTTGCACTCATATTTTTCATGCTAACTGCTTAACCGCTTTCGAGAGGTACAATCTACAAGAAAACTAAGTTTGCCCAATTTGCAGATCTTAGTATTAGAAGCAGCATTTCATATTTAAAAAATGATCAAATCAAAAATTAATCATAAATAAAATAAAATCACCAAATTTATATTATAATAAAACTTTTTAAAAATATTCTTATTATATTTGTAGAAAAACTTCTTTAACTTCTCTTTGTATAAATCAGTGAATAAACAAATAAATAAATAATTCTGTAAATTTAAATCTCTTGATATTAAAATTTTAAATAAGAGTCACTTCTCCACAAACTAAGCTGGCTATTTGCATATAAAAAAATTAATAATTAGAGTTTAAACATTTAAAACAACTATTTTCTGTATAAAAGATAAAAATTATGTCATAATTTGCCTTTATTTAATATAAAACTTTGTAAGCTTACAGAAAAATAAAAGCAGGTAAAGCCATAAAATAATTACATAAATTATTTAATAAAAAACAACAATTTTTATTCTTTAAATCTACTCTTATTGAACTTTAATTTAAGTCTGATATTTTAAAATCAAGCCATTTTTTTCATATTAAAAAAAATTATTTGCAAGTATTCATCTACTCTTAGTATCTTTAAATTTTAAATAACTTACTTATGGGCACATTTTTCTTTGAAGTAAAAATTGATCAGCAATTTATATTTGCAGCAAAATTGTTGAATAATTAGATAAATGTTTACTACATGGAATTACATCCATCTACGGAATCAATCAGAATCTTAATTAATTAAAAGATTCATATAAAAGTAGAATAAATAATCATTATTTATAAACAATTACTTAATTGGTAAAAAATTCAAACAAAAATAAGAAGCAAAAATTGAAAAAAAGACAGGTAGTTAGTGTTTTAAAAAGTCAAACCTAAACAGCTTTACATACAACAATAAGTTAAGTCTAAATATAAAAATAAAGCTATAACATCTAATTAGTAATGTATCTAGAAAAAAGTAGTGTTGTAGTCATCACTGGGGGTTCTTCAGGGATAGGAGAAGCTCTTGTCAAGCTTTTCTTAGAAAGAGAGTGCATGGTAATCATAGTAGACAAGAAAGAAGGAAACTCACCTTAACTTTAGTATCATTATGGATCAAATAGGTGTCAGTTCTATTAGTGTGATGTCCTTGATGAGTTACAAGTTTCAGAGTTATTCATCAAATTGATGGAGAGACATGTTCGCATTGATTTTCTTTACAATGCAGCTGCTATTAATAAATTCAATGATGATCCTTCTCTCTAGCCTTCAGCAAAAATGACCAAATATGCTTGCATAATGATGACAAACCAAAAAGGCGCCAAAAAAGACTAGCCTTACTAAGGTGTAATTGTTGATTTGGCATAAGGTTCCAAGTAAGGTGTAGATGACGTTTCAACTAATGGAATGTGCCCTGTTTACTTCAGACATGGAATCAGAATTATTAATACTCCTTTTTGTGCATTCACTGACTCAATATCAAAGCAATAAATAAAAGATATCGTATACAGTATCTTCAAGCTCTCAATATCAGATTAGAAGTTTACCGAATTTCTACAGCTATCACCAATAGGATCACCATCTCTATGAGACAAGAAATCTAAAAATACTAACTTTGTTAGCCAGCTAGCTAGCTAAATAATTAACAATCTATACTTAATTAACTCTATTTATAACTAACCCTTTTAAAATAATAATAATATATGAAAATAATTAATGGTAACAAAATAAATTCTACAACATTACTAATATATATTAAAATTAATTTTCTATTTGTACTATTTTAGCATACTATATATTTATATAAATAAAGATGTATAACATTTTATTTTAATTAAATTCTCATCAAAATTTATATTCCTATCAAACGCAATTCACATTCACCAAAAAAAAAAAACATTAATATTCTAAATTTTACTTGTCATTTTACTCTATATCAGTTAATACTTGCTTCTAATCTTTCATAAATATATTTATAAGAATAAGTTATCCAGATTTTTGATAATAAATAATTCAGCTATTTTTAGAATCATTATTTAGATTTAATTTCACTATTGCTATCAAATTTATTTTATTACAAAATTTTTTACTTTGTTGATCAGAAATGATCAAATATAAATTAAGAAGACCTAATTATTTCAAATAAAGAAATAGTATTATTTCTGATCAATTTTAAAAGTAATTTAAATTAATCTTATAAGTAATTTAAAGCAATTTCAAGAATTGTAAAATTTTATTTATTTTAAAGATTTTTTGAAAAATATACTCAAAAAAAACAATCTCATTAATTTATAAATACGTTTAGTCAGCCAATAAATTAAAGCTAAATATTTGTTAGAAGAGTAGAAATATAAATTTTTTTTTTTTTGTTATTTTATAAGTGATTTGTTAATATGATATCATTCTATTTAGAATTAGTGCATCTTATCATAAATAATTCATCACTAAATTATTTAATTAAAAATTATTGTATTTTTTGTTACGACTTAATTTATCTTGCATAAAATGCTGTCATCTGTCATATTGATTAGTATTATTTAAAATATTACTAAATTCTTATTTTTAATTATTTACCTTCATATACTAATAATTTTATAATTATATTATCATATTATCAGTTATTTTTTAAAGGAGATCATTAATTCATTTTTTTAATAATATTTTACCTAAATTTTTATTATTTATAAGAAGCAAATATAAATTTCCCACTTAAACTTTTAAAAAAAATTAAATTTAAATTTGTTTTTTAGGTATGAAAAAAAAATATTTTTGATTTAAATTTCATCAAAAGTAGAAAATATTAGTAATTTAATTCTTTTGTATTTTTAGAGTCATTAAAAAACAGAATGACATAATGTTTTGTCTTTTATTCTATAATATATTGAATGTATTATTTTGCATTAGGTAAGAATTAGTCAAAAAAAATTGAATGTATTTTTTTCATAATTTTACAAATAAATTCCAAAAATAAATTTTAAAAATAAAACACAAAATAAATTAGAGAAAGTAGAAATTTAATAGATCGATTAGCAATAAGAGTTTTTATCAAATTATTTTAAGTATGAGATAATTATGTAGATTTAATATTGCCAATTAAGAATAAATAATAATTTATTATCTGATATACCTCAATTTTAATATGGCTATAATCCACTTATTTTTTAACAAATAAATCTTTAAAAAAGGTTAAAATAAAGCTTAGTATTCAAATAATTTTATTAATTTATATTAAATAAAGTAAAATTATATCATTAGCAGAAATAATTGAATTTCTAAATAAAGTTATATATGAAAAATAAAACCTCAAAAAAGTATAAATATTTCATCAAATGTCAAAAGAATAACTCTGTTTCTTTTTAGTAATTCATATTCTTAATATTGAATATTTAATAGGTAAATATTCAGTTTTTTTTATTAATTTTTGAGCCAATATTCAGTATTCCGTTTTCAAAAATATATGAAATATTATTATATACAGCTTTCTGTAAATTTTGTAATATCAAATTGGGTCAAATTCAAATCCTGTAATTAAAGTAATACTAATATTTATTGCTTAAGAGAAAATAAAAAATGCTAATTATACTTCAAACTGAGATTATTTCAAATTAAAAATGTTTAAACTGTAAAATTAATTTATTTAGATTAATACATAGATTTAGATTATATGGCTAACTGCGAGGATTCGAAAAAAAATATAAATTTTTATATTAATTATTGTGAATTTAGGGTCCAAAATCCTTCAATTCTTGCCAAAAGTTGCAAAATTTTCAATTTAACTTTTTACTTGTAACCCTATTTTTTGCAGATAAATTCTTTTTACTATTAATTAAATATTTTAAAATGTTTATGTTCAAAGTTGAAAAATAAATCCTATCATATTAGTTGAGTTTGAATATTTTTAAATATTATAAATTTTTTCTCTTATATTAATTAGAATACAGACACATAAAAATTTTTACACTCTGCTTAGTAAAGTAAAAAATGGCACCTCTTTAATTTACTTGATACAAAATTAAAATTTGACTATTTTATGAATTTAAAGGAAATTGAATAGAAATATCTCATAATTTTTACTTCACAAAATATTCATCTTAAGTATCACATAAAGAGTTACAAGTAAATATCATTTTAAAATAGATAAGATCCAGTAGAACACTTAGTATATTTGTAATTGGGGATTCAAGAAATATATTATGATCTATTGATAATACTATACCTATAAATACAATTTATATGAACAATATAGCTTAGACCATAGCTATTCTTGCAGGCGGTTAATAAATAGGTATTTATTGTCTCTATTTTTTTTTTATTAGTAAATAATAAAATTTTATAATGAAAAGTATATCTATTTATCTTATTTTTATTTTATATAAAATAATCATTTTAAGTATCACATATGATTTACATTTGCCGTCTTAAAATAAATAACATCTAAATAGATGCTAAGTAAATTAAAAACTATTTTGGTATTCATCACAATTAGAATAAATAGAAATAATTAGGTTTTACTCATATTAAAAAATGCTATCCTTATTATTTTTAAGAATAAAAAAGTTCAATTTTAAGATATTTTTTTGACTTACAAACTTAATTAAATGTGATAAAGTCAAAATTTCATTTTATTTTTATCATTTAAACATGATTGAATTTTTTGAATCAAGATCTTTTGAATTATTTTTAAAATTACTATAAAAATAAAGAGTTTTATCCTTATATTATCAAATAAATAAATAAATACTTGTTCAAAATGGCAATAAAAATCATAAATTGCTAGATATAAACCAAATTAAAATTAGAAGTATCAATGTTGCTTAAATGATAAATTACTATAAAAATTATTAGAGATGCTTAACTAAAAGCGAATAAATAATTGAATTTGTATTTAGGATATCCATAACAAAATAAGTATTTCTTCCAAGCAAAATAATATATATTTTGCTTACATTTTTCAATAATTTTAATATTAAAATCCATAGAAGCAAATGTATAATCTAATTTTTTGATTATATTTTTTGTTTAATACCCTGAAAGATAGGTATTCTTATATTTATTTTTCTATCTGTCAATATTTACATATTTTTTAACAAAGCATTATTTCAATTTTATTTGCTTGGATTGTGCAATACTTTAGCAATTTTAAATAAACAAGATACAATACTTGTCAAATACTTAATTTTTATTTGTTTAATTTTTTTGATAAATTTATTATCACATACATTATTACAAGCACGTTGATAAAATTAGAAATTCTTTAATAATTATTAACACTTTGAAGTGGGTCCCAGGCCCAATCTAAAAAATTTAATGTATGCCCCGCCCCGTTGGACAGTTGTATAATTTTCTATTATATATTTTTATTTAATAAAATTTAATTACCTCAACTGCAATTTCTGTAATCTAAATTAATTAGAAATATTTTTGAACCAAGGAAACATTTAGTTTTATTTTAAAATATTGTTCTATCTAAAATAAATATATTTTGCTTTAACAAAATTTCAAAAATATTTAACAAAAAGCTTTTGTAAGATAAAACTAAAAATATTTAAGAATGATTATGTATTATATCATTTAAATATAATCATTTATAACATCCAAAAAGAAATTTTATTAAGTATTAATAATTATAAATACATTTCCAATTATTAAGTTTTCATTTGTAGTAAATTGAGAATATAAAGATATTTTAGACTAAATAAAAGTTTCTATTTCTTTTTGAAGTCATCTCATATACAAACTTTTATTTTTGATATTACTTTTAAAATAGAAATTTATTATAATATTCTCCAAAAAAATTATTTAATTGCTACAATTTTTTAAAGTTTTTAAAAATGTAAAAGATTTGAAGAATTCGCTAATTATTTTTAATGAAAGAAAAATTTATTTTTTTGTTGGAGCAAATGAAAAAAAAGAGTATTTTCTTTTAGTTGGAATTATTCATGTAAACTTTAATCTATATGTATGGTATTCGTTGGAGTTAAAAGGAAAAAAAAACTTAATATACCTTTACTAAACGATGTAAATAGTTTCTAATAAATGAATATTTATTAAATTAATTAAATTTTGTCTTTTATTACGGATTTTGTGGGCAAAACTTAATGATTTACATAATTAAAGATTGTGTAACAATGTATCACTTTTTATTTGATAATTAAAAATAAATTAATTAAAAAGAATAACTGCGTCATAATCTTTTAAAAAATACAATATTTAATGAATACTAAAAAATATCTACAACTCTATTTAATAGTAAAATATGATTTCAATATTCAATTACAATACAATATTTCGATGTTTTGCTATTTAAGTATTTAATTTAAAGAGAAGCGAAAACATAAATCTAGTACTTTACTATATTTTCAACTATCATAATTTTAGTAATAGCTAAAATATGATTATTAATTTAAAAAGAACTTTCGTCAGTTAAGCATTACATAATTTTGACCTTGAAATCGATTGCAAGGATATTTTTAAATTGCACTAAAGAAAAAATAAGATTTAAATATTTGGAAAATATTTATTTTTAATTTCATATCACAACATACATATTTAATAATAACGTATAATTTAATACTAGACTTTTTATACATATTTTATTCACTTTTGTTTTGAAATTAATTGTTAATATAAATTTGAATATATTTTTTGTTTTAATGAATCTATCTAACCAATCAATAACTTCCATACTAGCTATATATCTTGTTATAAGTAGCAAATAGCTTTCTCTGTATAATAAAAATAAATAGTTAACAAATATAAAAAATAAATCCTTCTTAGAAAATAGTAAATAAAATCGAGTATCTAATTTCAGTAATATTAACAAAATTAAGAAAAAGCTTTAAATTATAAACTGTTTAAATAAAATGAGAATTATTATAATATTAATATCGTTATTTATTATTTAAATAATTAAAGGTACCATTAAATATTTAAGTAAATATATTTAAATATCAAAACTCTTTTATAAAAAAAGCTGTAGAAAAAAACTATGAAGACTAACAGATTTCTTTCTCTCCTATAATTTAATAATTTGATATAAACTAAGTATAGTTTTACTCTTAAGCCTTCGACCATCATATTAAGATCTTTTGTTTGTTTGAGCCAACTTTAAATTAATCTAGAGATTTTGTTTTCCATTTTAGCTTTTAACTTAAATCTAAGTAATTTATTATTATTAATTAATTTTTTTTGTGGATTAATTTATTTTTGAAAAGATTAAATAAGAAAATAAGATGGATAATGGTGTATTTAGATAAATCTATTGAGTCAGGAATAATTGAAGAATAAGGAATATAAATATTCTATCTAAGTACTAAATACAAATCAAACTAAAATACAATTTTATCAGATCACCTCAAATAAATCGAAATGACTTTTTTTATTGATGAACAAGAAATTAATCCAACTACTTTAGTTGATTAATTTGAATTTTTATAGTAAATTTTTTATAATCATAAAAAAATATTTATTCTTAAAAAAGAATTTAAATATTAAATTTAATAAAATTTAACTTAATAAAATAAAAAGCTTGCATATTAGAGAAAATTATGAAACTACTAGTAAAAAGTTTAGACTGTTGTAAACAAAAGTGTCTGGAGCTTGCTCTATAGGTTAATTTAAAAATAAAGATAGTACTTGCGGTACTTGTACATCAAATTGTAATTTCTGCTCAGATAGTGGTTCTAGTAGTTGCTTTGTTTGCAAAGATACTTATTACTAATCAGGAACTAATGACTTTTTTAGAGTAAAAGGATCCTGTTCCAATGGATCTTCAGGTTGTGGTTCTTATCATACCAAAGTTAGTGGTAAATGTTGTCTTTACAATTGCAAAAGTTGTGACTAATACGATAAATGCTTAACTGCAGGTACTAATTAAATTTTTAACTATAAAAATAATGACCTGTAAACAAAATCAGGTGTTTGTCTAAGTTCTGTTAATTTATATAACGCTGCTTGCGTTTGCGCTCCTGGATAATATAATAATAGTGCTAGCTCTATTACTTGCTCTGCTTGTCCTACTAACTGCAACAGGTGTGGAAAGCCTTCAAGTACAATTATATGTGTTATATGCAAGTCCGGATACTATTTATCTTCATCAGGAAATTGTGTTCAATGTGGACCAAACACATTTACATAATATTTATTAAGGGATGATCTTGCAGATGAAGGTAATCCTTTTTCTTATTGCTTAGACTGTGACTCTTCTTGCAATGGATGTACAAATTATGATTAATATAGTTGCATTGATTGTAAAGCAGGGTGGTATAAATTTGTTTAATTAGATGGTAAAACAATATGCATGGATTGTTAAGCCAGTTTAGGATATTTTGTGAAAGGCGGTCAGTGTTATAATCAATGCGGACCTAATTGCTAAGCTTGTGATTAAAATTTAGCATCAGAATGTACAAACTGTTTGTCTGGTTTCTATCTTAAAGTTGATACAAAAACATGTGATCCCTGCAATTTAAATTATTACTACAAATCTTCGAGTCAATGTCTTAAATGTGTTGATAAGTGTAAAACCTGTACTTCAGGAACATCTTGCACTTTATGTGATACAGGATTTTTTGTAAAAGGAGGCAATACATGTGATATATGTAGCTCAAATACAGGTTTTTATTAAGATGTTCCTAACAATAAATGCTTAGCATGTGCATAATTTTGTCTAAATTGTACTGGTGGTTAACCATAAAACTGTACCTAATGTTAAACAGACTACTATAAATATGATAATAATACAGAAAATAATCCTGCTGATGATTATTGTATTGACTGCAATTTATCTGGTGGATATTTTCTTGATGGTACTACATGCAGAAAATGTTAAGCTAATTGCCAAAAATGTTCTAATAAATTAACCTGTGATCTTTGTAATACAGGTTTTTATGTAGACCAAACTACTGGTACATGTATATCTACTTGTGATACTTCTTAAGGAAATTACATATGGAACGGAACTCATTGCAAAAAATGTGATTCTGACTGTTAGACATGCAAAGGAGGTGCAAAAACAGATTGCATTAACTGTGCCCCCTCTAAATATAAATTCGATTAAAATAACACTCCAGGTGATACAAGCGATGACATATGTGTAAAGTGTGATCAAATTTAATAATTTGTTAATATTGATAATATATGTAAAAGATGCGATCCTACATGCTAAACATGTAACAGCACTACAAATACAGGATGCATTAAATGCTAATCAGGTTTAAGCAAGAGAAATTTTGTTTGTCTGAATTGTTCAACAATTTAAAGTACTTATGTTGATATTGATCAATGCAAAGATTGTGATCCTTCCTGTCAATCTTGCTCAAAAGCAGGAAATTAATGTGATGTTTGTAAATCTGGTTTTTCTAGACAATCAAATAGTTGCATAGATTGCTCAAAACTTTCAAATTATTATGTAGATTTCACAATTAATAAAACGGAAGGAGAATGCAAGTAATGTGATTCATCTTGTGCAACTTGTTATGACGGAACCCCTACTGGCTGTAAAACTTGTGCAAGTGGAAAATATAGATTAGGCAACTTATGTGTTAGTTGTAATCTAGATAAATAAATAAAAAATGATAATACCTAAACCTGTGATGATTAATGCCATCCATCATGTAAATATTGCTCAGGTTCTTCTGAAACTGAATGCTTGAAATGCGAAGTTGGATATTATAAGTTAGGAAATAAATGTGTTTAGTGCAATTAAGATAAATATTTTAAAAATGAAAACACATAGACTTGTGATTAATGCCATTCTTCCTGCAAAACTTGTAGTGACTCATCTAATCTTGGTTGTTTAGTTTGTGATGATGCCATGAAAAGATATTAAGATGGTACTTGCTAAGTATGTGATCCAGCTAATTCACCCTATTTTATATCAGGTAATAATTGCTTAAAATGCGATTCTTCCTGCTTAACATGTACTGGTGATAAAGATACCTAATGTACTTAGTGCAATAATCCTGCATATAAAATAAGAGAAGTAGTAAATTAATGTATGCCATGTCCTGATAATTACTTTTCGATAAATAATTATTGTTACAAATGTCATTCTTCCTGCGAAACATGTTAAGGTTCTAATGATGATAAAAGCTGTACTAAATGTAAAGCAGGATTTAATTTCCATTAAGATAATACATGTAGTGAATGCTTAGTAAATAATAAATTTTACATAGATGCTAATGATAATGTATGCAAAAGTTGTGACTCCACTTGCTTGACATGTACAGGACCTAGTAAATTCGAATGCACAAATTGTGACGGAACATTAAAAAAGCTCAAAGATAATACTTGTGTTGATTGTCCATTAATAGGATTCTATGTAAATGGTGAAAGATGCTACAAATGTGATTCCACATGTAAAACTTGTGATGGTGAAAATGATACTAGTTGCACTCAATGCTAAGATAATTTATATAAATTTATTGATGACGGAAAATGCAAGACTTGTAACAAAGAAAATAAATTATATATCGACACTCAAGATAATAATATTTGTAAGCACTGCCATACAACTTGTAAAGAATGCTAAAATGGAACAGATACAGGTTGTACTATTTGTAATGATAACCTTTATAAAATGAAAGATTAAACCTGTTAAACCTGCCCTGATCAACACTTTTTCAAATAAGGAGAATTTTGTATAGAATGTGATTAATCTTGCCTCACATGCTCAGATAACACTAACAAATGTATCAAATGCGATAATACTAAAGGTTACTATTTTGATAAAAATAATTTCTGTAGAATATGTGAAAGTGATAAATCTTTTTATATTTCTGGTGAATTTTGCAAACCTTGTTTCTCAAATTGCAGTACATGCTTAGGTGGTTTATCTACTGAATGTAAAACTTGTTTAAATCCTACTGAAAAATTGATGCCTGATAATAGCTGCAATATTTGTACAACTGATAATTATTTTATGCAAGGAGATAGATGTGTCCCATGCGATCAAACTTGTAAATAATGTCATGGTGCTTCTGCAAATGAATGCACACTATGCTAGAATGGATAGTATTTATTTAAGGATAATTCTTGTGCCATATGCCCTAGTGAAGGTTATTTTATAAAGGATATTAATTGTTTTTAGTGTACTTAAAATTGTAAAATTTGTACAAATGAAAATAATGATGGTTGCTAGTAATGTATGGGAAGTAAAAAATTAGATAAAAATAATGTTTGCATAGATTGCCCAATAACTGAATTTTACTAAACACCTACTTAATGTCTTGAATGCCATTAAAATTGTCTTACTTGTAATAATGAAGGTATTTATTGATTTTATTTTTAAAAATTAAAGTTAATTTAATTTATTATTTTAATAGACTCTACAAGTTGTTTAACTTGTAAAACTGGATTTAGTAAAATGTTAGATGGTAGTTGTCAAACATGTCCCTTAACTAATTTTTATGATGATGGAATTAATTGCACTCCATGCCATCCTTCATGTGAAGTTTGTAAAGGACTTACAGAAAATGATTGTTTAAATTGTCCAAGTGGCAAATATTTTATGCCAGATAAAACTTGCAAAGTGTGTCCAATAAATAATCAATTTTACATAGATGGCTTATAGTGCGTACCTTGTTTTGAAGGCACATGCTAAATGGAAAGGAAAAAAATTAATGTTCAACATGTTAAACAGGACTTTATTTATATTCAGATAATTAATGTGGAAGTTGTAGTGAAAATTATTATTTCAGGGATGATCAAAATATGCTATGTAAGAAATGTGATACATCTTGTATGACTTGTCATGGAGCACTTGATACTGAATGTGATTTATGTGACACAAATAAATATAAATATCCTGATTAGAAATGTAGAGAATGTGATATAAATAATAAAAAATTTATTTCATAAACAAATATATGCTTAGATTGCGATAGTTCTTGTAAGACTTGCAACAACGAATAGCCAGATTAATGTAAATCATGTGAAAGTAATTTATATTTTAGAGATAGTTTATGTTAGGTTTGCCCAGATGAGCACTTCTTCATTTAAGGGACTTATTGTTTGAAATGTGATAGTACCTGCTTAAAATGTTCAAATAGTAAAGCAACAGATTGCATTTCTTGTGATAATAATAATTTTATTAACGAGGATTCAAAACTTTGTTAACCATGTGATACTAGCAACAAATATTTTTAAAATGGATTTTATTGTAGAAAGTGCCTTCCTTCATGCAAAACTTGTAACAATACTAGCAAATGTTTAACATGTGATGATGGTTTATCCTTTATGGAAGATGGTACTTGCAAAGTATGTAATACTGATCATGGTTTCTATATAGAAGCCAGTACTAACACTTGTAAAAAATGCATTTAAAACTGTTTAAAATGTTCAAGTTCAACTTCATGTGATGTTTGTTAAAGTGGATTTATTTTAAGAATAGATGGATCATGTGGTAACTGTGATTCAAACCAATATGCTGATTAAAATTAAAAATGCTAAAACTGTCATTCATCTTGTGCCACATGCAATGGTCCAGATGCAACGAATTGTTTAAGTTGTTCAAATAGTTAACTATTTATCAGATTAGATACTAAACTATGTGACAAATGTGACTCTAACTAATATGTTGATGGAAATAAATGTGCTAATTGCCATTCTGATTGCGCTACTTGTTCAGGTCCTCTTGATTAAGATTGCAAAACATGCTCTAACAACTCAAAGTAATTTTGTGATAATGCAAAAGTTGCCGCATTTGGAAAATAGAATAATAATTCATCTTTAATTTGTGAAAAATCTTGTTTAACTTGTAACTCAACATGCAAAACTTGCTTTTCATCTACTTCTTAAGGATGTATGAATTGCTCTACAGGAACACTAAAGGCAGATTTTTCATGTTCTGTTTGTGGTATTGGAGAATATTTAGACTCATAAACTAAAACATGCAGAAAGTGTTCTGTTAATTGCAATCAATGTACAAGTTTAAACTAATGTACTTAGTGCAAAGATGGATATATAAATGTATCTGGTAAATGCTACTCGTGCCCTCCTGGATAATTTGTTGGTAATAAACTTATATATAGATAAAACTAATTTTTTTAATTAAAAATAGATGTAGATACAAAATGTAAGTAATGTCACTTTGATTGCAAGACATGTATTAATAAAAATAATACTGACTGCCTAGTTTGTAGTGATTCTAACAAATTCTTAAATTAAAATAATTTATGTGTTGATAAATGCGATCTTGGATATATTAGGCACACAGTTTTAAATAAATGTGTAAGATGCTAATATAAAATGATAAACGGTAATTTAGAATGTCTTGAAGAGTGTCCTGACTAAAGTGGATGCTCAATTACCTGCTTAGACAATTCTTTTAAATTAAATGATTAATAATGCTAATGCAACTAGAATTATTAGTTTATTTAAAATTCTGTTAACAAATGTGAGATCTAGTGTGGAAAAAATGCCATAAAAGTTGATTAAAACACATGTCAGTGTTAGGATTCTACTTATGAATTTGTTCCTTTATCTTATACAACCTGCCGTGTCAAGTGTGGACTTAATGCTGCAAATTTAGATGAAAATACTTGTAGTTGTAAAAATGGCTTTTCATTTAAGCCTTCTACAAACAATACCGTTTGTTAGATTGATTATGGATTGAGTGCTTTTAGAGTAGATGAAAATTCTTGTTAATGCAATCCAAATTACAAATTTACTGCTGGATCAAAAATAAATTGTGAAATAGTTTGTGGTTTCAAGGCTTCTCAAATTGATACCTAAACCTGTGGTTGCGAGAAAGGTTATTCTCTTGTACCTTCATCAAAGACTGAATGCTAAATAGACTGCTTAGAAAATACTGACAGAGTAGATAATAATACATGCAAATGTAAGTCAGGTTTTAGCTTTGTTTAAAACTCGTATGTTTAGTGTTAAATTAATTGTGGCCTCTTTGCTTAGAATAATGATATTAATACTTGTAAATGTCTTTAAGGATACGAGTATCAGGCTAATTCTTAAATAAACTGCTAGCTAAAATGTTTAGATAATTCAGCCAGAGTTGATGCTTCAACCTGTAAATGCAATGATGGATTTGAATTTGTTTAACATTCAAAAGCTTAATGTCAAAAAAAATGTGGTACTTACGCAAAAAACAAAAATTTACTTACTTGTTAATGTCTGGATGGTTATGAATTTGTATCAGGTAGTAGTACAGTTTGTATGATAACATGTGGTAAACATGCATCAAGACTAAACAATGATACTTGTAGTTGCGATACAGGTTATCAATTTATTTAAAATTCCTAAAGAGAATGTTAAATTACTTGTGGAAGAAATGCATCTAATAAAGATTAAGTTACATGTATATGCAAGAATGAATTTTAATTTGAATAGAATTCAACTACTGATTGTGAAATAGTGTGTGGCGTTAATTCGTCACCTCTTACAAAGGATTAATGTCAGTGCAACCCAGGTTATGAACTTGCACCTAATTCTTTAGCAAACTGCTAATTAAAATGCGGCGCTAATGCTATAAATAAAGGATATGATCAATGTGTCTGTAAAACTGGATTTTATTACCGGTCCAAAAAAAACTGAAATAACAATTATTTATGAAAAATTGAAATAAACAATTTTTTTAGTATACATATTCTGATAGAACTCGAAAAGCTCTACAGGAATATATACTTAAAATATTTTTTATGATGATACTAGTTAGATATTTTTAATCAAGAAAAAACTTAAAAATTTGAAAAATATTATAATACATTATAAAATAATTGACTTATAGCACTTTGCTATTTTAAAAAATGGCTATTACTGCTAAACAGAACATAGCAATTAGGTTTTAAAAGTAAATATATAATATCTTTTTTAATTTTTTTATATGTATTTATGAATCAAATTTAATTTATAAAATGAGGGAACAATCGAATATTTTAAGATTTAAAAAAGGAGGGCAATTATATAAAAAATAAAATATATTTTGATGATTTTGTAATGTATAGATAAAAAAGATTTTTTTAAAATTATTTTTTTCATCTAAAATTCCCCCTCTTAATTTGTTTATTCATAAATGCTTAGTTATCTTTATAAGTAAATTCTAAAAATAATCAAAAATTGAGTAGTAACTTTAGAAAAATTATTAAGAAGAGCACTAAATAGACAATATTATATATATTAGCTGATTAGCAATTAAGTGAAAAATAAATAAATCATTCAAACTAAATAAGATTTTAGATAAATATTATTATTCACTAATTAAGAATAAAGGATTAAAAAATAAAGCAAGAAATGTATGCAAAAAATTTATGATGATTCAAGCGCAAACTTAATAATAAGTGGGAGAAAATAGAAGCGATTCTTACATTAAAGGCTCTTAAAGATGAAAAACCTCATGATTTAACAGTTGATTTCTTGGTTTTAGATTAGAGTTGCAAATTTCATTTATGGGATTTGCAATAAATAATGATCAAACCCAAATTAGCTTTAAATTATGAAGTTATATATTCCTTTATGCCAAAAAATTTAAGGAGAGTAGAAGTTTCTCCATTAACACTTTTGATTATAAGTCATCCTTCGACTGATAACATTTTTTGCTAGATTTTTCTTGCTTAATTATCAAATTATATTGAATGTCTTTTAGGAAAAAGAAATAAAATATATTTTTTAATTTAAAAAGATTTAGCCTTTATTTCTTAAAATTTGATAAAAATTCATGTAATTTGATAATAAAATATTTTTTTTAAATATATATTTTAGCTTATTTTAGTTAAATTTCAATATATATTACATTAATATTTATAAATCACTTAATTTATTAGTAACGCACATTAAAAAATAATTAAGTGTTAGATGTATGAATGAATGCAAAAATATGTAAAAAAATTCATTTAAAAATTTATACTCAACCCCAAACAATATACTGCAAATTCTTGGTTCATTTCACAAAACTTGTTTCAAGGGATAGAATTTTTTTATCAAATAATTGCGTTATTATTAAGTAATATAATCATATCTTTAATTTAAAGTAATTGAGATATTATGGTAATCTCAAAAAAAAAATTATAGTATAATTTCATATATAATAAATTTTTTTTAGTAATCATACTTTTAACACCAGATAAAGTAATTGTAAGTATTTGATTACTTTTGCTAATTTGAAAAGTTTTTTATTGCACATCTAATTTTTATAAATATATTAATTTAAGTTATTGGATGATTAGTGCTAAATAATTATGAATAACTAATATCATACCTCAACTGCAATTTCTGTAATTAAATATTATCTAAATTAATTAGAAATACGTTTGAACCAAGTAAACATTTAGTTTTATTTTAAAATATTGTTCTATCTAAAATAAATATATTTTGCTTTAACAAAATTTCAAAAATATATAACAAAGAAGCTTTTGTAAGATCATACTAAAAATATTTAAGAATGATGATATATTATATCATTTAAATATAATCATTTATAACATTCGAAAATAAATTTTATTAAGTATTAATAACTATAAATACATTTCCAAATATTAAGTTTTCATTTGTAGTAAATTGCGAATATAAAGATATTTTAGACTAAATAAAAGTTTCTATTTCTTTTGATTTGAAGTCATCTCATAATTCCAAATTTTTATTTTTGATATTACTTTTGAAATAGAGATTTATTAAAATATTCTCCAAAAAAATTTTTTAATTGCTACAATTTTTTAAAGTTTTTAAAAATCTAAAAGATTTGAAGCATTTGCTAATATTTTTAATGAAAGAAAAGTTTAATTTTTTTGTTGAAACAAATGATAAAAAGAGTATTTTCTTTTAGTTGGAATTATTCATGTAAACTTTAATTTATATGTATGGTATTCGTTGGAGTAAAAAGGAAATAAAAAACTTAATATACCTTAATTAAACGATGTAAATAGATTCTAATAAATGAATGAATATTTGTTAAATTAATTAAATTTTGTAATTTATTACGGATTTTGTGGGCAAAACTTAATGATTTACATAATTAAAGATTGTGTGAGAATGCATCACTTTTTATTTTATAATTGGAAATTAATATCAAAAAATAACTGCGTCATAATCTTTTAAAAAATACAATATTTAATGAATACTAAAAAATATCTACAACTCTATTTAATAGTAAAATATGATTTCAATATTCAATTACAATACAATATTTCGATGTTTTGCTATTTAAGTTTTTAATTTAAAGAGAAGTGAAAACATAAATCTAGTAATTTACCATATTTTCAACTATCATAATTTTAGTAATAGCTAAAATATGATTATTAATTTAAAAAGAGCTATCGTCAGTTAAGCATTACATAATTGTGACTAAGAAATCGATTGCAAGGATATTTTTAAATAGTACTATAAGAAAAATAAGATACAAATATTTGGAAAATATTTATTTGTAACATCATATCACAGCATATATAATAATGACATATAATTTAATACTAGACTTTTTATACATATTTTATTCACTTTTTATTAAAAAAAATAAAATTTAAAAGACCAATCAGAATAATTTATTTAAAATTTTCTGTGATCATTTATTTTTTTAGGACTCAATAATTGAATTTAATTCAATCGAATTTTTTCACTTACACCGATAATCTATTTTTCAATTTAAAATCGAACAGAAAATTTAAAGAGACAAATTGTATGGTATTAGATGTTTTGAAATTAATTGTTAATATAAACTTGAATAGATTTTTTATTTTAAGGAATCTATCTAATCAATCAATAACTTCCATACTCACTATATATCCTGTTATAAGTAGCAAATAGCTTTCTCTGTATAATAAAAATAAATAGTTAATAAATATAAAAAATAAATTGCTTCTTAGAAAACAGTAAATAAAATCGAGTACCAAATTTCAGCCATATTAATAAATTTAAGCAAAAGCTGTAAATTATAAATTGTTTAAATAAAATGAGAATTATTATAGTGTTAATATCGTTATTTATAATTTAAATAATTAAAGGTATCATTAAATATTTAAGTAAATATATTTCAATATCCAAACTCTTTTATAAAAAAAGCTGTAGAATAAAATTATGAAGACTAACAGTTTTCTTTCTCTCCTTTAATTTAATAATTTGATATAAACTAAGTATAGTTTTACTCTAAAGCCTTCGAAAATCATATTAAGATCTTTTGTTTGTTTGAGCCAACTTTAATTTAATCTAGACATTTTGTTTTCCATTTTAGCTTTTAACTTAAATCTAAGTAATTTATTATTATTAATTATTTATATCGTGGATTAATTTATTTTTGAAAAGATTAAATAAGAAAATAAGATGGATAATGGTGTATTTAGATCAAGCTATTTAGTCAGGAATAATTGAAGAATAAGGAATATAAATATTTTAACTAAGTACTAAATACAAATCAAACTAAAATACAATTTTATCAGATCACCTCAAATAAATCGAAATGACTTTTTTTATTGATGAACAAGAAATTAATCCAACTACTTTAGTTGGTTAATTTGAATTTTTATAGTAAATTTCTTATAATCATAAAAAAATATTCATTCTTAAAAAAGAATTTAAATATTAAATTTACTAAAATTTAACTTAATAAAATAAAAAGCTTGCATATTAGAGAAAATTATGAAACTACTAGTAAAAAGTTTAGACTGTTGTAAACAAAAGTGTCTGGAGCTTGCTCTATAGGTTAATTTAAAAATAAAGATAGTACTTGCGGTACTTGTACATCAAATTGCAATTTCTGCTCAGATAGTGGTTCTAGTAGTTGCTTTGTTTGCAAAGATACTTATTACTAATCAGGAACTAATGACTTTTTTAGAGTAAAAGGATCCTGTTCCAATGGATCTTCAGGTTGTGGTTCTTATCATACCAAACTTAGTGGTAAATGTTGTCTTTACAATTGCAAAAGTTGTGACTAATACGATAAATGCTTAACTGCAGGTACTAATTAAATTTTTAACTATAAAAATAATGACCTGTAAACAAAATCAGGTGTTTGTCTAAGTTCTGTTAATTTATATAACGCTGCTTGCGTTTGCGCTCCTGGATAATATAATAATAGTGCTAGCTCTATTACTTGCTCTGCTTGTCCTACTAACTGCAACAGGTGTGGAAAGCCTTCAAGTACAATTATATGTGTTATATGCAAGTCAGGATACTATTTATCTTCATCAGGAAATTGTGTTCAATGTGGACCAAACACATTTACATAATATTTATTAAGGGATGATCTTGCAGATGAAGGTAATCCTTTTTCTTATTGCTTAGACTGCGACTCTTCTTGCAATGGATGTACTAATTATGATTAATATAGTTGTATTGATTGCAAAGCAGGGTGGTATAAATTTGTTTAATTGGATGGTAAAACAATATGCATGGATTGTTAAGCTAGTTTAGGATATTTTGTGAAAGGCGGTCAGTGTTATCAATGCGGACCTAACTGCTAAGCTTGTAATCAAAATTTAGTATCAGAATGTACAAACTGTTTGTCTGGTTTCTATCTTAAAGTTGATACAAAAACATGTGATCCCTGCAATTTAGATTATTACTATAAATCTGCGAGTCAATGTCTTAAATGTGTTGATAAGTGTAAAACCTGTACTTCAGGAACATCTTGCACTTTATGTGATACAGGATTTTTTGTAAAAGGAGGCAATACTTGTGATCTATGTAGCTCAAATACAGGTTTTTATTAAGATGTTCCTAACAATAAATGCTTAGCATGTGCATAATTTTGTCTAAATTGTACTGGTGGTTAACCATAAAACTGTACTTAATGTTAAACAGGCTACTATAAATATGATAATAATACAGAAAACAATCCTGCTGATGATTATTGTATTGACTGTAATTTATCTGGTGGATATTTTCTTGATGGTACTACATGCAGAAAATGTTTAGCTAATTGTTAAAAATGTTCTAATAAATTAACCTGTGATCTTTGTAATACAGGTTTTTATGTAGACCAAACTACTGGTACGTGTATATCTACATGCGATTCTCAAGGAAATTATATATGGAACGGAACTCATTGCAAAAAATGTGATCCTGACTGTCAGACATGCAAAGGAGGTGCAAAAACAGATTGCATTAACTGTGCCCCCTCTAAATATAAATTCGATTAAAATAACACTCCAGGTGATACAAGCGATGACATATGTGTAAAGTGTGATCAACTTTAATAATTTGTTGATATTGATAATATATGTAAAAGATGCGATCCTACATGCTAAACATGTAACAGCACTGCAAATACAGGATGCATTAAATGCTAATCAGGTTTAAGCAAGAGAAATAATGTTTGTCTGAATTGTTCAACCATTTAAAGTACCTATGTTGATATCGACCAATGCAAAGATTGTGATCCTTCTTGTAAATCTTGCTCAAAAGCAGGAAATTAATGTGATGTTTGCAAATCTGGTTTTTCTAGACAATCAAATAGTTGCATAGATTGCTCAAAACTTTCAAATTATTATGTAGATTTCACAATTAATAAAACAGAAGGAGAATGCAAGTAATGTGATTCATCTTGTGCAACTTGTTCTGACGGAACCCCTACTGGCTGTAAAACCTGTGCAAGTGGAAAATATAGATTAGGCAACTTATGTGTTAGTTGTAATCTAGATAAATAATTAAAGAATGATAATACCTAAACCTGTGATTCTTGCGATTCTTCATGTAAAACATGCTCTGACATAACATAGACAGGTTGTATACTCTGCGACGATTCTAAATATAAACTTAGTAATCTATGTATAGACTGCACTTAAGATAAGTATTTTAAAAATGCATAAACAAAAACTTGTGATAAATGCTTTCAGTCTTGCAAAACTTGTTCAGATGCTCAAGAAACAAGCTGCTTATAATGTGATACTAATTTTTATAGGTTAGATAATAAATGCGTAACTTGTACATAAGATAAGTATTTTTAAAATTAATCAACTTAGACATGCGATTAATGCCATCCATCATGTAAATAATGCTCAGGTTCTTCTGAAACTGAATGCTTGAAATGCGAAGTTGGATATTATAAGTTAGGAAATAAATGTGTTTAGTGCAATTAAGATAAATATTTTAAAAATGAAAACACATAGACTTGTGATTAATGCCATTCTTCCTGCAAAACTTGTAGTGACTCAACTAATCTTGGTTGTTTAGTTTGTGATGATGCCATGAAAAGATATTAAGATGGTACTTGCTAAGTATGTGATCCAGCTAATTCACCCTATTTTATATCAGGTAATAATTGCTTAAAATGCGATTCTTCCTGCTTAACATGTACTGGTGATAAAGATACCTAATGTACTTAGTGCAGTAATCCTGCATATAAAATAAGAGAAGTAGTAAATTAATGTATGCCATGTCCTGATAGTTACTTTTCGATAAATAATTATTGTTACAAATGTCATTCTTCCTGCGAAACATGTTAAGGTTCTAATGATGATAAAAGCTGTACTAAATGTAAAGCAGGATTTAATTTCCATTAAGATAATACATGTAGTGAATGTTTAGTAAATAATAAATTTTACATCGATGCTAATGATAATGTATGCAAAAGTTGCGACTCCACTTGCTTGACATGTACAGGACCTAGTAAATTCGAATGCAAAAATTGTGATGGAACATTAAAAAAGCTCAAAGATAATACTTGTGTTGATTGTCCATTAATAGGATTCTATGTAAACGGTGAAAGATGCTACAAATGTGATTCCACATGTAAAACTTGTGATGGTGAAAATGATACTAGTTGCACTCAATGCTAAGATAATTTATATAAATTTATTGATGACGGAAAATGCAAGACTTGTAACAAAGAAGATAAACTATATATCGACACTCAAGATAATAATATTTGTAAGCACTGTCATACTACTTGTAAGGAATGCTAAAATGGAACAGATAAAGGCTGTACTATTTGTAATGATAACCTTTATAAAATGAAAGATTAAACCTGTTAAACCTGTCCTGATCAACACTTTTTCAAATAAGGAGAGTTTTGTATGGAATGTGATTAATCTTGCCTCACATGCTCAGATAGCACTAGCAAATGTAGCAAATGCGACAATACTAAAGGTTACTATTTTGAAGAAAATAATTACTGTAAAATATGTGAAATTGATAAGTCTTTTTATATTTCTGGTGAATTTTGCAAACCTTGTTTCTCAAATTGCGGTACATGCTTAGGCGGCTTATCTACTGAATGTAAAACTTGTTTAAATCCTACTGAAAAAATGATGCCTGATAATAGCTGCAAGGTTTGTCCAACTGATAATTATTTTATACAAGGAGATAGATGTGTCCCATGTGATCAAACTTGTAAATAATGTCATGGTGCTTCTGCAAATGAATGCACACTATGCTAGAATGGATAGTATTTATTTAAAGATAATTCTTGTGCCACATGCCCTAGTGAAGGTTATTTTATAAAGGATATTAATTGTTTTTAATGTAGTTAAAATTGTAAAACTTGTACAAATGAAAATAATGATGGTTGCTAGTAATGTATGGGAAGTAAAAAATTAGATAAAAATAATGTTTGTATAGATTGCCCAATAACTGAATTTTACTAAACACCTACTTAATGTCTTGAATGCCATTAAAATTGTCTCACATGTACTAATGGAGGTATTTAATTGATTTTATTTTTAAAAATTAAGTTAATTTAATTTTTTATATTAATAGACTCTACAAGTTGTTTAACTTGCAAAACTGGATTTAGAAAAATGTTAGATGGTAGTTGTCAAACATGTCCCTTAACTAATTTTTATGATGATGGAATTAATTGTACTCCATGTCATCCCTCATGTGAAGTTTGTAAAGGACTTACAGAAAATGATTGTTTAAATTGTCCAAGTGGCAAATATTTTATGCCAGATAAAACTTGCAAAGTATGCCCAGTAAATAATCAATTTTACATAGATGGCTTATAGTGTGTACCTTGTTTTGAAGGCACATGCTAAACCTGCTTCGGAAAGGAAAAAAATTAATGTTCAACATGTTAATCAGGACTCTATTTATATCCAGATAATTAATGTGGAAGTTGTAGTGAAAATTATTATTTCAGGGATGATCAAAATAAGCTATGTAAGAAGTGTGATCCATCTTGTATGACTTGCCATGGAGTACTTGATACTGAATGTGATTTATGTGACACAAATAAATATAAATATCCTGATTAGAAATGCAGAGAATGTGATATAAATAATAAAAAATTTATTTCGCAAACAAATATATGCTTAGATTGTGATAGTTCTTGTAAGACTTGCAACAACGAATAGCCAGATTAATGTAAATCATGTGAAAGTAATTTATATTTTAAAGATAGTTTATGTTAAGTTTGCCCAGATGAGCACTTCTTCATTTAAGGGACTTAGTGTTTGAAATGTGATAGTACATGCTTAAAATGTTCAAATAGTAAAGCAACAGATTGCATATCTTGTGTTAATAATACCTTTATTAATGAGGATTCTTAACTTTGTAAACCATGTGATACTACTAATAAATATTTTTAAGATGGATTTTATTGTAGAAAGTGTCTTCCTTCATGCAAAACTTGTAATGACACTAGCAAATGTTTAACATGTGATGATGGTTTGTCCTTTATGGAAGATGGTACTTGCAAAGTATGCAATACTGATCATGGCTTCTATATAGAAGCCAGTACTAACACTTGTAAAAAATGCATTTAAAACTGTTTAAAATGTTCAAGTTTAACTTCATGTGATGTTTGTTAAAGTGGATTTATTTTAAGAATAGATGGATCATGTGGTAACTGTGATTCAAACCAATATGCTGATTAAAATTAAAAATGCTAAAACTGTCATTCATCTTGTGCCACATGTAATGGTCCAGATGCAACGAATTGTTTAAGTTGTTCAAATAATTAATTATTTATCAGATTAGATACTAAACTATGTGACAAATGTGACTCTAACTAATATGTTGATGGAAATAAATGTGCTAATTGCCATTCTGATTGCGCTACTTGTTCAGGTCCTCTTGATAAAGATTGCAAAACATGCTCTAGCAGCTCAAAATAATTTTGTGATAATGCAAAAGTTGTGGCATTTGGAAAACAGAATAATAACCCATCTTTAACTTGTGAAAAATCTTGTTTAACTTGTAACTCAACATGCAAAACTTGTTTTTCTTCTACTGCTTAAGGATGTATGGATTGCTCTATAGGAACACTCAAGACAGATTTTTCATGCTCTGTTTGTGGTAATGGAGAATATTTAGACTCATAAGCTAAAACATGCAGGAAATGTTCTGTTAATTGTAATCAATGCACAGGGTTAAATTAATGTACTCAGTGCAAAGATGGATATACAAATGTATCTGGTAAATGCTACTCGTGCCCTCCTGGATAATTTGTTGGTAATAAACTTTTATATTAATAAAACTAATTTTTAATTAAAAATAGATGTAGATACAAAATGTAAGTAATGCCACTCCGATTGCAAGACATGTATTAATAAGAATAATACTGACTGCTTAGTTTGCAGTGATTCTAGCAAATTTTTAAATTAAAATAATTTATGTGTTGATAAATGCGATCTTGGATATATTAGGCACACAGTTTTAAATAAATGTGTTAGATGCTAATATAAAATGATAAACGGTAATTTAGAATGTCTTGAAGAGTGTCCTGACTAAAGTGGATGTTCTATTACTTGCTTAGACAATTCTTTTAAATTAAATGATTAATAATGCTAATGCAACTAAAATTATTAGTTTATTTAAAATTCTGTTAACAAATGTGAGATCTAATGTGGAAAAAATGCAATAAAAGTTGATTAAAATACATGCCAGTGTTAGGATTTTACTTATGAATTTGTTCCTTTATCTAAAACAACCTGCCGTGTCAAGTGTGGACTTAATGCAGCTAATGTAGATGAAAATACTTGTGCTTGTAAAAATGGCTTTTCATTCAAGCCATCTACAAACAATACTGTTTGTTAGATTGATTGTGGGTTGAGTGCTTTTAGAGTAGATGAAAATACTTGTTAATGCAATCCAAATTACAAATTTACTACTGGTTCAAAAATAAATTGTGAAATAATTTGTGGTTTCAAGGCTTCTCAAATTGATAGCTAAACCTGCGGCTGCGAGAAAGGTTATTCTCTTGTACCTTCATCAAAGACAGAATGCTAAATAGACTGCTTAGATAATACTGACAGAGTAGATAATAATACTTGCAAGTGTAAGTCAGGTTATAGCTTTGTTTAAAACTCTTATGTTTAGTGTTAAATTAATTGTGGTCTTTTTGCTTAGAATAATGATATTAATACTTGTAAATGTCTTTAAGGGTACGAGTATCAGGCTAATTCTTAAATAGATTGCTAGCTAAAATGTTTAGATAATTCAGCCAGAGTTGATGCTTCGACCTGTAAATGCAATGATGGATTTGAATTTGTTAAAGATTCAAATTCTCAATGTCAAAAAAAATGTGGTAATTACGCAAAAAACAAAGATTTACTTACTTGTTAATGTCAGGATGGTTATGAATTTGTATTAGGCAGTAGTACAGATTGTATGATAACATGCGGTAAACATGCATCAAGATTAAACAATGATACTTGTACTTGCGATACAGGTTATCAATTTGTTTAAAATTCCTAAAGAGAATGTTAAATTACTTGTGGAAGAAATGCATCTAATAAAGATTAAGATACATGTATCTGCAAGAACGAATTTTAATTTGAATAGAATTCAAATACTGATTGTGAAATAGTGTGTGGTGTTAATTCCTCACCTCTTACAAAAGATTTATGTCAGTGCAACTCAGGTTATGAACTTGCACCTAATTCTTTAGCAAACTGCTAATTAAAATGTGGTGCTAATGCTATAAATAAAGGATATGATCAATGTGTCTGTAAAACTGGATTTTAGTATCAAAGTGGTTCATAGATTGCTTGTGAAATTACTTGTTTAGATAATGCATTAAGAATAGATGCAAATACTTGCTAATGCAACTCTGGTTATGAATTTATTCCTAATTCTTAAGTTTAATGCAGAATAAAATGTGGTAATAAAGCAATTAATAAAGATCTTAATACTTGCCAATGCTTACCAGATTTTTAATTTTCGTAAGGATCGTCAATAAGCTGTGAAATATAATGTGGAGCTTTTGCAAAATAGATAGATTTAAACACCTGCTAATGTGTTAAAAGTACTTTTGCTTTTATTCCAGGATCATAAACTGCTTGCTAGCTTTCCTGTGGTAATAACGCTTTAAATCATCCAACTAAAAATGACGAATGTATATGTAAAGAAAACTTTTAATTTGAATAAGGTTCAGAAACTAATTGTGAAATAGTATGTCAAAATAATGCTAAATAGAAAAATAAAAATGAATGCTCTTGTACAAAACAAGGTTATGAATTTTATCCTGGATCTATAGTCAAATGCAGAAAAAGATGTGGGGATAATGCCATATAATTTGATGAAAATAATTGTCAATGTCCATAAGACTTCTAATTTGTTAATGGTTCTGACTCAGATTGCGAAATAAAATGTGGAAAAAATGCTAATAGGATAAGCTCAAAATAATGCTAATGTATAGACAAATTTGATTTTATAGAAAACTCTATTACAGATTGTAGAATTAAATGTGGTTATAAATCAGTTAATTTAGATGATCATAATTGTACCTGCGAAAAAGGATATTATGCCCAACCTGGATCTTTGACTGAGTGTTAACGTTTTTGTGGACCACACTAAGTGAATTAAGACAGAGAGAACTGTATTTGTGAAAAAGGATTTGAGGCTGTACCAGGTGTTGCACCACTTGAATGTAGCATAGTTTGTGGACACAAATCTGTAAAGGAATCATAATTTAAGTGCAAATGCGAAAATGGATATTAATTAAAAGAAGGTTCTCTTTCTGAATGCAGCGTTAAATGTGGGTAAAATGCTATTAATGACAAAAATAATAATGACATTTGTGTATGTAAGGATGAGAATTATTAATTTATTATAAACTCAAATATTGATTGTGAGTTTAAACCATATCAAGAAGCATCATTCAGTGCATCTAACTTAAAGTACTATAGTTCTTTTTATATTATAACTGGCTTGTCATTTTTTTCTTTTGGTTTGCTTTTGGTTGCTTGGAAATTAGATGCCAGGGATATGCTCCGAGTTATTCCTTCGAAATCACATTTGCCAACTTTTTTCCTTGAAACTTCATAAATAAAAGTTTCACATCTAGTAAATTTTAGCAACTAGCCTAGTAATATAAGAAACGATGATGAAAAAGCTCAAAATAATTAATATAAAAGAAAATAGCATATTTCAACTATCCTTAATGCTACTATAACAATGAATCATGACTAAACAGCTCCACTTGATTTTTCAGATTTTGATAAAGCACAAGAAGCAAAAAACGCTACTACTATTTAATAATTAAACATTACTATTGATAACTAAGAAGCCACTAAAAATTAACTTGATTTTAGTGATTTCGACAATAATCCTGAAATGTAGAAAAAAATAAATGATAGTAAAATTTATGTAAGTACTAAATAGAATTCCTCAATTTTAATGAATAATTTAAATTCTTCTGTTTTAAACAATACCAGTTAATTATAATTAGACTAATAAAATGTGTTAGATTTGAACTAATCAGCAATAGCTTAATCTCCTAATTAAAAGCATATGAAACTATCATCACCTGATCAACTAAAAACAAAAGCTACTCCTGTTTTAAACACATCAACTCCTTTCCCTTATACATAAAAATCTAAAACTGAAAAAGGAACATCATTATTTGCAATTATTTGGGTAAATAATCAATTAATTTAAATATAAATTTAATATTAACTTAATTTATTAAAAGTTTAATCATGAATTTGTTAGTATATGGACTCGCTATGATAAAGATTTATCTAGATCTTTAAGATCTTTCTTAATCCACTTGAAATAGATATTCTAAATAGGGATAATATCACTCTTACCAATTGTAAATTATAATTTCTAACACTCAATTATTAATTAATTTTAATTTTACTATATACAGTAATAGATTGGAATAGGAATTGTAACAGCATTTGCAAGTTCTATTGTATTCTTGGCTATTAAAAAACTCATAAAATTATATGGAAGTACTAAAAGTTTAGTGGCAAGAATCTTAAAATATAGTATTTTATTATCTTTATCAGGCTTACTTTATTTAGCCAGTATCTAAAAACTCATCGACTAAACCTCTCATAAAGACTCTTTTGGTAGCCATATGATATCCTTAGCATTTCTTTTAAGTACTGGATTAGATTAAATAGTAATCCAACCTATAATAGCTTTAATTTCTTATAAAATGCAAATGAATAAAGTATTTGATCTAAGCCCAACTAAAATATGATTTTTGATTTACATTAGTAGATCAAAATCAATTAATATTCTAAAAAAATTTAAAAACTTATTTTCTAAGATATTAAATATTTTTTTATTTTTTAAAATGTAAAATTAAAATAATTACTATCTCTTTTTCGTAAGTTTTTTAAGTACTTAAATAATTTTAACTACTTAATCCTTATATTATATTCAATTATTTTTTTATTATAATATATTACATTATATATACATCAATTAAAAAATTAAATATTTGTAAATTTCAGAATACATGATAATATATAAAAATTTAAAAAAAAATAAAAATAAAATATCTAAAAGCAATTAAAATTGTATCAATAAAAATATATATATAACAATTATTTAAATGATATTTTAATGTTTATCTTTCAATTAAAAAAGTAAAAAAATTTCATAATAAAATATAATGAGCATAATAATTAAATTTATCTATATTTAAAAAATACTTTTTATTTATTAAAGAAATGATTTAGATAAAGAACATATATTTGATAATTATATTCTTTTAACAAATGAGCAATTTTATAAAGCTTATTTCATAATTAATATTATTTTTTGTACTAATTCCATTCATTTTAAAGTTGTTTTGCCCCTTATGAAATATATTAGAAAAGGTTTTTTGCCTATTGAATTTAATTATAATTAGAAGATACTTAATTTTACTAAGTACCAAAAGTAGATTTTTATGAATCGTGATTAAAATATTCATATACATAAACATCATATCCTTCATATTCCTTTCTTCTCGTGAAAATAACCCACCATCCTTTGTTTCCTTCCTTAAATTCATAACTTTCTGGATCTCTAGAACTAGAAGAAATTCCATCAATAATATCCTATAAAGAATTCCAGTTATAACCATTAAGTTTATCACTTAGCTGATGTAAGGATCTATTGCAATTACTAATAAATTCATTTATTTTGTTTTTAATTACTTCTTCATCTTTCAATTACTTTTACAAAAACAAATCCAGCTATGCAAATTTTTAAGATAAATTAGAATTTTAAAGATTTATTTGAGAATCTAATTCCTATTTGTTTAAACCTAGCTCAAATATATCTATAAATGATTTTTCTAAGATATTTTCAAGGCTATTTAGCACCTTTTTCTATTCATTGAAGCAATCTTGAATTACTTTTTCAAAAATTTCAGTGTTCTCTTTTTTTTTTTATACTTATGACTGAAGGAGGATTTGAATTAGATTTTTGTTGAGCTTTTCATCTTCAAAATATTTCTTTAAATCATTTTTTGATGATTAAGTTGCATAAATGTTTTAAACCTTTATAGAAAATGTATTCATTATTTTTTTCTTTGTGTTTAATCTAAATTCATTCATTTTTTATTAAAATTTTTAAATGGATGAGTCTACATACTAGTCAATTTAGTTTAAAATTACAGAATTCAGATTTTAAGAAGAGCAATCTTTCAATTAGGTATAAATATTTTAATTTACTAGAGGAGGCCAATTATAAATGATCATAGATTAGTCGTCGTTTAATATTTCATCTAAAATTATACAATTTTGAGGTAAATTTTGAGCCTGGAAAGAATCAAAATTTTCAATTTTAATGTCATATTATCCTTGTTCATTGAAGGATAAGACTTTTTTTTGAAAAGGATTTTTATTCATGTTATCAGCTTTTTTGTTATGATTTTTTATTTCTTATTAAAAAACAAATCTTTACAAAATTGTTTATAGTAATATTGGTATTTCTTTGGTATTTTATTCTCAAAATAACATTTACTATAGACTATATTTTTTTACTAATCAGAATTAATTGCAATTTACAAAATTTAAAATATTTATAAAAATAATAATAATAATATATTTAAATTAAAAATGACGTACTAAACAATACTAATTCCAAAATATAATAGGCATAAATATACATGAGAATAAAGTATCAAATATGTTTTAAACAATATAAGATTACCATGGTTTCTATAATTAAAGACTAAAAGGTAATGATTAATTTGTAAATAGTGAATATATTATGTGAATGATATTTATTTATAAATGAATATGGACATTAATTTTTTAATTGAAATTACATTATCTAATTTGATATAGTAAAACTATAAAAATTATATGGAATATAATTTTAAAATGTATTTTATCTTTTAAAAAAATAAAAAACTACTAAGTTAAGTTAAAAATGTTTTTGAAATTTATATTAAATTATTAGAAAATCTTCATAATTAGAAGATAATTAGGACTTATTCTAAATTACTTTTAGTCAAAAATTTATTTTATAATTTGAAAGCAATTAGTTGTGAATTTATCTCTGAATAGATTTGAACAGATAATTTAACATTACAGAATAAATTTTTAAAAGCCTAATTTTTTACATATTTTATGATCAAAAATTTATCATTAATTTATCTATTTCTTAAAAACCTCAAATATATAATTATGAAATAAGCAAATTTAACAAATATATTAGAGAAATATATAGAGGAACCAGGTAATTTAAATGTCTAGTATCAAGAAAAATAATAGGAAAATAGCTAAATTGTATTCTTAAATAACAAAGATAAAAACGAAAGTTAAGAGTTAGCTTTTTCAAACGCAAATTTGCTTAATTATACATGTTTTTTAAGTATTAATTTAGATACAGCTTTCTATGAAATAAATAATAGACATATATTCAAGTACGTGTTTTATCCTAACTTAAAAAGTATTCAGATAAATATAAATTAAAATAGTAGTCGCTAAATTAATTTTAAGTATTTAAGTGATATGTTCAACAGATTTTAAAATCCTCAAAAAATTTTCGTAAATTTAAGTAGAGATGGTTTTACAAATCAAAACTCTTTCGAAGAATTAAATGGCATTTTCAAGCAAAATAATAAAATTTAAGAATTCACATTAAGCATTGAACCTTACAATATCAATAGTTTAAATTAGCTCAGTTAATTATGTAGCGCAATAGAGAATTGCAGTGAGTTATTGAAATTAAAACTCATCATTAAGAGTTAAAAAAATATAATGAATAAGTAGGGTATTTCAATAATTCAAAACACTTTACTTAAATTAAAAAATCTTAGATCAATAAACCTATATTTAAGCAGTTCTATTGATAATCTTAATTTTAATTTACAATTGAGTAAACTTATTTCGAATGTCACCCAAATTAAAAAGTTTGATCTGTTAATAGACTTTGACAAAAAGAATCAACTAGCTTCTAAAGAAGGAGTTTTTTCCATTTTTAAATCTTTTAGTTAACTTACAAATCTACAAAGTTTACGATTTTCTATGAAGAATATATATGTGAATCCAAGTATTTTAGAAGAATCTTTTAACTTACTACCTCCTCTTTAAGAATTAGCCTTTTATGTAAAATATCCCTAGATAGATAATGAATAAACTAAATGCATTTGTTTTAAAAAACTGTTTCCTTGCTTTTTTTAGAAGACAAATTCTAATATTTAACTGCAATCAGTTAATATCTTTAAAAGCCTTAACTAGATAGAAAATTTGTCATTCTCTCTTCAAGATGTAAGTGATGAATAGCTAATAGCATTAGGCTTAGGACTAAAGAGTCTAAAAAGAGTAAAATATTTATCTGTTTTTATAAATCCTTAAAGCTAAATATTCAAAAAAGAGTTTTAATCTAATTCAACTAAACTACTCTATGACTTCTATGATTAATATATATTATAAGGAAAAATAGAATCAGAATTAGGTATTTGCTGCTTTGCATAGGGTTTATCAGTTCTACGCTAGCTACAAACACTTAAACTTCAAATTGAATAAATTAAAATAAAAAAACAAGGATTAGCTGCCTTATCACAATGCTTCTACAACTTAAAAAATTTAAATAATTTGTATATTAAATTAGGAAGTGACTTTAGTGGATAAAGTAACTTTTTAACGAACGTAATGTAAGGTTTAAAAAATTTAAATAACCTTAAAATATTACAATTAGAAGTAGAATCTTTTATTTTTTCAACTTAAAATACTGAGGGGTTAGCTAAAACCTTTGAAAATATGTTAAATTTAGAGATTATTAGTTTATCATTTACTAAGAGTCCTTATTATTTGCATGAAGACAATTAAGTAAGTTGCTTATCTGATATTTTTTTAAAGTTATAGAACCTCACTTCAATTAAATTAAAAATTGAGTATCCTTAATCAGCATAAATGATATCACAATAGCTTGTAAACCATATTAAAAATGCAAAAACTATTTATTTTGAAATAAAAGATACAATGTCAAATAAAAATGACATAAAAACTTTTATATAAAATATCATTTAAAACTAACAGATAAATTATTTATTTTATAATCTTTATTTTGATGATTTTTAGAATACATTTGAAAAGTATTTTAAAAGGGAGTTCCAAAAAAAGCTTAAGTTTTTAAACCGGCTAGTTAAATATTCATACAAAAAGTGAAATAAAAAAACAAACAAAAAATTATTTATTTATTCAAAATATTTAATTAGTAATTATTAAATTGTTGTAAAATATTTTAAAGAAGAATCTAAGTATTATATATTTTATTTATTATTGTGCTTAGCTATTATTGCTATTAAATATACCAACAAAACTATTAATTTTGACTTACTTAAAATGTGTTAAAATATCAATTTATTTGATATTCAAAAATCATTTTTTAAATTTAAATTTATAAATATATGGTTAAATTTTTTAGGAAATACAATTTGTTGAAATTAGAAAAAATAAAAGTTAAAAATAAATAACTCTAAAATTAAATTAAATCACTTTCTTTAAATTTATTCTATTCATTCATAAAAAATTTAATTGTGTGATTTCATCTTTGTTACTTAGTCAAAACCATGCTTAGAAAGACTGTAATTTTTTCCACTTTGATTCCAGCCAATCCAAGGAAGAAGTGGATCCATCATTAAACATTGGTTTACTAAAACAGTACCAACATTTAATTTATTGCTCATTTCTTAAACAATTTATTAGTTATTTGAGAAAATAGAAGCTGTTAAGCCATATTTTGAATCATTAATAAGACTAATTGCCTACTCATATCCCTTTTCAACTTTTATAATAGGAAGAACAGGTCCAAATGTTTCTTCTTGAACGATATCCATTTGATTAGTGACGTTTGTTAATATTGTTGGGAAATACCCTCTTAATCTTGCCAATTAATCCCCTTAGTTAAAATCTGTTAAAGGGAATTCAATAACTGATCCTCCTTTTTAATTTAAAACTGTTGCTCCTTATTGTATTGCTTTATCTACCTATTTTTTTATAAACTAAGCATGGTTTTTTAATGTTAAAGGCCCTACTTCTATCTAAGACTAATTATTGTTTAATGTTTCTTTTTTATTAATTTCAAGAACTTTGATATTCTAAACGGCTGCTAAAAGTTTTTCTTAAAATAATTCTAATATTTCTGAATCACAATAAACTCTCTCAATAGCACAACACGATTGACCTGAATTAGTAAAGCATCCTATGATAATTTGCTTAACTACATCATCTAAATAGTTTAAACACGACTTATGGATGTAGGCAGCATCTTTTCCTCCAAGTTCTAGAACACAATTTGCCCAAGGATTAGCATCTATACATTCCTTTTGAACTTTCAAGCCAGTTTGAATACTTCCTGTAAAGCTCACATATTGCGAGTATTTATATAGTGTTTAAAAATTTTTAAGATTTGAGGTATAAACATTTTTAACTAGGTTTTTAAATTAATCAGAAATGCTACTGGCAGCTTATTCAAAAATTTATTCTATATCATCTGCTACTCCTACTGTTTAAGGAGAAGGTTTTAATAAAACATTATTACCAGCTAAAAGAGATGTCATTAAAACGCTTGAAGCAGTAAGTAATGGATAATTCCAAGGAGAAATAATTAGAACTGTTCCAACTGGATGCTTCGATATAAATTTAATAAATTTTTTTCCTTTTTTTACTTAGTTTTCTAAAATTTCATCTTTTAGAGCTTCATCTGACATATCAATTAAAGATTTTATTCTATGAATAGTGGCTTTTACTTCAAGTTGAGATTCCTTAATCGGTTTGCTGGTAAATTGAGAAATATTTTTTGAAATATCTTCACTTTTTTCTTTTAAAATATCATTAAAGTTTTAGCATACTTTTTTCCTGTCCTATAAAGGTAGTTTTGACCAGACATTTTAAGATTTTTTTCCATCTTTAGAAATAGAAATAATTTAATCTAGACTTAATTCTTACTTTTCATAAACTACTTAGTTCGTTAATGGATTTCTTATCTATATTTGGTTTAATTCTTAAAGTGTTGCAAATCCTCTAAATAACTATATAGTATTCTACACTTAGCTTTATTTAAATACCTTAAATCTGAGTGAAGAAATCATTTTTAAGATTGGATTTAATTTATTGATTTACTTTAAAAATAGTGTTAATGCAATTAATTTTTATATTTTAAGAATATAATGTAGATATAGTGATTTGAAATATTTTTGATAACAAAGATTTTTATTTAGAAATTCTTGATTGTAAAACTAATCAAATATTTTTTATAAAAACTTATATTTAAGATTTTTATAACCAATTATTTATTTTTGCTACACAAAATAAATACCTATCAAAATATAAAAACAATAACTCAAGAATTATGAATTGAATAAGTTTAGGTAAATCAATTTAAACTTTATATTAAACAAATATTTTTTTTATTTAAAAATTATTATTTTTAGACATAAAATATTAAATATGTTAAAGTTATAAAATGTAGCCAAATTAAAAATAAATTTTCATATTTTTAAATTCTCTTAATTGTTTTGATTTATTGATAAAGTAATTTCTTTTAAAAGATTACTAAATATACTTTTTATTTTTCTGAATTATTTTATTAAATTATACTATAACAATGCAAATAATTTAAAAATTTTTTAAAATTAAAAATCAATTTTCATACTTTTAGATTTATTTGTTTTTAAGTAATCTTTTAGTATTTTTTTATTTTAAAATAATATAAAATTTTCTTATTTAATTTACTTTTGTTATTTTAATTTCCAAATTTAAAAGCTTTTCTGTTCAGTGGAAAAGGTTTTTTAAATTAAAGATGAGTAAATAAAAGTAGTAAAAATGCATTTTAGGTTTAAACTAAAATAAATAGACATATTAAAAAATTTAATTTAATATTTAGTAAATTAATTATTTTAAAACTTATTAAAGGATTATTTTGCTAATCAGTTCGTTATTATGCTGCTTACATTTTATTATGAAATATGTTGAATATTTTCAAAAGCACTGGATTAAACATTCAGGCCAATATTTAATTCTTTGTTTTTCTTTTAAATTATTGGCTTCAGATGAGAGACTATTTCTTCTATATCTGGGCGATTAGATGGGTTAGAATCAAGCATTCTCTCAATTAAATTATAAATAACTCTTATGTCACTATTTCCTGGTTTGTATATTTGATTAAGCAGAACTTATTCTGAGATAAGATATTCTGCTTTTTCTGTGTCTATAAGATGGTCTGTGAATAAAAAGTATGTAATTAATCCAAGAGACCAAATATCTGCAGCCTGAGTTAATCCTTCGTTCTTAGGTTTATATTTATTTTCTCTGTTTTTTAACACATAGAAATCTTATAAAAAAACTTTTTTTTTAGAGCTTAAGAGTATATTTTCAGGTTTTAAGTTTCCATGAATCATATTATCCTAAGCTACATTTCCATGAATTTGTTGTATTGCTTAGGTAATCTACCAAAGAACAGATAATTTGTCATTAAAAGAGATAATTAATTTTTCTTTTATTGCTTGCATTAGATTTCTTTCCTTGAAATCAAGAAGGATAAATAAATCGAATGTATGTTTAGAATATGAAACAGTTTTGCCAAATGATCTTATAATACGAGGAGATGCTAGGACCCTTAAGTTTTCTATATAATTATTTACTCTTCTAAGGTTAAATGCACTTAGATTTTTAAATTTTTTTAAGCAATACTAGTTTTCCTTATAGATAATTTTAATAGTTTCTGTGCAATCATCTGAAAAAATAATTTGTTTTTCTGCAAGCTCTTCAATTTTAAAATCTTATTCTACAATAATAGAATCTAATTTTATGCTTATTGTCCCTTTATTTGGGTTGAATGGTTCACTTTTAATAGATTTCATAAGCTTTTACTATTTCTCACTTAGTTCAGTATTTTTTAATTTTGTACTTTAATTTTCAGAGCTTTTAGCATTCAAAGATAGTTGTGGTTGTTCTTAAGTTGAACCTTATGAATTTTATTCAAATAAAAATGTTTTTTATAAATCATCAGATTATTAAGGTGGTGGAGGGAGTCCAGGTGGATGAGATTAATTCTAAAGTTTCAACAAAAAGTTGGTCTAGTTGATAAGCAATTCTTTTTAGGATTACTCTGTAATAAAATCCTCCCTTTTTTCTAAAATTAATTCAAATTATTATAAAATATTGTATTGAATATATTAAGTTACTTGCTGAGTCACTATTAGATGATTTCTATGAAGCTTGTTGGTGAAGTTATTTAGGAAGTTATTAATGATCTTAATAAGTGCTAGGTTCTTTATTTTCAATATTAATTTGATAATTTTCAGCACTTTTGCTAGCTGAATTTGCTAAATTCAATTCTTATTATATTATTTATTAAACCTCATCAAAGCTATTTGAGTCAGTATTTTGACTTCTTTCAAACTTATCCTAAACACTTGATTTAACTTAATCGCTTTAAAATAATTTTTAATTCATTTATTATTGGCTTTGTTAATTCAACTTTTCTTTAACTTAAGATGGATTTTAAATTTATTATGTAATATTTTAATTATTGGATTACTATTAATTTTACTAACTATTTTGACTCGATGTTTTTTTTAAAATCTATTATTGTGAATTTTAAGAACTAGTAGCTTCTTTTTTATTTGTAGAATTGCTGCTTTTAGGATCACTTTGTTGTTAGCTAGAAGCTTTTTACTTTTGTTCGCTATTTTATAATTGATTCTACCCTGATTTTTAATTTGTTGTCTATGGTTTTTAAAAATTGAAATATCCAGGATACTCTTCTTAAAGAATCAAAGATAAAGGTTTGTTAGCTAAATTAGGATCACTTTAGGTCTGTTTATAAGTAGGGAGTTCGAAATCCCATTCATCAAATTACTCCTTTTTTTAATTATTTGTGATTTAATTTAATTAAAATTTTTTATTTTAAATTAAAGTTTTAAAAAATTAAAATTCAAAAATGAATAAAATGAATTATTACTGCTTTTGTATAATTCTAAATTGTTTATATGGTTTACTGAGATTATGATTTTTATACATCTGAAGAAATTGATTCTTTTTGATAGCTTTCAAGAAAAGAATTTAATGCTTAAGAACTAGCTTAATTAAGTTGCTATTATTATTGTTACTATTATTGTAGTTTTATTTGCTATTATTGTAGCTTCTTTTTTTACTTTTTGTTATTCTTCTTTTTAGAGACTTCACTCTTAATATTTGAACCGCTATTTGAGTTACTCAATTAAGAATCATTGAGTTAGGAAGCTTGTTGTTGATTTAATAATATTTAAGCATCAGAAAGACATGGAAATTCTTCTTTTTAAATATCCAATCCTTTGAAATCAGCTTAATCCATACTTCCTTAATTTGTATAAGAATAGTCATCTTCTTCATAGTAAGAATTGCTCTTTTTACCTAGAGTCAATCTTGGAGATGAGCTAGGCTCTTAATTATTAATGTTCGTTTCTTCGTCATTCATTTAATTTTATTGAATAATACTTGTATTTATGTTTTGGACTATTGCAGTACTATTGCTTCTATTATGATTAGGAAATGTTCTATTGATAAAATAAAATAATTTCGCTTTAAATATTTAAGAATAAGTGAAAATAGGTTACTAAGGGTTTTGTTAGTATACTTGATAACTAACAGGAGGAGATGTTGTAGATATAGTTCTTCTTAATGAAACCTGTTAGGCTGCCTTTTCGTAAGGTTCTGCTAACTAATAGAAGGCCTCCTTAATTTAAGGAAAATAAGCTTTATCACATATTAAATAGCAGAATCTCTTTTTCTTTTTAATTAATTCTTAGTAATCCTAAAGAGCTTGCTTATAGCCAAATTTTTGATGAAGTCTTTTGCTAACATAATCAAAAACATTGTAATGGAGCAGCTAAATATAAATTTTAGGGAATTTCTATCTTAAATCTTAACATATATTCATGTATTGTTTATATTCTAATTCAGTATTTAGCATCTCTATTTTATTCTTTTAAACATAATTAACTGTTTTCTGCTTTGCTTCTTCCAATATCTTTGGACTATAATTCCCTGTTAATTTATAGTAAACTCCTGTTGGTTCTTTAAAAACATGCATCGAAGAATCAAAATTGGCCTCTAGCTCCATAAAGAAACGAGTAAAGTGAAGCCATATTACTTCAACTGAGCTTAAATCTAGTTGAATACCTGGAAATTTGTGTGCAATCATAAATTTTTATCACCCTAATTTACGTTTTTCAGCAGCTAATTAATGTTAATTTTGAAAATAACTATTTATGTAATCTAGTAAAACTTTCTAAAAATACTGTTCTCCAAAAATTGAATTATTCTTCACAGTATCCTATAATCTCTCTTGCTTCCTTAAGATAAGTGCTGCTTATTTTACTATATTCCTCTAAATTTGAACTGAAATTTGCTATTTTGTTTAACTTGATTAAAATATCTACTATGTTTTAATTTTCCGCTATTTACTATATTTATAAATGAAAAAATTTATTTTATAAATATCAAAATAGTTAGCTTATGAAAATAATTTTTTTTAAATTTTATGCAAAGTTAGACTAACAGAAACATGAGCTAATTTGCTTAAAAATTCATCTTTTTTGCAAAATTGAAGAAATTTAACAACACAATTAATTAAAATACCTATCAAAATGTACTGTTATTTTTTAAAAATATAATAATATAAATGATGGCTTTCTTGAATATTCCTATTAAAACTTATTAATATGCTTCTCTCTCAATAAGATTTATCTTTAATTCTGTATTTATATTAGAAATTACTTGAATATAGCTATAAAACATATAAATTTTTAAAAGCGTTTATAATAAACCTTAAACTAATTTTATTTCTGAGATTGATTTCCTTTTGTTATTTCTTAATATCTCACTTCTATTCTCATAATCAAGCTGGTAATAATTATATTTAATTAATTCGAAAACTTAGCTAAATTCTAATCTCTATCTATCTAAAGCTAAATCTTCCTTCCTTTATGTTTATTTTCAGTGGAAAAATATATTTTTTTAAAATTATTGTATCTTATGTTTTTAAAATTTACAATAAAACAAACAATAATTCTATTTTAAAATATATTAAAATTTTATAAATTATATTAAAAATTGATCATTTTATATGAATACTTATTTAATTTTAAGCTAATTAAAATTATTTATTTGAAAATCTTATGCTTCGAATAGTAATAGATACCTTAATGCATGATATATAAATTTTAAAAATAATATAGACAATAATATAAATTTTTGTATATTAAAGTCTTCTTTCTATTTATCTTGAAGGTTAAATTATTCAAAATAAAATTAATAAGCCATTTATTTCATCTAATATTAACAATAATAACTAAAATTTTATTTGAAATTATTTTATTTACTTTTTTTGAATATTAAGCATATATTAATTGATATTCTATATTTTTATCATTAAGCTTAAAAAATATTTTTTGTTGTACATTAAGAATATTTCTTTTTTACCATAATTTCTTATTTAACAGTCTTATTTTATATTACAATAAAATAAAGAACTTGTTTCAGGCTTAAGGTGTAAAATTATCAAAATAAAATAAAGAATCTAATTTACAATAATCTCACAAACTGCGTTATATTTTTATTTAAGAACTATAAAAAACAGAAAGAATTTTTTTAGCTAAATATTAATATGATAAATTAATTTCATAACAATCAAACATACCTCTTCGATTAATATATGAAAGAATTTTTTAAAAATCCTAAATAAATTTTATCTGCGTTACTGAAAAGAATTATATGATATCTTTATAGTATCCTTCAGATAACTCAAATAAGGTATTTAAATAACAAAAGGGAATCAAAAAAAGTAAATAAAATAGTTAATTTATGTAAAAAGTGCTTAATTAACTAAATTGGTTCGAATAAAGGGATGTATAAAAATTAAATAATTGAAAAGATTACAATATTTCTAGATAAAGTTAAATATTAAATTGCCTTTTTTAAAAATAATAATATTTTAAGAAAAATTGATTAAATACTTAAATCAATTTTTCCTTTTTATGATGCCATTTAAATTTATCATTAGTAAAATAATTAAAAATTACTTTTAAAATAGGCTATCTGTTATTCTGTTCTATTTCCATTTAGAAAAATTAATTATTGAGTCAATTCTATTTTAGAGATTGTACTACTTTACGGAAATTTGCTGAGATATCATTTCTTTTTTTAGAAATATGCTATCGACATAATTATGAGTATTATCTAAATTAAATTTTGAATATTCTTCTATGAAAGTTCAAATTAAAGATTAGTAGCAGCAGAATACTTATTTTCTACTTTTTTAGGAATTTATATGACTTTAATCAATATAAATTCATGTAATTTGAATTAATTTATTTACATAATAATGTGTATTATTTTATTTTAATTAACTTTACTTTTAACAATTTTTAAGCAAATTAATAGCTTTTTATTATTTTAAAAAACTTCTAAATAATAGTTATCTGATAAGTTATTTTAAGAATGTTTTTGTATTGGCTTATGGTTTGCAATAAATTACATAAAATTTGATTTTTTTAATGTTTATCATTAAATTTACTAACATGACTAATAATATTTAAAATTATAGTAATGAATTTTCGATTTAATGACAGTGTTACTATTTTAAATCCTCAATTAATAATAATTCATAATTTAGTAATTATTATGAATTTATTTCTCGTGAAGTATCTTCTATTTCAATTAACTGTTAAATTTTAGGTAGTAAATTACATAATTAATTATAAGTTCTAAGTGTAAATATATGGGAAATAAAATATATGCATTTTATAAAAATATGTATTTAAAACATAAAAAGCATTATTTTACATATAAAACTAGAATTAAAAAATATTAATTGACATAATTCAAGTGAAAGTAATCAATCCTATGTTACTTTATGTAATACTTCTAAAAATACGATAAACTAATATTAAAGAAATCAAATTATTGTATTATTGACTTATTTAATTATATCTATAGATAATACAAAAATATAGAGAAAGATTGCCAAAATCAATCAGAAATAATTAAAGTTTTTTTGTTAATTCAACCTATATTTTCTTGGTAAAAAATAATAAGAAGAAATTTGATTACCACAAAAATAAATTAATCAATATATTAATTAATTCCTATTTAACTTTAAGGATTGGGAATATTACTCCTAATCCATAGCTATTTAAAATTTAGTAATTATAAACTGTAAAAAGAAATAATAAAATTATAATTAAAAAAAGTGTAAAAAAAACAAATAAAAAACAAATTAATTATTACTGCTTTTACTAAGAAAGTGAAAAAAAAAATATAAATAAATAAATCATTCAAAATCAATAAACATGTCTGATGATTTTATATTTATTGAAGAAGAATAATAACAATACTACTAAAATAATCCATTCTACATGATTGCTTTATAAGTAGAAAGCTCAAGAGTGAAGATGTTTGAGGTTGTAGAAATTCCTCATCTATGCTTAGAAATGCATTCTTGCTTCTTTTCTTAAGATATGCAATGCATTAAGAAAGCTCATTAATATATGAAGTAGGGTATATCTTCTTCCTACTATAATGAAATCAAGAAAACTTTATAAAAACAATTAGGAATCTTAATAAAATAATAATAAATATTTACAGAAACATTTAAATAATACAAAGAAGATATTAATTTCTAAAATGACTAGTTTTCTCAAAATATAGTTAATTCACTTACTCATTACTTCTCAAACCCCACTCATTAAAAATACTCGAACGAATCACCTTCTCTTAAAATCCAATTAATATCTGATATGAATTTAAGTAACGAGTCTGATACTGCTAGTAATGATTCTAATTCATAAGATTAAAAATCTCCTAGTGCTTCCATAAAAATAAAATGACTTTCACAAATATAATAACAATAGGATACTATCACTTTTATTCTCAATTTTTCTCTGTCAATAAATAACTATTTCAATTCTAAAATACTAAATTATTTATTTAATAACCATGCTCTATTAAAAAGTATTAATAGATACAAATGAAACATTACTTCAAAAAAACAGTTTCTATAATTCTTTATTCAAATGTAAAAAAATTTATATCTATATCTATATATATATGTTTATTATAATCATTAACAAATTTGTTTAAAAAATGCCCAGTCTGAATTTATTTACAAATTACATTTCATTTATTCTTTTTTGATTTTAAAAAGAAAAAATATTAATAAATCTTACATAGTCATTAAAAAATTATAAATCTAACATAATCTATGCGAAATATATAATTTAGCTTGCGTTGGAAAATAAAAGTCTTATTAAATAGATTTGTATTTTTATTTTTGAAGTAATAAATCAAATAACAATTTCCCTCACTATATTAATTTATACAAGATCAAGTGATCAAATTTGTTTTTTTATGCTACTTTAAGCTTGAAATGATTATTCATCTGATAATACTAGCTGCAGAAAATTCATCTGAACGTTCTAATTTTTAAAAATTATTAAATTTAAAAGTTTTTCCTCAAAATAATATATGATTAGCAATCTATAACTTAGAGTAACTAGATATTTACTTGAGATATTCAGTCAAAAGGAATAAATTTTTATTTAAATCGCTGTATCACTCCAAACATGTACCCATATTTGATAATAGAATCAGAAGAGTTTTTATTTATACTTGTAAAAAAATACATAACTATATTTGTAGAATAATATTGCTGGGTTAATATTTTTCTATTGAATAAGTTAATATGTTATCCATATATGACTTTATGAAAAATTAATTTAGTGTTTTTATCAGAATTTTAGGTTTTTACTTGTTATCGAAAAATTTTAATTCAGAATGATTGAAACTATTCTTAAATTTAACAGTAATAACATGTGATTGTTTAGAAATTATAAAAATAGTATTGAAATCTAGAAAATAATAAAATGGTACAACAGTAAGAAAATAATTAGTCCATTTTGATTTCTTAAAAATTTTCATATTTAACTGTTTAAAATAAATAAATAAATCTTTCTTTAGCAATACATTTATCAGTAAGCCTTAATTTTATTAAAAAATAACAAACATATTTGAGTAAAAAAAAAATTAACATAACTGATAATTAAAATACAGTATATCATCAATTATTTAAAATGAAAGAGTGAGCATTGACTTAATATAATGATTAAATATTCAACTTTACACTTCAAGAAATGTAAGTATTTTTACATGTTACTTTAAAATTTATATTTTATGCATTTGTGATATGTTAAAAAGTATCACACCAAAGTAAATAAATTAAACCATAAAGAACTCAAAATTTTTTAGTTATACCTGAGTCTTGTTAGTAAATTATCTATTTTTTATATAAGTACTTAACTTAAAATTAATATTAGATATAGCTAAGCAAGCGAGATAGAATAAATACATGCTTTTTGAAGGCTGGTCAATATTAATTAATTAGTTAACTAATTAAATAACTAATTAATTACTTCAATTTTTTATGATTATAATAATATTTTATAAAAAAGATAGTACTAATCATCAAAATTATTGCTTGCGCATCAAAACACAAGTATTTTTTAGAAAAAGTGTAAAATTATATTTCGAATTTAGATTGTTTAAAATCTTTTTCTCAAATTTAAAAAACTTTTTAGTTTTTGTAATCTTAAAACTTCTTACTTGAATATTTTCTTTATTTGATTAATAATTTAAATAATTTTCTATGGTAAAATATTGTAAAAATAGGATCAATTTCTATTCATCTAATATTTCCAAACCAAACAAACATAAAAAACAATAAAAATTTTATAAATGGAGACAAATAATCTTAATTGGCTTTTTCTTATTGTGGTTTTTATTGCTCATATAACCAACATATTTTACTGTAATTCTAGTTATTTCTAGAATTGATTTAATTGTGGTATTTAATTACCAGATTCTTTGTAGTACAATAAAATTCATGGTTTTATTTTACTTTAATAGCCTTTATTATGCCATTTGTTAAAAAATTTTTTGAAATCAAGCAAAATAATAACCAGTTTAAGTGTAATCGTTTAAGATTTTACTAACATCTAAAAAACTAGAAGAATAAAAAATTATCATAAAAATTATGGAGCTGCTCATAATTTAAAAAGTAATTAATTTGAAGATCGAACGATTTTTTGAGAATTTTTTTATTAAATAAACATTCGTATATCCTGGAATGTTCTTTAAATATTCAATTTACTTCAATTAGAAAAAAATTTTAGGTAAGAAAAAAACTTAAATTTTTATTTTAATTGAAAAGTATCTTACATTGTTAATTAAATTTTTTATAATATTAAAGAGTAAACTAAGAAACTGAATTAGCTTTCTTTGTTAGTAAATAATTTAATTCTTGAATTGATTTATACATTATGTTTTTTATTATAAGGAAATTTATTTATCTTACATTTAGAATCCAAAAACAAAGAAACCCATGTAATCTAATTAAAAAAATTACATTTTTACCAAAAAATTTTAAATTTACATTTTGTAAAATATTTTGTGGTAACAACTGGAAGATCTAAGCTAATTCTTTTATTTCCTTACTTCTTTATTTATTGATTTAGGTAATTTTAATTTTAGTTTCAACCATGAAAATTTTTAATATCTTAGGTCATTTTAAAGTGATTAAGTTACTCAAACAAATTATGGAGTAACAAAATAGTTTAACTTTATTTTATCTAAAAAATATTATTTTTTAATATATTTTTAGAAAAAAAATTATTAAGATTTATGTTATTAAATCATAAATTTGTGTTTCTAAAATATTTTAAAAAATAAAAATACTTTCTTATGCTTATTACTTTTGTACGTTTTTTATAGAACATTTTACTAAATTTCTATGTTGTGTAATTTTTATTTTTATTGATCATACTCTTAAAAAGATATTTAAATTTATTAATATTTGACTATCGTCTAAATATCTACAACTTATCAACCTTTCCATTCTGCAAAATTACTAAGTAAAACAAACAAAAACACACAATATTTTAATAATGGAAGAAGAATATAGTTATATAACAGCTTTAGACGTGGAATTAAAAGAAGAAGACTAGGCCGAAATTGGATTTATTCTTCCCCATGAACATATTTTTTAAAATCTATCATAATTCGCTGACTAAAGTTTAGTTGATTTTGATAGTATCTCTTTATTTAATATCCAGCAGATAAGAGACTAACCATTTAGATGCAACAGAAACTTAAATCTTGACAGCGTTGAGGAAATGCATTTTGAAATGCAAGAGCTAATTTCTCATCCTGTTTATAAAAACAGAAAAGCACTTATTGTGGAAGCTACAAACAATTAAAATGGATAAGATCATGCAAAGCTCAATGAATTGGCTAAACTTCTAAAAATTAATTTAGTTAAAGGATTTACTTTTGGCAAGGATTTAAGCAAAATAGATCTTAATGATGAGAAGACTAAGGTTTTATTTTCTGCATAAAATATATTAAATTAGGTTGACTTTGAGTTTGAGTTATGTACAAATGATCAAAAACCTTCTTATATTGGAGAAATAGAACTTAGTGAGTTAAATTTAGAGAACAATTTGATACACCAAAATGCTTTAATTGCTTATTTGCACATAAGTAAAGCAAAGAAGGTACCCATATTATTCAATCTCAAAAATTAACCTACTCCAAACATCGAAAAGTTAATTTCTCAAATGAAACCTGAGCACATAGGTAGAATCGTTCTATTTAACCCCTAATTTTAATATGAAGAAAAGAGGTTAGTAATCGAAAAAGAGAACGAATAAAATCTTACTCTGGTTAAACAAATTAAAAATTTTAAGGAAATCTTAAGCCTTCTCAATTAAAAATTTATTCTTGGCTTTGATATATTGAGATATGACTACAATGATCTAGTAGATATAACTAAATTACTATTGTAAAAAGGCTACTCAAAGCAAATTCTCATTTCTAATGGAGTAAAATATAGATCTGATTTAAGAAAGTATGGAGGAAAAGGTTTTTTTGCAGTCTTTGATTTTATTAAAGACACCTAAATGAGTGATTAGTAGATTGAAGATATTTTTAAAAATAACATGATAGCAGTTTTATAATGGAATACCTTTAAGGTTAAAATTCAAGAAATCAAATAATGGAAGTGCCCGATTTGTGGAAAAGAATAACCAGAAAATATTTAAAGATTTACTAAATTAGGCAAGGAATTCTGCTCTATTCCTTGCTTAAAAAAGGCTGTATTTTGAATGGTTTAGCTTAGATTTTATCTACAGAATTTGAAAGATTAATATTAGTAGAAAAAAACATGTAATTCATAATATCCATTAAAATTTCTGTTGAGTTATTTTGAAATTCAAGGAAATTAGAGTTACTGATTTAAAAATTAAAGAAAACTAAATTGAAAGCATTATAAAATAAACATGATTTATAACAAAATACCAGCAAATGATTAATTGTATTATAAAATTTATTTAAATGTTTAGATACTTTAAATTACTTTTATTATTTTGTAAATTAGCAATTGAAATTAAACAAAGTTAAGCATATAAATAATATATGAATTTTTCTTTATGGTATTAAAATTTATGTTTTAATTTATTACCTTTTTTCTTATCCACAAAATATTTTTAAAAATATTTATTTTTTTACAAAAGCTACTATTTAAAATCCAACTCAACAATTTTAATAAAATAATTTATTTTAAAGCTGTAAGATTATACATAAAAATAGCTCAAAACTAAATTAATAATTACACTACCATGTATATAAATCAATAAAAACCACATATTGTTTTTTATTCAAGCTCTTATTCACTGATTTATCAATTTATTTACTTATTGAAGACTTCTTTAAATTTATCTCCTAGAATCATAATTAAAAGTTTTTCTGTAAGGTCATTCATCCTTGATACACAATATCCTTGCAACACATACCTAAACCAACCTAGCCATCCAATTTACTGTTAATCATACCTTCGCTTGTCCATATAAAGGGACTTATGGGATCTACCTATTAAATGGATATAATAAAAGTTTTTTAAGCTTCGTTAAAATATTTTTAGAATAAAAAGCATATTTTTAAATAAATATTTTACCCATCCCATTGATCTTGCATATTGGAATCCTTATGAAAGAATTTCAAAAGAATTACAAATATGATAATCTTATGGACAAGCAACTTGAGTTCTGGGGCAATTTCTGCATGAAAATCTGTAGAAATCACTGGAAGTGCCACCTAGAAATTGCTCTGATTTAGCAAATATCTCATGGCTTTGTAAAACTCTATTGTAAACTCTAACATCATCAATCAAGTAATCTAAAAAGTTTTCATCTGTGGATTTATCAACAGCCAATTAATTTCCAAAAGAAATAAAAGGATTTTGCTCAATTTCATAAGTAAATTTATCAGAAGGGGATATGTAACCTTCTAGGGAACCATTAATATATAGCTTAATCTTATCATCAGATTTCACAATAGTGATTTATACCCACTTTCTTAATTAAATTCTAGAAAACGATTCTAGGGTCTGTTAATTATAAAATATGACATTAAATAGTATTTACACTTATTTCAAAATAATTATGACAAAAATTAATGAGATCAATATAATATGCTGATTTATGAATACCACTTTTACATTTTACTGGAATCATATTAAAATTTTAATTATTTTTAGTTTTCATAATTTTATTTTTCATTTAAAATTCTATTTTTTATTTAATAAAATTCTTTCTTAATAATATTCTTTTTTTATAATGGAATAATTTCTTTTGACTTATTTTTTCAAAAAATTGTTTTTTTTTTTTGCTTATTTTAATAAAATTGTTTCTTTTAATTTATTTTTAATAATTAATTTTTTTATTATCAATAAAATTGTTTCTTTAATTTTTTTATTGTAAAAGGATAAAAATTTTATTTAATTATGTTAAGAAATAAATAAATAAATTAAAACTAAAATAAGTTAGAAAAAATAATTTACCTTAAAAGTAGCATCTGTTCCTACAGGTAAAGATAAAAATAATCTTTTTGAATCTAACCCAAATGTCAATTTCAAATTTTTTTTATCATCTGAATGAAACTTTTGGAGTATTCTAATTTTTTTGTCATCAAAAGAAGTTACATCTTCTTTAAATATCTAATGTATGAACAAAGAGAATTATATTGAATATTCCTATTCTATTTTAGGCAGATTGTGTATTTATAGAAAGCTTTCTTTTTTGCTCAAGCGTCCACTTCTTCCATAACCCTTGAGGCCAGTAGATTCTTGAATATTTTTGTTATAAATTGTTGCTTTTGATAAAGATTCGTCCATGATCTATATTAATCATATAAATATATTTTAATAAATAACTGACTTGATGTAAATATTACAAATATATAATTTTTCATTAAATTAATATAAAATATTTTGTTGCTTTTTTTCAATTTAATTTTGAAGTAATTAAATCTTAACTTATTCGTTTTTACAAAATTAATTAAAAATAATAACTAAAAATAATAGGAAGATTTTGTTTTAGATATTAAATAGAAATCATATTAAAAGATAATGCATATTGGTTGAAAAACGGAAAAAAAAAAATGAAATAGGAACATAAATCAAATAGATTTTTTAGGAAATTAATGTGAGCTTTAATTAAAAAGATTTTACTCTTGATTTATCAAAGCTGACTAATGCTATTAGAGAAGAATCAACTTCTGGAGTATTAACAACTAGATCTCCTATTATTATTTAATTAATTTAATGATATTTATTTCATTAGTAATGGTTGATAGAAATAGAAATAAATTATAATCTTAGTTCAAATTTCTAATTACCATTAAATAAGCAAAGGTTATTTTATACTTCAATATCGCAGTTATTAAAATCCTTGAGATTAATATTTTCATGTGAGCTAATTAGTTTATTTTACATTTAAATTGGTTAAATCATAATCCGAAATGAATAATTAAATGTACACAAAATCTTGGAAAGCGAATACTCCTACAAAAGCTACTAAAATGAAAATAATTTAGTACTTATAAGTTTTTATTATCATAATAATTATCTATTAATTTCTATTAATGTATTATAGCCTTTTTTTTGCTTTATAGATTTTACTTCCCTACTCCTAATTTATAAATACTATTATTTTAAGTTAATTACTTCTATTATATTTATGCAATTTCTATTCACATTTATATATTATTTTAATTAATCATACATACATTCATATTGCTTGCTTAATAGTATCTTTTTTAACTAAGCATTTGTAAAATTTTTAATTCTAACAAATAATTTGTGATTCAAAATTAATTCATTTTTAATAAAATATTATGTAATAAATATAAATATTTTAATAAAAAAATATTTTTAGCTTTCTCAAATGAAAAATTATAAAAAAGAAAGTAGAGTATATTTTTTAAATGATTTTGACTGTATTTAAATGTATAATTTTGAAAAAAAAAGAAAGTAGAAAGTCATAACTAATCAACACAAAACCATTCATTAAAAAGAATATTAACATATTTTTTCAATTTTAACAAATTAATAAATTAATAAAAGAAAAGATTGCTTAAAATCTATAAAGAAATACTAATTTTATTACTACTGATAGAAAATACTATAAATAAAATGAAGATAAACAGTAAAAGAAAGCATGAAATTGTTGAAATTGATGAAGATGAAGATTTTCCATAGCACGAAAGTGAATTTTTAGGAGAATCCTCATATAAAAAGTATAAATTCATATAGGCCTTTAGTAGACTTAGCATAAACGATGAAGAAGATTCAATGAATATTGAAAAAAATTAATCAGACTCAAATTTAGACCTGCTGTATTCTGATCTTACTAAAATGTTCACCAAAAATATAAAAATTTCTCATTCAGAAAAAATATGCTATAAAAAGAAACATTAACATTAGCACACTGACAAATCCAAACCTTAGATGTAAATTTATATTGATTTAAAAATATTTCATATTGAATATATTCTTGATTTTTAAAATAGCAAATATGTAAGAATTACTGATGGATAAAAAGACATTAATCTATTTAAACACTAGCAAAAAAATTTAGTTAATGTTATATTTAACCTTTGCCAGGAAGTCCAGTAAAATTATTCTACCATGTATTTTTAAATATTAAACCTTTTCTACTTTTTAAGACCATGCACAAGCGATAGCTTAGTTCTTTACAAAGGAAACTCTATGAATACATTGATGAGTAACTTTATGAACTTTTTACAAAGAACAAAATTCATAAGTGGGAAATAAAAATCAATCACTGAAAACAAATAAAAAGAATCTCTAAAAGTTATAATTGAGGAGAGCGATACAGAAGAGGAAGGATAGAAACAATTATCTGATTGAGTTAAATATTTAAAAAATAATTAAAAATTTACTACTGAAATAATAGTTAATTAGTTAGATAGATAGATAGTTAGTTAATGAATCACTTTTCTTAAAATTGCAAAGTCATATAAAATATAAATAGCAATAATTACTTTTGGAAAAATCTGATCTGTTCACTATTCATCTTTAAAAGAAGAAGCCTCTCTATTCTAAAACTACAGAATAATATTTAAAGTGGCTCATTCATATATTGCTTTGAAACTAAATAAAATTTCAATAACTTTATAAAGGAAAACATTTTCTCAGCTAATCTTAGAACTTCTATATATATTAATAACTCAAATATACAAAACTATAAAATTAGGATATATAAATAATTAATTAAAAAAACCTTGCTGAGAATTCGCTGTTCAATTATTTGTAAATAAATATAAGCGTATTTGTTTTTCATTTTAGTGTTTCTATAAAATGAAACTAGAATTGATAGAGACGCATTCTGTTTTATAAAAGAAAATTTTCTATTTATTTAAACTATATTGTTTCATTTATATATGATATATTTTTTATACATAAACTATTTAACATTATTCAAAAATAAAGAAAAGAAAATGAAAAAATCAGATTAAAAATACAACCATTTTGATAACTTGCATTCGCTATTAGGCTTTAAGAGCAAAGAAAAAATACCTAATGATGTTTATAATTAAAAAATGAAAGACATATTCAAAGCACCTTATGATTACAATATTATGCTTTATGATGAAGGTTAAAATGTGAAAGAATTCTTAAATATGGAGGAAGAAACAAATCAAGAAGGAACAGGGAGGTTTAGGTTTTAAAAATCGGGTAGAAACAAAATCATGTTATATTTTGTTGGAAAGCAGTCTGATATAGAGAAATTAGTTGATACTAATGTTATTCTTTAGGCTTTTAAGGCATTTTTTAGTTTAGATACTATTTATGTAGAATTTTTAGAGTATTTCACTTTTCAGAAAAAATTCAAAGGCAAAAGAATAAGCATAATTGATCAAAAAAAGTAATTAGAATTTCCTTTGAAATAAAGAGGAGGTAGAGTTGGAGTATTTTCCTTATTTGATGTATTATTAGAATATATAGAAAAGAAGTCATACACAAATGTATTTTTTGTTGATGAAGATATTATAGAAGAAGATAACCCTGATTTTAATTTGGTAGGCAGGGCTTGTGGAGATAGAATATGTATTGTTTCATTGAAAAACATAACAATATATGAAATTATTAGTACTAGCTTACATGAATGTCTCCATACTTTTGGGATTGACCACTGCATATATTTTGACTGCCTTATGAATTCAATGTATTAGCAAGACTAGTTTTGGATGTAGCTTTGTCCTGTTGACTTATTTAAGCTTTAGAGTGAGTTAAAATTTGATATAAAAAAAAGATATCAAGATCTTTAAAATTTTTACCAAAACATACTTAAAGATGAGAAGCAAGTTGAATTTTTAACTTAAATACTAAAATCGTTAGAATGAAAATTGTATATTTTGATAAAAATAAAATTATCAAATGATATATAAAATAAAAATTAATTTAAATACCAAATAAAATATTTTATAATCTATTTTATTTTCAATATTGATACTGTTTTAAATTTATAATAAACTCAAATAAAGAATTCTACTCTTTATGTTTAAAGAAACCAAGCAAAAATATTTAGATTTATCCCATAAAATATTACATGTAAATATATTTCTTTCATACTTCACCAACAAACTTTAATAAAATTAAATTTTAATTAAATAGATTTTATTGACATATGTGGTAATTATTAATATTACTAAACAAATAATAAGTTATTTACTATATACTTTTTCTAATCATCAAAAGTAGAAATAAATGTAAAGAGTAAAAGTTTCTCCAAACCTTCAAAAAATAGTACCTAATTGCTAAAGATAAATAGAAAGAAAAAAATAGCAACTTGTAGAAATCTATGAAATTGATACTCCTATTAGTCCATAAATCTAATAATAGAGCTAGATACTTTCTTAGCAAGACTAAAATCAAAAAGTTAATTAATAGCAAAAAAATGGAAAAGAGAGTTCTTACTTTACCTAGATGATATCAGAGAAACCTGTTTAAATTTCTGAAAAATTCTTAGATAACTTAGAAAAATGCTAAAAATTTAGAGATGAAAAAGTTAAACAATCTGAAATTGTTGTGAAAATTGATTAGAAATAAAATTTGTTTAAACCTAGAAGCATATATGTAGAGCAAGCTTTGCAGTGTATCGAAAAAATAAATAAAAGAGAAAGAGTGGAAAGTGCAGATATTGAAAAGCAAAAAATGTTAGAACTAGACAAATAAAGAATACAAGAATTAGAAGATAAAAGATTGAACAATTTACCAACAACAATTGGTAATTAATTATTTATCATGTTTTGTTAAATTTTAATTATATTTATCAACTTATAAGATGAGATTGAGAAAATAAGAGAAGAAAATGTTATGGTTCAATATAAAGGCGGTGTCTAGATTTAAGATCAATCTTAGAATCAGATGAAATAAATAGAAAATTCACACTAAAGATAAATCTCTTGCATATAAGAATTTAATGTAAGTAAGATCTGTTTAAAAATAATTTGCTAAAATGATAACTTTTTTTGTATTTTTTGAATATTTTTTATATATTTTATAAATAAATATTTATTTTTCATCAATTTATAAATTAGTAACTTGATTAATTTGAAAAAAACAAAAATGTTTTTTAAGATGACTACCTTTAGTATATTTCATATAATCCAACATATGATGATGACATACACCCTAAAAATAAAGTCAATCCGTTGCTAGATATGTCAAGCCTAAGCAGAGATTTGATGATTTAAGGACCAAATGTTAAGAAATTAATGGTATAGAATTGCATTGATATTCTTAACTTAGAAGATATTCTTATTAACAAAGATGAAATCAAAGTTCAAGATATAATCAACATAGTTAGCGAGAGGATTAATTAAAACTAGTTAAAGTATATATTTTCTAACAAAGGTATTTTTGATTTAGCCAAGCAGGTCTAGGCAGAGAATGATTAGTAGTAGACAAAGAAAAAATTTTATAAAAATAAAAGAAAGCGTGTAGGCGAATTTATAAGCTATGTGAATAATGTAATAATTTTTTATATAATAAAACTTAAATAAAATGAATTCAAATATATTTTATTACAGATAAAAGAACTTAAAGAAATTGATGCTCTGTAAGAGCTGAAGCACTTTGTGCACATATCAAATTATAAAGATTAAAGTACTGAAGCAAACTAATTTGACATAATAGAAGAAACAAAAGAAGAAATAGATTGGGCACTTGAAGATTTTTATTTTATTAAATAAGCCAAGAGAAATATTGAACAATTTCCAAGCTTTTTCGAGGGAGTTTCAGAATTATAAAGTATATTTTAATATTTTTTTATAAAGACATCAATAAAAATTTTCATTTGCTTTTATAATAATATTCAAATTTTTTAAAATAAAGAGGCTATAAATAAAAGATTTGAAGATAGCTTGATTGATTTGCTGAGGATATTTTTAGGAGTGTCTAAATAAGATTATTATGAAACAAAAACAGTGAAATACGAAGATTTAATTATAGAATTAAAGAAAATAGTAAAAAATCCTGAATCTATTATCAACTAAAAGATCTAAGGTCATTAAAAAGTTAAAATCCTCTATATTTTCTTAAAAGATTTTCTTCCTATTGTTTAAAAAGAAGAACAAATAGTAGAATAAATTAAATAACTTCATAAGCAAATAAGCTAACAATAGTATGAAGAAAAGAAAGAAATGAGTAAACCATCTTATGTAAAAGACTATGAGTAAAGCACAATTAAACTAAGAAGATAAAATTAGTAAAAAATCTTTAAAACTATAAATAAATTATAAGACAAAAACTCAAAGGTTTTTAAATGACCAAATAAAATAAATAACCAATATAGTTAAAATTTGTAAATAGTAATAAAAAATAATTTTTAAATTTATTTTATAAAAAAGAGAAGGAAAATTATTTTACTTATATTAAATTTGTGTTCTTAATTAAATAAAAGAAGTTGTGTTATTCAAAAATTTTTTAAATTAATTATTCATAAATGATAATAAGATTGTTATAATTTTAAGCTAAATATTAGTTTAATGTAATATAAGAAAGAATAAAATATTCAATAAATGTTCTTTTGATATTTTAAATTATTTTATTTGATTACTATTGTTAATTTTATTTTTAATACAATAAAAAATAAATCTTCTGAAATAACTAATCAACTATAGCAGGGAAAAGCCAATCAATCAATCAATCAAAAAACAAACAAACATTTTACATAAAGGTTTTTACTTTTAGAATTAATGTTTATTAGCTATATTCATTAATATATTTCATTTTTATTTTTAGTATCATTAAATAATTTATTTTATTAATTTAGTTAGATAGCTAGCTAGTCAAGATAAATAGAATTATTTATTTATTTATAAATATATATATATATATATATTTTTTTATAATTTATTATAATAAGTTTTGTTAGAAATTTATCTTTTAAATTGATGATTAAAATTTCAGATCTTCTTTAGCAACTCAATATTTTTATCAAAACATTTATACACCTTTTCAAAAATATCTATGTTTTTACTGATCGAGCAAAAGTTTTCACAAGAATCGTAAAAAAAATATAATTCTCTATCATCATAATTTTCTTAGTATGCTTTTAAATAAAAATGCTCTAAGCAATCTCTGTGCTCAATCATGCAATTAAGCACACTTTAGTAGTAATTAAAACATTCTGATTTTTCAATTATTACATCATTAAATGTTATAGATGTGCATTTTAAGACCTCAAGCTTAGGGAGACATTCGTTTTTTACTAGTAAGAAATTCTTTAAAAAATAATTTGCAATAATCACATTTGACATAATTAAAAAAATAATAATATGAATAGTAAATTTGAATTATCTCATTTATTTTACTATATTTATCAAAATTGAATTCTATAAAATTGAATGTTTGCTTATTATTTTTGATTATAATTTGCTGTCTTTGAGAAGCAATTTTGATAATAAATGTTTTAATTAATTTTTTAGTAAAATAGTAGCTATCTAATAACTTTGAATATAAAAATATAAATGGTAGGAAGGTTTAATTTTTAAATGATTGATAAATAAGAAATAAGGATAATAAAATAAACAGTATGATCGATTTAGAGGGATAGATTATAAATAAATACATAGCTCTAATTTGTTTTATTTATTTAATACATATTATAATTACTTAAAAGAGCAGAATAAATTAATTATCAGTTTCTAAATCAAAAAAATATACTTAATTAATTTTATTTGATTATCATCTTAGTAATCATTACTCTCCAATTGGAGTACCGAAATTGTAGCGTATATTTTAAATTAATAAATCGATAACTTATTCATATCTAAAGTTTCCACGACCTAAACCAACTAAATCAGAGTGATCAGCTTCAAAATTTAAAAGATGGGTACCCCATTGAACTTCATCAAAGCAGAAAACACCATCATTATCAATGGGTGCTCCTGATGTTCCGTTAAATTCACTAAATAAAGCACCATTAGAAGATTTTAAAGAGTCTGCACATTGGGCGGCCATTTTTTCACCTCCAACAGTGAAGTACTTTAATATTTTATATTTAATTTTTAGCATAATTTTTAGTTTGCATTCATGATGCTTTTAATTTTAAAGTAGAATTAAATTTATTTTACTTAAACTTTAGGGTTATTTAAAACAAATGTGTTGAAATCTCTAATATTTGTAGGACGATATTCTTAGAAAGAAGAGATGTCTAAACCTACTAATCTTGATATAGCTTATAAATGTTGGTCAAAAATGAGCTTTCTCTCATAAGCAGTAATAACCTTAGCACCCCTTTATCATAAGTTAAAAATTAAATATAATTTAAAGATATTTGTTTTTCATAAAAAAATACACAGCTTTTTTTATAAGTTTTTATTTGTTTTTTGTTTTTCTTAAGATAAAATTGTTTTTTTAAAATTAATGAGCTTGGGTAATAAAATATTTTTTAAAATACTATTTATTGATTGAAATATTTATAGTTTAGTGTGTTTCTTTTAACGTATTTGATTATATTTTAGATTGCTATTTGTGTTCAATATTTTCATTTATTTTTACTTGTGAGGAGAAGCAATAGTAGAAAGAGAAGAAATGTATTAACTTCCTTAGAATTCAGAAATCAAGTATCTCATATCAACACCAGAAGTACTGTAAGAAATAATGTGAGCCTTATCAGCTTTATGTTTGCTTAAGAGCTAGATTATTTTAATATTTAAAAATATATTAATTTCTTGATTTGAATTTTGCAATAATTAATTATTATGATAAATGAAGATATTCTGCTTAATGAAATTAGCTCATGTTTAAAATGTTTCATTAAAGTAATTATGCTTAAGTCTAATTGCTTTATATCAGAAACCAAAATCATATTATTAGCTGTTTCATTTTTATATATTCAAAACAATTTTATGTGAATCCCTACTTCTGGAATTTTTTAAGAAGCTTGCTTGGCTCTGCTTTCGATGGAATCTTCAGGGTAGCTGATAATGGGGAGAACAATCGCCTTCATGTTAGTCTACTTGCTTAAATGGTTTTCGATATGTTCGAAATGCTTTTAACCAAAGTTTTTATATACATTAAGCATAACATTGTAAGTGAAAATAATGGGTTAATCTATTCTCTTAACTACTTTCTTCATTTCTACTATTAATATCTATTATTATATTTCTACTCTAAATCTTTCTTTATTTTTCTTAATATCTTTTACAAAAGAATCAATGCGCTTATTTTAATTAATTAAGTGTTTGTTTGTTTCTTGAGTTCGATTATTTAATAATTTCTTTCTCTCTTAGGAATTGTTGTTTCATCCTTTTATTAAATGATTATTCATTGATATCTGCTTTATTTTTATATTTTCTTTTTATTTCCATCACCTCAATTAAAATTTAAAAAAAGAAAGATTTAGAAAAATGATAATTTTTTACTAATTTATGAATGAATGAAATTATATCAAATGCATTTCATTTTTTCTAAATTAAAACATATTTTTTTAATTAATTAAAAAAAAATTATTTGCTTTTAAAAAATTCTTTAGTGTTTTTACATATTTATTTTGTGTTAGAGTATGAATATTTTAATTATTTTATTTTGTAAATAAATATTTTTATGTAACATTAAAATAAATACATTTTGTTGGCAATTTATTGTTTATTTCTTAATAATTTTAATCAATAATTAATAATCATAAAAAAATAGGGATGGTGTAATAGTATTTTTTTTCATTTGTCTCTAGCTATAAGTGAATTAAATATGTTTGTTATAGATCTCTAATATAGATGTTTTTGTTAAGTATATGCGTTTGTTATAAGTAATTTATAAAATATCTTAAGCTCGTTTTGTTGGTTGAGAATCCATTTTATTTTATAGTCTGGTAAAATTATGTTTGAAGAAAAATATCCAGAATTAACTAATGACCAATATGTAACTACTTGTTATTCGACATTCATTTACTTTAACACTCTTAAAAGATTTTCCTTAAGTTAATAAAAAAAGACTTCAGTCCCTTGGTAATGTGTAGAGTAGATGTAGGCAACAGAAGCTAAATCAGCAGGTTCAAAATCTTTCAGCTACTGCTCTACGATAGAAAACTCTATTTTTTCAATTAATTCTATGAATATATCTTATTAAAGATATCCTTTTTTATATAGTTTTTCTATTTTTTACAAAAGCAAAGAGAGTTGCTCTTCTTTCATTTTCATTACAAATTAAGTTCTGGCTATAGCAAATTCAAATATACGAAAGAACTTTCTTTTATCATCAATAGGAGATTCAGTGATAAAATTTAATATAACGAGCAGAGACTCTTTACTAAAATTGTTAAGGTATTTTAATATAATGTCATTAAGTACATTTATTATTTCGCTTCTTTCCTGCTGAAATACACTAGAGCAGCTTATTTCTCTCTCCATATCTGTCAACTTTTATAGAAAAACAATTACATAGTACTCCATCAAATCATCTATGTTTTCTTTTTGCTTGATCACCATACTTTGGTAATCTTTAACATATTATTACAGTTGTTCAAATTCATTTAGATTTTGTATTGTTTCTTCAACTTTTAAGAGTTCTTACTATCTTTAAATAAGGGGTTCTTTTATTTACTCTATCAATAAATTTGCATAGTTTTATCTGTTGTATACATGTGTATTAATGCAAAACATATTTTGATTCCTAAAGCAGAGAAAGCGATAAGATTTAAATAAACCTTGGGACCTCTTTAAAAGCATTCAAATAATTTTGTTAATTTTTTAGAGAGCTTTATTCAAAATTTGTTTGTCCGTGAAAATGTATTTTGATGTAAAAAACTATCTTCAAATTTTACTTTAGAGTTACTCTTATTTCTTTCTTATTAATGGAAGCAAATATCTTAAGATTCTTTTAGATTTAAAGATATAATCTTAATTATAAATATATTTTATCAGAAATAAATATTTAAATAATTAAAGCTAAAAACAGGTATTTTACAATTTTCTGTTTGTCTGATTTTATCTGTAATAATTACTTTTATAAAAGTTACATGAAAATATTACTAAGTTGTAAACTCCAAATCACTGAATTGATAACTTAACAAGATATACTATGCTAACGTTGAATTTTAAAAATAAATTTTTATTTATTTTCTATCTATAATAGTGTATACAAATTTGAATATATCTTTATGATTATTTATGAAAATCAGACAGATACTCAAACAAAACTAAGAAATTAACGAAGTAAAATAGGAATTTATGGAAAAGTTCAAAATCTATGAAAACTGAATTTAAAATTATATATTTGTATGTATTTGTATCTATATTAAAGGACTTTACTAATTTTGTGCATTCTTTTAAACAAACAAATTTTTATGATTGCGATTTGGTTTTTTGAAGCAAAAAAAAAAATTGCACAAATCAAATAAATTGTTGGTTTAATGAAAATGTGGAAGTAAATAATCTTTTAAAATAAAGAACTTCAAATAACACACACATAGAATTCATGAATTAAACTAAGTTACCAAAGTAGTTAATTGAAAATAAAAAAAAGTCAAAAAGTAATTTAAATAAATTTGCATAGATAATAATAATTAAAAATTTACAAAAAAAAAACCCTAATTTATATAAATAACAGCTGAATAATTCATATTAATTCTATTGAGATAAATATTGATAGGGTATTAAAACATTTAAAATACTTTCATCTTAGATTTTAAACAGGCGACAATTCTTTTACCAACTTAAAAAGCCAATAAAGCCCAAGCACTTAAAGCTTTAGGAAAGACGCCTTCAAGTATATATAAAAAAGGCAATTAGCATTTAATAAAAATCTCATATTGTGATCAGTAGATTTGAATTAACAACATCATTTTTATTATTTTTTAAATTTAAAACTATGTCTCAATAGTAGTATACTTTTAAAAATAATAATGGGAGTGGATTAGGTTCCTCATCAAATTTAGGAAATGCAAGTAGCAGAGATAACTTAAAGAATTTAATGAAGAAGTAGCAATAGAATTTAAATTATTGCGATAATTAGTATATTTAAGAAACCATGAACCGCACTGGATTGAATAGTAGCAGTAATAATACTTAGTCACCTTAAAATAACAATAGTTATTAAAATGCATATATCAATGGAGGATAAAACTATCAAGCTTTAAAGAATTAGGGAAATTCAAGCTAATAATAAACTTCAAATATAAATAAAATGATTGAGGCATATTAAAAGAACCGCCCAGTAACATCATAGTAGTTGCAATAGTCCTATCAGCAACAATAACCTCTACATCATTAAAACACTTATTCTTCTCCTTTGAGAAATAACTTCAACAATACTAGTGTAATTTAAAATTAAAATTCACCTTCTTAGAGAGCTATTACGGCGCAAGGTAAATTTTTGTAAAATTTATGGTTGTAATTTTAAATAAAATTGAAAATAGTATTGCTTATTTTAATACCATTTAAAAATTGATATTTAAGTTAAATTATTTAGTTACTTTGCGCAAATTTAAAGTTATCTTAAAAAATTATTAATATTTAAATAGATTCTCGCCGTGAAAGTAATAATTATAATAATTAGATCAATATTGATTTAATGGAAAGGAAAAGTAGTCTTGGCAGAAATAAAATAGACTCCTCTTTTGATAATTTGAATTCCAGTTTTGGAAAAGTAGTCTCTAGTAGTAATAACTATAGCAGTTAGTAGAAAAGTCCTGCTCCAAGTACAAACAAAGTTTAATAAATGCTTAAAGATTTAATGGGAAATACTCAGAATGTAGAAAAGACTTCTTAGTATTAATTACAAAGCAGCTACTCAAAGTCAAATCTAAATAAAACAGACTAAGTAAAAAAATAAAATTAAATTATATATTTTTTCATATGAAAATTTAAATTTAATTAATAAGAAATAACTTTCTGGGTTCATAAATTTTGAAAGACATTAGTTTTCAAAATTTATTAACTAAAAAAGCAAATGATGCAAATACAAAATTTAATAAAAAATGAATTTATTTCAATTATTTACAATGTTATTTAATCATAATCTATAAATTCTTTTAAATGTTATAAATTAGAATGTTAATTAGATTTCACCCATAAATTCTAATCAATCCAATCAGGTGAACTATTCAAACAGAAATGAAATTAGCCATTTAAGAAGTAGAGAGAGTAGTAATGATAAAAATAAATTTATTAATCAATCAAATAGTAACTTAACATAAAATAATTTATATAATAATCTGATTACAAGCTCAAATTAATTATCAAATAGACTTTAAAATTAAGTTTCATATTAAAATCCAACAGCCAGATAAAGTAGTCCAAGTCAAAACAATTAAACTCAAATTAATAGCTCATTTAATCAAGGTACTGCTTATAAAAATATGGCCTCAATTGAAATATAAAATTTCAACTCTAACAATAATATTAATGATTCATATTCATAAAAATTATTAAAATCAAGTAATTCATCTAAGAACTTGCAAATGATTGACTTGGACTCTAAAAATATTAATAAATCGACACAAAATTTGCTTAATAAATCTAAGACCTAATAGGCACAATAAAATTAAGCTACTTTAAATAGAAATGGGTCAAATTCAAAGCTAAGGTTGTAAGATGATGCTATAGAACAGGCATATAAAAACAACCGTTCTATAACTCCTAAATATACAAGCTAAAACTAAACATTAAACAAAACCTAAACTAGTAATTAGTAATAATAAAGAAATAAATCTCCTCTTAGTAGTTCTATAAATAATAATAACTTAACATCTCAAAAATCTTTGAATGATAACTCATATCTGTAAATAGTTGGCACTTCTTCATCTAAATAACCTCTGTCTAATAATAACAACTCATCTTTTTCAAATGTCAATAATAGTTCATTCAATTAAACTAATATTGCTTCTTCTAGCAACCTTAAACAAGCTGCTCAACAAAATGATTTATTAAATGATTTACAAAAAAGAAGACTCACACCTACTCCTATAAATTAGAATTTAGAAATTTTTGAAAGACACCAGTCTCTATAAAATATAATATAAATGCAAGAGTAGTAGTAATATTTAAATTAGCAGCAATAATCCTAGAATAAGTCACCTTTGAGGACAAACAACTATTTTTCATAACAGTCTTTAAATAATAATATACAACAAAACAGTGCTAAAGAGAATATTTCTTCTATTTCAAACCATTTAGGAAAAAATTTAGCATCCACAGTAAATGTAAATAATAATTGCAACAACAATAACTATTAAAATTAAGGATAGAGAGAACCATCAAAATCTCCAAATCATTCTACTAATACTTTTAGCTAAAATTAAAATCAATAACAAGGACCTTAATCTCAAATTTAAAATTCTAAATAAACTCAGTAAACATAACAATTTACGTAATCGCTTAGAGGTACTAGCTAAGAAGCAAAGAATAGTAATTAGCAATTACTTACTTTATAATAAAAATAAAATAACTTATAAAAAACAAAGCAAGCCAATACTCCTTTAAATAATAATGGTAATATTTCAGGAGGTGTTAGCTAATCATCTACATCTTCAGCATCTTCTTAATAAAAATCGACAGATTTAAATAAATCTTCTAATTCTATATTAAACTAAAAGCAAACAAATTAGTAATAGCAATAACTACAATAGCAATAACAATCATAGAAAAATATTTAAAATTAACAAATATAACAGCAGGGCTCTTCATAAAATTCTCCTTTTTTTGGAAATTAATAACTGAATAACAATAATGAGAATTAACATCTAAAAAAAATCAATCCTTAAAATTAAAATGAGCTTTTGAAAGCTATTCAAGAATAAATAAAATTAAAAAACGATAAGAAATAGGGCTAAACTGGCTAGCAAAAAAAATAAAGAAATAAACCATCTCAAGATTTTCTAGATTCTACTTATTTTTAATTTAATTCTTAATTGATAGAATAGATTTAGCAAGAATAGACAGAAGAGTAAAAAAATACTACATAATAGTGTATTCCCAAAGAATCTACAAATTTATTAAATAATTCTCTGTATTTAACATAAATTAAACAATCTCAGCAAGCCTCATAAAACAATTTTCCTTCATTCGGATAACTCCAAACTTCCTACGAAATGCAATTGCAGTAAGCTTAATTGATGACTGATAATCAACAGTTGTAATAGTAGGCACATAATAAATCTAAGCTAAATCCACAAGTTACTTAATAAAATTAATAAATTATTTAAATAAATAAGCAATAATAAATGTTTCCTCCATAAAGTTAAAGTGAACTATCAAAGCAACCTAAATAAAACTAAGATGAAATTTTGCTAAAATAAAAGTCATAAAATGTTGTAGATGAAAGAAATTAACTACTTAATCAATAGCTTGTTAAGAAAAATTAATAGCTTAGTATAAATGAAAAAAGCTCACTTGCCCTCAATAATGATCAAGAATCTGTAGACTCTGCTAATACAACAACTTGCTTCAGTGAAGAGCTTTCTAAGAGTACTTTAGCTAAAATAAATTTAACAGAACTGCTTTAGATAGAATAAAATTTATTTGACCTCCAAAAGGATGCTTTCAAAAGCAAAAAGTAGACCACTAAATATTGTAAAAATTATTTAAATTCCATAGCAGAGTAAAACATCGATAATTTAGAAGTAATTCTTCAATAAATTTACTTTTCAACATTTAAAAAAATATTTAAAAAGCAACATTCATTTTAACATTTTTGATTTTTTAGATAAGAAATGATTAATTTTAATATTTTGAATAAAAAAGAGAATAGGATCAGATACTAAGCAATCTTAGATTTTAATTAGAATGTTTATTTTAGAGAGAATATGTGTGATGCTAAGTTTGCATGAATCTTTAAATAAAGCCAGTAGTAACTAGGAATCATTGAATGATTGTAATGAAGATTTTGATGAGGATGATGATTGCACTAACCATATTAAGAACACTCTTTAATATGTCCATTTAAACTTTTTTGTTTTCCTTGACACAGTATTTAGCAAATATAATTTTACGGGTAGCACAAAAGAACTTGAATAGTAAATTAAAAAAGTATTTGAAACTAGGACAAAGGTGAAAAGATTTTAAAACTGCTTAAACAAATAAGATAAATTCCAAGTTATAAGTAACTACTGTGATATAATACTTCCTTATTTAAAAAATATTGTCTAAAACTATGATAAAGAACCTTACATTTCTATAGCAAACATACTAAATAATATTTCTATTTAGACTGTCTCAGGAACAATGTCTATCCTTATGGACTGTTTTTAAAAAATTGTAAATTAAAAGTTTTTAACATAAAAATTATTAATTTAATGATTTTTAAATTAGATTTCAGACCTAGGAGAGAAAGCTGCTAAAGAAAGTAAGAGTTCAATCGAAGATTCTTTTTCTGATATATCTTCTAAATAAAACGCTTCTACAGAAAAATCAAAGAATACAAGCATAAATAGCACTTCTGAAAAATAGAAGGTATCTGAGGACTCAAATCAAAAGAAAAAGCCACAAGTTGAATAATCATAAAATAGCTAAAACGAATATATAGCCGCAAAATAAAATTCTAATCAATAGGAAGCTTCAATAAAGTAACAGCAAAAAGATTATTACACATAACTTGATGAAGATTAATAAGATGATGACGACGATGAAGAAGAAAACTCTGAAGATAGACTTGTTGGTACTATTCCAGCTCCTTATTTACCTCCTATAGATAATCCAAATAAGTATACACTAGTACTTGACTTAGATGAAACACTTGTTCACTATTAAGAGGTAAGCATTTATTTTTAATTTTTAAGTAAAGAAAGAATGATAAAAATGTTAAATATTATTATATATTATTAAAATTAATCTAAAAATTGATTTATTAAGCTTGTTTACGTATATCTTAATTATTTTTAATACAAAGATACCAGAAGAAGGTGGATAATTTTTGATTCGTCCTCATGCAGAAATTTTCCTTTAAAAGCTTTCTGAGTATTACGAAATAGTAATTTTTACAGCTGCATTAAAAGACTATGCAGATTTTATTTTAGATGTATTAGATACTACTTTTGTTATATCACATAGACTATACAGATAACATACTGATAGAAACGGAAGATGTTTTGCCAAGGTAAATATTTGTTTTTTCATATATTTAAATGCAAATAAAACACAAACAAATATATTTTTTTAAAGGATATTTCTAAATTAGGTAGAGATTTATCTAAAACTTTGATTATTGATAATCTCCCTGAAAATTTTTGTAGATAACCAATGAATGGGATACTAATTTAAAGCTGGTATGGAGATCCTGAAGATAGAGCATTATACGATTTAATTCCTTTGTTAATTGGTAATATTTGATCGCTTTGATGTTTTAATAAATTTTTAATTAATTAATTTAGATGTTACATAAAGCAAAAAATACAGAGATGTTAGAATAGCCTTATAAAAGCTAAGAGAACAGACAATGAAAAATTTACTTAATGGTATTAATGATCCACATTTAAATATTGTCCTTGATAAAATTGACTGACTTATAACATTAAATTTTAAGAATTTTTCCATAAACCAAATTAAAATAAATAAAGAAAATATAAAAACTATTTTAAGAGTAAAATTAATTATAATATTAATTAATAAATTATAAAATAATAATAACAATTTCCTATTAATATCAATCAAACTAATAATAATAAATAGTATATTAATATGTTATTTTTTAAAATGTAAATCTTTTGTTATATATATGTATATAATTTAATTACTAAATTTTATTCACTTTATAATACTAACCAGCGAATACAAAACCTAAGATGAAAATTCTTTAAAAAAAACCTAGAAATTTATATAAGATATTTGCAAAAATAATTAGTTTTAAAGTAATTAAATATTTTGATTATGATAAAAATAAATTTTTTTAAATCATAGAATAGTTTTGATATATTTATTAAAATTATAATATCTTTAGTGTAATAAATACCTAAAAAATTAAATTTATCAATTTTAGGTATAAAAGTAGAATTTATATGATTGAATGAATTACAAATCTAGCTAATGTTTCATTAAAAAATAAAAGGAAATAGAATTTTACTTAATTTTGTAAAGCTTTACAATAAAAATTTTGGTGAATTTATTTGACACTAAAATTCATTAATGTAAATAAGATGACATTTTTTGTTATCAGTTTTAGCAATACATAAGTTAAATGATATTGATAACCAATTTAGATTAATACATTGTGGAATTAATTGATATGTGCGTGAATAGTCTTTAAAGTTATTTTGATATAGATTATATTACTATCTTTTTAAAAAAATCACATTGTGGACATCTGTTTAATTTGTAAATATTAAAAAATAATTAAAATTAAATATACAATTGAAAAAAAATACATAAGAAAAATAAAAGTATTAATAGAGAGGATAGCTGAAAATAAGAATCAGTAAAATTGAAATACAAAATAAAAATAAAAAGTTATAAAAATGGGATGCTCCCCAAGCAACAGCAGTTCTTCAAGTAAAGGTGATAAGGATAGCTCAAATTGTTTAATAGTTTAAATTGTAGATCCTCAAAATTAGCATGTAGTAGAATTGAAATATCATGGTGTAAATAACAAGAAGGAAGATTATCTTATGAATATAATGAATACGATCTTCTTTGCAGATGAGAAAAACTCTAAAATAGACATCTGCTTTAACTCACTTTACTGCAAAAAAGATGATCGTTATCACTACTATCTTTATCGACTTCTTAATGTTGAAATAGAAAATGTTAAGTAGCCTTATTCAGGTAAATTATGGGTTCTATATATATAAAATAAACCTATGGATTGGGATTAGATTGTAAATACTAATTAAAAATTTGACTTTAGCAAAGGAGGTAAAATAGTTTGGAAATTTGAAAAGTATACTTAAGCAACTGCAGAACATTTAAGCGTTACTCATGAGATAAGTTAATAAAATAACCTTGATTACTTAAAAAATGTTGGATAATATGAAACAAAAATGTTAAATGATCAAAGTAGGTAGTAAACAGGAGGAGTTACTAATCAGTAGAACTTATATACAGGTTAAGATAAGTCAACTACGGATAATACTTAAATTTCTTTATAAAAGCGCACATCTTAAGAGTAGGAAGATGTTTAAAAAAAAAAGTATGCCAATGTAGGTTATGGTTTAGATGCTCCTTCCTCTATTTTTAATCCTGAACTTTAAGGTCATCCGAATACAAGGAAGCTGTTAGTTACTGAGAGCTCGAATATATACCAAAACAATATAAATTATTTGAACACTGAAGATGATGTGCGTCAAATATAGCCTCCTTTGTAAACTGAAGTTGGTCCTATAGAGAATTCAGATTATCGTAATGTTTTTGACACTTAAAATAATGAAGACTCTGCTATAAACGAAAAAAATTAAATTTGGAGTTTTAATGGAACAAAAAAATCTTCAAAAGCAACGAATGGGTTTTAAAATCAACGAAATAGCTCTGGAAACAAAGAGCAACTATACAGGATAACTTCAGATAAAAAAATAGAGCAAACAGTTAAGTATCTCGAAGGAGACGAAAATATAATAAGCGAAAAAGAGAGTGCTCGCGATCATTCAACTAATGCAAACGAGTAAAAAAATCTGCATTGTGCTAATACTCATAGTTACAAATTCTAAGAGCACTTCGAAAATACATAAAAAGTGAAATGAGCTTTTGAAAAGAAGACAAAATTATTTTTTAATAAATGCATTAAATTAACAACAAATCATACATTTTTAGAAGATTAATTAGAATTGAGTAAGAGTTTAGCTGGAATTTAATAGATAAAAAGATGCCTAGAACAAAATAAACTTCTATTTAATTCAATTTAACAATTATCTTCTTCTCTTTTTTAATTGATAAAATTAAAAGCTAAATTTCTCATAAATAGTAATAAAATTGAAAAAAAAAAAATTAAAGTAAAATAAACAAAATGATTATGGATAAAATTTATAATCATTCAAATTTAACTAATTTTAATTGAAAAAAGCAATCTTTTTTTTTGCTATTTTAATGAATTAATTTTAAGATAATTTTTATCAAATTATAAACAGTAACTTAAAAAAATTTGCAAAATTTATTGATTTGTGGCTTAAAAGTGTAATGAAAGAGTGATTAATTCTATTCAAAATCTTTTTTTTAAAAGGAAAAACAGTCTAAATATTTAGTACAGCTACTATCATTAATCTTATAACTATTAAAATATACTAAATAAATATATCTTACAAATTTTATTTATTTTATAACCAATTATATTCGTTTATTTATATATTTTATATTCTTCATTTCTTTTATCCTTCATTTTGTTTCCTCTTTCTATAATATATTCTTAATTTTTTTAAATATTATTTTATACATATATCTATTGATATACTATGTTAAAACAGAACTAACTAACTAACTAAATAACTAAAATTTTTCTATTATATTAAATTTTATTTTTTAATAATTTGCATTTACTTAAAAAAATTGGACTAGCGCCCTCTATGCATTTTAATTCTTTTGACTCAAAGAAATAAATGCTGATTTAATTTCTTTCAAGATATTAATATTAATAGATAATAAAATAGAAATAAATTTCAATTAAATAAAAAATAAAGGTATTTACGAATTTAGGGTAAGTATGCTAAGATACTTCATATCTATTTTCTTGTGTAATTTTATCAAAAAAAGAGGAATGAGCCATATCAAAAAAATTAAAAGAATTATAGTTTTAATTTAAAATTAATGCTGCTCCAATACAGAACCACTAATTTATATACTTTTTATAAATTCAATATAAATTGTTAAAATGCATCTTTATTTTTAATATCAAATTTATATAAATATGTAAACCATATCTAAAAAACAGCTAGAAAAATAATTAATTTGAGTTTAAATTATTCAAATAGATTAAATATTTAAGAATTTATTTAATATCTTCTTAGTATAAAAATTGTTTGTATTTAGTAATAATTTAATTTAAGCTTAATTTTAATAGATTGCTAATCAATCAGATATATCCAATAAGATTATTAATATCACTTAAAAATAGATACATAGAAACCTATAAATTTCTAAAATTTAAAGATCTTAATTATTTAATAGCCATAAAAAGTTAATGGGAGTCTTACAAAAGTTACAAAAAGTTTTACATTTAGAAAACTTTACATAGGTATTTATTAGTTATTATTAACATTTTAAGATAACAGAATAGAAAATATCTTTAGATTTATGCATAATTTATTTTTAAAATTGTTTTATATAAAAAATAGAGAGCAAATTTATTTATTGACAAATATAGAATAGTAAATTGAATTCTCTACGCACTTATAAATATAATGTAATATTAAAATTTAGATTCATAGAGGTCTTTATTTAGGATTAGCCTTAAATGCATATATAGCCTATACCTAGGTAACTTTATTTTTTTTCATTTAGATTTTAAAATTTTAAATGACACATTATATGTATAAGAGATAGAAATATTTACTATTATTATTCGCAAAATAAGATCTAAAAAGTTACAGCTTTGAGAATTTTAGATGAGCATCTAGATAATTAAAAAGCAGATTACATGAAGAAGGTAGAATATGAAAGGGAATAAATAGAAAAGTAAATAGAGAGTTAGTTAATGGCTTAGGAAAATAAATGAGTTGGATAGAGTCTCTGTCAAATAATTAAAAAAATATTCTAGATTTTCTAAATTAATTTTTAATTTAAAAGGAAGAGTAATTATGTTAAATCTAAAAGAAAATGAAGATTTAAACATTAAGCACAAATTTAGAATATCCAAACAATCTAAATAAATAAAGTGTTGAATACTTTGCATTAAACTATATAAAAATAAAATATTTAATTATAAAATTAATATTAAGCTTTTAATAAAAAATTGTATAAATCTTCATATTATTCAGTAAAGTCTTTATTATATAATTGAAATGTTTATTTATACGCACATAAATATGCATATTTTTGCTCATTTAAATTGTAATTATTATTATAATTTGCAAATGCAATTTATATTTTTTAATAATATTTTAAGGCAACCAATTTTAAACAAATTTCATTCGTTCTGTAACAGTTAATACTCATTAATAAATTAACACCTACTCCCCTTACAATGTTAAATTTAAATTTTAATAAAATTTTATTGATTCTAATTAAACTTGGGAAGGGATGTAAATTAAACTATTTTTTATTTTTAAATATATGAGTTAAATAAAATAAAATATTTTGATTTTTGAGTATTGATATAATCTAACCTTAATTAATTAATGAGGATTTACTGTTTACCATTTAATTGATAGTTTTTTTAACATATATCAGCAAATAAGATAATCTAAAAAATAGCTTTACATTTGAGAAATTATGATTTAAACTATCATTTGATTGTAAATATTTTTATTTGACTATTTAAGTTATTTTATTATAAGCAATTATTGCAGAATATTTTTAATTTGAATGATAATATAAGAATATATTTAAGTAAATTAAATATTTTTAGTTTTAAATCCATTTTTCAAAAAGAAAATTTAAAATATATTATGAGAGATTGATGATAATAAGATAAAATTCTATTTTTTTAAATGCTAAATTTTTCAATTATTCCTGGACTCTGTATGCTTGCTTATCTAAGTTTTATATTCGATAACTATTTACCTACTCTACAAGAAACGATAATAAAGCTAGTGTAAGGATTATTTAAAATTTTGAATTATATAAAATGATATCATTAATATATTTATTTACATATATATGCTTTATATAAAAAATACTTAAATCTTATTTTATTTACTATTATTATTATCTTAATATCTATTTTAATTGCTGTTGCAAAATCAAATCTTTTTAAATAAATAATTTATACTAAACTGATATACTTGTTTTTGCAATTTCTTTCTTTTATATGAGTTGTCCTCCTACTTACTATAAATAAATCTCTTTTTTTATCATTCTTCCCATTCTAATTCTAAATAAAAAAATTTATTTAATCCCATTTATATAAGCGCTGTGTAATCTAAAATTATCAACTAATAAAATTTTACAGTTTTTTGCTCTTAATTTCAATATCAATAAACTATTATTTTTGACATCTTGATCATAAATGTTTGAAGTAGGATCAAGTAGCTAGTTTATAAATATTTTAAATTTAATTTTCAATTTAAATAAATGAAAATAATAAATAATATTAGTATTTTAAAAGTGAAATTCTATAATTTGTTACTCTATCTCCTAAAAATAGTCTCATATCTGTATTTTAAACTTTATAAAACGTAACTAATCTTTTACGCAAACTTTCAATAGAATCAGTAGTCCTACAAACGAAAAATATAGTCATATTCTCTCTTTTTACTCTAACATAAATAGTATCCATAATGCTAATTTTCTATTTTAAATAATATTTGCTTTGTTCTTTCTTTTCTTTTTCTACTGGATATTTTTGCTATGTGCTGATTGATTGATTATCAGAACTAATTTAATAAAATTTGATATTATATTAATCTAATAAAAAAGTAACTTATTTTAAATGCATTTGCAATGTTTAGAAACAAAATATAAATACTAGATAGAATTATGCATATTATAAAATGTTAATTAAAAACCAAATATAAATTGCTATATATTTATTTAAATTTTTATTATTCATTTTATTTATTAATCATCAAATTTATTTTTTTTAAATAAGCTAAAACAAAAAAGAATATGCTTTGCTTACTTACTCAAATTCAAAAAAATTAATAAAATAGAATAATTAGTCAGTATGAATTTTGAATTTGTCTAATAAAATTGAATTTAATAAATATTTCAAAATGTATAAGAAAATCATTTTAAAGTTTCCAATTCAAACAATAAAATTAAATTAAAAATAAATTATGAAATAAAATTTTGATCGAAGGAATCTTTATTTAAATTAGTTTAATAAATTAATTGTTTTGGATATTTAATACATTTATGAAGAAATGAATAAATAAATAAATGAATGAATGAATAGTTAATTGCATGCTATAGGTAAATGAAAAAAATATAGTATTGATTAAATGAGATACTTAAAGATAGAGAAGGAAAAATTAGTTTCATGCAAGAAACAAGAATAAGAAGTTCAAAGAATAAGAAGAAGAAAAGGAAATTAAAAATTAAATAGTATTGCCAAACAATAAAGAGTAAAAAGAAGAGATTATTAATAAAATATAAAGCAAAACAAAGAAGTTAAAAATCCAAAAAAATTAATAAAATAATAAATAATTAATAAGGTTAAGAAAAGGAAGAAAATGTTTAGAGGTTTAACTAAATTCAACAAAGTTTTTGCTTTAAATTCCTTTAAAAATAGCTTAGTCGCCGTTCCAAAGGCTAACTTGAACCATGTTCAAAATATGTTAGAAGAAAATTTAAAGTATGATGCTTAAAAGTATAATGATGAAGTTGCTGTCATTCAAAAGACCTCCAGAATTTACAAGCCCACTTATACTATTGAGTTCAATCGTGAAGGTGAAGTTTTAGTTTACTCTGCTGATCCTATTAAGAACTCCGTAGTTTACTTCAAGTATCCTTATGTCTTATACGAAGCTGCTATTCCCCTCTTCATTTGGGCTTGGATCTACAATGTAAGATGTTTAAAACATTGCAAAGCAGCTTTCTTTGATTGAAATTTATCATATTTGATTGAATTTTTCTTATTGCTTTAATATCTTAGCTTTATTGCATCTTTTTATGAATAGCAGAATATATAAAAAACAGATATTAATAGAGATATGAAAGATACGATCATCTACTTATTTTTTCAATTTTAGCATTTATAGCAATGAAAAATAAACAAATATAAAAAACACACTTTTTATTATGAAAATAGCCTTTGGAACTTAGCAAGAATGCAGTCAATAGTTTGCTCATCTACCCCAACATCGCTTGGATTCCCAGAATGTGGTACTGGAGATCTCTTCAATATAAGATCTAAAAAATGTACCTCCTTAGAGGTGGCAAGGTATAAGATATATATAAATTCTGAAAATTAATTCATACCAAAAGCTGTCAATAAAATTAAGCAACAACAATTACTTTTTATAAGTACGAATTACGTAAAATAACAATATCCTAGGAATCCTTTTGTTTTAAAGTTTATTACTGCATAATCAGGATAAATAGATTTCAATAAAATGTATTAAAATTGAAAGATAGATTTTAAAATAGTCAATATATTCGAAAATTAGCGTACCTAAATTAAGCGAGAATTGAAAGCTTTTTCATAAGCAAAGGATATTTTAGTCATCAAATGAAATAGAGAGCATCAGATCATATATAAATTTTATTAATCCGAAATTGGTTTTGCTGATAATTTGAAATTCATTATATTAATTGCCTAAAAGAAATAATAAAAAATCAATTAAAAAGAGAAAAGATACTATCTATTTAACATACTTTTATCTTAATAAATAAATTATTAAATAAATTAATAAAAAAATGAAGGAAGGATATTAGTTATTATATAAGCAAGTTAAAAAATAAAGGATAGAATTTTTATTTTACTTGAAAAATATAAAATATGACAGTTTTGTTAAGTTAATGTTGAACGAATTAATTATTTAAATACTTTAGAATTAGGGAAAACAAACAAACTAATTGTAAATTTATTTAATAAATAGGTTGCTAAGATTGAAACCCAATCTTTGGCTGGTGATAGATTCACTTCTTGGGTTGAAACTTACTAATTCCATCCCTTGACTTAAGATCAAAAGAACTTCGATAACTAAGATAATGCTGAATTCTTAGAAGATGAAGGTCAATTAAAATACGAATTAGGTGTCCAACTTGATAACTTATAAGAAATGGGTACCACTTCTCAAGATATTGTTATTAACTTCATGAAGGAAGGTACTGTTCACCACCCTGAATTATTTGAAGCTATTGTTAAGGGTTACAATATTGATACTTCTGACTACGTCATTAATACTGCTAATAACCTCAGAGCCAGAGAAGGTAACCACAACCATTGAGCTAGTTATTCAAACTAGAAATTTAAACTACTATCTTGTCAAGATAAACATTAAAATTTATTCCATCTAATACCTATACAGATTAATAACTACATCGTATTAAGTTGTTTGTGATTATTAATATAAATACTTAAACTAATCTTCCATCAAAGGCAGTATAAATGACTTTATATGCATGTTAAATCTCGTATTTCAAGTTTTTGATCATTTTAAATTAAAAATTATATATCTCATTCGATTATTCATTCATTTTTAAATTGAATCACAATTAAATTAATTATTCATTAATGAATGAATTAACAATCTTTTGCTATTTTATAAGCTTATTAAAAAAGTTTTAAAGACAAGCAAAATATTTTTTTGTTGAATAAAATTAAACAAAGTAAATTTTTTTATTAAATTTGAATTCTATGAAATAATTTATGCTAAATTTAAATAATGAATTCTTTGAGAAAATATTTATGTAATTTTAAATTTTAGTTTAAAATGAATGAAGAATTTTTGATGAAACTTGAAAATTATTAGAAAATAAATAATTTTATGAGCATTTTTTACATATTTTGATATTTTGACTTAAATAAATAAACTGTAATTTAATTAATTAATTAATATTTTTTTATCAGATAAATATTTATTTAATTATAAATCAACTATTATTTGCAAATATTTTTCTTACAAATCTCTTAAATCTGTCAGAGTAAAAACCTGGGGGTTATGATGAGGTATTAACGTCTTTGCCATTTATGCAGTTTTTGAAAAATCTTTCTAAACCTTTTTTAATAGTCCACTACTGCAGGTAGTCTATGATTCCAACATGATAAAAGAAGGAGGGATTTTCTTCTGATTAAAATATGAATTAACTTGATCCAAACTTTTCGATGACTTTTTCGTAGAGATTTGGTATTTAATTTTGTTAAAGATTAAGTTGGTTATTTACATTAAAATTTTGTGGGTTGTTTTAATTATTTTGATTATTTTATTATACTTCTTCAAGATCTAAAAAGTATTAATTCCAGTCAACTTTAAGTATTAAAAGACTGTAGTCCATAAAACCTTAACCTGCTAAGTAATTACTATCTATTTCTAAAGTTTAACTAATTTCTAATTTTTTTTGGTGTGTAGCCTTAATATACTGTTCAAACTCTAGAAAATCCATGTCTTTAAGTACTATTTCATTTAAATTTTTATCTTTTCTTTTATTAGATTCATATCTATTGTATGTACTTCCTTTTAGATCATATTTTCTATGGATGTATTTATTGTCTATTGCTATTTTTTGTTAAAATAAAAATTATGGTAAAACCAAACAGTTATTAATTTATTACCTAGTAGATTTCTCATTACAATAATGTGATTAGGTCTATCATAAGAAGCTTATTATTAGAATGTAAATATTCCATAAATTTTGGTTATTAAAGAATCATCTTTCTATTCGTAATGAGTTACAAATTTGTCTAACTTTTCTAAAAGGACTTCTAACTCATTTTAATTAATAGTTTTCAATAGAAGGTTATTGTCATGAGTAAAGAAAAAGAATTCACCACTTGCTCCTCCTTTTCCCTCTCCTGAAGCTTTTTAAATCAAAGGATTGTTTGCTTCTAGCTGTAAGGAGTCTACAAAATTTAATCCATTAGAATATTTTTATCTTAGGAGCTAGAAAACTTTTTTAGCATATACAGTCATTTTTATTGAAAGTTTTTCATATTATTCATCTAAATCTTAGTTATTCTAATCATTATCAATAATTATATCAGCATCTTTTTCAACAAAGTCATCTTTACTTAATTGATTAATACTTTCTATATATTTTAAGATAATTAAAAACAAAATTAAAAAAAATATAAACAAAATTTATTTATTTACCTTTGTCTCTGTCTTCAGAGAATTCTTGTAAAATTCCACTGACCATTGATGTAAGGTGCAGTTATCTTAAGAACTGTCTCATATCTTTGAATTAATCCTCTATTTTAAAATATTGATCATTATTGTACCAAAAAATATAGATTTAATAATAACAATAATACCTTGTATAAAAGATTTGGATTGGTCATTTTTAACTTCTGCTTGATTAGTAATTTAAATGACTTAATTATTTTATTAATCAGAGCTTGCATCATTGTTAATAGGTTCAACTAATTGCTTCTTTATAGAACTGCAATGTTGCTTCTTATTGAATCTTCTTTTGCACTTTTTTAACTCTAAGAGTACTCTTTACTTTAAGATAGGATCTCTATATCTCAATAACGATAAAATTACAGGAGAAAGTAACTTTAAAAAATTAGTGATAGTGAGAAATATATTTAAACCTGGATTGTGTAAAAAGAAACAATTAAGTCCAATCATTAGATTTGTAATTCCTAACAATAAGTAAATACAACTTGTAACTTTAACATATGCGTAGTATATCAAGAACTCTTATCTCTTATTAGCAAACTTTTGTCTTGTATCTGGAATGGTTTTGTGAAACTATCTAAACATATAATATCCTAATAAAGCATAAAAAATACCTATTAAAGGTCCTGTTACAAAAACTAATTTATTTGAAGTGTATGAGCATGTTCCAAACACACTAATACCTGCATAATTAGGTACTGTTTCAAATATTATAATAATGACAGCTGCTGAGAAAACCATAAGAATATGCCAGTACCTTGTTTTAGGGGAATACCCTTTCAAAGAATTCTTTAAAGTAAGTGAAATATAGATATTAAGGATAAAATTGTAGGCAAAGTCAAGTATTCCCGATGGGATGCTAAAAATTGAATTTAATCTGCAAAATAATCCATTTGGATCAGGATTATCACCATCGTGTGATAAACTATAGATACTAGCCATTAGCCAATGAAAATTTAGTAGTAGCTCACAAACAGACGTTCCCAACAAAAGATCACCTGGAGAATTTCTAGTTCCTGGGTATTTGATAAAGGTATAGATAATAAAACTAGTGGCCATTATAGTTAATGGACAGAATGCAATAAATAAATATCTATCTATTTCATGCAATATCACTTGGTCATAATATTATGCGCGCTCTTCATCTGTTGTGTTTGAGTAGCAATTAAAATTATGTTCTTCTGTGTAGTCTAAAAATTCAAATCCTTATGAAGCTTAACTAATCAATAACACGCAAAATAAAACTTGCCAAGCTAGTTTCATATTTTTGATTACTTTCTTTGTATTTATTTATGTTTACTATTAGATATTTGATTTACTCTAATTTATTTATAAAATTGTAAAAGCTGTATTGAGAATTTTTATTTATTGATTACAGGGTCAGAATCTATCTTTAATTTCACAAGCAACTTAATTTCTAAATATTTATTTTTGGAGATATTAGAAAATTTCAACTAACACATACAATTTAAATGATGATTTAGTAATTAATTGTGACGATTGATAAAATTTTACACATTCAACAAAATAATTTAATAAATTTGCCTCTTGTCAATTTTAAATTTCAAAACTATGGAAATAAAATATTTAATGACTAAAAATAGGAAGAGTTTCTTTATCAAATTTTACTTTTTGAAAGATAAAATTAATTCTAAAATACAAAAAAAATTTATTTTCTTTTATTAAATTTTCATGTTATAATAAATGATTTTTGATAAAAAATTTATTGAAAGTGATTAGGTAGGTGTAAGAGTTTAATCATTAGCTAATTTTTGATTATTTGATAAGGTATGGGTAAAATTTTTATTTGTCACAGACTAATTAATTTATAAATTAATTTTTGGTGATTAAACAAATAAGAAATTAGGCATATCAAATTATTTAATTAAGGTAATAAATGAATAAATTAAATAATTAAATTTACTATAAATACAGGAATATATATAAACACAAAATAATTAATTATTTAAAAATTAAAATTAATTTAAACATTTTATTTGTATTATGAAATCTAATTCATCTGTTTAATTTATATTTTCAAAAATAATCACTTACAAAATCTTTGACTAGCATATTTGTGAGGAATAATGTGTTTCCAAGAATTAATGAAGCACATAGAAATTTAGGATTTCTAGAAACTTAAAAAAAATACATTAATAATATCTACTTAGGTTAAATCTGATAAAATTATTAAAAAAACTTAATCAATTACCAAAGAGAGCACAGCAAAATGTCAGATTGAGAGACTTCATAACAGACAAAGATAAATCACTTTATAGCTAGCTTTGTTTTGGTATTAAAGATTCGTGAAATGTAGCAACTCCTACATCCATAACATAGTAAGCTAAAAAGGGAAATATATAATGATTGTAGTGTAATTTTGGTTATATCAGCTTTTATCCTAATTATCCCCTTTCATACTGATAAATATAATATGCCCATTTCTCACTTTTCTATTTATAAACCTTTTTACAAAATTGAAAAAAAATGAAGTTTAAATACTAGCCATCAACTATTTAAATATTTACAAATCTTTGTAGAATGTTTGATCTCAAAAATATGGCTCCTCCAGAAAGTATTAAAAATTTTATAGAATTTTTGAAGATAGTTTTAGTTAAATCTTTTGATTATGTATTATAAAAATTGCTGGCTATCCTATACTCTTATTCTTAAATTTTTATTTCTTCTTTCTTCGCATTTAAATACTTAGATTTAAGTTTAAATTCTTGTTTTTAATCTTGTTTTTCCATATTTTCTGGGCGAATATTTATAAAAATGCAAAAGAAATTACTAATAAAATGTGTGTAGATGTGTATATATATATCTTTGTTAATAATATAAATATATTTAAATTTTGAATGAATAAATAATATCCCTTCAATATTCTTTATAGTGTTTAATTTCAAAATGAATATCTTTATTTCTATTCGCTAAAATTGTTTATTTTCAAGCTATTTATATTTTTAAGAGAAATATGAATTTTTAATGGAGAAAAAACATGTTAAACCTTAAAATACTTTATTAAATAGAGAATAGAATTTCAAAAAATATTTTTTCCACATTCATTATTATGTTGAAGCTTAAAATATACTTATTAGTTACTATAAAAAGTATGTCTTCTTTAAAGAGGTAAATAAAATTTTTAGGTGTAATTAAGTTTCTTATTTAATAGATAACTAAGTAAATGTAATATATTTTATAAAACCACAATAAAATAATTAAAAATAATACTATAGAATTTATCAATGATTAATATTGCCTACGATATTACGATAACCTTTATTAGTATTGTTGTAAAATTCACTGATTTTTTTAATTATGAAATATAAAATAAATCCTGATCCTATTAAGGCTAATAGCAGAATTGCAGCTATATCAACTTAATTTTTAACAATCTATATTATACTGCCCCATATTAGTGATATTAACAAAAGTGTCATTGATATATATCCAATTTAGCTGATTGAATTCTTAAATATTTAAAAAAAGTAATTGTTTTAAATACATTTAATAAAGAATGATCTATCTATTAATAAATTCAAATTAGCGTTTAAAAATATGATAGTTGATAGCATATGAGTTGGGAAAAGAGTAAATAAGCAAATGCCGTTCCATATTTAAGAAGTACTCCAGAAAGGTGATTTAGAGAAAAAGCAGTATATACATGAAATATGGCAAGCAGCTGCAAGCCAACCAAAAATGCAAATCATTTATGTTGAAAAAACATATTTCAATTAAAATTGCTTCTTTAAAGAAGTCTATGACTAAATATGAACATTGCTTTCCTCTGTTAAGTGGACAATATTACTAGCAGCTTCATTCATAATCTATTATCCTTTTTAGCTATTAGCTTACTTATTTTAATCTTTTCCTTTGTTAGTTTCTATAAAGTGACCTTTATTTTTTTAAATAAGAGAACTTCTTTTTTTATAAGCATCTCTTGTAATTTACTATTGATTTTATTATTATTATTATTACTATTATTGTTGGTGTTATTGCTATTAATTGTTAAGACTATTTTAACTACTCAGATTGCTCTTTTTGCCATCTTTGTTAGCTTTTGGAGAACCAACCAATGATGAACTTTTCTAGATATTCAAGTTTGCATTATTAAGATTGTTAATATTAGTATTGTTATTGTTTTTGATTTCTTCTATAGATTGATTTGAGTCAGCCTTATTTATAAGTTTATTAGAGTGATGAATCTAAGATCTATTAGTTTTACTAAAAAATGTTCCTTAATGATGTGAATTTCTCACTCCGCTATTTCGCTTAAAAGGATTTCTCTGGTAACTTGCGACTTCAATTTAAATAGTTTGTAATTTTTTAAGATAATAAATAGAAACAGCAATTGAAAATAATATTAGAAGTCCAGCTATAGAAAAGATAATACCAAAAAATATTTAATTTCTTTTTGTAATTGAACTAGACGACTTATTTGAGGAATATAAGCTTATATATACAATCGTGATAGTCATAATAGATAAAAAAGCAACATACCAAAATTTTTCATTAGATTTGTCAGTTCCTCTTTTATTTTTTAATAAATCAAGCTCTACATCATAGATCCAGCTTCTCATTCTACTTTGATTTTTATTTTATAAATGCTATTAAATTTGTTACTTTATCTAAAATCTAATTTGTTATTTTTTAATTAAACAAAATTTTACCAAAAATAATCTTTGAGTCAGTTGAATTTTTTAATGAGTAAAAAAAACAAATCTTATTTCATAAAATTTAAAAAAAAAATAAAATATAAATTGATTTTATTTCGAATTTAAAAGATTAAATTTATTAAATTTTGATCTATATTACATGTTAATATATAATTTAATACGTTATATAAAATGTTAATTAATATTTATTATTATTTTCTTAGTTATTTTATTAATTAATTATTCATTTCTTATTTTGATTCTCTTCATCTATTTTTTCAAAATTTATGAATTCCAAGAGAATTTATTCTTTTTTAAAACCTTTTTCTAGAAGCAATTTTTATAAATAATTCTTGAGTTCCTTTGATCTGAATTCAATTAAATTCTAGTTTTTGTTGGAAGTAAATAAACCACTTTCTTCATTTTTGTATGGTAAGTTTGGTAAAATGATCTTCTTTGCTTTTGCTATTGGTTTTAACTTAAAAAAGGATTTAATTTTCTTACTTAAATTAATAAATTTATCTTACTAAATTGTGTAGCTTTTCAAATTAAGAGTATCTCTTTTATATGACACTTTCCCATCTAGATTATCTTTCTTTGATTTTGTAAACATAAGCCTGAATTATTAACAAAAAAACTTAATCTTATAAAAATAAATGAAAATTCAAAAAAATTTACAGTGAAATTATCAACCTATTTGCTCTCTATAAATTAAACCTAAAAGAACTCACTTTAATGTGAGATTTCTTTAGATTTTTGAGTGATTTAATTCTATTAATGTGAGTTTCTTACTAAATTTGTTGGCATTATAGATTGACTTCTTTAGAATGTATCTTAGTTACTTTATCTTTAGGTAATCAATTAAAAATCAGATTCTTCTATTTGCTTGGTTTAATTAAATGATTAACTTCTTTCAAATTAATTCAATTCTGGGTTTTAATATTATTCTAAGTCTTTCTGGTTCAATTATAATTCGTTATTTTCTTTAGATTCCTCAATATCCTCATCATTTTAATATTTATTTTGATTCTATGGATTAACATCATCCTTTTCATTGTTAAATTATTATTCATTTTCTATTTATTATTGCAACTTTTGAGCTTCTAAACTGCTTTCCTCCTTCTATTATTCCTTTATTTATTCTAAATTCAATTATTCTTAATTTTTAGAATCTATTTGAATTTCCTAATTTTATGTTTTTAAAAAAATTAATGGATAAATAACTAAATTTGTTTTTTACATCTACTTTTGATGGATTATTTTCCTTTTATTTTGGCTTTTTATTCTTTTTGTTTTTCTTTTCCTTTTTGTTTTCTGATTCTGACTCCTTTTGGTATTTTAGAAAATCTCAATATACAAATTTGTTTTAAATTTAAAAAATTACTTTTATTTCACTAGATTAACGCTTGTCCTATGCATCATGCTAGTGGTCATGAGAAAAAAGAGAATTTTCTTTGCCATATTAAATTAATTCAGAATTTGACTTAGTTAATTAATAAAAATAGGAATTCATGTAATTATTTTCTACAATATATTTTAGTATTTTTTCTAGATTTAAAGCAAGCTAATTGATTTTATTTTTATCTTTTGTCTTCTGATCAAAATTTTTTACTTCATTTAATATATACTGAAGAGAGGACAAAAATGATTTAACGTCATTTATATAATTGATGAATTCTGTTAAATTACGTAAAGTTTCATGGTTTTCTTCAGTTTTAGTTTTAACCTAAATTTTGAATATGTAATTTTGTTTTTTGGATTTTTCATCCTTAACTTGTTCTTCAAAAGTAACTTTGATAGATTAAATACCTACAACTTCTAAATTCACTTTATATAGCTTACTTATATTGCCATCAAAATAGCTAAATTCATTGCTTTGAATTGTTTTTAATTAGCTTGGACCACTAGTTTAACTTAAAAAATCGCTTATTATGCTTTAACGAAGTAACTATTTCTCTAAGTCATTATCATCCTTCACTTAATTATTCGTTTCAGTAACTTTTTTAATAAGGCTTGAAGAATATTTCTTTCTGAGCTTAAAGCCAAAATCTGCAATTTCTTCGTGCTAATTGCTTTTTGTATCGCTTTTATAAGCAAAGCAAATAATTAAAAGTATCAAATTATTTGAAAGAATTAAAACTTAAATGACCTCTTTAGCAGTAAAAGTAGTATCGTTTTCATAATTTGGAAATATTTCGCTAAGAATAAGCATAAGTGCATAGCAAGATTCGAAAAATAGCAAAAATGTTCTTAAAAATGGAGTTGAATATCCCAAGAAATTGTATTCCTATCTGATTAAGTAGGTTATAACTACACTAATAATGAGATAGAGACTATAAATAATATATAACAGGATAGACGAATTGTTGTTTCCCATGGCTATTTCAAGTATAAGTCTGGCTAAACTTAAAGCTCCAAATATACAAGAGCCTACCAATTTTAAAACATGTGTTAATTAATAAGGTGGCATTTAAAGGCTGTATCCTTCTGCTTTAATATATTTGTTGATTATCCAATAAAAGTAAAAAAGAGATGCAAATGGAAGCAGTCCTAATATGGTCTGGAAAATACATGTAAAAGGATTATTTCCAGGACAATAGTAAGTAGTCATTATGAAATAATTATGTTGCTTTTAATTTTTGGTTTATTTTTAACTTATTAGAAATATAATTTTTTTGTAAAGAGTCCTATTTAGCTTTTTAAAGTGTTATTTATCAACTTTTTAGAAGTATCTTTCTCTAAAACTAATTTTTTTATCCAATAAGTCAATAACCAATTCAAAAGATTATAGTATAAGTAAGAGAAAACTTTAAACATAAACAATACTTATAAAAGATTTAAAAGTTAAGTAAAAGTAATCTTTATGAAAAAAATTGAAGGGAGTAATGAAATTCACAAAAATAGATGAGTAAAAGTAGATAATAAAATAAAAAGATTTTAGTGAAATTAATTTATAAAAAAGCATATTATTTTAATATATTTTCTTCCTATTCTTATTCGTTATACAAAAATATTTCAGACACTTTGAAAAATTTAATTAAAGAAAAAAAATAAATACAAATAAAATTAATAAATTAATAAAGCAGAACCATAAAAAGAAAGAAAGGTGTTTGTAACCATAATTAAAAAGTAAATAGTCCTATCATATTAAATAGTATCTTTTAAAAATTAATATATATATGTGTGTTATTGATTTGTTTCAATCAATAAATAAATAATCAACTGATGAACAATTATACAAGCATATGTCAGAATACTGTTGTTGACAACCTTCATGACTGATTTTTTGTATATTTTTACATTTATTATATCAAATTATTTTTCTAAGTAAATAATTATTTATCTCATAAGTGTGTCTAAGGTAGTTAATTTATTCTTAACTTTTATATAATTCCAAAAATGCTGGCTCTTTTTCTAAGAATTAGTTATAGAACAGCTATAACTCAAACCAGTAATAAATTCCTTTAAGAATATTTGAAGAGTATGTCTTATCAATATAAATATTATTTTCTATTTTCTTTACCATTTCTTGAGAAAAAGTAAATATTTAATTTTCAAGAATGGAAGGAATGATTGCACTGTTGTTTATCTTTAAGAAATCAGCAATCAATTGCAGCTCTCTGTAAAATTGCTACTAAAGTTTTTTATCCATAAAGTCATAGGAAAGACTAAGGTTGCCAAACAGAATGCTAATTTCTTCTTTCTTTGCACAGTAATTAAGAATTTATAAGCTATTAATTATGCTTGGTTTTGTCATTAATGCTTCATAAAATAGCTTTAACAGTTTTCCTTCATTGACACTTAAAGTCTTAATATCTAGCTTATCAAAATAGAGATAAATATATAAATGAGAGATATTTTCGTTGATCTATTCTGTCAATTTTTTTATTTTTGAATAATAATAGTTACTCTTGTTAATTCTATTTTTTATTTGTAAAATCTCATCTTTTTTATGGCTAATAACCTTCTGAGTTGCTTATTATTTCTCTAACTCAAAATACCTTAAAAGGTAAGGTTAAAATGCCCTTGAAACTAATCTTAGCTTCAATATGTCTTTATCACTCAAAAATGAACAAATCAGTTCTATATTATACTTAAATAAGTCTAAATTAAGTATAGAAAAGAATTTTCTCTTAGGTAAAATCTTTTGATTAAACCTCTAGTTGTAAGGATCTCTACAAAATCTATAAATTTATTTTTTATCATTTCTTTTTTACAAAGGAAATAAATTAGGTTTTTGTGTTTTAACCTCACACATAGATTACTTTTCAATATTCTTTTGCTAAATTTATTTTTACAACTTATTATTTTAACTTTCTTATTCAGAGAGGCTATTACTGCTTACTAAATGATGCTTTTTTAAAAAATTGCTTAATTCACTTCTTTAAATAATTTTTTTAGAAGCATTACTTTATTTTTTCTTTTTACTTTTCTTTACTTAAGCATTTATCTAATCACCCTTTAATAAATTCAAATCCTCTACACTTTATGATCCTTAAAGCTTATGATATTTAGGATATTTTTATTACAAAACATAATCTTAAGTCTCTTGTTTTTAATACTTTGAGTTCTCTGCTTATTCTAATATTTGTATCTCGCTTAATTAATCTAATTATATTTAATAACTGTGGGATTAATCATCTTCACTATTAAAGGCTTAATCAGGGTTTTATGAAGATTGATAATCTTCAGCATTCTATTAAAATAATATTTTTTCATATTATGTTTGGAGTATTTATTAATTTTCTTAACTGTTAGATTAATCTTATTCAATTTAATTTGATGTTTTTTCTTACTGTAAATTTTATCCATCTATTTCATTTTATTAGCTATTTATTATTATCTATTCATCTTTAAAATTATTTTCATTTGATGTCTAAAATGCAAAATCTTTTTCATTTTCAGATAATTTTTCTTGATTTTTTTATTCGTCTTATTAAATATTTGCAATTGTTTCATTTAATGTCAAAGGTTTTTTATCTAAATTTTATTCTTGCTAAACTGAAACTGCTAATTATGGTTCTTCTGTTAAAAAATCTTATTATTGTAAATGAACCTATTAATTTGTTAAATTCTGCTGATTTTATAAATTAATTTTTTAATAACTCTCTTCATCATTTTAATTAAATAATTTTTTTGAGTCTGTTTCATTATTTTCATCTTCATTTTATTATTAAATATTTACTTTTTCAATACTTAGTTGATTTTAATCTTGCAAATCACAATCATTTTAAATTTAATTTGAATTTATTTACTCTTCACCTTCAAGTTAATTCTACTAAATATTTGCTTTAACATTTATTGGAGACTTCAACTCCTTCTATTAATCAGTGTCAATACAATTTTTTTAATTTTACTGACTAATTTATTCTCTGATTTCAAATTGATTATTATCATCTTTCTACTAATTGACTTTGTTTTCGTCTGATTAATCTTCTGAATCTCCTAAAGTAGCCAGTAAATCTCTTAAAGTTTCATTTTTTTATGCATCTTTAGCAATTTAGGACTCTTAGTTTACTTACTATTGGTCTTGGATTGTTCTGATAGAACTCATTTTTAGTTATTATAAATCTTATTTAAAGTAAGTTTTATGCTTTTTTAATAAAGATATATATTTTGAAATTTAAAATTGAAAACAATCACAAATTAAATTAGATATATAAGTTAATAATTTAAGATAAAATTTATTATTTAAAAAAATAAATTAATAAAAATATATTAAAATTATTATTTTTAATAAAATTAATTTAATGAAAAAAATGTTTAAAAATAAAAAATTAAGTTTACCATTTATTTATTTGTGACCTTTTGAGAAATTCTATTTCTACTTAGTATGTTTCTGAGAGAGTTAAGAGTTAAGAAAAGAGTGTAGAATATAAAGCTATTTATGAATGAAGCAAAACAATTAGTAAACAAAGTATCCAAAATTAATCAAAAACCAAAATAACCAAGAATATTTTTTTACTTATTTTATTATTAATTATCAAATAAATACCTTTAATTAGCATTAGCAATAAATATAAAACAGTAGTAGAAAAAAGAAATGGGAAAAAAAGTAGAACAAAGCAACACAACCGTTGAAGTTTAAGAAAACAACGACCCTTCATTAAAACGCTCAGTATTCGTTTCAGGATTACCTTATTCAGCTGATACTGATGCTATCAAAGAATATTTCTAAAATTGTGGAACTATTGAGTAAATAATTCTTTCTAATTCTTTAATAATTACAAATTACCTGCAAATGAAATTTTTATCTTTTAATCTTTATTTTATTTTTTATAGAAATATCAAGCTTCCTAGATACTAAGATACAGGAAAGATTATAGGATATTGCCATCTTGTTTTTTCAACTCCAGAAGAAGCTTAAGAGGTATTTAATTTCTTTGAATCTTCATAGTCTAATATATTAAAGAGCTTTAAAATATTCATAAAAAGGCAATCAAATTAAATAAGCAAGTCATGAATGGTAGATACTTAGATATTTCACTTGCTAAGGGTGAAAAAAAAGTAGAGTACAAGAGTAATAAATTTATTTAATAAGATGAATTTAAAAAATCAAGCTTTTTATTCTTGAATTAAATTCTTAAGTGAGAGTTAGTAAGTTAAATTAAGCCACTTTTTGTAAAATTAAAAGATGATGTTAAGGCCCCTGAAGACTGCACAACAATATTCGTTAAAAACCTTGCATTCGATTGTACCGAAGATGAAGTTGGTGAGTTCTTTGAAAAATGCGGAAAAGTAGTTAATGTTAGATTCGTTTATCACTACTCTCAAAAGCACTTTAAAGGGTAAATTAATTTATTAAAATTATCTGATTACTACTGATCAAACAAAATAAGCTAAAGGCTTAAAGTTCTAAATAGTTAGTTAATAATTCTTCCTTAAAAATTAGATTTGCTTTTATTGAATTTAAGATGAACAGTTCAGTAAATGCTGCTCTTAAGTTAAATGGTACTGAATTCAAGGGTAGAAAACTCACAATTGTAATAAATTTATTAAGCATTCATACATATTTTATCATTCTTAATTATTTTATTTATTTATTTATGAAGGATTATGAAGTTGGTTCTTAGAAGAAGGGTTTCCGTTTTAAATAGACTTAAGATGGCAATTAAAAATACAATAAATAGTAAATTAAATAATTCATTAATTAGCATAAATAATAAATAATACTTTTAAAATAAATTAAGGTACGAAGAGATTGTTGAATAAAAAGAAAAAAAATAGAAGAAAATTCAAAAATTCGATAAACTTAAAAACTTTAATAACAAAAAGAAAGATTTCCCTTAAAAAGGTAAAAAGGAAAATCTTAAGCTTTTCAAGAAATGAAAATAAAACATTAATTTATTAATTTCTATGTTATCCAGTTTATATTCTATACACAACTATGCATACATGGATTCAATTTTAAATTATCTCTGGCTTTCAAGCAAAATTCATTTTTTATTAAAATCTAAAACTAAAATTAATAATTTTTTTCAAATTGCAAAAACAATTTTGAGCTTCAAATCAACTCTTTAATAATTAAAATTACTTTTTGTAAACATATTTTTCAAAAATTTTTTTTACTTACAATTAATAATTATGAAATAGCCTTCATAAAATAAATTTAATATTTATTTATTAAAATAAATAAACTTTTTTAATTATGATAATTTTTTAATTAATTTAAAGACATAAGTTAGTTAGTATAAAAAAGTATTTAAATTAATAATTCCTCTAAATTATCCAATTTTAATTTATTTTACATAAATTTTTTAATTTTTAAGAACTCTAAATAATATGCTTAAATTTAATTTGTAATTCTCTTAAGAGTATTTTCGGGAATTATGTTTTTCATATAAGCTCAACAAAAATAAAGTTAATTTTTAAAAAACATAAATTATTAATAAGCCAAAAAGAAATATAACAATTTATTTGTTCTATTTGAACTTTTTGGTAGAAATAGTTTATTTTTTAATGCTTATTAATGAAAACTCTTTTGTTTTGAATAAATTTAGATTTTTAAGTTATACATCATTTAATTAAAATAGAGTTTTAACTTATAAAAATAAAGCTATAGTACATAAAACTAACAAAAATTAAACATATTATGAACAATTTGAATTTTTAATAAATAAATAACTAAAAGAATAGATTTTATATAAAGTAAAAGTTCAATTCTCATAATTAACTTTAAAATAGTTTATTAGCTCTGTACTTGAATTATTTATAATGTTTTCAGAAACAGATTAACTTTTTGATGAAGAAAATTAACTCATTAATTCTTTGAGAACATTAGGAACAGTCACGTTTTGGCGTGAGGTAACTCTCTTCTTCAAAATATTCCATTTCATTTTGTTTTCAAGAGGAGTTTTACCATTTTAAATTTTTGAAAAATCAATCTCTGATTCACTATCGATTTCTTGGTCATAAATTTGTTAAACCAAATCTTCTTCGTCATCTTATTCAAAATTTCCAGAATATTCATAAAAAATTTTTATAAGGCTTTGAGTCCATTTGTTTTTACAGTCATCTTTAGATCTCTATTTCATTTCATTTGATATTTTTGTCCAAGGAATAGATTGATTTTCTAATTCCTTCAAATTCTTAAAACTTATAAAATTTAGAATAAATTTAACGCTAGGATCAACATGCTAGATATCTCTTACCCTCTAGCGATTCTAGTTAAATTCTTCTGACTATTCACTAATTTTTTAACCATTTGATTTAATCTCCAACTTCATTTATTTCTTATTTTTAAGCAACTTTATTCCAGTGTGTTCAGATATTAACTGAATAAGTTAAATTAATTCATCTAAATTCCAATACTCTATTTTTCTTTATTCTGCATTATCCTCACCTATAAATTTAAAAACAAATATTCAAAAATTATAGAAAGTAAAATTATATAATATCATCTAATTCATATCTTGCTATTTATTTTTATGCTGATCAACATTAAAATTCTATATGTTTTGCTATGAAAATAAACAAATTTATCTACTTATTGAATTGATAAATTTATAAGTTTTTTTAAATTAGAAATATTTTTCTATAAAATTTATTTAGATTTATCGATTTATTCGCGAACAATAAATAGTCAATTTGATTTTAATTTGATACCAAATCAATTTATTTTTGAAAATTTCTACCTAATGACTTGTATTTATCTCTCACGTTAGTTTCTGTTCTTCCTAGTTATTGACCGATAAGCTTCCACTTTCTTCCATGCTCTTTTACAAGAGCTAATAACTCGCTAGTCTCTTGAGGTGTCCACTTTCCTCCATAATTATTAGGGTTGAAGCGTCTTCTACAAAAATTATGACAACTTTATACACTTCTGTAAGGTAAAACTTCAGCAATTTAAGTCCAGGCTCCCAAAGTTTCTTTTGTAGCTTTTTCTGAGACTAACTTTAAAAGTCCGCTTTCTCCCAAGCCTTTTTCAAAAGCGTATTTGCACATAGATTCTTTTAATAGTTGAATTTCATCATCTGTAAATTTTCCTGTTTACTTTTCATCAATTTTTTGATTCCAACCTCTTTCATTTTGAGTAGAATTTATGGCATTTGTTTTAATTTAATCATTATTTTCGTCTGATTAACTATTTTGCTACTTTTATTTTTTAGCACGAGACTCTATTTCAAACTCCTAATTATCCTCTAAATTAAATTATACGCTTTTTTTTTGAGCTTTCTCTTTTTTTTTACCATTTTAAGATTTTTTCTCTCCATTTTAACCCTTCTATTCTATATAATAAATTATAAATATATGTCTATTAATTATGTTTGCGTTAATCTATTTTGCATAATCCTATTATAAAAAATTAAGAAACATACTAGCGATATTCTTTTCTATTTATGGTATATCTTTTTGCTTCTTTTCAGTTGATTTTTTATCTTCTTTTTGAGATTTACCCATTTTTTATTACTTTTTTTATGTATATAGATGATTTATTTTTAAAAATTACTAAAATTAATTAATATTTTTAGATTTATGATTATAGCATTTGCCATATAAAGCAAAATCAAAAATCTTATAATTCGTTAACTAAAAGGAGGGAGAGTACAAAAAATGAAAAATGAAAAAATAAATTAACTTAAGACAATTGTCAAATGAACATTTAAATATTCTTCCTTACTCATATTAAGTATTATTTTATTTCTTGAAAATTTATAAAAAATTAATTATAAAAGTACAAATTAAAATTAAATTTACAAATGTACCTACTACTAACTAACAACAAAATTTATAAAAGAGTATGTTTTTAAAAATATTTCAATTTAAATAAAATATTTAAACAAAATTTTACCAAAATTGAGACTAATTTTGAGATAAATATTTTGAAATTTAAAATTAAGAAAAAAATAGAATAAGAAAATTCATTTCTTTTATTTTATACAGGCAGACTAGTTAAAAATATAAAATACTTGCAAAAATATAAAATAAATTTCAGTTTTACTAATATGATCATTATGGTTATTCTTCATTATTAGCTTCTTATTATTATTATTCTTACTCAGCTTTTGCTGCTTCTTCAGCTTGTCTTAATTCTTCTTAGCGAGCTTCTTCTTCAAGACGTGCTTGCTCTTCAGCTTCCTTTCTGGCTTCTTCCTCTAAACGAGCTTATTCTTCTGCTTCTTTTCTAGCTTCCTCTTCTTAACGTGCTTATTCTTCAGCAGCTAGTCTTGCTTCTTCTTCTGCTTGTTTTCTTGCTTCTTCTCTTTCATTTATTGTATTAAGGCGTTCTTGAAGATCATCAGCAGTAACGTCTTCATCATTCAATTTTTCGAAGTAATCTAATACAACTAAGAGTTCTATACGTGCATTAGCAACTGTATCACAGCATGGATTAGCAGAGTAGTTGAAAGAATAAACATTACGAAGTTTTCCGATTTTATAAATTTCTTTAAAATCCTCTATCACGTTTTCAGATATATTTAAGTTATATAATTTGGTAAGAGCAGGTATGGGAGTTCTAAGACGCTTGATATTATTTTTACGAAGATTCAAAGAATAAAGGGAAGGCAAATTTTTTAAGTCTCTGATATCTGCAATTTCATTTTCTTCTAAAGTTAATTCCCTTAATTTAGGGCAGTCCTAAATACCCTTTAAGTCCTTCAATTTGTTTATATTCATATTTAAAAACTCAAGTTTAGGATGTCCTCCAAATTCTTCTGCACTTGCTATTTCGTTTTCTGATACATCCAATTTTCTTAATTCAGGAAGTTTGAGCTTTTCTAGCTTAGTTAACTTGTTACCAGATACATTCAAAAATTGGAGGTATTTGAGAGCAGATTCATCGAAAGCTGGGTTAAATTGCTAAAGTGAAGTTATCTAATTTTTTGAGCAATTTAAACTAAGCAAAAAAGGTAGTTAAGTAACCAAACTGATATCAGATATTTAATTTCCCGATAAATCGAGATAACGTAAATGGCGATAATTAAGCAAAGGATTGAACAATTTTTCAATTTCTTTTTCTGCTAAATTCAATTTAATATATGCGTATGATCCATTGTTTTATATTTTAGAAATATTTGATAGATTTTCTTTGATATCCTGAACAAATTTTTATTCTAGTTCTCTTAATCTAACAACATTTTCATCTTCTTCTTCAACTTTTTCTTCACCATTTTCGTCTTAATCTTCTCTTTCTTCACCATCTTCCAAATCTCTATTTTCTTCGTTTTCTGACATTTTTGCTATTTTAACTTTTTATAATTCTTGTATGAATGAATAATTGTACTTTAATAAATAAATAAATGATTCTATATTTTATTAATTATTGTAAATATCTCAAATAAACCTAAATCAATCAATCAATAAAAAAATTTATTAAGTTTTTTACAATTAATTCAAATTAGATTTCAATCAACTGTTATATTTACGCTTATCATCTAAATTTTATAATTTTAATTTTATTTAAATTAAATTTATTTTAATTTAATATTTTAAAATAAAATTATCTTTGAAAATCAAATCAAAAATTTGTATGAAATTCAATGAATTTTTTTGAAAATCTAATTAAAAAATAAAGAATAACTTTTTCTAATAAAAGACTCATATGAAGAACACTATCTAAAAATTTTAAATAAATCACACTTATCACTAAAAAGCTATAACAATATAAAACATTACTAAAGCTTCGATAATAACAATAGTATTATTTTTAATACCTATGAGCTAAATTTATATGGTCATTTCAAAAATAAAATACTCAGATTAGATAATTTTTTACCTCTCATTAATAAATTAATTGAAGTTTTACATTATATTTTTTTAAATTTTCTTTAACTTAATAAATTTTATAGTGCTTTTCAATTTATAATTAAGTTAAGAGATAATGAAATGTTGTTTAGGAAATAGATTAAATTTTTTGAATAATGTTATATTTACAAAATAAAGTATTAGCAAAGGATAACATAATTATCAAGAGAAAAAACATGTTTATTTTTGCCTAAATTTTGTGAAATAACATTATTTAATTTTATAATGAATTTGTAAATTAATATTTAATCATTTTTTTATTCAATTTAAAAGATAAAAATTATTATAAAGCAAAATAGCATTTATCAATTAATTTATTTAAATAAAAATTATTACGATTAAAAAATATCTAATTTAAATAATTTATCATATGTTCATCAATCAATTCTTGAGAGTAAAATTAAGATTTACAAAAGTAGTACAAACAGAAAAAAAATGAATGTTTATTTTTAAGTAAAAAATTTTTTAGTAAATATTTTTGTACTCTAATAAGACAAATTACTTAAAATGATAGAATTTTAATAAAAGAAATAAATTTATATCAATAATATTTGTATGTTTCGAAATTAAATTTAAAGTTAGTCAGTAATTTCTTAGTGATGACTTAATATTAAAATATGATTCTAAATCCTATTATATGACATAATCTAACATATTAAGATTACAATTACAAGTAGATTTGAATTTTGGTAGGTTAAGTCAATCGAAAATATAATCAAATAAAAGTTAAGTTTACTTACAAATCTGTCTTAACCAACATACAATATGAGTTTATCAATTTTATTTTTAATCTTGATAATTTATCAAAAAGAAATGAAGCACTATACTATTTGAATTAAAATTATGCAATTTATTGGGACTTTTGCAAAAAATCAAGATACAGAAAAAATTCTTTTATTCAGGAGTAAATAAAAGGCAATTTAGTGTTGTAAAATAAATAAGACAGAAACAACAAATTTAAAAGTAAATAAATGAATAAAATTAATTAGATTTGTATTAAATTTATGTAATCGTAATTCTTAAGATTGAACATATGATTTACTATCTATAAATATCAAGTCTTTCTTATTAATTTCAAATAATTAAAAATTAAGTAAATATATTCTATTAATTAAAAAGTATATTTGATTGATTGATTGATCAAGTGAACAAACAAACAAACAAAATGGATAGTGAAAATTTAATTGAGTCTGCTAACTCTTCTAAGCCCATGAGTATCAGATAAACATGGGTTAGGTGGTTAGCATTGTCACTAGCTTGCTTAATTATGATTGGTTCATATATGTGTTATGATTTCCCTTAAACATTGTAAAGTTAATTGTAAAAAGCTAATAATTATTCTGATACTTAGGTCAACTTACTATATTCAGTTTACTCTTTCCCTAACATTATTCTACCTTTAATCGGAGGATATCTAATTGACTTCATTGGAATTCGTAAAGGTGTGTTTGCATTTACTTTTGTTTTGATTATTGGTTAAGCTTTGTGCATGATAAGTCAAATTGATTCTATAAAAAGTTATGCATTATTAGTTGTAGGAAGAGTAGTTTTCGGTTTAGGTGGTGAGAATCTTAGTGTTACTTAAAGTAAATTTATTTTTACAGCATTATTTAAATTAATAAGTTTTATTTTATTTTTCATCTTTAACAATGTTTCTAATATCTTAAAATCTTAAAAGGTACTATTGTCAGCTAATGGTTTAGTGGAAAAGAACTTTCTTTTGCTCTTGGGTTAAACATCTCTGTCTCTCGTCTTGGTAGTGTTATTGGATAATTCATGTTCCCTGCACTATATAGCAGTAGCAATTAAATTTTTGTTCCTTTACTTGTCGGAACAATATTTTGTGCCTTCTCTTGGGGATGCGGTATTGGTTTAAATATTATGGACAAACATGCAGATAAGCAGGAGGGAAAGAAAGAAGTTAAATTAAGCGAAGATGATAAGATAAAACTTTCTGACATTAAGAAACTAGGATTTGATTATTGGCTTATTTGCATATCTTGTGTTTTGAATTACGTTTGCTTCTTCCCTTTTATGCAAGTTCTTTAAAATTACCTTATCAATTAGTTTGGCATGAACGAAGATAATGCTCGTAATTTTTTAATCATTATTTATTCTCTTAACTCCTAAATTAAATAATTTGATCAAGATTTAAATTAACAAACAATAAATGTTTCACTCATTAAAATTAATTATTATATTTTAAAATTTTCTATTACATAAGCAATTTATTTTTATATTAATGGGGAAGGAAGCAAAGGATAAACATTTTTTTTTGAAAATCAAGCTTGAAAAATTTTGTCCGTCCTGTGTCTTCTTAAAATATCATGATTATTAATCCCCTTCCTTAATTCAAAATATTTTAAATAAATTATGTTTTTTAATAAAATAGCTAACTTCATGAGTATTCCTTACTTTATGTCAGCTGCTTTAACCCCACTTATTGGATTACTTGTTGATAGAATTGGTAAAAGAGGATATCTTTTGATTTGTGCATCACTGATCATGGTAGTAGCTCATTTCACAATGCTTGTAGTACCATAATCTGATACTGCTTCAGATACTTCATATACCAGTTACTATTTTATTATCCCCTTTATATTATTTGGTATTTTCTACTCTTTGTATGCTGCTGTGCTCTGGCCTTGTATTCCTTTGGTCTGTGAACCTAAGATTGTTGGAACAGCTTTTGGTATTACAAACTGTATTCAAAACGGAGGTAAATTCTTTTTAACTAAAAAATTTATATTTATGTTAAAAATTAAAAATAAATTTAGGCTTAGCTATTGCCCCTCTAGTTACAGCTGCAATTATTTCAGGTACATCTAGCAAAGATAATGGATATTTCTATGATTAAATATTCTTTATCTGTGCTGGTATACTTTGTGTTATAATTAACATCTGTATTTTCTTTGTAGATAAAAGAAAAGGTGGTAGACTTAACAAAGGCTTTAGAGAGCTTAATGCAGAAAGGGTCGAAGAAGATGATGAAGACTTAAAAAGATTAGAACGTAACTCTAGAAAAAAATCAATTACTGCAAAAAGATCATTTGCATTCTGATTTTAATTTAAACATAAAAATAAAATTATTTAAATTTATTTGTATTGAAATTAGTTAATGTAATAATTTATTGGTTTATTATTATTTTAATATATTATGTTGTTAAATATTATTAAATTCTTAAATTAAAAAATAAATTTGTATCCAAATTTTTATCAAAAATTGTTAATAAATTGATACATTTTTATCTAATAAATAATAATTAAAATTAATTTTATTAAAGTTTTACATATTAGACAATATAAATCCAAACAATTTTCCTAAAGATTTCACAATTATTAATAAAACTTTTATTTTTAAAAACTCATAATTAATTATTTATTGTTAGATTATAAAAAATAGAAAGCATAAATATATAAAAAATATATTTCTTGTAAAAGTATCAGAATCAATAAATTCTTTATTAAAATTTAGTTTGAAATTAATTAAAAGTGTTAAATGTAGATAAAAAATGAATTTAATTTTAACAATAAATATATTCCCATATAAGTCCTAAACAAGAATTTGAGCTAACCCCAAAAAAATAACAAATGATTAATTGCAGCTCTTTCAGATCATTGTTTTAGGAACATAAAATTTTATTGAATACTTTGATTATTAAAAAAAATAATACTAAATTTGTTACATTTATTTTATTAAATTAAAGTTTTATAACAAACCAACATATTTCAGAAAAGAATTTGCTATTTATAAATTTCATACTTTTTAAATTAAATATGCTTTTTTAATTTATTATCAAATAAGTTTTGAACAAATATATTCACAATTATTTGACTTTTGCTTTTAAATTTATTTATAGTTATAAAAAGCTTTTTAAATTTTAGTAATAATTTTGGATTTATATACATTTATAAATGAAAGTTTTACAAATAAAAATAGTTAATATTTACTATTTATTTTGATGCTTTTTATTTTTTGCAAATAAATTAAAAATTTTATATAATTTAATTATCTTTTAAAGTTAAATTAGTTTTCAATTTTTGAAAAATCCTAGGAAACCTCCTTTTTGATTCTTTGCTTTATCCATTTTTTACTTGATCTCATTCTTTTCTTTTTCTGAATATTCTAACATATTAAGAATGAGGGTCAAATATGAGTCATTTTCTTAAGATATCTTCTTGTCCCTTTATTTAATATAAATTTAATTAATTCAAATTTATAGTGAACAAAAAAATTTACTTTGAGTTTAATAAAGAATCTATATATGTAGGGAAAAGAGCTTTAAGGGAGTGCTTGATTGATGAGTCTTGAGTAACATTTATTTATGATTGTAATTGCTAAATTAATTTATCTTTGTGTTCCATTTATTGCCTCATTTTTGTTACTTCGCTATTCAAGTTAGAAGAAGACATATTCAATCTATTGCTTGATTATATCTTTTGCTGATTTTGTTGAGATATTAATTCCTATATCTTCTATTCTTTCTCCTATAGTTCTTTATTTTTTCTTCTTTATTCTGCCATAAAGTTATTTTAGATCTATTCGTTATCTTCAAGTTCTTGCTTTAGCTGATCTATTTCACTTTTAAGTAAAATATTTTCATTTTTAAGAGACTCTATCTCAAGCATTTAATATTCAAGCTACTCATCCTTTTAGCCATTGCTCATTTCGCTCTTTCTCTGTTAAAAAATAAAAATTAGATTAATTCAAGTTTAATAATCAAAATTTATTTTATTTACTCCTGTATCAGGACGAGAATGAAGTTCCTTTTATTAGATCTTTATTTTTGTACAATTAAATGGATCTCTATTTTCTTCTGAATTAAGCACAGGTTTTAAGTACATTTCTTTATATTTTTATAATTCTTTTATTTATTTTTCTTTTACAATCAGCTACGACTGATATGTTTAAGCTATCTTTTTGAGTTCGTCTTAGTGCTTTGAGCCAAACTTTTCTTTAAATCTAGGTTAAATTAAAAATGATATAAATATTGCATTATTTTATAATTAAAAATGCTTTACTAATAGAATTCTTTAAAGTTTTATTGAATCTTGACAAGATTATTGCAGATCCTACTGTTATTTAAGTCCATTAGATCCAGCTCTCCTTCATTAACAAGTCTCTCTAAACATATTTCTAACTACTATTCAAGCTCTATTTTATCTTCCAATTCTTGCTTAGACTTTAATAGCTTATTTTAAAATTCATAAAAAGATTCGTTGTCGTAAATACTTTTATTTTAGAGTTCACTTTGCAAACTCTTGTTTTGATCTTCTAATTATTTCTTTTCTGTTAGGATTTTGGTGAGTTTTTCTTCTAGTTCTTTGTATTTTTAGTATACAGCATCTTCTTCATCCTCTTTAGAGCTTAGTTTTCTCTAATGATGATCATTATCTCCATCCTTTTCATGCTTTTCATGTCTATTTTTTCTAAGCTATTCTATTTCCTAGTGAGCTTCTTCCAAGTATTTCTTCATTTCTTTATTTTTTTCTTTTTCTTTGTTTAGTTTTTAGATTGCATCATTTTTATGATCTTCTAAAACCTCTTTCAATTACTTTTAAGATTCTTCTTACTCAGTTAGTCTATCACAAAGTTTTTGAAGTCTATCCATTTCTTGTTTAAGTCCAATGCACTCAATTTCTTTTTCAGTTCTCAACTATTCTTTTTCTCTAGTTCTTTTCTGAATTTCTTCCTATAACTCTCTGATTTAATCTTCATACCCTATTTAAAAATAATATTTTAAATACATTTATTTATTAATTATATGTTAGTTTTTTTTAAATTACTTTTAGCTGATTAATAACCAATAGCATCTTCTTCAGACGAAAGCTTTTCGCTGGGATTAGTCATATTTGTTTAGAAATGGCTGAGTTTTTCTTTAAGAGTCTCTAATTACTGATTTAATTCTTTTTACTACTTAAGCGTATCTTAAGTCTCTGCTTGCATTTCATCATTTTTCTTCTCAAACAATTATATTTACTCTTCCTTCTGTTATAAAGAGTCTTTGAGCTCTTAAATGGTATTTTGCAATTCGAATCTTTCAGCAATTAGTGACTTGTGCTTTTATTCGAAAGAAGATATTGTTTTATTTTGCTCCTCGTTTACTTCATTTATATTTTTAATTAAAGATGTGAGTTATTTGATTTCTTTATCTTTTGAAGCTAATGCCTCGTTGTGTTCTTTTACTAACTTTTTCATTTTATCTGTGTGCATTTGCTTTAGATTTTCGATCACTTCAGCATCACTCTTTTGATTTTCAAATTTCTCAATCATAGCAGAGAGTTCACAAATGCTGTTGTGCTATTGCTCCAAATGATAATCCTTCTCAGATAGTTATTATTCCAACTAAGTAATTTGATTCTTTAAATTTTGGTTTTCATGCTTGGAAATATCTAACTCTTCTTCAATCTTTGAGAATCTCTCACTATTTTAATCATTAGCAACCTGCTTCAATTGTAAACTTTCTTCTTTTTCAGCCAATTTCTTCTTATAATTGACAATTTCTTCTTCAAGAGTTTGGATAACAACTATATTTTATTCTAGAATAGATTTTAAGTCAGACATTTCGTTCTATAAACTAGCACGCTTTTGCTTTTAAACTTATTACTCTTAGTTAAGTTATTAAAGTTCTTACTCCATGATTTCTCTATCTTCTATAAGCTCAACTTTTCTATTGACTGGTTGTTCACCTTGCAAACCCTTAAGTAATTCTATTTCTTTAGTTAACTTATCGTTTTCATCTAAAATTTCTTCTTTCTCTCTTTGATATTCTTTTATTTCTAATTCTAGTTCATTTATTTAGTCAAGAAGTTCAGCGTTAGCAAATGTAAGCTAATCTATTTATTACTTTTAAGCAGAAGATGAACCAGCTTAGCTGCTTGTTTATGGTAATGATAATTTAATTGGTGAGCTGTTTTGTTTTTAAGGTTGAGACTGCAACAAGTCTGCTTTTAGTTTTTCAATAATTTCTAAATTATCTTCTCTTTCTATTTATAAATTAGTAATTTTATCGTTTAAAAGATTAATTGTTTCTTCAACAGTTGCTCTTTCGTTTCTTTCTTAAATTAGAGCATTATCACACTCATTCAAAGTGTTTTACAAGTTATTTTTTTCTTCCTCTAATTATTTAAGTATATCTTCCAAAAAAGCTATCTAATTATATCTCTCATCTAAATCTTTCTTAAATTTCTCAACTTCAACATTTGCAGTTTGTATCTATTGCGTTTATTCTTCCATAACTCCTTCCAAATCTTAAATTTATACTTTTAATTTTTGAATTTCCTTTTCTTTTTCTTCAATCTCAGTTTCTTTTTCAATTCTCATCTTCTCGTTTTCTTCTTATGATTTTTATTTATCATCATTTACTTTTTCAATTTATTCTTCTAATTGTGAGAGTTTTTCTTTCATTTGTTAGATTTTTGCTTTACTTTCTTCATTTTCTTTATGTAAATCTAAATTTTGCTATTAAAGGTTTTATGAGTTTTCAGAAACTAAATCTTTTTCTTCTTGTTATTTCTAGCTTAGGATATGATTTCCCTCTATTTGCTTTTATAGCTCCTCCTAAAGTAAATTTAATTGAGATTAAATATTTTGGTGATCTATTTACAAAGATTCATAATTAGTCTACTCTAAATTATATTTTTCTTGTAAATTAGATAGCTTTTCTTAAAACTACTTTTCTTATAAAACAAGAGTATCTTCACAAACTGTGAATTTATCTGCCAAATCTTTTATTTTTACTTGATGGTTTTTCTCTAGCTCTTAAATTTGAGTTTAATATTTTTCCTCAATTTACAAAATTTTAGAATTAAGTTCTTAAATTTGTGATTCCTTTTGTTGCAAGTTGTCATTAAAGTCATAGATTTGCTATTCTTTGTCTTAATTTTCTTATATTAGCTTCTCTAAATTTGCAGAAATTTCAGCTGAACTATTTTCAAGCTCAACAATATTTTGCTTTAATTAGTTATTTTCTTCAACCAATTCATTTTTTATCTTTTCAAAGTTTTATACTTTTTATATTAATTTGTTGTTCTCTTCTTTTAAACTTACTAAATCTGACTCTTTTTCCTGAATTTGATCATATTATTAGCTCAATTTATCATTTAATTATTCTTCTTCTGATTCTTTTGCTCTTAACTACTTTTCTAACAAATCATTTTCTTATTAGACTTTGCTTAGCTGCTCAGTTAATTCATTCTTAAGCTTTAAAATTGCTTCTTGTTGATTTTATAAAAGTTGCTAAATTTCACTTTGATGAGATTATTCTACTTCAGAGTGTGATTATTCTAATTTTACTTGATTTTATTTTTATACTTCTTCCAATTATTTTTCAAACTTTTCTTGAAGTAAATTGATTTCATCTTGATGAGACTGCCTTTCTTCATTTTACTTACTCAACAAATTATTTATTTATTCAATTTACTACTAAATTTTATCATTAAGTTCAACATTTTTTTGTAAAGTTTCATCTACTTCTTATGATATTTTCTATTTTTATTCCTTAGCATTCAATAATTCAGAATCTAATTCTTAAATTTGTAAATTGAGTTTTTTATTTTCTTAGATTTATGCCTCTAAATCTTCTTGTAATTTTTTTATTTCGCTTTATAATGAATCTTTCATATTTTTATGCTTTTCTTCAAATTCTTCTTGCATTTTATTAATTTTTTAATTATGTAACTATTCTATTTCTGAAAAAGAAGCACCTGCTTTTGTTTCATATTCTTTTTGTAATTCTAATTTCTTATTGTTAAATTCCTCTTAAAGTTACTTGACATATTCTTCATGATCACTTAATTATTGTTTGTTTTAAATTTTTTATAATTCAAGTTATTATTCAAATGATTTAATTTATACATTTAATTCTTCAATAATTTAGCTGTTTTCTTATATTTTAGTTTCATAGTCTTGTTTTATTTTTTTAATTTCTTCTTCAAAATTTTTAATTGATAACTCATAATTATTCTTTTAATCTTATAATTCATTTATTTTTAGTTGCTCTAATGAATCAATACTTTTTTCTAACTCTTAAATTTAATTTTTCAAATCTTCTATTAACTTTAATTAATTTTAATTATCTGATGCTTATTAAGCTAATTTACTATTTAACTCTTCTTCCTTATTAATAGAATTTGACTGGAGCTAAGTAATCTATAATTCTGATGATGATATTTTATCTTGTAATTAAACAATTTATTCTTATAATTCGGAGATGTCTTTTTCTTTTTCTAATAAAACTAAATCTCTTTCACTTACTTTTTATAAGTTTTCTTTTAAAGTATTATTTAAGTTATTTATTTCATTGTTTAAAGAAATTAATTTTTCTTCTTATTCCTTCATAACATGCTCTTTATCTTACAAAATTAATGCCATTTCATTCTATTTTTATTCATTTTCTTATAATTTATTCTTTAATTGATCAATTTCCTTATTTTAAGAAACCTAAGCTTGCTCTTGTTATTTAATGTTATTTTCCCTTTCTAATAAAATCAAAGCACTTTCTTCTTATTTTTATAAACTTTCTTATAAATTTTTCTTTAACTCATCAATTTGCTTATTTAATGAAATTTAAATATCTTCTTACCTATGAATATCATTATTTTTTTATAGAATCTCTTCTTTTAAATTTTACAGCTCATTTTACAAATTAAAGATCTTTTCTTCCAATTATTATTTAATTTCTTCTTTTTCATGTATTTCTTATTTTCTTTTCATCAGATCTTCATCTTTCATAGAAATTATTTCCTTATAATGTATTTCTTTTTGCTAAACGAGATCTTAAGCATTCTACTGGGTGATCTATAGTTGCTCTTAGAATCTCTATTCTTATTATTGCATGCACTTCATAAATTCCTCTTACTTTTGCTTTTCACTAAGCTAGTCATTCAAAAGATTCATTTGCTCTTATTCTTTTTATTTTAACAATTCTTAGTAATAATTATCTTTCTCTTATAAACCTAACTGGTGTTAATCATTTATTTTTTCTATTTTTTGTTGGGTCTCTTAAATTAAATCCTCTAATTTATTTTATAACTCCTAATTTTATTCATTTTATATCTTTAATTCTTCAATTTTAGATGTTAATCTCTCTTCTAATGCTTCTAATTTGTGCTGAAGCTATTTATTAACTTGTTAGCTTTATTCCTCTCTTTATTCATATTCTGTAGATAATAATTAAATTGCTTACTCTTTTTCATCAATTAAATTTTGTTTTTCTTTAATCAATGCTGCTTATTGTTTTTCTTTTTCAATTTTGCTTTCTAATTCAGTTTATAAACTTTATAATTTTAATTGAATATCTTGATTTTAAGCATCTGAGTCCATAAATTAGCTTGCCAATGAATCTTTTTCATTATTTAATGATTCAACTTAAGAGTTCAATTATTTAATTTTCTCTTCGTACTCTTAAATTGCATGTGTATTCTCTGAATTTATTTTTTCTAAATTTTACTCAAGTTATTCAACTAGTTTTTAAGAACTATTCAAATCTTATTCTGATTATTTCAATAATTACTCTGTATTTTCTAATTTTTAAGTTATTTCATTATGTGACTCTTTAATTTATTCTAAATTATTATTTAGGACGACAATTTCTTCTTCATTTTATTTTATTTTTTATACCAAAGAATCAATTTCACTATTTTTAGATTCTAGCTATTGTGTTAAATTTTATTCTAACAAGATTTCTTTTTACTAAGCTTCTTTAAGACTTTCTTCTAAGTTGGTAGCTTAAAGTTTTAATTTACTTTCAGAATCTAATTACTTTTAAAATTGTTCTTCAAATGACTCTATTAGTTAATCTTATTGGTTTATTTAATCTTGTAGTTATTTGTTATTTATCTCAAACTACTCTTTATCAGATATTAATTTCTAAATATTTTCTTCTAAGTTATCAATTTTTTCAGTATTTTATTATAACTATTCTTCTAATTATTTAATTTTATTTATATGTTTTTCATTTAACTCTTAGCTTTCCTTAAGCTCTTCTTGTAACTATTAAATTGATTATATGTATTCTTACTATTTTTATAGCTAATTAGTTAAATTTTACTTTAACTCTTCAGCTATATCAGACTTTTCTTTTATTAATTACTATGATTCAGAAATTATATTTAATTTTTATTTTAAATCCTCATTTAAATTACTATTTTCTTCTTTTAATTAATGAATTAGTCCTTATAATTATTGCTTATCTTGACCCATTTACAGAAGTTCGCAATTCAATTGATTGATGCTGTTCTCTTATTCGTTGAGGGAGTGTGAATTTTCTTTCAATGAATTTTCTAACTAAGTTCTTAGCTAAGAAATTAATTATTAGTTTTCTTCAATCATTGAATTTTATTCATCTAATTTAATTGTATTACTTTTAAGTTTCTCTTAATGATTATGCAACAATTGACCTTGTTCTTCATATTATAATTTCAAATTATCAAACAATTAATTTTTGTATTCTAAATCAAGGTCTTTTTGTTTAATTTAACTATTTAATTAATTTAATACTTCTTCTAACTATTTAATTTATTCATCTAATTTATTTATCTATTCATTTTTTAGTTTGATTTATTCATTTAGTTCATTAATTTCTTCATTTTACTGATCTATTTTATCGTTTTATGAAATTATTTGTTAATTTTATTCAATAATTTATTCATTTTATTAATTATTTTATAAGTTTAATTAAGTAATTTATTCAGTTTGTTCATTAATTTATTCATCTTATTAAGCTATAATTTAATTTTGTTAAACAAGTTATTCATTTTATTTTTTATTTTATTCATTTAATTAATTTATTTAATTTTCTAATTCTTTAATTGTATTTTCTAAGGATTTTGTAGATTCTGTTTATTCTTCAAAGCTTTTCTTTTCAACAGATTTAAGATCAGCTATTTCTTCATCTAATTAACTAATTCTTATCTACAACTCTTCCTTTTATTCAAAGATTTATAGACAATTTTATTCAAGTTCTTTAATCTTATTTTCATAACTTTATTAGATTACTGACTATTTCATATTAATTTCTTACAATTCTTCTTCTTTTTAACTCAAAGCTTGATTTAATTCCTAGATTTGATTATTTAAATCAGATAAATTAGAGTTTTAATACTTTTCTTCTTCTTCTCTAAGTTTTTATAAATTTTCAATTTGTATCTAGAAATTTTAATTTGAATTGCTTATCTAATCATTATTTATTTAAAGTTATTGTTCATAGTTTTACTTTAATTCTTCTATATTTTCTTACATTTAAATTAATTGGTTATTTTTTTCTTTAATTTAATCAGTGATTTATTCAATTTAATCTCTTTATGTGAATATATAATTATCCTTTTCTTTGATAATTTATCTAAACTCTATTTCTTTTTAATCATGTTCAGCATTTTGCTATTAAATTAATTATTCTTACTATTTAATAAATTGTGTCATACTACCAATTTCATTTTGTAAATTCTAAATTATCTTTTCTGAATCAATTTAATTTTTTTAAATCTGTTAAGTAAGTAGCCTTACAGTTGACTAAAGCTAATCTGTTTCTTCTTTATTTTTATCTATAATTTCTTAAATTTACTACTGTAGACAATCTCTCTCATTTTAAATTTCTCTTAGATCATTATTTTCTTCTTCAAGCTCTTTTACTCTTTCTTGCAAATCTTCAAAAGAATTCTGCTAATTTCTTTTATTTTATAGACCATCTATATCTTAATCATTTATTATCTAGTCAATGCTTTGGTTTTATTTTTTACCACTGTCATTGTGAGAATCAAGTGCACTTTGAAGTTCTTGTTACAATCTTGCTATTTCCTCTTCAAACTCCATCTTCTATAAGCAATCTTACTCCATTTTAGCTATTTTTTCATTTTATTGCTTAATGAGCTTCTTAAATTCTTCTTCTTTTTGTTAAAATTCTTTATATTAAGATTCTTATCTGCTAGAAGACAAAGGCTTTGATTAGGTTGCTTGTAGCTATTGTTTAAGTTCCTCGATTTCTTATTTTAATAATTCTATCTCTTCTTTATCATCTAAGCTGTCATTTTTCATCATTTCAATTAATTTATTTTTTTAAGCCAACTAATCTTACATATTTTTTTATTAGTCCAAATTAACTTTTTCCTACATTTTTTTAATTTCCTCCATCTTTTCTTTACACTTTTTAATCTCTCTTTGATACTAGTCAATCAACTCATTCAGATTATTGTTTTTGCTTATTAATTCATCTATTTCTTGCTACTTTTCTGAAAGAGAATTCTAATATAACTCAATCTTATCTTATTGCTCATTTGCAATATCCTCTTTCTCTTTTTCCAGATCCTTAACTCTCTTCAGATTTTGTTCGATCTCTTCTTTTAATTTTTCTTTTAAAAAACTTGTTGAATTTTAATTATTTTATTTTATTTTACCATTTTCCTCCTCTTATTATTTAATAATAGTAACAGCTTCTTCTAATTTTGATTTTAGATCTTCGATTTCAGCTAAAAGTTTACTTTTATCTTCTTCTTTTTCTAAAAACTTTTACTCATATTCAATCAAAAGCTATTTAAGCTACTCGCAATCTTTAATATATTATTATAATTACTGCTATTATTATTGAGTATTCTAATTCTTTCCTTTTGAATTAGGAGAAGTTCCAGCACTTGGTGTGCTAGATTTTTTTTTTGTTTCTTCAAGTTCTTTGATTCTTTTTTCAAGAATTCCACACTTTTCTTAATATAATTTATTTTCATTTTTAAACTGTGCAACTTAGTCTTCTGACTTAGCTAAATTTTATGTTTTTTGTTGAAGATTTTTTGAAATACTTTCTTTTTCCTTTTGCAGGCTTTTATTCTGTTCATTAAGTGTCTTGATAGTTTGTTCCAAAGTTTAAATATTTTTTTATACATTTTGATTTTAAGTTTCTAATAATTAATTTTATTTTTTCAATATTTCAATTTAGCTAACAAAGCTTTTATTGTCATCTTTAATGATGTTAAAATCTGTGTTTGCTTTTTAAATTTCTTACTTTAGTTTTTAAATTTAATTTTATAAAGAATTTATTAATTTTTAATCTTCTTCTGTTTCCACAGCAGCAGATACAGTATAATTTCTTGAATCCTGCTATTAATTCTATATTTTTGGAGAGCTATTTTATTTATTTTGCTTTTTAACTAATTATTACAATTCTTTAATTTAGCTTTCTAATCTGCCTGTTTCATCTTATTTAATCAAAAGTTTTTTTTCTAATTCAATTATTTTATTTGCTTGTTCTTAATCTAGTTCCTGTCTTGCATGCTACAGCTTAATTTAGATTCTTTCAAATCCATCATCTATGTTATCTAATTCTTCCTCATTTAAAATATTTTTGAGTTACTAAATAACTTCTTCATTATATTGTTGTAATTCTAAAATGCTTTGATCTTTAAGCTATTATATTTCCTTCTAAAGTTATTCTTTTAAAGAAGTAGGAATATCTTGAGCAAATACTTACTAATCATTCTGGTTATCAACCTCTTGTTTTTATTATTAATTGATATTATTTAAGAATTAGATCTCATTTTCTATTTCTTAGTCTATAAAACCAAGAAGCTCTTTGATATCATTTAAGTTTTGCTACTATTCATTTTCATTTCCATATTAATCATAATTATTATTATTCTATAGAATAGATAATAGATCTTCTCTTTTTTATCTTAGTTCAATGAGTTTATCGCTTATAGGTTATTCAGTTTCCTATTAATTTTAGAAAACATTATTTATCTGTTCGCCTCTCATCTTTTCATTTTGAATAATATTCTACAGAACTTAAATTTAATCCTTTAAATTAAAAATCATTTAATGTTTTTAAATTGAATACATCATAAAATAAATTTACTTAAAGATTTTCAATAATCCTTTCCTTATATGCCAAATCTTCAATAAATAATTGCATCTTCTAATTAAGCTATTCTTCTATACTCTATATTGCTTAATTTAAACTTTCTCTATCTATTTATTCCTTCTATTGAAGTTAATATTTCAATTTTTTATTTTCATCGTCTTTTTCAGTGATAATTCTGTAGAGCTTTTAAAGATTCTTCTTTTTATCATATGACTTTAATTCCAAATTATGAATCTAAAGTTGCAATTATTTATTCTCTTCTCTGAGCACTTAAATACCTTCAACTTTTTCTTCAAAAAGCTTTTTATAGTAAGCATCATTATCTTCAACAATTCTCTTTTTCTCTTTAATCTCTTTTTCACACCTTTCAATTTTCAGCTTTAAATACTCATTTTCTTGCTTTAGCATTCTGTTTTCATTAATCATGTAGTTTTAAAGTCCATCTTTATCAAATCTTAATGATAGATCTTCAAGATCTTTTTTGTTGCTTGAAAAGTTTCTTATATATAAATCTTCTTCCAAACTTCTGTTAAGAGCTGCATTTTTCATTTTCTTATTTGAAGGTAAATCAACTGCTTTTACTCTCATATCACTATTTATATAAAATTCTGGAATAACTTACTCTCTCTTTATAGAACTGTTATTTTAGCTACTAGACCTCTATCCAAAAGGCACCTTATTTACCTAGCTAAACATTATTTAAAATATAAATGAATTAATTAAAAATACAAAATAGTGTAAATATTTACGATGAATGTGGCATTATTGATTGCTTTTCCTAAAATGGTTGCAAATTTAATTAATTATTTTAGTCTTTTCTTGCTTTTTAATATCGTTATTCAGGAGATGAAGATTAGTACCTCTTAGTAGAGTTAACTTACTTTCCTTAAGGTGGTATACTCAACGAAGTGTTATTTGGGTCTATAATATTTGGGGATATTTAAATTAATTAATTCATAATAGATTCGTTTTTTTTCTCTACTTCCTAGAGTCTGGACTTAATAATTTAGAATTCTATATTTAAGTCTGGTTAAATTTAATTTATTTCAGGGCTACTTGCATTTAACAAAGATAAGTCGTTTTTCTTTGAGTTATCAATATTTGACTCCAAAAAATTATTATAATCTGTATATTACTAAATCTAAGGTATTTTATTAAATAATTAATTAATTATATTTCGAATATGAATGAACTAAATTCGATAATGTGATTTAAATTAATTGTGCTCTTTTTAATTAAAAATATATTTCTTAAAAATTACTTAATAGTTTGAAGGCATTGTAGAATTTGCTTCTGGAAAATTATTATTCGCTTTACTAGATGAAGGAGAATAATTTGAAATTATTTGCTAAGGAGCTTTTACTTCTTTTAAATAATCATTAAATCCATCTCTCTTTTTATTTTGATGAGGAAGAGGGGGCATTTTAGGTCTTCCAGGAGAACCTTCTGTTTCGTGTATATATTTATTGACTCTAGATCCTTCGAAATGCTTTTAGTTACTTCCCTTATTGCGATTGTATGAATTTTGAGAAGATATTCTACGCTATGAAGATGCACTGACGTACTTGTTTTCAATATCTCTACCTTATGGAGATCCTTTTGAATAATTAATAGATTAAGGAATAGCAACTAGAGGATTATCTATAGCTTTCATACTTAAAGAATCACGGTTTGCATATGTGTTATAATCATAATATTAGTTTGTTTTAGCTTTTTATTATTAAGTAACATTTTAAGCATTCATTTCTACTTCATCTATCATATCTTAATACGAGTTATTTAAATACTTAATCCCTTTGTTGCTACCTCCATATGAAGTAAAACTGCTTTGTTAATTTTGGTTTTGAATATTTTGTATATCATGATTATTGTTTAAATATTATTATGTTGAATCTAAAAAATATTAATCATTGTTGCCACTATTATTTAGTTAAAGATTTTAGTACTTTTGATAGTTAGAATGCTGACTATTAGACTTATATCCTCCTATTTATTCACTACCTTTTAAGCCAACCTAAGTTGTATGATTGCTATTATTAAATTGTTTGTCAAGATAATTCATAAGCTTTTTTTAGTTTTGAAGAGGCTCTTGATAGTTTTCGCTATCATTCATATTATATTTACCTTAGGAGCTATTTGTTGCTGGCGTCCTCCTTCCATTAGAATTAAAAGAAGAGTTTTATTGCTAGCTTGAATTGTATTTTTTTAGATCTTGCTGCAAGGGTTCATTCAAAACTCTATAGTTGCTATCTTCACTTTATTGTTAAATTGGCTACTATAATTTAGAAGGATACATATCTTCGTTGATACTAGAATGTAGCTTTTGTTAAGTAGAATTGTTAGAAGGAGGTCTATATCTTTATAAGTTATTTTTAATATTATCAATGCTATTAGGAGGAACCTAATTATATTTTGCTGAAAATGAACCTGCTTATAGATTGTTGTTACCCAATGAATTTGCTTCATATCTTTCTTGAGGGGTTTTAGAATAATCAAATACCTAATATTAAGTTAAATGCTGAGGCTAGATAGTTTGTAATTGCTGTTTTCTCTAATTTTCTTAAAGTTTTTGCCTGATAAATTATCTAAAATACATAATATAATGTGAATTTTATAAATACTTATCAAATTATCTAATTAATGAATTTTTATAAAAACTTCTATAAGCTAAAAATATACTCATCAGATTAATTCTAAGATGGTTGACCTTATTAAATAGGGCTTCTTCTTTCTAATTTATATTTTTTCATAGACATTTCGTTTTTTAAAGCTAATTTATTTGTATTATCTTTCAAGTAGATTTTGAAAATGGAAAAAGATATAGCTTAAGAAAAGAAAGATAATTGTTAATTATTTTAATTATTTTTTAACTAATTTCAACTATTAAATTGATTGCAGTTTAAAAGCGTTCTTTTGATGGTTATTTAATATCAATTATTAATTTATCATTTTGAAATTAATAATCGCTCCAAATCAAATAAAAGAAAACAAGAAATAAACTAATACATAAATAAATAAATACATTTATTTGATTATTTTGAGTAAAACTAATTTCAAATTATAAAATGTTGTTATTAATACAAAAACACTTTTTACATACTTAAATTAATTATTCTTTTGAATTAAATTCAAAAAATAGTCTAAATAAATATCAAATCATTAATACATTATTCAAAAAAATTGAATACAATAAATTATTATAAAAATACACTTTCAATTATTTTTATATAAATTTTTTACCATTTAATTATTTATATTGAACTCTAAGATGAATATCATAATTTATTATATTATTATAATAAGTTAATTTTTTATGGTCATTTATGCAGCTAATAGTTTGTTTGAAATTTTTACCATAATTTGGTTTCAATAAAAATTAAAACCAATTAATAAATTTGTTCTATGATTGAATAAAAAATTAATTTTATTTTAATAATCATATTAAAAATAATTATTTTTTATCAAATTTAAATATAGCAAATAAATTTCCTCTTAAAATCAATTAGAAAAACTTTTTCTTTTTTAAAAAAAATAATTAATTAAATTACAAAAATTTTATTTTATTCTCTAATATATTATTTTGATATTTGATTTTATTAAAATTATTTTTTTTCAATGACTTTTAACTAAGAGAATGAGAAAAAGAAAAATCAATAAATGAATGTAAATAAATAGGAATGTTAATATATGAGCCAATATGTAATTCTATATGATAATTACTTTATTTATTAACAAATAATTTGAAAGTTAGTAAAATGAAATACTAAATCAAATAATTTAATAAATCAAATTTAAAACTGAGATTGATAAATAAATATTCAAATTCTGCTTTGTATTTTATTTAATAAAAATATCTTAAATAATAGTCATTAATAAGGAAATACATGAAATTAGCTGTCAATAAATTTTTTATTAAATAGTGATAACTAAGATACTATTTTTCAAAAAAATATTAAAAAAAGCAACAACCAAATAAAAGAAACAAACTAATTAAAATAAAGAATATTTCTTTAAGAAACTATTAAACACATTTTAAAAAGGGAGAAAGAAACTAAATAACAAACTATTTAGCCAGCTTAGATAAAATGGAAAAATAAAATGATTAATATCAACTTAAGCGCTTCGACCAAAGGGTATTAGCAGCTGAAATAAATGAAATGAAATAAACATTTAATTAGCAACAAGAAACCTACCAAGAAAATATAAAAATACATACTGACCGGTAAATATTATTAGAATTTAAAAAATTTAATAAAAAGAGTTGGTGAAGCTTTATAAAATCGTGGAAAAAGCTTTTATTATATTTTCAAAAATCTAGAGAGTAATCATAATAAAATTTGAAAATATCTATCAAATACTTAAATCTGCCTTTAGAAGCTATTTTATAAACTTAAACTAACAATTAGCTATTGAATTTATTAAATTAAATAAAAATTATACATAATAGTTTTGATGAAAGGGATCTCTCACAATTCAGAGAATTTTTAGAGCAAATTAAAAAAGAAAATGTTGAAAAAATAAAATCATACTTCGCAAAAAAGATTGAATAAAAAGATGAAGGGTTTAATTACTATGATTAGGATAATTAGCAGATGGTTGATATTGCAATGACTGATAGAGAGAATTTGTAAAAGGATTTAACAGAAGAATTTGAAGTATAAAAAGTGAAAGATGAGCGCAAGCTCATTCTTATGAATGCAGTACTTGATAAATTCAAAGAGTAATAAAAAGTGAAAGTGTTCTTTAGTTTGTGGAAAGACAACCATCTCAAGAAAAAAGAAAAAATAAAAGTAATCAAATAAATTCGTTATTTTGAAATATAATCTTATTTAAGATATTCTTTCTTAGTTCAGTGATTTTAAATCATCAACTTTGGAATTTTATTTGCAAAATTTAAAATTATATCAAACAAAGTAAGTGTTCAAAATTTAAATTAATTTTCAATAAATAAATAAAATAATAGTTAGATAGATTTTTGGATTAGAGATTAGTTGATAAAGTTAAAACCAAGTGCTTCTTTGCTTGGAGAAAGTAGATAAATTGCTTTTAAATTAAAATCAATTGAAAATAATATTTAAATAAATTAATTAGCTACTCCTACAAGTCTTCCTACGAACAAAAGATCATAAAAAATTCAGAAAAAGATGTCATTGATTTCCAACAAAGTAAACTTAATTGAAAATATTTAAGTTTAAATAAATTTATCATAATTATTCAACCAGGTTATTTAGAAATTATCAACACCCTTAAGAATGAAATATAGAAAACAGATAATTTGATTTCCTAAAAAACTGAATAAAAAGCCTAATTAGCATACTCACTTAGCAAAAATTTAATGAAGACAATTTCAACTTTATCAAACGAAGTAGTAAATTTAAATAATATAGCTAAGTAAACTTAATAGCCTGATGTAGTAGAAACACAACAATATTTATCTGATATGAACCAATTTATTAATAAAAAATACTAAGGTAAATTCAATTTAATTTTTTTACTTTTTGGTTAAATTTTTTTATCACATTATCAAGAAATCAAGAATTTAAAGAAGACATATGCAGAAGAAATAAATAGCACATCAGCTAAAACAGAAAATAAAAAATTAGGAAGCTTGATTACATTCTAAGACCGTGCTCTAGGAGCTTTAAGTCTTGATAAATTTGAATGAATATTAATTTTTCATTAAAATAGTTTATATATAATTCCTACCTTATTACTTTCTTAGGATTCCTTTGTAAATAAATATTTTGTATTTTCTTTTATAATAATTTTGAATTATTCTAAATCAATAAATTGATTTATTCTTTCTTAATTGATTATATTTTCATTTAATTTTTAATTAAACAAAATTGTAAGTAAACTAAATATTTATAAAATCTCACTAATTTCATTTTACTGTGATAATCTTACAAAAACATAATTTTTTTACATCAAAAATTGTTTCTTTGTATTTATAAATAAAAAGGGATTAAAATAAAATAGATTTTTTAATTTAACAAATTCAGTAAATAATAAATATTTCAGCAAAGAATTTATAATTATATACTTTAAAGGTATTTGTAAATGAACAGGAATAGTAAGGAGTTTATTTTAATTTTTTAGGTTTAATTTTTTATTGGAAAATTTATAATTTAAAAAAATAAATTTAAATAGTTTTATCAGTTAAATTTTAAAGGATAAAAAATGAAAGTATTATCTTCAAAAATTTTTAGAAGCAAATAGAAATCTACTTAAATAAATCAAGAATCTTTCAAATTTCATAATTATATATCGTAAAAAACTATATGATAAAGTGAAGATATCTTTTTTTAAATCTACTATTACAAAAGCTCCTTATTATTTTTAACTAAAATTTACTAGAATCTAAGTAAATTAATGAAAAACCTAGATGGTTGGTTAAGAGTAAATGTTTTTTTATGCAATATTTAAAGAAAAAATTATAATATATGTGTGGTCCACTAACAAAGATACCATTTCCAGTTAAATTATTCTTTACTCAAAGATTAATAGTAAAATTTTTAAGATTTTTGAGCTGGAATAAAGAAGCTCCTAATAGGATACTTCTTCGCCTTTGATATCCTTATTAAATAAATTTTGAGTTATATTAATTAACTGTTGAAACTTTAATATACTAATAAGTATATCATATAGAACATATTATATATTTTATTTTGCCATGAAAGATCAAGAAAAGTGATGTAAGTTTTATTAATTTCACTAATAAAGATCCTAAATTTGATTAAATTTAAAATTTCATTACATCTTAAATCGAGATCAAAATATTCATATTTTAGCATTCTATTGAATATTTTATTATTTGTAAAATATTTTAATTTAGTACATGAATCTAAAGTTTAAGCAAAATCTATTATTCTATATCCTCCAAGAGGAGATAAACTGAAAAACTAGAAAGAGTAAGTTTAGAATAAATTCAATTGAATTTTTTTAATTTTACTTGTAAAAATTGTTGTAGTATTTATTCTCTAAATACATTACTTAATTAATTCAGAAATACTAAGATGAGTAATTTTTGCTAATAGTTTTTTTAATTATTTTTACGTTAATTAAGAACTATTTTGCTATTAAAATTTTGAAGCATTCAATTAAAATAACAAATAAAAACAAATAATATTTAGTATTTAAAATAAAATAAATTCTATGACTTGATAATCAAATAATGCTTAGAATATATCAAAATATACTTAATATTTATATTATAAAAAATTAAATAGTTCATTCATCATTTTAACAAATTAAATTTTGAAAGTTATCTCATTAAAAAATTATGTAATTCTAAAATAAATTAATTTATAATTTTATCAATTTTTAAATAGAATTTTAAATGGATAAATGATATCATTTAAATGTTCAATGTATGTCAGATATTATGCCCATATAAGAGTTAAAGTAAAATATCTTACTTACCTACCTATCTAACTCAATCAAAAATTAGCTTATTTCTTTTATATTATTGATCAAAAATCACTTTTAATACAATCATTAAATATCCTTATATATAAATAACAAAAGCATTAATTAATACGTGTTGGCAATATAAAATTAATTATTATATTATTATTGAAGCAATTTTTCACTAATTAAAACAAATAATTCTCATATCACGAAATAGACTTTTGTTTTGTTTCTACTTTTTTTATTTAATATGTGTCATCTCTTTCTTTTTGGTTATTTTTTTGCTAATAAAAACCTAATATTATTCTTTAAAGATATTTTGATAAATATTAATCAAAAAAAAGAAATAAATAAATAATCAAAAGTAATAAATAGAATTGAAAAGCTGAAAAAAATGTTTACATCAATAGTTTGGGTAGCTTTATTTGTTGGAATAGTATAAATTTAAATTTAGAATAGTCTGTTAATTCAAAATAATTGTTTGTTTAAAATAGTTTACCTTATTAAGGTTCATCTTCAGTCCATATTTTACATGGAAAAAACAAATGAAAAATCGCAGTAGCATTAAGTAAGTGATAAATAATACATTTAGTGAAATGATAGCAAATATAAACTTTACATGACTTAGCATGATTAATAAAGATTATATGCTGCTTGCAAGCAAAACTAATTACTATTTATTTAATTTGCTTTTTTAATATAAAATAGAAATTCTCGCATTCACACTAAAAATAAAACATACACATTCGAAGAATACAGAAAGCTAAATAATGACTACTTCTTTTCAATGGTCATTCCTGCTTACAATGAAGAAGCACGTATAGCAAAAATGCTTAAAGAGCATATAAAAGTAAGCATAATTTTTTTTATATTCATAAATAAAAGTTTGTATAAAATAATATAGTATTTTGAAAACTACTCAGGCTTCTAAGGCAAGAAATATGAAGTAATTATAGTTAATGATTGCTCAAAAGACAAGACGTAAATAAATAAATAAGCAAGTTTAAGCTATTTTTTAATTATTCTATTTAATAATGACTTACAGTTCAGAGATAGCAAAATCCTTCTTTACATTTGAAGGCAAAGATGTGGATTTGAAGGTAGTTGATTACTAGTAAAATTTAGGAAAGGGTGGTGCAGTTAGAACAGTAATTTTTCTATTAAAATAACCAAAGAATTTAATATAATTTTATATACAATTGTGAATTAGGGTATGCTTTTATCTTCAGGCTAATACACTTTAATGGTGGATGCTGATGGTGCAACAGACATTAATTGTTTTGATAAAGTTTTTAAGAAGGTAGATAAAATTATAGAATAAATAAATAAACTTATTATTTTCTATTAATAATAACTTAATTAAATATGATAGCTTTTATAGATCGAAAAGAATGAATTAGGTATTGCAGTTGGATCCCGTTCCCATCTTGACAAGGAGTCTGTAGCTAAAAGAAAGTTTTACAGAAAAATTTTAGCTTTTGTTTCAAACTTTATTGTATAAGTCATTTGTGGAGTTAAGCTAAATGTAAGCTTTTTAAAGAATTTTAAAAGAATTATCTCATCAATTTTAAAAATAAAAGGATACCTAATGTGGATTCAAGTTATTCACTAGAAAGACAACTGAAATCATTTTTGGTGTATAACATTTAGAAAGATGGGCTTTTGATGTAGAAATTTTAATGATTGGTAACCACTATAAAATGCCTATTGCTGAAGTTCCAGTTAACTGGGAAGATGTTGATGGTAAAGCTATATGAATAGTTAATTAAAATATCTTATCAAAAATTTATTTAATAGGTTCACATTTGAATGTGATTGAGGCTTCAGTTACAATGGCCAGAGATTTCTTAATGGTTAGACTTCTTTATTTATTAGGTGTTTGGAAATACAATGATTCAATTTATAAGAGTTGATTTAAATTATAAATTTGTATGAATATTTATGGAAAATCTTTATATATTAATTTTTAATTTACTTAGAATATCAAAAAATTAATTTATAGAATATTTTTATTATTTCTTTTTTAATTAATTTGTTGATACATACATAGATACTCAATTAATGTATTAATAAAAAAGCAAAGTAATAAATATTTACAATGACAATTAATTAAATATTTAATATTCTAAAAACTTTATCAAATAAATGAAGTAATTTAAAATAGTTAAGAATTTAATTGATTGATTTTGTCCATTAATTAAAATAAATAATATAAAATGATTGTATACATTAGATATAATAAATTTAATTTTAATTGAGTAGTCAGTTATAGGTAAGGAGGTATGTGAATAACTTTGACTCTTTAGTATTTATTTATATATTAATAATATTATGATAACATTTTGTTATTTCTTTTAAAAAATATAACTAAATTTTCTTATTAGCTGTCTGTCTGTCTATCTTTCGGAAATTGGAAATTGATTTGATTTGATTCTTTATTTTTCAGTGCCTATATATTATTATATTATTAAGTGATTTAAATTTGTTTTGATTCTATTTAGTTTATTTAGCTGAGTAATGAGGTCAATTAAAATAATCAGATAAATTAAAAAAATAAAAATAAATAAAAAGATATTTGTTTTTGCCATAAATTTTCTTAAATTAAATATCAACATTTAAAAAGAAGAAAAAAATAATAATTAAATAAATAAAGAGTAAAAATTAATTACCAGCTCAAATAGCAAAAACGTAGAAATAATAATGTAAAAGTTAGATATGTTTTAAAATACTATCTGATTTTGAAGGCGTACTGCTCTTAAGTTGTGAAAATCTTAAAACCAAATATGATTCAAATATCCTCAAAATTTTTTCTGATTGTTTTAGTTCTATTACTGTGGTGTAGTTTAGCTTTATTAATTAAGGTCTTGAAAATTATACTGCTGTCCCTAAGGGAACTATTAAGTTGGAATGCTGTTGTTAGGTAAAGGATTGAGTAAGTTAAGTGGCTAGAAATACTGATTAGGTTAGTATATGCTGTTGTTAGTGTATGGGTAAAATGGAAAAGGTAGTTAGTAAGCATATTGATTATATGGCATAGATTAAAAAGGCATGAAGTTCATATTATTTAGATGTTGGTTATGGTATTATATTTATTGAGAAGTCTGTAATTATTAAGGAGGCTATATTTAATTTTAAGACTAATTTGATTGTGGAATTTACACATGCTAAGGAAATGAGACTGTTTGCTGATGAGGTAAGTACTAAATATTTTGTGGTATTTAAGGATTAGAAGATGACTAAGATAATTGAGGTAATTAATTTTGTAAAATTTCTTATGAGTGCTGCTACATATTCATTAAATTAGCGCATTACATTAATAATTCGTGAGGTTTTACAACTTCCTTTTCTTTATGTTAAAGAAAAGGATGGTCTTCAGGCTCATCAAACTATATCAATGTATTCCATATATAATCTTAGTCAATTCTTTTACTCTGAGATTGCTTCATAAAAACTTCTAACATTTAAATTCCTGCTTCGTAATTAATTTATTAGCCGTTTCTTTAGTTAATAACTGGCTTATTATAATTTAAGCTAATATATTAATAACAAATGAATTAATTAATCAAAGAAATTACATAGATAAAACTTAAAACTATAAATTAAGTTAATTAATTAATTAGTTAATTAGTTAAGAAGAATACCTATTCAGAATCCCTTTGAACTCTGTGCTGAGTATGTGCTAAACATAAATCCATTCAATGAAAAAGAGTCCTTAAAATTTTTTATTATCATCCCAAACATCTTATCTCCATTAAGGGTTTACCTACAAGAAAATATAATTATTAGACATGAATTCATTTATTTAATTTATGGCATATGCTTTTTAAAAATTAAATTAATTTAAGCGAAAACCCATAAAAACAAAATAAAATTGGGTTTTTCTATTTTTCTTTCACAGAGTTAGTGGGATTGTTTTATTTACTAACTGAGTTAACAAATTACTGTATTTGGTTTTGCCAAAAATTTTAATTAGAATAAATAGACATATTTTATTATTATCAGTTAATTATCTTTTAGATATGATGTGGCAAAAAACTATAATTTTATATGAAATATAAACACTTTAACTCAAATTACTCTTGATTTCATAACGGCAACTCCTTAAAATGATTTAGACTGGTTAATGCTGAAAAAAAGAATTATTGGGTACTTCCCTTTAGCTTCGCAAAATGCTTAATCTAATAATATATTCTAATCAATAGAAGTAGACCATGTACCATACAAAACACCCTTTTTTAAATATAGATTTCATTAAAAAATTCTTAATTAAACTAAGTGATAATTTATTTACTGCTTTAATTGCTTCCCATTAATAAGCTTTCATTTAAAAGAACCGCGCTGCTTAGGGTATTTACTATATAATTCCTATTTTATACTTTAGGTCATAAAGTTTTTATACTGGGTCTATTTTTTATAAAAATAAAATGTTGAATTTTAATGCAAATCTATAATAAGACAAGATCGGTTAATGAAATTAAAATAATGTGATTCTAAATGCTACAAGTCATGCTTTTTTAAGTGTTAAAATTATATTAATCTGACTATTTTGTAGAAATTCGATTTCTAAATTTAGTATTTCAAAAGTAATTCTTCTCAAACTATTTAATTAGCGTTAATTAAATATTTATTTTCTGGAAGTAGTAAAGAGGGAAATTTTAGATAGATATCACAAAATTTTAACTCTTAATTTTAATGATGTTTAAATGTTAGCAAGAGTAAGCAATTATTTCATAATCACTTGCTCTTGGCTAAAGTTTATATAGTTCTATTCTTGCAAAATTATGTTAATATATAGATAAGAATCAAAAGCTCTTTAAGTTTGTTAGGAATTATATTGACTAAAATTTCCCTATATATTATTTCGAGAGACAACTTGGCTATAATAAATACTTATATTGAGTAAATATTATGAACAACTTTAAAAGTATTTATGCAAAAATATTTGCGGAAAAAAGGAAAAATAGCTGAAATATAAAGGAATTTTATAAGATTTTGTATAGTAAAAACCTGAGTATAATAATCAATAGAATCAACTAATTAATTATCTCGCAAAAAAAAAAAAATACCTCAGAAATAAGTATTATATATATTTGATTTTTTAATAAATAGAAACTTTTTATTGTCACAATCTTAGAAATCTTTATGAATATTATATAAAAATTACATTTCTCTGGTTCATAGGCTGGATCATTTGTGTGCTTCTTCTGTTTTAGTTTTAAAAATTAACTACATTAAAAAGCTTTGAAAATTTTATTTTATTTACAAACTACTCCTCAGAAAGAGGGCACTCGAGAGAATCGGCAGGAGTAGCAATATGAGGAACTTTAATTAATTAAAAATTGGAAATTTATTCAGTAAACACTACAAATTTGCTAAACTTACTATCAAGTAAGATAGAAAAAACATCTAACTTTTGAAGCTGGCTGCTGTTGAATGACTTAATTCCATCGCTGGGCTATTTCAAATTTGAATTCAAACACTTTTTCTCTATAGCCTATTTTATTAACAATTTCTTTAACCAAAAAAAGCAGAAAAAATAATTAACAAAAAGTAAAAATTTGAGATGATTAATATTGAAAAACAATAATAATAAAAAAAATTAGCAATAAATGATGAATGGTTTTCAGCTAATCTATAAAGTTTTTTACTGCAGGGTCATTGTTGTTGAAAGAAAAGAAGCTCTAAGATAAAATTTGTTGATTTTTCTATGGCTTCTTATTGTATGTATTTTGATTGTGATGTGAGCCTTATCCTGGTTTTCTATTCATATTTCCTCTGGGTAAACTAAATTATCTGAACTTTTACTATTACCCTATTATTTATGTTTCAATTATTCCTTGATTTAGAGAAAATATTTGTTAATAATTTTATTAAATTTTTTCAATTTATGTAAATAAGTACGAAATTACTTTTCTATTTGAATTATATTTTATTTGATTTATGCTTATTTTTTTAATTAATCAATTCTTCTCCATTCCCTAAATTAAATACAATGATTAAAAAGTCGTTATTAGCAAGATACCTCCAAAAAAAGAAATAGCGATTGATTGATCTATGGTATAATTTCGATTAAAATTTCTTACATACTGGTAATATTATATCGATGGCTAAGTTAATTTATTATAAAAATTATATTTTATATAAAATTTGTAAACACTTCAACATTATTTTTACAAAAACTATTCATAAAAAGTCTTTCATATTTTGAATTTTTGCTAAATTTAAATTACTTCTTTCGAAGTTTTAGAGGTGCTAAAAATTAAATAAAAAGGCGCTAAATTTTAAAATTTAGCCCTATCTGATTATTTAAGGTTAATATTCTTAGCCTTTTTCGAAACAAAAATAAAGAAATATATATCATTTAAGTTAACAAGATTAAGTTTTAAAAAATCGAAAGAATAAAATGAATTTCTCAATTTATGATTTATTTACTTATTTATTTTCCTGATTATTGTCTCAATAATAAAATTTAAATCCAAAAATTTGATAAATGTTTATTAAAAGAAAAAATAAATTAAATTAAAATTCTTACTAAATATCTTTTCTTTTTCTATACATATTACTTACTGTAGCTATTTTATTTAATTTCAAGTAAAGTGCCAAATAAAAAATTTATGTTAAAATTTTCTCTTAGGCATGCTAATAACTCGTCACTCTAACTTTGCAAAATTAATGTTAAAAACAAAATCTTAGTTACTTTGTTTCAGAAACAAAATAAAATTTATGTTTTTAAAAACACAAAAAGTCTTTTTTTGTAAATAAATTAAAATATAACTCAAATAAAATAATGTTAAAAGATATTAAAAATAATCAAATAAATAAATAAACATATTTACTTTTGCTTTTTTTAAAGTAATCTAAAGCTTGATTTAATTCAGGCTTAAATTTTATTTATCTTTTTTTATTTTAAAATATTTGAAAACTTTGATAAATTTTATTTTCGATAAAGATTTGCTTCGAATAATTCAGATATTTATTTTTCATCAGTAAAACTATGAAAAATTGTTATCACTTATTGTTTTTCTGAAGAAATTTAATATAAAAAATTTATTGTTTGTTTAAAATTTAAATAAACTAATTTTAATTTTATTTTGTGAATTTACAGTATTAAATCTTTTAAGCAAGAAATAATATAAGAAAATCTGATTTTTTTTTTCACTTAAAACAAAAATTTCTATTAAGTGATTTAAATATTTACTGTAACCAAGTATATTTAATTCTTCTGTATTATCTTTTTGGCTTATTATTTTATAATAAAGTTATAATTTATCGTGAGAGAATGATTTTTATTGGTAACGATAGGAGAAATGTTTTTAATAGCAAATTAATAGATAAAACCTGAAAATTATCTTAATTAATTATTTTTCATCAAAAAGAAAAAGGAATGTAAATATTTTTTTTTATCATTCGATGTGATATTCTACTATAAAAGTTTCTTTTTTGTTTAAATGGTAAATAGAAATATAAATTATATTTTGTAATACTAAGAGATATTTTTTTGCTAAAGGTAAATCTATACTCAAAACACATAAACAGTCTAGACTATATTGCTAATAGAATCAGATATATAAAAAAACATAAATAATTTTTCTTTCAATTTTATAATTTTAATTACTACAGTATACAATCAATGAGCAGTGAATTTTAATTTCTAACAGAGTTAGTTAGCTAGTAAGTAGGTTAGTTATTGATGAGAATAGTACTTTATCTATAAACAATGCTAGCGAAGAAAGATTAAGTGTGTGAGTAGAGATAATTAGTCGCTCATTATGTATGAATCTATAAGATTAACTTAACTATCCCTCATTGAAATCAAATTAAGAATAGTTATATTGTTTACTTCTTTAGTTAATTATTTATCATTAATTTTATTTTAATGAGTGAAGTTAATTTATTTTTGATTATTATCTAAATTTCCTCAATATGATCTTTTAGCGGGAGGAACAGGAGTAACTTCACTATCAAGAGTGTGGTTGATGACATCTCTATAGGTTACTTCAGTTTTACCAGTATTTACATCTTTAATCCAAGTGAGACTGTGCTTCATCCAATTCTTATCATCTCTTTCCTATTTTTACAATTTAATTTTATTTACAGGATTAAAAATAAATTTCTTATAAATTTACCTTAAAATCGTCTCTGGCGTGAGCACCTCTGGATTCCTTTCTGAGTAAACCAGCGAGAAGAGTTTATTTAGAGCATACTAAGATTTTAATTTTTAATTAATTAATTAGTTATATATAAATTAATAAATGAATTATTTACAAAGAAGGTTTTCTAATTCTAAGGTTTCAATGAGATCAGTGTTCCAAACAAGACCTCTGTCGAAGGTTTTAAGGCTCTTTGATTATTCATAAATGTGATCTAATTTTTGAACACCTTCAGCCATAAGCTTTTCAATTCTGAAGACAGCTGCGTGACGTTACATGGTTTCTTACATAGCAGTTCTAACGTGGTGAGTAGTGTATTCACCATTAGCAAATCTGTATTTATCTAATCTGGCTAAAGCTTATTCACCAGCATTCTTGGGTAAATCCTTATGAGGAGTACCAGGTTTAAGCTTTTCCTTAACAAGTTTGGCAGCAGCTCTACCGAAAACGACAATATCTAAAAGAGAGTTAGCACCAAGTCTGTTAGCACCGTGGACAGAAGCACAAGCGTTTTCACCAGCAGCAAGCAAACCAGGAACAATCTTTAATTATAATTGAAAATTTTTAATCTATGTTTATGCATACTTAAATATATTTAAATACCTTGTCCTTTCCATTCTTGTCTTGGGTAATAACTTCAGTCTTCCAGTTAGTGGGAACACCACCCATATTGTAGTGAACGGTAGGAACGACAGGAGCTGGTTCTTTGGTAACATCAACACCTGCGAAAATTCTGGCAGTTTCAGAAATACCAGGTAATCTCTAATGTAAAGTTTCAGGACTCAAGTGATGTAATTATAAGAAAATGTGATCCTTTTTAAAAATAATAAAAGATTCTTCAATAAAATAAAAAAAATAAATCAATTTATATTAGGTACCTTCTTAGGGCCAACACCTCTACCTTCAAGGATTTCAATAGTCATAGCTCTAGAGACGACATCTCTGGAAGCAAGATCCTTAGCAGTGGGAGCATATTTTTCCATGAAAGCTTCACCATTACTGTTAACAAGGATACCACCTTCACCTCTGCAACCTTCGGTCATCAAACAACCAGAACCGTAGATACCTAATTTTTAATTATAGAATTAATTAAGAAATCTACTAATTAATCATAAATAATGCAAATTACCAGTAGGATGGAATTAAACGAATTCAGGATCTTCAAGAGGAAGTCCAGCTCTAGTAGCAAGAGCCATACCATCACCAGTGCAGGTGTGAGCAGCAGTGCAAGAAAGATAAGATCTACCGTAACCACCAGCAGCCAATACAGTGTAATGGGCTCTGATTCTGTGAATAGAACCATCAGCCATAGACATACAGATGACACCTCTGCAGGCACCTTCTTCATCCATAATTAAGTCAATAACGAAATATTCAATAAAGAAATTGCAATTATAAGCTAAGGATCTTCCGAATAAAGTATGTAACATAGCATGTCCAGTTCTATCAGCTGCACAAGCAGTTCTTCTTGCCTTAATTTAATAAAAAATCGTTAAAAATAATATCAAATAAAACAATAATTGAACGATTAGACTAAGCAAGTTATTTAAGTAATATTTTAATTACTGATCAAGTTTAATAATTTTTAATTTGTGTAATTATTTTATAAAATATAATAGAAAGTAGCATCAAATTAATTTTTTGTAAAGTAGAAATTTCTAATTTACACCACTTCACGAAAATTCTGTTTTAATTTTCATCTACTAATTCGATTTATTATATAATTAATTTCCACTTTTCTTGATTTGTCAATTTTCATTCTTTCCTTTTCATTTGCTTTCTTTTTTGAATCACATTTTAAAAAATATTTGATGCTTTGTAATATTCATTTTTAAGATTTGTTTGTTTGTTTATTTATTTATTTGCTTTCTTACTTGGCTGTCTTTTAATTATCGAATTTTCTAAAATGAATCTTAAAAATCTGAGTAGATAATTGGATGCTTCAAGCTTTTATTAGTCTTTATGTTTTTATTGTTAATATTCTATTTAGATAGTAAACTTTTTAATAAATTCCCGTTTTTCATATTAAATATGTATGAATAAATGAATGAATGAAACCTTTTAAAGATTGAATCTAATAATTAAAATGTTTTTATATTGAAATGCTCCAAACTTAATTTTGTTAGTAGTATCAAATTATTCCATAATGTTTGTGAAATTCGCTTTTCTTATACTTTTTAGGTTAATAGATATGAAGTGGTACTCTTAAAAAGTATCAATGCTTTTATCTCTAATGTGCTTCTAAATGTTTAATGATTTAATTTAATACCTAACCACCCTTGCCGAACTTGAGGGATTGACCACCGAAGGCTCTTTGATAGATCTTGCCTTCAGGAGTACGAGAGAAGGGAAGACCGTAAGATTCTAATTCTAAGACGGCAGCGGGAGCTTCTCTAGTCATATATTAGATAGCATCTTAATCACCTAACCAATCAGAACCCTTAACTGTATCATAAAAATGCCATTTCCAGTCATCTTCTGTCATATTACCTAAAGCAGCGTTAATACCACCTTAAGCAGCGACTGTGTGAGAACGAGTAGGGAAAAGCTTAGTAATACAAGCGGTCTTGAAACCTTCTTCAACCAAACCAAAAGCAGCTCTTAAACCAGCACCACCAGCACCAACAACGATAGCATCATAGGTGTGATCAATGACAGTGTATTTGTCAGTCAAATGACCCTTAAAAATAAAAACGATTTTAGATCAAAAAAATTAAATTAAAACAAAAAATGAATGGGATCCTTAGAAGAGAAAGCAAAAGAAGTAGCGAGAGTTGTTTAAGGCTTATATAATTGATTGATATATTAGGGATAATAAGCAAGCATTTGCTAAATTGTAAAAAATGGTATGATGCTCCATTACTCAACTATTTTATATTGAGCAAAATTTATTTGAATAAATTATTATTCTTTTGCAAGTAATTAGTAACGTGAATAGCGCTGAAACCAACCATTTTCATTTTAAAGTTTCATTTATTAACTAATATCTCTCCTTCTTCACTTGCATTCAATTCCTTCAATCAAAAATGAATAGATAGAATATTTGCATACTTGGGAAGGTCCCTTTTCGGGATGATCCTTTGACAAAACTGCAAAATTCTTTGAAACTTTGCTGTGTAAGGTAACTCTTTATATCTTAGATAAGTATTTAAACATTTTTCTTTCTAAAAATTTCCTTTTTCTCCCTAGTCTTGTTTTTAGATATTAATTATATTTTTTATTATTTTACTTTTTATTTAGAATCTCTTTCCTTTTATTAATTCTTATCAATCAATCTATCTATTAGCTACTTCAAAAAGATTTTTATTTAATTTTCTTTAACTTTCAACTTATTGATAATGATGAGGAATTTTATAAAGATCTTCTTCTTTTTCTTCTTATTTACTAATGTCGCATTCATATTTTTATTAGATAAGTATTTTCAACTTGACAATCTTCTTTCATTTATTATTTCTTTCTTAAGTATGAGTTCCTAATTTAAATTAAAATCTAATGTGACTTACAAAAAAAGTATCTCATATATTCATTCATTATTAATAACTTGTTTAATAAATTTATTAAAGATTTATTTTTTTATTTATAAAACTTTATAATTTAAAATGAATTATTAAATAAATAAAAAATTTAAAACTAAAATTAAAAAAAATTTAAAATGTATTTTATAAATATTTCAATTTATTCAGTACATTTATTTTGTAAAGAAAGTAGAAAATGTTATTGTAAAAATTTATTTAAAAAATGGTTTAATAAATTTTTATTAAATTTATCAATTAAATATTAGAGCTATCTTTTATATGTTCAACTAATATTAGCATCAAACAACACCACTTTAAAGGATAGATATCATATTTGAAAATGGTTTATTATTGTATTCATTTAATAATTATAACATTAAACTAAATTGATTAAAAAATTATTCTAGTTTTATTTAAAAAGTTAGAGTTAAAATAGCAAATGATCAACCATTAATATATTTATAATATATATTTAAAACAGTTAGATATGAATATGAATAACTATGATTCTAAATTTATTGAATAGAAACTGAAATATAAAATAAATCAGTAGGGAATAATTGATACAAATTTTATGTTGAAATTAATAATATCAAAATGTAAAAATGTTGATAGATAAATACTCAGTACTACAAATATCATTCATTACTGTTTTAAATCAAAAATACATAATTTTTATTAAATATACTGATTTTATTACAACTAAATTAAAATTTTTAATCAATATTTTATTTCTCATAAGAAATTTATATTTTTAATTGATTAAAAATGCAAAACTGAATTAAAAAAATATTTTTCTATTTTAATCAGTTCAAATGATAAAATTTACTAAATAAATTATTTTATGTTTATTGAGATATTATCCCACAGAAATAAAATTATGGAATCATCAATAAAGTTTATTGAGTGATTCATTTCAAAGAAGAAGGTACGGATTTCATCAATTTATTAAATTTAATAATAAGGTTGAAAGAAAAAATAGAAAAGAAAAAGAATAAAAAATTGATTAACTAATAAAATAAACATATGTATTGATTTATTAGTAATAATTGGATCCGCATTTTATTACTAAATAATTTTCAATAAAAGATTATTAAAATACAAAATAAAATAAAAAGGATTAAAAATGTCAAAAAAAGCTATTTCAGGAGGTAACAAGCTCATCGCCGTTATTGGTGATTCTGTAAAAAATTGCTAAAATTTACTAAGATTTAAAAATTATAAATAAAATTATATATCTTAAAGAGCTGCGAAAAATATTTCATAAAACAAAAAAGTTATTTTCATTATTAATTAATAATAAAATGAAATTGAAGATATCATTATTGAAAAAAATATTTTTAGAAGCTTAATGAATAACTTTTTGTTTTTAGTTTCAATATAAAATGTAAATAAATAATATTATATTAATAATACCAAAAGGATACAGTAACAGGCTTTTTGTTGACTGGTATTGGTGACAGAAACTTAAAGGGTTAATCTAATTTCTTGGTTGTCCAACCTGGTAAGAAATTCATTATACTATTTAGCTCAAACCTGAAATTTAATAAATTATTAAAAAATAAAATTTAATTAGACACAAAGGAAAAGTTAGTCGAAGATACTTTCAATGGTTTCTTAAAGAATGGCGATATAGCAGTCATTTTAGTTAGTTAACATGTAAAATAAAAAATAATTTAAGTTTGCAATTCAAATGATCAAAAATAAGAAAATGAAATATGTTTATTTGTTAAATTGTTATATATGAGAAAATAAATGAACAAATAACTTTATTGATTAATAACAAAAATTAAATTTAAAATGAATAAAACCTAAAAAATATTAAAAATATAGGTTGCTGAAAAATATTTAAGAAGTATAATTAACTCTTATGAAGAGACTCTTCCTGCTATCCTTGAAATTCCTAGCAAAGATAAGCCCTATGAACCTAAAAAAGTAGAAAATTTATAATTGAAAATAATTTTTGTTAATAAAATAAAATATTGTTAATAAATAGGATATTATTATGCAAAGAGCTAATAAGTTGCTTTACGGTAGTGAAATCGTATGATTATAGTATTATTAGATTTATGATATTAAATATTAGTATAAGAATGAATATTGCTTATGTATTTCGTATTGAATAAATAAATGGTTTTTAATCAATCAATAATAACAATTTCTAACTCTTATTTTTGATTTTAGTTTTTATTAACAAATAAAAAAATAGTTTTTAAAAATTCATAAAAAGCATCTAAAATAAATATTTAAAATAGCAAATTTTTAAAGCTATATATTTATTATTACTGTTTTAAATTTTAACATTAAATTCCATTTAAGATTAGTTTTGATAATTTATATATAAACCTAAAAATAAACATTTAATTCATCTATTTATTTATACTAAAGATAATTTATTATTTACAAAATATATAATTGCTCAAATAATTAATTTTCTTTTTGTTACTCAAACAATTTGAACTCTATCTGGATCTATGTGCCTTACTGTAGTTAGTATATTATAGATATTTTTATTGAATTCTGGAGGACCACAAATAAGAAATTTAGATATAGAAAGAGACTTTGAAAGTGCATCATTAATATATAAGTTATCATAATACAACTTTGACATAGGTAAGAATTCATCGCTTTCTGAGTTTGCAAAACGTACAACTGCTTAAAACCAATCTTTTTCAAATTATTAACAAAATGTGTGCAAGTCACTAATTATTTAATAACCATAACACTCTGCCTTAGATCTAAAAGCACCAAATAATCTTATTTTAAATTAAGAACGGAATGTTTTCTCATAATTTTCATTATAGGGATTTAATATTTAGGCTTCTTTGAACCCAAATCTCTCAAGAAGAATAGTATAAAGCAATTTTCTTAAAAGATAATCAAACAGATCTAAAAATGGTAAAATTCCAGTACCAGCAGCAAAAATTATATGCTCTCCATCACTATTTTCATCAATCTCGAGACCATGACCCTTATTTAATCCAAAAAATAAATGAATTATTAAATTATGTACAAATAATATTTTATTTATAATAAATTTTACCACTGGCTCTGATATGTAATACAGTTTATGGACATTAAGATGCATAAACTTTGACAACCCATTTGATGTTTTACGATCTTCTTTTTTTATAAGAAGAGGTAATTAGTTTGAAACCTTTATGTGTTTCGGGTTAGGGGCAACATAACTATTGTTTATTCCTATTACTTCATCTCTCATCCTGTATTAGAAATATCTTATTATTTCTAATCTATATTTGTAATTTTCTTCCATATATGCTAAAACTACACTATAATTTCTTGGATATATACTAACAGCATCTAATAGAGGTGACACCTTTAATTTTGAAAATAATTGAGGTCTATAGAAATTTAAATTAAATGAAATATTTAATTACCACAACACTTCTTCCAAACCATCTTACACCAGGCAAATGAGTACGGAATTAGTATTAATCATGTTAGAATAAGAATACTTTATAGCTAGTTATAATTTCTCTTACTTCAGATAGTTTGAAAACATTCTTTGGCAAAAAAGCTTGTCCCTTTCTTTGATTATAAAAATATAAGAAAATTAAAAAAATAATCTTCTTAATAGCAATTTTACTAATTTTATTCATTCTAAATAAAAATGTTATAGTAATCATTTTTAATATCGCCAATATAAAACTCTTTCAAAAAATTTTAGGCATATAATGTGTGTCTATATGGTGACATAGTAGTTCCTTCGTAAGCGTAACCACCGTTAAAGTATCTAGATATTTCTTTACCTTTGGAATATAATTCAAAAAAAATTAAAATTCCTTGTTTAAAAATAAAAATTAATTAATTATACCTTTGATGTGCTTTAAAATAAACTAGCCTCCTGGATGTTAAATCTCAGTAATATCATAGACACTATTCTCGTGGACAACATATAAAATGTTTGGGTATTGTTTGTTAATGATATTTACTGGGGCTGTTATTTTAAAAATGTTTCAATTTAATAATTTTTAAGTAAACAAAAGTTTTTTACTATGATTATTAAGTAACTCAATAATATCAGCATGCTACTTTTATTTATTTATATCTGCATATTTATTAGTGTTTTTCTTTTATCTAATTAGAATTTCAGGTTCTTATCTGTAGGTAAATTCTATTGATGCTAATAAAATAAATTATATGGCATATATACCTCCTAATACTTTAGCCCTTTAATTAAATAATTAAGTTAATTAAAATTGCATAAAATCATAAAGAATAGCTTACATCCAATAGTTAGTGCTATCTGATTAGACAAAATATCTTTTTTCAAACATATTCACACCAACCATCACATTTACTTTACCAAGGAGGTAAATCAAATATCCAGTAATCTAATTTAAAAATGAAAGTATTAACTCTGAAATAATAAGAATTGATTAAATTTACTTTGTGTAAAAGCTTTAAATAATGTATATTTTGAGATCCATCTTCATTTTCAAAGTTAAATTTACATATTAAACCAATTAGATGCTAGAATGTGATTAAGACAGTCATACAAACGCCCATTGCAAAATGAGCTACTTCATCTTGAGGCTATTGGCTAATATTGTTTATATAACTTGTTCCTTTAATTAAATTAAATTAATTAAAATACTATATAAAAAAATTTTTAATACTTTAACCAATCTAGCAGAATATAACAATTAGAGAACTTATGTTACCAACAGCAAAAGTAGAAGCATGAAAACGTAAATACTTCTTTTATGCCTTGAAGTATCTCACACAAATAATAGAAATATCAACTAAGAAACCCCAAATAACTAGCAATACTAAAGAGTGAGCCCTCTTTACCAGTGTTAAAAGGTCTGTTTGATCAGTTGCTAAAAATCTTTAGATATAGCTTGGATTTTAATTTTCTGTATTTGTTCTTGGAATAAAAACTTTTGAGTCTTAAAAGTCTTTGTAATCTTCAATTTAACTTGAGTTAGTTAAAATAAAGACTCTTTGAGACTAATATATATTTGAAAAATGATGCCTATATTCAAAGTTATTATTTTCCAATATTTCTATTAAGCTAATATCAACATCAAAGAATTAAGGGAGAATCTCAAGATTGAGTAAAGAAGATGGACTAAATATTACATAATTGTATTCTTTATCTGACTTTAACGAATAGTCAGTCATACAGTTAAAGTGATTAGGAAACTCAATTAAATTAAATTTAGGTTAATTTTCTATCATATCAATTTAAAAATATGAAAAATTAGAAGATAACTCTGTGATTCTCAGTGCACACGAAAATTTAATTTTGCATTTCATAAAAATCTTTACTTATTATCCATCATTATAAATGAATATTTGATAATCATTTTATTGTTAATTGATAGATTATCCTTCATTCTCTATTCCTTCCCTAGCGGAAACCACAAACAATAAACATACTAATAAAACACCATAAAGGATTTTCATGATTATGACTAAATAGTTTGCTCAAATTCTATTATAGCTATATAAAATTAGAGATCCTTGCTTAATTAGTTTTATGAACTTTGTAATATTTTTAATTACTTTCTAAACAATTTTTAATTTCAAAACTTATATTCCAATGAAAATTTTTGAATTTAACATTTAAATTACTTTTAATGTAAATAAATAAATGAGTGAATGATTATGGATAATAATTTGCAAACAATTTCTTATTATTTATAACAAAATATTTATATTTAAAGTTTAATAAATTTAATTTCGAGATTATTCATTAATGTCAATTAAATTAATTATTCTAATCTTAAAAAATATTTCAGAACTGTTTTTATATTTTTTTAAATATTTAAATTAAAATTAATTTTTATTACAGATGTAGATTAGACTATGATAAGGTAAAAGCTATTTTAAAATATTATTTAGTTTGTGAGAATATAGCTAAATTTTTTTATTTATGCACATTAATTAAATTGAAAGTTTTTTGAAATGTTTTGGCTTAGAAAGTAAAAAATAATTTTTTTAGAATTAATAAAGGGTGTAATCTGAAAGTTAGTTCTTATATACATCAGTTTTGAGACAAAATTATAAATTACATTGTTACATTAAATTTATTAATTACATTTTTTACTTACTTCATTCCTAAATTGTATTGCCAATTATCAATATAATAGTATTATTCGCTTGATAGCTAACTGATAAAAGAGTAATAAGTATAGAAAAGAAATGATATTTAATCAAATTAATTTAATTTATTTGTATAGATATATCAGTTAATATACTCAAGTTTCAATAGCAAAATTATACTTTAAATATAAAATTTTATTAAGAAGTGTATCAAAAATCTTTAAGGGCATAAAGATGCATTTGCTATTTTAAATTAATCAGCTCATTTATGCAGCAAGTAAAGGATTATTAAATACTGCTCTCTTCTTTTCAAGTTCGAGCTCTAAGTCATTTATATGTCTGTTTTCACGTAAAATTTATGGTACATATGGATTATCATGCAATATTAAACTAGGATCTAAGCAGCGCATAGCCTTATCAATATTTAAGAAAGGAGATTCATTCTCACTCTTTTTCTTTTAGGCTACTTCTATCTTTTCTATAGCTATTAGCTTTTCTTAAAATTTAGGTGGCATGACATCTAAATTACTCTTTAAAAGATTAAACATTTCTAAATTTTTAAATTATGGGAAATCTTCACTGAGATATTCATCTGGTATTAAGGGAATATCTTCACTCATGGTGTGGACCAATCTCTTTTTCATAAATTCTTTTTCTTTTACTATTTTAAATAGCATTAAAAAATATTTTAATTTTTTATATCTCTCTTACTAATTCATATATTTTATATCCAAATAGAAGACTTTCCAAATAAATTTTGGAAAATTTATATGTTAATAAAGACTTCATATTCTAAAATCATATCTGAAATACTTATCCAAGTTTTATAATTTACTTTAATGTCTTGTATATATATATTTTTTTGATGATTATAAATACACTTGGAATCATTTTTTCACTATTTAATATTAAATTTGTTGGAATAATATTTAAAATCAAGTATCCTATGTAGTTTAAATTAATTTATATCTTTTGATAATTTAAAAGTTTATTATTTGTCAATCAATAATTTCAACTTTTGAACATTAAAATAGAGCTTTTACAAAAATGTAATTTCATGTTTTTGAAATTTTGTTTAAAACTTCCTAAAACTCATTATTCAAAATTGATTGTTTTAATCAGAAAAATAAATTTACCTCTATTCCATGTCTCTGATGGATTCTATTTGTTAAACTCAGGGTAGAATTTTCCAATTTTTTCAACTTTTTTTATCATATAAGAGCTAATTTGATCTCTAATTTATTTAGAAACTTCAGCTGCATAGTTTTTTTCAAGACTCAAGTCTTGAGTGAGGATTTCAGCAAATTGTTCTGCACTATTTAAATTTTTTTAGTTAAAATACTTCTAATATTGAATGTAAAAATATTTACTTGTTAATATCGCTCATGATATCCCATTCAATTTATTCCTTGTGGATAACCTGCTGATTTTTATTTTTTAAAATTATACTAATTTATATGAGATGTTCTTTTTATGAGTTTATTGCTTCCTAAGAATTAAATTAGCAAATTGTCTTTTAATTTTCATAAAAAAATCTTTTCTGCTATATTTAAATGTAAATTTGTTTGCAAGCTTAGGACCAAAGATCTTAATTTTTAAGTTTAAATAAAAGTTAATTTAAGCTAAAATAAAACAATTTTTTACCTTATATCCTATCTTTAGTTATATTAATCAGTTCATATTCAAAAATAATGTCTCTAATTAGTTAATACGAATTTTAAAATATTTAATTCTATTCACAAAAGTTGGGATCCCAAAGAACTTTTTCCCTTATATAATAATTACCATTAATTTTATAAATAAAGCAAGTATTTTTGTATTTTAGATGATTGATAATTTGTATGTTTTATTTACTATTTTTATTAAGTTCATCTCCATTATATTCACCAAATGAAGGGTTATTGATATTAGGATAATCATTAAAAAAGTCTGCTTAATTATTTATTTATTCAATCAAATTATTTTTATTGTTATCAAGTTCACCTTCTTTATTAATTAAATCTGTAACTTCAAGCTAAATGTCTATGTGAATTAAACTTGAACTGTTTTCTGCACTGCAAGTTTGGTAAAGAAGTAAGTGAGCATTTTTAGATTGTTTTTCACCAGGAGGGTTAGGATGTAAGACAAAAGATTTTTTTAAGATCATAGAAGGGTCAGGAATTTTATAACGTTTAGCCTCTTCTTTTTAGCAGCTTTTTGTGTATTTATACACAACCTTGAGAAAATCTTCATATTCTACATCATTCTTTTGTTAAATTGGTATTTTTTTTTACTTAATTTGGTAATATCTAAATGCAAAAGATAATTTTAAGAGACAAATTGACTAAATTAGTTGCTGATGATGTTTATTTTCTATAAAAATATCTAAAATACTAGCTATATTAGCCATTTTTGCCATAATAAAATGTTAAGTGAAATATAAATTTAAATTAGGTCTAATTAAGAATAAGAGGCGGAAAAATTAAAGCGAAAAATTAATACAAAAGCAATGCTAATTAATAATCAATTAAAACTGGAGGGGAATTAAATATTTTTCTTTTCTAATTAGTGAGGGAGTAGGGGAAATATTTGTTATTTTAAAATTAAAAAAATAAATTCCAAGCAAGGAATAATTTGAAAAAGCGTTAGAATTGAACAAAAAAAAAGATTGTTGAAATGAGTAAGTAAGATATTAATGGCTGAGATTGCATGAACAGTAAATGTATTGCAAAAAATGCGGATTTAAAATTTATCAGCGAAAATGTAATTAATATATATAATTAAAAATATTTAGCCAACCAAGAAATTAAAAAAAAGCAAAAAAAAATTAAAGCGAGTAAGTCAAGAGACACAAAGATAGAAATTTAATTAAGTGTCATTCATTTAGCTGAATAAAATACAACTAAAATAATAAGAAAAATAATATAAATATTAATAATATTACCAATTTGTTATGGATCCACTTTCTGCATTTCTCCAAAATTCTGTTATTGTCTTCTTGTGACTCCAGTTTTTTCCTGAACCACAACTTTATGTTGTTTTTGTCTTCTTGCAACTTAAGTTTTACATACCAAAATTTATTCAAATCAATTTCTGATCATTTTTAAATTATGTTTTTCACCAAGATTAAATCTTGATTGCATGCTTGTTTTTATTTAAAGATAAAAATTAATAGGGAATTACTTCTTTGGCAATTTCTGGAAGTTTCATCTTAAATGCCTTAAATGCCTTTTCAGCCATTTTACGTATTAATTTTGCTCTTTTTTATTCACTTTTAGGGACAATAGGAGTAGTAGACGTGCTGTTGTTGTCATATTTCTTTTCATAATAGCAATATTCAAGTTTATTGATAGCCTATTCAATTTTATTCTAAACTGTATCATCTGAGTTGCATATAACCTGAAAAGACTCCTTCTTTGGAGCTTGCTTATGAATTTTACGCAGGTCAAACTGCCATTTAATATCCCAGTTAGTACATATTTCATATGAAAAGCAGTTATCTTTATTCTATTACTCTTCTTCTATCTTCAACATTTCGTTTTATTTTCCTCTTCTCTTATTTTATTTAATTATTTATCCTAACTATCTATTGCTAAGGACAGTCTTTCTTGTTTTTCTTTCTTTTTCTTCTTAATTTATTAATTAATTTTTTTTTGAAAAAATTAATAAGAAGAACTCTTATTGACTTAATTAAATTATCAATTTGCTTTTTTATTGATTTTTTTGCACGAAAAGACTTTGCTATTCACATGTTAATAGTAGAAATCAAATTTGATAATCAGCAAGCATTACTTTACTTTGTATCCCCCGATTTTCTTATTGTTTCAGTACTCACAAGTAATAATTTAAATTAAGTATGTGTTTATGTATGTGTATGTTTATATGTATTCATAAATAATTTTTTTATTATGCCAATAAGTAGAAATAAATTCTTAAAAAACATATCTTTATATAAGTAGATATAAAAATATCTTAGGGAGAGGATTTGGCTTACTTTTGGGTTTTCAAAGTAGATCTATCATTTTTATTTTATCAATTTCTATTTAAACTCGATTATTATTATTTTTTAAATTCATCATATCTTTATCAAATTATGAATATTTTATTTATTTTCAAACTTATTTATTTTTATCATTTAAAAAACAGATCATTCAAAAATAATAATCAATCAATTTGTTAGTCAGTGAGTGAGTCGATTTTTAATATATTTTTAAATTTTGAAAAGCAGTATTTTGTTTAAATTAATTTTAAATGTTTCTAATAAAATCATTATAAAAACTAAAAATCTACAATCAAAGCTTTGAGCTAATTTATATAAAACATTTAAATAGATTTCAAGAAATAACACCAAAATTAAATTTAACATTTTATCTTTTTCTAAAAAATATATAACCTTGTTCCCCTGTTTGACTTTGCTTTATTATTATAAAAAGACCTTATAAAATATTTCTTCATAAAAATATCTAAATTCCTGGTAGAATATTAAGCTTGAAAGGGTTATATTTTTGAAGTAATGCAATAATTAATTTTTTATTTTTAATTTAAAAGAAGATAAGAAAATATAATTTAAATTTTTTTCAATATATCAAAATTATATTTTTTAACTCCTAAAATACTTGAAATAAAAAATAAAATTTAACAAATCTAGAAACTGGATATTAACAAAATTCTTATCTTAAATAAACTAATTATTAATTTTTTTATTTTAGATGATTGAGATTAAAATTCAAAAATAAATTTAAAAATACTTTGGTTTAATTAATAAAATTCATTATTTTTTGTTTATTTAACTTTTCATCTAATTTAATTCTCATTTATGCCTTTTCTGATGAAATCATTTTTGGATTTCACAAAAGAATTTTTTTAATTAGTTATAGATGGAACGAATAATTAAAACATGCAAAGATTTAAATAGAATAATACTTTTAAGATTAAAAATAGAAAAATATCAAAAAATTAACTCGACGCTTACAAAAGAAATCATCATCCACTAATTAAGAAAAGAGAGGAGTGAGCGGACTTGAAGAAAAAAGGTTTAATAAATAAATAAATATAAGAGTTGCTATTCCTAATTGATTTGATCATCATGATTGTATAAAAAGTAATGATTTTGACTAATGTATCTAGAAAAGAATAGGATAGGATAGGATATTCTTACAGAATAAAAAATAATATAATCCCAGTCTTATAATTGAAGATAATAAAGGCAATAAGAGGAATAAAATAAAAAGAAAACGTTAAACAAAATTTAAAGAAAGGATAAGAGTTCTGATCAACAAAATAAAGGTAGAAGGACAAATAAAACCAAAAGGAACAAAAAAAATTAAGTAAAAGTTTAAGAAGTAAAATAAGGTATCTGGTTAATTAGATGTATCCGTACGAGCAACAAAAGGTGCAGATTTATGATATTAATACACTTTTTGAAGAGCCTATCTCCAAAGAAATACTCATATAATACCATGAAAAGTATTGCAACATTACAGCAAAAGATTTAGATAAGTGGAGAACAATAGGCAGAACTATTTACTAAATTACCAATCATACTGAGCGATAAACTCGTGTATAGATGAGAAATATAATAGAATTCTATACACTTTTGAATGAAAATCACCTTCTCTACGAAGATGGTAAGAACAGATGGCGTGAAGTTTACTTAGCTGATGACAAAGTATTCGATTTCTTTATGAATTCATTCTTCTATGATTGCGCAAAGTATTTGATTGATGAGAAAATATTTCATTATGAAGAAACGACTGAACTCTCTAATAAAATCCTCCTACAATCTGTTTACCTATTTATTACTACATTTGATAAAACAACTGTCTCAGTTATAGAAATGCTTGCATACATTTTCGATCATAAAAAGTAGTATTTCTAAATTAACAACAAAATAAGCTCTACATTTCATGTAAGTTTCTTTAATTTTAAAGCATCTTAATAAAATAAAAGAACATTTTTTTACAATTTTTGGCTACAAAAAGAATTTAGCTACAGCTTAACTACAAACAACTGCTATTTAATGATTAAGTTTAAAATTTGTTTTTAAAAATTGTGCTTCTAAAACTTATTACATCATTTACATTCCCACATTAATGTTAAGTAGAGTTTAGTAAAAAGAAAATGTAACATATGAAAAAAATAAATAAGATATAATAAGATTAGATTTAAAGAAAATAAAAACAATGCACTCAGTATAACAAATAAAGCAAACAGTAGATAATAATAATAATATTGAAAAAAATGAATTCATATTTAAATTTGAATATTCTATCTTTTTATTGTTTTCTGATCTCACTTTTTGTGATCAGACTCGCAAATAAAATAATTGATTGTTTTTTAATTTACTTAGCAATTTAATACAAATTTATTTATTTTATGATAATTAAATAATTAAATTTCCTAGAGTTTATTTGCTATACTCAGGCTAAAATATTTAAGTATCTTTCTAAAGCTTCCCATTTATATTTCTAAAAAATAATATCATATTTTAATAAAAATAAATTAAGATTCAGTAACTTTTTGGTTTGAGGGAAGACATTCGTGAATGGCTATAAAACCTCTAAGTAGGATAAATAGTAGATGCAATTAAAATTGATAAATAATATGTTAAGCACTGCTGGAGCAGAGCAGAAATCGTTAATATTTAAGATGACCATATCTTTATTAGATTTTTGAATTCCTCTAAGCAGTTTAATAGGTAAAAATTTCTTTTTCATCAAATATAAATAAATAAAAAATCAATCCAACCAATTTACATAGGTCCGTTTTCAGAGAAAACTTTGACATTCGCGAAAAGGGTTCAAAATGCCCAGACGAAGAAATGGAATGGAGACTTTAACTTAAAGAAGGAGATCTGGTAGATTGCTGTGATACTTCTCATGTATTTTACAACAGTACTGTACTTTAAGTAAAAGAAATTGAAGATGAATAAGGTTATACGATAAAATAGGTTTATGTTGGTAAGAATTTATTTACAAGAAAGTTAATAAGTAAATTAATATTTTTATTTAATTTAATTTTAGGTTATAGAGTTTATGATCCAAATGGTTAAAGAAAAGATGATAAAGGTAAATTTAATGGGTGGTCATAGTAGTACGATGAGTGGTTTGATGCTACACACCCTCGCATTTAAAAGTAAATTATTCAGTGTTTTATAGAATTAGCACATCTAATTAGTTATATTTTTTAGATATTAATCATAGGCAAAAAAATTATACACTAAAGCATCTACTACCAATTAAGATGAGCATATAGATGATTTCAATGATTTAGTTTAGGTCTTAGAAGTAGAAAATGAAGTAGTTTATGCTTCACCTAAAAAAAATTAGGCTGTTAATTTATTTTAGCTTGCAGCGATTAACAAATTTGGTAAAAAGGGTGGTTTTGAATTGATTTTAAATAAGATTGAGGGATAAGGTGAAGAATGGTGCTCTATCGACCATTTAGCAAGCTTAATGCACATGTTTGCAAATGTTCAAATGTGTTTAAATAGAAATTTTGTTTACCCATATGCTAAAAGAATCATTCCTGCAGTCCAAAAAAGCATATTAGATAGCCCACCAAGCAACTTGCGTAACTTCACAAAGGAAAAAATAGATAGTGTCAATATGGGTTTAGGAAGTTTTATGAAAAGGATTTACTCAATAGGACAAAAAATTGAAATGCTTGAAAAGTTTAACTTATAGACTGCACTTCAATCATTCAATTCTGAATTTATAACAACCTAACTATAAGGTCTTAAAACTATTATGGAACTTCTATCTTAACTAAGGAGTGATAGAACAGCTGAGTCACTTTAGTCTTCGGAACTAAAAGATTGGATTGAAGAAAATTAAATATTTTAAAAGCTATTTAATAGTTAAAAATATCAACTCATTTAAAAGGCAGGTGATTTCTTTAAATTCATGCTTAATGAAGGCATGATAAAAGATTAACACCTTGAAATTCTTTGGAACTAAACACGCAGAAATGACACAGAACTTAAATTAGCTATTTATAAAGTAAATATTTGCTTAAATAGAATAATTTGTTTAACCAAATAATTTTTTTCATAAAAATAGATTTTATCTGATAATTTTTACATTCAATCATTCGACAAAAATATTATTGATTTCTTTTTGAAAAAAATTATTGATACTGAACCAGATTAAATAGGTATCGAAGATATTGATTTAGTTCATAGTTTTACAAGATTTCGTAGTAATAAAACAAGCGATTTTTAGGATAGTGTAAGGCTTTTTTATTGGAAGTTGATAGAAAATAGTTATGAACTTCCTTTAGATTTAGTTGAAGAAACCATCAAATCTTTTTGTGAAAGCTTCAACATAGATAATAATAAAATTACAATTTAGACTGTCCTCGAAAAGTGTATAGATCACATAAACAAAGTAGTTATTTTAAAAATAGATAAAGTTTAATTTTATGATAATTAATTTATTTATCTAAAAAAGGGAACTCACAGCACACTTTATGTTTTAAAAGTCATTTAAAAGATTGTTGATTAACTTTATACTACTCAAGGCTATATGGATGCAATAATAAAAAAAGAAGCTGTTAATTTCTTGTTCACAGATAAAAATATTGTCCATGTATTAGTAAATAACATCCGTCAAATGAAAAAAGACTTGTTGGTAAAGATTTAAGAAAATTTAGGAGCTGATTCTGTAAAATAACTCACAGAATAAATTTTAGACTCATTTATTCCTAGAAATACTTACATTGAACACATACAATCAAGAATTGATTTTCTAAATTTTAGTAAACATTTCAATAATTTAGATATAATTTATTAAGAAAAAGCAAATAAATAAAAATAGTTTATATGAATCTTCCAAATGATATTGAGTTAACCTTAGAAGTTATTTCTGAAGTTTGGGATGCAGTTATTGTTGAAGGTTTAATTCCTAGAGAAAAAGATATTATTTATAAATGGTTCTCTGAGCTTAACACAAACAACATGAACAACATGAATCAAAGTTCTTAGTAAATAAAGAAAGAAGACTTAGACATTTTCTTCCATACAAAACTTTGCAACGAGGAAGATTTAAGACTTATGACCCCCGAAGGACTTAATTGCTTTAAAAGTATTTTCTGTATCCTTAACGAAAAAGATGGAAAAATGAAAAAATTCCCTATCGTTAAAATGTATAATAACAATAATATTTTGTACAATAATCATCATTACAATTCCTAGTCATATTATTAATAAAACGATGCCAGAACTAATGTAATCTTTTTTGAATATTGCTATTTTGTTAACTTATTTTCTTATTTTTTATTTAGCCCGACTTTGAATACTAAATGCTAGATCTCCCTACAAACTTAAAGGGAATATAATCTTTATGGACTTTGATCACTCTCAATTAAAACTAAGAAGTTATTGCAAAAGCACTTGAGTTTTTAAATAATCTTCACACAGTAAATTAAATTTCAAAATTATTTAGCTTATAAAATTTTTGGAAAATCTTAGAATTTCGACTAAAATGTATCTGAAAGCGAAGAAAACATTAAAAGAAGATATTACCAATAGGCTTATGAGTATTTGTAAAAGTAAACATAAGAAGGGGATTCTGAAAAAATTAAGAGATGTATTATGATTATGGAGAGTATTCTTGATGAAAGTGAAAAAAAAGGAAATGGAGGACTCAAATCACTTATGTCTTTATCTAAAGGAGAGCTAATTACTCTTTGCTTCTAAACAACCTACTATAACAGCGATATCCCTAACAATTTTTCATTTAAGATGTACACAAACGATTCAGTTATGGATCTCCTATACAAAGTAGGTTTATACATTAAGTGTACTTATGAAGAGGTCGCTTTAGCAGTTGCAGAGCCAAGAAGAGAAATAGAAGCAAAGGAAAATGGAAAATCTATAGCAGAATTAAGGTAATTAATTGATAATCACTAATATCCAATCAAAATGAATTTTACAAATTAAATAAAAATAGATTAAAAAATGGAGAAAAACTACTAGTTTCACAAAGAAAAGGAAGCCCTGTGAAAGAAGAGGAGTTATTGATAAATGGTGAAATTAATCCTAAAGCTATTAGAATATTTAAAAAGTGGTTCTAGCAATTCCAAGTTGATGGAAGAATGAAACCTTTACAAGTAGCTTAATTCATAAACTCATGTACCAATGATAACTGCTAAGAAAATGATAATAGAGTAGTCCTTTGTATGGAAAATAATGATAAAGGTAAAAAGGGTTATCTTACTGAAGAAAATTTCATAGAATTTTATTCTACTGCATGCCGCAATAAGCAAGAAATAGTCCGCAAGAATCTTGCTACTCATGGCTACAGAAAAGATTTAAAGAGGTATGATGAAGTAACTATTGAATCAATTGATGTTACTTCTATGCCACGTTACATTTTAGCTCGTGATGAGAAGTTCTTCAAAATGGTAATTTTTTTTTTTCAGTTCAAGTGCTAATTTAAATAATTTTGGTCATTCAATTTTACTTAATATATTAAGGTGTTTGATTTGTTAGATAGAAAAGATGTTGCAAATGCTACTTGGAGGTTTATCAGTAGACTACCCATTAGTCCTGTGCTATATGAAAAAATTGTTAAGCTTGAAGGAATTAGAAACGAAAAGAATCCTAATTGGGAAACTGTACTCGGTGGTGAATCGATGTATAAGCTGCTTTACAATCTTCACGTCATTGAATATCTCATGGAAGAAGGAGAAGTTGTTAGTATTGAAAATAAGAAAGTATCCTCAACTTCTTATAATAAAATAATAAGTGATGAATCTGAAGAACTTAAATAATTCAAGATGAATTGGAGATCTGATTTTATAAAATTAGGAGGTTTTGACCACTTATTCAAAAGATTTAATTAATTGATAACAAAAAAAGATATTTTAAATATTGATACTTTCTAAAAGTATATCCTTTCATTTATTTTAAAGATTTTCAAAAATTATATTGTGGCAGCATTTGCATGCGACCAATCTCAAATTTACAAAACTGTCACACGTATGAGTCTGACTCATGTGCCTTTACCTGCTTTGATCTTATCTATCAGAGAAGATATCAGAAATAACAGAGAACTGACTGTCAGACGTAAAGAAAGTGAATATAGAGAGAATCTAATAGAATAAGAACTGAAAAGAATGGAGACTATGGATGACTAACAACATGCAAAAAATTAAAACGAAAAAAAATAAAACTACGAAGTGAAGATAGAGGAAAGTGAGGAATTCCTATAACTTCTTAGCAGTCTTTAGTCATAGGGATTGAGCAATTAAATTCTCTAAAAATTTGATTTCATGTCATTTTTGGTAAATAATTCAAATTATTTTTGATATTCATTAATTTTTCCTTATATAGAATTAACTTTGCAAATTGTGTATGGATTTCATCACATCAAATTCAGAGCTTGAAAGTGAAGACAGAATAATTGTTGAATATTCTTTATTAATTGTAAGTGCAATATTGACTTATGATAAAACTATCTCAGATTAGTTCTTTGACCAAGACAAATCAGAATTCACTTAGCTCCTTTCTTCAGGTCTTTTCTACAAAGGAAATCAAAATATAAGAAAAATATTTAACCATTGCTTCTTTATGATTGCTCTTTCTCATTTGTCAAATAGTAATTCCTAACCTATCTAAAGATTGATGCATGTATTGATAAATAATATTCCAGGATTGCACAATGATAACTAAAACTGTACTTAGTATTTTGAATTATTTTGTGGTTTGCTTGATAGCTTAGCTTATCATTAAATCGATACATCTGTCTCATACGATTGGTTAGATTTTTCATCACTTCTTAAATAGCTTGTTAGCAGTTTAAAAAATCATGAGAGCACAGAAACTAGAACTCACACAAGAAACGATAAAATTCTAATTGGAATTCTCAATCTATGTGATAGAATCTTATCTTTCAAAGAGGAATTAAAAGTAGAAGTTGGTTCACCAGAAGGTAGCAATTTAGTGAAAGAGATTTTCCATAAATGCTTATTTGACTTATAAGACCATCATTTAATAGAAAACGAAGATATCAAGAAATATGATAAGCTAGTGGTTAAATGCAAAGGAGAAACAAGCAGAATAGCTGCATTTAGGTATTTTTATCTCTTAAAATATTAAAGTTTAAAATTTATTTTTATTTTTAAAAATCTTAGATTATTGCTTACATTATGTAAAAATTGTCCTGAGAATATGTAAGTTCTTATGGAAAATGGTCTCTAGCAGCTAATAGAAATGCTCCCTTAAAATACTGGATACTAACTTTCATATATGAGAGAATCAAAGAGCGACTATGGATATGTTGGAATAAAAAATTTAGGATGCATTTGCTACATGATTGCGATGATTTAATAATTCTTTATGACTCCAACATTTAGGTAATTTATTTTCTAAATAAACACTTATCATTCAATTATTTAACACACCTTATTTATCAATTAATCATTAAAATAAAATATTTTAATTTTAATGCTATGAAAAGGTATGCAATTTTAATGGCGAATGATGAAGAATAAGAAAATTTAGTTGAAGCAATTTACAATAAGAAAAAAATGATTACTGATGACAATATTTTACATCAATTTTAACAAATGTTTAGTTTCTTAGAAATGAGTGATAGAGTTGATTATAACCCAATAGAGTTCTGCTATTCATTTAAAGACTACAGCGGCGAGCCTGTTAATACAGTCATTTAGCAAGATGCTTAGGAGTTCTTAAATATGATATTCGATAAACTTGAAAATGGATTAAAAAAGACACCATTTAAGAATATTTTAGAAAATGTTTATGGTGGAAAGCAATGTTCCTAAGTCATTTGCTCAAACTGCAAGCAAGTGAGTACCACCTATTAACAATTTTATAATCTCTCAGTAGAGGTTAAAAACTTCAAATCTTTAACAGAATCCTTAGATAAATTTATAGCTGGAGAGACCATTTAAGATTTTAGATGCGAAGGATGTGATAAAAAGGTTGAAGTTACTATACGTAATAGCTTAGCTAACTTACCTAATGTTTTGATTGTTCATTTGAAGCGTATTATTTTTGACTTGGAAAGCTTGTAAAACATAAAGGTAAATACACGTTTAGAATTCCCTGAAAATCTTGATCTTGAGCCATACACAAAAGAAGGACTTGAAGCTCGCGAATAAGGAAATAAATAAAACCTAAAAGAAAAGTAGAACTATGAATACAAGCTTGCAGGAGTTGTTGTTCATACAGGAACTGCTGAATATGGACATTATTATTCTTATATCGATTTTTTGCGTTAGAAAGAGCACATTAGCCAATAAATGAAGGAGAGTTGGCTTGAATTTAACGATTCTCGAGTTCGTGATTTTTCTATAAAGAATATTGAAAACGAATGCTTTGGAGGACATAATACTGACTGGGATGACAGTAGCTTTAATTTTGGTTGGTTTAGAAACAGAGATAATAGCAAAAATGCCTATATATTAGTTTATGAAAAGAAAGTAAAAGACCCTGTTTAATTAGTGTTTGAGAATACTTAACAAATGGAAAAAGTTCTTTAATATGTTCCAATTTCCAAATATGAAATACAAAAACAAGAATAATAAGTAAATAAATTAATTAATAGATATTTTTAAAAAATAAATTAACATCTTTTTTAGTAAAATGAATAGAAGGAATCTGAATAAGTTAAAGTTCTTGTAGATTATTTTGATTTCTAGCCCTACGTACCTGACAATTTCTTTAAGAAAGTATGGATGGATAATCATCAATTCATGTTTGAAAGGCACATTTACAATGACAGCTTTTATTAGTTCATTAAAGAGATCACTAATTCTATTGATTTACCTGTATTAACTGATGAAGATTGTCCTAAAGGATATTATAAGGACTATGACAAATACCCACAAAATATGAGACAATCATTCACTAAGCTCCTTTAAACTCATGCCAAAATTATTATGGATCTTTTGAGCAAGTCACATGGTTCATAGGTAGAAAAAAACACTTACTATTATTTAATTATTTTTTGTTAATTTAAGCTTTAATTCAAATTAAAATATAAAAGATGATTGATGAAATGATTAATAGACTTAGAATACTATTAAAATTATGTCCAGATTACTGCGCCTAATTCTTCCTTAATAATTTTATGAAAGACTTTGCTAATAAAGAAGGAGCCATTATAAAATCATAAGATCCATCAGTAAAAAATTTCCTCTCGAAAATGTATGCAGACTGCACTTAAATAATTATAAACTTCCACGACTTAAAACTGACTTAGTCAAATGACGATTTATAAGAAGAAAAGGAATAAGTTGAATACGAATAGATGTCTGAACAATAGAGAAAAAATCAAACTTTAAGAATGATTAAAAACAGTATAAACTACTTTTTGAACACATTGCTTTAATACTTACAAGATTTTGGATAGAAGAACGTCTTTAAGAACGAACAATATTTTATGGTAATTTTAAAAAATTATTTATTAATTAATTTTATATCTATTTTGTAAAATTTTAATTAAAGTTTTGGGAAGCATTTAGCTAATAAGGTCCTGAATAGATGAAATACTTAATATAAGCAGATGTATGTCTATTGTTCTTAGATTACTTCATGGGGGACGATTCTCCTCTCTCCAAAACAAAGGAATACATGAGTTCTCGTTCTATTACACTTAGATATACTCATGTCACTAAATGTATTGCAAACATAATAGATCATGCATATACCCCAATATTTGATTTTAACAGTAGTAGAAACCTTAAAAGAGAAATCACTACTAAATTAGAATCAAAATCATAAAATAAAGAAGATGAATACACTTTGTCAGAAGAAATTAGCTTATTTATTTTTAATTCATAGTTCTGGGAAAAATTAATCTCGAATGAAACAATTGAACCTTCTGTCCTCAAATAATTAATTTAAAAACTTGCCTTTAATCAACAATTGATTACTAATCTAGTATCTGAGGCTATAGTCAGAGGTTTGTATCGTCTTGGATTAGATGAAGTTAAAATATATGCTTAAGCAGTATACCATTTCTTAAGTTTATAAGATAACTTTAGAAAAATGCGTATTGAGGCTGTATTAGGTGTCCCTATTTTAGTTTAGAATTATCTTTCACCTTAATAACATAATAACTAGGAAGATTCATTACAGGTTATTGCTCACTATGGAACCTATGCTCTTAACTGTATTGATGACTAAAGTCTCTGTATGAAAACTTCTTTGCAAATAGAGAGTACTTATAGCATTTTAGAAGCCATTTATGTTAATAGAAAGAATTCTGATAGCATTTCAGTATAACTATTAATTGTACTTCTCCAGCTAGTGATAGAAAACGAGGATATTGCAGAATATGTTGCATTGGCTCCAGCTCCTAGTTATGTATTTGCAAAATACGTCGATTTTATTGATCATTTCATAAAAGAATATCATCACAATAGCTTAATATAAAAGTATGCAATCGTTCCTAGAGTTGAGCTTGCATAAAATTGCTTAATGCTTTATCCCTACTTCAGATAAAAGATAGATGCCGTCTATTAGCGTAACAATATTAAATTTACTTCACCTGAAGATGAAAAGTCAAAAGAAGAAAGTGCTTCAAATGAGGAAGTCCTAATTAAGGATAATTAAAATAGTAATAATTAGGAAGGAGGCGAAGAAGAAAAGAATATTTCTAACAAAACCTCTAAGGATAGCAACTAATATAATATCGTAGTAAAAGAAATAGATAGGACTGAAGTTAACTATTCAAACTCTCAACAGGCTGTTAATGCTTCTTAAGATTCTTAAAATATTAATTTCAACAATAACCATCTAAACTAAGGAATTTATCCACTTTATACTATTGGTAAAACTCGTGATGTGACTGTTCTTAGAGAAGCTTAATTGCCCATCACAGATAATTTCTTAAATGAAGAAACAATGGAAGAATATAACTAAAAATTAGAATAAGTAAAAACTGAATAAGAATTTAATAAGTTAGTTGAAGAACTGAATGAATTAAAAGAAGAGTGTACTCATTCATTTGAATATTTCAATTTATATGAACGTGAAGTCAACACATTTATTACAGATAGCCAGCCAACCTAAACAGGAAATAAATCATATGACTCAACTATAGTAAGAGATTATTTTATAATTACTTAAAATATGTCTTCAACTTCTCCCTGGAATGGGTTCTTTAAAAATAAATATGCTTCATACTATAACTAAAGCTAACTTTCATAGATTGATCAACAGGAATAAAGTAATTAATTAATTTAATTTTATTTAAGTATTAATTTTAAATTGAAGAATCAAAAAATTTTTCTTGGCTTTATATAAAAATACTTTCAATTAACTTAAAACAGATAACATTATTGAGAAACATTTCAAGAATGCTAATACTGTAAGGGAAATAGTAGCAGTAAACAAGACAAGCAATTAAATTGATATTAAGCTCAATTTTATTCTACATGACCCAGAAAACCCAAACCAAAAGCAATTACCTAAATTTGGAAAATATATTAAGGTTAAAGCAAAAAGTAATGAAGTTATTTTCTCTGTTTAGAAGCTTAATTTGTAAGAAGACTGGGGTAATTATGATATTTAAGTTGAGTACTCAACATTTTAATTCAACGACAGATGCCAACTTCATTTACAATTTATTGATTTTAGTATACAAAAAACGAAATAAAATATCCACTCAATCTAATAGAGTTTGTAGCTAAATGATACAAACTCTTTTCTTAACTTTTTTGGGGTATTGAATTCGAAATAGCTCTTGCCTGTGTAAAATATAGAAAATGCTCCTGAATAATATGATTAAGAAGAAGAGGAGGAACAAGAACAAGAACAAGAAGTAGAAAACCATAACAATGACGAAGTTTAAGATAGAGGTCCAAGAGATTAATATTAGAAAATAAATAGCGGTTAAGAGAGTGAAAACGAATCAAACTGTGAAGAAATTTGAAAATCGAATTTACTTGTTTATCTAATTATCTATCTGATTAGCTTTCTACATCATTTATTATCATCAATAATAATCAATTTTAAATCTTTTTTACTTTTTTTTTAAATTATTGCAAAATTAAAATATTATAAATTTTTGTAACTAATTTTTTATTTTTGTTGATTCAATAACTAACCATAAAATATTTTCATATTTTTATTTATTTATTTACTTATTTTTAAAAAGTATAATAGTCAATTAATCATATTCAAATTTATTATTTAGCCAAAAATATATTAAAAAAATATAAAATCAATATTTTTGAAAATAATAAAAATAAAAACACTAATTAATGTTAATGTTTATAAATTAAATCTCATAAAAAATATTTTTAATGAATTTTTTTTCCCACCTTTTCTTAAAGGATGGATGGATGGATTGAGTTGATTTGAAATTAAAATATTTTATTTCATAAAAACTAATTAATTTCAACAAATTTAATTTTTATCAATTATTTCCTTAAGAACTAATTTATTAATCATTGTTTTTTTTATGTTATGGTTTTTCCATTTTAAATTTTTCAACAGCTAACAGCTGAACTATTTCTAATTTAACTATTTTAAATACTTAAAAAAAAAATATTTTTTGAATATTTTTTATTGTAAAATTGTAAAAATTAATCATATATTAATCAGTCTATTTTTTAATTGTCAATTTTAATGGTTTTTAAACCGTTTTTATTACCATTGTTTTTGTAATATTACACTTTAATCATTGTTATTTAAGTATGCTTTTATATTAAATGTATAATATCTTACATTTTGAATCAATTTTTATCAAAAACGAAAAAATAATAAATAAAAATTTTGAAATAGGATTTCATTTTTTAAGAAACATTTAGGCAAAATCAATCAAGCAATCAAGGTTTGGATATAAATTTTTGCAAAAGTTTCTTTGAATGAATTTAAAATGGAATTTGCTTTTTTTTTCGCTCATCATTGAGCATTTCATTTTAGTTAACTGTACTGTCCGAAAAAAACATTATTAGAGTCATTCAATAGTTTCTGAATATTCAATCCCTAAAAGTCTCACAACAAATCCAATAATTGAGTAAAATTACAATCCTGAGGAATCTATGTGCATATGGAAAGATGATTTAGATAACATTTATAATCTTTCTCTCCTTTAAAAGTCAGATTCGTATTGGCATGTTGATATTAGAACTACTGAGCAACAAAATTTTAAGATATCATTAATTTTTAATTTTTGCAATAATTTTCCTTATATTGCATGCTCCGAAAACTAAGCTAATACAAAGCAATCCAACACACACTATGGCGCATACCAATAAATAACATTTTAAAACGTACAGTCCTTGGATTAGTGCTCTGCTTTTGGATAATATGATAAATCTCTTGTAGAACTCATAGATTACTACTAAGTTGGTCAAGGTATTAAAATTGTATATAGAGGAGGGGATATTTGTACTTCAAGTGAAAATCATATGGACTAAGAAAAAGAAAAAAGTATTACTTTTCTGATATATTGCTCATCAGAAAAAGATAAAGAAGAAAATTTTACAAGTCTCCCAATAGATGGGATTAGTGTTACTTCTTGCAATCCAGTTCTATAGATAAAGCACCCAGGAGGTTGCTATTAAGGATAAATCCTTAAATAAAAGCATAAAATTAATCATCCTATATTCTTATTCTTTTTAACTCTGATAATATTTATCTTTATATTAACAATAATTATAATTACCATATTCAACTGTGTTGAAAATAATGTTAAGGGATTTATGGCTATTCCCTTCTACTAAGATTTTAAGATGTTTATTTAAAGATATTCAAATTAAACAAACTGTAGGATGTCTGATTCTTTTGCTTCCTCACTCGATAATTAATATGTATCTACAGATAAAAATCTATTTGCTTATAAACCTGTCTGATAATTAAACATATCTTTGAAAAAATCATTCATATGATTATTTAAAATTATTTGTAAACTATTTTTAATCTATTTTAATATTTCCTAAATACATATTAAAATAATGAATCAATTTTTAACATAGCCAATAGTTTATTAATGCTAAATATAAAGCTTTTCATACATAGATACAAAATTAAATTATATCGTTTATATAAATATTTATTTAAACCTATAGGTAGCCATTATTCTATCAAATAAGTTAAACATGATAGTCTATCATACATGTATTTATTCTTTAATTTTAGAAAAAAATTTAAAGATATTTCAATAAAATTAAGTGCAAAATACAATATTTTTTATTGATTAAAACATATTTTAAAATTTAATTAATTTTCTAATAAGTAAAATATATTTAAGTTTTTACGAATAAGGATAAAGGAATTAATCTTAAAACAATAGATAGATAATTTTTTTTCATCTTATAAATTTCATATTTAAAAAATACATTTTTTTTTTCTTTTTTGAATTGAATAAAAAATAAAAATTATTAATTAAAGTTAAAAAAATAATATTTTCTATTTAATAAATATTTATTCTTGATTACAAAAAATTTATTTCAATTTATACTTTTCAAAGATATTATTAATTGCAAATACTTACTAAAGAACATCGAATTCTTAAAAGAGTAAATAGTTCGTAATAGATTTGGTACAAAATAGACATTTTTAAAATTTACAAAATTACAGTTCTTACAAATTTAATCTTGGAATGGAAAATATAGAAATTGCTGGGTAATTTAATATAAAAAGTTTAAGCATTGGTCTTAGAGATTTTAATTTAAACTGATGATAGCAATATAAATAGTAATTTTTATTATGAATTAAATAAAAAGCATCATCAGCCTTTTTGAATATTCATTATGTTAAGAAAATTAAAGGTTAGTTTGTTTTTGGTGTTTTATAAATCATAAATAAGTATTTATAGTTATTATGTATGTATTTTTTATGGTCAGTAGTATTAAAAAATGGTTTTAATAATTAATTGATTATGGTTAATAAAGATTTGTATTCATATTTTATTTATTAATATGTGTTTGTTTGTTTGTTTGTTAGTTTGTTTGTTTGTTTTCTTGTAGTATTAATTTATTTTTAAGAAATTAAGAAAGATTTTATATTATTTTGTTTTATTATTATTAAATTTAAATGTTTATTTAATTTAAAGATAATCAATGGACTCAGATTTTTATTGTTTATTATACTTAATTTAATTTAGAGGAGTTTTTTAAGGTTAAGTTGTCGAAATTTATTCAATAATTATTCTAATCATTCATCATGTAAGGTCCTGGGTATTGATTTTCATTATCTTCTTCTACAATATGTTCTGTTTTTATATGGTCAACTGAGTTTATCCAATTAAGATATTTATCTCCTAGCACTTGTTGTCTAAACTAATCCTAAACTTTGTCTAAACTTAATTGACATAATATATCTAAGTCTCCATAAGTTTCAAGATATCCCTTTGCATATATCTTAAGATTATTTTTATCTTTGCTCATTTTCATGATCACTCTCTAAATGAAATTATTTTGTAAATAAAATTTTTTAATTTATAATTTTAAAACGAATTAAAATACCTATTAATCATCAGGATTAAATCTCACTGATAAAACGGGGAATTAGAATTTTTGTTTTTAGACATCTAGTAAAGGTTAAAGTATCTTATCTCTCAATCCTTGAGTTTGTGATTTATTTGAAAGTTAAGAATTAATAAAGAATTTTTAGTTATCGTCATATTCATCCTTTTGGTTGATGAAGTTTTCAAATAACTAAGAATTCATCTAAGTATTTTTTTCACTAGACTAATTTCTGCTTATAAGATTTTTAAGAGCAACATATTTTCTTGCTAACTCTTTAACTTGATCTTTTTTCTAGTTGACTTTTTACTTTTACTTATCTAAAATATCTTGCTTTTCTTTTGCTTCTTTCCAATTATCATGCTTTAGGCATTTACCTTATTTTTAAAATTTAATAAATTATGGTAAAATTTTTACAAGGAATCAAATAGTACCAGCTAAATTTGTTTTTGCGATAGCTAGCACCTTTTTGCCTTTTTTAGCAATTACCTCAGAAGCAATTAAGACGTTTAATGCATCATAAACTCTTCTTTTAATATTTTATTCGTCTTTCTATAAATAAATAAGAATATTTTAGTAAAAAAACAAATGCTTAATTTTTCAATTAATAAAAGAAATTTTTTTTCCCGTTTTTTAATTAAAATTTTGAAAAAAAATCTTTTTTTGTTATAAAATAGTTAATTTTATTTATGAAAAATTTACAATATCTTCTTTCTCAGCTAATTATTTTTGACCTGATTTTAGATTTTGTACAAGTGTTTCTGCTACCTCTTTGTATGTAGTAGATCCTTTTTCCTAAACTATTTCCTTTACTTTTAAAGATAAGGCTCTTAATCCTCTTAAAGTTTATCTTTCTTCAGTTTATTCGCCATCTTTTTTAAAAATGAAATGATTTAATTTAAATTGTAGAAGAAATAAAGTTAGTTAGTTGGTTACTGTTACTATAATCGTCAACTTAAGATCTTGCTTAATCTATCAAATTATTTTAATCATTTTAGTTAGATGAAAGTAGTGATTCTTACTTGACTTAAGATTTTTTGAAGCCTTAGTTGGGAAACTAAAAGCTGTTAGCTTAGCCTCTTGGAGAAGATATGAGATTTTTGTGATTTTGCTGGGTTTATTGAGCAAAACTTGAAATTAAGTTTTTTCCTAGTAATGTTCCTTTGTTATCGTTTTCTTATTTGTCATTACAAAAATAATCTACAATACCTCCATCATTATCAAATACATCTGAGTCATTTTAAGGAAGCAAATTCCTTGTGAGTCCATTCGAGTAAATACTATCTTTGAAAAGTTGGGAATTGTTTAAGTCGTATAATAAACTGTTTTATCCAAATTAACTATTTATAAAATCATGATTAAAATTACTGTTTTGATTTTATGAATTAGAATTGAAAAGCATTTGTTAGCTCTACTTGTTTTAAATACTTTGTAATTAAAGTTATTATATTTATTCTTAAGATTATATTTAAGATCCATTTATTTGAATGTTATTATTGTTATTGTTGTTATTATTATTATTATTTTTATTAGATTAGTCTTATTTTATTAATTAATTAATTGAATCAGCATCAAAAAATCCTTGACTTTGTTGATAAAGAATTGGATTGTTTGGCTGATAATATGGAAAATTGTGAGAGTTTTAATTTAATTAGTGAGTAATAGAATTTTAGTTTTTTGACAGTTATTGCTGTGAGCCTATTTGTGTTCTATTTGCCTGAGATTTATCTTTTTAAGAGTTTAAATTTGTCACTTTAGAGGATATATTTTGAAATTCACTATGATTGTTATTAGAAATTTAGTGATGATGACTTGACTACTGCAGTATTTTACTATTTATATTAGAGGTATCGTGGATACTTGGGCTATTAATTTAGTTAGGGTTAGAAGCAAAGAGCATACTGGATTATTCAGATTTTACAGTAAACTTGGAGTCTCCTTTTGAGGACATTGAATTCTCATAATCTTTGTGCTTCGATGATATTGGCTTAGATGTATTTTAATTGAACACACAGTCAAATCCTCGAGCGTTTTCATCTTCGATTTAATTTTTTTCAAAAAGCTGAGATGACTATTTTTTTGAGAGAATCTATTGCCTAATATTTTAAGATTTGTCTGGATTTTCTGATTTAACTCCATTAAATTTAACACTATTCTTATACTCATCTTCCTCTTCTAAAATTGCTGAATTTTTTATATTCTAATTTCCATTTATATAATTGTTATTGCTGCCTCGATTAGGATATCCTGCTTTATTAGTTTTTTTCTGCTTTCTTGGGAACACTATATTTTTTATAAAAAGAAATAAGAATGAAAAAATACCGAGTACTCAATTTGCTGTAATTTTGTTGATTTAGCTATGCTGGATGCTATTTAAAAATGATGCAATAAACTCATTAATATTCTAAATTTGCATTTTGTATTTTATTTTACAATTGCTTTTATGCTAAAATTTGTTTCTATCAATAGCTATTTTTTAATAAAGATGTATTCATGGTACCTTCTTCGCTCCTATTTTAAAAGAGGACATCGTTATCACTAGGTAGCTTGCTCATATGAAAATACTTTTGTTGTAGTTACTACCCTGTTTTATACTTAAAAGCACTATTGCTGTTTTTAAAGTTAATTCAACTATTTAAGATTTTTGTAAAAAGTGAATGAATCTGAGTTTTTAATATTGTGTCTTATCCGTTCTTGAGAAATAATAAGCAAATTAATATTAATTAATATTTTCAATAATTGTAATTATTATTTTGATTCATTCCTTTTTCTATTTTTATTATCAAATAAAGTAAAGGTATAGAGATAAAGAGAGAGACTGAATTCATTTCATCATTTTTTTGTTTTTTGTTTGCTTTCTTGCTTGCTTGCAGGCAAACTATTCATATAAATTAATTAATTAATTTACCTTACCTCTTTATTTTCTTCTAATTTATCTTTGTTTATCTCCATTATTTTATTTAAACTAAATCATTAGGAAATATAAATAGCATTCATTCATTCCCTTTTGCTTCTTTTTCACTCTTTTATAATGTTTAGAGTAAAAATATGTTCAATTATTGATTTTTGTTTTTATAATGTTTAATTTATGTCACTTCAACTCTCTCTAAAATTAGTGGTAATATAAAATTCATATCTTTTTATTTTAAATTTATTATCCATTTTTCTTAGTTAGACTTATTTGCTTATAAATTTTTAAATATTAAAAAATAATGCTTTCCTTTTAAAATTAAGAAGCATGTTAAACTGGTAAAGTATCTAAAATATGAATTGCTTAATATGAATAACTATTTATTATGTTATCAGTTTTCAAAATTTATTAAAGTAATTAAATCTAATGGAACGCATAAAATAGATACTTTTTCAAATAATTTATCAAAAAGCCGCGAATCATAAAAAACTTTTTTTTGGGCGGATTAAATTCTAATTTAAATTAATTTAATTAATTTCAACGGTCAAAAAATTTTGGATGCCACTAAAAAAGATATTTCTCAAGCAAACTTCAAGAAAAAGGTAATTAAAAAAAATTTAAATATTAAATTATCAAATTTAATAATTAATTCTAAAATAAAATAAAATCCCTTAAACTTTTTAGTTAAATTTTAAAAAATATATTATTTTATATTTATATAAAAAATATTAGAAATATTAAATCAAAAATAGCAATCAATCATTTATCTTAATAATTAAAAAGATATTAATATTCTGTATTTTTATTAGATAATACTTCATACATTTTAAATAAATTAAAAATATTATTTAAAGCTTTTACAGGGTTTAAAAAAAGAATTAATTATAATTTTAAATTCATTTTATAAAATGTCAAGTTTAAACTAGAGTATTGTCAATTAAGATATTCATAATGTAAACCATAAAATATTTAACAAAAATTATTCTACAAGATTTCATTTTAATGTAAAAACTATTAGACATCAAATGATGCTGATTTGAAAAAGAACAGAAGTATGCGCTTAATGCAGAGATTAGAAAAAAAATATTCTGAGCAAGGAGACCAAAAAACCTTACTTGAAAATGTAATATATTAAATGCTAAATTTGCATAAATTATAAAGCATTTTATTTAAAAAATAGAATGAGAACCTAGAAACAAGTTCTATTTAGACAAATCAATCTCAAGAACCTGCTATAAAAATCACTTCAAATGAATTCAGTAAATATTTAAAAGATAAGCAAAATATCATCAAAATTATTTTTAAAGAATAGAATAAGCCATAATAAACAGAGAATCAAGGTATATCAGGCAGCGAAAAGTTGGAATTGATGAAAAAGAAAGATCAAATAATAGTGAATATTTTAATTTGCAAAAATTTAATCATATTTATTGAGATTCTTTGATTTTAAAATATTTATCATTTAAATTTAGGAGAAATATGATAGACTTAGCATTATCATTTGTGCAGTTCTTGGGGTTATTTTGGCAATACTTTCAAGTAAAAAAAATAAATTACAATTTTTTATTTGAAATTTACATTTTTTATTATTTTATTTAAATTAAATCAGAGTAGAGTATGTCAGTGAATTTTTTATTGATATTTGTTAGTTATCAATTATTGTATTAGATTATTCAAAGGAATTTTCTCTTGGCACGTATAAACTCATTATGTAAATTTGATTTATTTTAGTACTATATCATTTAATTTTGTATTACATATAATTGCAATTATTTTTAAATCATATTTAATAACTATTCCAAAGTAAATTAAGGCTAAACCGAATTGAATATTGGTAGTTTTGTCAGTGAAAAAGCTAATAAAGCCATTAATTTAATTTCTCATGTTTCTAGATTCAGTAAAGTTTTTAGGTAGTTGGCTGATGATATTTCTGCATTCTTGTTTACTTTTGTTGTCTTTTCTTAAATACTATAGCGTTTCTGAGATTAAATGTAAATAAATTTAAATTAATCACATACAAGCTGTTTTAAGATATGACTAATTTAGATCAAGCTATTAAATTAATATTAATTATATATTTTTAAGTTACGTAAACATAAAATTGTAATAGTCATTTATTTGTGTCAAAGTAAGCTGTTTTCGGCAATTTGTATTTTAACAAAATATTTTCCTAACTTGAAATATTTCTTAACACTTTTCAAAAATAAATTTTAAACATTCTTTTTAGCAATCTTTAGGCTATGCTTAAAGTATAAATTGATAAAATTTGGTATTTGAATCTTCTTTAAGCAATAAATAATAAGTAAAAATTTATTGCATATAATTGATTACTATTATTTTTTGTAAAATTTAACAATAAATTCTTGAATTCCTCTTAATTCAGAAAATTAAGGAAAATCATTAATTTTAATGTAAACATTTTTTGTGTATGTATGATTAAATTTAATCAGTCAAAAATAAACAAACTTTGTTTACTAATGAATAAATGATTAAAAAGTTAGTTATCATGAATAATTTAGTTTGATTAGATTTTATAAATGTTTTTAGCCAATAAAAATATTGTAAGATACTTATTGAATTAATTTAAATAAATAAAAAGATAGGACTCTACTCGATTAAATTACTCTGTTTGGTTATTATGTAGTAAATATTAAATAATTGCATCTACGTATTAGCTAATTATTTGGTATACATCCTCTCTTACAAAATATACCCTAAATAAAGATTTAAATTTTTTGATATTTATACTTTGCACTTTAGTGACATAAATAATTAATTAAATTGATAAATAAATAAATTTAATTTAATTTCTAAACAATAAATCAACATAAAATACTGACCAATATGGGAGGAAAGAAAAAAAATTAAGATAGCACTTAAAAGACCGGAAACGGATCAACAGCAGATAATACTGCACAAAAACCTGCACCTTAACAAGAAAAAGCTTAAGGAACTTCTGAGCCTGTACAAAAAAAGGAAGAAAAAAAGAAATAGCAATAGGTTGAGTAGCAGAATAATGCAGAGACTTAAAAATTAGAAAAAAAAACAAAAGGAAAGGAAGAAAGTGTAAAGTAGTAGGATGGCAACAAAGCAGATTATAATACTATGGAGCACTTCCGTTAAAATATCATTTCTTCTGTTGAAAACAGAATTTTGGATGCTCATCGTGATTTTGAACTTGAACTTCAAAAGTCTGTCCACAAATTCAACTAAAAGCTAGATGAAACTCTTAGTACCGTTCGTAATCATCAATACAATTCTGAAATTGCAGATTCAGCCTCCAAAAAAAAGTACTATTTCACTGAAAAGTCTTTCACTATTAAAAATAGTTTACTCAGCGATTTGTTTAAGATATCTGATTACAGAACTCTTTACAATATTGTTGTAGCTACCTTTGTTGCTTTAGCCTTTAATCTTATTGTTGTAGATTACGTTGATAAAGGCTCATTATTTGACTTTGAAACCTTGCAATGGTGCTTTTCAGGGTTTCTTAATTTAATTTTCCCTTGGTTGATTCTCTTTTCAATTGCTCTTTCAGTTATTCCTTTTGTTTCTGTAATTAAATTTATTTTTTCTTTTTACTCTCTGTCTTTGCATTTGTTAGAGAACAGAATTATTTAGTTTTTTTTTCATGAACTATTTTTAAATTGATGAAAAACGTTTTTAAATATAGTGGATTATAAATAATAAGATCAGCAAGTATATTTGGATTCCCATTTATATTGGTTATATTGCTTTAATGACTTTTGTTGGTTGCTATACCTGTGTTTACTATACTCTCGGTATGGGCAGTGCCTTTATTATCTAATGTGAAATGGTAAGAATTGGAATGAAAATGCATTCTTATCTTCGTAACAAGCTATTATATTGCACTGAAAATGAATACAAAGCTTTCATCCCTAAGGAATTCGCTACTAAATATTCAATTAATGATCTTAACTTACCAGAATTCAACCTTTCTGATATCCAAACTGAAGTTAGTAGATTCATCTACTTCTTCTTTGCTCCTACTCTTATTTATAGAGACAAGTACATTCTTGCACCTTCAAGAAGCTTTAAAAGTGCTGCTATGCATTTCTTAAATTTCTTCCTTTGCATTTACTTTGGTTTTATCTTATTTAAAACCTTTTGCAAGGATTAAATCATCCTCTTAGCATCAAACTTCACTGTATCTCAGTTTATCTAATGCTTATTTAAGTTGATGATGCCTTCTACTTTTTCTATTCTTCTCCTTTTCTTCGGTCTTTTGCACTCTTGGTTCAATGGATTTGCTGAATTACTCCGTTTCCCAGATCGTACTTTTTATCTTGATTGGTGGAATTCTGAAGAATTCGGTACTTATTACAGGTAATTTTAATTAATAATAAAACTATAAAATCTTAGTAAGCTAAAAATAATTTTAGAAATTGACAAGAAAATTCTTAAAAAGCTATTGAAAAGTATTATAAATAAAAAATTTAATAAAATAGCTTTTAAATTAGCAGTAAAAAAGATTAGAAAATTAAGCTTATATTTTTTTGTTGAATAAAATAAAAGAACTTTATTTAAAAAAGATTTATCTATCTATCTATCTTGTTTTTCAGCTTCAAAAATAGATTTAATTTTAAACTTTTATAAAATTAATTAACAAAAAATTTAATAAATAGAAAATGGAATATTGTTGTTCACGAATTCTTGTTCTATTATGCTTATGGTGATACAGTAAGATTCTCAAAGGGTAAGTATGGAAGAGGTGTAGGCATGTTCATTACCTTTGCAGTTTCTGCCCTCATTCACGAAGTTATCCTTTCATTTGTTATTGGATATTTCTATCCTATTCTCTTGATAGTATTTACTGGTCCAGGTATCATACTCATTCAAAATACTAGAATGTATGGCTCTAAGAATTTCAATATCGCTTTTTGGTTACTTATGTACGTAGGCACATCACTAATTATTACCCTTTACTTAACTGAGCAATGGGCTAGATCTAATGTAGATGAATCTGTCATTTATGCTCAATGGGGTAAATTCATGGGAGATATTATGCCTAGAACTCTCTATATTAATTTCTCCAACAAGATTTCATGATATAAATTCAATAAATAAATAAAAGTTTGATTAATTATATATTTGAAAACTAACCAACTATATATATTACATTTATTTCTTAAAAAGAAATCTAAAGTGTTTTTATATTTCTATTTTTATATTTTAGTTTAATATCTATTAAATAAATATATTTTATCAAAAAAATTATTTGAAAACAAAAAATAAACAAAATTTAGGTTACTGAAGTATCAAACCTAAGACGAAAAACTCTAGCTATTTTTAGATATAAATTAGATTAACATTTAATAAATTATAAAATAGTAAATTAGAATATTTTTAAAATACAAAGTGAAATAATAATAATAATTCGAGAATATGCCCATCAATGCATTATTTTCTCTTTTTATTCGAGAAATAAAAAGAATGCAAGAAAGGATATAATGATTATCATAACAAATAAACAAATAGAAAAATAAAGAAAAATAGAAGAATTTAGAAAAATATCTTAGCTTTTATATTGCTTTTTTGCATATGTTAATTAGCTCTATATATCATGTGATTGATAATGAGGACTGCTTATAGAAGTTAGAAAATTTAGTATTTAATTTATATAATAAAGCATTTTTTGATAGACGGCAAATAATCAATTTAGCTAACCAAGCATGCAAACAAGTAAATAAATAAATAAAGAAAATTAATTGAAATTTTAAATTTTAGAGAAAATTGCATTAATTAATTAATTGAATCATTTATATATATATATTTTTTTTAACATTTATAATAATTAAAATAAAATATCTTTCAAAAAATTAAAAAAGCTAACAAAATTTATTAAAAAAAAAGAATACCAAGCAAACAAAAATGGCTCAATTGTAATTAATTTATTTGTTCTTCTACTCAATTCATATAAAAATATGAACATAAATTAAGACATATTTTAAATCCATAATAAATAGAGCAACTCCTTTCTCCTGGGCTCAAAGAAGAGACAGAATTTTCATTTCTATTAATTTAAGAGATATCACTGAAGAAAAGATTGACCTCCAACCTACTTCCCTTTCTTTTGATTGCACTTCTGATAAAAAGCAATACCACGGCGTCGTAAACTTCTATGACGAAATTGATGTCGAAGTAATTAATTATTTAAACTTTAGTTAAAAAAATTCGATGTTTCCTAAAATTATTTTCTGTTTTTCTTATAATTTTTTACTGATAATTAAAATATTAAATCGCTTAATTAATATTATCTATAAATTAAAGAGTTCCAAGAAGACTATCTTAGGTTTTGGTGCAAGAATTGTATTATTTAAAAAGAATACTGAAGCTCCTTACTGGCCTCGTTTGACCAAAGAAGGTGGCAAGCATAACAACATCACTTTTGATTGGGAAAGATATATTGATTCTGATGAAGAAGGTGAAGATGGAGATAAGGGATTAGGCCAAGATTGGGATCCTTCTTAAATGTAACACTTCGGAGGTCCTGGCGGCGAAGAAGACTCTGATGATGACGAAGAAGGTGCTGGTAAGTTTTATATTTAGTTTTTTATAAATCTTTAATAGGCTATCACACAATCAAAAGCAATATATACAAGCATAACAGCAAAAAAAACAATAAATTTGTATGCATAAAATGCAAAATGAAAAATAAGAATAAGAAAATAGCCTAGGTATTTGAAAAAGAGTTGTGATATAACTTAATAATATTAAAATTAAGAAATAATAAAATATTCAAGTTGATTATTTTATAATATAGGCCAAAACGTCAATGATCTTGATGATGAAGAAGAAATTGATGCTAAAAAGGAAGAAGATAATGCCGATTAAAACGATGAAAAGAAGGAATGAGATGATTTATAAAAATTAATATAAAAGATTAACAAATTAAAAAATTATAAAATTTAAGTATTCATTAAATAAGTAAGATATTTGTATTATATTTACACTTCAAAGTCTACCTTTTAACTAACTAACTAACTAATCAATTAAGCAAGCAATTATAATTAATCTATTTATTTTTTTATTTATACTAATTTCTCTCTAATTTTTTAAATTTCTGAGTATCAAATTCAAAAAATAGCTTACTAAGCTTAGCTAAATTATTTATCAAATATAATATATAATCTAATGTTAACTCCTTAGCTAACACTAAATTATTGATTGTATCTGATCTCTTAAGATAATCAAAAATTTTAACAAAAAACATATTTCATTAATTTTCACTTTTATAAAAAAGTATTTATATACTTCTTTCAAAAAAAATAATATCAGATTCTTATTAGATTTTTAAATATTTATGCTCGCTTATCTAAGCTCAAAATACTTTCATTAGAAGCGCATAGACTTTCTATATAAAAAATATTTAAATATAATAATTTTATTATTTATTCATCTTATAAAAGAGAAATTTGTTTATTTTCTCTTGTAAATATTATTTTATTATCTGATTAAATAAATATGCTATTGTATGAATAAATTAATATTACTGTGATACATTAATTTATATAAATAACTTTCATGCTTGTTGATGTGATTGATAATTTAAAATTTTTTATTTTAAAGTAGAGGTTTTGCAATTAATAGCTCAAAAGAAATTTATTTACCATACTAAAATATGTTTTTTATTTAAGGTCTATAAATAAAAACATTGTTTTAGTGAATGAGATGAGGTGTTTGTTGTTTACTAATATTATTAAAATCTAATAAATTATTATATAAATTAATTTCATTTAAAATATAAGTATTTATTAAATATAAATAAGAATCCAATTAATCATAAATAATTAGGTTTTAAACAAACTAAATCTTAATAAATAATTAGATATTAGTCCTCTTAAAAAAGAGTGTTTTCAAAAATTATAGAATGATAGGTGGCATACATACTTCAGGTTAGAGGATAGTACTAGATGATTAAAGTGAATAATAAGAAGTAGCGTTTTGACAATATTTAACAATAATAAAGGAAAGGGTTTTAAATTTATTTTACAATGTTAAAATTAGGTCCTGTAATCTGAATAATACGAAATACCAAATTAGAATTTAATTTCAGAACTATTTTTAGACACTAATCTTGGAACAACAGCTAGCTTCTTCTAGAAAAATAAAATAATTATCAATCCAACTGCATTTTGGAATATATTGAATAAAATTAATAAATATGAATCGCAGTATCAAGTAAAATATAATCTATTTATTTTATTATTAATTCGATACTCAAGCAGACCAAAAAATCTAACATAAAAAGATTTTGATTTTTAGCTATAAAAAATATATGCTATTGAAATTTTACAGATTAGAATTGAATGATGATAACACGGCAATTACATTTTTTATATTAATTTTAAATAGATAGATTTTTTAGCATAAATAAAGGAAATCTTGATAAGAGTACAAACAAATTCAACTTTAGTATTGCAAAAAAATGAAAAAGGAGAATATTTTAAGGCTAAGAATATTTTAGATGAGTTAATTGAAATGGTACTTATGAGTTCAAATTAAGGCAAAGAATAAGTATTATTTTTCATCCTATAATAATTATAAAACAATTTAAATTTGTATCTAAAAATGCTTACACAAAAATAATTTAATCTTTGAAATTATTATTTAATCTAGTAAATAATCAATCTTATATACTTTTATGATAAAAAAGATTAAAAAAGAAATCTTAACCATAATATAAATAATGATGAAGTACAATAATATAACAAAGCAAAACTTATAAAACCTTTTTTCCAAAGTAACTGAAAATTTTTATAGCGGCTTCATAGAGGGGAATTTGATTCTTACTTCATTAGAAATTTTACACAGTATCTTTAATCAATAAATGCCAATTACTTCTGAGCCTCATAATTTTTTTTACTTTAACGGGCTAAGAAGTGGCATAGAAGTAGTTAAGAGCTAATGGACTTTTTCAAAAGTAAATAAATAAATTTCTAAATTTAATCAGAAACTTAAAATTAATTTAATCAAAAATAAATATCAGGGAGTAACTTTTTGCTTTTGGGTTTATCCTTAAATTTTAGATGAAGAATGCAGTATAAAGCTTAAATAATAAATTATATACGTCTAATGTGAGAAAAAGGAATTCGAGTTTTTTGTAAATGAGCATGCTTAGTTGTATTACTAATATACTGATAAGCAAGACAAAAGAGAACCTGTTTATATTATTGATTTAAATGTAATGCACTGGCAGTTTTTAGTAATTTAAATTAGCTTGGTTAAAAATCACTTTGGTTCTGATAAATACTAAGTGAATATCATCCATGACAACGAAAAAGTATCTATGGTATCGATTGATTTCCCAAGAATAAAAGCAGGTTAGTAAATTGATAAAATGGCTTTCTTTAGGAATTTTATTGGACGATGCTCTAGCATTTTAGTTTTTAGAGGAGGATCTTCAGAATCAGACAAGTAATTTATTTTTAAACAAAGATAAAAAAATAATTAAAATTCTCAAAAAAAAAAATAAATAAACTGATATTTCTCAATAATGATTGGCTAATTTATTTATTGGGAATTTTTCTTTAGTAAATAAATAAATATTTCAAACATTTTGTTTTAGAATTTTAATGGATAAATTACTTGGAATGGAAAGTATTTTATTGCTAAAACTCAAAGATTTATTACAAATTTTAATTAAAAAGCATAAGTAATTATGGTATTCTATTTAAAAATTACAAATATGGTATTGAAACAGAACATTAGCTTGCAGATCTTTCTAAAATTATCGGTCCTCTCTTTAACAAAAAAGAAATATTTTATTTACCAATGAGGAGTAGTAAGAAGTATGTCTATGAAATATGCTTTGAATAGATTGGAATATTAAGCATAAACTCAGGTGTATTTTGTAAAGAAAGCAATTTTATGTGTTTATAACATTTTTGTGGTTTGAATTCTTTAATTCCGTTTTTCTATCTGATGAGATTTTGTTCATCAAAAAAGCGCTAGGATATCCTTAACTCAGCATTTTCTTTGATTAACACACTATTTAAATAAGACAAATTTAAATGCCAAGAAGAAGCATTAAATTTGAATTTCTTTTTAGTACTGAGCCAGATGATGAATGAAACTAATCTTAAGTATATTAGCAAATAAACTATAGAACATATAGCAGAAATAAGATGGAATATTGGAAGCAATCTTAAGCAAGAGGTTAAAATCAAAATTTGACATTTTATTTCTATTAAATTTTTATAAAATTAAAATGATTTTTATTATTTTCTCTCTTAAATATTTATAATTCATATTTTAAATACTAAAAAATATATAAAAGATGTTTTCTAAGTTTATATGGAACATTAATTTAATAAACGTCGAGGATGCAGAAGTCTTTGAATTATATTACAAGTTTGTTTAAGCTATTTACATAGAAGATTTTAATCATCACAGTAAATTGTTTAGCATAAGTGATATAATTGAATTCATCGTAAATTCTAATTGGATATTTTTTTGTATTGTTTCTAACCATTTATTTTCTTAAGATTGAAAAAGTCGAACCAAAGAATTAAATATGCTGCTAAGACCATTTTCCGAAAGAAGAGAATAATGTACTTAGTCTTAATAAGAATTAAAGCTCAGCAATCAGTAATGAATTTTCAAACAGTCTGGTACTTTAATCTCATCAAAGCTCATAGCAATTAAAATTCATTACCTAGTATGATAAAAAGTTGAGTATTTTAATGAATCTTATTGAAAAAGTTCTTTATGCTTCAAAGGGTAATTTATCAGGCGACATATATCATTTAATTAAATGTCTAACACTTAACCTAACTCCATGTTTTTACAGAAATCTCTTAAAATTGTTAATAGTAAGATTACATTATAGACTGAAATCATACTCATATATTCATATTATTATTCATTTAGAATCTAATTTAATAAGATGATAAAGACAAAAGAATTTTTCTTAAAAAATTCTTCGAATATTAAGGAATTTACTCTGTCCTTTTTACACTCTCAAGATGTGCTTGCCCAAGTATGATAAATTTTTTCTATATTTTAAAAATATAAAATTTATAATCAATTATATCCTAAAATTTAGAAAATTATATTAAAAGGAAAAAAATTTATTTTGTTTAATAAAATATATTAAAATGATTAAAAATGATGAAATTTTATTAGATTGGAGTTTTTTACACTAAATTATAATACAATTTATATTATTTTAAAAAGCTGTTAAAACCCTTTGTGTGAAATTAATAAGCGAGATTGCTAGAATGGAGTATGTTTAAATGAATTCATCTAGTTTGTTTAAAGGAGCATTTGACTATGAAAATGAATTGGGAGCCCTTATTTCTTATTCGTTGTAATTCACTTTTCTATCAGAAAGACCTCAAGGCTATAAAGGAGTAAAAATATATGAAGATTTTGAAATTATAGACGATTTTGATGTGTAAGAACCTTAAATATAAATATAAAACAATCACTTTGATGTGTTTAAAAGCAACATTAATGATTAAATAAAAGAATTAGAAGATAGCCAAGCTAATTCCTTTGAGATTTAAAAAACTAATGTTGATGAGGTTGCTGCAACTGAAATCAAACAATCTTCTTAAAATTTAAAAACTATTTACACAGACGAACAACAAAGTAGTGAAATATTAGACATAAAAGACTAAAACAAAATAGAAATAGCATCTTAAAAAAAAAATTAGCAACCTAACAAAGCTTAAGAAAATAATAAAAATAGCTTAAACAATAAGTAACTAAATATTCATTCAGTAATTAATGAAGTAATAATCATTCTTTTTTAAAGCAATAAAATGGAAGAGAATGTTGGAAGCCCAAGTTAGTAGATTCATTTCCACCCACTCTATGTCTCCATTATTGAATGGGTTCTTAATAAAGTAATAAAATTATTATCAAAATCCAATTTATTTGTAAAAGTAAATTTATAAATATAAAGGAAGCCTCTCCCTAATTAAAAGATATGATTATGGTAGAAGAGTAAGATTAAATATAATCTATTGAAGCATTTTTGCTGCTTATATAGTTTTTTGATTTATGTGATGAAGTGCTTTAACAAGACATTATTGTTGATATTTACTTTTTAATTAAACACAATCCCAGAAATAGATAAATATTTATAGAATCAAAAGAATTTTAGCATTGGGTGGTTAAAATATTATTTAGGTCTCTATGTGAGTAAATGAAAAGCAAACTTAATGAAAATAGCCAGGATACTAAAATATTTGAAAATTAATGGAATATGGCTATAAAAATAATATCTAGATCTTATAGCCATGGATTAACAAATATGCCTAATTTAGGTGAAAATTTAAATGAATTAGTTGGTTTAATTAAAAATGTCACAAACAATACAACTGGTTATCCATTTTATATAGTAAATTATGATTTTATTAATAAATATTTAAAAACAAATTAACTAATCTCATTATTACAAAATTAATTAAAAGATAGAATATGTTGGTAAGCTTCTGCTTAGGTTAATTTTTTAGTCAATCCTTGATAATATATCAGATGACATTAAGAATTAAGGCGAATTTTCAAAAACTCACTTATAAAAAAACATGAAGTGGTTCATTAATTTAACTTTTAGTTTTATTTTTAGTGAGTCCTACTAAATCACTAATCCTCCATTCGAATTCGATTTTTACAACGAAAATTCAAAAAATTTTACTTTCTTGGAAGAAATTTACTTAAATTTACCCGCATTTCCCAGAACATTTGGTCCATGTCTGTGGGTAGACGCGCCATTGATTTTTAAAATTATGGAAAGCTATTCTAATTTATTCAGAAAATATTGTATAAACAATGACTTACTTTTAAGCTTCTTTGCTCCTGAGCAATCCTTACATATGGATAACCTTTATCAAATTCTTTTTGATAAACAGTAAAATATTGTTGGAAATACTCATGCTCATAGAAAGTGTAAGTTAGCTTTTATTAAGAAAAAATTTTTAATTTAATTTTATTTGTAAAGCCTCAAATAATGGAATGAGTGAAAATGAAGTGTTCGGATAAATATAAAATGGACTAATTTAATCTTAAACTTTCTAAAATAAGATGATTCAATTTGATGAAGAGTACTGCTTTGTCTAATAGCTTTTCTTTATAGTGAGTAGTCTTGGAGAATTTTTAATAAAATCATTCCAGTGCAGTGAAGAATAACTGAAGACCGTCTTCTTATTCTTAGAAAATATGATTAAAGTGTCATCGATCTGTTGTGAAAATTCAAGGGAAGTTTAAAAATCAGAAGAAGAAATAAAATAAATAAGATTATTCTTTTAATTTGCCTTGAGCTTTTACTATAACATGTATAGATATCTTCAAAGAGAGGGAAATGAAATGGCAAGTATGATTGAGTAGTCGATTCATAATATAATGTAAATTCTGTTTTATGTAATGGATAAAACTTGCAAGTACAATGGTTATGGCAGATTGCTTATTGATGTCTTTTAGAATCATTTATTTGATTAAAACAACCAATCTCTTTTAACAGAAGAAATGATCAAAAAATACACGGTATGATAAATTTTAAATTATTTTTATTTATAACTTACTTTGAAAATAGTTTGACAACATGAATGAGCTTGACTAATTAATTTTTACAGATGAGTGGCAATATGCTTTGATTGAGAACTGCTAATACAAATTCCCCGACTCTGCTAAAATAAGACTTCAATTTGAATTTGTTAGAAACTAAGAGTGCTTTAATATCCAAGAAGAATTCGAAAAAGTAATGAAAAAGAGAAAAGAAATCAGAAAAAACTTTGATTATGAAAAATATAATATTATAAGCGTTAACAATTCAAAAGATTAGTAAAGAAAAACATATTTCGTAGATAAAGACGAAAGAATTGTAAGACAGGCTAAATATGTATGGTATAATATATGGAAAAAGAATAGATCTTACGCAGGACTATGGAAACATCCAAATTTCAAAGCTCAAATTGACTAAAAATTCAGCCCTGAAGTAAATATTTTTTAAAAAGTAGCTTAAACAAATAGTTAAATTCAATAAAAAAATTTTAGATTTATGAGTACTAAAAAATGGAAAAACCTAGTTTATTTTATTACAAGATGTCTAAATATATGACTAAATAAAAAATTAGACCATTATTAAAAATAAAGCTTGTTGAACCAAAATATGTTGTAGAGTTTGAAAAGAAAAAACTAGACAAACAGCTATAAAGAAGAAAGCTGCGTTTATTATAATATGATATTAACAATCCTTCTCAGTAAGGACCTTAATCACCTTCTAATTCTCAAAGCAATTAGCTATTCAAAGAAAAAAAGTCTGGAGGATTCAATTTATTGAAGCAAATAAAAAATTTATATTAAGTAAAGAATACAAAGGAAGAAATAGAATGGTTCACTGTAAGATGCTAATGGATTAAATCGTTAACAATTCGTATTGGAATGGTTAAAATTGATTCTCTAAATATCAGGTAATAATTTATACAAGTAATATAAAAAGTTAATAAATAAATAAATTATATAAAAGCTTCTACTTTGATACTATTGAGCAGAAAGAAACTCATCTATCTATGGTTAATCATAGCATACCTGATAATAGACCTTTGAGCAAGTCCTGGCCATTACAAATGGTCAAATATTATATGAGGAAAAGGTTTGTTCATAGAAAGACTGCTATTGAGCTTTATATGTATGATGGTTCTACTGTTCTATTTAATTTCCCAGACAAAGATTTAGATGCCGTTATCGAAAAATTGTAGCAAATAAGAAAGAAAGAACTATAAAATAAGCCCTCTTTTGGATTAGTGGAAAAATAAAGAGTAAATTAAAAAATTTTTTTCCAAAATTTAAAAATATTATTATTGAAAAAAAAAGGTTTTAGATAAATAAAAGCAAATTAAGAAATGGATTTCAAGGTAAAAATCAAATTTAGAATATCTCATGATTTTAAATTTCTTTGCTGGCAGAAGCTATAGAGACCTCACTTAGTATCCCGTCATGCCTTGGATTTGGGTGAAGTTTGATAATTAAACAATTAATTTGAATGATTAGACTCTATATCGTAATTTCTCTAAGACTATGGGTGCTCTTGGAAATGCAGAAAGAACTGAATAATTCAGGTTAGCTTTTTTTCCTTTTTCGAATTTATTTAAATGAAATAACTTTTGTTTAGATAAAAGTTAGAAACAACTGATCACTTTAATCCGGTTCCTCCTTACAATTTCGGTACTCACTATAGTTCTCCTGCTATTATATTTTAGTTTTTACTACGTATTAAACCATACAGCACAGGTGCTTGGTACTTGCAAGCATAAAGATTCGATATACCTGATCGATTATTCTTTTCTTTATTTGAAACTTTCAAGAATGTTACTGAGGAAATGAGTGATGTTAGAGAGCTTATCCCAGAATTTTTTTATCTTCCAGAATTATTTTTGAATCTTGAAAAGCATGATTTTGGTATCATGCAAAGTAAAGAACGTGTTCATAATGTAGATCTCCCACCTTGGTGCAATCAGGATCCTTACTTATTCATTTATAACCATAGATTAGGCTTAGAAGGAGAGATAGTTTCTAGAAATTTACATCAATGGATAGATTTGATATTTGGCTGCAAATCTAGAGGAAAGGAAGCTGAATAAAATTTAAATAAATTTTATTACCTTACTTATGAAGATGAGTTTAACATAGATGACGTGAAAGATGAGAAAGAAAGAATTGGTTATGAAAGCCAAATTATTCACTTTGGTTAATGCCCTGCGCAGCTTTTAACCACTCCTCACCCATGCAGGATTTAAAATTAATCAAATAATTAACATAATAATTCATCTATTATTTCTAATAATACATCATCTTAAGTAGTTCAGCCCTCTTCTCAGACATTAATTTAAACAGCTATTAATTTTGTAGGATCTCCTCAAATAAGCTCTTAAAGTTATAGTAATCCAGTTGCACTTAATCAATAATTATTTGTAGATAAAAGTGCTTAATTATAATTCTATAGAGCTTTCCCAAAAGAATAGAAAGAAGATAAGGGTTAAAGTCCAGATTCATATAAATTCTGTGATTTACGTAGTAGATCAATTATTTAAATATATTAAATTGAGGTATCGAAATTTTTAGCTCTTAGGAAAAATGGAGAAGTGAGTGTCATTAAGTAATAATTTTTTAAAGAAAATAATTTTACTATTTAAAAATAAATGCAATTTTATAAAAAGGTTGTAATAAGCTGTTGAGGAAAAATATTATCCTTTTAAATAAAACGTTGTAAGTGACAAGTAATTGGAGTTGGATATGAACAAAAGTAAAATATTTCTTTATTACTAAATAATTTGTTTACATTTTAAATTCTATTTTCTAAAATTATCAAAAGATGAAAAAATTCACAATCTTGATCAGTCATGCTAATTTAGAGTACCTCCAACTATCTTTTTAAATTAAGGCAAAGTAAGAATTTGTATTATAATCTCAATATTTTAATAATATTTTATTTTAAAAACAACAAAGTATCTTTTGACAGGAGGATTATGGGGTGGAAGGATTTGTTTATATAGCACAGAAAATGAAAAATTAATAAAAGAGTTCAAGCATATTCATAATTGGACTGTGACAGCTATGGATTTCGATCCTAAATCATACACATTAGTTACAGGCAGTAAAGCAGGTGATGTTTGCATTATAAAAATGTCCTCAGATTATTAAAATTTTATTGAATTTGAATAATACTATGACCACAAAGGAGAGGTAATCAAAATATTAAAAAAATATAAATAAATAAATTGACGATAATATTTTTTAAATTTTTACAAAATCAAATAAAAATAATTTATAAATTTAATTTTAAAATAAGGTAACAAATATTCATATCAACTATGAATTTAGATGTGTTGCAACTGCTAGTGTTGATGGAAGCATATTTATATATAATATTTTTAACAAGAAAGTATAAAGATAATTCAACCATCCAAAGGGATTGCCCATACATAAAGTATGTATTACAACGCGTCCTTTATATGCTATTATCTTCTTCTCAGAAAGAGATTGTACATTTTACAGTTATAGCATTAACGGATAGCTGTTATCTACATATTATGAAGACTCAACAAGTGTCATAAACCCATTGATAATATAAGATTCTAGTCTTCTAGATTAGCTTGTAAATACTTTTATTCTGTGATGTTTTTTCATAAAATCTAATAATAATTCAATTAAGTTTTTAAAATAAATTTTATTATTTTATTAGGAATATTTATTTCACTCTAAGTAATTTGATAATGATTTTTTTATAAAATTTAGGTATATATAAACTACTAGACATAAAAGCTAAAAATATTGGAAGCCCCATATCTAAAAGAAAGGTCTTCTGTTAACAAACCTTACGATGTACCTAACGCAGTGTGGTGGTAGCCATCATAAGACAAAAAGTTTATTATATGTGGCTCTGAAGATGGTAATGTATTCTTTATCATAGATCCAAAAGTTTTAGAAGCTACAGTATGCAAAGCTTTGAATTAATTTGTTTGAAGATAGCAAAGCAATATAGATTTTAATTAAGTTTAAGATTGAATATGATTATTATATATAAAAAAAGAACTCTAATAAAATATTAAATATTTTTTTGTTTATAATATTCGACAAGCTTTAATAAACTTGTATATTTTATTATTCAAATAACCAGTTAGTTTAAAGATTAATAAAAAAAATCTACCGTTTTTTAATTTTATAAATTGTTTTTAAATTTTTGATTTAAATTGTAATTAAATTTTTTATAATGCGTCATTAGAAATTTTTGCAATATTTAAATAAATTATTATAAAATGTAGTAATGAAATTTTTGAGTAAAAAAATTATATATAAAATCCCATTCATTTGCTTTTGGATTTAACAAATTATTTTATTTTGCAATTAATTAAGTTAAGATTTATGAATGTAATTTACATTTATTAAAAATTTTAATATTGATGATAGTAGATAGAAATTTCTATCAAAATTATACATTTAAACAAGGTTAAAAATTATTTGAATAAAGAAAAAAGTAGAATATACTATCAAATAAGAGTATCTAAATAAATTTATTATTTCTTGATATTAATTTTTTTCTTATCAATCGATTCAAACAAAATGTACAAAAGTTAATTAAAAATATATCAAAGGCTATTAAAGATCAAAATTTAAATATTAAAAGAAGAAAGAAGAAAACCAAGGCAAGCAGGTTTAATTATTAAAACTAAATTTTTTGTCTTAAATAGAAACAAATTTTTTCTTTTAATTTTAATAAAATTTAATTTCAGTCAATTTTTAGCTTTATAAAAAGAATGAAAAAAATCATAAAAATTATAATAAATCTATGATATTAAAAAATATTATTTTTATTATAAAAACAAATTATCGCAAGGTAATTTGGAAATTTTATGAAAATTTAACCTTTTAATAATAGTATTGTTTCAATGTTTTCAATATTATGGGATAAGCTACAAAATGAAATTAATATTATTAAAGATAACAGAACATACATGCCCTACCATTTAATAGTTGTTAACTGCAATAAGATAAGAGAATAATAGTTAGAAAGATATAATTAAGATTAATTAATCTAATAAAATTCGTGAATTAATTTAAGCTTTTATAATCAAATATTATAATAAATATTTTAAATCTTAAAACTAGAAGTTTTAAATTATTTTATTATTTTGAATGCATAGATATCTTTGAAGTTTGAAAATTTTCTACTTAAAATATCAAATTTACGACATTTTGTTGCAAGCAATCAAAATAAAGCAAATCAAAAAAAAAAAATTAACTTCAGACTGTCCTATTATAAAATACAAGAAATCTCTACAATATTTATAATTAATTGCAAGATATTTTATACTTTTACATCTAAATCCAATAACGAAAAAGAAAAATTAAAGAAAAGGATAGAAAAGTTTATAGTAAATATTATATAATTATGATAAGACGCCTTGTTAAATTAGCATCCCACAAATAACTGGGAACAACAAATCAATAACCAAGCAAATTTACTATCATGAATAGCTGCACTTATTTCTCTAGTTTATGTTCTTAATAAGCATTTCATAGATTCTCAACTAAGAAGTTAGGTAATACTAAGAGCACATAAACAAGCACATTTCATAAAACTCCTTTCACGAATGGAGAACCTTAAGTATCATCTCTTTAGTTTAATTTAGATGAAGATGAATGTCCTGAGTTAAATGAATTGAAGGAGTATTTCACAACTTAGGAATAGGATGACTTAGATTAAAATGATGAATTTTTAGAAGATGATGAAAGAGGACTCACTTAATTCGACCTTAATGAAGGTGGTGAAAGTGATTTTTCTGAAGAGTTCGAAAAAGCAATATAAAATAGTAATTCAAAAAGACTTAATAATGAAAAATGTTTATTTGATTCAAAGAGCAGTCAAAATATTGGTCGTAATCCACAATAAAAAGGCTTATTTTCAGCTCTTGAAAGCTAATAAGGTACTGAATAAATAGAAGAATCTTAAGAAAAAAAAGGGCTAATGTATTTGAGAAAGAATAAAAATCATCCAAGTAAATAAATTATTTATTATTTTGAAGTAGATTTATCTTAGTAAAAACAATAAATTCATATTTTTTGCATAAATATTTGATTTGCAAAACGAGAAAAATAAAAAAAAACATATTTCGATTTATTTAACCCATTTTTCTACCTGTATCCCTGCTTACTTGCTAATTTTAAAAGTAGAGTTTTAGTTTTTCAATGAAAAAAATAATCGATATGATATGTTAGTAAGAATTTTAACTTAATTATTTAATAAATGAAGAAAATGAATGATAATTATGCCATTATTTATCTATAAGAAATAGAATTGTTTCATATAGAGATAACAAAATTAGCAACAAACAATATTTTGTTTATAAATTTAATTAATTAAATTAATATTAAATTTCTTTATTTAAAATAATAGCTTTTTTGGAAAAAAAATTCGGCTTAAATATTTCTAGTGATCCAAGAGAGAGATAGGCAGATTTACAAAAGTTTGTCTTAAAGGCCCTTTAGCTCTTAAATGCAAAGCAAATATAACATTTTATTTAGATTATTGAATACTTTAAAAGCAAATTAACTACTCATAATTTCAAGAAATCATAGAATGTTCATGAAGAATTCTTTATGAAATAGGTTTATAAGCTATTTGAAAACAGTAATTAATTAATTATTAATTGATTATCAAACTAATTTTTATTTATTCAATAAAACTCAAACAAAACTCCTAAATTAAAAGAAATAGAAATTATTTATCCTGCTCCCATGCAAAATTATAATTTCTAGAAAAATCTGTATTAATTCAACTTTTTTATTGATAAAATTATTGCTTTAACTTAAATAACTCAGCTTTAAAATATTTTGCAATAATTTATAGAAAAAGGAGTCTTTTTATTGACTTTAAAAATGTTTGAAATATTTAATTTTTTTTTTATAAAAAGACTAAGCTGATGAACTTATGGATCTATTTTTAAAGTGCGACTTAATTGATATTAACATTAATTTATTTAACAACAATGTAGTAGACTACGAAAAATAATATGAAATTAAAAATAAATTTAAATAATTTGATTCATTTTGCAAATAAAATTAACCTAATGGCAACCACTTCTTGTTGAACGAACTTGCTGAAAAATATAATAATATTGATTACTACAAGTATTCATCTTTGTAGCATGAAGACTTGGAAAATTAAATTGATGAATTAGATATTGACACATTTGATAAAAGCAGCACTCACCACAATAAAAACTATTCTTAAAACGAGTCAGCTATTGAACATTAATAGGAAGATATTTATAAATAAAAGCAAGTTAATGAATTTAAAAAATCAAGTAAAGAATCCTCAAATGTATTTGAAGGAAAAAACAAATAAACAAAGTAAATAGATAGTACAAATGTTGATATTTTTTAAGGCGAAATTGCTATGGATAAAGAACACTAGCTATTTTAAAAAGTTACCATGTATGAATATGAAAAGCATGGCAGCATTAAAAATTTAGATTCAAAATTATTTGAGTAATTAACTCTAAATGAGAATAAAAACTCAATATAATAAAAATATGACATATTCAAGAATGACAGTCTCTAAAAAAATTGGAATTCAAGTTTGCTAGATGAGCAAGAAATCCCTTTAAATACTTTACCAGAAAACTCATTAAGTATCAACTAGAATCTTATCTTTAGTGAAAATTTAATGCTTGAGCCTACAGTTTATTCTTAATAAAAGATAATGCAAATAGGAAGATAATTTGAAAGCTAATTTGATAATAATCTTAGCTTAATTGATGATATAGAAAATGAATAGTCAATGTCAAACAGCTCCAATCTCCCTCTTGTTTCTAACTAAGCCTCTGCCATAAACATAAAATTACAAGAAAAAGATTTTTATGAACTCCTTAATTTAGAGTCAGAACGTGCAGCAATAACTACAAAGAAAATCAATAGAATTCACAATAATAAAATGGTTTTGAAGTCTGCCTTTGAAGTCAATGTTTAAGTAATTAATTAGCATTTAATTTAATTTGAACTCTCTTAATTTGTTTTTTTTATTTTATTTTATTTTATTTTAGCAATCAGACGAAGTTATCCTCTTAAAGCAAGAAAAAAATTTAATCCCTAAAAAATTTGAAAAATCTAATTGGGTTTATTTATATAACTTACCTTATGATTTGAACGAAGTCCCAAATTATACTACTTACTTAAAGAAATTCATAGAGTCTTCATTTGGCGAAATCGAAGATATGAACTTCTTCAACTATAGAGAATTCTTCGAAATTGAAAGAGTTAAGGGTAAAGAGGATCCAATTCATAGAAATTTAAGAGATTCCTTACAAGAATAATATATTTAAACAAATGTCACTTCTAACTCACCATCATCCCCAAATGGCGAAAAAACTAAAAGAAAATCAACAAAAACTGGAATTAATGCTCTAAATGATGATGAGCTCTTGGAACATATCTACTAAAACAACTAGATCAATCCAGATTGTAATTTTTCTTAAATTTTTCTTAAAAAATGTATTTCTTAAATAATTTAATAATACGAATAGTTTGTAATAAAACCTTGAAGAGAACTGAAAAAATTCTTGAAAAAATATAAAATAAGAGAGAGAAAAAGTTTAATAGAAGTTATGCCATGATTAAATTTAAAACTTATGAGCAAAAAGAAAAGGTGCTTTCTTAAGACATCAGATTATTTGGTATCTAAAATTTTAATGAAATGTTTTACTTTGATGATGCTGATTACAAGAGAACCTTAATTATCACTAAAATCCCTTGGGGTATCAAAATAGAGTATTTGATTAATAAAATCAATCAATAACTCAATAAATGCGGTCTTAAGCGTAAAAAATTATTTTAATATTTCAATTTAAAAATTTTTACTAATTTAAAAATAGATGTTAAAATCTCAACCGAAAACATAAATCTGTCCAAAATTCTTACTAATTATTACTTAATGGTAAAAATGAATGACTTTAATGATAGTTTAGATGTCGTTAACGCTTTCAAGAAGCACGAATTTTTCATTGAAGTAATTTTTATCTTAATTTAAATGATCCTATATATATTTTTTTCAATTTAGAACTATAGACTTGCATGTCACCACAGCCACGGTAGCTTAAAGTAAGGACCTCAAGGTTTCTATGAAATTGTAGATACTTACTCAAGTGTATATAAATAAGAACTACTTGAAAGAGTCCAAGAAAGAAAGGTATTCGAAATCTGGAATATTTATAAAGAAAATACTGGATATTTAAATACTATTCGTGGAAATATGCCTCATGACTCTTAAGATAGTATTGAAATAAAGGAAGATGAATTAGAAGATTACAATGAATATGATACTGAAAAGATCTCAGCAAGCACTTAATCTAATTATAACTTCTAGCCATTTAACTCCTCAGCTGCTGGTTTTTCAAAATCTTAGTAGTATTCCTAATAAAGATCAATGTCAGACTATGGATACTATGAGCCACAAGAACAATAAGAAGAATAACCTTCAAATGATTTGATTGAAGAGATCATAAACAAAAAAAAATGAAAATTAACTCAAACACAAGCTTGATAAACATATTTAAATTTCAAATATTTAATAATTAAAAATCGAAATTATAACATTTTCAAAATAAATAAAAATCTCCCTCCCTCTAAACCTCCCTATTAGTTCAACAAAAACCGCTACTGACTTTTTCTATATTATAAATATGCTAAAATTCATCAACAACAAAAACTATTATTGAAGATATCAGTAAGAGGAAAAACTATTAAATAAACAGTATAATAATTAAAAAATAAAAACATTATTTAAATGTAAACTATATATTCTCTTATTTATCTATATTATTAATGATTGCATCACTCAATCTCCATTTATAAAATACTTACTATTTAACATATATTTTTAAATCCATTTTCATAAATAATTTAAATAAAAGATCTTAAATAAATCAATATTTATACTTATTTTACGGTTTATGCTTTCTCTTATTAAGGGATATTTTTATTTTTTAGCATCACGATCATAAATTTTTATAAATCAATATTTAATTTTATTTATGAGTAACAAAATAACATAACTATTTATTTTTAAATAGCTTTAAACATTATTTAAATGTAATTCATTTATTTTTTATATATTTATTTTATTAATGAATGGTTGAATCTACTCAATCTCCATTTAAAAAATCAAATCTATTTAAAATATTATTAATCTTTTTCAGTAAATATTTTTAATGACATTAAAAAAAATAAATTTAATCTTTTTTCTATTTGAGGAATATTTTTCTATTTTTACTTGTTAGCATTGCTATCATAAATGTTTGTCAATCAATAATTATTTTTATTGATAAAAAAATTCCTTAAAATAACTAATAAGTTATTATTTTAATAATTGTTATAAAATTGAATAAACAGTTTTTTTGAATAAAATGAATTTGAAATATTTAATTTTTTTTTAAAAATAAAATTATTTCAATTTGAGTTTATTTGAAATATTTACAAAGCAGATTACAAATTTAAAATTAAATTAAAGGTAAATAGAATATAAATTGGAATAAAATATGCAATAACAATAAGTCATTATTAATAACTACTAAAGCTTTATTTGATTCTATTTCATATTATATTTATTCAGAATTTAATTATTGCTTGTAAATTAATTTTGAAGAAATTAAAATCAATTCTTAGATAAAAAAAAATAAATTCTAAAATGTACTAATTAAACAAAAGATGTGGCTTCTTCAAAAAGAAGATTGTTCAAAATGATGCTGAAAAATATCACTACTTCTTTATTTCAAACTCAGGAATTATGTATTTTGACTAGAATTGGTTTAGGGTTAGGAGTGCTATCAATTAATGTAAAACAGTAGAGGATGTTGAATAAAAACTTATTAAAGAGGACTTTAAGCAAATTGACCTAAAAAAGTATTCTATTAGTAGTACAATAAGCAACCATCAATATGGGGATTAAGTTCCTTTTACTAATAGACTATGCTTTGAAATAACATGCGAATAATTACAATATTAACAACTATATATTTTTGGTTTATCAGATGATACTGACATAAATGAGCTATACAATTACTTTCGCGTTATTGAAACCACAAAAAAAGACAATTAAGAAAACTCTCCTAATTAACAAGTAAATCCTCCAGCTAATACAGCTAATTAAATAGAAGTAGAAAAAGGTAACTAAAAGGTTTTAACCTTTTTCTCTTACATTTTTCAGTAATATGAACAAAAAATAGATCAAGATAAAGTAGAAAAAAATAATGAAGAAAGATACCTATATGATATTATAAATTAAATTGATTCTTTTAAAAGCAATAACATTCCTGAAGACTAATAATAATAAATGCTTGAATTATCTGATTAAGTTACATATTCTGGCTAAATGGTCAATGGAATGCCCCATGGTATAGGTAAGGAATTTAGTAATGATGGAATATAATACGAAGGCTCATACAGATTAGGAAAACGTCATGGCCCTGGCTAATTTGTAGATAGTAACCTCGATATGCATTAATATGAATATATTATGGGCAGACCAGTCGGAATTTGAAGTGACAAGTAATCCAAGACCAAATATTTAAATTAAAATTGAATGAATTATATAACTAATATAAATAAAATTACAATTTGCCCACAACTATTAAATCTTATTTAATACATTATATAAAAATCTTTAAATAAAGTTAATGCTATTAAAAATGTAAGCTTTTTGTGCAATGTTAAATATTAAACTAGTAAAGATTTTTATTTTATTTTGAAATTTTAATTCAAAAAATTTTCTTTTTTAAATTATTCTATTTCATAAATAATTTTTTTTTAAGTCAAATAAAGATTTTTTTGGAATTATTTTTAGAAGCAATTCTTGATTTTTATATAATAGTTTTAATAAAATTAAATTTTATAAAGATAAAAAATTAAATTCAAATAATAATTATTATGGAATCCATGGAAAAAAATTTGAATATAGTTTTAAATTTTTATTTAATATTATTCAAATACTAAAATAAATAGAAAGTATACTTTTTTTTATATATTTGCATTTAGAAGTTATTAATTAAATGTAATAGCCGAAATTAGATTAGATCATATTAAAATTATTAATAGAAATAATTTTTAGTGCAATTTATTTTGATTATATATACAAATAAATATATTTATTATCAACTTTATTGATTTTTTAAAAATAAAATGAATAATAACTAGTTTTTTAGGATTATTATTCAAACAATTACTCTTTTTTAAATTATTATAATATTATAAATTGTTTTTTATTAAATCTCCTTGTTTTATAAATTTTTTGTATAATTGCATTGAAGCAATTAATTAAATAATTGTTTATATTATATTAAATATTATTAAGATTGTAAATTAAATTAAAATAATAATTTTTGTGAAATTTGTGTAAAATAATTTGATTATATTAACAAATTTTTATTTAACATAATTTAAATTTTAAGAATAAAATAGAAAATAAAACTTTTTTAATATTTGTGTTGAGAAAAAATTGATGATTTTTTATTAGTTGAAATTAAATTAGATTCTACACAATTTATAAGCTAAAATAATTTACAAATGACTCTATAAATATATTACACAAGTTCATAAAGTTTTTCAAGTAAAATGGAAATTAATTTATTTTTTTACTGTTTTTTAGTGTTTGAAAAAAAATTTTAATTATTAATTATAATTTCTAAATTTACAGTGATAATAAAATAAGATTCTTAATTTAGTTAATTTTGGTTTAAATTGTATTTCAAAAGTAAACTAAAATTTAGTGTGTTTTGTTCAATTCAAAAAAATAAATAAAATTAAAATCTTTATAATTTTATATATTTAGAATTAAATTTTACTTACAAGATTGGATAATCAAAATGGACGGACAATAAAATTAAAATTAATCATAATATTTGATGGAAACGGATAGAAAGAGATAATATTTGACTTAAGACATATATGATCAAAATCAAGATACAGCACCAATCAATAGAAAAAAAAATATTCAAAACTAAAAAGGTAATATTGAAATGCTAAGATATTTATTTTTTCATACTTTAAAGCATAATTGAAAGCAATAGAATAATTTTTATTCTTAATAAATATTCTTATTTAACTTTTTTTTTTTAGTTTATTCTAGTTTTTGCAATATATATTTTAACATAAAATATTTTAAATTTGTAGGATATTTAGGTGAAATAGCCTTTTCATCAAAAATTGGTGACAAAAATTTTAGATTATATAAAGACAGTTCTCTAGGATTTGGTTAGAAAGGTTAAAACATCTTAATAGATTAAGTATTTACTGATTTATTAAATTATTAATTTATCAGCTCAAATCATTTTGTTTGTTAAAACTTTTTCTTATTTCTACTTTTAAAATTAATTTGTTAATGCTAGGACTGGGATGAAGACATTGAGACAGACAACAGTTGTGCTGAAAAAGCTGTTTAAAAGTGCATCAAACAACTATACTAAGCCTTGAGACATCAAAGAAGAGGAATAGATCCCACAAGTCCTTTTGTCCATGACTACACTACATTAGGTGAGAGATATTTTAAGGAAAATTAGTTGATTAATTAAGATAGAAATGGGATAAAGTAAAAATGATTTTAAGTTTACTCAAATAACAAATTTTTTAATATAGCTAAAATTGTAATTAAGACAGAAATTTAAAGATTAGCGACTCTCCTTTAATTCAGTCTAAAAGTTAAATTATGATTTAAATGTAAGGAATGATGAACCAAATAGACATATAGCAGAGTTATCTGTCGCAACAATAATAGATAAATCATGATATTTTGGGTTAAGAAACTAAAAGAGATTTTATGAATACTCCTATTAGAACCAAAGCAAGTTTTGCTCGTTAAAGCGATTCTGGATACAATTAATCTTTGAATTAGAATTATTCCTAAAATTTATGATCATTTTAATAAATAAACTCTTAGAACTATGATTAAGTCAAAAAAGATAAACAAAAAATGCTCTAAAATTATTTTCAAAACAATTTATGAATAATATTTCTATTAAAATTTGTTTATTTTATGGTTATATCATTGCATTTTATCTTTCTAATATGAATTATAGTGAACTAATTTATTTTAAAATAAATTTTACACTTTGCTTTTTACTAAAATAATTATTAAATCATAAAAAATAAAACAGAAATTTTATAAGTTTCAATTGATGGTTTGACCAAGCAATTAATCATAAAATGACTTTTTCTACATACAGAAAATTTAGATATTAATTAAATAAAAATATTGAAATAAAAAATATTTATATTTTGAAAAATAAGAAAAATTTAAAAGATTTTTAAAATTTAATCTAATAAAGATAGCTTTAAATCTTTGCGCAGAAAAAAACAATAAAGATTTCTATTTATATAAGAACTCAAAAAAAAAAAATCTTAATATAATAATTTAAAGTTAACAAAATTTAAGCTATTAAAAAAAAAATATAACATAACCAATTAGAAAATGGACGTTACAGCTGCTAAAGTTGCCGAAGTTAAGGATCAAACAAGAAACGAAAGAATAGGTGCCCACTCCCATATCAGAGGTTTGGGTTTGGATGAATCACTTGACCCTAGGTAAAATTTTATTTTTAAATTATGAAATATAATTAAAATAATGAGGCTGATTCTAATGTTTATTTTATTAATAGAAATATTGGTTAGGGTATGGTTGGATAGGTACTAATTTGAATTTAAAATATGATTTTAATATATGCAATGAAGAAAATTAACGATATTCGTTATTGCGCCTTTTTTAAATCTAGAAAAATATCATTTTAGGCTAATTTATCTCAAAAATTAGTCAGTCACTTACAAATAAATGAATGATTGCATATTATTTAGAATTTGTTAAAATAAGCAAATTAAACAGGTAAAATTTTTAAAAATAGAAAGAAGCAAGAAAAGCTGCTGGTATCATTTTAAATATGATTAAGGAAGGTAAGATTGCTGGTAGAGGTATTTTAATTGCTGGTTAACCAGGTACCGGTAAAACTGCAATTGCTATGGGTATGGCTAAATCTTTGGGTGAAGATGTACCTTTCACCATGTTAGCCGGTTCTGAAATATTCTCTTTGGAAATGTCAAAGTCCGAAGCTCTTACCTAATCCTTACGTAGATCTATTGGTGTTAGAATCAAAGAAGAAGCTGAAATAGTTGAAGGTGAAGTAGTTGAAATCGAAATTGAAAAATCTGCAAGTAAATTTAAAATATTAAATTAATTGTATTTAGTTTTTAATGATTGAATCAATAAATGAATGTTCTAGACAGCATTTTTTAAATAATTTATATTAATTTATTCGTAAAGCATAGCAGTTTTAATTTGATTAATGAATATTTTAATTGTAAAATTTAACTGATTAAATAAACATAAGCTAAGAGATTAAGTTTAGTTAATCAATCCAGTTTTAAATAATTTAGTCAAATTTCAATCTAAAATATTTTATGGTAGTTTAATGTTAATATAATATTTTGATAATAATAATAAAGATAGCGGTGCAAAGACTGGTAAAATTACTTTGAAGACCACTGAAATGGAAACTGTCTATGACTTGGGTAATAAAATGATCGAAGCTATCTAAAAAGAAAAGATTGTTGCTGGTGATGTTATTACTATTGATAAGGCTTCAGGTAGAATTTCTAAGACTGGTCGTTCTTTCGCTCGTGCCAGCGAATTCGATGCCATGGGTCCTTAAACTCGTTTTGTTTAATGCCCTGAAGGTGAAATCGAAAAGAGAAAGGAAGTTGTCCACACTGTCACTTTACACGAAATTGATGTTATCAACTCTCGTTCTTAAGGTTTCCTTGCACTTTTCTCTGGTGATACTGGTGAAATCAAATAAGAAGTCAGAGACCAAATGGACCAAAAGGTAAATTGAAAAAAATTATTTGAATAGAAATTTAAAAAAGCTTAAATTATAATTAATTAGGTTGCTGAATGGAGAGAAGAAGGAAAGGCAGAAATTGTTCCTGGTGTTCTCTTTATTGACGAAGTCCATATGCTCGATATGGAATGCTTCTCTTTCTTAAATAGAGCTTTGGAAAGTGAAACAGCTCCCATTATTATTTTGGCTACAAACAGAGGTATTACTAACATTAGAGGTACCAACTATAAAGGTCCTCATGGTATGCCTCTCGATCTCTTGGATAGATTGCTTATCATTACTACCTAACCTTACACTGAAAAAGAAATTCGTTAAATTATTGATATTCGTTGTGAAGAAGAAGACGTCGAAATGAATGATGAAGCTAAGGAAGCTCTTACTACTATTGGTAATTTAAAATAAAAAAATTAGCTTAATTTAAATTTAAACATTTTGTATTAAAAAGGTGAATAAACTACTCTCAGATACGCTATTTAATTAATTACTACCTCTTCTTTGGTTGCAGCCAAAAGAAAATCATAAGAAGTTGATGTTGTTGATATTAGAAAAGTAAATACTTGAGATTAAAAAGATGTTTTTTTTATTTACCATGATTTTAATAATTAGGTTTACTCTATGTTTATGGATTTAAAGAGATCTACTGAATACTTGATTAACCATCAAAAGGATTATTTATATTCTGAAGAAACAAATGTAACTAAATAAGTAGAATAAATGTCTCTTGAGTGAGATTTTATAGGAATTGAAGTCTGACTACATTTTTATAACAAAAATTTTAATTAAAATTATAATAAAGTAAGCTAAGTTAGTTGCAGAAAAACTAAAGTTTATATGAAGTTATTAGTTTTATGGTATTGATACCCTTTCTAAATTTAAGTTTTAAAATGAGTGATAAATAAAAATTTATATATTTCAAACTATTTTGGTCATTATAACTTACTAATAAATCTATTTATTCTAACACTTATTTAAATATTTTTAGTGATTTTTATGCATTAATGTAAGTGTTAATTAAAGTTCACAAAAATACTGTATTTATATCTATATTAATTTTTAATTTCAACTTTTACAAATTAAATAACATAAATAATACTTAAATTGCATAAAAAAATAATATATTCCTATATTTGAAGTCAATTAATGTTGACTTCAAAAATAATTATTAAATATCTGAATAATCTGTTGTCAATTTAAAAAATGTAAATTTAAAACTTTGGTCGTTTAATTTGGCTAAATTATATAAATTATTTCACTCAGTTGTTATTCATAAATATATGATGCTTTGTTTATTTATATATTTATGCTCTTGGTAGTATATAATGGTTAAGTTATAAGTTTTAGGATTAGTATGAAAAAATTACATATTATTTAAAAGAATAATTTTTTTTAATTTTAAAAAAATACTGAGTGAAAATTTAAGAAAGTAAATTAGGACAAATTTATTCTTTATTCATAAAAATAAAAATTATGATATTAGTTGAACTGTTTGTATCTTTGATAATGCATTAACTTAAAAAACATGTTATTAGATTTTAAAATTAGTAGTTTAAAAATCAGAATTACTTGGTAAAATCATAAAATTGCTGAAGAAGAAATATCCTTTACGTATAAAAATTTCATTTAATTTTAATTAAAAAATTAAAACGTGATTTTAATTCACTAATTTATTTATATAAATAATCAAATATATAGGTAAAATATTAAATATAAAATTAATAATAATTAAAAAAATATATTGTAAAATTTTCAGATCTTCTAAATAGAAATCTAGAAAGTTTTTGAAATAGCATGAAAATATTTATTTTAATGAGCAATTTTATATTTCATATTTAATTTTTTTTTTTTCATAAAAATAGATTTTGATTTATTCTATTTAGAACATTTTCAAATAATAAATTGATTGAATTTTATACTCAAAATACAAATAAATCAAATAATAACAAAAGAACTTAGACTTATTTATTATTGCAAATTTTATATTTAACAATAACATATTTATATTTAATAAAAATTTAATATTTCTAATAAAGCAAGTTAGCTATCTTTTTAATAATATTTATTTATTTTTAGTCTAAATAAATGTCAATTATTTACACCTTAATAGCCAAGGATAAAAAGACCATCTTAGTTGATTTTGCTACTAATTCAAGCAATGTTTAATAGGTTACATATGACTTTTTAGATTAATTGAAGCCTCTACCAAAATGCACATTCACTAGCTCTGATAGGTATTCATTTTAACAATAAATACAAATTTTATATCACTATTCTAAAATAGCTTATTTATATTAAATGCAAGCGATAAACAAAGTTCAAAAATTATTTTATTAAATTATTAAAAGATTCGTTTTTCACATTATTATGGAAGAAGGATTTATTTATCTTTGTGTAGTAGAAAATACTTATCCACCTGCTATAGCATTTTAATATTTGGATAAAGTAAAAAATGACTTTACAAAGCAGCATACCTTGTATGAAAGGTAAAATGGTATCGCTTATAGCTTCAATAACTCCTTCCAAGAAAACCTTAAGAGATTAACAGTATTTATATTTAATCTTTTTTCAATAATTTTAATAAATAATATGTTTATAAAGAAAGAATTCAACACAAATCCTGAAGGCTTAGATAAAGTTTAGAAGCTGAAAAATAATACTGAATAAGTGACTACAGTTATCATCAATAATATAAGTAAAATTAAATACGAAAGTTTGAAGAATAGTTATAAAAATATTTCTTTAATGATATTTAGACTTGGCATTGTAAAGGGAAGCAATCGTCGAAAAAGCAGTTATGAAAACTACTAAAATGAATGAATCTTCAATTCACATAAAAAAGCAGGTAAATTTTTATTTTCTATTATTCTACTTAAACTATTTATTTATTTATCATTTCAAAATAAAAGTAAAATAGAAAAATATTCTTAAGAATAGACAAATATAATTTATAATATTTTTATAATATTTAAAATAAGGCTAATTAAGCTAGAAGAGATGCTTATTGGAGAAATATGAGAGTCAAAATATTCATAGCTGCCATAATTATTATATTTATTGCAACTGCAATTATACTTCTTTGATTGCATTATAGTTCATACTTTTAGGTATCTCTTTAATGATTTAATAGTAAAATATGAGATTTATACAATAGCTAGCTTCTAGTAGCAATTATTATGTACAACATATAAATAGCATAATAGATTTTTATAAAAAATTTAAGGAGTTAAAAGCTATATCAAATATTAGTTTATATGTTTTTTTATTTTTTATATGCAAATAAATATTAATAAATTGCCATCAATCATTAAATAATCATTTATAATTTATTTTTTTTTAATTCATGGAATAAATGAAAATGATTTTTTGCCTTTTTATTTATTCTTTTTTCATCTATTTATTTGTTCTTTTTTCATTTTTTATTTGTTTATCTTAAATTCTAATTTTAGAAATCCTTTTTAATATTTTTTAATTTAGAAAACTCGAATTCTAAATTATTACTAAAAATAAATTATAATTGAAATATCGATTTGTATATTTTATATTAAATACAATCAATAATTTTACTCAAATATAAAATTCAAATCCCATTTAAAATACTGTTATTTGTTTAATTATCAAAAATCTATCAGAGTTTACTGCCTAAATAAATTTATTTACTAGCAAGTAATAAGATTTATATAAGTAATCATTTTCAGTAAGATTTAGAAAATTTCGATTTTTTTAATTAATTAAATTAGACAAATCCTATTTAATTATAATCATATTCAATAAAATTATTAAAATATCAAAATTTTAGGAATTAGTACTATGAGAGTTTACAGTTTGCGAAAGATATTACATTAAAAAGATCTTAAATATAAAAGATTCAGAGCAATTTTATTTCTTTAAATATTTGGTTTCTTGAAGATAAAATAAAATTAAGTTGGTCCATCATATTTGTATTTTTTAATGAATAGATTTCCTAGTTATGGTTTTTATCTAAATTTTATGCTACGTTCTGTGTGTGTTTAGAAGAATTTTAATTTTTCTTAATATGTCGATCTATTTATCTATCTGTTGGTTTATAATCAAATTTGATTTGGCAAAGATTTTTATTTTTATAATTTTTTACAAAAAACAATTATCATCACAAAATAAACCTATCATCTTAATTATAAAAATAATATAAAACTAACAATCATAAAATAAGCAAATAAAATAAACAATTGAAAAATATCAATACAACAATGCGCAGAAGTTTGTCTTCAGTACAAATTTTTACTAATTCAAAAATTTAACATTTTATTATCATCGATATTTTCATTAATGTTACTAGTCAAGCAACTTTAATTTTTGACATGTTGCTTTTAATATACAATGCATTCATTAACTTACAAATTTATAAACTAAATAAATTTTCATTGTAAATAAAAGATATTAGAGAATGGAAAAGACATCATTTTTTCTTTTAAAAAAATGCTGGACTCACTGTATGATTTTGAAATATTGGATTTGAAAGAAAATATTCAATTAAAGGACGAATACACCTATTTTTATGATTTTTAATCTACTTGCACTTTTAAGAATATTGCCTACGTAACACCTTATGGAAATGTGAAAGGAAATTTAATAGTCTCTAAGGATATTATCAGCTTCAATCCTGTAGATATGTAGGAAGTTTAGTAGATCATTTAAAATAGCTAAAAATAGAATAATTAAATTAAAACAGATGAAACGCCAAAAAAAAAAATAAATATAAAAGCAAGTGATTTCTTTGTAAATATAGAAGTATTTGATATTTATTCTGTAAAAACTTATGTAGTCGAATTCGATAGTTTAATGAATTATTATGATATTTACATAGATATATATTTAGAGACAGCAAATGGCCTAAATAAACCACTATAAGATTAATAAGGGAATTAGTTTCTATTAAAAGTAGTTTTCAAGTCTGCTAACCATTATAGTTTAGTAGATGTTGAGGAACTTTAAAAAAAAATTAGAGAGGAGGCACTAATTCTTTAACAAAGAGCTCAAGAAAATTAGAAAGATTCTTTAGATGTAGATACTTAAGATACAGCATATGAAAACAATACACTAGAGGTTAATCCAATTCCATAATTTTCACATCATGAATAAGCTGCTTTTACTTAACTTAATCATCAAAATGATAATGCTCCTCATAGAGATTAAGTAATTAGAAAAAATAAGATAACTATATCTAAAACAGCTAATGAAATTTAACTAGGATATGATGAAAATAAAATGAATATTGAAATTCAGTCTGCCAGCATTCTTATTAATGGTATCAACCATGAGAAAAAAGAAAAAAATTTATCTTAATAAGAATAAGACAAATAAGCAGATAAAAAAGAGATTGAATAGAGCAATTGCTAATAGGAAAAAAATATGAATAATTTTTATAACTCTCATCATTTAAGCTTGATTAACTTTAGCACGGAAGATAAACCAAAAAAAGTTAGGTTATATTCTATTGTTGGATTTACATTTATTCATTTACTAGAGATCAAATTAAGGTATATCATAAACCAAATGGGTTTTGAAGATAATTAAAGCAAAGAAAGTGGGACCTTTGCATTCTTCTGGGAGAAAATATTTTATCAGTATGTTCATTAGGTTAACTATAGCTGGACATATTAACTAGATCAAAAATATATTCCTTAAAGAGATTAGGACTCTTTCATTTTTAATAAGAACGATAAATTATTTAACTAAATCATATAGAATCTGCCATCTACCTTTCAGTATTCAGATTGGGGTCTTTCTTATACACCAAACAGACACGGATATTCATATAATGAATTTTTGTTCCGCTGTTCTGCCTCACTAGGGCCTCATGTTATTATTATTAAAGATAGTTAAGATAATATTTTTGGTGCTTTTGCTTCTCATGGTTGGAGAAAAAGTAGATATTTCTATGGAGATGGAGAGTCTTTTCTATTTAAATTTGAACACATTGAACAACTTCATTAAGAGCAAAAAATTAAAGTGTTTAGATAGTAAATAAAAATATTTTCATAAAAATTAAAGTTTTTTGAATTATTTATAAAAAATTATTAATAAAGTACTGGAGAAAATAATAACATCTAATATTGTGGCAACGAAGGAATAGCTATGGGAATAGGAGAAAATTATGGGCTCTTTATAAACAGAGATTTTTACAAAGGTCTTTCATTCCCTACAAACACATTTGGAAATAAGCTTGGGCTTCATATCCAAAATAATGAGTGTTTGGATAGGTAAATTAAAAATCAATTACATAAGCTAATCGTTTTTTTCTTTTAATAGTAATAAAAAAGTGGCAATACATGGAGAATTTCAAATCAAAGATATAGAATTTTGGAGTTTGGATCCTTATTTGTAAGAAAATTTGAACAAAATAAAAAAGCCATCATTGCTCCGTCCTTAGGAATAAAAATGAAAATATGTTTTATAAGTATGAAAAAAAGTTATTAAGTTTAATGTAAATTAGTTTGTAATTTTAGAATTTTGTGTTATATTTTAATTTAATTATAAGTTTATCAAATAAAAATATTGTTTAAGAGAATTATATTGTATATTGATATTTCCTATTTATTAGAATATTTTTTATATCAAAGATCTTTACACTCTAATCTTTGATTAATAATTTAGTCATTTTTTAATCAAATTAATTTACAAATATTTAGCTTTGAATTTATTAAATAAAATTTATTTGTTTTTAATATAAATTCATTGATTAGTTTTTGTTTAAAAAATTTGATTTAGAATGAAGATATAAGCTTGTATTTTGGTACTTCTTTATGCTTTTACTATTAAATGCATAGAAGTTGATTTGAAAGAAACAAATTTAATTTTAGCAATTTAGACAATTAGGCATGGAGCTAGATACCCTTTATATCATTTTTAAGGGATGTAGAAAGATGCTATGGGTGAATTATCAGAAGTTGGTATTAGATAATTGTATGAATTAGGCAGGATTATGAGATTAAAGTATGTAGAACAAGAATAATTTATTTCAGAAAAATTTAAGCATTAAGAGCTTTTTATTAGATCAACTGACAAATCTAGGACACTTACTTCAGCTTAGAGCTTTCTTTAAGGTTTGTATCCACAAGATACAGGTCCATAAATTCCATAAAACATTGCAGATTAGACATAATATTTATTTCCACCTCATGAAAGACCTTCAAATTTTAAGCCTTATAAGGGATCGGAAAGCATATAAAATAGAATATAGCCTATTCCTATTCATACTGTAGAATTTAATAGAGATAAGTTTCTATTAAATGCAGAATCAGATTGTTGGAAATTAGAAAGCATTAGAAAATAATATTAGGAAATTGAGATGAATAAACAAATAAATTTTTTTTAAGAAGAATTGAATCAGTTTTTAAAAATAGTTTAAGATAAAGATTTATTATTAGATATGGTTTAAATTCATAAATATATAGATGGTCTTATATGCAATGAATTCAATGGGTTAGAATTACCAAAAGACTGGAAAGAAAATAAATAATTTTAAAAGAAAATGAAAGATATTTATACTTTAGTTTTTCACCTTTATTATTTTGGAAATGAAGAAGCAACTAGACTATCAATTACACCATATTTTAAATAGATCATGAAATTCATAGATGATAAAATCAATTTAAAGTAGCCAATCAAGTACTATGCGTTATTTACCCATGATGTTACTATTGTTAATATTTTAAATGCATTAAAGCTGGCTTCTTGGTAGTGCATTAAATAAAATATCATAAACAATTAAGTATCACCTGACTGTGTTCATTATGATTCTGATTTTGCTTCAGATATATTATTAGAAGTAAGATATCATAAATCCACTTAGTAATATATAGTTGTAACTCTTTTTAATGGTGAAGTGATTGAATTGAAAAGAGGTTAAAAATATTTATCTCTTGATGAATTTAGGAATATTCTTTTGTCATAGATTGTTGATGATTATGATTAAATATGCTAATAGGGTAAGGAAGACTAATAAGATAATTCACTTTTGGCCAAACTGAATTAATTTAATAAAGAATTTTCTCTTTTTTCTAACTCAATGAAAAATTTGGCATATTCTGTTATGTCTGCTTTAATAATTTTGTTTATTACTTGCCTATATTTGCTAAAGTCAGTTAGATAATATTAAAAAACTGTTTAATCTTAAAAGAAAGTTGATTGAAAAAAAAATTGTGATAATATTTATTTTAAATTTAATTTCACTTCAGTAACATATATTTTTATATAAAGCTTTAAATTTATTTTTAAGATTTACTCCAGGCTTACAAATTATTTTTTTTATTTATTAGAGTTTTAAGATTTTTTGAGTTTAATGGTATGAAATAAATGCTGTTTAAATATTTCATATTTAATAATTTAAGAATGATAATATAGATTAGAAAAACTATATTTTATTTATAAAAGGAGAATATTTATTTAATTTAACTTTTTTTGAATTATTTTAAAAAGAATAAATTTAAATAAAAAGGTGACTTGACTTATTCCAGACTATTTTGCCTTTTTACCTTTTAAAATAATGAAGAGAAATGCTATCTTCAAATTAAAGTTAAAAAGAAAATTATTTGAGGAAAATAAACCAAAATAAACAATCAACTTTTCCCATCATAATCAACAAATTAATTCATAGATAAAATTATGATTTTTTTGATAATTTATGTTAGCAATTGTGTAATTTAAATTTTTTGGAAGCAGTCAGTCTTTCTTTGATTAGCTTAAAATTTGAAAAATATACAAATAGATTATTTTTCTAAATATACCTGAAAAAGAAACTAAATTGATTAATTTTTTATATATTATAAATCTATTTATTTATTTTGTTTTTAATAACAACAAATTCATTATTTTTTCTTTCCCTTTTTAAAATTTTAAAAATAATAAATCTTTATTTAGGCATTTTTTTTTTATCGAAAACACAGAGTGGCTTTTCATATGATAATTATTATATACGAAAATGATTCTAAATTTCGAAATATTTTGATATTACAAAATATAATTTAGAAGTAAACAAAAGGTCTATATTTATTTATTGCTTCTAATCTTTCTTCAAACTGTAATATTAAGAAAATAAATTTAGTCATTTAAAAAATTTTTTTAATTTATTGATTGTTAAGATTAAACACACTAATCAAGATATATTATTACTACGATTGCTTCAAAGACAAGCCAGTACTTACAAAATTATTATTATTAGAGTCTCATTTTATTTAAAAATCTTTTTGTCTTACTGAAGAAAAAATTCAAAATAATTAAAAGATATACAATTCCTTGATACGCTTTTTAGTAGTACTATTTTGGTTTAGCAATGTAATAAATAAGTCCAGTCTATAATAGTCAGGTTTTACCAATTATGGTTGCTAGTATAATTCTATTTATAATATTTATCATTCTTTTTGGTTCATATCAATACAACGGGTAGAGTCTTTTTTTAAAAATTATCTTGATTAAAGCAACATTCAAATTTATTTGAATAAAAATAATATAAAAAGTTTACTTTGTAAATTAATATTTTTTAAATAAAACTAATCTTTAATTTTATTTAATTTGTCTCATTACAATAAAATTATGTTCAGTTAATAACTCAAGTAATAAAAGCAATTAGAAATTAGATTCGAGTCTTTTCTGTTTACTTGAAATTTTTTGAATAGAAAAACTCTATATGCTTTGCTTTTTAAATTTGTTTTTGATTACAAAAATTTGTTTGGTCAACTTCCATTTAGTTTTACTGAAGAAAGAATTTATGTACTAAATTTAGTTTTGAGATTTAGAAGATATTGCATGTATGGTATATATTTTTATTTAGTATTGCAGAGAAAAATAATTAAATCGCTATTTAGCTTATCAGTGAAACATATTTATTTTTATTTAGAAGATACAAACAAATGCATAATTTTTGTTCTAGCTTTTAAATTACTTAAAAATAAAACCCAATTAATTAATTCAAAAGCAAAAATGTGAAGCCAAGAGTAAATGACAGAAACAATTTGATTAAATAGAAAAACTAAAAATAAAATAAATGTAATGATATTTATTAATAAATGAGGAAGTTTAAATTTTTTATTGTATACTTGAAAATCCTGAAAACTAACATTATATAATCAATAAGGATCTAAAGAGAATTTTATATTTAAAGCTTATAAATAAGTACACTCTGATAAGTAATATAATTTTTTACACTAATTCATCTTGAAAAACGAATGTTTAATTGTTTTTATATACTTTTGCATCTAGGCAAAGAAAAAAGATAAATAGATAGATAGATAGAAAAGTTAGTTTTTATTTATTTATTTAATATTTATTTTGAAAAATAAATATAATTTATCGAATTAAGTGTGTATATGTATTTATTTATATATATTTATGTTGATTGGTGTATGAGCCTTTAAAGGATAAATTGGCTTAAAAGTAACAAAAGAATTATTTTTTAGACATGATTGATAGTGGTAACAGTACGATATTTTATTATTTTATGTGGTAATTATTTGAATATTAATTAAGTTACTATGATAAACTATAAGTTCATTTTATTAATTTATATAATTTTATATAATGAATACTTACATATTATTTGACATCTATTTATTTATGTATGTATTTATTGAGTAAAAGCTTCTATGTTTGTTGATCAATTGCTTGCTTACTTACTCTTCAGTGCTTTCTTGAAAAAAGTATTATTTATTTTGTTATTAAGATGGTTAACTTTTAATTAAATTTAATTAATGAAACTCAGAAAATAGAATTCTTGTGAATTTAAGAGTTAAATATTTAATTATTTGCAGCTGAAGTGGTTGTGTTGTTATTGAAAAGGTATGGAGTCATGTCAATACTTGGGAATGTAAAAGGTACATTGCCAGCTGCACTACTTCCAAACAAATTGAAATTTAAAGAATCAGTTGATAGCTTATGTTAATAAAGAGGATTATTTTCTAAAGATTATTGGTTTGCAAGGAATTAAAAGTTTAAGGCATTGCCATTAATGCTGTCAAATGATCCTGATTCATTACGGCCTCCTAAATTTCCGAAGAATTAGATACTCTACAAATGTGAAGGACGATTGGCACTGGAATTTGTAGAATTATTAGTTGTGTTTATAGTAGATGTTGTAGGTAGGTTCATTTAGTACGATTGATTGGGCTCAGTTGTAGGGAAATGGTGTGTATAATTTTACTTTTTAAAATTTTATTATTATAACTCTGCCAATTCACTTAGCAGAGATGATTTATTGGCAACAGCATTCTAATCGTCTGTAGAAGTTTTTTCCTTATTGCCACTTTCTCCATTAGTGACATTTCTGTTTGATTGAGACCCACCATTGCTCTCTGTCTTTGCTGGATTAAGTTGTATATCATAGCTTTGAGTTGAACCTTAGGTATTTAAAAATTAATTGAGTTATTATTGTTGGCTGCTTTGGTTCTGAGCTTAAGTAGAAGAAGCTTGCTGAGGTTAGCCGAATTGGCTTAAATTTAAATATGAAGTAAAATCAGCAGATCCTTTACTAATAGGGAAGGAGTATGTAGTTTATTATCCAAGTAGCTAGTTCAATTATTGCTATTGGCTAGTATTTTGCTGAGAATTCAAGAAGGGACTGTTTTGAGTAAAGAGTGTATTGATTCCTTACTATTATGATAATAATGGGAAAGCTTACTAATTAGATTGAGGGTTTTAATTATAGTTGAGAGTGGAGTTAAGCTAATTGGTAGTGTTTGCGCCATTCATTCCTAACAATGCATGGTGTAAAGGATTAGGATTTAATTATGTAGGTGATTAACTTTACTATTATTGCTATTAAATCTAAGATTGTTATCCTTACTACATTTAAGATTACTAATTATTATTTCCCACCATAGATAAATTGTTAAGCATAAAATTATTAATTAAATCATTATTTCCAATTGCAGGGCCAATTTATGGAGTAAGAGTTGCTTAAAAGGCGTTTTATTAACCTCCAATCTAATTAGACTGAGTTTGGTTTTATTAGTTCAGCAAATTTGAGTGCTATAAGTTGAATTATTATTGCTAATTTTGCTAAAGGCTAGGCTGCTATTGACCAGGATAGAGATTATTGTTAAAAATATTTTGCTTGAAGTACTAAGCTTCGAGCAATGATTAAGGATTTGTACCATAATTCTAAACAGGTAAATTACTTATATTGTTATTTTTAAATATAAATTAAGACAAATTAGGCTGGTTTAGCAAAGCTGCATTTACGACGGAATTTGGATTAACTAAATTTGTAGCCTAAGATTAATTTTTAGCTGCCATCACTGAAGATTCAGTTGTATAAAAGACTTACTGGATGACTTAGGAGGGGTTTAAAGGATCAGGATTCATAATCATTTTTTTAACTAAACGAGGCTTACGTTGACGAGTTTTCTTTTTGCCTATACGGCCTTCCTTCTTGTAAGTTTAGAGGATGGCCTTAGAGGTTGAGAACTTCAATCCAAATTCTTTGGCAGCTTCCTTTATTGTCACTTGTTTGGTGATGACTTTCTGTATAAACTTTTCACGGATTTCTTATGAAATCACTTGGTATTTCTTTTTATTTCCTCCTGCTCCCTTTCCAGTTTCATCATCTCCACCTTCGTCTCCTCCAGCTTAATCATCGTTCTCATTATCATCGTCATCATTGTCTCCATCATTCTCATCAGATATATCTTATGATTCTGATTATAAGTGTGATTGCTATTATTGCTATGAGTTGAGTTCTATTTTTGTATTAGATTGAGGTATTGCTGGATTATGGGTTGAATTGACGATTTCGGCATTTTATTATGCTTGCTTTTCTTAAATAGCCTATTTTTGTTGATTATCTTACTCTCCGTTGACTGGAAAAGTAGGTGAAGATGATGTTGATATCCCTTGTAAAAACTACTAGTTACCTTGTAAATTATGCTATTAATTCTCTGCTACTCTAAATTAAGCAGTTTCAACCATTGGCAAACCGCCTTAAGGCTGTTGAAGGTGTTATTACTACATCAAAATTTAATGTTATAATTTATTTTGATGCAAATCCTCAGGGTTTTACATCATTTGCATATTGTGATGATTCTCAGTTGACATCTTAATTTTTAAACTTAGAATTAGTTTTGCCAAAAATAGAGATAAAATAAGTTTTAAAGAAATAAATGAGGTGTCTAATCGCTTATTTATATTAAAATGCTATGGTTGTTGCTTTATGGCTTGTTTGTTATCTTGAATTTGAAGATTTTAAGCTATTTGGAAATGTGATACTTTCGATTTTATTATGAAAGAGATAAAATGAAGTAAGTATTATTGCGAATGCGATATTTGGTTCCTCCTTTTTTCTATTTTCTTTTGTTTCTTTTCTTTTTGTTGGAGTTTATTTTTTTTGATTGAGTTATTTATTACTTATTCCCTTTCTTATACACAAATTGATTTTTGACAAAATGCAAAATGAATGCTTATTGCATTCTACTCATTTTAGGCAAAAGACAGCTTATATTAATCAAATTCATAATTATCATTAATTAATCGTAAACAAAAAAAAATAATGAATGAAAAGAATTTTGTTTTTCATTTATCTATCTCTTCTTTCCTTTTCTTATCTTATAGGTTTGAAATCTCAATAATTCTAAAAAGCAAAGGGTGAGGTATATTTATAATTTTTCTTCCTTTTTCATAATGCACAAAAAAACAAGCGAACAAATGAATTAATAAATAAATAAATATACATATAATCAATCAATCAGACAAACTAACTCGCAAATTTGATTTGAATGCTGCTATTTATTGCCAAAAATTGCTTTTTAAAATATTAAAGCAGATAGATAGATGATCTTATATTTTAATAGTGTAATTAACACTGATTTTATAAAAGAATCAAAATTTCAACCTTGATGACAATAGATTACTATAAGAATTAGATATATAGGATAATAAAGAAAAGACTAAGATTGATAGTACATAATCGGATTTAGTATTTAATTTTTCATCTTTTATGCTTTTTTTTGCATATATTTTTAATTTCTCCACAAAAAAAAAACATCTGAGTGCAGTACTTAAAAATCTAATTAACAAGACAAAAAAGTGATATTTGGTTTTTAAATAATTATTTTTGCTTTAAATTTGTTAGGCTTACTTCATTTCGCATATTTTGAAAAAAATTTTGCTTTAAAAAATAATAATTATCCTCTCCTTTCTCTTTCTGAGCATCATTAGGAAATTATACTCTCATTTACTAAATCCTTATCCTTCAAAACACAATACCATATCAATTAGTCTAAATAATTCTTTTGATTTCTAATTTATCTTGGTTGCAGCTTGGATTCCTTCTCTTTACTTTTATTCCATGCCATCCATTTTTACTTATTTTACCTAAATATTTCAAGCTTAAGAGCGGCATCAGCCTTCTTATATTATCGCAAATTCATGAATGATTTTATTTCTTCCTTTTTTTAAAGCTCTACTGCATCGCGTGGTACTCTTTTATATTATGTCAGCTTACTTTTTTTCCCCCATCCTTAGATTGATTTTCCCCCCTGAAATTAGAAGGGTAGGCTTAATTAAAGTTGCAATTAAATTATATACTCTTTCAATCTTTTTTTGTCCATAGATAATCATTTTTAATCTCATAATTTAAAAATTCAAAGGACAACCAAACAAATTTTTTAGTTGCATTTCATTTTTGCTTCTCTATTTTTTACAAATAAAATCTATCTAATTAAATTTGATTCCCATTTTTTTGATTACAGAATCTATATAAAAACATTTCTTCTTCAATACATTCAAAAAATCAAATAAAATTAACTGATTTCATTTACTATTATGATTCTCAAATATTTTCAAATAAAACTCTTACACATCTTAATAACTTAATTTTTAATAAGTTCACATTGCATAAAAAGCTGGACTAATTCCAGTAATAGTAAATCAAACCTGCTTTTCCATCTGTTTTAATATGGCAATTATTATTACAACATATTACTCCATCAAAATAGATTCATATATTTTAGCATATTGTAAGTTTTTAAAAACTCTTGAGTATCTTTAAATTTATTCGCGGAGCAATAATTTATTTACATGACTTGGTACTTTTCAAGTATTAAACACTTAAGCGAGTTAATTAATACTAAAAATAAATTCAAGCGAATCCTTCCCACTCTCTTCTCTTAATCTAGTTCTAAGCTTTACTTAGTTAAATTATTTATTTATTTGAAATATAAAAGAATGATGATAACATTGTTTAATAATTAGGTAATCTTTTCCCCAAAAGTGTTTTAGAAAATTAGCAAAACCTACCTCTAAATAATTGTTTTTCATCAACATTTTAAAATGTTAGCCTTTTACTTAACAGTTTAGACAATAATTAAATGAATCTTTGTAAATCAATCATAAGAACAAAGAAACAAATCGGTCCTAATTAAAGAAGTATTTTTTCTTTTTAGAATTTCAAATGAAAACAAAACAAAAAATTGGTTCTATTTTAATATTGAATAGTATAAATTTAAAACAAATTAGCATCTTACTTGCTAATATTAAAAAATCTATACATTCATTGAAAATCTTATTACTTCGAAAGTATATAGCAAGATGCATATTATTTTTTATTTTAAAATTGTCTTTAATTTTGATAATTTTATTATTTTACAGACAAATTTAGTGTAAAAAAAGCAAACTTTCATTTGTAAAAACTGAAATGAAATTTAATATTTATTTTTTACGGACATTTGAAGATAAAATGTAAAGAATAAACATTTTATAAAATGATATTGTCAGAAATTGAATTAAAAATTTTATTTCATTTTTGTGTTAAAGCATTTTCTAATTTTATATAGCTTTACTCATTTATGAATAAGAGTAAATTAATTAATAGATTTATAATTTAAAATTATAAAATTGATTAGATTTTAAGTTGATTCTTTCTTTATAGCCACTATCGCACAAAACTTTACTTGTAATTAAGCAAATTTTTGTTAATTAAAAATATCTATTGATTTCTATTTGCAGAGTAAAAAGAATATACATTAATTATTACATATCTTTTAAAGTAAATTAAAATTTCATTTTTAATTACAATTATTTGCATTAGTTTTATCATTTTTGACACTTTTTAAATTCAGATATCAAATTCAATTTGAGAGTTTCTTCTATAAACTAAAGTCTTCAAAAATTCAAAGTTAATTCTTTCATTCATTATTTCACTCATTCAAAATCTGTTTTTATTTTGATTCTCTAAATTTTATTTAGAATCTGTAAGAATGCATATTAATTTATTTAATTTATACAAAACATTTTTATTCAATATTATTAATTATATTTTTTTTTAATTTTCAATTCTCTAAATGAGAATAGTATTCAACATGAAAAAATCTAATTTGAGAAAAGTAATTTTATTCAACTTTATCCTTGTTTACAAATAATACTAAAATTAGATGTTTTAATTTGAGAATTTCAAAAATTTAAAGACTATTCTGATTCAAGAGAATTTCCAATTTATTCCTAATTAAACAATCTTTAGTCAAATCTTAAAAATATTTTGTAACTTATTTTGTTTTTATAAAAAATAAAATAGGGATTTACATTTGGATTGTACTTTGAGTAAGTTAAAAAATCTTTAATTATATCCATAAATTAAAAGTACTTAACCTTCTAAATATTTAGAAATTCTTTTACAAAGCGCCTGTTATTGTTTGATAGATAGATAAAGAAGCAATTTATTTTTTCCGTTTCACAGAAATAAAATCTTTCACTGTCTAACAAAAATATTATGCCCTTTTTTGATTGTCTAAAACAAGTAAAATCCACGTTTTATGAAGTGTACAATTTTGGTCGTAGGAGCTTAACTTAAATAAAGATTTTTTATCTATACTCAATAATTTTATATTAGTGCTTTGTATTAATCTAGTACTAATACTTAAAATCTCCACGAATATCCTCAGATTAATATTTAATTAGATTGTAAAGCTTCATAGAAAGCTGCATCCACTAATTTGTTTATGAATAATGTTTTCTAGTAAATTTCTCAAAGTAAGTAAGATATATTATGTATCTTAGAGGTAGTCATTTTTTAAAGATACTAATTATTTTACTAATTTAAAATGTAATTAGTTGACTTAAATTTTTATACAAAATAAGCGATAATATTATTTAACCATTTTCTACTACTGATCAAAAGAATTTATTTATATTACAAAAATTTACTCATATCAAAGCAAATTAATTTTACTGATTTGACACTTTATTCAAAATAAACTTTGAGTTTCCCACTATTATTTTAAAGGTTTTAACCTTTTTAATCTTAATTTCCAAATCCATTAATTGAGGCAATCACCGATTGTACTGTGACTAATTATTTTCCATAAAATTTATTGGATTTTTTGTAGCGACGGGTAAACAAATACTTTTATAAATTAAATTCCTTATCGCAACCTTATTACTCAAATTAAAAAATACACAGAGACTCCACCTTTAAAACTTCAAAATTTTTAGATTCTTATTTGTTATTTAGTTTAACATATTAAAAAGTATTAGCTATCAAGCAGATTTTATGATCTTAAAAGTAAGTGACATAATTTATTCTTTGTTTTATTCTATTGGATGTAATTTTTAATATACTCTATTAATATTTTTTCATATCATAATTAATTCTATAAGAATGATTATTCTAATTACTTTACTTGTTTGTGGTTTTGAAATATCCATTAAACCTTTTGAAATATTTTTTTAATCCTACAATAAATATTTTTTTAAACAACTAATTTTTATTTTCAAATAAACCTTCATCAAAAACGGGAATTATATTGAATAAAATTTTTTTTACATAGATTCTATTATATAATACGATTTTTGTTTAATAGCTAAATAATATTATTTTAATTTTGTGGATAAATATACTTTTTTTTATCTTGATAAACTATTTCAAGAATTTTTTATTTATAATTTTTGCTAAGCTATTATGGAAATTATTTTTTAAAGGTTTTTATTTATTTAGATCATAAAGTTAAAATCAAAGAGTTTTTAAAATATTCAATGATTTTTATTACTTTATTTAAAATAGCTAAATGTTACGTAGCTTTAAAATAACAAAGAAATGTAATGTAATAATTAATTAGTTAAAATTAATAAAAAAAGTATTAGAATACTATAATCAACATTAAACATGCATGACTAATATCATTACTAAGAAATAAATTGATTATTTATTATTTTTATCAATTGATAGTCTTATCAGCAAGAATCATATCTTTAATTTCGTTAGTAACAGCATCAACTTGAGCAGAGTCAGCAGATTCAGCATAAATACGAACAATATCTTCAGTACCAGAGGGTCTGATGAAAGCTCTAGAGCCAGGATGCTTGGCAACTATAGCATTAATCTTTTCTTATATTTCTTTGGGTTCTTAAACGTTATCTTCAGCATAAGACATTTTAAGTTTGCTCTTATCTCTGATGGTAACTTTGCTGTTTTTACATTTTAAGTCAGTGTATAAATTTAAGTAATCTTGTCCGGTCATGTTCAAGGTAGCCAAGGCAGCTTCAATACATAACATATTAGTAATAGAATCACCAACACACTAATTAAAAATGATAATAATTAAAAAGGTATTTTTTATTTAATTGAATTTTTACCTAGTTTTAAACTCTGATGAATCTGTATAATTATTTAACTTCATGAAGGAATTCTTTCAAGACTTGTAAGTTTTCAGGTGTACCCTTGAAGTCTTCAATTCTTAAATGGTAGAACTTTTCAAGTTCAGCAGTCTTCTTTTCCTTGACTAAGAAAGTACCGTGACCATTGGATTCGCAGTAGATACCAATATCATACTTGTGAGCATTAGGATGGAGATTCTTAACACCATTAGGTGAGAAGAAAGTTGTTAACTTGAGTTAATCTCTTAAATAGATGGTAGAGGAACCGTTGGCATAAGGAGTTTAAACCATACCAATAACCCATTCACTAGGCTTCAAATCGACATTTAAGATTCCAGTTTTGTTGACTGCTTCAACCTTGGTTTAGAGCTTTTCTAAAGCTTTCTTGAAGTATAAAGCAAAAAGAGAAATCATTTTATCTCCGTCCAACAAATCAATTTGCTTGAAATCAGATCTAGGTAAGCTATTTAATATTTTTAAAATTTTTGTTAATATAATGCTTCAATATATTCTTCAATTCAATTATGATTAAATTTGATTGATTATTTTTCTACTTCTATCTTTTATCAACCTTAATCCTTTGAAATTTCTAATAAACTGTTTTTAAAAAATATTATTTACAAATAGACGATTCTATCAGAGTCACCATCATAGCTGACAACTCTAACCTTAGAGATATCAGGGTAAGATTTAATTTTTTCAATGGAGTGAATTGGGTAGTCTTGAGATTTGTGTACGAATTCAGCACCACATTATTCGTTCAATAAACGATGTTCAGTATCGTTAATGATATCTAAATTATAGTATTTTTGAAGGGCTTCTCTGAAAGGACCGATACGAACACCACCAACACCATTGGAAAGATCCAAAAGAATATGTTCGTCGTTTTTCTTTTAGAATCCTAATTCAGTCATGAATTCATCAAAGAATGTCCAGTAGGTGTTGAAATAACTAGCAGTGAATTATTCAGTCCATGAAGATCTAGTTAAATTGTGAGGGAAGAGATTGAAGAACCAGACATTGTGGTGCAACATAGGGGTAGTTACTTCACCAGTTTTTCTAACAAGAGTACCAACTGACTTTAAACCTTATCTTTAGATATAAAATATGAATAAATATTTAAGCAATTAACTCTATGCAACGATATTTATCGAGCAGATCAATCAAGATATCAAATTTATTAATTACTCAATCAAGTGTACTAATTTAGGGCAGCTGGGACGAGTATCTTAGCCGACAAAGACCATACCTTAGTTTTTGTTATCAAATCCCTTGATTCCAGTCAAAACCTTTACTAATTCAGCGACTGCATTGTCAAGATTAGGATCAAGAACGAAAACTTCGAGTTACTTTTCCAATTCAGTTCTAATCATACTACCATCAAAGTCAGAAACTTTAATACCATTGTCTCTAATAGGGTTGTGACTAGCAGTAACTTAGATACCTTATTAAAATAAAATAAGTTAGCTTATATGAATTTTATAAATGAAAATGTTAATTCTTTTTGTTAGATTGTTTGTCCTTGTTAAAGCTTTGTATTTAGTCCATTTATAAATTTGCAAGCTTCTAAAACTCAGCTTTGTTTATGTAAAAAACAAAATAATTTTAAAAGTCTTAATTACCAAGAACCTTGTGGTTGTCAACTTTAGCAAAGAGACCCATGAAAACACCAATTCTTAAGCAAACCTATATTATTAAAAGAACTTTCAAAATTTTATCTTGGAAAGAGTTTTTATGAAGCCATAAAGATTGCTTCTTTAGATATTTATTTATGAAGCTTAGTTTACGTGCTCAAGGTATTAGGCGTCGTCTCTGAAACCTGCAGTTCCGTAGGCAATATGTCTATGGAACTTATTGTAAAATTTGCTTAAGTATTCTTGATATAAGTTCTTATCAAGTTCGTGGAATTCGTTTGTAAAGTGGTAAGTCATCTTCCTATTTAGTTTTGCTTTTTTTAAAGATATTTTGTTGTATTTTTTATGATACGATTTTAATTTTTTATTGAATTTATTAATTGTTAATCAAGTGATGAGTCAATTTTAAATAACAAGTTTCTAATAAAATTTTGATATTGCATAATAATTCAATCAAAATTGGGTATTTTGTATCCAATATCAAGGATAAATGATTGAAATGAGAATAAAAAAGAGTTTTTTTTATATAAAAAATCTAAGCATCTTAGCGATCAAAAATTGCTTATTGGTAGAGAATCAGGAAAAAAAAAGATATTTTAAGCTAGTACAATATAAAAATTCATAGTGAATATTTTTAAATTGATAAACTCGCATGAAAATGGTTAAATAAAAAGGATAGTTGATAATACTTCAGGTACTCCTTCAAATTTAAGCATATTAGGTTGTTTTAAATCAGAGGAAAACCTTAGAATAAGAAGACACAGTAAAATCTAAATTTAATTTGGTTTACCTTTAAAAATGTGTTAAAGAATTTTTTCTTTTCTCTGTTTGTTCTAATTTATGATATTACACTTATTTTCGAACTAATTTATGCATGGATAGACTCTTATTCGTCCTAAATACTGATAACAAGCAAAAGTATTTAATTTTGATAGGTTTTAGAAGAACAATAGCATACTCTTCTATTTGTCTACTTATGCTTTTCTCAAATTTATTATTAGGACTTAGTTATTTTTATATAGTTAGTTGGAATAGACACCACCTTTGAACAAAAAAGAATTTCAACTATAATGTTCTAAATAAAATAGCTCCATTAATTAGATTTAATTTTATTTAGCGTGCTTAAAAATTTATCCCCTCAAACTATTTCTAACATAGCTTAATTACTTAATGTGAATTATAAAATAATTTTCAAAAAATATTATAAAATAATAATATAGTTTGATAAACACTTTCTTTAACAATTCAATAAAATAACTAAATCTAATTTTATATCAAAAAAAAATTAATTAATTTAATTATGTAGAAAATTTATATTATAATTTCTAGATCAATCTTATGATTTTTGATTAAATATGAGATTATTTTTTGTAATCAAAAACATATTTTAGGAAAAATTATTTTTTTGATTTGATGCTGTAAAATTTCATTTTATTAAAGTTAAATTTCATGAATGAATATAAATTAAAAATATTTTCTTAATCAATGATTTCTAAAATAAAGGCTTGTAATATATTAACCCTAAAAAAATGAGGATCTACGGTTTATTAAAGTATAAATTATAAAAAGCAATTGAAAAAACATATTTGTTAAAAAAAAATATTTTAAAGAATACAGTATTGCTATTATTGCAATAATTTAGAAATATTTTATAAAAATATAGGTTTAATATTAAAGAAATAATACAAACTAAAATTGATTTTAAATAAAATTTGTAAATTCTAATTCACAAAAATTTTAAATATTTAGTATCAAAATCTATTATTTGTTTATTTATTTACTTAATAACAATATCAAACTTTGAGTTATTTATTATTAACAATATTTTGAGTGAATATTTTAAAAGAATCAAAAATTAAATAAAACTTAATTGATATTTTTAACTAGTAAACAAAAACATTACATTTTATAGAAAAATATAGCTTAGCATATTTTCTAAGAGCTTCAGCTAAATTGATAGATAGTGCTTAAAAAACAAATGATTAAACAGATTTCCATATTTGTTTTCTATTTTATATTTTTAGCTAAATGCGAAGGTATTCAAATTTAATTATTCATTGCTAAAAAGTTTTAGTATGTTGAAATAAATAATTAATATAAAAAAGACTTTAGTTCATTATTCTCGACCAACTACACTGAGCTTGCTCCTGATCCTACTTAAATTATGACTTTTCAAAACACTACAGCACCTATGTAGTTTACTTAGTATTAAATAAATAACTTTTAAGCTGCATACTAGAGTATTTCTATTTCAATGTGGGTTAGAATAACTCAAACAACCATGTATCAAGGGAGAAAAATTCCTCTTTATTTAGTTAGTTCAAGCTTGTAATACTTTCTTTTTCAGCAAAATAGAAAGATCAACTAAAAAATAATTTTATTTTGATAATTTAATTACTTAAGAGTATCTAATTAAACATATATAAAATGATCTTATTATATTTAGAAACGGAAATATTGACTATTCTGACTCAAGAAACGTAAGACTCCTATTCAGTGCTTAAAATATGACAAATGGTCTGCAAGTTACATTTGAGACTTTCTTAGCATCAGGTTCTCAATGCTTTCAAGGCAATCTTCCCGTATATATTTTATTGGCTTTGTTAGTTTATTAGTTGATTAGTTTAAAAAATTAAATTGAGGTTGAGATTAACATAAAAATTTTATATTTACTTTTCTAAATAGGTTGTTGACGGTTCAAATTGGTTTTTTATATATCATGGAATTAATTTATAAAGTTTCAGAACTTCTTGTTACATTTATTCTCCTTCTATCCAAGCCTAGGCTTTTTAAGCAGTATCAACAGGAACTACTGCCAATAACAATTTAGGTTCTAGTTTTACAATATTTTTAGGAGGAGTTTTGAGACCAGCCTTCGCTAATTGGTTTGGAGCTGTGAGCATTCCTAGAGTTTATGTTAATTCATATTATGAAGATATAAACTCAATAAATAAACTTTTAATGATAGGAAAGTTTACATAAATTTATAGAGAATACCTTTCTGTAATAGAATTTAAATATTTTTTTTTATTTACGAAATTAATAATTAAATATATATAATTAATTAAATAAATAAATAAACAGATCAATAGCCAGCTAGGAATGTCGATATAGTATCCTAACTCATATAATTTTACAAATTACAAGTCGAGTTAAAATGTTAACAGCTTTATAATAGATGGATTTACATTTATTTCGTTTTCATTTACAACTTCTGTGGATTGGCCTTTATCATAAATACTCTTATAAATAATTCCAGTAAGATCCTAAAAATATTTTAAAATAAATATTAATAAAAGTTAAAATAATTAAAAATATAGACAAATCCCTTAAACAGTAATAGAATAGTTGTAGATGTTTTAAATAACAATTTAAGAATAACTTTCAATGGCTTTACCTATAAATTTGCAAATTTAAATAATCCGGAGTAATTAACTAAAAACTAGTCTTACAATTTATTTATATTTCTCTATAAAGCTCTTGGAAATACTGTTTTGATGGTTAAATACTATTTAACAACTGTTAGAAATCAATTAGATGATTCTCATTATTATGATTTTTAATGGGTTCCTCTATCATCACCAATTGATATAACAAATAACAATTATTATCTGTATTTCGGCAAAGCTTAAACTAATATTTTGATTTATAACGTATTTGTATCTAAAGGTGGTTTATTCTATAGAAATTCTTAAGATGATTGCTTATATACTTTGATGGATTTAAATACTCCTATATCTAATAGTGGCAATAAAAATTATCCTTTTGCCAGATATTGTGTCTTTTGTAAAGATGCGGGTAGTTATGTACTGGAAAATTAAAATACTAATTCTTTTTGCTCTGGTTCTTGTGGTGGCAATTATTTAAATTTAAACTAAGCTTCTCTATTTTGCTAAAACGCAATATTAAATATGATCCCATGTTCAGACACAGTAAATTGCTTATAATGTTAGTTTGCTCCAGCTAATTGCATTACTTGCTAATCAGGATAATATGCAAAATAAATATCACAATATTAGACTTAATGCACATGTAAATGTTATTAATCCATTTTTAAGCAATATAATAATAAAAATTAGGCAAATAAAAACGAATCTAAAAAAAATTACTCTCTTCATCATTATTTATTCTTTTTACTTTTCCTTACTTTTAAATGTTAAAATTTATTCTATTATAAAATCAAAAACTCAATAAAATTTTTTTGAAAAAATTAATCATTCGATAAAAAATAAAAAGCCGTTTTTATTTTATTAAACATCTTATTTATTTCTATTTTACAATTTTAAATTAAAAAGAATGTGGAAATAATTGTTCTGCATGTACTAATGCACAATAGTGTACTTAATGCAACTCTAATTATGCTCTTTCTAATCTATAATAATGTGTTTCATGCTCTAATTATGATAGTGATTGTTTAACATGCAATACAAATGGGTGTACATAATGCGGCACTAAAAACTTAGGTATTAATGGATAATGTGTGTAGAATTGCGATTATGGGTAATATCTCCAAGTTGTACCTATAAATTAATGTGTGAGTAAAAAAATTATTTTGATTTAAAAGTTAAATAAATTTGAAAAATATAAAAATATTAATAGAATGTGATAATAATTGCCTTGCTTGCAGTCTTAATTCCCAAAATCAATATACATGCAGTGTTTGTAAGGATAGAATTGTAAATCAAAACGGTGTAGCCTCTTAAATATTTTAAGATTTTTAAAACTCTATCTAATCTTGTGTTACATAATGTAGAGCAGGTTACTTTGGTAATGCTGCTACATATTAATGCTAGGCATGCTCAAGTTAGATATGTGCTACTTGCTAAAACTCTGCTGATAATTGCTTATAATGTGCCAGTACCTATAATTAACTTAATGCATTTGATAAAAATAATAACCCCATTACATTATGCTCTAATGATTGTATTAACTACGCTTCTTTGGACTCTAATGGAAATATTTAAAGCACTCCAATTTCAAGTTCATACTATTTTTTTGTATTAATTCTTGTATTGAAAGATTTTTTATCAAATAGATATTATTAGTAATATAGGGTTTTACGTTAATGCTGCTCTCAAATAATGTTCCCGTAATAAATTAAATTTTAAATAAATATATCCATTCAATTTCTATTCTATTTAATTATTTAGCTTGTCCAACAGGTTGTACTTTATGCAATGGAAATACTTATTAGCAGTGTACAGCAGCTGATAATTTACATACTTTCTTAAATTCAGGTGATTCTTCAACCTATTACTCTGACTCATGCAAACTAGGATATTATTTTGTTTAATTGCCTAAGCCCACAGATCTTAACATTTAATGTTTAAGTAAATTATTGAATTGATACTTAAATAAATATATTAATAAATAACTCGAAATAAAATTTTTAATGTTGTTTTATCTGAAAAATAAAGAATGTGATCCGAACTGCTTAGGATGCTAATCTTACTCTAAGACTTTGACAACTCCGAATGGCAAACAGTGCACATCTTGTTCTTCAGGCTCATTTTTAGATTCAAATTTGTAATAGTGCGTATAATAATGTTCTTCTGGATATTTCCAAAACAAAACTACGAATACATGTGATAAATGCTATACAACTTGCAAGGAATGTGTGGCAGGGACTATGAACGATTGTACCACAGCATGCTAAAATGGGGCTACCATTTAAATATTTGATAGCACGAACTTAAATATTTTTTCTTGTGTTCTTAGTTGCAGCATGGGATACTACTTAAACGTAAATGTCACACCAATTTAATGCTAATGTAAAAATAATTCACTTTTACTTAAATAAATCATGTTACATAATGCTTATAAACAAACAATAAAAAAATAGAGTGTCCATAATAATGTGCTACATGTTAAACAAACAGTGGTTGCACAAGTTGTGCAGCTAAATATTTCAGGGGACCAGTTGTTGCTAATTAAAATTACTTAACCTGCACAACTAACTGCACAGCTATGGCTTAACCAGATTAATTGGATCAAAATCATATAATTGGTTATTTTAACAACCCTGCTGGAAATATTTGCAGTGAATGCCATCCATATTGCTCTGCTTGTAACTCAGCAAGTTTATTAGATTGCACTTAGTGTACTGTATATCAAGGAATTTAATTTTATTTATAGAAAACTATAGCAAACGCAGCTTCTGGTTACTGCACTTAATCATGCTTAGATGGCTATATTCAATAAGGAGGAGCAAATTAACCATATGTATGCTAATCTTGCACTTAACCCTGCTTGACTTGCTCATAAACAACAGACAATTGTACTTCATGCTATAGTGGATTTTACCTTAAAACAACAACAAGCCCATAGACCTGTGTTGACTAAAATAGTTGTGGCTTGGGATACTATGGAGATAGAAATAGTCTAAAATGCTAAAGTAAATTTATTTATTTTTTATCTTAAATCTATCTAAATTATTATTTTTTCATTTTTAAGTTTGTGATGCCTCTTGCTATTCTTGCTCTGGAACATCAACAAATTGTACTAGCTGTAAATCAGGTTAAAAGTTAAAAAATAATATTTGCATTTAGGCAAGTTAGTATTGCGGTGATGGATACTTTGATTATAAAGATCAGGCAAACTTGTTAAGCTGCTAAAGTAAATTATATTCATTTGATAAATAAAATACTTGAGTTTGAAAGCAATTTAATGAAATTTCATTATAAAAAATGTATTTTTATATAATAAAGAATGCGATTAAAGTTGCTATTTATGTAAAGATGATTCTATGTCTTGTACTGCTTGCAAATTGGGACTGTTTGCATATAACAAATAATGTATCTCTTAGTAAGATTGTTTAGCCAAATTTATGATTCCAGATAGTAGTTCAGGAATATGCATGCCTTGCGCAACAGGTTGTCTATAATGTAAAAATACACCTACGAATTGCTAACTTTGTGATACTAGCCTTTAATATTACTTTTAGTCTCCATCAAAATGCGTTTTAACATGTGATCCAGGCTATTTTCCTACTACCTAGAATAACATTTAAGTTTGTTCATGTAAATTATTTATCATTTTCTTTTTTTGAAAGGATTTTAATTATTTTTTATATAAAGAATGTTACAGCACTTGCTCTTAGTGTAAAGACTCTACTCCATCATCTTGTTCTGCTTGTAATCCTGGTTATTACTTAACCTAATCTAAATAATGTGTTGCAACAAAGAGCTGTCCTGATGGATTTTATGGAGATGATTTAACAAACACTTGCAAACGTAAAATTAACATAATTGACTTCACAAAAATTAAATATTTATATGAAAATATTAATTAGCATGTGACTCTAAATGTGCCACTTGTTTTAATCCTAAAAATAATTAATGTAACTCTTGCAACAAGGGATATTACTTGTATAATCATTCTTGCTAACGTAAAAAAAAATTATGAAAAATATTTTTACTAAATTAATTTTAATTTTTAAAAAGCTTGCATGACAGGTTGTATAGATTGTACCAGTTTGCAAAATTGTAATCAGTGTGATTCTACTTAAGGTTATTTTTTCTATCAGCAGGCTTGCTATAAAACATGTCCAAGCGGATATTTAGGAGATATTAAGCAATCACCCTCTTGCATTTAATGTGCTTAAAAATGCTTGATATGTTCTGGTAAAATTGATACATGCACTTAGTGCAATTTAGGATATTATTCAAATGCTAGTGATTGTAGCCCTTGCTCTTAGTATTGTTAATAATGTACCAACTCAACTACCTGCCAACAATGTTAAAGTGGCACTTATCTTATAAATTCTGGTTGTACAACTAAATGTCCAATAGGCATGTTTGGAAATTAGATTACTTAGATGTGCTAAAATTGTGATACTTCATGCTCTACTTGTAATGGACCTTATTAATTTGATTGCCTATCATGTTAAGACCCATCTAAAGTGGTGAAAGAAGGAGTTTGTGTTGATCCTAATCAATGTATTGGGTCATACTTCTTAGATAAGAATAATGTAATTAAATCATTTTTGATATTTTTAAAATAAGTTTTTTTATTTACAAAAATGTAAAGAACTGTTCTCCATGTGACTAAGGATGCTTAAGCTGTAATTAAACAAGCTCAAATTGCAGCTTATGTGATTCAAATTATTTTTTCACAAATTACTATGCAAATGGGTAAGTAGTAACAAGGTGCTTTAAAGTATGTCCTACTGGGTACATTCCTAGCTCTGCATAGGACCAATAAAATTAATCTAACATTTTAAACTAGTGCATTTAATGTACCCAAAATTGCACAAGCTGCGCTGCTCCATTATATCTATATGGAAATCAATGTTTAGCATCCTGCCCAAATGGTTTTATAGGTAGCACTAGCAGTAATACTTGTATTAAATCAAATAATATTTTTTGTTAAATAAATAATCTCCAATCATCTTCAGTATTAGATCCCACAAAACCTCTTTCTTTTTAAGGATATTTGGCAACTACTTAACCTATATCTACTATGGTGTGGACTCTCTCTTCTCAACCATAAGGTTAATAAATCCTTACAGTAAACTAATAAGGAATTCCTAGTGGTGTTTTTAATACCTAAAAGGTTTTGATTTTACCTCCAAATACTTTATAAGCTGGAACTCAATATTAATTATCTCTTCACGGAACACTAACAGGTTCATCTGATGTTTGCGATAAATAACTACAATTTAAAACTTCATCTTAAATCTAAAAAGGTAATTTTTTTATTTATTTATTAAAAATTAAAATTAATTTTAAATTAATTAAGGCACATTAAGCGTTTAGAAAATACAGTAGTAATATAAGCTAGATACAACTATTCAAGCTTACCAATTTACTATCAGCGGATTCTCTACAAGCGATAGTGGATAAAATATTATGTTTGACATCGTTTTAATAAATTCTTAGACTAATTTAGTAAGCATCTTAGTAGCTTAGCAGCTAAGTACCTCATAGCCTATACAGTACACATATTTATTACAAAATCAGTTAGAAATTTAAACTTACATTCCTTAAGTTATTGCTTACACAGCAAGCTCTCAGGTTTCTGTGTAATCCTCAACATAAATAACAACATAAGGTACAATATCAAAACAAAAAGCTATTTAATAAATAAATTCAACAGTCACTTCTGCTAAATTCTTATTTAGCTCATTAGATGATATTAATTACTTAACTAATCTGTTTTATTAATCTTACTTATCTGACTTCAAAACAACTCAAAAGGTAAATAAATTATTTTATATTTTTATTTAGAAATTTTAATGAATAATAAAATAAATAAAAGTAAATTTAAAATAGAGCAATTAAATTCTTTTTAACAAAAATTTACAAATTAATTTAAAACTTTTTTATTACTTACAAATTAATATTTTAATAAATAAAAAGAACTAAATTGCGTTCCAAAGCTTTTTTGATGTCTATGATTCTTTGAATGGCAATTACTAGAGTACATGCAATCAATCGTTCTTTTGTAGCAACTAAGGAACTTGTGCTGAAAGCAAGTCTTATATTAGAAAATGCATATGTAATAAGGATTACAGTGGAGATAATTGTGAGTATCTTGGTACAGAATTTGGTAGTATTAAAAATTTGATTAGCTCTGTTACTTCTTCAAGTTTAATAACATCACAAAGTACTAATATGCAATCAAATTTACTTAAATTAAGTATAATCCACAATTTAAGCATTGCCAAAGGGATTTTATCCCTTGAAGATTTAAGAATTCTGATTAGTGTTTTCTTTTACATTCTATAATAAGGTACTACTTAGATACAACTTACTGCTACTTCTTTCCCAATAATATAAGATACTATTCAAAATATTTTAAGAAGTATGTTTAGCACTTCAGCTCTCTCAATAATAGATAAGGCAAATATAGATAAATTAATTTCAATGTACGAATAAAACATATTTTTATCAACTCAATATCTTGCAGGACAAAAGAATTACTATGAAGATGGATTATTTTCTAAATTTGAAGTTATTTATTTGAATAACTAAGCTATATCTGGTTCTACCAAAAACGTTTTTACCATATAATCTTAACTTAGTAATGCAACCTATTAAATTCCTCTTTCCTATTTGTAGAACAACTCAACTGTGATGTACTTTGTATCAATATAGTAAAAATATAATATTTATAACTAATACACCAGCTATGGCTAATTCTCGACTTCATTGTTTAGCTCTCTGAGCCTAATTGATGGATTGGGAGCTATTATAGATATTTCTTCATTTGATTAGGGTATGCTAATTTAGTTACCTAAGAACTACAACTATAACACTGTAACAGGAAATTCTGGTCAAAAGTATTACAGATGTACTTACTTATAAGAGTATACAAACAAATGGTAGGAAGATGGCTGTTAATTTGTTTCAGAGACACTAACATAAATAGTTTGTTCATGCACTCATTTAACTACATTTTCTGTATAATCTATCCCATATAATTTGTAGTAAAAACCTACACAATTAGATATCTTAAATGCAAATGGATGGAGTAATTTACAAGAATTTTTAAATAACCACAAAGATGGAATAGTTATTCCAGATACTCCTGAAGTTGTATAGCCAAGTAAATGGTTTCCAAACCCCATCGGCCTTTACGCGTTATTAATAATATTAGGTAATTAATTAAAATTTTTTATTTTAAATTAAAATGATTTATTTTCATATAATTTTTAATGATAAAATTAAAAAATGAAAATATTTAGGTCTTTACATAATATTCTCATATACTTCTATCTGGATTTAAAGCGATAAAGTTGTAGCTGAACAAAAGAGACATTTAACCTATCACCCCTTGCTTTCTATCATTTTTGGACAAAACACTTAAGAAGTGTCATCCTCGATGAAAATACTCTAGCTCTTTATTTAAATAATAGGAATATTATTTATTAACTGCTTTTTAGATACGTTGAATGTAGCTTTAAGGGTTATTATTTGCATATTAGTAAGTAGCGCCTTCCATTCACTTATCTTTAGGATCTACAATCATAAAAAATATTAGAAAGTAACAAACTCTTACCCTAATTAAAAATATTTATCTTAAGTTGACTAAATAAATATGAATTATGATCTAAGATAATTTAAAATGACTTTCTATATAATATGTTCTGTTCTTTATCTTATAGAGGGTATAGGATTGTCTGTTGCTGGAAATTTAATTGATACAAATAAAAACTTAGATTTCATAATTTCGTGCGTAATATCTATTATTATAGATATTGCTATTTTAGACTCTTTGATTTTTCTTATTGCGCATTATGCTTTGAAAAATAAAGAAAAGCTTTCTTATTTCTTCAAAATAAATGGGTATTACGACTTATTGATAAGCAATTATGTTGGAATTAGACAAAATGAATAAGAATTTTGATTGAAAACTTAATGTATTTGTATTTAATTATGAAGTTTTTATTTATTAGTATTTTTTAGTAAATATAATTCAAAAAATAATAAAATTAATTATTAAAATTTAGTTGAAGATATTGTATATTTTTATAAATAAAAAGTGAGAAAAATAAAATTTTAAAAAGTCTTTTTTTAATTATTGTTCGTTTTTTATTTTTCTTATTTGGTTTATTATATTGAATATCAAACAATTTAGATTTATTTATTTTATATAGTTGGAAAATAAGTTTCAAGTAGGTTATCACACTAAGTTTATTTTTGAAAAATGTATAATTAGCCGCTTTTCCTAAATATTTTTTTAAATCATGGAGTGGTGGATATTTATTAATAAATGAAGATTGATAGTAAAATTTAATTCAAATTGAATCAAATCCATTTATACTTTTACTCTTTGATAATACTAACTATTTGAAATTATTCAGCAAATAGAAAATTAGAATTAATTATACAAGGGATTTTATTATAAGTGAACTCCTATAGATATTGTAAATATTTATACCTTTGAGCTATTGTAGTTCTTATGAATGTAAAATGCTGAAAAAATTATTCATTTTTAAAAAAATAAATACTTACAGCTGACTTAATCTCTAAAAAGTAAAAAAAATAATATAAATAAATATTAATATTATATTTTTTTAAAAATTTTAATATTTAATTTTTATTAACTGCTAAATTTTATTTTCAGATATAAAATATGATTTACAAAACTTTGTTTTATAAATAATTTAATAATCAATAAAATTAAATCAAAAAAAGCAAATCCTAAAGTAAAAGACATGGCTAATTAAAATTTTGAAGAAACATATGAAGTTAATGAAACTATTTTTACAGCTTAAGAAAATAATAAATCTAAATAAATTAGGACTATTTTTGATCCTGTTCATGATCATATTTTGTTACCAGCAATTTTATGGAAAATTATAGATACTGAATAATTTCAAAGATTGAGAAATATTAAGTATAATGAATTTTTATATGGAGTATATATGGGTGCCACTTTCTCTTTCTTTGATTTATCTATTGGAGCTGCTCATTTAGCAAAGATGTATATGCTTTTCATAGAAGAAACAAATAGCAATAATGAACTTTTTTCAAAATTTATTGATGGAAACTCTAAAGATCACTTTAAAGATATTATTTGCTTAACCTAAGTTGCTGCTCTTAGTTATAATCTTGGCTAACTTCCATTCCGAAAGATTATAAAAAAGCTACTTAAAAATTAAAACTATGAAATTTGCCCAAAGAACGATAGAAGCGTTCAATTATTAGAAATAATTTTATTAAATTAATAACTAAGCAACAATTAATTGAGTGAAAATAAAGCAGAAAAAACATTTAATGATGAATAGGTTGAAGTGATCAAATATATGATTTTGGGAATTTCTTAAGATGAATGGGGAAAAAAAGATAATGAATTTAAAAAAAAATACCCTTATTGGATTTTCAAAATAGTGAAAAATTAAGATAAAAGCGATAAAGGGAAATATAATTTTGATATAATTAGACTAGAAAAACAATTTAGAGTTAATTTTGCAATACTTGGCAAGCCAATAAATAAAGAATATTACTATATTTTTATTCATACATAAATATACACACCCAAAAATCAAAAAGATCCTTAAATTTGTGATTTGAAATTAAATCAAATTAAGAACTTTGAAGACGAAAAAAAACATCATGACAAAATACTTAAATATCATAAAGCTAACATGGGAATTTCACTCACATTTTATGATGTATTTGAAAGTGTTTTTGATTTCTTGACGAGTCACATTTCTTTTTTTTAAAAAGAAGCATACAAAAATTATCAAAATCATCATGATAAAAAAAAATACTTACTTGATAAAAAAGAGTAAATTAGGGAATTTAACTATTTAGATGATAATATTATAGATGAGATTAAGAAAAATAGATCTAAAAATGAAATGTTTAAAGCTGGTCAATAAATTATATAATAATATGAAAATAGAATATTTTTGAAATTAATGTTTGATGGTTACTTTGAATTTAATTAAGAAGTTGAATAATTTATATAATATGTAGAATAAAGTTTTCAAAATACAAAATTAAAAATTATAATTTTATTAGAAAATTAAGATTAATCATAGAAATAAGTATTCATAGAAGATTTAAATTTCAAAAATGGACAGAAAGGAGATAAAATTTTAATTAGAATTTATTCTGATAAAGAAATTAAAGCCCATTTTAAAGATATTAAAGAAAAATTTAAGGATAGAAAGGAACCAATCACCACCTAAGAATAGTAAAGTAGCTCAAAATAACCTAGCTAATGTTCACTTGAAAAAATTGATGAAAAAGAGGAGAAACAATTAAAAAAAAATCAATAGCCATAAAATGACAATGAAAACTCCTTCTCTTAAATATCATGATTACTTGCTCAATTAATTATTTTAAAGCAAATAACATCTTTAAGCATGAGTGAATTAAATACTTATTCCTCTATTTTTAGAACTAATTTTTTTTGTTTAAATCCATAAATTGTTTCTAACTAAGATAACTTTCAACTTTCTTTTTCTTAGAAGTTTGTAAACGATTAGCATTTATTAGCTAAATTTAATAAAATAATTACTAAATTATAATAGATTTAACTTTTGAACTTTTTTTGATATTAGTAATTTAAAGATATTAACTATTTCAAGTAGACAATAGATTTTTGATAAAGATTTTTCAAACAAATAATTTTTTATTAAAAAATGTTTTTAAATTTATTTTCTATTTTTTAGAAATTTAACCCTCAAAACGAAATACATATTTTCTTATTACTTAATTTACACGATACTCATATATGATTTTCTTTATTAGGAACATCATTATTTTATAAAAAATGTGAAAATCAAATTAAATTTGATTATTATTATTTAGCAAAATTAGAATTTTTTGTTTATAATTTAAAATGAATTAAACAGTAAATTGTAATGTTATTTTATAATAATTGATTATTTTGTAGTTTGATTGCTTATTATTAGTTAAGATATTACTGGAATTTAAATATTTTCTGGGGAGATAGACTCAATATAAAAATAAGCTTGATTATATTAAAAAGATTTGATTTTTTTTAAGCTTAATTATTAAGAATTAGCAAAACAAAAACAAACTTTATTTAAAAATGAATTTCTATTAAATAATCTTAAAGTAAGTAGTAGATAACTAAAAGTATAGGCTTATTCTCCATCCTTAAAATATAATATTTATTTAGCACTTAATTGTAAATTATTCTATTCATTAATAATAAATTATATTACTTTTATTATTTATTATTTGATTTTGAAGCAGCATATTCAAAAGTTATAAAATATTTTTTATTAAAAAGACTTCTGCCACTTTACACTTGATACCAATAAATTAAAGCTTAGTTTTTAGGGTAGAAAATGATAAGTTTATCATTGAATAAAATCTTCCTCAAATAATTAAACTAGAATTTGTGAATTTTAATATTGAAAAATTGCTTGTTTAGCTAACTAAATTTTAAAGGCAACACTCCATAAATATGATTGAACATATTAAAAATATGGATTAATTTAAATATATATTTCAGAAGTACAGTATAAAATAGAAGACTTCATGCAAAGTAAAATCTGTTTGGATTAATTGGGAAAAGCAAGAATTGAGATGGAGTAATGAGAATTAAATTTCTTCCTCTTATTCAAAAAGTAAATTTAGATGATTATTTGTTACGCCATTTCCAATTTTCAAATAAAATTATTTGTATAAATAAATGCTTATATTAACTATATAAAAGTTAGTTTAAGGGATATCACTGATATTTAGTATGGATTTAAAAGCTAGAATTTATAAAGATATAGATTTTATCCAGGATTAAAGTTTGAATGTTGTCTTTCTATTTATTATATGATTTAAAGTTAGGAATAATGTCTAGATTTCTCTACTTAAAGGTTTATTGATTTGAAATAGTTTTTATAAATATTACAGGACATACTAGTCTATATAAATCATCCAGTCAGATCTTATATCACAGTAATAAAAATTACAAAAGTATGATATTTACTATTTTTAAAAAATTTAGAATCGTCAGTTATGTTTTTCAAAAGCGAAAATGAAATTAATGCAGTATGCAAACTAAAAAGAAAAGCTTACCCTAAATACATATTTAAAGAATAAAATATTTAATAGGATAGCAAGATCTTTGGTTAATTAAGAAGATATAGTAGCAAATAAAGCTTTAAATAGAGAGAATGATGTTTAATACATTGAATGGAAAAGTTCAAATATTAATTTAAATTAGTTTAAGGTAGATTAGTAAAAGTCTTAAAACTAAAACACATATAAAAGAGTTTAGTATCAATATAACGAAATTTAAACGGTAGGTGCAGCTAATAAAATTAATAATTCAGAAGCTTCAGATTTTAAAAAGATTCAATCTCCTATAAATGGAAGGATAGAACCTTCAAACACTAACAAAATACTCTTTTAAAAAGATACTTTAAATGATTCTTATAAGAATTTAAAGAAAGTAATACAGTTAAACACCTCATAATAAGACAGATTCTAAGAACAAAAATATAGAAAAACGAAATACCCAAATAGAAATATTCACTTAGATTTTCTTCACACTTCGGGATCTAACAAGAGTTTAAGTGTAAGCGAAAAAAGTATTTTAAATCTTACAAATGGATTACTTAGTCCTGAAATACATAATAAAATAAAACAGAAAATAAAAATTAGCAACTAGATTCCTAGTGGGAATATAATATAGAGATATATAAAGAGCAGCTTGTAAAAGCCAAGATGTACATTAAATTTAGATTGTTAAAAATTTATTTTAGCTTTTATTTTTTAAAAATATAGAAGAACAAATAAGAATTTTAGATTAATTCCAAAGCGAAAAAAATGAGTACTAAAGTGTTTAAACAAGTGAAGCAGATTAAATCCAAAGCTTAAAATTAGAAATAAAAGAATTATCATAAAAAATAGATGAAGTTTCTAAGCAAAAAATCAGTTTAGAATAAAATCTAAAGTTATGTAAATCATAGTTGTTGAAAGAAAAAACACTAAATGCTGCTTTGAAAGAGTAGCTAGTTGCTTTTAAAAATGGCAATTAAACTTTAGATTTAACTTTATCTCCTATTTAAAAGCCATTTGTTATGCAAACTACAATCTACTCGCCTTCAAGTACTCTTATAAAGAATTAATCAAATAAATAATCTGAAGATGCTTAATTAATACAGAACCTACAAAGACAGATACAGCAAGAAAGATAATAGAATTCTTAACTTAATTCTTAAATCTAAGATTTAAAATCTATTTATAAATCAGTTATTTCAACTCAAACAAAAACAATTAAAGATTAAATCAAAGTAAACATTTTTATTTTCACATATTATCAATAAAAAACCTTTTTTAATTTATTTAATTTAAAAATATTTATTTATTTTCTATTTAATTTTATTAAAATATTTTCTAATTTATTTATAAAATATTTTAGGGACTTTAATCCTGTATTGAAGACATATCAATAAAATAAATTGAATTAAAAAAAGATTTTGGTGCTTCCATCTCTCAAGTAAAAAAGATATTCTCATTTTTAGGTAAGTCCTTTTTTTGAAAGAAAACTTATATATAAATAATATTTTAAGGTAACTAAATAGTTGATTCTGAAAGAAGAGCGTTGTAACTAGAGAAGGAAAAGGAGGATCTTATGGTTTTCATAGATTAGTACATAAAAGATACAAAATGGAGTCGAAAATCTTTATCATTTTTAGAAGAAGATAAAACAACAAATTACAGTACAAATTGATACATTTAAGATAATTTTTCAAATAAAAAACACAGTCTCACTAGTCTCACTTAGTTAGTAAAATAATTAATTTAAACAAAACATATTAAGAACAAACCATTCAAACAAACTCAATAAATCAATTAATTAATTAATGGTTAACAAATAAATAACTTAGTAATTAATTTAAAATTATGTATAAAAATATAAAACTTTATTTATTTATTTAATAATCTATTTTCTTGACAACTTTTGTTTTATAAATATTATTTTATATTTTGTAAAGATTATTTATTTATTTATCTATCTGATGATCAATTATATATTATTATGAAATGAATTTAAGCTCACTCCCCTGATAATTCTTTATTCTTTTCGATTTTGTTTATCATATACCTAGCTAGTACAAGAAGAGATCCATCTGCCTTAAATATATCGTCTAGAATCTCCTTATTTACATGCTATTTGTTTATTTCAAATATTTTTTCATCCCTGGTAATGTTGGATCTCTCTTTTTCTAAATAATACAATCCTTCATCCAACAAAGTTTCAATTACATTTGACATATATGTCTTGACTGAAAACTAGAATGCATTCTTTGCATGATTATCTCTATTTGTTTAGAAATACATGTTTGTTTAAAATAAATTCGATTTTCATCTAAATTTAATTGTTTGTTTACCCATCATAATATTCAGAGTGACTAGTATTTAATTCTTTGCTTTTGTATTCATTATTTTTTTATGTAATCATTGCTCTCCTATTATGCTAGCACAAAATTGCAATTTCAGCAATAAAACTTTTATTATTAGACAAAAACATTTTTATTTTTATTTAATTTAAATAGCTTACGTCTAATTCTCTTCCAATCTTTCACTGTATATATCTATTGATTGTAATTATTTATTATATGAATTATCTCTTAATGCTCTTAAGAACTCATGCTTAGTGTTTTCCTTCCAGGGCTCTGCTAAATCTAATTTATTTATTTAATTAAATGATATATTTGCATTTTTAAATAAAATAATTATTATTTACCCTCTGAAAAGCTTAAATTTTATACAATGTGCTCTTAGCTTATAAACTTTACTAAATAACTTAAACTTTCGTTTGTTAGTTAGCCCAAATCATAATCTTCAATGTACTTATTTGATTTTAAACCTTCAATAACACGACTATTTCATAATTTATAATAAAATATTAAGCATTTAAATATTATTTTGTTGTTTAATAATTAGCTGACTTTGCCCCTTTTGTTCCTAATTTTGCATTATGCAAATGAAGCTTTCTGAGAGTTTTGTTTTTTTTGATAGCTTCTCCAATATTTTAACCACAAATATAAGAGAATCCTTCTATATCATTAAGAGAGATGCCTGTAATAAATGGTGAGTTTTTTTCTAATATTTTTGCAATTCTTATGCTTGTCTATAGATTAAATAAAAAATTGTTTTACTCAACTTTCCATTTTATTTTATTAATTAATAAATATTGCAAATTGTAAAATATATAACTTAATTGGTCAGTCTGTGATCTGAAAAGATTAACTCTCCCTTAAAAGTAGAATTATTAGAAATTATTTCTAGGAAACCCTCAATATCACTGTCTGAGAGTTTCATCGCATCCATTAATTTGTTTTCTTGATTGGATAAATTTAGTTTAGATCCAAATTTAGATTTTAACAAACTTGTTTCTTTCAATTCCAAATCATTATTTTTGTGTCCTAATTAATATTCCTACTCAATTTTATCATAATTTTCTAAAAATTCATTTGAATTCTCATTGAAATCAAAATTTATTATTGCTGTATTATCTCCATTGCTATCTAGTATTGGTAAATCTTAAGACAAGTACTTCTAGTACTCCTTAATTTTCATTATTAAAAAGCGTTTCATTCCTTTGATAAAAATTAATATATAATTAGTTGTTTTTAATTTATTATCAAGTAATCTTTAATATTATTAATATCTTTATAAACACATAAATAAAATAGATATATTATGTAAATATAATTAAGCAAACAAGTCTCTATGAGATTTTTATTTTTCAAATTATAAATTCATATTAAAAAGCTGAATAAAATTAATTTATTTAAAAATATATAATAAAATTATTTAAAAGTAAAAAATTTTATTTTGCAAATAAAAACTTAATAATTTTTAAAAAAGATTTAATTATTAAAATTTTGAAGTTAACTTTAACAGCTTTACTTTTAAATGTATTTTGATAACAAAAACCATTCAATTAATTTGTGTTTGCTATAAATTAGTTACGAAAGAAATAAATTATTATTAATTTTTTAATAGTGAGATAGTGATTGATTTTCAAATAAAATATAATTATTTTATAAATATTTCTTATATAATTTATTAAGAATATTTTAAATTTATCAATGAGAATGATCATCTGATTCTGCTAAAGTGATCAAAAACATGACTCCAAAACCTACGCATAAACCAAACAATTATAAGAAAGCAGTCTTGTTATTTTTTTCTTCAGAAAGTTTTGGTAGCATTTCTGCTGCTCCTATAAACAAGAAATTACCAGCTATAAAGCAATTCATTATGCGTTCAGCGTTTTCACTTAGACTTGCAACGGATATTCCAATAATAATTCCAATTAGACCAGAGAAATTAATAATACCATTGCATAAAATAGCCTAAAGTCCACTAAAATTCGAATTCAACAAAATAGAAACATCACCCATTTCTTAAGGTATTTCATGGGCAACAATAGCTACTATAGTACTTGCTGCTTTTGATTTAGTTGTTGATGTGAATGAAACTCCTAATGCTATTCCATCCATAATGTTATGTAAAAAATCAGCAATTAAGTTCATGTATCCTTCAGGTTTTTTATTCTTCCATCCTATTGTCAAGTCTATCTATTTAACTGATAATTCTTCAACTTTATTTTATTGTACTTCCTTATTTTCTGGTTCTTATTATATTTCCTAGTTTTATTGGTCAGAATTTTATTTCAGGTTCTCTTTTTCGATGTTAGTTAAATTATATTCAGTTGAAGTAGGGTTGCTAGTTAATTTGATGGATTCACTTGAAACTCTAGCATTTATTTATTTATGGTTATGACATTCATGTCCTTCGGAGTGACTATGTGAATCTTCTAAGCCATGGGAATGAGCTATTCCTAGCATGTGAAAAATCCTTTCAATAAGAGCAAAGACAAATATTCCAAGACAGATAAAGAATGACAATAGCTACATAGAAACACCTTCACCCTCTGCATGCTCTTCATGTTCATGTTCATGCTCATGATCATGAGATGCTTCTTCATGACTATGACTACCAAATGCATGAGGAAGTAAATGAACAACAGCGTCTCCAATCAAAGCACCAGCTGCAAAAGCAATAAGCACCTTCAAAAATGGATCGAACGAAATTTTTGTATATTTTTTTACGATAACAACAAAAGCAGAGCAGATAAATCCAAGAATTCCAAGCATTACACCTGTTAGCATACCATATGCCCAAGACTCTTCAGTTGAAAATGTTTCGCTAATTAAAGTTTCATTAACTTCATCATGGTCATGATCGTGATCTTCATGATGTTCGTCTGCACAGTAAGCAAATTTATTTAAAATAATAATAAAAATTACTATATTTAAAAATAAACTTCTGTAGTTCAACAACTTGTTAGAAAATAGGGATTGCTTCATAGATTTTTAATATTTTACTACGATTTTTGATTTCTTTTTGTTTTATTTAATTTTTTTGTTTATGAGTGACTCCTAAATTTCCTCTCAGTTTTTATAGTTTAATTTAAGATTAAAATCGCTAATTTTCTTCTCTAAAAATTTTTAAGTTTGATCTTGATAATAATGAAATTAATTGAGTTTCTGACCTTTGATAATAAAGTCTAGTGACTCTGATATTAGTTTACTTCTATAAATAATCAAATAATTATACTATTAGAGCAATAATATTCATCTTTTTTACGTACTAATAATTTTATGATGTATCAAAGGATAAATACTTTTAATAGATTTCTATTTATTCAAAGATTTGAAATTTTCCGGAACATTTTATGGAATAAAATTTTATTAGTTATATTATAAGATAGCATATAAAATAGAAAACTATTTAATTTAATTTTAAAAATAAATTGACTAAAATTAAAAATAAAAACTTAAATTTATGTGTGATTTATCTTCAAATTGGCATTAAAAAATATAAAAATGCTACTTTTCAAAATAAATTACGTGATTACTTTAAATTAATTTATTCTAATAAAATCTTATGGAAAAACATATATTTAGATGATCTTTATTTTATCTTAATTATACTTGATTGATTATTTGGATAGTTAACAAAATACTTGATACCAAATTAAAATTATAGATGAATAACACTTTCAAATATTTATTAATCCTAAATTACTTCTAAAAGCATTAAGCTAATAAAATTTCAATTATATTTTTAGTAAAGAAATAAAAATTAAAAAATTTTAATAAATATTTTCTTTATAAAATTAATTCTAAATTAATTTTATTAAGATTAAAAAAAATAAAATAAAAAATTTGTACTTTGTATATTTAGAAAAGCAAATAAATTAAAAATAGTAACTTTATGATTGGGTTCATAAAATATTAATTATTATATTCACAATAAAAAAATAATTAAACTATAAAGCTTATATTTTTATTTTCAGTTAATTTTTTAATTTTGCTTAAAAATGATATTGATAAAAATAATTTTCAAAGTTAATTTATTAAAAAAGCGATTAATTTATTTTCACATTAATGAAATAATTGATAAATAGGTTAATATAAATATTGAAGATATTAATTAATATATATCTACTAAGGATAATGTTTATTACTAGAACTGCTAAAGTTTTTATTTTCATTTGAAGGAGAAAAAAATAATTTTCAAATATGAAGAAAACCAACTGTTTATTTCCCTTAATACCTTTCAAAACATTTGACACTTTAATAATGGGGTTAGGGTCATAAGAAAAGCAAAAGAAGTTGTATGATAGATTTTATAAGACAAATAAATGTTTATTTGCAGATAAAACATAATCTATGCTTATTAGAAAAGAATATCTTTTCATTTGCTCAAACAATAATTTAAACCTATATTTTTATTTTAAATAATTTTATAATCAAAAGGATATTAATTTAATTATATTTATTCAATAACATACAAATTATTTGTTTAAATTTATACTCAAATATAAGATTGTTACATTCTTTACCATAATATATTTACTTTAAATATTTTTTTACTAAATTAAAAAAAATTGATGGAAAAAATTCAAATGAAATAAAGCTCTTATTTATTGATTTAAAAAATACAAAATTTTTTTAATCTTTTTTATTTAGGATAAAAAAAAAGGATTTTGAAATAGAGTTGTTAATTGTTTTAAATTAATGAAATTTTAAACAGTATTTTTTTGATTTTATATTTGGAAATACTGAAATAAAATAGGAAATATATTTATTTTCTCAACAATTATTTTTTCATTTATTAAAAATAACTTTTATATGTTTATAAATTAGATAAAGGAATACTAGCCCTTTTAATAATTTGTATTTTTACAACTATTTTAAATGATGGTTATATTCTGATTTCTAAATGAAGATATAAAAATCCAAAAATCTTACTCTAAGGCTTAATTGCCTTATTGATAAAAGTGTGGTAAATATTGTTATAAAAATTAATATTTTTCTTTAACAAATTTGATAATTCATTTCGATTTGAAATAGTAAGCATAATTTCTAATTAAAAAGAATAATTAAGTAAAGATGTAAAACATTCTTTTGACAACAGGTTATTAGTAGCCCAATCTAAGTAAGCTTTAATATGGTAATGTCAAGAAAAGAATTATTTAGAGCTGCGGTTCTGTTGAGCATTTTAAAGTCATTAATGAACAACATGGAAGCACTCTTTTAGTAGACAAGCAAGTTAGCTAAAAAAGGTACTCTGCTCAAGATTAATAATCATTAAAGTTCAATCTTACTAGCTTGCTAAATAAAAAATTATAATCATATAGCAAAGATGCTCATAATACTTAAAATCATAAGTTATATTAGTGCTCAATTAATAATTTTAACCCAATTCAATTAATACCTAAACAAGCCTCTTCAGATAAGTTGCCTTATTTAAATAGATTTAGAAGTTTGAGCGAAGGAAGTGCTTTTAAAAGATTAGCTTCTGCAAAACCTGCTATTTTAAATAGAAAAAGAAGTGTCACTGGTTAGATATCTTAGCCCCATTTAAATACTTAAAATCAATAGTTAATTCATTCTCAAAATTACTTTGATGTTAACCAAGCTTTATGTGTTTCAAATTATTTAAGCTGCAATACTGACCGTAAGCAGAGCTCAAATAAAGAAAATAAGTAAACTTACAATTTTGAGGGCTTATAGAGTGAAAAATTACCTAACTTCTCCAAAATAGCCTAGGTACAAGTGCCTCATACTAAAAGGTTGAGTAATTTCTAGTTACTCTGCGAAAAAAATAATAACTAAACTAGATATATAGCAAATTCTTAAAATTAATAAAGCAAAAACGAATCTTTGCTATTTACTAAATATAATAAAACAGTGTAACCATTCTAAGTTAGAAAGAGGGGAGTTTCAATTTCAGATAATAGTCCTTTTGCTCTAATTAAAACATTGAATACTTAAATGTCTACTACAGAGAGTATGTTTCTTACAGAAAATACTGAGAATAAGTCAACACAGCTTTTTGAAAATAGAAATTCTCTTGAGGAAATAATAAGCTAAAATGAATAAGATATTAAACAAAAAATAAACAGTAAAGATGTAGATAAAAATTTAGCTTTTAATCTAAAAAGGCTATAATTTGATAAATTTTTCCCAAAATGTGGACTAACTCAAAAATTAAAAACATACTATGAATAAATTGAAAAAGATTATTAAGATTAATACAAAAAGAATTTAGAAAAAGTGCGTAGAGTCGAAATACCAGAATACTAAAAGACCATTTTAAGGATGATAAGATAAGCATAGAAAAAGGAAGTTAACATTTAAAGTGAATACTAATCATTCAATTTCAATGATTCTAAATTGAAATATAAGTGAATTAATTAATAAAAATATATATTAAATATTTATTTTTAGATATAATGTAAGTGTTTATAAAAATATATGTCAAGTGTAATAATTTTGTTTTTATTTTTAGAGTTGTTAATATTAATTAGGCAATAATTATTTCATAATACAAATTTTAATCAATCAAAAGAAAACCTTATTAATGTCAAATACTTGTGTTCCTCATTTATTACTGTCAATTTAAAATTCCATGCCTAAATTGTAAATTTTAAGTATTATTTTGAAAAATTTTTTTAAGGGTATATTAAGTAATTGTTCACAAATGAGAGTTTGTACTGAAAAAAAAAGTTAACTTTAAATACATAAAAAACAATTATATATTATATTTATTTATAATACTAAATAGTGATTTAATAATAGCAAACAACCTTATTAAAAACTAACCAGAAATCTTTTGATTTTGAAATAGAAAAGTAGTAAATCAATCCTCTCACTAATTTTTGATATTATTTCATGCTAATTAATTATTTGCAGAAAAAATCTTATTATAAAAATTAAAAAAATTATCAAAAGTAGAACATATAATGAATAGAGCTGAAGATAATTATAGAAGCTAAAGCTAACTTAGGGAAAAAACATCTTGTTAAGTATGCCATAAAAAACTAGTAAACTTAGAGTATTGTCTTCGTTGTTCAAGAGCTCTTTGTGAAAAGTGTTATTAGAAGTATTTATTTTAAAGTTATCCATAATTGTTGCTATAAGAATGATAAATAAAATTAAAATAGGGGAAATTAAAGCAAATCTATTTGTCAACCTTGCGTTGATGAGTGTATTTTTATGCAAAAGCAAATTATGCAGGTATTAATTAAAAAAGATTTGAATATTCAATTAATACCTTTTTTTTTTAAAGTTTAAACCCAAATGGTGTTAGTAATCTAGTATAGGTAGAGAATGGGCTCAGCATTTGCTTGATAAGTAATACTTAAGTTGTCCTTATCAATAAACATATTTTCTGATTAATAAATATTTAAAATAAAAGAGATTTTAAAGTTCTTAATGAAGAGTACTAAGAAATATAGACATAAATAAGCAAGAATGTAGATTCAATCAAAAAATAGATTCCTCTCTTTGAAAAAGTTTTGCTAGATAGTGATAGCTTTAACTTGAAAGGAAGCAATATGAACTTTTCATTTTTAGACTTTTTATATAAAATAGGATTTCAATAAAATTAAGATACAATAAGACCAGTGAAGAATATATTATTAGCTTTTATATATATTAAGCCTGAGGTAGGTTACTCAGCTTATATGAAAAGTTTAGTTGTTTTCCTTTTATTTTTTATGGAAGAGAGTCTAGCGTATTTTTGCTTTTTAAAACTTTTCACTGAAATAATGCCTGAAAAAATATGGCCAAGCAATTGCAACAAAGAAGTTTTACAGAAAAGAGTAAAAGAAATGTCATCACTAACTTTAAAATTTAATTGTGTTAGCTAATCTGAAACCATTAGAGCTAAATACGAAGAATTTCTATAGAATAATATATTAAAGTTCTACTCTTCTTTTGTGATAGGCTTTACATCTTACAGAGAAACCTTTGTTTATTTTTCAAATTTAATGAAAGAAAAGAGTGTAAATAAAGATAAAATATTTTTTACTAATTAATTATTATCTAAATTAACAGTTTTATAATGTGGACGAGTATATCATGATAATATCACTAATTAATTACGATGCCATTATAAATTAAAGCAGCAATATTTATTAAGATATTTTATACAACACAACTATGACTAAAATAAATAATTTTAAGATACAGTTGCATGAGTTTTTAGATAATATTACTAGTACAAAGTAAACAAATTATTTCCAAAAATAACTCAATTAACATATTAAATTATAATATTAGCCAAATATATAGCCTATATAAGTAAAACTAAAAATTAGAAGTATAAAAGGAATAGTTAATCGAGCTAATGTGTAATTTATAAACAGAAATTGGTATTAAGCAGAGTTAGTAAGATTAAATTGAATCAGAATTAGATACCATGAAATTTGTTACTGAAATCAGTATTCATGGATAAATGTAAGAAGAAACCAAATTACAGTTAAGCGTTTCAAGTTTAAAAAGCTAACAGAAAGAGCTAGAAGAGTAAGAATAAAATCTAAAGGAATCAATATAATAAGGTGAGAGTAAAATCAAAGAGCTTTTAGATAGAGTAGAATAAAAATAAAAATCAAGTAAACAAAAAGCTGAAAGTAGAGAAGTGATAGAAATGAGATATTTAAACAGATAGAATCAATTAAAATCAAAAATAAGATAATTAGAAGAAGATCTAAAGCAGTAAGATTTAGAAATAGCTTCTAGAACTAAAATATTAGAGGCACGTAAAAAGAATCTATTTAATTAAAGTACTTAGTCATTTAAAAGCTAAATAGTTTGAAGAGGCAAACACATTATTGATAAAATCTTATATTAATAATTCTATTTCAAATTAAACAAAAACATTTAAAATTAAGCTAAGAATATAATATCCAAAGTAAGCAATAAAATTACGATTGGAGTTTTTCCTTGACCTATTTTCAAATTTAAAATTAAACTAAATAATACTTATAAAATTCTTATTAAGGAGAGTATTTTTGTATTTATTTTTAATTTAAAGCATTTAATAAATTTGCATATATCTTTTTATCTTCAGTTTTATATTTCAATTTTATCAGATATATCTTTAATCAGATTCAATTTTGTATCTCCCACCCATAAAATTTATTAAAATTGAGCTGTGTTCCTTTTAAGTATTCTACTGCCCTATTTTTTGCAGTCGCCATCCCAGTATTATTGGATTTCATATCAATATATCTATAACCGCAACTGTAGATTAAACTCCAATTAAACCCCTTCGCAGCTTTATGGTTTGCATAATCATATAGCTAGAAATGGTTTATTATATTTTTACCAAAATTAATTAAATTCCAATAAGTAAAATCTAATTTAAATTTTAATAATTTTTTTTAGTTTAAACATTATTTAATAAATTAGCATAAAATTTCCAATTAAATTTAATTAAGCAACTAATCATTCAATATTGCTCTTATTGAATATTTCATTAATTTTAGTTATACCATCTAAATACTAAATTAATCAAAAATAATTACAACACTTTGAAATTTAATATAATAAATAAATAAATTTATTAATTTTTATTCTTTTTAAAAATTCTTACTTAATTTCTTATTTTTTATAAAATTATTCTAAAATAATTTTAAAATAAATTCTAAAGTTTCACAAATAATTAATTTTTATAAAATCAACTAAAATATATCATAAGATCTATCTATCTTTTTTTTTAATTTTTACATCATATTTAGTTATTTTACCAATAATTATGATTTATTTTAAGTTAATTTTAAGTTAGAAAAGAATTATTTAATTAATTAAATTTGTATTAAATTTATATTATAATTATTATATTTTTATTAGAGTTTATTTATTTTTAAATAAATATAATTTTTATATTTATTATATACCTTTTTTTCCTAATATTTATATTTTAAAATACTTAATGAGACTTTTTGACTTATAAGATTTAAACCTATTAAAATGAATATTAATAATTATTAATTAGATAGTTTAAACAAATTAAGATTGATCTAATAAAGCTATTTAATATTTAAAAATATTATTTTATTTAAACATTAAATATCAATTCCTTCCATGTATCAATTATCAATATTCATTTCTATGATTTATTACATCAAATTCAAAGCCAAAGAAACTCATTTAAGTATTGAAACTTACTCAAAAACAACATTTAAACTTTTTAAAATGAATATTAATAAGACAATTTTTTATTTAAAATTTTTTAAATATTTAGATTTATTAAAAACTTTTAAAAGCATTCTAAAATTTAATAGAAAAAATACAAATTACATTTTTTATATTTTAAAATATTATCTTATTAAAAAATGAAATATTAATTTAATCTTTCAATTACTCTCTATTCACTCATTATTATTACTATTTCATCAAATCTAAAGCCAAATTAACTTATTTGAGCTCAGAGGAAATTACATCAATTAATTCTTTTTTATTCTTTTTCTAACTTTCTAAATCCTCAATAATTTTATTAAGTCTCTCTTCTTCTTGAATGAAGTTTCTTTCTAACTCTTTTTCATCTACACCATTTAAATCTTGATCTATTTATTCTGTTAGCTTATCAAGTTATTCTTTAATCAATTAATCAGTCTACTCTAAATTTTTAACAACTTCTTTTTTTTATGTTAATTGCTAAGTCAGTTCTTCTTATACCTATTTTAAATTATCTATCCTATCTCTTTAACTTGAATCATCTTAAAATGGAATGACTACACTTTCAAATTCACATTCAATGTATTTTTTTTCTATCTCTTCTATTTTTTATTAGTAAATTTTACATTCTTCTTTTAAATTAGTTATTTCTAGTTTAAGTAACTTATTTTGCTGCTAATAAAGATCTAAACTTTGCTAATAATCATTACCCCATACTTCATTATTTAAATTTTATTTGTTAGCTATTAATTTAAAGTAATCTTCTGATGAAACTACGTGTACTAATTTTTATTTATATTAACTAAATATAATATCAGCAAATAAGATTCCCTCTAATTTATTTTGATCTGTATTATAATTTATAGATTTTAGTTTAGGGTATACCAAAACAACTATGGCTATTACAGAATTTACCACGCTTTCAAACTATTTAAATATAAAAATGTAAATTTTTCAATTTGATTATTTTTATATTATTACACTGTAGTGAGAAAATATTTATTGCAAATTATGAAGAGATATTATAAATCTAAAGTTGTAGGAAAACAGACTCAGTATCCATAGGGACAGCTTATCATGAAGTAGTTGCTTTATTACTGGAATTAATTCAAGGTTGCTTTTATTATTTTTTGAAACAAATTCTAAAATTCTCATAGTCAAATTTCTTATAAACTCTGGATCATCTCTATAGAGTTGTTAAGGAATAATATGATCATAAAGAAATTTCATCATAGCAAATGCTCCTATTTCGTCAGTAAAATTTAACAAGTAAAATGCTTGATAGAGTATTTCTTTTTTATATTGTATCTTTGAGTCGTAGTGTAAAAAAGCATTTACTACATTTTTAACTGCCTATTTAATATCTTAAAATTGCATGCCTTCTGTTGTTTTGATTAAGAATTAATGATATGAAGAATTAAAGTGAGTATTTTCTATGTCTATTTCAACATTTTGATATTGTTCTTTGTTCTTTAGTCTACAGTACAGTTAGCTTAGCTATGCTTTATTTCTATAATATATTTTTAAATAATATTCTTCATTTTAGAGCTTGATAAAATTAAAATTTTACTATTTATAGTCCTTGATCCAAAGCTAGACATTGAATTAGCTATTGCTATTATACCTAAGATTATGCTAAACAATAAATTAGGAATTCTTGCTAAAATTATATTAAATAGATATATGTTTAAATTAAAATACTTGTGAAACTAGTTTAGTCATCATTTGAAATTCATTATAACAATCTCCACATATTTTATGTTCACCTCCTGAAATAACAAAAACATCTTCTACCTTTAAATAAATATTGAATTTTTGAAATCTTTCTATATATTTTTTGCAATCCTATTTATAAAATGCAATAATTAATATATTACTTTCTCCATTTTATAGCAACTCTAGCATAATGATTTATTGCAGAGTTTACAGAAGTGATTTGCTGGTCTTTGGCAGTTCTAAAATTAGCAGATCACTTCTCTTGGAGATTCACTAATATATAAAAATGCGTGCTATTTTGTTCTTCCTTTTCTATTTTTCATAATTTATATTTATAATTTGTATATGCCAATAATTAGATTGATAAATCAAAAGGTATTTGATGACTATTTTGTTATTTAATTGATTATAAGATTTCAGGTAGAAATACTATTTGGATTTATAGTCTAAAAAAAATATTTTTTTATGAATTTTAGCAAATTTGGTTATTTTACATTTTAATCTAACTTATTTCAAAAAATTTTTTTAAAGTATTTTTATTTTATTTAACTAAAAATAATATAAATCTATTATAATTGTTAGAAAGTAAAAGGTCTACTTTGAATTAAATAATTTATTGGTTTGCTTCAAGTGGATGCTTATAAATTATTATTGTCTAAAAATAAAACAAAAAATTTTATTGGAATTAAACAGATTAGTTTTAATATATCTTGTTTATTTATTTATTAATTAAATATTAAATAATTTATTTAGTTTCTTTCAAATTTATAAATAGAGTAGAATTTTGCAATCATGTTTTCAATAACTCAACAAAAATATTTTTATTTTTTGAAACATTTTACTGAAATTTACTTTCAATTAAAATTAATATACTTAGCTTTTTTATGAATTCTACTTAGCCATATCAATCATCAATCAGTAGTAGCATGATTTATTACTATTGATCAAATTTTTTACATTTCATTTAGCTTATTTTAATACTAACGAGTAGTAGTTTGATATTTGGGCAAATTTAATTTAAAGCAAATTTAATACAAAAAAAATTGATAATATTTCAATATTAAAATCTAAATAAGAAGCATTTACAAGAATAACCATTAAAAAAATGCCTAAATTTTAAGCCAAAAAGAAAATTTTTAAGTAGGATAAGTTTAAATCAAATGGAAAAGGCAGTGGACCAGCTAAAAAAAATCCTGCCTTTATGCATAAGAAAAATAAGCTTAATAAATCCATTTAGAGAAATAATAAAAATTCTTAAAATCATTAAGTGAATGGAAAGAAAAATTTCAAAAAATTCAATAAAAATGATGCTCCTGCAAATAATAAATTCTAAAAAAAGAGTCAAGACGATTTTGAAGACAATTTATCTAATGGTGAGTTTTAGGAATTATAAAAAAGCACTGCTTAAGCTCAAAATAAAAAATAATAGATTCAAAAGTAATAATAGTCAACAAAGAAACCTTAGGAACTAAAATCAGGAAACAATAAATAAAAGGGCCTTAAAAAATAAAATTAAAACGATGACATTCAATTAGGAGGTGATGATTTAAGTGATAATGTTGATATAGATATGTCAGGTGAAGAAGATCAAGAGTATAGTGATATAGATATTGATTAAAGTAGCTAAGGAGGATCTGAAAAAGATATCAATAGTGAATAAAATGAAGATGATGACAATGATGAAGAAATCGAGGATAGTCATAATGAAAGCTAAGAAGGTAATGAAGATGAGTCTGAGTTTGATGAAGAAAATGATGAAAATTTTAAGTCTGAAGTGATTGATAAGCTTCAAGATAAAGATTTCGAAGATTAGGAAGAAGCAGATGAAGAAGAAGAAAGTGAATTATAAGAAGAAGAAAATGAAATTGGGCATATTGAATAAGAATAAAATATAGATGAAGTAAAGGATGCTAGCAAAAGCTAAAACTAAGCAAATACTGTTGAAGAAAAAGAAGTTATTAACCGTACCCATCTTGCAAAATATTGGTCAGTTGTTCTTTCTCAACCTTCAATTTACACAGGTGGTAGAATTTTGATTTCACCTAACGAAGAATTTATGGCTTCAATTGCTAACTTTAGAATAATTATTACTGATATCGCAACTCGTTAAATTATTAATTAAATTACTCATGTAAGATTTAAGAATATATTTACTTGTTTCTTTAAAAAATTAATGCTTTTAAAATAATTATTAGGAAGAAGAAGAGTTATGCAATTTTGCTATTCATCCTAGCAATAAGTTTATGGCAACTTTCACAAGAAACAATATTTTAAGATTTATAAATCTTGAGACAAAGGAAACAATTCACTCATGGAGAGTAAAGTTTATTTAAAAATTCTTTCAGTTTTTTAAGTATTACATCTAATTAAAATACAGATAAACGATCAATGGGCTCTTGATATAGTTTTTGATACCACAGGTTAGTTTATGGCTATTGGCTGTGTTGATGGTTTCATTAAAGTTTATGATGTAAAGAAAGGAAATCTAACTCACAACTATAAGGTAACAAATACAGCAAACATTTGTTGATTTAGTTAATTAATATAAAATAATATTCAATAGGTTCATAGAGGCTCAGTTACTAAATTATTGTTCCACCCCACTCCTAACAAACTCCATTTGATTAGTGTTGGAGAAGATTACGCTATTAGAATTTATGATTTAGTTATTTCAACAGTTCTTAAGTCTATTGTTGCTCACACCTAAATGGTTACTTAGATTATCTTCTCAGAAGATGGTACCAATCTTTTATCTGCAAGCTCTGATTAAAAAATTATAGTTTGGGATTATACCAATATGACTAAATAAGCCGAAGTCTTATTCGACGAATAAGTAGAAGCTATGGGATATTTAAAGATCAAAGCAAAATAAAACAAAAAGAATATTGTCTAATCTTATTTGGTAGCCACTGGAAGTTCTGGTATTCTGAAATTAATAGATATTACTTCAAATGATATTAAAATAATTCCTTTTGAAAATCTTAAAACTCATGAAATCATCAAAATCATGTAAGCAAATTAATTGTCAATAAAAAGATTAGCAAAAGTGTTAATTTTTATTTTATTTTAAAAATAAGGACACTTCCTAAAAAGGAATAAATTTGTGCAGTTACTGTTGAATAGAACGTTATTTTTTACAGCTTCGTTGAAGGACCTAGCTTGATAGAAAGTGACATTATTGTAGGTTTTAATGACGAAGTTACAGATGCTAAATTTTGCAAAAAATAAAAGAAAGATAATTAAGTTTTTGAAAAAGAAAAAGAATATGTTGTTATTTCAACAAACTCAAGCATCATGAAGTATAAAAATTTAAATAAACCACATATTTTAAATTATTTTATCAATAAACAGGGCTGTAGAACTTGGAACAGGAAAAACTCATTTTATTAAAGGTCACTCTGATTTCGTTTTAACATTAGATACTTTTGGTCCATACATAATTTCTGCTGGTAAAGACAAAACTGTAAAACTTTGGAAAAAGGCTGATAATTCATTTGAGTTTAAGCTTTTAGCTACTTTTATTGGTCACGTAGAAGCTATTTCCTCAGTTTGTTTTGGTCCTAAAACCGGTAAAATATTTGCTACTGGCTCTGAAGATTAAAATATAAAAATTTGGGACTCTTCAAATCTCATGGCCAGATCTCATAAAATACAAAAACCAGAAAATGTTACTAGTTCAAAAAGAACAGTTTCTGCTCATACAAAAGATATCAATGTTGTCAAATTTTCTCCAAATGAAAAATTATTGGCATCATCTTCTTAAGATCGTCAAATTAAAGTAAGAAAAAAATTATATTTTTAGTCAAATTTATAATCAATTAAATTATTTATTTATTTATTACTTTTAGATTTGGGATACTGAAACTCTTAGTTGTAAGATGATTTTAAAAGGACACAAAAGAGGTGTATGGGATGTTAATTTCTCACCAGTTGAAAAATTATTAGCATCAGCTAGTGGTGATAGCACTGTCAAAGTATGGAATCTTGAAGATGGTTAATGCGTCAATACCTTCGAAGGTCACATGGGATCAGTATTAAAATGTTAATGGGTTTGCTATGGATTAGAAATTATTTCAGGTAAAATTTATTTATTTAAAAACATCACAAAAATAATGATTTACATTAAAATAAATTAGCTGGTGCTGATGGTCTTATAAAAATATGGAACACTAAAAAGCAAACTTGCTTAAATACTCTGAACAAGCATTAAGGAAAAATTTGGGCTTTAGATATCTCTGCTTATGACTAAAATGGTAGATTATTAAATAATAATATTTATAATTTAAATTAACTAAATTAAAGGTAAATAATTTATGCTTACCGGTGGTAACGATTCTAACTTCTTCATGTGGGAAGATGTTACTAAAGAAGAAGAACTTAAAAAGAAAGAAGAAGAGCATGAAGTACTCATTTAACAAGATAATTTCAAATAGCTTATTAGAAATTAAGATTATATAAATGCTGTAAAGCTCGCTTTCAGATTTAATTTTGTTTCTAAATTCCACCAAGCTCTTGAGTTGATGTTCCATAAAAAAGATTTCAAGAACGAAATTATTTACAGTGAGAACGAAATAAAATAAATCAAAAAAAATAATGAAGAGGAAGATGAATTTGAAAAAAATATTAGAGAATTAGTTACAAATTTAATAGAGTTAGATATTAATAAATTGCTAATTTATATTAGAGATCTAAATACAATGCAAAAATCCTCTAAAGTAGCTTAGAGACTACTTAACTATGTTATCAGATCCATTCCTATTGATGACTATCAAGAAATTTCAAAGAAATTTAAAGTACCAAAGAAACCTTCCAAAAAAGAACAAGAAGAATAAACTAAAATTCCTAGCGATTCTGAAAAGTCTGAATTTGAATAGCTACTTCAAGTAATAATCAGCTACTCTAAGAGACATGCAGAGCGTATGGAGCGTTTCATTAAAAAATCATATTATCTTGATTTTGTACTTAAAAAAATAGATCTTTTGTCTATTTAAGACGAAGAAAATAATAATAAAGAACATAATAAATCTGAAGCTACTAACAAAGCTTGAAAATAAAGATTTAAAAAATATATTTGAGTCGTAAGTAATAAAAATAAAAATAAATGTTCTATTTGCTAATCTTAAGCTTAAGATCAAAATCAGTCTTCTTAAAATTATTTATAATTAAAAATTTTATGAATATATTAAAAAAATGTGTATTTCTTGATTAAATCTTAAAATATTCATTTTTAAATACATTATAAATTAAAAATCTACTTTTGAAGATAAATTTATTTTAAATATTTCAAATGAGTGAGCTTAGTTTTTATTTTTAAATTAATAAATCTAATAGATTAAAATTTAAAACTAAAAAAATATCATCCAAAAATATAAAAATAAAGTTCATTTTTATTTGAGGATCTATATTATTTTAATTTTAATTTTTAACAATTAAAAAAGTTTTTATATTAATAAACAAGTAAAAATACAATAAAAAGTGCCTTTTAATACACAAAATCTTAACTAAACCATACTTTTTTTGGTTTCGTTTTAATATCAGAAAAATATTTAGTTTTTATAACTTTTATTAAATTTTGTTTATTTACTGTATATTCTCCAAAATAAAATAAGGTATTCTTTAATATAACTTGAATTTTTAATAAAGTGACTTAAAATCATAAAAATTAAATGAGATTTACAGGATTAGCAAAATTAGAAAACACATGGTATCTTTTTTATATCCATAATTCCTAAATACTATTTGTTTGATAAATTAAATTTAGAATGAACAATTTAATCCTTATTGAAAAAAGTTTAATAAAAAATAAAAATTACAAAAGATTTTAATTAAGTTTAAATTTAAATATAATTAATTAATTAATTATTTTTTGTATCAAATAATTATTTAGAGATAGATTATAAAGATGATTTATTTTTTTATTTTTTTATTTTAATAATTTTGTTTAATTTAACAAACGAATTGAAGATAAATAAATAATAAATATAGACACAATCTTAATTAGTCAAATCTTGAGTTTTTAAATTACATTATTATATTGTTCTAGTGTTTGTTCATATTCTTCTAAATAAAAGGCATCATTAGGCTCCAATTGTTTTTTTTATTCAATGATAGCTTATACATCAATTTTAACAGCCTTATTATCAAAAATTATATAAGGAACTTTTCTTTGAGTTCTGACTTCATTAACATCTTTTCTATATTTGATAAAATGTCCTCTATATCTGTCCATAACCTACTTATTTGATTAATCTAATTTGCTAAGCATAAGAATTTCAAAAATTCTTTATATTTAATATTTAGGAATTTTAGTAGCTTGGGTAATTTCTTATTAGTGACTAATTTATATTCCTTCAAGCTAAAGAATGCCTCTTATTGTTTTTGGGCGAATAGCTTCAAACCATTGCCAAAACTTTCCATCAATGACTAATTTAGTTTCAATAATATCTCTAACGATTTGGAATTCAGGTGAGGGATCCTCTACTGTTAATTCTAAACACTTACTATCTTCTTAGGCAGTTTTATAGTGACAATTCAAAAGCTCTGTAGCAAGGCCTAATCTTTAGAAGATAGGAAGAATTACAATCTAAGAAATTTAATGTCTTGATTTATTGATGTTAAACATGTATTCATATTTATTTGTAAATCCTGCAAAAGTGTACATTCCATTCTAATCAACATGGAAAATAAGGAAGTGATGCCAATATTCATTATCTTCAATGTAGGAGCCTACTTCGATAAAGAATTTAGCAAATACTTGCATGCGCTTTTTATATTCAGAGAATTCTGGGTGTTTTTAAGTATTACAATAATATATTTCAAATTTTTCTCCATTTTTTGCAGTTATTTCTTTGAATTTATCTCCAATTGGTTTAAATGACTTCTCTTTGGCCATATGCTAATTGAATTCTTTGCGCTTGAGACAAAAATCACTCACAAAACAATTATCACGAAGCTTCTATAAAAAATCTTCATGCTATTTCATCTTTTTTCCATAAGAGTATTCAACTAATGTATGGAGAGAGCCTGAAAGCATATAAATATTAATTTGTAGGTCTTCATAACCTTCTATTTCTTCTTCTTAACCATAAATTTGATGAACATAATTTGGCTTAAAGAGCATATTCTTTTTAAATAAAGGGTTCAAATCATTCTCTTCTTATACAAATTTAATATTCAAAGCATCATATGCTAAACTACAGCCTTCCCTTGCCTTAATTTCTTCCTCTTCATCATCATCACCATCATCGTCATTTTCTGCTTATGAATTAGCATCTCCGTCTTCTCCTAAGTCTTAATCTACTTTTTTTTTATTCTTTTTTTATCCTTTTTGTTATTTTTCATTTTCTTGGAACTCCATAGCTAATTTCATTAGCTTTTGCATTCCATCTGGACCCTCAAACTAAGAGAGGTCAATTTTTTGGTTTTTCTTATCAGACATTAAGAAGCTAGCTACTTTATCTTTTTTCTAATAATTAAATTTATTTGTTTTTTGAACTTAGTTTTATTATTAAAAAATTTGTATTATATATTTATTTGATTGTGTTTTTACTAAGAAATTTTTAAAAATTTATCTTCAAAAATTTTTTGCGGATTCTTAAAAAAGATATTTATTATTCATTCGTACCGCCAACAGCATCAATAATAAGTTTATTAATAATCTAACAAAAGGGTATTATAATAAATTAACATTTTTTAAATAAATGTTAGCGAATACACTAAAGTAAATAAAGCATAAATCTTTTATTTTTTGATTTAAATTATTATTCGTTGTGTTAAAAAAATACTCATAAAATAACAAACTTTTTCTAGTAATTTTTTCGCTTCACATTATTTTTTATAAAAAATAAATATTTTAATTCAAAAATTTTTTAAATAAGGATACATTTTATAATGAATTAATTATAAAAAAATAAATTTAAATGACAAAGAATTAAACAATAAACAATCATAATAAAGAAATTTTATTTGATAAGTTAAATTATTGAAGAAAAATGTTATTATCTTTTAAAAATTCAATTAATATCTTTAATTTTTTAGATTTTATAATTAATTTAAATTTTATATCAAGTTTGTCTATTTGAATAACTTAGAATTAAAATTAAGCTTTGAAAATAGAACTCAAAAATGAATTCTTTTATGCTATATAAATAAAATAATTTTTAATTATAAAATTTAAAATAAATTTAATTAAGAGTGTTTTGGATGTGTTTTTAGATGAACTTTGAAAATAAATTTATAATAAATAAGAAATCAAATAAATAGATTGAATCTTGTTATTGATGAAAGCTTATAGTTTATGACTATTTTTATACATCATATACTAAAAACATCTAGCAAAAAACAGTATAAAGGCAACGCAATTTATTAATTTATAAATTTTTCTTATCATGAAAATAACAAGGAAAATATAAAAATAAAATTTACAAAAATTAATAATAAGTATAAGAGACTCATTTTATCAAATCAAAACAATTAAATAAAAAGTTTAAAGCATAAACAAACCCTTTAATTAGTATAAAATAATTAAATTAAAGACATTTGAAAGGGAATTAAAAAAATGGAAAACTTTAAGCCATAAAATTAAGGTACAAACAAGAATTAATCTCAAAAATAGATTTTGCAATTATTACTTCAATACCATATTTGAAATTAATATTAATTGAATTTTATAAAAACTAGTCTCTCTTCTGTTCTTCGATAATATTGATCACTAGCAATCTAGAAGCTTGAACAAAGGTGATTAATCTCAAGGTAAACAACACAAAATTTATTTTTCAGCTTATTAAAATTTTAATATCAACCTAGCCATAGATATTTAGATATGAATTAGATGTATCCAGTTATAAATTAAATTAGAAAAGCAAGATTATGGATAATACAAAATGAATTAAGTATTTGATTTGTAAAAATTTATTTATATAATAAACAGGGAATAGAAAAGTATGTGATGAAATAGAATTTACATAGCCAGTCAGAGTTAATTTGATTCGTATTGTTAAACCAAATAGTGAAGTGCACTAGTTGTTAAAACCTTTAAAAACTGTCACTGACAAGGAAGGTCAATTTAAGAATTTAGAAATATTTTTTAAGGATCTCTCTATTCCAAATGATAAATATTGTATGTTGATTAATGCCAAGACTATCACAGAAAGCAAAAATCTAAATCATGATGTTTTGATTCCCGTTCCTTAAGGGGTAATTCAACTTTTTTAATTAACAATCAATATATTATTATGATCAATTAGCAAAGTGTAGCAATTACCAAATATATACGAGCATTTAGTTAATTAGTTTAAGCAAAATGAACTATAAATGATTAAGGTTTAAAACAAACATGCTTGTCAAGATGAAAAAAAAAGATATTTTAATTTTATGAAAAAATATGATAAATAGTTTAAGTTGATTTTAAAAAAAAATGATTGATTAAATGATTGCGTTAGATATTTTTGATTAAAAATTTGTTTTATTCTAATAAAATAGATATACACAAATTAGTTAGTATTTAGGGGAGAATATACAAAATTAACTGTTTGCGTCTACGGGGATGTTCTTCAAGAACAAGAAATAGCTGATTTGTGTCCCCTTTATAATAAAACTTTTGACCTTGATCTTTTACCGTAAAATCATTTATTCAAACTAAAAAATAATGCCAGCATTTTAAAAAGTTAGGATTTGACTTTTCAAACAAATATTTTATTAAAAATTCATCTCCTTAGCTGCTGTGAAATAATAGTCAAAACATAAAATAATTATGTATCAAATTTATACTTATAATATAGGTAAAAGAAAACTTTTGATGAAGAGCAAGAAAGGAAAAACAAAATAATTGGAGATAATGAAAATATTAAAATACAAAGATTAGAAAATGCTTAAAAGATCATTTAAAATATTTTCTAAAAGAATAATTATCACATCTCATATGAGTAGATATAGCCAAATATTTTGATAGAAAAGCAAGATCCAAAAGACAAAGAAATTTTAACTTAGCATATTTACGAATTAGTAGGTGAGATAAATCGTTTAACTGCTTAAAACGAAGAAGAGTTAAAATAATCTCTTCATATATACAGATAGAAATTATAGTAGTTAGCAGGTCACTTACAAACAGTAATAAAATAAATAAATAAATTTCCATTATAAAAATTAAATATGTATTGAAAATAGCTCCTCAAACTAAACGAAGAATAATTACATGATCCAGCACATTTTGAAGGGTAGGTTTCTATACATAGGGATATCCCACCATCTGTTGTTTAGATTTGTTTATAGACTCTAAACGACTCTCCTAGTGATTATATTAGAGGTCTCGATTTAGCTTTACAACTAATAAGCTCTTATGATCATGCCATAGAATTTATTGAAAACGAAGGATTGACAAAAATCTATAAAATATTGAGATATAATGAAGAAGATAATCATCACTTTGTTTTTTCTTCTATGAAAATGAAAGCATTAGAAGTTATAAATGCTGCTATTACTTATAAATAAGGTGCATATAGCTTTTTAAATTATTGTATTAGAGAATTCTAAAAATAAAGAGAGGGTTCTCAACAAATCGAAGATGATTAAGATATTCCTACAAGCAGTAGATTAGACTTAGATAGGGAAACAAGTACTCGTGAAAGAGAAGACAGAAGTGAGAAATCTGATAGATAAAAAGATAAAAAGGATGACAAAAAAGAAAAGAGAGTACTCAAATTTATAATTTTTATCAATAGTTATTGAATTCAACCAAACCAATAAATATAAATAGGAAGGAAGTGAAAGCAAAAGTAGATCTAGATCTAGAAAGAAAGATAAGAAAAAGAAGGAAAAGAAATCTCATAAAAGTGAGAAAAAAGATAAGGATGCCAAGAAAAGATCTAAATCAAGTAGATCAAAAGAGAAGGAAAAAGACAAAAGAAAGAGCAAGAAAAGTAAAAGAAGTGATAGACGTCATTCTAAATCTTCCTCCAAATCAAAATCAGAATCTCGTAGCAATAGTTACAAAAGATATTAGGATGATTCTACAACAAATGCCAGTGTGAATAGCAAGAGATACAACGATAAAAGGGACAAAAGTGGAAATTAAAGTTCTAGCAAAAACTAAAGCAGCAGCAACTATAAGGAGAATTTTAAAGATTAAAATAATTATTCAAGCACAAATCTTTCCTAAAACAATAATGGTAATATTTTTTTATAATAATCAACGACTCTATAAAAAATTAATTTAAAGATAATAATAATTAAGATGAAAAAGAAAATGATGTTTAGCTTTGTTTGGAAAAGGGATATTAGATTATACTATATGAAATTACTAAGCACACATAAAATGACTAGATTTTACGTGCTTGTAAGCAGATTCTTCATAAATCCTTAATGTGCTTCTATTTAGACAAAATAGAAAAAACTGTTTAGGATGACTTGATTAATTGTTCATATGCTGGAAGTGGATTAGCTATCAACGAAAGCATGAATATGGAACTTAACCAAGATAATGATGAGCAAGAAGACTAAGAAACAATAGAAAGAAAGAAAAAGCAAGTGAAGTACAATACATTTATTCTCAATTTAAATAAAGTTGGACTTGATATACAATTTTATTTGACTAAGCTACTTGCTATTATTAAAGAATAAACCCTAGTTAATGGATAACTTTCTTCTGGTTCAACCTTTGAAGACATAATGAATAAAAATTTCATGTCCGAAAAGAAAAGATAGATACAAAAATTCTCTAGCTTGAAAGAAGTTATTAAATCAGATTTACACACATTAAATAATGAAAATATTCGTTTCATCAGCCAAATGAAACTTTTCCCTTCTTTACTAATTATTTTGGTAAGAAAACTAACAATGATATTTTTATTTACAGATTATTTTAAATATAATTATTTTAGACATCACCTCATCTAAAGGAGAGCAAAGAATTTGGAAAGATATTTATTAATTGCTATAACATAATTGCCCATCTTCTTTCATGCAGAGGTAGCATTCTAATTTTTAGCAAAAATAAAGAAGTCCTAAAGACACTCATCTAAGTATTAGACTAGCTATAAAACCCTTTGAAGGACTTCCAATAAAAATTTTAAATTGATAATTATTACTTAAATGAATTTAACTTCTCGAGCCATTTTAGTGATAGAATGAGCTTTGATTAATGCATCATGAATAATGATAGCTTTTTAACACAAAATAGAGATAAATTATCTGATTAATAATACGAAAGTATATTAATAGCTTTGCTATCTAAATAACTTAGTTACATTATGAAATACTTTGTTTAGCTTGTAAACACGATTAATTAAATTTATGTAAAAATGTTGGCCACAGAAAACGATTTAGAAATGGTCTAGCTGCTCTCTGACATATCTACAATTTCTTCTAAATCAAATGTTTCATAAATTGCCTTAAATAAATTTTTGCTTAACAATTTCGTTATGGATGCAGTTTTCAATCTCTTTAATGTCTCTGAAGCTGAGCATCTCATTTAGCGCCAAGTTGAAGTCAGTATTATATGCGTTATTTTATATAATGGTAAGATTTATTATATTTAAAATATTTAATTTATTAACAACTCTTTAAATGCTAGCTTTGGTCTTTGACAATGGTGTCCTAACTATTTTGTATGCAAATCAAATATTCTTAAACTTAATTAAAATAAATAAATTCCTGGGAGACAACCAATCAGAATTTGAGTCTAACAGAGAGTTGAGAGTAAAATATAATAAATGAATTAATAATGAATAATTGATATTAATTAAAATAGATTTATGCCAACTTGCTCATTAATTATATGTTCCCACTTGAAATATTTATGGATGAAGCCAAGAGGGGATTTTAGGGGCTAGCAAACGAATTAAAGAAAAAGAGCTTCTACACAGAAGATGATGAAAAAAACATAAACATCAAATCATAAATAGAAAAACATTATAATATAGAAAAATGTAATTGAAATTTCTTGAAACGAATAATAGTTTATTAAAGTAAAATTAATTTAAAAATAGAGGTAAGCATTAAAGAGTTCAGAGAAAACTTCTTAAAATATGGTAACTTGGATGAGCCAGATCAGAATCTGATATTTATTGATGTTTCATTGAAGATTTTCAATCTGCTTGTATAAAACTTAAACTATTATATTAAAAATACTTTTATTTATAAATATATAAACTACTATTACTTTTTCTACTACTTTTCTACTACTGCTACTACTTACTGCCACGACAGCCACTTACTTATATTACTTCCTTACTTACTTACTTAATTTCTTATTACTTCTCCACTCACACTACTCTCTAATTCATTTATTCATTTATTTGCATTTAGAAAAATACTAAAAATTTTCTTTTAATTTCACTTCCTCAAAATCTTTTAATTTCTTATTATTTAGTTTCTTACTTACTTACTATAAAATTGCTTACTACTTATCTCATCCTTAAAAATACTAAACTGATTATTAAATACTATTATAGTCGCTCAACTGAAATTGTTAATTCATTTTCTTTTCTTTGTTTGTCATTCATCATCAGGAGTGATTTATGATTAAAAACAATAGTTGATTAAAAATATTGAATTTTAATAGACAAAAACTAACTAACTAACAAACTTAACTGATTAACAAATAAATCTTTATTTATTGAAATTATAATTTGAATTTTTCTTCCTGCTTCTCAAAAAAATACTAACTTTTTTTACTTACTTGGGGAATTATTGATTTCAATTAATATTTTTACAAAATTTGAGAATGTTAAATTTAAATAGTTACAATTATATTTTTCTTCCTCTTTATATAAAATGTATAACTCGAAACTCTTTTAGAAGAAATCTCTGTAATAAAATTAAACATTTCAGAATGGTTATAGACTAATTAAACAAATGGAGAATTTTTAAATTAAAAATTTAGATTCTTGAAGCTAAAAAGGAGAACAAATTATAAGTTTAAAAAAGTATTTTAGAAGAAGCAGAAGCTTATTAGTTTATATAATTACATTATTTAGTAAATAGTAAAGAGCAAGCAAGTTAAAGTGCTATCGATTTATTAAAAGATGAAGATGAAGCAAAATTTTAAATGAGAAATAAATATAGTTTATATATTTTATCTATTTTTATTTGAAAATGTTTATTTAGATTAATTACTAACTTACATATTTTATATTATTAAATAAAGATTACTTACAATAAAAATGTATTTATTAACTACTACGATAGCGGTCTAATGTCTAACTTTGATCATCTTGCTAAGAATTTAACATCACTAACTTCTTTCTTTACTATAAAGGTAAATCTTTAATCTATAAATAGCATCTTTTATTTTATTAATTCAAATAACAAAATAAAACAAATTACAAATTTTAAATAATTTTAATGTTTATTAGAGTATTGGCCCTGAAAATCTCTTTAGAAAGTACCATTACAAGCCTAGAATTATAAACTAATACAGCTCAGTACTTAAAAAGCTTATTCACATCTTCGTGCAAAGATTTTAATATAAAGGAGGTTTCTAACCTAAAGAAAAATCTACATCCCTTCAATCTAAGCCTTCTAATTTGCTTTTACCAGGCTAGCATGGCGGTTTACATTCTGCTCCCATTCCTCCTCCTCTACCTAATTCTTAAAACTAATCTGGTTTTAATTAAAATTTAAATTAGAACCAAGCTCAAAATTCAGAAAAAGATTATTTATTTAAATATGATTAATTCTATATTGAATAAATAGAAATGATGATGCAATTATACACTACCGGATATTAACTTATTTAAAACAGCTTTGAGCTTAATTGTGTTTATTTAGATAAGAGTAACTGGCAGATTATATTCAGCAACATTCTTAATTTTTATAAGCTTATATTTGATTGCACTTAACTTGAAAATTCTAACGCAAATACTTCTTAGAATAGTCAATCAAGTTAGGGAAACAACCAAAATTTAGGATAGGGTGGAAATAATAGCAATAACTCATCCAGTAACAGCAGCTCAAATAATAATTTAAGTAAATTTATTTAGAGAATTGAAAAAGCTTTCTACTCTTTCTAGCAACAAATGGTAAACAAAATTGAAGATAGACCTGCTCTCCTCAATCTTTTAACTTCTATAATTGCTCTTTCTAAATTCAATGGTAGCTAAGACTATATACTTACAGCAATTATTGATAATTTCTAATTCGAAAAGCTTTTAGAACTTCAATTAGAAAATAGAGAAACTCTCTTAGATACTATTTTAAATAATTATATCAACTTACACTCCAAGCTCATAAAAAAAGAAACAGAATTCTTCTTTAGAGTTGTTTTGAATTTCTACCATTACCCTACCACATTCAGAATATGCGAAAAATTCACTGAGATGATCATGAAGCATTATTCAGGCTTAAAAGAAATTGTATAAAAAGGAGATAAAAAGGTAAAAATATAATTTTAATTTTAATATTTTAAATAAAATACTCATTATAATATTAAAGGAAATAAGTGGATTTGAATACAGAAAAGAAAATGATTAAATAATAGAAAATATGAGAAATTTGCAGAAAATATGCTAATACCTCTTCCTCTGCTGCAGCAACAGTGGATTCTCAAATATTTTCCTTTACAATCATGTAGATAATGAATTAATTAAAATACTTCATACTACAACCTAATTAGAGGAATAATCCAGAGCAAAAACTAATAAAGATGTTTAATATGCTTTATATGCCTTGAAAAACGACTGTTTGAAAGTTTTCACAGTCTTAATGGATCACGAAATTGGTTTATCCTCATTAAATCCTAAGCACAATTATTCTAAAAACTATTAATATTTAGTGGAGGATATTCCTTAAATATCTCACTAATAAGAGTTCTTTGAGTTAGTAGGAAGGCAAAACCTTGAAATTCCTCAATAGTTGCTAGACAAAATTCTTAAAAATTCATTTATGAAGGGAGATGAATAATAAATGGATGAAGAATAGAATGAAGAACCTGATTTCAACTAAGATGAGGAAGAAGATGAAAATCATATTCAAAAATCTCTACTTACAAGCGATCCTAATATGCAAACAAACCTTATTTAATACGTTTAAAATATTATTGATATTTTGCAGGTATCAAGCAAAAATCTTGTAGGCTAATTAATTATCCTTTATAAGGATTACATAGGATATGCATACAAATCAAATCCTTCTCTCAAACTTACTAATCTCACTTTGCAATTCATGCGCAACATTCTTCCTGCTAAAGGATTTGCTATCTCAAATTTTGTTTTGCAATTAATTAAGATATTTGAATCTTATCTTTTCTTTATTTCAGAATTGACTATCCATCCTCTCACTTAACAATTTTTCTATTCTGAAAAAAGAAAGAATGCTATCAAGGTAACAAACATTTTTTCATAGAAAACTTTCAATAAATATATTTAATTATTTTTTGGAATATTTATAAAGACCCTTATTATTGATGAAACCATTTTGAGTGAATTTAATTTCGAAGTTGATCAAAACTGCTAAAAGTAAAATGAAAATGGAAGAATTCTTGAGTAAATCTTTACATTATTTGAGATTTAGATTTCCGGCTTTATGCAAGAGTTATTTGAATAATCTTAATTTGAGCATAATTAAAATGATGAGGCGATTGATTTACTCAATCAACTCATGGAATAGTGTGAGAGATGTAAAGTTATTTTAGGCTATTTGAAAAACTATAGCTCCACTGTTGAAGAAAAGTCAAAAAGTTCACATGAAAAGAATCCTGATTTACCTACTGAAATTCGCTAACCAGAAGAATGCTTCTAAGAAATTAATAGAGAAGAAGATATGAAAGTCAATAAATCTATTGAAATCATGACTCAGTTCCTTCATAAATTTACTTAAAGCTTCATAGTGGACAGTAACGAATTAGAGAAAGGACAAAGCTTGAATTCGTGGCAATAAATTCGCTTCTCTAACATTTTTAAGGAGTTTTACGGATTCTAAGAGTCTAAAGCAAATCATTATTTATATAATTAGTAAGAGCTTATCTTGGACTTTTGTAATTTCTGGGATGCTGATATGATTTCTCACACTAATGACACATTTAATTTGCAGGCTGTTGATTTGATCAAAAGAGAAAATACGTAGAATAACTTAATGGATTCCTTTTACTAAATCTACAAAAGAAAATAACAATTAGTTGAATACATAACTAGCCATGCTGTCACTTTCATCAATTAGTTCGATTCAAATCCTATTTCAATTTATTACTCTCCTTATGGAAAGTGGGAAACAGATGTTACCCCTCTCAATGAAATTCTCCATCTTCAAAAAAGTATAACTTAGTTTAATTTCATTTATTTTTTTGTTTTTTAAACACATCTATTTGTATATTTAATAGAGAGACTCTTTAAAGAGAGCAAAAATAGAAACCCAATAACAAAGCATATATTAGAAGCTGTTAAGGTTATAGTTAAACTTAAAAATAACTCTTTACCAACTAATATGAATAACTAAAACAACACCGCCTCTCTTAGCAATGGTGTGAACAGTATGACAAACGCTCAAATGAACATAGGATAAGGAGTAATTAATATGGGAATAATAAATTCAAGCATCAACAATCCTAACATAAATCTTAATTAAAATAAATCTAATTAACCTCTTCCTATTCAAAACAATATCTAAAATCCTAATCAGCCAAACAATCAAGTTGCAAATTAAAACAATCCATAAAATATTCCTAACAATAACAATAATCAAAATAATAGAAAAGGATTAGCTAATAATGCAAATAATAATTCTCAACAATAGCCAATTTAATAGCAAATCTAAAACCCAAATTAAATCCTTTCTAACTAAATGCCACCAATATAGCCACCTCCAATTCAAGGATAATAGCCTATGTAGTAAGGAGTTCAATAAATTGCTCCTCCTTTACCAGGTTAAATAAGTAATCCTAATAACATTCCTGGACAATTCCCTCAATAATAAGGAATTTAATAAAATGGAATGATTCCACTCACTAATATACCTCCTCCACCTCCTCAGCCAAACAGCAATATCCAATAACAAGCTCATTTAAATCCCTTAACTGTAAAATCTGGTGCTATTCCAACTCATCCTCCCCCACCTCCTGCTAAATCCGGTATGGGAAATCAAATGAAACCACCAGGATTCCCAATTTAACCTCCTAGCAAACCAAATTAGCCTTTCCATTCATAGGATTATTCATAAACTCCTGACAAAGTCTAGGGAGATGTCAAAATTGGAAATCCCAATATCGCAGGAGGATAAATGCCACTCTAGCATCCTCATGCTCCTCCATAAATGTAAGGAATAAATCAAATAGGAGGAGACATCATGAATTAATAGCCTTAAAACCATGGTGGTATTCCTAGAAACAACTCAGCTTAAAAGTAGTAAATGATGAATATGAATTATATTCCTCAACCACCTACTGGATAATCGTAGATGGGAGGTATCGGTGGTCAAAATTAAAATATGCCTAGACAATTCTCAGGCAACATGAGTACCTTTTAGATAGGCTAAGCACCTCCTCCTCCACCACCTACTTAAAACTAAGGTATTCATGGAAATCAAAACAATAGAATGTTTAATCCTCAGTTTTAAATGAACTAGCAGTAGCCTTAATAAGGAAGCAACTAAAACTATATGAAAAATAACATGAACATACCTCCTATTAATAATTAAAACTAATTTGGTAAAAATTTATTATATAAATATTTCAATATAAAATAATATTAAATAATTAAAATTAAAAAGGAATGAATTAACATGGTTAACATTTCAGTAGAAACGTATCAGGAGGTAACTATTATTAGCAAGGACAACCAATTCCTCCTCCAACTCAAGGTCCTTCTGTAGGTTAGCAAAACTAACAATCACTCCCCAATAACTAGTCCTAATAACCACCTTTCTAGGCTCCTCCACCCCCTCCTCCTCCTACCTAAATGATGTATAAAAATAATATGGGAGTTCCCACTCCTCCTATCAGTATGAGGTAAGGAATGCAAGGTTAGATTCACTAATAGTAACCAATTATAAACTAGCAATATCCTCCATAACAGTAATAGCTCAATCCTCCTTAATATCAAGCTGTGTCTTAAAATCAAGCACAGGGTTCTAATAGAGTTAATGAATTGCTAAGTTTGACTTCTGACGAAAAGAAAATATTAACAGAAAAAATAGAAGAAATTAAACAGCTTTAGAAGAATAGAAATGATCCCAGATCTGCTAGAAAAATATAAGCAATATTTGCTGAATTCCCCAAATTAGCTGAATTGATAAAGAAAAATACCCCTTAATAATAAAATAATTGATTGAATTGCAATAAAGCTCATAATTATTAATACTCTAATAAAGATAGATAGATTAATAAATATATTATTTGAGCTCATTTAATTAATTATTTTTTAACACAACTATTTTAAATCGTTCATTAAACATTTTTAATTTGATATCAACGCTTTAAGAGTGCTATGGATTTTAGAGAGACTTTAATCTTAAGAAGAAGAATAGGAAAATTGAAAGAAAATAAATTATCACAAAAGAAATTAAATTAAACACAATACAGGAATCTCTAATTAGCAAAATAAATTAAATTTTTATATTTTTGTTCCTATTTTATGTATCAACTTATTCTCTCTCTTCCTTAAACTCATTTTTTTACTCTTTTTAATTTAATTTTTTTTTTTAATAAATAATTATTTAAATTTTCTTAAATAAATAAGAGGTGCTTGATTTAAAACAGAGATTTGTTCTAATTAAAGAAAAAATAAATTACTAATTTTATTCATTTTCATTACATAAAAAAATAAAATGAATAGAAAATGCATTTTAAATTTTAAACAGTATTAAATCTATGCTTTTTCACTCAAAAATATTACAAAAATTAATCGAAATTGAAATATTAATTTTTCTCAATTAATTTAATTTTTAGTAAAAATAGAATCTTTTTTAAATTTTATATTTTGTAAGCAATTTTTTAATTTGTGAAACTAGAATTAACAATATTTTTTTTTGGGTAACAATATATCACTTAAGGTAAAATGAAACATTCTTTTATTTAATTTTATATTACCTTTTAAGAAAATTGGAGGTAATTAATTACATTTAAAAGCTTCAAATTTATTTTAATTATTGTTTACTTTTTTATCTTAAAAATTAAAATAAAATTTATTTTGAAAACATAAATATGAACGACAAAGCAATTTATTATAAAAATAAAGAATTTAAAATTTTTTTTAAATATTTATATCTTTTAATTTAAGCTGATACTAATAATAAATAAGGCAATTAAAAAATAAATAAACTCATTATCCTAAAGCTTTTTTGAAAGCTTATAAGCAACGCTCTCTTGCCAATTTATGGTCAACAATAGGCTTGGGATATGTTTTAGTATTTAAATCTTTTATCCATGTTTTAATATAAGTATAATTAGGATCAAATTTTTTTTATTAGCTATCAGGATTAAATATTCTAAAATAAGGTTAAGCATCTGTACCTGTTCCTGCTGCCCATTGCCATCCACCATTATTTGCAGATAAGTCATAATCTAAAAGTTTAGAGGCAAAATATCTTTCACCCCATTTCCAATCAATTAATAAATGCTTTGTTAAGAAGCTTGCTACAACCATTCTAACTCTATTATGCATATAACCTGTCTAATTTAATTATCTCATTCCAGCATCAACCAAATGATATCCTTTAAATTATATTTAAAAATGCTTTATAAATAAATTTTAATTAGCTAAATGTTATAAAATTATTTTCTTAAGCTTGTAAGCTAACTAACTAATTAAGTAATTTAATTTAATTTCTAAAAAGAATAATAATTTAAATAATTATATTAATAAAATGACATTTTACCTGTTTTGCCTTCGCACCAAGCCATAAATTCATCTACATTATTTCTCCAAACTAGTTTATCATATGCTGGTTTAAAATTATTGTTCTCTACATGTGGAAATTAATCTAAAATCATCATATAAAAATCACGCCATATAAGTTCATTTAGATATGTAGCATTTAAACCTTTTGATCTCCTAACTAAATCCCTAATTGAAACTGTACCAAATCTTAAATGAACACTCATTCTCGTGGTACCTTCTATTGAAGGTGTATCACGAGTCTTATCATAATTCTTAACAATTTTTTCATTCAACTCAACAGATGGAAAAGGCTTTATATTTTAAATTAATTAATTTTTATGAATAATTTATTTATTCTATCTGTTTTTTTTTATAATTAATTAAATATTTAATAAAAAAGATTACAATTCCTGCTTTCTCAAATCCAATTTCTTCTAAACTCATAACTTTTCTTTCAGGAGATTTCCAAAATTTTTCCATTAATGATTCAGAAGGTCTACAAGAGTAGTCTTCTGAAGTCAATATACTCAGCCATTTTTTGCTATATGGTGTGAAAACTTTATAAGGTGATCCATCTTTATTGGTTGAACTGGCTTCAAAAATAACTTGATCCTTAAAATCGTAAAACTCAGCATTTGCTGATTATTTGACATATTTTTTAATCCTTTCATCTCTTTATTTAGCAGAAGATTCATAATCTCTATTTACATAAACACTTTAAATATCAAACTCCGAAACAAGCTCTTTAAAAGCATTGTCAACTGTACCATGTTTCACAATTAGGGTAGATCCAACTTATTTTAGTTATTCTTAGATTTTCATAATATATAAGTGTATGAATTCAACTCGAGCGTCTTTTTTATCTTCTAATTTGTCTAAAATTTCAGTGTCAAAAATAAACAAAGGTACAACTTCATTTTGAGACTTTAAGGCGTTATATAAAGCAGTGTTATCGTTTAATCTAAGATCTCTTCTAAACCAGAATATGCTAACTTTCCTCCTAATATTGTTGTTAATTGAATGGAAATAATATTATTAAGTAGCATTTAAGAAAAAAGTTTAAGTTCTATTAAAAATATGTTTCGGTATTTTAATTTTATGTAAATTCTACATGATTTCTTTCTACTTTTAGATTTCTTTTTTAATTATAAAAATTATATAAAAACATACTTTTGCTTAGCGTTTTTGTCTTGTTATTTTTTACTTGATTTTCCATCATCTTCTTCAATCATCTTTGACTCAGCTTATCCTTCCTCAAATGCTTCCCTCTTTCTTTTAGAGGTTTTTAAGGGATATTCTTCTTTTTTATATTGATTTTTATTCTAGCTCATATCTTTTAAATATCAAAATCTACAAACTTATTTCTAATTATTAATATTTTTTTTTTATTTTAAATTTATAAAACTTTATTTTAAAATATAAAAATAAACTGTAGGTACTCATACAATATTATAAAATGTAATCTTACTTCCAGAATTTTCAAATTTACAAAAGTTTATTTTAGGATTGCTTAATTTTTAAAATATATTTTGACTCTGATAAATTTAATTTTTTAATATTTTTATTAATTAAAATTTGCTTTCATTAAAGACGTTAATTGCATTCTCTTTTTTATTGATTTTTAAAATATTTTGATTTTCTTCAAAATATTTTTTTTTCTCAAAAGTTAACTAAATAAATTATATCTATAATTATAAATATCAATGAAAATAGCTATTTGATTAAATATTAAATGTAATAATTCAAACTGATAGTTGAGTCTGTTTATTAATCTAATTTATAAGGAGCTTTAAAATTTTTATAAAAAAAAATATTACAAAGCCTTTTTTAATTATTTATAAACTAGGAATTAATTTTTTAAATTGATACTTATTCTTTTTTAAGTATTTACTGGTTAAGCTTTTTAAATTTTAAGAAGATAAGTTTGAAAATGAAATGTTAAAAGATTTTTGATTTGACTATTTATTTAGTTATTTACTGAAATAGACTTGCTTGTTTAAAAGAAATAAAGAGAATTTCAATAAATAGATCTGTAGATCTATCTTGATATATCTTTTTATTTGATTCATTAGAGTAAATAATAATAGATAATATGTAGTTAAGGATTTTTCAAGAGAAGATATAAAGTCAAACAAGCTTAGGTTAGTGTATTATCAGAAATATTTCAAAAATTTAATACAATCAATATAAATATATATAATAACAAGTAAATAAATAAACAAATACATTTTTATATTAAAAGCATATCAAAAACGTAAGTAAGTAAGTCAATAAAGACAATAAAAATTTTAGAATAGTTTTTTGATAAACTTGTAGGATGAATAGAATATTAGAAGATTCGTGGGAACATTATAAAAATCTTTTCAATAAGATGGTTCAAAGTACAAAAGATGTTATAACTCTTAGCTAGTTGGTAGAGTAAATGCAAAAAGCACATGAATAATTTTCAAAAGAATTAGAATAAATTGCATCTAAATTTCATGACTAGATTTAAGGAGATGCAGGTGATCATGATGGACTCTTATTTGCATATTAGCATTTGAGTAATTATCTCTTAAAAATATCTTAAAGCCACATGTATCTAAGTAAAAACATAGCAAGTGAGATTTTAGAACCATTCAAAACATTTATTGAAAATTTCCGTCAAACAAATCGTGAAACAAGTACTAATGCAAAGTTATGGTTGAATGATATGGAGAAAAAGAGAGAGAAACTTTTAGAATCTCAAAGATTATTTTATTCTAATCGTAAAATAGCTGAAAGCTATAATGAAGTTATTGAAAAAACAGCTGAGTTAGTTGAAAAGGGCACAAAAACTCAGATTGATTTATAGAAAGTAACTCATCATTCAGTTTAACTTAAATTTAAAGCAGAAGAGTCATAAGAAGAATATAAGAAAACGATAAACCAAGTGAACTTGGAGTGGGAAAACTTTTCAAAACAATATCCAACCATTTTTACGCGATTTTAGTACAATGACGAAAGTCGCATTGCTTTTTCCAGATAAACTATATCAAAGATAGTTTAATATCTACAATCCTAAAATTAAATTGATTTGAACTCAGCAATATAGTACCAAGATAAATTTTAAGAATATGAAAAGCAAATAGTTTCTGATAAGCGTCCTGAATTGTGGAAAGTAATTTCTAAGGGTTAAAGTGTTTAGTTTTTAGAAAGGCTCAATTGCTACTAAGAAAAGTTTTTAAATTATGAAGCATGGAAAAAAAATCAAGAATAAGATTAGAGTAATTGAAATTTTAAGATTTATTTATTTATTTTAAATTGTAACTTTATAGCTAACCAAGTTGAAGATAAATTAATTTTTTATTTAGTTAATTTAATGAAGCTTGCTTTAACCTCAGTAATATCTAATTTTATTTTAGAGTTGAAGGTTTACAAGAAAAAATACCATTTAGTTGTTGATTTATGAATAATAAATATTATACTTTTTTTTTAATAAAACGAATAACGAATAATTTGCTTAAATATTAATTGTATAAAATAATAGATTAATCAGTTTAAAAGTCAAACAAAGACAATAAGGAAATAGAAGACTCTATTAATTTTTAAGAAGATCAATAGATGACAGAGGAAGAGTACTAAAAAGTCGATTAATTAGTTTTTGATATACTTGATGATACTAAAATTAATCTTTAACTCTTTTAGAAGAAAGTAATTTATTTATTTATTTTGCTTTAAAGAAAATTTGTATAAATTATCAAACTAAAAAAAGTGTTCAAGTTTTTCTGGAAGATCTAGCTTAAACTCAAGTATGATTGATGACTAATAAACTTTATCAAGCCAACTAAGTTCATCTAAAATAGAAATACATCATGACACGCTGAATGAGGATTCTAAATCTGACTATAGCTTTGATGGAGATAGCTGTGCCTTAAGTTAACGTTCGTTCTAGACAAATTTTTTAGGATTATTTGGTAGTTAATAAGTATGTGAATATTTTATAGATAATCTAACTCAGAATATTCAAAAAAAATCAAGTTTTAATATTGAACTTGTTGAAGAAAAGTTTATTGACGTTTGTGAGCTTATGAAAGTAGTATTAAATTACATTTCTTCATGTTAAAATGAAAAGATTTCTCCAGAGACATTTTAAAATATTTTGATAATTATCACTAAAATCATAAAAAAATAAAAGAAAAATCGTAAAGAATTTTTAGCTACTCATGTAAATGATTTAAAACTATTATACAATACCAAGAATTGGGAAGATTTATTTGATTTTATCAAAATAAAAAAATTGGATGATAAAAAGAAGAAAATTAATCTTCTTAAGGAATAGCCCACTATTTTTAACAGCAAAAATATTCAAAAAGGAATTAAGCTATTAGGTTTTGGGTTAAATAAAATTGGAGGATTCTTTTAAAAGAAATAAGAAAAACTTTCTGAAGAAGATAAAGCGTTGGAAAGTGAATTAAGTTACTTTACATTAGACGAACTTAATAAGTACTTACTTAATATAGAGCTTTCATCTGAATTTGTTAGCGATTTGATTATCGATTTAGCTAAAAAGAAAGGGGCTTACCTTGATTAAATACCAAGAATTTTAGAGAAATAAGAGAATAAAAAAAATTCAGAGCTAAGGCGTAACTTTTTATCATACAAAAATAAAAAGAGACGTGATGAGGAGAGATTTGAAAAGATTTAAAAAAATAAATTACTCCTTAAAGTCTATGGAATAAAGTGTGCACTTTAGTTCTTAAGCACAAAAGACAAACCTTGGCAACTATTGCAATTAAATAGCACATTTAAATAGAATTTACGTAAGTAAATATATAAAATTTACTTATTTAGAGATTCTGAAACTGAATGGTTAAATAAGAATCGTGTTTAAACTTGGTTGAGTATCTTAAATATTGACAGTTTAAAGTTTAATTACATTGATTACAAAAAAGAGGTTGCCATTAATGCTAAGCCTGATTAAATTGAAGAAATCATCACTTTAGATGTTAACAGGTAATTAATTATCACAATTAAATTTTAAATGTCTTTTGAAGAAAAAAAAATATTTCTTTTTAAAAATCTTTTAATTTAAAAAAAAAAAAAATTTATTAATATTTTTAAAAATAATTTGGCTGATTTAATCTTTAAATATTAATTTTAGATCTCTTCACTTGCATTAAGACCGTATTAACTCAAACTAGCTCTAGAGCTTGCTTAGAATTTTTGCTTATTACAATACAGATATATCATATTGTTAAGGTATGAATTATATTGCTGGATTTTTGTATTTGATAATTCTAAATGAAGCATAAACATACAAAGCATTCCATACTGTAATGAATACATATTTCAAATAATTACTTACAGATAACTTTGAGTAATTAAAAGTAGTTTTCTATTAATTAGAAAGACTTCTTAGTATATTTTTACCAGAGTTAGCTGATCATTTAAAATAATAGGGTGTCGATTCTAATTATTATGCTACCAGCTGGTTTATCACTATTTTTAGTAGTGTGTTTTAATATGCAAAAGATTCATATCTCCTTTGCGCCATTTGGGATATCTTTTTATGTGAAGGCTGGAAAGGTTTCTTTAAGTGTGTTTTGTGGATTTTAAAGCTTATTTCTCCAAAGCTCACTAAATTAGATTTTGATGACATTTTACATTCTTTATCTGATTTAATTAAAAATGAATTGTTCGTTAATTCTTATTCAGATCTAAAGAAAAAAGGTATATTACCTAATGTGGACAACATTAAAACAGAAATTAAATAAATTAAAGTAACTAATAAGCTGCTAGAAAATCTTTAAAATGAGCATAAATTCTTTTAACTTAATCTTAAAAAGAAGTTACAAGGAATTTAACAATGAAAAAAAAATAATTTTTATTTTATAAAATTTTAGTTACTGTAAAAAATTTTATTTGATAATTTTTTTGTTTTGTGGTAAATTCTTTTATCTTATGTAAATTTAACATTCAGTTCAGTGCTTACTTATTATTTAAAGTTTTTACAGATTTGTGAATTTTGGTGATTAATTTTAATTTACCAAATAGTGAAATGAATGATCAATAAATATTTTAACAATACAAATTTTATTAAATATTATTTTGTATAAGCATATTTTGTAAGTAAATAAATAATTAGATATAGAATATAGATTGATTGATAGATAGAGAGAGAGCAATATTTAGATATTAAACCATTTACTATATTTAGAAAAAGCTTTTCTTATATAATTTATAAATATTTGTAAAATAAATGAGTATCAAAGAGTCATTTAAGTAAGCAAGAAGTAAATCTTATGCAACATAGAAGTAAGCAGCAGAAAATATAGGCATTTAAAGAGGATCAGTCCTTTTTACTAAAGAATTCAATAATAGTCAAATATTTAAGTAAAACAATAACAATTACCTCTCTCAGCAGCCTAAAGCAATTGATTTGATTTAGAAAAAAAGAAATTAGAAGAATAGTATTGGATTTTTAGACTCTGCAGAAACTCAGCCTTCAACAAGAGGAAATACATTTTATCATAAATCACATGAAAATAGAGCGATGGAGAAGAATAATAGTTAACCAAATGTAAAATATTAAACTCTATAATAAACTATACCAACTGGAAATTTAACGACACAACCTGATTCTATTTATGAAAGTGTAGAGGCAATTTATCCAGAGTTTAAAAAGAAAGTACTGTTAAAAAGATAAGCATAAAAAACTGAATATGAAAAAGATAGCGAAGAAGCAATACAAAGATTCAAAACAGAAATGTATTAAAATGATAAGTTTTTGTATAAAAGCTAATAACAGCTAAGAGAAATTGAAGAGAAAGAATAATATGAGCTTTTTAAAAAAGAGATAGAAATTTAATAAAAAATATTAAAAAATAAAGAAGATCTTTAAAAATCTGAGCTTCAAGTCAAGCAATGGCCAAATATTTGGAAAATGGTTCGCCATTTTCAAGAAACATAAGCACAAGATGTTGCAGATATGCTAAAAACTAAGGATTTTTTAGATGAATTTGATCAATAATTTTAAAATTAAAAACAAATATCTGAAAATGCAAAATAAATCTAAGGTTTGAGTGAACTCAAAAAAAATAAAGGATATGCTCACGCCACAATATCTTCTTCTAATCTTATTAAAACATTATAGAACGAAAACAATCCAATTAATAAAAACAATGGAAATAAGTAAAAATAGAATATACAATCTTTCTTAGAGAAAGAATGCAAGAAAGCAAAAATGATGGCAGAAGAACTTGAAATATAGCAAATATTTAGAAATGGAATTAATACCGAAAACGCAAACACATTTAGTGATGTCAATAAAATAAATACTAAGATAAAAAAGTATTGTAAACTTATCAGACCAAAAGGAGCTAGTCTTTCCAGCAAAGTTGAATAAAAGTTCGTGGATAATAATATGAAGTATTTTTTGATTTCCAGTACTATTGATATTGATTAAACTTAAAAAATAATGTTTAAACAGTAATTTGAAAAAAATAAAACACTGACTAATAACTTTGGAAATTCAAGTTAGGTTTAAATACAATCTAAGGTAATGTAAGAATTTTAAAAGCAGAATTTAAATAACAAAAACAACGATGACTACTTAAATGATAATGTTATTCTTTTTCCTACTGAAATAGATTAAATTTTATAATCCTAAGAGTATTAAGACTCTCCAAAAAGCAAAACTCATCATAGTAATTAAAAATAAGGTAATTTTTTAGAAAGTATACAATAGAATAACTTGTAGCAAACGATACAGGAAGAAAATATTTATGAAAATTTATCAACTCCTCCTTCAAACACTGAGAGAAGAATTAGTATTCCAAAAATTGTTAATGGCAGGATTACACTGGAAGTAAAAAGGTTCATTAAAAAAAATTTGCCTCAGACAAAACATTGTAATAACTAACTATTTTATCTTAAGAGACATTATATTAATTTTATTTTTTAATATAGTTGTTCATTACCGATAAAGAAAAGACAAGAGATCTATCTCCATGAATACTCATAAATTTCCAAAATATGATGATCAGGAAGCCCACAAATTAGATTTAACATGTACCAGAGAGTAGTAGAGAAGTATAAATATTAATAAAAGTGTAAATGATTGGGGATCTTAATTCAGAACAATAAATAGCTCAAGTTACCATCAAAGAAGTACTTCTGTGATAAACAGTAGATAAGATTTATAAAGAAGTTAAATGCAAAGTAGGTAGGGTACTTCTGTTTAGTTAAAAACAGAAGGTGATTAAAATTAATAGTTCTTTAATGAGAGCTAGTCTAAAATAAATGAAATACTTCTAAGTTGTGCAAAAGTCAAGAATGAAAAATACAATGATGAAATAGAGAGAGAGGAATATTCTTAAAAGAGGACTGCTAAAGACGTAATAAAGGCTATGGAAAAATTGAGAGATAATAAAACAGAAAAAATAAAGACAAAGTTGCTGAATTAGTCTGAATTAATTGAAAAAAATGATATTGAAATGCTAGGTGAGGGATAAAAAGTATTAAATTACTTAGAAGATCAAATAGTTTAAAGTAATTGGGGTAAAAAAATATAAAATTAAGAGTTAGAGTATAAAAAAGACTTAATCAGATAAAAAATGCTTTAATCTTAAAATGGAAATGTTATAAAAGCTTCTTAAGTTTCTCAAATACATAAAAAAAAATTAGAAAAAAATAAGATATAATAGAAATGCTTTATTCAATCTTAAGAAAAGCAACTTTCGAAATACATAAACTTTGCAGATTACATAGGATACAAATGATTTACAATAAAATTTTTAATTACTTTATATAGATAAAAAAGAATGGGATTTAAATTATATTTCTCAAATTAATTAATTATGACAATTAGTTAGTTAGGTCTTTTCACATATGTTTAAAATTAATTATCAATTTTATTCTATTAAATAAAATCTTAATAAAAATAATCATTCTACCTAATTGATATTAATCTCTAAGTGAATTATTTTTTGAAAGTCTAAAACTTAAAATATCAAAGATCAATTTAAAATTTAAATTATATAATATTGTTGAATAAGCTAATTTATTTATAGATTATAAAAAACACTGTTTTTCAATATTTGTTTAATTTTAATTAAATATTTTTGAAAACTCATAAAACATTAAATTATATTCTTATAATTTTTAAAATTAAAATATGACTTTATTTAAAATGCTATTTCCATACTTTTAATTGTATTTCTTAAAATCAATAAATTATTCATGAAAATTAAACTATCGGATAAATACTGTAGAATACTTGTTAAGTGGTAATTAATTAGTTATGTCGCAAAATTAGCAAGTCATTTTTTTAAAATTAGATTATTTAACAAAAAGATATTATTTCTGAAACAGTTTAGTGAAATTTTTGAAGTTTATATTTTGAATAAAAATAATTTTTAGAACCCATAATAGATTTAAAATATTGATATTACTAATTGCTTTTTTATTTAATATTTTTAAAAATATATTTTTTAAGTTTGAAATTACAATCTTCAAAAATTAAATATAGTTTTATAATTTTAGATGGGTTAGATTATCATATTTTTATTTAGTTATGAATTTAAAATAAAGAGTGTAAATTTATAATTAAAAAGATGACCATAGATTTAAACAATCAAATAAGCAAACAAACAATCATAGAATTTAATAGAATATAAACATTTACTTGGTTAATGTATAATTAATATAATTAAAAAATATTAACATTAATTTACTATTTTATCTTCCAACAATAATTTATTTTGTAAACTACAATAAGTTAGTATTTTATTTTAGAGAGAGGTGTGATTATTAATTAGCATTAATTCAGAAATGAATTAACAAATAAGCTATTTTTATTCACACTTCCTTCTAAATATTATTTTAAAAACTGCTTCTCTATTTTTATTGTTTTTAGCCTGTAATATAAATTCATATTTTGATTGAGAGTTGTAGAATTTATCTATTTATTATCTTTCATTCAAAGAAATGAATTACTAATTTGATTGAGTTAAGAAAGAATTTATATTTATTTTTTTATATAATAATTATTTTGTTTTAATTATAGTTTTTGCAAATTAATTTGAATTTAAATTATTTAGAAAAAATGATTGATTAGCTGCTATAAAAGTTAAGCCAACTTAACTCAACTCTCAATAAACTTCTAAAGAAACAGGATAATGGAAAAGCAGAGAAGAATTTACGATTCTAAATATAAGGACATTTTTTATGTGTAAAGGTGTTTTATCTCCTGTCATCATTCTCCTTTCATTATAGTCTTTAAAGTGTTAGTTAGGACGGAGTAGCAAATTTATCATAAAGAGACTTTTAGGCTGAACAGTGATAACTTATGGACTGAGGTTTAACTAGAATGGACATATAGATCCATCTTATAAATTAGTTACGTGCTATTAATTGGTTTAGTCACTAAGCCAGAATGGTTCTAATTAAAGAGTATAGCTATATGTATTTTTGAAAGGAATTTTGCAGTCACTTTTTTTACCTCTGCGTATAGCTAGCTTAATTACCTTGGAAGAACGTGAAGCATGGAACAATTAACGTGTGCAAACAATCTTAGGTATTTCTACAGTACTTGTAATGGGAATAGAAATATAAGAATCGTATCCATTCACAGTTACAGCAAATGAACCCTTAATTATCTTTTCTTCATTTATATTTGGGACTTTCAATGCTATATGGACTTTAATACTTTGATATCCAGGAATGGAAAACATCAACTTTTCATTGTAATCGTAATTTATTGTTTTACGAATGCTGTAAACATATTCACCATGACTATCAAACTCAGGATTTAAGCATAAGCCAACTACTTTTATGAATACAGTTTCATTAGTTTTGTTGACTATTTAAACTTATTCTTCAAATATATTTCCTGGAAAAACTACACCAAACTTAACTGAATCTATAGAGAGTTAGAGGATTTCATTTACATGTGAGTAAACTTGTTGATTTTTGCTTGCTACTGGTTAGTATTAGGTTTGTTAATTGTAACTTTTAGAAGGGTATTAAGATTGCTAATATGATTATTACTATTTAGATGAATTGTTTTAGTTGCTGCTACTGTTATAAGAATAAGACTTACGAGCTTTTTCTTCTTCTCTTTAGCTCTAAGATGATGAATATTGATAATCATCTTTCTCTTCTTAGTGCTTCTTTTATTTAACTTCATCTTACTTTGGTTAAGTATTTTATTATTTAATAGTTTTTTAAGCATTAGAAGGAGAATAATCTCTCTTAGGATGATTAACTTGTATGCTTTTTTAAATATTAGTTAAAGTAGCTTTCTCTTTTAAAATATACATCACTAATTAATCCAAGTAGCTATCAGTTTCTCTAATTATGCTTTGATAATTTTCAAGGTGTCTTATTGTTTCACTTTTCTCAGCATGCTCATCTTCATTATTTTGTTCCTATTATCCTTCTCTTTCTTGCTTCTCTTGGACTTCTTCTTCTTATTAACTACCATCGTTACTGTATTATTATTCGATATTCTCTTTATTTGTGTATTCTTCATAGTTTTCTTTTTCATTTTAATCTTTTTCTTCATAATTTAACAAGTCTAATTTTTATTCTTCTTTTTATGGCTATTATTCTTCTTCATCTTCCTCCTCTTGCTCTTCATCTTCTTCGGCTCCTATCAATTCCATAGGTTAATATATATTCCTGTCTTCGTCATCTACAACAATTAGATCTTATTCAAATTAATTTTCTTTTTCAGATTCGTTATTTTTATTGTCGCTTTTATTAACATCGTCTGTTTACTGCTATTCGAATTCACTCATATTAGATTCTTCCTATTTAAGTGAAATTTAATTTGTTAGTAACTCTTCTTCCTATATTTCTTAACTAATTAATTCTTAGTTTTAATCAGGTTTATCTACTTTCAGAGATGAATATACTGATTCAATATTACTGATATCTCTAATTTAGGTTGTTTCTTTTTCATTTTTATTTACAATATTTTCATTAAAATATTCCTAATTATCATCTTAAAAATCATCTATTTAATAACATTCAATTTTTTCTAGGGCTTCAACATTTTCTTGTAATGAATTTTCTGATTCTTTTACATACTAATCTTCAAATTACTCATATTCTATATCCTCAGTATGTTTGTTTTGTTAATTTGAGCTTTCAATCTAATTTTCATTTAAATCTTAGAATTGTTCTGATGATTTTTCTTAATCTGAAAATAAACAGTTCTAATCTTTTTAAACTATCAACGGTTCATTAATTTAATTTATATTCTAAATTTCTTATTTAATTTGGGTATTATTAGCTTATTAAATTTGATGGTCAATTTGCTTTTTTTCTGAAGAGCTATTTCTTGAATTAGAGGATTGATTTTATGTATTTGGCAAAACTGAATGTTAATTATCTTTGTTTTAATCTCTTTCTTTGAATGGCGATGAAATAACATTTTACAAACTAGACTGAGTGAGTTATTAATTTGATTGCTTGTTTAAATTTGTACAATTGTTTAATACCAGACTATTGGTATTATTTAAAGTTTAGGGAGAGTTTTTTGTTGACACGCTTTTACTGTTTTAAATTTCATTTTCATCATTTTTTTAGTTACATTTAGATGAGGATGAAGATCTGCTATTTATTGTGAGTTTTAGCAATCTTGAAGGAGAGTTTGTAGCACAAGGAGATATAGGAGCACATAAATTATTTTAAATGTTACTTAGTATTGATGTGTTAACAGATTCATTTTCTTTATTATCTTCTCCTTCAACTTCTAATTTTTGTGAAGATGGAGAAGAGGTTTGTTAACTTTTAGCTGATGATCCAAGAGAATCATGGCTTGTAATTGGTTTGTTTATTAAATCAGATAAAACTTTGTTCGCAGAAGTATTATTTTCTGAGAATTTTTCACTTTTTTCTTCATAAGCTTATTTGTTATTTGATGCAGTTGATTGTAGAATATTAGTTTGAATTGATACAAAAATATCAACTGCTTGTTAATCTGCTAATATCAAATGAGGTTCTACATTTTCTTTCGAGATGCTTTCCTAAATTTCCTAGTTGTAATATTATTAGGTGCTACTTCCTTAAATATTACTTTCTTGATCTAAGCCAGATATTATTGAATTTAAACTCATTCTTTTTGTTAACGAATGAAAAAAAAATTTCTGCTTTGTATTTAATTTTTTAATTAACAATTATTTGTTGTCAAAGCAAGTTTTTTATCTTATTATTTATCAAAATTCAATTAATTCTTTATTGAATTTTTGATTTTTTTTCATATTTTTCTTTTGCATGATTTATTTTGACAGCAAGCATACACTAAATAATTAATTAGTAAATCAATCAATCATTATTATTTAATATAGATTGTCCTATTTATTTTTTCTAACTACCTTGTTGTTTCATCTTTAATTTAATTAATTTCACTTTGCTATCAAACAAATTACTAATGACTTAATTAAATGAGAGTAGTTATCTTGATTCAATTTGTCTATAGTGGATTTTCAAAAATTTTGATCATATACCAAAAGTAAAAAAAACAGTCTATTTTGGAAAAATTGTCGAAGTTTGTTTTACTTTTTTGAAATTTGAGTTTGTAAAATTCAAACGGATATGATAAAATCAATATTTTCATTAAATTATAAAAATAATTTATCATAAAATTTTAATTTTTTTTTAAAAGAAGAAAGATGATTAATTTAAATTTTTTTAATTCGCTTTATTAAATCATTTGTAAGAATATTTAAATAAAAATATCATTTTTCATATTTTATTTTTAATTGTGTAAAAATTATTTTTAATTAATTAATATTTATTTTATAATTTTATTTATTATTTCGAATATTTTTTTATAAAAAAATAATATATTAATGAAAATTTCCAACAAAAAGATATTATTAGAACTACTCATTAATAAATATTCAATACTTTATTATAGGTTTATATTTAAACAATATTAATGCAAAACAAGATAAATTAAAAATACATTTAAAACATTTACTTGCTTCTAAGCTCGATCTATGAAGCGTATTTCAAATTAAATTAATTGGCTTCTTATTTTATTATAAATTTATTAAATAGACTGGATATGTATGAATATTATTTGTTAGGTTCAAAAAACAATTCTAATTTTTTGTAATTTTAAAATTTTAATTTGTTGTGAGGGATTAAATTTTTTACAGAAAAATAATTCATTAAATAGTCTAGCATTAAAATGAACAAACAACAACAATAGGTTGGAGATTTAAAGCAAAATTCTGTTTTTAAGTAAGCTTTATTAAATAAATTCAAATAAAATTATTTTAAAATGAATGGAAAGAAATCAAAAAACTTAAAAAATTGAGCAATTTTAATTGCTTTAATTGATATAATTTGAAATAAAAATGTTTTGAATATTTTTGCATAAAAAAATTTTTTTAATAAAGTAATATTAATTTAATGGACCCTAAAAAACTCTCAACTCAGGAATTAGAGCAAATAGTCTTAAATAACTTAAAATCAGTTGGCGAAAAGCTTTAAAACTCATCTTCACCTATTAGATAAATACAATAGACGAAATATCAAGTTGAGTAAGGATATGTAAATTAGAAATAAGGGTATTCATTTTAAAACCAAAAGGGGAATAATGGGAATTATAATTCCGTTTCAAATGATTAGTAATAAAAGACTCTTCCAATAAATAGAAATACACCATCATTTTAGAATGTAATCATTAATGATAGTCTTGTTGGATAAGAATAAGGTGAGAATGTAATAAATTAACACTAGATTCAACTAAGTGCTTTTGCTTCTCCTTAGTTTAATTCACCTTCATAAAAGTTACTTTTTTCTAACACAAATAGAGGTGAAACTATGACTAGGAAAGATTTAGAGAGTTCGAATTAAGTTGCTTTAGAAAAAAAAGAAAACCCTTAGCTAATTTCTAATCCTGCACCATAAAATAATCCTTTTTAAACTACTGACTAGATTGCTTAAGTATAAAATATGCTTTCCTCGATAGAAAATCCTTTTTCATAGAATTTATTTGCTAGCCATTTCAAAGTTAATGGTAATAATAATACTTTGTCTAATCCTGCATCTAATTTACCAACAAATTTGGGAAGCAGTACTGCTTAAAAATTTTAGCTTTTACCCCCAAAACAATTAGAAACTCCAAATAAACCTTCTATTACTGGTTTATAATAAAATCCTTTTAAATAGGACTTCTAAAAGAATTCAAGTGAGCAAAGTATTAGAAATGCTAGATTTTTAACCTCTAATAAGGAAAATAGTAATCAGAATAATTAATCTTCTTCAACTGCAAATATGAGCACTACAAATAATCTTATGTTGGGTGATTAAAATTTTATTAATGGAGTAAATGATTAAGCTAATGTTTTGAATCATTCAAGTAGTACAACAAATTAAAAGCTAAGGAGTGCTTCACCAAATTTTAACGGATGGTCAGATAGTACTTCTCCTGCTATTGCTGGAGCTATGAAAGTTTTAAAAGAAAAATGTAGTAAAGCTGAGTAATAATTGAAAGAGCTATAATAAACTTGTTAACAATAGTAAGAAGAAATTAATTAGCTAAAAGAAAATGGAAAAACTTAAAAATAATAATGGGAAGAAAACTCTAAAGAAAGCTTCATTAGACTAAGTGAGTAAACTGGTAAGGTTCTTGGAGAAATAACAAAACTTCAAACAGAAAATGCTCATGTTTAGAATGAAAATGCAATAATGTAAAAATAAATTGATGCTTACAAATCATAAATTTAAGAACTAACTCAAGAAGTTTTGTATTTACGTAAATGCAATGAGATTATTGAAGGAGAAAAAAGCAAGCATTTAGAACACAATGCATAAGAAAAAGATGAGCTTGATTAAAAGTTTATTATTTTAGAGAAATTACGCAAAACCGATAAATAACTGATTGAAAAACTTGAAAATGATCTTTAAGAGTTGTAAAATGCGAAAAGAATTTAAGAGGAGAAGTTGAAAAAGTTGGAGATAGAGAATGAGTAGCTTAAAAATGAGCTTTATGATTCTTAAGAATCATTGGAAGGGAGATGCAAGGCATCTGAAAGCAAACTTTCCTTGTATGAAAAAGAATTGAATTTGATAAAAGAAAAATATGAAAAAGAGAGAAATTTTAATCAGAAGAGAGCTTCAATTTACGCTGAAAAGGATTAAGTTATGAAGGTAAAACAAAATTAAAATTATGATTATGGTTAGTTAATTATACCGCCTAATATTATAAAAAAATAGCAATTACAAGAAGAAAATATAGACTTTAGAAGCTAGATTAAGTCTCTTTAAACTCAGTTAGACCATTAAAAGAAATAAAATGAATTGCATGATAAAATGAAATAAAAATTTGAAAGAGAGAAGTAATAAACTTAAAATAAAAAATTTAAATATATTTTTAAAAAAATAATATTATTAAAGATATAGTTAAGAAGAATCATATAAGCAATTAAAAGGGCTTACAGATGAAATAGTTAATTTAGCATAGAGAGAAGCAAATACAAGAATGAAGGAGTAATTACATTTATTTTAATAGAGACTAAAAAGATTAGATGATGGAAATAAAAAAATATCTGAATCTTAATCATCTATCTCTCGTTCATCTTCTAAGCAGAAACAATTAAAATCTAGAGGACCTTCTAAAGAAAAGAAGACTAAAGACAGTACGGATAGCAGAGCCAATAATTTTTCATCTTCTAAAACTAAATCTTCAGTTATAAGCAACAGTGCAAATAAATTTTATAAGTAAGCCTCACCAAAATCGAATAAAAGTGGATAAAATCATTCAAATGTCGTTACTGTTGTCTCTAATAAAAAATTAAAGCCAAAATCAAAATCTAGAAATCCATCTCAAAATAAGGAGCTGCACTTAGAAGACCTAGATGAAAGTATAGAGAGTAGACGAAGTGCTCTTATTGGATCTTCTTCTGTATAAAAACTCTCCAATGAAGGCTAAAAGAGAATGGTAAGAAAAAATTCTCTAGTTTTATCATAAAACAACAGCTTAGATTTTGAGTCTATGTCACCTCATACCAGCAGAAAATCAAATTAAGGACAGACAGGTAGAAGTACAAGCAGATAAAGAAGTGTAAGCAAAAACTCTGATTTATCAGCATCAAGAAATAAATCATTAAAAAAGAAAAAATAAGGTGCTTCATAAATAAGTTAGAATTCATATATTTACCATGAAGACAGAGGAGTACATCGTCATGAAGAAGATGACATAGATGCATTAATGACAAATCAAAGTTAAGTCACTGTAAAGCCTAGCCAATAATCGACCTCTAATCGCTACGGAATGCAATCAAATAATTAATAGTATAGTACAATATTAACAGAACCTAAAAACCCTTCAGCATACATTTAATCTTATACATTCCCAGAAAACTTCTAAAAGTAAAAATATTAAGTCTAGCTAATTTAATTTAAGTTTTATTAATAATATCTAGAATGACAGAGTCTGAAATTTCAAACGAAATATTTAAGTTAGAAAGAGCTGTTGCAGAAACAAAGAGGGAATATAACAATTTATTAACTAGATCAAGAGTACATTATTTTTAATCATAAAAAACTTTTATTTACTTAAAATATATTAAATGAAGGAAAATTCTGATATTAACATCGAAGAAGTAAGACAAAGAATGAATGAACTAGCTATTGATATGTAAAAACAATCAGACTGGTAGTTTATCTTAAAAAAGAAACAAAGAGAAATTATAACTATGAGTTTTGGTAAATAAAGCCTATAAACAAATAATATAAATTGAAACGAAATCAAATAACTAAAAAACAAAAAAAAGTAATCAATAAAATTAATTAACCAATAAAAAATAAAATAAAAAATATTTTGCTATAATTAAAAATAATCTATATGTTTTTGTATATAATTTGTTTTATTAAATTATTAGGATTTCCTCACTCAAATAAATAATAAATTATAAAATAGCTTTTAATTAGTGTATTAGATTAGTCTCATGTACGTGAGCTTAATTAATTTAATTTTATGTTGTAGTTTTTATTTTAAATAAAATAAATTATTTAAGTTTTTTAATAATATTTTTAGAGTTCATTTAAACTATATTTTGAATTAATTAATCTAATAGGTTAATTTTTACTATTAAAAATAAGTTTATTCATATAATAAATAATTTTAATTCATGAAAATTATTTTTTTTGAAATTGCTTTATTTTATTTATTTTAGATTTCTTTGATTGTTTACTTTATAAATAAAAGAAAATACACAAGCCAATATCATAAATATTGTTAGCTATTTAATTGATTATTTTTTTTAATATTCATAAAAATATCAATTCAATTCAGCTAAAAGTTCACATGAAAAATTAATAATTGCTTAAATTCTTTATTAAATTATTATTTATAATAAAGATTAAAAAATTAATCTAGAAAATCAAGATTGTTATATTAAAAATCTCTTTAAAAAAATTAATTGTGGTATTTTTAAATTAATTTTAAATTTATCAATTTTCATTTGAGTTTTTAAAAAATAAAAATTGAAATAAAATAATTTTTTAATATTTTATTTTTGATATTAAAAATATCTTTTTTTAATTTTAGTGCTTTAGTATTTCCAATAAAGTTTGATTCTTATAATTTCAAATATTTATTTACTTTTTTTTTTTATTTACAGAAAAAAATGATATATTTTTTATTGACTAATCTAATTAATTATTGATGTCTGAATTAAAAATATGGCTTAAAAAATCTCAAAATAATAAAAATATTTGTTAATCATTTTTTCTAAGAAACAATCTATTTTAGTAAAAAAATTATAAATTTTCTTCTATTTTATTAAATATGTAGAAATAATAGAAAGAAATTTTATAAAATTAATAATAATTCTTTTTGATTTAAAATAAGGATAAAAATAGAGCTGATTAACTACAATCAAAACTAAATGAAATTTTGATTCTACATATTTTGTTATCATAAATTAAACTTTGGTATATATATCGCTGTTTCTTTAAAATTAAAAAGAAAGATTTAGATACTTCAATAATTTATTTTTCAAAAAAAAAAATTTTAGTTTTAATTACATTAATGAGTTAGAAAAAGGAAACAAAGCAAAAGAAGATAGTCTTAGTAGATGACTACTTTAATCCCACAAAAGAAGATGAGTAAGGAAATAACTAATCAAATAATCCTGAAAATTTGGATGAATAGGAATATGATTAACACTCTTCTTCAGATGAGGAATAATATAAAAAAGTTAGCAAAAAAAAGAAGAATCGTAAAGTAAGTTCAGACGATGACTTAGATGAACTTGACTATTTAGAAGTTGCAGTGCATAAAGGTAATATAGGTCTTGAAGATGGTCAAGGATTAGCTGTATCAGAAACTAATGATGCTAAATAAGGTAGACTTGTAGCTAAACTTTCTTCCAAAATTTCTGTTGAGAAAATGGGATCTAGAACTACTGCTTCTCATGGAGCTATGCAATCGATTAAAGAAAGCATTAATAAATCTTAAAAGGGCTCTAACCGTGTTAAAGATAAGTCTGATCGTGCCACCGTAGAATAGGTACTTGATCCTCGTACTAGAGTTATCCTTGTTAAATTATTGAATAAGAAGATTATTAATGAAATCAATGGCTGTTTATCTACTGGTAAAGAAGCTAACGTTTACCATGCAAGTTCTTCAAACGGCAAAGAATATGCCATAAAAATTTATAAAACTTCAATCTTAGTATTTAAAGATCGTGAAAAATACGTTGCTGGTGAATTTCGTTTTAGAAAGGGTCACTGCAAAAGTAATCCACGTAAAATGATTAAGTTATGGGCTGAAAAAGAAATCCGTAACTTAAAACGTATATATCAAAGTTCCATCCCTTGTCCTGAACCTTTGATAGTAAAAAGCAATGTTCTTATGATGGAATTCATTGGTAAAGATGGCAAAGCTGCTCCCCGTCTAAAGGATGCAGAAAATATTGAGTTAGAGCAATATTCTAAAATTTATTTACAGTTACTCCGTGATATGAGAACTCTTTATTAAGATTGTAGATTAGTTCATGGTGATCTTAGTGAGTACAATTTACTTTATTATAATGAAAAGCTTTACATGATTGATGTCTCTCAAAGTATTGAGCACGATCATGCTCATTCACTCGAATTCCTTAGACGTGATATTGTTAATGTCAATATGTACTTCAAGAAGAAAAATGTTATTACATTTTCTCTTCGTGATATTTTTGATTTTATCACTGATATCAACATAGTTCCTGGAACTGAAGCAACTATACTTGAAGAGCTGATTACCAAAGAAAATAAAGACACTGAGCAAGATGAAAAAATTTTTGCTGGAATGTACATTCCAAGAACTTTAAATGAAGTTAGTTTTAAGAATATTGAAGCAAACATAGATAAGAACATACTGAACGAAGGAAGCGATGAAGAAGCAAAAGATATAGTATATTCAAAACTAACAGGACTAATTACAAAAAGCAATAATCAATAAAATTATGAGAGTGAAAGTGATGATGATGAAGATGACGACAACGAAGATGAAAACAATAGTGAAGATGATACTGATAAATAGATTGAAGCAGCAAAACCAAATAAATTTATTAAGATAGTAACTAAAAATGAAGAAGATGGAGGTACTGAAGAATCAAAATAGAAAGCTTAAGAAGAAGTTTCATAGTTATTAAAATAAATTTAAAGTAATAAATAAAAATAAGAAGATGATGATTCCTCGTTATCTTCTTCATCTGATAGTGATTCTGATGATAGTGAAGACAGTGATGAAGATGAAGATGACGAAAATGATAGTGATGATGATGATAAATAGTAAGATTCTGAAGAAACTAAAAAAAAGAAAAAAGGAGGAGATTAGCTGTATCAAGGTCTTTCGAAAGACGAAAGAAAGAAAAAAGTAAAAGAAGAAAAGAAATAAAAAAGAGAAAATAAAATTCCAAAGCATATCAAAAAATAAATGACTAAAAAAAATAAGAAAAAATGAAAAGTTAAATTTTAAATAGCACATTCATAATTCAAAGTGTATTATAAATTTATTAAAATATTCAAATATATTTTTAAATTATTAATTAAATAATTAATAAAAGTCCTTAATTTAAAACTAACTTTATATTATTTCTTAAATGTAATTTCCAACTAATTTTTGATGCAATACTTTTTTATCAAATTTATATTCAGAATTAATAAAAATTTGTGACCTCAATAAAATATAGCCTAAATTAATCATCATAAAGATTATTAGTTAGGTAGTCTACAAATATTTAAGATCATTTATTTCAAAACATTAATATCATTATAACTCAATTAGACTCTTAAAATAATTATAGAAAAAAATCACTATCATTTGAATTATTTAATATATGATTTTTGGATTATTAAGGACTGGTAATATTTTCTTTATAACCATCTAATTATAATGAATTCTAATCATTAGGTTATTTTAGCTTTTAAGTTTTTTCTGTAATAGGCTTAGTAATATTCAAATCCTTATGATTTATTCTTACTTTTTAAATCTTTAGTATTTTTCATCTTAATTTTCCTTAATATTTAGAGCTATAATTAAAAAGAAATAGTTTATTTTTAATAAGATTAGAATTTTATTAAATTTTTTATTAAAACATAAAAACAATAATTCTCAAGCTCTTTAAATAAAGATAAATTCATTATTTAATTTTTTTAATTTAATAATTTAAAGAAAATCTAAAAAAATTGTTGCTACTTATTATCTTTTTTAATATTATGTAAATTCTGAAAGTTTAAAGATATTTTTAAGAATTTTAAAATTATAAAGATAAAGTTTTAATTTAATAAGGAATTTAATTGATTTTCTTTACAATATAGGATTGTTTTCAAAAATAATGAAGTATATAACCTATATAAGCAAATTATGATCTTATTTTGTGAAGGCAAGCTAAATTTTTTATCTTTAAAACAAATCACAAATAGTTTTATAGAATGGTTTAATATAGGTCAAATATTTCCAATACATTATTTTCTTTATACAGTAGTTATTGATTACTAAAAAATTTTATTTAGTAAAAATCAGAAAAAATAAAATAAGATCAAATAAAAATGTTGGATAATTACTTTCAAAATCTTTAAAAAAAATTTATATTATTTACTAAAGATATTATTTCATTAAAAAATCATAATAAAAAGATTTTTGTAAAATTTTATAAAAAAATTTAATACTACTTTAATCAATCAACTTTTATTTTTCTTTATTGATTTATTTATAATTGTGGAGATTTTATTTTTATTTTAGAGCTATGATTGATTTTTTTGTGAATAATAATAAATAAAAATTCAAATACTTTAGATTTATTCATTTTAGATTAAGTTATCTATCTACTCTATAAATTTAATGCTTATGTCAGTCACTTTTTTTTCAATATTAATTTAATTGTAGTTTGAGTCCTATTCATTTGGTTTAAGATAAGAATTGTATTTTTTTTTAGCTTCATTTATATTTTTGATTAGATCTAAATATATTTTTTCTTAGTTGCCAATATCATATTGAGATTTCATTAAGATTTTTTAATCCAATTTGAAATCAATTTTTTAAATTTCTTGTGAAAAAAAATTAATATTTTGGATTAAGTCACAAATTATTCTCTGAATATATTATGCTTAATCAAAAAAAATATGATTATCTACATCATCAAACCTATCTATCATTTTTTAAAGCTCTTGTAGCTAAACATTTCTTTTACTGTCTACCTAACCTAAGAAATCATTAAATTTATTAGAATCGAATTTTTCACTATCTTCAAAGTATTTTTTTAATTCATTTCTTTCAAACTACTTATTGTAGAATTCTATCAACTCATTTTTTCCTATCTCAAACTTATCTATTTTATTAAGTTCTATTTGCTAAGAGTGTTTAATAGCTTGGTTGACTTAATCTTATAATGTTTCATAATATTTAATGATTTTGTTTTTAATTACTTCTTGTTTATTAGTTTTAGAATGAGTAGAAAGATATTCTAGCTAATTGTTAGTAATATCCATAGGCCAATTTTGAATTGGTAAATGTTCTTCTTAAAGTAGAATATCTTAAATATACAAGTAGCTTTCAACTTTCTATTATTTAAGTAGACAAACTGAGCAGAGAATTTGTTAAGAAGCATCTTTATGCACACAAACGAATTATAAATCGTAGCTACTATGTAAAGGACATCTAGTATTTTAAATTACTTCCATTTTTATTAAATTTTTTAATTAATTGATTATTATTTTTTATTTTATGAATATTGTTTAATTTCTAATTAATTTGGAAGATTAGTAAGAAAATAAAAGAATTATACAACATTTATATAAAGTACAGATAATATACAATTAAATATTTTCATTGAATAAAAATACTTTTAATTATTAACAAAAATGAATAGTAGAAATGCTCTTGTTTTTTATTATTTATGGGATAGTGTATTACATTTGATCAAAGTTTTAATTATTGTATGAAAGAAAATGTGCGATATCATTTAGTAATTTTTACATATTTCAAGCTTATTTTGAAGTAATTTGGTTTAGTTATTATATATTTGATATTAAATCTTTTATTTATTCATGGATGAATAAATTGTAACCATCGATTTATTTATAAAAATTGAACTCTCTGATCAATAATTTTCTTAATTCTTCAAAGGGAAGATAATTATTATTAGCTATGTATGGAAATTCATCAATACTGTTAAAAAATTATATTTCAAAGTCAACATAAATTGGATCTTCTTCATAGTAAAATAAATCCTCTCTGTTAAAAATTTTAAAATATTCAGTACTCAGAAGCTACTCAGCAGTAATCCTGCGATTAGGACTAAACTAAAGAGTGCTTTACAGGATAAATTATTCTTGATAAACTGTTGAATAATAAAGTTATGTAAAATGGTAAAGTGGTTTGCATTTGAATCCTCTAACAAATTTAACTGCACTAGCCTTTTCTATAAAGCTACAGTCTTCTTTTTTAGGTCTCCCCAACTTATCAATTATAAGAAAGAGCTAATCTTATTTAAGAAAATCTGAATCATTTTTGGAAGGAGGAGTTATAGGATTGCAGGTTTAGCCAGGAAATAATATTCCTTGTAAAGAATTATGCCTATCATAGTTTTATAATAATTCTGCATATAAGCATCCGAGACTCCAAATATCAGATTAAAATCCATAATTTGAATTCAGCAAAATAATTTCAGGAGCTCTATAATATCTTGATCCACTATTTAATGATTTTTACTCTTGAAATGCAGGTTTTGTACTTCTTTTTTTACTCTGGTTACTATTTATATCAACAAAAATTTTTAAATATGAATTTTTTCTTTTAATGTAAAAATAATAAAAAAAATAAAATAATTAAAAAATTTAATCAAAAATCTAAAAATTTGTAAAATTTTAATATTTATTCTAATAATTTTTTTTGGAGTTATTTTTTCTTGAATTTTTATGTTTTGGATAACATAAATTCAAATGTAAACACAAATGATTGAATTAAAATTCTTTAAAGATTTAATTATAAATTAGAAATTGGCAAAATAATTTATAATTATAATTAAATTTGAAAAAAATTAAATCTAATGAGAAGTTTATATAATTATTTTTACTTTTAAAAGTTTGCTGTGGTATTTTGTCTTGATAATGTGAAATCAGCAATTTTTACATTTAGATTTTGGTCAATTAAAATGTTAGATGGCTTTAAATCTCGATGAATTATATTTCTAGAGTGAATGTACGCCAAGCCATTGACAATTTAAGTAAAAATTATTCTTACGAGTTCATGACTCCAAGTCAAATTTTATTAGTATTGATACAAAATATCAAATAATGAGAAAGGATAGTACTCCATAACAATATATATTCTATCAAAATTGTGTAGTTCTTTATTGTAATAAATATTCTAAATTTTCATAACATTAGGATGCGAAAGGTGCCTTTAAATGTATAATTCTCTTAGCACTCTTTTTGTGTCTTGCTCATTGTGAAACAAATTTACAAATTTTATAGCTACAGGTTAGTTAGTTTAGTTATCAATAAATTTATAAACTTATGAGTAGCCTCCTTATCCTATGTAGCCAGAATAAGTATAATTTTCTAAGATTTCTTTTGGTAAATTTTTTGGTTACAAAACATTTCCGCGACTGTCTTTTAGTATTTACTTGTTAAGAAACTAAGGCAAATTTAGCAAGTTTTTTAACTAAGACACTGCTTAGTCATATGTGTCTTTGAGAAAGGGAAGAATGGAAATTCTTTAACTATATTATTCAAAATCGAGTACATTCAAGTCTAAAGCATCATTTTAAAAGCAGCAGTTGTGACTTTAAATTTACAGATTGTATTTTTCTTAGAAGTAATTACTTTTTCTGCTTAAAAAATTTTGATAGTTCTACATGAGTTGATATTCCATGATGAAAACAGATATGCAATCTCTTATAGATTATTCAAATTAGTATTTCTCTTTAAAGTCAGGTCTACTACCAATAACTTTAACGAGTTTATCTTGAAATCTTTTGTATTCGTCCTAGGAAGGGAAAATGTGATTTTCCCTCATATGCATCTAAAAATATTAAATAGCTTCTTCTAATACTGAGTATTAGACTGGATTCTAAAAAATATAGTCAAGTGGTTTAGCCTATTGTTAAAGACTCTCTCTGATCTCTTGAGATTTAAGATTCTCAATGATAGCTTAAGAGCTTATTGATTGTTGGAAGGCGTTTATTTTTTCAACTTCCATAGCTCGAATATTGCTTGAATTTTCTTTTTTCATGCTATAAAATTTTTAAAAAATTAATTGAATTTAAGTATTTTTATGCTATTTATATTGATTTGATGTCTAAAATTTAGAGAAAATACTAATCTTCTTTTTTTTTGCAAAACATAAATTAAAAAATTAAATCAGACTTGATTGATGTAGCTCTTAGTATTTTAAATAAAGAGTGTCTGATAACTTCAAAATTTCACCTAACTTTTTGCTACGCAGCTCATTTATAAAAATTAAATATGATGTGCTTTTTAATATTATGTTTTTTGGTGAAGCTAAATTTATTCCTGTCATTAATATTATTTTTATCTGTTTTAGTTAATTATTTAACTATTAAACTTAATTATCTATTTTACATTTTTAGCGAAAAATTAGAATATTCTCATAATAATATTTTCTTCCGAAATCCTAGAATCTATACTTAATTTTTGTTTCTGATATTCTATTCATAGTCTAATAATAATATTTCTTATTTTTTATTTTTCACAAGCTTTAAAAGTCTTAATTCAAAATTTTATTTATTAAGAAATTTATTTTAAATACTATGCATGCTATGTATTTTCCAATACCTTCTAGCTCTAAAATATTTTTTATTTTGTTTTAGAGAAAGCTTGAATTTTTGATTACCCTGTTTTATTAAAGATAGTAATGAGGAAGATCTGGATTGATTATATAATTGCACTTATTTTTAACTTTAGAATTTACGTTTTTCTATTGAGTTGTTAGAAAAAATATTTTTTTTTTCAATAAAATAATAATTAGCTTACTAAATAAGGAATAATGTATTAACAATTTTTGTTTATTATATTAATTAAATTATTATTATAGATTATTAAATTAAAAAAATTTGCTATTTAAAAGCTAAAAAAAGATTATTATTTTTCTATGATGAAAATAGTACATATATTTATCTTTAAAAATTAAATGTCAAAAAAATATTTTTTACTTCAAATAGTCATTTATAAGTTTCAAGTTTAGTTTTATCATATTATTTCTAATAACTTAAATAACTAAAAGTACTTTTTATTTATCATAATTTATTTATAATTTTGATTTCTACAAATCTATTAAGATATTTAAGCATTAAAATAATATATTTTATTCTCTTATTTAAATTAAATTTCAAATATTTATTTAAAATTGTCAATATCACCATATTGACTTATTATTTAAAAGCATAAAGAAAGCAAGATAAGATAATAGTTTTTGAAATTACTATGGTTAGAAAAGATTTTTATTTAAAGAATATATAAATTGATATATACTTGAATAATTTGTTAGACAGAAAGGTCATCTATATTGAAAGTAATAAAATAAATAAATTGGTAAGAATAAAGAGGGAAAAAGAAAGAAAGAATAGCTTGCAGAAGTATTTAAAAGAAAGAAAACTATAATATAGTTTATATTTTTAATTATTATATCTAAATATTAATAAAAGGGTTAAGGTAAAAAACAAATTATAATAATTGAAGATAATAAAATCAAATCAAGTAATTAATCACAAAAAAAGTTAGGTTAAGTTTTATAAGTAGTAAAAGGCACTGAAATAAAGAATAAATCACCTTTCCAATTAACATACCAAACATCCATCCATCCATCCAACACACCTTAAGAAGATAAGATAGATTATTGAAAAATGTAAGACAACTATTCAAATAATCAAGGAAAATTAGATGAAAACTCTGATGAAAACAACCAATACGACCGCAGTCGTTCTAAATCTAAAGATTCTTTGGAGTCATATAAGTAATAATATATCATAAACAATATTTAAACAAACCAATTTTAATAATCATCGATATTGATTGTCTTTCTCGTCTTCTCTACCCACATCCTCACCCTTTTTACCAACTCTATTTGTTCTTCTACTTGTCCTATTTTCGTTCAAACCTGAAAGATTTATTGATAAATTATAAGGACAAAGTATTCAATAATAATATTTGAGAGAACAATTATAAATTGCTCAGATGAAACCTTTGTTAATAAATAAATAAATAAATTAATTATCATGGAGATAGAACCCAATAAAATTAACTCAATCAAAAAGTTCTTCATTATATGTTCATCTAATTATTTTATAAACTTATAATTCCCACTCTCCATATTAGCAAACTAGAAGTCTCCTCCAAAACTAAAAAGGGTGAAGAAAATGGGTGTTTGTCGAACAATAATTAATTCAATCAATCAATCAAACAATAATTAAATAAATAAATCACCTGCCAGAATAGAAAACAAACATGAATAAATGAATGAATTAAAAATTTATACAAAACAATAAAAATTTCCTTAGTTATTATTTAAAATTAAGAATAAAATAATATTAACCTCCAAAACGCAAATAAATAAATTTCATTGCGTCAACCAATTCATATGAATTAATAATTTAATAGTAATCAAATTAAAAGGCTATCTTTGGCATTCTGACTTTTTTGTATCACTTAATAAAAATAATTACTTTCTACATTCACGAAATAGCGTATTCCCTGACAATAATAATAATAACTTTATGTTTTGAAATAATAAAAAAAGTCATAATAGCTAACGAAGTTAGAGCCGCAATTAAAGTTGCTCTAGAAGCAATAGCTCCTACAACGAAGATAATATGGAGCACGACCAAGATCACGACATGGAAATCAATAATGCTGCTTCTCACAGCGAAGGAAACAACCAAATTTCAGATGATCGTAAAAAGATATTCGATTACGATCTCTTCTTTGAAAACGAACAAAAGGATATAATTCTTTAGGATGAGAAGCAATTCGTTGATGCAGTTCAACAAGCTTCCAAAATCTCTGAAATCAAGATTGATAAGTCTTTTAGCATTCCTGATCTCAACGGAGTGCTTGTTCGTTTCATAGATAAGGAATAGCAACCCAAATACGAAGCATTGCAGTAGGCATTTAAGTTTGTTTATGATAGAATGAGTGAAGATAAGGATAAAGGCTTCACAGCTATTTGTCTTGTGCCAAATGGTAATATAATAATAACAATAATAATAAACAATTTACATATTTTAAAAAGAATAAGAAGGATTATTTATTAATTAAACTATTAACTACAATGATGAACTTTTAATTATAATAAAATATGAAAGAAAGAAAGAAATAAATAGAAAAAGATGATTAGTTAGTTAGTCATCGATTCATTTATTTTTGGAATTCTAGATCTAATTAATTCTTTATTTTTGGTTTTATATTCAATAAATAAGCAGCATGTTTAGAAGCAATACTTTTTATCTAATAAATAAATTAATTATCAAACAATTACTTTAAAAACTAATCTAACATTAATAACTAAATCTTTATAAAAAAAAAGGCATGGTGAGCCTTGTTATTGGGATTAAAGGTAAATAAATTAACTAAATCATGAACGAATCAAATACTAAAGTCGTTGCAAACTAGCCTATTAACAAAATGACATCTAGAACAATTCGCATTGATGGTGAGTATAAAAAAGTAGCTGTCGCTATTAAGCTTATCTACTAAATTATTGAAGAAAGATCTCCTAAAGTGTCACAAATTGAAAAGGAACCTTAACCCGTAAACTACTAAGAATAAGAATCAAAAGCTCGCTACGTCATAAATAATAAAGTAAAAAAATATTTAGAATAAAAGAAAGACTTTATTAGGAATCTAGAAAAGGATTTTAAAGTGAGCTTCAAATTTTACGAAGATAGAAAATAAAGATAACTCAAAAAAACTGATATAATTTGCTCTATTAAAGGTAAATTACAAGATATTTTCCCTTCTAGCATGAAATTCTTTGAAAAAGTTGATCAATTTTATAACTAAAATCCTAATGATTTGCAAGATTACTATCTTCGCCTTCTTATTCCTAACAGATATGTTACTAAGCTTATTGGTGCAGGTAAATTAAAATAAAATTTTACTAATATTTACCATTATTTTAAATAAAATAAATAGGAGGTTGCATGATTAAAGATATCGCAGCAAAAAGTAAAGGTGCTTAAATTAAAATTATGAGCGACAAATAAAAAGATAGAGACTAGAGAGAATGTTTAATAAGTATAGCTGGTGCTTTAGCTTGCAAAGTAGATGCATGCCTTTTGATTCTTTAATAGTTAGAAATTTTTAAAAATGGTGGTCCTATTTTGATTAGTGGAAAGAATATTAACGATAACCTTGTTAATCAATTTAAAAACTCAGTGTAAGACCAAGAATCGTCAATAAAAAACAGTAAATTTGACAAAAACTTATTTATTTTATTTTATATTTATTTATTATTTAATTAATTATATTTAGCTGAAAATTTTATTAGAGGAGGAAGTAGCAGCAACAATAACAATAACAACGGCAATAACAACAATATGAATAACAGTGGAATGAATAATAACAATATGAATAATAATAAAAGAGATGACTATGGAAACTAAGGTAATAACAACAATATGGGAATGAATTACAACAACTAAAATAACAATAAAATGAATAACTAATATAATAACAATAACTAAATGAATCATCCATACAACCAAGGAAATTAAAACAAATACAATAACCAAAGAGACAATTAAAGAGATATGAACATGAACTAGAGAGATAACATGAGAGGTGACATGAGAGATAATATGAGAGATAGCAGAGATAATTAAAGAGACAATAGAGATAATCAAAGAGATAATATGAGGGATAATTAAAGAGATAATATGAGAGATCAAAGAATGTTGTCTCCTTCTAGTAGAATGAGAAAAGATAGTAGTGATTATAGAAAAATGAAGAGCAAATCAAGAAGCAGATCACGCTCTTAAAATAAAGACAAAAATAGATAAAGAAAGAGAGAAAAAGAAGCTGATAGATACTCTCCTGATCCAAGATATGAGAAAGATTAAAAGAAGGTATCAAATTTGTTTTACTTATTCAGTCAGCATAGACAAATATTAAATTATTTGATGAGTTTGATTTTTTTATTTATTTATTTTAAAAATATTTTTGAGTTATTTAATTGCTTCATTTTTAATTTTTCTTTAAATATATTTTTCAAATTATAAAAGAAAATTAGTGTTGATGAATACGAAGGAAAAATTAGGCTGTTAGTTCCTATAAAAGTAGCCAACAAATTGGAAAAATAATTCATTTAAAGTTTCAAAGATATTTCAAGATGCTAAAAGATTTGCTTTGAAGATGTAAATATTTATTTAATTAATTAATGAATTTATTTATTTTATTTAATGAAAATAAAAATAAAGGAAAAAGATTTCTAAGATTCCTAGTATAGACGTTTGTTAATGAAAGGAACAACAGACTAAATTAAATAAGCTTTTAATTTAATCTAACGTGAAATTTTCTTGAGTGAATTAGATTTTTGAAATCTATGCATGCCATCCTATATAATTACTTAAACTCATCGATTAATTTAAAGAATAATAGTTGATTATTTATCAAGAGAGCTTGCCACTTTAAATTATATATTGTTTAGAAAAAATATTAACCAACCTTAATAAATAGTAATTAAATTTGAATTAATTAATTAATTAAATTAATACATATTTCCCCTCAGCACTAAATAAATATATATTTCAATTCTAATGAGCTTTACACGATTATCCAGAGTGAGTAGGTCTATATGCCTACTTACTTTTTACCATTTATTCTTTAATTTGGTGATATTAGCAAGGAAAAAGTGAAAGCTTTTTAGTTTAATTTATAAGTAAAAAATAAATAAATAAATAAATAATTAATTAAATAATGAACCTATAATAAAATAATAATTATTATCAGACATTTCAAATAATATAAATTTTATACTAATAATCTATAAATATAGTTAACATAATAATACCGCACTAAGCCTGTTTAATAATCTATTCGTCTCTTTAATAAATGCACACAAAGTTTACAAAGTTTGTTAAATATATCTAATATTGAACAGAAATAACATTGAAGCTAAGAATATTATTAAGATTTATTTAGTTCCTTTCTATTCAATATTATAATAATTTAACTCATAAGTATGCTTTTAATCTCAATTTAAGGGAGAGTTAATATAAAAGTCAACATAGGTGCAATTATTATTTTTATTATTGTTTAGATTAATTAATTAATGAGAATATAAGATATAATTAAATTTTAACTCATATAATTATTGATAGAAATTTCTATTTTTCATATATTAAATATTGTTATATAATAATTACATGTTATTTTATTTATAATTTATTTTATTTTATAACATTCTTGATTCTTTTTTATATCTTTTTTTTTTGTCTTTCTAAATAATATTTTGATGATAAAATGTAAATTAATTATATGCTTATTCGTTTTTATTATGAAATTCTATTTAATACTATGTGCTTTAATTGTTTTTGATATTCTATAATCAAATTTAATAAGTACATATTTTAATTAACTTGATAATTAATAAATAAATAAATTCTTTTTGAAAAGTATTTTAAAATTTTCAAAATCTAATTAAAACAAATCTTTAATTATAATTTTTAACTGGGATACGCTAAATTAAATTACTTGTTTAGAAGCAATAAATGAACAGCATTTTGTCAAATCTTTATATTGAATTTAATTTTAAAAGCATTTAGTTTAATCAAGATGTCATCGGATATGCATTTGTTGGTGTCTAATGCTAATTATAAAATGAGATAAAGACACAGATAGGAATAATTAAAAAAGATTAAAGAAATTGCAAGTTAGATAGTCCTATTTTAATTTAATTATAAAATCCTGTTCCTTAGAATGAATTCACAATTAACTTATATTTAGCATTTAATAAACATAAAATATTTTAAATAAGTTGTAAATAAATTTTAGGAAAATAGTTAAATATTCCTTTTTCAGATACTATTTACTTTAAAAACCTAAGAGGTGATGTAATTGCTGAGAGTTTATGCTTAATTTCTATTAAAAATCAGCAAAATTTAAATATCTAATAACTCATTGATGAAAGTATTAAGTTTGATTGGGAGAAAGTTCCATCATTATAAATTAACGAGAACACCTTCAATTATAATTTGAGTAAATAGATTTTTGTAAAGCTTTCATTAATTTCAACTTTTAAAAATAGAAAACATTTAAGGAGATATTGCTTATTAATTTGAAATACAAGATTTTGTTCTACTAGTTGGAGAAGGATAACTACTAAGATATTTTTACAAATAAAATATTATTTAAGAGCAATAAGTATAAGATTAAATGTAAAAATTAAGTTATTTATCAATTGCTTCACTGCCTAATTAATGCTTTTTTATTACTGGAGGAGTAGACTTAGAAGAGCAAATTATATATCCTAATTGTTATATATATAATCCTCATTAAAATTAAATAAATTAGATAGCTTCTTTGTAGCAAAAAAGATTTTATCATTCATCATGTTATTTTAACAATTAAATTATAGTTACTGGAGGAAGGTAGTTTTTTTAATAAAATTTATTTCTTTACTTTAATTATTAACAAATTTGTAAAAATAATTAGGATATATGGAGATGATTAATCATCAGTGTTGAGCTGTTGTGAAACTTATGATTTTACTTTAAAAAAATGGTAGTTTATATCTCAACTCAATATACCTAGATTTTCTCAAGGAATGATATAAGTGAATGGTAAAATATATGTTTTTGGTGGCAATGATGGGTAATTTATTAATTTAAAAAATTATAAAATATATTAATGTATTTTTTAAAGTAAAGAAGACCTTTGCTCTTTTGAGATATTTAATTAAGATACATTAAAATGGGATTTAATTATTCTTGAAAATAGTTTTATTAAGATAAGAGACCCGTATTTAATTACTGAAGATAATTAAAATGTAATTATACTTAGTATGTATAATGATGATAATGACAGTGAAAATGAAGCAGATGAAGATTAAGATATTAAGTTTAACTAGTTATAATTGAATTAAAGCATATGGAAAATTAATTTATAAAATCATAAATTGTAAGAAATAGGGTATTTAGAAATTTAAGAGTATGGGAAAAACATTATTTATTTTAATATTTATGAAAAGTAAATAAATATTTTGAATCATAGTAATAAAAATATATTATTACAGACATTATCTGACATAAATATATTTAATACAAATTGTATAAAATTACCTTAAGAACTTAATGGGAAGTCTTTGATGAGATATGCAACAAGTTAAAGATATTTTGAAATGGATGCAGGGGGTAAATCTGTTTTCTAAATTTTTTGCAAATTTGTTAACATTTTAACTGTAATAAAAATAAAAGTAAAAAATTTTTATCCGATTGAAGTTTGTAAAGACATCTTACAAATATTTGATGAAAATAGATCTTAAATCTTAAAATCAGTAAAACTTGATAAAATTTTAGATGAAATCATTCAAATAGTTGAATTAACTTGTGGAAAAGTGTTAGTAGTTACTAAACTTTCTATAAAGGAAAAAAGATGTTTTATAATTGATTTTAATAATGAAATTTGTTACAGTACTTCATAAATGCATGATTTTTCTGAAATATACTGTTTACATTTTAACAAAGTAACAGGGTTGGTCTACTATTTTTCTTAAAATATTTGTTAATATTATTCTTAAAATACAAATGAATGGAGGATTATTTAAAATATTTTTAAGCTAAGCAAAATTAACAAATAGCTTAATAAAATTATTTCATATGATTGTGTTTGTTCAGATTTAATCATATACTTATTATTAAATTAAAGTTATTTGCTATTATTTAATGTGCTTGAATTTAGTATTGAGATAGTGATTTAGATAGAAGACGATATTTCAAGTTAGGTAGGAATTTCTTCACAGCCTTTAGTCAGTTAATTTACTGTTAAAAATTCTGAAGAGTTTCTCTGTCTTTTAGAGAAATAAAATTTTATTTAAACAAAATGTTTACAAAATATAAGTTAACTTAATAATTTCATTGAAAAAACAAATTAAATATATGATAAAACTCCAAATTAATGCTTTTAAATTTCAAGAGGTTATCTTAAGGATTAAGACATTATATTAAATGAATATTAAATTAATCTAAATAGAGATTTATGCAATTTTGATGATTATTATTATGTTTTTGTGATTACAGATTAAGGAGAATATAAAGTATTGACATATTCTGTTAGCTGCCAATATTTTAGTTTATTGAACGTTAATTAATAGTAATATTAACATATTAATCATTTCAAAAACTCTAAGAGTGACGATTAGATTAAAGCTGGAAAAATTTAATTTCCCTGTTTTTACAGGTAATGTAAGTGCATTAATATTCGCAGTTAAAAAATATTGCTGGTAGGTGGGATTGAGGAGAAATCAATTACTGGGAATGCAGTTAAAAAGGTTATAATTTATGACACTAATAGTTAATAATTTTCTTATGTTCAAGATATGAACCAGCCTAGAGTAAATCATTAGTTGGTTGTTCAAAATAATTATATTCTAGCTATTGCAGGAAGAACAAACTTTCACCAAAATATAGCATTACAAACAGTTGAAAGATACAATTACTTAGAAGATAAATGGGAATTCACATCACCAATTAACTAACCAAGGTAAAAAATACAAAAAATTCAATTAGTAAAACTCATCAAACAAACCAATATTTAAATTAATTTCTATAAACAGATATAATTTTGCAGCTTGTAATGTAAATTAAAAAATTTATATCAGTGGAGGAACTCACAACTAAGATCTATTAGATTCAATCGAAGTGTTTGAAGGGTAAGATTGGAAAATACTACCTGTTAAATTACCTAGTAAGATGGAGGGACTGAGTATGATAACCTAAAATTTTTATGAAATTGTTATATTAGGTGGTCAAAAGATTAAAAAATCAAAGCAGATATACATTCTAAATGTAAATGATTTTAGCTTACACGAATCAAAATCAAAGTTGAATACAGGAAGATCACATTTTCATGCGTTTAATTATAAAAATAAAATTTTATTGTTAGGTGGAAAATATAATTTAGAGTTTGATCTTGAGAAAATCACAGGCATTTTAAGTAATTTTTTTTATTATTTAACTAACTCTGGGAAATTGGGAAATGAGTTTTTGATAAAAATTTATTTTGACATCTAAGAAATGTTAAATTACTTTTTTCTATTTGTTTTTATCACCCTTTCTATCTAGCTATCCATAAAATAATCGTTTTAAAAATAACTATGCTAGAATCAAATTAAGAAAATGGCAAGAACTAAGTCTACTCTCAGTTTATTAAATGTAAAAATTAAGATACTAACATCCTGTATAGTCATTTGATAAAAAGTGATTTAAGTGAGTTTGGCGGAAGCCTAGCAAATGGAAACTTTTTTAATAATATATCACAGCCAACACTCAAAGAATCTGCATTTCTTAATATATTTGGTCAATCTGGAGTATATTATTTAAATTTAAAGTCTCTTGAATTAAATCACAAACAACCAATCGCTTTGTCAGGAAACATTAGTAAAAATTTTTTAAATTAATTAACTTTTTTACCAATAAAATGATCATATTTTAGCATGAATACTTTAATTGATTTCAGCAGCTCTTTTATAAAAAGACACCAAATAATTGTTCAGTGCACTTTAATTTATTAGAAAAAGCTGCTAAAAATAAATTTTTTTGATATTTTAAATTCGAAAATGAACTAGTTACTCTTTAAGATAGTTCATAAGGAGATATTAAATATTTTATCTAACTTAATTTACATTTACTCTTTTTATCTGTAATAAAAAGTCTAAGATTACTAAACAGCTAAATATTCTCATGCTTGCAACATATTTGATGGAAAAGTATTTGTTAGTGGAGGATTGAGCTAAAATGACAATCAAATTGTAAAAGATTGCTTTATTTACTCTACTTTTACAAATACCTTAGAAAAAGTAAGCAGCATGAATGAATCAAGGTTTTTTCATTGCTCAATATATTCTACAGGTTTTGTCTATGTATTTGCTGGAAGGTATTTGTTTTATGATTAAACATAACTAATAGCTCAATGAATTTCAACCAAATTTGTAGCAGATTTTAATTTTTTTTATTAATTAAACCAAGGGGTTACAAAAATTTGTAAAAGCAAGATGATGCAAATTATTCTTTTGAAGGAAGCTGCAATGACCTCACAACAATATTAGATAGTTGTGAAAAATTTAATTTAAAGAGCTATCAATGGGAAACACTACCTCGACTCAACTTTCCAAGATAATCAAGTGTAGCATCAATTTATTAAAACAAGGTAAATAAAAAGAAAGTTGTATTATTTAAGACAAGTACTTAAAAAATTTTAAAATCAAAAAAATGATGACATTTTTACATTACACTTTTTATTTAAATCTTCACTAAAACTAAAATAGCTAGATAACAAATTAGTATTGATTTAATAATCTGAGAGTATTTCTAAAATTTTTCAACTTTATTTTTTGTATTTTATCTTTGGGGGATAAATCGCTTTAGAAGCAAATAAAAACACTAAAATAAATTTGTGGTTATAAAGGGATAAAAAATTATCTGAGACCTTGTTGATATTCCCCCATAAACCAAACAGCATCCTTTTGATAAATTTAAATAAATACTTAAGGTTGCCATCTATTTTTATCGACTAAAAGATAATATTTTATTCAATAAAAAATTATTTAAGGTAAATTTATTCGATTAAAAAGTTTTTAAGCTCTGAATATCCTTACCCTTTAATTTAATATCCATTTTAGTTTATTTTAAAATAAAAGATTAAAAAAGAAATACTCTCATTCTAAGGTTTGTATTTTATTACAGATTACAATCTTGCTGACTGGGGGAAAAATTAAAAATGAATTAGTTAAAATATTCATTCTATTTTTTTAATCATTTTTATTGGCATAATTTCCGCAAATCAATTAGATTTGCTTCTTATTTGTTGATAAATCATACAGACACTACTGATTTCTATACCCGAAAAAAGACGTACTAATAACAAATCTTACGATTTACTCAGAAAAATTTTTTAAATTACATTGATCATTTTTTTTTCCAGCACAAAAATTCTAAAAATGAAGAAACTATTTCTGTTTAAAACATGATTTCAAACTAACTTCATGCTGGTCTATAAAAAATTTATAGGAATTTTAATATTTATCTAATTATTACTATAAGATTCTCCTTACCCGTTCTAAATACTTTATTTACCATTTTAAATTTTTTGCTAAAATAAATAAATCAATAAATAGGTTTATATAATTGGTGGTTCAAACGAATAAATCAAGGTCTAGTAAATAGAAAGATTAAATGAAAATACAGATAGATGGGAAATAATTTCTTTTTGTTTGATAGAAGGGGTTGAAAGTTTTTCATCATTTTGGATCTCTGATTAAGAATTTATCATTTTAGGAGGTGAGTATGATCAAATTTCCTTTAAAAATAGAGAGGATAAAGAAGCTTATGGATCAAAAAAAAGCAGATTAAAAGAAGGAGGCGAAAACGAACAACCTTAAGAATAAGATTAGTTCTGTGATCATAGTACTATAATAATATTAAAAATGTAAATCATAAATTTCTAAAGAGAATTAACTACCTTAGAATCTCCTTTATTTTAGATAGAATAAGCTGGGAATTATTGTAATGCTTCTATTGGTATTGATAGGGTGCAATTTATAGAAAATTTTAAACATATAATTTATTATGCTCAACCCTCTTTATATAAAGTTGCTTACTGTGATCAATCAATTTTATTTGTACTAGAGAATTAAGGGTTTACTTTATCAACAGATTAAAAAGAGCATAACGATTAGAAATTTTAGCATAAATTTTTAGTAAAGATGTCCATTAAGCCACCATACTATTATTTGATCCCTAAGTCTATCGAAGAAAGTGAAGATTTTGCTCCATATCCTTTTACTTAAAGTTATTGAATGTAGAGATTATGTTCAAATTATTTGAAAAAGAGAAAATGATGATAAAAAAATGAAACAAATGAAAATTTAATCAATGAGCTTTTATGTTAAATTTGCATAATCTAAAAAATTAATTAAGTCTAAGAATATTTAGACAATTTCTTATTGCTTTATGTGGTATTTTATTGCTCGATTAGTTTATTTTTGATGCAAAAATAAAATTAAATTGCTTAAAGAAGATTGAGAAAAATAGTACTATTTGTAAAGTTAAATTTATATAAAATTCCATCAAGTTTCTGAAAATAGATTATTATTACTTCATTTTATTATTTATCGTAAAAAGAAAAGTACTTCAAACACCATTGATTAAAATTAAAGCCCACTATTTTTTTTTAAAGTTAAAATTTAAATTATCATGGTTGATTGATAATTCCTATATTTGGAATTCTCAACATATTTTTAATTATTTACATCAATTAAAAATATATTTGGGCTTGTACTATTGAAAATGTAACCAGATGCTGGTTACTAATTAAATTAAATTTTATTTTAAATGATATATTTTTTAAGTAATAAAAATCTATTTAACAAAATATTTAATTTTTTTAAAACTTTTAATTTTAAAATAGAAATAAATGTAAATGATCTTTGTTTGTTATATTTTTGTATGCGGAGAAAAGGAAAAAATGCATTTTATTAGAAAAGATAGAAAAATTATTGTTCATATTTATTAGGTAAAATTAGATAAATAAAATCATGATTTTGCTTTAAAAATAATTTAATTCGTTATAAAGTTAAATTGGTGTTATATTAAAAGCCATTAAAGAAGTTTTATTGTACAATAAAATATAATTATTTCTAAATTTAGTCAAAAATTTTAATCTAGAAAGAGTGCAAACATGCATAATTGATAAAAATCTATATAAAATTCTAGTAACCTTTTGAAAAATTAATTGCAAAGACTCTTGAAATAATATAAAAAACCTACTTTAAAAAGAACATGTTTCCAATATAGTAATGCTCAATCCCAAAAATTTTCTTATCTTTACCTATAATCAATAATTTAATTTTGAAATGTAAACCAAAAACTGGTGAAATTTACCTTAAATAGAAGAGGAATTAATTCATAAGAAATATCAAATCCAATATTCAAATAGAATTATTGTTAAAAATGAATACATTTAAATAGATTATCAATTTTTAAATGCTATAAATTCTATTAGAAAAAAAATGAGTTCATTAAATAAAATATTGAAAATTAAGAGTAGCAATTAAAAAATACAAATTTTTACATACAATTCATACATATATATTTACTTTTTCTTTCATAAATCCTTAATTACATTATTTTTACTATTTTTCTCAAAGGAGCTTACAACAAAATACATATTTTTATTCCTTTACTAAAATTTATGGCTAGAAATATTTAGAAAAAGTTGAATTCATTTAAATATTCTACATAAAATTAAAATCTTTTTATAAAAAATTCAGTATAACTAAAAATTTTGCTTTAGGCTCATATATTTTGTTACTATTATTAAAGCAAATATTTAATCAATATTTTGAGCATAAATAAATGAAAAATATTTAAAATTAACATAGAAATTTTTATTTGAGGAAAATTTAAAAGCTAAATGCTATTTTTAAAATCTATCAGCCAGTTAAATTTTTAATTTAATTTTATTAAATATTGCTACTAAAGTAGCAAAATTTCATTTATTTTTGATGTATTTTTACTTATGTTTTAAATTGATCCATTAAGCTTGTAAGCAAAGATTTTAAAGATAATTGCAAAGGATGCGATTTAGAAGTCAATAATCATACTCATTAGGGATTTAATAAATTAATATTATAATAGTCTCTTATTTATCTAAAACAAAAACTTATATAGTCATAATTTTTTACTCCTTTTATTGTATTTTTTAAGTATTCCATATTATAGAAAGGTATCACTTAATCCAAGTTATTTATTTATTTATTATCATGTTTTAAAATTTACACTCAATTAAATTGCGTTGAACAAATTTTGAAATGATCAAGAAAATAAAAAGAATATTTCATATTAAAGTGTGTAAGTAAACAAATTTTATAACCAAAAGTCATTAAACCTCTAACAGAAAAGAGTTTACTTTATTAAATTATAATTTTTGCTCCTAATAATTAATTACTATATTGTATTATTTCCAATGACTATGTAATTAATCAAATCTCTAAATTCAATTGTATTATTACTGAAATTTATTTTAATATTATTCAAAATATAATTATTTTTTTTGTTAATATTTGAGTATCTTTTAATTAAAGCTTGCATTTCTCTTTTTATTACTTTTCTCTAATAAGTTCATTTTAATTAAATGATGTTATTAAAAATAAATTAATAAGATTGTAAAAAATACATTAATAAATAAATAAAAAACCTCTTAATTAATTTAATGAATATTTTAAATATTTTGTTAATATTTGGCAGTAGTGTCTTTGCTTTTAATTAGTTTACCAAACAAACAAACAAACAAAAAATCTAAAATCGATAAATAGACATAGATTTTACTATAAAGAAGGACTTATGTTAATTTGAGAATATTATTAATTTTTAAGAATATCTCAATGTATTCAAAATTGTTTGTTAAACATTTAATAAATTTAATGTTTATTATGATTTTACCTTATTTAAAAGTATTAAATATCTAAACCAACAGATATATTTTCTTTATAAACATACTCCAAATTAAAGATAATTATAGATCAATAAATCATTAAGCAACTAATAGTGATTATATTAGAATTAAACTAGATTTAGTTACTATTTTTGATAATGAATTAATTAATTAGAATCAATTAAATCTGATTATTATAATTAAATTAGAATATCAAAAAATAAAAGGACTTCATGCTTGATTACTTTTTTTACAATTTTATTTAATATATGCAAATTATATTATATTCATTAGATTAAAAGATGAGTGAAATCAACAATAAATTTTTAAGAGTAATAATAAAAATATAGAGTGCAAATAGTAAAACTAATTCACATTTAGTAGTATGAGTAAGTTTATTTATTTATGTTGAGATTACAAAGTAAGGATGCAATTTATTTATTTTATTTTATTTATTTATAGTAATTAATTTGATTATATTTTTAATTTATATAGTTATTAATATTTATGTTGGGGTATAGTTAATTGCTTAGTTTATTTAAGATTTTTGTTAATTAATTAAGATTAAAATAATTAATATATTTGTAATAGAGTTAGTTATTAAATAAGTAGTATGTATTATGATCCCAATCAGTTCGAATAAGACTTAAATAGATTCTTGTGATTGATGAAGAAAAATTTTAATAATTAATCACTATTTTTCTACTTTTTTATTATGTGTTAATAGTTGTTGTTGCTATTGTTATTATTGTTTACGTGTATCAATATTTTATTGTATATATTATACTTATTTTTTAGTTGTCTATGAGACGATTTATTTATTTATTTTTTGTGATATTTCATTTTACTTTTTAAAATTGTATATTATTTGATATAAAGTAGTAATTTTGTTTTTGTTGTTATTATATATTCATTTTTTTTAAATATTTGGAGAGAGGTCATATTTTTTTCATGAGTATTCAGGATAAGCATTATAGTCTCCGAAATTGCTGCTAAGCATGTTGTATTGTTAGTTAGTGCTAGAATTAAATTAATTCATGCAGTTATTTATATCGTTATCATCATCAAAGCAGTTTTTATTATCAAATAAATCATCCATATAATTGTTATTGACAAGATTGTTGTTATTAATAGGGATATTGTGAGAATTTGCATAAATATCTTCATTTTCTTAATCATTAGCAAGTTTAGTATCAATGAAGAAATCTTATAGTCCTTGCTCTATGTTATCTTAATGATAAAGATTCTATCCGTGTTCAAAGCTATCAATCACGCCAGCATTATGAGGTGATTAGCTAGTTCTAGAAGCTATGGTAGAAGGAGTATTCTGAATTTATTAGTTTTCGTTATTTGGATAACTGTAGCCATTGTTATACTGGTTATTATTGTATAGAGATCCTTTTGAGTATATATTAGCTTTATATGCTGCATGATAGTTGTATTAGTTGGATGAAGGAGGGTTATATTGAGAACTATACTTGGCATTATATTAATCATTATGGCTTGTGTAAGGTGGTACAATAGTTGACTGAGCATGTTAGAAAGTTGGAGGTTCATTGTAAATGTTGCCTATTTTAGTTAAAGGAATTTTATTATTTGAATCAATTTATTATACAAAGACTATTGAAATTTTTAAAGCGCAAATTAGCATTCTGAAATGATTATAAAATTTAATTTTATTGCTATAAAAGAATACTTATGGTAAAATTTAATTATAAGCAATCATTTAATTTTTTAGGAACTTTCTAAGGACATTTCTTATTTAAAAAGCACTAAAATTATAAATTTTTTTTAAAAAAAAATTTCAAAGAAATCTATTTGTTGGTGCATAAATTTCAAGTGCCTTTTAGTTTTTGTTTTGTCATTTAAAGAAAATTTAATATTTATTTGCTGGTAGTATTTAAAAATTTTTTGGATGGATAATTTTTAATAAGAAATTGCATCTTCATTAGGCTTAAAAATTATCTACGCATATAAGCAATTAATTTTTAACCTAAATTTTATGATTCTTCCAAATTTAGCAATTGATTTTTGAAGCTTAATCGTGAAAAAATAAAATCTAATAAATTGAAAGATTTTCTGTATATTTAGGGTATAGGTAGCAGCTTCAAATCATTTGGAAATCAAAAAATAAACTTTTTTTTGTTAAAAATCTTTAAAAGCAATTTATTCATCATAATTTGTTTGATTTTTTTGTTTTTATCAATCAACATATGTAAAGAGTAATTTGATTCGATTAAAAATCGAAGAAGAATAAGAAGAAGAAATAGTCTTTGTAATTTAATCAAAATGGTATCAAAATTTAAAATAAATATGATATATCTGTAAAATATTACATTAATCGGGACAGCGTTGGTCAACAGCGCACCAAGAATTTGATTTCTGAATCATGGGTGCAGAACTATTGTAAGCTGGTACTTTTTCATGGTAAATAGAATTATCACAATCTTGCTGAGATGAATTAGAGTATGGAGCATTTGTACTGCTACTCATGCTGTTAGCACAGCTATTATTTTACTTAATATAAGGTGAAGTATGGTTGTTTTGGTTCTTGGTTGCGTTATTTTCATATTGAATTTGGGGATTTTATTGAAAACTTTGTTATTTTACATTATTTTAGTATGAGTTAGTAGAAGAATTTACAAAATTCTTACTGTTTCCATTAATTGTTTAAGTCTGAGGATTTATATAAGGATAGGGAGGTTGTTAGCTATTTCTTTAGTTTGCAGGATTGTAAACAGGAACTCCACTCTATGTAGGGGAGGTAAGAGAGCTGCTAGTGAGGTGAGTACTGCTGCTACTAGAAGAATTTTGATTTAATAAATGATTTGGATAGCTGATGTTATTGTTGTTATTTGATTGGCTGGTTTAAGGAGCTTACTATTATTAGTGGTGAGGAGAGTAAATTGGGTTATGAGGATAGTGCATTGAGTTAATTTAATCAAATGAACCACTGTGTTGGTAGTTTGGCTGATACTGCTAGTATGAAGAAGGGATTGATGTTGCTCTCTAGCGCATTATTTATGAAGGATAGGGTGGAACCTAATTACGCATCGAGTTTTCTTGGGTTAATCTGATTTACCTTTTTATCTTTCCTAACTCAGAAAGTACTGGTTCTGTATTGCGACGAGCTCTATTGTGTGTAGGACTTGTAATAGTTTTACTCTTCTTTCTGAATTGCTTTTCTTTAACTATAAAGATCTTTCTTTTTTTCTGAACTTGGCTCTGAAGTATTTCGTTTTTCATTTTTGTAAAATGTGTTAAGCAAGCAAGTAAAAGAACTAGTTTTTCTTAAGTATTAATTAAATGAGTTTGTTATTGATTGCCTTTTTAATGAGAGTATTTATTATCTTATAAGTGGGGAAGAGAGTAATAGATTGGTTAATTACTAAGGATTTAGTTGAATTAGAGATGATAAATTGTCTTTAAGGGAGGACTCCTTCTTAATTAATTTTTCTTTAGAATTTCAGAATTTTTATTTTTTGTTGCTACTGAATGTTAGCAAAATAAGTAAGTACTTTGAATGAGATATTGATTGATTAATTAATTGATTCCTGATCGAAGTAAATGCTCTAAATTAAATAGAAAAATCAAATAGCTGGTTTCCGCAGATATAAAATGAGATTAATAAAAGCCTAAGATAACTTAGTATTTAACAGTATTGATGTACTTATTATTATTTTAAAATCTTATTAAGTTAACGACTCAGAAGGATTGAGTATCAGTTATTTGACTAAGGTGATAATCAATTGATAAGGTATTAATATTTGCCTTTATTTGTTGTTTGTTTTTGTGAATTGATTGATAGATTCACTTAAATTTCTTATTAAATTTTTTGTATTTTTTTTTTTTTTGCAAAAAAATAGAATCCTTTAACTTTGTTTTGTTTTTTTTATTTGTTATTTTTTTTTTGTTAATTTCTTTCTCGACTCTTGAAGGGAGCTAATCCTCTTTTTAAAGTAATACTGATTCCTCATTCATTCAATACATCATTTAAAGCTTTATCAAAAACTAAAGGTAATTAAGCAATTCAATCAGAAAAGGTTTATTAGATTGATTGATTAATTGATTGATTGATTGATAAATAGGTTGATTGCTGTCTTGATTATTCATTTTTTTTGTTAATCTTTTTTTTGTTTCAATTTACAACAATTTCTTCTTTCTTTCTCCCCTATCTCTTGCCTTTCAATAACTTCTCCTTCATAGGCACTCTCTATCTCTTAGTCTCTTTCTGACTTTTGATTTAATTTACAGACCTATCTTTCAATCTTTCAGGTGCAAATAGCAGTAGTCCTTTCATTTTTTTCAAATAAACCTTTGATACTTTTCTAATTAAGCAGATAGATAATTTAATAAAATCAGAATATCTTACTCTCTTTCTCTATCCATTTTTTTATTTTGGTTTCCAAATTAAAAAAATCTAAATTGTAAAAATATCAAGGTCAATTTAAAAATGTCTCAATAATAACGGTACTGAGATTTCAATAATTAAAATAAATCTTTTTTAGAAATAAATACAGCTTTAAAAATTATGAAGTAGTTTATTTTTTTGTTAGATTGATTGATTGATTGACGGCTTGCTTGCTTGTTTGTTAGAGTTTAAAAGATTAAGTCTAGTTTCAAAAAAAAAATATTAAAACTCTATTTTTATTCTTTCGAAAAATTAACACACACCCAAATATATATACAAAGAGTTCTTCATATTATCCCCCGCCCCATAGATTGTATCAAACAAATCAATTATTTTAATTGATAGATATAGGGCCTAATTGAATGAGTAAATTTTTTTACACACTGAAAAATTAATTCTTTTTGAAAAGTTTCTTCTCTTGATAGCCTTAGATCATGCGCTAACAGATCCTTAATCTATCAAGCCCTATTGAGTTTCAGAAATAAACTAAAAATAAGCTAATAAAATGAAAAGACTTTTTCAAACATAAAAATAAGTCAAATATTATTTTTTTAAACCTTAAATCCGATACAAATTAATAAATACATGTAGTTAAATCCAAAATACCAGTTTAGATTTTGAATAAGGAAATTAATCAAATAACTAAAAAATAAGCAATTTGTAAATATTGGGGGCATTTTTGTTGCTTCTGTGAGCAATTTATCAAATAAATTGCTATATAGTGTAAGCTGGCTAAGATCTTCATATATATGCCTTTGTTTTATGTAATAAATAAAGAAGCCTTTTTAGTTTAAAAATGGATAAATTCCATCTCAGCAGGCTCTAAACTCCTCATCCAATAGAGGGCCCTCTGTCCTTTTAGCAGAAAATAAATCAAATTCCACATCATTATCTTAAATTGTATCAAAATTTGTCTTTTGGATATCAAATTGTATGAAATTTACTCTAAGTATTCGAATTTTTGCTAGGATTTTTTTTTGCCTTTTACTTTCTTCTTTGTAAAAAAAATTGATTAAGCAGAAGCCTTTTTTTACTCTATTTCTTTAGTTGATTTTTTGATTAATCAAGACACTATCAATAATTTGTACGTAATTACCCACCCTCACTCCTTCAGAAACAGTTCTTTATCCAAACGTTTTCATTTAAAGAAATTTTTTAATGTAAGGAGCAAACTGAATATAGGGCATCACGAATGATAAAGAGAAGCTCAAATGAAATATTTGACGTCTAGTAACTATCACAATCTCAAATAGACGAAAGTGATGAAATAAATAAATTGAATTGTCTGTAATGTTTGAAATAAAAATTTATTTAATAAAAATCTATAATTAGGGTAAGTAAATCAAGTGTAATAAGGTTTATTAGCAGCTAGTAGCACTTCAAACCAACGAATTAAAAAATTACAATGATTTTTGAGAGAAGATCTTCAGATCAAATTTTATTCTCGGTTTATATCAATTCTACTATATGATTCATATGAAATAAAATAGAAAAATTTGTTTTCACATCTGAATAATTTTATATTTTTGAGCATGAAATTAGTTTTTACTCATCAAAAAATCTTTGAATCTAAAATCATTTTTTTGTTTAAGTAGAGTGTGCGAATGAGTTAAAATTGTGTTTAATTTTAGTTAGAACTCTTGCTAGGTTTCTAGTACATGAAATATTTACCTTTAAATAGATAAAGTTACTGCACGAAAATAAAAGTCTTTAACAAGAACATTTAATTCATTGAAAAATACAGAATATTTTAAAAAATTCATTCACTTTTCAAATTTTACCTCTAAACTGAGCAAATCCACTAATTTAATCATAGATTCTACTTTAAATCAAACAAGATCCTTGATTATTTTGTGACAACGACTTACAAAATAAATAAATAAATCAATCAATCTTTAAAAATTTTTGATGCAAAATATTAGATTAAATTTTATTTTAGATTTTTAGGTTCCCGCCCCTTAAATAAAAAAAGATTCTCCTTGCGTTGATTGAAAAAAAAAGAAAAAAGAAACCATATCAAATTTTATCGTATTTGTTAATCAAATATCAAATCATAGCTACAAACTGATTTATCTCTGCCTATGAGTAAATAAAATAAAATACAATACAATACACTTCATTCACCCTTTTAAATTAACCTCTCTACTTTTAGGTAATTATTTCTGTTAAATATTTAAATCTAACCACCTACATAGGTTTTTTACTCATTAAAACTTTAAGTCTTTTAGTTTAAAGTTTGTACTATAGAAAATTTGTAATAGATTTTAGCCATTTTGATTAACTCATTAAGGAGATTTAACTAAATTTTGTTAATTTTGTCAGTAACTCTAAATATCGATGAATTTATCAAGTGGTAAATTTTTTTAAAGCTTACTGTATAACTGTCTTAATGTATGAAACTCTCTTTAATCGCTTAGTATAATATCGAAATAAATCTAGATTAAAATAAGCAATTTAAAAAAAAATCAATCTATTAATCTATGTAAGCATAATACTGTAGATCAAAAATTAAGAATTCTGAACCTATTTTTTGAGCTTGCCTTATTTTCAAGTGAACAAAAGAGAGTAACAAACTAGAAAAATCTTTTAAGAAAAGCCAACAAAAAGTAATTAAAACTTATTTACAATTATAAACTAAAAAAATTATTTTAAATCTTTCCGAATGAAAGCTTTAAGGAGTTTTATTTAAGAAATTTTTACTGTGTGGTGTTGAAAATTGCAAGTATAAAAAAATATTCTAATTTCAGAATAAAAGTTACTCAGATTATTTTCTTTGTTTGAGAATTTCTGTATCAATACATAACCAAACCTTACTATAAATTTCTTGTCTTATATTAAATGTCTAAATTTCATACAAATAAGAACAATTCAAATATATTCAGGTTGCTTTTATTAACCTATCATTTTTTGTTATATTTATTTAACAAACTAAACTCTTTCTATAATTCGCATGAAATTATATTTGTTAAATACTCTGTAAAGATATCAATCAGTTAAATCTTTTAATTTATGCAAGTAATACCAAAAGGATTAGGTCATTAAAAACTTTATTTTACTGTTTATTTTTTTAAAAGCCAAATTACAAAAAATAAATTGGGATCAGTTTCCATTTAAAATTATTAATAATTTCAATGAAAATTCAAGATGCTGTAATGAAAATCTTAAAAATGTATTATGATTTAGATTTAAATAAAATGAATGAGTTCATCATTTATTATCCTTCTTTTAATCCATATTTAGTATTTATTTTTAGAGAAAAAGATCAATTGTTTTTACTAAACAAATTATTATTGTATTATTTTTATCTTTTATTTATATAAATTAAGTAAGAAATCATGTTATAAGATTAATAAATAATTTTACTTTCATTCTATTAAATTTTCAATCATACCAAAAAAATTTTATTTCTCTTTTCATCCTTATCAGATGATTTTTTCTCACAAAAATAATTAATTTTTTCATTAATCCTATTCTAACTAAAGAACTGGATGAAACTTTAATGATCTAACTGAATGTTTTTGATTTAGTACTTTGCTGTTTATTTAGTTCATACAAATAGCTTAAAAACTCCAAAATTACTATTTTTAAAGAAAATTAGGATTAAATTTAGAAATATTTAAAAATTTTAACTTATTTGTTAAAAAAATACTCATTTAACATTTTAAAATCTATTAAATCAAATATTTTTTTAATATCTTCAATTTTATTAAGTAAAAAAAGATACCTAATATAGAAATTAAATACAAATAAGTTATGATCAAAAGTATATTTTTAAAAATTTTAACAACTTTTAGTGTTAAATCATAAAATATTATTTTTATTACTCATTTTCTATTATTTATATAAAAACTTGTTTAGAAATTTTATCAAAAAAATAAAATTTGATATTAAAATAATGACTTAAAAATAAATCTATATTATTTACGTTATTTTATTTTTATAACACCAAAGAATAACAAAATACACTTATTAAGTAATAAAGTAAGCAGGTAATTTTAAAGCCACTGATAACTTTATTCTGATATCTTACCTAGTAAGAAAGGATTTAAATTACAAATATCAGAAATTTGTTTAAAGTAGAAACTTAATATACTATTGTTCAATTTATTTATATTTGAATAAAAAATAAGCAAAAACATAAAATTAAATAAAATAGGATAAGCATCAATAATTACTTTCAATTTTGATTGATATTTTGATATAATTATGTAATTACATTTAAACATACATCATACTAGTTATGACTTATTTTTTGTATTCAAAAGGCTTTAAATGAACAAATTAAATTTGCCAATAAAAGCTATTTAATTGATTATATTTTTCAGAAACTCAATTTTTCTTCAATTTTTAAGATTCCTTAATGTTCTAAGTTTTTCATAAAAAATGGTATTATTAACTGATAAAAACAATTTCTAAAGCTAAGCTCATTAAATTTTTTTAAATTTAAAATTCTTTCATTCAGTGGGTTTTGATGGAAATTAATATTGTAAAAAGCGTTTAAATTGCTTCTATAAAAAATGCAATTTTTGAATAAGATTGAGATTAGCTAATTAAAATTGCTTAATTTATTTTTAAAAATATTTACTTGCTATAATTTTTTTACACTTTCTTATCTCCTTCTGTATTCTTCTTTCTTTTATTCTTCTTCTTTTCTTTTTTTAACCTCAGGGAGCATCTCATAATTTTTATTTGTTAGTTTCAAATATTCTTTCTTGTCCACCTAGGTAAACAAAATTATAAATTAGATGAAATTTTAAATAAAAAAATAAATAAAAACAAACATCTAACGAGCAGTGAATGATTTAATTTTGTTTCTTTCAATCAACAAATTTAAATACTGCTCTTTCATGCATTCCTTAACCATTGGAGAAAATTTAAATTACATAAATTTAAAAGGATATTTACCTTTACTTTAGTGCCATTTGCTAGTCTATCCATAAGTTCTTAGGGTGGCTCTTTTACTTTTTTACTTGGATCATGGAAGCTAGTCATATAGCCTCTCTATTCAGATTTTTAAGAATTATATTAATCATTAATGCTGCTTTCTTCCTGAGAAGTTGAATTTTTATTTTTAAGGAAATCAGGACGCTTCATCATTTCCTTTCTCTATTTTAATATGTCTTCTTTTGTTCTCTCTTTTTTGGGTTCTTATGTATCAGATCTTTAAGCACGCTGCTGTTATTCAAGTTCATATTTTTTAGCTAAGTCAGCTTTCTTCTTTTTAAATAAATCAGCTAAGCTTGCTTAACCTTCTCCTCTAGTAGCATTTTCAGATTTCTATTTATAATAAATATGTATATAGGTTTATTTAGATAATTTATCGAAGTGGTTGATTCGTCTGTTTTTTTTACTGATTAATTTTATTAACAATTATAGTTGCAAAATAAATTTTTATTTTTCAAAAAAAAGTTGAAGTATATATATAGAAAAATGATTTTCTGTGATTAGATACTGTAATTTACTTCTTTTAAAAATCAGAAATGAGTTAATACTTCATTTTAACATTTAAACAATTCAATTAACCATACGGATTTTATTTTTTAAATTTTGCTTGTTCGAAAATCAACTTTGGATGATTAGAGAAAGAAAAACAGCTTGATTTTAGATTAAAGAATTGTCTGTATCTTATTAGAGACTCAGATAATCTACTAAGTGACATAATATCATTTAATGAACAGTAAGTTGAAAAAGTTAGATTTGATGTGATAAATAAATTTTTTTTAGTTTCTTCCCGTTTAATCTTGAAAAATAAATTTCTTTATCAAATTTTTATAAAAAGTGTAAAATAAACAATTCAAACAAGTCTGTATCTTTTGATTGTTGTTAGGATGGATGAGCTTTAAAATAAAAACTTATTTATTTATTTAATTTTCTTTTTATCTTTTTTTCTTTCATACTTTTTTTTTGAGATAACTTTCAATTTAAATTAAGAATATTTTTTGTAATGAAATTGTAAAGATAAAATTTTTCAAAAATTAAGAGCAAAAACCAATAAATTTTGCCATATTAGTTTTCATTTTTAAAATGCTATAAAATAAAATCAAATTTTTAAATTAATAATTTATTGAATCAAATAAGCTACCAAGTAATCAGTAAAATTAAATTTGTATTGTTTGGGATTTGATTTGTATTTTTTGAAAGAATATTTAATGATATATTAGTAATCACACACCTATCATTTATTTTTTAGTTACAATTTTAAATTATCTTTTTTCTTTAAAAAAACTAATTTTTATTCATATCTGTAATCATTCATTCACTAAAGTTTGAGAAAAAAATAAAAAATTAAGTACATTTTGGCTATCTAATTTGTAGGTTTCTTCATCTTCTTCATCTTCTCTGAATTAAATATCCATTTGTATACCTTTTTGAGAATCTCTTGAATTTAAATTTTGTGAGATTCCTGATTTGTTTTAATTGATTAAGGGCTGGCCAAACTTTGCAGTTCCAATCCTACTTTAGCTATCTTAATTATTTTCAAATTAGTTATTTTCGTTAGAAAGGTTTCTTTTTTGTGTAGTTGAGTTTTAAGGAATATACTCTACTCTTCTAAATTTATCAGCACTCTATTGTTATAGAACAAAATTTAAATAAAATTATCAACTAATTATATCTACAAAGAACTTTTTAAAAATATTATCTGAAGTTTTTAAATGCTTTAAATAAGCTTAAACTGATCATTTTTTAAGTTGATTTTTTTATAAATGTTTTTTCTTTGCTTTCATTAACTTAAAGTATTCTGTTTTGCAAAAAAAAATTTGGTTTTTAAGAATGTAACAAATGGATAAATAAAAGAAAATTTAAAAATAAATAGTCTATGATTTTTATTATTTATTGTTAAAAATGTGATGCTTGATTGCAGCCTAAAATACGTAGTTAAAATGCTGAGATCTTAATTAAATTTTTACTTAACTTGTTTTTTTTAGATTACTCTTTTGCAAAGGTATTTATGTATATAAGGTAATTTAAAAAAGATTGTTGTGGTAAGATTATTTTTACATTAAAATGTTTGATTATATGAAAAAAAAAAAATAATTAATGAAAATAATTAAATACCTTATCTATTTCAGAGAGTGAGTAACTCAACTCTGAACTTGGAGAAAGCTCTGAGCGCTTATTGTAGTGCTCAGAGGAGTGATTCTAAAAGTTCTATGATGAGTTAAAATTGTTTTAGCGCAAATGACTGCTATTATTCTTATTAATGCTGTTAAAGTTATTTGAGGTTAGAAGGGAGTCAGTTAATTCTATAAGGTCTTTAGAATTATTATTAGGACCCTTGCTTTAGCTTAATCCTAATTTTCTACTTTCAGAAATATTGCTAGGATTATTATGAAGATTACTGTTATTACTTAGGCCAGAGTATTTTTTAAAACTATCATTCTTATATTTACTCTCTGTTGTGTTTCCAAATTTGTAACCTTTTTCTTCTTCTTCTTCATAATTTCTATATTATTAATCTTACTTATAAACATCCTTAGAAGGTGAAAAGGTGGCTAAAAGATTTTCTTAATTTTTGCTTCCCTTATAACTATTTTTTACACTTGAGTTAATTTATTGTTAATTGATACTGCTTTCATTGTTATAATTATTATTGTTGTTATTTATGCTTGAAGTAAGCTGACTTTCAGTAAAATCACTTTGGTAATGATTATTTCTTATATCGTTTCTAATATTTTTGCTATTGCTTGCATCATTAATACTTTCTGTAAAATCGTTTTTACTATCTGAAAAATCTCTGCTCTAACTTTCATAACCGCTAGAACCCAAAAAATTATCAGGTTTTATAAATGGGTTCATTTTATTCTAACTATTTTTCCCTTGTGACATTTAACTTTCTTTATTATACGTTTACTTAAAGGATGACTTAACTGTATCTTCAACATAATCTAAATTTTCCCTCTCATCATAATCTTCATTCAAAGATCTTTGATTAAAAGAATCATAATTGTTATAAGATTAATTTTAAATTGAATTTGAGTTTAAAAATTAATCAAGCATTTAATTTGCCTTTTTCGTTTTTTCAGGATTGCTAGAATAGACAACTTATCTTTTTTACCCATTAGAATTATTGTACTAATTATTGGTACCGTAATGATTCTAGCTATGGGAGATTATTTATGAAGAGTTATGAGAGGAGTTTTCTTCAATAAAGATAGCCTTCTTTTCTGGAATTGAAACAGAAGATAAATTGAAATTTTTAGCTTGCTATTGTTGTTGAATTAAATCATTTTATCTATTCTTATTATCCATGGTTGTAGTGGCTTAATTTAAAGTGCTAAGTAAAGCATTTTCTTCTTAGCGGATTCTTTCTCTGCTGTTCTTTCTTGTATCTTCTAATTTCTTCAAATATTATTCTTATTCTAAAATATATTGCTTTATATCGTTTCTATTTAAGTTTTATTCTTTTTAAGAAGATTAGTTGCTGCCAGAAGCTGTGTAGGCACCTGTATTGTTGAAATTACTTCCTTGTTTATTGAATTAGAGAGATTTTTATTAACTTGAATTTTTTAGTGATTATTAATCTTTTTCAGAAAACCCATTACTATTGTAAGGAGAGAATGTATTATTTTAATCATTTTATTTATTTACAAAATTATTATATCTCACATTGTTGTCTTTACTTCCACTTCTTTGACCAAAAGTGTTTTCTTCATCTGTAAAATCTGAGTCCGAATTACTTTTTTAGGGAGAAACAAATCTAATCTTCTTTTTTCTATCGCTTGTTACTTATGATACTTTTCTATCACTCATATCATAGCTATCGTAGCTGTTTCTGAATTTATTATCTTAATTTTGAGATTAAGTAAGAATATTAGGATCAATTTATTCTTTGTTTTGGTCACTCATTGATCTAGCCAAGTTGTTGGAAATACTAGAATTTTTACCAGCAGATTGCTGCAAGTTCTTTTAACTTTCTTCAGTTTGATTTTTCTCATGTTACTTATCTTACTCATCTTCTCTTTGCTCTTACGAATTTGAAGCATTCTTTTTATTCTTAGATTTGTCTTAAAAGACATTAGTGTCCAAGGGAGGCTTTCTAAATATTTTAACATTTTTAGATTTTTTTTAGGCATTCTCAACTGCTCTTTTTTCAAATTCTTTTGGGTCAACATTTTGCAAAGATTAAGATTTTTTTAAAGTGGTGCTTTATTTCTTAGCATGAATATCTCTTTCTTTATCATTGATTTCTTCATGTGTCCATTCAGCTCTTTCTCCAAAAAATTCCTTTTCAAATGCCTTTTCAACTACAGCCTTTTTCTAAATGTCTTTTTAGAAATGAGTGACAGGCTTCTCGCTATGATTAGGATTATTAGCTGTTTATTTAATACGATCTTATTCTAGCTCTGCCTTTTTCTTATCCATTTCTTAACTAAATTCTCTAAGAACTCTCTCATTTTAGGTCATCTTCAAAGCTGCTCTTCCTCTCTCTTCCTCTTCTTATTTACGAAGCTTTTTAGTTTGCAATAATTCCAAATTCTTGATTTATGTTTTTTCATATTCTTTTTTAGCATTTTCAAGAGCTATTAATTATATTTAAAAACTAGTAAGTAACTATAAATTTCACTAGAAGCAGAAATAATTTAAAAGAAATTTAAAATTAAAATGCTACCATTTTCAATAAGATTGTCGTCCTCATGCTTAATAACTACAGGGTTATGAAAATAAGTTTTAGTAAAGTCAATATTGTTGTAGTAAGATTTTTTGTTATCCTGCTTTTCGTAAGCATCATATTGTAAAGGATCTTCTTGGACTGGTTCAGCTTTTAAAATATTTATAAAAATATATAAATATTATTTAATTCTCATTAATATTTTCGCTCTTTTTAAATTTGAAAATTATCTTGAGAGTCGTTATTCGTACACAGATTCTTAAGATAGCTTTGCAAAAATCATCTATAAAAATGAAGCTTACGTAAATTATTAATGTAGTTTTAGTAATTTTATGCTTCTTATCTTTCTTTTTCTTAAATTTCTTCAAGCATTTCAATCCTCTATTTATTGAATGATTTCTTATAGTCTAATTTTTCTTACTCTTTTTTTGCCCAATCAGCAGCCTATTATGTTCTGATTTTCTAATTTTTTTAAAATTATTCTTCTCTCAACTTTTATTCTTCTATATCTTTCAATCTTTGTTTCTCTGCTTCTAATGCCTATCTATGACTTTCCCCTATTTCCTTTTTTTGCTTTTCTGCTTCCTCTAAAAGTTTTTACTATAATTACAATTTCTATTAGTATATTAAGAATTGCTAATTCATATATTCTTCTTATTTTTATTGTTCTTCCAACTCCTTTTTTGTTTTAAGATTCTTTCTAGTCTTCTCTGCTTCCTACTATCTTACCTATAAAAAATAGTTTTATTACCTAAATACTTCATTATATTTTTCAATTAATCAAGTTTGATTTGCAAATTATTTTATAAACAACGAGATTTAATTTCAAAATTAAAATATATACTTATTATATTCTAATCTTTTTAAGCTCCTGTTCTTATAATTTACTGTAATCCTTAAATTCTACATTCCCGATGTAGCTAGTTTTGAGAGGATTATTAATTTATTTATCTATTTGCTTTGTAACTGATTGCGCCATACTGAATAAGGTATTTATATAATGATTGAAGTTTTTCTTGTTAAATGTAAAACTTTTATCTGAATAAATTTTTGAAAATCAGAATTTATTTATCAATCAAAATCTTATTGGTTTTTAATTAATTAAATATCATGCTTTTTATTAAAATACTATATCTTAATCAATTCAGTTTAGAAATTTAAATAATTTCAAAGATAAATAATTTGATTTGAGATAGCAAAGCATCCTTGAAGATATATTTTTATTTGCATCTAAATTTGAATGGATTAAGTTAAAAGACTCGAAGTCAATACACATAAACTAAATAAATTAATAGAAATTATCATTTTTTCAATTTTAAATTATATTTTAGTTTGATATTCACAGATTGATCGGTTCAAGATCTATCTATCTAAAGATCAAATTAATTATATCATAAAAAGTCAGTAAAAATTTCATATTGTCTTATTTTAAAAGGCATAATTTAAAACATAAATGAAAGCTCTTTCTTAAATTTAGAATGTTAAGAAATATGGAATTATAAATACTACAACAATATTATTTTAATCGATATCCATAAAATATCAATCATTATTAAATTTAATTTGAATAGGTAATTAAAATATATTAGTTTAAATAAGTAAGTAAAATGGTTGGAGACATTCATAATAATAGGAATGCCCATTCTAATAATTTTAAAACACTTTATCAAATAATTATCACTTTTAAAATGAATACTTTAGACTATTTAGAAATTTATTAGATTTTACAAAAGAGTTTCTGCTGTTTCAATCAACAAAGCGAATAAAAGACTCATAAAATTCAATAACTAAATTAGGATATTTTAATTTGAGCTTATCACCTTCAACCCAGCTACTTATAAGTTAGTCTTTTTTTTTACGAGGAGCCCAAGTAACTTTAAAAATATACTACCCTATCAAGTAAGGATGTATATCCATTGCTATAATTCTATTTGGTTCATCTTTAAGACACAAATTACCTTCATACAATGATTTTATAGATTTTTAAGGATCCTTTACTTCTGGATTTTTGAGGTGCTTTATTTCCTAATATTAGCTAATTATAAACTATTCATATGTTTGTTCATTAAATTGTGGAATATTGTTTTATGATCCATTGTTATTTAAATTCTGATTTGAATTTTATTTTTAAATTCCATTTTTATTATTTTATTGAATTTGCTATAATTCTTTTTTATACTTTTAATATTGCTATTTTGTTTCGGGCTAGTTATATTAGCTTAATTCATGCAAACTTTTAGATAAACCGCCTAACTGCCCTTGGATGTCATTATAATTACTAGGGCGTATTCTTTTCTATTGCAGTTCATCTAAGTACTGTGTAATATGTTTATATGGCTAAGTGTCTTAAATTTCTACAGAGTCATGCTTTTTAACTAAGCGAATTTTAGTAAATTTATCTTTGTCATCTCTTTCGTTATGTAACTTGTATTGAAGTTCTGAATTTTCAACTATCTCTTCTTCGTCATCTTCAATCATAATTGGTGAGTTCCCGTTTAACTATTTTTAGGCATTTATATTTAATTTGCTTGAGTATATATTTTATTAATTTTCTATATGAGGAAAGCTAGAATATTAATTTTATTATTATAATAGCTGATTATATTATTTATCTTCAAAATATTTAGCTTTATCTTTATCTTAAATAATTCTCTATATTCCGGAACCTTAAACAATAGGTTACTATTCCTAAACAGATGATATCATATCCTATTGAATTACAGTGTTTTACCAAAATATTTTATTATTATTATTATTAAAATAGCTTTAATGAGAAAGAGAGTTCCTAAGTTGTATATTCCTTTACTAATCACTAAAATGAAGATTAGATAAACCAGTTGGACTTTATTTATCTAAATATTATTCGCTATTAATCTACTCTCTATTATTAAAATTATCAAATGAACTAATCATTTAATTTTTCAGAGGGCCATTTCCTTCCGAAATACTACCATCTTCAAGTTGATTAATAATCTTAAACTTGTTCCTTTATGTTGTTTCGTTATGAAGGAGTTCTGATTCGATGTTATTATTTGATCCAAATGGATTGTTTTCAACATGCATATACCTCTATTGTTATTGTTAGTGTTCTAATTCTTATAGAGAAGCTAGAACTTCCTTTTGTTCTAATAAAACATGTGTAGAATTTAAGTCATTAGTTTCTTTTTTTCTTTTTTTTTAAAGATTTGATTCTAACTCACTCCCTTCCAGCTAATTTTGATTTTACAATTATGCAAAATCTCTTTTAAAATTTAAAGAATTCTATTTTTGTAACTCATTTTCTTCATATCCTGCATTGTTATTATTGTCATTATCTTATTCTTTCTCTTCCTCATTTAATCCTTCTTCTAATTCTCCTTCTTCCTCTTCATCTTCTACATCTTATTCTCCTTCTTCATCGTCATCATACTCCTCATTTTCTCCCTCTTCATCACTGAAATCTTTACCTTGGTTTTTTATTTATTTTTATGCATCAGATAGATTAGATCCACTATTTGTTTCCCTTTCTTTGAGTTGCTTTTAGCTTTCAATTTAAGAATTCGATGCGATATATTTTTCATTGCCATCTTTTGAAGTACTTTTTTAAGATATATGTTAATTTTTCTTATATTTTTTTCGTTTATTTTTAATTTTTAAATACTGTAAGTAAAGAAAATCTTTCATAATTACTCTCTTTTTGAAGCTTCTTCGGAAAATTGAGTTTTATTTTTAACTAAAGAATTGCCTTTCTATTCATTTGATGCAACTATATTTTATAAATTCTTAGAATTGGCGCCTAACTCATTAAAGATACCGTCTATATCTGCTTCATCTTATTCTTCTATTTTAAGGTCTATATCTTATTATTATATTTATATTTATTGTTAATTTTATTGCAAAGCATTGTCATCATTATTTCTTTTTTCTTTTTTCGATTGAGTGGATGAATATGTTCTTTTTAACTTCTTTGCTTTCGTAGATAAACCGCCTTCATCTTTAAATTAATCGCTTAGAGATTTTCTTTTTTGATACTATTTACGTTTCCTCTTCTCAATAGTTTTATCTACTTTGTCTTCCTAATCACTATCGCCATCTTTATTCTATTATCCATTTTAAATATTTTTCTTTTTCATTTTTGTTATTTTTTTCCTCAATCTAATGCCATCTCTATCCCTATAGCTTTTATCTTGATTTCTATTGTTATGATTGTTTTCATCTTAATTGTCTTCGAACTTAAGTCCTGCTAACTGCTATGTTTTATGTACAATGCTATCGTAACTAGTTTATTCTTTATTTTCAGATGATTTATTTTCATCACTATCTGTCTCATTTTCATTATCACTTGAGCCCTTTAACAATGCCCGCTTTCTTTTGTTGTATTTGCGTTTTATAGTTTCTACGAATTTCCCTTTTTCATCTAATAAATTCTCACGCCTTAAACAACCCACAAAAGTCTTCCAAGCATCTGAACCTGTCATTTTTTTATTATCATTATATTTATCATAAAACTCTTTTAAATTGAAGTAGCAGTTTCTAACATTTTAAAAAGGCTCCCATGTGTTATCGGTATCTTCCCAACCTTTCCACTTTATATAAAATCTCAGATCATATTTACCAAAACTCCTAATTTTTTAAATTGACTCCACCTCGTAGTAGCCATCAGCTAATTGAGTTTACTGCTAATGCGAAACTTCTATTGCCTTTTTTAAATTCCTTTTATACCTTCTTCTCCCTTTAGTTTGCTTTTTTTTTGACATTTAGAATTCGAACTATTAAGCCTATTAAAAATCCATGAACTTACTATTATGATGCCCTTTCAACTTCCTTTCACTATTTTTCACTTATAATGTGAAAATTTAACAAATATTAAATTGATTAGCAAAAAATGCATTGAAAAAGCATAAATAATCTAAAAATTCTATCTATCATTTTCTTGATATGATAAAATTTACTTTGATTTAGAAGTTGATTTTACGATCGCTACCCCTTTAACTACTATTAATATTAATTAATATAAGTTAATAATTTTTTAAATAATAGTTCTCTATTAATATTATTTAATTATTGATTGATATTGCTATCTTTTTACTTTTAAAATTTAGTTTTTTCAGAAGTTAATTTTAAAAGGAGACCTAATATTTCTTGTTTTTTTATCTTTCTTGTTAAATATATGTATTTTCATTTATCTTTTAGACTTAAGTACTAATAATTTACTATCTAATTAAATATAAATATTTCATTCCTAAATAAATTATTGCTTTTTGTTATTATATCATCATGTATTCAATACATTTAAAATATCTATCAAAAAATGCCATATTCATTTTTTGCGCCTAGATAGATAACCCTCTCAATTTGAAAATATTAATTTAATTTTTTTAAACATATAATCATAAAAAATTATTTATTTATTTATTTTTTCAATAAAATTAAAACTAAAATATTATAAATATTGCTCTAAAATTTTAATATATTATTAAACAATTATTTGCTCAAAGAAATAAATTTATTACTTCAATTAAAAAATTTTTAATAAGTTATTTGATATATTTAATACATATAAAATTTAGCTTATATTACACCTTAAATAATCTTAAATTATTTTATAAAAATTTGAATAAAATTTTGGTGAAATTAGACTTTTAAAAATCTTCAATATTTTTGAGAAATTAATTATTAATTTGAACAAAATATATAAATTATGCTATATTTAGCACTTAATTGACTAAAAGTAAATAAATTAAATTTTTCTTATTTATTATAACACATTAATTATATTAATTTCAATTTAAATATTATGTAAAACTTTTAAATGAAAACAAAATTTTTTTAATTTTTAATTTATTTTTTCTAACATAAACACAAAAAATTAGATATTCTTATTTTTATTATCAGATTTTTATTTAATAGGTTAAGGTTTAACACTTTGAATACCAAATTTTTAAATGAAAATTATATTATATCATATATAAAACAGTAAATGAAACCTATAAACACAAAATAAGAGTTATCTTTTTTAAATCAAAAAATAATTATTAAATAAATTTATTAATTAGTTAAATAAATAAATAAATAATTGTTGTTTTTATTAGTTTATTTTCAATCTAATTTTAAATTTAAATGAGGATTTTATATACCATTTTAAATATTTTAAATCATTTGTTCTTTTAAGCTCTTTAAGGCTTTTCTCACATCAGGAACTTTTTTAGTCGCTATTTCTTTTAAAAGAGGAAGTAATTCAACTAGAGCAGTATCGTTTGGGTCAGAAAACCACCCTTTAATAAAGATACCATTTTCAGGTTATAATTAAAAGTTATCAGCTACATTATCAATTATAATTGTTTTTTCTAAAGGCCTTCCGATTCGAGATAGATCTTTTATAAAAACATTTCCTATGTGCACTGCATGCTATCTAAATAACCTATATGTCACATATTTATTAGGATCAAGATTATCAAGCACCCAGTTAGCATAATCTGGCATAGCAGCAGTAAATACTACAATTTCGTAATATTCAGATAAAACTTATAAAAATTAGTTAGCAAATGGACGAACAACAAATTACCCACCATTATTAGTTTCACTATAATGAACTAAAGTTTCATCTAAATCTAAAACAAGAGTGTATTCGAATTGTTTTGTATTAGATTTTTCTTCTTTTTAATATTTTATGTTAGTAGAGCTATGAGTTGCAAGTTATGAACTTTTTCTTCTATTTCCTGTAGTAAATACTTGAGGGGAGGGGGATAGTGCTTTTTTATCTGTATCTAATTAATTAAAGGTATTTCTATGGCCTTATGCATATGAATTAGGAGTAGCGCTTCTCTTATTAGTACTATTGTTACTCTATCCCTTAGTTAATTATTTACTCAGGCTTCTTTGAGTTCTATTTAGAATTTTTTCAGTATTTTGATTTTATTTTATAGGTTATTTATTTAAATTTTAATTGTTTAAATTAGATTTATCTTGTTATTTTTATGTTTAACCTTAAATATTTATTTAGTCTTCCTTTGGCTAAGTTTCAATAGTTGTTGTTTCATTTTCGTGGATGACATTATCAATATTGCTGCTATTACTGCTTGAATTCTCGTCATTATTTATTTTTTTTTTAGAAGCATTTTCTATTTTTTATAATTTTTATTTTGGTGGTAAATAAGGAGATGGACAAACTGCTAGAAAAGGGAGTGGTTAAAAACCGATATTGTTTTCTAATATCGTTAAATACAAAGCAAATATATTTAAAATCTAAATCACAGTTTCTTCCACACTCAGAGATTTTTCTATGATTTTTGAAACGTTTTAAACATGATTATAAAAATCTTTATCATGCTTAGTGGCAGTGCGATATAAATTAAGCAAAATTTCATTATTTTGTTTCATGGCTAATAAATAATCTTGGATTTTATTCATTTTTTTTCTATAAATATTTTAAGAAGCAATATCTTTGATTAAAACCAACATACTTATCAATTATTCAGGATATTATTTGTTATTTTGGGAAAATGTTTTAATATTTAAATCTTACTCATTTAAGCACATTAACTATTTATGTGATTGGAAAACTCTAGAGATAATTAGATCTATTAAGAGAATAAAGTTTAAGTGTATGTAAGATGCTATATTACGTATGTTATTAATATTGTTCATAAATGTTTTTCTATCTAAATAATTGTGCAAAAGTACAATTATTCCTAAATGCTCTAAATTCATTTAATTCCTAACAATCTTTCTTGATTTTTCATCATTAAAAAAAGTTGCAAAATTGTCAAAATTACGAGAGCGCACTAACATCAAATATTAACTGCAATAATTGACAATAGAATTATAGCATCTTGTTGCGTTTTGCGATTTAAAGCAACCGCTAAGTTCCTATTATCAAAAAATGTTATTAATAATAATTTTAAAATAAATAAAATTAAAAAATAAATTTTGTTAAAATTTACTGCTATCTGCTATTCCCATAAGATAATGGTTTAAAAATCTAGTTTACTAAGGATATCGTCATCAGTTAAATTATTACTTTATGCATAATTTAGTTAACTAAAAAAATCATCCTTTCCTTAGATAATAGCTTAATTTTGTAATTAGAAGCTATTTTAGTCTTACTTTATACTTTAAATATCTTTGGAATCCTACTATTAAATCACTTTTAGAGATTGATTACCTTCATTTTAGATACTTTAATAGTCTTTTTCCTTAGAAAGCATGTTTATTTATTAATCAAAAATTTTTTATTTTTCATTGTTATCTAGTTCTGATTATTTAATTTTTTCTTGTCCTTCTTAATTAACAGGCTTAATATCTTTATGGTTTGTATAATTGCTTTAAGATTGCACAATAAATGAACTATTAGCACTAGATTCTTTATCGTAAGCTGAAATCGACTCATTTTATTTTTAAAACTAATTAGGTAAATCATCACTGTTATTTATTTAAAGGATTTATGAGGTTTATTAAGGGATTAAACTCTAGCTGTCAATGGCATTGTTGCTTGTATTGGTATCAGTATTTTGTTGTTATTCTTATTCATTATTTTATTTAGTCGAAATATTTTTAATTGCTGAATCTTGAATTTAATTGTTGTTATCCTTCATTTTATTAGAGCTCTAATTAAGTGAGATGGGCTGGCAATTTGGTATTTGATATTTAGAATCATTATTTTTCTTTAATTCTGTGTCTGTATTTGAGAAAGATGATGAACCATTTTACATAAAACTATTATACATCTCATTTTAACTTTAAGTATTTAATTTACTTTGATTTTTCTATTCAATATTAGAATTATTTTTTTATACATAATTAGATGCCTTTTCATAGATTTATGATGCAAAATTTTCTTGAATATTTTATTATAAAGCAGATTCTTCCATTATAATTGAGCTATCAGCATTTTTTCTTTAATAAGTATTAGTTTTAATAGAATTTTCTTCTGTTTTATTAAAAATAAAAATCTGAATAAAAAAAATATAAAATAATATTTTCTTTATTTATTTATTAAAGAATTTTATTTTAATTAAAATTTAATTAATTTACCTTAAATTGAACTTGAATACTTTTTTAGAGATTCTCTTTCGTCTTTCCAATTTTCTAAATCTTCTTCAAATTACTTATTTTAAAAGACTTAGAAGGATTGGTCTAACTTAATTTTTTCAGGTGAATTAAAATGAGTGATCTAAGAACCCTTTAACTTTTTATCATCTTCGTTGATTGTAAGAGTGCAATCATTTTCATCCTCTAATATTATATCTTCTTGTTTAGTGTTTATTTTTAAATTTTAAAACTTATTTTTATCTGTTGCTTGGTTAATTGTATAGTTATTAATATTCTATTATATTGTTTCAGGTCTATTTGTATATTATATTTTATTTTAGTTCTAAAGCAAGTTATTTCCTTGTATAGGAGTTTACCTTTAATAGGCGCTTTTTATCTCTTCTAACCTTAACTTTGTATGAGTTTTATTTGTACTAATTTAAGAAACTACAGTTTGTTATTGCAAGTACTAGTTAAAGAGCAGTCTATTACTCTAATTAGATTGAGAATTAGTTGTAGTTGTTTGCACATTATAAGTAGGAGAAGTATTTTCATTGCCAATTTCACTTTAGTTTTAATTTTTTGATGGACTGTATTTTATCAGAGCTCCCTCTTTTTCAGAAAAGATTTTATAACCACTATAATTATTTTGCTTTTATAATTTAATCTTTTACTTAACATTAAAAATTTAATTCTATTTATATCTGCCTTCAAATGAATGATCATCAGATGTTTCATCATAATATTAGTTAGTTTCTATTTATTAAAGATATATATATTAAGCTAGCTGAGTTGATATGATTAAAAGAGTTTAATAAGATATTCTTCAATATAAAATAAATTTTATTAAAGTTTAAATTTACTATTTCCACTTTCTTTGCTATTATGATGGGAATAAGTTTCTCTTCTAACAGCAGCTGAATTATTTTCTTCCTATTTGGAAAGTTATCTTCCATCTATTTATGTACTTTTTTTTCTAATTTTTATTGAGGCTATGTTAGAAATTGATTTATTCATATTTGAATTAACTAAATTTTCCTATAATATTTTAGGTGTTGCTCTTCCTTACATAGAAGGCTTTGAAACCAGAATTCTATCAAATTGACTTTGAGAGCTTTTATTTGATTAAATAATTTGAGGGAATTCATATGCATCAGTGTTACTTGGTCTTCTTTTTTAATAGGTATTCTCATTTAATTTTTGAATTGTTTTTATGCTATTATTTTAAAATTCTGAATTTATTGTGGTATTCTAGCTTGTGGTTGTAAACGGTTGTTGCTGTTTTAAATTACTCTAACAAATTATATCGTTTATATTAATTGTATTATTTTATTCTTAGATATTCTTTTATTAGCTCAAATTTTATGTCATTCCAAAATGGTTTCTTTTTCCAGCAGGACTCCCATTAAGGCTCTGGTTAGCTCTTTCTCTCTTCACTTGCATTTTTTCTTTTGATATAATAATGTTAGAAATAAATATAATGACTTTATAAAAATATTCAATTTATCTTTTTAAAATTATGAAATTACATTTTTAAGCTGCTTTTATCATATTAGGTGCATCAAGATTTAAAAAATTATTCATTTTTTTAATGTTTTAAGTTTAATCAAAAGAGCTGTTTAAAACATACTGCTTTCTGTTATTGAATTGTGTTTTTACTAAATTGTTTCTTTCAACTTATGAAGTTGCAGCTTCTCTGTATAATTTTGCCATATTCAATTCATTTTGTTGTGCATTTAAATAGTTTTTATTTTCATAAATTTAATTTTCTCCATTTACTTTCTTTTTAATTGTGCGCTCTGCTTCTATGCTACTAAATTCGATATCAACATATTTATTTTAAATGCTGTTAGAATTCAACTCAGGTTAGTTTTTTTCTGAATTAAAAGGAGATAAGTAGGGAGTTTATTAAGCATCGTTAGAACTAACTTTAGATTTACATTTATCCTTTTACCATTTTTCTGCAGATTATGGTGCTGATAAAAAGGTTTTTGTTTATTGAATATCCTAATCATTAAAATCTTCTCTTCCGCTGGACATATTATCTTTCTTGAATCTATATAATAAGTTAGAAATATTAGTAATATAAAATAGAGATTGATTTATGTAGATATAAATTTTTTATAGTTTATCAAGCAGAAGAGTAACCTTAACATGAAGAAATAATTTCTAAACTAACAAACAAAAATATTAACTTAAAAAACCAACAGTTATTCTAATAAAATACTGTAAAATTTATTTAGAAGAAGCTTGTTATTCTTGTATTTTATGTCTCATGTTTCTAAAAGGTGTTATGTATTCTTTCATAAATTGAAGAAGAGAAATTAATTTTGTTTTGATTCCCAAAATTATAACAATTATTTATGGCTATTCAATAAAATATGTATGAAATTTAATAAATTTGTTAACACAAATTATTGCTAATGTAAACTTAACCCCAGCCATAATTTCTGTATTTATTCTTTTAAATGCAATTCTTTCTGTTTTTAAATTGATCTGGTTGTGGATTTGTTATTTAATTTAAGACAAATCATCAGTTTGAAACAAACTCCATAACCGAAAATTCATTTTTTTTACTTTAACAAATAAAATAAATTTAATTGTTTTTAATATGAATTAGAAAAGTGAGAAAATATAAAACTAAATAAAAAATTTAAAAAAGTTTAGCAAGATAAATTTTAATTTCAAATTAATAAAAAATAAAAATTATTTTAAACAAAAAAAATAAAAATAAAAAAAATTTTATTTTTAAATAATATCATTTTTTTATCAAAACAATTAGCATTAATTTTTTTTATCTATTTTGAATTAGTCGTTTAAGATCTGTCTTAGTAATTAATACCAGTAATATATTTTTTATTTATTTTAAAGAAGAAACTTCAATAGATTTTTAGAAATAATTAATTAGATTTATTTAAAATTTGAGGCATAGCTTTTAAAGTAGAATTTTTAAAAGTCACTATTTAAGTATTGCAAATAAAAATGGATAAACTATTTGATTTGCTTAAAAAAGAATAAACAACGAAAGAGAAATCTTAAGTAAAAGTCATTTATGACTTGAATAATAATGATTATCATAATTTTGGGCATGAGTAAATAAGATTAGATTGTGGGGCTACTTTGGTTAACACTCCTGCAGGATATATATAATTTGGAATTCCTCCTGGATGTTTAAGCGAGTTGATTAGTAAGAAACTGTAAGTTCCAATTTACTTTATTGTACCTTCAGTTAGATTTCATAAAAAATATGCTGTAAATCTTTGTGATTTTATCTATGTCGCATTCTATAACTATCTAAAAGGGAAAAAAACATATTTGATTTGCAATCCATTAACTCCAATGCATTTAAGATAAATCTTTAAGGAAATGTGGCCACAATGGGATGACTCAGTTATACATAAAGATATCGATTTTTATTCTTCAATTGATAAAAATCCAATCCCTAATTTTTAAGCAGAATTCAAATATCTAAGAAATATGCTTTCGCAATACAACTAAGAAATGCCTTTTGAAGATATGATAGATTTTATAGTAATTGATAAAAAAACAGGTAAATTTATTAAAATAAATTTTAGAAACTTGCTATCTTACTTAAACTGATTATTTAGCTACATTCAAACTTAGAAGGCTTCCCTTCATTTTCAAAAAGATATTTAAAAGTTATTAATATTGTTTAAGTTTCAGATTTTTTTAATGAATAAATGAATGAACAAAAAATCAAAATTATTTTAACTCGAAAATTATTTAAATAAAATTAATTTTTGAATGATTTAGGCTGTGAAATAGGAGATTAAATTCATATTAAGAGAAGAGGAGAAGAAATTGCTATTAATGTCAATGATATTGAAGTTGCATCTCTTCAAGATAAAGTAGACATAAATTATGTTGAAGAAGTGAACTGGGATGATATTCTTAAAAAGAAATATGATATAAACGATGTATTAAGAAAAAGCTAAATGGCTCAAGTAATTTAATGGAACAAATAATAAAAATAAATTAAATTTTTTATCTTTTTAAAAAATAATTAGACTGTTAAAAATTAATCTCTAAATTTAGATACCAGTAAGCACTTTGCTATTACATTTTTACCTAAGCTTAACAAAGACGAACTTGAAGAAGAATCAAATGGTTTTATTATTTGGATCAATGGAAGAGGACTTCTTGTTGATCCTCCTGTTTTTACAAGCTAAATACTGACCAAAATGCATATTTCAAGCAGCGTTATAGAGTGGATAATTATAACTTAAGGAAGCTCTAGAAGCGATTTAGGAGCATTTTAACTTATGTTTTAAAACTCAAAAATTGAATTGATTACAACTCGCTAAATCTATGATTCTTTTTTGAAAAAATACTCAGATCTTAGTAATATGCCAGCTGATTTCCTTAACAGAATTCTTAAGTTTAGACCTATTTCGATTGGTGCTCCATTAGTAGTAAAAACATGCAAATTCAAGTTTTTCTATACATTAAATGTCATTCCTTCGTTGGGATTCGAAGCTTAAGTTGAAAATTAGTAACTTTACTATGGAGGAGACACTATTCTGACAAAATCTGTGTAATATTAACATAAATAGAATTAAAAATAATAATTTCTAAAAATTAAAGATTAGAAGACATGAAGCAAAAAGGTGTAATTAATTAAGATAGATATAATTAAGTAAGTGAATAAATTAATATATAAGATTAATTAATCATTTTAATTTTTAAAAAAAAGATTTTAAATAAAAGTAAGTGGAAAAATTCACAGCTAAGGATGTTTTACGTAGGTGAACATCCTTGGCACACCTAAATTGAGGATTTCTTGAATATGGAAGATTTTAAAGATCCTCATTAAAGACATAAAACCCTTTTATTTACTAAAAGTCCTAGTGTTCTTAAGAAAATAGTAGGTGCAGGATTTGCTACACCATCAAGCATTGGTTATGGTGTCGACATAAATTTGTATGATAAAAAATAATCTAAAATAAAAAGTTCAGATGTTGAAAATATGAAAAAAATGGAATTATAGAAAAAAATAGATTTGCTATGCACAATTGAAATTTTTGAGAGTATATCAATAAAAAATTTTAGAGATCTTCTTTAGAGTGCAAAAGAGGAGTATTATGATCCAGGAGAATATGTAATCAGATAGGGTACAATAGGTACCAAATTTTACTTTGTCATGAGTGGAATAGTGTGTATTTTTGACGATGCGAGATCGTAAGATTACAATAAATAAATAAATTAATTTACATTTAATTTAAATACTTTTAAATTGAAAATTAGGCTGTCTAGATTTTGTCCTACTGGTAGTTATTTTGGTGAAACAGCCTTGAAAGTAGATAGTACAAGGAGAGGTGCAAAGTAATGCTCGAATATTAAATTTCAATTTATCTTACCTAAAAATATCTATTTTTTAACAGTTTTTTCACAAAATTAGCTATTTTTCTCTATTAACAAAAAATTCTTTAATGAGCTAAAAAAAGCCGTTTTTTCTGAATTAAAATAAATACTTTCATTTTTTATAATAGTGTTATAGCTGTAACTCCATGCGAACTTCTATCTTTAGAAAAGCAAGACTTCTTTTTTATTTTTGGTGAAGAAAAAGATGAATCAGCTCCTATCATTTAAAAACTATTGTCTATGTATACTTCGAGAAGAAAAAACACTGTAAATTTACTAAAGAAGTAAATTAAGAAAAATCTTTTTTAAATTTTCTAATGAGTAATTAATTATCAACTGTAAATACAAAAGGAACGAAATATTCAAAGAACTTAATGAATAATAAAAGACTGAAATGGAAATGATATTTAGAGAAGCTAAAGTAAATACAATTACGCAATTAAAATAATTTATAAGTCTTATTGAATAATAGTTTGAAACAAATAAATTGATTTGGACCAAAGGAGAAGAAGCTAGATTTGCTATATTTATCAAAGAAGGTTCTATTAAATTCAGCGATTGTGAAGAACAAAAAAATCCTGAAATGGGAGAGGGTTTCTTTATTGGTGAGATTGATTCATTAGTTAATGATAAACCTCTCACTACTACACTGATATCATTAAAACCAACAGAAGTTTTTATTGTAGACAAAAATGATTTGGTTAGTTTCTTTAAGAAAAATTTAGGTATTTTGTTAAAATTAAATTATTTAAAGTATTTCAAATGATCTTCTATTTATGTATTCTTGCTTGTTAATATTTCATATAGTCAGATGTTTATTTTGTAGAGTAAATATATTAATGTATCTATTTATCATATATCCTAAACTGTAACAATAAGAAAACAAAGTCAGTAATTATGTTAATTTAATATGTGATTTCATATAAACTTAAGTATTAAAAAATACATAATTTATTTTAAAATATTACCAAAAAATAAAAAATTTGACAACTAAAAAGTAATCGAAAAACTAAACAATATGAATAGCTTTGAAAGTAATTCATTAAGTCAAAACAATAGGAGATAAAATTCACTCTTACAGTCTCAAAGTCAACCAAAATTATCAAATAGATAAGCTATAAACATGATAAAACTTTTGAATAGATACTCAAACCCTTAACACTCCCAAGATTTAACTCCATTATTAAATTCTTAACGTAGTAACTCTTAATATGGTTAACATTATTCATCTATATAAAGCGGAAAATTCAATAGAAAAAGAAGTCTTCAATATAATAAAGAAAATGATCCAAATTATGTAAATCAAAGAGTTCACTTAATGCTAGAAAAAGAAATATAAAGCCTTAAATCTGATCTGAATAGACTGAGAGCTTATGAATATGAGCAAAATAAAAAATATGAAGATTATTATCTAAATATGATGAAAGAGCAATAGAAATACCCTCCTCCAAGTTTTTTCTTTGGAGGATCATAAACATTTCCATAAATGGGATAGCCTGCTTTTTTAATGTGACAACGATAGCAAATTTTCTTTTCCCTTGATAATGAAAAAAATGAGCCTATTTATTTATATATACTAATAAACTATAAAATAGATAACATAAACTTCTATTATTAATTAATTCTTGTATTATTAATTACTATTACTACATAATTACATAAATTTGTTCAATTAAATATAAAATTTTCAGAATAATAAAATACACTGATTTCAATTACCATTAAATTATTTGATCTCTTTAAAATTAAATATGGTTTAAATTATAGAAATTTGTTATTTTCCTTATCATAAATTTAAAAGAATGATAATAAAGATTTAATATTGCAGTGTAAATACCTTATACCATTATTTCTTAACACAATTAATTTTTAGTAATATTTAATAATAAAAATATTTGTTTTCTAAAATGATTTTGTAATTTTAGCTAATTTTTTAACGATTGATTGATTGATTTAAGGTATATAAATATTTAATATTAAACTAAAATTAATAATAAATGAAATGTAAATAAATGACTTTCTTATTAGTAAATAAAATATTAGCTAAAAACAAAAAGATGAAACTGTTAACTAAACTAAGTACTATATTTAAATAAAATAATTAATAAGTGGAGTTATATATTGATAGATTTAATTAATCTTTATTTGTATGTATAATTTTAATATAGTTTTGTATAAATCTTATCAATAATAATAAATATTTTCATAAAGCAGATAGCTAGCTATATATATTGCATGACAAGCTATTCAAAACTCGCTTTCTTAATATATTCTAGTTATTATACCATTATATAGATAAATCGATAGATCTACTTTACATAATATTAAAAGATTCTTTATTTTAGTAAGTATAATTAATAACATATTGAGTTATTCAAAAAGCGAATTAATTCAACCAGCTAGCTAGCTAAGGCAAGCAAGATATTTACTTTTTAGTTAGTTATATTATAATTAACTTGAGATATTACTAAGAGAGTATGATTATAATTTATATTAAATGGGTTTTTCACAACTTGCTACTGTAGCCCTTGGAAGCGTTTCTAGGACCTTCTCTAACTCTTAACTAAACGCTAGATGGGAGTTTGCTAATATCGTGAGAGTTTTCAATAATTCTTCTAAACATCTTACTAACATCTCTACGGCCTCTGCCTTTATTAATCTTCCAGTCTTTAATAAGATAGCCACGTTGGTATTTTCCACCGTCTAGCTTAAGAGTAATCTTCTCTTATCTAGGAGTATTTATCTTTTAAACTAAGGTATAATCTTCTTCGCTCAATATATTCTTTGAAGGTTTACCTACATCAACTTCTCTATATCTTTTAAAGCTGAGAGTATGCATACCTTTTTCTCTTTCAGCTAATTCTTCCAAATCAATACCATAATCTTACCATCCATTCTATTTTTTAAGTATTTTCAATTATCAAAAATATTAAACAAACAATTTTAAGTTTAATTAATTAATTTATTTATTTATTACTTCTTCTTCCCATTCCTCTTCCATTTCTTAAGCCATGTGAATAGCAAGAGCATCAGCCTTGGGTAAAATCTAAAAGTAGTATTTTTCGCACATCCAAATAACAGCTTTAGCTCTTTCAGGGACAATACCGTATCTAGTGCAAATATCTTTAATACTCCAGCCTTTTTAATACCTTTAAAAAATAAATTAAAATAATGAAATAAAATGATATATAATTTTATAATTTTTAGTTACAATTCATAAATATCATCTCTAGCTTTGCAAGAAAGACGTCCATCTTCAGTGTCATCTTCTTCAAAAGGATCCTTTTCATTTTCACCTTCCAATTCTTCAAGGAAAGGTACATATTCGTCATTTTCCTTTCTCATAATATCAGCAATCTTCCACTTAAGTAAATGCTTTTCATCTTCAGTAATATTAATTTCATTTTCTTCAATAATTTCTCTAACTTCGTCAAGATCCTCATCATCATCAATTTCCTTTTTACCTTTTAAGGAGTTAACCCATTTTTCAAGCTTATAACCAGCAAATCCAGATTGCTCAATATCAGGTAAGTGAGTTTTCATTGATTTTAATTTTGCAAAGTTTTTATCAAAAGAGCTGTAATTACCATATTATGAGTTAATTTCATCTTTTTCAAAGAAATCAGGGATTTGCTTAGCGCTAATAAAATAAAAAATGATTAATTTATTTGAAGTAATAAATGGTTAATTATAAAGTAAACTAATGATCATTTTGTTTGGCTTTTAATTAATGTAAACATCTATTAAAATATATATATTATATCTTTTTTTAATATCTACTACTTGTAAAGCAGTAGATTTAATATTTTCTCTACTAAATTGCCTTTTTTAAAGCATATTAATAGGCTAATTTAAAATTCTAAACTCTTATTATTTATTGCATATTCCTATAAAATAATTTATTACAATAGTTATTTCTTTATATTAGAAGCACGATATAAGAATTCATCATGAGTTAAACCATCATGAAGATAGTTATCAACAGGATCTTCAAATTCTTCAGCACCTAAAGTTTCCTTTTCATCTTCTTCCTTACCAAGCATACTTTTACGTAACTCTGTCAAGATACCACCTAACAATTTAATAAAAAGAATTATAATTACCATGCTAATTTAACCCTTTATTTTAATATATACCAAGCACTTTCATTGAAAAATATTAAAAAATTTAAAAAACAATATTTATTATGAAGTAGAAAACATGCTGGTATTAATGCAATATCATTTAGAATAGAGTCTATTGAGTTGATTTTCGTAATAAAAAGGGTTTTTTCATTAAAAAAAGCAAAGTTTTAAAATAAACAAAATATTTTTGAAATTGAAAATACCATTTTAAAATAATTCTTCTTTAGCTTCTTCATATTCTTCGTTAATTGCTTTCTTGATATATTCTGGATTCATTTATTAAAATCTTTCATCATTAGTTTTGTTTTTGATATACTTTTGTTTAATCTTTTCATCAAAATCATTTCTGAAAGCAGACATTCTTGCGAAAGAAGACTGCTTGGAATAGCTAAAGCATTATATCTACTTATTTACTAATATCTTTATAGCTTTCTAAATCATTTTTATTCTATTTAATAAGACAAAAGAAGAAGATTCTTGAAATACCTCAAATATAAATTTAATTTTTCTTTATTTTTAATTTCTTTCTCTTTCTTTCTTTCCCTTAAGATTTACTTGCTTAATTCAAATAAACTATCAATGGAATCTTTTAAGATTCTGAGATAATTCTTTCTCATCTCTACATTGTATGTTTATTTATTTATTCACTTATTTTTTGTTTGTTTGTTAATGTGATTTTGAAAGAAAACATTTTCAATGAATGATTGTGATTGGCTGAATAAGCCAAACTTTTTACTTTAATATAATCAATAATAGTATAATCAAACAAAAATTAATTTAACAATTTTATTTTAACTTTATTAAAATTATTTTGAAAATGCAAAATTATTATCTTAAATTTTTAATTTATAATCAAGTCATTTTTTCAGTTTTTTAAAAAATATTTTTATTTAATGTAACTATATATAAACAGATCAAAAATTAATCTTTATTTTAAAAGTAATACTAACAATCTAAATTCAAATAAGATTTCAACTAAGATATTTAAGATTGAATAAGTGATATAACTCTTCATTTTCTTTAAAAAGTATAATTATTTATTTATTTACTTATTTTTTGTGGAGTTGGTGTGATATTGAAAATATTTCTAATGAATGACTATTGATGGTTTGCTGAATAATCCAAACCTTTTATTTAGCAGTATTATATGATAGGACAAACAACAATAATTTTATGAATACATTAAAATTTTTAAATTAATTTTCTTAAAAGTGATTCTTAAAAGATCAAATTTATAATTTTAACTGATTATTTAAATATAATTAAGTTATTTTTTCAAGTTTTTAATAAATATTTTTTTTATTTATATAGACAAATATATCAAAATTCTTATTTATTTTTATTTTTATAAATTAATATAAATAATATAAATTGTTAGTCTGTAACGAGTATATATTTCTTTACATTTCAATAATCGAGAATATCTGATGTGTCACTGAATAATTATTTTACAGCCTTTTCTTTTCTATCGTTTTTGACTCTCATTCTATTTTCTTTATCTTAAATAACTTCTTTTTACTTATCTTTATATTTCATTTTAAGTAACTTTTCTTTTTTGTTCAATTCTTCAACTTTCGATTGCTATTTTTTAAAATAAAAATATTTTTATTTAATGATATTTATTATAATTAATCATTACCCTTTGTGAAAGTTTAGCTTAAAGTTTATCTAATAATTAAATAACCCTTGTATTCTTTTGATCTTAAACTTAAATTCCTGAAAGAGCAGATCTATTAAAGTAATGTAGTGAGGTATAATCTTAGTCATTATTATTATTATATATTTACTCTCCTTCTCTTTTGCTTTTCATTTGGCTGAATCCATTTGAATTAAATTGTGGATCATTTAAAATAATTTAATTGGGCTATTAAGTGTTCATTTAGGAATCTCTAATACTTTAATACTATCTATTAGTTGATGAAGGTGAGTTGTATTTTTAATAGTTAAAAGAAGATTTTCCAGATAATTAATTCTAGTGATTAGTTTCTTTTTATGGCTCCTTAGGGGATGCTGTTTGCTATAACTTATAAATAATAAATTTAATTAAAAATATTTAATAATTAAAGATTACTTTTTCACCAGCTTCAATCTAAGCTTGTTATATTTAGTTTAAGCTTTTAAGCAAAGTCTTAGAAAGGCTTTACTCCAACTCTTAAAGCTTTTTGTCTAATACATTATTGACAATCTATTAATTAACATTATATAATATTAATTTAGCTTAAAAAGTAATAATTATTTACATTTGAAATAGACTTCTCTTGGTCATATGCTAATTCTTATCGAGGACTAACTGAAGATTGGTGATATGAGGAGTTCTTTCTTGGCAAATACTTTTCAAGTATGTCTTATTTTGTATTAAGGGTTGCAGCAGTTGTACTTTTTTGAGGTTCTTACTTTTAGGATGGAGTTGCATTTCCATTTTTATTATTTGAAAAAAGTAAATCTTCTTTTAGCAGCTTTTCCCCTTAAGTTAATTAATGATTATTTACATAAGCTACATCTTTTTCTACGTTATGTAATCTCTCGTGCACTTCTTCTTTAAAAAGACTTAAACTCTCAGCTATTAATGCTACTTTTTCTATTAATGCATTCTTTGTGTCTTACATTTTTTCAACAATCATTCCCAAATTAACAATTTACTATTTTGCAGTATATAACTCAGTTTGCAATTTGTTTATTTCTTCTTTATACTTTTATTCCATATTTACCCAAGCTATTCTCTCATTCTGATGTACAGGTTGTACTGAGATCTATCCTGAGCTTTTAAGTGACTTTGGATTGCTTTATATTCTATAATTTTACTCATATCCATCTTACAAAGACTTATTATCTGCATTAAAATCAGCAGTATTCTAATATTAATTAGAATTATTTATGATCCTCTTTCCTTCCTATGATTTATGTTGAGCTACTTGACTTTAAGAGTTTTTAAGGTGTTAGTTTTTAACAGAGCTATTTTTTCCAATATTATATAAAAAATTTTAACAAGTTAATTTATGAGATTAAAATAAAATTACTAAAATTCATTAGGAATTACATATTTATCAAATTCTTGTTAGTTAGAAGTTGCATTATTGCTTAAATTGTTTTAATTGTTTTTTTAAGCAGAAAAAGACATAATATTATCCACAATCTAATGGGGTTGGTACATTTAGTTTAGGCTATTATTGTTTGGATCCACGAATATACTTCTTGTATCCTCCATTATGTTTTATCTTTAATAATCTTATGGGACTATATTATAGTTCTAATAGCTTACCTAATTATTATTAATCATACTACCACTCATTATTTTATAATCTTCATCTACTCCACTATTATTAAATTAAAATTTTGATTAATTATTATGATTATTCACTTAAAAGGTATTGGTCATCTGCTATTAACCCATCAAAGCATCTTATTAAGGTCCTTTATGCTAAACGTTCTACTAATATTGCTAAGGTTAATCATCCTAATAGCTAAAATTCTAGTTTTCCATTGGTACAATATTATTTTAGTATTAAACATATTATTATGGATTATAGCCAGAAAATTAATTATTAGAAGGACTTCTCCTTTATATGGTTTATTAAGTTTGCTGGTTTGAAAAATTTAGTAAAGTCATATTTTATGGAGAGCTCTATGTTTGTATATCTAAATACTGAATAGGACTTGTACGTATTTAAAGAAGATCTTTTGAGTTAGTATTTTGGGAAATGCTCATATTTTTATTAGTGGGAGATATTACTTCAGTCTGATGTACTAAACTTTACTGTGTAAGATTGCTTAATTTATTTAGTTTGACCAAAGGATTATCTTCTAAAATATATAACCTATTCATATAGACTTTACTCGCACCATGAGTTTCTTTCACATTAAACTATTTTTTATTAATGAGATTGTTTTGAAAAAATAAATTTCTTTGAAAAATTGGTTTTACTTTAATAAAGTTATATCTTTTTCCTAAATTATCTATCGAAAAAAGTTGAACGCCAGCTTTCTATGTTTTATTAAAAAGTTTAAGATAACAATCGTTTATAAAATCTAAAAATATTTTATATTTATTCCACTAATCAAATTTTATTTTTTTAATAAAAAACAAGTGAAAATATTTTAAAATTTCATTTAACCATGAATTTTATCTTTGTATATAGTTAATTATTTATTTATTACTAATTCTGCCCTTAGTGTGGCCCAAGTAACGAAATTAGATCCATCAGTAGATACTGAAATTTCGATGACTGCAGGATTTGTTGAATAATCATGCCAGCAATCAAATCCAACACACTTAAAATATCTAGGTTTTTATTACAAATTTGATAAATCGACAACTACACTTTAGGGAAGCCCTTCTTCTGACATCCATATGGTCTTTGAATATAATAAATTTAGTAAAATAAATAAATATTTTCTTTAAGCTAGATTTATAAAGTTTTAGAGATTGGCAACCAAATACTCATTAACTAGCCATTTATTTTTTATCAATAATTTGACTTTATCAAAATAAGAATTTTACACTTCTAACTGAATTTAATAGGTTTTGTGGATGACACTTATTGGTGTATGAAGACCATTGACTTATTCTAGCTCCATTTTATTCAGTACAATAATTAACTGCTGAAACGCCGCCTTCATCCTATAAAAGATTTTAATCTCTTTCTGTATGTATGTTTATTGTAGGATTAAGTGTATGTTAGCTATTTATCATTGCTGTATTAATTTGTTATTAGTTTTGTAGAGTTTTCGGATTTATTTAAGCAGCTCCACCATATATTTACTATTATTAGATCTAATTTTAAGCTATCGTATTTGATTATACTGGGGTACTCATTTATAGCTAACTAAGCTAATATTCTTTTGTAATGGGACTTGGATAATTTGTCATAACGCTTCTTTAATCATCAGGAAACAGATTTTATTAAAAAGAACTTTATTCTATTGAAGGTTAAGCCATTTATCTATTTATCATTTGATTATTTTAATTATGATTTTCTTAATCAGGCTGAGCCACATATTAATTTTAGATCAATCCTTACTAAGGAGGATATTTAATTTATCTATACTAGTCTTCAATAGCTTAATTTATTTATATTTGTTTTTGATTGAACTAATCAAACTAAAATACTGACATTTTTATCTATTGAAATACTAGCTTTTGATTTTAGATAACTACTTGCTTACTTATAAATTATTAAAAATTGACTGAATTATTTTTTAAAAAAATTTAAAAAATAACAAATAAATCTAGAAATGCAATAACTAAAATTTGATTTTGATTTTTATTACACAATAAATTTCAAGCATTTAGTAAGTAAATATCTTTTTTTAATTTTTAAAAAATAAAAAACTATTCAATTAATTTGTTAATTAATTTTAAAATATTATTTCATTCAAAATTAAAAAAATAAATAAATAAAATAAAATTAATTTATGAATTATATTGATTACATAAATATTAATTTGCTTATTTATATATAAGATATTTAATTTAACATTTTGATTTATTATTTCACACAAATATTCAACAGAACTCTAATTTTACAACTCTTTTCATATGCTTTTTTACAATTAAATGCAATTTATCTAATCTTTCTGTAAACCACCTTCTATTCCAATTTGAAAAATTAAACTTAAATGAAAAAATATGAGAGTTTTTTAACTAATCCATAAGCATTTCGCATGATTCAAACTCATCATTTTCATGTACTTCAAGCGATAAATCGTAAATTAATCTTTAACTACTTAGATATTTACCTAAAATAATATACTATCCCGTTAAATCTTCGTGATGGTTATTTAAAGATATTGTCAATTACTGTAAATTAGTCTATTTTATATTATCATTTAAATCTTTAAAAAATTCTATCTCTTTTATATCACTATTGCTTGAATAAAAATCTAATCTAAGCTTTTTTAAATTAGACATTCCTAATAGTTTTTGGGCCCATTCTTGATAATTAGTGTCTTCGTCTAAGTGACAAAAAGTTAAGTCTAGCTCCTAGAGATACTTGTTTTTGACTATCTCCTCAACAAAAGAAATATTATCAAATAAAACTGTATAGTTTAGACTTCGAATATTTTCTAATTGTGAAAGTTGTTGTGAAAACATATGATTTGCTTATTTTTCTAGTTTTGTTGAATCTAATTTTAATTTTAATTTTAATATTCTTAAAGATTACGATTGTTTCAAAGACTATGTAATTGAATAAAGTTCATCACCTCCCAAATTTACATAAGAATAGTAAAATGTTAAACTTTAAATGCAAGTATGATCTCTAAAAAAGCTAAATAGATCATCTAATTGAGTTGCTGATGTCTTTACTCTATAAAAATCAAAAACGATTTCTTTTAATTATTTAGCTTGCTTGATAGATAGAGAAAGAGAACCAAAATCACTTTTATTAATTTATAAGTCTCCTAAAATTAGCTCAATTTTTTTTAAATTTTCAATTTAGTGCAAATGTTAAATAAGTAAGCTAAATCCGCAATCTTAACTGAATCTAAAATTGTGCAATCTAACTTATAAGCATGAATCTTAATTTAATTATGTAGATTACTAAGAATAAGGTATATACTCATTATACTCAAAATTTCCATAATGACCATGATTAAAATGAAACAATTAAAATTTAAAACATTTTAGTGAATTGGATTATTCTAAACATTTAGTTATGGCTAAACATTCTACATGACTTAATATATTTTAATTTATTTAAAAATAAAAGCTATTAATACTAGGATGGAGGCCAATCGAACTAAATAAGCAGTTAAATTCACTGGTAGATATTTTAGCATCATTAAACTCAAAAGAAATTTCTTTCAATTTGGTTATCTGTTAGATGACTTCAGCTAGTGATCCAACCGTGTCTTCATTAATTTATTATTGTTCTAGTTTTAAAGTGAGTTTTTTTAAGTCTTAAAATCCAGATAAATGTGAAAAAAGTAAGCTAATTCCATTTTTTTAGACAAATTCTACATTTTTCAAATTAATATTTAAATCAAAAATTTTTTAATCCCCTTCTTAATTTAAGAGAGACTAAATATCATCAATTTTTTTGTTATTTAACGAAATGATCATTTCTACAAACAAAGATATTTTTTTTTCTACAAAATATCAAATATAATTTTCATTTATTTTTGCTTTTATATCAATATTTATAAAAAAAATAATAACTTGATATTCTTTCCTCTATTAAATCTTCAGAATACATCAAATTATTAGATATAAATAAATCTTCTTCTATTTTCAAAATATAGCAATTAAAGCACATTAATAGTTTCAAATAGAAATTATGTTTTATATATTAAAATAATTATTATTTTTTTAATTTTATGTTTAAGAACTATTTCTAAGTTAATATTTTATGAGTCAGTATCTATGTATCTTTCTTTCTATCCATTTATCTATTTTTTTATTTATAATATTTATTTCATATTTTTAAATCCACTTTAATTTTCTGTTTGTATAAAGAATAAATAAAAAATTTTTTATGGAGGGAATCCACAACAATACATACTAATTATTAGGTCCAATAAAATGAATTCTCAACTGATATGTAAAATATATAAAATGGGTTAGAGGTTTACCAAATTTAAAAACTCTTTTTTATTTCTATATTTTTATAGCTGAGAGTGCTTTTTTAAATATTAAAAATATATTTCGAAGGAGATATACCTTTGAGGATTTATAAATAGGCTAATAAAAAGTTATGAATTTTATTATAAATATTTTATGATATGTAGTCCTTCTTAAAATTAAATATATTCTATAAGTCTTTAATTAAATTTTAATAATTCAAAAATAGAATATATAACACTCACTATCTATTCTAACTGAGATACTTTAACATATATTTTTTAAAATTAAATGAACTATAACTATATTTACAAATAACATTTAATAAATTATTTATCTCTATTTTATTTATATTCCAAAAATTGACCGAATATTATTCTTTAAAACTTTACTAAATAATTTTTTATTTAAAAAAGTTAATTAAAACAGTTAGAGTCTAATTAGCCTGATTTAAAATAATCTAAATAAAGTTAATATTTAAAAAATAATTAATTTTATATTAAATTATCTATGATACATTTAATTATTATAAAATTTTCCTTAAGTTTTATTAAATTTTAATTAATATATTTTTTTGATTTTATAAATCAATTTATTTTTTTTAATTAAGAGTTAAATAATCAAAACAAGTTTGAATTTAAAGTTTTATATACATTAAATATTACTTTTTTAATCTTTAAAATTAGATTATATTAACATTTAATTTCAAAATAAATTATGTAAAAATGAGTATTATTAGATAAATATTTATTTTACATTTTTAATGAGATTTATAAAATAAGCATCACAAATAGAAGTTGATTTATTAACCTAAATTTTTTTGTGAAAAATTTAAAGAAACTTGTAACAAAGACATTATTATGGTATAATAGCTTTAAAAAATAAAAAAATAACATCGTTCAAATAATAATTAAATATATTATGTTCTCTCATTTATTTATTTGCATTTATTTATTTATTCAAGTAAAATCAAAAGAAATTTACATACATACTTTGTAATTTGGAAATTTACGATAACAAAATTTTTATTAGATTATTCATTTGATTAAAATTGATTATTTTTTGCACTTGAAAAGAAAGGAAGAACTTACTATAAATAAAATTCAAAAAACTAGCTATTTCAATAAAATAATTAATATAACAATAAAAGAAACAAAATCAAACAAACAAACAAAAGAAGGAAAAATATTACATCTAAACAAATTTATATATAATTAAGCAAAACATTGTTATGAATTTCTTAAATAAATCTAAGAACGGAGCTGCTAGCGGTAACGATGATGAAAATCCTCACAAGGATTCAGAGGTTGAAAATGTGGTAAAATAAATGTTCATTTTATTATAAAAATAGGAGAAAAATATAGAAATCTATCTTTATTTTCATAATTATTAGAGATAAAGTTTTAATGAATCGTTAATTTAATTTGGATATTGTAGAAGATGATAAAATGCAAAAATTATCAATTGAAGTTAAAATTGATAGCAAATCTCTAAAAAAAAGCTATAAATAAAAATAAATAATACTTTAAAAATTAATTTATATTAGCTGATTTCCTAAAATATTTCATAATTTATTCTAGGGTGATAAAAAAAAACTACCTGTTACAGCAGAAGGAGAAACTATCTATGAAAATATTGCACCTGTCCCTAAAAAGAAAACACCAAACGATAACACATTTATTATTACATGCTTAAAGAATCACTTCGTCTTCTATAATTTAAATGAAGCTGAATTGTAAATAAATTTTATTTTTTTTTACTAAAAAGCCTAAAGAGTAGAATTAACTATAGTATTTGATATTTAATTCAAAAGTTATTTGTTAGCAGTGATTTATTTAATAAAGAAAAAACAAGCGAACAAACGAACTAAAAAACATTTAATAGAAAAAGAAAATGAAATGAATTTTTATTTAAAAAAAAAGGGAAAATATTGTAAAGAAAATGTTCTACTGTGAAGTTCCTATGAATGATTTCATATTCAAATAAAGCGACAATGCAACAAGCTTTTTTATATTGGAAAGAGGTGCAATGGAAGTTATAGTAAATGAAAAATCAAAGAGAGAATTAAAAGCTGGTGATGGTTTTGGTGAGTTAGCTCTACTTTATAATGCTCCTCGTTCTGCATCTGTTAAGGCTTTAGATCATTGCTATTTGTGGGGAATTGATAGAAATACATTCCGTAGAGCAGTTGAAGAAATGATTACTAAAGAATATGAAGAAAATCGTAAATTCATGGAAGTAGTCCGTTTTTTCCGTAATTAATAAAAAACAAACCATTTATAAATTTAATTACTAATTTGGCTTTTTAAAATATAAAAATTTATTTTCTTTCCTAAACCTTTAAAAAAAACTTTAATTCAAGTTTGTTTTTTCATCAAAAATGCTTGCTTCCCACAGTTTTTTTAATTCAATATTTTATTACTCTTTTCAATTAGAAAGAACTTAACTAGATAAATAAATAGCTTTTATTAAAGCTTATTTTACTATATTGGAAATTTAGACTATACACAATATTTCCAATTTATTTCAAGCTTAACAAACTTAATATAAATTGAAACATAAAATCTATAAATATCATTTCAAAATTATTTTACGCAACAAATAATTAAATTTAATAAAATTTAAATAGACAATCTAACTAATGAACAAAAAGATGCTATAGCTGCAGTTCTTATTGTGTAAAAATTCTATAAAAACTAAGTAATTGTCACTGAAGGTGATCCTGCTTCTTCTTTCTACATTATTAAAGAAGTAAATAATTATTTTTTTAAGGATACTTTTTCATATTATTTTAATCGTAGGGTAATGTCACAGTATGGAAAGGAAATAAGGAAGTAAGGAAGCTTTACAAAGGTGACTCATTTGGTGAATAAGCTCTTTATTATAATACAGTCAGATAAATGACAGTTAGAGCTGAAGATGAAGTAAAATGTCTTGCCTTAGGTAGAGATACTCTAACAAAAGTTTTAGGTGATCAAGTACACGCCGTTACTTTTAGAAATCTTCAAAAATGGGCATTTGAAAAGAACAATTATCTTTAAAAGCTTAACAAGGCTTAAATAGACAAGGTCTTAGATGTTATGAAAATTTCATCTTACAAAGCAGGTGATATTATCATGAAGAAAGGTACTGTCGCCAATCAAAAAATAGTAGTTATTATTGAAGGTTCTCTTAAGAAAGCAAAGAGCGGTATGACTGTCGCATCCAAAGCTCAAGCCTGGGGTGAAGAATATATGCTTGATTAAAATAAAAATAAAACTTTTGATGATGATATCGTTATGGAAACAGATGGTGTCATAGCAGAAATAACATCTGAAAACTTTGTAGAGTGTATTGGCGGTTAATTGGAAGAAATTATCTCTAACAACTAAAAAAATTAAGAAGTAATTAAAAAATTGATTTAAATTCATAAAATGAATATCTTAATTTTTACAAACAAAGAAAAAAATGATGAAAGCAGATCAGGCCAAGAGAAAGGAACTTTAAAACATCAGAATGTCTGAATTAATTTACATCAAAACTCTTGGTAACTAACTAACTAACTTAAAATAAAATATTAATATTAATTAATAATTTAAAAAAACAGCTTTTGGGTAGTTTGGTCCTGTTTATTTAGTTAAAGCAAACTATGATAAGAATTTATATGCCTTGAAGAGTTTCAATAAAGTTCAAATATCAGAGCAAAGTTTAGAAAAATACATATGCGTAAAATATATTTTTAGGAGTTGGATTAAATTTTAACATTATATTCTTATTAAATAGCAAGAAAAAGTTGTACTTGAAATTGTTAACTTCCCATTTATTATTTAATACGCCAGATCATTCAAGGATTCATTTGACGTTTATTTCTTAGTTGAATATGTTAAGGGTATTGAGTTGTTTGATGTTATAAGAGATATTGGTTTATTAAATACATATGATTCTTAATTTTATGTTGCTTCTATGATTCTTATCCTTGAATATCTCCACCACTAAAACGTTATTTATAGAGATATGAAACCTGAAAACATCATGGTTGATGAAAATGTAAAAAACTAAAAAATATTATTTTTAAGAAAGTAAATTAAATTTACATTTTTACTTTTACTTTTATTTTAGGGTTACTTGAAATTAATTGATTTGGGTACTGCTAAATTCTTAAAAGGAAGACATGGTCTTGGTAATAGAACATTCACAATTATAGGTACTCCTCATTACATGGCTCCTGAAATTATTTGTGGTAAAGGTTATAACTGCTACGTCGATCTCTGGTCAGTTGGTATTTGCCTTTATGAATTTATGTGCGGTATGGTACCTTTTGGTGAAGAAGCTGAAGATCCATATGAGATTTATGAAGATATTATTAAGAAAGAAATCAACTACCCAAGCTACTTAAAGGATAAAAAGGCTAAGAAGTTGATGGATCAATTGCTAAGTAGAGTTCCTGAAGTAAGATTAGGTGGTTCTTATCAAACTCTTAAATCTAATCCTTGGTTCGAAAACTTCGATTGGGTAATTTAAAATTTATTTTAACGCTTGGATTTTTAATTTAAATATTTTAAATATAAAAGGATAAACTACTTGATAAGGAATTAAAGGGTCCTTATATTCCACCTTCAGAAAAATTGCTTAGCGACAAAGATATTAAAGAATTCGAAGAGCACAAGAAATTAATAATAGATGAAATACAAGTAAGTTTAAATAAATCAATGATCAATTTAATTAAGATTTTACTTTTATAATAAAACAGTAAGAATAAAATGTTAGAGCTATCGAAAAAGACAATAATAACGAAACTAAGTGGGATGAAAATTTCTGAAACAAACAAATAAAGTGCATCATATATATACAACTTAGATATTTATTATTCAACCTATGTCTCAACTTAATCAATTTATAAAAACTCCTTATATAAAATAGTCTACACTAGAATGCTTAAAAAATCTATTTTTAAATAGTGCTTCTTATTATTCTCCACTTGAGAAATAAAAATTGTATAATAGTAAAAGAAGTTTAATAAGAATAAACTTGATAAAAAACGAAAAAATTATCAACCATATTCTCATTTAATAATAATAAATTGATTGATTGATTTCAAGAATAAAACTCTTGATTTATCTATCAATTTATTCATCCATCAATCCTACTTGCTTTATAAATTTATTAGATAAAAATGAATAAAATTCAAACCGAAATAATGGTAAAAATTTACTGTTATCTTAAATAAAATATAAAATGTTTCATTCAAATATTATCAATTAAATAAAATATATATATTATATCCTTTACCTATTGTAACTTTTTCCTAATTTACCTTTATTCGGTACACATTTCTTTGAATTTTTAAATAAATTAGACTATTTATTATTATTATGCACACACAATTTAAATTAATTGATATAGTTTCTTAAAATATTTTAAATTAACTCTAACACTAAATGCATTTATTAATTATAGAAAATAATTTATTTAGTTTTTTGTATCAATATTTTTTTATGAAATCTTTTGGAAAGCAGAACTTATTTAAGACTTCTTGTTCATTTTTTTTAAATTATCTTTTCTTTAACGCTTCAATAAATAAATGAGTACAAGCCAATCCAGCATAACCAACTAAGTAATTTGCAGGAAAGAAAATGGAAAAAAGGCCAGAAAAAAATGCTAAGTTCAACATCTTTAGCTTATTTGGATCGTTACGAAGGTGGATAAGCATAGGATGAGAGCTGTTTTTAAGGAGTGAATAATTTACAATCATTATACTAATTGGAAATAGAAACATAGGATCATAGGTGGCGATATTTTCCATCCAAAATAACTTTTCTAAATTTAAAAAATTGCTGTTGAATGTGGTTGAATAAAATTTAATTTTAATAATTTAAAAAATAAAATAAATTACCCTATGCAAATCCCTCAAATTAATGTGAATGTTAAGTTATGTGATTAAGTGCTCTGTAAAACGAAAGAATAAAATAACTCTAATTTAAAAAGTAAAAGTCTGTTTACGTAAATTGTTTAATAATATAAATAAACTACGTTAATTCCTTAGCTCACAAGAGAATTTAGACTATAAAATTTCTTCAATTTATCTGATTCCTTTTATTCTAATTACTAATTTTAAATTGATTAGCTATGTTCTTAACATTTTAGTTGAATTTACATAGAATTAAACATCTTTTTAGAGATCTTTAAGAAAGACTTCATTTATGCCTTTTTCAATCAATCGTTCTTCTCTTTACTTTACAGGAAATTTCTATTTATAATTTGTAAATAAAAATTTGAACAAAGAAAAGAAACACAAATTTTTAGATTATTTTAATATATTTTGTTTACATTTACAACGTATTTTGTTAATTCAAACCCTAATCTTAATCCTATCGATGCTAAAAAGATAGAGGAGCTCCATGGCATCATTAAATCAAAATGAAATAATTTTATACATTCCTTAATAATTTATTAATTATCAGTAATAAACTTAAATTATGTTTTTCATTCATTAATGTAGATTACAATATCAAAATTTATAAGCGAGTTGACTGCTAAAGAATCGATTGGCCTACCAAGCAGACTGTTGTAGTGATATATATTTTTTTAATGCAATTTTTTTGAAGCTAACTTTTAGAAACTTCTGCTCAAAATCATTTTTTAAAAGGATTTTTATGTATTTTAAAACAAAGTAAATTATTAAAACTAGTTATATATCTAATGTATTGTATTTAAATATTTAAGAAATGTTTAGATCAATAATTTGAAAACTATAAAAATAAATTTACAGAAATACAATCTAAGTAAGTATTTTTAAAAATCTTTTGTTTTAATGAAAATAGAAGTATTGATTGAGATATTAATTAATTTATTTATTTATTGAAAATTATTTCTACTTAAAAGTTTGATACAATTCATATGTAGAATAAATATTAATTTAATACATTAAAGTTTTTATATTAAAATTATTTAATAACTTATTTTATTATTGTGTATATGGAATATTAGTTATTGATTTTTGAGAATTGTTATTAGTAATGAATGTTCCGTATTCATCATAAGCTAATTGTCTTCGATCTGCTACATGTTTCAATTCTATTTTAATATTATTAAATAAATTTAGCTTTAGCTATTGAATAAATTTGAATAAAGAGAGGAAGATTAACATATCAAAATAACTAAAAATTAGTTTGATATGTATAAATGAGTCGTCAGTTTCTTGGTTATTCTCACAAACGAAAAGTCGTTTCAGAAGGCGTCCTAAGAAATATCATCAGCATACTGCATTTATTTATTTTGGTTTCTCATAGTTTAATGAAAAACAACACAAAAGATCTTCCTCTATATATCAAAAATTAATTAAGTACCTTATTTTCTTAGGAACTTGTAAATGTTCTAAGCATGAGATCGTAAGGAAGAATATGTTAGCTCTTTGTTTATCTAATTCTTTTTAAAAAAGCAAATTTAATAAAATTAATAAGCAAATTTCTTTTTCTTCTCCTAAGAGATTTACATATATAAAGTAGTAGTTAATAACTAAGAAGCTAAAAACTACAAAAACTAAGATAATGAAGTAATTCTGCTAAGTCAGTAGGGGAAAGAAGGTTGTTTTCAAATTTCTTTCAAGAGAGTTATAATCAGCGTTTCTAATCTCATCATTAGCAGATATTTATCATTATATTTCTTAGTTTTTTGTTTTATTTCTACGAGTTTTAAATGTATAGTAATTAAATATCTACCTTTTCATGAAATTTATTTATGAGTAAATTCAAATCATTTCAAATCTTTTAAGAAAGAAAGGAGGAGTGAATGGCTCATTTAATTATGTTTGTTTGTCTGATCATCTTTTACTAAAAGCTTAGAAGTTCTTTGCTTTTTAGTCGGATTTATTGGTTTTTCACATTTTATTTTTAGTTAGTTTTTTATTTTTAATTATTATTTATCAAGAAATAAATTAAAAAGCAATGATTTGAAAACGATAAGATACGAATTTTGTATTGAAAATAAATTTAACTTTCTAAGGAGCTTTAAGCAAATTAATTAACTTTTTATTAATGCTTTTATATTCATACTAAAGCAAATATAGTAAAAAAAGAAACAATTATTAATTTCTTTCTTGCAAATAATAATAACACTATTCTTCTATCTTTCCACATCTTTCTTTTTCTAGCTATATAAAAATCTTCAAGACTTAAAATGTTTTAAAACAATAGAGCTAACTTGTTATGGGTTTAAACTCTAATAAATAATCAATTTATAAATTTAAAAATTAAATATATTTATAAAATTTAGCTAGGAAATAAGATTTTTAATAGAATAAAAGAATATTAAATATTTGAAGCAATTTTAGAAAATAGAAAATTTAAAATTAGTTTATTTTTAAAACATTAATTTTAGCATTGATGATACATTTTATATGAAATTTATCACATATATAACAATGGGAAATAATTTTTAAATAATTTTTCTGATTCTTCATACACTTTTGGCAGGGACAAAGTTCCAGGGAATATCATAATGACTACACGAGAAACGTTTTTGTAGCCATAAATCCAAACATTTGATGATTTACAAAGCTATTAGCTAGAGGAGTGATTTAAATTATCATTTTGTAGTTAGTTGTACACATTTGTTATAGTATCAATCTCCTACTAAAGGAATTGATTTAGATTGTGAGGATTTGATATTTTGGTAGCTATGTTCATATGATTGAAGTAAAGATATTTATAACTTTCTTCTTTTTTTATCTACTCTGAAATAGCTTTTTCTATGCGACCAGCTATTTTTTCACAATTACGAGATATTGCTGTATTCATTTCGATTAGCTTGTCCTTCTGGACTTCTTAATTACTATCATAAAACATAAGAATCATCAGCTATCTTTCATAGTAAAGATTCATCTAATATTTTTCAGTTTCACCTTTGTTTCCTCTTAAAAATATATTTTACAGATTTACTATTTCATTAGATTTTCCTGACATGCTATCTCCTTATGATATATATTACCCACTTATGTTTTATGCTACACCTTGCTAATGAATATTTTATTGCTTTTAAACTCCTAAGCGATTGGAGTTAAATATATTACCATAAAATAATTCTTCATTATGAGCAATTTCTTAAAGAAAAGCAAATTTGCACTACACCTTTCTATCACTATAAATAAATGGCTTATCTAATGAATATAAATACTCATAAAGAGAGAATGCTTTGTCATGATTCAATGTGCTATAAATGAAGTAACCACTAAAATAAATAGAATAATGCTTAACCCTGTTATCAATAGTGCTTAAAATGTTAATAAGACTCTAAAGAGTCAAAAAAATATTCTTCTCAATAGGAGCATACTAGAAGCCTTAAAATTAATAACGCAAAACATTCAAAGATTTATTTAACTCATCACCATTTAAATCCAAATACCTTAATATGTATTGATCCATTAAATTAATAAAAGCTCTTTTATCTTAATTTATATGAAAATTCATTTCACTAAAAAACATCCAGAAAGTTTCATAAAAGTGTCTCAAAATGTTTTTGATGTGGCTCTCTGTGATTCTATGATCTATAAACTAACCAGTTTATTCAATATTATAACTTTGTTCTTCACCATGCTGTTCTAACAGTATATCACATCCTTCAAATTTTGCAAACACAATATACAGCCATATATTTTCTTCAACTTCTTCTTAGGCATGAATATATTTATCGAAAATCGTTATTTAAACATTTTTTCCTTTTACAAAAGGTTTCTTTTAGCTTTCTTATGGCATTTGATCCTATCCTTGTTTATTCTAATTTTATTCGCTTTAATTTTTTTATTCTTCACCTAAAGGCTTATCTTCAGAGAGTAAGTCAATTGGTTAATTAGATTAAGATTAGTTTGAGTTGTTATTTTATAAAAGGTCTAATCCGTCTTCATTGTTATCATCATCTATCCCATTAAAAAAGCTGTTCCAAAACTAAAAATTACCTTCTGCTAACCCAACATGGTTTCTTTTTTCTTAAATAGGAGTCTATGAAGGATAATAGTATATAAGTTTTGCATCTTGAATTTCTTCTTCAGAGGGCTTTTTTACACTTGGAACTAAACTTGGATTGTATACCATAACACTTTATAGTTTTAAATCATAAAAACCAAGCTGATATGGCAAATTTTGATTAGCTAAATTTTAACCGCCAATTTAAGGCATGCTAAATAAGTTAGAAGTCATTTTTACTAATTATAATTCCTAATGATAATTAATTGATAAAAAATTTTATTTATTTGATTAAAAGCTAAAGATTTATTTATAAAAAATCATATATTCAAAATAGTATCCGATTTATTGAACGATGATAATTGATTGCATCAAGCTTAACAATCAAAGTTAATTAATCATATAATTTGCAATATTTTTTTTATCAGCAAAAGAAAAATATAAGAATCCAAGTTTAAAATATCTTCAGCACGATTTTATCGTAATTAGTCAAATAGGATTGGTTTAAAATTGCATGAGTTCTGTCTTAAATTATTGATTGTTACTAAACTCGAAAAATTTTATATTTGTAAATCATAAAAAGAAATGATATTTAGTTTTATTAAAAAATCATTCTATGATTTAAAATGTTTTGTGTATATTCGATAAATATCATAAAATTTATAATAAAAATCCATTTAAAATAAATCAATATTTTTGCATACAGATACAAAAATTAATAAATTAAAAAAGTAAGCTTTGAAATTTTTGTTAATTGAAAATAAAAATATTTTTTTAATTTTTAAATAAAAAAATAATTTATTAATGCTAATTTTTGGTAGAAAGAAATCTATCAGTGAATAAATACTGATTTAAATATTTTGCTTTTAATCAATAAATCAATCAATTCAATGAATAAAGCAATTTTGAAAATCTATTAAAAATTTAAATTTATTTATGTGAATAATAAATAAATTTCAAAGATATCAATAAATTTTACAAAATTTATTTGTTATAAATAGTTTTTTAATAAAGGAATTCAAAGAAAATAATACATTTTTTTTGTAAATATTGACAGTTTATAAGATTAAGTTCACCTAAAGTTATTAGTGAAATAGATTATTCTGCAGAAATATGATATAAGATCGTTCGATTAACACTTAAAATGAAAATAATGATGAAGTGTTAAATAAAACAGATGAGAACGTTTCATAACTTTTAAAAAAGGATTAAAAAAAGGAGAATTAAAATTCTTCTGTAAATATAAAATATCACTCAATATATACATCATGCAAGTACGCTAAACCAAATCCTACATAATTCAGAGGTAACATTTTTGTTTATGATTCTACTCAAGCTGGTTAAATTAAATTCAACTCTTTTAAAATTAAAAGAATAAGCTATAGTTTCTAGTTTATTTTTGTAATAACTAATGTATTTTAACTCCTTTTATACATTTATTCATGGATACTTTCTGTATTTTAGCATCTTTTATAAGGTAAATCTTTATTAAATGCATTTTCATTAGATAAGATAATCCTAATTCGTTTTTGATTTTTTTTTTTTATAAAATATAGTTCAAGGTTTGTGATAATATACTAGGATGTATTATATAATTAGTTATCTTAACAATATGGGCACTATTTGAATTTTTTCGCTTAAATAATGGATACTCGGGAAATATTAATGAAACATTTCCTGAATTTGTTTCATTCATTTTGTTATCGATAGCAAATATAATACTGACAATTGGTTTTGTTGTAATAGCATAGATTATTTTCAAGTTTTTCTTTCCTCTAGAAGTTATATGTGTAGTTATTGAAGTATTGTTTCTAGTTTTAGAATTGATAGTCTGGTATAATATTTTGAAATAATTTTAGTTATTGCTTCATACTTTAATTAATTAATTAAATTCATTTTAATTTATTTTTAACAACAGCTTCAGTTCTATCAGTGATATTGTTAAAGCTTAACTCTTAAATCGTAAATATAAAAAGCAAAAGCAAAAAGTAAGTTTAATTAGTATGGTGTAATATTTGTTAAAATTGAATATTTAATAAAGAATATAGAATTAGAACCTATGGGATATTATGATGATGAAATAGATGATATAGATGAAAAGAAGCCATTTGGAAGAGCTAATAATTACAATTCTAACTATTAGAGTGGAGATTTAGTAAGTAACTACTAACAATATGAATAAAATGTTTATTAAACTAATCCAAATATGAATTATAATTCCAATTATAACAACTATGATCAAAGAGAAGTATCTAGAAGGATACCTGATGAAAATGTAGATCCTTAAGCATAAAACTATGCAGCTTATTAATATAATTCTGCATAAAGAAATTATTGACTTGTTAAGTTTAATATTTAAAAATTAATTCAAATTTTGTATTTTATTAAATAAATAATTCAAGAATAAAAAATTTTCAGAAATATTTAAAAGAAAATAATTAATATTATGCAAAATAAATATATCGGGTTTATTTCTTTAACAATTTCTCTACCTTAAATTCTTTCAATCAATTTTAATGAAATATTTTTTTAAGCAATATTAAAAATCTTTATTGATGTAACCTTATTTATATTATAATGGCGTCTTACTCTAATTTAAATATTCAGCTAATACTTAAAGTAATTAGATATTTATTAAATATATCTTATTTATTTAGTTTTTAAATAATTTTATTTTATTTTTTTATTATTTTTTCAGCACTTTTTAAATATTGATCAAAAGTTTTTAGTTATTTTTATAAGATCAGCTTATTTGGATACTTATTATACAAAATTATCCTTTAAACTGTGCTAATTTATAAAAATATTTGAACCCAGGTATATACTATAAAATATATTTATGGATACTTGGTAAATGCAAATGCTTTACAAAATATCTGAAAATAAAAGTTTTGATAATTTAATTTTTTTAAGTTTATTTTTAAAAAATAATTTCTTTTTACTTTTTTTAATTTAAAATTGAATTACAAAAATGATAACAGAGAACTTATAATGAAATTAAAAGATAAAGATATTATTTAGTTAAAGAGAATTTTTCAATTAGATTTTCCTTTAAATTAAATGATTTCTTCTATTTCAGAAGATAAATCACTTGTATAAGGGAAATAGTCAAGTATTCTTTTTATATTTTTAAATAGCTTTGTTGAGTCAATGTTATTTTTCTTCATAAACTAATACTCTTAAGTATTTGTGTTGCAGAAGAAGTCAGCTATGAATTATCTTATTTTATTAAATTCCCTTAAATCGCATAATTTTTTAATATACTTTGAAGTAGTTTCAATGAATACATCTGAGCTCTTTTTTTCATCATATTTCATTAGATAAATTAATCTTTCTTCATATTTAGAAACTATGCTAACATCTTTTCTGTTTTCTAGTTCAAGCTCTCCAGGGCTCACTTCTATTAACTTTTCAAAGAATTAGCCCAAGTCTTCAGCCTCTTTGATAGCAGCAACGCTACTATCTCCTTTATTATCTTTTGATAAGAGTTAACTTGCATCATAAAAGCACCCTTATTATTTTTACAATAATAAAAATTAGTTTAAATATTTAAAATAAGATTTTAATACCTATTTCTATATTAAAGTTGTCTATTTTTTGCCAAGTTTTCATTGGAACATTAAAAATATAAACATTCCTAGTCTTAAAGAAAATTATTGGTACTCCATTATTATCCAGTGTTACATTTTCTATTGGATCTTTTGAACCTGAGTCTGGTAAATCTTAATTCTAAGATAACATTTTTAGATTTTCTTTTAATAGGAACATAATATTCTCGTTTATTATAAGTTTTTTAATATTATTGTCATAGACTTTAACATCACCATTTTCAGAAAGACTCATCATTTAGTTAGACTTATTTAATTTTAACCAGCAAATATTTGGAATTAACAAAGGAAGTTCACTTCTTCTTCCATTTAATGAATTTACGAAATACAGCAAGTGTGAAGATGTGTAGTAAATTAATTAATCATTATATATTTCTACAAAAAGTAGCTTTCCTTCTATACAGTCATTCCATAATATCTCTTTAGCATTATTTTTTAAGATTGTGCAACGAATTTATGTGGTTAATGGAGCATTCAGTTAATTTTAAGGTGTTTCAATTTCCAAAAATTTAATTTCAGCTTATGAAATACGCATTGTATGTATATTTGGAATGGGTTAAGGAACTTTAAGTTTCACAGTTTCTTATAATTTTTCTTATTCTTCAATGAATTGAGCGTTTTCAATATTTTTGCTTTATTGGTCTTTGGATTAATTTGCATTTGATCCTCCTTATGTGCTTGAACCTGTGACAGATGGTACAACATTTGTTTTTTATAAAGATTTTTTAGGATCTTTTAAGTCTTTTTTAGCATGATCTATGCTCTTAACGGTTGTACTCAGGTTTGTCTAATTTTGAACAGCAGTTTAATTTGTGTTATTTTAACTAGTTGGCTAGGAAGGCTTCTTTTCTTCTTCCATTTTTTTACTTTCATCTTTATTATTAATTTAATTTTAATTGGAAGGAACAGGAATAGTTTCTATTTCCATTTTCTTGCTATCATTGGTATCTATTGGTTTTACCTTACCTTCTTCAATATTAGATTCTTTTTCTTATATCGAACTGCTTTATTATGTTTAACTTTTAACATCAATTTAATTATCTGCTTTTGGTATATTTTAATTATTCTCTAATGGCTTTTCCTCTATCATTTTATTATTTTCGTTACTTTTTTGTTCTTCTTCTGGCTAATTTTATATTTAAGTTAGTTAAATATTAAATAAAGTAATAAATTACTTTCTTTTCAACAACAACTTTAGATATGATTTACTTGCTAGGAATAATTCTTTTTTTCCCTCCTTCATTTAGAGTCTTTTGCTCTGTATATGAGATACTTGTTAAAACTTCTTAATTTTAATCAGCATTTTAATTTGTGCTATTTGAACTTCCAAATTAAGTAGCTGTTTTGCCATTGTTATTTCCTCTTCCAAGGATAGAATCAATTTATTTATTATCACCTTTAGCTTCAAAGAGTTGCTTTTCTTTATTTTTTTATTCCTCTTCCTCTTCTTACTATGTTGCTTTAAATACTTTAAACTTCATATTTGTGGCTGCTACAGTTCTCAATGTTCCATATTTTCCTTCCAAAAAATCTTACTTTTATTGAGGGCTTAGTTTAGACCCAAATACAGTTTCTCCAAATAAAGCTAAAAACACATACTTTTTTAATGTAGTTGCTATCAACATATTTCCCTCAGCATTCCAACAAATATCTTCAATTAACTCATTTCCATTAGGGTGAGATTTAAACAAAAAGAAAGGTTTTTTAGCTTGGTAACCATCTCCTATACCCCAAATTGATATATTACCGTCATTATCTCCAAGTGCAAATACATTAATAACGCTTTCTTTATTTTCATACAAATTAGGATTGAATTTTACACAGTTTATAGATGAAAAAGGCCCCATAAATGTTTTACAAACTTTAAAATCTTTTTATCTATCTAGAGCACACACAAAGGGCACAATTTTATCATCTAAACTAGGAACAAGTACATACCTATTTATAAATTAAACATTAATTGTTTCTACTTGATGTTATAATCTCTAAATCAAAGTATTAAAAAATATAAAGATATATATATAAATTCATTAGTTTGTTTGCTGCTTTTGAAATAAAAAAATTAGTTTTCATGGAATTTTTAGCAAATTCAAAGATCGATCTTAAAATAATAAGCTTTAAATAACAAATACTAGACACGTTTATTTATATACTAAAATTACCTGTAATCAGGAGACCAATCTATTTTTCTGTCATCTCTTTTTGAAGTGATCTTAGAGATGTCAGATGAAATAGGACAAGTCAAAGAAACAATAAATGACTTTTCCCATGAATTACACTTCCAAATGATGACATTATTATCTGAATATAGAGCTGCTAAATATTTATCATATGTATCCCAAACTAGACCTAAAATCTTATTATCATGACTCAATTCTTTTATTTTTTCATAATTCTTAGCAATATCAACTGATCTAACTACAATTTTTCCATCTAAACCACCTGAAGCAATACGAGATGAATCAGGTGCCCATGTGATTGCTGCGATTTCTAACTCGTGGTCTTTAAAATCTTTTAATTTATAAATGTCTCCATTTGCATATCCCCAAATTCCTAACTTTTCAAAAGCAGCTGCCAAAAACTGATCGTTTGGACTCCATTTAATAAGATTAGAACTCTAAACGCTCCTAATATTCAGTGGCTAGAAATCAACTTTATTTGTAACATTCTAATTCATGTAGTCTTAATTTATAGTAGTTTTAACTATCTTCAACTAATCGTTATCCTAGCCACTACAAAATACTAAAACATTTCCTTAATTTTAAAAGTTAATTGATTTTATAATTTCTTCATGGAATGAGAAGACCTCATATTTTAAAGATACATTAAATGACATTTCAAATTCCTTTTTTTTTCAAATAAATAAAATCAAATATTTCCTATGAAATATGCTTTCTTCTTTATAAGTAATTTGTTTTATTTTTTATTATTTAAATGGCACCTAAGCTTTATTTAAGGTTCTTATCTTGGATTGTAATTTATTTAATTATATATAAAGATATTGTAATTATTATTTTTAAATAAATCGTTTCTATGTTTTGCGCGCTTGATATCCCTAAAAATTGTCTTTTTATTAATTATTAAAAGAATAGCTTAGCTTTATTCTATTAATTGATAGATGACTTGATTATTCAAAATATTACTAACTACACCAATAACTCCTAAACAGCTCAATTAGTCTCATATTATTATTTAGCAAAATAATATATTGTTAAATTGTTTCTAAATTATTGTAATTCACTATTTTACTTTAATAAAAACATAATTATTGAGTAAAATATAAATAATTCAATATAAACTAAATGATTAAAATATCTCTCAGATTAATTGATAAATATTTTATTAAAATTATTATTTTGAACATTTAATTTTTTTCAATTATTATAAAAATTGTTGATTTCTTATTTTTTATTCAAGTTATTTTAATTTTTAAATGAAAGATAAATTTATTTTAAAATATTTTGCTTGGAAGAATCTTTCATGCAAAATTCAAATAAAATAAATCCATATTTTTAAAATTGTTAAAGGTTTTCAATAGATTAACATTTTTTTTAAATATCCTAAAATAATTATCAAAAATAAACACACATTTTATTTAAAATAGGATCTTATTTTTATATTTAACTTGCCTTTTAATTAATGTTTCTTTAACTATTCAAGCTTTCTTTTTTATGCTAATTCTTTTTTAGATTAATTTAAATGAATAATTTATTTTTAAAAAGCAAAATTTAAAAAAATAGTTAACTTATTTTGGTTATTTTGGGCAGAAAATTTACATTTTAAAATATTTAAAACTTTTTAAAACAAATTTATCATAAATTCTAAAGTAAATTTTTTTAAATATATTTTTATAACAAAGATTACAAAAACATTTTTAAAGAAATTGTATAAAATAAAGTATAAAATTTATTATGAATTAAATAAATTTTATCTTAAATTCAATTTCTTATTGTTAATTTTTGCACTTTGAGAATTTTAAAATAAATTTTATTCAACATAAAAAGCAATTAAAATGACATAAAATATAATTTTAAATTTAATATTTTTTATACAAAAACAAAATTTAGAAAAGAGGATGAAAATTATGGATATTCTGAATTATAAAAAAGTAATACAGAGTATAAATTTCTAGAGAAACAATAAAATAAATATTCAACAAATTAGTCAAATTATCTCTCAAAGGAGGTTAGAGGGGTTTCTGAAGCTCTTACCAGCAAAAACAGCCTTTGAGCCAACTTCTTATTCGATTCTTAAGAGTTGGTTGTATTTAGCCAAACGTTCAGATCTGCAAGGAGCACCAGTCTTAATTTGACCAGTAGCCAAACCAACGACTAAGTCAGCAATGAAGGTATCTTCAGTTTCACCTGATCTGTGAGAAACCATAACACCAAAACCAGCATTCTTTATTTTTAGAAATTGAAATAAGTAAATTTTATTTTTTTATACAAAATTTTTAATTTGAAGAGTTAAAAAAAAAAGCTAATTACTTAAGAAAGAACTGAAGCTTCAATAGATTCAGTAACTGAACCGATTTAGTTGACCTTCAAAAGAAGGGCGTTGCAAGCCTTTGATTAGATAGCTTATTTAACTCTGGTAGGATTAGTAACGAGTAAATCATCACCAACAATTTGAGTGGTCTTACCAACTAAGGCATTCATGTTAGCATAAGCAGCCCAGTCATCTTGGTCGAAAGGATCTTCAATAGAGACAATACCGTATTCCTTAACTAATTATTAGTAGAGGTTGGTTAAAGCTTCACCAGTGAGTTAGTTAGATCCGTCGTTGTTGGCAGTCTTGAAATCTAAGTCATAAACCTTCTTTTCAGGTACCCAGAATTCAGAGGCAGCAACATCCATACCAATGTCAACCTTACCCTTGTGGCCTAAATATTTTAATAAATATAATTTAGCATTTCATTTATAAAAATTGCAGAAACTCTTTATGGTTATACTTTATTTTTTTACTGTTTTTATGTAAAATTTGGAAATTAATAAGAAGTTTCTTTGGAATGAATCCTTATTAATTTTTTTGTAAAGATAGATTATTAATACGTTAATAGAAACTTAATTAAATTTTAGAATTGCGATTTAATTTTAAATATAGCTTAGCTATTAGTTATATCTACCAACAATGACGATTTATTATTCAAATATCTTATACTTTTATTTAATAAGAATTATTTGCTTTTAATATAATTTCTTGAAAATTTTCAAGCTATTTCTTTGATATTTCAAGCAAATTTATTCATTTCTTACTTCATTTTACTACTATTATTAAAAATACGCAATTTAGGGTTGAAAAATAGCTAAGCCTTCTTATTTATTTTTATGTAGTTAAAGAGTTAAGTAAAGGTAAAGAATTTATTTCTTACCAGCCTTTTCGATGGCTTCTAAGAGGAGGTTAAGACCGTCTCTGGTTTAGAGAATGTTAGGAGCGAAACCACCTTCATCACCAACGTTGGTAGCATCAAGACCGTATTTTTTCTTGATGACACTCTTAAGGGAGTGGTAGACTTCACAACCAATTTACATAGATTCCTTGAAGCTGGTGGCACCAGTGGGCAAGATCATGAATTCTTGCATAGCAAGCTTGTTACCAGCGTGCTTACCACCGTTAATAACGTTGAGGGAGGGTACGGGTAAGATGTATTTGTTTTATTTCTTACCAGCCAATTGACCTAAGTATTGATAAAGAGGAATGTTCTTTTCAGCAGCACCAGCTCTGGCTAAGGCAAGGGAGACACCCAAAATAGCATTAGCACCTAAGTTGCTCTTGCACCAGCCATATTAGTTCTTGCTACCATCTAAGCTTTCGACCATGAATCTGTCCAACTTTTCTTATTCAGCGGGGTTCTTGCCCTTCAAAGCAGGAGCAATAACGTTGTTGACATTGTTGACAGCCTTTTAAACACCCTTACCTAAGTATCTTTTAAATAATGATGTAAGTTTAATCTTTTTAAAATATATCTTCTAAGTGTTTGATTCTTTTATTCAATTCTACTATGAAAAAAGTAGGCCAAGTAGGTAGAAATTTCTTATACATATTTAAAATTAATTCCCAAGAACCAAGTAGAAAGAAGTCAAAAAAAAATTGAAGATTCTGGATTTGCAAAGTATAAAATTTGATGAAACAAGCTTTATTGAAATTGTAGTTTTTTTTATAAATGTATTCAATATTTACCTCTTCTTGTCACCATCTCTGAGTTCAAGAGCTTCATAAATACCAGTGGAAGCACCAGAAGGAACAGCAGCTCTGAAAGCACCCTTAGAAGTGACGACTTCAGCTTCAATAGTGGGATTACCTCTGGAATCCAAAATTTCTCTGGCGAAGACGTTTTGGATAGATGAGAAGCCGAAGGTAGGCTTGTTCATATATAAGTTCTTGGTTAATTTGCTCAACATTTTGGCTATCTATTGTTTATTTATTTTTTTTTAGTAGTTTAACTAATCTGGATATTTATTTTTAATAAATTTTTTATTTATCACCGATGAGGTTAACCCTCCTTTTAAAAACGATTATTGATATATCACAATAAATACCTTTATTAAAAAATTTGACGTAATATTATATTGCATAATCCTTTCATAATTACTCAACTTAATTTCTGATCATTCTAAATTTCTATTTTAATATACTATTTAAACTTAACTAATTTGCATAATCCATTCAAATATGTCTAATTTTAGAATCAAATAAACAAAATAGATCTATGTCTGTCAACCACTTATCCTTAACAATTTTAAATTTATTTTCTATCCAATATTTATGATTAAGAACAGAAAAAAAGGATTAAATATGTTTAGAGATAATATGACTATAATATGATTACTAATTTTTAATTCTAATTTAGGTTATTTATTTGTGGATTAAAAAATAAAACAAAATATCTTTTAGTAAAATAAGGTGAATTTTTGATATAATTTATAATTTTAAATTTATTTAGCAACAATCTAATTATTAAAAAAATTTTTGTTGTTAAAAATCGACAAAAAAAAGTCATATGTGATCAATTTTGTCATAAATGATATTTTACTAAGTTGTGGTATGATTCTCATAAAATTTCAAAAATAAATAAAATAGGATTGGATGAGGATTTGGATAAATCTAAATAAAATATTTTTTCAAATTAAATTATTTCAAAGAATTTTACAATCACTTATCTTTAGTATCTAGTTTATTTTTAAACGATACAATTAGAGATATATAAAAATAATTTATATATTGCAGTGTTTGCTTACAGATATCTTTTAAAAATATATTTAATTTTAAATTGAAATTTTAGGTATGTTTAAATTTTATTTAAATAATAGTAAAAATAAAATAACATAGTTCAATTGTTAATAATTAAGCACATGTATGTTCTATGAATTATTTATATAAAATAAATTTATTAATTTAACTTTATTTTTTTATTTTTTAAAGGAAATATTATTTTTATGTTTAATATACCTTTCCTAAAAAAAAAATCAAATATAATTAAAGAGTTGAAAACCATTAAAATTTTAAAACATCTATCAACGTTTTGATCTTCAAATGATGTAAATAAGCCATTAAAATATTTGAATAAATTATTTATTTTTAACGTTTAAAAATATAAATTTTATTAAGCAAAGTTTATTTACAAAATATATAAAAATGCATTTAATTTATTTTTTTTAATTAATTTTATTTATCGTATTTAATTTTTTACTTTCAATCAAATTCTAATAAAACTTTTTCTAAGTTATTTGCCTTTACAATTTCCATAAATTGATAGTCATTTTATGTCCACTGCTATTATGGAGTGTTTCTGATTTCATCCCATTTCTTTTTGACATTAATAAGCTGAGGATTTATTTATTACTTTTAATTTCTTTTTAAATAAAATTAGATTTGATTAATATTTAATTTATTTTTAATTACTTTTCTTGTTGATTTTAACTTTTTTGAGAGATTGCACTTTTTTTAGAAGAATTTGAGCTGATACTAGCCCTGTTATTTTACTATGCTTTATCAGTAGGTATTTATTCCATTCTTTAGCTTGCCTGACTATTATTAATTGAACTATTATCTTATGATTTAGATAAGTTATTTTCAGAAGCATTATCAAAGTCAAATTAACTTAATTGCATTGCTCCTTACATAAATTTTCTATCATTTTCTGTCCATTCATTTTCAGGTACTTTAGATAATTGTAGCACTTTTTCCTTTACTATTTATAACATTTATCTCCTATAAAATAAAAAAATATTTGTTAAATTCAACAATAATTAAGGATTTATTTTTTAATCTTACCTATCTAAGTTTCCTTGCTATTCAAAAAATGATAAACTTTATTAATTAGCTTATTGCACAACTGATGAATTTTTTATATTTTATGAGGACTAATTACTACTGCTTTTTTATTTATTATTAAAAGATGATGAAGAGGCCTTAGATAGTGTGTCGTTAATACTTTTTTGATCAAGTCTCTTACTATTATTAATAGAATTATTAGATATACTTGCATTTGACTTGCTTTCAGGTATTTCTACGACTTGATATTATGTAGTGTTTGACTTTTTATAAGATGGGTATTATTTCTTTTAACTCAGTTTCTAAGAGTTTATTATAGCCCTGTTTTCCTCTTCTTATTATAATTATTATTGTTGTTCTTAGATAATTCTCTATTATAATTCTTGCTAATTTCTAAAATATTCTTCATAGTTAAGATCAACTAAACTGTCTTTTGTGCTTTGTGCCAAACCCAATGATTAAAATTCCTCCCAGTTTTCTCTTTAGAAATTAATTTCTTCTAATACTTACCTGTTTTAGTAAGTGAGTTAAGGATCTTCAATTAATAAATGATTGCCTTAGCTTAGATGGTTTTGATTATAAATTTCTTATTATTCGTATTGCAAGGCATTCATATACTCTATTTCAATTTTATTCATTTAATCAGCCTCGATAAGTTCGTGTTTAAGTTAATTATATTTAATTTTGGATTCGAACTGCATCGTAGGCATTTTAAACAAAGGCATTTTCATATTTTTCTCTGAAATATAGTTTGCTATCTTTTCTATAAATGGAGGGTCAACTATATTTTTATTTAAAAAATAGTCATAAATACCATTAAGATAAAAATAAGTATCCATTGAAAGTATTTACTTGTATCTATGTTTGTATCAGCCCATTTTTAAGTTAGATTATTTATTGTTTTTGTTTTTAGGACAGTATTTTTTTCAAAACAATTTTTTGTATTTCCATAAGTAACATATATTAAGCTTAATGTTTTACTCCATGAAGATTGGATTCTGATCGGCTCATAAAAATTCTAGCTTAATTTGTCGCTCTTGATAATTTAATATAAGATTAAAAAAATAATGTAAGTTGTTTTGGTTACTTTCGATCTGATATTAAATTCAACTGGGAAAGATTAATGATCTAATGATGAATTGGAGCCAAATTGATAAATTTTCCTGCTTTCCATTAAAAGCATCGAGCATCTATGTCCTGCCACTACCTGCAGGCATTTATCTTTAAATAACGTTGGAGTCTATTTATCTTTGGCCAAATTAGAAAATGACAAAATTCTTGGGTATATTTCATTATTTGTTGTTCCATGTCCTAGTTATCCTCTTCCTCCCCATCCCCAAGTATAAACCTTACCTAAAAAATAAATTTAGTTTCATAAAAAAGTAATATTTAAATACCTAAAGATGTTTTGCATATTGTGTGCTTAAATCCGCAATCTATTTAGCTTATTTTCTCTCCAGCATCTCTCAAACAGTAAACTAGAGTAGGTATTTTTCTTGGATTCAGATCTCCTAATCCTAATTAGCCTTCTTTGTTTTCTCCATAACTAAATAAAAGCCCAGAGTTACTTAAAATCATTACAAATTTATGGCCACAGCTCACATCTTTAATGGTTATTTTAGGTATGACTACCTCAAGGGGGTAATTCACACACTCACCTTACATTCCTTTTTAAAATTAATAGTTTATTTTTCTATTATATTGTTATTTTATTTTTATTACCTAGAGTGGGCCAGTGAAATAGTTAACCACTTTTTGTGATAGCATAGTTTTCATCATCTCTGCACTCAACTTTGCAAAACTCGGTTTTGGGATTCATTAGATATGTAATCTTTTACGGTGTTTCCATATTTTCATAATGATTCAGTCCCAATTATCCTAATTAATATTATAGAATTAATATTAATTTTTAACAATAATTTTATTTACCTCTGTTGTTGCAACCCCAAGACCATATTTACCCTCTGTGATCAAGTAGCAAAGAATGATTACTACCAGAAGAAATTTGTGCAATTCTTTTAATTTAAGGAGGGACATTCATCGAGTAAATTGATGTACCAGTATAAACGTTTTATTCTTGGTTAGGATCGTCTTCATCTACAATTGGTACTCCCAGTTACCCAAAATCGTTCCATCCCCAAGTATGAATCTTACTGCTTAAGCTACAGGTTAAGCTGTGAGTATCTCCTATCTGAATTACAATAAAAATTCAATAAAAATATATTTAATTTATTTTAAATTATACTGAAATGTGCTAGATATATGACTGTTTATCGTAGTTATCCTTAAACGAAGCTTGGTATAAAGATGACCACAAAGGATCATAAATTTCGCTTGTATCAGATAATATTTCAAAATCAATGACATAACTAAACAAATACATTCTCTACTAAAAGAAGTGCTCATGTGATTTTTCTAAAACATTTTCTAAACTCTTGTCTAGACGGAACTAATTTTAAATTGAAAAGATTACTACTTTAAAAACAAATTAATATATTAAATTTTACTATCTCATTTTATAAAGAAGTGTTTTAATCAATAACTTTAGACTAACCATTAAATAGAAGCAATTCTTCAGAAATACGTATTCTTTTTAGATTTTATTCTAATGGTCCTAAAAATTCTGCATTTCTTTAATTCCTTTCTCTTTTTCTTATGATAAATATTCTAGCATTTCTTTAAATAATAATTATTGCTTTTCTCAATTTTTAATATAATTCAGTAAGCCAAATCTACTTAACTTTGGCTTGTATCTTCTATGCAGCTAAATTAAACCTTTTTATTCTTTTTCTAACAAAGTTTCCTTTTAAAAGTTTCAGAAAAATAACAGCTGCTTTTTTTGTTCTTATTTCATAGAGTTGTTTTGAAAACATCTACTTTAAGTAATAGCATCTTACTAGCTTTTTTGTCTTTTCAACTATTGTCGTAACTGATCTGGTAAATATTTTTTACCAAGCTTTATTCAAAACTTCCTTCTTTAAATATAATTTTCTTAAACAAATAAATAAATAAATAAAAATAATATTACTATAATATAAGTATTTTTGATTCTTTTACTTCTAACTTCTCTAAGTCTCTAATAAGCTGCTCTCCAATGGAATTATATTTTTTTTATATTTTCCATCGCTTGCTCATAATAAGAGATAGCTGTTTTCTAAAAGCAGTAACTTTAAATTATTTCAGAAGCTCTTTTTCTTTTAAGAAGAAACAACAATTATATACTTTCAATTCTAAGAACTAAATTGCGTATATTCGAAATTTCTTTATTGTATATATCTTCAATTTATTGCAGAACTTCATAGTTTTTGAAAAAAATTTTTGTTACCCCAAATAATCTGTTCTCTTTTGGTATTGAACTGAAATTTTTTCTAAACAATCTATTTGAACATAAAAAATAAATTTTAAATAATTTTTTTTATAAAAGCAAAATAAAATTATTCTTACTCTTCAACAAGACTTTTTTTATTTATTTAATCTTAAATATTTAACTTGTTTAGCATCAAGAGTGAATATTTATTAAAAAATGATTCATAGCTTTATCTTATTGGATAACTTTGCTTTCTGATGTTAATTGACTCCAATACACCTAAGTAACGAATTTAATTTAAAGTAAAACCCTGATTAAATAACTATGGTTTTTTCTCTTCATTTGGCTTTATGCATCTAATAAATTAGACATTACATTACATCAGTACATCCATAAGAAATGACATTTCAGATATAAATTTTTAACTTATTTATCTCATTTTAACTTATTATGATGCTGTGCTTTCATCTAATAATTCTTTATCTTTAAAAAATTTTAAATATAAATAAATAAAAGCTCTTAAAGTTTTTTAATTATATTTTTAATACCCTTTTCGCTTATGATTTAACTGATTCCTCTTATTTATGAATTATTTATTTTATTTATTAAACCTTCATTGACCTCATCTTTATTTTTTTCTATAAATCCTTTAATATCATATTCAACCTCCTTTGCAGTATGTATAATTATAAATGTTGAGTCATTTATTTTCTTTGGATTTTTAAATTTATAATTTGGATTTTTAATGTAAATTTCTTTATCTCCATGCTATTTTTAAATGTCTGAAAGTAATTTAGCATCTATTATAGTTCCTTTTTGTTTACATTTATCTTCTAACAACTTAAAAATACCAAGAGGCTTCTGCCTATCATTATTATCTAACACATCTATAACATCTTAATTATCTTTAAAATCAAGCTTTTTAAAATACTACTCAAGTCTTTCTTCCTTAAATGTCTATTTATTACAAATGAAATTTAAATTAAAAAGTATTTTTATTTTTTTTAATTATTCTTACTAACTCTTCTGCCTTAAAGACGTATGAAATATATAATTAGTGAAGTCTCTCATTTGTGTAATTGATAAAGAATTATTCAAAACCGTTTTTTTAGAATACCTCAAATCCATATATATCCAATAAACCTATTGATTTGTATAAATTTGATGATAAAATTTGCTATTTTGAAATGTCTTTTGGCATTATCGTCCTGTTTAGTTAGTTCACTAGCCAATTAAAAAGTCTATCATAAAGCTCTTTTGCTATTGAATCTCTTTAATTTTAACATTCTGGTAAGCTCAATTCCTTGGCAAATCCTTCTCCTTAAACTTTAAATTATTTAATTGTTAGCTCTCTTTCAAGTTCCTCAGCTTAAATTCCAAGTAGATTAGAGATAATTTATATTTGCTGCTTATCAGAAACTTCAAATTAATCTTCTAAAATTATTTATTTATTAATAATATATTATTTTCTACCTTGATAAGTCAAAGAAAAAATGTCATACTGTTTATTTAAGATTATTTAAATTGTAAATTTCCCAAATGCAAAATAGCAGCTAGTATCCTCCATATAGAATCTGCAAATTCATTTAATTCTAATACATCTAAAGCATTAACTACTTCTTCGTAAAGCTTACAGTCATCAATAGATTTTACTTCTATATTTTGATTCTTTAAGTAGCTAAAATACTAAGGCTATAAGCGTTTGCCATTTATTTCTAGATAGTATTTGCTTAGTTACTGCACACTAGCACCATTCAAGAAATGATAGAATATATGAAAATTTCTTTCTTCTACACCCTAATTCAAATTATTATTTAGTTAATTAATAGTGAAAGAAATATATAGATAAATAAATAGCTCACCTATTAAATAATTCTGACTTTTTCAAGTAAATAATTTGCAATTTCTGCTCCAATAATCTTAGTATCAATCATATCTACGAATAATGTTACATACTTACCAAAACGACTAGAATTATCATTTCTAATAGTCTTCGCATTACCAAAAGATTCTAAGATAGGGTTGCAACTTAAAATCTAAATTCAAAAAAAAATTTTAATAAAATACAAATAAATTAGTAATGGTTTTAATATAATAATCAATTAATAACTTAAATTAAAATAATATTATTACCTTTTCTTCTATAGACTATGATTTGCTGCTTTCTCTAAGCATAGAGGATGTTGGACTAGCTAATATTGGAGGTCCTAAAGAAGAAATGGTTTTTTTTCTAAGACGTACTTTTTCGGGAGATTTATGTTAGCTTATACTAGTTGTTAAAAATTTCATGCATAACTTTGCATTTTCAGTTTTACCTGCTCCTGATTCACCACTAATAACAATAGCTTAGTTTTTCTCTTAATCAAATAATGATCTAAATGACTCTGCAGCTATAGCATATACATGTGGTTCTAAGCTTTTTATAGCTAAAGAACCATTACCCTTAGAATTTTCTATAATTTAATTGTGGTAAAACCTCATTTTTTCTTCAGTATTTAACCCTGGAACATACTAAAATGGATTAACGACTAGAAGAGTAGGACCAACATAAGTGAATATTTTGTTATTTTAGTATCTTTTTTATATGTTAATAACAAGTTCAGCATCATTTAATATTCTCATATTGACCATATCATCTTCATTTTATTCATAAGGAGATCTCTAGTGTAATTTATCCAAAGATACTTCTTCTTCTTTATCTTAAACTTTGATGAGCACATTTTTTCTAAAATAATTTGTATTGATGACAGCCTCCTCAAAAATCTACTTAGTATTCTCACTTACCTCTCTTTCAACCCAACAAAGAGCTCCTAAATAAAAAATAATATTTATTATAAAATTTAAGTGATAGGCTCTAAATTAATTAACTTCTAATTATCTTCCATTTTATTAAATTATATTTACTCATTAAAAGTTATCCTCATAAAAATATAAATTTTGTTTCAAATAAAATTACCATTTTGTTTCCAATCTTTAAGTCCATCCATTTCAAAATATAAATTAAGCAAGAAAGATCAATGTTAACAAATAACCTTACAAATTATACAATTGAAAATATGTTTATTATCTCTCTTAATAAGGTGTATATAGCTATCTTTGCTATTGCAAAAATAATTTATTTTTGATTGGTTATGTAACAAATTAATTTGTTTATTATTTGAATCAAAATAATTAAAGTATTCAATTATTTAAGATTTGTGAATTTAATTAGTTTCTTCACAATTCAAAAATTTTTGACAAATCATTTGATGATTCCTAAAATTAAGATTTTTAACAAACATTTTTGAATTTATAAAAATTTAGAAGTTAATTAATGTTAACATCTCTCTCTAAACAAGCATAAAAAATTAACATCCTAAAAAGTTTCCTAGATATTAAGTCATTTTATTAAAATTTGCTAAGAAAAATATTATTTTCAGCAAAAAAGACATTATATTTTTAATATTTAATACAATTTATTTTGAAAATGATTAAAAACATTAGATAAAAAAATTTTTTTTTAATAGGTAATCTTTTAACAGTACTTTAGTAAATAACTCTTTCTTATAAAATAATATTTTAAATAAAATAAATAAATCCTATTTTAATAGACAAAAGAATTTTTTTAAAGAAAATCATTTTTAATAAAAATATTTTAAATATTTGTTTTTTTTTTGAGATAGGTAATTCAAGTAAGTGATTTAGATGAAAGCATTATTGAAAATTAGTTCTCAACTTTATTGAATAATCATCAATAATATTTGTTAGAGAAATGATTAATTTTAATACCGCGTTACTATATTAAATTAATTAAAATATCATAAAATTTTATACAGTAAACAATTGCAGAATATTGCTAAAGATTCATTTTGAAGCTAATTTGAAATTCTTTACAATATTTTTAACACTATGTACTCAAGTAGTAACTTAAGTAGCTCTGAAGTTACAAGATTACGTTAAAATTATAGTTTAAGTGGGTTTGATTTACTTGAGAGAATAAACAAAATGAACCATGATGAACTTATTAACGTAACTTATTAGAACTTACAATTTTATGAAAATTCAGCAAATTTTGATGGAAACCTAGCAAAAAAATATTAATTTTTTCATTAATAATAACAATTTATTAATGTAGTTTTATATAATAGACCGTTATCGAAATAATAAAGATGAATCCTCCTTCAAAAAGAAAAATTTCTGATATAATTTGCATCAAACATGCAGTAAAAGATATGCCCTTTTTTTAGCAACTTATTGAAGAAAAAGGAAGTGATTCAACTAAATAGTTTTTCAAAAATATGCTTTATAGCTTCTTTAAAAAAGATGAAATACTCTTTAACTAAGGTGATATAGTTGATAGATTTTATGTACTGCTTAGCGGGAAGGTAAGCACAATCGTCAATCATACTGAAACATAGATAAACTCAAAGGGTGAATAATAATAAATAATTGTTACAGAAGAAATTAATACAATTGAATGTGGACATAGCATTGGAGATATTGCTTTATTGAGAGATCAAAAAAAAAATTCTGGGATAATTTGTAAGGAAGATTCGCATTTTTTAGTTCTTGAAAAAGAAGACTTTAATAAAATCATAGGTAAATTATTATAAAGTTATTTATTTTTTCTAGATCTTAATTTTATTTGTTCTACAAATAAATTCAATGATCAATATTAAATCTTTTTTTTCATTGCAAATTTATTCAATATAAAAGAGTTTACATTTATACAAAATTGTTATGACTTTTTTTTGAAAGCCTAATTTTAATTGGCATTCTCCAACCCTTTTTAGATTGGTTATGTGAAAAAAATATATATTTTCTCAATATTCTCACATATTAATATAAACTAATTAAAAATAATCAGATTAAAAATTTTTTTGAGAATGATTTTGAATGGTATTTTAATTTATTATAATTTAACACCATTCATTAATTTTTATTTAGCTGATATGGAAGAGAGAGAAGTTCAAAATAAAATTAACTTTCTGAAGTCTTTAAAGATTTTCGAATTATTCTCTAGAAGATAACTTGAAACTTCGATGATCTATTTAAATAAATTAAAAGTGAATAAAGGATTTTTGCTGTGTGAAGAGGATAAAATAAGTCCTTACATTTATATTATTATAAATGGAGAATTCAAAGTTAGCAAGTCTATAAATTTTGAAAGATAACCTAATCCTTTTTCAAAAGAAAAATTAGCTTAGAAAGACTAAATTGAAGAAATGAAAGAAAGAAAAGTAAAAAAAGCTTTAGAAGTAAATTAAAACATTTTTATTATTTTAAATTTAATCCTTCTTTCTTAAAGATAGCTACATTGTCAGAAGGCGAAATATGTTGTGATAGTAAATAGTTTAAAATAATATATATGTATTAACTCCAATTTTAATTAAAAAATAGTTGATGCATTAGATGATAAACCATAATTATTTACAATAGAATGTACAAGCTAGAAAGCATAAATATTTCAGATAAAAACATAAGTAACTTCTAAATAGATTTTAAAATTAATTTGATTTATATACTTTTAAATTGTATCAAAAGCATTTTTTCAAGAGAATAGTTAATGAATATTATGATAAGTCTGCTTATAGGAAAATTATAAGTGAAAAAATAAATTGGAGGCTGCTTCGTTTGAAAAACATACAAAAAATAATTTAAGGTCATTCAGAATTTCTAAGTGGAGTCTATCCCAAAAAAAATCTTGTTTATTACCATGCAGATTAGGAACCAATAGAATTAGTAAGAAGAAATAGCAAATAATTAGATTTTTATGATAGATAGCAGGAAATAAAGCAAATTAAATAAAGATTATCAAAATACAAGAGATCAAAAAGTGGAGACACAAATTAAATTAAAGAATTTTCATGCTAAATTTAACCAAAATCATAAACGAATGGACATTAAGATATGTAATTTTTACCACAAGTAAGAAGTAGAGATACTTCTATTATAAAATAGAACTAATCAATACAATCTTCTTAAAATAATATTATTTCTCCTATAAAAAAACAAGTAAAATATTAATCTTAAACTCAATCGCCTTAGATAATTTGTTAGTAATAAAATTAACCTTGCATCAAAATAAATGAATAATTAGAATTAATAATAAATTAAAGTAACTTTTAAAAACCAAATAATTAATTTTATCAATAAAATGATTCTGAATCCTAAAATCCTAATAAATAAAAATAATTGAATAAAAATTATGCTAATTTGTTGGCTTTACTTGATTAAAATAAATAATAAATTGAAATTAAAAATAATATGCTTGACTGTAAAAATAGTTAAAATAATGTAAATAATGATAAAAATTTGTAAATAAATTAATCTAACGATGAATAAAATAAGTCAAATGTAGAATTTAGCTAGTAAATATTTTCTAACTAAAAAATTTTAGAATATTGCATTTAAAAGAAAAAAAGTTTGTATTAAGAAAATACAAGCCAAGACAGAAATGATTAATGTGATAAAGATTAAAAATATATTTTTTTAAACTAAGTAGAAGAATCTCAAATAGATGAACCTAATCATTTTAAAAGAGTATCTAGTCTGAAGTCATCTAATTTTTCCTCTACCTCCTAGAGCAGTTTTAGTGAGCACTGTTAGTCGATAGAAATACAAAAAAGCTCTGATACTTTGATTAAAAATTAAGTGACAAATACAAAAGATCTAAACCATACTTATAATAGATTTAAATTTTCCTCAGAAGGTCTTGCAGAATGCCCTAAATAAATAGATACAAAATATGTACAGTTTTATAAACACAATTTGATAGAAGATTTTAACATTTAATCAGATAATTATTAAGAATATTATTAAAGACACTATATTTTACCAAAGTAGCTTTATTTAAATGATAGTTATAATAACAAGAATTCTAAAGAGCTTTAATATGACAATTAAAATATAATTTAAAATAAAAAAAACTATAAAAAACAATTTGATTAAATGTATACCTCAAGCTCCTAAAATAGGTAAAAAAATAAAATTTTATCTGATGATTCTAGTAGCTTATAATAATTGAATAAAAAAAATATAAATCTTAACAATTAAACAGATTAAGTTTTTCTTTAAAACTGTTAAACAGAAGAGAATTCTTCTCGTAACAATACCTAAAAATAAAAAAGAAGATAAAGATAATCTAAAATATAATTTATTTACCCAGAATAGGAGGATCAGAATGAACCTACAAATGAAAAAATAAACCTAAGAAGTTAATTAATAAATTCAAACGATGTAGAAATAATTGAGAAATAATTGTAAAAGAAAATGCAAATATGCTAAGAGTAAGAAAAAAAAATAACATCTCACTTAAAAAATTACAAAATTGATGAGTCTAATTTACCAGTTAGTATAGAAGAGAATCAAGCAATTAGTGATTCTTTGATGAGACTTCTAAAAACAAAATTTGGTAAAAATTAGTAAAAAATAACAACAACAGATTGGAGATATAATTCTTCTCTAATATTCACTTAAGAAAATGATATGTCTTATTCGCCTGAAAATAAAAAATAATAATAAATACTTGCTGCTAGGTAAAGGAAAGATATAATTGCATTAAAATAAAAAATAAATATAAAATAAAGTGCTGCATCTTCCCAATTAAGTTCTCCTACTGAAAGTAGAAAAAGATTCTCATCATCTATCAACTATGATGATAAAGCTATCTAAACATCAAAGGATTAAGAAATACAAAATATTTTACACTAAATCAAAGAATATAATCAAAAAAAATTTGTTAATTAGATTCAACAAGGAGATGAAATTGAAGTTGATAAAAATAGCTTATTAACTAAAAATTTTAATAAATATAATTTTAAAGAATTGAAAAACCAAACTCAATTTTCAGATTTAAATATTAGTCAGTAAAATGATTATTTATGTGGAGATAATTCAATTTATTTTGATTAAAATCAATCTGTTCAAAGACCTTAAACAACCTAAAATAAAATAAAATAAATAATTCCTAACAAAACTTGTAACATTGAATGGAGTATTTCTAACCACTTAAAAAAGTAAAAATAATAAGAAAAACAAGCAACTCTTTTAGAGTAAGATAGTATCAAAAAAACTTATTAAATAAATGATGATGATAAAGAATAAAGTATGCTTGAGAGTGATGAAAGGCTTCCATCTAAAAGTTTTGAGCTTAAAAATAAATTGTCAAAAGTTGAAATCTGCAGTTAGGAAAAATAATCAAAATTTTAAATAGTAAATAATGACTAAGCAAATTAAGAACAGTCGAAATATCAAAATAGGACACTTTAAAATAATAGTGATTCAGATTTTTAAGCTAATTAAACAGTCATCAATAATAAAAAGTTTATGCCTTACTAAACAAGAAGATAAACAAAATTTTATTAACCATTTTAATCTCCTACAAGGCCACGAAGAATTGTAAACATTAAAGTAAATTTCCAAGGAAGCTCATTGAAATAAAAATTAAATTAAAGTATCTAAGAATAAGCTAAATAAAGCTCATAAACAAATAAATAATTTATAGAGCAAACTAGCTTAAATGAAAAATAAAGTTTTTAAAAAGACTTTTCACAATAAATAAAAATAACATCAATTAAATCTCTTGAAAAACCCCACCAACTCAGTTAAGTAGAGTTATGGGATTCAAGATGCTATAATTCAAATAAGGAGTTTAACTAAACATTTTATTAATATAATTCTCCTTTGCAGCACTAAAAGATACTTAATAAATTAACAAGCAATAATCAATCAATATGAAAAAAGTTTAATTTCAAAAAATAAATTTTAATTTAATTTAATTTAAAAATAATTTAATAAAAAAAATAATTAAATAAAATTTTAATATTATAAAATAAATAATCTAGTAATAGTAAAAAAATATTCATTTATTTTTTAAAAAAATAAAAATTCACTGTTTTATTCAAATTTTATGTTTTATATTTAATCAAATTATTATTTTAAAATATTAAACTAAAATAAAAATAAAAAATTAATTGAAAAAACCTTTTTTTTTAAATTTAAATGAATTTAACCAATTTCTAGATAATAAGATGAAATAATTATTATTAAAAAATTGTCATTTTAATTTGTTAAATAATTTAAATAATTATTGAATATCATATGCAATAAATAGCTCACAATTAGAAGGTAGAAAATATTCTTTTATAATAATTCATAGATCAAAATTTTCTAGATTAAATAATTTAAATTTCATTATTGCCTAATTATTAAGGTTGACATCTAAATTAATATTAACTAAAAAAATATTATTAATGTTTGTACTGAATATTTAAAATTTAATTGTTTATACAATTTTTGATCTTTCTATTTTAGTTTTTATTTTTGAGATGACTCTTGTTTCAAATAAAGCCAAAGAGGGAGTTTTTAATAGATCTAGTAATAATTAATATATCTATTAATTATTTTTTATTAAATTAATAATTTGGTCATATAACCAAATTACTTTTTTTTATTTATTGAGAGAAAATGAAAAAGATAATGAAGATAATATTTTAAAATTCTTCTTAATAATAAAATAAACTTAAAATATTTTGAAAATATTAAATAAAATTAATGATAGATTATTGATATCAATACCTAATTTTTTATTCTATTTTCTATTATTTTTGAGTATAAAATTATAAATCAAAAATGAATTTAAAATTTCAAGCTAGTAAATTTTAAAATAATTAATTTTAGTTTTGATAATAATTAATTGAAAATAATTACAATGATAATTTTGCTTAAATAAAACCTGTCTAATAATAAATCTATAATTTCATTATATGCATATTTTAGCTTTAAGACTTAGCAATAAATTTTAAATAATATTATTTAAAACCAAACTAAATTGATGAATTGCTTACATTTTTTAATCTGAAATTTTTGAAACTTTTCTTTTGAAATTTAAAATTTGGGGAAAATAATTTAAGGAATTAAATTACTCATTGATTTTTATAAATTTTATTGTTGAAAGGGTGGTGTAAATTATCTAAATGTTATTTATTTTTATATTTTTTTTATTTTTAGCATGCTAAAGAATTTAAATATTTTGGTGAATGGCAGAACAGAAAATGATGCATAAAAGAATAAATTACGCAAAAATAAAGTGAGGTAGCAAATGACGGGAAAGCATGTAAAGAAGAAGAATAAACAAGTTGAATATAAAAATTAAAAGAAGAAATTAATGATTGAGAAAAATCAATGTCAAAAAAAATAATATAAGATTAATTTATAGTATGAAACGTGATAGCCTAAGTACATAATAATATCTAAGCATTCTTTTCTTTTGTAACTAAATCATGAAATAAATTAGATTACTATGAGATAATAATGGAGGAAAGAGTAATAAATAATATCGGTCTAAAACACAAAAATATAAATATAACATATGCTAAGCAAATGGAGAGGGAGTATAGATCTTTTAAAAATTTATGGTAAATATGCAGAGTTATAATTTTATTAATGGAACAAAGAAGAAGAATTACTAATGAGAGTTTGAATATCAAAAAGAGTCGAAAAATAAAATTCAGAAATTTATCTTCTAAGTAGTTAATAATATTATTAAGGGTATGATATTTCTTCATGCTTGACTTAGATATGGATTATAACTAAGTTAATATTACAAAATCAAAGGAATTTTTTATATATTGAGCCTGCGTAAGACTGATTCAATAATATATGCAGTGATTTTGAATGCTTGTTCTTCAATAATTTTTACATTTAATCATTCTATTTATTATGTATGATTAAGTGTGTATGTATTTCAGTGAAGTCTATTAATTGTAAAAGAAAATAAGGCAAAAGGAAATAATAAAAAAGTTAAAAAAACTTTGATATTTCACCTTATCTTGTGAAAGAAAACAGCAAATAAAGAAGAGAAAAAAAGAAAGTTATGAAATACAAAACTTAAAAGAATATCACTTGTGCGCTGATCACACTTACAGCTATTTTGCTATCAGCCACCATTGTAGTTAATTTCTATATGTCTGATTAAGTTACTTCAACAATAAATAGCATTTCTTAACTTACAGGGTAAATACGCTTCTACATTTCATATTACTAAGTGCCAATCAAATTATATTGGCATTAACAAAACAAACCATTCTAAATCAATAAAAAGACCAAAAAGACTATTATTGTATTGATAATTTGCTTGAATAAAATTGAATAATATCATTGATACATTCATTCAATTTATTAATTACCTTAAAAATGCGATAGATATTTATTTTTTTTACTATTTTTGCATTTTGATATCTCATTTTCATTTTTAATTCTTGCCTCTTTAGAATTCCATATTGAAAAAAATCATCTTAACAATTCCTTTGTCTATTTTATAAAATATAGCACCAATGTGAAAGTTTGGGGTGATTATCCTGGCTACAATGATTTACAATTAAATAAGACAATAAAATTCTTCTCAATTGATGTTCCTTCAGATACAACTGTTTAAAATATGCCTCCTGGGGTAATTAAAATTAAACTTGAAGACTTGATTGTGATGCTTTTAGCTGAAAAAGCGATTTGTGAAAACAAAATTTTATACTAATTGAATTTTTTTCATATTATTATTTTTTAATTGCTTGCATTATTACGCTCATTCATCCAATCAGTCTTTTAGAAAAGAGGATAAAGAAATTAAAGTATTGTTAAATAAAAAATAGTTGAATTGCAATAAAGTGAACTTGAAAGATGGTAATGCCTACAGTTATTAGCACAATATCGTTTTCAAGAATATTACACTTCAAACTGGGGTAATATATTAATTTTAAGATTTATAAGATATTTTTCTTTCAATTTAGATGTAACCTAAGATAAATAATAATTCAAATAAATATTATACTAAAATGGTAATAATATTTAGAGGAATAAATGAAAACAATAGTTTTATATTGAATTCTTTAAGATTTTAGTATTTTAGGTTTTTATTGATGCATTAATTTGAATTATTAAAAATTTGTAATTAATTTAAATAGTCAGGTGGATACGCTACTTACTATAAAAATGAAAGCTTAACTGAACCAGTTGACTAACTTGCCAAATCTCAAAATGAACTTTTGATGACTGTTAATTAGGGTATGCTTTAAGGCTATTATGAAGAAATATATGCTCCTATTGCAAGAAAAATGCCTCTCTATTTATACAACTTGAAGAAATAGATGATGGATACTCTTCCTACTTATTATGCTAAAATGATGCAAATTTTCAACATCGGAAGTTAAAAGTACACTTATAAAGTTGTTTTCAACCCTTTGAAGATCTAGCCTTAAATTATCGATAAGTTGTGGGAAGATGATTAATATGGTTGGAAAAAGTATAAACTTTATTTTTTTTTGAAATTAGTTTTATTTGTTGAAATTATAATTTTAATATAAAATATTTATTTATTTTTTATTATCTTAAAAAAATTAAATTTGTTTTTTTAAATAGCAAATAAACTTTAGCTAAGTGGGTCTCTATTGTACTCAGCCAGTAATATGCTAACCACCCAAATTTCAAGGCCATTTAAAACTACTTTTAATTAAGAGATGATTAAATGTTAGGTTTGGCAGGTAAATCTTCAATGCTTAACAAACTATCATGGCTCCTTAATGGTACTATTTCTGATGCCGTTTATGAATATGGTGCTTCTGCATGTCAAGGTATTGGTACTTATTGCAGTAACTCTGAATTAGTCAGCTCTTAATGGGCTTAAGGTATTTTAACAAGAAAACAAATCTTTAAATATGATAAGAATCCTAAAACCTTCAGTTTCGATTTTAATTCTTTGAATTCAACTATTCCTACTTATGCTGAACTTGGTATTTATTCTCCTTCTCCTATTAATGCTAATGATGGTATGAACCTTCTTTAAATAAATGAAGCAACTGGAGATATGTGGTCTCCTCTTACCGTTGGTAAGACATACACCTTAATTAGTTACTACAATATGGCCAATTTATATAATAACAAGGACAATTATGGCCTCATTAACTTTAAGTAATAAATTTTATTTTCATATTACGTTTTATATTTACTTAATATTTATTTTTATTAATTTAAGCTTAAAACTGTACAACATTAATAAGGTTCCTTCATTAGTCCTTTATTTGAATAACCTTGAAAATAACCTTATTTTGAAGAACGATACCTATCCTGGATTAGGTAGCTAGGAAACTGTTACCTCAGCTTGGTTTATGTACAGAGGTTTTACTGATATCTTCAATATCTTCTCTGATGTATTAATTGGTAACCTATACAGTAGAGCTGCCTATAATTATTTATCTCGTAAAAGCACTAAGTGTGAATCTCTTTTCTAAGATGAAGTTGTTTTACCTATGTTAAAAATGTGTACCGAAAGAGGTTTACAATAATACAATGTTGTTAGAAGCTTTAGCGCTAACTTGCCCTTTATTTATGCATTCATAGGTAATAAAATTATTAAGAATATTATTATTTAAGATATTTTAAAAAATTTTTATTAACAGGCAATTAAAACAGCTAAGATTTTAAGAATCTTCTAACCTACTTCTAACTCTAGGATTACTAGTTAGCATTCTTTTTATATAATACAGAGAAATCCCCTTATGCTAAATTGTTAAGTCAACTCCAAACTGATATCCAGACTTAATATAAATGTCTTTCTATCTGCACATAATATGAGTTAGGTAGAAAATAATGGTTCTTTGGTGATGTAACAAATAACCTCCCAACTAAATACTTCAACCCTGAAGAAAACGTTCCTTCCATTAAATATTGGGATTCTCAAGTAAATTTTTGAAAAAAAACTAAAAATGTAATTAATTTTCTATATAAAAAAAAGAACAAACTTCCATAAAAGCTCTTACCTGAAATTTACACATACACATAAACTGCTTACCAAAAAAATATAACTTTCACTCCTGAAAGTATTTAAAATTTGTTAGATACAAATCTTGGATCCATCTTGACCTGGTCATCAATTCATGATTTGATCTTACAAATCACTAAGAACGATGAATCTGATATTTACCATGATTTCAAGCTTTCTATGGAAGATGCTAAGATTATATTGGATTATCTTAAGCACATAGTTGTTGAGGAAATTTTTGGCGGAATGTATATTTAAAAAACTTCACAAGAATTACTTTGGGGTTACTAAGATTTATACTTGATGAAAAAAGTAATTTTTTAATTTACATTTATTATTTAATTGTTTTAAAATAAATTTTTATTTAATAATTATTTTTAGGCAAGCTGGAAGTAAGTCGATGGTGGCTAACCTTGGATTGACTAAAAGAGAAAGCTTTTGCAATTAAACAACTGGTAATAAGCAGCAAACTTATAATCTACTTAGGTATACTGGGTAAACACAGGTCTTGAATAAATGTCAAATGTCAATAATATTCAAAAAATTCTAGGAAGCACTCAATTATATCAATACTACACCGTTTGGTCTGCTGATAGCACAAACACTAATAGCATCCAAAGTATTGCTCTTCCTTATTACTTAAATCAAACAGTAACTTTATTATTAAGTAAAAAATCAATATTAAAATTATTACTTTAAACAAGATTTCTGGTAGTCTTGGATTTGGTTTCAAGACAAAAATAGAGGATGGTGATTCCCTTACATTAGTGAATGAAAAGTATGGCAGAATATAGAAATTATCTCAAGGATCTAAGACCACTCACAACTCATAAGAAGTTTACAAATATACATATGAACCAAGCAAATCAGAATCTCAAAAATTCTATGATACTATTTAAGGCATGATGAATGTTACTTCTGCTGCTGGAAATGGTCTTTTCGTTTCAGACTTATATTTCAAGAATGTTAATTAAACTTTAATAGATAATATTAAGCTTAATGGATAACCCATGTTCCAGTCACCTTAAGCTTAATCTACTTCTGATGATGATGCTACTTCTTACTATCTAGTAGAACCTGATTCAGGCAAAACTGTTAAGTTGGCATAAAATGAACAAGTAATTTTTAAATCAAAATTTAAAATAATTATATTAATGTTTTTTTCATTAATAATAAAGCATAATTTACTCTTCACTAATAATTTGTTATTCGATAAGTATCATGTCTAAGATCAATGCTTCGTACCATATAACTGGGATCTTTACAATATGGACTACAATGAATCTTTGGTAATAAATTAAATTAAAATAAAATTAATCATAACTAAATAATTTATAATAAATTAGATAACTAATAAATTCGCAACTTTGAATTCTTAAAACACAACAAAGAAAGCCCTTTTAATTACTTTCATAGTTTTAACTTCACTCAGCTTTATTGGAGCATGTGTTTCATTCTATTTTGCTTTCAAAAGAAGAAAAGCTATCCGTGATGGCTTGGCTCACCCAGATTCCCGTAAAAATTCTGGAGAATAAATTCATTAAGTATCTGAATTCGATTAAATGTAAGAGAACGATACCTCCGTATATAGAACTCATAATTCTAATAATATAAATGGAAATACTGTTAACAATGAGTCTCAAGCTTGAGCAATATTTTTATAAGTAAAATAATAAATTATAAAAAATCTTATCAGCAACCCAAACATAATATCAAATGTTGTTTTCTAATAAAATGTATCAAATATAATCAAAAATTATTATATTACATAATGCATAAGGAGTAAAGCAGGTATAACCTGATTCATTTTCAAATTTAATACTTTAATAAATGTTATTTTAATGTATCAAATCTTTTGTTTATAATAATAGTACACACTTATCTCTCTTCATAAAATATATTTTTCTTTTTAATTATACTAAATGATAAATAATTAGATATATATAAATATATTTAAAATTATTAGTATTTCATTTCAACTTAATATTAAAATTTTAATCTAATTTTTATTTAATCAAATTATGATTTGCTGAAATTTTGCTTTTTGAAATTTAATAAAAAATCATTTTGTTAATTTTACTAGTAGTCGATTATTTTTTTTTCAATTGTTTTTATTAAAATAAAAATTAATAAATAACTAATTTGTAGAGAGTATTACTTAAATTCAATAAAAACATAACTAAAGGTAATTTGAAATAAATTTAAATTAATTTAATTTCTTTTTTAAAATGGACGTTAACTATTAATAATTTATTTAAGAATTGAGAAATATAAATAAAATATAACAATTTTTTATTAAAATATATTAATTATAAATTATATTATTGAGTTAAAGAAAGTTAAATATAATATTTATAATTTTATTACCTAATAAAAAATGCCTTGTAGCTTTTATTTATTTAGATACAAATTATCAGCAAATAAGATATCCAAGATACAAAAAGAAGAGAAAACTTTTATCTTTAAATGATCAATCCATTCCATTGTTTATTGATAGACGATTAACTCTCTTTAGTTAAAAGGAAAAATAAATGATTTCATATATTTTTTTACTAATTTCATTAATGCAAGGAGGGAAAAACAAAGAAGAAAACTAAAAAAAATTAATAAAAATAAATTAAAATTTCCAAAGAAAAGTAAAAAGATAAGGAAAAATAAAAGATAAGGCAAAATGATTAGTGCTCGTGCTGTTCATAGATTTTTAAGAAATCCTAATCTTGAAACTGGTGCTGCTTTTAGAGCTGGTACAAGGTAATACTTACTTTCGCTTATCTGGCTATTATTGGCCATCCTGAACATATAAGGGCGTAAAATTAAAGGTGAAGGAGAATTGAAATTCGCTTCTTTTTTGCTTTTAGGTTAAGAAAGATGTGAAGGTCATTTCTCTTTGTTACCTAAAAAATAAAAAGTATTTATAAAGAAGCAATATCTATAAGGTTTCTTAATAAATCTATATGCAATAGCTCTTATATTCAAAATATAATATATGAAATCAACAATGCAAATTTATTGTAATTTATGATAAATTAAATTATTTTAATAGATTCGACCCTTTCAAGAACACTTTGACTGTCTTGAAGGATCCTTAAAACGGAAGAACTTTATATCTTATTGGTACCACCAATTCATCTACTTTATTAGCCAACAGAACTAAGGATTTGGTCCAAAAAGAAAAGCCTGATGCTGTATTTGTTTAAACCAATAAGGAATGGTGGAACCTTGCCAAGAACATCTAAGATGTTAAATGCCAATAAGAACTCAACAGATATAATGATTTATTAAGCCAAGCTTACACTTTGTCTTTGGACAATACCATCAGAAACCTTGTTTTCAAGGCCAAGTTCTACTCATGGCTCTTTGTTATTAATTGGTTCAAGGGTAATTAATTTTATTTTAACTAGTTTAACAAAACATAAAGCACAAGCAAGAAAAATTAAGACTTAAATATGGATATCAAAAAAAAAGATGAGTGATCTACCAAATTATACTAGCACTACTGCAACTTAAGCAAGAGTGAATCAATATTTACAATAAAAGAATCAGTATTAAATATCTGTAGTTGCATTAAAACAAGTTAGATTCTAAAAATGACAATTAGATAAAATCAGAGAATATAAAATTTAAATTTAGTTGATGTGTAGTTAAATAAAAATTATTAGGTGCAAAGGTGCTGTTAGCAATGGACTAAAATATGAATAGGAAACATACAAAATAGTTAAAAAATAGCATTCATGACCTTTTATTTTCAAAGGTTTAATTACAAATTAATGAATGAAAAATAAAGAAAGTAAAAAACAAATAAAAAGAAATTTTATTTTAGAAGCAGGATTTTATAAATAAACATTTTAAAATCTCTGTCTGAAGTACCTGTAAATTATCATTGATAGGAGATATTGATTTTATTGGACGAATAAATAATTTATTTACTACTTGGCACGCCTATCATTTCTATTGGTAGTGTTGTTTCTTAAGTACTTCATTTGAAATAAGAGAAGTGAAAAATTTAATTGTTTGTTTGTTTGGTATTAGCAAATTTTCAAACAAATAAAATATAAAAAGCAAATATAATTAAAAAAAGATATCCAATATAAAAACTACATACATCATCTGCTAGAATTTACAGCTTTGATTATTTGAATTGAAACTTAAATAAAATTATTTTGATCATTCATTCTTCTTTATTTTGAGATAATTTATTCAGATAAAAACATTAAATCTAAATTTTATGTTTTGAAAGTCAAAGACAAACAGACAGACTTCTGATTGAAAATTTATTTTTTAATTTAATTTGTTTTCTTTGTGATAAATATTGTATTAATTTATTTATTTTACATAAAAATAGCTTTCCCTGATGACTTCCATCCTTTCATTCCTGGCTTGGAAATGAAGTTTGCCATCGAAGAAGCCAATAAATAAAATATCCCTGTCGTCCTTGGTGGATTGGAAGTTGATGATGTCACTCTCTCTGCCTTGAAGGTCGAACCTAGATTAGACCCCTTCTCCCAATTATACTACGGTTACAGAGCTCTCCATAACTCTTTCTGGAGAAGAGAACACTTCGATAACTACGCCACTCTTGATGTTGTTGGAGGTGAAGCTTATGCTGAATCTATGGATAGATTCAGAACTAACTGGTTCGTTAAATACTTCGAAAAGCTAGCTCCTTACCAAAAGAAAATTATTGTCGACCAAAAGGATCTTGACTTATTCTATGCTCTTTACAGAGATACTCCTGGAAAGAAGATCGTCGCTGTCGTTAACCAATGGCACGTTCCTGGTATTGAAAACCACTGGAAATCTGCCACCAACACCCATGAACCCTTAAAGGCTATTAACCCTATTGGTGATATGGATATTAATAAATACATGGAATCTCAACTCGTTAACGATACCTTGAGAGCTTTCGTTTCTAAGGTTGGTAAGACTGAACCTGCTACCTGGAAGAACTACAGCACCATTTATCACAAAGATAACTACGAAGCTGAAAGAGTTCGTCACGTAGCCTTTGTTGATCATAAGGATCCCCATATGTATCACGGACTTCCCCAAGATTACGATGACAATATTAAGCCCAAGCACCACTGAATAATAAAAAAATTTTGAGCAAAAATATTATCTAGGAGTCTTCATATTTGGATGCTTTTATTTTAATAAAATTTTTGAAATTAAGCTAAACAATTTTACTTACATTTTAAAGTCATCAGTATCATCATCACAGAAGAATTATAATTATTTATGCTCATAACTTAACTTATATCATCACTAAGTTGATTCAAATATATGTTAGTAACTTAAAAAAGGTTACCATTTTCAAAATAAGCTAATTATCAATGTCATTTTAAATTTTTTCATTTATTTTCACATATTTATTTATAATGATTTTTTTATTTTAATTTTCATATTTATTTTATGAAATAATTTAACTAAGATAGATCAATAAAAACAATATTTAAATATACTCATTTTTTCATTTGGCTATTTTATATACATATGATTATTTGATCTCCTTTTAGAAAATAATTTGAATATTATATGATTTTATATATTTGAGTTTTACTGAAAATATATTATTCTCTACTTTTTAATAAAAAGTAAATTAACTACTTGATAAAAAATAAATAAGAAAACTTAAAAAAATGTACGGTGGTAAAGAATATGATTTTTTTGGAATTAAATAATGCGATGAAATTATTGCACCTAATGAATAAGGAGTAGGAGGTCTCTACTTAGGTTAGATAGGCCTAGTCTATACGGATAAAATTGAAAAAATGAAAATCGGAGCTGTCGTCTCTATTATTGGCTATACAGTTGCAATCGATTCATCAAAAAATGTAAAGCATTTATTTATTTAAGCAGAAGATGATGAAGATGAAGAGATAAAGCAGCACTTTTAAATGACTTATGATTTTATACATGAGAACTTAAAAAAGACAAATGTATTCGTTCACTGTCAGATGGGGATTTCTAGAAGTTCCTCTATTGTAATTGCTTACTTGATGAAAGAAAAAGGAATGGACTTCTTAGACACTTTAAATTTTGTAAGATCAAAAAGAAGTTGCGTAAGTCCAAATGAAGGTTTTGTTTCTCAACTTATAGAGTATTCATAAGATCTGTAAAACTAAAAAAATAAAAGTAATCAATGATTGATGTATTTATATAAATAATAGATTTATGTGATTTAAAGTTATTTTTAAAACGAATAAGGATAATTTATTTCTGATCAATTTGATATTTTTGAAAAGCTTACGAGTATATACATTTTTACTGATTTATATATAAACGCTTACGATTTTTAAACAACATATAAATATTATTTATGTAAATTATTATTAAACAAGAAAAAAAATGAATTTGAAGAAATATTAACTCTAATTCTTTTAAGACAATTTTATAATAATTTTACTTATTAGGTAAATTTATTGATATATTTTATTAATAATAAAGATTTTTAAAGCTTTTTTCAACAAAAAAAATTGTACAGTTTTTAAATAGTTTTATATTATTTAGGAGATATTTACTTTATAGACATATAATATTAATTAGCTAATTAGTGTTAGTTAGTTTTATGGATATTTATAAATTAATCTCAGCTAATAAATTATAAATAAAATAACTGAAAAATGGTGTCCTTATTTAATATTAAGTAATTAAATTATTTATTGTATATACATTCCTTTTATTATTTATTCTTTGCTTTTACCCTATAACTATCATTATATTTGTTTCTAATTTTATTTATTAGATTTTAATGCTTGCTTTTTTATTTATTAGTTTCTTCGAATTTAGCGAGAGTTATACTTTCTTATCTTAATTCTATTGAAATTTTAAAGGCTTCCAAAAAACATAAATTTTATAAATAAATAGAATGAATCAACGTGTAGATTAATATCACTATTTCTCTAAAATGCTAAATACTCTTTCATTTATAAATTCATGCTTTTTATTTTTATTTTTTAAATCAACTAGACATAGCAATAAGTTAAGTATTGAAAAATTAAGATTTAATGAAGGAGAGAGTGAGTAATTATAGCTATTTGTCAAAGATTTTAGTTGTTTATTGGCTCTGATTTGTTAAAACCGCTCAACTTATTATTATTATTATTGTTGCTATTATTTCCATTCTGATCATTCTATATTTCAAGATTTTCTCTTGAAGGGGCTAAAAATTTTTCAGATTTATTTTGATGCTAATGATCTCCATGCACTGAATGTGTTTTATAATGATCTATTGAACTTCTTCTAGCAGCAATTTTTAGAGAACCTTGCTTGGACATAGATCTTTATGATGGTGCTGATTCAACTTTTTTCTGTTTTGATTAAAAGCATCCCATAATAATATAGCTTTTTCAGTGTGAAACTTATTTTAGATTATATAAACTTTTTTTTAAGCTTTTTAGTATAAATTAGAAAATATTTCTGACAATGCTGCTGTTAATAGCTTGTTTTATTGATGAATGTTTAATATTTTTTTAAGTTCTTAATTCCTTGATAAATAAAATAAAAAACTAAATGTTTTTTGTAATTTTTTTATTATAATTTTTCTATTTATAAAATTGAATAATTCAATTACTGATTACTGAATTTATATATAGAGCCATCTAAAAACATTCTATCATATCTCTGCGACAAAAAAAATCTTGCATAATTTTACAATATTTAAAAGTGTTTTTGTAAGACATTTTATATTGAACTCTACCTATAAAAATGAAGATAAATTATTAAAAAAATGCAAATTTTGAAAAGAACATCGACTCAAATGAAATATAAAATATAAATAGTTGAAATTCAAGTAAAATAAATGCTATTTTTATAAAATCTTGTTTTTTCATCAGAATTTTAGAAAATTTAAGTAATTGCTTATTAATTAATTTTTGTCCTACTGAATTTATCTGATTGTATTTTTTTAGTATCTTTTTTTTGTAGGAATTATCTATCTATCATCTTTTTTTATTTCGTCTATTTTATCAGTCCATAAACTTTTTCATTTATCATTATATTTAATAACGATTTAAAAGTTTCATAAAGAGTATTTACTGGGAAATCATTGTAAGATCCAAATTAAAATTTTTTTAAGTGTTAAAACCAAATTTATTTATATAGATCGAATTATTTTGATTAATTGATAATTATTTTAATATATTAGAGTTTAATTAGTTTTAAATTTTGGTTAATATCAAGAGAGATTATAAGATAACTAATTCTTTTCGAACTCTTCTTCAGAGTAAAAATATCCAATAACTGATCTTCCGTTAAATATACGCCCATCCAAATTTGTGAAGGCATTCATAGCTTCTTCCACTCTATGTATAAATAAACAAAAAACTCAATTAAAGTATAATTAAGAATAAATTTACTGATTATATTTAATGAATATTCTAACAGCATCTTCACAATCTTCAGAAGACATAACGTATATTTTTAAATTCTATATTATTTAATTAATAAAAAATAACATCAAAAAAAGAAAAAATTTTAAATATTAATTTTATTTACCACAACCACTCCATATTAGAAACACTCTTCAGTAACTTCCTCTTCTAAATCTTCATCAATTTCCCACGGTGCAATCAAATTGATAATGCAAACAACCTTTGTTGGAATCCTTTATACATATTACTTTGCATTAAATTAGGTATTCAAATTTGCAAAAAGTATTACAAGTTTCTTTATTCAAAATATCTCTTCATAACTAATTCTTGTGGTAATATAGTAGATAAATCCATAGTACTTTATGTAATGATAGCTGAAGTGTCACTTATTTTCTGTGCAATTATAGGAGCCACAATACCTTGCTAGTTCTTACCCAAACCTATAAATAAATATTTATTTTTTAAGATTATAAGATGCATTTTATTTATTTAATTTATTTATTTATTTACCTTATCCTAATTTAAAACCTTGCTTTTCCATCATTTTATAAGCTTTTTATTCTGAAGTTTCATCTTTTATTTTAAAAAATATTTATAATTGTAATCTGCAGCTGTTAAATTTATTTATTTATTTTAAACATCGATTAATTATTATTTAAATTACAATCTCCTTTAGAGTAGAGATCTGCTGTATCCTTCTCTATTTCCATCTGGCTATTTTTCATTCCTAAACCAAAAGCAGGTCTAAAATCATCATCTTCATCTTCTTCTTCCATTTCATAATCATCATTGTATGATAATTTTTATATATTATTTTGAGGCTATACTATTACTTCTTCTTCAGTGCTGTTTCCTAAAGATTTTTTACTCTTAAACTTTTCTAAGTCTTGCTTTTATTTATTGATTTCTTTCTTTAATATTTCATAATCATTTGGACGAGCAGGGTCATATTCTTCTTTTTACTTCAATATTAAATTTTCATGACTTTATGGTGCTGTAGATTGTTTTTCTTATATTTATACTAATAAAGTAGCTGTGCTTGAAGAACTTGTAGAAGATGCTCCAGTTAATCCATTTTTTTGAAATAAATTTTTCAATTTATCAGTTAGAGCTTATTTTGGTGTAGAAGAAGCTGTAGCTGCATTTACTTCTTATTTTTTAGATGCTAACAATTGACTTATTTTATCTAATTTTGATTAATCTACTTTTTTTACTGCTTCTGCTGTTTAGTTGCTAGAATTATTTGCATCAGCGCCTTGTTTTTAATCTTTTTATTAAGAATCTATTTATTATGAACTATTATTTGGTAAACTGATTTATTAGATATCACTTAAACTATTTTTGCTTAAGTCAGCAAAAAAATTAGCCATGTGTCTTTCTATGCTAGCATTATCTGTTTAACGCTTTTCTTCATTAAAATCAGGTGCTGGTGGAGCCCTTTGAGATAAAGCAGATCTTTTTCTAGCCATACTAAATATATTTTTTAATAAATAGCAAAATTTGGAATGTCTTAATTCAAAACATAATATTTATTATTAGATATATATAAAAGTAATTAAGCAATATTTAGTAATTAAAATAACTAATTTGCATTTTGTCTATCAATTAAAATATATTTAAACTCTATAAAAAATATTTTATCAAATCACCTATGAAAATACGAGTAAATCAAATAATAATAGCATAGATAAGTAACTTTAAGATTATTAACACATTTTATTACATGAATTAAAATAAGGTTTCTTTCAAATATTATACTTTCATAATTTAAAATCAAATACTTTTTTGATAAAAACATTTTTAGTTAATAAAATGATTAAATCTAATAAGAATTACTTAAATTATAACCCTAAGGCTGAGAAATGAAATTTTAAAATATTTCATAAATTTAAATTAAAGACTCTATTTCAATTAATTAAATTTGTTAATTTAAAATAAAATACTCTCTCCTTAATTTAAAAAGTTTAATAAATTTATTAATTTCTAGTTCTTTTTTTTAATTTTTCAGAATAAAGAGAGAATAAAATTTAACTGAAAGTTAATTTTATTGATTGATTTATTTAATTCAAAAATATTTTTAATTTTATCAATTAACAATTGTAAATCCTTTAATAAAATTTAAGAAAATAAACATAATAATTAATACTTACTGATAAAAATTCATTTTATTTTATTTTTAATTTGAAATTATTTATTTACTTTGTTTTAGTTTGTAGCTGTTTTTTTTTTTTTCATTTAGGTAACTTTGTTATTATTATAATTGCAACCAGCAAATTAAACTAGCGTATCTAATAAATTTGTAATTAATTCAATTGATATTTGTAATTAAGTAAAAAATGAGCTAGAGTGAGATAGAGAGCCACAATAAATAATAAGAATAACTGTAAAAACATGATAATAATGACTTCATGCAAAATAATAATCGTTCATCATAAAATTAAGCTTAGGAATAACACTAAGTAGATAAAAATTAAAATAGAAATGGATCTGCAAATGCGCAAAATAATTATTCAAACTAACAAAATTTGTAATAAAACAAATATGTATCTAAATATTAAGAATTCGAAGAAAGAAGCGATTATGTTACTTTGTTTAATTTTGATGAAAATTCGAGAGTCTATCCTTTCTTAACATCGTAATATTTGAATTAAGCAATTTTATATATTGAAAAATTTTAAACAATTAAATCTATTCATATTATTTGCATATTATAAAAGCCCACGATCTAAAGAGGCATGCTTGAGATAAGGCGTTGAAGAGTATTAGCTTTTAAAGAAAACAAAGAAAGACTTTGAAAAAGAATAAATCCCTAATGAATTTAAGGATGATCCTGAGTTTTATATAAATCTTAAAGCTGAGAAGTACGAAAAGAGAAGATAAGAGAGAATACTACAAGTTTAATAGGTAAATATATAAATTACTTGTTAGTTAGTATAAACATTTATTTATAATAAGGAAAGGGATAATATAATTTAAGAATAAAAGAGAGATAGTTAGTTTTAGAGATAAAGCTTTTACAAATCTTAAGGTGGAGAAAGTTCTTAAACAAATTTAACTCCTACTTAGGAGTAAGAAAAGTTAAAGCTCTAAGTATTAAAAAAAAAGCAAGTAAATATAAGCAATTTTGATGATTTATAATAATTTTTAAAATACTATGATAATAATAAATAGGAATAATAAATAGAATTTTTGTTAGAAAATTAAAGGAAGCAATAGGAAATAATGGAAGTAATTTATTTATTTTAATGAGTTTCTTTTTTTAAAGTCTGTTTTTAAATAGAAATAAGAATAGAAAGAATTGAGAGTATTAGAAATGGAAAGAAGGAAGTAATTAGAGTTTGAAAGAAAGAGGTAAGAAGCTGAAGAAGCTGAAAGACATAGACTAAGTAAAAAGCAAGAAGCTGAAAAAATCTAGCAATTAAAGGCTGGAGAACTTTTAGATAGATATTAAGAAGCAGATTTAAAAATTAAAATTAAAAATGAATAACTGTAAAGGTAGAGAGAACAGGAGCAGATAAAACGAGAAGTAGAAAGAAAACACAAGATGGAATCTATATAGGCAAAAATATAATATTTAACAGCAGAAAAAAAAGAATAGATAGAGTAACGTAAGTAGGAAAGAGAGATAAAACTATCAAAAGTCGAGCAAGTAAAATAGATTAAAACTTATATAGTTATTTAATATTATTATTTATTAGTAAAAGCATGAGGAATTAGTAGAGAGAATGAAGAAAATGAGAGAAAAAGAAGAAGAGCACAGAATTAAATTAGAATAGTAAAAGGTTGAGGAAATTAGGCAGAAATAACTTGTGAAACAAGTAAAATTATAATATCATTTTAAGTAGTGTAATTTTTATATTTATTTAGAAATATGACGAAAAATTATATGAAACAGAATAAAAAAGACTTTATGATTAGCAAGTTTAAGAATAGCAATTGTAAAATAGAGTTATAGTTAGGATGGAAAAAGAAAGAATAATTAAGAAATAACTTTCATAGAATTTCAAGGAAGAGTAAGCTAATAAAAAGAAGTTACTTTAAAGATTTGAAGAAAAATAGCAATAACTTGAATATTAAAGAATGAAAAGACTTGAACAAATAATGGAAAGAAAAAAATCATAAGAGTAGCATTAATAAGAGGTTTTAGACAGAAATAGGAGAAGTGTTTAGTAGATTAATTTAGAGAATAAAACATTTTTATATGAGCTAGAGAGAAAAACAATAATCGTTAATGAAAACAGATAGTCAAATATTAACCAATTAAGAAAGAGGGTAGCATTAGAACTACTTAAGATTGAAGAAGCAAAAGAAAACTAAGAAAGAGTAGAGAAAATGAGAGCTTATTAAAAGCAAAAACTTTTGAATAAATTGCATGAAGATTAAATCAGAATAGAAATGTAATAAAAAGAAAAGGAAGAATAAAAAAGGAACAGAGAAAATTTCAAAAAGTAATTAAATGATGAAAAACAAAGATTAGTAAAACAATTTGCTTTAGAATTAGAGTCTTTGAAAAACTCTAAAAAGGAGTCCTTCATGTAAAGCCATTCTTAAACTGTAAAAAACTTGAATTCATCTCATTACGAAAACAGTTAAACTTCTTCTCAATTTATTCAACATAAAAAAAACAAATACAATACTCATTCTCATTCTCAAGAAAATATTCATTAAAACAACTAACAAATTGAAAGCAAATCAAAGCACCACAAAAAAAATCAAGGAAGTGTATCTAAAAGTAATTAGTAGCATTAATATTTAGAAGTCCAGAATACTACATAAAATGAATGCTAGATTTAAGAAGATAAAAAATAAAATGAATAAGAAGGACAGAACAATGGGGAAACACAATAAGTACAATAAGGAAATTTAGAAAATTTATCTTAAATAAAACCTCACAAAACTAACAATAATTAATAGCATACTTAAGAGCTTAATAAGTCTTTATAATCAAATGTATCATACTCTAATTTATTTAATAGTTATTAATCAATACTTTTTTATAAATAGATATCTCCTTCACCTTAAAGACTATAATACTTGAATGCCTCATTTTCTAATCCAAAAGTCAAAGCTTATGGAAGAGATATTACAAAAGAAAAGTTAAAGCTGTTAATTGAATATGAAAAATAAAATAGTATAGAATATAGTAAAACAAAGAAAGCTGGTAAAAAGAAAAATATCAAAGTAGAACTTAGTTCTACTTTTTCTGTCCTAAGACAAAATCAAATTGATGAGATAAACGAAAATCTTAATTTTTGGAGTTAGGCTACTGAAAATATTTTGAAAGACTTTCTTAATCAGCAAAAAGTATTTTTTTTTAACTTAATTTAAAAATCATTAAACTAAATTTAATTAAATAGGATCATTAAAATAATAGTGAGGTTGCTTAACTTAGTGAAAAGCTTATCAATTTATATTAGTATAGTTATTAGTAAATTAACATTATTTTAAATACTTTTTTCAAAATATTAGGAGCTAAATAAGTGCAGATAAGTAACAAAGAAAATAAATAAATTATTTAGGGCTTTTTAAATGAAATAAAAGAAGATAATTACCCTAATATAAATATTTTTTACATTCTATTTGTTTAAATTCACTTTTAAATTTTTCTATTTTTAAAAAATTTAATTAATTAAATTTAAAAATTTTAGCTTAATTATAATTTTTTTTATTTGAAATTAAAATAATAATTATTTTAAAATTTTGCTTTATGAATTAGTTAGATAATTATAAAAATAGTTTTAATATTTAATGATATTGCAAATATAATTTTTTATTTTAAAATTATTTTATGTGTTTAAAAATTTCCAAATGATTTTATCCAAATTAAAAAACAAAAAAAATTAATTTAAAATTTGTTTGTTACTTTGTTAATTTAATATTTTGATATCAGAAATTTTAATAAAGTAAGAGTCTATCTTTTGTAAAAGAACCAAAACTAAAGTATTTGATGATCTATTAAGATAAAATAGATTAATAAGTAAAATTCATTTTTTGATAATTTTGAAAAATAAGGTTATTAGAATCTCAACAAAGGTTGTTTGAATTATTGAATTTAGGAGGGATTTCTTTTTAAAATATTTAATATTCAAATTAATAATGAATCTAATTAAGAATAGAGGATCATTGTAAAATGAGAGACATTTAATTTAATAATATCTCTTTACCAAATTTTTTCGAAACAGAAGTGGATTAAATGAGGAAAATTTTGTTTCTTAAAAGAAAGTAATTTAATAGAGTTATAACAATAAATAAAATTAAGAAGTCCTTAGAGAAAGAGATTATTAGCTAGCTAGCTATCTAAATTATTAAAATAAAGCACTCGGGGAGAAAAAACAAAATTTCTTTCAAATTAATATTCACAGCATCATCTAAATATAAGAAATTGCAGGTGTCGAATCAAACAAGGTATTCACTTTTGTTATCAATCTGAGTTACTAATAAATATATTCATTTTATAAATACTCAACAAAAGGCCTACACAGCACAATAAAATTAGCTTAAAGCAAAGAGGAAACTACTAAACAAGTACAAAAAATAATAATATAAATAAGTTTTAAACATGTCTTAGCTTGAAGAATACTTAGAAAAAATAAATCATTTACCTATTGATGTCAACAGATAATTGCGCTTAATAAAGGAATTAGACATCAGAATATAAGAAGGGTCAAGAAAATTGTAGGAATTACAAGAAGAATACCTCGCATAGTTGAGATAGGCGAAGGATAAAAAATAGGAATCTAAAAATTTAAAAGAAAAAAGAAGAAATATTGAACGATTGTAGAGAGAAGTTCTAGGTCAATCGAAAGAAAAAGTAGGAATTGCAGAATAGATGTACTCATCAGTAGATTAGTCTATAATTGAATTAGAAAAAGATTTGAAAAAGTTAGATGAATAATTAAGATAAAACTAAGTTGCGCAAGAGTAATATATGGCTAGAGAAAAGAATGTATAATAAGAAACGACTATAAAGAAGAAGCCTAATAAAAAAGAAACTAAACATTTGGATAAAACAAATAAACGCACAGAGAGACAGACATATTAAAGTAGAGATTAATATAAATAAATTCCCTTTTTCACTAAATTTTGTTTCAGAGTCCCCTATCCTATTAAGAATAGCAAACACTTAGTTAGTTATACCAAGCAATAAAATTTTTTTTTACTAATCACCTATGATAATTTGCATGCAAAAAAAAAAAAAACACAAAATTTCAGTCAAATAATAAAAGGAAAATTATTAAATGATAAAATGCAAATTTTGACAACAAATTAAATTTCTTGTCATTCATTAATACATATTCTTTGCAAAGAAAAAATCATCTCTATTAGATAGAAAGATTATAGGCGATTAAAATCAACATTTTTCAATTTAAAAATATTAAAATTAAGTAAAGATATTCAATAAATTTAGATATAAAGTCTATTTTTATTTTCATTCAAACCCTGAAACATTTAAAATAAAGTATTTATGAAAATATCATATTTTAATTACCATATTTAAAATAATAGATGTAGAAGCTTAGTATAATGATGCTGGATTTGATTAGAATGAACCTAAATATTGCTATTGTGATAAACCTTATTACGGAAATATGTAATTATTTACATTTATAATGATTTGAATAAATAAAAATTTACTTATTCATTTTAAATATTCTATATTGACAGAATATTTAAAATTTCCCCTTTTTCTTCAAAATTATTTGCTGTTTCTCATAAAAATAGCTTTCTAAACATTTTATTTATTAAATAACAAAGGATTTATTGTGAGTCAGAATATTGTGAAAGAGAATGGTTCCATTATGAATGTGTAGGTATTACAGAAGCTCCTGAAGGTAGTTGGTTTTGCAAAGACTGCCTTAAGAAATAAAAGAAATGAAGCAATTAAAGCTGATTAATAATTAAATAATTTTAAAATAAAATAATACAATAAATAAATAAATTAAAAATAGCCTTAACTCATTTATTTATTTTTAAATAATTTGAATACAAAAAACTTAGCAAATAGAAACCAAGCAAGTGTAATTTTTCTTAAACTCAAAAAATAAATTATATCTATATTAATAATGACTGATAGACAGCTGATAGCTAGCTAGGCAGCTAAACTAATTCTTATAAAATTTATAATTTGTAAAAACAAATACAATCCTATCAATTAAATAATTTAAATAAATAAATAAATATTTTTGCTGAAAAGCCAAAAGTTTCTTTAAATAAAGTAATAGTATTTAATGCTTTTTATATATATACGAATAAATGTTTTGTACTTAATTATGAATTAGTTTTAAAAATAATATTTTTCAATTTCTTATTTTGAATTTAGATATATCATTTTGTTTCTTCTTTTAATTTATTGTATAAATTTTTGGAAGTATAATACCTAACTAAGATATTTTAGAATATTTTATTTTATATCATGTTTTTAATTAGTAATAAAATAAAAATTAATTGATAAAAAGCAAATTTTTGAGTAAACTAATTTATAAGTATCCATATTTTAAAAAAATAAAGCATTTAATTATATTTTCTTTAAATTTGATAAAGCATTTCATAAAATTTTTTTATCAAACATCCATCAACTTAAAAATTGTAATAGAAAAATTAAATATTTTTTATTTTATTTACTTTTCAAAATTATATTTTATTATCATTAATCGAAATTTAAATTTTTTATTTTAATCAATATTATTAATATTTATCTGTTTTTTTAAAAAAATTTTGTTTTATCTAATTTAAATACAGTTTTGTGATACTATTTTTTTAAAACTCTAAATTATAAAAATTGTAAAAATATGTTTTAACTAATAAAAAAAATTAAAAAATTTTAAGGTTTGAAAAATGATAGCTAAATTAAGTTTTAGTAACATTTGTAATTTTAAAAATAGAATTTAAATTTAAAATATAAGTTTATAAATTTTTTGAAAATATTCAATTTTATTTAATTTTTTGATTGATATATTTTATTTACTTTGCTAAAAATATCAGAATACTTAGAGATTTATTATAAAAATAAAATCTATAAATCAAATTATTGCTTGTTAATACTGAAATATGTAAATTAAAAATAGGATTTATTCAATGAATATGGATATAAAAAAACCAAAAGTAAAAGATGGTTAAACACTAATGATTGGTATTCAAATACCAATTCTTATTGATAATATTTCTAATACGATTTATAATAAAACTAGAGGTTATTATTGAAAGTATATCTTTTTTGATGAGCACTGTTACCTTCTGTAATTATTATTTTTTTAAATTTGCTATGAAATTCAATTAAAAATTTTTGTTAATTTTCTTCATATGAAATTTATAAACAAATTATCAACCAAAAACAAAAATATTATTAATATCCTTAACTATTTTTTTGTTTGATTATACAAAATAAATAAGCATTTTACATATCTAATTTTCACAAAATAAAAAAAAAAGAAAGAACAATAAGACCCTCATCTAATTTAAAGAGTTCGTTCCTACTTTAATTAGCCAATTATATTAATAAATAAGAACAGCTATAATCTCAATATACTGTTTAATTATTTGCTAGATACTTTGATTTAGCTGTCAAATAAAATCTCATAATTTGATATCAATACAGCAAAATGAAAAAATATATCTTGATTTCAATACATCTATTAATACTTCAAATAGTATCCTCGCTCTGCGGTACCATTTAAGGATGGGATTTGGAAAAAATACAAGGATATGATGGATCCACACAAGGATATAAACTATATATCAACTTGGATTCTGGATTAGGACCTAGTGATTTTATTTAAGTAGTATTTCCTCGTAATTTGGGAATTAATGTGAAGGCTAGTCTCTACCTTTATCAAAATAATATGTTAATAGCTAATTAACGAAGCTTAGCATACTGGCTTGTGGAACCTGCTCCCTTTTAGAGTTCTTTTAGGTACTTCTTTTAAATTGGTTATCAGTTACAGCCATAAACTTGGTATACTTTAATTTTAAGTTCAATAACTAAGCCTCCTACTTAGATACTCTTCTAAGACCCTATAATGATATAAACTGTTTCAGATCCTTGCATTCAAGGCGGAAGTTGTAGTCCTATAATTTATGACATGAATCACTCTTTTGCACTTCTTTATGATACTCTACCATAAAGCCTACCAAGTCCTAACATTCAAGTCTCATTTTAAGCCATAAACAATTACAATTTACTTCCTGGCTCAAGCTATTACACTTTTATCGATATAACTCCTACTGTATCAGATCCTTTAGGCGCTACCTATACCATTTCAATTTAACAAAGTACAGCAAATTTAGGGTTAGGTATCAGATATAAAAATTATTTAAAATTAAGGAATATTTTACAAAATTTATAAAAAGAAAATATGCTGCTGTAATTGAAAAGAAATTATATTTTATTTTTAAATAAAAATTTTAGGAATCAGCTAAGATTTTAGATTTAAGGGTGCATGTTATTCTGATGTTGTTAACTGTAACTCAAATAGTCTACCAGGTTGTGTTACTATTACTTAAGTAAATTTTTGTAGCTTAAAAATTATTATTAAACTTCTTAAAATTTAAACAAAGGTACAGAATTCTACTTGCATAATGGATTAATTATTTGGTAGTTTGACTTTTAATATTAATCAAGCTTTAGTTTAGGGTTAGATTTTCCGTATTAAAGTAGAAATTGAAAATCCTATTTACCAGTCTTAGCGTGACATAAATATATATGCAGTAGGAAAGACTTCTTAGGCTACTATTGAAAAAGGGGTTTTTTAAAATGCACTTAAAACACAGTTAATCAACATTTCTCATGCTAAATACACTTACCTGTGGGGAATTCCAGATAATTAACCCCTTTTATCTGGAGACATACCATACACCCTTTTCAGAAGTGGGCCTAATTTATTCACAATGAACAGTGTAAAAATTTCATTTACTGTTGATTAAACTATACCTATGGGCTAAGAGTTTATTGTTACTGTTTGCTTCGGACAAGCAAGTGATATTCTGACAAATTCTATTGTTACGAATCTTCCTCGTTTAGATTTAAACCTAAATCCTACTTGCTACACCTAAATAAACCCTGCTATTAATTCATGTGTTATCTGTGAACAAGTAAATTTCAAATTAAATTTTTGTTGTTGAGTAACTAATTTTAAATATAAAAAAAGGTTGGAGCTCTTGCTTATTAAAATTATAACTATTTTGTTGCAGCTAAAGTTTATTATTCAAGCAGCACTCCCCTATAAATTTCTAATTTCGGTGCTGTTTCAATAATATTAAAGAACTAATAATCTGCTGCTTTATATAACCCTTTTTTAGGTGACATTATTCAACTTTAAGCAAATACTGAATATTTAGATTTAAATGGATTTCATTCTAATCAGTTTGGTATTGGATATACTTAAATTGTTTCAGTACCTGATAATTAATCACTTTCTGGAACAGCTGATGGAATAGGATAATTCCTATCTTCAAGTAAAAAAAATACTGTTGGTATAATCCCATAGTCTAATCAAAGTTAATAACTACTGTTTTTATTACAAGTACCTTAAAATAGTTATGTTGGTTTAACACAGTAACTTTTTAATATTTTTAATCTAAACTTGGTTAATATTATAAAATTTTTATTAAAGAAATCCAGGAAATAGTGTCTACAATTTTAGAATGTCAGTAATGTTTAATCCAAATGTTTTATCTTATTAGCAAGGATTCGATTAATTTGGAATCGATTTTGCAGCATTTTAATTAGGATCTGGCTCTGTCCCAAATTAATGGAATGTTAACTAAGTAACATGTTATGCAGCAAATGCTTGTACTTGGTACAATTAAAATGGGTAAAATAAACCAAACAATAACTTACAATATAGTCCTTCTACCACATCAGCAGTATATAATATATAAAGATTTGATTGCATATGTAAATTTATTCTTAATATTAAATAATATAAAGAGTCTGTTGTATTTTATTATTCATTCAATGATTTTTATAAATAATAGCAAGTAATTTTGGTGATTGTAACAACTGGTAGGGATATAAAACAACAGCTTCAGGATTTTCAGGAGTTTTTTCAATGAGAAGAGTTCAGTTCAAGTCTGGATTTTAATCTTAAATATAGCCAGATGACCAGTTACTTGATTTTGTAATTGCATTCTAAAGAGGTTTAATCACTGGAAGCAACCAAGTTTAATATTCACTTGTTTCTGCATAATTGATCAATGCATATACCATCTCATATAACTAATTGCAAAATGCTAAGATCAGCTTTGTTAACTTTAGTGATAAAACCCTCAATCCTGGTCATAAAATACCTACTTTTTTAAGGATTGGAGGTAGTATAATGCCTTCTGAAAACTTGTAAGCTACAGCAATAGCAGTAAATTATGAATGATTTCTTAAAACATACAAAATTAAAATAAAATTTAAAATATAGATTTTCTTTGACTAATCAATTGAAGTTAATTGGTTTTATGACGAGTAAGGTACATTAGGTAGATAAACTAACAAAGAAATAGGATGTTCAGCAGGTACCTGTTATTTATATGATACCAAAGTAGTTAACGGTTATGAAACATGGATGAACAACATGATGGTTTTAGCTACTGATCTCATGAACATTGAAAATGAATTCAATTTGCTTATTCCAGTTTAAAATGTTATGGGTGGATCTTCAGTGTCTTTCCCAACCAGGTTAAATATTGCTTTTTGTAACTTTAACAGAACTTCATTAGGGGTGAGAAATTAACTAAATGTATTATCAGTATACAGAGTTTATGGAGCAACTGTAAATGGAATAATTACTCAAGCTATTACTCCTATAAACGGACTGAACCAAAATTTATTCCCTAACACTTTGAGCTTTAGCTCTTTAACATGGTAAGCTGATACAGGTAAAAGATTTAGTTTAAAATATAATTTTATTAAACTTAATATTTTTTAATTTAGGTTATTTGGCTAAATATACTCTTTAAACTTTAAATATTTAACCCATTGGAAGTACTAATACTCTTTTTGCAGCAGATACTTCAACAACTTTTCCAACAGGCACATTTAATCCTACATACAAAGGTGCTGGAGTTACATTATGTAGTCTGTACTTTAATGTTTTCGGTCCTAGTTAGCTTTAATTTGCTTCACCCCCTTATGGTGTTGTTGGTAGCTGTACAAATTTTAGTTATACATTTAATGATAATTCAAATGGAGGTCTTTATGCTGATTTTGATGGAAAAACAATTTATTGCTCATTTTGTCCTATCGATTAGCCATATCCTAATCTCAATACAGCGTAATAAAATTAATATTAATTTCAGGATATTAACTAAATTTATATATCTATTTTAATAGGTAAGGAAATATTGTATGGAATAATCCGTATTTCAATTAATATTTTACTGCAAACTTGAATATATAAAGTATTTTTACTTATGCCTTTTCATCTAGTGTTGGTAAAATATTTTCTATGTATTCTGATAGCCAGTAAGTAAGCTCTTTGAATTATAATACTTGCATAATTAACAACATCATGAATCCAATTTATCCTAACTCTTTAGGAAAGTAAGTAGTATAGTTATCGTATCAAATAAAAGCATAGCTTCAGCTTGATAGTTAGGCATTAATAGGCTTTGGCTTTGTATAGATAGTTTTTACTTTTAGTTAATCAATATCATAAATCTCTTTTATTGCAAATACTTGCACATTATTAACTCAATCTTCAACATAGCTAACTTGCTCCTTTTCAACAACTCCAAATGCTATAACCTTTGTTATTTAGCCTTTATCTACTTATTTGTTTTAAGTTTTAGAGACTGTTACTTTCTAAATTTATGCTAAAAGTATTAACTTTTTTAAAAGTGTTTATTTTATTTATTTTCAATTTTAAAAAAGCAAATGGATTAACTACTGGTATACCAAACTTAACTTATTAAATTTCTGTAAATTTACCTACCTTAAAAGGGGGAAATGTTAGAATATTTGGTCTTGATACTAACGCAGCTTCAAACACATATGTTTTATTTGCTTAGTGCACAGGAGGAAGCTTTTCCTTTTCAACAATGTCTTACAGTAATTATATGAGTGTTGGAAGTTTATAATTTGATATATTTAATGTTGGAGCTAGATCTCCTTTTAACTTTACTTTTATTCCTCAACAAAGAGAGAGATTCTATTCTTCATCTTATTTTTCAATTGATTTTGGTTTCTTAAGAGCAGGAAATGCTAATTTGGTTGGTGATAATAAATTTAGGTAACGACATTATTATTAAAGTTTTTTATATCAAAGCTAATAATCAAAAATATATTTAAAAAGGTGTGTTGTATATGAAGCACCTAGCACATTAACTTAAACAGGTACTAGCACTTATGGAAGTTATTCTATTAGTTGGAGATGGTAGCATATTGAGTATAATGCAGCTCTAAAAGATGTAAGAATATATCCTAAGGCAGATATTATGCAGCCAAGTAATTATAACTTCTTACTTTAATGTTATGGAGGTATAGTGCCAGCTCCAGGTGCAGTTGAAGCATCAGAAGTTTTATAGGCTTCTTGGATCGATGGTACTGAAACTCTTTAAAAAACAGCTTCCCCATATCCATACCCTTCATAAAATGTTATAAGTACTACAAATATTTAGAGTTCAATAGTACAATTGTAAAGAAAATACTGGGTGAGCAATGGCAACGAAGCAATATACTCCTTTTAGCTATAGACTAACAATTTTAACCTTGATTACTTCTCTCGTATTTATATAGAATTTCCTTACTTCATTCCACCAGGAATAAATAGGGAAAATAATCCTGAATGTTATATTAGACTAAATTCTGTGGCATCAAATTCATTTCCTGCATTTTCAGATTATTCTTTGGCATACTGTGAAGTAACAGGAGAGAGGAGAATCTCAGTCTGGTCAAATAAATAAATTACACTTGGAACAGTATTTTATTTAGATATATACGGAGTTTTGTAACCAACTTTTTATCGTTTTAACACAATTAATCCTCAAATTTGGATAGGATTTGACAATGATTCATTATTTTCTAATGGAATATAAGAATTTAATTTCATAGCTGATTAAAAAACACCCAGTCCAGCCCTTACCCCATCTTATCCTTTACAGCCCTTCACTGTCACAAGTGTATAAGTAAGCAACACGATTATTCGTTCGACTTTTACATTGACTGTGACATTCATTTAAGATCCCTCTTAACTTCAGCCTGGATATTTATTGTATCTCTTGCTGACTTAAAGTTTATCAGACATGAATAAATTAGGTTAAATTAATGCATGCACATTATTTAATCAAGGAGATATGAATACAAATTTAGCTTAAGAATGCGATTTTTTGAGTTCAAGATTAATTATCATCAAAAGAAATAATTAAACTCCAAGCTCAGCTTCCACTTCTAATAGCTTTGTTTTAGCAATTTAAAACCTCCCAACCCCAAATTATGTTCCTCTTTTGGTAAAGAATAAAATCCGCTTCTTACTTTACAATTCATATGGATTATCTAACTTATTTGATCAATATGTTGATTACATGGGGTTGAACTATTAAGCTGGAGTTGTCTCTTTTAATTCAGATCCAAATAGACAAAATCTTGGCTGGTACATATACAACATAGTAAAAAGTATCGATCCAGCTAATTCAAACAATAACATAGTGGCTTAAAATTTAGAATCGAATGGAGTTGTTTATGTTTACATCGGATATTACAAAAAGCTAATTTAATTACAGCCAGATTAAAATGTATTTTAGCTTAACATGAATATAACGTTATTAGGAAATCTTTCAAAGTTTTCTTTTAAACCTAATACATTTAATGTTTTTAGTGGTAATAACATGATGCAGTTTAGTATGGCTGCACTTTAAACAACCCCAACAGGTATTGAAATTTTAAACGCAAATAAAATTGGTGATCCTCAAAACATTTACACTCCTATACCTGCACTTAAAGTAATAATAAGTGGCTAGTTATGCCAAATAAATTCAAGATTTTCGACTTATAACATACCCATAGGAGGATTCTCACTTCCAATAGAGCTTGATTTCTTTAATTGTATGCCTGTTAATGACATTACATATACTCCAATTTTTAATAACTTGAGTTCTAATAATCTTAATATTGCCAGGTAAATCTTTTTTGAATATGCTTTTTTAAACTTTTTGTCTTTTATGTTTAAAGTAGAAGAAATAGATTTTTTTTTAATCTAAAGAAATTTATTTTTTATAAAAATGAAATTATCAATTAATTAACTTTTGAATTTGAATAAATTTAGTTAATATTTAGTGAATACTATTAATGGTGCCAAATTAGATCCTAGAATGTTTTTCGTTATTTAGGAGATATCAAAGGACAGAAGCAAGATTGGTAATGCTATTACCTTAGATTTTAAAATTGGAGGAACAAATGGTCAATCTTTTTAAGCACCTGCTGATATTACACTAGTTTTAGTTGATCCTAATTAAAGTTCTTATAGCCTATCTCCTGTAGCTTCTTAGATATCTAGTGTATAAATTGGATAAAATAATGTAACATTTAGTATGTAATGTAGTTAGCCATCTATTATCTTTTGGGTTGTTGGTAAAAAACAATTATTATTATATATAAAGATTAAAACTAATAATTTAATAGGTTTAAATCCTTCTTTGTCTAATATTGATGATAATGTGATGAAAAGTTAAGTGACTGGAGCTAATGGTCTAATTACTAATATTACTGATCCAAATGACCCAAACCTTAAAATGTTTGGTACAGAAATTGCTTACTCAGCTACACCTTTAACTAAAGTTTTCAATGGTTTAAGGCCAAATGGAAATTATGACTTTAAATACTTTTGCTTAAATTAAATGAACTAATAAAGCATAATATAGACTACAAGCTGGAAAATACCCGATAACGGATCATTTTTGATGAAACTTACTTTTTCCTTTTCTTAGTATATAACTTTTAACTAGTAGAAAAACATAGCATGTGCACTGGCATAATATTTCTAAATACCACAAGCAAGGGTTATTACAGACTTTTATACTACCTGTAGCAGTTATCCTAATTATAAAAATTTAAATGCTAATAATTTTATAGTTAGGTCAAAATAAAATGGAAAATATTTGTAATAAATTAATTATAAATTTAATTAAAAAAATTTAATATATCAAATTAAAAAATAGGTATAGTTTTTACATATAGCCTAACTATTTAGCAACTACGGATTTGACAAACTTGGTAGTGAGAGAATAAGTAAATGCAAATAATTTCATTATGTCCTTCCTTAATACAGTATCAAACTCATCTAGCTTACCAAGTCTATCTGATGTATCAACATAAGATGTAGTTTCAGTAAATACTCCTGAGATAGCATAAACTGGATAAATATTAACTTAGCAAACAGTTACATTTGTTTATTTTACACTACGTGCTGTAGATGGATATATAATTGTAGGATTAGAGTAGGGATTACAAAATAATATCCCTTCTGCAACTCAAATTAAGTAAGGCTTAAACTCTTAAAACGCTACACTTTTTACTTTTGAGATGAGATATAGTTAGAGAGAGGTTCAATAAGAATTTAAATTTATTTAACTTCAACCAGGAACAACGTAAAATTTTTTTACTTTTTTATTTTCTTATAAAAGCATTTAAAAAAAGATACACTGCTTATTTCTATGGATCTAATGATGATCCAAGTCCAAACGCAGTCACTACTTAGCCTATTGTTCTAAATTTTAAGACTCTTGGTGATTCTTATAGTGTAGTAACTGTTAGTTCTAAAATACTGTGTTTCACATATATTTTGATATCATTACTATTACTGATAATTATTTGAAAAAATAAGAATATGAAATAATTTAATTTGACTTAACTAACTATATTATTATATTGATTTATATATATATATAACTTACAGCATTCTTTATTAATAAATAAATTAATTAAAAAATATTTTTATTTTTTATTTTATCATTAAAAATTTGGCTCCTCAAAACCTATTAAAAGCAAAAGCCACTAGTGAATAATTTTAAAAATATTTGGTATTTTTGTAATATATGAGATTAGGTACAATAAATAATAAATAAATTTTTAAAATTATTTAAAAATATTATATAATCTATACTATCTATCAGAATCTATTTTAAATAATCACATTCTTAATTTTTTAAAATAAATGAATTTATTTAAATGGTGAAAGTTTTATGTAAATAAACAAAATAATCAAAATATTACATCGTATCTATTGTAATTTGATAATTTCATAATATTCAGTTTAAATTATTACCATTTTTTTGATGAATTTTCCCAAGGCATCTTTAATTTCAGCCAGAAAATATATGTACTGAGAGTGACTAACTTTATAAGTTTTACAGTATTTCAAAACATTTTTAAAAATAAATAAGATGTAAATCATTCTAAAAATAAATTTTTCATTAAATTGTTTATCAACTAATTAAATTATTAAAATTCATCTTCATTTAATTAAAATTTTAAACATTTTAAATTGTAATTTATTTATATTTTTTACATAAAAATATATATTTAAAGTATTTTAAGAATTAAAAAAAATAAATATGAAGTATTTAAATTATGTTTTTGCTTTTTCAGGTAGAGAAGTTATTGTTAAAAAAGAAATAATTAAATAAAAAATTGAAAATTCTTAATAAGATATTTATAATAGTTTATCAATTAATATTAAAGAAAGGATTCATATTTTTATATTTTTGAATTGATAATTCTTATATTAGTAAGAAATAAACTTTAAATTGATATGAAAAGCAAATTAGAGCTTAGAATTTCATGTAAAAAAACCAATAATTAATTTACATATATTGATTGATGTATTTTAATTCATTTTTGAAATTATTTATTAGCCTTACAAAATTAAGATGTAATAAACATTTCAACTAAAGCTAATTAATAGTTAAAAAAGATTTGTTAGTTCTTAATATTTTTGTGGTCTAATCTAGAATATCATCAGCTCAAAAACTCTATAAGTAGAAAATTTTTTGTTTTCCCAATTTCCTAACTACTATACAATTAGATTTTACAATTAAGTTTAACTAATAAATTGAGCTAAAATGACTGATTTCACAATCTAATTAATAATAGTATTTATCGCCTGTGCTTTATAGCTTATAAAATGTGGATATATAAAATCATGGGACATCATAACATTAGATGATTTTAGTGGTACACCTAATAGATTTTAGATGTATTTTAACCTAGAATCTGGTTTATCTGAGAAGGAGTATATTTAAATAAACTTCCCTGATCCAAATATTAAAGTCCTAAGCTCAGATTTGTATCTTTATGAGAGTTCTCTCCTTTTAGTGTCTGGAGTCAATTGCATAAATTATGTTCCTTCATTAAAAAATTACTACTGCTAATACGGAATAGCTTTAAATGCTACAACTTGGTATTCAATAGTCATGCACGTCGACCCATCATTAATAAATTGGTCAATTTCATAAATTGAACCTGTCGAAATGATTACAGTTTCAAATACCTGCTATGGTATATTAAATTGTTCACCAATAATATATGATATGAATAATTACTTTGGCTATCTCTTAAGAACCCAAATAGGAATTAACATACAAACAACTTTAATAAAAGTGAGTTTCAATACAACAATAAATTCACAAACAATTCCTGGTTATATATATAATACATATTTGGATATAACACCAGGAATAAGCTACTATAGTGGTGCTATTTATACAATTACAATTAATCCTACAACAACTTTAACAGGTAATTAAATTTGAGGCTTTAATTAAATAGAAATTAAGATTAAGCACAAATTTTATAAAATATTTTTGTGGTTTTCAAAAAAATAAATTAATATTTTTAAAAAATAAATAACAGATCCTATTTTTAACTTTAAATTTGGACTTTCATGTTTCTCAGACATTTTAGATTGTTAAGTTAACTATTCTCCTATGTGCACTTCTATACCATAGGTATTCTAAATTAATTAAAAATATATATTAAATAACTAATTTTAAATATAGATTTAAAATTCAACTTGTAGCGTAAACTAAAATCTTAATTAAATTAGTTTCTAGATAAATCAACCAATCTTTGTTGGTTAAACTTTCAGAATTAATGTTTAAATTTATAATCCTCTCTCTTCTCCTTAAAAGGCTGATATTAGGGTGCATGGATAGGATATTACTACCTAAAGAACAACAGAGAAAGGAGTTGCTGCAAATGCTCTTTAGACATAAATTATTTAAATTACAAAGAGTAAATTTAATTTTATGTGGGGAATGTCATAATAAGAACAAGGACTATAAAATTCGCCTTATAAGTTGTTTAGTTCTGTTAATCTTCCTACTGTAAATAGTGTTTACATTTCATTTTAAGTCAACTTAGCTATACCAATCGGTTAGGAATATAAAGTTTTAGTATGCTTAGGAAAAGCATTGGGAATAATAGAAAACTCTATTGTAACTAATCTTCCTGCTTTAAACTTAAACTAATATCCACTCTGCTACCAATAAGTCGATTCTTTTAATAATGTTTATGTTGCTTGTGAATAAGTAATTTTTTTATAAATTTTGGAATAATAATGATCTTTTTGTTTTAATTCATTTAGGTTGGTGCATTGATATAGTAAAATTAAGATTACTTTGTTTCAGTGAAAGTATCATATGCATCTACAATTTCTATTGCATAAGGATATGGAGGAGTTTAAATTTTTTTAAAAAATTATCCAAGCAACAAATTATACAACCCATATCCTGGAGAAAATATTAATATTAAAATTAATGATGAATTTTACGATGTTAACGGATTTAGTCTGGCGTATGGACTTGGAACTACATAAATCGTTTCTTACACTGATAGTGAATAATATTCAGCTGTACCAAATGCAGTAGAAAATTTTCTGTCATCTGATATGTCAAATACCGTTGGTATAATTCCTTCTGATGTATCAAACTAGCTGCTGCTTTTCTTTTTGAAAGTTGACTAAAGCTAATTGATTCCTTTGTAAGATTTTTATAAATATAAAATCATTATATTTATTAAAGTATATAAATTACTATTTTAAAATCAAAAGATCTACAAGTTTTCCTTAGTATATGATAAGAATGAATATCTTATATAATCCTAATGTTATAATTTATGAATAAGGATATGATTAAATGGGTCTCGACTTTGCTGCCTTTTAAACAGCAACTGCCTCTGATCCAAATAAATGGACTGTTGATTAAATCTAGTGCTATAATAAATTAAAGTGTTCTTGGTACAATTAGCAAGCAGCTGTGAGTCCTTTAAATTATCTTTAAACAAGCCCTCCAACTGCTACCGTTCCATATAATATATAAAGATTCGAATGCATTTGTAAATATTTTTTTTTCTTTGACTTAAGTTAATAAAAATCTTATTATAATAGCAACTCAAGTTAGTGATTGCAACAATTGGAGGGGATTTTCAGTTTAATAAAATGGAAACGGAGGAGTTTTTGCTATGAGAAGAATTAAGTTTAGAACGGGATTTCACTCATAGCTGTAAGCTGATGATGATTTATTAGATTTTGTAATATGGTTTGATTATGCTAATTATGCAGCTGGAACACCCTTATCATATACAGTATAGTCAGCTTAGCTAATTAATGCATATACAATTTAGCTTAATCCTCTTAAAACCTCTAAAATAAGTTATATCAACTTCAGTGAGAATTCAATCAACCCAGGTCACAGATTTCCTACTTTTTTAAGAGTAGGTGGAAGCATAGCTTAAACTGAATACCTAGGTGCTCCTGCAATAGCAGTATCCATATTTATTGTATGTTTAACTTTTAATAATATATAAAATTTATAAAGGTTTTTTTTGATGAATCTGTTGAGCTAAAACCCTACTTAAATTTCTATAATCCTCAAGGCTAAGCTTAAAAGGATATTGGATGCTCAGCTAACAATTGCTATTTTTATAATTCGAATGGAATTAGCGGAAAAGAAACATGGATGAATTACAACATGGTATTGGCTACAGGACTAACAGATATAGAAAATGATTTTAATTTGTTAATACCAATATAAAATAAACTATATGGATCTCAAATTTTAATGCCAAAGCGTCTTGTTGTGGCCTTTTGCGATTTTTCGAAAACATCAAACGGAGTTCCTAATTAACTTAGAATAGTTAATGTATTTAGGGTGTACGGTGCTCCTACTTATAGTAATATAGCTAATCCAATTAGCCCTATTTTCTCAGCTATTATCACAAATGCACCTTTATCATTCACATCTAGTTAATGGTCTGTTACGCCAGGTAATTGAATAAAATATTTGATATAATTTTAATATATTATTGTATAAAAAAGCTAACTAAAGTTAATATAAACTGGATATGACTAATGTTTAACCTTTAGGCACAGCAAACACTTCTATTTAAGATTAAGGCTAAGTCTATCAAAATCATAATAACAATTTTAATCCTGGATAATCAGGAGCAGGTGTTACTATCTCTTCTTTGTATTATAATGTTTTTGGGCCTAGTACTTTGGGCTTTACAAACCCACCTTTCGGAGTGTCATAGTATTGTACTAAATTTAATTATATTTATAATGACATAATAGGATAATATCCAGACTAAGACAAGTTTACAATATACAACGTATATTGTCCTATTGATGCTAAGCTATTAGGCACTATATCTATAACTTGGATAAATCCCTTTTTTAGTTACTAATTTGCTTACTAACTGTAACTCACTCCAATTTTTATGTATTCATTTTCTTCTGGATAAGGCAAAGTTTATTCGTACTAACAAGAATCATAATCGGTGGCTACATATTATAACACATGTATAGTAAACTAAGTCATGAATAATATTTACCCCATGTCAGTAGGTAAATAAGCAGTAGATTTTTCAATTTAAATCAATGCTAAAACTTCTTTAGATCCTTCTTCATAAACAGGATATGGTTTTTTAGTAATCCAAATAAATTTCTCAGTAAATTTATCTTCACTAGCCTTAGCTTCTTCAGTTTGTGATTTAAATAACTATTTATCAAATTATTTTACATGTTCAGTTTCTTAATCAACTTAGAAATGGTAAGTAGTCTTAAAGCCGACCTAAAAATACCTTTTAGATGTAATTGAATATCTCCTTTTCACAGTGTATGTTGATGGTAATCAAATTATTTTAGAAAATTAAATTTACTTTAAATTTCAAAAATTTATTGCTAAACATAATTTTTTTTTTAATTATAAAAGCAAGCTCTTAAGCTTCTGTATCTGGTGTTAAATATGACATTTTAATATACTTGCCAACTTAAAAAATTACAGGAGGAAGAGTTTTTGGAAATATTCTTTCAACTCCCTTAACCACTATTGGAAATTTTATTCTTTTTTCACAATGCTTATCTAATAACTTTTTAATGTCTACTTAACCTTATTTGAAAGTGTTGACTATAAATAACTTATAATTTGAAGTTAAAAATGCAAATTACAAATCTCCTTTTAATTTTACATTTTCTTCATCACCTAGAGAAAGATTTTATTCTACTTCTTTCTATTCCTTTGACTTTGGATTTTTGATTGCACCGTACTAAGCTATACCCTCAAGGAGTAAATTTATAAGGTAAATTTTTTTTACTATCTTCTATATAAATGCTTATCTTACCTAAATATTTAAAATCTTATGAAAAAAATTATTTCAGTAACAATATTACTTATTTATAACATATTTTTCATTTATCTTAATAATCAGATGCTCTGTTTATGAAGCTCCTACATCTATTACTGTAGTTCCTAACGATTAGTTTAAGTTAAGTTGGAGATGGAGTTATATAGTATATAATGCTAACTTGAGAGATATTAGAATATATCCAAAAACTTAATTTAGAAATCCAGATTAATATATTTTTACTTTGAAATGCTTAGGAACATACACACCAAGTAGCTCTTCAAGTACTTTTAATATATAAGGATAATGGATGGATGGAGCAGTAGTAATCCAAACTAGCTAAGTCACTGGTAGCTACTCTTATGCAATGGCTATTAGTAAAGGTGTTATTGATCCAACCATTTTATCTCCTCTCTACATATCTCTTTTCTCTAAATTATTTAACTAATAAGGATTTGAGTCTTCTTACACTTTCTTTATTAAGCCTACAATAAATTTAAATTATTACACAAGAATCTATATAAATTTCCCTTATTATGTAGGAGTTGGTGTAAATAGAGAAGTTAATCCTGAGTGTTATACAAGGGTTAAAAATATTCCAACACCTATCTAGTATTAAGATTTTAAATTAGCTTATTGTGAGTTAATTAACGATAATAGACTAGTCCTTTGGTTTAATTAAAATGTTTATGCAAATATTGAATTCCATATTGTTATCCATGGAATATCTTAACCAGAATTGAAAAATAAAGATCCAACAGCTAGTGATAATGAAGTATGGATAGGTATCGATGACGATGCTATACTTTCTAATGGTATCAAATAATTTTCCTATATAAGCACACCACGCGCTGAACTAACTGTTCCTAGTCAATATTCTTTTATAATTTCTTCAGTTTAAATTTCAAATACTTTAATAAGATCTGTTTACAACTTAAATATAGCTTTTGATGTAACTAGTACTTAGCTAAGCTCCTCAATTCCAATTTATCTTTAGCTTCCTTCCAGTTTCTCCAATAATTAAATAGGATAAGTAATTACATGCACTCTTATTCAAATAAATACAAACACAGTTTTATCAAATACTGCTTGTGTATTTTTTACCTAAAGACTTATTAAAATAACATTTTCATCAGTTCCAACAAATACTTGGTACAGCTATAAGCTATTATTAGAAGGAATATATTCTCCCTAATATATTCCTGAATAAATTTAAAATTATATCAGACTTTATCTTTTTCAGTCTCCTGATTTGGCAATAGGTTCTTACACTACAAATGTAGTTGGGATAAGTTTAATTTAATAATCAAATTATTATTCATTCACCAATGATACAACTAAAATAGACTTGATTTGGTTTATTTATGGTATGAATAAATAAGTAAATTCTACAAATATAAATATGATAATACAATCTTAAGTTCTTCTTAACACAAGAACAGTGATAGTCAACATAGGATATTACAGTAAATTGATAAATCTATAACCTGCAAACAATCAAACTTATCTTATATCATTCGGGATTAATCTTTCTGGATTCGCAAATCTTTTTAAATTAAAGCCCGCTACCCTATTTACAATTAGGGGTAGTAATAATATTTAATTTACAATGGGAGCCTTGACAACTACAGCGCCTGGAATTTATTCACTCTCTGCAACTAAAATTAATGATAATGCTAATTTATATTCAATAATACCAAACCTAAAAGTAATAGTTAGTTCTGAGGCTTGCTAAATAAATGCGAGGTAATACTACTATGAAATTCCTGTAAGTGGTATTTCCTTACCCATTGAATTAGACTTTTATAATTGCATGCCGTTAGATAATGTGATATTTACTCCTTTGCTTTAAAATACAAATTCTAACAATCTAGACTTCGATTAGTAAATCAATTCTTTCATTTTTATATAATAAATTTATATTTTGAATTAAATAATAGAAATTACCTTATCAATAAAATTACTGGTACTTCAAATGATAGTAGAATGTATTTCTTACTTAAAGATTTAACTCATAATCCCAGTAATGTTAATTTATAAATTTTATTGACATTTTAAGTTAGCGGAGTAAACTAATTAGCATACTTACCTCCAAGCTAAATTACTATAAAGTATATTTCTCAGAACAATGTAGCCCCTTTAGCTTCACCAATCACAATTCTATAAGTTTTATAAAATTCTGTCTCTTTATAAATTCAATGCAACTAGCCTGGAATGGCATTCTGGGTAATAGGTAACCTAAAACAATTAAATAATTATATTATTATAGAATTTGCTAGTTAAAGTAGTATTTTTACAATATTAAATAAATGACATAGCTGTTGATTATCTTTAATTTATTTTTTAAATTAAACTTTAATTATTATATAATTTAACAAAGATTTAATTAATATTCATGATAATTTTTAGTTTTAATTTATTTATTTTCGAATAAAAGGCATAGATCCTTCTACATAGAATATAGCTTTTAATGATATTCTAAATATTGTTACTGGAGTTAAAGGTTTATAACCAACTGTTTCTTCTTATAAAGATCTCAAACAAAAAATTTATGGAGTTGATATTTCATATATTAATTAGCCTATTTATAAAACTTTTGATAATTTAAAGGCAAATACTTACTACTCATTTAAATATTATTGCTAAAATTAGAATTAACTAACTAGTGTATTTTAATCAGTAACTTGGAAAACTCTTAGTAATGGATCATATCTCTTAAAGATAACTTTCTTTTTTAATGGCTTGCTTACGTTTCAGTAAACTATGTAAATAACATGCTCAATTTAAAAATATTTCACTTTGCCAAGTTAAAGGGTGTTATCAGATAAGGATACACATTGTAATTAATATCCAAATTACAAGAATTTTAATTATAATAATAGAGATGTTAGGAACCCAATCAATGCTAACTACCCGTAATTATTCATAAAATTGGTTTTTACTTAAATATAAATATATATATAATTTAAAAATTAGGTACATGTATTACATTCTTCCTGATTACACAATATAACAAGATAACACTAATTTTTTAATTAAATAACAAATCATAATGAGCAACTTTATAAATAACTTCATTCCCTATCTTCCAAGTTCTTCAAATTATCCTCAAATAGTTTCTGTTTAAACTTAAGATAATATATTTACTCGTACAATTGATATTGCTGTAGCTTAACCAAAACAAGTGTTTACCACCACAGCTTTAACTTATTTAAAGTTAAAAAATTTGGATGGATTTATTATAGTTGGGATTGAGTAAGGAAAATCAAATACTTCGCCTTCCCCAGACTAAATTAAGAAAGGATTAAATTTTTATGATTAAAATTTATTTAGTTTTGAAATGAGATACTGCTAAAGAGAAGTAATCTAAGAATTCAAGTTTATCTAACTTTAGCCAGGAACTGAGTAAATAAATTTTAATATATTCTTATTTTTCTCATAAATTATTTTCAAATTATAGTTATACTGCATATTTTATTGGCTCTGTAGATGATCCTAGCTCAGAAGCTGAAGTAACATAACCTATAATAATTTCTTTCACTACCTAAGATACAATTCTTGTAGTTTAGACAATTAACGCTAAAGTTTTGAATGTTTGTTTTGTTTTTTTGTTACTAATCATACTATAATGAAAATGAAGAAGTATATAAATAAAATAATCATTTGAATATGTAGTTTTTTATAAAAAACGATACATCTAAGTATAAATTTACAAACAAATTATTTATTGATAAAATTAATATTTTGGTTTAGAAACAAAAAGTAGTATTTTTTAGATTTAAGGATGATAAGTATTTCCGATTTAGAAATCTATTTCTTTCAATTTAAATATGAATTTTATCTGATTTTTCTTTCTTATCACATAATTTAACTTGAAAAAATATTGAACAATTTGAATTATTTAGTCTATTTTTTGTCTATGGAAGCCTTAAAAAAAAATAAATCTTATACAATTTTTTTAAATTAATTACCAAGAAGGTATATGGTATTATTCTATATACTAATTAATTATTATTAATTACTTAACTAAAGCCTTAAGATAATTTTTTACTTAACAATTTTTAAAAATATTTAACAATTCAATTAAAAAAATTATAGTTATGATATTAAAACTAGTGCTTTAGCTTTTATTTATTTCCTAAGCTTTAACCAAGCAATATGTGTTGGAGATTTAAAGATAAAATGATTATAAAGATTTAAATAGCATGGTTCAAATATTAGATTAATAGGTTTATTTTTTTCAAAAGTAGGAGAGGAGTAGCAGCTGGCTTAGTTCTTCTACATATTATAGCAATCAAACTCAATAGAGTCAAAGCAATAGCAAACAGAAATTTAATAGAAAATTTATTGCACATGTAAATAATTATAATTAGCAAAATAATAACACAACCAAGCCAAACCACGGAAACTATACTAGTTTTCCATTATACACAACTTATGGTAATGCCTATTTAGTAGATATTTACGTAGGATCTGAAAGGCAAGAGTTTTAGGTAATGCTAGATACTGGAAGTTCCTACACCTGGTTATCTCATGCATCATGCAGCACATGCTAGTAGGTAGGAATTAAGAAATTCTTTGACTGTGATAAGAGTACCACCTGTGGGAATTAAAATGAGACTATTTAAATAACTTATGGCAAAGGAGAAGTAAATGCATCAGTTTATAGAGACCAAATAGGATTTGCTCACAATAAATTTATTGCAAATAATCAAGATTTTCTACTTGTAACTTCAATGCTTGATCTCGATTTTTTCCCAGGACACGGGTTATTTGGACTAGGATTTAGTTCAATGAGTGATGGAAGAAAAACTATTTTAGATAATCTTAAAGAGCAGGGATAAATTACTAAAAGATAATTTGCATTTTCTCTTTCTGGAGAAGCTGAAAATATAAATTTTGGTATGACTAACAAAGATTTTTTTATTTTAGGAGGTGATTCCGTGGATCCCTCATTAGCTGATGACAGCGATTTTTTTACTTGTCCTTGCTCTTTTAGATCGTATTGGTCAGTTTAAGTATAAAAGATAGCTCCAATTATTTCAGATGTAGAAATCGATTTGCATTTTTAGTCTAAGTAGGCAATTATTGATTCTGGAACTAGTTTTATTGTATTTAATGACAATGATTTTAAGATACTTGTTAAATTCTTTAAAAAGCTCAAGAAGTTAAATTGTGCTATTGATGATAAATATAATTTGTTGAGATGTGAGGCTACAGATGAATCAGTATACCCTATTTTCAAATTCACTCTTTGCGAATAAAGCAGGCATATTCTTATTTATCCAAATTAATATTTGCTTTGTGATGAGTCTGTTTGCTATGTAAGAGTGAGTGGGATGAATCTAGGCTTAGAAATGGAACATGTGATTATTCTTGGAGATATATTTATAAGAACATAATATACTGTGTTTAATTAAGATGATTCTACGATATCTTTCTATAAAAAGAAGTAAAGTCATAAAAATACATAACCTCCAATGCTCCAAAAAGATATACTAGACACCTCTTTAGAATTCATAAATACAAAGTAAGACTATAATTCCGTTAAAGAAAAGAGTTAAAAATTGGAGTAAAAAATTTAAGATAGTAATAAAGAACATAAATAAATGAAATATAGTAAAATATAGCATAAACATTGAGCAAAAAGAAATTATTTCAACAAATCAATATGAATATTTTTCATGAGATATTTATAATTGATTCAAAACTAAAAGTACAAAATTATAAAAATTTTTCAAAAGTATTTATTTATATTTATGTTTTTATTTGTTTAAAGCGCTTTATTTTAATTATCTTATTTAATCTAATTTGAATAAATTCACTATTTAAAGTAATTGCGATTACAATTTCTTTATATAATTTTTAGTTTGTTGTTTTAATCATAATTGTTTGATTAATTTACTTTATTATTTTAAATTACCCTGCATCAATATACTATTTTTTTTTACTTTTAGCTGAAATTGGAGTAGATTTGAATATCTTAAACGTCAAAAAAAGAGTAGATGGCAAAATTTTTAATTTAAAATTTATTAACTAATTGATTTTATTTTAATATATTTTATTTATCAAATTGCATCATTTTTAAGAATTACGTTTTGGAATTTAGAATATTTTTTCTATTCAAGTATTGATTTAATTGATTGATTTTTGACAAAAAAAAAGATATTGCATTAATTTAAAAGTTTTGATTTGTCATTATGAATTTATATGAGTTTCAAGTGATTGAAAATAGATATTTCTTTGTTTATTTTGCACTCATTAGATACACGTTTTAAAAATTAATATTTTTTATATGTTGATAACTTTTCTGCTTGCTTCATCCTTTAATTATAAAGTTTATTAAAGCGATTTTGGCAATTAAATAATCTTATTAAAACAGAAAAAAAAAATTTACTTGCTTTAATTATTGAGAAAACTTAAAAAAAATAGCCCAAATCATATCATCAAAAAGCATATTAGTTAAATAGCCAATAGTGTAAAAATGAAAGTCAAGAAAATCTTCAATCCTTAGAAAACAATTAGCGAAATTATTAAGCAAGTGAGAGCTAGTCCTTAATAAGAATAAAAAGCCATTTTAAGCTATTAACTTGAAGAAATTAAAAAAGAACTTAAAGCCTCTGACCCAAAAACACTTCAAATTGCATTGCAAAAGCTATTCTTTGTAATTTAATTTTTTAAGATGGTTTTATATTATACATACTTTTTAATATGTGTTTACATTTAATTTTAAAAACACATAAACCTTATGATTTAATAATATAAATCCAAAAGCTTAAAATGGAAGGAGTTGATTTGAGATAGTTAGACTTTTTGATAGTCAATTGTCTTAGTTGCTCATCTTTTGGACCTAAAAAAATGGCTTGCTTATAGGTACCTGTTTGTATTGATCCTTCAAGCCAAAGTCTTTTTATGGCAACAAATCTGTTTAAAAAGGTAATCATATTAATTTCTTGAATTATAACAATGATTTCAAATAAGATAACTTAGGTAGATAATAGATCAGCTATATTTTATGATTAAAAGCATATTTTTAATGTTAAAAACAAAAATAACAAATAAAGTAAAATATTTTAAATTAAATCAAAAGGAAATTATGAAATCTAACCACGTTGAGGTTTCTTGTATACTCAGCTGCGTTACTAATATAGTTACTGCAGATATGGGTCCAATTTTGATTGAAGATTCTATAAAAATATTAAAAAGCAATAAACCAATACTTAGAAAGAAAGCCATGGCGTTAGTTGCAAAAATTTTTTAAGTATGCCCTTAAACTATCCAAGGAAATTTAGAAAACATTTTGGACTCAATTATTTTAAAAGAAGACAATCCAAGTATTTGCTTTTTATATTATGAAAAAAAATTAAATCTATTATTTTTAACTAAAAAGCTGTATTGGCATGCTTTACAAGTATAGTTAATAGTGTGTTAAATGTTTAGCCAAAACTCTTTCCATTATTCATCAAACCTCTTTATGAACTAATAAATAAACAAAAATCTAATTGGTTCTTGATTAAAATGGTTAAAACAGTAATTATTATTGGTTTCAACACAACAATTTTAAATAATAATGTTATAAAAAATAAAGTTCCACAAAATGATAAGACTTGAACCCCGTTTAGTTAAAAAATTGTAAGAAATATATAGCAATCTTCTTACAACAACAAATTCAAAAGCATTGGAATATGAATTACTAAATTCAGTCATTGAATTCTTTAAGGAAGATGCCAGTTTATATGATTTAGCCTGCGAAAAAGTAAAAATTTTTATAGAGCATGACGACGCAAATTTGCAAAGCTTAGGATTCAACCTTTTAAATAAAATGATTTCTACTAATCAAGTCATGATCAACGAATACAAAAGCTTTTTAATGGAAACACTTGATGGAACAAGCGATGCTTACACAAAACTCTAAATATTAGATATCTTTTAGAATTTTATGAACAAATAAATTTATGAAGACTTTATAGAAATAGTACTGAAGCAAATTGTAATCAAGCAGTAGAATAAATCAAAAAGAACAGAATCTGCCCAATTCATGAGACTCTAAAGGAGAAGTATTTCTTGTATAATTGCATGCACCAAAGCAAATGACTATGAATATGTTAGCGATTATGACTGGTTGATAGAAACTGTTGTTTCATGCTTAAGTAAAAATGTACTTTCTGCAGAAAATGCTCTCGAAATTTAAAATATGATATATGTAAATGAAATATTTTTTAAAAATAAGTTCTTTTATAAAATTAACTATTGATTTAAAATAAAAAAAGGATATAATGGTAAGAATAGATGGATTGAGTAAGACAATATTTTCATTGTCGTATTAGGTTATAAGTGAATTAAGCCATTTAATGCTTAACTAATCTGATGAAACGTTTAATTATTTTAGAATCAAAACAATTGAAGCTAACGATTAAAAAATTAGTAATTCACCTATCACTGCTTAGGAAATTATATTCTAAACATTTATGTTTATTGTGGGAGAATACTCATAATTAATGAAAGTAAGTTGATAAAAGAATATTTATAAAATAATTATTTTCTAATGAATTAATAGGATAGTAATGAGGTAATGAAATTGCTAAATCTTTTAAATAATGTTTAACTTCTTTAAGTTTTTGAATAGTCATCTTACGAAATACAAACTGCTCTTCTCAAAGTAAATTTTAATGAATTAAAAACAAATCAACATAAATTTTTAAAATATAAAAATAGTGTTTAGTGAAATATTCACAAAAAATTCAAAACTTGGAGAAAAATGAGGAGTTTTAACAAATTTTATTAAAATCTATTGAAATATTGATTAAGCTATAACAAATAAAAGGAATAAATTTTGAGCTTGATATTAGCCAAAATCTTTTATTAAGAATTGTAAATCCCTAAAATGAAAGTCTTAACAACTTAGTTTAGTAGATACCTTCACAAATTGAAAAAAATATTATTGAAAGCATAAGTAATTTGAATTCAATTCTAATAGACTTTGAGCCCATTCATCCTGATGTAAGAAAATTACTTTTAAAAAAGTGTTTATCTAATTTAAATATAAAAAATAAAGGCTTAAAAGTATATTGCCCCTTTGGTAGATCTTAACGAACCTGTTTAAAAAAATTAAGAGGAAATTGATAAGATTAGTTAAAAATGTAAAGAATTTTTAAGTGTATAAGGAAGAATTAAAGAATAGCAAGTATATTATTCTTAATAATTAATTTTATAAAAATATATATCTTAAATAAAATAAATAGGAGCAAAGCAAAGAGAAATTATAGGAGAGTAAAGAAGAAGAAAAATTAAATTAAAATGGCGAAAATAAGAGCGATGAAAATAATCCTGAAAATGGTAAAACATTAAAAAATAATGAAAAATAAATAGATGCTAATCCTGAAACTACAGAATTAACTGAAAATCAAGTTTAGAAATAAGAGCCATAATAAGCAAAATATACAGTAAAGAAATTTTAAATGCCAAGTATTGCTAATGGAGGATAATAATATAATGCTTTGTAAGAAGAGAATGATGCAGATAATTCTTGAATAAAAATTATTATTTAATTATTCAAAATATTTTTTATATAATTAATTTATTAATATTTATATTTGTCTTAATATTAACTACTTTATTTTCTAACTTTTTAATAACTATAAAATATAACTAATTTTTACAATAAATGATAAGATAAATTTTGGATTTAAATTGTACTAAGCATGACATATTAAAATATATTCTATGTTTTTTTATTTATAAAATTGTTTGTTGTTTATATTCAATTTTAAATTTTTCTTTTAATTCATTTAAAATTTTAAGCTAATAAATAATTCAACAAAATTACTAATAATACTTATTGTATAGCATTTATTTAATATTGTTTATTCCTTCCTTCATTCATTCATTCATTCAAAAAATCATTAATTCTTTTCAAATCTAAATTAAAATTGAATTTAGTATTTAAAAATTTGAGATTTGTATTTTGATTGTGGTTGTGTGTAATTGTTACTTTTACTTTATATTTTACTGTTTCAAAGCTAATCTTTTAAAGTATTTAAACTAAATTAATATTAAAATTTAAGAAGTAGAATGCATTCCCACATGTATTAAAATGAAATCCAACAAATTTTATTTTTATTGGTCATATTTTCATTTATTTTTGAATTTCAAAATTTTATTAGCGCCAATAATAAATACAAAAGAATCTTTTCCTACATTTTTAATTTAAAAATATCCATTAGTTAAGAATATTAAAAGATTCATACCATTCAATATTTTAAAAAATTCACATTTTTATAGCTAAATAAAATTATTACAACAATTAACTCAATTAATAAAAAATACAACTAAAAAAATTACATATATTTAAGCGGAATAGGAAATAAGATCCATTTGATTTCCAAATTACCTACTAATCTTATTTACATAAGCAATTTATTTTACTACCATTTTTGAGGTTTTGTTACATTCTTACGTTACGATAAAATGGATAAAACTAATAAGGCAAGCTTTTCTAATTAAAGCATGCAGTAAACTACATTTCCTAGCAAAAAGGTCAGCTATGATAAAATTAAAATATCTGACCTCTGTTTAAGAGGTAATGTTCATGCATAAAATTAAAGTTAAAATAAAATAAGTATATCATAAGCCCAAGAAAATGTAATTCTTTGCCAAAAAACAAAATTAGAGGATAAAAAGTCCATATAATTAGACTAGGACTTGAGCGCAGACATTATCTCAAAAATTGGCATAGACAATTATAATAAAAATATGCAAATGGTAGATTTGATTAAAAATGGAATTAATTTAAAAATTTAAAAGAATAATAATACGCCTAAAAGTAATTCCCAAAAGAGTATGCAACTTTATAAAAATATAAAGGTACCTAACAAAGCATCTATTAGTAGTTAGTAAGCTATTTCTTAATAAAAAAATAGCAATAATTGTCATCTAAAATACTAAACATTGTTAAATGATCGTGCAAGAAGTAATCAAACAGATGATGAAGATTTTAAGCAGATCCTTGCTACTAATAGTACTTCTCCATAATAGAGGAATACTTTGTCAGGAAACAACTAAGAATTTATAAAATAATAATTGTAAGTTTTTTCTTAAAGAGATACTAGACATTAAGTAAGTAAAAATGGGAACAAAAAGAAGTAGTCAGTTGGTTCTACTGAGTAAGCTTATTTAAGGTTTGATGAAAACAATCTATAAAAAAAGTAAAGAAATAGAAGTGAGCAGATGGGAGTGAAGTAGCTTCTAACTCTAAATAGCTAAAGTCAGTTTGCTACTCTAACTAGATAAAATCCTTAAATCGAGTAAATTCAGAATATATTAAAAAAGAAAGGTGAAAAATCACAAGAAAAGATAAAAGTAATTCATAACTAAGTAGTAGACTCCTGTAAAGTAGTCTCTTAAGACTAAAAGAGTAGTGGTCTTTTAAAAAACTAGCACCTAAATAGCAATATTACCAATTAAACTGACTTGTAGATAAAAAATAATCAATTAAATCAGCAATAAAATGCAAATAAATTGAAAGAAAACTCTTAATTTATTGCAAGTAATTAAAATACTATGTTCTAAGAAAGTAAAATGACTTCTGATAAGTCTTAAGACAAACGCTAAGAAAGTAACTAAGAAAGTAAATTTAAGCTAAAAGAATCTGAAATCTAAAAGATCTAATTACTATTTTAACAACAACAGAAAAAATAAACCTCAAATTCAAATTAAAAAAAATAACCAGCCAATCAAATAAATAAACAAGAAGATAATTCAAATAATTAAGAGATTACACAACATTAAAAATAACCATTCTTGAAAGCATAAATACAAAAGTAAAATTAACAATTCCAAAATTCCTATTAATAACAATAACAGCAACAACAATAAATACAATAACTACTGCACCATAAAAAGAATTCAGAATAAAAATAAAAATCATAAGAAAAACAAGCTACCCAAGAAATTCCTTTTTCAGTAATTTAAAATAAATTACAGAAATAAATAAATACTGATAGGCAACAATATAATTTAAATGAGGTAAAGTAAGCAGCTTAGCACTAATATGGCCGTATTTAAAATACTAAAGAATTATTAGGATAGAATGACTTAATATCAATGGCTGGATATCCAAATACTTTGTAAGATATTAATAATACACAAATTAACTAGCAGTAGATTTAGTAAAAGCAGAGAATGGTATCTTTGAATTCTCGACAATCATTAATTCCTGTAAATAATTAGTAGCTAGAAGATGATGAAGAATTAATAGCACTATAATAATATAGCTCTCCTTTCCTAAGAAGTTCTTCAAGTAGTAAAGAGCCAAATAGAAGATATGAAAAATAACCTCTTGAAAAGAAAAATGAAATTGATAAAAAAATAAAAGATTATTTAGAATAGAAATAACAAAACTCTTCATCATAAGACTCTGGATGCAGATAACAAATTGTAGGTACTCCTTCTTTAATTACTAATTCAACTAGCAATAAAAATAGCAGTAATCAAAACAGTAAGTCAGGAAACTCAAATTAAAACTTACTTAGTAGCAATCTCATCAACTCTAACTTATAGTCTAACAAAGAGTACTAAAGAGCACATACAGAAAGCAGTGCATAATAATTATAAATAAATTAACTAAATTTAGAAGAAAGCCAAGTACATTTCTAAACTGAAGAGACTGTTTCTCATTACAGTTAAAGCAGCAGTATAAAGAAAAATTAAAATTGTTCACATAATGGAAAGAATTAAAATAGTAATAATACTCCTCATCGTCAGCAGAAAGCTTAGCTTAAATCTTCAGTCAGCTAGTAAATAATTACTCCTTCCACATGCGATGCTAAGTAGTAAGTAACCTTAGTTTCTCCTATGATAAGCAATTTTGTAATATCTCCTTCATCTAAGGTAATTACTCTCTCTCCTAAACCCTACCTTACTACAGAAAATGAAGATCAAGAAGAACAAGATGTGATAATTACTTTTTCTGAAAATGTAAATACTGAAGGATCTGAGGATTTGCCTTAAGAATCTAATTTATAACCAAATTAAGAAGCAGGATATAATATCAATAAACATAAAAGCATTTAAAAAGTAAATAGCTCTAAAACTAACAAGTAAGAGCAAATCAATTACAAATTAGAGTCTAGGCTAGGAGCTTTAGAGTTAGAAATGTCTTCAATAGTCTAGAGATGTGTAAACCTTGAAGTATTAAACAGATCTTTAAATTAAAATATTGAGAAAGTAAACGCAGAAAAAGATATAATATTAAAAGTAAATATATTATTCATTATAAAAATATTTATTTTTTGTTAATTAATTTGATATTATTAATACATAATAGGAAAATGAAATTTATAGACTAAAAATTGAGGAACTTCAATTAATTAACAGATAACAAGAGGACACAATTGAAAAGCTACTCTAAAGAATTACTAGCCAACATGATATACATAATTTAAACACTTCCCATTTAAAATCAAATAGAAATAAAGGAGAATACTCTAATTAATATATGAAGTAATTAAATTTAAACTTTCTTAAAATTTAATATTTTATTTTTTTATTCAAAGCACTGAAAATTCTACAGCAGAAATTTCATCTTACCCGAATGGAGAGAATATGTCCTTCTATAGCTAGAGCAAAGGATTTTAAAAATCTGATGCATTTTCGTCTGCTAGAGGAGTTCCTATATCTACTTAAAATACATTCAAATCTAAAAAAGACTTAAATTAATATTTTTCTAACATGATCAATAACTCTTAATCTAAGTAGTTGATACCATAAACATTTTAAGTAATAAATATTTATTTTTTATCAATAATAATTATAATTATTTTTTAATTTCGAAATAGGGTTATTTAAGCTAAAAAAATTTACAAAATTTGATGGCTAACTCTCAAATATAAAATAGTAATTCTCTTACTTAAAATGACAGTTTATTGAGTAAATAAATATTTAGCTAAAGTACAAAAAACCAATCACATAATTAGTAAATGTATTCATTTTAGAATGTAAACATAGATTAAGAATAGGCTTAGGCAAGCTCTTATAGAAACGATTACTACCTATCATCTAGACATGGAATATAAAACTAGTAAAAATAGTAATGATAAATTTAAAAGCTTAAAATTAAATAACATAACAATTTTATAACAAACTAACCAATTAACTAAGTATCTAATCTAAAATAATCTAATCCAACTTAATATAATTTTTGATCCTAATTTTTCTTATTACATTTTTTAAGTTTTCTTAAAAAATAATTATATTATCAAAAATATATTTATTAAATAAATAATTACAAAGATAGCATCCATAGAATTAACTTATAATATATTTAAATGTAAAATCAAATGTAAGTTTATATTAATTATATAACATGTATCATCAAATATTATTATTACCATTATCATCATTTTTAATAATTTTTAAAAATTTGCAAAATGAAAATATATAGAAAAAATTTCAAAATTTTTTTAATTTACAAAATCAAATCTAATACAGATAAACGCTATTACAAAATTATTCACTTTTTTTATGAATTATAAATATTTATTTATTATTGATTAACGCTCCAAATATATTAATTTGAACTAATTAAATTTTTTATTTAAAAACTTATTTGAGTTAATTTTTTGATAATTTACAAAAATAATAAATAGATATCAGAAGAAATATTCTAGCTTGAAATTAAAATGATCAGGTTTCTTCAAAAATATACTAGATTTTAAGATGAATCTAAAATATAATTAGGTAAAGAATTAAAATATTTGAGAAATTAGGAGTTTGTTTCATAAATAGATGAAATGAGAAGAGTTTATAGAGTTTTCTTTAAAATAAGCTAAGTTTAGGATACAATTTTAGCATTTGATATCGCTATCAGATTAAGCTTAATTTTTAATTTCTTAATATTTGAAGAAGTTAGTCTCCTCCTTTAGATTGGTTTTTATAGTTGCATTGTTCAAACAATATTTTCAATTTTAAATAAAAAATCAATCCCAATAAGTAATGAAGGATCTATTAGAAATAGTTGCTTTTTAAACTTTTAAAGCCTATTCTTAAAATTATTACAACTTGATGTTAAGTATTTATAATTAGATTTAATAGGATTAAAAAAGAGTATTCAAAACAATAAAGATTAAATTGAAAGTAAAAAATACGATTGTGAAAAAATGTATGTCTGGCTACATGAAAGAAAGTTTTTTACTACTTTTAGAATGATGATTTTCATATGTGAAATGTATAATAGAAGTAGCATAGGTTTCTTTTTGTTTATTGGCATAATTTATAGTACTATAAGCTTATTAATTTTAAACTATATTCAAGTCTAAGCTTTCTTTTTTATCCTAGATTATGATTTGAGAGATAAGTTATTTGTTATTTTAGAGTTAATTTGCTAGTTTGTTTAACCTTTCCTTAATATAGCATATCTTATGAGCAGTAAGATTAGTATTGAAACTTTAACTTTTTATGCTGCTATTTATCTAATTATGTATTTTTTGAGAACAAAAAATTACTTAAAGTTTATTCATACAAATTTTTCAATCTATGACTAGTTTTTCAGTGGTCTAAAACTTTTATTCATTATTCCTTTACAAAAGAGAGATATGAGATAATATGATTAAATTGCCAAAAGTAGAATTAATTTTATTAATATCTTAGTTTATTTTGCTGTTTAATTATTTATAATAAAATATTTTTTATTGGACGAAACAACTTAACCAAAGATAATAGCAGTACTATAAATTAAAATTTTGGTTGTGCACTTTTTGTTGCTGATATTTAGTATATATTATGCTAAAAATTTATATTAAAGTCATTAAAGTTATTAGGCTGAAGACATTGTCTTAGCAGATTAGTATAGAAATAAAGATTCTTTGAGATTATATATTTAAATTAAGAGCGAAAATTAGCTATATGTTTCAGAAGAAGATCAAATTGTGCTAGAATAAATGATGAGCTGCTAAATTGAAGAATTTTATTTATAATTTGAGAAAGAATTCGAAATATATAGTAAAAGAGGTAACACTTATTTAAAAATAAATAGTATAAGAAATTAGTCAGAAATTGAAAAAGTTTTCATAGCAGCACTTAACTCTAGTAATTCATTTAATTTTGAAATTGATAAAGATTTAGTCAGCCTTCCCAAAATTGATAAATTTATGCATCTACTTCTCAAAAGTTGTATCTTTGTTGACGAATACAAGTTAGTTATTAAAAAAGAACACATATTAGAACATTTCGTTAAAAGAGGTATTATTGATTATACTCCTTATGTTTAAAGTTTTATTAAAACTTGCCCTGCTACGATACAGCTAGTAGCATTTTACAAATATTACTAAGGCTAAATTTAATTTAAGCCATTAAGAATCTTATAAGACATGAATTCCTGATTCAAAAAATTTAATTTATTACTATTGTTTGTAGATTTTTTTAAAATAAAGTATGTCTATCTTAAAATTATCGAATAAAATTCTTTTTTTTCAAATTTAAACTTTTATTTAAATGGGAGACATTAATTAAATTTAGCCATTAAAATTATATTTTTATTAAAGATATTTATATTAACATTTTAATCACACGAATAATGACTCAAAATAAAATACATTTTTTTAATTTATTTGAGGATATTAAATAATATGAAGGTTTCATTAAAGCGACATTGTTTTGATAGATCCTTTAAATTTTTATTTTAAGAGTGTCTATAGATCACCTAGAAGATATTTAATTTATTATTCTTTAAAAAAAAATATATCAGGAAATCATAAAAGAAAATACACCATCAAAAATTATAAATTAAAGTAAATCCACAAACAAAACAGATTAAAGAATAGAAAAAATGAAAAATAAAATTATTTATGTTAAAAAAGGATAAGAATAGTAATTCATGAGCATTAAAGATTATATGATTGAGCAACAATCTAATAAGGATGTTAAAATTATTGAAACTGAAATTCCCTTCTAAAAAGACTACTTTTTAAGTGACTTGTCTCTTAGTTTTAGGGGTGAAGATGAAGATAAAGCCTATACTTTTAATGAAAGGTTGCGTACTAATATAAGAAGAGGTAATTCAGTTATCTTTAAAGTCGATGAATAAAACAATCCTGTTGATTACTATTGGGGTAGAAGAGGTAAAAAAATGAATTATATTTAAAGTTTATTAAATATTTGAAATAAAATAGGTATAATGAAATTCTTTGATTTGTAGAGAGAGTATATTGATTATAATTTGCATGAAATCTAAGAGCTTACCTAATTCGGTAACAAAAATGCTTCCTTGCATAAGGAACTTTATAGCATCATCTTTAAAGAAGCCTAGGAAAGTTTCACAGCTGGAGATTCAGTCTCAATTTATAAATTAGTCAAGGCTAATGGTGAAAACGCTTAGGTTTCTTACTTTAAGCCTTTAAATAGCTGGGTTATTTCTTCTAAAAATGTAGCTTTGTTAGCTAGATAACGTTCAGATATAGATTTGTATACAGCAGATAGGTAAATAATTGTTAAGATGATATTTTTTTTACTTATTAAATATAAATTAAATAGATCTAAATTTAATTTAATTAAAATATTTTTATTTCAAATAATAGATTTGGATTTGCAAGACTAATAGCATAGGTTTGGTTCAATATATTAGAGAAGATTTAAAAGGAATAGGGTAATGATAAAGTAGAGGCTCTCAAGCAAGATCTTTAAGAATAAACAATGGTAGGAGAATATTGTGGTAATTAAGATTATCAGCATTTGGTAAAATACGAGAATATTGATATTCTCTTTTATGCAATTGTTAACCATAAAAGTAACGATCCATGTATTCCTCCTTTGTAAGCTTATGAAGTATTTAACAAGTACAATCTAACAACTGTTAAACTTATAGATGAAGGCTCTTATAATACATCTGAGTCATTTAATAATAAGTTGAAATAGGTTTATGACTTTGTTGCTAGCAGTGATATAGAAGGTGAATAAGAAGGATCTGTTTTGTACTTTGTTAAAAAAAGTAAATAAATTCCTTAGTAAGAAAGGACTTTAAGTGTTTCTAAACTTAAGACTTTAGAATACCGTATTTTCCGTAAGTTGCGTGAAAAACTTAAAAACTATATAAATAGAAAGGATTAACGTCTTAGAAGCAAATTTGAAGAAGAAACTAAGCAGCTTTGTGTTAACAATCCTCCTGCACATCCTTTAAATTTTTACTTCTAAATTGGTAAACTCTCATTTGATTTTGTTGATCAATATCTTGGCTAAGCTGGTATTGTTGCTGATCAGTACATATCATTCCTCTCAGTTATAATTTACTGCCTTGAAAATAATCAAAAGCCTAATCCTACTCACTTTTAAAAGGAAAATATGAAGAAACTACTTGAAGTTCCTTGGTCAAACTATAGTAGCTTTTAAGCCAAAAACAATGAAGAAAAGATAGAAATTGAATCAATAAATGATTAAAAGCTCAAGCAAGTTTTAAACACCAACTAAAGAAATCTTTTCGTTATCATACCTATCAGTATCCCTGGCATGGGTAAAAGCACATTCGTCAAATATTTCTCTGAAATTGTTAAATAAAATAATGATGAAATATTTGTTATATCCTCAGATAATATCAGAAGAGATTTGATGGACAACTTAAAAAAAAATAAACCTTTCTTGAAGGAGGATTAGCTATTTAGCTAAACTGGTAAACAAGCTGGCAAGGAATTTTCTAGAAGTCTTTCAGATTGCGTCTCCAAAAAACCACTTTAAACAAAAGCATAAAACGTTTTTGTTTTCCTTGATAAAAATTATCCCCCAAATGCTATAGATAAGGCTGTGTAAGAAATTTTGGAAAATAAGCCAGCTAATATGAACTTATAAATTTGTTCTATGATGACTAGTGAAACTGAACCTAATAAATATAAAATAGGTTCTAACATAGGATTTCCTTTCTCACTTAATTTCTTCTTTAACTGTGCCAATAGAGTTTAAACTCGTGCAGAGCATCCTACTTTAACAAACAAATCAGGCAAGAGTATGGATGTGATGGTCATGTTCTTTAACTTGTAAAATTTAATAATTAAAAAATTTTTAATTTATGTTTTTTAATTTTAATAGATTCAGAAACACTAGTCTGAGTGAACACAGCTTGTAAGCAAGTGGTATTGATATAATTTTGAAATTCCCTTTCATCAAAGATGATAGCTCAAGATAATATCCACAAGACATAGTTGATAGGTTTGAAGATATAATTTTACAAACTATTCCAGGAAATACTTGTAGTAATCAAGGTTTGGTTTAATCATTTGCAGATAGAGTTAAGAATTTAAATCTGTAGTTTGAAAATACTCCAATTGAAGAGATTAAATTAAGAGCATAAGAAACTTATAAGGAATGCATAAACCAAGTTAATTAAAAGGGAGGTTAACTAGAGTAGGTCTAGGAAATTAAATAAAATAATGAAAATCATAAGTAGCAAGTACCAATTGATCAAATTGAAGAAGCTAAATAATCTGATGTTATCCTAGAAAATCACTAGTATAAGTAAACCAATACTTTAACAGCTAGAATTAACAACAAAAGAAAAGCTGCAGTAAAATTCAACCCTCCAAGAAAACCTATTTATTTAGGTATTTTTGCTGATGACGAAAGTTTAGTTTAAAAAACTTAGAAGTAGTATGTGAAGTAGAATCTTCTATCTCTCTTTAATAAATATAAAGACGATATAATCAAGAATAACCACGATGAATTGCTTAATAAGGTTTTCAAATATCCACAATCTCACCACATTACCACATATTTTGTTAAGCAAGCCGAAGGTATCTACTATGAAAATTTCGAAGAAGGATTAAATATCCCTATAGAAGTGTTAGCAATGGCTTATGTTCCTAATAAAATTATATGTGGTGTTTGTCTTCCTGATCCTAACATGATAGACATTGAAAATAAAATCCCTCACATGACATTATTCATTGATGAATGGCCTGCTAAATTTTCAAATAACGTATTGCAAGCTCTCTTTACTGATAAGGATGCTCCTTTAGCTAAGGAGTTATAAAATGGAAGCTTACTAGATCTTAATAAAGAAATAATAGGAAAATATAGATTACCAGTTTAAGAGCAAAATGGACTCCATGATATATATTTTATTAAGCCTTCAAATCACATCATGAAGTTTGATGCTACAACAAAAGCATGGTTTGGAAACGGACCTTAACAAAATAACAAAAAATAATATTATAAAAAGAAATGAATGAAAAATTTATTTATAGCTTTTAATAATTTGTATTAAATATGTTTATTAACTAAATAAATTTGTAATTAAGTTTTTTTCTTTGAAGCAAGAAAAAATTTTTTTTTAAATTAAGACAGAAAATCAATTAATTTATCAAATTCTTTTTATTAGTTAATAAATTTGTTAAAATAGTTTCTTCAAATTTCAAATATTTATTTTTGAAATTAGTAAAAAAAAAAAATTATAAGTTAAATTAAATTTGAAAAATTGAAAGCAATCAAAATTGATATAAATAAAATTTAATATTGATCTATTCTTAGTAACAAGTTAAGAATAGAAATATAATGGATTATTCTATATAAATGAATACAGCAGAGTAAAATAAAAAATAATTTACATATCAAAATTGGTTATTAAATATTAAAATCTTACCTTCTTATTAAGGGTTAGGAAAAAGTATCAAAATTATTATATTTTTAAAGTATGGTAAGTATTGTTTTTTTAATATAGCATTCTTTGTATAAAAAGAACATTTATTCAGTATTTATTTTATTTATGCATTATTCTTGCTTTTTTTTTCTATCAAGCAAAGGGTGGGAAGGATTCATTAACATATTGATTTTCTATTTTTTTTATGTTCAAAACCATCAATTCGTCATCAAGTAAAACAAGCATCTCTTCTTCATCAAGTTTTAAGCTATTCATTTATTGAAATTTTATTAAAAGAAAATATTTCATAATTTTACATAGATTCCATATGACTGTTAAGTGTGATCTCTCTTCTATTTTTATTGTTTTGATCAAATATCCAAATCTTATATTTGTCTTAATCCTCAGTAAAAAGAATTAGCAAATCCTAATTTTTACTGCCTTGTAATATACTATACTCCATAATCCTAATTTTACAAATTTATTTACTTATTATTTTTATGTTTAGCTTAAAAAAATATTTACGTTTCTTTTAATTCGTATGAGTACTTTATTTCACCGAATTCTACATCCCATATTTTAATTGATTTTTCAGTGATTAAAGTCATAATGCAGCCTTATCCATCAGCTTTTCATAAATTAAAATTGTAATTTATTCGTTCCTTTTGATAAATTATTTTACCATTAGCTTTACTCCATGTATAGAATTTGATATCATTTTCATCTAAGAATTCTAGAGCATGTTAAGTCTCATTGAATGTCCAAATCTTTAAAAACATATTTATTATTCATTTATTTTATTTTAAGTAATGTTACTTTGACACTGTTTTCTTGCTGAGAAAAAGTAGCTATCAAAGAAGAGTTGTGATTAAGGCTAAAGCTACAAGTACCGGGCTATTTATTCAATAAAATATTTTATTGACTTAACATTTTAGAATAATTAAATTTACATCTGCTTAAATTTAATGTAAAGGAGCACTCTCTGTTAATGAGCATAAATAAATCATAAAATTGCTATTTAGATAGACATATTTTTAAACATAAACCCACTCAAACTACAAAACATTTTCAGTGACACTTTTTATAGATTCTAAGCTAGGAATATCTATAATCTTTTAATAAAATTTAAATTTTTAGGGATATTTATAAAAAAATTACTTCGAATCCTTCGGAGAATTCTAAACATAAAACATTGTAATAATCTGGATTCCACTTTAAAGCCCTCAAACTATCAATTTAATCTATCTAGAAGATATTTATTTGGTTATAGTTTTTATCAAGTATCTAAATAAAGCCATCTTCATACACTATAACCATAAAACTGTAGCTTGTCTAGTTAAAATAAGTTAAAATATATTTAGACATCTACATATATAAAAGCTTTTTATTACAGATTCCCATGAAATGAATTTTGGTTTTTTAAGCAATTCCCCAATAACGCAAGGAAAAATTTAAACTGTTTAAAAAACTAAATGATTATTCTAACTCTAAGGATTATATGAGATTATTTTAATCCAATTGTGTTTCTCCTCACTATTTTTTAAGAAATAAAATAAGTTAATTAATTAATGAGACAACTTTTGAAATTTGAAAATTGAAAAATATAAATCAAAAGCTATTGGTGATAGAATCTATCATTCATATTTTTATTGTGATTTAAATTATTTATTTATTTCATATTTCCAAACTGAAATAGAATTATTAATTTTTAATTTATTTAAATAAGAGTTTTTAAAGATATGCTAAGTGCTTAAAAAGGAGTAAATTCTAGGTAGTCAAAAAGAAATGTATATAATATTAAAAGTAATAAATATAAGCAACGCTCTCTTTTTTTTGCTTTGTGAGAGTACTTATATAATTTAGAAATAAATAAATAAATAATTTAATTTTTAGCCTAATAAAAAGCATAAAAAACTTATTTTAAAAATGAATTGATTATAAGTTACTATAAATGAAGCATGCTTGTCTAAGGATTCCAATCAAATATTTCCTACATAATATTTTAAACAAAATATCGTTAACATTTTTAAATAAATTTAGAATTAAAAAATATCTTTATATTGTATTTATATAAACCAATTCTTCTCATAAAAGAACTTACAAATTCTTAGGCCTTATCAATCTTGATGTGGCAGAGATTTTCTAATAAAAAGTTCTAGTCAAGTTCTGGGAAGTGTATTTATCCATTGCTTTAGTATATTCCTCCTTATGTACCTATCTATCCTTCAACTCTTCCAATAGTATCTAAAGACATTCCTTCTCTCTCTTTTTCTATTTCTTATTTAATTTCCCTTTTTTTTTAAACTACATCACACTAATGCTGCTTAATTAACTCCATTGGTTATTTGCATTCACAATACTAGCTCTATATTAAAGATATTTTAAATAATTCAGACATTTTTCAATTATATTTCACAAACTCAAACGCTTGTTATAATTTATAAATATTACAAAGTATATATGAGACTCTATTTGATTAAAAATTAGCGATCTCTCTAAATGATGGATAAGGTGACCTGCTTTTAAATCATTCTCATAGTTTCTGTAAATTTACTCTATTTTAGCTTCGTTGTACAATGAATATGCTGAATGTTGAAGGCCTAATATAATACATTTTATTATCAAATATCAAATATTTTTTTAATTCTATTTGCTATTCTATTCTTAAAATACTCTAAAATTGAATTAAGACATTATTTTATACATGATAAATACTTTAATCAAATTTAAAATGAAATGAATATTTCCATTCTAAAAGAACATAGATAACATATCTATCTTTTTTTTTAAATTTAATTTAAAACTTACCTGCTTCTAGTAGGTACTTGTATATGAGAAGATTAATTTAATCTTACTTTATAACTATTGCCATTATTTGTATCTTCTAAACTATCTATAAATGATTTTAATTATTCTATTCCTATTGTATTTATTTATTTACTTACTTACTTTCTTTAAATAAATTAATGATTTTGTTTGTTTCTACAAAATAATTTAAGTTTGTTTTTTTGTTCGCGTTCCCCAAAATAAATTAATTTCATAAATTAGGAAATTATTAGAGGGATTTCATCTGATACTTAAATAATACTCCATTTTTAATTTTATAATATTTTGATATTTAATTTATTAAATATGTCATTTAAAATATATAATATTATTCTACTCAGCCATAACATATCATAAATTAAATTACTTTCAATATAATTTCATGCTAATTAGTGTTCTTTTACAATTTGATTCAATAAAACTAAAATATTCAAATTAAAATTAAAAAATTTTTAGAAATAAATTAAATGAATACTTTAAATCTAAATATAAGTTAAAATCATAAATTTATTTTAATAAAATTTTTTTATCTAGTTTTAAAGCACAGCTTAATTTTAAGTTGCTTCTTTTTTCAAGTTCTACTTGTATCTTACAAAATTTATTTTTTTATGATGAAATTAAAATTTAAAACCTAATCTAATAATTAGATTTTTAAATTTCGGTAAAATTATACATCTTTTCTTTATTTATTCATTTTTATTAAAAGATAAATGGAAAAAATAAAATTATAAAATTAAAGAAAGAGATTTTATTAAATAATAATAATCAATTTATTCTGTTATTTTCTAAAGTAAAAATTTCTATCTTTATCAAATATTATCAATTATTTGAATATTTTTAAGTTAATTACTTTTAAGAAAAAACTCATTTAGTGTATTTTTTTAACTATTATCTAAATTTTTTATCAGAACTTTAGAGTAATTTTATATCTCTGAGATAATTTTAAAATTTATTCTATTTTTAGATTTTATAATTATGGAGAATTTAAAAAAAATAAATAATCCTTTTTGTGAGACTCTTCATAATTAATCTATAAATAAAATACTAATTAATTAATCAATAATTATCAATATTTTCTTTTGCTCTATTTCTTATATAAAATTTGAAAGATTTTTCTTAGTTGAAAAACATACATGTTTAGAGTTAGAAGTTTATAGTGCGATTACCTTTTCTTATAAAAAGAACGATAATTTTTTAAGAAAATTGATAATTAATCCTAATTTAATTTTTGAAGTAATTCTTCAGTTAAATATATCTCTTATTTTAACATTTAAATGAATTATTTTTTAGGATATAGTTTTGCTATAATTTAATTCTCTTGCTTAAATTCTAACAAATAATTATTTTTTCAATTAAATTACAAAAAAATATATCATAAAAACCACAAAATCAATGTTTTTAATCTTTATAACTAAATACAATATTTTTACTCATTTTAAAATTATTTTAATGATAATTAATTTTAATTTATTTAATAATATCTTTTTTAAAAGATGCCTAATAAATGGAATCAATTACTCTTTTGAAAAATATTGCTTAAACAAAGTAAGTAATAATGGAAACAAATATTTATTCTTTCACGCTAAAAATAGCTGATCAGGCAGGCAATAAATAATTTATTTTGTTATTAAAAATTTAATTGATATCTTATTTGATTACATCAGCGTTGACAATTTATTGACTTGAATAAAAAAATTTGACAAGCAAAAAGTATTTAATATAATCTCTCTATCTGGTTTATATGATAAAAGAGTCTAAATTTTTGATATATTTGCTATTAGAAATAAGATATTGATTGATTATCTCATTATTTTCTCTTACTTGTTTAATAATAAAATAATGTTTGATGAATTTGTATCTATTATCAAAACATATATATATTACAGATAAAAACCAACTCTATTTAAAAAAATTAACCAAAAGATAAAATATAAAAAAAAAAAAATTTTCAAACTAGATAAAAATTAATAAATTAGAATTAAAATTATCAAAAATGTAATATTAATCTTAGTAGCCACCAATCATGAATTCTTAACTCAGTTAAAATAATAATGATGAAGTTAGATTCGTTGCACAACAGAATGGAGGTGAGCTTTAACAAATGTAAGAGTATCTCAACCAACAAATTATATAGCAAGGATATGACGCTGAAGAATTTAGGTCATTTTTGAAAAATAAATATCCTGGTGCTGAGTCAAACTTGAAATAAATTTCTATGGATTAACTAAAAGAAGTTATATAAGCCTTTATACTACAAACCAGATAGCAAAGTAGAAGCAGCTCTTAAATACCTTAAAACAACTACAGCAATTAAGAATATTTAACATTTGAAGATACTAAATAAACTAGTAATATTCAACAAGGTACTCGCATGACATAATCTACATTTTCCAACAACAACAATAATAATTAGGCTAACAGAAATAGACAAGCTTCGACATTTGTAAATGCATAAAATAGTGATCCTAAAGAATTTGCAATTAATAAATAAATTTTGGAAGAGCCATCAAACTAAAATAAATCACAAATCTAAAAATCTAATATAAATGCTTCTGTTTATGCTCAAGGATAGCCTCAGCTTTAAGATAGTTAAAAGTTAAGCTCTGATAACGTGGGAGGTGAAGACACATTAAACCAAAGTATTTTAAATAGCACATTCTCTCAATCACGTATTATCAAGGATCCTTAAGGCTAAACAATAGTTCGTAAGGAAGCTTAAATAGTTCCATAGACTAGTATGGTAAAAGATGGTTTTATTAAAAAAAACTTAGAAGGAGAAGAAACATCAAAAGTTATCAGTTGTCGTACAATTGAAAAAAGCAAAATAGCTGAATTTTTAGAAGAATAATCTATCACAGTTAACAATGATAAGCCTCCTTAAAAAATTAAAGTGATTCTTGATTCATTTGAAATTGTTTTCGATGGTCTTTTTTCATCAGAGTATGCTTTATATTCAGTTAAAACTCCTGTAATGGGTTGGACTGTCTCAAGGAGATTCAATGATTTTCATTGGTTATACAATGTGCTTAGAAAACACCATCCAGGTAGCTTTATACCTCCTATACCTAAGAAGACTGCAATAAAAGAAATGAATGATGAACATTTATATTAAAGAATGCGCAGTTTCGAATAATTTTTAAATCAAATTCTCATTTGCCCAACTTTAAGTGTGAGTCCTTACTTAAGTGACTTCTTAAGTATAATTGACTAAAAGGCATTCGAAGCTAAGAGAAAGGAGCACGATTTGAAACCAACACCCAGGATAGTTGATTTGATTTCTACAGTTTAGGGAGAGCTGATTAGTGAAATAACTCCTCCTCTCAAAGAGTTCTGGCTCTAATTTAATGATTTAACTTCTAAATCACTTCTCAACTACTAAAATTTAAATGAATCTTTTGAAGGTTTTATTTCAGGTATTAAAAAGGCAGCTGAAGAATCTAATAAAATAGCCACTAACTTTTCCCGTATGCACAAAGTTCATGAATAATTCAACAGACTTTCTCCCCTCGGTAAATGCCAACCTCTCGAGAATTTGAATATTCACCTTAACAACTTTTTCATTGACTTTGGGTAAACTCTTCATAATATTACAGTTGTATTTGAAAAGAATTTCCATGAATATGTTCGCTACCAAAACATGATGTATGAAGAATATAAAGCAACAATAAACTATCACAATGAATTAGAAAATACATATCTTGAACATTTAAAAAAGTTAAATTAAAAGAAGGAAAAGCTCTTCACAAGCTCAAACACATCTAAATGGGAACTTGATAATACCTGTACACTAACTATACGTGAATTGCAAAGTAATAAAGTTGAAGCTCTCAAGAATATGCTTCCTACTGAAACAAAGTAAGTATAAAGTGAAGGTGAATTTTATGGATTCGTTAATAGGCAGCTTTACGATGACGTTTGTATGCACTTATCTCATTCACGAGATATAGTTTGCAATCGATTTATTTCACTATCCTAAGATTTAGCGCTAGAAATAAATATGCTGCATATACATACTGCAGATTCAAACATGAGATTTGCAGATATGCTGGGATAGTTTAATTCGTCTTTGAATTAGAAATATCGACCTGAGTGAGGTTTTTTGAAAATTGATTACTTTATTTTTTGGTTTGTATTTTATATAAAGTATCTTTTAACTTAAAATTAAAAATATTTCGTTCTAATTATTATGCTTTATTAATCAAAAAATAAAATTATTATTTTAGATAAATTATATAAATAATTTTATATTATGAATAAATTTTAAATCAGTTTATTCCAAGGCCAATACAAAAAATTTGTTATATTTAATATAATTGATATCATTATCATTTTTATTCTATTAAATAGCTAGTTTTATTTATAGCTACCTACCTGCCTACCTGCTTTTCTGAATATATGATTTATTGTATATCATCTAATTTCAGTTTTTAATAAGCTTTTAAAATCATATGAATTTGAAATTAAAAATTTTTTTTGACTATTTATAAATTTTTTACAAAATTTGCTGAATAATAAATACTATAAACGAAAGAATTTTTCGTTAAAAAACAAATCCATTAAGCTTAAATCTATATCATAAATCTTATAAAAGAATAATAAAATAACTCTAAAAAGGTACATATGGATAACTATATTAAGATAGAACTTGTAGGGAAAGGAAATTTTGGATTGGCAGTATTAGTTTAGTCCAAAATCAATCGAAAATATTATATAATGAAGGTATACATTTTTTAATAAACGATAATAGAGTTTTTGAAATTTTAGTAGGATTTACTATGAAACAAAATAAATACAATTAATCAAGAAAAAAAAGAACTTATTTGTCTTTCAAAAATGTTTAAGATTGTTTTTTAATTACTAATAGATTATAGATATTTTGCGTTTAGATTAAAGATAAAGATAAGATGCATTAAATGAAGTTAAATTTTTAAAAGAACTAGGACATCCTTTCATCATAGCTTATCGTGAGTCTTTTGTCGATAAAGAGTAAAGATTTAAAATATTTTACAAAAACAGAAAGCATGTTTCATTAAAAAAATAATAAAATATTGGAATTTCAATAAATATTTTGAAAATCCTAAACATTTATCAATCTTTAAATTCAAATATAATATTAATATATTTTTTTATATATAAAAAGTCGATATTTGTGTATAGTTATGGATTATTGTGAAGAAGGAGATCTTTACAATTAAATTATTGAATAAAAGAAAACAGGATAAGGATTTACAGAATAATAAATTCTGGAATGGTTTGTTTAAATTTGTTTTGGTTTGAAATTTATTCACGATAGGAGAATATTACATAGGGATCTTAAAACCCAAAACATTTTTTTAACTAAATCAAAGTAAATCAAAATAGGAGACTTTGGTATTGGTAAATATTAATATAATTGCAAGTAGGATATATAAATATAATAAAATTTTAATATACAGCTAAAGTACTTTAAAATACTTGTGAAATGGCTAAGACAGCCATAGGAACGCCTTACTATTTATCTCCTGAAATATGTTAAGTATATTTTTAAATCTTGTTTATTATCTGCTTTGTTTAAAAAACAGATTCATAATAAATATATTACAAAATAATAACAGTAAAAGCCCTATAATCAAAAAACTGATATATGGAGTCTTGGGTGCATTTTATATGAATTATGTACACTAAGACATGCTTTTGATGCAAAACGTAAGTTTTAATGTAAATATTGAAATTTACATTTATCACTTTTAAAGATTAATAGGGGTTGGTTCTTAAAATCTTAAAGGGAAACTATCCTTCTATTCCAAATTGCTACTCACCCTAATTAAGCGATTTAATAGGCGAAATGCTTTAAAGACATCCTGCAAAAAGGCCTTCTGTTAAAAAAATTTTAGAAAAATAGTTTTTAGCTAACACAATAAATAAAATTTTGGCAAATATGGTGTAATAATCAAGTAACCGCAAAGGAACAAGCTCTTAAAATGATGTTTAAGTAATATAATAATTAGCAGAAGGGATTCAGTCAAATAATATAGAAAGACAAATCACAAAAAATGATGAAAACCAAGCTCCTTTAGCAAAATAATAGTAAGAGCAATAAAAGTCAAACATATAAAATAGTAATTAGCAGCCACAAAGCTTAAATTCTTCTTTTTTAAGGCAATTATATTAACACCAGAATTAAATATAAAATCCATAGTAATAATAGTAAATAGCATCTAATTGCGATAGTATTATTTAACAACAGAAACTCTAATATTTACAAAATTAGCAAGAATATAAAGAAAAGTAAGGAGTTTAAAACTAAATCTCTTACTCTTAAAGCGCTATTAAATAAAATGGAGAAGAGTTTAGAACTCCAATTTAAGAAAAAAAAATAAATAATCTTTATGGTTCATCATCTTCTGACTAATAATAATCCACTACTTTAGCAGAAATAAAAAGCTAATTTCCTTCATTTTAGATGAATGGAGGTGTTGGATAACAGTAAGCAAATTAAATTTCCCTAAATCTAGGCAACTAATAGATTTAGATGAAAAATAACATTTAAGGTAATTAAGCAAATATAAATAACATCTAATTGATAAATAAAAATGAAAATTAAATTCTATAAAATAATGGTGTAAGATAATCTTCTCTAACTAGATAAGACAATATAAATCCTTATTAAAACTATAAAAATATTTAAAGTATATAAAATCCCTTGAGAAGATCTTTCGATGGATCTTAAGACAATAGTATTTATTAAAATTAAAAAAGTACCTCGCCTTTATTATAAAATCAAAATAACTCAAATAATAAGATAGTAAGTCCTTTGTATCACAAAAGCTCAAACAAAATAATTAACCCTTAGTAAAATAATGTATATACTAGTATTCCTCCTTTAGCTAATTAAAATCAAGCAGTCAGAAGCAGTATAGAGCACTTAAGCAATCCATTACTACCATCTTTATCCTCTTCTTCTATTTCTTCAAGTAGAAAACAGCAAGGAAATTCAGGCAGTTTAGCAAATATACCTCTTCCTAATTAAAATCATTAAAAAAATTCTTTATCCCAAATACCTAATTTTTCCCTACCTCAAATATAATAATAATGTAATTTTATTTAATTTTATATAATACATTTATTTATTTAACTAAATACAAAATAGAAAGCGATTAATAAATACAAAAATAACGATCAAACTCTATAAACTCTATCTTAAGCAATCAAAAAAAGTAATTCAATAATACCTAATAATCTGACTCTGATGAAGATTTTGAAGAGCCTGAAGATTAGAGAGTTAAATGCGAGTAAAAATTTTAAATTTTAAATACATAAATGAATTCTCATTGTTAATAATATAAGATTTTTGGGTGTAGATGGTATTCAAATTCCAGGTATGAGTGAGAAAGACTCAATATTTAACAGAATAGAAGCATTAAAAGTTTATTTAGAAAGAAATCTAGGCGAAGATTTATTTATTTAAATTTACTAAGAAATTCAGGTAAAACAAACAAACAAACAAAAAACAATAAATTAATATACAAATAAAATATATTCATTTCATCTTATTTTAAAATATTTAAATTTATAAAAAAAGCTGTAAGATTAAAACTTGAGTGAAACAGATTAAACCAAACGTATAAATAGTATTCTTAATGTAGACTAATAAAAATTTATTCCTCTTATATATTAAATGATATTTTGTGAAGATTCCTACTATACTAACTCATGAATTAATTAATTAATAATTAAATAAAAAATAATATTGTTATTGTATATATACTTTTTTACACTTATTTCACTTCTTATTCTAAATTAATCATACGTTTTAAATAATATTTTAATCATCTTATTTGCAATTTATTATTTTATTTTCATTTATTTTTTTTCTAATCTTTATTTATTTAATTTTTAAAAAATCATTCTATTCTACTTATGATTGTTAATTTTTATTAATATTTAATAATTCTCAAATTAATTTTTTTTCAAATTCAATTTTCTTCCCAAATTTTTTATATCCAATTTTCATCATAACCAGCTTTAATTCTAGCTTCTTTATTATAAGGCTTAAAGAATTTAACTCCATGATTTTAGCATATTTCTTTAAATTTTATAATAGGGTCTATATTTTAATTTTTGCAAATGATCTAAAACCATTTATTTCCAATACCTATATGGCCAACTTCTTCATCTAAAATTCTTTGTAATATTTTAGCTCCTATTTTATCTTAGAATGAAATTAATTTAACTAAAAGTCTATCCCCTGAATCTACACCTTTACCTTCTTATACAATAGAAATTAGAGCTATTCTTGTAAGAGGGCAGTTAATTGAATTTTTAACATTATCAATCAGACCTGTATGGACAGGAATATCGCCATAAATTATGTTATCTTGACTTAGTCTGTCTGATAAAAGAATAAAATGTTCAGATTCTTCACAAGATACTCTCATTATATCTTTAAAAAACTCAAATTTTTACTCACTTTTTACATTATCTAGAAATCTAATAGAAGTGTCAAGATAACTCTTCATTGCGTTATATTCAATATGAGCAAGGGAATGAAGCAGTTATATATTTTTACTAATTTTATTGTCTTTTAAAAATTAATTTATATCTTTAACGCTTGATGATTAGACATTTTCAGGAAAATCATATGTCTATCCTTAGTAGTTATTATTAACATGACAATTTAAAATTTCATCTTTTAATTATTGCTCATTATTATTTATGGATTTGTATATCTTCTAAATCATGAAAGCTGAATCTCTAGGGTTTTAATTAACCAATGCTCTTTAGCAATCTTACTTAATATCCTAAAAGTAACTTGATTCTGCAAACTATACAGATGAGAATTTCTTCCTCAGAAGGTTGTAACAAGACCTGAATTACATATTTAAAATTTTTATTATTAACTTAATTGATTTAAGTGAATAAAATTTTTGGTTTTAATAAAAAAATTAGTATCTTAATAAAATAAGGTTAAATCTATTAGTAAATAAACAAATATATTGAATGTAGAATTAACAAATTAAGATTATGAAAAGTTGTTAGTAGAACTTAAACACTATTTAATTAAAAATAAAAGATGACAAATATAAATTTTTATTTGAAAAGCATTTTTGTAATTATAAATTTAATTATTTTATATAATTAATTTTTTTGAAATTTTATTGATACATTTTTATTTATTTATTTTTGTTAATATTTTGTATTTGAAACTTATCTTCTACCTGTCAAAGTTTCACTAAATTAAAAATTGTTCTTCAAGAATTATTCCAAGCAATCAATGTAATTGCTTTCTAGTAGAGTTGAGCACGAGGAATGTGACCACAATTCATCTTTTATTGGGTAAAAAAAATTATTTTATTTTGATTAGTTTTTACTAAATTTAATATTACCTTTAAACTGAAAATTAGATTTTTTCTTGCTTTATTGAGATAGACAGGAACCATAATTTGTCCATCTTGAACTCCCTTTGTTGATGATCTTGCCCACTTGAAGATAATAGGAGGTAACATAATTCTTATTTCGTTACTAAGTAAAAGTTGAGTTCCTTTCCAGTCAGCTCCTTCAATAGACATACCTTTAACTAAGAAGCAATCATCTCCTAGTTAGTCACCTTCACTATAAACTGAAGCTTAGAGTTCCAGTTCTTCTAATGACCAAGCATTATTTTAAGCTACAAACTATCTAGTGGCAGTCATATAAGCTTCAGGATATAATAATTGTCCAATCCAAACACCTGATTTTTGGTAATTTGGTATGATTGCAAGCTTTTTTTGTTAATTAAAATAATAATTTTAAATTTTATTAAATATTTTCAATTTATTTACCTTATTGAATTAATCAATACGTTGCTTGAAATCAAAAATCCATTCATTGAGACTTGTGCAATAACTATTAAATTTAACCCATGCCTTAGGAACTACGTCAGAATAGACATCCTTAGCAAGTTATTTTGTTACATTAGTACCAGCAATATTACCAGCAGCCATTTAAATAACATCCTTTAGGTTAGACTTAATTTCATTGAGTAGCTTAGTACCTACAGTAATTTCTCTTTCCAAGAAACGGAAGAGAGGATCATTCATTGAAGTAGCAGTACGATTTAACTTTTCAATTTGTTGAGGAAGAACCTTGAGGAATGATTCAGATCTCTCTTAAACAGTACGCAACCATTATACTTGTTGGGATTACTAACCTTAGCCTCCAGTCTTTGGCTTAACTCCCATATCTATTTCTTCGATTTCTTCATCATTTACATCCTACAAAGTCCATAATAAATTTAATGCACGTTCTGTATTTTATTCTTTAAGGATTTTTTCTGCATTTACAGGTAAACCACTCCAAGCAGGAGATTCTACATTTGGCAATTTTTCTATCCACTCAACATATTAAGATTGACGAATTGCTTCTGGCATCTTGATGAGTTAAATATTTTTTTCTGATGTAGAGAACATGTCATAATTTGCGTTAAAAGCGTTAGGATTGAATAAGTGCTCAACTAATGATTCAAGGATCTTACCATCATATTCATTGTCAATTTTACCACCATATAAATTCTAGCATAAAATAGTTCTGATAGCTTCCCAAGGAAGTTTATCAGGATCTATATTTGAGCGGTCACCTAGAGAATCTACGAATTCATCAATTAAGTCAAGTGAGCATCTTTGATCTGCTTCATTAAATTCATAAACCTTAGTATAACCAATAGGTGTGTATCTAAGTCTCTCTAATAAAATAGCATGCAACCAGGCAAGAAGGAAATGTAATCTTGATCTAATTGATAAATAAATATTAATTAGTTAAAATTATATCAAATTTGAAAATTTATTTTACCTTTCTCTTGGTAGACGATCAGTACGAGCAGGAGTGAGAAGAGAAGCAAATGAACGTTGTAAAGAAGCTTTAATACCGCTAGGAGGTTCAAATACAAGTTTGTAAGATTAACGAATAAGAGTTGAAGGTACCTTAGGATTGAATTCCATGGTTAAGAATAATCTAAAGTTATTGTGAGGAGTTAATCTATGAATACTCTTCTCTACTTCAGAAAGCCAAGAAGGTGCCAAGTGAACGTTCTTAAGTAAAACCCAAATACCAGATTTAGCAGCTTATTGAATTGCTTTATCAGCTAGATCAAATCCTTCTTAGGAACCTATAGCTACTGATATATGTCTAACACCCATTTCTTTAGCAAGGGCATCAACCTTGTAAGATGGATCAAAACCTGGAGCACTGCACATGAGAATAGGAGATTTGCAATTTGAATCTTTTTCTACTACCTATTTCATATCAATTTAAATATCTTCAAGGAATTTGCTTCCCATAACCTTTGACACAAGTCTCTTAGCAACAACAAGGAATCTTGATTAATTATAATAAAAAATTAAATAATGTTATTCTGAACTAAAAAAAAGTATCTTACCTATCTGGACGGAAAATTTTAATAACTGTTAAATCACGAAGAAGATTATTTACTGTTAAATCAAATTCAGACATACTTGGATTTTGTTGAGGAGCCCAATCAGAAGGAACTTAATCCTCTGGAGTTTCAGAAAGGATGAAATCAACCCAAGAGCTTTCGTTGCGATTTACATCAGGTAAAAGAGCTGAAAATTCAGTAGTATTAGTAGAAATATCTTCAAGTAGCTTGAGCTATTATTTTGTAAGCTTTGATTCAAGAAGTTATTCAGATAAGGTTGTTTCAATTAATTTAGGAGCTTTAGCAAGATTCATAAAAGCATTTTCGTATGTCTTACCAAGCTTTATTTATGTAAGACGTAAAGCAAAAATAATACGATCCTAGTCAAGAAGTGAGTTTGTTACTTTTTAGAATACTCTGATAAAGAGCTCATCATAAATGACTCTACGACGAGCAGGTAAATCAGTCTTAGCAGTTGCAGCAAGTATTTCATTTTTATGAAGTAACTCATTGAAAATTTCCATAAAGAAGTTTAATGAGAAATCATAAAGATAATGTAATTATTTCATTGAAACAAGAGCAAAGAATACTTTTGAGCAGGCTTCTGCTAATGGAATATAGTCAGAAGTTACTTTTTAAACTTCTTACATAACCTTATCACTTTGTTCCATTTCACGTTATACGTTAGTAGCTTCACTCTTAAGTTTTTCCAAAGTACCTATAACTGATTCATTATCTAAAATAGAACCAGTTACATTAGAAAGAGAATCAAGCAAAGAATCTTCAAGCTCACGAAGACGGACAATATATTCACCCTATAATTTCATAAGTTTAATACGCTTTTCTTCTGTTTCAGGAGTTTCACTCTTAAGATAAATGTTTAAACATTGATTTTGCAAAGAACTTGGTGTGACAGTAAAGTTTACAAAAGTAACACGAGAGCAAAGATCAGGAGTGAAACGAGCATTAGAATCACGTGTAATCATAAACATTTAGAATGAAGATGAGAAATCAATTTCTTAATCACCAACACGAATTAAAACACGACCACCAGCCTTGTAAACTTCTTTATTCAGAACTGAATTGAGGATGGGATCAATACGTTCTACATCTTGAACTAATAGAGGGCAACCAAAACAAAGAGAGGTTTCTAGGGTCTTCATAAATGCATCATCAGCAAATGAAGTTCTAGCTATTTTTTTATCTTTATAGAAAGAGAGTACAAATTCTTATGCCTATCCAGCAGGATCAATGATGAGAGGATATCTATGGAAACGAGAGAGGATAATGGCATTTTCAGTACACAAATCATCATTAGGAAGACGATGAGATTACCAATTGAGACGATCTGAAGGTTTTGACAAGAATTCAATTAAGCTAAGGTCCTTGCGGAAACGGATGTAAGCAGAATTTTCAAGATAATCGCGGAATGATTTCATTAAAACACGACGGTAGAAATGATCGAAGAAACCAATATAACTACAGAATGCACCAGATAAAAGGACATCACCAATGATTGTGGCCATTTATTGCTTGAAGTTTTGAGATGAGGCATCCCAACGGAATCTTTCTGATGATAAATTTTATAAAAGTTATTGAGAACGTTCGACCTTTTCTTTTACCTTAATCATTTCATTCTTTATATTTTCTTTATCAGCAATCAAAATAGCATAATCACTCTTAAGTTGAGAAATCTTTTCTTGTAATAGTTCGACTTATTAATCAAGTTGTTTCTTTTTATCTTCTAAAATGCTACCTTGTTTCTTAAGATCATCTACTTCTTTCTTAAGAGGATCTACCTTTAATAGAATATCAGCATATCTGATTTATGATTCTACCCAAAGAGCAAGAGGACCAGCTGCTTAAGAAGAGTTGTAAATTCTTTCAACATTCCATTCTTCTTTCTTTAAATAATTCTAAATTAATTTATTCTTAATTGCAGGTTGGAGGTTATCAGTTGAGAAATCAAGAACATTTTTGATAAAATCTTTATTTGCAATCTACTTTTTGATATCAGCCCAAGCAGGATTAGCTGTATAAGTGTTTGTAATAACAAAGATGACTGCTTCCATTGTAATTTATACCAATTTAGGAGGAGCAGCATAAGATCTGATTTAATCAAGCTGAGCTCTATTTATAGAATTAACACTTTCTTTAGCTTTGATAAGAGCAGGTTCAGCTTCAGCTAATTCTTGGCGAGCAATTTATTCTCTTTCATTAATAATTGCCTTTTATTTATCTACTTATTCAGTGAGCTTTATTGATTCATCTTTACTTTATTCAGCTTTATTTTATTCTGAAACCATCAATTTTAATTTCTCATTAGCCTTTTAAATTAATAAATCATTTTTTAAATAAATATTTGAAAATAAGAAAAAAACAAATTACTTCTTTTTCCTTTTATTCTAATTCAGTTTTCTTTTTCTTAAGTGTGGATTCCATGGTTGCTACTTGTTCTTCTGTGTCTTTAAGCTTTTCAAGACCCTTATTTAAGTGCAATTGCTAGTCTTCAAGAGAAGATCTCTTAGAGTGGAGTAATTCCATAAAGTGTTTAATGAAATCTAAATAATCTCTTGGTGTTATATAATTATATTTCTTAGCACTCTTAGCGAGGTTTCTGTTAAGACTAACAACAGTATTATGGATGTGGACTATAGTGTTGACAAGCTATAATTATCTAGTTTCAACATTTTCAGCAACAGAGCTCTTAGTGAATGAAGCTTCATCTGAATTTACGTGTTAAGTGAATTCTTTACCAACTTACCACAATGCTTCTTAAGACCAGTCACCAAACCAATCAATAACACATCTATTGAAAAGAGCTGGAGAGCTTGCAGTTCTATTGGAGAAGTCAGGATTAGCAGGATTCATAGTAAAAACTACGTGCAAATTTCTTTGGACATTCTTTATGAAGTTTCTGTAAACTTAATCATCAGTATCCTAAAATTATAAAAAACTAAGTAAGCAATTTAAGAAAAATTTATAAAAAATTACCATCATTTTATTTTCTTTCATTTAAGCTTCTCTGCATTAACTCATAAGAGCCATATATTCTTCACCTTCAAAGAGACCTGGAATTTCACCAGAGGCGAGCAAGGCGTTCATTTTTTCTAAGAATGCAGGTCCTAAGACATTACTTTCATCAAAGATAAAGCAGATTTTTTCTTATTTAACACCAGCGCGTTTCATAACATCTCTAAGATCATTATCAAAATCGTGGACATTGTATTTTCTTCCTGCTTTGATTTGATAGACAACCAAATTATTCATCCAAGAAACAAATCTAGTGAGAGTAGTCTTACCGACACCAGAGGCACCTACAAGTAAAAGATGACCCAAAGGCTGTCTGAGTACTCTATCAATACGTAAAATATGATCAAGGACAGAATCAAATACAACAATTGGGACATCCAATTACTCTTCATTAAATATTTTCAAACGAGCAACAACGTATCTTTAATTAAATGTATAAATGTTAAGCTTATATACAAAATGTTAAAAATAATATCTTTACTTTCTTAATTCTTCTCTTTCAACTGAACGATAATCTTTATTTATGTAATTTGAGAATAGGATTGGTCTTTCTAATGCAGTTTGCTTGACAGAAGGGAAATTATTTTGAGCAACTTCGTCTACTAACTTTTCACACCACTCTTTTTCATCATCCTTAACAAGTCTTTTAATTAAAAATAATAATATTAATGTGTTTTAAAAATAAATTTAAACTCATTACCTGTCTTAGAACAGTCTCATAGCTTCATGAGTCCATAGTCTTACAAGATCTTCGGGACTTTCTAATGGTTCTAATGCTTCGTTGATTGCATATTTCCAACGAGTGAGTTCACGAGGAGAGTATATATAGTGAGGTTAAATATCAGCAGTAAAGTGAAGTTGAGAGCGAGTATAGAATTCAACCATAGCATTAGTTAATGGCTCAGCTAAATTACGAAGATGAGGAACCTTTTTGAGCATAGCACGATTAAAGGTACCATAAATTTATTTGAGAGATTCAGGACCAGGGAAATCAACTAAAATTAAAGGAGTATGACGAAGGAATCTAGCAGAAAGAGGTTTTCTTCCAGTATCTGTAGGAGGATTACATGCACCTACAAATTGAATACGCTCTAAGCTAATCCATTATTTATCAGTTGGTCTCCAGAAACCCTTTTGTTCAGTCAATTCTCTTAAGAAAGTAATAATAGTCATTGTACCATATTTATCCATATCTGGCAAATTGATTTCATCACAAAATACAACTAACCATTTATTTGGTTATTTAGGACGTAAAATCAAACCCTAAGTTGTTTTTACATATTCGCAATAGTGATCGAATTGCTTAAGAATGAGAGAAGGAGTTGTAGAGCTAGAGAAGTTAACGAAAATCATTTCAAAGTCTGTCAATGCTTTCAAAGTGCTCATTAAAGTCATAGTTTTACCAGAACCAGGAGGACCACAAAGCAAGAAAGGTCTATGTTCACTCAACCAGGAGCACAAAACCTAGAATCAAATCAAAAAATTAGAAAAATTTATTTATTTTAAATTATTTTTTACTTCCTAGTGTCTTAATGTATCAACAGTTGTAATAATTAAATCAGCATCAGTTACTTTCATAGGATCAACTTCTACTTGAGGAACCTATTAAATATTATTTATTTTTAATTATATATCAAATATCATTCAATTAATTTACTTTCTTCTTCCAAGCGTACCACTCACCATCTTCAATTCTTACTTCAAAGTCAATAATACTTTCTTATCCAGCTCCAACCTAATTAAATATTATTTTTATTCAATTTAAAAATTATTAATTTAAAAATAAAAAATTAATACAGGAGGTAGATCAACAGGACTGAATTTAGCTATATTTTCACCGAATTTTTGTCTTTAATAAAGAGTCATTGAACCTGCAATACCCCACATTAAAGAGAAAAGAGTCCACTTTTGCATATATTTCTTGAGTACTTCGGGGTCGAGATTATAATCAGGGTGAGATTCATTATATTCGAGAACATTTGAAATACCCTTTCTTATTAAGGCAAATGATGCTTCAAGCACACGAATACGAGTGAATTCCATAACATGAGGATAAGACAAAGCTATTTCTACAATTTATTCACCAAAGCTAGGTTCTCCTTCTAAGAAAAGATTTTGAATAGCTTCTACACACTATTTACGTGTAATGGCTTCAGGAGTTTCCTTCCTTTTTTCTTTTTCATCATCTTCTTCTTTAGGAATTTCATCATAGTTTTCTTACTTTAGTCTGTTTACATAGTTATAGAAAATCATATTGTATGATACGATTTCATCAGAGAACCAAACCATACCGCATCTAGAAACGGTAGCAAGTGTAGCGTATTTCAAAGTTTCGACTTCAAACATAATTCTTACATTAGGAGGAATGCTAATTCTTTCACCATTAGGTAAAGTGAGCAACTTATTATCATCTAAAACGGAATTTAAATTTTCAGCCCATTCTGGATCAACTATTTTATAATTTTTAGTTTTAATTTTTAAAAATATGAAAAATGAAAAATATTTTTTACCATCACCATCAAAAATAATCCAATGTCTCTTAGAGGATTCACCACGAACGTTTTCAGTAATCTTTCTTAGAATACCAGTGAAAACACCATCAGTCCATTCAAGAGTTGTATTATCAAGCTTGCCATATAATTCATCCTTATGAATGGCCTTAGGGTCTACAATATAAGATTCTCCTTTAATCTTTTCTACTCTGTACATAGCTTCAAGGAGGACTCTCCAAGCAACACTTTTACCACAACCAGAAGGTCCGACCATCATAACACCGTGATGTAATCTTTAAATTTGGTAAAGTTGTAATATTTTTTGCATAAACAAGTCTGTGGGAAGTAAATTTCTCTTAGCACAAACTTTTTCAATTTCTTTGCGCAACTCATCTTCCTTGATTTCGGGAATGGAGCTTCCTGGGAAGACACCAGATAATAAGTTAGAAAGAAGAGGGACATCATCAGACACTAGCTTAGGAACAATAGTTTCACATACACTTCTAAGCAAAATCTTTTGTTCAAATTCCTTATTTTTAAAAAAACCGCTTATTTAATAATTGCAATATCTTAAAATAAAAAGTTACTTGAATTTAAGCATCTGTGAAATTAGATAAGTTTTCTACTTTGCTTATTTCAACTCTCTTCATATTACCAGCGCTAACTAAGACAGATTTTAAGGCACGAAGACCAAAATCGTAGTGAGGTTGAGAGGACAATTAGTCATTACATAATTCGAAGAGTGAAACAATTTTACCAGAGAGCTTTTCAGCAGTTCTAAAACCTTAAGAATAAAGCATAACTTAAGCAATTAAATCTCTATCAGGTTTAACCATGGCCATTTGTCTGAAAAGTTATTTCAAGTTTTCAGGGAGATTTGAACGACCAGCATAGCCAGGATTCATAGTAACGAAAACACCCATCTTAGGATTAAGCTTAACGTCTCTATTCATCAATTCAATTTTAGTTGCTCTTTCTCTCAAACCACTCTGAATAATAAGAATTTGTTGTGAGCATGCAGAAAGCATTCTTTCTTCTAATCTATTGAATTCATCAAAGCAACCCCAAGCACCTACCTATAATATTTATTAACTTTTTGCTTAACTTATTCAATTTTTAAAAGAATATTACCTAACACAAACCAACAAAGATACGTCCCATAGCATGGAAATCGAATGTTTCATCACAGTTAAAAACGAGAACAAATCTACCTAATTAAGAACCAAGAGCTTTAACTGATTCAGTTTTACCTGTACCTGCAGGTCCAAAAGGTGAACCACCCATTCTTAAGTGTAAAGCTTAAGTTAATGTTAAATAACATTTATCAGTCAATGGAGTTTGAACAAGCTTTTCTCCTACACCAAGATATTCAAAACCATAATGGAATGAAGCGTTAGCCATATTTATCAAGAGTTTCTTCAATGGGTCTTGCTCTTTAGTGAACCAAGTGAAACGCATATGGTATTACCAAGCAAAGTCTTTGTGATTATCAACGTTCTTTATAATCAACTGTCTAGTTACATCTCTCTGATGAACAAAATCAGTGATAATTTGCTCATATTTTTGACGTAAATCTTTTTTCAAATCCTTAACTACATTAGTGGCTAATACTTCCAAAAAGCGGATAATATATTATACTACACTTTCTAATTCTTTTGTTTCGAAAGCTTTTTCTACTCTGCTGCACCAGAATACCTATGAAAATAATTTAGCAATTTGAAAAAAGTTATAAAAATAATTTTTACTTGTAATGAGAGTAATCCTGATTAAGCAGGTTATTATGCAATAATTTCTAATAAAGATTGGTCATCTCCTTGCTCGATAGCTGCTATTTTTTGCATTGATTTTTATAAATTAGAAGCAAGAGATAGTCTCATTTAGTCATCTACCTTTCCTAACCAGACATTAATCTTAGGATCTTCACCTACATTGATATCAGTGTCAAAAGCTACGGATTCACCTTCTTTAGAATTCATTCCCTTGACTATGTCATCATTCTTTTCATTCTTTTCACTAGTAAGAGTAGTTATACCAGCATACATTTTAGGGAAGTGACGTTGAACATTAGTAACATCTTTACTGTTACCGATAATTTCCAAAAGATCTTCGTCACCAATGAAATAGAAACGAGCAAATGCTGAACGTTATGTTTCAAGATACTCACCAAGAGCTTTTTAAATTTTAGCAAGCATATCAGCAAGTCTTTCCAATGTTTTTTGTAATCCAGGAATGGAAATGACATCTAAAAGAAGAGGCTTTTTGGCTACTTTCTTCATATGAGAAGTAAATTCACTGTCAATACCCTTAAAACGATTATATTCATTTTAAAGTTGAGTCTTTATGTCAGAAGCACCGAAAAAGATACCTTCTAAATAAACCCATTTTCTTTGCACGTCAATCCAGCTGTCTAACAAAATTCTTATTCTTTGAAGCTTTTCATCCCAAGGAGTAATTTCTTCTTCAAATTGCTTGTAATAAGGAGACATTTTAGTGGAGGCCAAAGTTCCCAAATCTTCGTCAAGTTTAGCGAAAAGATCATCCCAGCCTTTAATAAGTTTACATTTATTTTAATAATTAACCATATCTAATTCAAATTCATTCCAGTATTCCTTAACATTCTTCATCATGCACTCAAGTACAAATTCACCTTAAGCCACACTTAAAACATCTTCAATAGCTCTTTCATACTTCAAAACTAATTCATTAGACCACAAATGACCAAGAGTTAATTCATTTAATGAAGGTTTAAGCTGTATAATAAATGTGTTTTAAATTATATTAATGCATTTAATTATAAAATTACTTTCATTTTTTTGAGGATGTTTGACCAATGACGAGGCTTCATAGCTTCTGTTTTTAAATTATCAATAATACGGTTCATTTTTCCATAGTCTTTCAATCTTTGTCTCATTTTTTCATATGGTTCGTATGTACGAATTTTATTTGGAACTTCTGTCATAAGGCGATTAGCATTATCCATAGCTTCCTTAATTTTTTTAGGTTATATGGCATTGATAAGAGTGTCATTTAATGCTTCGATGTTCTACCAGACTTTGTTTAATTCTTACCAAACTTCCTTGAGAGAGTTAATATCTTCTTCAAGATCTTCTAATTTTTACATATTACCAGGTTCGAGATTGAGAAGAAGTTTTGCCTTGCAGCAGTTTGAATAATTGTCTTTTACTCTTCCTAATTGGCCAGAAATTATATTCAAAACATCTAAGGCCTCAATTGGAGATTACTCACCACTTGAAGGTTTCTTAGAGGACCAACTTTCTTCAACATCTCTAATTTTTTCATTTAAGATTTATTCATCTTAAAGGATTTTCTCTTGAAGTGTAGGAATTTCCTTTTCAAGTTATTAATTTTTTCTATTTACTAGTTGTCTAAAATTTGACCACTCACCTTCAACTTAATCTAACCAGAGCCAATCATTTGGATATTAATATCTAATATTTTAATAAAAAAATTATTTAATTTTAAAATTAATTTATTTGTTTATGATTACTTTTATCTTTCCAAGAGCTTTTAACCAGTTCTGAAAATTTCAATATCATTGTTCCATACAGAATATTTTTCCATCATTTCCTTTACTTCAGTAATAGCAATAGTTACATCAACAGAAGGATTGTTAAAGCTAATCTTTTCTAATTTTAAACGTGCATTATAAATCTTAGTGTTGAAATCTCTTAGCTTATCGCCAAATGTTAGACCAAAGTGATCTAAAATTTCTCTATGCCATTAATCATATTTATTGTTAATTTTAACTTGAACTAAACGATAGTCTATTTATACAGGACCGAAGAATATGTCTGTATCAGAATTATCGAATGTACTTCTTCCTTATTTTATTTCAGATAAAAGTTGTTACCACTTATTAATGTCATCTCCTAAGAGTTCATAAACTTTCTTCTAATCAATAGCCCAAAGAGACTGATAGCTCAACCATGTATTAACGTATCTTTCATTATCTCTAAGAATTTAATCTATTCTATTGTAAGATCCAATCAAAACGTCCTTAGGAATCTTAAGCAATATAGAGCTATAATCAGAGTTTTTAATATTTTCTGCTGTTTTACTTGAAATTGAAGTAGAATATCTAGTGGCTTCTAGTCTAATATTTAAGTAAATAAATTATTTTATATTTAAAAAAATATTTTGAAAAATTACCTTGGAAGAGAACATATGATACCAATAGCCTTGTGGAACTGTTAGAACCAATAGTAACGGGCAAATTCAGTAGAAGGTTCAATACTAATTACTTAATCCTTCATCTTGAGCTCATGTCTTGTGTGTTGCTCAATAAATTCTCTTTTTTCCATTAAACGATAAGTCTCGAATTCAACAACAAATTTCCTTATAATTTAGACCAAACGCTCAACAAGAATATCTTCTATCTTGGCATCGACCTCAGGTACCCAAATATGCAAGTTAGAATAATCTTTTTAAAAGTTAATATCATCAATCAACTTTTGGATTTCTTCTAATTTTTCTTTGAAAGTTTCATGGGAAGGATGGCAAGTCTTCAAAAATGCTAAAATAGATTCAATCTATTCACTATAATCTTTCAAAAGGTTAACAGCTTCTTCAAATTTTTAAACTTATTCTGCTAAATTTTTAGTAAATGTGCTCAAATAGATAACACCATTCCAGTTGATTTGCATACCGTTTCTAATTTATTTGTGAACACCTCTACGGAAAGAAGCAACAAGCTTTTTCATTTTATCATCAACGTGGTTTGAAATTTAGTTATATGAACGAATAGATTCTTAAATAGACATTGCAAAAGGATAAATATTCTTAGCTTATTAAGCTGTGTATGACAAGGAGGATAGGAAACGAACCTTTTAAGAACTCAAAATACGAGTTTCCTTAAAGAGATTAACTTAACGCTCATCATAATTTACATCTAATTCAAGTTTACGCTTCTAAACTATTTTAAATATTTTTTCACTTTCACTCTTTTTTTGATTAAGATCTAAAATTTCATTAGACCACATGTCTACAAATTGTTAAGGATTTAAGTGGTTCTTGAAGGCTTCGCAAGTTTCTTTACATTTTTATCCCAATGGATGCTCAACCCACTTTTCACCTAAGACATCAGCCATTTAATCCATATATTTATTTAATTTTTTAATCATTTAGTTTGTCCAAATGACACTACCAGCAATGTTGGGAATATCTCTGACCTTTATTATAATAATAATTTAATAAAGACATATAATTTATAATTAAAAAAATAATAATTACCTTGCAGAGAACTGAGGTTTCAGTATTTACATATTTCTTAACAAACTTCTCACGCAACTAACTAATTTTTTTTTATACTTTTTCAAGCAAGTCAGATTAATATTCAACAATAGCACCTCTAATATGAGGACGGACAAAAAGTTTGTTGAATTTACTGAAAATTCTAAACATTTCGTTGGGATTTTCCTTTGCTTATCCAAGTTTATCACGAAGTTTTAAAGTGATTTGGATTTCAATCTAATCAATTCTTTGCTCATATTTATTCTTAGCTAACTTTAAAGCTTATTCTCCTTCTTCAGAAGAATTAAGAACATCAATATCATCGAAAATGCTGAAAGCTTCATTAATTTCGGTAGTGGAAAGGAAATTAGTATCACCTAATTTATCTGAAGAGCGATCTTTACTAAGAATGTTCTAAATAACTTCATTCAAAGTTTAGTGCAATTTACGAATTTCCATAATAATTTCAAGACGGGTTTGAATGAAAGCAACGTGTAAGAAGAAGCAGTTTGAGGTGTGTCCCTTCAAAGATTACTTGAAAGCATTAAATTCTTTGTCCCACTTTTTAAATATCTCCTGACTATCAGCAATAAGTTAAGTGAAATGATCATAATTCATAGTCATTAACTTATATTAGCTTAAAATTTTAACTATTTAGGAGTTCAAGTCACGAGATAAGGCTTCAAGAAGCTAATAGGCTCTTTAAGGAGTATAGCTAAGACTCTTAATATTTTTCATATGATTAAAGATTCCAGATAGTGAAGTTCTGATTTCTTACAAGCTGCTTGCAGAGAGTAAGTCGTTAAGTGGGAATTCTTTCATAAACTAATTGCATTTTGTGCACTCTTAGAGTGTGTGTTTGAACTTTAAATCATATTCAAATGGTACTATGACATTATGCTTAAATTTCTTTTTCAATAACTCAATAGTAATAGTTGTTTCAATTTAACTTATTTGCTAGTCAATTAAATTTAAACTTCTTTCATAACTAAGCCAATAGTTGATTTCTTGAAGTGTAGATCCACTGCTAACCTAAATTTTAATTAAAAAAAATAAATTCCTTTTATTCTTTAATTGTTTGTAATATGAGATTTTAATAAAATAAAATTTTTATTTATTTAAAATAATTGAGTTATCGTATCTGTTTTTTAATTATGTAGGCACTTCTACTTAGTAAAAAAATCTATTAGGCAATAGCATAAATTTATTTATCATTTTCAAATTCAATAGAAAAAGCTATTTTTAATTACTGTTAACAACAGTAATAAAATTGAGCGAAAAATTATTATTAATAAAATTCACAGATCCTTTTAAACTTTTATGATTAAAAATTTAAATATTTTTACCTCGTAATCCATGTTAATAATAGCTCTTATATCTTTAGTCCATTTGGTTACACAGTTAGCTAAGCTATCTATAAATTCATTTTTATCAAGGAGGTCTTCAAAATCATCTACTGTAACATTTTTTCCTTCTGCCTTGAGCTTTTGTACTCTTTCCTTTAAGACAGGATCATAAAAAAGCTGAATTTCAGGTACTTCAACATTTTGCTAACATTAGATTAATGCTAAATTAAATTCACTAAGCTTTTTGAGTAGTGATTAATATGCTTGCTTATTATTTGGAGCTTTATTTTCGAATTATTAGCGATAAGCATTGAATATTGGCAAGAAGCAGTTTTAAACATAAAGATGATTGACAGAAATTGGGGAAGAGTCATGAGCGTAGTAACCTAAATTAATAACTTAAATTACTCCTGAGTAGGCACTAACTTATTCAAAGATGCTAAACTAGTGACGCTTGATAAAAGCTATAGAGTGGGCAGTCATTTTGGTGGATTCTATTTCATTTGAAAACTCTATTGCTACATTATCATCATTTCCATTACTTTTATTTTGATTAAGTTTTGACACTATTAAAATCTTTTACGAAGATGATGATGCGAATTTTGATATAACTTGTTAATTTTATTCTGAGTGAATAATCTAGTGGAAGCTGTCTTAGCTGACGCTGAGAAGTGTAATACATACTGATGATAAGTACATATTAAGAGGCTCTAGTTCATCAAGAGATATCTAGACAGAAGAAGAAACCTCTTTTGCTGAGGTTTTGTCCTAATCCATTTTTTTTGTGCTATCTAAAATAAATACCTAAGATAAAACTTGTTTGTTGTTTGGTTTCTTTTTTTATTTATTAGATGTCTGTCTGACTCTTTCTTTACTTCACTTCTTAAGAGATTCTTTTCCTTTTTATGATTCTCTAAGAATTCTTTTTGTTAATTATATTAATTATTTAGATTTTTAAATTTATTTATTTTATTGAAAATTTAATAAAGCTAAACTCACTGTCTTTTTTTATTTATTTATTTTTCAAATTAATATTTCCCTTCCTTTATTACTTCCTATTAAATTTCTTTTTTTTTAGTTGTATTCTATCTAATTCTGCCAAAATCTTTTTGAATCCCTTTCTAATTATTACATTCCCTTTTTTGATCAACTCTTAATTTTTTAGTTTATTTTCGTGTCAAGTTTCAGAGAGAGACTGCTAAAAACGAAATTTGATTCTCATAGTTATCTAAAAATAAAATTTTTATTCTGTTTATACTAAATAAATTTTTTTAAATACATTCTTTTAATTAAATAAATAAATTAATATTATATTTTATAATTATTGTCTTCTCTTAAATATAATAAACAATATAAAATTTTTTCATTGATTTTCTATAAAAAGACGACATCTAAATCTGCAATTAACTATTAATTTATTATATAAAAAGCAATGATATATATATATATATATCACAAGCTAATTATAAAATTAATCTTTGAAAATTTTTAAAGTATTTAAATTCCTTTCTTTTTTGGAATTACCTTAAATAAAGTAAAAAACGAGCTAGGTAGTCATAATTAATACTTGAAACTTTATAGTATTTAAAAATAATAAATATAAACAATTTCTTTTTTTATCAATCTTTTAAAATTAAAATAACCTTTTTAGAAAATTTCTTAAAATTATGACTTTAAATAGGAATATGTATTGTTCAAATAGTATATAATCATGAATAAATTTGCTTTTATTAAAATTAATTTAAAACAATTTCTTTTGTTTAGTGATATAATTCCTAAATTAATATAAAAATGAATTAGAACACTATAATTATTTTTAGTATTCAAAATACTTTTAAAATTTTTAATAAATTATTTAATCAAATTATAATTTTAAATAATTTTTTTTTACTTTATTAATTAATTGAAAAAATAATTGAATATTCATCAGATATTTATTGAATTAAATAAGTAAATAAAAAAACCAATATAGAAAAAAAAATGGATTTAGAATAAGTTAATTAGAAAGAAGATAATTAAAGGATCAATATTGAATTTGGCAACCTTAAGTATGTTAAGACTAAAATTGAAGCTATTTGCTATCTTGTTTGGAGAGCCGCTAAACACTAATTTAACTTAAATATTTCAGTAGAAGAAATAAATCCAGACTATTATAAAATAAAAATCTAAGATATAGTTTTATTAAAAGTAATTCAAATAAGCCATTACATAAAAATATTCTGTGCTAAAACTCCCTCAAATAGCATTATTGAAATAAATCTAAATATTTACTCTTTTTTCAAAAAATATTTGAGCAACTAAATTACTTTAGATGATACAAAAATAAATTAATAGTTTCTTAATTTAGATATTTATAGTCGTTTATTAAATATATTTGACAGTAGAATATACCTTATGCTTAATTCAGAGTAAATAAACTAAAATTTACTGTTAAATTAAAGACATTTTATTATTTGTATGAGAGTAAATACAATATTGTTAAGAGTATGCAAATTTTTAAATAAAAAAGATCTACTAAACTTTCTAACTCTAAATTATTAATCTAATAAAAATTATGCTAACAACAAAGAATTTTGGTATTAACTATATTCTAGTAAATATGGTAAATCTGGATTTAAATTAAATCAATTAGAATGGAAAAAGGTTTATTTGTAAAAAATAAAATGATCATTTATACATAATGAATGCAATATTAAATTAAAAAAAACTAACCAATAATATATTAATTCTAGGTTCTGCTCTCAGATCACACTTTTCTGCTATTTAAAAAGAAATATCTTTATATTTTTAATTATCTTGCTGTATTTAAAAATTATCACTCAACAAAATTAAATTAATTATTTTTTTAAAACATATAAAAATTAAAATTTGTATTGTTTCTATTATAAAATTAAAACATTTTGAACTTAAAATAACTAAAGATTATAGAATATAATGCATTATTAGAAGTGATGATTTTAGAAAAAAAATATATTTTGGTTTTTTTCAAAAATTTAACCTATTTATTTTAAAAACAATTTAAAAAATAAGAATAAAAATAATGAAATATAATTAAGGTAATTATTATATTTCATTATTTTTTATTTATCCATTATCAAATTTTATTAAAATATATAGATAAATTTTAATACAATAGAGATAAAAATAAATTAATATAAGTTAAAATGGTATTTTTTTATTTATATAGTAAAAATATTAATTGATTGATATATTAAACTAACTTACAAACACTTTTTATTTATATTTATTTATTTTAATTTATAATTCTCTTTTTTAGAAAAATCATATTTTTAAATCTAAGTAATTTGATATTATAATTCATACTAAATATCTATCTAGTTACCAAATTTTTTTATTATTTGAATTCAGTTATGGGTAATTATTATTTTTGGAAATTTATCTTCTAATGTTTAAAATTAATTTTGAGTTTAATTTTTTGTTTAATTGATATTTAGCAGAAAATTTTCAGTTTGTTTATTAAGAATTTCGAATTTATTTAATTCTTCTTTGAAATGATATTTACTTTATGTTGAAATTTCACTTTATTTCATAGAAGAAGTTGAAAAGTTATTTTTTTCAGAACAGCTTTAATTAATTTAAAAATTGGAATGAAGTTCATCATTTTCTTTTTTTATTTGGTCAAAGAGTTAAGAGATAGATTCACTCTAATCAAATTCATGAATATTTTATTAAAGAGATTTTTTAATTTCATCAACTATTTGTGTTGAGCATTCAAGCATTTTTGAAATGTACTAGTTAAATAACAACTTGTTTTAATTTTGCTCAGTTTTGATTGTAATTTGGTAAGTTGAAGAAATAGAATCAACTTGAATTGCGCATTATTCTTATAATGAAAATATGAGGCTTTAGAAAGACTATTCCTTAGTCTATTTCTCAAGCATTTAACAAATTAATTTTTCAATTGAGAGTTCTGACTTTTCTCTCATTTAGATTACAGATTCATAAGATTAAAGCACTCCTTATAACTTTTATTCAATTATATGGCACATTTTGCGGATAATTTTAACGTCTTTCAATTAAAGTTTTATACTTTCAATAAATTTATCTGACTGCTTTTATCTATTTTCAATCTTATTGTTTAAAGATTATATAATGTTTTTAAGGAACATTTTAATAGGGATTATATCAAAAGGTCTTTGCTGAGATTGTTAGTTATCTTCTATGTTATACCTACATATAGGGCAAAGTAGTTAGAGTTAAATGTCTTATTGAAGAAGGCACCCATTTTAATGGATTAATTCACTCTCCATACTTTGGATTTCATTTTTCCTAAGATTAAGCTACTATGAAGACCTCAATTATTAGGTATAATTGCCAGAATTGTAGAGACCTATATCAGTAAGTGGGGAATCAAAGTGGTCGCTTTCAGAGCAGTAGGGAAGATCCAATTTTTTTAATAAATCAAAGATCTTTTGTATCGTATTCATACCTTACTTTAATAAATAATCTTTGAGTTTTAATTAAAGATCTATTGATTCGTTTTAGTTACTGATAAAAATTCATTCAAGAGATTAATTTTTCCTATTTGTGATGAAAATAAAATACAATTTTAACGAACAGATTTAGAAAACTATTTAGTATCTATAATTTATTGTTTATTAATATATTATTTAACAACACTAATTGAAATAAAGTAAGTAGAAATATCTTCAAAAAATAAATAAATCAATTTAATAACAAAAACTTTCTTTTTATTGTTTTTGTTGAGTAATTTATAAGTTACTTTCCAATAAATTTAAATGTAACATTAAAAAAATTGAATTAAAAAATACATATAATTTTTGGATAATATTTATTGAAATAATAAATAATTGAGGATTAAAAATAATGATTTATTTAAGTTTTTCATAAAGTATTTGCTTTGAAGATGTAAGTAATAGTTAGTGCAAATAAATAAGTAAATATTAGTTAACATATATATTTAATATTAAGAATTTAAAGTAAATTAGCAATTATATTTAATAATAAAGTATTTTTTGTTTTTTTTAGTTTAGTTTAATATATTGCTTAAATAAGTTATAATTCGATTGTTTATTAGGTAAATAAAGGAGATATTTTATTAATGTAATTGTTTATATTGTACTAAAAATGCTAGCTTTTCTCTGGTATTTTTTTGTCAAATAATTTTTAATTATTAATGTATAAGCAGATGGATTTAAATTTTTACTTAAGTAAGTATTTTTATTCATTTATTTTAATTTTAAGCTGTATGATATTTTTAGGCTGGAAAAATAGTCATGCTGGCTTCTTTCAAATTCTTTTATAAATATTTATTTATTTTTTTGTTTATATTATTGAGAATTAAGTGAAATTAGAGTATCTGCTTGAATTAAAATTAGGATTAGAGGGTAGTTATATTAGTTCGCCAAGAGCAAGTTAAGAAGTATTAAAAAAATATTATTATCCATAATTATAGGCAGTATTTTTTAATTTCTATTAGCGCAATTTATTAATTTTGAAACAAAAAATATATGCTAGAATTGAGTGAAAAACAAAATTGTGATATTGATTAAATCATTACAAATTGCCTATCGCATTTAAAGAGGGGATACTATTTACTGATTTCAAAGAGCGTCTCTTTTGGTTTTTTTCAATATCAAGATTTGGTATAGGTCTTTTATTAATAAAATCACAATTTTCTTAGTTAAATTGACTTTCATTATTCAAGGCTACGCTATATTCATTTTATTTAAACTCTTTATCTTAATCAGATCCAACTTATACTCTATTTAATTCATGAATTCCTCTAACTTTCTTTTTTGGTAGAATATTATTATTATTACAACTTATTTAATTTAATTCTTCTGTTTTGAATAAATTTATTTGGTTTTAAGATGTATCCAGTCCACTACAACTGTTTTTTGGTAAAATGGATTCTATTATGTTTTCTTCTGGTGCTTCTTTAATTTTAATAGAAATTTCATTATTTTTTATTTCGGAAACATCATGTAAATCTTTAATTAATTTATGTGGCGTTTGTTTATTAAATTGAAAATTTTCAGATTTTGGAGGTTCAGAGCAAATAGGTTATTTTTCAAATTAAACTTAAATATCTTCAGATACTTACTACTGTACTTCATTTTCATCATTTATTTCTAAAAAATTTTTCTTTTTTGTTGGAACTTGTCTAACCTGTTATCTTCTGCTGAACAGAGGAGAGCTAGAGATTTTACATAAGTTGAGAGATCCTGTGGAATTTTTCATTCCATCTTCTAAAGGCTTTGATATTTTTCTTACTTTAATTAAATTCTCTCTCTTTGAAGAGTAGTATTCTTCCCTCTTCACAGATGGGTCTACTTGAAAGATACCATGAATATCCAACCAACGATAAATTCTTTATTCTAAGGAGTTATCTCTCTAAGCTTTTATCCTATTTAACTTTAGAGTAGGAGACTGTGTTTCATCATCATTTTCTTGTTAATTAATCTTTTATATTTCTTCAATGACTAAGGGATCTAGGCACTTTTGTTCATGAACTAACTCATCTTGGTTTATAACTTGATCTTAATTTTAGTATTCAGTTAAAATATTTTCTGACTAAGTAGATTATTATTTAGCAAGTTTCTCTTAATCAATATTAAATTCTTCTTTGATGTTTTGAAGAATTGATGAAGATTTTTCTTATGACCAGTCATCTGATTATTATTAACAGATAGCACTGCTTTTTTTATTGGCTAAAACTACTAAGAAAGGAGTGAAGTCCTAAGATTAAGTACGTGAATTACGCGAAGAACAAGAACTTTCCTCAGAAAATACGGCATTCTAAACCGAAATAGAGTCATATTTATTTTAATCAACATGTTTATCACCAAAGGTATTGAAAATAATAGTAGAATTTTATACTTAAAATTCTGTGCTGTTTGATGCAGTAGTTCGATTAGCGATCATCAGTGAGCAGTCAAGCCAAGATAGGCGCTTCTGCTAGTCATATTATTAGAAATTGGTGCTATATTCACCTTCACTTATATTTTAACTGATTGTACTATTTTCTGGATTGAAATTAGGTGTGTCAATTTTAGCTTTTTAGGAGCTTTCAGAAGGAAATATGGCTCCTTCATAGTTATCGCTTTAGATCATAAGTTAGCTAGTTAGTAAGTTAAAGATCTATGATATAATTATATATGTAGCAAATAAATTCAATCAATCTTTTTTAAATGAAATTTGATAATTTTTTTATTATTTTTATTATTAAATAATAATTCAAATGGTATTAGTATCTGTCTGTCTCTAATTGGGTAAAGAATGTAATTGTTATGAATTATTAAGAAATTTTTCTTTTTCAAAGAACAAAATCCAATACTAATTGATTATTTCAAGTTGATTCAAATCGCATTTAATTAATTTAAAAATTCATTTAAATGTATAAAAATTAATGATAATTTATCAGAATAAGAGTTGCTTAGTAATTATAACATTTGCTACAACATGTACTAAGCAGTTTACACAAAATCATTTATTAATTTAACATAATATTCTTTGCTGTGCTTAATGCAAAGTATATTCCTGAAATATGAAAATCTAATAACAAAATTGAGAAGCCTCCATTATTTAGCCATAATACTAATTTTAATTAAATAAAAGGCTATATATATTTTTCAATTTAATGCCAAAATATTCAACTGGGATTATATATTTTTATTCTAAATACAAAAAAAAAATTCTTTCTAATTTAAGTCTTATCCAAATCAATTATATTTAATGAAAGAAAAGAGAAAATAAATTATTGATGTATTATATATTAATTTGTCAATTGGTTATACTAATTATTGAAAGAGGATGTATCTTTATTTTTCCCCATCGCTTACTAAACAATTAATTTCAATTTGTTAATTATTATATATGAGTGGTTAAAAACTCAAATACATTTAACAATTAATAGTAATTAAATGTTAAATGCTCACCCATGTAATTCTTAATCAGTCTAGTACTTGAATGTGATCCAAATAAATTAAATACACAAACAGGTTTGGAAAAATGATAAGGAAGTAAATTAATTGAACTTATATATTCAAAATAATTGAAAAGTTAGAGATCACTTTCTAAGTATTCTAGAAATATTTTGATTACCCTTGATTAATTTTTTGGATTAGTAAAGCTAATCTATATTTTTCTAGCTAAATAAATAAAATACTCAAAAATATTAGATTTAGCTTATTTTTAGAAAAATTTTAATTCATGATAATGTCTTTCGTTTTTTGTATGTTTATTTATAAATTTCCAATGTCTATTTTGCTAAATAGTATAGAACAATTATTTGTAAGTTAAAAAATGATTTTCATTGATAAAATTTAAATTAAATGTTAAAATTTGAATACTTTGATGATAATTTTATAATACGAACAAGAAAAAAATTTTTTTATTTGTTTTCTCATTATTATTTATTTAATTAGAAAAAAATATAAACTAGTAGATCTTCATTTATTCATGACAAATTTAAGTTCCGAAAGTAAGGAAATTTTATTAGCCTATTAAAATAGTTATCTTTATTAGGCAATATCTTGCATATTTATCTTATTTTTCTCATAGTTAATCCTTTCCTCTTCTGAATCTAGAATTATTTTTTATTCAATAACTGGCTTTTTTTACTTTTATTACAAAAATTCTTTCATTTCACCTAAAAAATCCACTTAGTTTTAAATTTTATTACTAATGAAGCTCTTTCCAAAATATAATCCTTCCTACTAATTCTCAGATTAATCATCAATGAATGTGTTAGCCTCAAAAACTTTGATGATATTTTTGGTGTTTGATTAGTCATTTTGTATATCTTGATCATTTACATTTTCAAAAATATTTTCTTTTACTTCTTAATTTTAATAACCTTCATTTATTGTGCAGCTCTCAGATTATTATTAGTTCTTATGGTTCACAAGACCTAGTTTGAAATCTAATTATTGATTTATTTGATCATTTATTTAAATCATATTTTGCATTTATAAGTTAAGTTAATCTCTTAATTAAATTAACCAGTCTTAACCATTCTATAAAAATACTGTATGATTATTTTATTTTTGGTTATTTGCTTTCTCAGAAATGAATTTTTGATTTTAGCTTTTTAAATTTTCTTTTTTAAATTCATTACAATTTTCTGTTTATATTTATTCTGTTTATAATTGATCAGAATTAGTATTTTCTATAGTGCAGTTAACCAGAGCTTTAAGAGTAAGCTTATACTTATGACATTCTCTAGAGTATTTTTATTTGAGAACTGGAAGTAATTGTACCTCTTCTTTTTCTTAACTTTTTTATAAAAAAATTTTAGTAGATTTAAAAATTTAATCTAGGTTTGTAAAAATTTAATTTTTTTTTAATTTTACTTGATTTTTTTCACTTCATCACTTTCTTAGAATGTTTGCATTTCTTGTTTTAAAAAAAATTAAAAACCTTTTTCTAACGCATTTTTGCTGTCATAAATTTTCTTCATTTAACCAACTTTTTAAATAAAGTGTAAGATGAAATCATAAATGTCTAAAATTTTTTATGTAAATCTATTTATAAAATAAAAAACAATTTACTTAAAATAAATAGGTAGTAACAAAATAATTCTTCGTTGAATTGACTTTTAGAATATTCCACAATGTCACAAAATGTGTTCCATAAATTAGAAATATTTTCTATTTAAATGCTCTTTTTTAGTATTTAACTTTCAAATATTTAGCATTTAATTTTGAGAGATTAACTTTTCTTTAAAAAATATATAATCTTCAAAAAACTTATGTATCTACTAATCACCTCAATTAGCAATTCTACTGTTTATGTCCTTAAATTAATACAGCTAAACTAAAATTAGACTAATTAATTTTTGTAGGAATCATTAATCAAATTATCTTATTCAGAGTTTTAAGAGTATTATTTTTAATCAATCTACTAATTTTATCGAGTCTCAGCGATTCTTTCAAATTTTTAAATAATTTATGATGGAGTACCTCTATATTTATTTAATTAAATGTAAATTATTTTATAAACTTTATAAAAGTGAGAGTAAAATAATTTAAATAAATTTTTAACAAATCTAAATGAAAGAAAGTAATAAAGAATATTCAAAGCAATTCAATAATTTGCTAAAAAAAAAATAAATTGCTCCAGTATAAATGAACAATTTTTTATAAATTAGTAGTAAATAATGATTAACTTTTCAACCAAAATTTAATGATAAGAATTAACATTTTTATGTAAATGCCATTTTATTCTAAATTCCAACTTAAATATCATTTAATACAATGTATTAATGATATTTTAATAAATATTTAAGTTCTTTCTGCTTAAAATTAGAATGCTTTTTTAAAAATTGGATAATTTAAAATTTAAGTTATAAATTAAAGTAATATTAAATCTATATTAATAAAGTTTAAATTAATTTTACAATCTCATTCTATTTAGTAATAGTTCTGTCTCTCTGATAAAAGTTAGAGATTTCTTAAATTAAAGATAAGTATTTTCATAAACTTAAAAAATACTATCTCTCAATTTCAAATATCCTTATTAAGGTAATAGAAGGATAGATATTAGATAGTTAAGCAACTTAAGTGAAATTCCTTTTTTGTAGAAACAAGATATTATCAACACAGTAAGAATTATAAATGTTTTTTTAATTCCAAGTGAATATAAGTAACTAATTAGTAACAGCATTAAACTAATTATAAATCCCTTTATAGTAATACTATATTCTTTTTCTTTTCCAAAAAAAAAATTAATTTGTTTATAAAACCTATAAAATATGTGTAATATTACAAAATATGCTTGATTCCAACCTAAGATCTAACTTTTACTTAAGTTTAAACAAAAATGGAAAAGAAAAGAGAGAGCTTATTTTTTTCCCTATTATTTAAGCTAGTAAATAGATATTAATTAATTTTCTTTTATGTGTTTAGAAAAAATATCAAAATAATAAATAACAAATAGCTATTTATTTTATTTATTTTTTACGCTCTACTAAAAAGTAAAAATGTATACTTAAAGCTAAAAAACTTGAAGAATCTGCAGTTTAGTTCTTCTGATTTATTTTATTTTATGTAATTTATTTAACATTGTCCATATTTTAACAATTTTAGGTCTATCTTTCTTTGGTATCTTCTTTATTCTACTCTCTTAGATGGTTTTAAGAAAGTTATTCTAAGAAAGATTCATCTAAATCTGAATCATTATTATTTTATCCTTCCTCTTCTTACAGTTATTCTAATTCTTCTGAAATATGCTAGCTCTTTTGAATATCTCCAGTTAAAAACATTCTATGTTTAATAATTTAAATGCCATTAATCTTAAGAAAGAATAGTTTTAAAAATAATACTTTTAAAAAGCTTTGGTAGCCTTAAATAATATAATTTTAGAAGCAATTCAATAATATTTAATTTTAGATTTATTTTTCTAAATTAACATTCTCAAGAAATATTCCAAAATTTATTTAAATATCAACAAACTATAATGAAAGAATAAGCATAATTTTATATTATTCAAAAAAATCTATTTGCAATTTTTATAATAAGTAGAATTAATCAAATGCACATACATATTAATTTAGCATATAAAAATAATTCCTCAAAACCAAAATTATTTATTTAATATTAACTTTTTCTCAAACCACCACTTTTAAATCAATTATATATTTTTATTTTTCAGGAGGAGCTTAAGATAATTAATTAATATTTACTTAATTTACATACTATCTATTATATTTGATATTTAAAAATTATGGATTTTTTGTTTTTATCTTACGCACTACAAATCATTATTAAATAAATTTATTGATGTAATTGAAGATTTTATTTTTTAAAATTGAAATATTTTTATTCAAATAAAAGTAACAAATTGTAATAATTTACCAAAGGATAGACATTCTTGAATATATTTTAGGAACTTTAACTTCTTATTTCCATACTTTACATCAGACAAAAAAAATACATTTATAGTATTTTTCAAAAGCTATTGAGCCCACCTTACAAAATATAATTAAAAAATTTAATTTTTGAAGTAAAGCCGAGTTTATTTTTCTTAAATCATACAATTAATGAATTAAAGGTTTAGAGTAGATTCATTTAAATAGTCATCATAATCTTTGAAAATTAATTGAAAATATCATCATCAATTTCTTAACAAAAGTATCTAATCTTCATCATCATCAACTAATTCAATTAATTTAGCAAAATTATTTATTTTTATTAATACTTAATAAAATCAACTATTATAGAAGAGTAAGGTATGTGATAAGTGGAGCAAAATTTTATTTAATAAATAAAAAAAAGATCAATTAATACTAATTAATGATCACTTGTTATAATATTTATAATAATTTTTGAAATAATAAATTAAAAAGATAGAATCAATCTGTTCATCAAAAAAAATTAAAATGAGTGAGGTTAAAATTAAGTTTTACTAAACAGATCACATCTTATTTTTAGAAAAAACTAAAGCAGAATAGGTAGTGAAAGATGATGTTTAATCTTATTAGATTAAAACAGATCCACATCACATAGATATTTTAGAAAATAAAAACTAAATCTTATGTACTTTCTTGTGTGATATTACTGACTTTTAATATGATGAAAGTTCAAAGTAAAATACATAAGTTTTCAATTTAGTTTTCAATATATTTTTATTTTACGTTATCATACAAATGTTAACATCCTTAGCATCCTAATATTACATTAGTACTAAATAATGTCATTTAATTCATTGCTATTTTTTATTATTTTTAAACTAATATTTACAGCATTACTCAAATTATTTATTTTCAAAATCAATTTTTTTTTTATAAAATAAGAGTTTTGAAAATTTTCTATAAAGAGAAAAAAGATAGCGAACCCGTCTTGATGTTAGAAATGACTTCTAACTCTCGTGAATCAATCCGTGAAGTTATGGAAAATGTAATTTGAAATTTAATAGAAAAAAAAAAAATTTAGTTTCACGAAGATTCGCAAAATTTATTTATTATATAATAATAAAATCTTTAAAACTATAAAAATCTCTTTTTTTATAAACAAGATTAATGAAAGAAAGGTCTTTGTTAAGTATAAAGGGCCTCTTTCTTATAATCCAGCAAAAATGAATAGAACATCTCTATTAAGTACTGAATCACCTGAATAGAATTATAGAGGTTTTTTAAATGCTGCTGGTTTAGCTTTATTAGCAAATAACATAAGGAGTATCGTTGATAATGCTAAGATGTATGGAATTTAGCTACATCATATTGTAAATATTTATTAAAAAAGCAATTTATTTATTATATTAATAATCTTTTAAAAAATAATAAAGTATGCACAGCCTTTCAACTACATGTAAACTGAAGCTGTTATTTTAGCATTTATTTTATTCTTTTCTATAATGGCAGCATTTATAATCTAAAAACTCAATTTTTCTGATAAATTATCACCATAAGCAGTAAGCAAAATTTTTTAAATAAACACTTATATGTAATATTAACAAACTAAAATTAATAGACATTAGTTGCAAACGCTATAAATATTATGTTTGTATTGATAGTTCCTGTGTTATTCAAACAATTCTTTGATCTTCATTTCCTACCAAGTATTGTTTTGATTATGATCAGCTGTGTTATTTGGCTCAAGCTTATAAGTTATGCTCATGTGTTAAGAAATGTTTACTTCTTAATTATGAGAATTAGAAAGTTTGAAACAGACGAAAACAAAAAAAAGAAAGCATTAAATGAAGTTATTACTGAATCTGAAGCTTCTTCAGACGTAATATTTACTATTTAGTCACATTTCTAATTATAAACATAAATAAACAATTTAAAATAGAATTTAGAAATGCTTAAGAAACACGTAAAGAATCCTGAAGCTTTGCTCAAGTTAAAAGACTTATTCTATTTCTTAGCTGCTCCTACCTTATGCTTTTAGTTAGTTTATCCTCGTACTCAAAGAATCAGAAAAGTTTGGCTTGCTAAGAGATTCGTAGAATTAATATTTACTTTCCTTTTCTAAACGTAACTCTTTTTACTTCTCAAAAATATATTAAAATAAATAAAAACTTATTTATCAAAGAGTTCTATGGGTATAGTATGTTAGTCCCTTGTTAGAAGAATCTTACGAATTATCCAAATTACCTGAGAATAAAAGTATATTTTTCTTGCTTGAAAGAATGCTTAAATTGTCAATTCCTAATCTCTATTTTTGGGTGAGTGGATTCTTTGGTCTTTTCTAAGTATTCCTTAACATCACAGCAGAGCTTCTTAGATATGGAGATAGATAGTTTTATTTAGTAATTTATTGATTATTTTGAATAATGAACATTCTATAAAATTCAAATGTTATTAAATATAAGTCAAATTTTATCAGAACTTTTTATTTAAGTATTTTAATTTACTAATTAACATTTAGGATTGGTGGAATTGTAGAGATTTAGAGTAGTATTGGAGAATGTGGAACTTGCCTGTTCATAACTGGTGCGTTCGTCACTTCTACAACCCTATGCTTAAAAGAGGTTTCAATAAGGTAGTTTCCAACCTCTTGGTATTTACCTTATCAGCATTTTTACATGAATGGATAGTAAGTGGTGCCTTAAATGTAGTTACTTATCACTCATTTTTAGCTATGTGGCTCTAAGCTCCCATTATTATAATTTAAAGACGTCTTAATAAGGTAATTAATTCAATTACTTTAGAATAAAATATTAACTTAATTTATTTATGTTATATAGATGCTTAAATTAGAAAATTCCCAATTAGGAAATGTTGCTTTTTGGATAAGCTTCTGCTTTATTGGATAACCTGCTGCATTATTCCTCTATTACGAAATTTACAGAAATAAATTTGGTTGATTAAAAATAAAATGTAATTATTATTAAATATGTAAAAATATGTTTATATTATATAATTTTAATTATTTTTAAGAATTTAAATAAAATAAATAACTCATAAGTAAATAAATAATTTGAAATTATTATGTTTTAAATATAAATAAACAAATAAATGAATAAATAAATATATTTATAAAGGATAAAGAAAATAATTAATAGATTGATTAGCGAATATTTTGAATAAAATTTATGCTTTTAAATAAATAAACAAATAAAAAAATAAAAAGTAATTAAATAAGGGATATTTGATAATCATTAATAGATTAATAAGTGAATGAATGAATGATTTTGAAAAATATTAAATTAAATAAAAAAAAGATAAAAAATATTTATAAATATTTAATTAATTAATTAAAAACAATTAGTGGATAAATGTATGTATATAAATAAATATATAAATAAATGGTATTGCTTTATTCTAAGTTACTAAACAATTGTAAATTAAAATCATATTTAAATAATTAATCCACCAAAACTTTCAAGAATTAATTTATTTATTTATTTACTCAGTTGGGTAATAGATTGATAGATACTGATTTAGATATAGATAATTTATTTAATCGTTCCTCAATATATTTTTCTTCACTCTTGTTTTTCACCTTCTTCAGTCATTTTTTCAACATAAACTGGTCTTTATGGCTTTGGTTTTTAGGTCTGGTTACTGCTATTAGTTTTCTTTTAATTAGCCTTTTCTTAGTTTTGATTTTGCTAGCCAGCAGGAGCTTGAGTATTTTACTCTTTGTGCTTCTTTTCATACTCCACTTGGCTGTTCTTACTTTTTTTGTGGATATTATTGTTGTTTTATTTGGATTGCTCAGAGGGATTGTTTGGTTGGTTTTCATGAGGATTATTCTAATTAAAGTTTTGGTTGTGTTATTATTTTCCTGTTCCTTTTTGCTTGTTGTTTTCGTTTCCTTAGTGAGGAGTGTTTTTTTGTTAGTCCTTATTGTTCTATGTGTCTTTAGTTTGATCCTTAATTGTTCTTTTTTCTTCAACCTTCTTTTGGTAGTCTCTCTTTGGCTACTTCTTTTGAACTTCTTGCTTTTGTTAATCTTATTTATTATCTCTTTCATAATCTTTCTTGTTATTTTAAGGTTAATTGGCCTAGTTATAGCTTTAATTTTACCTATTTTGATTCCTTTAGGCTTAATCCTAATTTTTATTTTAGTTTTTCTAATAATTTTGCTAATTGAAATTCTAATTATGATTTGCTTAATCTTGCTAGCTATGAGATTTATTCTAATACCTATCATTATTTTAATCTTTATGATAATGTTGTTAGTTCTAATTTTTGTTCTGATTCTAAGAATAACCCTGTTTTTGTTGGTCATTTTTATTTTGATTCCAATCCTATTAGCTTTCATTCTTTTGTTAGTTGTTGTTTGGTTTGTAGGGTCTTCTTTCAGTTGACACATTTCTTTATTGATTATTGACATTTTGATTTCTATCGTTTCTTTGATAGCTATTACTATTTTCACTATACTAAGAATCTTAGGCAGAATTTTTTCTATTATTAGTATTACTTTGGCTATCGTTATTAGCATTTTTAGAGTAGCTCTAAACAACATTAGGCTAACCCTTTTTGTTACCTCTATTATTTGGCTTCTTTGGGTTATTATTATTTTATTATTAATTATTATTGCTCTCAATATTTCTATCGTTTTAATTCCTGTTATAATTATTACTATTGTTGTTACTATTATTATTACTGAATTCATCTTAATTTTACAAATGATGTTGGTTTTTATTGTTATGGCTTTTCTATTTATTTTGATTATGTTTTTCGAGATAATTGCCGATTTCTCTAACTATTTACTGAGGAAGAGGTCCTTAATATCCATAATGATTCTTATCTAATTCCTAAGTTGTCAATAAGATATTGAAGGAAATGAGAGTTTTGTTTTAGTTTTAATTATTGAATTTAGGCTTGAGAGTTTTTACGTAGTTTAGTTGCTATAAGCCATTAATTCTTCTTTTTAGCAATTCAGCAAGAATGACTGCCTTTTTGTTCGCCTTACCAGCTGACATAATGCGTATTCTTGTGTTTTCTCTATTGGTGTAAAGTTTGTTCATACAATGATCATAAACTTTTTATATCACTGTAGCCATGGCTATCTTTACCTTGTGCTCATTATTCTCAGATGATCTATAATTCTTATTCTTGATAGCTACTTGATCATTTTAGTAATCCTCCTCATTTTAATTTTGCTGGTTACGATTCTATTAATAATTTTGAGAGTATTATTACTAATTATTTTTATATTATTTTCTGTCATCTTGATTGTTATACTAATTATTATTATTATTATTATTGTTATATCTTTTTTCGTCATTTCTTTAGTTGTTAGTGTTATTATTGTTGTTGTTGTTGTTGTTATTGTTATTGTTATTATTGTTGAAGCGTTAATTATTGTTTTATTAGTTCTTCTAATTCTATTAGTGATATTAGCCTTAATTTTAAGTATTGCTTCTTTATTGATTGTAATTATCGTAAGAATGGCCATCTTCTTCATAAGAATTTCTTTGATTCCTGTGATTTTATTAATTACCTTAGTTTTCGTTTTAATAATTATTATTACCACTATTTTTATTGTTATTGTAATTATTATTGTTATTACTACGATATTAATTATTAGGGTTTGCATAGCTCACTTTATTTCTATAGCTATCATCTTCGCTCTATCTGTTTTATTAATTAATGCTATTGCTTCTATAGTTTTTCTATTTATTTGAGTCTTGCTAAGTAAATCTCTAATCATTATTTTGGTTGTAATTGTTATTATTATTATTATTACTATTATTGTAGTTGTTTGTGTTCTAGCCCTTTTATGAATTATTTTATTGTGGATAATTTTAGTTGTTACTGTTGCTATTATTGTGATTCCTGTTGTTGTATCCTTAGGAGCTGTTTTTGTTTTCGTTGCTATTGTTGTAATTATTATCATTATAGTTATTGCCATAATTATTATGTTATTTTTAATGAGAGTGGTAATGCTGTTATTCATTCTTATCCTAGGAGTTATGGTTATTCTACTTTTAAGAGTTAGGCTGTTGCTTATTATTGCTGCCATTGTTGTTCTATCCACCTGTCTATTAGTATTAGTTGTTGTAGGGTTTTTTGTGATGTTGATTGCTCATATTTATTAGATGCTGGTTGTTTAAATAAAATATTTTTTTTTAATTTAATTACTTATAAATATATTTATTTATTTATTTATTTTTACTTAATATTTTCAAAATTTTCTTTTATGATTTTTGATTATCTTTATTTTTTATTTTTATTATAAATCAATTAAGTCAGTTTTCCTAATTTTTTTCTTCACTTTTTTGATTAAAGAATCGAATTATACTTATTAATTATTGATGATATTCCTCACAATTCTTCTCTCTTCTTTTTCTCATTTCTCTCTTATTCCTTCTATTGTATAAATAAACATATTTCAAATAATTAATTGTATTAATTATTTAAATATTTCCATATCAAGCCCGCCCCTCAATCAATTACTTCTCTATATCCATTTAAAAAATTTCTAAAATTTAATTTCTTTTTGTTCTTTATCTATTAAATTTGGTAGAAACTTTATATTATATTATATCATATCTTCAGTCTAATAGCATCTAAGTTAGTATACCAATCTAAAAAGTTATCTATTTATCTGGTGATCCTATAAATATCATATTATGTCTAAACACGACTTTGATACATTTGTCTTTAATTATCATAATTGATAAACGAAGATATATCATTTGTTTTTAATTTAATTATTAATAATCATATTATTTTAATACAATAAAATATAAAAAGTTAAACTTTTTACTTAGATTAAGCATTATTAAATAAATATTTAAAAAAAATATTTTTTGTGAAAAGGAATTATTTTTAATTTTGTTTAAACAATTTTTAATTTATTTTAAATTTTATTTTTAATTATTTTAAAATATTTTCAAAAATTATAATTAAATCTTTTTTATTAAAATTAATGCTTGGAATCATAATTTTGTTAATTATATTCATATTTTGTAAAATCTTACAATCACACATGAAGATTTTTAGTTTCTAACATTTAATTAATATAATCTAAGCTAAAAAAGAAATAATTAAAAATAAATTTACAAAACACTATTTATTTTTTATAGATATAGCAATACAAATATTACAAAATTTAAGTAGACTAAAATGAGCTAACCTTAAAGCGAAGTATTTAGAGTTGATGTCAGAAAATTACCTCCAAATCTCTCTAAAGAAGAATTTTAATAAGCCATTCGTGATTATTAAAGCAACATTATATATTAATATTATGTTCCTGGTTAAATAAAGTAGATATTTTCAGCAGTTTATTGAATCATTAATAAAAATAAATAATTTAAGGGAAAAGGAAATAGTATTTTCAAGAGCTCACTTAAACTTTAATACATAAGAAAATGGATTAAATTTTTTGAATAACTTTAAGCAAAAATTTGCAGATAAACAGAGTAAAATTTTTAAAAAATTAAAATCAGACATATATTATTGGATTTTTTTAAAAATTATTTTTAATATTTTTAATAGATAACACAGTTTATGAACCTGTTTTAAGAAAATCGCTTTACTAAATAAATCCTTAAAATAAAGATTAGTCCTCAATAGATTCAGATTATAAAGCAGGTATATAATATAAATGAACTAAAATATATTAATTACTCTGATTTTAAATATGATTATAGGATATATGTATTCTCAGTTTGTTAATTATCAAGAACAGTAATCAAAGCTAAATGAATAAAAAGTAGACATCTCATAAATTGAAAGAAAAGCGAATGAAGATAGTAATTAATATTTTTAATCATCAATTAAATAAAAATAAAATAATTATAAATTTCATAGCTGAAGAAAAAGTTAAGAAATTTGAAAAGGTATAAACTCCAATCATTGCTTCTATAGAATAGAAGAAAAAAGAAGAGAGAATGAAGAAAATGAAAGAAAAGATAAACTCAGGCTCCACCCAAGTAATTTAATTATAACTTTTATCCTTTTATTTACAAAACATGTTTTTATTTTTTAAAAAGATCTGGGTTCCAAAAAAAAATTAAAATTGATAAAGCATTTAGAATATTTTGTTTTAATTGTTAATAAATAAATCAATGGAGATGCCAAAATCAGTTCTTAAAATGATAAAATTAAATATGAAAATTTGTTGATAATAAAATAAATAAATGAAAAAAGTAATAATAGAAATATATTAATAAAAGTAGAAGATATTGTAATAAATAAGTATGTATGTATGAATGTTTATATTTTATCTAATTTATTTATTGGTCTTAGACTTGGCTTAGCTCTAAAATGGAATAATTTTCTCAAATGATATTATTAATATTATTCTTAAAAAGAGTTTGTTCTTATTTGACTGCATTTTATAAAAGTACAAAAGCTTAAAACATTTTTCTAACTTGTAAATTTTTTATGTTCTGATCATTTATGTTAAATACAAATATTTGTTTGATAAATCAATTCTAAAAATTAGTTATTTATTTATAAAAATTTAGGAATTATTATCAAAAATAGAATATGAGTAACTAAATATTTTATAATAGAGTATTTGAAGTACTTGAATATTCTTTCAAACAACTTTAATGGGTTATTTAATTATTATTACAGTTGAGATATTTATAAATTTGGAAATTTTAATGATTATATAAACATTTTTAGTTTTAATAAAATCAATGTTCCTATTTATCCATTAAAAATCATCATAATATTAGAAATGTAAGAATACTTAGATATAATATTTTAATATCACTCTTTTTATCCCGTTTGTTTTTTTATTTGCAAATTTGATGCTTTTATTTTTTCAATTTTTACAACTGTAATATTGTGAAAGATTGTAAAAGTTTAAAAATTAAAACTAGTACGCATTCAAAATAAAATGTTCGCATTAATTTAGTTTTTGATTTCAAATATTATATAATAAAATAGAAATAAGAAGCTAGAATACAAACATTTAGAAGACTAACGCTTAATAATATATAAATATCTTAACTTTAAGAATTGAATAGTGCAGCCAATGATACTGAATTCACTTATTCGTGTTGGATTATTAGTGCTCACATAGAATAATCAAGAAGAAAAGAAAAATTGCATTTCTATAAATTCAAAAAAAATACAAAAATAATCAAAAATTTAATTAATTCATAAATATTTAAAATATAAATTAAAAATATCTTATAAGAATATAAAAGTAGATGAGATACGCAGAATAAATTTTGTTTACTGTAGTTTTTGGCGGAATTTTATACTTCGCTCTTCAACACACTGATAACTCTGAATCCAATTACAGAAGGGGTTTACTTGGAGCTTTTGTTGTCTTCATAGCTGAAGGCACATTAAGAAACTACAAAGGACCTTTCTTAAGACCTAATGAAGCCTTTTGGAGAGGTGTTTTGAGATTCTGCTTAATCTATGTTTGCAGTTTGGTCTTTTTATCATTTTAAAATACTAAAGATGCTCGTAATATCTTCAAGCATTTAGATCCTGAACTTGGCAAGCAAGTTAGTAAAGATTACCATACTTATGATGACAATTGCGAACTCGAATGGGATAATATCCTTGATAACTTTGATCATTACTTTTAGATTCATTTGATTAACTGGTTTTGTGCAACTTTAATTGTTCGTGATCCCTATATTCTTCATACATGGTCTATCTTAGATGAATTGATAGGTAAGCTTTCAATCAATTTTTGAATTCATTGTATTTGTTGAATATTTCAAAATATTTGTTCAATCTAAAACAACAATGTTTTGCCTATTTTTGATTACTTAATTTATAGTTAGAAATTTCCTTAGCTTAGTTTTTATTTTAAATATGTAGAATTGTCAGCTTAACACATTCTCCCTCACTTCAGAGAATGCTGGTGGGATCATGTCTTCCATGATGTCATTCTTTCTAACACTACTGCTATTGTTATAGGTAAATAAATAAATACTTTTTTTTTTATTAATATGATTAGAAAATAAAGATTTATTAGAATAATTAATAAAATTAATAAGGTTATTTTAAGTTTTTTAAATAAAAAAAATTCAAAATTTTTTGAAATCTTTTAGGATTAGAAATTATATTTATTTATTTATCTATTTACTTATAAACTAACAAATGAGTTCTAATTATAAAAGGGATTCATATTTTAATGTAATTGTAAATATAATTAAAATAGGTTTATTAGTTTGCAAATTATTTAAGTTATAACCATACGATTGGCTTGGCAGAAAAGATTCAAAAGGCTTTTTCGATTGGAAGGTTTGGAAATGCCATAGAAGATTTGGTGGGTTGTTAGCAATATGGTTTGTTATCATTACTAACTTCTTATGTGGGTTCTTCATGATTAACTCTTTGTGGATACCTCCTTAGAATTTCTTAAATTTGTATAGACTATTGGTCTGGTTCTTGCTTTCTAATTTAGCATTTAAAGAAATATATGTTGACATAGATACTTGGGGAACTAAAAAGAGAGTTGAAAATCCTATTAGTGGCAAGTGCAGATGGATTACCTTTTTCATTACTTTTACAGAAGCTTTCATTGCCCTTAAATTTATTTAAGATGCTGGTAATATATAATTTGTACCCACTCCTCTCTACATTTCTGTTCCTTGGATTATCGTAATTTCATCTAGTATAATGTATTATTTATACTTAAGATTTAAGCCTGACCACACTACTAAATATCCTCTTGAATACTATCAAAAGGAGTAAGAACTTAAGTAAATCTAGTAAAAAAAATTAGAAAATGAAAAACCAGAAAAAACTCAACAAAATAAATAGAATGGTTCAAACGGAAAAAAGAAAGAAAAAACTTAATGATGATATTAAATATTTGAAAAATGCATTTAAAATTATATACATTTGTATGCATAATGTTTGTTTTAACAGATTTTATTTATTTTATTCATTTATTAAATATTTAAAAAATATCTTTTTCAAATATTTATTGCTATTTTTGTATTTCGATAAGGTTATTTTTTAAAAATTTATTAATTTTTTTATTTAGTTTGTTTTAGTTGGTTGGTTAGTTAGTTAGACATTATTTTTAGATTTAAAAAATTTATTTAATTAGATTTAAATTATTGAAAAATTAACACAATAGGATTAATTAAATCAAAATATATAAATCATAATCAAATTTTATTGTCTAAAACATAATTTACAAAATTTAAAAATTTTTACCAACCAAAAGAATACATTATTTAACTAATTAATTAAATAGTTAATATCAGTTAGGATTTTTAAAAAAATCAATTTAACAATTTATAAAAACAAGCTTTAACTAATTTTAAAATTACTGTAGGAATGCTTTATATAAATGTATTTCTCAATATAGTTAGATTATTTTAGAAATTATTTATTTATGTTGCATGTTTTGATTTTAACTTGTATAAATTTTTGTAATTAATTTTGTTTTATTCTTCAGTTAGTTATTTTAAAAATCTATTTTTTAGGTTTTTTAAATACATATAATAGTTAAACAAATACGCTTTCATTAAAATAATTTACTTTTTAAATTTAATATTTTCATAAGAATTAATACTTTTATTTACAAATACATCTTTTCTAGAGCAGTACTATTAGTTGATCTGTTATCATAAGAACTAAGTTATTTTATCTCGAATCTAAATTATTAAATTTGTTAGTTCATTTGTTGCATAAGAATATTAAGTCAAACAATAAAAGCCAAAGATGATAATTAATTAAATAGTTAACAATAGCACGAATTTAACATTATCTGTAAGTAATATAAAAGCAAATAAACCATTCAAGGAACGAACAAAAAGTAAAAGACAATCAATTTTTAAGGTTATAGTAAAAAAATCAATAAATCTATACTATTTAAAATCTTTACAAATTTTAATAAAAAGAAAAATAAAGAGGTTCCAAGATTAAGATCTATCTATCTCTCACTTGATTATATTATATAAAAAAGATAAATTCATAGTAAAATTTATAACTCAAAGCATTGACCTTAAAATTACAATATTAGAAATAATCGTAAAGAGGTTAACAAATCTAAAAGCAAATATATAAAATTAGCGATTTTTATTCGCCATTAATAAAAGAGAGCGATAAAAACTAAGCGTATGTTGAAGTCTCCTAACCAAGCGAATAATATACTTTCTACCTATGCGGGACGAGTTAAAAAACTTTTTGAAACTTAGAATAAAAAGGGAAATTTTGAATAAGGTTTTAAGAATTAAACGCAAAATAAATTTACATCTGTGGACGGAGATACAGTAGTTTGTACATGCGAATGCCATGGATAAAAGCAATCTTAGCTAAAGAGAAAAGTAATTAATAAAATGCTTTATTTAAGTATATCTTGAAGATCACAAATCTTTTGAACTTAGCAAATATCTATTTTGTTTTATAAATTTCTTGAATCAAACAAGCAAGCAAGCCAGCAAAAAAATTAAACACACAAACAGAATACCATTAAAATAAGTAAAACTCGTTGAATTATAAAGGGAGTTTCAAAAAAAGAAATAGATATTAGCTATGAAAGATTAAAATTAGATCATTTTATAAAATGCATCTCGATTTAAAATAATGTTTCTTTTTAAAATAACTAGATTGTGCTGAATAAAGGAGGTACTAACTCATTTAATTCTTTTAGAGGAAAATTTAAAAGTGCTTAGTAAAATCTTATTTATACATCTCGCTCATCAGTAAGTATTTACAATTATTATTATTACTATACCAAACGAAATAATTAAATGACTAACTAAACAACTATTACTACTACAAAAATACCAACTACCAAAGATTGCTAATTTAATCTTAATAAATATATATTTTAATCAAAAAATTCTACTATTCTTTAACCCTGTTTTTAAACATTTAGAAATAAATTATTTTTAGTTTTAAATATTTTTTTAAACTTAATAACAGAAAATCAATTTATTTTTTAAAGTGCTCAATGAAACTATTCTATCAAAACCTATTTATATTTATACTCTTATTGCATTATTATTCTTCTCCTACCGCTCTTAAGTTTCTCCATATACATATTAAGTATTCCTCATACCTTTGTTATTCTATGTTGCCTTGGCTATTATCAAAGAGTATTACATTAATTACCATAAATTTCTTCTTGACAGAGACATTCTAAGGGGTTATTAAGTTAAAGTTTTAGTAAGAATAGTTTTAGCTAAACTTATTAATATTAATTTATTTTAATTAATAAAACATAGAATAAATTAAGCTAAGCAAAATAATAAATTTAAAGTTAAAATAGTAAATCTAGTAATAGCCAATCAACTCAAAATGAAAACGTAATACATACATATTAATTTATTTAATTATTATCAAAATTCAAATAAGAAAAGAGAGAGAAAATATAATTTATATTGTTTGTTAATAGAAAATAAAGTATACTGCATTATTTTAAATTAAAATTTGATTTTTCCATAGCTACTTAATCGATGAGGTATAAATAACTTAAAAAGATATTCATTCAACCAATCAATAAATAAATAAATGAATTTATTCATTGAATTTCTTATATATCTTGGCCATCAAATATAATATTAATAAAAAAATAAATAAATTAGAATGATTGATAAATCTCTATATACTAACAGATCTACAATAGATTAACAAAAACTCCACAAAAATTTGATTAATTCATTTTTTAGTAATCAATGAATTTTTTTTGTATAATTAAAATAGCAAAAAAAGTTTTAGTAAATTCCCCCAAAAATGTAATATCTTATTTGGTTTTTTTAAAATTTGAAACATACAACTTAAATACATTTTCTCTCTTAATTTTCTCAAAAATACAAATATTTAACTTTTAATAATAATCTAACCATAAACAGGAAAAAGAAATTAACCACTTAAAATGCTGTTTACTAGAGGTAAATTGAGCTAATTTTTAAATTAAATTACTTATTTACAAATAAACTTTAAAAATAATTACAGCCAGGTGATATCCTACTCATTAAGAAAGATGAGTTTGTTCCAGCTGATGTCTTAATATTGGATTCTTCAGAAAGATACTTTGATGTGAACACATAAAAAATTAATGGTCAAAGCTCACTTTAACCGAAAGAAGCGCTTAGAGTAACCTTTGGTAAATTATCCAAATAAAAATATTAACAAAATTAATTTTTTCTTAAAAATCAAAAAATATAAAAAGAGGATCCTAATTCTCAAGTAAAAGGGAAATTTGAAGAATACAAAAAGTAATTAAACTGTACTGTCGAATATAATTATGAAAGTAATATTGCTGAAGAAATGGAGGGAACTCTGAGATTAAAAGTTGAACCTACCGGTGAAAAATTTACGATTTAAAATATTTTATTAAATGGAACTTATTTGCATCGCGTTGACTGGGTTTTCGGATTAGTGTTAAAGTGCGGAAAAGAAAGTCATATTTATGATAATACAAATTACAATATCAGGAAAAAAAATTTTTTTGAAAGAATAATATCAAAATTTAGTTATTTTCTTATAGCTGTACTCATTATGCTCTCTTTGGTAAAAAAAAAATTTAATTTAATTTAATTTACTGTCTCGCTTTTCAATTTAAACTTTTTTATTGCTAAGAAAAAATCTTAGTTTGTGATTAGAAATTAACTACAAAATTTTCTTTTAAAAAATCTGTTTTATCCACATATCTATCTAAATACTTATTTTGGTTTTTTTTAAATAGCTAAGTAGATTGCTTTACACTGAAAGAAGAGCTAACGATACCTAGTTATCTGATGTACAAGCCTATCTTAGTTAAAATTATTGGCATAATGATAAAACAATTTTAATTGATAGTAGAACATTTTATATAATATATAGCATATGTTTACCTTTGAGTATATTTGCTTTATTAGACTTTTTGTTAATCTATCAAAAGATATAACTGTAGTACAATAACTCGTCATAAAAACAACCAATAGTAGTAAATAATCCAGATGCTCTTCCTAATTTAAGTGTTGTAAATTGGGCATTTTTTGATAAAACTGGAACAATTACTAATAATCGCCTAAAAATAGAATCAATTATTGTTGAAAATGAGCTTTATTTTTTAGATAAATAATCTTAATTTTATAAACAAATGCTTGACGTTGAAAATCAATAGGATCTTTTTATAGATGATTAAGATATCTAATTAGCCTAACTAGGAATTCAACCTGCTGGATAAAGTGTATTGAATCCTAAAAATAAAGATGAACAAGAAGATTAATATAAACACTAAGAAAGTGCAAATCAATTAACTGAGACACTCAAAATGAATCAAAATAATAATTATAATACAAAAATATTTGATAGCAAACACAATCTTATGTAAAGTAATAATCCTTTTGTAGCTAAAGTTGCTATTTAAACATCTATTATGATGAGTAATAATAATGGGAACATAGAATCTTCTTTATTTGGAGTAAAAAATGGTATGGATTCAAACAAATTAAAAATACAAAAAAATGGTTCCTATCGTATGAATACTTTAGGAGAAGTTTAAAGTCCTTTTGGTAAGAGCACATCTAATTCACAAGAGTAGCGCAAGCGTATTGAATCTGTTTTTGTTAAAGCTCCTAGCCGCTTTGCTCCTAGCAGTAATAATAACAATAGCACAAATGCTAATATAGTCTTAGGATTAACTTAAAATGAGGTAGTCAGTTTGAATGATTTAAACAAAAATGATAAAAATAAAGCGAATGCTTTTTCCCCTATAATAGAAGCTTCAATTTAAAGAAATGAGCACTCCCTTGATTCTATTCCTTAAAAGGGTGGAGCAGATAATAATAAACTTTAATTTTCTCCAGATTTCAACTAAACTAAAAACTAAAATCACAACTAAAATTTAGATTAACAATAAGATAGAAAATATTCTTTTGCGTTAGATTATTAGTAATAACAAAACTAAAATTATGAAAAGAATAACTAAAAATAGTAATAAGATCAGTAAAATGAATAAGATTATCAAGGTATTGAAAACCTTCAAAGGGATGAAAACAGAGTTTAAATCAGTACAAATAGATCTCTTGAAGTAAAATCAGAGGAATGCATAATAAAAAACCATAATAGAAACAATGAAACTAATAAAAATAACTCAGATATGAAGAATTAAAGTGACGAATAAGGAATGATTTGCAATTTCCTAGGTTTGCAAGATGATGAAAATTAAGAAAAAAATGAACATAATAAAGGGAACTATATTACATATTAAAATAAAGATAATGAAGTAAACAATATAGGTCTTTTATTCAGCATAGGCTCGAATTAGAAAGTCAAAATGCCAAAGAAACATAATACAATTATATAAGAGGTGGAGGTTAAGTATGAAGGAGAAGATGAAGAAAATGATGATTAGAGAGAGTAAATGGCCTAAAATATAAATAGAGATTTATCTCCTAAAAGCAGTATACTAGCAGGTAAATAAAAATCTAGTTCCTCTGCTAATATTACCAATTCTAATCATCCTTCAAGCCCTAAATTTAAGTCTAACAAATCTTAAAGTTTTAATAATTTACATGATATAAATGGGTAAATAAAAATGAATAACACTGTAATGAACACAGAAGGTTAAACAGGTATGTTTGGCTAAGATTCTTCCATTTAAGAGCAAGATGAAATAAAGGAGGAATATTCAGTTAACATTTCAGAGGAAGAAGAAAACTTAGAACTTCCTTCAGAAAATTAAGAAGTTAATCGAGTTACCATGTGGAATTTTAGTAATCAACAACAAATTAAAATATAAAATTTTACTCTCTATGATATTTAATCTCCTAGCACATATCATATTAATCCATTAGCAGTTCCTTAGCCTACAGGTAACTCTTTTATCTAACAAAATAATGAAAAGAAATTTTCTCTTTAAAATTTAGAGGTTGTGTCTCCTCTCCCAAATTTTAATGTTAAAAAAGTAACATCCAACTTGTATGATTAATAAGAGTCTTTTCCAAATATATTAAATCCCAGCGATAAAAGAATTCAAGGATTTGATTTATAAAGCAAGCAACCTTCTGCTTAAGAATTAAAAAGCCCTTCTTTGAAAATTGAATCAAAAGATATGATAACAAGTTAAACTTCTTAAAAAGGGTTATAGTCTTTTAAAAAAAGAATGCTATCACGTGGCGCTAGCTTAGATATTAATTAAGCAGCTATTATCAATAAACGAGGAGTTCGCTTTGCCGGAGCTAATGGTGAGGATAATAGCAATGGTACTAGTCCTTTGTAGCGCAGTAATACTCTAAAGTAGATTCATGAAGTTTCAAAATAATTTTAATACTTGAAACATTCAAGGAGCAATAATACTAATGAAATCTTAAAAAGTAATACATCTCCTACAGAATTTAAAAAAACTGAATTGAATTTGCTAAGTGAGCTTGGAGATCTTTCTCCAGTTAGCTTTAAAAGAGCTAATCATCTATAAAGATTAACTCGTATGAATTTATAAATACTTTCTCATTAAAATGCTCCAACAAATGCTATCGCTAACACAACTACAAGTAACATTAAGCAAAGCCAAATGAGCGAAATAAGTATTTAAAAAATTACTTACCACGAAGGAGAAGAAGAGTTTATAAATCGTCTTTCTGATTACAAAGATTCAACTTAGGACTTTGTAAAAGCTTTAATAGTTTGCTAAGGGTGGAAAATCAAGGTAGGAAAAGATGGTCGCCACAAAAAAATGGATGGTAAGAAACGAGAAGACGAATACATATTTAAATACATTGAAAACTTAGGTATAAAATGTAAGTTGCAAATGAAAAGAAATTAATTTTATATTATTTCTAATACCAAAAATCCTACCGCTCCCAGCAACAAAGTAGTTATTAGAAAATCAATAGATTTTTATAGAGAAAGAAATCGCTCTTCGTTTCTTGTAGAAGAGTCATAGATTCCTAACGAAAATGAAAAAATGTCAAAAATATTAAACTCCCCTGTTACTTATCATTTGTAAAAAACTGATTTATATTTTATTATTTATTTTGTAATATTTTTCTGTAAAAAATATATAGGTACGTGAGAGGAGATACTTCCATATTAGATCTTTGCAAGGACATGAATGAAATGTTTAAAGAGAGGTTAAGATTCTGTATTGCTAAATAGTTTGATTTAGGTTGCAGAGCTATCATCTATGGAAAAAAGTAAGTTACTAGAAAATAAGCAGAAGAAATAGAGTCTAACATTAAAACTATGAAATCTTAAGTTGAAGAATTTGAAGGATTTTATGATAAATTATTACAAGAAATGGAATCTGAAATTCACTTCCTTGGTTGCATATTTATTTAAGATTAAATTAATGAAGGATTCCAAGAAAATTTATAGTTCTTGAATGATTCATTGGTTAAAGTTGGTATTTTATCAGGCGACACTTAAGAAAAAGTTAAATCTGTAGCGAATCTTACCTAGTTCACCTCTCCCGAGTTTGGCCTATCATAGAAAATATTTGAGATAGAAGGTACAACTCATGATGAAATTAGTATTTCTATCAAAAAAAGTCTTGCAAGTCTAAAAGACTTAATTTCATCAAATGAATAATCTGATAATAAGATGCCTATGGTAGAGAATCGTGAACCTGATTATCATAATGTGCATGATGGAAACAATATTGAGAAAAATCTTGAATAAAATTAACTATTATAATCTATTTAATTTACATAAGATAGGAAAGTATTTTAGGTAAATAAATAAAAATTTTAGTATGTTTTTAAATTAATAATTTTATAAAAATAGAATGTGCTTATAGTAGGACAGAAATAACTAGATTTGATTTCGACAAATCAAACATTAGAAGCACATTTTGCTTTTATTCTAGCACATGTAGGAAAAGTAATAGCATATGAATTAAGGGCTGAACACAAATAATATTTTGTTAGATTAGTTAAGTTTATTGATCCTAAAAATGTTGTTATGAGTATCGGAGATGGTTGGAATGATGCTTTAATGATGCAAATTAGTGATGTCTCATTCGAACTTAGATAAGGTGATATAAGCAATTAAAAAGCAGAACACGCATTATCATCAGATCTTAAATCAATATAAACTTAAAAATCTTAAGTTAATAGCTCAAAAGTAATGAAAAAATAATAACCAAAAAAGGCTCAAACTTATGGAAATCATATTTTAAATAAAGATATCATTTTTCCTTTTAGAACCACTCAATTTTCACAAGATGATGAGAAAAAAAAGATTATAACCTCATTCTCATTTCCCAATGCAGGTGATTTGATTATTCAAGACTTGCATCTCATTTATCACTTGATGAAAAGTTATTCTCCAAAACTATTTAAGTAGTTCTAATACATCATTTTCAAAAGCTTCTACTTTTCATTTTTACTATTTCTTTTTAATCTATCTTCAAATTGGGAATTTTTCTCAGGAAATTTGCAACTTAAAAATTCAGACATCATCTTCCTTCAAATCATTTTATTCATACCAAGAATTATTATTTACATTCTCCTGTATGATCCAACGAAAAGTAATATGAAACTGGTAAATAAATATATTCAATAATATATTTTTTTGATTTTTATTTAAATTTATTTTTCTAATAAAAGCTTGAATAATTTGATAAACTTTATCACAACAATAAAGTACAAAGACAATAGCTCAGAGTTAGTTCATTATTCACAAATTCACTTATTGAAAGCATAATTCACTTCCTCTTAATTTTTCTAACATGTGTTTTCTCAGATATAAATGAAAGTTTTGAGAATTTGAGATTATCGATTATTCTTTAGGTTATTATAGTAACTCATTTTAAGATGTTCTACTCGTAAGAATTAAATGTGAGGTTTCCAAATATTGTTATTACTTGCAATATTATTTTTGAGAGTAAATTTTTTTTTAATTTTTCTTTCATATTTTATCTAAATGATTTTTGTTACTAAAAACTAAAGTCATAGCTTCTTATCTCTATCTAGGAGTATATTTAGAATATAGCTCATTTACCAGAAGTGATTTAGGAGAAATTTTTAGAAATGGATAACAAATGATGTGTATCATATTTAATGTTATTATGTGCATTCTATTCTCTTACTTGTATTCTGAATTTAGAGTAGTTATAAACGACTAGCTGCTGAATAAATTCTTTAATTAAATTGAAATTATGTCTCAGCAAATTAAGCAAATATTTGAAAGTGTGAGGAGAAAATAATCATCACACACTTTAGGTGATTAATCTAATAAATAGTCTCACTCAATGAATCGTGTCAACAGCTATCATTAACTAATGTTTGATAAAGAATGGTAGCAATATATTGAAGTTATTGCTTAGCTTGAACATTTTTTAGAAAATTAACTCACTCATATTAAAAAACCATTTTAGCTTATCAAAAAAATCTTTAAAAATGTCAAAATTGATAAGCACATAGAATAAAGTAAATAATTGTTTAAAATATAAAAGTTTAATTAATTAATAATTGTTAAAAAGTTTTAAATCCTGCTGAACTTTCTATGAGTATAGACTAAGGATTCAGTAAAACGAGCTTGCAGTTTATTGATTAAGGCTTACAAAAAAATTATGATGCTTAGCATAGCAAATATACTTTGAATAGTCTTCGTTTTAATATGGGTTTAATCACTATTCCTTCTCTAATTATTTGTATTTTATCTTATTCTTTAAATGAACCATTGAGTGGCGAAGAATCATATTCTGAAAATGTAGCTACTTTTAGGTTATTCACTTTGATTATATGTATCATTTACATCATATTAAGTTTCGCTTTGTTAAGAGAAAAATTCTTAGTTATAATGAATTAAATCATGTTTTTGGTAAAATTTGATTAATAAAAGACTATTTTTAAATTTTACATAAATTAATAAATAGTTTATTGCTGTCACTTTAATATTCTAGATTATTTATGGATGGTATAAAAAAATAGATTTTATTGCCTTGGCTCCTTTTATCAGCTATTTTATCAGTTTAATTCCTTATAAATTCATTCCTTCTGTTTTCTTTTCCTCATTTAATCTAGCTCAACAATATGTTTGGTTTGCAGTACACATTAATTAAGAAATTATTAAAGATTAACAATAATACTTGAAAGAAGGATAGTCAACTTTGTTTTCAGTATACTTATATATTTGCTATTTCGCTCTCATTTTCACAATATTAGGAATCTCACTATAAAATAAGTACATAGAGGAAACAGATTAAAAAAATTAATTCCTCCTTAAAATTTAGTTTTAAGAAGAAAAATCTTAAAGGCAAGATATATTAGGTATTTTACTTCCTGAGTTTATACGTGAAGATGTGATTTTAGGTAAAATAATTTAATCGTCGTTTTTAAATTTATGGTAATTTATTCAAAAAAAAGGTAAAACAAATTTCTCAAGAGATTAAGAAGAGGCATCTATCTTATTTTGTGATGTTAGTGATTTCGATAAAATAATGGATAGAGAAGACTACAAGATCGTGTCTTTGTTGGATAATCTTTTTAGAGAATTCGATGAGTTGACATTCTAATATGGATTACAAAAGATAGAAACAGTAGGAAAGACTTACATGGCTGCTGGTGGTTTAAAAGCAGTAGAAAAAAATTTAAGTAAAAAGATAACAAAATCTCATCATTTCATAAGAATGCTTATAATGTCTAATAAAATGCATTAAGTAGCAGCAAAATCGTAATGGGGAGATGGCTATCCTGTTAAATTAAAAATAGGTGTTCATATTGGTCCCATAACAGCAGGTGTTATAGGCTATCATAAACCTCAATTTTCACTTATAGGTATCAATTTATTTAATTAATTTACATTTTTTGTAATTTTATTATTCAAATTAATTTGAATAATCTAAAAATTTAATATCATATTTTACTGTTTAAATTTATTCAAATTAATATTTATTTATAGGTGATACAGTCAATACAACGAGCAGATTATGTTCAAATTGTGAGCCAGGGAGATCTCTTTTCTCTGATATTATCTTTGAAAAGATTAGCCCTTTCTTAGAAAATAATACAACAGACATAGATTGGGCTTATGAAGAATTTTAGTTTGAAGCAAAAGGTAAAGGCTTACTGAAATCATATTATATTGCTGAATTTATTGAAAACGACTTTTAAAAATCTTAAAATATTGAGTACACATCTATCGACTATGATAAATAATAGTAAAAAGTTCGTTAAGTAGTCTAAACAAAGAGATAAAAAGATAGATACAAAACAAAAATATTTGATCTAAAACCTCACTTCACTGATAGTAATATTCAATTTATAAATTATAAAAATTTTAATTGCTTTTTTAAATAGATGAATTTGACAATGCAGTGGATGAAAGCTAAGAATTAAGGAGTCCTGGCGATCAAAACTCAGGAGATATGCCTAAATCTTTAAACTTTAAGAAATCCATCATAGAAGGAGATCCATTTTTTGATAAGAAAAAAAATCGTAAAAATTCAGGTAATAAGGTAGTTTCTGATGAATTTAAAAGCTAAGATTCTCTTCACAATGAATAAAATAGCAAATCAGTTCACAAATATCCTAGCAACAACACCAGCTATATTTAGCCTATTTCTAATAATGTAAGCTTAATAAATATTCAAGTTCAAAAAAATTCTGAACTTAATGGATAGAACGAAACATCAAATATGCTTAGTCCCTCTATATTAAAGAAAAGAGAGAAAAATGATAGAATTAATGGAATATTGAATTTGAAAAAAAGCAGACCAAATTCTGTGTAAAACTCTTTAATTTTAGAAAATGGAGTTGAAGATCAGAAAAGGTATCCTTCCAATAAGTCTATTCCTTTAAACAATACAGGTATTAAAGTTTAAATGAATGACCAAAAATCTATTAATAGCTTGTAGATGGGAGATTAATAAAATCCTTAAGAAGATGATCGTTCAGCTATAGTGGCTGCATCTACATACAAAGTAAATTAAGATAGTGAAAATAATAGAAGATTCAGCAAACTCAAGATTATTGATCCAAGTAATTAATTCATAGCATAATCTTTGTAACTTTAAAATAAATAAATAATTATTTTTATTAAACTCATAGAAGGTATTTTGAAGAGGTAAAGCAGCAAAGTCAAGGAAGACTTGATGGAGAAATCGATAATGAGTGATATTGGTAAGAATATTTAAAATATTGACTAAGAGGAATCTTAATCTACTTCCGCAACTGATGAAAATGAAATAGAAGTACTTAAATACAATTGGTTTTTATTAGCAAATAACCATGATTAGAATCACCTTTTCAAAAATTTCGAATCACAACAATTTTAGAAACATAGCTTCGTTTTTAACATTTAGTTGGTAATAATGCTGCTTCTAAATTTCTTAATGATGACATTCCGTATATTGATTCTTTAAAATGGTCTGAACTGGATATTCTATAGTATAGATATTATAAGCATAGTTATGGCAATAATTCCTGTTTTGAGTTGGGAAAAGCTATGGAAGACCCATTAACTTCGTACAATAACACTTTGGGTTTACTTGCTCAGCATAATTAGTATTTTAGGAGAATATTGTTACTCGTACAACGGTGTTTTCAAAATTTTTGATATGCTTCATATTTAAATAATAGCAATCATGGCTATTATAAACAAATGCTTACGTTTTACTGATGCTATTGTATTTTCTTTCTGCTTGATTATATCTTTCTAAATCATAGATATATTTAAAGGTGCTTATTGCATGTCTGATATAATCTTAATTACTCTACCAATTATTGGTTTCCTGTCTTAAAAAAGATAGTCTACAAAAAGGTGCCTTGAATTCTTCAATAAAAATAGAAGCAATGATCACCAAAAACATTAAGAAGTACGTCTGCTAGTTCACTTACTTCCTTCACATGTAAATTTTAATAAAATAGTTTGAAAATTAATGAAATATTTTTTATTCTAAAGATATTTGACAGATTTTTAAGAAACCCTGAAGATAATAGTATTTTTACTGAAAAATTCACATAAACTACTCTACTATTTGCAGATATTTCAGGATTTACAGCTTATTCAAGCAATAAAAAGCCTGAATAAGTAGTTCATATGCTCAAAAGTTTATTCACTAAATTTGATCACAAGTGCATTAAGCATAATGTCTTTAAATGTAATTTTATTTTATATTTTATAATTTTTTAATTATAAAAATTATATTATAACTTACAGTATATACCATTGGTGATTGCTACATTGTAATGGGTTTCTCTGATGCTAACAAGAGAGATCCTCCCGCTGAAGCTAAAAACGTACTAGAAATGGGATTCTCTATGATTGAATCATTACGTTAATTTAGACTAGAACAAAAAGACCCATCTGATTAAAATGCTGATATTCACATGCGTATAGGCATTCACATAGTAAGATATAAATAATATTTTTTAAATTTGTGTGCTAATTTTACTTTACCAAATATAATTTAGGGAGATATAATCGGTGGTGTTATTGGTAAAAATGTAGTCCGTTATGACATTTATGGAAAAGATGTTTTGCTTGCTAACAAAATGGAGTCTAATGGAGAAAGAGGTAGGATTTTAATAAGCGATCCATTAAAACAAGTAATTCAAGAGCATTTCCCTGATAAGTTTGAGTTTAAGTCAGGACCTGAAGTTTAAGTTAAATCAATAAACATCAAAATGAAAAGTTACTTTGTAGACTAAACTCAAAAGTAAGATTGATATGCACTATAAACTAATTAATATACTATTCAGATAAGAAATGCTTAAATTTTAAATAATTTTGCAACACTTTTTTTTCTTTGGCTATAAAAAATTTTTGACTAATTAGAAATGAAATAAACATTTTAATAAAAAATAAAATAACTTTAATTTATATAAATTACAATTTTGAATTTCAAATAAGCAGCAAAGTCTAATTAATTAATTAATAACTAACTAATAACTTTGCTTAAAGAATTAATTCTATAAATTTCTCAATTTTCTTTTTTAACTAAATACTTCATACTATTTTTCTTTATTAATGTATATACATATATTCTCTATATAATGTAAAATAAATAACTTTTGAAGTTTTAAAATCTTTCTTTTCAAAATTTAAATATTGTCTTAAAAATATTTATTTATAAATCTGCCATAAAAATTAAACTTCATAGCAATTAAACAAATCCAATTTAAAAATTGATGATAAATTATTTAAAAAATTAAAAAATTTCAATTCATTCTTTCCCAAATTAAATCTAAATTTTATAACTTTAAAATGAATATTAGCTCATAAATATCTTAATTTTTTTTATTAAATTTTAAAGTCTAACTATTGTCTTTAATTTCTTTATTTTATTTTTAAATTAATTTGTTTAATAATTTAATATGAAAATAGTATATAAATTTCAATTAAAATCAATGATAATCTCTTTTCAAAAAGGAAAAATGAATAGAGAGAAAATTATTCCTTAAAAGTTTTCTCAAAGTTTAAAAATGCTAATAATTTATCATAAAAATTAATAACTATTATAGATTAATTTGGTTAAAAATTGATGCCTGATTTATTTAACTACTATACATATTTCAAATTTCTTTATTTATAAATTCTTCATACTACTTTGATTTTTATAAAATTAAAAAAGATTTTGTTTAATTATCTTAAATAAATAACTTTAAAATGTTTTTCTTTTTTTAGATCTAAAATTTACCTGAAAATATTTTTGATTTGTTATAATATTATAATTTTTAATTAGATTGAAGAAATGTAAATAAATTAAAATTATGAATTCATTATTTTATTATAATTTTAAATTTCCAAAACACCTAAATAAGTTCTATTCATAAATTATCAAAGAAATTTCTTGTAAAAATATTATTATTTATTTTTATAATTTTTTTAATTTGCCATGATGTATCTTAAAATTTATAAACAATTTTCTACTTTAAATTTAAACTTAAAAGGAGATTTAAAGCCTTATATTTCTTTAAATGAAAATATTGAAACAGATTTCTACAAACCGAAATGGGTATCTAACTAATTAAAGAATATATTCCTTCTTTTATATGAATTCTTGAAGTCATATTTATATTCATCAAATATTATGTATATTCTAGATAGATGCTGGCCAAGAATTTACTAAAAGTTTCAGAAAGGAGTTTGAGTGTTCTCCAAGCCAAATTAAGGAGTACTTAGAAAGCATTAAAGATGTTGCTTAGAACTAAATGGCTGTTAGGAAAGAAGTATTCAATAAATTATTTTGTTAATTCTACTTGATATTCATATATTTATCACTAAATTTAATTTTGGTTCCTTAAAGTTTGCGCTCTTAGGTAAAAAATCAATTCAATTCAATTCTTTATACAATTCTTAATAAAAATAATAAAATTCTTTAATATTGATATTTCTATTTTATTTCTAAAATAATAATTTTATTTATAGGAAGGTCTAATGTTGGAAAATCTTCAATGATCAATTCAATCCTCAACTTTAAGATGATGGACACATCAAATATGCCTGGAAAGACTAGAGAACTAAACTTCATTACTATGAACCCATAATCTGGAGCTGTTTTAATTGATCCTCCTGGTTATGGCTATGCTAAAGGTTAAAGAAAAGAGATATAAGCTTGGGGCAAAATGATGCAAAATTATTTTGTTCATTCAAGCCATTTACATCGTTTATTTATATTAATTGATAGTGAACATGGTATTAAAGAAGTTGATTTAATGCTTATGGAATTGCTTGAATAAAAAATGAAACCATATGTTATAGTCTATACAAAATGTGATAAAATTAATTAATAAAAATAACAAAAGCTTGTTGAGGAAGCAAAAAATAAACTAAAAGACAAAGTCTTATCATACCATATCCTACATTTTACAAGCTCAAAGTAAATATTATGCTTTACATTTAAACTTTTTCAAATATATTTAAAATCTAACATTTTTAAATCATAAAAGGAATAATTTTGGAATACCACATTTAAAAGCATAAATTGCTTATTTATTATAACTATAACTCCTTGGTAGTGTAAATGATGCTCTTTGATATTATTATTGTATTAAAATTTTTTGTGTTATTTAAATATTGTAATTAAAATTTTTTAATTTTTGAATTAAATAATTTCCAGTATTAAATTAAATTAGTTAATTATTTAATTCATTAAAAATCTTAATTTTGAACTCTCTTTTTGTTTTCATTCCAGTATAAACTGATAAATAAAATTTTTAAAAAGGAATAAAACTTAAAAAAAAATTGTTTCGGAATTTGAAAGAGTAGTTACAGTGATTTTTCAAAAAACTAAAAATACAAAAAGATTATACTAGTAAAAGAATATAAAATTTATTTAATACTGATAAGAATTAAATAAGATTAATAAGATAAGCAGCATTTATAATTAAATTAAAAATATTTATTTTTAATTTTTAAAAATCATGAAGCATATTATAAAAAATGTATTTTTTCATTGAATTTCATCAATAATTAACTTTATCTCTATATTTTGAATAATAAAGTGGTATAGAAAATGTAAAAAAATAAATTATTTGACCATTAAATATAATTATATTAAGCTTTTAATAATGCTAATCATCACTTCTTTACTTAACTTTTACAAAATTGAATGTTTACTGAAAACAAATTATCAATTAAAATCAATGGCGTGCAAGTTGTTATGCATTTATCTTTTTAGATAATAAAGAACTTAAAATTTGAAATCAATTCTTTAAAAATTAAAAATTTTATCAATTTTAAAAATAATAATTAATTTAAAGAATTGTATTCATTAAAACTAAGTAAATAACATTCAATTAAATATTTTACTTGGTTGATTGATTAAAAGCAACAAAAAAAGGATATAAGGATTAGAATATTTATAAAGTAGATTATCTGCATATTAATAAAAAGGAAGAAAGAGTTTACAAATAAATAAAAATGAAGAAAACTTCAAAAACTATAATTTTTGATTCTTTATAAGTAAATTTATTTAATAAAAATAACTTTTTACTTCATAATTTATATTTAGATTGATTTATAATTATCAATTATGGATTGATAGGATTATTTAAAACTATATTTTCAACTTAAAAAAGCATTATATATACGATATTAAATTGCCAGAATAGCAATATGAGGATGATACTTTGATAGATATCGAAGTAACTTAAAAATACGCAACTTTTTTAACATGTAATAATTCAATTTACTTTTTGTAACAAATGCTAATATTTTCATTTTTTTTTCTTTGTATTTTTTAAAGTGAATTTACATGAAATTTATTCAAAATTTAGCTAAAAGTAAACATTTTTAGCAATTTGTTTTATAATATATAGAAGGTGGAAAAGTTTGGATGTTAGGTAACGTTAATAGCGATTAAGAAAGGAAAAAAGAAGATGTTATGGAACTTGCTCCATGCTAGATTACTTCACTACCTAGAATATCTTAGTTAAGCTGTGGCAAATATCACGCATTTTTCTTGTCAAGTAGGGTTATTTTATAAATTTTAAAGTATTTATAAGTAGTTTTAAATTTAAAATATGCAATATTTATATAAAATTTTAAAAATTAGCATAAGGACATCTATATGCTTATGGTTAAGATAGATATAATTGTGGTATCCTTGGATTGCATGAGACTAAATGTGCAAAATCTCCACAACTCATTCAAACATTCACTTCAGAAAAGTATAAAAGAATTTTTCAATAATAATCCTCTTAAATATTTGAAAAATATGAATGAACATAATTTATTTATTTATTTTTTATATTAGAATAACCTAAATAAGTACATCCGATAAGCATGCAATAGCACTTAATGGTAAATTATATTTATTTTTATTATACTTAATGTATTAAAAGTGAATTTCTTACAAATCTTATTTTCAACAAACATTAAATAGATCATGGTAATGCCTTTGTTTGGGGTAGTAATCAAAGTGGCTAATTAGGTTTAGAAAATACGAAAAAAGCAACTTATCCATAATACCTTGGACTTATCGAGGTTTACACAAATAAAAAGATCCTAGCATGTCCTTCACAGAGTGTTTTTATCACAAGTAGATTTTTAAATAAAATTTTAAAACATGAAAATGATAAATTTATCTATTTTATTTAGATATTTTAACTATTAACTAATTTTTATGGGTAAAATATTCACCAACTATTTTAATTTAATTTATTTAGTTGGTTATGATTCGTTATGAAAATTTAGTGGAAAATACCAAACTGATTTATTTTTTGACTCTAATAAATTAAATACCAATCATAAAAATTAAATTTTATTTTGTCCACATAATCAAATATAATATATTTTTTTTTAACAATATTTTGATGTAACATTGTTATCTTAAATATATATAAATAGAGGGTGAAAAATTATTTATAATTGGATAAAAAATAAATTTTGGGATGAAATCTTCATAGGAAAGACAATATGCGACACTCTCTGTTTAGTAAATAATCCCTAGAGCAAATAAAGATACATTTTTTTCTGATTATATTTACATCGATGAGAATTTGTAGATAAGTTTAACAGCTCATGGGGAATTATACATAATAAATAAATGGCTTCAATGCTTGCTTATTTCTGAAAATTATAAATTAGAATAAATTTCAGCAAGTAAAAATGCTGTTTATGGCCTTACAACATCTGATGAACTTTTAGAATGGGATATTCTAGCCTTTAAAAAGCTCCCTTTTATTCAAAATTAAAAGTCTTTCCCAACAGAACTATCTCCACCAAATATTTATTAATTAAATTAAAAGCTTGAGTCTGCATAATTTGTAAATAATAAAAATTCCAGAAAAGTAGCTATTACATACAGTAATTTAAATTTTAAAGGTATTATAAATTTTAATTTATTTTTTTCCCTCTTATAGAAATAAAAAAATCTAAAGCTTCTAGAAGAAAGAATAGTGGTAGCGTACCACCATTAAGTTCATCTTGCTTATTTGATGGTTTTGTTCCTTAAGAACATTCAGGCTGTAAAAATTTGCTTGATTCTTATTTTAGAAATTCTCACATAGCTAATCGATCACCTTCACCTGATGGAAGTTATGTCTTTGATTATGATTTTCCTAGCAGGAATAATATTTTAAATTAATCAAATGAAGCATCTTTCAATAAATCTCCATTTAGAGAGTCTCCTAATAGAGCAGGGTTGAGAAGATTTTCACCTAACAAGTAATTTTTCAGCTAATTAAATTCAAGAAGCTCAAGTAAAAACTAAGAAGACAGGATATTTAATTATATGCCTTCAAATAAAAAAAGCCAAGCTAATTTCGTAAATGCAAATTAAGGTATTTTTGGTTAGTTTTTTAATCCTCAACAAAGTAATTCAAAGACTAATATTATACCTTCTACCTATATATTTGGGAACTAATTTTCTGAATCTGTGAGTAGAAAGGTTTCAATTGACAGTGCTATTAGTAATATTCCAAAGAATAGCTAAAAGCCTCTTAGTTTCCATTAAAGCAGCACTCTATAAAAAAACCATCCTTCATATGATTTACATCCAAAATAGTAAGATAGCTATAACAAATAATTAAATAGCGTCTTTGGTGATAATATTTCTAGAAACTCAAGTAACCAAAAAAGAACGTAAAAAAAAAAAATTAAATTATATTTATTGAAGAATTTATTAAATTTTATGATATAGAAACGAGGGAATACAAAGAATCCAAAACATTTTAAAAAATACACCTTAAAAAGATAGAAGGTATATTCAATTTTAGAGTTAGATTATAATTATTAATATATCAAATTAAAATATAGTCCTGGCCAAAAGTATTAGCAGCAAGCTTTGCCTTAAAATAATAACTATCAAGATAGAAATAAAATAAATAAAAATAGTTTTTTGGATGACTAATTTAATTAACAATTTGAATATAATTTAGATAAAATTAAATAACTATCTTCTGCTCAAAAGAAAGCAAATAAAGGAGAGAATGAATAAGCAAGAGGTAGGTAATTGGAAAGAAATAATAATTTCATGGAAAAATGGAATCAATTAAAGACAAAAAGTTAAAATTAATCTCCTATTTTAAGCTAAAAAAATGGCTAAGAAATATAAAATAATAATAAATTTTAATTTTTAAATGATATCCTTAATGAAAATAATGAAGGCATAAAAAGGAGATAGCCCAGTGCATTTAATTAAAATATACTTCCCAATGATATACTTTAGGAAATGAGAGAAGTTTAGGATGAACTAAAAGAGTTAGAGAACTTAGAAAATAATAATTACAATAGTAGAAACTAAAGTCCAAGTAGAGAGAGATTCTAAAATAATCATCCAGATAGCTTTTTATTCCCAGGAACAAGAGGTGCATCACTGAATAATTCATAAAATTTAAACAACTCTAGTTTTTACAATTAAATTAATTAATTAGGAGTGTAAAAAAATCAAAGATTTGCTGCTTAAAACTCCTATCCGATATAAAATATAAATGACATAGATGGCTATATTAAAAAGAGTTAAAAAGACATTGACCAAATTCATAGATAACAAATTGCTTTTGAAGAATAACTTGAAAGAGAAGGATCACCAAATAGAGTTATTAGAATAGTTTCAGATGATGAAGAACCTGGAGAAGAAAATGATGAAAGCCTTCTTCATTCAAAAGCCCGATATATGATATAAGGAGGTATTGAATTACTAAATAAATAAGGTAAGAGATCTCCTAAAGATGATTAAAAAATAGAAGCAATTAAAGATCAGATTTCATAACTTTTAAACAACCTTTAGCCATCTAATTCTAATGGTAATAGCAGCAGTAACAATCCTTCTTCACGTGTTAGCACAAGCAGAAGAGGTACAAATGCTCCTTATTAAAGCATAAATAATTCACCAAGTTTTGGCTAATCTAGATAAAATAGCTAGAATTAAAGAATTTAGCAAGAAAAAATTAATAGAATTCGTGATAAAATTAATCAAATTCAAAAGCTAAAAAATGCTCCATATGAACAAGCAGGATTTAACTATTAAATATATCCAAATAATAATTTGCAATATATTAAAAATAAAAGTCGCTCTAATTATGCTGAAAGCACGACTTATAGAGATGAAGAAAAGGAATTCGACATGTCTTCTCTTTAGCATCCATCTTTAATTTAATCTCCTAATTCATCTAATTTTCTATCACCACAAGGTACAAACAGTCCTTAGCCTTATTTTATGAGCTAAAAGTTCCAAAATTCAAACTTCAACATCAATAACAATAACAATCAAAGAAATGAGTAAAAAAGAGCTAATGAGCTTTCTTAGAAGAATAACAGTTTGCAAAATTCTTCCTACTTAAAGTAGAGTTTAGGTGAAAACTACTTGAATTAAGAAGAAGAAATATTAGAAGAGCCTTTGGAGACAATAGTTTCATTAAAAGAAAGAAGAGACACAGTAGAGCCTGATTTGTAAACTATTTAATATAAAGGCGATAAAAATAAAAATATGCATCCAAATAACTAATATTTGTAATTTGTATCTCGCAAAGGTAGCTTTTAAGATAGTGCGCCTGTCCACTAACTCATGTCTTAAGAAGAAATTAAATAATAAAAATAGCAATAATAGCTTATGCAATAAAATATGACTAGTTCTTCTTTTAATGTTGGAGCAATAATAGATGGAGGAGATCCTAACGAAGAGTAATTTAATGAAATTCATAACTCAATGCAAGATTAAAGAATGGGATAATTGGAGAATTATCGTAAATAAAGCAGTTTTTGGAGTGATATTGAGAAACCATTAGAAAGTTAAAGTAAAAAGGATTTTAAGAAGATTCTTGATGAAGATATCAGTGGCTTTAACTAAGATAATGTAACTGATAAGACTGCTGAAATGATGATTTAAGGAATCGGTGGAAACGCAAGCAGTGGTAATAACCCATACGGAAACAATACAGGATATTCAAAAAATCCTGGATCATAAAATTTTGATGAAAACTCAGCTGTTAACAATAACTTTGGGTATTTTCGCAACGATTAGCATAAGCTATCCCTTCAGCCTCATAGTTTTATAAAAAATACCTATTTAGGTGATTAAGAAGATTAAGACTATTCAGATAATAGAACTTATATTGATGATAGTGGTAATGTTAAAGGTATGTAATAATCATTCTTATAAGCTAAATAGGGATAGATTCCATTAAATATGCAATCAACTTAATACTAAACTCAAATATCTTCTTTTCCTATTAGCTCTTAAGGTGAATCTAACTTAGGAAGTAGCTCTAATACAGGATTTAATTTAAGATAGGCTTTCACATAATTTCTTAATTAAGAAAATCCTGATAATAATTCAGATACAACTCCAAGAAAAATTGAAAAAAAAATAGAAGAGCTAAAAAATAAATTAAAAAGCTCAACTCCTATAGCTAACAGAAATAAGTCTAATAGTTAATAAAATTTTGCAGTAAATGTAATAAATTCCTAATTAACAGAGTAGGAATAACAAAACTAAGGCATGTAAAGACAAAATTCAAAAGAGCTTACCAAGTAGATCTAACTTAGTGAAGGAGATAAAGAATTGCAAACAAGCTAACAAAAAGCATAAGAAAAATTAGTAAAATTAGAAAACAGTTAAAAAATTGAAGAAGACTCTAATATTAAGCAAAATCACTCACAATCAAATGATATTAATGATACATCATCTTCTGCAAATAAAGAAGCATATAAGGAAGAATCTTTTAAATAGAAATTAAATCCTTTCTAAGTATCTGGGATTAATCCTTTAAATCTTTCGGGAGAAAACTTGAATTCTGATAGAAACCATCACTCGGTTTTAAATTAAAATTAAAGAGAACTATTCAGAGATGAAGAAGACAATCAAAACTTAATAACTTCTTTAAACGATAACAGTAGTGCTAATATCCCTAATAAAAGCTAAGATATGCCCTTAAAATAAACCAACTAATAAATCTATGAAAAGTAAAATTTTAAAACTAATCTTATTTAAATAATTAATTTATAAAATAATAGACATCAAGATAAAAATGAAATAAATCCTTTAAGATACTCAGAAGAATAGTAGGATGAAGAAGTCAAGAAATCAAGCAAAATTAAGCAAGAATAAGAATTTTTAAGATAATAATAATAAGAATAACTATTATTAAAGCAATTATAAGAATAAGAGTTATTAAAATAATAATAAGAATAAGAGTTATTAAAGTAGCAACAATAAGAATAAGAGCTGCTTAAATAACTGCAAGAATAAGAGACACTTATATAAGCCAACAAAAAGCAATAAAAGTGTGCCTCTCTTGCTCTTAAATTAGATAAGCTAGTGTTAAAGAGAGCTTATTATTCTTTTAAAAGATTGTGTGATCACACAAGTGAATAAAAGTTGAAACAAGAAGAAGTTAAAAAAGAAGAAAGAAGACTTGTCAAGCAGAGAGAATAAGCTAGTAATATATTTAGAAAATTACAGCAAATATCAAAGTTAAGAAAGCAAGAAGCTTTATAGCAAATATAAAAATTGGCATAGAATAAAGATTATAGAAATAAATAATTCTTAAGAATCCTAGAAAATGTAATTAAACAATTCAAACAAAGATAATATTTTGAATTTTTCGTCAACTGTTAGCAAAGTAAAGTGTATATTAGAGGATAGTATGTAAATGCTCTCTAAAAGAATGCAGATTAGCTTGACAAAATTGTGTAGCGTCATTTATAAAAAAGATTTTTGTTACGCTGGAAAAAGAATGCAAAGAGTTTGGCTCTACTTCTCAAATAAATACAATTAAATAAGAATATCTTTAATTTAACTTTAAATAACTTTAGTAAAATTTTAAAGACTAAGGTCATTACTCGTTTGAATTAAGCATTTGCTAAGCTAATTTTATATTCTGAGATGATTGAATCATAAAGATTGCACTATGAATAATAAATTTTATTAGAAAGGTAATAAGAGGAAATATAAAAGCTAGAATCAACAAACTTGCAAAACCAAAATGCAAATAACGAATTTGGCTTGGAATTAGAACCTGAATTTGAATTCGCTAAAAGTAGAGAAATACAATCAAAAGAAAAAGAAGAAAAAATTGAAGGCGATCTCTTGAATTAAAATGATGACCTTACTGAATATTAAAACAACTAATAAACTTAATAAACTGCACCTTATACATCTATTAACGACAGACAGAGAGAAAAGTATGAAGAAAATGTATAAGATGAAAAAGAATACGAATTTGAATCAGAATATTATAATTAATAGTAAGATGTTTCAGATAGATCAGATTAGTTAAAATAATTAAATAATTAAGCTAACACTATTATGTCTAATTTACCAGTCAATTAAAATTAAAATAGTAACTTATTAAAGCAACTAATTGAAGATGAAAATAATAAAGAATTAAACTCATAAGGATCTTTCAATATTCTTACTGAAGATAAAAGTGGAAATAACTCTTAAATTTATGATGTATCTAATACATCTGGATCTAAAAATCACTTAGATTAAGAAGACTAAGACTCAATTAAAAATTAAGATTAATATTAAAGCAACAGTATAGTACATTCAGAAGATGATCAATAAAATATTTAAAATATAAACCAAGATAATATTGAATTAGATGATGAAAATACAGATGAATCAGGTAAAAAATCTAAAAAACAAAATAAAAAGCCATTAAATGATGAATAAGATAGCATATAATAATTGAATTCTAGTTAAAATAATGAAGATTAATTACCAAAAATTATTATTGGAGACTAAATTATCAGCTTTAAGGATACTTAAAATAAGTCTATATTAACTTAAGAGTAACCTAAATAAAATTTAGAGAAGCCTGAAGAATAAAGCTAAGAGAGTTTAGAATAAATTTAAGCTTCAACTAATTAACATAATAAATAAATTTCTGCAAATCATGAGGAAACTTTATAAGCTGATAAATAATCAGATTAAAAAAATGAGATTCCCTCTACCTCTAACCCAAGTATTCTTAATGATCAGTTACAATTAGAAAATCCTAAACAATAATAAGAATAATCTGAGCAAGTAATAGATCAAGATGATATTTTTAAGGACTTAAAAAGTAAAGAATAATAAAAGCAATAAGAAATAAATTTAGAAAGTAAAAATGATATAAACAATAAGAACCCTACAAATCTTGTACAACAATAAAGTTAAGAATAATTAGAAGAAGATGCCCTAAATTAATAGCAAAAATTACAAAATGAAGAAGACTAAGAAATTAAAGGTTTTGTTAGTGATTAATAAAGTATTAACAAATCTGATGAAAACAAAAATTAATCGCATAAACAAAACATATAAGACCAAGCCTCTTAGGAAGATATTAATTAAGATTAATAAAATTAATTATTTTAAGAGTCTTTATAAAAGTAAGAAAATTAATAACTCTAAGTTAAGTCAAATGCTGATAATAGCATTTCTTAGCATTCTTTAAATAATTCAGGGTTGTAAGATGTAGACAAGTCGTTAGATAATTAAAATCATACTTCATATAGAAGTGTTAAATGGGATGAATTTAGTGATTATAAAGAAGATTAAAATGATTTAAGTAGAAATTAAATTGACTCTAGGTAAGTTTTAAACGAAGGTCAATTAAAAACTTTAGGGACAAAAGAAGGAGAGGAATAATAATAAAATGACAATAAAAATAGTCAAAATCAAAATGAACAAAACAATTCTTAAATTTTGAATGAATCTTAAAATACTAAGAATCATTTAGAAATAATATCAAAAATTTAAGATTCTTCTGAGATTAAATCTGAATAAAATAATGAAAATAATAATTAAATTAATTCAGAAGAAGAAGAAGAAGTATCTCATTAAGCTCAACAAAAATAAGAGTAAAGTAAATAATAAAGATAAAGTGATTTATTATAAACAGATGAAATGAATGAATTACTTTTATCTTAAAATTAAGGAATTATTGAAGAATTAAAGAATGAAGAATTAATTAATCAAATTAAATAAGAAAAAGGATCTGATATTAACTAAAAGGAGGATAATAACATTTAAGTGTAACAAACTACAGATTTAAATGAATAAAATAATAATGATACAGTCAAATAATCTTAAGATTAGCAGTCTTCTTTAATTGAAGCCTAATAATAAAAGTAATATCAAGCTTCTAACTAAGAAAGATAATAGTTTAATGATGAGTAAATAGTTGATGAGAATTCTATTTAAAAGGAATAGTAATTATAAGAAAATTAAATTGAAGCAATAGTCTAAGAATAATAAGAAAAAAATATAGTAACGATCAACTAAAATAAGGAATAGTAAGAAACAAAAGATTAAGATTAGAATTAAATGTAATTGTAAAATAAAGAAAAAGATTCAATGAAAAATAATTAAGTTTTTAATTAACAACCTTAATCATTAGATGTTGAGTAAACTTAGTCAACTCGTGAAAAGAACTAGTCATTAGCAGATAATTAAATTGAAACTTTAGTCTAAGAATAGTAAAAAGAAAATTTAGAAATGAAAAACAATAATAAGGATTCATAAGAAACAAAAGATGAATATTAGAATTAATTGTTGTTGTAAAATAAAGAAAAAGATTTGATAAATAATAATTAAGTTTTGAATTAACAACCTTAATCATTAGATGTTGAGTAAACTAAGAAATAAATTTAAGACTAATAAATATAAAATGATGATAATTAAGTTGATTAAAATAATTTAGTCAAATAAAGCAATAAAGAAAATTTGTAGGAAGGTATGCAAGAATAGCTATATATTGATCACGATTAAAAAGAATAAATTAACATAGAAAATATAAATAAAGAAAATGATCAAATTAAAAAACTTGATGAATTTAATATTTAAGAAAAGAAATAACCAAATTAAAATCAAGAAGGGGAAACAGATAAAGAATCAAATAAACTTGATTAAATTGAAAAGCTATAAGAAGATTAAGATGAATAAAAAAATTAAGTAATCTCTAGTGATGAATAAAACTAATAACAATAATAGCAAAAAGTATAACAACCAATTAATTTATCAGCAGAAGATAAAGAAAGAAATGAAGAACTAACCTAACTACAAAATCAATAAAATAATAATAGTTATGATGATGAAAATTAATCTGTTAAATCTGAATAAATTGAATCTCAAGAATAACTTTAAGAAGGAATAGATTCTAAAGCTATTTATTAATAAGAAGAATTGCAAAAGAGAACAAAGATTCTTACCTAAGAAACTGCCAATCAAAATGATTAAAATTTGTAAAACTCTAATAACTTAAATAATTAAATTAAAGATTAATAGAATGATAACAAATAATCTTAAAATGAAGAAAATTAAGAACCAGTTAATATAAGATTAAATTAAAGTATTTCTTAGGGGAGCTTATCACCCGAAAGAGACTTTTTAGATAATAATTCTAACATTTAATAGGTAGAATAAATTAATCATACAAGCGATGATACTTGCAATGTAACAGGAGATATGAAACTCACTTAATAATCTGTAAGCTAAGTTTAATTTAGTAGCAATAGGATACCATCTTTCAATTCAGTTGATAATTAAATATTCAAAGATTTAGAGGAATAACCTGAATAAAAAAATGAAAGAATCAGTGCAAATTAAATAGAATCACCAGAAAAATTCTAAAGTGCAAAAAGTGATGAAGTATTTTATTCAATAAAAAGTAATGATTTATAAAATCAATCATCTTCAAACTAATATTACACTGCTGAAGGAGGACCTTTAGAATAAAGAAAATCAAGCAGCAGCTTTAGTTCATAGAATATGATTAAAAATGTTGACGTTTAAGATAGCAGAAACGAGTTAGAATAAATTGAAGAAGAAAATCCTACACCAAATCATAGCAACTTAGGAAGTAGAGTATTTGATACACCATAATAATAAAACTCATAGGTATCCTAGCAATAATTAGGATCATAAAAAGAAATTAACTCTTCTTAAAATAAAGAAGGAGATTTAACTAGCCGCGATTTACCTTCAAATATTTCTTCATAGTAAACAAGTCCTTCTCACAAAGATGATTAAGTTCTTAATTTCTAAAAGAATTTAATTGGCTCTTCGTTATCTGTACCTACTCATTTCGTTCCATAAACTTCTGAAGATGATTTAAAACTTCTTGATAGTGAGCTAAGAGATGAAGTTCTTGATAATTTAGTTACAAATATTGATTACATCAAATAAAAATCCTTCTAAAATCAAAATTAAAAAGATGATATTGATGGTTAATAAGCTACTGTTTTACCTCTTCATCCTTATTAATTAGCTTAATCTTTCTTGCCCTAAGAAAATATAACTTTAGAGCAGGCTGATAGTAATCTAAAAGATGCATTTAATAATTAAAATGAAAAAGCTTAAGTTGCCGAAAAGATAATCAGCTAGTAAAAATACGACAACCAAGTTGAAGCAGAAGAAAATTAGACTGAAAACAAATAAAATGGAAGAAAGTTTGATACTTTAATGTAATAGATGCAAGAACAGGAAAAAATTTTTAATGATTAAGAAGTTATAAAATTCACAGAAGAGAATGAAGAAGTCAGTATTAGTTAAAATATGTAAAACTAATTGCAATAATCTATAAATAATTCTATTCAAAACAGTAACATAGCTTAAGATGATAAAGCTGATTTCCTTGTTGCTGATGAATCCAATATTTAAAATAAGAATGATAAATAAAATTAAAATGAAAATTTAAATATTTATTGTAGCTTCTTTACTCCAAATACAAACCAAGATCCAAATCCTGAAAGATAAAAAGAAATTTTTGACGCTTAGAATGAAATTGCTTAAATATTAGAAATAAATAACATTAGTAATTTTAGCGTTGAACCCTTTACAAAATAAATAAGTCTATCTGAGAACTAGATTAAATATGCTAAAGAATGGTTGCAAAATAATCCATCAAAAACAATTGAAGAATATATTAAAGAAGTTGTAAAAAGCAGATAAAACGAATAATAACAAGACAAATAAGAGGATAAAGAATAAAGTAACAAGTAAAGTGAAGAAATTAAAAAATAAATAGAAGACTTTGAGTAGAATGATTAAGAAGATGACTGGTTAAATTTATCAAAGAAAAAGAAAAATTCAGGGGATAAATTATTATAGCAAGAATAGTAACAAATGAGTTTCGAAAAATATCAAAAGCTACATTCATCTGAGAGCAATTAAACTCCAAAAAATTAAACTGTAAGAGATTTTACTTCTAATTAATGCGAGAGTGATTAAATTGAGTCTTAAGTATCTGAAAAGCATTAAAAAGAATTAATAAGTTAAGAAGAAAACTTTTAAGATAATGATTTAAGGAATTAATCTTAAAAAATACATGATTTACTTCAAAACAATGGATTAAAATTTGAATAATTGTTGTTAAACTAGTCATAAGAAGGAGAATCAATCCCTCTTGATTAATAAGTTATTTTTAACAAAAAGCCTTTAGATTATTTATTAAATGAATAATTCTCTTCAGAGAAACAATAAAAAGAATGCGAAGATGAAATTTTAACTTAATCTTCCCACTAGGAAAAGGATTGTGTTTCAGGTAATGAAAGCTCTGATAAAATGTAAGATGTAATCGAATAAGATGAAGAAGATTAACTTTAAGAATAAGGATTTTAAATAAATGATGCTAAAGATTATCTAAGTGATTTGTTTGGAAGTATTCCATAAAGTTAAGAAAAGTCAAGTAAAAAGAAAAAATTATAGAAAAAATTAGCAGAGAAATATCAACCAAAAGATCTTTGCAAATTAACAGAGCATTCATAAGAATTTACAGTACAATCATAAGAAATAACAATTCAATCATCTTAAGAAGACTTAAATTCAAAGATTATATAAGGCAAAAGAAAATCTAATTTCTAATATTCTGAAAGCGATGAGGAGAGAGATCAAGAATCATCTTTAAGGAAAATTAATTAAGAATCAGAAGAAAGTTTTACTAGTAACTATTCAAAAAAACTCAAGAAAAAATAATACGATGAAGATTTACTCTAAGATTGTAACAAACAGTAAGAATATTCAAGTGGTAAGAAAAGTAAAAGCAGTAAATCAGCTGCCAGTATAACTAAAGCTGAAGTGACTAATTATCTAAATGACCTATTTTAGAATTGCAAATTTTCAGAAGTAGAGTCTGAAAATAGTGAAGACGAGGAAATTTAAAATATGTAAATTTATATTTTTATTTTTTATTTTAATTAATATTAAAAAAATAGGGATATTAAAAGTAACAATACCAATTCAGATAGTGATTCTGACGAATTAAATTAAGAAAACAAAAGTAAAATTAATGCAAATTAAAATCTTCCTTAGTCTGAAAATAAATAAAACATTCCATCCATTACTTCCATAGATAAATTAGAAGCTAATAACTATCTCCAAAATGTGTATGAAAACTGCAATTTATCTTAATTACAAATTGAAAAAGCAGAAAATGATGAGCATCTTGAAAAAGAAAAGTAAAATAAATTTTATTTTATTTTAAATAAACTATTTTTAATTTTCTAGATAAATGTTGATCTAAGAATAAAATGATAAATCTTAAGAGAAATAGCAAGATAAAAATATTGATCTTCCAAAGTCAATAAGTTCTTTAAATAAGCTAGATGTGGATAACTAGAATTAATCAAACTAATAAAATGAAATATCAGAAGATCAAAAGAGTAATAATCAATTTAATCCTACTTCATCTTAGAAGAACAATGAAACTTGTTAAGAATATAGCTAGAGTTAATCAGAGAATAAAGAGTAAATAATTTGTTAAATATTAAACTTAATATATAAATAAATTTAAATTAAAAGAGATGATGATTAAATCAAAAACTTAGATGATTAGCTTTTAAATGATAGTCAATTAATAAATCCTTTTGATGATTAAAAAATAAATAACCACTCTGAAAATTTGAAAACATAAAATCAAATACAAAAATAAGAAAATTAGTAATTTGAATAAGAAAACAGCTAAAAATAAATAGAAAATAACTAAATTTAAGATTAACCTCAAATTAGCAAATAATCTTAAGTTTTAAATGACTAATAAGGGTAATTAGATTAAAATAAATCAGAAAACAGAAAAGAAGTTGAAACCTCAAACATAGAATTCAATCAAGAACAAACAAAAATCACAACTGATTAAAATGAAGATAAATCATAATAAAGTTTCAATAGTAGATTAGAACAGTAACATTTAGTTTTATTAATAAATTATAATTTTAAGCTATCTTTTAAAAAGAAATCAAGAGTCTAGTTTACAAAAAGAAAAAGAGTCAAATACACTTAAGGATTAATATTCTTCCTAGGCAGGTTAATAAGAGGTAATTATTAAATCGGGTGATGAAGACAGTTAAGAAGGTGTAGATATTTAGAAAAAGTAAATGATTTTATTTTTTTTATTAAATAAAAACATAAATATATAAAATAGTAAAAATAAAAATAATGAAATGAGCATTCAATAAGATTTAAAACAAAATAATAGTTCTAGCTCATTGCCTTCTGTAAACAAACTTGATATTGATGGGTATATAAATGATGTATATAAAAACTGCAAATTATCTTAGCTCGAATTAGAATTATAATAGCAAAATAATTAATTGTAAACTTTTTTAAGATATAATTTCTTTTTTTAACTAACAAATATTTAAAATATAGGTCATAAAATTAATTAGACGAAGATTAAGCTTAAGCTTAAAATAATTAAAAAGATTAAGGCTCTTCTTTTAATTAAATAGATGCTTATAGTTATATTGATGAAGTTTATAAAAATAGCAAATTATCTCAGTTAGAATTAGATTAACTTCAACAAAACAATCAAACGTAATATTATTTTAATATTATCTTTTTATTTATCTAAATTAATTATTCTAAAAATAGATCTAATGTTCAGATAGATAAAACATCTTAAGGTTAAAATAATATTAATGATGCCTCTTCTTTCAATTAATTAGATGCTGAAAATTATTTAAGTGAAATTTACAAAAATAGCAAGTTATCATAGATAAGTTTATAAAAATTGCCAAATAGTTAAATGTAGAATTTAAAAATATAATATTGCTTATTTACTAGTTTTTTAAAAATAGGTCTCTGAACTAGTTGGATGAACAATCTAAGTCTGTTAACAATCTTAATTAAGATCCTTCTCTCAATTAATTAGATGAAGAAAGCAATGCAAACGAAACTTGCAAAAATAATAAACTATCTTAGATTGATTTAGGGTAATAACCTAACATCTAAATGTAAAATTTAACAATTTTATTTTATTTAATTTATTTTTAAAATAGGTCTAGTAACTAGTTAGATGAATAAACTAAAATTCTTGATAATCCTAATTACGGTTCTTCTTTCAACTAATTAGATGCAGAAAATTATGTAAACTAAATTTACAAAAATAGTAAATTGTCTTAGCTAGATCTAGGATAATAACCAAACATCTAACTGTAAAGTTTTTAAAATAAGATTATATTTTTTATTTACTTATATTTTAAATAAGGTCTTCCAATTAATTAGATGAGCAAACTAGAAATCAAAATAATCCTAATTAAAATTCTTCCTTCAATTAAATAGATGCCGATAAATATATTAACGAAATTTACAAGAATAGTAAATTGTCTTAAATTTAATTAGAAAAGGATGATGAAGATTAAAAAATTAGAAAAGAGTAAATAAATTTTTATTTTGTTATAATTTTTGCTTTTTTCTTTTTACAAACAATAAAAATTAATTTTATTTGAAAATTTAAAATTCTTTTATTTAATTATTTAAAATTTTTAATTTAATAGATTTATAGAAAATTAAGATAGCCTTCTTATTGAAGAATAAGCCTCAAATTAAAAGGAAAAAGTTAGCTCAGAGTAAATTATAAATAAATTCATTATAATTGAATTAATTATTTAAAAATTTTAATTTATAGTTTGACAGGTGAAAAATAACATAGTGATAATTAAAATAATGATGAAAATTAGTATTCTAAATAATCGTAAGGACTATTAACTTTAAATAAGTATATGGAATCATCTTCCGTGGAACTTTAATCACCATACAGGCAATCTTTCTTGAATCCACAAATTAATTAATAGCTTAAATAATAAATTAATATTGAAGCTTTAGATAACTAAGATAAAAAAGGAGATGAGTATGATAATAATTTAAAAAATTAAACAAGCAAAGATAGTAATAATTTATCCAACCTAAACAATTAATTATATGGCAGATAAATTTCTTGTTAAGATGATAAAAAAGAATCTAGTTATCTACCTACAAATAATACCAATTAAAGATAGTATTGTGAAATAATCCCAATATCATCTCCTTAATAAAATATTTAACAATATTAATAAGGATTCTAAGATTCAAATAATGATAATTTTGATAAAACATTTAACAATTCTAATCAATAATAACTAGAAAACAATTTACCTCTTCAGTTAGAGTAAAATAATTCATCAATAAAATAAAGTAAATTTGAATAAAATCAATAGTAGAATATAGTCTAAGCTATTCTAAAAGATAATCTAAATGAAAATTATCAAAATAATTCATTTTTACAAATAAATAGTTCAAAAGAAGATTAAAATAATATTGTATAGTAGCCTTAGGATTAGGATGAAATAGATTAAATCCTTCATAAATACTCTAGTCTTAAGCCTCTTAACAACTAAGAGTCCATGTAAGAATAACCTATAATTAATGATGACGAAAAAGAATAATAAAATAAGCATGGAGATAAAATAGATGAAATCTTAAATAAATTTAAAAATGATTACCCCCAAGATATTTCTACTTAAAAATTAAATTAAATTGATCAACAAAAAAGCAATAGCTCTGTAATTCAAGAATTAAATAAATAATAACAAACAGGATAAAAAGATCCTATCGATACTATTTTATAGAAATACTAAGGGTTAGCATTATAAGATAACAATAATAATGTTCCTGATGATACAATTAAAACTTAAGACTAAATTAATATTGATGAACTAATGAAAAAATATGACATAAATTAAGCTAATTAAGCACAAAGCCTACTAAATCTTCAAAGCTCAGAATAGCAATTAAAGTTAAATCAACCAGAATAATAACCTCTTAAAAAAGAATAAATAAATCATCTTTTGTTAAAATATAGTTCCTAAAATAATTAAATAAGTGACTTACCTGTATAAATTGAAGAGTCAGTAGTCAAAGATAAGAGTGATATTATTGATTAAATATTGCAAAAGCATAAAAGTTAACAATAATTAAATGATAGCTTTTATAGATAATTCCCTGATAAATAAAATGAATAATAAGAGAGCCTAGCTAGTTAAGTTTATCCCTCCGTTATTTAAGCACAGAGTGATACAATTGATGATTTAATCAAGAAGCACAAAGCATAAAATAAAAACTCTGAAACAAAGAAGTAAATTTGTTAAATTATATTTTAATTATTTATTAATAAATTTATAAATTAATAAAAAGAAGTTAAGAAATTACTCTCAATCCTTCAACTAGCATATTCGATCCTGCACTTCTTTTAGTAGAAAAACCTTAAAGTTAAGGTTAAAGCTTATAAAACTCTGTATAAGACTAACAAATTTATTCAATTGATCGTCTCAAAGATTTAGCTAACTAAGACATTAAAAATCAAGCCAATTTACTATACACTTTCGATAATGAAGGAAAAGGTTATGATCCTGAAAAATAATACAACAATTTAAGAAAAACAGAGTAGAATGTAAACAGTAAAATCTCGAATAACCTTTAGCAAGAGTTAGATTTTATTAGTAAAAATAAAACAGAAAAAATAAGTAACAAAAAAAAATATTTTATTAGCTTAATTTTAAGATTGTTTTAAAAAATAGGTGAAGCTGATACTTTAAGAGGAAGAAGTGTAGAATAAGAACAAAATTAAATTGTGGCTTAAATGAATTATGGAGAAAATTATCAATAAACTTTAGATCACGTAGATAGAAAAAATTTTGATGGTTAGGGATTGATATTTTCTAATACTCCAGAAGCTATTCAAACTAATTTAGCTATTCTCAAAGAATCCTATTCTGGAAAGGAAAAAGAAGGTCTTAAGATTATTAAGCCTTAAGTTGTTCAAATTTTGGAAGAGAAAATAAATGATCACCTATAGGATAAGTCAATAATAGATTCGTTTGCATAACGTCAAATTTTGTAGTAATAAATTTATGGTATACCTCCTCAAGAATAAGTCACTGTTAATAAATACTACAAGTTATCTCCCAAGTATTCTACCCAATCTCCAAATAACTAATTTTAGCATTAGCAATTCCAAAGTTTAAATAGTCCTATTTCTTAAAATGCAACTCCAAAAGATGAATTAAAAATATAGTAAGCTCATAGCTATGGTGGCTAGCAATAAATTCAAAACAATTCCGAAGTTATAGATAGAATTATTTAGGGAGCAAGACAATTATCACCTTCAAATGGTAAAATAAATGTTCTGCTAGAATCTGAAAGATAAAATCTCACAAATTTTGATACTAATCTTTTCAATTAATCACCTAGTTCAGTTGTCTATTCAAGAGAATAAAGCTAAGCAAATACATTCAGACCAAAAGAATAAGAAACCAATTAATTTGATAAATTATCTGATAACTAAGATTAAATATAATTTAAAACTATGCTATCTCAAGATAACTTAGATAGATAAGCTGGAATTCTATCATTTTAAGAAAGCGAAGATTTAAAAAAGGCAGCTAAAAATTTATCATCATAATTTTCTAAACCCTTAAACGATTCCTTGTAAAAAGATAATTCAATAAACTAATTTAATTTACCACTTGGTTAAAACTAATATAGCAATCAAATTAACAAAGGAAGTACTAATAATTCATTAATTGGTATTTCTTAACTATAAAGCAATTATTAAGCTGAAAATTTGCCATAGAATGATTTAAACAGTAATCTTTAAAGAAATAACGAAAGCAATGTTGGAATAAGTAATAAGCTATAAACATTTGGTAACTCAAATGAGCCTGATCAAAACAATTCTCTGTCTCATATTGGAATAAATGATTATAAACCAATACTTTTTAGAAGCTAAACTGGATTAGACAATTAAAATAGAGATGACTCACAAAATCCAGATTAAAAGCAAGTAAGCTTAAACAATTCTTATTAAATTTTGCAAGACTCCAGTTATTTACCTGTTTCTTCTACTCATTTTGGTGTAAATTCTAATAATAACACAATGGCTTTCCCGGCTAGTGGATACACTACTCCAGCTAACTCGACTCTTATTAATTTGCAATCAAATACTCTTCTTCCTAAAAGTACATTCAATGATCTTAACTAAGAGTTTAAGAAGTAAAAATCTTCAAACAAGTAGAATGTTATTAACAATGAAGAAGGATAAGAAGAGGAAGAAAGAAAAGAAATGCCTTTAAGCATAAACTAATAAAGTGAAGGCTACCATACAAGATATAACAGCTATGGTTCTTATATTCCTTTTGAAATTAAAAAACCTTAACCTAGTAGAGACCAATCATTAGAATCATTTAAAAATTCTGACATTTTTAGGGGAGGCTCACCTTAAAGAAGATATGAAAATTAGAATTTCTTATCTCCTAATGCTAGAGCTGAATTTTTGAATGGATAGCTTAATCCAAACACTAAAAATGAAAATAAAGACAATACATAAGATTACTTAGGCAGCGAAAATATGTTAGAAAATGAACTTAATAACTCTCAAAATTTCCCTAATTCAAGCTTTATATCTAATGGAAACGTAGATTTTCTAATACGCCCACAATCTTAATTCCCCTAATAGTACATCCAAAGCCCCTTCTAAGAAGCAGTACCTGCTTAAAATCAGCAACAATACCCAAATTTCTTGGACAACCTTCACAGTAGAAATCAATCAAGAGACTCTTCATTTACTGCTAACTTTTAAGGTTAACCTCATTTCTATTCATAGACAAGTAGCCCTGCAAAAATACAATCAGTTAACTAATTGGTTTAGTAAGCAGCAACATATTAATAAACTTAATCTGTACATTAAAGTGCTATTTAAACATTCCGTCCTAATTAGTATCCTCACAGTGCTCATCATTCTCCTCATACAAGCAGAAGCGAATTCAAACCTGTTATATAGCAAACTATAATTAAACAATAAATTGTATCTAAGTCTACTTCATAAATCCTCTATTAATCTCATAATAGTTTAAGTAGTATTGATAGTTAAGGAAATCATTCTATACGTCATTAAAATTAGGCATCACTTCCTCCATAACACCCTGGATCAATGTAAAAATTACATTTAACTTCACCAGTCAAGTAGACACATAAAATTAGTCATTCATAAAGTAATATAAATAACAGTGTTGTTATAAGTTCACCATTAGTTGTTACAAAAACATTGCATCATTCTAACTCTCAAACTGTTATACCTAGTTAGTTATAACACTCACAATAGTTAAACAATTCATAACCATTCATCAAAATAACTCAGTTAAGCCCTGTTAAATAAGTCTCGGTAATTCATCACAATCATTCAAATTCACAGATTTCAATAACCTCAGCAAATGATATTCAAGTTGTTTAAAATCTTAATGATTCTGTTCATTCAAGTAATAGCTCAATTTAAACTTTCAATCCATCTTAAATAGGATAAGAAGTTCAAAGAGCGACAACTAAAAATGTGATTATAAACCCTCATCCAGTTTCGAAGACTGTGGTCTAGCATGTTGTCGATTAAAACAATCAACTTGTCTAAACAAATATTATTTCCTAAAAAACTCCTTCAGTCTCTAAAACTCCTGCAATACTCTGCTAAAAAGATTAATTACCATCTCCTGAAAAACCAATCAAATCTTAATTATCGAATTCTTTTTCCTAAGTTAACCTAGATTAGTCCGTGAGAGTGTAAATGACTCCGGTTTCTTTAAATAGAATTGGGTCTTCTCAAAATCTCTCTACAAGTTAACTACCGCCAATCAGCCAATAAGTGTCAAAAACACCTATTGTGATTAATAGGACATTACATTAAAAGGATATTCCAAAAATATGAAAATGAATTGAAAAGATATTAAATTTGAATTAAATAAATAAATAAAAGATATTATAAATATTATGATATTAAATATATGTACAATAAAAAATTAACTTTATCAATTTATCTTTTTTTTTATAAAAATATTATTTTTGATAATGAATTATAATAATTTATAATAAAATATTGTTTGCAAAATATTTAGAATTTAATTAATTTTTATTTCAAAATAAGTTATATTTTTTCTTTATTATTTGACAAAAACAAATAACTAATCATTATATGATAAAATAGTATAAAATAAAATTATGATTTGTAAAAATCAAATAATCATATTTTTGATGATATTCTATAAAATAAAAAATATATATAATACAATATATTCTTTTTGACCTGTTTATATTTTGAGATCAAATGTTACCTATACTTGCCAAAAAATAAGATAATTTAGTGTAATACTATTATTTTATTAATGCTGTAAATATAAACCCAAATTTTGGAGATATTGTATTACTTAAAACATGAAAATCATTTTTTTTGCTAGATTTTATTTTAATTATTTTAAAAATGAATTTGATTTGAAGTAAGAATATTTTAAATTAAAAAATAAATTAATTTATTTTGAGTCTACATTAAAAAGTAAAAATGTTTTGGATCCTATTAATTTGTTATTTACTTAAAAGAAATACAAACTTTTCTATTAGATTTTACAATTAATAACATTGATACATATGGAAAGAAAAGAAAATAACCAATATTTGAGTAAATGCAAGGTTAATTTTATAAGTAAAAATAATTTAATTTCAAAATAAATTTTGCTGAATAGTTGATATTTTTTAATCTAATTAACCGAATTTATATTGAATTAATTAATTTATTTACTGCCCATAAGCAGTAAAGGATAACTAATTTTTATTTATATCCTTACCAAATTTATTGATAGTATTTATTTCTATGGTATTTATTAAATGTATAATATCTTGTTTTTCCTAAATATATTCTCTAACACTTCCCAATTAATTAACAATTAAAGGTTAATATACACATAAAGGATAGCTAAAGAAAATAATATAAACCATCAAATTTTTTATTAGTTTATATAATTACTAATCTTCCACTAAATATCAAATTATTACTTTAATAGATTTAATAGAGAAGTAAATAAAATGAGTAATAACAATACATATATTCGTAGTAGAAGACTATAGGAAGCAGGAAAAAGTATAATAAATTATATTGCAAAAAGACAAAATAATTAGCTTAATTTTGTTATCATTAGATATTGTTGGAGATCTTTCGCCTACAAATGACAATTATCGATCATCAAGTATCAATATTTATATTGCAATTAAAACATAAAATATATTCCTGTGAAAAAAAAGGTAATTATAAAACAAACCCAATACTAATTTAGGAAGGCGCTCCATATAGCCAAAGATAAAAAACAGACTTTAGCTTAGATTTGCAGAATAAATTGAAATAAGTTAACTTAACTGATGCTTCAAATGGGTATAGTAAAAAATAAAAATTGTCAAATTAGATTTAAGAAGATTTAAAGCAAATATTTATAAAAAAAATTAGGAAATCAATACACAGGTAGAAATAATTCAAACAGTCAAAGAAATCACTACAATTTGCATGAGAATTAATCTGGGTCGTTCTTTCCTCCTGTAAATATTCGAATAAATTTATTTAGCTAATTGACTAAATATTTTATTAAATTTATACATTTAAATAGATAGCAACAGTAGCTAGGTCAAGCAATGATAAATATAATTGTAATATTTTTAAATATTAAAAAATAGCAAGGTAAAAATAATAAATTAAATTATATTATAGAAAAATAAACAAGGTTGACCACTAATGAGACCAACTCATTAAAAAGTGAGTGCGATTAGTTTCAAAATTTAATGCCATGCCAAAAGTAGTAACATAGAAACGAGTGTAATGTTTGCAAATCGATTTCTCCAAATAGGAGCTAACCTGGTATAGCTGGAAAAAATTACAAAGATAAAATTTTGTAGGAAGAAAAATAAATTTTCTAATAACTTGAGCACATAAGAGTAACATTTGTTAAATCTAAATGCCTATTTTATAGTTAAATAAAATAAATAATTTTAAATTAAATAGAATAAAATGAGCAACAATAATCAGGTATAAAGGAAAGTAGCTACACCAGTAAATAATGATAAACCAAAATATAAAGAAAATGGATAAGCTACTTAACCATTGAGGCTTGCTAATTTAGAATAATAATTTCCCTATTAAAATTAAAACAATCAAAATAATAGAAAGGATTATTAAAATACACTCATTTCTGATATGCTTAAATAAAATTCTACAAGTAAGGCTAATTCAAATTATGAATGGGGAATGAAAGGATTTAGTTAAGCTTCATCACCAAACAGAATTCTCTCTTCTTTAAACACACTTCCAGTTTCGCCTGTAGCCAATAGTTAAAATCACAATAGATATTATTCTTCTGCTTAAACCTAACATGAAACTGTTCCTTTTTCAAAAACTGTTTTTCCAAATCACAAGAATGGTGGTTCTAATTTAAACGATAGTTAAACAAACTTAGGTTATAATGTACATTACAAAACAACTTATTAACCATAAAACTATAATCATAATAAAGTTACTTAATTTGAAAATCCAGTGACAAATACATCAATTGATAACTTGAAAGGTACATTAAAAAAACGAAGGCCATCCATTAGAAAAAATAGTATTTCTATTTAAACTTCTATGTAAGATACTTTGAAAAAAAATAGCAATACTTCCTAGAGTCATTAAAATATTAAGTCATCCATTCATGGAGCAAGTTATACAGGAATTGATGTATAAAAAATAAAATCAAGTAGATAAAATTGTATAAATTTGCTTGATAATCTGAAAAAACTAGTATCTAATAAAAAAAATCTATCTTATACAACTTAGGATTTTTTTAAGCCATAATGAATTAATATAAGTATTAAAAAATAATTAATAATTTAAGGTTCAATCTTTTAAACGACTTCTAATATTATTAATTAATTAACTGTATAAATAATTTATGAATATCTATCTGGTTAAATTATATAAATATTCTTGTAAAAGGTTAAAATAAATTTAAGTTGTTGTTTATACACAAATAGGTATTATTTTAATGAGAAAAATGAATACAAAATTCGAATTAGAATTTTCTTAAATAATATTATTTTTTTTAGCAATTAAATTAATTGGATTCTTTTGCAACATTAAACAATATATAAAAAGGTTAATAAATTTGACACAATTTAATAAATTATTTAAGTCAAATTAAATTAATTACCCTGTAATTTTCAAAAATTAAGAAAATTTATTTTTACGCTTGATTGTCTTCTTATTATTTTACATACATATATATATATTTATATATATAATTATTAATAAAATTTTTTAAATTAAAAATAATCTTTTGTTTCTAAAAAAAATATTTTATTAAAAATATAAAATAAAATTGTTTCAAATTTTTTATTGCTAATTTGCACTGAATTTCATATAAAATTTAGACTTGAGTTTTAATTTTCAATTATGAAAATAATTCAATCTCGTAAAGCTAAATTTTAGAAATGCAGTTAGAAGTTAGAGAGAGTAGCTAATATTCTTTGTTATATTAAAAATAAATGAAAAAAAAAATTTTCAAGTAATTTGAAAAACTTTTGATTGATTTATTAAATCAGATTATTTTTCACTAATTTTACAAAAAATCAACTTATTGTAGGATATTTCATGAATATGAATGAAAAATATTTAATTTGCTCAATTTAGTTAATTCATAAATAAAAAAATAGAAATTTAGCGTAGCCCTCTCATAAAGAAACTTTTATTTTTTATCTTCTAAATAATTTATTTTAATTTGATTTTATGTTGTTTTTGTTTTATCTTTTTAATATTTTCTTTCTTTCTTTTTTGTTTGTTTCTTATTTATATTTATTAATTTAATATTTGGGTTGTTTGTTTTTAATTAATTTAATCATTATTTAATTTATTAATATTTAATTCATATTTCAAGTATTTTATTATTCTTATCTATTTATTTCTTTTAATTTATTAATTGCTTTTAATTTGTTTGCTTATGTTTGTTTTTATTGTTTTCTGTGAATTTTTTTTGCTTTTATTATTATCTCTGTAGTATATTTTTTGCTTCTAATATTTTTATTTATTTATTTATTTTTTTAATAATTCAAATTTGATTTTTTAACTTCCTGATTTTATAAAATTGCAGGGTTTATTTTTTTTTAATTTTTTATATTTCTTTTTCTTTTTATTTTTAAAATTTTGACAAATTAAAATGGTTTATGTGAAATGACTTTTATATATAGCCACCACTTTTAAATAATTAAAATAGCGTAGATAAAGCATTTGAATAAAGTAAAAGGGTTTTTTTCACCCAACCATTACTTTTACTTTAAGCAAATTTCTGGATTGATTGCTTTTGATTGAGCTGATGTGAAGGATTAAAAAACTTTAACGTGCCTTAGGAGTTCATTGCGATCATAATTTTATTTTTACCGGGAGGTTAAATGTTCAGCTTATCAATTGCAATCATTCTTTTTGCTCTCTACACTACAAAAATTATTTTAAAACCATTTTATTACATATTCGCTAATATTCGGGATTTTCATTGTTTTTTTTACTTTTTTTACTTTAATTTTTTTTTTCTTCTTTTAATTATTATATGAATTTCAATTAAAAGCTTGCAAATTAAATTTGAATTTTTTTTGTTTATGAAATTTCTTTGAATCCTAACAGCTTTTTTAATAATTTTCTAAATTTATTTATTTATTTATTTTTGTTTGTTTGAAAATATCTTACTTATTTATTTATATATTATAAAGAAAATATTAATTAATCTATTTTAATTTCATATGAAACATAAAAATAAGTATAAAATATTTTTTATCATTTATTTTTTCATTATTTTTTTTAATGACGCTCACAGAATCTTCTGATACGTACTGAAAATTCTCTTATGACAGGTTCATCAGCACACATAATGATTCTAAAGAAGTTTTTACCAAAGAAAAGTTCTCCTGGGAAGACAGAAACATTTTCTTCTTATAAAAGCTTTGTGGCAAATTCTTGTGATGAGGTTATATCTATACATTCATAGTCAATACCAACAGCAGCATAAAAGGCAGCTTTAGCTTCTTTTAATTTAATACCTTTAACATCATGTACAAGTTCTTTTAATAATTTAAATCTTTCACTGCATAATCTCATTTTTTCATCTATGTAGTCATCATTCATTTTAAGCATCTCTACCTAATTACCTGCTACAATTGTGTTAGGCATTAAAATGAAGCTAAGTAAATTTCTTAAACCTTATTTAACTTCATCAAATACTCCTTTCTTACCTACTAAAGTTAACCATGCAGTTCTCCAACCTTTTTATAAAATGTATAATTAAAATTAATTTATTCATTAATAAAAGTCATTTTTTTAAAGTTATATTAAAAATATTCAATTAAATACCTGGTACAAGCCATCTCTTTGACATACCAGAAATAATTACAACAGGAACAGTGTCAGTTAACTCACCAAAAGAATAGAATTTTTCACCAGGGTAAGGCATATGCTCATAAGTTTCGTCTGCAACAATAGGGAGATTGTTATGTCTTTTACAGAAATCTATAATATCTAACATATGCTTCTTAGTCCATAAAGAGGATAGAGGATTAGAGGGGTTGCAAATGTAAATAAACCTATTTTAATAAAAAAATACAATTAGTATTTTTTAAAATATATTTTAATTTTTAATGATATTAATTTAATCTATCTTTTTATTGCTTTAAAACACTTATTGATATTTTAAGATGATTTAGCAATAATTCTTTTTCTATAAAACTAATAAATCGATTCATTACTATTGATATCTATCATTAACTCTAAGTTCTATTTATTTCTTTTTAAATTTAATGAAAAAATTTATACCTAGTTTTGTCATCAATGAGCTTTTCCATTTATTCTAAGTTTGCCTCCCAGTCTTTATCTTCCATTAGATCGTAGAACTTAGCATCTATACCTAAATTAGAGCCAACAGTCACCATTAAAGGGAATCCAGGAGATGGGAATAAAAAGTTATCACCTGGGTTAGCCAAAGTTGCTACAGATAAATAGATACCCATAGAGCAACCAAATGTAAGGAAAACATCTGATTCATCTACCTTAACATTAGGATTATTTTAAAATTTATATCTTTCTGCTACGGCCTGACGAATTTCTGGCTTACCAATTAAATCAGTATATCCATCTATTTTGCCTACCCCATCTGCACATTTCTACAAAATTTCTGGATTGGTTTAAAATTCAGAAAACAATGTAGGATCACCTAAAGTTAAGTTTAAGTTATCAGCAGGACGGGTATCCTTGTATAGGGTGATGTCAATTTTGGGGAGAACACTTTCAACATAATTACGGATTGGGTTGCAAGTGTTTTTAATTCTTTCAGCGGCTTGAAAAACTGGGAAATCGCTCATGATTATTTTGTAAAATAAATATGAATTTGTTTATTTTTAGTTTATTGGAAATATTCTTTTTTTAGAAATTTATTATATCAAAAAATGATTAAAACAAGATTTTAATATGAATCACTGCTATTCACTGTATGCGAAATTTATATAAAAGTTAAGCAAGTCTAATCAATAAATAACAAAAAAATTTTAGTAAAATTTTGATGTAAGCATATATTATGTATTGTAAAAGGCCCAGCCTTTGTCTAATATTTTGTTTATCTTTTTAGTTGATTAATTCATCATTAATTAAACGATTAGATTGAAATAAGATTATTTTTACGTATTATTCAAAATTTAATTCTTTGAAAGAATGCATAAAAATTATATGTTCATATCTATTTTTCCAAAGAATATCTCTTACTATTCATGTATGTTATCTATGAAGTCATCAATAAAAATTGACAATTTTTATTTTACTAGAAGCAAGTAAGTAAAATACAATTTTAATTCTTTTACAAGGGTCATAAACCCTGCTTTTGCTTTGATGCCTAGATATACTTAGAGCTTTCCAGTACAGTACTTTCAACATTTCAATATAAATCTTCTTCTTAAAAATTTTTTTATTTTTCTTCTTAAAATTTTAAATAATTTTTAAAATAATATAAACAAATGATATATTACCTTAAAAATGATAAAATAAATTTTATTTTGGAAATTTAACCTTATATTTTTACAAATTTATAAAGCTCATTTTAAAATTGAAATAAGATTAAAAAATAAGCAATAAATTTAATTTTGAAATTATAAATTTTATACCTTTAATAAAAATAGTTTAGTTTAAATTAATGAATTAAACAGCTAATTGCATTTAAATTATAAATTAAAAATGTTTATTTTAATAAAAATTACAAAAGTTGTTCATAACCATAAAATATTTATTAATTAATCAACTAATTATTTCAAATACAAAAAGTATAAAATGATTGAATAAAAATTTTCTTTTCAGTAAGATTTTTTGGATTTAAACAGTAATTCAACATATAGATATTAATAAAATATCTGATACTATTATCTGATATATATATGCTTAAAAATGTTTTTATAATTAATAAAAACTTAACAATAATTATAAAAATATTCATCATTTGTAGCAGTTATAATATTTGAAGAGTCATTATAAAAATTGATAAAATTTAATCATTCCTATGTTAATTTATATAATAATTAATGAGTTAAAATAAAATACAATGTTTTATATAGTAATATAGATTTAAAATATTCAAAAAGTGATAGTTTTATACACACTATCAAGATAAAATTCAGCTTAAAATAAAAGAAAAGTTATTTTCATAACAATTTTTTATTTATTATATTCATAAGCATTTGAGTAATGATTTGTCAAAATTAAATATGCAAGAATAAATAAAATTTTTATTTTTTGATTTAGATTAATTTTAAAGCAGATAAAATGAGAGAGAGAGATATTCTTTAACATTTGGTTGAAAAAATGTTCATTAAAAATACAAACTAATTGTTTGTTTTTGAATTAAAATATTAACTAATATTTTTTAAATTCTAAAAGATCCATCAAATCTAAATTGTCATTTAATTTCTTTCATTTATTATTTAAATTTTTTAGTAAATTATTAATTATAAACTTTTTATCAAAAATTTTTATTTTTATTGTTGATTTACTTATAACTTTATTCAAGTGAGTAATAGTTTTAAAAATTTGTATTATTTTGATATTTTTAGTGTTATTAAATATCAAAAGATATGAAAAATATACTTATAAATGGTAATCAGTAAATTTAGAAATGCCAAACCTAATTTATTATATTTTTAAATGATAAAGGATCATTTTAAAAAACTAAAATAAATTAAAAAGTTATAGTTTAATATTGAAAAATGATCAAATTTATAGTTATTTAATGAAAAAAATGTATTTAAATTTTTAGATATTCTATAAAATTCTTACAATATTAATTTTTTTAATAACTAAATGTCATTAAAATTTATTTTTAAATTAAATATTTTATTTCAAATAAAATTAACTACCTATCAATTTGATTCCTTTTCAATATTTAAAAATGTGAGATTCATAAAATAAAATAAGAGACAGATGAGTATGTATGTGTAAATATAATTTAGTCAAGATTCGTATCATTAAGTTAGGAATGAATATATACTATTTTAATAATACAAATCATATTGCAATAATGTGTAGTTAAAATGTATGAGATACTAAAAATAAATCAAATTTTTATGTTTCTATCAATATATCATAGCCCTTTAAAAAATTCAGATTAAGCAGATATCATAACAAAAAACCACTTGCATTATTGCCATTATATTTTATCATGTGCGAATCATTTTTTACTCACTTTTTCAGCATTCCATCCCCTTTTATATATGAAATTACATTTAAGATAACAAAACATAATATTGAATAAATCTTTAAAATGATTATTAATTATTTATGTAGGATAATTATTTACCTCTCTGCGCATACTCATCCTCTAAATCTTGCCAATTTTCAAGGATCATATCGAATTATTCGAATTCAAGTGAGTGAGCAAGTCTATTTCTTCTTGGACCCCATTCGTGAGCATAGTTTCTGTGTGAGAAATTAACTTCGAAAGCTCTGTTAAGATGGATACCCCAGCTTTAATGATAATGAAAAAAGAGAAAATGTAAATACTTCGCCAGTTAAGTAAATGCAGCTAATATAAACTTATCTAATCCTATAATATTTGATACACTTCTTATCAAATAGAATAGTTTGGAGTAGCTTATGCATTTTTTTAAATCTAAAAATGAATTTATATTTACTAATAGTGAGGAAGCCAGATGAATGCAGCTATACCCTATATTAATAAAAGAAAGAAATTTTTAAAATGAGTTAACTATTGTTGGAAAAATGAAATTATCATTATAAACTAGATATTTGCTAAATATTTTATAATGTTTTATTACGAAAGCTAACTTAGCTTCTCTAGCAACGTAATCATCATAAAGTGATCTGTACCACCAATATCTATTTCTAAACCAAACACTACCCATGCCTTTAATGAGTTTATTTTAATTTTCCTTTTTCTTGATTTATTTCAAAATAAATATTTTTATTAAAAAGCTATACAAAGCAATCTATTTATAATAATTTTTCTTATATTTTCTAAATCTTCAATCCCTTTATTTTCTTTTTGCATCTTCTAAATTCTTACAAAGATACTAATAGTGAGTATTCTTCATGTGTGATAGCATGCACGCAAAACATAAACATACATTAATTCATATAATATTTAACTTTCTTTCTTTATTTAATTTATTATTTAATGAATAATTTCATTCAAATGTTTATTTAAAGATATGCATTGTTTATTTGCTGTACACTCCATATAATATAATAGATATAAAAATTATATTTATAAGAAATCGTTTATTATTTATATATCTTATCTGATATATCTTCTTAATATATAATATTATTTTTTTTGACGTATTTAAAATTTAATAATTTAATTTAAAATAAATGGATTTATTGTTAATATTAATTTTATTTAATTAAATTTATTAAAGTTTTAATAAAATGTCCTAAATTTTATATAAATGAGATTTTTTATTTCTAAAAATTAAATATTTTAAAAACATTTTTTAATCAAATAATACAAAAAATAAACAATTAATTGGATTTTATTTAATAAAATAAAAACTTACTTAATATGATTAATTATTTCTCTTTTAAAATTTGATATATAAAATAATGAAAGCTTTATATGATCTATATAGAACAAATTAATATCACAAAAAATTTCTACAATTTTATAATTTCATAAAATTAAAAGAATTAAACACTCAATTTTGTTTGGATTCATCTTAACTAAAATAAATAAATCATTTTATTTTTAAGTTTATGTTGAAAATTACTTGAAAATTTTGATAAAATATTAAAAACTAAGTCTTCATTTTTTTACAAAATATTGTAATGAGATTTTCATAATTGAAAATCATAATTTTTTTAATTTTAAATTTTAGAAAATGAATTTTATTATTTTCCCTTTATTTTAATGAACATTTGAATTTCAAAAAACAAATTTATATTACTTAAATCATTATTTTTTAAATCTTATTATAAACATGCATTAGTTTAGGGAGAAGTGGAGAGGTTAAAGTAAAATAAATTATATATAAAATGTATTATAAAAATATAAATGTACTCTTAATAAAAATATTATTAATATAATGAATGAATGTTTTGTAAATATTGTAATTTTTATCATTTTTTTAAGGAGAGATTTACTTTATTTAATATTTTCACCTTCTCGAGCTTGCTGTTGAAGCATAGAAATCAACCTGACTTAAATTGTTATTAGATTAATTTAGGTTCTTTTTTACTGAAGTAGATCTACTGGATCTAGCACTAGAAGTTCTATACATATCGAGATGGTCATAATTTCCAAATTCAGAAGGTAAACGATAAGTTCCAGGTCCAGGTTCTAATTTTTAATTAAAAATTTGGTTTTCATTAGATATAAATATTTTAAATTTACTGTAAATAGTGCTTTTTGATGCTTAGTCAACAAATGATTATCTGGGAGAAGCATTTGAAAAATTCCTAGATCCATATGATTTGTATATAGATAAAACATATGATCCACTCTTTTCTAAATCATTTCTAGGTTTATACTAGCCAGGTCCAGGATTACTATTTCCTATTATACAAAAAAACATATTTTTTCATATTATTTTTAAATGTGTCCTATATTACCTGATTTTGGAAATCTTTTAGATCTAGGAGGATTGAAAGTTGTTGCTCCTGAAGATCTATATTTCGCTAATTAGAATTTTCCCATTTTATTTATACTTTCATAGTTTTAATATTGTCCAGGTCCTGGATTTTATAATACAGTACTTTATCCATTTAAAAAGAGAGGACAATCTATTAATAAATAACAAATATTGTTATATTTAATTAATTAATGATTGGTTTAGAGTAAAACAATACAATAAATTAATCAATTTCAATTTTATAATTTTATTTAATTAATTACTAACATCTCTTGTTTTTGGTCTCATCGTAAAAGATAGGTTCTCATTTAAATTTATATTCCCGTGTTAATATGAGCCTGGTCCTGGATTAGACAGAGGACCCTTCTTGACTATGCCAAATTCACTCATTTTCTTTTTATTTTTTATAAATTTTGCTTTTTGTAGGTTTAACTTAATAAATTACATCTCTTGCTGTGCCAAATGATTTTCCTCTTGATGTACTGCGTTATTTATCAAATTAGCTTGGTAAATCATATTTTGAAGGTGGACTACACACTGAAGATTTTGTAAAATCAGGACGTTAACCAACTCCAAAACCAGCTCTTCTTGTTGATTTCTAACTTGGCAAATCATAAAATGAATCTGTTGGTCTTTTATGATTTTTTTTAATGAATTATTTTAAAAACATAATTATTTTTTTTAATTTACTTTTTAGGAGATAAAAATCTTGGAGATTTTGAGAAAGAGAACTGAAACTTGGATGGAGAATTATTTACAGGACTATTAAGAATTTATACTGGAGTTGTAACAGAAAATTGAAGAGACATTTTTGAATTTAGTTCAATATTATTTAATCTAAATTATAACTAGAATTTCTAACTTTTGTTGATAGCTTAATTATTTTTATAAGATTGTTATTTTCAATAAAAATATTATTTACTCTTTTGAAATATTAAAATCTAATTTTAATATGTACTCCACAATATTTTTAATTATTTATTTAGAAAGAAAATTTATTGGACAATATTAAAATCTCTACTTATTAAATTACTTAAAAAGAAATATTTGCCTACGTAATATAAAAAATATATTGCTAAATATCTCCTAAATATTATACTTGTGAGATTAATTATTATTTCCTTCTTTTATTCATTGATTTAATTATTTATTTATTTTTGGTTTTAAATGACCACAAATAAATAATTTTTCAACTTATACTTTTATCATTACTAATTTCCACTTTTTTAATTTTATAACAAAGAAAGCATGAGTATATGCCACTATAAAATTTTATAAAATACACTTTTTAAATATTTTGATAAATATGACAAAAAATTAAGAAAAACAGAAATAATATTTTTTTTAAATACTCAAAGAAACTAACATTTATTTTTAATTTATAATCTTAATTAATTACTATTTTTGTTATATTAAATATACTGTACATTCTCTATTTTTACACCCATATATAATATCACAGATCTTTTAAAAATTATTAGCTTATTGGTTTTTGTTGAAATTATTTTTAAATATTCATAAAAAATGAAAAATGAGTAATTTTAATTAATAATACAAAATTGTCAACTTTTAAAGTAATTTAACTTTATTATGTTTTCTCCTTAAATTATTACAGATAATAGAATCACAAGAATTTATTTTATTAGGTTTTTATGTGATATTTAGAGTATATTTAGTTTTATGATTTATTGGATTTGTGAATTTTCATGCTTACAGATATTTAGATATAAAAGTTTTCATATAATTTTATTTGCATTTTCACATATTAAGCTTGCTTGAATCATAAATTATTTTATGATGTAAGTATTTTTTTCTTAAATAATTATAAAATATATTTTTTCTTTTACTAGAATAGTTAATTTAAAATTATTGGTATATATTCTAAGATATATAATCTTATATAAGAGCATTGTAAATGTAAATAATATAATATGCCTAATCAAACTCCTAACTCATAAAATTTTAAATAAGTATTCAAAAAATTTCTATTTTAAAAAATGTTATATCAATTTAAACTATTTATAAAGCAATTAATTTTAATTTTAATAATTAAAATAATTTATTTTAAGCTAATAAACTCTACTGTGCATACACATACATTTATTTTCATTTATTTTACTTTTACTAAAAATCTTTAATTTCTTCCCTCAAAGCTAGCAAATATTTTCCATATAATAATTTTTTTTTATTAAAATCTCCTATAGCACATGAAGGTATAATTTTTTTAGGCTCAAAAGGTCCAAGAAATATGAAGCCTCTATCACTTCCATCTTTCATTTCAATATAGTTTTCTTCAAATTTGGTCACATAAACTATAATCAAAATTATATTTTAAATTATTGTTGTCTACAATTTTTATAAAATTGAACTTACAAGATGTTTGCATCTGATAAAAAGAACTGTTTCTAAATTTTGGGTCTTCATTTTATAGCATTTCATACATATCTATAAGGGTGTTTGTGTATATGAGACTAGAATCTACAATATCATCATGAAGAATTAAGAATGGTGGTCTATATGTATATTTTAATTCTGGTAATGAATTCTATGTTAAAAAAAATATTTAAACACTTAAAATATAAATTCTGCAATCATATTTGTAAAATATTTTACTTTAGGTAATAGTTTTGTAAAATCAGTTTTAAGAGAGGGGTAATATTTTAAAAAATCCTCGTAGGTGACTTCTACTTCCATTATTAATATTTATTTTTTTGCTTATTTGTACTATTATATATCTTTTTTGATGATAAGATTTAAAAGTAATTAAATTTAGAGTGGCAATTAATATTTGTTAATATTTGAACAAATGAATTTAGATGATTTTGCGCCAATAATTTCTATATAGCATGCTATTATAAAATTCAGTTTTCATAATAGGTTAAGATTGTTTTTATATAAATATAGACAAATAAAATGCAATATTAATGATTTTTGTAAAAAAGTTGTTTAAAAAATAAATATTTTATATCAGAATTAATTGTATTATTAAGTCAGTTTTTATAGTTTTTATTTATCATAATAATTAATTATTTTAGCTAATTAAAAATAATATATAATTTATTTGTTCTTTTATCAAAAATTTACAAAATAAAGTAGGAGATTCATTAAAATAGTATAAAAAATATGTCAAAAGTTATTAGCAACGTCTTTTATCATATACCTTAAGACAAGGATGACCCAGATATTCCAAATGTTTTTTGGTATTAATTTGATTTAATATCATTTATTCATTTAAGATTCATTTTTAATGAAATTAAATTAATTAATATCAATAGCGTTCCCAAATCATAAGAAGAAATACGTTTAGCAGATATTAAAAGCTACTTCCCATTAAATGGATAATATATTTTTAGGTTTAAATACAGATATAATAACTAAGTAGTTTGGATGGACATACCCGAAAATTCTAAAAAGCTTCCTATTTATGAGGGTAGAATATTTTTAAAAGCAACAAGAGTTTAATGGGGTAAATATTAATAGAATTCATTTAATTAAATTTAGCATTTAAAACTATAAAAATAAAATAGGAGAAGAATAGAAAAAAGTAGAGCCAGAATAAGTTTAAGTTCCAGTTTAAAGTTTGCCACCTTAATAAGCTCCTTAGCAAGTAATTATTTATGTTTTTTATTCAAGATAAAAGCTAGACGAAAGCAATTCATTAAAAATGTTTTTAATAGAATTATAGGAATTAGTAGAAAAGGATTAAATAAGCATTTTATAATTATTTATTAATGAATTTATTTAGAAAAATAATGTTAGATAAAAATATTTTTAGTAATAAAAATAGCAACCTCAATAAGAATACATAGATTTCTTTGGAGAAGAGGAAGAGACTTAAAAACAATAAAATTAGTAATCAACTGGATAATATTAAGGAACAAACCTTTTAGATTTTTGATAGAATAACTTATTAATAAAAAAAATGTGTAATTGTTGTTTTTATAAATAAATAAATTACATTTTAAAAATGGTTTGTTGATAAATTTTAAAAATATTTGAGTAAAATAATTTTTTTAAAAATGATAAGAGTTCATGAATTAAAGTTAAAGTGCATTAGTCTTTATTTTCATTACAATTTTAATAACTAATAATAAAAATAAAAATAAGAGTAAGCAATTAAGCAAGCAAACAAACAAACAAACATAAGAACATATTTATTTATTTGAGTTTTAAATTTTAAAATATTTCAAATTTAATCATCGCTATTGAAATTATTAATTTTTTTATTTTAGTATTTGTTGAAAATCATAGAATTTGCACTCATAGAGTTTTCATCCATTTATTTATTGTTTTCATTATTAGATTCATTTAAAAACTATCTGACAAAACTGTTTGAATTTTCTTTCTCAGCATTCATGAAACTTTTACTGGCATCGAAACTTGATTTTCTGCTTTATATTAAATTTTAATTTTACTGTGAGTTTTCGTTGTTTGATTATTCATCATAACCCATATATATCATTTCACTGTCGTCACTTTTGATATCGTTTTGCTTAACTTTACAAAGCTTTCTCTTTTTTGAAGTTGATTTATTATTATTTTAAGACTATTCTTAATCATTTTAATTCAAAATATTATTGCTTTCTTATTATGCTTCATTTTATTCACCTTCTTCGTAATCTCTAATAAATGCAACATCTTAGTCATCTTCTTCTACATTTTAAATTTCTTTATTTTCTTAGCTTTCCTCATTTTCAATCTATTTATTTGCACTTTCTTCTTCTTGCATTTAACCTTAGTTCTTTATTTTTTTCTATTTAGATTTTTTCTTTTTAGAAGATAATTGGTCTTATCCTTCTAAACCTTCTTCTTAATTATTTTCAAGTAAAATTTCAGGGTTTTATAAAAATTTATCAACTTTTTCTTTCAATAGATCTACATCACTTACTTTGAAAAATCCTGGTACTCTCCAATAAATTTATCCTTATGCAGGTGCTCTAAATCCTAAAGATTCAAGTAATTATTAAGCACTCTAGAGATTTAAAATATCAAAATCCTTAACAGTGTAAGGTACAATACAATAATCTTAAACTTAAACCAATCTTTCAAAATCAGTCAGGTTAGTATTCTGTCTATTAATAAAGAAATAATAAATGTATTTTTTTATTTGATAGATTAACTTAAATTATTTACTCCTCAATAAAATAAATATATTCCTTAAAATTAACAAATATTGAGTCCAGCAATATTTAAATGTCATTTATTTCAATATTGTTTACATTTTCTTCATTGTCTTTTAGTTTTAAATATAGCTCTCTCACAGCCCTCTTTATTGAAACCTTAATTAATAAAACAAAATGATTAAAAAACAAAAAGTTTATTTTTTATTTCAATTTAATAAAAAATTTATTTAGAAAACAAATAAATTTAATAAAACTTTTAAATAAATACTTTTTTAGAAGCATAAATTTCTTTGAAAATTTTTTCTGCTCTTTATTTTCCTTTGTGTAGCTTTAAGTATTTGACTCTTCTTCTAATATCTAATGGAGTTTTATCGTAAAATCCAAGTCCATTGAGCACAAGTCCGAGTTATTCGAAGACATTAGTGAGATCTTTGAATGTTTCATAGTTATTGATGATCGCTCTATCTTCTTACTCTATCCAAACTTTTCTTTCTAAAATGGTCTCTATTTAATTAAAGGTTGTTTTTTTAAATATGTTTAGATTTATTGTTTATTTATTTTACACTGATCAGCATTTTCAGCTTCATTTTCATTAAGAATATTATCAAATTCATTTTCATTTTTTTCAAGATCTTCATAGTTACATAAAATAGAATTTTTCAATGTTGCATCAGTAAACCTAAACAACATTTCAACTAAGAGCAATTTATTTTATTTTATTTTTTCAAACATATTTCTTATTATTTTTCTGAACAATTCAATGAACTTTTTACAGTCTAGTCTCATCTATTGTAACAAAAATAATTAAAATTAAATACTATTAAGAATATTTTACTTTAATTTCTTGGTTTGAGCATATTTCCTGAATTATTGAAATAAAGTCGACTTAGTATAAAATCCAATCAGCTTTCAAAAGATCAGTAATTCTTTAAATAAATTTGTAAACTGCGTTATTTAAGTTAGGAGAATTCGTTAAAATTTTATCTCCTTGAATTAGCTAAAGAACTTTTAGAATTACATTATAATCTGCCAATATAGCAAATTCAGATTATAAATTATACTTTCTTTCTTAAAATTATGGACCATCATCATCGGAGTCCTCATCATCATCTTCATCATACGCATCTTCTTTTTTTTCTACATCTGTTAGGTTTAAGTAAATAATTTAATATTATTAAGCTTATATTTGATGCTAAAAATACTTTAAATTTCTAATTCTTTGTTTGGGTTGAAGTCTTCATCATCTTCTTGCCCTTCATTTGGATCTTTTTCAATGAAATCGTTCATTTCACTTTACAATTAGCGTTCCAAAGCTTTCTTAGATTTGGAGTTAACTTTCTTTTTTTTCTTTTTTACTAATTTGTCTGTTTATAGAGTGAGAACTTTACCCTTCGAGTAACTTTCTAGTAAGTCAAAGAAAATATTAATTAGCTCAACTAAATTTTTGAGGACTTCATTATTCAACACATTATACTAGCAGTAGTCAACACCTATTCTTAAAGCTTTAGTAATATCATGATGGAAAATATTTTAAAGCATAATTTAAGAATTTTTTCTATTCATTTAACTGTTATCTGTTGACATAACTCTAATGACTTGCAATAACTCATTAAAGACATAAACAGTTGAATAAAAATTTTTTAAATTAAAGCTCCTTTTTTTATTATGAGTTACCTATTTTAATTTTATTAGTTGAAAACTTAAAATGTTATTTTAATTTAAATTTATTTTACTTCTTTTACAAGCTTGGAAAATATTAACTAAAACTATGTCAATTAAAGTGCTACAGCGATATCGACAATTTCGAGTTCTGAAGCCTTGTGTTCAAAAACTACAATCCTAGTTAACTTTAAACCGAATCCCATTAAAACAAAATAGTAAACTGTATCAATAGGCTCTAGCTTTTCACTGTCAGTATACAATAAATTATAGCATTGCTCAAATAAAGGGCAGAAAGAATATTTGATGAATTCGAGAGAGAATTACAGCATAACAGACTTAAAAGTAACTAATTCTGATTTAATTGTGTCTTCATCATCTTATTAATCAATTGTTAAATTCTATGTAAGATTATGCTAAAGAGGCATATCAACCTTTAAGTCTAAATGCAACCTTTTTCTGAAAATACCCTCTTACTACTATAAAAATTTACGAGGAATTGGCTTATTAAGCTAGTTTTTAGTAACTTTAGTTTAATCAAATTAATCACCTGCAAATGGATTAGTAGTCAGCTTCTTAGTGTCATCTAACATACGCTTGAAGCGGAAGTTAGCCTAAAAACGGGTATGACGAGAAGGTATCATCTAATTAAGTTTCTTTTTTTCTAAACGGTCTTTTTCTAGTAATTTTGCAAAATCAGAAGATCCATTGCCATTAGCTGAGCAAAGCCATTCTGGATCAAAACCACTAAATATGTGGTAGAAAATTTCAAGAAAGATTACGTCTAATTTTTTTAGTACATCAAATTTGCTAAAATCTTACGATAAGAAAATGAGCAGATCGAAACAGTGCTCACGCTTCATTTAACACAAAAGATGGAAATGCATATTACGATATATTTCATTATGATTACTATCATTGTAGGGTGAATCTCTAATAGCCAAAATATTTTTAATAAGAATAACAATTAATTCAATCATTTGTTCATGAGCTTTTGTTTCATTTTTGCCTTTTTCTCTTGTAGTTTGTTTTCTCAATAACATCATCTAATGATTCTCAATACAATCACCCAAATGCTACATAAGAGTACCTATGACTTATGGTTTTAAAAAACTCAATTTATATTCATATAAAGCATCTCTTAATTCATTTTTAATAACACAAGTCTTGGTTGGTTGCTCAGTTAAATTAACCATCAGTAAAATTAAGTAGAATGCAAGCTTTTTATCTTGATATTAAGTTAATAGGAGTTAAATTAAATCATTTTCAAAAGTTTTCCAAACTGCAAGCTTTTTACGAGCAAGTGGTTCATCTGAATCATCTTTACGGCATAATCTAATCAAATCTTTGATGCTTTCCTCGCAGTGAGGACCTTTAACATAAATTTCGATTTCATTAACTTATTTTACACTTCCCAATCCTTATACTGCAAATAGTAAATCAGAGTTAAATTTCTCTATATCTAAATACTCATTATTCCTATCATACTATAAATCCAAGTTATCTAAATCATCTTATTCATTTAAATCTCTTCTAAGATGCTCTCCTTCTAAATCTTCCATTCCCTCCCTAATTAATAAATAACTCTTTATGCTTCAATTTTTGCTAATTATAAACAAGCTAGCTATTTTCAATATGCAAATACGTATTTTAATTTTTTAAATACTTGATTAAATATCTTTTTAATTTTTGTTAGCTTTTTTGAGTGTATATTATTATTCCGCGGATATTTAAAAAATGTTAATTAATAATCTGTCCCGCCAAATAAACCAACCATTTACTATCAAATAAAAAAATAATAATAATAATAATATTTTAATAAATCAAATTTATTTTAAAATAAGAATATTTATTCAAATCTAAAATTTTCCTTTGAAAGATGCCAAATCTGATATTAGAATTTATGAAATAAAATAACTTCATAATATTAATAGGGTATTTATAAATGTTAAATGGATTGAATAGCTTAAGCATATTTATTATAACAGATATAAAATGATGAAAATTATTAACATATTATTAGTTTTTTGCTATTTGATTAATTTTAAATATTTTCTTCAACTTTTGAGAGTTGTAAGCTTGAAGAAATAAAATCTAAACATTAAACAAAGAATTAACTAGCAACCTAACACAAGACCAAAAACAACGTATCTTTAGTTAGCCTCTAATTCATCCATTTCTCTGCAAATATAATTAAATATTTTTAATTTAAGATTTAAATATAGAATTTTAAATTACTTCTTAAGATTTCTGAAGAAGAAAATGGTTGACATACCAAATCCATATCCAAGGAGACACCAATGAACAATCTAATAAAAGAGTAGAATTTAAAAATAAACATATATTTTATTTGCTTACATTATTAGGTATTATTGAAAGAACGCTAATCAATATAAAGCATGTTTAAGAATAACCGTATAAACAAATTGTTTGAATAAGTTTAATCTTAACTTTAAACAAAAGCTTCACAATTACCCATAATAAAGTAGGACAAATGAGTCCAACTCCATAAATCTAATTTGATATTAAAAATATTTAAAGTTTAAGTTTTACATAATTAGTTCATAATATTACTAAAGAGCCAGCAACTGGAACGAAATCATATCTATATTTAAACTTTGAATCATTTCCCTTTTTTATGTTTTATATAATTTTTTAATTAAGTATTAGATTTTTCTAGTATAGAAAAGGAATTACTATGTTATTAAGATAATCGCAAATATTAGCACTGATTGAAACCAAAGCTATAATAGTTGTAAATATCCAGAATGGTCCATATCTTTATTTTTAATTATACATATTTTTTTATTTTATTAAATGGCTAACGAAATTATCTTACAAATCAGGCTATCCTCCCATGACTTCTTCAAAAGGAGGTGTTAAGAAAAGAGAAGATTTAATTCTTTAGCCAACATCACTTTATGTTACATTGAAATATCTACTCCAAAATCTTTTTATACAAATGTGTTTAGATGAATAATTCAAAAATTTATATAGAAATAAGCGTATAATCATTTACGAAACTGTTAAAACAGGGCAGCATCCAACTTTTTGTTCTTTAGGTTTTTGCTCTCCGCCAAACAAATTCTAATTAATTTACCGTTAAAATTAACATTTTCATCTCACAATTTGATGCAATATATTTTTCAAATCAAATCATATTTTTAAATAAGGCTGTTTATAAAATCTATATACATTTATAGAAGCTTCTACAAGCTATGACTTTATATCCTATGCAATTTCCTCGTCGTTGTGCTTTTTGTGTTTATTACTCATTTTATTTATCGTAAAATATTAAAATTTGACACCTAGAAAGATAGTTTATGATGTAATTTTCTTTTAAGATAATTATTAATATTATTTAAAATTTTGTTGCTTATTGGATAAAAAATTTTCAATCACTACTATATAAATCTAATAAAAAAATATTCAAAATTTTCTTCAATTTCAATACGAACCTCATTAAAAATTCTTCATATATTTTTGATAAAGAATATATCACTTACAAATCTGCCTTCTAATAATTTATAAATAGCTAATTGGCTATTTAAACAAAAAAATATATATCTATTCCTAATAATCTCCATAGATTATATCGAGTTTTTTTGTTATTACTAAATTTATTTTTTTAATCAGTATAACCAGTAGCTGTAAGCAATTTATATTTTAATAAATATTAATTATTTTTAGCATAACTTTAAGTTAAATAAAATTATTTCTCAAAATTTTTGCTAATAATCCCATTTTATTTGGCGGTTAATGATTTAAATTTCAGAAAAAATTAGTAGATGCTGGGAATAATAAGATCATAATTATTAATATAAAAGCTGATAAAATAGTTTGCAAATTGTAAAGTAAATTAAAGATATTAAAAAGTTTAGTTTTTCTATTAAAAATGAGTGACAACGAAGAAAAAAAGGAAGTTAAGCCCATAAAAGGTGACGATGGCAGTTTATACTTTGAGGTATCTTAAATTAATAACAGTTAATACTTCATATATATAACTTAAATATTTTTTTTATAAAGCTTGATGACAAAAAAAGAGTTACTGTAAGAAAATTTAAAGGTAAATTATATGTTGACATCAGAGAGTTTTATGAAAAAGATGGTGAAATGCTTCCTGGAAAAAAAGGTATAATAAAATACTATTAAATTGTATTAAATTCATTTGGAAAATGTATTGATTAACATCTTATTTATTTAGGTATTTCCTTAAATTTATAAAATTGGGAACAATTCAGAAGCTTAATTGACAGTATTGATTAATGCATAACTGATATTTGAGCAAATCATAAGCGATTATACTAAAAATATAAGCTAAAATAGTAAAAATGTAACATGGGATCCTATTCTAGAATAAATAAAAAAACAAATTTAGTTTAAATTAGTTTTGAATATATATTTATAAACTCATTGTAGAAGTTTTACTACTTTCAGTATCTCAAAAGCAAAAAATTTATATTATTTTTTTACATTTTGTATTAAATTTTAATAAATCAATCTAAATTTAGAATAGCAATCGATTGTAAAGTGCTATTAACTATTTATAAGTTTGTTTAAAATTATTATTTTAAAATAATTTCTAATTTTTAATCAATTTAGTAGTAAACAATATAATTTAAGCTAAAATAAGAAATAGTAAATTTTAAATTTAATACTTACTAGATTACTAATTTTTATGTGATTTTTAAATTTATTTCATTCATTCTTTGATTGAATTAACATAATATTTTTTTAATGTAAAAAATAATTCATTTAAAGAAACAAAGGTTTGGAATTTATTTATTGAAAAATTGAGAAAAAAAAAATATTTTACTTATTAAAATTTTAAAAATATTGAAAGAAAAATAAAATATAAAATACTTAATATACCGTATTTCCCCGATTTGTCCTTCGATTCGAGTTGCGAGGGAAGCTCAAAAATGATATTTTTTAATTGCTCGAATCCTCGCTATTTTTTTGCGTGTTGCGAGGAATGAGGTTGGAGGAAATACGGTATTATTTCTAATTAAAAATAATATAAGTTAAATTCATTTTTATTTTTACTGGTATTTAAATGCATTTTAAAAAATTTATTTATTGTTCTTTCAATTTTCGAGATTTAATTATCATCACAGTTTATCAATTTATAAAAATAATGATATAAAAATAAAAATGTACTCAAAAATATAAATCAATTATTTTATTTAATTACACTTAAGATTAATATTTTTAATTTTTCTAAAAACTTCTAAATTGCAAAAAATTAAAAATTAAAAATATGGAAATATCTACCTAATCATTCATAAAAATGATTTTCTATATTTGTCTTTTATTTATATATATTTGTATGAATGTTAGATGTTTAAAGCTAGAAATGTATAAATGATTATTTTATAAGTTTAATAAATATATGATTTTTATTAGTAAATGAAAAGCAATATCATAATAAATAGTTATTAATTTGTAATCACTAGAATAATTAAAAAATATTAATAAAATTACAAAATTAATTGTTCTTTAAAATTTCTTTTGATTATCTATGTAAATCTATTATCAGTCTATTTCAATTTACATATCAAACAATTACATATCTGATTAAAATTTAATTAAAAAAATAATCAGAATAAGCTCAAAAATTCTATTAAGGTTCTTTTATTTTTGTTTGCTTACCCATTTTTATAACTAGAAATTCTTTTTAGAATTAATTGTTAAAATAAATTTCAAAACAAAAAAAAATAAAATACTATAAAAATAAAAAAAACAAAAAAAAATGGGATCTGTTTTACTTAGTTGTGTGCAAAAAAAAGGCTTAGAATAAATTAAGGTTTCACCAGCTAAAGATAATTTCTTTGCATTTGAAGCTGTTGATAATGATGGTAAACTTAGAAAGATGAGTGAGTTTAAGAATAAAAAATGCATCCTCGTAGTAAATGTAGCTTGCAAGTGTGGATTAACCTCAGACCACTACAAATAGTTAGTTTAAATTTACAAATAATACAAATCTAGAGGTTTTGAAATTCTGGCTTTCCCAACAAATGATTTCATGGAATAAGAACCTTGGGATAATAAGAAAATCAAAGAATATGTTTAGACTAATTTTAATGTGGATTTCTAGCTATTTGATAAGATTTAAGTGAATGGAGAAAACTGTCATGAAATTTATAAATTTTTAAGATTTAACTCTGAATTACATGACTCCAAGACTGGAAAGACTAGATAAATACCTTGGAATTTCGCTAAATTTTTAATAGACCCAGAAGGAAAAGTAGTGAAATTCGTAAACCCTAAACACAATCCAGAAGTTTTGATACCTGATATTGAAGCTATGCTTAATGCATGATAGAATTAATAATATCTATTAATAAAATTAGACCAAAGCATAATATTATAAATAAATAAATAAAAAAAATATTTTTTTTTGTAAAAATTAATTCGAAGAATTATATTAAAATTTACATTTGTTTTTATGAAATATTAGATTACTAATTTTTCAATCTTTAAACATTAAAATTTTGGATAAAAATTTCATCTTTGAGATATTTATTTATCCAGCGATTGTCTCTATCCTTTAAATAGATAAGCAAGCCTTGTATCTAAAAATGTATTTATAATTCTTAGATTTATTAAAAAAGCTGGTTATTTTTTTAAAACTAATTAATTTATGCAATAATATTATCTACCAAAAATCATATAAATAAAAATTGATTAAAAATAAACATAATGTTCCTTTATTTAATAAGAAAACGCACTCAAATATATTCTTCTTTCTTCATATATTTAATTTGCAATATATTTGTTGGAAATAAAATGAGTTTGTTTGATTGATTTTTTGTCCAAGTATTTATGAAACATTTTATTCATTTCTTTAAATATTTATTTTTTTGATATTTTTTTACAAATAAAAGCGAACAAAATATATAAATACCCTTGTAAGATTAATATTATCACAACTCAAACCTTAATGTTTTAATAATTAACTTTTAAATGTAATTAAAAAAAGTAGCCAAGGAATAATTAATTTTTGTAGATGGGATTGATAATAAATAACTGCATAAAAAAGTCAAAAATTTAACTTTTATTTTCATATTTGTTAGTTATTTACCAATTATTATTTTCAATTTTTAAGCTGAAAATATTTTTTAGCCAAAAAAGTAATGTTTAAATTCATGCCAATTAGCAGAATTGAAAATATTTTATATTTTAAATTTTATAATCTTAATTATTTTTACATGAGCTAACGAAATTCTAACAGAATTTTTATTTTATTTAATAACTTTTTACCTTTAAATTCTTACTCACTTAATTTTATTTTATTTTTTCTAATGGGTTATTTGAACAGCTCATGAGTTACTATTTAAAATTAGCAAATTATGATTAAAATGAAAAGAAATAAAATTTTAGTTTGCAACACGAATTTATTTCTTGAAAAGGTCAAAAAAAGGAGCTTTTTAAAGTTTTAGGTAATATAAAATCCTAATTGAAATTCTTAATTTAAAATAAAATATTGAAAAAAATTTTGATAAAAGCATAATTAATAACTCAAAAATGTTTAGAAACTACAAATTGCTATTTGCAACCATTTATGCTTTGCTGATTTAATTAAAGGTATGCAGAGATATAGTCTTCAATCCAAATCCGATGACAGATTTAAATATCTTTAAATTAAGAAAATAAAATACATACTTATCTGCGATAAGTGAGGACAATTAATTTGCATTTATTTCAGCCAGGGACGGAGGAGTGTTCGTAGCTTCTTTAGCAAACATGATCTAACCAACAATTATTAGTAATATTCCTACTTTATAGTCTTAATACTTATACGTTAAAAAGGATGTTTTATTTATTGGAGATCTAATTGATGGACTACTGATATACAATATATCAAATGCTTATAATCCCGTTTTGATTTCTAAGTGGTAAGTATATTTACATATATAAGCAGTAGTAGCAACCTAAGATTTAAAATATGCTTTTGCTCTTGGAAACGGTATAGTATTCTGCATTGATATAACTGATCTAAAGAACCCAAAAACTATATCTAAAAATGGTAAAATAAAATTAAAAAGAATATTTAAAATTCTCAATGTTGAAATAAAATTAATTATTTTAATTCTAGTGAAAAATCAATTAAAACAAGAGCCTCTTGTTTTATTTCTTTTTTTAATTCTAAATAAACAGAAATTAATTACAACAGTAATAATAAACTAGTTTGATTTTTTTATGGGTATTAGTTTTTTCTTCATACTAAATTTCTAAAATATATTCAATAAAAATTTCAATCAATACCCAACAAAATTGACACTTATTTTGATTTGTTTATAATAAATTTTTTATTATTTTAAAGGAGTACAGTCATCAAATTCTCTTAAAATGAGATTGAGCACTGACGAAACTCATTTATGTGTTTCTAATTTACTTTATGGTTTATAAATAATTGATATCAGATAAAAGTAGAACATGATTGTGAGGGTAAATTAAAATCCTGTTTTTGTAATTTGGGATTTCATGTTCACACCTGACTAAAATTCAGTATATGCTGTTGATGCTTATTATGGACTTTTTTAGGCTGATGTTAAACAAATTTTTTAATTACCAGAAGCATCTAAAGATTTAGTAAACCTAAAGTTTATTCCTATATATTCTTCACCTTAAGCCTAGGAAAGTGTTGACATGACTTCAGATGGTCTCTTTTTAATATTAGGTCTCCGCAGTATAGGTTTAATATTATTTAAGATAGAGAACCAAAACTACTAAAGTCCTGTCTTTGTATAAAGAATAAATAGTTTTTACCTATCTAATAATGTTTACTTTTCAAAAAATAATAATGAAGCATATCTATTTGTTACGAATGGATTGTCTTTACAAATTTTTAAATAAGTAACAATAAATACAAACAAAGATTTTCCTAATATTTATAATACATTTTAGTCATCTTTGACACATTTGTCCCCAGCTTACTTCCCTTGGTAAATTATATGCTTAAGCAATAGTAAATATATTATTGAAACAAATAGCAATTATGGCTTGAAAATATTTAATATCTAAGACAATTATTTACCTAAATTAGAATCTTCAATACCTATAATTAAAGGGGAGTTTGGAGGTATCTAAGTAAATTAGCAGCTTGATATTTTATATGTAGGAGCTTAGCAAGATGGTCTATTGATTTATAATATAAGCGATGTTTCTAATGTTTAGCTTATAAATTAATTTACTCCACTGGATCCTCATTATTTCAGCAATGCTATAAATGGGTATCTTAATCTTATTTATTCATGAATGTATATTTTTTTACATCTATTATTTTATTAAATATAGAGTAACTTACAACTAAAAAAATAATTTTATTGTTGTTTCAAGTGGGTATTATGGATTTTCTGTGCTAAATGTAACCAGTGAAAGTACAGTATAATAAATAGGTATATTTATTAACAAGTAATTTGCATGCAGCTTCGAAAAGTGTTAAATAACTAATGACACTACCACAATAATTTGTGCTTGCCGTGAGATAGGATTGATTTTCTTTGATTTTACTAACTAAAAACTCTAATAATCTTACTTGTTGGCAAAACTTGGAGCTGAATATTTAATTCTTTCTTAAAATGATAAATATGCTTTTGTTTGTTTTGGATTTATGGGTCTTCTAATCGCTGATATTTAAAATAAATATTCCCCTAAAATTTTAAGCGTTTAACCTCTTGATGGTTGGGCATAAAGTGTAATGCCCATATTTAACGAGCGATACTTATTAGTTACTTAGATTGAAAAGGGATATTTAGTTGTTGTAAACATTGAAGATTTATAAAATCCTTATATTCAATCTAAGCTTTAGTTCCCAAATGAAAATTGCAATAGCGTCTGCATAACTCCAGATTAGCATAGCGCATATATGATAGGTAATTCATAAATTAAAAAAAAAGAAATTTATACAAATTCCTTTAAATTATTTTAAATTTTTCAAAAAAGATATTTTAATATGATTGAAAAAATTATTAACGTTTAATAATATTTTATATCATTTTGTAAAGGAATTTTAAATAAATTTTTTTCTACTTCAATTTCTGATCAATTTTTATGTTTAAAAAATTAAACCAAAAAATAAAAAAATTTTTTAATTTAATTTATATTTTAACTCTGGATATTTTAAGTTATTTTAATAATTTATAACAATCACAATATATAAATATAGTCACCTTCAATTTATTTTTTTATCCAATATATAAAATTTATTTAAATATATAGGTAATAGTGGTTTGAGGTATATTCCCCTAGATACTAATTTAGTTCTTCATACTTAAATTTAAGTATAATAACTTGATGAAAAAGGTAATATTTTCTATCAAGATTTAGCAATAGGTTAAAGCTTGTAAGTAGGCTAAATGGCACAAGTATTTTTTGTTCCTTTGTTTATTTAAAGTTAAGTAAAAATACAAAATGCTTATTACTATAGAAACTTTCAAATGCAAGTACTTCCTTTTTGGATTACTTTTTACTCTCAAACCTAAAATCTTGAAATATAAGTTGATAAAACTGGGGCAGTAAATACATTTTCTAATGAAGTGAAAGGAGAAAACATTATTGTCTTGTAATGCTTGATTTCTCTAAATTCCGATAATTTTATTACTCCTAATATAAATAAAGATTTATCATAATAAATATATACTAGCCTCGTTAATTAAGGCTATTTAGATAACTAAGGCTATCTTACTCCTAAATTAGATCCCACTATAATATTCAATTTAGACTTTTTTGACAACTCAAGTTTCACTGAAGCTAATGTTGGAACTCCATAACAAATACAACAAATCTAAAATGATATTAAATAGGTTCTTGTTTTCTCATAAGTTTAGTATCCAATTAGATTTTTCGTATAAAGCTCTTTATTTTTTAATTATTAAAATGTCACAGCTAATACTACTAATAGCATTATCTCTACTCCTTCTCTGCAAATAAATGTTTTGATTCAAATTGTTTCTTAAGGTAAATTTGTAAAAAGGTAGCTTGATGGAGTTATAGCTTCTTTTTCTGATGACTAAACTAGTCTTCAGATACAAGGTTAAACTTAGTACGTAAATCAGATAATAGGCTAAAATTTATAGATATCAAATTTCACTTAAAATTTAACTGAATGTATTTTAGAATTTATAATTTCAGATTCGAGTAATTATGAAATTTCTAAATAAATACCTCTCTCTAACTTGTCATTTATCAATATTTACTCTCCAATCGAGGTTTTTTAACAAAACAATTTATAAATCCAGTTTAATAAATAGTTTGCTAATGGAAATCTATAAGTAGAATCAAGATTCCAGTTTGCTTTTGATATAAGTACTTTTAAATAAAAAGACAATTTACCTATTACTTATAAGGCCTATATAGTTGAAATAGATGGTTCTCTAACATAAATTACCACTGGAAGTTGGATTGAATTCAATGATTTTAACTTAGTAAATAAAGAGTTTAAATTTACAGATTTTAATTAATTTTATTTTTAAATAGGGATTTAGTGGTTAAAAAACAATAAGCGCAATGTTTTCATCTTATAGGGTAAGAATCGTTGCAGCAGATAGTTATTCAACAGTATATGATGAGTTTGTTTTTGAGTTTACTTAGATTCCATTTCTTTATGTGGTATAGCTTATAATCCAAATTGTGGGTCCTATTCTTGGAATTTTTGGTATTTGGAAATATAGATCAGAAATTTACACGTAAACATACATAAAAATTTTTAATACTTTAAATAGATTTATGGTTTTAATATAGATTTTTCATGGAGAGATTTTATCTTTATAGCAACGAATGCGCTATTGTTGGAGAAGTTTATAAGAAGTAAATCATTTTAATGAATGAAGTGTGGGAAGAAACAGAAAAGCTTTGGAAATTATTTATATCAATCAATAAAGGATTTGGTAACAAGTTATTGTAAGAATACAAAAAAGAAAAGACCATTAACCTTTAATCTGTCATTAACAGGCTATTTTAGGTTTATACAGAATACTAGAAGAAGTTTCCTAATATTGATCACAGAGAATTTGAGTTCGATGACAGCAGACTTACTAGAGTGGTAAAGAGATTTTGCTATGAGTTCATATTATAAAAAGATAAAAATACAAAAAAAATACTAAATCACCTAAAAAAAATTGGATCAAAAACTTATAGGAACAAAGATTGGTATAAATAATTTGCTATAATTAATTACAAATTCGAGGTTTCAAACAATAAAGTAGTGCTAAAAAATTCAAAAGAAAATTAAGATGTCTCCAAAAGCCCTTAACTTCTTTAGCGATAAAATTCTAAACTTAATTAAATAGATAGCCAAAATATTTCTTTAGATTTAAAGAAAGAAATTTCATTTAAAAGTAATGATTAGGAAAAAATTAATGAATAAAATGGTTAAACTGATAGAAATTCTATTTAAAATGTACTCAAATAACGTTCAAACGAATTTACATCCAACAATGTAAACACTAAAGATCAAATTGCAGAATTTGATAGTTATGGCTTGAAAATGGCTCCTTTATCTAATCCATAAAGTTAGCATATGTTATATTCCCCAAGAATAAATATGGAAGATAATTTAATTGATTTAAAAAGAGAAGATAACCTCACTCTAGATGAAGAGGAGGATGAAGAGAATTTAAATCCCTTTCCTGAAATAATCATTAAAACAGATTTAATTTAATTTATTACTAACACTTAATATCCAAATTTAAATTTTGATATGCAATTGTTGAAAGAAATTATGATCTTAGAAATATCTGGAATTGAAATGGGTGGACCGAATAGAATAAACCCAACTACAGGTGAAAGTTTACATTTATTTTCCCACTAGCTATTAAGTGTTGAAGCCTTCAAAAGAGACAATGTAAAAAATTAATTTAATTTTATAAATAATTTTTTATCTCTTTAAATTTATACATTTTAATTAGGAAGATACAACATGTTATTGCTTTAAAAAATTTTTCAAAGCTAACTACAGTCCTATTGGTTTAAATTAAAATAACCCCCTTCCTCAATGGTTAAACTGTTAAATTATAAATGGTATTATTCATATTTGGGGAACACCTAAATCAAATGATGAGCCAGAAATATTGGTTAAAATTGTGGATTAATTGACATTCACAATTTTAAGTTATCATCTCTACATTAAAGATAAAGAAGGTATTGATCTCAAAGATAAAAGAAAGAGTACAATTTTTCAAACAAATAAAACTAATTTAGATGCGAATTAAAATTCAAAAAAAATGAAATCTAAAAAACTACCTTAAAACCAAATTACAAGTTAAGGAAGCTAAATAAGTTAGTAAAATATTTATGAGTCTCAGAGAGAGAATAAAATAAAAGGATATATTACTTCAAGGTTAAGTAGATTTTCTAAAGATTTATCAGCTTCTTAAAGGCTTTAAATTAATTAAGCTGAACTTTTAAAGAATTAAACAGCTTAATAATAGATTGATAAAGAGTTTGATTCTTCAAAACAATAAAAATCTGATTCTAATACTGAATAGGAAGTTATTTTTGCAAGAGAATAACCTTATTTAGAAAATCTCTAAATAAATTAATAGTGTAATAGATTAAGCTCTTTTAAAAAGGATCAAATAAAAAATCAAAATGACATTCAATCTAAGATGTCTAATTAAATTGAAGAAGATAAGACCATAGATGAAGAAGAAGAAAGAGGAAGAGATTATGATGAAACACCAAATAATGTAATTTTTATAAAATTTAATATATAGTTTAACTTTTTTATTAAAAAGGGAAATTAAATGTCTTAGTAAGTAGCTATAACTAACTATTAAGCAGGAAAATGACGATAAATTTTAAAAAATAAATTTAATATCTAATATAAAATTAAATAAATTTTCGAATTTTTTAATTCTTTATTCTTTAACATTTATTATTTCATTTTTTTTTATGTTTAAGTAAAAGTAATAAATACATAATATTCTATATTTTACATCTTTAATTTTAATCATCTAATAAGATATATTTAATAAAGCTTTAAAGTAAAAATAAGCAATTTAATAATTCCTACTTTTAAAAACTTTGATTATTATATAGCATGAATAAAAATTTCACTACGCAAGTTGAACTTATAAATAAATGATGAAGATTATTATTAATTTCTAAAACAAATCATTTTTAACTAAAAATTTTTTTTTTCCTAAATTCAATTTATGGCTATAATTAAATTAGACTTTCTTTATTCAAAGAAATGAAATAATTAAAAAATATATTTTATATTAATTTTAAAACACGTTTGAACAACTACATTTAAAAAAAATTTCTAAAATAAATAATTATTTTTGAAAATATAAAATCTTTTAAAAATAAGTATTAATATATTTTTATGTAAAGTATTTTAACTAAAAATAATATTTTTCAAAAAAAATGAAAAGATTTTGAAAGAATTTCAATAGACTTTGACATATTTGATCTGAAAAATGAAATTTAAATTGTTCTTTTAGTTTTCTAGATCGATTTTTCATCACAAAAATATAAATTAATTTAAATAATGATTAAATAAAAATGCCTTGAAAATTTATAAACCTTATAATTGCTAATTACAGATGAATTAGAATTTAAAATTTTAGAATGCCTTTTTGAATACTAAAATAATTTATTATTTATCTTTTCGCTTTTTTAAAGTTTGAATGTGTATCAATATTAAACTCTAGTTTACATATTAAACTATTTTAAGCAAAATGTTTAGTACTCAAATATTAAGGTAAACATTTTTATTTTGTAAATTTGACATTTCCTTTACTCTTACTGTTATTTTTAATAATATACAAAAATAATCAGATAGTTCGTAATTACTTTAGATAAAAAAAAAATATAAGTATTATTAAAGTAAATTTTTTCTTCAGAAATTCTTTTGATAATTAACATTAATTATTTATCTATCTATTTCAAATAATGCATTAAGCAATTACGCAACTATTAAACACTTAATTCAAAAAAGTGATTAGACTTAACTCAAAATTTCTATCAAGATTCTTTACTTTTTTCTATTTGTTCGTATTTGTAACTATAAATTCATTTAAGAATTGATTTTTAAAATAAATTTCAATAAATAAAATTAAATAATAATAAAAATTAAACTAATAAAAAAATAATAAATAAATAAATGGGATCTGTTTTATTGAGCTGCATGCAAAAAAGCAATTTAGAAGAAGTTAAGGTTTCACCAGCTAAAGATAATTTTTTTGCATTTGAAGCTATTGACAATGATGGTAAACTTAGAAAGATGAGTGAGTTTAAGAATAAAAAATGCATCCTCGTAGTAAATGTAGCTTGCAAGTGTGGATTAACCTCAGACCACTACAAATAGTTAGTTGAAATTTACAAATAATACAAGTCTAGAGGTTTTGAAATTCTGGCTTTCCCAACAAATGATTTCATGGAATAAGAACCTTGGGATAATAACAAAATCAAAGAATATGTTTAGACTAATTTTAATGTTGATTTCTAGCTATTTGATAAGATTTAAGTGAATGGAGAAAATTGTCATGAAATTTATAAATTTTTAAGATTTAATTCTGAATTGCATGACTCCAAGACTGGAAAGACTAGATAAATACCTTGGAACTTTGCTAAATTTTTAATAAATCCACAAGGAAAAGTAGTGAAGTTCGTAAGCCCTAAATACAATCCAGAAGTAATGATACCTGATATTGAAGCTATGCTTGATGCTTGAATATAAAATCAATTTTAACATATAAAATAAAAGTGTCATTTAATAATATTAAATTGCAAATAATAAAATTAAATTTGTTTATTTTTATAAATATATTGTAAAAATTTTCTTAATTAAAACATTATTTGATTTAAAATATTTTATTTTTTAAAGAGTTGAAAAATAAAAATCCTCAATTATCAACATTTTCGGTTTGACTATACATTAAAAAATAATTACTGGTATAGACCTTTCACTTTTTATGATTTGACAACACTATTTAATACTCCTCTAAAAAATGAAAATAAATCTAAATTATTATTTTAAAAAAAATTAATTATCTTAATTTATCAATCTTTTGTAATAGTTTTTAAGTATATGTATTTCACATGTAATTGAAACTTTAAATCTTTAAATAAAATTGTCATCCATAACTAAAATGGGGTATAAATTTTTATAAAAAAATAAAACAAACAAACATAAAAATAAAATAAGTTTTTTTCTTTCAAATTAATTGAATTCAAACATTATCAGCTATTTCTTCGTGCTTATCGTCATTGTAGTGTTGTTGAGTAACTTTTACAGAATTAGCAATACTCTTGCTAACTCTTTCATCTAACTCCTAAACTTTCTACCCCAATGAAGATATTCTGTTTTCATTTTCAGTTTGATGGTTTTGGAGTAAGTTTTAAACTTATTCTCTTTAAACTTATGGAGATGATATATTTGGTTATTATTGCATAGGGGCAAAACCTTAAGGGTATGCATAAGGGGGATAACCATAGCTAACAGGCACTTAATGAGTATATTAAACTGGCCCTTTAAATTATTAAACTCCTGTAAAATTAAAAGGTTATGCTGCAATTTATCTATAGGGTGTAGTTTATGGATGAACAGAAAAGCTTTGAATATTTTAAGGAGGATTTGCATATTGTAATCTCTATGTTATGACTTGCTTTTAAATACCGTGAGCATTATTAACTGTTACAGGAGGTTATTAGATAGGAAGATGAGGAGGTAATTGTTTAGTGCTCTATTGAGTCTAATGGGTAGAGAAATATTGCTAGGGAGGAGTAGTAATAATACTTCTTTGATTGATGTTTGCAGTTTAGAAAGTTGGAGCTGGTATATATCTTACTGTTTGTGGTGTCATATATGTTTATGAAGAGACTCTTTGGTGTGGTAAAAAGTTTGAAGGGATATTCTGAGTTATAATTTATGGCTTTTGAACAATTTATTTTCTTTAAACACCTTCTGTTTAAACATGTTAAGAAAGGGGAACAGATCTGATTGAGTTTTCTTTTGATTCAGCTTATTATTTTTAAGCATGTTCAATAGGTTGTTCAGTATGGTTATGGATTTCTCCGTTTTCTGTCTAAACTTACTGAACAGATGCATTTTCAACTGGAGCTATGTTAGAAACTTATCCTTAAACTAATCTTGATCCAGATGGAGTTACTAAACTATTTCCACCTGTTAGACTTCCTCTTCTTTCTACTGATGCGATTCTGCTATTAGTCTTTGAAGAAAATTTAAAAAATATATTTTAAATTAAATTAGCTTACAATAACTACAGGTCCACTAGTTCTGACTCCACAAATTTATGAAGCATTTAAGAAACTTTAGTTGAGGGATCCAGAGGAACTTCTTTAGAGAGAATATGAACGAGTTCCTATGCTTTTAGATAATCCAAGTGCAGGTACTGAAACAACACCTGTTCTTATTTGACCAATCAAACTTTCACAAGAGGGTCTATGACGAGGATCCATAGTCAACATTTATTTGATAATATTTACTAATTTATCAGAATATCTCTGCTTAATTAGAGCTAATCTTTGATCAAATTTTTTGACGTTTATTTAGTAAATATCTACTCTGAATAATTCGCTTGATTTTTCTAATGTTGCCATTTCGAGAAGTGACAAACCTAATGTGAATATATCTGTTTCGTATCTATATTTTTCTACAAGCTCAGTTTCTCTTTTTTTTGCAGAATAAAGCACTTCAGGTGAAGGCAAAGGATTTCTTTAAAAGTAATTAACAATCATTGAATAGCAAGCTAATCTACCTTTATTTTAATTAAATGAGATTTTAATCTATTTTTTTTATCAAATTAAATAGCAAAATTAATTAATAAACTTGAATGAAAACCCAAATCTTTTTTAAATAAAATATTAATTTTTTGAGCTGACCACACTTTTTTCAAATATTAAGTTAAAAAAAACATGCCTACAAAAAGCTAGCTTTAAATAAAAAAAATAGAATTTTTACCTAATATCAGCTAGTTATTGTATATTTTTATTTGTCCTTTGTCATAAAATATTGTTGCAGGCTCTATATTACCGCCTTCAATATTATGTTATTTGAGGAATTAGAGAGTTGTGAGGACAGCGAGGCCAACATTGAGAATTTCCTGCTCAGGGAAGATGCTATTTCTGACTTTTCTTGATTGGATAATATCTTCCAAAGAAATATCAAGGTAATCAAAGTAAAAAGTAACACCTTGTGCATTTAAATTTAAAAATTCTTTAAAGTGAGCATCATAAACTAAAGGAGAGACGAGGTTAGGGTGTTTTAAATCTAATTTATTATTTAAAAATAAAAGAAATTAAAAAATGGACTTTCACTTTTTTCTTCTTATTTCATAAATTAATAGAATTTATTCTTAATTCATCCATCAATCTAAATTCAGAACTACAAAAATAAATTTATTTATTATTTAGAATTGCCATAAAAATTATTAAAAGATATTTTTAATTACTTAGATAGTATTATGGTTCTTATTCTGAGTACTTAGCTTCACATGCCAATAAAGGACGCTTTGTTCCTTTAGTTTCGCATATGCCAACTCTGCCAAATGCTTTTAAGTTCTTTTCTTATTTAAGAACAATTGCTTCGTCGTTAAGTCTACTTTTTGTTTAACCCATTCTTAGAAGTTAATATTCTATAATTTTTTTATTGATAAAATTAATGAATTTAGGAATGTATTAATTATTTATTATTAGATAGTTACTTTTTATTTATAAATAAAACAAGATATATCCAATTTTTATGAAAGATCAAAAATTTATTTAATTGTTCATAAAATTTTATTTCGCAATTATAATTTGTTATTATTTCCTAGTGAATCTGAATAAAAGTTTTCTTATTACCCAATCCGAAATAAATATAAAAAAACTATTTATTAAAGATAATTTAAGATTGTACATTTTTAATAAAAATAATCATGTTTAATTTTTTATTCTAATAATTTAATTCAGCAATTTTTTTTATTTTTGCTGATTTAAATAATAAAATAATTGCAAAATTTAAATAATATAATATATTTTTAACAATAGAAACATTAAAAATTTTTATTTGCACTTAATATTAATTTTAAATTGTAAATTAAAAGATTATTTTTAAAAATAGCTTGAAGAATAATATTAATAAAAAATTCTTTCATTTTAATAAAATTTTGTTTCTTAAAACACTAAAATCCTCTTTTTTATGATATTAATCTAATTAAATGTACTAAAAATAAATACAAAAATATTTATTCTTCAAAAATTTTATTTTTATTATTTAACAGAATATTATTTTTTTAATTGAGAATCAAATAACAATAAATTGATAAATTTTGTAATAAATATTTATTTATTTACTAGAAAACTAGCTAGATAATTTTTAGAGTATTTTAATAGTAATTTCTCTATTTTATTAACAATTAATTTTTTACAATTATATTTTATTTATTTACTTTTTTTTTGGCTCACTTTTTAAAATGAATTTTTGTTTGTTTGACTTACTTTTTCACATAATGGAAAAAACTTAACATAACTCTCTAAAATTAGCTTCCTCTTCTTCATTTTGCTATTCAAAAAGCTTTTATTTTTCGAAATTGGATGAGTAATAAGTTGCCTTACTCATAGCTTCATTTATCTTTCTTTTAACTTAGTTTTATGGGATTTTACTAAAATTACCTTAATTATTTTAGTTTGTTTGATCATTAAATGAATTTAATGTATTGTTATTACTACTATTTTTATTAGAAAGATTGATATTTTAATTAAAAAAGAGATTATTTTTTTCACTGTGATTAGCCTCATTATCTTCTATATTGAATTAAATAGGAATTTCTTATGCATTGAATTCGTCGATAATTTCTAACTCTTCTTGCTCATTTAACTCTAAGGGTTGTTCATAATCTTATTTTTCTTCATTTTATTAACTTTATTATTCAGCTGAAACACTTTTATAGAGAGGTCTTTATTGTTTTAGTAAAACATTAGAAGTTAAATTGGTAAGATTGGATTTTCTCATAGTAAATTTGATTATTTTATTGTTAGTATTTGTATTATTTTGTAAAGGATTATTTATTGAAAAATTATTACCACTTGTCAGTTAAGTTATTTATTAGTTATTAGTTAACATTTCATTAAGCTAACTTGATTATTTATTTTTAGTTGATTGATCTCCACATATAACCTAAGGAAATGATGCTTCAGATGTTTTTTGAAAAGTACTTGCTTAAAATAATTTTTTTTAAACAGCATTAGAACTAAATATGGGTTCTTGCTAAATAAGCGAATTAGATGCAGAAACTGAATTTAAACCAAATTAAGTAACTTAATGAAAATTAGTTAAAGTTACATTCTTTGAATATACTTAGCCTTGTTGTTAGGATTATTATTATTACTATTTCTACTGAAATTAAGAAGATTATTAATTTATTAAATTAAAGCTTTAAACAGAAGTAGAAGAACTTAAAACATTTGCTTTTCTTAAAGTATTTTTCTGTTTAAATGGAAGATCTTCTATTTAAAAGCTTCTATTATTATTACTATCTGTTGATTACCTACTTTCAGTATTCTTATCATCTTTTTAAATATAAGAATCTTTTTCTATGTTGAGTGAACATTGATTAAAAGTAGGTAATTTCGATTAATCATTATTTATTTTGTTCTTGAAAGCAAAATTGTGTGAGAAATTTATATTTCCTTATTACAAATTTGAGTTTTAAAGGGGTGATTGTATATTGCAGCTTAAAGCTGATGTTAGCTTTAAAGGTATTGTTTCTTTTTGTATATTTTTAAGAAGGTCTAGTGGATTAGATTTATATAATTTTCCGCTCCCAAAATGTGTTATAGTTCCATTCATCTTTTGTTGTAAGTGTAAACCTAAACAAGGATTTTTATCTTGTGTTGCCTATTTTAGTTAAAATAATTATAAATTGATCATTTTTAGGAATTTTAAATTTATTTAATGAGCATCTGTTTTATATAACTCTATATTAATATGAAAGTAACCATATTTTTTAATCTTTAAAATCAAAGTTGGCTTTGAGTATAGTCAGATGCTACTGCTTAAAAATACTTTAAAAAGTCTTAAAATTTAAAAACAAAAAGACTAACTTAAAACTTTATCAACTATTAAATAAAAAATTATCTAAGATTACTAAAAAGTTTTCGTTTGTACTTTCGGCCCTTTTTATGGATTTTATTGGAATAGGTCTCTGTGACATGATTTTCTTTTTAATTAAGTTGTTATCAGTAGTATTATAGTCTATTGTTTAATTTGTTGTATTTATGCTATTAAATGACTAAGTATTATTGCTTTGAGTAGCCATCCCTGTAGCTATTGTGGTATTTGCAGTTGAGAGACCACATTTATCACTCTTTTCTTCTGTTTGAAGACTTGCTGCGCTTTTCAAATTAGAAGAAGATTACTACTGTTAACTTTAAATTCTTATTCTATTCTAATAAGAACCTAGTCTCTCTGTCTAAGATATGATAGGATCTTCTAGTTATGGTTTGATATCTTTTTGTTAGTCTTAATTGCGATTTGCTAACTAGTGCTTATCAATATTTTCCATTTGAAGATTATTTTTAAACACAATCTTATTATCTATCTACTTTTTAATTTCTATTTTTATTATCTTAATATAGATAATTATTTAGTTATTTATAACTCTTTAATTTTTTTTGTTTTTTACTTGATAATTAGTAAAGGTAATAAATTAATCAGTATGAAAAGTTAATACTATAATAATTAAAAGATAAATGATTGGCAATATAACATTTAGATAAGTTGAAATATGCATAAATATAATAATTTGAAACTCAGCATTATTTTTCAATCATTTATATTAATTTACATTTTATTAAAAGAACTCAAAAAAAAAAAAGATCGTTATTAATTATTTGCATTTAAAGTTTCAAAAATGATGCATTCATTTAAAATAAAATAATTATCATAGTAGGTATATCTATCTATCTTTTTTATTTAAATTATCATGACATTTTTTATTAAATTACCACTAACAAGTATGCTCTAATAAAGACCAAATTTTATAAAATATTGATAGTTGAGTGAGTGCTAAAAACAATTAAAAATTGAATATAATAAATTTAAAAACAAATTAATGAGCAAATAATTTTTTTTCTTCTTTCATTTTTTTTAAAGAGCTAAGAATATTAATAAAGATTTTATAATTTTAATTCAAAATTTTTAAATTGATAAATTATGTTACAAATATCTTTATAATTACTAAATATGAACATAAACATAAACAAGTATTATTATCAAAATAAAGTTAGAGATTTTGCTATTAATAATCTTATGTAACAATAAGTTTTCAAATATCTTTAAAAATATCTACCTTTAGCTTATGTATTTTAATAAATTAATTGTCAAATTATTTTCAATATTTTAATAAAACTATATCCTTATCATAGTGTTTCATAAAAAATAAAATAAAAACCTTAAAATAATAATAATTAAATTTTCTATGAAAAATTAATTAGTTATTGCTTAAAATTCAAATAAAATTATAAATTTCATCCTATACATATTTTCTACACCTTACATAAAAGAGAAACTAAAAATATGGTTTTAGGAAAAACAGACTCTCTATTTTGAAAAAATTAAAAAACTCCTTTATAAAAAATAAAAAACTCATAATATATTCAAACTTTAGTTACAATTAAAAAAAATAAATTTAAAAAATTAAAATATATATTTTTAAATTCAATATTCTTAAATTTTCACTTTATTTAAAAGAGAAAAAAAAAAATAGAATTAAATATTTTAAATTTGGTTTAAACATTCTTTATATTTAATAAATATTTATAAAAATTAAACTTTGATAATTGTTTTAATATTTAGTCTTATTTTATCAAAATTATTGATAAAAATAACAAAATCCACTCAGTCATTTGATGGATTAATTTAAACTAAGCATCTGTTTCCTAGCCTTAAAACTGCCTTGTCATATTACTTAATTTTTTATCCTGGAAATGGATATTTACTAATTCTAATCCAATATTTAAGCTTTTCGTTTTTCTGTACTATAAGTTTTTCTATTTTATATTTTAAATTCAATTAACTAAATAATTATTTTTATGACATTAAATTAATATGATTTTTTAAGTTGTTTATCAGTAAAATAATTAATTTATTTATTTATTTATGATAATACTTGTTTTTTCATCCCATTTAATTTCCAAAGTGTCTAATGATTAGTTCTTATATTTGTCTTTTTATTTAACCTAAGTGTTGAATTATAAATTTTATCTAATAATAATTTTAAAGTAAACTTTTTTTGATTACATCTGTGCATACAACCAATGAATAGTTAACTTCATTATAATTGATCATTTATTATCTTATGTCTCCTCTTTGAAAGAAAAATGAATTTTAATTGTTGCATTTACAATTAAATTCGTTTCCACTTAAATACCCATCTAAAACATAAAGACAAAAATCAGATGAGTTGTTATTTCTTTTTGTAACTAGCATAGTTGTATCTTCAACTATGAACTCCTTTTCTATTTCTAATTCATAGTCTTCAGGATTGTCAGGATTGCACAAGTATGTTCCATTGATACTCCCTAAATCATTTATATATAGTTTGTTGTCCTTTTACTCAACCTTTAAATGGTATCGACTCAGTTATTAATCTTGAATCTAAATAAGGGTTAAATTTGGATTTTCTTATTTCCTTTGAGCCATATCTTGCTCTATTCAAATTAAATAAAAAAGAAATTATATAAATATTAATTTGATCAAAAATCTAGAAATATTAAAATAAATTCTACCGCTCATATTCCCTAATAAAAACGCCTTTTCAAAAGTGATTTATTTAGTATATTGATCGCTGTTAGTGATTCTAACTATTTTTTACATTTTTCTTTAACAATATAATTTTATGCAAACTAAATGAATTCAATTAGAGTTCTTTTTTAAAAAGTATTACAAAATTAGTTTTGATAATGATAAATAAATTACCTTAACTTTGAATAATAGAAACAGTTATCTTTTGCTTTATTCGTAAAATATTTTAATAAAATAATTTGGATGAATTCTTGAAGAAAAAGATACTTACATCTTCTGTAACGTTCATTTTTTTATATTAATTGCTTCAATGTTTTGGTTGTTTGTTTATGTTTTGAGATCCTTTAAATATTATAATCTAAATTACTTTTATGTCATTTAAATTAAAAAGAAAATCAAAAAAATAAAAAGCATAAAATGTACTTGCTATTCAAGTAATACTTTTTTTAATTATATTTTAATTTTCCTATGATGCAGTTTTAATTTTTTTGATAAATCCTTATTTTTCTTATAAAACTTGAGTTTGTATCTGTTAAGGTACAATGAATTTTTTTAATTGAAATATTAGTAAATTTAAAAATATTACTGATAAATTATCTATAAACATCAAAATATTAAAAATTAAATTGATTAAATTAGTATTTAATAATAATTATTGTTTACATTTCAATCATTTTTTACATTAATTCAATAAATATTTAAATATAAAACAAAAATTCATAAATAAATATAAAAACAAGCACATATATCCTTAAATAATTACATGAGTATGTTTGTTAATAAAAATATGATTCCTTTTCTCAAAAACAATCATTTTAAAAATAATGAATAATAATAATCATATAAATTATTTCTTACTTTAAATCTCCTGATTTTTTCTACTTTTTTTTGTTGAAAAAATAAAATTATTAAATTTTTATTCATTAAATCAATAAGTATGAAAAATAGTACTTCTATTTAATAATTTTAAATTGAATTTAATAAATATTTTAATGGAAAACAAAAATTTAAACATTTATAAGCATTCATGCATACATACATGTATTTATTTATTCAATTAAAAAAATGATGACTCTTTAAAAAACAATAAATTTGAAAATCATTAATAAGGATTGTCAATCAGTTTCTTCCTTTCTACCATATCTCTTCTAGCTTTTTTCTTTTTTAGCTCATCTTTATATTGCTTAAAATAAGCAGAAACACCTGAATTTATCGATAATTCATTAGAAGCTGGATCAATATCGATAAATTTAGCTATAAATTCCACTGTAACTTCTCTTCCAAACTCTTCTGCATAAGATAGGAATTCTGTGGATTTTATCATTTTTGAGAATCTTTCAAAAGTAACTAAATCCCAAGCAATTAACTCCCATTTGTCATTTGCTTCCTTACAATCCACACATACTAGTAAATAATATTATGTTAAGCTTTTTAGCTCTTCTGGGATACATTTATGGATGATGTTTGGATTCTTAACTTTGATTTCATCTTTGTAGCTTTAGAAGTTTCTACGGAAACGTCTGTTCCTAAAATGATTCTAAAATTTATTTAATTATTTAATAATAAATCTGAGATAAAAATATAAATTACTTAAATAGGAATTAAGCCAAGCTCATAGTAAAAAAGAACATTTGGGCAAGGCTTTAGTCTACTTATGTGCTGCTTTTTATGCACGGTGAAGATAATTTTTTGATTGAAAACTACTGTTCTTCTCATCAAGTATCTAGCTCTTTCCATATTATCTTTAATACCATCTGAAACAACCAAAACTTCTTCAGGAGTTATTTCCCAAATTATTGGGTTTTAGTTTTTGGCAGATAAGTTGATACAGTTTATTTAATAAAGGACTTCGTATTCCTCGAAAACTGTATCAAAACCAGTGTTTTAAATTTTTTTTACCTTTCTTTCGATAATATAGATAAGGATTAGATATTTCTACTTTGAAAAGAATCTTGTTTATTTCAGAAGAGTTTTTCTATTTTCTTATACAGTTTAGTTTTATTGAAGCATCTTGTTACGGAGATTTATGTCCTCTTCAGCCTTCTTCATTTCTTCAATTTTTTTGTTGATATTTTCAATGTTTACATTATATTCCTCAACTTCTATGCACTTTGGATTCAGCTTGCTCTAATCTATAAGAACTTTACCATTTTACTCTAATTTAATACCTTCTATCAATTATTCACCAATAACTTTCATTAAGCCATGAGATTTTGAGTCAATGGTAGGATAAAGTTTTTTAAGTTCATTTAAATCAACATTTATCTTGACAATATTTTCATCATTTTCATTTTCTTCTGTTTCTAATATTTCCTGTTGCTGGTTAGCCTAACCTTGAATTTAGGACTTTTGATCTGCATTTACTTCTGCCATAACTTCTTTTAATTGTTTTGATCTTGGTAATTTAATTTTATTCAAATCTGTAGACTATGGTTTAGGCTTTTATCCAGTATATACAACATTGTAAATAAATTATTTGCCTTAATCCTCTTGGAAAGAGTAATTGACTAAATTAGATGCAATATTAGACTAATGTTACTGAACTTTAAACTATTAAGCTTATGAAGCTTCATCTAAGGCTGTGCTCTAATCTCTTTAATGTTCTATGAAACCTTCATGCTATTATTTTAAATAAATATTTATAAAAGCCATTTATTTTATTATTAAAAATTTATTTATTTATTTATCTATTTACTCTTTTAACGTTTTGGTATGCTCCTGGTTAAAACTCTTTGAAAATATTCTCTTTAAAGATAACTTCTTCTTCTTATATAGCTATTCTATCTAATAAATAATCTGGTATAGTTTAAGCTCCAGTGTTAAGCAACTAATTAGTATCGTATTCATATTATCCTCTGAATTACTTTCTTTGCTTCTTTGAAGGATCTTAATCTATAATTAGTAATAAAAAATTTATTATTTGTAAAATTAATAAAAATTATTATTCATTCTTAAATAATTTCTTTTGGATCAAATTTTTTTTGAATATTTTTAATGTATTTTTAATGGAGATTGTTTTTTAATTAGTTTTTAAAAATTACAATTCAAATTCTTTATATGAAGCATCGATTGCTTATCTGAATCCTTATTTTAAACAATTTCTGCGATTTTTCTATTCTTTTTTTCTCTTCTTTCATTAAACAAAATCAAGTCGAATGTGTAAACATTTTCCCTTTAATAGACGTTGACAATGTACATGTCTCCTTCTACTTCTTTGAAAGCTCTTTTAACACGTTAACCTAGAGGCTTAATGAGTATATCCTTTTCTTTTTTTCTTTGAACCTTAAGTTATTACCATTCAAGTTTTTTGAATTTCCTAAAATGTTAGTTAAATGTAGAGAGTTTGATTAATAAAAATATGTTTTAAAAGGTATTAAATTTACCTATAAGCTCTCTAAATACAAGTAACTGCGCATACTATAGCTCTAAATTTTTAAAAGGCTTCACCCATCTAAAAATCTCTTTTATTGGTAATTTATGGTGGTACATACTTTTCTTCTTTAAGGTTAAATTTATGGTCGTTAATAGTGACATAAACCTTAGAATATAAAATAGTGACTTAAATTTGCTAATTTAAATAAAAAATGAGATCACTAAATTCTTTAATATAATATGATTTAGAGAAGACTCCTTGAATATCTGTCCACTTTTAATAAATAAAGATAAAGCTAAATATGGAATATTATTTAAATTGATAATTTACCTTATTATCTATCAGCTTGACATATTAACGATCAATGTTAGCATCTGAATTCTTTTTATTTGCTAGTTCTAAGAAATCTTTTTTCAACTAGAGAAGATCTATGCTAAATACCTTTTTATATTATTTTGAGAATATAAAAAAGATGATTGAAAATAAAATCAATTCTTTACCTTTTTTTATCCTTTGTTAGCAGATTTAGGGTATCTTTCGATAATAACTTTGAGTTTGAATTAATCTTTCACTAAGTACCATCTCTTTTCGAAATAAATATTGGTTGAAATTGAAACATCGGTATTTAAATGTATTTCCTTTTAGTTTGAGATAACCCTTTAGAATTTGTAGTAGTTCTTTTATAAAGTTGATTAGAATTTCTTTTAAATCTTTAAAGCAAAATAATTTTGAATAATTTATGGCATGTTTTTTTTCGCTGCTTCTAAGTCATATGTGTACTACTATTTTTCGTGAACAAATTCAATGTTTAAGTACTCTTAAGTTTCTAAAAATAGAGGATAAAGCAGACTTTATAAACCTTAAAGGTCTTTTTCTTCAATAATATGCCTTAATGATGGACAGCAGAACCAATTCAATGGAATTTCTAAAGTACCTTTTGCAGTAAGATTAGTATTCTAAGAAATGTTTAGTATAAATTTAAACTATGAAGGATGAAAATTAACATCCAAAACTATCTATTTATTAATCACATTAAACAAGAAAACCTAAAGCTAGGATTGCTTTTATTCCCTTTTTTAGATTTAAACTTAATTTACTAAAACTTTAACAGCCTACTATTGCTATTACTGTAAAGCTTCGTTTCTCCTCTTCATTACTTTGTTTTCTTCAAAGTATAAAATTAAATTTTTATGTCTCAATTGTTAAATCAATAATTCCTATTTATTTTTATATAAATTTATTAACATCAAAATGGTAAAGTTAGTTATATTTATTTTATTTTAATTACATCCATATCTCTTTTTAGCAAATCAATATTCCAATCATTAGTGAATGCAACTAGACCAATATTTATAATCAATTAGCCAATAATCGATTTATTTTCATTAGATTGATATACAACGATTATATGTCTTTCACTTTAATCGTAATACACGTCAATAATAAATATATTTTATTAAATTGTACATTCAACATTCTGTATTATTAATTAAAAAAAAATTAATTTTCATAGTTAGATAAATATTATTACCTATTTCACCAGCTCTACCATTTGTGTATCTAACTTAGGTCTTGTTGGTACTGCTTCTTCTATACTAAAGGTGCTATTTTCCATAAAACTAAGTATTTTTTTTGAAAATTCTGTAGAAGGGAAATCTTTTTGAGCCTTTTCTTAGAGTTCCTTAGGGCCTTTAATATCCTTGGTAATGAGAATATCTACTTTTCTTTAGTCCAAGTAGTTGTGATATTTATAATAAATAATCTTTTAGCACAAATCACCTTCAAATAAAATAAAAAAAGTTTTACACAAGAAATGCTTTAAAAAAATGTTTACCTATTTATGAAGGTTAGATGTTCTTTGATATATTTGAGTCGAATTAGCAGAAATTTACCATAGATTTATATTAAGAGCGCTTTTAGACAAATGTTTTTTTGTTAAAAATGAGTTTTTACTATAACTCAGGATCCGTTTCCACTATCTACTAACCATCTTTTTATCTAATTAGATTCTAAGTTTCAAGCATTACTTAATCAATAGTTGGAGCAATAATCCTTAATTATTAATTTCTGCCTAGCTTAAGGGTGGTTAGTTTAAGTATTTTTTATGAAAATCTCTAGACTTCGAATTATGTAACTCTAGCAGGTAATTTCTAATATTATATTAATAAAAAAGCTTAGAAATATATATAAAATGATTGTTTGTTTATCTTACTTGCTTAACTGTTTCTACTTTGCCAATTTTAGATTTTTTATTTAAATTAATAGCTTGTATTATAATATATGCAAAGTTGCTCTTAGCTACTTGCTAAGGGTTTTCAAAAGTTTAATCTTCGTTGCAGCCTTTTGGCTTAAAATATAATTTGAAGATAAAAGACTCTTATTGATCATAAATATAACCATTTTTGCATATGAAATGAACATTTGAATTTTCTTGAATGTATTCTTTATCTTTTTTAATTTTTTCCAGCATCATCAAATAAAGTTTTCTTTGCAAAACACCTCTGATTAAAGCTTAAACTTTTACCAAAGATTTTGTGTTAATGGTATTGTAATTAGGAATGTATTTTATATCAAAAACAGATCTTCTATTATCTCTTATACCCAAAACCTAAAAGTAATTGCTTGTTAATTCTATTTTAGATTCTTCCTAATCGATGTCAATGTAGCTAAGCAAGTCATCATTTCTCAAAGTCTACCAAAATTTAACATGCTTCTCTTCTATTTTTAGATTTTGGTAGGATTTTTTTGAGCTCAAATCTTTAACTCTGATGAAATATTCCTTTTTATTTATCTTATACATTAGGCACACTTCGATAAATATGCCAGTTGTATAGGTCTTCAAAATCCACTTTTTGATCTTTTTGATTTCTTATTCATGTACTAAATTTAATTTCTACTTGCACTAACGCTGCTTTTGGTAAGATTACAATTTAATTGCTGCCTAATCTTACTCTTACTTGGATACTCTCTTATTTCTCTTTATTTCTTCGAAGCCTTCTCTTTCTTCTAATTCAGAATCCATGAAAAACAACCTTAATTGGTTATTCTAATTTAAAATATGGTAAAATAAAATATTTATTCTAAGTAATAAAATGAAATTACACATATATAAACTTAATCTTTGAGCTGTCTAGCCAAATTTTTTAAATCGTTAACACTTTGTAGAGTATTTAATTAGCAATTAAGTATTTGCATATAATTCTAATTCTGCTATAGTTACTTGATATTTAATATTAGTTATTCTATTTCAATCTTATAAGTATTGGTATCATCTTAGTCATGAGCTGTTATTCTCATTTAATCCTTCTTCTAGTTGTAGTAAAATGATAATTTGACTATCTTGTAGTTTATATTTTAAGGCTCTTCTTAAAATCTCCACTTATCATGACTAGTAAATAGTGATAGCTAGTCTACAACTTTAGTAATAATTTTGAAACAAATAGTCCAATCTCTTTGCTTTTTGTTATCCTTTTAAAAGTCTGCTTCCTTTTTTATTATATGCTTTCTAAACTACTTCTAAATAACAACTGCAGACTATTCTATCTTCTTTTATCTTTAGGCAATCAACTTCTTTTTGTTTTGAATGACTAATTTCTAAAATATTTTCCAAAATTTATGAATTATTCTTTTAAAAAAAATATATTTAAAATACCTTTTTATTTTCTTTGAACTCTTATTACTTTTTCCATTCTGATTGAATTCTTCCAGCAGCTTCAATTTCTTATTAACTATATTACTTTTGTAAGAGAGTTTAAGAAGATAAATTATTTTCTGTTTCCACCTTGCTTGTCCTCTTGCTTATTTATTAGTTACTCTCTATTTTCTTAATTAATTTTTAAAAAGTTAATAAATTCATCAAATGGTAAAATAATTACTCTGTTTGATTGTGCTTAGGCTTCATTCCTAATGCTTGTAGGACTCTCAGCAATAGATTACTTTCTATCAGATTTTATTGATTTTATTGACTGCTTAGATGGTTAGTTATGAATTGTGGTTGCTTAATGAAATGAATTTTCTTAGTTAGCAACTAATTTTTACGATGGGGATTATTCTTATTACAAAGCTTATATAGGCTAATTCTACTTAGGGCTCTCAACTACCCTACTAATTTGGAGGCTTTCGTCAGCATTTTCCCCTTACAATTATTTAATGAAATCAATTCTATTATTTTTATTAAGCTCAAACTCATCTTCACTTTTTTAATTAAAAAAAATTTTTTACATAATTTTTTTATTTAGAATAAATCAAATTTAATATACGATTTATCTGAGTCACTCCAATCTAGAATTCCAATTAATTACAAGTCTTTAATTTCTTTTCTGAGTTCGTTGTTTGAATGTCTTCTTTAAGAATTACTAAAATTATTATTAAAATCAACAAATTTATTTAATTTATGATGTAATTAATTACCTTAAAAATTCAGGAGAAGTTTTTCTTCTATTTTTGTTAGGTTATTCGCTTTTGAATGAAGCTGGAGAGGTTTGGTTATAATCATTTTAACTTTAATTGTGACCAAAATAGTTATTTTTCACTGTTTGCCTAAAATTTTAATCTTCATACATATCTTACTAATAACTACGGGTTTTAGGGAATGATTGTGTTGAAGACATTTAATCTTTTACCTTACTTTTAGATACTAATTTGTTATTCTAAAAATAAAAACCATCTCCACTGTTTTATTTTAAATGCTTAGGTTATGTTTAATGACTACTTTTAGGGCGGTCTAGCTTTATTAAACTACCTTTGTTTCCTGATTTATCAAAACTCGTATTTTTGCTCATGCTGTTCTATATAAAAATAATTAATTCATAATTTTATATTAAAATATTTTCATTCGTAATTATTTGAATAAAAATAAAAAGTAATTTTATTTAAATTTTCATAAGTTTAGTTTATGAAGACTGAGATATAATCTAATTTATTTACTTAAACACATTTTTAGTAAGAAAGTTTGAATTTTTGGTATAAAGGATCTTGTAGAGAAAGTCCATGATCCTCGAATAAAGTATAACTTTAGCGATAATTGTCTTTAGCTTTATCATAGTTCTAAAAATATTCCTCTTCAACTGCAATATTGTGAAAACTGATTGCAGTAAATTTAACTTTTTCAGTCAGCTATGCAATATCTCTTTTAGAAGAAGGATCAGAAAGAAATTCTAATAATTGTCTCTAGCATTCTTATAAACCAAACCTTGCATATTATATTGCTCTATCATGCATTCCTGCTTATGAAACAACTGCACATATATTCATATATGTAATTCCACTATACTTTACATGAGGAAACTTTTAAACTAAAGAAAAGGCTTCTTCCAAGAAAATCCTCGCCTTTCCTAATCTTCCCATTTTTCTAAATACACATCCTAAATTGTTGAGCACTAAAGTTCTTTTTTCTGGCACCTTTTAAATTGAATAAAGTTATTTTTTTTAATTACATAATTATAGCATTGATATTTAAGTTAAAAATAATATTTTAGCTGAAAAACAATTTAATAATTTTATGATTCAAACTTAAGTCGCTATTCATAAAGAAGTTAATTTACTTGAAAATAATATTTTTTATTTCTATCTAAAATTTATTAATAATTTTATTTGTAAAATTTAATAGAATAAACATCATAAATATATTATATTAATAGTTACTTGTTCGTAATAAAGAGAAGCATCTGTCAATTTCCTGCATGTCATCAAAATATCAATAGCTCTTTCAAATTGGTTTTAAGTTAGAAGCTTCATTGAATAATCACACAGTACTTAGATTATCTCATTAAATAGACTTTTAAATTCTATAGAATCTTTATCGAAATATTCGCTTGCTGCTTCAACCACTTTTATTCAATCAATAAATAAAAATTATTAAATCATAATTTGACTGCAAAATAGTGAGAAATCAACAATTTTTAATTTTTAATAAGCTTTTAAATCATAATAATTACCATTTATAATTTTTTCTAAGCTAATTCCTATTTTTTCCTATCTTAAATAGTGGAAGGCTTCTTCTTTTTATCTTATGATTTCGTTTGCAGGATCCTCATAATTTTATTACATTTTTTAAGAAATGAATCTTGGCTCAGATTATGATAAATTTGGTCTATTATCTGGAAGAGACCCACTTAAAGGAGCTTTTATAATTCTATGGTTCTACAATTTATTCATATTATCTTCTGATTTTACAATTAATCAGTTGCTACTTGATAGTTAAATTAAATATGGTAGCTGCCTTTCTATTTTGTTTATGTGCTTATTATTAGTATAAAATTGATATCAGATCTCACTAAATTATATTGTATTAAATAGTAAAAAAAAAAAATAAATAATAATTTGTTCTAAATAATAATTTAAAACTGTATTTATAATTAATTATCAATTAAAATATATGTTAATTTTAATAGTTGCGTTTTTATAAATAGTTATTATTTTTTATTATCTTTGTCTTATTATTATTAAAAATTTCTCATGCATTTTAATAATGAAATTAAACCAACTTTTTAAAAAAAAAGTAATTTTACACTTTATGCATAGACGACTGTTAGTATTTATGTATATTCATTTTTAAGTACTATATATGTAAATATTATTAAAGAGTGATAATTATATTTATTAAAATAAAATTATATCATAAATTATTTTACTAAAAGATATTTTAATTAAAACTTTTCTTACAAATTTTTAACATTTTTTCCAAGCATTAAATAATTAACATTTTCAATTTAAAATAAAATTAATATTGTGTGAAAAGTACCCTTTTTACTATAGCTTTTTAAATCAGTTTATTCACTATTTAATTTTAATTAATTGATTAATTTAAAAATAAACAATGTTATTTTAAGCATTTATAAATACAAAACATAAAAATCTACCTTAAAAAATTTATTTTTGGATTTTAATTATTTTTAAGATTCACCTAAATGGTTATTGAGAGTACTCAGTTTTAATCTGAAGAAAAAATTATATAATGGTGCTGATTAATGAGGATTTAAGGTAATATTTATTTGTTTTAATTTTTTTATAAATTATAACTTATGTGCTTAGAAACATGAGATATTTATATTTAATAAGTAAGATGAAATTATTTTATTAAATATCTTTGTAAATTTACTTAGCTAGCTTAAATAAATTATTTTTATTAATATGAACCTATGATTATGGTCAATTGTTTTGATGCTAGAATACAAAAAGATTAAGCACTAGTTAGTCTTTGAATTTTACATAATTCTTTATTAAATTAAATATATGTTTACAAAATATATCTAAATTTTTGTTTAGTAAAATGAGTAAACTAGAGTTTGTAAATACAATATTTAAGATAAACAAAATTATGAGAAAATCTAATTCAGGGTATAATTTTGAGAAGGTTTGTATTTTAAAAAGTAGATTTTAATCTGATAAAAGCTCATTTTGCAGTATTTAAAATTAAGTTTTTAGATGTCTAATTAAATTCATACTTTACTTAACTAAATTTCATTTCTTCCTTATTTATTTATTTATTTAATTATTTTTATTTTTGATAAAAGAACATTCAATCACACTAAATGTTCATTCTAGTTAATACTTATTAAGAATTTTTTTTTTTGCTTAAATATATTTCAAAAAAACTTAACTTCCCTTTCTTACTTCGGATTTATTTGAGTAAAAAGGGTGAATTGAATATTTTAAAAAATCAAATAAATTAGAATAAATTTTATTATATAAAAAAGAGTTGTTTTATTGGTTAATTCTTAGACTTTTTTAGATTTGAAAACAGGATTAGAAATCTATCACTTTGTAAGAATAACTAGAAGAATGGCTTGTCTTTAATTAAGATAATTTTTAATTACCTGAAATATTATCCCAAAAAAAACCTTTGCTTGTAAAAATAATTAAATTAAATAGCTGATTCTAAATTTACTATTCGACAACTTGATGAAGAAAAAGTTTGTTTAATTATTAATATTCCCGCTTTATTTTGTTATAGCATTTACATAAAATCTTCAATATAATGCTTGTGGAATACCTGGATGTATAAATTGTTAATAGAATATAAATGTATGTTTACTCTGCGATAATAACCTAACATATAATAGGTCTATTTAATTATGTGAAAGAAGACAAGACTAATTACCATCTACATATTTTGATTTGTCTTCTACTAATAATAATTTATCATATTGTCATCCATCCTGCAAATCTTGCAGCGGAAGCTCACCATCTAATTGCCTGGAATGTTGGGATGGATATAGACCAGTAGTTGATGCTGAAAATTAATTTATACAATGTGTCGGTTGTGGTATAAATAACTGCTTAAGGTAATTAATTATTCCATGTTTTTGAGATATAATCTTTATAAATTTATATTTATTCACATTGGCTTGTTATTAATGTTACAAATAGAGTAAAAATATTCTTATTAAATTATATCAAACAAAGGTGCAATAAATAAAATATATGCTTGAAGTGTTAATTTGGGTATTTTCTGGATGCTCAATCTAACTCTTGCAGAAAATGTCAAGTTTAAGGTTGCTTAGATTGTTCATTAAATGCTTAAAGTTGTAATAAATGTATAGCACCTTTAGTTTTTAACCTGGCTAATAAAGCGTGCTAAAATAGTAACAGTATTTGTTCTAATGGATATTAATCAACGACAGGATGTAATTAGTGTCACAGAGCATGTATTAGATAAATTTATCTTTAAATGTTTATTTTAATTTTTTTAGAAATTTAAAGAACATTTTAAGAATTTAATTCAGGATTAATTTGTTTGTTTCAAAAAATTTATTTAGGTAAATCTTGTTTTGATTCAGGTGAGTTTTCATGCTATGAGTGTAATTAAGGATATTTTTTTAATCTTAAAAATTAATGTATCTCCTGCAATTCTAATTGCTAATCTTGCTCTGAATTTCCTCAAAACTGCAAATCATGTAGTAAAAATTTTTACTTGTTAGGAAACAGATGCGTTAGCCAATGTGGAAAAGGATTTTATGCTGAAGATTAAATATGCAAGCCGTGTCCTCCTTAATGCGCTGAATGTCTAAACTAAGTAATAAATACCATAATTAGCTTACATATTTTTTAATTGTAACTTAGATTTATTAATTTTAATAAATATAAATGTAGACTTACTGCACTAGTTGTTTAGATAATTCTTAGTATAAACTTCTTTCAAAAAGTTGTGTCTTGCGATGCACCGAATCATAATATGTCTAGATGACACTAGCTGATCAGCAAAATTGGCTAAATATGTAGTATAGCCAGATAAATGTAAGCAATCTTACTTGTAATTAATGCAGCTCTACTTGTAAAACTTGTATTCTATAATCAAATAGATGCACTAGCTGTTAATAAGGGTATATCCTTTTCTAAAATAAATGCCTAAGAAATTGTCCTGCACAATATTATTAATCAATTGGAGAAAATCAATAACCTATTTGTTAGAAATGGTAATTTAATAGCAGATTTAGTTATTTTTAATATTTAAATTAAAAAATTTAATTTAGCCCATATCCTTGTATTGAATGTACTTCATCAAATTTCTGTCTAAGTTGCCAAAGTGGGTTTTCACTCTGGCAAAATGGTGTTTGTGGTTATGACTATTAAGTAGTAGGATAGTGCTCTATGGATTAATATTAATTTTAATAAATTTGGTAATTAAATTAGTTTAATACATTTTAAATTAAAAAATATTCTAATTAAAATATGTAGCTTTGATTAATGTCCTTAGGGGTCTTTAGTAATAGGAAGAAGATGCTTATGCTAAAATGGCTGCAGCTCATGCACTTACACTTAAATTTCAAATTCAATTAGTTGTACTTAGTGCCTATTTGCAAGGTACTACACTTACTAAGAATAATGCGTGGAAATGTATTACTTTTTATTTTCTATTAAATAATATAAAATAATATTTTTCAAATAAATTTCAGATGTCCTCCCTTAACTTTTGTTTAAGAATCTCCTTCCAAAGCTTGTACTAACTTTTGTAGTGGGACTTAAGTTAGGCAAATTTTGTTGAAAGGTAGGTTTTGCTCTGACAGCTGTGACTAAGGTACAACTAATACATAAGGAGTATGCAATAGCGTTTAATGTGATAAAGGTCAGTATTTTGATAATGCTAAATATCAAAATCAGCTAAAAATAACGTAAATTAAATTTTATTATTTTAATTTTTAATAGTATATTTTTAAAATAATTCATTTATTTATTAACATATAGACAAAATATTAAAAATTTATTGCAATTTTGCATGCCTTGTCACCCTGCTTGTTTAACATGTACTGGACCTTCTTGTATGAAATTTAATTAAAACAAATGAACTTTTATTTTATTATTTTATTTTTTAAATAAATAGAATATGAGTGTATAACTTGTAAACAATAAATTTTCGTGGCTCCTGGACCGTTAGTAATGTGTCCCTTAAACTGCTCAGATAAGACTTAATCTATATTGATTTAAGCTTTGCCTAACAGCAGTACTAAGTAAATTATTTGTGTTCAGTGCTAGAAAGGATATGGTCCTTAAAATGTAACAAATTTTAACAATATATTATAAACGACTTGTGTTTAAAGTATCTAATGTTTGAAGGATTAAGCAAAAATATTAGTTTAAAATAGCTAGGGTAGCTATGAATATGTTTGCAAACAGCAAATTGCATGCCCTACTTATACACAGCAAAATTACGATACTGGTTAATGTGATTTAATCTCAAAACTATTTACATTTTAATTAGATAATAACAAACAAATTTTATAAAAATATACCGTTTAAGACTCTCTTAATTATTAGTTTAAAAGTAATATAAATACACTAATCTTAATCAATTCTATATACCTGAATGACAACAAAATATGCTGCGACTAAACAGTATCAACTACTGATTTTAATAGCTAAATTTTACCCTCAAATTATCCAAGTATTTAGTACAACAATTAACTTTCCTTCAATTTACAGATAGGAAAGATGAATTTCGTTTCAGTTTATAATTTTTAAACTCTTCAGATAATAAACGGAACATTCAACATAAGTCCATAGAGTGGATTGGCAGGTGTTGATAATTTTACAGTTACAGTAAATGATTTTCTAATAGATGGTCTCTAATTCTAAGACTACACTCTAAAATACTAGATATTTATGCAATATTTTGAGAATGACTGTTTAAATTACCAAAATTTTACACTATTTTTGATAGATTAAAATTATTTATAACAAAATTAAAATCCCATATCTCTTCAATTTCAATTTTAATTTCCATACATTTAATGTGGTTAGTTAACAAGAGTGTATTTAAAAGTATTTAATGATCTTGTTTCTACAACAACCTATGTAGACATTAATTTAGAATAGCAACAATAATAACCATTTTAAATTTCACCAATATTAAATTATACTATTAACTCTCTTAAAATTCCCTAAGACACCTCATAGTAGCAGTGGATTGGTGTTATATTTGTATAGAAGCTTATTTTAAATAATATAATTTAACCAGTAGATTTAGTTTCAACAAACACTTAAAATTTAAATCTGCTAAAGATTTTGTCAAATACGCCTTACTTTTAAATGAACTGTTAAAATGCTTGCACTTCTAATGGATTCTGTATTCAGGATACTAAATCATATTTTTAACGTTGCAATTGCAATTAAGGTTTTCAGGGAGAATCTTGCTAATGGAGATAATAAGATTTAGAATATCTATCAACCTAATTTGATAATATATTAGGAAATTATGTTTCTGAATTTTATTTAATTATTTAAAGTTAAGTTTTTGATTCAAACAGGTAAAAATTATTTAATTATTAGAATTTATTTTAATTTTAATTTAATACATCTACAAATTAATAGATTTATTACAGCCTTAAACACATTAAATTACATCGCCAGCTTTAGAGATTACTTTGACTAAATTAGATTATAAAATTTTATATAAATTATGAATGGCACTGATATCTATCAATGTTTATCCATCTATAAAACCTAAGCAAGCTTTAATTAGTTAATTAGTGCAAGTGAAACACTTCTAAACATTTTTGATAAAGTATTTGATTTATTTAAAAAATTAAGAATCTAAAATTAAAATATTTCTGAATAAATTATATCTAATGTATAAAATGTCTTATTATATATAAGATAAAGCTTAAGTCTTAAAGATTAAAATTATTAATATCAGTTTGCTTAAACTAGCATAACTGCATCAATTTATTTACTAGGGAATAAATACTAAACACCACCAATAATTATTACAAAAGACTAATCATATCAAATTTTACTCAGTGATCCATTTTTCAACTAACTGGGAGACTAAGATATCTCTATTTAAGTTTTAGCTTTTCCTTTCATTTAGGAAATTTAAATATAGGATCCTTCAAAAATAACAATACCTTCATCAAAAATAATAGATATTGCGATGTTTAAAAAAATTGACAGCACTAGTCAGTAAATAAATATATCTTTTCCAATGCAAATAAATATTTCGAGTTATGTAAAAATATTTATTCAAAACAAATTTATTATTAAATATAATTTTCAATTTAATTTTTAGGCATACTTATTTCATATTGGACCTGGGCAAGATGGTTAAATTTTTCTAACAGCTTGTGGATATAATAAATAGTCTAAAAATTTTGATAATAAATATTAAATAGACAATAACTAAACTTCTGCTAGCATGCAAAATACTACTTGTTAGCCAAAAAATTCTCAAAGAACTGCAATTTTTTTTGGAAATAATTTTAATACACCTAACAATAATAGTGGCGATAACGATAAAAATAAGAAAGACGATAATAATGATGATGATAATGAAATCAGATAACCTAAAGTAAATTTTTAGATATGATTTACTTTTTTTAGTTTAATACTTTTAGCTTTAATATTTTTTTAAATAAAAAAGCTTATATTAACCTTAATTAACTCGCTGGTAATTTTTGGAGTTAGCTTTATTGTTTCTTGCATTGTATCAAAAGTAAAATAACTTGAAGTAACTCAAATGAGTGATAGCTAAATATCTGGATTAAAAGAAGATGATAATAATAAAAAGGCTGATATGAAAGATTCACCATCTCTTCCAGAAAATCCTATTATTTAAGAAGGAGTTAATGTTATTGCAATAGGTGAAATTCTAGAAGAAAATAAAATTTAAAGAAAGGGAAAAAGTAAAATAATTAATTTACCTATCAACTCAATAGAATTATTTCGTAGGAGTAGTGTTAATTAGCAAGAAGAAAGAAAAATAGAATAGGATGATTTTTCTTAATTCTAAAATTAAAAGATTGAAATTATTTTATCGCAAGAAAATATTATGAGGTAGGTGGGTTAAATTCCGCCTGATTTTCGGTAACAATCCTTTATGAATTTAAATGTTAGCAATATGATATAAAATTAAGATAGATAATAGCAAAAAAGTGTAAGCAAAGATATAAATATCATTTAGATCGAGGAATAAAAAGAAAAGTTTTCTGCTGAGATTGATAATTTACCAAAGGGTATACCAATAGAAAGTCCATAAATAAAAGCAAATAAAATTGAAAGAGATAAAAACACCATGAATAACCGTATTGCTTTATATGATTATTTCTCGTTAAAATCGTTTACTAAACACCTCCAAAATACTCCTGCACATATAAGAGTATTTGTTTTCTTCTCTTAGGTTGCTTTAATTTAATTCATGGTAATTTCTTTCCTTCTTAAAGTAAATCTTCTTGATTACTAAGACTAAAAAAAATAAGATTCTCAATCTTTTGCTATGACCCTGCTTTATTCAATAGCGTTAAAAAATCTAATTCAATATTTATTTCCAATAATATATAAATTGCTATCAAAAATTGAACTGTATTTCAGATAAACTAACTCTTTTTTCTATAAAAACTTTGTTAAAGGCTTATACATTAATATTATAAGTTTAGTTATTGTATTTGCAATTCACAAAGCCGCTAACAAATTAACTAATTCTTAAGTCTCTAATTTTGTTATCATTTATTTCGTAGCAGTTATAATAGATATGGTTGTCTTAGATTTAGTAGTCCTGTTCATCTAAAAATAAATAAAAAATAGCAAATTAATTGAGAACAGTTTAATGTATAAAAATTATAATTTTAAACTTGAGGCATGATTGTAATTACCTTAAACTAAATTAAAAAGTTAATTAATAAACTAATTATGATAACACAATAATCATCAAATAATATCTAAAAATAAAATTACTAACAAATTCATTCAAAATTCTAAATTAATTAATTTCAGTGAGGAGTATAATAGAATTAATTTATTATTTATTATTATCCTCAATAAAAATGTAAAAAATTTAATTTAATTATATTAACTTTATAACTCATTTAATAAATTTTGTAATAATTTATCCTTATATTAGTATTAACGTTTCTAACATATATATTTATTTTTTATTTATAATTGTAAATAAATTAATTAAGCTCTTAAAACGCTTCTGATATTTTATTATAAATTAACTTACCTTAATTAAATAATATTAGCTTACATTAACACCATTTAAAAAATTAAAATATTTAAAAAAAAATTATTCATCAAGAAATAATTAGATTAAAATGCCTTTTTAATTTTGGATAGGCTATACTAATTAATGTTTAATTAAAAGAAATTTAGAAAACTTAATAATGTAAAAAAAAAAAAAAATTAAGATTATTGAAAATAGTATATTAGATTAGTAATCATTTAGAAGTTTTTTTTTTTAAAGTATGGTGATTATTTAAAAAAATTAAAACTTTGATTATATACTATGAATATAATAAATATTATTTTATATTTTAAATTCATAAAAAATCAAAAAATAAAAAAAATATATATTTTGAGGAGCTTATTAAAATTATAAAATAAACCATGATAAATTTAAACAATTAAATCAATAATGTAAACGGTATTTTTAACATAGAATATTTATTTATTAAATTATTTTTTCATCGATTAATATATTCAATTTATAAGAGTTTTTCATTTGAAAAAAGTTTTTTACTTTTATAATAAAGATTTTTTTGGCAATAAAGGTAGTTATTGTAGAGATTTGATGGCTAAAAAGAATGAAAATAAACTAAATTGGGCTTTGTTGTTCTGGTATTTTTTGAAATATAAAAATATATATTTACATTTTAATAATTTAAGAATCAATAATTAATCATATTTTTTGTTATTATGACTATTATTATATTGTATTGCTTTGTTGGTATATAGAAGAGTATGTACAGTTATTTGCAAAATTTTCATTTGTAGATCTATTTTATATGTCTTGATTAAGATAATCAGAGTATTCTTGACTTATATTAGAAAGCCTAGATCCATCATTATTGTTGTTATTATTATATTATCCTACACCTCCATTTCCTTGCTTATTAATTGAACCTCGAAGTTTATTAATCCCATAACTTTTACTCCTTTTATTTTACTGAGCTGAAGATGGATTTCCTAATGCAGAATTCTATCCTTCTCTATTAGTTATACCAATTAATGCATTATTATAAGAGTTATTTATTGAACTATTTGTTGAGGGGTGGTGACTATATAGGGTTTTATTTGCTTCATTTCTATTATTTTTTTGATAATTTATTTTAGATAATAGTAAATATTGTATTAAATCTTACCTAGATCTTGATCTTATATTATATATTGTTGATAAATCTTTTACTTTTGTGATATGAGGACCACTACCATTTCCATTTGCGCTATCTGATGTTTTATAAAAAATGTGATTAATTTAATTCTTAAATAATTGTGTTTTAGTAAATACCTTAATGAGGTAACGAAAGAGGGTAGGAATTTTATGTATTTGAAATGTTTTTGATTTCTTTAAGATTGTTTCCAAAATTTTAATTGCTGTTTTCCATCAATTCTATTTTAACTTTCAAGTAATCGCTATTTTTATTATTACTCATATTTGTGATATTTAAACTGTTATTTGGGAGTTAAGGAGTACGTGTTTTTCTTACATTTTTAAGAGGTGATGGCTAAACCATAGTTAAAGGAGGCGTTTACCTATTTGACTATACAAAAATATTGATCTTAGTAATATTTTGATAATAAGTTACTTTATAATCTTTATTAATAGTATTTTCACTATATAATCCTTGAGTTTAAAGATGTTGGGAATTGGTATTATTTAAACTAATAGAAGTATTATTCGAATTATTTTCTTTTCTTCTATTTTCCTATAAATTATAATATCATTCATGTTATTTTAAATCTAAAGGCAAACTAAAAAATTGCATTTTTTTACTTTCTAAAAATATCATCTCATTTTATCAAAAATATCTCACTAAATTACCAAAAAATTTTACTCATAAATAATCTGAAAATCTATAAAATCAATTAGAATATTAAAATAATTTAACTAAAATTTAATAATTTATTTTTCTAAAATCATTTTAATTAAGGTATTTAATGTTCATTTATTCATTTTACTCTGGGTATGAAAATTATAATTTGGTTTCTAAAATTTTAATAAGCATTTAGGTGTTAAATTGATTATAGATGATTATGAAGTAGACTAATAAATTGAGTGATCAATTGATTGAGCGAGTGGGTAAGTGTGAGTGAGTGTAAGAAATTATAACGTTATCAATATTAAGTAAAGAATAAATTAAAATACTTGATTCATTTTTTCTAAAACCTTAACTCTTTCCTACAAAAGTGCATAGTTAGCAAGTTTTGATGAGTTTTCTTAGTCAGATTACTCATACATTTTTAATTTTTAAGTTAATTTTTCAACTTCCTATTTATACTTTTAAGACTATTCATTTAATACTTGGTTATCCTTTTTAATTTATAGTAACATTGCTTTACTATTATCTAACAATTCATTTCTCGCCTATTCAGATTCATCTATTTTTTGCTGCTGAGATTCAGAATATAATTTAAGTTATTGCTCAATCTAATTTAATAAGAAGTAATTAAGAATAAAATAAATCTTGTATTGCTCATCTAGCTTGCTTAAGTTGCTTTAATTACTATAATTAACACCAACTTAATTAAACTATTCTAAGATTTTTAATGAACTAATTAATGTTATTAGTTCTTTACCCTAATGTGGCGTCGAATATCGCTTTCATTTTTTTATAACATTTTTTCTAAGCCTTCATATTCTGTATTCATTTGCCTATTTTTTTATTTATATCAACTGTTATTTCTTTGATTGTTTGAAAAAGGTCCTTATGAACTGTTAGCCACTAACTATAAGTTCAATATAAGATAAGGAAAACTATTTAATAAGCCTTAAATTGAATAAATAGATACAAGCAAAAAACAAATAGGACCTTTATTTATATTCTAAAATATTTACTTGAGCATTTCATCTAAAGACTAAATAAATACATCAAAGCATTGCGCTAATCTTTAGCCAAGATTATTACTTTGACTGATGCTTATTTCATCTATTTTGGTTTTGAATTATGTTTTATTATCTGACGTCAAAATCCTATCTCCATTAGTTTTTATCTACGCATAAAAATATATTTATATCAAATATGAGTGATGCAAATCATCTATTTTTGACTAATTGAAAATGAAAGTAAACAAATTTACTTTTTCCAATACATCCTAACATATCTATTCTAACATTATATTTATGTCTCTCAATAAGACTATTCTATATGGTTACTTTTGAACTAAAAGGAGCCTATGTTTCTTCCTTTATTATTTCTTAAAGAATGAATACCTTACTTATTAAATACCTATATTAGTTTAACTTATTTTGTTTTTTGTTATTTGTGATATTGCTTTTATTAATTAACAAACATATGAATCTCGTTACCCCAAAGCATGCCTTGAAAAAAAGAAATACATTCATAATTTATTTTTTTTTGGTTGACTGATAGTTAATCTTCATTTTTCAATCATTTACAGATGTAAATCTCATTTATTTTTTGATCTAATTATCAAAATTTTCTTGGCTATTAATAAACTATATTCTTAACTCTCCAACTGATCTTAATTATATCCGCAATTACAAATATGTAGCATGTATAAATTATTTATGGACAAAGTAATCTTACTTAAAACTTTTGATATAAATGAGAGTAAAAGTTATTTTTTTATTATATTTCATTTTATTTTAGTCTATTTTTGATTTAAAGTGTAAATTTGTAATAATCCCAATAATATTTATTATTAATAATTTTAATGTTTTGAATTAATCGTATTTAGGGTTTTAAATCTAAATTCAGAAGGATTAAATGTATTGAAGTATATTTATTTTAATTTCTCATTAAAAATTTATTTTTTGAGAGTAAATCAAAATGAGTCATTATTAAATATTATTTAACTTTAAATAATGAATGAAAGTATAATAAATTTAGACATTTAAAATATAAATCAATTAATATGAAATTACTAATAAGAACTTCTTTTACATTCAAAAAAAGTAGTAAAACATTTAGCTAATTTGATATAAATATAACTTAATTGCTATTATTCAAAACTTTTCAGTGATTTATGTTAAAATTTGGTTGCATAAGGTTAGTTTACTCAGGTTGATAAATATGCTTAGGAACCTACTTAACTTCTTATTGTTAGACTTAATTTTACTATTGTTATTACTGCTATTGTTGATTTACATATTGCTATTAAATATATTACTAATTCTTGTCTGCATCAACTAAACTAGTGGTGAACTAATCTAAAGCTTCTTGTCCAAACAAGTAAACATAATTTTTTTCTGCAAGCTATAAATCTGCCTTTATATCTTCTGCTCTTTGTGGATTATTTATCATAGCCAATCTAGCATTAGTCATTCCCATTTCCATTTGTAGCTTAGCTTATGAGGCCATTTGAGGATTTTTTTCGAATTCTTTCTTTTAAATGACCATCTATTTAAGCATATATTCTTCTCTTTCTTTTTTAAGCTTTTAGACTATTTCATTTTTTTGTCTCTCTAATTCTTCTTAAGTGATTTCTCCTCTCATCATTCTCTATTCGTTCATTCTTAGCATCTATTAAGCCTAAAATTAGTTATCTCCAAGAGATCTCTTTTTTGCAAGTCTGAATTTTTTCTTCATTTCTGCAATTGCCATCTCTCTTAGTGGACTATTAGGAATATCAACTACTGTGTAAAATTTCTTGGTACGCCAGTTAATATATTTTTCAGGGATAGGTTTATCTTTGCCAATATCTTCGAATTCATCTCTCTCTTCATTATCATTTTTCTTTTCTTCTTCTTAGTCATCATCACTATCATAATTTGTTTGGTCTTATTTGTTTATGATAACAGATTTCTCTTCTTCAGACACTTATTAATATTACTTTAATTCCTACTATGACAAAGGTATGCTTTTATTTGTACTGATTACCAATATAAATTCCCTTAAATTACCACAAACGCCCTATATTAATCATTTTTTAAAGTATAAGCTATATAGAAATCAAAATTATACCTTATCAAAAGGATTAAAATATTCTCCCTATAAATTCTTCCACAAATAAGGCAATCTTCTTGCATCACCAATTTCCTTGTAACTCAAATTACTTATTATCTATTTATTAGATCTTCTTAAAATCAATTATAAATTAGTATATTATTATTACGTTTACAGTGTGTTATCCAGTTAGAAGTGCATAGTAAACAAATATTCTTAGGTTCAATAATAAAGGAATCACACTTACTTTTTTACCTTATAATGTACGGTTAGAACTCAAAAAGATAAACCTACATACATTTAAATTTCAAAAAGATTTTTTTCAAAATATATATTTGGTGAAAATCTTATTTTTACTAAAGACCAAAGAGGATAGACATCCCTAAAATAAATAAATAATAATAAGGATGATTTCCTGCTCCTATGCATTTATTGAAGACAGTTGAATGATACTCTGTTTTTGCTGTGCATCTTTTTATAAAAATAAATTAATAGTGGAACAAATAATTATATTTTCTCATTTTTGAAAATTATAAATAGATAGAAACTAAATTAAAATTACTTATGGCAAATTTAGCAATGGAATGATCTAGCAACTTTAGGTGTTTGGCATGGCATGCAAAATATTTTGTCATTATTTTTCAATTCTGCTTTAGTTTAAATTGCACGCTGAAACTCTTCTTTATCTTCAGGTCTATCAAAATATCCAGGACTAATAAAGTAAGTAAGAATGTAAGCTGAAGCTACAAATCCAGCTAAAACAAGATGGTAAAACTAATAATTTTATTTTAATAACATTATAATACCATAACTACTTATTAATTTGATAAAAATACTAAAAAGTCTTCAGTATCTTCTTTAATAATTGCAAACTCTCTAAATCCATTAACTAAATATGTGAGTAATAAGCAGAATGCTATGGGATAACCTAATTAATAACAAGTTATATTAATTTATATAAAATAATATTAATAATAAATACCTGCAAGCTAAGAAATTGGTCTTGGTAAGCACTTTAAAAAACTTTAGCATTGCATAATTAAGCTATCAATAGGATCAGTGATCTAACTTCTAAAAGATTTAAATGCAGAATATATAGGATTAAATAAAGGAACCATTCTCAAAAACCCCATACATAAAGTACATTCAAATAGATCATAGAAAAAAAACGCCTTTCTTTCTCCCCACAGCCCTTAAATAAAAAATTTGAGCATCATTTTTATTGCTTTTTTATTTATACCTAATTCTAATAATTCTTATTTTTAATTTTACAAAATTAAAATAATTAATTAATTAACAATTAATCTAAAAGCTTAATAATACAATTTAAATGTAAAATCCAAGATACAATTTTAAAGAAAAAGAGATTTACCATAGATGAAGCTGATCTTATCGATTTGATCGAAATTAATCATATTTCGATAAGGATAATAAAGCTTAATAATAAATATATTTTAGCATATAATAAATTCCAAATTAATTAGTACTACCAAATAAGCAAATAATATATTAATTAGAGAAATAATAAAACAGTAAAATAATATTTTATTTGTAAAAAATTAATTATTAATATTTGGTAAGTCAAAGCTGAAGCAGTCAGAAAGTATTTTATTTATAATTTTAAAAAATTATAGAAAACATATTTAATACATAAAAAAAGAATTTTATTTTTAATTCACTTATTTATAAAATAAATAGACATATTAATGTAAATTTGAGAAAATATTTAATAATAATATTACCATACAAAATAAAAAATATCTTGACTTTTAATATATCTTTATATACAAACATATAATAGCACTTAAATTAGTAAAATGTTATATCTATTTGTAAATTAACATACATAAAATAAATTTTAATTTTAAAACAGAATAAATAAATAATTAATGTAATATAGAGAAAATAAATATTTTAAGTATGTTTTAAAAACAAATTAATGGTATTATATTTTAAAAGTATTTAATTATTTAAATTACTTTGATCGATACTGTTGGATGCTTGATTTTTTTCAGAATAAACTTAAAAAAAAGAAAGTTATTTTAATAAATATTTTTCAAATTCTTATTTTGATCAATCTGAGGCTTAGGTTATTTAAGAAAGAAGTTCTTCTGTCCATTTTTTGTTATTATATTTGCTTATTAAATCACTTTTCTTTTCTACTTTATCAATAAGGAAGCCTATTAGTTTACGCTTAAAGTTTCTTTCTCTTTTAAATTCTGAAAATTTATCTCCTTTGACTTATTATATTTAATTTTAAAATTAAACAGGTGGTTTCTCAAAGTCAGTTTTCTCAATTTAAATTAACTCGTCTTAAATATCATTTTCCATTTCTCTGAGCTATCCTTTTATCTTCTTTTCATCTTTTTGATTGTTATTATGCATGGTTTTGCAATCCTTGATTAAGTTATTAAACTGCTAAATAAATTATTTTTTGTCCAGTATCTGCTATATTTTTGTTTAATCTTTTGAATATTAATGAGTTTATGAGTATTCTATAACCTTCTTTTTGAGATCTTCTATATTCCAATCAATAAATTCTTTAGGAAAAGGTGATGCAGCAGACTAAGGACGAACCAAATTATGCTTATTGCTATGATTATCTTAACTATTTTAATTGTTGAAGTATAAATGAGATCTTGCAGTTTAATTAGTAAGTGCTGATTAAGGTCTGTGAGTATGAGCTCCTTCTGTGTGCTTTCCAACACTGCTATGCAGTTATCTTGAAGAATTAGGTCTTGTAGTAGCATTACTTCTGCCATTTATAGTTGAAGAAACTTGTCTTTTATGTTTAGCCTATTATTTTGGCTTCATATTATCATAAGCATCCATTACATCTATAAAAGTTTTATTTTTAATTCCTAAATGATATCTTTTCTCCTATTCCTCTTTGATTTAGCTAATTTTTAAAGCATTGATAAGTTGCTATGTAGGTGCAGAAGTTGTTTTTGTTAACCTCTTGTATACATTTACACTTTTTTTAGGTCCATCAAATTATTTTTTCTCTCTAAAAAACTTATCTGGATCGTTAAAATCTTTTTCTTTCACTATTTATTTGGTAAAAATTTTATTTCATTTAATTTATAAAAGCAGTTTGCTAAAACATAAAATAAAATTCCAATAATTTTTAAATTAAAATCTACCAAACAGAATTATTTGAGTTAAATAGAAAATTATTTTTTTTAATTAGAAAATTTTAAATATTATTTTATTATAAATTGAATTTATACATGCATCTTAGTAAGCTAGTTTTTCTTGATTTGCCATATCTTAAAATAACCTTTCTTAGATTTCTTATTTCTTTTTAAAATTGATCATCTTGTACTTATGCTTTGCAGCATCTCCATCCATGTTATCAAGCTTAGTTTATTTGTAAATTTTAATTATTCCTTTTTTTTGTCTCTCCTCTTCATCTTAAATTAAATCATTGAGCTATTCCATAGCTAATCTACCTTATCTCCTCTATTCTCTTTCTTCCTCCTCTATTTTCTTTGACTTATATTAAATCTAATCTTTAAGAATAAAAATTAAACATAAAATATGTAAAAATATATTAATTAATTGATTGGATTTATAAAAATATTAGAAAATGTAAATAAAATTATTTAAAGCTAATTATTTTGGAAGTATTTTTAATAATTTTTAAAGAATGTAATTTTTTTTTAGTTAAATAAAGAATTCTTAATCCCAAAGAAAATATTATTTTTGACCATTCAATTAAGTAACAAAAATTTATTTATTTATTTACTTTCTTCTATTTTAAGTATTTATCCTATTGTAAATCCCTAAGGTCTATTTACTTTAGGTTTAGTTATCTCTGTCATAAAAAAATCAATTTAGTCTTAATCTTCAACTTCATTCTTTTTTGAATTCTAAATTTTTTACTGTATTTTGGTAAAATCCATTTTCCGTTACTTTATATCATTAATTTTTTCTTTTAGTTATGTTCTGCGATAATCAGAGAAAAGTGAGAGCATTTCTTTTTCATCTATTGCTTGATTTAGCATAACAGCAAGCTTTTTATCTGCATTTTCTCTATTTTTTCTATTAACATAGTTTTTTTTTGGATCTTCTCCTCCCACTGTTTCTATGTGAAAGTCATCTTAGTATGACTAATCTCTTATTTTTTTCATGATATGAGCAGTTTCTTTGTTGAATTCTTCTTCCTCCTTTTAAACATTAATCTTTTCTTACTACCTATCACCAACTAAATTTTAATTCATAACAACAAAGTTAACTCCACTAGCTAGTGCAGCTGCACTTTACTTAACTCCATCTAGTCTCTCCTTGTTATTTGATACCTTCTTGTGAATATACATCACAATATTTTTATTTTTGAATTCATTAAAATTTGAATTATCTTTTCTTAGACTATGTTTTTGAGCAGTCTTTTGGATAATGAAACCAGTGTATCCCAGATTATCCATCATAAAAATTAAATATTTTAATAGTTTGTGCTTTTTTTTTTATTAATCTTAGTTGTCTTATTTGAATTTCTAATTTTTATTAACAAATTTTTTATCTTAAAAATGTAATTCTAAATTATATTATAGAAGTTAGATCTAATTACAAAAAATTATGCTTTTTTTTAGTGTATAAATTTGAAAAAAAAATTCTATTCCTTGTACAGAACCTACGAATGAATGTATGAGTGTTTCAATTCAAAAATAAAGAGTTTTTAATAATAAAGTTAAAAGATAATCAAAAATTTAACATTTAACAATATAAAATAATATATAAATAAATTGAAATATTTACACATTTTATTTAAACAAATTTATTCTTGAAAAGTAAATTAATTGATTTTTTATTGAAATTATTTTAATTAATTATTTTTAAATATCTATAATACTAGCTTTATACTAATCAATCAATCTTCCATCTGACTTGAGTTTGATACATAGGATTGTAAAAAGAAAACCCAGTTTCCTGTAGCTCACTTTCTTAGCAATTTTCCCTTACTTCGTTTTCTTCATTATTATTGATAAGAGATTTGTTGTTGATAAAATCTTCATCACACTATTTAATTTCTTTTTCTGATGATATCTTTTTATTTGTAAGTGAATAATTAAGATCTTTATTACAATCTTGTAAATTTTTATTCCTAATTTAATATAAATTCAATAAGCATTAAAATCATACATTATTTCTACTTATTTTTTACTCTTTTTGATTATCATCTTTTAAAGACCTAATTCCATTTCTAATAGGTTCTATTTTCTGCTTAAACTATTTCTGTTTATATTAATATAATAATTATAACAATAACTCTAAGTTTTATATTATTTACCATAGTTTCTTCCCATAGTAGCTTATTTGAATAGTCTAACATTTCATATTCCAACTATAAACTACTGTAATAATTGATAATTTTTTCTATTTGGTTATTCAGCTCTACGCATTTCTATGTTTTAAATATTTATTAAGAACTCAAAATAATATAAATAATATACCTTTTAATCATCTCCACTTTTATTTTTTAAATTTATTAAAATTTTTCTTTGTTTATCAAGCTTTCTTAGCATATCTTTAAGTTTAGTTAAATCACTCAAGACAGATCTCAAGTAAAGTAATTTTTTCTAAAACATTTTTTCATGGATTTTAGTAGTGCTCTCTTTCTTATAACTAAGATCAGTAATTTTTTTCCATCCCTCAATCTATCAAAGTTGTAAAAATAAACAAATAAATTAAAATGAATGCAATAATATATTTTTCAATTCAAAACTATTTCTTTAAATGAAAAATTGTTTACTAATTATTCAGAAAATTGAATGAAAGTGTTGATAAGATTGTCTACGAATTCTTAGTTATCCATGTCAGCAATTTACTATATGCTCACAGAGCACTATTTCATTTTATTTAGTAATAGTGTAAAAAATTTCTCCATAACAAAAAATATCCTCAAGTCAAAAACCACTGTGTATTTTTCATAAAGTTAAATTATTGCATTTAGACATGGAAACCAAATATCAGGAAAATCTTTGAAAGATGCTTTCATAAGTTTTTTGAAAAACTCAAAACATTCTTACTAAAATTCTTAAGCAAAATTCTTCTTACTTAATCTATCAATTAATATATTTTTTTTTATCAGTTTAAACTAAGCTGCTTTTTTCTTTAAATTCTCATCTGTGAAGCATTTTTCTGCAATAATTTTTTCAATTTTTTAAACTTTTTCATTCTTTTATTTTATTTTAAAACAAAATTTAGTATTTCTTTTTAACTAAATAATTATTTTTATACCTCGCACTCTTTTTTGAACATATCAATTATTCTGCATAAATCTGACCAAAGGGTTACCTCTTATAATAATGTTTCTGTAGTTATACTCTATGCATCTAATGCTTTCTCTAATACTTTTGATTCATGAATCCAAGAATCCATAACTTAATTTAATTCTTCGAAGGATTTCATATTCTAAGCATAAGATTTTTTAATATCAAACAGATTATCAATGTTTTCTATTATATTAATTGGAACTTTAAGCCATTAAAGTTAATCTGGATTCAACACCTATGTTTATTCGGGTCCTCTCCTTTACAATATATTAGTTTAAGGTCTAAATCCACCTTAAGTAGTTGAATTTTGGAGTAACTTTTCATTTTGCTTATTTATTTATGGCATTTATTAATTTTTAGAGTTATTTTAAATTATTTAGCTAGCATTTTAATTTACTTTTAAATATCATTAAAAAAATAAGTTAGTTATTTTAAAATGAATTATTAAATAAGTACATCTATCAAAGAAGTTCTTTTTAAAGAAACTGTTAGAGGTTCTGAGTAAAGGGTCATTATTTACTGAATCATTTTTTTAATTGAAAATATTTCCATTTTTAATTTATTATTATTCATACTATTACTTCTTTTTTAATAGTAACTAACTCGACTTCTCTAAATCTTATGTAATTTAATTACTAGAAATCCTTATCTCAGAGGAACCTTCTCTCTTTGAAGAAGAAGCTGACGATATTGTGGTAGTTTTAGAAGTATCGTTATTTATTGATTAGTTTGCCTGCTAATATTTTCCATCCCTTACAAGAGAAGATCTTCTAATAAGTTTAACCTAACTCGAGTTAATTTGCTGACTAGTATTATTAGAATTCAAATCAACTCTGTGCTTTTGCTAAATTTGTATTTTGCTTGATTTTTTTATAATTTAAGGAGTTATTTCAAATTCTTCTTACTCCTCCTAAATAGACTAGTTATCTTTTTTTATATTTGATATTTATTCTCTAGCTTTCTCTCTGATTGTATTTTTTATGACCTATTATTAATTACTTTTTTCTATATGCTTTCTTTAAATAACATTCTTTTTTTTTGGCTTTTTTTCTTCATCAGAATCACTTTCTTCTATGTCATCTTAAAAATTTAACTCATATTATTCCATCTTTTTTTTATCAATTTCCAATTCTGCTTTATATTTTTCATCTTCTTCTTCATTTATGCTAGTCAGCTATCTTTTAGAATTACTTATTTGACTTTACTGTTACTATTATTTTATCTCCATAATAAGTCCATTCCAAACTTCAAACGTCATCAGTTAGTAGTAAAACAATTTATTAACTATTTTTTGCATTTATTTATAAGAAAATTATATAATCTATTTTACAATTCAATGAAAAAACTAGCATATTTAAATTTAACTTTTTTAGCTTATAATTTTTTAAATAAATAAATATTCGTATAATTAAATTACTCTACCTTATCTTAGATTCCTAATCTCCAAAGGCTTTAAGAACCTAAATACTTATGGGCCGCATGTCTCTATTACCTTTTCTAACTTTTAATAAATCTATACATTTTTCTTTTATATTTGAGGCTTTTTGCGTAACATTTTTAAGATAAAGTGCTCTTTTTTTCAACAAAAACTTTCGGTAAAATAGAACTTTAATAATTATACAATTTTTGAAGATCTTCAAACTAAAATTTGTTAAATTTGAAAATAATCTTTAAATGCCATAAAAATAAAAAAAAGCACAAAAGCAAATCATTCATTTTATTCTGTTAATTTTTTTAAAAAATTAATCAAAACAAAAATGTCTTATAAATATTTCTATCGTTTTACTAAATAATTATAGTTTAGAATTTATAATATAGTTAGATATTAATCACCATCCTTTGAAATTTAATTATTAATGTTTAAAAGCTTATGTATGAGAATTCCTTCATCTAAAGATGGAAATAATTTTATTCAATAAGAAGGAAATTAATTTTCAAATATTAGAAGTTTTAATGATTAAAGTAATGTAAATTTAAGTTTAAGAAAATAAATTAATTTAAAAAACTCTTATTACAAAATTCTAAATAAAAGAAAGAGTAAATTTATTTCATAATTTATTAATATTTTATTATTTAATTTTTAAAAAAATTATGTTTTATTAAAAAATAGAAATAATTTTCTTCAATAAGTATGAAATAATTTTAAAGTATAAGAAAATTTATGAGAATAAATAAATAAATTTTTACAATTCTTAAAAAAAATAAACTCAAAATTAATATTTTTAAAAAAAATTTATTTTATTTTAATAATATAGATAATTTTTTTTACTTTAATATAAAATCATATTCATTTTTTTAGTTATTACATCATATCTTATGGAAAAATATTCTTTTACAACATCTTGTTATTCCTCATTAGATATTTTAAATATTTTATTTATAGATTATTTTATATTTATAAAATATTTAATACGATTTTTATTAAAATTTTTTTATTTATTAGATAGAAAATAAAATTTTAACTTCTTCTGCAATTAGGTTCGTTATCTTGTTTAAATATTTTATTATAATATAAAAGTAATAAGGTCTGATTTTATTTTACTCTATTATTTAAACTTCTAATCATGGATATGTAAATCATCAGAAATTAACTATTTTACACAATTTTATGAAAAAAGCAATTACTAAATCTAGAGAGATTAGTAACCCATCGGGATTGATTAGGAACATTCATTTGAATTAAATATAGCTATAAAAAATTAGAAGGAATTAAAAGAGTAGTATATTAAATTTAGGTATTCAAAAAAACTTAAAATTTATTTAAAATAGCATCACACGCTATTAAAAAAAGGTAGACAATTTAATCATTTATTTGTTTTAAATAAAAAATTCAAGTGATTTTAGACCTGAAATGCAGGAGATTTAAAAAACATAAATCGAATTTGAAATATGTTTGTTTATTTAAAAAAAGAATAATTAATTTACAGTCAAGCAAAATTCAATAAATAAATGATATAAATATACACTAAACAGAAATATTTATTATATTAATTCAACTACTTATTAAAATATTCTTTTGTTTATAGTACTAAATAACATTTATTAGAGTTTATCTACTTAATTTTCTTAGTAATAATATTCACAATTTTTAGACAATAATCTTTATTAAAATAATAAATAAATTTATATATAAGTTGAGAAGTATGTTTTGTTGTATTTAAGTTTTTTCATCTTTTATTTTAATCTTTTACTGAAAAGCTTTGAATATTTCAATCTATATTTAAATATTATTCAAGCATTCATTAATTGATACTAGCTTATGGGTTGATTTATTAGGGATTTGTATTCACAGAGTTGCTTATAGATTACTAGGTGGCATTACTATTAGTCTTTTTAATATCCTCGTAACGTAAATTAGGATTGAATTTTCTTTACCATCTGTCTGCTGGGATGAAATTCCATTTGTTCTTCATAAAAGAGTACAAATAAATAAAGAAAGCTGATAAAAATATCATAATAACAGTTAAAGAGATTATTAAATTGCTTGAAGGTATTTCAGTATACTATGAGCAGGAGACTTGATAAACAATTAGAGCAGCAATTTTGAATATTATGTTGAATCCGAGCGAAAAATTACAATAATTAAGACATATATTATTTCTTAGGATAAGAGCTGCAAAAGAAGTTATCCAAGAGGAAATAAATAAGACATCAGAAAAAATGTATAAAACTATATATGCAATAGATGCTTCTTACTTAGAAATATAAATCTTAGCATAAAATAAGCACATCTACAATACTACTAAGGTTGATATGAGAAGTTCTGAAAATATTATGATTTTCGCAGTAGTAACTATTTTTTATTTTTCTTGTTTTCTTTTCATTTTCTCAAGTTTAGTCAATTTCTTTTTTTATTCTTTTCCTTTAATAATATCTGAGTCCATTTAAGGGTTGCTTCCGTTGCTAGGAGGTTTTGATGACAGCACATCTTCTGCGTTTTCTACAGGCTAGTTATCAATGTCGTTTTTCATATTGTTACTTTCCAAATCTAGATTCATTTTTATGATTTTGATAGGGTTTTTTATTGTATATTTTTTAAATAGAAATAGTGTAAACTTTTTTTAGTGAAATTAATTGTAAAAATTTGCTGATTTTTTTTTTTTTTGTAAATTATTAATTATATTAATGATAAGTAAAGCGTTTGCATAGTTTTAAACTAGAAGAAATATCGTAAAAGCATATAATTTATAAAATCTACAGGATGGATTTAAAAATATTGCTTACTATAGATAGTTTATGAATCACTCTGATAATATTTATTAATTTATTCATTTTTTTGTTCATTAGTGTGATAAAATAATCAATTAAAAGATAAAAAAGTACTTATTTTCTACTTTATTTTTTATTTTTATCCAAATTTAATAATATCTAAAAATATAATTTTAACTTTAAGCTGTACGATAATCATTAAAGATTTGTAATTTTCTAAAATATAATTTTTTTAAAATAGGTAAATATAAATTATTTTTAACTCTAAATATTTACTATATTTATGAATGACTTATTTATTTAATTAATTTCTATTTCATTTTAAGAATTTCTACTTACTTAGTAGTCCTTTAAATTCTTCTATTTATTTAGTAAAGTTAGAAAATAAAGTAGATTTTTTAAATTTTTATAATAAATTTTTTTTCTAGAATCTATTTATTTAAATTGCTTTGACAAAATCAATTCTTAATCTATTTTCTCAAATATATAAAAAAGCATATAATTCGAAAGAAGTGAATGAAATTTGAATTTTATTAAAAAATTAAAACTCTTTACAAATTATAAAAAAGTAAATGTAAATAATTTATTTATTTTTTTATTTTTGATTTATAAATATATATAGCTCAATAATATTTATTTTCAGGTAAAGCAGGAAGAACTTTGCCAGCACATTCACCAAATCCAACTCTGATTCTATTTATTTTATTGATTTTATTTAAATTATTAAAAATACAAATTTTAAGCAAATAAAAATTTACCCATTCTTTTCAGCAAAACCTTTCATAATAATTTAATCATTATCTTAGATGAAGGTTCTCTCTTTTCCTTCAGAAAGAGCAATTTTCTCAGTACCTTACCAAGAGAGTTCCAACATTGAACCGAATTCATGCTTTTAAGGACCAGAAATAGTTCCTGAAGCTAAGAGATCTCCTGCATTAAGAATACAACCACCGACGCTGTGATGAGTTAATTATTAGGCGATATTCCAGTACATATATCTTTATAAGATAATAAATGTAAATATTTATTTTTTAACTATTGAAAGAATGTAATTACTTATAATTTGATTTTGTAAGAATGTCGGCCTTAGTATTTCCGTCAGCATGTAAGTATACTTCTAAATTTATGTCCCAAGAAGTGTGTCTCTTTTCTTTTAAATAAGGAAGAGGTTCAGGGTTTTAAGGTTCCAAATCAACTCTGAACATTTCTAAAGCATCCAAAGTAACAATCCAAGGAGAAATAGTAGTACCAAAATTCTTGCCATTGAAAGGACCTAAAGGAACATATTCCCAAGCTTAGTGATCTCTAGCACTCCAGTCATTCATCAAAACAAAACCGAAAACTCTATCTTCAGCAGAATCAACTTTAACTGGTTCACCCATCTAATTTTTTTATTTAAATTAAAATAAATTGATATTATAGTTATTAAAAAATATAATAAATTCTATTTACCTTATTGGCAGGTCCACCTACAAAGGCAGCAACTTCCAATTCGTAATCAAGTCTCTTGCATTCAGTGAAAATAGGTTTTTCAGCAGTAGGAGGCTTTGCCTAACCTCTAGGACGATGAATATCAGTTCCAGAAACAACAACAGTTGAGGCTCTTCCATGATAGCCAATCTAAATTTTATTTTTAGAAAATTTATTTGCTAAGATTAAAACAATATTTTTTTATTTATTTTAAATGCTTTATTTTGATAAAATATTATTTTGATCTATTTGTTATTTTTTACTTTAAACCATTAATTTTTGCTATAAGCTATTAATAACTTGAATAAACTATAATCTATATCCTTTTATATAAAATAATTTATTATTTGCTTACGGGTATGTGGAGCCAGTTGGGTTGGATAGCATTATCCTTTCCTCTAAACATAACACCGACATTATAAGCATGAGTATAGGAAGAGTAAAAGTCGGTATAGTCTCCAATTTGAGCAGGAAGATGAAGAATAATCTTATCAGTGTATGGGATAACAACTTTAGATTGGAGTTCTTTGTTGGTATCAAGAGCAGAACCTACGTGTAAGAGACTTTGTATAGTACGTCTGACTTCTTACCAATGAGGACGAGTTAATTCCATGAAACTGTTAAGGGTTTTTCCTTAAAAGACCTTGTGGCTCAATTTAGAAAAGAGTTCACCATTTAACAATCCCTATCTTTCAGCTTCTCTTAAATCAATAATGAAGTCGCCTATTTGTTTAAAATAAAATTTAATTTTCTAATATCCACTTAATTCGTTTAATAATTTTGATATGATTTATTCAAATATTATTTTTTTATCATTCGAAAACTAATTCATAAGCATTCTAGGATTTCGAATCATTTACTAAAACTGATTGATTGAAAGCTTGATTTCCTATGATTTTAAATGAACTAGTATTTCCTAATTTTAATGGATTTTGTTAATGAACTTTTGTATTTTCATTTGAGATGAAGTCTATCATTAAACTTTGTTAAAATTATGTTTTGAAAGATTTATTTGATTTATTACCAACTCTAGTAGCTGGTCTAGCGTCTTCTTTGTTGCATGCAGTTGAGAAGACACCAAAAGGAATGTTGTGGTATGAAAAATCAGAGTCTGCTGAAATTTGAATCCAAGTTTGAGTTTCCATTTTATTAAATGATTGTATTGACTTTTTGTTTATTTATTTATTTTAAAATGTAGATTTTAATTTTTACTATTTATTTATTTATTTTTTTGAAAAGATATATTTTACGATCGTTTATAAAAGAAAGAAATTACTTATGACGATTGTGCGCATTTCCCACCTTTATTTTCCATAAAGCACTCAAATCCTAAGACACAAAGAGGATTAATCCATAATAAAAAAGTGATTATTAACGAAATCAACATATTTTATCGCATTATTTAAGTTAAGTTTTTAACTAGAAATTTATTATTAATAAATATAATTATCATTTTTTTAATGACAGTAATTATTTTTAGATACAGATGACCCACCTTGAAAAATATAATTCTAATGCTTGATGTAATAATAGAAACTAATAGAAAAAAAACTTGAAAAACATAGCATTTCTTACAAAATATCATAAACAGTAGTCTTCTAAATCTTAATTTAATATTCTATAAAAATATAACCAATCATAAGTTTTACTTCTTATTAAAATTCATTTCAATATTTTACAAAGATTAATTTTACTTATTGATCCATCCTAACTAAATAAATGATTAATTACTTTATTATTTTTCTTTTACTTGAAATAGAATAGTTAAAGTATAGGAATATAACTAAAGTTTCTCTTACTTTATTCTTTAAAAATTTGATCTAAGTTCTAATATTAAAATTTTACAAATAAAACACACCTATCCTTTTTAACTACTCAAAAATAATAATTTTTTCTAATGTTATTATATTTATATATATATATTTCAATTTACTCTTATAAATACTATCAACTTTAATTAGAATCATAAATAATTCCAAAATCATCAATTAAAAAATTAAATATTATTTTAAAAGTATAAAAAATCAATAATTTTGTAAATTTTATGATTGGACTTTAATTACAAATAAAATAAATAAATAAGATTTTTTATTATTTTTCAATAAGCATTAATGAATTAGAATTAATCACATTTTTAAAAATTATCCAAAAATAAGCTTTTAAGTTTATTATTCATCTTACTTAGGCTATGAAAGAAATACAATAAATAATTAAATAAAATCGTTTATAGAATAAGTTTTAGTAAAAAAATAATTTTTATTAGAATATTATTTTAAAATAGAATAAAGATTTTGGGATTGTTAAAATAAATGCAATTAATAAACTAATTTATTTATTTATAAATAAATATTTATTTTTTTATGCAGTAATTAATATCTAATCTTAGATAATAAAAAGTATAAAAGTAAATAATATCTTAATAAAGTTTTAAGTAGAAATGACAGAATAAGTAGAAGAAAAAAATTTAAGACCTGCTCGCATATATAATTTTATTAAGCAAGATTACATAGATATGAGAGAATTGCCTGTAAAACATCAATTTAATAAATATAATACCATTTTAGCATTATTTAAAAATTTTTGTTATTCTAATCAGAATGTTAAGGTTTCTTCAGGATCTTATAGTATTTCTACAGAAGATAAAAAATTAGCAATTAAGTCTATAATTATGAGAAAAAAGAGGCAAAGAGGCTACGACAGAATTCTTTTCTAGACATAAAATACAGTAAGATCAAAGGAAGAAGAAGCAGAGTTAAAGAAAGACAGACATAGTTTTATTAATTACCTTAAAAGAAAATACAAGACATAGATTCCTGAAGAGTTACTAGATAAATCAAAATAAATTTAAAAGTAGCATTCAAGAGGATGGACAATCTCTGATATAATTTAATATGTTGAATAAAAAAATTGTAATACTTTTAAATTTATTATTATAATATTTAAAAAACATATAAATTATGGCTGACTGAGTTACTTAACATACTTAATTTTTATAATAATAATAATAGCTAAAAAAGCCATAAAAAAAGAATTAAAGAAGGAAGAAAAGACTAAGGACAAAAAGAAAAAAGAAAAGCAAGAATAAGAAGAATAGGAAAAAGATAATTTCAATGAAGATGAGGTAAATTTAAATAAGTAAATGTTTAAAGGATAATAAATCTATTTTTAAATAAAAGTCTTTTGAGGAGTTAGCTAACATTGATGATGATAATATAAATGATGAAAGTGGTGGTGGAGACTATGATGACTGAATAAATTAAAATAAATCATTTCAAAGCTAATAAATTTTAACTTAGATAGAAGTTCAACTAAATTTCTATTTATCTATCTATCTACCTTCCTAACCATCAGGGATTTAAATTACTAACTTAAACAAATATAAGAAAATCCAAGGTTGGACAATAATTAATTTCATAAATTGATCATGTATATATATAGCTATGATTTTAATCTTTAATATAAATAATTTTATGTTGTGTCTCCTTATTTATTCTTATTTCTAAATAATTCTTTTATAATTATAAATTAATTTTACTGAAATAGATTTATAGATATATTTATTAACAATTTAATAAACTTAATGTGCTGTCATATCACAAGTATATCTAAGATGCTCATTTTTAAACTATGCTTTATTGCAAATTCCTAACAAACTATTTTATTATTCATAGATGTATATAACGATAACATAACCAATCCTTTTAATTTGAAGCAAACTTTTAAATAAATAAACAAATAATATTTACCATCTCTTTTGCTATTTTATTTTGTATCAAACAATTCAATTAAATATCTTAGATTTTTTTGAATTATAAATTAAAGATCAAAAAGATAATTTTTAAATTTGCAAAAGCAAAAAATTCAGTAAATTAAGAAACAGAAATATTTAATTTTAGAAAGAAATGTTTGTTGGATCAAACGTTGATTAATTAAAAGTTAGGCCTGGACTCACTAACATAAATATGGAAGTTAACCAGCCTTTATCTGTTACTAAGACTTAAATTATAAGATCAAACGAAAATTAATAGTTAAATAATGCAGAAGTAATATTTTAGTATTTATAATATAATCAAATTCTTATTAATCAATTCTTAACAGATATTGGCTTAGCAAGAAATGTAGAAATCCATGCTTAGAGAATCCAAGAAGTAAGAGAAGTTAGATAAATTTTAAAAAACAATAGTTGAAAGAGCCGCAATTATCGAGAAAGAAAATAAACTTAAAAAGCAAGAAGATGATAGATTGAAGGTAATTTTTAGAAAATTAATTACTAAATTTTTGAATAAAATGTTATCTTTTATGATTTTTATCAATTCTGACAAGTTATTTTTATGTTGACTATAAAAAGTATTATTAAATTTAAAAAATAGGAAGAGAAAAAATAATTTTTGTTATCTAGAAATAAAAAATCTTTTGGTTAAGAAGAAGGCTCTATATTTTCAGTTCCTGAACAAAGAGAGCAAACTTTTGCTAAGAAAAAGGAAGCATAAACCACAAAACCCAAAGCTGAAGAAGATAAGAAAAAAAAAGAGCCAAATATGAAGCTTTCAGTAGTTTTTAAGGCAAATGAAGAAGTATAGCCTTCTGATCCTAGAAACAAAAGCTAATCTCCTAAATCAGCTAAGAAATCAGAAGTTAAAACTTCTAGTGGATATAATCCTTAAAAGAAAAATAAAAAATAAAATACTCATGCTTAAATGATAATTCCAGTAGTGAGAGAAGACTAAGAAAGCGAAAGTGAAGATGAAATAGATTACGATATATGCAATTTTACTGATGCTGAGGAGGCTGTCACTAAATACTAAAACATTAGACAACATTTATATTCATTGACTTGCAATAAAAAATATTGATTAAATTGATTTTCTTAAAGGTTTAAAACGTTTTTGATAAAAAAAAGTAAGTAATTTATTAATTAATTAACAGATAATATTTCTACAAAAGCACTGCTAATTAAATTAAAAGTAATAAATATTAGACATATAAATACAAATAAATAATTAAATATAAATTTTCATTATAAATAATGTCCTTTCATTATATATATTTGGTTTAAATAAGATTTTGTTCATTCCTTCTCTCATTAATTGCTCAAAATAACCTGGATAATTTATATTTTAACTGAATTTAAATATTTGTAATATTTATTTAAAACTTTAATTTATTTACTGTTTTACTTTTAAAAGTTCAACAAAGTAAATATTTTTCAATATCTAATTATTATTTTAATAATTCCTAAATTCTTCTAAAAAAATTTTTATTAACTAAAACCGTTAATAGACTTTTGTAAAGTTAAATATCTATGATTTGAGTTGTTAAAATTTACTAAGTTATAAAAAATGAAAAAATATATGAAGAAATTTTAGTGTTGTCTTTTATGTTTCCACCCTAATTAAAATTTAATTTGATAATAAATGTAAGCTAAATCTTTTTTGAATCAATACTTAAAGAATTTGCTTTAGAATAAAAGCTTTTATTCTAATATTAAAGATTTTAAAATATAATTTGCACTTTTTAATGTTATTTATTGCTAAAATTTTGTTATTAATATTAATAAATATTTCCATAATTTCTATCTTTAATAATATCAATGTAAAATTTGAAAATAAAAATCTAATTCAACAGCTTTAAGAAATATCTTTATTTTATCTGATAATAAAATTATTAATTAACAGTAAATAGATCATCCCATAATTAAATAAGTTAAAATTATAAAAATTTATTAACATAGTAGATAAAAGTATCTTATATAAAGCTTTTAGAGTTTTTTTAATTTAAATATTAATCAAAATAAAATTAAAAAAATTAATTCAAAATCAAATTAATTAGTTCGGCAAATAAGTAAATTATCTATTTAAAAATAATCAAACTTTATTTTAAAAACTAAATTTTTTGAAAAGCCAAATATTCTTTTTTCTATGGATTTTGTAAGGTTAGCTTACTAAAAGAATTTAATAGCTATAAAAAGATTATATATGATTATATATTTATGAAAACGGAATAATTAATAAATGTAAAAACTTTGTTTTTTAATAAAAACTCTACGCTTCAATTTTAAATGCCAGCGTATTATCTTCTTATCTTCATAATTTCTTCAAAGTGTTGACTTGTTTTAAAAATTATAAAATATTAATTTAAAAATTATTTTAATAAATTAATTACTCTGTTAGCTTTTATATTCTAGCTTATCCTTTTGATCTTTCACTTTAATAGATTTTTTCTGCTTTTTATTTTTCTTTGGGATCTTATATTTCTTACAACATCTTTTCTCTCTTGTATTCATTGTCTTATTCTTCTTCTAATAGTCTAAGCATTTCTACATTTTACTTTTACTTAAGCTCAGATATGATTTTGTTAACTTCTTTCTCTGAAGCATCATTAGGGACTGAAACAGGCTTGATTGAAGTCTAAACTTTTTTGTCCCTTGTAGATTCAATCAGCTCTAATTTAGAATTATTATTTTAAATTAAATTTATTAATCTAATTAAAATACTTCTTTTCTTGTTTTAAGGTGATTCTGTCACGCTTTTATTGGGATAAGTTTTATTTAAATTATCAATTGAGCCTGAAAATAGTACACTACCAGTAGAACTTTTAAACTCATTTATTATGTCATTAGGATTCATCTTATTAAATTAAAAAATAAAAGTTATAAATTAAACTCAAAATGTGATAAAATTACTTTTCCTAATTTAACTTTTTCCATTTTTATAGCAATTAGTTTTTTTTATTTTTCAATTTCCTATCTCATAAACTGCCTTTAAAGTAGCAATTAGCTTCTTTCATCCCTGTTAAATGAATAAAAAAATGTTAAATTTAAAATTGTTTATAAAGAATGTACTATATAGAAGTAGCTCTGAGCATTTTGTCATTGATTTTTTCCATTAAAACCATCTTTTAATAATTATGTTAACGCTAAATTCTATCAACAGTGTCTCTTCTATCAAATCTCTTAAGATTATCATTATTTATTTTATCCATTAATTCTTCTTAACGCTTTTGTTAAATCTTAGTAACATTTTCTTCTTTTTGATTTAGTTTGTTCATATAGTTTTATGTTTTTTCAAATAGGAGATGATTATTTAGTTCCTTTACTTAAATTCTTTTTTATTATTTTTCCTACTCTTCTATTTTTTTTTTCTGGTTTTCTTCTTCAGCAATTTTATCAAGTTCTGCTTTTCTCTCTTCAGCTTCTTATATTTTGTATAAGTAGCTCATCTTCTTTTCCTCTTCTAACTTCCTCATTTTCTCCTATATAATTAAATAGGAAATTAATTATTAATAAGTAGGTAAATACTTATTTATAACTATAATATAATTTATACAAGAACTTCAGCAATTTGTTCCTAGTGCTTTTATGCTTGTAATTTATTTTCTTCTATTCTTTTTTGTCTTTCTTCTTCAAATTATAATCTCTTTTATTCATTGAGCATTTCTTTCTTCATAAACTCATCTTTTATTTTTTAGAGTTCCTGCTCACTTTTATCTTTAGCTGCTTTAAGTTTTCTTTCCTAAGATAGTCTCTTTTGTTCAGCTTATTCAGCTCTAACTCTATTTTTTTCTTCTAATACCTTGTTTTTATAAGGATTTAATTTTTAAAAATTGAATAACAGTAAATAATAAATAAAATTACTTTTTTTCTTATTTCATTTTTTTATTCCATTTATTATTTCTTTGATAAAATTAAACTTTATTAGGCTTCAAATTTCTCTTCAACACTTTTTTTGAATTCTTCTTGTTTTATTTTTCTCTCTTCTTCTTTTTTTAATAATAACTACTAATGTTCTTTCTTTTTTTACTCTTCTTACTACTATCTTTCTAAGTCCCTTTATTCCATTTCTATTTCTTTCTCTCTTAAACGTTGCTATTCAGCTTCATTTCTAATTTATCTTTCAAGCTCCATTTATTTTCTAATTTCTTCTTACTTTTTTATTGTTTAAATTATATTTTCTTATCATTTTAATAATAAAATCTTAACCTTTTTGCGTTTTTCTTAAAGTTCTCTTTATCTTTGCTGTTCCCTCTCTTAATCAATTCTCATTTTTTCTTCATTTTATTATCTGATTTCTTACATTTTTATTTCGTAGTCCATCATTTATTCTATTTCTTTTTGCTATATTTATAATTAGGTTTAATAAATAATTAGAAAGTATAACTAACTACATTAAAGCTACATTAAATAATTTTATTTATTCATTTTTTAATCTATAAAAACAAAACAAAAATATAGCTTACTTGTCTAAATCTAATTTTTTCGAGCTATTTCTTTTCTCTTTCTATTAATGAAGAGTTCCCCTGCTTAGAGCCATGGAATTTCGAACCAGTCATTCCTGTGTACTGAATTTTTATATTTTATAATAAACTTTGTAACTTAATTTGAATAGCATTCAGTAGATTAATTTCAATATTAAATTTGAATAAAAGTAAACAAATACTTTAGCATTTCCTAACTCATCAAATATAATTAATCCCTATTTTTCTTGCTCTTTAATTAAAGTCCTTTCTTCTTTTGCAAGCTAAAGCTTAACCTTTCTTTTCTCTTCATAGTAAGCAAGCTTTTATTCTAAATGCTTTTTATCTTTAATTTTGTCAGGAAAGTAAACTTTCATATCTTCTAATGTTTTTATGATAAGATCTTCAGGGTTTATACCTTAGCGACGACATGCTTCCAATGAACGTGGACTGTTCAATATTGGGTATTTACTAGAATTCTAATTAAAGTTATCTAAATTCAAATTTTCTACCTATTTAATTAACAATTTGATATCATTTATACTAATAATTGTAAATTAAAATCAAATGATATTCGGCAGGATATGAATTCAATTATGTTGAAATATGCTGATAATTTAATCTATTTACTTTGTTTTACATAGAATAAATTTTGTTATTGTTAGGCTATTAAAAATTGAGGAATTTCTTTGAAATTGATGCTAAATATTTATTATTTTCTTGTAGAATTAATTAGAGTATTTATCTCTCAAACCTTTATCAATAATTATTAGATTTATTTACTATTTCTTTTAATATAAAATAAAACTGCATGCATCAAATAACACTTTTAATCAATCAATTAATATTAATATTCTTTTAACATGGAAGATATTACTCAAATCGAATATTTTAGTTAAATAGAATAAAATTTGTTATTATAAATTTTTTTGAAAAATGATTATCTGTTTTTTTTATTTATTTGAAGTAAATCAATCAATTAATAAAAAATATAAATTTTACATATTTTATCAAAAATAATAAATATTCTTTTTAGCTGTATTATTATTGTTTATTAAAAATCAGAACCAATCAAAATAAAAAATAAATAAGCTAAATATCTTGCTTATTTCTTTCTTTCTTTAATTGTATTTTAATTTTTATTAAATTTAGAGAAAATTTAGTTGTATTTTTATAATTATATTTTGCAAAAATTTAATTAAAAATTGAAATTACAAATAAAAATTATGAAAAATCATTTATTGAAGCAGCTATTTGGGATAAAATATCCTATTATATAGGCACCTATGGCAGGTGGAATAACTAACCCTAATTTAGTAAGTTCTGTTTGCAACTCTGATGCTTTAGGTTTTCTTGCCTCTGGTTATGTCTCAGCTTCAGTTTTAGAAAAATAAATAATTGAAACAAAATAAAAAACTAAATAACCTTTTGGAATCAATATTTTTTTATCTTAAACTATCCAAAACTTACAAGCAAAAAAATAATCAACCTTAATTAACCTTGAGATGTAAGCTGGTTTGTAAAATTCATAAAAATAAATTAATGTTTCATTAAATGAGGAAATTGAGCAAAAAATTGAGCTTGCTGTTAGGTATTGTATTCCAATTATCAGCTTTACGTTTGGGATACCTGATTAAAAGCTTGTTTAATATATGCACTCAAAAGGTATTCATGTAATTGGTACAGCTACTAATATCTAAGAAGCCTTGGAGATTGAGAGGGCTAATCTAGATTCTGTTGTCTTATAAGGGAGTGAAGCTGGTGGACACAGAGGTTCTTTCATAATTTAAGATTAATCAGATGAAGTAGGGCTCATGAGTTTACTATAAGTTGCAAAGTAAAAGCTTAAAATACCTTATTTTGCTGCAGGTGGTATTGCTACTGGGGAAGGGTTACTGTCATGCAGAATTCTTGGAGCTTAAGCAGCTTTTATAGGCACTGCATTTTTAGTGTCTCAGGAGAGTAGTGCTTCTAGAGCCTACAAAGATGCCTTATTAAGGTCACAAGGAAAGTAAACAGTAATCACTGAAGTAATTTCTGGGAAAAAAGCAAGAGGTGTAAAAAATCAGTTAATAGAATAAATGAATAAAAGTGCTTCTATGGGAGAACCAATACAACCATACCCTATACAAAACGCTTTGTCGAAAGATATTAGAGCATATAGTAATTAAGCTGGAAATTCTGAATATTTATCATTATGGAGTGGCTAATCTCTAGAATGCATTCAAGAAAAATCAGTCACAGATATTTTATAAAAAATAATTAAAGAATATGAAGAATCTCTCTAGAATATTTAAAATTTAAGCTTATAGTGACCAGTTACTTGTTTAAAATTTATTAATTTAAGAAATCTCTTTCGAATGAACATAAATTGGAAAAGAAAAAAATTATTAATAAATTTTCTTTTTATTTTAAAGGAAAATTTGTCAAATATTTTTTAATTTATTTAGGTATTCTATTTTTTTTAATTAGAAGAAAATAATTAAGAAAAAGTATTAGAATAATTACTGTTTAATTTATGTTTGAAATTAATATACTTCAAACAAAAAACTCTAAGCTTTAGAAATATTAATTTTTAATTTTATAAAATAAAATTATTTCCTTTCTGGATTTTTATCTTTATTGATTTTTTTGTTTTTTATTTTTCTATTTCATAAAATAGAAATTAATAATTATTAAATATTTTGAATTAAAAAAAAATAATTAAATTATTACAAAATTTCTATATATATAGACTTAAGAATAATTAATCAAACTCATTTACCAATCAAATTTTCTTATAATTCTAATATAATTTTTTATAAAACCTTATCAAACTTACTAAATGAATGTTCTTTCTCTAAAAAGAGAGTATATTAAGAAGATTTCATTTTTTTAACTGAAAATAAAATATCTAAAATAAGTGTAAGATAATTTATTTATCAAAAATGATCTGTCATTTTTAAGTAAAGAAAAGAGTAATTAAAAATTATCTAAATTTTTTGCTGAATTTAGAGAGAGAAAAAATATTATAAAGAAGGATATCAAAAAATAAGCAACATTTACTCATTAGTACACACAAAAAAAATTTTTTAATATTTAAAATAAGTTCTCATACTAAATGCTAATAATTATATGGGATAATAAAACAGAGGAGCTGTAGTTCAAAAGGCTGCTAAAATTGAAATTTATATAAAATTTAAAAATTATTGATAGATATTTAAATGAAAATTAATTATTTTTTTTGAATAATTTACACTATTAATTTAATATATTTACAGGTAACCTCTTTTTCAACAAAATTATTTTACAAAAATTAAATAAAATTGATAAACTGTTAAAAATTTTTATTATTTTGATGATGAACATTTCTTAATGATTCGATTTATTAATTTTTAAATAAATACTTAATTAATTTTTTTTGAAATAAAATAATTATTTTGAAAAGATTTTTTGTGAATTAAATATATTTTAAATAATAGTTGAAATTTATAAAAAATTAAATATTACATTTATTATAAATTAAAAATTTTTGAAGCATGAACAATTATAATAATTTAATAATTAATAAAAGCTTATTTGAAAAAATTAAAATAAATATTTATAATTTTTAACTTTAAATAAAATATTTTGTTTTTATCATTAAGAATTTTGATGTGCTTAATTCTCATGCTAGTTATTTTAGTGTTTTTCACCTTCAGATTCCTATTGTTAATATTATTAAGTATCACTCTCAATTTATTTCTTTTATTCTTAAACTTATTCATTTATTTACACAGATTATTACTCACTTTTTTTCTCTTAATCGCTTAATTTTACTTAATCAACTGAGTTCCCAAAATTATGATTTCTCTTTGACAATACTTTCTTTTAAAAAATCATTTCATATTTTTTAATTTGCTTTGTATATGGTGATTCTATAAGCAGGTGTTTTAGATTTAAAGATAAATTAGGACCTATCTTATCTATTTAGTATTATTTATTAAGAGTTAATTAATTATATTACGTTTTAACACAATATGTAGTTTCTAATTAATTTAATTTACTTTTTTTTTTATTATTAATTGGTGGTAGTTTTAGTTAATCTTGCTTTTAATTGCTTTCTTATTTGAGAGGTTCTTTTTTTGGTGAATATGCTGGAGTTATCATATCTACTCCTTCTGTTTTTAATTTTATAGTACTTTTAAAAATATCCTATGGCTTTTAATGCTTGTTGATAAGAGAGTCATTTCTATAAAAGTTAAAGATTGACGATTTATTATTTTTCAAATATGGGGATTGTTCTACTTTAGGTGATAATCCTTAAGAATGCTTAGTGCTATTCTAAGTATTTTTTAAAAATAAATGAATTTGATTTTTTTTAGTGAGAACTATTGCTAAGATTAAATCTACCTGACCTAAATTTAAGCTTGTTGTTAGCTAACTGTTAGGAACTGAGATAAATCTTCTGAACTCTGAAATGCTATCTAAAAAATGATATAGCTGAAAAAGTGATAAATTTGAAAGAATTAATATACCTTTATTTTAAATAGCTCTCAAATTATAAGAAAACTAAGAAAGTTGCTTTTTCTCTTTTAAGTATTAAGATAATTCTTCCTTTAAAAACTGTTTATTCTGCATACTCTTATCATGCTACATTCTAAAATATGAATGAATTGAAAATTATTCTGAAATTATTAATTGTTAATACTTTTTATAAATATTGCTAGCAGATATAAGTTTTATTAGTTTTTATTAATTTTAATTATCATTTAATTAATATTTTTTCCCTTATAAAACAAAAATAGAATTAACTTCACTTAAAAAATTTATTTATTCATCAATTAATTTCAAAATTAAAATAAAGCTAGATATGTATTTATCTACCACAAAAATTGTCGGCTTAATTTATTTAAGCTTTAAGCAGGCAATATAGATCATAAAATTCATAAATTTCTTTCCAAATAAAGAAAATTTGATTATTTATAGGCTAAGTTTTGAAGAAAAGAAAAGGTTTTAATTTGAAGGATATTTATTCTTTCATTCTTTTAGAATATCATTTAATTTATAAAATTAACAATACTTGATAGAATAATTATAGAAATTCAATGGAAAAATAAAGTACTTGTATTGAATTCAGATTACTTACGTAGAGTAGTTGATTTTAATTATCTAGATCATTCTGATTATTAATGAATATTTTAATTTAAATTAATAATTTTAAAGAATTCATATCGTAATTTAATCAGATATAAGCTTTAATATGCGAAACAATTTGTTAAATTAGGAATATTTCTGATTTCAAAAATTATATCAATCTTCAATATAGTAAATAATAGGAACACTTTATACTTATTATAGTAAGCAAAATGGAATCAAGAGTTTTAGACTAAAAAGTGCATTACTTTGAGCATCTGTCTGTCGAAAAGTTTGAAGAGTAATTAGAAAAATTAGATTTTAATTTACTTTTTAAAGATGCAATTATGAAATAATAATAAATCAAAAAATGAGAAATTGATCAAAAAATTTATTATAAAATAGGTATTTTAGAGGCGCTTACCATTATGTGGTGAATATAGTATTTGATAGAGTTTTAAGCTTAGTTAAATTAAGATATTTCAAAGATGAAATACTATTAATCTCTGAATCGCTACTTTAATCCTACTATTTATTTGTTCACGATTCAACTTATGCAGAATTTTTTTTTGACTTAAAAAGGTTTACTCTTGATGGAGAAAGTCCATCTAAAAAATCTAAAATATTTGCAGTTTTAATTTAGACATTAGTGCCATACATAAAAGCAAAGCTAGATAGGATATTTAACGACATTAAAGCAAAATTAGCTAACCATGATATATTGAGTAAAAAATAGGAGATATTTAGATAAGCATATCCTACATTAGTTACGATATTTCGTGCAATAAATATAATTTTGAATGCAAAATATCTTCTCAATCCTCAATCAAAGTTTTACAACTTAGATTATTACTTGGTTAAAAACAATCTCAGCAGAAAGCCTCCTTAAAATTAATAATAAAGTAATTCTTAAAGTTCTTTTGGAAACTTTGCAGATTTCATGAGGAGATACTCAATTTTTATGCTATACTTGGGATTACAAGGATTCGATTGGTATTTTAGGTCTTCACAATAAAGAGGATAATAAAATGCTAAAAATATTAGTTACAATGAAAGTATTCCTCCTCCTATTTAATTATCTGCTTAATAGCAAAGAGCTTCTTAATAATCATAAAACTTCTGTATTTTATGTAAAGGAAAATTGAGAAATCCAAGCGTATTAAACTCTTCAGGATATGTATTCTGCTATAGTTGTATAACAGAGTTTGTTAAAAATAATAAAAAATGTCCTGTTACTAATATAAAAAGTGATTAAAATATGGTCATAAAGCTGTTTATATAAAATTGATTGATTAATTGATTCAATTCTTTCGTATTTTTATCTTATAAGATATTTTATTATCAAATAAAACATAATCAAACTCTTTAGCCATCAATCAGAATTAGATGTAAACTATTTATTTTAATATTTAATCTAATAAAAATAAATAAATTATTTTTCACATTTGGTTGGTTTTGGTGAAAAATATTACATTGTAAATTTAATAAAGTTTTTTCATGTGTGTTTAGTTTACAAAAACTTTTAGGTAAATCGTAATTTACAATCCATATTATTTGTTTACTTATATAATCAATTAATTAATCAATTTATTGATAACTCTGTTGTATTTTCACAAACATACTAACCAAGTTATTATTTAATTATTTTAGAAATAAATTTCATGCAAAAAGAAAGATTTCTTTGTCCAAAAAAATAATGGGCAATAATTGCTGCTTTAGCATGAAATATAGAATAGAAAATGGAGAAAAAAGGGAAATATTATTAGTTTAATAATAATCTATAGTGGATGATAAACAAATAGATCTAAATGATAGCAATCCATAATTGACAAACAAAGAACATCCTTCTAGTTAATCAAGTTCTGTATAAAATAGCTCAAGAGCATATAAAAAAAATGATATGAATACTACTTAAAATACGACTACTGATCAAAAATCTACCTAAGCCTGTCCCTAAAGTGGAGAAGTAAATTAAGGCTTCAATTAAAAAAAAGCATCCCCTCCTATTGAGAATGAAAACTAGTTTTATTCACAGGATAAACATTTGATTAGACCAGACTTTCATGTGTTTAATGAAATTTTTTAAAAACAAGCAAGCAAACCTTTATCAGCTTCCGAAAAATAAATATAAATGGAAAAAAAATTAACTATGCTAGAAAACTATATAAATGATTAGTAGCAACCTGAATATAATTTCATGCTAGTACAGCAATAACCATCTATAACAAATTAATTTAATTGCGAAAAAGATGTAGACGACAAATCTATAAAATAAGATTTACCAAATGCAACACCATATTATAAAACTATAGAGTCTTAGTATTTTGATAAGTTTTCTTTTGATGCTTTTTTGAAGGTTATAGATTAAATGTAATAAAATTCTTTGAAAGATGGTTCAACATAATCTCTGAGTACTTCCATTAATTAATTGAATACTATAAATTATGATAAGTTAATCAAAACATATGATAATGGAGATGTTTATATTGGTAATTTAAATGAAAATAATCAAAGAGAAGGCCATGGAAAGTTGCTAGGCTAAAATGGTATATACTATGAGGGAGAATGGGGTAATGACAAATATGATGGTAAGGGTACTTTAATTGAATTTGAAAAAAGTTGCGTAAAGGGAAATTTTAGAAATGGTCTACCTCATGGTAACTGCTTACAAATAAAACTAATCAAAAAGCCGTAAAAAAATTTCTAATCCTCTACTAATATTTAATCAGATTAATTACAAAAAAAAATTAAAAGTCTAACAAAATTTTTTTTAATATGTTATTAATTAAATGAGTATAATTGCTTTTTTAATATTCTTGTTATTTTAATAAACTTCTACTTTTTAGGGCAACAAAAAATATTTAATATTTCATAATTTTTAAAATTTAGAAAAGAGTACAAGAAAAGAGAAACCAACGACCTTGATTTTGACGAGTGGTCTAAAAAAAATTCCTTGCTTACAATAAATAGTGAATTTCAGAGTTTTTTAATTGTAAAGTATAAAGGAGAATTTTATAATGGACTTAAGTAAGGTAATGGTGAATTAGTCATAGAAAAAGTTTTGAGATATGTTGGAGGATTTGCAAACGATAAATTTGAAGGATATGGAATATGTGTCTATACAAATGGAAACATTTATGAAGGGTAATGGGTCAATGATAAAAGAGAAGGCAAAGGATCTGAAATATGGAAAAGTGGCAAACAGTATTAAGGTAAATAGTTAACTATTTTAATTTACTTTCTATTATATTTAAATAATACTTTGATTATTTCTGCTTATAATTTATTTAAGTTAAACTAATAAATTTTATATTATTATTGCGATTTATAAAAAATAAATTAAAATTATTAATTAAGTTATCAATTTATTGCTCTTATTTTATAAACAAATTTAAGTTGCAAATATGTTTTGAATAACAAACTTATCAAATTAAATTATTTATTTTTATGTAATCTAGGTGAATATATGAATGATTAATTTCATGGTTATGGTTAATTAGTAAATGAGAAAGAAGAAATTTATGAAGGTTATTGGTACAAAGGAGAAATGGAAGGTCAGGGAATATTAACTAAACCAAACAAAAATCCTATATATGGTCAGTGGTAAAATGGTACTCTAGTGTCATGTATTCCATTATGAATATTTAATGAACTTAAACTATAAATAAAAATAAGTTAAATAAGATTAATGCACATACATACATTCTTTTTGATTAAAAAACATTAAAACAAACTTAATAACTATAATCAAAATAACAAATACTTTGAAACATTAATTATTTATAAATATACCTATAAAATTTAATATAATAAATAATACATCATAGACTCTCCTCTCTCTGTTGATCTTCAAACTACAAATTACATTAAGCAACTATTTAATAAATTTAAATTACGTTTTCCTTAGAATTATCACTCTGTTTATTAGCAAATCTAAAATAAAACTTCAAAAAATAATAAATTATAAAATAGTTTGGCATTATATATATATAAATATTTTCGTTATGCATTTAACTATATAAAATATAAAGGTATTCCTGTTGTTTATTAGCTTTTAGGAAACTTTGAAATTTATGAAATCTTTTATTTGGCAAACTATTTAATAAAAACTTTAAATTATTTTTTTAATTGATTAAATTAATTAACATTTTAGTTATGTACTTTTCTTCATATATTTATTATGTTGAATACTGATTTTTTTATTAGTAAATAAGTAGTAAATTCAAAAATGTATAACAATTAATTTTTCAATTTATGATTTACATAAATCAAAAAAAGCAAGAGAAAAAGATAGAATACATACATAATAGTTAAGAGTTAATAATTAATTAATAAATCAAATTAAAAGTAATTATCTTGATTGTCAGTAAATAAGAAATATCAATAAGGCATTAAAGTGATTAGCTAAATATAATTTTAATAAGTATTCATTAATGTATAACAGTAACAGCAGCTCAACTAACGCTAACAACGTGGATAGTGATAACAATAATGTATTAAAGATTTTAAATCATTTAAAATAAAAAAAACAACTTAAATATTTCTATCCTTTATGTAATAACCTTAAAATTATAATAGCATAGGGCTAAAAGTTTAGAAGAAAATAGCCAAGGCGAGGAAAGTATTGAAAATAAGCAGCCTTCTACAGAATAAGCTATGGGAAAAAGCTCTTATAAAAATTTTATCATGTAAGAATTAATATTTTTTTGAAATGCTTAATAATAAATTTTTACAATTAAATTAATTCTAAATGAAAATTTACTCATTTAATTATTATCATTTAAAAAGACATAAGAATCATAACAATCTCTATAGACAGAAATTGCCAATGCAAAATAACTTTTATGTATAAAAGGAATCTCATATGAGCAATGCTCGTCCCTCTACTGGACCACCTGGAACAAGAAACCCTTATCAAATGTATAAAATGAATTTTACAGAAAAATAGCCATTTATAAATCATAAATATTCTTATATTAAACAGTAAGAAATCTGGTGGGATTAAATAAGAACCTGATATATTCAAGCAAAATTATTAAGCCTATGATAAAGTAACTATTTTGATTTGAAAGTTTTGGAAATAGATTATAATAAATGCTTTAATAAAAATTTGAAATATTATGTTGCTGGTTTGTTAATTTGTTAGTTTGGAGTTACAACTTTCTTTGATTATAATACTTACTCTACAAATAAATCTAAATTATAAGACAAGCAAGCAAGAAAGCAAATAAACAAACAGGATATTTATTTTTACTATAAAATATTAAATAGGAAAAGCTATTTGAAGAGCTTACAAATGCTAAATAGATAATAAACGAAACCAAAGCAGAAAATGCTAACTTGAAAACAAAATGTTTAAATATGGAAAAATAAATATAAAAGTATGAGAAAATAATTGAAGAATTACACCATAGCGGAAGATCTATCAATTAAAATTCCCGCTTTAGTGCTGATGTAATTATTGAATTAGAAAAAAAACTTATTATTTGAACCAAGTTTTAGAATTTAGTGTTTGATTCAGTAAAATCAAATATTATATTTAAAATTTGGTATTTTGTATCCTAATTATTATGCCAATTGCGAATACTGATTATTTTATATTTAAAAATAGAGCTTCCTTTATGTTAATCTTAAGAAGCAAGTAAAAGAACTTACCTAAGAAATTAAGTTTAAAAATTAAGAAATAGAAACAATGAAAAAAAACATCAAATATACAACTTTTTAGGAGTTAGAAGTAATCTATTATAAGTTACCATACTTTAATAAATTCATATTTAATAAATGTAAAAATCAGATTGAAAAGAAGCAATTTGGTGAAGAAACTCTTCGCTTGAGAAAAATTCTAGATGACATGGTATTAGAGTAGAAACAAAGAGGTAACTAAGATTAAAAAGTGCAAGAACTTGAAGAAAAGTGCTATGTTTTGAAAAATCTTGTAGAAACAATAAGGAAAGATAACACTGAATTAGTCTAAACAATTAAGCTTCTTGAATAAAAGAACTAAACATTAGATTTAGCTACATAAAATTATAACAAAGATGCTAAAAATTACTAAAAAGATTTATCTTAGACTAAAAAAATGCTCAAGGACAAAGAGTAAGAACTTTTTAAGCTCAGATAAGAACAATAAAATATGAAAAAGTAAATGTAGTTGTAGCAATCACAGTAAACAACTTCACCAGCAACTGCAACTCAATTCACTAGAAATGCACCAAAACAAAATTTAGGAAATATAGAGTAATTTATAATAAAAAATATGAAATAATAGCTTTAATTATTTAATAAAAATAACAACAGAAAGCTAGTTTAAGAAAAGATTAAACTGCAAAGAGATTTGCAAGAAGCTTAAAGAAAAATATAAGAACAGGATTCTAAAATTAGAAGAATGTCAAAGCAAAGAGGTGATCAAGGTAACTAAAGCAGCAACACAACTATTTCACCTTCAGGAAAAAATATGAAAAAAAGAATTTCTTTTAAACAAATATCAGAGGTTGCTTATTAAATTCGTTTTAGACTATTTAACAGAGGTCTTGCTTATGAAGAAATCCACAAAGTATTTATTTATTTATTTGTTTAGTTTTAGAGAAAATAAATAAATTAAATTTTTAAAATTATATTTCTAGATAATTGTTCCTGAAAATTTGTAAAGCAAAGGATAAGCCTCCTATCAAGATATTATCAATGTCTTATAAAAGTATAATCAAATTATTTATTTATTGGTTTAGTTAAAATAATTTTTATACAATATTAGCGAGCCTTTTAATGTCAAAGACTAGCAAGATTTGAATAACTTGTCTAGATTCTTGGTTGAGGCTGATGTGGAAACTGATGATATTTAATACAATAAAAATAAACTTTGCAACACTGATATTATAAAAGATGCTTTTATCAGCTTCATATAATAGTATGATTTGCAAAAGATTCATTAAAACAGAGAAACATTTGAGAATGAAATTTATGAAGTAATATATAAATTATTTATTATTTTTTAGGTTATATTTATGTTTATTTTTGACTTAGATTCTTAGAATACAAGGTGAACTAATTAAAAAAGGATTGTAAGATGTTTCTAAAGATGGCAAGCATATTGGATTTTAGGATATCGATTAAGTTTTCTAATAATTAGGCATAGAAATATCTTTTGAAGCTATGGATTTGATCATTTCTCATCTTTTCTAATAGGCCGGAGAAGATTTAAACAACTTAAATATTAAGGATTTGTTTGAACACTTCTATATTAATAGATTGTCTAAGGATAGTAAAGATAGAACTTCTACAATTGAAGAAAAAGAACATGAAGAGAGTTATGATTAAGATTATGAAGAGTTTGAAAATAACTTTGAAGACGACGATCATGTTGTAGAAAACTCTAATAAAAAAAAGAATAAATCATCCTAAAAAGAAAAGTCAGAGAAATCTCCTTAAAAATAGAAAAATGTTAATAATGATGAAGCAAGAAAATAAATGAATTCTCAGCAAGGCTCAAGAAATAAAACACCTCAATAAAAGTAATTTTTTTCAAATATAAATTAATTGATAAATATTTAACCAATTAAATCTTTTAGTGCTGAATAAGCTGGTGGATAAACAGCTATGCAGAAACTGAAAAAGGAGAAGGAAGAAAATGATAAGGTTAAAAAGGAGAAGGAAGATTAAGATAAACTCAAAAAAGAAAAAGAAGAATAACTTAAAGCTTAACAGAAAAAGGAGAAGGAAGATTAAGATAAGCTCAAAAAAGAAAAAGAAGAATAACTTAAAGCTTAACAGAAAAAGGAAAAAGAAGGATAAGAATTGGCAGCTAAGTAAAAGAAAGAAGAATAAGAACGTTTAAATAAGTAAAAAGAAGAGTAAGCTAAGCTAGAAGCTGAAAAGAAGAAAAAGGAGTAAGAAGAAATAGCTAAATAATAAAAGTTGTAAGAAGAGCAATAAAAGAAAAAGAGAGAAGAGGAGTAACTTAAGAAAAAATAAGAGGAAGAAAAGGCTAGAATGGAAGCTGAAAAAAAGTAAAAGGAATAAGAAGAGGAAGAAGCAAAAAGAAAAAAGGCTGAAGAAGAATAACTTAAAAAGAAGAAACTTGAGGAAGAGTAAGCATTAAAAGAAAAGAAGAAAAGAGAAGAAGAGGAAAAGCTTAAAGAGCAGTAAGAAAAATAGAAAAAAGAGCATGAGCTTCAGCTTAAAAAATAAAAAGAGGAAGAAGAATAAAAGGAAAAATAAAGATTAGAAGAAGAAAGAAAAAGAGCAGCTTAGAAGGAAGAGGAAGAAAGGAAGAAATAGCAAGCTAAGTTAGAAGAGGAAAAGAGGGCTGCAGCTATTAAGCTAGAGTAAGAATAAAAGTAGGCTTAAGCTTAAAAAGAAGAATATGAAAATGAATATGATGATGATTTTGATGGTGAATAAAGCAAAATTAAACCTGCAGCAGTTAATTAGAATGCAGAATAAAAAGGAAAGAAAAATTCTCAAGTAGAAGAGGAATATGAATTAGAGTTTGATGATAACAAGGTAGATGAAAAAGCAAACAATAAGTAAGCTGCTCATAAATAAGAGCAACAAGTCATAGAATATGATTAAGAATAAAAATAAGCTGCTGTTAAAATTTAGTAATCTTATAAAAATAAATAGTAATTCTTAGCTGGTAAAGAAGAAGCTAAAAAAATATTGGAAGAGTAAAAGAAGAAAAAAGAAGATTACCTTAAACAAAAATAAGCTAATCAACAAAAAGAATAACAACAAAATTAATAAAAATAGCAAGAATAAGATGAAGCTGCTAGAAAAATTTAAGAATCAATGAAAAAGAAGTAAGAGCAGTAAAAGAGTAAGGAAGAAGGTAAAAAGATCTTAGAAGAGTAAAAGAAAATTAAAGAACAACATCTTTAACAGAAATAATAAGAAGAGTAAAAAAAGTAATAATAGCAGTAATAAGATGAAGCTGCAAGAAAAATTTAAGAATCAATGAAAAAGAAGTAAGAATAATTAAAGAGTAAGGAAGAGGGTAAAAAAATATTAGAAGAGTAAAAAAAGATAAAAGATTAACACATTTAACAGAAGTAATAAGCATAGTAACAATAATAAAATAACGAGCCACAACATGAAGATAAGGAGTTGAAAGATTCTCAGCTCAAGAATATCAATTCAAAAGTTTAGCAAAACAAATTGAAAGAAGAATAGTAAAATTTATATTTAAATATGATGTGACATTTAATTTTAAAAAAATGCTTATAAAATAATATATTAGATATGATGAAGAATTTGAGATAGATAGTGAAATGGATGAAGAGAAATTAGAATAACAAGAAAACGTAAACTTATCTAAGGATCTTGTTGTAATTAAAATTTTTTTGTCAGTATTAAATCAAAATTAATAAATATTAAATAAATATTTAGGAAGATAAAATAGACCATAACGACGTTTCTAATGCAGACATAGATGTTTGAATTTTTACCTAAAAAGATGTTTAAAAAATAACTTAATATAATAGTTATACATTAATTAAATTATTTTAATTTATTCAATTAAACATGCATAATTGTTGATCTTTTTACAAAGCTTTACAAATTTATTTTCAAATCAAATCTACTTCATAAATTTGAAGCTAAAATTTAATTTATTTATTTATTTATTTATTTTATTTTTGCACTTGTTCATGTAAAAGAGGCATCAAACTAAATTAATTTAAATCTAATCAGCAATTTTAAAAGAGCTAACTATATTTATTTCTATTTTACAAATATTTTGCATTAATATAATATTTTGTAAATAAATCGTTCTTTATTTATATACTCTTTATAATAAATACTGTAATTTATTCCCCTTTAAGATTGACCATGAAAATCCAATAAATATCAAAAATATTTTTAATTTTATAAAAAATATTCAATGTCTCTAAGTTTTCCATTTTTTTTTATCAAAGTAAACGCTCATTTGATAAAATATTTTAAGTAATTCCTTATTTAATTAATTTAAATAAATAACTATTTTTATTTTGCATTTTTATCTCATAAAAAATACATTTTTTTATAAAATATAAGTTAATACTAATTTAAATAATAACTTGATTTATATGATTTTATGAAATATTTATAAATGCTTCCATAATTATATTACCTAATAAGATTAAATTACATTTATTTTCTATAATATATTTTAAAAAATTATTTAAAAATGTATCCATTCATTTTAAAACAGTACAAAGTTATGAAAAATACTAATTATTATTAATCGTGCTTTTAGTTGTTCAAATTTTTTTGTTCAATTAAAAATTAATTCCTCTCAAAGCAAAGCTATTTTGTTTATTAAAATGAAACTATTAAATTATTATTTTAAAAACTAATAAATTTTTAAGAATTTATTTAATGAAATTATTTTTGTGATTTAAAAAAATTAATGAATTTCATGAAAATATTTTAATTTAAAAGATGATTTTTTAAAATATTAAAATCAAAGATTTAGTTCAGAATTTAATTTCTTTATGAAATAGGTCGCTAACTAAAAAATATGCCAATATAAAAAAGTTAAATTATTTTAATTAATAAAATTAACATAAGGATATAAAAAAATTAATTTAATTGCAAATCTATTGCATGAAATAGATATAGTTTACTAAAATTTAGAAATGATATATTATTACAATCACATTTAATATAATTTTTATATAATTACACAACTGTTTGTTTATTGTTGATATTTATTTATCTTTTCAATCTTTCTTTTTAAGCTTTTCTGTAATCATTTCTTCTAATTTAACTATATCAGCTGCAAACTTATTGATACCATCACTTAACTTTTCAACAGCCATAGCATCACCTAAAATTTTTTATTATTCATAAAAATTATTTGTTAAGAATTTAAATAAAAAATTAATTACCGTTATGGAGCCATCTGTAGGCCTTTTCATCAAGGGTAATCTTTTCAATATCCTATTCAGCAGCACTTTCAGGACTGAGTTTACGTTCAACATGCTTTTCTGCTTTACCTAATTCTTCTAATAATGCAGGAGAAATGGTCATCTTATCACAACCAGCTAGTTCAATGATTTCACCAGTATTTCTGAAAGAAGCAGCCTTTTTTATTATTGTTATTAATTTATTAAAGTAAAACTTAAAATTTGATTAAATAATTAAATTACCATAACAACGGTCTTATATCCGTGTTTCTTATAGTAATTGTAAATTTGGGTAACACTCTTGACGCCAGGATCCTTTTCATTGGTGTAATCAGTAGTGGGATTCTTGGATTTATAGTAATCTAAAATACGGCCTACGAAGGGAGAAATCAAATAAACTCCAGCTTCAGCACAAGCAACAGCTTGGGCAAATGAGAAGAGTAAAGTCAAGTTGCAGTTAATTTTATCTTTCTTTAAAGCCTTAGCAGCCTTAATACCTTCCCAAGTAGAAGCAATCTTAATTAAGATTCTGTCCTTAGAAATACCTGCATCTTCGTACATCTTGACGATTCTCTTAGCCTATTAATAATAAATAAATAGTTAAGATATTATTAAAAAAATTATCTGTTTAATTGGTGAAATAAAATTCCCTCCCAGATTTACAAAACTTAGTGATTTAAATTTTTTTAATAGTTTTCTCTTTTTGGGAAAATAATACCCATCCCTCAATTAGTTAATAAATCTTCTTATAAAAAAAAGATTATTTCAATAAATAAAACAAATCTTTATTTCTTTGTTTATTCTTGTTTATTTAAAATAGGGGTTTATCTTTAAAGCCTATTATTATTTTCTAACAAAATTATTCTCATTTTAAGATAAATTCTTTCATAACTCTTTAAATAGTCAATTACCTTTATAGGTCGCATTTTATCTTTTTAATATTGTATTTATTTCTAGAAAACTATTTTTTTTTACTTTCTTATAAATTATCTTATTACTACTCTTGCTATGAATAGCTCAAAAATCAATTTTAACATAAAATATATTTAAAAAATATGTACTCTTTAGATAGTGCCATGTTCATCGAAGGATAGACGAGCATCAACCTCTGAAGAAACCAAACCAGGGACTATTTTTAAGATTTCAATACCGAAGTTAACACAAACTTTATCGCAAACAAGCTAGACGATTTGGGTCTTTTATTCTTCAGTAAGAGCTTCAAAATCGAAGTTCTTTTCTTCTTCAACTTCCTTTTCATCTTCTTCATCTTTCTTTTTGCTTTTACGTGCAGAAGTACGAGATTTAGGAGGAGCATTGAACTATTTGAAGTTGCTCTTACCCCATTCTACAGCATCATCAATAAGCTTTTGATATTCAGCCTATTTAGCAGCATTTAAAATAAGAGAGGGATTAGTAGTAGCATCTTCAGGTGTGAATTGAGAAATCAACTTGAAATCGCCAGTATCAGCAACGATAGTGGTGAACTGTTTTAGTAGAAATAAAAATTTAAAAACTCAAATTAAAAAAGAATGCTTTATTATGTACTATCTTGAATGTAGTAATAAACTAACTCCAAGATATATTTATATGATTAAAATGAAAGTTCACTTACTTCCTTTAATTATTCTAAAACGTTATCGCTCTTCTTGACCTTCTTAGTAGGTTCTTGACCATCAACTTCAGGATGTTCAGGCTTTTCGTGATTTGACATTTTTAAGAAACTTTTATATTACAAAATCAATTAATTAATTTAATTAAAATTTTGATATATAATTTGAGAGACTCTTTTGATTAAATATAGATCTTTGTTTCTTTATAAATTAACAAGTGACTAACTAATTAACTAACACTCAAACAAAATTATATGTCAATCTGAATGCAAAATAATATCATATCGCATGATACATACATAAAAACAAGCATATCATAATAAATAATTCCTTATTATGAATAGGAGTAGTTAGCAAACATAAAAAGTGAATTATTAATCCATCTTTCTTTGCCAAAATTATATTTATTTTACAATTATTTCATGCATAAAATTTAGTAATATCAAATTTTTAATAAATCTTATGATAATTAATTTCGTAATACTAGCTCTAAAATTAGAAACATATTACTAACTATCTCTGTATATTAGTTTTAGTTTTCATTTCCTTCCTATCTATTTGGTACTTTAAATACTACTTCTAAAAAAGAATTTATCTAACATTAGCTTTTGTGTTTAGGAACATATTTGATAATTAGTAATTTCTATTTTTTTTAAATATATAATAAATTTGGTAAAAATAAAATAAATATTTTAATTTATTAGGATCTATTTTTCTACCTACGAAAATCCAGCAATTATTTAAAATATCTAATATAAATATAGAGCAAAAAATAATTTGCATTCATAACTCTTTATTTGTTTTCTAACTAATAAGATACAAACTATAAAAAATTAATTAATTGATAAATCGTATCTTTTAATTTTTATATAAAAAAAGAAAAAGCTTAAAAAATTTATTAATTAACTATGAGCTAAGTTTAAAATAGAAATATTTAAGATAAAGGTGCTTCTACTTAAAACTATGAGAAGCTAAGAACTTCAGAGCTTTAAGTTGATATTGATTAGTATAAAGATTAATAAAAAGAAAATTCTAAATTTAGCGAATATCTTAGTAATCTAAATTTTAAGCAGCACTTTATTTTATTTTACATCTTTAGGTTAATAAATTGCTCCTTAATCAACAATTCATGGGCAGCTGATGAATATTGGTAGTCAGCAGAAGTTGCCCATAGAAATGTTTTCGGATATGGAAATCTCACTTGGGAATGGTAAATTGAGAAACCTATTAGATCTCCAGTTATTATGCTTATGGTTTAAATGCTTTACAGTTTGTTAAAGGTTCTAAACTTGGATACCCCTGATTTGGTTGCTTATTCACCTATGTTAATTAGTGCCTTTATAGCTTCTATATATGATTTTTACCTTATTAAATTAGTTCAAATTTGTCTAGGAAAGAAATTTGTTCTTCCTTGCTTGATAATTAATTAAACTCTTTGGTTCAATTTGATTGGAATGCCTAGATTACTTGCTAATTCTTTAGAAACGTGTCTATTGGTTGTTTCTTTTTACTACTACCAATCTTCAATTTTAAATAAAAGTTCTTACGATGATTATATTTCCAGAGTTGTTGTTATCATTAACTTTGTAACAAAACCTACATCTATTATTCCTTTCATTTTTATTTGGCCTATAACACTATTGACTATGTAAGGAAATTTAAAAAAGAAATTTAACTACTTAGTCTTAAATATTTTTACTGTCATTCTAATGATAGCATTTTCCATTTTATTAGATTCTCTCTATTATCAAAAGTTAACATGGACTGCTTACAACTTTTTTGAATTTAATATCCTAAACAAGCTCAGTAATTTGTACGGAACTTAAGATCCATTCTTTTATTTGTGGGCTGTTATCCCTAAATACTATCATGCATCTCTTCCACTAATATTTTATGGACTCATAAAATATTACTAGCATGTTAAAAAAAGTTAAAATAGCTACTTTATTATTTATTCCTTCTTTGTTTTACTTGCTCTTTACAGTAAAATTGATCATAAAGAAGATAGATTTATACTTCCATGCAACATTGGTTTAACTATTTTTGTAGTTACAGCATACACTTATTTACCTTTCTCTAAAATAAAAAAATTGCTACTGGCCATTTTTATTTTAGTAAACATAATTCTTTTTGTTTACGAAGGTCAAAATAATTAAGCTGCAGGTTTCAAAGTTATGAACTATTTAAGAAATCAAGGAGATAAAGTAAAATCTATCTATATGTTTACAACTTGTAATTAAACACCATTTTATTGCTATTTGCATAAAAATATTCCTATGCATTATCCTGAATGCCATGCTCTCGAAAGAGTAAAGGGTGAATATGATAATTTAACACTCTTTAAATAGCCCGAGAACTTTATAACTGAAAGACTTAATCAGTATGATCCTTCACATTTAATAGTATTGAGTTACTTCTTAGAAATCCCTTCAGTAAACTAGATATTTTAAGAAAGAGGCTATTAAGAAGAATACAGATAATTCCATGAAAGAAATGTAGGCATTCCTATCGGAGAAGTTTATGACAAAGATTTAGTAGTTATGTCAAAAAAAATACTAAAGCTTTGAGATTCCTCTATTAAGTTCTTAATTGAATAGATTAAATTAATATTGTCATTTTTAAATAAATTTAAAAAAGTATTTTTTATAAAAATTAATTTATCATTTGAACAGTTTTTTTTGAATTAAATATAAATCATAAAATAATCATTTCTATTAAAAAAATATGCATGTATGTATTTATGTTAAAATATATTTTTTATCTGATTTATACAAAAATACATTTATATAATTTAATCTACAATAAAAGCAAATTAAGTTGGTTTTAAAATTCAATCAACATTTCTATCATTCATTTTTAGATTTAAGACTCTTTAAGCTCAATCTATTAAATACTATTAAAGTAACAAAGAAAATTAAAAAGGCTCCAAATATCAATAATGGTTTCTTGATCAAATTAATAGTACTTAATTTATAATGTACCTAATATAAATAGTTAAAAAATAAATTAAATTTTGAAGAATTAATTAATGAATTACATAGAAATATTGATTATGGAAATCAATAACATTTTTCTTTTTGAATACGAGAGTAGGACGGCCATTAGTGTCAAGATAAGAGAAGGTGTTTTCAGTATATTAACTATCAACAGAAAAAGGAAGCTCTGATTTTATATCAGTAGCACCCTCTGGAAGGATTACTCTTAATTCGTAATCTTGAGCAAGCAAATCGTTAAAAGGTATAGAAAAGAGTTGTCTAAGGACGAATCCACCGTTACCGTCAGTGTGAAGATATCTGGTAGTATTCAAGTTATATCCAAGATTCCAAGCACTCTTCCACCCACCAACTACTGGATATCTAGGCATAATATTAAGCTTAACGACTTTTTCTTATTTCTTTTTAAATATTGATTTCACTTGAGAGTTTAATCGATAAAAAAAATTACATCTCTAAATCCGTTTGAGGTTGATATGTTTCCTATGACATCTCTATACCATACTCCTGTAGCATGATAGGGAAGCTCAGCAGAGAGAGACTTCAGAGCGTGTTTTCCACTTGAAGGATTGTATTTATTGTAATCAACACGACCAAATTCTCCCTTTAAATAAGCTCCTTCGTTCACTAAATTATAAGAACTATCAACTGCAATATTTCCCCAATGAGAAACCTGGGTTTATTCATAAGTTGTTTAAATAAATTTTAAAATAATCTCAATTAAAAGATAACCTCAATAGATTTAGTGGCCTTTGTGAGGTAGATAAGAGGTGTTGTATTTTCAGAATGGATTTCAATAGGATAAGAACTAAAAGCTTAAATTTCAGAAAATTCACCATATTTAATACCACCCTTTCTAAGCTTTAATGCTTTTTCATTTTCGGTGTGAGAACTATTTAATATTATATATTGATTATTTTATTGTTGATTACATTTTAAATTTTCTTTAGCAATTCAAAAGCATTTATTTGAAATAAAAAAAAAATCTTTTTTTTGATAAAAATTGATGATTAAATAAATATCTTTTATTATTTTAAAACATTTGAAAGAGATAATTTTATGATCTATAAATATCTTTTAAATAAATAAACAAGAGACACCAAATAGTATACTAAAGTAATTCTCTAGTTGCATTCTTTCTTTTGTATTTTTATTTTTTTAAAGGTTTATTTAGTGTTAGGAAGCAGCTATTGCCTTCCATACTAAATAATAAAGCAATATTGCAAATATATTTATTAAATTTTTACATGATGTTGCTGGTTTTGTAAACAGTGTATTAAGTTTTTACAAAATAAGGTGTGTAAATATAAGCATTGTCTTTAAATAATATCTTTTAATCTTCATTAATTCTAATTTCTCTTGGATAAGGAACTTATCTGTTAACAAATTTCTCTTCTAAAGTAATGGTAGCTGAATTTTAAGGGGCAATTGGACGTTCTAATTCGAAACGTATAAAAGTAGTATTGTATTGGTGTCTCATAGCAAAGTCTTCTTAAAGATTTCCACCAACTTCTCTTTGATCAGAATATCTGATAACAACAAGAATGGTATTTTAGATTTAATCAACTGGCAAAGCATAATAAAAACTGTTAACTGGAGTTTTTCCTTTATTGAATACTTTCAATTTAATAGTGGAAGTGACATATCTTTAAGTCAAATCAATTTCTCTATTTGCACTCTCAATAACAACATCTGCAACGTCTTGCTAATTAATTGAGAGACCCAACTAAAGAAGGGTTGCTAAAATAAAACAAATTGCTAATAAATTTTTCATTAATTGCTAGTTTTTATTTATAAAACCTAGTTTTTTTCAATACTTTAACTAGACCTTTTTATCAAATTAAATGATTATTATCTTTTTTTATTTTATGCAAATTAATTCCTTTTTTGATGCTTTCAATTATTGTAAGATATATCAAAAGCGTGTGCAAAAGACAGACTTTTATCTGAATCTTATTAATATTACTTGTATTTCTTTTTTCTTAACATTTTAGTATATTTTTCATTATCATTTCTATATCTTCATTTATTTTCTTTCAATTATGAAATCTTAACAACAATATCATAAGATTTATAATTTCAACTATCTAATATGCTTATTCATATGCGCATCTAAATAAATTGAATGTGCTTATCATCACTTATAATTTTTGATAAATTTGCTTAAATTTTCAATTTTTAATAATAAAATCTAAAATATTTTATCTTTGAATTTTTTTTTAATAATTAAATTTATTTATTTTTCACAAATAAAACTTTATTTTAATGATTAATTTAACAAAATATTTTAGTGTTATTTGAAATATCAAAATATTTTAATTCACAAAAATCATTTAAAATAAACTAAGAAATAAATAAAATTTTTATAGATAATAAAAATTAGTAGATTAGTTTTTAAAATAGAAAATCCTTTTGATAAATCCATCAGATTTAATTTAATGTATTAAAAATAATTTGAACTATTAATTATCATAATCAAATAAACACTTTTGATTTAACTTAGAAAATTATCTTTAATTCATAATCTCACCAAAAAAAATTCATATTTTATAGTATAGTTTAGGACAAAGATGCAGTCATTGACTGGATAAAACCTCTCCTATAAAACTATTTAATCAAAACAAAAATTAAAATTAGAGTTGTATCTTTTGTTGAAGGAGCTATGAGGTATGCTCTTTATTCCTATGACACCTTTTAAAACAAAAATTAGTTGCTAAGCTAAACAAAAACAAATATTTAATATTATCGAGCTGTATAAAAACTAATGATAAAAGATTTAGAAATTAAATTCATTTTTTAGTATATTATAAATGCTTTTGATTATAGAATTTCTGAACATGTTTAGTCAGTCAACAGAAAATTTAAGTGATTAAATAAAACTAGATTTAATATGGATATGCTACATTAAATTCTTTTATTTTAAATGAATTTTTTTAATTAGAATTTAATTAAATGAAAGCCTCAAAAAGTTATTTATTTCTTATTGATTATAACTTTTAAATAATAATATTTATTGAAATAGCTTGAAATATTTATGCTCATTCAAAAATCTTAGTTTTATATAATAAATATCAATATTAGATAGTTTATTTAATATGCTATTTATGATACATTTATCTGAATATGTTTATTTTTATGTATGCTGTATTTTTTATTTTATTTTTTTTATAATTTGAATTTAATTAATTTATTATGCTTTAGGTTGATAATTCTTTTATTAAGATTTTATTTTGTGTATTTATTAAATTTAAAATTGTATGGAATGGATTTTTTAAATATTTATTTTGAGCTGTTTATTAATTAGTAAAAATATGAGCTATTTAAAAGTAAAATTAAGAGAGCTTTGCTATGTCTTTAAAATTAGTTTATTTAAAAAAAAATGGTTTGAGTTTGGTTTAGAGAAATTATTTTGATGCGCCTCGTGATTGTGTTTGCAATCGTATTGAAATAGTATATTTTCATTTATAGAGATTTTTCAGATGTAAAAAACTTAAATGTTAATTGGATGCAAAGATGATCAGCTCTTTATAAATTTGTATTAAAAACTATAAGAGCTCACAAAAATAGGATCTTTAAGTTTCAACATAAGTATCTAAATGTTTTTAAACTTTAAAGATTATCTATCTTTGTATGGATGATCATCTGTAATTTTCCATAAATGATAAATATAGCTATCTCGTTTGTTTTCAAGAGGTTTTTCCTCTTTGATTTCTTTTTTTAATTAATTATTATAAAAAAATTAGATGTTTTCAAAGATCTAGAAGATTAATTTATTTGTTAGAAGAAAATAAAGAGATGGTAATGTATTTATTTCTCTTAAGCTTTTTTAATTAAAAATTGAAAGGAAGGTAATTCGTTTACAATTTTAAAAATAATGAATAATAAAATATAAAATTTAAAATTTAAAGTCAAATAAAAATAAAAAATAATTTTATAAATGAAATAAAATTAATAATAATTAATAAATAAATTTGTTATTTTATGAGAATTCAAAAATTTAAATATCTTTCTTTAATTTTTAGTGAAAGTTGAATCAATGTATTTCTTTTCAGATATGAGAAAAGAGATCCAATTAAAAATGGCTCGGTTCTGAAAACGCTTTTTTATTTGCATTGTAAATTAAGGATCTTATCTGAAAATAAAAGAGAAATGAATGACTGAATACATAAATACACTCACTACTCACTCACTGCTGATTCTTATTGTATTTCTTTAATAAATAAATATATGATTATTATTAATAGATATTATTTCAATAGAAATACAAATTTTTAAAAGATATTAATTAATTCTTAAAAAATAAATTAATAAAAAAAAGCAAATAAAAAGTTAAATTCTTCTAATTAGAAGACAATAGATTCGTAGATCATTAATAATTAAAGAAAAGATACATATACTTAACAGAAATGGCTGAGTAAACAAATATTTTCAATTAAGATTCAAAATGAAGATAATTTAAATTGAAACGATGCCTACTAATGATATAGGCTATATTTAATTCATAAAATAGAGATTCGAGTTAGTTTAAATTGTTTTTTTATAAATTAATTACAGTAGCAACTATGATAGAAGTGTGAATACTTTCTCTAAGTTAGGTTAATTACTTCAAGTTGAATATGCTATGCAAGCTGCTAAAGTAATAAATATTACAAGCTTAAAAATACACTTTTTATTTAATAAGTTGCTTAGCATTTTTATTTTTTGAAATTGAGTCGCTGAGCAATTTCTACTTCTTTTGAATTTTTTAAACACAAAATCATAAAAATAACAATAACTATTTAATTATAAAGTAAGGTAGCACTTCAACTTCTATTGGTATTAAAGTTAAAGGAGGAGTTATTTTGGCTGCTGAAAGAAAGTTCGATTCTTTATAAGAATCTAGACTTATGATCCTTAACCACAATATAAAAATCTAAGAAGTAACTCAAGAACATTTATTTACAAAATTCTTTAAAATAATTTAAATGATCTAAATGATAGTCAGTCACAATAAAATTATATGGACATTAGCAAGATATAAAAAAATACTAATAAATATATTAAAGCAAATTATTATAAAAGTTTCTAATTTAACTTTTAAATATTTAAATTAGATCGATACTCATATTTGTTGTGTTCCTGCTGGTATTATTCCTGATGCTCGTACTTTGATTGATTACGCTAGAGTTGAATCTTAAAACCACAGATTCACTTACAACGAACCCATGAGTGTCCGCTCTTTAACTCAAACTGTATCTGACTTGGCTCTTAACTTTGGTGAAGGTGATCCTTCTCTTAAGAGAAAGCCCATGGTAATTATTTATTAATTTGTTGTTTATTTAAACTAAAACTTATTGTTAAATTAGATCAGAAAACAATCAAAATTTATAAAAAAAATTTATCTAAATAAAATAAAAGATCAAAATTTATTGTTTTATCAAAATCTATTTTTTAATAAAATATTTTTTAATTTATTTAATAGCCCAGACCTTTTGGTGTAGCCTTGTTAATTGCAGGTGTTGATGAAACCGGTCCCAGACTTTTTAAGACTGGTAAGTTAAATTTATTTATCAAACTTTTAATTTAAAGTATTTTATAAATTATGCAGATCCTTCAGGTTCTATGATGGAATATTAAGCTACTTGTATAGGTTGTGGTCAAGAAGGTATTTAGCCCACTCTCGTTGAAAAATATGATGAAGTAAATATTGAAATAAATTTTATAAATATATATAAAAATATAATAATTAATATAGAATATGAGCATAAGAGAAGCTGAAGTTTTAGCTCTTTCATGTTTAAAAGAAACTATGGAATAAACAGCAAGCAGAGATAATCTTGAATTAGCAGTTATTCCTATTGAAGGAGGTTAATTTATTGAAAGAACTCCTGATTATATTGATGAAATCCTTTAAACTTTGGGCTGATTTATTAGCTTATAAATTTAAATTTTATATTAAAAGTATCTTATAAGTATTAAATAAATACCATTCTTTAAGTTTTATCTATTTATCTATCTATTTATAGATTAATTTGTAAATTTTTATCCTTTTACTAGCCAATTTGCATTTTTTACAACATAAAATTATTTCCATCAATCATATTCTAGATTTATTTAATTTAATATATTCATGAATTTTATAATAAAGAGTAAAATATTTAGAGATTATGAATATTTTTTTAAATATATTAATTTCTGTATTATAAATATATTGTTAATAATGTAAAAATTTTGATATAGCATCTATACTTATTAATTTCAATCATTAAAAAAAAATAAGAGTAAATTTATATGTATTTAACTTGCATCTAAAAAATTATGAAATACTAAAATTTGAAAATGCAGTTATAATTTTTAAAAATAATTAAACATTAACTTTAAATAAATAAGCAAAAATATTTTAATTTATTTTTTTATCATAAATTCTAACAATTACTGTAATTATGATATCATAAAATTTATTTTAAGTTAAAATTTGAAATATTTTATGAAGAATTACTTATTTAAAATTTTTTTAAGAATCAAAAATAGAAATCAATTTAGGATTGTCTTTTTTTTAAAAATGATAAAAAACAAATTTTAAAAAAATATTAATGTAATGTAGCAATCAAATTTGCATCAATCTAAATTAAATGGATTAAATTAGTGATACTTTAATATCTTTAAAGTTTATTTTGTTGAATTTAATCTTAGCTTTAACTATTAAAAATCATTTTTAAGATAATAAAAATAATACAATTAAATTCATAATCTATTAAACTTTTTTGTTAGAATAGAATTTTATTAATTTTGAATATTTTATTTTTAACACAAACAAACAAGTTAAATTTAAAAATAGTTTATTTTTGAACTAAACTACAGTTAAATTTATTATATTTTAAAATGAGAATGATTTTAGAGAAAGCCTTATTTATAAAAATGGAATAGATTTTTAACAAAACTTTCAAAATTATTTACTATAATTATAATTATAAGACTAAGTAAATATAAATAATTATAAAAGGTTTATGTATGTATATTCAGAGAATAAAAAATATATTTTAAATTATAACATTAATTTATTTATAAATAATAATAGTAAAATTAAAGCTAATGATTGATTAATTATATATGTATAAAAGCATGTTTTCATATGAAATATGAAGGAGTTAGTTACTTTGTTAGTTATTTAGTGAGAGAGTTGATTTATAATTTAATTTGAAAAATTTATTTAGAATAATTCACTGCAAAATATACAAAAATACAAAGCAAGCAATTAGCTACCTACCTATTTATCAATACTAAAATTAAACTAAAAATATTATGCTTAATTGCTATGTATATTTTATTTAATAAATTTGGAAATAAATTTTAAAATATTAATCAATCTTTTTGAGATATAAATCTAAGTTATTTCAACAACTATCTCAGAAGTGGATGGGCTTGTCATAAGCAGCCATGCAAGCTTCTTTAAGAGCTTCAGAAATAGTAGGATGAGCGTGGCAAGTTCTACCTATATCTTCAGCAGCAGCACCATATTCGACGGCTAAAGTAGCTTCACCGATTAATTCACCAGCTTATGCATTCATAATATGGACACCCAAGAGTTTATCAGTATCCTTTTCAGTTAAGATCTTAATTAAACCATCGTAGTCGTTGTTAGCTTTAGCTCTAGAGTTAGCAAGCATGGGGAAAGAACCCTTGTTGTACTTAATATCTATTAAATTTGGTTTAAATATTTAGATTAATTTAATTTTAAATTAATAATAAAAATAATATTTACTGGCAGCCTTAAGTTCTTATTCAGTCTTTCCGACCCAAGCAACTTCAGGATGGGTATAGATAACACTAGGAATAGCATCGTAATTAACATGACCACCCTTTCCAGCAATATATTCAACAGCAGCAATACCTTCTTCTTCACCCTTGTGAGCCAACATAGGTCCAGGAATGACATCACCTATGGCATAAATATTGGGAATGTTGGTTTGTAAGTGGGAGTTAGTGATGATTCTATTTTTGTTGTCAAACTCAATACCGATTTCCTTAGCATTTAAGCCATCAACATAAGGTCTACGACCTGTAGAAACTAAAATATGATCAGCTTCAAAGGTCTAAGATGGACCTCCCTTAACAGGTTCAACAACTACGCTACCGTGAGTACCGAAGTTTTAACCAGAAACAACCTTATGGCCAGTCAAAATTTGTAAACCTTATTTCTTTAAGCTCTATTGGAAAGCCTTAGCAACATCAGTATCAAGGAAAGGGCAAATTTAATCAGCAAATTCAATGACAGTAACTTGAGTACCTAATCTTTGGTAAACAGAACCCATTTCTAAACCAATAACACCAGCACCAATAACGATTAATTTCTTAGGGATCTAGGGTAAAGAGAGAGCACCTGTATTAAAGTAATAGTAAAATGATAAAATGATTAAAAGGAGATTCGAATAATACAATAAATAAATAAATTAATTAATTAAGTAGATTAGATCAGAATCCTTAAAAATTATTGAAGCATCAAATAAAATTTTGAGAAATTTCTTGATAAATTGAAAGATAAAAAATTTGCTTTATTTATTAATTAAATAGTGCTACTAATCAATTTATTTCATTCATTAAATATCTTTTTATAAATCTTATCTAATCTTGTTATTTATTTATTTATTTGCTAATCAATCTACAAAATTCATTATAGCTTAAGTAAATAAATAAATTTCCACAAATCTTTTATTTTACCAGTTGAAGAGATGATAACCTTTTCGTCGAAGTTGAGACCAGGGAAAGGAGTAGGTTCAGATCCAGTAGCAATAATAATGTTCTTGGAGTTAATAACCTACTAAGTACCATTGTTAAGATTAATACCAATAGTGTTCTTGTCATTTAGTCTACCAGTACCAACAAAGTAGTCAACCTTATTCTTCTTGAAGAGACTTTCGATACCTCTGGTCAAACCAGTAACTGTTTCAGCCTTCTTTGTTTAAGCTTGAGCTATTTATTAGATATATTTTAGTTATAATAAATTATTTTGCTAACAGCTAGATGTTTGAAACAAAAGCATTCAATTAAAAAAAAGTATTTATTTTGAGTAAAAAATCATTTTTGGTGGATAAAATTTTTTTTCTTAAGAGGATGAAAATAAAAAGAATTTAATATTTTACCCCAATTCATTTTAACACCTTCAACTTCGATACCAAGTTCTTTGTAGTGCTTGGAAGCATCATAATATTTTTAAGAGATGTTTAAGAGAGCCTTTGAAGGAATGCAACCAACATTTAAGCAGGTACCACCCAAAGAACCTCTCTTTTCAACACAAGCGGTCTTTAAGCCTAATTAACCAGCCTTAATGGCAGCTACGTAACCTTTTATATTTATAATATAATTAAATAAACCTATTTTTCTTAATTTTAGCTATATCAGCTATAAACACTTGCTTCTCCTTCTATCTTAAAGCTATTGAACATAATTTGAAATTATCCTTAGCTATAGGCATATTTTAAGACAAACTGTAATTTAATTTAGTACGCATCTTTTATATTTGATCAACTCTTATAGAATATTTGCTTAACTATGTGAATTTTTCTCAGTTTTTAAATAATCAAAGTTTTCATGAATAACCTCTGAAATGCTACTGCTTTAAAGCGAAAAGAAGGAGAAGAAGCTGTATTGTATAAAATTTTGATTAAATAATTAGGATTATTACCACCAGGACCACCACCAATAACGACGACATCATATTGAGTGCTAGTGGAGAACAATTATCTAAGACTATGGGTAAGATTTCTAGTAGGAACAAAAGTTTTGAACATTTTTAAGTTTTTTGTGTTTATATCTGTTTATCTAATATTTTATTATTTATTTTATTTTTTTGCAATTATTTAAATGAATAGAATCACTCTGTTTATATTGCATCTAATTAATTAATTGTTCAGAATTTTCCCCTCAATTTATATTGTTTCATCTCGAAATATTCTTTCTTAATATCTAGAAGAAGGAGAATCTTTGGTAAGTAACTAAATAGCGTCAAAGACTAACTAAAACTTAATAATTCTGCTTAATATTAGATATGAGATTTGTTTTTGACTCAAGCAATCAATTTTAAAAGTAATTAATGCTCTTTAACCCAATATCTTCATGCAACTAATTCGTAGTTAATCGAGACATCCTACAATGGTAGCATCATATTTTCTATTTTCATTTTTATGCTATTGAGTTTTATCTTCTATACAAACTGAAAATAGACTAATTTGACTTAGATTTCATCAAAATCTTACTGATATAACCTTTAATTTTTACAATAATAAGATATAAAAGCCAATAAAGATTATTCTATCATACCAAAACGAAAATTAGGATAGACAAGTTTATTAATCCTACGTTATCACATAGTATATACTAGATTAGTATTCTAATTAATTTATTTATTTTATGATCTTACTCTTAACACCAGAGAAATCGATACTATAAAAAATAAAGAAATTAAACATTTTTTTATTTTATTAACTGAGATTAGATACTTATTTTTCTTACAATATCTTAGGTATTAATTCATTTCTATATTTAATTATTTACCTAATTGTTTTTAGTGACACAATTTCTTTATTTAAATTTAATTATAATTATGCATTAATAAATTTAACTAGTGATTCATTCATTTTTTTTTATAAATTAAAATTAGAAGAAATTTTTTTTTTCTTATAAAATAAATCTACGTTAAAATGCCTCATTCAATTTTATTTTGAATAAATAAGTAAAATTTGAGATAATTTTTAAAATTCTAAAAAAAATTGAAATGATTTAAATCAATGAATTGAAAGGCAGTATAATAATAAATATTATAAACAGTATTAAATATTTAAAATAAAAAATTGAAATCAAAACAGATATATAATTTATTTAAGAAAAATAAATTGATAAAATTAATGTTAAATTTAATTTAGAATAATTATAAATGATAAATTTAGAGATAAAGAATAGATAGATTTATTGAATTATATTTCAACTTAAGACATGAATAGGAATATTGTGTTAATTTTATTAAGAATCTTATTGATTTTTAGAATGGATTACATTTTTTAATCTTTTTTAATATGTTTTTGATAAGCTATTAAATATTTCGTTATATTGTTCAGCGATTGCGGTGTTTTCAAGAAATTCTAACAAAAATTAATCAAGTATTGGCTTCATAAAAGAAGTGCATATCTTAGGATCGTAAAATTCAGCTAACAGTTAAAAAATTTTTAATATGTTTTCTTTAGATTCGTTTTAAATATATGATTATCTAATTATCAAATATTATAAGTAAATTTGGTGCTGGTCATCAGCAATTTTTTTTTCTATTTAAATTGGCAGGCAAGCAATCCACAGTTAAGTAAGTAGGACATCGTTCGGTAAAAGGGAACCATGAAGTTTCATGAGTTTTCCAAGTATGTCTACAGCATATTCTTTTAAGATATTTATTTTGCGATTTTATTTAAACACATGCAACTAATTATTGTTAACTACTGAGTTTGTTTAAGCATCAATATATATTCCACTTTCTTTGATTAGAGAAAGTGCAATCTCTTAAATTTAAAGTAAATAAGGTTGTAGTATTTAAGAAGGAGTTGAAATCACTAAGCAAGATAAACCATATAGTGACTCTTTTTTAATGATTAAAGATTCATGATTAAGCTAGCTCAAAAAGACGTTTATGATTTCTTCCCATTTTTAGTAAAAGCGGACAAATCCTATATGCTTTACTATGTCTTATAAGAGAATCATACCAAATTACTAGAGTAATACCTAGGAGGGATCAATAAAAGTCTTTGGAATTATATTAGTATAAATTGAAGCAGAGAAATTTAATGCTTGCTCTTAGTGACTTTTGTAAAGACTACCTAGTACATGAGCTATTTCTATATGGAGCTACTCTTCTGTTTTATACTCCTTAGGTATGATATATTTTTATATTTAATCAATATCGTTATCTTTGATTTATTCTTAAAATTTTTGTTTTCTTCTATCTGACTCTTGCAAAACTTGCATAAGTTAGTTACTTAAAAATTCGAATTCCATTTCACTCATAAACTCGCTTCCTTCCTGAATACATAATCTCATGCTTTGTAACTACACTATAATGAGCTAGGCTTCATATTCAGAGTCTATGCAGTCACGAAGATTCTTTATAATTTCTTTAAGCAAATTTTTTTGCTTTTCTTAGTCAGTTTTAACACATCTAAGGAGTTAGGGTAAACACTTGCAAGCTGTTTCTCTAATTGATTCGTTTTTAGAGGAAGTTTGAATTTGTATAAGCTGGATTTAGACATTAATTTATAAAAGTATTTTAATATTTTTAAATAATAATTTAGTATAAAATATTTACATCATAAATTTAATCAATGAATGCAGACATGTAGTTTGAAAATTTATCAGCAAAAGTTGATATGAGTTTTATGGCAGATTAGATGTTTTCTGTATCTAATGACTCTTTGTGATTGTCATCAATCAATATAGTACCGATTAATATGAGCAGTTAAGGCATTAATTTGTTTACAAGTGGGGAAAGTTCTTCGATATATTTATGTGCCAATCTATTCCAAGCATCAAATAAATTTTTATAGTGCTATACAGGTTAATTTTTTAATGACTCTGTGTAGGTGTTTAAAATCTCAACAAATGGTTCTAAATATGGAATGAACGCAGCTTTTCTCATTAAATGAGAAGTTATAGAGATGCACTCGAGAATGTTTCCGCAAAACTGCAAAAGCTAGCTTGTTTTGCAAGATTATTTTACATGTTAAAAAAGTCTATTCAATACACTTGCAAGATGTTATTCGAAATATCCCTTTGAAGATTCAACAATACTTGATAAGGCTACGACTGCAGCTTCCTTCTCTACTATACTTCCATCGTCAATTAATTTAAATAAACCTATGAGTAGATTTTCAAGAAAAGGTTTTATCGCATCTTCATGCATCGATTCAGCAAAATTGACTATTGCAGCAGCAGAATGAGCTCTCACACGTGGGGTATTATCTTAAAGTAATTATATCAATTTTGGTAATAAATCATTGGCATATGTTTCTTAAAACAAAGGAGCCATGTCATCTGATATTTAACCTATAACTTAACAAAATGCATATCTTATCAAAGGATTTTAGTGATTAAATGAGTATTCATAAGCTATTTTTAGTAATGGTTCTAGAGTTCCTACCTCTTCTATAAATTCCCCAATTTAAGAAAGAGCCATCATTGCTGCATGAGGATAACGCCAGTCTTACTTTATATTTCCCTCTTCGAAAAGCTTTTTGATATTTAAGATAACCAAATCTAGCACTATGCTGATATCTTCAAAGCATGGAATGTATTAATTTATTAAACTTTATCCAAATCTTATTGTTTCGCTTCTTTCATCATTTTCTAAATCATCATTATATCCACTTTAAGGATTCATCCACTCCTATGTTATTTCTGTATCAATCTGTTTTAATAAATTTAGCAAATTAACAAAATAAACCATTTATAAAGTTATATTAGATTGGAATATTAATTATTGATAATTTTATTTACTTAAACCATTTGCAAAAAGATTAAATGAAGAATGTTTTCAATTTTATCGTTTTAATTCTCAATAAACTCAGGGAAATGCTGAATGAAGTTGACAAGGGATTCTATTAGTAATCTTTAAATAGTAGGTTTAGGGTATTCTTAAATCATTTTTGTCAATCCTATATAAAATTCATTAAAATTATTCTTAAAGAAAGAAGGTTCCTAATCTGAGATATCAAAGATCACGTTAACAGCACTGAGGACATTTTCATTCTCCTCAGCATCATCATTATTTTAATTTTAAACTTTATCTTGTTATAAAATGTTATACACAGATTCTAAGAATGGAATTGATAAATTGTTAAAATTTTTGCAAAGCTTTCTCTCTAACTACTGCATTAAAACGCCTAAAGTCTTTATTGCTTCGACCTAATTATTTAGGCAAATACAAAGAATTAAGCTTGATTAATTAAAAATTTATTTTATTCAAGCTTTGGCTTTGGTTGTTAAAAGGAAAATAGATTTCTAAATAAAAAGGAAAATATGTGTATGAATATCTATTTATCTATATTTTTGACAGCATGTGTTACATAATATATCAGATTGATGTTTTAAAATTAATTAAGAAGTGAAATAATCCGCGGACTTTAAAAACTTAACTCTTAATATTATATCTAATCTGTTACTATTATTAATTACACCAGTTTTACAAATGAATATTTACAATTTACCTTGATTGTATAATCTTAATGTAATAAACCATTATTAAGAAGTATGTTGAGCTCTTTAAGATTATTTTAAAAAGCTGAGTGGCTGTATTAAATTAATACCCTTAGTATGATAAATGCAGATTGTTAAATTTCCAATTTCTACTAATCAAATAATTCCCAAAGTAAGTGGATTAATCCATCCCACATATTTCTATTAATCAAAGAAGCACCTACTTCTCCTACTGCTTCACTTATCTGCTTCCTTAGAGATTAATTCTATTCATATGTAAGCTAATTAATTAAAATGCTCTACAACATAATCACTGTATCTTAATTGATGTTTTTTAGAATTATAGGATTTGTTGATTTTGAATAATCTGAAAGAGATGTTCTAATTTCATTTATTGCGAATACTTTTAAGTCTTTATTCTAATTTTCTATTTATTTATAAAATTTGTAAATTTATGAGTTATTTTTTTTAGATGAATTTGCAATGCTTTTTTTAAATTTAGGATAAAATGATTTTTTCACCAAAATATAATTCGTTGATTTAGTGAATGTAACAAAGTAATTTGAAAAAAAATAAAAAAATACCATCTGTAATAACGCTCAGCATATCTAATATAAACTAATCATTATCCTTTTTCTTAATGCTAATAAACTTCTCTTCTAATTACTTGATTTCATCATTTGATTAGCATGAAATGATTTTTTGTACTAAATCTGCTAATTTTTGTTAAGACTACATCTATTTATCTATTTATTTATTTATTTAATTTAGCTAAAATGAAAAATATATCTTCTAATAAATTTTTAAAGTAATTTTTTTGTAATAAAATACAGCTTTTTATTTTTTACAAAACAAACACTTTGTTTTTATTAAATTTACTTTTGCTAACTAAAAATTGTAGGTCTGGAAATTCTCTTTACTTGATTCTCGATTCGTCTCTCTGTGTTGGTTAAATAAGAAGTATTTGATAAAATAGATTATTTTTTTCTCTTAAATTTTAAAAAATTACCAAACTATTACAGTTGAACTTTTCAAATATGATATAATTTAAATTTTTACAATTTTAATTTAATATTTTATGTAAAACATAAATAACTTTTTAAAATAATAATTTAGATTAAATCTTAGGTGCTGATCGGTATCTCTGGGCATTATTAAATTTTTGTTATGTTAGAATAAGTCCTTAATCCATAATTTAATTGCTTATCAGTAAATAAGAGCTTTCTATTATATCACATCAGGTTTTTTAATTTAATAAATGAGAATAGGGAATTTTTGTTCATCTTTTTTAACAGATTATGCTACAAGCAGATAATAGATAAAATTAAAAGCAAGTATTTTATCAGAATTTTATTTGATTATGATAGCTAATTTTAATTAATTTAATAATTTATATCATCTACCTAAAAATGTTTCTACTATTACTGATTTACAATTCATACAATTTCTAAATTAAGAAATTAGACTTCTCATAGAATAAATCACTTACAATTTACCAAGAATAAGAAAATAATGTCAAAATCTTCAAAATTTTCTAAAAAATTTTCTCTAATCATGAATTTAATTATTCTAGTTTATATTAAAATATTAAGGAACTCCAAATAAATTCTATACTAAATTCTTTATTAATAAAATAATATGTAAAAATAATTATATTATTATTATTAAACTCTTTAGTTTATAAAAATACTTTATTCTAATCCCATAAATGATTGATTTACAAAGACAATAAAAGAAATAACTTTTACTAATGAATTTCTTTAATAATTAGAACAATTAGATTTTAAGATTTATATTTATAAGTTCATTTTTTGATATGAATAACTCTCCTTATGTGGAAGTGTAATTTATATACCTTTATTTTGAGTGTTTACAATTAAGTTTTTAATTTATTCATTTAATTAATATTAGTTTATACCACATCTTCTATATCATAATTTAAACTAGATAAAACTATTTGTAAGCTAAATAAACTATTTTAGTAAATGATTATTATGATAGTAGATTATTAACTCATAAAATGTTAAAATTATTTTAATTTTTTAAAAATATTATCCATTTTTATATTAAAAATATGAAAGCTTAAATTAATAATATAAATTTCTTAGAAAGATTTTACTGATTTTAATTATATTTAATTATTTTTTACTGTATTTTTTATTTTAATTCACTTAGTTTTAAATTAGAAAGAGTTATTTAAAGCTAAATGAAATATTTTAGTAAATGATTACTTTTATAGTAAATTAATAACTCATAAAATGTTAAAACCTTTTTAATTTAAAAAAAATAAAATCTATTTTTATATTGAAAGTATCAAAGCTTAAATTTATAATATAAATTTCTATAAAAGATTTTACTGTTATAATTTTTAAATATAAATATATTTAATTTGTTTGTTTATTTTATTTAATTATTTTTACTGTATTATTTATTTTAATTCACTTCGTTCTATTTTAATTTAAAAAATTTTTTTAATAATTATTAAATTTTAAAATAAAAAAATAAAAAAAATTACACTATAAACTCAGACATTTGTTTGTCAAAGCAGAAAATGCTTAAAAATCTTTGAGGACATGTCTATTAGAGACTAAATGTATTATATCTAGTAATAATATATTAAATTGCTATGAAAAGTCCTTATATAACAACAAAATCAGTAATCGTAACAAGGACAAATATAAAAGTCCAATTGTGATCTTAATTTAAAGAAATCCAATCAAGCTACGGGTAGAATTGGTACACATTGTTGCAAACTACGTACATGACTAAAATTGCAAAACAAATATAACTCAATTTGTAATACAAATAAGATATTTTAATAAGAGCAAATCTTATTCCATTCATTACCATTTTCATAGCCACTAAAGACAGGAAAATGTAAATAGCCATTAACTTAATTAAAAAACGATACATTAATTATTTATGAATAATATTCAAAAAATATACATTTAACTGAGGCGAAGAAATCCATATCAAAAATAAAAATTTAGAAAAAACTAGTAGGACTCTAATAGGACGACTAAGTTCTTCGTTGTATCTTACTAAAATAGATGTCACCTCAAAGAATTCCTAAATTATTTAAAATTTACATATATTTTTGCTAAAAAATAATAAAAAATATTACAACAAAGGTTCTTAGGAAACCCCTTCCTTTTTCCTTGGTTCCTTTTAGTGTACTTTCCTACCAACCAGAAGCAACAGTTGTATTATTTTATATTTTTTTATTTTGTAGCATTGCTGATGAATAAGTGACAGACCCATTCTCTCTTTTGTGTCTTGATCTTGATTAAGAGCTTTGGCTATCATCATCCTCATTTTATCTTTATCTCTTCTTTTTATTTTCATCATCATCAATAATGTATGCCAAAGAGAGTGGTCCTGCAGGACCATCTTGCATACTTTGTTATCCTAAAAGCCTGTTTATATTGAGGACCCTACTTTTAGGAATGATTATATCTAGAACTTCTGCATCTGACTTTTGTCTGATATCACCTTCAAATTTTGACATTAATCCTGTCTTAGTAACTTTTGATTTTCTGAATGGAGCTTCAGGGTTAGGATCTTGAGAATTCTTAATTTTGTTATCTTATGGTTCTTCGTTGGAAAAAACTATTTTTTTATTTTTCTTGGGATCTGATTCAAAAGAATCTATTTCGTCGATTCTGTTTAATTATTTGCTTCCTTTTCTTTTTTAGGGTTCTTCAAATTCTGATATGTCGTCCTGTTTTTATTTAGGATCTTTTGCATTAGGTAATTCTGGATCGCTAGAAACAGGTTAAGGAGCTACTTAGTTAAGTCTGTATTTTTTACCCCTAAAAATTTTAATTTTTTATCTGTCTGGGATAATATTGTCAAGATAAAATCCTATTAACATAGAGACTATGCTGAATATCGTAATTCCTAAAACAATCCAAAACATGATAAAATCTGTATATTAAAGATTTCTTTCCCATTTTATGCAACTCTATTCAAGGCCATTAGGATTTGAGCAAATTTCACAAGATTCAGGACAAGGAACACATGTATTATCTATAGAATTTGTGTAATAATAAGTTGGACACCTAGATTTTTTAAAAAATATTATGTAAAAACTACATACAATGTTAAATAAAATGATTACTTTTAAAGGCATTTATTTTTAAGGAAATACCATCCTTAGGCACATGTGAGACATACAGTTGGGTCAGAAATTGAACATGTCAAACAAGATGGATCACATTCGATACATTTATTTACTCCATTACCTATTTATGCATATCTTGAGGGACACTTAGGGACACATATTCCTTTGAGTAAGTATGAATCGGTGTAGCAAGAAGTACAACTATTTGTGTATTTATTAGTACAAGTTTTGCATGAAGAATTACATGGCTCACAATTTAAATTAATATCATTTCCATATAATCCATCAGGACACTATGGAGAGCATTGGTTGTTAAAGAAGTAATTGCCTGGCTAACAATTTATGCAAGCACTTTTAGAAGGGCTCAAACAGTGGGCGCATGTTGAAAAGCATGCCTGGCAAACATTATTTCCACTAACTTTAAAGTATCCAGCAGTACAATCTGTCAGGCAACTATTTTCTACAAAAAATCTATTGTTAGGACAAGCAGAGCATCCTTTATCTCCTGCAGCAAAGCATTCTTGACAACTAGGATGGCAAGTTTAGCATAGAGATGAAATTTTCTAATCTCCAAACTAACCACTTGGGCATTTTGCTACACAAATATGAGTTTCAATATTCAAAAATTTATCTGGAAAGCATGTTTCGCATTAATTTTCATTTCTCTCAAAACAAGTCTTACAATTAGGATGGCAATTAACACAAGTGTTTGTAGCAATATCATTGAATAATCCATCAGGGCAGCTAGATATACATTATCCGTTCATTAAAAAACGTGTAACATTGCAAGTAATACATTAGTTAACAGATCCACCAGAGCATGTTTTACATGTTTAATCACAAGGTGAACATCTCATGGATTATTTATTTGCCCAAGTTCCATCAGGGCAATTAGGTAAGCATTAGTTTTTATAAAAATATAAACCTAGTTTAAATAAAATTAAATTAAAAACAAACAAAAATAATTATAATTATTACCAGGTTTGCAACCCACACATTAGTTATCATTCGGACCAGTGCATGTTTTACAATTAGAATAGCATGGATCACATGTTTAAGTATTAGGATTTTCAAAATATTATTCTGGGCAAGCTAATTTACAATATCCATTATATAAATAACGACCTAAGTCGCATTTAAGACATAAGTTCTCATCTTGCCCAGTGCAGGTTAAGCAAGTTGGATGGCAGCTCTTGCAAAATTATGAAAAACTATCAGGATAATAACTTATTTTATTAATTAGTTTTAAATATTTAGATTAATTGATTTGTTTGTTTAAATTAAAATTTATTTTTACTAAGTTGGACATGTTTTTTCACAAGTGTATCCAGGTGTTCTGAAAAAAGGATTTGTGCATGTTAAGCAATTGCTATAATAAGGTCCATTACAAGTAGCACATGTTTTATCGCAAGGTTTACAAACTCTTCTTTATTCATCTTAATACTCATTTGAAAGACATTGCTTCTCGCATGTTGACTTAGTTGTTAGATACTCTCCTGGATTACAGGATTTACATGAAGACGGGCCTGGTCCACTGCAACTTGCACATTTGGGATCACACTATAAGCAAACATTTCCAGATTTAGATGCATTTGGGTAATATCCTACAGGACAATTAGGATCACATGTTGTTCCTGTTAAGTAAAGAGGATCACCACATTTTGTACAATTTGTACTCGTTGAAGCGCACTCTTGACACTATTGATTACATTTTTCACACATTTTAAGGTCTTAATTTCCAAAATAGCCAGACTGAATGAATTAAAAATATATAAAATTATAAATGTAAACATTTGACAAAATTTGAATTTTTTACTTAACAGACAGAGAAGCACTTGCCATTTAGTATATAGGCATTACAAGATGAACATTGATTGTCAAGAGGACCTGTGCATGTGATGCAAGAAGGATCGCAATCCTTGCATTTCCATTCTGCAGATTCTGGATAAGTTCCTATTGGGCATTTTGAACCAAACACACACTTAGTTGAAGTTAAATAATAAGGATTTGCACATTGAGTACATTCGCTTTTACTAGGACCTGTACATTAAAAGCAAGTAGGATCACATTTTAAACAAACATATTAAGGAGTGTAAACAGGGTAGTAGGAATCACTGCACTTGCTAACACATTTTTTTTCCTACAAAAAATCTAAACCATTGCATTTAGTACAATTATCTTTCTAATCTCCAAAGCATTCTAAGCAAGTAGCATCACAATTTAGACAGCTGGCAGGAGATGCATCTGAAGGAAAATATTTGGAAGGACATGTCTGAACACAAACAGAATTATATAGATAAAATCCACTAGCACATAAAAGGCATTTGGTTGAGTTACAGGATATGCAATTTGATGAGCACTTTTTTTATTTATTAGTAAAAATGGTAAATAAAATAAATAAATTTAAAATATTTTATCAATTAATTCTAAAAGCTAATGAAAATAAGAAATAATTTTTTTTACTTGTTCTACATAAACAATAAACTCTCTTATTCCAAAAGATTAGAAGAATTTAACACTCTGATTTGTTGAAAATGTCAATTATGCATCTGAAGTAGTATGCGTATATACTTTCTTAAAAGATTTAAATAATTCAGGATCTGAGCTAAAACCACACATATCGCTACCAGATGAATCATTTTAAAAAGTCTCTTTTGTTGAATCCTTCAATTAAAAGTAGTACTAAAAGTTATAAGTTCTATCAACAATTAGATACTTAAATTCAATATGTATTGAAAAATGAGGTGGAATATTTTAGATTTAAAGAATTATTGAACTTTATGCAAAAGTAACCCAACCACCAAATACTCTATTACCTCCACATGTTGTAAATGGATTACTAAGAGTGAAGCCTGTAGTGGTAAATTGCATTCTAGTTATCTCATAATTCGAAAATCTAGGTGCAAACAACCCTTTTGAGATGTATTTTCCTGATACAACTAATTAAATAAATTAAAGAAAAATATGATTAAATTAATTAAATATGACTACATAATTTAATCAATTAAAAATATAATCACCTCCTGGGTTGTCTATCGGTCCAACACATTTGCTTCCTTGAAGAGTGGCATATGTTGGACATGTGGCTACACAATAACCTTCACTTAAATAAAAACCTCCTGTACATGATAGGCAAAGATTTGTAACATCTGTATCGCATTTTTAACATGCAGGACCACAAGGTTTTGATTCACACTGTTTTGTTGTAGGATTAGGAAATAAATTATCAGGACATTTTGTAACACATGAATTTTAATAAGCATAACCTTGATCACCACAGCTACAAACGCCACCTTATACTTAACCTTATGGGCAACTTGTGCAATCAGTAGAGAAAGGACCTGAACAAGAAAGGCAGCTAAAGTGGCAAGTTGCTAAAGAAAGCTACATATAACCTATGATATATCTTTTTCCAGGTTATTAGTTAAGAAATTAAAATGAAACAGAGTCCTCTGAGTGTTTGTATTTTTAAAAAACTATGTTTTAAAAGAAACAATAAATAAATAATTAAATAATTAATAAAACAAAAAAAATAATATTATTAAAGTTTTAATCATACTTATTCATTTTAATTATAATGATAAGAATTTATATTTATATAAATATATGTAGAACCAAATTGTTATTACACTGATAAAAAGAAGCACCTCCCGTATTGCAATAATTTCTATTATTCGTTCCAGCGACATCATTAGCATCTGGAAAAACTGAGCTTACTATTTTATTTGAACTTGGGCTATCATCTTAAACAACCATCATTCCTCCACCCATATTATCTAAAAATATAAAATCAAGATAAACAGAATATTCGTAGTGTGGAGGTAGATTAGAGAAGGTTATTTAAGGAGTTTAATCACTTGTATAAGGTCCTGTAAAATATTTGCCATTAAAGGAGCTTAAATAATAATCTGTACATAAATATAGCTTAGGATTTAGAGGATTATTGCCAGAGTCTACTACAGACCAACCCTCATTAATCAAATCATTAACGCTATATGAATTCTAATATAAAGCTTCTTGATAGTAATCTAATTCATCTTGATCTTTAAGATTAGATAAGATATTTATATCAAAAATAATTATATTTAAAAATACCTGCTTTGATTTCAAAAATTAAATAAGCAAGCCAGATCACAAGCTGAGTGATAATTTTTTTTTTCATTTATATTCTATCTTTTTGTATTACTTTTAAATAAAACTTAGAGTAAAGTAAATAATGCAATTTTTCTGTATTAATTTCTAAAAATTTAGAGTAAATTAATGTTATTAAACTTTTTGATCAATTGGTTTTGTTTTTTGTTTTCTTATTTTAATGATTTCAGCTTTCCTTTGCTTAAAACTTAGTTATGCTTAATTTTTATTAATTGATAGTAAGCTATAAAATTAATGCTATTAATATATTAAGATAGAAGTTTGATGATAAATATTTAGTAAGAAACATACTTGAATACTTATCATATTAATTAAGCTTACTTTGAATAATTAAGCTCTTCTTAATCATCAAATACAAAATATAATTTTTGGTATAAAAAAAAATAATATATCCTGATTAATTTTTACTGAAGTCATTAATTTTCAAATGAAAAAAAAATTAGTTAGATCTAATTTTATTTATAATTTGTTTTCTGGTTCTTGATTCAAGCTAATTTTTTGAGTTCAAGAAATTGTTTTCTAATAAATGTTAGCAAAATCTCTAAAATAAATAAAAAATAACAAACCATCTTAATGATCTATAAAAAACGATGCAATACTTTGATTAAAGATTAGGTTATATAAACTGTGATAGAAACATTAAAGTTACCTATTACAATATTCTTAAAGTTTTAAAATAGAATTGATAAATAAATTTCTTAAAAAAAACAAAATAAATTGTATGATTACATTATTTTTTTGGTTTTTAAATAATAATTAATTCAGAAAAATTTAAATCTAAGGAGAAAATCTTAAATTTATGGAATAAATTTTATTCATAAAAGTATCTTCCATCTATTTTCCAAATTAAATACTTAAAGTAATTATTTATTCTGATTTCAAACTAAATTTTTCTTAACCTAAAATTAATTTAATGTAAAATTTTTCCCACTAAAGAGTAATGTTAAGGGATAATTAAGAATTTTTAAAATACAATTGAAAAATAAATATATTTTTATTCGAAAGTATTTGTTAAAAAATTGTTTAGAAAGAAATAATGATGTAAATAATTTAGAAGACATTTTTAATAACCAATTTCTTTTAAAGTCTGGTGTTTGACAATTTAAAATTATAATAAAAAAATATTGCTAAAAAAAAACTATTAATTAAGCCTACAAATATTTTAAGATATAGATTTACTTACACTCTTTCCTTAATCTCTTTTGCTTAGGATATGAATGTTTAAAATATCATTTCTAAGCAATAATTTGAAATAAAATCTTATCAAAGTTATAAATGAATTTTAACATAATATTAGTATAGATAATTTAATAAATGTTGTAAATAATTAATACATTAACTTAACACTCAATTAAAAACTAAATTTGGGATAATAAAAGATGAGTAGGTTTTAGGCTGCTAACTTTATTGCTAGGGTTATTGACTCAATTTATTATGAGCTCCGCTTATGCTTTTAATTGGTAATTAATTTTGTAAGATCTCCCTATTTACCTCTAATTTTTACTCTACTAAATTTATAAGATGTAAATTGAATAAATTATTTCCATAAAAAATACAAAAATAATCTCCAATATTAAATTGTAAAAATAGATAATTATGAAATCAATTTTCTACAAAGCGTAAATTAAAAAAAAATTTAAATATTTATTGATTGATTTTTTACCTTTTCCCTTTGTGATTTTTATTTATTCTTCTTTCTTTTATAGTTTGGCTTCTACTAAATTTTTATTGCAAGGCATGCATTGTATTTTGTTATAGTTAGCGGAAGGATTATTTTTATTTAATAAATAAGACTATCTATTTTAATTATTTTAAGCTAAAGCGTTAGTGTTTTCATTTCCAAAATTATCTAAAATTTTTAGGTTACACTCATATGTGCTATTGTTTTGTTAATTTACTGGTTGCAATCCTTTCACTGCCTATTAATCTTTACAAATAAATTTGATAATAAAAGAATTTATTTTATATTAAATTTTACCTTAACTTACTATTTTAAATGGATCATAAATAGCATTGCTAGTTGATGAAGAGTGCTGTCTTTTTAATGTGGTTTTTTCAACTTCTGTTTTTTAAAATCCAATTTGTTAAGAATTATATTTTGTAGATGAAGGAACTTGCTGTTGAATCTTTTGAGAATTTTAATTTTAAGGAATATTCAACTCAGCCTAAGTTATTGATAGCTTTTTTTTCTTTGGTTCATCAGTTTAAGTTTTTTAGTAAGCTTTGATATTTTACTAAATTGTTTTTGCTATATTACCTGAATTATTATTATTTATCATATCTTCACTTATGTCTGTCGCCACAGATTAATACTTTGGTAGGATCTTTTTAGAAACTACCTGTTTTATTGGTATCTCAGTTAATTTGCTATTTTTTTTGTTGATCACATTTAAGTTATTTGAGTTTAAATTTTTATTTTCATACATTTCGTTTACACTTTTCTCTGCATTAGAGTTGGCTTGCACTTTCTTAGTCTCTATGAATGATTTACTAACTGGTACAAGAAGCTGTTCAGGGAAAAAGGATTAACTTTAATTGCTGATATTTTATGAGGGATTCTACACATAACTTTTCTTTGTTTGTTCTGCTTAGTTATTCTAAATAATTTTCTCATTTTTTTAAACTACCCCAAATTTTTACTTTTTTATATTTTCAGAAATTATTTTATAATTAACTCTTGGACTATAGGTTTTTTGTTGTGTAATTTAGCTGTTATTGCTCTGCTAATTATTGCAAGCACTCCCGTTGTTAACTGATTAGTATTATTATTATAACTAAATTTACATTTGTATAAATTCGTTTTAACCCTGACTGTTGCTATGCTTCAGTCCTTGCTTCAACTTTAATAAACTTTCATGATCTAACTATCTAACTTAAGCATTATTAGGATTTCTATTTTCTTAATCTATCAGCTTTTAGCTCAAGCTAACTTTCTCATTGCACTCATTAGTAATATTTCTTTAATCTTTTATGATTTCAGAAATATATGCAGTCTAATAATGGTCTTTGAGCTGCACTTCCTTCTAACTTTACCCTTAATTACTATTTTAAAAAGTAGATGGTCTTTTCTTGGATGATAAAGAAGCTTGGTTCTATGTATGATTTATTGCCGCTTGTAAATATGAATTTGCATAAATATTAGAATTAGCTGTTTTATATGCATTTTCTAATCCCTAATTATTGCCATTATTATCTCTTTATTAATACTATATTCGTTATTTATATTCATTGTATTTTGCTTACAAGTGATTATCAATCTCATTTTAGCTGGCATGTTCTTAAATAGGAGTGAAGTCTAGCTAGTTTTAAGCATTTTAATTAGGTAAAACTGAATTTAAATCAAATGATCCCTTCTATTGAGCTAAAGCCTATGAAAATAAATTCTTTTTCGTAATATGTTGAGAGTAAGTTGGGAGAAGCTGCTTCATAAATTCAAATTGCTATTCACTGTAGGTTTTCTTTTTATTTTATTCTTAAACATTGATTATTTCTTCTTATGATTTTTTTCTTGGTTTTATATCAGATGCATTTTTTGAGTTAGGTGATTTCCTTTCTTTACTTTGAGCATTATGCGCTTATTAAGCTTACAAAGAATTTGGACTTGCTCTGTAGTTTAATCTTTATTGATTGTTTATTTGTGGTGATTGAAGCAGTATATCTTAATTCTTACTTTTGCATTCATTGTTTTCTTTAGTTGAGCTTGTAGTAAAAGGTTTTTGATTACCCTTGTTTTAGTAAATTACAGTTAAACCATTATTTAAATCTTAAGTATAAGAGTTTGGTTGCTTAAAATTAGCAGTTTAATGGTTGCTATGCTAAAATTAGTTAATTTAGTTATTAAATTTGTTAAATTAATCATCACCTTATTTTTGTTCAAAAGAAACATAGTTTGGATTATTTGCTGATTGAGTATTATCAAAATTAATATTCGTGGGCTAGTTAGGATTTAAATAAATTCCATTTGTTTTGTTTGGGCTTTAAGAAAAATTTTATTAATATTTATAATTTCCATTAATTTTTTATTGTAAGTTTGTATTAGAATATAATGTTTTGTTAGTAATGTTCATTGTATTATTCAAACTATAATTGTTATTATTACTACTATGGTGATTGTTAACATTAAATTCTAGATAATTGCTTAAATTATTATCTAATAAACTGTTAGATTAGTAGTTTTCTTAAATACTAATTGAATTATTTTTGAAACATTGTTGTGGTTTTAAATCTTAGTATGACAGACACTTTTAATGGGTTGTTGTAGGATTCATAAGTTAATGTTATTACTGTCCAGAAGATATTTAGTAGATATTTTACTGATATAAATTTGCATTATTAAGCTGTTGTTTGGGTATAGAGCTGTTATAAAGCTCATTTGTACTGCTCGCATGAGCTTGGCTGACCTGATGTGACAAAAATCCAGAGTCAATGTATTGGTTATTTTAATGCAGGTTAAACATACTTAAATTGCTATTCTAGCTATTATCTTAAATTTTATTTTAGTTATAGTTCATATTTTGAGTTGGACGAGAATCAAACTCATAAAGTTAGCTTTAGCTTTGATTATTATTGTATGTTGAATGAGTTTGATTGTAGTTTAAACCTTAGAATGAGTCATGATGCCCTCTAGTTGAACCAGGTAAACTTTAACTTTCAAAAGGATTGTTTTTATCTATTATTTACTCTTAAAAAGAACCATGTAAATTTAATTTAACTTTAGTATTTTTAGAAGAATTAGCTGTTGAGAATTGATTAGAGTTCATAAAACTATTAGAACCTGTTGTCTGTATTATGGAATTCAAATTAATTTTGCTGAGAGGGACAACTTTCTTGATTAATTTATTGTTATTGTTGTTGCTATTATTATTATTTGTATTGCTTTAAATTGAGTTTTGTTTTTCTAATTTCGATTCAAATGGGGTCTGAGGCATAGAGGAGTTTTAAAAATTTTTAGAGTTGTTTACTACTTAGTCAACAAGAGCACTACTTGCATTTATAAAAGATAAATTATTGTTAGTAGAAACGTTTAGAGATGAATTAGGACGGTGATTTGGTGCAATACTGTTCGAAGAAGAGCTGTTAGAAAGAGACCTTTGTTAAAAATTCTAATGAACTCTTTTTATATCGCTCCATTTATTTTCTAAATCAATCAATGATTCTAAAGAATTATTATTATTTGTTGTTGTCATGTTTGTCAGACCTTAAGTTTAATTAGTGAGAATTTAATTTTATGATAGAAAATGGTTGTAATTTTATTTCATTCCAAGAGGAGTACCAACAGAATAGTTGTGGAACCCTTATTAAGAATTAGACCTTGTTCCATTTAAATCAATATTGTGTTGCTATGAATTACCTCTTACAGGAGCAGTAGAGGGATCTAAGTACCCTTATTAAGAATTAGATCTTACTCCATTATTTTGATTATCTATGAAATTTAATTAGTGATTGTTTGTTCTATTAATTTAGTATTAAGGTAAAGAGCTTTAAGGTGTTTATAGCTAATTCAAATACTAAGCCTAATTGGATTAAGGCACATAATCTAAATTTAAATTGTTGCAATTATTTATTTACTATTAATTGGAGAACTGCTATTAGTTTAACAGCTACATTTGATTGAGAGGATAGTAAGCTGTATTTATATTTTGATCATATTTTTTATACGAGTTATCAGTAGGGCTTTACAAATTCATTTAGTTATTAGCAAGAGTAGAAGTTGGTTAATACTAGAGCTACTCTCTTCTATTCCCTTCTTGCTGCTAAATGAAAGCTTTATTTCCCTGCTAATTTGAAGTAGTGTTCATACCTTTTTAATTATTTTCTTAACTGTTGTTTCTTATTTCCTTATAATTCATGAGCGATATAGTTTTACTCCTTTGCTAGTTAGTCCTGTGTGCAAATGGAGACTATTAGTTTTTATCAAGTGGGAATTCCTCCATGATATCCTAATTTACAAACTATTTTTACTCAGATTTTCCTATGTACATTTCTATTTTTTTTAAAAATAATTAAATCCCTTGATTGCGAGATAATCTAATTAATATCATTTTCTAACAAATAAAACTCATATTATTTACATTATATTTGAATGGGATTCGAATTATCGTTTATTTAATTTAAATAAGGGTCTTATACATTCAGCAAATATGTACCTTATTGCTATTATTAAAATTACTGCTATAGAGGATCTTTTTGTTTCTGCTAAAGCCTCATTAGATACCTTTACTCACTTAAGTCCTTTAACTCTGGTATGGAGTTCTTATGCTAATAAATCATTTTTTATAGTTTTGATTATTATATAGTATATTATTTTTTTTGTGAAAGTAAGTTTTGATTAATTGATATATTTGAATTCGTATTAGCCAAAATTTAAATAATAATATGTGTTATTTTGAATGTAATGGTTATCTTCATTTAATATGTTAAATAAACATAACAATTTACATACATATCTTATTGTTAAAATAACTAATTAGCAAACGCATCCTTCATCTAATTAATATGTCAACAAAGTTTGAGTGAACAAATTTTATCCATGAATTTATATTGATTTTCTGCTAAGCAAGATGATTAATTTCTATTCTATCAATCAATTAAATAAAATTAATAAATTTTAAATCACAACATTTTAGTAAAAGAAAAGCAATTATATACATATCAATCAATCAATTATTCATCATATATCTATCTATTTTACCTATTCACAAATTATATTATTTTCTATAGCTAAATAAATATTAGCGAAAAATTTAAATTTAAAATCATAAATTGAGCTTATTTTTTAGCTTTTATTGTTGTTGAAATATGTAAAAATAAATTCAATAAGTTTAAAATTTATTTTAAAATAAAATAATTTTTTTTGATTTTATTTTTTATATTTTATAAGTGTAAAATCATGTATCAATAAGTTAAATTTAATAATTATTTTTTTTAATGTTTTATTAAAAATTGATTGATCATTTAATATGATAATTGGATTAATTTCTTATTTTCTAATTGGATTGATGTACCTTTAGATTTTAGAATAAATTACCTAAAAATAAAAAGCTAGTGAGTATCTTTGAAAAAGAAATTAATAAAAGGGAAATTATTTTACAATATAGGAATAATGAGTGACTTGTAAAGTATAAAAAATGCCATTCTTAATTAAAGAAAGAGACAAAAGGTTCATTAGATAATGTAGAATCTAAGGAAATAATTAAAGCTCCCTTATATAATCGTTCCATTAAAGTAATTAAAGTTTATCTCATGATAACATTATATTGTATTTTTTTAAATTTTAGAGACATATTTAACTCAGGGCCAGTCGAAATTCATGTAAGAAATGAAAAATGTAATAAAGTCAGTTGCTTATTTGATTTGGATGAAATTTCTAGAGTAATTTTTGAAGAAATTTAAAAATCTCAAAAATTTTAAATGTACAAATGTCCTGAATGCTCAAATTATTTAGATCTATAAGGATTTTATGTAGATCAAGATATGCAAGATGCTGTAGATAAAATGAAGCAACTATTTCCAGATTTGTATGAAATTGCTTACTTTTCAAATGGCGAAGATTATTAAATAAAGGTTGACTAAAAAAATGAATGGATACTAGAAGATAAATAGAAAAATGAAAATTTTGTTCTTAAAGAATCTGATATGCTTACAGAATACGAGAAAAAATATCCATTATTTGAGAGCAAGCAAACTCCTGATTTTTATGAAAATGGTTATGTCTTTGTTAATGAGAATATAGATGCATTAAAAAATCAAAAACTTTAATCTGTTGTATATTTATTCTTCCCCAGCTTGGGTAACAAATGGAAAGAAGTTCTCATTTTCCAATAATTGTAGGAGAGGAAATAGTCTTACTTTTAAAAGTATATGTCAGTATGTAAAATGTACAACAAAGCATTAGGTTACCATTCTATTTTTGCAAGTGGTGGTTTTGGATATCCTGAATAAAAAAAATATGAAAGAAGAACATTCTAAGTTTAATTATTTAGAGATGATCCTGAAGCATAAATTTAAAAGGAAGTTGAACTGAACGACTTAAGTCCAATGATCACTCCAAGAGTTTTCCATCAATTAGTATGCTTTTAGGGTAAGGTATATGCAATAGGAGGATACTATCGTGACCCTATAAGGGATATAGATGTTTCTTTGAAGTCTTGTGAGAGATATGATCCAGAGAGAAAGGAATGGAAATAAATTTCTGATCTTCATCATCCCAGACAGCTATTTACAACAGTTGTTTACTAAAATAAATTATTTATAATTGGCGGAAAAGTTTAAGCACCTAACTCCAATACAGAAGAAGAAGACCTAACTGTTGAATTTTTTGATCCAACTAATGACACATGGAGTATAATTAAAATTTTAGATGTGCAGATTCCTTAAAAATATTTCACTGAAAGAGCTTATTGCTTTGTTAAAAGTAACGATACTGCTGTAATATTTGGAGGCAGAAAAGAAAAATCATATAGTGAGTAAAAGCCATGTGATAGATCAAGAACAGCAACAGAGTTAAATTTATCTACAGGAATTCATTCATTCACAAATGATATGCTTCCTCCTTAAAGCATAACTTTTGATGGAGTTACAGATTTTCAAGGAATTTATTATAACAACAGATTTATTTTTGGTTTCAAGAGAACAGGAAAAGAAAACGGTAAAGATTTCCTCATTCCCTCTTTATGTAAATATAATGAAACCAATACTACTGAGAAATTTACATTTGAGCAATATAAAAAAATAATGTATTGATTGATGAATATTTTGATGATAATTTTCTTCAATTATTTATAAAAATTAAATTAATAAATAAATAAATAATTTATAAATTAATTAAATATTTTATTCCAACTTTTATATTTTTTATTGAAAAGAATTTTTAATTGTTATTGTTTATTTTTTTAAATAAATTTTAATGAATAAAATTCCTATTTTTGATTAAATTAACTATAATATTTTTTTTAAGAATTAAATAAAATATTTAATTTTAAAATAACAACTTAATTTAGTTAAATAAATAAATTAATTTTTTTGATTGAAAAAAAGCTTTGATTGATTTTTAATTCCAAAATATTTTACTTTTATTTTTCTAGAGTTTCAGTTTTTTTTTCAAAATTAATTAAGTAATTATTGAGAAAAAGAATGGATGTAAAATAATAAATTTTATTTAAAAAATAATAAAAATTGAATTATTAATTTCTTTTTTGGAGTTATAGAGACATTCTTTTTAAACCTTTATATATTCTATATTCTCAAATTAATAAAATACTTTTCGAATAGCACAAATTTTATTTTAGAATCTAAAAAATTAAAAAAAAAATAGCACTAAACAATAATTTATTCTCCTAAATAATACACAAATAAATATATATTAAAAAAAATAATTTTATTTTTTATATCAATTATTCGAGTGATAGAAAGATAAAAATTGTTTGAAATGTCTTTTTAATAATATAATATATAATTTTTCTTGTTATACTTTATTTCAATAGATTTGATGCTTACTGAAAAAAATATACTTAAAATATTCAATAAGTTAATGTTTTTAAACGGACATAATATTGTTATTAACAAGCTTTTTCAAATAAAAGTAATTAAAATCAGCATTAATTTTATATATTTTAGCTGATTTACTTAAATTTCTTTGACAATAGCATAATTAAATTTATAACTAAAAGAAAGAAGACAGAAAAAGCTCATCAAGCACATATAAAAAGCTACTATAAATTATAGGACTAAGTTTATTGACACTAAAAAACTTTAAGATATATATTTAGAACTATTTTGTTTTTAGACATATTAAAAGGTAGGTACAAGCTATAAATAAGTAATATAAATTTACAAATTATCATTGATTGGTGATCGATAATTTATTATAATGGGAAACTGCCATATTCAAGAAAAGAATAAAGAAGAAATAGGTAAGATTGAGGTGTTGCTAGATAAAACTAGAATTAGCAGAGGAGATACAATAACTGGCCGTTTAAAACTATTTTTAAAGAAGGAATATCCTGGTAGGCAAATTTCTGTTCGTGTTAGGGGAATCGAATCTATTAAGAAAGGGATAGAATTCGCTGAAAATGAGATTTTTGGTGATACTATTTTGTTAGTTGCTGTAAACTAAATGAAGGAGGGAGAACATAAATTCTTTTTCGATTATGTTGTTCCTGATAAGTTGTAGTCTTAGTTTTCAAGCAGAGTAATGTCTGAACAACCTTAATTTGCAGTAAGCATGGTTTATCAAATTAAAGGAATACTAGAGCCAGTAGAGCTTTTATAAGATGAATATGATAAAATAGAAGGTTCTACTTATTTTTCTCTATTAGCAGAAGTTTAGTAGGAGGGAATAAGTAGTAATAGTACAGGAAAGCTGAAAAACGAGCATGGAGAATATGGTAATGTAGAAATAGGATTAAAAAGTAATAAAGCTGCTTATGATAGTTGCGAGTCTGTTACTGTTGATATAAATATAAATAATACAGATGTTACTATTCCTTTAGAAACTCTGACGTTTAACCTAATAAAAGAAATATAGTTTAATGGAAAGACTAAAAACCAATATATCAAGCATGTTAGGAGGGAGTTTAATGGTGAACCTGTAAAAGACATAATATTATCTTAAGATATAAAATTTGAAAGAGGAGAATTAGATTAAGCCGCTACTAAATCAGCTACATTTGAGCTTCCTCCTAACCTATAGCCCTCTTTCTAAGGAAAGTAATTTTCTTGTAAATATTTTTTTGAACTATATGCTCATTATGTGAAAGGCCCTACTAATTTTATAGATGCAAAAGCTCGTTTAAAATTAAATATAATTCCTGAAAAGATGAGAAATATAGTTGATCCTAGTAAAAAGATAGCAAAAGCAAATAATAATAGCATGCATAAATCAAAAATAAAAAGTGACTTTTATTCTTCATAGTTACCATTTAATTCTGCTAGAAAAGAAGAAGTAATTAGCTCAAAACAGCTGGATGAAACTGTCAACCACAATCCTCTTTCTAAATCTTAGTTTGCATCTGTGAATGACCAAAAAGAAATAAATATACTTGTTTGATCAATTTTACCATCAAATCAAATGATAATAAAAACAGTACAAAATTTTAGATATGAATCGAAAAATGAATTGTTAATTTTATAGAATTAAATAATAAATAACAATAAACTTTTATAAAAAATAAAACGTTAATAGAATTCAAATGAATATCTTAGTTTAAAATATATTAATTAAATAGCAAATTAAAAAAAAAAAAACTTTGCAATTTTTGTTCTTAAAATCCAATTGTATATTTGTATCAACCATCATATTTTTTTTATATCGCTTTTAAAAATAATTAAAAATTTTAAAGCTATATTATTGATCCAATATTGAGTGGTTTCTAAAAATAAATATTAACTATTTTTTATAAAATTGCATATTTCTGTCTGTGTTATTTAATTTATTATGAAATAATACTTGAAATTTTGTTAGATCTCCTTTGTTTTATTGAAGAATTTTCTAAATTTGAATACAAAAATATCTAAATAAAAATACTTATCATCTTTTAGGATACTGCTTTCAATAAAATAAAATTAGTTAAAATGGATAAAGAAGAAATAAGGTAAGCTTTAAAGCAATCACAAAATATAGAAAATAGAAGAATATAAATCGCAAATTCAGTTAGATGTTTAGATTGCTCAAATATGAATTCAAGTATTGAGCATGTTGAATCGCCAATAGCAAGAAATCAAAGAAATGTTGTTAATACTTTGATTAGAAAGGGTTACACTGACAGAGAAATATATGAGGAATTTAGCGGTATTTTTGGTAAACATTCTATTATTGATGTAAGATATACAGATGGTTATAGCAAATAATAAATGCAAAAAAAATAAATTAAGTCTGCATTAGTTTGTATTTCTACTTTGGCTACTCCTTATATAGGCTACAAATTATTGAAAAAATTCTTATTTAAAAAATGAAATAATACTCTTCAAAAATAAATGGGATTAAAAAAATAATCGAATAATTAGACCTTGAATGACTTTACGATTTTTATAATAGAAAAATATTATTATTGTGCATTTTTTGTTTGTTTGTTTGCTTGCTTATTTTTATTTATTTTCTCTTGTTTAAAAATTAAAATTTAGTTTGCTTTTTATGATAAATGAGAAGAAATTGATTGAATCAAAATTATAAAATATAGCATATCTTAGATAAATTCTATTCTATCACATATATCTATAAAATTAGCCAAAGTATTCAGATTATTTGATTGAAAAATTTATCTGTCAAATCAATACCGATAAGAAAAATTTTTGACTATTTTTGCTGATGAGAATATTTATTTTTTAGCTTGTAATATCTTTTACTAACTTGTTTTAAAGTAAAAATTAGAATTTATTATCAAAAAGTTAATTAGTTGGTGTTTTAAAATAGTAAATCAAACAACTAATTTATCAATAAGTAAGTATTTGGTTTAGATGATAATTAATATTTATTCAAACAAATAATTTTGTATTTATATTTTTTATAGAAAAGAATCAATAACAAAAATTTAAATTAGAATTTTAAACAAAATAAATTACAAGCATAATTTAAAAGCTATTAAATAAAAATGATGCAAGAGTTGATGAAAAAGATGGCTTAAAAAAAGTCAGAAACTTAAGATAAATAGGAATCAAATGAAACAGACGAGCAATTAAGGGAAAAGGAAGAAAGAAAATAAAGATAATTAGAGGCAAAAAGATTAGTAGAATCTAAATTATTGAATTAGTCCTAAGTGAATAACTAAAATGAAGATGAGTAACCTCAATCAAACATTGTTTGTTCTAGTAGTGCTCCTCCTCCTCCACCTTTGATTATCTCTATTGTAACTAATACTAGTGCTCCTCCTCCACCCCCTCTTATGATTAATCCTTCAAGCAATAATAATTCTTCCAAAATTTAACAAAATGGGAAGCAAAATCCTCCTCAAATCCCTATTGTACCTCCTAATATGCCAGTTTAAAAAAGCCTTATTAAATAAAAAGAATAAAAAGAAATCATTTCTGATGAAACAAAATAGAATTTAGCAAATTAAAGAAAGGAAGCTTAAAAGTTGATTGAGCAAAGTCTTTAAGGTAATAAAGCTGTAGAATCATCTAATACTTCAAATTCTTCATAACAAAATACCAATCAAGATGTTAAAATTGTAATTTCTTAAACAGCTCCTCCTCCTCCACCTTTTTTGAATTTTAATGCCACAGGAAACAATACATCCATTCTTCCTCCTCCTCCACCTCCTTTTAATCCAACAAGTCTAAATACAAAAACTAATAATGCAAATTAAAGTTAAGCTGAGTAATAGTAGAAAATGTAGGAAAATTTAAAGAATTCTTAAAATTTATAGTCTAAAAATGAGGATTTTATTCATTCTGAGTTGAAGAAAGAAATGTAAAATAATATTAAAGAAGCTTAAAAGTCACTTGAAGAATAAATTTCAAGTAAAGGCAAATCTTAGCAAAATACTGTTTAAGACGTTAAGATTGTTACTAATACTACAGCTCCTCCACCCCCTCCTATCGGAACTCTTTTTCCTCCTCCTATTGTATAAACAAATAAAAACAAAACTAATAACTAGTCTACTAAATAAGATGAATATGAAACTCCGACTCCATACAATGATTAAGAATCATAGATAGCTAAATAGCTGATTCAACAAAATACTTAAGATAGTAGCTTAAAACAAAGTAATTCTCAAAATTGTGAAGAAAAAGAAGTTAAAGAAATTAAGACAAATATTAGTAATAGAAATACTAATGTCTAAATTGAAAGTAAATTCATAGCAGATAAATTAATTGGAAGAAATAGCAGCCAAAATGATTCTCCTGTCAGAAAATCTAGAGCACAAACACATAAACCTATTCCTTAACTATTTAATTTTTAAGTAAATAAAAATACTATTAATGAATGGTTCAAAGAAGCACATGAAATTAAAACTTTAGCTCCTTGGAGTTCTTTCAAAAAAGTGTAATTTAACACTATTTAAAAGCAAATCAGATAATAAAAGTATCCAGAATAGAGTGTAAACTAATTACAATTATTACAAAAAAAAAAATTTTTTAATTTTAAATAATTAAATTAAAAATTAGGTTTTGTATTTTAAAAAATGTGCAATTTTGGTTGACTAACTCGAGGGATATATTTAAAATACATACAATGATGAAAATCTTAAAAAATATAGAAAAAGTACATAATCAATTATTGAGTAGAGAGAACAATAAATCCAAACCTAAGAAAATATTTAAAAAGAACAATAAATTGTAAAACTAAATACCAAGCTATATGATAAAACAATAAAGTCCATGAATGCTCTCATGAGCTAAAAGATAGAATAAAACTAATTCGAAGATTGTATAGCATTGAGAGACAGCATTAAGGTAAAATATATTTAAGTTATGTTAATAGCTTACAAATAAATAATATATATTTTGTTTACTAAACAGAGATTACAATAGCTAAAGTCATAAATCGAATCAGAAGCAAACGAAGAAGAAAAAACAAAAAAAATAAATTTCCTTAATAAAGAGCTTGCAGACCTTTTACAATCTGGCTAGTAAAGCACAGAAGGCAAATAATAAAAAAAATGATATTAGGAAAAAGAATATAAATTAGTAAAGACAAATTATATAAAAATCTTATAAAATAATAAATAAACCTTGTGTATAAAAATTAGTTTTCATTATTAAATTGCTTATTTTAATAAATTTTTCTTTTCATATTTTTATTTATTTGTTTATGATAAAGAAACTTTTTATAAGTTATTTTTCGTGAATATTTATTTCATTTAATATGGTGGAATTCTATCATAGAAATTGATGAGTTATCAACTATTGCCATTTTAAGCTTTATTTTTTCAGCTAAATAATTTATTTCACTGAAATCCTTACCAGTTAAGTTAGAGCTATTTACACTATAATATTGAATGTAAATAGATAAATAAAAATAATAAATTTATTTATATAAATACTCTTTAATCATCAAGTAGTATGTGCAAAGCTATGCTTGAAAGTCATTTTATGAGTTAAATATAGTGAATATAGGCATATTCTAAGCTAGATTATTTAATTTTGTTAGAGTTTCATTTTTCGATTCTTATAATTCGCTGTGTAAATGCTTTTAGCCTATGTTTATTTAGTTAAGTATCTACTTTATTTCTAAATCTTGGTTCACTCTGTTTTTTAAAATATTTTGAATTTAATGAATATTTTTTTTATATTGTCTAGTTAGAATTAATAATAATAGATAGATATTGTTATAATATCAAAAGAAATTTTATTCATTTACCTCTATGCAAACTTACCTTATTATCTTATATCTGTGTATACTTAAAAGACCATCATAGAGTTATACACTTAATCGAATTTTATTTTAGAAAATACCTAATAAAATACAGACAACTTTTCATATATTTTTGATTCATCTGATAATAATTTTTCCGTAACAGGTTCATTATCTAATAATATTTTAAAGTAATCATGAACATCACTATTCTCTACTTACTTTTTCTTGAAGTATAACGAAGCAGAACCAATTTAAAATAAATACAGAGATTCTTCTAAAAAGCTAAACCATTCACTTCCGCATTTGAACCCACATTTTTTTGCTTTGAGGATATTTCCTTTTTCTTTTATTGGGCAGTAGAACTATTATAAAAAGTAATCATGACTCTGATTAGATGATGATATAAAAATTTTACGATTGAGAGCTCCTCGATATAAACCAAAGGGACCTTTGATGATTCTTAAATTTTTTATAATTTATTCAAGTGGAGGTTATATTATTCTGCTATATCAGTTAGGTTGCTGAAAAAAACAATTTAAAATAGTTACAATAAATCATCAAAATTAATTACGACATTAGAAAAATCAATTAACTAATTAAAAGAGACTTAGAAAATTTATATTTTTTAATTAATTTTATGCAAAAAATTTATAAAAGATACAAATTTATATAAAGTGTTCAAAAGCATATTTTCATATTATAAAATTATTTATTTGTAAAACAACCATTTTTTACTACTTCAAACTTCACTCAGAAGTTTAAAGCAGACATTTATACTTTTCAGTAAATGCTTGAAGATATTTTTTATTTACTAGGAAAATTTCTGGGAATTCATTTATTTTAGCTCCGTGAAGAGTGTTGTAAATAAAAGTGTCAGGATGTATTTCTATCATTTAATATTCAGACTAAAATTGTTTGTTAATATTTTCTCTTTCCCTATATTCATTTGGAATCTAAATATCTAAATAACTTTATGGAACCTTAAATGACCATTATAGATTTAGGTTGTCTTTTGTCTTAGTTTCTACAATGTCGATAATACGATATCTATTTTTAATGAATATGCTCAACTCTTTATTTTCTAATTATTTTAAAACTCCTGCATTACTAAAATCTACATTTTCTTTTAAAAGCAAATCATCGTCAAATAAGTTTGTCTCCCCACTTTTCAATACATGTGACCAAAAAATATTTTCTGGGATTGGATCTACCAATTTTCTTATTAACTTCTCTTATAATTTTACATTTTCTATTTCACCTTATTAATCTGCTATTAAAATATTATTCTCATTTTATTCACCTTAACCTTGCTTTTAAAAGTAAACTATCTACACTTCTAATAGCCAATATATTAATTTATTCTTCATATAATAAAACGAAATATTTTCTCTATGCCTTTTCATTATAGTTGGTGCAAATACCAAGTCTATTTTATGCTTTTTACGTGCATATATTTTTAAAAGTTTCAACCTTAAAAGCTCAGGATTGTGATTAACAAAACTCAGCTTTTTGCGAATGTATTCTGTGCCCTCCAAAGTTTATTTTAAATATTAGTAATCCTTCTTTGCTGTTGCTTCAGTGTAGCTATTCTTATCTACATAGCCAGTATAATTCGGTCTTCCGCTGCAATTAAATTATACTTTGTGATCTTTAGAGCATTAAAGACTGCATGTTTTTTTAAAGCAGCCAGGACATGTGTATTTATGTTCTTTTGTTTTGCAAACGAAGCATTTTTTTTGTTGTTCTTTTTACTCTTCTGATACTTGCTGTTAATTATCAGGAGTAAATAACTCATCTTAAGATAATTCTCTTTGAATTTCCTCTATAATCTAATTTTGCTCTTCTAATTATTCCTTAGTTAAATCTTCTTCAGCCTCAATTCCTTAAATTTATTGCTTTATTTGTATTATTTTTTTACTTTATTCTTCATCTTCATTAAAGAAAGCCTACATCTACCTATAATCTTCTATATCAGCTTCATGGTCAAGCTCTTCATCCAACTACTTGGCTTTTAAAAATAATAGCTCTAATGTACGCTTATCTTCTTCTCTTAAATTATCCATTTTGAAACTAATACAAATTAATATTTTTTTATGTTTTAATAATAAATAAATATTTTTATCAAAAATTGATTTTGGTTTTATGTCAAAAAGATAATTTCTACTTAAATAACTTGATCTATTTTTATTGCTCCGCAAACCTTAAATTTAATATAATTAATTTTCAACTGCAAAATTAGTATTTTTGAGCACTTTTATTAATAATATTTTTAATGATATAATGTATGTAGTAAATTCGTATAGCTTAAATAAATTCTCATCAAAGTTATTTAAAAAAAAATAATTTCCTAAATAATTCCTTTTTATATATTTTATTAATTGATGAGTCTCTACCTAAATAAACATAACATAAACAAGAAACTAAAATTCTAATTAATGAATGTAGGATTTTTAATTGAAATAGTTGAAACTTAATCCTGTTTTCTTTCTGTTTGCGGAATTATATTAATAAGAGGTTCTGATTGATTAATTAATTAATTACTATGCTTATAGCAATTACTAAGAAAAAAATTACTTTGATAGATAGTTAATTAATAACTAATTTCATTCATTCTATTTATTAAAACTTTGAGAAATAATAAAAACCTTTTTTTCATTAATTTTAAAAAATTGATATATACTGCAATTGTAAATGTAGCCATCAATTCACTCAATATCAACATCTAGTTTAGACAAAATCAATTATAGATAAAAGGGTAAAAATTCAGATGGAAGATTGATTAAAGGTTTTATAAGAGACGCTTCATCAAAGATTAGCGTTGGTTCAATTCCTTCGAAATTCGAAACTATTGTATACAATAATAACAACAATAAAGCATTTGGATCTTCATAACTTAGGTTTAGTTAATAAGATAGTGATCTTCCTGGACCTGGATATTATGAAGCACCAACAAATACTACAATCCTATTTGGAGAAAAAGAGTCAATTTCAAAGAAAGGATATGGAAACGGATTTGTTAGTACTGCTGAGAGAAATACATTTTAAACTAGATATTTAAATAGCGGACCTGGACCTGGAACCTATTCTACAGATGTGAGCTTGATGAGCAAAGCTTCACAGTCAACAACAAGTTTAAAAGGTAAATAATAAAAGTATTTGATTTACTTATTAAAATGAAGAAATTTAAAAAATAACTTTTATAAATATAAAATGAATATAAAACATATCTGTTAATTAAGTAAATCAAAGTAATTAGTTTATAAATATATATTTTAATAGTTTGTATAATGTAAAATACAAAGGTTAATCGATGTTTCTCTCTAAGCAAAGAAATACTAAAACTATGGAAAATATCAATAAAGTTATAGTGGAAACTCCAGGACCTGGTGAATATAACCCTGAATTACAGAAAAGGGAAAATACATATAAAAGTAGCTTTATTTCTCGTTCTAACAGAGAAAAGTATTTAAATTCCAACCAGAATCCTGCACCTGGAGAATATAATATTAAAAGATAAATAGTTTAAAAAAAACCTTATCCTCATAAGGGATATTTAAGCAGTTTTTGTAATCCTGTAGAAAAACACTAAAAAGCTGATTATATGAAAGAGTTAATACACTTTTTAGAAAATGGTAAAAAAAAACTTTTAGTTGGAACAAGTTAACCCATACCTGAAATAGAAACATAACTACCAGCTCCTACAACATATGATCCAAAAATCCCAAGTTTCAAACCAGAGTATCCCTTCTAATAAGCAACTTCTAACTTTAAGGAAGGCGTTAAAGACAGATTTGGAGATCTTAAAGATAGGTCAAAAGAAAAAAAACCTTTCCCAGGTCCATAAGAGTATAGAGTAGAAGATTATGGATTCACTAAAGTAGGTTAAGAAGAAGCTTTAGTCTCAGGTTCGGCATTTATGTCAGAAAGTGCTAGAAAGCCTTATGGAGATTACGATAGAAAAATGGGTCCATCAAGATCTGTGCCATATATTTTACCAAAAAAGAAATCCTTCCACCTTAACTTAGGAAGAAAATTTATATGAAATAAATAATAAATTCAAACTAACTTTTTTAGTCATTCTATATTTAAATGTAAAAGAGCTTTAATTTATTTTTCAAAATTAATTCATTTTTAGTTAGTTAGTTAGTTTTTCATAATAAATGTAATTAAATTATTTTATCATTAAAATTTAATTATTTTTTAATAATCTTAGAAATAAAACTTTGAAGTAAAAGTTAAAGATTTATTTTAAAAATTTATTTAAAAAATAATTAAATTTTCTTCAAGTTCTTTAAAAATAAAGATTCTTTATTTGATATTTTTTTATTTATTTGATAGAGAAGCCCTAAAAAATATGTTTTATTTTCATTAAATTTAATAAAAGTGTTAATTCAAAAATTAATCCATAAAATTCAAAATTTTTTCAGGAAATAAAAAACACTCTAAATTATCTTAAATTTAACTGAGTAAAAACTTTATTTATTGAAAAAAATATAATTTTAATATGATTTAAAATATTGTACTTTGTTTTAAAATTTTCATGAAAAGTATTCGTGAGTAAGATATAATTTTTGTAATTGTAAAATACAAGAATCAACTTAAACAGTTATTAGATTCGATATAAAAAATAGGTAGGTTGGTATGTATACAGATATATCTTATATTTATTTTTATATAATTTTATTTATTTTTTATTACATACATTTCTATCTAAAAACTTCTTTGTATTAGCTATTCTTTTTACTTTATCAATATATTCTACTAAATTTACACTAGTTACTTCTACTCAATCTGATTCGTCTCCTTAATTTTCTTTTTTCATTGTAATCTAAATATTATGTTTAAAATAATGTTATTCCTCAAATTTATTCTTTTTTATTTTAAAATGTATAATATAAAACATGTTATTTACAGGTTTAGTTTTGCGGATAGCCTTTTTAGAAATATTAGGGAAAGTGAATTTCTTATAAATTTTGAAGAAACCAGCGAATTTTTTATCTAATTATTTATTTTTATAAAATATTTTAATGGATTTTCATTTAAAAATCTTAAATTTGTTTACTTATCAACAATTCTTTGCTCTTTTTGACTGGGAACAAAGGCAAAATTTATTTTTTCATATATTTTTGAGTTTCTTTATCATGCTTAGAAATGACTATTGACTCACTCTCTTTTTGGGCTAACTCTTAGTCTTCCTCGCTTTTTAAATCCAACTAGATCCCATCAAGTTTTTAAATATTAAACTATTAAGATTATATAAAATAAAGTTAATTCAATTATGAGTAGGATTGCTTGAACTTATTTTTACATCTGCAGGTACTTGGAATAAATAAATTTTTTTGTTATTTAAATCTTCTTCACTTATTGAAATTTAAGAAAATTCAACATCTTCATATCCTGCTAATTGTTCTAGTAATGACATCTCCCTTTGAATATCTATTGTTTTGTAGTAGTTGTAAGATTAAAATAATTTCTTTTGCTTAAAGTGTAATATTCTATCTATATTCTAAATGAATGAATATGTATGAATGTATGTGCTTTAAATAATTTATATCTTATTATTATTAAATTAATTTGCTGTTATTTTTGTATACTTATTTTTAGATTAATCTGAAGCAAAGAATCTACTATTCTATATTTAATTAGATTTTTAGTATTTGCTTTATATTCTTTATCTTTTTATTTATTTTGATTCATTCTTATTCACTTCCTTTTCAAAATATTATTTTTACTTAAGGCTAGAAGTTATTGTTTTATTAAAATGAGTAAATTTTTTCAGTATATTTAATATGTTAAAATCAGAGATGCGCGAATAGCTCCATTTTTTAAAATTCCTGATAAAGTTTTATTGATTAGAAAGATAGAAATTTCTAATCTATTTTGCAAAAAAAAAATATAAATTGCTGAAGTAGTGGTTTTAATTAATAATCTAAATTATTTTTATAGTTTATATAAAGTATCTAAAATTCAACAAAGTAGATATCAATTATTACTGTAGATTATACATATAACTTTGTGTATATATACTATTATTAACTCTATTCACTAAAAAAATGATAACTTTCTTGAAGAGATTAACCAACAAAAATACATAAATCAATCAACCAGTTTTTAGATTTTGTTCTGCTAACCCAAGCAACTCTCAAGTTTTAGGAGACTATGTAATCAAATCTAAAATGAGTGGACACTCTTCTGAAAATTTATATGAGAAATATAAAAATTTTTACAATGTTCAAATAGAAAAAATCAACATTCCTGGAACAACTATTGTAAAAAATAGAGACTAGGCTCACAAGGTTGTAAAAATCTTAAAAAGCTTACCAAACAGGTAAAATATGATCAAAATAATTTTTAATTAAATGGTTAATTAATGATATAGAGAGCATGCATGGGATACAGAAACTATAGATGTAGATGCTAAATTAGAATCTCCTATTGGAAAAGGAAAAATTATCTGCGCTTCAGCCTTTTGTGGAATTGATGTAGATTTTGGAAATGGTCCAAGTATATTAAAAGAGTTTTTTTAGTTTAACAAAATTCAAAATAAATATAAATGATAACGTATTTATTTATTAATTCACTATATTTTATAACAATAGGGTTGTTTATAGATAATTTTGCTCAAAACACTGACTTGATTTAAATTTTTAAAGAGTATTTAGAAGATTCTAGATACAAAAAGATTTGGCATAATTATGGATTTGATCGTCATATTTTTTATAATCATGGTATTAATGTCTAAGGATTTGGAGGTGATACTATGCACTTGGCAAGATTAGCAGATCCAAGTAGAGGACCAAAAGAATATAGTTTAGCAAATGTAACCAAGCATTATGAAGAAGAAATAAAATATTTAAAGAGATAATTAATTAATGATCTGAGAAAAAGCATTTAAATTAATACATAAGAACTTCAAAGTGTTTTAGCAGCACTTTAAAAAGGAGCAGATTTACCTCATGAAATTATTTAAAAATTCAAACTTCATAGATTTAATACAAGAGATGAATAAATATTCTTTATAAATGATCAAATACAAAAGTGGTTGATCAAAAAATAGCCTGCTGATTAATATGAAAAATACTACTTAAATACAAACTTAAAAACAAATATGAAACAACTCTTTGGTAAAAAGAAATACTTAAAAGATGGAAAAGAAGGAAAAACTATTGAATTCCCAAATACTATTCGTATGCACACAGATCCAGAACTTCTAGAAAAATGGGTTCATTACTCATGTTTGGATGCTGAAATCACCTTCTTTGTTTTTTAAGTATTAAAAGACGAATTAAAAAGTTTAAGCACCAACTTCGAAGACATGAAAAATATGTTAGATTTATACAACAAGTACTGGAAACCTTTTGGAGAAATATTAACTGATTTAGAAAGAAGAGGCTTTGAGCTAAATTTGGAACATTTGGATGTAACATATTCTTTTAATTGATTATTTTTTTTAAAGTATTAAATATAGAAAATTAGAGTTTAAGCTGAGAATGATATGATTAAATTGGAAAAACAATTCTTAGATTGGGTATGCTCTACTCAATAAGGATTAGAATAATTTAATTATTCCTCTGCTCAGTAGCTTCAATAATTATTTTTTGCACCTTTCAAGAGAAAGAAAAGAATTACTAAGGATAAAGTCGATGCTAACTTGGATGATAAAGAAAAAAAAGATCTTGAAGGATTTAAAAGTTTTGAAGAGAATAGTGCTGCTATTGATGATGACGAACAGTTTTTCAAATAATAATTTAATGAACAAAATGAAGATTTGGATGAAGACGAAGATGATGATGAGCCATAAAAAAATAAAAGGCTTTTCAAAAAAGCAAAGCCACAAGAAGATGATGACGATGGCTACCTTTCAGATGGTCGTAAGAAATCAGTCCGTAAAGAGGAAGATGATATCCCTTAGACAAAAGCCTTTAAAGTCCTAAACATAAAGGTATTAAAATATATATTTACTTCTTAAATAATTTATATTTAAACTGTATATTTTTAAATACAGGGAATAATCCCAGAAGGAAAGAAAAAACCCCCAAAACAACTAGATATGAATATCACAGGGCTCGGCCTAGAAGTAATTAGTCTTACTGACTCTGGAATGCCTGCAGCCGATCTTCCAGTTTTAAAAATCTTAGCAGGAAACCCAAAAAAAGGAAATTATGGTGCAATAGGTAAATTGTTGAAAAATAATTAATTAGCAGCTAAAGTATACAATTAAATAGGCGAATATTACAAACAAAAAGGAGATGAAGAAATGGGAAAAAGGGCTTCTCATGCTATTGAGTCTTTAATTTAACTTAAATAGGTAGAAACTCTTTTAACAACTTTTATTATTCCACTGAGAGAATTAGCAGATAAAGATGGAAGAATACACTGTTCACTGAATATGAATACTGAAACAGGAAGAATATCAGCAAGAAAACCTAATTTAATGAATTAACCCTCACATGATAAAGATGTGTATAAAATTCGTAGTGCTTTCTAAGCTGGTAAAGGTAACAAGCTTATTGTGGCTGATTATGGTCAATTAGAACTTAGAATTCTTGCTCATATGACAAATTGTAAGGCAATGATTGAAGCCTTTAAAATGGGTAAAATTTTATCTTGTAAAAACAAAAGATAAAAAATTTTTTTTTATTAAATAGGTGGTGATTTTCACAGTAGAACTGCTATGGGTATGTACCCTAAGCTAAAGGAGGAAATAGAAAAGGGTGAGCTACTTTTAGAATGGGATAAATCTCAAGGAGAACCCCCTGCACCGTTACTCAAAGATAAGTACTCAAGTGAAAGAAAAAAAGCTAAGATGATGAATTTCTCAATAGCATATGGAAAGAGTGCACATGGCTTTTCTAAAGATTGGAACTGCTCTATGAAAGAAGCATAAGAAGCTCTAGATGCTTGGTTTGCAGACAGAAAGGAAGTAAAAGAATGGCAAGAAAACACTAAAAAAATAGCCCTAGAACATGGATACACATAGACAATGATGGGAAGATATAGAAATTTAGAAAGGCTTACTCATTCAAAGAGTGCTAGACATCTTGTTTAACATGGTTTAAGAGCCTCTATAAATACCCCAATTTAAGGTGGTGCAGCAGATTTAGTTATTGCTGCAATGGTAAAAGTATCATAAGACCCTAAGCTTAATGAGCTAGGCTACAAGCTATTGCTATAAATTCATGATGAATTAATCTTAGTATTTTAAAAAAATTTATTTATCATTTAATTTTAACTAATGATAATAAAATAGGAAGGACCGGAAGAGCATGCTTAAGAAGCATTAGCAAGAGTTATAGAAATAATGGAAAATCCCTTAGATACCCCATTATTGCTAAAGATGGAAGTAGACGCTAAAGTTGGTAATAATTGGTATGAGTGTAAATGAAAAAAAACTTAAAAAAACTTTTTTAGCTTTAAAAATAGTTTTTAGCAGTTTAAATTTAAATTTATGTTTATTTATATTTAATATTTAAGAAAAATAATTATTTTAAATAAAATTATGCTTAAATTAAATAAATCATTAATTTTTGATTGAAAATCTAAGTTAAAAAATAAATTTATAAATAACATTTGTTCAAATTTTTTTTTGATTAATAAGTCATTTTTCAAACAAAAATAATAATAAATAAAAGAAAAGCGCTAATTAATTATTTGACTGAAAGCAACAAATAATTGTTTTTTTAATTATAATATAAATTTTTTAAAATAACAATTATCAATTTTTATAAAATATTTAAAGTCTAATATTAATAAAAAAAAGAAAAAATATTTGTTTATCAAACACTTTTTTTGACATTTCTTAAATTTATTTTCAAAATAAATAAAGCCCACACATTCATAAAAATAAAAGAAATTTTAACTTGCTTTATTTAGAAAATTTTAATTAACGTTTGAGGAATAGACTATGCATGAATTTGAATTTAAATAAATATAATAACTTTATACAATAATAAATAAAATGCAAAATTTTGAAATTGGTAATTATTAAATACTATTAAATATTTAAAATAATAAGGTATTATTTTTTATAGAGTAAAAAATTTTGTTTTACAAAAAATAATTTCTCCTTTCTTCAAATCTTATTTTAAAAATAAATTAATAAATATTCGCAAAATAAATTTTAGCTTGCTTTATTTAAAAAATGCTAATATTCGGATTAATAAATATATAGATGAGGAATTATACATGAATTTCAATTTTAGTAATTAGAAAAACTTAGTAAAATTATAGCTTATTAGAAATGAAGAATTAATTAATTAATTAATTATATTTTGCTAAAATGATTTATTTTTTTTCCTTAATTTTTATTATTTAATTTCATATACCTAATTCAAACATAAATTTGATATTTAAGTTTTAATGATAATTAAATTTATTAAAAACTCTGAATAAATATGAATTAATTTAAAAATAATTGGATTAATTTAGTTTATTTAGTTTGATTATTTTTTATTTTTACTGAAATGTAATCAACTTACAATTTATTGCATTTATTTTTATTTTTATATATTTTTTGTTAAATCAGACAGGTACTACTTTAACTACAACAACTCCGTGCTTAGGAACTATAGCAGAGAAAGAATTGCTAAAGACACCCAAGTCTTCGTGTTAGTATAGATCTCTGATGGTAGCAGGTCCTACTATTCCAACTTCTTTGAATGTGAAAGACAAGTTTCTTTCCCAAGCAGAGGTATTGAAAAGAATGATAGCAACACCATCTTCAAGTTAACCCATCCAAAGTTACCAGCTCCAGAACCAAAATCCAGATTTTTTAACTCTGTGGCCTTAGATACCCAAAGGATCTTGATTAATAGCAATTATTTCTTTGTTTGTAAGAATTCTAATAGTGTCTTCTGACATTTTGCTAACATCACAACCAATCAAAAGAGGAGCCTTCAAAAGGGCCCAAAGAGCAAAATGAGCTTCGTATTCATGAGTAGTCATACCACCGTTACCAACTTCTAACATATCAGGATCATTCCAAGCACCAGGATGAGCATATTTTTCTAATCCAACCTTTTTAAATATAAAACAGTAAACTTTAGCATTTATTTTTTTTAGTAATAAATAATTAATATAAATATGAGGTGAAAAATCTATAATTGTTACAATTGTAAATTTATGATTAAACATAAGTAATCACCTATGTCAATAATCTAAAACCAAAGCTATCTATGGCTTTTTATTATAATTTTATGATTTATCACGAATTTATTATGATTTTATGGATGAAAAAGGCATCTTATATTTTATAATTTACGATTCTTATGATTAGCAAATTTTAAGCGAATTTATATAGCGTGAATGCATATTTGCATATTTTCATTAAATAAAGTGTAATGCTTTCAAAATAAAAAGTTAGACAAAAGATATCTTACCTATTTTTCAAGGATAGATAAGAATGAAGAATAGCGATCTTTAATATCTCCAGTAGTTCTCCAAGAGTTACCAACTTCAGGAGCCCAGGTGGCAGGATTGTATTAACCCCATTCACACATAGAGAAATAGATGGGACGACCAGTGGCATTAAGAGCATCTCTCATGGGAGGATATCTAATTTTTGGGTTAATATTTTTATTGAAGCAGTTGTCATATTTAAGGTAGTCAACTTCCCATTCAGCATATCTTTAAGCATCCTTGACTTCATAACCTAAAGAACCTGGTCTCTTTTAGCAAGTAAATTCACCAGCATCACTGTAAAGACCAAACTTTAAACCTTTACTATGAACATAGTCAGCCAAGGCCTTTATACCAGAGGGGAACTATTGTTAATTTATTAAAAAATATGTTTATTGAGTTGTATAAGGGTAAATATTAATGTAATGAATCTTATTCATAATAGATGAATGGTATAAGATTTACCTTTTCCTTATCTTCAACAATGTAACCATCAGCATCTCTAGAAATTTACCAACAGTCATCAAGGTTAATGTAATTATAACCAAGAGCAGCGAGGCCAGAGTTGACAATTTAATCAGCAGTTGCTTTAATTAAATCTTCGTTAATGTTACATGCAAAATGGTTCCAAGAGTTCCAGCCCATAGCAGGAGTTTTAGCAAGACCGTTATCTAAGCAGCTAACGGAGCTAATAGCACAAGCAATTAGCAAAATAGCAATTAATTTTCTCATTTTTAGATTATTTACTTTTTTTAATTTGAATTAATTTATTAATCAATTATTTTAAAATTTATGAATTTACTGCAGTCCTTTAAATTAACAACTCTAGTCCTCAAATTCATAATAAAGGAAATAAATATATTATAACTAATTAATATTTTTGAGTAAGCCAAAAAATTAATGCTCAAGTATCATATAACAATTTTTAACTTTGTTGAATATGATATTATGGTGAGGTTTTATCATTTATACTAAATTAATAAAAATAATTTATCACAAACTGAGTGTAATTTTCAGATTATTTATAAAATGCGCTTAAGATTTTCAGTAAATAAATAAATTGTAAAAATAATAAAATAATTTAAATAAATCTAGTTTTAATTGAAATAGCATGAGTAGGGTTAAAAGCATTTTATTAATCAAAATATTTTTTTTTAAATTCTACGAAGTTATATGTAAAAAAATATTGGTAATATTTTTAGGTTTTAGTAAGAAAAATGAGTTGTGATCAAATAAAAATATAAATTAATGATTTAAAAGTTGTAAATTAGATAATTTATGTCATTAATAAACATATGTATAAAGTTATTAAGAAAGAAAAGGGAAAATTTTTACAACTCACTTAATTAAGAGCCAATATCGTACCTCTAAATAAAGTAACTTTGGGGAATATTACATTTTTTTTTACTTCTAAAAATGGGATTTATGAAGAAAATAAGAAATTAAAAGTTAAAAAACAAATATGAGATAAATTTCATCATCAATTACTTATGTGTGAAGAACAATATTTGTCCTTTTAATAAATTTTCTATTATTTCTAGAAAGTAATTCTTTTATTAAAAGCCATTGATTCTTTCTGCTATTTGTAAACTTAATTAATTTCAATTTTTATCCTCAAAAAAGTTAATATTTTTGTAAGCAACAAATTGTTTTGTGTAAATACATAATTTTATTTTCAAATTATTGAGAAAATAAATAATAAATTCAAGTAACCTATACAACTTTTATGATGGATACTTTAATAGATATTTTTAATACAATTCTTGTAAAACTATTTGCTAATAAATAGGCTTCTTTATTTCATTTTTTATTCTAGATGAAAAATAAAAGTAAAATTATTTAGGCATATTAAGTTATTTAAAGCCTAAAAATTGAACATCAAAATTGACTATATATTTTTTAATTGTAAGTTTGATGGTAAAAAAAACTTTATTTAAGCTTTCTTCAAAAAAAAATTTAAATAATTGCAAAGAATAATAATTGAAGTAATTACTTTTAAAAGCTAGAACAATTTTAATATTCTCATAACTTTTGTATTATTTACAAATTTAGTAGTTTTATTCATTTTAATTCAAATTATTTTTATTAAATATTTTTTTTTGGGAAATTATTTATTAGAGATAAAATATAATTATTTTACAAAATATACAGTTTCTTCTTAAACTGTTATTTATTTATTTATTTATTTATTTTTGATTCCTTAAAAAATGATAAAAAATACTTAAATTATTTAAAAATTACTAAATTTTTGAGTTTTTATTTGAAGGCTTGATAATCTTAGAAGTTTTTAAGTGAGGAAAATGCTATTAAATTTATTTAGATCATTTTATTAATAAATAAAAAGTGATTAAATTGAACAGATATGAAGAAAAAATATTTTCATTTTTTTATTAAAAATATTTAAAAAAAAAAAATACTAAATTAAAATAATTTATTCTTAGTTTCATGATTTTAAATTTTATTTTTATTTTAAATTTTATTTGTTTAAGTTTTTTTAAAAAATATTTTAAAAAATTAAAATCCCAAACGAATGTAAAAAAAAAATTAGCAAAAAGAAAACTCCATAAATTCTTTCATAATTATTTTGTTTTAGATATTTAAATTGATGGATGTATTATAATTAAGTAAATTTTGCAAAATTTAAATTCATTTAAGAGCTTTCTTAAATAGTTAATAAAGAAAAAAGAACTTTTCTGATCAAAAACAAAGAAAATTAATTTATATACAACAAATAGTTTTAATTATAATTTTGAAAGTAAAAATAATTGAAATTTATTATAAAGTAAAGTTTGAAAGTAGATTGCATGTTAGCTAGCTTTAAAGTTCGCAAGCTAAATATTTAGATAACTTATCAAAATTTAATTCCATTTCTATAAATTTTTACAACTCTGTTATTGCTATTGGTATACTTCAGAAGCTTTTTTTTATCAGTGAGTTTTTGGCATATCCATTACATGCAGCTTAAACAGAAATTGTATGTATGAATTTCTATGTTATTCACATCTTGATCTTTAAAAATGTCCAAGTTTTTACTATTAAACCTGTTTTAATTTAAAGAATTATAAGCAACTTCAAAGAAATTATACTTATTTAAGTTTAAATAATGTCCAACATTATCAGTTTGCTGCAATATTTTAAAGTTCTTAGCATTAATCACAATTACAAAACGCTTATAATCTAATCTCAAAAAGTTATTGGAAGCCATTATTGATTGTGGTACTTTTTTTAAGCGTAATCTCTTTATCATCTTAAATTTTTAGTTTGACTGGACTTAAAAAATGAAAAGATTTGCATTTTCAAAAAGAATTCCTATCCTTTTTTAATTAATTCTAAAAGCTGCTAATACCAAAGATACTTGTGCTTGTAACTATGTGTCAAGATTTGACTTATGTTATAGGTTATTAGAGTCATATATTTGCAAATTTCCAGCATTATCTTGCACTATGAGATTGTCTTCGTCTAACAAAAAGGCTCTTTGCAGCTAAATGCTTTGATGGTATTTAAAGTATCCATTTTTAATCAAGTGTATATTATCTTCCACTTCCTTCAAACTTTGTTCTATCTATTTAATTGCAATTTTATTTTGTATAGCCTAAACAAAGTAAGATGACCATATTTTGCAGTTTATTTTTTCTTTCATCAAGTTAAGCCTGTTTAATACTTCATAAGATTTAGTAAGGTTATTCATCAGCCTTTGAATAATATCCTAATTTTAAGAATATAGATTTTCTTATTTGTTAGCTTAATTAACTTGTTCTATGAAGCCCAAGCATTTTTTGATGAGTGTATCCAGATTAAGAGTAGATATTTCTTTTTAGACTTCATAATAGATCAGCTCAAAAAGTAGAATTTAGACCTTTCCTTATAAGTTTTTCTTTTCTTAATAGCAAGTCTCACACAAAAGAGAATCAATCGACTATATTTCTACACAAAAGTATTTAATTTAAAGACCATGCTTCAAACAAATCTGATTGAGCTTACGATTGGTTTAAGTTTCGCTTTTTATTTCTTCCATGAACTTATTTTTTATAATCTTCTTATAAGTTAGAATAATCTGATTTTTAAATTCCTAATTACTATTTTTTATATGAAAAAAAAATCAACTTTTTTATGATTATTAAAAACGATTGATTATTTTTATTATTCTAAAATTTGAATATTTTCTTTTTTTTAAAAAATTCCTTGTATTTTCTATTACATCTTTAAATATTAAATTAATTTTACTTGCTGAATTAATGAAAAGAATTTTTTTTTCGATAAAATTTCCCAATCTTTCTATTTTTATAATTTAAATTAGTTTACTTATTTGATTTTTGCAAAAAAATAACTAAACAATCAATTTTAAAAGAATTTTAAATTATTTTTAGAAAACAAATAATAATAAAACAAAAATAATTTTTGTAATTTCATTAATTAAAAATAAAAAATCATTCAATTTACTAACTAAATAATAATAATTTAAATAAATTTTAACACTAAAATCTATTAAATTTAGATCAAATTAAATAAAAAAATATTAATATAATTGAAAAAAGAATATTATGAAAGAAAATCATGAAAGATCTTAAAAAAATTATTTGATAAAATTTTATTTTTGGTATTAAGAAGATTATTTTTAATTTAGAAGATAAACTTAAATGAGAAAATAATATGAATTATCATCATATTTAAATAAACATTATTTTATATATTAAATAATTTAATTGAGTTAATAACTAACTAACTACTAATTATTATTTTAATTTTGCATCATTTTTTCTTTAAATCTATACCTATTTTATTGTTCTAAAATAATTTAGATAATCTGCAAGTAAAAAATTGATATAAATGATTTTTATTATTTTGAAAAATTTATTCATAAATATTTAATATAAGTATTAGCAAGTTATTAATATTAATTATAAGCAATAAAAGCCTTCTAAATTAATATAAAACTATATTAAAAATGTTTTTATTTAAATATTAATTAAATTGTAACAGTTATGAATAATAAGAATAATCAATTTCAATAAAACAATTAAAAGAAATTATTTATAAATAAAAGTTTAATCTATTATGTATTTTTTATTGGAGGGTATATAAAAATATTTATAAAAGATAAAAATAGTCAATATTTTAAATTGAGTATAAACAAAAATAAAATATTTTATTTTATTAATTTTTATTATTGAAGTCATTATTAATTTAGAATAAATAGATTATTAAATTAACTTTTTAGACTATTTTATATTTTACAATTTATTATTGCCAGTTTATTAAAAATTATGGATCTAAATAGACTTTCTAGAGTTTTTTCTACTAAAGAACAATAAAAGCAAATAGCAAACCCAGATAAAATATTGGAAGAAGAGTTAAAATGCCCTATATGTTTAGAAGTTTCAAGAAAACCTGTTACCACTGATTGCTGCGGTTCTGTATTTTGTGAAGATTGTATTAAGAATATAGTGACTAAAAAATGTCCAAAATGCAATAAGTAAAGTTTCACTTATTCTTTAAATATATTTGCAAATAGGTTAGTTAATTAGTTTCCAATAGTATGCAAATATGGATGTGGACATGTTTCTGGTGGATCAGAAATAGGAAACCATGAAAAATAATGTCCAAACAAAATTTTAAAATGCAAATATTGCAACTTTGAAGGTGTTTATAATAGTTTCTTGCAACATATAATTAACTAGCATGTAAATTAAATAGTATAATTGTTTGAAAAATAAGAATGATAATTATGTAAGATTAAAAACCTTTAATATATTATGTACATTATTAATTAATTAAGGTTTTGTTTATATTTTAGTAAAGCTATCACGTGTAAATAAATATATGCAACATTTAGATAATAAAACATCTATTTAATATTAGGTAAATTTAGTTTTTTTTGGAAAGTAACCACTCTTATCAAAAGTTTTTCATTACAAACTAATATTTTATTTGTGTATGGCTAAAATTAAGCTTTAGATAAATTATTAAAATGAGAGATATTTTATATTATTTTCATCAATAAGTATTACTAAAATTACAATTTATAAGTCAAGTTTATCATTAATTTTATCATTTTTACTGTTAAATTTTATATAAATCTTGGAATCAGTAGCAACATATTAAAAACTGTAAATAAAAATCAATTACTTTTTAAAAGAATTGAATTTATTTTGTAAACTATTTCGTATTTAATAATTTTTTATCTTTTCTTCAAAGCTTTTTCTAATATTTTTTAGTTTAGATATTTTTTTTGTATTTCGCCAATTTTAATTTTAGTGTGAAATTTCTCAGTTATTTCTTTGCTTGTTTTTTTTTAGAAAATATTTTTTATTGGCTAAAAATATTTAAAATAGTAAATATATCTAATAATATAAAGTAACCTCTATAAAAGTATAGTGGCTCATCCTGAAATGCAATAGACTAGCAAAAATTTGTTTAGTTGAAAATAAATATACAAAAAAATATCAATTTCAATTAATTAAATAAAGAAAATTTAAAAAGAAAACAACCTTTCAAATAGTTATTATTAAATTACTAAAATCTTTTTGAAGTAACATTGAACAAAAAGAAAGAGTAAAAAATAATTATTTCAAAAGTCTCTGAATATAATGAAAAACATCTTTGCGACTGATTAAGAAAGCGCAGATGATATAAACTAAAGGGCTGTATCGTTTAGCAAAGCTCATAGTATTATCGTTTCAAGCAATTTAGTTTAATAGGATAAGAATATAGGACCTTAGAATCAACATTAGAACCAAAATCAAAGAAAAAGTTTAGAAAGCTTAACTATTGAAGAATAAGATATTATATATTAAGAATATCTTTATGATAAGTTCTTGCTTTCACCTATAGAAAAATATCAAAAGTATGGTAAGTGGCCAATAAAGCTTATTGTGCACGTTATGCTAGTGCTGTTAACAACATCTCAAATTTTATATTCTTCAAACACATTGAGCACTAATTCTACTGAACAATATGAGTAATGGAGATAGCTATTTTTTCAAGAGGATTCTAACTAAAACATTAAGAACAATGTCTTTGAAAATAAAATGATATATTACACTACTGTTTAAAAGTTCTAAAATTAGACTATTCTTATGTTTGATGAGATGAATGAAAATAATACTAACCGCATACAAGATGTCTACTTTAATTATTCTGATATATCTCTCAAAGTTTATTATAACTATCCTATGGATTCACATCTTACAGAATATATTCATGAAATATAAGATGACAATTAAAATCCTCAGGATCAAGATTAATAAACTAAACTTGTTTAAAATTCTGACTCTGATGAAAAAAATTAAAAATTAGATTCAGATTCAGACTAAAATAATTTAAAAGATATACCTAAAATGCCTCGCTAAAGAGATTTTTACTAAGAATTAAATTTCAACATGAATTAAAATTTTCAAAGAAGAATTTTAAATAAAACAAATAGTAACCACAAAAGTAATTTAAAAAATTTTAATTTGCAAAAATATCAGCAAGTTCAATTAGTTTATCCAATCGATAGAAAGGTTGGTATCTAGTAACCTTTTGACATGAATAATATAACTCAAATAAAATAAATATTTTAGTTTACAAATCATTTGGAAATAGTTATGAAAAATGTAATTTTGATTAAATCTAATTTAATATCTTGTTGGGAATTTAACATTTTTTATAATTTGTATGGACATGCTACTATACAAGCTTTACTATAAGCAGATGGAGGAATTTGTACAGAGGAATTATTTTAAAAGGGTATTGAATTACATAAGGAGGAGTATTTTAATTCTTATGCTTAACCACCCACTAGTAACGTAGATGATAATACTTAAAACTCTAATTAACAAAATAAACAAGACGAGGAATTACTGAAAAAAAGATAGCAGATGAAAGTTAGGGGAACCAGATTTAATACTTTATCATCAACTTCTTCATAAAAAAAATAAAAAAAACCAGAAAGATCTCCTATAAATCGTAAAAAAACAGAATAGCCTAAAGGATAAAAAATAAACAAATAAGAATTATTAGGAATTGCTGTAAAACCTCCAGATTACGAAAGAAATGGTAACTTATATAAAAGTGGAAATTTACTGTTTATAGGTTTCAACACATTAATAGATGTGATGTCATTTGTTTGTAGTGCTATTTCGTTGTTTTTATGTTTAAAATATCTTATTCAAATTATTGATGTTTACATTCAAACTTTTGAGAAATCTACCAAGGCCTACATTCATAAAGATCTAAAGAAAAACTAATCTCTATAAAAAAACAAAGGTAAATACCTTACCTTGTAACGTATATTAGCAGAGTAAAGAGGATGGAATGAACTCAGCTTGTGGGAAAAACTCTCTTATTTTGATTTATGGTTTTTTGTAATCTTAATAGGAAATTTCTTTTAAATGGTTGGAAGTATTTACTTAATTTTCTTAGATAGTCAATCTGAATTGGATTAAAAGACTTCAGTGGTTAACTGGACAGTCGGTATAGGGTGCTTTTGTGCTTGGTGTTCTTTGATGAAATATTTGGAGCACAGTAAATCTATGGCTATCATTTTAGACGTTCTTAAATTCGCACTTCCTTAGCTTTTTAAAGTTCTCATTGAATTCTCAATATTATATATTTCATTCATTATTATTGGCATGACTAGCTTCTGGTAGTCTGAACGTTTTTCAGATGTCTCCTCAACAGCAGTAATAAAATTTTTTTATTATTATAAAAATATTAATTTTGATAAAAATTTATTTAACAAAAAAGGTAACTTTATTTGGAGTTGTTTTGTCTGATTCAATATTTTATGTTGCTTAAGACTGTGAATAAAATGGAGTGCTACCTAGGTTTATGGCAGACTTTTATGTAATATTGTTCGTTTTGATGTTTATCATCTGTGTAACAAATATTATGATTGGTATCCTTGAAGATGGTTATTCAAGAAATAAAATGGAATAAAAATTTAAAAAAACTATTGAAAATGTTGATAATGAAAAAGATAGAGCAGTGATTTCCAAGATGGTTCAGAAGAAAGAATTAGATAGAGGAAGTTAAATGTTCAGGAGACAAGGTTCCTTTGACTCTGATGATGGAATAAATTATGGTAAAAAGAATAATGCAAATTTTTTTTCACCATTCTAGGGTGCAAATTAATCATCTCCAAGCTTTAAAGTATTTACACCATAATAAAAATCACTTTAAGTTTCACCCATGATTTATTCTAAATCTCCAAAATTTAGTGATAAATCTAAAAACAGTCCTTTAGTTTAAATGAAAATGGTGAAGAATGCTGGAATAGCTATCTAAAAAGCTAAAAGATTTGTATAAATTAGAAAAAAAGAAAAGTAAGAACAAGAAAAACCAAAACAAGCAATCACTTTTCCTAACATATAATAGTAGGAAGAAAAAGATATTTCTATGTTTGATGATTAAAACTTATTTTTCTCAGTCGATAATGATCAGTAAGTAAATTAATTGGAAACTGAGCAGGCTTTTAAATAAGAATAAGAGCAAACAGGCTAAAGATAATAAGAAGTAGATTTCTTTGAGCAAAAATAATAATAAGACGAAGAAATTCCAGATTAAAGTTCAGAGTAAGAATTAGAGTAGTAAAAATAGCTGTCATAAAGGAGAAAATTAAAAAGCAAAACACTTCATAATCTTAACTATTAAACTATTGATGAGTAAGATTCTTCTGACTCTGAAAAAGATGAAAAAAAGCCAAGCATCTAAAAAATAATTTCAAGTGAAGATATTTAAGAAACATAAGAGAAAAAAACAGAAAGCGATTAGTTTGAAAAAAATAATTTAAGTTTTAGTGGTCCTTAAACTTTTGCAACCTAAACACAATAATTTTTTTAAGCACTTCAAGTCCAAAAGTAACTAAGTGCTTCATAGGTTTTTAAAAACGAGTTAGAAATGCTAAAGAAGAAAGAGGTATTTGTTGATAAAACTAATTCTCTTTTTAATGGTGGATATAAAAAGATAAAATTTTATTTAGAAGAATCATAAAAGCTAGTTATAAACACTAAATTCTTGTAAGTAACAAAGCAACAAAAGAGATACTTATACAAAAAGTATTCTTCATACTTATAATATTTCTAGTAAAGAATAGCAGCTAATTTGCTTGAAATAGAATACTTTTAAATGGATTGAAGTTAACAAAAATTATATAAAATTCTTTAGTAATAAATTTTATGTATTGACTAAATTTTTCAAATTTTTTAAATTTAGACAAATATTTATTTTAGTTTATTTTATCAAAACAAATAAAAATTTATTTTTAACAAAAAATACAATTTTAAATATTTCTCATTTCAATAATTTTTTTTTTTTGAGTTATTTTTTTAGAAATAATTTTTTACATCATTGGTACTTAATATTTATAGAGATTATGTACTTAGATCATTAAATTAAGGAAAATCTCTCTGTAAGATAATCTTCCTATTAGTAAGATATTGAGTATACTTACTCATAGCAGTAAGTTAGTATTATTTAAAAAATAAAAATCATCATTACGATATTGTTAAATATGAGAAAGAAAAAAATAATAAATTTTTGTATATATTGTTAATATTAATTTGAATACTAAATATTTTTATTTTATATTGAATAAGAACAGTGATTTGATGGAATGCATTTAATCTTTATAATTGGGGTTGGGGTTGGGGTTGGGGT